CTTACTAAAGCTACTAGTAGATTTTAAGATTACCTAAATCGAAAAAATAGGATTTAATAAAATTACAAAGAAAAAGAATAATATAAAGATCTTTATAACCTCTGTTAAGGAAATCTAGAAAGTTATTAATATTATTAAAAAACAAGAAGATAAAGCTACTAAGCTAGATACTATTTAAATAGATATCTCTAAAGAATATCACAATTTTATAAATATCTTTTTAAAGAAAAAGTCTAATATATTATCTTTAAGTTATCTAGATATTAATTATAAGATTAAGCTATTAGATAATTATAAATCTAATTATTATCTATTATATAAAATATTATAGAAATATCTTGAATTTATAAAGACTTATATTAAAAAGAATCTAAATAAAGATTTTATTATATCAAATATAGTATTTTATTTCTTATTAATTCTAATAACAAAGAAGCTTAAAGATAGGTTATAGTTTTATATTGATTTTTATAAACTTAATAATATAATAAAAAAGGATATCTATTTATTACTATTAATTAAAAAACTAATATAACAAATATTAAAAGCTCGTTACTTTATTAAATTAGATATTTAATAGGGATTCTATAGAATTAGGATATATCCTAATAGCAAGGATCTAATATTATTCTAGTCAAGATATAACACGTATAAATATAAAATGATACTATTTAGTATAACGAATAACCCTATATCTTTCTAATACTATATTAATAATATTCTAGGAAAAGACTATTTAAATAACTTTACAATTATTTATATTAATAATATTCTTATCTTTAATAAGATCCTTAAAGAGTATATATAATATATTCGAATTATTTTAAAATACTTATAAACTAATAATTTATAAATAAGTCTTAAGAAATATAAGTTTTATAAATAAAAGACTAAATTTTTAAACCATATTATTAGAATTTATAACATTTCTATAAACCAGTTAAAATTATTTATTATATAAGAATAGGAATTCTTAACAACTATTAAATAAATAAAATCATTTCTTAGTTTTTGTAACTTCTATAAATATTTTATATAAAATTTCAGCTAGATTATCAAGTTATTAACAAACCTAATAAAACAAATAACTCTTTAAAACTAAAATAATATTTACTAAGAGATATTTAATAAGCTAAAATATTTAATAATAATAATATCTATCTTTACTTACTATAGACTAAAAATAAAGACTAAAATTAAAATGGATATTTTAAAAGGGGTTATAGATAATATCCTTTTCTAAAAGACTAGAGATTATTAATATCCTATAGCTTTTCTATCTAATATAATAATAAATATAAAATATAAGTATAAGATCTATAATCATAAGCTTCTCACTATTATCTATATATTAAAAGAGTAAGTACTAAAACTAATTAACTTCTAATAAAAAGAGCTTTTTAAAGTATATATAGATTATCATATTTTATAGTGATTTTATATAAAATAGTAATTAAATTATTACCAGATCTAATAAAATTAGCTATTTAAAGATTATAGATTAGAGATCTAGTTCTAAATTAGAAAACTTAATATAGCTATAGACACTTTCTTTTATAAAGACTTATTTAAAAAAAAATAGTCTAAGAAATTGATTCTATTATCTAAAAGATTCTAGTAATATAATATCTATAATAACAAATAATAAGAGATCTAAATAATCTTAATTAGAAATAAAGATAAAGACAATATTATAAAACATATAAAATATAGTAACTAGATAAATAAAGATCTTAAAAAATTTTAAAAATTAGTTTATAATAAATATAATCATTAGACTTTTAGAAATAACCTTTTATTATATAATAATAGATTAGTTGTAGCTAATAATGATGATTTAAAAACTTGTTTATTAGATAAAATATATTAATTACTAGCAAATATTTATCCAAATATAAAAAAGATAATAAACCTACTCTCCCCTTAATACTATTAGCTAAAAATAATATAAGATATTTAATAATATATTAAAAACTATTAAGTCTATTAATAGATAAAGATATAGAGGGATAGACTTTCTAGCTTATTATAACCTCTTCTAATACCACAATATCCCTAGTAAGATATTATAATAGATTTCTACTCACTTCTAAAAAATTAACACAACTTTGATAATATAATAGTAATTATTTACCACTTATCGAAATAACTAGTCTCTATTTCTTATAAGAAGATAGTAGATATAAAATAGATAGCAAGACTATTTGTAAACCACATTATCTAATAGACTAGGTTACTAGATTTAATAATTTCTAATCGAGGACTATAATTTATATCAACTTTCTAGACTAAATTTTATCATATATTATAAATAAAAAGAAAGCTTTTTATAACTTATCATCCACAAATAAATAGATAGACTAAGAATATTAATTAGTTTATTATATAATAATTGTATCTTTATATTAATTATTATTAAGACAATTAATTAAAATAGCTTTTAATTATTAACTTAATAACTACTTTATTTTTATCTATATTTATTAGAAAGTCCTCTTTTTTATTAAACGAGGTTATAAATCTTAGATATTATTTAATTGGATTAATTCGATATCACAAGGACAGCTTAATTCTCGTATAATATAGAAGTTTATATAATAGATAGAAGCAGTATAAAACTTGATATAAAAAAAGATAACAAATATATAATTAATATAAAAAAAACAAGTAGATCGATAATATTAGGAAGTTGTCTTTAATATTAAGGATTATATCTATATTACTATAAAAGATCTAAAATAGGAATAATCTAGTAGAAAGTTATCTAATAAAAGTATAAGGCTATTTTTAATTATTAATAAAGTTAGTTATTTTTTTAAATTACTACTTTCTCTCAAGTTTAATATCTATCTAGTTTTTGCTTTTAAGAAACTATATTACATGAATTATCTTGATTATTTACTACTGTTTAGATAGCTCTCTAATCTTTCTTTATTAATTAAAATCATTAAATATAATAAATAGAAGATGAAGGAGGTTTTTAATATACGTTTACGGTGTAGTAGGTTATAATATAAGTTAAAATAGGCTGGAGGAGATCTTGATAAGATATGGTATCTAGCTAGGAATATCTAATATACTTTTTAATATGTGAAGGACTTTTACGATTGTTATCTTGGGAAGCTGAGTTCTTTAAGATATCTAAACGAGTGGATTCGGGCTGTCTTAGACGAAGAAGAAGACGACGAGAGAGCGCCTGATTATCTAGAGGATAATCTGCTAGTAATAAGAGACAGCGATTAATGTACTGTTGGCAAAACTCACTTTGTTTCCTCTTTTGGACGTTATATGATTATATGCTCTGCAAGTTTAAGGGGCTAAGCTTGGGTTTTGCTGAGAGGTAGTGTCAGGAAGTGACAGGACTATGACTCGAACCTATGATCTTGAGACCAGATCCCTGCACAGGAAGAGACGGGAGCCCAATATGTCTACCTCAGGCAGCACCTCTATTTATATAGATCCTGTTAGCTCTCTCTCTCTCCCTCTCCTTTCTTCCTTAGTTCTATTATCGTCGTTTCTTGGACCATAAAAGCGATCTTTTTCTTTTGTGCTTTGCCTGCCTGACAATAATTTAATAATAAATCAAATTAAAAGATAAAGATATTAAAAGGAAGATAAAGAAGATAATATTTAATAAAAAAGAATTCTTAATTATTTTATTTTATATTTATTTTACAAAATAAATCTTTTAAAGGATCTAATTTCATTAAAATCCTATTTAATCATAAAGATTAAAAAAAGACGGGTATTTGTATAACAATTCTTTAATAATAGCTCTAATAATTAAGTTGACTTTTATTTTGTATGGATTTTTAATAGTTTCAATGATTTTTAGTTAATTTTAGTTAATAATAAGATCAGATTAATAGAGAGATAGAAAATAAGCTTTTAATAAAATAAACTATATAAAATTATATAAAATAATAAATTAAATTATTTAGGGAAAATAATTTAGTAATTTAGGAAAAAGAAATTAAAATATATATAAAGATATGACTTTTGAAATGGACCTTTGTATATTAGATATATATATATTTTATTTATAAATTAATAGTAATATTAAAAGATAATATTATTACTTTTAATCTTGTAATTTATTTAATAAGATATAAGATTCACTTCAAAAAAATATCTTTTTAGATTCTAACAAGAAAAACTTTTATTATTAAGCTTTAAATACTATTAATTTTTTTTTTCTCTATTCGTTCTTGAATTATATCTTATTCTTACTAGGTTAACAGACTTTGTATCTAATAATATAAACTACTTATAGATTAGCTAAAGATGTCTTAAAGAGTAGTTCATAGGAGGACGTGATTAGCTATCTTATGTGGGTAGTTGCTAATTATTTCTTTTTATTTTTTCAAATTTGATAGTGCCCCAACCCCAGATTGATGCCGATCTGTACTAGGTACCTGTGATTCCTTGCTATAGGGGAGACCTTATTATAAAATAAAACTCTGTATAGATCATGACTGTAGGTAAGAGGAAAGCCATAGGAGGAAGTAAGATCATTATTGATAAATTTTTTGGAGATTGGTTCAAGGTCTGTTTAACATCCGACTAGGTGTAGTGACAAGGAGTATACTGCGTAGGGGTATGTGCCCAAACCGATGCACTGTACTGTAGTGAAGTCTTCATTGAATTGAGCAGCAACCACTTGAGGTGATAAGAGACAATCAGCAATCACCCAGATCCCCACCAGTCCAGGAATAAAAGCATCTTTTTATCTAGACCGTATATGGACAATGAGCTAATCACCCAGGAGCAAGAATCGTAGCAGGCTACAAACAGAGTTTTTCATCAAAAGAGGTTACTATTAAGGTTAAGACGAAGATCCACTGACTGGACTGAATGAACTATTAGATACATTGCTCACACCATCATCAAGATGGAGGAGCAGTTGAATGAAAGCCTCACAAGTTGTTGAAGGTTCAAAAACCAGGAAGCATTCATAAAGGAATTGAAAGAGGGGAAAGCAAACAGCGCCTAGACACAGCTCACTGCGCCTTGGTGCCCTTGGCCTTGTTTTCCCGACGTCGCTTCAGCGCATCTGGAGTGTACTCGGTGTCGAGACAATAGTCCCACCAGCGGAAACTGCTAGAATAATTGCCAATGAACTTCTCATGGTGAAGATCATGGTGATCGGCACCTGCCCAGAAGGGGAGGAAGTGGTGCAAGCTCCATGGGAATTCATATCCGCTGTGGGCGTCAATAGCTTGGAAGAGGCGCAGCACGATCCAGATGTACATGGTGAGGATGTGCAGATCTCCCGTGAAGGCACACCAAAGAATAGGGCAACCGACCGTACCGAAGCCCAGAATCATGACCTCGATCGGAGAAGCATACTCCGCTGCCAGACCGAAAGGAGCCGAGTACTGGTGGTGAATCTTGTGAATGGCCTTGTACAGAGGACCCCAATGCAGAGCCCGGTGAGAAAAGTAGTGCCAGGTATCTTCCATCACAAAGAAAATGGCGATCTGGTAGGCCATGGTCCAGAAGGTGGGGAAGGGGATCGAGGTAGATAGTCCGCAAAACTGTGCCATTGGGTGGAAGAGCCTGTCTTCGTGTTAAAGAGCGTTCGTACAGCCGCGGGAAGGGAAGGTGAAGCTTACCAGATCTGAGGCAGTTCGACAGTGAAATGACTAAGAAGCACAAACTTGGCGCAATCCCATTGCTCCTTCAACGAGGGCATTTTGTTCTGCATTGGGTTAGAAAAGAAGAGACGGGAAGAGAGGGCAGGGTGGAAATTCCCCAAATACTTACACCCTGAATCTTGTAGCGATTGAACAAGCCCCATGTGTCGATGAAAATCCAAGGCAGCGACCGGCCGAAGTAAACCATTTCATGCATCACGAAGGACATGATACCGGTAGCCAAGACATCATTTTGCATCCAGGCGTACCAGGCCGCCCATAACCTCTCCGCGACATTGAGCTCCGCGTTGTACTTTCCGATCTCCTCGAATTGGCCCCAGTAGGTCCCTGAGGACAGCATTGTTGAATTCCTAGGGATAATTAGCGCTGATCAATGGAGAGAATGGGGGAAAAGAAAGACGTACATTGTGTTGGATTCCAAGATGTGTAAGGTGGGAGGAAGTGGAGGAAAAGGGAGGAGAGTGAGGTTTAAGTAAAAGTGGAAGAAAGGGAAAGGAACAGTCCAATCCCGACGTGGCGAGATCCCGTTGATTTCTTATTTTTTTTTTTTTTGGGTTCAGTTCACCCCTGACTTGGAAGAAAAGGTAAGGCCACTGACGAGCCGATCTCCATCCGAGATCACCCCACCTGCAGGAATCATGTAATGCGGATTTTGCCGACTTCTGGTTGGTTTGTCTGCTGGATCTGTTGCCTAGGCCTTTATGCTAACACTTCTGCAATCTCCCAGTATACTCCGTAACACTCTCGTTCTCTGTGGTGTCCTCCGTTCTCTCCATAGTAGCCCAGGGACATCTTACGATCTTTTGAGGTCAAATATGTCGCTTTGAACGGTGATCCCAGTATCTTCTCTACCGTGTAGGTTCAAGTACAGTTTGTACAGTTTGCATAATTTGTATGGTTTGCACTGTTTGCACTGCTTACATCACTTCCATTCTTCAACTCTTCTTGTTTGCATCTGTTTGCATATGACGTCTCAATCTTCCCAGTATCAATGGACTTTCATCAACCCTCTGGCCATGTCGGTCATACAAGAGTGAGTCAAGTTCCCCTTTCTGGTCCAGCAATTGGATATGATTGGTGTCTGATCATCTCACCCAAGAACAATCTGCGGCGTCAATACACAGCTGGACCGTCTGCAGCAACATGTCACCACCCATACGCTGGAGACATCCGAGTCTCGTGAACACATTGGTCAATTGGAAGAGGTCATCCACTCGATCTCGGTGACCTCGAAGACCCAACCCCTCTTGTCTCCAAATCGGTTGGCAGACCTGCTCTCGGATCCCATTTTCGCCAGTCTACAGGCACGACCCAGTATCTCGGGCATTTCGGAGGAGGAGACTGGCGACTATGTATGGCTTGTCACGGCAAAAGCGGCCGCCCAAATCTCAGGTCTTGTCATGAACAGTTTGCTCAATCAAACGCTGGAGTTGAATGAGGAGACCTTTTACTGGACGGAAATGCTGGGCTCTGTCTGGTATAGTGGTCTCTATGCCCTCCAAAAATCACCAGCGCAGCTGTATCAATGGACAAAGGATGCATACCTGGTTCAGAGTGACCAAAGAACTCCATCTCTTGCTGATAGATGGAATCAATTCTATCAAATCGCGAGTAAAAATGCATGGCAGTTCGGAGGCCACTCGGTGCGTTCTCATTTGCTCGCCCCGATTCGATATTGCCGAGCAGAGATGCGACAGAAACGAGATTTATTGTTGGCCAAGAAAGAGCTACATACAAGTAGTTTGGGTCTCCTCATGGAAGGATGGCGCCTTTTTGAGACAGACGACTCGCGGACGAGCAATACGGACCCCGCCCAAAAGCACTGGCATGCCCAAATCCACAAAACAGTGAGTCTCATAGAAGCCGTCTTCCAGCAAATGGAAATCGAACCCAGCACCCGTGAATTTGAACGGGGTGTCTTCACCACCCTCGACATGGATATCAACAGCACCCACCTACAAAAGACCGCGAGTCATGTACAGAAGCCCTTGGAATTGATTGAGCGATTGGTCCGTGTTCTTCGCGAGCAGCTGCCAAATCACACGCGCTCCATGTCGCATTTCGCCGGTCGTCATGGCCGTCCTTCTCGCATTGTCCGCTATTGGTTACCGGTCTCGCTTGCGCTTCTGTCGACAAGTGCATCAACCCGATTCTTGGTCAACCGACAGGATGTAATTATCCAGGGAATCATGGACATTGGCTCCACAACCATCGACTTCTGGGGAAACTGGGTTGTACACCCTATCCGAAAATTGATCGGAACCATCAGACATGACGAGAAAAGCGAAATTGCCATCATGAGCAAGAATAGTTTACTCGCTGATCGGGCCAGCTTAGAAAGAATGGTGGTGGACTTTGTTCGAGATCGTCCTGACCTTCACGAGGGACTGGCCGATACTACCGCCATCGTCAATTCAGTCAAGGAAGGGGACCTTACGCCCGTACTAAAAGCATACGAAAGAGATCTGCGATCGCCACTCGTGGGAACCGTCAAGGGCGATCTCATCCGTGCCCTTTTGATCCAGATTCAAAAGACCAAAGTTGACGTGGAGATTGCTATTAGCGGCATCGATGCCTTGCTAAAGAGCCAGGAGCTTGTATTTGGGTATGTGTTGAAGATGCTCACGCTCTTCACTCAATTTGCCCTTCTCATTTTCGGGTTTGCTAAACTTGATCAGATTTGTCGGATTGACTCCTGGAATTCTTGTCTCCTTGGCAACTATCAGGTGGCTAGGTGGTCTCTTCGGTAACAGACGAGGATCGCAGACTGGCAAACAGCGCCATGAACTCAAGCGTGGATTGAGGTATGACGATCCCAACAGTCTTCCCAAAGCGACACTAATGAGAACCAGGAACGTGGCCCGTATTTTGACATCTTCTGCGGCATCGTCTGATGGGACTGTACCTTACAAGGACTCGGGGCAGTTGATTTGCGAAGCAGAGGCTCTTCTCCAACACGTCAAGGCGATTTCGAACGGCATTCAATACCGAGAATTCCGGGAAGACATCCAAGATCTTCTCAACGTTCAGAATGGAGTGGACAAGCAACTACGAGTGGTCGAAAGGATGAGATGGACGCACTTTCAGTGAGGTCTCTGGTACGTTATTACAGCGATTTCTTGCCACTCAAGCATGAGGTCTTGTGCAGAGCAATGTGACTTAGTTCTGTCTGTGTACTACTTGGTATAGATAATAGAATGAGAGAGTGAAACTCAAGAGAAACTCCAACCTGCAGATATGTACTGAATACATGCAGATACTTGTCTCGCGGTGTAGATCTCGGCTGCCTACCAGGTACTCCCTTGGTACCTCTAGGCTGGCCTCCATTCGGGGGGCGGTGGTTGATTACATAACCCTCCTTACCGCAGTTGCGTACCGTCATCACCTCCACTCCAGCCCATCTACCTCCTTTTCTCATAAAACATCAGAAACTCGGTTCGTGTATGCTAGACTGTGGATCTGCGCTTGAAAACTACAGATCTAATCCACTGCTCTTTCCGTACAACGTACCCCACGACTCACGCTTCTCGAACTTCGCCTCAACCCGAGATCACTGTCAACCCTTTGCTTCCCCGATCTACATCCCAAACCTTACCTTTTAATACATCTCTACTTTACTCAGCCCTGCTTTACTCTGTTGTTCACAGGCTACCGCCATAGAGAACCATGGCAGGCACACGGAATTATGATTTCCTGGTTAGTGTGCCCGAGCAAAAGGACCTTGGGACCAAACCTGCAGTTCGCTGACCTTGCCATAGATCAAACTTTTGTTGATTGGAGACTCGGGTGTGGGAAAATCATGTTGTCTGCTGCGCTTCAGTGAAGACTCATTCACTCCATCATTCATCACGACTATCGGCATTGATTTCAAGATCCGGACGATCGAGCTGGACGGGAAGAGGGTGAAGTTGCAGATCTGGGACACAGCCGGCCAGGAGCGCTTCCGCACCATCACGACAGCATACTACCGAGGTGCTATGGGTATCCTCCTTGTCTATGATGTGACTGATGAACGTTCATTCCAAAGTAAGGATCCCTCCACCCGTGACCGTCACAATAGACCTGACCACCTAGACATCCGGACCTGGTTCTCAAACGTGGAGCAACACGCCAGCGAGGGTGTGCACAAGATTCTCATTGGAAACAAGTGTGATTGGGAAGAGAAAAGAGCGGTCTCTACTGAACAGGGTCAACAACTTGCCGATGAGCTTGGCATTCCATTCCTCGAGGTTTCGGCCAAGAACAACATCAACATTGAGAAGGCGTTCTACAGTCTTGCATCGGATATCAAGAAGGGCATGGACACTTCCAAGACCGAACAATCTGGTACCGGAGGCGTCAGTATAGACCAGCAGGGCTCGGGTCTGAATGGCAACTCTGGGGGGAAGTGCTGTTAGGTGTATCATCATGTCTTCTTTTTCGTTTTTCTTCTTCTTTCCGAACATATTTTATTTCTGTTAACCATTATCATGTGCCAAGATCTGAATGTCCAAGTGTTTTATGAAACATATAAATTGTTGATGGTAGCGAGAGACTTGCGATAATGGCGATAATGGCGATACTGTGATAACTCGGATAGTGTAGCGATAAGTACGGACTCCCGTCATATCAGGCCCCACATTTCTTTTCACATTTCTCTTTTTGAGACCTTCTATACTTTTTTTTTTGGCTTCTCTTCCTTCCATGACTTCATATCCTAGATACCCCCCTTGACCCAAACTTTTAATCGTCTCGTCTTGAAACTGTCCTGGGGCCGACGGACTTGACAGACTCGACGGACTCGACGAACTCGCAAGCTCACTCGCACATCGCCCCTCCCCCACCAAAAACTTCGGAAATCTTCTCTCTTTTCCCGCTTATATCATGTCTGATCGCAGCTTTACCGCTCGACCACTACCGAAGCAACAGGCTCGAAAGGACCTCAGAGATGCCTTTCGCGTTCATCTTTCCTCCTCCTCGCTGGCTGCACTGAGACTCCAAACCGAGGGTATCTGCATTCTGAAGCAAGGCGATGGACCGCCGAGGACTGCGATAGCGTGGTACGCCTCGGAGAACATCCCAGGTACAGTCATGCAAATATCCAAAACCCTCCAGGATTGCTATGAGATCAAAATCGGAGAGAAGGTCGCAGTCACGAGAGCCGATGGTCCCCTGGAAGCCATCCAAAGTGTGACGTTGACAGATTCCTCCGACCCCGAGAAGATCGAAAGATATGGCTCTATATCGGACAGTGACAGACCGCACTGGGAATGGGCCTTGGATGAGAAGCTCCTAAGATGCGGATCCCTAACGACGGGCCTGACCTTTGAGCTAGAGCTTAGGGGCCAGCACCGAAGTTTTAAAGTGGCCAACATCCACTCCCAGAATCCTAGCTCTACCCATACGCTTTTCCAGTTCACCGAAGCTTCGCGCACTTCCCTAGGGCCCGTCATAGAAGAGAAACGAGAAATCGCGTCGGGCATTGAAGTCCAGCCCACCGGTCTTGGGGGGCTATCGCGTCAAATCGACGACATTAATGAGAGCTTGTCTGATTTCAATAATGATCCCCGAAAGCCTGTCATGCCGCAATTCTACGAAAACAGCCGAGGGATCCTGCTCTATGGACCCAAAGGAACGGGCAAAACCAGCCTCTTGAACCAGATTGAAAAAGCTGGCTGGAAACAAACATTCAAAATTGGGACTTCTACCCTGGGTAGGAGCACTGGTGAAGGCGAGCTCAAGCTCCGTAACATTTTCCAAGAGGCTGCCCGCTCCAAACCCAGCGTTATCATTATTGACCAGCTCGAGTTCATTGCACCAAAACGAACCTCAATTGAGTCACAATCACTCGCCTCTGTCTTGTGCGAGAATCTGGACCTCATTAGAAATTCCTCGATTCTGGTCGTGGCCGCGACAAGGCACCCCAATCAAGTTGATGATGCTCTGAGAACGCCTCATCGACTGGGAACAGAAATTGAGCTCCAAGTTCCCACCTCCCACGATCGAGCTGAAATACTACGCGCCATTCGCGGGCCGGTATCGAGTGGTCTCACTGATGAGCTTGTCGATTTGCTGGCCGAGAAAACCCACGGGTACGTTGGGGCTGACCTTTTGCTTTATTGCAACTCGTCTGCCGCAAAGCCCGGCAGCGGCAGCTCTCTGAGCAACCTGTTACAGCCCTCTTTACCGCCCTGTCAGTCAACCCCACGGACAAGGTCTCCGATTGCCCCCGCGACGGTTCTGGCGATGAGAACATGGTCATCCCGTTACATATCCAGGAAGCAGATATATTTACTTCCCTGCAAGAAATCCGACCTACAGCTATGCGTGAGGTTTTTCTAGAGACACCAAAAGTCAGATGGTCAGACATCGGAGGTCAGCATGATATCAAGAAACGTCTCCAACAAGCCGTTGAGCGGCCTTTGAAGGTAAGTACCCGCCAACCTGCTCCGTTCACCGGAGACTAATTTTCGTCTGTCTTAGTATCCCCAACGTATGCGCAGACTCAATGTGAATAGCAAGAAGGGTGTCCTGCTGTATGGGCCTCCAGGTTGCTCCAAAACCCTGACAGTCAAAGCATTGGCTACCGAAGCCGGTCTGAACTTCTTAGCAGTCAAGGGAGCAGAGATCCTCAGCATGTACGTGGGAGAGTCCGAGCGGTCCTTGAGGGAGATATTCCGGAAAGCTCGCGCAGCACGACCTAGTATCATCTTCTTCGATGAGATTGATGCCATTGCCGCACGACGCGGTAGTAGCTCTGGGGGAGTCAATGTCCTTACAACTTTGCTGAACGAGATGGATGGTATTGAGGAGCTTCGAAATGTCCTGGTAATTGCCGCAACCAACAAGCCCGATGTTTTAGACCCGGCCCTCATGCGTCCTGGGCGTTTGGATAACATCCTTTATATTGGACCCCCGGATTTTGAAGCACGCAAAGAGATCATCCGCATATGGGCCAACAAATCCGTGGTGAACCCGGATGTTGATTTAGAGGACCTGGCCTCTCTGACAGAGGGATACTCTGGTGCAGAAATCGTGAGTATCTGCGAAACAGCTGGAGATGCAGCACTTGATGAAGAGGAAGAGACCCAACAGGAGTTGGATGTGCAGTGGAAGCATTTTGAATATGCTCTAGGCCAGGTGCGGCGACAGATCACGGATACTGTCATCCAGGAGTACGAACGATGGAGGGAGGGTCAGAAATAGGTATCGTCACCGCCCAGAGAGGCCTGTGGACGCGGAGGACCAGGACACACAGTATTGTAAATATCACCAAAGCAGATCCATCTCCTTGCATTGGGAGTGAAAACCGAAAGGAGATAGGTTATCATTCACCAAAAATCCACAGCAATTATGTCCGGTACATCGATGACTCGTCGGTTTTGTCGTCATAAGGTCTCAACCCATTCGATCACGTGCTGCCATGTTTACATAAGCCAAAAAAGCTTGGCGCTGCGCGATTCAAGGTGATTACCAAATGCGGTTAGTATCAATGCTTCCCCTTCCATCTTTGATCATGACATCCTCTTCTCCACTCATCTCTTCTTTCACCTTTGACTCATTAAAAATTTATTTTCTTCTCGTTTAGCTCTGTGCACTCTCTCCTTTCACCCCAGGCCTTGACGCACCAGTTGAATCAACATGTCTTCGAGATCGCCTCGACACTCACCACAAATGGAAGACAGAGGACGCTCGCGCTCTGCGCGCCATTCAAGACCCCTCAGTGAACCACGCAGTGCTACTCGAAGTCAGTCTTCTAGGCGGGATAATCGTTCAATAACCCGCTCGCGATCGCATTCTCGGGGCCGAACACGATCTCGCAGTCGCAGCCGAGGTGCCCGTCACTATCATAGCCGGAGTAACAGTCGCTCCCTGAGCCCAAATCCCAGTCCACCCAAAAGTTCCAAGGTTGGTCTTGTCAGATCGGGCTCTGAGAATTGCCCAGAGAGCCCAGCCAAGCCAATAAAAAGCTAACGTCAATTCGCAACCAGATTGTCGTCGAAAAATTGACCAAGAATGTCACTGAAAATCACGTTCGAGAGATCTTCGGGGGCTTTGGAGATATAGAGTATCTCGATGTTCCCATCAACAAAGCCTGTAAGACATACCTTCGCTTACACTCCTTGGGTATCTCTTCTAACTCTCTCTCAGTCATGACAAATCGAGGAACTGCGTACATCCTTTACCACGATCCTGCAGACGCGGAAGCAGCCATTGCTCACATGCACGAGGCCCAACTTGATGGCGCAATCCTGAATGTTTCAATTGTTCTCCCCCGCCGGAAGTTTTCACGTTCACCACCCCCCACATCGACCCGAGGAAATGGTGGTCGCCCCAGATATGGTCGGGGACCGTATGCAGGTCCATCATCCCCACGGAGATATGGTGGTGCACGACCCACCGAGCGCCATGATACATACCGACCCCAATCCCTGTCTCCATCACGATCCCCCGTTCGCTCACGATCATACTCCTCTCGGTCACGCTCACCAGCGCCGCGTCGAGGTCCCTCAAAGACAGAGTCCCGACACCGCAGGCGCCGGAGTCCCAGCTACAGCAGCTACAGCAGCCGTAGCCGAAGCCCCAGACGAAGTCGAGGCCCCCGTCATTAAATGATCACCTTGCGCTCGTACTCAGGGTGGCTGTTTGCTTGGTTTCAGTATGGGGGTTGGGACCCGGTCATGCTCGTCACCTTCATTAGCCCGGATATCTGCAGCGAAGACTCGTTGAGTGCCTCGAAAAATATCATTCATACCCAGCATTATCACAAACCTAGTTGATCATTTTCGACGGACAAGTAATGTCAATCTTTCTTATTTTTTATGATAGGCCCGAAAGAAGAGGGGCCATTTTAAGATACCATATGCCCAATTTAACGCATTCTGTTGGCTAAGTCAAGTCGATGAAGGTACTGATAGATGGATTCGTCTCCCAGCAAAATTCTGATGCCATAAGAAAATCTTTTTCTTTCCTCAATCGTTGAGTTCGCGATGCTCAGTAGACGGGCTAAGCTCTCGTCTTACATAAAACAATAAGCCACTTGATTGGAAGATGCATTCCATACACGAGATCAGAAAAACGAACACCATCCAATATACATCGAAGCCAACTTTCTCTTGTCTGTTGCCTGCACAATAAGCTCGTCCACCTGGCCATCCACAGAGAGTGCGATCGGCTGCTTAGACATGTAGCCACGGAGCTTGTTTCGAACATCCTCCAAAACACCAGCTGGGGTGTCGGGCACATTCACATGAGTACGGCGCTGAATGAGATTGGTCAGAAGTAGTATTGAAATTACACAAATCGGTACTTACCCTTTTTCCAATAAAATCCGTCGTTGGGTCGTGCAAGAATGTCTCGAGGACGGTCATCAGAGCGTCCTCGTTTTGTCGAAGAAGGCTGAGGGTGATCTCGCAGGTTCTCCTGAAGGGGCCTACACCGCAAATTAGCATGAGGACATGTCGAGCGGTTGTCTAAACTGACCATTGTATCCATAAGCACCAAAGGCATCGACCATATTGTGTGTCAATCGGAAAGGCACCACTTCGGGCTTTTCAAATGTTTGGCCTTTGTCAAAGAGGCAATTGAAGTCGACATGTAGGAGTCCACCGGTACCTTCTTCGAAAGAAAGATTCTCGCCATGTCGATCACCTAGGCTATTCCCAAGCAAAAAGTCGCAGATTAGTACCACAAAAAGCTGCCAGAATCATGGTTGACATACCCAAGGACGTATCCAACCATTGACATCACGGCTGAAGATCGAGTATACCTCAATCTTGCCGTAAACCAAGCCTCAGTTTCCGGGAACATCTCAACAAACCATTCATGAAGAACCGGGGGAAGCCTAAACTTATCAGAATGTTCAAGTCACAGACTAGATTGGGATCCAACTTACTTTGCTAGGATCTTGTTCGTAAACAAGGGCAGCTTTGCAAATGACCGATCAGTGCAGATTTCGTTGAGATAGTGTCGAATTTCGTTGTACTATGAGAAAAGTTAGTGAGATAGCCCAGTGAGGACGATGGAACTTAGTTGCTAGCCTACATTTGGGGCGATGCCTCTTTCACGCAGCAGCTTGATGACAATCTCTCGTAATGTACGAAGGTTGTCAACCCATTCAATGAGACCACATTCTTCGTTGAGTGGTGTCACGGCATATGTTTTGATGTCTACCCAGTGTCAGTTTCGTAATTGACACACAGAAGAGGGGGAGTGTTCCATAACTCACACATGCGCCGCTTGCTTGACTCAACGTCCCTCTTCAAGAATCTGTTGATCATATTATTGAATTCCATGAGACGTTGGTCTTTGCGGAGATCATCTTTGGGTTTGCAGAGTGCATTGTAGACCTTGCCGTCAGACCCCCGCAAGCTGATTTTGCGTGGCTTCTGAAGTGAATTCAGAATCTGGGCTTCATCAAGAACCGCTGGTCTTCATTAGCTCTGTTCAAACTTCTGGGGCTGGCTGATGTACCTTCGATGGTTGTTGGGTCTCGAGGAAAGGCCCTAAACCCTTTGATGTATTCAATGTTCTGACTAGCGGGGAGACTTGGGATCAACATCGCCTGGAAAGGAACCACCAGTCGGCACGGCGCGACCTTGTGGTTGAAACCCAAGTGACGACCAAGTTGGACTTTCGAGGCCTTGTCTTCTACGGTAGCAAGACATAGCTGAAGTAGTTCTTCTGAGATTTTAGTCCCTTGAGAGATCATCCGGCGAATCTCTGCTGCTGTTGCAGATCCTCCCTTGGACTTGTTGCCATAATCCTAATCCAATTAGCGTTTTGCATTTCCCTCTGGCTCAATGGCACCAACCACAATTTTCTGCAGGCAAGTGAAACCCCTGGATGCACGATCTTTGTTAGAGGACTTGACGACAGCAAGGACTGTCCAAAGGCCTTGCTGTGGAAAACTATGAACCGCTTTGGCTACGATGCGCGTCAAGAGGTCATAGACTGTGGTGTTGGGGTGACAGATTCGTGCAACCACCTGGGGCAGGATCGTGAACAACTATGATCGTTAGCCATGTAAACATGCCCGAGCAATCGGAGCTCTCTTTGACTCACCAAAGCCGATTGGAGTCGCTTGTCAATAAATTTCTTAAGTTGCAAGTGCATCTCATCAAGGCTCTTCTGTCTTTGCGCTTTTGTGTGTTTTTGGAATTCTCTGGGTTATGGCAAAGTAATCATTAGTTTCCTCTGAAACGACTAAGAATAGAAGGATGAGTTCAATGGGAAGGCTCTCACTCGTTATCACCTCTCTTTGGGTCGATGGGCTGTTCAACAATAGAGGCATGCTCAAGCCAAAGAGTCAGAAGCTTGGGCAACGTCTGGAAGACATATTTGGTTCCGTAAGTGAGTGAACGGAGATAGTTGTCAATAACAAGCTTTGTGGCTTCTCCACTCAGGCTAGAGTCTCAGGGTTAGTTAAAACTCAAGTAGGGAAATATTGCAAAACTGACTATATCTGGGCTTCCTTTCCCAAAGGTTTGGCTTTTTCAGACTCCAAAATTTTGTTGTAATGCTTGCCCAGGTAGTAGTGCGCCCTCTCCCACCTGGTATGAATTAGTATTCAAGCATGACTTGAAAGTGTCATAATTTTACTTACTTGGGATACAGCTTGATGGCTTCTCGGTATCTCTGGACAATGGCCTGTGAGTGCGTTTGGCCAGCTCTATCCGTCCACTTGGCTAGCATCAAATGCGCCTGTGCGAGTTAGCATCTAGCCACGATGTAGCATTGCCCGTGCGTTGAACTTACAAGAGCAGTGGACTCATTCTGATGCTGCCCACGGCCTGAGAGGAATGACATGGCTTCAAGATCAACTGAAGAGGATGTGGTTGGGGCGGTTTCATTGGCGGAGATTGCTCCCTCAAGGGTTTGAATTGCTTTCCGATGATGTCCATCCTTCCATAGGAGCCGTGCGTGTTCAATCGTAGCAGACCTGTCTTTCAACCGCGCAGCGTTCAGCATTGAATGGTATGCCTGGCTACTAAAGTTGCCTTTCCTTGAAAGACGAGCACTAGTGAGCCATGCAGCTGATATATCGGAATTCGCAAATTCACCCCTGCATCGCATGTTTTAGCAGTTTCCCTATCATCTAGGCGAAGTACTCACGCTAGCTCCATTGTGGCTCTCCTTAGTCCCAGAAGATATTGCTTGTCGGTGAGATAACCCCCCAAAACATCCAATCGCCGGTCCAGGGTACCGAGCAGGCTCGGGTGCGAGGAAACCGACCCTGCCTTTGCGATTGACTCAACTTCAGACAAGGCATGTAAACGAAGCATGTCATCATGGCACGATTGAAGTGATGCCGCGGAGTTTGTGGTCAGAGATCGGGCGACGCTTAGTCTAAGTTCGTTGATTTTTTGTGTGAATCGCCCCATTTCCTTGCGGCGTAGAGCGTCGAGAGCTGACCCTATGCCGACATTGAACTCTTCGGTGCCTTGCCGAGCACAAAGATCAAGGTAGCCCTCGAGCTTGTCCCATCTACTCATAATCCATGACGATTCAACCGCGTATGGAAGGAAGCGTGAAGCTGATGATTCATTCTCCTTGAGAACCTCAAACCGGGTGAGAATAGCATCTAAGACACAGTGAGTTTAGCAAGAGTGGAATGAAGGCTTCAAGCGATTCCCGATAAATCTCACCTTGTTGGCCAGATTCTTTGAGGCAAGTGACGAGATTCCATTGCGCATCAATGTTGTCAGGCTCTTTTTCGAGTTGCAACTCATACCAACTCTGCGCAGTGGCCCATCTCCCTGCTTTGCGATGCTCAAGGATCTGTTGGTCAATATCCAATGCGGACAGATGGCTTGAAATTCCTTCAATGCCATCAGGCTCATCAATTTGACTGTAGATATCTTGCAATCTTTGATACAAGGGCTCGAGGCCGGTTCGTCCTTCTGCTTCTGTGTGAGCCCTAGACTTTCGGATGTACTGTTCCCAATGGAAAAGCGCTTTTGAGAATGATTTGCATTCAACAGCCCGTTTAGAGATAACCTCGGGCGGGATTGAAGAGAGCAGGTTCTCGACCGACTTGATCTGTGAAGAGTATTTATCAATTAGAGCGTCACGGCTGAGATCTTTGTATGATCGACTTGAATGGTTGGAGTTGTGGTTCAGACTATTGAGGTGCTTCTTCTTGCCTTGAAGCCACCTGGATAAGTAGTCTAGAACTTCGAAAACGCTCTGAGCAAGCCATGGTTAGTATCTATTTTCGCGACTACAAGAGGACATCTCACCTGGCTGCTGCTTATGATTGTCTCGCGAGCGTTGTTGTTCATCTCGGTAACCGGGTGCGAAAGGACACTCATCAGCTCGTTCTGCATGTCATCTTGCTCTTGCTTGGTCCCTCCCACAATGCGATTCAGCACTGCAAATGGTAAAAGGAACGAGGAAATGGAAATGTCCTGGCCCTTCACAACACGACTCGATATCGAGAACACCATTTTGGCATTGTCTCCATTGCCAGTTTGCAAAAGATCCTGTACTAGTGTGCGGAGCCATTCACTGTGTGTCAACTTGGGAGAAAACAGCGGATATTTGACATCAGAATGATTAGTCACAACAGTGACAGTATACGTGGACGTAAGAAATGGGGTAAGAGTGTTTCGGACGCTTTCCGGAAGCTCTATCCAGCGTTGGTATTTTTCATCCCCCTGCATATCGCGAGAGCGTTGTGTCAAGAGAGCATTGAGTTTGCAGAATTTGAGCAAGCCTTGCATTGCCCATGCTAGAAACCCCTGAGCCCGGGTATTGGAAGCAGACAGAAATGCTTCAACCAACACGTGCTGTAGGAAGAATAGGATGAACGCAACTGTCTCTTCCATCCTGTCAAAGTTGGACAAAACAAGTATGTCTTTTTTCTCTTTGATCGTCTCAACCCGATTTGGATCAAGGCAGCCAACAAGTCCGAGACACCTAGCTGAAAGCAAAGTAATATTATCGGAGATGGTGCTGAATTTCACACAGCAATCTAGCAACGATCTCGTCAACTGCGCAATAACAGGATCCGGCTGTTCACTCAGAACAGAGTCGTGGAGGAATTCCTCATTCGCCGACAGGAAAGGAGTTAGTTCCATCAGAGCTTGCTCGACAACAGTGGAGTTTTCGCTTTGACATCGACGTATCAAAGCCAAAAATTGGCTTCGTACGTCCATTTGCGCCCTGAGATCATTGATTTTGGCTTCAAATGGGGCCAGCTCGGGAATCGACGCAAGTGAAGGCATGGTGTTGAAAGTATCTCGCACGAGACTGGAGTGATTTGTCAAGATGTAGTCGATGAGTTCAAAGGCGCGACTTCTGCTTTCTCCAGTCATAATACCCCAATACCGGATCACAATCGCTAGTGTTTGGTCGATGATGGGCTCAAGGTCCTCTTCACTAAGGGAACTGATCAATGTCTTCCAAGCAGAAAATGCATAGTCGCATAGTTCCTCAATATCCAATGCAGATCGAAGACAAGCACACACTTGAGGCAATGCACTGCTGACATGGCCTTGCGCGATGTTGATCATCTCTTCGATGGCTTTGATGTTTCTCCGTTTTTCTGCTAGCGTCTGTCTCACCTGGAAGTCGTTGATGGCATTTGCAAACTGTGTGATTATCCCGAGGACGTGCTCCTCGATAAAGTGACTCAGATCCGCTTTTTTTGATGAGCCTCCGTGTACGATTTTCCGCGGAACAAACGTGGCTAATCGGTGGAGGGCTTGGTTGAATCTCTCTTTCTTTTGCTCGCCTGCATCGCCAAGACTCTTCAGCAAGTCACAAGCAATCAGGATCGGCTCTATTCTGACCAACTCTGCCAGAGATCGACCCTTGAAAGCAGGATCAATTTCTGCTAGTAGAGACATGATCATGGCCTCGGGGTTATCTGATTCTTGGGACAAGAGGAAAGCGAGAATTGCAGCCAGGTTGTTCTTTTCTGAGCAGACATCAAAGGCAGACTCGCCTTCATTGCGACTAGCCCCGATTCTGCAAATGATATCTCGCTTTCGTGTCAGCACCAAGTAAGGCAGCACGTGGATTTCGGTTAGTCGGAGGAAACCATCAACTTTCATGCCAAGCAAATCGCACAATTGCTCAGCCATGTAAGGACGAGATTGAAGGTTCTTGACGACTGTTACCGACAAAGTTCTCCAGTAAGGTCGAAACAAGCCAGCAGGGGTCAAAGAAAAGTGTTGCGCGAGTTTAGATAGCTAAGCTGAGTGTCAGTCACCTCGTCTTTTCATTGATCATTTCGTGTTGCCCAATTCTTCTTCATCTTTTTTTTTTTTTTTTTTTGTAGAGGGAAAGTAAAGCAACAGATTCATAGACACTCACTTCGTTGTAAGCGACTGCACAGACATACGGGTTTGGATGACCGAGGTACTCCAGCAGCCGCAAAAGGATAATGTTCTTCTCTTCATCTTCCGAAACTCTAGGTGTTTCCTCGTGTGAGATATGGAGCCCAGAAGAGGGCAGTTGGTGGGGATTGGAAGCTTACATTGCCAAACCACAAAGTGTCATGATACAAGCTTCCTGCAAAGGGGTGTCATCCTTGCCGGAGAGATTCCTAAGCCATTCGAGTACTGTAACAAAATTTGCCCGACGGATTTCTATAGGCAAGTTTGGCCTCACAAAAGCCACCACTGAGTGTCTAGAGAAAAGGTCAATATCAACAGCTGACGATAGATCCAGGTCACGCACGCAGTTGCAATACGCAGTTCTCTGATTGAGCTGCGGAGAGAATGCAGACAAAATTCACCAGAAGCTGAGGTTGAGATGTGCATTTGGTTTGAATGGGGAGCGTGCGTCAAAATCCTCCTCAGTGCCACCATAGCGGAAATCCGTGGACCAGGAATGCGTGTCAGTCTCGGTAGAATGGAATTGAACAATGACCAGATATCCTCGAAATCAGGTGGGTCTCCATGAGCAAAGCGATCATCAGTAGGCTGTTCAGCATCACATGTTTGACAAGTGAACGTGTCGCGTATGATGACTTCAGATGAATGTTTCGAAAGTATCCCTGCTGCAGCACATGCCATCTTGCCCAGAGTATCCAGTACTTCATTTTTCTGGGGCTCCGAAAGGCTCTCATATGATTTCCTTTGAGATGAATCAGCAACGCATTCCACAAGACCCATTTTCTGAATACTTACTGAACAGAAGTGCATAGTTCTGCCATCGTCCCACCTGAGTCAGATTGAATGATAGAAGACACTCTGCCTACAAGCAGCTTGAGCACATCGTGATCGATAGGTTCATTTGGGGAACCAGGAAGACATAATCTTTTCGAAGCTCTGATCTCCCCCTGCGGATCGATGCGGTGGAGTAAAGCGGACTTCTGAAGTATAACCTTCGATTCTCCTAGATGCTCCACTGGCTGTTCTCTGGGGGACTCCGGCGTTAGCAGCAGGGTATCATCCGAGAGGAGAGTATGTAGATTCTGAAGAGATGTCTGGTCCATTGTCAGCTCGACAGATAGCATGCGCTGGGATTCACACGTCTGCTTACCTGGAAACACAGCTCGAGAGATTGAAAGATGGAATGACCGTCCTTGATCTCGGTCAAAGTTGGATGTAAAATTTCTCTCAAATGTGGCACCAATGAGTTAGAACTTTTGGCAATCTGTGATAAATCATCTAGGAAACGACTCAACATGGCTTGGACAGAGGGCAATTGATCGATACAGTCAACACCCAGGAATCCACACAGACACTGTGACCATGTAGAGATCAAGCTCATGTTCGAAAGAAGACCGGAAAAGGTCGACTCCGGTGCGCTGCAACGGTGCAAGTGTGCCAAATATTGTAGACACACACTTTCATCCTCAGGCATTAGTTGGATTCTCGTCATCTGCAACCATTCGACAATGACTTTCCGGAGGCGGTTGAATCCATTCAACATCCAGGAAAAGTTCTGGCGAACTATGAAGTCCTGGTGTTTGGCACGGGGTTTCATCGCACCCCTTGGATTGAATGCGTCCAGTAATCTACATGTTAACGAAGATGCCTGCAAGAATCCCCCAATGGCGGTCTTCTGCATTAGTATCCCGGGAGAGATGCCAAGGTGCTCAACGTCTTGGGCAAGCGATCCATCCGCTGCGGGTAGTGACAGGCTCTTGAATCGTGCATCTCGAGGATTGTTGTTCTGCAAAGATTCAAGCGAGAGAAGCATGTCTTTTGAGAGAGAGAAAAAAGAGAGAGACATTAGTTCCACGTTCTTGGTCTAGCGGGGAGTGCCGGACAAACCTGACGTGCAAGCGCGCAGAAAAGCGGAGACAGCATAGCTTGCGGGCAAGGGACGAGCCTGCCTTAGCTGGATATAAGCTAGATTTGCCCAAATCAGCTGTATTTTTTCTCGCACATTCTCGGTGGTCCAGATGTTAGCAAGTCGGATCAGTCGTAGGATCAGCCATGTGTACAGAGGAGCATGCACATCCTCGGCAAATATGGATGGATCAGAGGGTTCCCACAGGGCCTGTGGGGCTTTCTCGATACTGGCACGGATGATATCCAAGCAGTCAAGGACTTGGCCTTCCAGGTCGGAGTCTGGGGCGCTGGCGTTGGGGCTAATCTCTAAACCAGCCTTGAGAACAATGCAGATGAGTTTGTTGACGTCGGTAACATCCTCTTCGACGCGTATTTGACTATGCGTCTCGCCGAGAAGTTCCTGGCGTAGTTGTGCAAAAGTTTCGCGGCTGATGTTTGATTCATGCCCTTGGGTTGCCAGACGCGGCGCGAGGTGCGTGGCAAGGATTGACGAGGCCGGTTCTCTCCAACCTTTAGGCATCATGGGCGGTTCATGCTCTCCATCGATTGCCATCTGAGTCTCACATGGTCATATGATGACCGTCTTATACTCGAGCTCTGGTTGTCAAGATGTTAGGCTAGAGAATTGGAGGTGCCGATAGATACGCGGAGCAAAGTTGATATGTCACTTGACACCTCAGGCACATTTTGCTCGAAGCCAATGTTTTGTGTGGGGATGTAATTATTTACGATTGGATTTTGGATATAAAATGTACAATATGTATTGATAAATGTATCTGTGTGTAGATCCATGGATATTCAGAGCCTTGGAGGTTACTCATATTCATGGATATATGTTCGCAGGGCTATAATGAGAAATATCCGTAGTCTGTCCCTTTTATTCTACTTCAACTGAGGGATTTTGATACATAAAATACTCAATAGAGCTCAATTCTGCTTTCTGATTCACATCACACCGTTGAATCCATATTATGTCTGCCATTGAAAAGCTCACTGTAGTGGAAATTGCTAACTTTCTATAGTCTAGAGTCCATAAATGTTTAGTGTACCGTATATGAATGGAACAATAGCAGACCTCATAATACAAACAATACAAGATCATGATCGAAGTCTAGTCATCTATAAGCATAGATCAATAAAGAACCCCGAGGAGAAACAAAGAAAGCAAGTCATATGGTGGAATACTTAGGGGGGCTGGGGAGAATGCCGGCTTTATTGATGTTTTGGCTTGGCACTTTTTTTTCCCGCGTCACTTTTTCCCTTCTCTTTTGCCAAAACATTCCTCCCTTCACCATTCTTTACATATTTCAACATGCCTCCCAAGGCTGCCCCCAAGGCTGCTGCTGCTTCAACGGCCGCCAGTGAAAGGACATCGCGAGTCCGCTCCAAAGCCCCTGCCGAAGCCAAAGCGAAGCCAGAGAAGCCCGCGAAAACCGCGAAACCCGCGACTACTGGGAAAACCACCAAGACCACAAAAACCACCAAGACCTCCAAAGCTGTAAAGGCGGAAAAGCCGAAAGCCGAACCAAAGGCCAAGGCGGAAAAGCCAGTCAAGATGGCAGCCACTGTCAAGTCGAAACCGGCCGCCGCGACAAATAAGCGCAAAGCCGACGAGGAAGAAGAGAAACCCCGTGAGACTAAACGAACGCGCGTTACGGCGCAACCTCGTAAGCCGAAAGCTCCTCAGCCCCCCAAGGCGAAAGCAGCAAAGGTTGTCATCAACGAGGCCCCCAAGACAAAGCTCAACGTGTTTGTGTGCGGCGAGGGCAGCTCCGGTGAACTGGGACTGGGAACCGCCAAGAACGTGATTGATGTCAAGCGTCCACGCCTGAACAAGCTCCTCTCACCCGAGGAGGTCGGAGTCGTGCAGATTGCCGTCGGTGGCATGCACTGCGTCGCCCTGACCCACGATAACAAGATCTTCACCTGGGGCGTCAACGACCAAGGCGCGCTTGGAAGAGATACCAACTGGGATGGTGGATACAAAGACATGGATGACAACAGCGACTCTGACTCCGATGACGACGACAGTGGATTGAACCCCCTGGAGTCCAATCCTACTTCCATTCCGAGTGATGCTTTCCCAGAGGACACTGTGTTCGTCGAGGTCGCTGCCGCCGACAGTTCAAGCTTCGCCCTCACCGATGATGGCCTTGTCTACGGATGGGGTACCTTCCGAGTAAGTTGGAGCGAGAAGCAATCCCGTCGCAATCGAAACACGCGCTAACCTTCCAACACAGAGCAACGATGGAATCCTCGGCTTCGACGCCAACAACCTCGTCCAAAAGACCCCGTTGCTTATTTCCTCACTCAAGAAAATCAAGCATCTGACTTGTGGGGCCAACCACGTACTTGCGCTGAATGATAAGGGTCGGGTTTACTCGTGGGGTTCTGGACAGCAGAACCAGCTGGGTCGTCGCATTGTGGAGCGCAACAGATTGAATGGTCTGCAGCCCCGAGAGTTCGGTCTTCCCAAGGACATCGTTTGCATCGGCAGTGGACAATACCACTCATTTGCCGTGCACTCCTCAGGCAAGGTCTATGCGTGGGGACTGAACAGTTTCGGTGCTACCGCTCTCCGCGAGGGTGCCGGTGATGACGAAGCTGCCATTGTGCACCCACTCGTGGTGGAATCGCTCACCGGCCGGGGTATCACCCAAATTGACGGTGGCTCTCACCACTCGATTGCAGTTGCGCGTGACGGCGAGTGTTTGGTCTGGGGTCGTCTCGACGGCTTCCAGAGCGGTTTGAAGATTGACACGCTCACGGACGATGCTGTCATCAAAGACGAGCGTGAGCGTCCCCGTATCTTGATTGCTCCCACCGTCATTCCGAACTTCAAGGCCAAGGTTGTCTCAGCTGCGTCGGATCACTGTGTCGCCATCGATGTCGACGGCCGTCCTTGGTCGTGGGGATTCTCTGCTACTTACCAAACCGGACAAGGCACTCAGGATGACATTGAAGTAGCCACCGCTATCGACAACACTGCCACTCGCGGAAAGAAGCTGAACTGGGCTGGTGCTGGTGGTCAATTCTCCGTGTTCACGGAACCCGCTAGCTTGTGAATATTCTGATCATGGACATCTCCTGTACTCTAGCTCCTAATGTCTCTGCTATTTATCATTTCGAACCCAATTCTGATGCTATTCTGATGCAATTCCCCGGCATTTCCCACTATTTTTTCGAAGCTTATCATGTTAATATCAGGTGATTTTGTGTCTAATGGCAATCATCCTAGAATACTTCATATTATTTCATATTAATTGGACGGCACGCCAGTGCAGATCTCGAATTGGCGTCGAGTCGGCCGGTATTATTAAAATATCTTGTACATCGTATGCCTTCAAACTACATTCCAAGTTCCTTCATCGCTTCATAATCGGCATCAAAGTCATCAAAGTCATTATCATGAAGATGTGGTGTCCGCGAGGGGACGGATGTGCTGGGCATATCAGTCATTGGCTCATCCTCCCGGAGTAGATCATCTAGATCATCTTCCTCGGGTTCGGGGTGACTGGTTATGGGGGGCGCATTCTCATTATTGGGCATGAAAAGGTCTTCAGCGGATCCGTGCTGGGCTGCAGTGTTTGACGATGGTGCTTCGGTGAGTTTCGCTGACGTGGGAAGCACAGTGGAATTCTCGAGTTCTTCTCGACTCACTCCGGAGTCGCGAGAAACCCCCGGCTTCTCCTCGTCTATCCATTCTCGCCGCATGACTTGAATCCGTTTTGAGTGTCCTAATTTCTCAATCATTGAGAGGCCATCTGCGAATTTCGCACGTGGATATAGATCGTCAAGCCATAGTTGGTAAAAATTGAGAAGGCGCGTGGCATCCGAGAACTATTGAGTCTGAAGTTAGTTCTGGGCTTGTTTCGGCCTCTCCAGCCATGGACAGGAAATGGCCCACCTCGTGTCCTTTGCCTTTGAATCTCAGCTTTCGTTTCGCAGATTGCCGCAGCTTAGGAATACCTGGTTGTGAGAGTAATCTAGCAGAAGAATGGTATTAGCCGCTATTCCCGGACGCGTTGTTTCCAGAGAACATCTCTCCCTCTAGAGATGGGCGGTCGCCCATAACTTACCGGGCTTCGTCTAGCTTGGCGACGGGCTGTCGCTTTTTGGTGACTTTGACTTCATCATCGAGACCTAATCCGAGTGCAGAGTCCCCAGCGCCAGAGGCTTTTGTGTTGGAGTTTGCCGCACTGTTGTCCGGAACTATCTCATCTAGACCCACGTCATAGTTGAATAGATCGTCAAGATCAAGTGCAGCCGGGGAGCCTCCTTCCGACATGTTCGCGTTTGGCAATCGCAGGTAATGTCAATCGACAGGGTAAAGTGACGATATTCAGAGGATATTAGTTGGCTGGGAGGTGGGAGCTATGAAAACAAAGATTAAGGAGAAGTCACGTTTTCCCGGTTGTCGTTGATTCAGTCGAGTGGGAAGAAGGAAGTAAAAGTGTGGCGCAAAAGCTCCAGGGTAGTTTGGATGTGCAATTGAAGATCAATCAATCAGATGCCGCCTTGACGCGTGACGCGAACGCTCTGTTATCTGCGCTCTGATTGGCTACCTGCACCACTCTCCGCCTTAATTGCGCTAAACCAGAACAGGCTAGTGCTATCCTCCTCTCCTCCAACTCCCAAGAACTTCCAACGTCGAATCCCGCTGCACCCTCGACCCCCCCAAACAACATGGCAACAGACACTAAAACGGCCATTGTGCCCCCCAAGCGGGCCAGCACCGACTACCCGGTATGATTGATTCCGCATAAATCCACCCTTCTGGGGTTATGCGCATGGCAACATGTCTCTTACTAACACATCCCACAGTTGATCGATTCCGACCCGTATGACCTACCCCGGATTCACACGATTTGACAAAGCTCACCTCGTTACCAGACACTTGAAGCGCGTATTTGGATATGCCCGACCTTCCGATTGGGCCGTCGCCGGTGGCATGGCCTCGGCCGCTCCCATCTCCTTCTGGGTGATGGAGAGAGTCAGCCCGTCGCACGTCGGCCGCGGTGGTTTCGCCCCTGTCATGCGCCTCGCCACAGCCGTTGGTCTTCTCGGCGGTCTTCACGTTCTCTACCAGCGTTCCTGCCGTAAGACGACCCTGTCACCCCAGCTTCCACGCTGATAGTTCTAACACTCTTGCAGAACGTTTCTACGGTTTCACTGAGAACAGCAGAGAGGTCGAGCGTGACACACGCGAGATGGTCGATAAGGTCAAGAAGGGTGAGCCCCTGTACGGCAAGTCCCAGATGTCCTCCTACCTCCAGGGTATGGCTGCCCGTAACTCGCGGTACTCCGAACTCTTCATCCACGTCATCCCATGGATCAACCTTGTAAACCACGACCAGGTGAGTTCAACTGTCTAGCCTGACGCCAGTTCGATACTAATGTAGACCTACCAGCACGGCGTCGATACTGCCAAGTACTACCAGCAAGCCGAGCGGGAGTTGGAGGCAGAGCGAACTGGCTCCTCATGAACTCTGGAACCATCAGCCAGGGAGAAAAATGCAACTGGTGGAGAGTTTCTTTGATTGCAGATTTGTACACATATTCACTTTTGTATGTGTTTTTTTGGGGCGCAATTGCGATATACAATACAAATTCCCGTTCTGATCAAACATCATACCTTTTTGCAAAGTACATGAATGCCTATTAAAATATGCTGGAACCTGGCCCTTTTTCAGTCTGGGTCACAGAGTTGAGACTCAAGGGCCCGAAATCGAGGCGCTTGTACCGTACGATCACCATGCTGGCGCTTCTTCGCTGCCATCCTCGAATTTGGTGTTCAATTCTCGATTCTTTTTGGGTCTGGGGTTAGGAGCTACCATAGTATTAGTGGGCGTGCATGGAATTTTGAGTCTTCGAGGCTTACCTTTCTCGTTCTCTTGGATATAGAAGCGGCGAAGTAACATGATTGCCTCTTTCTCAAACAAGCCCCCGTAGACCGGATATTTGGGGTCAATTGAAGAGCTACATCAGATCAGCTTTTACAAATCCTACAATGAATTGAGGGAATACGAACTCGGAATGCAGGGAGAGGACACCTCCGGTCCCTCCAAATCGATCGTTGGCGCAGCCAAAATACACAGTGCGGATGCGGTATTGCTTCAATGCGGAGGCACACATCACACACGGTTCCACGGTGACATAGAGATCGGTGGATTGGAGAGCCGACCTGGGGTAGCTCTGAAGCATCTGTCCAATTGCAATAAACTCTGCGTGTTTCGTTCCCTGGGGAAGTTAGTGGCTATGCATATGAGGTATATCGAAGGTACCCACATTCATAGATCTATTGGTGTCGTTCATACCAAATCCCACGATTTGATCATTATATACCAAGACACAGCCCACAGGGGTTTCATTTAATTCGATAGCTTTCTCGCCCTGTGAGAATAAGCCCTAGCCAAGGATGACTAGCCGGAGGGAACATACCATTAACAAGGCCTGTCTCATGAAATGACCATGACGCGAATCTTCTGCATTAGGGTCATCCCTGAAGCTCATATGGGACTGTGAAATCTCCGATGCAGCCATTTTGGTGAAAAGTTCAAATTATTGCGCGGAGTGGTGGCAGCCGAATTTTCCAGGGCTCTTATAGAAAAGGCGGTGGATCAACCCAAAATAGCCTGGATGTATAACTTCCTCACGGTGTAGTCGAAGATGTCGACATAAGATCTACATTTGGGACATTTCTAGACATTTTTACCAGGAAGCTATTGAAACTAGTCAAGGGTCAAACACACTGCCATTTCAATATCGTTTCTCATCATATTATATCATATTATATACACACGTACACTTACACGTACACATCTAATCGACTTCAGGTCGAATCTTGCCACACATAATCACGTTCTGCCCCAATGGCATCCATTTGACGTCGCGAGGGTTCAATGCAGCGTTGGGTGTGCCCTCCGGATCTTGTTTCGAATCCGGACTGACATTCACCCCTCCGCGTCCAAGATAGGTGGGCGCAACCGTCACAACGATGGAGTCGATGAAGCTGGTATACTCGGGATTCAACAGCTCACTTAGGACCGTGCCACCGCCCTCAATCATGACGCTCTTGATGCCCTCGGACGCCAGAGCGCGGAACACAGCTTCCCAACGGAGTCGCCAGTGCTGATTGTATTCCACAATGCGGAGAAAGTCGCCTCCATATCCCTTCAGCATCATCAGCGTCTGGGGGTTGATCTGAGCCCCCGGGGACACTACAACCCATGGGGCTTTGCCTTTGCCATCCACGGCAGTTCGCAGCATCCGGCATTCGGGATGGACCGGCCATCGCCCCGTGGGATCAATGATCACTGGCCTAGGCTGCCACATCCTACCAAGACCACCGAACCCACCAGCTCCCTCGAGTCGGCAATTGAGACCTGGATTATCTGCAAGCACGGTCCCCACTCCAACGAGAATGGCATCGTGTCGGGAGCGGAGGTAATGGGTCATCAGCTTTGCCTCGGGTCCAGATAATACTGTCTGCATTCCAGGCTGAAGGGAGATCTTTGAATCCATCGATGACGCATATGACAAGGTGACATGAGGGAATTCCCGACGCTCGGAGTGGTTCGGGAGATATGGTTGTAAGAAGTCGAGCGAAAACCTAGGGAAGAATAAGGTGTCTGGTGGTAAGGAGGGTGATGTGGAGGACGAGGTGGGTTTTATCTGCGAGGGGACTTCGTTGACACCGTCAGTGCCCTGGGTCTTGACAATGCCGTGGCCCTTTTGATATTCGTAGCCCTCATGCGCCACCAGATTCACTTCTGGGTTCTGTATGCGCCATTTGGCAGATACGTTACGGACGTCGGTCACGGTGAAGAAGCGCCCGCCGGCCTCTCCGAGCTTGTCCGGTTCCTCTTGGAACTTAGTGTAAATGGATGAAGGAAGGTACCCCTTTACGGACTCCTTCCGCGCATACTCCATCAGCCCCGAGTTCCGTTTGACCCGGTCTATGTAATCGAGGTCATGCGAGTGAAGGCTGCAGCTACCGGGCGTTCGAGCGATGGTGACGGCGGAGTATGCACCCTCGAATCGGACAACCTTGATCTGGAAATTGCAGATGCCTCCCTCCCGGATGCGCTTCTTACGAGGCCGTTTTCCTGCAGGCAATGGGCGCGTTTCATTGCTACGGTGCGTTGGGCGCCGTAAACGACACATGTAGTAATCTGTGGTGCAATGGCCCTCCTTGCTCGCGTTCGATCTTTGTTTGACCCAGACATTGTCGATAAAAGGCCAATATGTCTCAAATTCTTCCAGGCTGATTTCTATCGGGTCCTTGCACTCAAACAGGATTTTTCGTATACGCGCAAGATTCGGTGGATTGTTGAAGAGGCTCGGTGTTGTCCTTGAGCTTTGAGCAGGCGCATCGCTCTGAGCTCCGCTTGGGCTGGGTTGCGACGCGTCATGTTCGTCACTGTGTAATGCCTGTTTGTCCAGGGCACCAGAGAGGTTGATCAGAGTGGTGGTCTCCGGGAGATCCTCATCTATTGTATCCTGCGCCGGTTCAGTGTTCAAGATGTCTTTCGGTTGGATCGAAACGTGCGGGGGTTCTTCGGTGTCGGAAGCTGCGCTCGAGACGGACGCGCCAGAGCCATTTTCCATGCTGAGAACCGAAGAGACGGTACTTGGCTAGGAGTGTGTGTACACGGCCATTCACGCGACTGAAAGGTTGAAGAGTCGGAGAATCCCAGGTGGGGCTGCCATTGGAGAGATATCGGTGCCTTACTGCCGATGTTTACTCCGAACTCATCCAACTAATTAGTGAGTATTAAGTATGTTACTTGCTAGCACTTGGACACGGAATACATGATAGATCCTACTATGCAATGCTACTCAACTTCTCTCAATCTTGAAAATATTCTCATTGGGCATTATTGAAAACAATTAAGGAAAAAAGGCACTAATATGCTCCGATCTCTGCGCCCGCACGAGCGAGAGTCTCGTAGACCCGCGGGGGCAGCTTGTACTTGACCATACCTGAGAAAACCATCAGGTCCTTGGCCATGACAAGGAAGGCATCGGCCATGCCCTGACGAACGTCACTGTCGTACATCCCGGAGGTTCGTTTCTGGCGTTCAAAGCCAATACATGTGATGCTCCACATGATGACATGCCCGATGTTGCGTGAGATGATGGCGGGTAGGGACGAGAATGACTGAGCGATGCTTCGAATGTGCGACACGGAGCCCCGAGCCTGTAAGGGAAGGACATTAAGATCGTTAATGGCCTGTAGAGTTCATTAGTATTAATTGACTGAAGAAAACAGGGGGAGATACTCACGTCAAGTGCTGGTGCCCATCTGCCAGCTTCGACCTGGGTCTTTGCTTCCATCATGCGCAGGAGCAGACCGCATGCTTCCCGGTTGACGGGCCGAACCTTTCCATAGTACATCTCGTTGGAATCGTACAGGCTGATCATGTTCTTGGCAAGGACACCTGGGTCATCCACGGAGGTCAGGCTCAGGCTGCTTCCTTCCACGGCACCTGCCTGGTCATCCCTCGGACGCAAAGGTTGCAGCTTTGGCAAAGCACCACCCAGTTCGACCGCAACGGCATCCGACAAGGCACGGTTGATGATATCAATGACCCGATCGTAGTTCTCGGCCAGATGGTAGAGGAGGACAGCGTCAGCGATCAGTCCCTTATCATCCGCCACGGCAGCTGCTTGAATTGTGATGGTCTGGAGGAATTCTTCCTGGTCCACCAACTTGATCAGATCCAAACGCTGTTCAATAACGCCCTTCAAGCGAGTGCCATCGGCACGAATATCACCGAGCAGTTTGGCAAAGTCTCTGGTTTCCAAGATGAATTCTCGGAGAGCCTCATGGCAAACAGATGCCTGTGACTTGCCCAGGGCGCCGGGGAGATCGGCGTTCAGACATATCAGCGTGAAATAGTCAATGGCGGCTTCAACGAATCCAGTGCGGAACTCGCGAGTGTACTGGGTCAAGAGATAGCCGAAATTGATCTGGGGGTATTGCTTGACAGTGAACGATACTAGAATGATTGTCAGTAAATCCATTTCCCCCCCTCTCGTGGTGACTGCGGGTGATGCTTACAGATTTCTTCCCCGGATGTGTAGAAGTCCGACACGCGAAGAAGACCGTAGTAAGAAAGCGCAATGGCGAAATGGACAGCCGTCACGGGGGCAAAAGTACCAAGGTAATGCACTGCCTGTTCGAACATTCCTCCTAGGATCTGCAGCAGGAAATAAGTCCCGTAACCACCGGGCCCGTCGTGGCCCTTGACAAAGACTCTTTGGCCAATCTCCTGGATGTCGGTCTGGATATCTTCGAGGCCGAACACGTCACCTGCGACCTCTTCCGTGCGGTCATCCTCTCTGGCGAGGCTGAACTGCAACCACATCCAATCTTCGACTGTCTGCTTCACGCCATCCAGGCGACGGCGTGAGAGATCACAGCGACCAATGATTTTGTAACAGGCCATCCTGTAAGGATCGACAGTGTTTTCGGGTGCATTTCGAGAACGTTGCTGGAACTCGCCATTGATCTTTTGCTGGAGGTCCCGTGGGAGCCTCCTACTGTGTGCGTAAGTTGTCATGTAGGTCACAAACTTGTGATCGAGTGACCGGAATCCGCTGTCCCGACTGACGTACTCAGCAGCCTCGGTCACAAAGCCACATCGAAGGAGATAGAAAATGAGGATCCAGCAGTAATCCTGGTTCACCATTTGTAATTCGGTGCCATCCGGTACAAGGTCCTTTCTCGCAGCTTGAAGTCGGATGTAGGCACGGATCTTGTTAATCACGGTTGGGATACCTCCTAGTTGTGCCTCCCGTGGGTTTTTGGTAATGGCGAGTTCCACTTCCTCAAAGAAGGTCCTCTCTAAGAAATTCCTTGAGCCTTCGAGGATCTTTTTCTTGAGATCGATTGCGTTACGGGACTTCGATGATTCTTCGAGGTACATCTCAGAGTATTGACGCTCCTTGATCGCCCCGGGGTCTGAAGGGCTGAGAATCCGAGGGCTCTCGCCCACAATTCCCACCAAGGCTTGATACGCGTCGAACAGTTGGCGGGGGACCTGTCGGTGATCAGAGTTGGAGTCGATGCGGTGGGGGTGTTGACTTACATCGCCGCCGTGTAGGACCTCGACGGACGAGAATTCATCGAGAACGGGATAACATTTTTGTTGGAGCCTAGCGAGATTCAATTGCTGAACCTTCTCGGCGTAGTGACCCATTTTCTCGCGTTGGAACCTAGAATCGGGCGAGTGAGAAGGAGCTCCTTCGTTGCGCTCTGCGGGATCTTCGAAAATTTGCCGGCTGGCCAAACCGACTCCAGGGGTTCCGATGACCGACTTTTCAAGTCCCGAACGCCCAAACACACTTCTACGGGATGCACCTGAGGGTCCGTTGGCTGGGCCTGCACCGGCTTGCTTAGACTGTCTGGTAGATCGACCAAAGCCACCTCTGGCGGTAGCATTCAGCCCTCCAGCACCGGTGGCATCCTTCTGCGATAGTCCGAAATGTTGGAAAATATTCTGACGTTGTTCCTCCCAGTCCAGGTCAACCTTCTCTTCCAGGAATGTATCGAAGTCGCGGTGGGCTCTGGTAAGACTTTCGGCGATCATGACTTGCCGGCCGCGTTGCTGGATGCTCCGCAAGAAACGCTGGTTGTCAGGGTCAAAGTTGTCCAAATCTTTCGTTGGGGTTGCTAGGGAGGCTTGGGGATCCAGTGATTTGAGATCGCGCAATGCTCGACCGGGAGAGATACCGGATGCAGCAAGTAGATAATGGCTGTTGATAGTATCGCGATTAGCCACGGCAAACCTTGAGACACATATATGAAGAAGAAGAAGAAGAAAATCAAGGTACTCACGCCTTGGTACTCTTGCCATTGGGGGTGTCTTTCTGTCCACCTGAACCCAATTCCCTGGCCTTTCTCCGAATATCATCCAAACCTAATTGAAGACTGGGCACTTCTTCAAAGCTGGTGTTTTGATTGACCGATGTCAAGGGCCTTTTTTTGCCACGCTCCAAGAGGCTGTTGAAGAATGCAGGTTGTGTTGATTGACTTGGGTTTTGGCCTTGAGTCTGCCCTAGGATCGGTGGCTGTTGCTGCGCCTGCGATTGGCCCCCAAACAAGCTTGAGTTCTGTGCGTTCTGCTGGGCTTGGGCCTGTACCTGTTGTCCTCCGAATAATCCCCCAGAAGGCGCGGGTTGCTGCTGCTGGGCTTGGGCCTGTTGTCCTCCAAATAGACCTCCCGTTGATGCGGCGGGCGCTGGAGCCTGCTGACCTCCGAAAAGACCTCCACTTGGCGCGGGTTGCTGCTGGGCTTGGGCCTGCTGGCCTCCAAATAGACCCCCCGTTGGCGCGGCGGGCGCCGGAGCCTGCTGGCCACCGAAAAGACCTCCACTTGGCGCGGGTTGCTGCTGCTGGGCTTGGGCCTGTTGGCCGCCGAATAGACCTGATCCTTGCGAGCCTTGTGTACCTGCTCCAGAGAGACCGCCGAGTGTCAACTTAGGCTGGGATCCGAGGGGGGTTGCGGTCGAATTGTTTCCGCCAAACAGACTAGTTGACTGGGGGGTGGTTGAAGCCCCTCCGAAAAGGGAGCTGGTGTTTGAAGTCATGACGGCTCAATGTTGTGATATGTGATGTTGACAATGCAGGGCCACTACCTTTATGTTTTAGTAATGTGTTGAAAACCAGGGAGTAGTTGATCGCAGACAGGGAAGAAACTTGACCATAGCACGTACCTCAAACTCGACCCTTGTTTTTTGTTAACTGGAGTGTAGTGATCTTCAAGCTTCAAGCTTTAGAGATCAGTGAGGGAGCTTCAAAAACCCCGGAGTTCAAAGTGACATGCGCCCGGTAGAGAGTGAAAGTTGGGCTTTGAACGGCAGATTGCAGAGTGAAGAAGCTCCATTCTAAACAATTCCTCTCGGGGCCACGGATCATCTATTCTCCACCTCCAATCTACTATCAACATTCTACGTTTCTTTCCTCTCGTCTCAATAGCACTCAATAGGAGCGTATTGATCTGCTACCATGCCTGTCTTTCAATCAAAAACCTTTCGCCGTACGACTACCGGGTCCTCGACCCTCGGGGAGCGACTCGGCGCATTCTATCGGGCCAAATTAATGCGACACCCGTTCATTCTCTTTGGACTCCCATTCATTAGTGTCATTGTAGCTGGATCGTTTGCCTTGACACCTGCGGCTGCCCTCCGCTATGAACGCTACGACCGCAAGGTCAAGCAACTCAGTCAAGATGAAGCATTTGACCTTGGACTCAAGGGCCCTGACGGGCAAGAAGGAATCAAACGGAACCCGCGGAGACGGATTGTAGGGGATGAGAAGGAAGAATACTACGTATGTATCCAGAGACTCTCATTGAATGTTTATGTAGCTGATTCACCACGCAGAGACTCATGGCCAAAGACCTTGATCAATGGGAGCAGAAGCGAGTGGAGCGTTTCAAGGGCGAACCAGATGGACGATTGTAATACGGCATGCCGAATCTTGACCAAATCTCGTTTCGTCTGCATGACCTCACCTGTATGAGATCATTGCCAGGGGAACACCTGTGGACACTGGTGGATACGAAGAGGTCGGAGGGGAACGCTCCTGGCCTCTCTCGCCATCTGCAGTGGCGTGCACAGAAAATGAACATACACAGTCCTACTGCATTGCCTCGGTCCTGCGCCTGTGTCGGTACCCAAGTGCCCGTGTGATTCTATCCGAAGGGGATGGGAATGGACTTTCTCATTCCGTCATCTTGACGAATCCAACGATATTGAGGACACACACGAACAGAGAGAGTGTGTGTGAGAAGAAAACTATACAAGCCTCTTTCTCCTGCCAATATCATGTCTCCCAGATTCGTGGGGATGTGATGTGACTCGGCCTCAGATTCTCAGGCCTCTACAGTGGATATGGCGTAGAGGTCTGGAGTAGATGTGATATCACTTGAGGTCATGTATAGTACTGGGATACCATATGTATATGTATATAATCAATATAATATCTGCAATATACTTGTAGCAATATATGAAACTATCAAGTACATAAGAAAAGTACAAAACACTACGTCAGAGAACCGAAAACCCCGTGATCCCCACGCAACGTCATAACTTTTCCTTCTCGAATTTCTGTCGATTATTAATGCCCATGACACGCCCATTTTGAGAGACCTGTTCGTTCCATTGGCTTACCCTTGTTGGCTGGGCCCGGTCTATTCGCTTCTTATTGCCCCTCTCCCTCCTCGTTTGGATCTCCTGGGGGCTTACGTCAAACTTGATATTTCTCGGTGAGCGCTGCATTTTGGTCTGATCGGAGTGATTTTAAGCTGATCATGACAGAATTCGGAGTGCAACCTACTATGACAGGCCCACGCTCACCCTCCTCCCCGTGGGTGCAGAGTCCCCAGATTCATCGTGACGGCGCACAGTCCTTCCAACCGAGCAAATCGCCGTCGCATGCGGGCATGATGTCAAACCCTCTCGATCGACCGAGTCCCAATTACTTCGGCATGAGTTCACACACAACCGCCAACCACCAGACCTCCAATACAAGTCCCGTCCAGAAGAACTGGGGCTCATCACCTCCCCAATCTTTCCAGAGTCCGATGGTGCACGTTCATCCTCAGGAACTGGTGTCGGCGGGGCTGGTCAACATGTTGAAGACCGAGCCTGAAACGAACCGGATACGTCGGGAATCAACTTTCAATGAAGCCTCCAACGGGAAGCAAATCAGTCCAGGGTCAACGTCCTCACCTTCCTATCCGCTGGGGGGTTTTTCATTAGGACTACCCAGCGGGCCCAGGCAAGGCAGAAACTCCGTCTCCGCAGGTAAACTGACTCGACCCGATCGATTTGATATATGCTGACTCTCCCTAAGAAGCAACTCTCGCGTCATTTCCATGGGTCTCGCCCGACCGCTGCGCCGATCTGCTAACCACCTCCCAGTCAGATACCATGCTATTTGACGTTCGACCGTTTGCTCACTTCAAGAACGCCAACATCAAGGGATCATTGAACTTATGCATTCCGACCACACTACTCAAACGCCCTTCATTTGACACCAAGAAATTATCAAGTACCTTTACAAACGACGCGGACAAGCAAGCCTTTACTCATTGGAAGAACTGCAAGTTTATCATTGTCTATGACTCCGCGTCTACGGACACCAAGGATGCAGTACCTCTTCTGAATGTACTTAATAAATTCAAAGCAGAAGACTGGAAGGGTGATGGGTTGGTTCTTCAGAGCGGCTTCCAAGGATTTTCGAAGCAATTCCCGCATTTGACCCAACAAGCGTCAGCGCAAGCGACCGGCTCGTCTTCCAAGCGTCCTGGGCCGATGGGAATCAACTTGTCATCGGTGGCTCCCGTCGTTGGTGGTTGTGCCTTACCAGAATCAACGTCAGCTGCCAACCCATTTTTCGGGAATATCCGACAGAATATGGATCTTCTGGGTGGTGTTGGGCAGATCCCACTGAAACAGCCGGATCAAATGACAGATACGAAGCGACAGCAATTGCCTACCTGGCTACGGGGCGCTTGTGATGCCAATGACAAGGGGCATATTGTTTCTAACAAGTTCTTGGGCCTGGAGAAAACCGAATTAGAACGCATGAAACAGGCTTTGACCTATGAGGGTCCATCGGCAGAGGTCAGCGGCAGCTCCAAGAAATATCGAGTTGCAGGCATCGAGAAGGGCACCAAGAACCGATATAACGATATTTATCCGTTTGATCACTCCCGTGTCCGACTTGAGGGAATCCCATCTGGGGCCTGTGACTACGTGAATGCGAATCATATCTCGGCCGAACTCACCCACCGCAAATACATCGCTACACAGGCGCCCGTGCCCGATACTTTCAATGTAAGTACTCTCCATTGTCACTTGTTATGGTTTCTAACACACGCAGGACTTCTGGCGTCTCGTGTGGGAGCAGGATATCCGACTTCTTGTATCTCTTACTGCAGAGGTTGAAAGGGGACAGGTGAAGTGTGATCGCTATTGGGAGTCTGGGGATTACGGACCCTTTGAGATCAAGGCCTACTCGGAAAAGTACATATACATCGAAGGTCAAGGTCAACAACCCATTGATCCCAGCACGGGAAACCTTAAGACTACCAGCGAGAAATGGGATGCGACGAATGAAAACCCAGTCATCATCGTGCGACACTTCAGCATCCGCCATACATCATTCCCTTTCCAGCCGCTCCGAGATATCACCCAGCTCCAGTATCCTTACTGGCCCGATTTCGGAACAACATCTCAACCTACTCATCTTCTTCACCTGATTGAGCAATGCAACAAGGTTATCCGTGCCACCAGCAACCCCGGCTTTAACAGCGAACAACCGGAACCTAGGGGTCAACGGCCGGTCTTAGTGCACTGCAGTGCCGGCTGTGGGCGTACGGGAACTTTCTGCACCGTCGATAGTGTACTGGACATGCTGAAACGACAGCGTATGCATGTCAGTGGACACAGAGACGCGAGTCAAAACCCCACTGACAACCTCGAGTGGGTTGGAAATCTGAATCTCGACCTTATCGCAAAGACTGTTGAAGATTTCAGACAACAGAGACCGAGCATGGTCCAGAACCTGAGTCAGTATGCGCTTTGCTATGAAAGTGTGCTCGAGTGGCTCGTCGCTCAAATGAAGTAGGGCCTTTCAACCGGTCCTACCCTGATATTTCTTTCTTTCTTTCTTTTCTTTTCTGCTATGATGATGATGAAACCGGGATACCCCTCTCCTCTGCCCTTCATTCTCAGGGCCATGGCTCTTTTTACATGTACAATGCCATACAGCTCGTGATTCTGCATTTCCTGGTGTTGGGACGGACACAAAAGAAAAGAGGTAAAAAACTGGAGACACGAGCATGACATGATGTCTCTACGCTTTTACTTGCGTCACTTTGCATTATAAACAGCAATGTCTTGAGCCTTGATCAATAATATCTTTTGTTTTTGTTTTTTGGAATTAGTCGAAGGCTGATAGCTCATTTGTGATATCGGAACTATGCCAGGTCCATGCTTAACTCATTTCGTTCAAGTTGACATCTGGAGTTGAGGTCGACATGTACCACTCCACGGTCAGTGATTGCCACCAACTCGTGTTCCTCTGCGGTGAATCGTATCTGAGAGCAGACCGCGCCCAGGTCGAGGACCACGGGCCGCAGGACAATGGTATTTGTAGGGGACAACCATGACGATGGATAGAAGGTACTTTCGGGATCGAGAACTTCAGTAGGGTTCAGAGCCCAAACGTACAGCGTTTTCCAGTCAGCTATAGCAATTCGAGTCCCCAGACGTGAAGTCGCTACTTGAGACCCATGCGAGGTGGTCGATTCCTGGAAACCCCCGAGCTGCGCCATGACCTTCCAATTCTCAAAACGTCTTCCGCGGTCGAGGTTGGAAACATGGGTGCATCGCCGGGTGGGGAAAGCCTCGGACTTGAGGAGACATGCCACTGTCCAATTCTCAACTCGATGCGTTGCAGTTCCAAAGGCGAGATATTGCCAATGACAAGGAACCCCATTGGCAACATTGCCAGCCTCGTGGGTAGCGAAGAACGGTATGCCGATGGAAAACTGAAGGCTGAGATTCGGTGTGAATGGCACAGTACACCTGTTCGCGATCTGGGGGCCTGCTTGACCTCGCGTGGGGATAGTATGGAGTGCTCTGAAGGAGCCGTACAGGGATTGGGCCCGATAGTGGTACAGAAGCTGGAAGCCTCGGTCATTGAAAGCCAGCTTCACTGGAGGGCCCGTCACTCCTTGGATTGGGCGGTCGCGTGGGTTCATCAGGCGACGGAAATTATAAGGGGCATCTAAAGGTTATCAGCAAGGGTCTGAATCTGTTGGGGATCACACGAACCAACTATCTTGACATTTCTCAGCTCTTTGTTGCTGTCGTCCTCGGACTCGTCATCTTCGGAGCTCTCGTCGTCCTCGTCCTCGGACTCGAATTCGTGCACTTGGTAGAGGACGACGGCATGGTCAGAGGGCTCTTGTGCGTTTTGCCAGGAGATTGCAAACTGATCGCCGGCCACCGCCAGAGCTAGTGGGTTGTAATCCTGGTGCTCGGGGAAGGCAGACATGTGCACGGTGGTGTTTTCCAGGTTCAGGTCATGGTAGGCCAGGAAGATGCTCCCATTTGGGTGAGACTGCATGGCGTGTTGAACAAATGGATGGTCCGTATCGAGCTCTTGGTCTGGGAAAGGTTTGTATCGATGGAGCACGTAGACTCCATGGTCTCCGTCGAAGGCAGCCTGGATGACCTCAACCTCTCCGTTGTCCTGTCCCGGGGACGCCCATTTAGCCTCTTGAATCAATTTTCCATCATGCATCTTCACTAGATAGACGGTGCTGTGATTTTTGAAGACCAGCAATGCGCGATTGCTTTCTCTTGGTGACTCGAATGCAGATGCACGGCTGTCGATGGCCTTGGGGAATCCATAGGTGGTGAATTTTGAAGTTTCTGCCCCATCCAGCTGTGCATTGGACCGGCACCTCAAGATGGTATAGAGATCATTGGTGCGGAGAGTGTCGAGATCATCAATCCACCCGGGAGTGTGGTATAACCGATGAAGTATCACCTCCCGGCTGCCACGGGCAATCTCATACAGCCTGCGACATGCTTGAGCTACTTGAAAGAAATCTGGGGTCTCGCAATTTAAGAGAATGAGCTGAATGAGCTCAGTTGGTAAATGAAGCATTTTTCTGGGTAGTGGATCTATGCAGTCAGTTTGGTTTTATAAGTTGGAGGTGGTGCACGGACATCTTGTTGCCTACTGTTTAGGTACCAGCCCAGGCAGAGAAGGTGGATATCTTTCTTTCTTTCTTTTTTGGAGAGGCGAAAACGTGAGGTGAAGGTATGATGCATGCAGATTGAAAAACAAAGTGGGGAGCTGTGTTAACATGCGGCTGAGAACTTCCGTATCTGGCAAGATGTATATATCCAAGACTATTGCAATAATTCATTAATTACATCAAAAATACATCAGCCCTGTACATACGGAGTAGACTGCTCAAATAAACCGTGGATGACTGTTAGTATACAACTACACTATGGCATCATATAAATATAGCTTTGTATTGAACAATTGATCAAATCCCAAACTGGAAGTCTGGTGTTTACGTGTATAGCGTGTAAAGGTCAAATTGTTTGGGATACCCGACACCTGTGGTATTAGCCTGGCAATATTTGTCACTATTTGAACGGGTCATTTTGATATCTCCAGGGCTGCTACAGAATGAAATATGAAATTATTATCTCAGGATTTGAAAACGCTCACTATCCAGTCTCTATTCGTATATTTTCATATAATTTTTCTTACTATTCTAGATCATTTGAAAGCTGTAGGTAATAGCGATAGATCGTGTACATAGAAAACTGCAGCCCAGCCTGAATGCCTTGCTTATAATAACAAGTTAGACATCTTGGCTGGTTTGAATAACTTCACTATCACCAAATTTCAGTTATGATACTCGGTATAATTAGAGCGGTGGAAAGTCCGGTCTATATGCCAGACACTTCTGACCCTATACACCTCCGTATGTGTCATTTCACCATAGACCGAGATCCGAAGATGTATGAAAGTGCTGGCACTGTGCCACGGTGGCTCCCACACCTAGGAAGAGTCCATATAACACTTGTTCGGGTTTCCTCGGCACAAAGTGCGGTTGTTCGCAGATCCTCCCATACTAAGTAGATTCCCAGATTTTGTGATTTGAAACCAAGTATTGCAATTCAATCTATCAGTTGTGTAATATACCAAAGCAGATCACTGGCCTTCTCCGCCGCCGCCGGACATGGTGAGGAAAGTCACGATGAGAAGAACCCACCAGTACCTAAGAATTTATAGTGATTAGCAAGTGAACAACACCGGGCACTCTTCGATATGACTTACTTTTGCAAGAGGGTCTTCTCTTCCGGCTGCTCGGGGTTTTGGCCGTCCGGCCCAACCACAATCGGCCGGTTCAGGTGAGGCTGAGTTCCAGGTTCATCAAACACAATCTGGACTTGTGCAGCAGAGGCTGACTCTTCAGGGGCGGAGAGGGAAACGTGGTAGACCTCGTTGGCGGAATCGAGGTGGAGGCGGAAGGTTGGGTGGCCGATCAAGGTAGACCGCGACACGAGGCTTCCGACCCATTGCTTGGTGTTGGTGGAGGTGGTGGTATAGAGGCCAATCCGCACGAGATCATCTTTGAGGTCCTTGGGAGGGTGGAACGCGACGTCGGATTTCAACGTGGTCGGATCGTAGGAGACGCGGGCGAGGAGGGAGGGTTGAGAGCCCACGGGCCAGTACAGGAGATCGGTTGCGAACGCATTGGCGGATAGGAGCAGCGATAACACGCTGAGGAGGAAGGGGAGGTATCTCATCGTGGGGATGCGAGTGGGAAGAAGTTGGTGAGCGTCCGAGCTCCGCCCACAAGCGGAGAAGGGTCTTTCTCCGTACACTTTCAATTATTTTGGGAGAATATAAATAATCTGTTTCTACGTTCAATGGATATTTAAATAACTTTAGAAATTAAAACCATTAGAAGGTGGATAGCAGTATAGTAGTATAGCAGCAGAGTAGTCGAGTGTGTATAGCGTCATAATTAGTGACCTAGCATAGAACAATATAGTACATACTGAGTACATATTGCATAGTTGGGATATTAAGTACCTAGAGGTATTCAAAGTAAATAGAAGTACCACAGATGAGCAAATTCTACTTCATGTGCGATATATCCAATATCTCGCTCTATAGGACGTATCATTATGCAGCCCTGTTGGCTTAGATCCAATTGGTTATATAACACGAAGACATGGAAATAGATAATAATTGGTCGGGCACAGAGAGAGACAAGGATATAGACCTGATGTGCCGGCCAACTTTGTTCCGAGCCCCCTCCACACAGCTCTCTTTGCCTCCCACTCGAGATACACAATTATAAGTAAGTGGACATGTCCCGGGGAAGACTTAGCCACTAATCTAGACAGACCCTTGGAACGTGCCAAAGCTCTCATCATGGCATCGCTTCCTTATCGACGCGCCTCCCTCCAGAGCTCCCGCAAAGCATCCAGTGACCCCCGCGAGGACCTGGCAGTCCACATGGACCACTATATTGGCATTGACGTTGGCACCGGCAGTGCTCGTGCTTGTATCATCGATGCCAAAGGCGATATTGTGGGATTGGCCTCTGAGAACATTGGTCTCTGGCAACCGGAGCATGGTTACTATGTCAGTTATCGAACAACCGAGACGCGGGCAGCGACCTTCAAACTGACCGATCCCTACAGGAACAATCCACTTCTGATATATGGCATTGCATCTGTGTGGCAGTCCAGCGTGCAATCAGTCAACACAACATTCACCCCGACACAGTCCGGGGTATCGGATTCGATGCGACGTGTTCTTTGTCGGTCTTTTCCAACGAGACCGACGAGCCCATCTCCGTCACAGGTCCGAACTTTGACTCTGACCGTAATGTGATCTTATGGCTGGATCACCGCCCTGTCGAGGAAGCTGAGAAGATCAACGCTACTAACCACAATCTGCTGCGCTACGTGGGCGGGAAGATGTCCGTGGAAATGGAGGTTCCGAAAGTCCTATGGCTGAAGAACAACATGCCCAAGGAACTGTTTGACAAATGTAAATTCTATGACCTGAGTGATGCTCTGACCCACATTGCTACTGGCAATGAGAAGCGAAGCTTCTGTAGCGTGGTCTGCAAGCAAGGATTCGTGCCCGTCGGTGTTGACGGGAGCGTGAAAGGATGGCAAGAAGACTTCTTGCAGGATATCGGCCTCGGTGACTTGTCGGAGGATAACTTCAAGCGCATGGGCGGAGTCGACGGGGTGGTGAGCCTGTCCTTACATTGAAGTAATATCTTGGCTAACAAAAGTGATAATAGAACGGTGATTATCTGAGTGCTGGAGAACTGGTAGGCACTCTTTGCGACAAAGCTGCCACCGAGCTCGGTTTACCAGCCGGTATTGCCATCGGAAGTGGTGTCATCGATGCCTATGCTGGCTGGATCGGCACCGTTGGATCCAAGGTCGACCTTGACCCTGGTCAAGCAAGCACCGGTGTCCCTAAACTGGACAGAACCGAGGCTTTCTCTCGTCTTGCGGCAGTCGCGGGAACCTCGACCTGTCACCTCGCCATGTCCCCAGACCCCGTCTTCGTCGACGGTGTTTGGGGGCCATACCGGGATACAATCCTGCCCGGCTACTGGATGGCGGAAGGAGGGCAGTCTGCCACTGGAGAGCTGCTCAAGCATGTCATTGAGACTCACCCGGCGTTTAATCAAGCCCATTCAATTGCCGAGTCATACCATGCAAATATCTACGATTATCTGAATGAGCATCTCAAAGAGATGGCTCATGACCAAGGTGCACCATCTGTGTCTTACTTGGGACGACACTTCTTCTTCTACGGTGATCTATGGGGGAACCGATCTCCCATCGCAGACCCAAACATGACTGGATCGATTTTCGGCCTCACCAGTGACAAGAGCGTAGATGGGCTTGCCATCTACTACTACGCGACGTTGGAGTTCATTGCCCTGCAAACCAAACAGATTGTGGAAACGATGAACAAATCGGGACATCGCATTACCTCGGTCTTCATGTCTGGTTCACAATGCCAGAATGACATCTTGGTCAATCTCGTTGCATCGGCGTGTGACATGCCGGTGTTGATTCCAAGGTACATCCATGCTGCAGTGTGTCACGGTGCAGCTATGCTAGGCGCAAAGGCCGCCAGCGCCGATGCTCAGGGCAACACCGAGGATTTATGGGATATCATGGACCGGATGAGCAAGCCCGGCAAGAAAGTGATGCCCACCAAAGACAGCAATGAGAAGGCCTTGCTCAAGGTCAAGTACGAAGTGTTCCTGGAACAGTGCTTCAAACAGCAGAAGTATCGAAGCATGGTGGATGAAGCTGTGGGGACCTGGAAGTCTACTTGATCTCTCTTACGCTTGAAGCGAATCCCATCCAGAATGCAAGTAGCGAGCAAAAGTGTTTGACAATACAAAATGAATATCTAGTGCGAGTTCTACTTATCACAAGCGGAGAAGGGTCTTGTAGTTTACGTCTTCAAATAATATAGGCAGTCTATATGAATTACATGCGCTCGTTTGTTTCCACTCGCATGTCCATGATCGATGCTCCACCGCTTCATACCACACCAGTGAACGAGGATGGGATACAGGCCTCTTTTTGGTTGAGGGCAAGACCGGAATAATTCGATTTCACCTCACTTCACTTGACCGAATTCTCATTCAATTTTACTTTACTCAAGCTCACTTCATTTGACCTCACTTCACTTAGCTCAATTGTGATCTAAGAAGTTATCAGTATAACTAAATAGAGTATAGTACTATACTAGAGTATAAATAGATATCTTCTTCTTCTTCTTCTTCTTCTTCTTCTTCTTCTTCTCTTCATCACCACCATCATCATCTTCTTCTCTTCTTCTCCCTATCCTCTCCCTATCCCAGTTCCAATTATTCTCATGACATACAAAGGTCAGTTGACTTCCTAGCTTCCTAACCCTGAGACTTATAGAAAGTCCTCTTCTAACCTTTTGTGTTTAGGCTTTTACATACCCCACCTTACCCAATATCAACAACATATCTCAGCTAGAACGGATAAACAAATCCTGTTGCATCGGAGAGGAGTCCTCATGACAAAGGACCCTGATCCCAATGAAGGAGCGCGAGTATCGCAAACGAAGGCCAACCAGGATACGATTGCCCAGCTCGAGGCGCGGAAGCTCATCTTAAGGGCTGGGGTTGAAGAACGGAAGAGACCGGCGACGGGGACTCACCAGAAAACAGATGCACAGGTTCTCGCGGAGGGCCTTATCAAAGACATCATGAGAAATTACAAATGGATTTAAAGAAATCCAATGTTTCTCACCGCATATTGCCCAAGGGTCTGGGGTGGTGTCATCAATCAAACCACATAGGCCCAAGGGCGTATGCTTGGTTGAGTGAGCATGGTGCAGACCTCGAGATCGCCGGCGCCTGGTTTGATAATACCATCGATGACAAGGAGGTCACCCCAGAGATGGGGAAGAAGTTGGTGAGCGACTACAACCGTCTCCTTACTGTCCTTGATCGCCACCACTGGGCGATCGCGGGGGTTCCTCGTCGATCAGAAAGAACGACGAACTTAGTGTAGCCGATCACACCGATGACACTGGAGTTTATGACGAGTAGCGGGCGCATGGTGACGAAGGAGATCCCATCGTCATCGAAAGTGGCAGCGACAATGAGTTGTTTGTGGACCAGAACCTGAACAAGACTGCTCAGAACTCAGCCATCACAAACGTAGTCACTCAACCTTTATCCAGGTCGGCTCAGTCTTCGCTGTGGGGTCATGCTTTCCTCAGTGGCGAGAGTTATGACTGCCAAAATATGACACCTACTGAAGCCTCTGAGTTTGCCCGCTGGAGTGGAATACACGGGGAGAGCGCTCGTCAGACTACCGAGGAATTGAACATGGTGTACGCGGTGGGCTCACAGGACGGTGACCAAGAATCGAAACACGACGAAGAATCTGACTATTCCACCGTCGACTCCCTTTCCAGTTCGGAGGATTCTCAACGAGCGAATTACTCTGATGCCCGGGATTCCTTGATGGATTCTTTGTTGGATGAGCCTCTGCGCCAACAGCCGACCAAACCACAAGGCTCTTCGCAGGCCAAATCATCATCACAACCCAAGGCCCAGCCTTCCACCAAGAAGGTCACTTCTAAAGTCCCCTCCAACCAAACGCTGAAACCGGAGGCTCATCATCAGACAAGCATCCGCAGCAGTCTAATCTTCAAACCCTCGCATCACAAGCCGCCGAAGTGGCATTTGCACAGCAACGTGCCGCGGAATCCACGAGACCATTGCAGCCAACAGCTCAGCAAGGTCCACTGCTACCTGGACTCCGGGGTGCAACCCATTCTCGGGGCTCCTCGTTGCAAACTGTTATAGGATCAGCGATACCAGTGCAGCCAGCAGCTCGCAATCCTCATGTCACACCACCTGGTCAACAGCGCACTGGACAGATTGCTGAAGCCCATGGCCTTGCTGGGGTCAGGCGCAATGAAAAGCTGGATGATCCAGAGGCCACCACGAATATTGCGAAGAAGTTGGTGAGCGACTATGACCGTCTCTTCGCCGTGCTTGATCTCCACCACTGAGCGATGGCGAGGGCACAAGGCAGACCAGCATCGACTGGTAGTGCAAAGAACGATGGGCCGATGACTATTGACACCGACTGCCACCGAACCAATTGGCGAGCCAGCGATGGGCGATGGGATAGCAATAGGCCGGCTGAGTGCACGGAAGTATATAAGTGACAGAACGGTCAGAGATCAAGTACATCAATCATTATCATTACCTCCTACCAAACCAATTCATAGCTATCATTAAAGTAAATCAACCAGACCCGTCCCTAGAAGATGAGAAAGCTCTGATTCCTCCGACTCAGACATCACGAACCCGGTCATTGCTTCATCCCAGATCGTACGCCAATCCAAGCTGTCAAAGTCAACAAAGAAATAGTCAGCTAACATGAGAGAAACTTGCTCCCAAGATTGCCATCCGTAGATCATTGAGACACGGGCTAAGCGTTCCACAAACCAGGGTCTTTCAATATGACCAAGAGAGCCCTGGGCCCCAATGAACAACGCCCAGACGTAGGCCTGAATGCTTTCCTTCGGTAGTTCCCAAAGAAATGACAGATCGCACTTGGTGGCTGCCGTCTTGAGATGCTTCGTCAGGGCTCGACCCAATCCTGACGATGAAGGGGAGACGATGAGAATATGGTTGAGAAAACATATAGAGGCCACTCTGATGACCCCCTCAACAGGATGCAGACTAGCTTCCGGGTCGGGAGATTTGTCTGTATATATGTAACTGAGCAGCTGGTGCTCTGCTTCGCAGTTCAGAACGCGGAAGAAGTCGTGATCGCTTGCATGTATCACTGCTGGATTAGTCTGTTGAGCGATACTGAAGAATACCATGTCTCGGAGGACACGCAAGATTTGCAGTAGAGAAGGACTGAGAAAGGCATTGGCAAAGAAACCCGATCCTAGACGCTGGAGAGGCGACGACGCAGGCGGCCGAATTCGCACCTGGATATCCAACGGAATGGGCTGGGCATCCCATGTCAAATTGAAAACAGGCTTGGTCATTAGGCCTGAGGCAGCCTTGACGTCAGTCCTGAACAGCGGTCAGATGGGTTCTATTTGTGTGTGACGGGGGTCTTACGTGATAATGGCAGCTAGCATTGAAGAGGAACGGATGCTATCGTCGGTGATTCCACCTCGCATGTCAACCATACGTTTCAGCCCTGTTAGGTGAGTATGGACTTCGTTGAACTCGCCAATGATGAGCTAGCACTGGTCAGCCGTCATGGCAATAGAATTCTCGCAATGAGGACACATACCGAACCAGTGAGAAGATTGATGATGGTATCAATCGCCTCGTTACTGAGTTGACGAGTCGGATCCCGTACTTTGGCGCTCATTTCTTGAAAAGACATTGCTTTCATCGTGCAGTAGTCAGGATCATCGACAAGTAAGGCTTCTCGGCCAGTCTCTGAATCAAAAACCCCTGAATGCTGACTTGCAACCACAGCTCGGTGTGCAGCACACATGCTCATCAGACCGAAGAAACTGCCTGGATCCGAGAATGAGGTGCGGACCATCAGCTCCATTTCTTTGGTCCCATTTTGGCTTGTGTTGGGAAATGTCATTGGGACAAATACTGTTTTCCCTGCATCCTAAAGTTAGCTTTAGCCTCAAACCCCTCGAATGAGCGCCCACAGAGCTAAGAAAAAAGGACTGTGGTACCACTTACAGTGGTATAACAAAGGTGCAACCACCGAGGCCAGTCTAGTAGTACCTGGCAATGTGAAGAAAGGATCTAGGAACCATGTCCGGGGAGGGTTAGGGGTCGAGTGGAGAGGCAAAGGATACCCAGCGCTCCATCTGTCTGGGCGTCCTCTTTGGTATATTGCAGGCAGAAGGCTATCGGGATCACTCAGAAGTGTCGGATTTGAGGACTGAGACGACGCCCGTAGAACAACGCTGTGTTCATTGCTGTCAACGACCTTAGAGGCATTTTGTCCACGGTTCTGTCTCGATGTACGTTTCAATCCGGCCAGTCTCTCCCGTCGACGTACATCGCGCATGACATGAGAGCGAATGGCCTTACGGGCATTGACATCCTTGATTCTCTTCGAAGTCAAATCATCGTCGTGATCAATGAAGGTGAACGAGGGCCGGTCCAGCGGCGCGGACTTTGTTTTGTGCTCTAACCGGAATAGTTTAGCTCCAGCCTTGGTCAACGCTGGCCCCGTCGAACGGTATTGTGGCACCCTGATATCCCACCTCGAAAGCCCGTAGACAAATTGGAGGCCAAGGAATGTGTGGAATAAGGGGGAGCACACATGGTTGCCCCTGCAGCTCGAATATCAGAAAAGCACTGACCTGAAGGGGTATGTCGAGACGAGCCCGCAAAGGTGAAAGGCTGCAGATCATCCATCAGAGGCAAAAGACAGAGACACAGACACCCAATGAAGGAGTGGAAAGAGACTATGCAGTGGGAGAAGGCGGATTTAGAAGAGAAAGGAGATAGTTACGTTGCCAATGCGCGGGGTGAGCACAAGCCCAATCCAGTCCTTTTCGTATAGATCCGGTGCTCCAACGGTGTAACAGTCCATCTATTTGTTTCGTCTTTGGTAATTGGGAGTCCTTGTTTCATTCCAAATACTCGACTCAAATGTAAATCCCATTGTCTCTTTTAATATTGATAATTTGCGCCCAATGTGATGTGCAACCCGCTAAGACAAACAAACAAAAACGACAAAGCATAGGTCAACTTGAGGACCAGACATCGCAAGGGGTATTTAATTCTTAGGCTCGCACATCGTTCAGCAGTCGTGAGATGAGCGCATATCCGAAGAAGAGCGCTACACCGACCCAAATTTTGTTTCGTCCAGCCCAACCGGCCTCTCGCGCAACTTGTCCATCCATGACGGCACCGAGTCCTGGCGCACTGCCGACAGGTCGTCGACGGAGAGCGCTTGTTTCAGGGGAGCATTTCGTAGGTGCATTAGGGTCAGGCAAGAGCTGACCAGTAGTGGTGTCGATGCGGTGTTCCTTCATCCATTCCCAGTTCTCCTGGTCCAACTCGGGCCATTCAGTGCGGAACTTCAAACCCCCATCGCCTGCCTTGACATTGTTGATTCCCTTGGAAGTCCGAGTGACGCCTGCGGTGGCGCTCACATGAGAGCCTCCGCCAGTTGAATTCCACCATCGAGATCGCGCAGCAAGCACTCTGCGCTCACTCTCTGTGGCACTGACACTACCAGTGGTCATCTCTTCGCTGGTCATGAAGGAGAGAAGGCCGATTAGGATTGTAGACACTTCCCAGGCGGGGTTGAAGGATTTAGGATGGAAGTCACTGATGCTGAGACAAAGTCGGGTCGAGGGTTGGAATCGACCGCTGGGTGTGTGCATGCGGATCGCGGGAGGAGCAAACGGATATTCAGGGGGAAGATCAGGGTGCCCCAGTATTGTCCGCTTTCATAAGGTGTTCCCGGGGGTCCTGTGAGGACATAATGCCATCTCGAGGTCACGTCAGCTTGGCGCATCCCGCAATGCGCCGCAAGGCGGGGGTGAGAACTCACTCTAAAATATTGGTCTCGGATGGGTGCGTGACAATGAAAGGTGTTGGGTCCTTCTGAATGTTTTGGTATTCACGGGTGAGCTGTATAGTATTGTCAGATTTGAATATGCAAATGGCCTGGTCTCGCCACATACCCGCTTAAAGGCCGCCTTGGTAGCCATCTTTCGGATGTCGAGACACGAATCACAAAGAATGCGCAGGGTTGTAGTCACAGCAAGGACGCTAATAGCTATAGGAAGCGAAAGTGAAGAGGACTGTAAGAAAGAGGGTGAAGGAGATCGAGACAATGCGGAGGGTCGATGTCGCCGTCACGTGCCACCGCATCTAGCGGCTTCGGCACGCGCCCCGATATGTTCCCCGGAGGCCGAAAGTTCTGGCCATTGCAGCCGCGAAAATGTCTTCTTTTGCCGGAGATGAAAGCGTATGGGCATCCTCCAGCTTGTGAGAGATTGTATTGCCGAGTGCTTCCACTGACTCATCTCTCACCTCTAGGTCTTCGAGCGTCTGCAGCAGCGCGCAGACCCCAAGGTCTTGGAAGAACAGCAACAAGCTGTGAACGAGCGTATGCAAGCTATTTACCAAAAGGCTCAAAACCGACTGGGGGAATTGGTATGTGTGTCTTAAATTCGAGTCCCATATAAGACCCTTTGAGACCAACTCGTGGGATTTACCGGCTAACCTGTGAATTTGGCGCTCATCTAGATCGACGAGAACTCCACTCTGCCATGCACTATTTCCTCTGTGCAAGTCACCAATGCTCCTCATACTCGCCGAAGCTTCCTTGAGCGCAGCTTGAACCCGCTCTTGAGTGCTAACAAGGGTCGCCCTTATACATTGTCCGAGGCGCTGCGGGAAGTATCGGCTGCCGCCGATAAGCTGGGACGATTCGGTATGGACACATGAAAGTGAATACAGATGTCGAGCGCTTTACTGACAATACCTTAGACCTATTCCACCAGCCTATCTCTGTCTACCTGGATGAGTCCAAGGACCAAAATGGAATGCGAAACATCGACGTGTATCTGGCCACGCGCGAAAAGTCTCGCGTGCTGCTGAAGACTGGAACTGACCTTGGAAATGCTGAAGGCTCGGCGTATGGAAACCTTCTTTGGCGTAACGTCTTCGGTGGTGCTGAGACCTTGAATCTGAATGCCTCTCTTGGCACACGCACACGATCTGCGTACCAGGCCGCGTTCGAGACCCCGATCCTGGGGGATCCCGACTTCCGTCTGGAGTTCGGTGGCATTGCAAGCTCGACGCACAAGTCTTGGGCGAGCCACGAAGAAGTTTTGAAGGGCGGTTGGAGCAAGCTCCGCTGGATGTCCAAATCCGGCCACCGTCATGAGTTGGGCTACAACGGGTTCTGGAGACAAGTGACCGGTCTCGCTGAGAACGCCTCTCCTACTGTTCGTGCGGATGCAGGCGATAGCGTGAAGAGTAGCATCTTCCACAGCTGGGTCAATGACCAGCGTGATAACGCCCTACTTCCGTCTCGTGGTTACTACGCCAAGATTTTCAACGAACTGGCTGGACTCGGTCCGCTCAAGGGTGATGTTTCCTTCTTCAAGTCTGAGATTGAAACTCAGGGCGCCATTCCCATTCCCATCCCGGGAATCAAGGGCGATAGCGGCGTCAGCCTCACCACTGGATTCCGTGCCGGTCTTCTCTACCCCCTGGGACTCGAATCCAGCACTCGACCTCAGCTTTCTCGCATCAATGACCGCTTCCAGCTTGGAGGACCTACCGATGTCCGTGGATTCCGTCTCTGCGGTCTTGGTCCCCGCGAAGGGGTCGACTCCCTGGGCGGTGATGTATATGCTGCCGGAAGTGCCAATCTGCTCTTCCCTCTTCCCCGACTTGGGGCTGAAAAGCCTGTTCGGTTCCAGGCCTTCTTGAACGGTGGCCGTCTTCTCCCCTTGCAAACCTCGCAAAAAACCGCACCTACCACTAATGGCGAGGCGCAGGATGCCATGGTCTCCACTCTCTCTGAACTCCAAAATGGCTTGCCCAGCGTTGCCGCTGGCTTCGGCATTGTCTACGCCCACCCTGTCGCTCGCTTCGAGCTTAACTTTTCGCTGCCTTTGGCCTTGCGGAAGGGCGAAGAAGGCCGCAAAGGACTCCAACTGGGCATTGGTATCAACTTCCTTTGAGCGCGTAGTAGACTTTTGAGCTCATTCATGTTATACAATAAGCAACTCTCCTCGAATTTGAACGCATAGCACCATCATCTTATATTTATGCCAATTGTAAAAGGATAGATCTTCAGGCGAAGTTATACTCCGTACCGACATACTACTTCTCGGCACCCCGGAGCCCGGGGGCCCGTGCGATGACTAATCCCGCCGTGAGGCCATTTGGAGCTTACCAGCTCTCGACAACAAACCGCCCTGCGCTTCATATCAGTTCACGTCAGCCAAAGCAGCATTCGCTCATTTCTCGCTGTCACACCAATGGCTCAATACTACCCCCAACAGCAGGGCTATGCCCCTCAAGGCTCCGCGCAAAATCTCCAGTTCTACCCCTCGTCCTACTCGGTCTCTGGCCACACGACACCTTCACAAGCATCCTACGGCGCAGGCTTCGGTGGTGCTCCCAACCCATCTGCGCAGGCATATCCTGCTGCTGGCGGCTATGGCTTCGGATCCCCGGCCGCCGGAGTCAGTGGACGCATGGGCGAGCAAGGCGGCCTGAGGACCGGTTGGTTAGCTGCGTTTGGCACCGAGGGGTATGACGGGGAGCCTCCATTGCTTGAGGAATTAGGTGTCAATTTTGAACATATTCGGACGAAGGTTCGTTGATCTTCCTCCTTCGCCGCGCACATTGCTAACTAAAGTGCGAATGTTTTAGACCCTGACCGTACTCAATCCCTTTGCTTCAATCGATAACCATCTTATGGACGATAGCGATCTCTACGGAGCACTCCTATACATCGTATTGTACGGCACCTTCCTACTTCTTTCCGGAAAGGTCTTCTATGGTTACATTTATGGCGTGGCTGTCTTTGGCACCGTTGCCTTGCACATGATTCTCAGCCTCATGTCCCCTGCCCTCGACACAGCTCCTACCCCCAACGCCGCGGACCCCAACAACTATAACCCTCACCACAAGCCATCCATCTCCAATGCCTCAACCGCGGGTCATTTCTCCGCTACTTTGACATTCCCACGCTCCGCCAGCGTACTCGGCTATTGCTTCCTCCCCTTGGTCCTCACAAGTCTGATGGGTATCCTCATTCCTATGGATACCCTGTTCGGATATCTGTTGACCATTGCTGCGGTTGGCTGGTGCACTTACAGTTCCTCGGGCATGTTCTGTTCTGTGGCGCGCATGAGTGGCATGCGGGGGCTGGTGGCTTACCCGCTGGCTTTGTTTTATGTGGTCTTTGGTATCATGGGTATCTTTTCCTCTCGTGGCTCTGGTTCCCTGGCTGCGAAAACAGGTGCGGCCTAGAGGGATCGTCAGATCTACCACCAAAACACATATAAGCTAGTGATGGAAATGTCATGGCATTGCCCTTGACTTTATCTTTGCATCTAATCATGAATATTATGAACTGTACTATTGTATTTCGTTATGCATTAGATCCGTCAACTCTTTAATGTAACCGCGCGCCTCCAAAATACACCCCCTCTGACCATACTGTTTCACATGTAAATTCATCATCTGTGTTCACTTCATCGAGTGGTTCAGGTGGCCTTGGTCGGCGCCCATTTTGATAGCCATTCTCTTGATTTCTCCAAATCACCACCAGCAGCTTCAACTCCTGCAATGCACCATGGCAGTTCAAACACCTTATCGTCCGAGGTGTCTGCCGCAATCAACTCTGCCAGATTTCGACGCTGATGACTTGTTTCATCAACACAGAAGTACAGTGGCTCCACATTGGGAGCATCTGGTTTAGTGTTGAGTACTTCGGCGAGAGGTTTGGTCACCTTCATGATTTCTGCAACGCTCATTGCGGGTGAACCAGCAGACGAAGTCATATTCTGTTTTGCTGTCTTGCAATATTTGTTCTGACACCATGGCTTGCCACATCCGGTCATCATCTGAGAGAGATAGCGGCGCTCAATGCGGCGCCGCAAAGCCTTCCCCTCTGGATCAAATGAGTCGACATACAGTGGCCCGAAGCAAAACCCACACAATCCGAGGGTGTCATTGCCGGGTTTGCTCACTGTACGGCCACAATTCTCATTCAAGCAGATGCGGGGCGTGGGTCTAGATGAACGTTCCAGATCGTGATGACGGAGGTGAGTGTTCATATCTCGCAGTCGGATGATCTTATTGCACAAGTGACATTCGGTGGTTCGTCCTCCATCTACAAGTTCATGAGGGGTCAGGCCAGAGAGCATCACCTCTGGGTCGTGGAACTCTGGGTCGGAATCGCCTTTTTGTGGCACGAGAAGATGACAGAACTGGCAAAGAATCAACTTCCCGGGGCAGTCTGTGGTGCGATGCTGAGCGAGAGCTGGTAGCCCTTCAAAGTCTAAAGCACAATCAACACACGTATGTGTCTGGTGAAATATCGCGTCGTGCTTTTCCTTGCTTGAGGCATCATTGCCATTTGCGGAATCGTGAGGACAGTGCCAATGATTCTGCCACTCTTCGGATCTCTTCTGGAACACGGTATTACATTGCCCACAAAGGATATTGTTGCGAAGACAGAAGTTCTCGTGCAGGACCAACGTCCGTTCGGGGACCCATTGCTGGCAGTTCTTGCATTGTACATCGCCAGGTTCATGAGGCTCTTCTGTGTCCTCTGTTTTCTTAGATCCTTCCGGGTTCACCGTGATTTGCAGTTGATATTGCGAGGGAGACGGTGTGGCTGTATCACTCGGTTGGGAATCAGATGAGACTGATACGTAAAGAGCCTCGGCGCCTTCCAGGGCCACATTTGTAGGCCTAAGCTCAAATTTCTTGGATGACTTGTTGGAGAAATCCCCCCAGACATGCATGTCCGCCCGTGAGCGACTTTGCTGGCGACTGGAAAGCGGGCTAGCAAATAGACTGACATTTGGGTCGTCCGAGATCAGTTCGACGCAAATAGTGTCCTCGTGATTCCATTCCCGGAGCTCGTAGTCCACATAATCTCCAGCTAGGACTTGGGCCGTCACGTTCTCTCCGAGACTCAGGATCCCACCAAGCGAGCTGCCTGTACTGGTGCCCGGCGCACGTGAGGCTTTTTCCAGTCTTTTCTGTAGCGTCTCCCGAGCTTGTTCTTCCGAAAGCGCCACAATGTCAACTTCCAGGTCTGTGTCTACCACGCATATACCTTCGCCCTCGGGAAACACTTTATCAACCAAGAATCGGAATGATTCATTCCGGGTCCCGGGTACCGTAAGAAGTATCCCATTAGTGAGCGTTGTGAAATTGTCCCGCAAGTGGCGTTCTAGCAGGGCTTTCCAATCCTCAGGGTCATATCCAGCTTCTAGTGGACGAAGCCGTACATACGTGCCTTTGGGCAGTTGCTTTGCGTGGACGGTGACTGCGGGGCTAGTTGGGGCAGGTGGCGCTTCAGTTGAGTCCTGTGCTTCCCCATTTGTGGCAAGATCTTCATCTGTGATTTCCAATGCTTCTTTGAGCAAAGCACTGAGCGCGACTTCATTTTCCTCGGCGGAGAATTCTCGGATACCCGCGTAAATGAACCGGCCATTCTGCGGATTGACAATGCGAAAGGTCAGCGGGTGGGGGAGTTGCTGTTGGCGTTGTTCGATCTCTTGCCGGGCTCGCGATTCAGCGGCGAAAGTGTGAGGGTTGAATGGGTCGAATGACGCAGTGTGTACTCGAGAATTTCCAGCGGGCACAGCTTGAAGCGGAGCCGCAGCTAGCAGTTGCTCGAGGGCGGATTGAGGTAGAGTGATCTTATCGCCGGGCAGTCGAGGTGTGTTTTCTGGCGATGCGACCGCAAACTGGGACGACCAGACTAGACTATCTTGCGCCATGATGGATATCCAGAAGAGAGAGAGAGTTCATTTCATTCAATACTTATGTCCGCGGGGGGATGTACAGCGGAGATTAGCGGCGATTTGAGAAAAAAGCATCCACAATGTACGTTGACCGCCTTGTTCTCCGCCTTTAGTACTTCGATCACGCTGGTCTTTCGGAGCTGATCTACAGCAATTATCTGATCCAGGGCGGATCAAAAGTCTCATCCGGCTTGGTTTATTGTCGCTTTGAAAGGCTCGATCTCTATATACAATGTTGAAAAGCTGGTAAACGCCATGAAGAGCAGAGTGAATTCTGCCGGATAAAACAGTATGCTGTTGGCCGCTATTATCGATAAGCAAATAAGCACGCGATAAGAAGTTCTGGAAGCCTCCACGCTATTGAAAATCACATCTACTTCCTACACTTCCTGGGGCTAGAAGTTGCCACGCATTCGACCGCGAGAACTGGTATTACACCAATCACACTGTGCATATTAGTGAGAGCCCTCGAGGTCTTCATAGTACAAACTTACCAGTGTTTTAGAGCATCCCTCATTATGTTGGATACAATAGTCGCCCTGACATCCTTGACAGGTGTGTTGGCACTCCATTTTACAGGAAACACACTGGCATGGTTAGTAGGATTCTAATTCAGAGGGTGAATGCACTTACGGTTGGGCCACACTCCCAGCAATCTTTACTTACACCACGTTCCAATCTCTGCATGGATGTTAGTTATGTTATTTCTGGTGTTGGAACTCTACATACCTCGCGCTCAGCAGCTTCGGTGGATGTGGCATGGGCAGTTTGGTGTGGCGACAAATTGACGCGCACCTGTTGCGGGTTGGGGAGACAATTCCCACAGAACCATTTGTTGCATCGGTGACACCATCGGTTGGTGAGGCAGTCCGCACAGCGAGCAACCAGAACTGGATGCTCTCCCGGAATCAACTCGGGCCGCTTCGCTGCCGCCACACTCGACACATGCAGCGGCGGGGGGCTCAGCATGGGGAATTGAACGTCCGGGGACTGGCCCCAGATGGCCGGACCCTCGGGGGAACTGTGGCACCCATCACATCCGCGGGGGCCGAGAGCCACGGTGGCTACTGCGGGTCCAAGGAATGGGACCGAATTATCCTGCTGCGGGTTATGCCGTGGACCCCGACACAATGTGGCATCAAAGGCGATAATTCCCTCACATTTCTGGAGGACTTGAGCCCAGCCTTCCTCGAGACTATGCTTGAAGAGTTTTCCGGAAGGACTGTACCATTCATTCTGACCCTTCTTTGGTGTTGTCTCTTCCGAACTGGATGGCGTCTGGCTAGGGCTTCGTGAGGTTTGAACGCGAGTGGACCACCAATCACGGTATTTGGGACGTGCCACCGCTTGAGAGGCTTCACTCATTGGCGAGAAATGATAGATACCCTTCACTCGAGGGGTACCGGCAGGGCGAGTGGGTCGAACGGCATGCTGAATCACCTGCATGAGCTTGCGTTCGTTCAGATGGCGACACTCCCGAATGGAGAGAATGTTGACATTAAACCGATCTGTCAATATGATATCGGCCACCAGATCCGCGGGCACAGACAAGCCATCCAGAATTAGGGTGCGCACATCTTGGAGTATGTTCCTGCGCTCCAAGCTCTTGAAGATACGGTTCAACGGGGCCGCATAAATCTCATCTTCGGTTTGAGTATCGTTCTGCTCCTGTGACACCGACGGAAGCTGGGAACCTTGACACCGGGTCAGATCGAGATGCCGGAACACGTATGGAGTCTGCGTGATAACAGTGTGTAGATGGCGGGAGGTGGCGCTCAACGCCATTAGTGATGGCACCGACAGATGAGGTGCCATTTGGTCCAGGACCAAGCTGTTGCTCAGGATATCCTCCAACGACGTTGGACGGGGTGCAGGTACCGGCTTGGATATCACCCGCTCGGAGGGTAGAGCCCGAACGACAGGTTCCAGACCCAATTCCTTGCGGGTCAAACGCCGTGCACCGTAGAAATCGGGGGCGCGGCCGATCAGATCTTGTCTGTAGGCGGCCATGGCTCCAACGGCAACTTCATCACCCAAGAAGCCGAATGGAGAGGCATTGGGCTGGATTTCCTGAAGAGCAGCACGGGCCTTGACCAACTCACTCTCCAAGAGATGAATGGTTGATTGTAAGACGGCCGGCATGGCTTGAGTCTGTTTCGGATCAATGGCAAGGGCTAGTGAAGACCACAGGTCTGACATAGTCCTATATAGAGAGAGAGAGGGAGAGAGTCAGAGACAAAGAATTCCAGGTGGGGAGGCCCACGGATCAAATAGTCAAATCGTCAAATAGTTTAAATGGCGGATAAATCAGATCAGATCAGCCAAGATTATGCGATTGGATGATGCTATTGAGTAAAGAGTCAAACAGATGATCCTAGTATGCCCAAAAGGGATTGTCGGTCAGCGAAGAGCACTAATCTCATGCACTCCGTGATCTATTCGTATACTTCGTGTATATTCTTTTTTTTTTTACCTGCTTTTCTTTTTAGGGGCTATTCTTTTTTTTTAAAAATTTAACATTAATTCAGACCTAGTATAATCCCCCCTTTTTAGGCTCAACAAACTCCTCTGCATTCTAGAAGGTGTCTTGGCCTGTACGATGTAAGGGAATCCAACTACTTGGGGAGCAAGTGCCGGATACTTGGACAAAGTATGGGGTGACCATAGGTGGAGTCGGTACTCAGGACCAGGGGCTCAGGTACTCCACTAATGCCCCGACTCCACTTTGTCACAACGTTGGGAAATGATCCGCCGGTCACGCGCACCTGTGCTTATTACCCGATCTACAAGTACTGGATGTACCTCTTCCCTGTACTTCCTAAGTACGGGTACTTTGTCCTCTGTACCCGATCTATACGTGTTCAATGTGGCCATTCCTCCAGGGTACTTCACAAGTACTCTCTACGGTGGAAATACTGTGGAATAGCTACCTCCCACCACTTATTACTTCTGTGCAACACTCCAGCCCTCAACATTCTGTCCCTCGTCAAGGCGTCACCCTAACACTTGCTGCCAAGACTGATCCGCGGACACTGATTTCCGCGCCAAGCGAATGCCGATAGGAGACTATGATCTACGCGGTCCGCATCATGCCAAGCCTGCAGTCGCTGAATCAATTTTTTGACCTTGGGTTCACATAGGGGGTGCCTAGAGGTGCCAAGCAGATTGGTGTCTGGATCATTGTGGCTGTGTGGGGCTTCTTCCGTGCGAGAGAGAGAGTTGAGAGCAGAAAAGGTCCCGGGTTGGGGTCCCCTTGCTTGCTATCGTACACTCTCTGCTTTAAGAATGTACATTCGACACGAGATGGGGGAAATTGCACCAGGCTTGCCGACGTGAGACACATGCGGGGACTCGTCGGCCGGAGAGTGGCCAAGCACAGGGCGTTGCACATCTACGGGTGTCCGTATGGATCGGATCTTGACACGTCGTCACACAATTATGCATTCGCTTGAGGATGATCAGGGTAGGATTAGAACTAGTGATACAATGTCGATCGTGCCCCAAAGATCCCTCTACTTCCACAGCTTCGACACGGCAACCTCCTTGTCATCGTGCTTGTTGAGGATCTTGGCGGTGGCCAGGTCGAAGTCCTCTTGTGTGACGTGCACCCGACGCTCACGGAGGGCGTACATACCGGCCTCAGTGCAGACACCCTTCAGCTCGGCTCCTGAGCATCCGTTCATCTTCTCGGCAATCTTGGTGAGGTTGATGCCACGGGTCAGGTTCATCGAGCGGGAGTGAATCCGCAGAATATCGGCACGAGCCTCGATACTATGTAGGGTTAGCATGTATCATGACAGGAAAGGGAGTGACTCACGAAGGAGGGGGAATTCAATCTTGCGGTCGATACGCCCGGGTCGGAGCAGGGCCGGGTCAAGAATATCCAGTCGATTCGTCGCCATGACAATCTTAATGTTCTTTGTAGGCTCGAAACCATCCAGCTGGTTTAGCAACTCCAGCATAGTACGTTGTACCTCGGAATCACCACCACCGGCAGAGTCTATGCGGCTGGATCCAATACTATCGATTTCATCCATGAAGATAATACTGGGTGCGTGCTCTCGTGCCATGACAAACAGTTCACGCACCATGCGACTACCTTCACCGATGTATTTTTGAACCAGTTCGGAACCGCTGACTCGAATGAATCGACAATCGGTGTGGTGGGCGGCCGCGCGAGCGAGCAGGGTCTTTCCCGTTCCAGGGGGACCGTAGAGCAGAACACCCTTTGGCTGTGCAATACCCAGAGATTCGAATAGCTCGGGGTGCTTGAGTCCAAGTTCGATGACTTCCTTGATTTCCTTGATCTGTTGATCGAGACCACCGATCATGTCGTATGTGCTGTCGGGGACCTTCTCGACCATCATGAGCGACACCAGCGGATCGACGGAGGAGGGTAGCATCTTCTCGAGCTTGTAGGAGTCGGATAGAAGGGCGACGCGCTTGCCAACGGTGAGTTTGCTAATGTCGACACCATCGGAGATGTCCACGACTGTACACTGTATTAGCAATGTCACCGGAGAGCTGACGCAGAGACCTACCGTATTTTCCTTCTGGGTGTACTTTGACCAGAATCTTTTTGGTGCTCATCACCTTCACGACCTCACCGACGTAGGAACCGGGCTGTTGGAGCAAGCCAAGCTCTTCGCGCAGTAGACGCACCCGCGAGTTGTAGTCATTGCGCTGGGCCTCTAATCGCCTTAGCACAGCTTGGCCTTGGATGATCTCGAGCTTCATGCCCTCGATCTTATTGCGATAGTAGTTGTCCAGAGCCATGATGGCGATTTGGGGTGATGACGCTATGGGGTCTCAAGGGCTGACTGTTCTGCCACAGAGCAGTTATAATGAAAGGGAAAAGGCGTGCTCTGTCAATTCCAGACAGGATGCGATGATGAGTGTTTTGATAGACGTGAGTTGGGAGCAAGGACTTGACGCCGGGGTTTGGAGAGCTGATCAATCTAGCTCTACCAGCCAACAGTTGGGTGGTGATTTGATTAGGTAATTTGTGCCTGGAATACGAGGCACTCTAGTTAAAACAAACACAGCAAACATATATATATTGATAGCTCCCCACTTTTCCACCGGGTGGATCTGATTGGGCAGAGAGCTGCCCGATGACTTGATCATCTGCAAGCAAGTGAGAAAGTACAAGGCAACGGTCAAAGAGCCTTCTCACCTACATTTCATTTCCTCGGCCACGAGTCTCGTCCTACCTTGCAATGTATATGTCTTGTTCTTAAATGAAACGTCCATCGAATCTATTGTCGCGTTTCACCTAGATCTTATCTGGAGAATGTCAGCGGAGGTTTCATCGCTTTGATCTCTTTTTTAACGCTCTGTGTGGTCAACGCAAAGAGCCAAGAATTTCTCCTCCTTGGACTTGATCCCCTCTTTTCTCGTTTCCGCGCGTCTCATTAATCAGCCATGGCGGGCGACAACGACTCCCGCGAGCCAACCCAGCCATCTGCAGCGGAAGGGGGAAACTCAGGCTCTGAGATGGCGCCTCCAATGAGACCGTCTGCACCAGCGCGGAGGACATATGGTGGGTGTGCCTCCGGTGTAACATGCGAGGAGATCAGGTTGGGCTAACCCGGAATCGCAGGTACACTTGATACGTCTTCCCTCGAGGCGACCAATCCCGAATCGCGCGACGATGGAGAAGAGTCTTCGAGCCGAGCGTTTACAACCCAGTCATCTGCTTCTCCCGAAAAAGCCCGCAAGCCTTCTCTGTCGCGACGCATGACTTCGAAACGCCAGATTTCTCAGTTCTCGACGGACGACGACGTCAATGAGGTCAAGCAGTTAATGAACATGAAGCAAGCGGGAAGTACGTCTCCCAGGATACGCCCGCTGAGAAGACAAACCTCGACGCTGAAACGGCGTCCTAGTGCTCGACCCAGCCCCTTGGCGAGAGGTGAGTCGGAAGGCTACAACATGGAGGGGTCGGGCTTGATTGGCCCTGGTATGGACTTTGAGCAGGAAACCCCCACCGCAGGGCTTGCTGGAGACAGTGAACCAGATGTCGGAGATGACGACGATTTGGACGACTCGGACGACTCGGACGCCGCGAGCGACGCAGAAAGCTTTACTCTCAAGGATCGTCAACAAGCTATCAACCAAACGCATCCATTCGGTATCAGGCTGTGGAAGCCTGCGCTATACAAGAAGAGCCGCTCAGTGGAAAAAACCGCCGAGGGTGACATTCACTCATCCCCGGGTGGGTATGTCAGTCCCCTGTTGTTCCTGACCAACCTGCTGTGGTCTTTGTTTTTCGGATGGTGGCTTGCATTGGTTGCCCTGATCGCTGCGGTTGCATGCTTTGCCTTTTCTTACTCGTCAAGTGCCGTGGAATACGGAAGGGTGTTTGCAGGTCTTTCGCGGTACCTACTCTACCCATTTGGCTCATTTGTCCTCCTTGAGTCGGATGAGAACTATGCCGAAGAGGATGAAGGTGAGGGTCGCAGTATCAGCGAATATGAACAGTGGCAAAACGGTGACCTGGAGCATGGCCGTCTGTTCTTTGGCCCTCGCAGAGATCGGTCGCTCGTTGGAAGACGAAGGAACAGTGTCGACTCCTCTGGTGAGCAAGACAGCCTGCTTGGGCGGCCCCAGCGTGGAAATAGTGACGACACTCAGCTTCACTCCAAGCGTCGTCTTTTCGGGCGCGGTGAGTGGACTTTGGGTCGGGTGGTGTTTTTCGTGTTCTTCTACTTCTTGGTCGGACCTCTTATGCTCATAACGTCGCTCATCTGTTGGCTTCTGGTCTTCTGGATTCCCATGGGCCGTGTGACAATCACTCTGGTCAGCCATCTACGCAGGCACCCATTGGCCCTGTCATTCCACTCTGATTCTACATACGCCAGATCAAGCACTAGTGCGCCTTCGCCTTCCATTCTGCTTTGCACCTATCGAGCTGCCGGAACGAGGTATTGGAAATACACAGTGGATGGAACAAATGTCTTCCTGATCAATCTTCTTGGTGTGGTCGTTTTTGTGATTGCCGATTATTTCATTCTGGCTGGGATGTTGGGTCTTAAGAACTGGCTCACCCACCCGGGATTGATATTCACACTTGCTCTACTGTCTATCATTCCTTTGGCTTACTTTATCGGGCAAGCCGTTGCTTCCATCTCCGCCCAATCTTCAATGGGCTTGGGTGCTGCCGTCAATGCGTTCTTCTCGACAATCGTTGAGGTGTATCTTTACTGCGTTGCTCTGAGTGAGGGTAAAGCTGGACTTGTGGAAGGTAGCATCATTGGCAGTATATTTGTCGGTGTTCTATTCCTCCCCGGCCTATCCATGTGTTTTGGCGCTTTGGCGCGCAAGACCCAGCGATTCAACGTGAAATCGGCTGGTGTGACCTCTACAATGCTGCTTTTCGCAGTCATTGCCTCTTTTGGTCCTACCCTTTTCTATCAGGTTTATGGCAGTGTAAGTCTTATATCCATCCTGTTGAGACATCTTGACTAACCTTTCTAGCATGAGCTGAATTGCTATTCCTGTGCCGATTCACTCGACTTGGCAAGTCGAGACTGTCGCCGCTGCTACTTCTCCCAGACGGCGGCTGTGAATGACCAATTTTTCCAAACCGCCGTGCAACCGTATGCATGGATCTGTGCAGTCTTGATGTTCTTGTCGTACGGCGTTGGTCTGTGGTTCACTCTGAGGACCCATGCCGCCTTGATTTGGGCGACGGAGGTAGAGGAGAAGAAACATGCCCAAGCCCAAGCTCAAGCCCATTCTCAGAACGTTCAAGACTCATTCACATTCGAACCAAGTGAGCCGAGGCACCTGTTATTCCCGAATGATCAGCCCGAAGCCTCGGGTGCGGGTTCGGTGCCCAAAGACTCAATTCAGGAACACCCAGTGTACAAGAAGACATATGCCGCAAACCTGAAGCAATATGGCTTGGACGACAGCTGCTCATCTGAACCAGTGCGGGGAGGTACCGCTGCAGGCTCTGCAAACAATAGTCTGCATGTGGTGCCACCCCGTTCTGCCGACGAGTACAGCTGCCCTATGCCCAAGGCAATCCGAGATCTCAGTGTCGAAGACCGCGAGGCCACAATCCGTTACTTGGCTGAAGTTGCAGCGACCAGGGCTGCGCAAGCCTCGCGAGAATCCGCTCGCAGTCGCAAGATTAATCAATCCCAACACCATGGAGCGAGTCGTCAGGCCAGCCGTCCCGCGGGGCATTCGGTGGTTCCTGGCGAGGATGAGGAAGATCTTGGGGCAGCTGCAGAGCCTTCTTCTGGGGGACACGACGCACCTAATTGGAGCAAGGCCAAGAGTTCTATCGTTCTTCTTGGAGCAACTGTCCTCTATGCAGTAATTGCGGAGATTCTTGTCAACACTGTCGATGTAGTATTAGAGAGTGTTGACGTTGACGAGAAGTTCTTGGGTATCACTTTGTTCGCTTTGGTTCCGAACACCACTGAGTTTTTGGTACGTTGTTCACACTCTTTGGCTTGGCTTTGCTGACGAAATAGAACGCCATTTCATTTGCCATGAATGGCAATATCGCCTTGTCCATGGAAATCGGATCTGCCTACGCATTGCAGGTGTGTCTGCTACAGGTGCCCGCTGTGGTTCTCTTCAGCGCCGTCTACGTTCGAGGGCTGGACGTGGCCGAGGTTGCGAGCCACTCTTTCAAGTATGTCCCAAGTATCAGTGCGATGTGCTAGGCTAACATCTATCAGCTTGATCTTCCCTCAGTGGGACATGATTACCGTGATTCTTTGCGTCTTCTTGCTGTCTTATGTGTACGGTGAAGGCAAGAGCAACTACTTCAAGGGATCAATCCTTGTTCTCACTTATTTTGTTGTTCTTGTTGGTTTCTACATGTCGGGCTACGTCAATATGGACAATATGGGCGTGGACCGGTTCGATACTTTGGCTATGGGGGCAAACCGTGACAAGTTCTTCACTCTCGGTCGGACAAGAAGCGGAGAGGCATATTAAGGTCTTTTCCGTTGACTCTCTTGATGTCCAAGGTTGGTATATTCCCTATCGTCTCGTTGCATAGCGATGTATTTCAGATCTCTCCTTAGCTGTGTTTATACCTGTGTCATAATTTGATCTTTACGATCCGAGCAGAGCTCGCACTGTACATTCGTCTGTTTGGTCAACCGTGTATCAAGTGGACTCCACAGCTTCATCTACGCCAGTTATACAACCGTGCCCATCACTCAACGTCCAGTCTTCATCCTACCTATACAACTCTACCCACACTCACCAAACAACCACTACTGTAAATTACCCTCACCACCCCAACCCCCACTCAGACTTTACCACTCACTCTGTTTCTGTTAGCGGAGGCGGGCAATGGTTGGAACAAGATGAGGAACGAAGTTGGACTTGCCTGTCAAGACCAACCCGATCCAACCCATCCCATCCTGCCTCGCCTGATGTGCCACCTCTCAAAACCGCCTGTGTCCCATCCTCGTTCAACAGTGTGATATGAAGCAGTGGAGCGTCGACCATGGACATGCGAGTGGAAATGAACGATGAGCGCATGTGAGCGAGGTTGAGGGTGTGGATGAGGAGTGGGAGTGGTAGGGGGATTAGTAGAATATATAGAGTATATAACCAGTGGTTAATACTGGATGAGAATACATCTGGGCACGGGGATGACACGAGGGGCTTATTGCTGGACGGATGTTTATACTTGCCTACGTAGACATGTCTGACCTGACGATGGACTATAGCTAGGACATCAATACCAATATAGTGATTCATATAGACTGCCACCAACTTCTTCGCGGCCTCCTGGGTGACCTCCGTGCCCTCGAGCTTCTCGTATCGGGCCCCAGCAACCTCAAGGTCCGCACCTTTTTCACATAACCACGCATATGCCTTTGGGCCGAGGTAGCTGGATGAGTGACACCACAGACCCTTGGGCAATATGCGGTCCCGAACGTCGGATTTAATCAAAGCCGTTGGCAGACCTCTAGTGAGATCTTTGATCAGGTAATCAGCGAGGGTCTTCGCGTCTGTTGTTTTGTGACTGCCGGTGGCTGATTTCTTCAGCTCCTCAACTCCAGCCCTCAAAATAAGCTTGCGCGCTTCCAGACAGACGGGCGATCACTTCTCGACTGGCATCTGTCTGTACTGACTCTGTAGAATCTGTAATCCCTCGTTGGGATGATTGATCGCGTAGTCAGTATCGATCACATTTGCTGAACTTGACGGTTGTCCGTCCATCTTGATGGACGTGCAACCGTGGGCCCACCAATGTGCCGAGTGATCGATCAACGTCAGTCATCTTGAGCACATTTTCTGAGATCCGATCATTGGGATCCAGGAGGCTGTGAGTGGCGGCCTCTCGGAACTCGCCGGTGTTGAAGTTGATGCCCTGGGCCTGCGCCTGCAACTGGTACAGAGTTGCACTCAAATAATCCACTGTCAGGGCGCCGAGAAGAAATCTTTCCTGTAGTGTTTCGATGGTCGGCGAGTTGTTGCCGATCTCTTTGTTGATATGGGAAATCTCGGGCAGGAATCTGAACGTCGCGGCGTCCAGTTTGTTCATATCTCCTTTGCCGCTTCGCCCTCCACACCAGCGAAGAACGGCACCTCGTAGCTCATATCAGAGATACGGGTCTGTCGCGCTGTGCGCGTTCTCCGCTGGTGTGGCTCATTAATCAGGTCGTTGGCACAACCCCACCCGGTTGCCCAATCCATCGCCCAGCGGTGATTACATTGCTCGAACCAGTTCCGGTTCTTTTCTTGCAGTGCTTTCCCGCCGGCGCCAATGCTCCCCATTTCACATTGAAACTCTGTGAAGAAATTGACGTTGCGACCTTTATCGATTACGGCATTTAGTGCCGAACACTTCACCACGCCCTTGTTTGAGCTAAGAGCGACTGAACCTTGGACATTCAGGTCCAAGAGGCCCCAGCGGGTCATCCCCCTAGAGTCCTTGTTCATCAGGACGACTCTCCGGTGCAACAAGACTTGCTCGTCTGTTGCACTGGAGAGGCCTTCTCGGTCAAATGTCTCATCGGGTATGAACGTCCCGACTGGGTCCTTTGTCATGAGGACTACTCTCCGATGTAACAGGATTTGCTCGCTCGTTGCACTGGAAACGTGTTGTTAATATTGGGTAAGATGAGGTATATAAAAGGCTAAACACAAAAGGTTAGAAGAGGACTCTTTATAAGCAAGCCTCAGGGTTAGAAAACTAGGAAGTCAACTGACCTTTGTATGTAATAAGAAGAATTGGGACTAAGATAGAGAAGAAGAGAAGGAGTATTCATACTCCAATAAGAGGCCTGTGCATGTTTTGAAAAAGTTGGAGCTGAGAAGAAGAAGATGATAGTGGTGAAGAAGAAGAAGAAGAAGAAGAAGAAGAAGAAGAAGAAGAAGAAGAAGAAGAAGAAGAAGAAGTCTATTTATACTCTGATATAGTTTTGTATCCTATTTAATTATACAAATAATTTATTAGATCATCATAGAACTAAGTAAAATAAGATCAAATGAAGTGAGCTCAAATGAAGTGATGTCAAGTAAACTAAGCTTGTATAAAGTAAAGCTGAATGAGCATTAGGTTAAGTGAAGTGAGGTGAAATTAAATTGTTCCAGTCTTGCCCTCAATTGCTCCCTGTTTAGGAAGTAGGGCCATTCCCCCTCTTTGCTTGCTTCTCTCCCTCTCCCCGTCCCAGGCAGCTCCTATAAAGACTTCCATGACTCAGTTCTGTATACAATCTACATTGCTCTTGTGCTTCTTATTTGCCTTGTAGATCTGAGACCTACTTTGCCTTCTTGAGAAATAAATCCAAAAAAAAACTAAAACTAATATCACAGACAGGCATGGTGATAATAAAGCTTTAAAATGACAGAAGGTCCTATTTGATGAAGAAATTAATGATAGAAAAGGAAGTAAGAAGTAAGAACAGCTATGGAGCAAGAAGTAAGCTCATGGCAATAGCAAGTAAACAAGAAGCAGGCAAGCAGGCATATACATGGAAGCGAGAAGAAGCCAGTATATGACGAAGCGAGAGATATCATTTGATACATGCAAACATGACAGGTGTTTGAGGGTTCCAACCACCCACCCCATTGCGCTAGGAGCAAAATACTAGGCTTCCAAGGGACTAGACACCCCGGTCTTTTGCTCCTAGTATAGTAGTTAGGTCTTAGAAAGCACCCTAAGACATAAGACTGTGATGGTATGTTATATGGCTTTAAAGAAAGGGTAACCTTCAATATACGCCCCTCGCTTGCTCGTATGCTCCTTCTCTATTTCTTCCCTTCTCTCTTTCTATCTTTCTGTCCTTCTTTCTGTCCTTCTTTTTCTCCCTCTCTCCTTCTCTTCTTCTCTCCTTCTTCTCTTCTTCTCTCCTTCTTCTCTCCTTCTCTACTTTGGTGTCGCCTGGGCCAAAAGACTTGATCTCCTTCAAATCACCAGTCACTTACAGTTCTGGGTATTCCAAATCCGACAGCCCTTTCACATGCCTCTATATGTTGCCTGGTTGTCATCCGGTATCAGAGATCGATGTGAATCAGTGACGAATCACACGGTAAATGAGAAAGAAAAACAACATGCTTCTCATTTCAATTTTGCTAATGATTTCAGATCCAAATACCTTTCCATGATTCAGTCATCGAATGATATGCTATAGCGACAATACCTATCGGTAGTCGATCAATTCGAGGACCATGGAACCCTGCGTGGCCTGCACTACAACAGCATGCATATGCGTGGCTGGGTGGGATGGGCTGACAGCCAAAAACCAACAATTTCTTGTGATCGTTGACCTATTCAAAGCCACACGGATCGAAAGGATGTTCTGGGTCTCGAGCAAGTTCACTGTCATCAGCATCCCGGACACTGGACAAACTTTCAAAGGCGCAGCTGTATGACTGAACAGCGACGCTCTCAATTTTGTTCGGTTCATTGAGCAATCGCATCATATCGAAAAAGAACAAGCGAGATCAACCAAGATCGCCTGTCTATTGGCAGGGACATGAGAGGAGGATATCGCAACAGCGGTATACGACCACGATCTGTCCTCATTACCAACCAGCCGATGAATAGACCTGTCGTCATCACATCGACGCCCTCCGTGTAAGTACACCACTTGATCTCATGGTCAACCTACTAACGAAATCTCAGTTTCATACAAGGACCAAGCGTATGCAATTCCATCCTCATATCAACTCCAAGCTAACCACTCGCAGATGCATCTGCCCACCACGACGATCTGATCCCCAATTCAGAGGGAAACTATCGATGCCAGTTGTGTTCGCCTAACTTGGACAAATCGAGATGCACATGCAGACCAAACATGCCGGCCTATATTGGCCAATGTATCACGAACCAAATCTCGTGAATCTTCAATTCCCAGATGGGATTTTCTTCTGCGGGCGATGCTCCGCACCATACAGGGATGCTGATCGATGCAAACAGCACCTGTTTGAGAAGCGCGGCTCTGGTGTCGCTCAAAAGCGACCCGATCTCTCTATCATACCGATTGCCGAGGTGTACAGGTGCAATGTCTGTAGCTGGCGAACAGATTCGGTTGCAATGCTCGCGGATCATATCAAAGACCGGCACCAGAGCAATGTCGAGCCTGAGAACGGTGATCCCTCCACCGAGCAAATGGATCTGATCTCCCTGTTTACGTCTTCATCGCATGGTGATGGGTCACCAGACGACCCAGTCGGGCCCGGCCAGAGCATAATCTCATGTCGGTACCGCAAATTGAATTGCGATCGCACTGATCTGTGATGGCAATGCATCTGTTCCAAAACAAAAGATGATTCTGTCTTTACCGACAAAGAGTCAAATGCAAATCGGTGAGTTTCATCACTTATCTCGCATCGAATCCGCAGTCTGGCAAATGAGCGCTAATGCCACCAATGTCAGCAAAGTTATCATCCACTCTCAATTATATCTTACATGGTGGTACATTCAACCACCACTCAACAGTTATTCGGAGTTTCATCTCTCATATCCACCAAGTTAATGAGCTAAGTGCTCAAACGCCAACATCTTTTGACTTCATCGACTCAGTTGCTCAAGTGCGGAGATATCAACTGATGTATGATCAGCCGTATGACTTTACTTTAACATCAGTTCTGAATACATCAAGCTCTTGACCTTTGAAGTAGAAAAGAAAACTGTAAACATTTGAAATAATAGCTTTGTAGCTACGGAGTACGGAGTACCTAAGAATGTATCGACGGTGTCAACAAGCATCAACAAGCATAACCTTATATAGATTAGTAAGCACATCAATAGAGCCTATCACGTGGCCGCTTTATGTCATCCGGGAAAAATTGGCAAAATTGGCAGTTCGGATCGCAAATCGCCTTCCGACCCTCCGTGCTGATCTAGGTGTTTTTTTTTGTAATCCTCTTTCTTTCCCGCTGACTATTATTCTTCACCATGGGTTGGTTCTGGGCAGATACTCCAAGTCCGGCGGTCATTCCACATGCCTCTAACACAAGCGCATCTCCTCCGGTTCGTCTTATCACCTCCAAAACAGACCAAGACTGACCCTTATCTACAGCCGGGATGCCCGATGCATGAAGCAGGCGCGAAGCCTGCACCAACACTGGCTGCTGAGCCTCCCAGCAGCTGTCCGATGAAATCCAAGGATTCTCCGTTCTATTCCCCCCCAAAAGCAGCACAAGAAATTCCGCAGCCATCTGTCGCGCAGCCCGTCGCGCAACCTTCAACCTTGTCAAAACTGAACCCTCTGAACTACATGTTCGCGTCGATCTCCCAAGAGCGCGCGACCAACCAGACCGTTGACCTACCCATCGAGCGTGAGCCCTCGTCCATCCCGAGAGGCGATGCCGAAGGTAACTGGGAGTATCCTTCGCCGCAGCAAATGTACAATGCGATGCTGCGCAAAGGACACACCGATACCCCCCAAGACGCGGTTGAATCGATGGTCGCAGTGCACAACTTCCTCAACGAAGGCGCCTGGGATGAGATTGTTTCGTGGGAACGCGTGTTCAGCAAAGGCCTCCAGGCCGGATGGCAGCACTGCCGACGAGGCGAGGAAAACCTGAGCAACGACCTGATATACGCCGACGAGAACGGGAAATTTGACGATGCCTCCCCGCCTCGTCTGCTGCGTTTCCAGGGTCGCCCACAAGAATGGTCGCCCAAGGCCTCAATCTACCAAGCCCTGAGCTGGGCATACCCGACCAAGTTTGAGTAAGTGATATTCAGTACTGTACGTGTCAAGACAACTAACTCTCATCCAGAACGAGCCCTCCATTCGATCGCCACGATTGGTATGTCGTCCGTCAAACCCCTACCGGCCCGAAGGAGATCCGATACGTGATCGACTATTACTCCGGGGATCCCGACCCTCACGGACTCCCGGTCTTCCACCTTGATATTCGTCCCGCAATCGATACCCCCCACAGCCGCTGCTGAGAGACTCATGCGGTGGGGAGGAGACGTCTGGTGGAGGGCTAGCGGCGCAAGTGCTCGCGAGCAAGCCTCCGAAGCCTAAACTCGTCGCTGAAAGCTTGCCTTGCAGGTTGCTTCTCCACTCCACTCTGTATAGTTCCGACATGGCGCAGGCGTTTCATGACTTTGGCCCATGCTTGTATAATGTTCCTTCTCCCTCCTGTCTTACCATTTTTGCTTTGCCATTTAGTCTATGACAATAGGCACATGATAACGATATCTTTGCATTAATATCTCAATTCCAACGCAATCCACTTTATTAGGACTATCTATAATAACCAGCCAACTTAAGATGAATCTTGGAATGCGGTATTCTGATCATTCAGGCATGTCATCTAAGAATCATATCGACAGTGGAAATCAAAGTATCTATGGTACAAAATCTAGACAAATAGTCTTAAATATTAGGTGAGAGTTGGTCATACTTGACGCACTGTTCAACGCTCTCGATGCTGGCCTGCAGCAGCCCCCGAGCTTCCAAGCCCACCCAGACCCAAAGCATCGAGTAGTCACCGGACTGTACGGACTGCATGAACGATGTTCCGGATCCAAGTTGTCGGAGGATGGGAAGGGAACTGAATCTTGAGTCAGTTTCGGTTATTTCTCATAGAAAACAGGAGTACTTACCTCTTGAACAGATCAAGGTCTGGATTTAGACTGCGCCCAATGCCTTCGAGCAGCAGACATGAGATGACAACATTGACAAAGTCTCCTTCAAATCGTACGTGGTGGCCGCGGACCATGGTCAATACTTCACTCAGGATATCTCCAATCTTCACACTGCCCAGAGCAAATGTTCGGGACTTGATGCTCAAGACCAGATGCTGCATCTTGAGCGCGAAGACTTCTGGGTCGAGGACCTCCTCTGGTGTGCGACACCGCTCAACCATGAGCTGACCAGCCCTGTAGCCGTCGAATTCAGCAATTGACCGGAATAGGTCCAGGAAATTCCGGCGGTTAGCGTCATTGAGCTGAGTGACAAGACCCGTGTCGATAAAGATCAGCTGTGGCCTGTATCCCTCGTCGTTGAGCTCAGCTAGTGCAGTCTCCCATTCCTGGGGGCTCTTCAAATGTGGACGCAGCCGTGTGAGGACAGCCTCTGTCACGTCAACCTCGGCCCGAGTGGGGGCATCCAATGCACGTGAATGATTGCGAAGGGAGAGATCTAGTTCACTTGGCTTGTAGAAGCGGACCATGATGTTGCCCGGGTGAAGGTCGGCGTGGACAAAGTTGTCAATGAGTAACATATGCAAGAATGCGTCCAAGCCTTCATTAGCGATCTCGTGTTGATAAACACCGCCTCCGATGTCTAAAAAGGTGGCTAGCGGAATGCCCTGAGCAAACTCCTCCACCAGCACCTGGCGGGTGGTGTATTCTAGATAGGGATAAGGGAACCAGGCCGTAGTGCGTGACTTGAACTTTTTCCTGAACATAACCAAGTTGGTTGCTTCAATCCGAAGATCCAGTTGTAGCTTCATCATCTCTCCGAATTGTTGGACTTCATCTGGGAAAGACAACCAATGCATTGTGGGTATGGCATCGATCATGTGAGCAAAGAACGACATTATGCGCAGATCTCGATGGATCATCTGTTCAACTCTGGGGTGTTGGACCTTGATTGCAACGTACGAAGACGGCACTCGTTGGGGTGAACTTTTGACCAGCACGTCGACGTTTTTCCGGACTTTTTCACCGAGCGTCGGTGGCTCGACGCCAAGTTCCTGCTCTCGAGATGCAGCCAAGCTAGGTTTCAATTTCGCCTTGTAAACCTGTGCAATTGCACCCACGCCGAGAGGTTCCTCTTGGAATTCCTCGAAAATATCCTCGAATGGCAACCCATTGAAGGCCTTGCGGATGATTCGTTTCGTTTGGTGGAGTGAATGTGCGGGAGCATTGGAGTGCAAGGATGACATGACATTGCACATTTCGGGAGGGAAGATATCTGTTCGCGATGCCGCCCATTGTCCGAGCTATCCGAGTTCACTTGTCAGTTCAGTCTTCGACAGATCGATTCAGAAGCTCTCACTTTGATAAAGGCAGGACCAGCCCGCTCCATCGCCTTCACCAAGAAACGATACCACCACAGTGTGCCCGACCGCGTACCGTCATGCTCTTGTACAATCCGACCGATCCAGATTGCGGGGACTGTCACGACAACGGGAACGAAAATGATGGCCAGGTGAATAAATCGAACGCTTGTCGCGAGTGGGTCGTAGACATAATGATAGAAGTACACCCACAACGTCTGACAGAGCTTCGAGATGCCATGCGCGTCGGGTGAGACTGTTTTGCGGACTTCTTCACGCGAAGCTTCCAGCATTTGCATTTCTGCAGTCTTTTCGCTTCCATCATGCTCTTCCGCCAACTTCAGGAATGCCGCCGGTCCTAAAGTTGCCATGAACACCCCACCGAGAATGGGTGCCCGGCGCGGGCTCTTTGCGTGCCTCGGCCATGGGATGTGTCGGCGCGGAAGGCCACGCTTGAGGCATAAACGGCCAATCAGACCGACCGCCCTCATATTCTCATGCAGGAGATGTAAACATGGAATGGAGATGTATGTTCAAACTCAGGGTGAAGTCAGAGGGGAGAGTACGGGGACAGTCAATCCGGGCAGACACGTGCTTCGACGTCATATCTCGGCTCGGAACATCTCTGCGGACGGCTTTAGCGGCCATCGGAATAACAACATCCTTTGTATCGACGAAGAGCACCGTAGACATGTACGAAGTTGTATTGAAAAGAGACGAGGAGAAGCAAGAGAGGGGAAGAGAAGCTCTCACTATCCACATCTGCGGGGAGCCTGACAAACCAGGCAAACACCAAACACTTTGCAATTAATGTAGCAAGATATGTCTCAGTATAGAATAAAGGACACTGAAGCAAGGTAAAATGCCATCTATACTATTTCTAAGGTTCAGCATCCTTTTTATTATGATCCATGGCATTGTCGGGGAATTATACAACGGTACGTACTTCGTAGTACATTTATTCCTACTCCGTACTATAGTGTGAACCTTGAATCACTTAAATTAGGACTATGGGAATAATAACAATATCAACCAACGACATATTAGTGTTTGTATAGGCTGCCTCCAAAAGGGCTATTGATGAAAGTGGAAACTTGCAGATCAGATAAGATCTAAAACAGACTTAAAAAGCACTAAAAAGCACTTAGTACTAGTTCGTCTGCAAGACAATTAAAGGAACCTCCAAGTCTTATCAGTTCTCGCTGGGAGATGTAATTTGAGACTTATTGAGAAGGGAGTGTGTATTCGATCCAGCAGCTCTGTATGGCTTTCTATACTTTTTACAGCAAAGCCACCTGAGCACAGCCAACAAAGCTCCAGCCACTCGAGTATGAAGAGTGCGGCATTCATCTAGCCTTCTGTTGTCCTCCGCTCATTCTTTCTTGCATGAACACTTGTTTACCTCACAGTCGTGATTCTGACAACTTGCCTCAATGTACTCTGTCATCAGTCCGAATCTATCTCGTACCAGAACATCTTGGGCACGAGCAATATCGTCTGTGACTCCGGGGCATGTTCTTCAAGGCGCCTGTTGGAACTATTCATACGTGAAACCCGTCAAAGGATATCCCACACACACCGCCGACATCTTCAAGGCTCAGGTCGTTCCCCGGGAGAAAGCCTGCGTTGACTGGAAGGCTCCCGAATGGTTCGTTGCGTTGCATCCACAATGTCGAACCTCTTAAGGCTCACCTTATCACCTAGGGCGGTGATCAAAAAGGTGTCCACCTATGAGCATATAGCTAGGAACCTACAACGCGAGGTTAAGACCTATGGCCTTCCCGAGGTCGCCTCGGCCGAGTGCTTTCGGAAAATGTATGAGAAAATCGACGATAGCACCATCGCTTTAGAATGGTTGGACACTACGCTCGCAGAGATGAAATATCGACCTGAGATGAGGGTCTATTCTGTCATCACGGCTGTTCTAAAGGCAGCATTCACAAGTTGTGTCATCCTGGAGGACCAACAGCATGTGAACACAGGTAGAATACTTGGTCTTGACGAGCTGTCATTTACTGATTATTCCAGACTTTAAGCCCGCTAATATCTTGCTTTCTCATATCGACACTGACCAGATTATCGCCAAAGTTGGGGACTTAAGACTCGGTGAGCAATTATTGATATGTGGGACATGCTGCAACTCACACGTTTATAGTTGTCCCAGTCGGTAAACTGTTTAACGCCCAACCATTTGCTATGCGTGCCCCTGAAGTCTTCCTAGGCGAGCCATGCACTGAGCCATCGCAGGTTTGGGCTGTGGCCGCGATGCTCCTCTGCTGGATCAAACCAGGTGTGTTGGGCGTATGGGACTGCCCTTTTCCCTTGATCAACGAATCTTGGTCTATGGCGAAAATACTGCGACTCTTTCCTAACTAGAATATCTCTCCTGGAATGGTAAAGAGTGACGCTCGTCGAGTTGCAGTCAGTAGTGCTCAAACTTTCAGCCAAAAGGTGCCAGCGTTTCAAGCAATCTCACCATTTGATGAGAAGACCAACAAAGTGGACATGCCGCAGGAGTTAAGGGATCTGCTCCGTTTCATTCTGGAGCCTGATCCAACTAAAAGGCCCTCCGCCTCAGCTGTGCTTGCATCGAAGGAATTTCGAGATTTTGAACAATACGTGAGCGTATAGTCAAATCAACTTGGAAAATCACGCCTTGTCCATTGGGCTGAATATTGAATGATAAATTAATCTGCATTTGCGGTGGTCTCATGCATGGGCGTTCATTTTCTTGCTTCCTGGAGCTAGTAATCCCAGCCATAACCATGGCTTCGAAACTTCCATGCTTTATAGTTCTTAGATCTTAGATAAATCGGTATACTAATACCAATTCCAATATATGTATTGATTATACCTGTGCTTATACATGGATCTGACCTCGGGAGCCGGCAATCAACTCCCTTCCGAAGTCGTCGCATTCCACAGCCACATTCCTCCGCTTGCCGCAAGCCCCTTTCCAAATTCGGAGATCAACGGACGATCCTAGCCCTTCTCCAAAAGAAAAGAACTTGAAATGGTCGATCTTATGTTATAGCGGTTTGGTCGGACACTGCTGGCACTGACAGCTCCCGAAAACGGTCTCGAAATCTTGAATCAAACAACCGGAAAGATGATATGCCTGGACATTAAATTCGAACATGCCCAGAAGCTCGCAATCCGTTTCACACCTTGACAGAACGACATTGCCAGATGGCACGAGAACTCTTGATCATGGGTCGCACTCGAAATCTTCGCGATGTTGAATCCAACCAGGAGAAGTCGTCCTTCTGGCGCGATTGGGCCTTTGTTATGCTGTGGGGTATCGTGGGATATACCTGTATCATCTTGACAGTGTTGACCTTCTTCAATCCGGGTCTAATTCCCTTCGACATTTCGTCGTTGTTGTTTCGGAAAGAGATATCTCCATTCTTCGCATTCTCGCAATCTTCGACCCATTACTCCAAACCACAAGGGTTCAAGATAGTGGCTTTGGTGCCTTTCCATCACCATGACCGTACTGCGATTTTGGACTGCTACTTGCAGGTAAGACATACACCGAATGCCTCTGCAGATTGATTCTGACCATGGGTCTAGAAAAACCTGGCCCAACACAATGGCTTCCTCGACCAGGTCGTCTTCGTGCCGCAGACCGAAGACGCCGTTGGCATTGACTGGCTTTACTCAATTGTCAATCAGACACCCGAGTACACCATTGCACCCGTGGGTCGTGCGATCGAATGGCAACTCACCGAGGAGAACGTCATGTACATCCGGATTGATGGCGACACGGTCTTCCTAGAAGACAACACCATCCCAACAATCGTTAAGACAAAGCTCGACAACCCGAGCTCTTTGATGGTCTCCGCAAATGTAGTGAATGAAGCAGCCCTGGCATCCCTTCATAGCCACCCAGGTGTTGCCCTCCCATACCTCCCTGAGCTCTACCATGTAGAGCAACCGTCACGATCCAAATCACAACTTCAGGACGATTGGCGACCCTCAAGCCTGCCACGCTGGCAGGGCCCACCAAATTTCAGAGTGACCAAGGATTTCAAGCCCCCATTCCAAGGGCACCGCTGGCTACTTCCTCGCGGCGCTAGCTCGGATCGGGACCCTATCGCGACCTCTGTGTATACTGACATCGGCCCAACTTTGGACGATTGGACAGTAGGTGCCCAGCAGCACTACTCGTTCTTGCACCACCTGGAGGAGAATGACCTAGGTCATTACAAGTTCCCTATATGGGTTGATCCCACTGAGCCAATCAGCCCGGATTTCGGATGCTTCTGGGGAAATGATGCGGTAGCTGTGCGGCATACATTCAACCACAAAGCTCGCAACTCATCTAGTCACGGCTCAAATGGAAACCGTCCACATGTTATCATTGATGGCAAGGGTGTTGCAGCGCATTACTCGGCCCGCCAGGGTGTGGCTGGTCTGGATGCCACAGACCTCATCAGTCGTTACCGAGAATACGCGCTCGAGAATGTTTGCCGGGAGACTGAGTGATCTTGCTGTTGTTGACTATGAGAGGCATGAAGATTGGCTGTATATATTGATACCCTCAATAATCTAGTTTGGAGTTTGAGCGTGGTTTGAGCGTGGATAGCAGAGGTTTTTGGCGAACACTCGGTCGATGGTACTGAATTGGGCCTGTTTTTGCTCTATAATTTCACTTTTATTTATTCAAGACCCATGAAGTTTTGTCCCGTGTGTACCTGTAAGTATTCATGGCCTATTCCATGCATGTGTGCCCTCTTCACGCAAAGAGTGTTCTGGGGATGTGACTCGTGAAATGCAAATAGATCCAACCAAGTTTATCATCAAAAGGTCTTGAAACTGTCCATCTAAGCCTCGGCAGGTTTCAACAGCGAGGCGTGGGTCTTCGCTAGATCTTCTAACATATCTCGGTATCCCTCAGGAAGTGTGCCACCCTGCGAGGTAATTAGTGAATGGCCGCATTCAAGTGTGAATTCGGAATCGAAAATTTACCTCGTTCTTCAGTAATCCCTGCACAAGCACGAATGCATTTTCCCGATCCTTGGCCTCTTGCGACTTGTCTGACTCTTTTGCCTCCTCTTCTCCCGTCTGGACTTGATCAGAGTCTCCGGCACTTAGTGTTGTCTTCAGCAACTCGGTGATCTCTGTCTTCTGCAGGCAGTCCACCACGGCGGTGCAGCCCAGTTGATCGGTTGCCATTAGAGCGAGAGCAAACCAGCCTTCACTGCGCACGACAGGCCACTGCGTTTGCGTGATCATCGCGCCTACTGGCAGTGCTACACCGTCATGTAGAGTAAATAGCCGGCCCAGCAATTCCGTTGCTTGGGCGTCTCCGCCGCGTGCCTTGGGGCTGAGAGTCCGGCAGATTGAGGCGACTGTCCGGCCAATTTCCGTCTTGATTGGCGTGGAGTCGGTCTTTTCAAAGAGAGACAGAAGAAGAGAGAGATAGGTTCGTTGGTGAGCCGGGGAATCCGGGTCTTGGGAGAGGGGGGCAAGCAGATGGGAGATGTTAGTCACAGAGGAGATGATGACCTGGCGAGCAATGCTGGCCGCGGAAAATTGAACCTGCGGCACAGAGTCGTACGCCCACAATCGTGAAACGGCAGGAATGATACCAGCTTCTCCCAGCGCGGACCGGTTGTCACCAGCAATAGCCAGGTTCTTGAGGAAACCAAGCGAAGAGTGCAGGACAGCACCACGTGAATCTCCTTTAAGAACAGCGATCAACTCTTCGTGGATCTTCAGCTCGCGTACCATGACTTGGCAGACCTCATCAGATCGAGCCAAGTTCCCAAGCATGACGCAAGCACAGATTTGAAGCTGATCTTCGGATGCAGTGACCCACGACTTCAGTGTGTGTGACAGAGCAGAGTCAAGAGGGTAGTTTTGAGCAAACAATGGCGAAGCAGAGACCTCAGCCAGAGCTTGATTGATTTTCAACTGAAGCTGGGCGAGAGCCTTGACATCGTCGGCGGAGGATTTGTCGACCTCCACGGAGAAGGAATGGCGCAGAACGTTGAGCACGCCTTCTACCATCATGTTTGACACACAAACATTCTGGAACTTTTCTTTCTCTAGGTACGCAGCCAGTGACATTGCCAATGATGAGAAGTGAGCAAACTCGAGGTTCTTGGCGAGGGCAAGTTCAATCAGCAATAAAATAGTTCCATCAGGAGAATTCTCAATGCCATCGGCTGTAATTATCATGTTAGAGATAGATTCTGTGCCTAGGACCTATGGACATACCTTGTTCAGAAGCCAGTTCAATCAGGTCGTGGGAGAAGTTGAGCAAGGCCTCATTGTCTTCGATTTCGCCGTCTTTGATCAACTTCAATAGAATGTAGGCTGTGCGGTTGGTTGCTATCTGAGCATGTGCCGGCTCTAGATCTGGGTAAGCAATGCATTCAACTTCTATTGCCAGCCTTCTCATAACATACCGTAGTCCATGCAGATGTTGTAAATCACCGGAATAGCAATAAAAATCAACTCGGGATCCAGGAAGTATCGAATGATAGCGAGTGTATAATTTCCTGTGATCACGATTTCTCTGTTCTCATCTGGCTGGGTATTAGCTCGAATATCGCTTATCAAGGATTTTCTCACGTACTTGTATCGGCACAGGAATTGCCAACCACTCGCAGAGAATGAAGCAATAAGCTGGACTCAACTTCATCTTTCGACGAAAGCACATCCAAGAAGAACATCAACACACCCGACTGTCCGAACGGAACACGCCATGAAGCTGAGCGAGAATCAATAATGGCCGAATAAATCGATGGATGGAATTGACTCACGATCTCTGCTGCCATTTGCAATAATCTCGGCAGCCTGAGCTAGATACTCAGATTTACAAGTCCATAGCCTGTGCAGCGTATCACAGACACTTTGTAGAGTCTTAGCATCACGACGACCACGTTTGGAGCTTGCCTCTGCTTCTTCCAGAGAAGCATGGAGCTCCTTGAGATCATATGCACCCTCAGTCTCATCTACCTGGGCATTCTCAATGATATCCCGTAAGCCGCGGAACATCTCCTGTTGCACTTCAGGGTCAACTGTCTCTGTGCGAGGTTCTAACGGGGAAGAATTGCTCGGCGAATCCGCGAGAATCTGTCTGATGGAAGGCAATTCCAACTTGGGAGATTGGCTGGCTCCATTGCTGGTAGATATAGTCAGAGAAGACATATTGAGGTGATATCAGATAGTAGACAGGGGGAACGGGATTGGATCAAAAGAGCCCCAAGTGGATTCAAGGATGTATGAAGTTTTTGCCCAATTGGGAAAGGTTCAGGGAGCTAGATGAGGGAGCCTGGAGTGTAGCCTCGCAATGTCACCTTTCGGCCGTGTTTGTCTGACTATCTAAGAGTCCTTGACTAGGCAACAAGAGCCGTGGAAGGTGATGGTCAATTTAGAGGGGTGTTCCGCCTCAGGAATCAGGCACCAATCTCGTTTAAGTTAGACCGCTCTCTAATTAACTAGTTCCTCTGGAGCTCTGATCTCTCTCTTCTGCGATATTTCATGAATTAAACGAGCCAGGTACCCCAAGGTATGAACTACAGAGTACTCTATCCACATACCTGGAACCTATGCGACAGGGGATCTCGATAGTCACGTGGCAATGGTCTCTATACGGACACGGACAGGATGAAACCAAACAAAAGAAGATCATAGCGTAAAATACGAAGAATAAAATAATTACAACAATTGGGGAATCCACTAGAGACTGGCTGTCTTATTTAGAAGTCAAATAAGTAGATACAGGTATAGATCTCAACAGTAGACCTGTAGAAGTACAAGCCCAAGAACGTGGAGTAGTCCAGTGACCCGCGGAACGCCAAGAAATGCCATCGCCCAAGCTGGCCTTTGCCGCATACAACCACCCCCCGAAGTCCCTCATTTTTGCGAATCGCCCGTGCCTTGTTCACAATTGACCTCATTTCTCTCCTTTGTGAATCCTCCCTAACCTGCCCACCATGACGCGCGCCCTCCAGACCCTCTCCGTCCTTCTCCTGGTCTCCTCCGTATGATGTCCCCGACTCACCACCCTCGTTGGACCTCGCTGACAATTGGCTAGCTTTACCTGTCTCTCTTCCTTGGACTCGTGCCCCTGAACGAGACTGTTCAGACTGAAATCATCCCCGTGGTACGTGGAGTTTTGCCATCACCTCCCAGACCTCCTGGTCATCGGACGTGTCAATCAGTCGCTAACCTCTGCCGTCGCAATCCAGCTTCCCTTCTACGCCCTCATTGTCTTTGCCTGCTATCTCCTCGCCCGTCTGGGTATCGCAATCTTCACCTTCAACGACGTTCCCGAGGCGCATGCCGAACTCCAGAAGGAGATTGAGCTGGCCAAGGTGGATCTGCGCAAGGGCAAGGTTGAAGTCGACTAAACGCGTGATAAATACACACGTGAGGGGTGATCCATACTATTGAATAGGCCTGGAGACCCAGTTGATAGGATGTGGAGGCTCAACGCAGTATCGAACGCTGCGCCCATATAATACACGATGCTCTCGTGCCCGTTGTTCTGCCAATACAATTCTCCTTCCGATACCCTTTTCGCCGCCCGATAAGCATACTCTACAATTGATACACACGTCTCTCTGTATGGACCAGGAAGTGTAAGCAGCTTCTATTAAGCGTTCTGGGGCAATCTGCCTATATGCCAAAAAGGAACGAAACTTTTTCTATGGAAGATCATGAAGGATATCGTAAGATCCACGTCCGGGGTAGATTGTCCCCCGTAGTGGTCAGTAAATCGAGATGTCACGAAGATAACGTGACGGCGCCATGCAAGAGGGTGTCGGTGGGACAGTGCAGTCGTCTAGATGATGGGGTTCTCCTTGGCCAGAGCATCGTGCTCATCAATGTCCCTGCAAAACAATTAGTGATTGCTGTGTCCAAGCCCGGGGTTAATACGTACTTGGCCTCCCAAGGGTAGCAAATCCAGACATCCTTGGTGGTAACGGAAGCATGGTAGCGACCGCTGTCCATCATATCAGCGGGGAGAACACCCTTCTTAGGCTTGTCCTTGTTCTATTGAAATCATCAGCCGACGTTCCACCCATGCGTCCGATCCAAACTTACGTGCAGAACGAAGACGAAGAAGTTGGTCTTCTCGCCCTCGCGACCGAGCTGCTTCTGGGCAAGCTCCACATCCTTCTGCAGCTCGCGCACGGCGTACTCCAAAGTTGTACGGGTGTCATCGACCTCGTCGACGATGAGAATGTTCTTGCCAATCAAGTTGGCCATCTCGAGGGAGCTCATGTCAAGCCATTGTGTGCGGGTGACCTTGGTGCCGGGAACCTCTTCGGCATCGCCACGACCAAGATCCTCGTAGAGGGAGAGACCGATGGCCTGGATGGGAATGTTGGGGTCGCCGGAGCGCTTGAGGAAGGAACTTGATATAACGTCAGTAGGTGAAGCGCGTGCGTGGGGTGGTCGGCATACCGGAGGATGCGGGCAGGAACGTAACCACCACCGCCAATGGCAATCATCAAGTTGGGGTGGAACTCCTTGAGGATCTCCTCGGCCGAGGTCTGACACAACTTGTGGACCTGCTGTAGTGTTAGACAGTGTTGCGGTAAGAGTTTCTGCAATTGTGCGGGGAGGTGCAGATCTCGGTGGGCATTTTGGTGCGTATAGTAGGGGAATCCTGACCTGGTTGTAGGTGACGTAGAACTTTTGAGACATGTTGAGGATGAGGATGAGATACTGAAAGTGAGGAATCTGAGATCAAGAAGATCAGGAATTCAATAGAGAGAAGATCAAGAACAAGAGAAGAAAAAAAAAAAAAAAAAAAGACCGAGGGGGAAAAATATGTCAATCGGCCCGGTGCGGGGCGCTATCTCCGGGGCAGTCTGCTACGTTCGTCCGCTTCTACCCTTTTGGTCCCTTTTTATATCTGCTCTCTTCTTTACTTTCCTTACTTCTTCCCCTACAACTTATTAACTTGAACCACGCTAAACTGTTATCATATCTCATTCCAAAGCATCATCTCAGCTATTAAGTTCAAGTGTACCAGGTGGGCTCGGGCACTTCATTCAACAGTGCATAGCGTCCCACTTCCCGATTCTTATACGCCACCGGGTCATGCAAACTATGCACCCGAATATCTCTCCAGAATCGATCCAAGCCAACCTTCGATGCAGTCGCACGAGCTCCAGTCACCTCAAACACTCCAGACGTCACCCGTAGACCCACGTCCGTGCTGACAATCTTGACACTCGCAACCCACTCGGCAACCTCTCCACGTTCGCGGGGAGTGAGAGCCGCCTTGTCATTCTGATAGCGGCCATAGAGCCCAGAGAGCTGATCACCTGCGCGATCGGCGAGCGCTTCGGTGGCTCGCAGGTGAGCGAAGAAGTTACCATATCGCTCGAGAATATAAAACTCCTCAGTCGGCGATTCCTTGTTGTCCCCTCCAAAGGGCCAGGCACGGGTAGACGTTGTCGTATACTTGGAAGCAAACTCCAAGGAACCAAGAGCAATACCCAGGTAAAAGTTACTGAAGACCAGCTGGATACTGCGGGGTTGTAAGTATTCAAGATTCGCGCAATCACTCTCGCAGATGGCACTTACGTAGGGAGAAGCAGAGTCGTGAACGCAATCTTCAGCGCATCATCCCGGGGCTGCTTGCTTGTGGCATCCCAGCCTAAGGCATCAGCCCAGGGAGCTCGCACATTGTCAATCTTCACACCTCCCGATTCGGTCAGTCGGAGGCCAATGTTGTTCCAGTTGTGAGCGAACTGGATGCCTGCCTGGCGGGTCTCGACCAGTGCGAAAATGTGATCTTGAGTTCCTTCGAGGACACCCTCGAGGACGGTCAAGTCGGACACCACACCGCCAGTGTTGAAGAACTTGTTTCCGGTGAACACAATGTGATCTCCATCGGAGACGATCTTCAAGTCGCTGTCGCGGGGGTTCACAGCGCCACCGATAAAGTAGTTGTTTGAAAGGACCAACTCGTTAGTACGCTCGGCTTGTTCAGGCGTACCGACAACATTGGCCGTAGTGGACCAAAGGAGGTGGTAGCCCAAGAGCATACCAATAGATCTAATTATCGCTCATTTAGCCATGACCCTGTGAAGAAAGAGTCTTCAAACTTACCCATCCGCTTTCGCAACCTCTCTGATCACTTTGTATCCCACACTCCAGGGTTGTTCTCCACCGCCATACTTCTTAGGTCCCAGAACCTTGGTCAAGCCTGCGTATTTAAGCAAAGCCACTTCGGCGCGCGGGGATTTGTTTTCATGATCTCTTTGAGCGGCATCTTTGGCGAGAACTTCAGCCACTTCGCGGGCTCGGGTCAGCCATGCTTCTTCGGTGTCTGGCAGGTTGGCCCATTTGGACTCGTATTCCGCATAAACAGCGGGGTCTGTGGCGGGGACGTTCTGGGACATGATAGAAGAGTAATAGTAATAGTTATTATTACTTTGCTGGGGAGTCGTGAGGCTTTATCTGTCTTATATGCATTGTCTCTCGGGCGATACTCTCATTACATGCTCCCCCGTCGATATCACGCAATGCGCCAACCCCAACACCCAAAAATGAGGGTCAATTCGTCAATTCTATTGCAAATGCCGTGCATCTCGTAGATCTCTTTTCAATAAACATTATTGTACAGTGGTGAATTATCACGTACATTATCTGAAATGATATCATTTTCTCGCGTCATTTCACATCCTCTTTTGCACTAAACTATATGTCCGATCTACTGCTTCTGCTTCTTCTTTCCAAATAGCCGCGAAGTATCACCCAGGGGTAGATCGACCAAAGATTCCAGTAACATCAAATGGAAGACAATGTACCACCCAATCAATCCAGCCAGGAAACAAAACACGCCGCCGGATTTCTTCAAGGCGACCGACGCAGCAGCGTTGCCGTCAGCCATGGCAAAGTAGCTCGCTGCCACTGTCAAGAAGCCAAGATCAACAAAGAGGAAGACCAAAATGTAGGCAACATTGCTGGGAAGCGATGCGATCAAGAATGTGAAAACAAAGACCGTCCACAGTATCATGAAGAACCCAACCGCATTATTATACTCGGGGGAGCTAGTCCCACCGTACGCCTGCGCGACACCGAATGCAGGTGTCAAGATTGCGCCGTAACCAGCGTAGAAAAGACCTAAAATATAAGCAGCTGTCTCCCACGCAAAGCCAGGTCGAGCTGCACTCACCGAAAGCACTAAACACCGTGTAGGCGAATCCATTCCCGATCGAGAGTTCCCATTGCGCAGTAATGACCAGTCCAAACGCGGCGATGAAGAAGAAATTAGCAACGAAGACATTGTCTGTCGTGACACCTCTCCATTCCATCAAACTCAACGAGAGGGTGGTCAGAGTGGTACCGAACGCCCCGAGCGCTAGAGCGGACTGTAAAAGATTAGTTTCTCTCTCGAACGGCATGTACACCAGTCATACCCCTGCGCCGAGTGTCTTTCGGGTCTCTACTAGTAGAGTACCGGTTCTTTGTTGCTGCTCAACATCGATTGTGTTACTGGCTTTGCCGGCATCGATGGAATCTTGGGTATTCGTAGACATCGCTGATCAATTGAGCACAAGATAAATCAAAATTCTAGAAGCAATAGACAAAAATAGGAGTCATCTAGGAAGAGCTTTATCTAAAAATCTACAAAGTTCATCACCTCATTGCCGATCATGATGGCGAGAGACGAACCCCAAGTCGCAACTAGGACAGATCCTCGGGTCTTGGTGTCGATCATTGAGGTCAAATTTGAATCGACCCAGAAGCTTAATCTCAAAAACATATCGGCCGAGTAGTGGAGGTATATATGCAGGTCGGGATCACACAATCGGCCCGGAGATGATGTGACCCTCTGAGAATAGCGGGGATGACGTTTGTGTTCAGTATGAGACCACACCTTACGCTGAACCTGACAGTCGTAGATTGCGATGTTCACAAAATTGAAAAGGAGAAAATGTAGCAGGCGACATTTTCACGTGTGAGAATTTCTCCCGAAATTCTATCGCGCCTGAACGACAAGCAATGTACGAGAAAATGCCTGTCTGGGGTTCGGACGCCGCTTCAGAGGATAAGGCGCATGAGCGCTTTCACAAGTTCACGAGAATTAGTGTTCAAGGTCGCTCTTTTCCACCACCGATGGATCACAATCGGATGCTGGGATGAGTAAGGAGTAACGCAAATTGCAGACGGCAAGGTAATCACCCGCTGTCCTCCAGAAGGTTTTGGGGCGACCAATATTCTTTTTCGGGGCCCTGGGCATCTAGCCAGACGAGGCCGTCGGCGAGCAAATCATCGATGACCGTCTGTGCCCGAGCTTTCTCCCAATTCAGGTTGAGCCGCAGCATGGAAACACTCACAAATCCCAGCACCTGAATAGCCTCGAGGACGGTTGCCTGGTCAGTGTTGAGTTCTTTTGGAACGGACCGAATATACTGCTTGCTACCCACGGTGACGATAGAGAACCCAGAGCCAAGGGGCTCAAGGGATCGAACGGCACGTAGGATATCGTCACTATGAAGCAGTTTCAGCAATCTAGACTCTCAAAGAAAGACACAGCATGGAATGGTGCATACTCTGAAACCTCAAGTCCACTTCCAATCGCCTTGCCCTTCCCCACTCGTTTGCGACACTCCCCCACGCCTATCAGACCACCATTCTCGCTTCTTGTCTCCCTACATAGCTCCACAACACGAACGGCAACCTCGAAATAGAAGTCATTCATATCTCCGCCCAGAATCTGGGTCCAAAAGCTGCCGCCCTCTCCCAGTCCTCGGCGACCATTCTTGCCCTTGATATTGCTTGCGGCGAGTGGGTCGACTCCGATGGTATTACACATGCGCGCAAACTCTGCCCGAAAGGTAGGATTTGACTTGATATCTGAGCTGTGCTCTAGCGCGAAGGTATGGAGCAATGACTGGAAGACCGACAACTGGGTCTGGAGGGAGGCCGTATGTGTCGAACGTAGGTTAGCGCCATGAGTCGCCCACGATTGAGTCGTTTGGTTGCGATTTGCAAAGGCCCCGAGGCCAACTCCGCGACGAGACATGGTAAGCGAAAAGGGGCGGACCGCGTGGGTGGTGGATACCGGTAGTTAACGAAGTGGTGAGCTACCCCAGGTTTGAGTCAGTAGTCAGCTAGGCGTTTCAGGCATGAAGTCATCTGATAAGCGCCAACCCTTATCATGTTGTTATCTCACGTGCGATAAGGGCTGGTACCATAAATGGTTTAGCGTGGGTTAAGTTTACGGTCCAATCATGTATGGCTACCTGGACCCGCACTCGTTAAGCGAATTCTCTTCCCCAATACCCGTCCCTACAAACTTTTTTTCTTCTTCTCTTCATCCCTCGACAACCCGACGACATCCTTCAAAATGGCCGGTACCACGTATGATTCCCAATGACTTCCCCAAGACTGATACATTCTCTGCTTGAGTTTGTGAAGTTCTGGACATAGTCGCCCTTCTCGCTGGGGATGCCTCAGTCATCGCAAGATGGCTGTCCGGCACCAGCTCGATCTTTCCTGCCCTCTCTCGATTCCTTCGATTTCGAATAAAGATAGAGGGTGATGGAGTCTTGAGGTTGAAAGCGCCTGGCGCCTTCTCCTCCAAAAACATTGTTGAGAGCTATCGTCTTGAGTGCACAGTGCGGTAAAAGCATCTTGCTCAATTCGAAGAGTGTCAACAGATTTCCTGAACATTGTTCGGGGTTTTGTCGGATGAAGGCATCACAGACGCGCGGGTGATCTGAAACTTGAGAAAGTCATGCTGGAATATGCATGATCAGTACCGGTTTACCATCGATCACAAATCCCGACGTCTTGGCCCTCACTGACTAAAGACATTTCGTCGAGTTTATTTATGCCTTCAGTTGAGAATGTGGCGCTATGCCACAGTTCTTTCACTCGGCGAATCGTTTCAGTCTTGATCTTTTTCTAAGACAGACTGTACTAACTTACCATAGCTCCGTTCCCACCCAGAACCAGGTCCTCGTTCCCGAGACCCTTCTGAAGAAGCGCAAGTCCCAGGAGGCTGCCCGTGCTGAGAGCCGTGCTGCCGCTGAGGCCACCAAGAAGGTTAGTGACTCCTCTCTCCGCCTCATTTCTGCACCGCAAACAACCCCCTTTTCAAATTTCTATGATGCATAACTTTCAACCACGATTGACTAGGCAGCTACCACTGTCGATGCTGTCCTTCGTTAACCATCTTTCGGGTCTGACACGTACTTGAAAACCACCTGCCATTATCTCACACGAATTCTTTGCGAGATTTCGTGCTAACTGTTCTCAATTCAGGCCAACAAGGAGAAGCGTGGTGTCATCTTCAAGCGTGCCGAGTCCTACGTCCAGGAGTACCGCAACGCTGAGCGCGAGAAGGTCCGCCTCAACCGTGTTGCCCGCCAGGAGGGTAACTTCTACGTTGAGGATGAGCCCAAGCTGGTCTTCGTCGTCCGCATCAAGGGTATCAACAAGATCGCCCCCAAGCCCCGCAAGATCCTCCAGCTCCTGCGTCTCCTCCAGATCAACTCTGGTACCTTCATCCGTCTCACCAAGGCTACCCAGGAGATGTTGACCATCGTCAACCCCTACATTGCCTACGGTTACCCCAACCTGAAGTCCGTCCGTGAGCTTCTCTACAAGCGCGGTTACGGAAAGGTCGACAAGCAGCGCACTCCCTTGACCGACAACCAGATCATCGAGGAGCACCTCGGCAAGTTCGGCATTGTCTGCATGGAGGATCTCATCCACGAGATCTACACCGTTGGCCCCAACTTCAAGCAGGCCAACAACTTCCTGTGGCCCTTCAAGCTCTCCAACCCCAACGGTGGCTTCCGCACCCGCAAGTTCAAGCACTACATTGAGGGTGGTGACACCGGTAACCGTGAGGAGAACATCAACGGTCTCATCCGCCAGATGAACTAGATTTTCTTCCTTCTGAGAGATCTGGTCAGGTGTGTTCTTTGAACGCACCGCCAAAAATACAAAAATTTTACGACTTTACTGTCTTGGGTTGTTTCTTGCACGGGCTGTTTATATCCACTAGTCAATTTTTTTAGCGATACTAAGGTCTGGGATTTCCGATCAATTTAATGCTTCAAACAACCCAATCGCTTGGTCATGTACCTCTTCTAAAACACTGTAGCCCGTAGTACACTCACAGGTTGGGTGTCCTCTATCGAGCTGAATCAGGGGAGGGATAACTCCCATCCGTGCAGACTTTTCTCGATCTTGCCTTTCTTCGATCTTCTTTGGGAACCTGTGGGTCTAGGATCGTATTCCCAGGCAATTTGAGGTGATCTGCCTCCCAGAGTCCAACTCGGTCGGTGTCTTGGTTTGCCGGTGATGCCCTTTGCGTTCGCCACGGCTTGACTGAATGATCCGTTCTTCCAGTTGCAATAATTACATTGTCCAATGCCTCGGTGGTTGAAGCCTTGGAAGCTTCCAAGGGTTTTGCTCTTAACGCCATCCATGTGGCAATCAAAACATATTCTCCAAAGTATTGATTGTCAGATCAATAAAATGCAGGATTATACCAGACCGACTTGGTAATACAATACATTCAGCTCTTCCTAGCCCTTGGCTTGATCGAAGTACCCATTTTAGAGTGCTTAGGGGTTCTCCGTACGGGGTGGACTCGAAGTTCGGAGTACAAAGTCCAAGTAATGGATTTAAATACATACCAACACTCCCAGGATCGGATATATACACTTGGAGGTCTGCCAGGGCAAAATCTGCTTGATCTAATGCGAACGCGTGACATCTGGACCGAGTCCATCGAAGACATATTCTGCGTCTATCATATTTGGATGACCTCTTGGACTCTCCGGTTGCGATCGACCACAAGACGAAGCTGTCGGCCTTGCCATTCAGCGTCGGACGTCGATGTTGAGTGCGCACCAGGCTTGAAAGCGCCCTCGCGGAGAGTTTCGGTGAATAATTCATATGACGGGTAATCTATTGTTGATCGATTAGTATAGCCGCAGGGAGACAAAATTTACGGTCCACCTACAGCCGTCCACAAAGTGGTTGACCTGTTCTTCGGTCATTCCAGTGCCCTTGGCAGCACGAAGAGTGCGTTCCTGTTCCTGACGCCATTCGTAAACAAAGCGCGGGTTCTCAGCGTCACTGGAATGAAAGGTTAGTATATCGAACTGCATCATCCCCCTCAAACTCAACCATACATGTGAATTAAAGCATCTAGCTTGCTGCAAGTGACAAAGTGTTAGCAATACAGTCCAATCGAGAAGAGCTGGACACTTACTTGGTCAAAACATCATAATGTCTCAAGGCATCGTTCACAGCTTTCACATCCTCGAATTGGACATGTCCCAACCGTCCGTGATAGTCCCCGGACTCCTTCTGGCGCACAGCGGCCTCCCATTTCGCGCGCAGAGTGTGGTCATCCCAGGCGCGGAAGCCCACACACCACCCTTCAAAGATCACCACCTTGACTTTCTTGTCCCCTTCATTGACGACTTGCCATTGCGCGGTGGGCACACGATCGCCCTGCCCCGCGAAGGCAGACTTATCATACTGGGGAATGGCCGTTGGTGATTCCGTCGCCAGAGAAGCAAACACCTCCTCGCCCAAGGCTAGATCATGTGTAGAAGGCTGCCCCCGATGCTGCAACAACGGATTGGTGGGGTGGGCCTGGGCCAAGGCGACCTGGTCGGCGTGGGTCAAGTAGAGGTCGTCGAGGGACAGTGTCACGACGGAGAGTGAATATGGTGCTGATCGCAGGGTGTCATTGAGAGCGGATACCTGGTGGTGTTAGTCCGAGGGGACTTCTCCCGAGGCATTGAGACCTACAAGGACCGTCTTGCCGGCCCCTTGCACCCCATTCAGACCGATGAAGAATGGCGGGGTATTACCGCGGTGCCGGTCGGTATGGAGACGCAACCGGTCGAGTAGAAAGGGGATGCAGTGCTGGGACTTGTCGTCTATAATTTCCGGCATGTTGAATATGTGAAGTATCACAGGTTGCACGGGAGATTTACGAGTCTATATGAGGAGACGAAGCTCGGCCGAGACCCCCACGGGGGAAGTTCAGCCGCTACTTTCTCCGGTCTTTCAATCATTATAACAGTTATTATAGAAGAGAGAAGGAAGAAGAAGAAGGATGTTATATTTAAATTGTCACAATCAATAGTCAACAGTCAACAGTCATGACACTGAAAGATCAAATAAGCACATGGTAATGACGCGTATCACATGAGTTTGACAGATACTTGGCGATAATATGGGGAATGCCAGCATAAAGCAAGTACTCCGTACTTTTATGCAATTACGCACGGGAGTGTTCTTCGGTGTTCAGATGATGCTCTCTCCCCGTACAACTGCTGCATTACACAAAATTACCACAAAACAGAATATATTACCACCTTCTCTATGAGTGCGGCATGTGATACATGAATCGGAGCTGTACCATTACAGACCCCATCTTTTTTCCAGCGATCGAGCCGAGGTCCCATCTTGCCGAGCTACTTTAAACTCCCCTCCTTCTCCAGCTTTCTCCTTTACTTCCTTGCTTTCTGTTTAATTTAGGACACACATACACATAATGTCCGAACTACGATTTGATAACCAGACTGTCGTCGTCACCGGCGCTGGCGGTGGTCTGGGGAAAGCATACGCTCTCTTCTTCGCTTCAAGGGGCGCCAACGTCGTGGTCAACGACCTCGGTGGTTCTCACAAGGGTGAGGGCAAGTCAGGCAAGGTATGTACAGCAGCCCCAATCTCAGACGGCCAGAGACTAACCGTACCAAAGGCCGCAGATGATGTCGTCGAGGAGATCCGTGCCGGCGGCGGCAAGGCCGTTGCCAACTACGACAGCGTCGAGAACGGTGAAGCTATCATCGAAACCGCCATCAAGGCGTTCGGCCGCATCGATATTCTGCTCAACAACGCCGGTATCCTGCGCGATATCAGCTTTAAGAACATGAAGGATGCCGACTGGGATTTAATCAACAGAGTTCACACCTACGGTGCATACAAGGTGAGCCTTTTTCTTCTTTTCATTCGATCGATCTCAGCATCTTTCGCCACGGGCCATTGAATCAGAAACTGATGATGATCTTCAACAGTGCGCCAGAGCCGCTTGGCCTCACTTCCGCAAACAAAAATTCGGCCGCGTGATCAACACCGCCTCCGCCGCCGGTCTCTTCGGCAGCTTCGGTCAGGCCAACTACTCGGCGGCCAAGCTTGGTCAGGTCGGTTTCACCGAGACTCTGGCCAAGGAGGGTGCCAAATACAACATTATTGCCAACGTGATTGCTCCCATTGGTAAGTCGGCCGCTACGAAATCCTCCATGGATCTAGACTGATGGTTTTATGTGTTCAGCTGCCAGCCGCATGACCGCGACTGTGATGCCCCCCCGATGTTTTGGAGAACCTGAAGCCCGACTGGGTCGTTCCTCTGGTGGCTGCTCTTGTGCACTCCTCAAACACCACCGAGACTGGTGGTATCTACGAGGTTGGTGGTGGCCACGTTGCGAAGCTCCGCTGGGAGCGAGCCAAGGGTGGTCTTCTCAAGACCGACGACTCTCTGACTCCTGGTGCGATCGCCCGCAAGTGGAACGATGTCAACGACTTCTCCAAGCCCGAGTACCCCACGGGTCCGGCAGACTTCATGGCTTACCTGGAGGACGGCCTCAAGATGCCCAGCGCACCCGCTGGCGAGGAGCCTGACTTCAAGGGCCGTGTGGCTCTGGTCACCGGTGGTGGTGCCGGCCTTGGTCGCGCCTACTGCTTGCAGTTCGCCAAGCTTGGTGCCAAGGTCGTTGTGAACGACCTCGTTGACCCCGAGCCTGTTGTCCAGGAGATCAAGAAGCTCGGCGGAGAGGCCGTCGGCAACAAGGCCAACTGCGAGGACGGTGATGCCGTCGTCAAGAGTGCCATCGATGCCTTCGGCCGCATCGATATCCTTGTCAACAACGCTGGTATCCTCCGCGACAAGGCTTTCACCAACATGGATGACAACCTGTGGAACTCCGTTGTCAATGTCCACCTGCGTGGTACTTACAAGGTGACCAAGGCTGCCTGGCCCTACTTCCTCAAGCAGAAGTACGGCCGTGTTGTCAACACTGCTTCCACCAGTGGTATCTACGGTAACTTCGGCCAGGCTAACTACGCCGCCGCCAAGCTTGGTATCTTGGGTCTCTCCCGCACTCTCGCCATGGAGGGCGCCAAGTACAACATCAAGGTCAACACCATCGCCCCTAACGCTGGTACCAACATGACCCGTACCATCATGCCCGAGGAGATGGTTCAGGCATTCAAGCCTGATTACGTTGCTCCTCTGGTCGTTTTGCTGTGCTCCGACATGGCCCCTGAGCCTTCCACCAAGGGCCTGTTCGAGTGCGGTAGCGGTTGGTTCGGCCGCACCCGCTGGCAGCGCACTGGCGGTCACGGCTTCCCCCGTGGACGTCAAGCTGACCCCCGAGGAAGTGGTCCGCAACTGGAAGCAAATCGTCAACTTTGACGATGGCCGCGCTGACCACCCCGAGGACGGCCAAGCTGGTGCCGAGAAGATCATGGCCAACATGTCTAACCGTGTGCACGGCGAGCCCGCTGGCGAGAACGAGACCCTGAAGTACATCGAGAAGGCCAAGACTTTGTCTACCGAGGGCACCACCTTCAACTACGAGGACCGCGATGTCATTCTGTACAACCTCAGCTTGGGTGCCAAGCGCACCGACCTACCCCTGGTCTACGAGAACAACGACCACTTCCAGGCTCTCCCCTCGTACGGTGTTGTTCCCTGGTTCAACACCGCTGTCCCTTGGAACATGGACGAGCTGGTGAAGAACTTCTCCCCCATGATGCTGCTTCACGGCGAGCAATACATGGAGGTTCGCAAGTTCCCCATCCCCACCACCGCCAACACCCTGACCTACCCCAAGCTCATTGACGTTGTCGACAAGGGCAACGCCGCCATCGTCATTGCTGGCTACACCACCAAGGACGCCAAGACCGGCGAGGACCTGTTCTACAACGAGTCCACCATCTTCATCCGCGGCAGCGGTGGCTTCGGCGGCTCCCCCAAGCCCACTGTTCCCCGTGCCAAGGCTGCTATCGCCGCCAACAAGGCCCCTCAGCGCGCCCCCGACGCTGTCACCGAGGAGAAGACCTCCGAGGACCAGGCCGCTCTCTACCGTCTCAACGGTGACCGCAACCCCCTTCACATCGACCCCGAGTTCAGCAAGGTCGGCGGCTTCAAGACCCCCATCCTTCACGGTCTTTGCTCGCTCGGTGTGGCCTCCAAGCACATCTTCGCCAAGTACGGAGCCTACAAGAACCTCAAGGTTCGCTTCGCCGGCGTGGTTCTCCCCGGTCAGACTCTCAAGACCGAGATGTGGAAGGAGGGCAACAAGGTCCTGTTCCAGGCCACCGTTGTCGAGACCGGCAAGCCTGCCATCTCTGGCGCCGGTGCTGAGCTCCTTGAGGGCGCCAAGGCTAAGCTGTAAAGTAATTGAAGCGATATCCCATTAGCAAAGCGAGCCCGAACAATTCGGAACAGATCGTTGCCTCTTTGTATATACTATCTCGTCTTTCTCACTTTGTTTTAGTTTTCTCTTGTCCATTTTCTCTTTGAATGGTGAATATGACATTTTCGGGTTCAATCCCAACGATCCCCTTAAAAGTAGTTGCGCTAGGCTTCGGAATAGCCGCCGAAGATGTCCACCCCCCGCAAGCTGAGTCTCATTGTTCTTCTGAACTCCATTTCCAGCCAGAAGAGGGGATCATGGCGGCAAGCATGAACAATTCCACTGACGGTGCCATAGCTTCTAATCTATCTAAGAGAAGACACTCCGAAATGGCAGGGGAGTATTGACAATAATCAAGAAGGGTTGAGGAAAGGAGGGGTCCATGGCCCAACTGCTGACATCGGCGTTTCGAAAGTTCAGAGACCCGAAGACCTTCAAAGAGACTGGGACGTCTTGATGCAACCTCTGGTCACTGAAGACAAGACGCTGTTGAATCTCCTTGCTTTTTCGATCCTGATGCAATACCACATTCGCTACTCTTGAACAATAGAGCACATATTACCGAGCCAAACTTGCAGTTCTTAACAGATTTCCACGGGTGAGTCTCGAGTATCTTGCTTCATCTGCAATGCTGCTCACACTCAACAGGGTTTACAATGCCGTCACAAGTCTGAGGAGAGCATCACTGTTTGACCCATCGTCCACACGCAAAGTGATCAAACTGCAACGATCTGTGCAAAATGCTGTGATGTCGCGCCTGACAGAGGCAGATAAGATGCTATACATCGACTGTGCCATTCAAATTTTGTCTTCCAGTTTTCCAAACTCGTGGATGGAAAGGACAGACCAGCAAGGCTTTGGATGGAAGTCATGGCAAACTGTCAACGCAGTTCTACCGCATGTTAATCACCTCGTGGAACTAGCAAAAGAATGTCCATTCAATCTCCCCAACATGGAGCTATTCGCGGAATTGATCTTCCGCACTGGAACGTAAGCTGACTATGATTCTGCATAATATTGTTCTTGCGACTGACCAGATGAAGATATTTGTGGGAACGTGAACAGCCGACAAAAGCACGTTGTCTCTTTGACTACGGTCTCTCTCTCCCAATCGACCGCTGCACTGCAAATTATGCGCATGCTTGGAGGCTTCTAGGTCACATTGCACTAGATCTAGCTCAACCAGAGTCCGCCTTGGGCGCCTATCAGAAGGCTCTGAAGATTAGACTCGAACTCGAGGAGAATTCTCCTCCGATTGCAGAAGTGTATGAATCAATTGCCTGCAGTTATACCGAGATGGGAAAGGTCACCGAAGCCTTTGAATACCTTTCGAAAGCCGAAGCTATCCACAACGCCCACAATCCGCTTCACATGGCTAGAACGCATGCAATCTACGCTATGACATACCTCCGGGCTGGTCGGCCCGGGGAGGCACTGGAGGCGTTGGAGAAATACTGGCTGCTGCAAAATTTGACAGAGGAACAGATCATTAATTCTGAGTATCCAAAGCATAGTGGCGATATTGTCCTGCTTGCCAGAATCAAATATGCTCAAGGCCTACCGTCGGAAGCCCAGCAGCTTGCATCCAAAACTGTCTCTATTCGTCGAGATCTCTACGGTGACCACAGCCCTCGAGTGGCGGACTCTATGTTTCTGGTCACTCAACTGCTGGAAGGCGCCGATGAACATGCATTGGCAGCAAAGATGCTCCGCCAAATCGTTGACCTGAGTCGAGGTGTTTCCGAAATGCAAGGCCACCTCGCACGGTCCTTGTGGTTTCTCGGAAAATTGGAGCGGCGATTGGGTGATATTGATTCCGCTGAGCGCCTGCAAGCCGAGGCATTCAATGAACGCAACAAGCTTGATGGGATCGGTCCTCTGAGTGAGAATGTGGATGAATGTTTCACAAGCTTGGTGAGTTGGATGCTCTGGTAGAGATGATTGGTATAAATTAGCTAGTCCATAAATTAGCCACGTCGAGTCATTCTCCGGCGCACTGCAGTCCGAATGACCATGGGCAGATCAAAGGATGGTCCAAGTTAGCTTTGAGGAGCTTTGATGCGTGAGCATGAGCATGGACCCTGGATTGGGCTTCAAGTTCATGCCCGGATTATGCCTGCAGTAGTCAGATCAACATGCAGCATCATGCGTACGCGTGGGATGAGATATGCGTAATTGACGGAATGCGATCGCGGTGAGGCACTCCGTACGGAGGACATATAACATTTTAGGCCTCTCCGAGAATTAAATCTGCAACAACCCGATTCTGGTAATAACATGTTCTAATGATGATCGAAATATTCGTAGGCACCTGAATTGAGTGCTTGGCAGATCCACAATGCCCAGGCGCGGTTGGGAAGACCAGGTATCTTTTATATTGGATTTCCATACAAAAGGTACGTGTGGACATCAAAGGCAGATTCCTATTTAGGAAGTGACCTCAGCATCACATGAATGGATGAGAATTATCTCAGCAGGTTTTAAGTAAATCTTCTACTTGATTGTCTCGAAGATATCACTAAATATTGTGATTTTAATTAAGTGTAGCAGGAATTGAAACATTTTTGTAAATTTCAGGTGAGGGACTACTCCGTATAATATAGCGCACAAATCCAAAGGAATCACCAAAAAAAAGTCTACAAAGAGGACACGAAAAAGGCCAGCCCAGCTTGGCAGAGGTCCACCGTTTGAGTCGAGTGACCAAGAGTAGGTTTCTTTTCTATGGGGACCCCATAGAAAAGATACTCCACTGAAAATTTGAACATGACGGTGCGGCTGACGGGGAATTTAAAAAAATCCCCCAAAAAAAAAAAAAAAAGTTAAAAAAAACGGGACTCAGCCCTGAGAAGTTTCCCTCGGAGCTTCTTCTTTGGTGTAGAAGTGGAAGATGGAACCCGAAACAGGGGCTAACCGGGGGCGTACAGGAGCTTTCCAGGGGCGAAACGGAGACCGGGAGGCCTAAGAGCTACCCGCTTCCCGATAGACTTTTTCTGCGGCTCCACTCACATCCCACTGTTTCTTCTTTATTTTCTTTTCTGATTTCTTATTTCTTTTATATCTCTGCATCACCATGACTACCCTCCAACCACATGCTTTCTCTCTAGCACACGCTCTCCCTGAGCTCTAACAACGGCTGGCCGTGCGTATATCACTGCGTGTTGCCGACCTCGCTCGTGATTCGTTTTCCGACTCAGGACAAAGCTCGCTCTCTCTGGACCTGCAAGGTTATCATTGATTCCTTGAGCACGTCAACCTCCTCACCGCATCGATAACGGAATCCGTCATCTGGCCAGTCTGAGGACATTCTCAGTCCCTGCCACCAGCTCCCCGTGCCAAGGGCAGTTGCCATTGCTGCATTCTTTGTCCAAAAAAAAAGCTATCTCCCAGGGGTCCTTCACCGAGCTTCTTTGCTGCGGGAGACCAGTCAAATTCCTATCTCAACTTGGCTTTTTGATATTTCTTTTTTACATCCTGGACTGTCACCATGGGTGTGGCATAACCGGCTCGAGCATTTGATCTTTCCTGTACTTCAGCGCCGTTCCTATATCACCTGGGACTTTCCTCTCCAATTTTTGTTTCCTGGAGTCCGCACACACACACACACACATACCCATCTCAGCACCTCGTTGCTCTCCATCCACCATGGCCCCCAATCTCTTCCTCTGTGCGCGCATGATCTTCTGCCCAGTTTACTGGTTCCAGAAGGGGGATCGCGACAGTGACCTCAAAGAGCAACACTGGCAATCTCCCGTTCCGGGCACCTACAAGTTCCTCCCGGGTCGCGGCTGGCATCTCGTCCACCGGGATGGACAGGACAACGAAGAAAAAGTCCCCGCCGCGCTCGTCTACTGCCGCATCCTCCATCGGTACATGTTTGAAAGCGAGTTAGAAGAGCGCTGCCGCTGGTTCGACGCCCCGTTGCACAAAGGTGGCCGCCCGGAGAAGCTGCGCTTCTTCCTCCTTGACGACGGCATCCACTGGGTCGCTGGCTGGGATGCCCAGGGCAACTTCATCCCGGGTCCATACCCCAAGTGGTGGCTCGATGAAGATGGCCACACCATGCGCCGTGGTGCTTCTCCTCCCACCAGTGCCAACGTCTCTCGCTGCAGCAGTATTATCGCTGGCAAATTCGACTAAGCCACCCGTCGCCTCACAACACTTCCCACTTGAGATTCCCATACTTTGTTTTAGCGCTTGTATTTCCATCTTGCGAAGCGTTCAAGCGAATATACTTGCTCTCATGTCTAAAAGTACCTTGGCTTTTTTTTTACCCCTTTGGTTGGTTTTTGTTATTGGATGGTCCTGGGGTTTTGCAATGAGAATTTTAGAATACGGAGTACATAGATCTTAGTTAGATTAGACTATCATTGATCAGATGATCTGCACACGTTTTGTTTTCCATCCCAAGTTGGATGATCTTTTCAAATTCGAGACCTGGGCAACATACCACTGTAGGGCCCTTGGGGTCTAGACCTCCCGGGCTGGGAATCTATAGATCATACTGGTCCGGTCTATATATAAACATCACCTTGGACCAAGGACCGGACGCAAGGGACGCCAAACAAAGAAGATATCAATAACACCTAGGGCTAGAACTGATTTTACAGTTCTTTTTGACAAAGTAGGCCCATATAAAATATTCCATGTACGGTTATCGCAGAATGTGACAAGGCAGTATTCTTTTCTTGGCACTGCAATCGGCCCGAGATATACATTGTACATTTCACGCAGGAAGTAAGGGATCAGACTGAATAAGTACACCGGAGTGCAGAGTATACCTAACAGAGAAAAGAGAGCGAGATTACACAAATGAAAAGAAGGAAATGGACGAAAGGCATACTCCGTACGGAGCAGAGTGGAAAGATCTTAGAAAGTTAGGCGGCAGCCTTATGTAACCCTTTTAGATGCCTTGAACCCCCTCTCATAACTATACTTCCCTACATCTCTCAATCTTTAACCCTCTCTCTCTACCCCTCTGTGTCTCTCTATCCATCTCTCCCATTCAAACGATGTAGCTGAGTCTGCAATCACAAAGATGGTGCTCTCGCTACCCGTCCCCGGCTTCTCCAGATCGTCCGCAACTCCCCGCCTCGCTGACGGCACGCCGCAATACCGAAACTCTGCGCGCGCCAACGGCACCAGCCGTGCGTGGAGACCCTCCTTTTCAACTGCATCCCCGGGGAGTTACTCCGGTACCCTCACCGAAGCCCTTCGCAATAATCCTTTCGGCCACACGCGGCGCGCCAGCCAGCCCGTCCCCACGGAAGAACAGCAGCAAGAACAAGATGAGCTGAATGCGGCTTTGGAAACCTTGGCCCACATATTCCCTGATGTCCGGATAGAGGTGTTTCGCGAGTTATTAGTGCGCTTTGATGGACTGAGCAGGACACAGATCTGCGTGGAAGAGCTGCTCAGGAACAAAGAGAAGTGGGTGTCGGGACGATGGAACCTTCAAGAGGATAGCGAAACTGCAGAGGAGATGTCATCCTCGGAAGCTCTTGCGCAACCCCACGAGGACGACTTGGTCTCCTCTCACGAACGCTTCCGCTCCCTCGAGTACAAGGCGGCTGTGCGAACGGCCATGACCAAAGAGTTCAACGGCCTTAGCAACAGTACGATTGAAGCTGTCTTGGCTGAAGTGAATTTCAGTTACGCTCGGGCACGGCCGACACTCCGCGATCTCTCGCGTCGGACTTGGCGCGCCACTTTCACCAGCATACTCCCGTCTTTCAGGAGGAAGAAGGACCGGGAAGAACATCCGCTTATGGTGTGGCATCGAAATGAAGAAGGAGAACTTCTTCCTGCTCTGAAAGAAACTGGATGCCTTGAGCTGGATGCCGAGCTCCACGAGACGATGGTGGCGCCACTGTTACGAAAGAGGCGGGAAGAACAAGAAAGCCAGGACTTTACATATGCTTCTGACCTGAACGAGAAAGAGGCACAGGCTGTCGATGCCTTGTATGAATGCGAGTGTTGCTTCGCAGATGTGACTTTCGAGCAGATTGCGACCTGTTCGAGCAACACTCACATCATCTGCTATCATTGCATACAGCGGACTGTCTCGGAAGCATTGTTTGGCCAAGGCTGGGGCAAATCAGTGGACCTGGAACGGTCTTCATTGAAATGTCTCGCGCCGGTGTCTGTTGGGTCATGCGAAGGATGTCTTCATCCGGAGATTGTCAAGCAGGCAATCCTCCTCGATACAGCTGGGTTTGAAACATATCGCAAATTCGAAGATCGCCTATCTTCAGAGGCTCTTATGAAATCCCAACTGAAGCTCATTCGGTGTCCGTTCTGTTCCTACGCGGAGATCGATCCAGTCTATCATCCCTCTCGCCGTGGCGTTTGCTGGCGTTTTCGCCGCGACGCCGGCATTGTCCCTACTATTCTAATGATCCTCTTCATCCTTGATCTTGTCCCATTACTCGTGATTCCAGTCTTGATTCTTCTAATCCTGGACCCAGCCACCGTGACAGCGATCTTTAGCAATGCAATCCGCAACCTCTGTCTCAAGATCCGTCCCAAAAGATTCAAGTGTGTCCATCCGTCTTGTCTCCGCACAAGCTGTATGACATGCCAGAAGCCTTGGCGAGATCCGCACGTTTGTCACGAACCCTTGCTTCTGGACCTTCGCGCCACTGTTGAGGCAGCCCGCACAGCCGCGGTGAAACGCACATGTCCACGTTGCAGTCTCTCGTTTGTCAAATCATCCGGCTGCAACAAGCTGACCTGCGTCTGCGGCTATTCCATGTGCTATCTATGCCGCAAGGCACTAGGGCCGCCCATACAACCGCCAGCCCGTCCTCGGTACAATGTCCACGATGGCGCAGGGGACCAAGAAGATCCCATCGAGGGCGCAGACTTCTTCCACGACGAGTTCGAAGAACCAGAAGGCTACAAGCATTTCTGCGAGCACTTCCGCATCAATCCAGGTTCCCGATGTACTGAATGTACCAAATGCAATTTGTATCAAGCCGAAGACGAGGAAGCTGTCGCGCGACGTGCAGGAGAAAAAGCGGAGCGCGACTGGCGGATTCGTCACGGTGATGTCGGCACTACCAACCCGATCTCGGTTGCCTCCCGGAATATCAACCAAGATCTTGCAGCCGGAGGCGAGAATCCCAAACGCCGTCCCCCGGTGCTCCACTGGGATATGCAACTTATTACGGGGAAACCGTGGGCCTACTGGCTGGGAGATGTGTGGTCAGATGGTCGGTGGAAACTGGAAGGTCAAGCTCTTGCCGATTGGATTGTGGAACGGATTGTTGTCGTCCAAGACGAATGACAGTGGGATTTAGGATTTCTTGTATTTTGGGGTTTTACACTATTGGCGTCTCTCGGTTTTCTTTTTCTTTTTCTTTTTTGGAAAAGGAAGCATTACTTTTGCAGCGTTGATTAATTTGGATGACTTGATGATTTACGACACTCCTTTTGATACTTCCAAGGTTGGCCTCATTTCCTACCAACAGGGTAGGTGAGGATATTACTTTCTTTAATGAGATATTTTTTAGGGCCTGTGACTCGCCTCATTGCAAAGGAAGAAGAATACTCCGTACATGGGGTTCAGTTAATTTCTCGATCCTGATCCTGCACCAGTAACCTTGGGAGATCAATTTCACGACACCATTTTCCCAGAAAAGAAATCAACGCTACGATCTTCACGGTCTATGTGTCAGCGTAGGATTTCTTGACTTTGGACAGTCTTTGGCCCCCACAGGATTCCCGAGGTCGGACCCTGAAGACTACACGTCCCTGACGATCAGCCCAGTTTATGATCAGACACATTTGCCTGATTTAGAACATTGCTCACGCTAATCCGATATTCAAATCAAACGTCCCACAGCTCCAATGCTTAACGACCGCATTGTTGCAGGATCCCCGCTCGGGACTTTCCCTGGGCGAGGAGATGCTTCATTAGAGCTGACAGGACGAGCAGATCTCCAGGGAACAACAATGTACCTGATACAAATGAAAAGACCATATCCCCAAAACGATCAGAGATCATCACCCGCCCCCAAACGGTGGGGATACCGTTCACATACCATGGTTCACTATAAAGACAATACTGGTCCTTCTCAGCATTATACCTGGCATAGATCAGATAGCAACAACAATGCTTCATTCTCTGGCCTTGACGGCCCTCCTCGTCCTGCCAGCAGTGCAGGCAGCACCCCCCCGTCCACAAGCCCATGGGAATCTACCGTCGTTGCGGCCCAGTGTCCAAGTACTATAACCAACAGACCTCCGACTGGGACAACAATCAAGTTGGTGACTGGATCAACAACTGGTGGAATGGCCACAGTGACCTCATATCCAACAACTCGGCTGGATTTGCTGGTGCTTTTGGGCAATGGGCTATGGGAAATCCAGACTGGAGCTGTCGGGATGATGGCTCAGACTCAGACTGTGATCTTCAGCTGTGTGACAACCGCGTGCTCAACGATCGTGGAAACGATATCCGTCCCACCTACTATGTTCTCGAGTCAGTGAATCGTCTTCATACTTACTTTACTGGTATTGGTGAGGCCTTCGTTACTACCGCTTTGGGGGCGGCTTTGTCGAAGGATTCATGGGCAACAACTTTCTACAAGGACAAAGATGATAAGAGCGTTACTGCTCTTAAGGAAGTGCTGACGCTTGTGACTACGATTGTCGGGGTTGGTGCATCGTTCGCTGGCTTGGGTCCTGCGGTGGCTGGTGCCGTTGCTGGTGCTGGTAGTGCGCTTACGAGTGGCGGTATCGCAGCGGCTGTCAACACTCTTCCTAGCCAGTATGTATCAACCTGGCCATTTTTTCAAGAATTAGACTAACCACCGATATAGTCAGGATGATACTTTTGAGAAGTCCGCCGATCTGGGCGGGATCCTGGGCAGCATTGTAGTGGACTCGCTCAAGTCCTTCACGACAGCCAACAACCAGCTCATGGGCGGCCAGTCTTACGGCGATGCCGACATCCGCAGTTATCTCTCCGGCGGCGCCTTCCTTGCCTATCCCGGTGTCGACAAGAACTCCGTCACCGACGCCATGACCAACATGTTGGTTGGTGTTTCCATCAACCAGCTGTATCGCACGCAGAAGATCTTCATCATGGGTGGTGGTGCCTGCGACGATAACCAAGGCATTGGATCCGGTCCTCAAGAAGCGACAGTCTGCCGCGACGGTCAGGCCTGGTACCTCTACTACTGGCAAGAGAACGACGTGATTTCCACAACCTCCCACCAGTGGGGATGGGTTGCATCACCTCCAGGAGCCGACCAGCTCGGACAAGGCGCCTACAGTGGTGTCAGCGTCCAGGTTTGTCTCAAAGAAATCCATCGTAAGACATCATGCTAATTTCCATAGGACATCATCAACTCCTCTCTCGACGCATACAACGTCGCCGGCTATAACTATGATGCCGACACAGCGGCCAGTCGTGCCTCGGATGCCATTTCCAATTCCTGGGCAAGCCCTGGGTCGCACGGTGCGTCTTGGGAAGGTATCTTCACTATCCCGGTTTGTGATGTTGGCGGTGCGGTCAACTCCGATTACCAGGATAAGGAGTACATTCTGCAGCCCTATGGACATGATAGCCGGCCGGTTTGGTGTGGTGCTATTTGCAGTGGTGATTCTCAGAAGACGAGTGACTTTATCAATGCTGCTAATATGGGTGGATTCCAAAGCCCTAAGCATCTTTGTAACTCGGACCCTGGATACTAGGGACTTTTTCTCTGGTTTGGGGGGATAATTTGGCGAGTTTGTTGTATCAGTCACTTTTTTCTTCTTTCTCCTCCTCCTCTTCTTCTTCCAATATACATGGTCTGATCCCAAAGCTACATCAGAAATGGATCATTTATGAGGAAATCTCAAATATTAAACAGCCAAGCCCTGGACATTTATGCGCTCAGTGCAATCAACGTTGTCTATTTTCCAAAATCTATACCGAGAAGCCAGTTATTTTCAAGAACCCGATACCCAGGTGGTCTAATATACAAGATCATATTTTTTTAACATGATCCAATCCCGAAGATCAAGAGCTCAGGCCTTGTCTTCTTTTTTATCTTGCAATTTCCCTTCGACTCTTTGCTTTGCCTCTTCCTTCAAAGCCTGATCATCAGCGCGGTTCAGCGCAACTTGAGGCATAAGCCAAATAGCCAAGAAGAAAGCAAGTGCTGCAAGTGAAGCACCTATGATGAAAATGATGCGGAAGCCTTTCTGATAGGCTGGTGTGAGGATGTCGCGAACGTGCTCTGCATCCTCTGCGGATAGTTTCGATAAGTAATTCTGTGGGCTCGACAGAAGAGAGCGGGACTGGGTATCATCAAGATCAAGGACCGAAATAGAAGATGAGACAATGTTGTTGCTATATGTGTGTTAGTGAACGGATACGTTGGCCATGGGAATAACCTTACATGATAGTCCCAGCAATTGCCAATCCAAGGGTACCACCAAGATTCCGCACAAAGCTGCTGAATGTAAGTCTTTGAAACAGCCAAATCGATGATCGAAGGGGACTCACTTTCGGAACGAGGTTACCACAGCCATATCGCGCCGTTCCACGCCCGCTTGCACGGCAATAAGTGAGCTGAACCTAAATTAGCAAATTTCTTCCACTGCAGGCGATGACATACGGCTGCAAAGTGTTGCCAACTCCGACACCAGTCAAGATGCCATAGCCAATCTGCTTCCCCAAGCCAGAGTGCTTGTCAAGCGTCGAAAAGAGACCCAATCCAACGGCCCAGATGATCCAACCAAATAGGATACACTCTCGATACCGACCAACCCAGTGCACCACAAGGCCAGAGCCTGTACTACTCACGGCTATGAAGAATGTCAGCAATGCACATCCACCCGGATCAAGAATACATACTTTGCATCAAAGTAATGGGCAGCAGCATCGCGGCCGCTTTCACCGTGGAATATCCAAACACCAACTGATAGAAAGTTGGGATATAGTATACCTGGACCAAAAAGTTCCAGCCATTGATGAACATGGTCAGACAAGCACCATTGACAATTCTTCCCTTGAAGATATGCATTGGAACCAGCGGGGTCGACGTGCCCTTCCACTGCCACACAACAAAAGCGACTGAGATCGCAAACCCAACGACCAGAGTTGCAATAACGTGAGCGGAATCCCAGGAGTACTCGCCGCCGCCCCAAGTCAATCCCAGCAGCAGAACCGACGTTCCTCCGAGGGCTAAGAGCGCGCCGAAGAAATCGATCGCTTTCAACTTGACTTTCCAATCCCCCGTGACTTTTCGCAGAGGCATGAAGAATAGCACCGCCAAAGTAGTCACCGCCGTCAAGGGCAAGTTGAGTCGGAAAATCCAGCGCCACGAGTCCTCGGAAATGGACGCCAGGGCACCACCAATGACGGGACCGATTCCATTGGCAATGGCAACCACTGCGCCCAGGATACCTTGGTACTTCCCTCTCTCACGGAGAGGAACTACATCACTGACAATCATCTGTGCGACGGTCATCAGACCACCGCCGCCGACACCGGTAAAGGCGCGGAAGATGATCAATTGGGTGGCAGTCTGGGACAGAGAGGCAGCCAGTGAGCCGAAGAAGAAGATTGCAAGGCCGACGAACAGCACTAACTTGCGGGACCAGATGTCCGATAGTTTTCCATAGAGCAGTTGGAAGCATGTCGATGTTCTATGTGTTAGACAGGGTCAGTGGCATAGTTGTGGGATATCGTCTCGAGAGGTGATTTGACTGACACGAAGTAGCCACCGGAGATCCACGACGTCTGATCACTCGCTCCGAGGGCATTTCCAATGATAGACAAACTGGCTGCTAACGTTGTCTGGTCCATCAATGCCAGCAGGTCGACGCTTGAGCATGCCAGAAAGATCTGATACAGTCAGCAATTTGGAAATATCTCTATAGGATTTAATTGTCAATTGCACGTACGGTGATTATAGTCCGTTTCGGGACATAATTGGTCTGTTCATTAAAGGTGACCTGGGGTTCACTCTTTTCACTCGTTTCGACGGACTGATTATTTTCGAGTACCCCAGTCATTGTGAATTGACAGAGTGTAGATAGTCGTAAACAAACAACAATCCAAAAAAACAATCAAGAAGAGAAGCGAGAGTGTTTCAAAAAAAAAGCCATGGAAGTCGTATAGATCGGCAGAGAGTCCGAGCACCTTGACAGAAGATCGACAGCGTAAATCTTCTCAAACACTCTCAAGGTACCCGCCCCTTTTCGTCTTTTTTCTCGGCTATTAGTGAGTTATTGGCTATTGTTGATATGTCGCATATGCCAATAGCCTATTGCAACCAAACGAGTACCTCCGGGAATTGCATTTTTCCTCGGGGACCTTGTCAAATGCCAAGGGAACACTCTCCATCGAGATTCCAGAACGTCGACGACTAAGACATCGCGAATACCAGAATGACGCAAGGTCCAGTGCGAATCATTCCGTTTTCGACTTGCCATCTCTGTCGGGCCTGAGGGGCCTGAAAAAAAGAGAAACAGGGACGGCAGCTTGCAGCTGGTCTGCCATTGGATGCCATTTTCTCCGAGTTGGCGATTTCCTTATTCATCCGAGGTATAGTCCCCAAATGCCTGGCGCTTGCAGCTTGGCTGAAGACTGTCCGAGTGTATATGAGGGGTTTCGCAGTGGAGTCAGAGATGATCTTACTTTTTCTTTACTTTTCCTACTGTCACGCCAAGAGGCCCATATAGATTTATAAGAGCTTGCCCGTGGGCTCTCTCTGTCTTTCCAGAACATCTGCGAATCTCTACAGGATCTGAATATTCGGGAACTTGATACCCATTATAAAAATGGCCAATATCAACGAACGCAATGTATACTTCGGCACGGACTCGTTGAAGAAATACTTCAACCCAGACTCGCAGCCACCTCTTCCTCTCGTAGAGCTGCCACCGCATTTGAACCCATACTATGAAGATGGGGTCCGAATCTATGCTAAAATGATGACCATGCATCCTGCAAACAATGTCAAGGCAATGCCAGGTATGTAATGGCAGCCTGCAACGAAAAAAACACGGACCCAAACCTAACCTCGACCAGCAATGAACATGCTCGAGTCCAGCGTGATACCTGGCGAGACGAGTCAAATCATCGAATATAGTTCCGGCTCGACAGTGATATCCATGTCGATGGTGGCCCGCGTCATGCATGGAGTGAATGACACCCGGGCATTCCTCAGCAACAAAACCAGCGATGCGAAATTGAAACTCATGCAATTCTTCGGACTCGATATCACACTCTTCGGAGGACCGTCTCAGCCAGAGCCACTGGATGGGCGAGGCGGGATCCAAAATGCCCGGAGACAGGCATTGGAATCAGACGAGATCGTCAACCCCAACCAATATGAGAATAATAACAATTGGCAATCCCACGTCCGGTGGACGGGGCCTCAAATTTTCAAACAGCTACCGGAGATCAACGTCCTCTGCGCCGGCATGGGTACATCAGGAACCATGACCGGGCTGGGAACATACTTCAAAGGCGTCAAGCCCTCAGTCTACCGACTGGGGGTTTGCACCGCCCCTGGTGACCGGGTCCCGGGACCGAGATCGTATGCGCTCATGCGGCCGGTCGAGTTCCCCTGGAAGGAGGCCGTGGACACGATTGAAGAAGTTGGCTCTGCAGAGTCGTATACCCTGTCACTCAACCTGTGTCGCGAGGGACTCGTCTGCGGACCCTCCTCCGGGTTCAATCTCCAAGGATTGTTCCAGACACTCGCCAAGCGGAAAGCCGCAGGGACCTTATCCGAGCTCGCGGGCCCCGACGGGATCACTCACTGCGTCTTCCTGTGCTGCGACCTGCCCTACCAGTATATCGACGAGTACTTCCAAAAGCTTGGCGAGAGCCAATTCCACCCGATCCGAAACGAGGTCAGTCTCCACCGCCCCATCAGTAAAGCAAAAACGAAAAGAACCAGGAACTAATACTTCGCGCAGCGCCTGACGAAAGTAGATCTCCACCGTTACGACGAAAGCTGGGAGCGCGACGCCCTGGACGTCCTACCGGAGTTCTACGGGTCTCCTACCAACAGCTGGGGACTGGACGACATTGTACTGAAGCCCCAATCGCGAGTGCTTGATTTGCGCCAACCGGTCGATTTCCACGCATGGCATCTCCCGGGCTCCACCAACCACCCGCTGGACAGCCTGGGGCCACACACGCCGTCACCGTTCTCGGATCCCGGGGTGCTGGAGGCACAATGGGTGGAGCTGGAGCAGAAGTTCCATGACGTCGCTGGGCACGTTCTCGTGGTGTGTTACGATGGAGACTCGGCACGCGTGGCTACCAGCGTGTTGCGGGCGAGGGGTCTGGAAGCGGACAGTGTGCGTGGCGGACACCGTGCTCTGAAGATGTACACGGGGGAGATGGCCCTTGCTAAACCTCTAGGGGCGACTGTTTCCGTTGCAGCTGTGCCCCTTGAGTGATCCAATGAACAGAAGAAAGGAGTCGATGGGGAGAATGTCACGAATGTAGGGCTTGACCCATGTGAGCCGCTAGTCCTAATGCGGTTGATTCTTTTGTTCCTTCGCCTTTCTTTTTTTTTTTTCTTTTTTTTTTCTTTTTATTCCCTCGACTGACATTTATCTGAATCATCGATTACTTTTATTCTATGGCACTACTACCCTATGACTCTTTGATACTCTCTCGAATCGAACTTGAATCTAACTTGTTTAACTACGTCAGACCCGACTTGACTGCGAAGTGACTTCGTGAAGTATGCTTAATTTAATTAATTTGATTAATTTAATAATTCAAATTGCATATACTAAACCCGCTCAAGAAACTAATTAAATTGTTTTCACATGTAAACGCGCAAATGTGCTCATGGCAGGTAGCAAGCTCTCAAATGTGCTCAAAGCCCCAGTTTGCGGGGAATGCACCCAATTATCTAGGGGCAGCCCTGGAGCCCTGAAGGGCCTCCGTTTTCAGTCGTTGAAACCGTGGAAATCACTTTTTTGATTTTATTTTAGATGGCTGCAGCCAAACCCAATCTGGTTGATCTGCATGTTATAACTTTATAGTACTCAATAACATTGGCTCGCTCTTAACGTGAAACGTTCCACGTTCAACGATCAACGGTGATCTGATGCCGAGATGGAGAAAATGAGTACCGGCACGCCCTGGCTAGATCAGCCAGTGGCACTACACTCCTCTCGTGTCGATAACTGCACCTTGTCCGAGTCCCAATGCCAATATCGCAACTATTCCTGGCGATACTGGTACCAGGCGGATCATGTCTATGCCCTGAATACCGTCTACTTCCTGTGCGCCGTGATTGGTGTGTTCACCATCAGTAACGTACTGGTCCGATGGTCTCCAGATTGTATCAAACGGACCTGGCCATGGCGCACGTTTACCTCGGTCTCGCGCTATCTGGCATATCGAGGATATCGCTCGAGGGCATTGCGCTATTGGTCTCCGGCGCTGGGGGTTGTCATCTTGGGTGCCGTGGGTGCCGCCTATTTCTTCGGTGGGTGATCTTTCAATATCGAAGAAATGAGGAGGCTGACTGACCGATTCAGGCATGGTATTAGGTCCGCAGCCTTATTACTGGCCGACGGATGCTTCTTATGGAAGTAGTCCGCCCATTGCGACTAGATCCGGGTGGATGGCTCTTGCATTGTTGCCTTTCGTATTGTGAGTATGGAAGTGACGATATATGAGCTACAAAGCTGACTTTGATGCAAGGGCATTGAGCACAAAAGCCAACCTCATCTCCGGCTTGACTGGCATAGCCCATGAGAGGCTCCAGGTGTTTCACCACTGGACGAGCTATGCGATGTTCGTGTTAGCATTGATCCATACCTTCCCGTATATCATTTATCATATCTGGAAAGGAGATATGATGCACCAGTGGAAGACGAGTATTGTCTATTGGACTGGAATTGCCTCTCTCGTTTCGCAGACATACCTGACACTCATGTCACTTCCATTTATTCGGTGAGACGTGAAACCTTTTCGTCTATTCGAACATATCAAACTAACTTTCCCAGCAACCGATTCTACGAGTTCTTCAAGGCAACCCACATCTTTGTAGCTGTGGTCTTCGTCGTATTCTTCTTCCTTCACTGCGACTTCCGACTTTCATCATGGTATGTTCCACCGGATTATTAGTAGAAGAACCCCGAACTAACAAGACCAGGGACTATTTCATTGCCTCCGGTGCAATCTACTTCTTCAGTCTGATCGCAGGACATGCACGCACCTATTTGAAGCACGGAATGCACACTGCATCCCTGGAGCTCCTGCCGTGCGGTCTCGTCCGCGTGTTAGTGCCCTCGAAAATGAAATGGACACCCGGACAGCACGTCTTTGTCCGCTTCCTGACATCAGATCTACATCTCTTGACCGCTCACCCATTCACCATCTCATCTGCCTGCCACGAGGCCTCCAAATTGGTTTTCTACATCAAGCCCCGTGGCGGCGTGACAGGCCGACTGGGGGCAATGGCAGCGAAAAGCCCCGGATGCAAGAAGAAAATCCTCATCGAAGGACCTTACGGTGGAGTCAGCGAGTCTCACATGGCTCAATTCGATACCATCTTGGTGATTGCCGGTGGCTCTGGAGGTGGATTCTCGCTTGCGATGGTAGACGAGGCACTCCGCGTAACCGGAATGGGTGGTTCAGGGTCTGAAAAGAAAGAGCAACGACAAAACCTACAAGTTGTATTCTCGACCAGAGAACACGCGATGGCAGATTGGTATATTGAAGAGATCGAGACACGACTTTCCGAATCGACTACGTTGGCCTCGGATTCGGGCTTCGAGACTGCTGTTTCGGTTCATGTGACTGATCCTCGAAGCTCGGGGATATCATCTGGATCAGACGATGATGTGAAGGGCTCAAAGGTTCCCAGGGAGATGACCACGACAGGAAGCTTCAGTCTGAATGTTCATCGCAATGCGCGACCAGACCTGCCAGGTCTGGTGGCTAGAACGGTGGCTATGGCACATACGCAAGGCCAACATCTTGGGAAGAAGCAGAGAGTCGGGGTCTTGGTGTGTGGACCTGCTTCGATGTTGCACGATACACGCAACGCGGCGGCAGTTGCGCAGAGTCGGGTGTTTAAGGGTGAGATTGAAGAGCTTTATCTGCACTCGGAGGCTTTTGTGTAAGTTCTGCCCAGGTGGCCGATCCCATCCACTGTGCTTTGCTAACTGGTCATAGGTGGTGATGGAGTATATCTGCTGGTCTGATATCGTTCTCTCCCTGTTCATGTATCTATATCAAAAGTAAATAATTAATCAATTGTTCTTGGTCTCTCACTCTATTCTCAAGATCTAAGATCCATATCGACGAAAATGTAGGTTATTAACAGCCCGACAGGTCTATGTCTAAGCCCAAAAAAGAGGTAGTATATCACAGTCCAACAAAATAAACAAGAACCCGAAACGCCCAGCCCCCAACACCGAATTATCCCAGTCCGAGTGGAGATTGTCATGCAAGTCTAATAGAAAACATTCATCAAATCATTATTTCCCCCTTCACTTACTCTCGATGAAGTTCATCAAGTAACTCCTCATGCGCACGTTAACAGTTCCACCGATACCATAGGCAGGAACAATCTTACCCATGCGCGCAAAGCAACTAGCCACATAGTCACGACGAATCCTACTCGCGCGATCCGTCCACCGAAGTCCACCCTCCGGCTGACGGTTATACAGATCCAACCCAAGGAGATGCATCGGGGTACTCGCGAACTGCATGAGAGCTGGACAAGCGAACTGGGCAATCGAAGCCTTCATGCCGGGTGTAGAAGCCATGAAGTCAGGAATAGACGGAGCGATTTTGGCGGGGATATTGAAAGAAGCGAAGATTGTGATGCTGTCTCGGAGACAGAAGAGGGAGTATGAGGTTTTGGGGATCTGGGGCGTGGGTGTAGGCGCGCGTAGGGGGTGAGACGGAGTGGAAGATGGTTGAGCGCCGAACATTTTGGCGAAACGGGCATCTTTGTACACGCAAATGGCCATATTTACGGTTGTCGTGGCGATGAACTTTGCAAAGCCGGTGTCTATTGTATCGTAGGAGTGATTGCGCATGGTTGCGGTGACGGTATCGATTGCATTGGCAGTGAGGTAGGTTGAGCCGTAGAGGGTATAGATTAGGATGAAAGGAGTGCTGAAGAAGAACCCTGCTGGACGGGCGACCATTGATCGAAGACACGATGTTATGGTTTGTTGGATTGGGAACCCTTTGGATGCTTTTTCCATGATCGCACTGGGCAGGTTAGTTGATTTCATAGCTGTCAATTGATGTGGCGATGTTATCTTACCGATCAATGATCGTGATCAAGGGACAGGTCAGCGCGCCAGCAGTTGCTGCGCTGGCGACGTCGACGCCCAGTCGTTTCCCCAGGTCTTTTGTATTCCATGGACGCGTCACAGGACGCTGTGAGCCTTTTATTGTTGCCATATTAAAGAATGTATGAATGGCAGCATCCCCAAAAGTGACTGGAAACGGGACAAATGAAGAGAAAGTAATTACAAATGCGAAAGTTGATGCTATCAACAGCTTCGGACGATAAAGACCCGGCCGCGGTCCGGTGCCGACTGGCCGATGCCGGCCCGACGAGTTGTAAGGTGCATTTTAGTGGCCATAGTGACAATACCGTCTATAGTGAGTAGGATAAGTATATAAGTAAAGAATAAAGGAAGAGAGAGAGAGAGGGTAAACCTGGAAAAGCTCCAGGGCTGTCTTTATAGTCAGATCTGAAGGGAAATAAAAGTAATAAGCAGCAATACGTGAGTTATCAAACTTCTCTCTTTCATAGTTACTCTGTAACTATCCATGGATGGAGAAGCTAAATCTACAATTATCAATTAATGTATGAAAAGTCTGACCTTACTGATATTCTCATCTTTATTTAACAATAAGCATTCTATTCACCGCGCTGAATCGTAGAAGTCTTCAAGGCTAAACAGTTGGGAACATCCTGAGGTCTCCGTGTCATGATGGCCCCAAATGTCATCCGTAGACTATATCAACCGGATAAACGATTTAGAGTTAGGTACGGAGTACGGAGTCGGCATACATCCATGGATAGTAACTTGGATATGATATGACTTGATATGATGGTTATGATGTGATATATGATTGATATGAAGCATACATCATAGACCTAGATGATCGTTCGTTATGATTTTAACCCCCCCAAAACGCCAAATAACCCATTCCTCACAAACTTCATTTGCTCTCGACAGTGCGAGCTGCAATGCCATCCATGTTCAAATTCACGGCTCCGGCTTCCACCAACTAGAAAACGGTTAGTCTGGATAGTCCAAAAGTAAGGGGAGAAAGACACATACAGCACGGCGCAGATCGTCAATCAAATCATCGACGTCCTCAATACCAACACAGAGTCGGATCAAGTCCTCGGGCATGTCGCGTTCCTCACGGGTCTTCGCGTCAATGCTGGCGTGACTCATGCGACAGGGCATGCTGATGAGACTGTTCACACAGCCAAAGCTGACACTGATAGCCCAGATCTTCGCGCTCTCCACAATACGCTCACTGCACTCGGTGTTGCCGGTCTCAAAGGAGAGCACCGCACCAGCGCCCCGCGCCATGGAGTGATGCAAATCGTATTGCTTGTGTGACCGCAGACCAGGGTAGCGCACCTTGAAGCCAGTCGACTCGAGGAATTCCGCAATGCGCTGGGCATTGCTCTGCTGCTGATCCATTCGGACCTTGAGGGTCTTGACACCGCGCAGCAGCAGCCAGGAGTCGAATGGAGACAGACCACATCCAGATGTGTTGATGGGTTGGTACAATCGATCGCCGAGAGCCAGGTCGTTCACAGCGATGACACCGGCCATCAGGTCGTGGTGACCGGACAAGTACTTGGTACCACTCTCGTAAACGACATCGGCACCGAAGTCAAGGGGGTTCAGGAGGAGAGGGGACATCATGGTGTTGTCGACGGAGACAATACAGGTAGGGTTAGCTGCGTGAGCGGCGGCAGCGATGGTGCCGATGTCGACGATCTTCATCAGAGGGTTTGTGGGGGTTTCGAGGAGAACCATGGCCGTCTTGGGGCTCAGGACTTCTTGCACCTTCTTGTTATCGGTGGTGTCGACGTGGTGGACAATGATATCGAGAGTGGTGGAGAGGTACTTGAGCAGACGGTTGGTGCCGCCGTAGAGGTCGTCTCCGGTGACGACCTCGTTTCCGGGACGGAGGAGCCGGGTGATCACGTCCAAAGCCGCCATGCCGGAGGAGACCACAAGGGTGCGCTGCGCGGACATGATCTTGGCCAGATGGCGCTCGAGGTGTGTGCGGGTGGGGTTACCGGAGCGTGTGTAGTCATATTCACCACCGCCGCTGCCGGAGGACTGCTTGAAAGTAGCACTCTATGAACCAGCAAGATTAGTATGGTGAAATTGGTGCCATTGGTGCCATTGACTGCAATTGAATGAAGACATACCTGGTAGATAGGCACACTGCTGGCATTGTATTGGTCATTGCCCTCGGTGAAGACCAACTCAGTGGCGATATTGTATCGGCGACCGGGATGAGGGCTGGAAGGGGCCGGAGAAGGTGGAAGGTCATTGCCAGAGAGATCCAGGGGCAACGTCTTCTTCTCACCGCTGGTCGACCCCGACGCAGTAGGATTTCCTGAGGCCGACATCGCTGCAGGGCGGGGCAGAGAGAAGAGAGGGAGAAGAGGGTATCAAGGGGAGACAGGAATTGGTCAAATGAACAATATGTGATGTATGCAATTGTGGAACCAAATACTCAGCAGATATAAAGAATAAAAACAAGAAGAAGTCCAAATAGTCGGCGTATCCTTTCTTTTCCCCCAGTATAGCTGACTCTTCTCGTCTCGCCTCTGATTGGCTGAGAGGTCGATTTCGTGATTTCGTCATTTGCTAGTCCCAAAGGGGCTTAGCAACTATGCGGAGATAGATGACTCATCGCTGATTACCTAACTTTTACTGTTTAGGACATACTGGAGGGCTACCATAGTAATACCATAGTCATAACTAGTACACTGTCTTAGATCTTATACAATACAGCAAAGGATGTCCATGGTATAAACAGCTTCAGAGACAGCTTGATATCTAAAGAGCGCCATCAGACTTCAAAATGAACTCATTTTCGTCTGGAATGTAAACCTCTTTCGGACAGGGGAAATATTGCCCCAAATAGGACGATTCTAGACTGAAATGAATACTTGGAAATAGACTGCAATGCGGACTTATATCCTTCTAAAATTGTTGGACAACCCTACTCCAATGGGTAAATTCTAGAGTGAACATAAGTCACCCTTGGGCCTTGGCCAAGTCCACCATTTAGTCATCCTTGGCCTACTACGCCTGAAGAACCTGGGAAGACAGGGAATCCAACCTCACATCTTCTCCTCGTACCACATCTTTACATTCACATTCTACCACACTTCCCCACTTAACCTTATGGAGTCTTTGATCTTATTTACCATCCGTCTATCAATACTACCCAGATAGCCGGCACAATGGCCTCCGAGGCGGCCTTTGCCTACCATGAACCCTCTATCAAAACAGTCCTCAACTACACTGGATTTCTCCTGGTCCTCAATATAGCCAACACCTGTCTAGATAAGCTCTTATACTGTGGACTCATTGGCCAACTTTTCATCGGTGTCCTGTGGGGTACACCAGGTGCAAAATGGCTCGACCGAGAGACAGAAACTGTTATCCAGCAGATTGGCTACTTGGGCTTGATTTTGCTGATCTATGAAGGTGAGTACTCTCATAGTAAACTGCTAAAATTAAACATTGACGAAGGCTAGGTGGTCTGTCAACTTCATTCAAGGCCCTGAAGGCAAATGTCCTTCTCTCAGCGGCCGTGGCCTTGACCGGCATTTGTGCCCCAATGGGCCTATCATTCATTCTTATGGAACTTGCATTGGCCACGCCCCTTCAAGCGTTCTCAGCTGGCGCAGCATTGAGCGCAACGAGTCTAGGAACAACCTTCACCATCCTCTCTACCACGCAGCTGACCACCACACGGCTCGGCACTGTCACTACAAGTGCCGCGATGCTAGACGATGTAGTGGGTCTCGTTATGGTCCAAATAATATCCAACCTTGGCGGAAACTCCTCATTCAGTGTGGTAACCGTCATACGTCCGGTCTTTGTGTCACTGGGATTCGCCATTGGCCTACTGCTGCTATGCGCATTTTGCTTGGAACCGGTGCTGAAAATCGCGATTCAACATAGAGCGTGTCTTCCAGACTTTGCAGGCTCGGCGGAATTCGCATTTCTGGCGCAGACGTGTGTACTAGTTGGCATAGTGGCTGGCGCAACCTATGCCGGTACCTCGAGCCTTTTTGCCGCGTATCTTGCCGGTGTCATTGTTTCTTGGTTCGATGGGTTGGTCGCTGAATCGAAGCAACACACTACTTCAGAGTCATCGGCTGCCCAGGGGCATTCTATTTCACCCCAAGAGAACGTTTCCCCTCGCACAAGCTCTCATGATGCGAATGAGCTTGACAGGTCTGACTCCCGGCCTACTCAACAGACCGAAAGCCCCCAGCATATTACCGGTGAAATCATCTACGAGAGATACTACAAAGAGCCTACTAACCGCATCCTTCTTCCCCTGTTTTTTGTAAGTTGTTCTTGATCCCAATAGTTACTCGCAAAAGGATTTGTACTAACACAATCAGGCATCCATTGGATTTGCAATTCCAATCACTAAAATGTTCTCCGGCCAAGTCGTCTGGCGTGGCATGATCTATGCCGTCCTAATGGCAATCGGAAAAATGATTGCTGGACTCTGGCTCGTTCGATTCTCATCCAATCCCATAGCCGGTCTTGTATCCATCATCAGAAAGCCGTTTGCTTACGCCCATTCTTGCGCCAAACGGCAATCCCACAAAGCCCCAAAGAAAAAGAATAATTCCGAGAACACTCAAGTATCTAACGCAACAGCCGATCATAGCGTGAGCCATAGCAGTTCCCACAACGATGAGTCGCCTACGCCTGCGCCGCCTTCGCAACTCTCTATGCCTCCCAAGCCCAAGTCTCTGTACCCGCCCTCCATTTTGGGCTTGGCAATGGTTGCCCGGGGCGAAGTGGGATATCTAATTGCGTCCATCGCCGAGAGTCAGGGGATATTTTCCAGTGGGTCATCGGAGGGACCTTCTGAGATCTACCTAGTGGTCATCTGGGCAATCACACTTTGCACCTTGGTGGGACCCATTCTGGTCGGAACACTGGTCAAACGCGTGAAAACGTTACAGATGTCTAGGGAGCGAGGATCTGATCCTCTTGGGGTGTGGGGTATCTAGAACATGTAAGCATACGAAGCAGCATACAAATGAGGTCCAGCAAGATGGGCAAGTGTATCAAGGTCGAAGCGACGGGGAATTCCAAGGTTTGTATTTACTCCAACTCCCTTGATGCCCAGGTTTCCTCCCAATACATAAAAGATACCAAACAAGAGAGAAAAATAAATAAAAAGAAACATGAACGTAGAAAGCTTCCTCCGGGATATCCCCACCAAAGCCAGAACGGCATTCTGCAAATCCACCAACGCCCGAGAACCACCTAAATCCATTTTGTGGAAAGCTCCAAGTGAAACATCAATAGATAGACAATCAAGCAGCCAAGTCGCCAAAGCCACCATTAATACCGAAGAACTGGAACCAGTCTTCAACGTTCAGCGTAGTCGGCGCAGTAGGCCCACTGCGAGAGCTACTACTCCAATTATCATTATCTTGGCTGGTAGCATCCATCGCAGCCCCGCTCATCGTCCCATCAAGACCTTGCATGGGAGGCCATGGGTGTTGCTGTTGTTGCTGGCCCTCCATGAACATCTGTGGTGGATGAGGGGGCATGCCCATGGCGCCGGGGATGCCAGACATCATGGGCGGACTGCCTTGTGAAACAGACATGCTGCGGCCGTGTACAGGCTGATTGTTCAACACTGGAGGGCGGGGCGGCATGCCAGGCATTTGAGGTGGAATTTGCATATTTGGATCAACAGATGTCGATGGCGGTTGAGGCGAGGTCAGCTCGGGGAAGAAAGCTGTGCCATCTGGGAACAGCTGGTCGGGCTGGAAGTTTTCCCAGAGAGAGGGAGAGAGATTGGGGGAGGTACGAGTAACGAGGAAGAAGTCCGGGGGAGTGGCGGGGAGGGAGAATTGACCATTGAAGGGTGTTGTGGGTCGGGTGTTGGCACGCGAGTTTCCAGTTCCGGTCATTGGGTCGTGGGGAGCGCGGTGTGGGTGGGGGGACTGTTGCCCACCAAGTGAAGGTTGGTTCAACTCCCGCGAGGGTGTGACGGCAGGGGTCTGAGGTCGGGAGCGCTCGTATGATACAGGCGGCGTAGGGCCGCCGCCATTTGGCATGCCGAGATCCATGTCATCGAATTTGCGCTTCGGAGGTTCGGGCTTCTTAGGCGCGGTCTCGCCGTGTCGAGAGGCACGCTGGTGTCTCCGACCAGCGGCCTTCTGAAGTCGCTCTTCCAACACCTTGTTCCCGAGGATAGACTCGAAAAGGGTGTTCACCATCTTGGCAACCAGCCAAACCTTTGATACGTCCTTGAGGGCCAACATACACACGTTGATTCTTTCCTGGCATGTAGCCACGATAGAAGGAACCGATGAACGCATTTGATATACGTGCATGATCAGTGCAGAGAACAAGCTGTACACGATGAATGCCGGGGTATACCGGATCTCACCATGTGCCTGAAGGTTCTCAACAATAGATGTGATCATACCAGCAGCCTGGAAGGCAATTGTGCGTGAAGGGTAAGCCATTTCCTCAACTCGGTAATTGTTGGGTGCGGACGACGCGGGTGGCATATGGGCTCTGTGTAGCAGACAGAGCGTTGTGTAGTAGTTCGAATGTAAGAGAGCCGCCCAGAAGTGATGCCGCGATCGTTGCCAGCATACTTCCTTGGGGCAGTTTTGCAACCAATCCGCCAGTGCCATATCAGAATGGGTGAGATCCATGGCGTTCATGCGCCGGGACTTGGAAGCCACGGAGTATTGCTGTGACAGGACCAAACCCATGATCTCACAGAGCTTAACATATTGCAAGAAGAATTGAACGTGGACTGGGTCGGCGGGGTACTCAGCAGGACTGTCGAGTTCGTCCTCGATAAAGTCGTCCTCGGTTACCATCTCTACATCCGAATCGTCTGTGTTGATTCCGATGGGCCGTCCCAACGCGACGGCCACGGAACGATCACGAGTGAACAAAGTCCACCAGATTCTCTTCCAGAGTCTCTTATCTGGTTTATTGAGCTGAGACATCTCGACACTGCGGTGCATTCCAGAGCCTTGGGCGACAACCATTGCAACTCGCGTCCAATAGAACACATTCTTCGTTACATCTGAGATCAGTTAGAAGAGCCCAAATTGAGCATGCGGCTAATGGAGCCTACCTTCAGGTCCCTCCCAGTACCAACCCAAAAGCACAAGTGCTTGCACAATGGTGACACGATCATCTTCATAGTTAGCATCATAAAGCGCCTTGGCGCGCTTGTAGAAGGTCATGGCAGCGGGAGTCGTTGAGCCGTTCGCATCCATAAGCTGCTGGTTGGTACAGACTCTTGATCCTGCCAGCAGGATCGCCTGTAACAACAACAGCGAGGGTGGGTTCTTGGGGTCACGGTAGTGACGCATGAATCGACTCTTGTTGATGATGGGTACCACCGGAGCCACCCATTTGAAGTACGCCTCAACCAACTCATCGCACAGCTGTTTAGGTGGGAGCAAAAATGCACCTCGCTGGTGCAAAATGTCAATCTCCAAGTTGTCCAAGTCGGTCAGACGCGCACGGGACCCTCTGACGTTCGGTGGGAGCGGGTAATGCACGACATCTGTGGTCCCATGGCGATCTTGTACCAAAAGCGACAGGTTAGATGACTCGCCCAAGTAAGCCACCCGGCCAGCCTCTTTGATCGGAGCACGAGCGAACTTTGGCTTCATGAACTGCGCATACGCGTTATTGGCCGAAGCCTCTTGCGCAGCCTCGGCCTCGGAGAGGGCTGTGGTGGGCATGCCCTCCACGCCCATGCGGTTGTTCCGATATCCAAAAGCATTGTTCTTCTCCTCCGGCTTAGAGCCTCGTTCGGGTTCCTTGGGGGCAGAGATCGAACCGGAGCGCGGGTCTGGATTCTCGGGGTCGGTCGGTCGGAAGTGCGCGACCGCAGCGTCGACGAGGGAGGAGGCGGATTGAGGCGGACTGTCTCCGTAACGACTGTCTTCTTTGGTCTTGCTCTGATTGGTCTTCTTCCGTTTCGGTGAGGGGATCTTGCATTCGATCGAGAAAGCAACACAATTGGTGCACGGCACTCCTAGACTAGCTGCATCACAGCGTACCTATTACCGAGTCAGGCGCCGAACGTTAGGGGAAAAGAATGATGTGCGACCGAAATAAACTCACCTTTCGAGCATGGCAGGTCTGAATACGGCAAAGAAAAAAAAAAATGTCAGTGATGTGCTCCCAAAGTGATATATCGTATGCACTGCGATAAGCAACTGAGCCGAGGTGCGTTGAGAACCTCGGCAGAGTCGCGTTCCCCTCGAAACGAAAAAAATCAACGTACCTCACACGCGCGTGATGCACGTTGTCTGCGATTAGATAAATGGTTAGCCAGCGCACGCTATAAATGCTTAATTTCCAGGTCTTCCGTGAGGTCGACACTGCCCCTGTTCCAGGTCCCAGGCTTCCCAGTTCCCAGGCCTCCACGGCCCCGCGCATCTCGCATCTGGGCCCCATCCTCCCCCATCACGGCGATCTAGCCTCGTAGATATGAACCATCGCAGGAAGCGCTCACCTTCTAAAACTCAGTGGTTGGCCTTGTGGACCATTGCGCACCGTGATACCCGAAGTACCCGTCGAGCCAGCATTGCTCGGGGCTGGGCTACCTTGGCCATCCGACAGATCTTGATATTCAGTGCTCATTGCCACACCGTCTCCATCCAGTTTCGGGGTAGGCGCAGAGGACGAAAAGGGAACACGGTCGGAAAGCGATCTCAGGGTATCGGGTGGACTAAGTACTCCTAGCGAATGCGCGGAGACGCCACGCGAGGCAGAAAAAGAAGAAAGAAAAGGAACAGGAACAGAAAAAGAAAAAGGACCGGAACTACCAGGGAAGAAGAACGTAGGTAGAAGTGTCGAGTGTAGAGGGGGAGGAAAGAGAAGAATATCAAAGCGACCGTTAGGCTGTGGCAATTAGCTTCCCAAGGTTGGAGGTCATTTGGTCAGCACTTTGCTTGACCAACTTCACTTCTACTTTCTTGACCTCTTTCTCGAACTCTTTCAAGTCTTGTATTGCGCCCAATTCATTTCTATTTGGTTTTTTCTTTTTCTTTTTCAATTCATCGGATTTTTATTCAATGTCAGCCTGCTGAACCATCTTAACACAATAGGGGGAAGCCCATTGATATAACCCTCCCCACGCTAGCTCCAAATTTGCATCCAGAACCGGTGTGCAGGGAACCGAAAGATGGAGTGATCGACAGAGGGGACTGGATTTCCAGGAGTACAAGGATGAGTACGGAGTACTCTGTGACATTGCTTCAACTCCGATCAGTCAGTCTACGAGCTGGCTAGCTGGTCACCAGCTGTTCCCCAGCTATCAATCAGCAATCGCCTATTGCTAATATGTCCAAGGTGAAAGACCAACAGACCACGGGCAGAACACCCAAACACCCAGGGACGCTAGGTCGACTTTCCCTATTTAGGGGGGTCTTGCTCCACACTGCGTGGAAATATCATATCCCCGGCCTTCAGCCTCCACTCGGGACGATCACCCCGAGTATCGTGACGTCCTTTTGGCCCGCGCTAGCTGGGCTGCTACGGTGGCCACACGACTGGTACAATTTACATACTACACTGCTTTGCTGCAAGTGCTGCACGATCTATGGATACCCTACTGTCCCGCCACGCGAGTACGGTTCGCCGGAATGTCGGAGATATAGCATACTGCAGATTGGGACACGGGCCATTGTGTCATGCGGTGTGACTGAGTTCTATTATGTACGTAGTACACACTGGCCACAGCTTATGTAGCTTCTGTATGACTGCTGGTGGCTTAATACCTTGGAGTATACTCAGTGGGCATGGAATGCCCAGTGGCACCCCCATTGAAATTGGACTTGGAGATGTGTACATCCATGGACCATGGATTGAGTCTTCACGCACTGACACCAGTCTATGTTTCAGCCCAGTTGCAGAGTGGTAGATCATTATAGCCAATTGCCATTGTTTCCAACCCACTCACACCTATCGAAGTCAAAATACGGATTGCGGGGGAAGAAAACGGGGACCAGAATTCAATCTGCGGGGAATTTACGGGGAACAAAAAGGCCCCCAAGATCCTTCAATAAGTGACAAGTGACAAATGACAAGTGGCAAGTGACTGGAAAGGTGAGAAGGCAAACAGCCACTTTCCACTGGCCAAACACCTGTGATACCTCGGTAAGTCCAGCTTTGACCAATCAGAGGGCTCAGCTGTCGAGATCGGCTTGGATCAATGGCGCCGATTTTCACGTTCGCTTCAATCCGATGTCAGGCACCGGCTCATTCGGAGCAAAGCGGGAACGACCTGCTCGCCTGGGGCTGGGCCCCAGGCTGATCGGACGTATGTTTGCGTCCGTGGCCACTGAGAAGGTCGAAGTGGAGAGAAACAATTATATTGGGGATCGATCAGATCTCGGCCGGATAGGGTAGATTCTCCGAGCCTCTATGGGGTATGTTTAAAATACATAAATTTCCAATTAAATGCAAATGCAAAGAATCCATGGGTTGGGGAAGTCGGGTCGACGTTATGATATGCTACTTCTGTCTACCTGGCCGATTTGCCCCTGCCCTTGCTGCGGGACTTGGACTTGGACTGTTTGGTCCCATTGGACTGGGCCTTCTTTGGTTCCTTGCGTTCCTCGTGGCCACATTCGGTGGCTTGGTCGATGGTCTCGACTACTGCGGACCCGACAGCCGTGATCACGGGGAAATGCACGCCACTGACGAACAGCTCACTCAGGAACTCGAGACCAGCCACAAAAGTGCACAGGGCACTTGCAATGCAGAAATGGCTAATGGTCATGCCGATGTCGAGCCAAGAGCCTTCATCTCGCACCATATAAAAGAAGTTGAGCGTCATAATGTCAGAGATGGCCATGACGACCATGAAAAGCGCGCTGGGCGCGACCTCCAGGCGACGGTTGAGAATGCCTAGGTTGGCACTGATGATGGCGAAGGGGATGAGGATCTGGAGAATCAAAAGCGCACCTTGAGCGAAGGGGTCAAAGACAGGAACCAGCCGGCGAACACTGTCGAGGGAGAATGTCGAGATAGAGGCAACATTTCCTGTGCTAAAGAAGGCGGATTGTAGGAGGAAGAAGAAGAAGAGCGCAACGCGGACATCAGATAGAGTCAGAGCGCGGTAGTAAAATGTCTCGCCGTTGACGGTCGTCGAGGCCGTATTCTCCGGCTGTGCGGTGGGGTCGTTGCCAGAACTTTGCTGCTTAACCACACCAGATCCTGTGTGGATGTAGATGGCGTGTTCGAGACGAACCCAAGTTACAATGGTCATACAGAACACAAAGTAGAATAGCCCTTCCCAGGAGATCGTGAGGATGATGAATGTTGGTGAGAAGGTCAGGAAGATGATCATGAGTCGATGAAGATAGTTGCTGTTGGGATATAAGCGGTGGAGGAAGGGTAGACCCAGGGATGCCACTGGAGTCCGGTTAGTATTGCTGTCTCGCACACCGAAGGGCCTTAGACTACGTACCAAATACAACCCATCCAACAACAAGGTTCCCGAATGGCAGACCTTGGCGAGCCTGCAGGGAAAACACAGACGATCGAGTGACAATGACTGCAAGTAGAACCATGCCAAGCTGGATTCCCATGATGACCCGCGAACCGACACGGCCTATGGCAGTGGGTTCTTTGGGTCCAATAATGGCGTCCTCAAACAGTAGATATAGGATTCCGGTGAGGAACATGGCCAATCCACCATAGGTACTGAAAACAGAAACAGTTAGCCAAGAACCGAGTGATGAAGAAGGAGGGGAGCTCACATTGTATCAATGTTTTCAACCTTGATAACCGGTAGAAGAGTGAAGGAACTCATCAGTCCACAACCAAGAACCCAAGTAGCTGTGAGGGTCGCATGGCTGCGAACGAAGCCGAAGCCATGAACCGCAGGCCAAAATGCTCCCAAAGCAAAACACACTGTGAAAATCTCGCGATGGAAATAAGACTGTACCATAGCCTCCATCACGCCGAGGAATGCCAAAAATTGAAGGCCAAATTTGATATACCCAGTCAAGGAGCGAACGTGGCCCAGAACAATTTCACGGCCTGCAACCAAGGCCTTGCGGCGTGCGAAAACTTCTTCCCAGAAATAGACTGGGAAGAACGCATAGAAATAGTAACGCCATGAAGAACCCTGGTACAAGAATATCGAGAACAAGGCGACCAAGATTGACGAGAAGAATGAGATACTCGCCGTCGTGCGGTGGGTGTCTGATGTGCCGTGAAGAACGTGCAGGTCAATCACCGTAGTCAATGCATACGCGATCCAACCTAGATATCCGACAGAGACGATGGTGCGCAAAAATAGCCAGTCATAGGTTTGCAAGTAACGCAGACCTTCGAGGGCGGCGCGGAAAGATTCAGCAGACAGATATATAGCCTCGTCAAACTCGCCCTTGGAGATGAAGGCCTCGATGTTTTCCAGCCGGTATTCAGGTGAATTCATGTGGTTGCCGGACAGCAACTCATACGGCACATACCGGAGAACGGCGTTGCTCTTCTGCTCTTCTTTAACACGGTACATCTCCATAACACCCCTAGTGTTGGCCAAGGCAGCCTGGGCTTTCTCTTCAGGGCTCGCGCTGATGAAGTCCAACGGCAATTGACCAACCGAGTTGACAGGGAAATCCAGACCCACCAGGTACGCCATGAGCGCGGCAACATCGGCCTGTGCGACATCATGGCGGCGGACCTGGTCGAAACCCCAATCGGCGGAAAAGCCATCCTCGTGGCCAGGAGCAATACCGCTTGTCGCATACTGCGGGTGCGCAACACCAGATCCCCATGCAACCAGCGGCGTTCGCGTGTTATCGGGGTGACCGTCTCCGTGACTGCCAGTGTCACTCATACCGTGATCTGCGGTGAAGACAAAGGCAGTCTTGTCGTCGCCATAGAAATCATCCACCAATTTGGTGACGGACTCAATTCCGCGATCGACAACCTGGATATTGTGCAAGTACTCGTTTGAGTAGGGGCGGAAAGAATGGCCGGTTGTATCCAATCCAAGCAGGTGGAGGAAGAACACCAACTTGTCGTCCCGCAGCTTGCGGTCCAGCTCCGGATCGGTCTTGGCCGACTCAAAGAGCCCATGGACCTTGTCAAAGACCCATGTGTCTAGATGTGTCGCATCCACGGTGAAATCCTCCGCCTCTTCACTGTACGTATCCGCGTCCACTCTCCCGGGTACGGCACCCTCCTTGAACATGGGGAGAATGTCGGGACTACCCCAGCTCCAAGTATGTCTGCTCTGGTTGAAGACGCTGTCGAAATCAACTGGGTTCAACTTCCATCCGGTGGTCACGGCGGAGACATCCTCATAGAGACCGGCGATCAGCGCAACATGACCAGGGCGAGATTCAGTGGGCACACGGGTATGAGAAACTCCGAATGTTCCATGCGATAGGACCTTTGAGCGAATGAATGGCGACAGACGGATCAATTCGTCGTTTGCAGGATCGGCGCCGGGGGACGGGTCAGGGAAAGCTTGGAAGGCCTTGTCGGCGCGGAGGCCGTCGGCGACAAATAGGACGAGTCGTTTGGCTGGGGCGGGAGTTCCGGAGGGTCTTTCCACGCCATGCGATTGCATGCCACTCACAATTGGGCTGACGAAGTAGATATCGAAGATTGAATATGTATAGATCAGGTGGAAAACCACGGCGAGGGCCAGGAACCCGACGCGGCCGAGACGCGCCATGATGTGTTGCTCCTCTCGGGGTGATTTGAGGAAGTAAAAGAGTGGAAGTGGTCCACTACCACCAAATAAGTTGAGAAGAAAGGAGAAACGAGCCCTGAAGGTAATGGGCAAACACAACACGTCAACTGCCAGGGAACCTTGGCGGTGAGCCAATCACAGCCTGTCAATTGCACCATGTACCGCGTCGGCTTAACAGAGGTTTACTACGCTGCTTACACACTTTCACTCCACTACAACAGATGCAACTTTGGATGAATACATTGCTATGAATTGCGAATCCCCTAAACGCCATGAACCAGACGCCAATAACACAATATAATGAATAACTGCTTTTACGCTGCAAGCGATCGCCGCTTGGTCAGGGCATCAATGACGCGCGTATAGAACTTGGCAGCCTGTCCACGTTTGAAGGTGATATCCACCGTCAAGAAGTCGGGTAGCATGTTCACCAAGTCACGATCACGATTGGCATCGAGGAGGGGCAAGTATTGGAACTCTGTGTTGTCAAAGTCGGCGGATGCCTTTGGCACGGCCAAGTGGAAATGAAGAGCTGCAAGGAGGTTAGAACAAAGCCAATTAAGCTGTAACAAAAGAATCAACAAAAGAGCCACTTACTTCCATTGATTCCAGTCTGGATACAGTCGTAGACATGGTCGGAATCCTTGTCCTTGACATCACGGATGATCAGTCCTGTCAAGTCGCTGTATAGATCTTCCTTGAGCTGGGCAAGTTGGGCTGCCTGTGCCGCTTCAGCGTTGGCAGCGGCATTCGCGCGGTTGGCCGGGCCACCCTTGATGGCGCTGCCAGGGACCTTGGAGGCACCCTCAAGACTGGCGGCTGTGTTGCGGGCTGCTGCGAGCTTGGTATGCAGCGCCTTAGTTTCAGATTGTGCAGAGGCAAGCTGTGCGTGTGTCTCATCGGCACTGGTCTTGAGTCGAGTTATTTCTGCATCGCGGTCCTTGAGCTGCTTGGTGAGTCCGCGGCTCTGCGTTCCTAACTTACGCTGAGCATCCAGCTCAGCCCTCAATGAGGCGACCAATTCATTTGATGCTGAAAACAAAACATGTCAGTTGATTCGCTCGATGGAAGATGCATGTATCCATCAGCTTGAAGACATACCTTTGGTGATAGCTTCGTTCTGCTTGCGCAGCTTCTCCATATTGGCATTGGCCTCCACGATTCCGATCTCACGGAGATTGCGGTATTTGATGTCCAATGCGTCATGCTTCTTGGTAAGCTCGCCGAGCCTGCGCCTCAGCTCCGGGTCACCACCCTGTTCCAAGTCGGATTTGCGCTTATTAGGAGAGTCTTGTGGATTGCGAAGCAGGGATGGCCGGAAGCTGCGATGTTTCTGTGGGGACATGGAGCGGCGAGTCGGGTCGGGGAAGACCGACTCTTCTACTGCAATCTGTTGTGTCTCCTCCACCTCGGTGTTCCGTCTCCCGGGAGCTGCTGCACGAGGAACTGGACTGGGCTCAGGTTGTTCTTCGTTGTCCTCTGGGACGCTTGCTTGTCGAGCTGTTTTGGGAGTATATTCAAATTCATCGTCTACTTGGAGTTTTTTCGCTGCCCCCGCACGAGCTGTTGCTCGTCCACGTTTGGCAGCGGGTGCAGCCTTGGCCTTTGTAGTTCTCGCGGGCTTCCGTGTGGTCTTTGAGTCCTCAGGGTCTTCGTTCTCCTGGTCTTGTGTAGTGTCGTTGGCCGGCTCTAGGTCCTCTGCTTCTTCCTCGGCAGCCTGTACGGCGTCCTGCGATGCGCGGCCACTTCCTTTAGGTCGTCCTCGGCGGGTGGATTTCCTTTCTGCGGGAGCTTCCAGTTCTGTCACAGCAGCCGGTTGTTTCTTCGCTCGTGTAGACTTGACGGGCTTTGTTTCGGGCGCGCTCTCGTCGGAAGTACGCGGTCGACCTCTTCGTTTTTTGGCAGGAGGCTCTGCTTGTGGATCTTCTTTGTTTAGCTGCATTAAATCCTCATCATCTGAGCCAAGCAGCCCAGAAATTTGGGAGGTCGCTTTGCGTTTGGGCATGGTGCAGTGGAATATAAGAGACGTGCAGGCATAGCTCGTCGCGAACGCGCGAACCGGCGGACAACACAACACCTCTCCGCCTTACGACATGTGACTGATCCGCCACTGATCGGCTCGGCTTTGGACCTTCTCTCATTGCGGTCTACCTGGTCTAATTTACCTCTACTTAAACTTCTTGATCTATTTCTTACACTTAGTTTCACGGTTTAATTTGTTTGTTTTCTCTTGTTCAATCTCGACACATCTTTCATATCTCCGTTATCGCCATGGCTTCAGCTGGGGGCCGGAGATGGCAGCAGTTCTTCCAAGAGATGATGATGGTCGCAGGCACCGTAAGTCGATCAAATCTGAGGCGATGAGCAAATACTAACTCTCTTCATAGTCTGCCTCTGCATACTTCCTGATCCGCTACCTCATATCCCGTCTTGACTTCGACCCAGAGAGCCAGAAGAAAGAGGAACAACGCCAAAAGTCGGCGGCCATTTTGCGCCGATTGGAGGGCACAAATGACGAAACTGATGGCACCCGGTCAAAGGATGGCAAGAAGGGGAAGGGGCAACGAAAGAGAGAGCTCACTCTGAACCAATATGAGCAAGCAATCGCAATGGATGTCGTTGCGCCGGAAGACATCTCAGTCTCGTTTGAGGATATCGGAGGCCTGGACGATATCATTGAAGAGCTAAAGGAATCGGTTATCTATCCGTTGACAATGCCTCACCTCTACGCCTCTACTTCATCTCTCCTGTCCGCGCCTTCGGGTGTACTCCTATACGGCCCGCCTGGCTGCGGAAAGACCATGCTCGCGAAAGCCCTAGCGTCCGAGAGTGGCGCGTGCTTCATCAACCTGCATATCTCCACATTGACAGAAAAGTGGTATGGTGACTCAAATAAGCTGGTCAATGCAGTGTTTTCGCTAGCGCGCAAGTTGCAACCAGCCATTGTCTTCATTGATGAGATAGACGCTGTTCTCGGGACTCGGAGAAGCGGCGAACATGAAGCCAGTGGCATGGTGAAAGCAGAGTTTATGACACACTGGGATGGCCTTACCTCGGCAAACTCTACTGGAGAGCCGCAACGGATTGTTGTTCTGGGGGCGACCAACCGCATCCAAGACATCGATGAGGCCATTCTCCGCAGAATGCCCAAGAAATTCCCGGTAACACTACCTCCAATCGCCCAACGACTCCGGATTCTCAGTATCATTCTGAAGGATACCAAGGTTGACCGGGAGAACTTCGACCTACACTACCTTGTCAAGACTATGGCCGGAATGTCCGGTAGTGACATCAAGGAAGCATGCCGCGATGCCGCAATGGTTCCAGTACGTGAGCTTATTCGCACGCAAAAGGCCAACGGCATGGATATGGATGCCATGAACCCTCAAGAAGTCCGAGGGCTGCGCACCGAAGACTTCTTCTCTCGCGCCGGTGGTGTCAAAGTGATTCATCCCGATACGCTACCTACTCCTACGGGCAAGGTCAATGAAAAGGAAGAAGGTGAATGGAGCACCGAGTCCGAAGCAACCTCTGAAGTTGATCCCCGACCCTCTGTGATGGCTGAGCCCCCAGAGTAAGCGATTACGTCTCTTGAGCAACATTTCTGGTCTTTTGTTATTTAATTCTCCCTTGTCCCGCAGCGCGAAGACTTGGCGTTACGTGCTGGAAATGCCCTTGAAATGGCTAGGGGTATTTTCCTTTTGCTTGTTCATAGACTTTTATTGATGTACAATTGCGAGAGAAACGATCTAATAAATCTGGTGGAAGTAATGTTGAATCGCATGTTTCAAGATTGAATCTATATAAGCAGGATGTACAGGTACGGATAATAGGTGGCCTTCTCCGGCCAACGTCATGTACCGCTACTTTACCGAGCGGCGAAGTCACCTGCCGATCATCCAACGCCCGAAACACAACCCTCTGCAGCTTTAATTCGCTTTTGGGCTTTGTACAGACTACGACGTAGCTACCCTGCGTGATATTCTTCTTATCTCGGAGCTTGAATTGCCTCTTGGTATCGCTCTCGGGTTACTTGGCGTCGCAAGGGCTCTGTGCTCCATCCGCTGTCGTCACCTCCCTGACCTCCCTATCGGCCCTCGACCCTCCCACCTTTCTCGGCCCTTTGGCTGCGTCTGTCCACATTTTGATTTGACTACATGGGAAAAGTTGCGCCGGTTCACGTTCCTGGTCAACTAGTACGACTTCAGATCACGAATGGGTTTCTATAGAAGGTCAACTGATGGCAACTGGTGCCTTGGCGGTACAAACTACTAAGGGGGGCTTTTGTTTCGCATCATTACACCGATTGAACTCACAGGAATGAGTTCTCAAAGCAGCCTCGCCAATGCTTTCCCAGGCCCGAACACTGGAAGCGCAAGCACGACCTCCACCTCTACAGTTCGATCGCGCCCTCGACGCTTAGTTTCGTTCATGGACGACGAAGATGACGACGTTTCGAATTACTCTTACCAGAGTGACGCCCAGCCTTTGTCCTCGGCCTTGTCATCAACTCTCGCACCGTCGGAAACCGGGGCAACTCGATCTCGGGGGCCATCGCGTGGAGCATCACCACTTCCGATGACGCACCCCTCCCGCGCGACCGAACGCTCCAATCGAGGCACCCGCAGTGAGACATCGGCTTTCGCATGGAATGGATCATCGATGCCCTCGTCGCGAGGTGCTGCAGACTTTTTAGACTCCTCATGGTCTTCTCTTCAGAGCCTGGCTTCTTCGGTGCTGGGGAGTGACGCTGGACGAGCCACTCCCCCTAATACGACGAAGACAAACCCGCGAAGAAAACCCTCTCGGTCTGACGTATATATCAAGAGCGCTCCGAGATCAACTTGGGGCCCGTCGGCACCAAATGGCCCGGAAGTCGGAACGGGGACACCGGAGGAACGACAGGCTCTGGTCCAAGCGAAGAAGAGAGAAGCTCTCCTCCTTGCTGACAGCGATCCAGTCGCAAATCGCACCACACCACACAAGAGACGCGACTCTGGCGACACTTCACGACATGCGGTTGACCCAGGGCATGACGAGGATGCACTGGCTTACATCCACACCGTGCAACCGACAGATACCATCACCGGCGTGACGATCAAATATGGCTGTCAGGCTGCGGTGTTTCGGAAGTCCAATGGCTTCTGGCCCAATGACAACATTCAGAGCAGAAATGTTGTTTTACTACCGGTTGACGCATGTACTGTGAAAGGCCGGCCTATACCTCAAGAACCCGTGGATCTCTTGAGCCCGGATACTGAAGACCCCAGCGATAGCTCTATCGCCCCCTCAGCTACCCCTGCTGCCGATGCAGCCACAGGACAGGATAAAACCGCGACTCCTGAAGATCCCAATCAAGTATGGACACACGAGTCGTGGGTGCACATGGATGGCTTCCCAGGGCCAATACAGATCGGCCGAGTGCCTCGAAGGGCACTGGGCTTCTTCCCTCGCACGCGTCGAAAATCTACATCTTACTCGGATGCCGAACCTCCTACTTCGTACCGAGAAACTGTCACACCTCCCTCTCCCTCAGGCTCACCCCCTCCGCCTTCGTCACTCGGCGCTCTACCACGCATTCGCCCCAATGGTGACCAATCTAAGCCGAAAACCTCCAACCCCACCCGTCCAGGGCACCGCCGACAGCGCAGCAGTATTCACCTGGCCGGGACCGGCGTGGGAACTTTGGATCCTACTTCAACGGGCCCCGGGCCTGCTTTGGATGGCTTCACCCGTTTCTTCGCACAGCACATGCCGAACCTGGCCCCAGCACCACCACCAGACAACCTACGCAAGGCCTCTTTTGAGTCCGCATCTACTGTCACATCTAATGCCTCGACGGGGCTTGAGAACATCGGCGGTGCTTTCGAGGGCTGGGTTCGCAAAGTAGCGACCCGGGCCAAGGCTGGCATTAACGAGTTACAGCAACCTCCGAGCCAGCAAAGCAACAGCCGCGGACGTAACCTGTGGCGGATGGATGACCTAATTGAACTCGATGACAGCCTGGTGGATGGCCGAAATTCCCCGAGTCCCTTCAAGAGTAGTCCACAGAGACCTCAGCAAGGCTCTTCTTCATCTTCCGCCCGATACAACAGTCCTTCGGCGGTGGCAGCGAGCAGGTCTCGTGCAGCTGGTTTTGGTTCGAGCTCAAGCGCATACGGTGACCGGGCCAAGGACGATTAACGTGTTTGAATTTCCAAGCGTACATAATAAGAATTCTCCGCGTGTGAATCTGGAACTCACAATCTTTTGCATCTTCAAGCCTCTGTTTTGCTCCAAGCGGCTTCCTTGATTCGATGAGACAATCTCTCTAATACTCTGGAGGGCATCGCATGCATGACGACGAAGCATGGGTCGAGCCTCGCTATCTGTACATCATTCGATGGGTGCTGTGTGACTTCTGATATTCGGGCAGCTCGGAATGTTTCGTCTTGCATGGATGTACTATACCTTCAACCCTCGGCCATCTTCACAGTGGCCTGATACATCTACATAGTTTCCACATAGACCCAACAACCTTGGAATGATAGATTGCAATCAGAGATCATCACAGAGGTTTTTATCTACGGAACACCTAATATCACTTCATAAATCTAATTAATCTAACAAGCCTCAGTACCGCCATCGAGTAATTATAACTGGTTGAGTAAAGAAAGTCTTCCAGCTGTGAATAGAGAATTGGGGATTGTGGGGATTTCTGCGGGGTGAGACATTGGCCCGAAATTTCCCCAGCTCTGTTTTTCCGCCTATAAGCAAGCTTAATCTGCTTGCTCCCTGCAGTTGCATGATGTTCCTGATTATATTCCTTAATCACCTGGGCACTAAATTCGCCAATCTATTTTTCCGGTTATGAGGGACTTGGCGGTTGGAGCCTTGGGGTATATAAACATAAGGTCCCCTGTCTACTACCCTCCGCGAGAGCGGAGGTATCAAGACAGTATCGAGCATGCTTCCAATTCCAAAGCCCTTAATGATATTCTTCACATTTCTTGCCATGCTCATTGAGGCAGTGGCAAGCCTTCAAACGAGCACGTCAACCCCGCCGACTGTAACCCTAACCAGCAAAAGCAACAAAACCATATTTATAGGACGATCTCTCCCACAATTCAGCCAGGATCTGTTCCTTGGTATAAAGTATGCTGACCAGCCTACTCGCTTTACACCAGCCGAATTGAAATCCACATATACTTCTAATGACAGCGATTCCGGTGTATACGAACTTTCTACAGGCCAAAGCACCACCTCCAGCACGGTACATTACAATGCCACTCAGTATGGCCACGACTGTCCGGCATATGGATCCGACACAACAAACCTGGCTAATCAGGGTCTCATCACCCTGAACGAAGATTGCCACAATTTGAACATCATTCGCCCGCGAACAGATCAGGACGAGTTGTTGCCGGTCATGATCTGGATCTTTGGCGGTGGATGGACACAGGGAGCCACTGCAGATCCGAGGTAGGTTAATTGATTTCCCATGTGGAGGATTGGGTTGGTTCGTCTAATCACTGATATGTGCAGATACAACATGAGCTATATTGTGGAACAGAGTGCTTTGAATGGGAAGCCAGTTTTGGGTGTTTCTATCAACTATCGGTTAGCAGCGTTTGGCTTCCTGGACTCGGAGGAAGTGAGAGTAAGACCAGTTTCCACTGTGACTACTCCAGATCGCTCACAGGTAGCATAGGCTGAGGGTTACAATAACCTCGCTCTCCGTGATCAACGTACTGCCATGCGGTGGGTGAAGAAGAATATCGAAGCATTTGGTGGAGATCCGGATAAGATCACCATATGGGGCGAGTCTGCGTGAGTTCCAAGGCTGTACCAAGTATTTATTCTTCTATCAGATGCTGATTATGATAACAGAGGTGCATACAGTGTTGGAATTCATCTGGTAACGAACAATGGCAATAACGAGGGTCTTTTCCGAGCTGGTTCGTACACTTCCCCAACATATCGAAAGCTACTAACAAAGCCAGCAATCATGGACTCTGGCAATGCCATCGGCCCCCCATACAACGGCACTGAATGGCATCAGCCCATGTATGATCGAATTGTCGAGAGAGCTGGGTACGTCCATATCCGGTCTTTCAGCCAATAAATACTAACATGTATACATCAGATGCACCGAGTCCAGCAATACATTGCAATGTCTCCGCGAATTGCCATACACAACCTTGTACAACGCCGCATACGAGGGACTCGAGTGGTTCGCAACCATCGACGGGTCATTCGTAACTCAGTATCCCCAAATCAGCTATAAGCAAGGCAAAGTAGCCAAAGTGCCCATTCTTCTCGGCACGAACACAGACGAAGGAACCAGTTTCGGGACTACGGGCACAGACACTGAGGATGACTGCATTGATGAGCTGACGAGTACGTATATTGTTGATCACTGATCGCAAAATGCTAATCGAGTCCCCAGAATCCAAACGCTGGGTCTTGGACCGCACTCAGGCCACGGAGCTTGTATCGCACTACCCTAACATCTCCTCTATTGGATGTCCCTATGGTTGGGGCAATGTCACTTGGCCATCCTTGGGACTGATGTATAAGCGCTACTCCTCTATGGCGGGTGATCTGACCATGGTGGGACCGCGACGAATGCTAGCGCAGACCATGTCTGGGTTTAAAAAGAATGTATTCTCCTATCGATGGGACGTGGCTGCATTAAATAGTTCGACGACGATCGGCGTGCAGCATTTTGCAGAGGTACGTTTGAATCCATTGCTGAAGAAGAGAAGTTGACCTGAGTCCACAGATTCCCTTCGTTTTTGCAAATCCTGTGCAAACTATCACTCCTTTAGGGAGTGATCCAGCACGCTTGGAACTGGGACAGCTGGCAGCGCGGATGTGGACTTCTTTCGTGGCAGATCTGGATCCTAACGGGCATGGTGGTATGTTTTTCTCTATATCGTGGTCTTCTTGGGGCTGTGTGTTGACTTGCTTTAGTGTCTGATGTTTCAAAATGGCCGGAATATACATTTGGCAATTCGGTATCGAATTTTGTACTTCGTTTGCCCCGGAATGAGAGCTATGTGGAGAGCGATACGTATCGCACTGCTGGGATCAAGTATATCAACAGCATTGCACGGTGAGACAAGCTATTGGGGTTTACACAATTTACTGTATACGAGATGGTAAAGATGCGCTAGTCCAAATGATTCGCTATAAGAGCTAAATCCATGGACAGCAAAGACGAGTTTTGATTTCACTGAGGGACCTGTTCACTGAAGTAGGCAAACAGGCGTGATCCAAAGGTATCTGCCTTTTCATGATCCATATCTTCCAAGGTTAAATTTAGATGCTCTTGGTTCCGATGGAAACAAGCTTGACCTCGCTGTGACAATGTCAGTATGAGTTTCTTTTTTAGACCCGTGACAACACCCAGATCTGTAGCGGCAGTGAACTTACAAGACAAGCTGGGAGTTGGCGGGGATGAGACCGGGGAAGCCCCTAGAATATCATGTTAGTTTTCATCTCTCTCAAATATCTCAAAAGTGCGGGTTATATTTGGGGTGGGATCAAGCCGTGAGTAGCGGGGTTCTCGGGGTACATACTGGGCACCGTAGCCGAAGTCGCTGTGGTCATGTTAGCAGGATTCACACTGGAGGCATAGAACTTCAACTTACGGAGAGATGGTCAGGATAGCCTTCTCACCGAGAGACATCTGGGGGACACCCTGGTCCCAGCCTGAATTCAGTCAGCACACTCATTGCAGAAGCTATGCGCAAGCTTGCGCTCAATACACCAGAGACGTACCCTTGATGAGACGACCGACACCGATGGGGGTGGCGAGGGGGGGTACCGCGCTTGTAAGAGCTGTCGAACCTAGAAAGGTGTGAGTATTGGCGCTGGGAGGGAAACGCAAGGTAACTTACTCGGCGCCCATGAAGTGCTCAGCCTCCTTAGAGGGATCGTAGAGGCAGCCACGGTAGTGGATAGCGACGCGCTCACCCACCTTAGGGTAGTCGACGCCGTTGCCGTTTTCCAAAATTGTCTTTTCAACGCCCATTGTGAATGATTGTAGTGATATGAAAGAGGATTGAAGGTCAGAAAGCTGAGGAGGGGAGATCGAGGGGCAGATCCACTTTTTCTTTCCTAAGCGGAACGTAATGCGGCGCTTCGACTGTTTCGCTTCTCTACTCTACTTCGAGAACAATATCCAACATTCAATGCTCATTACTCCACCTTTACGAAGATATGATCGGCGGGGAAATGCACCGATGCCACATGGTTGGAGCATTCCCGATGATTGGAAAAGAAGAAGCCAATGAAACTGCCTGCACTGGCCTCCTTACACGACAAAGAGCTCCGGATTACTCCATTGGGTCTCGGGATCTACATATGCGTTGGAATAGCACATGGGACTGGATAATATGCAGCATCGGATTTAGTTATTTAGACCCAAAATTCCATCTTGCGCAACTCCTCCACCGAAACCTCTGCAACTTGCGTTTGGGGGAACCGCGCATCGGGGACAATAGCTGACACCGAGGGCACCCCAAGCTGTAGATAGTGCAGCGTAGTAATGCCCGCAAGGTCCAAGAAATCCAACACCCGGTGGAAGTTCAAGGCCACCTGGTCAACACCATGACTATCGTCAGACAGAACGAAGCGGCCGCCTCGTGCCAGGAATTCCTGGGGCAATTAATTAGCACACGATCCGCATGCATGGGAAACAGCACATACCTTGCAGATTTCAGCCTTGGGATATGGCTCACTCATACCCTTCCGCAGAGCAGCCGAGTTCAGCTCCAGCATGCCACCGTAGGAAGCAATGAGATCCAAATTCCGTAGAATCTTACTCCAAACCCCGGGCCACTCCGTAAAACTGCGCTCCATATCATCGGACTTGAGTCGAATCAAATCAAAATGACCCACCACCATCGGCTGCAATTGCTGCAACATATCGAATTGCGCATCGAAGTAGTCCTCGAACAGTCGCTCGTCGGTACCGCCCGCTAACTCTCTCGCCTGCTCATACATGGGTCGATCATAGTCAATCGGCACAGTGTGCATATGATGAACTGATCCAATAAAGAACTCAAAGGGGAATCGAGCCAGAGAGCGATCAATCAAGTCTCGAGAGGCGGGTCTGATCCAGTCGATCTCGAATCCAATGATGATCTTGATCTGGGAGGCGTACTTTTCCCGTAGCCGTTGTGCTTCTTCCCAGTAAGCTGCTTCATTGGCTGCGTGGCTCTCTTCTGTGTTGCCGGATTCAACCTGAAGGGACGTGGTCAATATTGGGTTTCATAGATCGAGGGATATTGCGTACTTCTTCCGGGTAGAAATCTTCTTTATGGCGGGGCATATGTTCAGTCAGGCAGAAAACTTGCATTTTCTTGCTAATTGCCGTTTGAATCACATCTTCCAGTGAGTCTTTGGCATGACCTGGGCAGAATTGGCCGGAGTGGCTGTGGTGGGAGAACGGCATTGTATCGTCTGTTGACGGTCAGCAGCAGCTCGGAAGCTCGGAAGCTCGCAATTTTTACTAAACAGACAGAACTGAAAAGGGAAATAATATGAGATATGAGTGGTTGGATACGTACTCTATGATTCTCTATTGCAGTCGGAGTGATGGCCGAGGGGAACCTTGGAAGAGTTGGGCGATAAGGATTTCCGTCCCGCTGCATCTCGGGAACTATACCTCCCCACATGACTCCAATGGACAACCGGGCAATTATATACAGATATGTTCTTCTGAGAAGGGACCACGCTTATCCATAAAGGAGGCTCTTCGTCCGGTTCGGTAAGCGCGCGGTGAGCTTGGAGTCCGGCAAAGAGTCCTAGTAGAGCGCGAAGGGTCCCTCATCGCAAAAGCGCGAGTAGACCATAGTTGCCATTTGCCCATTCTCCCGCAGAATTAATGCGATGTATTGTCGCAAGCAGCGTCTGGTCTGACCTGACCATTGCCTTGAAGTCATTCTGTGTTGGAGCGTCAAGCTCCTCAAGTCCAGTGTAGCATCGGGTCGCAACTATCAACCCGCCGCCAGAACCGTAGCCACGACGTACTCCCCATCATGTGAGATGGACAGCTTCGCGACCCTCCCCTCGTGGCTCCCATCTTCCGGTGGAAGATAGACGATCTCAGGCCGGCGACTGACACCGACTCCAAACGCGCCCCCATCCTCCTGCACACGGATCATCACGTCCTTCCAGCCAATTGATGCAGCGCCCTCTGGTGCCGCCTTGCGGGCCGCCTCTTTGGCCGCGAAGCGCCCGGCCAGCCAGCGCGTCACGTCGGCGGGCACGGGAGGTGGCTGTTGGTGGTAGACGGCGCGAGCCTGGAGGGATTCACGGAAACGTTTTGTGAAATCGGACTGTTCGGAGTCGCAGAGGATGCGGCGCGTGAAGCGTGGGAGGTAGTTTGGTTGGGCCAGAAGGCGGGCGATTCGAGGGATGTGGACGATATCGGTGCCAATATTGAACGGGAATGGGAAGGGGAGGGGTTTCATATTGGCGAAGGTGTTTGGGGGTTGGCCAAATAAGGTAGCGTCTGAGAATGGATTGCGATGAACTCCAATTTTGGCAGCTCCCGGAAATAGCTCGGCTGGCGACGGTTATCGAACAAATTAAATGAAGGGGATCAACTCGGCGGACAGAGAGGTTTATCACAATTACAGCTTCCCAAAGCAATCTACAAATGACTGAGGTATTTTTACACGTGAGCTGTCAGCGCCCGAGAAAGCTGATCATCGGCGCAGTATTCTCACGGCTATCAAGACTCCGAGTGACCCGATGCGAACGTGCAAGTCGTGCCACACCTTCACATCCCAAGCTCTCGGGCTAAACAGGCGCATTCGAAGGACCCGTATCAGGAGGAAATTCTTCTATGCAGCGTACACACCTCCTATATACAGATCAACCGCATCCGACATTCAAAGACCGGTCCAGGTAGCTCGAAGAATCGTGACCAGAACGCCGAAGGGCGGATACACAGCGCGCTAGAAATGGCACCAGAGCGGGCGGGCAGTATAGTTCAATTCAGAGTCCTATGTGCTGATGATCGACCGCTCCATCAATAAAAACCGTATCGAGTGGTGGTTTAGTGCTGAGCGGGCTTTTTCTCGCCTCCATCGACCTCCTTCATGAAGTTCCTGTGTGAGAAGCGAGTGGTCAGCAAACAATTCGGGTTGCATATATATTTCGCTCGGTCCGGGGGTTGCGAAGGGCCGTTCGGCAGGACGTGAACATACTGGATGAAGTTCTCCTCATCCTTGGAGGAGGCGTTGATGGGAGGGCCCTGGGCGGTCTTGGGCTTCTCACCACCGCCAGCGGCGAGCCAGGAACCGGCGAAGATGCTGCCGAGGGTGGCCATGGCGAGCTATGAGGGTAACAAGGACCCGATCAGCTTTCGTTCGCCGAGTCGTACCGAGACAGGGATCAGGGCGCAGGCGGGAGGGACACTTACGACGTGGGAGCCGACCTTCTTGCCGGCGATCTGGTAGTAGACAACCATTTTGTAGGATTTGAATTGAGGTTCAGCTAAAGGTTCAACTGGCGATGTGGACGGAATCCTCAGGCTTGGACCAAACGACGAGGTCGGCACGGAGACCGCCTTTCCTGATTGGGTTAGCTCTATCACCTGACATTGGAGTCACCTGACATGGCAGTTAGGTAAGACAACATCTCCACCACCCGCCTGCGTCCGATCCTCCCCGGTTGTTTCGGGCAACTGGAGACCATCTGATGCAACGGACAGAGATGGACCGAGATGTCCAGAAGCCGAATCTTGAATTCCTCCCGCCAAAAGCTTCGGAATTGTCAACTGAAGCTGGTGGAAGCTGGCCCTGAGACGGATCGTAGTGCAGTATCTACTTATTTACGCTTCAGCACGGAGGAGTTCTACCCCGGATCGCGGGAGACTACCTCGGGCTATTCCACGGACAATGGATGTATACCCCGGCTATGGCTGTGCATTTCGGCTGTGCAGTGCGGTTGATCTGAGAGCTTTTAATAATACAAATGTCTCCCTTGCATGCCTTTTTCTCCCCGCTCCCTTTGTCCCTCGTTTCTCTCTCTTCCTCTTAGCGACCTCATTGAACACCCTCTACTGTACGGAGTATGGTCTGGGGTAGTCGATCAGAGGAGCCCACTCCTCCGCAGGAATTGCTGGACAAGCCTGTAATTCAGAAGAAGCTCCCTGCCAAATTACAACAATTGGTAGACCGTGAAGACGAGTTCTACGATGACCTATATTCCGGATAGTACGTTGATTTATGGTTTTACTTATTTTCCCGCGCAAAAGAAAAAGAGAGAAGAGCAAACAGAAGAAAAAGAAGAGGGAAACAAAACAAGCTCACAGAGAAAGAGAGGAAAAGAGAGGGCCGGAAATGGTCGCGTGGAGGCCTATGACATAGCCTCTCCGCACCTCCGCCGATCATTTCTGGCTCACTCTTACACTCTACACGTCTACACTCTACACTCTACACTCTACCTCCTGACAACACACTAACCATGGGATCCTCGGACAGCTCCGTCGACTCTACAGACACTCCCTTCCGTTATGCTGCTTACGCCAATCGCGTTCGCACAATCCTAATCTCCGCTCATCGCTATGTACGATCGCCCCGTGACCACGCCAACTCCCACTAACCTCTCCCAGGTCGCCTACACCTCCGACATTGGCGAATCCTTCCGCCCAATTGCGCATCCGTGGCTAGTACGCTCCGCCTACGGAATCTCGTGGTCTTACCTCCTAGGCGATGTCGGCCACGAGGGCTATAAGGCCTACCTGCGAAACTGGAAGGCTCTCGCTCCCACCGGGGATGCCTATAAAGACGCCAGCGAGCCCTCGCAGGACCAGATCATCAAGGGCATGGCCACTGGCAACATGAAAATCGGCAACCAAGAATCCAAGGACACACCCCACTGGCCTACGCCCGAGATCCCACTTGCGGAAGATTACCGCATGGTCATGGCTAAGCGCGCCGTGTTCCAGAGCATCGCCAGTATGGGTCTGCCTGCGTTCACCATCCACAGCGTGGTGCGATACTCTGGAAAGATGGTCAAGGGTGTGAAGACCTCGTTCATTCGGACTTGGACTCCTATCGGGGTAAGTATTTCTGAATGCCACAATAGGCGACGATACTAACAAATTTAGTTGGGTCTCGCTGTGGTCCCCTTCCTGCCATATATCTTCGATCACCCTGTCGATGAAGCCGTCGAATGGGCGTTCCGCACTGGTCTGCGCGCTTACGGTGGTGAAGCTGCTGTTCGCCCTCTGCCTGGCAAGAGCCTGCCTCCCCAGGAAGAGGAGGTTCGCGCCGCCGCCGCGGCTAATCTGTCATGGGATGAGTACAAGGCCCAGATGGAACGAGCACGTGAGCTCCGTCGCCAGTCGGGAGGATCCGGTGGGATTGCATCGCTGACGAGCTGGTTTGGATCTTCTTCCAATGAGGAGAAGAAGAAGAACGAATGATTGAGCCCCTACCCTTTTTCATGAGCATATCACGGTCGAGTGTTCTCCATCGATACCTCTCCTATTTCTTGTATATACCACTTTCCGCTCCGTGATCTCCTATCCATACTACTGATATCCATTGAAACATATTACTATCAACTGAACATTAAATCATAGCAAAATATCTCTAGGGAACTGTAGGATGCCAGCCTCATCCTGACCCCACCTTCTGACACCCCCCACAAGATCATACACGGTCTCTCTTCGCAGAAAAAGAGCCCCCATTCCAGCAATGTGCACCAAAACCAGCTCCAGGTAAGGAAGAAGCATGCAAAATGTCTCATCTGGCGTGCAGCAAGCGAGCACATGTGCCCAAAAAATGATCGGGTGAGCAAACAAGCAGCGAGAGCAAGGAAACCGATGCTGATCCTCCGGCGTGCTCTCAATCGTCAAGAATCGCAGGGGGAAGAAGCACAGATACAGGAGATTCCTCAGCGGGCAGGACCCGCAAATTCAGTTGTTGCACTCACATCGTAAACAACAAGCGCGCCGGATCCAAATTAAATCAAATTCGCCATGTCACAAACGCCGGGAATTCGGCCTCGTGTTGCGAAATCAACTCGTACAAACGGTCCGATCTCAGACCGTCTCTGAGATCGTGTGCCACCAGCGTCTCTAGAGACTGGCGCTGGCGCCAGATTCCACCGAAGACATCCTCTGTTGAGATCTCCCCTTCCAGATACTCCTCCAGGGGGAAAACATCTGGTGCCAGAGCGGGATCGGGTCGATGCTGGTTGTGAATAAGCACCAGATGCTTCAGCGTCGAGGGGAGGGAGAGAATATCGGCCAGCACCCTGAAATCCAATTGGCAGTCGCCTAAGTGCAAAGTTCTTAGGCCGGTAGACCCTACGTGGGCCGCAGGGTCTCGGACGCCTAATTCAGATGTGATTATGGCGTGGCGAAGGAAGAGTTCTCGGAGCTGAGGGATGAAAAACAGGATTCCAAGACCCCTTGGGCTTTGGGACTTTCCTGCAGGGCTCTGCGCTTGTTGTCCAATGACAATGTCGACTCCACATAATTAGACACAGACACTAGATAAAGCAGTTTCTCACTTACCGGAACGCAGGTTTTGAAAGATCCGGTCCTGCGGCGGCGCTAGGACGCTCGCCTGCTGTAATAGGGCGTGGAATTCCTGATTGATGATCTGGTAACCATTCCCTTTTCCAGCAATCTTAAGCTGGATCAGTCCAGAGATCCCTTCCAGGTATCGAACGGCGGCGAGAGGACACCCCTCATCTTCATCGTCATGCCGACAATGGTTTCGGTTTTCGATGTGCACGACACGCACGTGTCGTGCATAGTTTGTCAAGAGCCCAAGTTTCCGCTGAACTGGCTGCAGGTTTATGAGGCAGTCTGGCATGCGATGTAGATTGAAGCTCCTTCTGCGAAATAGCCTCTGGCTGGCTATTTCATTGAGCTTTTGGCATGTTAGCCGGAGGTTCAGGAGGCCCTGGGAGCTTGGGTCCCTTGTGTGCAGGTATCCTGCTATTTGAGCTAGGATCTCATTAGGCAGCGCCTTGAGGGGCGATCCCTCGAGGCTAGGTGGGAGTTGGTCTGTTGGAGACATGGGATTGGGAGATAGTTTTGAAGAGGGGTTGACAAGGAAAGGCTTGGAGAGATGGTAAGAGGTAAGAGAAGCGATGAAAGCATAGAAGCGATGAAAAGATAGAAGTGATGGGAAGATAAGTGAGGGTCAGAGAGAAGTGAAGTGATGGTAAGAGAATAAGAAATGATAATCTGCCGCTGAGAGAAGTGATAATGAAGCCAAAGAGATAGAGATAGAGTCAATGCCGAAGTTACTTTCATAATTAAGTGAGCCCGTCATCTCTACCTAGGTAACTATACAACCTGATAGATATTTGTAGAATCAGAAGTTGAAGTTCACATCGTAACTATCTCTTTACCATGTTCAAGCATCATTGGGCACCTCAAATCCTTCCACCCGCACAGATTTATTGTGGTGCTGCATGATCAGACGAGCAAGCTTCAATCGATCATCCCTACCCAGCATCGTAGTTCCCAAGCTCCTCACGATCAAGCCGTTGTAGTCGTGCTCGAACTCAACCTCCGCGGCCCACTCATACATCGGACTCGGTTCCCTGAAGTAGTATGGCCGACCATTCTTCATGACGATATCATACAATTTGCGAAATTCTCGAGAGCACCCCGTTTTGACAGTTCCATTGGACAGTACCACAACACTTGCGTGCCAGGGCATGTCACCAAATTGGTCACCTTGTCGCAGGAGAGGGATGGAGATCTTGTTCCTTCCTATAGATGGGTGGATAGAAAGACGAATGTGTTTTCCCAGTGCCGCATTGATGACGGATTCATATGCCTGTATGGTGTGTCAGAAGGGTCTAAATTTGAATAACATCACTTACTATGAGCCGGGTGATCATAGTCTTGGCCATCTTGGAGACCTCAGCCGCATAAAGCACCTGGTCTTGTGCGATAACAGGATCGAGCCATTTGGACCATTTGAGGTCCTCTGAGATGCGAGCGAAGTAGCTGTCATATGTCGACTTGGTATCAGGGTTGGTGTTCAATTCATGTTCGATGTCAAATTTGGGATCGAAGTATGCGGGAGACATCAATTTCTCTCTGCAAATAGACACCAGACGCAGATATTCTGCCTTGGATATCTTCTCTCCCTCGCCAAGCCCCATCAGATCCATCAGTCGCGTAAATTGAATAGAAGAGAACTGTTTCTCCCGGGCCATGTGGCGCAACTGCATTCCATATTCGTAGTATTCTTCGTCGGATACGCCGACCAAGTCTGGATAGTTGGTTACTCACTAACCACACTACTCCCGAGGTCGATGGGAGAACCTACCATTATACACGGGTCCATCGCAGATGAGAATCAGCCGTGCCCCATAAGGATACACCTTTGAGATGTCCTCACATAATTGATTCAGTTTAGCAAGCCCTAGTTCTTCTCCCAGGTCAATACCTTCGCCAAGGACTTTGTCCTGATTTGGGTTCTTCCATGGGAATGCCGGAAGGACCATTGTTATTGGTTGGTTGGCTGCGATATCAGTCTTCAGCTTGTCCACCACGGTCTCAAACACCTTTCCGGCGTCATATCCATTACTTGAATGGAGAGAGAAGCGCTTTAGCACTTCAACCACCTTATCGGGAATTTGCTCTGGGGCATATTCAAACTTCATTGTCAAGACGAGAGGGGAGTCGAAGAGTGAGCTGACGTAGATGTCCTCGCGTGGCGGACCCGAATGCAGCGCAGCGACTTTATACCCCGTACTTTACAGTAATTTATTCAGGTTTTGTACTCATCCAAGACATGTGGTGACAAATGTAGTGACTGCATAAACTCTGCAGGAAGTGGATATTTGACTCCGCAATGTAGCATTCGAGGAGTCACATTACCCACGCGGCCTTACTGTATATAGCTGATCTCAGCTCGCCACCAAGGCATGACTTCCCTTAAATTCTCGGAGACACCCTTTCTGCGTCTCCAGAGAAAATGGGCCAAGTTTTCACATCCCATACAACCAATGAGGTAGCTCAATCGCATCCAACAACTGAGTCCTACACGACCTCGGCTACCACCTATACTGCGACCTTAACAGAAGAATCACCGCTATTCGTTCCTCCAAATCCGCGCCAGCTAGACGAAGAGCAAAAGGCTGAAAATAATGAGATCCCGGACGGTGGACTTGTGGCCTGGACGCAAGTGCTGACGGGTCACTTGGTTGTATTCAACGTATGGGGCTATATCACGTCGTAAGACAGGCCTCACATTCAATGTCGATCTCACCCACTGATGCATAAAAGTTATGGATTCTTCCAAGAATACTACGTTAGCCATCTCAATGTCAGCCCAGCCAATGCATCGTGGATCGGAGCCCTGCAGATGTTCCTTGTCCATTTCCTGGCTATGTTATCCGGTCGAACCATGGATGCAGGTTACCTCCGGTACTGCATCGCGACTGGCTGCTTCTTCCAAGTTATGGGCGCTTTGGCAACCTCCTTCGGCACAAAGTTATGGCATTTCTGGTTAGCGCAGGGTGTTGTCAGTGGCATTGGCCACGGACTCCTGTTTAGCCCAATGATCGCGCTATACGCGACATACTTCAAGACCAAACGGGTGATGGCTGTCTCACTGGCTTCATGTGGAGCCGCGACAGGAGGAATGGTCTTCCCTGTGATCGCATACAAATGCCTGAACGTCATTGGATTTGCATGGACAGTCCGAGTTATGACGCTTATCATCCTGGTCAACAGTGTTATCATCGTCACATTCACCCGGTCTAGGATCAAGCCTCGCAAGCCTCCTCCCTGGGTGGATTTTAGCGCGTTTCGCGAACGCCCTTACCTCCTTTTTTCAATTGGCTCGTTCCTGATTTTCGAAGGGATTTACTTTGCGTACATCTATGTGAGTTTCACTTCGTTTGATCCGTTCCTCGAACTAATTACCTCAGCTCCGCCAATATGCCCAAGCCCACGCAGGATTTTCAGCAACCGACTCACTTCTCCTTTTGATCCTAATGAACGGTGTAGGTATCCCCTCCCGGATTGTATCTGCATTCGTGGCAGATCGGTGGTTGGGTGCGGTGAGGACCTGCATTGCCGTCTCCATCCCTTGCGGCATCGCCATTCTCGGGTGGATAGGCGTGCACACCCACACCAGCATGTTTGTCTGGGCCACCGTGTACGGGCTGCTGGTCAATTGTGCCCAAAGTCAATTGCCCGCCGCCAATGCATACTTCGGCTCGAAAGACCCAGAAAGGTCAGGCACGCGTGTCGGGATGATCACTACGATCAATAGTATTCCACTCCTGACTGGGCCATACATTGCAGGGCAGCTGATCGCCCTGCGGGGAGGGGACTACCTGTATGCGCAGCTCTTTGGGGGCATTTGCATTCTGACTGGAGCGTTGTTTGTAGTTGGGTCTCACCTGTCGGGGGCCTAGAAGCATTGCACAATGTTAGTTACCTGATCCCTGTACAATGTAGTATCACCTTAGATGTCAGCACCCGAGGATGGCTGTGTAGCCTGGCTGAGCTTTTTTTAAATTAGCCTTGAGCAGATTCAAGCTTAAGCAACTCTATATCGCTTAGTGTCTAGCTTCTGCGGGGTCAAATTAAGGCTCTCACAGGTTTAGGGCTGATATTCCCTTTGTTGCCTGAAAGTAGACTCTACCACTTCTTCCGAATACATCATGCAACCACGTTTTCTCCAACCATTCATCTCTCGCCGATTCTCGCACAAGATGACACTCAGACCTCTTCACTACCACCTTCCATTATTTCCTGGATTTCAATTGTTAGACGCGGCAGCCCCGCTCGATATTCTCAACATCCGTAGCCAATATCCTGACACTGCGGATATCACTCTGACTGTATCAGCCGCAACTCTCGATCCAGTCTCCGTGAAGCCAGTGCCACCCCGTCAGGCAACCTGGAAATTCGATAATCCCCCCATTAACACGGCCTGCAACCAGCAAATGGTGCCACAATGCACCTTCGCTGACGTGATTTCCACTCTGAAAGCGGGGGCGGGGAGTGGCGATATCAAGCCCGTCGACGTGCTGATCATCCCCGGCGGTCCAGGCACCCGCTTGAACCGCATCTATGATTCTGGCGAGAAAGTTCCAAACACAAAGGAAGTACAGGACTTCTTGGTCGACGTGGCGCCCTACGTTCGACACAGCATCATCACTATCTGCACGGGCAGCCATATTCTCTCCCAGACAGGGCTTCTGGATCATCGCCAAGCGACCACCAACTCCGCCCGCTACGATGATGTCGTTGGCAAATCACAGACAGTAAGCTGGCAGCGTAACAAACGGTGGATACGGGACATTGTCCCGAAAGACACATCTGGCTCACTACTGCTGCCTGGCATTGAGATCTGGTCGTCTGCTGGGATTACTGCAGGGATGGACGTCATGTTGGAGTTTATTTCGGCGCATTATGGCGGCATCGAGGTAGGCATGCAGACTGCGAAGCGGATGGAATACCGATGGGAGCGGGAGCGGGAGGCCTCGTATTTCCTGTGATATGCTCAAATGGACTCGTTCTCAAGGTTTCTCAAGGTTCCTTGGGCGAAAGTATAGAGACCAAGTACAACCTCCGAACTATAGCCTTTTCGTATACTTCGCACTCCGTCCTTGGCACAGATGACTTGAACGTCCGATTTGAAACAAACCTCTTGACAACCCCTCTAAAATATGCATTATGTTGGCCTCCCCGGTGCATCTATATTACATGCTTTTTAGATGCATTGACAGGGAACTGTATGTGAGCCGCTCTCTGGTTGCTCTCTGATTTGACCTATTACTAGAAAGGTGCTATGTCCGGAGTCCGATTTATTAGCCAGAAATTCAATCAACATTGGTACTTCAAAGTACAACACGAGGTAATTGTGTTGTAGTCTCAATCATGTTCCAAAGAGGTTCGTTGGCTGCCTTCAACTTTGGCCATTTGTGTAAGGGGCTTCCTGGTCAACCCAATCAAGCAACTCCCCTCTGCGCCCGATCATGCATGGATAGTCAGATTAGCAGGAACTGCTTATGGAATGAGCTACAATAACGTCAAGACTCGTACAGCGGAGATGACTAGAAACTGTCAGGCGGCTCTATGTCTTATTCTGTTCATCAATTGCCCGATCCGGACATACGAAAACAGTCATATTTTACGACATGCACAGGAACCAGCACACGTGATGGGCTCAAACATTGCTGCCCAGGGTCTTCGTCAGCTTTTCAGCTCTTACCTTGGAACTTGAAAACGAGGGTGAACCGGTGTTAATTACCAATACGAAGAGACGGAGACGGAGGTGCGTAGCGGCGGCGGTACTTCGTGGGAACAAGACACGAGGGAGAACGTTAGTTGCTTCCAGGGTTTATTTGCCACTAGACTTCAACTCAACTTACTTGAATAGTCACCTTATAAGGAGTATATGTTCACTACTTGACATGCCATCCAATCTATCCCTTTCTTGGCCCCTAGATTGAACATCACCCGTTCTCTATCATATTCATATTGATCCACGATAACGCAATGTTGGCCACAGCAATAGTCGAAGCACCGACTCTACTGAGCTCTCTTTCAGACCGGTTCGTGCTAACCAGGTCTCGAATCTCCCTACCAAGGCCTGTTCCACCAGCCGCCAGAGTTGAAGCCGACGAGACCCAGCATGGCATTCTACGCACATGTCCCGATCCAACTAGTTCAAAAGCGGAAGATATAATGAACATCGTTGAGGCATATGGCTCTCACGAACGCACGTCTGCAATAGGAGAATGGCTCGGCCGCGCTTCTTTCACCCCACGGGTGCAAACACATGTCACAGCCAATCGGGCAATCCCCATGGTCCTACCTGCTTTTCCGATGAAAAGTAACAATCGAATGGACAAAGTGCTAGGCCCGCTTCCGGACTTGGGTGAAGAGCTTGGATTGGCCAGATTGGTCAATCTTTGTCGAGATATCAAGGCTGTGTACCCGCCTGGTGCGATTGTAGTTATTGTCACGGATGGAATTTGCTATAATGGTAAGTTCTTACCAACAAATTATATTGGAAGCTGAAGACTAATCATCTAGATCTGACTGGTATCCCTGATGAAGAAGTCTGGGAATATGGGAATCGACTGCGGAAGATCGCGGTTGAAAAAGGATATGCTTGTATCCAATTCCACCGCATTATGAATATGCTAGGTCTTTATACTGGGATATCTATCTCCAAGGATGAATATGTGAAGCTCTGTGATATCTCGAGGGCTGAGATTCATCGGAGGTGCGGATGGCCTGGGTTTGATGTCGATAGGTTGTTGAAGACCGATGAGGATTATCTGCGAACATATAATGGTTTGTCCGATGTTGCCCCCTGGCTCATCATTTACTGATTCTATCCAGGATATGACAAGTTTATGAAAGTTGATCTAAAATTCAGCCCGGTGACCAGGGATTGCGCCGGTCCGAAACAGTATAAAAAGAAGATAAAATTGATCGCAAAGGCGATGATAGTGCGCGGTGTGGTGAGTTCTCTCGCTCTCTTTCTTTCTTCTTCTTCTGCTATGTACATGACCTGACTTTTTTTAGGAGTACGCCGAGCTTGTGCGTCAAATCTATCCTGACTCACTACGACTCTCTATCCATCCCTCATCGGGACAGACGAAGTTATCTTGCCCGCTCATACCTCAGCAAGACTCATTCTCAATGAGCCCATGGCACTGTAGTGTTGCAGTGCTTGCAAACGGCAAGTTCATCACAGCGCACAAGTCATTGCATCGACAGAAGTTTGAACTTGTCGAGAAAAACGGCCAGCCATATTTCTTCCGTGAGAGCTCATCGCTCTTCAAATGGGAAGCCAATGTGGAGTTTGAACATCATTATGGGCAGAACTTGGTTATCCGAGGCGAGAAGGGTAGAGGAGAGTTCTCTGACTCTGACTTGGAAAAACTGGCGGTTTTGGCGATGCAGCACAACAGTGTGACGTTCATATCATGTTGAATCAAGACTGCCCAGGTGGAGTTGACTTTGTGCTACTACGTGCAATGGTGATGTAGATAGGATAGGCAGGATTACATAGTGCTCATTCATTGTCATACATGGGTCTCGTACAGTACTCCTAGGCGAAGGCGATATACTAAACAGGATGAAGATGATATCCGTTGTACGCATCCATAACCTTGGCAGTACAGGTAGAACACTAGCATTAGATCTACAACGATAGAAAAATATTAGGACTGCTACTGACTGGCCTACGCTGCTCCCGACTACAAAGTATGAAACAATTATAGAAAAGGAGATCTAGTCATCTCATTCACAGGCTCAAATCCACATCCACAAGGCCACAAGACACTTGGACACATTTCATACATCTGTACACAAGCAAAACAAAACAATTCAAATTCAACAGAGAGACAGGGAGAGATGTCAGTGATAAGGAGAGGGGAGGAGGTGAGCGCTGAGAAGAACAGAGCAGTAGCAGAGGCAATTCCCAGCCACACACAACCAAAATTAATGTGCAAGTCCAAGGGACATCAAAAACCAGTAATTCATAAGAGGGTTTCAAGTGGCACCAGCCAAAAAAAAGAAAAAATGATTTCGTCCCAAATTTGGTTATCCCAGTGCCATTGAAGAGAGTAAAGGGATATAAAAGTATTTGGAGAACAAAAGGGGGAATAGTTCAAGAAGAAAAAGAAGAAAAAAAGGAACGCGACACACGCAGCGAGGAACTCGCTCGGAGTATCATGTTGAGAAGAAGAGTGGCCGATCAAAAAATTGCACAAAAAAGAAGAAATACCTGATATGTGACATGTTGGATGATGGACAATGAAGAAGAAGTTTTGTGCAGTCTCTCTGTCCCTGCCTCTTGTCAGATGGCGAGAGCATGAGCGCATGAAGGGTAGTCATCTCAAAAGCCGAGATGGCGAACCGTGAAGGCTCAAGGCCCTCTATTTGTCGTCGTAAGGTCCAAAAGGAGGTAGGGTATGATGGAAGGGTCTATACGTCGTACAATTGAAAGCGCATTTAGTTCCATCCCAGGGAGTTCTCCGCCATGACGGGAGCACTGATCATCTGGGAGCGGGCGGTACCACGGCTACCATGGCTGGGGGCACGGCCACCGGCAGCGAACATAGAGCCGGCAGCGGAGCCACCCTGGCTCATCTGCTCCACGGTGGAGCTGGAGCGCTGGTGCAACTGCTTTCTCTTGCGGTAGCGGCGGGCAACCCAGAACATACCGGCACCGTAGGCGGCGGCACCAGCGACGACACCGACTCCGATGCCAACAGAGCTGGCCTTGGTCTTGGAGCTGCTGGCGGAGCCATCACTGTTGGTGTTGTTACCACCATCGTTGTTGCCGTCCTCGCCACCGTCACTGCCGTCGCTGCCAGTGGAGTCACCGTTGCTGCTGGGGTAGTTGCCCGAGAACTCGAGGGGAATCGTCGAGTCAACCATGTTCATCAGGGACTGGATGGATTCGCTAGCCTGGTTGTAGAGAGCTGAGTTGGGGTTGGACTTGAGAGCTCTCAGAGCTTCGACCTTGTCGCGAGGGAAGTAGAAGATGGCAAGAGTCGCGTTGTAACCAGTGGCCTGCCAGTTGTAGTAGGGCTCAATGGCGAACATGACAGGGGCATCCTTGGCCGAGAGAGTGGGCAGAGCGTTCTCAATGGCCTGAGGAGTGTAGTTGAAGATCTGCGACGAGGACAAGGCCGTGGTGGCGACAAATGACCATGGCAGCTGGCCGTTGAAACCAAGCTGGAGCAGGATAGAGTCAGATGGAGCCTCGGTTACTTCGTTCGAAGGGGTGATGGAGCCAGGGAGCGAGGTTGCCGTGGGCTTAGCGGTCTCACCAGAGGTGGTGCTCTGAGTGGTGGCAATGGTTGGCACGATCAGGATGGTCGAGGGAATCCAATCGTTGTCATTGGTGGTGGAAGGAGTGGGAGTCTCAGTCTCGGTGGTCTGGGGCTCCACGGGGGTCTGAGTCTTGGTTGTGGTGGGTTCGCTGGTCGAGAGAGGAATGGAAGCAACGTGGGAAGTGGGCGTGGGAACCTTGGGGGTTTCGTGGGCACCAGATCCGGGAGCGGAGGCAGTTGTTCCTAGAACAGGGACCGAGGCAGATCCAGATCCAGATCCAGCACCGGAAGTAGCAGAAGTTTCAGAGCCAGATGCGTGGGGCGTGGGGATGGTTCCGATGGGGTTGGTGGGAGTTGGGATCAAAGCGGTGCTGCTGCCTCCAAATCCGATAGTCGGGAAAGTAGGAATGAGACCAGTTGACTTGGGAGCAGTCGGGATGAGGCCGGTGCTTCCAGTGGCAGTCGTGTTGAGACCGAGGAGTGATTCCAAGCCAGATCCAATGCCGCCGAGGAGGTCACCAGTGGGTGTGGGTGTGGCTGAGGTAGTGGCAGAAGCGGGAACGCTGACTGGGATAGTGGACTGACCAGCAGTACCAGAAGGAGTAGCACTGGTGCTGTTCTTGTCGCCGCCCAGACCCAGGAGGTCCAGAAGATCGGATCCAGAGCTGGTGGAGCTAGCCTTGCTGGACTCTGGGCTCTGAACGCTGGAACCAGTAGGAGTGGCAGAAGAGCTGGTGGTTGAGCCGCCCAGGAGGCCTCCAAGACCTGAACCGATATCACCAAAGATGTTGTCGCTGCTGCTGCTGGAGGTGAGCGGGGTGGAAGCCGGGGTAGTCGATGCCTTGGCTGCGGAGTCAGAAGAGCCCGCGGTCGAGGCAGTAGACGAAGTCTTCGAGTTCACGCCAAGAAGATCACCCACATCCGAGCCCAGGTCACTGAGGATGTTGCCGCTAGAAGAGGGAGTGGCAGACGAAGCGGGGGTGGTCGAGGCATCGGTAGAGGCAGCCGCAGCGGTAGCGGAAGAGGCCGCAGAAGCTGCAGTGGAAGTTGTGGAGTCCCCACCCAGCAGTCCACTCAGGCCGGAATTGATATCACCAAAAATGTTACCACTGGTCGTGGTGGTGGCAGCTGCTGCAGTAGATGTGGTAGCAGAAGCAGGCGCGCTTGAGGCGGCTGCTGCAGAGGCCGCAGAGGCCGCGGTGGAAGTTGTGGAGCCTCCTACACCGAGGAGGTCACCAACGTCGTTACCCAGGTCACCGATGATGTTACCACTAGAACTGGAAGTCGACGCCGGGGTGGAGGAAACCTGGGCAGGTGTCGATGTGACCTGTTCAGTGGTGGGAGCTGCGGTCGAAGTAGCAGCGGCCGCGGCCACCGGAGTCGAGGTCGAGGTCGAGGTTGTAGAGTCTCCACCAAGAAGGTTGCCGAGGCCTGAACCGAGATCACCGAGCAGATTGTCGCTAGAGGTTGAAGCAGGTGCGCTCGAGGCCTTGGATGAATCGACGGCCGCTGCCTGCTTGCTGGTGTTATCAGTACTGGCAGCTTCGGTCTGTTGGGTGGTCGTTGTGAGGGTCGTAGTCGGCTCTCCACCAACGGTAGTGGTCCCAGTGATGCGGTGGGTGATCTCTGGGTTCTTGGGGTCGACAGAGATGGTCACCACCACAACTTCGTGTCCCTGCGGTTCCTGGGCGGCGGCGGCGGAGGAGGGCTCGGGTGTGGGCGTAACCTCTGGCGCGACGGAGCTCTGGGTGGGGACAATGTCGTCGAAGATGCTGTTCAAGAACGAACCAGGGCTGTTATCAGCGCTCCGGGCACTGTTGCGAATGGTCCGCTTGATTTCCTTGGGGAAGTAGAAGCGCGGTCGGTCCACGGGGGTGTCGGCATCCTGGGCAGTGACGATGTCCAGACCGGCAATGGCGATGAAGGCCGCGAGAACGGAGATGGCGTCGTAACGCATGTTGGGCAATTCTGTACGTGATCGCTCGGCGCGGGTCCAAGGTCAGTGTGTACAAATTGCGATTGGCACCGGTCTATTGACACTTCATAAAAGTATCAGGCGATCTTCAACAATGATCGGGTTTCGATCTGATATATTCCAATTGCAACAGGGGATTCCAATGATTGAAGGTATCCCAAGGTCTCGATGGCAACCGATGAGACAGACTGAACAGACGAGCGCGATCAAGTGTAAACGAACGGAAAGGGGTGTCGAATTCTGAAACGACCACAAATGGTGTGGAAAAGCGAGTGTGGGCTTGAAGAAGCTGTAAGGAGTGACTTTCTGTAGAATACCGTCAGGGCAACGGGTTCAAAGAACAGGCGACCGATGCAAGGGGAATTGATCCCAGGTCGAGAACGCCGTCGAACTAAATCAACGGAAAACACAGCAAAGCTGACAGGGGGAAAGAAAGAAAGGAGTGAATGAATGGAAGTTGAGGATCGAAAGAGGACTTAGGGGGAATGAGGCGGGCGGGCAGTCAACAACGTACGGTAATTAATTTCCCGTATCGCAATTTACGCCAACTTACGCACTAACCTGTCGTAAGTGTACGAAGTACGGAGTACCGAGTACTTCGTACTATTGTACTAATGTTCTCCGTACTCCATACTATCCATACTATCTTCCTTGGTTTAATAATTGTTAAGTACTGAGTACTCCGTACTCCGGGTACATTTACTGCTGACTCTGACAATTTAAGCTGACAACTAATCTAAGCTACTAGTGAACGTGCCAGCCGGTGAGCTACTGATTTCCTACATAATGCCAAGACCAGGCACGAAATGACGGGTCCATGCAGCCATGCTGAGTCTTCTCGGTGCGTGTAGGACCATCTGTCAGTATACCTGCACCAGCCCATCTTTCTGACACCAACGAAGTACGGAGTATTGTAGTACAATTCTCGGGAGATATCTCCATTTTGCGCCGTTAGGTCGTCTGTGCGACGGGGGCAAATCCTGCTCCATTGCGAATCTCACGATCGACAATCAAAAAGAAAAAAAAAAAAAAAAAAAAAAAGAGGCAAACGGCAAAAGCAGACTGCAAGTCCTGTCCAGCAATTGAACCAGATGAACGAGTCGGAAGACTTGTACCCCATGTACGGAGTATCCAAAGTCATGGTCTACTTACGCACGATGCTGCACCGTGGTACGGAGTACTTGGAAGTATAGAAGTTGACATTGGATCGCATCTCAAATCCGCCATGAGAAGTACTCGTACTCTGTACCGGGGAAAACGATACAGAGGCCCGAGCGAAGAGTGATCGCTAGCCCCGGAGACCAACTCAAAAGGCCAGAATAAGTTCAAAGCTAGCCCCAGCCAAGCCGCGCATCCCAATATCAACGGTTAAAAAAGCAAGCAAAAAGCCCACAAGGTTCAGTCTAGCCCGACGGACTCCACTAAGTGGGTCCTCTTCCCGTAACAAGTTTGTATTGTGTACTGTATATTACCGTATCCTCTTTCACCTCCGTACTCCTGTACCTCTTGACTCCGTACTCCGTACAGGTACCCGGCTAGTGTTTGCGCACTTGACTCCTTCGGGCATGAGATCAACAAAGAAGTCAAATCAGCGTGATCCTTCAGCCGCCGGTTACAGCCTTGTACCTTCTCGGCAAAGGTGGACTTCTCTTTGACGCCGTCCTCCCACGGCGCGATTCTGTCCTCTGTTTGCTGTTGGTGGAATCACTCGAATCACTGCTGGATTCGAAGAATCTGCCTTGCCAGCGTGACAGCCCTAGTGATCGATAGTCATCTGTCGATGCAGGGGATGGGCCCTGTCTCAATTTTGGACCCGGCAGCTATTAAGAATGTTTCACACCTTAATACTAGGCTGTCTGAGAAGATGAAAATAGCACGAACTCCCATACTCCGTCGCGAAAGTGGCTTTGAGGATTTTAGAGGCGAGGAATTCAATACTCGTACGGAGTACAGAGAGTACAGACACCACGTGCGATCGGAATGGAGTAGCGCGCTTTCCCCCTCATTCTTGTCGTCATTTCTACTTCGCATACTTCGCATTCCTCACGTGTTCATGGTGTCATCTCTTGCCCAATGGTGTGAATTGCAATCACTGCGATAGGGTCGGTATTCTTGATGCGCGTACTCCGTATTTTCCCAGTGTAATTGACTTCGTCAGGCGGCTGCATACTGCACGGCATTCTGAATTCAAGATTACACGCAGGAACAAAGAAATGTCGAAGTTTCAGTGGTCAGGTTCGCCACGTTTTCGAATCAAGGTTTGAGTTACAGGAACAAATGTATAGCCTGGAGTTATACTCCGTAGTTCTTTGCAATTTTCCATCTGTGTATAATTCAGGCATATTTACATCAGGGGTCAAGTCATTAAGTGTACCAAGGACCAGCATGGCCGCTAGTCCTGTTCCTGAACGCTACAGCTGCCGTCTCCACTCGTCATCCTTGGGCGAATTTCCATTATGTCATCCATTAAAGATCATGTGACTCTTCCCATTCTGCGGTGGAGACAGCCAAACCCGTCACTTGTGGACACGAATCCGAGCCGTGAAACAAAGTCTTTGAAAGGACTCCCTGTGGAGCATGGCTGTCCAATTCTCCACGTCATCGTCACTGCAGACCCTGTCAAAGTCTAGAACTGCGCCCATTTCCACTCGTAACCAGACCAGAACATTCGATTTCGACATCCGTTCCTAGTGGGAGGGACTTGACGCTGACGCAGGTGCGCACCTGGTGATGATGAGTACGGTCCACTTGAAAAAAAAAATACGCACACGCTGTACACGCTGTACGTTGTACGCCGTGCAATGGAAGTCTAGACCGATGGAAATCTCCATCGCATTTGAATGTCAACTTACCGGCTTAGGATCCGAGAAAAAGGTCGCGTAGACCTCGTTCACAGCGGGGAAATCGGCCATGTCGGTCAGGAAAATGTTGACCTTGATCGCGTCGTGGAGGCTAGACCCGCCGGCCTCGAGGACGGCATTGAGGTTGCGAAGGATTTGTCGCTGTCGTCCAGGTTAGTCAGAATTCTTCCCGTACAAGTAGACAGATTAGATCAATTCCCACCGTTCGGTTCTGGATGCTCCCCTCCACCAGTTTGCCCGTGGTCGGGTCGGCTCCTACCTGGCCCGAACAGTAGACCACATCTCCGACAACCAGGCCTTGCGATAGGAATGGCGGTGGAAGTGGCGCACGCTCTGTGCGGACGGGGGTTCGTGCTACCTTGGACATGGTGGAAGTGTTGGACTGAGGTTAAAGTGTTTGACTCAGAAGGGCCCCGGGGAATGCGGGGTTTCTAGTCAACTAATCTCTACGCCCTACGCACCCCACTCAACTCCGCAATAGTGCGATTATATTCAATCGTGTACCAGCCTGTGACGCATCGGAATGTGATATTGGCTAGCATCTGGATGGGAAAATCTGCCCATGTCCCAATGGCTAGATATACCGCATGAGAATCTTGGAAATAAATATATTGTCATCTACCTAGGAAGTCCGATAAATATTTAATGTCTGCCATCGTTTTCTTACTTCGAGAGTCAATGGAGCACAAACCCCAAAATCTTTAAGCAATGCAAGCAACACAAGTACCAAAATGCATTCAAGGAAAGAGTCGAGGACAAAAAAGAAAAGACAGCACTAGACAGAAGGGGGCCAATGCGAGTACATCTCGAGTTCCCGTCTTCTTTGACTATCCTCGGGGCCCTTCTAGGATTGACGAAATGTTTCTCCCATATGGGCTATGGAGATCCCACTCTACACGCCCTGCAGACCCAGTGCTGCACATAGGAATTGAGGTCTCTTTGATCAATTCATGCAGCATCTCTCAAATTGGGTATTATTCCCTTGACCGTGCGACCTGCAGGAAGGAAGAAACGATGCTGGTGGATTATTTACTTATTTTTTAGGATGCTCATCGAAGCGTCTGGCCGAGCCTGCAATGCCAACTGTCGGGATTGGAGCCCAAAAAGTTTGACAGCATCAAATGCACTTGTGAAGTAAAAATATTCACCGACGAAAAAAGAAAATAAGTGGCGATACCCGGATTCGAACCGGGGCCAACACAGCATTGTAGGCGGAATTAACCAGGTTAATTCTGCTCACCACAATGTGGTATCCTACCCCTAGACCATATCACCGATTTATGGATTAGTCACTGGTTATTTGATTCTTATTCTTGACTGCATCCCGAGGTCATTCATTTCCTGTCCATCTTCTCATAGATGAAGAGCCTCTGGTATCGTGGACAGGAGATCTCTCGTTGACAACATTCTTGTACTTGCTAACAGAGATCCTTTTGTGACGCTTACTTCCACCTAAGGTATAACGAGCTTTGAATACTCTGTATGTGAGTTCAATGAATTGTAAAGTCAGATCTACATCCTGCGGACGGCGCTTCTATTGATGCTCATATTGATTGATTATCCGCACCCTGAGCCAAGCATACTTTGAATCGATCTAATCAGGTTATTATAGCTCAAGTGAAATCTCTGATGTTTGAACTGGCATGGCCGGCTTTGTATCCCTTTGGGTATGACGTGAGGAGCCTTGAGGTTGGCGGGGTATCTGATTGGCGCAACTGCCCAACGTCATCCCTCTCATGTTTCTCTGACCTCCATCCTTTCAGCGACGTCTGTCTTAGTGCTCCGTATTTTTCTTTACGATTCTTTTCAGTTTTGATCAATAGTACCCACTGTACCAGAGTGGGCCCCATCCACAAAATCCAGTACCGTCTCAGATTGAGTGATGCGGGCGTCCAGTCATAAGAGAGGATATACTTAATCGGACACACGGTTTCGATACTGTACGCCATGGCATTCTCATCGGCAAATCGATCTCGACTCTTGAACTCGACGGCCCCGCACTCGCGCTTGCAATGGGCTACACACCCTCATGCTCGGAAATTGTGGCAATGTTCACGAAACAGCAAGGACGAACATACCGATCCACTTTTACGGGCAACCCACAAACGTCACCGACAGCCTGAGTTTACACACAGTAAAACAGAAGGGCACCGCGGAGAAGCGTGCTCCAACCACAATCCCTTAAGCTGGAGGTGGGGGATCTGGCGTGTTCGGTCAACTTGCTCCAGTCTGCTGACTGGCCGAGGGAACAGCAATCGACATGCGGATTTAGAAAAACGCTTGGAGTCGTTGAGAAGGCTCATTGAAGCCGACCCATACAGTGCATTGTTTGGGCGTAGACCAGAACCCTTCCATAAGTTTGGAAAAATCGACATCCCCTGGAATGGCTTCCTTCAATCATTCTCCAAATTCCAACGACCAACCAAGACCAGGAAAACAAATGCAGCCCATTGTCAGATCAATACCAACCACACTGGGCTTCAATACGATCCCATCAGTGGACGTATGGTACCTGCTCCGCCCACTAAATCTCGGAGCGTCGATGAAGAGGCAAACCTCGCGCACCAGAAACAAAATATCCATTCGCCGAACAAGGAAGGGGGATCTGCTATCCCAGGCCTGGGTGAGAACTGGCAGCAGCCGAGGACATTGAGCACTAATGTCGATACACACCTCGGTTCAAAGCCAGTAGTCAGGCTTCCACCGCAAAGCGCAGAGGGTGCGCAAACCGAAACCGAAACCTCCAATGAGGCTGTAAAGCCCCCAATTGCCAATCAAAATAGCTACTCCAAGTACGAATTAGACTCTTCCATATCGGAACCAACCAAGACAACACAACGTCAAACAAAAATGCCTGGTCCCGAAGATAGTACCAAGAAACCAAGCTCCTTCGTGGATCTGTCATCGGGTACCAGTGTAGAATGTCCACCGGGAAACGAACTGGAGACCAAGTTTGTCACTGATCCTGCCAGCTGCTCTGACAAAGTTGGCCCGTCCGAGCCTAGCAGTCAACAGCCAGATGATGCATTCTCCGTGAACAAAAAGTGTTTACCTAGTGATGGGTTGGAAGCCAGATCCACGATTGAGCCAGCCCACACAAGCATCGAAGAGCCTGATTGTCCAGACACTCGTTCGGAAATCCGCCCAAGGTCACAGCGAAGTGTCGACTGCTCACCAGGCAGCGAGCTAGAAGCACAAATTTTGTCCCAGCCGAAAAAGAAAGAACAAAGCCAGCCAGCAACCCACACTACCATTGATTGCTCCCCAGGAAGTGAGCTTGAGGCACATTTCACTGCAAATCCAGCCTCCAAAGATGAAGCAGCCCTTGGAAAATCCCAGTCACCAGTTGTTGCTCCCACTTCCAGGGTGACTATAGACTGCTCTCCCGAAAGTGAACTTGAAGCAATGCTTGCTGCTGATTCCTCGAGTGCCAATAACCCTAAAACAGAGACAGCTCTTGGAGGCTTCAACTCTAGTATCACAAAAGCGCAAGAATGTCTCCCAAGTCTCGATTTTTCCAAAGAATGCGTGGGTGAATTCATCACCCAAAACCAAACACCAGTTCTCGAGAGTGAGGTTCAATCATCATTATTTCAGCAACCGCTTCCAGAATTCTATATCCTTGCCTTCGATGCATCGAAATCACAGGTCACGACCGCAAAAGCCCACTCTTTCTTTGGAATCAAAGCAGATACCAGCCCTCATGAGATTCTCCCACTACTCAACAACCCCGCAAAATTCGTACCATACTTTGAGAACATGCAAAAACACGGATATGAGATAGCTGCCGGGGGAGGAGATATCCTAGTCTTCCGAAAGACGCATATCGCCCCTCCGGTCCCAGAGAAAGCAGAGCAAAATTCCTCAATTCGCGCAGACGTTGCGAATAGTATTGGCGACGACCCAAAAGGCTCAAGTTCAGCACCATCAGACCCAAGAGTGTGTGGACAGCCCACTTCAGAGGTGAGAACACAGGACACTGTTATGTCCAGACGGCATCCTAACGCATCAAAATAGCCACACCCAGCAGCAGAGTCCCCGAATAACGAACCCAAACCATTGACAAGACCAGGATCATCTTCAGGAACCGCAATTCGCAGAATGTTCTTTGCAGGAGCTGCTACTGCACTGACATGTTATGCCATCGGAGCAATGACTGAGTTCTTCCGCACAGGGGGAGTAGATGGGCGTGGAGCGGACGGGTTTACTGTGTTTGAATCGGACCGACGTCGAGAGTAGACGTAGTGATGTGCCTCTCAGTTGGATGTGTCTGTTCAGAGCAGCTTTAAAATGATATCACAGCCACCAACCAGCCCATGCGATGAGCCAAGCTGTTCTCTATTTTTGTTTTGACGTCTTTCACTTCGCCCACATTCTCAATTGGATTTAAAACCAAAGTTTGGAACCTCATCTGGAAAATATCAAGGCCCAGTGGATCCAAAGGAACTTCAAGATTAAAGGTGGGCATCGGTGCCCAGGTGGTTATTGAAGTAACGTGTGTTAGCCGGTTATACAGCCATTGTTTATTGACATCTAAAAAAATCTAGTAATGCCTATATTAAATAGTAAGGCGAGAGAGACCGTCAAGGTCTGGCGATGATAGATAGTTAGTCCAGAAGCGGAGGCCTTCAATGCCTTCTTCACGGCAGAGAACGCCCCTGTCTTCAGCCATTTCCAATTCTTCAGCAGCAACCCCGACGCTCCATTTGAAGCGATGAGCGGCTTCCTGGGCCGTAATAGCTCGACCAAAGAGAGACCAATCCCAGGGAACAGGGTCGTCAGGAGGAACGCGTCGAAGTTCTTCTATCCAATCTTGCAGCTTGCCAATGGTCTTCTCGTCATTCCAGTCAAACCGTTGAGCCACAAGAAGACCACTCTTAAACCGGCGAAGACGAACTGGCAACTTGAGCTTTTCCCAGAGCTCAGCTGCTTTTTGGAAATCTGAAGGGCTGGCCAGTTCGACTCCGTTGCGGGACCGGTTGAACACAGCCCAGAGATCTATGAGACTCATAATCCCGCCTTCGCGCTGAAGGATCCCCTTTCTGTCATCCGTGAGGAATTCTGCTAGGTCCCGCGAAAGTTCCGATAGATAAAGGCTTTCAGATCCTGAGCTGAGCATATCTTTGGTAGTCACCATGCCTAATGCAGCTGCAGACTCTGAAAGCACTGCGCTAGTTTCAGCTGATCCCTCATTAGTAGCCATGCCGGACTCTCGTGCTAGAGTCTCGGCCAGGGCGACGATCTGTTTTGCGGATGCCATCAAAGCCTCCAAGTCTTCGAAAGAATTGCCTATCACGAGCTCATTCTTCTTTCTCGCCTCTAGGCCCCGGCGTTCTAATCCCGCTATGCCAACCCCAGCAGGCCTTGTTACTGGAGGCGGAGGACTCTCGCTACTAACGGCAGAGGAAGACAGGCCTGGTTGGGTAGCCTGTGATGGCAGAGGAACAGGTGGCGCATTCTGCAACAGCCATTTCCTTTGAACCAAGGCACCTTTCAGTCTTTCATAAAAGGTCTTATCGCCACCTGCTCGGAAAGAGAGCTTGATACTTTCACTGACCTCCGTGTTGGCGATGTGGGATTGCTCGAACAATGGGGCGGGAGAGTCCACGCGATTCGTGGCGGACGAAGACACAGCAGACAAGGGTGCTCCACAAATCTCGCATTCAGTCAGGGATGGATGGTTCACGAATGTACAGCGTGGACAGGGGGTAGACCCTCCGGGTCCGACGGACCAGCTGTCATTTGATTGTACAATATGCTGCGCAAGGGCGGGTGATGGGGCCGACGTTGGTAAAGAGGGCTCACGAGTCGTGGCGGCACTGATCGCTGCCTTAAGTACTGTGGTAAATGGTGGTTTGATCCCACATGCTAGGCAAGGAGGCAAGTGTGTAGTTGCACTAGCTGTCGCCGGATCAAAATTCGACGGCACGGGGTTTGAAAATGTACATATAGGACATATCCAGGTGGCATGTATCGGCTTGGGAGAAGCTGAGCCTTGGGGCAAGTTCGATTGTGGAAGGTGGGCCAGCGACTGTGTCGAATGTAGCGTTGATGGGTGGGAAACAGCGGGGCTGGACGTTGCGCTCCTCGACTGCTCGAGCTTTTTCTTTTGTGGTTTGGGGTATATGGTCAATTTCGGAGAAGACTTCAAAAAGCCAGCCTGTCGGGGATTTGTTAGTGAGCTCTCTGTGACCTGCCAGACATGCACATCATACTTGGGACTCCACTCGATCAAGCTCCTTCAGATCAATTGCCACCGAGTATTTGCGCGGATCCTCCGCAGCAACATAGCACACTCTGTGCGAGGTGAGATAGGCATGGCCATTTTGGTAATTCTGAACTTTGTATTTCCTTTACCCCAATTAGCATAGCACCCCGCATCATCGTCATTGGAACAACATACCCTTCATACAGCCCTACCGCATCTTGAACGAAGAGCAAGGTCTCGTCCGGTAATAGCAACGGTCTGAGCGCAGTCGTCAGGTCCAGCGACTTGAAGAACATGGAGATTCACACCAGCCAGCGTCCAGCAGATCCATGAAGCAAGTGTCCCCGTGAGCATGTGCTGTCTACCGATTGCGATAACGATAAGGGAGGAATCCGGAAAAACAAAAAGTCCGAGTGACCCAAGCGAGTCTCTTTCACCGTCTTGTGTGGAGTTTCCTTCTTGTCTCGTACACTTCCATCACATCTTGCAAATATCCCTTTGATTTTCTTTTCTATTCCAAGATCTCACATTTCAAGTGCGGCGTAGGATCACCTCTCTTCTCCTTACCGTACGGAGTACCTCGACTCTTGTCCCCCTTCGTAGCTTTCATATCTCTTTCACATCCTTTCTTTGTCTTGCCCAAAACATCACATCTGTCTCTTCAGATATACACGGCATGAATTCCAGTGTTCCACCTTGGCGCTCTACTGCATCCGCCCCGATGGCTCGAAACTCTGCATTCCCTCCAGCTTGTGAGTACCTCCGATCTTACCAAGTCCCCACCCAAATCAGCCGACTAACCGTCCGAACAGCGACCCCTGCCTACATCCCAGTTCAAGCCCGTCGTAGCCTCGCCCATAGTACACCCAACCCAGCCATCGGATCGGTCCCTCCACCTGGCAGACAAGAACCAGTGGACGATGAATCCCGAAACCGAGTGGAGTTCCCGGCTCCCGTCCGATCATACGTGCAACGCTGCTTCGCCCCCGAAAACCAGGTTGCCAGCGTGAGCATCCTCGAGATGCAAGAGAAACTGAAAGACGTGATCACGGACGCGGCGGAGAATAACAAGCTGGGAAAGATCGACTGGGAGAGACTACCTTTGCCACAGGTGATGGTCCAGAACGAACGCAACAAGATCCTGGCCAACCCGTCCTCCTCGCACTGGGCCTCCGCCCAGCCATCCTCCCCCGGAAATGTGAACCGGAAGCGAAAGTCCACCGATGGCCACGCAGATACCGGATCGCCTCCCTGGAGATCAGCTAACCCCAGTCGTTTTGAAGATCGAGTTACTCACCCACCCACAGAAAAGAAGAAGCCCCGCATAGCAGTGGACCAGACTAGTAAGTCCAAAGCTAATTTGGAAATGAGGCGGAAGCGGTTTGATCTGGGCAATGTCAAGTCTCCCTCATCGCCCTCCGGGTCCCCGGCACGCAGTGCCGAAGTGGACCAAGGCCCTGTCGTTGGACGATTCCAAGAGCTGGAGAAGAACTACTTCCGCTTGACTTCTGCCCCCAACCCAGACAGTGTTCGTCCTCTGTCCGTTCTGGAAAAGACCCTGGATCTCTTGAAAAGAAAGTGGAAGCATGAGGGCAACTACGGTTATATCTGTGATCAGTTCAAGTCGCTCCGTCAGGACTTGACGGTCCAGCACATCCGGACGGACTTTACCGTCAACGTCTATGAGATCCACGCTCGTATCGCCCTGGAGAAGGGGGATCTTGGTGAGTACAATCAGTGCCAAACCCAGTTACGGGTGCTGTATGCACAGCAGCTGGCCGGTCACCCGACGGAATTCAAGGCCTATCGTATTCTCTATTTCATTTACACTCGAAACTGGACGGCTATGAACGACGCGCTCGCGGACGTGACCCCAGAGGATAAGAAAGACGAGGCGGTGAAGCATGCCTTGGATGTCCGCTCTGCGCTTGCGCTTGGGAACTACCATCGTTTCTTCCAGCTGTACCTTGACACGCCCAACATGGGAGCCTACCTGATGGATATGTTTGTGGCCCGTGAGCGGCTGAGTGCTCTGGCGGTTATTTGCAGAGCGTAAGTGGATCTTCCCTTCCACCCCTCCCCCTCTCCCTCGTGATCCTCCCGGCTGATCACTCCTGACATGCAGATACAAACCTGATGTTACTATTCGGTTCATTACCGAGGAACTTGGATTCGAGTCCGATGAGCAGACTGCCCGTTTCGTCCTAGACAATTCCTCCGCGGAACTGCTGGAAGAGAAGAACGGGGCTGTGAGGCTGTTGACGGGCAAGGCCGGTTCATTGTTCGAACAGGCCAAGTCCGCCGCCCATCGCGTTGTCGATATTAAGGGCCAGATCTAACGCATTTCTATGGTCCCCATGGCCCGATGACCCCGACCCTCGTAACCTCTCTCTTTGGTTATTTTCTTTTCCCTTCGCGTTACTTTCAGCGTGTTCCCTCCAAAAAGCGGCAGGCGTTTTTCCTCGGATGTGCGATCCTTTGGCCTTTTCATTTCCCCCGGCCTCCATCTTCGTCCCATTCTACCTCGGATTTCTTAGGGTTTCCCTCTGGACTTGCGATACTAATACCCGGCGTCTTTGTTTTATTTTCTTTGGTTTATTTCCCAAGAACTCAGGGTATTCCGTACCAGCCTGGTCTGATTTGTCGAGTAAATACCATTTGATTGCACCCTTTCTCTCCGATTCTGTGTCGTGTTATAGATCATAATAGATCATAATCATAGTATAGATGGGCGTGTTTTAATCCATGGAATTTCCATGAACGCCACGTGTGAACCACTGGATGCGACGGGGTCGAGCCACCAAAATTTGTGAAGGCGACGATCCCGCCCATTACGCAGCCAAAGAGCATGGCGAACCAGGGGAAAGTGTGACCCGCCATGTTCTCGAAGGAATCCAGATTTTTAGGGGCAATGGCAATTTTTTAGGCTTGTGTATCGGCAGCAAAGCAGGTTCCTGACTAACGCGGAGCCCGCGTATGCAGCTCATGTCGTCAGTAGAGGCGCAGTTGCATTTAATCTCTGCTATAATTAGCTCTCGACTCCGGATTTTCTCGACTCTAGACTCTTTGTGAGCACTGGGAAATATTCCCTGAATCCTTATAACCATGGTAGGCAAGGACTAACCGTGTATTGAAGGATGGACGATCCTTGGAAGCGAACTATTGGGTCAGTCGAGGGGCAAGTCTTTGTGCCCAACGCTAGTCCAGGGGAGTTGCAATTTAGTAACTAACTATACTCCGTACTTTGTACGGAGTACATGGACTCGATGTTCTTTGTATTGTATTATACAGATTCTAGTGATACTCTATACCTTTGATAGAATCCATATACTTCTTGACTTTCATACTTCTCTACTTCTCTACTTCTTTGCTTTCTCCTTTCTACTTCTCTCCTTTTCTACCTTTCTACCCTGCATATTCCAGCATAATCTCCTTGTACAATCAGATCCCAACCTCCCACAGTCCAAGGAAAAAGCGGGCCCAGGGCAATCATCCCAAAGTGGTTGGAACCGCAATACGCAACGCTATTACCCTCGCTCACTGGAGGGAACTTCACTTAGAAAAAATAAAATAACTTCTTCCTCCTCACAACTACTCCAGTATGAAGGTAACTATCCATCCCCCACTCATTTGTGGTGAACTTGAAATTAATCCGGTGTCGCAGGCCATTAGGCGATCCTTGAAAGGGGAGAAAGATCCCAAACACCACCATATCTCCATCACTCCCAAGTCCGCCATCGCCATTTTACCCCCAAAAAGGTGAGTCGCAAAGATATTGCGCACACTCTTATGGTCATGAGACTGACCTCTGGCTCTTGTCTCTCTCTCTCTCTCTAGGTCATCAAAGCCCTGTACGATTACACGCCGGAAGGAGTGACTTCGACGCAAGAATTGGCCTTCAGCAAGGGAGATTTCTTTCACGTTATCAGCAGGGAGGACGATTCAGATTGGTACGAAGCGTGCAATCCGCTGATCCCTAGTGCCAGGGGGCTCGTGCCCGTCTCCTTTTTTGAGGTTATCGGCAAAAACGAGAGGGATAGTGGGGGTTCCGGCGACTTGTCCAACCACGACTCTGGCTTCTCCGACCGTCTTCCTGACTCTCACAAAAACGGCCTTTTCAGAATGTCCGCTCTCAAGGGCCAAGGCGCCATGGTCTATGGCGTCGTGCAGTATGATTTTCAGGCCGAGCGCCCCGATGAATTGGACGCGAAGGCCGGCGAGGCCATTATCGTCATCGCCCAGTCCAACCCGGAGTGGTTTGTCGCCAAACCCATCGGTCGCCTCGGCGGTCCCGGTCTGATTCCCGTCTCTTTTATCGAGTTGCGCGATATGCAGAGTGGTCAGGCCGTCGTCGACCCGTTGGACGCCGTGCGACGCGCCGGTGTCCCCAAGGTGGAGGAGTGGAAGAAAATGACTGCTGAGTACAAGAACAGCAGCATCACCCTGGGCAAGATTGAGGGTGGACAGGGGCAGAGTGGCAGCGGGCAGATGACGGCTGTCACTTCTGGCATGGAAAAGATGTCCATGAGCCAGGGCCATCAATCTCAGTTGAGTCAGAGTGGCAATGGTTATGTATGTTTTCTTTTTTTCTGTCATTATTGGATCATGATCGACACCCTCCTTCCTCCCCACGGTTGCTAATTGAACGTGTCAGGATCATCAACGCAACGCAAGCAGAGGAACAGTGTCGCAAGCGCCGGTTCAACAGGGCTACCCCCTTCTCGTCCCCGTCTCCGCCTACATCCCCCGCTACTGTTTCGACAATGACAAGTACTGGTACATCATTGAGGCGAAAATGGAGGACGGTCGCTGCTGGGAGTTGTCCCGCTACTATCACGACTTTTACGATTTCCAGATCGCCCTCCTGACCCAATTCGAAGACGAGGCCGGCAACCGTGGTCGCGCCCGCACCTTACCGTTCATGCCGGGCCCCGTCACCCACGTTACCGATGCCATCTCCAACGGCCGACGACAGAACCTCGACGAATACATCAAGAAACTCCTGTCCATGCCCCATCACATCTCGAGCTGCACCCTCGTGCGCGAACTTTTCGCGCCCCGCGACGGCGATTTCGAAATCGACCCCGCTGCCTTTGGCGAGGATACCCGCTACTCCGGTGGCTCCCAGCAGTCCGGCGTGGACCCCGCGCAGAGCGTTTCCCGTCAATCCTCGCAGCAGCAGATCAACGCGTCCACGGATCGGATCTCGCAGCAGCGGGCTCCGGGACTCGCACCGAACGGCAACCGACCTGCCATGGACCGTCAGCCGAGTTCAATCACTCAGGCCTCCGCCACCTCCACCAACAGCGCCATGAAGGTCAAGGTGTTCTTCCAGGACGACCTCATCGCCATTCGCATTCCATCCGGTGTCAGCATGCAACATCTCAAGGACAAGCTGTGTGACCGCCTGAAGATCCAGCAGGAGATCATTGTGCAGTATCGCGATGAATCATCTGGCTCTTATGTCGACCTTCAAACTGACCAGGACTTGGAGAACGCGATGCAGCGAAACGTCAAGTTGACGTTGTTCGTCAGCATCGCATAAAAAAGCATTCGATCTTTGTCGATAGACTTTGGTGGTGTCGTTTCTTTTCTTTTTCTTTTCTTTCTTTCTCTTCATTAATGTGTGCAATGAGTAGGTGCATTGGCGTTTGTGGTTACATTTTCTTTTTTTTTTGAAGTCATCATCCTTCTCAGCGAATTATGGTCCACGAGGACGAATATCGCGTTATTACGAATTCGATGCGAGATGTACGACATGGTCTTGATGTTTCTCTCTGATTACTGGATGCATGTTCACCTGTCCTTTTTTGTTTTTGTTTTGCCATTGTTTGTTTGTTTTTGTATTTGCGCGGATCTATATCCATTCTGTTTCCCAGGATCATACCCCGGCCTGCTCTTGTGATGTGTACATATGTTCTTCTTCTCGTGCATATACCGGGGAGGTCATTTCGCCTCGATGGGCACATTCAACACCGTTTTTGACAATATTAATTCTTTCCAATATGCCCCGAGGCTGGACTTGGTTCAGATGTATCTTGTAGTTGCCGAACTAATGCCGACTCACGTGACGAGTCTCGGATGACGGCCTTTTGTCTTTTTCGGAAGTAGTCAACATCGGCCTTTGGCATGAACTTCTGAGGTTTCAGAGTCGCAGAGGACTGTATATACAACCGGACCCTCCTTCGGCTTCCACCCAACTATTTGCGCTGCGCACTTCCCCCCGAGCAGCCACTCTTAACAATACCTCGGTTAACTTCAACCCGACCCGATCTCCAAAGACACACCCTCGTCCCACCGCGAACAACCAACAGACTCGGCAATGAGCCGCCCGTCCGCCAAATTATGCGTGGAGTGCTTCCCGAGCGCTCTCCGAGCGTCACGGCGTGTCCGCCCGACGACGCGGGGTGCTCGTCAACGGTCCTATGCCACTGAGCGGAGGACGCTCGGCACACCGCAGCGGCCGCACCGCTCGATGTCGGGATGTGTCTCCTCTGAGCGCATGCCGCAATATGCGCCGTCACAATCACGGGGTCATGCTACCGTTTCGGACATCGCGAGCAAGGCGCCCAACTCCGCCCCACAAGATGGACCGATGAGGGAATACGATGTGCGAGTGGAGGGGGAAGATTACGAGATGACGAGTACCAGAGAGGTGAGCCCGCACATGCTTGCATATGTTATGGTTGATAATAACACCCGGCGATCTGCAGGCATCATCCAGGGCCTCCAGGACCTCTTCGAGGCACTGAAAGACTACACCCCGCCGAAAGTTGTTCACCCAGATCCTCAGACCCTAGACCTACAGGCGAAACCTGGATTCTTCGGATCGCTCTTCGGAGGCGCTAAGAAGCCGGCGAAGTCGGCTGTTCCAGAAAACTTGCCGAAAGGCGTGTACATGTATGGCGATGTTGGGTGTGGAAAGACGATGTTGATGGATCTGTTTTTTGATACGCTTCCGCCGAATATCAAAGAGAAGACCCGTATCCATTTCCATAATTTCATGCAAGATGTGCATAAGCGCATGCACGTCGTGAAAATGAAGTATGGAAATGACTTCGATGCACTGCCTATGGTTGCGGCGGATATCGCCGAGACCGCTGGTGTGCTCTGCTTCGACGAGTTCCAGTGTACCGACGTTGCAGATGCGATGATCTTGCGACGGTATGCTCCCTCTTCATGTCTTCACTCATAAGCAAGAACTGACCGTAGCCAGCCTCCTTGAAATCCTCATGTCCCACGGCGTCGTTCTCGTCACCACATCCAATCGCCACCCGGACGAACTGTACAAAAATGGCATTCAGCGCGAATCATTCATCCCATGCATCAACCTCCTCAAGACTGATCTCACCGTCATCAACCTCAACTCCCCGACAGATTACCGCAAAATCCCCCGTCCCCCTGCGGCCGTCTACCACCACCCTCTCGGCGAAGACGCTGGACGCCACGCGCAGAAGTGGTTCGACTTCCTCGGTGACCCCATTAACGACCCCCCACACGCAGATACGCAGGTCGTCTGGGGCCGTGAAATCAAAGTACCCCGTGCCAGCGGCAAAGCCGCCCACTTCACCTTCCAAGAACTCATCGGCAGTGCTACTGGCGCCGCAGACTACCTCGAACTTGTCCGACACTACGATGCTTTCATCGTGACCGAAGTGCCAGGCATGAATCACACGCAGCGTGATCTTGCACGACGCTTCATCACGTTCATCGACGCGGTCTATGAAAGCAGGGTATGCATCTAATCTTTAGACTATACGTTTTGACTCTAATATCTCTTCAGGCCAAACTAGTTCTTACCACCGAAGTCCCTCTGGCCAACCTTTTCATCTCCGACGCAGACATGAAGAAAACCCTCAAGGACGGCGAGCACTCGGATCTTTCGGATGCCATGCGCAATCTCATGGATGACCTGGGCATGTCTGTGCAGGCACTCAAGAACACTTCTATCTTCAGTGGTGACGAGGAGCGCTTTGCATTTGCGCGTGCGCTCTCTCGTTTGTCGGAGATGGGGAGTAAAGAGTGGGTTGAGCGTGGACTTGGGCTTGGTAGTGATGCGCAGCAAAACAAGGAGGAAACCGACGCCTGGAAGAAGACACGGAGTCATTGGAGTGAAGACAACATGTAATGTTTTTAGAAGACAATATGATTAGATGTAAATAAGAAGATCGGTTTCTTGCAGTTAGAATTGCCTATCTGGGATGGAGGATAATGACGTCATCAATCGTCAATCGACTGACGACATTGCCGAGTTCGTACACACAACGCCCTCAGCCCTGGAGGGCTATACTGTGCTGAAGTCAAGATAGTACTGTAACCACCGGGGTAGGTATATATAATCCGAACGTCCCCCGACCCTATACGAAAACGAACTGAGTAAGGAGGCAGTTCCAGACCTTCACGTCAAGTGGAACCATGATCGCCGAAAACAAGAACTGACGCCGCGAATAAGCTCCTCCCGAGGTCGTTGGTGGATTAATCTGCACGAATAACAAGGTCACAATTGAAAATATTCCCTGTCTTTGCTGGCCCACGACAGGTTTTCTCGGTCTTTCGGGATTCGGTCAGCATGATCATGTCGCTGGTCATAGGCAGCCTGTCTGAGTAATTCTCTTCGATGGATCACTGGGCAATTGGCTTGGAAAGTGCCATGTTACATCATCGATTTCAAGCTGTTGAAACCCTGCCTTGGTCTATAAAACCCCCAACCGGTGTTTCAATTCCACTGGTCATTTTTCTGTTTCAATAAACTATTTTTTTGAACTTGTCACTCATAATGGCATCTACTACAAATGGCAAAATTGCCGATATGGCGAAGGAGACTGTTGATGTCCACGCCAAACAGCATATGACTACCGACTATGGTATCAAGATCTCCGATCCGGATCACACGCTTCGTGTGGTTGATGAGAAGCACACCGGTCCTTCATTGTTGGAAGATCAGATTGCTCGTGAGAAGGTAATTCTCAATGCCTTGTAGCAACGCCAGTAAAGCCGAAGCTGACAGACTGCAGATAATGCGGTTCGACCATGAGCGCATTCCCGAGCGAGTCGTGCACGCCCGTGGTACAGGCGCATTCGGTACCTTTAAGCTCTTTGAGAGTGCCGAGGATGTAACCACAGCCGGTGTCTTGACAGACACGAGTCGAGAGACGCCTTTATTCCTGCGATTCTCGACGGTTCAAGGAAGCAAGGGCAGTGCGGATACAGTTCGAGACGTGCGCGGGTTCGCCGTCAAGATGTATACCGACGAAGGCAACTGGGATATCGTGGGCAACAATATCCCTGTATTCTTCATCCAGGACGCGATCAAGTTCGCCGATGTTATTCATTCTGTCAAGCCGGAGCCTCACAATGAGGTGCCGCAGGGTCAGTCTGCGCATAACAACTTCTGGGATTTCCAGTATCTGCACCCAGAGACCACGCATATGGACCAATGGGTAAGTATTCCTGCATCTTATTTTGATGTGTATATGTGCTGATATCTAGCAGATCATGTCGGATCGTGCCATCCCTCGATCATACCGTATGATGCAAGGATTCGGAGTGAACACTTATTCACTGGTGAATAAGAAAGGCGAGCGCACATTCGTCAAGTTCCACTTCACCCCTGAGCTCGGCGTGCACTCGCTGGTCTGGGATGAAGCTCTGAAGATCAACGGCCAGGATCCCGATTTCCACCGTAAGGATCTGATGGAAGCTATTGAGAATGGACACTTCCCGCGGTGGAAGTTCGGTCTCCAGCTCCTGCCGGAGGACAAGCTTGATGACTTCGAATTCGACCCTCTCGACGCCACCAAGGTCTGGCCCGAAGAGCAGATTCCCATCCGCTATATCGGCCAGCTAGAGCTCAACCGCAATGTGGATGAGTTCTTCACTCAGACCGAGCAGGTCGCTTTCTGTACCAGCCATATCGTCCCTGGTATCGACTACTCCGACGATCCTCTGTTGCAAGGTCGTAACTTCTCGTACTTCGACACGCAGCTTTCGCGTCTCGGCGCGAACTGGCAGGAACTGCCCATTAACCGGCCCGTGTGCCCGTATTTGAGTATGACCAACCGCGATGGCGCCATGAGACACCGCGTCACCAAGGGTACAGTGAACTACTGGCCGAACCGATTCGAAGCAAACCCTCCCGCTACACCGGCGGAAGGCGGATTCGTCAGTCACCCGCAGAAGGTGCAAGGACAGAAGAAGCGCGGCTTTTCCGAGAAGTTCAAGGAGCACTTCAACCAGGCGCAAGTCTTCTACAACTCGCTATCGCCCATTGAAAAGATGCACGTCGCGAGTGCCTTCTCCTTCGAGCTGGATCACTGTGACGACCCAGTCGTGTACAAGCGCCTGACCGAGCGTCTCACCGCGATCGATCTCGAGCTAGCCCAGACAGTGGCTAAGAACGTCGGTGGTGACCAGCCCACACAAGCCACCAAAGAAAACAAGGGTACGAAGGCGAAGGGTCTCAGTCAGTTAGAATATATGCCGGAGAAGCCCACCATCGAAACCCGCCGCATCTCAATCCTTATCGCCGACGGCTTCGACTTCAACCAGTATACCACCATGAAAGAAGCGCTCCAGAAACAAGGCGCATTCGTTTTCACCATCGGCGCCCAGCGCCAAGGGGTAACATCCGAGTCCGGACAAACCGTCATCCCAGACCACTTCTTCGTGGGCATGCGATCGACCCTCTTCGACGCCGTCTACGTCCCCGGCGGAAAGCACGTGCAGACCCTTGCGAAGAACGGCGTTGCGAAACACTGGATTGCCGAATCATTCGCACACCTGAAGGCGATTGCGGGATCCAATGAGGCTGTGGCGTTCATCCAGCGCCAGATCAACCTTCCCGAGGTGGAGGTTGCACAGAACGGCTCGTCGCTGAAGGAGTCGTACGGTGTAGTGACTGGGTATGGAGATGCGACGTCATTGTTGAAGGTTGGCACGATCGGACCTGATTCCAAGGGGCTGGCGGAGCAGTTTATCTGGAATGTGTCGCGACACCGTAATTGGGCGCGTGAGTTGGATGGTCTTTCTGTTCAGATTGCGGCTTAGGGTTATATTGTATATTACCTGGTTTTAACGTATAATGCACGATTTATGTTATAAAGTCATACGGTGTAGATGCGGGTACGCGGTGAGGTTTCGTCATGGCTTATTCCGTTGGGACATGTATTATCTGAGTAGGTGTTAAGAATAATTAGCAGGCATTTGAATAATATTTCTAGGCCAAAACTCGGTGTGTCGTGCAGAGCATGCATTTCTTTTTGTGGTGGAAATAAAGTAGAAGCTAAGGTGAAGCTCGGGTGGGGGGAGGAACTAGAGCTCGGAGAGCACGGAATGACATGGGAACGTTCAGGCGTTTTCAACGTCTTTCACCCCCAAAAAGTACTCTGTAGTACTTTTGCGCAGAATAATCTTTCAAATTACACATCACTGGTTCGATGACATGTTTTTTCGCTAAACGCTGACCTTATCAACCCAGCTAAAAGCCATAGATGGGCTCACCGTCCTTTGATCGATCGTGATCATCGTTTATTGCATTATGGAAAAAAGTACTCCGTACCTCGATGTTTTCTTTTCACTGACACGGGACTACACTGTTGTCATGGCTCCCAGAATGGTCCTGTACGCGGGATCTCAGCGTGTATGTACATAGGTGAGTTGCATTCCTGGACTGATTCGCAATAGACCGTCACCTCCACGCTTCTATAGGGCTGGGAGTAATCACCTCCCTTAAAAATTCCTCACTCTAAGGTCCTCTGCTGAGGTATCTCGCACCGCCTATACTGATTAGTATCTTTTGATTGTCACAAATCTACAGCAGATATGATACGCCTCATGCACAGACAAGAGCCACCTAAGTAATGCCACATACCACCCCTCGCATTCCAAGGGTGGAACTTTTAGAGACCCCCGGGGCAGATCAGTTACACAAAGCACGATTTGTTTCCCAACTGAGACTTTGAGGCAGAAGAGTTCACCTTTCTCGTGGCGTGTTTGGTTCCTAATCAATCGCATCCTCTTCAATTCCATTCTTTGCCTAGTTCTCTCGATGGTTTGGATCAACTGATTTGGTTTGCCTTCTCTTCTTGTTTCTATATTTGGAACATTATTTAGATTTCTAATTCGCTGCTTGGGGCCTGATCATGGTGTTTCATATTTCACGATCAACGCGCCTGAGTGTTGTCATTGGCATCTCGACCTGCTTTTTTCTTGCGGAGATCTCTTGTTGGTACCGACTCTCTATCTAACGCCCATATACTAACATTATACAGTGGGCTTCTATACCCACTCTATTTCTTTGATTGCCGATGCCTTTCACTATGTGAGTCTTCACTTGGATCTTACTTGGTTCTTGAAAGGAGGATCACTTACAATCAATATAGCTTAATGACCTGGTTGGTTTTGTTATCGCGCTTGTCGCTCTGAAGGTATGTGCCCGAATCACTCTATCTCATTGGTGCAGCACTAAACTGAGTCATATAGAAATCCGAGCAGGCCGATTCGCCTAATGAGCTCTCATTCGGCTGGCAGCGAGCTCAGCTCCTAGGTGCTTTCTTTAATGGCGTTCTCCTTCTTGGCTTAGGAATCAGTATATTCCTACAGTCAATCGAGCGTTTCATCGCTCTGCAACGTGAGTACCATTGATAGCTTCGGATTTTTTTAACTTGCAATTCTAACATTCACAGATGTCACCAACCCTAAGATGATGTTCATTGTTGGGTGTGTGGGGCTGGGGTTGAACCTGATCAGCGCAGTCTTTCTTCATGGTATGATTTTGATAGTTGCTTCACTTGTTTCAAGCTAATTTATGCTAGAACACGGCCACGGGCATGATCACGGGCCGCCCACGGTGGAGAGCCCTTCTCTCCAACCGGAGGAGCATTTGCATGAATCTCACGCCACGGTATAGTTCACTTCTTTCGGGATAACTGAGCACTTACACTGACACTGCCTAGCATCATGACCACAAGCATCTGCATTTGGAAAAACATCACTGTGCAGACTCGGGCCATGGTCACGGTCACGGACACGGTCACAGCCATGGTGGGCACGACCATGGTGACCTCGGAATGATGGGAGTCATGATCCACGTCATTGGCGATGCAATCAACAACATAGGTGTTATGGCTGCTGGTCTGGTCATCTGGCTGGCAGCACCCCATTCCGGTCGCTATTATGCAGACCCGGGCGTCAGCATGTTCATTTCCATTCTGATCATGCTTTCTTCTATTCCACTCAGTGAGTCCCTTTACCCTCCGTGACTTTAAGAAGCAATTCTGACGGACTGACAAGTGCGCAATGCCGGTTTGATCTTGTTGGAGAGCGCACCGACCAGCGTGAGCATGAGTGATGTCAGACATGATCTAGAGAAGGTGTGTGTTTTTCGACCCGAAGCTCAAAACAGGACTGACAACTATCAGATCAAAGGTGTGACCTCGATCCATGAACTTCACATCTGGCGCCTGAATCAGCAGAAGACTCTGGCATCTGTGCATGTCGTCGTTTCTGATGATTCTGTCGAGGATTTCATGAAGATTGCCCGGGTTATCAATGAGTGTTTCCATGCCTATGGTATTCATTCGATTACCCTCCAGCCGGAGCTGTCTGATGGCAGTACCGACACTGGTGCTATTCAGGATAGTGACAAGCCACCTCGGTGCCAGGTTATCTGTGGCACGCTCTGCGAGCAGCTGACATGCTGTGGATAGGTTGTAGCAGCGCCGTGGGCTCTCGTGGTCCATCAGTCTGCACAGTTGTTGGCTCTCTTCATGGCTCCAGTCTTGCCGCTGTACCAGGTGGAATAGAATTTCAAAGTTCTGGTGCGGTGGCGGAGTTGTCATCGATGAATCTACACTTCTTTGCTTCTTCCACTGGATTCATAGTAAGCCCCAGTTGGATGGAGTGCATACCCAATTTCACAACTCATACTAGAGAATTTAAGTTCATGCGATATTTGTGACAATACCCAAGTTTGGATGGAAAAGGGCCGAGAAGCTTTGGACAACCTTGGAAGCTGTCTTTGGGTTTACGCGACAGAGAAAGAATTCGGGGTACCCGAATTGATCGAATTTCGCTTAGTTGCGGTTAACAGAAAGGTATGGCTCCGAAATGGTGCAGGAGACCAAGTAAATAGGAGTGTAGTAGCTATCCTCATCCAGGAGAAAGTTTCATTTTGCGAACCGACGAAGACTATCTCATCAAGAAGAGAAGTACATCCACGAAGGAGGCCATCACAGTTCAAAGTCATGCTCACGGGCATCCCTTTCACTATCTAGGATCTGCTGAGACCTGAAGGTAGACGAGTCAGCGAAGTCATCCTCTTCGGTGACATCCACAAGAAGATCTTCTTTGTCTTCTTCCAAGATACCGCCAAACTGGGCCAATTTCTCGGCTGTCTCAAATTGCTTGTTGATCCACCTACGAGCTGCCCCCGATCCAGTAACCAAGGCAGTGACATGACCTTGACCCAACTTTGGAATAAATGTGACCTTGGTACCCGCACGTTTGAACTTTCTGACCAGAGCGATGATATCTGTGACGGGGCGGACAACGTCGTCATTCGTGCCTGCCCAGATATATAAGGGGAAATGAGGTCTATTATCCTCGCGGATTTGCTGACCCATAACGCCAATTTCTGCCAGAAGCTCATCGAAATGATGCAAAACGGCATCGCCATTGTCATACAACAAGGAGATATTCACGTTGCTCAATGATGGCTGCCTATCAAGACACGCTTGTGGACCGCAGCGCACTCGAGGGTAGAAGAAAGGATCTTTATAATCGGGTAAAATATGCTCATCGACGTAATCAGAAACATTGGAATAGGCGTTTGCTAGGCCTAAAGTAGCTAGGACATTTAGTTCGGAGAATTTCCCACCATTCACGTGGAGATAGGTGTTTGTGATATTTGTGGGAAGACCGCCCATGGCAGCTCCGATGATGTTCAATGCCGGAGCGTAGCTCGCGTGATATTCGGTTGCCCATTCTGTTGCGAAGCCGCCACCGGAGTAGCCGTACAAGATAGTCTTTGCCTCTGAGCTGAGGCCCGTGATGTGTTGGGAGTTCAGGGCTGCGCGAATTGAATCAAGGGTATGGTAGGCAGTCTGGGGGCCGACTGTGAAGGCAGCATTTGAGCCCTCGTAGTCTGGGATGTTGAGGACGGGGCCGCCTTCCAGGGGGAAATCTCCTAAGATGGAGATTTGTCCCTGGTTCCAGGTCACAGCGACACCAGACGCCTGATTCAGAAACCCATATGAGGGGGAGCAGTCGATATCAGCGGAATCATATGCGTTCTGGAAGGAAACGAGGCGGTTGAGGTTTGCGTTCACAGGGACGACGATTGTAGTGACTGTTGTGGCTGGCTCTTTATGCACGTCTTGAGTGACAAACAGCAATTGATACGCCTGAGCATCACTGGGTATATTGGGTTTCCTTGAGGCGAAGGTCACATTGCGGGTTTTAAGAATAGTTCCAGCAGGCTCTGTCTTCCAGGATTCCCCCTCAGGCTTGTAGAAATCATCCTTGCTTGGGTGTTTAGGAAGGATGGGAAGTTTCACATCTCCACCAAGGACTTGGTTGAAGAGAGAGAGAACGGGAAGCAGACACAATGTGAAGTGCATTGTGACTTGGAGATAGACTGGATAAAAGTTTTCGAAGGAGATGATAGGTGCTGTCTATGGATATTATATAGGTCATTGGGTTGTCCGATGGAGACGTCACAATCCATGATGTCTTAACAATTCCGCTCGAAGCTGAACCTTGGAAAACGTTGTGTAACGTTTCGAAGCTCATACCCCACATTCCTAGTCATGATGATTTGCTCATCTATGTCTCCATTGGAAGATCTACACTATTCATGCAGAAAGACCATGACCACTGGTACGTAAGTGCAGAAGTCAATGCAGGATGATTGATACAGTCATATCCTTCTATCAGAGACACGATACGTAATACGCATTGTGTTTGCTTTTTTGGAAAAAGTTGTTCTTAACTTGTAACCCCAGCAAGGGATTGGATGAACTGTGGGGCTTATGTGCATGTTGTCGCATTTCAGCTGACTGACAGGCGCGGCTGAGTCCCCAACCTTGCTCCACAGTTTCCCACAGCATCCCGCCTTGAGATTCACATCTCTCCCTCATTCTTTCCCCTTACTTCGCCCCGAAAAACACTTCATAGCAGCCAGAAAATGAGAGTCTGCTTTAGTATACTGGTTTGGTAGTCTTTTTAATAAGACCGCTGTATTTCCGGACACGCGCTGCTTTTACAATGCTTTCTTCTCTTTGGATTCAAAGAGAGTTATAGTGGGATGGAGTCAAGTGGGGGAACGGAACATATCAATCATATTTATGTCATGTTTTATGATCTACGTAGTTCTTCTCTTCGCCTGCATGAAACAAGCATGTTCATCACTTGCACAAATCAATTTCCCAGCCTTTTGTATTTGGCCTACACAAGTCCAACGAATAAATCCAGGCAGCCATATCTGCAAGATTTTAGTTTTCTTCTATCTCGATGCTGTTCGCAGCACGCTCCCAATATATGGTGATTCAAGAAAGCGGTCCTTGTGCATCTCATCTGTCAAAAGTCGCTCATGACGTGTAGTTCAGGTTACAGACATCTGTAGGTTTGTAACATTTGGTCACTGCATGTATGCTACATAGTCATATATACCCCCCTAATGCAGGAGCTCTTATGTATCCCCTAGCTTAATCTTTCTGCAACTTCAAAGTTTATCTCCATATGTCGAGCAATCTAGATCACATCAACTGAGATGACGTACATAGCCCATATTATACGTATGTGTTTGATCATTTCAGTCACTATCCACGGATCCCACCGCATCCAAGGCGACCTAAGCTGATGTAACCGCATTCAGGCGAGTGTTTGAAGGGCTTACAATGTGAGTGAATTGGTCTGGTGTCGGGATATGAGCCTCTTGGATCTAGACAAACCCTTTGCCCCCCTCAAGGTCATCAGATATGACGATCACTTCGGCGGGGTGCATTCCAGCCGAGATCATTAGTTCTTCGATGTTACACAATTGAAGCGGCCTGCAGATACATTCCCAGATTTTAAGGACGGTATAGATCGAACACATCAACTTGTAGCTCAGCTGAATGGGTCCATGCGGGCAGTCGAAGTGGGGGATTCTCGCCTGGGAGGGGGGGGCCGGGCCATCCCGGTCCGGCATTAGCTTCCGCCTGGCTCACAACCACGGCTAATTCAAAAGGTTAATACCAGCCACAGAAAGAGTTACATCACAATTCCTTTCATGTACAGGATCTGAACGTGAATGAACATGTATCACCAGTAACCAACATCATGATTGACAACCAAAAACACAGAGCTATTCAAGGACCCCCGCTCCTGTTGTGTTGTTTTCGCCATAAACGATCTGCATGGCAAGGAGCCGCAGTATAAAGCATAAGTGGGCTTGGATAGCCCCGGAGGGGTTTTTATCTGCACACCTGACCAATGGTTATATAATGGTTGTATGTATTATGGTCGTAATGATAGTCTGAATCCCTCAGTCCCTCAGTCCTAGCTCATAAGCGAACTGCTTCGAAAGAGGTGACACCCTCGAACGTGCAAGGAGCTGCGCCTTCTCCACCAAGGTCCGCCGCAGCATCTCCTCGCTATCCTCTGAACCGGGCCACACGCCCTATCCTCTACTTGTACTCCCCTCTTCATCAAAGCAGCGCTCACCGTAAACTCACCCTGGCGACACTTACCCGACTACTGGCCGTACCTAAGCCGAGGATACAGTCAATTGTCAATGCGCCATCAGCGACACTCCGCACATCAACTATCACCGCAGGCCCTGATTCATATTTGAGTGTCTATATATTTTTTTTTTACGATGAACATAGTACATACGACCACAGGGTGTGGAGAACAGGGCTTCCCGTCCGCTCAGCCGTACTTAAGCCACACGCCGGTGAGTTAGTAGTTGGGTGGGTGACCACCAGCGAATCCTCACTGTTGTATGTTTTTGTTTTTGTTTTTGCTCATGGGAGAGAGAAAATATTTCTTCCTTGCTCTTCATTCGATAGAGACCGACCACCTACCGACCCAAACCATTCCATGGTGTCGTTGGATAGCAGAACGCGGTACGGAGTAGAGCTCTCTTACTCCGGTCGCCAAGATTGTCGGTACCGCCTTAAGGGTCGTGCTTTGACATCTTTGACTGCTTTGGCATAGCTGGATGACATGATGCGGATTCTGGCATCCATGGATATGGAGAGACATACTTCCGCTCGTACTCACGTTCGCTTCTGGTTGGACTGGGCCAGCGTAGTCTCTTTTCAAGGTTTTTGGTCACCTCCTTCCAAGGGTTTTGCTTCTTTTGACAGGTGCCATATTGAAAGTGTGAGGTCGCCCACGTTCTGTATGTTGACAAAGTTAGAGTGAAATGAAAGGTCGTGCACCATTCGAAATCGAGCGATGGCAGAGAAGATGAAAGTTTTATTCGGAATCTTAAAGCAGACTTGACGACGGTCGATAAAAGTAGCAGGAGAGCTGTTTGTGATCTTACTTTAGGAATGAATTCTACAGTGGAGTTACAAGCTCAAACAGCCCTGGAGAATGTTAAGGCCATCTCATGAAGTTGATTCGGAGGTTGTGGATATATAGTGGGAGAGGGTTATAGGTATCCTGGATGTTTCTGGTTCAATCCATAAACCATGGAACCTTCCAAGGTTGAAGCCTGAACTGATTGCTTCCAAAATAAAAAAAAATTGTGAGTAAGCTTTTTATAGTCTCCGAGTGTATGGAAAAATATTTGTGGATGTTGACACATTCCAAGGTTGTTCCGAAGATGATTTGAGAAAAGTAGGGAGCAAGGGTTGCTCATATACTCACAACCAGCAGCTTGTCACATCAACCAGCCAAGTGGCCGAGCAGTAACTCAGCCATCACATCTTCCTTGGTCTAGTGGTGATGATTTCCGCTTGTCATTAACACCGATAAGCGCGGGAGACCGGGGTTCGATTCCCCGAGGGAGAGATTTCTTTTTCGCCTTTTGCTTCTTCTGGTGTGGGTCTGTGTAATACATCTGCTGCAACCCTTTTGGTTTTCTTTTTGTTGTTTTTGAGAAGAAAGAAAGTGAATCTTCAGTCAATTTAACCAAAAGGGAGTTTCTCCAACAAGCCCCTATGCAGGTGGTTTTTGGAGACACAACGGAATTGCTCCGCTCCCTTGCCGATCTACGTACTCGTTCTCCAATCCTTTGATAAGAGACGCACCCTTCCCCACTCTTTGAGCTACACAAGCATAAACGCTGGACGTGAGCATCCAGTAGGAATTCACAATTCCGATTCCGAGATACACACGCCCCCAATGGAGTCTAGACGTTCATGTGCGGGGAACGTACATAACGCGATGCTTTGCTTTGTGGTCCCTGCGAACTGTTCTTCATCCAGCCTGTTCACTACCTGAAGATAACACAGCATGAGTCTCAACTGGGAACGCCAAGCCCAGAAGGGCAAAGACATCTTGACTAACTCGATTCCAAAGCAATGGCTCGTTGCCGCTGAAAAATTGCCGCCAGCCTCGCAAAAGAGTGTCGTGGATTTCCCTCGGCAAAGCGGGCTGCTGAGTACACGCGAACTCATCATCACAGATATGTCTGCTACATCGTTGGTAGTGGAAATGGGCAAGGGGGCATTGACGGCGGAAGAAGTTGTTACTGCCTTTTTGAAGCGTGCTGTGATAGGCCATCAATTGGTGAGACGGTGAAACCCAACTCCATCAACTCCAGTGTTGACGCAGACAGCTCAATTTTGCTACCGAGTTTCTCGCCGACGAGGCAATTACTCGTGCCAGAGAACTAGATGAATATTACCGACGCACGGGGAAACTGGTTGGACCCTTGGTAGGTAGAGCTCTTATTCTTCCGTGGGGGTGCTAATGGCGATTCGAAGCATGGAGTTCCGATCAGTGTCAAGGAGCATATCTCCATGAAGAACCGAACGTGTAACACGGGATATGTAGCTTGGTATGTAGAGCCCGAATTTCGTGGCTCACATCGCTGACTTACTCAGGGTTGACAAGGTCTATACGGAAGATTCACTTCTTCTCCAGCTGCTAACTAAGGCCGGCGCGGTGTTCCATGTCAGAACCAACCAGCCCCAATCGTTGATGGTAGGCAGAGCCATGACATCAGTCTATACGATGGTTGCTAATTAGGAAATAGCATCTGTGCTGCAGTAACAACATCACCGGCACAACTGTGAACCCATATAATCGTACCTTGACCCCAGGCGGGTCTTCCGGTGGCGAGGGCGCTTCGATGGGATTCCGCTGTGCACCACTGGGAATAGGCACCGATATTGGCGGATCGATTCGTTGTCCAGCAGCGTTCTGTGGCGCTTATGGATTCCGCCCTTCTTCAATGCGAAACCCGTGCACCGGACTTAAGGTAGCTTCATCGGGACAGGAGACCATCCACGGTGTCGTGGGACCCATGTCCAGCTGCTCGATCGAAGACCTGGAGCTCTTCCAGAGAGCAGTATTGGAGCAGGAGCCCTGGGATGTCGAGACGTCATTGATGCCTGTGCCTTGGAGGAACGTGGCTCCCACGCGGGAAATGACCGTGGCTATCATGTGGGATGATGGGTATGTGTGTGATCTTGGAGGTTGAGTATTTGCTGATTGCAGCCAGGTGTGTTCGTCCTCACCCTCCTATCACCCGGGCCTTGCGACATGCCAGGGATAAGCTCGTTGCGGCGGGCATCAAGGTTGTTGACTGGGAGCCATATAAGCACCAGCATGGATGGGAAGTTATCGTACGTTGAAAACTTGCCTTAACGGGGCTCTTCAGAATCGCTGATACAAAGCAGTCTGCACTCTATTACCCCGACGCGGCCGCAAAGCAGCGCGAACTCCTCGCCGAGTCTGGTGAGCCGGCACGACCACTCACAGAGTGGGCCCTGTCATACAGCCGAAGCAACGCGCTCTCTCACGCGGAGACGTGGAGCCTCCAAGAGCAGCGCGAGATCTATAAAGATGAATATCACGCGCTGCTGAAGCGCCGCGCTGTTGACTTCATTCTCTCACCAACTTATTCTGGAGTGGCAGCTGTGATGGGCGAGTCGCAGTATTGGAATTACACCGCGATTTGGAATATTGCTGACCTTCCTTCTGCGGTGTTCCCATCTGGACTCACGGTGGATTCGAAGCTGGATGCCTTGACAGAGCATGATAAGAAGTATATTCCCCGGGATGCGGTCGATGAGCGTGAGTGGCGTAAATACCAGGGTCCCGAGCGATACGAAGGTGCACCGATTGGGTTGCAGATTGCCGGGCGACGATTCAAGGATGAGGAGACTCTGGCGGCTGCTAAGCTGGTTGAAGAGATTGTCAGTGGAAGAGTGGAAGCGAAGCTTTGATTAATACATAGCCAACGATATGATCAGATAAGCGCTCATTGAGACGTGATATCATATTGAAAGAGTTAATGTGCTAGATAAATTATGGCTTCCTTGTTGCAAAGGCTAAAGCAACTGGTGTAGCAATTCTAGCCTTCTTTCCCCCAGAGCCTGCTCCAGTTCGTCCCAGAGAGGCTTCACTTTGTCTTCTTCCACATCTGGTTTCGACCATGTAGCGGCATATCCTTTGAACCACTCCACATCTTGCTCGTCCATCCAATCTTCGACGTTCTCTTCCCAAACAATTTCCTCCCCTTCCTTGACCTGACTTTCAGCCGCAAGTCCATTCATCTTGAAAGTATCCAGAGTCCCTTCAGCATTGAGATAGACTCTCTTCACAGACTCCCAATCCTCCTCAGGATAACCCCAAGATTCGGTCCCCGAATTCAGAATTCGAACCGCATGATCCAACAGCGGACTTTTTACTTGATCGGCATAGAAACTGAAAAGGGCTTTCCAAGCTCTGTGAGCACGATCGTTATTGACAATGTATGGCCGAGTATAGAGGGAGATCATCAAAGTTCCACCGGGACGAAGCTCTCGCGCAAAGCCCTTGATCGCAACATCGGGTATCGTCCAATGTATACACTCGCAAGCCGCGATCAGGTCAACAGAGCCTGGCTCCAAAGAGCTGTTCTCGGCGCTTTCTTGCAGGAATCTGAGCTTGGATGACGGGAATCGAGATTCCTCGACCAAAAGTTTACGCGCAAGTGTGGTATAGCCCTCGTTGGGATCTGACACTACAACGTTGTTGAAATGAGGCGCGAGACTCGCCGACACAATGCCGCAGCCGGCACCGACATCATGTGCTGTGGTCCATGTTGCTTTTGACTTCTGGGAATGATAGGCAAAGATTTTCTGGAAAAAGGAGGCTGGGTAAATTGGTCGGAACTTGATGTATTCCGACCAGTTGACTCCACTGAAGCCAAACTGCTGATTAGGTTGAGGCAGTGTTGTGGGCTCTTTGTGTTCGCTTGCTGTGGACATATTGAAAGGGATATTCGGAGATGATTCTAGATTAAACAAAGGGGGAGGGCAACAGACATTTATACACTATTCTATAAACACAAATCACTTCTAGTCCGTCCAGTACAAAGTACGATATTCGGACTCGGTTCCAGCAAGGGAGATGAAACTATACCCAAATGAGACCGGTTCAAACAACCGAGGACCCGCCCAAGGATTGTGATCGGTCGATGGCACGCAGTAGGTGGTTAGACTATTCTCTAGCTCCTTCTCGGCATCAGCTTTAATCCTATTGCAGTGTCTCGTGGATCGGTCTTGGCGGCCTAGCCTCGATCGCGATCTCGCGATCTCGGAGAACATCGGTGTAGATCTCGGACTTTCATGTACGCACTATCACGGCGGGGGTCTTTGTGCTTACCAGAAAATCACTCACTATCTTCTCAGATCCGCTAAGCTAATATTCGAAAATATCTTGAATTGGATAACAAAGAAGACGCGATCACCTTGGACTAGTGCTGCCCAAGGGTGGGTCTGGAGCTCCATTGATCTACCGCTAAACCTTTCGCTCCTTCGCAGCGACGAGTAGAAGTTCGTTGACAAATCATGATCTTTACTAAAAGTCTATTGAAGTCTATAGTTCCTCGAAGTTTATGTGACAATCTGACTCATGAAGCCTGCTCAGCCCTCAAGTCCTGCAACGATTTAATCTGAGTCCCATCCTCTTTGAAGTTCTCAACATCCAGCCATTTCTCCATAGCAGACCTCAGGGAGGCATCCCACTCATCCTTCAAGATCGAGAACCATGCGGTATCCCTGCTCCTTCCTTTCACGATCATATGCTGTCGGAAAATTCCCTCGAAAGAGAAACCCAGACGCAAAGCAGCCCGCCGCGAAGGCTCATTCAAAGAATGACACTTCCATTCCAACCTACGATAACCCAAATCATGGAACGAATGCTGAGCTAGTAGGTAGATTGCCTCGGTTGCGCCAGTGGTGCGCTGGAGAGCAGATGAATACATCACATTCCCAATTTCGATGTTCAAGTGGCTGGGGACCATTCGCATGAAGGAAATATAGCCAATGGCTTTTCCAAATGTCGGAAGGGTCTGGCAACGATCGATGATTGCATAAAAGAACGGGTCGCTTGAGCTGGACTTGGACGCGATGCTTTCTTTGAATGTGTCGAGGTCGGAATAGGGCTCATCGAACATGTAGTCCCATAGGGCCTCTCTAGATGCTTCAGTACCACCAGTGACAGTGAAGAGATCTTCGGCATGCTTTGGTTCGAGTTTCTCTAGAGAGATGAACCGGCCCGGGAGGGGTTTGGCCGTCGGTAGGAGAGCCGGCGTGAAGGAGAACAGAGGGCCTTTGGGGCGTAGAGATGTCATATTTGAGAGCTTTGAAGATTGTATGGCTGATAGTTTGAAGTATCAGGAATGAACAGCGACTTTATAAGTATTGATATTGTCCACACGTTGATGTCCTGGCACAGTGACTCAGACAAATGTGATTGGCGGAGACTACCGAAATCCTTCGGGTTACAGCCGATGGTGATGACATGATTGGCTGCACCTCCGCACTATAAAACCGTGAAGGATAACGGAATGAAGTCCACAGCAAGAGGTCATCTTGGAATGAGTCAATTCCTTCATTTGTTCTGACTATACTTTTGTAAATATTGACTTATGTGAGAACTTAAGCCCTGGAGGACGACGAGAAGCTTCCAGGACCGAATATCATGCGTTCTTTTCTCCCTCGATTCAAAAAAGTCCCCTTTTGCCCCTTCTGGTATAAAGTAGATACCACAGCCCTACCAGCTGGAGCGCACCAAACGCCATAGTGATACCGCTAAACAATTGAATTCCAAGAAAATTCAAATCAGCACTGCCAGTTGAGCCAATAGAAGCAAGTGCACCTGCAATTGGAGGACCTAAGAGAGATGCAAAACTGCTCAAACTCTGCGCCATTCCTAGCCACGTTCCTAGACGTTTGGAATCGGGACAGACATGGGCAAACACACTCGGTGGAAGGGGAATTAAAGCCCCGGAGATACCGCCTGGAATTTGCATAAGTCACAAGAAGCTTTTTTACGAAAGTGAAGAAAGACATCACTCACCGTAGAAGGCAGCGTAGAGAATGAATCGAACCAAATTGTCCGCACTCATCCAACTAATGCACAGGATACCGGACAGTATACCGCAAAATATCCAGGATATCATAGACCCACAATAGTGAGCGAATAAGGTCAAAACCACGCGGCCGACGACAGATGATGCCTGGGAAATCAACAATACATTGGAGGCCATTGTGCGCGATGTTCCCAGTTTGGTCTCTGCGTAAGTTGGAATGTAGTAGAAGGGTGTGATGTATCCAAGATAGAGGAAAAAGTTAGCAATCGTGAAGCTCCAGAAAGGAAGATCCTTGAAAGCAGACAAATCAATCAAGCTTCTGCTTTGAGGAATCTCAGTCTTGTGAGACTTCTTTTCCGGGTAGAGAAGCAGGACCGCAGCCGTAATGAATAAAGCAAGCATCACGAACGCCATGACACGGACCGTCCATGGGAACCCCAATTTGGATATCAGTTGATTAAACATGACAGTGTATATGATACCCCCTGCAGGGGCTCCACTGGTCGATACACCCAGAGCGACAGCTCTTCTTGTTGTGAAAGACCGACTGACCAGTGTGATACTGGGCACATAAAGCAAACCAAAGCCAAAACCCATGCAAACTCCCTGACTCAGAAATATGGCGTAATAATGATTTGCCAGGCTGAGCATCATCATACCAAATGCGCCGAAGAAGCTGCCGGCGAAAATCATCGTTCGATAGTAGCCGAGATCGAAGAGCGGACCGGATAGTAAACCTCCCACGATTAAGAGCCAGGATTGGATTGTTCCAATCCAGGCAATATCAGATACAGTTGATGTTGGGATGTAATTTAATGAATAGAAGCTTTGAAATGACCCAAATGCGAAGTTCAGTCCCCTTGTAGAAAGTAAGTAATGGATCTGCGTGTAATTTCGGGGTTGACAAACCAAACATTGAAAAGCATGAAAAAAGCACCTAGAACCCGAGCGCACCCACGTAATGTAGACTGAGATGAAGTTGTATTGGATTCATTATCTGTCGTGAAAGGTGCTACCTCTGTAATTTCAGTCTTGTCTGGTAGCGTCTTGAGAGCCCTGTCGGATTCCATGTCAAAAGCCAGACAAATGTAAAGGTAATAAATTGAAGGTTAAGTGAAGTTCATGGATAGATTAAATATCAAAGCGCCCCTCAGACATTACTAATTCAAGATCATCGGCCATTTATGCGGCATGAGCCGATGAGGAGAGGGGTGAGTGCAGATTTGGGGTAGCAATTGAGCCCAATTTACCACACAAATACTGAGTTTTAGAGCCTATGTGAAGAATACTAAGCGTAATACTTCAATTTCAATAGTTTCAATTTCATAAGTCATATCAATAACTGAAATTGTGTTGCGCCATTATACTTGAGATTTGGTGATATAGTGGTGCTGGCACGTTTACCTCGGCTAGACCGGATCAGGTAACCGATCAAGCAAAATGTCTAGAATATCTGGAGTGTTATGAAAATGCTTCTCTCAGGAGTGCAACTAAACAATCTCTGATACTGATGCTCATGATGTGACCTCACCGTGTGGAAGGAGAGTTTCATTTTCACCATACGACACCTCTCTGCTTTCACTTCCAAGGCCCGCAGAGTTTCAACGATCGAGTGGGGTATGCAGGCCCAACTAAAAGATCTTCAGCGGCTCCAAATGTGGTCCCTGAGCTATGAGTGACATCTGCTCAACCACCCATGCCGGCCAACAACTCGCCTGCAACGACCTAGTCCCTGTTTCAACCACAACCCCAGTTGCATCTGGGAGCACCATCAGAAATCTACAGAGCCCATCCATCACAACAGCCTTTTCTACAAACAACGCTGTCTCCAACAAAAGCTCAGACAAAATGGGGAGTTTGAAGCCACGTCTTCGAAGCCCTTCCTCAACACCACATTTCACTCCCAGGGCCGAGTCACCGGAGTTCAATAGATGCAAGTACCCGAGGGATCCACATAACCAAGCCTATGGTCCCTTGAGATTCCACAGCCGATACGCGCTCAGCCGCTCTGAGCTTTATGCAAACGCCGACCAACAGGAGCAACAAACGCAGTACTCCGTATCTGCCAGGTGTGCTTCAACCATAGCTGACCCGACGTTTGAAGGTCGATCCCAGCAGGCCGCACTCGATTCAACAACACCGGGTATCTATCAGGACACCGGTCTTCATGAAGCTGTCCTCGGAGCCTCGACATTGCCGAGTCGACAATAACATCTGAATCGTGCGTTTTATCGGGTCTTTTTTTCGCATCGGCTGTCCCATGCCTAGCGATCCATTTGAACACGACAAAGCTCGCGGGGGATGGCACAAAAAGGACCAAAAGTCCCTTGAGTCTTCGATTAGATCGGAAGATCGAGCCCAAAAGCCGAGTATTCCGCATACCCCAAACGAAATGGTGGATGCAGCTTGTGCGCTAGTCTTCAAATGGAAAGTTTTCGCCCCCATACTTGAACTAACTACAGATCCAGTAGCCTCATTTTGGGTCTACATCCTCTGTCACAACGCTAGCACTCTAGCCGAGCACTAGCAATGTACCTGCCCCAGCCCGATGTGCTGAGGTCCAATAAGGAACTTCGAAAGGTGACTCATGTTATGCTGAATTAGTACTACGAGCATCTAGTGAGAATCAAGTAGCATCTTTTCCGGGGATCTAACTCAATTAGGCTCAGAAACGTTGCCTTGCTTGCCGGCTAAGCGAAGTTTCAGCGCTGCATCTGCTTGATATTTAAGACGAATGGCCCCCCAGCATTTTGAGTCCAATTTCCCATCCCAACGCACACCCTGAGAAGCACAATCACCATGCGCACCCAATTCTTCATCGCCGCCTTCCTCGCATCGCTCGCCCAAGCCGATGACGCTAGCTCCAGCATCCGTGGCTACTTCTCCCCCGACTGGAAGGCCGGCTGGAATGGCGCCTGGACAAGCACTGCTGCCAGTATCGCCGGCATCAACGCCGAAGCCACCACATACCACGTTGGTTGCGTGAAAGACGCCCCCAAATCGGCCTGCGACTTGGTTGATTCGATCACAATCATTCAGGGCGCAGCAACTGCCAGCTTCAACGCCAAATACATCGCCACCTCATCCGGCACCGATGGCTGGGACCTTACTGTCACCGAGACATGGGACTGCTCTTTGGTGTCAACCACCGAGTCAGCTAGCTGCACCATGAGCATCAGTGCGGGCGGATCCGCGTATGGCGGCAAGACTTCTTCCTCTTCCTCTACCTCGGCAACCTACACAACAGCTCCCATGAACGAGAAGTACTACAGTCTGACTGTGACTGGCGGTCTGGAATCCTTCACTGCCCCCGCGGCAACCAAAACCCCGGATGCTGCTGCCGCCGGACCTGCCGCCGCTCTGATCACCGCTGCCCCCATGGTTGCGGCTGCGGTGGCGGCTTTGCTTTGATGCTGTCGCAATGAGATCGATCGATCATCTATACTTTGCGCCGATTGCCGGGGCTAAATAATTTCGCGACGAATAGGAGATAGGATACCCAGGACAAAATGCCATTTATTATCATATATTGAAGATCACCCGTGTTTGCACAGAGCACATATAGACTTCGAAGCTCGTCGAATCTAGATAGCGTACCTATCAGTGGACCATAGCATCAAACTTGTGCACTGTGATTTGGCGAAACAAAAATTGCCGCCCGTATAAGCGGGCGAAGAAAGTCTCTGCCGGGTTTTGGCCCCCGGTGCGGGTCTGCAGTTAGTGTGGCCCCCTACTCCAGAATCTCAGCCTCAACGTCGTACTAGACCAAAAAGATCAAGGCAATTAGACATTGCACTACTAGTAAAATTGTCCATCAAACAATATTTGAGCAACCGGGGCTAATTGACGAGTTTGAATGGCAAAACGGTACAATTTAATATTTACAACGCATTAAAATAGGAGCATACAGAGGGTTTGGTGAGTTTCAACTAGCATACTCCGTACTCGCGCTCACTTGCCCTGTATCAATATGCGAGCACGGAGTAACAGAGTTCGACCTGCTGCACGTTAGAGAAATCGTTAGACTGTCTTGGCGTTGAGTCATCTTGTTAACGAAGCCTGGAACCTTGGCACCGTGCTTTACTTGCTTCACGATGACATTCCGAAACTTCATATTCATTTCAAAATCCGATTGCAGCCGAGAAAACCCTGTTAAGGCGTCTGGGATACAAATGATCCAACAAGCTGCTGCAGTAGTGAGAAAAAAATTCAGCGTTAAGTAGAGGTCGAGGTCACAGCTATTAAGAATAGAGCTGGAATTTTACTTTTCAAAAATCCAAAGCAAACTAAAATAAAAGCTTCTACTCCATCGTACTGTACGGAGTACAATCTGCAGACTTAGGAATACTCCGCACGAATCGCCTGCAAAGAAGGTGAGACTGCCAAGGAATCTAGTACTGTACGCCCAACAAACGGGCATCGTGACGACCCACTTCGCCTTCGACCTCTTTCCGGCCGAGCACCTTATTGGTCTGGTTTGAGATATAGCCGGGGATAGACCAATGATCGTCGCCCACTGGGTCCTTTTCTTATTTAGCATCGGCGAACCCTATTCGACCATTGACGCGTCCGAAAAACCTTGTCTGGATCTTTCAGGCCCCCCTGAGCTAAATCTTACACAGATTCAATCTGTACTCTCACACAGGTTGCATACGAGTACGACTGCTGTTTCCCTTGCGACAAGAGTCCGGTTATGGCTTGACAACATGGGTTCAATGGCAAACCGGTCCATCGGTAAGTCCGGAAAGACTCACCAAGCCACGTGGGAGGCTGACACGAGGGCAGCTTTGATATTTCCCACAGGTTGAGTGCCCTTTGCTTGCCCACCGGGCCATCCGCCAGGATGGAATCCGAGGTGCAAGAAGACAAAAAGGGGCCATCCAAGGGTTGGCTTCCCGCTTCACTCCGGAAGACCTATTTATTCTCCTTGGCGAGCCTCCTGCTGTTTATGCTGGCGGTAGTCGAGATACTACGTCAGTATTCCCAGAGGAGAGGCTTCCTCATCTATTGGAAAGAGGTTGAAGATCTGCCAGGGTCGACCTGGCAGGTTTATACCTATTTGCCATTGGTTATCGCTCTACTCGCTATCGTTCTTCTGGACATCTGCGCTCAGGATGTTTTCCGCTTGGAGATCTACTTTCAATTGGCGAAGCCAAACCCGACACCGGCAAGAGTGCTGTTCGCCAACTATTGCAGCAATGGATTGACCGCGTCTATGATCGCGGCTCGAAATCGGCACTGGATTGTGCTGTGTGTCGCCTCTGTATCTCTGATATTTCGCATGTTTCTTCCTACTTTGGTATCTGGTATCATCACGTTGGATGAAACTCTTCTACAAGAAAACAGAGTAGTCAACACGTGGCCATCAATAGTTGACCTGGACACTCAAATGGCTTGGTTCAATTCTGGCCTTTCGCACCATGGAGTCTTGGGTCGCTCTGACCTTGGAAGTATGTTCCTTTCTCGCCCGTCGACATACGCCGCAGCCCCCGTTTCAATTCCGGTCGGCGAGGAGACTGAGAACTCGTTGTTGACCCTCAATCAAACGACATATTGGTCGAATTTAACTTGTGTCACCAAGTCTCTGACAGGGACGCTCAGCGGCACACTGTCCCCAATGAACTCCTCCAGTGAAAACAACCAGCAGGCTTGGCTATGGAAGATGCGGAATTTTGAGCTTCCTGGTGGCGCAGACAACCAGACCCAATGTCAAATCGGACTTGACCTCGAAATCACCTCGGGACGAAATGAGCAAAATGTCCATGCACGTCACTGGGCACCTTTTCATAACGGAACGAATGCCACTTCATCCTTCATCCCAGGCGACGGATGCGACTCCTTCGAACTCTTTGGGGTGATGTTGGACATGCGATTCATCGACGGGAACCTGACCCAACCAAACATGACTGTACTTGGTTGCGCCCCAGTATATCATCAAGCTCAAGCGGCCGTTACTCTCAACAACAACGCCTCTATCTCAGATATACAAACCGAACCTGAGAGTATCAACCCTCTTGATCCAGCTAATTTCTATGTGCAAGGCTTGCATGATGTCCTTTCCTCCCAACATACCTTATCACAGAGCGAAGTGTCACCCAACTCTTCGTCACGCACAGATGCCGATTTTTATATTGCCAGCAACCAGAAGCCAATTACCTCTGGGGCTTTCATCGACGAAATGCAATCCTCCTGGAACAAAAACTTCATTATTGTCATCAACAAGCTCTTCAGCCCCGGTTCCACCCCAACACCCGTCAATGCCACATTATCCACTTATGTGGTGATCTTAACGGTCACCTCCAACGCGGCGATATTTACAGAAGCGATCCTGCTCGTTTGTCTCGTTCTTCTTGGTATGCTAGCATCTATATGTCACCGTCGACGCAACTTTTTGCAATGGGACCCTGGGTCGATCGCTGCTCAGTGCGCTCTTATTTCACGACTCTTCGCTCCTTCCACTAAGCTTCTATTCTCGCATGCCAATTTTCGCCAAGCAACCACGCGCCAGCTTCGCCAGTGGTCGAAAGGGAAGTGGGTCGAATGGGTGGACGTCTCCGGAGAATTGAAGCTTTGCATAGTCGATCGCACACAGCCGTGCACCGATCAGCTAGCTCCCCCAATTATCAAGAAAGGCCGGCGGGATCCAGCTCCGCACTTTTTGGTCTTTCCTTGGTTCCTGACTGAGTGTGTTCTGCTAATGGGGACGTTGGCTGCGTTTGGTATTTGCCTGTCGTACCTCCGACTGAAGAATATTGAGGACTACGCCACTGCGGCAGCAACCCTATCAATGATGTTCTTGAATTACGCCCCAACCGCGATTGCGTCTATCATCGGCTCTTTCATTACTTCAATCTACCGAAACCTGAGTGCAATGGAACCTTGGATCCGACTTCAAGAAGGAATGGCCACAGCAAAGGAGTCCGTCATCGCGAATCGCGGTTTCAGAACACCATATATGGCACTGACTCGAACGCGCCGCCGGAAACCAGCTCTCTTGTTTGGAATCTCTGTGGTATGTCTGGCAGATCTTGTATTACGAGTGCTCAGTGGTGGTGTGTTTGAGCCGCAAGTGCAGATTTACAAATCATCAACTTCCTCGGTGCTTCGTGAATACAATCCTTCTGTCTTCGAGAGGCAGCCCAACGAGACTGGGGTTGGTGAATCCATCATGGCGGCTAGTCGATTGATGAATAATGTTTCCTTCTTACCCTGGGCCTCTCCTGAGTATTTCTTCGTTCCATTTGCGGTCAAAAATCCCGATGGCCTAGATCCAGACGTTGATCCAGACACCGCAGATACTGGAGATGAAGACGAGACTGATGACGAAGACGACGACGACGAAGATTACTGGGCTATTTTCACTGCTCAAACCAGGGGCATCGGCACAGATCTCACATGCCGCACCATCTCTCCCGAATCCAGCTCTGACGCAACGCGGGGGCTGATATACAGAATCTCCGAAACTACAGGAGCCTCCAACTGCACTGTAAATATTGCACCTGAAAACCTCAACAACCACCACGGCGCCAAATTCACGAAACCCTCTGTTCAATTCCTCGCACCCAACGGGACAGATGCCTGTCAGGCATCAAACCTTTTCATCTTCGCTTCCTGGAACCAGAACAACGTCTCAGAAAGTGGGTCCGCAGGTCGGATGGCTTTGCAGTGCAAGCCAAAAATTTTGATACAGGATTTCAACGCCCAATTCGACTCGCACGGAATGATCCAGTCTTACAAGCCCATCACTGGAAGCTCTATCACAAAGGGGAGCTTTTCCAGAACGCTTCGCATAGTCTTGGTCTATTCAACCAAGGATTGACGAACTTCTCACGAACTCTCCCATCTCACAATTCATCCTTGATGCAACGACATAATTGGTCCGGGTTATTGACGTCTTCGATGTACGACTCATATTATCCAAACAGCACTGACATCCAATCCGACCGCTTGATATATGTGGCAAGAGTCGTCTACAGTCAAGTCTTCAGTGCGCACTTAGCCCTGTGGCGAGACAGATACCTTGAGCACGTTGGCTCGAAGGAGGTCGTACCGGTCCTCGCAACCGCGACCGAATCTCTTTGGGGACTGACCCCATCCAAAGTCCTGATTGTGATTATCATTTGTCTTGTGTGCATTGACACATCTGCGCTGGTCGTGGTCTTCATTGTACGCTTTAAACGGTTCAAAGGGCTGCGTGTTCCTCGTTCTATTGGATCTCTCATGCCTTTGGTCATGGGAAGCTCCTTTGCGGCTGACTGTGGTGATGCATATGATATGGCAGAGAAAGAACGTCATGCATTCCTCATTGATCAAGATCGCCGTTACCGACTTGGAGAGTTTGCTGGCGAGACAGGAGATCAGTGGGGGCTTGATTATGATGATCGTCACCACAACTCGGGGATCGAGTTGGATGAGCTGAGAAGTGCAGTGTAAATTATGTAAATTATGGTATTAGAGTGCATAGATTAATCACATCTTCATGTACAGAATGAATTCCCAATCCCTGATTCTCTGTTCACGGCTTAGCCAAGACTTCCTTTACTCGACCAATCATGATGACTTGACAATTAGTTGGAAGGAGAGAGCCAGAAAGACAAGTTCAAAAGACACTCAACAAGAGGTCTCGAAGTTCCAAGGTTGATGATAGCTCCCTTCCTTTACCAATCGAAATATGAGATTAAGCCAATGTATAACTAGTCGTGTATATAGCCAACTATCATCGTCTTTTTCACTGAGGCTTGTTATCATAAACTCCTGCTTCACAAAGATGAAGGCGTGCAGGCAAAGGGGTGCCGGAGCCCGTGGGTGCCATGTTTGTCAGGCCCCACGGGTAGATAGCGGAGCTAGACCGAGAGCTCTTTCTCTCTCTCTTTCTTCCTCTCTCTCTCAACTCCTCTCATGGTCTCACAATACACCTCATCATTGAACATGTCTACTCTCTCAATAATTTAGGCGGCGTGTGGTCTTTACCCAAGATCCGATGATCTCCAGGCGGCAAGCCGCGTCTGTCTCCAGTGATTACTGTTCAACTTCCAGAGCGATACCGTTCATGCGGATTTCTTGCGCACGAGGATGTTGATCATTGGATCATGCAAGGGGGCGAGCATGGCCACATTAAAGAACCCCCGCACAATGCGGGATCCGAGGCCTCGAAGTACACAGAAATGCATCTGGGCACGTGGGTTGCAGCGGTCAGTAGCTCCTGGCAACTGGCACTTGAAAGATATTTCTGAGACTGCCCAGGTGGTAGTGAACTATTTTCGATTATGTCTGCCGCTCCCGCCAAGCAAGAAAATGGGCTGCGCATGAGGCATTTCTCTCGGTGTAGCCGTCAGGCTACCTCTGAGCCGCCAAAAGCTTCTCCTTGGCACATCTATTTCGAGAATCGGGCGCATCCCACTGCGTGCTGGGCTGATGTATCGAGGAGGACATGGAGCTGGGGGAATCCCCGCCCTGGCAATCTCTTGGCGTTGAGATATTCTGATGTCATGTACAGCAGATGATAGGCTGTTGGGCCATTATCAGCACTACTGTACACTGCACGATGAAAACAGCGCATCGTGGCCCTGTTTTCGGCAATTTGTGGGCCCGGCGCTGGAACAGGCATCAGGCTTGGCTTCGCAAGATGAGGTAGCATACACGAAGCGCAGCACTCGCAGTGCGAACAGCCCCCCCACCTGGGCAACGACCAGCAGAGAATAAAAGAAGCTCCCACACTCGTGTACAACTTCTTGGTGTCGACATATCTTGCCTTCATTATCATTTCTTTAAAGCTCCATCATTCCTCAAACATACCGATTCAAAAATGCGGGGCTTATTTCGCATGGCTGTGACCGGAATGATCGGCGCGGCAGCTGTGTCTGCCGATGATTCGACTGTGAAATGCGCCAAGGGGTTAAAAATGTTCGTTTCTCGCGGAACAGGGGAAGAGATGGGACCCGGCATCACGAAAGCCGTAGTGGATCTTATCGCAGATCAGATCGATGGGTCTGATATCCAACCAATACTGTACCCTGCCACTCTCGAAGACCCTACTTACACCACATCGGTGAGCAATGGCACCAGGTTGGTCAGGAAGACCATCACAGAGTATGCGAAAGCATGCCCGGACTCGAAGATGGCATGGTTTGGTTATTCCCAGGTAGATCCCGTCATGATGCTCTGTTGCAGCGGAGAATGATGCTCATGTGTCGAACAGGGTGCTCAAATAACTAGCAATAATTTCTGCGGAATGCCCCCAGTCTGGGGTGTGGAACAGAGCGCGGACGCGACTTATGATGCTGCCACATTTAAGGAGCTCTTGGCCTTGTCCCAGCCTCTTTCCAAAGAAATTACCAAGAACGGTAAGTGGCAAAGGATCGGTTTGTCGTCAACATCTGCTGATATAGCGCAGTGGTCTCAGTCGTGCTGTTTGGAGATACAACGCAGAGAAGCGAGGCTTCCTACAACCACGGTACATGGAATAACACTGGCAACGGCGTATTCTACCGCTACGACACCAGTGCTTGCAACGCACTAGGAAATCGCATTCGGGCATACTGTGATGCCGGCGACCCATTCTGCGACGTGGGTCCATTCTTTGATGTTAATGCTCACCTCCAGTATATCCAGAGATATGGAAAAGAGGTGGTCCAATTTGTTGTTGGACAGTACAAGAACGGCACTACCTCAGGGAGTACAGCAAGTGCGACTGCTTCAAGTACATCGCCGACTCCAACCAACGGCGCCGTCGGATCTCGCTCGATGTCAGTATTCCCATGAGTGGGAGCTCTCCTGCTTTGGTTATAGCCTTGACTAAATATTTTCAATCTAGTGAACAAAATGGTGCACGGAAAGTGAGACACTCTTTCGCAGCATAAATGTCAGGAGCGTTATTTAATTGGTCTACTCGCCTTGGACAGACGGAAGTTATTAATTCCCATATATATCTACACTAAAGTATCTGTTTGTGCTCAATGAAAGTTGCTATTTCCAGATTTTTAGGCCTGTGCAAGTCAAATGATGGATACCCCTGCAACCTTTATTTTGAATGTCTATGAACCATCCACGGGGGTTGACACGAAACCCGGCCGCTGATAAGAACACACACTTTACTCCGTGAGATTGGTAGCTATATCTAGTGCCTAGGTGTTGTACAAACCAAATATGATTCTCAATTGGCATCAGCGCAGCTGTGGGTATGATCATCTCGTTTGCTCCATGTTGATTTGCGAGCGCCGCATATTGCTACTTTGGGAAAACCGAGTGGGTCTTATATTACTCCATAGGTGGCAACATTTTCTACAAGTGTATCTTCTTGCTCGCAGTTATGATACTACAGGCGATGATCAGGTTTTATACCGGTCACATAAACCTTAAGCACAGCTCGGGCGATACCTTTGAATGCAGCCCCTATCCTGATCGTGGATAGCCGGAAAGAAAGTACAGAGTATTCCGCCGACCGTTGAACGCGATGGCGAGACCGTTTCTGTTTGGATTAGCTTCGTGGAATTATGGCGCCATGCGGCGTACTGACTTTAATCATGCATCCTATATCATGTCCATTATAACTAAAGAAATGGGGACCGGTTTGTGCATAAGTTCTGGTTATTCAACTGACTATACGAGTATACGAACCGGCCAATCAGAAACAACACAGATCATCATACGGAGTTCACCACAACTCCGTAAGGAATCTTGGAGAATTTGCATGGCCGTGAATCCGCATCGTATAGCTGCCTAACCTTGAGATGCTGATTCTGTTGAAAAAGGGGAAACCCAAGAAGTATAGCCCGTTACATCCGATACCAAAAGGGGCAAAAGGACGGGTACACGAAGTGGAGCGTTGCGGCGGTCCGATCTTAACCCAACAAAGCTCGAGGTCGTATTCATTTCCATTCATCTTCGCTATTCCATGTCTACCTACAATTGTGGCTCTCAGATCGTCGTTTTCCCAAGTGGACCAATCACCAGACTTGACTCACCCCGTCTGACATCTATTCTGCCTAGTCCACCCGCGTTTCTTCCACCTCACAATTCTTCACCTTTCTTGCAAAGCTCGAGCTCAAGATGTGTCTCTGGTAACCTGATTAAGTTATACCAATATGACCTCCTCAGCTTCTCCGGACGAAATGAAAGAGACCCCCTCTTCCAAAGAGGGTCGGCTTGACCATCCGCCCGATGAAACCAATGACACCAGCATCTCTATAGACAAGGAGACGCAAGAACCCATCAAAACGGCATCACTGACCACCTACTTGGTAAGTCGCTCATAATTTGCCATCTACCATTGCGGGCTTCAACATTACTGACATGCTACTTAGAGAATCCTCTCGTATGGCGCGAGAAATGGAGGCGTGTTTGCCATGGTCATCGGAATGATATGCGCCATGGGATCGGGGATTGTACGTGAATCGAAATGGATCTATTGGGCCTAGCCGACCTCTAACCCATCCAGGCTCTTCCTCTCATGAACATCATCTTCGGTAAGATCGTTGGGGACTTCAACTCGTATTCTCTGCCAGACACAGCGGTAAACGAGCACACTTTCCGGTCATCGATCAACAAAAGCAGGTCAGGCTTGATATATGTACTCTCCGCCAACTTCTCCTGCTAAGCATCCTGCAGTTTGTACATCGTATACTTGTTTATCGGCAAGTTTGTACTTACCTACATCGCCATGGTAAGCTCGCAACCCTAGTATGAGATCTTCGGTCCGAAAGGCTCACACGTCCTAAGATCTGCTTCCGAATAATCAGTCTCTACGCCTCAGCAGCCCTACGACTTGAATACACCCAGTCGCTATTCTCGATGCCCATCAGTAAATTAGATCAGATCTCGGTAGGCACCGTGAGTAATGCCATCACAGCGCAGTCGAACACGATCCAGCAAAGTGTTTCCGACCGTCTTGCCATTCTCTTCCAGTCCCTCGCACTGCTAGTTGCGGCATACGCGATCGCATTCCGATACTCTTGGGCATTGACACTCGTTGTGAGCTCGGCCATTCTCTTCGTCGTAATATGCTTCTGCTTGACAGTTCCTTTACTCGTTAAAGGCCAGCAATATGTCGACGAAGCCGATAACAAGCATGCTTCCATCGCTGCAGATGCATTCGGCTCAATCCGTGCGGTTTTATCCCTCGGCGCGGAAGGATCACTCATCAAAAAACATTCACATTGGATCGAGGAAGCCCGCAGACGCGGATTGCGGATGTCGCTGGTGACCGGAACGCATCTTGCGACTCTTTTCTTCGCCATGTATGTCAGCTTTGCACTGGCATTCTGGTTCGGTCTCAAACTTTACCGGGAGGGACACATTGCTAATGTCAACACCGTGATCACGGTCTTCTTCTCAGTGTTACTAGTAGTCACGGTCATGGGGGGTATTGCTTCCCCCCTGATGGCAATCTCGAAAGCTATCAGTGCCTCGGGGGCATTCTTCGGCGTGATTGATTCGGAACCAGCCCCACTGGATGGCCTGCGCCACCCCGATGTTACCAGCCAAGCGGACATAGTCTTCGAGAATATCTCATTCGCATATCCCACTCGATCGGACACTCAAGTTCTAAAAGGATTCAGTGCGTGCTTCCCACGAGGCAAGACAACGGCACTCGTGGGGCCATCGGGCTCTGGCAAAAGTACAATAGTCGCGTTGATTGAAAGATGGTATCGGATTGAGGCCCAATCTGAAGACAGCAACGAAATGAACAGTGGAAGAATACTCGTGGATGGTCACAATATCAACGACTTGGACGTGAGATGGTGGCGGTCTCAGGTGGGCTTGGTCCAACAAGAGCCGTTTCTCTTCAACGACACCATCTACAAAAATATTTCCTACGGACTGATAGGGTCTAAATGGGAGAATGAGTCTGAGGATACGAAGCTGGAGATGGTCTCCACAGCTTGCAGAGAAGCATATGCAGACGAGTTTATCGAACGACTGCCAGATGTATGACATATTCCCTTGCTTACTACAGTTCCCAGCGCATATTTTGAGTTGATACTAACCATGTTGCACACAGCGTTACTCTACAATGGTCGGCGAAGGTGGAATTACCCTGAGTGGCGGCCAGCGGCAGAGACTCGCCATCGCCCGGAGCATTGTTGGCCAACCTCCCATACTAGTACTGGACGAAGCGACTAGCTCAATCGACGTGCGCGGTGAAAAGATTGTACAGGCTGCATTAGATCGGGTCTCCAAAGACCGCACCACGATCATGATCGCTCATCGTTTATCGACAGTCCGTCGAGCGGACAATATCGTTGTCATGAAAGATGGAGCATGTGTGGAACAAGGATCTCACCAAGAGTTGATGGACCGCGGTGCTGTCTACCACAGCTTGGTCAATGCTCAACAACTGGAGCCCCTGGATGATGATTTTGACAAAGGCTCAGAAGAATTACTCATCTCCCAAAAAGAAGAAATCCAACCGCACGATTACCCAGTGGATGGGGAAGAAGAAGATGAGGAAACACCACGGACTATAAAGAAGACCAAGTCCAAGGGGTTGCTACGCAGCTTGGGCCGTGTCTTCTATGAGCACCGCAGTCATTGGATCCTTTACGTGTTGACTATTGTGTCTGCGATTGGGGCTGGATGTGAGTTCTCTTTACCGGGCTGGGAAAGGCTCATTGAATTAAAAACTAATGCGACCCCGAAGCTGGATACGCACTGCAAAGTTGGCTGTTTGCCCAGTTGATACAGGTTTTCCAGTTTACAGGTCAGAAGTTGGTAGATAAGGCTAATTTCTGGGCTTTGATGTTCTTCGTCCTTGCTATTGCGATGTCTACCTTCTACTTCTTGCTGGGGACATCTGCCAACACAATGTCCATGGTTCGTCGGACAACATCTTCCGCCACCATGCAAACGCGAAGCTAATGATAAACATCTAGCATGTCGGATCCAGCTACCGCAAGGACTACTTTGCCAATACTTTGAAGAAGCCAGTTTCCTTCTACGATCGCGAGGAAAATTCTTCGGGTTCATTGATATCACGACTTTCTATAGACCCCAAACAGATCCAGGACCTGCTCGGCCCGATGGGAGTGTTTCCACTTATTTCAATCTTCAATGTGATTGGATGTGTGGCCATCTCATTTTCATTTGGCTGGAAGCTAGCAGCAGTTACGTTTTTCGGAGCGATGCCCTTCATACTTTTTGCGGCGTTCATGCGACTCCGATATGAAACGCATTTCGAGTCGATGAACGCGGAAGTTTACGCAGATAGCTCCAAATTTGCGACCGAAGCAATCAGGGCATTCCGCACAGTGTCAGCTCTCACCATGGAGAAGACCATTATCGATCGATATTCAGGTTTGTTGAAAGAGCAGAGAAACAAAGCTTTCCGCAAATCGTGGTATGCAACTTTGATCTTCGCATTTTCCGACAGTGTTGAGCTTTGTGCTATGGCCCTGACCTTCTGGTAAGTCGGCTATTGATGATGGGCTAACATTCGTACTCTTGCTAATGGTATTTCAACAGGTATGGCGGACGACTGCTAGCCTCTCGCGAGTACGACCCGGTAGCATTCTTTGTCGTATACATTGCCATTATCCAGGGCGGCCAAGCCGCTGGCCAATTTCTCTCCTTTGGACCCAATGTCGCGCAAGCAAAAGCCTCCGCAAACCGTTTGTTCGCTGCCCGAGAGCCCTCTGAAGGCCAGCTTGAGAGTCCCGTTGCCGAGCCGATGCCCAAAGACCTTCGCCCCTCGGTCGAGTTGCGGGGTGTCTCGTTTGGCTACGAATCCCGCAACATTACCACTTTCGCGAACCTCGATATTTCTATCGAAAGTGGTCAATTTGTCGCCTTCGTTGGCCCCTCCGGCTGTGGTAAGTCCACAGTGATCTCCCTCCTAGAACGGTTCTACGACCCTACCAGCGGCAGTATTCTATTTGGCGGAAGAGACATATCATCCATCCAAAAGTCCTCCTACAGAAAGGCATTATCACTGGTAGCACAGGAGCCAAAGTTATTCGAAGGCAGCATCCGCGATAACTTGCTCCTCGGAATCGAAGACAAAGAAGATGCACAGACAGAGGAACGCATGATCCAGGCATGCAAGGACGCTGAAATCCACGACTTTATAACATCTCTCCCAGATGGGTACCTAACTGAACTTGGCGTCAATGCTCAGACTTCCCTCAGCGGAGGCCAAAAGCAGCGACTGTGCATTGCTCGAGCGCTGATCCGGAAACCACTTCTTCTCCTGCTGGACGAGGCTACTTCCAGTCTAGATTCCCATTCTGAAAAGCTTGTCCAGGAAGCCATGGAGCGCCTGGCAGGCAAGAAAAATATGACTATCATCGCCGTGGCGCATCGTCTGGCGACAATTCAAAAAGCAGATGTAATTTTCGTCTTCGGCGAGGGTGCCAGAGGTCGAGGATCGAAGATTCTTGAGAAAGGTTCACATCATGAATTGCTACGCAACAAGGGACCCTACTGGCAGATGGTAAGTGTCGAAAATGTTCGTGTATCTCAATATGGCAGGATTGCTAATTTGCGTAGTGTCAAGCCCAAGCCCTGGATCGGTAGTCCCCTTCCTCGGAATTGTAACGGCATATCAATACTCCACTCTGTGACTCTGTATAAATTAAAAGACTCTCCTAATCTATCGAAATTCTCCCATGTTGCCTTTCCAGGCATCTGCCGCGCGCAATCGCTGCCAGTTGTAGTCCTCGGGACCCAAAGAGAAGAAACTTCACGAACGCACACAAAGGAAAGGGCGTCCAGTTTGACATGCCCGAGTACTTAGTCAAACAAAGAAGATACTTCCTGTTGACCTGTCGTATTTTGCCTAGCGGGTACGCAATAATAGCTCCAGTCAGGATGCTGATAGCCAGCGTGTGTAGATTCACATGGGCATGGAGACCAGTCTAGCATTAGACACAGCGATTCTCTAGTCAGATACTCAAAGGAGCTATACAAAATCACCCGATGAGATACTAAATTTGCTCCCAACTAAGGGATTATGCTCGGCATGAACGCCCCGAAGCGTGGACCGCCCCAGCGCGGCATGCGCAGTGCTTTGATGCTTTGACACGATATAAGCAGTGGTCTCGGCGGACGCGGTGATTTCGGCAAATGCATGAACAACCTTGGAAGTTGATTTTGTAGATCAATTGATCATTTCTCGAAACTTTTCTCTCATATAAAGCCCAGCTCATAAGCATATGTGGATGAAAACTCACAGATACTAGTACCATATCTTCTAGGCACCTCGAATGACAAGCAATGAACCGAGCGCTTATCACGCGGCGTACGCGGCATGCGCAGTGCTCTAGTCGCGGGACATCGGCAGTACATCTCCACCGCGAACACCGCGAACACCGCGGTTGAAATCATAAGGAACTTCCATGGAGATATCAACCATCAATTTTGCATGAAGATCATAATGCCCGGGGTATCTGATAACAGGCTGACCTACGGAGAAGCCTAAATCTCTTCAAAAGAGTGGAATCTGGCTGTTGAAGCAAAAAGACCAACCGGAGAGAAGAAGAGAGAGAGAGAGAGAGAGCTGACATGGTCAAATGCGGTCATTCGATTGCAAGAATCTCACGCCTGGAACTTGCTTCGAACCTGTTTCACATCTTTGTGTTCGACGGTACTCCGTACGTTGGATCGAGATGTTTCATGACTGGGACTGAACTTGCCGCACTTTTGGGAAATGCATGACATCGATTTGGTGTGCTATTCCGAACACCAAGAGAGATCTGGCAGCAATGGAATAATTCATCATTAGTTTACCGCGGTGCGAAAAGAGTTCGTTGTACGTATGAGATCGGACTTCCTGGAGGAAAAGATGGACAAACCCACGAGCATCTTGTAGACGATGATTGACCAGGTGATTCAAGAGATTCTAGACCTAAAAAGGAACTGCAAGGTGGTCAAATGCAAGCAAAAGAATAGAAATAAGAAGCAATTAGCAATGAATAGAATATGAAATAAACAGCATCGGAAACGTTGGGAAGAGTCTCATTGAAGAGGTCTAGAGAGTGGAGGTCACATACTTCTTCTTTGGGTTCCATCTCTCCACACCATAACTCCTCAGCTCTCTCTCTCTCTCTTCACACATGAACTTTGGCGGATCTGAATGCATCATTATCGTTTTCTCTTCCTCTGCCTTTGGAAAAGTTTGAGGTTTTGGTCTTGCTTCAGTCATTGTGGGGAGAGTCATTATTGAGAGCAGCGGACAATTGTTCAAGGTGGTCCTTTTGCTTGGGATGGTGCTGTTACTTTTTGGGTCACTACGGTATCGTATTTTGTTTATATGTTGGTGGATGTATTCTGCTTTTGGGTTGCTGCTGGTGAGACGGAGTTATAGGAACAATTGAGATCTGATTACAGAATTTAGGAAGAAACGTTTTCACTGGCCGGGCAGGGCTTCAAGATTGATTATGTATCGAGTGAATTTTGGGATAAAGTACAACAAACAGTATCGAAGACTTGATTATTGAACACAGACAAAAAGAACAAAATGATAGAAGGATGGAAGACGCTCAAATGCACCGAGTGGTATCTAGTCGTCAACAGTAGTAAAAGCACAGATAGAACAGAAAATGGAATGCCCAGAAAGGGATGGATGTGAGAAGATAGGAGAGTGAGATGAAAGCCGAAGCGCCAATATAGGCCAAAGAGGGTGGAGTAGGAACGAAAGTGTGTGGATTAGAACATGCCCCCATCGGCAGGGATGGAAGGAGGCGGGTAGTGAGGAATAGCCGGCTGGGCGGTATTCATGGATTCCTGACGCGCCCGCGCGTGCAGGCTAGCGCCTTCGCTTGACATTTTGCGAAGACGGTTACGGGATTGAGGACGTGAGTCCTCGCCCGGGTAGATTGGTTGATCGTCGGGCATCTGAGGCACGGGGGATGCGGCACGGGAATCAGGTCTTTCGTGCTTGAACGCGCTCAAGATGGTTTGAGTAGCGGTTCCGCGACGACGGCGGGGGTTCATAGGCGGAAGAGGGGGCGCGGAACCGGATGATTGGTTGGTTCCGGGTGGGAGGCCGACGAGAGGGACGTTGGAGGTTGATGAGACGAAAGTCGGCTCGGAGATCTGTTTCTTGTTCACGGGTCGCTTGAGAAGGGAGCCAGATCCTGGGCCACGCTGAGGGATTGTCGAAGCGTTGCTGGCGACTGAAACGAGAGATGTGGACGAGGCGTCCGGAGCTGCGTCGTTCAGAGGAGGAGTGGCGTTGGCGACGTAGGCTGGAGCAGCTGGGGGTGGCCGTGGAGAAGCACCGATGATGGAAGGTGTGTTGGACTGCGAGAACTGGTATGGTCGTTCGTAATGGAAGCTCGGAGTTCCGGATCGGCTGGTGCTACGGTGTCTGCCCGAGGAGGTCGAAGGAGCACGGTCGAAGTTCAAAGGCTCGATCTCAGCCGAGGGGCGAGTAGAGCCAGGGCGCGAGATTGGCATTGGTGGCTCCGAGCCCTCGAGAACAAACCTGCCATGCGCAGAGACGGAACCTTCGTCCACGGTTTGAAGATCATCACGCTCGCGAAGTCTGGTTCGACTCTTGGAGCGACCAGATGCATCAGATCCAGCGCGATCTCTTTGAGATCGGAAGGGTGAGCTGGTACGGCTGCGGCTGGATTCGCGGGAGTCTTCGTGGCTGTTGTTCCGGCTCAGAGACGGCATACGGGATCTCAGAGAGCGCTCAGATCCAACATGGGGAGAGCTCGAGTTTGAGTGCCGACCAAATCCGAAAGAGGGGCGCTCTTCCTCGCGCCATGAGTCGTCCGAAGGGAGGGCAGGGGTAGACGAGTTGTCAGCTCCATAGCCAAAGATCTTCCTGTGGTCTTGCTTCGCGGCGGCTAGCTTAGTAGACTTTTGCTTCAGCATAGCGAATGCATTGCCGGTCCGAAGGAAGTCAGGAGTAGATCTACCAGGAGTTGGGCTACCAGAGCGACTCTCGCTCTCGGCAACACTGCGCAGCTTTTCCTGCACTTTACGACGTCTTTCAGCCAACTCGATGGCGAACTCCTCGCGCTCCCGCTGAGTCTCAGTGCTGCCTTGGCGGCGATGGTGGTTCTCAAGCTCCTCCCTCCACGACGAGCCGTTAGAGATGGAACCATTGTCGGCAATGGTCCCCGGAGCAGACGAATCTTCACTTGATCGAGAACGCTCTGCAGAATGTCCCGAAGGAGCGTGCGAGCTGGAAGTGCCGGGGCGATGAGACGAAGCCGGCCTGACTTCTTCACGGAACTGTGCCTCGGATGGGTTGAAGTTTGAGTGTGATCGCGAGTCGGTCTCAATGGTGGGGATGGGCGCATCCTTGTGCTGTGGAAGACGAGGGAATGGGGGAGAAAATATGGAAGACTTGTCACTCTGCTGACGCAGGTGGGATCGAACCAGTCCGCCCATACCACCGAGGCCCTGGTCAAGGTTCAGAGTTGGAGAGTCGGGTCTCTTGGGCGTATCATCAGGGATGGCATGCGAAGAAGCGAGATCAAGCTCGTTCTCGTCGATGGGCTTCAGATCACCGAGATCCGAGTATCTCACCTCCGGCAACGGCTCGAGCTGCTCCTTGGACGGAGTGGAGGGCTTGTTTGATGCTACTCCATGGTTGTGAAGCGATTGGCCCTTTTCGGTAGCCAGCGATGTGGCAGACGAGAATTCGCGCTGTTCTCCCTCATCGCCAGACTCACTGTTGGTTGAGGCAGCATAGAAGCTGGTCACTCCAGGTCTGAAGGGAGAAGCCTCAATACTGGAGGCGCGAGAACGGTTGCCGCCACGGTGGGCATCGCTGCTGTAGTGAGATGACGCGGACTCTGCCCGGGAGCGATAGCTCGACTTTGAGAGTCCTCTAGCACGAACCGCGGGCTCTGTTGGAAGAGGTCGACGCGGGGGAGATGAACGACGGGGCGGAGGGGTCTCTCTGCCCTGGTGCATCTCGAGTTGGCGTCGAGAGAACGCTTGCTCATCGAATCCGGTTGCGGGTCGGTTGAATAGGCCCATGGCGGTCGCCTTGCCGTGGTCTTCTGGGTGGATCGATGCTGCCAACAAAGAGTTCACCTCATCGTTCTCACTAGTAGGCGGGCTCAGAGGGGGCGTAGCTCCGAAGGTAGCTGCAGTAGGGGAGAGACGGTCTCTGAATGCAGACTCGCCGGACACACGGGGCTTTGGCGACGTAGCGGACGAAGGAGGACTGGTGGGACCTGCTGTTGAGGCCGGCTCAACGATGGCAAGTTTTTGCAGACGGTCACGCAAGTTGGTCGCGCTCCGGGAGTAGTTTCGGTTCAAGGAGGGAAGGTCTGGAGTGCCGGCGCGTTGGCGGCTCAAACTCTCCAAGCGATGCAAGGTCGAGGATTGCTGGTTCTGGGCAGATTGAGTCAATCCTTGTCCATAGAGACGGCGGCTGCGAATTGAGCCATTGCGCGGACCAGACATGGCAGATCCTGGGCGATGCGCTTCAGGTTGAGTCTCTGGGAACGGATAACCATTCGCAGCCCCTTGGGATGTATGCAAGGGAGAGTCATCCACCGAAGTGGGCGCAGTTGATAGGCTGCTCGTTGTCGGAGGACCCGACGTGCCGGACGAATAAGTGCCCTTGCTAATATTAGATGAAGCTGTCGAAGCTGCATATCCCGATTCTCTGGCGGCGGCTTCTGCCCTCTCTTCCTTCTCCTTCAGGCGCAATCGCTGGAAGGCCGACATATTGATATCATGTTCATAAACGGCCTTTCCCATTCCTCGGCGACCGGACTCTGTATCGGGTGATCCATCACCGGGTCTGACGGGAATCTTGTAAATCTTCTGGCGACCTCCAAACAAATTATTACCCTCCACTCGGCGCGCGCGACTCATTATGCTTCCTCCCTGGGATCGATCGTCGTCGGTACCGTAACCCTCTCCGCCGGAGGCAAATGAATCTGTTCGGCCGAGTCCAAAGGAAGGTCTGCTGCCATCATTGGAGGAGGTTTCCTCAATGTCCGCCAGCATGGCCGGGTTGTGTCCGAAAAGGTTGAGTCGCGAGGCTCGCTTGGGGAACAGGACACTATCATCGCTGGCCTTTCCCATCAATGATAATGGGTCGTCCTGTTCCTTTAACATACTAAATCGAGCCGATAATTTGGGCATCAACAGACTGGTGCGGAAGTTATCTGAGGAGGGGAGTGCAGCGGAGAGGTCGAAATCGAGAGCGGGTGCTGGTTCGGGGCTCTCCTCCTTCTTCTTGGGCTTTAAAGTGAATGTAGATGCATCTTCGGCATTATCTGGCTCCTTGGCCTTCTTATTCTTGCGGAATCGGTTCATCATGGGTGCTGTGGGGGGTGGGTTGGGGGCGGATAAGGAAAGTAGGCGTGGAGCGTGCAACGGTGGTTAAGCGAGTGACGGTGGTAACTTGTCGGTCAGTTCGTGTGATTCGGACAAGATGCGATTGCGAGTTAGACACTCACTGGATGTCCTTATCCAGAGTATTCAGAGAGCGGCATGACCAGAGAGAAAGTGAATGTCCCCTGACGAAGTCCCGAGTACGGAGTAGGATTCCGGAGTGATAGATCACAAATGAAAGTAATAATAGGGAATATCAAGAGAGAGAGAGGAATAGGAGAGAAGGACAGTGACGTGAAGAATGTAGCCAAAGTCGAATGGAATTTGGAATGGATCCAGAGCTCTCTCCATTACATACTCTACTAAATTGGATTACCAAAGAAAAAAAAAAAAAAGGATCGTCTTTTGGTGTCCACCGTTCGATCAAGATTGTAAGTACCTTCAAACTTGATTTAATCTTACTCTTCTACGGAGTATATGGAGTACCTTTTTTTACCAAATATAAGCAATTTCAGAGTCAAGCTCATACTTCGACATACTTGACTTGTTTATTTTTGTTTCATTCTCGGGCAATGGACCCATGGGAATATCTGGTATGGTATGGTACGAGCTTAATTTACCCCTAACTAAAAGCCCTAACTCACCCGAACTCACCTGCAAAATCCATATATTACCAGTATCGTATTACCCCATCTCCTTGCTTCAATGATGATAAAACTCACAGCCATCACATCGCCTTTTCGCCCCTCAATCTCGCCTCATGTCTCTCCTCTCGCCTCCCAGAACCTGGGGCTGAACGCCACACTGCGGAGCTGAAATCAAAGCCTAAATTTCAGAGTCAATCCTGCAATATTCGCACTTTCGCTCTCGCTGTCTCGCCAATCCTTTAGACACTAAGAGTTCCGAGGGCCTGGACACGGGAAACAGGATCGTCGCTCGATTACTTCCGGAACAGAGATTTTCTCTTCGTTCACGCTTAGACGACCTCGGTTCCCTTCTGATGTCAGAAGCATGGACATGTAGGTGTCCGGAGCAAGTACCGAAGTGGGCTATGTGCTGTACTATTGACCTCCTTACGGCATATGTATCCAATCTACAGATCCGTCCCGATCACAATCTGCACGCCGTCCTCACAATAAATGAAATTGTTGGGTTAGATTGAAATGGCCAATTCTTTTTTAGAAAATAAAAAAAAAATACTCCATAATAATATCAGAAATCGGGCCAAGGCTCGCCTATCAACAATTGTCCGAGTCCGCAGCACCTCCTGCATCGTGCAGGACAATGGTGTGACGCAGTGGAACGGAGCTGAGGCTGCCAGCACAAATTTTGGGATGGTTCTTTTTGGCATGGGTCTGGTTCTTTTGACGTGGATCCATAGCAGGGCGCTGAACCATGGGATAGGCGAGAATGGAGACCGGCATCTTAATCCACTCCCGGGGCCTGAGGATTCAAGATCACCCTTTGTGGGAATGTTCCGAGTGCAATTGTCCACCTGGGCAGACCATGAGGTCATCTGGAATATTCGGAGATTGAGGTCAACATTTTGCGATCACATCTGGATATCGACGTTTAGTGTGACAGCCGTTGGGGCTCTTGAAGTTTCCCGGAGGAGCTGCTCCGTCGGGAAGCTACTAAAATGTAAACAGCTTAGTGACTTCTTGGTGTCGCTAGTGCCCCTGACTAGTTCTCGTTGGGATTTTAATCTTAAAACCTTTATTGAGAAGTTCTGGACCTTCATGTTGAATTGATGTCATCTCGTATGGAGTACGGAGCACAAGTGTCCAATATAACATATTGATATTGTGATGTTGATATTGACTTGATGTCATGTGTCTCCAATAAGCCCTACTCTGTACTCCATATACAGTAATCCACGATATTGCCGATATACCCAGGCCTCACAGTGTCCGGCATAAAGTGGCAGTGTCGGGGTCCTAAACATGAGAGTCTAATCTCCGCGCCCAAAGTCCTCTTCGTATTCCCCTTAGACCTCATGCGAGACTGCCACTGTACTATAGTCTACTGATCCTGCAGCTTACCTCCAACCTCCACTCTCCAAACACCTGCTCTCATACTCCCTTCTCCCTACTCCGTAATCCGTACTCCATACTCCTTAAATAATACAAGATAGACTTCCACTCACGAAAATCCGATCCAACGCACCTCGACGATCCGATCGATCAAACCGGAGCCGGGGCCTCGATCCCAACCTTGGAACACGAGAAAAAAACAAAAAACCGAACGCGACGAGCGAAATGAACCTTGAACAAAACAAGAACACTCATTGGAGCCCTCTCTCAATCCCAACCCACTCGTTAAAATGAGGGGTTGCTGAGACCGGGGGCTGCCCCAGTCACGATGCCCTCCGACAAGTGGATTCCGCTATCAGACCGGTGTTTCAGCAATGGAACTCGCGAAGAGCCGTTGGGCGTTCCGCGGATCTTGGGTTCTTGCTGTTGAAAGGTGAGGCGGTTTAAGTTTTTTCAGAATTGTTCACGACGGTGGCTCTGGTGGGGTTGTTTTGAGTCTATCGTGAGATTTGTGCGATCCGTTAATCATACAAGGTTTTCTAGTCGCTTCATTCTTGTTTTCGATTTGTTCAATTTTTTGGTCTTGTTTCTTTCTTGTGTGTGTGTTTTTTTGACTGAATTAATTTATCTCACACCGGGGCCATGCGTTCTAGAACAATGCATTTTTTTTCAACAGTCCGCTCTAGTTAAGGACCAGACACGGAGTAATGATTTTCATACAAGCTTTAGATTATGTTGGGCAGCGAGTAGATTGCTTGGTCGCCAGATATGTGCATGTCGCGGTCTATAAACAAAATGAGATAGGTCGAAAGATGACGACATGCTTAATTTCACCCGTCGGGGCCGAATGTCGGATGCTACGTGCTCTCAGGCTCGGTCCAGATATACCTACACAATCCGACGCAAGAGTGAACTGGGAACACCTGAGCAAACCTTCCGGGCTATATACTGAGAATCCGAATGATAGAATCATATAAAGTGACATTAACAAAGTCAATATCCAATATCAAAGTCAAGGCTGCATGCTCGCTCAAGTCCCGATCCATCTCACATTACCACACCAAGACTGACAATTGACAGCGGCTCAGACAGAGAAAGAAACAGAATATAGAGAACAAGGGGAGAAAGGAGGCTCCTTTTCATTTCATACATGAACCCACCCAATCTAGGAGGAGAGTAAAAAAAATAATAACAAAAAGAAAACTTCGTCTGCTCATAGCGCAAGACGATGCTCGCGGGGCATAATCTACTTGCTGGATTCCCAACCGACCCAGCTTCGGGGCATGACGCGCCAGACCTTGCACTCGCCACTGCGGAGGTCATTCAGCTTGAAGCTTTCCATCTTGACCTTCTTGCTTTCACGACCTTGCTCCCAGGCCCGGATCTTCTTCTTGGTACCGTCCCAGTCAACTACAACGCCGACGTGGTCGGGTTTGCCAACCTCGGCGCTGTACTTCTGGTGCATGGTGCCGCGGTGGCCTTGGAACCGGGCATTGCGGAAGCTGACGATGTCACCGGCACGGATCTCGTCGTTCTGGGATACGGAGGCGTTCGCCAGGTTGGAGTACACCAAGGCACCGTAGCCTCGGGTTCCGACGGGAAGGAGGGCATTGGCCAGAGGATTGAGCAAGTACTGGACCAACCCGTGCGGGGTACCGTCGCCAACGGTAGAGTTCTGGACCGAGTTGACGGCTTCCGCGATCTTGGTTGCGAGCTGGATGTGGGCTTGCTCAAGCTGGTCTTGACGAGGCTGCAAGGGTGGGGGCTCATGGCGCTGCTCAACGGTAGCATCGCCGGGGTTCTTGGAGTCGAATTGGACTGTAACGACTGTCTGGGAGTAATCAAGGAACAAGATATAGACATCCTTGGAGACTGTTGTCTTGCCACCCCGCTTGGTGGAAGCCGACTCTTCAATCTCAAAGAGTAGGTCGTTGCGGTTTTGGAAGACGGGAGGAGGGGTGTTTGGCGCAGTCCACCACAGAGTGTTTTCACCGAGGTCAGCGTCGGCTGCGATATAGCCTTGGTCAACCGAGGGACGTGAAACATCCATAGACCGACGCATGGTGGAAGGTCCTCTCAGAAGATCCATTGATGCACGCTGGCTTCGAGCTGCGGATGGTGATGGCAACACCGGAGCCGAGCTTTGGGGAAGTGGTGGTGCCAACGAGAGCCGCTTCTCATGCGAGACCGAGGGCCTCTGAGTTGCCGCCGGGGGAGCATCATACAGATCATCATATTCCTCCTCAGCCTCTTGCTGTGGTGGGAAGGGAGGCGGCGCCTCTGGGCGGCCGTGTGGAAGTGGGGGAGATGTGGGTAGGCCGTGCTGAGGGGCTGCGTAATTGAATGGATCGTACTCCTCACCAGCGTCATCAGCGTCAGCCGGTTCTCTGTTAGGTGGAGGTGGAGGAGGTCCTCGGGGTGTGTCAATGGAAGCACGGGCGTTCCGGGGTGGTTGGCTTGGAGGAGGCGGCGGGACATCTCGGGGAGCGGTAGGAGGAAGAGGCGGCGGTTGACGAGACTCCTGAGGGCTACGCGGAGACTTGATGGAGTGGTCATCAGTGATGGTACCCTCGTCAAAACTAGAATCGCGCTCATGAGACTTCAATGCATCCTTGTGCTTCACTCCCGATGCGATATCGGTATCGTAGTCGCCGTCATACTCAGTCACTTCACCCTCCGTATCGTCCCCAGCCTGTCGGGGAGGTGCCACCGCGCTCATGCGACTGTCGGCGGTGGAGCGGCGGCGGGGCTGCTCTGGAGGCGGCGGAGGTGGTGCGCGGCTCTGCGCAGGGGGCATGGGGGGATTGACTGGGATAGGAGGCGGGAGTCGACTGGCTCTCTTTTCAGCTGCGGGAGTGGAAGCCGTCGATGATACAGGATCATATGTCGATGATCGACGAGAGTCAATCTGATCGGGAATTGGAGGTGCAGAGACAACCGGTGAAGCCAAGTTGTTTAATGACAGGTTAGATGTGTGCACTGAGAGTTCATCATCAGACTCATCGCCTCTTTCGGCAGTCGTAGGACGAGGAGGTACGGGCCGGCCTGGATATTACCGTCAGCTTTGAAGTCAGTTAAGGCGGTTGATGCACTTACCTCCAGGAACTGGTGGAGGGGAAGCTGGCGGCGAGCCTGGAGCAGCCGGAACTGGTCTTGACTCCCGTGGGGGTGGAGGAGGCGCCGAACGATCTGCTTGAGTTAGCAATGTTGAAATCGTGCGCCAGGTTGGGCTCTTCGTCTCACCTTGAAGTGGCGGCGCTGGAGGCGGACGATCGATAGAGGCACGAGGCACTGCGCCCTCGTGAACTACGTCTTCCACGTCAGGTACCTCGCGCGCGGGATGTTGTTCGGTGATGGGCGTCGCCACGGGCTCCTCATCCTTCTCCACCTCGGTGGGGACAACTGGCTTGGTAGCCAGGTTCATCCCCGGCAGGGGAACCATGGGCACCGGGGGAGCATTGGCAGGCGAAGTGGGCTCCTCGTCCGGCTCAGCGAGTCTTTTCTCCGACTCGCCTGGGGTCTTGGGCTTAGTGCGAGCACCCGCACCGGGGCCAGACATGCCAGGCATCCCTCCAGGTGGACCGAAGAGACCCATCATGCCCATGCCACCGCTCATTTTGGCCATGCGTTCACGCAGTTCCATTCGGCGCTTAGTCTCAGGATCCATTTCCTCTTCCTCTTCCTCGGCCTCCTGTTCTTCAACCTCTGGCTCCTCAGCGGGTTGTTCGACTGGTCGGGTTGACGGTCGGCGCTGGGTGCTGGGGCGCGGTTGATCCTCGTCATCGTCCTTGCTGGTCGATGTCTCCCCGGCATCTTCGGAATCAGCTGCAGCGGAGTAGTCGGCATCATTGGCATCGCTTGGGACTTCCTGAGTGGGGGAGAATGGCACAGGCGGCTGCGGGGGGAGGGGCAGTAGACCTCACAGTATCCACGCTAGGATCTCGCACTGCCGGGGAGGTATCAGTCGGAGACTCCTGCTCTTCCTCCGGGACTGTGGCTGCAGGGACAGCAGGAGCCACTGATTCATCTACGGACTTCCTGGGAGGAGGACGGGCAGGCTTTTCTTTCTTCTGAGCCGCCTCCGCGTGGCGCTGAGCTTGCTCCGCTTGCTGCTTCTGAAGCTGGGCGATCCGGTCTTTCAAGCTAGTCGGTTTGGGCTGGTCTTCTGCATTTTCCTCGCTGTCCTCGGTCGCAAGGGGCGCAGGTGGGGGAGGAGGCCGGCTTTCGGAGACGGGAGGTTCACGCGCAATCTGTTCTTTGACGGCGGGGTCCTCCTCTCTCTTGTAGACCACGGGCGCGGGCTCCCTCGGTGGGGGTTTGTAGGCATCGCGGCTTGGGGGCGGCGCGACGAAAGGTTTCTTGATGAAGGATGGCCCGGAGCCACCGGGCTTAAATGGAGTGATAGGCGTCGCCGCAGGCTTGTTGAAGGCAGCGATTCGATCCCGGAAGGAGGAGGCGGTCGGCTTCTCCGCGACCGCTGGAGGAGCAGGCTTGGACGGTGGCGGCGCCTTGGCTACGGGCTCGATCGGTTCGACCGGGGCGACGGGGGTAGGAGCGGGCTCCTGTGCCAGCTGTGGGGGAGATGATGCTACTTCTGCGACAGGGGCACTCGGAGCTGGTGGGGATTGCGGTCGTGGGGGCTCCGGCAGCACCTCGGGCTCGGGCGGTGCTTGAACTTCCACAGGAGACTCGACCGGTTCCGGTTCCTTCTTCGGTCTGGGGCGAGATGGGCGGGGAGGAGCTGGAGGCTCGTACTTCTCCACGAAATTTTTCGGGAAGATGCCCTCCTGTTTGACCCCCGAGGCGTCCGAGTATTCACCATAGTACCAATCGTCATCTTCCAGGGCGGTGACCGTCACGATCTGACCGATCGGGAATTTCAGGTCGTCGTCATGTTCCGAAGCATACTCGAAGACCGCCCGAACCGTAAAGGGCGGACCGGACATCTGGCAGGTCGAGACCGAGGTTCAGACTTGACAATCGGGGGAAAGGCTCGGAGGAGGGGGAGATTTGTACAGTCCAAGTATAGGACTTGACTATGACATGCAATGATATACCAGGCGAAATGAATCAATGCCTTGGCACCGTCAGCTCATTGACCTTTGAGTGGTGCCTACCAGGAGATGAGGGGGAGGGGCGGAGAGGAGACTCACGAACCAAAACACACCCTCGCCAGGGCCAGTAGAACAGAGAATCAGATGCAATCCAGTCAGCTAAAGGGAGAACAGAATACAATCAAGTCAGGGAAAGTGGCAGTAGGAGAGAGATGAGGTAGAGGGAGGCCACGGCGGGATGAAGGAAATGGGCTCCACTGGGCGATCGGCGGCTAACTTCAAGGAACTTCGACTTTCCTCTTCTTCTCTCCTCCGCCATATCTTGGTTGATTCGTCTATTCTGTGCTATACTCTATAGTACTGATTCTCTGGATATAAGATGACTCAAAAATACTGCATAGATGGGAGAGATGCCCTCCAAGTACCTACGAGGAAGTACGGAGATGATGCCCAAAGCTACGTCACTCGACTGGCAGACTATCGCGGCTAATGAGAACGTGTATCCATGGTAGCTGTGAATTGCCCCATAGAATACTCCATGCCATAGTATTCCTCTGTTAGAATCCCATTTTCACATCAAAATTCCAACGTTGTGATCCTGGGATGTTTAAATTGTGACTGCCACGTCATCTATACTTGTCAACATCACTCACTAAAGAGAACTTGAGAATTTCCTATTTACTATACTATTTCCAATAAGCCCTTTGACACTAGTTTACTCTCTTTCTAATTGTATTTGTAGCTGTTTCTAATATTCTTCATCAAAAGACTGATCGCATGCCAGAACAGAGACTCGTATTTACAAAGCTCACGCCCGCACGTATGTATGTACATGCTTGACTATAAACAAATGGCAAAATGGCAATCAACCGGCAAAGAACTGCTAGACTTTGAATCTCATGATACAAACAGTCCCAGATGAAAGTCCCAGGGCAAGTGCATTGCCACTGATTGAGTAACGGTCGACATGGCCAGGCCGATACCCCGGAGGAAGCCAAAGAGTGTTCTTACCATTCAATGCTACCCATTCTTCCCCTACCGTGTAGGAGATCGCCCGATTTCCATCACGTAGTCCAATTACTGGGCTCCCAGACCCGGATTTCACATCAAACGAGCCGCGATTGGCGATAAAATATGACCCATCGTGGCCAAATCGAAGATCAGTGACCTCTCGACTGACGTAAATCGTCTGCTGTACCTCGCCTGTTGCCGTGTCCCAAAGGAGGACAGCATCCTCGGACCCTGATGCCAGGTGTGTGCTGTCGGAGGAGAAGGCCACTGAGTATATCCAATCGGAATGGCCCCTGAGGACCCTCTGTAGCGTGCCTGTCGCCACGTCCCAAAGCCATATGGTTCTTTCACCAGAGGCGGTCGCTAGCAGTGTGCCATCGGGTGAGAAATCTATTGACTGGAACCCGCTTTTTGAACGACTCTTAAAAGTCTGGCCTTTGAGATCATTGTGAAGGATGCTTTTCGCTATATCCCATATATGTATACACTCCCCAGAGCAAGTAGCTATCTGTTCACTGCTAGGTAAGAAGGTCATCAATTCGATGCAGTTTTCTGGGTGACCTCCCAAGGTCTGCTGTAATGCGCCTGTCCTTGTGTCCCAGAGGCATATAGCGCCATCACTAGCGCTAGATGCCAGACGTGTCCCGTCAGGCGACAAAGCTACCGAATGGACTGCTTCTGAATGACCTTTGACTGTCTGGCTTTGGGAACTTTCACTTAGCATCCCTGTCGATATGTCCCAAAGACAAATGCTGTGACCACAGGCGGACGCCAGCTGCTCACCACTCGGAGAGAAGACTATTGAGTAAACCGAGCGTGCTGGACTTCCTACCAGAGTCTGCCTTAATGAGCCTGTCAATGTGTCCCAGACGCATATTGTGTTATCAGCAGAAGCTGATGCTAGCTGTGCGCCATCGGGCGAAAAGGCTATTGAGAGAACCCAGTCCGAGTGGCCTTGCAGAGTGTACTTTGATACACCGGTTTTCATGTCCCACAAGCGAATGGTCCTGTCTCTGGAGCTGGATGCTAGCCATGCACTATCGGGTGAGAAGACCACCGAGGAGACATGATCTAGATGACCCTCACGACTCTGTTGCAGCAGGCCGGTTGCCACATCCCAGATCTGTACAGTTCCACCACGACAGCCAGATGCTAGCTGTGCGCCATTGGGCGAGAAGGCTAGCGAGGAAAAGTAGCCTGAGTGACCTTTCAGGGTATACTTTGATACACCGGTTTTTTTGTCCCATAAGTGAATGGTCCTGTCTTCGGAGCTGGATGCCAGCCACGCTCCATCTTGAGAGAAGGTCACCGAAATGAAACTATCTGAATGACCCTCGAGAGTGTGCTGTAGCACGCCTGTCGCCGTATCCCATATTTCTAAGCAATTGGTCCAAGTGCTAGCAGTGAATTGTGAACCGTCGGACGAGAGTGCCATCGAATATGGGTGCCCCAAATCAACTTCAAAGGTTCGCTGCGGCTCCCCCGTTGCGGCGTTCCAGAAGCGCACGGTCCCGTCATATGAGGCGGATGCCAGCCACGCGCCATCTGGAGAGAAGGCCACCGTTTTGACAATATCCAAATGACCTTCGAGGATTTGTAGTTCTGCACTCCATCTTTCTTCAACCTTTGGTAGCTGACATATCCAATCTAGGTCTGCTTCAAACTCCCCCCGGATCAGTGACAGTTGCGGAGCAAATAGAAGCCCCCCGTAGTAGACTTGAAGAGGCGTCTCGTCTACCATTTGGCGATTTCTAAGAAGAAAGCGATATGCATCTTGAAGGAAAGGTGCCAAAGTAGCTGATTGAGATGACTTCAAATCAAAGTTAGCATTGCTTTCTTTTTGTTGTAATTCAAAAATACTAACCTTTGCCAGCAGCAACAAGTCTGCAATCATTTCAATCGTCTCGGAAGCCCACCCAAAAAGGCTCATCACTTCTAACCAATGCAAGAAATGGACCTTCAGGAATTGCTCGATCTGCCACCAACGTATGTCGGACTGTTCACCACCTCCAAGATGGCGCACCCAGTATCGACAAGCGTATCGAAGCTCGGGTGAAACATTACTCTCAAGTATCGACCTTTCAATTCCATCTCTTCTCACGCCTGGGTCCGAAAGACTACACATGTCTTTTTTCAAGCTTTGTTCCATGCACGCAAGGCAATCCTTGACAAGCTGGGTATGGCCTGTCAATTTGTCAATCCAGAAATCGCTGGAGGCAGAGCGATCAACCAGGAAATCTCGAAATGAGAGATGAAGAAGTTGAACAGGAGTATTGGGGTCTTTTGGCACTGACAAGACCGACTGGAGAGTACTGAACCTGGCTTGTACTTCCTCTTCATCTGAACAAGTGAGTTTGGCAAGGGAGACAGATGAGAGTGGACTGAATAGAAGAACAATAGCGCCCACGAATCGACGAAAGTCGTTCATCCAATTTTCGAGTTCCTTCGGCTGTTTTTAATACCGGGAGATAGAGATTGGTCAACTTTGAGTATTCGCCATCGATTTGCTCCATCCCTTCGCTGGATCGTGAAGAAAGAATCGCCTGCAGTCGCTTTTTCGGAGACTCCCCTTCGCAGTTAACAAATCGATATATTGTCGCAGCGTAAATGAATAGAGGAACAGCCATGTTTACTAGGGTTTTTAGAGTGTCGTCCCCAGGCCAACTTTCCTCTAGTCCGTGGTCATGTCTTATTTTTTGGAGTCTTGTCTCGAGAAACACAGAAATGTCAGACTCGATAGTTGATCTTTTAATATGATGGAGGATGATCTCATCATTGATCGTTCGTCGAAAGCCTTTGGTGACGGGCGGCTCTGGCCTACTGGTAATGAAAAACCGTAGCTGAACTTCCTTTAATTGGGTCAATTGCGGCAAAGCCGAGAAGAATGACTCGACATGAGCTCGCACTTGACATTCATCCAAGGCATCGATAACAATGATCAGAATCAGCGGACTTTTCAACCCAAGATTAAGATTCTTGAGTGGCTTAAAAATCAATTTGTCGAATTGTTCCTTTGGGTTGGTTCCGATATCACGAGCTTCCTTGATTGCACTCTTAACTGGTCCCTGGAGACACGGTAACCTTCCCAAAATCTGTTTGGTCAGAGTGGTAAACAGTCGTGCGGCGTCTTCCCGGTCTGTTCCGCCCTTCTTGAAGAAGAAGCTGCCAGCTAACAAGCCCTCATCATCCAGCCACCGAGCTATTGTCCGCGACACAGTCGACTTGCCCGTTCCTGCCATGCCCTGCAGCCAGAACACAGCATTTCGATCTGGGCCGGTGGCCCAATCCCTGATATCCCGAAGGAGACCAACTCGAGTGTCTTTTAGACACTCAGGATACTCATCCCCCCATTCTGCCTTGTAATCAGCGTCTGCGGTCTTGAGCTTCGCAAAGACTATCTCTTCGTCTATTTCATTGAGTGAGTCCATCACTCGGTCAATGCTGGCGAGAATCTTGTCAGCCATTTTGAGAATCTCTTGGCCTCTTTCCTGTTGTTTATGCCGATCAACTATCTCGAGCCATCGCCTCAGATCTGAATCAGCATCAATTATAGATTCATGAAGGTCGGAAAGGAATTGTCCGGAGATGCTCTTCCACAAAAATACAGCACGATTACGGTCATGCAATGACTGGACGTGAGCGGCAAATTTCAAGATTGCGATGTATACCCGAACGAGAGCTGCCTCCATGGATTGGTCAATTTCTGGGTTGCCTTGATATTGTCTCTCTACCAAGCTATACCGGGTGAGAACATCTGCAAGAAAGGAGGAGGACTCCAACCAAGCCACTCTTTGAGTGCGATAGTTTTGTGTCGCCTGAAAATCATGTGTATCAGTCACTGGCTCTTCTTGAAACAGGGGGAAACACCTACATTCAATCCCAAAGACACAATTGCCCAAGCACTGGTTGCGTGTCCGGTCGGATCGAATCCCACGGCTGCCTTGATAAGGTCCTGGAAGCCAAGAACAGAGGTGATGATTTTCTGGGCCGGCTCTCTGATCCTGGACTTGGCTTGATCGATCTCATATTGGGTCTTTACCGTGTCGACCACACCGTTCAGTATATTCAAACGATCAACAACTCCGATTTTAACGTCCAAATCATTGGGGTCGATGATTTTGTCGGATTTCGCTATTGATATAGACTTGATGAGTTGTTGTTTTTCGAAATCGAGGGCATCAAAGGCGCGCTGCCATAGATCTGGTTTTGCGGGAGGATCTGGTTTCGAAATAGATTTAGATGCAGGATTCATTGAAGAATCATCCACAGACTGTTCGGTTTGTTTAAGTTGGGAGTTCTTGTTGACATCCCCGATCGAATGCTGCTGGCACAGATCCGGTTTTGCGACAGCATCCGGCTCAGAAGTAGATGCAGATGCGCGACGTGTCTAGGAACATTGTTTGCCATCTTCAACCTCATGCTGCTTCCCGAGTTGTTGTTTGATCTTGTTCTTCAGTCTTCGCATGATTGACCAGGACTTGTAGTCGGCAGTCTGGTTCTGAGGATGTTTTGTCGAGAGATGAAGAAATGAAGAGGTGAAAGGTGAGGTGGGGTAAACAGAGGGACGACTGCATCGCCCCAACTGGTAGATGCCCAAATGTTTGCTTTTTGTGGAGATGAGCAGGCGAATAAAAAGCGTCACCAGATGACAGTTTGACACAAATCATTTTTATCGACGAAGAGAGCACCGTAGGCATGTACGATCTTGTAGAATTGTGAGAGACGAGGAGAAGAATAAGAGGGAGGGAGAGAAGCTCTCGCCATCTGCGCTATCTACACAAGCCTCAGTGCCGCGCTCACGCGCGGCCAAAAAGACGACGATAGTTGCTTGTGCACAGGCGTAGTTATGTATTCGCTTAATCTCATATTTCGATTGGTAACGGAAGAGAGCTATCATCAACTTCGGGACCTTTTTCCAACTGTCTTTCCAACTGTCTTTCCAACTGTCCATCCAACGTTCCAACTAATTGTCAAATCATCGTGATTGGTTGAGAAATGGAAGTCTTGGCTAAGCCGTGAACAGAGAATTGGGGATTGGGGATCTGCGGGGAGCCTGCCAAACCAGGCAAACACCAAACAATTTTTTTCCTGCTACGAAAATTCTCGGAGCCAGGAATGCAGGGTAGTGTAATGTATGCTGAGGCCGAGGACGGATGGAAGAAAGAGAAGAGAGGGAGGAAGAGAGAACCTCCCGATGTACAATTACCGGCTCCGACACAAATTCTCCGACAAAAATCCTCGGCTGGAGAGGGAAGAAAAAGAGTAGAAGGGAGATTGAGGGCGAGGGGTCTACAACCATACTATCTATGCCTCAGAGGTCATTCTGGCGGACATTGGGGATGGCATACTGCGAACCGATCACCAGGGGAGGGTGACTGCGGGCTTACGCTCCACCGGTCCCCTTTGCTGTTACCACTTTCGCTAGGATCAATTGGTATCCCGGGAATAGCTATGCGGGCGAAGGCTTCTGCTCCCCAGAATCTTGCTGGGAGCACAGGGTCGGCTATTGGCGCGGTCGCTGCTGGCGCGGGTCCTCCTGTTGTGGCAGGGAGTGCAGCAAAATAACGAGAACTGAATTGACTCCAAGTAGCGACTGGAGCCCCTGGTGGGAGCCCCACAAATCCTGCCACAGTGCAATGCCACAGGAATTGGGATCTAGCAACGCTGTTAGCACATACTCCGAAAAGGGAAGACGGGGGAAATTTACACCCAGTCTCGACATCCAACAAGGTCTTCACCCGACACATTGAATCCACAGGGCAACATGCCGTTGGGTTCAATCACCGCCAGAAACCTTCTCATCCTTGTGCCATGTGTGACGGGGAGCGCGATAGTGTGCGCTGCATCTCGATGTGGGCCGTAGTATGTGATGGTTTTGATACTGAGCCTGCCTGTGACGGGGGCCACGAGATCTCCTGTTGCTTGAAAGTCCAATTCAAGACCCCTGGTGCCAGCTGGTGCGTATGTACTTGCTCGGACCGTGGGATGTTGGAAGATGAGCCTGACGATGACATGGTTGACGGTATCCGGCTGTCGGAGATCTATGAAGTCAACAAAACAGCCGGCGATATTCTTGCGCTTCAGGCATTCGGGTAAGTCATCTCTTTCAAATCGGTATGCCTGGTTTTCGGTCACAATGTTATTGGGTGGTGGTGGCGGACCGCCCGTTTGTTTCCCGGACCGATGCTTGCGTACTGTATAAGATTAGATCTTGCTCAGTATGAGGGGGAGTTGAAGCCTTTGCCAAGATTACAGCTTGTGTTTCCTGACTTGGAAATTCCTCTCGTGGTAACTCCAAGTGCTGCTGCTGGCTTTGGCTTTGTTGAACTTGTTGAGGCGTCGGATGCTGTTTTACGTGCAACTTTGGACTTTTTCTTGGCGGCCATTCTGAAAGCTTGGAGATGTGAGCAATGGAGGGTAGTCAAATTCTTACCATGTTGATTTCCAGACTTGATGGTACGTGAATCCTGCGAAAAGACTACGTGACTCCAGGGCTTGGGAGAAGCAACTACGTGGCTTACATTCAGACCGACGATGAAGATTATACTTATTCATCCCAAAGTGGAAACAAACATTTACGTCAAGGACAGTGTAAAACTAACTCAGGCCTTGCTAGCGTGTACGCCAAAGGAGACCTCTGACGAACTGAAGTATGGCCAAAACAAAGATGCTCAAAGCGCATTGTCTATCAAATATCAGAATAACCTCGTCCTAACAAAGAAATTCATTGTTATAAAATTAGCGATACTTGAAGTGGGCTTGCTACCACCCGCTTGAACTCCAAACCTTGGAATATGATTACATTCTCACAAAACGGTCTACTTTTTCTCAACCTTGGAACTCGTCTGTGTCTATCTGTTCAAAGAGACAAAGAGACCAACAAGACGATCACATATGGCAGGATAATATTTTATCATGCTTGGAACTAGTACTAGTACTAGTACTAGTGTGCAATTGTGCAAATTCTAGGTGGCACTATAATTGAGATGGTTTGAGATGACCTCGATGATAGTGAGTGACTTCATGTATTCTAGGAAAGGTCTAAAAGTTTGAACGCGCTCTCAATTTTCTGTCTAGTATAATCAAAACTTCTGGTCTGCATTGTAAATCAAGAATTCAAATATAGCCTCGCCATCTCTACTATTGAACGTCTTATACTCGGCGTCCTCCCCTCCCGGCTTTCGGACTTCGTTTCGTCACTGGGGCCAGTGTACCCACGGGAACCCCAGGAATATCCGCACGCACGTACGTCCGCGGAAAGGCTGCGGGCAGCACACGGGTAGCAACGGGCTCCACGGGCTCTCCGTTCGATGGAAGCGAATGATGAAGGTTGAAAGCGGGCCAGAGGAACGAAGCAGCTGGAGTTGTTGGTACCTCCACAAGACCTGCCTCGGAATAATGCCATATCAACTGAGACCTATCAAGATGGATTGTTAGCAAGTGCTTTTGAACGGTAGTTTGGGGAAAGAAAAGGGGAATATGACTCACATGAAATCGGAAGAACCAACAAGATCCGTTCCGGAGGGATTGAAACACAAGGTAGCATGTATAAACCGGGCAGAAGGTTCATAAAGTCGCTCGCTGTCTTACGGTCCGGACCTGGAACGGGCAGCACGACAGTGCGAGCAGCTTTAGGATGCGGACCAGTATACGAGATAAGTTCGGCATTGAAGAAACCTTTATGGACAATTGGACGCAAAGAGACGAAACCGATATCCAACTCAAAGCTCAGTTTGATACCTGTGGTGCCAGCGGGGACTTGATCAGTATCGTTCTTCTTTCGGTGCTGCAGCATCAGTCTCATGATAACATGATTAGGGGTGCCATCAGCTAGATCCAAAAAGTCAATTTCACACGTCGAGATGTTTGATCGGAGAAGGGAACCTGGAAGCTGTGTATTCTCAAGCTGCCAAGACAGAGGTCCCCGTACTTTGGGGCTAGTGGCTTTGCGCTTTCTCGGGTTCGGGCGAAGTACTAAATCTGTACGGGGTTAGTGCTTTTCAAACTCAATAGGATCATGATGGACTTACCATTTACTCCTACTCCTGCTGCCACTGCTGCCTTTCCCAGTGCTCCAAGTGCTCCAAGTGCTGCTGGTGGCCTGGGTCCTGGTGTTCTCTTGATGACTCTCCCGAAACCTGCTGGCTTGGGTCCATCTTTGTTTAATCTTTTGACAGGCATTTTGATGATTTTGGTCATTGACGGTGTGCGTTTACAAGAATGAGTCGTGGTTGTGGTTTTGGTTGTGGTTGATAGCAGATAATTTGCTTGTTGTGATGATCATTCTACGAGACATTGACTGGATCTTATATCTCATGAACCGAGTACTCAAAGCAAGTTCTCCTGAAAGAAAAATTGAACAAAAATAGATATCATCAACAATGGTGTTTGTTTTTACTGCCCTCGAGTCTAGGTGACGCCTTGGTAAAAGGGAGCCAGAAATAGATATGAAAGAACATACATATAGTCATGAATGCTCGAAAAGCAATTTGTTTCATACGCATTCAAATGAACAAAGCACTTGAAAGAGTTGAATCATGAAAGACATACCATGAATGGCTCATCTGCTCGATTGATAACAGAAAGAAGAGATAGAAACAAAGGAAGAAAGGAGTGTGTCATTAAGAAAAGGTGTCAAGACTATGAACCTTGGAATGAGTCCTCGGAGGAGATCCACCGGGAAAACACATGCTCAAACTCATGTTGATTTAGTGGATTTGGAGATCCTGGCTTATGATCATGCTCAACAATACAAGAGGAGAGATCGATTCTGTGGGACCTCGGAGCATTGACGAGGGTAAATAAAGGTCGTCCTATATTGAGAGCTAGCGTATTGAGCTTGTGCATTTAGGGACATAATTATTCATTGATTTTCGCTTACTCTAGATACCCGCGGACATTTATGAGGGCATCTAGTACTCAAACCAGCGTATATGTCGATGAAATGATCAAGTCCTCTACTTTCAAAGTTTCATCTTGATTTCTCCTCTGATATAGTTCCATTCGATCGCCTAATCGATTCTTCAAAGTCTAGATTCTAAACTCAACTCACCGTCGAAACCACCGATGGCTCAAGGTCCTCCGTGTCTTGTCTCCTGTGCGCCTCCTGCTTTCAACCTCGGAATGGTGCTTGAATTACAGTGGATCTAACGTGATTCCGGGAATGGCGGTACGTACAAAGCCCGGATTACGGAACAGTGCTGGTTTGACAGAGGTCTGGACGATTGGGGGGATTGCTGGCCCACCATTCGATGGAAGGGTGAAATAGCGTTCGAAGGGGATTTTGATGTCCGGATCATCTACCACGATACCTGCCGCGATGCATTTCCACACCAACTGAGACCTATAAACATTGTTAGTATGAGCCTTGAACAGTGGATTATGGAAACTTACATAAAGTCTCGACAGCCAACCACATCTGTATCCGAGAAGTTGAAACCGCAAGGTGTCATGTGATCCGCTGCCACGATGTTCAAGATATCTTCGACCGTCTTGACTCCGTTGCCTGTGAAGGTTAATGGGATAGTGTGTGCGGAATCTCGATGTGGTCCGTTGTACCTTATGGTCTTAACCACGAAGTCACCTGATTCAAATTCCATTGTTTCCAATCCCTCTTGTTCCTCTTCCTCTTCCTCTTCCTCTTCCGAGAATTCACCAAGAGACACCTCAATGCTCAGTCTAAGACCCGTAGTCCCAGGAGGGTTGTGTGCGCTACGACGATGCTTTGTGCGTTGAAAGATGAGCCTCATGATAACATGATTCGGGGATCCAGGGCCCAGATCTAGAAAGTCCAGTTCACAACCGGAAACCTTTGTTTTCAACAACGCTCCCGGAATCTGCGCCTCTTCTGTGTAAGCCCATTGCAAGTCTCGCGGCGCTGTGGGATCTCTTCGTGGTGTGGGTTCTATAAATGGTCAGCTCTTGTTCAAATTCCTAGTATGATCAATGACTTACCAATCAACTCCAGTCCCCTCAATTCTCTGTCCCATCTTGTTGCCCTTTTGGGAGCCCCTCCCAATGCTACTGGTAGCTTTGGGTTTGCTGGTTTCCGTGCTACTTTGGTTAGAGATGCTTTGGAAGAAGTGCGCGATTTGCTCACTCTGTGCTTGTCGATTTTGGAAATAGAAGCCATTGTTGCGTATGATAGAGATGCAAGATTATGAGATGGACCGAGAATGACATGCTTCGAGGGAGCAGTGGACTCGTTCCTTATGTGGCAGACCTTTCTTTGTCTTTCCCCCTCCCTCTACCATCTCTTTTCTTCCTACTCTTCTTTTTCCCAGAATAGGATGGTCACAGCCAATGACTGGATCCCTTTATCGACTTTCCGGGAGCTTACATGCTCAAAACGCAACTGATAGTTGAGTCCTTGCTGGACCTTTTGCCAATCTTGTTATGTGCCTGAACTCTTCTGGCTTGGGTATTAGTGGTTTGGGGTCTCTCGGTGACATTTTGAAGTTTTCCCTGCTAGAAGGCTATTTGGTTGAAACTGTTGGTTTCTCTTGTAAGCTTAGTGCTTGTGGTAGGAATTTTGCGAAGAAATTTCTCAAGTCGCTATATACACAAAGCCGGGAGAAGGTCCTTGCTCGGGGATTGTTGTAACAAAGTAGATATTATGAATAGCTTTGTTTGTTCTCGGCGCTGTTTATCGTTTAGTTGAAAGGAAACGAGAAAGGGTTCAAAGAGGGAATTTGAAGGCCTAAGGCAGGTCAAACAACGAGATCACATTCAATGAGGAAACTAATTATAGATAAAAGTCAGGAAAAGGAAGAAGAGCAATGGAAGAAAGCAAAAAATAAATAGCAAGGAAAGAAGCAAGTTAGCAAGCAAGGTCATACGACCAGAATCAGCAAACGAACAGATCAAGCAGACCAGCGAGGGTATGCAGAATCATATAGAATGAGTATGTGATAGAAACAGATTGAGCTAAGTGGATAGGTTTGAAGAGCACTGTCATTCTTACATCGCTGCAAACAAGATCCATGAGATGATTCCATCATGGGCGAACAAAGCGAATGGGCCCACAGAAAGAGATCAAAATACTCAAGTCACTGGTCTATGGGCTTTGTTCTTGAACTATTACCAAAGGAATCCAGACTTAGCCTCCAAGATTCTTTTTTGGTGAGAAAACCTTGGGTAGATTTTGGTTCGTGTAATCTCGGGCCTCTTGAATAACATGACAGAGCTCTTGGATCACAGTTCCGTATGGTTCTGGCACTGAGAATTCTTGGGTATGTATTTTCTGCAGAGCTCTCAGGCCCACTCAGCTCATTCTCTTCCATATGTTCATGGATAATATTGGTTGGAGTAGAACCCCAAAGTTGTTGAACCACTTCAGGTTCTTCCAAGGTTCTGAGCTTTTCGTTCTTTCTGGCCTGCAAGCCTTAAGCTGGTGAAATGCTGTATGTTATGACTCGAGAGTGTGATCTTAAGTCAAAATTAGCTTGCGATGCTTCAAGATGAAATGCCCTAACCCTAAGTTGAGCGGCATTATTCAGAGCCTCAAACATCAAAATCGAGACCAGCAGGGCACTCAGTGTAGCACTCGCTATGGTCTGAAAGCAGATTTAGAATAAATGAGTGAAACTGAGATCAACTATTACCTAGGTACTCAGTGTAGCTGACGAAGGCGATCTGAAGAGATGAAGAAAAGATAAGAAGGGGGAGGGAGAGCAGGAGAGAAATCTTTACTACGTCGAGAGTGGCCAAACTGACTCTTTCGTCACCCTCTCATCAGTCTTCTCTGTCATCGACCGAGATTCCTCGTCTGTGCACCTCAAGTTCATCAGAACCAACGAATAAAGATGCTTCGGCCAGAAGTATGGCCTCGAGACCCACCGGTGCAGCCTTGGGAACAAGCTCCCCGGGTGGTTTCAGCACAAAGTGAATTCCAAAAGGAATCAAACGAAAAAAAAAACTGATCGATAAGTAGCCTCAAATCCAGTACAGAGTTCAATCACTCACCAAGATGCAGTGCCGGGCCTCGGTGCAGCAGTTGCAAGGTTCGATGTTCGATCTATCGGGAGTTGATCATTTTTGCCTCCGCTTTGATTTTGGCACTAACTTTTGGATCGACTTCGGCTTTTGGCCTCCACATTGCAACTCCCTGTGAATATATAATTCTTGTGGTTTCCTGCACAGCATGACCTCACAGCAAGGGCCAAATGCCCTCAAGACCTCCCTCCCAGAAACATACGCCGCCATGAATGCTCAACGGCCCCCACCTTCACACGCGCACCCCTCACAAGAACAGCAAGACCAATATCTCCAGGGCCGTCCTGGTGCGACGCAACACCACCTCGAAGTCGCTCTACAGCATGCACAGCAAATCCAGTCACAAAAAGACGCCGAAGACGTAATCCTGAACCGCATTCTCGAGCTCCTCGAGCTTCCCTCCTCGCCGACCGCCGACCCTGCCAACCCATCCCAGGACGACATCAACAAATTGAAATACTCCCTCGTCCCCTTCCGACCTACCGATTACGACAACCTGATTCTAGAGCGCAACTACGAAGATACCTGCGGGTACGCACTCTGCCCGCGCAAACACCGCAAGCAAAACCACGGCCCGGGCGGCGGGTTTCAATTCAAGTACGGGCCCAAAGGCAGCGGACCCGGCGGCCGAGGGCGCAGCGTCGACATCGTACCGCAAGACCAGGTCGAGAAGTGGTGTTCAGACGTATGTGCCGAGCGAGCACTTTGGATCCGAGTACAGCTATCTTCGGAACCAGTGTGGGAGCGACGAGGCGATAGTTTACGAGGGACGAATATTCTGCTTCTGGAAGAAGCGCGCGCGAAACGACTCGCCGCACCGGCTGCTACGGGCACTGTATCATCGGTTGTTGACGAGATGAATAGTTTGATGTTGGCGAACCCTGATCGGTCTCGAGAGCTTGCGGTGGAGCGCGGTGATACCAGTTCCACGCATCGAAATGGCAGAGTGCCTGTTACGCTCAGAGAGAATGAGTCTGGTGGTCGTCGGTCTGGAGCTCCGCAGATGCGTCCAGATGATATGACCGGGGGTCCATTGAGGGTTATGTTCCCAGACAGGATAGGGACGTTGATGAAGATGGAGATATTGATCTCATGGATCAAATCTGATCAAATCTTATCATATAGCAAGATTGCCATAGCATTTTTAGGGCGTTTTCTACGAATATTATACCCATTGTTGGAAATTGATGAAGAAATCTACGGACCACTGGCAGCAGATATGACCTTGTGCAGGACTATATCCACGACTCAGACCAATGGTCATGAGTCTCTTGAACCGAAGTTCAAGAACTCCTACGTAGCCCGACCTGACATAAATCAGATCAGACACGAGGGAAAATTGGCAATCAAGCGTCATCTCCGTGAGGAGAATCAGCGACACCTTTCTCAAAGAGAATCATTTGTATTCATTCCTCATCCAGGAATAGCCTTCCACTAAGCTAAACCGTGCTAGCGGGACGAAAAGCCAGCCAGACAAGCGTGATCAGGGGCAAGAGCCGACCGACCAGACATGAACTTTTTGTACCAATCCGGGCGCAGAATTTAGCGGGGACCGAAGCGGCGGGGGCGCTCAGCCTGCTGCTGCTGAGTGACGGCAACGACGTTGACCTTGAGGTTGTCGAACTATGAAATTGTTAGAGACGGGTCCAAAAAATTTCTTTTGAAAGCAGGAAAAACTTACGCCCATGGACTTGAGAAGGTCCTTGGTGTCGGCGTCAACGTCGAGCTGACCGGACTCGGTCTGGGAGACGTCGAGAGCGGAGACCTCGGGGACGTACTGGTCCTTGCGCTCACGCTCCTCCTCCTGGAGCTTGAAGGAGATACCGCGGACGGGACCACGCTGAATACGCTTCATAAGGTGGGTGGTGTAACCAGCGATCTGAAACAATGAGTTAGGAACTGTCGCTGGGCGCAGGGTCACAGGCGCAAAAAAAGCATACCTTGTTGCGAAGACGCTTGGAAGCGATAATGGCGATCTCATCGCAGATACGCTTGTTGGTCTCGAAGTCGAGGGTCAACTTGGGGTAGTAACGCTCGATGATGACCTTAGCGGAGCGCTTGACTGTCTTGGTACGGACGCGACCCATTTTGGCGGTTGTTGGCTGGCGGGATGGATTGTTCGAAAGATCTGAAGCTGTCGTGAATCTCAGAATTAACTTGACCCGCGTATCGCTTACTTGCTTACGTAATTGTGCGCCCGGGAGAAAGATGAACTAGTCTTGATTTGGTAGGCAATTAGGGCTTGAGCCCTGTGATGCTGAGTCACGTGGTAGTTATGTCATCGGTCTCGAGTGCCCAATCAGGAAGGAGCCAAATACCGACTGAAGTTCTACTGGTAGTCAGAAAGTACCCGTGGACCATCGCCAGAATTACCCGGGTTCAATTGAAAACTGAGAGCGTCTGCGCTGAGAAATAGTGATTGATTTGTCTAACTTATATGACGAACAAAAAAAGAGTAGCTTTACACCAAAATTATCATACATTGTACAATGATTGCACGCTCTTCACCTGGAGATTTTGTCAAGAAGGCTGCGGGCGACATCCTCTTTGTCCTGAGTCGGGGCACTGGACGGCCGCAACGAGGAAGACGTGAACCGGGGTTGGCTCAGAGATGTCTTGTCCAACCGCGGAACTGACATGGCATTGTCTTCGGTAACGTCAGAGATAGTCAGGGTGCTCTCCTTCTTGAACTCTTTAAGTCCGTAAGGAATCATCTCCTCGGGTGAGGCGCGGTAGGATGCTATGCGAATGCGACCTTGGGAATCGACGTGAGCGCGGATGGGGCGCGCCCAGTATTTACCACCACCCGGAAGAGATGCATCAAAGTGAAGGAGGCCAGGAGGATGGTCTGCGCCTCGGAAGGAGGTGAAGTTCAAGTCATCCACGGCGATACCGCCAACAGATCCAATACCACGGCCTGGCTTGCCCTTGAACTTGCCCTTGGGACGCAGGATTCGTGCCTCGACGGGGCGCGCTTCGGCCTGCGGTCCGAACTCGGGGTGGTTGTGAATCAAGGCGTGGGATCGAGTGTAAGATAGACCGGCAGAGGGGTGGGTTTTAGGGGGCCTGAGGTGGCATAGTCTGAGGAGGCCATGTTGGACACAGGAGCTTGGAAAAACTCTTGCCCGACACGTTCGGCGGGGAGAGCAGGAGATGGGACAAGGTCCAGCAGGTCGAAGATGATGAGGCCGAGGGCGTTTGGATCTTTGCGCAAGGTCTTGATATAGGTGTCGAACTCCGCGTCGGTGGTTGTGACGGTTTCAGTTGAGATGTCCTCTCCGTTGTCCTGGGCCTGTTTCCGAAGCTCGGCGTTCCGCTGGGCGGTATATTGAGTACGAAGCTTCTGCAGCAGCTCAGGCTTCCTTGAAGTTACTTGGTCCAAGTACGTAAGGAATTCGGACTCCGTTTGTCCAGCAAGCCAAGGGCCTGTCTGTCTGAACCGCTTGGCATTGACACCCTCGCTGGTCTCGGTGTTATCGAAGTCCAATTCGAACGGACTGTCGTGTTTGGGGACACTCTTCGCTGAGTAGTGCACCTTGTAGGGTAGAGAAATGGGCATGTTAAGCTCCTGGAACTTCTCGAGGGTCATCGTGTGATCCGCGGCGGATTCAAAGTCGGTGACATGTTCGTATGTGTCGAGAGCGTGGAGTCTAACAACCGGCTTGGAGGATTTGTCTGAAGTCGACTTAGCAGGGAGAGGGCGCTTCAGACCCCAATCGCCGCGGGCGAGTGATGATGATGGGGTAGCGATGGCGGCTCGAATGGGGTGAGGCAGAGTTGCGGACTCGTTAACGGAAACGGCTCGCGAGGATGCTGGGTCCACAGGAGCCTTGAGGGATTGAGGAAGGGAGAAAAGACGCGACTTGCGCAGCAAATTCGCCGTTGGCGACAACCTGGCGGACGCCATCTTATTCAGTTGTCTTTACTGAGGTTGCTGCAAGAAAAGTTGACCGGAGAACACGGGCAAGTAATACGGTGGCCACACCGACCCGAACCGCAGTTCTATCCCATCAACTCGGAAATCCATGAACACCAGATCAATCTCTAGAACGTAAATGTCATTATTTGACTATCTGCAATGTTCAGAATCTATGTCTAAACTCCAATAGCCAGAAGTGAGTCTATGGTATCTTTCACTGTTTCTTCAAGTGGTCGATATTCCAAGCCCAAAACCCTCTGCGACTTGCTGTTGTCGTATCCATAGGTAGTTGGCGAAGAATCGCTGGGGGCGTCCGCAGGTGGCAGTTTGGATTCCAACTCAGGGTGAGTCTTGCGAGTGATCTCCGTGACCTCCTTGTTTGAAAAGAAGCCCGCGGTGATGAAGAATCTCTCTCCCCCAGCCTCATCAACCTCGATCGCTCTCACATGAGCGAGCGCAACGTCGCGGACATCCACCCAGAGGAAGTTGCCCGTCGCGGCTGGCTTCTCCTTCCATTCGCCCTGGATCACATCTCGGAAACGCTGGTTCGAGGTGTTGATGGCCTCCAAAGAGTTCAAGTAGGAAACGACCGGACCAAACACCAGGGGCGGGTTGATGGTCGCAATGTCAAAGTTGGGCTTCTCCTTCTCGACGAAATCCCAAGCAGCCTTCTCGGCGAATGTCTAAAGTACATCAGTTGAAGTTCCCCATTGAGCAATGGCGAGGGGAGCACTTTACCTTGCTAGCCCGGTAGACTTGGGAGTGATCCATGGCCTCCTCCCATGTCACTGGGTTCCACACTTTCTCGCTGTAGACCTTGGGGTGACCCTTGACGTTGACAATCGCAGCGTAGGATGATGTGATCACCACTCGCTTCACAGTTGGAGCGTAAGCTTTGACTGCCTTCAAGATACCAGTGGTTCCCTTGATGGCGGGGTCCAGGAAATCCTTCACGGGATCCTGGACATTGTAGTGGAAAGGCGAGGCGGTATGGAGAACGTAGTCGAATGGAGGGCTTGACTTGACAGCCTGTTGTTTTGTCAGTGATATGTACATTCCCTGCAACGATGTTTCACTGACCTCGTCAAATGCCCCCTCCTGGGCCACATCCTTGACGATCACGAAGGAGATTTTGTCCTTCGCGTCGGGATGCGCTTTGAGGATTTGGTTGCCTTTGTCCTCAGATCGAACGGTCACCACGGTCTCAAAGCTATACAAACGTCAATGGGTGGGAAGTGGGGCTTGAGAGTGGATTACCTACCCATGTTGGAGTAAGATATCCACGATGTGGGCAGCGATGAAACCGCTACCTCCTGTAGATTGGTTAGATGGGTTTCAAGGAATTGGAATTGAAGGACGTACCGGTCAAAAGCACTTTCACCATTGTGAGAGAAGATAAGATGGAACAGGGAACTATGTATGAAGAGAGGAAGAGAAAGAAAAGAAGAGAGAGAGGTGGGAGGACCTTGAGTCTTTCTAGTCAACCCCTCTCGTCATCCCGCCCCGGCCCGAATAGATCACATCATGAACGATTACAAATGGCGTGGACTGGCGATCATTGGAATTGTGCCTTCGGTGCTAACGGTGCTAACGGGGCTAAGCTATCGGCCTTACAGGACTTGAGCTCGGGGATTGACTGCGGCGGGGTGCGGCGTGCTTCCGCGCGTGCGCCACTCGACGGGCATACAGGATCGTCTACAATCATCAATCGCTTTAATGAAATAGCTGTGGAAGTAGAAAATGATATTTCCATGTACTTACTCCGTACTCCGTACCAGAGTCACTGTACTGGTTATGGTCCGTGCACCCCATAGATGCCGTTGGTCGTTCGATCGTCCAGAATATGTATCTGACCAAAGCCAACCCCGGAGGCCAATGACTTCACATTCGGATTTAGACTTTCAGTTTACCTTGGAATACTCGGTGCACAGTCAATCCTCACTTACATAGTGACTGATTTAGTTCCCCATAACAAAGCCATGTTATTACTACCACCCCTGAGGTTCATACCGGGGTAGGACAATATAATGGCAGCATGTATAACAGTGGCATTCTGTACAGTGGAAGTTCAAAGGTACTTGATCCCAAGCACTTCAACCTCATACCTATTTTTCAAAACTGCCTGATAGAAACCTCTGAAATTCAATCTGATTTAACAAACAGCATACCGCCCTCTTACTATCTGTATTTGATGATTCCAGCCATCTTGTACGGTACGATCTTGGGAGGACGAAAGAAAGGATAGTTAGAAAGACAGCGAAAAAAAAAGCAGCAAAGGTTGATCAAAGGTTCCAAGATTATTGCAAAAAGGTCAGGCTCAACCTTGGGAGAGTAGAAATCAAAGCACAGGAGGTTCAACACTTAGGAAATCCCCTGTACAATGCAGATTAGTCAGCTGACGCGATGGTTCGAGCATGCAGTTATGCACAGGAGATCTCGCTTACTTTATACCTCGGCTTGTATGTAGGCATCAGCATAGCTACCATATACGAACTACTTGAACATACCTCTCTAGGGCTATACAAGAACTCCTTGAAACATCTTCTAATCACCTCTCTTGAAACCTCTCGGGGCCATCCTTGCGTCTAGAATAATCAAAAAGGCGCCAGGAACAGGTAAGTGGGTCAAGTCTAATTTAGGCTCTCGTGACTGAGAGACCTCCTTTCCCCGGACATACCTCCAACGTGGCCCCAGCACTTCTGTCAGTTTACACATTCCTCAAGAGTCACCTACATACACCACATCTCTGTCTATACTCGTTGCTCCGTGGTCTCTCGCGGCATGGCCCTCTAGCCGCCGATCGCACCGTCATTACCCTATCGTCTCCGCTCGTCGCGGCATGATCCCGGACCATGGAGTCACTCGTATATGAGAACTCGCCACTAGCTGAATACTTAGAAGGTTCGTCGGTGTCTAGCCTCCGAGGAATGCCAGCCCGCTAATCCGTGCGAAACTGTAGGAGAGGGCGGAACCGAGGAAAACTGGCCCGTGGAGGAGAACCAAAGCGACGATGATCAGACCACTCTCAACTTCGCCCCTCGGGGCTCTTCCAAATTCCAGGATCGCGTTCGACACAAACTGCCCAAGCCTCTCGAGCTAGGTACACCCCAGGCACAGTTGGTTGGGAAGCTTTATGAGGCCTGCTCGGTATGACCCCTCGTTCTCAACGGTTCCGGACTTGCGCTAACACGCTACTCCCTAGTCCGCCCTCAACGCACGATTGACGCGGAGCGACAACGAGCGATTCTTGGAACAATTTGGCTACGTGATCGTCGCATCGCAGCTCTTGAATGAGCACAGCGCCCCCTCCTATACCTCCGCCTCCGACGTTCAATCCGTGAAACAGCCCGCCACCCTCCCCTCTCTATCTACAACCTTTGGAATCCAAGGCGCGATCGTCACCGCCTGCACATCCTTCTCTATCGCTTGGTTATTACATTGGAGCCGATCGAAGACCGGATCGGGAGTCAGCTTGAAGAAAGTGGGACTGATTTTGGTACTGGTCCCGGCCGTCGGGGTCTTGTTCTACATTTTCGCCAAGCGACAATGGCTGAAGTACTTGCGACACCAGGCTGTTGAGGCCGCTGGAACATTCATTGGAAACGCCCAAGGCTTTGACCATGCTGCCTCGGCTTCTGTGGTGTTCATTCAGGAGGTGGAACTTGTGTCACGAGGCTATCGGATGTGAGATTGTGCAATTTTGATCGAAAGTGGCGACCCAACTGACACATTGTAACAGAAGCACTCCTCTACCGCCTATCAGTCGACTTGAGGAAGTAGTACAATCCAGACGGTGTCTGAGATTGCGTCGAGCGGTCTCGGAATGCTTCTCCTCAATGCTCGAGAGATACATACAGTCCCAAAATACATTGCGCCCACTCACCGAGGAGGGAAACCTGGCCAAGTATTACGACATTTACGACATTGGATTGGAAGAACTTGAAGTCATTGAGCTCTCCTTGTCCCAAAGAACACACGAGGACCAATACTCCCTGCGTTACCTCCGAGATCTATTCGGAAAACTGTACAGCATCCGCAAAAGCGTTTTGTGCTGTTTGTTGGCTCTGAGTGCTGACGGCGGAGGATCCGATATCACCAGATGGAGCGCCGCCGTTGAGGAGATGCGTGAACTTGCTGAGGTGACTGGGGCTAGCATGTCGAAAATGACTGCAATTTTGAATGAGGGAGATCGTAAGTTCTCTAGGATGGCCACTCTCGATAACAAAAAATGACTAACACTCGCAGGTGAAACCGAGATTCCTCCATCCCCGTTGCCCTCGGCTTCGTCAAGCAAGGATCATCTGCGGGCTCAGTACCGACGCCTCAGCTCTCTGTCACAGGGGGTCCGTGCCTTGCATGCGAAAATGCACATCGTCAGCGAGGAGTCACATGCCAATCTCGAGCGCGCAGACGCGGAAGAGTTCGAAGCCACACTCCTTGCGCAGTACGACTCGGTGGGCAGTGACTTGCGAGCCCTTCTCCAGGAATGGGAAGCTGGCAAGACCGCATTGGTGAACCAGCACGATCGCCTCAGTGTGGGAGATCGCTCAAGGCCATCCAGCACCCTCCTGATGCCCATGTCTCCTACTCCCAGTCTCGGAGGTTCCACCGCAGTGGAGGGTAGCCCGACCGATGCTCTCAAAGCATTGACTGGCGAACCTCGTCCGGATCTGACGCATACCTACGACGACGAGGAGATCTTCGAAGCTATCGTCCTCCCAGGCTCGAGGAACAAGAGAATGTCCTTGACAAGAGACGAGCGTCTGGCCCGGGTCCGAGAAGATCGAGTCCGACAAGCCACTGCCCGCGAAAAGGCAGACGCGAGCACTAACATGCTGAAGGAATTGGAGATGGTCATCAAGCAGCGACCTGGAAATAACTCTTCAAAAAGGGTTACCAGTATCTAAGACAAGGCTGGGCTCCTTGTCACTCGATCCCTTCGGCAGGATCCTACTTTTCTTCTGCGCCTTTGGGCACAGGCTTGACTTCCCAGCGCTAGCAGCAGGATGTCATAATTGATACCCACAACTTGTATAGACGGTGATTGGCGACAGTGGCGTTTGGCACGGGCTTTTGGGAAACCCTCTTTTTGTTTGGCTCTTTGTGTCTTCTTTTGTATTATTATTATTTTTGCTCATCTGTACAGCGAGATGAGAGTGCTCTGACACGAGATTGTTCTGACTGCTGAGCTGTGCATTATAATTCCAGCAGTGTAAATGAAATATTGAAGCTTGAAACAGTGTTTCACCCCGAGTTTCTTATGTAGGTCACTAGATTATTCTCGACTATACAGAATTGATTCTTCATACTACGTAGTTTCATTGTTCCTTCGAAGGGGAATCAATGCTCCCCTTGGGAGTGGCAGCCTGAGGCATCCTAGTTAAACCCGAAAGGGACATATCGCCAAAGGGAAACGCGACCGCGTCTTTTCCCCACTCTTCAACGCGCTTCTTATATTTGACCGCTGCCTCGTTCATTTCACTTCTCCCCTCCACACGTTCAATTTTGATACCCCCCCAATTTCCCTTTTCACGACTAAAATCAAATATCAAGAGTGAGTCCAACACACAATTCAGGGTGAACTATTCATTGACCGTATTTTCAGTGTTGGAAGCACGATTGGAACAGGCCAGCTTGCTCAAGCGCGTATGTGATCAATTCCAGCAACTGCAACATCCAGCAGGAGACTAATATTTCCTAGGTCGTCGATGCCATCAAGGACCTCGTTCAGGACTGCAACTTCGACTGCAATGACTCCGGAATCGCCCTCCAGGCCATGGACAACTCCCACGTTGCCCTGGTCTCCATGCTGCTCCGCGCTGAGGGCTTCTCTCCCTACCGCTGCGACCGCAACATCGCTCTCGGAATCAACCTGCTTTCCCTTACCAAGGTGCTCCGCGCCGCCCAGAATGAAGATATCCTGACCCTCAAGGCCGAGGACTCACCCGATGCTGTCAACCTCATGTTCGAGAGCGCCGAGACAGATCGTCTGAGCGAGTACGATATCAAGCTCATGGATATTGACCAGGAGCACCTGGCCATTCCTGAGACCGAATACGCTGCTACCGTGGAGATGCCCTCCGCTGAGTTCCAGCGTATCTGCAGAGATCTCAACCAGCTCTCCGAGTCCGGTTAGTCCTCCCCGTGCTCCACGCACCAGCTAGACCCAGGTGTTTTGTATCTTATATACTGATTCCCTTTCTAGTTGTCATTGAGGCCAACAAGGAGGGTGTCAAGTTCTCCTGCAACGGTGACATCGGTAACGGCTCCGTCACCATCCGCCAGCACACCAACGTCGACAAGCCCGACCAAAACGTCACTGTCAACATCTCCGAACCCGTCGCCCTGACCTTCTCCCTCAAGTACCTTGTCAACTTCTGCAAGGCCTCCAACCTGTCTTCATCTGTCGTTCTGCACTTGTCCCAGGAGGTTCCATTGCTTGTTGAGTACGGTCTCGGAAGTGGCCACCTACGATTCTACCTGGCCCCCAAGGTAAGCGCTTGCTCTGACCATTCCTTGATCAGCCCTGTTTCAGTTCATGCTAACCTATGGTCTTCCCGCAGCTCGGTGACGACGAGTAAACGAACTATATGTGGAGTTGAGGGGACAGAGGCAATGCTTAAAATGATGCCCAATGATAATGGAGAGAACCCGACGGAGGAAATGCTTCCTCACTGCATCCCTAATTGGGATTACAAGATGTTCACGATAATTTACATATTCAGCGGTCGACTTCGACATCGCAACCTTTTCAAAACGAGTTCAAAAACAGTGGTCTACCCAGTAATGTCCGTATAATTAAAGAGAAGATCCAGTCTACTCTGCAGCATTTGTTGAATCAGAAAGGAAATGTATTTTGAACTCTCCATGGAGCTACTTCAATGCTTGCGCAGCCCCTCTAGAGCTCTAGAGCTCTTTACACTGCCATACAATAAAGGCCAACTAAATCTACTAACCAAACCACCACAAGTCCAACCAGGACCCTAGAACCTAGAAGGTCCACAACCCCACCAATTAGCAAGGTTGACAAAAAAACTCTTCCCAGACACCCCAACAGGAGCGGATAACAAGAACTGACCTTAAAAAAAAAAGATGAAGCGCCATCCCCACCAGAATGATCGGAATCGAATGATACCATCCACCCCTCCGAAGAGAAGCAGAGTAAGTATGCTGCGTATTGCACTAAAGTGTCATCACACACAATCTCCGCACCGACTCTCCCAAGGGGCAAGGAAAAAAACCGAAAGCAGCAAGCCACTCCAGCTCCCCCTCCCCCGATGTTTCTGATGCCAAGTGCAGGTGTGGCAAGAAGTGATCTAGGATCACACCAGGCCCTCACGGGCAGTACCGACGCCGACGCGCGAATGAGCGAACGACGCGGGTTGTGGGTTTGAAGATTCCTCCGAATTTCTCATTTGCAAGGGTCTCGGCCTGGGCGGAACCCAGGGCGCGAGGACGGTCGAGCCGTCGTGTGTAGCAAAGAAACGCAGCATTGGTGGGGATGGCGCTTGGGGAGGGAAAGGTTTGGGTGCGTGCGGATTTGAGGTTTTTTATATTGCTGTCACGTGCGTGAGTCACCGCTTTGATGGGCGCTTAGCCTGATTTGGGAGTATAGGGCATTGTGGGGTGGGCTTTTGTTTTTCTTTTGTTCTTTTTTGATTCTTTCACTTCGCTACATTCTCTGGATAGATTAACTGTGTGTGGTATAGACACTGGAATCTGACTCTTTTTTCTATGGCTTTTGGTATGATGTCACCTACACGCCCAGAACACTCTGTCCACCGGTGACTTGATGCGAACCTTCGACAAATGTACCGTATGGAACAGACAACCCAGAAATTTTCAGTCCATTGATATCCACAGCTTCAATGACTGTCCACGCAAAGAAATCGTCCTGCTCGATCCTCGTTTCAAATCCACGTTTCTCAAAGTACCCTATCAACTCATACCCGCCCCATTGCTGCTGAGAAGCATACACTCTCCAACCTTGAACCTCGGTGGCTCCATTCCAGGAAATGAACCAAATCGTTGGTCCAGAGCTGTAAGCCGCCATGGCATATACATCTGGGCTAGTTGTTGGCGCTGTGGTAACATTCGCTTTCCAAGCACGATACCAATACCCCGTTGGGTCTGCCAGCCGTGCTTCGAACACGGTCCGCGGGCCATCTGGGGTGTGCTTGTGCTCGCTAATGAATGGTGTGCCACCCCAGTAGATGAAGACGTTACCGTTCTCCAAAAACTGGACACTTCCTTCTCTTGTGGTAAGTATTCTCCGAGGCGTCTCATAACGCTGGATTAGAGAAGCGTGCATTGCCTCAAGGTCCAAATACAGCGTGAGGCCAGATGAAGATAAAGCAGTCTGGTGCCATTCATCAAATGCGTTATTAAATAGCGAGATCAACATGTTTTGATCATGCTCCTCTCTCAGTCGCACATGGTGCTGAGAGCTAAAGTTCAAACCGGGCTCGAACGTGAAGTCGGATTTATAAACCCCCAAGTCTCCACAGAACGGTACCATTTTGGCCAGAGACCATATAAATGGTACTTGTGTGACGGGAAGAGATCAAATAATCTCCACCTTTTGTCTTGTCCACTGAGTTGATGTGACTAAGACAGACAGCGTGAGCAGCGTGTCCAAAAACAGAGACAGAGAGAGACCTACAAATAATCCCAATCAGTTTTAGGACTGCTGCCATCGCCCCATCTTCTCCCAAGCTCCATCTGTGAGGCTTCTATCTCAATGTAGTCTGTTGGGTCCCACATAAAGTTCACAATTTGGGTCTCTATATCGACTTCCTGGAACCCAGTTGTGCGCAGATGTCCATTCGAAGGACCACCAACAGACGATAAATTCCAAGGCTTGGTATCGAACCATGTCGTAATTATTGCGGTTGCATCATCCACGAGCATCAATTCATGCATGTCTGGCTCCACACCAGCGTTGATTTCAGTAAAGTCTCGTTCTCCATCCGGGGTGTAGAGACCTAAATCGAAGAGGATGACTGAGCCCGAGGCTGAAGTTCCTTCTCCGTGGCGCATCTTCAACATGCAAAGCTTATCTTGGCCTGCAATATGACATGGATGAAGATTGTGCACGAACTCATTGTCTACTGCCCCGTACCAGACAAGATGCTATCTTAAATTGAGCAGTGAATCATGGGTAGTGAGTCTGTCAACTTACCCCGAGGTGATCGTAGATATATGGGCCGTCATTGCATGTCGTCAGGTCATATGGAGTGATGAAAAGAAACCCTGGAGTCACATGATCCTGCTCATAGTTGGTGATGTGCAAGATTGGAGCGCAGATATCTGGTCGCTATCGGAAGGTTAGTTGTATCATCATACTTGTGTTTAGGGAATGGGAATTGACCCACTGATTTAAAGCATTCATATATGTTTGCAGTGGCTCCTGATACAGACCAGAACAAGCAGACTGTCCATAAAATGAGACGCAAGTGAGCATTAATGAATACGCCCATCTTATACTAGTAACACAAAGATTGCGCAGACTCTAATTATTTGAATGGCAAACCTTTCAAGAGAACTCAACTTGAGAACCTGTGACGTCCAGCTTGTCTGCTGCTTTTGTACTACTCACCTACCGCTTTTCTCATGCGTGCTGTCTGCAGCTCGGAGGCTCGAGAGAGATTACCCCTGCAGTGTGACCCGAGGGTGCGAAAAATGAAATGATAAGCTCAAATATATCAACGTTTGTGATATTGCATCACGGAGCACCCATTAAACCCACATGGAGGTGTGATCATTGACCGACACACTGCATTTAGGTATAGGGTCTACACAGAACTGGAACTTCATGAGAGAAAGAGCTTCATATCTCTTCATATGCTCGCACAACAAACGGTTTTCCTTGGACGAGAACCTTCTCCCTTGTGACTTTCAAAGAGCCTGTTATTTCCTTTTCAAGCCCACCTAACAAGGAAGGCAGCGTATCAGATGACCCGCCAACTGCGTACTTGACCTTCCATCCTGAGTCCCACTCCTCTCTCCGTGCACTGACATCAGCGCCCGACTTCTTCACGACCATGTTTCCTGTGGAATCTTTCTCCCTTTTGAGAGTCTGAACCTGCTGAAGTGCTAGATACGTTCCCCAGATGCGACCGATAAAGGTTTTGGTGATTGTGGCCTCGCCTTCTTTCTCAACATCCTCATCAGCGGATTCGAGAACCCACGAAAGACCTTTCCGAGAACCCTCAGGTCCCTCTCTGAATGGCAGCTCTCGCCATACTTCCTCGTACTCAGTCTCAGGAGTTCCCGGGATGTCAGGACGAGGCATAGTTCCCGTTTCAAGATCGTCTCCATTCGGGAGTGAGACAAAGGTTCCACAATCAATGCTCTCGAAAGCATCGTGGGAGTCGAGCTCATGGGAGAAGGAGACCCGCACTATCAAATCATTAGAGTTTCCTTCTCAAATTTTCTAAAGGATAATCGATGCACAACATACACGGTTCCTTGCTCTCGACGATACGTTGTCCCGCGATTGCCCAGTCAATCTTCCCAGTGTCCTTTTCCATTCGCAGATCAAGGTACCAGTCCTTGACAGACATGACAATCGTATCTGTGTTCTCTTGGGGTGCCTCAGGAAGCCATCGGATAGAGATGCGGGTGGAGAACCTGCATGCCGATTGTGCGGGTTTATTGGTCATGGTGGTTGTGATTTGAATCCAAATTTAGTTTCACCCCAGGAGTGTGTGACATGAGTTGTGAGTGGTGCGAGCACAATTGCTTAAAGAACCCTGGAAAGTCGATCTAGCAAAGGTAGCCTCGGGGTCGGGGGAGATGAATTGGGAATGTGGAAGAGAAGCTATCAAAGAGCTTATCTTTCCCCTCACCCCGCATCGGACGAAGAACAACCTCCGGCCAAGTATGTGTTGATCATCCCATTTGCATGGTGACTCCTAAATGTTTGATTTCAAATCTGGCTAACAGGGTAAATAATTATAGAATAAAACAACAATCACTCGATAGCAGTGAACACCAGTTTACAACTCTGCCCTTCTGGCCTCGAAGATATGATCTGATCATCCAACTTCATCGAAGCAGTCATATCCGACGCGACAGTCGTCAAGTAGCGTGTATACACTTGGCGCAGTAATGTCTTCATTTCAACGAGGGCAAGACTAAACAATGATAGTCAGCACTGGTCACTCATCTTGGAAGAAAGCGGGAAAAAAAAAAGAAAAAGATATAAACTCACTTCTTTCCTATGCACCCTCTACCACCGGTAGCGAAGGAAAAGAAAAGTCGATTTCTCTCGGCCGCTCCCTCCTCAACAAGCCATCGATCAGGATTAAAACAATCAGGCTCAGGGAAAACCCGCTCATTGATCCGATGCACCGAGTAAGGCTGACAGCTCACAATGGTATGCTCAGGGACGAAGAATCCGTCAATCTCCCGGCCTTCAGTAGGGACATATCGCGGTAATGACATAGGGATAGGGGGCGCACATCGCAATGCCTCCTTGATTACAGCATCGAGATAGATAAAACTGTCTAGCGGAGCATCGAGCGGGGCAGCTTTCAACTCTTCCTGGAGACGGCGCTGGAAGCCGAGGTTCTGCGGCTGTGACAGCTCCCACATCAAGAAACATAGTCCGTCACCGGTGGTATCAATACCAGCTGCCATATGGTCTTTGCATTCTGCAGCAGCTTGGTTTAGTTCAAGAGGGGACTCTTTCCGTTTGAGCTTTTCCATAAGAGAATGATTTTCGAGCTCTGATCGGGCGGCCATGTCGAGCACGTATTGATTTGCTTTTGGTGCACTGCGGGCATGCAAGCATTTGGGGAAATATGGCGCCAGTGCAGGAAGGTAGTATTCCAACAGATTCTCTGCTACAAGTCAGAGATTTGATGACCATGGCAATGGGAATAGGCATACTTTGGAGGCTTTGGTGATATGTCAGCTCGTGCATGACCTCAAAGTCCTTTGCGGTGTCGAGGGACTTGAGGCCCCCGGGACTGAACATGAAATGGGTAACGCAGTCCAGCGCATAGCAATGAAGTAGAGACTGGAACGAGAACACGGTTAACACAGTTTGGGCTGATATAAACCATTCAAATTTTGACTTACGTATACGTCCACACTCTGTCGCCCAGCAGCAGCGCAGCTTGACACGAATACCATTGCTCTTTCGGTAATTGCAGCTATGGGTTTCTCTTTCATGATATTGGTCATGGCGTATCTCTCAGCGAATATGCGCTTCCTCTTGCTATGCTGCAAACTGTCAGATTCTATATTCCATTCATGATAAAAGACACTCACTTCATCTTTTAAGAGTGTCGAGAACATGGTCCTATTTCTAGCGTTAAACCTCCGCAGGCAATTCCTCCCGAAGCGACTTACTTGATCTTGAACTGTCTGAATAGATCATAATACTCGGTCTTGTCGTATCCACTCCCTCCAGATGCATAGATTTCTTTAATCGCATCCAAGCTGGTAAATGATACCTCATTCGGGCCGAGGCGGACCACAGGGCCGTAAATTTTGTGCAATTTGTGGATCGACTCCCGTCGATTTGCAGTGAACTCTTGATACTTGATCCACAAACTTGTAAATCGGGTATACCATGGTCCTGGCACAGCAGACAGGGGTGATCTAAACCCGCAGATGACAAGGTATCCACACAGGAACAATGTCCCAATCCAGAATGACAGCATGTTAGTATTGAAATTTGAACTAGGTCATGAGATGAGAAATGAACCAAGAGCTCAACACGGATGCCACTTTTTGATTATTTATACCCCATGTCTGATTGAATGATCTTCAATTCCCATTAGATAATGGCCATAATCTTGGAGCTACGATAGTCGAAGCTCGAACGGCTAGGATTAGCCGATATCTTTGCTATCGGAGTGCGGGGAAGAACGAACAAGCGCAGAGTAGGAGAGAGTTTCTGGGTCTATGCTACAATAGGAAACTCAAGGAGATGACAGCGACTCTCTGATTTATAGTTTAAATGGTGCTCAGATTTGTGCTTGGGTCACATTTTCAAGGTTGCCCTGGAATTCCATAAGCTTTCATAATACAGTACCTGCGATAAGTTCGGATGGACCTAGAAACTTCCAAGGTTATTGAAAGAGGCTTGATGAATATGGGGTACAACGACCTATCAATATGATTTTACTAGGTCGAATCAAATAGACAACGTGCGAATGCCATTCGTGCTGTATACTTGCTGAGCATGCTTCTGAGGTCACTTGTGTTCGAGGAGTGGACGGCCGGATCCGATGCCAAGACCAAAGATTTGCTATCATATCTTTCTCTGTATGCAGTCAAGACAGAAATGAACTACTGGGACTTTATTAAGGCCTGCAAATGGTCATAAAGCCCCGCGGAGCAACGTCATCTGATTCAGGAGCCGGAGCCTGGCAATTTTGCTCAATTAAACAAAATATAGAACGCAGGACATACAATTGAGTGCGAGGCCACTCTGTGGGGGGCCTTCCCCATGTTTCGGCCCTTCCCCTTCTTCTTGCCCTTACCGGGGCACCTGAGTAGGCATTAGCCATCATCTCAAGCATTACACCAAAGGAGAATAGACTTGCCTTCACCAGGTGAGTTATTGGCCTGCAAGGCCACGGCGATGTCGCCCGGGGGCGAGGGCACTGGATCCTCCCGGGACTGGCGAGAAAGGCAGGTCCCCGGGAGGTTCAACTGGGGACTTGTTAGTACCTATTTGTGATATTGTCCACAGTCATGCATGATTTACCTACCGGAACAGAAGCTTTCTCTCCCCGGGAGCCACCAGAGGGGCCGACTGGAGGGAGCAGGTCAGCTGGATGCGGGCCTTCTGTTATGTGTCAGTCTCTTTTCCAGTCATCTTAGGTAATCGCTGTTTGGGTTGATATAGTTACCTGAATTGAGGCGCTTGCTGTGAAGATATCAGCTATCTGTATGTCATCTGAGTGCGCGGAAGAATGGCCCATCTCAAATACATACCGCCCTTTCCTTTGCCGCGGGAGCTGCGGTGGGTCTTGCCCTATTATACCGTGTTAGCTTGATCTGGATTCCTGGAAATAAAAGATGTATCTTACCTTTGAGGGCGCAGGGAACAGGCTCCGCGCCGCGGCGGAGTGGTATGCGGCCATCGCCTGCAGGCGGTAGCAGTTTTCGACGTTGTGGCCCGGTGCAGGAGCTTTCTCGCCCCGGGGCTCACCAGGGGGCCGAGAGAGGAAGCGGGGGAGGCGGCGGCGGGGGTTTCTATTGCGAGTCAGTCCCTTGTCCGGCTATCTCAGACAGTCGCTGTTGGCATCCACATACCTTGGCGGGGCCGCTTGCCTGTGAAAATGTCAGCAATCGGTATATCATCTGATTGTGCGGACCGATGGCCCATCTCAACTACATACCTTTGCCCCGAGACCCGCGGTGGGTCTTCTTCCTCTATCATGACGCGTTAGCCTGATCCGAGTGTTTTTGAACAAGAGATGTATTCATCTTACCTTAGAGGAATGGGAGGGGGGCGGAGGCGGGGGCGGGGGGACACCGCTCATCGCCGCCAGGTTGATGGCGGCCAGGGCCCGCACTTGGTGGCAGGTGGCCACCGTGTGGCCGGCACGGAAACAGACGGTACAAAAAAGCTACTAAGAATCAGCGTGCTGTTCCCTCTTCTGAGCGCTCCTCCTCCCCAGGCATCCCCGGGCATCCCCAGACATCCTTCCATCTGTCTATCCCTCCACGGATGCGTTATTGATAGGGCTTGACAGGGCTAAACTTACTTGAGGGCGACGCGGGGGCTGCGGGGCAGACATTTGGTGATATGAAGAGGGAAGTCTACGATGGGGAGTTGCGCGCTGTTTGTGTTGCGGGTTCCTTCCTAGTTCTACATACCCCAGGCGCTCCTTCCTGACCGGGGAAGGAAGGCCCGTATGCAGTATCCCAAGGCTCAAATGGTCAATTACTATGCGAGCTGCCATGGGAAATGCTATGGAGGGTGTGCCAGCTATTCAGTGGGTCATTTTGATATCAGGAATTGGGGTAGGGAAATACGCAGAGAAAGCATGATGTTGAGGCTTTCAAGACTGACAAACTTACATTGCACCAAAACCGTTCACATCAATGATGACCGTCAGCAGCAAGAAATGACGAGCTCTTCAGAGGTGCAGCGGCGTCGTTGAGCGACGGTCATAATGTCATGCGTGAGCGGATGACGGAGGTGTATAGCGCCCAAGGGTGGGAAGATCTTTTGAAAGATGCCTGGGTTGAACTGCCGAAAACGATGATAGGTACCTGGATTGGTTACCATTACGCTTCCAGGGCTGCCATGGTCACTGATGTATCATTGTGCTGGGACCTCGAGGATCTTTTAGTCTGTCTTTTCTGGTGTCTTTTCTGGTGTCTTTTCTGGTGTCTTTTCTGGTGTTAACCTGCCAGTTCCTTTTTGCAATCTGTTCTCCCTGTACTAATTCTGAATTGCTTGAAAGAAAAACCGGTCAAGAGATATACTCTCAGCTTCGAAAGGTCGTTCGGTGCTGACAGAACTTGGCGGTGCCGAGGTCTTTAGGGCTATGTGAAAAACGGACATTTTGATCGTGTTCGTATGTCTCATACTATGTGGATTAGGAATGATCCGCCGGGCTGCCATTGATTGTGTTTCATCTGACTGTTCAAGTGGATTCCCAATACTTCGGCTCGGCCGGAGAAGACCGTTGCCGTGCAGATGTCAGAATCAGCCCGAGCGAATCCATTCTCCCACCGGAGTACTACTCCGTATGTACGGTGTAGTTTGAGTTGGTCAATACACTTATGGGTCTCATATCATTTCCAATGTTGTTCGCTGCAGTGGCATTAGGGGCAGGGATCTAGACCATTCTGGCGCAAGGGGTTGGCGAAAAGATCCAGAAGTTTTATGAGATGGCTACGGAGTCGATTTGGGGCAGAGCCATGCCGAGGGTGTTTAATGTGCAGTGTGTACTCCGTATATTCGGTATCAAACATAGACGAAGGACTTGGAGATGAATGTAAACATGCAAACAAGTACGGAGTAAACAGCGGGTGAGCCATGGATGCAACGCGGGACCCGAGCCGCAGTCAAGCCACTAAACTGACTCAGCCACCCAGCCACAGTGAGCCACAGCCACAAGTAGAGTAGCATTGGGTCTCACAGCCTCCTCCACACATTCCCGTCTTTTTGACACGGCACGATCCTTTCATCAGACTGAACACTGGAGTATATCACTCTATATCACTATCTCACTATATCACTACATCCTTATAGTATTCTCAGGCACCAGGCAGCCAGATTATGTGATCTCTGATCAACACGGGTTACGCAAGCAAAATGAACGGAGGATCTGGACTCGACAAAGTTTGTACCTGTCGCAAGCCGATGGGTCTACTCCACTACAATTCAGGGAAACCAAACGGCGTATGCGAGTTTGGATACAGGGCTGGTTCTAGATTTCCGGGAAATTGAATAAGGTAAAATAAGTCAATTCAGAGTAAAATGCGGGCTGAGAGAAAAAGAGTCTGGGCTTCGATTTAGGCATCTCCCTGCAATGTGCGACCCGCCCCATATGGGTATGCGGACATTATGTGGACTTGAACCCCAGATGTGGCCCCTAGACTTGTCCTTCTGCACTTCCCTTTTCCTTTTCTCTTCTTTTGTGTTTCACTCTTTCTCATCACTCGTCACTCGTTGCCTTTCAACCCTTTTTGCTGCAGGGTCCCTGCATATCGCCCTTGCTCATTCGCTATTCCACCTCCCCCGCCCAACTCGGAACATCACGGGAGTTGGAAAAACAAAGTCCAGCAACCAAAGAAGAAATCCAACGGCTTCAACGGTGGAGGAGAAGGACATTCGCATCGAACAGGGTGGATGTGTGCCTGAGGATTTCGAAGTGAACCCCTGGCAACTCTCTCGCAACCCGCGCCAAGACCAGCGCAGTCCGTGTCAGGTCTGCCTCACCTGACTTATAACCCGAAAAAGCCACCGTCAGGTGGTCAGACTATCATTGTGTCTTCTCACCGTTTCGCCGAACCGAGCTCCGTGACGGAGCCCCCCGGCATCATTGCTTCACGCGGGTCTCGAGCTTCTCTCTTAGGGGGGGTCTTTTGATCCCGCCTTTCGACGAGCAACTGGCGGTTTCCGCGCCAGGGAAGGATACGCGAACCTCACACCCCCTACCAAAAGTCCCAGGATGTATCTTCCGAATACCACCTGGACCTGGTCCTTTGCGATCGTCACACTCATTCAGACTATTGTAACACTGGGTTTGGAATCGTACGAGACCCCTCCTTACCCCGACCTCGGTGGGATCGTTCCCTGGCTAACTATGGCTGTCTAGGTATATCTTCGCGAACTTCCAGATCCAAGAACTCCCCAACGACAGTCCCGCCTCCAAAACAATCCCCACCTTCCTTGCCCTCTATGGCTTCGGTTTCCTCTACGAACTGGTGTTGGTCTACGATGCGCTGCGAATGAAGAACACAATTCAGGTCATCGGCCTGTGTATCTGCAACATCGGACTCTTGATCTACGGAGCGGTGCAGGTCAAGCAGATTCGAGAAGCTGTGACAACCTTGTACTACATGAACAAGATCAAGTTGTACGTTTGGGATCAGTCTGAGCCGTTCTTGATCATCATTCCGTGTATTGTTGGATTGGGAACACTCTTGATGACCTTCGTCGCGTGGAAGCTCTACGATGAGTTCGCGTGGACCATCTACAAGCACATCAGTGCTGATCTGCAGATGAAGCGCCGCTATCTGACTTACCAGGTTTGTGTCCTACTCCACCCTCTTCAGACTCTGTAATTAACCGGTCGGGATTCAGATCTACATCGCGCTGTTGAAATTCGATTTCTTCTTCTTTTTGGGCTTCACAGTTCAATTCCTTGTGTTGGTCTCTGCTGGAGGAACTGCCGAGTTCGCTCTCACAGTGACCGCGATTCCAGTGACCATCATCATCCTGCTCTGCGGTGCCTGGTTCGTCCGCCGCGAAACTACCGCCGGAATGATTGCCATCATTGTAAGTCGCCAATCATCCACATACCAATAGCGCTGCTAACCAGTTCTACCAGCTCCTGTTTTTCGCTGCCATGGCCTACTTCTGCTTCAAGCTGTACCGCATGTACGACCCTGAAACGATGCCCCTTTACCTCCCCGCCTTGAATCCCATGACCTTCTTCGCTGTCATTACTCTGGTCTTGATCACGGTGACCATTATCAACGCCTGCCTGTGCGTCCACAATTTCCACCGCGGCCTCAAGCCCCACATCAACAAGAAGAAGAACAAGGACGAGGAAAAGACCACCGAGTTGAATTCCAACCTCACCCAAGTTCCCTCACGGATGATGATCGACTGATCCAATCCAACGGGTCATGTTTCCAATATTGTTTTCTTAGGGCGTTGGTCTGGAGCGTCTTTTCCTTCCCATGTGTGAGCTTTGCGTGTGTACGCACGTCGAGCTTCGCCTTCTTTTTTGCTTCTGGCTTTCTATTCCCGGGCTTCCTGGGCTCGGTTTGATACCTCATCTGCGTCACCGCGTTCGACCTCCGTCCCCATCTGGCTGCGAGCTATAAAAATTTCTTGTGATTCTACTTTCCCTATTTTTTTCCTCTTGTCTGTTCATACCCCATACTCATACCCCTCCCCCCATGAGGACACCGACGGCGTTACCAGGATGATATGATTTCCCGGAGGTGTTCTCCATGTCTTACGACAGTCTGAATGCATTTCTTTGCAAATGAATGTGAGCCAGTCATTCTCATGATCGCTGGACATCTCGATGGCTCTATATCGCAGGCATCATATCTATGCCTGTATTTAAATAATAAATTCTTTATTTTTGGAAATTGCTCGCGTGTGTGTACTTGGAGGTGATCTGCTCCCCGTGGGTTTGAAGGTTCAAGGCCATAGCTCAAAGCTGTCAGCTTCCGCTTCTCCAGGAGGGCTGGCACTTGTAGAATCAAGGATAAATGGCAGCCCTCACTCAGCGGATACAATTCAATTGCCACTCGTCAGAGACTGAGGGATATTAACTAAAAGCGCCAAGTACAGCGACTAGTGTCCAAATGTTCAATGAGCAGTATGCACCGAGTCATCTGATTGGTGGGTCTTTTGTACCACCCATACCTCCATGTCGTTAATTACACACCACCAGCGCCAATAATACCCATTATGACAAGTCCAATACGGTATCAACCAAGAAACCGCGATCGTGGCCTCATCTCCGCAAACCCTCCCTTTTCGTTCAGACCCTCCAAGCTCATTCCCTTTCTTTCTTCTGGTCTCCAATTCCACCTTTCTTCTAATCAATTGACATCCTCTCCCTCAGTCTCTATCCCTAATCACAATGGTAAGTCCCTCCAATGCCACATTCGAAACCCATCAGCGATCCGTCGATCAAGCCAGCTCGCCCCCATCATTCACCATCTCAGCATCCCAGCAACACACAGCTAACAATGCATCAGGCTTCCCCTCGTCCTGCATCCCCCTTGACCTCAGGCGCCGAGTCTGGCGCTGAGAAGTCCGGCGCCGGCGCCGCTGCCACCGGTTCCTCCATCAGCCGTCCCTCCTCTCCCTCCACCCCCGGCGGTCCTCGCGCTGCCATGCGTCGCCGTGCCGCCGCAGACCACAAGGAGACTCTGCGCAACGCTCGCCCCAGCTCCACCCGCTCTGCCGGCGCCGGTGGCTCCTCCGGTACCATGCTCAAGCTCTACACTGACGAGAGCCCCGGTCTCCGCGTCGACCCCGTTGTTGTCCTTGTCCTGAGTCTGGGCTTCATTTTCTCCGTCGTTGGCCTCCACGGTAAGTTCATGATTCGTACAACAGTCTATCAATCGGCAATGCTAACATCCCTCTCCAGTCATCGCCAAGATCACCCGCAAGTTCTCCGCTTAGATTTGAACCCATCTTCAATTCGCGCATCGATGAGCACAATTGATGAATAGCTTCCATCCGCTACATCTGATCGCACATTCCACTCCCAAGCCCGACCTCAACCTCGACCTCGACCTCACCCACCCCTTCTGCTCCTATACCCCGTGACCTCTCGACCATTCCGTTAATGGCACCGGAATTCAACCATCCATACCGAAACAACTGGCGTGATTCTGTTTCTTCTTTTTGATGTGTGGTGTTTTTTTTTTCTTTTCTTGCGTTGCAAAAGAGTTCCTGCGACCTATCTGCTGAATGGGTCCGTCTCGGTAGAATGTCCCGTTTGTGCTCCTTGGCCTTGTTTTTGGGTACATTTATATACTCCTCTTCCCTGGCGACTGTGTGCGCTGGAATGAGATGTAGTGTACGCTGCTGGGGCCGCTGCATGGCGTGTTCTGTTTTTCTGGACATTTGTCTGTACAATACAATGACTTGATTGAATCTTTTGACGGTGCAGTTCGAAGTCTGTGTAGGCACTGGGTATTTCGTAGATTTTCTAATGTATACGATGCAGCATTACTTCTCACGTTCTTTGCGAGGAGCTCTGAAGCCCTGGGTCAAAGAGCCCTGGAGCCCTGGAGATGGACAACGCTTAGTCACCTCGACCAGTCCCCGGTGCCCGGGGCGTGGGATCGGACTAGACCTCTGACATCTGACCCTGATCTGGAGTGTGGAATACTCCCGCATACCTGAGGCTCGACGCTGCTCAAATGGTGCGAGTTTCACGCTGTCTGCTAAGCTCGAGCCATGGGACTTGCGTCAGATGCAATCGACGAATCCAACAACGTGAGTCTTCGAGGCCCCGGACAGGTGGACGGAGCAGTGGCAGTCTACCAATTCTGACGGCATGCCCAGCAGGACACCATGGGCTAGCGTCTTTCAGTCCGTCAAAGATGCCTATCACTCGGGCACACCTGGAAGGCAGCCTCACCAAGCGTGCTATGATACCTAGTCAGGACAAACCTCACTCGTCACTACGACCAGGGCCTGGACTTCAGCACAAGACTTCTGAGGTCAACAATCTCGGGGAGCTACATGGGCCAATGGCCTACGGCCTACGGCCTACGTATGACTAAGTCACAGTTACATTTGTGCTCTTCAATTGTTATGCTAGAAGAGACCAAGGCTAACTAGAGGTATGTATAAGCATGATAAGCAATGTGCATTCACAGATGATCCATCCATGTCTCTCGTCCAAGCTCTAAAGCAAAGCCTCTCATGAGCCGAAGGCACCTGTGGTTAGTATCAGAGTAAGCTTGGGTAGTCGGGGACTCACAAAGGACTTCAAGAAAAAAAAAAAAAAAGAACCAAAAAAAAGCGGCCTGGGCGAACCCAGACCGCTGACCCATGGATACCGAAGCAGAGCCAAGGGAATTGTGGTTCCAAAAATTAAAAAGAAACGACGACCTAGACCGAAGTCCAGAGAAGCTGAATAGGGAGATAGAGTCCACTGGGATACCGAAGCAGAGCCAGGAGATTCAAAGTCCCAAGAAACGAATTCAGTCAAAGACCAAAGACGTTAAAGCCCCCAGATACCCACGTATCCCCGGATACCGAAGCAGAGCCGAAGGAAGAGAGAAACAAAAAATTAGACGCATGACAGACCTGGTTTGCCAGGTCTGAAGACGTCCGAGGAGGCCAAAGTGCTTTCGGGTAGGTTTGGGTCCTCGGGGGGAGTGTGGGGAGTTGTTAACTTAAAAAGCAAGAGTAAAACCAAGCAGAAGAGATAGATGTGGCCCTTGGCCCGCTCTGAAACGAGGTTTCAGCGCGTTGAAGAAGAAAGAAGAAGAGAGGAAGAGGAGGGGAAAGGTGAGCCTTTTTATAGTCAGGCCCCCTTCCCGTTTGGGACAACTTGATATTGGAGCTTTTTTGAATCCCGCACTCTCATTGGCTCTCTGGCAGCTTTAGCCTCGTTCTTTCTTTCTATTGTTCTTCCCTATATGCGCTCCCCCATTGGTCCTCTCTTTCGACACTAGGCATTGTCCCTTCCATGGTTCTTCTCTGGGGTTTCCATGCTAGTCAGGCTCCATCAGTTCCCCGCGTTGGTCTACTTTATGGATGGGGAACTCATGGAGCTCATGGAGCTCACCCACTGGCATGTACGGTGACCTATCAGTCTCAAAACAGCAATTAGCAAGCCGGGAATCCATGCTTCACAGTCATTCATTCGATACGAGTAGAAGATTTCACATGACAGCTCGTAGAAGCAACTTCGAAAGTCAGTCATTAGGAAAATGATCATCAGTAGTAGCATTGTCTTGCACTTTGTCTTAGTCTACAATTTGTCCGATGGCATCAACACCGCTGTCTAACCATCTGCACGGAGGCTGTTACGCGCAGCAGAACCTCAACCGCGTCACCGTCGTGGCATCCAATCGACGACCAACACTTCGATCCACCTGCGCGATCTGTCTTGCACTCAAACCTGGGCGAGACTCCGAGTATATATTTCGAGCCAGATTTGCGAGTTCAAGCCACCATGATGGCTAGTGAGCGACACACGCATACAACTCGCAATCACCGATCCCGTCCGCCACTTCCATGCAAATCGGTCGAGGCCTGCAGGGTCTGGGAAGAGGCACAAATACCCGACCAAAGCGAAGGAGGGCACTCGAGGATTTACAAGAGAGCGTGAGCAAGGAACAAGACAGCGGCCCGGGCGAACCCAGATCACGCAGATATGGATGCAGGACGAAGGGACTGTGTGATTTCAAAGATTCACGTCCTTGCTTTGAACATCGCGTGGCTACAGGGCGTGTCTGGCCTTGCGGAATGAAGTCGATGGCGCTAAGAAGGGAAGAATTGGAATTGGGTGACTTTGTCAACAGACTCAATTTGGAAGTGCACTCGCGGCCATATTTCCCTCGCGAGACTCTCATATTTCCGTCATTCGGTCTCAACCACTTCTTGTCTATCTCGTCTACTTCTTGTCCCGTTGAAGTCGTCCGATTCAGTGACTTATCCAGCATTTGATCCTATACTCCCGCGGTTCGAGTCACACCGAGTTCAGACCCCTGATTGTGGGTCCCTTCTGTGCAGCACTCGGCATTGTGTATCAAACATTGACACAAGCTTATGACAAGACTAGGTTCGAGTTCGGTTCGACAGGCCCTGGGCAATCTCACCATGTGGAGATAGAGAGTCCGTAATGCGATCGAGTAAGAAGTGAGAAGCCGACATACTCCGACGTCCCCCAGATGCCAAGAAGTGGGCCGAGAACTCTTATCTCTCGAAGCTTTTCTGCCAATCATGTCCGACCCAGACCAGCCCTAATCCCGGACTGATAACAGCCTCAACGTCCAATGAACAGCCACGATATACGATTCTTAGCGGGATGGTTGGATTTGACTACAAACGGGTCTATGCATTGATGACACAGTGGACCTCAATCGGCATTACGCTTATCTGTCAAGCGGGTCTCAATCCCTATCTAAGCTCACATTCCTTCATGTGCGAATTCGGAGATGTGCGTCGACAGCTTGCTATATATCGCAATGTGCTCCCCGCGAAGGGACATTGGCAAATCAATTGAATACTCGTTCGAGCATTTTTCATAGTGATCACAGGCCAAACGTGAGCTGTGCACAACATTGATCACCAAGGACATTACTCTGTTCTGTTTCTCATTCCTGCCGTCGACTCTCATCTCCAGAACCCTCTTCAGCTGGTTCCAAGGCCACTGACGCCAGGGCAAGTCACTATGGCGGACACAGCGACGTTCACGGCGCCTCTACCCCAGAGCTTCGGATATGGAATTATCGTTGGTCTGGGTTTTGCATTTGCATTGCTGATGATCTTCATTACTTGGGCTTTAAAGCGGTATGCTCTTATACTTCTTCATTCCAGTCGATACAACTGTGCTAATACTACATTCCAATAAAGGTACCAGAATGAAGTTCAAACGTCCGAAATGTTCTCGACTGCAGGCCGGTCCGTCAAGTCAGGATTGGTGGCCGCTGCGGTTGTGAGTAGCTGGACCTGGGCTGCAACACTTCTCCAGTCCACTGCCGTGGCATACAAATACGGAGTCTCGGGTCCTTTCTTCTATGCTTCAGGTCAGTAATTCTACTACTGTTGCCATAGGAAACTAGCTAACAGTTTATCGACAGGCGCCTGTGTGCAAATTATTCTATTCGCAACATTGGCTATTGAGCTGAAGCGTCGGGCACCCAATGCACACACTTTCCTAGAAGTCATCCGCGCCCGCTACGGAACGGTGGTTCACATTGTATTCATCGTCTTCTGCCTGATGACGAACATCCTAGTCACTGCTATGCTGCTCACCGGTGGATCCGCTGTGATGACCTCTTTGACGGGAGTGCCTACTGCCGCTGCCTGCTTTTTGCTTCCCATTGGTGTGGTACTCTACACCCTCTTCGGTGGTATCAAGGCAACCTTTATTACCGATTATATGCACACCGTTGTTATTCTCGTCGTGATCTTCCTCTTTGCCTTCTCCGCTTACGCCACTAACGCCGAGTTGGGGTCCCCATCGAAGGTATACGAGGCCCTGGTTGCGGCTTCCCAGCGCCACCCCGTTGAGGGCAACGCAGAAGGCAGCTATCTTACCATGCGATCGAAGGAGGGTGGTATCTTCTGGATTATCAACCTGATTGGAAACTTCGGCACTGTGTTCCTCGACAACGGCTACTACAACAAGGCCATTGCTGCAAGCCCTGTACACGCCTTCCCCGGTTACGTGATTGGTGGACTCTGCTGGTTCGCGATTCCCTGGTTGTGCGCTACAACAATGGGTCTTTCGGCGCTAGCACTGGAAGGCACTCAGCGAATGAGTTCCGAGGACGTCACAGCTGGTCTCGTGCTTCCTTTTGCGGCCGTGAAACTTCTCGGTTATAGCGGTGCCGTCGCAACAACGCTTATGATCTTCATGGCCGTGACCTCTGCCTTCTCGGCTCAATTGATTGCCGTGTCTTCAATCTTCACCTACGATATCTATGGAGCATACATTAACCCCAAAGCCAAGGGCAAGCGACTTGTCTGGGTCTCTCACATGTCCTGCATTGTCTACTCAATTATCATGGCAGGCTTTGCAACGGGTCTTTACTACGCCGGAATTGGTATGGGATACTTGTATCTTCTAATGGGCGTCATCATCTCTTCCGCCGTCTTCCCAGGCGCAATGACCCTCCTCTGGAAAGGCCAAAACCACATCGCAGCAGCCGTCTCACCACCCCTCGGTCTAGCAGTCTCTCTCATCGCTTGGCTCGTGACAACAAAGAAACAATACGGCATTCTCACCGTTGATACCACAGGCGCCAATTACCCCATGTTAGCCGGCAACGTCGCAGCACTTCTCAGCCCCGTGGTCTTCGTGCCCATCTTCACCTACGCCTTCGGTCCCCAAAACTACAACTACGAGTCCATGCGCGCAATTCGCAAGGTCGATGATACAGAAGTGGCAGCCGACGCACACGTCGACATTGAGCTCGTGCCCGGCGAAGCAGGCAACAACCAAGAGGCGGACGAGGAGGAAACCCGCCAGCTCAATCGCTCTGCGCTCTACGCCCGTACCCTGACGATATTCATGGCGTTCTCGTTCTTGATCCTCTGGCCGATCCCGATGTACGGTACATCGTACGTCTTCAGCCAGAAGTTCTTTACGGGTTGGGTCGTCGTTGGTATTCTGTGGCTGTTCATTACCACTTTCGGAGTTGTCGTGTTCCCGCTTTATGAGGGGCGAGCGAGCATTATTCGTGTTGCGCGGATGATGTCACTTGATCTTGTTGGGCGGAAGCCGAAGGTCTATCGTGGCACGAAAGAGGTTGGTGATTCGGCTACCCCTTCGGGGGTTGCGACACCGATGGAAGTTGAAAAGGAAAAGAAGACTTTGGAAAGAGAAGTTTAGCGTTACATGGTTGTGGCCATGTCTTTGTTGATTTTTGTTTTAAATATTGTTCATACCCCATCTGTTTAAGTTCCAAGTTCTTGAATGCATACACGACACTTCATTTAACCTCCCTCTTTTTGGTAAATTTACAAAATTTGAATCACAGATGAAGAGTACTGTAAAGAGTAAGGTCTGTCACCAGGGTATCCTTGAGACCAAAAAAGTCAAAGGCACCTGGACACCTGGGCAGACAAGAAAGTTCTAGTTTGTAAACTCCAGCCCAGACTCCTCTCTGACAGCGCCATAGATGCCAGCGAGATCTCCTTTCTCGCCCATCCGATCTTTCACCTGAGCCAAATAATGATCGGCAAGCTCCACACCCTTCATTGTAGCACCAGAGGTTCTGGCCATGTCCAAGGCGTGACGAGCATCCTTACGGACCAAGTCAACCGAAAAGAGAGGCTCGGGTCTCTTATGGTAGTCACCACTGCGCATCCTATTCGAATAGGCCACGTAAGGGCCTGAGAACACAGCCTCGAAGAATTGATGCATAGCATCAGTTCCCAGGCCAGATTTCTCAGCAACTACCAGTCCCTCTGCGATTGTCTCTACCATGCTGATGACAAAGGTGTTACCCATAACCTTCAACTGGGATGCCTTGGCAGGGATTTGGCCGCTGAAATCCAGGAATGACTTGGCGATGACACCAGTGGTGTAAGGCACAACCTGTTGAACGGCTTCATTGGGACCTGCCAGGACGCAAATGACCTGTCCAGCTTCTGCCATGGCGGGAGCACCGAAAACAGGGCTAGCGACGAAGCGGCCACCGAATTCTTGGATCTTGCTAGCGATGGTCGCGGTGGTGTCGGGGTGTACAGTCGACAGGTCGACAAAGAGCTTTCCTTTGATATCTCCACTGTTTGTTCCAGAACTTATGATTTCGAGGATAGCAGCATCGTCGCTGACGCAAGTGAAAATGATATCAGCTTTAGAGATAGCCTCCTTGATAGATGTTGCAACAATGGTGTTCGCATGTTGAGACGCAAAATCATGCGCACGCTTGGCATTTCTGTTGAATATTATCAAAGAGGAGGTGAGGGGGCCTTTTGCTGCAAGGTTCTTGGCCATGCCCTACAAACAACATGTTAGACTTGAGCAGGACGAAACATCAAACAACAACGCTGTGTCAGATACTTACTCGGCCCATGTTGCCAAGGCCAATCCAAGCAATCTGCGCAGCCATTGTGATAGCTTGTAGTGGTTTATGGATTTTGAAAAGTTGCACAAGAGTGAATGTTTTTCGATTTGAGTGCAGGGATCTAGGACGGATTGAAGCCGAATTTAACTAAACAGAATCAGAAATTCTGGAAAGAACATCGGCGAAATTCTGTCATGATAGTGTAATCAAACTTCTACACATGGACATCGTTCGAATTGTCCGAACATTCGTAAGCATGGAATATTTTGAGGTCGAAGAAGTGCCGACTCATTTTAGGTTAAGGTGATCCGCGCCTTCCAAGGTTATTATCAACGCACTTCCGTTTTGGGTTTAGTCTCCGCCTTGATGACCACGAGCTACCGAAAAGGGTAATAATGCCTCGGTTTTGCATTACTGTTTCTTGCATTACAGTATAATCTGGTATTTGAAGGTTTTTTTTTCACGTCGATTCTCCTGGTTCCACTCGCAATCCGTGTTGTTGGTGGCTTTGTCATTCCTGGATCGGTCCACATGTCCTTGATCGGACTGGATTCAGGTGTCCCCCTCTCTTGGGAATATAGGTAGAGTGGGTAAGGCGAACTCCGACTGAAAATTTGGAGCTTTGAAGGATATCACTACATGTATTGCAAGAAGGAATATATAGAGCAGTCCGGGCTTGTTCAATAAACAGAAGTTGCTAACCTTATTTGAAACTCATGCACCCTGCGATTGTGCGTATGTCTCAGAGCAACACCATTTAGGACTAAGGAGTCTGCGCGATATTGTACACTAACTTTTCTCCGCAAACACGATCCTCCCTCAGCAGCTGAAGACCATTCAAGACTCCCTTCAGTCCACCGGAGCACACCTTAGGCTTGTGCACCTTCACCTTGCCATCTGCAAGGAGTCGCTCGGCAATACCCATGAAGTCCGAAGCAAATTCTTTGTCCTCAGGCTTGGCAGCCATGGGAGTTTTCCCAGAGGTAAAGTCTTCTCCAATAGCTGTGTATGCAAGTGTCCATCGATCGTTCACATTCTCACGCTCGATACCAACATCCAAAAGAGCACTGTATTCACCACCTTGTGTTGAAATCGCCATGTCGCAGAATTGAGCGCTAGACTCAATGGAGATAGTATCCAGAACAAGTCTGAGGTTGTCTTGGGTGTACTTGCGGATCTCAGAAGCAGAGTTGGGATCTTTGTAATCGAAAACAATGTCGGCACCGAGGTCTTTCACAAAATCGAAATTGTGAGGAGAGCAAGTAGTGATCACAGTGTAGCCGGACAACTTCGCAAATTGAATCGCAAGCGAACCGGTAGCAGTCGAGCCACCATATATCAAAATCGGAGTAGAATTTTGGATAGGGTCCGAAGGAAGTGGAAGTTTCAAACTTTGGTAGAGAGCTTGACCAACAGTGATTATTCCAACACCAAGAGTCGAGCCTTCCTCAAAGCTCAGATTATCCGGTATGCGCATCTGAATGTCCCCCTTGGCCACAATATACTCTGCAAATGTACCATCCTCGGGCTGCACAGCGTTGGCCCCATGGACGAACCCGCACACCCGATCACCCTTCTTGAAGAGCTTTTTCACGTGAACCCCAACATCATCAACGATGCCGGCATAATTACATCCAACAAGGACACCGACAGGAGCAAGGAAAGCAATATGCTTCCAGTCGGTGGGATTCAAAGCAACGCTGACATTTCTGACCAGAAGATAGTCATCTCTGAGGACAGGAATGGGCCTATCAGTCACAAGGCTCTCCTGCTTGGGGGAAGTCACAATGATCGCTTTTTGTGTGCTCATGTTGAAAGGTAAATGTTTGAGTAAGAAGACAAATAGACAAATGAAGAAGACAAGAAAGAAGACTTCAAAGTTGAAAGTTTTCGATCGAAAAAGAGAAACCTGGATCCAAGTCGATATTTGATTCTGATGATAAATCAGACCTAGAGGACAAACAAGCACAATTGATTCTCAAGAGCGACGTTACAATGTTTGAAACTTACTGTTTCAATACGGAGCTCGAGAGACCAATTGCTATTTCGTGTGGAGTTCAGCCATCAACAGGAGGCGGAAACTAAACCATTCAAAGAACCTTCTTCCAAATATCCGAAATCTCGCTCGACGTTCCTTGTCTATAAAAAGTTCAACTCGGGAGAATAAACGTAAGAAGTTCTTTTGTTTTTTTGGGGGGGGATCCAAAACGGGGGAGACGCATGCATTACCGGTGTTAATTTCCAAACCACCCTTCAGGTCGGTGACTCAAGTTCTATAGCATTGATTAGAGTCAAATTACCAGTAACTCTGAGACCAAAAAACTGGGTTCAGAGAAGATATGATTGAGCTCGATCGGCGGAATGGTCATCTCCTAGGACAAGTACGGAGTACACAGCAATTTTTTCAACGCTGCTCATATTGAAATACTGATTTCAAGTTCTTACAAGGTTGTGGCATAATGTTTTATTCGTCAATTTGAAAAAAAGTAGGCAATTTAGGCTTCTGGAAAACTTGGGCTGGGATCGATGATCGCTTTCCCAAAGTGCCTAGTTGGGGTCTTCTGTGCGAACATATCATCAAGCTCGCCAAAAGTTCGATTTCTCAGCTCGGGAACCTCAAGCCAAGCCCAAAGAAGACTCAGAAATGAGAGGGCCATCCATACGAATGCAGCTTTTCCTCCGAGGTTGGCTAAGACCTATAGTATTAGACTCCAATTCTCAGATTAAATTCCAGTAGGAGAGACTAACCTTGATCGGTGTTGATGAGATATGGTGCGATAAAATTCATCGCCCAGCTAACCAATGCATTTGTCACAATTGCTAGGCTTTGCGTCTTTGCTCGAGCTTTAACAGAGCTTACTTCAGCGCTGATTGTCCAACTGACGGCTCCCACCGTGGGGGAGTAGAACAGCTGAGCAAAGTTCATCACATAGCCAATGTAGTACATTGCTGCCGTGGTGGTGAAACATCCTGCTATACCAACAGACATCAGGCAAAAAGCATTTAGAACTATACCAGTCAACAGGAGTGTGCGGCGACCTGTTGGAAAAAAAAAAGCGCATGTCAGATTCAAAAAATCGAGCGAAATCGATAGAATGATTGAGACTTGCCAATGTAGTTCATAACAAACCACGACCCAATGTTTCCAAGCATGGCGACGCCAAATCCTCCCAGAGCCAGCTGAAAAGTAAGCGCAGTGGGTAGACCAATAATTCCCAGGAAATACAATGCCTGGGAATAAAATGCGATACCGGTGAACTGCTGCACAGCAAACATTCCACATGAAATGCGCGTTCTGCGCCAATTTGTACCTCGGAAGCAATCCCGGTACGAAGTATCCTTTTGAATGTTTGCAAGAGATGCTTCGGCGGCAATAGATGTTTGAATATCTTCTAGAATCAGATCCGTATTAGTTGATTTTGAGTGAAGCCTCTGCAAACTCTTTTTGCCTGCTCGATATGGCCTTTGCGACAGAGATACCAAGGGCTCTCTGGCATGAAGAAAGAGAACAAGCCAATGAAGCATGGAAATGCCCACTGAGCGGCAAAGATCACTTTATATGACGCTGGTGACAATATGGAAAAGCGTGTGTTGCCAATGCCAATGGCAGTGAGTTGGCCAGCGTTGATGAATAAGTTGACGGCGGCTGTCAGGGAGGGACGCAGGGCAGTGGGTGCAATCTCAGAAGCATATATGGCTCCTAAGCTTAGGAAAAATCCTAGAGACAAACCGTTTATCTGGTGATAGACTGTGAGCTTTGTGAAAAGTGAAAGGCATGATAGATTCTGACGTACAATCTTGCCAGCAAGGAGCAAACCCGGCTCGTTGGCAGCATATTCGAGTCCGACCCCGAGTATAGATATTGCAGATCCTATTGCAAACCCAGCTCTCCGACCGCCTCGATCTGAAATCCAGCCAGATGCGATACTTCCTGCAGTCGATCGTCTTAGATCACTGGCACAGTATCCGAGATTATGATTTACTCACCTATCAACATTCCAAGCGAGGTCATGGCCGTCCAAAGGGCATTCCAAGTAGCTGAGATCAAAAGCTGGTCCCCGTATTCGTAGCCGAACACCATTTTGAATCCTGGCAATGCAACAGTAATGGAGTTGACTCCTAAATCGGTATATAGGTTAGATCGACAACAGGATTTCTCGATGTGCACCGAAGGACAAGTACCAATATCGAACCCCCAGAGCATCGAGCTTATACAAGCAGTCACGCTGTACATAATAACTTTGGGGTTCTCCTTCGCCGAACTCCACGCACCCTCCTTGGCCTTGGCACTTCGTGGAGGATGCGGAACTGTCTCAAGCATCTCCGAAGAAGCTTCCTTTGCCCCCTCTTCAAGTGTATATGAGTTAACGGACGGACTGCGCTTTGAAGAGGCCATTGTGAGTGATCTTGAAAGAACAAGAGCAATATGCCTAGGGAAGATGGTCAGGAGGCGGTTTGCTTCCTGGTCCTGGAAATTGGATCAGGAAAGTATAGAAGAGTTTTCAATGACATGAATCGTCAATGCAGGCCGCACATATATGTGAACACAGCAAGCCTCTATCATTATCAGAAGGCAAGGATGTGGAGAAACTGGGGAACTCGGAGAAGCCGAGTTCCCGGGGTATTTGTTAGACACGCCACGAAAACATCAGAGGTCATTTGGAAGGTGGAGGTGGAGGTGGAGTGCCCACGTGTACCTCAATTGACAGTGACGAATTCCTTTTACCTTCCAATGCCACTCTGCTCCGATCTCTTTGTAGTAAATTTGGATTCTAAATCAGTTTAAAGAAAATTATCGATCAGGGCACAATTGAAAACCCTGGACTCTTTTTCGATTTCGTTGTTTTTTCCCTCTTCAATTTTCCCTGATATTTCATGAGCCTGAGTGCCGCGCTCACGCGCGGCCAAAAAGACGATCGAAAAGAGCTATCACCACCTTCAGGACCTCTTTTTAACTGTCTTTTTAACTGTCTTTTTGGCTGTCTCTCCAACTAATCATCGAGTAATTGTGATTAGTCAAGTAAAGGAAGTCTTGGCTAAACCGTGCTCACTGAATTAATTATTGTTGATTTCCTTGTTTCTCGTATGGCCCATACAAAACTTGAAGGACAAGGAGTGGAAGTTTTGACAGCTTTGAGCAGATCGGTTTGTTTCAAAAGGGTTGAAGAATATCAAACGACATGAACAGATAGATAATGTGTAAGAAGATTATAGCCCATTCCAAGTCCCCATGTCATCAATGTGCAGCTTGTCTGCACAGGCCCCAATTGTAATTTGATAAATACCGTTCAGCGATCGCCAGCATCCGCCCACACTATCCCAATAACCACTGATATCTCGCTGGGGTATAGTGAGACCAATACGTCTGGTTTCATGTGGTTCAAGCCAGACTTTTGTGAATGAGATCAGCTCGGAACGCGGTTTCCAGATCATACAGTCCACCGGGGGTTGCTGTAGACTTGCACAACCTCGTAGCCTGCAACTTCGCTGAGATTCTGGACATCAACAGCGATCGTAACGGTCACTTTGGAAGTCTCGTTGGAGGCCTTTTCGCCAATGGTTTCGTGGGAAATCACTTTCAAGTTGTTGTACTCAAACGACGAGTAAGATAAGCCATGTCCAAAAGGCCACCGTACACACGCTGCTGTCTTGGGAGATCTATAGCCCATTTGCAGACCCTCGCGATACCGGATCGTCGGGCCGTCGCCAATATCCTGTGCAGGGAAGTTTCCGAACGATGGAACGGAAGCTTCATCTAGACGCATGGGCCATGTAGTAGCCAATCTACCACTTGGGTTTGTCTTCCCAGTGATGATGTCCACAACGGCCTGCGCACCTTCTTGTCCCGGGAAGTGAGCTGCAATGACCGCGTCAACATCGTCCACAAAGTCCGACACGTTAATGGGATTGCCGCAATGCAAGACAAGAACCGTTTTCTCAGACACGCTGGCGACGGCTTTGATCATGCGGACTTGGCTTTCGGGGAGTTTCAAGCTTTTCAAGTCAAACCCTTCAGACTCATGCTCGTGTGTCCGACCGGCAATTATGACACTGACATCTGAGTGGGCTGCAACAGCGGTTGCCCCGGCAATCGCGGCACGATCATTACACTCTTCCTCGAAGCACAACTTTGCAGAATGAGGCGAAATCTCCCCATGTGCCGATGCAATATCGCGTGAATGAGTTCTTAAAGTGATTCTGTACGGTCGATGTGCCTCCATGTGAAAGTTGACTACGGTTTCTAATTTCTTGGGCTCGAATAAGAAATCTTCAACCGTCATGACTGGGGCAGGCTTTTGGAGTATCTTTAGAAAATTTCGTTAGTTATCCAAAATACGTCAAAAGTATTGGTATGTTCGAAAAAGAATGAGGCTTACCTCGAGGTCATCCACACATAACGTGAACTCGCCTGTGGCTTGCACGGCCAACTTGTGATTTCCACTGGTGTTCACTGTCACTGTGGTCTCAATGACGAAGTAGAATCCATTTTGGGTCAAATTTGGCTTCAGTCGACCAAGCATCACCACTAGCGGCTGTTCGGATTGCTCGGAATACACAGGCTTATCAGTTCCATCAAGGTAATAGTCAATATTCACACCAGGAAGATTGTCTCGTGCTCGCATCATCTCAATCGGCATTAGAGGAACGGCATAGTGAGGATTGACTCCGTATGCGAAAGAAACCTGCTCAGGACTTGCACAGGCATCTCGAAAGCATTGAAGAGGGGTGTGTACGTATTGAGGTTTGGCACACGCACTGCCTCCGCCGGTGATTGATGGCTTGATGGCGGCTGCACCGATGAGCGCGATCTTGGGGTTTTCTGTCATTTTCAAAGGAAGAACGTTCTGATCGTTCTTCAAGAGGACAATGCCTTCAGATGCGGCTTTCAGTGCCATGGCACTGGTGCGATCACAAACAAGGGACTTTTCTTCCTTTTCGCTATGGCTTCCAACGGTGCGATCAATCATTCTCAAAACATTCTGCACCGCCGCGTCGACGGATGACTCTGGTATCTCTTGACGGTTGATCGCATCCACTAGCTTCGCACCTCGAAAGACAGATGGCCCTGGCATCTCCAAGTCGAGACCAGATACCAAGGCTTCAGTTGTACTTTTGGTACCATACCAATCTGACATGATGCAGCCGTCATAGTTCCAGTCTTGCCGAAGCAAGCTGTTAATGAGCGGAGTCTGGCTGCAGTAATGGCCGTCAAGGGCATTGTACCTGATTAACCAATTGTCAGACGATTTCCCAATGAATTGCATGATGTTGGACTATACTCACGCTGTCATAATGCCAACTGGATTGGCGTGGCGGAGTAAATGTTGAAAAGTTCGCAAATAAATTTCACGCATTGTCCTGCTGTGTCCCGATTCGTCGACGTTATAGCGCCTGCGTACAGTTTCACTCTCATTTGCAATGAAGTGCTTCACACAAGCACCCACGCCCTGTGACTGAATCCCGTTGACAATAGCCGCAGCTAAATAACCGGTGAGTAGAGGGTCCTCACTAAAAGCTTCGAAGTTGCGACCGGCTCGTGGGTCTCGATGGAGATTAATGTTGGGGCCCAGAACAATTTGAACTGATTTTTGTTTCGCTTGAAAAGCAACTTCTTCGCCAAATTCTCGCATCAAAATTATGTTCCATGTTGAAGCAAGACAGGTGGAGCTTGGAAAACAGGCAGTCCCGGTATCATCCAGATGCGATTGTGAGCCACGAACACCGTTTATTGAATCGCTGACCTGTCAAGAAGGAATGGGTTAGAGCTACTCGTCTCTCTAGAAAGAAACTTTGCTTACTTTCAATGACGGGATACCGAGTCGTTTCACGCCTGCGGTGCTGGTAAAGCTAACACCCGAGAGAAGGGAAATCTTTTCTGCTAGAGACAGAAGACGAAACCGATCCTCATAGCTCAGCTCCGTATCCAAATCAATAGTCGTCGACACGAAGGGTTTGATCTTAGTCATCGCGAATGTTATCATGAATTTCTAGCAAACAGGTATTCGAACAGAGGCCTTGGATGGTCCATAATATAGATCACCGAGGTCATGGGACCTGCGCATAAACCAGATAATATGTGGGCCATTGTGGATATTAAGATAGCAGCAAATTGACTGTGAGGTGGAGGTAGCTTGTCTGGTTGAGGCTCGAGTTGGAAGTGCTGCGTGGAGTGTCCCCCTTTTCTTCTAACCTCGGCTCTGATCACGTGTCATCCACTCCACGTATCACTCCACTTACACCGTCCAACCTCCACTTCTCCATCACCTTCCAAATTGAACAATACGTGATCCACTCGTCGGTCCGACATGGAGACACGCGCAGCTAGTCCTGCACATCAATGCACGCGATGTGCCAAGTCTTATTCTCGCCGGGAGAATCTTGTCAGACACATTCGATCAGCCCGTGAGACACCCGGCCTACGCAACACGACTATCTTCAAGCACCCTAACTTGTTATACTAGATGAGAAAAACAACACGCCATACGCTTGTTCATTCTGCTCTAGTCAGTTTACAAGAAGGTAAGGCTGATGGAACCGGGCACGTCTTTGGCCCAAACGCTTAAACCCGACACATTAGCGACCTTCTATCTAGACACCAGAAGATACACCAACGTACTCACAGTACTCGTCGAGGCGGCTCAGATGAGGGCTTGAATGATGTTGACACATCCCAGTATGTCTCGAAGTCTCAGTCAAACACCAAACGCCCTCGACACAGTGCAAACGAGAACGTTGTGCTAGCGAGCACGACAGGAATGGCCGATACCACGATAGATCCCCCTCACCAACCGAGCAATATTTAGACCGTCACTCCAATATCGATACAGACCTACCGCTCCCAGAATCACATGAGCATCAGCTTCGCTCGACTGATCACATCGACGTAGCAGATTGGGGCTTCCAGTGGCCGTTCTATGGTGAAGGTCTGCAGGATACAAATCTTGACTGGACTCTAGACTTCTTGTCGACCGGTATATCAACGCATAGTCCTTTGGATGCCGTTCATAATGGGGAAGGAATGATGCATTCGATACAGATGAATCATTCAGGTCCCGGCCAAATTCCCCATGATGGTCTATATCACGCTAGGGATGATAACGTGCAAGATGAGTCTCAAACAAGGCAGGAAGATGAGGCACCGCTGGGCGATCATGGAAATCAAAGTCTCGCATGCAGAGCATCAAATTCCAAATCGTTCGTTGATGCCCATGAAGCAGAAATGCTCCGCATGAAGAGCCAGATATCCGAGACAACCTACAAAACCATGATAGAGACCGTGACTGCACCGCTTCTCGACGCCTTCTGCAGCGAAAATGGTAATTTATCACGATCATTCCCACCAATCTCGACCATCACGTGCTTTCTGGAACTCTTCTTTGTCCACGTGCAACCTAGATTCCCAGTGCTGCACATACCGACTTTTGATTCTCGCGAATGTTCGCCCAATCTCTTGCTAGCAATGGCAATTTTGGGATCCAGCTACTCCAAGCCAAGCCAAGACAAGTTTGCCTTGACGTATCTCGAAAGAGCTAGAATGTCAATTAAATTGATGCAGGAGAAGGATCAGAGCTGTGTGAGTCAAGGATATTTGAATTATTCTATTCACTCTAACTGTATTATCTGCCTAGGCGAGATCATCCGAGAATATCTTTGCCTTTTTTCTTGTTTCTGTGTCTGCAATGTGGGTAGGACAAAAGGCAGCATATGAGCGGTTTGAGGGCGATCGCGGCGATCTCGCTGTTCATTGTCGACGCGGCCAATTATTAGACTGCCGGGCGAAAGCAACCACCGCGTCTCAGCCTTCTTCAGACCGTAACCGAAGTCGCATGGAAGATACATGGGTGGGGTGGATTAATGAAGAGCAAAAGAAGCGCTTAGGGCTCTGCATATATGTAAGATTCTTCTCCTGTTTATGAATCGGGCCCACCGTCTAATTCGGCTTGGACTCAGCTTCTGGACTGTCAAATGGCAGCTTTCTTCCAGCGACAACCCTACCTCAGCAAAGCTGAGACCGCAAATACGGCATTGCCATGCTCAAATATGTTCTGGAAGGCGCCAACAGCCTGGGCGTGGAAGTCTCTCCTGGGGCCCGCCGATATACCACCAAGCACGTATTTCCTCACTACACTTACCACAATCCTTCTACACAATGACCTCCCCGACGTTCTGCCATTCCCTCCATTGGATGATTTCTGCAAGACTCTCTATGCTTACGTCTTGCATACTCATGTCTTCGAGTGGCGGCAGACGATTTGTATGCTCAATCCGACCGGGCTTCTTAGCTCTCCCCTATCTTTGGCACCGCAGAATATTGGGGAGTCACTACAAGAGCGCCGGGAATGGCTGATATCTTGCCTGAAGAACTGGGATACTTTCTATGGAAATGATAATCAAGCCGATCCTACTAACCGCAACCCCAAGAACTCGTCGGGAATTCTTCTCTTTCATTTGGCGATGTTGGCTCTCCACCTAAACTTTTCGGACTTGCATATGGTCACTGGAAGGTCTGGATCTGAGGCAGATATCGAACTGGCGAAGCAGTCTCTAAGGAACTGGCTGCAAAAAGAAAGAGTCCAAAAGATATTCGACTGTAATACTCGAATGCTGAACGCAGCCCATGATGCGATCACCGCCGGCGATGCACAACGCAGCGGCTTTGAACTTGCCATCTGTCTGTTTATGGGAGGTCTCACTAGTTGGGCTATATCGCGTTTTGGAAGCCCTGTTCGAATCTCTATGCTGGGAGCCTCGAGACAATATGCCAGAGGTCAGAATTTTGATCAGTATCAGAGCAATCCTGAATTAAGCACAGAAAGCTCATTTGACCCAAGAGATGAGCTGAACGGTCAAGTTTCCAATGCGCGCGATGGGTTGCGATCGTTGAAGTGTTTCCGGCTCGCTGTGGCATTTGGGGACATTCTTGAGCTCCACAGCGGACCCGATTGACCTCCACCTCCACATGAACATTCACTCCACCTCCCTTCGGCTCCACTGAAGAACTTGTCAATTTCAGTGTCATCAACGAGGGGTCTTCATCAAGTCACATATAATGCAAACCATCCCCAAGTCCACGCATTCTTGAAGGTTCCAATTTCTTGGACTATGACAATTACCGCTTTGTCTGACGGGATGTTCAACAACCCCATAATCCCTGGCTTCAATCCAGATCCTTCGATATGTCGAGTGAATGATGACTATTATCTGGTGACTTCCACGTTCGAATATTACCCAGGTATTCCCGTCTACCACAGCAAAGACCTTCTACAATGGAATCTCATCGGTCATGTCATCACGAGACATTCACAAATTAACATGCGAACCACCGAGCCCTCTGGGGGACTGTGGGCGCCAACCATTCGTCATCACAAAGGGCGCTTCTATGTCTCTCTCGGTTGCACTCATAGATTCCGTCCGAAGGAATGGGTAAGCCGCTCAACTCAAGCTTAAGAATCCAGAGTCAGAAGTCTGATACTTTAACAGGATATTGTTATTCCCCGAGGATTCTTTGTCTCTACAACTGACATCTGGGACTCGTCTTCTTGGTCTGATCCGATCTTCTTCGACGTTCCCGGAATTGATCAAGATGTAAGCATTTGCACTGAAACATCATTGCTTGAAGACCTAGCTAACCCGCCAAGCTCTTTTTTGACGATGACGGCAAAGTGTACTTCTCTGCGGTAAACATGATTATCGATCCCAGGATCAAAAAGCATGGTCTTGGGCTGGCAACTTTTACCAGCGAGATAGACATAACCTCTGGCCGATGTCTAGGGCCTGTCAAATGGAACCGATTGTCGGATTTCGGGATTGGAATTGCAGAGGGACCTCACATTTTCAGAAAAGACGGTTACTACTATCTAAGTACTGCCGAGGGTGGTACCGATGAAGGTCATCAGCAGTGGATCAGCCGCAGCACTACTGGACCATTCGGTCCGTGGGAACTAGGTCCCAAAGGAACAGTCAACCCTGTCATCTTCAACGGCGACGATCCTTCAATTCGCAACACTGGACATCTGGACTTTATCGAAATCCAGAGCGGAAAGTGGTTTGCAGTGTTCTTAGGAGTCCGACCTCAGGGCAAAGACTCCGAATTTATCTCCCAGCTTGGTCGCGAAACATTCATGAGTCCCGTTGAATGGGTCGATGGGTGGCCAGTTGTCAACAACCGACAACCCATCAGCCTTCAAATGCAGGCAGAGGATATGCAGCTTTTGACACAACCGCAGACTTGGCGAGATGACTTTGAGGCTTCCACGCTCCAATTGGGCTGGTATCATCTCCGAACGCCACTGAAGAACGATTATTCTCTATCCGAATCTCCGGGTCTCATGACACTCTATGGAAATGCGTACCGCATTGATAGCTCCGAGTGTCCTTCCATGCTTTTGCAAAAGCAAACCAGCTTCTCCGGCGAGTGGAAAACCAGATTAAGTTTTCTGCCAACAGAGGCAGGTCACGAAGCAGGGACGGCGATTTGGTGGTCCCAATTCGCTTATGCTTCGATTGGAATAAGGAAGTCATTTGATGAGACCAAGACAGGTCTCGAGATTGTGGCACGTTGTTACGATGAGAAGGAAGATCAATTCAAGGTAAATACTATACCCACCAGGGAATGGAACAGACAGGAACTAATTTCTCCAGGAAACCATGCACCAGCTCACATTCGAGGACCACACCATTGAACTTATTATCCGCGCGCGCTCGACAGAATACGACCTCTGTTTCTCGGTTCTAGATGAAAAACAATGTGCCTCCGAACCCGTCATGCTGGGTCGGATATCCAGCACAGCATTGACGCATCGTCGATCTGGGAAGGAGTCCCCCAATACTGGTGCTCATTTCGCAATCTACGCACAGGGCGCGTATGATAAACCATGTTTTGATCCTGCGCGCTTCAACTTTGTTGAGTGGAATGCTCAGGTTTGACCTCCTTTTACAATTGAAATTCTGTCTGTTCGAGTGACATCTCAAAATTTAAGACCCAGTGGTATTAAACGTGATGAATTTCCCTCTTTCTCTCTCTTTGGGTCTTGTTGTCTTTTTATCAGGGCAGACTGTGTCTGTCTTTAGGCCTCAACCTCATTTCCAAAAAACATGTCTGATATGAACACTGCAATCAGGGCTGCCTAAATGAATGTTCTGTAAGTAACCCAGAGTGATAAAGTCTCGTGAGTCTCGTGCCCGGTGCATGCAGCTTTCACTTACAATCGACGCATCCAATCCTTCTGCCAATCGAATATCCAAGATACGTCTAGGTGGGACGTAATCATATGGGCTCGACATCCAGTGGCCCACGGAGCGATTTAACTCCGGGTTCTCCTGAATATGAGCTACCTTTTTATCGCCAGCCAAGACGTCAAAGGTGTAAAGAGCCGTTTTTCGAAAAACCTTCAAGGTGACTTTCTTCTCGTCGTCGACCCTCTTAGTTCCGCTGGTCGTAATAGCTTGGTTCTCCTCAATGTCCAGAATAATTTTCTTGGAAGGACCTTTCATGTATATCGCTGCCAGGTTTTTACTATCGTCTCCGGGCAACCGGACTTTCCAAGGCCTGATCAAGAATCCAGCCCGACGAAGGTCAAATAACGGGAGACCACTCGAGTCACGGAATTCGCGACCTGGACTAGATCCATACTTTTTTCCTGTCACCGAAAAGATCGTGGAGCCCGTAAACGCATTTTTGATGGTGTATTCAGCTGCTGACATGTTGCTGGCCTTGGGGTACAGGCGAAGGTCAGTCTCTTCTGAGGCAACGAGATCGGACCGGATAGCAACCGGATCAGACAGCGGTTGAAGGGGCTCTTGGTGGTTGCGCGATATTGAAGCTATGGTAGACATTGGATATGATCATAAATGGTGGATTGTTTGGTACAATTGAAATTGGTGGCTTTACCCCTGGGCGATGTGTGTCTGAACGGGCGTGGATGTGGGGGCGGTCCCGGCTAGTTATAGTGGGGGCCAAGCCCGTGGGCATTGGGGGAAATTTATTCCACCGACCCGAATCTATTTTCTTGCATAACAAGTTGCTACTACTTCTTTTCTTCATTGCTATTAACTCGGTTGCCCTCAGAATGCCTCAAAATTGGCACAGTCCGCGGGGGACTTTGACATTGCTTCTATGGTCTCTTCTCTTGGTTACTTTTCCCTTCATGGCCTGGAAGGCTCTGTGTGTCTTCACTGGCTCCTCGCATCCTATCATGGTGGTGATTTCGGAATCTATGGCACCTGCTTTCACACGGGGTGACCTCATCTTCTTATGGAATCGGCAATCATGGGTTCGAGCCGGCGAGATTCCTGTCTGCTGGTTTCCGGGAAGACCACTGCCAATGGTTCATCGGGCAATTAAATCTGTGTGGCTCGGCGGTAAAGAGTACGTCTCCCTCTCGTGAAGCAGTCTAGTGTGGAATTGAAGCTTACTTGAGGCTTCATCGCAGACAATTCACCTTGACAAAAGGAGACAACAATGATGGCGATGATGTGCCACTCTATCCCCCAGGCCAGCTAATGGTAGGCCGCGAAGAAGTCGTTGGCCTAGTTAAAGGCTATCTTCCCTATGTGGGATGGCTTTCCATTGGGTTACAAGAAAGCCCTCTCGTCACAGGAGCGTTGGTTGGCGGTTTGTTATTACTTGCAGCTTTCTAAAAAGCACCTTTGGTATCTAAAAGGGAATACATACAGACCTACGTGTGCCAATTCGTGTGAAACGACTAGAGTAAATCTACTATTATCAATGACGTCATCGAAAATGGATAGAATGCACGAAGAAAAGAGCCAAAAATAGCATGAACCCGAGGTCAAGTTCTGTCCTGCAGGGTCGCATCAGTTTGATTACAGTTCCGGGTGAAATTCGGAGAATGTCCACTTCCTGAAGATGAATTCCTTCACGGGGCAGGTTTCGAAATGGGCGGAATCAGCCTTGGCCCCCACGATTGACCTTGATTTAGGGTTGGGTCCCTGGCGCTTGGCACCCGAAACCGAAAGTTTGTCCCCTCGGGCTCCACTGAGTGTCCCGCAGTCAATCCCCGGGCTCCACTAGGGCTTGCGGCCACGGGTCTTCTCAGCCCCCACGTAAGAAATGGACTGCGGAGAATAGCGTTATCAATTTGGACCCTTGCACCATGTGGAGTGCCCTACAGAGGATCAGATGTAATCAAACAATAATTAATTCAGGAATCATGGCTTAGCCAAGACTTTCTTTACTCGACTAATCACAATTATTCGACGATTAGTTGGAGAGACAGCCAAAAAGACAGCCAAAAAGACAGTTAAAAAGAGGTTCTGAAGGTGGTGATACCTCTCTTCGATCGTCTTTTTGGCCACGCGTGAGCGCGGAACTCACGCTTGTATTTGTTATTCGCATGACCTGGTTACTATGAGAAATGTTCAAAAGCTATGTCATCATCATTTGCTACACTGTCATGTTTCACTTTGCCTATGGGGGCCAGCACTAAACCGCCCTAGAAAGGCCACAGTAAATTTTACCGTACTCCCACTTAGGAACGCTCCAAAATAGAAAAGCAAAGACCCACACATAGCCCGCAAGTTGAAACCACAGACCCCGACTTGCCTTATTTTCTTCTGTGCTCAAACACCGCAATAACGGCTTGGCGATCATGGTTTCGCCTGCGACTACAACACCATTGAGTAAGAACCACTGGATATCGCCCCAGTACCCGCAGCCAGTTGCGTGCCAAGTCACTAGTGCATGTATGGCGCCTGACAGTAGGAACACAAGCATTACCACTGACGCACTTTCGCCAAGGGATCCAGGTGAAATCCGAACCACTTCACGAGAAAACCATAGCCCCCACGTAGTATATGGTCGGTAAACAAGGCGATGCCAGAATCGCCCCCAGAAACGGCGCATGCTCCACGCCTCAAGTGGGCTGCCAAAGAAGGGTCGCCACTCCCACGGTTCATCCCAGCGGAGGATGACCGAGAACAAGATAGCGAGCGCCGTTTGGGCGTAGCATAGTCCAACGTAGTTATCCCAGATCCAGCGAACGGCAAATGCGGCCCTCAGCATGGTTTCAAACTTTGTCACTTGGGGTCCGACAAAGAGCCGGCGCAAGTAGACCGTCTTTATCGGTGAAAAGTCATCCGCTGAGATCGGCGCAAAGCTCAGTATGTAGGCAGGAGTAACGACGAACTCGTTGATTAGCTGAAGGAGAAGTAATTGGCCGAGCCGTCTTCGAAGGAATGCGAAACGTGACGGGCTTGTGCTCACGGGGCGGGCGTGAGGGACTTCGCGGTGGGTGCCAAGAAGCTGTGGATTGACGCAGATCTTGTAAGCGGCGCGAATATCCCAGCCTTGGCTTTCGTGACTGGGTTGCAGAGTCCACTTGTCGATGTACAGCACGGCTGTGTTATGGATGACATGTGACACAAGGGCATGGCCCCAGAGTTGGCCAAGTCCCGGTAGCATTTCGTCAAGCTCCTTACTGGCGAGGAACCCGATAGCTCCACAGAGAACAATCGGCAAGCAGAAAAACCATCGCCTCGACTGGGATGTGTTGAGGGCAACGCAAGCGAGAAAGACAGAGAAAGAGCCTGAAGTGGCAGACACGAGAGCGAAAATCATGGCTTGTTGATGTGATGGAGGAAATGTGACATGTAGATTGGCTATTGTCTCTGAAGTATCTATATGGTACCATTGGTTTGGTTTATACAATGAGGTCTGGCTAAACAAATCGGACGACAAGCGCATGCGCGATGTGGATCTCACAGGAGGATCGACATAAATTAGGGTGGCCCCCAACCTACTAAAAACCGAAGCGAGGGCATTGAGCCTATGTATAAAGAAGACTCCACTGCTAACTTTTTGGCCCCCTCCCCCATCTCTGAACAACTCCTTGACCTCAAATCCCCGGTATGACATCCCTCAGCAAGTACATTTTGGCGCCGTAAAACGCTCACGGTTACATAGTTGGATTATCACACTATTTTCCGAACCCACTATGTCGAAGAATCAAGCGGAGACTCCATTCGATCACTCGTCGTTAGAGATGCAGCCGCCCCCAAGTTATCAGAAGCAGAATATTTTTGCGCGCATCTACTCCCGTCCTTTCAGGGAACTTACCGCTTTGGAGCTGTTGTTACGTTTTACCATTGCCATTTTGATCGGGGCAGTGATTGGGGCAATCATTGGGGTCATCGTGCGTTTTGCCTAAGCGGATGAGGAATTTTTGTGAATCGCGAGTGAAAGCTTCCCTTGTTGGTATGCATAGGCCCCCTCCCGATGTCTTTCAGTCTGCTTGGGCGCAGACGGCCTATTGCTCCTCATCTATAGCCTATGGTCTGCGCTTGTCTGCTTTTTCTGCCTCTTCCACGCGGGCAAAGCCCACTTGGCCATATACTCTGATCTAAGGAGTTGGTCTGCTGTAGGTCGTTCCGCAGGTTCAAATGTCATCATAGCTCTAAGAATTTTCTCCAACGCACGTAGCTTACCACCTGCAACATCCCATGCACACGTCTCTTCCGTCTCGCCACGACCCATATCCCAGAGGCGCTGAGGTAGACGCCGGAAGATAGGAGTACCGATACGACGGAAGTCAGCAACCCATGATTCATCCTCCTCAAAAATTCACAGCGTTTAGCTCAAGACTTCCACCATCTCACTGGCAATCGGTGTTGCTTAATCACGAGTATCAGCGCGGACCCTGCAAACAAGGCAAACACTGTCGCCAACAGAATTAACTGCGACCCATTTTTGACACGTTTCCAGAGTCACTCGTTTCGCCGGGAAGAATCACATACAGGTATGTGCGGGAGATCTTTTATAAGTCTCTCTCTGTCTATGACCTGATTTCTTCGATTCTACGGATAGGTATGAGAATACCAGAAGCGAAAGATGTAGGTAAAGCAATACGTACTGCGTTGAGCTGATTAAGTGACAGACGGCAAAACAAACATGACAAAAGAGAAAGAAAGCTTCAACAAGCGAAACTATTTACAACAACCAGGCCTGGTGGTCTGAGTGACTTCCGCAAAACAAACGTGGTCAACACATTTAGTTACCCTGTCTCTGATCCAAGGCATCCTGCAGCTGCTTCAGCTGGTCAGTGGAGAGGTTGTGGTATTCCAAGCTAGCGCTCCCTGTGAGACAGATGTCAGCAATTTTGGACTCCGCCAAAGTGGGTGAGGTCGAGATAAACATACCCATGGGAATCGGGCGGGAGTCGCCCGAATCGTCGTCCAAGAACACATTGGCAAGTGTCATGCAGGATGAGGGAACATCGTCAACGCGGACACCATTGTTATCCAATGGGGAGAAGGTGACAGTGACTCCCTGGAGCTGGGACTTGCACTGGTCTGCAGCCGGCTGGGGAAGACCAGCAAATGGGTCATCGTCACGACGGTAGATGGGCCTCTCGTCGCGCAGACCGAATTCCTTGAAGGCCTTGCCAGCGAATCCGGCACCAACGCCTCCCAAAACAGCAGGGATAACGACGTTGACAGGCGCGGGACTCTGCTGGACGCAGGTCAGGAGGGCGGCGAGGGAAGCAAGGGCTGCGGGTGCGGTCTTCATTTTGCTTGTGTGAATTGAGAATTTGAAATTGTCTGGCGAAAAGGTAATGGCCAAGTGGAGGGTTCGTGCCAGATTTATAGACATTTGGCTTTCATGTGTAGACCCCGAGTGGAGCCCGAAATCTGAAGGAATGGCCCTGCAGCACCCACGAGGCACAGCCTCCACGTAGGGATACTCCCCGAGGCTAATTTCCATAGCAGTTTAGATCCAGAGATTGTGCTGCCGGCTGAGTATCCAGCAATGAGAGCAATTCGGTGATCTCATCGTCCTGAGGCCTTTGGCTGCGTGATTTTTTGCATCTCTTTCTGCCCCCATTTGTATAAACAGCCCCCAAAGACGATGGAGTTGCCAAGAATACCCCATATAAGCACGATCTTTTAGTATATCACCGAATAAGAATGATTTGAGTCCCTGAAGATGAGGGCATTGGGGGCGAAGATATGCCAAGGATGCCCCACAGTATCATTCGGTTTCGGGAGAGTTGTATTACTGAAGGATGATCGTCCAGGTCTATTCTGGAAGCATTGGGGGCTGGACGCAGGGCATCAAGTCGTGTGCGTGACTCAACTGCAGCTTGATCTTGTAGCAGCCCCCAAGGGCAAGGTGTGAGACCTGCTCCACAGCAAGTCACGACCTCACCATATCACCAAATGACGATCATTTGAATCCTTCTTGATGGGGGCTTTGTGAGCTGAAGTTTGAGCTAGACGTCACTTCTTCGAGATGGAATCGGATTTTGGCCGCCACATACCCGTGGAGCGGACTAGGGACCGGTCAGGTAACATCGAGAGGTCAATGCTAGACAACGAGATATAAAAGCCGTCTTCATCTGCTGTTTAATTCAAATCATCAATCAGCCTTTGACAATCATCTCTACTACACTCTTCATTTCAACCTTTCGATCCTTCGAACTTCATTTCCTCTCAACCATCAAGATGCACTTCTCCGCTATTGCTGCCGCCTCTGCCCTCGCTGTCCTCTCCCAGGTTCAGTACGCCCCTGCTCCCTTCGTGGCAGGTCTTGGAGCTGCCCTCGGTATGGAGGCTGCTGCCATTACTGCAGCTGATGGAACCCTCGCCACTCTCGGTGGTGGTGCCATTGCCGGCGGAGTTGGCCACATCAGCCGCCGTCTGAGCCGATCTCCCTTCGTTTCCAAGCGTGTGGACCTCCCCCCTGGTGTCTCCCAGGAGTCCTTCGATCAGTGTCAGGATCAGCTCAAGGGTGATGGTGTCCACGTCACGATCTCCGGATCGACTCCCGACAGTAAGTCTTCCCAGAGAAGTCAGATTCTCACTGTGAGTTTCCGTGCTAACAATTAACCAGCTGTCCATGTTGAGGGTGTTCCCCCGCCTGCATGAACCTTGCTACCGTCCTCACCGGTAACCCTACCCAGGAGGGAGGCCCTGTCCCCACCCCTATGGGCTCTGACAGCCTCGACTACAGCGGCGTTTCTGAGGACGACCTCCGCCAGCTCGGTCAGACCCTTCAGGACAAGGGTGTTGCTCTGCCCAAGGCCAACTAAGCAAGGTCGAACATTGACCGGGCTTTAGTGTCAGAAGAATTGAGAGGACTAGGGGTACCACATCTGTACTTGTCCAGACTTGAAGCTTGACTACTCCTTGTGGGCATGATGGTAACTTGTCATAACATCCTAGATTGTCAGAATTTTGTACATAGCTGCTGTTATTGAATCGACAAGCATGGTTTCTTAAATTAACCAACACGCGCGGCTAGAAGCCTATCAAACAAACCGATGGGAAGTGACTAGACCTCCTAGGCTGCGTAGCTCTCTCTCTCTCTCTCTCTCTCTGTCTCTTCTTTTCCTTCTTTCTTTTCCTTATAAATAGGTCAAATTGTCTATCCGGACAGATAAACCAACTGATAAAGCCCCGTCTAAATGTGTGGATATGAGAAAGGTGGCCACAGGATTTACGTATGCCAAATTTCACTGTCTTTAATTAAAGCCGGTATTAAAGTAGGAAGGCGTAGTTTTGGAAGGGTGTCTCGACCATGTGGGAGTTACGTGACTACTTGAGCACATTGCACTGTTATAGAGCTATAGTTGATTGAGCGCGGTCAAAACCGAGGCAGATGCCCAGTCTAGGCTTCAATGAGGCGTAGTTACATATAGTGCTCATGATAATTCCCCGGAAAGATCAGCGATAATGCTTCCACTCAGATGTTGCAAGTCTATGAAAGTTGTGAATTCCTTCTATCAAGTCAGCACATAGCTCCAGCAAAAGTTATTAGACACTAGTCGTGGCACTTACTTAGACTTGAGTGAGGACAATGGGGGAGCAATCATCACCAGGAGTTTGACCATCCTTGCGGACAGCGCCAAGCTTGATAGTCTGGAAGAGCTCATCCAAAGGACAGGCGTAGAAGCTGCCGTGGGACCAGGTGAGCTTGCCACCCTCGATGGAGAAGCCCGAGTCGCCGCTCTGGGAACCATAGAGAACGTCGCCGTTGCTGCCGACGTAAACTGAAGTGTATAAGTATTTTTTTAGTGAAAGGAAGAAGCTCATGTTACTCACTTTTCTTTCCATCGGAGGTCTTCAAGAAGCCGTCACTGACGGTGAAGTCGCTACCCTTGTTTTGGAACTCGACAGCACCGCCGGAAGCCAGAATTTGCTTGCCGTTCAGGTGCATGTAGCCATCACCGCTGACAGAGAACTTGGTAGCGGTGGAAGTGGCGGCGAGAGCCAGAGCGATAGCGGAGAAGCTTGCCTTCATTTTGACGGTTTGGTGGTTTGGTTGAAAAGATGATCTTTTAGAAGAGAGTTGTAAAGAGGAGTCGATACTGATGATAGAAGAGTTATTCAGACCAGGAATACAAGGGTTCTTATAGAAAATAGTAGCTATCATGGTACTCACGAGGAAGAAGATGAAGCATTTAGGTGGTTTCCAAAAAGAGTAACACGCCCGTGAAGAGTACCTTGATAATCTTCAACATGCAGTTCCAAACCACAATTTAATATATTGACTTGTTGACTCCATATTAGCGCCTGTCAACAAAGACGACCTCACTGATTGTGCTTGAGTAATATATCAAAGGTACCTTGAAGGCGCTGTGTAGAGTAATGCGGGTATTGAATAATAGTGATTGGACCTGGACAAACATGTATTCCGTCGTACGGTATGTCTTCTATGCAATTGGTCTAAATCTGTCCAAGAGGGACTCAGAAGTGATGCGAAACTTGGATGTTGGGCGGTTTACATGAATTGTTGTGATGTGAGACCGGCGCAGGTTAGAGATGAAGCTACGGCGTTGGAATTGATACCTCCAATATCCAGGTGTAATGTTTAGCTAGTTATATATCGACCTGATGTTCTCTATCTACGTTCAGCCTCATATGCTTCTGAATCTAGCAACCAGTTCTCCTTTGAACTACAACAGCAGGACCTGGTTCGTTCTTCCGAGGTGCAGAATATCGACTTGTCAAAAGAGAGCGTTGTTAGAAAGAAGATTCTCTCGCCAAAGGATCTAGTTTCCCCAAATAAAGAACGAAAAAGGATAGCGTGACTTGCACACCCCATAAACCAAACCGCGAACGATATGAGTAGCTGTAGTGCACCTGTCAGGTTCAAAGCCCCGTTCACGCGTTGAGATAAGTGTGATTTATACCCAGCTTTGGGTGATTTGTAAAAAAAATATTCAATCAAGCCTCCACAGTTTGTCTTACAGTAGCTGGTTCGCTTCGCCTGCTCGACGGTACATTTTTAATCGAGGTCTTAATGTGGATACTTAGTTGGAGATAGGATATGTTCCAATCTAGAAACTCCGTCAGACCCACCCACTAGGACGCAAGTCTGTGGCTGTCACGATCAGGGTCTCGGGATGCATTCCAAGGCCGCTCTTACCGCTACACCAAGAGCAAAAGACCAGGGTTCCAAGTTACCACCCAAGAACTTCCCGAGCGAGCTCGTGATAATCAGTGACATGATTTATCTCAGTGGCAATCTCTACCTGTAGTTGACACGGTAATATCCTGCAAATTCCGGGTAGCCTGGAGTATGGGAATGGCAAGAGGAACTGAAAGTGCCCATCGGCTTTCCTTTGGGTAGACCACGGTATGGACTTTGTGAAAAGATTCGCGACCCACAAAATATGGGTCTCGACATACCTTGGTCATCACCTCAGGGAGGAAACCAGAGAGATATTTGCTAGCGCTAACCCGATGTGGTTTAAATAGGGTCCATTGTCTTACGGAGTATCCACTGTCGACAGCCCTGAATTACTGTCGTCAGGACCCCGGGGGCCAATAATTGATTTGGTGATGACAGGTCGGACTTTACGTTCGGCCTTAGGCGGTTTACTCCGACTTTCCTGTAATTCCCATGCTACCTGAACTCACCATACTACACCAAAAGCAGAAAAAGATGTAAAACGCTTCTTGGCTTTTGATAAACTAACCAACGCACACCGATAAAATGATAAAATGCCTGGTAGCCTTCAGGTTACTGCCCATGTACAATTAGAAGAGTGTTAGCTATCAGATGATACTCATTCAATGTAGATGAACACAGTTCATGAGAAATGTTAGCCCTTTTCGGGAGAAGGGGGCCGGGGAGAAAGGCATGTGGGTCCACCACAAGGAAGAATTGATTGGATTGAATAGAGCAAATCCATGCATGAAGAACCTCTTAAGAGATTATCCCTACGAAAAATATATTAATTGCTTCGTTTCGCTCCGCAATCATCTTCCAAGGTTGTTATATGGTACTCAATGATCAAATGGGCGATCACTAGTACGCTCCCAATTCGCCAAGCTGGCAATTGGCATTCCGGACATGACAAAGGCCATGGAATATATCAGAAGTCATAACGTAAGAATACTCAAAGAAGCCGATGTGGTTCAGGGTTCAGAGAGGCGGTGGCTGGGCTTTTGTGTTGCGATTATCCCGACAAGGGATGTGACAAGCCTTTTATCGAGCGAAGCTCAGGAGAAGTATGGAGCATCAATTGTATGTATTTTGGGAGACCTGAGGAAAGGAGAGAGAGAGAGAGAGAGAAAAGAGATCTAGATCTATCTACACCAGCGGGGACCCTGCAAACTAGGCAAACACCCGCGCCAACACCTTTGTGGGAAGCAGCCGTGGCTGTCCCTTTTGTGGAGGACCCAAATGGATACCTCATTGAAAGTATCCCATATTGAGCTACATTCTGGGTTACCAGCAGCAGTGCCATAAAGGATTTCTGCACCGAACATAGGAAAAGTGGTCATGCAAAATGAGTGCATACCTCTACGTGAAATGTGAATGACATTACGTCCATTGCAATGACGCTTGGATACTACTATACTTTCATATTTCATGGCACATTGTTTTGTCCTCGCCAGTCAGCTATCAGACCAGTGTTCCAAGTCACAACTGCTCTGGAACTACATGATACTAATTCGGAAGCATGGCCTTGGCTCAAAGCGCATTTCATTGAGTCACTGCAGAACTCTGCTCTTCCTGCTCCATAGAACTAAAGACTTCAGCGACGCGGTGGAAAGACTCCTTCGGTGCCCATGGAGGCATACCTTTAGATCTTGAGTCCTTCTCAGGAAAGGTTTTTACCAGCGAGAAAGACATCATATCCATATCCCTCGCCCCTTTTCCTGCCGGCATGCAAGGGAACGAAAACACGTATATGAAGGCCGCATCAACCCCTGCATTGTTGAGGAGATCAAGCTGCGTCCCGACATAATGAGCCTGTTCCTTCTCGCTCCGAGTGGGGACAATATCGTTCTCGAAGATGCCAGTGCCGTCTGGGGCCGTGCCTTTCAAGAGTACGAAGCCGCCGTCTCCGCGCTCTGCTGCTCCCTCATAAGCGCAGCAGCCGAGTTCTAAAACAGCTAGAGGTTTTCCAATCCTGTGCCGATCGAGACACGAGACATAATTCTCCGCAGTCTCTCCTCGGCGATAATAGTCTATGCCGACGATGTCAAAAATATCCCAGTCAACGACTTCCCAGGAGCCAGCCGAATATGTGATCTGCCCCCCGAACTGGGAACGAATCACCGCAACGAAAGACCGCAACGCCTTATTCAACTCAACAGAATTGTCACGTAGGGCTTGAGAAATATCCTCAATCATATGGCCGCTGGGAAACTGCGGACCGAGAAACATTACACGGTCGTTGAAAGAATCCCCGGGGAAAACGCCTTTGCCGAAGATGGTGTATTCGCAGCCGGCGATAAAGACCAAATCAATGCCTTCAATGCGTAATGTTTCTGCAGATTTTGCCGCCTCTTTGAAGTATTCGCGGGTCTCCTCGATGGTCGCATTCATCTTCCACGGATTGAAAAACACCTTAAGTCCCACCGAGTACGCTGACCGTGCGGCAATCTCCAGCCGAGTAGTTTCTTCCCCTTCAATCCGGACGGCATTGGCATGCAACTCGTCGGCGATTGTTCTCATGTCGTATTTGACTAGGGCAGGATCGAATGGCTCGACGGAGAATCCAGTGCCATTGAAATTGAGGCCGACATCGTAGACAACGCCGCGATACTTCATGGTGGAGTATTCGTTGGGAAGGACTGATAAGCGCAAATGTCTGCCAGCTCACAAGATGTTCAAAAATGACAATCGCGTCCAAACGAGCATGAGGAAAGAAACAAGAGACACGGAATGATCAGGTATATAAGGCCCTCGAGGGCGTCTCCACTGTTCGGATTGCGCGTTCTTGGCGCCCCGAGTTCCGTCCACGGCTCGACTCACATTTTCAGAACGCAAAGTACATAGCTCGGCCCACCCCTGCTGATCTCAGCCCATCATTTGTCAAGAATCAAATTACTCTCAGTGTGCCTAGGCTTTCGCTCCCGAGGTGAAGTCCTGAAGTCCTGGAGCGGGCCCACCGAAAACGAAAACTCAGGTAACTATACGGAGTCCCTTGAAAGCTAATCTTGGAAGTGTCAGAAAGCAACCAAGAAGCAATAGAATGGATCTCGGGAGAACATACCCCCCTCCCTCCTCTGCCCGTCCCATCACACCCGAGCATTAGGTAATAACCTTGGAATCAGTTGAGGCGTTCTCTAAATCCCGACCTCGGGAACGAAACACATAGAATATATAACTCCAGCTGTTGAGGATCTGATACTCCATGCGCTGTCAGGAGCAGGCATGGGGCACATTCCAGACCCTATTCCACTGCGCCAGGGCAACCTTGGAAAAGACCAAGGATTCCAAGACTGGCAACTTGGAATTGCGCTCCCTTATATAGGACCAGGTTCGTCATATGCGCCACGGCTCCAACCTTGGAAGGATTAATGCAGCCACTTTGTGATAGGGCATTTGGCATATGCGCCCAGGAAGAAACTTCCAAGCTTGGCCATTGAAGCTTTTCAATCAATGAACCCAATTAATGAACTCTTACGGATTCAATATTTGACAACCAATCGACCACCTGTTTGAGCCCTGTTGCAATATTGTCATAAAGCATAAGAGCGCGCGTAATATGTCACACTGGCAGCGTGGCCGAGCGGTTAAGGCGTAGCACTGTACGTTGCTCTTTAAGCTAGCTCCACTTTCCGACACTAACTTTCCATCCAGCGAATTTCGGAAAATCAAATTCCTCGATATGCTATTCATTCGTGAGCGTGTGTTCGAATCACACCGCTGTCGTTTCTTTTTGTTTTAGAAAAAAAATTGCTTCTTCTCTATTCTGGTCATGAAGACCCTCATTCAGATTTGACTTTCACCTGGCAGCGTGGCCGAGCGGTTAAGGCGTAGCACTGTATGTTTCTCTTCGTGCCAGCTCCACTTTCCGACACTAACTTTCAATCCAGCGAATTTCGGAAAATCAAATTCCTCGATATGCTATTCATTCGTGAGCGTGTGTTCGAATCACACCGCTGTCGTCTAAATATTTTTTTTGCTCTTTTTATCTTCCATCTTGTTTTGTGGTCAAAATCCTCAGCGGCTCGATATCACTTTACATTTTTTACCCTTCGAGAAGATTGCGTGCAATTTTCCGCCAAAATTCCAGAAATCAGTTTCTTGAGTGAACAAAGCTATGAGGGTTCGAATTGCTCGACCTGACCCATCCTATGCCATTCATCCAGTGAGAAAGCTTTGCGCAAGAAAAGATACGAATCTACCTAGTCTAATATGCAGCGATCAAATTTGCGAAAATTATGAGTAGGCTTATCTTCACGAGTCCGGAATGGAAAATATTGAGATCTAGGCTTGTTTGGCGGTGGCGAATCTGGGCACTCTTTAGGGCACTGGGCCTTCTTGGGGCTTTTGGAGGCAGAAGAGACAGCATTCGTCATGGTACAGCGTCTACTTTCAATCATGGGATCAAGCCTACTTGTGTGATTCCATTTACAATCTGCGGTCTACTCTACACGCAGGAACTTGTAAAATTCCGTCAAGACCTGCAGGGTAGCCTCTTCTGATTCAAAAGCCGGCAGTGCTGCCTATAATGTTCAAATATACATCAAAGCATAAAACACAAAGCATGAAAAGGAGCGTGTCAGGCCGCCAGGAGGTATCTTTCCCTTGTCTGGCCCTGGTGTGGGGGTCTGGAAGGCACGATCTGATGAGGCATTAGCTATCAGTCTCTTAACTGTATCGAAGCAGAGAGAATAGACCTACCATCCGATCGAGTAGGGGAGTTGACGGCCCCCCAGCACCTGCTGCGTCTATTGGAGTTGTTCAATCTGGTTGAGCAATCACCGGAAGACAATTTAGTTGTTCGCACGAGGCTCGGATTGGATGCTGGGGGCAGCTTCGGGGAGGGACTCTGTTGGTGGGAGGACGAAGGGAGGAATGTGTTGGCCCTGGGAGCCCTTCAAACGAGAAAAGGAGCTCGCGAAAGATATCACCATGGTCTCTGGGGAAGAACCCGGGAGTAACTCCCTCCGCCGACGAGGGGTGTGGGCTACCGAGGGTGCAATGGCCGATGCGTCTGGTAGGTGGCTCGGGGGACCCAGCTGGAATCGTGTTAGTTTTTGTGATGCTTTATTCCACAACCATGCGTGACTTACCTGCCGGAGCAGGGGCTTCCTCGCCCCGGAAATGCCCAAGGTAGGCAAAGAGAGGGCGAAGATTAGGAGAAAGCCGCACCGGAGGAGGAGGATGGGGAGGAGGGGAAGAGACATGAGCAGAGCCGAAGCCCGACTGAGGGGCTTTTATAAGCCAGCACCTGATGCGATGATTGCAGACAATCGTTGTGTGTACCAACCAACGTACATGACTCCTTCCTTTTAGCCCACAATGGTGGATCTTCCCCTTTCATCACGAGCTAACTTGCGACCTGGTGGTTCACGAGACGACAATCTGCAGAAACCAGGACATAGCTTCGAACAAGAATCAGATCTCATGTCCTCACAGTATATTCTTGTTAGACCCACCGAAGCATCCTTGGAGTGATTAACGCACCCAATGTTGGGTCAATTTGACATGGGGTAGGCACTTCGAAAGCTTCCAAGTAGGCTTGAAACTCAGTCCAGCTCTTGGTTTTTCCTCTGACTCGTTTTTTGCGTTGAACATTGACGGGAAGCTTTGAAGTCTTTCCTTCTCGACCAGAGAGCCCGTATACATGAAAATTGCTATTGCAATATCTCAGATGCCGATTCGAGTCCGGAACTGGAGCCCGATAAATTGTTTTGGCCAGCCAAGCCGTTGGGGATTTTTGTCAACAGCCCAGATTATCTGCAAGCTGTTCTCATTCCGTGCTCGAGCGAGACAAATATGGCTTCACAGAAATGATTCAGAGGACGAGAAGATCTGGAAGCCTCAGAGGAATTCTGAATGGCGGAAGGGTTTGAAGCCTCGGAGACCTAAAGGTTTTTGTCTTGCGGTATATAAAGGTTGCGTCGTTGTAATGATCCAACACAGCTATAACATAGTCATAAGTGATAAAAAAGATGTGGGATACAACAGATGGCGTGGAGAGTTGAATCTGTCGCAGCCTTGATTGTATACGTTCCTTCCTCTCTAGTGTTTACACCACTCCAAGGGCAAATGCATCCAACACCCTTCAGGGTCCGGGTATAACACAACAGTCCCCTCAAAACAAGAAGTGTATTGTGAATTTAAATAAACTAGGCGGACAATACATAGCTTGAAAAAGCAGGGAAAGGGGATTGACTCATGTTTGGTGTCGATCATATCCTATCTCAAAGAATGTTGAGGGTAGCAAACTCTGTAGTCACTGGATGTGAGAGGAAATGAGCAAGAGAAGGGAAACTCTTCTGACTGAGAGGTAGACCGCATGCATGTTCCATCAACCGCCTTGCTCAGTTCGTAACGTACGAGTAGTTTCATAGCCATCGAATCACTGCCCGTGACTCTCCAGAGTGGCGAGTATTGCAAGGCTAGGTCTCTTCCGTCGAATGTGGCCTGGGTAATTCTCGTTACCTGGCCTCCAAAAAAAGTAAAAAGCAGGATCTAACAAAGTATTAGAATCGTTGTAGATACAAGGCAGAGTGTAAACCACTCACTGGATGGACTTTGGATCTGCGGAATGATTTGTGATTTTTGTGGTTTAATCGGATCAGAATCATAATCACAATAGCTATCAGCTCATCCTTTGTCAGACCTTTGTTCACATCGTTCATGTAGGCATAAGAGTGACATATCATGGTTGAGTGAGGTTGACCGATGTATCGGTGGATGATCCCTTCCCCCCAAGGGTAACCCCCGTTTAGAGTTGGGTCATTCTCTTTATGTCTCGGCCTGGCAGCCATTTATCTGCATTAATATCAACGAAGAAAGAAAATCAAGCGGCATAAACCTACCTCCATATCTCTTTACCATTGTCCTCCTCCATGTTGTCCACAATACTCCTGAACTCGTATTCAACATTTGTGACATTGAGAAATGGATCAAAAGCGTCATCAAAATCGCCTTGTTCATCGATGTCTAGCTGCTGATATTCAGGAATGTAGCAGGAATCTGTAACACCTTCCATTTTTTCAAGTATTGTATTGAAAGGGTGGGAGGGATCGTGGTCTATGATATCCCAAATGGAGGGACAATGCAAAGGACTCCGAGGTTCTTCTTCCGCTTCGGCAGAAAGTCAGTTCTCAGCTAGATTGTCTGGATGTGGTCGGAAGAAGCAGGGATTGAAATCGAGCATCGTTTTCGGATGTAAGAGAGACCTCCAAAGCTTTTACATCGAGCTGTTCAAGGACGTCAGGGGAGAGAAATAAAGGCTTGAAGTTTTTGAGTTCCTGCAGCAGAGCCTTGAGATAGGGGGACATATTGACGAAAGGTAAAGAGGCGTGAGGTGAAGTTGAAGGATGAAGGTCGCAACGTTGGAAGATCGGGCGGTACCCCGAGAGCGAGAAGGGAAGAACGTGTAAAGTCGACGTCAGCCCCGAGGTCACAAAAGAAAGAGCATTTGATGGGAGATCCACCCAGCTCTACAAGAGCCATTAGCTTATACCAGCAAGGAGGCTGCCGGTTATATACGCCGCTTGCAACTGGCCAAACCCGAGTACGAGGGAAAGCCGGGTCAATTTCAAGACCGAACTCAGCGCATTTCGGGCATCACTTCTCAGTTATTCCCGATACGCTACTTTTTCTCTCCTTTTCCTTTAAAAACTTCGAACATTTGCGCAAGTAAAAAGCTCTCTTCTCCAACGCTCTCTTCGATCCCCACAAAGCCCCCCACATATACCCCCGAAGTGTTACGCACAGTCACTGAGGAATCACCCTGTGGTCGCTTATTTCACAACGACATGATACAATCTGCTCAGTGTCATTTATTATGCTCCTTGCAGTGATGATCAGCTCTGCAGATACCAATGATTCCTGCCATTTCCCATCTCTCAATTCCAGCCCAGGTATCAAAGAGGGCCTTCAACTTTTGGATTACCTCGCAAGCTATCAGAATAATGCCCGGGCCTTAAAAGAGACCTTGCAAGAATGTCTACCATCATTCATGTAAGATATAGGCTCTGCTGAAGCAAGCAGCCAGACATTAACCACATGCTGTTTCGAACGATGTTAGTCTTGCAACCCTCTTTCTCCCCGTTCCCGAGCAAAGCTCATATATAACAGGTTGAGCCATTCCAGTAGGACGATATCTTGTGGACGTAAAAAAACTAGACAAAAATAAAAACATTCATGGATAGGACAGTGAGGATTCGCTGGTGGTCATCCACCCAACTACTGACTCACCGGCGTGTCACTTACAGTAGAGTTTTAAAAGTATTTGACCCTAGATACTTCAACCCAAGACCAACCTTCCAAAACTGCCAAAGACCCCGTATAGTATGACATCCAGAAAACATTGGAAAAGACAGCAAAAAAGACAGCAAAAAAGACAAAAGCTCCCAGGATTCCACCCTTAGAATATTGTTGCATCACAAGGTCAGGCTAAAAAGGGGAATCCAAAGTATCAGGATTAAGTACTTATGAAACTCCACTGGAAGCGCAGTCAATCGTTCGGATTAACCTCACTTGTTTAATATCAGGAGCCCTCCCAGACCCCCCTAATTTGGAATGTATGTGGTCTCAACTGCGTTCCGCCAACCAAAGACATAGCTCCGCCTATTTACTCACACCAGTACAGTAGTAGGTGTCTCTCTGGAACATAGTTCCGCACTTCTTGCCATCATCACCCAAAATCGTGTTCCACTCATACAACTGCTTCGGAGTAATGTCGTGATCCTTGGCGAAGTCAATGCAGTTATCACCATCCTTAGCCTTGGCGTAGTCGCTGCAGTTGTCGGGAATGCTGTTGGTCTGAGTAGGGGACGGGACGGCCCCGCTTGTTGTTGTGGGGTTGGTCGTACTGGTGGGCTCGGAACTAGTGCTTGTGTCTGCATCGGTGGTTGAAATCTGGGAGGTTGATGTGGCCGTGGGAGTTGGGCTAGGTTCCGACGAAGTAGTCGAAGTCGAAGTCGAAGTCGAAGTCGAAGTCAAAAGCGGCGTCGAAGGCATCGGCGTACTAGGCACAGCCCCCGAAGCCGACGAACTCGCTCCAGACCGGCCGTCCATACAATATCTATACTCCTTGCTGAAACTGCAACTGGTAGAATTCCCTTTGCGCTTCTCCAGAGACGGATTCCACTGGAGCAGATCTGCTTTCGAGATGTCCCAGAATGCCACAGCCACTTGGCAATCGCTGTAGTCCGCGTAATTGTATTGCAGATCGCGCCCGTCGACGAAGCTCTCGCATTTGCTCAATGTACCCGGGGCGATGGGGCGCTTGTCAGGGTTATTAATTGGCGTGTAAGTTGCGTCCGGGAGATCGCCCCAAGGGACTTTGGAGACAGAAGGCATGTAGCCTGGAGCACCGGGGTAATTATCCATATCTTCGACGGGTTTGACACAGTAACTGCGGCCAGCTATGAAGTTTGTGCAGCTGGGTATGTCAGGTTTGCTCTGACAGGAGGGGAGGGGACCTGATTCTGGGCTTACTTCTGGTTCAGGCCTGGGTTCAAGATGAGGAAATTATCACGGCTGATGGGGAATTTCTGCACGATTGTGTCACAGGTTTCATTGGTCTTGGGCGCGTAATACTCGCCGCAGTCCTTGGTGCTGTTGTTAGCGAGGTTTGTCGGCACAGGGACGGCCGATGATGCTGTGGGCGAGCCTGTGGCAGAAGGAGCAGAGGATGGAGCGTGGTATTTCTGCCCCGGCTCATCCATGCAGATTTCTGTGCCAACAGTGCGGTTGAAGTTATAGCAACCCCCGTCAATCCAGGGGTTGTAGGAGCGCAGCTGGACTCTCGTGATATTGTGTTCCTTCGCAACACTCTTACAGGTGTCGCCCTTTTGGACTGTGTACGTAGTGCAATAATTCTTGATACAAAGGTCCCCGGATTTAGGGAAGTTAGCGCAGTAGGCTTGGAGTTCGTTGTCCATGAGAAGTTGGTAGGTGGCAACGCTCTGTGACCTGGAGACCGACTGGCAGGTGTCTCCGTCCTGAATTGTGTACTTCTTGCCGCTGCATGTACTAGCCGTCGGACTGGCTGCCACTGATGAAGTGAGTGTGCTGGATCTACGGAGCATTAGTGTTTGTTTCAGTGGTTCGTCGATTTTATTCAACTTACAGATGAGAAACCATCGAGCTAGGAGACATCGTGGGCTTGGCGGTCACCGGGTACCCAGTGAACCCGCAAGAAGAGGTATAACTGGGGTACGCGCTCGAATACACATCAGGCCCGCTGCCGTAAGGATACCGGGCCTCGTTGCGAAGCTTGAGCAAAAGGCATTTGCTGCATTCATCTCCACCATTCTTGGTGATGTTACCCAGGACGATGTTGCAGTACTCGCCTTTGTTTTTCAAGCAGGTCTGTTGGAAGTTGAAGAGAAGAGTATCGGCGACCTCAGAGATGGGATACACTGTACCCAAATCGTTGGTGTATGTGGCGCCAGAGCATTCGGCAGTCACAGACTTTTTGTACTCCATCAACTCGTCGCGACAGTCGCTAGTGCAAATCTTGTCAAGACCATGCTGTGAGTAATAATTGTTGGAACTGAGACTGTGCACAGCCGAGATGCAGGATGTCAAATTGGTAGTGAGTGCATCTGCACATTTGTTATTGTAGTCATCGACATAATTGTCAGGAACGGGTTGAAAACAGGTAATGAGAGTAAATAGAGAGAGCAAAAGAGTGTACCGCGCAAGCGAATTAACGAAAGACATGGTCGGAAGCATGGACGGGATAGTTGGGGACTGGTCGAGGCATGTTCATGTATCAAGCATTATATGCACATGAATTGATGGGTGCCAATTGAACAAGCATTGGCCCCATCATTCTGCGGCGACTTGAAAATGCGATGGGCAGGTCAATGTCCGTTTGAGGTAAAATGCAGCGTCTTGTTAGGGTCTTTTTTCCACCTCGAGCTCCACATCCCGTGTCCCTCTCGTGTCCTCCCGGAATCTGAGTCGCTGAGTCTGTTGACATGTGCTTGGCCCCAGGGTCTCTTGCACATCAGTTCCCTTTAGGTATCCTTGGCCCCCTCCTGCCCCTCCTGGGACGCCTCGATTCTGCGACAATTATGTGACAATTATGCACACTCTGCACGGCTGGGACATCGATTTTCTTGGCAAAGTGTTGGATTGGAGCAATTAAGATCTAAAACCAACTAAAGTCACACTAAAGTCACAGCCGCGTGCGTGGTTTATATTCTTTTGTTTTGGCCCCCGGATGATCGGCAATCAGGCACGGATGGGGCTTGATTGGCTGACTCTCTATACTTCGGCTACAGTACGCTCTTTCCGCTGTCCGATCCCGCTGAGAGAGGAGTTGTGAGTTATCGTCCGGAGGAATTTTGAGAAGATCAGCCGTACCTGGCTCGAGTTGCCTCTCGCAGGTTGATAGTATTTAGTTCTCCACGGTCGACCCTCTCTCGGTGGCTCAAACCCGTTCATTCTTTTTTATTCCTTCATTCATTCATCACTTGATTTATTTTTGATACCTTCATTCTTTTCTCCCTCAACATGGCTCGAGGGTTACTGAGCCTGTTCTTTCTTTTATTTCTACTTTCAATTGCTACAGCCGACCTTGCTGGAGACTTGAGCAGCGAGATAAGCTCACTAAAACTTCTCGGTGATGACAAGTACAGCTGCAGCAAGAGTAAACCATGCTCAAATGGAGCCTGCTGCGGTAAAAATGGTGTCTGTGGCTTCGGTAAAACTTACTGCGGTACCACAGGCAAATCTCCCAACGACGCCTGCTGGAGTAACTGCGATGCACATGCAGAGTGCGGCAAAGATGCAAAAGAGCCTGGCAAAGCCTGTCCTCTCAACGTCTGCTGCAGTGAATTTGGCTTCTGTGGTACCACCGAGGAGTTCTGCGGGGATGGGTGCCAGAGCAAGGACAAATGTGAACAGCCTGACTCTGGGGCTTCTTCCGGCAATGTCCAGGAGCGCATCATTGGATACTATGAGGCATTCAAGTATGATTCGGACTGTCAGGGCATGAAGATCAAGCAGATTCCCGTTGAGAGCTTAACCCACGTTAACTGTACGTCTCTTTACACACTATCATCTGGACTTGATTAACTGGTTTTGAAAAGATGCCTTCGCCTATATTGACCCTGATAGCTACGACATTGGTCCCATGCCCGAGGTTGAGGAGAAAACCCTGAAAGACTTTACTGCTCTCAAAGAGCGCAACCCACATGTCGTTCTTGGTGTCTCACTCGGTGGCTGGACCTTCAACGACAATAAAACCGACACCCAGAAAGTCTTTGCCGAGCTCAGCTCCACTGAAAAAAACCGCTCCAAGTTCATCGACAAGCTACTCTCCTTCATGCGTCACTATGGCTTCAATGCCGTAGATATTGACTGGGAGTATCCCGGTGCTCCTGATAGACAACCCAAAGACTGGGACTCAACGGACGATGGCAAAAACTACGTGAAGCTCTTGCAGGACATTCGGAAGGCTTTTGATGACCAAGACCTTGAGTATGAGCTCTCTTTTACAGCTCCAACTTCTTATTGGTACCTCCGTTGGTTTGATATTCATGAAATGGTCAAAGCCGCGACTTATATGAACCTTATGAGCTACGATCTCCACGGTGTCTGGGACTCTAGCAATCCCATCGGTAGCCACGTCCTCGGACACACTAACATGACGGAGATAAACCAAGCCCTCGATCTTCTCTGGAGAAACGACGTCCCTGCTAAGAAAGTCAACATGGGGTTGGCCTTCTACGCCCGAACATTTGAGCTCAAGGATAAGAAGTGCAAGAAGCCCGGCTGTGCCTTCAAGCACGGGGGCAAGAAAGGCGCCTGTACTGACACCGAGGGCATTCTGTCCTACAATGAGATCGTCGGAATCATTGCAGAGGACGACATCAAGCCCGTATACGACAAAGAGAACGCAATCAAGTATCTCGTCTGGGACGAGAACCAGTGGATCTCATACGACGACCAGCAGACATTCCAGCAGAAGATCAAGATGTTTAACGAGAAGGGCCTGGGTGGCCTCCTTATCTGGGCTATCGACCAGGATACCCGAAATCTCGATGCGCTTCGTGGTGTTCTTTACCCAAAGGACGTTATCATGACGGACAGTATGAAAGATGACACCAGCTACTGGGAGAGCCAGCATCCCGGGGACTGTCGAACTACAGAATGTGGTAAGCCCTGTGGCCCGGGCAGCATTGAAATGGACACTTTTAAATGCCCCGATGGTGGAGATAAAGGTGACTCCCGTATCTGCTGTCCTATCGCTGCTGCTCCTGACCCGTCAACCTGCCACTGGCGTGGTGGTGAATCTGGAATTCTTTGTAACGGGCAGTGTCATGGTGGTGAAGTGGCCTTGGCTTCGGCCGTTGATGGAGGCAACGGCCACTGTTCAGATGGTACTTTTCCCTCCCTTTGATTCTCAAGTTCAAATTGATTAACTCTTCCCAGGACGTCAATTTTACTGTTGTCCTATTCCAGAGGTTGCTGCTGGTGGCGGGATCAATTGCGGCTGGAAGGACACTTGCTCGGACGACCAAGAGCCCTTGACGTTTGCCGGCACTTTCTTGGAGGCTGTCTCTGATGTGTTGGACTTCACCGGCTTGGTCGGCGAGGCCCTGGCTGATTACCTGCGCGATGTTGATATTGACAACGAACGGCAATACTGCTGCTCCAAGGAAGAAATCAAGAACTGGAAAGACTGCTACTGGGCTGTATGTTTTTTTATACCCACCGATCAACAACCATTTTGGCTAATACCTATGACAGGGGAAAGGTGGACGATTTGCGAGTAGCTGCGACGACAACCACTGCAACACCGGGCACGAGGTTGAGCTTACTCTAAGTCCCTATGGCGAAGGAGAGGACTGTATGCCCACGTGAGTTTAATCATGGATAAACTCTTATCATATCTAGCTGACACAAGGTAGTTCCCGTCAACGAGCTTTCTGCTGCACGCCCGCAAGTGGTGAATCGTTGTTCCTACCAGTTCCTTTGGAGTATCTCTTTGAGAACCCTCCAGAAAACGCTGATGACCCCGATTTCAACCTCTCGGTGGATGATACCTGGGGCACTGGTGACGCTCAAGGTGATTCCGAAGAAGAACCTGATGTATGTAACCTACTTCATGTACCATAATGGACCTGGGCAAAGACTGACACGTTTAGGATGCTGCTTTTGGATTCGTGGTTATCACTGCTCCTGAGGAGGTCCAAGTCAGCTTGGACAAGCGTGATGGCTCGCCCTGGGAGTTGATGGATTGCCTCAACACCGATAGCGAAGATGAGCATACCATCCGCATGGTCTGTACCGATTCCAGCGAGGACAGCAAGTGTGACCACATTCACCGTGGACAAGGCGCTCCTGGCACTATTTTGCAAATGCCTAATCGCTGTGGTCCTGGTCGGTACGCCGTCGCGAAGGAGCTCAAGAAGTCCCAGAACCAGACCCTCGCAGGCCATCTGAATAAGCGTGACCTTGCCGGGAGATCTGTCTACGACCTGACATTTGATTATGACTTCAAGCGCGTCCCTCGTGACTTTGGTGACGCCATGATGCGAATTGACTATAGTAACCAGCCTGGATACTGGGACTCGGTTGTCGACAGACCTGGTGGTAGTGATGCCGAGCGAAAGAGCAAACGTGCAAAGCGAGATGAATCTGGTTTCCACAAAAACCGCAAGCGCTGGCTCGAAGAAGAATGGCGCGAGGCGTATCACAATGAGGGTATGGAGCGCCATGAGGTCCACAAACGCTGGTTCGGCGAGGATATTCTCAACTGGCTCGCTGAACTGATTATTGTCGGCGAGGCGGAGGCCACAAAAGAGCTTAACCACAAAGTCAATGAGAAGGTTGAGCTCATTCTCATAGATCAGCAGTTTGGGCCGTGTCCTGTTGGTAAAGCTCAGGCCCAGGCGAACATCAAGTCCACCATTACAGCTGAGATTGACGTCGAGACTTCCTTCGGTCTCACCATAATCACCACCCTTACGAAAGGAATGGATCTCAGCAGATCTTACCTCTACTTCCGAAACGCCGGAGAGGTAAACGCCAGGTTTGAACTTGATGCCGTTGCCTCCCTAACCTACTCTACCGGTGATATCAAGCTGCTCGGTCTCGACGACTTCCCCGGTGCCACTTTCCGCGTGCCTGGGGTCGTCACAGTCGGCCCTAACCTCGCCGTCTATGCCTCCGCCGATGCCTCTCTTGTCTTAGCCGGCCACCTCGAGGCAGACGTTACCCTCGCATCGTGGGAAATTCAGCAGACGTACCCTCAAAGCGACAAACACCCTGATCAAGCCCTGGAAGAGCCCGACCGCGAAGCCAAAACCATTGGCAAGCCCTCCTTTGACGCCTCTGTCACTGCCAACGGCGAAATTGCCTTGCATCTCAAGCCCACTGTCAGCTTTGGAATTGACTTCGATGACCGTTGGAAGGTACCCCGGTGCGCCGTCGATCTTGTCCTAGACGGCTATGTGATCGGACACGCGCAAGCCCACGCCTCATTAAATGGTGACAACAGCTGCCCCTTCAGCTATGGTATTGATGCCGGCTCGACAATGTACGCACAACTCGACGCGCCTGAAGAATTCGGATGGGGCGATGACCTCCGCGTCACACTCGCTGAGGTGCCCAGGAAGCAGATCTCGCCTTCGACTTGCGTAGGCGACAGTGGTGACAAGGACAAACGGGCATCTCTGGGCTATGAGACTCTTAATGCCTCTACAGATGCCGTCTTCCCACATAACCGTGGCCTCATGCCTATGCCGGTGTCCCATAACCTTGCCAAGCGCGACACTCTGACTCTCGGGCCTTTGGTTACAATTCCCGACAGTTTCCTCAACTGTCCCGGAGAAGACAACGGGAAGAACTTTTGTGTGATGTGTTCAATGTTCGGCAAGGAGAGCAGCGACAAGGAGGACTCGAAAAGATCAGTTCCGCCGCTATTCCGCCGCGATGACGATGATACCTGCCCTTACTATCCACCCGGTGATGACGAGAAATGTACCGATTCCGACTCGTCCCTCTTGGCGCGCGCATCAGATCCGAATACCGCCAAGAAAATGACTCTCAGTTTCCTGAGTTCGAAGAAACAATTCACGTACCTAAGGTATCCGCGGTGTAACGCCAAGAACAATGGACCGACGAAGGTGGCAAAGGTAAGCAATTCATACTGGTTGTGTGTCATTAAGCGAAAACGGAAATGCTAACCAGTTTACAAAGTGGTATCTTCCCGAGTTTATGCTCTCCAGCTCAACGGATATCAACGACAACCGACGGTGCTCGGCAAAGACAACCAAAGAGAATTCTAACCAGGGAGCCAACAATGACTACTACGTGGATGGAAACTCGGATCTACCTGCTAAGGTCTTCCGCTCGGAACATGTCTTCGAAGTGCACCTGGTCAGCCATTTCCTGGAGTGGGTGTGCGGGGGAACAAAAGAAGCCAAGTACGGAAATCTGAGAAACAAGCTTCCTTTCCCTGGGAATTGGACTGCTGCCGATGGTACTTGGTGCAACGAAGTGTTTGGAGGTAAGAGCCCCAGGAACATTTTGCAGCGGAATTGACATGAACTGATGGCATTGATACAGGGTCCAGTGGTGGAATGACTTGGTCAAGAAACAACGGCCCCAAAAAGAACTGGGTCCAGCATACAGCCGACTTCTTAGGAAGTGCCGCCAATACTGATCTGCTCGTTCTTTATCACGACTCGCCCAATGGAGTCAAGAAGGTCATCACAGAAGGGAATCAGCCAGAACTCGATATCAGTCTGCAAGAGAAGGGTCTAGCGGACAAGGTCATGATGAGTGCCACCGTTTTTGACTATATCCGAACCCTCAGCGACAAATGGACCAAACCCAGCCAAGACATCGAGTTAATCTCCGACGAGTTCGACCATGAATACACCCGCCAATACGTCAACAATAAACCTTCAGGCAAGGCAATCGAGAAGCCCAAGGCCCCCCGTGACATCAAACACTGGGGTCTGCGTACTCTATGGGCCTATTGGATTGATCGGCACCTTAACGAGATTGAAAAGGTGCAGAGCGGATGGCACCAAGTCGCTAAAACAAGAATGGAAGGCAAGGGCCAGAACAACGCAGACGCGAAGAAGTTTGCATCCCAGACTATGACGAGTGGCGATGCAGCAGTGGGTAAGTTCAAGTTCCCCCAGAAGAACGTGGGGAAACCCCTTCCTGGTGATCCGACGAGTTCATCGAATGATAAGAGTAAATACGGGATGTGGGGAGACAATCAGCTCGGAAAGCTGGGCCTGTAGTAGACTTGGCCTTCGGATGTATAAATGTATAAATGTATAAATGTATAAATGTATAAATGTATATCTGTATATATCTAGTATATATGAAGTGAGTTAGAGCTGCCAAGGTGTTAGTTTTACTTGAGTATAACCTTGGAACTTGTAACGTTTTGATTGGAATTGAAGCCCTAATTTAGTGTTCAACTCCCCGGCCAGGGCCCACCCACGGGCCCGCGGGCTGTCCTTCTGGTTATGTCAGCGGTCTCTTCCACCGGGGCCCCACGTACATCTTTCTCCTCCCCTTATTTTACTTTTCCTCTTCAAATACTCTCTCCCACGCAATTCACCATGTCTGACTCTGAAGAAAGTGATTGGCAGCAAGTGCGCACCTACACTGACCATATTGGTCACTGCGTGGTGTTGGAGCAGTTCGTCGAGCCAGAGTTCCCGCCGGATGACGTTCACTTGGTCCCTTTCCAGGTCTACAGCCTTGTTCCTCTAGATGACGACCACGAGCAACTCCGGGAATACCTGATGCAGAGCTTTATTGACGAAGAGCTCAAGCCTCTGTTCGAGATTTATTCATACTGCCCGCCGGACGCCTTCGCGTGCATTGAACATAACCGCCAGGAAATCGCCCGGCGCAAGCAGCTTCATCGGTCAGGGGTTGAGAATCCACCCCCGCTTATTCCGAAATTCCCCCGTCGGAGCGATGGCACGCTCGGTGGGTTTTGTATTTTGATTCGATCGCACAGCTATCGATTCGGTCAGGATGAGGATGGGTATACTGCAGCGGGCGAAGGGCCGGATTTGCTTTATTTCAACCGCTCGTTTTCTAACACGCGCAATGATATTGACGAAACGCAACGTATTTCCGAGGGTGATGATCTTACGTCCGGGGCATTTGAATTGTCCACCGAACGTATCACAAAACAGTTTAACATCGGCCAGATTCTTATGTTGGATATTTTCCTCAAAGCCGGTCGCCCTGATTTGCAATACGCCTTGGATATAGACGAAGGCGAGCCTCCTCAATCGAATCCGCTGTCCGAAGATCAGATTCGCGACCAATTGAATCAAGAAGCTGCAGTCGGCGGTTTCTCATTTGATCCAACATTCCAAATTTCACAGGATATCGACATCATAACAGTCACCAATGCCGCGGAGAGAACTGTTTGTGATGTTCAATATTCTATTCACGCGCTTTTTCTCGCCCCCGTCCGCGATTCAGCACCGCTCTCTCTCCTGGAAAGCACAGCACGTCTTTTCACGGCGTCGATTGTCTCCCATCTCCCAGCCAACAAAACATTCAACTTCAAATTCTGTATCCCAAATTCTCATTCCTGGTCCGCTATTCGCCCCGCTCAAACCGAAGCTCTATCCCACCACAATCAAGAAAATCCCTTTGCTATCGGAGCTTTGCACACTTTTTCCGCAGACAACGAACAACCCTCTGTCACATATCGCTTTACCCCTCAAAAATCCGACAAATATTTCGCCTCTGCAAAAGAGACGGCCAACACACCATTCCGTCTGTTTACAGTTGCGCTCGATCGCCCCAGATTTGTCTCCGAGGCCGGAGTTTATTTCTACATGGCGGACTTTGATACGTCCGGGGATCCGGACCCTTACTTGGAGGTGTGTCCCGACGATACGCAGATTTTCCGGGTCGAGGATATGAGTACTGTTGCCGGACGATTGGGGATAGTTGTTCTTGACGAGTGAACTGGTTTTGTTTTGTGGTTTACAATATGCATCCGTTTTTTAAATTTTTGGAGATACCACTGAGAAATGTTTGTATCATACATATCCAACTTCAAAGGTTAGATCAGAATCAAGTATGTATAGACGTGAGTGTGAGCTTGGGTGGGGAATTTACTATATGAGCCTGTGTCACTGCTTAGGAGTACTTTAAAGGCCGGAGGTGAGGCCCTTGGTGGTTGTATCTGAATGTAACGAGTCGTACTGGTATGTTATAATGTTGTATGAGCTTTGCCAGGGTATCCCGGGCGCCCAAAAAATAGGGCGGATCGATTGGGTAAATAAAATTGAATCACTCGTCACTCTCACTTTGAGGGGCCAGCCTCATCCAGACATTGAGAGAAAGGACGATCGCTTCCTCACCAATGACCTCTCGTCATAGGGCACCAGTCTTTTTTTCTTTCTTCTAGACACTCCCTCTCAACTCAACAAGCCATCTTCGGCGACCTATCTCTTCATGCCTGAATTATTTGATCCACGATCCTCTAGTGAGCACTTGCTTGAAGACAGTGACAGTGACATAGCAAAGTCTTTGTCCAGCACAGTTCCGCCAGCAAGTTCTGAGACAGTATCAGGCTTGTAATTGAGTATTGCTGACCCGGTGCCTCACTCAACCTCGTCCCAGACCCCATTCGCCATGCCGAATGCAATGTCACTGAACTGGTCAGGCGTCAGTTCGTGTGCCAGGATGACTCGAATCGAATATGTGGTCGCCATGACTGAATCCAGCTCCAGCTTTTTCTTTCCAACCACCTTCATGATGTAGCATAGGAGGGTTTCCATGGGGAAAGATCGTGATGCACGGAAACTGCACTCGACGGTGTCAATATGCACGCTCCGGATGAGGATATCGACTGCCGGTGGACCCATATACTCCTGATAATCACCATCGGCTGCAAGTTTGATTTCACCGGTGGCGCGATCACAGTACTTGCCATCCACTACTGGTGTTTGTGCCTCATCATGCCATCCAGGGCCGTGGAACGACAGGGGATGGCTGGTTGACATCGTCAAGGTGAAGTGGAATGAAATTTCTGGTAGGTAGATTTTGTTTTGATGGGTACTGTTGTGGCCTGTTTCAAGGTAGTGAAGATGAAGAGAAATGGAAGAGGTGGGACAAAAGTGCTTTTATATATGATGGGGTAGAATGTGGGGGATCAAGTGATATCATCAAGTCGAAGAGGTAGGCAGCATCTTAGGCTTGGGCTCAGTTGTGATGGTTCTGGTGTACCACGCCACCAGCAATGATTGGTCAGTGAGCAAACACCCCTGCCACTACAAAACAAAGCCATATTCTTGGCAACCTTGGAACCTCCTTAAAATGGATCAACTTCTACGTGGAGGCTTCTCGATCCTTTTGTTACATGTAGTTGGTTCCCTTACTGGTTGAAGCTAAGAACATCGCATTCAGAAGCGCAAATAGGCCAAGATCAAACATGATTTATTGTAACGACTGTGCTATCTGCTTGTATTTGGCCAGTAGCCATTTGTGGTTGAGGGCATTCCTCATTTCACTTGTGTCGGATGGCAACATTGCATGCTGCAGTGTTTCTAAACAGACCAAGTTAGAATTTTTATCCCAAGCCTCGGCATATGTACAATTGCAACTACACGAGGATTATACGCACCACTATTTTTGGCAGCCACACTTGGCACACTGACCGCCCGACTTAGCCAGAGATGAAGGGTCACAAAGGTAAGTTCCACGGCTGTGCGGCTGTCACGGCTCGCAAGCAAACAGCCGACCCCTACGAGTATACCGATGCAGTACCCGTTGATTTTTGTCCATGGTTATCATTTATTGACCAGTTAGCCGATCTGGGCAGACTCCAAGATTCGACAAGGAAGTAATAACTAGTACCTGGGTAGAAAAAAGTACACAGCTCTTATAAACTAAATCGGAAGAAGCAAACCCGTCCTGATATGTGCCCCAAAGCAATGCGACTCTTATAGGCTGCAAAAAGGCAAGGTCGAAAGTCTGGAGGGAGCCATAATACATTTTGACCATTGACATTGATCCACTGTCCTTGGTCAATTGAAAGTGGTAAAATATCATCGCTTGAAGCGGGACTGGGCCTTTCACGTTGGTCCTCATCATCGAAGTTGGCCAAGTTGTGGATGGCAGATAAAAGATCTTCAGTATTGCCCTCGAATTTCAAGGTCTGCTGCAGGCTGCCCGTCATCAGATCCCAGACACATACGGTCTTATCATTGGAACCCGACACTAGGAGCTGTCCATCGGGCGAAAAGACAACAGAGCGAACTGTTTCCGAATGACCCTCCAAGCTCTGCTGCAGAACCCCCGTCGTAACATTCCAAAGCTTTATTGTACGATCCATAGAGCCCGACGCCAATTGACTCCCGTCGGGTGAAAATCCCACTGATAGCACCCAGTCTGAATGACCATTGAATGTCTGCACTAGACGTCCCGTTGCAGTGTCCCAGAGTCGCACGATGTTGTCGTTAGAGCTGGAGGCTAGTAGCCGGCCATCGGGAGAAAATGTCATCGAATTCACCCTGTTGACCTCCAGCCGGTTGCTTGAGGAAAAGACTACTGAGCCACCGCAGTCGGAATTGCTCTCGAGTTTCTGTTGCGGGTCCATTTCTATCTCCCACACACGCAAGGTTTGATCATTCGAGCCAGATGCCAGTAGCCGGCTATCGGGCGAGAACGCCACCGATGTAACATAGTTGAAATGGCCCTCCAGGGTCTCCTGTACGTTTCCCGTCTCAATATCCCAAAGATAAATAGTCTTATCTTGGGAGGCACCCGCAAGAAGCCGACCGTCAGGCGAGAAAGCCACGGATCGAATCCATGATGAGTGGCCCTGGAGAGTTTTCGTGTCATCCGTCGTCAGATCCCAAAGGGTCACATCCTTTGAGTTACCACCGCACGCCAGGAGCTGACTATCGGGTGAGAAGGCCAGTGAGGAGGCCACAGCGGATATTGTGTAAAGCGACACCAAGTCGCCTGTTTCCAGTTCCCAGACATGCACTTGGCGGTCCTTGGAGCCGGAAGCGAAGAACTGGCCATCGGGCGAGGCGGCTACACAGAAAATCTTATCACAGTTATCATCCAGAGTTTGCTGGAGATCACCGGTTGATATATTCCACAGCCGTACAGTACCATCGCTTGACCCAGACACTAGCACCCGACCATCGGGCGAAAAGCATACCGACTCAACACTGCTGCCATGTCCCTGAAGGGAGTGACGTATGCTGCCACTGGCTATATCCCAAATCAACAGGCTGTCAAGACCATTTTCCGACAGCAGCTGACCGGAGGCTAGGAGCTGGCTGTCAGGCGAGAAAGACAGTGAGGTAACGCAACTGGAAGGGCCCTCAAGCGTTTTTCGTAGGGCTCCTGTTGCTGTTTCCCAGAGCCGTATTCTTCGGTCATCAGATCCCGATGCCACCAGCTGGCCATCCGGCGAGAAGGATACCGAGCTAATCCAGTCTGAATGGCCCTCGAGGATCTGTAACTCTGCGCCCCAAGTTTCGGGGACATGTGGGGATTGACATTTTGAGCCAGGGAGTTCCGACTGGAACTCAGTGCGGATGACTGATGTCCGAGGAGCGAAGAGCAGCCCTGCCCAGTAAATTTGAAGAGGCGCTCGATCGGCGATCTGCAGATTTTTGAGAGTAAAACGCTTTGCATCGCGTATGAGGATGGACAATAGATCATTGTCGTTCTTCTTTTTCTGTTAGAGTTGGACTGAAATGATGAAATGCTGAGTGGAATTCGCACCGGGATAATGGTGGAGAGCACCCCAAGTATCTCCACTACCTCGGAGATAAATCCTAGCAGACTCATCGCTTCCACCCAATGCAGAAAATGCTTTTTGAGAAATAGCAGTATATCATCAGTCGCAAGAGTTACGCCGTGACTTCTGTTGAGATGATATACCCAGTAGCGACAGGAGTATTGTAACTCCGGTGGAAGATAAAGGCGAAAATTGTCAGGATCAATATCGGCCCTACAAGTTCCTGGGCTTACGAGATCGCAGATGTTCCTCCGCAAATTACATCTCATATTATCGAGACAATATTGAGCGATGTTTCCGTGCTTCTTTGGCTCATCCACGTGAAATTCGGACGCAGACTGGACCAGAAAGTCCCGAAGCGATGGGTCCAGAATCCTAACCGTTTGATCCGCATCTTTGGGAATATCCACAGCAAACCTAAAGACATTCAATCGACGGACGAGCTGGTCTGCTTCAATTCCCAGGAGAGCTGACAACGCGTGGGTTGAAATTGGGGCGGCCAAAAGTAGGATAACACCAACTATATTTTGGAAGTCTTGAACATGCTGCAGTTGCTTTAACACATCTTCCTCCTGGTGATTGAGTGATTTCAACAAAATTTCCCGGTGTCTTTCCATGTTGCTGATTGGTTTGGCATGGTTGTTTGCGAGTTCTGAGACGCGTGGGTCCACCGACTCAGACCACGCGCAAAGGCGCAGCGGTTGAGCCTCATCGGATATCGGAAACGTGCGTTCCGGAAAGCCCCGGTCACGTGACTGTATTTCTGATCAAAGTTGATCGACTACCTTACTTGCAACCATAATTGGTTGATTCTGATAGCGATCAAGCAATCTACAATGGAGCGTATACGTAGTAGTGATTGATTGATTTATCGCTAGGCAAAAAGAGGACGGGGAAAAGAAGGAAGAGGGAGAGAGCGAGTCGAGCTATCTAGTGAAGTGGGAAGAGCGCGCTGGCGGTCTGACATCGCAGACAAGACGGCGGGGACGTACTGTGCTTGACAGGGATGAATAGGGGACAAAGCAGGCCCCCTGGGAGGCCGGATTAGGAAATAGTAGCTGTTTCTCAAAGATGTGTCCAGTGTATATTTCTCCCACAGCGCGCTCTCTAGCTAAACCTCACAAGATCTTTCGAAACCAGCCACAGTGGCGCACTATAGGTGCGGCGCGGTTTCCCCACTACACTACATAGTGTAATGGGGAAACCGCGCCAGTACTCATGTGTGCCTCAGGCATCCCAGGGGTATTTCTAGGCCTAATCCCCTAGCATAGCAATTCAAGCATTCCACATCTCTCGCAAGAACAGTATCTCTTTCCTATTCCGGTAGTCCTGGGGGCCTGCGTAGCTCCCCGATCCCGCCGAGCACTGAGCACCCCCGTCGTCTTGTCTGCGATGTCAGACCGCCAGCGCGCTCTTCCCACTATAATAGTTATATTTTTCTAGCATAGTAGCCATTAACTCACAATGGTAGATAGTATTATCCTTATCTTCCTTCTCATTCTAGTATTCACATGTAAAACCAGATAATATAGTGTATACAATACACTCCTAGAGGGCTTTCTAAATATTGTTTTTAGAGAATATATTTTAGATAGTAAAGAAATTTAAAGAAAATCATAATAAAGTAAAAGAAGGGCCTTAAGGCTTTATATTTATATATTTCTCTTAGGATTAGTATAGGTTTAGAGTAAGTTAGCCCCTATCACCTCAAGGGTGAGAATTATCACTCCAATCCTTAACTCTCTCACCCCAGTCTCAAGACTTCTCACCCATATCACCCGCACTCACCCTAGAGTGTCGCTTAGGTGCTGAGGGCACGTTGACTATTGGCTGTGGGGAATATGTGGCTTAAGTACGGCTGAGCGGACGGGAAGCCCTTTTTTCCACACCCTGTGGTCGTATGTGCCCACAACATGAAGAGAAGGGAATATATAGGGCATCTGGGTTTCCCTACCCCAAGTAAGTTAGCACTCCAAGACCGCCACTGAACACAGAACACCATTCGTTCATATTCGGTCATTTGCCTGTGTGTTTAGCACACCCCACAGTGGAGTGTCGAGCACCGTTGCGCCAGACATTGGAAATGCTATGTGGTACTCCGTATGCCTCGGAGATCAAACAGATCAACTGGTCGAGCAAAAATCTACCAATCAAGCTGAGATGCGTGTCTTGTGGGGCCAGCATGGGCGCGTATGCATCTCAGGCTTGCCGGTCACACTCGAGCTGTGCAGGGGAACTCTTGGGGTCGGCTTGATCCCGGGTGGTCAAGCAATGATTTTCAAGCCCATGAATTCATCGAAATCGAAATACACAAGCAAATTCGCTCTGATCTGCGGTCACGATCAGTGGTCTTTGCGTGGCCCTTCCAAGGTTGCTTTGTCCGAATCAAATTCTGACCCCACTCCAAGATGACCAAGTGTCGTTTCTCTTTCTTACGGAATTTGTGTTGTGACAAATGTCTCCAAGAACCGACGGCTGAGGAGGGGGAATACACGCCAAACATTCCCAAATCTTCTGCTGGATTACCGACTTCAAAATCTACCAGAACTGAAGTTTCCGGCGAAGAAGTTACTTCCGGTGTTGTTGCCGCGGAGATTTTTGAGGACCCTTGTGATTCAAAGTCACTTTGGGACGAAGCTTATAACAACTTGAAGGAGGAGGAAGCTCAACTGCTCGATGGATACGAAAAGATCCTCAGTCACCGACTCCGAGATGAGTCTGACGAGTTGTTCCCTGCAAGCCAGGAAAATCAAATCAACCAAAAAGACTCAGAAATCAGGCGATCGCAGATGCGATCGGCGATTGAAAAAGGGCTGAAGAATACAGAAAAGGAAGCAGAATTTAAACAAGGAGCTACGGAGGTACTGCAAGTTGCACTTGGTCTAAATGACATGATCACACTTGCGATCAAGAGGGTTCCAGAAGCCGCACTTGCGTGGAGCGTGGTCTCTCTTTCTATGCAGGTAAGCACCCAAGCCAATCCTGGGAGACTAGTGCACGTGTTGACGGTCGCGAAGATGTTCCTCAATCCTCTACAACAAACTGAGGTCAACCGCGTCGGGATCAAATACGTCATGAGCAAGATGGACTGGTATTGGGAATTGCCCGCTCATCTTCTGCAGGAGAGTGAGGTGAAAAAAGACATATACGCGAAGCTACGATTGGAACTCCGGCAACAAATCGTCGACCTCTACAAGAGCCTACTGTTCTACGAAATTAAGAGTGTTTGCTCTTATTTTAGGCATAGGGGCCTTCAATTCCTCAGGGATTTTGTTCAGCTTGAAGGCTGGGATGGGACTTTGGACCAAATTCAAACGGCTGAAACTGCGCTCCGTCAAAATTCCGAAACCTACAATGTCCACCAGATCCTGGATCATCATAGACAGGATACGAGCATTTTATATGACATTGGAAAATGTTTGGAGGAGCAGAAATGCTTGCAAAAATGCATCTTGGAAGATGAAAAAAATCAGGAATGCAAGAAAGATCTGTTGCTCACAAATCCTGCCGAAGACATGGCGCGTATTGAAAGCAGTAAAGGATTCCTCCTTGCTGGCTCCTGTGGATGGATCCTGACTCACTCTTCTTTCAAAGAATGGGAAGATAGCGGAACAAGCCAGCTTCTATGGATCAGAGGCAATCCTGGAAAAGGGAAAACCATGCTTTTGATCAGTGTTATCAAAAACATGTGGCAAAAGTCTTTCGATTACCGCTTCCTCTCCTTCTTTTTCTGCCAGGAAACCGACAAAGATCTCAATAATGCAACAGGAGTCTTGAGAGGCTTGATTCACCAACTGGTTGTTCAACATCCCACCCTCATCACCTATCTTCGCAAGGAATATGATAATGCGGGTGCAAACATGTTCAACTCTAATCGTGCATTTCATTCTTTGAATAAGGTTTTTCTGAATATGCTCCAGGATCCAAGGGTTGATACTATCTACTTGATGCTGGATGCTCTGGATGAATGTCAGACTGACCAAGCAGGTCTTCTACGTCTCATTCGCGAAACCATGCTTATCCCATCTCGGAAAGTCAAATGGCTCATTACCAGTCGTCATGGCGTGAGAATAGACCAGCTACACGATGTTGAAGCTCAATCAGAGCTCAATCTTGACAGAAATGAGGAAGGGCAAATATCAAACGCTGTCGGCCTGTACATCAATCACAAGCTGAATGAACTTTTCAAACGCTATGAGAAAGTCTATGAGAAAAGAGACAAAGATGAAAGGGAAACTCAAGGTCAAGCATATGACCCCAGTACCTTGCGTTTGGCCCTAGAAGCACTCAACAATGTCAGAGCTGAAGTAGCCAGTGTTATTCGTGACAAGGCCAACGACACTTTTCTATGGGTGGCTCTCGTCTTCCAGGAGCTTGCGCAAACTCACGATGCGCATGGAATTCTGGAAAATGTTCGGGAAATGCCTCCAGGTCTGGACAAGATATATGATAGGATCATGTATAAACTGCTCCAAGAACCTCCAAACCACCTTCAGCACTGCCGTCAGGTGCTTCTGGTTGTATTGAACGCATATCGCCCTCTTCAGTTGCCAGAGTTGGCCCTGCTTGCTGGACTGCCATCAGATCTTCTGTTCAATGCTGGCAGGGTGATTGAGTCTTGCAGCATCGTGTTTCTTCATCCAAACAATCAGACTGTTCACTTTGTCCATCAGTCAGCAAAGGATTATCTTCTCGAGTACATGGAAACAGATCTTCCATCTAAGATCTTCCCTGATGGGCGATCATTTGGTCATCGTCAAATTGTTTCGCGGTCTCTAGATGGCTTTTCCAAGGTCCTCAAGCGAGACTTGTATAATCTGGTACAACCTGGTGCCTGCCTTGCTGACCTTGATGAAAGTCAGATTCCTCGTCCAGACCCCCTCGCCTCAATGCGCTACTCTTGCGTGTATTGGATCGAACATTTCTGCGCAATTCTCAGATACTCTGATGAAGGGGACTCAGATAAATTGCAGTTCAGTGCATTTTGGAAGACAAACTTTCTTCATTGGTTAGAAGCTCTCAGTCTTATAAACTGTGTCTCCGATGGTGTGCTTGCTATGGCCAAGCTTCTCGAGAGTTTAGACGTGAGTGAACTGAGCTCCAAGACTGTCTGACGGTACTGATAAATCCAGGGTATCTCACCAATGCAAAGCGAGCTTCTTTTCGTTAAAGATGCACACCGGTTCATTTTGGCCCATCGGCACATCATTGAAACCCATCCTCTGCAGTTATATTCCGCGGCACTCATTTTCAGTCCAGTCAACAGTGTCGTCCGAAAATGCTACCGGGACCAAGAGCCAGCGTGGCTAACTCTCAAGCCAGTTGTGGAGCATGATTGGAGTCCATGCTTCCAAACGCTAGAAGGACATGAGAATTCCGTGGAATCAATCGCCTGGTCACATGACGGGACCAGGCTCGCGTCTATCTCATGTGACAGTAGTGTCAAGATATGGGATCCAGCTGTGGGTCAGTGTGTATTGAATTTCGATATCAGTGAGAAATTCATCACCTTCTCGGGTGAAAGCTACTCCATAGCCTGGTCAAATGACGGGGCCAAACTCGCAGCGGCAATAGGGGCACACGTCTGGTTTTGGGATGTTGCCACAGGCCAGTGCGTTTACGATCTTCAAGTATGTCCCGACGAAATGGTTCATCATACTATCTGGTCACATGATGCAAGCCGTCTTGCAATCGCATTTTGTGATGCTTTGATGATCTGGGATTCAGTCTCGAATCAATGCATCCGACTGAATTGTCCATCTTTCGACCGAGAATCATGCTCTCTGATTGACTCTTCAAGCCTCGCTTGTTCTCAACAAGGGAATGAAGTTGCAAATGTGCCGGGAAATGCTGGCAGCGAGAGTAGGACTGTCATCCAGTGCAATTGGATGCCAGCTAGCGAGCCATGGTCTAGCTCTGGTTTCAGAAAGGCGATGCACGCGAGCTGGTTATCTGGTGACTCTCGAGTTGCACTCTCATCTGAAAATGGCGCGATCATCTGGGAATTAGACACAGGCCAGTGTTTGACGGTTCTAGAAAAAGGGCTGGGATTCGAGAGATATGAGGCTGGCGCCTGGTCACACGACGGGGCCAGAATTGCAACTCCCAAGTCAGATTGGCTCGAGATTTGGAATTCAAACACTGGCGAGTGTGTTTCAATTCTTGGTGGACATAACGAGGCCATTGAATCCATTGCCTGGTCACCTAATTCACGTTGGCTGGCCTCTGGGTCAATGGATCACAGCATAAAAGTCTGGAATGCAGAGACCAATCAGTCCGTGGCTGCTCCTGTGAGTTTTGAGAGCGTACATTCTATTTGTTGGTCACCCGATAAGACAAAATTTGCAGTCTGCGCTTCAGTTACTGCTGGGATCTGTGACTCATCGGGTCGACGTTTGTCGACTTTGGAGAACTCAACCCGGGGTATTATGTGGAGGTTTGTTTGGTCGCACGATGGTACCAAGCTTGTCTGTGGGCGCAGGGGGGGTGTTCAGGTCTGGGATCCGGCCACCGGGGAGTGCACACGGACACTTGAACGCCCTGGTTCTGATCTAAATGGCAAGGTTCATTTTGGGGAGTCCAACTCCAATCACTTACAGGTCGATGATGAGACATACGACCTGCGGGATGAGACACTTCGGGATATATCTTCCCTCATCACGCGCGAGCCTCTGATTCCCCGACAAGAAGCATTGTTTGGGCTAGCGCGCGGTGAGTCCTGGCTTACAAAGGGGGGTGTGAACCTCCTATGGCTGGCCCCAGCATATCGACCGAGTATTCGTGCTGCATTTGACTCACACGGATCCAATGTGTTGATTGGCTGTCGTTCAGGTCAAGTGCTAATTTTGGAATTCGCCGAAGAAAATAGTTCTTTGTGGGACTGGTTCAATCGAGCAATAGCCATTTCGATGTTTAGTTCCCCATGTTAATCAGAGGCAGATTGAGTGCTGAGAATGATATGTACGATCTTGTTGAACGTTATAGACGAGAGCACCGGAAACAGACATGCACGACAGTGTATTATTGTAGGAGACTAGGAGAAAAGAAGGAGGGGAGAGAGAAGCTCTCGCCATCTGCGCTATCTACTCCTGCGAGGAGCGTGGCAAACAGGACAAACACCGCAAAACAAACGTAAATGCAGAAGTACTTCAATTTGCCCAGGTGGTCCAATGATTGATTTACATGGTGTTTGGGGGCCTGGCCATGGGGATGTATAGCGCCCAGGGTCAGAAAATTTCTGGTATACAGACTGCACTTTCAATAGCTCTAGTTGTATCGAGTATCTTACCGGAATTTGGTGATGGTGAAGTTATTCAACCCAGCTAAGACATCTGATAGCAGAAGAGATCTACGATAAAGCGGATCGCAAAGCAGTAATTCTATTCTGGCAAAACGAAAACGGACGAAGGAAGGAGGAGGAAAAAGCAAGACTGCAAGAGAGGGAGGAAACAAGCTATCTAGTTTGACCTGTCATCATCTGACCAGATCACCCATCCCAACAATATCTGACTTGTAGTTACAAATCAAGATATTGTGACTATACTTTAGTTTGTATCCATAGAATATACCTAAGCTTTATACTTGTCAGAGGTCACTTACAAGGAAACAACAAGTAAATAGGTGAGTGCGATATGGAGCCTCTTTGATAGGACAGCTTTGGTAGTACACCAAGGCATCAATATTGATTCGGACATAGACTTTCTTGCCTAGACATTCTCTGCAGCAGGAGTAATTATGAACGGAACGTAATAACAAGTTCCAAGGTTGGAAGATCTTCAACACTGGAGATTTACAAAGAAGCATAGCGTCTAAGTTACTCCGTATCGTTATGTACCTGAATTTTCATTATCGGTGGGCCCAAGGACCGCAGTCAAACCCCAGCCCATTTGCAGGTTGGGGCAGTTTAGGTCAGGCTCTAGGGGCTGGTGCAGAAGCCGAGGAAAGTGAGCCCAGCAAGCTAAATCAATAGCCCCAGGGTTTCAAACCAAAACGCGCGTTCTCAGGGTGAAAGACTAGGAGTGATTGATTTAAACAAGTACTCCGTAGCAATTTAAGGTGTGGTGTATGTGGGTTTAAGGAACGTCAGTTCCCTGGAAGCCTCAGCAGGTGGGGCGGTTAACCCATTGGTCTGTTCATGAGCTCCAGGCTCATTACTTTGAATATGGTGTAGCGAGTTGCCGACTTTTGTGTGGCATTTAGAACATCTGTAGAGCTGGTTTGAACTGAGTTAGTGGTTTCACTTCTCGGGTCCTTGCTCCAGGAATCCGGCTAAAGCTGGTGGCTTGTAGTTTTTGACATGGGGGTTGTTTTGACTTGACCTTGACTTTGATTGGTGTCTTGTTGTCGCTGGGCAAAGCCTGGGTGAAAGTGGCAACCTTGGAAGGTGAGTACCTGTTAAAATACCCGAAGACGCGGTCAAGGATAGGTATTTTGGGTGGTCATTCCTGTGCCTTCACAGCTGTCTTTCGTCACATCTTTGATATTCACTTCTTCCTGAGCCGCGCTCTAGCGCGGCATTGTGGTACGTCGTGCAACGAAAGATGCCGAAGCCCCAGGTTGTGAGCCCATCCTCCTTGAGAAGTTGCTCGACCCGATCAGCCTCGTTCATGGATGAAGACATCGTGGGATCGCGCTTTGAACAAGAGGCCATTGTGGTAGATGTTGAGAGAGTCCTGAATGTGTTGAAATGTGATGTAGACAAGGACTTTGCGAGACATGAGGGATGTTCGAAGGGGAAGCGAAAGAGGGTTGGGCGGGTAACGCTTGGGTAGGTGAAATGGCGGTAGATCGGTAGATAGCGTGTAGTTTGAAATATCCTCCTAGAAGTCATTACTGCGAAGGCAGGCCTTGGCTCTGTCGAGACGAGATCAGTAGTGGAAAGAGGTGGGGGCTAGAGGGTATGGTCTAGGGGAAAGCAGGATCTTTGAGGTTTGAAGTATTTAAGGTGGAGATGCAAATATTTCCTAACACACTTGAAATCGCTCTCATCTCGGGTTCCCATGACGAAACACTAAACCCGTCTGGGATAGGGGAGAAGTGAGAAGAGAGGTGGAGAAGTGGAGGAGCCTCGTAGGGTCGGCCCGGGAAGGGATTCGCGGGTCCGTGGGATCGGCTCAGAATAAGTTCGACAAGCCTCATTGCCGCATGCATTGGCTTAATCTCATATTTGAGAGAGCTATCATCAAATTCGGGATCTCGTTTTGACTGCCTTTTTGACTGCCTTTTTGACTGCCTTTTTGACTGCCTTTTTGACTGTTCTTCCAACTAATCATCAAGTAAACGTGACAAGGTACATTTGGATGAGCAGTCCAGCAAACCTCTCCCAGTCAACTCGGTATCAATTTGAAGACGATATATTCTTATCAACTCATCATCCAAGCACATACGACCACAGGGTGTGGAGAACAGGGCTTCCCGTCCGCTCAGCCGTACTTAAGCCACACGCCGGTGAGTTAGTAGTTGGGTGGGTGACCACCAGCGAATCCTCACTGTTGTATGTTTTTTTGTTTTTCGTTCTATTGTCTTCGCCTTGTTGATTTCGAGAGTATTTATAACTTGGCTGTCTTTTTTTCCTGAAAAAATTATCGAGTAATGGTGATTGGTCGAGTAAAGAAAGTCTTGGCTAAGCCGTGAACAGAGAATTAGGGATTGTAAAGGAATTGGGGAGTCGCGCACTATGGTCATGAATTAAGAGCAATTTCTTAGATATCGTAGTTTGATGGCAGTGGAGAAAGACCTCCGCGGTGCAAATTCAAGTCTGGAAGGTAAATCACTTACAAGGAAGCAACACGCCCACGGGTGGAGTAAGAAGTATGCAATATAGGATTTCATCAATTATATAGCTTTAATAGTACACCAAGGCTCCAATAATCACTCAGGCATTAACATCTTGTCTATCGTGCTGCAGGCTCGTTGTTTCGTCTCAGATGATCGAACATCGACTCAATCACACGCGAATCATCGCGCAGGTGGAAGATGTTGGTAGAATGACCAGATGGGCACCAATGTATGAGTCGGTGGTTCGCGGGGAGATGTGTATGGTATTCATAAAAGTGCAGTGTGACGCCAATGGCCATGATTGCCCAGCACCGGCCATGCTCCGAATTAGCACTCTCAAGTGCTGTTACCAGCTGGTCTATGGTGTCTTCCAGGCTTCCATCAGAGCGTTTTGCCTGAACCAATGTATGATCGAAAAGGCCTCGATCCCTCGCAGAACGACGTTGGAGGCGATAGACGACAAAGTCTGGGTGGCTGGTATTGCGATTTTGCTTGGGAGCTACACCATGGCCCATCGTGAGGGGAAATTCATGATTGAGAGCAAAGCTCAACGCTTTCACATTGTCCTCGTATTTGGAGTTCTCATCAAGAAATGCGATGGATTGGTCGATTATTGGGAGGGGCAGATAGCTCTCCATGGCTCTTGGGGGATTTTTGAGTTGCTCGTAATCTGTTTTGTCGGGATTTCAGGGTTCATTGGCTCAAGTTATGGCTGAATCGTGTGATTAGGATGGAGAGAAGATGCTGGAATGTTTTGTGAGATCGTCGCCTGTTTCAAGGCTGGCCAATTGTCATCTAACCCCGCTTTTTATTTGAAAGAGTTCACTAACAGAACAAGCGACAAAACAAAAAGGGCGCAAGGAGGAAGAGGTACACAGCCGGATGTCAGAAGACTGTTTGCTACTAGAATCCAGCGAGAAGATGACAAAGGTTGAAAGGTTCTTGATTCGAATCAACTGGGCAACTTGAGCCCTACAAAGAGAGAGAGCTAGTGAATCATAGCCCAACGCCCAAGGGTACTCGCAAAACTGAGCTTAAAAAATACATCCCCCACCCGACCCCGTGTTCGCTCCACGCCCCAAATAACTAATGTGATCTGATTCCATCACAGTCAAACTTCCCTGGACACTCATTTGTACCCCAGGCCTCCCTGCGCTTGAGGGGGTGGCTGTTGGATAGGCTGTTGTTGCCATTGGGCGCCAGGAGGCGGCTGGATGCCATATTGCATACCTGCTGGGGGCCTCGTTTCCGGTGTGATGTCCGGTCGGTCACTGGAAGCAGCATCAGTACCTTTTCTTGGGAATGGTCGAATTTGGCGTTGTGCATTCGGATAATGCTTACCGTAGATCTTGAGAGACGCGACATGTGTGGCAGATGACCTCCTATTGTTACATTAGCGACTTGCTCAAAGGGGACGGGAAAATTTGCTGGGGAAAACTCACCTGGTACTTGTGGAAAGAGAGGGGAATCAAGGGCTAGACATATCAAGTTAGGCATATCGAACGATCCTGGAAGACAACGGTCCATAAACATACAATGAAGCAAACGGTAAAGAAAGGCCTGTCGAGGAATTAGTTGATATCAGGGTTTCCGACATAAAAGGATGACCTACCACCGGGTGATACAATGGCCATTCCAATGTTGGCCTAAATAGGAAAACCCGTCAGCCCTGGAGGTTGATACCGCGACCAGTGACGTCAGAACTCACAGTTGTAGCAGTACGCGCGAACATTCTCATAGCCTTCGAGCTGAGAAGAGAACTCTGTGATGATTGTCAGTATGTTATATAAAATCGGGCCCATCTCCGCGAACAGCAATCCCCACGCGGTACTCAGGGACAGGATCCACTCTGGCGCCTGGGTCGCGAGTCCAAGCAGAATCACGTACCATGTGTTCCGAAAGTGATACAGAAAGCCATGGTCGCTTGCAAAAAGGTGCTCTGAGCCAGATATACCGGAAAGAACAGATCAAGGGCTACTTGAAGATCGAAAGTGAAGGCAGCGGCATTGAGGTGTGGCGGCGCTGTGGCTTGGCAACTTGGCAGGACACACGTGACGTCACGGCTTGTGACCGCTGATTGGCTGAGTCCAGCTCTATATGCACCTACTATTCCATTGCTATTTTTTCGGTAGGCTGAGCGGCTAATGACATGAAATAGGGGTTACCTAGGTAGCCCATTGAAATTGGTGAGCTCTTCAAGATACGCTGCTTTTTTATTGTTTGGTGCTTGATTGTTCCCGATTCACGGATGTTGCGAAATATATATGTGTATGCACTTGGGCATGGGCCCAGCAACCTTCAATATTGAACACATGCCCAGGTGCCCACCTGGGCACCTGGTCCACGGGTAATCTATGGTTATCGCCGATGTCACCCGGGGGCCATCATGGACCCCGTAGAATCAGTGCATGCACGCCGAGGTAGGTACCCGTCGACCTGAGCACCCCCAGGTCGGGTAGCTACATTCAAAGTAGAAGCCTTAGAGCCCAACCTTGGAACCTTGAGAGGTTGTACCTAATATGAGTTCATTCAAATCTCAAAGTCTACATCACTATACAAGTCCTCTGTTCCAAGGGTTCTAAAAACCCCCAGCTTCAGCCCCAGACCTCGGGAGGCCCAAAAAGATTGCTGCATAGCAACCCGCAGGCGCTGATCTGGGGTTTCTAGGCCCTGAGAAGTGGATGGTGACAAGCCAGGGCCCGCCCTCGCAGAGAATAATTGTATAATCGTTCATGTGCATGCGCCTTATCTCACAAATGGGTATTCATTTCAGCGTAGCAAGCCCAGAGCTCCAGGATAATTTGAAGATAAAAAAAGTCGCTTGAAAATCACGTCTCTCGCATATCCGCGTATATTTACTGGGTCTTGAAGAGGAGGATCGCGCAGTGACCGAGGTAGAAGTAGATGAAATGTTTGGTTTCTGGAAATGTGTTAGCCGATGATCATCGTGATAGAATTGCCGCCTCCAACGAACCGTGTGTCACGAAGCTTCCAAAGTTGCGGCCAACAACACAATGCCAGGTAGCACCTTTGCGTGAGTCGAACTGGTGTATGGGGTTAGTGATTGGATCGAGGCGGGGTAGGTTTGGCGGACCTCTTTCTTGATGTACTGTGCGATATCCTGGGCATGGTTAGCAGCGTACGACCAAAAGAATTGGAAGTTGAGAGACTCACTTTCTCGACACGGAATTTGTCCATGGCCTCAATCGCTGCGGGATAGGTCAGATAGGGTTGTTAACGGACATCATCTTGTGTGATTCATACCAAGGGCGATAGCCTCCTGCTGCATATCTTCGGTCTTCAAGAATAAGTCAGGTCCAGTCAAACGTCACTTTCAGTCCAACGGGACTCACCATGTCAACAGACTTCACCTGTGCTGTGAGACTATTAGCAAGTTGTGTTTGACTCAAGCGGAGACGATTCTCACCTTCCATCTTCTCCTTGCTGTCGTTTGTAGGAAGGTTGGCCATTGTTGCAATAAGAGTAAGTCACAAATGTGATTGGCGAGAAGGGTGTGCTTTGTATTGGGGATTAAAGAGGTGTGGAGGAGGAAAGTCAACCACCCGTATCGCGGCACAGCTGCTGGGGTAACTTTATTGCCCGTACCCACCACAGACCGCCCCCTCTACCGCCTTCGGCACTATGAAAGAAGAAAAAAAAGTTTTCCTCTATGATTCTTCAAGCTTTTATCTCTTCACAACACACCTTCATTATGGAGAGTACAAGAGTGTTTGTCGGTGGTCTTCCACCAACATGCTCCAATGATCAGCTCAAGAAGCATTTTTCAACACGCTTCCAAGTGACAGACGCTCATGTCCTGCCTAAACGTAGGATGGGGTTTGTCGGCTTCAAGAGCCATGAGGCAGCTCAGCAAGCTGTGAAGCACTTCAACAAGACATACATGAAGATGTCAAAGATCTCTGTAGACATCGCTCGTCCGGTATGTCACTCGTCATTCAATTTTGTTTCAGCCACTTTCCTTTCGCCCGTGCACGCTGACCAAAGAAGGTGGTCTTGAGACTGACCCGTATTTTAGATCGATTCCAATGCCGCTGAGGATGCTCATCCTACACGGAGGCGTGATGCCACGAACAATGATTCATCCATGGACAGCAACCTCAAGCGGAAGAGGGAAGACAAAGCACAGGATCCTAAACTCCAGGAGTATCTCTCTGTAATGGGAGGGTCATCAAAGACACGGACCTGGGCCAATGATGATGACATGATCAAGCCGTCTGCGGAACCTGTACCCGTTATTAACCAGCCTACCCAGGAAGAAGATGAAGAGTTCCAGGAGCTACCTTCACACCCCAAGAAGGCCAAGACAGAGAAGCCTGCTGCTGTACCACAGCCTGCAGAGCCTGAGCCTATGGTCGTTGACCAAAGTGGAGAGGATGAAAATCAAGAAGCCCCTGAACAGGAACAACAAGCAGAACCAGAAGTGGAAGCAGCTCCATTGTCTGATGCGGATTGGCTACGTTCCAAGACAAGTCGTCTGTTGGGCCTCCTCGATGAGGATGAGCAAGATGAGTTTGAGCAACACAAGACCGAGGCGAAACCCGCTGCGGTTGCTGCGGCTCCAGTAAAGGCTCCGGCGCCCTCCTCGCCTGGCGATGAGTCGCTCCAGGGCGACGAGGAATCCCGCACTATGGCTTTTGAGAGTGTTGCGCCCAACACGACTGACGATGACAGCAAGACCCAATCAAGACCGGAAGATCCGAATGTCGACCTCATTCGCAATTCCGCCCGTCTATTCCTTCGAAACCTTGCATATGACACAACAGAGGCGGATCTTCAGCCAATCTTCGAACGCTTTGGCAAACTTGAAGAGGTTAGTGCTGATTCATGTTCATTTCTGTTTCCCACACACCCACACCCAACTGGCTTGCTGTTTTCAGCCTGCTTCCCCCGAGTGCTCGTATGATGATTTTCCCGATAGGGACATCCGATGCAAATTGCAAGTGATGTGAACTGGACAAGAGATTTTAGTAGATGCTTCTTGACTTTCTGAAGAGCCCACTCCAACATTTACACTTTTACACAAATGCTTGATTCAATTACGCTGGATACTAATTGGATACAGATTCACATTGCTTTTGATACTCGGGTCACAGCCAGCAAAGGCTTTGCTTATGTGCAATATGCCGACGCTGATGCCGCTGTTGATGCCTATCAACAGCTCGATGGCAAGCATTTCCAAGGTCGTCTCCTCCATATCTTGCCGGCGACTGCCAAGAAGACCTACAAGATTGATGACTACGAGCTGTCGAAGCTTCCCTTGAAGAAGCAGAAGGAAATTAAGCGCAAACAGAATGCCTCTTCTTCCTCATTTAGCTGGAACTCTTTGTACATGAACGTAAGTTTAATCCCAATAAATTTATTTGAAGACCAAAGCTCATATAATCTTAGGCCGATGCTGTTATGTCATCTGTCGCTGGAAGACTCGGAGTGTCCAAGTCCGACTTGCTCGACCCCACATCTTCAGACGCAGCTGTGAAGCAAGCACATGCTGAAACGCATGTCATCCAAGAGACCAAAGCCTACTTTGCCAACAACGGAGTTAACATCGACGCTTTCAAGCAACGTGAGCGTGGCAACACTGCGATCCTGGTCAAGAACTTCTCCTACGGTGTTAGATCTGACGAACTGAGGAATTTGTTTGAGCCATATGGCAAGATCATCCGAATGCTCATGCCGCCGAGTGGTACCATCGCCATCGTGGAGTTTGCTCGACCTGACGAGGCCCAAAAGGCTTTCAAGGGTATGGCATACCGCAAGCTGGGTGATTCAATCTTGTTCCTGGAGAAGGCGCCGAAGAATCTATTCGAAGGTGCCGCCGCTCCTCGCGCATCTACCTCAGAGGTCCGAGGCAAGGACTCTGGATTCTCGACGGCCGACACCTTCGCCGCAGATGAGGCCGACGACGGTGTGTCAACTGCCACGCTGTTCGTTAAGAATCTGGACTTCGCAACCACCAACCAGAAGTTCGTCGAGGCTTTCCGCCCACTCGACGGTTTCCTTACCGGTCGCATCAAGACCAAACCCGATCCCAAGCGACCAGGACAGACTCTCAGCATGGGTTTCGGTTTCGTCGATTTCAAAACCAAGGCTCAAGCCCAAGCTGCTCTTACAGCCATGAATGGTTACAAGCTGGACCAGCACGAGCTTCTCATCCGTGCATCTCACAAGGGCAAGGATGCTGCTGAAGAACGCAGAAATGAAGACAACGCCAAAAAAGGCAGCAGCCCGCAGAACGAAGATCATCATCAAGAACTTGCCATTCCAGGCCACCAAGAAGGACATTCGGTCTCTATTCGGTGCGTACGGTCAGCTGCGTTCTGTTCGCGTGCCTCAGAAATTCGATCGGACGGCTCGTGGTTTCGGTTTCGCCGACTTTGTAAGCGCTCGCGAAGCGGAGAATGCCATGGATGCGCTGAAAAACACGCATTTGTTGGGCCGAAGACTGGTTTTGGAGTTCGTGAACGAGGAGGCCGTCGATCCCGAGGAGGAGCTTGCGCGCTTAGAGAAGAAGGTAGGAGAGCAGGTGGACAGGGTCAAGCTCCAACAGCTTACCTCTGGTGCCGGGCGCAAGAAATTTACTGTAGGAGGGCAGGAGGAAGAGGCATGAGGCCGACCCTTCTCCCTTGTCTGAGACCACGACCATGGATTGGTTCGTTTACATCCCTTGCAGAACAAGGTGGATTAATGTACCATGTACGATTACTTGCATACTACCAAAAGCTCAGCAGAAGCAAAAAAAGATACCCCGAACCAATTTGGAACACGTTCCTGCGGCTGTCAATTGACTTGCAGGTACTTGCAGTCCCGTCCTCGTGCATCTCGTGTCTCTTCCAATCCAGGCGTAACCGTAACCCTACTTTTTACCTTACACGCTTCCTTTCCCCCACTCCCTCTAAACTTCACCTTGGATTGCAGGGTCAACGGGCGCTAATTTTGCTCCATCTTTTTGATGGTACGCAGGACAATCAGTAACAGAGAGATCTCCCAAGCCTACATTCCGGTCGTGATGTTTTGGCGGCGGAGCATTCCACGTCCCGCACCAAAAAGCGCTGTCGTTGGACAGCGAACATTCCGACGACGCCATGATTGCCACTAATTATTGTTGGTTCTTGTTGATGCTGGCCCAAGCGATGGATCCTCAAGGTCACTTCGTGCTGCACAAAATCTCCGAGACGCTCATGACTGGATCGTGCTGCTGAGCATCCCTTGCATCCGGGCAGACTTCCTTCATATCGAGCCCTGTGTTGACTCCTGATTTGCTGCCGCAAGGACGGCTTGTCACTGTCCTTGGGTCCTTTGCTCCCCACACTGTGTCTGGACGCGTGCGGGCCAGGATGGGGCCTTGCTCAGGAGTATGGAGCAGGCGTTCGAGGGACGTGGTGCAGGCAAAACCAATCCTGGCGGAGAAATGCTGCTACTGGGGCTACAGTACCCCTCTCCGAGGGGAGTTATGGCTTTCTATAAACACCATCTTGCTCGCTCTCACATTCTCTTTCCCAGGCTCTTACATTCTCTTGACCTCTAGCGTTCTTCGGTCGTTGTTTGTGACTGTGCTGCGTTCTTTGCCAGACAGCAAGCATTCGGCGGTGCCTCTCAATCCCCTCCTCATTGGAATCTGTCATTCTTTTGGAGAAATCCGTCCTTGGTACCACCCATGGCTACTGACTGGCAACCCGAGTGCCTTGTGCCTCAGAACCAGCCGTCACTGGATTCTGTGAGAGCTCATTCTGATCGAGCTCTTCAGAATACCTCTGGGAATGTTCAGTCATACGCAGACCACCTGGCTCATGGTGATGTTGCCACTCGTGAAGAGCAATTGCAACAGCTTGGCTTCAAGTATGCTCATGCCCCTCATCATTCCCAGCCCATGTCCGGTCCCAGCTTGCACAATCACCAACATGTAGCAGCTCGTCTACATGCTCGCAAGATGCGTCGCCTTCACTCTGTTACTCCTAGTAGCTCTCAGTCCCGACGGGCGAGAAGCAGCTACCTCAAGTCCCAAAAGTATTTGGAGTACCGGGCCCGGCCTCGACGGGATACAGGGAAGGATGGTGAGCCAGTGTGGTCTGATGAGTTGGAAGATGCTTTCCAGCAGGGTAAGTTTGCCATGTGCTTGATATCAAGGCCAGAGATCTAATTGTTTTGAAGCTCTCGAAGCAAACCCTCCCATGGGACGCAGAAAGTGGTCCGAACGTGGAAAGTCGTACGGCCGCAACGAGCTTATTGCTGAGTACATCTTCAAGTTGACTGGCAAGCGAAGAACCCGTAAGCAGGTGTCCAGTCATCTGCAGGTGTTGGATTCTTTCCTCAAGGGTGATCCTGATTGTGAGTTGCGATGCATGATATCACCGAGTTTCTTTATTAATCTTAATCCAATGCCGCAGGGGAGCGACTTGTCCGAGAGACATCGCCCGAGAGATCATCCAGTGTGCACAGCTCAGCACCAGGACCCAAATGGAGAACATCGATGGAGCACCCTTCAGCCTCCAACCCCTACAGCGGCCACACTCATTCTTCCTATCATGACAGCATGCGGTCCATGCAGCCTTACGCTGGTGACCTCCCTCCGCCCAACTACACCCTCGGATCCAGCATGCACGACGCCACTACGAGTTCCATCCATGGCTTCAGCTTCGATATGTGGGTTAGCGCTCCGCAGCAGGCCAACCATGTTGACAAAGCACTGCACGCATACACACGCCTCCAGGGTGACCTCCACCATCCCGGTGCGCCTCCTATACCTCTGGAGAATTTGAGTGGATGGCGGTCCTCTTTCCCCGAGCTCGCTTTGATGGTCGATGACATTAACAACCCCATCGACTGTGATATCATCTTCATGGAAGTCAACCTTGAGCTGATGACCGATTTCCCTCCCGCAGGATCACGCCTCGGTATTCAGCTTGATCTTGACTATGGCCACCCTACCGCTGGCGATGTTCTAGGAGTTAGCCAGATGGATAACTGGACCTGCGGCACCCACATCTACCAGGATAGCCAGAAGATCCACGAAACAAACCACGAACTTCCCAAGACCAACTCAACCAAGGTCAAGCCTCTCTTTGAATCATCATGGTGGGCCAGGATGTTCACTCAATTGACCCAAGAAAAGCGCATGGCCGAGGACTCTGGCCGCGCTCAAGAGGCAGATGACCGTACTCGGCGCATCCTTCGCTCTATGACTGCAGTGCAGGAGCTGCGGGCCACATCGCCCAGTTCCCGCCTTGCGAACCAATATCAAGGTCATGGCGACGACAGCAAGCGCATGGCGATTCTTGTCTGGAAGTTCCGTCAAACTCGCCCCGGTGAGGTCGGCACCACAACTTGGAGACGCCTACTCCAAGCACCCGACCGCACTACTACCAACAGCCCCCGTCCTGCCGCTGGTGTCGACCTTCCTCCACTCTCTTTGGACTCTATCCTCCTCAAGCAGCCCTCCCACCAGAGCGTCTACCAGGCTCCTCAGCCCCATGACCTCATTACCCAGGGTCAATCTCACAACCAGTGGCCCATGTACTCCTCATCCCACGATAACGTGGCTAATCTGTTTAATTCTAATGGTCAACTCGACTTCATGTCTTCCATCACCAAGCCCGAAGACAGCCTCAACGACAAAACCGCCGTTACTTCAGTCCTGGACTCCTTCTCCACCAGCCTCGCACCCGAAACCGCCCCATCCACCAGCCTCCACAGCTCCACTGGCGCCCCTGTCATGCTGAACGTCCATGACCTTCCCATGGCACACCCAGGCATGGGCTATAACATGGGCCACGATACATCTCACTACGTGCCCGCGCAACAGCACCCCGTGATGCACGATAGCAACAGCGTGCTCAATGGATTCTTTGGCTCGAATGCCCAGGCCCTCGAAGACCTCGGCCACAGCCAGGCCTCATGGGGTGCTCACTCTGCTTCAATCCCCGGCGATGTCGGTAGCAGCTACCACCATCTTCCTTACCAGGAGCACCATGGCTCTGTGCCGCGCGACTCGCAGCAGCCCCATCACTTCGATATGACCTTGCCATCGGAGGATCTGATGGATAAGATTGTCGGACGCATGTCTCATGGTCCTAATATGCATGGGGCGGGCCCCGATGCCAATTCCAGCTATGGAGATAATACCTCTGTGGACGCGGTATAACGACACCAAACACAAAAACTTAGTAGTAATGATAATCATTCTGGGAGTGGTCTTTTGTCTTCTACACTTGTGATTTTTTTTTATTTTCCTTCTTCGTCTCTTTCTTTTCTTTTTACTTGATACTTATTTTTTCTGTGGGATTTCGGGGAGCTTGGTGTTCGAGGGGTTCTATACGGAGTATACAGCAGGAGTTTGAAATACCATTATTATATCTTCTTATTGTTCTCCTCAAGTGACTTCTACTTTTTAGATTCAACAAGGTCAGAATTCCTCACCTTTTTAGGGCCCCGGATTGGAAAGTGTTTTCCGATTCCACGGCTAAACTGGCCCAAGGGCCAAGCCACTTTAGCCGCCAAATAAATCCAACTTCCTATTTGACCCCAATTTCCCTAGTGGGGCGATTATTTTGTATGGCACAGTAGGCTCAGTTGGAATTAGCTAGAAGACTATGGTGTTATTCCGCCATTTAGCCTGGAACTGTGCAATTTGCAAGCGTAAGGTGGTATTTAAGAGGATGCGGTGCCCCATTGTAGCAGCCAGTTTAGCATAATTAATTCTATTCACAATGGTTGCCCCTACCGTCAAGCTGAGCAATGGCTTTGAAATGCCCCTCGTGGGTTTTGGTCTCTGGAAGGTCAACAACGATACTTGTGCCGACCAGATCTACAACGCCATCAAGGCTGGCTACCGCCTGTTCGACGGCGCCTGCGGTACTTCACACCCCAGCCCTTATCAATTGAAAATAGTCCATTGACAATTCCTCCATAGACTACGGCAATGAGGTCGAAGCCGGCCAGGGCGTGGCTCGTGCCATCAAGGACGGTCTCGTCAAGCGCGAGGAGCTCTTCATCGTCTCCAAGCTCTGGAACAGCTTCCACGAAGCCGATAAGGTCGAGCCCATCGCGCGCAAGCAGCTCGCCGACTGGGGCGTCGATTATTTCGACCTGTACATCGTTCACTTCCCCATCGCTCTGAAGTACCTGGATCCCTCCGTGCGATACCCTCCCAGCTGGACGACCGCCGAAGGCAAGATCGAGCTCGCCAACGCACCCATCCACGAGACATGGGGCGCTATGGAAAGCCTAGTTGACAAGAAGCTGGCCCGCAGCATCGGCGTCAGCAACTTCAGCGCCCAGCTGTTAATGGATCTGCTGCGCTATGCCCGTGTGCGCCCCGCAACACTGCAGATCGAGCACCACCCTTACCTCACGCAGACTCGTCTGGTGAACTATGCTCAGGAGCAGGGCATTGCTGTGACTGCTTACTCTTCTTTCGGTCCTCTGAGTTTCCTTGAGCTTGATCTTAAGCATGCTAAGGATACCCCGCTGCTCTTTGAGCATGCGACGATCAACTCCATTGCAGAGAAGCATGGACGCACCCCGGCTCAGGTCCTGCTTCGTTGGTCTACACAGCGCAAGATCGCTGTTATCCCCAAGAGCAATGATCCCACTCGTCTGGCGCAGAACTTGCAGGTCACTGACTTTGACCTGGAGACCAGTGAGCTTGAGGCTATTAGTGCTTTGAACAAGGATCTTCGCTTCAATGACCCCATGGCTGTGAGTAGAGTGTTTTGTCTTATGAGTTTAGTACTGACAATCTTTAGTACGGCCTCGGCATCCCCATTTTCTAAGCTTGTCCCGCCAAATCCGATGATTCCGATCGGGAGATGATGCGAAAGGCACTGGAAGAAAGCCCCCAAATCACGAACTTAATGCCTCAACCTTGGAAATAGATACCAAATTCCAGAGTCTCTTTTGAAATTCAGAAGCAGCGTAAAACTTGTGTAGATAGCATGAGGCGAAGCATAGCCAAGTAGATCAAGTAGATTGCAAATATCCCGCCAAGAAATGCCGATCTCCGACGTTTTCTCCAACTTCCCCCAAGCAACAGTGCAGCACTCACCAGCAATGGCCTCAACCCTGGCGCGCATAGCAGCGCAGGTGCACATCACCGCAAATCCCAGTCCGAGAAATATAGCAGAGAGCAGACAAATCCTGAGCGCGCTCCAGAAGTTCGGAGAAGTGATCACATACCGCAACCTCAAAGTAAGAGAACCCTCTTCCACAGCCTGTCACCATATTGACCTTCTAATCGTTCTTTCTAGTATGACACAAGCAATACCTCTACCCTCTCAAACCGTCCCATAGTAGCCATCTTCGAGACTGCCGACGCAGCAAACCGCGCAATAGCCTCTTCGCCCATCACGATCTCCCTCCCAACTCCTCCGCACTCCAAACCCAATACACCCAGTCCGTCCGAACCACACTCAATAACATTCGAGATCCAAGAATCGCGTCACAATCATGCTTCAGCACTCAAGCGCAGCCCTTTCTATTCCACCTACAACCTCTTCAAGAACAACCCCATCTACGAGGATCTGATTAGCGACGAGACGGGAATTCCACTGAAGGAATTGGCTGATACACTCGCAAGCAAGAAATATAATATCGGGCCCGGTGTGAAGATTAATATCCAAGAGGATAATCGGAGGATGGGAGCGGCTAGTCTGGTCAATATGTGGAATGAGGGAATGTGCATTGATGAGGAAACTCCCCCGAAGGGCGAACGAATAGTATTCGAGAGCCTGGAGAGATTGCAGACGAGAAGTCGAATGGAGTGCCTTGAATTGGCACTGTGGTTTCAGTCTTTCGGACTCTCCATCGATGCGCAGCGGGGCTTGTTCGTGATGCCATCGATATGCCTAGGAGGTTGAGCAGTGCTCCCTCCACGGGCTAATTAAAATGGCACTGATGCTTGAAAGAAAACTCTGCGCGATCTTGTTGTTGAGAGTGTCGCAATGCCATGTCAGTTTTAGCACTGGGTCAAATTATGCGGACCAGTCGAACCTACGCATCGGCCTGTGATGAACCCCTCCCATATCCAGCCAGAGGCTTCTGATGCCGAAAGATCTTAGAGACACACTGTATCGAACCGTGATGTCGATTAGAGCTCTGGTGATCTATTGCTCTGTGTTGGCGATCTGTATATGGCATATGCCCGCATTCTACGATCAATCTTGGAAAGCTACCACAACTTATTTGGTTAGCGATTAGGTCGCCATTGGATACCATATTGAAAATAATATCAAAATCAATTGAACGTGGTATCAAAATATCAATCAAAATTCTTGCTAAAGTAACAAATCAAAAAAAGAGTCCTTGGTTCCAATGCATCTGAGCAGCTCTGTTCAATTCGCATATTCTGCACTTCCCTCAAGATCTTCAGACCCAGAATGCTTCTCCTGATAAGGTGGTGGTGCAACCTCAGCACCATTCGCCCAGACCTTCTGAAGCTCAGCATCAATCTCCTCGCGACGCTGCTTCCACTCATCAACCTTATCCAAACGCTTGCGCAACTCCTGCAACTCCCTCTCAACACCCAGCTTCTCCTTCTCAGTGCCGATTCTCTCAAATTCCCAGGCCTCGCCTTCAGCACCAAGACCAAGAGTCAAGTTAAAGGTATGGTACTTCTTCAAAGACGCCCGCGTCGAGATGGTAATGAGCGTGATTCCACGCTCCTTGGCATTATCATACAACAAGCCCTCGACGTCTGAAGAGACAGCCGAAGTGCCCTCGTCCATGAACGCATACCGCGGCTCATGATAGAATAGCCGGGCCATACCCATGCGCTGCTTCTCACCACCACTGAGAACGTCTTTCCACTCCTTGCGAGCGTCCCAGCCGCCCTCACGTTGCGGTAAGTATCCCAGATGCGCGTCGTCGAGGATCTTCTGCAGTGCAGCGTCTGACTCGCCGGCCTCGCGCATGTCGATCTCCGTGTGTGGGTAGATGACTTGGTCGCGCAGGGTGCCGACGCTGAGGTATGGTCTCTGTGGGAGGAACATGATGCCGTCGAGACCGAATCCGCGGGGTCGGCTGACCAACCCGCGGTAGACGGGCCAGAGGCCGGCGACGATACGTGGAATGGCGGATTTGCCGACGCCGTTGGGGCCAGAGATAAGAAGGTGGTCGCCGGAATGGACGATGAATGAGAGTGACTCGATGAGCTCATCACCTCCCATTGGGTAGAGGGATGGCGCAACGATAGGAACCTGTTCCAGACGGAGCCCGTCGAAGCCATTGTGCGTGGTGCCTTGGGAATCGGCAAGGGAGTACAATTCGGGGTGAGCGCCGGGAGGGGTGTAGTAGGCATCTGCGTGGACACGGTGCAGAGTGGCAATGAGACCGTAGACGCGAGAGGTGTAGCCGGCCAGTTCGGAAATGTCTTTGATGCTGTACATCATGCGGCCTCCTGCATCGGCCAATGAAAGCATAAGACGTTTGTTGGTGATGAACTCCTTCATACGGCCGCGCTCTCGGCCCATCCCTTCGGGTGCGTTCGCCAGCTCCAATTTACCGCCCGATCCGCCCCAGGCGGGAAGGAAGATAGGCAATGAAGTGATGAGGTAGCCAAATGCGGACCATGAGTACTTCAAGATCATGTCTTCGAGCATGTTATATCGGATCTTAAGGCTGTAAATGCCTTCCATCCATCGCTGCAGATCCTTGAAGCTCCTGACTAGGAATATCCGCTCGGTATCTGCTCCGCCATAGAAGGAAATTTCCTCAGCGTTTGCTAGGAGTCGAGAGTGCAGACCACGGAAGTCACCCTCTTTCTTGCCCTCCACCGCCTTGAGCTTTCCAAACGGCGGAGAGAGTTTCCGTAGCAGGACAGCAGTGCTGAAGTACCCCGCTAGAATACCACTCAGAGCGAGTGGACCGAGCGAGCGATACAGCTGGTAGTTGAACACAAACAGATCTACCAACGGCTTGCCCATCGAGGAGTATAGTGATGCAGCAGCCGTGCAGAAGAGCGTGAGGTCCTGTGTGATGAACTGGTCGGGACCTTGGCCAATTCCACCGTCCAGATTCATCAACTTATAATAATTGTTATTGTCGGTCAGATACAGGTCGTGAATGTACCGAGTCAACCGAGTCCGGAATGCGATGGAAACCTTCGACTGAAGGAACTTGATCATCGCATTTGTGTACGAAGCGAGAGTTCCAATTCCGCACCACTTGAGGATGCCCCAAAGGAAGGCTTTCCCTTTGCCGGCAACTAGATCCCTCACAATCTCACCATCCAGCCGCGCAATCAGCAGTGAGAGGTATGTTCGCATCAAGAGGAAGAGCCCATGGCTCATCAACAATCCGGTCTCCTTGCTCCCCCATCGCGGGACCATGATGCTTCCCAAGCTCAAGAACTGATGTAGGAAGGCCAAGTTGAGACCAGGCTTGGTGGCGGGAGGAGGGATCTGACTCGTCGATGCGTCATTCTTGCTGCGAGCCGAGGCAGGGGGGTTCAGGAACAGCCGACGATGGGCGTCAAAGGTCGTGGGTTTGGTTGGGTGGATCAAGACCTTCGAGGTCAATGAATCCTTATATGGTACGTAGATGGTACGGGAACCATCCTTACCCCGGATACCGGAGTTGCGTCGTAATAGCCGGCGGCCCTGGGCTCGCTCCTTGACTCTCGCTCGGAACCACCTGTAGCCCCCATACCCGGAGGTGACGATGGAGAATAGTAGGGCAACGGTCGCTATCAGGCGTGTGGTCTTGGAGGCATGTCGTAATTTGGAGCGCACGAGATCGGAGTAATGGCGATAGAGGGTCAAGAGAGGATCCTCCCGAAGTGTTGACTGGACGGCCATCTTCAACTGGGCCGAGACCTCGGAGACTTAGCTGAGGCTAGATTTGGAAGGTCATGTTAATTCCGATTGGGTTTCAGACTGTTGATACATGACAAAAGAAGATGAAGTTGCCATGAAGTATGGATGTTCCTAAGGTTGCATCATTGCATGTGAACCTCGGATATGCGGAGAACCTCACGTGGGGAATGCTGACTGTGCCGTCAGCTGCCAGGGCTGTTCAGAGTGTACATGTCTACATAGTCGTGTTCACATCACTATTAGTATCTATTAGTATGTTTGTCTCTATTAAGGCTGTCTTTTCCTCTATTTATATTCCTTCTGTCTTTATATTGTATTATATTTCGTATTAATGTTCAGAACATTCCCGGCCTTGCTATGTTTATTATACTATCAAGGAAAACAGAGTGGATAATTATCTACTACAGTGTACCCTGTATTTTGTACTTGAACCTAGCCGTTTAGATGCTGTAGATAGATTTCCAAGGTTGTGTACTTTTGTAATTGGGCTTGGTACGGAGTAATTTAGGAAAGTGGACTTCATTATGGCCCTAAGGAGACAGTGGAGTTCAATGTATTCGAGTTATGCACACTTCCAAGGTTCACACCAAACACAACCTTGGAACGTATGCAGTCGTTTCTTTGTTCTCATCTACAGCCTCAGGGCCAGATGATTACTGACCTGAAGTATATCTAGCATATGGGGCAGGGAGTATGGAATATGGAGACACTTATGTGCTGAGTACTCCGTACATAAGAGGATCTAATAGCCATAACTCCGTACGGAGTTATACAAGCGCCAATGTCCAATAAGACCCAACTTGGTTCCCACGAGAACGTGGATTCGAAAGCCAAGAGGCCATAGCTCCTAAGACAGTCTCTCATTAGGAAGAAAAAGGGGGTAATGAAAGAGTCAATCCACCGATCCCCCCACAGGCCTGATCGGGATCATCTCAAATTGTTCTGCAGCTGTCCAGACCTCCCCTGGGCCATACAGAAGTCAGACCGAATCACAGAAACCCACAGAAGGGTGATAGAGTGCTGTAGCCGCCGAGGGCGTGTTATAGCGTGAAAAGGGAAGCTGTGCCTTGTTTAGCGTAAAAAAGGGAATTAAAAAAACAGCCCCGTTTTCCCACACCGTTCACGTGACATCCCCGACTCCTCTCTCCTCTCTGACGGACGTCCTCCTGAGTGTGTCTATGTCGCTTTGTTCGATTTTGTGTTGATCCCATAAACGTGCATCCAAATAGCGTTGCTGGTTCCCGCCAAAGGCGGTACGTGCGAGCTTCCAGCTGATCCAGGAGGCACTACTGACCCTCACCACAGTCCTGGCTTCGACCCGGCCATTCAGTCCTGGGATCTGCATCGCTTCCCTCGCTTCCTTTATATGTGAATTTGATCTTTCGTGATTCTGCCCTCGATGAGTGGAGAGAATACGGGGCGTCTGCCAGCTCCGGAGTCCACAGACAAAGCAATGAGTGCCCCCGGTCTTCCAGGCTCAACCCGTAAGTGCTCCAGTCATTCCCCGGTCGAGTGGTCCAGCGTTCCGTGGAGCTCAGAATCAGGGAGTTCGGTCGCTAATGTCTTTGGTCTGCGCAGATGAGTCGCCCGATCAGGTTCGTGGCACCGATGCGACCGAGATCCAGGATGCCTCCGTCGCGCCGTCCACTTCGGACCCCGTGTCTTCCTCTGTTGACCCAGCCGCGAGCGCGTCCGCCGCGGAGGAAACAACCCCAAAGAAACGCCATCTGTTGATCCCGATTCCATCGCGCCGATCTTCGAAAACCAATAAACAGTCGGCCTCCGAGGAGGCGCAAGAGGAGCCCCGAAGGGGTTCCAAGGTGAGCATCCTCCGGGGAAAGCGGGACCACAGTCGGGCCAGCAGTAAACGGTCGCGCCGGACTCAGGACGAAACGAATACGGAGGAAGGCAAGGAAACGGCAGCGACGCCCGAGACCAGCCCTTCAAAGCCGCAGAAAAAGGGAGCCTCCAAGTTTCTGTCGTTCCTGGGTTGTTGTTCTTCTTCGGATGTGGATGCCGACGATGCTGCTTTGCCTGCGAAAAAGACTACCATGCGGCCGACTACGTCGAACCGACTGCCCACCCCTGACAAGACGGAAGCCCGCACCGGTGACTCTAGCACCGCGGAATCCAGAGAGCCGTACTTAGATGAGAAGGCAAACTCCACTGTTAGCACAGATCAGCCGAGAGAGGAGGAGGAGCGTAACGCTCAGCCGATTCCAGGTGGCGCGCAAGTCGAAGGACCTTCTAGGGTTGCTCAGCCGGAAGCCTCTGGCCAAAAGACCCAGCAACGTGAAGAGACCCACGTGCCTGCTCAAACTGTCGTTGATACAGTATCTGAATCGAAAGCAAACGAGACAACTCAAAGCTCAGATGATCAAACACACGCCGAGACTGAAGACCTGACTCCTGCCCCCACCTCAACCGCGCCAACCCAAACTATGTCTAAAAAGTCACTCGATACCGAAACCCGCGAAGATATTCCCAGTCACCAAGAAGAGACCCCGCAGCCAGCTATGGTGCTCCCTCCACCCCCTCCAGCTGCCCCCGCACCTCCGGCTCGGGTATACCCCGAGGACGTTCCTCGCCCATTGCTCCCCGCAGTCCCAGCCCACTTGAGCGGCAGGAAATGCTTGGTTTTGGATTTGGATGAGACGCTTGTCCACAGTAGCTTCAAGGTGAGTACCTATTTGCTTCCCACGCGTCATGTCGCGTCATTGTATCACTCCGCTCATATCTCACAGGTTTTGGAACGCGCCGACTTCACCATCCCGGTCGAGATTGAAGGCCAGTATCACAACATTTATGTGATCAAGCGTCCTGGTGTGGATGCTTTCATGAAGCGCGTTGGCGAACTTTATGAGGTGGTAGTATTCACCGCTTCAGTCTCAAAGGTGAGTTGACCGTCAAAGATCTTTCACCTCATCCGCTCTAAAGAGCACATACTGACTTAATCTATAGTACGGTGACCCTCTCCTTGATCAACTGGACATCCACAATGTTGTACATCACCGTCTGTTCCGTGAGAGTTGTTACAACCACCAGGGAAACTATGTCAAGGTAGGATCTTCCTTACTCTTCACCAACCTATTGAAGCAAGCTAATGGTCACTCAGGATCTTTCTCAAGTCGGTCGAGACTTAAAAGAAACGATTATCATCGACAACTCCCCCACCTCTTACATCTTCCACCCTGAGCACGCGATCCCCATCAGTAGCTGGTTCTCTGACGCTCACGACAACGAGCTGCTCGACCTGATCCCTGTTCTGGAGGATCTTGCAGGCACCCAAGTCCAAGATGTCAGCATGGTCTTGGATGTCAGCTTATAGATACCTCGACCGGATCCTTCTTACGCCTGAGATATCCATTTTGAGCGAATTGTTTCCTTTTCTACGCGAGAAAAGCCTCTCCTTTCTGCGTCCCTTCCGCATCGCTGCCATTGACGGGTAGTCACCCTGTTTCCCTATGCCCATTTGATTCCCTTTCTCGACGACCGACTGGCCCAGGTGGAACTGGTATCCTACTGGGACCGCGGCTCGTCTGCATTTGTCGTCGTTCTTGGAAAGCCATTCATCCCTGACCAATTTCGACCTTTTGCATTGCGATCTGATTTGTCTCACTACGCTCCGAGCGAGCCACTTTTCCCCTTGTTACCCTGTTATCTTGTTTCCCTGCTTATCAACACCCCCTCATGCCCTGATCTATCTATTTTCTTTAACCAGTTCTGTATTTTCTCATCCTACAACAAGTCCGCTTTCCTCGCATTCTGCAGGCGTCTCTTGGTTATGTCCACGCTGTATCCCCCCTATGTTGCCCTCCTTTTTCCCTTTCTCATTCTCGCCTCGTTGCACGGTCTTACTGGCGCGCCCTCTACAGATGAGTATGCATTCTGCGCTACCTCTCTGGTCGAGTCCGTCATGCAGTATAAATTTTTCTAGTGAGCAGTGTCTAATAATCCCCTTTACACTGCCCCAGTTGCTGGTGATTCTTGCAATGTATATGGCGACCAAGCACTCTCAATGCTGTACATAGCCCTGTGGAGCAGGCCCCAAAACTGAGTAGTTGAGAAGGATGTATGGAGTATTAGAAGAATATAATAAATTGCTAGCATATTGTGGTTTTATTGAGTGGTCATATACCATGTCTGAAGTTCAGATAATCTAGATATTAATACCAGCCAGAAAACGGAGAAAAAAGACCTACAAAAAGGTCGGAAAGATAAAAAAGACGGAAAATGAAGCAAAAGAAGCGTCAGCAGCGATGAACCTCGGGCCATCCCGTCCACGGGTGTCCGCATTAAGACAATGATGTAGTCAACTTCCTCCCAACCAGGGTTTCAGTCGCCGTGCCTGTAACCTTCACATCTTCCTCAATTCATTCCCCTCTGACGTCTCCATTCGCCTCTACTCCCATTTCATTCCGATAAGCCAAAAAAAAAAATCGCAAGCTCCCCGCAATCAATTACACCCACCGCCCGCAACCTCCAAACATCCCACACCGTCACGCTGGCCGACATCATGAAGAACTCGGAGGGCTGGGACGGCAAGATGAGGGTCGAGCCAAAGGCTGTCATCACGAATCCAGAAGCTCTGGAAGACTCCGACTACTCAGACCCAGATGCCCCGCCTGTGGAGGAGATTGAAGCCGACGAAGGTGCGAACACCCCGCAGGAACAACTGCCACGGCAGAACAGTGAACTGATGGACTAACGGATGCTCAGATCTGTTGGCGGATGAAGATGTCGAGGCAAAGGTATGTAGCTTCGACCTCGCGGTTGAACGCTGAGGCTGGTGTTGCGCTCGGATTGCTAATCACTCCGTTGTTAGGATATTGACATCGTGCATTGTCGGATATCGTCGATCCCCGCTCTCAAATTGGAGCGCTTCACTAAGCTCGAGGTAATTAGCAGCTTCCCTACATCGTGTCCGCCCTGCTTCTGGAGGGAGAGAGCGGAGGTCGTGTGATGTCACTTTTTCTCTCTCTCTCAAAGGCAATACAACAACGTATTGTCGTGATGTGCAGTTGGCTGACGCGTTTCCTATATTAGAGACTATGCATGCGCCAGAATCAAATATCGCGCATCGCATTCCCGCCTAATATCGCCGAAACCCTGACTGAGCTCGATCTCTACGATAACCTCATTTCCCACATCAAGGGTCTGGAGGACTTCCAGAACCTGACAAGCTTAGATTTAAGCTTCAACAAGATCAAGCATATCAAGAATATCTCGCATCTGAAGAAACTCACCGAGTTGTTCTTCGTTCAGAACAAGATCTCCACCATCGAAGGCTTGGAGGAGTTGACTTTGATCAAGAACTTGGAACTAGGTGCGAACAAGATTCGAGTAAGTGAACACAAATGCTGTTGATGTATGAAGGCAAGTTCTAATGAGATTTCAAATAGGAAATCGAAAACTTGGAGCATCTCAGCGCGCTGGAGGAGCTCTGGCTTGGAAAGAACAAGATCGTGGAGATGAAGGTCCGCATCCTGACCCAACCATGAGTACTCAAACCAGGAACGAGAAACTGACATTTCCCAGAATCTGGACAGTCTCTCCAACCTACGCATCATCTCCATCCAGTCCAACCGTCTCACCAAGATCAGCGGTGTCTCTAAACTTCCCAATCTCGAGGAGCTCTACCTTTCTCACAACGCCATAACCGATCTCTCTGGATTGGAGTCGAATGAGTCTTTGCGCGTACTCGATTTCTCCAACAACCAGGTCACCAATCTGGAACACCTCTCTTCATTAAAGAACCTCGAGGAATTATGGGGATCCAATAACAAGCTCGCTAGCTTCGATGAGGTCGAGCGCGAGCTGAAGGATAAAGAGAAGTTGGAGACTGTTTACTTCGAGGGAAATCCCCTTCAAATGAACGCGCCAGCTCTTTATCGCAACAAAGTGCGTCTGGCCTTGCCGAACATCAAACAGATTGACGCTAGTAAGTTACTCCAATATCTCAAAGTGGGCGGTGAACTTTGTACTAATGATTGAATGATCTGTAGCGTTTGTGAGGGTTTAGCTTTTCCTAAGTACCTAATTGATATACCTCAACCAATAGGGCTGGCATTGGCCCTGTGTGAACTTTTGACTCTGTACTCTACACACAAAGAGATGAACGAGGATACGACTGACCATTTAGTTTGGCAGTAAAGTGAAGTATTCAACTGGACATTGGATGTGAAATGGTCTTTTCTTGCAAAAAGTGTGCTTGATGATTTTCTTGGTTTCTGGTTCTCTAAGAACTAAGTGCAAAACCCCATCTTGATACCATTGGAAGACTGCAGTTTGGTCCCTATGCTCTGTACTTTATAATATGTGCTATAATCTATCTACCGCGTTGTAGTGAAGCGAGGTCCTTCCTAAAGCGGAGTAAACCCACTGACCGCCCAACATACTGCCACATTATCGATAAGCAACTGGAGAAAAGTATGGGCTCCATAGTGCCCGCGGGCATCATCAACAACACCTTGAGCCTCTCGTTCTTTACTTTTGCTCCCTTGCTTTCACGCGTTTGTTTGTCCCAGGGATTCACCTGGTGCTACCTCTGCTTACGCTGTGTACACCTCAGAATTGCCCAATTTCTTTGTCTTCTGATCGTCCTGGGCTTTCCAGGCGGGGGAGACAAACATGTCTTCCAGCGAAGGTGATGACCCTGATATGGTCGTCATTCCCATTGACAGCTTTGTCAGTGATGGGGATATGAACACGTGGCCCGCAGGCCTCCCATATGCTGAACGCAGTGACCGAGGTTGGCGCGAGAAGCTAGCCACGAATTGGCTCAAGGAGATGGATTCTCTGGAAGAAGGTAAGCTTGATTGAGCCGGAGACCTGGTAATCTCATCTACTTTGCTGCTGTTTGAATTGATCAAGCTCGGCTCGAGGTTTTTATGTATATCATTTGTTGCATGTCCAGTTCGCCTCCGGGGGTCTCTTACTTTGTGCTCTTGTATCTTGGGCAAATGATTCATCTCGTATTGGCTTTAAGTGTATGGACTTTCACTGACACAAAAAAGGCGCAAGTTACATTCTAGACAAGCTTCCTGAAGGATACTGTCTGTTTGACAAAGCCAACACCAAGAATCCCCGACAGGTAGGATTCCCTTAGCTTTCTCAATTCGGCCTTTGACTGACATGCATATAGCGCAACCCAGCTTTGTTTGGTCATCCTAGTGGCAGGTTCTTCCCATCACAAAAAGCATTCCTCGAACATTTTCTTGCCTTAGTGCGCGGGACGAAGGATACTTGTGCATGCCCTCCTTGCCAATCCATGTCTTCTCGTGCAGGTGCAGTGCCTGGTCGGAAACCGGGCAGGCCCTTCAAAACAATCAAGGCAGATCCAATCGAGCAGCCAGGTAAGCCGAGCTCATCTTGATCCGAGTGTACTTTGTTTACTGATACACGATCAGCTGTGGATTCGCGCCTCCCTGCTGATGAAGAAGGCCCTGACTACTGGAAGATCCTAGTAATGAAGTTGAAGGAAAAAGGCCAAGTCGACGAAGCCATCACCCAACGTTCCAATATGGACTGGTATCTCACCCACGAGGCTCTCTCGGACTACTTCATGAAATTACTCATCGACCCCGCCTACGTCCCTCGGCGCGGTGAGATTGTTCTGTGGGTGTGGTCCGGCTTAGACGATGGGGAACTCATGCCCAATCCCCAGACTGGTATGCTTGAAATCTTCGGCAATGATCAGAAATGGCATGGCCCCCCTCAGTGGCGCGCAGGCGTGGTCACTCAGACTCCCAACGACGAAGTCCACATGGTCCACATCATTGAAAGCCCCGTTACCGTACAGGGGCTGAGCTACTCTGGGTTCCGTGTTGAGACTCTACCAGACCCACTGGGCGACGACAAGTCTTTCTCCCGTCAATATTCATATGTCCCTCTGCGCAGCATCAAGCCTTTCAACTCGTGGCGAAACTTCCTCGGTGGTCTCAAGCGGATGGACGTCCATCCTTCAATTGAGAATGCCTTGACCATCATGTCCTCCTGGAGTCTAGTGCACAAGTTCCACGCCAAGGGTCAATGGGCCACTGGCGCAGAGCACCCCTCGCTCAGCATTTCGTGCAAAGGTATCTTCATCGGCGCCGAGCTCCTAGCCGTGCACGATACAATTCGCCTGAAGCCACAAGGCTATCGATATAACGTGCACAAGGCCACCGGTGCTAGCAAAGTGACGGACGTAATGGTCATCGAGGGTATCACGCTCAATCTCACCGACTGCATCGATAACACCGAGGACGAGCAGCTTGCTGAACATTACACGGCTTTGCTGACTGGTAAAATGTTCACCACAAATCCCAACCGCGGTGCACACGGGGGACCGTTCGCGAAGATCGACCCAACCCCGCTGACCAGCGAGGAAGCAACCGCGACCTTCCGACAAGTAGGAATGAGCGACTACGGCCCGTGGTATCGCATGGCCGAAGGAAAAACCTGCAATATCTCTCCGCACCACGTTATCGGTCGCTGCTACGAGCCTCTCGCAGCTGAGCTCATGTTCGGCTCACACACATTCGGCTACGATCTAGCAAGTGTCATGGAAGGCCGAAACTTCTCCGAACAAGTGGATGTACGCATGCCGGAAGGAAATACATGGTTCTGGGGCGACAACCGCGTTGAAACGCTAGGCGTGACCGAAATCAATGGAATCGAGTGCGGGATCTCAGCGTCACAACGCGAATCTCCTGAGCGATGGCAAGCGTTGATCAAAATCGTCCAAGGAGAAGGCAGTGCGAAGCTTCGAAAGATTGCCGGGATTCCTTCTTCTGCTGGTCGGCCGCATGGAGCCAAGAATCGATCTGATAGCTCTGCGAGTGGATTTGCGAGAGTTGCTTCAATTAGCAAGATGGTGAGTTCCGCTATTGGAGGTTTACCTGATGAGACTTCGAATGAGGATAGTGAAATGACGGATGATAATGCTGCGTTTGGGATGGGTGAGCTGGAGCTTGCGCGAGCGATCAAGAGCGATAGCGAGGACGAAGATTATTCTTGATTTGTGTTCATGTTTTGATGTGCCTTTGCTTTCTTACCTTTTAGCGGCATATCGACGATACCCCTGGGCGTTCTGGAGGATGTTTTGGCTATTTTCTTTTACTATTGTCGTTTACGTTATTATCTTATTATCGATTCAGACAAGTTATTATTACGATGTCTTCTTCCCAAAGCTCAAGTCAACCCTAGAGATCATAGAAAGGCTCTATTACCAACTTCTCATTGAATTGATCCCATCCAGGGGTATTCCAATTGATTCATTCCAAGTTATTATATTCATAGTCATGTCCATTCCACATGCTTCGTACATGGGGTTCATTACAAATAAAACCATCACCATATCATCAAGGCCAAAGCCACAATCTCAAACTTCACCCTCACCGGCGTGCTTGCGAGAAGAGCGCTTCTTCTCCGACCAAGGGAAGTGTACCACAGGGGGCAAAAAGAAGCTGTTGCTGTTATCAGCAATACCAGCGAAAGCATTATACCAAGCTAAGAAAGCCCCCAGTATCGCAAAGAGACCACCAGCCTTGAGCAATTTCTCGTTCGGCATTCCGGTGTCTGTTTGAAGGAGGTATCCAAGAGCAAGCAGCAGGATGGCGATATCGACAAATAAGAAGAGGGAGAAGAATGCCACGGTCGACTTGAGGGTGAGCAAGGTGATCAGCGTGGTGAAGATGAACCAGCCCTGAAGAAATTTTGTTAGCGCTGCTTGTTTGTTTTGACCAAGCAAAGACATACGAATAGGTATAGCGCGAATGAATTGTAGAACATAGTCGGTTCACCATTATCCGCCTTCTCCAATGCGCCCATGATGTTAAAACCACCCGGAATAAATGTGATAGCAAGAGACATCCAGAAACCACCGTAGGAAGAAAGTACTGTAGCTCCAAAGGTGTTTCCAACAGCCATTTCCCTACAAATGCATTAGCGAAAGCCAAAATAAGCCGGTTGAGTCGCAACATACCACATTCCAGCGCAGAGCTGCACCAGTCCACCATAAGCCAGAGCAGGCCCAACCACAATGTTCGGCTCAGTCACGCCGCGAACTTGCATATTGATACATCCCAGAATAAAGGTTGTCAAAGCAAAGCCGCACAGACCCAGCGGAGCAGGATTGGCAAGCTTGCGATCTTTCGGCACGCGATACAGACCGGGTTGAAGGTCACCGCCGAAAGCAGGGTAGCGACTTGAGGCAGTGTTGACGTGAGCGAGGGGACCAAAGTGGCCTGTATTGTAGTCGTCTGTGGAGTCGGATGAATTGGTGTTGTGAGTGTCTTTGACACTAATTCCTTCCTCGACAGACATTGTGGGGTATAGATTGAAGAATGGAGAAGCTGGAGTGGTATGAAATGTAAATTAGAGACAGGCGCAATGGCAGTAGAACAGTAAGTCCAGACAGCTGAAGAGCTCAAAACAGCAGCGAACTGGGAGCGGTTTATATAGACCGCGTTCCGCACAGAAGTGACATAGCTAGCAATGCGCGGAACGCGGTTCCTCGAGCGCAGTTGGAGCTGGGTAGACTAAACTGGGGAAACCATAGGAGTATGCGGGGAGACCCCAAAATCAAGCCATTGGGCAAGCTGGAACGAATATGAGAGTAACTCAAAAAGTGCTAGACCCGCGCATAGTGGAACGATAGACATCTCCGTCCGTCCGTAGACGCATATAAGACGATCATGGTGGGCGAGGATGATGTTTCCGGTGATGATCGGCACGCAGAGATCATCTTGAGTCTAAAACCATGGGGTAATGCGGAGGGCCTCCACATAGGGGCAAGGCCTGTCTGATAATAGAGTGTTGCTTTGCTGCCGTCTGATTGGGGCAGATCCTGCGGTTTCGGCTTCATGCCTCGGAAGACCAGTATACCGATCGATGCTTATTGGACGAGACAAAAACTAGCAGCTGAGTCCATACCGAAGTTTGTTCCGAGCGTACATTGAGTTTGGAGAAGCGCGTCACTTTGTTCCTTGATTTCTTTAATCGGAATCTGGTGCGGTGGAGTGCAGAGAGTATGGAGTATGGGGTTGAACGGGAGTTGCACAGTGGCAATCCTTTTTCCCTTTTTTTGCCTCCGGATTTTTGGTTGGACGAAAAGGTCATTGCCCGTTTCCAGCACTTTAGAAAAGTGTAAAACAACCTCAATTCATAGTAAAAGCTAATCTCAATAGTTCTTCTGCACCACGCCTCTTGCGAATTCCGCAAAAGTCAATCCGGGCTGCACCTCCTCCGCCAGATTCGGCTGGGTGAACACCGCCAGGGTATTCCGCGCAATCTCTTGGCCAGGACTAGCCTTGGCTCCCTTCACAAAGTGCGGCACGGCCATGAACTTGCCGCGTGTGATGAGCTGCAAGGCCTCACCGGTCTGGAAAGCAAGACAATCTTTAGGAATATTGACCTTGACGATCTCATCTGTGCGAGATCGAATATACAGACCGGCCGAAGGGTCAGGGGAGCGGGGAAGCTCGGGGAGAACACTACTCGTAGCTGAAATGCTGGGAGGGGAGGCGGCTTCGTCGAGGAACATGGCCGATGTCAGACCCGTTAGACAACCGTGGTCGAGATGCGTAGCACACCAGTCGTCGTCGCTGGCGCTATCAGCCTGCTCCTCAGTGCCGGGGAAGTAGTGCAGTAGTCTGGCCTTGGTGGTCAGACTTGTCGTGACGACATGGTGCAGATAACCTGGCTTGTAGTCTGCGATGTTGGCCTCGGCGTAGCGATCACAGGCCTTGGCAACCAATGCGGCGGTATCGATGATCAAGCCACAGAGGGCCTCTACGCTACCCCTGAATTCGGGTAATTTAGCCTCGGAGGGCCAGACATTTGGCGCGGTATACTGGGGCAGGTCCGGGAACCCATCGGCTGGAGCACTGTCCAGCGAGGGATCCTGGTAGAAGGCGCAATTCACGTAGTAAGAGCCTTTGAGCGTATCAAAGTGACCTGATTTTAGGGTTTCCTTGCCACAAGACCAGCCGACCAGGTATTTGGATTCTGGAACGGTGAGGGACTCTGAAGGAGGTTAGTGGTGCAGCTTTGGGGATATGTGTGGAGATGTGAAGATTTACCCAACTCCGCATCTGACAGCGCTGCTAGGTACGAGGAATTCGAAAGAACCTTGGCACGTAGCTCTGTGAATGTCTGAGGCAAGTCTTTCACGACGATAATGCCCAGGGACTCCGGTCCGAAAGCCTCGGTCAGGGTATCAAAGGAGACCGTTCCTGTCAAAATCAACATGAGTCTCTAACCTCTCCTGCATTCTGAGCCACTCTCACCATCAACAAGCTCTTGTAGACTCACAGTCACAGCCTGAGCCACGGTAGCCGTATTGGTATCCATCATGGAAGAAGTAGAAATCAAATTTCCCCGCTTCGACTTTATCGCTTAGCGGCGGCGCTATCTATAAAATGCAACTCAACTAGCCTACATGCTATTCCATACTGCATGCTACTTATGCCACTTCATACTACATCATGCAGGGATATAAAGTGCATGTCCAATGATAACCTTGGAAATTACATATCTTATTCAATTCCAGCCTATCGTACAATTACAATCATCCCACTCATTCACTAGAGCGTCTCGTCACAGCCCTCAGATTGCCAAACGGCAACACATCGCTAATGCGCTTAGCGCCCGTCAGCAGCATACAGAGACGGTCGATACCACAGCCCCATCCACCGGTAGAGGGTAGCCCCCACTCCAGCGCTTCGAGATAACTCTCGTCAATCTCACCAGGCTCACCGGCATCCTTGCTGAATCGCAACTGGTCCTCGAATTTGCGACGTTGGTCGAAAGGTGAGTTCTCTTCTTCGTACATGTTCACAAGTTCCCTGCCTTCGATGAAGAGCTCGCCGCGGGCAGCGACGCGCTGGTTGGTTTCCGGGTGGATAAAGGATTTGGAGAGTGGGGAGAGGCTTTCAGGTGGGTTTATGATGAAGGTCGGGTCCTTGCAAAGTGGTTCGACGTAGATGCTGCACAGTTCGTCGAGGAGGCGTGGGAGGGTTGGGTTACTGGGGAGGGAAAGGGAGAGGTCGGTGAAAATGGCGAGGACTTCGTTGAGGGCACCGGGCACTTCAAGGTCCGGCAGTTTACGGCCTATGCCTTGCTCGATCCCGAGAATAAAGTCGATTCGGCGGAATGGGGCCGTGAAGTTTGCGGTGGTGGGATTGAGAGTGCCCTTGCTCTCGTTCATGGTGCGGATATGGGCGACTATCCCGGAGAGGAAGTCTTCGGTCATGCTCATGAGATTCTCGAGGTTGGCATACGCCTGGTAGAATTCACAGGTTGTGAACTCGGCGTTGTGGGTTTTGTCTAGGCCTGCTTGGTTGTCAGCTTGATCACCTCGCGTCTCTATTTGTCTGCGCACCTTCATTCCGGAACGAGGGCCCAATCTCAAACACCTTGTCAAATCCACCGACAACGAGCCTCTTGAGCCACAGCTCTGGAGCGATTCTCAGCGACAGCTGACGATCCGAGAACTCGGTGGCAGTAGTATAGAACGGACGAGCGATCGCACCGCCCGCTACAGAACCAACGATAGGTGTGTTGACTTCCATGAAGCTCTTATCGACCAGGAACTGGCGCAGATACTGCGTGATAGCCGAGCGAGCCCGAATAATATCCGCAGTCGCAGGGTCCGCCAGAAATTGAACATGGCGAGGATATGGCGAGGTCTTGTCCTCAGTTGTGTGCGCGTCAACGGGGACATCATGCAGACATGGCGACAGCAGCTGCGGCAACTCACTCACGTCGATCGTGAGCTCACCTCGACCGGTGCGGTGCGGTTTACCAGTTATAGCTATAGCGTTTAGCGGGCGACAGTCAAGGTCGAACCGGAGGACATACAGTAGGCATCGCCGCGACGGAGAAGACGATAGAACTTCTTGAACTCTGCCGGTTGAATACTCTCCAATTGGCGCTTGTTGCACATCACTTGGAGTTTATGGCCGTCTTGCACGATATCGAAGAAGATCAATTTGCTTCCCGCGAGTCTATAGGTACGTATCCTTCCTACGAATCTAAGTACACGGGCATTGAAAAGGCCAGGCAGAACCTACCGGAGACGACGACTGTGTCTTCTACTGTCTCATTGTCGGCGAGCTCACTATACCGTGAGCGGACCTCGGCGCAGCTCACTGTGCGTGTGTCCACTGCGAGACGAGGGTATGGGTCTGCGCAGGCATCTTTGATCTGCTGCACTCGCTCCTGCAGGGCCTTTGCGGGCGATGCTGAGCTACTCTTTCGGATCGGCTGTGTTAGTCGAGTGAACTGTGTTGGGACGCGTGAAGCGGATCGTATTCCTGTTCCTGCACTGAGATTTCAGGTTAGCCATGTTCAAACAATAGGCAATGAAATTTCAAAAATTGAAGCGAGAAGCTTGTGTCAGTTATAATCCAGTAAGTTCATTGTCCCGAAGGACAGTCACTGTAGCGGTTCTAATGCGGGGATATATCATCATGTAAAAAGGAGGTAGGAAGAAACAAAAAGTAAAAGCAAGTTCTTACCATTGAAGGCCTAAGCCATGAAATGAAGCACGTCGAATTGAATGCATAACAGAATGAGAGGAAGAAGAGGAAGAAGAAGAAGAAAAGCGGCCGAACCGAGTTTTTCCACGGGGTGGCCCAAGCTTCTCCCTTAGCCAACTCCGACTCGCCCCATACATTCACGTACTATCAAACATCACCCCCATACATCCATCTCTATATCCATCATGTCTTTCCTTTTCGGCGGTGCCCCCAAGATGTCCTCGGCAGAGAAGATTGCTGCCGCTGAGACCGAAGTTGAGATGATCTCCGACATGTTCAACCGGTACGTCGGGAATGCGGCGACTCAAACGCGACCATCGCATATACCAATTGGCTTCAATCACGGTATCAGACTTTGCTAACTCCTTCCATCACAGCTTGACCGAGTCCTGCACCAAGAAGTGTGTTCCTGCCGATTACCGCGAAGGCGACCTCAACAAGGGCGAGTCCGTCTGCCTCGACCGCTGCGTGTCCAAGTTCTTCGACGTCAACATCAAGGTCAGCGAGAAGATGCAGGGTGAAGCCGCCGCCGGCAAGCAGGGCGGTGGCATGGGCCTCATGTAAAGGGACTGAGCATTGAAGAGCTTCGAATGATAGAAGTGTGAAACGTGGTCCTGTCCTGCGTTCTGGTGTACGGCTTTATGACTGGTTCGGCCTACCGAGAACTAGGATCTTTCAAGCGATGGTTCCGGATTATATCATCGTGGATGGAGGCGTAAATTGCCAATCTGTCTGAATATGTACAATATGGTGGATAAGGAAAAACAGGAGAATGAAAAAAAGGAATTATTTTACAAGCGTCAAGTCGAGAAGCCCATGGCTCGGGCTATCCATGCTGTCCATGAGGTATCGTGTTGTTCTTCGCCTTTGACCAAGGTTTTGATCCTCGTCTCGACATTGACGATGTGTCGATCGAAGTCGCTGAGTCCAGCTTCCATGTCCTCGACCTTGGACTCGAGAACATGCAGTTCGTAGTCAAGTTTGGCGCCGAGCAATTCAACGCGCTTGACTCCATCGGCCAGCTGATGGCCTTCGTCCATGAGAATATCGCTGGAGCGTTCGCGCAGGCGCTGGTATTCGGAGAATCGTTCCAGGTAGATTGAGTTGAGCTCTTCGTGTTTCTCGTACAATGTCTGGTTGAGACCATCCACGGAGTCCACTTGTCGCTCAACCCATGGCGCGGTGTGCTGGCTCAACTCGAGGATGCGCGAGCTGAAGATCCGGCCTTCGGATGAGAGCATGTCTTCTTGGGCGATGGCCTCTTCCAGATCATTAGTGTCCTTAATCGTTGGTTTCCCGCCTGCAGGTTCCCATTTGAGGACCACTTCTTCAACCGTGCTAAATGACAGGTGTCGTGCGCAGTCATTGTCTCGCCTCTCCATCTCACGTTCAACATCTTGGAATTCTTCACAGCTTTGATGACGCCGTAGGGCCATCGTAGCAATCCCACTTATTGAGCCATCACGATCGCGCTCGCGGTCCGTGGATGCTGCAGTAGATCGAGACATGACACGCTCAATGTCCGATTCTTCGTCAATCATCTGAGGCTGCTGCACGAGAGATGGATTGAGCTGAGTCTGATCGGGCTCATCGTCAAGCGGTGCCGCCTCGATATGAATCTCGGGGGCTTTGATCTCGCCGGAGTCAGGTATGGGAGAGAGTCGAGTAGAAGGCTCCTCGTGCTCGTTTTCTTCTTCAATGACTTCATCAAACTCGTTTGTTGTCCTCGTTTCAGACCTGAAACCGGAGTCTGTTCGCGCTTTCGTATACGGTGTATCGTTGTCACTGTCGATTGAGGGGCGGTAGGCAGCATCATGTGTCAATTCGGAGTTTTCGCGGGAGTGATGGTGGTGCGAGCGAAGCCCTTGGAGTCCAACTGCATCCTTGAAGCGTCCCAGCCCAGCGCGCGCATCTGAAACCCGGCCACTGACACCCTTCTTGCGATAATCTTTCTCTTCGGTAACTGATGGATCGGCTATGTGCATCGGACGGTCAAGGGCCAAGCTAGATCTCTCGGGGCCTGAATCCTCTCCTTGGTGTTTCTTGCGGCTGGTCCAGACATATCCACCTTGTTCGTCGGTAGTGAACATCATGTCGGATCCAGTTCCACGTGAGAAACCATCTTCATGGCCACTCTTGCGCGGCTTACCGAGCCAAAGCCACTTTGCTCTTCCGCCGTTGCAGCACTGCACAAAAGTATCCAGATCGAGCGTTTCGATATCAGCGATACCACCTTTGTCGCGCCCGCGAACCATTCCCATAACCATCTCACCACCCTGCCCACTGAGTTCTGCCATGGTTGATTTCACTGCATCCGTCCATCCTTCCGAGTTCGCAGCTTTGGCAGTGGCGCGGTGCAGACGATCTAAAGTATGTCGATCGAGTCTTCGCGAGCGCTTCATTTTCTGTGATTTTTGGAATCCGCTAATCCCCCTCTTCAGGTTGTAGAAGTCGAATGCATCTTTCCCCACAGGGGCTCCATAAGCATGCAGGCGGTTTCGAGCTCCGAGCAACGTGCCTAACATGGCAGCGACACTTGTCGGTCCTAGACTGCTGTCGCTTGGCTCGATATTATACAAGTCGGTTCCAATGTCTGTCCACCAGTCGCTGATTGCAGCCTCAGTCACATCACATAGCAGACCGTCGACATACTCCGGTGCTAACTTATCAAACACCATCAGCGCAATCTGGCATTGTTTCACTAACTCAATCACCGCAGCATATAGCGGAACTCTCTCGCTGGTCCGGTATAGCTGGTGGAACTTCGCCTCAGTGGCAGCGGACGGGGATTGGAGCTTCAGTCCGGCGCGACCAGCGCACCCAAGTCTCTTCAAGTTCTCGTTCACAATGAAGTCTTCTCTATGCTTCTTGATATCACCTTCTGGGACGGGTATGACACTCAAAGCGGAAGGAAATGAACCCAAGTCTGTGACCATGACTGTCCCTAGTGGTGTTTCCTTCTTTTTGGCGTGGCATTGCTTCATAGCATCGAAGTACATCCGCAGACGAGGCGACCATGTACTCTCATTTGTCGGTACACTCAAAACTCCCACTATTACGGTATGCGACAGATCACCAGTAAATGTCGATATGACGAACGTCGGGTGCACACGAGAACAAGCCCATTGTTCAACAATGTATATCTCATAGCCCTGGAGTGTGGCCCGTCGGTGAAGCACATCGGTGGAAGAATCTTCTTCAAGGTATCGAAGGGCGACCGGGTCGACGAATACCAATCTCTGGTGACCGTGTTGCGGGGACCGGTCGCTTTCATGTGTATGTGAGGTGGGGCTTCTCTTGATACCCTCCGGCGTGAGACTGGGTTCGGTTCGATCAAGCGACACGCTCGGGGTGCTGGGATGCATGGTGACTGTTTTCCGGGTGGGAATTTCGGTGTGGGCAACTATAACGATATGGCTGCTGCTTTTCGGTGCTGCAGCAGGCCACTTCTCCTAAGCCGTTGATGCGAAGGGAGTGCCGACCGATCCTCGCTCTTCGTCAGGTCGGGGCAATTATGGCATGTCCAGGTAACAAATCTCGAGGCATATTAAGAGCCTATACCGAGTAAAGAAAGACGGTCTCGTAAACAAATGCCCAGAGAGCAATGTCTTTCGGAGGTGTGCAGAAGCGGCGACGTCACTGCAGGGGCGGTGAGTTTAATCTTCAGGCCGCCAAATTCACTCCACACGTCTTCGGAACTACCTCGATCTCTACTCCGTACTTCTTGAAGACACTCCAGCCACATGTCTTAGGTCGAGAATTTCTGAGCTTGTTGGGATGTTTTGTGCTCATTATGCCGAGCATGTCTACTATGTTATAACTGATTTTGTTACTGATCGGAGAGAAGCCAGTCATAGCCCAAACCTCGCTCAGCGAGATGGCACACGAAGTTTATAATTCCGAATTAAAACTGCCTTTCAAAGACTCTTTGACATGATATGATGTTGTTTGTTCTAACACAGCTCTTGATTTCACACTGGTTGTCGGCACCTAGACCAGTTCAGCTCGAGCTGTTTACCAACGGCCCTGCGATTTGGATAGTTAGCCAATGAACCATGTTCACGGTGAAGGTGTTCAACATACTCCGCCCTGAGGTCCGCCGGGTCCACCGGGGCCTCCATGGCCTCCGTGGCCTTCATGTCCTCCAGGTCCGCCCTGGTGACCACCTGGGCCACCGGGACCGCCAAAGCCTTGGGGACCACCCTGATGACCTCCCGGGCCGCCTTGAGGACCTCCAAAGCCAGGACCGCCTTGGTGGCCACCGGGGCCTCCAAATCCTCCAGGACCACCGGGACCACCGTTATGTTGTTGAGGAGGGCCACCCTGGGGGCCTCCAAAGCCGGGGCCGCCAGGACCGCCTTGGTTGCCCTGGGGAGGAGGGCCCTGCTGGCCGTGGTGGCCGTGCTTCTCTTCGTGGTGGTGGTGGAATAGACCCATGGTTGATGAGGTGTGAGGGGTGGTGAGGAAATAGGTAATCAGGTTTTAGAAGACAAATGTGAGTGAGTATGAGTGTCGTATGGGGATGAGAGAAGGGAGGGCATCCAGCTACTCTTTATACAAAATTGGGACCGGAATGGCGTCACCATTCGCAACACCAAACAGCCTAGCTGCTACTACTAAGATGCTATGGGCTGAGGCTAGTCTTAGATTGGGAGGATGTCATCACTTACGACTCCCAAAAGCAGAGGTGGGGTAGCGGAGGGCTATTGTTGGAACAGGCTTCAAGTATTTCCGCCACCGATTGTTTCGATCGATGAAGCGAGACCTAGTCGGATCTGATATCAAGTTCCGAATTACGAGCTGATCTCGCCACCACCTGGGCATCTACCTCGGGTTATCCGTGGAGTATCTTAGAGAAGATGGTCACGAAGTTGGAATCCCAACATCTAACCAATTGGGCTCAAGTTTCGATGGCCAGCCAAGCTTTGCAGCTCAGTATTGGCGTACCATTGAGTTCTTTAGACTGGCGGGGCGTACGAATCGAGCGCCATCGTTGATCAATGGTTAATCGGATTTCCGCCGCCGAGGCTTGGCATTAGGGCTATGAGTTGGATGCATACGTATACCTCCCCACAGCTTCAGCCCTGTAGGATAGCTCGATTGCTGGAACATCACCCAATTTTCGGGGTTTTTGAAAAGCCTAGGGATATTCTCGGTCTAACTCATCACCGCCATCAGACCGGTTGCCGGTCTGGTCTCGCGGTCCTAGAAGGGAGAGCTATGCCTGTATCAGGTTAGACCCGCTCAGCCTTGGGGTCGACTGGAATAGAGCCTCCAGAAGACAATTTGCGTCTAGGTAGTGCAGTTGAGCCCTGTAGGTTACTATCCATGGATTCCAATGTTTGCCATTTTCTTCAGCCCTGGGGGTAGGTAGAAAAACATTAACATATCTCGTTTGAGGTGAGTGACGAGACGATATACATCTCAATCTCCCGGGTATTTCCTTTCAGCGTTTTTCTTCCAGGTGAAGTTGGAGCTCGTCGCAAAAGCTCACGGAGACTTATAAATGCCCCGGTCCTAGATTCCAAGAGAATGTACCATAGAAACCGGGCGTCAGAGCCCTGGAGCAACCCTGAAAGTCAAAGCGAGACCCAACCCCATCACCACGAGGGAATGTTTCCATACCCACAGCTAGGCTGGTGGGTCTTTAAATAAGCAATGCAGGTGATAGACAGCCCGTTCTACGGAAATGTAGCTCGTACGATTTGGTGAATATGCAAGCCTCGGGTCATCATTTAGGCGTGCTACTTTCTCAACCTTCTGGAGTAGCGGGTACTCAAAGCAGTGTCTTTCAAATGACGAAAATTGAATAGTTCTCTATATCCATGGATTTTCTTTCGACATGATCTAATAGCCTGGCTTTGGTCCAGCCTACCTCAGTCTTCTGCATCCACTGCGGGCCCGTTCAAGACGGGGGGAGAGCTTTCAAGGGTTCCCCCGAAATGGCCATGTTCCGGTAGTGACGGTTTCAAGAGTTGCAAATGGGAGTGTCCCATTCCGCAAAATTGGCGAGCAACCAACCAACCTTGGACCTATGAATAAATCTGCTCGTCCTCCAGGACTGTCAATGATGAGAAGTTGAAGTCTTGGTATTCGTTCACGAGTGTCTATATATGTACATTTTGAAGTAAATGGTCAACCGCCAATGCTTTGAATCCAGCAAAGCGCAAATTTAGTATCCAGGCAAGTCAAGGCAAGCTCATGCTCGTTCTCATTTCGAGCTGTTGATAACCCTTGGGGTTCTGGAGGTTCCTTTGGGAAGAAGGCAGTTGATCCACGATCAAGGAGAGAATGTAGCCAGTAAAGACAAAGGCAATGACTAGCAAACGAGTTAGTAATGCCCTATCAGGGGGAGAGACGAAACACATACCCCACTCGAGGGTGGCAGCCATATTGTTCTGGTTGTAATGGGTGTGTTCAGTGATCCGAAAGACGATAATGAGGGTGAGTTCAATGACGATGAATGACACTTTGATCGCGAAACTTGTTAAGAGCATAGGCTCGCGGAGAGCATGGGCTATGCCCAAATAGATATAGTCCAGGGCCATCAAGGCTGCGCTGACTAGGAAGCCCACACTGGTATTGGTCAGCAATGTATATCGAAGCTTGGCGGAGGGTACTGACATGAAGACTGTGACACAGACGTCGTGGGTGAAATGGTGGGCGATGTTATCGAGGACGGAGAGCATAATCAATCCTATGCTTCCAATGATGGTGAAGAGGAAGGAGCCGTGTGTGCAGAGTTTGTTGATATATCCCTTGGATTGGACGAATTGATAGAAAGAGAGATTGAGGAGTAGGACGGTCGTGATACAACCGATCATGAACAATGGTTTGAGTTCTTGGGCTCCGATATCCGAAATGAATCTATTCGAGCCTGTTAGGCCTTGGCAACGGTTGACGTGGGGGATATGAAGGTTCTCACGGGATGTTCTGGCCAGGCTTCATGAGGCCGTATCTAGGCTCCCCGATCATGGTCCAATGGCCCAACATGGCCAGCAGCATAGCTAGAAGAAAGCGAGTCAATTGAGGCCTCCTTGCGACCGGGGGTGAAGAAGAGTCTCACCTAGCCAAGTTGAGGCCGCAACGGTCGGAAAGACCCAGGAAGGGGGCGACAGCATGGCGTATAATTTAGCAAGAGAGGGACGAGATGAGCATAATCTGTTATAACGATGGAAAAGAGCGTGGGCCGGTGAAGTTGGATACCAGCCACATCTCTTAGGAGCAGTGGTCAAGGAGAAACGATCCTTACACAGAGAGATTCAGGTGTGAAAGGTGCCTGTCGATCCTTACTAGTATGTGTCCCCAATGACGATGGTTATGGTATGTGGGTCAATGAACCAAAATACCCCTACCGTTTCGTGTAAAAGACACGCGTTTCGTATATGAAAGACCGAGATTGGGCCCTGAAACATACAAAGCCCTTTTCTTTTGGCATTAGCCGTAAGGATACGAGTACTGCCTAGTTTATAATTAGACTTAAAGAATCTCACCGTTGGAGTCTATCTGCGAGAAAAATTCTGATCACTGATCTGCACCTTCCCACGATCTGTAAAAACAGGTTCTCTGTCCACGATGACTCCATAATTGAACAGTCCACGGGTCTTTGAACCCTTCAGCGGGGGTGGGGCTGGGAAAAGAGTATGGTGTTAACGCAGACACAAAGTCCATTGTGTATACCCCGAGACGGACACCGTCCTTCGTCCCCCCCCACATACCTCGAACAGCGTTGCGCCTGCGACTGTCCTATGATCGATGGCGTCTGCCCCCCTCTGTACGGAGTACGCAGTACTTGTGTCCAAACATCCCATACCAGTGTATTGAATATCGGCGAGCTGTCAGCGCTAATGGTGTGCCGGCTGGTAGGGTCGTAGTGTCGCGTGACAGCTCACGAGCAGAGCAGAGCGAGTTGAAAGACACCACAGCTCACATTCAGTGGAACTGTCTTTCCCAACGTGACGGGAGGAGCATCAGCCATGTCGGATCTCTCCAAATTCATGGAGATAAACACGTTCGAGGAATGCGAAGGGGATGAGCTGACACAGGTGTGGAGTGTTCATCGTACTCGTATGCTTGCAAACCTAGGCGATAGCGTTGAGAGTCGAGATTGTGAGAGCTAGTGAAATGAAGGGTCATCTTGGATTACCTGTAATCGCATGACATGAAATTTATGGCGATATTGGAGGTCCATTGAAATCAGGGCGTGAGGGTCGGTGATAGGATGGCGCCGTGACTATCAACGGGCTATTATCCACTAGTGAGGCTGGGGGCTGTGCGCATTTTTGTTGAAATCCCGGCGTTCCCACTGGTTGCTGCTTCATTTTTTGGCGCTTTTGCCGTACTCGTATTGAAGATTCTGAGAGTGAAGTGAGGGTACATTCCAGCAATGGTGGCAGTGAGACTGTCTCTGCTCAGATGTACGGAGTACTCCGTGCATTTTGCTCAGGTGTCGGGGTACCCTCAGTGGTCGCCATCCGAATACAGCATACGGGGTACTACGAGTAATGAGACATGTCTACGGCATACGGAGTACGGAGTATGATCTCGGAAGTTGAAATGCGAGTTATCAGAAACTCCATGCAGAGTGCAGTGCCAAGGAAGATCGCGAGTTAAATGAAAGCTAATCGTGCGGGACAGGGGCACCATCGTCACACCACTGCTTGAGACGCGTGATCAACAAAGCCCGACGCGTAATGGAAGATATTTACATGTTACTCCGTATGTCCAAGACTCTTCTCCAAAAGCCACCAACATGGGTGACCAGTAGTGAAAAGACCATACGGGCGATGAGGATGAGAAATCTTCCATCGATCGCACCGAAGACAATCTCGAGGGCCAAAGCCAAGGAGGATTGAGGCAATGTTTGTTCAAAAATTCCCTGCCGTTCCGAAGACCAACAGGAGTAGTCAATTTGGTAGTTTTCAACTAGCAAAAACACGATCTCGGATCTCTCCTCACTGATGCGTGTAAAACCCGTGCACTAGGATGAAGAAGAAAAGAAAAAGAAGAGGAAGGGCGGGCGTGGACGGAAGTATTTATACCTTCCTTCCGGTTTGGGGCGCGCTAAGCGAAAAGGTAGGCGACGAATGATTCACCCCCTTTCGGCGCCTCAGGCTTCCACATGCGAGGGGGCGTGACTTTCAATAGAACAATTGTAGGACTACTTGTATCCCATCAGTGCTGGTATTCTGTACTCTCTCTGTATTCAGCTCAATCACATTACGGCTTCTGCTCCACACGTCTCAGTCTCATCTGCGGAATATCACGGAATGTCTCACGGAATCCTCACGTCCTCACTTTACGGGTCACGTGGCCATGGCGTAAGGTCACAGCGATCATCGGGAACAGCATGATTCTGCACAGTGCGATCATGATTCCTTTCCCCCTCTCTTGTGCGCCTCAAATCCTCATTTTACGTATTCATCTATCCGGGCCACCCTATCTCGAACCCGAGTCGTGACATAGCCCCGAGGCGGCATACGTGCAGCCCAATAGCTCTCATTCCGCGGTTTCTCCACATGGCACCGAGTCCGTGGCGGTAACTTGATCATCTCCGCACGGTCCGACGCAACTCCGACATGGAAGCCGTGCAAAAAGAACACGACCGGATTCTCAAGAAGACGAAGGCGTCTCAAGGAATCAAAAATGTTCAATCCACCATCGATCTGTTGCAGTCCGCCCGGGAGGCTATCGCTGCCGGTAGGTAGTCCCGTTACGCCCCCGCTCTTCCCTCGCTGACAGCCGTCACCGGATAGATCCATCCTCTGCTTCAGTGACCTTGGCCAAGCTTCAAACACCCGTCAAATCATCTTTTGATTCCATCAATGACAGTTTGAAGGAGACCCATAGTGGTCTCAACAAGTACACCAAGTCTTTAGACAAGGTATGCGCCGTTCTCGGCACCTCACTCCACCCGGGACTTTTCATCTGACATCGGAGCCAGCTGTTCAAAGACCGACCACTCCCAACGACCGAACACGATGCTCTCTCTTCGCAAGATACCCTGATCAACCGGGCCATCGCTATGCATCTTCTCCGGGAAGGGCAGTTCGGCGTGGCGTCCGCCTTCCTCGACGAGATCGCCGAGCAAAGGCCCGAAGACAAGCCCACAGAATCAACACAATCAAGACGGGTCAAATCCGAAGGCGAACCGAGCAGATCCGGTAGCCTACTAGATCCCCACGACGTTCCCTCCGCCGAGGTCCGCAACCAGTTCGCTTCAATGTACTACATCCTCCAGCAACTACAAGACCACCGAAACCTGCTACCCGCCATTGAATGGTCGAGAGAGAATCGCGAGGCGCTTGAATCCCGGGGCAGCAATCTTGAATTTGAATTATGTCGCCTCCAATACGTATGGCTGTACCATGGCGGAGGTAACCAAGACACCGCAAGCGGCTGGGCAGCAGCGCTGCAATATGCGCGACGGGAATTCTGGGTGTTCGTGCCGCGGTACTTACACGAGATCCAGCAGCTCGTGGGTGCCATGGCCTACACCCCCAATCTCGGCGGCTCTCCGTACGCCGCCCTCTTCGACAATCCCTCTGCCTGGGACGATGTAGCGACCTTCTTCACTCGCGAGTTCTGCTCGCTGCTAGGCCTGTCGGCGGACTCGCCTCTATACATTGCTGCCACGGCTGGCGCAATAGCACTGCCAACTCTGTTGAAGCTCCAGACCATTATGAAGGCAAAGCGCACAGAGTGGACCTCTGAGAACGAGCTGCCTGTTGAAATCTCCCTTCCGCCTCAATACCTCTTCCATTCCATCTTTGTCTGCCCCGTGTCCAAGGAACAGGCGACTGATGATAATCCGCCGATGATGATGCCATGTGGTCATGTCATTGCGCAGGAGTCCTTGAAGCGACTGAGCAAGGGCAACCGGTTCAAGTGCCCATACTGCCCCAGTGAGAGTCACCAAAAGGAAGCGATCAAAGTGTTCTTGTAAAGTCGGGATGGGCCGACATTTCTCTGTTTTACGTTTTTATGTTCAGCGACACGACGGGGCGGTTCGGGATTTTCTGAGGGCGTTCAGCATCGGCGTTCGGGGGTGTTTCTGTCATTCTCTCGCAGCTACTCAAGGTCACCAATATATTTCAATGGCATTTTGAGGGTATCATTCTTTATATTCTTTCCAAAGTACTCCATATACTCTGTACTCCGTACTCCCGTAGCTCTTCCAAGGTTCCCAGCCAGTGCTCCGTACGTCATTGGAAAGATGACCCTAAAAATACCATACAATTACAATCAAATTTGAGTCGATCCACACCTGCAAACCGGCAATTTCGTTTGCCTCGAATGCAACCCCTGATTGGCTCCCCCTGAAAGCCGTGACCTCGCGGTGTTTTGGCGACTCCCAAAAACCACTTTACGCGTCTCAAACTGGTTGTGACGCGTCTTGCGCCGAGACCACTCCGTCTGCTGCAGCCCAATTGGACCTGTCTAGTGGCCGATCAGCCATACATAAGCTGTCAGGTTCACGTCCTGTATCCTGCATGACAGCTGAGCACTCCCGTACATACAGTGTAGTACAAAATGTAATGAATTGAGCTCCATGATAAATAGACTTGCTTGTCCCCCCCTGAGCTCACCCACTTCTGACTCCCTCTCCCTCTTCACAATGTCTAAACGAGCACCAGAAACCCCTATACCCAAATACCGAGCTTCGAAAGCCTCAGCTTTCACGCCTCAATCCCGCCGAGTCCACAGAAAAGACCGCGATGTCCCACGCTCCACTTCCGGCTCAGGTCCAGGCTCAGGCTCAGGCTCAAGTAAACCCCAAGAGCGTCGCAGACACGACAAGCCCCCCAGACGTAACGTAAGTCCATAAAACCAACCTTGCCAGACAGCCCCCGCAACCCACGAAACCAAGCCCTAACCACGGAAACCCACCAGAACCCCCAGCACCTCCCCAATCGTAATGCTCCGCGTAGGGCCAGAAAAGCGCCTCTTCGCAGCCCACGAAACCATCCTAACCACATCCTCATTCTTCGCCGCCCACTGCGCCGCCCAGCAATCATCTCGAAGACCACGCCCACCCCTCCAACCACCAGGCAAGCGCATAGACCTCCCAGAAGAACAAGCAGAAGTCCTCTCCTGCGTCCTGGAATTCCTCTATAAAGGCGACTATTACCCGCGTCTGCGGCATAATAGCCGTACACAGAGCTGGGAGCTGGAAGACGCGGGCGTCTCGGGGACTGGAACTGGTGAGTTGAGTCAAGCTACGGCGACGGTGTTTCATCACCAGGTTGGAGGTGTGATTCTACGAGATACGGCGATCTAGTAAGATATGATATCAACTGCGATTGTGATTCTGTTTTGCGAGAACATTTGCTAATGCAGGTGGTGTCTAGTTGTGCGGCGCAGAAATACGGTCTGCCTGGATTGCAGCGGCTGGCGCTGCGGAAACAGGGATTGCATTCTGGGATTCAGTGTAGTACTATTCTTGCGAGTGCGAGATTTGCGTATGCGAATACGCCGGATACGGAGTCGAAGCTGAGGGCGCATTATTTGGCGCTTATTGTTAGGTCGAGGTCGACTTTTATGAGAAGTGGGACTATGCAGGCGGAGATGGAGAAGGGGGGAAGTTCTTTTTTGATCTTTTTGTTGCGATGTGTAATCATATGGTGAGTTCTGGGTTCTGAGTTCTGTTTGGTCTGGTTGCTAATGTGTTAAAGGATGACTATGTCCCCCGGGGATCGGTTGCTAGTTCGGTGAGCACTAATCGTTGTTAGGTTTGAATGGCAGATGGGGGCGGGCATTGTATTTGGTAGGTGGAATTGTGGAGGTTGGCGGTTGAATCTCTTTCGTTGTTCCTTTGGCTTCATACCCGTGTACTATTATGTTAGACATATGATATAGTGGATAATTGTAAGTTTGCTGAAAACTGAAGTATAACTTCGAGGAATGTGTCGTAAATTCGTAATTATGGATGCTATAGCTATCCTGCCCGTGTCCTGTGTTCCCCTTGCCTGGTCAGGTATAGATAGAGCAGTGGAATGGAACTTGGCGTTCGAGCTGTGCAATATTCCAAAGCTATGCTAACCTGGTGCCATTAATCTGATGAGGCGGGGCATTTGGTTGGTGGTGATGGGCTCGATCGTTTCGACTCGTGGTTCCATGTTGATTGCGGTATTGGGTTTGATATCGATGGTCATTGGATTGTTCAGCTCAAGCCGAAATGCCTTTCTCGGACATTTGGTTGCAGCGGGCTCAAGTATTGCGTACACTGTAGTGCGCTACAAGGGACGCTCTTAGACGCCAGTGCCAGGGAACACATTGCCGCCTTTGCTGAGAACAATGATGCCTCGTTCCCGCGCAATGTATCCTTTCATAAGGCCCTGGAAAGAAAACCACGCGTTAGTGCATAAATTCCCTTTGGAGAGATTGAGTATCTTACCTTGTAGATGAGGTTAGCCAGTAAGCACTCCACCTCATCAATGTCGACCCGAGATCGACCGCTTGCAGGGGTCCCCACACGGAGGGCAGCTGCAAATTCATTCACATGAACACGAGTCCGTCGAACCGGGGGTTGGCCATCCTTAGGCTCCTCAAACCCACCGGCGAGGTAGACTTTGCGGAACAGATTACGCAGGGTTATGTCACGGCCGCGTTCCAGTGGCAAGTAAATACGTCTCTTGACGAATTCCTCCTCACCCGCGGCCATGGCCTGGTCAAATCCAGCCAAATCTCCCTTGCGGATGCAATTTGAAAGAGGCCGGAAAAGCACCTCGAGGCGTGGGAATTGTGCTAGGAGCTTCTTGCTAGGAAGAGTGTGGGTGGTCACCAGATGACATGGAATCAGGTATGTAAGAATGAGTCTAAAGAGTTGATCAGTAGAGTCCATCTGCAGCTTTTTCAGCCACTTACTCTCGATTCTTCGTCGCGCCACGGTGACACATTCTCCAAGCCCATGTCAAATGTTCTTCAGCCTGCGTTGCAATATATCAGTTTTAACTGTTCGGTCTTTGAGATCAAAGGGTCCTCATTACCTCAGCATAGTTCTCTTCCAAGAAGTGAATCACACCCACGTAATACTCAAACGCAACAATGTGTGATTTGGGGAACGCCTCGGGAGGGGGCAAGTCTGCTGCCGAGGCCTTGATGGCGCGGAGAAGGTTCTTTGTGAGGCCAACGGAGTTGATCTAGAAAGAACATCAATGACTGGAAGGACAGTGTGATTTATAAATGCCAATTACCTTGAAATAAATCTTGAAAAGAAGGTTGGTCATGTTGTAGATCCCCCACTTGCGCGATTCCTCGAGAGCGGCTCTGTCGCTCAGACAAAGGGTGAACATGCGGTTAATGATCCGCGCAGCTTCTTCCAGGTTGGCGTTCTTCTCAACATCGGGAGAGATATCCTCCTGGAAACCGACAACGGCCGAGCCTTGTGACGCCGCTTCAATATCGGCATTGATCGCAAAGATCCGCAGATACTTCCCGACTGTGTACAAACAAGGAAGCGTCCAAGCGGGGAGACCGGAGGATCCCGAGTAGGCCCTGATGAGTGTATTGGCAACTTTCTTCCAGGCATTGAAGAGCGCGCCGACGCTGGCTCCGCGAATGCCATCTTCGCACTTGATCAATTCACCCACGGCCTCCCAGTAGACAACGAATATTTCCACCCAGGCATTTTGCTCGGCCTTGGGTAACTTGGGACCTTTTCCGTGGAACAGCAGGTAAGGGATATCGAGTGAGACGGACGCGGCGTTGGACAGTTCGTAAAACGAGCGCAGGCGGTTGGGATCGCCGGGCGGCGCGATCGGAGCGAGCACTGCAGCTAGATCTGAGCCAGATCCATTGATGTAGGCATTCTTGAATGCGGGCGCAATTGAGCTCATCGTGTGAGAGCCACGCAGCTAGAGTTCCCGAACCTGGTGTTAGTATGAGTATGCTCGGCAAGAGACTAGGTGGAGTCAAAATGAAGGCAATACGTATGACCAACAACAGCGAGAGAGCAACATTTGGAGACATGTGGGGTAACGACGACCGTGTGGCTGGTGATGTGGCGTATGGATTGTGGCGCATGTGTAATACTGCCAAGGCGGTATGCCGCGGCTCCACTCGCTTAGGGCAAGGGCGTCAACCCTAACACAATTGACGGCCTCACAATTCTCAATTTCCCCCGACGGCACACTAACGACTCAAACCACCACAGCGACAATCACAGTGAGTATCTCCATCTTGAATTGTCGAAAATTCATACTAACATTCAATTCTTCCAGATGGGTGAGTGATTTCTATTCCTTTCCCGACCCCCCAAGGACTATCTTCGAGGCAAACGGTGCGCGCATACGGTTGGAGGAATTCAAGACGCAAAAGACCCCCAAGGCATCGACTAGACCGCCACAGCAAAGGAGGATACACATGGAATCGACCCCGATTAAAATCATCGAAGTGGAGGAACGCACAATGCTGTCGAACAAGGCCACGCTTCGTCGAATCTCGAATTTTTCAACATTCAAAATCCACCCCTGGTCTTCTTGATTTTTCGCCAACCGTCATCGCGCACTGATTTTCTTCTCGACTTGAAACCCCGGGGCAATTCGATTCCATCTAGGAACCATGACTGACGGATCATCAGGGCGTCTTACTGAGTACCAGGTCATCGGGCGTCACCTGCCCAACGAGGCGAACCCCACGCCCAAGCTGTACCGCATGCGCATCTTTGCGCCCAACACTGTTGTGGCCAAGTCCCGCTTCTGGTACTTCATGGCCCAGCTCCGTAAGCTCAAGAAGGCTAACGGCGAGATCGTCTCTCTCAATGTCGTACGTTGAAACCCGCTCTCGGAAGGAAATGGAACGGTACTGATCTGGATTTTTTTTTGCTCTAGATTGCCGAGAAGCGTCCCCTCAAGGTCAAGAACTTCGGTATCTGGATCCGCTACGACTCGCGCTCCGGCACCCACAACATGTACAAGGAGTTCCGTGAGATGTCCCGCACCGACGCTGTTGAGGCCCTCTACCAGGACATGGCTGCCCGTCACCGTTCCCGTTTCGGCTCCATCCACGTACGTTCTATTCCCCCAGTTCGACTTCGATACACGTGCAACATCTAACAATTCTTTTCCCTACAGATCCTGAAGGTTGTTGAGATCGAGAACAACGACTCCATCCGCCGCCCCTACATCAAGCAGCTCCTCCAGAAGGACCTCAAGTTCCCTCTGCCCCACCGCGCCGGTGGCAAGGTCGGCAAGAAGATCTTCGCCCACTCCCGCCCCTCTACCTTTGCTTAAATGTGATGTTCTGGGTTTTGGGTATGGAGTGTGTGGATGAATGACTGTTTATGGCCATAGCATGAAAGATGGTCGCGTGGAAACCACTGCCCTCCCCGGGCGAGATGGTTGGATGTCTCTAGTCCCGTATGGTGGCATCTCTAGGTTATTTTGAAAAAATCATCGGGTTTCTTGAATCATCCAGTTTCTCTCAGTAGATAGACTTGTCCGTCTGCAGAGGGCAACGGTCCTGGGTCTTGGTACATGTAACGCTCTTCGATCGGTTTGCTCCTAGGGTCCTCTCAAGGCTTCCAAGGTTGTATAACTAGAGGTCTCCCTGCTATCGGTCCTCAACGAAGGCCATGAATCCTGTCCTTTTGTCTCATATACTCTACGAATTATGGTCTAATAAAATGTTATCCTCGACTCTACTGCTGTCCAACAACATAGTAAAATCTTTAAAATGAATTGGAAGCAATGAAATAGTGAAAAGTGGTGCCTTGCAATTCAGGCACTAGCTGGTAAAAATCACTCCGTCTACAGCGACCGCTTCTTCGTTGCCAACGCTCGTTATCACTGGTAAAAGAAAGTTCTCCATAGTCAATATCATACATGCCCCTGCCAATTAACCCCGTATTTCCGAGTGCATAGACCGGCCCTGAAGGGTGACGATTCGTAATATTGCGTCATGCGAAATCGGGTCGGGAGCTGTCCGCTTTCGCATAATCCGAGTTCTTCCCTTCGCTCGCTTTCTACTTCTTCTCCCTCCCCATTGCAATCATGTTCGCTCGTCAAACATTCCGTTGCGCACAGCCCTTGAAGCAGGTGAGTCCATTGTTTTCTTTCTAATGAATAAGAGCTAATTCGGCCTTTCTCCAGAGCTTCCGCAAGTACTCTGCGGAGGCCGCTCCCAAGGCCGCTCCCAAGGCCGCTCCTCCCCCTCCTCCCAAGAAGGCCAACTTGACCCCCATCTACGTTGGTGTCGGCCTTGCCGGTCTCGCCGCTGGTGTGTACCGCTACAGCAGCTCTGCCGTGGCTGAGCCCAAGGACCGCCCCAAGGTCTTCAACGGCGAGGACTGGGTTGACCTGAAGGTGTCCAACATCGAGGTTCTGAGCGCCAACACCAAGCGTATTCGCTTCGCGTACGAAGATCCCGAGGCTGTCTCCGGTCTCCCCGTTGCCTGTAGGTATCTCCCGTGCTTTTCAGCCCATCAATTGATCGCTAACGTTATATCAAGCTGCTCTGTTGACCCGCTTCAAGCCCAACGGCGCTGAGAAGAATGTTCTCCGTCCCTACACTCCCACCAGTGATGAGGGTAATTCACGAATCCTCCCCAAGCCATAGTATGTCTGCTAATGAGTCATAGAAATCCCCGGTTACCTTGAGCTTGTCGTCAAGGCTTACCCCAACGGTCCCATGTCTGAGCACATTCACTCCCTGAACGTCGACCAGCGCCTGTCCTTCAAGGGTCCTCTTGTCAAGTACCCCTGGGAGGCCAACAAGCACGACCACATCGCCCTCATTGCCGGTGGCACCGGTATCACCCCCATGTACCAGCTCGCCCGTGAGATCTTCAAGAACCCCGAGGACAAGACCAAGGTCACCCTGGTCTTCGGTAACGTCACTGAGGATGACATCCTTCTGAAGAAGGAGCTCCAGGAACTCGAGAACACCTACCCCCAGCGCTTCCGTGCCTTCTACGTTCTGGACAAGCCCCCTGCGGAGTGGACCGGTGGCAAGGGCTACATTACCAAGGAGCTCCTGAAGACCGTCCTCCCCGAGCCCAAGGAGGCCAACATCAAGCTCTTTGTCTGTGGTCCCCCTCCCATGTACAAGGCCATCTCTGGTCCCAAGGTCAGCCCTAAGGACCAGGGTGAGCTCACCGGTATCCTTGCCGACTTGGGCTACTCCAAGGAGCAGGTCATGAAGTTCTAAGCTTGTAAATTAGATAGCTATTCCAAGATACAGATACTGTACTGCCTACCGGGCTTGTATATTGATGCATCTTGTTTGAGCGTGTTGCCTAGATTCCGCTTATGGCTGGCATATGTCGTTGGAATGAATTCAATATACTTGCAATCATACATGTGCTTAGATGAATACTGGCAGGTGTCTGTGATACCTATTATTCTTGAATTTGCATTTTAGTCTACACAGATGGCACATCCATGGATTCCAATATTTCCATGGTTGTTGGGCGGTTATTCATGAAGGGGCCATTAACGGTGGTGCCCAGCCTTAAAGCTGGGCGTAAGCGTGCCAAATGCGATCTATATATCTGGCCCGACAAGTTCAAAATCCCACACCAGGTGTTTGCAATTAACGCCAACTAGGCGTTTGATACACGCAGCACATCCCAGTAGCACCGATGAAGAGCTGTATTTAGTAAACTTCCCTACTGACTACCTAGGTACAGAACATAAAGACCAGAGACAAAATACCCAAGACTATCTGGACAGAACCAAAGATGTACAGCAAAGGCGAACAAAAGACAGTACAACAGGAAAACTTGCTAGTAACCATACCAAAGACCGAAGACGGAGAGAAACGAAGAAGCAAATGATTTGGAATATCTGAAAGTAAAATCCGAGGTCTGTAGCACAAGTTGGACACCTGGTACACAGTCGAGACCCCTTTACCCCTCAGGGCGCTGGTGGACGCCGACTCTGGCGTTTGGGTGGGGGTGGAGGGAGCGCCCGTCTCAACCGCCCACGTCCGTCCCATCAACGTCGCGTCTGCGCCTCACGACCTTTTGATATGAACTCGTATTCGAGTCTGAAGAACAATGGATTATATTAGTTTTTTTTGCTGAAATAGAAGCTATTGAGGTTGTTTAATCGTGAATATCAAATTTGATCGCTATAAACATTGTTCTGTGTACTGAGACAGCTTGGACTAAGAAATAAGGCAGGAAAAGGTAGGTACTTTTGATAGAGGTAATTCTCCGAGATATGTTGCTGCTATATTGTATATTGTATATTGTATATTGTATATTGTATCATGAAATATGAAATGGACCATAAGAAACTGTGTACTCTAAAATATTGAAGGGGTACCATCCCGGGGGTGGACGGGTCATGCGATGGTGAGCAGAGGCCCGAAAGAGAGAGGGAGTCTAAGCCTAAAGCAGCGAGCCCCAGCCCGGGTGTGTCGGTGCTGCTATTTAGTGACCCTCCGGCCTTCCCCCCCAAACTCACCAACGAAATTTTCTTCTTCCGCACCTCCGCACCAACATGGCTCCCCACGATGAGAACCCGACCGTTGAGGTCAACAAGGAAGATTTCCGTGGCACTAGCGACCAGGTATGTGATGAGAAGCTTTTATTCATCTTATTTTCTTTGTTTATCTGTTTTCGGGATATTTTTTTCTCTGTCTCGGTTCTTTTTGGTCTTTGTATCCCATTGTTTTCTTGTGCGCCGGGGCGCCGCTGCTGCGCGCCCTACGCGTCGCATACCTTCTGCACCTGTATGAGGCCTTCGAAGCTTGCCTAGAGCTTCCAATCGGCCTCCTTCCCTGCCTACTGTTCACAACATTCACATGCCCCCTCCGCCCCCTCCCCATCCACACCGCACAACCACCCCGGCGCGTACTTCTGTCCAAGTTACGCGCCGTCTGACGACCGCGCACCCTCATGTTTCCCCCCTCCGCCCCCCTCCCAGCTCAAAGCTCAATATGTCTACCCGCTATCAACTACTTAACTACCCTATTTACATTGTCCGCTCTCACCACAGAATCCTAACCATGTAAAATAGATCGTGATGCGTCTGATGGAGATTCAATCCTACGTCGCCGAATTGGCCAAAGCCTACGTGCAGCACACCAAGAAGCTCACCGAGACTGGCGAAGCCACCCTTGAGCTCCCCACCGGTCCTGCCGGCTTCCTGGCTCAGGACTTCACTGGTCGCGCCGGTACCCCCCGGTGCGCGCTCTGATGCAGGCGGCCCCAAGAAGCGCAAGCGCGCCCCCGCCGACCCCAATGCGCCCAAGCGCGCCCTCACCCCCTACTTCTTGTACATGAAGCACAACCGCTCCAAGATCGCCGCCGACCTCGGCAAGGACGTTCGTCCCAAGGAAGTCGCCGACGAGGGTACCCGCCGCTGGCAGGCGATGGATGCTTCCGAGCGCGAGGTAAGTCAAAATTCCCAATTCGCGTCGCATCGTAGGCATGAACCAAAAAAGAAAGACACAATTACTAACAATCCACAGCACTGGAAGAGCTTGTACACCGAGAACTACAACAAGTACAAGGAAGACGTCGCCGCCTACAAGGCCGGCACGAAGACCGAGACCGCTGCGCACGACGACGAGGAAGCCGAAGCCGAGAACGAGCATGAGGATCCCGCCGCTAGCCAGCTTCAGCAGGACTTCGCTGGCGCCGAGACCAAGGAGGATTCGGATGCTTCGACTGAGTCTTCGGATGAGGAGTCTCCTTCCCCCGTTCCTGTTAAGGAGAAGACTCCTCCTCGCAGCAGTGCTAAGAAGACTCGTAAGGCTAAGGAGGTTGAGACCCCTGCTAAGTCGCCCGTTAAGCGTGGTCGCAAGGCTGCTGCTGCTGCCGCGGAGCCTGAGCCTACCCCCGCGAAGACTCCTGTTGAGAACAAGCGTCGTTCCAAGAAGCGCAAGAGTGAGGCCTAAGGGGTTCGGTGATTTTCTGATACGCTCGGTTTGAGCTTTTGAATTGGTCGTGTAACCCATTTTTCTTTTTCTTTTCGGTCAGGCGTTCGGGAAAAAAGGCCTGTACTTAGCTATTATTAGTGGGACTGAAGTGAGATAGCAAGTAAGTTAGCAAATGAGTTGAGCCAGTGATCTTGAAAGTACTCTGTAGTGGGTTGTAGTTCGTCGTAGTCAGTTGTAGTCACTCGTATTTACTCGTATCTACTCGTATCTAGTTGTAGGAGGTAGTAAAGGTTAGCAGTAGTATAGTAACAAGATAGTCAGTATAGGGATAGTGATAGCACATATGTTGTATAGTTAGCAGCATATAAGGGTATAGTAGATGTAATAGTCATCATAAGAGTAAGGGCTAAATGGTCATCCCACATTTAAGAATAAGCGGGTCCAACCTTTTTTCTTCCTTTTTTTCTCAGCGAATATCGGCTCTGGAGGTGTCAGTGTATAAACCGAACGCATAAACGGCTTAAACCGGCACTAGGCGAAGAGAACAAGCCACTAAGGAGACACTAAAGTCGACGAGAACAATAATCATCACTAAAGTCTTGACTAACACCGCCGAGTCCCGATCCCCGACCCAATCGGCACCTATCATTGATGACGGCCTTATCAGGACGGTCGTGAAATTATATCCCCCCCCCACATTCCACGAGTATTTCACATCTTCACTTCCCAATTGTACTTCCCCCTTGCAAACCTGACTTCTGGAGGTCTTCAACTACCGAGATCTCACTGTGACTACCCTGCACGCCAAGAAGGGCTAGCTTCCCCGGTTCCACTTGTGCCATGCAGCTTATTCCGAAGGAGGTAACTCGACATGGAGGCTCATAGTATCGAGTACACGAAACTGACATCCCCCTAGCTGGACAAGCTCACAATCGCCCATCTGGGGTTCTTGGCACAGCGTCGTCTCGCACGTGGAGTACGGCTGAACCATGCAGAAGCTGTGGTATGTACTTCCAATCCTCCCCGGTGGAAAGACAAGGGCGCTAACCTCGAGTCATCCAGGCCCTAATCTCCTCAGTGCTCCATGAGGTATGTTCCCCCCCATCCCGCCAGGCTTGACCGCCACACCCACACCCGTACCCATTCGAAGCAAAAGACCTCAAGCTGACCCTATCCAGCTCATCCGCGATGGCCACTACTCCGTGGCCGATCTCATGTCCATCGGAAAAACAATGCTCGGCCGCCGCCATGTCCTCCCCTCGGTAGTCGCCACCCTCGTCGAGCTCCAGGTCGAAGGCACCTTCATCTCCGGAACCTACCTCGTCACCGTCCACCACCCAATCAGTAGTGACGAAGGCGATCTCGAGCGCGCCTTGTACGGTAGCTTCTTACCGGTACCTGCCCGCGAGGCCTTCCCAGACCCAGACCCCCACGACTTCATGCCGGAGAAAATGCCCGGCGCCGTCATTCCGGCCAAGCACGCGCGAGTCGAATTGAGTCCCGGACGCAGGCGCATTAAGCTCAAGGTTATGAGCAAGGGCGATCGACCTATCCAGGTATGTAACTCATGCGTGATTTTTTCGTGCGCGACATCTTATGCGACACTCGCTGATCAGCTCGGACTAGGTCGGATCCCATTATCATTTCATCGAGACGAATCCCCAGCTGCATTTCGATCGCATCCAGTCTTACGGCTTCAGACTGGATATTCCCGCGGGAACGTCGATTCGATTCGAACCCGGTGATACCAAGACCGTGACGCTGGTTGAGATCGGTGGACACCGTGTGATTCGCGGTGGAAACTGGCTGGCGAATGGAGTGGTGGATATGAGTCGGGCTGAGGAGATCGTTGGGAAGTTGCAGACGGCGGGCTTTGCGCATGTGCCTGAGCCTCAGGCGGATAGTGCGCTTGTTGCTGGGTTCTCGATGGAGCGCGAGGCTTACTCGCGTATGTTTGGTCCTACGACGGGGGATCTTGTCAGGTTGGGGTTGACGGATTTGTGGGTGGAGGTTGAGAATGATATGACGACTTATGGTGATGAGTGTGCGTTTGGTGGTGGTAAGACGCTGCGCGAGGGTATGGGTCAGGCTTCTGGGAGGGGCCATGCTGAGTGCGTGGATACGATTATTACGAATGCGCTGATTATCGACTGGACTGGTATCTACAAGGCGGATATTGGTATCAAGGATGGGTTGATTGCTGGTATTGGCAAGGCTGGAAACCCGGATGTTATGGATGGTGTGCATCCGGATTTGGTGGTGGGTGCTTCGACGGATGTCATTGCTGGAGAGAATAAGATTGTCACTGCCGGTGGTATCGACACGCATATTCACTTGATCTGCCCGCAGCAGGTGGAAGAGGCCTTGGCCTCTGGAATCACCACCTTCCTCGGTGGTGGTACCGGTCCCAGTACCGGGTCCAATGCGACGACATGTACACCGGGGCCTAACCATCTGCGCCAGATGATGCAGGCCTGCGACAGTCTGCCAATCAACATTGGAATCACAGGCAAGGGCAATGACTGCGGAAAGAAGAGCATCGTGGAACAAATTCTAGCTGGAGCAGCCGGTCTCAAGCTCCATGAAGACTGGGGCTCCACGCCCGCAGCCATCGACAACTGCCTGGAAGTCTGCGACGAGTACGACGTCCAATGTATGATCCACACCGACACGCTCAACGAATCAGGCTTCGTCGAACAAACCATCGATGCCTTCAAGGGCCGTACCATCCACACATACCACACAGAAGGAGCCGGCGGCGGCCACGCCCCAGACATCATCTCCGTCGTGGAACACCCCAACGTCCTCCCCAGCAGCACCAACCCAACCCGCCCCTTCACCCTCAACACCCTCGACGAGCACCTCGACATGCTAATGGTCTGCCACCATCTCTCCAAGAACATCCCCGAGGACGTCGCGTTCGCGGAATCCCGCATCCGCGCCGAGACCATCGCCGCCGAAGACGTCCTTCACGACCTCGGCGCCATTAGCATGATGTCCTCCGACTCTCAAGCCATGGGCCGCTGTGGTGAAGTCATCCTCCGCACCTGGCACACAGCCCACAAGAACAAAACCCAGCGCGGTCCATTAGAAAGCGATGCCGGCACGCGCGCCGACAACTTCCGCGTCAAGCGCTACATCAGCAAATACACCATCAACCCCGCTTTGGCGCAGGGCATGGCGCACGCCATCGGCTCCATCGAAGTAGGCAAGGTAGCAGACCTAGTGATGTGGAATGCCTCGACGTTCGGCACGAAGCCCGTCTCCGTGTTGAAGAGCGGTATGATCGTCATCGCAGAGATGGGTGATCCGAACGCGTCCATTCCAACGGTTGAACCGATGATCGTGAGACCAATGTTCGCTGCGCGTCTCCCGCAGGCTTCTATCATGTTCGTATCACAGGCTTCTATCGATGCTGGGATCGTGCAATCTTACGGCTTGAAGAAGCGTATCGAGCCAGTGAGGAATTGTCGCTCTGTTGGCAAAAAGGATATGAAGTTCAATGATACTATGCCGAAGATGAAGGTTGATCCTGAGAGTTATACCGTCGAGGCTGATGATATGCTCTGTGATGCTGAGCCTGCTTCTGAGCTGCCCCTCACGCAGGCTTATTATATCTTCTAGATGTGATGTCTGTTTTTGTCCTTTTTTTTGAGCCCTTGAATTTGCCTGCCTGTTGATCCTATATACCTCGCTTTTGGTTTTGGTTTCTTGCATGATATACTAGGTTTCCATTTTCCATACGAATGCCACGATTTTCATTCTACAACACTGCACAGTTCTACGTAATGCGAGGTTTGCAATTATGACAGCACAATTCAAGCACCAAATGCTTCTGTTTTTCAATTCCTATATCTCAAATCACAAGCTCAAAAAGATCAAAACTCCATATGGGCCAACATGTACTCAATACCTTCAACAACAATCCCATCCGTCCGACGCCCATCCCTATTCACCAAAATATCAGCCCAGTGACGCAAACTAGCCACGATAATCTGACACATATTCGGCACATCGTGACTATAAAAAGCAAACGGCTTCTCAGTAACAAAAGGATTCCCCCTCGTCTTAACATCCATCTCAACAGCCGCATCCCTCAACCGATCCACCAAAACCACAAGCTCAAACAACGCATCAGAAACCATCTTCGAAACATCCAACCCCCGCTCCCCAACCTGAGGATGCGCCTTCAGCAACCCGGCATTCTTACGAAGCTGCGATCGCAGCGCCGCGCGCTCATCTTTGAATCGGGCAACGTAGCTAGAGCGACACGGGTTGAACATCATCATTTTCTCGAGATTTCCGAAACAATCAATGAAGTTAGCAGTAACCTAGTTCAAGAATGGGTCAAGTTAGCAAGTGATACATGGAGATCGACGGCAGCGGTCCGTTCAATCTCTTCGATTCTCTTGATTGGGTGGAGGGCATGGGTGACGAGGGCATGGTAGTAGTGCTTTGAAACAGCGCTGAGCTGAACGCAGCGTTTTGGAATGACCTTGTCGAAGAAGTCTGGGTAGGGTTGGGAAGTCACGTATCTCATGTCCTTTGCTTCGGCGGTGAGGTTCTCGGATGCCCATTTGACTTTGTTGGCTTGCATGGAGAGACTTCCGATGTTGAGGGTGATTTCCACGAGATCGGAGCCTTGGGGTCGCGTTTGGAGCCTTGCGATTATGGAAGTTACTTGCTTGATGAGGAGGTCTCGTTCGCGGCGGTAGCTTAGGATGGCGCGAGTTCCTCGGAGCAAGGTCTTGGTTTTGGATTCGCCCATTTTTGTGCGGGGATTTAGGGGTTGGGCTTGCTGAGGGGATGTGGTTGGGTACTTACTTTGGGGTGTTAAGCTTGAATTAAATGAAGTTGGCTTGAGTAGATGTGCTGAGTTGAGTAGAAGCTGTGAGTGAGAGCTCGAATGTGGCATGGAGTTACGGGATATTTAAGTGTATGCCACCTCCAGTTGAACATTCTTTTGGAAGATTAGATCGGACAAAGATAGGGGTGGTTGATTGTTACAATTTCATTGTTGCAATCATACTATGTTCTTTCACGACTCCGACATTGTAGGGCTTTGGGGCTTTGGGGCTTTGACATTGCACTTTTCAATAGAATCAGAGAGCTCGAGGAGTAGGTAAAACAGGGACATGGAAGATTGATAGATTGCTAATTTAGCAGACTTTTGTTAAACAAACATTCCAATACTGTAGCTCAAAAGCAGAGAAATTAGACCAATCAATTGTCGGGGCATTAGATTCGTGTTTCCTTGCTAGCCAGCCTAAAATAAGACATCATGAATCAAGAATCGTTTAGCAAAACTTGGTAGTTACTGACAATCAGATGCCAGGAAGTCATTCTGCACATGCTTGACTCTAGAGCGCTAGATCATCTCTCACACTGGTCTACGGAGTATGATTGACCTGTCTTGAGTCTCTGGCAGCACAAGGTCGCGTTTCCTGCGTCCTGAGAGCAACTACTGAAGTCCATTGAAAAAGGGAAATGAAAGTTAGAATTCAATAAAAAATAAGAACAAAAGAACACTGGTTTTCACTGCTTGGATTTCAATTCGCTATTCTTCAATCTTTCTTGCGCTCACTGCGGTAATTTAGCTACTCAGACCTCCTTGCGCTTTCCCATGTATGCAACATGGGGGTGAGTAGCACAGCATACAACCCATGTAGTTCATCGACTGCATATCAGTGAGAACTTGGTTATTCCGTATCAGCTCTGATGTCACATAGTGCCTTACAGTGCGGAGTACGGAGTAGAATGCCAATACTTCAGACTGATCCAGTAAGTAGCAGCGAAGATTGTGAATCAAATTCTCTGAATCACAGAAAAAAGCAAAAATGATTTGTTGTGACTATCGATCGTTCAGAGCTTTCCATGCCATATCAAATACTGTATGGAGTACTCGGTGCTAAGATACTAGTTTGCCGGTCCTGCATTGAAGAAGCCGATCCGTGGACACATATGGAGTGCAGAGTGCATATGACCTTCAAATCATTTCAATCAGTGCCCAGATCAGGTTCAGATCTCAGCTAACACAACCTCAGCTTGAAAAGCCCTATGATGTATTGAGGTCACTAATGTGCAGGGGAAAGGCCGATCTACAAGTACGGAGTACATAGATCAGCAATGTGAATTATTTTATGAATTACTTTCTTAATCACTCAACACCTTGAGATCACTATGAATCAGAGGGTCTCGCTCGCCTCTATAGAATTCCATCAACAACTTTGGAACAACTCTTCCGGCCTGTTTCTAGACTCACGAACTCACAACACCTCTACCCAAAGTAAGTGTCTGGCCCGTCCTTGGCTAAGTTCACACCTTAACCGGAACTCGAAAACAGGCTCTACCTTCAATCAGAAAGCATCATGAAGCTGGGCCTCGCCATTACTTCCCTATTTGCTGCCTCTGCCACCGCCGCCAAATACGCCGCTGGCCAAGACTGCCGCACCAACAAGGGATGCGATCAAAACTGTCTTGGAGGCAAATGGAGTGTCGCGATAGTGGCAGGAGATGCACGTTTGGTTTGCGATCCTGGCAATCTTGATTCGACTCGCTATGCTTCAGCCGGTTGTATTCGAGAGGACGGAGAGGTTGAAGGTGAAGGAAGAGCAATTATAAAAGCGAGTGAAGTTGCTTGCGACAGCGCGAAGGGTAAATTCTGTGGCCATTCATGCTATTTTACTACCAAAGCATCGCTGGAGCAGGATATGACCACAAACTTCCAGAAGAAATGCCAGGCACAAGGCGACAGGTCGCACCCATACACTGGATCGGTCTTCTTTTATCCTTCCAAAGATCTGGCTGCTCCTTACAGCTCCTGCAAGTCCTCTGATGTCTTTCCTTAGCCTTCAACAGTCCCGAGGTCGGCATGGTCACTTAGGCATTGAATCAGGCTGAGAGCGAACCTGTTATGACCAAATCTTGTTTGAAAGCTCTGGCTGATTTTCCAAGGTTCTACTCCTGCCACTCTTTTCTGGGTACATTGTCTCATGTCTGTATGAGATAGTTTGAAATCGATATCTGGAAGAAATACGAAGAAAGAAACGATGATTCTACTGATTGATCTGCGTAGATCAACTTTCAAGGTCATGGAAACCTCAGCTGTCTCCGACCCCGAAAGCAGACATTAACAAGTTTTTATCTAATGTTCTTATTTGTGAATTCCTTGATCCCAAGAATATGTTGTGTTTTTCTCGAAGGCCCTCGGCCAACCTTGGAACTAGCGGATCTCGCCGTCTACCCAGCCCGAGGTTGCATTACGGAGTAGATCGGCGAACGATAGATCTGGGGTCCCCGTGCGAAGTGATTGGTCCGGCAAAATTGAATTTGGGGCCTTTGAGCGGCCATGTGGTGCAGTACGCTATGCTGTGGGGAAAGACCAAATTTCATAACATAATAACAGAGGGGTATCATTCCGAAAAAACCATGTAGGAAGAAGCCTAGGAAAAACAAAAAGAAAGATGACGAGAACAAAAGACACGGCATTCGCCACACTTCACTTGGCAGAGAAAAGCTACAGCTCAATCTCCTCCTCGGCATGGTTGTCCGCCGAGACTAGCGAGACATCCGTCCATGCGGAATAGGTATCCTGGCGCGCAGCTAGGTACGCAGCCATGCGCGCACTGCGCGAGCGAGCCAGGCTCAGTTCTTGATCTGGATGGGACTCATCTATGATTCGACCTGGGGAATCGAATGCGGATTCGGAGATTGACACCGTAAGCAAATCTGTCTGCTGGCTATCCGCGGGAGGATTGATCGGGTAGGGAGACATGTTGCCATCGGTTGTATCAGTAGGCTTTGTAGGAGTGTCAGGGATAGATTCTGGTACAAATGAGATCGCTGATGCTTTCGAATCTTGTTGCTCGGGCACAGGTGTAGCCTCGTCGTCTTCATTGCCTTCGTTGCCGTCATGAGCAACATCGAAGTTGTCTTCGGTTGCTGGAGGCCATGACTCGGGGAGAGGGCCGACTTCGAACAGTGCCGGATCAGCATGTTCATGTAGGTAGTGGTGTGCTCGTCGGATCTCATTCCGCTTGTTCCTGGCTGCTTCAGAGCGACCAGGGCGGTGTTCTTGATCCTCAATTCTGTTCTGATGATTCCGATCAATTGCGCCGGTGTCGATGTAGCTCAGATTGATGCTTGTTTCTTGCGAAGATTGCGTGGAAGCCTGCGTGTCGTAACGTGCCCGTTTTGTCGGGCGAGAATCGCTCCCTTGGTCTTCAACGGTCTGCCGCATGCGAATGTCATGTGAAAACACGTTGCCTGAACAGAGATGACCAAAGAGGCGCTCCATTGAAACATCGTCGTTCCATTTTTCCGAGTCAACGGTACACGGATAAAGATCCTTTGGCCGGAAGGCAGCAACGAGTCCACATAGTTCGGAATATGAGGAGTGCCGTGAATATGGGAAGCGCTAGAGTACGTAAGAAAATGTCCATAGCATGATGTTAGGAGTACTCACAATACTGTTTGGTAATTGGGGCTTCGAAGTTCTGTCAGATACTTCAGATGGACCGTGGCTCAGGGCAGTCACAAGGCTTTTCAAGGATATCTCCTCCTCTTTCTGAAGGCCATATGTATCAAGTAACAACGATTTCCTCCTCGACTGGAATGCACGCAAGAGTGCATCTCGAATTTGAGATCGCGCCTCTGTATCATGAACATATTGGAGGCAGAGCTTTTCCAACTCATCCAGTGCAGCCTCATCCGGCAGCTCGAGTTCGTGAGTCTGATACAAATCCCCAATACCCCCACCGGCGCCAACTTCGGGGACTTCGGTACCACTGGATGTGCGGTTGACGATCGGCGTGATGTAGACTGTCTTAGCACCGCCAGTAGCAGAGCACGAAGCTCCAGGTTCACAGCTATGAATTCGACTGGACTCCTCGTTACTGAGACAGCCATCCACGACTACATTTCCCAGCTCAAATCCACAGAGAGCTGGGGCTTCGTGCACTCCTGTGGTTTTCGATTGGACCAAGGACCGGTAGAGGCCCATCTGATAGCGATCCACGTGTATCTATACCATTTCAGTCGGATTTTCTCGTGCAGGCGTCAGAAAAACTTACCTTCGATTTCAATGCAGAAGAGAGCGCTATCCAGACTTCCTCATAACCAAAGGTCCATGCTCGAAAGTAGAATTTGGTATCTTCTGGATAAGCTTGAATTTTTTGTAAAAGCTCAGCTAAACCCTGGGCCTTGGAAGGGAACTCTCGAAATGGGTTGGTCTTGCTCGCAAAGGTGGAGTCCAGATACAAATTGTCCAACCGTTTCTGACCCAATGTGTATGGAATCAGAACGGGGTGGCGGATTAAGTTGTCGACCCACCATTTCTCAGCTGAGCAGGTCAGCTGCATGATCATCGCATACTACAAATCTGCAATCAACTTACCTCGAATGTCACCCGTGTAGATGATTGCCTTCCCATCACCTTCTATGAGGAACATCACGGCCCCAGTACAATGATTTGCATCGAAGAGCGTCACCCTGATACGACGACGGGGAGTGAGTTCAACCTCCGTCGGTGTGTTCAGTGGAATTGGGCGCTGAAGAGATTAGGTTTGGGATCCACAGATGTCAAAAAGTGCTCACCAGAAGCTTTGCCAGATGCTTATAGTGCAGCCGGCGTGACTCGAGGATTCCTTTCGTAAAGTTCATACGATGAGGATACTTTTCAATGCGGAGCAGCAACTGTATACGGTGAGTTCATGATTTCTGGTCGAGTACCGGACACATACCTCTCTCGTTGCCGGGGAGCAGTAGATGAACGGGGCCCGGTAAGACTCCAGGCCCTGCAAGTGATCACTGTGGACATGGCTGAGGAAGCAGGCCAGTGGCGCAGGTCGTTCGGGACTCTTCCGGAAGTAGTCGACTGCGCTGATTAGCTGGAAAGTTTCCTCGATCTTAAATGAGGCTCACTGCGTATGGTGGGGAACTCTGTCGGATGATTAGTTTCTAGGCATTCATAGTAGCTGAGGAGTCTCACCGTCGACGATCCCATCAAAAGTCGACATGGTCCGATGCCCAAGTTGCAGATGTGCCGAGATGGGGGATGTCTGCCGCCGCTTTTAGAGCGATCACTTTGGCTCCACCTGTGATGACTAAGCATTGACAATGGATTCAAGCCCTGGAGGTTAATTTGGAAGGTTGGAAAGTGATAGTTAGAATTGAGTGGAGGAAGAAAGAGAGAAAAAAGCAATTTACCAATACCGTTGAAGATGGAAAAGAATTGTACGCATGTTTACATATGGAACTAAGAAGCGCCGGCTGTATTCGTATTTCTGCCTTGGAATTGGGATCTATACAACCAAGACTTCTCTCATCTGGCCCCAGCAAGGATAGAGCAGCTCTCTCAAATATGACAATTATTAAGCCTGAGTCCCTGTCACAATAACCAACCTGGTGGTTTGCTTTAGACTGAGGGTGCTCCAACATGGATCCATGGATATACTTCGTCTAGGCAAGTATGCTTGACCAACATAGGTGGCCAAACACAAAACCAGAGGCTGATAGCAGATTGGCTGGAATAACATGATGCTTATATTGAGTCATGTTTGGGTCACTGATACCGAGTACGAAGTACGGAGTACATTGAACCAGACATACGTACAATCCAGAGGGCCATGGTATGGTCCATGGTCCATGGATAAGGTACGGCAGCTACGGGTGTGGTCGTTTAGGAACCGCCTGTGATTGGTCTACTTTACTCCACTAGTCCTCATGTCAGCGGCTATCTTTTCGAGAAATGAGGATTCAAACAGAAACAAGATTGGCTAGATGTAGTACATATATTCTACTCTGTACTATCCCGAGGTCTGACATTGTCTTGCTTATTCTCACACATTCTTAGTGTATACATGCAGATGTGCTGGACCTGCACGTAACGTGTCCAGAATGAGTTCACTTAAAGTTGCAGTATTATGATTCGTGTGTCTAGAACTATCGAGACGTGGTCACTATGCGAACGCTAACAGCTGGCTCTGCATGCCAGCGCACACCCTGACCAATATGATATATAGGCCAATAATTCCGGGAATGTTCTCGTTCCTTGCTGTTTCCATTCTTTTTCATTTCCTTTCCGACACGTCTCAATTGTGTATTTCTGGCATGCCTGTGAGACCTTCAATTCCCCAAGGGCCAAAGAGTGACCTCACCTGATCGGGATCTGTTCTTTTCTTGCTCTTTTCTTCTTTTTCAATATTTCATTTTCTTTTGATTATTTCAATTTTCCCTCATTTTTTTAAGAAAAAATTACCATTTCCTTCTAGAAGAGGGAGACAGGGCTTAGTGAACACGGTGACTTTGTGAAAACCAACCAAAAGTCCGCGAAGTCCGCAAGTCACAAACACTTCCCCACTACTCCGTACCTACCGGAGGGCTGAGCCTCCAATCAGTTTGGGAATTCGCAAAAAGGGCAAGGGGGCCTTCTGACATTCCAGGCCTGAGAACAACCCTGCTGGCTCTGTGTCTGGTTCATCTTCTCTCTTTGTCCCCCTATCCCCTATATTCTCACCATGCGTAAACCATCACTGGCCCAGATCGTGTATAATGCCATGTTCCCACGACCGCGCACGAACGAACCGGGTTCCTTTGCCGCGCACATCGCCCGCAACCTCGTGCCAGAAGTCCGGGTCGAGACCTCCCTGTTCTACGGCTCGCTGGATTGCATCGAGGCTCAATACCCCGGGCTGGACTACTCATATGGACCCCATCGGATGCGACTCAGCCGCTTCCCCTGGCACCGGAGACTCTTCCGCACCTTCAATGAACTCGGACTAACGGAGAATGAGATTTCCGATCTGTGTCGATGGGAAGGCACCAAGTCCGCGCGTCAGCGATACGAGGCAGAAGAAAAGGTCAGGGTGCAGGACACCACGGCCCAATCTATCCGAGCGGCATCTCCCCCACCAGCCCCCTCAATTGAGGTTCACTTCGACTTCTGCGGGACGGAAGACGAGATCATCGAAACCCGGAGTAACGATACCATCCGCGCAAGCCGCTCCCGGGCATCCAGCTACCAAGCCGCCATGGCAGAACCAGAATCAGAAGACGAGTCCAGTGAGGATGAAATGGAGAGCTGTGGAGTCGCCCTGAATAATCGGATTCACGCTGCTCTGGCCGCGCGCGACCGGGGCACCGACGTGCCGCTGGATGAGGACTGGGAACAGTGGATGAAGGACGCTGGTGAGCGAGGAACATACGGCGAGGTGATCCACGCTATTCACTCCAATGAGCCCTTCACATTCTCCTACGAGGATACACGCGTGCCTCAGCGTCGCAGTATCGCCTCAAATGCAGCCTCCCTGCCTGATGCATACATGATCTCTATGCCGGACAGCGTTCTCCCGGCCCCGGCTCTCCCATCTACTTCCAGTACTTCCAGTACTGCTCGCTGATCGCTGATCGCTGATCGCACTGACTTGCGACCCGGCTCTCGCTTTCATTCGTGTTTCCTTTGCATATTTACGGCGTATCTTTTCCATTCCTCGCATTCGTCTGAAGTGGGCTGGCTCTTCTTCTCGGGATCCTGCTCTTGCTCTTGCGTTTTTCTTATTTTTATATTTCCGATATCCTTCGCTGCGCACGCCTTCGAATCTCTTGCTTGAGCATAGATTCCGTTACCCTTGTTCTCTTTAATACCCTTATCCTCCCTCTTTCCCAATATGTTTTATCTTATATTTTGATATTGTCAGAGGTGAAGTCGCAGTACACTGCAAAAGTTATTTAGGTACTGAGCTATTAACACATTTAAATCTATATCTTCACTGCATATCTTCACTGCTCACTGCGTACTTCACACTTTGGCGATTAGAGCTGGGGTGCAAACAGTAGCAAACACCCGATAAGCTCTCCGCTCCGAGGTCTGCTCCGCACTTGATCTTCAACCCTCCATTCGCACTGGTCATGGGTTGTGATATTCTGCGTCGCTCGATCGATAATTTGCGAGCTTTGCCATATTCATGAGAGCCAATATCTCTCCCAGCCTCGCCCCAACACCAACATGATCAAGGCAATCTTCTACAGCAAGTTCGATACGGTAGAGGGTAAGCTTGAGATTCCATAATGTCCGTTCAACACTCACAATTGGTTACATAGGACCCAAAGTCGTTCACCAAGTTCCGGACGGAGGCATTGTACCCTCCCCGACTGCGCCCGGTCAACTACCCCTCCTGACCTTCTCCGATGTCTCGTTCTTCGTGATCCCCCGCCAGGAGCTCTGCGGGAACCTGTTGCAGGTCTGCACCAATGGATACCGCATTCTGGGATACCCTATCTGCATGAAATCTGTGCGCTATGATCGCAACGAGTTTATTTTCAACTTCTGCATCGTCCTCGCAGAGGAGGACGACTTCAGCACATACAAGAGTGTTGTGCAGAAGATAGCGGACTTGATGCATGGGCTGGAGGAGCAGAATGGCTTCTTGTCCCGGGACTTCTCAAAGAGTGGCGAGGGCAAGATCTACAGCTTGTGCGAGATGTTGATGGAAGACTTGAACAACTACTGCGAGTGCATGATCCCAATTGGTATGTTTATCGAATGCCTCAAACCGACTTCGCTGACCTGGGTTCTAGACGACCTGAATACCCTCAACATCAAGCTCTTTCCTATATACCCCTCTCCTCCACCCGTCAAGGCCTGGCAAGTCCCGCTATTCATGCTGCGATACCAGGCCTTCACAGATGAGAATTGGGACCTGACCATGCAGAGAGTATGTCCAATATCCCCGCGCTTTAATACTACACCAAATACCTAACAACCCAGATCGTACCCCATATCAACGGCGTCAACAGCGTGCGCGTAATCTCCATCCTCGCCGACACCGATTTCTCCCTCACCTGTCGCGCCCTCCGCCACCTCCTCTACTACGGCTGTCTATTCCTCCTCGACATATTCTCCTTCTCAGCAATCTACGCCCCAACCGCCCAATTCAGCTCAACAATAGCCTCCGACGAAACAATGCAACTCGAATGCGCACGCTACGTCAACCTCCGCTTCGCACCACACCCCCCAATGGGCCCATCCCTCTCATCCCTAAACCAAAGCACAAGCGCAACAAGCACAAGCAACACAGCCCTCTCAACCTCCCTCACAGACCCAAGCCTCACCAATGAAGCCCGCTTCGACGCAGAAGAAATCTGGCCTCTACTAGGCGAAGACCCTAACCCAACGCCCGACACATCCGCCCTCCATAAACCGGCCATCGTCGACGGCGCCGGGCTGGTCGAGCTATACGCGGGTCTCAAGCAGGGCCAGAGCGTCAAACAATGGTATGCGCAGCATAGTCGCTCGCTGGCGAACATCGATATCAGGCGCTTCATCACCTTCGGCGTTATCAAGGGCTTCTTATATCGTATTCATAAGTATGCGTGTGCAACCGGTGAACCGGCGCCACCACCGCGTTCCTCGTCGTTCACGCCGACGGGTCCTTCGTCGCGTGTGACCACTGGGACGAATACGCCATATGCGGTTTCGAGTGTTGGTGAGGAGGGTGGGAAGCGCGAGGGGAGTCGGGAGCGTGCTGGGTCGTTGATGAGTGGGAGGGGTGCTGGGAGTGGGACGCCTTCTACGTTTTGGGAGGATGAGGAGGAGGAGATGGTTAGTGATGAGGTTTTGGGGAGGTATCTTGATGGTACGCATTGTTTGGATCAGATTTGTACGGAGTTGGAGGTTAGTGAGAGGGAGTTGACGGCTAGGTTGAAGAGGTATCCTGGGGAAGTTTTGATTTTACATCGATGATTTCTAGGTTGGCGTTGAATGGTGTTTGGGAGATTATATATACCCTGCTACGAGTTATAGTGCATTTAATTTAGAGCTATCTGTGGATTAAAGCACAGTGGTCTGATAGATAGATCAAGGTATGGAAATGGACATCAACATATTCCAATCCAGTTGGATGCATACTGTGAGAAATGAGGCTATTTCCGAAGATGGATGTTAAGTGTGTCTATCTTCAGATCGAAGTGGCTACTGAAGTTGCCACATACATGAATATCCGACAGGACGAGTAATAATCAGGAATCCAATGAACAGGTATCCGCAAACGCCGCGCCAATCCATCATGCCAATTCGTGGTGTATCGTAGTAGAAAAATTATCAAAAAGTAAAACAAAAAGTTGGCCACCTGATCTAACCAAGCAGTAGATGAGCAGGAACAGCAAGATCCAGTCTGAGGCAGTGACAGAGACTACTCTTCATCCCAGTTCTCAAGCTCAGCCTTTTCATACTCAGCCATGACAGAAGAGTCGAAGATGGAATCTCCCTCCGAAGGAATAGTGGTCTTGATATCGTCGAAGATGGGCAAGAAAGCCTCGTTCCAGCGACGACGACGATCCATCACAATCTTCGCGGCATCTCCAACAGCCGGACGGGAAACTCCCGCAGAGCCAGCGACATGACTTCCACCGCCTGCACCACCAGGACGGTGTTTCGCCTGATTGCCCTTCTTGCTCTTGCCCATAGTGCGGGTGCGCTTGAGATAGGCCTGCTGAACTTGAGAGTCGAGGTCGTCTTGGATAGTAGTGAACTCGAGCATGGCCATGTGTTCCTGTGCGATTTTCAAGATGCGGGCTTTGCGCGCGTTGTTCGTGACGATTTGCTTCTTCAGTTCGCCTTGGAGGAGACGTAGACGCTCGGCGACTTCGTCGTCGTAGTGGGCGTCGTAGTCTGGGTTGTCGTCTGCGCCTAAGAAGCCAATGTATCGCAGCTCGGCCTTGGCGCGTTCGTCAAGTTGCGCGTGATCGAGTTGTGCTACAGAAGTTTTGAAGTCGTTCGGGTCTGCGTCGCGGAATGCTGTGGCGGGAGGCAGAGGGGGCTTTTGTTCGCTTTTGGGTTCTTTTTCGCCATTCGGTTGGTCGATGTCCATTGCGTCTCCGCCTGTCCCTGTGCTGGCGCCTCCAGTAGTGGTTTCGCCGTTTGTGGTTGGATTGTCGTCTTCGGGGAATGTGCGGTGCTCGTATCGGAGGAGAGAGACAAGTCGACTGAGGAGTGGTCCGACAGAGACCTCGTTGGTTTCGGCGTTATCTTCGGTCAATTGTTCGATACTGCCGCGGCCTTGGTTCAATGGCAGCTGGTCCTTGTCCTCTTGACTTTGGTCATAGGATACCCCGTCCTCCTCGGCCCACAGTTGACGATAATTTTTCTTTCCGCGACGCGGCATCATGAATGGAGTAACTCGATCACCCTAGACGAGGTCAGTACACATATACGAAAATCAGCAGCGAGCGACGTACCCTTTCTTTCAGCCAAGCGATGTCCTCCTCGGTGAGGGGCCGGACGTATGGCTCAATGTAGGTCAAGAAAGTATTAGCGCTGACTTGGTTGGATGGCTTCGCATTGCTGAAATCTTTGTCGGGGGCGATTCCAGCTGCCATATGAGCAAGATCAGTCTTGGGGAATCGTGCGACGCTGTAAATTTCTTTCTTTTCATCGTCGGTCATGCCCTCGACGACATCTCGAATGTCGTAGACTGTGGGGTCATCGTACGCCAGCGGATTGTCGCCAAAGATCTGAACATGGGGAATAGCCGGCGCGGGGTCGGGCTGGTGGGAATCGGTACTGGTCTCAGAGCCAGGTGTGCCGGGGGCAGCAGGACCATCGCCGGCGGTGGTCGCGCCATTGGGGGACATCATCGAGGGAGGCGAAAGCGAAGAGCTTTCATCCGAAGGCGCATTCTTGGAATTTTTGGATGCTGGGGAAGCAGCTGGAGAGAGTTAATAAAACTTGAACAGTGGAGAAGTGAAGAAGCTCAGATGTGGAGATCGCTAATGATCACAAAAGGCTGGAAGAAAAGCCGAGAAGAGCGTCAGATTAGGTCACTTACCACCTTCAATCTTGGTTTCAGCTCCATCCTGGCGGGCAATTTCGTGCGCGCCATGATTTAATGGGCGTTCCTCCTTCGCACTGGCCCGCTCCTTTCGTTTCTTGAGCTTCCCGCCCTTGTGGATATCATCATCCTCTTCGGTTTCGCGCTTGAGTTTTGAGCGCTCTCGAACTTCACGGTCAAGTTCCTGGTCATCCATAACGTCCTTACGCTTTTGAGACATCTCTCGCATTCCGGCATTGCAAACCTCACCCCGGGCATCAGCCATGTCACTGAGGCTCTTCAAGTGTTCCACCAATGTCTCGAGTGTCCTGGAGTCTGGGATGTTCTGTGCGGCCACCAGATCCAGCACATCGGAATACTGACCATTGGCCAGGTCAATGAGCTTGGTGACATCATTTTCCATGTAGCTCTGAATAGGCAGTGTCGGGATCGTGGGAGCACCGGCCCCAGACGGGGTCGTGTTGCGGCTACGCGACTGGCGCGCATCTCGGCCTTTGCCTTTGCTCTTGTATGCAGACGGCATATTGTTAATCGGTGCGACAGGCGATGCGGTATCAAGGGGGATCTGGGCAGATCGGAAGGGGGAATCGATTGGAGGTATTGTTGAGGGTGTTCTAGGTGTATGTGGAAATGAGCCGACACATGCTGTCGCTGGCTAACACAATGAGTACAGTTCAGTTATGTTGCCCCCGAAGCACTTGGATGCAGCTGAGATAGAGAGGCAAGATACCCTTTAGAGGATGGCTATGACTACGTCGACAGATGAGGTATCGAAACAAGCTTTCACGTGATGATAGAATCACGTGTGATAAGCCCCGGAGTGTTCATCTGGAGCTTTCCGAGCTTGGACTTTACACATCTGACAATATACCCCACGAGCTTGAAAGAGTCGAGGGAAATGTGGTCTCGACTCAATTCTGTACTCCGTACAGCAATTGTGGCTGAGTCTTTGTGGATTTGGCGGAGGGGTCCCAAACATACTAACACACATCCCTGCCGTGCCACAGGGCTCACATTCTGCGGAGAACCCCGAGCCTAGTGGCGCGGCATCTCCGATCGCGATCATGGTCACTGAACTTGATCACAGAGTGAAGTGGTCTCTATGGCTATTTCGAGGTGGTAGGACTGTGCAGGACAATAAACATGTCCCCTATATGCCAAATGTCCGACAAACCACTTCGTCACCCCCACAGTTCATAGGCCAAAGCCTGCACGCTTATCCTGGATCTCAGGAACCAGACAAAACCAGACATCGAACGGAAGAAGTATACTTGGACATTGTGTAGACAAACTAGGAGACATTCAAAGTCTACGAAAACATTCAAAAGGGCCAAATCCGAAGTAGGCAAAAGGTAGAGCCCCGGCGATCATCTCCACAACCGTCGGCCGCAAACGGCAACGGGAGAATCTTCATACTTTCTGCAGTGAATAGGCCATGCACTCGGCGAATATTGCTTGTTCGCGGAAATTTTACTCTAAAATCCTGAAACTCGGCGCCCCCTGCAAGGGACTTGCCTCTTGCCTCGTGGTTGTGCACATTCTCGTACCGGTCCCGATTGACTCTCGCATTCTTCCGCCGTAGAGCTCGAGATAGGATGTATGAATGAGCTTGACTTTCTTTCTTTTTCTTTCTCGAAGCTTTCCTTCTCTCTATCTCTATCTCTGAACGCCTTGATCTTTCCACCCATCCATCTTTTGGGTTGCCTGAACACTTGCCTTGTTTCATGGTCTTCTTATAACACTCGCGATTCTCATCGTCTGATCACCTCCCTCACACTCACAACGCTTGACCACCATAATGTCAACCGTCGGTCTTACACGCAATGCGCCGCAGGACTCAGTGGGCAAAGTAGCCACGCTATGGGCAGGTCCTGGGGAAGCATCCAATGCCACCGCCTCAGTCGATGTGAGTCTAACTCCTGCATTCCAGGAACCTTTCTGGAACGATCTCTAACAAAATTCTTTAGGACAATGTCGCCTATCGATTTGTCCTCGACAACAAGGTCCAAACCATTTCCAGCAACAGTATCCCGAAAAGTGGCGTGGTCTCAGGACTCCTGTTCGTGCCCGATTTAGATTCGCAGGATCCTTGCTACAACGACACCTCCTCATATGTGCCTTCGAACGCCACCCGCTATGACGACGTTTCTGGCTTTGGTTACTCTCTCATCGGCCTCGCTCCGTGGGTATCTGCCGAGTGTTCTCTCTCCTACCTATCCGCTGGACAAAAAGTCGGCACCCATGCCATGGTCTTTTATGAACCGACAAATAACGACACTGGTCTCCCACCTGATTCAAACGATGCGCGTTGGAAAATCAATGATGGGGAAAAGTGGAGGATGGAAAACGACTACCCGGTATATGCCATCCCAGGTCCAGCAGGAACCTCGTTGATACGTGATCTTGCGCACTTTTCCGGGAACACAACGCACGAGAAGAGAGAAGTTGTGTCTGGGAGTGCACGGTTGTTCGGTCGTCTTGAAACTGGTATGTGAAAATTTTCATGTTTGTCGGAATATATACTTACAATGTTACAGGAGAGGAGACAGGAAACATGCCCAGTCTTTGGAGCTTTGTGCTTGCGATTGCGGGAACAGTCCTGGTTCTCAGCCTCTTGTTGGTTGTGATCTATCGTCTTGTTCTCCGCAAAAGACGTGACCAGCTCCAAAGACGTATCGCCGCGGGCCAGGTCGATGTTGAGGCTTTGGCATTGAACCAGACAAAGGCGCCTCAAGATGTGGTTGATAAGATGCCACTTTATACGTATCTTGACATCAGCTCATCATCAGAGTCATCTCTCCATCGCAAGAGCACATCGGATGATGAGGCTGAACAGAAGGCCGTCGTTGTCGAGAATATCAGCCCGCCACCTGCGGAACATCATGCGGAAGAAGAGAACCGAACTCTGCGCAATGTTGGACTCCGAAAGCCACAGGCAGCAGTTGTCAATCCCGCAAAGCAAGAGACCGATGATGCTACCCGCAGCAAGTACAGACTGAGTCATACTCAAACAACCTGTGCGATCTGCATCGATGACTTCGTGGCTGGATCATCAGTAGTTCGCGAGCTGCCTTGTGGACACATCTTTGACTCGGAGTGCATCGATCCCTTCCTGACAGACAACAGTTGTCTCTGCCCTCTCTGCAAGAAGAGTGTCTTACCAGCTGGATCATATTATATCTCTGTGACCAATGAAATGGTTCAACGGGAGCATACTTCGAGGCAATCCGACTGAGCGACTTGAGAATCTCTTACCTACCTTGTTTGGCTTCTGTTTGTGTTTAATTTTTTTTTGTCCTACGGGTCATTTGGTGTTGTCCAGCTATTTTCCGGTTTTATTGGCATCAGCGAGCGTTGATCTGCATTTATTGAGCAATGGTGTGATAACTGATTGCATCACAAGGGCGTTGGGAAAGATATTTCATCAATCTGAGAACAAAATAACAAAAATTTAATTTCAAAGAACATCCCATGACTAGGATAAACGGAGTTGGTAAATGAAATGGATTAGAAGACCATGGGTATAGTAGGACCTAAGCTTCAATCTCCATATTGTACAGCAGGTGTGACACTTAGACATGAAAAAATCACCCACGGGCCTGAGGCATATGGTCTTGGCGTTGACACCTCAATTTTAGGGCTGAGTAACATGACCAATCATGATTGGTTAGGGTGGGGAAACTCGCTAATCGCTAGCGTCCACACAGTGGGCGGCCTCTGCCTACCTACTCTTCCTTCACTCGAACTTTTCGCGACAACGACAACCGACGACCTCGTAAAGCCGACAAGGTACGCTTTCTTTACCATCACACTCGATTCAATTCTTCGCCAGTGCATTTGTCTAATTTACAACCGTCCAGATGGGTGCCCTCAAGTACGTGGAAGAAATCCAAAAGAAGAAGCAGTCCGATGTGATTCGCTTCCTGCTGCGCGTCCGATGCTGGGAGGTGAGATAAACCCCTTGTCCCTCGAATGCCTAACATCTCCGCCGAGCACATCGTGTGCGTTGCCTTAGGACATGCCGTTTCGTGGTATTGCTAGGTGGCTCGACCAAAAAGTCATTCGGCGGGAATGATTGTGGCACGCAAGAAAACCTTTTTTGGGAATTCATGTGTCTTGCTATACACTCGTTGAACTTTGCTGAGAGTGCATAATATAGCTCCGCCAGCTGAACGCCATCCACCGTGCCTCGCGCCCCTCGCGCCCCGACAAGGCTCGTCGTCTCGGTTACAAGGCCAAGCAGGGTTACGTTATCTACCGTGCCCGTGTCCGCCGCGGTGGCCGCAAGCGCCCTGTCCCCAAGGGTGCCACCTACGGTACGAATTTACCTCTCCCGAGCAGAATCGGACGAAAATTGCTGCGTGGAAGAATTTTTTTGGCTAATGTGCGATTGGATGAACAGGCAAGCCCACCAACCACGGAGTCAACCAGCTCAAGTACCAGCGTGCTCTCAAGTCTACTGCTGAGGAGCGTGTCGGCCGCCGCGCCGCTAACTTGCGCGTCCTGAACTCCTACTGGATCAACCAGGACTCCACCTACAAGTACTTCGAGGTCATCCTCGTCGACCCCCAGCACAAGGCCATCCGCCGTGATGCCCGCATCAACTGGATCTGCGCCCCCGTCCACAAGGTGAGTTTTACTCGAAATACGCCCGTTAAGAATTTGGGAACTTGGCTAACGAAATTCTCTCTAGCACCGCGAGTCTCGTGGTCTCACCGCCACTGGCAAGAAGTCCCGTGGTATGAACAAGGGTCACCGCTACAACAACACCAAGGCTGGTCGCCGCCACACCTGGAAGCGCCAGAACACCCAGAGCTACTGGCGTTACCGTTAAGTGCGTTAGTGCACTTTATAAGCGGGTTGGGTGTGAAATTGTTGAATTCGGCATGTGGTCATCTATCAAAACACTTCTCTCCCAGACAGTGTATTCCACGCTGGGCTCAACTTTAATGCAGGCCTGCCGGTTCTGTTGTTAGCCAAAAAGCCATCTTGTTCTATTTTCTATTCCCCATTAACGAAGTATGACTGGTTCATCTATATACCGTTTGTACTGTAGACCATTGTACCTAAGATTGTAGTCATCCAGTAGGAACACTTCCTTGATTTTCAGTCTAAAAATACTCTAATCTCCAAGGGTTTCTGCTTTGATTCGATGATCCATGCTAGTGTCGTTTTGTCTGTACCCCAGGGGGCCAAACCATATGGTTTAGTGGATCGTCATGATCGCCAGCCAAACGTCTACATCTCGTGTGAGCAAAGAAGCTAACTCACAGCTTTTCACAGACTGACCCATGGGTGTTTCGAGCTATATACGCGTAACACCCAGAGGATCCCATGTCTCACTAAACTAAGACCTTGGCCCGCTGCTACGCAGCTAATCCAAAAATAGCGATGTTGTCGCCTGAGGCAGTCATGGCTTGCTCCCCCTCCGGCCTCCTTCCCAATCCGTCTAAGGAGTATACTCTCACGACACATCTTTGTTGGCTTTCGAGGTAACGTCGTTTGCTATTTGCTGAGACCCGACTTTTTGACTGATCATCCCTGCAACAGACTACCTGTCTTCCACCGAACAAAGCGCTGTACTACTCGATCGCGTGGCTCCAACAACTTGCCTCGACTCGCATGTGTCCAGAACGAGTGACAAGCTCCACGAGCTGGATCCCACATTGGAAAGGTTGAATTTAGCTACAAGAAATTACCTCCAGCAAGTTGATGCGCCTCTATGCCGTCTCGATCTGACCGTCTTCCACCCATCCCTCCGATCTCGAATTCTACCACCGTCGCCATTCCTCTTCGCCCTGCACAACACCCCGGATTGGAGAGTAGCCCGCGCCGTCCAGTTCGGCCCCGAGATGCTCCAAATATGGCTCCTTTAAGTGGCAGCGCGCCTAAGAACCCGCATCATCAAGGACATTCACGGTCTATCAGCAATCCGTTCGCGGGGTTTGGACGAAAGCGGGACAAGACACCTGTCAATCATGAAGCCTGGGACTCGGATGATGATGACGATGATGAGGTGACCTTCTCTCAGGAACCCCAGTCAACGAGTCCCCGGAAAGGCGGTCATCGTGGAGGATCTGCGAATGATCTCGCCGAGGGGAAATGCCAGACATGCGATGCCACTGTGCGGTGGCCCCGAGAATCGACCGTTTTCAGATGTACGGACTGTTTGATGGTTACGGATCTTGCACCAGAAGCCCACGAGTCGAGGGATGTGGATGATCATAGCCGAAGAGCTCCTCCAGGGTCTCAAGGCCAGCCATCTAAGCTGGCTAAGAAAGGTAATACACGACGACCGCAGCTGTCGCAACCCATTCATTGAGAAACTTGCTGACGTTTGGCTTAGTACTTCCTTTGTCTGCCAATCAGACCCGAGGGATGATTGCTGGATGTCTCAATATCTACTTTGATAGTCTCTTGGACAATGGCTCTCGGTCATGGGTCTCGCTGGACGACGACAAATACGAAAAGCCGCTGCCCGATTTACCGCCATTACAAGATCACGAGTCTGGCCCAAACCATCTGTTGGTTCCACCTGCTGGAAATAATCGAACCCGTAGTGCATCTCAGTCAAGTGACCTCGAAAAAGATGTCTCGTCGAAGGAGAATGTGACTTGCTTGACCCCGCAGGCTGTCCGATGGGAGGGGGATGACACGCGCGCCAGAGCTCGTGCCAACTCTGACCACAACCCACCGGCAAAGCCAGATGCTCATCCACAAAGCGGCCCACAACCTGCAAAAGCAGGGCCCCAAAGCCGTCATCCCCGGCCATATGTCTTTGATGCCTTGGAAAATAGCATCATAGATGCTTTCAAGGGTTGCGAATGTCTGAATGAATCTTTCACGACCCATCCTCCGCCTCGTTCAGCTCGATCGGCTAGCAGCGGTAACCCACCCAGAATGAGGATGGAATCAATTACCATGCCCGAGCCAGCAGCAGATGCACCTGTATTTGAACCAGATGCCAAAACTTTGCTCTTGGGTGATGTGACTGAGAACTCGGCTTGGTGGATGAACGAGTGGGCAGAGGCTGAAGGTCAGAACCCTGCATACAGCAAAGAAAAAAGCAGCCCATCAAAATCCCGGATGGTATCCTCGCGGAGCCCTCGCATCAACTGGACAGAGGTGGGCCAATGGTACCACTCTGTGCTGTCTGCAGGGAGCTCTTGGTCAGAGCAATGGGCGGCCAAAAAGCCTGACCCAACACGCTCAGAAGCGGATTTGATAAGGGCTAAAAGATGGGCAGCTATTGACCCGTCGTTGGTTGGTCGAAAGATCAGCGAGTCTCGTTCGCACTTGCAACGCACGCTTTTGAAGGCCACCGAGAACCTTCTCAAGAGGCCGCGTCGCGTGTTAAAACGACCGGAAGATACCCGGTTCCTGTTCATCTTGTTGGCGAATCCCATTTTGTCTTCACCCACATCTTACCCCCAGCACACAATGCCCTCGGCTTCACACCGAGAAGAAAGGCGGCCGTCACACCCAAAAGACTACCCAAAGCCAGGAGCTAGAGATGGAAAACATCCACCCAAAGAGCCGCCAAAGGCACCTGCTCGTCAAGAGAGCCTCAATCATCACTATGGGCTTGTGAAACGAATCCTGGGCCTCATGTCAAACTTGCCTAATGACTGCCATCACTACTTTGTGTCATGGGCCTCGCGGTTTTCTGTGAGGCATTTTGAACGACTAGTGGAGCTAGTTGGTGGCTTCCTTGCATACCGACTAAGTCGCCAGCATGGCCGAAAGCGCCCAGAGAAACCACAAAGTGGAGATGATCTGATCCCCAGCTTTGCTAGTGCATCGGGGAATACACCAGCCGAGCTCCATGCTGCTATCAATCGAAGGGGTCCGAACAAAAAGCCCGTCAAGAAAACAGAAGCCCCCATAGTGTACACAGAGGACTGGCAAATCAGAGCAGCAGCTAGGGTCATGTCGCTCTTCTTTTCGGCAAACATCTCCACCGCCACGAAGAAGTCTGACGGGTCTCCGCGCAGCCTTGAATCCCCCAAGAATCCAGGTCCTCGTCAGGGCCACATTGTGCCCATCAGTACATTCTACAGCACTTTACTGGATTACTCGGATCTTGTGGCCGATTTCGAGACCTGGGAGTCGAAAAGCTCGAAGTTCTCGTTCTGCCAGTATCCATTCCTGCTCAGCATATGGTCCAAGATCCATATCATGGAACATGATGCTCGCCGTCAAATGGAAGCAAAGGCGCGCGATGCTTTCTTTGATAGCGTTCTTGGCCACAGAGCTGTCAGTCAATACCTTGTGTTGAAGGTACGACGCGAGTGTCTGGTTGAAGACAGTCTCAAGGGAGTGAGCGCGGTCGTTGGCACTGGACAAGAAGAAATCAAGAAGGGTCTCCGGATTGAGTTCTTGGGCGAAGAGGGCATTGACGCAGGTGGTTTGCGGAAAGAATGGTTCCTCTTACTCGTCCGAGAGGTCTTCGATCCACACCACGGTCTCTTCATCTACGACGATGATTCGCAGTATTGCTATTTCAACCCCTACTGTTTCGAATCTTCCGAGCAGTTCTTCTTGGTTGGAGTTCTTCTGGGCCTGGCCATCTACAACTCTACAATTCTCGATATTGATCTTCCTCCGTTTGCATTCAAGAAGTTGTTGGCGTCGGCACCGTACAGCGGTGGCCTACAAACATCAACCTCGCGCTCAAGCTTCAAATGCACACTGGAAGATCTCGCTGAATATCGACCAGTCCTCGCCAAAGGACTGCGAGGTCTATTAGAGTTCGAAGGCGACGTTGCTGAAACCTTCTGCTATGACTTTGTCGCACAGACTGATCGCTACGGCGAAATTGTCAATGTGCCACTTTGCCCCAATGGCGAAAATCGACCTGTGACCAACTCCAACCGGCGCGAATTCGTTGACATGTATGTGAGCTACCTCCTCGACTCAGCCGTAGCTCGGCAATTCGAGCCTTTCAAACGCGGCTTCTTTACTGTGTGCGGTGGAAACGCACTGTCGCTATTTCGACCAGAGGAAATTGAACTCCTCATCCGTGGCTCAGACGAACCACTCGACGTGAATTCTCTCCGGGCCGTGGCCACATATGACAACTGGTCCCACTCACGACCAGAAACTCTCCCCGTGGTCCGATGGTTCTGGGAATTCTTCGAAAACGCACTGCCTCAAGCGCAGCGCAAGATTCTGTCGTTCATCACCGGCAGTGATCGAATCCCCGCGATGGGAGCTACGAGTCTTACAATTCGCCTTGCTTGTCTTGGTGATGAGACTAGTCGCTACCCGATTGCCCGTACCTGTTTCAACACACTGGGTCTGTACCGCTACTCTTCTCGTGAGAAATTCCAGCAGCTCCTGTGGGATGCTGTTGTCAATAGCGAAGGATTTGGGCTGAAGTGATTTGCTTTGTTGTTTGTTTGGCGTTGAATCTTGTATAGACGCTGGACGTCGCTCAAGCATTTGATATTTGGAGTCTATTGTTTTTCTTTCGGTTATGGCGCACTGGTCTGTTTATTATTTGTTGAGTTGCACATAAGGTGTTGCTCTGCTAGAGTTGCTTTTGCGCCCTTCTGTTTCCACCTGGCACCAGAGGACTTTGGGACTTTATCTTAAGATTATGCTACTTTGCTGATCCAATGCATATCGACCTTGTGTCGGCTTGGCTTGAACTATGAAACCAGAAGGAGAATTATCTCATTACATTAAAAGTCAGCAGAAACCAACAAATGCCTATCCAACAATTGTACAGTCGATGGTGTTCACGAGACGCTAAACGGCCGGGGAAGGGAACGGCTCGGCCCGACTTGGATGAGGTGAGATTTTAGCCTCCATCGCGAGGGTGAGAAAGTCTATTAAAGCGCCGGAGTGCACGTCTTAACTCAATTTCTTGAAGTTTAACTTAACATGACTTCTCTCCTCACCACCCTCGGCCTCCGGGCCTCCCAGGATGCCAGGACCTCAAACTATGGCCCCGTCTTCCTAACATTCCATTTCTTCTACGCCTATGGCATTCTCTCCTCTCGCACCTTGAAACAATGGTACGGCATCGACCACCAAGCTTCGCCTCGCGAAGATCTAGCCAAATACGGCGAGGCTGCGGTGCGTGATGGCAAGATGACGCGCAAGCAGCTCGACATGCTCAAACGCAATGAGTCGGCTCATGCTAATTCTGTCGAAAACTTCCCTTTGCTCGTCGCAGGTGTGCTTTTTGCATCTCATGCTGGTGTCCCGGCACACATTATCAATGCTGCTTCGCTGTCGTATACTTTGGCGCGCATTTTGTACGGTGCTGTTTACATCTTGATCGACCATCCGAAGTGGAGTCAGATTCGGGGATTGGCGTGGTGGTGGGGCAATCTGAGTTGTTTGTTCCTCTTGTGGAAATCTGGGCAGTTGTTGGCTTGAACAGATCGGGTCTGGTCTATTATATCAATCTCAAAGCCATGGGATGTTGATCTTGGTAGTTTTTCAACAGTCTCAAATATTGTGCAATAATTTGTGGACAAAAGAAACTCCCAATGATCCAAGGTTATGCCTATGTGCTAACAATTGATGACTCCCTTCAATAACCCTAGACTGATTCAAGCCACGCCTGAATCTTCCCAAGCGCAAAGGTATCATGTACCGTGTCAGACGTATGATGATCCTTGATCTCCCCATCAATCCACCCCTCAGTTCCTCTAATATACTGCAACAAAGTACCCAGCTTCTGACAACCCTCAAAGTCAATCAAGACCGGCATTCCAGTCTCACTGACTAGGACATTGGCTGGGCAGAGGTCATTGTGCGCGAAGCCAAGGTCGTGCAGATGTTGAATTGCAGATTCAAGTGCACCCATAAAAGCGTTCTTGTCGAGCACCTTGTGCCCTTCATCAATATGTGTCTGCAGATCGCGTGGGTGCTTTTCAAGTACAATGCCAGTGAAATGTCCATGCGCAACTCTGGAGCCGTAGTAGCGGATCAGATTTGGGCGTGGATGCTGTGACAACTCTTCTAACACCTGTGCCTCGGCCACGAGGGATTTGAATAGCTGTGTCTCCAGGCCTTGGCCGTGGTTTACCAGCCAGTTGTACGTTTCCAACTTGGGACGCTTGATATAGAAGTTCTCGGCCAAATCGTCTGGTGCCAGGCGAAGGTTGGCCTCAGACATAGGCCATATGGGGTAGATGGTACTGGGGATGGGCATGAGAGCAGCGTTGATTTGTTCAAGCGATATTTCAGCCCTCGGAACACCCAGGTGACCATAATAGAAGGTTTCATTGTCAACAAGGCCAAAAGATGTGCGGGCTATTTCTGAGATAGAGTCATTGTCTTCCTGTACAAAATCCAGGTCATCCCATTCAGTAATTTGTGGTGTCATGGTCAGAAGCAGGCTGTATAGATCTTGAGAATGAGGGGTTCATCGAGAGAGCGCAAGAGTGCCGGAGGATCGGATCAGGTGACCCTAGACTTCAAAGCATAAAGAAAGGAAGGACAGCGGAGTAACTAAGAAAGATGGAGCTTTGATGAATCAAATTATTTGCAACGAGAATAGGACTTTCGACATCTAAGCGAGCATCTCAACCTTAATCTTTGAAGCACAAGGCATGTGTCAAATGCTAAAAGAGTATATGTCTGTTCTAAATAAGCCAAACTTCGGATTGATGAAATTTCATTGAATGCCAGAAGTCTGGCGACGAGAAAACCATCTAGAAAATCTCGCATCTATTGTTCCACAGTGCAGTGACAATTGCAAATGGAGTACACTGATCGAAGAGAACACAAATACTGGGATAGGGCGCCCCTTTGGTCTCAAATCGACGAAAAAGATCAGGGATAGCTCCGTTATCCAAAAGTATCTTCACAACCTCTTCATGTCCAGCAGCAGCAGCGAGTGCACTCCCATATCTTCCACTCAACAACGGAAGGTTCACTTCGGCCCCATTGTCGATGAGAATCTGAATGATCTCTACCTCCCTCAAACCAGCAGTGGCAGCATCAATGGAGGTGAAGCTATCTGCAAAAAGGGAGTTCATATCGGCATCACTCTCACTCAGACTCTCATCAGTCTCTATCTCTCTCTCAGAAATAGCAGCCGCAGCAGCAGCCAGGGCACTCCCATATCTTCCACCCGGTAATAAGAGATTCACGTCAGCCCCATGCCCAATAAGACTTTTCACTGTCTCTACCTGTCCCCGATAAGCAGCAGCGGCAAGGGCACTACCATACTGTCCAACCAACAGCGGTAAGTTCACGTCAGCCCCATTTTCAATGAGAATCCTGACGACCTCTCCACTGTCCTTGAGAACCCTGATAATATCTGCACTGTCGCCACCAATAGCAGCAACAAGGGCACTGCCATATCTTCCACAGGGCAACAGCTGATTCACATCAGCCCCATTTTCAAGAAGAACCCTAACTATCTCCGTGTATCCGCTACAAGCAGCAGCAGCAAGGGCACTCCCATACTTTCCAGCCACCAACGGTAGATTCACGTCAGCTCCATTCTCAATCAGAACATTGACAGTTTCTGCACCTCCGTTCAAAGAAGCAGCAGCAGCAGCCAGGGCACTTCCGTACCTCCCACCTGATAACAGGAGGTTGACGTCGGCCCCATTCTCAATAAGAGTCTTGACTAACTTGACTCTTTCTCCTTCAGCAGCAGCAGCAAGGGCACTCCCATACTGCCCCGCTGCCAATGGAAGATTCACGTCAGCTCCACTCTCAATGAGAATGTTGATAGTCTCTGCCCGCCCTGCCGAAGAAGCGACAGCAGCAGCAAGGGCACTCCCATAATGTCCAACCGCTAACGGGAGATTCACGTCAGCTCCATTCTTGATCAAAAATTGAACCATCTCTGTCCCTTTTTCCCCAGTACGAGCGGCAGCAGCAATAGCGAGGATACTCCCGTAGCTTCCACCCTGTAACACGAGATTGACATCGGCCCCATTCTTGATGAGGATTTTGGCCATCTTTATATTTCCCCCATCAGCAGCAACACCGAGGGCACTCCAACCTTTATCTGGCGATGAGCAGTTCACGTCGGCCCCGTTTTTGATGAGGATTTTGACGATATCCCTTTTCCCTCCACTAGCGGCAGCAGCGAGAGCACTCGTGTTCGCCCTTCCACGTAACGGGAAGTTCACGTCGGCTCCATTGTCGATAAGAGTCGTAACAATATTTGCATTTCCCTGAGATATGGCAGCTGAAAGAGCTTCTCCATAAAAATCAAGCGGTAAGATGGGATGAATTGCTTTCGCTTGTTTGATGAGTATCTCGCAGATATGTTTTGAACCTCCTTTGGCAGCAAGCTGCAGGGTAGTCGCTCCTCGATCATTTATTTGCGAAAACGTATCCTCTGCGTTGTTCCACCAGTCCTTTAAGAGGGCGTAAAACGAGAAGCGACACATAGCGCAAATTGTGACAACCTCTGGCGAGATCTCAATCTTGGGGACCCAACGCAAGAAGCTCGATCTTGGGGTGTAGCTTCTCACAGGTGGCGGAAGGCTGCGATACCAGACGCGATATTGGAAACTGCTCTTGCCAGGAGAACCAAGAAATTTCTTCAAAAGATTGGCCAACCAGGGGTCTGCTTCTTGTCCTTCCTCGGTGATATGGTTTTCATAGGCTTTAACATGCCTCACCCAGTGATGTCGCACATATTCTTTCATGGGATGGATAAGGCTCGGCTCATTCGGTGATTCAATGTTGGACATGCGATCTGAACCTTCCATGCCGCTTTTGCAGGTCGGGATCTTGTATATCTCAATCAGAAGCTTGAGACACACCTTGGCAGCATGGGCATGAAGCTCCTGAAGCCCCCCAATGGTTACGTTCAAAATATTCCCGTACTGACAAGTGAGACAATCTCCAAAGATGGGTTTGGGGATCGATAACAAGTAGGTTATTGCATCGATCCAACAGTTCTGATTCGTTAAACCGCTCCTCAGACTTGATTGAAGATCCGTCGGCATCAATGTGAACTGCAGATAAAAGCTCGTCGCTGGTGAGAGGTGTGCAGGAACCCATCACCCACTTGCACGCGCGGTCCACAAGAGCCTTTCTCCGCGGCTCGTTCACGATTTCGCTGTAGATCTCCTCGTATGCTGCTTCAAGATCCTTCGGAAGCTTACCAAGCCTGGTCTTGATGTCTGCCGTGGTTGACAATCCAAGCACCTGTTTAATTTGGAGGTACGCCCATTGGAACCTGCTTTGTGTGAGCTAAGTCTTGTAAATACTTTGGTGAAGGGCAACTTACATGCCCTGGCTGTTTTGACAGAGGACCTGAACGATTATGCTCCGTAGGTCTGCGGATATTGGCCCCCATTTCCTAGGCTTATCTATTTCGGCATTGACAAATTTTTCAATATCACTCTGATTGTTGATTGCCTGTATTATAATATTCTTACCAGAGAACTGTGTGTTGATGTCGTTCTCGGGTCGACTTGAGATAAAAACTTTAACCGACTGATTAGATTTGGATACCAAGTCCCTTATCACATCAGTGAGTTGCCAGCGTGAGTAATCATCACATTCGTCCAGGGCATCAAGAATAATGACGGTCTGAGAGTACTCATTGATTGATTCCATCAACTGGGTTTTGCATGCCTCGAGGCCCAAGTGAGATGCTTGGCGTCTTGTTTGCTTGCTGATGGTCTTGAGCCTTTTTCGTATATGCTCAGTACTTCCAACAGCGTTTGAGAGTTGACGAACATAGCTTTGGAGAATGTAAAGAGGCTCTCTTCGATTTTCTTCATTTCGATTGCAGTAGAAAAACGCAAAGCCCGCATGATCCGATGAGCTTTCAAGCAGACCTCGAACGTGGTCGATGACTTTTGAGGTGAGATATGTTTTCCCAGCTCCCACTAAAACGGTTAGTATGGTGACAAGGTAAGGTAAAATGACTACCTTTGAAAACGTACTTGAGCCTTGAAGCCGTAGAATTGCCGATGACCCGTAGTCCATCCATTCACAAAATTCTTTGGTTTGTATCAACCACTCACATGTGTCAGGAGTGCGAGATTCCACTCTGACACTGTGATGTGTTCCATATGGTATAGGTGAAATCCATTCTAGAATCTCGAGCTCATCTCTGGCATCGATTCGTTCCAGAACCATATCTCTTTTGTTGTCAGCATTGGCCTCTCGAAAAGTGTCTTTTTCACTTACACCTGCTGCCGGATGAAAGGAATCTCCGACGATAGACCAAGAAGCTCTTTGAGATCAGATCGGCTTGACAGATCGCAGGATTTCTCACAGTCGTCTGCAACTTGTAGTAATTGCTTTTGACTTCCAGAGAGCTTGTCAATATGAGCTCGTGCATCCTCAAGCTTGAATACACTGTCAATCTTAAAATTCGTCTGCTGGCGTTCCACGAAAGCGAAGAATGACTGCAGTCCAGCATAGGTCTGGACGATGCATGTTCTCAGTTTGGCCAAGACGTCGTCGGGTGGGCGGAGAGCGGGATCTGGGGCCATGTATAATAGTTGATACATGTCACATCGCACAAGAAGCGAAGTGACCTCAGCCATTCCAGTGAGAATGACCCCTTTTAGCTCATTGTGTGCGGTGAAAATCTGTTTCATTTAGCCTTCTCAACAACATGAACCAAGTTTCGTATGGTGGAGTCACAACACAACTGAAGTTGAGGCCTACTTACCACGATAACACAGCGAACAGCAGCCCATGGCAGGGCAGCATGAGTAGGGTCAAAGCTGACAGCGACATCTCCGGCGGAGAGGAAGTTGTTCAAAACTGACAACAATTTGCCAATAGATGTCGTCCGGTCGTGATGCTTGCTTTTCAGTGCCCCATCCATCGTCGCTTGGATCTCCGCTACCAAATCTTTCCTTTTGGGACTGCCTTGATCCCAGTCTTTCAGCATCATTTTGACGGCGGATCTGTCATCCTCCTCCAATGAATCAAGAGCTTCATCCCACAGGTCGTAGTTGTCAGCATAGGGCTTCGGTTGATTCGACTGTCCGTGTGCTTGATTGCTCGAAGGCTCCGGGGCTTGCTGGGTGGGAGATGGCGAAGCGGTACTAGTGTTCCCTGTGGGCGCCGTCGATACTTGATTATGTACTAAAACATATCAGTCGTCAAGATTAACTGGGATATTCGCGAGTCCATAGTTCGAAGTGTCATACCGCTGGGACGGCCCGCGCGCGAACCGTGGATTGCGAGACTATCATCGGTTTTCTTGGCCTTTGCCTTGCCCTTCTCACCACGGTGTCGCCAGGAGCGAAGTTTTGACCATGTGGAAGGCCTGTCAGACATCGCTTTGGTAGATATTGATGCCCTCAAAGCCTAGGGTTGTTATAGCCGATTTGGAGAAAAGTCAAAGGAAGAATCCAAGCGCCGACTAACGCTGTGTTTGGGAGGCTGAGATCAACGGGTGCTCAGCCCCGCACAAGCGCGCCATTGGGCAGCGCGAAGCTCGACTCAACGAACTCCTCTGGGGCTGTGTCAAATAGCTGGGCAAAGCGCGCCTTGAAACTTCGGTGGAAGGCACCCGGTTGGGACTGTTGGAGCGTCTTCCAAGGCGACTGCCTCGACCATTTTCCCGCGACCGATACGGAGTAGACACATCAAGCCAGAACGATTACTCCATTTGAGAGCTGCCCCGATCGATGGCAGTTGGTTCGTGCGCGGAAGCCAAAGAGGCCAATAGGAAGTAGGCTGTGGGGCGCTGTCAACAACTCGGATGAGTTCATTGAACTTCTCAGCTACCATCCTTCATTGCTCCATGATGCAGCCAAATGTTTCTTTTTTCTTCCTTTGCATACCATCGATATGTGGATTAAGGTCTTTTGGATCGACCCGCACGTCGAGAGTGTGATGTGGAGGTCCCCTCTTCCGCAGACACCCCCTGAAGGCTTCAGTCTTGGTGAGCAAAGATGAAGTGAAATGCTGATTACATGCAGAAAATTCCACGTATCTAATCTTGCAAAATGGAGCATTGAAGGACTCTTCAAGGTGTCGTCAAAAGTTGCTGAGGCAATAACCTGAGATCTATCAACCGCGGACTCAACAGCAGTGGAGATAGCGGTTGTGGCCGGGTGGCTCCTTCTGAAAACACGGAGCCATAGGCAGTGAAATTCGCAAGACCATGCACAAGTACGGAGGATCTAGCAATTCTCTCCCGATACGCCCAATTGGGAGCCTGCTGTTATGTTTTCCCTCAGGAATGCGGAGCTCCGACGCGGCCCCGACGGGCCATGTCTACCACAGTGGAGACTAATCTCGCATCTGCCGAGCTAAGCATTTATCGAAATTGCTTGTTCCGTGGGCATAGCGCCACTGCAGATGATAAATAGGTCTCCTCATACGGAATATTTTGGACCTGACAAGCAACCCCTGAAAGCAGCTCAAAATGCATGCCAGCATCTATGCAGGGGTATTCTGTACCCTGATCGCGCCGACAATCGGTATAGTCTTGGAAAGTCTTCCTGCAGGAGCTCCAACTGGCTGGTCTCTTGCCAGCGAGCCTTCCAAAAACTCAACCATATCGCTGTCCATTGCCCTTGGTCGTCAGAACCTTGACCAGTTGGAGTCCAAGTTGACAAAGCTGTCAACCCCTGGCTCAGCTGAGTATGGAAAATGGCTTGAGAAGGAGGAGGTCGACTCCCAATTCCCCATCGTTGATAATGCCCCTGTGGTGAAATGGCTTCACGATGCAGGTATCTCGACCGTCGCGCCTGACGGTGCCTTGCTCAACTTCACTGGTAGCATTGACAGTGTCAATCGTTTGCTCAACGCCAGTTTTGCATACTACCAGAATGGAGAGTCCACGAAGCTGCGTACGACGCAGTACTCTATTCCTGATGAGTTGGCTACCTACATCGATATCATCTCGCCTACTGTTTACTTCGGCAAGGCCCAGAGCGCCGACCCGGTGACCTCAAGCTCGAAGCAGGTAGAGTCCCACAAAGGCTCATCCACCGATGTTGCGCCCTCATGCCAAACGTCCATCACTCCTTCATGTCTGAAGCAAATGTACAACATAGGTGACTACGTCCCGAAGCCAGCGGCCGGTAGTCGCATTGGATTTAGTAGCTTCCTCAACCAGTCTGCCCAACAGTCCGATCTACTAGCCTATGAAGCTCGTTTCAACATTTCATCGCAAAGCTTTACTGTTGAGACCCTCAATGGCGGTGTTGATAATCAGAGTGCCCCCAGTAGCGATGTGGGTGAGGCAAACTTGGATGTTCAGCTGATCACCGCTGTTTCTCACCCTTTACCAGCTCATGAGTTCATCACTGGTGGTCTTGCGTATGAACTTACCTCCACTACTTAATTATGAGAATGTACTAATTGTTTCCAGACCTTTCATTCCAGATGCCGATGAGCCGACCGAAGCTGATGCTTCAAACGAGCCATATCTTATCTACTATGAATATCTGCTTTCCAAAAGCAATGCAGATCTGCCGCAGGTCATTTCCCACTCTTATGGCGATGATGAACAGGTAAGCTTGCAATGAAACCCACCCACTTGATACCCTCATTGCTGACTCTAGCAAGACTGTGCCTGAGAAATATGCCAAGCGAGTCTGTGACATAATCGGCCTGAACACCCTGCGTGGCTTGACCATTATCCATTCTTCTGGTGACGAAGGTAAGTTCCGCCATTTGAATGACCGCACAAGACCAAGAAATCTAACTTCTGCAGGTGTTGGCTCCGCTTGCCAAGCCAGTGATGGCGTCACACCTCAATTCAACCCAATCTTCCCTGCGACTTGTCCATATGTCACAGCAGTGGGTGGTACCTCGGATGTTACCCCGGAAGTTGCCTGGAATGCTTCATCTGGTGGTTTCTCTAACTACTTCCCTCAAGCGTGGTACCAGAAATCTGCCGTGAAGGATTACTTGAAGCATGTCACTTCGGAGACAAAGGAGTATTATTCCAAGTTTGCAGACTTCAACGGACGTGGCTTCCCAGATGTATCTGCACACAGCTTGTACCCTGAGTAAGTCATCCCCTTCATCGAGCATTGATACAAGGACGAAACCTAATGATCTACAGCTATGAGGTGATCTCTTTAGGCAAGAAGATAGCCACTGGAGGTACATCTGCTGCCGCACCTACCTTTGCTGGAATCGTTGGTCTACTCAACGATGCCCGTCTCCGGGCTGGAAAGCCGGTACTAGGCTTTTTGAACCCGTTCCTGTACTCGCAAGGCCACAAGGCTTTGAACGATATAGTTGGCGGTCACTCGTATGGGTGCGGCGGCATCGATCCCCAAAGCAACCGGGCCGTCAATGGAAGTTTGATCATTCCTGGCGCTTACTGGAATGCTACTGAGGGTTGGGACCCTGTGACTGGGCTCGGCACCCCCAATTTCCAGAAATTGAAGGATTTGGTGCTGGCGTTGTGAGAGGCTCTGAGTGGGTTCTTATTACGATCGCAGTCCCGGGCAGATGAATCCGAACGATTGTGCTTGTGTGACTTATATGATCCATAGATCTAAATTTCAGTAACTAGAGTACATAAAATCGAAACATCAAGCTTTCTTCTCCGTATTTGTATCCATGCTTTGATCTTGCCTCTGTTCTCCGGCAGAAACAGCATCAATCATCACAGCATGTGTGTCGAGGACCCGAGGCCCGTTGAATTTTCCTCTTTTTGAAAAGAAGTACAAACCGAGGACGAAGAGGGTCAGGCCAACGGACACAACGGAGACATAGTTCATGTTTTCCTTGGTCACCGGCCTCTCCGTAGGCAGGAAGAAGATGATGTCCAAGAACAAGACCCAGATGACAGAAATGAAGTTGACAGCGGGGCCCATCTTGCCGAGTGAAAATGCTCGTTCTGGGAGGACTTTGTCTCGACCGCGCCAAAGAACGATCGCCTGTGGGAGGGCACATGATGTTTGCAAAAAGATGACTGCTGCACCGACCATTGCCGAGAAGGCGGTTGTAGATCCTAAGAAGATGAGACCGTATAGCTGGTGAACTTCGTCAGTATCTCCTCTAGAAGGTAGCAAGAGACAAAGTCCAAGCAGGGGCTGCTTACCGAGATGACAGTGGCGGAGAGACATAAAGCGTTGAGCGGAATCTTGAACCTCGGGTTCACCTTTGACCAGATTCCACTAAATGGCAGCGCACCATCACGAGAGATTGCCCATATGGTTCTTGAGCATGTGGTACCTTATCATGGCTAGTCAGCAAAGATGATAGTATCGATGGCATCAAGGGAGTCCTCACCATTAGCGACAGTGCAACCGAAAAAGCAAAAGGCAAACAGAGCCAGCAGGACCGAGGATGCACCCTTGGACTTGGTGCTTTGATAGTAGATTTCGATCAGAGGAATACCAGAAGGTGTATCCAACACAGCTTGGACATCTGTGATGGCATACATGCACGCGCAAGCAAACGGCCAAGCAGTCCCCAGCCCAATCAGGATAGGAAACAAAATGATCTTGGGTGTATTTTTGGCTGGGTCACGGATCTCCTCACAGAGATGGGCGCCACAGTCTGTTCCTAGGAAGGCATACACGGAATTGCTGATGGCGAGAATAAAAGCCAGTCCATCACTTGGCCATCCGGTGCCATTGGTTGTGTCACCAAAAACCCAGGTAGCGGGGGCATGGTCATTTCGACTACAGACGAAAAGGGTGATTGTGGTTGCAGTCAGGGTACAGCAGGCGACGATGACTGTGGATTGTGTGAGCAGGTCGTCAAGCAGAACAGGTACAGGCAGAAGCTCACAATTAAAGCGGTTGAACAGTGGTAGAATTTGAGAGCCAAAAGTGTTCAGCGCCACGGCTAGCCAAATAATACCGACGTAGACCAGCCACTGGTGCCAGCTTTTTGCTTCATAGTCAGGGTACCAGAGGTAGGCAATTGATAGAAGTAGAGATGCGATAAAGTTGCATGCGGATGCACTGGCGAGCCACCATCCCAGTATACTGAGCCAGCCATTGCTAAAGATATCATTTATTAGAAGTCGAATCAATGAAAGAGAATGAGCATCTTACATATAAGATGCGAAAGATCGGTACTCCTTTGAGGAAAGGCAAAACGTCCAGTAGTATTGAGCACCCGCGACAGGGAATGCAGATGCCAGCTCTGCTACGCCAGCAGAAAGAATGGCTGTCATAGCACCTGCCACGGGAATAGACCAAAGAGCCCCAGCAGCAGATGCCTCTTGAATTGCCACGCCCAGCGAAGAGCCAGTGCCTGACCAAGTACAGGTCAAGCTAAATGAAAGGGCCACCAGACTGAACACAGAGAACTGACGTGGCATTTCGCGGGAGTAACCACGAGACTCAAGGTCATAGTCATCGCCCTTCGAAGTCATTTTGTAGAAAAAGCGACTGTTTTACCAGCCGGTTGAGCTTGACGAGATGCCGCATGATATAAGGCATTTCTTGCCAAGGTATTCGGAGTTGAGAAGATAACGCAAGTTCCTAAGTCAACCCCACGAATATCGAATCTTGGAGATATGAGTGACCGAATGTCATCCATGGCGCCGGTTCCTGACGCCCGAAGTAATCGTAGAGATCTGATTGGATCCGAGGGTGTTGAATCTGCGCCGTTAGCGCGCGGGCTCTGATTGGTCCGGGGGTTTAGATCCCGCCCCTCCCCCGCATCGAGCCCTGGAAGGCCCGAGCACAAGAAGGCTCAGTCCACCTTCTGTCAGGTGATCATAGGGCAGATTACCAAGTAGGTCTATATGCTCAGATGAAGTTTATGGGCTAGTCAAGTACAACAGTGCTGTTCTGGGGAGTAAGGAGTAATACTTAAGTCCAAATGGGGTAGTGTATATTAACTGCCGCCAAAATGGCTGAGTGGTATGCTCTCGGTCATCCGCTCTAACCTTCGTCTGACTCGTGGGGTTGGTTTCGTGTGGTCGCCCTCAGGAAACTGGGGGAAACTGAAAATCATACACCAGAGATGTCCCCGGTTCGATTCCAGGGGCTAGGCGAGTTTGGCAGTTCTTTTCTTTTTGATTTCCCCCTCCCCCTCACTGGTCTCTCCGTAAGTAGCAAGACGATGATGTCTGTTGACGCCGGTGGGTGCCTTGTTTGTCAGGCTCCCCGCAGGCGTAGATCGAGACCTCTCTCTCTCTCTTCCTCTCTTCGTCTCTCTCTACAATAAATACATTATCGTACATGTCTGCTCGCTCTGCTCTCATCGATATTATTCCATGAACTTGTATATATATCAACATGTCAAGCAACGCCTACACCCGACCACCGCGAGTGCTTCCAAGGTTGGTTTGCAGCCAACTCCGGGAAAACCTCACTTCTGAAATGCGAGATGAGCAATGGCGGTTCAAGGACGAAACTCACGCGGGTTGGCGTGTTCAGTGCGTGTGTTGTGGTTCTCTAGGAAAGGTGTTGGCTCACATCCGTTGCCATTGTGGCAAATTTTTGGTTTTCATTTTGATGACAATTCGTTTTGAGGTGTCGATTTCGAGGATTTCTTTTCGTATATCAGATAGGTTGGCCATAATTACTTTGCAATCAAAGTTCTGGTGTTCAGACTAGGGGATATGATATGGGGAAGTCCAAAGGAGCAATTTTTGAAAAGCGAGGTAGAGATCTGGAGACGAACAATTGTTGCACATGGTAAAAGAAAGAGGTTACACGATCGTTCCTTTTTATGGCTGGGCTCACCTATTTATACGCTAATTCCAAACCGGTAAATGACTCGGAAACGCCCCTTACCTTATCCAGGGCGTTGCTACGGAGTAGTTCATACAGTGTCAAGGGCCAGGCAACCTATTCGATGGAAGAAAATGGAGGTACACACTCCTTACTAAAGGATGTGGACTTCGTCTCGATCACGCCTGAGAATCATCGCTTAAGAAAAGTCACTTGTCTATTGTAATTCCTTATAATTTCTTGTCTATCAAGATATCTTAAGATCTATAACAACTCAGTTTGACTCTCCTGTTCAGTTCCTTGAGAAGCGAAGTTTTGACCCGAGTAAAGGCTTCTTCCTCCATATTCTTGAGATAATCTGCAGCATTTGATATCATGGCCCGTTAATACTTTTCAGATCAGGGATTGGTCGGATTTGAGTAGTGACTTCCAAGGTTGTGGAAATAAAACATCCGCAGTTGGACCAAGGTCATGTGACTGTTCTCAACGGGCCCCACCCCCGCACTAAGGGGTTCCCGAGGTCTTATCTCGTCTCTTATCTCCTCTCTCCAGTTTGATTCCCGCCATTGACGCCGGAAATGAAACTCACTCAACTTTTATGGCGCATTTGCTCTGAATAGTAGCCACAACCATGTCAGAAGGACAGAAAGAGAGACAGGTTCCACGTCGAATTACCAAGCGAAAGGGGACAACTCGCGAACGAACGGGATGCTTGACATGCCGACAAAGGTAAATCACAAAGTGAATAAATTGACCACTACACGAGTACTGACCAGCCCACTTCAGGAAAAAACGGTGTGATTTAGGCTACCCGGTTTGCGCACAGTGCGTCCGGTTGAATTACAAGTGCAAATGGGAGGAGCCGAGACCGGTCGTGGAGGAAGGCATCCGATCTGCATTGCAAGTGTCGGACCAGCCAGCCAGCATACCCTTCCGACTATTGAAAGTCCCCGACCCCATCCTTTTTTGGGTGGACGATCATTCTGATAACACCTCACGCTCGAGTCGCCGCCATTTCCTTCGGTACTATGCACAGACCTTTACCCACATGCTCACAACGAATATCGAGAACAACTCTTTCCTTTCAGGTGGGTCAATTCCACTGCATTTCGTCATTGATGCTAATTTCCACAGTATTCCTGCCAATGGCAATGCATGACTCCGCTCTGTTAAACGCTTTAATTGCGTGGTCATCATCTCACCTTTCATTGCGAGATCCTGCGTTTCAACAAGTTGCCATGCAAAACAGGCTTACGGCCCTTCAGGACCTAAGGCTCTCGCTTGAGTCTAGCCCGGAGAATGTGGAGAGTAATCTCGCAATTACATTGGTGCTCTGTTCCATGGAGAGTATCATGGCTGATAACGAAAAGGCATGGTATCTCCATCTCATGGGAGCCGCAGGAATTATCTCATCTCGCACGTGCATTGAATCTGAGTTCAATGAAACGAATTCTGCAAAGCTTCTCCAGTCTTTTGATGATGCTCATACAGGACGTTGGCTTCTTCGCAATTTCGCCTACCATGACATACTCATGGCAGTGGCTTTGGACAGAGAGCCTCTGCTACCATCGCATCACTTTGTTCAACTTGACGAAGGTCCAGTGGCCGATTCATATTTTGGGTTGGCTTCTGAGATCCTGAATATCCTTTATCGAATTACATCCCTGAATCAGCAAGTCAAATCTCTACAAAAGAGTCATTCGGGTACAGCAGGTTGTGATTTACTTGGGCTCGACACAGGTGACTACGCCTATTCCCAACGGAGCATTTCATCGATCCTGTCTGAGGTAGCGTCCACATTTGAATCACTCGAACTTCAGCTACAACAATGGAAGTGTCCGCCATCGAATGATGAATCTTTGATTCTCCTTGCAGAGTCATACCGCAGCTCAGCTCTTTTATACTTATATCGGGTTGTGCGTCGCGATCTTCCAGATTTGGAAGAGAGTCTATCTATCAAGACCGCCAATGAAGTTGCCGCAGTCGTTTCCAACATTGGGAAAATGCCCACGCGAAGCCTGCCCGAATGTACATTACTTTTCCCACTCTTCCTTGCAGGAGGCGAGGCCTCGAAAGAGATCCACATCAAGATCATCCGACACAAGATGCTTGATATGATTGACTCTCGCGGGTTCCGAAATGTAGAAGTGGCTCTTTCAGTACTAGAAAAGCTTTGGCGGCTGAATCTGGAACGAAAGGCATTACCTGCTACAAAAGGAACAGTGGACTGGTTGGATATTGTTGTGCAAGACGGAGTGTTGCTCTCATTATCCTAGTGCCCAAACAGTGTAAATAATACAAGCAATGTACTCCAATTTCACCTAATAAACTGATCCGCAAACGCAGCCCCAAGCCCAACCTCCTCATAATGCTTCCTAGCAGCCTCCAATTTACTAAAAACATCCTCAACACCCAGCGCCGTTCCCTCAGGATCAACATAGATATAAGCACCCGTCACATGGAACAAAGTCACCATTTCCTGAACACCCTCCGGAACCTCAAGCGTATGGATATCACCGGGAGGCTCGAAAGCATACCCGCCCTCCTCCGCCCACCACGGATGCTCGAGGTAGTGCCAACGGCCACGCAAAACGGTCGCATGAACAGGACCAGTGTGTCTATGGCGCGAGAGAATACCGTTCTTGCGCACGCGTAGGATATTCACGAAGTAGCCATGTGAGACATTGAAGCATAGTGGTCTGAACCAGACGTCTGGTGCTTGGGGGACCCAGAGGCGCTCGTCACATTGGAGATTGAGGGCATCCGTTACCACTATGTCTTCTGGTACGTTTGGCAGTTTGGGGCCTCGGTAGGCTGTTGCTGTGTTGTCGCCTTTTTCCATGGGTGCGGGCATCTGCGATGTGTTAGTGAAATACAAACCAAAGCTTGTTGGAAGACATACTTTGAAAAAGTGGTGGTTTTATCTTTGCGATAGTTTGAGACAATTTTGACGGCTCTTGGAGGTCTCATCTTATATACCTCGGTCTAGCAACCTCTCGGCGTCAATGGCGGGGTTGTCTCCGACATTCGTCCCAGATCGAAAAATCGACCTCAAAGTTAAAGTGGAATCCAATCGGCTGCGATTGATTGGATTTCAAGAGTCGCGCCAACAGCGGCGAAACAATCCCCTCGCCGGCGTCAACGGCGGGATACTCCGCACTGAATTTCGGAGAAGCCGAAACCGCAGCCGAAAGTCCATGTTTAAAACCAGCACGATAAACTGCACATCATGTATAATTATTCAACAAGTCCCATGAAGGTTCAATTTAATCCATCATGACTGATCCCTTCGTCGCCAACTCCCACATCCTTCATCGTACCTTCGCGGCACGACCCTGGAAGGTAACCAAAGGAAACGGTATCCGCTTTACACTTGAAGATGGAAATCAAATAATCGACGCCAGCTGCGGTCCCTCCGTTTCCTGTCTTGGGCACAGCCAGCCCGAAATCTTCGAAGCAATCACAAATCATCTCCGAAATGATATTGCATACGTGTATTCAGGAAGTCCATACACAAACCAAGCAACAGAAGATCTAGCTGCGCTCCTTCTCTCGTCCAAGCCAGGCGGGCTTTCCAAAGCCATCTTCGTGAACTCCGGCAGCGAAGCCACAGATGCAGCCTTGAAGCTGGCCGTGCAATATTGGCACGAGAAAGGCCAGCCACAGCGAACTCATTTCATCGCGCGCAAGCAGAGTTACCATGGAAATACCATCGGTGCACTCTGTGTATCTGGACACGAGTCGCGATGCGCATTTTACAAGGATTTCATGTCGAAGAATGTGTCGTTCGTCGATCCTTGTTATGCGTATCGGATGAAGACAGATGGCGAGGATGATGAACCATTTGTGAAGAGACTGGCGAGTCAGTTTGAAGAAGAGATTTTGAGAATCGGCCCTGATAACGTTGCTGGTTTTGTTGCGGAGACTGTGTCGGGAACTACGCTAGGCTGTGTGCCTGCTGTTCCAGGATATTGGAAGGCTATCCGAGAGATCTGTGATCGATACGGAGTTTTGTTGATTTTGGACGAGGTATGTTCCCATCGGCGGATCTATCATCGGATTGGACTTGTGATGCTGACTGCATGTGTAGATCATTTGTGGTATGGGTAAAACTGGTACCATGCATGCTTGGGAGCAGGAAGGTATACGGGGCCCAGATATTCAGACTATTGGAAAGGCGCTCGGAGCGGGCTTTGTACCGCTGTCTGGTGTTTTACTACACGAGAAGATATTCACAGCTCTGTCTGCTGGCTCTGGTGGACTGGCCCACGGACACACATTCCAGGTGAGTGACAATGATAGATACTGGAAAATAAAATCTCGCATGATTGAAGCTAATTGTATCCTCCAGGCTCATCCGCTCGCTTGTGCAGCGGCGATTGCAGCCCAAAACATCATACAACGGGATAATCTGTTAACGAGAGTTGTCGACCTTGGCAAGAAGCTGGAAGACTTGCTGCGAAGAGAGATTGGCCCTCTTCCCTTGGTGGGAGATATTCGCGGTCGTGGATTATTCTGGGCTGTGGAGTTCGTTCTCGACACAACCGAGAAGAAACCCTTCTCCATTCAGAACAATTTCTCAAACAAGGTTGTCGCCAGTGCTCTCAAGCGTGGTGTGAACATTTTGGGCAACCTGGGTCATACTGGAACGTATCAGATTGACCACGTCCTTGTCTGCCCACCTTATATCTCGACAGAAGAAGACATTGAGCAGATTGTGGGTCTTGTGAAGGAGGCCATTGTGGAGACAAGTCGGCCTTTCATCTAGCGTTCTTGAGTACAAGACCCACTTGAGGACTTGAGGACTGGGATGAGCTTGTAATTACCTTGTCGAAGGAGGCAATAGCACTTCAGGCTCAAAATATCATACCACACCGTGTCGGAAATGTGAAACCAGCACTTCCCGTTAATGTGTTTCGAAAGCTGGAGACTACTGTAGTAGTGGTACGACCTCAGATCAGACCATGCAGCGCGTTGATATGAAAGAGGGGGGGCACAGAAACGCAGAGTAGTCAATGCAGCCTGTCTGAGGTTAATGCACTGAAGTCAGACCATTCCACAAAAAGCAAAGAAGATACGAAGCCAGCCAAGATCAGGCTTCTCAACAAGTACCATGTCACCAAACCGTTGAGAATGCATATTGCAAATAAACAATCGTACAAAGAGATCAAAATTCGAATCTCAAGCCAAAACTTCGGGCAATTCCCCCAAGGTGCCTCGGATTTAGTCAATCCGGGGTTGAGGGCAATGCTGCAGTAGCACAGAAAAAGCCCAACAACGCGGCTGCATATCTAGTGTGACATATGTGCATACCTGTACACCCAAGGAACACAAACAGTGAGCCGAGTCAGAAGCAATTCGCCGGAAGCACACAGCCCATATGCAGCGACCAGTCCGGTTTCCCCTCTCGATCAGCGGTCAAGAGTTGTCCAGCACATGTGTCTCGATGGGTCGAATCGAGCGCCCCGTTTTGATAGCTCTGACAGCCCCCGGATTCGAAATTAAGCTATCGGCTGTACCCCCGCGTGATCTGGACATGCTTTCTGGTTTGGGGATTCGTGCAGGCCGCGGGGAAGGGAGCGGTGAAGCGGGTTGCGGTTTGGGACTTTGTGTTTCTTTCGTTTTTTCCCGAGGTCTGATCAGCTGAATGGTAGGTTTTTCTGGAGGGGTTTCTGTTTGCGCGGGGTTAGTGCATTTGCTGTGAGAATTTGACATGGTTCATATTTGTGCATCAGGTCTGGGTGCTGGGTGCGTAGTTGCCAGAGCTGCTAATCGAGTCAATGGATATGGAATCCAATTGATGAGATATTGGCCAGGATTCACAGCCTAAGCATGAGTATAATATCCAATTGGAGATGCGTTCAGCTTGACTCTGAATTGAGGCCCAAGATGAATTCCTGCACTGGGCGCCGCGGGGTCTTCCCGATTCGACTGGCTGCCCTTGGCGCAAACGTAAACACAAAACACAAACTCCGATATTTCTATATCGTAGTTGTAGAAAGGAAGAGATATTGAGTAAAGTACAGAGAGAGTAGCAATCTCATACATCGTAGTGGAGCCAGATGCACGCGAATGACGATCGTGACCCACATCTAGACCTCGCCAAACGCGGGTTTGGGTTGGGTTTTCAATTTCCTTACCCGCCCATGGGCAACCCACCGCGGGTTTTGGCCTTGATGAACCCGCCCATGGGTTCTTGGCGGGTACCCGCGGGTTGCCCAAAATACCCAAAAACATGCATAAATCGTGGATAACCCTGATTAGTCATCTAGTGTAATTTTGGTCATTTATTTCTGTCACGCTTTTGAGTGGATATTACATTGAAACAATGAACGCCATCGACCTGGAAATATATATTCTCTACATGTAGAACACTGCTCCCATCGCCCTGCTTTACACAACTGAAGGGATTACAGGCCACATTGATGATTTTATGTAAATTTATCAATTGAGAATCTTTCGAGTGAGCTCAAAAATATCATCTTTAGTTCGATCATTTAAAATCAGTGATTTGGACCTTCTCAGTGTCCTCCCAAAGTCGTATTCATCTCCGGGCGGGTTGGGTTGGGTTGGGTTGGGTTTTGGGTACCCGCGGCTTTTACGCAACTCAGGAATAGATAGATCCAAACGCACGACGCGACTGAAACAAAATCCACAATCAAGTACTCAAGATGAAAAAAATCTCCCCTTCTTCCAATATCAGTGGCCTTTTACTTCAGTATGGCGTCTTCTTCCTCATCATCGCGATCAATACATCGGCCTTTCAGTCCACTGCTCTCTATTGAGCCGTCATCTGACGGCTTCTTGGATTCTGAAATTCAATCCTCCGTAAGAAAATGGTCCCTTCCACTAGCCTCTGAGTGTTGCGGCGTTATCTACATGTATACTAAGATGGACCGCAGCCTTTGACAGGACCCCGCAAAACCTACGACATAACTACTCGAAGACCTCCAGCGACACTCCGACGTGTGGGACCTCAGCACAGAAAGAAATGGATTGCGTACGAGTCGCATCTAGAGACAGAGTTTCTTGAATGGTGGAAGGAAACAGAGTACGGCCAAAAGCTGAATGGAGAAGGCCAATCCCAGATCAAATGGTCCACCGGATCGCGTCACGCTGATGTGTGGAAACACTTTGACCAGGTTGCTGATATTGATTCTGGGCGTCCTCGAGTCATCTGCCAGGCTTGTCTCACTGTGCTTGATCATCCACAGTATAAAGGGAATGGGACAAGCGCCATGAGTAGACACAAAAAGTCTAACACTTGTCGTAAAGGGAAGAAAAAGGGATTTAATCAGTCATTGATTTCGGATTCTTTGCAGAACCATTCCATGAGAGACTCACCCAGTGTCCACAGAGTGACAACATTTCAAATCGAGGAGCAGATATTGAAGACAATTACGTGTCTTCGTTTGCCTTTCCAGACGGTGGAGAACCCGGTGTTTCAGAGGCTACTCAGCCTTTTATATTCTGGTCCCAAAGAATTGGAACTCCCGTCAGCGAAGACCCTGCGAAGACGGCTCCGGGATGCAGTCAATTGCCAGCAAGAGTTACAGTTACAAGATCTGCCTGAAGATGCCAAGGTTTCCCTCGCTTTAGATTGTTGGACCAGTCCATTTCAGCAGGCATTCATGGCAATCACGGTTTATTTCATCGACAAAGATTGGAACTATAGGGAAATGCTCCTCGGCTTTGAGCCGTTGCACGGTCCTCATACAGGAAACAACCTTAGTGATGTTTTGCACCGGTTACTGGAGGAACGAAAACTTCTCGATCGTATTTTTAGCGTTACTACAGATAACGCTACCAACAACGACACCATGATACGCGCCTTGCAAGAGAGACTGCTCTCTATTGGAGCTATTAGCTCCAGGGAATCAATAGTCCGGGTTCCCTGCATGGCTCATGTGATCCAGCTTTGCCTGAAACAGCTACTGGGACATATCAGGGCAGCACCTAAGAATAAAGAAGTCAGAGCCTTTTGGTCCGACACCCAAGCGCACGGGTTGAAGGATTCGATCAATTATGGAGACGTGGCTCATACACTGACAAAGGTGAGCCAAGATATTCACCTTTTCAATATACTCAGAGCACTGACAGCATTAGATTCGATCCTTTGCGATCTTTGTCAACGCAAGCCCACAACGGCGTGATGCTTTTTTATGCCTCCAATCAGGTGGTACTCGGCTTTTTCCGTTACATGACGTTCAGACACGCTGGAATTCAACTTTTTTGATGCTTCGCCGAGCACGCCGGCTGAGAAATGTAATCGACAAATACTGCTGCGATCATGAATACTCGCAGCTCAAGGTTACCGACGTTGAATGGAGGCAAATTGACTACCTCGTTCATTTGACCAAACCGTTTTTTCAGTTCACCATGGCTCTGATGAAGACCAGAGACGTCACAATCCATAGTGTGTTCCTTGTGTATAGGAAACTACTGGAGCATATCGAACGGTCGAATCGAAGATTGAAGAGAAAGACAACACCCTGGAAGAAAGACATGTATGGCGCGTTGCTTGTGGCGAGGCAGAAGCTGAAAGAGTACTACGAAAAAACCTACCGCGACCACGGTTTTCTCTATGGCACTGGAACATTACTTGCCCCTCAGTATAAACTGAGTGCTTTTGATGATCGAGAGTACTCAACTTGCCATGAAGATACGTCAAAAAGGTACTGTGAATATTTGAGAGCATCTTTCACACAGTATCAGCAGCAGAACCCCGAGTTGCTATTCCGTACAGTCCAGCGATCTTCCAATTCGCATAGCACAGAGCTTGATCGGCTACTCGAGCCACCTGGTGCATCGATTTTCCATGAAGGAGTAGAGTATGACGAAGTGGACCAGTATCTTCGCGAAGGCACGAGCAATCAGTACAACACACTGGAACAACTGACTGACCTTGAATAGCCAATGTCCCTGTGTCGCCGCGACTTTATTGGAAAGAACACGAGCGCGAATTCCCAGTGCTGTCTCGGCTCGCACGAGACTTGCTTTCGGTCCCTGCCACCGGCGCGGGTGTAGAAAGGCTCTTCAATAGCGCACGAGACATTTGTCATTATCGCCGAGGGTCTCTTCACGAAGGGACCATTCAAGACTTGATGATGTACATGTGCTCAGAAAAGCTCACACTAGAGGGACAGCAATTGATTCGTCTGGAGAAACCGTTGGAGAGCGAGAGCCAAGAGGCACTTGAAGAGGATGAAGCGTTGAAGGCAATCGAAGAGGATGCAGAGCCGATCAGCGACAATGAGGAGATTGAAGAGAGCGAGAATCTCGAGGGTAACTCTGAGCCAGAGGAGACATACCAAGTGGAGTGTACGGTGGTAGAGACCGGCCGGAGCTCTATACACAGACATATTCACGAACCTGAACAAGAAGAAGAGAGTATGGAGGAAGACGTGGTTGATTACGACGAAGCAGATTTACTTCCGCCTCCAATCATGCAATTGAGTGATAGAAGCCAGAAGAGATCTTCTGGTCGGGTAACAATGCCCTCCAGCAGACTGCGAGGTTACGAGGTATACTAGTCTTTATAATTAGCCAATTTGATTTTTTCAAGCCCTTCATGTTCCTTTCCAAATATTCACAGCCAGAAGCTAGTAGTTACGCCATCGAAACAATTAGATAATCGAAAATTACTGCATAACTTAGTGTAAAATGATCAGTCAGCTTTGTTTGCTTTTTTGGGTAATCGCGGGTACCCATTTGGGTCTTGGGTTGGGTTTCCCGGATGACAACCCGCCCACGGGTTTGCTGACTAAGACCCAACCCGGCCCATGGGCTGGGTTTTCGCGGGCGGGTTTGGGCGGTGGGCGGGTTTTGGCGAGGCCTACCCACATCGAAGAGACACCACAATTGTATACTTCGTTTCAAGGAGAAGCGGTTGAGCGCCGGTGCACTTGACGGGCTGCCCCTCTCTTTAGGGCTATTTAAAGAGCTCGTCAAGCTCCCCCTCTTTCCCAGTAAAGTGACACTTCGCATCTGCTTTCTCTTTCTCCCTTCTCCCTCCAACCACCTGCAATCATGACTTTCACCATCCCTAAGACGATGCGGGCTCTGCAATACTCAGAGCCCAAGAAGCATAAGATTGTCGAGGTTCCCGTGCCTGAGCTTCGTGAGAATGACGTTTTGGTATGAAGCTGTCGATGATTTGCTTCAATTGCCTTGAGGCCAGCAACTGATTACCCTTTCATCTAGATCAAGGTCAAGGCTTGCGGTGTTTGCGGTACCGATCTGCACATCCACGAAGGCGAATTCATTGCAAAGGTAATACAGAGCTTGCTGAGCATCATCATGCTTTTTTTGGTTCAGTTTGTTGACGTTAGTATAGTTCCCCCTGATCCCTGGCCACGAGACCGTTGGCGTTGTTGCCGCCATTGGTCCCAAGGTCAAGGACTTCCAGATTGGTGAGCGTGTCGTCGCCGACAACTCCGAGCTCTGCGGTACTTGCTTCTACTGCCGTCGTGGTGATGAGCTTTTCTGTGAGCACTTCGAAGCCCACGGAGTGACGATGAATGGTGGATTTGCTGAATACTGCGCCTACCCTGGTAAGTCAAGCTCAGGCACCAAAACCTCACCCCCAGAAGCTAATATTGTTTTGATTAGCTGGCCGAGTCTTCAAAATCCACAACCTGTCTGACATCGACGCCACCCTCCTCGAGCCCGCCTCCTGCGCTGCCCACGGCTTGGACAAGATTGCCCCCAAGATGGGCTCTTCGGTGCTGATCTTCGGTGCCGGTCCCACCGGTCTGGTCCTGGCCCAGATGCTTCGCCAGAACGGCGGTTGCAATGTCGTCGTCGTTGCCCCTCAGGGTCTGAAAATGGACCTGGCTCAACAACTCGGTGCTGGAGATAAGTACATTGAGCTGTCTCGCAAGGAGCCCCAGGCTCAGTTCGATGCTCTCAAGGCCGACAACCCATACGGCTTCGACATCGTCGTGGAGGCTACTGGTAGCCAGAAGATTCTGGAAGACTCGATCAACTATGTTCGCCGCGGTGGTAAGCTCGTCGTGTACGGCGTGTACTCTAGCGAGGTTCGAGTCTCGTGGTCGCCAGCTAAGATCTGTAAGTCTTTTCGTGTTCTATTGACGACATGTACTGATTCTTTCCAGTCGGTGATGAGATTACTATTCTTGGTAGTTTCTCTGAAACATACAAGTTCCCTGCCGCTGTTGACTACCTTGACTCTGGCAAGGTTAAGGTTGATGGTATTGTGAACAAGGTGTACAAAATCGAGCAGTGGGAGGAGTGTCTTGAGGCCATGCGCAACAAGTCTGCTATCAAGGCTGCCATCACATTCGATTAGAGCAAGGTTAGAGTGGCTTGAGGGTTCTCTCATATGTTTAGAGGGGATTAATGAATAAAATTGACATTTTCTTGCAAAAAGTGCGGTCTAATGAAAAATGAGTACCTTGAGATCTCGGGAGTTGTACTGCATGTTGCCACCGAGGTAGCAATCTTTTTGTTTTGTTTCTTTTGTGGGTTTTATTATGCCCATAACTAATAGCCTCTGCTGGTGGAAAATCTGTCGCGACGAAAGCCTGGGATTGAATCTCTCGGAGATATCTGGTGTCGCATGGCTGAAGACACACTTCAATGATGATGAAGTCAATGTGTTCGGGGGATTGGAAGATTCTTTTCAGGTTTGTCCAGTCCTGAGTGAAACCTTCGGTTTGCTCCTCAATGTTAGCCTCCCTAAGCTTGTGACGATATTTGATTTCAATGGCCTGCATGTCAAGCCCGAGTCCACTACAATTCAGTGATCGCCGAAGGCAGTCACTGAACTGCTCGACTGTCGGAAGAAGACAGGGATTCCACGGAAATGCAAAGTAAATGGATGATTTTACCTCTCCTCGGTGCTTTGCCTCGTTGCTTTGGATCGGTTAAAGCTGTCTTAGTTGCGGAAGAGAAGTTGTCCACGAGGAGAGACCTCCTTATATGGATATTGGATTCTCCTTGACGGCCTCCTTGCAGAATTCACGATGGAGTTTCGTCAAGTCTGCGAGTCGACTAGCTTCCTCGCGAGAGTCTGCTGTCCTTGCCACGAATCTCTTGACATGGTCAACGTGGTATTTCCCAAACCTCAACCCAGTCGCTAGCTCATTCGGTTGATTGTAGTCTTCGGCTTTAGGGTAGGCATTCCGATTGATATCAGCCTCAACTGGTGTCTTGTTGTTGCTAGGGAAAGACTGGATGCCATTGGCAATATTGAGAAGTACTTGCTGAGATGGAGACTGCATCCTCTGTGGAGCATAGGCCAGTGTCACCACGGCTCTATTATCGAGTGCCTCTGATGTTGCGAACCGGTTGGCCCGATTCTTTCTGTAACCTTTGTATATGCTGCGCCAAGGTATCGAAGCAATTCATAGCATCGATTGAATGGTTTGAGTTCAATTTCACCTCGGGTTCACTTCACCTCGGTCCCCAGCTCAGAGGGACAGGAGGGTGAAGTTGTAGATTGCATTGCATGAGCACATCAAGCCGTCGAAGTACATGATTATATTGCTGTCAGTATGTCTGAATGTGTCCGGTTCGGGTGTTGTTGATTTGGGGGTCGACGAATGAGCGAGAATGCGACAAAACCGAAGAATCAAGCAAAGCGACGCTATTTCCCACGTCGCTGGATAGTCATCGGGTGGCCTTCTTTCGCTCCATGTCGATAGTGTACATGTTCTCTCGCCTTTGGTACTTGATTTTTTAGAGCCTGGTCAGGTCCATATGATCTTCCAAGGTTGATTCTTGATCTTCGTCATGATTGCTTAGTCCGCCATCACCCAAACCTCGGGACCCACCCGAGCACCTCGAACTTCCCTCCAACACATCAAAAATGGTCAAACCCCTCACATTCAAAGGCGACAAGCCTAAAAAGCGCAAGGTCCGCAGCGCCGACAGCGAAGCACCCGCCAAGACCCGCAAGACCGAACCGGAACCCGAGGAGAACCCCGAAGACCAGAGCTGGGTTTCAGCCGAAGCAGCAGGCGACATCTCCGGCCCAGTCGTGCTCGTCCTCCCCTCCGACGACCCAACATGCATTGCGAGCGACGCGAATGGCACGGTCTTCGCGAGCAAACTTGAGAATCTTGTCGAAGGAGATCCGTCGACTGCGGAACCGCACGACGTGCGCCAGGTCTGGATTGCGTCGCGCGTGGCGGGTACCGAGTCTTTTAGTTTTAAGGGACATCATGGGAAGTGAGTATTGGATGCGCTTCGCTCAGGTCATCATGAATTCTCTTACTCATGTCAATTTTCTAGATACCTCTCATCCGACACCCACGGCCTCTGCAGCGCAACCGCCTCCGCGGTAAGCCAATACGAATCCTTCCTCGCCATCCCCTCGGAAGTGTCCGGTTCATTCTCCATTCAAACTCACGGCGGCGACGGCGAGTCTTTCCTATCTATCAAAGAGAACAGCAAGGCGACTGCTGGTGTGGAGATCCGCGGTGACGCGACTACGCTTTCCTTCGAGACTACACTGCGCGTGCGCATGCAGGCACGCTTTAAGCCTCGCTTAAAGGCTAGCAAGGAGAGCAAGGCATATGAGAAGATCAGCAAGAAGGAGCTTGAGGGGATTGTTGGGCGGACATTGGATGATGAGGAGGTGAGAAAATTAAGGAAGGGGCGGAAGGAGGGCAATTTCCATGAGATTTTGCTTGATGTCAAGGTTAGCGGGAAGCATGATAAGTTTGCTTGAGGTGTGCTTCTTCATTCGACCGAAGAGGCGTTGCTGCCCAGGTAATCGTGAAAGCGCTTCTATCCATGTTTTCGGGCGCAGTTTCCTTGGATCTCGAGATCGACGGATTCAATGGTAGCGGATGATCCGAAATGGCTTTGAATTTCCAAGGTTTCTCGCCCGCGTCAAGTCATGAAGGATACGGCCTACCGGTTGTCTAAAATAAGAGGCCAAGAGCTCCACCGAGAAACCACTCAAGCCCATGGAATCATCGAGTTCTATCGACTCAAGTCTGAAAATCCCTGGGGAAGATTCCTGTTAGATCACTTGCTGATCCCTGCATTTCCCGTGGGAGATCTATAACTCTCGCGGGCGTTCCTGTGCCGAGAGATGGTGTCATGTTGGATTCAGGTCGACTAGAACATAGATCGCGTTCGATCATACCCAGAGCCTCTGAATTCAAACCTATTCTATTCAGAACCATTAAGATCAAGATGAATAAAGAGCTTCACCACATGAGTGGCACACCTGCATGTAGTCATGGTGGGTCTTAGAGCCTCTCGACGAATCCAAGCACAGAAGCGCACTGCCCCATAGGCCAGCGCATAGTGGGCTACGGAGTAGACACCTCAGCTACGAACAGCCACCCTCGTTCATGCAGAGCCGCTGGAGCCAGCAGAAACTGGTTAGCGCCCTGAGACTAATTGCTTTTCTGAGAAGTCTAAGCCCACGCAGTATGCAATCAGTCAGGCACCTGTTATATTCCTTCATTTCCCCTCATCATCCATGTTTCATTCTCATTCACCTCCCGTCTTTTTGAGGGTTCCACAAACACCATGTCCGATCCTTTGTCTGTCGCAGGCAGCGCAGTGGGAGTCGTTTCTCTTGGGCTGTCTGTATGCGGGAAAATTGTTGACTACTGCCGGGCGTACCATGGCTACGACGAGGATATTCGAAAAGTCGCAGCCAACGCCGAGTCACTCGGCGAGACCCTGCAAGACTTGGGGGATGTAATCAACGTGACCAAGACTATCCAGCCTATAGCTGCTATTCGTCTTTCAAAAAAGATCGTTGGCATCGAGGAACAAATCGAGCGAATCGAAAGCGTGCTCAAACGATATGGACCCGACAAGAATACCGAGGGGTTCTCTCAAAAGGCTCGAAATCAAGTCAAGAAATCCATTTATGCCTTCCGGAAAGATGCGTTACGAGAAATGGCAGCAGATTTGGACGGTCTGCAAAAGAACTTGCAAACTGCACTTGAGGTGTATGCCGAAGCTATGTATGATTATGATAAATGGAGCAAACTGACATCTCCACGCCACAGACATACCTTGAAACAAACTGCCCAAATGTGGGAGGAGATGAGGCAAATGACAAGGGTAAGGTGGTCTTTACTCTTGATTGGTCACATTTGACTCATGGAACCAGCTCATAACTCGTGACAATGGCAAGATATCACCAAGCTTACTGAGAGATTGCTGTGGAAAAAGCCAACAGCACCGATTTGACATGACAAGCGACCGCGATGACCTGTCAGAGGGACAACTGATCAAACAAACACAGGCCCGTACGACGAAGAGAATCAGCTCTCACAGCAGATGGCTGGGCTATGCCATTGGAATCTCCTTTAATATGACGACTGGGGCTGGTGGGTTCTCAATTTGCCCAACACTGGATGTCAATCCCGTCATATTCATGGACAACCCTGGGTATGAACGTATAAATGGACTGCTTGGTTCCATATTTATCACGGGCAATTTCGATGACTTCGAGGCACTGCAAAGTTCAATAGCGGTTTCAAAGCTTGATCCTTCTCGCACCCTCTTACATCTCGACATTGGCTGGACCCGCGACTTGGTAGCCAAGAATGTTCTATTATTTGAGGTATTCCGTTTGATATGACATCCTACTGGTCAAAAGGTGAATCCTAACAACAAGCAGGAAGTGCTTGGGTATCTGTTACCTTTTGCATTCTCAAGAAGCACGGACTTGCAATACAACAGTATTATGAGATTTCTTCTGGCTGCCAAGGAAAGGGTAGGCGCTTCTGACTATTCAATGCCTATTTGTCTTTTGTCTGTGGATTATCTAAGAGAAAGACATGCTTTGTGGATCAAACGTCTAGCTCGTCCTGGATGTTGCTTCGATATCAGCAACTCACTTTATGAAATTTGGCCCCGTACGAGGGCCAACATCAGGCTCATTGTTTCAAAAAGCAATTCCTGTATGAGCCCTGATGTGAACAACAATTTATTTGCCAAAACTGATTACAAGCATAGTGATCCCAAGGGAAAGCGTACGAATCATTTGTCACGAAAATGCTACCGAGCTTAGACAAGCTCTCCAAGAGAGAAGAATATCACCAAACGAGATGGTTGGGCCTCGTTATTCGTTGCTCGACTGGGCTTTTGGTTGGCCAGAAGGGGTACGGATCCTTCTTGACTTTGGAGCAGACCCAATGCAAATTCACACAACCAGTCTCTCTCGCCCTGGCGTGGGATATTATTCCTCAATCGAAATGCTATTAAAAGCAGGAGGTATGATCGGTCTCGGCCACATTGACCATGCCCTCAGGTCTAATGATGATGAGGAGATAATTTTACTACTGGTCAATGAACTAGCAGTAAGACGAAAGCAGCTACGATCCATCGCGGAAAGCTTCTTGCCTCTGAATTTGATACCCGGCTCAATGGAAAGCAAGCTTCTAGATGGACCAGACTGTCTCCAAGTTCTTGACTTACTGTATGATTGCAAAGCAAACTTGCCCCATCCCTTCAATTTCAAAGCTCGAGAATTCTTGGGAATAGCGGATGGAACCGTCTACCACAACCTATGGAAGCCTCAGTGTGCCAAAGCACTATATAAAGCGGGGTTCCTTGATACAGATATGCTCGACTCGAAAGGCTCCTCGCCCCTCGAAGCCCTGTCGTATTGCGATGTCCACACACTAGCGAATTTCATTCACTGGCACATCTCCAAAGGTGCAAACATTCACCGTGCACCTCTCTGGGCCAATGAATCGATCGCCCTTTTCCTGACGTGGAAGATGGTTCGAGGAACCTTTTTCTGTTCGATATCTGAGTATTACCGCGATCATCAGTCCGTCCACCTCCCCCAAATTGAGAGCAATCTACAAGAGCTCATTAAAATGGGGGATGATTTCTTCGCACCAACTACGATCTCAGATGGATGTCCCTGTCCTTGCTCCCTCAACGGATGCACAGCGATATCAGTCAGTCTGCGGGAGCTTACCTCTGAAGTAATGTGGGGCTACAGCCGCTGTTTGGAATGTGAAAGGGAAGCCTTTGATTTCTTGCAGGAATGGGACCAGTCTTACTGGCAGAATCCCCGAGCGTTCATCAGATCTCTGACCTTCAATGCATTGGATTTGAATCACACTTGCTTCGCCAATACCTCAAAGGGTCACGTCCTTACGAGATATGAGACCGCAGGTAGCAAGTATTATGTGAATGACAACAGCAATGAACAATCATCCCTGGATGAGTTTGAAATTCTTTTGGAAGATTTGGAGCAGAAATTTGTTGAGTCCGGTCAGCCCCTGAAGGACTTTTTGCCCGGCTACTGGTACAGGCGTGTCAAAGACCATCTGCTCACGCGACAGCCCGACGACGAGAAGCATTTGAAAGATGTAAGAAGCGTGGGGGTTGAGCTCGAATTCTGTGGGCTTTCTGTTCCCAAATGGATGGAGACATGCATTGCAAGAAAGGTGGAGGAGCTTAATGATGAAGCGGCGGTCAATGGGTAGCGTGGTTAGCATTCAGATCACTGTTTATATTTACGGTAGTTAGAACAAGCTTCAAAGGATCTTCAATGATGCCATCGTTGATACATATGGTTTCTGCGGTTATGGTAGTTCAGTGGAGTGGCATGATTTCGAAGAGGCCTATGATATTCCAACTGGTTAGACCAGGAGACCTCATTATGTGAGTCTCATACAAGGTACAAGGTTGGCGAGAGCGAGAGAGAGAGAGAGAGAGTATGACCTCGGGAGGCGTCAAGACAAGATCTTGCCCCACTATCTCCAGGGCTCAGGTTCCATTTAGCCAATAATGATGGCCAACTCTCTCCACTAGTTACACTAGCCCTGGAGCCTTGGAGCCCAAAAGATCCCCATCCAAGTACTCGGTACCCCGGTGCCTCTCGATCTAATTCACCATTTGGTTTGACCGTAGCTTGAACAACATGTAATTGTAGTCGGCCCTTTAATCCGACTGACACGACCCAATTTTGTCCTCATTTTGTATTAGCTCTGTATAGGTAAAACTTTATCAAAGTAGCTAATGTCCTGGTTAATGGATAAAGAGTACGTCAGAGGATGGACGTCTTCGACAAGCATATGGGAAAAATTAGCCAAGAAGTCATATCTTCTTGTAAGGATCTTCCCATGAGAGCTGACTTGTCCTGATTAGGAATCTTGGAAATCTCGCACCAGGGAGCGAACGTGGGTGAACCCAGCCATGATAATATTATGGTAACTCAGCAAATACTACCTAGGTAAAGCTTCCGTCCTTTTTGATTCACATAATAATACAGCGAGAAGAACGTGCCTTCGCTTTGGGCTCTCCGGGTTCTTCGTGCAACACGTAGATTCCATCACCCTTGTCAGTCATCAATTCTTGATATCTCTTCCCTCTGATCCAAGCAACATTCCTCCAATACCTCTCTCCCACTGACACAGCATTTGGAGCCCTAGCCTGAATAGAATCCTCCTCAAACCGCCGACGGGCGTCCACTGACATGTGCTCTGGTAGAGGCGGCGTTCCCCACAGACCACGATATTTCCAGTCAAAATCTTCTTCACTCAGCCCCGGTCCAAAGTCCATCCATAGCGTAAGAGCCATGCTTGCCTGGTTCCGACCTACGGATGCAAGCTGTAAATGCCAACAGGTATTGCAGTAGTCACATCTGCCTTCATTGGTCACAAAGTGAGTATTTTTCGCAAGGCAATAACGATGTACTTGGGCAGACAAGATGCTTCAAAAGCCCATATCGTGCGAGGTAATATGACTGCATATTATTATGAGGTCGGTTGAATTGTCTGTCCACAGTCGCGGTACTTTTCCTCGTTTCACTAACGCCATATATTGCGTCCGCATGCATAGACCCGGAGGTGTAGAGCAGATTGGAGCTTCGGCAGAGACTAGCGTCATCATGATATTCCTGCGTGTAAGTCCTTCTGATACCCTTTCGAGGGGAGGTGGTAATAAGCACCTAATCATGTACGATTCTGTGACGCTTTGGGCCTGAATTTCATGGCTGATACCTCCGCATAGAGAAATGACTCAACAGGAACTCCAAACTTTGGTCCATGGTAAAGCCTTCGCATGGCAAGCTGCAGATGTACGAAATTGAAACTGTAATATTCGGAAGCTGATAGGTGCCCAGTGATGTATTGTTCGAACTTGAAGTTCAGATCGGGATGAATATCCAAGTCATCTGGGCTGTGACTGAATCCGGGAGAAGAGGAGTTTGGCAATCCGACATTTCTCCACAAGTGAAGTCGAAGGCAGATATTACAGAGATAGTATTGCGGTAGATTGTAAGAAAGCCGAGTCAAAAGCTCGGTACGTGCATCGTCTGTAGGACTAGGTGTGAGACTGCGGCCGTTCGAGAAATTCTTAGAGAAAGTCTCTTCAAAGCATCGTAGCAGATAATGGTTGCATAGAGCGAGACAGGCAGAGTCAGCGGGTGATAGGTGGTCTGAAATCATCCACAATAACTCAAGTGGGAGCTCGGTCAAGACGAGTGGCTTTCGTGTGGTGGCCATCCTGGTTTCGCTTTGCTTGGTAATGATAGCGATGGAGGTGAAAGATGGAAAAATGTCAACTAATCTTTTGTTGATACTCAGGTTGTGAACTTGGAAACAACCTTCCAATAAAAAAGAAGAGAAATCCTCATGGCAGCGTAGAGAAGAACGACGAGAATTCATTTTCACCGGAATAACGCCAGATCAAAACAAGAAAAGACGCCAGATCATCATGCTTTTAAGATGCCGGTGTTTTTCCATGGTACTCGGTATGAGAAGGTGTAGTGACTGTCGGAGCCGTATGAGCTTTTGACTTCATCCATGGATGCCCTATGACCTAAAGGTTACCCATACAACTCTAAACAGCAACAACCCTGGAACACACAGTAAGACGGTGTATATTTCCCCAGTCTTCAACCAGACGCAATTTGTATAACCTATAGCCTATAACCAATAAAAAGAGATCGAAGAAAAACAAAAGGCCAAAAGCAAGTACAAGGAAAATAGCAACTCAAGTTCAATTAACGCAGTGTAAAGTCCGAATATGAAAGACATAATTCGTCACGCGAAATATCTAGGAACAGGAAATAAAATAACCAGTAACGAGCGAGCGGACATGACAGCCCAGGGTATGAATCTAACAACAGTAGTACAGAAATGGTCTCGTATCAAGATAGAAGCAGGGAAACATAAAGAGGGCAATTGGGGGCCGTATTCGAGAAACCGATCTTGGAAAAAACATGGAAGCCACGATATTTGAGATAAAGCAAAAGTCTAGGTTCGTAAATCTCTTTCGCCGTGCGTATCGGAAGACAGAAGGGGGACGGATTGTACATAGATTTGTGGATGAGAGAGAGAGGGAAAGAGGGAGAGAGGGGAGGGAGAGAAATAGAGCAAGAGGAGGGGAGGGGGTAGAGGGGAGGTAGGAGGAGTTGAGAGATTAAGAGTTCAGCGACAGGCCCTGGAATCGCGAGAACCATTCGCCTTGGGCTTGGTGCATGCGAGCTGCGCCGTTGGAACCGATGCCGGACGGGTATTCAAAGGATTCGCCAGGCCCGAAATTGGAGGGGCTCTGGCCGCCGAAAACGTCCGGCTGGGTTCCCTCGGTCTGACGGGCTGGCTGACCGAAGGGCTGGTAGGCGTCGCCGTAGGTCGTGCGGAGCATGCCGACAGGGTTTGTCAAATCACGGCCTGCGTCGATGCCATCACGGGACCCACCGTATGGTCTGGTCTCATGGTGACGGCGCTCCGTATCTTGGTTGTAGAGAGGATTGGAGACACCGCCGGGGCCGGGGAGGCCAGCGGTGGGAGGCGTGACGAACGAGGCTGGATTGATGGCGGACATCCAGATGCGAGTCTTGTATATCTTGAACAGGTCGGTCACCAGCGAGTTGAAGTTGATATATGAGTCGGCGAAGTAGTAGAAAGTAAGCTTCTTCCAATCCATCTGGAACTCGGCATCGAGGATTTCCATGTTGAGACGGTGCTCTACAACTTTCTGTTGGCAGACACGCTTGGCTTTCGCTTCGTTTCCTTCCTTGTCGTGCAATGTCATCACCTCATGCTTCTGTGCCAGACGCTTGATGAGCTTGGGCTTGAGCTCAGAGCTCGGTTCCTGCCCTCCGTGCGGACCGTGAGGACCCATGCCACCTGTGGCACCTCGGGTGTTTGAGCCTGCGTTGGGGTTCGTCAAGGCAGATCCCTCAAGTTGACCGTGTCGAGAGTACATCATGAGCGTCTTATAGTGTTCTTCGGCGTAATGAAGCTTCAGCTCACGAGCTTGCTGAAGTGAGATGTTCGAGTGAATGACAGTGCCCAAATCAGTGCCGCGATCAGCTTCCACGATGACCAAATCACCTTGCTTCACTTGGAGACCAGTATCTTCTTGGATGTAAAATACATCTGCACGACTGCACTTGAAAGCAACAATATACAGAAGCTGATTCTGATGGACGTGTGAAAGCGTGGACGGAGGACGACCATAGCCACTCGACATGGCATACTGACTGAGAGATGAAGGAATGCCGGAAGAGCCATCTCCACGCAGAGTCTGCTCGCGAGGATAGAAAGATGCTAGTGAAAATGTCAGTACTTTACCTCAGTGGTCTTCAAACTGTTAATCAGCTTACCGTTTTGATAATCACTGATATTGCCATAGCCGTCATCACGATCTATGTCACCTGCGCGGGGAGTAGTAGCCGAAAGAGGGTCCACTGAACCGATCGATCCATGACGCATAGGAATATCAGCGAAAGAGTGACGACGACTCTGAGGAATGTCAGGCATGCCACCGAAACCAAGAGAGGTTTGCCAGTGAGCCTTGCGCACATTCTCCAGTGCACGATTCTCAATCGGGGAAGCGAACTGTGCGAAATGCTCCGGATTTGGCGAATGCTCTGAGAAACGGCGACTCGACATCCCACGCATGTTGTTGTATCCCGCGATATCGCGCAAACCTCCTAGATCTTCCGCGCCTGGGTCTTCTTCCGGCACGCCGCCTTGAATGCGATGCAGGGAATGAACACCGCCGCCGATCGAAGCAGCCGACCCAGCACGCTCGCGGTATCTGTGGTCCATTTGACCTGCCGCGGCAGCCTGTCGGAGGAGCGCATTCTCGCGGGCCAGCTGCTCAATCTGACGTGCCTGACTCGCCGAGTAGTTCAGGTCGCTCTCGGAGCTGTTGAGACTATCGTCACCGTCTTCATCTTCGCGGACTCGGCCGAGCATGGCGGGATCATGCCCCAGTTCACCTAGCATACTCGGGCGCGAAGCCCGAGGCTGGACGGCGGATATCTGACCGGGGCCGCGGGGGCGACCGCTGGGGTACTGCCCACCGGCCCCAGGCTTGCCGGCAACAAGACCCAGGAACTCAGGGTCCATCTGACCCACGGAGTATGACTGGGAGCGGTATGTCTTCGGAGTTGGGTGTAGAGGGATAGAAAAGGGGATGTTTGATTCACCGGAAATAGTCCGAGTAATCGGGCTTAGCATCTCGTCCTGCATGCCGCTTACGAGAGGCGGATTGGTCATCGTTGGAGAGGGGACCATTTCGGACAAGCGAGAGGGTGGTTCTTTGCGTGATTCGGTATTCCAGATGCCTGTACCAGTGCCCCAAGGAAACGTGCTTCCTCCAGCCTGGTTCCAATTGAAAGATGCGGCAAGGTTTGGGCTTGTGGTTGTTGCCCAAGGTGCCTGATCACTGGATGGGCTAGTAGGGTTGGATGGAGCAGACACCAGGTGACCACCGGACAGGGAATGTTTGCGCTGGGCCGAAATTGGGACTTCATTCAACCACGATGTGCGGCGAGCCGGGGGCTTGCTAGAAGGTGGGATAATATTGTGTGCTTGCGCAACATGATCACCGTCGTCATCTGAGGAGGCCAGTGCTTCGGAGTCGGGAGTTGAGCGGCGGACACCCGGATTGGTCTTTTCGAGAATCGCAGAAGCCGTTGCCGCAGCAGGTGGCGTCGAGGACGGTGCCATCGAGATCGGTTTGTTAGATGGCGCAGACATGATTTATTATCATAGAGACGCTGTCGCAATGTCAGTTCTGGGCCTCAAATCGGATATGTATGACAAAAAGGTCTTTGCGGTCATTTCTTGTGGATTGTGTCACCAAAAGCGCCACTTTACACCCCGTGAAGCAACACAACCAGAGCGGGGTTGTCCAATCGAGCAACAACCTGGGTAAGATACGAGATGGGGGCGCACTAACCTGTACGGTCTCTGCTTGATATTTGTAAGGCTGTGCTGTATAAATGTCCAGAAACAGCTGTTTTTGTTGCACACACTGTAGGGTATGATCACAGTGCAATCTCAGTCTTTCGGGGACACGTTCGGGTTGTTGCGATTGTCAGGTGCGCCTATGTTCGAGGGCTGCCGAATTTGTCTGGTCAGAGAAGTTCATTTGAAAGTGTGAGAATGAAGTGATAAGTGAGTTGCAGCGCTAGTAACAGTGCACGGGGGGTGGCATGACTGGGAGCCGCAGGATAAAGTGGGGAGGTGCAGATATGCAACTCCTCAACCCCTCTCGTTGAAGAATATCTCAGAAAGGGTATAAAAACACTCAGATCATTCCAGCGACAGCCCCGCAAGTGGTTCTGCGTAGTAGACATGGACACAAGTGAGTGGCATAGAAGTGCAATCGAAGTAAGAATTGTCGCAACCATCCCACATGACAATAAAGTGAAGGAAAAGAATCAAGCGTCCAAAAAAAGCAAGCGAGGAGTGGTAAAAAAAAAGGTAGGAAGCTCGATCGGGGTCAAAAGTAGAGGATGGCAAAGCCAAGCGGACCGTCGCGCTCCATCACATACCTGAAATCAGTGGATCAGATAAACGTCGGGGAATCCACAGTTGTAGCCCAGGCGAGAAGCGAACGTCTTGTAAGCACAGCCCACAGAGAACTCGACTCGGAGGAAAGATAAAAAGAGCCGAAAAATCAGAAGCAGTCGCGTGATCGCAATTGTGTCTGGGGAATCGATGATCAGCCCAGTTGTTTTCGGGAGGGAAGTGAGATGCGCCCACTAACCTCTCTATTCGGTCTGCGCTCTGCGCTCTTGGTTTTTCGCTCTTCGCTTTCTTCGCTCTCAAAAGAATATCTATTCAAACCAGATGCGTACCGGGATCGTGGGTCTCGTCACGAGTGTATTGCTCGAGGTGGGGCGGGGGGGAGAGATGCTAGAGAGGAAGGTAGGGTGGTGGAAGGAGAGAGAGGCGGGATGTGAGGAGTGAGGAGTGAGGAGTGGCGGAGATGGAAGACAGAGCTGAGAAGCTGGAGAAGCTGTCGGAGTTGGAACAGTCGAATGCGCTAAAGTAGCGTGATCAGAGATGACGTGGGGCCGAATGGGCTGATCCCGTTAAAGAAGGCGCATCATTGTCTTTAGAAAGGGAGAGAAGTAAGAGAGTAGAGAAGAGAGGGGAGTTAAAGAGAGGGGAACAAGCTGGGGTAACGTTCTGCTAACGGATCTGGCAACGTTGCCCCGATGTTCAGGGGACACGGACCACTGTGGATATTCTGAGGGTCTCTTCCTCTTTTTCTTTCTCAACCACAGCTCTCTCTCTCTCTCTCTTTCTATATATGTTTCTCTTCCACATAAAATCTAAACTAGTTTCAATCTCCTATACGAGCTTTTCCCCAGCAGATGATTCTACCCCAGACAAATCCGGAGAGTGGGAACTACTCCTCATTTAGAATAGCGCCACTGCGGGTCATAAAAGTCGATCATCTGGGGTTTGTGTAAGGGATATTGGATAAAATATGATATCTATCAACTTCCCCGTACCATGGTGTAGTATATCTAGCTCCAACCTGTACTTGGGAGGATCATTCGCACGGCCCCGTCGGGTCGCACTGTGCACAGCCCAGACTGTTCTGAGTAGAAGTTACCCCGGATTGATATGCATCTCTTTTTGCCTAGACTTTTTGGGGCCCTCAACCCCTCGCCCCCAATGGCCAATCGACTCCGACCTTTCCACTCTATCCGAGGCCCCTCTCTTTGCTCTCGCTGGGTTGGACAGAGTCCCACAAAACTCGTCTGGTACTACTTCGTCTTGAGAACACTTTTTGAATGGTCTTCCCAATCACACTCGGCTCCGGCCCTCCGACCGGTTTGATTCCTGCTTAATGCAACATGAAACCAGGAAAGTGAATGGCAGTATTCTTGGGACTTGATGTAAGAGGTGGTTCATTGTTCCGTCCCAGGACGGGATGGATGAGGTGGAAGTAGACAATTGAAAAGGTCCTGCAGGTGGGAACCCCGCATTATCATGCGCCTGATTTTCATGGCAAACATCCGAGGTTCGACTGTACATAGTTACTGTTACTCCGTATACTCCGTAGTAGTCGGTGAACTACCTAACATTTTCCCGAATTAAATTCCGAGTCATATTTTGAAACCTTCTAACCCAAATTATTGTACAAAGTATATGCAGTTCAGACTTTATGGCGCACTGTCCAACGGCGCACTAGCAGTGGCAGCAGCACCCTTCTGCTGGCGCAGCTTCTCCTCAAACTTGGAGAATTCATGCATAGAGATGATCTCCTCTTCGTCCATCACCTGCTCAACACCCTTGACCTCCTCAATCTGCAAAGCAATTAGTAAACCTTCACAGGGATGAATGGGTAATCACATACATAGTGCATCAGCATAGACTCAATGCCGTTCTTCAAGGTAACGGTGCTGGAATCGCAAGTACGGCAAGCACCGCGCAACTTCAGCATAACAATACCATTCTCAAATCCCTTGAGATCGATATCACCACCGTCCTCCTGGATGGCGGGACGGATTCTCGTCTCGAGGAGCTCCTTGATCATGCTGACAACCTCGTCGTCATCCTCGTTGTAGGAGAGCGAGTCCTCGCCACTTTCCTGGTCAATGTCGGTGGCACCTTCAACGCTGGTCACGATGGTCTCGCCCGATGTCACGGCCTGCGTGATGATGCTGAACACCTCGGGCTTGATGTGAGCCCAGTTCGCATCGCTGCCTTTCGTCACGGTGATGAAGTCGGCGCCGTAGAAAACAGAGGTCACACCCTCCACATCGAGCAGTCGGGCGGCGAGGGGAGATGGGTGTGGGGGAGCGAGAGTTGAGCGGGGAGTGAGATATTCCAAGAATGTGCTGGGGAATTCTTCGGGCAAAACGCGGTGGTTAGGGATGAATTTGAGGGCCTGTTAAAATGGCAGGTATCTGGTTAGCTGATTGAATTCACAGCATGCAGCAAAGAGAGATCGAGACATACGTCGGGGTTGGGGGTATTTTCAGTCTGAATGAAGATGGTGCGCTTGCTGGTCGGCGAGAGGCCGTTCACGCCGCCCTGGGTAGCGGGCTGCTGGAATGGTCGCACTGTTGGTCGGCGACGGGTCTCTGAGGCTGTGAGGGTTGGGAGTCTCGCGGAGCTGGAGACCTGTCTGTAAGATGCGAATGCCGGTCTGATGGTTCGGGCCGAGCACTCAACAGGAGCGGCCAGGCGGCTGCTGAGAAGAGCACGGCGGAACATGGTTGTAGATGTGTTGCTCATAGACATTATATTACCAAGTGTGAAAATGCACGGATTGTTGTCAAGAGATGGATTGTCAAAAAATACTCGAGGCGATTCCCCGACTGCCGGCTCTGACGCAATTTGATGCACGTGATCTGGGATGACAAATGGGGATGCTTTCTCGACCAATCAGAGCCAAGGCTTTGGACCATTACAACTGTCCAAACTGCCGACTGTCGGAGGCTCCAAAGCCAGTCGTCTACGGTCAATTGTCATCATTTTCAACGGTGATGGGATTTTCAAAATAGTAGCAGCACATCAATCGCTTGGTACTGATGGAACTCGCAAATTCAATTTGATCGTGGGAGATATCAACTGAAGAAAAAAAGAACAATGGAGTCAGTGTTCCAAAGAAGAATGAGCCCAATTGCTAGCTCATTGCATGGTGATTCTGAGGTTGATATGTGCATGCGGACATGACAAAGAACAAACGGGCACCGTTCGTTAGCCACGAACAACAGAACCACCTTGGTGGTTGGTGGGAAGAAAGAATTGTATTCTGGTTATGCGAAATCCATGGGTTAGCGGTAACATCTACCTTTTGATACTCGTACTCGTAATGGTGCTCATGATGAATATCAAGCCCACCATGTCGCCGAGCCAATAGCAGCAGATTCAGCTCAAGCTCAGCCAGCCCTCAGGCCAATTCGCGAAAAGAGTATACTTGGCGGGAGTTCCCAACTGCATTTGGTAGACGTCATTACTTGTTTCAAGCATGAGCAAACAATATTCCAGGGCTAGGTCGACACAGTTGACCCTGATTGCCATAGGCCAATCAGGTCCTCAAGGTACAACATCGGCGCCACCAGACAAACTTGAGCACCTTCTCGACCGACTCACCGTAACTTGGCGGTATAAGTTGGCGGTATAACTCGGCAAAGAACCTAAATCCGAGAGCAGTAGATATCCTGCTCATCACAAGGCTAGTCGTATTACCTTTCGCAAATTCAAAAGCGGTCCATAGATCAGCTCCACCACGGCCCTGACCATCTCAGCATCGCTCAAGAGCCCGGGTAATTTGCGGCAATCTCCCTTTCACGCTGATCAAGATCAAACCGGGGAAGATCAGGGAATCATCCGATGCATGCGGCCTGCCAACATCCTTTGACACTCGCTGTCGAGTCATCTGTCAATTGGAGCCATACCCCGCGGAAACGTGGCTAGTGTCGACTCATCGCACGCATAAGCTTCGGTTTGTCACACTAGAAAGGGAGTCGGGTTGGACGGGGAAGATCAGGCCACAATCGGGCCCTGAAAGTGGATTCCGATTCCGATTTGTCCTTGAATTTTTCACTTTCGGCTGGTATCGTCTTTCGATCTATACACTTTTACGGAGTATAGAGTGCTGTCCATTTCTGGCGGGGCTTGTTTTTCTGGCGGATTGTCAATGTCTCATCCATAGTACTTTCATCGATGGTACTTTGTAGGCCGTACGTACATCGCACAAGTACAAGTATAGATGCAATGCTTCGGAAGTGACTAGTCACACAATCTATTCAAGACTGGGTAGCTGTTCCTATGGCATGCTCCTCATTTGTACCAGCGTAAGGAATAAGAATAGTCGGCCATTCATGCGGCGTTTGTCTTTGATGACACATCTAGCCTGTTCGCTGATGGTAGAGGCTTGGGATGAACTTTGGACAATGGCTACCATAGGAGCACACTGTTCCATTTCCTTTGTTCGTTGACATACACAGGCAGCAATTCTCATAAGGTTCTGTTCAACAATGAGTTGGAATTCGACAAAGATGCTGTATGTATGAGCTGTGATATTGTTTGAATCAATATCCGATAAGGCAAAAACTCTGCCTGAGGCCAACACAGATAGCGCCCGAGCTTCTTTTGCAAATCGTGAATTGCCCCGGTCCTGCATTCGCAAACAACCAGTCAAACATGAGGGACCACGTTTGATCACTGTGCAGCTCATGGGTTCTCAGAAGACCGTTCACAATGCCCGGTTCATGTGAGGTCTGCTCTTCGGAGCCCTCGAAATATCGGTGTCCCACATGCCAACTGATGAGGTACCTGAATCATGCATTCCATACGTGGACCAGTTGCTAAAGCCCCTTGATTTCCAGTTGTTCACTTGCGTGTACACAAGCGCATAAAATATACTGTGCACCCAAGGCCCCCTCGAATGAGGAGACCAGCGATCCAGCAGGCCCAATCGAGCCCGAGACCGAAGTCCACATCAACGAGGCTGGAGCTGGCTCCAAGGCCCCTATATTCAATCCTGCCGATGCAGCGACATCCTCTGAGATGAAAGCGCTGCTGGAGCAGCACCCAGAACTTCGCAGTCAGCTCCAGGAGCTATACCAGTCGACGCTGGAAGAAGAATGGGTGGAATCATATACGGCCCCGGCACGAGGCCGGGGTGGACGAGGCCGGGGTCGCGGGGGGATGACCTCTCGCAGTCGGGGACCCTGGACGGCGGAGAAAGGCTTCAAACGGGGGTTGGGCAGAGTGCGCAAGGTCAGACAAGATGGCGAGGAAGGGAAGGAGACTGGTCAGACAAGTGAGGCATTCATGCGGTTCTTGGCACTGGTCAATCGAGGACAGGAGACTACTGTATGACATGGAGACTTGGCCTGAGTCATCTACTTCGTACTCCGTATGGGCATCAGGAACTGCATACGAAGCGGGAGGTCGGGTTGGCTCTGGGAAGCACGTTTGTGTGAGACATGCAGGTCTTTCTTTTTTACCCGGGCCCAGCAGAGTGGTCAGCTCGGCTGTTGAGACTATTTGATCTACTCCGTACTAAGTACGGAGTACCTAGGTATAGCTGTCAGATTTGTCAGATTTGTATACTTCCAAGGTTCTTTTCTTGGACTGTACGATGTATCTCTGCCTTTTTTTATTTTTTATTCTATTTCCAAACCCCAGTTTCATTCCACGCAGGTATACGGAGTAGCGTACTGTCGAATAGCGGGATACTTCGTACTGCTACCTCATACGGAGTAGCCCACGAAACAAAGTACGAAAACTGCAAAGACAAAGAATAAGCGGAGTTCATAGCGGAGAGGGGCCAGAACATCAAAAAAAAAAAAACACAAAAGTACGATATCCCAGTGGACAGCCTCATATTTTGGACCAGTCACACCGACCTTACAACTATCGGAGGGACTTTATTTTCGGTACTCCGTATTTCTCAGGTGATTTTCCGGTTTAGACATAAAGAAGACCAGGGTAAAACAGGAGCTCAGGGGGCCATGGGCCATGTTTGAGCTTAGATGCCCCGAGGAGACATCGTAGTTCAGACCAAAAAAGACATCAGCTGAAGTGGACGAATCGGTTTGTGGCAGAGTGCCAGATCTAAGCGGAGTCAAGTGGGCTTCCAATAGCAGACAACAATTGCAGTTCCCGCGATAAAAACGGATCATCAAATTGTTTGTGATCTGTCTCTCCAAATACCTGATCTGGTTTCTTTTTAATTGGGTCTCTGGTTTGTGCCGAGTACTTGTATGCGTCGGAAGTACCAAACTTTCCTGCATATCCGATAACCGACCTAAAGTTTGACAGCTTCACCTCTCCCAATGATGGATACGCCGTGCGTCGTCTCTGAACTTACACACTAGTCAGAGCGTCAAGTTACTTTTGTCTTCGGGGCTCTTCAATCCCGTGGCTCCCATGGACAATTTGCTGACCGCCCAAGCGATGACATCGCAGTTCCGAACTGAAGCTCCGAGAGCCATGGGCAATCAGACTACCTCCGCTCCACAGAATCTCGAAGCTGCGCGCAATCCCGCCATGGGACCTCGGCAGGAACATGCTGTGCTGGATGCGGTTCCAGCGGAGGGCCGCACTCAGGTCAATCAGCCAGAAGTACGTCTACAAGATCAATGTGGGGATGGTTCGCCGTGGGGATGTATCGACACGGAGCTATGGGCACTACGAGGATTGAGTTCAAGAATTCACTCGCTAACAGAAACGCAATTGACAGGATCCGAGAAGTGGTCTTCCTGAAGTGACGATCGCGGTGGTCGGCGAGGAAAATGCGGGCAAGACCAGCTTCGTCAAGTGTGCACTGGACCTGAAGAACCCCCGCACGCGCAGTGTAGCAGGAAGAAAATGTCGCTGGACGGTTCCGTCTATATTGTGCACCTACTAGAGGTCGATTTGACCCAGGTTCAGTTCGACCAGGACAAGAGGATCGTCTGGCCCACAGGCAACGACGCTGCTGCGCCCGTCATTGATGGAGTGCTTGTCCTGCACGACGCCACCAAGCCAGATAGGCTTTCGTTGACCACCAACCTCATCTGTATGTGGATGCGACGGCGCGGTGCTGTGAGAGACACGTCCCCGACCCGGTACTGACACAATTTCGCACCCAGATTCCTTGGCTGCCTCGAGTCTGCCTTTCTTGCAGGTAGCCTGCAAATGCGATGTGAATCCGGAACCCGTGGAAGACATCGAAGTGGATGCGATCCACGATCAATACGAGATCTACCGAACCTCCTTCTCTTCGCCACGATCACAACGGATATGCATTGCCTTGGTGCTTCGTGGAGTAATCTCGACTCAGGAAGGTGAGTAGCCAGAGGATCCAACACAAAAGCATTGTGGGAAAGCATTGAGAGACTGTGTGCCTTGACCCCTGTGGGAGCGGGCCAGGTGGGTCGCGGTAGTAGCGTTCGCTACCTCTTGTCAATGCCCACCGATCGACACTGCTCCCCAGGGGAGAAAGGGACTAGGACATATTTCAGTTTTCCCCTTTACTAACTCTGGTACTCCCCAGATCTCACGTCCGAGTTGGATCTTGACATCTCGAGTCCCGATCCCTCCGCCACTTCACCGAGGACAACCACCAAATCCTTCCCACTCCCACCCACTCCCACCCCTCACGATTGGCAACATACCCGTGCCAACTCCGAAACCCCCTCAACCGTGTTCGCCGGAGCCGCTGGCGGCCCACAAACGACGGTCTCGGATCAATGTGTCGATAGGGACGAGAATCGCCACTCAGCCGACCAGCCAAGCCCCAACCCGGCTGTACAGCACCCCTCAACTTCCCACCGTTATGCCCGAAGTAACTCGCAACCGGTGCGACCGCAAACTCCACCATCCGGAGCTCGTCTAAACCCGCGCAGACCATCAGCACAAGAACAATATTCCCCAATTCACGACAGCCGTCAGCAAAGATTACATAGCGCCTGGCGACACAGTGGAGGGTCAGACGCCTTCAACAGCTTCCTCAGCATGGACGACGATCTGGAAGATGGGCAAAGCCGGCCATCAAGCCCTGGCGCAATCCTGCGGCCGAAGCCCAGCAGTGAAAGTAATTCCAGCTCAGAGACTGGGTTTTCATTCGATGAACTAGTCGACCGTTTGACCGCCCTGCCTATGTCGAAGCAGGACCAGAAATTCGCCTCCATCTTCCTCTGTCTATATCGCAAATTTGCCGCTCCCGGTACTTTGCTGAGTGCCCTCATAAGCCGATTCGAGCGAAACGAGGCAAGCAATGCCGACCAGCTCGCTCGCATGGCGGACCAGCTACGACTACTTGATATCATGGCTCAGTGGGCTTCTGATTACCCCGGGGACTTTGCCCACACCAACATTCGAAAACGCATAATTGAGTTCGTCAGCACGCTTGAAAAGAGTCATTTCTACATGTTCGCCGCCAAGGAGATCGGGTCACAACTAGACACCAATGCACAGGACGACGACATTGGTTGGGCGTTTGGTGGAGACAGCGATATTGATGAGTCTCAGCTGGTTGAGACGTTCTTCGACACTTCGGGGCGGAGCTCCCCTGCACATATCTTCGCAGGCGCTGCCACACCAGCCGCATACGAGGATGAGGAGGAGCAGGATCCCATCTACAGCATGAGTGCGCTGGATCTCAGTGAGGGGCCCCATGAATCCACATCACGACTATCAGGCACACTTTCGGTTTCTTCCAACGCCGCCGACAAACCTAACAGCACCATCAACCAATCATTCACATTACTGAGTCTCGACGCAGCCCAGAAAGAAGCTCTGCGGCTAGATCTGACACTCAAAACTGCCGTTGGCAAGATCCAATGGCGGTTCTTCATGGAGACGCCAGAAGAGGAGTTTGCAAGGGAACTGACGCGGATCGACTGGGTTATGTACAACTCGTTCCGGCCGCGTGATCTTGTCCGTCACGTCAGCCTATCGGGCATTGACAAGGATAAGGTCAAGAGCTTGACAAATGTCAACCGAATGATCAAGCAGTTCAACCATCTCGCCTTCTTTGTCGCCAGCATGATCCTCTTGCGCGATAAACCCAAGCATCGAGCGAAGGCATTAGAGAAGTTCATGAACATCGCAGTGGTATGTATACTCCACCAGGATGTCACTCAGAATCTAACAGCGCTTGCAGAAACTCCGCCGCCAAAACAACTACAACTCCCTGGGTGCCGTCATCGCCGCTATCAACGGTACCCCCGTCCTCCGCCTCACCCAAACCCGAGACCTAGTCCCCGTCCCCACTCAGAAAGAATTCATGCGTCTTGTCATCCTCATGAGCACACAAAGGAGTCACTTCGCCTACCGCCTCGCCTGGGATAACTCATTCTCCGAGCGAATCCCATTCCTCCCCCTCCACCGCCGCGACCTTGTCTCCGCCGAAGAAGGCAACAAGACATTCGTCGGCGAAAGCAAATCCCGCATCAACTGGAAGAAATTCGAAGTCATGGGTGAAGTAGTTCTCGGTATCCAACGAAGCCAAAAGAGCCCTCACCCCCAAGCTCAGAAGTTCGACGATATCGAGAGACTCATCATAGAATCAAAGCTCTCTGGAAACGAAGAGGTGAGACAAATGCTCCAAATCCAGCCGATCATCATACTGACCCTCCTTCTAGGACTTGTATGCACGCAGCTTACATGTCGAACCGTCCACAGGAGCAGAAGGACGAAGGAAATTCGGCTGGTTGCGTTCTTAATTCGATAAAGAGGCCGCAGGAGCGCAACCTTGATGCCTCGGTACTCTCTCTCTTTCTTCCTATCCCACCCTCCCTCCCCCTACCTCTTTCTCATGCCGCCACGCCCCTATATGATTGATAAACACTATTCATGTACTTTGCCTGCTTTGCGCCATGACCTTGGCTCTCTCTCGAGACCGACATACGCTCGGAGCGGCTAAAAAAAAAGCTCCGCTACGACATCTTGTATATATGCGTGTTTACATGCGGGTGATGATCAACCATCTTGCAAAGCCAACTTTGCCACCGCTGGTACATATTTTGAAAATTCAAACTCCCAAATAAGCAATAAGCAATAAGCAATCTCCATAAACAATCGACTCTGATTCCCATCGTCATCTCTCCACACGCTAGTCCAAATCCCAAATCCCAAGTCACGTGAACAAGAATAATCCCATCCACCCAGTACCATCAACACCCCAACCCAACCAATCCCAAACCCCAAACCCAAACACCCTTCAAAATGGCCACCATCCAAGCGCGCACAACCTACCGCGCCCTCCTCCGCGAGCTCCCCCGCCGCAACATCAACACCCCCTCCCCACTCCACCAGCGCCTCCGCGACACCTTCCGCTCCGTACCTGCTTCCACAAACGGAGCATCCCCCTTCTCGATCTCCACAACGCCAGAAGAACAATCCCTGCGCGTCCAGGAAGCAGACCAGCTTGCTCAGTATGCTCGCGCTCAGCGCACTTACTGTGAGCTCCTTGAGCGCTATAATCCTGGTATGAGCATGGATGAGGAGGAGAAGATTAGACTTACGGCTCGTCGGGTTGGATTTGATTTGCCTGAGTTGCATGAGCCGGAGGTTAAGGAGAATTGAACTGGGATTGGATTTGAATCATTCATTGGGTTCTTTGTCGTGGATACGATTGCGACTGAGCGGCTTCAATGTTCGGATCTGGAGCCCAGGGGGCTTGGGCTTGAGCTTGGGCTTGGGCTTGTATGGCTACTCTGGTGTTGAGATCTTGATGCATGTATTCTCTGAAATGGGCGTTGTTTTTTGTCTATTTGCGTTTGGGATTTGTATACTATGATATGGATACATGTATAAAAGAATATAGAGAATTGTCAATCAGCCTGTATGATCGTTTTATTCGTTGGAATGGAGCAGACTGAAGCTGTTATTCCTGAGTCGTGTCTTTCATCTTTCATTTTTCATCAGCGGGGCATGATGTGTTGACGCCTGCCTAGTCTGGATCCTTCGATGAGAGGATCGGGGCTTGCTGCCACAAAATTTTAGGGCGCATTCCTCCCTGTTGGGGTCTGGGGAAAGCCGCAGCGGAGGTATGGCGTCTGAGTCGCACGCTGCTCAAGTGAGGTGCTGCATTGCCGGGCAGCTGGAAATTTGGTCGGAGGTTCATTTATCGACGAATCCTCAAGTAGCGCTGAGATGAGCTCGCTCCATCTGACGCATCAAAGTCGAACTTCCCTCCTCGTCCTCGACGCCGACTTCGATGGCGGTCTTGGGTCTGTTGCGGTTCAGACCATCAAGAAGCAGACACGCCTTGCAGATACGTTGACTGGAGATGTAATTGCAGCGCTCACAGTGTTTGATGGTTTGGGCCTTGATTATTTTCACAGGTTGGCTCTTCACTTTCGGTTGTGAGGCAGCCGGGAGCTTGATCTCAGTCTCGCGTGATTCCGCCGCATCATTGGCCGCGAGCTGCTGCTCCATCGCAGCCATCTCACCACCACTAGTGCGACCATTCTGGCTGCCACAGCCACCGGCTGACTCGTCCTCTGCCGCACCTTGCTTAGGCTTGGTGTTGCCTCGAACTTCGACGGGCACCAGGGCAGCCATATCCTCTCCGCTTTTCACGATATCGAGAATGGAACTCGGACGGATCTTCTCAAGATCCTTAATCAGAGTACGAGCGCTCCCGCGGAATGCCTCGGGGGAGTAGATACACTCGGTACTGAAGTAATCCAGCTGTCTGTGGTGGGCGTAGAGGACGATCTCCTTCTCATAAGCGTATTTGAGAGGCTTGCTGCGCTTGATATCCGAGGCGCCGGAGTCAGTGACGATACTAGTACCGCGCGACAGACGAGGCAGGTCCCCACGCAGCAGATTCATCATAACTGTCTCGGCGACATCGTCTGCATTATGGCCGGTGACGACGTGGTTGATATCCAAGCGCGCGGCGCCTCGATCGAGCGCCTGTCGTCGGAACACTCCACAGTAAGTGCAGTTTCCCTTCTTTCCAACTTGCGCCACTACCTGATCCATGGTCCAGCCGTATAACTCGCCATATCCCACGATCACAAGGGGCATGTCATATTGTACTGCGTTGCGCTTGACGGTCTCTAAACTGTCGTCGCGATAGCCTCGAATGCCCTCATCGATGGACAGAAGGCATAGGTCCAGTCCATAGTCGTATCGTTCGTTCAAGGTTTTGAGTACTGCCGCGAGGACTGTGCTGTCTTTTCCACCACTTGCTCCGATTGCGATTCGCTCGCCGCGGAAGAATAGGTTGGTGCCGATGATCGTCTCGTGGACTTCGGTTTCGAAGATCTCGATGAAGCAGGCACGGCAGAGCTTATGCCTGTTCTTGGGTCTGATGATGACGGCTCGCGCCTCTTTGCAGTTGAAACACGGTGTCGGGGCCATGGTGATTTGAAGAGTCCAAAGAAGTGGCGGGCAAGAATTTCTTTCCCCCGCGATGTGGCCCGTGCGCCCGAACTATAGAAGTGACTTGGCTTGTTTAACTACTGCTCGATATACCAACGAGTACTCCAAAGAGAATATTGTCATTTTGGACCAAAAGAGCAATAAATAACCATTTCTGAGGGTAGCTGGGTAGTCCTTTCGAGCGTGACTATCGTGTGTAGGCCAGACCGGCTGCTCTTACATCAAGATAGTACTCGCTTCACGGTCGATAGAAGAAAAAGAGGAAGACAACGATAATTCCAAACATTGATTTCATGCCACTGCCTTGCCTTCTGGTCTAGACCCATTCTTCGCTTTGCGACACAACAGCCTCGCAGAGCAGAGGGGCCACTTATTCTTCCTAGCAACTTCAACGGCTTGGTGATGAATGTGATGCCGCCTCAAATGCAAGGAGTAGGGCTTTGAACGGTCAGCAAAGAGATGAAAGCCCTCCTTCCCCGAGGCCCCTAGCTTCTCCGCCACCGCAACGGTTTTTCGTTCCGAAAATGCAAACGAAGTACCAATGATCTTGAATTTGCGAGCCATTTGGTGGAGATTAGGAGAATGCCAGTTATCCTCGGTCCAGGTCGGCTTCGCATTCCAAGGAATCAATCTTTCTTTCTTGAAGGCCTGCCACCATTCCTCGGTTGTCAACCGGCCCTGCTCCCCACTGACAGCATGGACGCATCCACTTGTCCCCAGGGCCACATGGACTAACGTCCGGTCCGCCACCACATCCACCGGGACCTCGTCGATGGTAGATTCTTGATCTGGGTTCTCACACCGTGTTGCGAGCGCAATCTTCCGGCCTGGATGGAGCATGTATGCTGCCGCACAGGCGGTTGACGGGGCGCCGTATGCGGTCGCGAAGCCATGGTATGGATATTTATCGGCTGGTCCAAGGACCGAAGGCCTGATGATGAGGATCTTGTCTAGCTTGTTGCGCTCGGAGGCCTTTTGTAGAACGAGTCGCTCGGCCAGGTGCTTAGCGTATGCGAAGGGCCAAGGGAAATCGTGAGCATCGTACTCGTCGGATGAACCGGTCTTTTGTATGGCGCTCCATGCCTCCAGGGCACTCTGCTGGTAATCTTCTTCATTGCTGAGTGGATATACCTTCTCGTCGACGGGTACATCTGTTGACTTGTGGGCTTTCCAAAGGTGCGCATTGGCATAGGCGGTGCTGAAGAATACGAAGCGCTCGAGATTGGGGAACTTGAGGGCATATTTGGTCAAGCACAGGGTTGGTGCCAGGACGGTATACGATAGCTCGCGGAGGGAATTGTTCAGTTGGATTGATGAGGCAGCATGGAAGACTATGTGCACTGTTTGTTTAAGCATTTGAAGCGTTTCTTCTGATAGGTTCATCGTCGCAGTATCGCCCAGCTCGCCGTTGAGGACGGTCATTCGTTTGCTTTGCGTTAGGGTGCTTGCCACCGCTGCTGGAAGTATGCTGGTCCATTTCTCTATTGCTTTTCTAAGTCTTTGTGTTAGAGGTCATGTCAAGGCTCTTTCTTTCAATGCTTACTGTTCTCCGCCCCGACAAAGTACGTATACTCGCTCTGGTGACGATTGGCTCAACAGCCGATAAAGAAGTACGGTACCAATGAACCCTGTCCCTCCTGTGATGAACACAGTCTTCCCATTGTAATAATCCCACACCATGATGGATATATGAAAAATCGGACGAAGATGAAATTGCTTTGTCTCCTGCAGGGAGCTTTTTTTTCCGTCAAAAATACCTCGTGTGGATCCATCGGCGTACAGTTGCTAAATAGGCGATGGATAGAAATCCGAGGATGGTAATGCCAAAGATAGGCGCATGCAGATCTGCAGCTAAGCTGAGGGGTGTGTTACTCAGTATGGCCATCACAAAGCAAGCCAGCCACTCATATTGTTTGCCCCGGCATGTGTATCTATTCGAGAAGCTGAACAGCCTAGTTCAATGCCTCGACAGGCTGGGATCTCATCCCCGGATTTGGAGGTAACACAAGAACGCGTATGAAACCTTCAACGTCATCCTAAAACTTAACATGTTAATTCTGTTCAAGATCATTCAATTTCTATGAGGAAAAAAGAAAAGAAGACATCGGATGGTTGCATAGATGTTTGATACATGCTCACCGCTTCATGTAGTACCTAGTCCAAACATCCCGTCGGAGGTCAACTTGAATCTGCACCCATTCGATTTTTTTTAGGCTTGCATTAGATTGCAAAGAGCCTCGATTGTCATTTGCCACTGGGCTTTCCATCCCGAGCGAATCGCGATCACCACGCCTAGTTCCCAGAAACAATAATGGCAAGGGCCGAGCCCCCGTTGATCTTCTACCGACTCAGAGAACAGCAGCTGAGCGGGGGGGCGCAAGGCCCACAGCTTGACAGAAACAGTTGAAACATGCAGAGATCAGCCGTATCCTGTTTGGTCACTGAACATATCGATCGACTTGGTTCGTACTCCGTACGGAGTACAATTTGAGCACATGAACTCGAGGTTCAAGCTTTCCATGATCCCAACCTGTGAATCGAGCACTAATTATTTCTGACCAATTATTGAACAAAGTCACAATGTGATGATGTGATGAACATGGGCTCGAACATGAACTTGCATGCAACTTGGCTCAGGATGTTCTCCACTCCTCCGGCAGCGGCCCCTCCCGGTCCTTCAATTGAACGCTTGGGCCGGTGGTCGTATATCGATGCAGGGATGAGACGCACCCGCCATGCCTGAGCATCCAATCATTCTGGCATATCACACAGCGCAGGGTGTATTTCCCTGCTTTGTACTCCGTGCTCCGTACTCCGTAAATTGTGGGATATCCGAGGTTACGCTGTACATGTGCAATTCAATCCCTAACGCCCATCCAAGCCATGCTCCATTGCTACTGGATTTGTTTGTCTTGTTGTTTTGTTTGCTCTTTTCAAATTGGCCGCTTTGTAATCTATGATTGAGGCCATTGTTTTGCAATGGTCGTGTGGTTAACAATCACGGAGTAGAGTAAATTGACGTACAGAAAGTAGGAAATAGACAGTAAACAACGCTTGCCTCACACAAGTTGAACCCATGGGCTCCGCATGCGACTACAAGACGAATATCACAAAGATAGTCCCATCATGTTTGAAGAATACTATAAGACTCTCACTCGAGTCTTGTTTTAATACTTCTATTGAAACCTATCAAATGATTCTTTCTGTCGATCAAGGGGCTCCCAAGGTTGACTGACCCCCGACAACAGCCTTATCAATTTACTATCTTATACTATGTGGTCTACCTTGTTGTCTTGCGACAAATTTGAGGCCCTGCGATAAAATCGAGGCCATCTACGTGAGAGACTAGGAAAAGTATATAAAAGGTTGCTTGTGCTTAGATTGGACTATTCATTTACTAATTTTACTTCAAAGTGAGCAGCTCCCGATTGCAACCATGGATTACAATTTGCAGAGGGATAGCCAACCACTGCTTGATTTGACCACGAGATAGGCCAGGATTCCAGCGCTGCAGATTGTGTCAGAATCCTCAATCAAGGCATTGCATACAACCTTGGAAGGGTTGTCAGTTCCGCGTGTACCGTGGCCCATTTTTTTTTGAGCTTATCAGCTTCCATTGTCATATTTCTCCGGCGTATGGAATGTGCCTGGTAGTTCGAATCTAAGGTCTATGCAAGGGGATTCGTCATATGGAATTTTAATATACATACTCTTGTACCACAGCACAGCACTCTGAAGAATGTCAGAATCAAGGTGTGTGTTCGTCCGGCCAGTTTGTCTCAGGTTATGTGCATTCCAACGACCAGGTATGTGGGGATGACAGTCCAAAAGGTGGTAAACACCAGGGTGTCATAAAGTTAATTCATCGTCAAGTCGCTTTCGCTTCGTGCTTCGTCACTACATTGTACTCTGAAAACAACTCCAAGGCTGATCGTTGGCAGAAGATCCTTGGCTGTGTTCCATTCTTCCATTTTTCCGTGTCGTGTTCGCGATCGATACCCATTGTTTGATACCCCAATTATCAATTCAACATGAAAGCAGGCCCACTGGATATGGGCTATGCCCGGCCCTTGGAGTTCACTCTGTCGGTGGTTGTGAAGACGAAACCAAGCCCGCTCGACTTTCAGTTCGCTGCCGACACTCTAGTCTCACAATGGCCAGTATTGAACCTACGTATGAATGCATTGGTAAGTGTTGAGCGCCTCATGTTCTATCATCAAACTCTGACGATATAGAAAACGAAATTCCTGGACCCGAAAGACCCAGGGGATCTAGCAGACGTCTGGAAAGGAAAAGAGCTTTCACAAAACCTCGGTGATATCCTTCATCTCTCCGCCAAAGCAGAGTACGCCCAGTTGATTGAATCGGAGACCTTGGACAACACCTTGAATTTCGGTTACGGAATTCGACATGCATGGCAACAGCGTGTTTTCTCAGTCCGGACTATCTTCCTGAACGACTCTTGTATAATCGGTTTCAAATTTCTCCACCCACTCTGCGACGCGAATGGTATGATATCTCAACCCGGATAAACATTTCCGATCTCATAGCTCACCAAAATCCAGGTGCACATGAAATCATTCAGGCTTATTGCGCTCTGTTGAGGGGAGAAAGAATCACCCACATGCTCCATGCCCGGCCTTCGTTGTCACTGAAATCTGAGGTACTCGAGAAATGTGCTGAAATGATTGAGTCGCACCAGATTGCGGATTTGCACCGATATTCCATGCATCGGACATGGGCAGCAGGATTTGGGGCCCTTGGAAAGCAGATTGGGCGTAACATCTGCTATCCATCCTCCAGACGAGTCAGCAAAACTCTATTGGTTCCCCAAGGACAAATGCGCCGCTGGATGAAAGAGGCTGAAAACCAACAAGCCAGAGTGACGGAGCATGACCTCCTAGTTGCCTTTATATACAAGGTTTGTGTCCCCAAGTGAGTTCAACTTAGACAGCAAGCTAACCGTCATCGATTTCAACAGTCCGCATTGCATCCCCCGATCCAACACAGTTTCGGTTTGGCGATTGATATCTCTAACAAACTTCAATCGGAAGCCAACCTCTACAACCCTTGGTACATGATGCCAATTCCAGACCCAATGCCTACCAGCGAATATAGCGCCCCTCCTTTGATCCGCTTGGCAACAGAAATCCGTCACACAATCGAGGAAGGCCAGCAGCCAGAGTGTATAGGTGAGGTCGTCCAGCAGCACAGAGACACTCGGAAACATCCCATGATCCCAAAAACATACGGTAGCCGAGCTGCGCAGCCGCGAGTGGCTTCTTGGAAAAGCCTACCTTTATTTGACCTGGACATTCAAGGCGAGAAGCCGCTCTTTGTCCAAGGTGGTGTTGACTACTGTGGTCTTTTACGCGAGACTAGAACTCACCTTGATGATTTGTTGGTGACGTGGAAAGCCCGGGAGGTTGATGGGTACGAAGGTGGGTATTGGATTCATGGCAGGCTACCAGAGTCTAACTGGAAATGTATGGCTGATGCTTTGAACTGCTGAGCTTCACTCTATTCTCCACGCCTGGAGCGTGTGACTATTCTCACTGGGGACTAATTTATGTTTTAATCCGGCATTGTATTGTGCCATTCGAGATGATGATATCCTAATGCTAGAAAAATTATTACAATGATTCATTTTGCCTAATCATAGACACCAATTTTTATTCCTCTTAATGTCTTGAAAGGTGAGACTGACATTGTTTGCTCGATTTGGAAGAGCTGGTGGAAATCATGCAGCTGTTCCAAGGCTGAGACAAACTCATATCATGACTGACGCATGTTATATGCTTGTTGGTTTGTTTGCTCTTCTTATTTTGGTAGCTTGCGTCGGGTCATATTTGTTTGCTTTCCTATAGCTATTTCTTCTTGCTTTTGTGGCTCTTCCTTCTTCTCCTCCTTTCTCCATTATAAGCTTCTTAGATCAATGGTCCTTTTTCTCATGGAAGCTTATTTCATCACTGTATATGATGCCCATGTCAGCACGTCGAGGCAGGTGCCCCCAATAAACTTCTGAGTGCCATTTGTACTAACCACCATTTTAGGGGATCTTTACGGAGAGCACCGAGCCATGGAAGATGAGAGTGATTTCATACGCCATGAAGACTCCTTGAGATGGGATTCATTCCATATAGATCACGTCTCAGCCCCACGCATCATGATACACGACCATCTCATACCTCTGACATGAATTTTACCTTGCCAAACAACTCCGCGGCGGATATTATTGATGTAATCAGACCTGTCAGCTGCAAATGACAAGTGGATGATTCTCACCACACTCCCTCAAGCTCCGCTAAGATCCCAAGAAGCGGAATTACCAAAGTCTCTGTTCCTTCTAATGCGTATTCCTGCAATCTCACGTGAACTTCGCCTATACGACCCCTCACAGCAAGGGTACATCAAGATGCTATATCATCGCCGTTTGGGGGAGGGGAGAGGGTTGTCGCCATCTACCAGATACATGTTGTTGACTGTCTCATGCTGATCAACAACATGTATCTGGTAGATGGCTTAAGTCAACCATGGGAAGATAGATGTATACCCACTGGAGGCTCCATTCTCCTGCTGCATGTCGAAGAGACCGCCGCAAGGGAAAGCTTCGAGGCCAAAATTCAAGAACCCTTAACAAGATGCTCGTGGTAAGATTTTACGGCCAAAAGACCCATTCGTAGAAACTCATCGGCCGATATGGCGGGCGAGCACGAAGGGTTAGATGCGGTTGTGGACCATATGCGTTGCAACGCGAATTCTATGCCATTTGTTATGAAAAGACTTGTGAGATGCACGGGTGCAGACCCCAGGCGAGAGAAGTTTACGCATGGCCTGCCGGAAGATAGTGGTAGGAGCTCGAGGTCCCATACCCATTGCGAGTGGTTACTACGTCGGAGGATCGACGATTGCTGCTGGTGCTAGACCTTTCACTAAGTCCTTGTCTCTGAGGAGATTGATCAGGCCGTGAGAAATTTAGCTTTCAATCCACGTGCAATAAATTTCCAAGGTTGACATTCAAAACACCCTTTGTCATAAGAGTAGCATTACTAGCAAAAAGCATCCATAGCAGCAACCTTGGAAGACTTATTCAGCATCTCCCTAGCATCTATGTGGGGCATGTTTCCGAGGCTCCCCCGTCCTCCTGAGGTCATCCATTTTTGCCCTAGTGCGGAGTATGCTTCTTGGAAAATATATCTAAGTCGACTTATGAGACACTTTGAAAGCCAAGATAATCTAAAAGTAAAAAGTATGGACGAAGCGGACGTATTTCGGGTGGAGGTCTGGGCATTTGCTAGCTTTGTTTACTCGTATAGACTTAAGAATCGATTGATGGCGCTCGATTTTCACAATTGAATCGAGGCATACCTCGAGTCAAAACGCTCAAAGGTAAATGTGGAGAAAAAACCTGCAACGCTCTGCTAAAGTAAAGAGCCAAGAAACCCGTGCAGCCCACGACCTCCAATGTCGTAACATAAGTGCCGTGCGTTCCAAGGTTTCGTTGGTTCAGAAATTCTACATTGTCATGATCTTGCGGTCAACCAGCCGTGAAAAAAGCAAGCTAGAGTGCCCAGATGCTGTCCGAGAAACCGGATTTTCGCTTCGGTCGTTCCAAGCTGTCGGGATAGTACGCACGATGGCTGGTTTTCATGCGACAGAACCTTGGAAGTAAACAGTCATGCACGGTATATAGAAAGACTGTGTGACATTCTTGCACATATGAGACAAGTTAAGAGTGGCCACTATAGCAGAGAGAGGTGCAAGGAATCAATTGTTTAAGGCAGGGTAAAAAAAAGAACCAGCGTTCTCCACTTTGTACGGAGTACTCCGTACCAAATTCCAATTCGTCGAAATGAGTACCAATAGCCTCGAGGCGCAAACCGGCCGAGAAAGAAACAGAGACATATTTATGCATACAACGTAAGCTAAGAATCTATCCGACTCAGACCCACCAGATTTATGAGCTTTACGAGGGAAAGTGGATATGATAGCAAGAAAAGACCAGTAGTCAATTGGACTTCAGGTGACATTGGACATTGGTTAGTTCCGGAAAAGCGCTCCGGGAAAAAAACAAAAGTCGAGAGAAAAAGTGAGCGTCAAAAGCAAAAAAAAAAAAAACAAATTCCCCCAAAACCAGCGGTAGCTGAGCTTGAGCCGACACATGGCAGTCCGCAGCGCCGATTGGCATAGACTGCAGCAGACTAACCTCCTAGCCCCGGATCCACCGCGATTCAACCCGTCTCCAAAATCTCTGTTGAGGACCCACGTTGATCTGTGTGAAAACGGTTTTTGCGTGATCGAGATTGGTTTTTGCTTTTCAGGGTAATCTCGCCCTTAAGGCAGACCTCGAGACGAGAGGGGGAAAAAGTGATACGTTTTCTTATTGTTATATTTGTACAGCTTTGAATATATGTTGATCCAAAGATCCTACTACCTAGGTATATAGCAGTAGCTTTCCAAGGTTACTGTGATTTTTATTTTCTGAACATAGTTACCGGTGCAGTCCGGCCTTCCACTGTTTCCTTAATTTCAGCTGGGCATCTCTGCCTCGGCGCCCCAGGCGTCTTCCCGTGCGATTCGTCAATGGCATCCATGGATCATGCCGACGGGATGGATGCTAGGGGGAATTCAGTGACTAGTGCGCAGGGTCCCTACAAAAATTGAATTATAAAAATATGTCTCTTTGCGTGCAATTGGGAGAAATGATGCGTATGAGTAGGTTGAATAGTTTGAATAGATTGAATGGACACGTACTCTCTGCCTGGCGCTGAACGCCGGACGGGTCAGGTTACGGTGGGGACGTTAGGGTTATCACTTTTTTTTGAGTACGCATGATCGGTCTGGAAACCTGAGAAACATTAGCCTTACATACTTGTACAGCGTAAGGGTCCGAAAGCACCCAAAGACTCGGGTTAGGCTCCGTAAAAGGGATGGGAATGAGTGGTAGAAGTAAATAGAAAATAGATTCCCAAGACCTACGCAGTAGGCATGATGCTATGAAGATGAGACCCAAAATGCCCTTAACGCCGCAAGGTTGGGGAATACTTCCCCAACGTAAAAGCAAAAGCAAAAGCAAAAGCACAAAAGCGATCACGAACACGAAACAGGGGGATATCAGCTATAACCAAAAACACACACGCAAAAGAAATCCAGACTTCGTTTCGTCCTCGTTTCCTTTCATCTCGGAAGACGGCAACAGTCGCGACCAGCGCTTTCCCGCCCCGCATGTCATCCCACCCTCTGGTCCAATGCCAGAAAAAAATCATCGCTGATACATATGCAAAACGACCCCACGTAGCTTTCGTTCCCGTTTCGTTTCGTCATTACTGCGACCCAACCCAGCGGCGGATGGCTTCCAAAGACGGGTCGTCGTCAACCCAGTGACCTGCCCGCATATCCGCGGCTCGGAGGTCAGAGACAGCGTAAGTGTCCGTGATGCGAGCCAAGTCTTGATGAAGCGTGGTGGTAGCGCTTTTGAGAGCTGCGGCGTGTTGGGCCGTTGGCCGTTGGCCTTGTAAAATGCTGGCGCGGGCCATGGCCCATCGCCGGGCCGCTGCGGCTCGCAGATAAATTTTGTGCGCTTGATAACGGCGTGCGCTGCTGTCGAGAATGACCCTGGGGCATAGGTTAGTATTGGCGCTGGATATCGTGTGGTAAGGTAGCTGTACCTCTGAAGTTCGGCCTTCTCTGTCTCGACGTTGCCTTGGCCTGTTACTGGACAGGGCTGATAGTTGGCGGACATTAGGGTCTGGGCGGAGGCTAGGGACTCGCGGAGCACCACGAAGCCTTCTTCCCAGTATTCTTCTTGGGATGCATTGACATTCTGCTGCGAGATGTGTAGCAGCAAAGTACGGTAGTCGTTGATGATTTCGGCAACGCGCATCGCACGAGCTTGGTTGACTGAGTTCCGTTGTTAGTACTTGTCGAGATCAATTGCATCATGCCGTGAATATGGGCATTGACTCACGTCCGTCCGACATGATCACGAATGGTATATTATATGTGGAGAATCGAAAAGATAATACAAGGCAAGTATAAACAGATGACGTCAAAGATCAAAGAGAGAAAAGAAAGGCAACTGTCATAAGGATCTATAGTCCATGAAGTTAGAGTGTCAGGCCATCCACGGTTCCTTGGGAAAGAGGGTAGATATAAGTCTAGAAACGGACACGAAACGCTCCCTATTCAACACATGGCATGAGAGTCGAATGAGTGAAGGGGATGAGAAAAGAAAGGACAAAAAATTGATCCATCAGCCCGTGGCAGCGGAGCCGACGTCAGGAGGATCATCAAAGAAGACGAGCTGCGCCAATGAACAGCTCAGAAGCCAATATCAAGGAGTTTGGGTCGTTCAAGCACAGCTGGGATGTGCTGGGGTGGACCGAGCCCATAGTTCCCGAGAAACCGTTTACGGCATGGCTACCCCTGCACTCCCAAAGAGAGGGAATCCCAGAGTGGAGATGGAAGATGATGCATGTCCCAGTAGAGACCTTACTGTAAGACAGGCTGGGTCCGAGCTGGAAACTAGGAATGGGGAGCGTTAGCCCGCATCTAACGAGATTAGGTTCTCGTGCGGTCGATTCGGGGTCCTCGTGAGGGGAGAGCTGATGTTTCAAGACGGTGATTGGTGATCATTGAACGAACTACTCGGTGGAGCACTGAAGTTAGGATGTATCACTGTGGACCTTGTGTCGACACTTCAAGTCTCAGCCCAGGACCTGCATAGACGAGAGATCTGAGTGGATCTGACAATTAGGGTTTGCTCAGCTGGTCTTTGCCACACTTATTTTAGTCGACACTAGCCACTTTTGGTAGCAGTAATTCCAGGTGGTTTCTAGTGCCATGAAGATTGTATAATTGAGGTATAATACTCCGTAGTGGGGGTTGTGTTGTGTTTGTGTGTTGTGTTTCCCTTTGCTGTTCGGAGTAACTCGAGAACGGGCGCTTATTTGTCCAGCCACTGCTGAGCCACGTGTGGCGCTCGCACTACAGCTGAACCTCATACTCTTCCAAGAAGTATGCCCGTGTCTCCTTGCTGTTCCGATGCAGTGTGATATATGGGCTTGATCTTTTTTTGTTTTTGTGTTTTTGTTTTCTTCTTTCGGGGTGGCGGATTCCTGATTTTGACGGCTGAGATACGATAGGTTCGGACCACGCGAGTACTAGTATGGAGCTGTAGTTGGTGGATGTACTAATGTTAAATAATACCCGGCTATGAGCTATGATGGGCCAGTATGCGCCCCGAAACATGACCGAAACCGTCACCGTGCAGGGGAAAATCGAGTTATCATTCACAGATCGTCTGGTTGTCTAAAATGGATACCGAGGTCCTTTCATCCTGGGACCTCTTGGTCTCCAGTGCTGGCCTACCCCAGTCCGCTTAATCCTTCTCGGCTATGGCCTGCAGCCGTTCATCAATCTCCTCTTCCGTCAGGGCACGGAACGCTGTAGTAGTTCCCTCACCGTCCTCCCGCGGCCCACCGACGACACCGATCTCGATCTCGTGCTTCTTGAAGTCAACACTTAGGACATTGCTCAGGGCTGTGATGCCCAGCTCCACAACTTCCTCCCAGCTGCCTGCGGCCGCATCCTTGTTCTTCAGCTTCTTCTCCAAATAGTTCAACGCCTCCTGCTGCTTGGGACCGGATGCCGTGGCCTTGTATCCAACGAAGTAACCAGCCGGGTCGCACTTGTAGAGCTGGGGACCGCTCTCATCATCGACGGAGATCAGGGTTGTCGCCACGCCGAGTGGTCGCATGTAAGCCTGTTCAATTTCAAAGAATACCCTGTCAGCCATTTTGCCTCCATGACGATGCCTTGTCAGATAAACCGAGACATACCCTTTGTGTGTAGACCTGGTTGATATTTGCCAGTCGCTTTGCCAGGACATCGCAGGGCATCTCATATCCGAACTTGTAGCGGAACTCAGCAGCCTCACCGCGGGCACGGTCGACGGATGCACGAGCATCTGCTATGGAACCAGTCATCACGCATCCTACGGAAGGCGAGATCCGGAAAACATGTGAAACGGAGGACGGGTCGATCAATTTGTCCTAAACAGAGGATGGGTGTAAGCGTAGTCTCAGCTTTGGGCCGCGTGGGAATCTTACAGCGACTTTCTTCTGCGAGAGCACAACGGCACAATCCTTCCCCCTCACACCGATGGAGGTGATGTTGGCGGAGGTGATGGCCTTGAAAGCATATTCTGGGAAACGGATGTTTGGTCAGCGGCCGTGGTGACAGCGCCCAGAAAGATAATTGGGCTAGACAGAATCATCCGGTAGAGAACATACCAACTTGGTAGAGTCGACCCTGATCAGAGAAGATAGTAATATGTCTGTCGTAGGCGCTTCCTGTGGAGAGAACAGAGATCAGTCGGGGATGAAGTCATGAGGCTGGGCAAGGCCATCGGGAAGGAGACATACCAGACATGATGGCAGATTCTGCTGTCTTATAGGAAGAGGTAGTGAATTAAGAGAGGATAAGAGACGCAAAGGGAGGGCCTAGGTGAATGAGACGATGGGGGTTGATCGGTGACGCGTGAGAGCTGTCTGCCTGAGCTCAAGCTTGAGTCTCACCGCCTTCCAGCACAGCGCTGCATCTACAAAATGACAAGAACATATAAGCGATTGAACCTCAACCAATTGATAATATGAATATTTGAGGAATTTCTTGATTCCAATACTGCTGATACAGTTACCATTTCCCATCAAACGAGCAATCTTGCAAAGAGCAGCCATATTAGGACCACTAGGTACACCTACAAACTATACCTCTCGAAGATGGCTTGCAACCCCATTGTTTGCTCCATGAACATGATGAATTGACTTTTGAGATTATAAACATATTTACACCATTCCGTATGCTATATGGGATGCACAGGCTGACCTGAGAAAGCAACCCTCGTCCACTTCATCACATCTAGTCGCTATCACTTTCGCTGCTAGAGATCTCGATCTGGGCAGTTCTGAGCTTTCGCTTTTGGGTCTTCTTTGGTACCTTGGCCACCTTTTCAGGGATGAACTTCTCTCTCTTTGCCTTGACATTCTTCTTTGCTGGCGTGGTTTCGCTGGGGCCGGAAGGTGTGGGTGCAGGTGCGGGCTGTTTCACAGGGGTAGGGGCAGCAGGGGCAGCGTCAGAGTCATCGCTGTCACTGCTGCTACTGTCGCTGCTGCTGCTACTGCCACTCGATGAAGTCTCATCATCACTGCTATCAGGTGCAGGCTTGCTAGCAGTCTTCTTGGGAGCGGGGGTATCATCGTCACTGTCACTCTCACTGCTGCTGATGTCGACGACCATGGTTCTGTTCTTGCGCTTCTTGTTGGCCGGGGGCTCGACGACCTTGGGTTTGCGCTTCGGCTTGGCATCCTCGGCGCTAAACAGCTTGCCGGACACAGCGAAGAAGACCAGCTCTCCTCGCTGTCTCTTTGGCAGGCGTTTTTGGGCTTCTCCGTTCAGTTCTTCTTCGACATCGGGTTTGTCCAGATCTTCACTTCCTTCAACCAGACGTTCGCGGAAGGCATTGACGGCTTCCAGGTAGCCGGGAATTGTTGTTTCTTCTGCTTCGTCATCCTTGGGCTTGTCAAGGTCCATGTCGGCCTTGATCACATCCCTCGCGGCATCGCTCATTCGCTGCTTGGCAGCATCGCCCTTCAGACCCTGAATGTAGACTAGCAGAGAAGTGTTGTAGCGAGCAGGAACATGCTCCAGGGAGTACAGGTGCTTGAATAGGTTGGTTTCGCGGTTCTTTTGGAACTTCCAAGTTTCGCGTGCGCGGTGGTAGTGGCTTAGGTAGGAGAGGATAGGCGTCTCGTGAATTTGTCCCTCAGTCGAGGCAGTTCCGGTCTTTCGCTGCTTCTTCTTCTCGCGCTTGCGCTTTTTCATCTCTTCGAGCGCCTTGTCGGCCTCTTTATCTTCGGTGTCTGCCTCGGCACCGTCGGTGGCGGAAGGGTCGTTGGTCTCCGGGGCATCGGAATCGCTCTCTGAATCGCCGTCATTCTCCTTTGTGCCCGGTCCAAATGAGACACGCTTTTTCTTCTTCTTGTGCGATTCGGAGTCCTTGTCCTTCTGTTCACCGTCATCTTCGGCGTGACGGCGCTTCTTTTTCTTCTTCAATTCGCTGTCTGCTTCGGGCGCAGTCTCATCGGAGGCAGACTTCTTGCGCTTCTTCTTGTCTTTCTTCTCGAGCTTGGTCTCGTCTTCGGCGGTGGGAGAATCCTTCTCTTTCTTGGGCCTCGACTCGAGCTTTTTGCTGGCTGGGGATTGGGTGTCGGCGTGCGCCATATTGGCTGTGGTCGAATTAAAACTTTATGGAAAATTCGACAGGAACACGACTCGAAATAATATCGTAGATCGAGCCCAGAAACTGCGAGCTCGACTTTGCTGAGACGGAGGCTACTTTTTTTTCTGCCGATCGATTGCGCGGGCCAGCCGACCAATCACCTTCTCTCCTCTTTGTACACACTGCTTGATATCATGGCCCAACGGGTTGATTTTAACAACTTCAACTGGTGTGTTATATCATGCTGATCAGCCATATTTGGGCTTCGAAAATCACTCCCACATTTGGAAGAAGTTAGAATCTTTCCCATTTGGAGCACCATTGCATCTACCAAGAGAGGAATGCCAAGCAGCCACATCTAGAGCATCTATCAGCCAGAACGATGAGCCAAGAATGCTGACAGTGATGAACCTGCCCGCTTCTCTTAGCCTCATGACCATGGATGCCGACTGGGAGCTTGGAACCTCACGGTTCAAGGCCTCGATTTGATTCCATCAATTGATCCGTGAGGGTCATCTAGGACCAAAAGGTATGCTTCGAGTCAAACAAAAAGTCATTTCAAAGGTTTCACCAACTTTCAAAGTAGCCGCTGGAGCTCGATTATGGCGTAAGTACAGATTTGTGTCGCATCGACCATGTGTATGCCCCCCCACCTCCAGGGGAAAGCTTGACTTACCCACTTGGATGCATTTTGTGTTATACTAAATGACTAACTTAGGATATGAATGATATTTCAAAAAAAAAAAAAGTGCTATATTATCAACAGATATGGTTATACAGGCTAATTATAATGGCAAAGAAGTGAAATGCAAGGCTCACCTAGACATGAGCCCGGGAACTACAATGTCCCTAAAATTCGGATATTCCGAACTTCGATAAAGCCCTGGAGCCCAAATTGGACACGGAATCTCTCCAGGTGTTGACTTATGTCTCTGGCACAGGATAGACATGCATTATTCTTGAATTTGGAACGTCGGAAATATGTGCAAACATCTCCTACCATTCAGACATTAGGATGAGAATAGTAGCTTCCAATGTCTGGATCAGTGCTGCAAGCCCAAGCACAGTAATCAGCTTCGAGCGGCGTACTTATTGCACATTGCAGCAGAAATGGGCTCAAGCAATGTATAGCTCATCCAGTCGCGATGCCCGTGGACCTGTTATACACCTTTTTATTGACGACATTGGTTATTGGGTGCACACCTTGAGGTGCTCACCTTCTAAGGCGCTACTGCACAGGTGATACCCCGTACGGAGTACATTCAGAGTCAATATGATTTGTAAAACTTGAAAAATGCCACGCGGAAATTCAAACTCGGAACCTTATCCCGATGAAGCTTATCTTTGCTATCAAAGGGGCCCCGGGATCCACGGGTGATTTGAAGACCAACTTTGCCATAGGATCAAGAGACTCCGAGGACCTCAGGATCCATGAATTGCTCAAGGATTCATGTCAAATGTATGTGCATATATCTATCTCTATCTCTATCTACATAATCTATTTGCAAATCTATCTACAATCTTGTACAAATGCTTTTGTCTCACACCAACTTTGTACGGAGGTCACCTCCGCGCCAAACCGCCCCTTACGGCGAACTCCGCTGCTCGGTCCAAAGTGGGTCTATGAAGTAGATAAAGCCATGGCCGACAGCCGCCGCGAGTGGTCCAATCTACCGCACGTCAGTAAAAGAAGATAAACAATAAAACCCCAACCCCAACATATGAAAACTCACCCAGTGAATCCAATGATAACCAGGAAAGCTCGATGCCACATAAGCACCCAGACATCGCGCCGGGTTCAAACCTAGAGAAGGGATGATCAACACACATTCTCCCACATCCGAACAACTGCAAAGGGGAGGTAAATGTATATCTTACTGGCGCCAATATAACCCTCGCGCGTGAACGCAGTGCCCCAACTCACAATACCAAGAACAATACCCACGAACCAAGGAGCAGTAGCATGTCCAAAGACCTTTGCCTGCCTTGGATCCAGAGCAACGCCAAAAGCCAAAAAGATCAGAATCAAACAGGCGAAAAACTCAATGACCAGCCCGTCACTGGGATTCACTATACTGGTGTCTATATGGCATCCGCCCACGGTGATCTCACGGCTTCCATAAGCACTATGCAAGGCAAATCCCGCCAATGCCCCACCCAATGTTTGACCCGCTACATAGAGCACCATACGTGGGAAGGTAATGATGCGAGCGAAGAACGTTGCTAGCGTGATGGTTGGGCTAATATGGCCCCCACTCGAAGGGGAGAAGGTATAGATGAGGAGCGGAGTGAGGAGCAAATTGGTAATTCCGCCGAAGAGGGGAGAGAAGAAGGTGACGGTGCGGTAAACGCCGGCCTCAGTTTTCGGCGAAGTGGTTTTGGCGAGTGGGTGGGTAGTCACCCACGCGGTGATGAAGACATTCATTAAACTAGCTGCATATGCAAGTAAACAAGGTTAGTATTAAGGAATAGGATTAGGATTGGGACCAATGGAAAGGAGCCAAACGAGCCAGGGTTGAATTTTCTTCATCCCTGGGTTGACTTCGGGGAGGGGAAGGTTTATCTGCTTACCGACACATTCGAGCATGGCGAATTTCCATAGATCGGGACTCAAAAAGCCGCGTAGATCGAAGATCTCGGCCAGACTCATGCACGGCGCAGCATCGGGCACCTCTTTCAAGACAGCGAGATTCTTCGGATCATGTCGGTCCACGATACTGTCTTGATTTGCGCCGAGACGCCCCGCAAAAGGTGGGATCACGGCCTCCAGGTACTTATGATCGTCATGCTCGAGCTGGGGAAGATAAGCAGCGATCATTGTTCGATTGAGTTTCGGTATGGCGTGTGAGGAATCTCAAACAGACCCCTTGGCAGGGGCTGCTGTGTGTAACACTCTGGTCGCTGATTGGCTGCTGGCTGAGTCATCTCGAATTCTTGGCCCAATCGGCCAACGTTCGCCGAAGGTTCTCCTGCGAGCCAATCAGAACGAGTCAAGGCGGCACCTTATTATTAATATTATGTACAACATTGAAAGTATATGGAGTACAGGGCTACGACGGACTATACGGACTACAAGTGTGTATATCAAGATTGAATAATAACTCCAGGACTCGTGGGACTCGTCGATGACATTAATGTGGCCTCGTAAGCAGGGGTTCTAGCCCAAGATTGATTTCTATGCGTTCCCTGATGGATCAGTCACGGTATCTCTCCGCTCCCTGCGGACCTCTTTTGGCAAACCACTATCAGTTCCGGAGCCGGTGGCGGCTGCTGCTGCCATCGCCTTCCGTTTGGCCTTTTCCCGTTCCCGTTCCTTTTCCCTCTCTCTGTCCCTAGCACTGGGAGCAGCTGTTTTTCGTCGCTTGATCTCGTAGACATCATTGAAGTTCATAACGACGCCCAAGAAGCGCATGTCCACATCTGGCTGGTATGACAGATCGCATAAAAGGGAAGTCAGCCGTGTGCGGAATTCTTCGCGATGCATCTCCAAAGTTTTCCGCAGGTCGGCAAGCATAGTGTCATCGGCGGTGAGGTTTTGGCCGGAGAGAGATAAGGGAGTGTTGACCCCATCTAGTCCGGCACTTTCTGGCCGAACGTCGGGAGTGGAGGCCATAGAGGCTCCACCTCGGCTGTTGGACTGGCGAGAGAGGATATCACGATTCGTAGCCCCCCCACTGACCCTGAGCGGCCCGAGTTTCGATCCTAGCATTGATCTCCTGGCGGCGGGTGAACTCCGCCACAGAGAAAGAGTACAGCCCATCGACAGAGTCTTTGTAGCTCAGCATAGCTTTGAGGATATGGTGTAGCTGACTGAGGAAGCTTTCCTCGGGCTGTTTGGCGGAGCTGGAGGTCGAGGTGCCGCGTGGCGAGGCAGACCCAAGTAGACCTTTGTGAGTGATGGAGTTGAGGTATTTAGTGTGTGCTTCGATTAGATCGTCCAGTGTGCAGCCGGGTTTCCGAATAGCTTGGAGCAGCTGCTCCCAGCTAGACTCTATAACCTCGAACAAGATGTAGTATTGCAGCTGGTTGACGAAGTGTATCATTTCCGCAATCGTGCATCGTGCGCGCTTCCAGTCTGCTCCGACTTTATCTTCCACGTTGCCGAGCACACCTCGCGCGCCCGTCATGCATCGGCGCCAGGTGCTGTTCAGCGCGAACTCAACTCGCTTAATACGCCACAGGAAATTAAAGACTTTCAGGTATTGGGTTGACGCCCATGGTGTGATGACCACGTCCACAGGGGCATCGATTTTGTATTCGAGCGTGAAGCAGTCCCATCCAATCTCGCCGTGACTGAGCTCGAGCATGCGGGCGTCCAGCCGGCGTAGCACTTCGGGGGTATCGTATTGGGCATTGGACGCACGGATGGCGTGCTCTAATTGCGCGGTCAGGGTGTGTCGATATTGTGAATTAGCGGGTCGATCCAGGTTCGAGGCTAGTGACTCCATAAGCAGTGCAATGAAGTCACCTTGGCCCAGAAGCAGATAGCTTTTCAGTGCTTTCAAATGGTCAAAGAGGTTGAATTTCCCATTCATCAAAGAAATCAGTCGAGCCATGGTCGTCTTATACGCTTCGTCGATGGATATTTCTAGAGTCGCAGTGTCGCCATATCGTAGCTCCTTGGAGGCTTTCTTAGAGTATGCCTCTACCCATGCAGAATCACCACAGCCGTAGCGGATGAAGTTGAGCGATTTTCCAATCAGGAAAATCTTCTTCGCAAACTCCTGCGTGATGATCGACGGGACCATACCATCGTCAAGCTTATACTTGTCCTCCCAGACGCTGGTTGCGATGCGCCGAGGATCAGTCTTCGGTCGGAACTCTGGATCTGCGACGAAGAATTCTTTGTACGGGTCTGACAGTTCACCATCATAGATCCACAGTCGTAACATGTCATAGAAGGGACGGGTCACATGTGCGAGAAGCTTCTCAGCAAAGGCACATACGAATGGATCTCCATGAGAGGTTGAAAATCCGTGTATCAGAGAGATCAGCTGGCCACCTCTTTTATCTGTGCTGCTTGTCAACAAATTGATGGAAACAGCGGCGTTGATTTTCACTTACTTTGAGCCTCTTCCACAATCAGACTCATCAGTCGAAGAGCCATCGTGGCATCTCTCGTCCACACGACGCACCGTTTGAGGGTAACGCCGCCCTTCCGCACGCCTTGAGGCTCCGTTCCATCTCCAATTGCGGCCAGCGCCTGTCGGATCTCCGCTTCTAGCGTAGCCACTAGACTGAGATATGCCCGGAGTTCGATTGCAATGGAAGCTCGCAAGCTCTGGTTCACCAATCCACCCTCTTCGCTCTCCACAAAGACAGAGAGACCTTTGTAAAGCAAACAAGGCTCCGCCAAGGCATTCAGAAGTGAAGTTATAGGGGCTGGTAAGTTTGAGGGCAAGCTCAAGCTCGACGAGGAGCTGAATTGCAGATTTGATGAGGAGAGCCCTTGAAGGTTGAACGGCAAGTCACGCAACAATTGGTGCTCAATTGACCCAGTAGGTTTGACCTGACCAGCACTTGAAGGCCGAGATGATGGAGCGCGAGCTTGTTCGTCATTAACCCGATCATGTGCGCCGTCAACACGATTCGCCGTCCCCGGTCGTTCTGTCGCGCCACGACTGGCAGCATCTATCTCACCACGATCAACATCATGTCGCAATGAGCTTTGCCGCTCCACCTTATTTGGTGCCACTCGTTGATACGCCTGCGAAGCCGAGGAGCTAACAGCAGGACCCTCGTCCTCCGAATCAACCGCATTGCCCCGCTTAGGCCGTCCATCCCTCCCAAGCATATTCTGCAAATGACCCTCATCCATCAAAGGACTGCGGCTCCGCGCCCGGCCCTTGGGTGGCTCATTCGACGCCGACAACTTATACAGCAAGAACAAGATGCCCCATTTCTGCGACAGCACAGGCTGCGTCAGGAGACGAGAGTAAAGATTCGAGAAGCGCACCGCCTTATCGGGGCTTTCATTCTCCCGGCGCAGCTTGCGCTTAATGAGATCCGGCGCGTTGTTGATGCTTTCCGCTCCCGCGAAACTCCCGCGCCGCCCTCCCGGCCCTGCTGGTGACCCTGGATCTGGGGCATTGGTAGCAGTATGGGTGTCGAGAATGCGCCAGGCGCGCTCTAGTAAGATTTGGTGTCGACGGTTCTCCGCTGAGGCGAGAGCTTCCTCCTCGTCGGAGTAGTCTTCGTTCTGGATGGCGGAGATTGGGAGCGCGGGGGTGAGCCCGTCGATAAGTTGGGATAGGGCGTCGTCTAGGCGGCGCCCACGCGCTGGGTTACGCGCAGCGGTCGACATGGTCTTCCCGGTGCCCTAGTGGGCGGATTGTGGTGTAGATTACCCTGGTTCGCTCGTTGGTCGTTCGTGGTTCGTCCGGGGGTTGTTGTTGGGCGGAAACAGAGCGTGATCGGGCCGCCGGGTATACGGGCGAGACTTGCAGTTGGATATTTTGCCGGGCCCTCTAAAATCAATATAAACTTGGGATAAGGCAAATCGTCTCGTAGACAAAGCAACGCCCGCTGAAGCTCGAAGCTTGAGTGTTTATGTTTGTGATGTTTGATGTATAATCTGGCCTGGTTTGTCAGGTGTCTATTCTTTATCAGCTTATCGCTATCAAAAAGACTTTCGCGATCTTCTGAGCCGCGACATCCCTCCTTGCATGACATCCATATGTCGATGCTCTGAAAGGAAATGCTGCCAACGTGGCTCGCAGTGACTGAGATGGCCCTACTTGCTCGTCACAATTTTTCATGTCCTTGGAAAAAAGTTCAGATGCAGACCCAATCATAGGGCATATCCAACGGCCATGGGGCCCTCCCGGCCCCCATTTCCAAAGATCGGCTTAGTACCAGTTGCAGCCTGCAGTTGGACCTTGATTCTGTAGCAGCTTGACCCGCCATGGTGACGTTCACCAAGCAATAGTGGAAATTGTGTGCGTAGAAATCCAGTTAAATTCCATTTCCATTCTTACATTTCTTTTTTTTAATCCCTATTCATCATATTTTGTTAAGGCGCATCGGCGCCAGTCTCCCATAATGGGCTGCTCTGCGACCGCAATGCTCAGAACATTGAGCAATGCTAAATTAAAACTATTCATCGTTTTTGTGACCGTCACAGCAATCCTCTTCCTACTCACATTACATTCCCCCAGCTCAAGCTTGTCCAAAACTATTCTACCAAGCGCTAAAGAGCAAGTGGTAGACGAGCCAGACTACTGGACCTGGGAAACGAGAACCCAGTTCCGAAAAGCAGCTCTTGACAATAATAGCACTACAAGCAACGAGACAACATGCGACACATTCCCCTCAGATGTCCTATCGCGCATTCAAATTGTCTTAAAAACCAGCGCAACCGAAAAACCCGAACGAGTCGACTCGCACATGGCATCCGTGACTCGCTGCATTTCCAATCTACTCATAGTCTCTGATAAAGAGACCGAGCTGCATGGTCACCAAGTGTATAACATCCTCGCCGACCTACCACCATCCGCGCGGGCTAAGATCCCGGAATTCGAAGCCTATGATAAATTCCAACATAACGACACCGAAATCAACGGCGCAGCAGGCTGGAAACTCGATCGGTTCAAATTCCTTCCCATGGTTGAACGAGCCAAGAAGATGAATCCCAGCGCTGAGTGGTACGTATTCTTGGAGACGGACACATACTTTGTCTGGGACAATCTGTTCCGCATGCTGGAGCAGTTTGATCCATCGTCTCCTCTGTATTTTGGTTCACCGGCACCGGGACGAGGCATTGGCGAAGGGAAGGTGAACTGGTTCGCCTATGGTGGAGCTGGATTCGTTTTATCCAGAGCGGCGGTTGATACGTTGGTTGCACGCAAGACGGGCAGACTCGGGCAGTATATTGGACCGACGCTTAGCGAGCAGTATATGCAGATTGTCACCGATGACTGCTGCGGTGACTCGGTGCTTGGGTTTGCGCTGTATGAAAAGGGTATCACGTTGTCTGGGATGTGGCCTATGTTCAATGCACACCCGTTGGATTCGATTCCGTTTGGAAATGAGGATCATTGGTGTCAGCCTGCGATCAGCATGCACAAGTCTCAGTTGAGGGATATGGTTGGACTGGCGAAGTGGGAAAACGGCCGGGATAGAACGGTATGGTGATCTCTTTGAACGGGCAGGCGCCATGCTAATTAGGGTTTGCATAGAAACCCCTGCTTTATGCAGACCTGGTCGACTACCATCATCTGGGGAACTTGCCCGAACGCAAAGGGTGGGATAATGGAGGCTGGGGCGGTGTCATTGAGCAACCGGACACACTGCCACAGCATCAGTCGTTAGAGGCTTGCCGTCAAGCCTGTCATAATAAGGACTGGTGCATGACATACACTTATGATGCTGCTGGTGCCTGTGTGTTTGTGAGCACCCTCCGACTTGGGGCTCCCAGCAAGCCGGAACTTGCAGATCAGTTCACAGCTGGATGGGACAATGTCAAGATCCAAAAGTGGCGGGCGAATAACACTTGTGAAACGCCTATGTGGGTGAAGCCGAGTTTGAAACGAATTTTCTAAATAATAATCATGCGTTATGAGAGGAGGCGCGGATGATAGAAGCAGTCACCTGGGCATGGCGTTGTGCTTTGCCTCCATTCCCGATAGACCATCAGAAGACAGATAGAATCGATGTCCTAATTAGCCAATATGTACATTCAGTTAGAACAGATTGACATCTTATTTACGAATGAGCAAACTCTACATCAGATTGAAAGAGTAACATTTTCAGAGCAACCGTCATTTCATTTGCCAGCCATTTGGACGAAAGGACGAGTCAAACACGAAAATATCACGAAGCCATCCGTACGCCAGGAGTCATGTAGGAACAAGCTAACTGAAGCAAGAGAATCAAAAATGCACCCATGTGCCGACAAGTATTAGACAAGCGAAAGTTGAGAAATCCTCTGAGCCATCAAGAGGATGATTATAGAAAGAATAGAGAAAGGGTAAAAAAATACAACAGGGAAACACCACCAAAGGGGGAAGAAAAGAGAAGGGGAAGAAGAAGAGGAAAAGAAGAAACAGAAACAACCTCGAAGCAGCCGTTGTGCGAGAAAGTAGATAATCAAACGCCCGATTGAACACGCCCCCAAAAACAGGGTCATTTCCAGACCATCGAGTGAGCCCGTCCAGATTTTTGAGTCGTGGGGATCATTAACACCTGCCCATGCCGAACTTCCGCCAGACTTGCCGAAAGGTACTGTGTAGAAAAACAAACTCCCAGGGAAGAAAAGAGAGCAACCACCGGATCTAAGCAGTGACGTATATTTGCTGCAAGCGGCGAAGCAAAATAGATGTGTTGATATGAGAACAAGAGGCAGGTCGTCTCATTTAGCGACGCATGCCTTGTGCGGGGATTCCACCTTGCTGCATGCCCATGCCAGGAGGCATGTTGTAGCCGTGGTGCTCGTAGCCACCAGGCATGCCGTTCATCATGAGGGGACCCAGACCCTGGGCCTGAGAGACTGGGCAGTCTTTGTGTGCCAACAGGAGAGTCTTAAGGTTGACGATTTCCTCACGGAGCTGAGTCACAGTAGCGGTAAGAGCATCATTCTCGGTAGTGAAAAGCTCGACCTTGGCCTGGAGGTTGGCCAACCATTGCTTCTTGCGCTGGCGACACTTGAGAGCAGCGACACTGGATGAATGTTAGTAATGTTGTTGATCGGATTGATCCATGTGGACATATCATACCGGTTACGCTCGAGGAAGTTACGACGCTTCTCCTCGTCAGTCATTTTCTTCGTGTCCATCGGGAATTTCTTCATGTCATCATCATCGTCATCATCATCCTCCATGTCCGAGGGCATATCCATGCTCATCTTGGTCCGCTTGTTGGATCCCTTGGGCGCCTCTTCAGCCTTACGGCGGTTATTACCGGCAGCGGGCTTGGGAGCATTCTTTTTACCCTTGCCCTTGGCAGGCTTGGCAGGTTCCGCGTCAGACATATCATCTCCACTAGTGCCGTTGGTATTTTGAGACACGCGTCGGGCAGCTGCAGAGCGGTTATCATTTTGCATGGAGGCCTGGTTCATTGGCGCATTGTTCGCCTGGCCACCTTTGGCCAGCATGAAAAGGCCGTTTGCCGCATCAGCCGCATCGTGCTGAGTGAAGTCGGCCGGGCGGGCGGGTTTCACATCCATGTTATTGGCATTACTTTGTTCCTGCTCAGTAGGATTGGACGTAACAGCGTTCGCGTTATTTTTCTTTGCCGCGAGGGCAGTGCGGTGGAAATCAATAGTCGAGGGGGTGGCGCCACCGTTCTGAAGTTGATGCAGTAGAGCCTGGGAATTAGGACTGGGTGCAGGGAACATAGAGCCACCACCGCCAGGGGTCAGGCCTGTACGGAGGGACGACTCGTTCGGGGTTGGGAAGCCGCGACCGATACTGTCGAAGTAGTCGTTGCCGCCTGTCGGCCCAGGAAGCATAGCGGGACTAAGGGGTCCGGAGCGAAGGGAGTTTGACCAGTTGTACCCGTTTCCAGTGTTTGATCCAGGTATGGCCGGGGAGGTGAGTGCAGCTACAGAGGGCAGAAGTGATTTTCCTGGAGTCTCCGTTGCTGGATCTCCACTAAAGGATTGCTCAAATGGATTGGGCTCCAGTGAAAAGGGATTATGCATGGAGCTGAAGTAGTCTGGGGTATCAGACGCAGTAGGCGCACCCGGTCGCGGCGGTGGCGCCAACGAGGTCTGAGGCTCTGGGTTGGACTTTTGATCCTGGGAAGACGCGACCTGCGAGTCTAGCGAGGAAGTTCAGATTAGCACTGGCGCGCCAAGAATTAAATCAATCGCAAATAGGTACCACTGCGCTGAGATCGTGTTTGGGGCTTCATGATGTGCCGAGATGTTGTGGTGGGGAAGTAAAAAAATCAATGACGCCAGAGGGTGAAGTCATCGCGACGGCAAAGGAATGATGGATAGAGGGCAGTGGCGTATTACCCGAATAAGGGTCTGAAGTATAATAGGACCAACAGGAAGACAAACAAGACAAAACATAAAGGAATATCACAGCATAATAATATGAAGCAAAAGTACTAGTGAAAAAAAAAGAGCGCGTAGACTGAGCGTGACACGAACCTTCTGTTTCAGTCTTCTTCGAGTCCATGGGGGAAGAAGACATTGTTCGGAGAGTCGATGCAGCCGGGGCGACTGCAGCAGACATTGCTTCAATGGAAAGTGGTGATATAAGATGCACAAAGCCAAACAAGCCTTGAGTTGATGGGGAGAGAGAGAAAGAGAGTGTGTGACGTAGGGGGAAGAGGGATATGATGAAATTTAGGGAATTGGCCAATTTTACTGTCCGTGGGAAAATTACCGTGACCGTCCAGGTACCGTAACGAAAAGAGAAAAAAACCTGTAATCAGGTTTGCTTTTATATCGATTCCGCTCTGCTGACTCTTCATATTGGAGTAATATCTGCAATATCTGCTCTATTGGCTCTAATCCATTTATTTGATTCGCAATCGAAAGGGTTGTAGGGCTCCTAAGCCATCAACTGATATCTCGAGCCCTTGAAGGGATCATATGGTCACCCGGGGCTAGACCTCGAACTGATCCTTCACACCAATCCTATCTCATCCACTCACATCTGTGGAAGACTCTGATCGGACAAAAATAAGGAAAATTTCCCCAGACCAGATGCATTTGACTGCAATATATGCTTGCAATCGCGCTCTATTGTTGGAGGGTCGCAATGAGACAAGATATCCATTATGTCACAGTGACGAAAAAATCCTCTCCCGCTGTGGGTCGCTGTGATATCTAGCCAATCATATCTAGTACATGGCTGCTGCCAAGACATCAAATCACGGAAACCGAAGAATGCGGTGAAAGATGACGCAATCAATACACGTGAGGGCTGACCACGTATGTCGCAGGTATCTGGGGAGACTCGGAGGATTTGGAGAAATTAGCCCCCGGGGCCTGTAACATTGATTACTAACGGCCCCATTTTGCACAGTTTCTGTACCGTAGTATGCAAAATTACCAATCCAGGTCGCGTCTGGCAGTACGTAAATTACAACAACAGTTGCGTTTGATCACATGATCTTCAAGTAGTCCGTACCTGAAATCGTCTGCTGGACAGGGGCATTACTAATTAACAACTACACAGGAAAAGGTCAACCTACAAAGCCTCAATCACAGAGAATCATATGTATCCCAAGGCCTCCATAATGCTCTAATCGGATGTAAACCTTGGAAGTATACCTGAAGACATTCCTGTGGGCCTCGATAATGAACGTGCACGCCAAACTCAGTTTGAGATGCCCCGTTGAATCTCATCGGTCCGCCTGTCTCCATTCAGACATCTAACGCTCGTGCCATTGGACCGGGCAGGTTTGATCGAGTTTGACAGCTTTATTCCCATGCCACATTGCAGAGCCGCTCAGCTTTCCCCACAATTTGATCGCGCTTGGGTACCAATGTACACTTCAAAGTAGCTCGTACTTGGTTTGTACGAGGTACTGTACATTCTCTAATGTCAAAACTCAAAACTTGTGGATCTTCGGCCCTTTCATCTGAGAAGAGGTACGGGGAAAGCCACAAAATGGCAATTGTGATAAGATAGGACTAAACTACCCTCACCTGGACACCCTTAGAACTACACCCTCACTATTGGGTAACTATTTAATATTTCCCAGGTTTTTGCTGATCGCTATGGTAATATATACTATATGGCTTCAACGGGTCATGCAAGCCATAAACTTCTTATTTCAAATCCAGGGCTCAAGAAGCTCGGATCTTTGTGAAGAATTATTGCAACCCCTCCCCCCAATAACCCTAGCGGCCCTAGCGATGCACACCTGGGCACTTAATGGAGATCAATGGATCAGGGCATTATTTACAAACCTACCCGTGGGTCTCTCTTAAATCGAATTGATGGGGAGAAAATGAATGTCTCCCAAGATTTTCCAGATCAATTGAGTCGGCTGAGGCCAAGACTTTAGGCGCCGAGTGCCCAAAGATAGCCCACTGTTGGTGTTTACCTGCATGGTGACGTGGTAGCAAACACCCCTCAGCCTCATCGGTGCCCGGGCTGAGGCACACCGCTTCAGATAAGGATTGAAAGCAGTCCGGTGCTCAGACTTGTTTGCATTTCCAGGTTTCACGAAAAAGATGCCGAATCGAAAGTCTTTACCCACGTCCGATTTGTACACTGTCGGATGGATCGCTGCCCTGAGCATCGAGCGTGCTGCTGCGATATCCATGCTCGATGAGAGGCACGATAAACCGTCGAATTTCAATCAACATGAATCCGATACGAACTCTTACTCCTGGGGTCAAATGGGTGATCACAACGTTGTTATTGCTTCACTGCCTGCGGGGCTATACGGCACCACTTCTGCAGCAACCACAGCGTCCGGCCTTCTTGCATCACTTCCACAGATCCGGGTTGCACTTTTAGTTGGGATTGGTGGCGGCATTGCCAGACCAGAGTCAGGCCGCGATATTCGTCTTGGTGATGTAGTTGTCAGCCAGCCAGAGGGGACAACTGGTGGGGTGATCCAATATGATCTAGGGAAGGCGGGGCAAGAATGGGAGCTAAAGGGTTCCCTGAGCAAGCCCCCACTCGTTCTGCTCCACGCACTAGGGAGCCTGCAAGCAGAGCATGAACTAGGGGAGTCAAGAGTGCTTGAATTTCTAGAAGTCGCGTCAAAGCTCAAGAAGGGTGCGAGTGGGTATTGCCACCAAGGCTTGGAGAACGATCGACTCTTCAGGCCCTCATATGCTCACTCGGGTCTATCTGACTGCCGCGGTTGTGACACCACAGAGGAGATAGAGCGTGCTGAGCGTGATACAACAGACCCAGAGATCCATTATGGGACCATTGCGTCCGGCAATATGCTTCTGAAAGACGCCACTACTCGTGATAACATCCTCGACTCTATCGGCACAGAATGTCTCTGTTTCGAAATGGAAGCAGCTGGTCTTATGAACCATTTCCCATGCCTTGTAATCAGAGGCATTTGTGACTATGCCGACTCTCATAAAAATGATCGATGGCAACGCTACGCGGCTGCTACTGCTGCTGCCTATGGGAAAGATTTGCTTGGCTACGTTCCTATGAAGGGGCTTCAGGAATCAGAGAAGGCTATAGACATATTGCACTCAGGTATAATACCTCCCATTCGTCGATTTGCAGTATTGTCTGATTATCGAAGTCTCCAGGGAAGTGCAGAGTGTTCATGTGATAGCCAAGGGTATCAATCAAGAGCTTCAAGATCAGAAGTCCAGTAGCCATTTCCAAGTAATCAAAAAATGGCTTTCCGCTTCCGATGTATCGAAGAACCTTTTCGAGGCTCTGAAGAAGAGACATGAGGACACATGTACTTGGATTCTTCAATGCAAGACATTTCAGGAGTGGCAGTCTGACGAACGTCGCTTTGTGTGGTTGCATGGTATTCCGGGATGCGGGAAGACAGTTCTCAGCGCAGCAGTGATCGATCATCTCCAGCACCTCGGTTCATCAGATATCGTTCTTGAATTTTTCTTTGATTTTGCAGATAACGAGAAGCAAACCATTGATCAACTACTCCGCACTCTTTCGCACCAGCTCTATTCGAGGTGTCCAGATTGTCGACCGGAATTGGACGAGCTATTCATTTCTTGTCAACAAGGTCGTCAGCAACCAGCGTGCCAAGAGTTGGCTGCCGCATTGTCGCGGATGCTCAGTCACTGCGGCAAAGTTTATATCATCATAGATGCGTTGGACGAATGCAAGACAAGAAAAGAGGTACTTCGCTGGATAGAAGATACTTTCCGCTCTGGAAGCCCTTCAGTCCGACTTCTTGCTACTAGCCGGAGAGAAGAAGATATAGAATCTGAGTTGGAACGCTGGCTAGATCAGCAAAGCATTCTCTCAGCTCGGGAGGAATCGGTGAATCATGACATTCGCAACTTTGTCCATTCGCAGCTACTCAGCGAGCCAGAATTTGAGCGATGGCGCATGCAACCAGGTGTGCAGGAGGAGATTGAGACTCAGATCATGCTCAAGGCAAATGGAATGTAAGAATACCCCCTACTCCTATTAAACTGATCAATCTGACCCAGTTCCAACTACTTTTCAGGTTCCGCTGGGCTGCATGCCAATTGGATACCCTCCAAAAATGTTTAGACCTGCCAATGCTGCGAAGGTCACTATTGAGCCTACCAGTAACATTGGAAGAGACCTATGCCCGAATTCTCGCGAATATCGACGAGGTCTACAGAGATCATGCTGTGAGGATTCTACAGTTTCTCACTTACGCAGAACGTCCCTTGAGCATCGAAGAAGCAATTGATGCCTTGGCTGTTGACCCGTCTACGGACCCTTTCTTTGATCCAAGCTATCGAATGCCAAACCCTCGAGATATCATGAGAGTTTGTGCAAGTTTGATTTCCACGGTCACCATCACCGGAAGAGGGAGTCTCTCTGGCTACCCCTACGGACCAAGACAAGGCGCGATTGTGCTTCAGCTATCCCACTTTTCCGTTCATCAATACCTCAGGTCTGAGCGAATTCAATCAACGTTCACAGATAAAACTCGTCATATTGGCTGTCTCTTCGAGGATTCCCTAGCTGAACTGAATGCCAGAAGGTCCATAGCCATCATCTGTTTGGCCTACCTATCATATGTTGGTGATCAAAGGACGCTTGTTGGACTCGAGACCGATTTTCCATTTTCGTCATTCTCCTCACACAGCTGGCAAAAGAATGCCAGAGCATGTGAGAACGATGTTACAGTCCAAGAAGGCATTTCGAACCTTTTTCTCCGTCAAAGTCAGCCGTATAGAGTATGGGACTTTTTCAAATACCCACAGGACGTCGATCATATTTCTTACTTAGGACCGCCGTTGTATCATGCATGTCTGGAAGGATTGAAGTCCTCAGTTCAGCTGCTATTGGACAAGGGAGTGGAGATCAACCACCATGACGACGAATCCGCGACTGCGCTGATCATCGCAGCAGACCACGGCCACCGGGATATCGTAGAGCTTCTGCTGGACCACGGTGCCGATATACAAACAAAAAGTTACTATAAGGGTAGTGCTCTCCATGCTGCGTCGATGAAAGGCCATCAGACAATTGTGCAGCTTCTGCTGGACCATGGTGCCGATATACAATCAAAAAGTGACCGTTTGGGCAGTGCTCTCCATGTTGCTTCGAGAATAGGCCATCGAAAAATTGTGCAGCTGCTTCTCGAGAGAGGTGCCAACATCAACTCTAGTCACAGTTACTATGGTACTCCCCTTCAAGCGGCTGTCGTGGGCAAACAAAATGATGTTGTAACGCAACTACTGGAAGCGGGTGCTGATGTGAATTTCCAAGCCTTTGTCAGCCATTTCATCTGCAAGAGTCCTTTGCATGTCGCTGTGAGATACCGATATTATGACATTGCAAAGTTGCTATTCAAATATGGGGCTCGCCTAGCTCCAGCGACTCACTCTATCGGTAATCCGCTGGAGACTGCCGCTGAGAATACCGATTTGCGTATGGTGCAGATTCTTCTCGAGAACAATGCTGAAAATCCCATAGATGATTCGATTCTTGCGAGTGCTATTCATGCTGCTGCATCCCAAGGGTCTGTGGCAATCGTACAACTATTGCTCACAAAAGGTGCCGACGCCAACGCTCGAGGCAGAGATGGAAGTTCACTCCAAGCTGCCTTCTCATCCTCTAAATGTGGCGGTGAGGAAGTTTTCCGACTTCTGATTGACAATGGTGTTTCCTTGGACACTCTCAATGACAAAGCTCCTCTCCCTGTTGCTATACGAAATTTCAAAGAAGAAACTATCAAGCGAATGATCGACGCAGGCTCTAATTTGAACATTCCGCATGACCATTATGGGAGTCCACTGCATGCCGCTTCCTATCGTGGAAACTACAGAATTGTGCAATGTCTGCTAGAGAAAGGCGCCAATGTAAATACATGGAGCGGTGAATACGGCAGTGCACTTCTAGCGGCCTTTTGCCGCAGGCACGATGACATCTTGAGTCTTCTTTTGAAATATGGCGCAACTTCTAATGACCATGAAGGCAGAAATAGCATTGCAATCCAGACTGCCTTGATATGTGGCCAGAGCTTCACGCTCGCGGCACTGGTCGAGAAGGACAGTGAATCTCTGGGATGCCCACCAAATGACTACACGGCTCTTCTCACTGCTTCATCTCTTGGCTTACAGGACATAGTGAAGCTACTTGTCGACAAAGGTACCGATCCTAATCGTCAGGATAATCAAATCCACAGTCCTCTCATATTATCTGCATCCAAAGGTCATTGTGGAATCGTGCAGCTATTACTTGCGGCGGGTGCCGATATCAATGGAAATGACAGGCAATATAGCAATGCGCTCTTTGCTGCCTTGTACAATTGCCATCAAGCCACCGCGGAACTACTCCTGGACGAAGGCGCCGACGTGAATGCTGAGCTTCCTCCCCTTGGCGACGACTGTATAGCTCTCGCCAACAAAAGAATTGAGCTTCTTGAATCACTTAATACAGTCCTACCCTCGCAACGGGACAGCTGGAGCCATGCCATTGTTGACATTTTGCGGTGTGCCGAATTTGGTAGTGGGCTCCAGATGGCCATCTACAAGGGACACAAAGAAATTGCATATGCTCTACTTGAGAGAGGCGCAAATCCAAATGTTCAGCACGGCTGGCTTGGAAATTCCATTCAGATTGCAGCCTACAAAGAGGACCTAAGTTTGGTGCAGGCTCTGTTAAGCAAGGGTGCTGATGTGAACAGCCCAACCAAGTACGGGAATACACTCCAGATTGCTGTTTTCAAAGGCAACCAGAGTCTTGTAGAGCTCATGTTACAAAATGGCGCTGACTGCAATCTAAATGGCGATTTCCGGCACGTTTGCAAGGGGAATTTCAAGGATCTTGCACTATTGCACGGGGATTGGGACACCGCCCGTCTGCTGGAACAGCGTGACCAGCCGAGATCATATGATGACGAATTTGACAATGCACTCAGAGTTGCTTCATCTCTCGGCCACCAGGGCATCGCTCAATTACTCATTGATTACGGAGCAGACGTGAATGCCAGAACTGGCCGCGGCGAGACCCCACTCAAGGTTGCCTCATACAAAGGCCACCTCGCTATTGTACAGCTTCTGCTTGACAATGGTGCCGATATCCTTTCCGGGGATCATAATGCGCTCGAGGAAGCTATCTCTAGCGGGCACCGTCAAATATTCTCCCTCCTGCTAGAGAAAACGCCAAGCTTAGCTAGACAGTCTCACCGTCATCGGTCTCCTGGACTGGGACCACTTTCAGCGGCCTCACGACGCGGCGAGCAGGACATCATACAGATGCTACTCAATAAAGGAGCCGAGGTGAATATTTTATCCTGGATTTTGGCCTCTGTCTAATCCACTCTACTTTGCTTCATCCGAAGGGCATTATGACACGGTCCTGCTATTGCTTAGCAAGGGCGCTGATGTTAACTTGCAAGACGGTGAATTTGGCTATCCACTCCAGGCTGCTGTACACAAAGGACATCAAGATATCGTTGGACTATTGGTTGAAAGAGGAGCAAATATTGAGCTCTATGATGAAGACAATCCTAACGATGAAGGCGGCCCACTTCAGCTTGCTTCATCTCAAGGCCATTATGGCATTGCGCAACTGCTGCTTGAACAAGGTGCTGATTTGGATAGACGAGGCGGGCGGTATGGTAGCCCTCTCCATGCTGCGTCATCACAAGGTGATCAAGGTATCGTCCAGCTACTGCTTGACAGGGGAGCTGATGTTGACATTTGGGGTGAGTTTTATGGTACGCCACTCCAGAGAGCCTGTGTCAATGGTCATCACGGTGTTGTACAACTGTTGATCGAGAAGGGTGCAAATGTCAACGCTAAAGGCGATGATAAAGATGGTCAAGCGCTCCATGCGGCTGTGTGCTGGGGCCACCGAAAGATTGTCCAGCTGCTTCTGGATAAAGGCGCCGATATCAGATCTGAGCATTGCGGGATGAGCGTGGTTCAACTTGCCAAAAATCGTGACCAGTATACTATCATGAATCTGCTCCAAGAAAGAGGTGCTACATCGGCGCAGAGAAATGTCAAACATTAAGCTTGTGATAAGCACAGTATCTCCGACATGGTCACCTGGAAGATGGCTCTGGTCAACACTGGGAGTTAATAATGTGAATTCTCCACGCCTCTTTGTTATTCAGTATCCACAGAGAAAAGAGGGCCAAAACAGTGTGGAGCGGTATAGAAAGCTCCCATCCGCATGAGGATCACGATCCCCACTAGTCAACGTAAGCAGATAGTCACGTGTTACAACACCGCCCGAGCTCTAGACAGCTTGGCAACCCTCCAGGTCATCCTGTCCAAACCGACTCGACTCCCATCTGATCCTCTATTCTCACGGTGTACAGGATTTGATCTGCCCACCATGTCCGAGTCCGCCGACCCCAAGATTGAGAGCGCCAAGCCCCGCGCCAGCTACAACACTATCGGAGGCATCAACGGACCGCTTGTTGTCCTCGACGGGGTGAGAACCCCGGAGACAGCTTGACACTGCCAATAGGGAGATTTGACTAATGGCGTTTGTTGTGGTATAGGTGAAATTCCCTCGGTACAACGAGATTGTCACTCTGACACTGCCCGATGGCTCGGAGCGCTCCGGTCAAGTGTTGGAGGTTAAAGGTGAGCTCCCCTGGCTGGAATACATCCAATGCGGTCCTACTATGCGCTTGTTACAGAACTGCTTGCTGAACTCTGCGGTTTGACTTATAGGAGAACGAGCCGTTGTGCAGGTACGAACTAGCACTACCACTCCGATCCACTTTATGTGATGGACGTTAACATTCGACCGGTCTAGGTATTTGAGGGTACATCTGGTGTGGATGTGAAGAAGGTAGGGAACATCCTAACAAGAAGCTCTGGCTTGAATCGGCGCTGATATCGGGGTTAGACAAAAGTCGAGTTCTCCGGCCACAGTTTGAAGCTTGGTGTGTCCGAGGACATGCTGGGTCGTGTATTCGACGGTTCAGGACGTCCGATCGACAAGGGCCCCAAGGTGCTTGCGGAGGAGTACATGGATATCAACGGAAAGCCCATCAACCCCTACTCCCGGGTAATCGATTCAGCAATCCAGTCTCTAGGAGTCATGAGCTAATGCAAATACCAGGTCTACCCCGAGGAGATGATCTCTACTGGTATCTCTGCCATTGACACCATGAACTCCATCGCTCGTGGTCAAAAGATTCCTATCTTCTCCGGTGCCGGTCTTCCCCACAACGAGATTGCAGCCAGTATAGCCCGACAGGCCAGTCTGGTCACCAAGAGCGCTCAGGATGCTCACGGCGACGACTTCGTCATTGTCTTCGCTGCCATGGGTGTCAACACTGAAACTGCCCGATTCTTCACTCGCGAGTTCGAGGAGAACGGCAGTATGGAGCGCACCACTCTCTTCCTGAACTTGGCCAGTGACCCCACCATTGAGCGTATTATCACTCCTCGCCTGGCTCTGACGACTGCCGAATACTTTGCCTACCAGCTCGAGAAGCACGTTCTCGTTATTATGACTGATATCTCAGCTTACTGTGATGCTTTGCGTGAAGTTTCTGCTGCCCGTGAAGAAGTCCCTGGACGTCGTGGTTACCCCGGTTACATGTACACGGATTTGGCGACTCTCTACGAGCGCGCTGGTCGCGTTGAGGGCCGTGATGGCTCTATCACCCAGATTCCCATTTTGACCATGCCTAACGATGGTATGAGCCTCATGATCTGGCTTCGGTTTTCTTAAGCTAATTTCCCTCGCGCAGATATTACCCACCCCATCAGTGATCTGACTGGTTTCATTACGGTAATATTGTCCCCTCCTGGTCATAGAGATTTACATACTAACTGAATTCTAGGAGGGCCAAATTTTCATTGACCGCCAGCTAGACAACAAGGGTGTCTACCCCCCAATTAACGTCCTGCCATCGCTTTCCCGTCTTATGAAGTCCGCCATCGGTGAAGGCCGTACGCGCAAGGATCACTCAGATGTATCCAACCAGCTGTACGCCAAGTACGCCATTGGTCGTGATGCTGGTAAGTCCACTCCTCAATCTCCGCGGTTGCCCACCTAATGCAATTCCACAGCCGCCATGAAGGCCGTCGTCGGTGAAGAAGCGCTCTCCGCCGAAGACAAGCTCTCTCTGGAGTTCCTCGACAAGTTCGAGGACACCTTCATTAGTCAGTCTGCCTACGAGGCTCGCAACATTCACGAGTCTCTGGATATCGCCTGGAACCTGCTCCGTATCTACCCTCGGGAGCTCCTCAACCGTATCCCCAAGAAGGTTCTTGATGAGTTCTACACTCGCTCTCCCCGCAAGAATGCTCCTAAGGATACCCACGGCACCTCGGCGCAGCAAGGTACCGACCTCATCGATACTAATGCGTAAATATTGTCTTGTGTTGTGTTCATAGGCTCGTATGGGGTTAGCCCGCGTTTGGCAATCTCGCTGCTTCTTTTTGACAATTTACTCTCTATTGGCATGTTATCGTTTTGTGTACACTGTTCCTCCGTTTACCATGAGATCTGAACCTCGGCCGTCCTGTGAATTGACTTTAGAATACTTGACGTCGTTCAGTAGTTTTCACATGTTGTCATATCTGATTCTGCTTATCCACCATCATCCCCTCGTCCAAGGCGGGTCCCAGTGCTAGTGGCCTACACAGATCGTACACTACCCATGGAGTATACATATCAACAGGTCTATTCAGACACAAATCGTTTCTCTCGCTACTCCCGAGGTCTCAATCAACATGGATAAACAACCAAATGAACGGAAATCAAAGTCGTCGCCCCACTATCCCGAGGTCCCATCCGCAATAGATCTACTCTATACCAGACATCCACAACCCCTCACAATCACGAACCCCGGTAGGTAGAATAATTCCAAGGTCCCAACAAAACAGGCACATGATAATGACGCCAACCCTCCTCTCCCTCCCTCCCACGTCCCTTAACAGTAAACTTGACCTCAACCTCCGGCCAGAAGCTCTCGATCCCCTGAGCCTCGTACCAGGGCCCGACCTCAAAGCGCACAGACCAGTTAGTCTTGGTCTCCGCAGTCTCCAGTCCCGCCAGGATAGCCGGGACCGTCTCGTCGGCAACGGGCTTCCAGTTCGCTACACGGCCGTCCGGGTTGGTGGTTGCGTGGAAAGTGGCACCGGAGGCGGGGCCCGAAAGCAGTGTCAGGGTCACTGGGAGGTTTGCGGCTGGGGTGCCTGTGAGGGTGTTTAGGCAATGGCAGGTGATGGGGTCGCGGGCGGCCATGGTGGACTTGGGTGTGGTGGTTGGGTTTGGTTTGGTGGGGGAGGAATGCGGGGAGATTTGATGTTGGTAGAGGGCGAGTCGATTGGCGATGCGGTTGGTTTGGGTTTGAGGTGAATCCATGCAGGGAATGGGGGCTTGGATTAAAGGATGAAAGTCAGAAAATGAAGAGGGTGGGCTTTGTTTTTCTATTTAGCTGCCATCGGAGGACACCGATGGGTGCGGAGAGTACCACGCTGCTATCGACAGGACTCCGAGCAGTGTACAACCTTCCTTTTGGGTGTTAGCTGTTAGTTGTTAGTCTATATCCTGTGCTGAGAATGGATATTTTGCAATTGATGAATTGCGATGTTTTGTTATGTTTTTCCTGTTTCAAGAGACATGCGATGTGCTATTCACAGAGGTTGGAAGAACCCAATCATGTCACAAAGTAAAAAATAAATAAATAAGGTGTGTGCAAGGTCAACCCCCAGCCTTCTTCGAATATATGACAAAAGAGAAAAAGAAAAGGCTTCAAAGACCGAAGAGAAAGAGCGCAGAAAAGCAGATTGTCTTCCGGAAAGTTCGATTGTTCGATTTGCGGGGCAAAGACCAACGTCAACTTGCGGCACCAACTTCACTCCACAACCATCACAATGTCTTCCGCCGTGGTACAAAGCGACGATTTGGACATGGAGCCTACGCTCCAGTCCGTCCTCAATCAAAACACACTCCGCTGGATCTTCGTCGGAGGTAAGGGAGGTGTGGGTAAGACCACCACCTCGTGCTCGTTGGCCATCCAGCTCGCCAAAGTGCGCAAGTCCGTCCTGCTTATTTCCACCGACCCCGCACACAACCTCAGCGATGCCTTTGGTCAGAAGTTCGGAAAGGAGGCCCGCCTCATCGACGGCTACTCGAATCTGAGCGCCATGGAGATCGACCCCAACGGCAGCATCCAGGATCTGCTAGCCACCGGAGACGGTCAAGGCGAGGATCCCATGGCCGGACTGGGCATGGGCAACATGATGCAGGATTTGGCTTTCAGCGTAAGTGCTATGTGCTGAGTGCGATTTGCTATGTGCGATGTGCTATGTGCTATGTGTTCCACTTTCTCCTACGTGTCAAGCTAACTTTGGTGGCGCCCAGATCCCCGGTGTTGACGAGGCCATGTCCTTCGCCGAAGTCCTCAAGCAGGTCAAGTCGCTCTCTTACGAGGTCATTGTATTCGACACCGCTCCTACCGGCCACACCCTCCGCTTCCTCCAATTCCCCACCGTGCTCGAGAAGGCCCTCGCGAAGCTCTCCCAGCTGTCCACTCAGTTCGGCCCCATGCTCAACTCCATTCTGGGCGCGAGGGGCGGTCTTCCCGGCGGTCAGAATATGGATGAGTTACTCCAGAAGATGGAATCGCTGCGCGAGACCATCAGTGAAGTCAACACGCAGTTCAAGAACCCGGACATGACCACCTTTGTCTGTGTTTGTATTGCGGAGTTCTTGTCACTCTACGAGACGGAACGTATGATCCAGGAATTGACCAGCTACAACATTGACACCCACTCGATCGTGGTCAATCAGCTGCTGTTCCCCAAGGAGGGCAGTAACTGCGACCAGTGCACGGCACGCAGAAAGATGCAGAAGAAGTATCTGGAGCAGATTGAGGAGCTCTATGAGGATTTCAATGTGGTCCGCATGCCCATGCTGGTGGAGGAGGTGCGTGGAAAGGAGAAGTTGGAAAAGTTCAGTGAGATGTTGGTGACTCCATACCAGCCTCCTCAGTAAGAGGTCATATGTACACACTGTCCAGTATCGATCACTCCTGGGGGTCGGACGATTTACGAAAAAGACTAGAAGAATAATATTTCCAGCATGATTGGCGTATATGATTGGTTTACGAGAGACACAGCGAATGAGCTATAAACCTGCTTTTTTCTTCTTTCTTTCAAACGAACGCGAAGAGGGTCTCAGCGCTGGGGGCTCTTTTTTGATAATTGGGTTTGTTTTTAATTAACAATCCAGAATCTACGATTTCCTTGGCAATTGAAACAGAACACAATCCTGTCCGAAAAGCGAGAGTTGCAGATATCTTCGCTGCAGCTCAGTGGCCCCGCGACCCCAGACGAACAATCCGTGGTGCCACGACATCACCGCAGGAAGAGCCAATTTGGCGCTGCATAGATTTTGAGATGCGGTGAGGAGAAAGCTAAGCGCTGTTCTCCACTAGCTTCGGTCATACTTTGAAACTTGCCTTCCATGACTACTCCAATCATCGGGGTTGGATTGATTCGAGACCACTGCTCCTCCATGCAAGCCTCACTTTTTTTACCCACCGGGTTCTCGGTAGCAAGGGGTAGATGATGGAGCCATGGTCAATGTTCCTTTCGTGACATGACATGCGCCAACAAAAACGAGGGAGGGGGGAAAGGGTTGGGTCTCGTTGTTCGATAAAGTGAGGCGGGTCATGGCTTTCTAGTTCTCAGCCCCGAACGTTCCGAGGTGATCCCTCCTCTCGCGAGATACACAGATCTGGGCCAGTACGGAGTACTGGGTGAATGCCGCTGTTGCTTCTGGCCTTGTCATATTCAGTCATTAGCCCCCGAGATTTACCGGGTTCGCGGGTAAGCGGTCTCATTTGCCCTCCAGTGGTAGTGGATCGTGCACTTGGACGACAAAGGGGGTACGCGGTCCCCTTTTTTCCCTCGTTGATGTGTGCGATCATCTCCGAGGTCTCGGTGTGTTCATACTCCGTGCACCTGTTATGAGATTGGCTCTGAGTGTGCTTGGAGGAGGTCCCTTAAGCCTATTTATACCCCATGTCGCGTCCGTCAGAAGGGCTGTCAAAAGTCCCGCAAGAGTTCAGGCACGGACCGTTCGTCTCGGTGTCCATTGGCATCAGAAACTGATTCCTTGCCTTATTTATCTTGCTGCACTTGCCTTGACAATGTCTCGCGTCCAGCAGTACTGGCTTCCGGGTTACGGACTATCTCGACATGTCGTCCTGGGACGCATCCATGAATTCCTAGGTCCTTCTGCGACAGTGAGGCCCTTTAGCTACCAAGTGTGTCCCGCTACTACCGCTCCTTAACATACCCCTGCCCATACTATGGACATTCCCGTCTAACATCAATAGCAACGAGAAGGTTATATGATCGTCGGTGTGCCTCTTACGCGAGTTGGTTCTCCCCTGAGCCCTTTGATACATACCTCGGAGCCATAACAAGACCATGCCAATACTAATTCTAACTACCAGGAGCAAATCAATGACCTCACTGCAATGTCTCGAGAGTACGAGAAGCAAGAAGCCACCCGGATGACCCACAACAACAGTAACACCTCAACACCTAGTACCAGCAGTGATTACTCGTCCCACCAGTCCTCAAATGAGCCATATATCAACGAAATCATCCCAATCAACACGTCCGGACCACGGCGACGTACAGAGCCCGAATCAAGAGGCGGCCGTTGACCTCTCTTCCTTGCTTCCATTGGACATCCAGCTTCCTGGCCCCTGGAAAGCCCTTGGACTCTGTTGCAACCCTACTCGTAGAGGCGCCATACTGTCCTGCTGTCTGGTGCTCTCTAGTTCCTCGGATAAATTTCCTTCCTTGTCCACCTTCTTGGATTGAAGTGCTGTTCAAGATAAAACCTTGGAACCGTCTCCAAATACCGGAACACATGAGCGAGACCAAGGCTATATCCAACTCATCCAGGAGATCGGACCAGTGAAAGGAGGAATGCAGGTCCAATCCGGGATCTCGGGATAGCGAACAATGCTGTTGTGGGCAATCATAGATGCTCGCGAGCTGATATGAACGCCTTTTATTTCTTCACTTTATGTCATTTCTCTGGTTTTTTCTTGTTCAAGATACCCGTTGACGTTCAATTCAATCCCGGTTTCACAACTTGACTTGACCTCGATTTCAAGTTTCGTTGTAAATGCATGCATTGGTTCATTCCCTATCGCGACAAGATCATAGATCTCAATAGATTACTAGATGAATATCATCAGCATCTAGGTATAAATTGCGCTTCTTTGTGCTCGTGTACTACTTACATTAGGGCAGAGTCAGGATAGGTGTTGTGGGGAAGAGTGAGATGTCAACTATGGCTTCAGTTTCACGAGGCTGTCTCAAAAATGCATTTAATAGTTAAGAAGCGGTTTCAACAAAAGTAAATTGAAAAGCAGTACACGAACAGGGGATGTATGGAGATTTTGTGAGAAGGTGGTGATAGATTCCAAGAATGGTGACCTCCAAGGCTCTCATTCTTCTATACCTCCAGGGGTCCAGGACATTTCCCAAGATATCCCGCTTATTTAAAGATGTATTATCCAAGACTGTTCATCTCTTTAACTCGAGATCTTTTCAAATGGGATGAACTGGTTGTTTCTTCTATGTTGTTTTGAAGCATATATCAGACCCACTTTTTAGTCTTTCCCCGTATGTCTTGGTTCAGCCAATCAGCATTGATGGTTGGTATACATATCATCAAGAGTACTCAGCCTCGGACCCTTGGAATCTGACTACTTTCGTCTTTGCGACTGGTGATACTCCTAGGTGGACTTTGTTAGATATCGTTTGCGGATACGGTATCTTGCAGCGTCACATAGCCTTATCACAATCCCCTGCTGGGTACGAAGCTGCTTAGATATTACTTCATCAGGAACCAAGACCATTGGAAAAAAAGAATATTGTCAAGAAATCATCTTTCACTCATCTCTATAGACCATTCGTAAAAGCATTGATCAGTCAGACCCCCAAATTCAAGGAGTCTACTACATTCATATCTCCATCTCTCTTCTTTTCCCCCTCCAACAGATGGACCGGGGGCGCCATGTCTCGTGGCTGTTTTTTGGGGCGCCCACCTCCCATCCACCCCGGGCCAGATATGGCCAATACATAAAGAGGTCAGGCAAACAGTCTGACAAAGAAGTGATATATGGGGAGGGAGAGAGCATAAGAACTGCAAGATGACTAAAGAGGTAAAGAAATAGGTAAGGTGGACCACCGAAAAACGCCAGCCGGATGCCACTCTGCATGGTGTCCCAATCCCTTAAACAACCGTGTTGTGACCTACACGGTGAGATCACTAAAAATGGGTAGGCAGAAACAAGTTGAAAATCACATAACAGAGAAAAGATCAGTTTTCGACATCAGGTCATGCGGGTGTTTATTTTGCGACAGCCGAGCTGGGATAATGTTAGTGATCTGATTGAGAGGTATTTTGTTGGGGTGCACATACCTCAAGACTTGTGTGCGGAAGAAGGCACCCTTGGTCTTCTCGATGACTTGCTGGTAAACCGACTGGGGAGGGTGGTTCATGATAACAGTGCCCTCCTTGTAGTCGATCTTGGCATCAACCCGAGTGTCGCGGATCAGGTTAACAATCCACTTCTCACCCTCATCCTGGCTGAGACCGAGGCGAGTGGACAGGTCGCTAGATAAATGGTTAGCCGGCTTGTTCGAAACCAGCCCAATTTTGTCCGGGAATTTCAACTTACTTGATGTCAATACGCTGGTGAATCTTGCAGTAGCTCTCGGAGATGAGATGACGGGCAGCGTCGACGAAAGCGTCAGCAGCCGAGACAAGGAAGAAATCGCTGCGGAGCACCTCCTCAGCTTCGCCGAGCTTCTTCTGTGCCTCCTCGAAATCGAACTCGACGTAGAGAGCCTTGACGAAATCGGTGATGGGGTCGGTGTACTCGTAGTCCTCCTGGCGCACGACGCGGATAAGATCCTTCAATTGCTTCTGGTAGATACCAGAGTGCTTGTGGGGACGGCTGCGGTTGGTGATGACGGCGGCGGCGAGGTAGCGCAGAACCCAAGGGCAGCTGGTTTGGATGGTGTTGATGTAGGCGGGGGAGAAGAAGAGGTCGGTGAGAACGTCGCGAGCGGGATCGTGGTTGAAGAAGGGGAACAGCGACCAGTGGATGAGCCAAGAGCGGTTGGTGAGCTGAGCCATGGGGTTGTTGAAGAGACGGGTCTCGATTGAGTCCTTGACCTTCTGAACTTCCTCCATCGCACCCTCCCAGTTCGTGGTCAGGATCTCTGAGGCGAGCTTACCCCACGTAGCGGAGGCAACCTTGTCGTTGTCGGTGGACAGAACACGGAACTGGTAAAGCAGCTCAGCAGCGTTTCCGTAGCTACCGCAGCTGTACTGGAAGCGACCGTAGTCGTGGAGGCTGTTGACCATCTCGTTGGTGACACCGTGCTGTTCCTCGAGGAAACGCAAGTTGGCGGCCTTGTCACTGCGCAGGTTACCCACGACCTCCTCATCCTGCAACAACTCGGTAATCTTCTCGCTCTGTTCCTGGTAGTGCTGTAGCTTGGCCAGGACCTCCTCGCGCTTCTTCACAAACTCGTCGGGGATTGTGTCGGAGTTGTTGATTTCTTGCCACAAGTTGGCAACGTAGTCGGTCATGTTGGTGTGCTTCAGGAGCTCGTACTTGGCCCGGGTGATTTCCTTGTCCTCCTCATCTCCGGTAGCGCTGAATTCAAGCAGGGGGAACACCAGGTGACGGTCGAGGTACGGGATGAGTCGGGGCAGCAAATCATGCTGGGAGGCGATCTCCTCGGCGGTCTTGGGTTGGTGAGCAGCAGCGCCGCTGAGCATGGTCTCGGCGGTAGGGGGGCGTTGTCTGCCATGATGGGTCTAAAAAGATGGCAGAAAGGGGGAAAACGTCTAGAGGGGGATAGCAAAGGCCAACCGCGATCAATGGAGAATTTGCAGATTGTGCGGGCGTCGGTGGCCCTAAACCCTTTTGGGAAGTGGGTGTTGGGAAGCGGTGGCAGAAAATCTGAGCAGAGGAGCATCAGATGTTGGCTCCGGCTATTTCCAGTCTCCTCCAGTATCTCTCCAATCTTCAACCTTTGGGTCTTTTATCCCGGTCCTTTAGAACGCTCAAATGGCGTCTCTTCTACACTCAGGTCCGGCTTCGGCCTTCCGAACCCAGGTTGTTGCTCTGCGCGTCAGCCCTGCACAGTCCATGGCTTCCATGGCAGCATCTAGTTCATTTTCCACATTATGTCCTCAGGCGAGGTTGCAAGCTTCACGTAAGTTTCATTATCACATCATTGAACCCTTGGTCTCTTTGTACACTAGCTCTACACTTGATGCGCGAGTCGAGCTAGATCTCGCGACCAACAATTGACCGGGGCGAGAGAAAAAAAAACATGCATACGTCTCGTGTCGGACTCTTCTCGGGATCTTGCCCACGATAAAAGCGCGTTGCTAACTTACTGTTTCAGTCCGTTCTCAATCTTCTCTCCCTACTCTCTCTATCCGCCAAAGCCGCACCTTCCTCACTCAACTCCGCCGTCAAGCGCAAGCCTTGAAAGAACACACCACCTCCGCATCGGCATCCCCTACACCAGTGAAACCCACAAAGAAACCTAGCCCTCCCCTGCAGCTCACCAACCTCCCTTATTTCGTCCGTCGCACCGCTTCCAACCAACTGCCCGTCTACGTCGACACAAAGGCCGGCGGTAACAAGCAACTTACCAAGGTCCAGAAGACCGAAGGTGACCTGGATGCCCTTCGCAACGACTTGGCTGTTGCACTGAACGTGTCCGACGTGCGCGGCAAGCCCAACCCCGACGTGACCCTTAACCGACTCACTGGTCACATCATTGTCAAGGTATGTTCTGAATTATGTTGATGATATCATATCATCTCCTACCACACCACACCACAAACCACAACAATGGCTCACATATCCTAGGGCTGGCGGAAACCTGAGATTGTGGAATTCCTCAAGGAGCGAGGATTCTAAATTCATTTCTTTTCTCTAATACATCTTTTCCAAGCTGTTGCGGACGAAGACCTTATCAGGATCTACTCGTGACCCAGGCTGAATACCAAAAATCATCAGCATATTCTCACTGGAGGAATATGCCAAAGCATACTCACCCGAGAGAGCGAGAATCAAAGTGCATTGAAAGAAAGCCAGGGAAGCAAAAAGGAATAAATGAAAAAAATCCAAGGTAGCCCCTGAAATGGGTAAGATCTATCTTGGATTTTGGATTCCATTTGTTCTCCCTGTGCCTATTTCTAATCTTGCTGCGGGTTGTTTCTTCTTCTCTTTTTCTTCCTTCGGTGTTTTGTCTTTATCTGCTCGGTCGTGTCTTCTGGCGTGTACCTCTGTATTTGTTTTGCCCCCTCATCTTTCCATTATCTTCTCTCGACCTGTAACATTTCCTACTCTGTATATTTTCGACGACTGGATGGGGTGCTTGTTCTTGCTTTATCTATTGAATGACCTCACTCAATGCCATATCCTCAGAAATCTACTGCTTGGCCAATAGGAAGAAATGTTCATACATGAGTAGCGGTCAGTTCGAGTAACAGAAGTAAGGCGTGTCCCGAGGTCGACCCACGATGCACAAGTGGCATGGAGGATCTGTCAGTATGTACTCGAGGGAAGTTCCAAGGTTTCATTACTGAAGAACACGCCTCGTATACCTGGGCATCCAAACAACCTGGAATGGAACCCTGGTAGAGTAACCTTGGAACATATGGAGCAAGGTTGTTCTACGAAAGACCCCAGGGTTGTCCATGGGTGCTCAGGTGTTCTTTTTCAGGTTACGAGAAACATAGAAATGCAAGAGCACTTGGGTAGTCGCCAATGGTAGATCAATGTATATGTTGCAGTATCACTCGATTTCCATCGAGGGTATTTTGAGCATTGTACACTAAAATATAGAGCAGAACGCTATTTCACAAGTGAAGAAGAGGAAGCTGAACTCCGTTGCCAACCAGCGCCCAAAACAAAAGAACAAGGAGACGGATTACTGGCATGAGTACAAATGACATGAGAATCAAGACTGTTGCATTTACCAGGTGAACAAAAAACCAAATCTACCCGAATCAAGGAGCTGGCTTGTCGCCCCGGTGAAGGTTGCATATTCACGCAGGCATGAATTTACTCCGCCAACCGAGCGTAGGTGAGAAGTTGGCGAACAACGCCTCCATCGATGTTTGGAAGGAGCAGTGCGCCCAAAAGGCTCTCTTTCCTGGGAAGAATTCCCGATGGAATGTTGAGGGGGGAGGTATTGTCGATTTGCTTGGACTTTTCGGCGAGGCGGCGAAGGATTCCCAGGCCGCGGTTCACAATTGAGCTGAAAGCATACGCATCGGCTTCGGCTGGGCCCCTCTGGCGAATATTGATTTGGGGGATACGCTCCGTGCAAAGAGCACAAGAAAGTCGCAGGAGATGAACGGCAAACCCATCAACCGACTCAAGCCACTGTTTGGCGAGAGATCCGTCCGCGAAGGTGGTGAGCACATCAGCCGACAAGAGACCTTGCATCAAGAAAACCTTGCGCGCATCCACAACTGCCATGGGCTTTTTGTCGGGGACACAGGAGATAGCAAGGCCGAAGGCGCGAGTCAACAATTCAGGTTGGGGTGAAGTGGACCCATCGCCTGAGAAGATAGCTTTGAAGTAAGTTCGGTTTGGATCGTCCCTTGCCAGCATCTTCGCGAGGCCATCAACGGCTGCTGGAGTGTAACGATCGACGGCGGAGTTGAACGCAGTGAACATCACTTTGCCAGATGATGAGATAGGCTCAGGCTCTGGCGAGAATGCAAGCAAAAACGTCAATAAACTCAAAGCCTCCTCTTTGCCGGGAATCTGGACAACGTGGGCTAAGTTGCTCAGCAAGATCACTGCATCTTTCATGAAGTCCAAAGTGTTGTGGCTTGTGCGTAGGAAGTTCTTTCGAGTGCCCATGTAACGGAAGACCGAGGCAAATAATTGGGCAACAGGCGGGATGCCGAGGGGAAGGAAGTTTGTCTCGCTGAATGAGAAATTTCGTAGAATGGTGGTGATACAGATGAGTCGATCCACGGCTCGGTCCAATTCATAATCGAGACTCCCGAAGGGGGAGGTATCTGTGAGGGAGGTGTTTTCAAGCTGGCAGTCCCGTGTGATCTCATCATAGGATCGTAAAGTCATAGCATCCGTCAATTCGACGGTGTGCTGTGCAAGCATCTCAGCCTGATCTTCGGCGCAATCAATCAAACTCTCAACCAAGTCATCACAGTTTTCCAAGGAGATCTGAACAGTTGGTTCGCCAGAGAGAGTGGTAAGTGTGTCGAGGGCAACCCGGATCTCTGCAGTGATTCCAGACTGGAGGCCCATTGTCAGTGCGTGAATATCCACGACCCCAAGTTCAGCGAATGCGGGTACGTCTGGTTTAAGTCTGGTGATATCCTCGCCAATCTGGAACATCTCATCAACCACAATGGGTCCATGCATACGACTTCCTGTCAACACCATAGGCTTGAAGGTTTCCTCGATAGGTCGCTTCACGAAAGGCTCGAGCTTTTGCTCCGGTGGTTGTGACTGACCAGGGCCTGGAGTCACATCCTTGCCGGATGGAGCAGGAGATGGCGTTGGGAATTGGCCCGTTGCAGGTTCCGTCGGTGGGATTGGCGTTTGCGATGGGCGCGAGAGACTCGATCTATGGCCGGCCTGGACTGGCCTGCTTTGGCTCCGGGCATGTGTGGGTGTGGCAAACCCATTGGCTGGGTTCCCAGGATTTTGATTGTGCACAGGGGTGTTATTTTGCGGGGACTGTGCCATTGGCTGCTGCGGTTGATCGTACCCTGTGTTGAGCTTCGGCGCAGGCGACTGGAATTGGCCGGGCGGGCGAGGCATGCCGCCTTGTTGCTGCATTTCAGCTGATCTTTGTTGGGAGTTGAGGAAAGCTTGTTCGTAAGGAGCCAAATTCCTTGTGTGGTGGGTTTGGAACTCTTGGGCGGCTGTGGGATATTGAACCTGAGGGAAGCCCAGTGAATGCGCCACTGCAGGCCACATGTTCGTGGCGGTGACCTTTTTTGATCCTCCCATCTTTATGATCGTGCCATAGAGTTGAACCAAGTTGATTGGGCGACCACTGACAGTGGGGTTGGGGTCCAAAGGAAGATTTTGGCTCATCATGAATTTCTGCAATGACCGGATAAATCCTTCTGGGTTGCTAGGTTGTTTTGGAGCATTTGGTTGCATGTTCGGTGGCATCTGTCTCATTTGTCCGATCTGCTGCTGGGGGTTGGCCATCGGGTTCATACCGACTGGACCTTGCCGCGCAGCCAATGCAGGATTGGGGTTCATACGCGACTGTGACTGCTGTTGCAAGGCGTGTAAGCGCTGCTGCTGGTTCGCCAGCGCCTGCTGGTAGCCTACTTGTGACATGCCAGCAAACTGCGGTGCTTGCATCGAGGGCTGAGGGGCAGCTGAGGTCATCCCAGGACCAGGACCTTGCGGCATACCACCAAACTGTTGCGGTTGCATGAAGTTGGCATTTTGCGGCGTATTTACACGGCTACCATGATCCGACTGGGAGGGAGACATGTGGGGTCCAGGGTGCGGGCCGGCTGGCGAGAAGGGGCTTGGGGACGCGGTTCCCATGCGAACACTTTGCTGATCGAAGTCTTGCATGATTGGCGACTGGGTGACATTAGGAGAAGCTTGCTGGAGGTGCTGGTAGGGCGTAGGGTGTTGCTGGAACTGTGCATTGCCATTGGCCGGACCTTGGTAGCCAGGGTATGGCACCTGGTGAGGGGTCTGGGATCGCGACCCTGTCACACCACCTGGCGCGGGCCTAGGTGACATGGGCATGCCATCTTCTGGGCGCCCTCGCTTGGATGGGATGACTTGATTCGGGTTGTGGAAACCCGGCGAAGCATTCCGCGGCACACCATTGAACATGCGCTGGAATTGCGATGGATCCTGGGGGGTCGGAGATCCATGGAGGAAAGCAGTAGAGGGGTCTATAGTGGATGGATGGAAGGCGCCATTTTCCTGGCCAGGAATATTGGAAGCGTCGGCAAGCCAAGCATTCATGTCGAGCGGTTATCCCAACCCATCTACCTGAAATGACGGGTCAGCCTGTGAACAATCGCATCGCCCTCCATCTTGATAGTCGCGCGATGATGCAGATTCCATGTTTGAGATGGAGATGATATGGACCCTAGTCCAATGGTGGGACGTTCGGACGCGTCCCGTGGAGATGTTTGGGGAAAGGCGCGCGCGACCAGGCGCGACTCCGATCAAAAGGGAAGGAACATGGGACCGATCGGATTGGGGAAGATGATGGGGAAGGGAATGGAGAAAATAAGGTACATACCGATAAGGCTGGATTGACTAAAATTCCGCTTTGCGAACGGATGACTGAGACCGGGTCCCGGGGGGCGGATGGCAGGTGAAGGCACAGAGGTTGGAGTCACGTGGTGTTGGTAGCCTGAGGCGGCCACAGGGAGGCGTGAGATATGGGGGGATGGGAAAGGATAAAGAGCTGGGGAAGGGGGTGAATTGTCAGCAAATCAGAGAACCTGGGAAACGCAAAGCCACTCTAGATCTTCCACGGCCAAGAGAGAATAATAAAAAGGCTCCGTAACCGGAACAAATGGACTACAGGACAGGAGGGCAAAGCAACCGAATCAGGGAGTGCGTGGCCACAATAAAAGCCAGAAAATAGGAAAATAATGGGGCAGAGCATAAAAAAGCAAACGGATCCGTAAGAATGGCGTACCTAGCAGTTCACAATAGCCGTTCAGTTAGGGATGAAAGGGGAAGTGGAGAGAATGAGGGAAAATTACTGACAGGTCAGAGCTTTTTCCCACGTAACGCTGTCTCTGCCTGTTCCGGTTACTTGTGTTACGGCGTATATGGACTTTCTGATGCTTTGTGGTTTCCTGCACTGCGTTAATCTTTTCTTTAAGGCCTTTGGTTTTCTTGTTTTCTTGTTTTCTTTTTTCTCTTTTTCTTTCCCTTTGATTTTGCCCATATTATGGCTCTCATTTGGTGGTTCTGTGGTTAGTGTTCGTGTTTAGTCTGTGGTATCCCCAGTCTTGGAACCCAACCGAAGCCATATAAAGCCAACGGATATGATGGGAAGCAGAAACATGAGGATTGAAGAGAGAGAAGGTTTATGGGAAATTCTCTGGAGAGAGAAAAAAAAAGAAAAATCATAAAACCCCCATCTCGGGTTTGGTAAATCGTCTAACCGATGATCCATTCCAACGGTCTGGCCGAGTCAGGTTAGATCATATACTCCGAACGTATCGTATGGGGGTGAATAGCCACAACAGTCGTGAATAATAAAAGGAAACAAAGTAAAAAAAGATTAGCCATCACAATCAAGTAGGGTTGGGAAGCAAAAAATTCCCATAATTATCATGGGAAGGGGAGGGAAGAGAGAGAGAGAGAAAAAAAGGAAGATCAAGCGCCCTCAAGGCGGGTGGTTCTCCTTATATAAAGCTCAGGCTAGTGTGATAGTCATGTCGATGCGCGCCCAACCCTCCGAAGTCACCAAAAATTCGATGATTGACGACTCAGAGTGGAAGGTCTGGGTTCCCCCAGTGAACCCTGTACAAGGATCCGACTCGATCCGCATAGGAAATCATGATCGTTCTGGTGCCTGTCCCACCTAACTGTGTCCCGGACTACTCCACCGCTAAAGATGATTGGATCAACCGCTTCTCATTTCCTTTCTGTAGGGCTTGAAGGCACCCTGAGGTCATGACCGTCTCCAATGGCTGACCGTATTTGTCTCGAGGTTTTGCGCACGTTCATGAAACCCCGAAATTGGCCATGGGGGCTGGGTCAGGTGTGCGAGGCCTGAAATACTTCGTGCAGCACCAGCTCCCCTACACATCACTGGGCGAGAACCAATACAAGCAGAGCTTAAGATCGTCATAATTGGCCATGGGCGTTGCTGAGACCGCCGCAGCCGCTAGTGTCTGACCATAGATGTGGACCGGTACATCCATGGAGACAGGGTAGAAAGAGGATAGAGACGGGAAATCAAAGGCCATGGCTGGTAAATCCAAGCATTGTGTAATTTACTACGGTTTTCTTCACTCCGTACAGCGAGACGACTTGTCGAAAGTCAACGGGCGCTGGGTGTGTAGTAGTTGAAGTATTCGAATCAAATCACCAGATAGTTGTTCAATATTAAAGATGGACCTTTTCAACTTTGAAATTGGAATAAATTCTTCTGAATCCCGACTCAAGCTACCCAATCTATCTGGATATCAATGAAACTAGAAGGTGAACATACAATGATGTTGGCAAATCGCCGCTCCAACGTTGTGGTCACGTGATTGAACCCAAGCTCCCCGATTCATCGAAAGCTCCAGATGGCCGGCCTCCGAACCCTTCACACAGCGCGTCATTCACCACCAACCATCCTCAAAGCCTTTTTACTACAACTTGGTCATCGGCATATACCACTCACACATATCACTCGCCGTCTAGAGCATCAATCATGGGAGACGTTGCCGTCGAGAATCCGGCGAACAACGTCACGCCTCTTGTCAAGCCAGGCGCGCTCGACGCCCTCGCCAACTTGGATTCCCTTGATGGCACGGGAGCTGATGGAAACGATGAATATGCTACTTTGAAGAGGCTACAGAGACATCTAGAGTATGTCTGGACATGTTTCTTGGATCGAATTAGTGATCTGACAACAACACAGGTATATCCAACTGCAAGAGGAATACATCAAGGATGAGCAGAGGTATGTACCCCAGGTGACTATAGCAGGCTTTGGACCAGAAACTTACCAAATTCGTCAATGCAGAAGCTTGAAGAGGGAGCTGGTGCGAGCACAGGAAGAGATCAAGCGTATACAGAGTGTGCCATTGGTCATCGGACAGTTTATGGAAGCTATCGATCAGAAGTATGCATTGTCTTACCTCGAATCTGGTCATGTTGATCACCAGGCTAACGTTTCGACAGTACCGGTATTGTGCAAAGCTCGACCGGTTCTAATTACGTCGTCCGTATCCTGTCCACCCTCGACCGCGAGAAGCTCAAGCCCTCATCCTCGGTCGCCCTCCACCGCCACTCCAATGCACTTGTTGATATCCTTCCCCCAGAGGCCGACTCCTCTATTGCGATGCTCGGTGAAAACGAGAAGCCCGATGTGACATACGCAGATGTTGGTGGTTTGGATATGCAGAAGCAGGAAATTCGGGAAGCTGTCGAGCTGCCCTTGACACATTTCGAACTTTACAAGCAGATCGGTAGGTGCATGTGGATTCGCAATCAATGCTATCGCTAACAGGATGCAGGTATCGACCCCCCTCGCGGTGTTCTGCTGTACGGTCCTCCCGGAACCGGAAAGACCATGCTGGTGAAGGCTGTGGCGAACAGCACAACCGCAAGCTTTATCCGTGTCAACGGATCGGAGTTCGTTCAGAAGTACCTCGGAGAAGGACCCCGTATGGTCCGTGACGTGTTCCGAATGGCGCGTGAGAACTCACCGGCCATTATCTTCATCGATGAAATCGACGCCATCGCCACAAAGCGTTTCGATGCGCAAACCGGTGCCGATCGTGAGGTGCAGCGTATTTTGCTGGAATTGCTGAACCAGATGGACGGTTTCGAGCAGACCAGCAATGTCAAGGTCATCATGGCCACCAACCGAGCCGATACCCTGGATCCCGCCTTGCTGCGTCCCGGTCGTCTGGACCGCAAGATTGAGTTCCCGAACCTGCGTGATCGCCGTGAGCGTCGCTTGATTTTCACCACCATTGCATCGAAAATGTCGCTGTCCCCTGAGGTGGATCTCGATGCCCTCATTGTGCGCAACGACCCTCTTTCCGGTGCTGTCATTGCGGCCATTATGCAGGAGGCTGGTTTGCGGGCTGTCCGTAAGAACCGCTACAATATCATTCAATCTGACCTTGAAGACGCCTACGCTGTCCAAGTGAAGACTGGACAGGATGATGACCGGTATGTATTTCCCTTTGTTTTGAATGCCCTTTTCGCTCTTGCTGATCCGTTGATTCTAGTCCCGACTTCTACCGGTAAACGCTTGGATATCTTTGGGAAGTGGATAAGAGTGACAATCGCTTGGTCTTCACTAGTTGTATTATCAATAATATGCAGGCGCCATTTGTCACGTTTGGATTATCACTACATTTGTTCATCAAGGTTGTAATTCTACGCTGTAGGCCTTCCAAGGTTGAAGTAGCTCTAAATTGGTCGACCGATGGTACAACAGGTAGCCACGGATCCGGAGTTTCACTCATACCTAACCTTCCAAACCTTTTAAGGTTAGAGCCCGGGGATAACCTTGGAATCACTCCACAGGGCTCGCGGTGGAAGATATCAGCTACCTAGGTAGGTGCCCAGGTGTTTGGATCTATGCATCAATGCATCCCGAGGTCCATGTCCTATCTAGGGCTAGGTCGGGCATATCTGGTTCGAAGGTGGTATCGACTGACCTTGGGAACTCTGCAGCCCTGAGGGTGCTTATTATCTCTAGCACGCATGTACCTTGCCCAGGAGGGACCTCGGGAATATCAAGTTGCAGTAACCAAGTCTGCGAGATTTGTGGGTAACTATGACTTGATGGAAACAGCCTTCAGATTGGGAAATATATACAACCCCACTCAACTAGAATGCACTTCCCGAGGTCGCTACGTATTTCCATATCTGGGCATTTAACAGGCAAATTGAATTAAGATTGTCATATACATCTCTGACATCGAGAAGCCATGAGTACTGGAGTAGAGCGTACCATTGCTCGTGCCGTACTACACTGTAGGCCGAGGTGACGGAGAGTGTCGTATTGTGGAGTAACTGAGCATCGGATGATCTACTCTACCCAGATAGACACACTTGAGTAATGTCCAAACACACATAAGTAAGGCGAACAAGGACCTTGGAAGCTCATTGAAGGGCGATGTTTGATCTCCGGGCACGCAACTACAAGGCACCGAGTGTACTGGCTGCCTAAAGCCCGGTCTTTGGCTGATACAGATGCTCAACTTCGTATTGTACGCGTACGAAAGTTTAACTGTGCGACACGTAAATCCATACATGTAATGATCGATGCCAAAAAAGCATCTTCGAGCAAAGGTATTTCTTTTTCGCCACCCAGTCATCCTGCAGCTGCCAGGTACAGCGGAAGGGTGGTGTTCCGACCAGTCCGACCACGTCGATGGCGCTCAGGCGCTCAGGCACTAGTCCCAGAGTTGCCCATGTCCCAATGTCAAACGAGGTTGGAATTGCAAGGCTTTAGGTATTCAACACAAATTAGTCTCACTAGAAGTATTTGAATGCAACGTAAAGATCATATTCGAGACAAGAAGTAAACAAGGAATGGTCTTCAGTGAGGGTCATGAGTCCTTGGCCCAAATAGGCTAAGTGCGACGCTCCCGGTTCCGTCATCGTCTCCAGCCTCCACTTCTTCCCCATCTCCCTTATCTCCTCTTCTCATCAAGTCACTCTCTTTCTTTCATCCATTTGATTCTACACATTATGAAGTCTTTCACCCTCCTGACAGCCTCGGCGCTGTTGGGCAGTGCTGCCGCTGAGGTGCACAAGCTCAAGCTCAACAAGGTCCCTCTGTCCGAGCAACTGGTAAGATCAGGCACCGACACTCCACCGACACTCGAAGAGAAAGCTCACATGAACCTAGAACACACACAACATCGATGCTCACATGCACAACCTGGGTCAGAAGTACATGGGAATTCGCCCCGAGAAGCACCAGGATCTCCTCCATGACACTTCCATCAACCCTGCCAGTGGCCATGACGTGCTGGTGGACAACTTCCTGAACGCCCAATGTAAGACTCATCACTGTCAATCATATCCAGATCACCGTGACTGATAGGACTAGACTTCTCCGAGATCCAGCTCGGTACCCCTCCTCAGACCTTCAAGGTTGTCCTGGACACCGGTAGCTCCAACCTGTGGGTCCCATCCCAGTCGTGCAGCTCCATTGCCTGCTTCCTTCACTCCAAATATGACTCGTCTTCCTCGAGCACATACGAGAAGAACGGCACTGAGTTCGAGATCCGCTACGGATCCGGCAGCCTGAGCGGCTTCGTGTCCCAAGACACTCTCCAGATTGGTGACATCAAGGTCGAAGGCCAGGACTTCGCCGAGGCCACTAACGAGCCTGGTCTGGCCTTTGCCTTCGGTCGCTTTGACGGTATTCTTGGCCTTGGCTACGACACCATCTCCGTCAACAAGATGGTCCCTCCCTTCTACAACATGATCAACCAGAAGTCTGTTGACGAGCCCGTGTTTGCTTTCTACTTGGGTGATGCCAACAAGGAAGGTGACAACTCCGAGGCTACCTTCGGTGGTATCGACAAGGACCACTACACTGGAGAGCTGATCAAGATTCCCCTCCGCCGCAAGGCCTACTGGGAGGTCGACCTTGACTCCATTGCTCTTGGTGACAACGTTGCTGAGCTCGAGAACACCGGTGTCATCCTGGACACTGGTACCTCTCTGATTGCTCTGCCCAGCACCATGGCTGAGCTTCTGTAAGTGAACTTCCAGCTAGTCTGTTCGATACACCCGCTGACCCATTGTAGGAACAAGGAGATTGGCGCCACTAAGAGCTGGAACGGCCAGTACACCGTTGACTGCGCTAAGCGTGACTCTCTGCCCGACCTCACCTTCACTCTGGCTGGTCACCCCTTCAAGATCAGCGCTTACGACTACATCTTGGAGGTTCAGGGCTCCTGCATCAGCAGCTTCATGGGTATGGACTTCCCCGAGCCCGTTGGCCCCCTGGCCATCCTCGGTGACTCTTTCCTGCGCCGCTGGTACAGTGTCTACGACGTTGGCAACAACGCCGTCGGCTTGGCCAAGGCCAAATAATCGCTCTAATGCCTGATGGCCCGGTGAGCTGTGGATACCAAGAAACCAGGTAATCGTCAAGAGATTGCTTCGTATATAGATGCGTCTTACCTGGGTGAATGTTTCGCTCCATGCACCCCATTTTTGCCAATCGCTTCAATTGTGTTTCTGTATCTGCTAGCACCGCCTGTTGTGACGTACCTCTCATTACTCTGCAAATTGATAAACTTTGATTGAACATGGATCTGCCGTAGCTTTAACTAACTATTGCTTTCTTAATATTCACTCTCTAAACACGAGCACAATCTTCCACTTCACAAGATCGTCAGAATTCTGTGTTGCTTGTACTGCATACCAGGTGTTCTTGATGGAGCCATTGCATCAGCCCATATAAATTCAGATACCTGTTTCCATGTAGATCGCACGTAAACCATAGGGCGGTGGTACCTTCTCCAAAGTACCAGCATGACATAAGCCGGCAGGTCCGAGGTCAAGACCTGGATCGAAGGAGTCCCCGCACAACTTCAATGAGCTTCCCATTTCTTTGACCTTTTCTTTTTCCACCTTTTCCACCCTCCCTCTTCGAATAAACAACCTCGCCTGGTGTGTGACTTGTATTTGAGTTCCGCGCCAGGTTGTGCTAGGCGCACGGTTTTCTTTCATCTGCGCCTTCAAGTGGCGATTCCCCATCGCGCCGCCTATTGCTTTCCCACCCCCCAGCACCGTACTGAATCCTGAATTCCGTACGCGGAGCTGCTCAGTAGAACACTGGATCAGCAAAACCATATCCCAACGAAGCTCTACACGCGTTGCGTGCCGGTGATGGCTTTGTAGTCGGAACCGCACGCGATCACATATCAGACCCACCCGTCTGCCTCTTGACGCGCCGTCAACAAACCGGCAGCACACAACACACACTGGGAGAGCGCTAGGTCTGGAATCGAGGATTAGTGATATTCATTGCCTGAAAGGCCGTGAGTCATCATGATTCTTCGTTTGCCGACTAGCCTGCACTACCCGATCACCGTGACGTCGCTGCTCAAGCAGCCCGGCGACACGGTTGAGAAGGATGAGCCTCTTTTCTGGTACTTCTATGAGACTACTGTTACAGAAGGCGATGGATTAGGAAATAAAATCGACGTGTTGCGCAAGTTCCCGGCCAGATTTGAGTCGACGGCCGATGGAGAGATTGTTCAGTGGAAGATCAAGAAAGGCGATGTTATTGATGAACCGTGAGTGGTGTCACTGGAACTATCGGAATCACCTTCAGACCAGGACCGGCGAATACTAACCGTTTGTCAGTGTCAACGTTGTCGAAATCGACGAGCCTTGCGCGCACGAAGTCCAGTTCGGAGGATTATGCGCTGAATGTGGAAAGGATATGACTGAGTATGTATACCCCCGCTGGGTCAATGTATTCTGTCTAACTGAATCAATTGCCAACAGATCCACTTACAATACCGAGATTACGGACTCTATGCGCGCACCAATCTCTATGGCACACGATAATACCACACTCACCGTCAGTCAACGGGAAGCGACTAGGGTTGAAGAAGACGCGAAGCGCCGGCTGCTTGCATCGCGCCGCTTAACTCTGGTTGTGGATCTTGATCAGACCATCATTCACGCCACCGTTGACCCGACGGTGGGTGAATGGAGGGAGGACAAGGACAACCCCAACCATGAAGCCGTGAAGGATGTCCGGACCTTCCAATTGATTGACGATGGACCTGGAATGCGTGGATGCTGGTACTACATCAAGCTGCGACCGGGACTGGAGGAGTTCCTTTTGCAGATCGCCGAGATCTACGAACTGCACATCTACACGATGGGTACTCGTGCTTATGCCCAACACATTGTTGATATCATTGACCCAACTCGCAAGCTTTTCGGAGATCGAATTCTGAGCCGTGACGAAAGCGGCAGTCTGACGGTCAAGGACCTGCAGCGTCTGTTCCCCGTCGACACCAAGATGGTGGTCATCATTGATGACCGTGGTGACATCTGGCGTTGGAGTCCCAATCTGATCAAAGTCTCTCCTTATGACTTCTTTGTTGGAATTGGCGATATCAACTCAAGCTTCTTGCCAAAGAAACAAGACATCGGGGCCAACAAACCCCAGATTGAAGCAAAGGCACCCGAAAAGGAGAAAGAGCACCATGTCAATGGTCAAACCCAAACACAGGACGGGGTTGAGGTCTCGGCACTGGAGCAAATGGTGACCATGGGTGGCGGAGATAGCCCAAGATTACTACAGGAACAGACCGATGCACAAGAAGAGACGATCTTACACCAAGTTGAAGATCGCCCTTTACTCCAGAAACAGAAAGAGTTGGACGCAGAAGATCTACCCGAAGGCAATGAACCTAGCGTCGAGGAATCCCAAGAATCAGCAAAACACCGCCACCACCTTTTAGAGGACCACGACCAAGAACTCTACCAACTGCAGAATCGCCTCGAACAGGTCCACCTCCAATTCTACGAGGAATACGATAGAAAGCGCACTTCCGCACTGGGCGGCCGGGTGGCAGCTCTTAGGGGGGAGAAGGTGCATTCAAAAGATAGAGACGTGGATCTCAAGCTAGTTCCAGATGTCAAGGACATCATGCCTCAAATCAAACGGCAGATCCTTGGTGGTGTGGTACTCGTGTTCTCAGGCGTCCTTCCCCTAGGAATCGATTTCCAAAATGCAGACATCTCCCTCTGGGCCAAAAGCTTTGGCGTGGTCATCTCGTCAAGAATCAATGCACGCACCACACACCTTGTGGCCGGTCGCAACCGCACGGCCAAGGTGAGAGAAGCCACACGATACCCGAACATCAAAATCGTGACCACACAATGGCTCGTCGATTCCCTAGTCGCCTGGCGACAAGTGGATGAAGATCCCTACCTCCTCCCAGTCCACCCAGATGACCGAGGCGAACCTTTCTCCCCGGGCTCCCTTGAACTCGAGACCTCCATGCTCTCATCCACAGACGAGGACATCACCGGATCCCAATGGACCCAAGAAGAAGACGCGGAAGACATTTTCAAATCCTCCGGCCTAGACGAGACTTCACCAATAGGCTACGGCGCAGACGAGCAAGCCGAAGTCCACGACGAACTCAAAGACTTCCTCGGCAGCGACGACGAAAGCGAAAGTGATAATGAATCCCTTCTAGACGAGCCCTCAGGCACGAAGCGCAAGCGCGACGAAACCTCCGAAGGCACAACCGACGACGAATCCGGCGATGACGACGGAGACGACCCTGAAAAGGGTTCCCGACTATCTCAACGCATCAAGCGGTCCTACGAGCGCAACACCAAGCTACGAGAGATCACATCTGCGCCTGCTCGAAGCGACGACACTCCCCTTATCACATCGCAGGGCCAAGACGCAGATGAATCTGGGTCTGAGACTGTTGGCGGTAGTCAAGAGGCTGGAATTGAAGACCCTGATGACGAAGATGAGTTGGAACGTGAGATGCTCGCTGCCTTTGAGGGTGGGGAATATGATTCTCAAGTGGAGGAAGATGCTACCGCTGAGACGGGATAGATGTGTCTTCGATTGTCTCGTTGCTTGCTCTCTTTCCCACAGAAGAAGAAGAAGGAGAAGAAGGAGTCGAGGGGGTCTTTTGCCTCTTCTGAACGGTGTTTGCGGTTGCAATGCGCTTTTGGCATAGCGACGGCGTTTATTAGGGTCGTTTTGATTACAGATCGTGTTGGGTTGAATCGTTGGGCTCGGCCGATGCGAGTTTTTTTGTCTCTCTTATTAGTTCTCGGAAATTTGTGTATCCTATCCGAGAATAGCTGTTTGTCTATATGTATGAGCTTGAGATACCTCGGTCCCGAGGTCTCAGCTGATGTTGAAATTTGAAGATCCTCCCTTTTCCATTCACATCGCTATGTCCAGGTAACCTCACCGTGCTCATTCTGTGGGTTTATAGAGTCATTAGTCTGAATGTGTGGAATCTTCAGTGTATTCCAAGGTTGGTTGTGTAAACGGCGGACCTGTGAATTACTGTATCCGGTTAGTTTTGCCTTTTTCAATTTAGCGTCACAATACACTGTCTTGTAGCCTCCCTTCAATGCCCTCCAACATGAAAGACCCGTCTTCCTCCCTATTCTCTCCATCGTTTTTAAAGTCTATCGAATCAATCTGGTATCTTGATCAGTACGTGAAGAAGCGTACCTCCCGCTGTCGTCCTCCAGATTCGTTTCCAGTCTCCATCTGTGTAGATCAATGAAAGACGTGGACTGCATCTCCTCGATTCGCACGATAGAGGACTTAACGGACGCTACTGAAGGTCCATTCCAATCGGACAACCTTAATGACTATCACCAGGGTGAAGACTATCATTGCAAAGGGCTGGAATGTGTCACTCTATCGAGAATAGGAAGCTCAATACACATCCTCATTCGCCGGGATCATACACTGAGTCAACAATAGAGAATCGCCAGTCTGCATCATGGGCCATAGACTCCATATAAGCAGCAAAGAACATTTCATCCACCCCTTGAATCTTTCATCCACTTCCGGCCAAGCCTCAACAAGCTTCACAAAGTGATCCCGGTGTTTCTCGGCGCGTGCCTCCCCCTCCCCCACAGGCGGCGCATTCAATAACGACTGGAAAGACTCCTCGTCAACCATGATGAACATCCGATAGCTAGGGAAACTATCTCGCATATCCCGTTCTTCAACCCAGGACTCAAAATGGGAACGGACTGTGTCGAGGGATGCACCATCAAATTGGGGGTCTTCGATGACGCGCGGTTGATACGCGCGCCACATTTCATCGAAAAGGGCCATGTCTGCCTGCTTTGGTCTTTTTCTCTGCATATCTGGGAACTGCTGATAAAATCTTTCTTTGATGTATGTGGTGATTAGATCCACTATGCGTGGAAATTCAGCATTAGATTGTGGAGTGTAGGTGGTCCGGTAGATGGTAAAGCCCCAGGTTGGTTCTGTGCGCTCGATGTGGGCGTAGAGAGAGCACAAGTACGGTGGTAGCCATGAGTAATAGATTAACCCCATGTTGAGGAGACCGCAGTTGAGATATGGGAGGTGCAAGTGGGAAGTTGAAATGGGGATCCCTTTTTTTTTTTTTTTTGGATGTGTTTCATAGATAATAGCGGATTCTTGATTATATCGTTATAAAATAAGTATAAACTCGTAGAAAAATAAGTAAAAGTCACGAGATCTCAAACATCTCGACTCTGAATGCATATCGCTTAATATAACCCTGAAAACGCCAACCAGATGCAAAAAAGGGAAAGAAAGAAGAAGAAAAAAAGGTATCATAAGAACCAAAGACCCAAATCAATCATAAACATCACGATTAACCTGCCAAGACATAACAATCATCCAAAGATAGAAGATCGTATTGACAAGCTCAAGAGCAAAAGCAGTTTTCCAGCAATTGCCTAGAACAGAGCCAGTTAGCAAAGCCGATAAAAGAAAAAGAAAAAGCCCAGAATGAGACCAGACCAAATGCAGGGTATAAATGTAAATACTCACAAATCGTATTCTGCGTCAACCAAGCCAGGGTATTAATATTATTCCCCCAAGACTTGTTATTCGTAACATAGATCTGGCAATTGGAATTGACATTCGCAACAACACCATAAAGCTGTAACGAAGTCTCGATCAGACCCGTCAACCACAGCACGAAAAGAATAAAGCTTCCGATGATGATTATCCCCGGTAAGAGGAAATGACGCTGGGCTAGAATGAGGACCACGAAGATGAATGCCACGCCCAGCGCACTGGTTACGGCCATGTAGGGGAATAGCCTGGTTGGCGTTAGTACAGAACAGGAACAGGAACAAGAACGGGTTGAAGCGCCGGCGCAACCGCAAAAGCGGTCCATGGTACAGATCAGAAGGGAAAGGGAAAGGGAAAAGGGACGTACCAAGGTGTCCCGAGATGCATTTGCGTTTGCACAGTCATGAACCAGGAGAAAATACCCAGACAAGTTGCGGAACACGAGAGCACGATCATGATCCAGATATTTAGCTGGAGTTCGGGCCAGTGGTATCGTCTCCGGACCTCGCGCGAGCGGTATTTGGCCATTGTGGGTGTGTTGGTTTGTTAGGTGTTTGAGTAAGGTTGACTCTGCTTGCTGCTTGCAGCTTGCTGATGTTGGTATGTATTTCCGGAGCGAGGCGACGGATGGTCGCTGCTGCGCTTTATAGTGCTATGGCATACAGCCCGAAAGCAAGATTGGGTGCCCTAGAAGTGCCCTAGAGGGATCAGGGGGAATTTTGGAGCGGGTCTTGGACACGCTGTGCGAATGGGACCGGTTCAACGATACGGTGAATGGTGATGCGAGTGATTAGGGAGCGGACAGCGCATTGGGCGTGGATGGAGCGCTCTGGGTGTGTAATGTATGTACAGGTATGGAGTAGCGAGCGACGAGGCTTTGGAGGGAATCAGGGAATAAGGGAGTAAAGGAATAAGGAATAAGGAGGGAAAAAAAGACTACGAGGATGACGCTGATCGCGAAATTGAGGTGGCAGGGGATTTAGTTGGACTTGGGCCGTTCCCGAAGTAAACACACACTTTACTTTACTTTACTTAGTACTCTGTACTGAACTTACGTTTGGATGTAAAGTCTTAATTGCTTATTCCTTATTGCTTATTTTTTCCCCTTCTAGGTCTAAAATTGGTTCTAGTCCACTTCTCCCTTACAGAAGAGTGTCGCCCAATGCGCTCCGCACCAGGGAACACCCCGCGCGAATGGTCTCCGATGCGCCCTTCTCCTCCAGACTCGGGTTCACCTCCACCAAGTCCATCGCAATCAGGTTTCCAGTCTCATGCACCGCTTCACAGATGAAGTCACCTTCCCGCAGCGTCAATCCACCTCGGACCGGGGTCCCCGTGCTAGGCGCCCACTGGGGGTCCAGCGCATCCACATCAAACGACAAGTGAATCGGGGTATCGTTGCCAATGTGAGCGAGAGCCATTTCCACCACGCGGCCAATACCATGACTATATCATAAATTAGCACGTCATACACCAGCAAAAACAAGATCAACAACATACCGGTCAATATCGTGCATGCTAAAGGCCTTGATCCCATTATCACGCAGAATCTTCTTCTCACCACGATCCACATCCCGCAGACCGATATAAACCAGCTTCTGCGTGTTAACAATGTGCTCATCCTTCATCCAACCAAAGACATCACGCTGCTCCTCTCTCGCCAATCTCGTCAAGAACGCCATCGGCATCCCGTGGATATTTCCACTATCACTGCTCTCAGGCGTGTTGATATCCGCATGCGCATCAACCCAGATAACGGCCATTTCGCGCCCGAGACGCTCGCGGATTGCCTTGGCGGTTCCGGAGACCGAGCCGATGGCGATGGAGTGGTCGCCGCCGAGGGTGAGGACGAACTTGCCATCCTTGGCGTAGTTGTGGACTTGGGTGCTGAGTTTCTCGGTGACGGCGCTGACGGCGCGGGGTTTCTTCATGCCGCGGAAGTCGGGGTCTTCGGTGGGGATGTCCTTTTCGTAGTAGTGGACAGTGTTGTCGTGGTGGACTTCGTAGTCAAGGTCTTCACTGAGTTGGGTCAGGAGGCCGGATTCGATGAGGGCCATTGGAGCGGCTTCGACGCCTTTCTTGCACTGGGATTTGGGTTAGAGGGGGGGTGCTTGGGTGGGTGGTTATGGTCGTACCTGTCCGCCATTGAAACCGACTGCCACCACACCGAGCTGGTTAGGGTGGGGAGAGGAATCGCGAGGCGATAGTTGAGGGGGAGGTCATTGTAGAGGTGAAGTATGAAGTATGAAGGATCAAGGCAGAGTAGCTAGTAGCTAGTAGCTCGTCAAGTAGTCAAGTGGAAGGACGAGAAAGTAGATGGGATCTCGGAGATAAGATAAAGAGTGGGCTTGATAAGAGCAGTTTACTCTTAAAGACGAACGACCTTAGAAAAGTGAAAGGGTATCTTGCTTGAATATCTTCAATTAAGAAAGGAAATCAAGCGGTTTAAATAATTCTCAACTCCTTTCACCTCCGACTTCAACCGGGGCGATGTTGGTCATTTCTACCGCGTTGCACGCGAAAGTCGCTAAAAACTGCTTTTAGCGATCAGAGCGACTCCGCCGGATCTCCATCGCTTCCCTTAAGTACAGGTCGAGGAGAGCTCCCCCTTTTAGGCCCTTTTAGGCCCCTTAGTGTCTCTCCGGTGTCCCACAATGGGTTCTGAGGTCAATTTAGATGAGGGGAAATCTGCGAGTTATGGAGATGACGACGTTTGGGGTTACTGCGAGATCTACTGTAGTGAACTATTTACAGAATTAAGTGAGCGGGTGGGCTGGAGCTATAGCTAGGAAAGAGTTGAACTGCATCCAGCAATGGGTATCATTCTATAGAGTACAAAGTTACAAGTTACAAATCTAGTACAAGTACAAGTGCCACGCTAGACACCCAAAATCAGTTCGCGGAGGATTTCCTCCGCCTTGGGCGCCTCAACACGGCCCTTTTCACCGGTACGCATCATCTGCCCCACGAACCAGCCCAATTTGCCAACTTGCTTCTTGTCGCGGATCTGCGCAATCATTTGCGGGTGAAGCGCCATAACCGACTGCGCCAGCGCCACGTATTCCGCCCGGGACAGCGGCCGCAGGAGAAGGTTCTCCTCCTCCAAAATCTGAGACACCGGACGACGATCACCGTCGAAGATACCGGACAAGACCTGTTTCGCCGTGGGGCCAGTGATGCGCTTGCGCTGGAGCTGGTCGAGGAGTTCGGCGAGGGAGTGAGCGGGGACGATCTCCGCGTCCCAGTCTCGGTCGGACTTGGTGAGGAGCCCGCCGAGCTCGTGGAGGACCCAGTTGCCCACGGACCGACCGAGGCCGGCGCGCGTTGCGGCGTCTTGGTCGGCCTGGAGGGTGTGCAGGGTGTCGACTACGTCGTGGTAGTACTCGAGGCGAGCGCCGTCGTCTAGTTCGATCAAGGGCTTGGCGTCGTCGATGGAGAGTCGGTGCTCGGCGCCGACGAGGAGTGTGATGAGGGCGTCTGGCGATGCGGGCAGAGTGCTATTCAGATTGGCGAGGAGATCCGGTCCGATGATCAAGGGGGGATATCTGGGTCCGGCATGTAGCGATAGTCAACGTCGCCTTCTTTACCGCGCAGTCGACGGGTCTCGGTGCTGCCGATGGTCCATCCGCGCGTCTCGCCTTCGATGACACCGCCGCTCTCCAGAACTCCGATCTGTCGGTTCTTCTCGGCGATGATGGCATCCTCGACGGCCTTGAAACTACTCAGATTCTTGATCTCCGTCCGCTGGCCCAGCCCACTGATACCGTTGTACTGGTGCTGGCCCGCGGCCTCGTCCCGACGGCGGACGGACACGTTGACGTCCACACGGAGACCACCCAGCTCCATGCCCGTCGTCACGGCGCCGCACGATTGTACAATGGCCTGCAGTTTCCGCACGCAGGCTGCAGCGGTCGCCGGTGTGTGAATCTGCGGCATCGTGATGATTTCAATCAGAGGGTGCGAGACACGGTTGAAATCCAGCAATTGGGTCGTGGGCGGATATTCCTGCGATTTGGCCGTGTCCTGCTCAAGCTGCAGTTGTTTGATATCGATGCGCACGCGGTCCCCGTCTTCCGGGGCGATGCCATCGTAGTCGAACAAGTCCACGTATCCGTTCCGGGCAAATGGTTCTGAATTGGGTCAGTGTCACTCGAGGCGCGGTGGGGGGGACTAGCGCTGTGCTAACCATAGTATTGAGTGATCTGGTAGCCCGAAGGCTGATCCTGGTAGAAGTAGTGTTTCCGATCAAATCGGCTGACAGGCTGGATCTCGCAGTTTAGGGCGATAGCAGCGCGTAGAGCCGGGAGGAGGGTCGCAATTTGGAATTCCTATCGCCATGATCAGTGTTTGATCCTCTTGTCCTCTCACCCACCACTACATACCGGCTGGCTACCCGGGAACGCTAGGTCAAAAAGGGCAACGTTGGAATTGGGAACATCGCTGGTGGAGGTTGCAGCTCCTGTTCCATGTCAGAGGGGCTTCCGATCGAAAGACAGATCGAGACGTACGTGAGAACAATTTAGCCTCTGTATCCAATTGCGCGTGGATCTCCACGCCAACAGTCAGTTCCCATTCTTGCCGGGATGCTTCTTCGTCCTCCTTGCGTTGTCTCTTGTGTGATCGGAGGGATTTGGCTTGTTGTTTGAGTTGTTTGCGGAGAGGGACCCGATCGGGGGTTTGCGCTGCTGGGGTGGAGGAGAAGCGGACATTAACCAATGGAGGGACTGTCCGAGCAGGTAGGCTGAGAGCGCGGAGCGTGCCGCGACGAAGCCATGGGCGGAGCATGAAGGATCGGAGTTGAGGAGGTGAGTTGAGTCCAACGGCGGAATCGAGACTCGGAGGTCTTGGCGGTCGATGACATCGACTGGAATGGTCATATCCAATTGATATGCTACAATTCGCAATATTGTGTGTATAATTTAAATTTAAATTTAAATTTAAAATGTGTAATTCTAATTTCTAATTTCCAGTTAATTGTACGGAGTATGGAGTTAAGAGATTCTCAATCTATACGGAGTAAGTCTCACAGGGCTGGTCTTAGCATACGTTCATCTCAAAACATCACCACCACTCCTACCGAGTACAGAGTGCTTCGTACTTATACTCCAATGCATATCTCGGTTACTTCATGTTCAATGTATTCCAACCCCAAGCGATGGCTCACAAAGTTCCGTCACATTCCCCCGCTCCTGACCGCCAGACGCAAGGAAGACCAGCGCATAGTTTCTGCAACTCACCATTGACATGCGTTGTCTGATCTGTTCTGGTCCACTTTTGCCACTATTGGATGGTCTATCTGCAACATGTTCAACACATTCTACAATACTCCGTACACTACCGAGTACTACTTCCTACCGACCAAGTACAATCCAATCTTTGAGGCCCGAAACAATCTTTGATCGACAGGGATACCCAAGGAACCTCCCTGTGAGATCATCCCCATTGGTCGATCTGAAGCCCCCAGCGCTTCGAATCTGCTTCAGCTTGTCCCGCGCTAGAGGATGACGCTCTATTGCTCAAAGTAGATTCCTTTGCAGCTGACCTTTCAATGCTGGCTGACGTCCGTGTTCTATATTAATCTCCCCCCTTCTTATCGTGAAGAATGCGATGCGTTCGCGGGGAAAATTCGACTTATCATCTGGGCCTCTTGTCATACATCTCCCTGGATTCCACTGTACGGAGTACGGCAGCACTTGGTGATCTGAGACCTGGAATTCCTCGCCCTGGGCCATGCCTCGGCTCTATCCCCTAATTCCATTGGATTAGGTCTACTTGGTTTCCCCTTGAAGCCATTGGTCTTTCTCAACGATGAGCCAGAGGTCCCATCCCGAACAACCACCATGCCGCTACAAACTAAAAAATCCACTGGGAAGGATGGAAGAAAGAGGACCTACTCTTTGGTCTCCAATATTTCAAATGCACAGGCTGGCCCTGTGGCAAGTCCCAAGACCGCCCAGAATAGTTCGCCGTCGCAACAGGCCAAAGGCATGAACCAAGCCCTAAAGTCGCCCGAACCTCCAAAGTCCGAGCCGACGAAGCAGTCACCGAATGTTTTTGAATTTTTGGATGAGAACGACGAGTCATCTTCAGCTTCTTCCGATTCTTCAGACTCCTCAGACTCCTCTGAATCGGAATCCGATCAAGAGCCAGAGCCCCGCCCTAAACAAGCACCCAAGATCCAGTCGCCCACCCCCAAGGCGAAGACCGTGTCGCCGGGAGTCCTGGCATCGGCAGGAAATGCGCCCCTCAAACGCGCGACACAACCGCCGGCGGCGGCTCCCAAGGGCCCAACTGAATCGCGCAAGGCCCCCGCACCGGTTCCCCAACCCTCTTCGCCAGAAACCCAACTGGTAACCCGAAAGAGGCAATCGGCAACAAAGCCGAGCCCCATCTCTACGGCCAGCACCTCCCCATCGTCTCACAAAGGACAATTGGAACTGTCCCGCCCACCAACATACCACGGCCCAAGAGAAGCCGCCATCCACAGACCACCACTCCCACCATCTCCCCCGCGAAGCCCCGAAGAAGGTCTCCACTGTACATCACCACGCAAGCGCAGAGACTCCGCCCAAGGCGCCTCGGGCTACGGACTCCTCGCTTCACAGCTTACCACCTCATCCGAAGAAAAGGATGGCCTCCCCCCTCTCTACCGCCGCTTCGAGAGCATCAATCACCGCGTCCTCCTCCACCTCCAGGACGAGATTTCTCAAATGGAAGAAGACCTGCAAACTCTAGACGAATACGAAGAAATGCACCGCTTCTCAACCGCAGAGCAAGAAGGCACAAAGCCCCTCCCCGCTTCCCGTCGCAGAGACTCCCAAGCCCAAGTCTACTCCTCCCTCCACTACCGTCGCATGGATCTTATGTCCGCCCTGGTTGTCAAAACAGAGCAATACAGTACGCTCCCCCCTCCCCCTCCCCAATGACCCCATTCCCCCTAACGATCCCCAGACAACGCCCTATGCGCCTACAGCAAAGTCCTCCAAACCCTCCCCGCAGCCCCAGAACCCGACATCACCAAATACCGCACATGGATGAAAAGACAACACCCAATCGCCTCAATCGAGTCCAAATTCCTAGATCACAGGACCGATCTCGTCTCCCTGACGCGCACTGCTTCGAACGCGCAGCCTTCCGTCGCGGCACCCGTCTACGTAGCTATCATCATCGCCTCGGGGGCTCTGCTACTACCGCTCCTGGCGTTTAATATGATTGCAGAATTTTCAGGTCGGCTTGTTGTTGTTACCGTCATGGGTGGTGCGGCGGCGGCTATTGCGGCGAATTATTCGGCTGGTGTTGATTCTTTGGTTGATTCGAGGGATGGGTGGAGGTGTGCTACGATGTATGTATTTCCCTTTTTTCTGATTGGTTAATTCTGTGATTTATGCTAATTATTCGCGCAGATATTTTGGGTTCATGACCTTGGCTGCGATGTTCATTCCTTGATTGCTTTTCTTTTTTTTTAACATGAAGTTTGGAGTGTCCGATTTTGGATGGCTGACGATTTTCATTTGTTTTGCTTTTCTTTTACTTTATTATTGGAATGGGTTTGCGGAGATTGAACTGGACTGATATTGAGAGGGCTGGGATGATGTCCCACGTTGTTTGGGTTAGGGCAAGGATGTAGGATCAGATCGTGGTGGCATTTACAATTTGGGGGGATCGAGCAATGTGTTCAACAGGGGTTATTAATGGGAATTATATTCCTTCATGTATTATTTAGAGAGAGCTTAGGTAGCTACGTAACCAATTATCAAGAATGATTGCTGTGTCCAAGATTCATATTTTCGAGCTACCGATTCGATAAAGTGTGCCGGTACGCAATATAGATTCATTGCACCGAAGCGAAGAGAGAGAGAAAAAAAGTGAAGAAACAATTGTCTAAGGGAATACCGGATTGTATCGCAACGGCAACCTGGACCACCCAGGCCATCCTTTCTTAAAGAGATCATCCACGCCATTCGCTCAGGTAGGCCAAAATAGTACAACACCGAGTTAAACAAAATCATACAAACACCAGACAAAGAGGTTCATTAAAAACACAGGGAGAAGTCAAAAACGTGAATCGCTTCCAAAGCTTGAGATTTGAAGCGGAGGATGGTAACGGATGCGTACCGAACGAATCATGATGCTGATGGTAGAGGACAGGAAGTGGACCTCTCAAAAAGCAAGAACTTTTGCGATTTGAACACCAACTCCAAATGATTGTATTGAGTCACACCAAAGAAAGAAGTGGGTATCGAGAATTATGTCGAAAGAGGTGTGCCGTTCTGCTTGGCGCCTGGGGTAGCACTGCCTTCCTGCGAGGCACGGGGATCAAGACCCTGAGGTTGTGGGGTGGAAGGGCTGTGTCGGGTCTGACGAGCCGCCAGTTGTGCCTTATTGCGGTCCATCAATGCAGCTTGTTCTGCTGCACTGCGAGAGTATGTGGCCGCGGCAGCGGAATTCACGTAGCCGGGTTGTCCAGGGGTCTGGCTCGAGGTCGGAGGTCGTTGGGTCGAGTTTGCGGTGGCAGTGGCGTAGGGAATTCGACCCTGCGGGGTTCCGTTATATGCGGTAGGCTGTCCCGGTCGTGGGGTGTAAGGTTGTGGGGTACCTTGAGCTGATGCTTGTCCAGGGAGATACCCGTTGGACGAAGGACGTTGGTACGGAGCCTGGCTGCCTTGGCCATACTGTGGGGTTCCTTGCGAGTACTGAGGGGTGTTTGCGGGACGCTGGCTGGGTGTGCTTGGAGGACGGCCCGCGCTATAAGCATGGGCGTATGTGTTTGGCGCTGAAGGCTGGCGTGGGGGGTTGTGGCGTAGCCTGGAAGCCTGCTTGGGGTTGAGGGACTCGGTTGTTGCTAGCAAAAGCACGTTGATTATAGCCAGCGTGAGATCCAGGGTAACTGGGCCGTGCCGAGGAGGGCGTTGCTGTTCGGCCTGCAGCGTTCGCAGCTGCAACTAAGGCTGCTGCTCGTTCTTGAGACAGAGTGTAGTCATCTTTCTCCATGGTACCATTGTAGTCGGGAGTCTCGATCACAATTCTTTGGCTGATGTTCAATTCAGCGAGTTGGTGGCCATCCAACTTGGCAACAGCATAAGGTGGAAGATTGCTGATGACTGCCACCAGGCTGGCCTTTAATGTCTCATACACACCAAACTCTGCATCGGATGGGGTGTTTGATTCGTCAGTCACGGGGGTTTCATCTGCCTCGGGGCCTTGTTGACCCGTCGGAGGGTTGAGACTTCGCAGGCGTTGATAGGAGCTCAGTGTGTTGAGTAGATCAGAAACATCACCAAGCAGTTCGTTGACGGTTTTGGTTTCATCATCGACATCGCCATTGGCTTTGGTATCGTCAAGGTTCGCGGCAAAGTCTTCCGCATTGAAGGATGTAACCATTTCATCCAAGATACTCTCATCAAGGTCACCGATGTTGCCTGGACGCACAGCCTCTGTGTTTTCTTCCTCTCCTTCTCCTTCGTATGGTATCGAGAGTAAAGTGTTAACGCGGTGTGCCCCCCCGTTGGCCCCACCAGACAGCATCCTTCGAAGCGAGCTGTACAATTGCGCCGGAGCTGTCGTAAGAAGGCGCAAATGAAGAGAACACACCCAGAAAAGCAGAGACGTCAGGGCCATTCCATAGAGCGGGATCCCCATGCCTGTGAGCAATGTCCGGATCTCCGTGCTGCTTTTCCACGCGGTCCCAGTATGATGGCGATGAGGTGACTCCGCCGTATTGGAGCCACTGTGTAGAGGGAAGAGGCGCGAGGCAATAATTGCTCCGCTCACCCAAGAAGTTCCTGGAGTCGAAGGTAGCATCGAATCGATCCACCCATGTAGCTGCATTGCCCCGGTGCGAACGTTTGCGAGGAGGCTCCAGCTTCAACAGTGATTCACGTGGGGCGAACACTTCCCCGAATGTTCGCTTGGATGGTTTTGGTGTAGCCGCAAGGTTGAAGGGAACGACTTTGGTGGTTGTGATGCCGTTGGGCAAGCCTGCCTCGCGCAGCTCTTCCTGCACCTCGACAAACTTCTCGGGACCCGAATCAGATTGCAAAGGTACCTTGACTGATTTTTGGAGACTCGAGAATAGATGCTTGGGATTCGCGGAGTTCCCGAAGAGTGTCAGGGCGCGTTTGTCATCTCGAGCGCAGACATTGATTGCGTGAAGCTCTGACGACGAATCGTTGTCGTCCTCCGATATCTCTGTCTTGACTTCGGGTTGGTTGACGAAAGATTGACCAATCAGGCTGTTCATGTGGATTTTGAAGGCTGCAATCTGATTGACCACCTCGGTCACAGGTGCTCCATCCACCTTTGTGCCATTGGACTGAGTTTGGTTGCGTTCGATCACAGCAGCTGACGCTCTTTCAATGTCAGCCAGAAATTCCTGCAAGGTACTGTATTTGTCCGAAGCGACACGCGTGCGAATGGTGGAGGCGTCTTGGTCACCGGAAACCTTTGCGCGCTTCGCTCGGGGCTTGGTGGCTGTGTTTTGAAAAGGGCAGGAAAGGAGTTGGAGATCGGAGTCGTGTCTATCCAAGGTCAGCAAGAAGAACAAAACAAAGAAAACTTGGGTGTTTATCCAAACTTACTTCAGTAAGAGTTCAATTAGATTGCGCAGAGTTTCGTGGAGATTTGCTTGATCGCGCGCCGTGGTGTCGTTGGGCTTGTCATCTTGAGTGGAACGCTTTCGTTTGCCAGCGCCTGCGATTGTAGCCGAGTCCTGGTGAGGTTCGTCGTGTGTGGTGGACATCGGGGTGGTGTCTCCACCTTCGTCGGCGCTCATGGTTGCGATGTTGCGCCGAGTTGAAAGTTGGGAATGTTGAGCGCTGTCCCCTCAAATGAGACTTCACGGGGTTCAGAAATCGGAAAGTTCAGATGAAGAGAATGTCAATAATTTTGACGAAAATATTTGCTTCCTAATCCTTGTTGAGAAGTATGTTTGGTTCACCAAACACCGGTCCAAGTTGGTCTGGGCCAAATCAATCCTGATGGGACCGCGCAGACCGTGCAGAGAATGGTAAAACCCGCCCCAATACCACAATGAAAAAAGTGAATGGAGCTCTGGACAGTGTGTCAATCAGCTCGAATGACTTGAAGGGAATGAACAATGGACAATAGGAAAGGTAGTGTTCAAGGGAAACATCCAAGTCTTGACGCCCTGGGCAGAATGCGCGCCATCCCGAAAGCGCAACCCGTGACGATCCGTCACGTGACCACAACTTTCTGCCGATGTTTTTTCGGCTTTGGATGTCAACCTCCCCCAGTCCCTTCCAGCTTATTGATTTATTGAATGGGTCTGTGGCGTCCAGGCACTATTACCCATGACTAAGTTCATGGATGTCATCAGTCCTCAATCATGCCCGAAGCCTTTCGGGAACACCGCGGCGGAGAGCATGTCTACTCATTAAAAGCCGCTTGGATAAAGTACCTTGTCAATATCTAATGAGTTGATTGAATATTGTGCTAAATACTCATTGCTCTAGGAAAACCCACGTGCGAATAGCTTTGCATTGAACTCACGCCATTCGTTTGCATCTGCCTTTCGGCCAGGCAGCCTCCGTTCCTTCCAATCCGCTGCACTCCTCAACGTGCCAGCTTCGCGACCAATTGAGATTCTACCGCCTCAGGAGAATCGCTTTCCCTCTCAAACATCAAATGGACCTACAGCTGTGGACCATCATGCATCCGCATCTCCAGTCGCGAAGGCGGACTTCGGAAACAAGAAAACAAAGCTCGTGTCTGCTAGTGCGAAGATCGAAGTCAAGCCGAGAAAAATCAAGCCGAAACCCGCTGAATACCTTTCCAAAGCCCTACGAAACGGAGGGCACAGCCTTGGGCATGGCGATCAATTGACCAGCATTAATTGCGTTCCTCATAAATTCGCCCCTGGCAATCGCAACGAGCAAAAGACAGCCGGTCGCCCCAAAAAGCCATCCTTGCCGGTTATACTCGGAGAGTATATTCGCGAAGTCGATCCCTTACTCTCGCTGGCTCCGTCAGCGCGTGTAGAGAAAGATCTGGATGATGCTCTCCAACTTGTCTTTAGGGACACGAATAACGAATACCTGGCCTCACGGGGCTATACCTGCACCGATGTCACTTCCTGGGCGTGGGTCCTGACAAGCCGCAGCCCCCATGAAGCCGCAGTGCGCTTGTTCTCGTTGGAAACCGACAAGGCGCGATCCGACTCGACGGGTCCGGCTACTCCACCCTTTATAACACTCCATCTTCTCCGACAACAAGACATTGATGCACACACCTTCCGCTTGCTTTTGATACACTCTTTACACTTGATGAGCGGTCAACCGCTGCCTCCCAGCGACAGTCCCACTCAGCCGGTTGAGATGGATCCCGAACCACTTCCCAACAACTGCTATATCAGCCTTGACTTGGGAACTTGCATGATTTTAGTGGCTCGTTTGATACGTCATGCTCGACGGGTGTGGCCACCCGCCCTCCTTGCAGTTGCTCGTGCATTCGCTCAATTTATTACCTCGCCAAGAAGAAATGCAGCTCGAGGTTCGGCAGAGGAAGGGAGCCATGATGACCGTGTGAAGACCGAAAAACTCAACGAGTGCCTTTGGCTACTTTCTCTCCCGACCAATATATCACCATATCGTTCTACTCCAATTCAACAGCAAGCTCAGTTCGAGCTACTGAGGTCTATGGCTGCCCATAAACCCGTTCTCCCCGTCACAAGACAAGGATACCGAGCAGTCGTTGCCATTCAACTAGCTCACAAGAAGACATTTGAAGAGCGACAGTCTGCCGAATTAAAAGCTCCGTCATGGCCACCCTGGAAAGAAGAAAAGCTTGGAATCGACTCTTTACGTGGTAATGATGGGATGTTCAGCCGTGCCATGCAGGTTCTTTCGCAAATGGCGGATGCTGGCTACTCTCGTCGTCTTTGGGAAGATATATCCTCGATTTTGGCAGGCTGGGACACGGACCACAGCCCGACAGTACAGACGAGGGCTGTAGTGCGTCGCCCGCACAGTCTTCCTGATACCCAAGCCTTCAAGCCGAATCACCACGAGATATGGGTTGCGCGAATACGCGCTACGAGGACTATCCGTGAAGCCTGGGCTTGTTTCCTCGCCTACGAGAACCAAAATCTTCCCCCGAAGGGAGCGATCTTCGCTGCGATGGGGGAAAAATTAGTCTACCAGAAAAATGCAGTTGAGCACAGATTCGACTACGCAGGCTCTGCTCTCCCAGGTGATGGTCGTGAGGTCCATCCTGAACCGGCTTCCGCCCGTGATATCATATATGTGCCTACGGAGCCTCCTACATTGGATGAATTTTTGGAGCAAATGCTCGCACACGGCTTCCGGCCTTCGGGTCGTTTCCTGAGCTTACTTCTTCAGTCAGCGTCTTCGATGCACTCGGGGCTTCGATACCTCACATACAGTGACCTGACCGACTCTCAAGTCGCAACCTTGACAATGGTGCAAGCTGATACACGGAAATACCTCACAATTGACCTAGAGTCTTTCCACGCTGTGCCTGATTCAATATTTGCTTCATTTGTGAAGCTCATGTGTGCTCATTCAACCATTGCCACCTCGGTGGTCCACAGCCACAACATACTGACAGCTGATCGATTCCCCGCCCTCGTGGCTCACGGGCACCCAGACGGGCGAAATATTGATTTGCTGGCTCATGCTCGGGAGCATCCAGAGGACAATCGATACCCGCTAGCATTGTGGCATGCTATTCAGTTGACAAATTTGAGACGCAGTCCCTATCCGCCAGCGTGGAAGCATATTCTGTCCACCTTAGCCCGGGGAAATTTTGGGGGAATTCATGGATCCAGAACTCAAAGTCTGCAGCGCATTCTAGCTTGGCATCAGATTCTTAAGATCCTGGGGTGGATGCGCCAGCGTGATGTCGAACTTGGTGATCATGGCTTTCAAACACTCTGTGTAGCGTTCACCAAAGCTATTGATGCAGCCTACAGATATCCGGGCACTGCAGAACAAAGTTTCCTGTTGATCCACAAGGCTCGCATTCGCCGCCTCAAGGACACAGATGAAGGTGACAATGATTTTGAAGCCTTCCTACAGCATGCGCTACAAGTCTTGAAACACCAGTTTGATTATCTTGTTCTCCCTGCCTCCAAGACATCGGTGCATGCGGAGCGGAGTGTGTTTGCCGCATCTGGTGCATCTGATGTTCATCCCTCTGTGCCCTCAATCCTTCATACACCGTCGCCTGCTACTCTTCATGCATTTGTCCGGGCCATGGGCTTGATTGGAGATGACGAAGGGTTGTTGCATCTGTTGCAGTGGATGAGCCAGTCAGCTGATGTACTTCGCGACGCTGCGGATGAACACTCGAATGGAGACAGGATGATGCACCGGACCCTTGTGGCGATCAGGGTGTTCTTGGAACGACGACATGAACGAACGGTTGACCATCGGGTACCGTCGGACGTGGTGCAGGAGGCATACGACCTTGTCAGGCGGACAGGCTGGGACTGGCCAAGTGATGCGGAAGTGGAGGATTATTGCCTCTGATGTATATTAGTGTAATTCTAGAGGATCTTTGTAGATGTGTATGATACCCCCCAACATCCCGTTGTTCTTCATGGCCATTATGTACTCCGTACAATGTGTAGTATTCAACGGCGCAAGAGCGTAGTTTCGGTAATCGTCGGCCTGTTCTGAGCTTTCCCCACACCCGAAGGTCCTACATCCGAGAACTTTTTCCACTTGACACTTATCCTCCAGTAATTGTTACGGTCGAGTCTACTACCGTTCTGTGGCATTGATACATTGCGATGGCATCCTTCCTGTCATCGCGTCTCGTGCGCGTCTCCGCACCCCTTGCCCATCTCCGGGCAACCGCAGTGCCAACCCGGGTCTTCATCTCTCGATACAGCACCGAGGCCGAGCAAGACGTCATCAAAATCCAACAGATCCCAGCCCCAGGCTCAGGGCATGTACGTGTCCTCCAGCTCAACCGACCTAAAGCCCGCAACGCGATCTCGCGCCAGCTTCTCGACTCGCTGTCGAAGCAAGTCGACGCCATCGCCGCAGAAGGAGGCAATGGCCCAACCCGCGCGTTGGTGATTGCCAGTAATGCAGACGCGGCATTCTGCGCCGGCGCAGATTTAAAGGAACGCGCCGGCATGTCGCAGGCCGAGTAAGAGCGATCTACCTATTTCCCAGGCTCACTTAGCCTAGGAGAGCGCAACTAACCCGTTCAACAGAACCGAAGACTTCCTCCTCAAGCTCCGCGCCACTTTCAGAGACCTCGCCTCCCTTCAAATTCCTACGATCTCCTCCGTCTCCTCCATGGCCCTTGGCGGCGGCCTGGAGCTCGCACTCTGCACCCACCTCCGCGTATTCGCTTCCTCCAGCCTTGTCGCCCTCCCCGAGACCCGTCTCGCGATCATCCCTGGTGCAGGAGGTACCTACCGACTGCCTGCCGTGGTCGGGGTGAATCGCGCCCGGGACATGATCCTGACTGGCCGTCGGGTGACGGGCCCCGAGTCTTACTTCATCGGACTGTGTGATAGACTGGTCGAGGTGCTGCCCGAGGAAGAAGCCCAGGAAAGCGTCGCACGTGAGAGAGTCTTGCGTGAGAGCATCAAGCTGGCGCTGGATATCTGTGAAGGTGGTCCCATCGCCATCAAGATGGCGCTGCAGGCTGTCGACGCCCATGCCCTGGGTGAGCGGGCGGAGAATGCTGCATACGAGGGAGTCGTCGAGACGGATGATCGGTACGAGGCGCTGCGCGCCTTTGTCGAGAAGCGGAAGCCGGCTTTCCGTGGCCGGTAATTATATCCACCTAGAATGAAAGGATGAAGGTGTCAGGATCTGCCAAATGTAAAATGTGTACTGTACCTTGGAAAATGAACCAGCATTCGCAAGTATTGGGAGAAGCCGAAAGCGATGTCAGGCTCATATAATGAGCTACCAAGTCCGCTTATAGATCCGGTCACTCTACCCGCATACTTCGGAGCCATCATGTGGACTTGGTGCCTGATCATCGGATGTCATCTACATGGCAAATCAAGTTCAGAGGTTCCATTACAGCATGCTCAGACTTCCCCAGGTGGTAGATTGCTGGGAGCCTACATACCCCGAGTCAGGTCTTCTGCTTCCGTGCCCTATATGTAGTCATCGCCGTAGTCATAGGCTCAGTCATAGATCACCGCTACAGGAGATCGAGTGGTTCGGATCTCAGAATGACCTGAGGTTGAAAATTAATCGGAAGGTGGTTCCAAGAGGGTTCCAAGGTTACTCTATATCGGCACTGAAAGGCCCCTCTGTTCCAAGTCAGGATCTATATGCGCCTTTCCAGGAACAATTTCCCGATTTGTCCAATGACTCACTTCTTCGAAACACAGGCAGAAACACAGGCAGAAACACAGGCAGAAACACAGAAAGAAACAAAAATATCTAAAGATCTAAGTGGCAGGGTACCTGGGCTGTGTTTTGGAGCGGGTGAAGCTAACCAATGGAGGGTTAGGGCGAACTACCACAGGGCGTAGAACCCAGCAACAACTCAACTCTCAGCACACGGCCCGTCGCCGGAGCCCTCTACCGATGCAGAAAACCCCATGGATCTACGCTGCAGGACAGAATAGTCCGGGTGACTTGGGTCAGGGGAACACTGCCCCAGGGCTCTCCGTCACCCCCAATCACCCCAGTCACCCGGGAGTCACCTGGGCCGTATATTATAAGACTCAAGTCGGCTGGTTCTGATGTTCTCTTTCTCTCTTCTTCAGATGTTACAAAAGTCATGGCTATAGAGTCCTGATACTGTCTTTGATCTTGACTCTTTTGTGATGACTGGCCCCCGCCCCCCCCTCTCATCAAGCAGTTCGGCTTGACGCAGATCTATACTCCGCGTGACGAACCAACGATCGATATTGTCTTTGTGCATGGCCTCAACGGCCACCCCCAGAACTCTTGGACTAGCAAGAATACCGGTTGTTTCTGGCCGGTTGATCTACTACCAGACATCCTCGCTGCTCAACGCCCGCGGATCCTCACATACGGCTACAACGCAAACGTTACTGCCTTCACAGATGGAGTTTCTCGAGACACGGTTGTGAGTCATGCTGAGACACTTGCTTCAAGTCTGGCAGCCAACCGAAATGTAAGTCTTTGATCTCCGACGAGAACACACTGGATCAAACCGTATCTCATAGTTTTTATAGTTGCGAAACGGCACCAACCGACCCATCATATTCATCTGCCACTCACTGGGAGGACTGGTCGTGAAGCGTGCCCTTATATACTCTCGCAGTCTCTCAAACGAAAAGACCGAACATCTACGCTCGGTCTACGTCTCAACCTTTGGGATTCTCTTCCTCGGCACCCCCCACAACGGATCCGATATCGCTAAATGGGGTCTGCTGCTAAACAACATATGCAATGCGGTCCTCCCAAAGAAGTTCCTGGAGAGCTCTCCGCAGCTTGTCAAAACCCTACGGGCTAACAACGAGACTCTGCAGCATATAAACAGCTTGTTCGTCGATATCATGGGCCGATTCCATATCTACTTCTTCCACGAGACACGATCCACCGATGTACATGGTACCCGGGAGGTGATCGTCGACGAGCACTCAGCGGCACCCTACATGGACGGTGTTGAGCGGATGGGAATTGAAGCCGACCACAGCCATATGTGCAAGTTCGATGACGATAATGCTGCAGGCTACGAAGCAGTGGCAGAAGCCATTCTTCGTTATTCTCGCCAGGCTCCTGCTGTAATTTCAGCACGCTGGGTGGAGGAGAGGAACGTTCGTACACAAGAGAAGAGAGCCAAAGCGAGGGAAATATACGATGGTACGTTTTCCACTCTGTCTCACGGTTCGTGGGGGTAATATTCGGCCTTTGAACTGACAGGTGCAGAAGGAACTGAAGACTCAACCAATCGAAGCATGCCCGATTTGAACAGAATTGGTAGGCCCTCGCACCTCCTGCCAGGACCGGAAGCGAATGTCACATTGAGGGAATATGAGATTGAGGAGCCTCCCGTTTGAGGGATCTGTTTGGCGATGCGGTCGATTTTTGCTTTTTGCTTTTTGCTCTGTTCCAGGGTTCTTGCTGGTTCTGAATACTTCGCTCTGGCTCACCAGGGCATTCCAGCCCTTTTGCTCGGATTGTCACCGGGAAGAGGTTATGTATCTTTTCCGAATCTATTTTATATCTTGCTACACTACATTCCTGTTTGCTTCTCGCTTCCTGTCCTTAGCTTGATGGTCTCAACTCCGGGGGGCTCCTATCTCATGTCTCTAAATAATTGGCATTGGCTTGATTAATCCGAGATGGCTCCTTTACCCCCTCAAGTCACATATGCTGACTTCTTTCCAATAGGCCAATCTGTACCAACACTACCACGCGCCCCTGCATCGGAGGGCCGCAATTCCCCAGTTTCAGACATGGGAAATAGTGGCCTTCTTCAACTCTCACACTATTCCAATAATGGGAATGAGCCTCCTCTATTCGTGGCACCCCCAGGCTTCCATCCAAATGCTACTTTCTTCGGCATGCAAAAGGAACTCGACATTTTGCATAATAGACTCTACAAAGCCAAGGCACGAGCAAAGCGAACCATGGCTATTTTGATATCCGGCGTTCCAGGTTCTGGAAAGACCCATCTCGCAAGACAGTATGTCTTCACGCAGCGTGACTGCTACCCCGGCGGGATCTTCTGGATTGATTCCAAGTCTCGTGAAGCCTCATCCAAGTGTTTCTGGGAAATTGCACAAGCAGCTCATCTGATAGAGAAAATACAAATCACCGACGCAAACTACAATCCAGCCAACACATACGTGAATGAAGTTCGCAACTGGCTGCAAAATCGCCAAGACTGGCTTCTCGTCTTCGACGGTATCACTTTCACCGATGAAGACGAAATCAATCTTTTCAGGAACTTTTTGCCTTGGAATAAGAATTGCAGCATCATATATACATCGGTCGACACGACGCTGCGGAAAAAGCAGAGGCTATACGAGCCATACTGTTTGATGATCCCCCGGTTGCAAGTTGATGATGCTTGCAAACTCTTGTTCAAAGACCTAGGGATCACACGACCTACGCCTGAGCAGGTTCTCAAGGCTACTCGGATAGTTGAGTATTACGAATGCCTTCCTCTGGCAATTCATGCGATCGGGCACCGCCTGAATGCAACTGGAAAACCGATTGAAAAATATCATGTTAAGTCACAGGTGACTGATAAAAAGCTCGCAGAGCCGTTCTTGAGCATCATGAATGATCTGTTTCGATCAAAGGAAGAACAAGCGCTCCGTTTAATCAACCTACTCTCATTCCTCGGCCACCAGGTACCAGTGGGCCTCTTGGATCTAGGAAGAAGCGTGATGACCGAACAGGGCATGGAGATTCAGACCAGTGCCAGAAAAGGGGATGTTCCTGATCTAGATACTACACTTGGGACTCTGATTCACTACGGCTTGATCGAGCGAACTTCGGATGCGGATGTCTTCCAGCAAAGGTCTTCCATGCATAGCTCCGACTCGGATGCCAAAATGCTTCCAGATCTCTCTGAGTCATTGACTGAAAGCAGCCAGGAGGAGTTCTTCTCGAATTACCGCCAAGGATCAGCTGTGGATGTTATCAAGATCCATAGCGTCGTGCAAGGATTCTGTCGTGATGAATTGCGGATCCAGGATGAAGAGTTGAAGGGTGTCCTGAGGAAGGGCGAAGATGGTTACTTTGACATGTGGTTGATGACTGCTACAAAGTTCCTCATCAAGTCTTACGAAGTAGCCGTCGACAGGATGGATGCATACCCTGATTGTGGCTTGATCCGAGACTATCGAGAATACGAAACCCACGCTTCTCGACTCGCCGAGCAGTATCCAAAGAAAGCGTCAATGAGTTTTCATTCTCCAAGGCTTTGGAAAACACGAGCATTACTGCAGCAGTTGTTGAAAAAGATTAGCAAGCGCATTCAGGACATGTCTCCGAGTTCCTCGCAGCATCTGACCCGTCACCAGAAGTCGGTATTTGACCGATCAAGCAGCTCTTCTTCATCCTATCGAGAATCCTCTGCCGGGGGCGGGTTGTCTCGAAGATCTACTTTCAACTTCAGTGATCTCGGGACGCCTCGAGCCGAATCTCCTGAGCAGATGGTTGGCCCGCCTCGGTTCAAATTGGAGCTATTTCCTCCACATATTTTCAGACGAGCTGGGTATGAGTCTGAAGAGGGCTATGAGACAGATGGAGAGGCTAAAGGTGGGTTTCGAATCTCTCCGGCTCTATCGCAGGCCAGTCAGGCTACGGAGAAACCAGATCTTTCGCCCCCATCATTGAGTTCACCAGGTCTATCTGCTCAATCTGCTCAATCAGGCTGGAATTCAACCAATCTACCCCAGAAGCGGAAGCTTTCTAAAGAAAGAGCATCAGGCAGGAGAATCAGCGGACCGTTCAGGGGGGATCGCTTTAGAGACACCAAATTTGACATCCCATTGGCTGAAGTTTCTTCGATTCAAGGACTTGGTTCATCAAGCCGTTCACCATCTTCAGATACACGGGGATTCTCGACAGGTTCAGAGGCAGAAAAGGCGCTAGTCGCGGTCCGTCAGTCGAGTAGGCCACGAGCTCAACCCGAAAACCTCAACCCTACAGTCACTCCGCCGATGAATAACGAGGTGATCAAAGATAGTTTGCTGGGTTTGCCAAAATATGACAATCTCGCTACTCGACGCATCTCAGAGGTAGAGTCTGCAGTCAAGCGCCCATCGTCGGTTCCAGTATCTCGGGCTCTAGACCACTCCAGCGGTCTGCAAATGAAGCCTTCTATCGAATCTCTTGACGGGCGAGCGGGCTATGCCTTTGCATCACCATTGTCCCACGAGTGGACACCCCAGGAGCTGATGGAACCAATGAGCCGGCTCACTTACAGCGAGTCTGGAATGGAAGTATTCGGCCATCCAATGGGTGGTGTGGACTTCCACACAGCACCTGGGTCTCGAGCACCTTCTCGGCGTGCCTCAATTGCACAGCTCGAGCCTCCTCAAAGCCTGTCTGCAAGCGTACCAACTCTCATCCCCATTCCACCACCGCTACCCTACGACGAAGACATATCCATCACGCGCCCACGCCGCAGAAGATCCTCTCAACTCGCATCGGACTCCATAACTCCATCCCATCCATCAGTAATCATGCCTGGCGCATTACCACCCCCATCAGATTATACTGCACCGGTAGGATCTGCCCCAGAGCGTCTAGTCCCGGGACCAATGTCTCGAAACTCATCTGCATTCTCGCATCAATCATGGGCCACCGAGCCCGTCCGCTACCCACCACGGTTCTCACCCTTCCCCAGCTTCACTCAACAGCCAGATCCCATCCCTGGCCCAATGACAGCCACAGAGCAGCAACAAATGCTCGGCGGCAGTTGGACCAGTGATCTTCCAATGAGCAATGGCATCCAGTCAGATCCATTGTACGCAGGCGTACCACAACATCGACGCTTGAGCTCCATGGACGAGCGAGTGAAGTTTCTAGATCCAGGCTGGGACCCTGAATATGAAACATCTCAATATTTGCATTTTGGTGGACATCGTGTGGATGTTCGAGACCCGCATCATAGATTGCATGAGTCTGCTAGACTCCAGCCGCCCTTGCATCCTTCACAATACCAGCTTTATCATCCCAATGTGTCGGGTCCTTTGTTTCAGCATGATGGTCATATCTATGCGCCTGCGCATCAAGTTGAAGCTCGGGCGTCTCGTCCACGGAGTGGAAGCTCGCCTCCACGTCCGAATTTCGCGGGGCTGGGTGTTCGGCTTTCATAGAGGTCATTTTGGAGTTGGATTGTTTGTATTGTCATATTTTTCCCATTTGTGTTCTTTTATTTTTACTCATCTTGCATTGGAATATACGTGTGGACATGCCGCTATTTGTTGATTTTCTATCGTGATTTCATCTTTGCTTCCAAAATTGCATTCGACTTCGGTATATTGGAATGTATATTATACCCGGAAATATGGCGTTCATTCAGAGATTTCATGAAGTTGATTTGCAAGAAAGAACTCGGGAAGCAAGGATAACATAACTGGGCTTCTCGCTAGACATCAATATGATAGGTAGATATTATTATCGCAAGTTTGAACTGTTTCATAAGGGCAGGTCTCAGGAAAAAGAACCCTGCTTGCTAGGTGGCGATTCAGTGACCGAGATATCACCCTTCTCAACAACACCAGGTGTCATATCAACCGCATGAATGGTGAACTCAGGATCCGTGGCAAGATCTTCATCTTCCACGAAGTCCTTAGGCTCCATCCAGCCACGGGATTTCCGCATATCAGGCGGAGCAGAAGCCAAACATGTTAGATAGTAGACAACAAATCCAACGATCAGACCTGTCGGATAAGCGATAAAGTAAAACCGCTGAATTCCCAGAGGCGCCTTGACTCCCATCTGATGCAGAAATCCGTAGAAGTTCGGCGCAACAGCGACCAGATAAGCGATGAAGGCTCGAGGGTTGAAGCCGTGGAAAAATCTGTAGGGGGTTGAGTTTGAAACATATAACGCTGGGACGTTGAGAAGTCCCCGTCGAATGAGGTAGTAGTCGCATATGAGAATTCCAGCAATTGCTGATAGGAAGATTTGGTAGGAGGACAGGAAGGTAATGAAAATGGAGGCTGAGGATAAGAGGTACCAAGGGCAGATTGCATATGAGAAGACTAAGGGACAATTGTTAGTTAGTTCATGTTGTGAACGTGCAAGAGCGGAATCAAATGTCAGTACCTGCACAGATGAAGAATCCCCGTTTGATGGATATGTACTTTGGCAAGAGAGCTGCGATATCGTTTCCGGCCCTGTATCCTGTTAGATGAGACTACACAAGTGATGCAGATACTTACGGAATGGAGTTCTCGAAGATGGCCGAGAAGACTGTCGAATAGACGAAGGCTAGGGAAATGAAAGCGCAAGCAGCTCGATTGCCGTGGGTGTATCGCTCTCCTTCCATCAACCTGTCCAAAAAGACCAGTGGATTCCAAATGAGCTAGAAAAATCAGTCAGACTATTTCATTGCCAAGGATGCTGGAAGACAAACCTCTCCAAAGACGGACTTGCTAGCCGATGCAATAAGATTGCCCAAAATTGCCACCAGGAAGTTGGATATCGGAAAGCTGACGATTTGCCCAATGAGAACATCATTTGGCTTTCGAGCATATCGTTGAAGATCGGAGGCATTGGAGATAAAAGTTCCGCAGCTAGCAAGACCCAGGAACAAGAACCTGAAAATGAGATAGCTTTTCTCGGTGCCCTTGACCGTTGAGGGTGCATTAAGCGACTTGAGCGAGCCACCAGCAAGAGACACAGTCCACCCCAGCATAGCAAAGGCCGCAGCGAAATAGACCGCAACTTTCACATAGACCAGAGACTTCATCTTCGGCACTGGTACCACCAAAAATGCGCAATTAATCAGCCTGGATCGACATGTCAGTGAGCATGATCACTTGTAAGTGCGGATCACTTTTACCAATATATGAAGAAACACATCATTTGCGCCGAAGTCAAGGCCGATTTTGAACCCATTTTGTCGGGAATATTTTCAATCGAGGGGAAAATGGCATGCAGGAATACACTAGTTATGCAGATCAGTATGTAGTAGTTGGGTCTGAAAAACACCACGCGGGGAAATGGGCATACTAGAGACATTGCGCGCCTTGAACCGAATTGACTCCATTCCACACGATGGACATCACGGCTCGATTAAATGTTGGCCATAGCGCGCCCCAAGTGCCAAAACTGGAGCGACAAAGGACAGGGAAGGGAATGCGGTACATTGCTCCGGCACGCCCGTTGAGAGCCATCAAGCAGCCAGCGAGGATTTGCCCACCGAAGGAACATCCAATCGCTTCCCAGATCGTGAGTCCCATCGCCATTCCCGTGGAGGCAGTATATAAGTTACTGACATTGGCGGTCGCAGAAAACCAGAACATGATGTAAGTGAGTTGTGTCCAGGTGCGATCTTTGAGTGAGGTTGGTCGGATAGAGTCATTGTCTAGCATATTCACTGGACGAGGGATGCCATCTCGTTCCGTTCTTTTCACCACGAGCAGCTCGTGGAGGCGTGATAGTTTAGACATAGTTCAATTAGGTTATTTAGGTGTGCAGCGCGAAGTGTATTGAGGTTGAGACGGGCGCAAGGGGGGAGTGTCCGTTCTTAGGGCTATTTGTTCTGGAGTGGGGACTGTTTGGAGTGTCTGATAAGAGTGGCAAGCTGACCGTGAATGGACCATTAGCAGTGAGTGAACCACCCATGAGCCCAGTGATGAGCCTATCTTTCTCAAATCGCAGAAATTCGAGCAAATGTAACGGGCTTATCACCACAGCCAAGAAAGCGGGCGCTGTGCAGGAGATCATGCCGACGGTTAGCGGCGGGGGTATCACCTAATCGAGAGGGAGGATGGCTTCATGGGCACTTTGCTCTTGACAGGTTCCCATTTCGCATCTTCACCCTCGACCTCTTAAATATCGACTCTCATCTCAATGGCAACGGAATATACGCAGGTGGAACTGCTCACCCTCAATGGGCCAGAGTTTCGGCGGGTATCAACTGCACCTCCCCGCCCGCCAACGGAGAACGAGATCCCCGTCATCGACCTCTCCTCGATCGACGGTACTTTCGAAGACCGGAAATCCATCGCTGCTCAAATTAAAGCGGCGGCGGAGAACACAGGCTTTTTCTATATCGAAAACCATGGTATCCCAGAGGAAGTGATTCAAAGCGCTCTGTCGCAAGCACAGGCCTTCTTCAACCAGCCAAGCGAAATGAAAGAATTGGCTTCGAGTAAGAAATCAAAGCTCTCAGATGGCTGGCATGGACTGGGAACTACTCAAATCAACAAATCCGAGACACTAGGTAATTGATTTTCCCCATATGCCAGCCCGGTCAGCATACATCACCATGGCTGACATTCCCGGACTCAGACCGGAAGGAAACATTTTCAATTCGCTATAATCCCAAAAATGACCCGACAATCTCAGATCCAGAAAGTCTTCTTGCCGATGGGAGATTCTCCGATGAAAACGTTGACTTCCCCTGGTCTGAAACATCCCATCTCCCGGGATTCCGCGAGACAACCGTCGACTTTTATCGTCGGCGTCTCACGCTCGCGCGGAAGATGATTCGCATCTTTGCTCTCGCGCTAGATATGCCGGAAGATTACTTTGACTCGGTGACTACCACACCCGGTGCAGACGGGCTCTTTGTGCATTACCCCGCAACGCCGGCGGAGGAACTGCAAGAAAATAATGGGAATATCGATGTCGGTATTGGCTCTCATACTGATATTCAGTGCATTACTCTGTTATGGCAAGATATGTCGGGCGGGTTGCAGGTCTTGTCTGCTAACGATGAGTGGCTGGATGCTCGACCGATTAGTGGGACGCTGGTGGTGAATATTGGGGATTTCTTGCAACGTCTTTCTAATGATAGGTTCAAGTCGACTGTACACCGGGTTTATAATCGCCAGTCTACATCGCGGTATTCGATGCCCTTTTTCTTGGGGTTCAATGCGGATTCGGTGTGTAAGGTCGTGCCTTCGTGTATTGACGAAGCTCATCCTGCACTTTATGAGCCCATATCGTGTGGACAGGTATTGCATCCTTCCTTCTTCCATATCTTGGACTCAAGGTCTCTGACTCTAACTCGGATCTCAGTGGCATCGAAGAAGGCTCGCGCTTGCCACCGTCAAGCCCCCTTAGCACATGATGGACAAGCTGATCTATTTCTGAAATAAACACAACCCAACAATCCGTCATCAGACATCTCGAAGACACCATGATAATCTAGTTATTGAAAATGTTGCAAATCATTCATCTCATCCCAGTCCGACGCCGGCATCGAATCGATAAATCGAAAAGGCGCCCAATCCGCCACAGAAGCCGAATATGAATAAAAAGCATCATCAACACCAATCGACACATTGGAATCCACAAAATCTCTGGCTTTCTTCTGTACAACATTCGTCGCCCAACTAAACACCCCCTCTATACTCCTCGGAATCCGAGCCTGCGTCCGAACATTCTCCATCAGCGTATAAGTCGCGTGCATATCTGGGATACTCGAGCAGTATTCCGCAAGCGTAATCCCCGCATACGCAGTAAGCAGGTAGTCGTACGTCGGTCTTGTAAATGCAGCATCAGAGGAACAGAGAACGAGGATATCTCTCAGAACCAGCTGAGCGTGCCGAATGACTGTCGAGGTCAATTCGTTAATACGGCTATTTCGGATTGGCGAGCCCGGGGATATGCTTTGGTTCTGCTTTGCTAGCTCCCAGCGTGATAGAATGAGAGAGGTGCACGAGTATGCCCATCTAAGTATCGTGTTGCCCTCTGTGGTAAATTTGGGCTTAGTTTCGAATGGCTCCACGGACCTTGGAATGCGGGAGTATGTTTTGTTTACCTGCTAGATATTTGCTTGCCCATATATGGATCATGTCCCATGCATCGCCGACTGAGCTCACGGTTTGATAAGTGGCTTCGTAGAGGTGGATATATAGCTTGAGCTCTGCTGCGAGAAGATGGTCGAATGTCTCGAAGCCAGGGTATCGGATGATATCGTTTAGTTGATGTAGACGCTCGCACCCGATAACTGACGGCCGACCGGTACCGATGGCAAACCTGAGGAGTCAGATCTTATAAAAAACAGAAAGAAGGAGAAAGACAGGGATTTTCTCGGCTAAGAAGGCGAAGAAAAGGGAAGAGGGGGATATAAAACATACTTCAAATGTACCAGTGATGCTTGTATCCACATCCTGCACTTATTTCGACTGATAGGATCATAGAAACCAGTCAAAGAGCTCAGCTCAGAAAGCGGAAAACTAAGCATGCAATGGGTGATGGTAGTACTGCTCATTAGCCAACTATCAATATATCGACCGCCCGGCACCAATGGCCCAAAGCTCCAAGCACTAAAGATCAACATTGCATGGATAGTCGAGAGATCGATAGGCGTATCTAAAGTCTTCATTCCCAAATGAGTCTTCACCATTGAATGCAGGGTAACATGTAAATCCGAGCGATTCAACCCCTCTGTCGCTCGAATACCCGCCAAAAGACACATGGCGAAGAGGAGTGGATGATTCCGCTTGAGATCTGTGAGAGTTTCGTGGGGGAAAGGATACCACGAGGCGATTTGCTCGAATCCATGCTGAAAGACCGCAGCAAAGCTATCAGAATCAATTCCCATTTCGGACATGTGGCTCAGGAGCGAGTCGTTTTCACCGACTGTCACCGGCTCCGTGATTAGACTTCCGACATGACGAACGACTGTAATTGGGGCAGGCTGGACTTCTGTTCGTGGTTTGATGTCTGCATCTTGGGAGAGGGCCACACTGTGTCCGCTGTGGCCACTGTTGATATCTGATGTGGTGGTAAATTGATTTTGCGCAGGTGTGCCACTTGGCTCTTTTGCGGGGGTGTGAGTATTTGCGAAATAGTGAGACTTGAGTAGCTCTTTTATTTCGGAAAGAGAGTTCTCAATCGCATCGAGTCTAATGGAGATCAGCTCCAGAGTCTGGTGCGCATCGTTATCTATACGGAGTACGAGTGGAGATAAGGGCTACCTTTTTGAACAATGGCAGTCAACGTGGTCAGAGAGTCTCTCCTGCCTTCCAATGGGACCGGGATCAGGACTTGGAATTGATGCCGTTGCAGGTAAGGAGCATTCCAGTCTGTGGATTGGTTAGATCTGTTCAAATGGCGCCATCTGAGTCGTCCACCTTAGAGATATGCACCGGGCGCATTGCTTTGATCCCGGGGGAACCTCACAGCGGGTCTTCAATCGTCGACATGGCTGGCACGATAGTATTCGTCTCTTTGTCGGCATGATGTGATATACAGTAACTTCCAAGGTTCAAGAAATAGGGTGAGGTCAAGGCGATGTTCTCCGCTGCTTATCTGGGGTCAACGGAGAAGACTAACCTGATTGGGGTTTAGTTGGCCATCACATGCGGGAAGTATATCCTTGCAGCTTCCAGCGAGTATACCGCTTTTTATCGCTGTCTTCTGTGTTTAGTAAAAATCAAAAGAGTACAGACTATAAGCTAAACATTCATGAATGGGCTCTGATATAGTCTATGTCTGGCTTGCTTTCAATGGACCCGTGGACGTTACCGAAAGTAAGTAACAAATAGTCTGCTGTATGGATTATATTGAGCTGAGAGACATTATCTTGACTTGACTGGTATTAAATAGTACATTAAGCGGGGATTATGGGTCACGGCCCAGTTGATAATTGACCAAGGTGGGCGAGAGATGCAAACAGATTTTAAGCAGCCCCGCCAGCAGCAAGGTTCTTCCCCTTGACACTCTTCCACTCCACGACCAACGCACCAAGCACACTAATTGCGGCCACGGCAGCACATACCATGAACGTCTGTGTAATTGCGTCACTGTAGGCAAGTCTGACACCAGCCAAGTCAGCCTTGTCGACCACTCGCGCAAGACTAGTGGCACCCGCTCTGATGACGACAGCGGGATCCAAATGAGGAGCATATTTGGCCAGGTTTTCAACAAGTTTGTTGGAGAAGACGTTGTTTCCAATGGAAACAAAGAGGGCACCACCGAGGGTCTGGGCGAAAACGATGATAGCAGTGCCAGTAGGCACATCGACCATGTCAAGGACGACCTGCACGGCAATCATGGGTTGTTGCATACCGAAGCCGACACCGGCACCGGCGATGATTTGATAGCCGATCCAGATGGATTTGGGTGTGTCGGGGTGGAATCTGGTCATGAGACCGTAGCCGATGGCGATGAACACGGTGCCCAGTATCATGAAAGGTGCGTAGTAGCCAATGATGGTAACGATGATTCCCGAGAGTACAGACAGAACTACCACGGCGATTAACATGGGAAGATTCATGATCCCTGAATTAACGGCGCTGGCATCTTTGACGGCCTGGAACCAGATGGGAAGGAAATAGACGGAGCACAGGAATGCAGCACCGACACAAAAGCTGAATAGACAGGAGGACCAGACGGTGCGCTTGAAAAAGATGCGCGGTGGCACAGTCGCATACTCTTGTTGGAACCACTGAGTTGCTACAAAGAGCAGAATCAGGACGGCGAAGAAGCAGAACAAAAGGATGATCCGCCAGCTACTCCAGGCATAAGTAGTGCCGCCCCATTGCAAAGCTAGCAGCAAGCAAATGATGGCGGGCATGAAGAGAGCCGTGCCGATAGGGTCGAACTTCTTGATACGTTCTGCCCATGTCGAGTCTTTGATCTGGCGATTGGGGGCCGGGAAGAAGAACGCAATCACAACGACGGTGACAGCGCCAATGGGAAGGTTGATATAAAAGCACCAACGCCAAGTCACCTTGTCAGTGAAGACACCACCGAGTAGTGGGCCCGCAACCGATGCAATACCGTACATACTACCGATAAAGCCGGTATACATTGGACGCTTATCCAAAGCCACTGAGTGCGCCAGGATGATGAGGGCGCCTGAGAATATACCAGCTGAGCCGATACCAGCGACAGCGCGGCCCATAATGAGCGCCAGACTGTTGTTAGCCACACCGCATATCAGACTGCCCAGCTCAAAAATGCCAATGGCGATCAGATACACCCATTTGATGCTGAAGAAGCTGTAGAATTTTCCAAAGAGCAGTTGAAGCGAAGCCGTTGTAAGCAGGTAAGCTGGAGGACCAGAGAAATTAGTTCGTTTCCATGAGCACAGAGCCCTTTTGAGTCACAACTAACCACTTCCATACCAGCCCACATCTTCGAGACTGTGGAACTGATCAGTAATCTTTGGGATTGCTGTGGCGATGATGCTGTTATCTATAACCAAAGAGCACACCTGTTAGTGAGATGGCAACAAGCACCATGGTGCTGAAAAAACCGACGAGCAGTACATACCAAGTGCGACGAGGAACACACTCAGACAGAGTGCCAGTACGATCAGCGTGAGCTTTAGACCGGTGGGATATTCGGTGCCATCTTCGCGGGTGGTGGTAGCCTTGAGTGAAGGGTGCTCGTTGTCGGGATCAGCCGTTGTAGTATGTATCAACGCGTGTGTCTTTTCTCCTGGTAAAGAGATGCTGCGCCTTGATTTATCATTTTTCTCGATCTCGGACCCATCCACATGGTCAAGCGTCTCTGCGGTTTCATCTGGTAAAGAGGCACTGCGTGTCAACGTCTCTTTATTTTCTGATTCTGGTATGCCACCGGGGCTCGTCTCCTTGTTCTGTTCCATCTCGAAATACCTAGACTTAAAATTCTAAGGCAAAACTCGAAAGGCAGGGCCCGAAGGAAGGATATAGGAAACACCAAGTATACAAAGAAAGGAAGGGTTGGGCAAACACAAAACGAAAACGAAAACGAAACGAGTCATCGCGACATGATATTTAAATTTTTTTGCCTTAAAACAAATTCAGATATTAATTTTTCACAAAAATACCACATCAAAAAAAAAAAAAAATGGCTTGTCAGAGCCTAAGCGTTGCGGCTTTGACAGACGCTAGACCTCCCCGAGGCCTCCAGACCGTGGAACTACAGCCTGAACAGGTTAGCGCTTATGAAATACGAGATGCCTCAACTGCTTTGCAATTTATCCGTCGGCCATATCCGTCTATAAGATTGTTGCTTGCCTAATAATCTTAAATCCGATCTTAAATCCTCCATGCCCGAGCCTTGGCTCACTAAGAGCTTGATCGTGCTTCGTTTCTCTTGTTTGATATACTCCGTAGCTTATACGAGTCGACCAATGGCGTGTAGTATTTGACACCAGGTCATATCCTGTCAGCTTATTTGGGTTTGAGCTGTAGATGTAGATGTGACCCCACAAAAAGAACGTTGTCGTCCACATTGGGTTCGCACTAAATGACAATCATATTGGACCGAAAATCGGCCAATAATCAAAAATCAAGGGTCTCTCTTATTGTTCTTGATATTGAGAGTATTTGAAGTGGTCAGCTGAGTTCCCTACCAATGTCTAGATCAACAGTGGAAGTACGGAGTAAATATGCATGTCCCGCTTAGAAGCGCCGCTGGAGGCGTTCCGGACGAAATAAATAAGACGGACGAAATGAAACTCCCGGACGAAACTGCAGGGGACGAAGTTGTGTTAGAAGTTTAATTTGTGAAATCCCCAAAACCCGAGAATGGTCCGCCATTTTCCTCCGCAAGTGTTAGTTTGGGTTTGCATCTCCAGGGCTATATCCCCGGGCCCCGAAGTGTGGAGAGTACATAAGTGGCCGGTATCGCCTGCATACAATTTGTGACAACTTCCCCTTCGTTTCCAAGGCCAATTTCACCTGGGCAGAATTGACAGTAAAACCTGCTTGGCCCAGGAGATCCAGAAGTGGGTACTTGGGTCAAGGGTTGACCGTGAATCGACGTAAGAACTGGACTACATACTGATGACGTCGTCAATGCCAACCTGCTACCAGGAGGCGACTACAAACCAGAATCCAATAAGAATGGCAACTATTTAAATTGCTCTGTCTGTTCTACAATTACTATCTAACATTGAATTCTAAAACATCAATTCCTTACCTTTTATACCTACAATCATGTCTTTCGCACGCTTCGCTCCTATCTTGAGAACCCGGGTTGCCGCTCCCACCACTGGCTACCAGGCAATTCGATCTATCTCTGCTTCTGCATCATACAATAAGGGAGCGGTGGATGCGACCAAGGACACACTGAAGAAAGCTGATCGGACTGTTTCTGATGCTGCCGTCAAGGGCATCAACAAGGGTGGTATGTTTATACAATTACCTATCCCTCTATGACTACAATATACTAACATGCCATTCGCAACAGAACAAGCTGCCCACCACCTCAAGGATGCCGTTAGTGCTGGGGCCAAGAAAGCACAGGACAAGTCTGGTGATGTGAAGGGCGATGCCGCTGAACTAGCAGGCAAGGGCAAGGGCAAGGCCGACGAGGCGCTGGGCCAAGCCAAGGGCAAGGCTAAGGAAGCAGCTGGCGAGGTCGAAGGCAAGGCCCAGGAGGCCAAGAGCAAACTTTGAATTCGTTGCATCCTTTCTGTCCGATAATCCCGATAATCCTTTCGAGCTTGCATGACTATCAATGCCAAATGTATCATTATGTCCTCCATGAGTGAAGTCTTTCAATGTAGGCATAAATCCTCGGTGCTGTAGTTGCCAACGCGACGTAAATAAGCGGCTTGGGTGATACACTTTAGCTCGGGGGTAACATGAGAACGTATTCGCGCGAGCTCAGTCCAAAGCGAATAATATCCTTATCGATGACCTCAACATAGCGACCAGCGGGAATGGTCTCACCATTCACACTGGTGCCATTGGCGCTCTCGAGATCAAGAATATATGGCTTGACCTTGCCAATGCGATCACCGTACTCGTTCCTCTTCTCGACAAATCGAAATTGTAAAACGGCATGCTGCTTCGAGCAGCTGGGATGCTCAACTGGGAAGTCCACGATCATATGCTCTCGACCGACCAACCAGCAACTGCGCTCCCCCAGTTCAACCGTTTCCAACAGATCTTTCCCCTTAAAGACGTACATCCGCCACGCTTCCTTGGACGGTGCTTTTCGCGCCTCGGGAGGCTCATGGTATTTCAAGACGATCCCTCCAGGGGTTCCCTCGACTTGAACGGTATTACTCTCGGCGGCAAGCCTACCGGTAGCGTTGAAATTGGGCTTTTGTTTTTCAGGAGCGGGCGCATCTGAAGTGGGCGCCACATCTGTAAAGGCCTCGTTTTGGGAAGGTAGCGGGCCGCTTCGCTCTAGTGCGCGCGGGGGTGAGCTGCGAGATGGTCGCGGGGAGCGGGAGCGGGAGCGTGCGTCGCGGTGTCTTCGAGATGACCGTCCTTCGTCTTCACGGCGTGAATCGCGATCTCGGTGACTGCGGTGACTGCGGTGCCTGTGGCGACGGTCATCGCGGGAGGTTGATCGTCGGCGTTCGCGTCGGGGTCGATCGCGGTCACTTCGGTCGGTAGTCCTTTCACGTGGGCTGCGGGATGATCTGCGTCGAGGGCTCTCTCGACGGGAGCTCCGGTGCCTATCATCTTGTCGTCTGGAGCTTGAGTAGTGGTCGTCTTGGGAGGTATCACGTCGTCGACGTTCGCGGTGGTGATCTGAGCTCACGGAGCGGCGGCGACGGTCACGTCGCTCATCGCCAGAGCCAGCCATATTGTTTTGCTTTGATTGGCTTGCGGTGGAAGCTTCGAAGTGAGGTATGGACACTTTGGAAGACTGGCTCGAGATCTCAAGCTCCAATAGTTGCACGTGATCCGTCCCGCTCTATGAGTCCCATCAAGGCAGCCCGGTTTTTACTAGAATGGAGGTCTCCACCCTTGATATTCACCTATACAATAGGCAGTGGCCTGGGAAATGGTCTATTCTATTGCTCATCTTAGTGAACATATTTTTACAAAGAACGATGAAGGGGCTGAAGTTGACTCTATTCCTATCAAAAGCCACCTTCTAGGAGCTCGAGCTCCCCGAGTCTTACTCCCTACTTTGGCCTGACTTGCGCTGTACTGGTGAACTTCACCACCTGCTTTTCTTACCAGTCTACTTGTTAGAACTATAACCAGTGCTGGCTAACTATTGCAAGTAAGATGAACAGGATACTTGGAAGTAAGGTGGCTGCATAGTAAAACAAGGTCCCTCACGTGATGGTTCTCCGAACGACCCGTACATCGTACGTAACTTGACCTCAAACCCCAACCTTGGAAGAAGAGAGTCGGGAAACCCCACCGAGCTTTCTTTGACTTCAAAATATGTGACTATGTTCAAGATACCCAGCCATCTTCGCATCGGAAGTCTACAGCTACTGAATTCAAACGTTCCGTTACCATTGCGCCGGACCACCACCCCCCAGCCTCACGGGCCGCAAGCGGCACAAACAAGCAAGTTCTATGCCACTGCCTCGCATTTCCCACATCAGGATTATGCATGGCCCAGCAACTCATCGCTCACCCCCTATGACGTCTTGAACCTACCCCGCGGGGCTCCGTACTCGAAAAGGAACTATTATGACCTCGTCAAGATATACCACCCAGACCGACCCTTGAAAGGCCATCCACTGTCCCACCAATTAACGCCCGAGATCCGATTGCATCGCTACCGTATTGTGGTCGATGCCCACGAGCTTCTCTCCGATCCAAGCCGGCGAGCGTCCTATGACCGGAGCGGTGCGGGCTGGAGCCACACGGTCCTAGATAGAACAACCGAAGAGCCAACTGGCGGGCCGAGTGTCTACGCAAATGCCACATGGGAAGACTGGGAGCGATGGCATAACCGCCACCAGGCCCCACAACGGCATGTTGTTGACCAGCAGACCTTTGTGCGACTTGTGATCCTCCTGGTGCTGTTGGGCGGCGCACTTCAAGCATCCTGGATTGGAAAGGTACATACAGGCTTCGAGGATCGCTTGCGCGAGCTCAATGAAGAGTCGGCGCGCTTCTTGCGGGGTCGCAAAGAAGAAACTGTGAAGCAGATGGTCAGCAACGAGGCCCGCGTGCAGAATTTCCTCATTCGGAGAGATCCCACTGGGGCGGGCTTAAAGGATACAGAGCAATCCGTCTATCAGAAAGAGCTGCACCCCCGCCGTGGGTTGGATAAGGCACGAACTGACGATGAGAATATACCAGAGTCTGGCCAGACCGGGGTGGACATATTGAAAAGTACAGAAGTATCTGATAACTAACGCACATATCTATGATTATACCACATGCCGTGTTATTTTGGCTGAACATATATCTTTTCAGAATTCTTTCTACAAATTTTTTATTTACCAAGCCCTGGAGAGACAAACATCATTAAACAAGCCCGGGGGGGGTAGATACGCGAGTTTGACAGGTCAAGTACCCCTGGCTCCAGGAGCACCAGCTTCACCAGTAGATCTACTGGCCAGATGGACATTTCTGCACAAGAAGCCATACACTACTCCGTAAGCACACCAAGGTCTGTTCAGCTGAAGGTGCAGGTGCAGGTGGTAATCTCATCCAAATGAACCGGCAAGGGCAGGCGCAGGTTTCCGAATATATGCCGAATGACGACACCGGGCAGACTCAGCTGATATCGTCTGAATCGGAGTTCCCAGCCAGATTCGGCACTCCACGGCTGAAAAGGAGTTCATCTTACCCCGGCCATGAACTGGAACATTCCTCACAAGGTTACTCATGAGGAACGCATCCAAAGCCAAAGAAAAGGGGTCTCGACGTCCGGATCGAGCCCACTGAGCGCCACAAGAACCCCCATTGACGTCGGCGGGTCGATCCCCTCGTTTCCAGGGGGGCCTCAGCGGAAAGGCGTCGCAACACCCCGTACTTACAGGTCTTTCTAGACCGTGGATCTGAGAGCATTCAAGGGGGAGAGGCCTATTTGATTGTCTAGACCGCGCAGTTTTCAACGGTATGTGCAATGTCGTTACCGTGCTACATCCAGTGCCTCTACTTCGAGCAGTTACCCTTGATTCTTTTATATTGTGCATGGAAATAGGGATACGTCAGAGGTGGAAAATAGTGGGACTTTATTGAGAACCAGGCCTATCTGCTCACGATCCCGGATATAGAATGTAGACTAAACCAAACCTTGGGATTCTACCGAGACGCCAGGCACCAGGTGTTTCGGGCTGAAGATATTCTAGCGAGGAACACCCGTGGACTGGATGATAGGTCTGATCGGATATGTTGATCGTTGCAAGTGAATCTAAAGTGATTATAATCAAATAGAAGCATAGAGAGATCCCAAGAAAAAAAGAGTCCAGAAGTAAAGAAACCCATTGTAGAGGGTTTTGTTCCAGAAAGGGCGCTACGTCATCGCATCAGAGCAGATGTGGTCACCCACTTTTTCCTTTCAGTTTCCACTTCACTCTATCCCAAATGGGGTATGCTGGGATTATTCTGCTCTCATAACCTGATCGACTATTTTTTTCATTAAGCCCACGCCTTGGCATCTACTTTCCATCCCCTTTGCGACCTCGATGGTCAAGCCACCCGCCGTGTTCCTGCGATTCTCCACCCTGATCCCTCCCCTTTCCCTCCACCGGAGGAGCGAGAATGAGGGATGCCTATAGTCGGGGAGTCCTCCAATCCCCTCTCCAACCGAGATTCTGACGTCTCCTGGTGTTCCTCAATCTCACCCGCAGCCTTTCCGATCGCCCGGCCACCGCCCGCATGTTCACCAATCTCAAAAACTGGTGGATCAACTCGCAGATAGGGTCGACGCTCTGGAGAAGTCAACGTTGAATGCACCGCGGCTATCGCGCGGTGATTCCAACGACCAGGTGTCTGGCCTGACGCCGATGCCCGAGGACACACGATCGCAAGCCGAGCGAGAAGAAGAGCAAGGACGGAGCAACCACACACTGAAAGAGCTACGAAGACAGATGGAAGAGTTGCTCGTTTATCAACAAATGCAACAAACCCAGCCTTCAAACCCACCACAGCCTCAAACCGCGCCCACACTTTCGAATGATACCCCGAGGAAAAGACGATTGTCCGCCTCCCCCACAGATGTCCCGATCACCATCATGCCTCCCTCCACTGGCTCAACGGAGTCAACTGGAACAGTAACGGGAAACGAGCCCCCATCTGGAATTCGCGACCCACACCAGACGCCATCCTATCCATTTCCTCGAATGCAGAATCAAGCGCCGAAACGGGGACTCGAACAAACGGGACGTGGTCAGTTCAAATTGAAACTTCCATCCGAAAACTTCCCGTCTTCGATACCAGAAGACCCAGAGGTGTCTCAAGGCTCCGGAGAGAAGGTGCCACATTTCCTGCCTAATGAGCCCAGCCCGGGCCAGGAAGATCCGAATTTCCCCAGCCCAGACCTCTATGACCTGACACTTCAGCTGAATGCAGATTCAGGACTGGAAGCATGGTGGTCGAATCTCATCGAGATTATGCAGACTAACTACGGCGCTGAACGTGTCTCGCTCGCTGTACCGGGAGATGTGACCGACCTAGAGAATGTACCCTGGGGCCAAAAGGCAGTCTTCAACCAAAATGTTGAGACTTCAATCGAAGACATCAGAATGCGCCATCTCAACAAGGGCCCATCAACCGAGACTGCTCAGTCTCGCAAGAGCCAAACCACAAGAAAGCCGGAGCCAGACCTGCAACAGACTAGAGCACCTGGATCTCCCCGACCATCTTTACTAATGCGTCACTCTTTCGCTGGATTCGACAAACAAAAGACGCAAGCCCAGGCCGAGAAGAAGCATGTACAAATCGCGGATCAAACACAGTCATTTGCGTGCCAAGCAAACGAGAAGGATGATACAGAACCTGAAGATGATAGCCTCAATGCTCTCCTCGGGGATATGCGGCAGGCCGTGTTCCCAATATCCAGACCCTTGGAGGTGGAGCACGATTCTTTAATCAAGCGCACAGGCGTGGTGAGGTTGTTTGGACGCACTCGTCCTACCATTTTGACCCGCGAATACTCAGATACCTCGCCACCATACTCGCAAGCTTGGACGGACCCTGTGAAGAGTCCAAATGAGATGGTCCAAGTCACCCCCGATGCCGGTGGGCCCACCACTAGGGAACAGGAACATGCTACGATACAACGCAACATTGCTTCGCTTGGGTTGAGACTCTATGATGAATATGAGCAGGTTCCCCAATCTCCTTGGTCTCAGTCTCCTGCCCCGTCACCAGCACCCCGCACACATGCAGACAATAATCCTTTCTTCACAAACCACTCCGTTGACGAGGGTGCCTTTTCTCAAAACCCGCCTTCACACGACTACTCCAACAACATGCCTCTAGAAGCGATCGGTATCGATCAGTCGAAGACGGTGATCCATATTCCTCTGATACATGGTGGCAACTCCAATCGGAGTGCCTCGTCGACGTTGAGGTTCCCTGTTGCGATTGTGTCAATGCTGTGCACAATCGTCCCGTACCCAGCCAACCTGAGGCAGTCACTTGCATTCCTGATGCCACATCTGACAACATCATTCTGTTTAGCGCAACGTTACAGTCAGCTTGAAAGGCAACTGTCGTCAAAGGTGGAGAGTCCTCGTTATGGACATCTTCTAGGCCTTGGTGGCACGTTCTCCGACGCAAGTAGTGAGCTGGAATTCGTGGCAGGACTAAGCGGCCATGTCAGCTACTCTGTCGGCGACAACAACAACGCAATGTCTAACCAGGCCAGCATTCCTAGCCCTAGTGATCATTCTTCCGCGAAGTATAGTCCTGCCATGTCCGCGCTCGGAACACCGGGCTTCGAGCTTGGCCATCTAGGTTTTGGATCTGCCACGCAGTCGCCAGGATGGACATCACGTTCTGTTGGAGAGGGTGCTGACAGCTATTTCAATGTTGCGCAACACAAAGCCTCTCGAGATCATGCTTCCCAAACCAGACCACGTCTCCACAAGGCTAGAACCAACTTTGAGAGCTTGGATACTATCTCTCCGGGGAGACCCGCAGGAAAACTATCATCAAGTGAGGAGCAAGGCTCGCAAGATTCTTTTGTTTTGTCACCGTCACAAGAGATGAGGCCGCCACATGCTCTGTCGCCAACCCAGCATTCATCTCGCCAAGCATCTACAAACTCGCTCTATGCTCAGCTGCAAAGGGAGCTTCCGCGTCCATTCTCTGATACGATAGCTCAGTTGATGCTCAATTCGATTCCACTGCATCTGTACTTGGCAAAGCCACAGAGTGGCGAGGTTATCTGGACTAACTCCAAGTTTGACGCTTACCGAAGGAGTCAACATCAAGAGCAAAGATTGCGGGATCCCTGGCAAAATATACACAGCAGTGAGCGCGAGCATGTGAGTAACCAATGGGCTACTGCGTTGTCCACAGGCGCCCAGTTCACTGAAAGGGTGCGAGTCCGAAGATTCAACGACGAATCAGCATATCGCTGGTTCATCTTCCGGGCTAACCCGCTACTATCTTCTACGGGAGAAGTCTTGTATTGGATCGGATCTTTCCTCGATATCCACGAGCAACACATTGCTGAATTGGAAGCCACGCAAGAAAGGGAGAAGTTTGCCATCGATGCTAAGTATCGGGCATTTTCCAATTCCATCCCACAGGTCGTTTTCGAGGCCACAGAAAACCGCGGACTGATCTTCGTCAACGAACAGTGGAATCTGTACACGGGCCAAACCATCGAGGAAGCTCATGATCTGGGCTTCGCCAAACACGTGCATCCCGACGACCTCGAAAAGTGTGGTGGGCTCTCACTCAACAAAGCAGTCAATGCCCTCGATGATGACAATGGAAAGCCGTCCGAATTCATGGTTGGTTCGGCTTTAGATGAACTTGTCAAACGCGGCGTTGCTTCCTTGCAAAAGGATGAGAATGGTCGAGTGTTCTATTCCACAGAGATTCGTCTTCGTTCTCGCGGTGGCGACTTCCGCTGGCACTTGGTTCGTTTGGTTCGCGTGCAGACTAGCAGTTTCGGCAGCGAGGAAGCTTCTTGGTACGGAACTTGTACTGACATCAACGACCGCAAGAACCTTGAAAGAGAACTGAACAAGGCCATGCAACAACTGAATAACCAGATGGAGTCAAAGACAAAATTCTTCAGTAACATGTCGCATGAGATCCGAACACCGCTCAATGGTATCCTCGGTACCATTCCGTTCATCCTGGACACCCAGCTTGATAGTGACCAGAGACGAATGCTTGACACCATTCAAAACAGCTCCACCAACCTCCGCGAGCTGGTGGACAACATCCTCGACGTTTCTCGCGTTGAAGCCGGCAAGATGTCAATGGTCAATTCATGGTTCCATGTGCGGTCGATGATTGAGGATGTGATTGATACTATTGCTTCAAGAGCGATTGACAAGGGTCTTGAAATCAACTATCTCATCGGCGAAGATGTGCCATCAATGGTCATCGGAGATCGGTTCCGAATTCGTCAAGTCTTGATCAATCTTCTCGGTAACGCAGTCAAGTTTACTGCACAGGGCGAAATTCATATTGGCTGTGAGATGCACCGCACTGAGCCTGGAAGTCCCCAGGACACTCGCGCTTTCATGAACTTTGAGGTCGTGGACACTGGCAAAGGATTTAGCTCTCATGATGCAGAGCGGTTGATGCAACGGTTCAGTCAACTCGGAGAGAATGGGTCTCAGCAACATGCAGGCAGCGGTCTGGGTCTCTTCCTGTCGAAGCAACTTGTCGAAATGCATGGCGGCAAATTGACTCCGAGCAGTAAAGAAGGCCAAGGTGCGAAATTCTCGTTCAACGTCAAGGTTGATGCACCACCGCCCCCATCCCCGTCTGAGCAACCAAGCTTGCTTCGCCAGAGTTCGAGTGCCTCAAGAAGACCTACTGGCTCCAGAACAACTTCTTACCAGAAAGCACCGCCACTGGTTCCCAAACACTCGGACTCGTCCAACAAAAGTTCTAACCCGAGCATCACATCACTTTCCGTTGCATCTTCAGCTCTCTCTACCCCCGACATTGCCCCATTGCCGCCTGCGGCGGATCAAACGAGTGCCGTGGCACATATGCCAGATGTGGTCTCAAAGTCACACATCCAAGCCGCCGCCACGAAGTCCGGCTCATCACCGAGCCGAGATTCGCCTATTTCCCAAGCATCTGCCTCGCCAGGCACTCCCATCGGAAATGTAGCGGTGCCTTCCCATGGCACTTTCTCCATCGTCATCTTGTGTCAGCTTGAGCACTCCAGGAAAGCTATCAAACAACACATCCAGCACGTTGTGCCTCACGAAATCCCCTTCAAAGTGAAGACTCTTCCCGATGTGGATGAATGGAAAGATATGATGCACCTTGCTTCCGATTCCCAACCATGCACGCATCTTGTTCTTAATCTTTCCACTGATGATATCTTGGAGGTCATCCAAAATGTTTCTGACATGCCAAGGGACGCTGCTCCAGTTGTCGTGATCATCGCAGACCTTTACCAAAAGCGTCAGATCAGCACTCGGGTCAAAGAGCTGGCAGGCCTTGGAATTCAAGTATTCATTGTGCCAAAACCTGTCAAGCCTTCTGCTTTCTCCGCTATCTTCGATCCCGAAAGCAAGCGTGAGCTGAGCAAGGATCGCAATCAAGACATGGCCCGTGAGATCAACAACAACTTCAAGACTGTGTCCAAGATGGTCAAAGAAGTTTTGGGCAATAAGGGCTACCGAGTCTTACTTGTTGAAGATGATGAAACCAATCGCGATGTAAGTTTGTCTGCGCTCGACTTGTGGGAATTAAACACTAATACATTTTCAGGTCATGCTGAAATACCTGGACAAGATCAAACTGATGTCAGAGACTGCCTCTAATGGATTGGAATGCACCAACATGGTGCTCTCCAAAGAACCGGGTTATTATTCTCTCATCATTGTAAGTGAACATCATTATCTCTTCTTTTCACAGCTAACAAGTTCGATTTGCAGTGTGACATCCAAATGCCTATCAAGAATGGATACGAAACCTGCAAAGACATTCGTGACTGGGAGCAAAGGAACCACTACCCACAGATTCCTATCATGGCTCTCTCCGCAAACGCCATGACTGATCAAATTGAGAATGCGGCTCGTGCAGGATTCAACGACTATGTGACCAAGCCGATCAAACACAACGAACTGGGCAAGATGATGATGGGTCTTCTCGACCCTGCTCGACCACTCTTGCTCCTCCGTGATCGTCTTCGCGCAGAGCGCCAAAATCCCCCTGCTCGCTAGAGACCCCATCAGGTCTTATCATACGATATACTACAACCATACAGGTCACCTTTGACCACAACCTTCCTTGCTACTTACCTAGCATGTTTTTGTTTTATTACTTTTTACTTTTTACTTTTTGTTTTTGTTGCCAGCTTTATATATCCTCCGGTTTTGCATTCGAATCCCTCACGACAGACCACGGAGCGACTGCTTTTTTTTTTCCTTCTTGGTTTTTGGCTTCTGGGCGGAGAGTGTTTTCAGCTTTTGGTTTACCCAGGGGCATCGGATATTTGAACAAGAACACAAGAACACAACACAACCTCATGTCTCTGTGTGTTGCATGCTGTTCCCGGCTGGTCCCACCACTGCCCTGGGTTTTAAACAGTCTCAGACCATATTCTTATGCATTGGGTCTCGCGCCGTTTATACTAGCCCCCCAGCATTTGCATAGGGTTGGATGGGCGCTTATGTTTATATTAGCTTATTATTATCTTGCCCGGGCTGTCTTGTCTTTTGAACCCAGATCTTCTTCTATATGCTTCTCAACCCCATACATCATGGCGCCAGCGCTTGCACTGTCTTGCTTTTTTGCAAAGAAAGTTGGATTTATCTTTGCTCTCGCTATTTTCTTGCTCCACGCTTACGATACCAGACTTTATAAGCGCATGACATTTCTTTTCTGGACTTGTATTTGTTAATGAATTATTTCTTTCTCTTCTTAATCTATGGATGTTCACGTGGTGTTCTTTCCCCCTTACTTCCAGGGCTTGTCCAGGCGGTGTGCATAGACAGTGCTCAGAGCAGGTTCTCCAGGGATGAAGTATACCCGTGAACATGTCATTGAGACTTACCCATAATCCAAGATTATTGCATTATTACTATCTCAAATAGATATCTGGTCGTTCAATAAACAGCGTTATAATGAAAGGATTGAAAATAATTCATTGTTCTTAGTGTTCCGAGAATCTGACGTGCATAAGAACTAATGATGGGAAACACCAAACCTTAGGCCAGAGGGGGCTGGAAAATCCCATGCCGGTTAGGCATCAAGAGCAGAATGCAAAAATGCAAAATGTAAGGCGTGGATTATGAATCATTGCACTCAAAGTCTATAAACCCAACAATTCAAGCCAATCGGATTCGAGAGGCTGATTGAACTTTTCCAGCCCAGAGCCAATTCTTCGTATGGAAAGCTTTGTGGTGAATGTGAGAGATAGAATCAGAGATATACTCTATACCTCATCCCTCGTAGAGTATACTTATAGTACTTCGTAGGAATGTTAGGATGTTGAAAATTGAAAGGTGACAGCACAAGACCCCAAAAGGGTAAAGTGAGTGAGTTGGCCACGGCCAGTTAGGGCGCTGCATGTGGCGGTGTAGAGCACTCCACCCCCACTTGTGCGTTGGAAAGTATTTTGACTTGGAATTGGAATTGTCGATCCAGAGTAATGGCCTTGGTGAATTAGACCTCGAAATCAGTAGATCAAAGGGTCAATAAAATCCGGATAGTTTTGGGCATTTCGGACTGAAACAGCCCGTGTAACCCTCTGGCGGGTTATGAGTTTTCGCTGTATACGAACATCGTAAGAATGAAATGATCTGAATGGAGGGATCAGGAGATTAGTGGGAAGATGATGACGAAAAGGAACAAAAAGGTTTCGAGGGTTTGAATTTTTTGTGCTGCGCGTCATTTGGTGCCGTGCTGCCCGATGCTGGTCTAGCCGAATGGAACACCAGGCCCAGTCATCAAATGGAAAAAAGGCATTCCTGCAGGACTTTCCTGGGGATTGGGACAATGGACGAGGGGGACTGGGGGACCGGGTGGCACAGGGCTCGGTAGCATTGTGTTGGGTTGACGGGGCATATTGTGAGTCGTCAGGCTGCAAGGCATGCAGGTAAATGATGTTTTTTTCTTTTTGATAGTGAGCGAGCTGTACTCCGTATCAACAGGGGGAATTGGCAATAGCCAGGCAGATCCAGATCAGACACCCGGACCTCGGAGGGTGTGCCCTGTAAGAGCTTTATAGTTCCCACCTATTCGGGCCTGCGTGGTCTTGATGTCAGCAAGTATCTGGGACCAATGACGAGGAGCTTGGTGCGGCACAGCATGTCTCCAATTGTGGTTCCGACGGGCTTGCAGTGAAGGCCCCCTTCCTCATACATGCCCCATAAATGTGCTCAAGCAAGTCATCGGTCGTCTGCATAGAGTGGGGAGGGCGTGCTCGTCTTCCCACGTTGATGGGCGTCTAGAGCGCTTGTCAATGCAACAGTGCTGTCTCTTTCCCGCTATCAAAAGGTCGGATATTCATTGGTGGACCCATAGGGAGAAGGGCTTTGCTTCGTGTGCAGCAATAATAGCCGCATCCAGGCGGGCAAACGGAGAGACAAGGATGGTCTGTCTTTTTTTTTCTCTTGAAATTTTCATTTCCTCCCAGTCATTCGACTCGAGCTTCTCATACATTGGTCGTACGATTTGCCGTCTTGCACATCAATTACCGGGATGATTCTTGTTCGAACCTTGCACGACCAAAAGCATGGGGCCACAGAATCGGCTGTAGGAACAGTGCTCCCTTCAAATCACCGGCGTTCATTCCACAGTTCGTCGGTTCATGCAGTGATGTCCAACATTGATCTTCCGTGTGACCCTAATCGCTTGGACGGTTGTGCAGCCGATCCTCGATTTTGGGCTCTTGGGCTCCGAAATGATGTAAGGCCGTAAGACATTTGATTTTCTTTTCGGGATGAAAGCCGGTGATGAAATCTCATTTCTCCAGTCTTTGTGAGTAAACTGCAAGAGAATACTAATTGCCTTTCAAGCTCGTCAGTGGTGAACAGTTAGAAAGGGGCCGGAATTGGTATATCATGCCGTGTGTAGTTCGTCTTATCTCAGAACGTCCAATCAACCTTGACCGTCGAACCAACATCCCTCCCAGCCACCGAATTTCCGAGAAAAATTAGATTCAACGGGGACCGGTGTGGAAAGGTGGGAGAGGTAGGAATTGAAAGATGTCAAAATTCTCAGTCCGGGAGAAATTGGGGGTAGGAAGGACCGGAAGGCCGGTATTTATATCTCGCGTTCCCACCACACTTCCGCTGTCCACCAACCCACCATGCGCTCCATTTCTACCCAATTCTTGAAAATTTCCAGTCGACGCTTTGGCCCCAAAAGTTAGACCAAGTGGAGAGGCGTAGATCGAGACCGGTTTTGTACCAAGCCGCCACGGCACGGCGGAAACCCTAGTGGAGGAAGGCCGGCATCCTGGACCAGACACATTGAGCCTTTTTTTCCACCCTGGGCGGGGTCAAGGGGGTCCAAGAGACAAATGGGCGGGCAGATACGGAGACAAAGGTGCAGACGGAGCTCGGGGATTGGGAGCACAGAGGAGGGGTGCGAATCAATGTGTCCCAAATGGCCCAATGGCTCATTCGAGGCCTTTGTATCCTTGCCATCATACTCGCCTCCCATGTCAGGATGTGGGCGTCCGCCGGAGGGATAAATCCCCGCGGAAGGTTATAAAATCCCCCGTCTAGCCCGACTGAGGTTGTTCTTCCTTCCTCTTCCTCTCTCATCCCTCCCAGTCCGGCCCGTTTGCACTTTTTTTGCAAGACACCTTCGCTCACCTTCTTGCCTCACCTCGTCTCACTGAAGACCAATTGAGGACCTTACCTCTTCTGAGCTTGCTTTATATACCTGCTGTCGCAGTCAATCATCGTCATGGCCACTCAACGTCACTACTACCAGCCCGCCGCCTACCCTTACCACACCCCTTCCAAGGCGCCGGCGCCGGCGGCTATGTACCCCATCTCTCGAGTTCCTGGCTCCCCGCCAGACTACTCTGATGCGAGTACCACCGCAGGCAGTCGTTCGTCTGGCGGGCTCACTTTCAGCTCCGCTGGCCGCAGCTATGAATCTAGCTCGGCGTCCTATTCAGGTGTCGATGTCGTCGACATGGTAAATGATAGAATGCAGGATGCATTCGACCCAACGCCCTTGGATAGGGGTTTGGCACGACAGGCGCAAACGTGAGTATCTCTGCAGCGAAACGCAGTTTCCACAAGATTCTGTATCAATGATAAACTGGGGATCACCATTCGCAAGTGCAATGGCAGGACACCAGCAAACGCAGAATTCAAGCTGACGAGAAGTCGGTATCTAGTTCTGGCCAGCTCAACGCAAAGCAGCAAGAACTGCTCGAATTGCAAGCAATGGCGCAACGACGACTCAAAGGCGTGCGATCAAATTTCAACGAAGGTCTTAGAACAGCACGAGAGACGAAGCGCGATCTTGAGTGGACTCAAAAGCGTGTCAGGTAAGCATGCAAACCCCTGAAAACCCCCCTTCATGAAACGATGGACGTGCAAATTCCGCTCCGCTCCGCGACAGGGGCTTCCGCTCCGCCGGACGAGCTTGGCACGTGCATGTCGATCTGCACTGTCCCTGCGCCGTTAGCGCCTACCGGGATTCTAGAAGGCTGACGCACGCGGCTGAATATAGTGCCCTGAAGACTAAGGCCGAGAAGGCCCACCCGGAAGAGTACCGACGGTCTTCGAAGAAGTACGCCTATGACGAGTACTGATCGGACCGAGCGTGTCTGGGTAGGCTTTGTGATGACTGATATGAACAGATGGACAAAATTCGGACTCATGGGGTGAGATGGGAGGATGGCTCTCTTTAATGTGTATTGGCGTTCTTTTTTGCGGGGCTGTGTATATTTGGATTGGAAATTTGTATATCTCGAAGTATAGTGGGAGGAATTCTCTCAATTGGACTGGCTTTACCTGTTTTGGGGTGTTCTGTGGAGCTAGGCAGTCGTGCATGTAGACGTGTCATATTGGGCTTGTAGTTCGAACAAAGAGACACCTCAGGCTGCCTGTAGTGTATTGGGGTTGTACGGAGTGATCCTGGTGTCAGCGACTGGGATTGATGCCTGTCGTCGTCTGGTACGACCGGATAAATGCGGCTCGCTGGGCGTTGAGGGCATATGGAGGTCTCTCTCAAACGGCCTTAGCCATTGGCTAACACGGTTTTATCTTCTTAGTATACCTACCTTGTGGCCATGACCCTTCCTCCTGGACAATCCCTGATTCAAATAACGGTAGGACTCAATCAATTACGGGCTTATTTGAACTAGAGGGTGATATGCTGCAATCGGGGGCCCATGATCTCCCGTCTTTGTGGTTCAGCAACCCTAGACTAGACCTCTTGATGCATGGACCAACCTTGGAAAGTCGTATGCTTCGGGAACCTTGGCCGGACATCAGTTCCAAGGTTGTTTTCAGCTTTTAATTGAGTCGAATGTATTATAGGATCATTGGTAACTTTGGACTCTTGGAAGGTTTCTTGATATAAATATCAGTTTATTTCAATTGACAGACAGTATTGTCAAAAGGCTCGGTGTCTCCAAAAGGCCATAGGCTGTATTATTTACTGGAAGCTCTGTTCCTCCTCAATAGCACGATTGATCACGCGAACGAAGCGGCCGACCTTGTCAGAATCCTGCTTCGCCGTCTCAATACCCAGAAGAATCTTCTTGATACCCACACTCAGGCGTCCATCGTCTGCAAGACCGCCAACCGATTCAAGTGCTCGCGCAATCTCTTGGGCGTCAAAGTCACCCGACTGCTCCATGACATGGCGGAGCTCACCGAAGGAGCTCACGTTGGGGACCATGATGTCCGAGTTGAAAGAATTGTAGATGTCAAGCTGCTTCATCAAAGCACGCTCAGTAGTCGTAGCAAGAACCAACAGGCGGCGTCCATGCGTGGGTTGCTTTCTCAGGAACACCATGAGAGTTTGCAGCACACTGTTGCTGAAGCGAGGGCCGATAGGCACCCAATCGATGATGCGCTCGATGTTGTCGATAACGACGATACTGGTGGTACTCTTATACGCACTGTCAAAGATTCGGCTAATGTGCGAGATTTTGGCCGCTTCGTTGAAGCCAACCATGTCCTCCGGGCTGATCAGCTTGATGAAAGGGAAACCAGAGTCAATGGCAATTCGCGCCGCCAGGGCGGTCTTGCCGCTGCTTGGTGGGCCGTGGAACAGCACGGAGAATAGTGGTGTGGATTCGGCCTTTCCGACCTGCTTCACGAACAGCTCACCTTCCCGCAAAATCTCACTGATTGTTTGAGAGTAGTGGATGATACCGTAAGCGATACGGCTGGAAAGCTCCTCTTCGGACACACCGAAGGCAGGCTTGACTTCTTCAAGTGATTTGAGGAAATCTTCCCGCTGAACTTTCATGTTCACGACATCGTCATCGATGCTAGCCATAGTGCCCACTTTGACGTGACGCGAGAATGCAAAAGATGAGGCAGACTTGACCAGACCTGCGATCTCGGCACCTGAAAAGTTCTTGGTTAGGTGGGCAAGCTCGGCCAGATTGACATCTGGAGCCATGACATTGTTGACTCGCATCTTCTCCGTGTGGATGTTGAGAATCTGGCTTCGGCCATGCTCGTCAGGGAGCGAGATTTCCATGTGCACCTCCAGACGACCGGGACGCAGCAAAGCTTCATCAATCATGTCCATTCGGTTCGTCATTCCAATCAGCAGGATGTTGTTCAGCTGGTCAACACCATCAAGCTTGGAAAGAAGCTGGTTCACAACACTATCACCGACACCGGTACCGCCACCGGCTCCGCTGCCACGCTGCTTGCACACTGCATCAAGCTCGTCGAAAATAATGATGTGAAGACCGCTCTCGTCGCCCTTTTGCTTGTATTCCTGTTCGGCATCTGCGAACATCTTCCGGATATTCTCCTCGGATGCACCGACATATTTGTTGAGAACCTCGGGACCGTTGATGATCTTAGGTTCTCTGGCGTTGAGCATCTTTCCAATTTGCCGAGCGATCAAGGTCTTACCGGTTCCCGGAGGACCGTAGAGCAGCAAACCTTTGACGTGCTGAATACCCAATTTTTCAACAAGTCCAGGAGGGAAGATACGAGACGCGAAAGCACGACGGAAGATAGTGCTGAACTCGGAGTCCAAACCACCAATACCCATATCCTCAAATTTGAAGCCGGGTTGGATGATAGAGTTGGCTGCCGGGCGACGACTGGATGCCTTCACGTTGATGCCGGTTCTGGAATCTTTGTAGAAATTCAATTGGGTGTGCCGTGTGAGAATTCCTCTAGCCGTGGGAATGGTCTCAACTTCACCAGATCCTTGTGCCTTTTCTGAAGTCAAGTCAACACGCTGAACCGTCTTGACCTCCAAGTACAGCGGAATGCTCTTGTTATCCATCAGGATCATCTGACCAGGCGAGAATAGTTGGTTCTCGAAGTTCTGAAGGTTGTTAGCAGGAATTACTACAATCAATGATCACTACATACCCTGATAACAGCCTGTGCCAATTCATCCTGATCATAAGGGGCCTCGGGCTTCTTCTTGGGCAAGTTAGACGCGAAGCTAACTTCGATATCCGCAGATCCGAGGTAGGCCTGGCCACCTTGACTGAAGGGATCATAGAGCTGAACTTTGATTGTATCTCTAATTCCAATTTTGGCCCATTTTCGCTGAGCCTCTGACATGCCAATGTAGCCGGGAGGACAGCCATCACTGGGTCCATCGTAGGGACGAGCGGAAAAGACGAAAAGATCGTTGATTAAGAGGAAGAGGTCGGTACCATCTCGGGTAGGTGGGATGTCCTGGGGCGAAACGGCGACACTGTACTTTTTGTTAGCAATGCAATGATGTTTGGTGAAATATCAGCCAGGTGTACTCACAGGTTACCGAATGTGTAGTTGTCATTTGGGCTCCTTGTCGGTTGAAGGTTCCAAGTTGGGCCTGGGCCTCTTTGTCCCCTTGCCGGCATCTGCTGAGGCGGCGGGCCTCCATGTCCTCTATAATCACAATGAAATATATCAGCGATTGGGATTCATCACATGTAGCTACTGCATATCCTGCACGCAACTGGGGCGATCGCGATCATACCGTGGGGGTGCCTGGCTGGGGCTCGAGTAGCCCTGCGAAGGTGGGTTTCCACCGGAACTGAAAGGATTCGGAATATTGCCGCGATTGAACATGGTGCAATGAATCTGTCGCAAAGCGAGACGGCTGAAGGGAAGATTGTAGAAGCTGTCTTAGGCCACGGTGTCGGGAATCCAGCAGGCAACTACTTTGAAAGCTGGTAGCTGAGCGCACTCTCAATATGGAGTACCAAGATTATGTGTTGAAGGGCTGTCTTCACGAATGCCCGAGGTAAAATAAGTGTAGAGGGGAGAATAAGATGTGGCAGCCGTGAAGCTGTTGGGCACTTTGGCCACTCGGGGGCAGCGTCGGCCCGTGGGGACGTCATTTACGATAGCTGTTATCGGCCCTCACCATCTGCACAACTCCACCTCGCAGTATGCCTCTGTGAGTTTTATTCCCAGCGCCTTCATTCGATCCTTGACGCAAATTAGCTGACCGAGTTCTTGCAGCCATCTTCTAGGCAAAAAGTCATGGAACGTCTACAACCAAGACAACGTCGCCCGCGTACGGCGCGACGAGGCACAGGCACAGGCCCGCGAAGAAGAAAATGATCGTCTCATGCAAGAAGCAGATGCCGAGCGCAGAATTAAACTTCTTCGCGGTGAATCTGTATCTCCACCTCCGCCACCTCCACAACAAACTGGCTCAGAGACACTACCAAAGAGACAGCGCTCGGACGACCCGACAAAGCCCTACAAAAGAAGGCGGGTCGCTGGTGAGAATGACACAGATCGGGATATACGGTACGCTCGAGAAGATGCGGCCCAAGCAGCGGCTAAACGCGAAGAGCTCGTGGTAGCCTCGCGCAAATCTGGTACCGCAGAAGAACCGATACTTGACAGTGCCGGTCATATCAACCTGTTCCCTTCCGCGAAAGCCAAATCAGAGAAGAACCCCGAGGCCGAAGCCGAAGCGGCACGGAAGAAACGCAGTTTTGAAGATCAGTACACAATGAGGTTCTCTAACGCAGCTGGATTTAAGGAAACGGTGGATCGGAAGCCTTGGTATTCATCTACAGACAAGGAAGCAATGGCGCCGGGCCCAACTGCTGGGAAAGATGTGTGGGGTAACGAAGATCCGCGGCGCCAGGAGAGGGCACAAGCTCGTATGAGTGCTACTGATCCACTTGCAGCTATGAAGCGGGGTGTGCGACAATTGAAGACGTCAGAGCAGGAGCGGAAAAGATGGAACGAGGAAAAGCGCCGAGAGCTGGATGTCTTGAAGGCAGAGGAGGCAAAGAAATCTCGACGCCGGCCTTCCCGATCGCCATCAGTAGACAGCCTTGATGGCTTCAGATTGGATGCGCCACGCAAAAGAAATGAGAAGGATCGCAGAAGCTCTGGTGGACACGAGCGCCGGCATCGCGATCGAAGTCATGATCGATCTCATCGTCACAGGGATCGAAGCCGCGAGCGCTCACATCGTCGTCGATCTGAAGGTCATTCTTCTCACCACAAGCATCGCTCTCGTCACGGTGAAGCCTCTGGGGATCCCCGGCGTTCGAGTTATTCTGCCCCCAAGAGCCGTGACTGATCCTGGTTTTTATGAGACCCTACAACTGCAAATATGATAACGATACCCAAATGCTATTTTTTGATTGCACATATCTATTACGTGCTTTGAGTCACAAAAGTAATAACCAAAACAAGCCATGTTATATGCAAGTGGTCACAAGTATTTCTTGGACCATCATAAACGTAAATTCATGTCATCAGCAACTATTGGAGGCTCCAAAGCTGGACACCCTTCTCAGTGCTGCTAGAATCCCACTGGACACTAATGTCAACTCCACGAGAGCCCTTCTCGGTCTTCTCGTAGCCGACCTTGCCAGAGAGGACCTGGCCCTTCTTCAAAGCCTGAGAACCCTGCTTGGCATTGTCCTTGGCGTGATCAATGAGCAGGACAGTCTGCTGCCAGTGTGTCTCGGTTCCGTGAGGTCCAGTGGTGAACGAAACAACTCCCTTCTTGGACATCTCTGAAGGAATTGCGTTTTCAGGAAGAACAGACTCGCTGGAAGGCATGAAGAAGATATCGAACCAGATAGCCCAGCCATCCAATGCATCGATGTCCTGGTCCAGAGTGACCTGGAACTCCTTCAGGAACGACAGCTCCTCGACAGTAATGGTGTGGAGAGGAAGTGTCAAGAAGATTTGGGAGTCTCCAACGATGGACTGAGGCTGGATGCTGCGCACCACTGCCTCATCGTAGATCTTGTGAAGCATGCTGTCCATCTTGAAACCATACACGTTGTTCCAGAAGGAGATGTGGGATGCGATGAAGTCGGGGTCGGCATAAGGAGCCAGACGCATGGTGGCATGCGAGGGAGCCATGAGACCACCGGGAACAAGGTAACGATCTCTGGCGTAGATGACAGAGTCAAACATGGCCTCGAACAAAAGACCGTATCCCATCCATTCAGAGATAATGATGTCGACCTTCTCGACGGGGAGTGTGACCTCCTCGATCTTACCACGGATGCATCTAAAGCACAGTCAGTATTGTCTCCCACTTGGGACTAGTAGGTGACATACGTGATCACATCGCCGAGGCCGTTGTCGTGAACAATCTCCTTAGCACGATCAATGATGTTCGAGTTGTCCACGGCAATGACCTTCTTTGCGCCAGCCTTGGCGCAGAACATGGACAGAATACCAGTTCCACATCCAACATCAAGGACAACCTTGTCCTTGAAAACGTTCTTGTTCTCGTACACAAAGTCACGGTAAGAATCGGTACGAACGGCATCCTTGAGCATAGACTCATGGATAGCTGAGGGCCATGTTAGCGATAAATCAACCTTTCTGCTAGACAAGGAAACCCACCGTTGTAAGCGTACGAGACGAAGTAACCGTCATCAGCTTCCTGGAGTCTATCAACGGTGTGCGCCGAGGGCTTGGAAGTAGCCTCGGCAAGCTTCTCGTCCTCCTTTGACAATTGGTCATCCATAGATTTCTGCACGGCCTGACGGTACTCGGAGAATTGAGTTTGCAACTGCTCCAGCTTCTCCTGGAGTTCATTGACCTGTCGGTTGGTTTCGGCGCTAGGGGCAGATTCGTCGCCTTGCTCTTCGGTCAGGTCATCCAAGCTGTACAGAAGAGCGTCATCTTCCAAAACGGGCTTGAGGTAGGCATCGTCCTCGAACTTGGACTTGGATGAGACATCCGGGTTGCTGTTTCCGTTCTTCACTTCGCTTCGGACGTAGTTGACCAGCTTGATGTTGTCAAGGAAGTCGAGGTCTATGAAATGCAGAGTGGTGAGTTAGTACAATAGTTACGTTGCTCGAGTGTGGTTCCTTGAACGCCTGGCGCAAAGCAGAATTGGGACATACCAAGATCTTTCTGGATTTTGAGCAAGTCAAAGTTGTACTTTTCCTTGCATTCCTTCAGCATTGACCGCGCATCTGGGTACACCTGCTCGGAGAAAAGTCCAACCACGGGCTGCGACTCCTCATCGGCTTCAACATCTTCCCAACCCTCTTCATTGCTGGTATCGGACGAATCGGAGACGGAACGGTTGTCAGCGAAGCTCTCACCAACAGGTGGCTTCACATTTTCGGAGGCAGACATGACAATGTATAATCAGGATTAAATCGTTCTAAAAGAAAAAGAAGATCGACCCTAGCGCAGAGGAGGGGCAGAGATAGCAATTTTGATAAAAAAAAAAGTCCCGTTATCAGTTGCGGCCTCAGGCATAACCCCGGTTGCCCCGCCCCAGGTTTGTTTATTCCTGGAATACATCACATTTGTTTCCTTGGAACACTGCTCGACTCCCCCTTCGGTCGGAATTGGAAGTTCAATGCCTTGATCTCTAGTTTTCTTCTCAATCTCATACATACCTCCTCATCTCATCATGGCTTTCTTTTTCAATCGCGGCCGGTCGCGACAGCCCGCCGACATCGTTCGGTCAACCAAGGAGCTATTATTAAGGATTCATGATTCCCAGAATGCCCCCAAGGTTCGTTCCAACCATCTCTGGAAGACTCTATTTCTCATGGATTACCCAGGCCGAAGAAGAGCTTGCCAAGCAGCTCAGTCAAATGAAGGTGATGGTACAAGGAACACAAGGTCAGCCGCTCAGAAACCACAAGAGCGATCAATGAATGGATCACTCATTTCATGCAATAGAGATCAGCACATCGCCCGACCAAGTCCATGCTCTCGTTCAAGCAACCCTACAAGAAGACCTCCTCTTTGATCTAGCCCAGAGCATCCATTTGCTCCCATTCGAAGCCCGAAAAGACACCCAAACTATATTCTCCCATATCCTGCGCTTCCGGCCGGTTTCATATGCAGACGATAAAGATCCTCCCGTTATCTCATATTTGGTCCACCACCGACCAGAAGTCATCGTGGAATTATGTCGGGGGTACATGCAACCCCAGAGTGCAATGCCCTGTGGTGTCATTCTTCGAGAAGCACTGAAGCATGACGTGATCACTGCAATCGTTCTATATGACCAGTCTAGTGAAGGAGAATCTGCTATCCGACTCTCGGAGGTGAAACCGAATCTCCCACAAAGGGGAGATGGTGTGTTTTGGCGATTCTTTGATTGGATCGACAAAAGCAATTTTGAAGTGAGCGCAGATGCATTCACCACATTCCGAGTAAGGAGCCAGCCCAAATCTAAACCTCTTGATGCAGTAATTGACTATATATGTCGCAGGAAATTGTCACTCGCCATAAGAGCCTTGTGACTTCATATCTGGCCACTAACTTTGAGCTATTCTTCGGACGATTTAACAACATCCTTGTTCACTCAGACTCGTATGTGACCAAGCGGCAGAGTATCAAGCTTCTGGGGGAGATCTTGTTGGACCGTGCGAACTACAATGTCATGATGGCATATGTGGAGAGCGGGGACAATCTGAAGCTCTGCATGAAACTGCTGCGCGATGACCGAAAAATGGTTCAATACGAAGGGTTCCATGTGTTTAAGGTAAGTCCATCTCCGGATCAGTGATACAGGTTCACTTTTTAACACTATGAAAGGTATTCGTGGCCAATCCAACCAAATCCGTGCCCGTGCAACGCATTTTGATCAACAACCGTGATCGCTTGTTGCGATTTTTGCCTAAATTCCTGGAAGATCGAACCGACGACGACCAATTTACCGATGAGAAGAGTTTCTTGGTCCGTCAGATCGAATTGTTACCTAAAGAGCCTGTGGATCGGGCTCGACCCGCCCGCGATTCTCCCGCAAGCAACACAACAGCTGTGGCATGAGCTGAATCTAACGCTGGGTCGTCAGATTGATCTTTTTTCACTCCCTGATACTTTGCTCTGCTACATATTTCTGAGGCTGTGTACTTATCTTAATTGCATTGAACTGCATTGGCAGCTGATGGCCTGCGGGTCTGAAGCCTCGGCTCCTGGAGTTCTAGGCGAATTGTATATTTTGTGACTTGGTGGGAGAAACGATTTGTATATTGGCCGTAGCTCCAGTATATACGTATGCTAGTCCTTCACTCAATGCGAACAACGAACCATTCAAGGCTCCAACCAGCGCAAGCGCATCAAGTGCATTGTTTTTTTAATCTAAGCCTTAGCGTGCTCCACACTACTCCTTGTCGTGTTGATCCACAGCGACGCGGCCCAAGGTGGGACATGAAACCCCTTGATATTAGATTGAATCTATTTTGAGCCACTGGCGACGACAGCGACTAGGCAATGACATATTAAAGAGCACAGCACAATCTTGAGAAAACCTGCAAGATCCAGTATATTGCATGGCAAGTATAGACTTGAATGATGTAGTGTAGTGCCAAGACCTCCCCCAAAATACTCCACACCTCCGTATCTTCTCCCAATTTTAGTCTCGAGCCTCTCTCTTGACCCTGAAGAAGCTCCATACTGCTGGTTTTGTCCCTTGTCACTCCTTTACTTGTGTCTCCAATTTACTCGCTTAATATTCCTCCCCGCCTTTACTCTCCCCTCGGCGCGCATCCCTTGATCCTTGCGATACCAGTACGCGATCCAAAAGTCATGCCGGGATAATGGTGAATGAGACTTCTGCATCGTTATCACCCGACCGGTCGGAGTTCCAGACAATTCACTCGGTGCCCTTTGAAAATACCGTTGCGGTGGATGCCCCTCTTGCGATTCGGTCGGTCTCGTTGCCCACGCCCGATGCGCCAACAGGCTCCAATGGCAGGTCGCTAAGCACGAGCGCTGCATCGATTGGCCCCAGCGACAATTCGGCGCCCGGACATTCGTTTTCTCGGCTTCGACCTTTCACTCCCACCGGGGATGACAACCGAACAATTCGATCGGAGGGCCCTCCCTCGCTGCGGAGCGTGCCCAGCATCACAGTGAATGAGCCAGGACCTCGTCCTAGTTCTCGCCCAGGCTCGCGCCCAGGCTCTCGCTGGTCGGAACGCAAATGGGGAGGGTTGAGAAAACGCTCGGCGGAGATGGACCGGAAACTCAGCTCGGAGGGATCGCCTCCTCCCGTGCCACAGATCGAACGTTCTTTTACTGGCATCCCCCTGGATATACCAACAGCCTCTTTGGATGGGCTGGATAAGTCCATGAAGTTCTCCAACCGCGGGAGCTTGATAAAGACTGCAGCAAAGCGCCCGCATCCAAACAGACCACAGGAAAGGCTTGAAGAGCACCCTGATCAATGTTTGGAACATACAGCGCAGCCGAAGACTGAAGCAGATCATAGTCGAGAAGTAGACCAATCGTCGGAGGAAACGCAGAAGCACAATCCGGATCAGCAAACGGATCAACTTCACCCTGAAGTGGCGCCAACCCCTTCCATCGCGAGAAGTCAAACCGAGGGAGAGAATGGCGCACCGAAAGCGACACCCTCCCCGTCTATCGCGAGAAGTCAAACCGAGGGAGAGAATGGCGCACCGAAAGCGACACCCTCCCCGTCTATCGCGAGAAGTCAAACCGAAGGAGAGAATGGCGCACCGAAAGTCGTTCCCCGGCGCACCAAACCTCAGGGCACCCTTCGGCCTAGACAGTCAAGTCTTCCAAGCAGAGCCATATCAGCAGATGAAGATATGTTGTCACGCCGAGTCCGACTGATGTATGAGAAGGGCGAAGATAATGTCACCGACTCCGAGGTCGCGAAAGCATTGGCCTCCGAGAACGGAGTTCTGTGGGAAGAGGGGGCAGCAGAGGCTGAGACCTCTGAAACACCCGCCACGGAAAATGGGACCGAGACCGAACAAAAGCCAAGGGCCTCCGCTGAAGTCGAGCGTCGTCGAATCAAAAGAGAAACCCAAGAGCTAGCAGGCGGTGCTGAATACTGGCAAAATGTTGGGGCCGAAGAAGTCGACCGCTATGGTTTCATTCGCCCCGCGACAAACTCCAAGGGCTCTGATATTAACCCTCTACAGCGAGTCACAACTAGTCTTTTGCTGGCATCCGAGACACCTCGGCGGAAACGATCAATACGCCCGCCAACTGCTCCGGCGAGTAACCGTTCATTCAATGGTCCTTCTTTGAACCGCAAGATCTCACAGAGCTCTTTGGGCAATCGCCCTGCTTCATCACAGAGCAATTATAGTGCGCCATTGCGCCGCTCTACTTCCCGCCTGCGCACGGCAACTAATCGTCTACCTCACAACCGAGACCGCAAAGCTAAAGATGAAGCGGCTGATATGCTCACTTTACCATGTGAATCTGTTCCTGGCGAGAAGGAAGACACTCCGGCTTCACGTGCAATGCGGAGAAAGGAATGGCAACGGGAAGACAAGTGGACCAAGATGGCCAAGCCAAAGAAAAAACCCAAGGACGGCGGCGGGATGACGTTCGAGTTCGATACGCGGAGTTCAAAACTGATTGAGCGAACATGGAAAGGCATTCCAGATCGCTGGAGAGCGACGGCTTGGTACTCTTTCCTTGAAGCCAGTGCCAAACGCTACGAGGGAAGTCCGCCAGAGGATCAGCTCATTGAGGCTTTCAATGAGCTTCAGTACATTTCATCGCCTGATGATGTCCAGATTGACATTGATGTTCCACGGACTATCTCTAGCCACATAATGTTCCGGAGACGGTACAGGGGTGGTCAGAGATTACTCTTCCGCGTTCTTCACGCCATGTCTCTGTACTTCCCAGATACGGGCTACGTACAGGGCATGGCAGCTCTTGCAGCCACGTTGCTGGCGTATTATGACGAGGAACATGCCTTCATCATGCTGGTCAGACTTTGGCAACTACGTGGGCTCGAAGAACTTTATAAATCTGGATTCGCCGGTCTAATGGAGGCGTTGGCAGACTTTGAAAGAGAGTGGTTGGCCGGAGGCGAGGTGGCCTCAAAGCTGGTAAGATATGATTCCAAATCGTATAGACTATTTGCTGACGACTTGAACCACAGAATGAGGTTGGAATTCCACCTACTGCCTACGGCACACGCTGGTACCTGACGCTTTTCAACTACTCTATTCCCTTCCCGGCCCAGCTCCGAGTTTGGGATGTATTTATGCTTCTTGGTGACGCTGACGACAGCCCTGGTTCGCCCGCAAACTCAGGGAAGAACAAAGAGCCGTCTGAAAATCCAAGAACCTTTGGCCAAAGTCTTGACGTTTTGCACGCTTCCTCCGCTGCCCTCATTGACGGCATGCGTGACATTATCCTCGAATCTGACTTCGAGAACATCATGAAGGTTCTCACTAGTTGGATTCCTATCAAAGATACTGAGATGTTCATGCGCGTCGCCAAAGCGGAGTGGAAAGTCCATCGCCGCAGGAGACACGCCTAATTTCTGTTCCAGTCGAGGCTCCGGGCATCACCAATTCTTGACTTCGACATCAGTCACTGCCTCTGTCCTCCTGTCATAATCAGCACCATGGGTGTTCTTATACACTAATGATAATAGCTCACGCCCTGGCACCCACCCTAATGCCCTTCCTACCTATACCCTGTTCACTTGGATTCGCAGATTTCCCATCCGGGTAGCCTGCCTTTCTTGGACCCCCTTTTCTGGCTTTTAATTACCCTTCACGTTCGTTACTTTTTTTTTTCGTCACACCCTCCAAGACCCTAATCCTTTTGACGACTATCGGAATTCACCCATGCACTTTCATTATTACTTTTGGTCAACCCCTCTGTCTGCTCGCCTGTTCTCAGAGCCTCATGTATATTAATTGGCGGCCAAGTTCGATCCTCCTTCCACTCCGTGGGCCTGTCCACAGGATCGATGGTCAATCCTTGGTCGATGAATTGGCACTCCATATATCACCTCCATGGGGTGGAAATGCCCAAATTATCTGATACCCAATACATTAATAATCCCACTCGAACATGTCTATACACGCGTATAATTGAAGCCTCGGATCCAGCACTACCGTGTAAAACTCTTTCAAATACTTTTGTATTGGACATCTCCAAGCAGTCTATGGTGGCCTCTATCCAAGTAATCCCTTTCCAGTCTTGGCTCCCAAGTTGCCTTTGTCGACATAAGTCTCCTTAAGCCAGTCTCTAGCAGTGGTATCCAAGTCACGCTGCTGAGTATACACAACCTCGATATTGTACACAGTATCCAAGCCAACGGTATCCATCATCTGACAAGGGCCCTTGGCTGCCTTGAACCAGCCTTTGAACATTTCATCAATGGTATGGCCATCGCTAACCCCCTCAGCGAGAACAAGCAAAACCTCTCGCTTGATAGATGCCCAGATCCGATTGAATACCAAGCCCGTCGACTCGACCTTGGCATGAACAGGTTGAAATCCCGCACTCGCAGCCTTCTCCATCAAAAACGGAAAGATGTCCGGGTCCGTCTCGCCGCACGACATCAACTCGTAGTACGTCTGCTCAGGCGGCATATAGTAATGACCGTTGCAGATACGGTAGTTCCTCTTCGTTTTGACGATCATCTGGCTGGTCCGCAGCGAGGAGGAGTTGCTGGTGATCACACAGTCCGGCGGGGCGATGGCGTCGATTTCGGCCAGGACCTCGATCTTCAGTTCCAGCTTCTCCGGCACGGCTTCAATGACCATCCATGCATTTTCGCAGGCTTCTTGCAGGGATGAGGTGACTTTCAGCTCGGCCACCTTGGTGCCTAGCTTTTCTGCTTGCTTGTCTTTGTTTTCTGTGATGTAGTCGACTGCACCGTCCTCATCCAGCGTTTTCTCGCAGAGGATCACGGTGTATCCGGCAGAGATCCACATCATGGCGATTCGACGGCCCATCAGGCCGGCGCCAACTACGGCAAGTGGGCGGGTGCTGGTGTCGGGCTTGGTCCATGCTGTGGATGGCATTGTTCGTTTTTGATTGATGGTAGGGTTTTGGAAAAGAAAGAGCCTTGGTGAATAGGCAAAAGTTGATCGGGACTCATTGTGTCACTGAGGTCAATGGATTGGGGCGAAACATTGTGGTGTTATGATGCTATGATGATAGAACATTGTCGGGATACTCCCGAGGCCTAAGGATGATCTAACTGTGAGAACAGATGTGGCTGAGTGGCTGGACCTTCCACCAGCTATGCTTCGGGGTGGAATTTCCTTGCATTAGCCCAAGTTACCCAACTATGCTGTGTATTCAAGAGCAGCGCGGTCATGGACCCCTATTGGGAACTATATGAAGAAAGTCAAGCTTAACTCAAGCTCATGGCCAATGTCATTCCCCCCCTAGATCCGCAAAATTACGCGAAAATGTCTAATTCACTTGCCACCGTCGAAGTCAAACCAAAGTAGGCTGTATACACCTCTTCTGATAGGTCGGCCCTAATGCCAAGGGAGCACCCCCCCCAACCTGTCGGCTTGAGGCTGGAGTATACCCCTCATTCTCACGGACGATCCCCCAAGTTTTCGGACTTACCCCGGGTCACACTATCCCCTTTAAGAATGTAGACTTTAAATACTTCTCTCTCGCAGCGATGTCCGTTCGCGGTGATTGTTTTTCTTTCCTCGACCTCCCAAAGACCGTGCCATCACCATGACGGATACAAAAGCGGCTTTAGAAAAGCCCTCCTCCCACCAATTCGAAAACGCAATGATGGAAAAATCTCCATTCAGCGCAGAATGCAAACAAAATATGACAGCCGCCGATGCAGAAGGATCCAGCCTCGGCCCATCGGGCTTCGAGGACGTGGATGAAGCTGCGGTTCTCCGAAAGATGGATATTCGTTTGATTCCTATGCTGAGTTTGCTATATCTACTGGCATTCTTGGACCGAGGTAATATCGGCAATGCGAAGATTGAGGGGCTTGTCGATGACCTCCATATGACGGGGCCGCAGTACAATTGGACTTGTATGGTATCTCCTTTCCGTGCAGTGTTGCCAGACCTATGGAGGCGCTAATGGTGTATTTTGTTCTGAACACACAGTGACTGTCTTCTTTTTCACCTATTGTGTGTTCGAACTGCCGAGTAACTTGCTTCTCAAGAAGCTGAGGCCGTCGAGATGGCTGCCATTGATCATGGTTGCTTGGGGAATTGTCATGGTAGGTATTGCTTTGCTTTGCTTTGCACAAGGTGCCCGGATCACATAAAGTAACTCAACATCTCAAACAGACCTTGATGGGAGTCGTCAACAATTATGGTGGACTCCTCGCCACTCGCCTGTTTCTGGGCGTTGCAGGTGCGTTGAGGGCACAAATTCCGAATTCCTCCATGACTGCGCATGCTGATATGATATCCAACATCTAGAGGCCGGTCTCTACCCCGGTGTTGCATACTACATTACCCTCTGGTACCCAAGACATCGAGCCCAATTTAGACAAGCTATGTTCTTCAGTGCGGCGAGTGTGGCAGGTGCATTTTCGGGGCTTCTTGCGTATGCCATTGCTGTAAGTTGCTCTCCTCACATTACCTTACCTGTTGTTATGCTAACTAGTTGTACCAGAAAATGGACGGTGTTGGTGGATACGCTGGCTGGAGATGGATCTTCATCCTCGAGGGCCTACTTACCGTGCTTGTGGCATTTGTGGCTCCATTTGCAATTCATGATTCACCTGAAACTGCTACTTTCTTAACGGAGAAAGAGCGCCAGTTTGTTCTTCACAGTTTACGGATTCAAAACACTTCTGATTCGCACGAGATGGTTGCAAAGGATGACAAGTTCCAATGGCGCTACGTCTATGATGCTTTCGCAGACTGGCAGATCTGGTTGGGCTTGTTCAGTAAGTTATGCGCACGCTCTCCTGTCTTCTACTGTTTTCCAAAATTTGGTCTCGTTGCTAACATCTCACAGTGTACTGGGGTATCACATGTCCGTTATATGGCATTTCCCTTTTTCTGCCGTCTATCATCAAGGACCTAGGCTATAATTCGTCAACTGCGCAGCTTCTTACTGTGAGTTGAAACGAGCCTTTTGTCGAGCGAAATGTCTGACAGTGCGCTTGCAGGTACCAATCTACATCACGGCGGCGATCGTAGCGGTCATTGCAGCCTGGGTTTCAGATCGACGCAAGCAACGATCTCCATTCATTCTGTTCTTCATGGGCATGATCGCCATCGGCTTTATCATATGTCTCGCATCTACTGGGCGTGGCGTGCCCGGCGTGATGTACTTCGGAATTTTCGTAGCAGTAGTGGGTAAGTACAACAGCTTTGTTTTTATGCGCTGCTCAGGTTGCTAACTACAAATCAGGCATCTACCCTGCTTTCCCTGGAAATGTCACTTGGCTCAGTGTCAACATGGCGGGAGATTATAAACGCGCTGCTGGAATGGCTATTTATATTGGACTCGGTAATTTGGCCGGAGGTAAGAATGTGCCCTGCCAAACCTTGGAACCCTTGCAACTCAAGCTGATGATTTCACAATAGCCATGTCGTCGAATTTTTACCGTGCTCAAGATGCACCGAATTACATTCTTGGTCATTCTCTCGAGCTGGCGTTCGTTGTTGTCGGCATGATTGCGGCTGTTATCTTGCGTCTGGCATACCAGCGAATTAACAAGAAGCGTGATGCCATGGATCCTTCAGAGTATCCAGCGGATCCCGATTCGCTGGGCGATCGCTCGCCTCTCTTCAGATATATGCTGTGAGAAATTTGTGTCTCTAGTGAATGGATTAGATATACGGTAAACCTTTTACTTCAGTCTGGCACGTCGGAACTGCGCTCGTTATATATAGCCTTGAAAGTTACCAAGCTCGTCACATTTGGCATATCCGTGAAATTCTGCATTATACTGTGAAGTTCCAGGTTCCAGGTTCCAGGGAATCAAAATCCAACTTTCCTAGCTCAAATGACTTCGAAGTTTGCACTGCTAGGCACATCCCCGTTACAAGCGCTCAAGTCCATTGGGCAAGCACTCATAATCACAACACATTCTTGCTCCGCCTTCAACGTGATAAAATCTCCCGCCTTGCTGTCCGGGTTCAAGCATTGTAAATTGACACCATTGATATCGACCTTCATGAATAGATTCAATGGATCAGGCATCCATCCACTCTCGAGGAAAGACATAATATGACTGAATGATGGCTCTGTGCATTTCTGGACAGCACTACGAAGATTATCGGCACAGTTGTCATGTTCTTTATCGGCACCAAGTTGAAGATAGCGCTCTGGGGAACACGCAGCGTAGAGAACGTCATGTATGCCTGGAGAGGTGTCCTCGACAATCGTCAAAATAGGATCCCGTCTATTGTCGAGGAAAGATTCATTGATAGAGGGAAGGAGCTTGTGCAATGTGGACCGAGTGTGTGTCATTGACATATATCTTGGAAAAGCGGGCGTTGGCGGAATTGAGAATGCCCAGGTGTCGATGACCTGGCCTCCGGAGGAGTTTATGATTTTGATCGATTGGCCGGCGTGCAGGCGCTGGGTCGCGAATCGACGAGCAGGGATAATAGGCATTTTGTCTCAGTAGGCGCGGACAGTCTATCTGGTTTCAAAATAACCCGGAAGGAGGTGCATTCTGTTACCAGGGGATCAGCTGGGTATATATAAGGGAAATAGGGCCTCCACAGAACCAGCTAGTAATGCAGGTACTATAGGTATATTACAAACGATAGATATTGAGTCATATCATTACCCCAAATCTTCTTCCCAGTGCATACTTTGTACCCCAAGGGTCTGCTGCCCCACGTGCTAACCGCGGAAAGCGGAGTACATCGTGGTACATAGATAGGCTTGGCGGAAACCTTTACCGTTTTGGGATCTAGCGTCGCGTGTTGGTCACTAAAACCTAAATGTTTATTTGAGTATTCATTTGTATTTGAACGCCTGGGCACTATTCCATACTCAAACCACTGTAAATTCGTTACAGTGATTTATACATGGAAAAGTAGTTCAACGGTGGTGGAAAATAGTGTTCATATTCGACCAAACTCTTCCAGGTTTACCCAGAAGTTTCAAAGTTCTACATTTGTGAATCCGAAAGATCTGAATAGCATCTAGCCTTAGAATACCTATCGGATTTGCAGTAGCCGAAGTTACTCCCACCTAAACAGATTATTAGCCTTATCATTTGGCTGTTCAATCGAGAGAAAGATATGAAGCTCGCGCTCAGTGACCAGTATTATGTCTATTCAAAAAATATAGGCTTGGCGAACTCGGCCTTGCTCACTTTACAAGCTCATGCTCACTACTGCTGGAGCTGTACTTCGCGCTGCTCACTTTGAGGAATGGATAGAAGTATCCCCATATAGATGCAACTAAAGTAGAGGACTGATATCAATACAACAGCTCCAGCAGCCAGGCTGACCAATCGTCTCGTGGCACCCAAATGTGATGGCACCAAAGTCCCTATGTGTGTACCACTCGAGAAGAGGGCTAGTGAAACTGACCGAGCCGCAGGTATTCGCATGTGGAGGTGTCTACAGGCGATCAGTTGATTCATGATCTGGGGACCAGATTCCTCTTTGGATACATACCACGACAGGAGCTGCACAGAGTAATGCTGCCGGGAGACAGCCTTGGGTGCAGAGTTGGTAGTCATGGCCTGCGGGAGTTGGGACGAATTCAGGAACCTTGAAGTTTTGGGGAAGAGAATGGTTTGTTGGTGATGCCAGGGCTTGGATCAGCAGCGAGGCTAGGGTAGGTGGAATGTATGGGGACATTTTTCAACCAGCTCGGAGTGGGGACTCTGTGGAAAACCGTTGTGGTGATCTGCAATATGATTTCCTCTGGGGGGTTTCATTGAATGTGTGAGGTCCTTGAATGAAGCGCACTTTGGAGTTCTTATGAATGCTGGGGTTCGGCTGATTAGTCGCCGTTGTCCTACCCAGGGCAGGAGCATGCTTGTTTGACACTGTATAACAAGACTACGGAGGCAAAACCAACCGATGCCAGGCCCTGGCATTGGATTTGTGCCGCGTAACTCATTTTGAGGCTTGGCTGGGAGGTAATAGGAAGAGTTTCGTGCTTTGCCAGCATTTCAGATCAGAATTACGGTCAAGTGTGTGATTTAGCACAGAAAAGCGAGCCCGGCGAATGATATCGAGCTCGTTTGATGGATTATTATATGACCATCTCAATTTATTGACGTGAATAATTTCACCCCATCAAAGGCTAGAGAGGCGAGAATTGAGTTCCTGAATATACTGGGCCATTCGGACGTCTTCAGGCTTCGTTGGAGCCTTATGTCCTTTCATGGTTCAATATTGAGCCGAGGTCCATATCACGGAATGGTGTCTGCCTGGTAGACAATGTTGGAACTAATGCACAAATAAAACGAAGAGTTCCCCAAGAATAGACCTTTGAGAATTGATCGCATTGAGTGTGGCTATTGAAGTATTGAAGTCGAAGAGTCGTCACTTCCCGTTGTTTGTTTCGACCTTTGACCGCCTTGAAGCCGCGTGTGCACTTTGCCGGAGTCTCGACCTTCTGACACCTCCGATCATCAGTTCCTGCATCTTTGGATTCTAGACTACTCAACTCTGAAATCTACCTGCTAGCCCATTATGACGCTGGCCGAGGAGTTCCGTTCGCGCAATTTCAGTATGTCCCCGCGCAAGCTCGCCACCTACTTCGTTACATGTGCTGATCTTTTCTAGGCATCTATGGTCAATGGTTAGTCAAGCTTATCGCAACACAACACTCTGGGGTTATGACAAGCCTAGATCAAGTCGCAGGGGACTATTGAAGCTGACCTCGAGGTTGCTGCCTGCTGTTTCCTGCGACAGGCTATGAATTCCCCCAACCAAACACCAGCACCGCGTGTGCAGGGATGGATCTAACCAAGTATCTAGGACCGGTGTGCTGTGCATTATCCTGTGTCTTGCCCTTGGAATCGCCAACATCTTCACCTTTAGTCCGGTGTTGATCATCTTCAGCTGCCTCTGCATGTAAGCTGAGCTCCATTCCCCGAACCGTCATGCAAGAGCTAACTTTGCACCAGTGCCACGGCCTTCGTGGTCCTCTTTATAGAGGTTCCCTTCCTCCTCCGAATCTGTCCCACCTCCCCCAAGTTCGATCAGTTCATCCGCCGCTTCACCACCAACCCGATGCGCGCCGCCATCTACGTGGTCCTCAGTGCTATCCAATGGGTCAGTCTTGTCAGCAGAGCGTCTAGCTTGATCGCTGCGGCCGTGTTCCTCCTCCTCGCGGCTGTATTCTATGCTCTGGCCGCCGTCACGAAGCAGGAATTCGTCGGCAGCAAGACCCTGGGTGGTCAGGGAGTCGCGCAGATGATTGTGTAATGGCATAACGATAACGCCGAGCCGTCCTTACTTTCTCCTATACCAATCGAATATTCCTTTTGGGATGCTCTTTAGCATTGGAAGCGTTGGGCGACACGATCAGATGTCCGATGTCCGATGTCCGATGCCCGATGACGGCCGGAAGGGGAATAATAAAATGCCACATGGGCAACGTGCATTGGAACGCGCTATGAATTGGTTTTGTGTCTTTACTGTCCTGTACTTGTATTCCTTGGTCTGGTTTGGAATGACCCTGCGGAGCATGTCTTTGGTTTCAAAGTCGTTGAGCGTTCCTACAGCTGATACTATATCCTTGTTGTTACTTTTGTTTTAAAATAGGTGGTGCGCTATCAAATGACGCAAAGTTGATCAAGCTTGACTTGGTCGATCATCATCCAACACCTTTCAGTCGTATATCTCAACCAGTCAGTACAACTTTGTCAGTTGATCCTCAGGGCAAACATGAGGCGGCTAGCGGGCTGAACGGCATTGTTATTTGGGCCTCCCACCAGCTTAGCTTACGTTGGGAGTGTCTTTTTTTAATTGGGCTCGTGGAAGTTCCTTGGCTCATAAATTTCTATACCAATAGGAACCGCTCGCATCGCTTCAATGTTCGTGGCCTCGATTTTGTAGATCTGAGCTGCCAACGTGGAGTGTTGATAGACGTCAGGTGGAGCCTGCTGGTTTACCCCGCAAACTGCCCAGCTTTAGGATGTTAATCTGTATAGCTTCACAAGTAGTATTTTGCGAGTCTTCCGAATGTTCTGGCTGAACAATAGATAGAGAAGTGATGTAAAATTGCATTCTCTTGATCGAAGGGTATGCTACTTCGTACAGTAGCTCTGCGGTAACATGCGGAGAACCAAAGGACTGCACGTTATTTGTTTGACCAATCCAAGGCCACCGAAATAATAGCCTGTAACGATACAGTCACAACATTCTAGACTCAATACGAAGCAACTAGTCACTGAGCTATTCCTTGGAAGATAAGAACTTACACAATAATTGACTAGTCAATGGTGGAGTAAAGAGACTCTTGAAAGTCTTGAAAGATCGACAATTTCAATATCTACATGATAACTACAGTAGCTATGGAGTACTCCGTAGCCCATACTCCAAAAAGTAGTTCCAAATCAATACATTCAACAGGAATGTCCCATAATATCTGTGTACCTTACTTTGGAAACTCGTTGATACGGTCCCAAATCAAGTATATTCGTAAAGGCACCTAGATAAAACAGGGAAACAAGAAACGAAACAGAGAGAAAGAGAGAAAAGCCTCAATCTCAAAATCTAGAACAAGACTAGAGTCGCACCGGTGATCTCATGTATTGTAACGTTACCATACACATACGGGTACTTGCGGTCAGAGCACGTCAGGCGTGGCAGAAACGGACATACATCATCGTCTCTCCCAAAACTCACCTCTGGAAGTATTGCAACAATCGGCTTTGCTCGAGGGCAATTCGCTTCTTTGGTTAATTCATCAAGAATTTAAATCGGGTTCTCAGCATACCTGGGTAAGCATTTCCAAGGCTATATCCCCCAATCTCCTTATCAGTTGCAAGCTATCCTCGGGACACTTGCGTCAGTCGTGCATAGCTCTGTCGAGGTTGAACCCCTGCTGTCCGAGGGCCGTGTGTATCTTGACTCTAGAACACCAACCGCCAAGTACAGCGGGGAAAGTCTGTGGAACGGTCGCTGACTCGTCGACAGCTTCCAGTGCCTCATCATGTCAACTCACGCTCCTCCGGCCATTCCTCCTCGGCCGGCTCGATCTCCACAACCATCATCCTCGTTAGAAATGCCCAAGATCCCGCCTCGGCCTGGCAACCGCCGCAATGATCGTTCAGTATCCCCGATGCGGGATAGCTATGCCCCCTCGCCCCTCAACGAATGGACTGGCCCCGGCATGAATCGCACCGTCTCAAACGACCTGCCCCCGCGCCCTCCCAGCGTCACTATACCCTCCCTAGGCGAAGAGGGAATCGAATATGCCGATCTGGATCCGGGACATGTGCCCGATAATCACTACCAGACACCCGCGGAAACTCGCAACGTGAGCGGTGATCTGAAGATCCACGCACCCAGACCCTCATTGCCAACGTCCAGTGCTGAAGCTAAGGTCCAGGCTGTCACCCGCACCGACTCCCGCCAAGCGGCTGCTGCTGGACTGGGCCGTGGGCCTTCACCATCTCGCGAGGAACAAGACCGCCCAACCCGTTCGCTGCACTCCCGTGCCAGCGGTTCCCGTGCGGACTCAACTGCCTCCAATGAGCGGCGTTCCTCCGTTCAGCAGTCCGACGAGCAGGGATTCCGGGTGCCCATGTATCCCAATGCCGGTGACGTCCAGGCTCCCTCCCCGAGTCCATATCTCGACCAGGGCTCTCAACGACCCGGTCGTAACCATAACCGTACTCGTAGTGCTCGGGACTCTTCCTTGCCTCCTGGAAGCTATGGGTTGCATGGACATGGTGTTCAACAATCTGACAAATTCGAGAAGGCTTGGTATGAGAAACATCCCGACGAATACGTCAAAGAGGAAGGCCAATACGGTCCCGGTGTCGGTACCCCACGTCCTGATTGGGCTATGAGCAGTGACGATTTGAACAAGATTGTTCGCGGCTCTGCACAGAATGGATCGGGCATGGGTGAGTATTGGGAGCGCAAGTGCTGTCACCTCAAAGCTAATCATCACCAGGTACCTCCCCAGGCGTTGTGGGAACACCCGAAGAAGAAGTCGGATATATGGCCTCAGATGAATACATCCATCGCATAGCATCTCCCCCACCTGACGAACGTCACGAAAGTCACCCGGCAACCGAATCGCCTCTTCGACAGATGAGCTTCCCCTCTGAAAATGCGGAGCAGAAGCCTGCCGAATCACCATTGCGCCATCATAGATCAAGCTCGCATGGAACCCGTGAGGGTGGAGTCATTCATGTGGATGATCCCAAGCACCCTCTGCATCACCCCGACGGATTTGCTGCCACTCCGGCTGTGGAAGAGAATGAGCCAGAATACAATGAGGCCGAGGATGACGATGAGCCGATTCTGGCTGCTGATCAAGTTCGCCCAGAATCAGCATATCTTCACCCTGCCATCTCACCCACATTTGATCGCCGGGGCAGCTTTGAAGATGAAGCTCGCAGTCGGACCCCAAGTGTCTCACATAGTCGATCCAACAGTCGATCAGCGAGCGCCCAGGGCCACCAGTTCCCTTCTTTAACTCGCTATGATTCGCGGGAAGATACGCACACGCCTCTGGAAGATGTTGACGAATATGAGCCGTTGTTCCCTGAAGACGATGACAAGAAGCAGAAACCAGTCTCTACGGCAGATCGATTCAAGAAGCGACCCGATATGCTCAAGCACAGATTCCCCAGTCAGGATATTTGGGAAGATACGCCAAACAGTCTGCAGCTTCACGCTACAGTAACTACCCCGGACATTCCTTCTCAAGATTCACCTGATACTTTTGAAACGCCCGAGCAAGAAGCTACCCGCCGCATGCAAGCAGACACGGTGGACTCACATCAGGTTGCCAGTCACATCCTGGAAGGTGAAGGTGCTCGAGAGAAACCAGTGCGACCAGACACATTCAAGCAACGCTTCCCCAGTAAAGATATTTGGGAAGATGTTCCCGAAAGTCAGCGGTTGGTCACAACCGTTGAACCCGCAAAGGAAGAAGTGACGAGTCCTAGCGTACCATCTAAGCCCGCAATTCCCGCTCGTCCACAGAAACAGCCCCAGACTTCACCGATTGACAAGCGGCAGCCACCAAGCATCCCTGAGCGACCAAAGCCTCAGGTCCCCGCCCGTCCCACTAAGACAAGCCCTCAGATCCCAGCAAGCAATGAGGAATCCCCAAAGGAGCCCTCAAAGGAAGCTCCTGCGATTAAGCCCAAGCCTGCCGTGCCAGCTCGTCCAGGCGGCAGCAAGATTGCAGCTCTGAAAGCCGGGTTCCTCACTGATTTGAACTCACGTTTGCAACTCGGTCCTCAGCAACCCAAGCCCCAGGAGCAGGTGCCTGAACCACCAGTTGAGAAGCAACCGCTGAGTGATGCCCGTAAGGGCCGAGCCCGTGGCCCAGCTCGTCGAAAGCCCGCCGTGGAGAAACCCACCCCCGCTGCGCTCCCAACCAGTCCTCAAATCCAGATCACGGAGTCCTTGAACGTGTGGCGAGTGGCGCAGGACGGTCGGGTGATCGTTGGACCAGACAGCAAGGTCAACAAGCCGCTTGTTGCAGCTGCAGCCAGTGATTCAGCCGTGTCTCCACAGCCGATGGCGCCCCCGATCGCCAAAAACGCCGCCGGTGAATCTGTAGACCCAATACCTGAATCACCTGTGGCAGAACCACGTGTAGCAGAAGCGCCCGTGCCAGCAGATGTTGTCTCGCCGCAAACCACTACAGCAGAGACCGAGCCGGCTCATGTCGAAAGCCAGGAACCCGAGCCAGTTGAGCCTTCCGTGGATATTGACTCAACATCCACCCCCAATCAGGAGGACGAAGAGAAGGAAGATGTGATTGAGTTGCCTGGAGTCCCGACCAAAACTGAAGCAACTGAAATTCCTCCGGCTTCACCTGCGAAAGAGGTCGCTTTGGAGGATATGACTGCGTTGGCGGATGGCAAAAGGCAGTCTGATGGTCATATCCACGGTGTAGAATAGGTTCCTTGGATATCGCGCCTCACTATGTACGTGGTGCTCATTGTTGACTTCAATCACCAGGTGAACCATTCACAGCTTGGTCCTTGTTTGTTTAGTTGAAGATGCCTGCTCTCATAATCGGCTGAATGCCCTTCTATTCAAAGAAAAAGCTGGATTGTAACCGAATGAGTCGGTAGGTTTTAGATGAAGGACTATGTATTTTTCAATGTTCTGTTTTCCTGCACTTCTTTGATCTTGCTGGGGAGATATTCGTCTATATAAGAGGAATACCGGCCGGCCAAGGCTATCAATTACATACAAAACCTTTAAAGAGGTTGGCCGAGCACGGAGTAAATACTAAAGAGAGAAATCCGAAAACATTAGCGTCCGGGAACAGCCTGACGTGATTCCTGACCGCCTTCGACAGCCGCGGTTCATTGCCGCCCTAAAGAGACTCAACCTCCACACATGGGACTCTTGCCTGCTACACATTTGCCTCTGTTGCATTCTCCAAAAGATGCTGAGCCCGTCTCTCCATCCATCAAGACCATAGGTACTGCCTCCCTCACCACGCCTGATGACGTCCGTCCCGGAATATTCTGCTGCGGGCAGAACCAGGTCCTCCGATGGAGCGACTGCCAGTGATGTGAGCTCCACATTCCAAATCCCATCAACCGAATCGACCGAGTCAAACGACGACATCGAAACAGTCTTCCTCAACAAAGAAGCCTCAACCCCAACCCACGGATCAGACCTCTCTACCAAATCACTCAGTGAACCATCAAAATCCCCACACCCCCACACCGATGACGATGAACCGCGCAAATGCTGGATCTGCTACACAGACGAAACAGAGATCTCACCACTGAATAAAGAATGGCGGTCGCCATGTCCCTGCGCACTGACCGCACACGAGGCTTGTCTACTAGACTGGCTCGCAGACATGGAAAACCCCAAGTCGCGCAAGAACGGCGCAAATGTCATGATGCAATGTCCCCAATGCAAAACAGAGATCGTGGTTACCCGCCCACGAAGCTATGTCGTTGATATTCTCCGATTGTTCGAGCGGGTAGCTGGTCGACTCGTCCTTCCAGGCATGGTGTTCACAGTCGCCGGAACTGTCTGGGCCGGATGCTGCGCGCATGGAGTCTACTCGATGTACTTCATTTTCGGGACCGAAGAAGCCAAGCAGATCCTCGATGACACCATGGAGGGTCAGTGGAACCCGGGCATGAATATTGGGTTACCTTTGATTCCTCTCGTTTTGATCTTCTCGCGTACTCGGTATGCGGAAGGTTTGCTACCAGCTATTCCGGTGTTGTTCTTCGCTGCGCACAATCCAGGCCATGAACCTGATTTCGATTTGTGGCCTCCTACGCCTGCTATGACTTTTGCAGCACTGCCATACATTAAGAGCTTCTACGGGGCGCTCTATGAGCGAATGTTTGGCGGCTTGGAGAGGAAATGGATCGCCGAGGTCCAGCCGAGGGCTACGGAGGAGATTCTGGACGATGCGCAACAACAAGACGAGGCCGAGGGTCTTCACCGGTTCGACAATGGGCATGGACAGGTTCTCATGGAGATTGATCTTGAGTTAAACGTTGGGATGGGCAATGACGACGCCGAAGCCCAGCCCGTCGGTGACGAAGATGCCGACGCCCCCAACGCAGAAGGACAGAATGCAGAGCAAAACAACCCGCTTGGTCTTGGAAGACGACAAAATGAAATAATCCACGACACCAGCAACCTGGCAGATGTCGTTCTCGGTGCGCTTGTTTTCCCAGCAATCTCAGCTTCCATGGGTGGAATCCTCAAATACGTCTTACCGAAAACCTGGACAACTCCCTCCACGATTCTTGAACGTGGTCGTCCGGGCCTACTCCAGACCCGCTGGGGCCGCAGTGTCGTTGGTGGATGCATGTTCGTTCTGTTGAAAGATGCATTGGTCCTCTATTGCCGCTGGAAGTTGGCGCAGACGCACCGACGCCGCAAGGTTCTCAATTACGATCGAGCTAAAAAGCATGCTTCGAAGCGCTCGGCTCGGTAGATATGGTCATCGTTCCCTCTTATTCTCAGTCAATACCCCTCTCTTCATTTTATCTTTGGCGCTTTATTTGCATTATCTGGCGTTCTGCTTTTACTGTGCCAGCGGGATACTCCATCTATGATGTCTTTCATAACACAATTTACAATTTGCCGCTGAAGTCTGTCAGTCAGCTTGATTTTTGTTGTTCTATTTGGCATATGCAAGTCTTGATCTCTCAAATGATATCGACATTTCTATGTGATGTGACTACTATCAACCTGAATACTATTGGTACCCAGGACTCGCACCCAAAGCTCAAAATAAGTCAGATTCATTCGCACACTCTATCCCCAAGATAAAGTAATGCACAGAAACCTCAATAGGTATTTAGTCTTTCAACAGCATCCATAAAGTCTTTCGCTTTTCCTGCGAGGGCTCGGGACTCAGAACTAATTTGAACGTTTGCCTGAGAGTCTTCCAATGCCTTTCGCCAAAATTTCCAACGCTCTATGCCCTGAACAGAGCCTGTGTAGAGTGGACCATTGCTCCATATTCCCTCGTCTCCTTTGCTGGTTCCACGAGGTGACCGAACGACTTCGGCGAAAATCCACTGACCAGCATGAATTATCCACATGGATGCTGCAGCAATAAAGCCATTGTAACGAGGATTTTCGGAGGCGTCCTCTGTTTCCAATGTTTGACATAAGCCAGTCACAGCAACACTCGCATCGGAATACATGTGCGCAGCCGACAAACGAGCCAGAAAGGCCGATTCATTGATAAACTGTGTCTCTTCGGAAGTAGAAGGGTCAAAACGAGCTGATCGGTGGTTAGTTCTTCTTAGCTTTGATTTCAATGTCTCATTTAGGATTTGGGTAAGGGTTATTAGTCTTACCATCACAGCATCGTTCTCTGAAAGCCCGATAAAAGTAGGTGAGGCCGACGTAAAATTGCCATTCCTGTGGTATGCATCTATCAGCTTTTGCCCATATATGGGGTAAATTCATCTTCATACGTATTCTGGATCATTGACAGCAATATTAAGCTTGGTTGAGGTTTTGAGTCTGACCAATAAGCGAATAATATCGTCTTGGGCTGGATGGGAATGTGGGATTTTGCCCACCAAGTCCAAGAGTGTATGAGTGAACATAGTATGCTCCCACTCTGCATTTGAGTCATCTCCGTTGGGATCAGCATTTTGGACGCAAAGCATATTGTGGATCTCGGCTGCTGTATGTGTGATTGAGCTAAGATCTGAAGATTTAAGGTATTTTTGAAGTAAATAGTGGGCTTTTAGAACAGTGAAGTTCCCAGAGCCTTGTTGTACCTCGGGGTCTGTCTCATCAATCGTGAAATCGATGTCTTCCATATTGAATGGGTGGGTAGGACCTGCTCCCCGCGTGAAAAGGTGGTTTTGCTGAAGGGAAAGAGACACAGAAGAAGAGACAGTATGAAAGTATCGAAATGTAGGTAGTTGAATGATATGTGCAGCTGAGGCGAACCCCGCCTTTTGGTGTCTGGTATACTTCGTAAGCCTGATGGGAAATTGCCTGCAAACAAGACCAGCTCAGGGGATTCCAGACCTTTACAGCGTCGAGCCCTGGAGGTATGAGGTACAATCTTCACTCGATATAATTACATCCTCCAGGGCTTGTCATGAACCCGGATGCTTCCAAGGTTGACTCAAATACGAGGTCCAGCCCAGACCAATATGATATGCGCTCTGCTATACTATAGGTTTCTACAAGGGTATATGACAACAAATTCCATTGCCATTGGATGATTCTTACTATCTTTCCCCAAACCCGGGTGATTACTCCGAACAGGGAGGTTTGACCTAAGCTGCAACTTTATGTGCGTACCCAGCTGACTTCCAAGGCTTTCATTCAATAGGCCGCGATATAAAAAAGAAGTTTGCTACTTGACAACGCCTGGGTGCTTCTTGTTGACGTGTATGCTGATTCTGACATGGCGTTTGCATTCACGCATATACAGAATTCCATCAAAAACCAAAACACCTATCATTGATCAACACTGTTGTATGTAGTTTGACTGCACTTCGTATAGTGCGGAACACAGCAAACACTCAGCTTAAAGGGCATTGTCACTCTGATATTGAAAAAGGCTTGGCCTTTCTCTTCTACACAGATGATTGATTTAGGAGACTTTTATGGCCAGGGTGACGATCCTGGCAAGCGCATAGCCAATAAAGTAATTCATTATAGTACTAAGTATAAGAGCTCGAGTGAGCGAGGTATCAAATTGTGGATTTCACTCCTCGATATCAAAGGACTCAAACATCCAATTCAACAACACCTTGAAGATTTGTCGGCGCTGTGTTGTATACAAACCTTTGGCATTGCTAGAGAATGTCTGGGCCTAGAACTTCCGCTTCTCATCCTTGCAATGAGCCCGATATTACACTATACCGGGTGAGAAATTAGGCCCTGTGACTCTAAGAGCAAGACTGATCCTTCTTGTCAAAGTACTATGATTTATCAACAGGATATGCGACTGGACAACCAACTGATCGCCAGGGAGAGATATCTCGCCAACATGCAGAGCAGATAATGCAACAAGCTCCCTACCCATGTTCCGAAAACAAACATGGGAGACGGCCACATGGGATTGTTGATCGGGGAAAGGAATACAACAAAGAGGGATTGAAAACTTTATCAGGACAGACTTATCAGCCAACGATGCAGGACGATATTTTTGTGTGGGGATTCCCTGCAAATAACTTCAATTACAACAACCAGAATTGTCGTGGTAATCCGAGAGCAAATCAGGATGGAACGCCGGCAGGAGACGACACAGAACCAGGATGGAGCAGAATTATCACCGATCGTGACAAGAAAATCCAAGGACTTTCGGTCCATCCACCACACGATCCCGGAAAACTAGAAAGAGTGAGCCAAGCAAAGAGGGAAGTGATTGAATAATGGTGATTATCTCTCCCCTGTGGGCGCCATTGTACATGAATTTCGGGTCTGACGATGAATCTTGTGTAGGATGCCATGCAATCTCTTGGGAAGGGCCTGAGAGGTTGTTCAGCCTTGGAACGCATGTTGGACATTTGTCCAAGGCACATCACCTCGAAAGTCTGACGAGAGGCACCCAGGCAACTCTGCGACAGACTTTCTGGAAGCCTTTCCATCCATCTTTTTGTCGTCTGCCGAAATATCATGATATTTTTCAACGTAAAGATCCTTGTGTTGCACATTTTTTACCTACGAAGAATTTCAAATCAGCAATCTGTTCGACCGAGAGAACGCCAGGAGTATCAACCTTGGAAATCATAGGCCTCAATATTAATTGATAAAGACTTCCTTACAACTGTCTGGCATCAAATGGCCACATCTTGTCCGCCTTTGCTACTGTCATGTCTTCTCCATTGGACTCAGCTTCTTTGGCAGTCTGTATCCATTCATCATACGCTGCCCGATGAGCAGCCTTCGCAGCATCCCATGCATCATTCGGGATCCACCCATCAGAATTGGTGTCAAGATTGTCTTTCAGCCATAACTTGAGTGCTTGAACAGCCTCGAAATCTTCGTAGTCTCGAGCATGCTGTTTCAATTCCGCTTCGGTGGGAGAATATGGACATCTGCCATCCAGCCCTAGTTCCGCCCAGCGAGCTGAAAGCTCAATTAGCTCTTGGCGAACAGCGGCAGCAGAGTCTCTCCAAGATGTATGGCTGTAGTGAAAGAGTCGGAACAGAGTTGGATCAAGTAATCTTGCAGGACGAAGCTTAGGAATAAGGAGTTTCATGACCACATCAAATGTTTGATGACAGACGGATGCATCTTTCAATTCTCGTTCCTTTTGTCGGGAGTTTTGTGTTTTATTTCGCTCGTTCTCGTGTGGATCTTCCTCGGGGACTGTTGGGGGTGTAGCGAAATCGGGCGTTTCGTTGTCGTAAATAAACGCGGGTTCAATACTGGCTGACTGCCAGTCTATCAGGCCAGTGATAACAGTTAGTTCTTTGGCAGAGACATAAATGTTCCTTTTGTGAAAATCCGAGTGAAGCAGAACTGGTGCAGCAGCGTCCACAATGCGTTTATCTTCGATCAATTTTTGCATCACCTCCCGACTTGTTTTCAATAGACGGACGTGATCTTGAATTGATCCTTGATATGGAAGCTTGCGAGTATTTGCGGCTTCTTTGGGCAAACGAGAGAAACCCGTATCTATCAAACCTTGACAGTAACTTGGAAGATCTTTCCAAGGTCCGCAATTGGGACTTGGGCCATTGTAGAGCTCATTTTCCCCCGGATTTCGGTTCCAGAAAACCGGACTGCAATGTGGTCCCACACAAAAGCCCTGCTCGAAGGGAATCTTCGAGTCCGAGTCTTGAGGTGCATCTGAGAAGTATAGACTGCCATAGGCCGGGAAGTCTAGGGAAGCCATCTTTTTCATTGTCAATGAAAGTGCTTTGGTGCATAGCATGTGTTGTTCCGGATTCATTTTGTGCCACTCTTGATGTAATTGAACACCCGTCACATGCTCTTGGATAATGTATTCCGTTCCAGTTGGATTGGAAGGATCATCATTCCAGTCGAGGATCTTTGGTATTGGAAGTGACATCTTGGATTGTACTATACAGTCATGAATCAGTAATTGTATCAGCCATACCCTCAAAGATAGGGGATAAGGCTTGGTCTTACAATAAGTCATCGTTGCAACTTCAGAATTAGTCGTTAGCCTTGGCGGGCCAGCAATACCCGTAGGTACCCTTGCTACGATACAAGGTCCATTGTCCATTGTCAAAAGGAAGACTCGATTAAATCCACCTTCTCGCTTCTCACAATTGACAATTCTGGTAGCCCCTGGACATATATGGATAGCCCGTTTACAGAGCGCTGAGAAGTCAAACATAACGTGGCGAGAGTTTCGTTCAAGCTCGTCCCGGTTGAGCCATCTTCCGCCCGTATATGAATGCGGATCAAGTCCTACAATGCAAAGTCAGTGACATGTTAACCTGTTAACCGATACCAGTATGTGTTTGCTACTAACGACGAGCCAGTTCTTGCAAATCTGTTCCTTGCGATGTGCAGTCGAGCCTAGTGTGTGGCGAAGGTGCGCTGTGCTTGTTTCCCATGTCGGATAATGTTCGAGATATGCAACTTAATTGACAATGCTGAATGATTGATGAAGAGGCTCCTAGCCGCCGCCAGACTCGGAACATATCAGGCTGAGTGAGGACATTGCTCCACGGCGGCTGCTGCACGAATAGACGGCACGAATGGACGACGGTTGATCGATGGACTCAAACACCAGACACGGTCGATCCGACGCGCAGATGGCAGTAAACGCGACTGGCCGTGGGCTTTGGTGCATGTGACATGAAGACCGCAGGAAGCGGCTTCAAACAGCGTCCAAAACGGCCGTTTCTGGCCTCCCTTTGACCGTGCCATCCTCAATTGTAGTGGACTAATATTAATATTTAAGTGCTGGATAAGAAATGAAGGACTCTTCCATTATGATCATTAGAATTGGTTAGGATGAATACATTGAAAAGCCTTAGACACTATGGTGTAGAGGCACTTGTCGTTCCTGACTGTAGCGGTAATGACGATCACATTAAGCGCGCGGCTAGAAAGGCGGAACGAATTCTGCCATCAGGGAATTATCCCCCGTGGAAGTCAATTGCATTGAGCCCATACCACACCCTCCACACCAAAGATACCCTCCACAATGCGGTCTTTATCACCAGCTCTCGCATCGCTCGCGAATGTATTCAAGATTCCCATGTCAATGGCGCCGGTCCGCCCTTCCATCACCCGGGCATGCCACGAGACCCTGAACCGCCAAACACAACAGCCCGGTCCGGTCACAGCAGCTCTGCAGTCCGCGCCATTCTCAACCACAAGTGCCCTCGCCAAGAGAAAGGGAGGTCCCAATGTCGACAAGCGCATCAGTACGTTCCAGCCACCGTCGCGAATCCAAGCTCCGGATTCCGACAACCATAACACGTCTCCGAAGAATCATGAACCATGAACCATGAACTAATCTATTCAAACACACAGCTCTCATCCGCTACTTCCTTCACCACCCTCTCACCCCGCGTCCCCTCCGCTTCTCCCGTAACCGCTACTTGCGCCACTGGACCATCCACCGCGCCTGGCAGTTGTTCAAGGCCCAGCAGCGCCGCAAGCAGGAACTTGAGATGATGCGCCAGTACCAGAGCATGCATGATGCGTGTGAGGAGCTTCGCACCGGTGCTGGTGATGGTGGCAAGCTCTTCCGCGTTTCGATGAACAAGAAGGGTATCTTCACTGATATGTTCCCTATTGAGTACTCTCGTATGCAGACCGAGTCTCCCCCTGCTGATGGGTGGAACCATGATTGGAAGAAGCCAGCCAAGTCAGCCAAGAAATAGATCTGGTTGAGGGTTGAGGGTTGACCTGGTTCTGGATATGTATCATTTTGGCGCTATGTAACATATATGCATTTTTGTTTCTTAATAACAATGGTCTCGATGTACTTGCATATTTGCTCAATGCTTGCATAGGCATTACTCGGACGTTGATTGTCCCACATAACCTTGCAAAGGACTTCTGCCCACCTGGGCAGTCCGTGTCCGATCTAGAGGTGATATGTCTAAGGTGTAGGTAGGGTAGGGCTGTAGCTGGTTGGTAGGAGACATGCAAATAGGTGTTATATTTCCCCGAGACGGCATAATGAACGTGTAGCGCCCTCAATAATGAATACAAAAAGAAAGAGTCGCTTGATTAACGATGGAGTGTACAGCATGGGGAGAAGCGACATAGTGAGTGAGGTCGCGAGGCACTTCGGAGAGATAATGACAAGGAAGGGAATCCGGAGTTGCACGTGCGTGAGAAGCATCAGTGGACAGCTATTGAAAGAGACGCAAAATGTACTCATTGAAAAAAGGGAAAAAGGAAGAAAAAAACAATCAAGAAAGACACGGCTGAAATAACCGGAAAGCAGATATCGTACCCAGAACAATTGAACAGGTTAGCACAAGAACCTCCCAAACGCCAGTGATGCATGATACAACGGAACGTCATTGATATCGCCGAGGTGATGAGTGTATCAAGTTCCAAGTGTGAGAAACCGAGCGCTGGCAGAGAAGACAGTTCGCTCGTTGTACGCTCCAGATCATTTTAAATAACCACACAGCAAGAGCTTTTGCGCTTGTCGAAGGTAAGAAGTGCAGCACGGGTAGCTGCTTCAAAGACATCGTCGACACCCTCGCCAGTCAGCGAAGAGCATTCAAGGTATTTGCGGGCCCCAATGGACGTGGCGATATCACTGCCCTCCTTGGTGGTCACAAACTTAAGAGACTTCTTGCGCATCTCTTCAATTGCCAAAGGGTCTTCGCGAAGGTCCTTCTTCAACCCAACCAGAAGGATCGGCACGCCGGGGCACCGCTCGTTTGCTTCGTCGATCCACTATGCCGCAGATCAGCTCCATCCCAACCCTTCAATTTCTCTGAGACCAACCTTGTGTTTCACGTTTTCCAGCGAATCTGGAGTATCCATTGAGAAGCCAATGAGGAGGACATGGGCTTTGGAGTAAGCCAATGGTCTCAATCGCTCATAGTCTTCTTGTCCGGCTGTATCCCACAATGCCAATTGGACCGAACGGCCATCGACTCGACAATCCGTCACATAGTTCTCAAATACCGTTGGCACCTAACAGATATAGAAGTCAGATACGTGATTGCGGGGGGACTGGCTGGGCGTGTACGAACATAATGCTGTGGACGATGGGTTAGCTAGGAGTTTAGATATTCGCGGAGGGGGTCAAACGTACTGTTGGGAAGTAACCGAGGGTAAAGACGCTAAGCAGACTGGTCTTTCCGCAAGCACCGTCACCAATAATCACGAGCTTCCTATAAGTTTGATCGGGATCAGCACGTGCGGATCAGAACGCGCGGTCTCAATCCCGCTGCCTAAGAGTGCAATGATATCGCCAGGGACAGGGGATCCTGTCAAACATTGCCTCACCACACAGCACACGTACCTGCGCATGACATTATCGTCTGGTTGTTGCGACATTATGATGTTTGTAAAACCCTGGTACACAAGGGGGAGGGTATGGATTTAGGGACTCGAAGAGATTCGAGACGGATCCCAGATAAGGCAACCGATTATGAGGGGCAGCCCGGATTTCCGAGTCAGGAGCTGGGCAGGTACTGCGATGCGGCCCGAACGGCTTAGGGGAAATAGGTGGCCTTGAAATGTCAGAGTGCCGTGGTGAGCCGTTGAGGTTGGGGGAGGGGTTGAGGATCTCGGAGACCACGTCAAATGGGAGAGGAGAAGGAGAGTAGAAGAGAGGTGTAAATGGATTAGTTGAGCGAGAGTGTAGAAAGATAGAAAAGGGATTTTAAAAAAGGTGAAGCTGAAGAGTGAGATAAGATGAAGGGGAAGGCGCTTACAGTCCAAGCGGAGATTTATTAAGGCTCACGCCGAGTTTGACTACGGGAGACTAGGCTAGGTACGAAGGATATAGTATCTCCGTCTGATCGTCCTATGGAGACCTTCTATTTATTCCTTAGCTTGTGAGATATTTTTAATTGCTGTGTCTCACAACTAACCAGCTTCGGTGCTGAGGGTGGAGTCTTGTTTTCCCAGACTGACCGCCCTGGAAGTATATTGCCGGCATACGGAAAGCGGTCAATAAATTACAGGTCACGTGAACTGGCATTTGTAGCGATCAGCATGAAGCCAGATGCTTTCAGCCTTTTGAATGTGTAAAGCGCCTTTGTTTCAGGACTCAAAGCAAAGCTATTTTTGAAACCACATCAAATCACATCTCTTTGAAAATATCATCCATAGTTCGTTTCATCGGAAACACCTCCTCGTAGCAAGCAATTGAAAGATTTCAACCTGACCGTTCAGGCACTAGCTCGCTTGCGGCGGCTATCCCGTTGCGGCGGCACGACAACCAGCCAGAGGGCAGGAAAGCCCATCATTCCATTCATTCATCGGCGTTTGATCTGTCGTTCCTCTGGCGGCGTTGACTGAGTCTTGATATTCTGCTGGCCCTGCCTACACCTGGATACCCCTCGCTATCCCTCTCCGCTGTTGTCCCAGCACCTCAAATCCCAACCACAAGCGCAGGCACGTCCTGACCCGCCGGGATTATTGTCTTTCAACCCCCTCCTCCCGTGGTCTTATCCTACCCTCCACCCCCTCCCATTTACCACTCCGGGGCTCCTTTTGAAGTCAGCAACAAAGCACGCGATTGACTCTTTGTGCGTGATCACGCCAAGGGGAAAAAATTCCGGTGAGTTGAGCACCGTCTGGTGGAATCGCCCGGAGCTTTGTTGGTAGGGTCCTTTGTCCTTGGCTCTTCCGTTCTCCGCTTTCTCTTACCATATCACCCACCTTCTCACCCATTGCATTTCTAACGCTCAGCTTCTTCTCGACATATTAGTATGCTGCCGAGGCAGCCCTTGAGCTTATTCCACCTCCACCATGGCGACTCACATGTCAGCAGCTCCGCTGCCAGCAACCACTGGCCGGACCCACGCGCGGGGTCCCAAGGACACCACCTCGACCGGAACTGTCGTGAGCCCTGCGACAACTGTGAATCGCAAGAAACAGAAGCGCCGACAGAAACAAGCTGCCCGCTTAGCCGCGGAACATCCCGAGGCGTTCGCGTCTGGCGACGTCGACTCGCTAGCCGCAGACGAGCAGCGCTCTTTTGACGACCCCGAATCCGACCATGACCACGACCATTCAGATCACGACCACACATCTTCCGTTGCCCGTTTGGAATATGGCTCGTCAAATCGACCCCGCAGCCCGCCCACCATGAACGGACCCCATGATCACGGCGCTACCCCAAACGAGACATCGAAACGGAAGAAAAGCAGGAAAACTCGCTCCGACTCCCATACCCTTGGCGACGCCCGATCAACTCCTCTCGCTCATTCCTCCGCAACCCTTTCGCATCCTCCACCGCCTCCCCAGGCCTTGCCCTACATAAGTCGGTTCACCGGAAAGCCAATGAAAAACACCAGTATCTGGAATCAATCGTCTCTGGAAGAGCGCGAGAACATACGGACTTTCTGGTTTGAGCTCGGCGAAGAAGAACGGCGACAGCTTGTTAAAGTGGAAAAGGACGCCGTTCTGAAGAAAATGAAAGAGCAACAAAAGCACTCCTGCAGTTGTACCGTTTGTGGAAGGAAGCGAACCGCGATTGAAGAAGAGCTCGAGGTTCTTTACGACGCTTACTACGAAGAGCTCGAACAGTACGCGAACAATAATCAAGGCGCATTCGAAGAGGGAGCTCCAATAATTCCTCCGCCCCGGTTATATCAACCGCCACTTCGATCGCCGGGGCAACACACTCGCACTCATGGCCAATATCATCCATCTCGGAGTCGTGTCCAGGAGCTACCCGAAGACCATGAAGAGGAGCTCGAGGAGGACTATGACGAGGAAGAGGAAGATGACGATGAAGAAGAGGAGGATGAAGATGAGGAAGATGAGGAGCTTTACAGTGATGAAGACCTCGAGGACGATGAAGCTCGGGCAGCCCGGGCAGATTTCTTCGCATTCGGCAATAGCTTAACTGTAAAAGGTACGTGTGTTTTTTACATGTGACATTTTCATGCATCTAACATCTTGCAGATGGCATACTCACCGTTGCTGACGATCTCCTGAAAAATGATGGCAAGCACTTCATTGATATGATGGAGCAATTGGCAGAACGGAGGATGCAAAGAGAAGAAGACACACAGTACGGAATAGCTGCCGCTCATCAGACATTCCATGGGCATAATCATGGCCCCTTGGATGAGGATGATTATGACGATGACGACGAAGAAGAGGAAGATTATGACAGCCAAGAGGAGGAGGAATTTGATGAGGATGAGATGGTAGGAACGATCATTCTGAGATCATTGATTACATCTACTAATTCGATAACAGGATGCCATGACCGAAGAGCAGCGCATGCAAGAAGGGCGGCGAATGTTCCAAATATTTGCCGCCCGGATGTTCGAGCAACGAGTCATGACAGCATATCGAGAGAAAGTTGCGGAACAACGCCAGAAACAGCTAATTGACGAGCTCCTCCAAGAAGAGACGTTGAATGAGCAGCGGAACGCTAAGAAGGCCAGGGAAGCGCAAAAGAAGAAGGACAAGAAACGGTTACAAAGGCAGGCGAAGGAAGAGGAAAAGGCCCGTCGAGATGCCGAGAAGGCTGCTGAAGAGGCCGCCATTAAGGCTGCCCAAGAGAAGAAGTCAGAAGAACAACGGCTAAAACGGGAAGAACAGCGGAAGAAGCGTGAAGCTGAGAGGAAGGCCCAGGAAGAAGATCGTGCTCGTAAAGAAGCGGAGAAGCAACGGCGACTCAAAGAGGAACGTGAACGACACGCCGAAGCTGAGCGCAAGCAGCGGGAACAGAGAGAGGAAAAGAAGAAGCGGGAAGAGGCTAAGCGCAAGGAGAAAGAAGATCGTGAGGCTCAGGAGAAGAGTGCTAAAGAAGACCTCGAGCGCAAGACACGGGAAGAGCTGGCGCGCAAAGACCGAGACGCGATGCGAGAGCAAGAAATTCGGGATCGTGGCGGCAGGCGCGAACACGTCAGGACATCACCACCGCACACCTTGCCAGGTGTTATTCCACATAATATCCCGACTCAGCCTCCTCCCGGCTTCGCACAATCCCCACATTATCCAATGGCGACGCCCGTCGTTCCCAAGGCGTCAACTCCTGTCAGACCTCGTCAACAATCCCATCACGGCTCTTCTACCTCTTCTCCACACTCGCAACCCAACAGCGCCGACTCTCACCACCCTTCAATCTCCCCACGCTCCATGGGCCATTCGCAATCTGGAGGAGCTTTTGGTGCCAGACAAGGCTACCAACAACCTCCATTGCATCACCCTCAGCCTTCAGCCCCCTCTCTCCACTGGGTCGATCAAACCCTCCAGGATTTCCAGGCCTCGGTGGTCTTCCATTCAACCCCCTGGTATACCAGGAATGGCCCCGCGCTCAAACATTCCCCCAGAATCAATGTATTCGTCGAACGGGGCGATGATGAATCCTTTGCGGTCATTCAACGGGTCCAGTGGAATTGCTGCGCCGCCTGGCATGAATGGCGTTCGTCCTGTTCCGCCGGGTCGTGCGTTCCCATCTGACTCCGGGCATGGTCTTTCTTTTGCTAGCACCCACGGAATGCCCGGTGCATTCCCCCTGCAGCAAGCGGGCCTGTCCAAGACTCATTCAAGACAACCCTCTACCTCATTTGACCGCTCTCCGCTGGAATCAGGCACCCAACCTTTCCCCATCACAAGACCGAGCCCTATCAAGCGCCCATCTAGCTCAGCCCAGGACCAACAGAACCATGGAACATCTTCGGTTCAGCGAGATATTGACGGTCTGAGTGCTCATCTCGGTAGCAGTGCTCTCCTTGATGATACTGACATCACTTATCCGTCAAATCTGTCCCAGTCACTGCCTGGTGCTCCTGCACCTGGTCCGTTCCCGGGACCGACTAGAGCTAGCTTCCAGGGTGCCTCGTTGTTTGCAGACCCTCTAGGATCACCGCAGCCTAGCTTTGCTGTTGGCTCCCCCATTGGTAATAGCACATGGGGTCCGCCTACGCCTTTCGGAGGCTCTGCGTTCCCAGGTGCTTCTTCCACATGGGGACCTGCTTCGGCCGGGTCTGGCGGTTGGCCTTCTAATAACGCATTCGCAGCCAGTGCGTCTCACCGGCCGCATACCTCGCGACCAGTCATGATTCGCTTATTGGTCATACAAGCCTGCAAACACCTTGATTCAACAATGAGTCCCCGCAAGGCCGGAAGCTTCCACAATGTGAATCTTGTCCTCGCACAGGTAGATCAGCTGCGCAACCCGAAAGATTCTTTCATTTCTTTGGAAGAAATGCTTGACATTTGCGATACAGAAGGCAACCCGCAGAACGGCGGCGGCTCCTTCTCAATTAAGCAAGGCCCTGGTGGCCAGTCTAGCGACCAGTCTGTTCGGTTTGAGCCCGATCCCAATAGCGCGGTCCCTGGCCACAGGGGCAGCATTGTTCCTGGTGATATTGGCAGCCCGGTTCCTTCCAACAGCCACCCAGCTCCCTTTGCTGGCTTTGGCGCTCAGTCTGGATTGCGGAAGTACTCATCACCACCGACTGGCGGGCTCTTCGGCGGGTCTCCTCTGACTTGAACATCGGTTCACAGTGCGGCTCTTGGTCCTCTTTGTTCATCCCATAACCTCCCTCTCATGGGAACGATCTTGAAATGCCCTCTCGTCTTATTTCTTTTCCCTTTTATCGTCATCCTCTTTCATTGAAGCGTCATGGATTAACGTCACACATTATCTATTCCTTTCTTTTAAGAAGGGAAGATCACTGCTATTGGGTCTGTTTGTTCTTTCTGTTCAACTGGTTGAATCTTTTACTCTTTGTAGTATGGCATCCGCATCTACTTTATGTACGGTATGAGTTTGGCCTTTCCACATTATGCAGCGATATCCGTGGAGATTGGGTTAGTCTCCCGCTCCGTCATATCCTTTTGACCAATTGCATGATCGAAGCTTTCTTCGGCTTTGTTTGTTTGCCTCCGGGTGTAGGTAGTACACTGTAAAACGCCAAGGAGAGGTGGTTTATCTGCTGCGTCTTGTTCAGTCTCCACTGCAGCCCGTTTGCCTGCCGTCCAATGAATCTCGTCTCCCAATAAATGAGGTAATCTTCTTAGTCTCGTCACTTCAAGGCGGCGGGCGGCGCTTTTACGTCGGCTAGGTAGACGAGCAGTGATCTCATTACGCCCTAATGCGCTACGCACAGGTAAAAATGCATGTTGTCTAAGCCAGATACAATTCAAGATGAAGGGTATGGTGCATCCGGAAACAATGATACACTTGTATGTACTGGAAAACAAAGAGAATTGAAGAACGGAGATAAAAAAGGCTTCCAGGAACGTAATAAGCAAACAGAAGAGTAATGAAAGCAGGAGATAATAAACCAGGGAATAGTCCAGTCCTCGCGATAGAAAAGCACCATCACTTCGTATCCTATCAATTCTTCCAGGGTATAACCCAGAGCTGACCAAACCACATCAGGCTATTCATTTGGGTGGATCAGTGATGATACCTTCGTATTCCCGAGAACGAATGTATTCCAGTGTGCGCTCGAAGTGACGCTTCGGAGCATCAAGACTAGCGTTGGAGTCCTCTTCGCTGCTCTGCAGATTGGAGTGGATAAGTTCGATGAGACCGTTCAAGTACTTTGTAGTGACGGTTTCGTTCTGCTGGTCGAAATAGTAAACGTAGCGGTTAAGGATCTCCACGAAGAGTTCGACAGAGACGCCGGTGTCCATGCAAGCATCGGCCACACGCAGGGCTCGCTGCAAGCATTCGAGAACACGTTTTCCATCGCGGTAGAGCTGATAATCAGAGTTAGCGTATGGTTCCAATTGTGGGCAGGCTAGATTAGAACTCACATCTTTGGGATCATCCTCTCCTCGTTGAGGGTTTTCAACTACCCACCACAGATGACTTGCGAGGTAGACCGCGCGGCACTGATCGGGCTTCTTGAGGAGCTTACTTCCATGCAGGGCAGCCTTGGTAATGAGCGTGTCATAATTCTCCTTGGAGAATCCACGACTTCCGTGCAAAGCACTGGAAAGAATACAAACAGCCTGGAACTGAGCGCGTGAGTCACTGATCGCATCTTCGTAGATGGTGAACGCCTGTGCGAAGAACTCGTAGCTGACTTCTTCAAAGCCTGTCTGGTCCGCAACTTCACCACACATCACGAACAGTCGCAGCGCGAGGTCGGCACAGCCTGCATTGACCCGCTGGTAAAGGTTGTTGATGGATTGGTGCATGAATCGGTACAGAGCTGATGATTGTGATTGCCAGTTATCGTCGTAGTGTTCACGCGATTTCAATTTGCGGGCCAATCGGATCGATGCCGTCACGATTGCCGGGGTAGTGTAGCGGATACGTTCATTGCCATCGGCGAACGCTTTGCGTGTTGCTTGGAGAAGCTGTCATAGAAGATTAATAAGCGCTTACATTCGAGGTTCTCGTGGATTGATTTCTTACCTTGAGTTGGGTATCATTATCCTTTCCTTGGATCAAGTGCACGAGTCTCGCAAGCCATCCTTGCTCCTCCACTGTTTCATCGGTCTCACCTCCACGCCGTTGTGACTGCGCTCCAGGATAACCAACCGACTGTTGCATGCCTTCTTTGATCAAAACTCTGACAGCCTGAAGGACACGGTCGAGGTTTTCTGTTGTTGATACCGGGATTTTGTTTCTCAGCAGACTGCGAAGAATTTCGCTCGCCACCGCCCTCCTGGTAGGATATGACTGTGACGCCAAAAGCGGCAGGTAGTGAGGCAGCGCCAGAGCTGTGAAGATTGAGATGTAGGATTTAAGAGGGGCATTGAGGAGATGGAGAATGTGCTGTTGAGTTGGTGCAGAATGTAGGTCGGCATGGTCTGTGTACTCGGCGGTCTTTTGTGTTGCGAAGTCCAGGACCTGGTCGACATACTCTGGCCGGTCAGGGTAGATATTCAAAGCCAGGTTGACGAGTGATACCAAGAGCGCCATGGTATCCTGGATCGGCAACGCGCGTCTCTTGATCAAATTGACCACCTGGTCGTAGAAGATATCGTACAATTTGACTTCTGCCGGAATACCCGGCTTAGCATCGTGGCCGTTCTCAGTCGCGGTCTCCTGCTTCACAGGCTCGGGAGACTTTGAGCCGTCTGGTGCTGATTCTTCGGCACCGTTCTCTGTGGAGGTTTCTTCCTCCCTGCTGCCAGAGCCGACCGCCTCTTTGCCCTTGCTTTCTTTGGCGAGTTCGAGCTTCTCCAGTAAACGGGTGACAGCTTCTTCCTCACTCTGTTTCTTCGTCTCGGGCTCTGCAACACCCTCTGCTTCCTTTGCAGCATACGAAGACAAACGGTCCATGAGTCCAATGACGATCTTCTTTAGGTCAACTTGCGGATTGAGTCCGGCAATTGCAGATAAGAGAAGGTCAAGGGTGTGAAGATGGAACTCATCCGGGAACACCTTTGTGATGACTGTAGGCCACAATTAGCTATCGTATGCAGTGATTTCATGCAAGAAAGGACATTTCCGTACCTTCTAGGAGATATTCCTGCGCGAGGACATCTCTGCATTGCACAACCTGCTCCAAGAGCGCTTGGAGGATGCCATTCTTGTATCCCTCAAGATCAACGAGCTGGCTGAGTCTGACCACATTACTACCAACGAGTAACTCCAATTCGCGTCTTTCTTGGATCCTTCTTTCTCTCTCTCGCGACGGTCCTTGGTGTTGGAGCCGCACCCAGAGCTTATTCATCTCCACGAAATTCGTGAGGACAAAATTGATCGAGTCTTGCATATTACCTTCGGGCCCATCACCGGTTCCAGAGGGCAAGTAGTCCCTCGCTTGGCCGGAGAGATAATATCGTAGGAACAAACCGCGGATCGGATGTTGGACACCTCGGCTCATCTCCATCATATCCTTCATGATCTCCTTGACCGGCGCATCTTCAACGGACATGTAAACAGTGCCTACAGTGATCATCAGATACAGCCGAGGGACGATATTGCCGGCATATTGGACGAGTTCGTATAGGTCGGCTAGGTGGTTGACGGGGTGGTTCTCCTTAAGGTAGACGGATAGGTGTCGCAATGCATCAAAAACGGCCATATACAATTCATAATATTGCTTTGGGCCAAGACTGGGGGTTCGTAATTCGGAAACGAGGGTCGACCTGTAGCACGTTCTACTGTTAGCGCACGTTCCGAGATCGCTGCCTTGGGGTGAAGCTGCCTAGGGGAGCTCACCCGCATTTGAGCGCATCCATGAGCTTGCCAGGGGTTTCCAAGCATTTGCGCATCAAGCCTGACTGCTGCCTCACCACCCCCAATGCCTCCTCGAGGAGACGGTTCTGGTCCTCAGTAACGGGTGGTGGGCTAGCCATCATGTGTGATGAGGGGCGGAAGCTAGGAAGCTATGAAGCTAGGTTAAGGGCAGGTACACATGTACTGCAGGGAAGATGAGGTCAAAGATCGTGTATGGCTAATTGCAATGGTAGTCGGGGGCAATGGAGTGGGGACGGGGAAGAAACAGAGGAGAGACGTGGGTGGAGGACTTTGGGTGACGCCAGCTTGGGACATTCCCCGAAACGTCACTATACGGCGGCTGATAGCGACCACTTGGTCCTTTCGCTCTTTTAGGGTTGCCGATATTCATAGTTCTCTTGTATATTGTCCATATGTCTTTTTCTATGTATCTTTCTATGTCTTCTTCTTTTCCTGTGTGTTTATTGCATCAGGAGTTCTCGTACTGTCTATATACCCCTGGACCTAACATTCGATTAACTATCTACATGGTGTTGATAAAGCCTCCTGATCACTGGCCTGTGCTAAACAAGTACTTCCAAGAGCTCACACAAATACTTTGACTGACCAGCTGTTCTTCTGTCAATTTCAGGTAGTTTCCAGGTCTGTTGACAAATGACGATGAACTGGCTGCGTAAACTCAGTTGTGCCTGTAACTATATCCGTCTATACGGAGTATTCTGTGACGGTTTGGATGTGAAAATGTGAGCAAAGAGTGAATCCTTTCACTCGATATGATCTGATTCTTTTATGCTAGACTCTCCGAGGTATCTGGTATACTGTTTCCTCTTAATTGATTGCTTTCAAGCCCACTAGGTATATGCAGTGCAATCCAACAGGAATCCCTCGATCTATAGTATCTGGTAAAGGCAAGAACGAGCCTCCGAACTTGAACCGCTTTCCAAAAGCTCGAAGGCAATAGAAGCTCAAGTCCGTGGAAATATCAGGTTGATGTATAGCCTCTGTCTTTGGGGATATCTGCTTCGATATCTCGTGACTTTCCAATCCTACTCATCGCAAGCGTCTGACCATTTTTCGTCTCAAACCTTCCATCATACGTGCACTTCTTTTCCACGGTTGTTAAATTTGCACTCTCGTCTCGTTGAAACTGCCCCAATTCCTTCATTTAACATCAATCGCGGCAACTGTCGTTTTACGCCCACTCGTTTTACGCCTGACGGCTCTGCTACCTTCCACCGGTTTCAATCGATCCGACACAGCGTCCCTTAGCTTTTTACGACTACCCGAGATGGTCCCTAGATCCGACAAACAGAAAAAAGGACGTGACAGAGCAGCAATGGGGGAAAAACGCAAGCGTCGAGTGCGACTCCGACATCGAATATCACAATGAGTGTGGCATCTCGCGACGATCACACTCCTGGGGGAAGACATAACAATGACTTTGCCAACATATGCCAAATCAAAATCATGCCTAGCTTTGACGAAATACGTTGCTCTCGAACCGAATATCTTCCCATTGTCGACCCATCTCAATGGCACATTCCTGGTATCGACGGCTTGCTGGATCGAAACTTTCGACTGCTGCGAGAGGATACGGTTGGCCAGATTCGTGATACTGTCCGCCATGAAATCATACCCGGTGCAAATAAAACAAAGCCTCCTCTGCACAGGCTTGTACACCGTGGGGTTCGTCTTCTCAATGTTGGTTTCCACTGGCTTTTCGGTCTCTACTTTGAGGTCGATTTCCCCCAGCCCTCGGTAATTGTGAAATCCCCAGTTCACCTGCGACAGAGATGGTGGGAGGAATCCAGACGCCTCAGACCCGGTGACCTTGTGTGCCTGGTCATTCAGAAGGACTTGATCGTGTTCTGCACGGTGGCAGATCAGGCAATGATGCAAAAGCGCAAGAGAGGTCTAACTAAGCCACACAAAAAGGGAACGGCATCCTTGTGGAACAATGAGAAGAGAGCATCTGTGCAGTTGAATCTCGTTGACTCCAGATTTAGCAATGTTCGACTCATTCTCGATGTTTACAGCCACAAAGATCCGCCAATGTCTTTGATAGAGTTCCCTGGTGTTCTTCTTGCGTCGTTCGAGCCATCTCTTAAGGCACTCCAGACCATGAAGGCTAAAGAAAACTTGCCGTTCCCAGAACTTCTTGCTCCTTGGTCCTTGAACCCTTCAAACTCTCCTAAAACATGGACCCCTTTGTATGCTTCGCAGTGTGGGTTTGCATACAACCTTCGCTGTCTTCTGAACACAGATGTCAACTTCTATGTTCAACCCGGTGATTTTCCAACTCAGAGAAAACAAACGCAATATCTGCAGGAGAATTCAACGCTGGATCATGGACAAGCAAGTGCATTGATTCGATGTCTTAACAGACGCATTGGGTTGATCCAGGGACCACCTGGTACTGGGAAAAGCTACACCTGTGTAGCTCTTATCAAAGTTCTACTGGCGAACAGGGAAGAGGGAAAGTTGGGGCCCATCGTCTGTGTGACCTATACCAACCATGCCCTTGATCAGCTTTTAGAGGCTCTTCTCGAACACGAGGTCACGTCACAGATCGTTCGTGTGGGGTCACAGTCCAAATCGGAGAAATTGCAAGAGTTCTCTCTTTCCGTGGCCTCAAGGTGGAGCCAAAGGACCGACTGGGAGAAACGAGAGAGGTCCACCATAAACAAGGAATTGAGAGATAGCGAGTTGAAGTTTGAAGCCATTGAGATCAAGAGATCAATATCTGCGGGACGTCTCAAGCTTCATGTCCAGCAACATCATGGTCGCCACTACGATCAGTTATTCCCACAGACACAAGAGGATTTTGCCAGGCACGACTTCAATCCACCAAAAGGACCTGCTCAAGATACGTTTGGATTGTGGATGGATTCCGGATCGCCCACTGATGCACCCCCACGATCTACCACGATCCTTGAAGACACCGATGTATTCGACATGTCTAGACAAGAGCGCGTGAATATGCACGGCCAATGGTGCAGGGAGCTCCGGGAAGAGGTGGGCCACAAAATAGCCAAACTGGTTGAGTCCCACCAGCTTTCCAAGGTCGGCTTCGATGCTATTGAAGATGATATGCATCTCCGCTTCCTGGCCAAAGCAGAAGTCATTGGGATCACTACATCGGGACTTGCTCGTCGATATGATATGTTTCAAAGGCTTCAATGCAAAGTCATGATATGCGAAGAAGCCGGCGAAGTCCTTGAGCCCCATATGCTCGCGGCATTTCTACCTTCGGTTGAACACGCAATTCTCATTGGCGACCAACAGCAACTGCGTCCTCAGGTCCAAAGCTACCGCCTCTCCAGGGAAAACGTCCAGGGCGGTGGTAGATATTCACTTGATGTCTCCTTATTTGAGAGGCTGGTGAGCTCATCGAAAGTAACACCTATGAGCTGTGGTCATATGTACAACACGCTGCAAGTTCAACGTCGAATGCACCCACAGATCTCTCAATTGGTGCGGGGCACTCTTTATCCACACATGCAAGACATTTCTTCTGCTCAACACTATCCGGAGATTCGTGGAATGCGGAAAAGGCTATATTGGCTGGATCACCGCTCAATGGAAGATTCCCAAGAGCATACGAAGAAGGGTGTAGCTCAACGTTCAGCAGCAAAGGGACCTTTGAGCGAGGATGGCATGTCTACTTCGCACTGGAACAAACACGAAATTGAAATCATCACCGCCCTGGTACATCATCTCGTGCGACAAGACTACTCGGTTGGGGAAATAGCTGTGTTAACGCCCTATCTGAACCAGCTCCAGAATTTACGACAACGGCTTGCTAAGGATTTTCCAATTGCAGTGGGAGATCGTGACCAGAACAATATTGCGCATGCAGGATACATGGACAACATCAGACCCCAAGACTTGACTCAAGCCAAACAGGGCGGTCTCCGAGTAGCAACTGTGGATAACTTTCAAGGGGAAGAAGCTCAGATTGTTCTGATATCTTTGGTCCGAAGCAATAGCCAACGCCAGTGTGGCTTTCTGCGCACTTCAAATCGGATCAATGTCTTGCTATCGCGAGCACAACACGGGATGTACATCATTGGAAACTCGGAAACAGCGCGACATGTTCCTATGTGGGCCAAGGTCATTGATATTTTGAAACAAGGCCAGAATATCTCGAAATCACTGGAGCTGATGTGTCCCCGTCATCCAGACACAGTGATCAGAGTCTCAGCACCAAAAGACTTCGCCGCACTCTCTCCTCAGGGAGGTTGCATCCAACGTTGTGACCAACCTCTGGTATGTGGGCATATCTGCCCTCTAGAATGTCATTCCGAGCTCGCTCACAACACTACCCGCTGCCTCGAAGCGTGTGATCAACCCCTCGATGGATGTGAGCACAAATGCCCAAATCCATGTGGGCGACCCTGCCCTAACAGGTGCTTGGTCAAAATGAATCAAGTTTTGAAACTCGCATGCGGTCACTCCATTGAAAATCCTCTATGTTGGCAGGTTCAGAATGCTTCGTCGCTTCCATGCAGAGAAAGCGTGAGCAAGATGATCCCAGGCTGCGGTCATTTCATCACCGTCTTATGCTCAACGAACGTTTCGTCCGATTTCAATTGCAAAGCTCAGTGCATGAAGCCTTTACCTTGTGGCCACAAGTGCAAGAAACTGTGTAAGCAATGTGTCACAAAGAACTCTGCCCAAACCGTTCATGGACCATGCAAGGAGAAATGTGGCAAGAAACTCTCAGAATGTCACCATATTTGCACCCTCCCATGCCATGGGTATTTTCCATGTCCTCCCTGCCAATCAACTTGCAATTTATACTGTGGTCACTCCAATTGCACGCGACACTGCAGTTTGCCTTGTACTCAGTGTGAGGAGAAGTGCCTCAATGGATGCTCTCACAGTACATGCTCCCTGATATGCGCAGCTCCTTGTGATAACATCCCCTGCTCCAAGCGGTGTGAGAAGAAGATGAAATGTGGTCATCAATGCCCGTCCACGTGTGGGGAAAAGTGCCCTCCCTTCTTTCAGTGCCAAATTTGCGCATCCGATACAACCAAAAACCACATAGTCAACGCCCTGGGACAGAAGTACGGAGAGATCAACTTAGATGAACACCCATGTCTGTTTCCAAAATGTGGACACATGATGACGATCGAGACCATGGATGCACAAATGCACATGGTTCGTCATTACAGAGTTGACGACAAAGGAAAGCCTGTGTCTCTTCGGGACGATTCAGTCCTAGCCTCAGCTCAAGACTTCACATGTGCCACTTGTTTGAAGTTGATGAGAGGCATTGCTCGATATCGTCGGCTGGAACGTCAGGCTCTTCTTGGGGAATCGGCTAAGAAACTGATTGTGCTCGCCAATCGAGTATATGTCCCTCTTGCAAATGAGCTTTCCTTTATTGTCCAATTCTTATCGCAGCTGAGTCCCCAAGTGAATTTGAACTGGCCTGAAGTCATTGAGATCGGCGGTACACGTTGGGACCAGGTCAGCGCCATGCGAGACGTTGTGAATCAGACAAATTATGGTAGATGGGATGCGATCCTTGATCTGCGTGAGCGAATCGAATGGCATCGTCGACTGATTCAGCCGGAGGTGGATACTATCCAAAATGTCCAAGATCTCCTGAACAAGACCATTGGCGATGGCAACAAACGCAATTTGAGCTCTGTCATTGCCCTGCTCCAAACCAAGGTCCTGCTTCAAGTGAATGCTCTCTTGGTCAGTCTCGATATCGCACTTCTTACAGACTTCTCCACCCTCTTGCCCAAAGCGCGGCCATCGAAGGTGACATTGAACCTTGATATGCAAGCCATCGAAGACGACTGTATCTGGCTCATCCATGAGGCGATCAGCCACAATAGGCTTTTCTACCAGGCAGAGGGCTATCTCTATCTTGCACTGGCTCATGCATTCGAGCGGAAACACAGCTTGTCCCCGGGGCGGAGGGAAACTCTTGCCCATCAGATTCGAGAGACCGTTGCTCGCGGCAAAGCCATTTGCCATTTGCACCCCGACCAGACACCAGGGTTGTTACCCCAGCTGGACTCCGTGGTCGCAATGCTCAATAAAAGCACAGTGCATACGGTCATTACCAGCCAGGAGCGGTTTGCAGCCATCTCGAACATGGCGCTGGAGCTACAGGAGAGTGAGAAATGGTATCACTGCGTTCATGGGCACCTGTTTACCATAGCGGAGTGTGGAGACGGGCATCTTTGTCCTGAATGTGATGCCCATTTTGAACTTTGAAATGACTGAAGAGACGCGTGGAGGATGAGATTAAGATGGGCCGACAGCGGACCTCGGGAGAATCCGTGGTCCAATACTTCATGTTTGTACGAGTAGATGTGAGCATACATAGGACACAGCTGAATGAACTGAGTGAACTGAGTGAACTGAGTGAACTGAGTGAACTGAGTGAACTGAGTGAACTGAATGAACTGAATGAGCTGAGTGAACTGAATGAGCTGAGTGAACTGAATGAGCTGAGTGAACTGAATGAGCTGAGTGAACTGAATGAGCTGAGTGAACTGAATGAGCTGAGTGAACTGAATGAGCTGAGTGAACTGAATGAGCTGAGTGAACTGAATGAGCTGAGTGAATTGATGGAATAGTTTGATATTTCTTTCACCCTCAACTTGAACCATACAAACAAAAGTACCATTGAACCTTCTAGGGTTGGAAAGACCTGTGGACGCCTGGGCACCTGGGCAAGATCTTTCCAATATTACACCACAGCACTAATTAACGGTAAATTGACAGCCGCAAATGGCCAGAGCCTCCACTCAGCCAGATGACAGAGACCTCCCTAGGTGTAGGTGAATCATTGTTTGGAGTGCCTACATTTGAAGGGCCTGCATCTGAAAAAGCTCCTCCTAGACGAGTACCTGCACTTCTGAAATCTCATATTCATAAAATGATCATCGTGTAATGCAATTCACTTGATAATTCTGACATTAATCAGAGATATTAGTAGAACAAATAATGAATAATAAGTAACATAGTTAGTAGTGTTGTTTAAAAGAAAAACGATTGTGTCCTCTGTGTCCCGGCTCGTCAATACAACAGATAGGAAGCACTGGCCCATCTTTTGGGGAATATTCGTCGCATGTTCTCGTAATGATACGAGCCCTTTTGCGCCTGCTTAGTTTGTGTAGCAAATGATTGGAGTTTGGCATTTTCCTTTTCGGTCTAGGCTGAAGGAAGGAAATAGGGAGTAAAGCTAAACTTGAAAGCATACCGATTTGGTGATGCACGACTTTCTTATAAAGTTCTTTGCAATTTTCTAGTATCTACATAATGTCCATGCCCAAGCCGTCAATATGAATAGTTGAATCATCACTTTCAATCTACCATACCAAATACCCCGAGATTTGTTTAAATATTTTAAGCCGCACTGATTATGTATGAGGAGCATACCGAAACTCGTGAATGGAGATTATCCACCAATCACGGACCGAGCATGTTTCCGTGGACGAAGCAACAAATCTTAACTAAAAAAACAGTTTGGCGTCTATCCTGACACTACGGAGTATTCATAAATGCCCTAATCCAAAAAGATATATAGAAAGGTTCAACCCAATCCATGGATCTAGTAGAAAATACCTTCTTGAACACTCGGGTTCCAGTTTGGTCCAGACTCGGGTATCTCCGGACGAGTCAGAGATATCTTTTTTTTCTAGAAGAAAGCCGACACAAAACTATGACTCGACACACGGAGCCTCGCTTTAGGCAGACAAGATTTGGGTTAGCCAAATACTCCCGGGCTCCGGTACACATTCTGTATTTGTTTTGCATTAAAGCTTAGCGTATCAGAAGTGGATTCCTTCCCCCGGAGTCCGGGCCGCAGCTTTCTAGCGCACAAACCTCCTGATAAACAACCGAAATCCCGATGCTTAACTTAGCATTTGAAGGATCCGCAAGATTGTAATAGGCTTCAATATGCATGGATAACGCCAATCAGCCTCAAAGTCTTCAACATTAATCAGTATTATATACACTGCTATTGAACTAACTTCCAAGGTTTAGTCAGATCAAGGTATAAGTCAGGGTTAGCGAGGCTCGCAAGATCCATCTGGGCAGTACGGAGTATAACGTAGCCACACGCCCCATATCATCATAGACAAAGAGGGCTCAAGTAAGCAAAACTTCTTCCAAGGTTCCTCTCTCGTCCTAGCCTCCAATATTTAAGATAATAATATATTCACTAGGTAGATATAGAACTAAATGATCGTAACTGTTTGAAGACAATAAAGAGTAGATCGGTAAGTACTCTATCTTACCCTAAGGTTATCCTTATCAGCTAACTCATATAGTTGGGAATCTGCTATCCAATAGTCTAGGAGGAGAGGACTATCAAGCACGCAATTTAGCCTGCAAATATATCATGCCAGTGGCCTGGTGAGAGCACTCGATTGGTAATTGACGGTCCAGACAGGAGTAATTTCCGCTGTACTAAGGCTAATTAGCAGCATGTCACGGTAGTAGACTCTCCATACGACTGTTTGGTAGGTCCATACATATTTTCAGCAAGTGGAGCCAAGGGACTCTCGTTGTATTCACAAATGCAGGCGCCGGTGCTCAGATAGGCCACGCCCAACCCGGGCCGTCGGAGCTTATCTGGGCTAAGCCTCGGCCTTGGTGAATCCTGGCCAATAATCAGGCCTTCAAGTACCCCCCTGGTCACTGTACATTTACGCGATCCACTCTATACGCTGGACTACTCTCGGTCTAGCTGTAAGGCAACATTGTTACCCCAAAGCCATCTATCAAATTTATGCTAGTGATTGGTCGGTTTCACCTGGTTATACAAGTAGTACATTGGTGGAGCAAGCACCTGGGCAGGCCCGGGCGTGGGTGTTTTACCGTCTGTCACAACCAAGGCTGTCTTTTGATTCTCCCCCAAATCTCCACCTTCCAAGTGCTCACAGCCATGGAGACAGTCGATCCATCTATTAACCTGGCTTCAGCCATGCCCACCAGTACAGAAAGCAATGAGAAAGCCTTGCCTTTAGAAAAAGCAGAGACAGTACCTGAGCAGCAAGATCTCGAGCCCGAGCCCGAGCCCGACTTTAACCTATGGCAGCAAGTCCCCGTTTTCATCGCAATGAGCTTGGGCATCTTCATCCAAGGACTCGTATGTTACCTCTTCTCTACGGAGTTGACGTGATATTGCTAACAATTTTGGGTGCGCGTTCAGGACAGCACGATCGTTGGAACTGCCACAGCAACGATAAGCAACGAATTCAACTCGATTACTGACATCGGCTGGTATGGCTCGGCCTATCTGCTAACAAGCTGCTCAACGCAATTCATGTTCGGCAAACTGTACACAATGTTCCGTGTGAAATGGCCCCTGGTCATCTCGGTTGTGATTCTCGAGCTCGGATCCATCGTCTCCGCTGCTGCGTCTAGTTCGGCTGCTTTCATTGTTGGCCGTGCGGTTGCTGGCTGTGGCGCTTCCGGGGTACTCAACGGTGTCCTGATGTAAGTCGAAGAACTGTTCGTACAATACAGTCAGCGGACTGACGTGACGATCTAGTGCTGGCTCGACTACATTGCCGTTGCGCTGGAGACCAATCTTCAATAGCTCTGTCGGCGGGATGGAGTGTATTGCCATGGTTATAGCCCCTGTGATTGGCGGCGCTTTGACAACAGATGTTACTTGGAGGTGGTGGTAAGTACTACTACATTCTGATCGCTAGCTTTATGTTCTCGAGACTGAGCCTATCCTTGCTGATGCTCCTTGCTTACTAGTTTTTGGCTGAATGTCCCAGTCGGCGGGTTCACTCTAGCCATACTAATTTTCGTCTTCAAGCAGCCGCCGGATCAAAAGGGTAAGGATGAGTCGATAATGTCAAAACCCAAGAAGCTCAACATCCCAAGCCTGCTCATATTTACCGGCAGCATCGTCTGTCTGCTGCTTGCCCTCCAGTGGGGCGGCACAACGTACCCCTGGAACAGTGGAAAAGTGCTCGCACCTCTGATTGTCGCAGGCGTTTCATTTGCCGCGTTCCTGGCATATGAGAGCTTTCGCGAAGGCGAGCCTCTAATTCCGCGCTCGGTAATTTTCAATCGGACCGCAGGCTTATGTATGCTTTATGCGTTTTGTTGTTCTGCTGCATTTAACATGATTGACTATTACGTGCGTCCCCTGACACAGTTCCTCGCACGTGCATCTGACAAGCCCATTAACCGCCATATCATACTCTTAGTTACCAATCTGGTTCCAAGCAATCAAGGGCGCAACGGCTGTGCAATCAGGAGAAATGCTGCTCCCATCAATCATTGGGCTCTCAGTGGTAGCCATAAGCTCAGGCTTCGTCCTCTCTTTCATCGGGTACTACACACCGCTGATGTTACTGGGCTCCACCATGATGGCAATAGGCTTCGGCTTCCTAACAACATTCAAGCCCTCGACCACCCATGTCGCCTGGATCGGGTGGCAAGTGATGATGGGCATGGGTACTGGATTTGCATTCCCGCAGCCATGGTCAGCGATCCAGACAGCGCTTCCAGAAAAAGATGTGCCCCTCGGACTGGCGGGCGTAGGATTTGGTATCAGCTTTGCCGCGGCAGTGTCGATCTCGATATGCCAGAACATGTTCACGAACTTGCTACGCAGCGGCTTGCAGGTGGCTGCTCTTCCCGGTATTAATCCTGAGGATGTGATCCAAGAGGGCGTGACGGGATTCTTGCAGCATATCGCTGTGAAAGAGAGGGAATCGGTATTGGAGATATATAATCACGCTGTGACAAGCTGCTTCTGGCTACCTCTCGCGGCTTGCTGCGTAGGGTTTGTTGCAGCATTGGGGATGAACTGGAATTCGGTCAAGCAGAAGTAAAAGACAGTCGATGAGGAAAAGGAGGAAAGTGGGAGTGAGAATAAGCCGGTCTCGGAGGCGCACATGCAGGAATGTTGACCATTATTGTAGTTCAAGGGAAGGTTGATTGTTCTTGTTTGAAGGGAAACATCCATGGAGGCTATATATACACCGAGAAGATGATGTTGATTGAAAATGATGTTGTTCTTCGTACAGATACTTCGGGATTAATTTCGATGAAAGATCTGCTCACTTCACAACAAGAATGCTTTCAGGACGTGTCGGGTTATCATGTAACCCTAAACCACATGCACATGTGCATCACTCCAATCCGACCTCTAACATTGGAACTACTCAAGTGCTGCACATCAACCTTCCTGGACCCTACCAGCTCCAACCGTGCCTCGCAGAAAACCCATCACGTCTTGCTCCCAAAATGGGCGCATCTTGTAAAACCCTAACTTTTTATTGATATTGTTTATGAGATAGCAACGATGTACTTTATACACAACCTTGGCAGTAGAACAGCATATGAACTATGACGAACAAAATCCGTTGGTGCTTCATACAAACTCTGGGACCTCGGGAATACCCCAAAGGTGGCTGGGAGTAAGGTGTACAGTGCTTACTTTGAGCGGAGTAGAATTGCCAAGGCATATATTTGATCAAGCGGGTGAATGAGAGTCAAACAGTGAAACAAAAAAGCTTCAATGTTTTCAATAATCGACTGCGCCGATTCAATAGACTCAAACATATCAATTGCTAATACCCCGTCGAGAGATGCGAGACTATAATGATTATATACAGGAGGAACAGCCCTGCAGCGCGAAGGTAAGGACGCACTCTCCCTCAACCACGGAGGCACAGAGAGAGCCTGGATACCAAAGTCTTCTGCGAGAGGCCTCCGGGGAGCAGCCTTGTGGGATTTCTTGTTTTGCTTTCAACAGAGATTGCCCCAAATCGCTTTTGGTGAACCAGCCAAGAAACGCCATGGATATCAAAGTACAGAAATATAATTGTCAAGGCGACTTGAGTTAGTCACTTATTCTTTGCGGACGTGGAAGTCCACGTTGCGATCGCGCATCAGCTGCTTGCGCTCCTGCTCCTTGGCTGTGAGGGTGTGTTAGTGAATATACAAAGAGTTCAAGGGATCGGAGATTCACATACCTTCGTCGTAAACCAAGAACTCGTGCAGACCACGGCCGGAGGGCACCATGGGCAGGACGGGGACCTTGCGGTCAGTGATGACCTCCAGAAGAGCGGGGCCGTCGTGCTCGATCAGCCACTTCAGCTTCTCCTCAACCTCGGAGGGCTTGAAACAGCTGTCTGCGGCAACGCGCATAGCCTTGGCAAGAGGGACGAAGTTGGGGTTCTGCTGGTGGGTGTGAGAGTAGCGGTCCTCGTAGAAGAGGTTTTGCCTGAACAATGATGTTAGTAAGAAGATAATGTGTGTGGAGGGTTACAACTTACCATTGGGTAACCATGCCCTGCTCCTCGTTGTTGAGCAGCAGAACCTTGACGGCGATACCGAACTGAGCAGCGGTGGAGAGCTCAGTGAGAGTCATGTTGAAGGAAGCATCACCATCGATATCGACGACCAGGCAGTCCGGACGGGCCACCTTAGCTCCCAGGGCAGAGGGAAGACCGTAACCCATGGTACCGAGACCACCGGAGGTGATCATGGTACGAGGGTGGCGCCAGCGGAAGTGCTGGGCAGCCCACATCTGGTGCTGACCGACACCAGTGGTGATGATGGTCTTGTCCTTCATGTGGGCGGTGAGGTCGCTCAGCTTCTCAATGACAGCCTGGGGCTTGATGGGACCGTCTTCGGTCTGGCGGTCGTAGAGCGAAAGCGGGAAGCGCTCCTTCCAGTCGTTGATCTGCTCAAACCACTCGGGACGCTCAGAGACGGACTTGACGTGGGGAAGAAGGAGGCGAAGGTTATCAGCGCAGTCACCCTCAACGGCCTCGTTGGCTTGAACGACCTTGTTGATGTTCTTGGGCATGATCTCGAAGTGCACAATACCACCACGACCCTCGGCAGCGGCAAGCTTGGCCTGAGGAGCGAACTTGGGGATGCTGAGAGTGACACGGTCATCGAAACGAGCACCAACAGCGATGATGAGGTCAGCCTCCTGCATAGCCATGTTGGCATATGCGGATCCGTGCATGCCCAGCATGTGAAGAGCCTTAGGGTCCAGCTCGTCAAAGCCACCGAGACCCTGGAGGGTAGTGGTGACAGGGATGCAGGCCTTATCGGCGAATTCCTTGAGGATCTCGGGGCCATCGGGGCGAGCAAGGAGACCCTGACCAACGTACAGAATGGGCTTCTTGGCAATGTTGACAAGGTTGGCGACACGGTTGATGGTACCCTCGAGCTGCTTCTGGCTCATTTCACGGGCAGCCATGGCGGCCGCGCTGGGGAGGGAGGGAATAGTGCTGTGCATGGGGATGGGGTTGCGGAGAATGCCAGCGGTGACATCCTTGGGCAGATCCACCAGAACCGGGCCGGGACGGCCGCTGGTGGCGATCTCGAAAGCTTCTTGGATGCGGCGAGGCAGCTCACCCACGGACTTGACCATCACGTTCCACTTGGTGCAAGCGCGAGAGATACCGATGACATCGGCCTCCTGGAAGGAATCGGTACCAATTGCGCTGGTGGGGACCTGACCACAGAACACGACCATGGGGGTACCATCGGACATGGCATCTTGCATGGGAGTAATGACATTAGTAGCACCGGGGCCAGAGGTAACGAGAACAACACCAGGCTTGCCGGAGGCACGGGCGTAACCCTCGGCCATGTGGCCGGCACCTTGCTCGTGCTTAGGGAGGAGGAATTCGAAGTGCTTGGAGTTGTAGATAGCGTCGAAGACGGGGAGAATGGCACCACCGGGGTAACCGACTGTGGGTAACGTATTAGAATGGATGTTCCATGTATCTCAATGCACAAAATACTCACAAACGTGCTTCACACCCTGGCGGAGCATCATCTCGTGGAAGATCTCGCCACCGCTCATGCCAACCATTCTTCATGCCAATCAATCAGTTTCTATACGTTCAGGTCATGAATGGGGCGACCTACGAGTCATCGAGCTCAGGGAGCTGACGGCGTTGCAAGGGAGAAATTTCATTGCGATGGGGTTCCTGGTTGAAAGCTGGACTTGGGACGGGTCTGGACTCCCTAGCAATCGATTAGATCCAGTCAAAATAGAGATATGAGGTGACTGAGGGAGGACTCACGAGGCTCCGGCTGAAGCAGCAGCTGTACTCTGGCCACGCTTCTGAACAGAAGAGCGGTGGGGCGAAGCGGCCGAGGCCACAAACGAGGATGAAAAAGGCCGACGTCCAGCAATGTGCCTCTGGAGGTGGAATGTGCGCAGAGCGCTTTTCGATGGTCTTAAAGGCATCATTGTGAATGACAACCAAGCCAGTAGGGTAGAGAGGAGAGTGGTTAGAAAGTTAGGAAAAATGAGTTCCAATTGACTGAAGATTGCCGTGACTCTCTCTGGGGAATCGAGGGAACGCCCTAGGCCTAATTGGTCCGACCGCTCTGAGTCAATCAATTCGCGGCTTTTGATTGGTCCGCGGCGCCTCCGCGCCCTCCGACCTCGGCCGCTGACAGTCACGTGTCCTGCGTTTTCGTGTCTCCTCGGCAGATGAATTTCGCCTTCCTACATACATCCGACAGGGAGGGTGAGATTTTAAAAAGAAATTTCGACTCACTTTGAATACTTTAATCCTGCTAGATGCTCAAACTTCAATCACCCCAGCTCAATTCTCCACGATATCAAATTCTAACCGATTACAGCCTTGTGGCCTGATTTTAGATCCCGACTTTTTTCGGTGTGGGTCTGGACTTTGTAGATCGGCCCGGGCATCTGGGCCAAGCTCCCCCGGAAGTACAAAATAGGGACGATGCCATGTTTGTTGATTCTTCACAAAATGACCCAAGTGATGTTTTCGGTTGATCCTGGTCAGCCACAGCTTGAACGGTCAGCCTATAACTTGAATGAATGACACCAGTAATGAATAATCACTGTTATAACTTATGAAAAAGAACCTTCCCTGGGGCATCAATAACCTTGGAACTTTTTGATGATACCTCCAATATCATTTATATCCTACTGTTGGAGTATACTATACCAGGGGTTCTGTCTATGTCAGTCGTACTAGGTTCAGACATGGCCCGTGGACTTTCAAGCTTAATACATCCATCCCCTACTAGGAGTACGAACCAATGACTAGCTAGGACTATTCGAGCGGACCGATGGTTACACCTGGGCACGTCTTGTACAAACTTAGCTTCTCTGTGATAACATGGTGTGTGGTTCTGACTCGAATTAACTATTGTGGTTCTATATCCTACAAAGGCGTCAAAAAGCAGAAGAAGGGAGATCAATACGGAGGGGTTGATGACACTGCAACTGGGTAACACTGAATTTGCGTCTTCGTTTCCAAGACTATAGGGTGTTCTTCCGCGCGAGTATAGGACATCTATCTTGGTCTGACCGTCGCAAACAGAGGCCAATATCATCAATTCGTTGCAACAATTTACAGGTCTTCAACCAATGTAGTAGCGGCAATATTAACAAAGAAACTGTCCACATCGCCAGCCTCTGGGTGGTCATTGTTGTCCAAAAACTGGTGTTTCGGGCGACTATTTTCATCGCTATTGTAAAAAGAAAAGACAGAAGGCATACGTAGGTCTGTGACTGAGGTCTTCGAACGCCCACCCATTTTGATAGTTTGTAATTTTGGAGATTGGTCTTTCAGATAGTACGAGGGAGATGATATCTAGTAGTAGCTAGCAGATAGAGTTTCTATGTGAAACATACATTATAGCAACAAGCCATATCGCCCAAGCCCAGCTAATCTGTGGGTCTTCATCATTCGGTGATCTAAAACCGTCGCCGTGATAAAGTTTATGGCCTCGGATCGGCAGTTGAATCGTAACCCGCAGCGTGAAAGCTGTTACCACTCAGAAGTAAACAAACTGAAAGTTGAATATCCGCGCTTCGGTATGTAACCTTTACAAGGGAAATAGAGTCTAGGTGACAGTGGGCCCCAACATCGTCATAGAACAATATATGCGTTGTTATTCCAATGTCGTTGTCACTGAAGTCCACGGATACTTCTGCAACAAACAAGATGCCTTATTTGAATTTACTATAGGCTCTAGAACATTCCCAATTGCTCTTGTATTCAGAACCCTGATTTCCCCTTCTCAAACAGCTCAACAACTTCGCTTATATCGCCTCCACTGACAGCACCCTTTTCTTCACCATTAAAGTACAGGACAGTCTGTGGCAGATCACTCTAGTCTCGTTCAATATCGCATACTTCAACATCAACCATAAAAGATTGTCCAATGACACCTTCTATTAAAAATTGGAGTTCTTTGCCAGGGCCATCACTTCCTTTGAAGAAATGGACAAGATTGGGCTCGGTTTGGCCGATGATATCATAGAATTCATGACCGCTAGAATGATACATTAATATTTATCAGACGAGAAGGATTGATGGTGAGATGGATGGAGCCACATACCTTTCAATCATTTGCAGGGCCATTTTAAGATTTTAACTTTTGTTGTAGGTTGTTCTTTCAGGTTGGGTGAGGCGTATGTGTAGAGTTCTTCCCTGCGAGGAACAGAAATTTATAGGTACAACCAGATAGCAAAGCGCCAGTTGATCTTTCACCTCGCTTCGCTCGTGTAGAAGGGCTGAACATTCAGCTCCTATGTCAGTAAACGTACGTGTGTGTCTATATAACTATTTCTGATTCGGCGATCTCAATTGTTCGCTGCTCCCAGCTCTGGATCGTCGGTGAAATGAGCATTGCGAACGACTTATTGGGTGGGGCTAAGTTCTCCAAGAACACCTTTATGGAGTACTCCGTATTCGAGGGAACCTACGTAATTTCAGCCGTGCCAGACAAACCCCGCGAAGTTCTTACGATCCATAGATTCGTGTAGAACTGTGGAATCTACAAAGTTGTTAATATTGACAGATACAAACAGGCACGGAATACTTCAGCTGCACATGAATCATTAAAGCATTGGAAATACCTATTGCTTCAGCTGAAAGCAATGACCATGCCGAGCTTGAACAATCCCCTGCTCCAAACACGGGCCTAACCAAAGTCGATCTCCATTTCCCGACACCCGGGCCGCGCGAACCACAGGAATGTGTCGCTGCCTGCGAACTATACCCCGACCCATCACTCACAAAGAAAATTGCATTATGCACTAATTTGTGGTCCTCGATCTTATACTCAGCAATGAACCTACACTACTCCGTACTTCGTAACCTATTGTTCCGGTAATTTTGAAGTACAACGGTAAATCAACGCACCTTATCTCAAGAAGGACGGCTTTGCGGTATGTCCTTTAGTCTTATGTTCCCTTTTTGTGAGGTTGGCAAGTAATCAAGGTCCATTTCAATGAAGAAAGTAATGAGAGGGGAAGAATAAGAAGCATGGAAGCGTGCAGGCAACAAATAGCAAGGACAATAGTAAGGAAATTAAGCAAAATACGTAGGGGGCAGCATGCAGAAGCTTAGTTATGCATAGTCTGGGCGGAGTAAAATGCTGCTGAGCCGACCTGTCACCATTGACAACCATCAAGAAACTGGTGAGCAGTTACCGAAAATGGATGGCAGTTTGGGGATGCGAAATGTTTATTTCCGATATCCCAACCGACCAGAGAGAAGAGTTCTGAATGGCCTCAGCTTGAATGTAGAAACAGGACAGTACATAGGTCTTGTCGGGGCAAGTGGATGTGGGAAGAGCACCATCATCTCTTTATTAGAGCGGTTCTTCGACCCCGAAGCCGGGGAGATCTTGGTTGACGGGAAAGACATTTCAATGTTAAATGTCAAGAGCTACAGGAGTCACCTTGCTCTAGTCAGTCAAGAGCCGACACTGTACCACGGCACAATCAGGGATAATATCACCATGGGAACCGACGACGACGATATTTCCGAGGAGAGAGTCATCCAAGCATGCAAGGATGCCAACATCTACGACTTCATCATCTCCCTACCGTAGGCCACCTCTTTCTTCGCAGCCTTTCCTTGTTTGTCGAACTTTGAATGGAGACATGCTGACGTTCTGCTTAGTGATGGTTTCTCGACGGTTATAGGCGCACGAGGCGGCATGCTCTCCGGCGGACAGCAACAGCGGATTGCTATAGCGCGAGCACTTCTCCGTGATCCACATACTCCTCCTGGATGAAGCCACTTCCGCGCTTGACTCGGAGTCGGAAAAGGTCGTTCAGGATGCACTCAATGCCGCTGCTCAAGGTCGAACGACAGTCGCTGTTGCGCATCGCATAAGTACGGTACAGAAGGCTGATTGTATTTATGGTGAGAACAGACCTTAACTCTTTGACCTCGATGATACTGGACTAACCTGTCTTAGTGTTGCATGAAGGCAATGTTGTGGAACAGGGGACGCACCAGGAGCTGATGGAGATGGGTGGACGATACTTTGAATTGGTCAAATTGCAGAGCTTGAAGGGCATTTGAGACTAGCAAACCCAGACTGTGATCTGATACGTGAGAATATTCGTACACATGCTGAGCGAGAAATGAAAAAGGGAAATAAAAAAAGGTGCCAGGGATTGAACATGGAAGTTCGTAGCAACACATCCGTAAACGGCAGTCGCTCCCTGGCGGCTGAGGAAATGGCCCAGCAGGACAGCCGCGAGGGCTGTCTGGACCCCACTAGACCACCCCTCAGCACTGACTACTCACCACTCCTGACGGGTTTTGACTGACGGAATACGCCCAAGTGCTCCCCGGCATAGCACATGACACTTTCCTCTGAACGCCCTCGTAACAACGCCACTTAAGGTAGAAAAGCCCCACACGGCAGATGAGATATATTACGCATAGTGACTTAAGTATAACCTCAGGACATCTTTCTGCAATATATTGGGGTCTCGGGAGCTTTCGATGTCGACATCGGCTTTACCCGATCTATACTAGTGGGGCTATCGATAGACGCGTCACAAAACTATATAATCCCCACAATCCAGCTTCCTGTCCCAAATACCTTCGCTTCACATTACTTCAATGCTAAAAACGCTCTCACAAGATGGGTAGTACTGCTGCAAGACCAAACTTCCTCGTCATTGTTGCCGATGATCTCGGCTTCAGTGATATCTCTCCATACGGAGGAGAGATCCGGACTCCTTCCCTTGCAAGATTGGCAAAGGAGGGAATACGGATGACCAACTTCCATACTGCGTCTGCTTGCTCTCCAACTCGATCTATGCTGTTCTCAGGGACTGACAATCACATTGCTGGGCTGGGTATGCGTGTTACGTCCTATCCCATACGTAGTTCTTTCGAAAGCTAACTGTTCGAAGGCCAAATGGCAGAATTCATGCGATCATTCGGTGACTACTTCGAAGACAAACCAGGCTACGAGGGTTACCTGAACTGGCGTGTAGCAGCATTGTCAGAGATCCTACAAGACTCGGGATATCACACAATGATGTCCGGAAAATGGTAAGTTTTCTGCTTGAAACCGAGACATAATATTCGGTTTCGTTGACTTTAAAAAGGCATCTTGGGTTGACAAAGGAGCTTGCACCCTGCTCAAGAGGATTTGACAAAAATTTCTCTCTACTCCCAGGCGCCAGCAACCATTACAATTACGAGCCGCAGTTGGATGATGGAGAGTTCAAAGCTCCCTGTTTGAATACAGATGGGTTTTGGATGGAGGGTAGCGAGAAGTTAAATCGGTCAAACGATCTTCCTGCGGATTTCTATTCCACCAAAACATTCACGGATAAGATGCTGGGATTTCTGAAGGGCCGCACGGAAGAAGAATCACAAAAGCCCTTCTTCGCTTAAATGCCATATACGGCGCCACACTGGCCTCTTCAAGCACCCCGTGAGATTGTTGAAAAATATGGTAAGCAGCTTTATAGAGTGTTGTCCTGTCCAGACGCTGACATCAAGCAGCGGGGATGTACGATGATGGACCCAATGCCTTGACCCAGAAACGCCTTTGTCGTCTGAAGGAGCTAGGCCTGGTTGGCGAGGACGTTGAGCATTCCCCTCCCGTTGGAATTCTTGGAAAAAGCTGGCAAGAGATGTCAGCAGAAGAGAAGAAATTATCAGCGAGGAAAATGGAGGTTTTTGCGGCCATGGTCGAAGTGCTCGATACTAATATTGGACGGGTGATTGATCATCTTGAGTCGACGGGGGAGTTGGAGAATACTTTTGTTTTGTTCATGTCTGATAACGGGGCGGAAGGGGCAGCTCTAGAGGCCCTCCCGGTAAGTCTCTCCCCAGGAAAGCCCGATGATCACTATTAACACAGTTCCAGCTCATGGGAGGTGAGCGAATGATGGGCGACATCATCAAAAAGTATTACAACAACACCTTGGATAACATCGGCGATCCTGACTCATTTGTTTGGTACGGTATGTATTTCGACGATCAAGACCGAAAGACTTCCACACGGAGACCAGATTCTGACCCTTGCCCTCAGGTGCTCGCTGGGCTTGTGCTGCAACCGCTCCCTCTCGAGGCTTCAAATGCTGGGTTACGGAAGGAGGTATTCGTTGTCCTTGTGTCATCCGGTATCCATCGTTTCAAGCCAAGCCTGACGAGATCACAAACTCTTTCACCACGGTGATGGATATTCTCCCCACCATCTTGGAGTTAGCCGGGGTAGCCCACCCTGGAACAAGATTCCGGGGCCGTGAAGTTGTTGTCCCTAGAGGTCGATCTTGGGTCTCACATTTGAGCTCCGGTGATTTGAAGAAGACGAGTGTTCACAAGGAAGACGTGCACATCCATGGGTGGGAACTCTTTGGCCAGCGAGCGATTCGCGAAGGAAAATGGAAGGCTGTCTGGATCGCTAAGCCTCGGGGAAAAGATGACTGGGAGCTCTATGACGTTGAGTCTGATCCCTCGGAGCTTAAAGATCTTGCCGAGGGCAGACAGGATGTGCTTGGTCGGTTAATCCAACATTGGGAGCAGTACTATGCGGAGACTGGGATGGTTCAAACTCCTGCATCCCGCGTAGTGAGGAGAATGTGAAGATTCTCACCAGACGAGAAGTCCATTATTTAGGAAAAAAGGCAATATACCAATCACTGCGATCGACAGTATTTCAACAATAAAGCGCAGGTATCAATGACATCATTTGATGAGACTCGCAGCTGTGCCTGAGCACCACGTGGAGAAGAAGCATCTCGGGATAGTCGGGCCGATTGCAAATAAAACCCGCCCAGCAGGCCATCCAAAGCCGTCCAAGCCGCACGAAACATCGTGACTTTTGCCGAACAAAGTCAGAATTGCCTATTTCAGACAGACTAGTGCGTCATCGCCCAATCGGGCTAAAAATGGCCGCGAGCGGAACTGCCGCAGCCAATGAAATGACCGGGAAGAATAGATTGAACGGAGTAAAATGGAGTTTCTGGAGAGAGCCGATGTCACCTCCCCGCAAATTGCCTGCAAATGGTCACCGAAAGGCCCAAAAGGCTGAAGTCGCCCTGTTAGACCCCACTATCAAAGTACACTTACCCGGGGAAACTGGAGAGTCGTGTTTTGTTCCCTGAGCTCCCCTCACTTTTCACTTCCTTCACTTCTTCTCTTCTACCTGCCTACCACCCCCCTACTCTACCCCGCCATGTCGACCCCGCAGGAGCTCGTGCCGCAAACAGAATCCATTGCGGAAGTCTACGCAACGGACGACGCCTCCGTCAACTCAGTTGCGCCAGAGCACCAGCAGCGATGGGCCAACCTCATCACCCAGTTTAACAAGACCTACAGCTACCGCCCGGACTTCGTGGCGCGCAGTCCCGGTCGCGTGAACATCATCGGCGAGCACATCGACTACTCCCTGTACGATGTCTTACCCACCGCCGTCAGCGTCGACGTGATCATGGCCGTCAAAGTCGTCCCCGCCAGCTCCTCAGAATCCACGATCACAATTGCCAATGTCTCCCCGGAGAAGTTCCCTACTCGCGAATTCAGCGTGCCTCACGATAAAGACGTCGAGATCGACCCCAAGAAGCACGAATGGGTCAACTACTTCCGTGCCGGATTGTCCGGCGCCCTCAAGTTCCTGCGCAAGGAAAACGCCTCCTTGGTCCCTGCCAGCATGCAGATTTTGGTCGATGGAAACGTACCTCCCGGCGGAGGTATCTCCAGTAGCGCGGCTTTTGTTTGTGCCAGTGCGCTGGCCGTTATGAAGGCCAACAACCACAATGTCTCCAAGCAGGACTTGCTTGACTTGGCTGTCGTTTCAGAGCGCGCCGTGGGAGTCTACTCAGGCGGGTGAGTTTCTAATAGAAAAGTGCTCCGTCAAACAAAGTACATCGAAGCTGACAACAGATATCTCTAGCATGGATCAAGCAGCATCCATCTTCTCCAAGCGTGGATACCTACTCTACACCCAGTTCTACCCTGCATTCGCCGCCCACCACGTGGCGATCCCCAAGGCCGCCGACGAAATCACCTTCCTGATGGCCCAAAGCTTCGTCACATCCAACAAGGCCGAAACCGCCCCACGCCACTACAACCTGCGCGTAGCCGAGTGCACCCTCGCCGCCGTCATTCTCGCCAAGAGCTTCGATCTGACCCTCCCCAAGGACAACAGCTCTCTCGGCTACAGCCTGCGCAACTTCCAAAACCAGCTTATGACCAAAGAAGGTCGCCTAGGGGATCCACTGGAGTATCAAATCGACTCCGTGATCCAGGCAACCCAAGACCTCTTCACCAAGGAAGAAGGCTACACACGCGAAGAGATGGCCCAGCTACTAAGCATCAGCGTACCGGAGCTCGAATCAAGCTTCCTCTCCGCGTTCCCCGTGCAAGCGGAGCGATTCCAGCTCCGACAGCGCGCTCTGCACTGCTTCAAGGAAGCACGCCGCGTTCTTGACTTCAAGGCTTGTTTGAGCAACGCGAAGGAGCTGGATGAGAAGCGCATTCACTACCTTGGACAATTGCTTAATGAATCGCAGGAGTCTTGTCGTGTTGCTTATGATTGCAGTGCGCCTGAGGTGGATGATATTTGTGCGATTGCGCGCAAGGCTGGTACTTGGGGTTCGCGATTGACTGGTGCTGGGTGGGGTGGTTGCACTGTGCATATGTTGCCGCAGGGTAAGGTTGAGGCAGTCACTGCTGCGTTGAGGGATGAGTATTATCTCAAGAAGTTCCCTGATATCAGTAAGGAGAAGTTGGAGCAGGCTATGGTTATCAGCAAGCCCTCCAATGGGTCGTTTTTGTATGTTTGTCCTATCTGAGGGAGATTTGAACGATGGATGCTAACTGTTTCACAGGGTTTCGGGCGCTGCTATTGACCAGATTGCCCTTTAGATGTCACTTGGATTTTTTTTTTGGAAGCCAGATTAAGATCTAGCTAACTTGACAAAATGATGACCCAGTCAAGCCTTAAGACGCATTTTCGACCGTCCTCCAGTATTGCTCAACATCTTTATCTATCAATTATCAACTTAAGTTCGATGACCGTACCTTGTACAGTGTTTTCACGTCCAATTTTGACGAAATAATTGAACATTCTGACCCTATTCGTCGCAAGCTCCTGGTATCTACAAATCTCATCAAAGATAGGTTTATTCGAAACCTTGGAGCCCGACTAGATTGCCTTGGCCTTAAAATCCCGTCAATGTGTGCGGGGTACGTCTATCTAAACTAGATGGCCGTCGGCTTGATGAATGTAAGGCATAATTCAAAAGGAGGATTTCATTATATTTGACGCCAAGATCTATTCATCTCTTGCCAAATTCTCTGTAGTAAATATACATGGCGACCATGAGATACGCCTGGCGTAGACGAATGACGCCCACAGGGTCAAGCGATGCTACCTTGTGCCTCGAGAACATTCGGATAGTGCCCCCTTGTGAGCACAAAATGGTGGGTTGCTAGGCTAGCCCGTGTTATCTGTGGATTGAAGCTTCTTGGCTCAGGACCATCGCGTGCCCCAGAAGGCCCCCAAGCGACTCTTAGTTGTACCAGAGTATCTGGCTTGAAGAACTCAGACAGAGCCATAACTGTCACTGATTGAATAATTCATCGAGCAGCACTCAACGTCCATGGTTTTGCATGCACGTCATGTCATGGAGGCCTCATAATGGCCCCCACATGCCGTGAAGCAGCTCAAGCCTTCTTTTTAGGAGGGGCTTTGGCGAAGAAGGAGCTCATCTTCGCCATACCGCTTGTGTTGACTTTCTTCAAGTTTTTTACCGCTTGCGACTCTGCCGCTTTGGCCTTCTTATCCTCTTCATCCTTGCGACGCTTCTTCTCGGCTCTTGTGTCTTCTTCTTCGTCATCGAGACCTCGCTTCCGTGTGAAATTGGACATGTCGCGCGAGGCGAGAGCTTGAGCGCGAAGCTCAGCAATTTCCTTGAGACGATCCTTCAAAGGGGTAAAGTCGAGAGGACTCTCTGCAGATGCAAGGATCTCATCCAATCGCAATGCTATAGTGGCTGGCAGATATGATTCCTTCATGAAAGACAGTGCTGTGGAAATCTGAAGGAGGCGAGTGATGGGCCCGGTATTTGAATCTTCGCCGTCTGGCTGCGGAACAGGCGTAGATTCTCCTGCGGGCGTTGAAATTGAAGGGGTAGCATCCGTCGCCACCGTTGATGGTGTATCTTGTCTGTCCTCTGATTTAGACGTTGGTTCACTCTCGCTAGCGGGTTCCTGGCTGGTCACAATGTCTTGTCGCTTAACTGCCATCAATGGAGTAGCCAGCGCCTGACGAATGAATCGTTCCTCCAGACTGACAGGAAGCCCCCTATCTGCCATGCGTTCTGCCTTTGCGATCAACTCCTTGACTAGCTTGGTCTCACTGAATCGGAACATCTTCTCATCTCCGGCTTCCACCACATCACAAGTAGCTTCGACACGCGTTAATAGAGATGCGCGGAATGTTTCATCATAGAGGACACGGCGTAGATGCTTCGGCATATCGTCGTGCGAGTCGATGATATCGTCCAATGGCTGGAACAAGGCGGGTCCGGATTTCGAAGAGGGTGCCAGCAATGATACAATGAAGAACATGGCATCAATTGGTGTTGCAACTAGTAGCTCGGCCTTCTTTGTGATTGATCCTTGTAGTGAGGACTTCGTGGGCGTCTCGTCTTCCGGGCTGGGTGTTTCGCGCGTCTCATGGGTGAAGAGTATACTGCGCGCCGAATGCGCCGGTGGTGCGACAACTGTAAATTCATACACTCCACGCTCTGGGCAGAAGAAGTAGCGAGCTAGCTCCCCGGATTGAGGCTGAGGCAGGGAGAGTAGTCGTGCATTGTCGCTAGTACCGGTTGGGAGAATGAATGTCTTGCTTGGTTGTTCGGCGGGGACCAGAGACTTTGTTTTTTGGTCGGTATCCTTTGTTTTGGAGGCTGACGCCTTGGATGCTGGAGCTGATCTGGTCCTCATATTATATCATTAGGGTAGTAGGGTAGGGTGATAGGTTGAAGAGGCTAAAGTGGAACGGAAGAAAGTCGCGACGCGAACGCGGGCAGGCGCGATGGGTCACTTTCCCTTGCATTAGCGAGTTTCAGCCCGTCCGCATCGGACATTATTGACTGCATTCCTCTCTTACTCTGTACCTTGGCACTTGGCTTGTTTATCTTTTCTTTTTTACGTTTCGGATTGTTTCACAGCTCATGGAATAGTCACTCCGTGTGTATCTTCGCATCAGTCAGTCGCCCTGTTTACACACCGAATTGATCACTAACTCCCTCTAGTGGTTGAGCCCGCGTGGCCACCCAAATCGCCTCGCGCAGCCCTCCTGAGTTCGCCGGCTGGGCGACGGAAGTTTCAAGATACCCAACGGCCCCGAGAGAACCTGTCATCACCCTTGAAGCGGTCAAGCACTACGCCGAATTTCCGATCCAAAGCCAACCAATTGTTAGACGAAGACGATATGGAAGAAGACGATGAGGAGACATTGCAACTGCAACTAGCTGAGATCAAAGCGCGACTCAGACTGAAGAAACTCCAGCAAAAGAATCGTGGCCGCTCGAGCTCCAATCTTGAGGAAGAGGATGCGCGGCCCTCCTCCGCGATCAGCCCCTCCCGAACGGAACGGGTGGAAGATGGCAACCCCACGCAAAGAAGTCCCAGGAAGGTCATACAACGGGCCGGTAGTGATGATATTCAAGTTCCAGCATCCCCTACTAGGCGCGAAGTCCCTGCCAACGATCCAATCTCGCCCCGCAGGTATGTGATGGGGATCGATAAGGGTTGGAAAGCCAACGATGTGTCATTGAAGCGGGCTCCGAGCTCGAGGACCGACCCTCGGCCAAGCAGTCAGTTGGGCTTCCGGGACGGCGCTACACCTCGCGCCAACGAGATGTTTTCGGCGCGGCCCCAGACCTCCCCTGGAATGGGAGGGCCCAATCGAATCAAGAGCTTTAGTGAGAGAATGGCCGAAGGACGAGCGGCGGAAAAGGCCGAGAAGACACGGCTAGAGAGAGCCGAACAGGTCCAGGCCAACCGCAGTTCAGCGTTCCAGGTTGACAAATCAGAGCTGGAGACCTTCAAAGCCGCTGCAGCTGATCATCAGTACGTCCCTCCATCGGCTTCAAAATGGGAGCGGCAGACAGAGAGCTTCAGCCGCGAGGATGTCCTTCGATCCATGGGCCAATCTCGACCAACGGGGCTACATCGCAGCAACACGACCCCCAACCTCCGACGGACTGAAGGGAACAAGCATACCGAGAGGCAACCTCATTTGCATCGGCGGACTAATACCGCAGATGAGCAACCAGGGTCCACTCAAAAATCAAGTCAGTCAGATGATGCTTTGAAAGCACCAGACTCGTCAAAGTTTGAGTCCTACTCGTCACTACATTTATCAAATCGGGTTCTGCCTCATTCGTTCTTGAGCCGCACATTATCAGACAAAAAGGTCCTACGGATCCCAGACCTACTTAAAACTGTCAAGGCGCCTGCCTTCGAGTTGCCAGAGGAGATTGATGGGGATTATGTCGTTTTTGGGATTGTCGCATCCAAGTCTCAGCCCAAAGATGTCAAAGGCGCGAACAATGCTTCTGCGAAAGCAACGGACCCCTATGATGATGGTCTGAATAACAGCGGCAAATACATGGCCATCACTCTAACCGATCTGAAATGGACCATCGATCTCTTCCTCTTCGACACAGCCTTCCCACGCTATTACAAAGTCTCGGAGGGCACGCTTATTGCGATCTTGAACCCTACAATTATGCCTCCCCCAAAGCACAAACTAGACACAAATCGATTCAGTTTATCACTGTCGTCATCAGATGACAAGGTGCTGGAAATTGGCTACGCTCGCGATATTGGCTTCTGCAAGGCCGTGAGAAAAGACGGAAAGACTTGTCAATCGTGGGTAGATGGCCGAAAGACCGAGTTCTGTGACTTCCACATCGACATTCAGGTCCGCAAGACCCAAGGCCAACGCGCAGGAATCAATTCTGACTGCGGAATGGGTCCTGGGGGTTATCGGGGCCGCGCATGGGCGTATATGGCGAAGGAGTAAGGCGGCAGAGCGCCTTCAAGAATGGCTCGAAGAAACCTGGACCACAGTATGACTTCGCGACTCAATCCCACTATTACGTGACACCTTCCCGGAATCGTGGCACTGGCCGTACATCATACAACCCTGTTGCGGGATCCGCTGCAAAGCTGGACGGATATGACGACCCCTTTGTCTCCTTAGGTACGGGTGGTCGCGTTGAAAGCAAGGATGAGAAAATGCGCCGACGACTCGTGACCCAGCAAAAAGAGCGCGACATCACCCAGAGGCTAGTTGCCGGACGAGTAGGTGGCGTTGGTGCCGAATATCTCCGTACCAGGGCCGGCAATGAGACTCCCAACAAGCCCAATACGCCATCCACTCCTAATGTGCCCCGAAGTCCGCCTGATACCAACGGTATGGACATGAGCACTTTTGGCAAAGCCAAGAACGTGCGTTTGAGTCCTATGAAACGGGCTCATGGCAAACCTCATGGTAGTGGGGTTAAGAAGACTCGGTTCATTACTTCCAGGGGCATTAAGGAAGCTGGCCGGGAGAGCCTGGGTGCACCGGCTGAGACTACACCTAGTGGAAGGCGAATGATCATGGATGACGATGATGACGACGACGAGCTGGAGTTCGTTTGATACTTAAGGCTCGTTCCATCTCATCTGATCTGCGAAGGAATTATCATGACGCTGTTACGAATAAAGCATATCTTGGTCGCATTGGGCGGAATCACTTTTGTGGGAGTTGTGGGGCAACAGAGTAATTGCAAGTTCTGTTGTGTGTTGACTGTACGAATAGTGTACTTCTAGTTCTAGTTGAAAGTTTCTTGGAATCTCTTGCTGATCTTGCCATGTAGAAGGTTCGTCAAGTTCCTTCTCGAGATGGTAGAAGTGTAAGTGCGACTGGAAAGGCGTCTACATTTGCAAGGATCATAGAGAAGGTCTGTAAATTCATTGGGCTAGGCCCCTAGTTATTTTCGCTAATTCCGGTCCACGATGTCATTATGAACAACTGTAAGCAAAAAGAAACGCCGCTATCCTGCCCGTATTGTCGTGAGGTATCCTTATCCTTGAGTATCGCGAGTTCCAACCCAGTGCGCCAGTAGAGAAAGTGAGAAGCAGAAAAAGAAAAAGAAAAAGAAACGCAATCACAGGCAGCGCAAGTACATGATTGCCATGGGATAAATTGAAAGGAGCAAGATGGGACGCGCAGAAACGGTGAGCAATGCATGCACAAAGAGACGCAAACGAAACCCAGACGCAGCATGAGGAGCAAGAAAAAAAATCAGATCGCTGGAAGGCCATATGAGATGAATAAAGCTGACCGCTTTCACTGGCTCTATCACAAAGACCCAGGAGTGGAAGGGCTAGCAGCAGCTCGAGCAGAAGCTCGGAGAGAGGCACGAGTAGGAGCCCGGACGGGAGCATGGGCAGAACCATCAGGGCCAGCGGCAGCTTCAGCTAGCTTTGCCATCCGTGTGCGGGGGTAGGGACTGCCACGGGTTTCCCGATGACGCTTCATGCGGTCAGAAGCAGTTTCCTTCTCACGATCATTGGCTTTTTTGCCGGATCTCAACCATTCATAAAGACTGCCCGTGCTCACGCCGGGGTCGGCGACCTGGGCGACCTCGGCGAATGGGTTTTCTTCCTGGCTGCCTTCGTAGAAAGATTCCTCTGGGGAAGGAGTCACACCCAGAGACGGGTTTGATACAGACGGGATGTCACCACAACTGGAAACACTTCCGAGTTCCAGGGGGCTGCTGTCAGGGTTGTGGGTCGCCTCGTCAGCAGCTTCGTTGTCTTCCACATCGGTGACATCCTCCTCGTCGTCGTTGGCACTGGCTTCAACATGAGTGAGAGACGCTGGGTTGTTGGAGCCACGGATGATGGACGGCGATTGATCAAGAGGGGGTGAGCTTGCTCTGATGCCATCGGGACGAGCGAAGAGAACTTTTGGCTTGATTTCGCTTCGCTTAAGAGGCTTGATGCCCTTCAGGCAGTTGGGGTTCTTGGCCAATAGATCAGGACGATTAGCAAATAGCCCAAGATCATCTTCATCGTCCGACTCGTCCATGTCATCAAAGGACTTGTAGACCGACTTGCCACGGCTACTAGAGGTGGGGGGTTAGCATGCACAGATGGGATGATATTGGGGTGAACTTGCCTAATATACCAAGCACCCCGAGGGGTCTCTTCGTCAACCAGGGTCGATCGTGTCGCCGGTCTTCCATCCAAAATACCAGGGGCAGTGCGGAAAAGACCACCTTTGGGACCAGCATTTGCGGGAATACGATCACGGGAATCGGTATGAATGGGAATTCCCGACGGAGCAGATTGAGTGTCGATGTCAACAGGTGGAGTGTAGAAGGGGTTGTTCTTGGGACCAGCGTTCACGGGGATGCGATCACGGGAGTCGGTATGTATCGAGATGCTAGGGGCAGGAGCCCTGGGGTGGTTGTATTCACTTGCAGGGTAGTGAGAACTGCCGCTCGAACCAAACAAATCCGCATGGCCAGCGTTGCCCACAGAGGTCCCTGCTTTCGAGCCAGACCCTTTCTCCGAAGGGTGGTCAGAGAAAACCTCAAAGGTGCGCGGGTTGTCCATTTTTCTGCGCTTGGATGTAGATGTTGGGGGGAAAAGTGTACGGGGTGTAGCAGATCCAGACGAAGAAATGATGGCTTGCTTCTTTGAGGGGGTTTTCACAGGAGTGGGTAAAGCGCGTTCTGCAGACGAGCGTGACGAAGGTGCTGCAGAAGTGCGGGGATGTGAAGGTGCAGAGTCGAAGGGAGAAATGCGAGAAGAAGATGCATGGTTGTGTGCGGCCTTCTTAGACGAGGGCTTGACAGTACCAGGAGAAGAGGGCGAAAGAGTTCTCTTGGGCCGTCCAGATTGCGCAGATGAGGTTGAGTGACTTAGAGGTGGCGCAGATTGAGCCTCCTTGGCTGCGCGTTGACTTGCAAGTCTAGTAGAATAACGTGTAGGGTAAGGTTCCCAATCATCATACTTGGCACCATGGCGAGGTGCTCGAGGTACCCGAATCGCAGACGGAGATGGCGGCGGTGGTGTGGAGGCCATGTTGACTCTAACCACTATTGAATGATCGCTCGACGTTATGAGACGGTCGCAATAAGGATATCGATAGAATACTATTCGCAATTGAACCTGTTGAGCTTTCGGGAAATCGCAACCCTAGTGAAGCGTGAAGGGTGAAGGTTGGCGGAATCAAGGGCGTAACGCGTTTGACTTGAAAGACTTCCGACGGAGATGGAGCAAAACCCAGTCGAAATAAAAGGCCGAAATTGATAACAGGCGTAAATATGCAGATCCAGACGAAGACGAAGCGACGAGGACAAAGAGCGATAAGCTGGGCACGGGGGAAGGGTGAAGTTGTTGACAAGGGCTAGACGATTGTCGCCCAGCCACCGGCCCTTCACCGCCCCCATAATTCCGGTGGCTGAAAAAAACCCCCGCGTTAATGTTTACGCCTTATGTTGATCGGCGCTAGTCTGCTTTCTTTTGTCCATTACAACATCCCACTTGTCAATTGGACGTCACCTCCATTTGGGTCCTAGACGACATACTGTTACTTTGTTTCTGCCTACTCTACCACCAGCCAGATTACCTACTTCCAACATGACATTCCGCACCACAGCAGAAGAAATGGAGAGACTCCAATTATCAGACGAAGATTCAGACCTTTGGGACTCCCCTTCGAAGAAGAGTGCGCCCAAGAAGTTCACCCCAAAAGCTTCCGATGAGAAAATTAAGCTGGAACCTCGGTCCTCTCACGACGGCGCCAATGATGGTGATGACCCGCTCTATGATCGTCAAGAGGCACGGGACGCCGCGCTCCGCAACGAGCTACAGGGCGTACGGAATATCAACGAAGTCATTGAGGGACTGCTAAATAGCTTGGACTCCGCGAAAGGAAACATGGAGGTGAGTCGATCACGTCGCGATTGGTTTCGGGCGGTCTCTAATCATCAAATCTAGACGGTCTCTCAAACCGTTACCTCGGCCTCGACTCTGCTCAACACATGGACCCGTATCCTCTCCCAAACTGAGCATAATCAGCGCTTGATCTTGAACCCGAATTGGCAAGGTGCTACACAGGATGTAGCTGATATCGAAAATGAGGCGATCCGGAAACAACAGGCGGCAGAGCGACGCGAGCAGGCACTCCAACAACAAAGGGAAGCTGCGGCACGAAGGGCAGAAGAGATTGAGGCACGACGAGCGCAGGTCACTCGGGGGACGCGGGGTACCCGAGGCACTCGAGGAACGACTAGGGGCACTGTTCGAAGCACCGGACTGGGAAGAACCCCCAGTGTGAGCACCACGCGAACAACCGCAACACGCGGGTCGACAACAACACAACAACGCCCGGTTAGTGGAATTGCACGCGGGAGCGGGATCTCCCGTGGTCGTGCCAAGCCTTGAAAGCACTCAAGTCTTCAAATTTATGTACAAAAGACCGATGGGTGATGTTGATGAAGCAATATGACATGATACCCATTTCTTTAATCCATTATCGCCTGATGCCACAATCATACACGGATAATGGCAGCATCCAGCATCTCCTCGATGATTCCGAGGAATTCTCTCAAAATACTCCGTAGAGATAGCGCATATTCAACAAACTGGCCATAAGCATTGGCGGTTGTTGGTCGTTGGCCCAATGAAGTACATAAATCAGGCATCAATGGACAAATCAGGCATCACCGAGCTTCACTCGCTATGACCGCGGCCGATCTGATAACGATAAGAAGCTACCCCATTGTTCCCCTGATCCATGGATACTCCGTACAGCAATGACAACCAATACTACTTAAACATCTAATTCGCTTTCTCTGGGCAATAATGAACTTCGCGCCATATCAAGATCAATCTCCAGAGCTCGAGCGCGCCCTGTCACCTCCGCCCGAGGGGCGCGTCATCAGCCCAAAGCTCCGCTCACCACGAGCCTCGGCCGATCTCCCTTCTCCAAGTCACTTTGCTGCGGGCGGCTATGGCAATCAGAGCTTTGGGCGAGATGTCGAGGGTGGACATGTGAGCCTCGGGGCTTTCGAGACCAGTCTTCCTATCAGTATGAATGTTGAGGCCATGCTGGCATACTTGCTTCTGCCTCCAGCGGGAGGCGTGTTCTTATTACTTGCTGAACACAAGAGTGATTACGTGCGGTGAGTGACTTATCTTTACCTGTGCTCTTGGTAAGATATTAATACAAGACACTTTGCAGATTTCATGCTTGGCAGTCAAGTATGTTATTCGCTGCTTTGTTTGTGAGTGACTCTCCCTATCTATCCACTGTTTTATTCCTGTGTTTACTGGTATAGGTTGTCCACCTGCTCTTCAGTTGGTCTAGTTTCCTTTCCTGGACATTGTTTCTCGTTGATCTTCTTTTGATCGGCTTCCTTAGCATGCATGCCTATCAAGATGGTAAGTCTCTCCTGTCAGGTCTATGGCATCATGGTCGTCTGCGTACTGGCTTTATGCTAACCAATATTTCTCATATCTCAGTCGACACGTTGGACCATTTCGAGGTCCCTATTTTTGGCCGCCTGGCTAATTCTTTCGTTGATGATGAATGAACCTGAATGATGTCTTTTACTATGTTTTGGTGTATTTGTACGTAACTATGGAGCATCGGCATTCACGATACACCTGTCTTACAATGGTGCCAAGTTTACTCTTGGCTTCATGCCCATGGGCTCAGATAGGATGTACCTCCTTGGATACTTCGTTGTCATAACACTATTTTGCGCTTCTGTAGATTCAATTTCTTTTAAGCCCCTATACTCTGTTCATGAAGGTTTATCTCCGGCATTGAAGAACACAACCTGAACCGTGATATCATCACGTACATGACGGGAGAACGGAGAGTCAAAAGCAAGCCGCCCTGCAAGTAGCTCGTGGTGATTCCCACCTAGACAGTTGCGCACCAGATGTACTGCTGCATTCTCATCTTGGATTGTTGTTCGCTCTTCCACAAACCTCCAGTCCACACCTTTATGGAACTGCCCAAAATCAAACGGCTCGTAAGTCGGATCTGGGTTGTTCTTTCGATCCTGTGGTGACTCGAGCCATTTGCCCACCAAATCGACACCCTGCTCACTGGATATATTATCCCATAGACCATCCGTTGCCATAATCAGGAATGAAGGCTGGCTGGGGTCTATTTTGGTACTGGTCACAACAGGCTCAGCGGTCAAATATGGTGGCGTGCGAACGTCGTATCTAGGCGTGAGGGGTGCCGGGCCATTGAAATGGTCTTTCATCTTCTGCTGGAATTCCAGAGGCCATTTCCACCTGCTATCTCCAAAGCCACGCGATACCATGATTCCAAGGACACGTCCGTCTTTAACAATGGTTTCTTCGCCAGGGTGCTCCTTGTAAAGCCGAGCAATCTCGTCTTCATTCCGACCGGACTGATCTACCGACAACGGGATTGCTTTCCATTTCCCATCCGGCCCTTTTTGTCCCAAGACAGCCCTCGAATCTCCGGTGCATGCAACGTGCAGCGTGCTAGTGAGGGAATCGTATAAGGATAGCAACGCACATGATCCTGCGTAAGCCGGAGCCAGCTTCTTGGCCTTTTCTTGCAAGGACATCTTGCTCTGGGAAGTAGCTAACGCAGTCTCAATAATTGAGTCATCGAGGTCGACGAACGCTTTCATGATAGCATGCTGAACCAATTCGTTTGATGAAGATCCATCGGCTGAAGCCTTGATCTGACCCAAGTTTTGCTGAACAAAGGGCAATAGTTGCTTTGTCAACAAGTGGGCTGTCTGCCAGCCTGCGTGTCCATCGAAAACAGCCCAGGACATCCATTTGTCACTATCATTCCAGGGCGAGGTGAATTTACCATGGATGAATCGATCTTCGCAAGGGCTATTTGATGCCAATTGGGTCCCATCGTATCTTTGGACACCGGTGATGCTGTTCACACGGTGGGAGAATGCGTCTTTGGATAGTACACGGCTGACTTCTTCGCGGGATAAGGTCGGCTCGGATACCGACGGCTCCACAGATGGACCTTCAAGAGAGGGTACATCATCCTGGACAGTTGCCCACCACCAAACTCCAGGTGCGCTGATAAAACCAACGGTCGCAATTGAGATTTTGGTGTTTGAGTACGAACTTCTTGTCGAGAAGGTTCTTGACATTCGGGTGAAGGGCGCATGCACGCGCCCTAGGCGTGCGCGACCTAGTCTTGAGAACATCATATTCTCCAGAGAGCTCAAGCAGAGTGTGAGGATCTTGGAATGAAGATGAGAAATCCAAGACGTCAAAAAGACAGGTGCCTGGTAGTACTCCGTAGGACTCTGGGAGCTTTGCGAAGGGGGTGGTTATCGGGAGGTGCATGTAATTGGTCACACGTACGTCGATCCAGCCCCACTATGGAGAGTGACTTCGGGAGCCCTAAGCACCTGGGCAGCGGTGGACAGTCTATATCAACCACAACCACACGATCCCGAGAGGTTACCTACTTTGCCTAAAACTGAGCGGCATTGATCATATTCCAAGGGCTTAGAGAGTAGCTTTCAGTAAGTTCATTCTAGGTGGCAATTTGCCCATGCTATACATAAGTCCATTCAATATATCTCACAAAAAAAAATCAATTAAAACACATCCTATCGTATCCTCCATAACAATTAACCGACAAAACATGAGAGCAAACAAGGGGGAATGAGGAAGTAGCAGGGAGCATCATGCCGCGAGATTGTTCATTATGAATTTTTGGGTCAGAACCAATCTCCGACACAAACATCCCGCGAAAGGAAAAAAAGCAAGATCGAGAACAAATTCAAATAGATCCCAGAACACACACGCTAAATCTTGAAACATCGGGGCGAACAGGATAATTAGGTTAAACAGACTGCTCAATGATGTCAAGGCAGACTGCAGGACGACGTTGAGAATGAATGATCGAAAACGAAGTCAAGAAAGAGGCGTCAATGTGCAAAAGGGTCGACAAAAGGCATGGTATCTACGTGAAAACGTGAAAAGTATCTCCGTCAGGACAGACGTGGTATGAGTCGTGGCGGGTCGTGAGTGGGAAGGGCGTTTAGATGATTTGGAGGTAGTTGCTTGGCACAAGACCCGGGTGACCGCGGGCGTTAGTGACCTCTGCTTCCCACCATCCATCATCCTGTAGGCGAAGAACGCCAAGAACATCGCCTTTGCCGAAGCCGAGCTCTTCGGGAATTGCAGCGTTGTAGCTGTACATGGCACGAGCTGTGAGAGGCAGTTAGAATATTGCGCATAAATATGGGGAAGGGGGTTCACTCACCGAAATGCAAGATTGGTCGGCCATCACGGCTGAATTTGCGCCCAGGCTCCGCAACAGCCATGGTGCGGCTTCTGGATCGACCAAGAGGAGGAGCGCTGTCTCCATAGGTAGAGGATGGGCGACCACTGGATCGAACTGAACCGGCATATCCTCCCGGACTACTGGCCCCGTACATGTCATGGCTATTAGATAGCTGTAGCTCCATACCGCCGGCACTGGAAGGGCGGGTTTGCTGTCTGAACTGGGGCTGGGGAGAGACTGCACGGTGGCTCATGGCAGGCGAGGCTCTGCGAGCAAACTCGTTGGGAGAGTAGGGTGGATCCTGAGTACGACGCGGGGTGGGTGATGCGCTGTACTGGCTTCGCATGCTGTTGGATTGATACGAGCTGGGGCTAGGACTTGGTCCTCTGCCACTGTTTTGGCTCATCCGGGTATCAACGCGAGGGGATGCAACCTGAGGGCTGACGCTGCGTCTCGGGGCAGGCGCAGGCGACCTAGCCCGAGGAGCTTCTTGAGGCTGACCGCTATGTCTAGACCCCATGCTGCTGTTGGCACCTCGGAACATATTCTGGGTTTGACCAGTGTACTTTTGAGTTGTCTTATGCATCTGCTTTGCGGTGAATGCTGGCTGGGGTGCACCTAGCCGCTTGACAGCAGGATCATTGTATGCGGGTGGAGCAGCGGCACTGGCGTTGCTACCACCATAAGTGGAGTTAGGGGCTGAAGGTGTGGGTGTACTGATGCCGTGGTACCTATCTGCCGATACTCGAGTGGCAGATTGCTTGCCGCTTGTCTTCAGATCGGCCAAGGCCCGGGCAATCGGATCCAAATCATCATCGGCACCTTGAGCTGGCTGTGTGGATTTGTTAGATGAGTCCTTTTCTGGAGAGGCGACATCAAAGACATTGTTTCCGACGTTGAGTTGGAAGTTGGCCCGAGGATCAACAGGTTCTGGACTTCCGGAAAGACGACCAGGAGCGCCTGTGATAGGCTTGACAGGGCTAACCTGCTTTGGTGGGCTAACCTGTCTGGGTGGATTCACTGGCTTGGGAGGACTGACTTGCTTGGGAGCACTGACTGGTTTCGGCGGGCTCGCCTGTTTGGGTGGACTAGCTGGCTTCGGCGCGCTGACCTGTTTAGGAGGACTGATAGGCTTTGGTGGGCTGACCTGCTTGGTGGGGCTCATTTGCTTAGTTGGTGAGTCCCAGCCTCCCCGTGGAGCCGAGTTTGAAATGGTCGCCTGGGGAGAGGAGGCAGCGTGTTGCGAAGAGATGACAGGCCGTTCCTTATCGTGACGGCTCTTACGACGGAAAGGACTGTTGCTGAAGAACGCGCTCTTCTTCTTGGGTGACTTTTCATCCCCGGAGCTTGGCAATGGAGCACTGTTTGTTGGTTTGGGGATAGACTTCTTGGTGGGGGTTGCCTCGACACTAGACATGGAGGTAGGATTGGATACTTCGCTTTGAGAGTCACGGCTGGACGGGCGATAGGCGCTGGTAGCTGAGCTTCGCTCCGATGGAGGTCCCGCTCGGCAGAACATGGTCATACCGTCAGTCGGGTACGCATTGTGAGGAACAGCTCCAATCTCCCCGTGTTGCTCAGGGTCATAGTTTGGAGGAGGGGCGCCACCACGGCGGAAGTCCAAGGGTGCAGGCTGCTGCGGCTGGTGAGGCTGCTCCTGGGGGGTACTGTTGAGAGCGATGCTGGTGTTGAGGATGGTGTTGTGGCATTTGCGCAGGCATCTGTGGAGGAGGCATCTGCGCAGGCGGCATCTGGGCGGGTGACATTTGAGCAGGCGGCATTTGAGGTGGCATCTGCGGAGGAGGCATCTGGGCGGGTGGCGCTTGAGTTGGTGGCATTTGCGCTGGCATTGGGGGCTGCGCATTACTCTCAGGGGGTGGAGCCGCGTGTCCCATATGGGCTGCCAGCTCTGACTGTGGATCATTGTGCGAGTCGAATGTAGAGGGCTGAGGCGAGGATGTGCGGAACGCAGGGTTCATGGTGCGCTGGAACTGAGCCACCGAGTATCCATCGCCTTCGTCCATCTCAGAGCTCGAGTCGTCATCCTTGCAGAAGTTGATGAAGCGCGGGGGATCTGGGATCTCCTGGCCGGTCCCTTGTTCCTTGATGAAGAAGAGGATGTCCTTCTCCACTTCGCAATTCTCCAAAGATAAACGAACCTTCTCACAAGACTATCCTAAATGTCAGCAACGCAATATGTGGCTAGGAATATCAGACGACTTACAGCATCATCGCTGACACAAACAGTAGAAGCAATGTTTGCATAAGTCCAAAGACTGCTCTTGGTGAAATCCAACCGCTCCTCCTCCAGATCCTGGAATTTGTCGCAAGCTGACTTCCACTCCTTGTTCCATCGCCCGGTAGTTTCCTCTAGTGTCTTGACGGCAGCTTCGTATTCGTTGCTGTTGGATGCCATTTGAACCTGTGTCTTTTCGAGCTTCGCCTTATTCTTGCGCTCCTCTTGACCCATGACCATGTGGCCTTGAGCAAGGTATCCTTTGATACGAAGACAGTCCTGTTCATAACGATCACGCGTCTGTCAAGTCAGTATGACAACTCTCCTGTTTTGTTGACAGACACCCACCTTGTTCACAGTTTGTGTTTGCTGCATTTTTGTCTTGTGTAGGCGCTCAATGGTTTGTTGAATAATCTTTCGTCGCTCCTTGATACCGCTCGCGAATGCTGATAGCGGCTCCTCCAATTCGGTCTTCATTTGTCCCGCGATTGCGGCGTGTGCTTTGGCAATTGCCTCGGTCTCACCGCGCACCACATCAAGGGAGCTACGGAGTGAGCCTATCTCGCATGACCCCAATGACTTGCGACAGAGAGCTTGGAGTTTGCGCGCGTATTCATCTTCGATAGATGCTCGTACTTTGGAATAGTCAGTATGCTGCAATTGTCTGTTGAATCTGCAGGCCAGATCACATACTGTTGTAGAAGACTTTAAGTTCGTCATTTGTGATCTTGGAACCATGCACGCGATCCAACATTGGTTGAAGTCCTGCATCGTCTCTGCCCCAGAAGTTGTTGGCAACTATATGATCAATTAGCGCAAGCCGGCTTGAATTAATATCGAGTGACATACAAGACATGGAGACCGTAGGTCCATCTGCCAGTGTCCCCGGCATTGTGATCAATCGTGAGCCTCGGCCAGCCTTTGCTCGGAAAATTAGAATCGGATGGAATGAAAAAGAGAGTAAGCGAGAATAAGTCAAATTGAACTGGTGAACAAAACAGATACACCAAAAAGACCCTGGGAGGTCACAATGTGTAGAAGTTGAAGGTGAGCGGAGGGATGTGCTGTTTACGGGCGCGTTTCTCGGGGCAACCACCGCGCGGCCGCCATGCACCACCTTACTAAGCCAGTTATTCCCCGGACACATCATTGAATTCATGCATCGTTACTTTTACTTATGCTTTGGTACTTGGAAAATACTCCGATGCATATGATTTATGAGGATTCAAATATTTGGGAATTTTTGTTCATTCATTTTCGGTCGTGAAACCGTTCTATGTAACAATGTGGCCATCAAATATTCAAGTCCAGTCTATGTAGGCCAAGCAAAAGCAAGAAAAAAGCAGCCCAACCCATATTCATCTGAAGAAAAGTCATACACATAATGAATCATAATATCTTTCATAAAGTTGCGCCTGTAGAAAACGCCGGTCAAAGATGCGTCAAATCCCCAATGAGGATAAATCAAGTCGTTCAATGTCACCTTGGAGAGGGGACATAGTAGTTTGTTGTTATCATTTCAAATCATAGATCGCGAGTAATGTGAGTTCGTAGATCGTATGTAGTGTTTATGCTCGTTTTTCATCACAAAGCATAGATCGTTCAATGTCGTCTTAGTAGATGGCGGGGGTAGCAGAGGCAACGGGGGTGCTTGAGCCAGGGGTAGAGACACTGGAAGCCCAGCTGGGGTTGCCGCGGGCGATGAGGCTAGGCGAGGCAGTGGGGGTGGCAACGGAAGAGCTGGGGACAGAAGAGTACCAGCCAAACTCACCGCGGACAGCCAGAGGAGGAAGCGAAACGGATGCGCTGGAGCTGGCGGGCGCGGGAGAAGCAGAGTGCCAGTCACGGGCAGCGACAGTGAGGGAAGCAGAGGGAGAAGCAGATGCGGAAGAGTACCAGTCACGGGCGACCAGAGAGGCTCCAGCAGCAGAGGAGGTAGCAACGGACGAGCTGGGGGCAGCTGTGTACCAGTTGCGGGCGACCAGAGAAGTGGCAGAGGGAGAAACGGAAGCAGAAGAAGACCAACCACCAAACTGGCGGGCCACGAGCGAGGAGGTCGCGGAAGCGGAAGCGGAGCTGCTAGGAGTGGCAGGGTACCAACCGCGGACAGCGAGAGGAGTACCGGTAACAGAGACACTCAGGCTGGAGCTTGAAGATGGAGACACCCAGTCACGAGCAGCAAGAGGAGTGGCCGAGGCGGATGCGCTGGAAGAGCCGGCACCGAAAGCAGAGGGGTAGCCACGAGCATTGAGGGAGGCAGACGAGGTGGCATATTCACGCGCCTGAACCGAAGCGGAAGCAGTGCTGGACCACTCGCGAGCGAAGAGCGCGGGCTGACCAGCGGCTCTCAGACCACGACGGAAGAAAGAACCGGCAGTGGGGAGGGCAATTGACGGAAGTGGGATGTCATTGCGGGCAGTAGGAGTCTCCAGGCAAGGAGTTGAGCTAGCCGCGGGGGTTGAGTAAGGCACGCTTGAGGGGCTGGCGGTCACAGTGACAGTGACGGGAACGTGGTCAGCGCCGGGGGCAGTGACTGTGGAAGTCTGGAAGACGGTGTCGATCTCGGGTGCAGCAGAGCTGGAAGAGTCTCCGTCGACATTGACCACTGAGTAAGCTGCTGCGCGGCGAGCGATGTCTTCATTCTCGGGGTTGGCGAAAGGTGCCGCATAGGTCATGCTGACCGAGGACAAGGCGAGGAGTGCGGCGGTTGAGAAATGCATTATGAATAGTGATTGGGTTGCAATGTGAAACGAGAAACAAAGACGCTTGAGATTGAAAGTAAAGATGTAAACAATGGAAGAAGTAAGGGCTTTGATATGCAGAGAAGCGGGAGATGGGAAGATGAAGAATAGGAAACAACAGAAGCTTCTAGCCGGGGCTTAAAAGTTGTGAGCAAAAAGATCGACCTTCACCATGCACGTATATTCATCTACGGCGATTACATCCATTGGACCAAAAATAGGCGGCTGGGATCTACGGTGGCTGGGTCTTCAGGATCCAGCCATGGCTTTTTATGTGTTTAATTTAGCCGGCTTTTACTCTCATTGGCTGGGGATAGAGACAGGGTAAGACCCACCCGGTACATGTGCCAACCACGCTACTGTAGTGGGGCGCTAAGCAGTAATTGATGTGGCTGGGGACTCCACTCTGACACAACCAACGGTGTTTCATTGTCGCCTAGTTTCTTTTCATAGATCAGATATGATGCTTCTATGAGCCTGTTAGGCCTGAATGTTCCCTGATCGACATGTCAATCCAGGTAGATCTTCTGAGTTATCGACCTCTGCCGCTTGTCTGCCGCGGTGGCAGGACATTAGATGGCAAGATCCTCCACCCTCACCAATCCGCACCCCAGTGCAGCACTGGCCCACCCTGCGCAGGGGCGGTTGGGGTTCCACCCGAGGGCTGTGACATGGGTGCCTTCATCGTAGGTCGTGGAAGTGCCCATCCCGCTCAGAGGTTTCGTTTCGGTGGTGTGGTATTTGGCCAATTTCTGATTCTCTGCCCGGAACCCGTCATAGAACCGACTCATACCGAGGGAATTTGAGTCTGAGCTCGGTATCCATTCATGTGTGAACCAAGTCTGCTGCCATATTTGCTCCTTGTTGTAGAGAACCCGTCGGAAGGGATTGGTGCCTGCCACCTCGCCTCCGACGCTGCCAAAGAGGGCACAAGGATGCCATGGACTCGCTGGTGCCATGGCCGAAAGATTGCTGGACAACCTGGCAATGTTGGTTGTGGTGAAAAATCTTCGGATCGGAATCATGCGTCCAAACTCGTTTTCATCTCCGGCAACAAAGCACTGAAGAACAGGAGAATATGTGATGTAAGGAGCGGCCGCTCGAGCGCGGACCGTTGAGGTCGTCTCGCTTTCAGGGTCGACTAGTGAGCACATCCGAGTCTCGCCATCCATGGACACAGTGGCAATGATATGAGGGCTGACTGGGTATGCAGATGTGATGGAAAGTATGTACGTGCTGTGGACGGGTCGATGAAGAAGTGGCAAAGGCTCAGGTACATAGGGCGTAGTTATATTCCAGACAGTCACAAATCCATTTCCACAACCAACCAGAATCTCGGTGGGGGACAGCCAAGTGACACATGTCGATACTGTCGAGGGTGGTCTTGCTTCAAATGCAGCTGACTGCATCCTGACTGTGTTTGATGTGTCAGTAGAGCGTAGACAGTTTTCTGGGGTGGAAGGATGACTTACGGAATTCAGTCTCTTGTGGCCCTCGACCTCTCGTGATATCCAGGACTCTCACTTTCCCGTCACCCCAGACCGTCGCAAGCAAGCCAATAGGCTTCCGAACTTCTTCGTCGTCTTCCTCACGTTTAGACCTTGGCGTAGTGCACCAAGCGATACGTCTCAAATCACCCCAGTCGGCACAAATGACCTGCCGGAGTTGTGGCTCATGTTCCATGTCCAGAGCGTGGGTATCAGTATTGGTCCTTTTAGCTTTGAACTCCCAAATCTGAAGGGCGCCAGGGAAAGCTTGTGATGGTTGAAATGCCGTAAAAGGCTCACTATCTTCAGTCCTATGCTCATCCTTTTGGTCCTCGGTGAGCGGCGCGGCCACAGCTAGGTACTGAGAGAGGCCATCTTGAGAGGGAGCCCAGGCCATGCAATTCGTCTTACCGCCGATGTTGAAGATCCACCCTTGCCGGGCCGGCGCTGGATTTTTGGCTGTTTTTGTCTTTTCCCAGGCTTTGCCGAAATCGAGGGATTCGTGGTAACCGAGATCAAAAACTCCCTGGTCATTGCTCGGGCCCATACGGATGCGGTGTTTCCGTCCACTTGACCGGGGTAGATATCTCTGATATGCCAAAGTCTTTTCAATGGTTTCAGCGCGCTGTCGTTCGCGGATTGTCTTTCCAGTATTTTTGTCGTAGTACCAATCCCACCCACGCGTGCCTTCTTCCTCGAGGTCATCAGGATGCACGCCCAGGGTTGGCCCGTACACAGATCTATCGTCCTCACACTTGCCTTCCAAGGCATAGCGACTGGGAAAGGTGGAGTCGATTCCCCGCGACCATTGTCCTCTGGAGTGAATTGCCGCCATCATATCACGCTCGTCTGAGCCAAAAGTCAGGGTGTAAAAGGTATCTTTCGACAAGTGATCTTTCGGATCAATGATTCCACGAGAATGTGTCTCATCTGCAGACGGCACAACGATTCCATCGGCCGCTCGCTTTTTGAAATGCAGCTCACGTGGTCGACGAGAGGCCGAAGTATGTTTCTTGAAAGTCTTCTTATCAATGTCGGGATCGAGGTCCATATCATCGGGGTCAGAGGCATCATCTTCCGACATCGAGTCTGCTTCTAATTCATCCTCGATCATCTCATCTTCAGCTGGTTCGTCAATCTCTCCTTCCGAGGCTGCTCCAACGAACTCATCGTCTGAGTGAGAATCATCTTCCTCGGCATGCCTCGCCTTCTTCTTGGGAAGTGGACCTCCGCCATCTGCACCTTCTTCATCACTGATGCCTGCAGTTTGAAATGGATCATTCACGTAGACTGTCCTAGGGCCTTTCTGGCGCCCAGACCTGCGCCCAGGAGGCATGTTGCTCAGACAACGAGTGCGCCAACTGTCAACTTCAAATGTAGCTGGCGATGAATTGGGTTTCGGTCAGGACTACTCGAAGAAGCAAGAAACGCCGAGAAAGAGTAGAGTAGTTTCAGACTGTCAAAGCAAAAGACCGACCGGGGAAAAGAAAGAAGAGTGAGGTGGGGGGAGAGGGAGCTATCTAGCCCAGGCTTTCATCTGACCTCCCAACAGGATAAGCTGATTTGCTCGACATTCAGTGCATTCAAGAGCGTACTATCTGAAATGACGAAATGTGAAGCTTTAGGAATACACGAGCGTGCAGGGCGGTGGAACTAACCCCAAAACGGCTAGCTCGTCTTAGTGCCTTGTAAATATGGCATCCAACATTTCTCCCCCAACTGCACGCATTCCACACGGCTACAATGTTATTGTTTTCTTGGACCTTGAGCCGATTCGACTGCAATTTGACTGTCACATTCTTTTACTCTTCGTTCAACCCCAAGTCTTTGCAGATATGTTCTATGTCCCTCCAAGCTGACCCCAAGGCCTCGAGGTGACCAATGTTCACGGGTGTGACAGAAGCGTTATCCCACAAGTTTGTAGAACGAGGCAGATCTCAACATCACCCAAGGCTTGGTGTGTCAGATTTCTCGCCTACCACCTTCCTAAGTCAGAGCGTCAATGATCTCACACGCTACACAGCTCAACCTTTTGTGGAAACTTTATCAGTGTTTGACAACAGTAACCAGATTCAGATGTAGAGTAGTCTTCAGACATTGATGATTGCCAAGTCCACAGGTGGCACCGTCGCCTAGTATGATACCAATGTCAGTGGGTTACTCCGTCGGTGCAACAATAGATATGTTGGAGATGCTACAGCGTGTTCGTACATGTCGCTTTTGCGACTGGTTGCCAAGAACGAGACTAAGGTACTACCTACTAACATATCTTGCCAATCGATTGGCCCAATTAGGTGCTCACTGCACTTGGTCAAATCAATGACCCAAAAGACGGTATGGCTTGAATTTCGGATTCATGTGATTCATTGATATCAATCTGTAGGACGCTGAGATCAGAGACTGTGAAGATATCGAACAACTCGATCAATCAGGTCCCGCTGGCCTTCACTGCTGACGTTGTGACTGGCTCCCTCAATGACTCCGCTGTTTTCTGCATCCCACTTCGTCCCTCCTGCTTCAGTGGCCTGCTGCCATCTTTGTAGCAGCTTGACCTTGTCTACCCAATGTGGGCAATATTCATCTTGTCCGGAGTATAAGAACATGATTTTCGAATGAAGTAATCCTCGCTCGCCAATCATGCCAAAGGTCTCCTTCAAGCGCTTGTCGGTCAAGTCAGAGCTAAAGACATCATCATCAGATGGATGCCCCGGGCTCTCAGGGCTGACCAGGCTCAAGAACCTCCGGGCGCTCAAAGGTGTATCAGGGGGGGTAAGATAGCTTGGCAGTCAAATTCATGGGAAGGATAGTGTCGTTATTATCTCCCGTGTGTGGTTGCTTCTTGGAAAAGTCCACAAGCTCATTGTAGACCTTTCTGATCTCGTCGGGCTGGTCAGAAGAGTCGATGATGGCCTGTAATCCTTCTCTGTCCGAAGCAGGTGCTTGCAGAATAGCACCATCAAGCTCCGGGCGGACTATATGTTGCAGGCCAAGATCGAACTTCTTCTCCGGCACGGGATTCGGCGAGTAAAGGTAATGAAGCACGTCCTGGCTGCCAGTTGAATGGCCCATGATGGCGATCTTTCCGCCTTTGGTTGGTGCGCCAGGCTGGCGTGAGGCCTTGAGATCACGGATGAATCGTACACACTGGCCAAGCTCTTCTACATCGCGATCGAGGCTTCCGACGCCCCACCCGCCGTAGGACGAGGAGAGCAGGACGGAAAAGACTGACCACTCTGTGTTCTCTAGAGCTTGGGCTAGCTTTGAGACATAAGGGACTGTGCAGAATCCATCTGTCAGTCCCCCGACGAAAATCAAACTGCTGATTTTGTTGATTCCCTCTGCTGGCGGGGTGAATTCAAAGGCGACAAGCCTAGGAGCCTGCGGGTGTCAAAATCTGAAAGTTCAATTGGGAGTGAAATGCCTACATATTCATGGAGAACACCTCCATGCGATAATCCACGACTGGCATTTGATGACATGATGTAATAGTGGTGCTGATGTTGAGGGAAGTGTCGAAAACGATGGTGGGCGATCAACAGTTGACGTATCTGATGTGCAGGTGGGGTTTGCCAGACCCCAACTTATCTCCCAAGGTTGGACCTTACATATTGCAGGTTCTTCTGGACACTGTCATACTAAATGTACCCTCAGTAATTCCTCGCTCTGGTAGGGTTAGAGAAAGAAATGGAAATTGTATGCTCGAGAAAATCTACTGAAAACCGGAGCTTTACATTGGTCGCGACTAATATTGCGGCTCTATAACGGGTGAACTGAAGAGTCAAGACCAGGTCCAATATGGCCGTGAAACAGCTCAATTGCTTCTGAGGATTTTTTACAGTCAATCCCGAGGTCTGGGGCCTAGTTTGTTTTAGAAGATGAAACGAAATTCCTCTCTAACGAGGTTGATGTCTTACTTCTACGCCAAACACTTAAAGCATAGCTATGCCAGAAACAAAAACTTTGAATTTATATCAACAAGAAAGAGCTCATTCAAACACCACCAGAAGTGCACGGATTTGGAACAGCAGAGGTCAGAGGTCAAAAGGGGTATATCACAGCACAGGTAGTAGACAGTCCAAACATCATTTCATGCGAGCCTTCAGAGAAAAAGATGAAGTGTATCATTTGGACACCGAAATTCCATGGACAGGCTTAAACCTTCAGCCACAAGCTCAAAACACCCTTGAGGTACTCGACAATCTCAGATCCACCGAGCTTGGATTCGCCATAGAGACGGTCGACAAAAGTGATGGGACACTCAGAGACCTTGTAGCCCATGGCCTTGGCACGGACCATCATCTCCATCTGGAAGCTGTATCCCTTGCTCTCGGTGTTGAGGATAACCTTCTCCAGCACAGACTTCTTGTAAAGGCGGAAACTGCCCGTCAAGTCGCTCACGCCGGGCATCAGCATGACATCCGCAATCAAGTTCGCAGTGCGCGAAGTGAACTTGCGGAACAAGTCCCAGCCATAGACACCGCCCTTGATGTCTCCGCGGTTGGCATATCGGGTTCCGGTGACGATGTCGGCTTCGGTCTCCTTCTGGATCTTGATCATCTCGGGGATGAACTTGGGGTGGTGGCTGAAATCGGCGTCCATGATAATGACGAAGTTGCCGGTAACATATTTCAGGCCGTGCACGTACGCGGTTCCGAGACCAAGCTTGCCCTCACGGGGCTTCAGGATAATGTGTTCGGGGCCATAGAGCTTCTGGAGCTGCTTCGCGATCTCGAGGGTGCCGTCAGGGGATCCGTCGTCGACCACAATAACCTCCCAATCCAGCTTTCTATAATTGAAGAACTCATGTCAGTTTGAATCCAAGTATATGGGCCACCATTGAGACCTACTCCTCATTGAAAGTGCGCTGGATCAACCAAACGATGATGGGGAGGTTTCTCCGCTCATTGTAGGTGGGCAGGATGATAGAATACTTGTTGGCTGCGCCCATTTTGAAAGCCGTGGTTGGGAATTAAAAGATAAGGAGCGGTACTAGATCTGTGTAAAGATCAAGGAATTAGAAGCGGAAAGTAGGGAACGTATGGCTGTTGGCTGGCAGCTTGTTGCATTCGGCAACGCCAGATCGCGGCCAAGTCGCCAGATCCGGCTCCCACCGCCTCGGCAGAATCCGATAGCTTATCGGGTGTTTTGCACGTCGCGAACACTCCGAAGGCATCTATTCCAAGTTTATATTGGTCGACCCCGGATTTACACGTCACAGTCCCTGGAATGGATCCTTTGACAGCAACACATCATCGAAATGTATCAAGGTGTATGCGCTTCACTGTCTCCCTACCCTCTCATCATCCCTTACTGATTTGATTGCCAATGCAGCTTCTCGGCCCCGCAGCTCGACCAGAGGTCCATTAGATGCATCGGATGAGTGAGCATTGGACATTGCTTCTCACCGCTTGGTTCTGCGTCTAACATGATCTAGTCCACTTTCTTCTTCTAGCTTACCCTCTTCACCGGTCAAACACAAAACAATGGCTCCTAGCGACAGCTTCACTGGGGCATCTTTCCAACAATTAGATCCGCTGGCCCCGGATGATCTCCCTGAAACCCTAGGGAAAGACCTCTCATTTCTCCTCCGGCATAACATCTTCCATACGCTATCCCATCTTGACATTCCTCCGCCGCTACGATCGGACTTCCTCATCCTCAACCCTGGGGAGCCTTTATCATCATCTCTGGGCATTCTTGAGAAGTTGTTGAGCGAGGGACGGTTCCTTATCGCAGCACAATTCTCAGCCTCTATCCTGACATCATCCCTAATATCTTCCACAGATATCAGACTCATCTTTTCCCTGTTCTACACACGCCTTGCCTGCTTGGAGTTATCTGGCAACACAGTGCTGGCAGCACAAGAATCCAAAGCGCTAGAGGATTTGAGCTCAGCATTTTATTACATTGACCTGGGACCAACTCCGGCGGATAGCGGAAATCATCCTGAACACCAACATACAAATGCACATGAACCTCACCATATCGTCCCATGGCCCTTGCGTGTTTTAGCAGTCAGGCTTCAAAGCATTGGCTTTGGTGATGCCCGACGAGCCATTGGAGGGCTGTACGAGATTGGGCTTGAGGTTCGGAGAGAGATCATGAGAAATGGAATCAGTGACTCCGAGCGAGATCTGTGGAAACAGAGATTGGCCGACCTGGGTGTCAGAAGCGTCAATGCGCTCATAGAGATGGGCGATTTCGATGCAGCCAGGCGATCGCTTGGCAATCTTCAAGTGCCTGGAGCCGAGACTGAACTCACAAAGCTGAGGACGGCGCTTCTGCTTTTGCGAGTCGGCGATCTGGATGCTGCGGGTCAGGTATTCGGCGAAGCAGACGAGACAAAAGAAGCTACTTTATTAAAGCCCCTTATCAGCATGTCCGATGGCCGTTACTCTGATGCAGTGGCTGAGTGGCGCGTCCTTGGAGAAGATAGGACAAGAATAGATGGAGCCCTGGTAGCCCAAAATCTGGCCGTGTGTCTTTTGTACACAGGCCAACTGGAAGAGGTAATCAACTCCACCCTAGCGCCATCCGCGTGGCTCGGCTAATATTGTTTCCCCAGGCTCGACAAGTACTTGAAGCACAAGTTTCTGCCAACCATTCCTTTGGAAGCTTGATCTTCAATCTATCGACACTATATGAGCTTTGTTCTGACAGTGCAGGTCATCTGAAGGGACAATTGGCTGATACGATCTCCAAACAGCCTATCACTGGGCAAACTAATTTGGATCGGCCGAACTCAGACCTGAAATTGTAACCATGAGCGTTCCACTATGGTCTTGTCCTGGCGCCCATTGAATTCAGATTTGTTGTGGATTGGAATCTCGACTAATTAAATAAAACGCCAATGACACCACTCTGCTAACGATACAATAAGACCTATTCCACCCAACACCATGCAAATCAATGAACACCCCTTAATGCTTTTGTGCAAAAACGCTTCGACCTATGTGTGCTCATGCAGCCGGCGGGTTTCGCTCTTCTTTTGGTGCAGGCCTCTGTCTCGGCCGTTTGATGATAATCTTATCGCCTTCCCTCTCCCAGAGAAGCTTCTCTTTCTCCACCAGCTCCTCCCATGTCCAGCCCTGGTCGTCTCCCGTGCAGCCGTGTAAAATCCAATTGATATGCGCGTTGAGATAGGCACTACCAACGGCCTTGAGCGCGTGTCTGCGCATCCGATCCACAGCCCAATTCATCACCGCGCGAACATGAGAGTCGACACTGTTATGGATCTGCCAAAATATCACCCAATTGTTGTGTATCAACGCAGTGAGAACCTTGTCCACCGTATGCGACTGATAAGCGTGCTCTTTGCGCGCTCGGGCGCGCAGTTCAAACGCCGCAGCCAGATCTTCTTGTCGACATGCATAATCGAGAATCAAGTATGTTATAAGCTCTTTTGCTTCGGCCAGTGGGTGTGATGGTGAATGCAGTTTGTTCAGAACGTATCGCAAGGAAGGAAAGTAAGAAGGCGGGTGGTGTGCTAGGATGGAAAGTCGGATGGAGAACACATGGACACGTTGTGAGAATCCCGTCGGAACGGTCGCGGCCGTTGCCAGAACGGCTTCGCGCAGTTTTCGAAGTGATAGAAGGAGTGTGGATAGCTCCGCTGCTGGTGGCGGGGTGCCCCTCTGCCTCTGTGCGGGGTTCGATTTCAAGGTTGACTGGGTAGCGGGCGGATTGGAGGTTGCATCATTAGAGGAGCTTGTTGGAAGGGACGCATGGGCGGCGTCAAGGTCTTTGGAATGGTCATCGCAGAATCGCATGTACCTGCCGGCTATATTGTCGAAGTACTCGGCCTGGACCTTGTGGTCTAGTAACCTACAACTCTTAGTACCGATGGTGAAAGTGCGGTGGAGAGGACGTACTTCTTATCGCCCTTTGAAACGAACCCATAGAGCTGCAGGGAATCAGCTACCGGGCGTAAGCGACTCATGGTTTCGGGCTTGTACTGACGTATGAACGCACTCGTGGAGTTGATGCTGATCCATGGGGGATGTTTGCACTGTTTGCTCCATCACCGGCCGAGGCAGTCCCAACACGGCGAGTGCCCCCAACTGCCCAACGCTCAATTTCTCTATTCTCAACTTCTCTTTTTTCTCGTTTCGTTCTTTTTCAAATTTTCTTCTCTGTTGAAACAGCCCTAATATTGCTGACTTGTGTTACATGCTTTGATTGCGGGTGACTTGAAGACCTCATCGCTCACAGCCTCATACTTGCATATCACATGTGATGCCTCGCCAGCGCCGCCCTATTGAAGAACGGCTGGCCTCAGGGGATAGTCAGCCTGCAGGAATCCCTTCTGTCGGGGAGAGCCCTCCCAAGATCCTAAAGCGACTTCTTCATTGGGATGATCTACCTCACTGGCAACGAGACAACCATCACATACATACTGGATATCGGCCCGCCTCGTCCTCGTTTTTGAGTTCATTCCAGTCCCTGGGTTACCTTCACAATGAGACGGTCAACATCTACACCCACCTTTTACCAGCGACAATTGCTGCTCCAGCAGCATACGGACTGTACCATTTACTTGCTCCGCGGTACCGGAATGCAGCCGATTCCGATATCCTCGCCTTTTGTTGCTTCTTCGCCGGGGCTAGCTTCTGCCTTGGTATGTCTGCCACCTACCACACTATCTCGAATCATTCTCCAGTGGTTGCCCGCATTGGTAACGCGCTTGACTACATTGGGATCGTGGGACTTATTGTTGGGAGCTTTGTACCCAGCGTGTTCTACGGGTTCTACTGTGTCCCCGAGCTCCAACACAGGTATTGGACCATGATCTGTACCATTGGATTGGGCTGTGTGATCGTTTCCGTCCTTCCCCGATTCCGCACGCCCACCTGGCGTCCATTTCGCGCCGCCATGTTTGTCGGGATGGGCTTGTCTGCCGTCTTTCCCGTGGTCCATGGCGTCTTCCTTTTTGGCTTTGCTCGCATGAGACAGCAGATTGGACTCGGTTGGCTTCTTCTTCAAGGCTTCTTGTATATCCTCGGTGCAGGGATCTATGCGGCTCGAGTACCCGAGCGTCTCATGCCCGGGAGATTCGATATCGTGGGGAGTTCGCATCAGATCTTCCACGTGCTGGTTGTTTGCGCAGCGGTGGCCCATCTCACAGGGCTGCTGAAGGCATTCGATTATCGGCACAGTGGGGCTGCCGAGACGTGTCAGATTCCACGCGGCTGAGTTGAGGAGGGGGGGAGGTCTGGCGCAGCACAAGTTGAGGTTGGACAGCATTCTCATGGAAATGTGTTCAGAGGTAGCATGGGATGGAAATGATTTTGTAGCGTACGTGGCGCGACTAATGTTCAATAACCTCTTCAGGGATCAAAGATCCCCCCTGCTGACGATGACTTCAGTATGTGCAACAATACCCAAGGGCCTTAAAGGAAGCGGTGTGAAGGCAATCTGGTTACTGGTACCGGATCCGGTCAGCCGATAGACTGTCGTTCTTTTTTGCTCTCTTCTCGTCGCCTCCATTTCACATGGTTTTCCAAGGCTGTCCATTCAAGGGGATGGTTCTTGTGTCTCATTGGCAAAAAAACAAAACACAAAAAGGACAAGGCCCCAGCGGGATAAGTAACCGCCCAGGTCTTTAGGTTCAACAGGTCCTTCAAGCCATAAAGCTAACCCCGAAATTGGGGCGTTTACGATGTTGCATCAGGGTGTGACGGCTTTCCAACAAAAGGACCCCTAGCAGTTTCCCTTGGAGGACCCTGTTCTCATATCACGAGCGACGTTCGAAAATAGGGAACGCTGTGAATCTCTGTTGCCTGATTGGGCTGGGTCAGACCCATGAGCGGATTTCAAGAGAAATGCTGGTCTCCAACCTTAGACTGGCGGTGACCGGCCTCTCGAGGCATGGTTGATCAGATGAAATCATCTGGGTTTCACAGCGGCTGACCTCTGCGGCTTCGGTACAGCCTTTTCTCATACCAAATGCCAGAGTGACATTTCACCGTCGAAGCTTGAGTTAGAATTTATATATAAATATACATTGGATTTTCAAGGGGCGAGCGTTGGCCTTATTGGAGCATCAGTTGTGTCGACTCTAGATTCCCTATTGCTAATTTCCCTTTTCTTTTTCGTGTGCTTCGCCATTCCAAGGTTGTTATATCAAGATATCCCCGGGGGGAAGTCGATAGTATTTGGTGATATCTTCGGGAAACTTTGGAAATTACTAGCTTCTTCCGTGTTTCCCAGCTTCGTCCAAGCCTAGGCACCAATGCTCGCAGAGTCCAATGGCAGTCCGTACGCCGGCGGAGATACCCCCAAGCTCCGAACTGCGTGTGAAAATTGCAGGCAATCCAAGGTGAAATGCAACCTTTCCGGCAAAAGTGTCTGTACTCGTTGCCTGCGCCACGGTTTACAGTGTCAATACGGCTACGCCAATCGATCCGGAAAGCCAAAGGGAAGCAAGAATCGAGCAACTCTGCGCAAATTAGGTCAGTTACAAGAAGACAAGCCAGCAATGCGTGGTTTCCGCAGTAGCCGACTGGTTGCTCCTGTCGCAGACATGGAGTCCCTCGGGACCAACTATGGAGGCCATATATCCGACCCGGCATTGGATGAAGATGTAGGTGCTATGCCATACTCCATGCTCCATCGGCCCATTCTCGTGCCAAACTGACAACATAACCAGGTTTGCCTCATTTCAAACCAAGCCGGCTTTTGGGAAAGTCCCCGTAGCTTCGTCAACACTGCCACTCTGGAATCGTCTGTCTGCCCAGGACAACTTACCACAGTGGAAAGCTCACCATTCACCGACCTTGTGGACTCATGCCCTGCCTTACCCTCGGGCCTAGGGTATCCACATACACCAGTGACGCCGACATTTCTATCCGGGGAAACACTGCCAGAGGGCTTAGCCAGTCCTTCGCTAGCAGGATCTGTGGCATCGCCCTACCCACTCTCGCCATGCGAGTGTATAAACATGCAGCTATTCCACATGAACCGTCTGAACCATTTTCTAGCTGACTCCCTGCCTCTACGGCTCGATCACAGTCTGCAGTCGATCAAATGCACGTTCCTCGCTTGCCAGATGTTCTTACAATGTAACAAGTGCGCGAAGGACACCCCGAACTTACTTCTGACAATTTCGGTGTTGAACCTTACTCTTCAGCTATTCGAGTACTGGGTTTCGCGAGAGACTTCGCGCGCACTGCGGCCGGAGCATGGGGTCGATATTCGCTACGGATACTATGAGATCTGCCACGAGGAAAACAGACAAATTCGCAATTTCCTCATTCGGGGGTTGCTTCTGCAGTGCAGAGAGGTTTTGCTCGCTCTCAAGAGCACTGCTAGTGTGGCTGATGCTCAGCTCCCGAAATTGGGGGATCATGAAGGGCCGGACTCTAAGGCCCCGGAGGATCATGCCAGCCAGCATTGGATTCCATCAGACCATATCGGCTTGCCGTCAGGGTTGGAAATGGAGCTCTCTAATGGTCTACCCAGGAGGGAAGGTCTTCTATCCATTATCGCTGGCTATGAAGCTACCGTGGCGGCATTTCTGCAATCGACTTCATGGGGAGAATGCATCTGTGGAGTTGGACGAGGGCTGCATGAGGATTCCATTTGATAATTGAATGATACCCATTTCTGGGAAGTGAGGGGGTTAACTGTCTTCTATCGCTATCACTGTACGTTAGGCGAGGGTCGTAGAAAGAATGTGACAGGAAGGCTGGACAGTAAACGCGGGAACGGCTATATAAGCAGAAACACGAAGGAAATTGACATTGACACTTTCAAGTCGATGATACATCTTGGAGACTGATTCATGTAGTTGTGAAGTTGTGGAGTGGAGTTGAGTTGGTGCAGAGTGCAGTTGCATACCCCACATCTCTCGGTCCGCAATAAGCCTCGGCAGTAACATCGAGACGTATGTATAAGAGCTCTGTCTCCCCCCTCTCAATCCAGTTGACATAACATCAAAACACAATGGCACCCTCTGATCGTCTCAGCCAGGTGAATGAGCACCTCAACTACCCTGCTGGTCTCTTAGCAGGCCAGGTCGCCATCATTACGGGCGCCGGCCAGGGCATCGGCGCCGAAGCAGCACGGCTATTCGCAAACGAAGGCGGCAAGGTCGTGGTTGCAGATATCGACTCCAGTAAGAAACAATCTCAATTTGGCTCTTTTCTTAATATCTAACAATCAACAGAAAAGGCCAACGCCGTCGCCGACGCCATCAACTCGGCGAAATCCGGCCGTGCCCTGGCCGTGGTCGGCGATATCCTCGACGGCGACTATGTCAACGACCTAGTCAAGAAAGCCGCCGATTTCGGCAATGGCAAGATTCACATCATCGTCAACAACGCCGGCTTTACATGGGATGGCGTCATTCACAAGGTGAGACGACGCCGGCTTCGTCCACATCCACCTCCACCACCCTCTTCCTCCGTACTAACCACCACTCCAGATGACCGATAAACAATGGGACACAATGCTAGCAGTGCATAACACAGCCCCATTCCGGCTTGTGCGCGCAGCAGCGCCCTATTTCCGCGTCAAAGATCAAGAGCCACGGGTCGTTATCAACATCAGTAGCACGAGCGGTATCCACGGTAACGCGTATGTCAAATGCAACCCACCCAGCCCTCCCAAATTACAAACTGCAATTCAAAACTAACTCCCTACAGAGGCCAAGCCAACTACGCCGTCGCAAAAGCAGGTGTCGTCGGTCTTACCCGCACAATCGCCAAAGAATGGGGCCCATCGTTCGGCGTCCGCTCTAACACTATTGCCTTTGGCTACGTAACTACCCGGCTAACGGCCGCGAAGGAAGAAGGTGCCTTCATCACCACACCTGATGGTACGAAGGTTGCTCTGGGAATTCCTGGCAAGCAGCTGGCAGACAAAAAGGGCTCTGCTGAGGCGAAGAAGGTCGAGGCGAATGCCTATCCGGATATTCCCTTGCGTAGACCCGCGAGCCCGGTTGAGGCTGCGAGGGCGATACTGGGAGTTGCAAGTCCGTGGTTCTCGTATGTCAATGGGGAGACGATTCGTGTTACCGGTGGACGTAATATGTAAGGAGGAACCTTGGAATCAGGCTGGGAATTGTACTTATTTTCAGCTCGAGGGCCTTGGGCATTGAGTGTTGATTTACGCAAGACCAATGGCAGTTATCTTATGATTTACATCTGCCAACATTTTGAAGCACTTGAGGTATTGATATGATGGCCTCAATGTACTCGTCAGGACAGTCCAGTCGATACCTTGACTATCTTTCACTCACTCTGTACAAGGCATATGCTCAAGATCCAAAGGACTTCCCCAAGACCGAAGAAACTATGACTGTTCTATTTTAAGCCCAAATTGCGAGGTTTCCATATGAGAACCTCTCTATTTTTTCTCTCGGAAACGAGATTGGTAGACATCAACAAGAGAAAGAAGGACAATTTAAGTAAGTATTTGAGGCTCTTAGAGACAAAAAGAGAACGCATTTGTGAGGAGTTGGCTGAAGGTGACGGGCAAAACTGACCAAGAAAAGGCACGGAGTAGTAGGCCCCTTCTTGAATAGGCTGATAATAATGTGACAAAGGAATAAAAAAAAATCCACGGTCGCATAATAGGAGAATAATCCACGACACAATGTGAATAAGGCAAGACGTGGAGCCCTAAAAGTAGGGGTGTCGCGTGTAATGTCAACGTGGTTCTCATAAGTGTCACAACTAACCTGCGGGATAACTCCAGCACTCCTATCTTCTACACTTCTACTCGAATCGATTGATGATATTCAAACACTCATGATTCAAGAGGCTCGTGAGTTGAGCTTTGCCGACGTGACATTCCTTGAGAAGTTGCAAGAGTCGAAGTACTCAGTGGTTTTCAAGGTGCTTGTCCATGGGACAAGATGCGTGATGAAGGTGGTAAGTGCAAGTCTAACGTCTAACTTAGCTCAGCTCCCTCCTAAACACGTTGAGTATCATGATCGAGCTTCCTCTGAACACGATTCTCCCAACCAAGAAGTAAACCTTTTCATTTGCGAATCCACTGCGTATCGACGACTGAAAGCTAAAGGTTTATGCGACCGAGGAGTCATTCCAGACTTCTACGGAACAATCACCAATATACAACCGACTCTCTCGCCTAGTCTGCAAATGTTTGTTGGTGACAAGCTGTCACCAAACGCCATTCTCATTGAATATATCCCGAATATGCAGCCAATGAATCTCGACAATTTTTCATCGCAATACCTGGACTATTTCGTTAAAGCTTTGGTAAGTTCCAACCAAAATATATACTGTACGGCATTGATTGACAGTGACCTAGACCCAAGATTACGAAGAAGGTAAATTGCACCATGCATACTCTTACCTAGGTACTATTACGATTGGTATGTTTAGATAGCATGTCTGTATGAAGTTGGTATATAGTGCGTGGTATGTGTAGATGTTCAATTGTGGCCTTAGCCCAAGGTATCATATCGTAAGTGAAGAACGAGGTTTCCCCCAATGCGAAAAAAAGTCTATGCACAGAAAACCCCCCGAAAAACCACAGAATTCCTATCCCAAAATCGTCCCAAAAAGATAAACAAAGAAAGATTATCCCAAAAATCCAAAGTCCCAAACACCGTTGGGTCAACGCCTCGAATCGAATACATGTTCAAAAAACAGAAAACCACTGTGCTTCGTCAGCCCTCCCTGGGGCGTGTCTCTTCAAATTCATGATTCCCAGTTGTATATCACGCCAGAAAGATGGGAAACGTCAAACAAAAAAGGTATCCTCCCGGTATGTGCGGAAAAAGTCGAAAATATTATAACAATAGAAAAGAGAAAAAAAAGCATCTCCAGCCATGAAGGATGTCATGGCTTGTTTGCATAGGAACACTGTTGCCATGCCAGGAAGATGTCGCTCAAAGGGACAAGAAAGAGGTATATATATAGAGATCCAAAGGTGGAAAAAAAAGTGAAGCTGGTGGCCAGGTCCAATGGATCATGATCAACGCGATCGACTTTTGTTCAGCAGCTTTTAGGAATCCGTATGGGGGAACGGAAAGCGGTAAAAGAAGAAGAAAAGGAGAAAACCCGAAAAATGCAGGGCGGGGGAAATTCCGTTTGGAACGGAATTCTTGATCAAAAATGGCGGCGGAGAAAGGTGTTTAGGTCGAAGTAGGCATCAAGTCATGCGGGCGTTAAGAGAGATCAGATCCCATCAAGGAGTCCAAAAGAGGCAACCTTAGATAGGGACCTGGAGAGGCTGTGGGAAAGGCATCATCCCGTAGTAATAGGGATCCGCTGGGTAGAAGGACTCTGCACAGGCGGAAGGGAGCATCTGCTTGCAATCCTGGAATTGTTCCGAGACTACAGGCGAGAGGGTATTGAGATCTGCATAGTCCTCGGTGAGGGCAGTGCCATTTGAGGGAGCCTGGGAGAAGGCTGAGTAATGGGAGGAGTCCGAGGAGGAACCAGAGGTCTGGGCATGTAGGGGTTCCATGGGGCCTAGGAAGGTGTGAAGTTGAGGCTGGGGAATGTAGTCGATGTGATCCGGCACCCAGGGGGTTTGGGTTTGGGTTTGGGGCTGGACGATGGGATTTTCCGTGAAGCGGGGACACTCCAGAATGGCCTGGCGCAACTCTGGGATGGAGATGCGCTTACTTGGGTCGCGTTCGAAGACGCGGCTCAGGATACAAACCATCTCGGAGGAGAGAGGGAGAATAGTCTTCAGGAAGAAGGGGTCCTTGATGTAGGCCTGGAATGTGGAGTCCTCGACTGATGCTCGCTTCCATGGGTTGCGACCACAGGTGAGGTTCACTAAGATCACGCCCAGACTCCAGACGTCGTTGGCGGCGGACATGTAGCAGGACATGGGGCGAGCGTTGGATTGTTGACATTCTGAAGGGAAGAAGAAAGATTAGCCCGTGTGTCTTTGCGCGGATAGTCCAGCGGTTGGCACTCACCAGGTGACATGTAGAAAGTCGAACCGCATCCAAAATCGGAAGTAAAGTAATCTGTGGTTGCAAGGCCAAAGTCGGCCAACTTGACGGTCATACCCTGGTCGGTGACCAGAACATTCTCCGGCTTCAGGTCGCGGTGGTAAATTCCCAGAGAGTGGCAGTATTGTACAGCGTCCAAGAGCTGAAGGAAGACGCTCTTGGCCAGAAGGTCATTGCCAACAAAGTTACCCTTGTCGGTGATATTAGAGAACAGGTCTCCTTCCGGGCAATATTCCATGACAACAAAGGTGCAGTCCATGGATTCCATAATTCGGACTAACGAGACCACGTTGGGGTGCTGGCTGGCCAAGTGGTGGAGACGGATCTCACGCTGCTGGAACTTGAGCTGACGGGGATCCAGGTTATTCTTGCTGAGGGCCTTGACGGCGTAAACCTGGTTGGTGTGAATGTCCACGGCGGTGTACACGACCCCATAGGCTCCGACGCCCAAGACTCGGGTGAGTTCCAGCCGGTTGGCCAAGACGAGTCCGAGACGGTCCTCGGGAGCGCAGCAGCGGGGGATCGGAGAGGGTGGCGGCGTTGGTAGCATGGTGGGATACATTGTGTCCTTTGTATATAGAAGGGGATCCGGCGGACCCTGAGAGAAAGAGCGCAAACGGGAGAGAGAGAGAGAGTCCAGGGAGATTATAAAGTCCTAAATCCGCGGAAGATTCACCAGGTATCCATTCCAATCCAAGGTGGGTTTTCAAGAGAGTCCAAGGGCTGGTTGTGTTTGATATCGGGAAAAAGGAGAGTGTTGCACAAAAGCAAAAGAACCCAAAAGAAAATGAAACGAAGTATATAAACAAGAAAGTAGAGCCAAGTAGAGATGGTCGAGGATTTAATATCGAAGGCAGATGGCAGCCTCGTGGAGAATAAACCAAAAAAGGACGCTAGACGAAAGGGGATAGGAAAAACAAATCCCAGACGGGCTCCACTTTAATCGATGATGCGTGTCGAACTGGGCTAAACTGGGTTCAAGGCGAAGTCACTGCATTGCCAATCACCGTGAGGCATCGTGGACGGGAATGGAAGAGAAGTGGAGACTGGCTAACCGGAATGAGATGGGGATGACCAAAATAGTACCCAATAATGGTGAATAATCCCGAAGCGGGAGATGAGAGTCATACAGAGATTATTTAATTTATTAAAATGATTAAATGATTAAATGATTAAATAAATATAATCCGAGGAAAAACAAAAAGAAAAAAAAGAAAAAAACCAAATTAGCCATGTGCAGCATACGAAGCGGTGTGCACATCGATTCCTCCAATCATAATCCCCACCACCCCCTAAATCTATTTCCTTGCCTGCAGCCGCCACCGAACGTGATTGGCCGTCATCTTCATAACGATCGACTAGATGCTGCAGAATCCCCTATTCTCTCTGCCCACTTGCCCACTGCCCACTTGCCCGTGGACTGTGTGGCAAGCTCTGTCCACGTATCTCAACGGTCTGCCTACCTTGAAACCTTGAAAGTCCCATGAAACCTCCTGACACACATTTGCCAACGCAGCCCCGCATGGTCGTTTGCGTGCTCTGGTGGACTTCATGTCTGGACTCTGATTCTGGACCTCTGAGTTGGTAAGTACTTCATGATTACGGAGTACTCCATATTATCCTGGTTCATCTTCTACACCGTTCTTTCACAACTCTATCCGGTTCCACTCAGGCTGACTCTGGTCTAGAAGGACAGACTAACCCGGGTTCAACAAGTGAGGCGATGATGGAGGGCCGCTATGGCCAACCATTTGCTCGAACTGTTCGTTGTGGGAGAACTTTGCTAGTCCCGGATAGTCTTTAGTGGGAGGGGGCGGGCGCTTCCCTGCTGCACAGGCCAGACGGAGTAACTTCATCTCGCTCTTTCTCTCCTGGCGCTAATGTAGCTGGACTATCTGGGATGCTTTTCTACCCTTTCAGTGGTGTACTGCTGATCCTGGCTCCGTACTCACATTGTCTCCCATATTGACCCTTTTGTTTTTGTTTTTTTTTTTTTTTTTTTTTCTTTTGGTCCTGCCTTGTTCATACTCTATCCTCTACTCCGTATAGCCACCAGTATTATCATAGACTACCTCGTGTACTATTATTATTCCCTATTGTTGGTGGCTGGGAGCCCGTCAGCTTACACATTGTGTACTCCGTACGGAGTACAAGAAGAACACCCCTGTAACCCTAAATTTGCCTCGCCAGGTCGACAATCTCACACTCACCACATGCGTCATACGAAGTACAGAGGCAAGGGCCGTGTACCCGATCCAAGTCTGAGATGCTATGTGTGATGGAGCTACACACTGTTTGGCCCCGTCGAACTACTTTGGACTACTCCCTACTCCGTAAGAGCTAGACAAGTTGGCCACATATGTCGGCACACTCTGGTACGAGGTGCGGTGAGTGTCCAACTTTTTTCAAAAAGCCTCCAGATCGGCCCTGCAACCCGCAGCCAGTCCAATCACCTGATGGGAAAAGCCTTCCGATTCATCACATCGGTTATCGGTAACAGGGCCCGAAAGACTCTTATGTACAATATCAACTAGTAGCATGTACCAGCACGGAACATGTACAGGAGTATACCAAGTACTCCGTACTCCTTAGGCGCTGTAGCCCTGGAGAAGGGATTCGCTGACGGTGTGCCAATGTGATATGTTTGCCGGTCCCCCGTTATCGCACGAACCTCCTGTCTGGTGTGCCGTGCCTTGCCGAATGATGTATACTGTACCCCAGGATTGGCAATGCAGCTGGGCTTGTCGAACAGATTACTTGTACTTCTTGTACACAAGCACAAGACTATTACATTCGAATCCAAGCCGTTAGAGCGAAATTGGAAATACATTTGGAATTATGCATTTTACCCTTTTTCCCTTGGATTTTTTGCCTTTCGGGAGAGAGCTGTGTTCAGACGTGTGTTTTTCTGGTTTCGGGTCTACACCGCTAGAGGTGATCCCAGATCTGTCATACTCCATACTCCATACTTCATACCCAAGATGGATACTCCAGACTCGCAAGTGGAAATTGTAAATTGCCCAACTTATTGGAAACCTAAGGAGTCGCTAGGTGTCTAACCCAAAGTACACGTATTACCGCCACCGATCATCCTCCAATAAGAAGACAGAAAGTCGCCTCTCATCCTCTCTAGAGATCTAAGAGGCTGTGTATTGTTGCCTCTTAACGCCTGACTGTTATAACCAAAACGTCGCCTAAGGCGGATGTTTCGGTGCCCTGCAGGTGGCGGGGGACCCACACTCTAATCACATCTCGACATCATGACTTCAAATCTGATCCATACTGTACCCTCACCCAAATACACTGGGGGTGTCGGTTCACTCGTTCAATGTTCAATTTGCCCTCTTTTTGTTGGCCATGACTAACTTTTTGTTTTTCTAGCTTTGGCATTTCAGGTGTACGCCGTACACGGCAGTCTTGTCCTACGGTGGGTTTCGCGTCCCGGGTGGCAAGGGGCTTTCCGTTTGATCACCGTCGCTTTCTGGAATTCTGGAACACTCCACTCGCCCCATGTACTATGTGATCATTATTATGTTGGTACGTGCTACATCTCATACACTATTATGGTTTACATTTGCCGTGTAACGCGATATCCTCGTGAATGAAGACAGCTATACACTTGCATGATGCATACTATGCACTAATTCTCTGTAGAAAAATAAGGAACACCATACTCCGTACTGTATCTACAATTAGCCAAGGCGGAACCCTTTTCCCTCCATTGACTTATTTGCTTTTTCTTCCTCATAACCCCCCTTCTGGCTTTGAAATCAATTCTCGACGTAGAACGTAGAACGTAGAACGGAGAACGGAGATTGGAGCAAGAACGGGTACCAGCAGAACTATCAGCTCGAAACTCCTCTAGTTCCGAGTGACTAGCCACATCAAAAGCAAAAAGCAAAAAGCAACTACTCCGTACAAGTATACGGAGTACGGAGTACAACGAAAATTAAATGCCCGTCACATCACACTCCTATTTGCTCATAATTAATGCATCCGTCCAATGAACAAGGGAAAACCCCAAGCGATAATCAAAGAGATGTGTCCAATTCCAAGGCGACGGATCTGCTAACCGAGCAAACACAGGGTTTACGTACTCCGTACCTACGGGTGTACGGGGTGTACGTGAGCGCAAATCCATCAACCATACTCCGTACACCATAACCATGTCACTCGCTGCCTGGGCACTGCCACTGCCACTACCAATCGGAGCTTCAAGGCCAAGCATGTACCTCTACTTGTGTACACAGCACTAGTCGAAATAGAGTCACTCACCATCCCAAGGTTCAACCTCCCATTAAGGGTTTTCCAGCTTAGTTCCCCCACAACCCAAAAACAAAAAGAGGGCAGGATGGGGCGAGAGCCATGGAGTCGGGGCTGGGCTTCAACTCAGTTCGGCTTAGAGGAAATCTAGAACGCAACTATGATGTTCGGCTCCGAGTGTTTCCATGGTTCGAGGGTTGGGTCCGCCTTTTGGGTTTCGGTTGGGTTGAATAGGGGCTGGGGGACTGGGACTAGGACTGGGACTGGGACTGGGACTGGGACTGGGGTTAGGGGGTTGGTTTTCTTTGTTTGAATTTGTGAAGGATTCACTTTCCTATTCCCTGCTAGTTGGGTTTTGAGGAGTTGATTCTTATGGTTACTTGTTTGTTTGGGGTAGGAGTTGCCTGGCGACTGTGCACATGACGTAGTTTTCTTTGTGGGACATCTATGTGATCTTACAGGCCAGGTCCGGCCTCTGAATTGGTGTACGGGGTACGGAGTAGCTTTGATCGTTTCGAATTTCATAGACTGCATTCAGGGATTGTATGGTAGAGAGGCTAAGTTATTGCAAGAACATGCATATTGACAAGAAAATCAATCAACCCCTTTAGTACGCCAGTCCCTTGATGTTTGAGCAGTTCCTTTGCCTCGCATTTGCATTCATGTACGAATAGATTCAAAAAAAAGGGTTCTGTAGCCGAATGGGAAAATCCCATGATCACAGCTCCAGGCAGGTCACCCCCCCTTACACTGAGCTCGTGAGGAAGGGGTGCTTCAAAGCCTCATTGGGCGTGATTCGTTTCTCCGGGTTGAGAGTCAAACACCGGTCAAGGAAGTCAATGAACTGGGTCAGCTCTTTGACCTCCGCTTGAGACATACCGCGAGTACCTTGTCCCATCAGTCTGGTCTTGAGATCGCGGGGCGGCTTCTTGAAATCAATAGGTTTGGGTTCGGTTTGACCCGTCAGAGGGTTGACCTCAAAGCTGGCAAACACGGCATCGTCGGAGAAATGATGAGACCTCAGAGATCCACGGCGAAGAAGTCTCGCTGGATAATTGCCTCGAACCTCCTGGATTGCGCGCAGCATCTGGTTGTTGTTTCGACCCATGAAGAGGATGTTGCCCGCGTAGAGCTCGTAGAGCGTGCATCCGATGGACCAGGTGTCCACAGCGAAGTCGAATGGAATACCCAGAATGATTTCCGGGGCACGGTAGAAGCGACTTGCGAGGTAAGGCGCAGTTGGGATATCATCGGCTGAAAAGGCTGAGCCCAGGTCGCAAATCTTCAACAGGCCGCGCTGTTCGTTCACAAGCATGTTGTCGGGCTTGAGATCGGCATGGATCAGGTTCATATGGCGGAGCAAACTGAGCGCGAGGAACATCTGATAAGCATAGGCTCGGATCGCCCGCAGGTTCAGACCAACGTTCTTGCCAAACTTCTTCAAAAGCTCGCGCAAGTCCATGCTGAGGTTCTCAAAGACCAAGCACAGATGGCCCTTGTGATCGAAGTATCGCTCGAATTTGACGATGTGCTTATTGCCTCCGTGTTCGGCCTCATGTAGGAGGTTGAGGGTCTTGATCTCCTTCATGCCTTCCTTGCGCATAGAATCATTGTTTCGAATCACCTTAATGGCGACGAGATTCCCTGTTTTGGAGTCAAGCGCACGTACAACAGCTGCAAACGTTCCTTTACCCAGTGTTTGTTGAACCTGATAGCGCTTGTCAATCAGTTCTCCGAGTCGAACGTTGTAATAGCCCTGCGCATCGTCCCAATCATCCACCATGTTGTCAAGTTGCTCGCCTCGAGGGCCGGAGGTGGTCGGCGCGCGTGATGCTTTGGGTTTATCGCTTTCTTCGGCAAACATGTCGTCGTCATCATCTGCAAACATATCGTAGCCAGATTTGGTCCCCGAAGACTTTTCCGATGTCTCAGCAGGAAGAGGGCCACCCTGCGTAGTAGTCTCAAGCTCATCGTAAGCGCCGGACGGCATGTCGCCCTTTTCGACCTGTACGTTGGCGTGCTTCTGGATTTCTTGTCTCATGTCGAGACCTGCGTCAAAATCAACAGCGGATAGCTCGTCCTTGCTAGTAACGTCCGCGGTCGCACCAGGGTTAGCCAAGTCCGAATCTTGACCAGCGCTCAAACCGGGCAAGAGCTCTCCAGACTGCTCAGAGACCAACGCTCCAGATGAACCTGTGTTTAGATTGATTAGCTTGATGAGCCCCCAAAAAAATAAGACTGGGACAAACCTGGGGTTTCTTTGGCGTTGATTGGCTCAGGACCAGGCGTTGGTGTATCAGTTTCAGTCTCACCGACACTCGCCGCTGGCTGGTTGCGGTATTTCGCGCGAATCGCCTCACGACGCTTTCGACGAGCCTCCAGCGCATCGTCTTCGTTCACTGGCTCAACAGGCTCCGTGTCCTCAACAGGCTCCGGGTGAGCGACTTCTCTGTGATACACGTCAGTAAATTTCTTTCCCTGGCCACGGAACAGCAGAGCATACTCATTAGAAACAAAAGCTTGACGACTGGAGGAAGCTTGCACCTGGTTTTCTCGCGTTTCAGCACCAGGCTTGGAATCTTGAGCCACAGAGGACTTTGCTCGTTCGCTCACAACTTGTTCAGAGGGTCTGTGCCTTCCGGAACCCGCTGAAGGCCTGGCGTGATCCACCTTCGAATTGAAATCGTCACCTGAATATTTCTTGGATTTTCTCGCATCTCGGTACGGAGAACGGCTGCGGCTGCGGCTGCGGGTACGTTGTCGCTTGTCCTTTCGCTGGTCATAGTCATCACTGTACCGTAGTCCTTCGCCATAAGATTCTTGCTGATCATAGTCATGGTACGATCTCATTCGACGGCTATAAGGACCTTCATCGTGACGTCGATCATCGGCGCTGGGCTCGTACCGGTGCGACTCGTACCGCGGGGTTCGACGGTCGTGATCATTTTGGGGATCGCCGTATCTGCGTTTGTGGCCCCTGCTGTCCCGATACGGAGAACGAGAGCGGGATCTCGATGGGTATCTAGTCCGTGAATCCCCACGGCGCGGTGAACGAGAGCCGTCATACGATATGGGAGATCTCGGTGCCAGTGGTCGGCTAGGTCTGGTGGGACGGTCAATGTTGGTGCCATTAAAGGGAGTTTTTGACGCAGTTGCCTTCGTTCCTGGGGCTGGATCAACGATCTCACCCTCGGATGGGAGCGATGGGGATCGCGACCTGGGATGCGGCATTTTGCGAGATTTGAATAACGCACGGGGAAAGTTTCGTCACTTGCTGATCACTTCGTTCGGCCTTTGGAGGAGGCTGGAAGGTTGTGAATGAGCAGTTAGCGAAAGCTCCAGCGACGAAATAATCTGTTTAGGGTTCGTGAAAGTCCAACCGGCTGAAATTGGCCTGCCTTCACACCAAAGGCTCAAAGAAGTTATCAAGCTCCCAGGCTCGTAGCAAGGTAGATGTAGGGGCTCGTTCGATGATCTTAATATCACGAATTGCTGGCAGAGACACCAGCTGGGAGATAGAGAGAGCTCCATGGCGGGTGACGGAAGAAGTCGAAGATCGGGGCAGATTCGACGCTAGTCCAAATGCAGTAGGCGGTGCACCAGGCCGGAGGGGTGGCGGTGGTGCAAATGTATTTGACCTCGTTCATCTCGGTGGAACCTTTGGAGGACTCCCTTCAAATCAAGGACGGCAATATTTATAGATCATTCGGAGTACTCCGTACATTATGTATCAGCGATTGCTTTTAGTGTAGAAGGATTCGATTTGAGATCTCCTCCGAACGTTCCTCCTCAAAGAGGAGTGTAAATAGATTATTCGGAGTAGCGTCTGAACACATGAGCAAGAGTTGATTCACTGAGGTAGCTGGTGGTCTCTGGTGGCGGTTAGATCAAGGGACAATGTACTCCGTATTCCGTACCCGTGCCCAGGGTCAAATACATCTGCACCACCATTGATATGCTGGAGATCTGATTGGCCAGTTTTAAAGAGGATACTGTATGTGCCGTACATACGTACATATGTCTGACACATTGCGTACATATGCGTCCGATATGAGGAGTAATTGACCCAGATATTCCATTCTGAGCTATCTAAAGTATCAATGATTGGTATTAATTCCAATAAGCATCAGGGACTCCGTACTCTGTGCAGAGTACGGAGTATAGTAGGTACAAATAAGGCGGAAGCAGCGCGCTGGTAGATTCTGCCATCGGGCGGTCGGGCGCATGCAGGCAACGCCCCTCCATCTTTTTTCTCGTCAAAATAGTCTAACCACTCACTCTCGCTTCCTCTTTTCATTTTCAGTCCGTTTCCACGGTTTTCACATAGACAAAATGGGTGGTCAAGGCAGAGAAGGTTCGACAAGTCCCATTTCGAAACAGAAAATCCTTTCCCACGCTAACTCGATTGTCCCGCAGGTGGCAAGGTCAAGCCTTTGAAGGCCGCCAAGAAGGAGAAGAAGGATCTCGATGAGGATGATCTCGCTCACCAGGCTAAGCTCAAGGCCGGTATGTCGTGCTCTCTGCCATATGTTCTCATGGAGATTTTCTCATGGAGTCCATACTGATCTCAAACAGATGCCAAGGCTAAGAAGGATATGATGGAGGCCGCCAAGGGCAAGAAGGGACCCCTCAACACCGGCCAGCAGGGCATCAAGAAGTCCGGCAAGAAATAAACGACACAACACACAGCGGATCACGTGCCCACTTCACAATGAGCGTCGCCGATCTCAATTTCATCTTCACGACGTACACGAGCCATTTTCAACGAGACTGTGAAAGACGGGCGGCTGTGGACATGTGGTCATGCCAGCATCATTCTCCATCTACTGTTTAGGCATCTGTATAGATTGAGCCACCAATACCTACTTCGCGCTTGATTGCATCTTGAAAGTTCAGATTGCCTTGGGAAGTTCGGCCAGATTAAAAAAGTAAATTGAGTAGAGCCAATTAAGAATCTTACACAAACCACCATAGCTATGGAGGGTTTCAAATAACAAGGGTATCGTCCTTTCTTGCAAGTGACGCAGCAGGGGGAATCAAACGCTCAAAACACAACCCATGCCCCCAATATCGGAAAAGAAAGAAAGCACGTCTGCCCCCGAGAGGACAAAACCCAAAGGATACTCCAACAAAATAGACAGTGAGCCAAAGATGATCTCAAAGTCACCACCAGCTCTGCAAAGGTCGAAGACCAAACCGCGCCCACCGGTCACTTAACTAGTGACACGCTTGACCCAAAGATTATTTCCATCACCTGCATTTTCCCTCTCATCCAAGCGTCGCCACGCTCGCGTAATCTTCATTCCGAGATCATGTTCTTCCTTCTTGATATCGGCAATCTCACTCTCCATGCTCTTCACACTTCTCTGTACCTCAGCCTTGGCAGCCGAGTCAAACACAACAAGGGAATTAGGTTGAAACACTTTCATCAACTCCGCAATGACCGTCTCCAAATTGAACCGTCGCTGAGAAAGTTCATTTCGCTTGGTCTCCATAGCTTCAATGCGACCCTGTGCATCTTTAGGCTCCTCCGCCGCTGCTGGAGGTGGCTGTACAGCCAACTGCTTAACTTGCTCTGCAACCTGGGACGGGGTAGGCTTGCGAACAGGTTTGTTGACATCCAGCTTGTTGGCGACTGGCTTCTTCGAGGTTGGCAAGCCAACAGGGGCAACGGGACGCCGACGATCCATGATTGAACTCGCGGACAAATCATCCGTGGATCGATTATCGAATTGGAAACTTTCTCGCGGGCTCGGGTTGAGGCTGTTCGGTTCCGTGGTTGCATATGTTGTTGCGCTAAATCGGCTCATAGGCTCTTCGGCCGGATCTGAAGGAAGCATCATGCTAGCAACCTCCTCGTCGAATTGGAAATCCGGCGTATCTCCCCGTGGTAGAGTAGGCGCGCCTTCTTGAATCGCTCTTGATCGGAGTGAGGTCTTCGGACCTCCGGAGCTGATTGTGGTCACGGTGGTGGGGACAAAAGCAAGATTTCCAATTTGAGGACTTGTGTCCGGGATACCACTGCCTTTGCGTTTGGTGGAATGTTGTTCGACTGGGAATCCACGTGACGAGGATCGACTGCTAGTAGACGCCTCCTTCGGAAGATCTTCAGTCTTGGAAATGCTGATACTACTGCTGATCCGGTTTCGGGCAGCAAATATCTTTTTCTTGGGGTTGAGTTGCTTGAACAGATTTGACGTATGCGAGGGGGTTGGCTTGTGAAGCGGCACATTGCGGGGGCTCACTTGGTCGATTCGCCCAAACTCATTGGTGGTCGGATCGCCTGAGAAATCATCCCAACGCGTCGGTTTGCCCGAAATAAAGCGTCTGTGGTCCTGGAAGGATTGGCCTTGAGGCTGTGGGTGATTGCCAGCATGGTTTTCCCTATAGACAGGACTCGGAGTCATGGAAGCTCGAGATTCCCCTCGCGGGTAATGAGGCGCTTGGTCCCCATCTCCAATGGGAGATACACAGAAGCTACTTTGACTTTCTCGTCTGTCATTTCCTAGGTCTGGCGAGCCCACGGGTGAGACGTCCGAGTGTCTCATGGTCAAATCATGCCTCGACCCCAGCCGCAGAGATGTGTCGGAATCACTGAGACCCAAGTTAGGAGATCACACATGCAAAATTGCTGTGGCATACTTACTTGGGCAACGCTGGTAGGTTCTTCAGGTAATTCTCGTGTGCAGAGCCCGACGATGTGGGTGGATTATCCCATGTGGGGTTGCTGGGCCGCCGAGGCCCTTTGGAGGGTTTCTTGGAGAACATGTTGATTATGCTCACGCTCCGGCGTGCGCAACCGTTTTTGCGATGAATCAAAAAGCAAAAAACTGAAACGAGCACGCTAAAAAGTATGAGATAAATGCAAAGACAGGATGAAAGGGGGAGAGGCGTGACAAATAAATGAGGAGCTTTGTTTTGCAGTGGCTCGTAGCCTAGACCGGACGGCCGCGGATCTCAGGCAGACGATGTAGTCTAGTAGATATAGATGCCAGGGACCAGCCTCACAAAGTATATGTACAATTCTGGAACGGTAGAAACAAGGAGATCAACCCTGGAAGACTCGGAAAACCTTGGAACCAGAATTGTTGGACCTGATGGCCACTAATAACTACCAATAGTGGGTAAATTAATTGGGGGCGACAAATTGAAACACTTCAAGGGCCGGGCGTTTTAAGTCTGGACTTTTAAGACTCGGCAGGGCTTCTAAGGCCTCCTAGTTACCAATCATTCCACATGTCAGACCGAAAATAGCTAGCAAGGGTCCTAATTATATACAGTGAAGTACGTAGAAGTCTCGAAGCCCCAAAGCCCAATCCAAAAGTATAGAATCGAAGAGAAGCTACTCACCCAATCACGTGGCACCGATGTCATCCCGACATTCCGAACATCCACTCCCCACATCATTGGAACCCTCCCTCTACACAGTTAATCATGGCTGGTATGTTTCATCGCGTGCTGTGACAACTCTGACAGCTCTGATGCTAATATGACAGCAGACAACTCCCAACCACAGGCCGAAGTGTTCGTATTCCGACTCAGCCACCGACAACGCAGCTAATAACAAGCAGGATGTCCATCGCTTCGCCAATCAACTTCATCCTCGGCTCACTATTCATCGTCTTGCTGTACTGGCACTTCCGCCCCAAGGCCCCCGTCGAGCTTCCGCGTGGTCCCCCGCCAACCGTCTTCACGACCTACACCCCAAAGACCTTAATTGAGTTCAATGGCGAGAACGACCGCCCAGTCTACCTAGCCGTCCGCGGCCGCGTCTTCGATGTCTCCCCCGGCAGAAACTTCTATGGACCTGTACGTGCTTGTGTTTGTGTGAGAATTGACCATGACCAGTCGCTGACGTTATACGAATAGGGCGGACCCTACGAGAACTTCGCGGGTCGGGACGCCTCGCGTGGTCTGGCTCACCAGAGCTTCGACCAGGATATGCTCACCAAGGACCTCTCGGCTCCTTTGGATGAGCTCAAGGACCTGGATGCCGAACAGCTGGAGAACTTGCAGTCATGGGAAGACCGCTTCTCTGAGAAGTACCTGGTTGTGGGCAAGCTGGTCGCTGTGAACGACCCAGAAGCTCCTTCGGCATGAGCGCACATAGCAAGCTAGCTTTCGGGATATTTCATGTATGTTAACGGTTGATGTCTAGCACCTTGGACTTGCATAAGCCCGTAAAAACAACAAGGGTTCGCTCACGTATTATACACCGTTCGGCGCTTGGACGTCGTGCATCAATGCCATTACTGACATTTTCGGCAACCTCGTTGAGCTCAAATTCATGCACTAGAAGGCACTATATAGTTCATTCTATAGTTCCGGTGATCGGCATGATCTACTGCAAGACGTGGGAACAGCGGATATTGCGGAAGGCCTTCGGATTTCGTGGTTGTTGCTGCAAGTAATGACGGCTCATTGGGCACAACCACTTCAAGTGCCAAGGTCTACCCTGACAAGTATAATCTCGACAATCGTGCTCTCTTGATTACAGCTGCAAGTGTAGACCCACCCATGGTCCTTGACCCAAAGCAGAAATGACGCCTATTCACGCTTTCACTCGTGTCGCCGCCCGCCATATGGCACCTCGATTCCTCTCAGCCCAAAAGACGACCGAGAAAGCCATCTCGGTCGTCAACCAAGCGGCCAGAAATGGAGCAAATATCATTGTTTTTCCCGAGTCATACATCTCGGCATTTCCTCTCTGGAGCGCCCTACGCCCGCCGACCGAGAACCATGATCTATTCCGACGCATTGTCCATGAATCCGTATACGCAGATGGGCCAGAGATAAAAGCCCTACGAGACGCGGCCCGGGAAACCAAAACAGTCATTAGCATGGGGATATCTGAAAAAGCGCACGCGAGCACAGCATGTCTCTACAACTCTAATTTGCTCATCAACGTCGATGGCGAAGTCGTCATCCACCACCGGAAACTGATGCCGACCTTCTTTGAGAAATTGACCTGGAGCCCTGGTGACGGCCACGGTCTGAAAGTCGCCGATACTCCATACGGCCGTGTCGGAGGTCTTATCTGTGGTGAGAACACGAACCCGCTGGCGCGGTATGCTTTGATAGCCCAGAGAGAACAGATTCATATATCGTCTTGGCCATATATCTGGCCGACTAGGGTTCCTAAGAAGGTACTTGAATCAGAGTCAGAGTCCGAGCCGTCTAGTCCAGCTCCACGCAACTATGATAATGTACTGGCCAACCGGTTGAGAGCTGCCGCGCATTGTTTTGAAGCGAAGGCTTTCGACGTTATGTGCAGTGGGTTTCTTGATCAGGAGACTATAGATGCTGTGGTGGAAGGGTCTACTACGCCTGAGATTTTGCAACGTGCTCTGCAAGACTCGCCGAGGGGTGTTAGTATGTTTTTGGATCCGACGGGTGCTCCATTCCCTGCGTTTATAGTGGATGAGAAGACCAAGATCCAACAACCGGTCGAGTATCTGCAGAATGACGAGGATATCATCTATGCGGATATGAATCTCGAGGATTGCATTGAGGGAAAGCAGTACCATGATGTCGTCGGAGGTTATCAACGACTGGATGTCTTTCAGTTGCAGGTTAATCGTTCTCGAAGGGATCCTATAATCTTCAAGGAGGACTCTGACTTTCAGGAGTGAATCCATGTGAATTAGTGATAGAGCTCAGAGATGAGGTGTGTCACGCATATCTAAAGCACGAGTAATGAGCTGACAAGGGAAGATTCCGTCAGTCAAAACCCGTCCGAAGTGGTGAGTAGTTAGTGCTGAGGGGTGGTCTAGTGGGGTCCAGACAGGGTCCAGACAGCCCTCGCGGCTGTCCTGCTGGGCCATTTCCTCAGCCGCCAGGGAGCGACTGCCGTTTACGGATGTGTTGCTACGAACTTCCATGTTCAATACCTGGCACCTTTTTTTATTTCCTTTTTTTCACCACTCTCCATTAACGCAGCCTGCCACGTCCACAGCTAGCTGTCCTCTATTCTTCTGGCTCCACTGCCCAGGTACACTCCAGGGCTGAGAGGCATGCACATAAACCTGAGGTCTACAAATACGTCCGGAGTATTGAGATACTCGTAGGTAGCTTTTATACTGCAGCGATCCACTTATGGACCTTCTTTTTGCCCCAAATTACGAAACTTTCTAGTCTCCCTAGCGCAAGTAGTTCGATTTGCTGCCACTACGAAATTACGACCCTTTCACTTGGGGTCACTTCGAGGTATTTCGCCCTACTGCATCCAAATTCCACTCCTTCGATCTTTCTGCCTTGGACTCGCAGAGGTCGACTTGATCTTCCCGCGAAACGGCACCTTCGGGCCGATGAACACTCACCCCCATCGTCTTCGCAATTCAAAATTCTGCCGCAATTGATTGACTCTATCCCTATATCACTTACGGGCTGTGGCCGGTGGATCTGCCGCCGGGCAATCAAACACTGGACAACAATCTGGTACAACAACATCTGCCCAATGAAACCAATACAACAGACTCTATGGCATTCCTTGAAGCTAGTATAGCCAATACTTTGAACGCCGAGAATGACTGGGAGTTTGTCTGGAAAATGGACTGGACCAACTGCTCGACATCGTCAAACGAGACCACTTCGGACGGTGGGCCCAAGCCCAAGGTCAACTTGAATAACCCATGGGCCGGCCATTCCGTCCACTTCACAACGAAAAAAAGGAGCCAGCCAGCCCAATCTGACTGCTCTCACTGCCGATGACAGATGCGGTGATGCTTCCGCTCTGGCGTTCAACGTCTCAAAGACACTAGAAGCCCAATCGGGCTACTATGAAGGCGAAACATGCGCCATGCTCGCGAGCCTCACGCCTATGCCTACTCCTTGCAAGGTCAGTGTCGTACCGGCCGCCGCTTCGAGCATCTCTTCCACCCTCACCGCAGCACAGTGCGCTGCTCTGACCCCTGGTATTAGCTGTCCGCCAAAGAAGGGCACAGCCACCGTCAACAATGTGGCTTCTCGGCTGAAGTGGTGGGCTGCTGGTATGCTGCTTGTTTGCGAGCTGTTGGTTTAGCGACACCGTTGCTCGTCTTGAATCATGGTCAACATTCTCGAACTCAGGAACTTTGAGCTCTTCGAATGCCTGCGGCAAACTCTATACTTGCGCGGACCTAAAAAACGGTGCCAATTTCATAGGGCTAGATTTCATAGTATGCACGTGTCGATCCTCGGCAATCTCCAAGACATCGGGGGCGGAAAAGGGGGCGGAAGGTGGGTCGAACCCTGGTGATCTCTTAACAACCAATGAGAATCACTAATCTTAGCCCTATCCACTCCTGTCCCCGTTGCCGGGCCGGCTCACCAATTGGAACATCACGACGGAAATGCGGGTGGAGATCTGGTCAGGTACTCCGTACAAGGCAGTTTTGCTTCTTTCTGAACTTGAGTCCCAAGGTGTCTCCGTAGATCAAGATGAAGTCCAGTCGGGATTCACGATAGGTTGATGTCCAGGCTGATGCCTAGGCCAAAATTTGAGCTTGGGCGGGCTTGGGCTCTTGGTGCAGGATTTGTGTAGGAAGCGTATCTTTAGTGCCTTGGCATGCTTCCAACGTCACAATCTGTAAGCGAATGTACCCGGTCTTTCCGTTGCTCTATACTCCTATTTGGGAATACGGATGGTGTAGTGTCAATTTCGCACGCTTGGACCTTTGGTACAAAGCATAGCCCACTTCAATATGCGTCGCTGTGATCGACTCAGCTGAGACAGCACTATTCGAAAGTTCAGTTACTAAACGGTGGAGGGATGGCAGTCAACCATGCCATTGAGGGCCAGTTGAGTGGACTAACCTCTGAGATGCATATCAAAGGCTTCAAGTTATCCGAAATCATAGTCTAAGGTGATTTAGATCCACTGTGTTTCTGAAGTCTTAACTCAGAGCCAATCAGCCATCTACATCGTCAGTATATACGGAAAGTCCGCTCTTGCCTTTGCCCTTCTTTCGGAATTGCTTGCTGCACGCTCCGTTGAGAACACTTTCTCGCATCGCGGTGTCGACTGCAGTTCCAGTACTCTTCCCGGTATTGGCGACACTTGGGAGACCTTTGCCGACAGCTGGGGCATGGCCGCTGGCGATCTCAAGCCTCTCAACCCTGATCTGGACTGCCCCAACTTCGATGAAGAGACAGAATACTGTGTCTCTGGTGAGGCAAAAGATGACGAGCCTACCAAGACTAGTTTCACTTCCACGGCTGCTGAGACCACAACCGCTGTGACGACCTCCAGCTCGACCAAGACTACTGAGGCTCCCTCCACGACCCACGACCTCTTCAGTCAGTGACCGCGAGCTCACTCAGCCTGGGCTGTCTGATGACTGTGACAAGTTCCACAAGGTCGTGGATGGGGATAGCTGTGGTGCAATTGAGGCTTCAGCCGGCATCACCCATTCGCAATTGTCCAAATGGAAGACCTACATCAATGACAGTATATTTTCTCCCTCTTCTATTTCTGGCTCTATCTCCTTCAGCCACGCTAACTCTCAATGCTCAGAGTGTTCCAACATTTGGCTGGACTTTTACGTCTGAATCCACGTTCCCGGCGCAGTAAACCCCCATGGCCCCACGCTGCAGATTCCTAACCTGACCCTTGACAGCAAGAAGTATCACAGGGTGGTTGATGGTGAGAGTTGCCCTGCGATACAGAAGGAGGCTGATGGTATCTCTCTCGCTCAGTTCCGAGAGTGGTATTCCAATGTCGATGCCAAGTGCGGTAACCTCTGGAATGGATACTACGTGTGTAGTGGCGTTTGAGCTGGTTTACCACGAAACATTCGCGTGAGGAGGAGGATGTATTTTATGTGGTGGGTACAGGCTAGACCTGGAAAGTGGTTCTGCTGGCCCGAGACTCTTCAATGTTTTGAACTGTAGTCTGGATGTTGATATGAATATGGGGGTCTGTCGAGTTTTCTCGACATCCATGGATCCACTCGCGCAGGGAGTAGAGCAGAGGCTGCTCGGAAATAACTGCTCGGCGATTAGCTAGATCAAGAAGGGAAGAGAAAGATTGAAGCCCATCTGCCTCCAGGGCTGTCTACTATGAGTCAAGCCCTCGGAGGATAACTTGGACTAAAATCATCAACGCAATTTCCAAGTTAGGAGAAGTTCTTTTCTCACTCCAACCGGGTTGGATGATGGAGAACAACAAGAAGCAGGATCATCATATAACAGAGCCAGGCGAGGAGATACCTGAACTCATGACTTACAAATATTACCTCTTGGGCCAAAATTTTGGAACTATACAAACTACTTCTTTCAAAAAGAAAAAAAGCATTGTCAAAGCACCATATATCTCATTTGCTATTTGCTTGCTCACACAATATATTACTGGGGCCCAATCCATGGATATCAACCAAGATTAAGAACACGACAATTCTCACATGTCTCATGAAGCGGCACAATGCATCGTTCTCTGTTGCCTCTACTGGTTTCACCTCCATGCTGACTACCTGGCGATATAGATCCCAACCAAGAGACGTCCCTGACGTTAGCATACTAGTTCCGCGCCAAGCATTCCAAAGTTTTTGTATTTTGATGTTTAAGGCATAATATACAATTTACGCGCAAATTATGCGGCTGATGATACTGTCATTACCCAAATAAATAACCTCAGATTGGGTTTGCATATGCCACATCCCGAGGTCCTCTGAAGCGACCATTGACGGGGGACGCTGGACTGCGGCTTGGCGTCACCGCCGATACAATTGAGACCGCTTTGGAACAACTGACATCACATCATTCAATCGCGTCTAGCAAGAAACAACCTTACAACCAAATTTCTCTGGGAGTATGAACATGCCAGATCTCAGAATCTTAGGATGTTAGGATGAAGTGACCCAGCCAAGGTTGTTCTTGTCCTCATCAAGTTACTAAAGTATACCTCTGGGCACCGTCATAATCCAATAGAAACAAACCAAGCGAATGGGCAGCTATTCCAAGGTTTTGTATTTAAACAAGCTGGACATTTTAAATCATGGAAGAAGACAGAACCTGGCACAGGCGAAACCCGAATTGATGAATCATGCATTATGCATTCACACCTGCCAGGCAAATTCCCCAGTTACGTCACTGCGCAATCATTCTTGACCTTGCTTTTTTGGCGCTTTGTATTTGCTATGGACTTTTCCACTTCTCCTTTTTATTTTTATCTTGTTCCTCTTGACTTCAAATCTAGCTCGGTGAGTGTCCTGCGTCCTACTATCCCCTTTACGAAGCTGCAGTAACTAATCTAGGAGCTATACCCCATACAGATACCAACACCCTTTGAACATTTGAACATTTGAACATCCAGACGCAATGAAGTTGAATCTGGCCACTGGCCTTATCTTCTTCTTGGCTTCCACTGAAGCTGTAGCAGCTTCAAGCTGGTGGAGCAAGGCTGGTGCGTACTCCGTACTCTATATACAGAGCCGATCAGTCGCATACTAACAAAGCTACTAGTGTACAACAAATGGCACGAAACGGAGCTGGAGAGATGGCTTTCTGATCACGGTAAGATTCATCAATGGTTATTTCAGCTTCATCACTAACGAGCTGTGCAGACATCCCTCACCCTAGTCCTGCCGACCGTCGCGATCTCGAGAACTTGGTCAAGACCAACTGGGATACAAAGGTGCAGAAGCCTCTTGGAAACATTGCCGACCAAGCCAATGACCAGCTTCACCACGCAAAGGAATGGATCTTTGACACGTATGGTGCCCATAAGCCGGATTCAGGAAGTTCGCTAATCAAACAAATAGTTGGTCCGATACTCAACTGAAAGCATTCCTTGACCGTCACGGAATCCCAGCCCCCCAGCCCCGCAAACGCGACATCCTCATCAAGGCCGCGCGTGAGAACTATGAAAAGGTCGCCACCAAAGTCGGCGAGACAGCTTCTTACCCCGGAGACTGGGTATACGAGAACTGGTCTGATTCCGATCTCAAGGCTTGGCTAGACGAGCGTGGATGGCCCGCACCCCAGCCCTCCACCCGCGACAAGCTCATTGCATCCGTACGCCGCAACTCCCGCCTTGTTAGCCTGCAGGCGCGCAGCATTGCCGCATCTGCATCTGCCGAAGCCGAAGCTGCCAAAGAGTCTCTGAGCGAGGAGCTTTTCAACGCCTGGTCCGACTCCAAGCTGAAGGAATTCCTCGATGAGCATGACGTCAAGGTTCCCCAGGGCTCCAAGCGCAACGAACTCATTGCGCTGGCCCGTAAGCACCGCTACAACCTTTCTAAGCAGGCTTCGAGTGCGGCTGGCGCTGCCCAAGATGCCTTTGGCGCCGCTACCACTAAAGCTGGTAACCAGTATGCTCGCGCTACTGAGGATGCCAAGCTGAAGGCTGAAGATGGCTTCGAGGCTGCTTTGAATGGCTGGTCTGACTCTCGCCTCAAGGCTTTCCTCGATGCTCGCAGCGTCCCTGTTCCCCAGAATGGCAAGCGTGACGAGCTCATCGCTACGGTTCGCGCCAATGCCCACAAGGCTGCTGGTGGATGGAACCAATACAACTTCGATACCTGGGACAAGGAGCATCTCTTGTAAGCGAAACCACACTCTTTTCGCTGGCTTTTTCCCCATCTTTTGCATATACTGACTTTTCACAGGAGATATCTCTCTGCTGTGAACCACAAGGCGGCTAAGAAGGCCGACGCCTCACGCGAAGAGCTTGTCAAGCATGCCGAGGACTCTTACGCCAAGGCCTCCAAGGTCGGTGGCGAGCAGTACGCATCTGCGACTGCATCTCTCGCACAGGCAACTGGATCGGCCAAGGATTCCACTTTCGATCAATGGTCGCAGTCAGAGCTCAAGAGATACCTTGACAACTACGGCATCCCTACCTACCAGGGCTCCAGTATCAACGAACTCCGCGCTGCCGCCCGACGAAATGCCCAATACTTCAAGTATGGCACCACAAACCCGCAGGACACCATCTATGCCCGAGTCATGGAGACTCTGCACTGGGCTGTGGAGCAGATCAAGCTCGGCGCTGCCAGTGGACGGGCTCAGGGCTCCGATGCTGCCGAGAAGGTCCAGGAGAAGGTCTCTGAGAAAACCGAACGAGTGCGCGGTGAACTGTGAAGATGATCTCGGCTCCTTTTGAAAATTGAATTTGCACCAAGTTGAATACAGAGCCAGTTGAGTGATAATAAGTTACGACGACTATGATCTTTGGGTTTTTGGATGCGTTGTTTTGTTTTGTTTTGGGGCTTTCGTATCGTATCGTTGATATCAGAAAGGTCTCTCAAATGTAACAATCTCTTTATGAACAATCTCTTGCTTTTCCATTATGTGTTTTTGTAGTTTGACCAAAAAAGGAAGTCACCTGCCCCGGTGGTATAAATATGTCTCCCCTCCCCTTTTTCCTTCTTCTCTTCTTCTCTTCTCTCTCTCAAACCCCATCAGGGTTGGGCTTGCCCCTCCTACTTGGGTCACTGACGTTTTGGCTGCACATCCCCGGGCCCATGCCACGGGATGAGGGTCATGGTGGTCACCATCAAGTATTTGTCTCGTGCGAGTCGGCGGGCAGGTGAGGTAGTAGGGAGACGTCCCGAGGCCGATAACTGATCCTGTGTAGCTACCCATGATGCACATTCGTTACTCTCTGCTTGGTGCTGTAGCTAGATGTAGTATTTGCTTTCATGGTCCTGGCTAGAGTGATACGCGTAACAGATGCCAATTCAGCCTCGTACAGCTCAGTAAATCGCAAGACAAGGAAGCATAGCCACATCATCGGATACTACAAAGTGCAGAGTACACCTTCGAGCGCGTTTATTTATTTTCTCAAGATCGTGGATTCCATACTCCTTACGGAGTACTATCCACAGTACTATATCCGATGCCGAGTACTTGACGTCATTAAGGCAACAAGGCTGCCATCCCGTACCTTAGATACCCAACTCCTGTTTATGCGGGGGATCTCCTTCACGTCTGCGTCTTCCAGGACTTGCCCTGGACCTCGAGCATCGGCTTTGGAATGTGCTAATTTTCAAGTCTGATCCTCGAGCCTCTCAATCTTGATACTCATCTTACAATATGAATCCCTTAACTCCACACTGCCGCGAGCTGGCCTCGCCAGGCATCTTCCAAACCGTTCTTTCTGTGTATGCGCCACAGAATCCCCTGATAATTCCCAGTCACTTACAGGCCATAGCTTAATTATCTTCGGCATTCTCATGTCGTATCTACCCCAACACATCCGTATCATCACCCGTCGAAGCTCCTTCGGCATTTCCCCATATTTCGTCCTCCTAGGCGTCACATCAGGCACCTCGGCCTTTGCAAATATCCTCGTCTTCCCAACAACCGCCCAAGATGTCGCATGCTGTCAGGAGATCAGCGGAATCGCGTGCTTCGCAGGCCTACTGGCTATATTCCAGATGAGCATGCAGTGGCTCTGTTTCTTCTCAATGTAAGTACCCGATTCTCACCCTCGCCGATCCAAATCTACATCCATCTCTAACAATCAAAACTCTCCAGCCTCTTGCTATTCGTCATCTACTTCCCAAGAGCCACTTCTCCAACAGACCCCATAACCCCCGTCTCCACATCCCCTAGTGGCCCAACATACCGTACCGCGCTAGTCGTGACAGGCATCTGTCTGCTCCACGCGCTAGCCACGATCGTCATCTCAGTCGCTTTCGAGCTCCGCAGCCCAGCAGCCATCCCAGCCTGGGCCAACTTCCTCGGTGTCTTGGCTGCTGTCCTTGCGTCCATCCAGTACCTCCCTCAGATCTACACTACATTGCGACTACAGTGCGTCGGCAGCCTGAGCATCCCCATGATGTGCATCCAGACGCCGGGCAGTCTTATCTGGGCTGCTAGTCTGGCGGCGCGCACGGGTTGGGCCGGGTGGAGTATTTGGGGTGTGTTGGTTGTCACGGCTTGCTTGCAGGGGACGTTGCTGACGATGGCGATCTACTTCGAGTACTTTGGTCCGAATCATAAGCGCGAAGCTGGGCATCGCGCGGACCAGAGTCAGGACCAGAGTCAAGATCGGGATCAGGATCGAGATGGATTTGGCTCTGTTGAGGGGACCCATGGGCCTGTTGCAGTGGACCGGCCTTCGGAGGAAACACCGTTGCTTCAAAGCCAGTAATTTTTTTTTTTCGGGGGACGGGAGGAGGGTGTGGGATCTTGGAATCTTGTGAGATTCGATAGAGGCATAGCTTACACAATTCTAGATTGATTGAATCGATAGAATTTATTCCAGCAAGTCGAGAGCGATGTCTGTGATCTCGCCTGATATTTAACATGGTCGTCCCCCGGGTTATTCCTGTCGGGACAGCAAACCCAACAATCATCGCATCGTGATATTTGTCTCAGCCTGAAACCTGTATCTACTGGCTGTAGATCAGACGGAAGACATCGTTGAGCACAAAGAAGCTGCCGTTGTCAGGCTGCAGCTTGAAGAGCTGGGAGTAGTTCATGGGCTTCTGCTCCTCGTCGACCTGCGTAGAACATGACATTAGCTAGGGATGCAATGAAATAGGTTTCTGCAGACATACGAGAAGGGCACCGGTCACGAGGACAATGATACCACCCTCGCTGGAGGGCTGAGCGTCGAAGGTAGCGATCTGGTGCTGGACCTTCTGGAAGGGAAGACTCTGTACGCAGCCATATGGTTAGTATGCGATAATTCCTCCAGGGACCAGGGATCGTGATATCGTAGTAAACGTACGCCGAGCTTCTCAACAATGGCACCGGTACCCTGGACAGAGGAGGTCTCGAAGGTGAGCATGGAGTGGTCACGCTATTGGGAAAAACTCATGGTCAGCATTTTGCGCTTGGTTCGGGTTACCATCTCAAAAGGTGAGACTTACGTAGAGACCAGCCAGACCTTCACGGTTGGTGTCGAAGGTCTGGTAGTAGAAAGTGACAAACTGCTCTGTTCAAAAGATCAGATGTTAACAATGTCCTTATGCATTATGCATGTCATCCATTTTATGGGGCGTTGCGAAGTATGCATCATAGGCTAGGGCGCAAATCTCGGGATCGGTGGTAAGGACTAGGGAAGTGGGAACGTACGGGCGATCTCGTTGAAGCCTGTAATGAGAGTATGTTAGCGCTCATGTGTCTATTGATCTTGTTTGTTCATGCCACTGCAGTGATTTTGCGCAACATGGGTCACACTCTGCTGAGATGCGGGAGATTCCCTCAAAGGGAATGGGGCAGAATGGACTGAAAGGGATTCACATACTCATTTTGAAGGTGGTTTGGGGGGTTTGGGGGTAAGAAAGAGAGAAAGTAAGACGATAGTGACTTGAAAAGATCAAAGAGTTGGCGAGGAGGTATTTGTTGATGAGGGGTTGTGGGGCATGAAATGTTCTGCCGCTGATGCCTGACTGCCTTATACATCGCCCAAGAGCCGCCTGACAAGTCTTTACTTAGGATGAAATGAAGTTACAGTCAATGGGTACAATTGTGTCTGGAATCAATGGATGATTGGATTATTCGTTGTCATTCGTTATCTTGGAACATACTCTTTACAATTACAGACCTATTTTCATTCCGATTCAGAGGCGAACATGTCCTCAGCTTTGGGCCGAGGTCGACGTCGTCGGGTTTCTGGCACCTGCTGCCCAGCTGGTCTTTCAGGTTTGTCGGATGATGAATCAGGTTGTTGAGTTGATTCAGGTTGGGTATCTTGCTGGGGCGGCAGCTGCGCCTTGTCGATGGGCTTTCCTTCGTCCATCTCCATCTCATGATCACTGTCAGCCATTGGGATGCCATCAATGTCACTCATGGATTCGTCCTCTGCGAAATTGGGCTGAGCGTCCGAATATTTGACACTTCCAGGGCGAGAGGGTTCAGACTGCCCAGCGGACGCCTCTTCATCAACGGTCTTCCATCGGCTCTTGCTCTTGGCAAAGGCCGCGGCAGACTTCTCTGCTTCGGCCTTCTCTTGTTCAAGAAGCGTCTCAGCCTCGGTGAGTGGTGGCTTTTCGAGCACTTTGGTGAAATGCTCCTGGTTCGCTTGGGTAAAGCAATTCATCCCCTCCCACCGGTTAAGAAGCCACCCAACACTATCCTTCCACTTTTGAGCTTTCATCCGTCCCCAATTGAGATCTTTGTCGAGACGACCGAGGTGCTCGAAAACCTCTTTTGCACGGAGTGCGTTTTCAAACAGATGACGGTATCGCCAGGAATGGCGCACACCGCTGTTACTTGCGGCACAAAGGATATCATGAACAACGTAGAGGGCGACTATCTTAGCACCGGATGGATCAAACGCCTTTTTGGAGGCGAGATGATCATTGTCCTCGACAGTCGCGTCGGGCGCTTCTTTGGACGAGGCGGCATTCTGTACCGTTTCACGGTTCGGATTGGCACTAGTGTACACCAATGGACGGAGGATATTGTAAACAATCAGTTGCACGATTTCATCCGCCCCACGTTCAACGTGATCCATTGCAAATGCTGTGAGACGTGCAATATCGCCGCGCCGGAGTGTCGCTTGGTGAGTCGGGAGTCGTGCTAGGAGGTGAACCAATTTGGCCTTCTTCAGAGCACCTAAGAAGCCAGTGCCATTGCTGTGTGCATCAGCCCCTTCTGGAGGCGCCCCGCCACGGTTGCGTCGTTCATCTTCCACGTCCGAGTTTTCTTCGTCAGAGGAGTTGTAGTCTTCATGATCAACAAATTCTTCAAGCCGAGTGACAAATTCGAACTTAAGTTCGTTCTCTGGGGGTAGCCACAGTGGACCATCCTCGAATATCCTGGCTGGCTGGCGGGCCTTCTGCCTGTCATTATCGGGGTTTGTGATGATTTGCCACAATTTCCAGCGGTAATAGACTCCCCCAGTTGATCGGGCGTCATAAAGCCAGGCCCACTTTTCGGCTTGTTGAATTTCAGGTCGGCTCATCAACAGTGCCTCGAACTCCGGACCGTGGTTTAACAGATGCTCGAGTGTCATATGGATCATTCTCACTTGGTTGATGCTTGATGGCACTTTCACCTGAACTACGTAAGTGGGACCAGTTGCACCAGCATTGGGTGCATAAGAGGAGGGAGGCGCGAAGCCTCCATGATGTAGACCCGGTGGGGGAGCGCGACCCATACCTCCACCGGTATTGGGCTGAACGAGCTTTGCGCCAAAGGGAAGAGAAGGGGTGGATGAAAGACCCGCGGGCAAAGGCGTGTTTGAAGAGATGGCGGCAGAAGAAAGATACCGAGCGAGATTGAGATAGTAGCCAAAACCGATGTACTTGTTTTGGAGGGTGCTCACGGTGGAGTCGATATCTGAGGCGGCTGTATCACTTGCGAGGATCACAATCGCGGCCGACGACCGTCTCTGGGTCGGGCTCTGCATAGGTGGGGTTACAATCTTCACGTCCTCAACTTTCAAGACGGTGGGTATCCAAGCCTTGATGGCCGCTGGAGATGTCCCAGGAGGTAGCGACGCGAGGTACAAAGTGGGCCTAGCCGCTGCCCGTTCCGCCTCCTCCGCCGCCCTGTCGGCGCTAGAGTCCCCGAATGCTGAGTTTGACCCAGAAGACATGTTGGCGTTGTCGGGTCTTGGCTGATCGCGATGCGAAGCGGGGAAGAAACCGTCGTGGGGACGTTTGCGGGAAAGTGAGGGAGGAGGCGGGCCTAACGTGCCTGGTCCACTAGTACGTGCTGTAGAGGAACCTGAGAAGTGCCGTTTGGAAGGCGCTCCAAACCCACCACCCCTGCCACCTTGTGTATTCAATCGTCCAGCAGAGGACGACGGTCCAGCTGGAGCCTCATCATCAAATGATTTCACAAAGTCCTCCAGTGCTGCGGCATTTTCAGCTTGTTCTCGAATGCGCTTTGCCTCTGCTTCAGCCTTTTGCTTCTCGAATAGTGATTTCTTGGGAAGCGCCGATAGCTTCGCAGAAACATCTGGGAAGCTTTTCCCCTTGGAATCGTCAGACATGGTGGGTCACTGCTGCGACCGCAGCACAGGTGGCTATTCTCAAGCAGATTCAAGGGAGTGATATTCCAAAGCAGCGAAAGTGTGAGTCGGGTAAGGAGTTGACAACCTTGGAAGAGAAGTGTTATGAACCTCAGCTCTATCATCGGATGAATTGCCGGGTGATCAGGGCGGTGAAAGGGGCGGTAGGCCGGTGTATCTTTATCCCGATGCCGAAGCTTCTCTTAGCGTCATTTTGTGGACTGAGCACTTACACCGCCCTATGTGGCCGCCCTACGCCCCCATAGTAAATTGGAACCATCAAAGCTGTACCCTTCTCCATTACGTAGTGTAAAGATTTGGCTGAAGTGTTGATCGTATATGACTGAAAGATTGCTTGGTTTTATTCCGAAGTTACCTTGGAATCTCTAGCCATCCAACAGTCGAATCGAGTTGCTCCGGACTACTACCCACACTCGTCCAACTGTCAACATAACTCAAGCTTTGAAGTTCTGCATTCCTTCCATAAGCCAGCATGGCTACAGCGTTACAAGACCTTTTACGGTTTCTGTCTCAAGATGCTAAGATTCCATTAGCCCTGGCTATGGGGAAAGTGTTGGAGCTGCAGAAGGCCCTCCTAACCAAGTAAGCCATACCCAGAGTAACCTCATACATGACTGACTGTTGCGTTGTAGCGCAGAGCAGATATCGAAAACAGACATTGAAACTCTGAAGGAAATTTTCAAAGATGACAAACTAGCGAAGCAAGTGCTCAATGCCGCGAAGCGGGTCTCGAAGAAAAGACCAGCTTCATCTGATGCCGAGTCACCTGTTCAAAAGAAATCCAGAACCCCCAAGCCTCCGGGCAAGGATCTCACTCCATCAGAATTTGAATCTGCGCTGAGTCTACCCGTGACCTCCGCCGGGGAGGAAGATCTAAAAGGCACCGTGCTCTTCACCAATCGTGCGCCTCTGGTACTAGCTTTCGCTGTCTGTGTATTGAGATATACTATGCCCGAACAGCCACTTTCCAGTCGCCTCAGTCTTGCCCAAGCCGTTGTCTCATCCAACAGTCGGACCAAGGCTGCTCACTTGGGGATTGAGGATGGACGTCCTGCGGAAGAAGAGGGCTGGGGAGAGGGCCATCCGACAGTCAAGGTTCTCGGTCGTGAGATCCATGTTCTCAAACGCTGGGACTATGATCCGAAGGAGGGAGCACCATCAACTGACACTCAATCGGAACAAGTGGCTGAGGCTGCTCATGGTAAAGGTAATCAAATGCCTCCTTTATGGGGCGTCGATTTGGAAACAATCCGGGGCAAAGAAACCAAAAGCAAGACGCATGATGGGCAACAGAAATCCAGCAATGATCTTCCCATATTTAGACCGGAGTCCGCACGGTCTTATTTGCTGAAAGCATTCGCAAAGCCACCCGAAGAAGACAAACCGCTTTCAAAGAAGAAAGCCGCGGCTGCCCGTGAAGAGGAGAAGGATGAATGCCTGGCTCGTCTCCTTCATGCGGTTGATTTAGTCTGTCAATCCTGGATTCCGAAGCTGGAACAGGTCGAACTTGACAGACGTGCTTGGTCTTGGTACATTCGTGTGAGGCCTGACGTTCAACAGGGTGCACACGGCTGGGGTGAGAAAGGACAAGTCAAGTTGTCTGATATTCTTGCTCTTCGGCGAGGCATCTGATAAAAAGGCTTCCAAGGCTCTTCAGAAGTGATAATCCGGGAACCAAATGGCCAGAAAACATGCATGATACACGTTCTTAATATAGATAGCCCTTCAGTATCAAAGTGGGGCCTGGTCCTCTGAATCATGCCATTGAGTCATTGATTCTTTCCTCTGGCCTTTACCACAGCCTCGACTGCCCAGATGTGGCTCCGATACCAGGCCCACCTGCAAGCACGATATCTTTCCCTAAAGGTACAGATGAGGTACATTATGCATAAGTCATGTGATATGGTGAGATTACCCACATTCCCAATTAGGAAAGAATTCGATATCAAACGCAAGACTAGAGTTTCTTTTCAGCGTGTAAAGCAAAGGGAAAAAGCGTGGGAGTAAACGACATATTGGAAGCAGGTAGCAAGAATGGTGTGTTAGTCGTCATCTCCAGTACATTTCATCAAACATGCATGAGATAATACTACGTTGACACCACTAGACGGTCCAATGGTCCAAGGTTTTGCCCGAAAATTGGACTCGAGTGAGGTGAGTTGCTTTCTTCGGGTCGCAGCGCCCATCAGTTCCTCAGATGACCGCTGCTCTCTTTGCCTCCCCCATACCCCACGATAGAGTTGGATCTACATCGGATCATCGCCTTTGCTCCACAGTTAGAAGCCATTGGCGAACGAGGGTGTGGACCATCGTCAACGTTCGATGAAATTCAGCAATCGATTACAAGATGGTTTTTTGCACGTTTATGCTCGAAAATCGAAAGAAAAGAAGTGTTGAGAGCAGTTGATATTGTCATAGTGTATGATGTGGTCACATTTGGTGTCTTACGAGGCTACATCAGTGTGGTAAGACAGAAGGAGCTTTGGAATGTCTCAGATTCAGGATTGGAATGATCAGAGCATCCAAGATGACAAAAATAAGTATGTGATAGGTGATGTACTGTGTTTACCATCGGGTGTATCCTTTGCCAGCCCTGGAGGTGCTTAGGTGGCAGATCAGCATGGCATGATGACTCTCTTTACAGAGCATTGGTGCCAATTTTTGAGACGCAGCCAATGAAATTGGGGCCTGTTCCCATTGTTTCCCGGAGCATCTACTGTACCAAGTGAGAGTGAGTAGGAGGTACTGCTAGTCGCAACTCATGATGCTGTTTCGCAAAGACATTGGTGGTCGGAGTTTCTACCAGAAGGACATTTGAAGTTTCTCTCTGTATCGATGGATCTTCTCATGTTGGGACAGCCTTGGCCCTGGAAATACGGAGTTTCAGGGCCACCGATCTATCACAGTCCAGCCCTGTGTCGATGGACCCCGTTACGCAACCCCCGCGTTCAGACGGAATCCAGACCTGAAAGAACAGCAACCCCCTCTGACGATCGAGAAAGGGTTGAGAACAGATCAAGGAACCCGAACCCAGAGCCAGACCATGGACATTATGCCCCATTGAAAAACTAAAAACGCAGACAGGTTCCTGCAAAATCAGTCACGGAGAGTAGCCGAAGGACCATAAAACCAGAAATGCTGTATATCAGCCCCGGTTTAGCCGAGCTCGGAATTCAAACAATGGAAGTCGTTAAGGTTTCCAAAATAATAATTTCAAACAAGGCCGACCCCAGTGGGTTTAGCATGAGTTCTGTAGCAGAAAATAGCAAGACAATAGTTCCAAGTGAAGGTGGCGAAGCCCCCAGGTCCACTGCGGCAAAGGTCTAGTCGCAGTAGCGTGCAATTGTACTCCAGTGAGAAAGATATGAAAAGACCCTAACTTGGGTGAATAAATAAATAAAAACAAAAAGTAGAAGGGAAACAAATTAAAACAGAAGAAAACCAGTATAGAAATTGTAAAACAAACGAAAAAGCCAAGAATTCGAGTTGGTCCGAGTTTTTCTCGAATTCGGCTCCCAAAGATCCGTCACACTAAGGTCTCAAACTCTCCCCTTCCCAGTTTCCCCCTCCCCAACTATCTCACCCAACGCCATCACATCCACGCTCAAAACGATTCCAGAATTCTCGTCGCTATCGCCTCTCGTCTTTGCCCCCAATTTTCACCCAGCGAACGGATTGAACGAACGACGAGGTGGCCCGACAGGGCTGCCAAACCGATAGGATATGTCGGGCCGTTTCTCATCAGAGCACTCTCGCTCTGCTTCACGATCATCGCAGACACGACTATCCCAGAGTGATTCCATGCATCGCCAGTCCGGTCGCAACTCCCGCGTTTCAAACCCCAACGTGTTCGCCGATGAGTACTCGTTAGAGCCCATAGACGCCGACCGCATCGAACGCCCTCACAGTCCCTCTTCCATCGCCTCCTCCGCCACACTACGTGAACACATCCCGAAAACCGTTAGTACCGCAACAACTGAGAACGAAAATCCATTTGGGGATGACGCCCGGGTCTCATTCGATGAGCCTCATCGATCAAGTCTGCCCCAAAAGGGGCTAGGGTTCTCCAATAATCGAAACTCGACCACCTCTCTCAACTCCACCCCTTCAATGATTCAGCGAAATCAAAGCGTCTCTTCCCGTTTCTCGATTCCCCGTGCCCTCAGCCCTTACACCGGAGCCACCGGACCCAGCCATCCTTATGGTATGTATCCACAAGTGGGCGTCAGCCGGTCGCCTAGTGTAGGAAGCACATCGACAATACGTCCAGTCGAGCGTCCGATCGAAGATTCCACTGGTCCTCAACACCCCTACGCGATGTACTCGCAGAACGTGGTGGAGGAAGGAATGGATGATGATATCATCCCGGTCGGGTTCCCTGGTCACAACCCACCGTATCAACCGCCCGCTGGCCGCCAGGATGATGATGTGGGTGATATCATTGGACCAGATGGTCACACAGAGCCACTGCCCCCTTATTCACGATACCCAACCGGCGTCATCCCTAAGCCCCCAGGGGCCGAGGCCGAGACAATGGCCGATCTCAACACACCCCCAGAAGAACATCGTCTCAATAATGAAAGCCCAAGAGCCCTTCCTGTATCAGAAACGTCATCAAGGGCGTTGGTACCTGAACAATCTGCTGGTGGAAATGAAGATCACAACGGGGAGGAAAGGGCCGCTGCGACCACGGGCATTATGGCCTTCGAAGAAAAGCTCAAACGCAAGGGGAAGCAAACCGCCTGTTGCGGTCTCCCCGTGTGGACACTGGTCCTCATCGCTACAGTGATGCTCATTGGAGGGTGTATTGGAGGTGTCATCGGTGGTGTCCTGGGAACCAAGCGAGCGGCCGAAGCTGCCAAGGAAGACCAAGAAGCTCAAAAGTCACACGGTCCGCCAATTGTGACGGTGACTGCCTCTGCTCAAATGGATGCCTCTATGATCTCTACGCCCACTAATATCAAATCCATCCCCACTGGCAGCTATATGCTTCCTGCCAATTACCAGAACGGCTCGGGGCTTTGCGTGGACGAGTCGGATTATGGAAAGCCTTGGAAATGTCAGCAAACACCAAGTGAATTTGAGATTTTTGTCGGCGAGTCACGAGGCCAGCACTCAATCGTCTTCGATTACGGTGGTCCAACACCGACTTTCACATATGGTGCTCAAGCGCCTTACTGGTCCTCCTCGCCTACACAGGCACTCAGCATGGCCGTTGATACCACCGATCTTGGCATGGGCCCTGCTTTGTTCTTCATCTCCCCCTTCGACAAATTGGTCATCGTTCCAGAGAACGATATCACTGGTAGTACTATCACGAAGCGCGGGTGGGTTGAAGATGGATGGGCACAAGCAGAGGCTTATAAGAACTTCAAGCAAACTGCCTCAGTCGGCGACAAGCCATGGTTCTGCTGGTGGAACAACACGATGATGGAATTCTTCATGTACGTCAATCAGTCGACCTCGGCGTCATCCAGTACCACCGCATCTGTCGACAGCAACATGGCGGCAAGCACAGCCGGCGTTCAAGCCAACTCCAAACGCGACTCCATCGCCGACTACCCTCGCCGGATCAAGATAGAAGAGCGCCGTGACGATCCCAGGCGTGAATCGCCTTATTGTCAACAAATGATGATCCGTAAAGACGGCGGCTTAGCGCTTCTTTCTGGCAACCTCATCAACATCAAGGAGAATGAGCCCACACCCACAACCACTTACACCAATTACAACGGCGGTACCGCTCAGACATACACTGCACAGGCATCCTACGCCAGCGCATGCTTCTGCCAGTCTCTGACAGACTAGTCGGACCACCTGATCCGAAACCAAATCATTTTATTCATTGTGGTCCCTCTTGGTGCGGACCTTGGCGTTGGCGTTGGATCGGCCGTGGAACTGGCCTCAGCTCATGTGCACATGATCGTCTTCCTTCTTGACTGTGTGATTTTACTCCTCCCCGCAAGTTACTGACCTTGTGGGATGCTTCTCTTCTCGCATTATCCGTGACAATGCTTCCATTTTCCCTCTTCCCTTTTTGTTTTTTTCTTTTTGGCCAACTACCATTGCGGTATGATATGATTCTCATTTTGTGCGAGTTTTCTGACATCTTTTCTGGGTAACATTCGGTCTATCTCTTCATGTTCTTACTGATTTTGACTCTGGCGCTCATTGGATTGGTATGGCTCAGGTATTGCGATATGTCTGATTATATATTGTTATCGTTGGTGTTTTCCTGGGATTCCGGGTCCACTTGAACTTCATCTTGTCTTGGCATTTGATAGATATCTATCAGTTTACTATATTGCAAGATATTTGACACACTTGAGTTCGTTCCAAACCTTTGAAGTTATCTAGACCTAGAAGTCTAGGATACATTGTGTTGCCGGGAACGATATATGACGTAGCGGAGGGGGGCTCGGATCGAGATAACTGGGAACGGCTGAGTATCACTGGCCAATGCCTCAAACACAATCTTGGATTGTGTATACCTTGGGTAGTAGGTACCTATGGCATCACATTGCTAAGGTTGGACATCGGACCCTATCTAGCAAGACAACCTTGGAATCGAGAGACACCATCCAGAGATCCATCAATGCCCAGGTGTCTATGTTGGGAGTCTGAAGGCTACTAAAGTATACATCACCGACTCTGAAAAAAAAAAAAAAAAAAAAAAAAAAACAACCTCAAATTGCCCCTGGAGGATACTGTGTATGCTGAGTAGCCACAGATGGTGTATACGCGAAATTTAATTGAAAACTAGCTCTTATAGATGGTACCTTTGGACAGTCTTCACGTCGACCGTGGACCCCAACTGTGAGGGAGGGGGTTGTGACCGCCTACCAAACGGGTCAGCAGTCGGATCACGTGCCCGGTACTTGTATATCACGACCACGTGATCTCAAAGCGACGTGCAGGAGATTCAATAAACGAATAAAGTAGATCGAACAATTGACAAGTAAATATTTATAGAGATTGTCAGCAAGTTCATACATGTAATTGGTTACCAACCCCCTGGGCCCTTGAATCGGCTCAAGGCAGGTCTTATACACTCTGAACCCTCTCGATTGGGAGCTCTCCCACTCGACACCTGAGGCGCTTCACACTGCCGCCAACTCGCACCTTGCACCCCATTCCTCCTGCAACCTCTCTCTCCATCGTTCCCCATCCATTCCTCTCCCACAATCTCATCTTCTTTCCCCTATACCCTCCCACTATCGATATCGCATGATCTCGCCCACAATTTACTGATCTGCTTTTTTTCGATTTCCCCCGTTTATTGCGCTTGTGACTCTTAAAAATCTGTCCTTGGACCTCCAGATCAAATGATCGCGTCTCCTAGATGACCTTCCCTCCCCCTCACCCTACCGCCCAATCGTCGATTGCTTCTGGCACCGATAAATCTTCTTCGACCAGGGCCGATATTGGTGCTTGGGGTCGGTCTGTGTCGCAGTCCGGCGCACGTCGTGGGTTGACTCCACTCGCGACCAATCTATCCTCCGCCGCTCCCCCACGAACACCCGGGGCTTGGACGCAGGCCCGGGGGCCTCTACATCGTCCTCCTTCTCGGCCGTTCTGAGCTCTGCTCGCGGTCTTTCCGGCGGTAGTCCGAAACCCACATCTTCGCCATTCACCTCATTGCAATCTGGCTCGCAACAGCACGCATCCACTCTCTCATCTCCCAAATTTAGAGCTCACACCCCTTCCATAGGGTCCCATTTGGCATCCGCCGCAGGCTCCGCTTCAGGTGGAGGAGGTATTGGGGGAGGTGGTGGTGGGCCGGGATCATCCAGAGGCGTCTTCTCGCCTCTTTCGTCCGGAACAACCGTGAATTCTCCCACAGGTTTCGCATCCGACAAGTCGGGCTCTACAGCTGCCCATTCGAGCCAATCGTCGCTCACCAAAATCTCCATCGCACAAGTGTTCCTCTTGCTGGATTCTATCACTGAGAAAGAGGGCAAAGAAAAGTGGGAAACAAAGGCTGCTCAGATACATAAGGTGAGTGGTAGTGGTGGGTTTGTTTCTCCGAATTGAAGCTGACAATAGCAGCTTGTGACATCCAACGGTATGGAGGTCTTTTCCAAGTACTTTCGTCGTCTTTTGACGGGCAACGCACCGCAAATCTTCCCGGGCGTGAACAAGTCTGTTGAAAATGCAGGCAATTATCCTCTCCTCATCCAGGAGCTACAAAAAGTGGCAATCGATATGGAACAGTCTCAGAAAATCGCCGAAACAGTTGATACCTCTGAGGGAGATATCTTCCGCGACTTTGACCTTTCCACCTTCCTGGATCACTTCCGGCTCGATCCTCTCATGAAAGTGTCGCTTGCTCTAGCATTTAAGCTCACAAGCAAGTCTGACCTTCGCGCCAAAGGTATGTTCTTTTCTCTGGCCTCATTTGAGCGCTAATTAATTCAATCAGCCGATGCCATTCTCTCCAACTCTGTTGCACCTTTCCTCCAAAGCCTGGCCAGTCCAACCGAAATCACCAAGGACTACCATAATACCTTCCTGGGAATGACCATCGAACGATTCATCCTTTACCCTCCCCGCAATTTCACCGACGACGTCAAGGCAAAGCTTGTATACGCAGCGAATCTGCGTTACCAAAAGCTTGGTTTGGATATGCCATTCGAAGTCTCCTCCGCCCTACAGATGTTCAATTTTGTCAACCCTCAATACGGTCTTGTACGACAACTCCATTCGAAGGGAGCCCGCGCGACCGCAAACACCGAAACAATAAGCGAGTTGATCAATGTGGATCCAAAGTATTGGAGTGAGGAGCACCTCGCCAGCGGTCTTCTGTTCATGGTACTGTCGCAATATTGGGAACAATTCTCGATGGAGACCTTCTTGGCTGCGTATGCCGATAAACCAATTAATTGGTCGCTGGTTTTCCGGCACTTCGATCGCGAGGGCCTTCGAGTGGACCCAAAACAATTCGCCAAGCTGTACAGTGTTCTCTCTGCCTTGTCGTCCGAAGGGCCGTCTCTGGATGTCCAGAAGCTTTGGGGCGGTGACTGGGAACATCGGGATACGCAGATGTCTTTCTTGACAGCGTTTGTGGCTTCTCGTATCGACGCATCTCAAATTCCCAACCTCCGCGCAACATTCCCTGCCGACTTTTTCCAGGATGCACCTGATATTGTGAAATTGCAGGGTGAACGTGCAGCAAAGTCCCCTCTACGGTCCATGGATGCTATGAAAGCCATCTTTGACCTTGCCTTGTTCTCTCAAGCTTCATGGGCTGCCACTGAAAGCCAGCTTCTTATCAAGGCTGTTGTTCAATTCGATCTTCCAGTGTTCCTGTGCTCTGCCCTGGCCATTCCCCAGCCATGGTCTAGTGTTCAGCAGAGCTTTGTGCTGCGAACATTCATTGTGTTCATCTCGAAGCAAGAAGACGGATACCAACTTGCTCTTCATGGAGCCTGGCGACAAGATCGACAGTGGGTTGCAGAGCAGCTCTTCACCACATTCACACAGGACCCCACCTCCACTGCTGTGATTTACGAGCATGCCGCTGCATACGGCTGGCTTGAGTATCTCCTTGGATTCACCAACGGACTTGCTCTCGATCTTGCATGCTACTCTCATCGCAAGGGCCAGTTTGACCTCGAGCAGTGGGTTCGAAATGCTGCTCAGAAGGGCGCTATTGACATGGGAAGTCTGCTTTCCAAGTTCCTCAGGATCAAGGCCGAGGATGAACTACACGTTCAGAGAAAGGAGCAGTCTGCCCATCAAATGGTGAGCCTTGCAGTGAAGACTGTCTATACCCTGTTGTCTGTTCTTGAGGAATATGTTGGCGATCGCGAGAATCTCACTCCCGTTCAACGCATCTGCATCCAGACTTACCCCCGTCTCATCAACTATGGTGAAGGCTTTGATGATATTATCGACATCAACGGCGAGAGCGGTAACACTTTGCCTGATTCCATTGACAAGCAAATGCAAGAGCTATTCGGCAAGATGTATCACGAGGAACTCTCACTTCGAGAGATGTTGGAGTTGATGCGCAAGTACAAGTCCTCACGCGACCCTACGGAGCAAGATCTCTTCGCCTGCATGGTGCACGGCCTAATTGACGAGTATCATTGCTACCATGAGTACCCGCTCGAGGCCTTGACCAAGACCGCAGTCATGTTCGGCGGAATTATCAACTTCCGTCTTGTTGACGGCATTACACTGAAGGTCGGTCTCGGTATGATCCTCGAGGCTGTCCGTGAACACGAGCCCCATGACCCAATGTATAAGTTCGGTGTCGAAGCCATTGAACAATTAATCAACCGTCTCTCAGAGTGGGCTGGCTTCTGCCACCTACTCTTCCAAATCCCTTCCCTGCAAGGCACACCTATCTACCAGAAGGCAGAGGAAGTGCTCCGCGAGCAAGGAAACCAAGTTGGTGAAGCCGAGGCTGGGCCTTTCGATGGAATGACTGCCGCACCACTCACCAACGGAAACACCGTGGACTCTCCAGTCACCGATGGCTCTGTGCGCAAGTTCCGTGCCGTTCATCTCGACCCTCCCCTCCGATCTGAGATTTACGAAGACCCGGATGAAGATATCCAGGATAAGATTCTTTTCGTACTGAACAATGTTTCGGAGCAGAACATTGACGAGAAACTCGAAGATTTGCGCGAGGTGTTGCGTGACCAACACCACCAGTGGTTCGCGGCTTACTTGGTAGAGGAGCGTGCCAAGCTGCAGCCCAACTTCCAGCAGCTTTACCTTGATCTTCTGGGTCGCATTGATGACAAGATTCTATGGGCCGAGGTTTTGCGGGAGACATACGTCAGCGTTGCCAAGATCATCAACTCGGAAAGCACATTAAGTTCATCCACTGATCGTGGTCATCTTAAGAACCTTGGTGCTTGGCTTGGCTCATTGACCATTGCAAAGGATAAGCCCATCAAGCACAAGAACATCTACTTCAAGGGCCTACTTCTCGAGGGCTATGACACCCAGCGCCTCATGGTCACCATCCCCTTCACCTGCAAAGTTCTTGTGCAAGCCACCAAGTCTACGGTGTTCAAGCCTCCTAACCCCTGGTTGATGGATATTTTGTGCCTTCTCTTGGAACTGTACCATTTCGCCGAGTTGAAGCTGAATCTTAAGTTCGAAATCGAGGTCCTTTGCAAGGACCTTGATCTTGATCACAAGACCATCGAGCCGGCCATCGTCATTCGTGACCGTGCTGCTCATGTCGAAGATCCAATGCCTGCTGCCAATCCCCCAGAGGGACTTGTTGAACCATTCGAGGATCTCGCTCTCAACCCTATCAACCAGGGTATCCGCAACGAGCGACTTTCTCCTGCTGCTATCATGTCAACTCTGCCCAGTCTTGACAAGATCCTTGTACTACCTTCTTCAGCGAGTAGCATGGTTGACCCAACCATCCTCAAGCAAATCGTTCACACTGCAGTGGAACGGGCTATTGCTGAGATTATCACCCCCGTGGTTGAGCGTTCCGTCACAATTGCCTCAATCTCCACCGTCCAGCTTGTCTCCAAGGACTTTGCCATGGAGCCCGACGAGGAACGTGTGCGCCATGCTGCGGGCATCATGGTCCGCCAGCTCGCCGGTAGCCTGGCACTGGTCACCTGCAAAGAGCCTCTTAAGGTTAGCATGACCAACTACATCAGAATGATCCAGCAAGACTACTCCGAGCAGCCAATGCCCGAAGGTTTGATTCTGATGTGTGTCAACGACAATCTCGATGCCGCCTGTGGTATTGTTGAAAAGGCCGCAGAGGAGAAGTCTCTTCCAGAGATTGAGAAGGTTATTGAGCCCCAGCTGGAGGCTCGTCGCCGTCATCAAGCCAGTCGTTCGACTGACCCCTTCATTGATCCTTCAATGAACCGCTGGGGACTGTTCATTCCAGAGCCATACAGACAAGCGCCTGGTGGTCTCAACAAGGAACAGCTCGCAATCTACGAAGAATTCGCCCGTCAATCGCGTGGCCCGGCGCCCTCTACTGATGCATCTGCCGGCCGTCAACTTCCCGATGTTCTTGGAGAATCATACCCCGCCATCCCCAATCTCTCTACCCCAGCTGAACAACCAGCTGTTCCTCACAGAACGCCGCAGCTGCAACCCGCTGTCTCTCAACTCGCACCCGCGCACACCAATGGCTTCCTTGATGCCCAAAGCCCACGGGAACGAGTGGAAAGCTTCGTCTCCGACATCCAGCAGTCCGCTCGTAACGCTCCTGAAGAGCATGTGAAGGATCTCGGCAGAGACAGCCCGGTCTTGCAAGAATACAACCAGGCATTGCGGGCCATCATTCAGTCCGCAAACCCTGAGGAGCTGGCACGACTGACCTCATTGAAGGTCTGCACCCTTCTTTACTCTCAGTCACATGGATCTCTTGAAATTGAAGTTCTGGTGCACCTTCTCGCCAAATTGTGTGACATGTCGTCACTTATTGCTCGTTACACATGGGCACTTCTCTCAGACGTTGATGATGAACACATGTTTAACGTGCCGGTCACCGTTGCTCTCATTGACGCTGGTCTACTCGACATTCGTCGGGTTGACATGAACATCACTCGCCTGATCATGCAAAGGAACGTGTCCGCCCTCGAGCTGCTCGATAACTTGATGGACCGAGTTCTGTTCAACGAGGAACCTTCTGCTCTTCGGTCTGACTTCTCTGGTAGCTTGGAAGCTATGAGCCAATGGCTGGCAGAAGATGCAACCGTTGTCCCTGGTGTTGACATTGTGCGCAAGCTGCGCGATTCTGGCATCCCAGAGGTCGTCAACTCCCTCCTCGACGACCAAGCCAGATCCAAGCGTGACCAGATGGAGTACATCTTCAGCGAGTGGATTGGTATCTACAAGGCCCCAGGTGCTACTGATCGCACCTTCCACTCTTTCCTACAGGATCTTCATAGCCGCCAGGTTATGAATAGCCAGGAGGACTCTGCGTTGTTCTTCCGTCTCAGCATCGACATCTCAGTTGCCATGTTTGAGCATGAAGCCCAGAACCCCAACGGTCCCAACATCGATGAGGCTTTCCTCTACATTGATGCCCTCGCCAAGCTCGTCATTCTTCTCGTCCGCTTCCAAGGCGAAACCCCTGGCGCTGTCAGAGCCAACAAGGCCACCTACTTTAACTCCATCCTCTCTCTTCTGGTTTTGGTTCTCAACCACCACCAAGTCATGAGAGGAGAAGCGTTCAATCAACGTGTCTTCTTCCGTCTGTTCTCCAGCATCCTCTGCGAGTACTCTATGAACGGATTGCAGCACACTGAGCAGCACCAAGGCATGATCTTTGCCCTTGCCAACAAGTTCCTGTCATTCCAACCCCTTTACGTTCCCGGGTTTGTCTATGGCTGGCTTTGCTTGGTTTCTCACCGGGTATTCATGTCAGACATGTTGAATATGCCTGACCGCGCTGGATGGGCACCTTACTGCGAGATCATGCAGGCACTCCTGTCCTACATGGGCGAGCAGCTCAAGGCTGGCAACATTACATACGTCGCCAAGGACCTTTACAAGGGCGTTCTCCGCATCCTGTTGATTCTGCATCACGACTTCCCCGAGTTCGTTGCCGAGAACCATTTCCAGTTCTGCAATGTCATACCGGCTCATTGCGCTCAGCTCCGCAACCTTGTTCTCAGCGCTTATCCCTCTTCGTTCCAGAAGCTCCCCGACCCCTTCCGCGAGGGATTGAAGGTTGAGCGCATCGAAGAGATGAGGGAAATTCCCAAGATCGCTGGTGATGTCGCCGCACCGCTTCAGGTTGCCAACATCAAGGACGTCGTTGATGATGTGCTTAAGAACGAAAGCATTTCCGAGTCTGCCATTCAGCAGCTTTGTGATGCCATCCTCAACCCTGAGCCCAAGGAGACCGGACTTTTCTTTGCCCCGGTCGAAGTTGATGTTGTGTTGCTTAATGCTCTTGTGCTGTACATTGGACAACAAGCTGCATTGGAGCACGCTTCAAAGAGCAACACCCGCAGCGCCTTTGAGAACTCGACCCACGCTGCGCTCCTGGATAAGCTTGCCCAGGTGCTGCGACCCGAGTCTCGCTACTATCTGCTGAGTGCGATGGCCAACCAGCTCCGCTACCCCAACAGCCATACCTACTTCTTCAGCTTCACTATCCTCCGTTTGTTCGGCGTGGAATACAATGAGTCCGACGACTCTGATGTTCGCCAACAAATCATCCGCGTGCTGTTGGAGCGATTGATTGTTCATCGCCCGCACCCATGGGGTCTTATTATCACCCTGCAAGAACTGCTTCAGAACCAGAGCTATTCTTTCTTCCGCCTTCCCTTCATCCAGGCGGCCCCCGAGGTAAGCATGCCTCTCACCATCTCCCACCTACTTGCGTTAACCCCACTATCAGATCGGTCGTCTCTTTGATGCCCTTCTCCAGCACATCCAACAGCAGAGCCCTCGGCCCATTGCCTAAGCTCTAGCTCCCCTCATCTCTCCTCAAGATTATTCGATTATTCTACGGTAACCCGGGTGGTACAGGAGTCCTTCGCATGTACTTTTCACGGGGTTTTCTGCAAACTTGCTTTTCTTCTTTTATTTTTTATTTCAGTCTCACGTTCCGGCAGGGTGCCGTGGAGATGGCATGCATATTTATTTCTTACGATCTTCGCATGACTTGAGGTTCCATGATATTCTTTTGTTCTTTTCGCGTCTCATGCCCGTGACCTGTAATGATAAGATTGTAAAAGCTGGAGTTGACGGTCTTCTCATTTTGCATGGGGGCAATGCTAATTATTCTTTTCCTTTTACAAGGCAATTCTCTGTAAATACATGTGGCTATCTTAGAGACAGTTGGAATGAATCATGGAAGTATCCCGTTCAAGCTGCCATTCGCAAAACAATCCATGGATGAAGTCATCATGTTGTTCCAATGGACCTAGAAGAAAGAACCAAAGTGCATTTTAACAATTTGACGCAGTTAACAATTACTGTTCTGATCATAATTAAAGACTTGGGTGTTTATACAAAGCCACGACCTTGACAGGCTAAATAGTCTACTCTGCTCAGCCGAGGCAGAGTGATATCAGCGATAAGAGTGCAACACGCAGACCGCACCTCCCTACGGAGTACCACACCTGCAATGGCCGACTCCGATTTCGACGGATCAGAATATGATGGCCCATCATTTCAAAATACCATAAAGGTGTGTTCCTCGCCTGTTGCTAATAGTCACAACTAACAGAAGACAGGACGCGATCCTCGCGCCATTCCGCGCGCTGGTCTCCAAGTCCGCCCTACGGCTCTACCTCAACACCCTGCTATTTATGGGCGCAGCATCTCTCTTAATCGGAATCTCAGCCATTGCCTACGGAATCTTTTATTTCAAATTCATTCCCACGGTTGGGCTTCAGCGAGAGGTCCATCTACAGTTCGGGTAAGGCCGTCATGATTCCACACCCCGCCAAATCACCGAAACTGACGCCATCACCAGCAATGGCCACCCATGGGGTACAGCACATTTCGACTCTGAGTTTGTCTCTAACCAACCGTACGATGTCTCCGTGACGCTCGAGGTCCCGCGCACCCCTTCGAACATCGATACCGGCAACTTCATGCTCGACCTCACCCTGTTCGCCTCGCGTCCTGCGTCCCTCGTCCTTCCTGGCCCTACCAACACGCCGATATCGCAAGCCCGCCGCCCTGCGATCCTGACCTATGCTTCGCCGATGGTGGACATTGCTCGGCGAGCGGCGCGCATGCCGCTTTATGTTGTAGGGTGGCGCCGGGAGTCGGAGAAATTGGAGGTCCCGATGATGGAGGAGCTTGAGTTTGCTAAGGGTGCGCGGAATTTACCGCAGAGTCTGCGACTCGAGATTCAGAGTGAATCCAAGATGCAAATCTACATGGCTCGTGTCGAGTTTCGCGCTAGACTGACGGGGCTTAGGTATGACTTGAGGGGAAGATTGAGGGTGTTGGAAGTGACTAATTTTTTGAATAGGTGGCTTATGTACCGATGGAAGATTACTTCCTTTGTGGTATTCAGTTCGCTCTTTTGGTCTGTTTCTTTGCTTTCTGCTAGCTTGACGTGGTTGGTGTTGACATGGGTTCTTGGGGCTGCGCCCAAGACTGAGGTCAAGGAAGAATCGGACCGTCTTGTTAAGGACGAACCGGTTACTGAGGAGGATAGTGATAGCTCGGACGAGTCTGTTAAGAAGGAGGAGCCCGAGAGTAGACTGCTTCATAGTTTACCAATGGAGGGTGAAACGGTGGGTTCTGGAAGGGAAAGTGCAGAGGCTCGAGGGGTGCAGAGACGGCGGAGTCATGCTAAAATGGAGGTGACAGAGTAGCCAAATATGATATTTCCATAGTGAAGAAGTAAAGATGTCTAATGGAAGATGTGACGATGTGGATCATTTCAGGCTCTGATTGCGACAATCTTGATAAAGCGGGGGGAACTTTCTTCCCCTCCATTCTTCACCACATCAACTTCCAATGCATATCCTAGTCAGTCCCTCGAGAACTATCTTGACTACTCCGCTAATTGCTGCATAGGTCACTAACGACGACGGTCCTCCGTCAAACCAATCGTCACCGTACGTGCATTCGCTCGTCAAATCACTTCAATCTGCCGGTCATACGGTCTCGGTCATTCTCCCGCACCAGCAACGATCATGGATTGGTAAAGCGCACATCGTAGGCGCATCAGTGAAACCAACCTACTTCCGGCCCGGTACACTTCACCAAGAAGACGGCACAACACACCAGCTGCCTCGGGGAAGCAACGGCGACGACAGCGAAGGCGACGAGTGGGTCCTGATCGACTCAACCCCTGCAAGCTGCGTCCAGATCGGCCTATATCATTATTTCCAAGAGCGAGGCCCCATCGATGTCGTGGTCTCCGGCCCGAACTATGGGCGCAACTCAACCGCTTTATTCGCGCTGTCCAGTGGAACCATTGGCGCCGCCATGGAGGGTGCTTGCTGTGGTCAGCGCTCAATTGCACTTTCATACGCTTTCAGCTCGCGCAATCATGACCCCGTCATCATCGCCGAAGCCTCCGGCCACTCGGTCAAGCTGATTGAGTATCTTTGCGCGAACTGGGCGGACGACGTGGATCTCTATAGTGTCAATGTTCCTCTGGAGCCGGGCGTGAGCGAGAATAAGGTTTTATATACCAATATGCTGGAGAACAAATGGACTGGCAGCTGTTTCCAGGCTGTGGAGCCCAGGTCTGCAGATGATCCTGACCTGCAGGAACAACAAGTGCGCGACCAGGGTGAAATCGAGGGCAAGAAACCCGATCCCAGTGTCGGTCTTAGTAGCGCGGGCTCCGCGCGCGGATCTCGTCTTCAACACAAGCATTTCAAGTGGGCGCCAAGCTTCCAGGATGTTTACCGCAGTGTGGAAGAAAGCCAGCCTGGCAATGACGGCTGGACTGTCAAGGAGCAAATGACCAGGTGAGTTCGATGCTGTTTCAAGGGAAGCTCTTACTGACGTCCACAGTGTTACGCCCCTCAAGGCCAACTTTAAGCCTACGCCCGGCATTTCGGGTGAAATCAAGCTGTGAGTGGACATATGCGTTGTGGTGGCATGGGTATGGAGGGTTATACCGATACACATGTTGCATGCACTCTAGATATCTGATTTAGCAGATCGTTATTTGATCCCCCGCCCCTTTTTTGATTTTCGAGTACATGGCACAGTTCTGATAGATGGAGATCCTGTAGATCGGATAATCAACCCTCGCTATACTCCATTGTCGACTGCGATGATACCTACGTTCAGCAGATGGTCCAGCGCGCATTGGACCGTCGCCTGGGAAATGCCTCCACGACAATTTCTTCCGTCTCTGACTTGCCGAACTCCTCTGCGCCCCTCTTCCAATACAGGGAATACGAACGCATCGACTTCGAACACGGCATGTTCGAATCCTCCACCTCACTCTTGAACGCATATGTTATCCGCAAAGCATTGATTCGCAAGCACTATCTCTCAAACACGGTGGCTGGCTGGCTTTCCAAGAACCCGGACAGCGTCCTGCGCCACCATTTCAAACCCGCCTTCGACTTCGAGCTCGACTACGCCGAATTCCTCGACGATGCCCTGTTGGAGGCATACGAACTGAACGACAGCTTAGCCAAGAACGAGGAGCGCCCAGACTCGGAAAAAGAATGGTGGATCCTCAAGCCCGGCATGAGTGATCGAGGCCAAGGAATCCGCATCTTCAACAGCGAAGACCAGCTGCGCGAGATCTTTGAGGAATGGGAAGTCGACTCAGACGAAGAAGAAGCTTCTGACGCAGAAGAGGATGAGAATGCACCACCCAACACTGGAGTTGTCACCTCACAGCTCCGCCATTTCCTCGTCCAGCCTTATATCGATCCTCCTCTGCTCCTCCCATCATCCTCCAACCGCAAGTTCCACATCCGCACCTACGTTCTTGCGTCGGGTTCCCTGCAGGTTTATGTTTTCAAGGAGATGCTTGCTCTCTTCGCCGCGAAGGCATACTGCGCTCCACATGAAGAAGAAGATGACGTCGCTGATCTTGCTCGTCATCTCACCAACACTTGCTTCCAAGAGGGCGGCAGCTCAAATGAAGGCAGTGTGCGTCGTTTCTGGGATCTGGACGAACATGTCCCCGGCCTCTCCGACGATTGGAAGGAGAAGATCTTTGAGCAGATCTGCTCTGTAACGGGTGAAGTGTTTGAGGCAGCGGCGCGTGGCATGATGGTTCACTTCCAAACTCTGCCGAACGCCTTTGAGCTGTTTGGTGTTGATTTCCTCGTCGATAGCAATGGGTCTGCTTGGCTTCTGGAGCTGAATGCATTCCCTGATTTCGCGCAGACCGGTGAGGACCTGAAAGAGGTCGTGGTTGGAAGGTTGTTCGAGGAGATGGTAGATGTTGCCGTGAAGCCCTTCTTTGGGCTTGGTGAGGGATCTGGCAAAGGTGATCTGAAGTTGGTGGCTGATATTGACTTGGGAAGAAAGGCTTAGACAAAAACTTGACTCAACCACCACTTGATGATGTACCAAAAAAACACAAATAAAAGTTCTGAAGATTACATTTTACATGCGCTTTGTTCTTTATATACAAGGAGCAGACATCCTGCTCATTCATCGTTCTTCCAGAAAATGCGCCCCTCAAACAGACGACGCGCAGTCCGGAAGACAGTAGCAGAAGCCAAAGCCCCATCAGCTTCGAAATTAGCGCCGACCATGAGATTCCCACTAGCATGCCCAATTGTAATTCCAGCACTATCAACTTGATCCTTGCTCACAACGCCCGAAACTATACTACCGGACACACGAGCAGCAGCAGCAAGTGCCAAAGCAACAGTAATGGGAACAGCCTTATGCGGCTGTCCCACAGAAAGCGCACGAGCAAGAAGATCAACATTATCAGGCGTCTGCTTCTGCTCAACATTTCGCGCATCACTCGAAGGCGCAGCCACCACACAGATCTTAGGCACACTCCCGGGCACCTTCTCCAGCTCATCCGCAATACCCATCTTAACACCGGCCTGACGACGAATAGAATTCAGCCGAGACAGCAGATCAGGATGAGCGGTGATTTCATCAGGTGTCAAGTTTCCTTCGATGCCAAGATCAGAAGCCCGAACAAAGACGCACGGATTCCCGACATCGATACAAGTGGCTTTGACTCCATCGAAGGTATCCGTCACTTCACCAGTAGGCAATAGTTTCCCGGTAACCGAGCCGGCAGGGTTGATAAAGTCCAATTGAACGCGGGCGGCAGTGCCAGCAACACCATCGATAGCGAAGTCACCACTAGAAGCAGCTTCGCCATCAATAACAGGGAAAGAGGCATGAATGATTTTGCCAGTGTTGGTATTGTGAATGCGAACAGATGCGGAGTCAGTTCCGTCTGCTGAGAATAGCTTTGTATCGAAGGCGAAGGGGCCCACGGCAGAACTCATGTTCCCACAGTTGCTGGAGTAGTCGACATCTGTGTTCTTGATTCCGAGTGAGACAAAGGTGTAGTCGACATCGGCATCCTTGTGTGTTGATGGGCCTACTATGCAGACCTTGGATAGGCTGGATAGCCCGCCTCCCATACCGTCGAGTTGTCGGCCATAAGGGTCTGGACTGCCAATAACATTGCGGAAAATGGATGCCCAGTCTTTTCTGTCTTTGGGTAGGTCGTTTTCATTGAAGAAGACGGCTCGAGAGGTGCCGCCGCGGTAGTATGCTGCTGGTAGGGAGTTCTGTTTGGTTTGGAGAGATCGTCGGCTACATAAGTTGGTCTGGCTCAGTGTGGACCTGGGTAGACGCGACAGCGATTGTTTGAACATGGCGAGTTTATGTTTGGGGAATGTTTGAAGTCCAGGTAACTGACTATGATCTAAATAAATGGCTTCAGTCCGATGCGCGGCGGTATCGGACCGTTCCGTTAAGCGGCCATCGGATGTGCCGACAGCAGTCCTGGTGGTGGTTTAGAAGGGACTCCAACATGTTCCAAGGTTCGTACATTTCAAAGATTATTCATGAGCTTATAGAAAATAAGTGTATACAAGCAAATACATAGTCTAGAAGAAATATACTACATGTCAAGTCCCAAGATGAGCTCAGCCAAAGCGCTGCTTGGCTAGGGCTTGCAAGAACCCCATAGTCTCTTCTTCCTTCTGGCGATATTGCTGCACCCGTTCCTCTCGCTCTGCCGTACGCGCGCGTAAAATCTCTTCTCTCCGAATCTCGCGCTCGTTCTTCTTGCGCTGGTCCTTCTCCTTCTCCTTTTTCAGTGCAGAAAACTCATTGTCTCCACCCATTAGATCTTCATCACGAGCGCCGTCAGGTGAGTCACCGCGACGAGAATCGGCAAATGCACGATTACTCGAAGCGACCTCTCGGCGCTTTTCGAGCTGTCTTTCTCGCGTACCCGCCTCAGCCCGCGGTGCGATTTCGTCTTCCAGATGGCGCGTTGCAGCTTTATGGGAACGTAACTCGGCGCGATATTGGTCTCGCGATTCACCGCGAGACGCAATGGCGTCTTCAATGGCGGTTTCTAGTGGACTGTTAACGCCGTGATATGATAAACAGCGTGGGTCAAAAAATTACCTCTTTTAAGCTCGAGATCTTGCATCCTTGGGATGGTAGGCCCCATGAACCCGACTCTCGCAGAGCCAGGCTGAGGAAGAGTTGGCCCATACTCGTCATCCTCGTCGTCATCGTCGTCATCCGCGCCTCCTGGTTGTGACTCCTGGGCTGCTCCAGACGCTCGCTCGCCTTGTGTGTAATCAGGGGACTCACGCCCGCCTTTCGATTCAGCCGGCTGAGGCTCGAAATTCGCACGCGCCCGCTCTAGCGTAGCTGGGTCATACCATCCCTCTGCGAGTTCACCTTTGTTCCTGGAACGAATGTCAGTATAATCGAACCGGTCAAATGACGGTCTGCAATTTACCATTTTTGTGTAAAACTTTTCCACCGCCCTTTAACTTCATCCTCGCTTAGATCCTCGATAAATTTCCCTTTCTGGATATCCAAGTACATGGCGAACATTGGCTCGTACGCTTCGAGGTGGCGGCGGGAGAGCTCACGCGCTTGATAAGGGAGAACCACTGGCTGTTTTGGGACATCTCTGTGTCGACGCTCGGAGCGCTCGGAACGCTCGTGATCTTTGTCTCCGCTATGCTGGTGGTGGCGGTCTGATTTGTGTCTGTCTGATCGGTGCGGAGAGCGCGAGCGCGAGCTGTTGCGGGGCCGGTGGCGGTGGGAATGGCCGGTACGACTGCGGTGATGGCGATGGTTTGAACTCGGCGCCGAAGGGGACGCAGGCCGATGGGAGGAGCGAGTTGGTGAGGGCATTTCCGCTACGGTTGAAGTGGTTTGTAGTCGGTTGTTGGAGGAATTTATTTTAGGTTGATAAGACGTCCTTATCTGCCGCTATGATTGTCCCCGACTTTTAAGGCCTCGGGGAGTTCTCCGCATCCTTGAACTGGGGAAAGCATTGCATTAGGAGACATTTTATTGAATAATGTGCAAATCATACTGAAAGCTACTTCTAAGACTCAATATAAAGAGAGCAAAGATTTTGTGTACAATCACTAGGGACAGGCTTTCATTGGAAGAAGTAGGTACATCTAAGCGAAGAGGTATACAATGTTCAATAAACCAGCCTATTCTGAATAAGCCTAGCTGGGGGGCGCAGTTTGCTCCTGGACAGGGCTGGCTGTGGCATCAGCTGTAGGGGTTGCGGGCGCACTTGACTGGGAGTTAGCCTTGGACCGGTTGGCCGCGGCCATCTGCCAGGCGGGGATGGAGGCTGAACGACCAAGCTGCGACAGAGGGTTGGTGGAGTTTTGGCTTGTGCTCGCAGGAGAAGCCGACTGAGTTGGCTCCTGCTCGGCTGGTGTCACCGTAGGAGACAGGCCGTTGGTAGCAGCGGGGGCGGGTGTTGGGACAGAGGGAACAGGGGTGGCGGTCTCTTCGGGCGCCGGGCGAGGCACACTAGGGATGGCAGTGGGTCCAACAGTTCGGCCAGCCGCAGGGCTGGCCCCGCTGCCACCAAGACGGTTACCGAGCAAGGTCTTCAAGCTCTTGAGCTCAGTGCCGAGCTCCTTCAGTCGGTTCTCGTTGCCTTCCCGTGCTCCTTCCAGGGCCTTGGGAATGGCATCTTTCAATGACTTAACCTCGTCACTGATACGACGAGTCTCATCATCTCTTCGACGAGATGAGTTCTTGAGATCAGCGACAAGGCTCTCCACGTCCTTGAGAGCTCCATCAAGGCGCTCGGTGCGGGCTTCTTCAGCAGCCTTCAGAGCAGCGGTGTCAGTTGACAACTGCTCGATAAGCGTGAAAGCCCGCGAGAACTGCTCATCAATATTTTCCTTATCTTGCTCCAGTTGAGGAGGAGTTGGAGGTGCAATTAAAGGTGAGATATAACGCTGTGGCGATTGGTTAGCGTCGGGGTATTTACGGGAGCGAGAATACATACCTTTGTAACGAACCACAATCCATAGCCAACTCCACCCATCACTGTCGCCATAATGAACAGATCGCGCCAGTCTCTTTTGGGTGGCCTGTCAATGCTATTAGCGACGAACATCATGCGGTTGTGGTGAGATTGACATACTCGGGAGGTGGCTGCCATTGATTATAAGGGGGGTATCCATATCCTTGGGGCGGTTGAGGTGGAGGTTGACGATATGGAACTGGCTGTGAGGAGTAGGCGGGCGCAGAGGAGGAAGCGGCTGTAGCTGCAGCCGCGGCGGATGGGTCCTCGCCCACTCGCGATAAGGCGAGATCAACCTCTTCTTGGGTCAAATTCTTAGATTGAAGGAATGCGACTCTTTTCTCAATTGGCGACGAGGCAACCGAAGGGTCTTGGAGGACTATGATGGGTCAGCGATAGCCATGAGGCCGCAGTATTCGAAGTCCGTACAGGTGATCTGGCGAAAGGTAAGTCAGTGGATGCTCCGAAAGCGGAAGACGTGATATCAGACGCCAGTAGATAGCTTACAGCTGAAGATATCAGCTCCTCGCGAGGAGCCATGATGATAGATATCGACTACCAATAAAGGTGAAGGTGGGAAAGATGGAGTAGGGGGAGATGCGCTCACATCGGCAATCACCGTCTGGACCTCGGAACTTGCGCCACGCCAAGCTTCCCCAGACGGGAGTCTCGTGATTTTCGGTTCAACGTTATTCCGTGCCTTCTCACTCCACTTTCACCGCCTTCCGGATCCGAAAGTGGCACGCATAAGCGTTGTTTACATCTCCAAATCTCTCGTGCCTGCCAAACAACATCTCAAACCCCTCCAAATTTTCTATCGCGTGACATTTTTAAGCTATTGGCAACTGCCGGCTCTTGATCTTGTAATTTAGGTCTATTTTGAACGCAGTCCTTTTGCACATTGCCGCATTTGCGGCCTCTTCATCATGTCGCAAGATACTGGTCTTTTCAGTATCAAGCGCCCCCGAGAAGTATTGATCCTTTGTCTCTCCGGCGCATATTTTCACGGGCTGACATTCCAATGAAGACTCTTGGGAGTGTGCAGAACTTCTCCGCTATTCCACAGCCCGCGTCGGCGATGAAGCGCACCAGCTCTATCGGATTCAACAACCCCCCGTTCTCCTCTCAGCACCACCGAGCCTCATTAATGGGGCCGACAGGGCGTCCTCAGCAACCCAACTTTACGCGAATGTCAATTGGGGGTCCACTCGGCGCAGATGCTGGACTATCGTCTGTTCGACGATCTGTGTCGAGTAACATGTTCAATGGAGCCAGCACGGGTCGGCAGAGCTATGCACCGGGCTCTATGTCGTCCAACCCAGCGCCGGTGAACGTACAGCGCAGAAGTAGCGTGTTTTCTCGGCCATCCTCTGGAGGAGGTCCCATGGGACATCAATCCTTCTTCACCCAAGTTCCCACTGTTGCGGGTGTCCCCAGAGATCCACGTCCGCTCAGAGACCGATCATTCCAAGCTAGGATTGGGCAGGAACTTCTGGAATATTTGACTGTGAATGGATTCGAGTTGGAGATGAAGCATACTTTGGGACAGAACACATTGCGCTCACCCACCCAAAAGGATTTCAACTACATCTTCCAGTGGTTGTACCACCGAATCGATCCAGGTCACAAGTTCCAAAAGGCAATGGACGCGGAAGTGCCTCCAATTTTGAAACAGCTACGATACCCCTATGAGAAAGGCATTACGAAGTCACAAATCGCGGCCGTCGGCGGCCAAAACTGGTCCACGTTCCTCGGTATGCTACATTGGTTGATGCAATTGGCGCAAATGATGGATCGTTACCAAAGTGGCGACTTTGACGACGCCTGCGCTGAGGTGGGTGTGGATGTTACAGGTGATCGCATCATCTTCCGCTTCCTGACTCAAGCCTATCACGACTGGCTTCAAGGTGGTGAAGATGAGGACGACGATACTGCCGAGAAACGATTGGTTCCACACGTCGAAAACATGTCTCGAGAGTTCGCATACGGCAATGAGCGTTATGTGCAGGAGATGGAGGCACTAGAAGCAGAAAATCGGGCCCTTCGAGAGCAGATGGAAGAAGTGGAAAAGAGCGCCCCTGATATCGCTAAATTGGATAAGCACTTCCGTATCCTCGAAGACGACAAGCGGAAGTTCGAGGACTACAACCAGAACGTCAAAGGAAAGATCGAGAAGTATGAGACTCGCATCAAGTTCCTAGACGCCGAGATTCAAAAAACCGACACCGACCTTAATGCGACTGAGTCTGAGCGCTCCGAGCTTCAAGCAAGTGTTGACCGCCAGGGTATCACTATTCAAGACATCGATCGCATGAACTCAGAACGAGAGCGTCTGCAGAAGAACCTGGAAGACACCGTGGCTCGTCTAGAGGAGACCCATGCTCGTGTCATGGAAAAAGAAGCGGAGGCCAGTCAGAAGCTGGAAGACTTGGAACAAATCGTGAAAGCCTATAATACTCTCGGTTACCAAACTAGCTTGATTCCTGCGGCGGCCGAGAATGCCAGGGGCCAGGACTTTGAACTTGGTCTGAACATTAACGAGAACAACTTCTCCGCTAGCCAAGTTGGAGGTCCCCCAAGTCGCATTTCTCCCGAAGGAGATCGCCTATTGGCGGAACCTTTCACTGGGTACCACCCAGCGCACTTGCTCAGCCTGGACCTTCGGGGATCCGTCCGAAATAGCTTACAGTCTCTCCGAAAAGAGATTAATGAGAGGCGCAAGCAGGGGATTGATGATGATCTTGACCGGCGCAATCTACTTGACAATATCAAGGAGGCAATGGACGAGAAGCGAAGTGAGGTCGAGGCCCTGGAGCATCGGCGCCGAGCCGCGGAGGAAGAATTTGAACGCACGAAAGAAATCACCACTACTCAGAAAACAGCTTCTGATGCACAAATTGAGAAGATGGAGAAAGAGCTAGCCAAGATGCGTGCGACACTCAGTGACAGTGTACAATTGATGGAGCAGCGTGAGATGAACACAAACATCGAATGGGAGCAGCTGACTCTCCGGGCCAATGCTCTCCGGGAAGAATTGCACACTAATGTCGAGACCATGTTGAATGATGTGATCCGCTTCAAAGTACATGTGCAGAAGGGGCTCGAAGACTACGAAAGCTTTGTTGTTGACGAAGTGGAACAGGAGCTTGGTGGCGAAGAGATGGAAGAGGAGCTATGAGGGATTGCTCTCACGAATGACGATTATTTTCTTTGGTGTTCAAATTAATTGAGTCTCGATTTCATGTACAATACCCGGATCAATTCAGGAATCTTCTGGCGAGGACGCGCAATGCATATATTATTTCAGCGATTTCCCCTGGAATTAGGCTTTAAAGGATAGACGGCGGCCCTAGCGTGTTTCTTATTGCGCCAACCTCGCCCGTCACGCTTTGTTCAACTTGACACAGTGGATCGATCGGCAGGAGACCACCCTGGTGGAGAACTGTCATTCGTGCGTTTCGTCTGACTATTCCATCTGAAACTCTACGGCGCTTTCGTCTACCATGGACTAACCGTCTATACTTGCTGGTAGGTCGCCCATCTCGGGAATTCCAGACCATCTGCCGTGGCCCCTAGCTCCACTTCAATATACCCTGGGGTGATAGGGCTATTTCCTACTATGTCCATACACACGGGGATCGGCCCTGGCCTGACTTTTTCTACCACGGGGCGAAACTTTCCCGCAGATCTAGCTCCGCTCGTTATCCAGCACGGAACACACGCTGTTTCAGCCGTTGTGATCGGCTGGGTCCATCATTCTGCCTCTCGATGATGAGAGCAAAGGATTGGTATATAACAGGCTCAGCTGCCCCTTCTCCTATGGTTTTTTTTTTCAGCAGTGCTGTGCACCTCCATTCTTTTTTCTATACCTCCAGATCTTTCTTAACATTACTATCTCACTTCCATTCATTTTTCCAATTCTTCGACAGTCCGACATCGACCATTCATTATGAAGTTCACTACCGTTTTCGGCACTGCCGCCCTCTTCATGGCTCCCTCTGCTGTGGCCTGGAAGCTTCCTGTAAGTCTATATCTGCTCTGCCTGAACAGACGCATGAACTTCATTGCTGACAATATTCCAGCTCGTCGACCGAGCTGATGGCGCTACTCCTACCGAGCAGCCAGCTCCCTCTGGCGCTGCTCCCAGCGGATTCCCCTCTGGTGGATTTGGTGGATTCCCCGGTGGAGGTTATCCCTCTGGATTCCCCTCCGGTACCGGTTTCCCATCTGGGTTCCCTTCTGGATCTCCTGAGCACCACCACGGCCACCACGGCCATGGTGGCCAGGGAGGACCCCGACCTACTGGCATCCCCAGCGGCGTGCCTTCTGGCTTCCCCGAGGGTCCTTTCCCAACCGGTGGTTTCCCAGGCGGTGGTTTCCCAGGCGGTGGTTTCCCAGGCGGTGGTTTCCCGGGTGGTGAGGGCTCCTTCACCGGTGCTCCTTCCGCAGTGCCCACTCCTACTGGTGGTGCTGGTGAGGGTAGCGGATTCCGTCGACTCCACGCTCGTCAGGTTCGCCCTGTGGTCTAGATGCTGCTTTGCAGTTTCTCTCGCTGTCGATCGTGAGATAGATCAGACTTGTGTTTTCTTATAGCTGCTGGTTCAGACATATAGAAATGATTTTTCTGGAGGAAAGCAATCCCCGTATGGAGTAGAAGTCTGAGCACTTGTAATCTGCGATATGCATCCAGTCAGAGAACATCTTGTAGTCGATTAGGGGCTGAATGAAATGTGTAGTTGGTAACTCCGCATTCTGGAGCTTCCGATTGGCCCTCTGTTCGGCGATGACTAAGTGGCCTCGGAAATTCTCCAGGCGCGACAACAGTCTCAATATTTTTTTCCCTGAACATTAGCAACTTGTGCTGTTTTTACGATTATATTGACACTCATTATCCCGCGTCAAGCTCGTGGGTACAACGAAATGTACGGCCTGTGATCGACTCGACATGTATCACGCTCCCATACCCATCGAGATCGTGAAGTCCATACAGCCGCCTTCGAGGCTAGCGGTACCATGAGCAGGTGCTTGCGCCCCGGCCGTATCCTGCCATTCGGTCGCATATCAACTGCCGCGCGCCTTCCTTTTATCCCATATCGAACAGTCCTGCCCTTCTCCCGGCTGACATGGAATCGACATACCCGCCATTCCCGCCACGCAGAGAGGGACTTGAACTACCCGGACGAGGTTCATTTCCTTCGTAAATATAACGGCGTCGCACACCCTCCCTTAAACCACAATCAGAAGAAGGATATCAATGAGTGGATTCGATTGCTGAGAAAATGCACACCGTCAAAGTCACAGAAGTCTTCCAGGCCTGCAGGCCAGCCTGGGTCGCTTCAGCCACTCCGCGCATCCAAAAACATCCTTGATCGGACCCATGCGTTGATGGGGTGCTGTTGGGATGCGCGAGTTCATTATCAATTTGAGCTTATCGCCCATCTTGGTTTCGAGTTGAAGGACTGGTCAACTGTGCACTCACTTTTGAGCAGCATGATTGATACCTATGAATTAATAACTCCTCACATGCCACCTAAGCAGGCATTGTCTGGACTTGATTGGAAACGGCCTTATCGCGTTCGTCATAAAAATGAGCCCCTCCCTTCTCCAAACTCTCTTGACGCCAAAGAGCCTCCCTTGACCGAAAGAGTCACGCTCAGCAAACTGACAGGAGGAATAAAAGGAGGCTCACCTTGGAAGTTTGCTCGTCTGGAGCATATTCCATCGCCAAATAATCTCTCTCTCGACAGTCTGACTGTGGAACCTGCAGCGAGGTACTTCGGAGATAGGATCTTGGCCGAGATATTGGCAAATCTTGGCTCTTTGGTTTTGCATTCTGCAGAAAGCAGCTCGGAGCAGTCTCAGCAGGCAATGTCCTGTGTGTTTCGAATCCTTGCACGTCTGCACCATACAGGCATGATCTCTGACAAAGTCTATCAATATCCAACTCCAAATCCTAACCACCTCGTGTTCCGCCCTCCTGGACTCCAGCTCCTTTCGCGTCCTATTATGGACGTTCTGTCAGATGCAGCGTGGCACGAACATGAAGCGAATGTGGCCGCTGCCGCTGCCGATGCAGGAGAGTTGTCGCCTTTCATTCCATACAAGATGGGCATTCAAGAACTAGGTCCAGAAATTTGGCTGGAGTTTATCATGTGGTGCTGTGTCGAGCATGGGTTCTGCAAGACGGGCACATTGCTTGCCCATCAGATGACTCGGATGGTCACTGAACAGCCATGGAAGGCCGAGAGCTGGGTGCCCCTCATTCAAGACATGGACGCAGTACAGCAAACCAATATCAGTGTCGAACAATCTTGGCGCCGCCCAGGTCAGGACCCGAAACCGCAAACGTCGACACGTCGCAAAACGCCCTTGCTGCCGTTTAACGGACTCGGAAAGAAGACCATCAGTACCGAGGTGGTGTCTTCATTACGGAGTGGCTTGACAAACAAAGCTTACGTCGGTGTGGGTGACCATGGATACCTTCTTGACGATCTCTTCAAACTATCGGCCCCATTGGCCAAATTGATAGATCCACCTACGTCCACAACAGGGCTGCGGCCTACCAACATGCATACTAACTGGCACACCTTACGCATTCTTAACTCGGGCTGTCTACAGCCTTGGACTGATCCAGTTGCCTTTGAATCGCTTCTGAGATCTCATAGCAATGTCGTTCCTCTGTGGGATGGAAATGGAGCCGAGACCCCTGACGAATTGGAGGAGCGCTCACAGGAGCATTTTTACAACGAGACTGCAGCATTCAGCGGTCTGATTGAATACAATCTCACCTATTATGCACGAGACAAACAAAGCGGCCGCCTCTTCGCTGAATTTGCCTGGCTTCAGAATATTTCCGACGCAAGTAAAGCACGGCACATGCAGACATTTTTCGATCGTTTGAGCGAAGCTCGCACCGAAGAAGACCTCTCGTTCTTCGACTCCGGACACGTTACCCCTTATCCACGTGGAATCATTCATCAAAGCTCTATCCCACAGGTGTCCAACGTCACATTTGCTAACCTTCTCGATGTGGCTACCTTGACCCATGCATTTGACTTTGGCCGTCAGCTACTGCTACAAGATGAGATGGATGGCCCCGCTATTCCGCCCGGTGCATATGGCTCTCAAGCCCTGGCACCGGCCCTTCTTAGATTTGCAGTGGCAACGAAGGATGCCAGCCTTGGCCAAAAGGTCATCTCGTCTCTTCAAGTTCCTCTTTCCGTCAACACCATCAAGTGTTTGATCAACTACCATATCTCGCAGCAGGGCTGGGATCGTGTGGAAATGATGCTTAAGTTCTTGGTTGACCACCGAGCCAAGTCCTGGGGCTATAGCAATCTTGCTACACTCGCCAGCTCAGTCATTCGACTTGAACACATTCTCCGACAGAAGACAGCAGCCGGCACAGCAACCCAGGTTGATGTAGACCATGTGACTTGTGCCACCGACATCATGCTCCGTCTATATCGTGGCGAGTGGCCTGCTAGCCCCGATCGTCCCAAAGTTCGCTTCTTCCAACTGCGGGCTCTATCCCGCATGCACCGCCTGCTGTCAACTATTCCGGGACCCATGCCGGAAATTTTCAAGCGTCTGGAAACCCCTGAGGAGATAACAGGTCACCACAAGCTCCCACTCGTGCCCCCACAATCCTTCCACGAGATCTTCTCCGCCATCGTTGAAACGCAAGGTGCCATTGTCGGCAAGCGAGTCTGGGATCAGCACGTCATCGACTGGCTCTCACCAAAGCGATCTCGCCAGGCCCCAGGCGGTGTTTCACGCCTCCTCTTCAGCGACGAGCGAAACCAAGACTCCGGCAAACCAGACTGGTCTCCCCAATGGGTGAACGAGATCCAAAAGAAGTCCACATTAGCCGATCTGAACACCGTCCGTATCCTCGCGCGAGCCGCTTTCCGGGAACACGCCGCCATGGTGAAGACTCAGCAAGACAGAAAACACGCCGCCAGCAACTCCGGCATCTTAGATATCGACGATTGGTCCTCTCCTTCCTTCTCCTACGACCCTACAGAACCCTACGTCCCCTCCATCTCCCGAGATCAATACCCCTACCAACGCACCGGTGGCCGACCACCCAAAACAGAACTGGAAGCGATTCTCGACTTCTGTCTTGAAACTTTCCTGCGCTTCGGTCTCCCTGAAGATCAAATCGATGCCGAAATTCCGGGCCACATGCGTCGCATGCAGAACAGAGGTGTCTTCACGTACCCGTTGCGGAAGCCTGTCAGGCAGCGAATCGCGTCTAACCAGAATGATCCCTGGATCGAATCCTCCTGGGAACAACCCTTGGACATAACCGAAGATCCCAGTCATTAAAACCACAGGCCAATTTTCCTGGTGGTAACATGTATTCTATATCTAGTTAAAACTTCCAAATGTACATAATTTTTATTGAGTCATTCAGGGTAAACTTTTGAATCAGAGACGACGCTCTCTATTGTGTCTATTCATTCGGTGCCAGCTTTATCGCAAAGTTGTACAGACATACTTCGTACCAACGGCCATAACAAATTAGTTATGGACTTCAATACTGCTGACTCAGTTGTTAGGTATACCGCCCGAATTGTCCCAAGAGCTCCCTTGTCGGCATTCCGTCTATCATCTCTTTCTTTAGCGTGTGTGAATACTTGCTCGCGCCTGGGCAAAATGCTAAGGGCATTTAGGAACTTTGATACACATCGATATAGCAGACCTAGCTCATCTTTATCGATAACATGTCGACGTGAGATTGGAAAGGGGTTTAGTATGAAGACAGCTCCTTTTAATTCTGATTATCCAAATCGTAGGGATGGCCTAAACTTGAATCTGACATTGGGCTCTGTAGTGAATGTATCCTTGCATCAGATAGTCACTTGCGATCACAAAGTGCCGCCTCTCTGCCTTGACAACCGTGGGAACAGCTTCATCGCATTCCCAAAGTTGATCATATCTCTCAACTCTGAACTCATCTCATACGACTCCAACGCCTCCAAAAATGCCGGGTAGGCAGTTATCGGGGCATACGGGAAATCGCTCCCATACAAGATATGACCATGCGGAACCATTTTCAATAGCATATCCAGAACCTGCGGGGACGAGCTCAACGCCAAATCAAAGTGGAAGCTACAGAAAGACTCCATTGCCTTATCATGCGTCATTCCAGTACGATGCGAGACTGCAAAGTCTGGTGCTTTTTTCATGGGGGTCGTGACGCGCGAAATGATGTAAGGTAGGGCGCCGCCGGCGTGGGATAGGATGACTTTGCAGGCGGGATACTTCAGTCGGGTTCCGTTGGTGATCATGTCCATTGCCGTACGAGTTGTTTCGTGAGGGTAGTCAATCGCTGGCTGCGGTAGCTTTGAGTTCACGGGGTTGGTATCGACTGGATGGGTGGGATGGATAAACACCACGCAGCGTCGCCTGTTTAACTCTGACCAAATGGGTTCAATATCTGGATGACCAAGGTAGGTGTTGGAGGAGCCGTAGCGAGTAAAAAGAGTGACCCCATCGGCATGAAGAGTATCCAATCCATATGCAATCTCCGCAAGAGCATCCGCCGTGTCAAGAATGTTGGGCAATGAAACAAAGAAGGCGAACTTCTCTGGCTCCTTGTCCCTGAGATCTGCAGAGTATTGGTTCAACTTTCTGGCGAGTTGAGCGCGTGCCTGACGATCTGGAAGAATGCAAGCTCCAGGAGCTGTGATAGAAAGCACAGCTGTTTAAACTCCCACGTGCTTCATCAGCAGCTTCGAAGCCAGCGGGCTCCAGTGGGGAGTTGGCCAGCCACTTGGGTCGCCACCTTGCTCCTCGATCGCTGTGGTAATGTCAGTTGTGGTGGACCAAGAGCTTGGCACTCATCGTATCTTACCCTTGGCATAGAAAGACGGCACACAATGATGATGGGTGTCAATCTTGTCAACTGGAGGTCTGTGGCTCCAGCCTATTGCCTTGTCTTGGAGCCAATCAAGGCCGTGTTCGCCCATTCTGGAAAAAATAGCAAGCTTGTAAGAATAGACAAAGATGATCAATGCAACTGGGATCGATATCAATATCAGCATATTTCAGAAAAAGGAAGATTGTTCAGGCATTTGGCGCATGCCCCGTCTAATTATGTTCATGGTATAAGGACGCTTTCCAAGCGGGGGCCCCGGAACCATCCCGATGACGAGTCCGGGTCAATCCGCACCCATGGTGCCGTATTATCCGCTGCATAATTTATTATCGATGTGCAAATTCTGCTGTCCGTTGCATCGCACTCGGTGAGCGATTAGTCAGGACAGGAAGGGAGTTGGATGATTTGCACGATGTTGTCACTCTTTTTATTGGAAGCATTGGAACTAGTTTGGTGGACTGGTTCCCCGAACTAGATCAACTACCCCTCGTATTTACAGCCATGGCGAAAGCACTGGGAGAAGATTGGAGCCTGGAGCGAAGAGGTCTACAAGTCATGGTGGATTCTGGCACGCGAGAAGGTAGAGAATGGGACAGCACCCCCTTCATGAATTCGGGACGTTCTTTGGCATCCAGACACCAAGTTCACGGGAAACGATCAGGAGGCCATGTACGTTGCTATGCAGTTTCTAGAGACACGATCAGATACTACCAGAGAAGTCCTGAACATCTTCGCCATGGCTGCGTTCTGTTAGGCGACCCTTCATTGACGAGAAACAAGCGGCTTATCATTCATTTTCTGAAACAAGATATCACAAATTCTGTAATGGTTTTGGTAGTTTGACTAGGAAGCTTGCCTGCTGAGAAGTCCATCAACGGCCCATCATGGGCTTCATTGCCCATATACAGCGTCACGTTGCCAATGCTTTTTCTTTTCAGCATCTGGGCTAGTCGCTGTATGTGATCGCTAAAGACCTCTTCAGATCCACCGGTCACCAGAACACGATCGACGGCATCGAAACTATTCCACCAGCTTTCTGGCACATCAAGTGCTATCCCCCAGCCTTTTCCTGCGGAAACCTCCTCTTTCCAGGGAGAGTTCTCCACAAGGTATAAGCCCCATTCATGCACAACCCTTTTACTCAAAACATCGGCACTAAGCCATCTGTTATAAGAGGGGGTATTGAATTTAAAAGATGCAAGAGGAGATACAAGGAAACACCCTCTTACCGCACCACTCTGGCTCAAGAGATTCCGTGTTGGGCAATCCTCGAAGCGGGGATGCTGAAGATGTGCTATAAGACTTAGAGACAAATGGCCTCCTGCAGAATCCCCTCCAACCACAATCTAGAACTCAATCACGTTAGAACCGCACGTGGTAAGTTTTATATAGACCATTGTTACCTGCGAAGGCTCATATCCTGAATTTAGAAGATGCTCAAGTGCGAGAATGCCCTGTGACATCTGTCTGGGGTATCTGTTTTCGGGAATCAAATCTCCATTGTGAGTCAGTAACTGTTCTTCGCTATTTCAATGAATGTTATTGAACGGACCATATGCGAGGATACACACGCTGAGTTCCACCCCAGCATTGATGGCCTCATTCCTCACATGTGCCATCCAGTCCAAATGCCCTTTGGAAAGAGGCATTACATAGCCGCCACCTGGTGGGTCAGCAAAATTCGAGAGTGATTATTGCGTTTCATACCGTGAAAAAATAGGACCACATTCTTTGCCTTTCTTGGTCCAATCCACAGTAGACGAGTTGAGTTGTCAGCCTCCAGGAAATCTACAGTATGAGCGATATTGTGCGACGACACCCATGCATTATATGTCTCGATGGTGGATGGTAGAATGCTCTGCAGGTCTCGAGGATGGGTGTTGACCATCACGGCGCCAGCAAAACCATTCCATATGGATGACCCGAGGGGCAAGCCTTTTAGCCATGCTCGAACAACGGCTCCAGAAACTCTGAATGCTGCGTTTGGCAAAGTCCGGAATAAGAAGGTCAGAAATATGCGTAGTTTTGTTGGAGCCGATATATTGCGCGTCATTCTTCAAATGCTTCACAAAATGAGATCGGGTGAGGTGAGCGAGGCTGATGAGGCACCAACTCCCTCAGGTATTCTGAGAGACAAATATAAGTCAACAAGTTGGCCATAGCCTCGGTTCTGTGGACACGTGAGGTAATTTTGCCTCGGACTGTGAAGAGAAGGTAGGAAATTCCCAGATTCAAGAACGAGAAGGCCGGGAATGATCCGAGAGATGGGGTAAACTTAAGCCCCACAAAGAAATTATAACGTGAAGATCCCGGAACCATCCCGGACTTAAAGACCCCCTGTGCCGGAAAGTGCCTGTCACCTACTCACTGTTGCTTGCAAGTCCACTCAATACAGAGGGTCTCGCGGGCTGAGAAGCATCCGCTATCTTCATCGAGTCATCAAGCTGGTGGATCTAGATCTTACAGAATGTCACCAAAAGCTTCTGCAAACCTCAAAAGACGAGCCAGAACTCGCCCTAAGATTGCCTTGGCCTGCGACTCGTGCAGAGAGAGAAAGATTCGCTGTGATGGAACAAAGCCCATCTGCGGGCCATGCGTGAGACGATCACATCGGAATGATCAGTGTGTTTATAACACGGAGAACTCCCGGTCAACTAGCAGGGACGAGTAAGCCTCCCCCGCATGCACACCTTTTTGTATTTCACCTCTAATTCTAGATAGATATGTCCATACTCTCCACCAGCGAATCAAAGAACTGGAAGAAACCTGCTTGAAGGCTGGAGCCCGTGTCTCAAGCCCCTCAACTCCACAAGCTCGGCTACCTGGTAACTCCACGAGGCAAGAAGAAATGACACCAAATAGGACCAGCGTCTCGCCTGTTTCTCGCCGTTTACGTCTGGAAACTACGGAACAGACCCCGGTCCTTCCAAGCTCAACGAACAGACTGGCCTCGGGACATATACTACCGTGTACCCGAAGTGGACGTAATGATAGCCATACTAGCTCACTCGGGGAAAAGACTACCGATCTCCATGAATCCCCGTTATTTGACGAGGACCAAGGCCGCATTACAGGTATGGGCCAGATGATATTGTCAGAGGCGGAAAGGGAGGATCGAAGAAGATCCACCCGATTTCACTTTTACGGTACTTCATCCACGGCCTCTCTCATGCGCTTTGCCTATCAAAGCATGCCATCAAGGCCGGCAGGTGGCTCTCGTGCCGAGCCCGCATACAACAGGCTTCAGGACACATCCACCACATACGGGATGGAGGATTTTTCATTACCACCGCGAGCGTTTGCCGATCACCTGGTGAAACGATTCTTCGAGAAAATATACATTCTCTATCCAATATTCCATCGCCCAGCCTTCGAGGCAGCCTATCAAAATCTCTGGCGTGGAGAAAACGAACCTAATATCCCCCCGCCAACCGATCTACAGATTGGAATAGGATCAAAGACAGAGTCGGAGCCCACTTCGATTGTCTTCCTGTGTGCCCTGAACTTGATATTTGCCTTGGGCTGCCAATTTGCCGATCTGGCATCAGAGCAAGTCGAGTCCGTCGCCAATTCATTCTTCCTTCGGGCGAAGCATTTCATCGGGCTCGATTTCATGGACATCAATACCCTCGGGGTGGTTCAGTCTTTACTCATTACAGCACTTTATTTGCAGAGCTCCCCATATCCCAGTCGCTGCTGGCATTCTGTTGGGAACGCCTGCAGAGTTGCCTTTGGATTAGGACTCCACAAATCAGATATCCTGGCTACACTGACACCCTTGGAGTCTGAAATTCGTAAACGAACCTGGCATGGATGTGTAATAATGGACATGTAAGTCTTCCACTCCTCTGTTCTGTTTGTTGACCTTGCTGACCTATAGCTTTGTAGGACCTTGAGCATGACATACGGCAGACCGAGCATGACCTCCCATCTTGCCCGAGTTCCCGCACCTGATGGTTTAGAACTATCTGGGCACCAACATGATACAAGCGGACCTCCGTTAATGGCATTCTATATCGAAGCGATCAAGCTTTATGATATTTTGGACAATATTTTAGCTGATGTCTATAATGCCTGGCGTGGCCGACTGCGCCAGGACAACTTGCCATCCCCGACGTTGAGCATCAGGAGCCTTCAAATTGTGCTTGAAGTTGAAAGAGAGCTGTTGATGTTCAAGTCCAATGTCCCTTGCTTTTTAAAGTGGACAACTGGGGCACACTCCACGCCTTCTCTTCCAGAACCCAACATGGCGATTGCTCAGCAAAGAAATGTTCTACATGCTAGGTGTGTTGTCTATCGCTACAGCTTCAGTACCAGTCTCTAACCTCTCTTTACAGATACATGCACCTTCAGATCCTCCTCTACCGTCCCATATTCATCCAAATATACTCTAAACGAGAATCATTGTCTGGACCAGAGCTACAAAATGACTCGTCATCTCAGAGCATAGAGATGCAAAGCAATCTGTATTCCTCCATATTCTGTCATTGCGCCGAGGCATGTGTGACAGCTGCCATTGATCTCACACACCTAGTGCGAGAAACTTATCAAACCGACTGTTCCGATGCGTGGTGGTACAATGGTTTTTGTATGTTATAGCCATTTTTCACCTCACTCTACATGTCAAACTAATTTTACCACTCCTAGATGCCTCGACCGCAGCAATGGTCCTTCTCATGGCTCTATCTACACCATCAATGATGGATCAAATATTATTGGGCAAAGCAAGAGAGGCTTGGAAAGAGGCAACCAGTGTTCTGGAATTCCTATCAACATTTTGCCGCTCTGCAAACAATACTGTTCAATTTCTCCAGGCTGCTTATGTTCGAGCAGTCCCCACTGGTCAACATCAGACGAATGCGGAAGCTGATGCCTCACATATACCGCAACCTAGCGAACAATATGATAACTTAGTTGACGAACTTACCCAGTTTCCTGTCTTCAATTGGGAGGAATTCGCGGAGAACATGGCACCTGGATTGGATGACTTAGGATTTTTGACGGGATTTAATTTCCATGATAGCTTTGCATGAGACTCATGGGTCTTCATTCATGAGATATTTTCAAAGCCCAGCGCCACAACATCATGGGCAGGCGCCAAACCACTCGTTCAGACACTATTCTACCAGCTATTAAAGCCAACTAATGGCCTTTATACCTCGTGTTCACTCATTTGGCCTTGTCCACCTTCCCTTCCTTCCGGTCCCACCCATAAGTGTCGGTTCCGTGAATCCAGTCCATCAAGCCGATAGTTCCATAGTTGACACGAAATTTCTCGTGGTGTAGATCGTGCAACTCGGCGGGTGGTAGTTTCAAAAAGTCGTACCCGCTATGGTCAGCCGCGGCCTCCCAAAGCTCGAAGGTGACAAAGGCCATAATGGAGAGGCCATGAGCGCCTTTCAGATAGAGAGGAAGCGTGATTGGTAACACATTAGCCAAAATATGTTCGATGGGATGAGCATATGCGGCAGCGAATGCGACTGGCGTAATGTATTTGTGATGCATCTTGTGAATGTAGGCATAAATTCTGGGGTGATGGAGGGCGCGATGAACGTAATAAAAAGAGATTTCTCGTGCTAGCAGAGCAAAAAGGAAATCTCCTATAAAGGTTGTCAAAGAGGGTATTTTTGGGCCGAAATTCATCAACGAATGATCGAAGCCACCAGCTAAATAGAGCATCGTGCCATGCATAGCCATTGAAATAGTGTGATTGAAAAGAGAAATCTTTATACAGTGTAAGATTTGCTGGCGGGTCGGCTGCCGACGAGGGTCTTGTATCTTGTGGCGCTGCGAGAACTTTGGGAAAACAACATCGATCAGCATGTAGATAGCTGCTGGTATGATGAATCCAACCAGTTGAACCAGTATATCTGCCACAATCTCGATGACGCCTGGCCTGTATGTGGTGATGATACTGGTCCATATAGTCTGTAATTGCGAGTGGAGATCCATGACTGCTTTCTGCTGTTTGAGAGATTTTGATTCAATTTAAAAGTCATGTTCACCCTAGCAATATTGGCATCATCATAGCTGTTTATACCCGTACCCACGGAACTGTTCCGTTAACTACCAAGATATTATTCCATTTGAAAAACGATCACTCGAACTATATCTCCTTGTCACGTCATGAAAATTCGGAACTGTTCCGGTGCTAATTGAATATGAGCTTCGGAAATTGAGGATATTTGCCCCCAAATCACTGACACGACACCTGAATTCGCTTCCCAACGAGGGCCTATACTTGTTTTCTCAGATGATATAGGGAAAAAGTAACTTTGGCACATGTAATTTCTCGTTTCGGGTGCGTCCGAAGCCACGGGAGTGGTCCCGACGTGGTGTGGTGTTGATATTCAGGGATAGCGATATGTCATACTTAAACTAAGCACCAGCCCTGTATTTGGATATACTACACCACTTTGTACTGAGTTTATGATCATTATCGTTCGAGATGACTACATCGTCAACCGAAGCTCCAACCTACAGTCAGATAGCCTGTGTTGGTGCCGGCCTATCGGCTGTAGCTTTAGGTGCTACGTTACAGAGATGGTACGGCATCGAAGACATTCGTTTCTTTGAGCGACATCCCACGACCGGCGGAACATGGTACATCAATACGTATCCAGGTTAGCCAGGCCGCTTCACCTTGATCTAACCCAGAAACTGACACCCTTGAAGGATGTGGCTGTGATGTTCCAAGCGCTTTTTATAGCTTTTCTTTCGCGCAGAACCCGAGTTGGACAAAGCTTATGCCATCTAACAAGGAAATCAAGGAGTACGTGGATAATGTGGTGAAAACCCACAATCTGCTTCCGAAGATGACCTTTGGAGTGGAAGTGGTCCGTAGTGTCTGGAGAGAGGACGCCAATCGATGGCTTCTCTATCTGCGAGATTCGACAGGAAGGGAATATACCCACGAGTGCCAAATCCTTTTTGCGGCTACTGGGCAACTTGTAGAGCCGCGTGAGTGCGAAATTCCTGGTGCGTCAGAATTCAAAGGAAGTATCTTCCATTCTGCCCGCTGGGACCATAGCGTGGATCTAAAGGGGAAGAACGTTGTTGTTATTGGAAATGGATGTTAGTATCAATCTTCACATTACCTAGAAAGCTGCTGGACAGGCTTGCTGATATCCTCATAGGTACTGCTGCACAAATTGTTCCAGCCCTTGTGAAGGATGGAGGTGTGAAATCTCTTACCCAGGTTATTCGAACAAAGCACTGGATCTTCCCGGCGCCAAACTTCAGCTATCCCAAGCTACTCCAGTGGATTTTCCGCAACGTCCCATTAGCCATGAGACTGCACAGATTCTACATCTTCTTGATCGCTGAGAACGAATTTCGTCTATTCCCGATGACAAAGGATGCGGCCAAACTGAGGGAGAAGAGAAGAAAACAGGGAGAAATGTACATGCGGCGAGCTGGTCCGGAAAAGTATCATGATCTGCTTATCCCAGATTTTGATGTTGGCTGCAAGGTAGGTATATCTTTATTTGTCATCTAGCATGTCTAGCGCGTCATGTCCATGTCCAATGATCTGAGTGGCTAATTCGACCTTAGCGGCGAATCTTTGACCCCGGTTATCTTGAATCACTGCATGATGACAAGGTCCTACTAACAGATGCGAAAGCCGAAAAAATAACCGCAGATGGCATCGAGACCAACAAGGGGTTTGTTTCGGCCGACGTTATTGTGCTCGCAACAGGCTTCAAAACCAACAAGTTTATTCCCTTCATGAATGTCGTTGGACGCAACGGCCAAAACGTCGAACAGCACTGGGAAAGGAAGGAATACGGCGGTCCAGCAGCGTACAACTGCTCTGCACTGAATGGATTTCCTAACTTCTTCATGCTCTTGGGCCCTAATGCTGCGACTGGTCATACGTCTGCCATGATGGCTGCGGAGAAGTAGGTTACGCGCATCGACGATCTCTTATCTTCAGCACCTCGGGTTTCTAACCATTATAACTAGCTCGATTAACTATGCCCTTCGAGTCCTCAAGCCAGTTCTATACGGCGATGCTGCTTCTATCGAGGTCACTGCCGAAGCTGAGCACAATTACGTGTATTGGGTGCAAGACGCACTGAAAAAGCGTGTTTGGAACGCTGGATGTTTGTCGGTTAGTTTAGCTCGTCTGATCACTACTATCCGGCATCTCTTGTTTAACCAACTCTCATAGTGGTATCTTAACGATAAAAACTGGAACTCCATGTCCTATCCCTGGACTCAAGGCCACTATTGGTGGAGAAGTCTGTTTCCCACATGGTCTGACTGGTCTATCAAGGTTTGAGGCTCAAGCTTCCTGTCGTCTGGCTAACACCTTCAACTGATACTTTATTTGACAGAGAGTTATAAAGCCAAAAACCCGCTCTATTTCCTGGGTCATAATGTTGGCTTTACTTTGCGTTGGGATCTTGGCGGGTAATCAGCTCAGTGATTTTCGAGACATTCTCAGGCAACTCAGAGCCTACAGTGCCATAGCGCTGTCCAACATGCACCTTGGGAAATTATGGTGATCGAAACTACAGCCAGCCCTAAATTGTTGAAACCGGGGATCATTTATGTTCATTTTGCGTAAATCTAGTGTATGTTTCATTATACTCGTACTCACATTCTCTCGAAATACATCATCTCAATATGGGGAACTGATTCTTCAACCTGGATATATGGTATTCGTATACATAGTAAAGAAGCTATTTTAGGAGAAATAGGGACTCAAGGCAAGGAAAACATTTGTTTGAGCTTTGGTATCAGTAAATTCTCTCATAAAAGACTCTAGATTATGATCCCTTCCGGTTTAGTAGGGCTGAATTGGCTAGAGAATAGGTAATCGTCAGGCAAGCTCTAGCAATCTCGAACTATTAACGATTATCGGTGTCATAGACTTGTTACTACTCTTCTATCTTTCGATGTGAATATAGCCTCTGAATCTAATCCAAGAGAAGTCTACAACTGGAGTTGAAACCGGTGGATTCTCAACTATACTGTCTTGATATGGTCAAAGGTCTTCTTGATGTCCCCAATGAGGCGCTTGCTTTGAGTGAGCGACTTCAAGTAACCACTCACAAGCTTTATATCGCTAATGATCGAAAATAGTCTATCATATTGACTGTCTAGGTCTTGGGGTGCAATCTATTTGATCTCTTAAGCCGGAATGTTCCGGTTATCAAGTGAAGGCGATTATCGGATGGATACTGCGCAGATGTGCCGCCATCCGGGTACCTTCCGGCGCAGACAAGGAACGGTTCCGAACATCAAACTTCTGAGAAGTCAGGGAAAACCCAAGTTGAGAACGTGGCGGCAGAGTCTCCCGATTCCAAAAGTTCATAAAGTATCAAATTGGAATGATACTTCTCCACCTCCCAGATGCAGTATTGACTACGCCCAATATCAGATTTCGACGATGACGAGCAAGGGAGCGATTATTCCCCGTGAGGGCCTTTACATTGATCCAGTTTTCAAATGGTTACGGCGAACACTGCTTCATCCGTTCTTCACATTGACATGCTTGTACCTAGTGCATGGTGCCAGGTTGAGCGTTGCTGTGCCATATCAAAGGCCAGTTCAACTGGTCACAGTGACCAGTATCTTGCTGTTTCTTAATGACTGGTTGAGTGGCAAAAGTCAAAACAACTGGGTTACAGACAATGAATGGGACTGGAAGAAGGAAGTGGTAGTAGTCACTGGTGGGAGTGGTGGCATTGGGGGTGGTGTAGCACAACATCTCGCCGCTATGGGGGCTCGGGTGATTGTACTGGATATCATCCCTTTAACATATGAACCTGGTATACTGAGTGAACATTTCTACTTCATTTGCTTTCGGCTAATACAGCTTCAAGGGAAACATATCATATGCTATAAATGCGACCTTAGCGACGAAACGCAAATTTCATCTGTCTGCGAGAAGATAGAAGTCGAAATAGGTCATCCAACTGTCCTTGGTAAGTTAAAAGAGGGCAAGAACTTAGATCTTTAGCTGAAAGTGGTAGTCAACAATGCTGGTTTGTCTCGTGGTCGGACTGTTGTCGAAGGTTCATACAGCGACAATATCATTACCTTGAAGACCAATCTACTTGCACCTTTCCTGCTCGCTAAAGAGTTCCTTCCCAACATGATCAAGCACAATCATGGTCACATCTTCAACGTCGCGTCGATGAGTGCTTATATTCCTCCGGTAGGAATTGCAGATTATGCGGCGTCAAAAGCAGGAATGATTGCATTTCACGAGGTAAGATCCAAGTATAACCTTTTCCTGTCTATTTCAAAGTGCTTATTTTCTTAGTGTCTTGCGGAAGAGCTGCGAAGCCAGAATGCACTCAAAGTTCGCACATCGCTTGCCGTTTTGAGTTTTACGAAAACACCTCTTTTCAAGGGCGAGACAAACCAGTCCCACTTCTTCACGCCTCTGCTGCATATAGACACCGTCGTCGACACTATTGTTGATACACTCGATAGTGGACTTAGTCAAACTATTTTCCTCCCTGGTATATTTAGGTTCTTCGCAGGATTGGTACGTTATCACTTCGCTTCGAGGGAATATTATTGACCTGTTACGTAGCGAGGAGCCCCCGTTTGGTTCCAGAATTTTATTCGAAGCGGTGCCAAATCTCTGAAAGTGGATTTCAAAGGGCGGCAGGAGATTGACCCAACGACAGGAAGGCTTAAATAGCAAAAGCCGGGCCTGTAGCCTCTTCCTGCAGGGGGTTAGGGGTTTAGGCTTCGGGGTGTATTCGGTTTGCTGTGTTAGGGTTTCTACAAATATTCAAATGCAATTGCATACAGTGTTATTTCTCCTTTTAATTGGTATTAGGAATTTTGGATATGCTATAGATCTCTACTTTATGTTACGACTTTTCTAATCGAAGGATTTAGGCTTGTTAGAATGGGGATAGTCGGTCAGAAAGCAATGAAAGGATAATCTAGTATATCTTTACTATTCAGGCGTTTCAATTCTAAGTTGTTGACATTATACATTCAAAGCGTTGCTGGGGAGAAATCCGCAAAAGAGGCGAGAGACATGTGACCTTAAAGGACCCGGTCAGGGCATAGAGTAGGGAGTAATAGAGAGGTAATCAATGGAACATAACAGGTTTGACCGTCTTTTTCACAAATTTGGAATCTTGTACCTAGTACTTTCTATCAAAAGACTACACGCAAGTGGTGATATGGCCCATACAGTATTCACGCTCGCATTCACGCATAGACATGGCTGATATGGGATGAAAATCGAAAGGAAACCTTGATAATAATAAAAATGCGAAGTAACCACACCGAATATGGCAACATAACACCAAGTAAGTTCCACGGCATAATGTTGGAACAACCCTAAGCAGAAACCGAAGAGACCTGACCCCTATGATGACAATAAAACAAGATAGCCACCTATATCGAGTTCAGTTCAGATTGCTGATCCCAATTTGAAATTCATTCCCAAAATCAAACCCCGAAAACCGATAAACCAAAATCAATATGAAGAACCCGTCATGAGCCGTTCACGAGATATCAAACTCCTGTGTTGTCATGTGATGCAACATTTTAAAAAGCACCATAGAAAATTCGGTGAGAGAACATGAAGATTGGACATGCCTCGAATGTAAACAAAATCAAAAAGAGACGAAATCGGAGATAGATAGTGTTGGATGTGGAATGAAGGTAAACAGAGTAGGATGATAGCTTTTATGACTTGCGCTCAGTGAAGATATCAGGTATAGTAGGCAAATTGGATGAATATGCACATCGAAAGATCGAGAGAGAAATAATGAGGTTATAAAGGTGGTTATAGAGTTGAGCGGAAGACTCAAACGAGACGGTAGACATTAAAGAGATGGCAGGTGATAAGGAGACTCGTATATTCTTTTCTTCGTGCTTCAGGATTTTCGGAAAATCCAATCATACTCAGTTGTCATTCTCATTGTTCTGAGGGAAGAAAGATCGCATAAATTCCCCACTGATGGGATCATAAGGGAAATATGAATCCTGAGCTTCAGCCGTCAAAGTAGACATCAGGTCTGTAGTAGAGATGGTCGGGTAGGTGTAATGATCTTCGCCGGGAGGAGGTTGCACCGGAACAGATACAGGAAGATGCTCTAGCTGAGGACCCCAATAGTCATCAACTGTATGAGCCACAGGGCCATCACCGGACTCCGAGCCGATTGTGGTTGTCGGCTCTGGGTGGTAGGGATATTCGGGCATATCGCTGACATCGTATTTCATGCCCTTGGCTAGTTTGCGGAGGCTCAGATCACAGAGTTGCCAGGCACGTCTTGAGGCGATGCTCTGCTCGGACATTGCGAAGAGCCAGCGGGTGGCTTTCTTAGAAAGCGCAATGAAATTCTTTTCCTCTTCTGGCATGTGCACTGTGCCGAATGATAACTCCAGGAGTAGAACGGTCGCCGCCTGCATGAGATAGTGGAGAACGCACCACCAGGGCGCGATTGAATATAGTTGAATTGCATTCGGCTCATCGGGGATCAGATCGAGCATGCGACAAGCAGACTCCAATGTGATCACAGCCATGTCATGGCTGAATGATGCGGTGGGGCCTTTTCGGCGTGCGTCGCGTCGGCAGAGACAGGGGCGACCTAGGGTGATGCGCGCACTGTAGTAATGTAATGCCAGAGTCAGCTTACACCGGAGCACATCGGGTCCATTTTCATGTGTGCGGGTGAAATCGAGCGCTTCGGGGAGACTGGCTGCCCACATCTCGGTCCGAGACCTGAGTTCACCAATTCGGTTCTCAATGTGTGCCCAAGGCACCATCACGCAGTCTACTGAATAGACTTTGTTGACAATTTCCTGCACGACCACTGAGAGGTCGCAGTAGTACAGGTAACAGAGTCCGTAGTTGATTGGTAAGCTCTTAATCCATGCGGTGTCTCGGGCTTTTGTGTGATGGGCAGCCAGCGTTCCATTTGCTGGATTGAGAGGCATCTGTCTGATACAAGCACTGGCTACTACGTTGTTGATCCGTTCGTCTCGTAGGGTGGAATCTGTCAGGACTTCAAGGGCACCTGGTTGGTGCAGTTGATCCTCTTCGAACGGAATCGGGAAGGGCGAAGTGCAGACACCATCTTGAATACAAGTTGCTCGACCAGTCATTATTCCGAGCATATGTTCGAATGTATACAAGCACCACCAGACTCGGTAGCGGGCCTCCTTTGAGAGATCCGGTGTGGTTGGTGCGCTGCTTTTCATGTTTATTCCGAGGGTGATTGCCGAACGTACGGCTAGCGCTGAGATTCTCCATGCCCTTTGCGATGTGTAAGCTCGCCAGTCTTGATTATGCAGGGGATATGAACTTACCGATTGATCTGATCGGAGGCTAGGAGGTAGAAGGCAATCAAGCCCTCTACTTGGACTTGCTGGAGATCAGGATGGCTGAACAAAACATCACCGTTCATACTCAAAATCCGTGCTCTGGTCAGATAGACCAAATGATCTTTCTCATCGCCGCGCCACGGTGCGTCGGTCAGATGCCCGTGCTTGGCACCAATTGCGAAGATCATATTCAAAATTGCAAGCCACTTGTCACCGGGTCTTGCAGCACTATCAAAGAATGTTCGGAATTGCGCCGCGAACAGAGGCCTGTTTATAATGGGGTAGAACGGGTGCACAGTGGTCAAATATGCTTCAAACATATGATCTGCTTGCTCTCGAGGAGGCATAGCATAAAGTTGAACTGGTCCAGGCACCGAGATGTCCAAATCATCAAGGTGATAATTGACCGCGTGGAGAGACAATGCATTATCAGTGGTGCGATCCTGGCCAGGCTCCAAGCTGCCTGGAAGGCCCTGCGCACGTTGATCTGCTTCCCTCTGCAGTCGCTGCATCCAAGTGACTTCTGAGTTCTTTCCCATATAGCCGGTTGCTCTCGTATGTTCGGATCGATTGAGATCCTCTTCAACTCGGTCGATCGCCTCCAGTGACCCGATAGACGAGGGCGATGATGGCACATCGTGCTCTGGATTATCATCCTGAGGAGTTACCGAGTTGGATTGGTTGGAAGAATCTTCCGTCTCCAGGCCGTGCTGTAGTCAACTGGTAAGCAATAGTGCGAAGATCGGTCTAGAATGACAAACCTTGTCCAGCAAGCTCCTGATCCGCTCCGCAGCACGAGACTCCACAGTGTTCCCTAACTCCTTAAGCATTATTTCATATTCTGTCGCTTTCTCTGAAAGCTTTTCAACTTGTCTGATTCCAACCTCGTTAGCAGACGTTCATGTGATGTGATAAGCCGTGCTTCTTCCACTTTCGTCTTGGCAATTTGCAATTTGCAATTTGCTCGTTTCTCGCTTCCATGGAAAAATGCCAACTGCGAACCCGAAAAGGCACTTACTTTTTTGTCTTTTCCCTCCAACCTTGCGGGTAAATGCACGTCGCCCTGAGCTCCCGACATTGGCGGCAAACAGGGGTATCGCCACTGCATTTTGTCTTCCGACCTCTGCAAGATTCACATGCGCGGGGCACTCTCCGATTATAGCGCTGCGCAATCCCCGCCCGCTGGCGAGGGATAGCGACTTTTGTTTGAGCGGCAAGGGTCTGATTTGAGAGGATGGAGGTAGACGCGGATCGTTTTGCGCCGAGTGTCGAAACGGAATCTGCGAGAGAGGGTGGTCGGGGTGTGGCAAGGGCGCTATCTGTATCTTGTTTCTGAGCAGGAGGTTCGGGTTGAGAGGCGTTCTCTTCCTGGTTGGACTGCAGCGGTACGCCTTTGATTGTCATAGTCGCGAATTGTGTAGAAAAGACCTAGGGAGTGTGCAGGTGTGTGTTTTAACTGATGATATCAAGATTGCGTTCCCGAAGCGGGACTATGCGCTTCGGCATCCAGTAGCGACGAATGATATGGCTAGATTTGCATGGTAGGAGTTCGTTCAGAAATCGTAGGTGTATGCATTGAGGAAACAGATGAAGATACTCGTAAATTCGTGCAGAGAAAAAGAATGAGGTCCAGTCGATGCCGGATGATATGAGTGGCGGGATGTGTAACCAGTGATGGGGCCCAGAGCGTCCCTGATTGGGTCTATAGTGGCTTAGTCAAGAACCGTTTTAGAAACTTCCATGGATCAACGCGGACAACGTGAAGATGTCAAGATATAGATTTGAGGTGAATTGGAGTAAAATGCGAGATAAAAACACGCTAGATTGTATTTTTGACACTTTTGGTGAACCCAGTCATCCAGCTTTCAAACATCCTCCCAAGTTTGCCCATCCAGGACATGTAAAAAAAAAGATCCGACAACGTATGTATATATACAGGTGAAAATAGGCATTAGCAATAAAAAAGAAGTAGAAGGTGCGCCGGATAAATGGACATGTACAGAGTGGTAGAGGCAAGCTGGAGCCTGCCAGGAGTGGAAAGAGATGAGATGAGATGCGTAAACAGGAGGGGAAATCGACGGCTGATGGCGTTTAGATTTCGCCAAACATCTCATCAAGCTCGTCGACTTCCACCATCTCTGGGTTCTGAAGTTCGCGCCATGAATCAAAAACGGACTCTGAGTTCATGGAGACAGGACGGGGAGTGAGCGTAAGACGCTCGTGGGATTCCGTCAAGTCCGACATCTTAAGATCAACATCTGGGAGACCGCTGTTCAACATATCAAGCGAGCGCTTGAGAGTTGAGACGGGAGCTGCGTCCAGATCTTCAGGAAGAGCAATCTGAGGAGCAGCGGGTTTGCCAGCAAGCGCATCCATACCGGCATCGGCCATGCTCGTGCCAGACGAGACAGATGATGCGATGGAGGTGAGGGATGGAGAAGGCGAAGTGCCGAACAGAGCAGAAGCAGCAGCCTCGTCGGCATCCTGGGCCATGTGGTCAACGGGCATGTGAGAGAAGTAGTCACTATACTCTTCTTCCGACATGCCGTCACCGTGAAGAGAGGGAGACATCGAGCCACCGTTTACAGGGGACTCGGAAATACCCGAATCTTCCATGGCGCTCAGGCTCTCGGACAGGATGGACTGGCTACGGCTGGACTCGCTGGCTTTCTCCTCAGAGGCACGCTCACGCACAGCGCTGGCGGTTTGAGTGAATTCCTTCTCGTCACCCTCCAGGGGCGGGGAAGCCGCACGGTGCGAGTGCATGAGACGGGTGAGATTACTGGCATCGGGGAAATGATCGGGGGTGGCTCCGTGGTTGGAAGAGGTGTTCAGCTCTTCGAAGTCCGGGGGAGGACAAGTCCACTTCGGGACTGGGGCTACGTTCCCGCGCCATCGCGTCTTCCTCATCCTCGAGACTGGACACACTGGGAGTGATTTGCTTGCCATCTACGGCAGGAACAGTATCGTCAGTCTCAGGGATGGGCTGATGAGGGAACGTAGTGAGGTAGTAGTACACTTTGCGCGGGTGAATTAAGATAAGCTCCTTGGCAATAGGGCAAGGCGCGAGCGCCGACCAAGAGCGCTTCATATAGGCAGCCAACCGCGAGGACAGCAGGGCAGCCGGGTTGGCAGAACTAGAATCGGGAGGTTAGCGACTGGTTACTAAGACCACTGGACGACGAAATGCTCACTTTGCGACGTTCACATTCAACGCGACCAAGACGGCAGCGAGTTCCTTCACTAGATGGGGACGATTCCCAGTCTTCTCGAGTTGGTTGATTACAGCGACGACGATATCGTCATTAATTCCTTCGGTGTCGATCTTGGGCGCGTGCACGCCATCCATCGGTGAAGGAGGAGGGGTGTGCTCGAATAATCCATGTCGGCCGGCGCGCGCGGAGATCTTGTCGGAGGGCTCCGGCGATAATGAAGTTGAACCGTGCGATCTCTTGACCTTTTTTGATGGGTGGTCATCGGTGTGCTTGGAGATAGAGGGAGAACGACGAGAGGAGTTGGGGAGTTGTATCCCGAGCGATGGCAGGGACAGTGACTTGCGACGGGTGTTGTACGGCATTGTGAAGAGTGAAACGAGAATCAACGATGAAAGGAGAGTAAGACAGAGGGGGATATCAGAGTAATAAACACAAAATAATAATAGAAGAATAATAAGAGAGAAGATCTAAAGTCAGCAGAAAGGGGGATGAGAGAGAAGTAGATGCGAAGCTCCCAAGGCTGTTTATGGCAAATTACGCAGTCTCAACGGGACGAAAAAAAAAAAAAAAAAAAGTGGAAAAAGTAAAAAAAGAGAGTAACATAAATTACGGTATGGTATTTACCCTAGATTCTGGACACTGGATCTGGCAGGCTTCCGTCTAGATTAGATAGCATCTGATTGGTTGAGCCAGACTTCTATTTTTTTCTTATTTTTTGTTTATTCCCGTTTAGATCAGATTGAACCACTTTGAACCACCCAAGAAGGAATGTAGGCACTCGACCCATGGAACTGGTCTCCCGACTTTGATATCTAGCGTCGAACCTCTATTCTATATGAACTTGGATGCCATCATCACTGTGACTCTTTCCTCTACTCTGTAGACAGACTCCGTACTTCTTACACCGCTACAAGGCTTATAGTCAAAATATTAAAAAAAAGGGAATCACAGAGGCGGTGGAGATTCGGTCCATACCCCTTCAATCCTTAGCACGAAAATCCATAGTTCTTCCCTTCCATCCTCGGTCTTAGCCCATAACAAGGAGTGGAGTCAGCCATGTGTTCTGTACTTCCGACTAGACCCAATTTTGTGCTCCAGTCTAATTTAATGGTCTCCAGATATGTCTCCAGGTGTGTACAAATCGGTTCCGACTAATCATAGCCAGATCCTATGAATAATAATAAGACCTCCCGATCGCTTGATTGGCAGTCGCTTAGTGGATATGCACAAGCACTGGTCCGTACAAGTACAACGGACAATGGAAGGGTTTGTCCAGCTCGAGGCCTTGGACGCTGCATGGGATCCAGCGTGCATTCGACCTGTCAACCGGTTGCTAGGTGACGCTTGACCGCTTATGATGCGTCCGAGTGTTTGTTCTGTTCATTCTTGCATTTTGTCTGAAATCGCTGTATCCATTACTCTTCTGATTCACTGTATGCAAGCACTCGCCACATAAATAAACAACGTTGTCGCGGTTCCAAAGAGGCGTATGGAAGAAAAAGAGCCGAGGGCTTCCGGAACACCGAAATCCAAAACAGCTCCCTAGCGTAGCCGTTTTACCAGAAAAGAAAAGGAAAAATAGAGGGCGAGGCCCACTTGTGGACCCCCGTTCGACGGGTGATCAATCAGCGTCGACGTACGGTATTGTACATGACACTAGTAAGGGATGCTCACATTAGCGTCTCGGGGAGAAAAGGAACAGCGTTTGCCACCCTCTTGAGAGCTGAGACGCTCGTCGTTTTGCCCCTCTATACTTTGTACTTGTACTTCTCAGATCTATCAACTTTCTATATATCTTATCTTCATTTTAAGATAGATCTCGTCAAAGGGCTCATCCAGGATTTCCAAGATGGTGATAGACTGAGACATGGACTGGACGTGTCTACGGGCTACGGATTGTACTCCAAAGGATTTCGTGGTTATGATGACATCCCTCCCAGCCATCCGGATCTATATCCACCCTATTTTTGCCTCTGATGTGATGATAGTCGCCTTTGGTCAACCCCCTCGGAATTGCCATGATACTACATACATATACGAGAGACTTTAATTTAATTTGCATGCATCTTTAATGTACTGGCACTGGCGGTAAGGGATGACACCTCGGGTAGTAGCATTGTTATGTGGATTTGGTGAGATCATTTATCCCTGTCAACGGAATTCCGTTTATTTGGCCTGGGGTTGATCTCCGTTTTCATGACATCGACCACTCCGACCCGGAAAACCTAGAATCATCAACCATGGATGAGGACAACTTATTGTTACATATGCTGGTCTAAAGGAATAACATTTATCTGATTGCAGACTCGCGGACTTCAATATGGAGTATCTCATCTTATTCTGCGTGATGTGCTTGTACAGTATGCAGGGGAATTCTCCGCATCCCCACATGTCCGTTACGTTGTACTCTTCACATTGTGCTGAGTATGAGCATAACGTAGGTCGCATTTTGCATTTTTGCTTTATGACCGATTTGACTCTTCCCGCGCTATCTGGACAGTGGTCATCGAGGAAATGTTCCAATCATCAGAGAGACACCACTTAGATTCCCCATTTGCGAGTAATTCAACAGGATTGCATGCAATGCTAGATGCACCAATGAAACGCGCAGTACAAACGATCAATATCGACACCTTGCCTGAAATCATCAAACCTGCCTCCCAAACTTCGGGTCATCGCATCATTAAACAAAGAAGCGATGGGCCCCAGCCGCAAGACACGGAATAATCCCTGCAAGGATCTGCATCGTGCATGTAAATCATTGATGGAGATTGGTCGGGGCTAATCCGAGAAACCGGCGTCGTTTGCAATGTATGCGACCAGATTGATATTGACCTCTGCTAACACATATATGACCTGTGGAAAAAAATGTACCGAGCCGCTAGTTCTTAGAATGAGCACACACTCATCACCGATACCTTCCTATGTTGGTAAATGTCCTCCGATAGGAAGGGGACCTCTCCCACTTACCCCTCCTTGGGGGTCTTAAACAATATCGGGATCTGGGAGGGGCGGAGTCGACTTGCCATGGCCCCATACTTGCGCGGAAGCTTAATTTCCTGGATGCTTTCCTGAGGTCGAATCTCCTGCCAGATCTTTTGCGGGGTTCTACTACTCCGTACTGCTTGCGTCATGTAGATGGGTTCTCCGTACTCGTAATGGGAAAATTGATTGCTTGTTTGGAGCCTAGCAATCAACCTTGAAATGGCTCGAACTAAACTCCAAGGATAATTACTTGCGTTGTCTCATACAGCTACTAGCCAGCAATGAGACACAGCGATGAGTGAGGAGCAATTACATACAAGTTCGTGTTTATGTGTATCTTCTAGACTCTTACATCATGAACAGGCGGGTAGACCTTCAAGCAACTCCCTACTCCGTATGGAGGAGTTGATCTCAAGTAGAATGGTCATAAATTGGCTTTGCCTTCTGTAAAATCCCTCATCATTATTACACTTGGCTGTTCGTGCGCTGACTGGATATAGGAAATATACTCCGTACCTTCGGTGGTATGGATACTTCCTGTCAAACTCAAAAAGCATCTTATACTTGCGATAGGCTACCTGCATACAAATCGCGTGTTTCCTCTCACCAGTAGAATTATCTGTTCTTACCTACATTATGGCCCTTGGGCTAAGTTTATCTGTTTCTGGACCTGCTGGCCACTTAGGCGGGTGGGGCTATATGTTCCTGGGGTCTAAAAGCAGCAAATATATAATCAGCTCAGACAATCCAAGGCTCCCACGCCTAGTTGAATCACACCAGACATAGAAAAAAAAAAAAAAAAAACTTCAATGCATGGGCACAGAACACACTAACTAGGTACTACTCGTTCGAAGACCAATCGCTCATGTAACTTAAACCCCCAATGTCTCAGGGTTTCAATTGAATATGGGAAGTAACGGCTTCTTACTCATTCAGTGCCTTACAGGACAATCCATCGTTTTTTCAAAGTTCAGGAGTGCGTTATCACTCAACTTCTTGAACATCCAGCACATCTAATTCTTCATAGATGGCTTTCTTGATATTCTCCTCAGCCCAGCACATATCCACCGCATTCCTCACAAATTGCACCATCTCACTCTTGCTGAATCCACAATATGTATAAGCCTTCTGCATATTCCCATCAACCCAGACATCGTGCATCAAAGTCGGATCGTCACTATTGAAACAAATCTTCACTCCCCGCTCCACCAACCTCCGAATCTTAGGAAACAAGACCTCAGTCGCCGTCCGCCGATGATACGCATGTGGACACAAAGTCAACCCAATCCGTCTATCCACCAAACCCCGCCACAACTCCTCACTATCCTCAGCATCCAATCCATGATCGATTCGCTCAGACCCCAACCCACCACATACCCGAAAGATAGCCTCCGCAATATGCTCATGCGTATCCTTCTGCCCGAAATCACAATGCATAGTGACATGTAGTTCATCAGCGCGCGCCAGCTGAAACCCTTCTTCAAAAAGCATAGGCGGGCGCTCGTAGGCATTACTCGCCAGCCCAACAGCATGGAAAAGACCCTTTCCGCCTTCCACAGAACCAGCTGCCCACGGTCTCGCCTCGCGATACGCATCAAGACCCTGCTGGACCGGTTCGTCACGTAGGAAACACAATATCCAGCGCGAATGCACGCCAAGCTGTGCTGCAGCATCCCGTTGCGCGCGTAGGTAGCCGTCCAAAACTGCGGTGGCGGGGACTCCGCGCCGTGTGTGGGCTTGGATATCGAAGAAAGGCTCTGCATAGCGCACATTCATCTCCGCGCAGCGGTGCAGATAGGCCATGGCTAGGTCGTAGAAATCGGCTTCGGTGCGCAGAACTTCACATCCTGCAAAGTATGCTTCTAGGAATGTTGGTATTCCGGGCTGTCGGCCGTTGAGCTCTGGTCGGTGGTTGAGGGTTACGGCATAGGAGGCTTTGAGATCTTCGAAGGTGGGGTATGGTAAGGAGATGGCGTTGCGGTGCGCTAGATCCCAGCGCAGAGCCGGGGTCAGGGTTCCTTCGATGTGAACATGGAGCTCGACTTTTGGAAGACCGGCTATGAATGGGCTTATTTCTAGGCCATTCATTGTTTGGAGAGTATTTTGGGAATTTTCGGATATTCAACGCAAAAAATACTATATATGATATGCCGGCCGCGGTGCTTAATCAACTTCCGAGTTGGGGTAAGAAGAGGAGCTCCGCCAGTGAAGTGCGCTGAACACAGTTATTAACCCAGACGGTATCATTAGCCTTAGCCCTAAATCACTTGGCTTAAATCCCCCCAATCGTTGACTCTTGCAGGATTCCTACATCGGCGATAGCATTCATGCTGGAGCCAATGGGAGGTGCGGGGAAAGATAACAACGGCTTGATCATGCGCAAAGCTGATAACATGCACTTTGATTGTATAAAAGCGGCCTGGGGCTTTTATTGAGAGTATGACTGTCTCAACCATGGCAGGAACAAGTGCAACTTCCAATGTGCTGGAGCAGGGGACGAATCATGCCGTGGCGAAAAGAGTATTGAGGAAAATTGACAGAAGACTCGTTCTTTTGCTCTTTACCACCTATATGCTCAATTTTATGGACAAGACTATCTTGTCCAGCGCATCTGTTTTCGGTTTGCGCGATGATACGGTAAGATGACTCGGACAAAATGTCAAAACACGAGAACTGAGAGTATCACTAGGGCTTGGTTGGGCAGCAGTATAGCTGGGTCTCTTCGGTGTTCTATTTTGGATACCTTGGATGGGTATATCCAACAACTTTATTGATTGCTCGTCTACCCGCCGCCAAATACCTGACAGCCAACACACTCTTCTGGGGCGCCGTAGTAGCACTTACAGCGGCGTGCACAAATTTCGGTGGTCTCATGACAGTCCGCTTCTTGCTGGGAGTTGCTGAAGCAACGATCACACCGGCGTTCATGTTTATCACCTCGACATGGTATACGCGTGATGAGATTCCCACCAGAACTGGTCTATGGTTTGCTGGAAACGTGAGTCTATTCATCGTCCTCGAGCCCAGAGCGAGAATCTGACAAAAGTATACCAGAGCGTGGGTGGTATTGTTTCAAGTCTTCTAGCCTACGGTCTCGGCCACGTTACCGACCACGTCGGGCCATGGCGATGGATGTTCATTGTTCTTGGACTCGCTACATTTCTCTGGGGATTTGCTATCTGGACACTTCTGCCAGATTCAATTTCAAAAGCAAAGTTCCTCACAGAAGAAGAGCGTCAATTTGCAAGCACCAGAGCGGTTGTGGCTGGGACAGGTTCAACAGAGAAGACAGCATGGAGATGGGACCAGGTCGTCGAGTGTCTCATTGATCCCAAGACCTGGCTGATCTTCGGCTTAGAGCTTTGTACCCAAATACCCAATGGTGGAACGCAGAATTTTGCCAATCTCGTCCTTGTCTCATTCGGGTTCACAAACTTACAGTCGACACTGCTGACTATCCCTTACTCACTGATCACGGTGGCCACTATTACAGGAACGGGCTGGCTTGCAGGACGTTACCGGCAGCTCAACTGCTTGCTTGTTGTTGCTGTGGTCATCCCTTGCGTCGTTGGCAGTGCAATTATCTACTCCCGTGCGCATATTGTTCTGGGCGTGCAGTTGTTTGGATATTTCCTCTTATCGACGGGACCTGCGGCAATGCCGTTAGCCATGTCTCTGGTGCAGGCTAATTACAGAGGCGTCACTAAGAAAATGACGGTGACTGCGATGCTTTTCCTCGCGTATTGTGCTGGGAATATTTCCGGGCCGCAGTTCTTTCTCAGTGAAGAGGCGCCGCATTATAACACGGCATTTCGTACGATTATGATTTGTTATTCGCTTTCTGTTGTGCTGGCACTTACATTGCGCTTTTATCTGCAATGGACAAATGCTCGTCGTGTGCGGCTGGAAGGATTTGAAGGCAGTGCTGGAAATGCAGGCGCTGTTGGAGGGAAGATCTCAGATCCTGGTAACGATTCTGTCAATGTCGTGGACATGGTCAACCAAGTCGAGTTGGTGTCAGACGACTATGACGATGTGACAGACTGGAAGACTGCGGGTTTCAGGTACCGGTACTAGAAAGACGTCAGACTGCGCATATCGGTGTCTGTTCTTTGCTCCATCACAAGAGCAAAGTCTATAATTCCGATACTCGTACACATTTCTAGATTATTATACAGCTCAACGCATCTCCAAGCACCAAGTGAAAGCCCAAGGATCAAGATCTGGGCTTCTCCACATCTTGCTTCGGTCGCAACACATAGCGCCATGTAGTCCCCATATGCCAGCGCTTTTCCTCAACGATTTCCAATCCACTCTCTCGCACAATAGCTCCGATATCGCGATTCCACCAACACCCATGGCGATCCGCATGCGCCGGAGCCAGATTATCCAAAATGCGATTAAGCCAATCGTAATGAGAGCGACCATGTTCCAACAACAGAATCCGACCGCGAGTAGGCTCAGTGATTGAACCAAGATGGCGCAATGTTGCAGAAGGATCAGGCATCGAACACAGTCCCATAGTCTGCAGAATGGTATCAAAATAAGGCGGCAAAGTCTCACTAGCCGAGCCGGGACGCGCGATCGTGGGCGGCCCAACAGATCCGGCATCGCCAGCCTGGAAAGCAACCTCTGAAAAGGCAGGATGCAACTTCTCAAACTTCTCTTTCGTGATAGCAATCATCTGAGGGCTCAAGTCCAAGAATGTGACAGTCCGACACCCAACCACACCGGCGCGGCCGTCGCTGTCGATCCCGCGGCGCTCGCCGAGCTCATAGAAAGGCAGATTGCGACCTGTGCCGCAGCTGACTTCAAGAACATTCCCGCGCGCCATTTGAACCAAGTCGCGACGTTTCTTACCCAGTCCCATTGCTTTTTCGGAGATCTCGACATCTGCATCGAATGTTGATGCTGTGGTATTATAGCGATCTGAGACATCACGCGGGACATTGAGTGATTGTGCTTTGCTGACTTCCTTCGTGTAAGATGTATACAGATAGCCACAATACATGCTTATAGTGAGAGCCGAGACTCCCAGGAAAGTCAGAACTCTGGGTGGAATTCCATGACCGCGTTTTGCGGAGCCGCTCGAGACAGCGGCCTTTGCCTGCGCGATGGAACTTTGCGCGTCTGGGCGACGTTGATATGACGCGTTTGGCTCTCTTCGTTTTAATGTTGCTGGTTTAGGACTGCAGGGGGTTGTGTTGGAGGTAGGTCTTGACGATCAGGACTGGGTCAACATACCTTGACTTTTGGGGTCGGGGGGCTTTGCTTGAAGCACTGCGGTAGGATCCGACATGCCATTTTGCTCTCAAGGGCGCCCTGCATAATTGATTTGCATTCATTGTGGAGAGCTCGGCTGAGTGCTCCGTACTCCGTATGCGGCTGAGATGTTTTGAGATGCAATGAGTATCGCCCTCGCGAACTCCGAGGGGTTTGTGTCAGGAGATGGCGGACCCTGAGGGGGGTCAATCAGTTTCGCCAAGAAATGAGATGAAGATAGACGAAAACACGAGTCATACAAAGCAGAAGCCGAATGCTCTATACAGAAAGTCAGGTCAACCCCGGACTCTCGGAGAAGGAAAAATCGGGTCGGTTGTTGGAGAAGCTAAACTCCGTTATCGGCTATCATCCCGAGTCCATCAAATGTGTGTTAGCCCACACACTTTGCACATATTTCGCATTGGAAAATGGCATTGCCGCGCAAGATCTTGATCGTTGGAGGGGGTGTCTTCGGATGTGAGTCTTCAATTATATGCACTGTGCCTGGCATACTGCTATCAGTGTCTCTCTGCATACCTCTTTCCCTTATCGCCACGCCGATTGACCCCAATTCCAACTGAGTCACTAACACCCCTCTCAGTGTCTACCGCTATCTCCCTGTCAAAGCGACACCCAGAATGCGAAATAACGGTCGTGGAATCCTCTCCGGTGATCCCCAACCCGCACGGTTCATCCGTCGACACATCACGAATCATTCGTGCCGACTACGCAAACGCAGCGTACTCCAAGCTCGCAAACGAAGCCATTGAGCAATGGCGTAGCACAGGCTGGGGTCGCGATGGTCGCTACACTCAGAACGGTTTGCTGCTCGTCTACCCGGAGGACGGTGTCAGCGCAAAGGAGTACGCCCGCAAGAGCTACGCCAATGTGCGCAAGATCGAAGGCGATAAGGTCGAATTCCTGCCTACGCAGAAGGATGTCCTCAGGGTTGTACCGGCCTACGGCTCGGAGCTCGATGTCGCGGGCGGCTATGTGAACTGGGGCTCCGGCTGGGCTGATGCGGGTGCCGGTGTGGCGTATGCCAAGTCACTGCTCGACGCCGAGGGCAAGGTTGTTTTCCGTACTGGAGATGTGGAGCGCGTGCTCTACGACACCTCCAGTGGCAAGTCCAAGGCCCGTGGCGTTGTTCTTGCTGATGGCGCGACACTCGAGGCTGATCTCGTTGTTCTGGCTACTGGCGCGTGGTCTTCTAAGCTGGTCGATCTGCGCGGCCGTGCTGTTGCTACCGGACAGGCAATTGGGTATATTAAGATCTCCGACGAGGAGCAGCGCGAGCTCGAGAATTTGCCTACTATTTTGAACTTCGCGACTGGTATCTTCATTATCCCACCGCGGGACAATCTTCTCAAGATTGCGCGCCATGCGTTCGGATACCGCAATCCAGTTGCGGTGCCGGTGCCTGGTGAGAACAAGGGACGTACGATGGACGTCAGTTTGCCTGAGAAGGGAGCCCCAGTTCCCCTGGAGGGACAGGACTCTTTCCGCGTTGCGCTGAAGCAATTGCTGCCGCGATTTGCGGACAGGGAGTTTGTCGATACAAGGGTGTGCTGGTACACCGATACGTGAGTCTATCTCCATCATCTTGACCGCGCGAAGAACCGCTCTAATCTTCAATAGGCCCAAGGGTGACTTTATTATTACCTACCACCCCGAGCACGAGGGTCTGTTCCTTGCTACCGGTGGTAGCGGTCATGGATACAAGTTCTTCCCTGTCCTCGGAGACAAGATTGTTGATGCGATGGAGGGAACTCTTGCAGCCACTGAGCCTGAGTTGAGTGAGATGTGGACCTGGTCCCCCACTGCAGTTTCTGACGGCGAGGACTTCGACGGTGATGGTAGCCGGTCCGGAGAGAGGAGAGCTAACCTCCAGGATGAATTGGCTAAGACGAAGAAGGCTTCGCGAAACAGTGTGCTATAGATGTGTGACGAGGTATTAGATGTACATAACTTGAGACTCACAAAAGCATTTGCATTTCCGGGTCGTCGAGCCCTTTGCGCGATCATTGGTTCTCAATCATATCATACTTTGAGGATTCGTCTGAGCTGACCTTGAAATTCTGGTTTAATAGTGCTGGTTCGTGACGTTCGCCATGACTACGGCGCAATTAGGGCTGCTGCGCCTGCCGAACGATTAGCAGTCGTGTCTTCCACCTGAGCATGCCATATACATTCCAGTTGCCATGAAACAGCCTTCTATTGACACAGTCTATTCTACTATAACACCCCTTTTTGCCATTCCGTTCTGTTCACTTGCAAACCTCGCTCAAAAGAGCTGTTATGTTCTCACTTGGACAATGTATTATGAACAGGAGCCGCCTACTACCTCTTATGAAGTTCTGGCTAGCAACCCCAAAATGTCTCGCTCGTTGCACCCAGGAAAATTGTCTATCTGTGTTATAGCCTGCGACTTTTCACATGGACTCTCCGACAAAATTGGACCAGCTAAGAGGCAAGTATTTCAATGTGATTCAGGTCGATAAGCTGCTAAGTATCAAATAGCCATTTGCATACGTCGGGGCTCGGAGTTAAAAGACTTTGCATCTAGTCCATTACCACCCAGCGGAAGGCAAAAAGCGGCCCTCGCTCAAGGCCTCCTTGACTGGTGGTGAGAGCCTACAAACAAAAGACTGCAGGTGTTATTCAGTTTGAATCGACAGCAGAAGCAAGACTGGATGACCGACTGAAAGTCAAGGGGATTGCAGTCATCAGAACTGACATTTGAAGAAAGTTTCAAATGTTCAGCACACACTGTAAAGGGCTTACAGACATCGCCTGTTGATAATGGCTCGAAGCCGAACCTTTATTCGACAAAAGGTACACGAAAGCAATGGATACCATCACGAGCATCAACTGAGCCACAAATGAAATGAGGCTGAAGCTTGTGGTTACGATCATCACCAAGTTGAAATGCTCGACACATTTGCTCCTGCGAAGTCAGAGGAAGGCGAGAGCTGCCTGGCGTATGTTTCCAAGTACGAGACTCCATAACTTCACACAAGCCTCTAGGAGTTCATCATTTCGAATCCGCAACCCACCGGGAGGTCGGTGGGCTTTTTCTTTTACAAAGACACGGTTACAAACGGTCTACCATCTGACCACAGTTCCGCAGGATCAATGGGGATACCAAATTCTGCGGAAATACCGGCAAAGATTTGATCAAACTTACTGATTTGTCTAAAATCCTACCATTTACATTGGGATACTGGGCTGCCGAGATTTTATGCCGAGTCGAAATTCATCGGACGATTCTCGGATGACTAGAGAACCCCGAGCGTACTCACTGTTGCCTGATGAGATCACAAATACTGAAAACTATCCGCGATTGTTCAGTTTTCACGAGCACTGGGCAACAGTTCTCGAGGCACACTTCCGCTTTCCGATAGCGCATACTCGCAACACTTTACTTCAGATCTCGACGAGCTCTATCTCATGGGCTCTCAATGCTCAGACGAGATCAAACATGCCCAAGAGGACCATCCTCCTCCTCCTTATCATATGTAAGATTTCACTTTCTCGGATTTGCTACACATTCTGATGTTTCTTCAAACAGTGACACCACCACTACCAACAACACCTGATGTCACTCCTGAACATGTCTCAGCTTTGAAAGACAAGAAGTCATCAACAGCTCTCGGGAGACTTGAAGAAAATTGCGGAAACTGCGATTCGGAGTGGTTATCATATTTACCCTTCGAAGCAAGAACAAGTCGACTGGAATGGCTTGAGCTCACAATATCTAGGCTTATCAAAGCCGAGTCATAGCCCGGCTTTCAATTCTCTTCAGTTCCGGCCTCAGGGTGTCTGTAGGCAATGAAAACGCAACGAATACAACCTTCGCATGATCGTTTCCTCATAAGCGCTTTCTCGACATACGAAAGCCCATGCTCTGAGCGACTTTCGCAAAAGCTAGAGGACGATGGAATCTCCCGAGAAAAGGATCCACCTCATGCGGCGGTATATGACGAATTTCCGCTACGACAATTGCCTCTATACTTTGGGCGACGGTTCTTGCTCGCCATCGATCTACACATCGTTTCAAAAGCGATGCACAAGGAGCTCAGCCACCACAACCCTCAAATCCATCACAGTGCAAGGCATCGATCATATATGTGCCCAGTTTGCACCGAGGGGTCAGATCGCAGAGAACATGCTCGGCGTGACGATACTCAAAGTCTTAGTACGCCCAGCAGCATACCAAAGGACATGCATGGACGTCAGGAACAGGATGCTCAAGACTGATTCGGTACTCCTCCGATGTCGCAGAAGGATGAACTATCAACAACAACCACAATTTTCCATTTGTGGCCACATAATGAGATGCTCGGACATCCAGGAGAAGACATGTTCAATTTTAGGATGCTCAAGTCGATGGTTTGACCCTCGACTACGTCTTGCCAGACATGGTCTCAGCCAAGGTTCCAGCAAAGAACCCATCCTGGTCTCCAGTTTCTTCCCGCATTTCCTCCTTTTGCGATGGAATGCTGGAGATGGTGGGACATACCAGAGACCAAGCCGATGAAAGCAACTGGCCTTCAGATTCTGCATCAGAGAGGCTGCCACCCCACCACTACCTTTGACAGACCGCGTCTGTACATACACTCTGCTCGCACTGTTGTCTTACCACAAAGAATCCTCTGCCTCGTCGCCATGCACGGGTGCTGTGCGGGCCAACAATTTTCGTCACACCAACTCATTGGCGAGTGTTCCGCCGATTTCTGTCAATGATGACTCCTTTCAGGTTGTTAATTGGTGGACATTGTGAGGGATACAAAGGATATCCTACACTCCAAAACCGGCAATCAATGGTCTTGAATCTTGATCCACTTCTTCTGGCATGAGAGAATATGTCAGACCATGCGCTTCTCAAATCCACACCACTGCCTATTACTTTGCTGCCCAAGAAATGAAAACGACACCACCACGAGTACCTTTGCGCGGGGTGCGATAATGAATCGACTCACCCATCGGCGACGAAATCGACGACCACCGTTTTCAATGGCCCGGAAAGACTGCAGATGATTACCCAGAGTCTGAAATCAGGGGCCCATTTAGCGCCAGCTCTGTTTCCAAGACTACCTAAAACCACTCTTATGGCCATCCACCACCATCATATTCAGGTACGATCAGGATCGGGTCTCCTAGCATGAACCGGATTCTGGAGTTTCATTCCCCCTGGATATGTGAGGCTCTCAATCGCGTCGTCGCGGAAATTGCTTCGAACTCTGCAGAAGGGTCGCCAATCTTAGCTTGTCAAAGACAGAAATCATTTGGTAGCACAAAGAAGACCACTCTATGGGTCGATGTACTCTTTTAATCCTCACTCTCTCTCCTCTCCCATCAAGCTTTGTCTTATTCGAGATCCATCAACTCTCACAATCTCACTGATCCTTTGCCCATCATGCCTCCTTCAAGCAAGTCTTCCAAATCCCACTCCCCTGATCTCTGTGAGGAGCTTGGTTACAAGCGAAGTGATATAAACTACCATCTCAACTTGCACCGCAACACTCTTCGCGACGCACCAGCGGGCCCTGCTCGACTCCCAGATCATATCCAGGCTGCCATTCTTGAGAATCTCTCCCAGCTGATCAAACAACGGGGCTCTGAATATGGGAAGCGAGCTGCTGCGAATCAACTTCTGTTGCAACCGTTTGGCTTAATGAGCCCATGAAATCCATATCGATCCCCAAACGGCTATGCTTTGTATCAAATCGAAACTGTCAGGTGGAGTCACCAGAGCTCCTGGCGAGGGAACCAAAATGGATATGGCTTGTGGGTGAAAGATCTGCAGCAAGATACCTGATTGAAATATCAGATGGCGAAGTGAACATGCCGGGAAACTTCAGTGAGGAACGGGCATGGTTCCACTCTGGATTGGCTTGACTGCAGACACTCAGTACAGATCAAGACTTTCGCAAAACCAATCCAGCAACCTACGCGGACGGGGTCCGTTGTTCGTCTTGGCAATCTACTGACAAGAAAGCACTAAAGCCATACTCCCTGGAGGGCCGGACTACAGAGTATGGTACGGCGAAATGGACGAGCAGACTCGAAATGAGTTGCTCTCCCAGGCAAAAACAAGTGATATCACAGTCGAAATTGCTCAAGCCTTAGAATGCATGGGTAAGTGACCTCCGATCTTCACTGTGTTGTGATAGAGAAGCTGATTGGGAACCAAAGGGTGCATCCACAAGTGAAAGAGATATTGCCCCGTACACAGCTGGCCAACGGTGACCAAGAGATTCACTCCTCGAAATTGTCAAATGACTCCTACGTATGTTGCTCTAACTGCTTGATAGCAAGGATACTAACCTGCAGTAGTGTCCTGAACTTTCGTCAGTATCCGATCAAGCACGATTCGAAAGTTTCGCCATAACTATGCCAAAGAGTCTGTTATAGGCGATGGCCCTGTACACTCGGGCCTTGAGTTGCTACTGAGGCGACCACCAAATCTTCCCTACTGAACACAACGGCATGTTTGCCGACCATCAAGTCCTGGTCGTGGACAAACAGGTTGAACACTGACCAGCCTTTTCTTCGGTCTCTTGTCACATGAAGATGCTCACAGTTCAATTCTGGTTCGTATTTCATTCCCAACCTATGGTTTTTATGCCCTTTGTTGAATTGTTATGAAGAAGCTGACTGAGAACAGAACGCTGTGGAGATTCACTGTCGTATTCAGTGACATGTGGAACTTCATCATCGCCCATCATCGTTATTCACAACAACATTATCCACGATGTTTCTGAAAATGCTCTGGAGTCCGCACGATTTGCCAGACTATATCCCGCAAGAGGAAACGTTTCTCAAAGATTACATCGTATAGTGCTTGTCCAGGTGACTATCGATGACTCGATATTCTTCTTGAATATCTCGAATGATTCCAAAGTACGTACCTCCAACTCCTTGATTGCCAGGATTCTAACCCGCATCAGTGGTTTCAACGTGCCCAACCTATCCCACCTGTCACTTCGCCCGAATCCTTGGATGTTCATCATACATCTCATGCCATGCAGCTGGGATGTTCTCGGCAATTTACTGCATCCATTGCTACACTGTTGGGCATGATAGCGGACTTTACTAGCCATTGAGCAGCAAACAGCACTGGAAACCATAATGATGGCTGCTCGGTCCTCAACAACAAAACTTGGCTCACAAGGTCCAGGTTTGTCACGTGGTTAGGCTTTTCTAACCCTGGTCCCTGTCAGATCAGTCCTGGCTGCCAGAGATGGAGGGAATCTCAAAGCCCTTGTGTGGAGAGAGACCAGGCATGTTTGAAAACTACTATGAACCCTCCACAGTCCACGTTGACAAATCAACTCGGCTTGAGCCGCGAACCAATATCCCCAGAGTCATACTCAAGGACACTATGAGGAAAATTCTGGCGCTGGAATGGGAGCGCCACCCACAAGTCGCTGAAGGCGTCGTGTGAGTTGTGTGCCGCGTTTATACAGAGCACTTGAGCATTCACAAGGAGAGTTCCACTCTGTCACACGACCAAGATGTCTTCTAGGTGTTGCTTGTGCCTATGGCTATCTGATGGCGCCTTTCCTTGCTACTGCTCCCGGAGACATCTCATGCAGAACTACGACATTGATGCAACGGAACGGGGAGTTATTGCAGAGAATTTGGCACGAACATTGCTTCCACTGCGCACCGCGAGCCGACTGATAGATGGACTATCCCCTCGGGCAGTGGGCAGAGTATGTTAAAGAATTGCCCTGAAGTGGAGCAAAAGCAGGCACCTGCGTGCAGAGCTAGGGTATAACAGTTCTGTGGACCGCCAACTCCCGTCGCACATACCCTTTCACCATGCCTGCAGGTTCTCCGTCTAAAGGAGCACAGTCCCAATGTCTCGACGTATGTTGAGAGAGCAGTCATTCGGAGCAACCTGTCTGCGTGTCTCTTCGCGTGAATGGGAGGGAAAAGAATACCATTACCTGCTGTTCATCAATTGTCACCGGAAACAATGTCACACAAAATCATGTGGTTGTTGTCTCACTGAAAAGAAACCTTGTCTCGAGATCCCAATCGTTTCGGAGTCGAATCGTGGTCTCTTTGCTGATGTTGTTTTTGTTTCCTCCCGGCTGTCGGGAAGTGGCCATACTAAACAACCTCAAAAGTTGGCGACCCGGATCGACCAACGAGAACTTTCAACGGGAGCTGTTGAAGGAAAACTTCTATGGAGGGACCAAACCCAGAACCAAATAGAAGAGGCAATAACTGCCGCTGCAGCTCTATGGTGTGCTCTTCTTTCATGAGGTTTAGCTGGGTGAAGACAATCCCGGAAGGCATAAACAGCCTGCAGGACCAAGTCTAGGCCAAAAGGTCGTCCCAAGACTCAGGTCGACTTACCGGGTCGTGGAGGAAGGAAGCTTCGCAGATGGTAACGGCACATGACTTATGATGCTTTTCTCCTTGAAGATCCGCGCGATGACCGTATGGAGTGACCAGCTCGGCAAGGAGGAAATGGTGGCTCATGGGAGATACTAGACCGGATGGATCAGGCCGTCTGGACATGGCCGCTCACACGAACTCTCTGGTAAACATTTCGACTATGGAAAACTTGTGCTCTTGCTTTTGCCCTACGGAGCCGTTGCTGGTTGAAATCACGGAAAATCCAACAGAGTCTGCCTCGTATGCCTCGTGTCAAGAGGGCGAAGGACCTTTCCCTATGTGCGTTCGAAGCAACGTTGCGCGAACTGTCATTGGGATCGCAATAAGTGCACAATCATGAAAAGGCTTCAAACTTCGGTCTTGCTATCGATTCGTTCCATGTCAAAGCCATGGCTTAGCCACGAGATCCAGAGATCCATCATTACGCCTGCCAGCGGGGATCTCTTGTCCTCTGCCGCACGTTCGGAACGGACGTTTCCAAGTTTTCGGTTCCGGAACTTGGCTGGACAAACAGAAATGGCAACCCAATCCATGGAATAGGGAGGCTTAATATATTGCTGCTCCCAGGCGCCAATTGTTGGGAGGTCGCATCACCATACCATCCGCTGACTATGGCAAATTTCGATGCTTCCCTGAATACCGTCGGGGTCTGGGATAGTTCGTACATGTTAACATGGGCCAAGATCATCGACACTTCTTCGAGTCCAATTTGCAAGCTGCCAAGAGCTGGTCATCGCAGGGTATAAATGTGTCCTACAATCCCTACTCCAAGTTGCAGTCGAGTTGGAGTGAAGATATCGGGCAAACACGATGCAAGAAACATCGGCTACTCCCCACAGATTTGCAAAATTTGACCACCTTCCGGCAAAGGACGGACATGTCAGATGAGGCACCTCCTAGCCATGACTGGGGCTCGACAAAGTCCCACCCGGTGATCCAAAGAGACATTCGGTTGTCCAGAGATTCCAGAACCCGTCAGAAAAAATGAAGGTGCAGAGATATAGGAGCCTTATGAGCAGGCTCTTCACAGCGGTTTTAGTCTGCACATCTTTTCGGAGTTTGAGGACATGGGATGGAAGCCCAATAAATGCGTCAAAATACTCACTCGATTTCAAAAAGGATGTGGTTTTCAAGAGAGCTACGACAATGGAATATGAGCTGGGCAATGAATTGGCACTGCTGCGAGAAATTACTCGAAATACAAATCAACACACTCAAGAAACAAGTACCCCAGATGAGGAGATCAGTGTGGGATTGCCACGAAAATGTCTTCAAACCAGAAAAATGCTTCCATCAAGGTCACGCAAAATCCACTTCTCTCATACTGACAAGTGGGTGCGATACGCACATGCCCTGGGACAACAGGCGCCAACTGAACGGTGCAGAGTATCCCCGCACCTGAAATGTGTCGAGAACGAGCACTCCTCACTTAAGGTCGTTTGGGATATATTGCATCGACTAGTGGGCTACCAATCCATGGTGAGCAGAGTCAAACCCCAAAACATACATCACGGAGCACAACCAGGGGGAAAAGGCTATGACATGTTTGCATGAGAGAAATTGCCGAGCTTCTTGAAATCTGCAGTTGAAGTCAGTACCATTGCCTGGAAAGCTGGAAGACTAAAGCATGGAATGCCAGTGCAGGTGGAAGCAGAGCAATGCATGGAACGTTCCTCTCCCTTAGCGAAGCTGCGCCGAGCGCTGAACTGAGAACCCAGAGAGAAAGAAGTGAGAACACATGGAGAAATTGAACTCAGCTTTTCTCTCTGGGTTTCCTGGACTGACTTGAGCTCATGTCTCCAACTTGCCAACCCCATTTAAGATTGCCAGAACCGAAAAAGGAAGTGGCTTAAGGAGGTGCTAGGGTCGCGGTTTGTCAGAACGTTCAACCTTCGATGTTCTCGAGGAATGGATGAATCCAAGTTACAAAGAGTAACGACAAAGGGCACATATAGAGGATACAAGGGAAGGTTACACTACTCTTCGAGCACAAATTTAAGACTGTTTTCAAGTTTTTCATTGGACTACTTAGAAGTAGCCCGTCACGGCGAAAGCCGGTCCATTGTATTCCAGCCAAAGCTAGGAAAGGACTGATCAATAGTGTAGCACGATAGCTTTTTTTTTGGCCCACGTCAGAGTATTGGTCTGCACATGGATAGAACCATTGCAAAAAAGAAAAAAAAAAAGATTAAAACGAGGCAGCGATCGACCGGCGCACAACCGCCTCACTGCTGGTCGCAGCAATCTAAAGTTAGGAAGAAAAAACCGGGGATCATCCAAGAATCGCTAAAACGCCCAACTATGCTTGCATGAAAGAAAATTCGGAAGAGTCGTAAACAAAGAGACGAGGCCCAGACCGAGGTCTGTGGACCTTTGAAAAAAAAAAGCAAGGCAATGTTAATACAAGGTTGAATGCGTAAGCGAGTGATCTTCTGGGCTTTTAGACCTTGCGGAAGTCTGAGAAGGAGGTTAGTATCATTGCTTAAGTAGGTCGCGGTAGAAAGCGAAACTCACCAGAAAGCACAGGGTAGATCAGCTCGAAGGCCTGGTAGATCTCCTCGCGGACCTTAGCACCAGTCAGGACAATCTTGCCACTGACGAAGATCAAGAGAACGATCTTGGGCTTCATCATGCGATAGATCAGACCAGGGAAGAGTTCAGGCTCGTAAGAGCTGAAGTTGTGGTGACGAGAGGCCAGTCCCTCCAAACGGATAGGGAACTTGATATCGCAAGAGCCGACGATATTCTGAATCTTGAAATCGGTGAACTTGGCATTGAAGCCGAGCTTCTGGATGATACGGGCGTACTTGCGCGAGGCAAGCTTCGAGTCATCTTCCGACTTGGCACCGGTCACGACCATCTTGCCAGAGGCGAAGATAAGGGCCGTCGTCTTGGGTTCACGGATACGCATGATCACAGCGGCAAAACGCTAAGAGAAAAGAGCCAAAGTTCAGCCACACTGTACCCTGGTGTGTGTATTCACAGGGAGATGTGGAGTGATAGATACCTTAGGATTGTACTCGGCGTTGCGAGCGTGAAGCGCGATGGTCTTGAGATCAAGACGGCAGTCCAAGTTGACGGTAGCCACGATGTTCCTTTATGGTGATAACTAGTTCAGCCATTCTGGTTCACCCAGAAAAACATCAAGAGTATACTCACTGCAGGGTAGGGACGATGCCCGAGCTTCCGGTGGTTGCGCCAGGGGTCGCGGCTGGAGTCGCAGGAGACGCGGGAGTCACCCCGGTGCCGTTGGAGGCATTGCCGGCCTGCTGACCGTTGACCTGAGCATTGACACCCTGTGCCAGAGCTTCCTTCTCGGAGTTGGGAGGGGTCAGATCTCCAGCCCCACCAGGGAAGGACAGGGACGAGGTAGCAGTGAAGGCACGAGCCTGCTGCGCATTCGAAGGGTGTGTGGTAAGAGAATCCATGTTGGAGACTCGAGTGGCCACTTTTGTGTGGTTTGATAGAGGTAGCTGCAGGAGAGAATGGTAAGCGATGAATGGACAAGTGAATGGTGGGAATGGCGACAAAGGATGAATAGGATTGGCGAATGAGATGATGCGACAGCAAAAAATGCAGCGCAGCGAAGTCAAAGCGGTGTAAGGAAAAGAGGTCGAAGTGAGATAGAAGCGGCAGAAAGGTGGGCGGAATGCCGTGGCAACAACGCGGGCAACGGGCAACAACGCGAGATGCAAATGAACAACACGTGAGTGCAGGAAAGTGCTTACCTGGGAGATGGACAACTCAATGTATCCCCCTACGAGGTATTCGCAAACTTTTCTTGTGATATCACAATGAATGCAGCGAAACCAACGCAGTCGATGAACCGAAGTCAAGCAAAAGAAAATCACACTGAAGTGTTTTCTTTTCCGGCGACGGCGATATTATGGACGCAAAGCAACTTGTTTTTTTTTTCCACCTTTCACACAAAGATGAAAGTGTTTTTGTTTTCTTCTTGTTCTCTTCGCTTTTGGAATGGGATTGTGTCTATCTGTGATAACGAAAAAAAGAGAGTGGGTTGGTTGGGAAGCGAAACCGGAGGCTTGTCTTCTATATCAGTCCGTTGGGGGTCAAAAAAAAAAAAAAAAGAAACCTTTCCCTTTAGGAGTGTCAGATAATCAAAGATTAGATCTGAGAGCAGATATGGAACTGCTGGGGAAGAAGATATTCCGAAAAGAGATCCGCCAAGACCGAGACTGGAATCCCAAAAGCGAAAAATGGGGGAGGTTGGTCCCTTTTATAGTGCTGAGTCACAGCTTAGGAGAGGCTGGGCTCCGGTGGCGCCTAAAGCAGCACTCCCTTCAACCGTGGTTTGTTTGACTAGCGGCTCTGAGGGCCCCTCCGTTGCTGGTTCTCTCGTCTCATTCGTCTATTCCCCCAACATCCCCCCCACTGTGACTTCGATTTTCGCCCCTGAATGGTTAACTCACCCTTGCTTTTTCTTCCTCCGGTGCGGGCGTTGGCGCCCACCCTGCAGCTGATAGTCCCCCGTCATCCAATCATCGCCCATCATCGTCCCTCGGCCGCTGGGTACGACGCGCTATCCTCTTGCCGCTTTAACAGATGGCAACTGAACAAAAATTCTTTGAGATTTCTGATTTTTTTGCCTTGTTTCCTCCCCTACCTTTCTCTGACCTCACCACCATTATAGCTCCCCGTGGTGATATAACGGACATCACTGTTCGACAGGGGTCGTGACTCGTTTGCAGGTTGGCTCTTTTTTTTTTCAAACACTTTTTTCCCATCTTAAGCGCCCAGAGGTCTCCCCTTCAAACAGCATAATTCCCATGAGGACAGGTGGCCGTTTGGATTCTGCCTGGCGGTGGCGCTCGCGTTCGCGTTGATCCACTGCCAAGACTGGATGGATCTCACGGTATGCGTTCTGGCGATCAATCATTTCAGCGTCCTTACTCAATCGGCACATACTCCATACTCCGTACTGAAAATATGGTTGATATGCTGGAGTTATTTTCATCGTTATGATATGAGCAAGGTATTCCAAAGTATTACCCAGTACATTTTCCCCGATAGAGTTCCGGTATGGAGTATGTCCAGTATGTCACGTATCTCAAATACCATACCGGAAGCGGCGCAGTCGTCACATTCCAGCAAACGCAGTAATATTACGAATTACGGAACACCGCGCCGCGGCTCCCAGCCTATTACGGAGTACTCGGAGTACAAAGAAGTACACCTGGGCGGTATGTTTTGTTTTGTTGTTTTGTTCGTACGGAGTACTCCGGGTACCAGTCGAGGTTGCTCTCTAGCATATAAATCTGCGATCAACATGATGTCAATATTCTTCAGTGACAGATATTTGACAGGTAGCAAAATGGCTTGACCAGAAAAAAGCATGTGAAGCATGTGATTCATCAGATAGGCGCTTACTCTTAGCGCTTGACTTAAAGAGCATACAAAAGTGAGATTCGGCCACTTGGGGCTTATATGGACAGGGTACGAAAGTACTCATCACACTTGAACATATGCTACATATCGTACTCCGTACTCCGTACTCCGTACAGAGCTAATGCTGGTACGGATCGCGGCGTATCCTGATCTGCGTGGATCAGGGTGCCTCCGTTTTCGGATGTAATGCCTGAGGCCATAGTCGGGATAATCGCCTACTCTCCCATTGGCCGAACGAAAATGCCGAGGGTAGGCGGTTTTTCGGCGTTTTGTCAAGTCGACCTTGAACGTCGGCTACTGAACTCTGGGGATTTCCATGATCTAAATATCCTGCTGCTCCGCATCTAGCCTCTCAATTTGGTCATGCCCATTTCCCCTCACTAATACTAGGTCTCAGTGTGACCTCTGCAAATCCCTTACCATGGCCTCGAAAAACACCGTTCTACCTCTGTTGAGGCGTGAACTCCGATCTACCTCTCGATTCTCACGATGCTCCTCCATCCCCGCCATTGCCACCCCGGCTCGTCAACAGACGCAGTCTAGAGCCTTTGGCACACGGTTAGCGCAGCGCACAACACTCTTCCAACCAACCCAGACCCGCGCCTTTTCGCAATCCCTATCAAAACGCTTCACCGACGAGAATGGTGACTTTGATCCTCGCTCATTGGAGCGCGAGTCAGATGACGTGGACGTATGCATCGTCGGTGGTGGTATGTTGGTGGCGTGTTGGTTCCTTCCCCGTCAGCAACCCAACTAAATTTCGGTCACAGGTCCCGCCGGTCTTGCCGCCGCCATTCGCTTGAAGCAGCTTGCCAACGAGGCAGGAAACGAGGAATTCCGTGTTATTCTGTTGGAAAAGGCTGGTGAACTGGGTGCCCATATCGTTTCCGGAAATGTTTTACAGCCAACCGCCCTCAATGAGCTGCTTCCCGACTGGCTATCTGAGGATAACCCCTCGCGCTTCGAGGGAGCGACCCCCGCCAAGGGTGACAAGATGCGCTTCTTGACTAAGAACGGCTCCTACCCCCCTCCCTACCCCACCACAGATGCATAATGAAGGAAACTACATCGTCAGTTTGAACGAGCTGACCAAGTGGTTGGGCGAGCGTGCTGAGGAGGTTGGTGTGGAGGTTTACCCTGGGTTCGCGGCCAGTGAGATGGTCTACAGCTCGGATGGTGCGGTGAAGGGTGTTGCGACAAATGATCTGGGACTCGGTCGGGATGGCAAGCCCAAGGAGACCTTCGAGCGCGGAATGGAGTTCCATGCCCGTGTGACGCTTCTCGCTGAGGGCTGTCATGGCAGTTTGACCAAGCAGGTCTCGAAGAAATATGATCTCCGACGCGACAGCCAGCCACAGACATACGGTCTTGGAATCAAAGAGATCTGGGAGATCCAGCCTGAGAAGTTCCGCTCTGGCGAGATCACTCACTCTATGGGATATCCCCTCCCCAAAGACACATACGGTGGAGCATGGATGTACCACTTCGGCGACAACATGGTGAGTATTGGCCTGGTGGTCGGACTGGACTACCCGAACCCGTGGCTCTCCCCTTACGGAGAGTTCCAGAAGATGAAGCACCACCCGATGTTCAAGGAAGTTCTCGAGGGCGGCAAGTGCATCTCATATGGTGCCCGAGCCCTGAACGAAGGTGGTTTCCAATCAATCCCCAAATGTGCCTTCCCCGGTGGTGCCTTGATCGGTGACACTGCTGGCTTCTTGAACGTACCCAAGATCAAGGGCACTCACACTGCGATGAAATCGGGTATGCTGGCAGCCGAGGCCACTTTCTCAGCACTCCAGAGCGAGAATGAAGGTACCGTTTTCCTGTTCGACTACGAGAAGTCTCTACGGGACTCGTCTATTTGGAAGGAGCTGTCTGAGGTCCGTAACATCCGGCCTTCATTCAACTCTCCGCTCGGTTTCTTCGGTGGACTCCTCTACTCCGGTCTGGAAGCCTATATCTTCAAGGGTCGCGTACCTTGGACTCTCAGCCATCACGGCACGGATGCCGCAGCTACCAAGCCCGCGTCTGAATATGAAAAGATCGAATACCCCAAGCCAGATGGCGAGATCAGCTTCGACATTTTGACTAGTGTGAGCCGCACAGGCACCAACCACGAGGAGGACCAACCCGTTCATCTGCAGGTGGAGGACTGGGATAAGCACAAGGACATCGCCTGGCCCAAGTACAAGGGTGTGGAAAACCGGTTCTGTCCCGCAGGCGTCTACGAGTACGTGGAGGACCCGAGCAAGGAGCACGGAGTCCGGTTCCAGATCAACGCTCAAAAGTAAGTGTACCCATTTTTTCCTGTTCTGTTCTCGAGCGACGCTAATACCCCGGACAGCTGCATCCACTGCAAGACTTGTGACATCAAGGTGCCTACGCAAGATATCAACTGGCAGACGCCCCAAGGTGGAGAAGGACCCAAATACATGCTGACCTGAGCTGCGAGTCCATACATTTTCTTCTTAATAGGCCTCTGGTCATGTACATATAAATATTCCAATAGAAGCAGAAAAGGGCACAAGAGGGAAGAAGCGTACTCCGTACAGAACCAAAAAAAGAACAGACCCGCCCCATGGGGCAGAACCGTGGAATGTTAGTGGAGAGTCCCTTACATTGAAGTATATCGCAGACAATATACATTGTACTTGAATAGGTCAACTAGATCTATACTTCCATTCACTCTCGTGGGATGTATCTATTTTAATTAATAAACAATATTTGATCAAAAATAGGAGAAAAACAAAAAAAGTCGACTCATCGCGGTGGGACCACGTGGATCTCAGCAAAAAAAGTGAGGCGGCCAAAGTTTCGCAGTCCACCGCCAGATGGTACTTTCTTCTCTTTCCCCTCCCTTTGCGTCTCGCTGCTCGGTGGTTTGCGCTTTCTGCTTTTGGTTTCTGTTCTGTTTGTCATTTCGGTCTGGGACAACTCCGCTCATTTGCCCCGGCTCCTGTTTACGCGCTTTCTTGCATCCGCTGGCGCCTACGTTTCACAGCATTTGGATCTTCACCTCTGGATCTCCCGGCCACAACTTCTCTCTTCTCTCTCTTAATTTTCTCAAACAACCGCAGCCATGACTGAGGTGTCATCAACCCGCCTTTATCTTGGGAATCTTCCCCGCAACGGTACGCTGGCACACCTGACTTACTCCCCTATTCCCTGAGTGCCCGCACCCTGCATGATCGGATCCCTCCAAATGGTCAACCTCCCATGTACTCTGCCAGGTGGTTCTCGTGATCTTATCTGCGAATCGCCCTGGGGGCCCACCCTCGACGGGAACTGCAAGTGGGAGAGCTTCAGCCACATCAGCATTCGCCTCGGACCCCCCGCCTCTTCAAGGCCTAGCCCGCCTCACTCAGACCTCGCTTTGATAGTGCTGCGCTAACGTGTTTCCTCTGCTTTTTCTCACTGCAGTCACTAAATCAGACATTGAAGAGCACTTCAGCAGCCATGGATCTGGTAAAATCACGGAGATCAAACTGATGAATGGCTTCGGCTTCATTGAATATGACGATCAACTCGATGCCAGAGACATTGTGCCTGGTATTAATTACCCGACTTCCCTCATGTGTGCTGACCTTGCTAATCAGATTCATCTGCAGCTTTCCGTATGCTCCCATGACATTTGCTGACTCGACATGACATATCGCTTATCCTTACCACAGATGGCAGTGATTTCAAAGGTGAACGACTTACCGTGCAGTTTGCGCGTGGCCCACGCCGCAAGGAGGCCTTCCCTGGTCCTCCTGACCGCAATGCTGTGCCTCGTCCTCGGCGCACCGTTTTCCGCATGCAGATCTCCGGTCTTCCAGAGACAAGTTGGCAGGTTAGCAGCCCATCATCATTTCCCTTTCTGGATTCCCCGGCGTAGATTCCTAAGCCCATCTCCATTTTTGTTTTCTTCTCTCCGTTCGCACATGCTTCCAGTCCATGAAAGTCCATCGGTTGAGTCGAGGATCCCCGAGCACTAATCAATTAGCACTTCTGCTGGATTGGCTTGTGGCTGGTCCTGGTGGTTTCGTCTCATGGAAATGAGAGCTCCCATTCCCTTATCGGCTTGCTGTTCCCTCACCAGACCTCGTAGTCCCCTTCCTGGGGGCCATGAGAAGGCCAACATAATCTGGCCATTTTGGAACTATCACCCCGGACTGGACATGGAAATCTCCTCTTCTCTTTTTCCTCTCTCCACCTGGATCCGCCGGACACTTTTTTTTCTTCTTCCTTGGACCTGGACTCACCATGCGTTGAATAGGACCTGAAAGACTTCGCCCGCCAGTCTGGACTGGACGTGGTTTACTCCGAGACTGGCCGTGAACAGGGCAGAGGGTGGGTTATTGTATTCCAAACAGAAAAATCATTCCTTTCCATTAACAGTTGAACAAGGTTTGTGGAATTTGAAACCGCCAACGACCTTAAGACCGCCGTGGAGAAACTGGACCAGCGAGAGTTCAAGGGCTCAACCGTCTCTTGCGTTGCCGATGTAAGCGCCCAACCCAGGAACCAGGAGGAAACCACCTCTCACCAAATCCTAGATCCAAAGCTTCGAGGAACGCCCCCCGCGCGACCCCTACAGGTCTCGCTCCCCACCTCGTCGCCCTTACCCGGCCCCAATGGATGAATACGACCGCCGGATCCCCCCTCCTCGTGGCTACAGTCCCCGCGACCACTACCGTGAACGCTCCCCAATCCCCATCCGCCGGGATCCCTACTATGAACGGGATGGCTATGCCCGCCGGACTCCCCCTCGTCCCCGGATGGAAGATTACCCTCCCCCTCGTCGCCCCTACGAAGACCATCCCTATGATGCCCGGGCTCCCCCTCCCCCACGCCACTATGATGATCCCTACCTGGCTGCGCGCGCCTATGGTCGTCCTCGCTCTCCTCCGAGAGGTGACTATGTTCCTTACGACCGTCCTCGCTACTGGTAGATGGCTGAGCTGAGGGGGTTTACGGTCCACTGCTTGTAATCTCGTCTTCGTCTTCGGTTTCATCCTGGTTGCTTTTCTTTCTCAAATTCCATTCCGCCAAATACCCGCAACGTCTCGTACTGATTTTATGGTGCCATGATTGTTTTTTCACCTGCCGAGGTTTCAGCGTGTTCTCGCGGCCGGATTTTCTCGTCTACCTGGCGACTGGACGGACTGCGCGAGGTTTTTTCCTTTTTTTATTTGTTCTTGCAGATAGCTCGGCTTTGAGGAATGTGGGTGGGGGACTTTTACGGTTCTTGCCTGCTATCTGAGATGCCCGGGCTATTGTATCTGTGTTAGCATCTGAAAATACTAATTCTTTCTTGTGTCTTGTGTTGTCTATAGATATTAACAGTTTCCGGAGTTGGTAGGTTCGTAATTTCAAGGTTAACCTTGGAAATAAAGTTCTACGAAAGTTGGAAGTATATATCTCCAGGACTTTGATACTATACTCAGACCCTTGGGACATGTCCATAACTTATTGAATTGCCGACCAAACAAAATACCAGGTCCTGTTTTCTACCTTGAGCAGCACACTGCTATGCACAAAAACCTTGGAAACAGTGGTGAAACGTCAATATCCATCACCTGGGATGTTGCCAACACAGTCGAGATCCGGATTTTGGCGTCATGATCTGCAACCGAGCCCCGCTAAAAATCCCCCAACTTGTTCTGCAACATAGCTTCCAAGGTTGGCCTATACAACATCTCCCTCTCAATCCACACACTTCAACTCCCAAATTGAGAAAAAAAAAAAAAACCAAAATGCCCGACTCAATCCGAATCCCATCTCGCCCAGAGACCCTAGACACCGTTCGCCTACGCAACATCGAGCTCCCCCTCACTGCCCCCGAAGCCTGGCACCGCGAAGGCAAACCCCAACCATGCACCGCAACCCTTAAGCTCTCATACTCCTCCATCGTCGGAGCCGCCGATACAGACGACGTCTCCCTAACACTCGACTACGGCAAGCTCTTCCGCCGATTGCAGGATAATGTCCACACCTTCGTCCACCCCGTCACATCACCCGAACACCCAGCCAGACACCTGGTAAATTTGCAAGGCGGTCGATGCGAGGAGATGAACAACGCAGCATTCGGACAAGATCCACGCGTCACTGCTGGAATCGTTGCCAGTGCCGGCCTGGATATCCTAGATGAAACAGCTGCCGCTGTCATTTGTCGGGACAATGCTTCCATCTCAGCGGAGTACGCCGAGTGCGAGGTCGAGCTGCGATTCCCTAAGGCTATTCTGCGCGCTGAGCATGGACTTTGGTATCGTAGTGTCACGGCGTTTGGATATACGCCTGCGGACTTGCGGTGCCCGGTTGTTTTGCAGGAAGAATATCGTATTGATGGGATTCGATGCTATGCGATTTTGGGAGTCAACTCCCATGAGAGACTTGAGAAGCAGGCTGTTATTGTTGGACTTAGGTTCCAGGGCCCTGGTCAACAACCTTGGGGATCTAAGGTTGTTGAGACGTATCAGGCTGTGACGCGGGCTGTGGCTGAGGTTTGTTCCTGTCTTGTTCCCTTTTTTGTGCTTCGAGTTTGGCTGACTTGGTTTGATTCACAGAAAGTCGATGAAACTACTTTCCAGAGCGTGGAGTCGCTGGCTACTTTCATTGCTCATATCGTTACGGTCGACTTTGGGAATGAGTCTGTCACTGTTAAGGTTGAGAAGCCTAGTGCTTTGGCCTTTGTTGAGCTCTCCGGCGTGGAAATTACTCGCTCGAAGGCTTTCTTCGATACTCATCGTCTTCCGGAGCCGCGTGAGTAAGTCAAGAGATGGTCCAGGAGCAGGAGGACCGAGATATGTAATTTTGACAAAAAAAAAGATATCACCTTGATGTATAAAAATCTGTTCACTTGAATATGTACCCTTGAACATCATTCAGCTATAGTAATTCGCCTGACTCGAGTATGTATAGATCGCCATAGATCTGAGCAATAAAATCATCGGAATGTCAGCACGACACGTGAGCACCAAATCGGGCTTAGTGCTGAGCCCCCGGATTTTCCATCTGAAATCTGATTGTCGATTCTTTGTCGACCATTGTCCTCTCTGTGGGAGAAGAATTAACATATCCCTTGAAACCCTTGGAAAACTTGAAAGACTCGCATTTTCTCTATGTGCCCATCTGCACCTTCACTGCTCTTGACCTCGCTTACCGGCGCCGACTCGAAAACCTCCTTCCTGGAATTTCACCACTCACCAGCTCCTGACGTTTACGTGTCCGCACACACCGTGCTCGCTCCTTCCGCCTTGGCTTGCGACGCCTCCATTTGCGAGGTGACTTGGGCAGGGGTCCCGGGTCCGTCCTGAAGAAGGGCGGACGGTAAACCTGCTCGAGGTTCGTGCTGGTCGCAGATCAGTCCGCGCACTCAGTTCTTTGCTGAATGCAACAAATCTCTTAGTTGAAGTAAGGCTTCCACCCTCCTTGTTGTCGTTTGTTTTTCATCCCTAGTTCCTATTACGTTTTTACCTTGGCGAGTGGTAGTGGGGGTTTGAGAAATCTCTCACTTACCCCTCTATTCGGCTCTACGATTCACGATGAAGGATCTTGCGGCTAATTCGTGCTTTCATGTGGATAGTGAATGTTAGAGAGGTATTTTATATACTTCCCTACCGTTTGATCCAACTGCGCAAGGTCAATTGTCCAGCCAGCGGTTATCGCCGGCGCTTTTCCCCGAACCGATCGGAGTGTTTCGCGAAATTATTCCTCGAAATACAAAAGCGAAATGCCTTCTTCACACGCTGACGACCTCTCGGTCGGAGACGTGTTCGCGCCGCAGGCGGATAGCGAACAGTCCGTCATCGACCCTCCGGCCAATCACCGCCTCCCCAATGCACACATGGGCAACATCTCGACTCCCAAGGCCAAAGGGCTTACTGGGCTTGCGAACCCGGCCTTGACCCCGGATCTTTTGCCGAAGTCGCAGCGACGCAAGAATAAGAAAAGAACCGAAGCCCCAGCCGCGGCTTGCGCCACCGTTCACGGCTTCACGCCTATGGCCTCCGGCGACGAAGAATCGGATTTCTCCGCCGCTAGCTCCCGTGCACCTTCTCGTCCCCCAACCGCTTTGGGCGGCGCAAGCCCCTTGGCGCAGCCATCGAATGGTCATGGAGTCAGCGCGCTGAAGCTGCAGCTCAGCACCCTTAATCTGTCGGACCAGGCTGATATCAGCGAACTTGTCTCTCAGACGCCCAGCATTGCCAGTGTGTGCTCCGACAGTGATCAGACCGAGATTTTGACTAGTTATGAAATCCCGCTGGATCAGGACTTTGTCAGTTCCGACGCGGTGCAACCCGAGGATCGCAATGCGGGTAATGCCGGTATGGACTTGGATTTGCGCAGTCAACTGTGCCGGAAAATGACAGCAGATGATTTCGTCCCTATCCTTTGCCTGGGCAAAGGCTCGTTTGGAACGGTTCTACTTGTGCGCCACGTCGTCACAGGCAAGCTGTATGCCCAGAAACAGTTCCGGAAGGCGTCGATCACCGTTCATAAGAAGCTTGTCGAACAGACCAAGACAGAGCGCACAATCTTGGAGAGTGTCAACCGTCACCCCTTTGTTGTTAAGCTCTTTTACGCTTTCCAGGACCATGAGAAGCTTTACCTTATTCTTGAATACGCGCAAGGCGGTGAATTGTTCCATCACCTTGCTATGGAGCGCATGTTCCAGGAAGACGCCGCGGCATTCTATATGGCTGAGATGGTCCTAGCCCTCGAGCACTTGCATCAGAATGTCGGCGTCCTCTACCGTGATCTGAAGCCCGAGAACTGTCTCTTGGACGCTCAGGGTCATCTGCTTCTCACAGACTTTGGCCTCAGCAAGATCGCCCTCAACGACGATGACCGCTGCAACTCCCTTCTCGGCACCATCGAGTACATGGCCCCCGAGGTCATCCAAGGAAAGCCTTACGGCAAAGCCTGTGACTGGTGGTCTCTCGGTGCATTGGGTTACGACCTCCTCACTGGCGCGCCTCCCTTCCGCGCAGGCAACCACGCCAAGCTCCAAGAGAAAATCGTCAAGCAGAAGCTCGTGCTCCCCTACTTCCTAGGTCCAGACGCGAAAGACCTCCTCACACGCCTCATGCGCAAGGAGCCCTCCAAGCGCCTCGGCTACCACATGCAAAAAGACCTACAGACGATCAAGAAGCATCGCTTCTTCCGAAAGATCGACTGGGCAGCTCTCGAGCGACGCGAGCTAGATCCACCCATTCAGCCCGTCGTGACCGACCCCGCGCTCGCAGAGAACTTCTCAGTCGATTTCACCAATCTGCCACTTAGCCCCACGATCACAGCGACAGGGTTCGATGAGTATTATGCCAATGGCAAGGATTGTCCGGAGAGCAGTGAAGAGAATGCGAATGGCATCGGAGAGAGTAATCCTTTTGGTGGATTCAGCTATGTTGCCTCAAGTAGCTTGCTGGATCATGGCCTGGGCGTGATGACTACTGGCTATTGACTATTGACTGGTAAAGGAAGTACATGTACCTTCGCCCTTTCATGCGTTTTTGAATTCAATTGCATTTTGCATTGCCTATGCGCTATCATTCTCGCTTTCGCTTTTCGGCTGCAAAAATCATTTGCATATTCGGTGTTCATCTAGCTTGTACGGAGTCTTTCAAACCTCACACATGTCCAATCCACCATTTTCAATCCATTCAAAGCTCAAAATTATAGAACTCTTTGAATGACCCTTTTAGCTACATAGAAGATTCAATCCTCGGACCAATCTTCATGTCTTTTGTGGAGCACGAGTATTTTCATATCTAAACCTCACCTCAACGCCCTAGAGACACGACATGGACGTTTTGCCTTCTCGTCCTGCTCTACTATGTAACTCCTTTAGTGCCTAAGTAATCATTTCAAAGCACCGTGCCAATTCGTATCATATAAATCATTCATTAGGGTTCATCTAAAAAGCTATATAGCATCGACTTTTTACAACTTTGTAGTACTCTCCTCGCGACCAACAAGGTTAGGGTGCCCGTCATTCATCGGTCGGGTAACAGCGTAGAAAGCAACACCCTCCGTCTTTGTTGAGAACTATCAATTGAGTCAGCAAGTGTATCCAGGTTGATGTACAATGTTCCGAGAATAAAGAACTAACCTGAGCCTTGGATCCAACATGGAAGAAAGCCCAGTCTCCAGCGACGAGGTGGTGGGTCTTTCCAGTGGCCTCATCCTGTATGTTATCAGTATCATAAGGTTTGCAATAACTATATCGATTTCGAAAATTTGGGATGTGTGGTCTTACTGTAATGTCGATCTGACCCTTGAGCACATACTTGGTCTCCTCGTAGTCGTACGCGCCGAATCGTGTAGGTCCCGGGACCACGCGGTAGAATCCAGTAGTCAGGTATGGGGTCGAGTGTGAGCTCTGGGATTTGATTGAGTGGAAGTCGGCGATAATGGCGCACTCGCCATCGGGGATGGGGATGAGCTCATTGCCGGCGCCCTTGATAATGGTAAGAGGAACGAGGTTGTTAGACACTGGAGATGGAGCATGTTAGTACCAGATACCAGATTGTAGATGCTTGAGGGGTATCTTACTGTTGAAGGTTATAGATATAGACTAGAGATATAGACTAGAGATATAGACAAGTAGGTACGAGACAAGCTGTCAAGAGCTTTTATATACTTGAAACGGAGATATAGACATTGTGATCCGATCTGGAGATACGGGGTACGGGGTACGGCTCCGGGCCGTAGCTCCGTGCTACCCCTCAAGCTTATTCTGATGCGGCATGCCACTAAGCTATTGTATGTCCATGGATATAAAGAGGATGAGTATCGGCGAATTAGAAGTCATCGGGTGAGGTGGACCGAGACGTGTAACGTGATCGGGACCTCCACGGGCCTCGGCCGGATTATCGAACCCTATCTTCCTTTGTATCTAGCAGTGTTCTGGGGCTTACTTTCACTCGAGCATTATACTAGCTAGCTAGAGGTCTTGAGTGCCAGACACCATCCGGTACGGTGTACATTTGGGCTTAACCTTTTCTGCCGCTTCCACATCGTACTGTTAGTTATAGAGCTCTTCATTGGGTTGGGTTGGGCCCGAACCTCAGGCCAAGTACCTGCTGAACTTCCCACCGCCAGTGCATGAAAGAAGGTTCTTGGCCCCAATTCCTCCCTTCTCGCCTGACCTATGTAGTGTAGTGAGGGCCTATGCTCTCCTTATGATTGCTACTTGGGTGCCTTCTCTTTGATACATCACTATTCCAAGGTTGATGGGCCAAAGTATCCAAAAACGTGCTCAATTCTACCCCGAGATCAAAAAACGACAACAGGTGAGCACCAAGGTGAAAGAGGAAAGTTCTCGAGTGCCTGACATTATCCGGTATACATGCTCCCAAGTCATTTGTTTCCAAGGTCTCCCCCCACCCTGCTGCTTTCAAGAGGAGAGGGCTCACTCCGTACATATGTATTACAAACGCCATAGTTTAGATGGCAATACAAAAGAAGCCTCATAGGAGAATCTTGAGGGCATTCAATGCGCAATCTGAATCCTCGATCAAAACAAACGAATCCAGAACTCGGAACAAATGTTGAGCACATTAAGTATTTTTGGCATTTCAATTTCATGAAGTTTCGTCTAAATCTCCCAGACCAGGACAAGGAACAGCATCCAAAGTATGCGCGCAATAAGAGCAAAGGTCAAAAAAACACAAGAGACTGTTTCTTCGCTGCCCAGCCGAGGCTAACCACGCAAACCTACTTTTTCCACGCTTCGGAATGACAGATTCAAAAAGTATCAGCTCATATCTCTCCTTCCTCACTTCCTGCGCCCTCATCCTCGACATTATCACCGCTTGGCTTCGTCTCAGCAGGAAGGGCATTTGAAGAGGTATTGACCCGATCATTCTCGGAGACTTCGCCTTCTTCGGCACTTGAGTCTTTGGTACCGGCTTGCGCAGACCCGGGTGGTTTTGGCGGGAGTGAGCCGGTGGGAATGCGAGATCGAGAGGTCGGGAGCTGTGTTTCGCTGGGAAAGTTCGGCTCCACGGAGGGAGTGACTGTTCGCTGGCGCTTTGGTGAGCGCTCTGCGCCATTGCCATTTAGTGAGGGTTGATTGTGAGCAGAATTTGGGGTGGTAGCGTTTGCAGGGAGAGACTCTGGCTCGCGCGAGCGCTTTCGGCCATTTGTGCTTGTTTCGTCGGTTACGGAGAGAGAGGGTGGTTTGGAGGGTTGTTCGGAGGCGGACTTGGTTTCGTCAAAGCCGCGGGTTGGGTCTGTGGAGAAGGTCTCTGAGATGGAGAATTCAGGATAGTTTTTGCTGAGTGTTTGTTGGACACGCTCGTATATTTCGACGATGGTCGTGCATGCGCGGATGAGATCTTCGAGTCGGACGTCGAATTGTTCCCACCACGGTCGACCTTCTGCGTCATCTGGGAAGGAGATTTTCGCGTGTCGGGCCGCAGCGTACAGTGAAGCTGCGGCGATCACGCGCGGAGGGAACTGCAGGCAGATAACGGTATATGTGGAATCGTTGAGGAAGGCCCATGAAGAGTGCTTCAGGGCACGGTTTTCTTGAACGCCGAGGTAGCAGGTGTACTCCCAGAGAACGCGGTAGGGTGATTCAAGTTGTAGATCGAAGGACAGGAATTCCAGCATCACACTTTCATTCTGCAGAATCAAGTCTCGCCATTTCCAGTAATCCTTAGATTGTTCGTCGACCACTAAGTTCGACTGCTTCATAGCGACACGACAACATGCGATGACAAAATCTTTCATGCGACGCATCGTTTCATCCACCTTGAAAGCAACAAACAGCGCAACCGCTGCAATCACCTTCGGGTGCATCAGGTCCGATCCCATCTCCGGATATTGGCCCATGAGCGAATAGCGCATCAGAAACCGATGCAGATAGACCGTCGCGGTCATCGATGTTTGCGGGGGCATCTTCAACATCAGACTGACTTGCCATATAAATTCGACAGCACGATGCCGGATGTAGTCCTCCTTCTCACGTTCGATCTTGTCATTTCGCGACGGCGTGCGATCGAACTCGTCCTCGGTGAAGAGCCATTTCTGCTGCTCTGCGTCAATCACTGGGTTGGGAAGGCCTGGGATGCGCGGTTTTGAAGTTGGTGCGGATGAGTCCATGGTTGCGCAATTTGAGGGTCGTAGGCGAGATATGAAGAAGGGAAGAAAGAGAGGTTGGTGAGTCGCGGGGGGTTTCCTTTTTGTAAGGGGTGGCTATGGCTGAGGCGCGCCCGCGCGCATGTCCAGTGAGCTATACGAGTCTGATTTCCAGTTCGTTGTGAGGAAGCAGGTTCAAGCTAGCATGACGGAGCTTTGCGGGAGCAAATATAACGACGTGACAGAGTCTGGTGATGGGGATCCTGTGAGCTCGAAGTGAGAACTGAGAAAAGAGAATTGTTTGAATAGAAACACAGAGAGCAAACAAAGAGAGGAGAAGAGGTGGTAGGGCTGCAGAGGATCAGTTCATCTAAACGTTGAAATGCAAGTGAAGCTTTGTGCTTAGTCATGATCACGGATATCAGGTTAGTTACGCGGAAGCAGCCAGTCTGAGATGGTCAATACAATAGAGATGAATTGGTTTAAATATGCAATTGATGACATGTCACTATGAACAGTTGAAACAAGTGGTATCTTGTACTTTGGAAATCGAAATCCTCCCTGGCGCCACGCTTATACTACAATGCAATCCACAAATCACCAAGTCCCAATGCCGTTTACTCTTCCTCACTGACTTCACTCTCATCGTCACTGGGAACATACTGTCTAGCTGGTGGCTGACCATATTGGTGACGGGCTTCCTCCTCGCGAGCACTCTGCTCGAAAGCAGCCTCCATCTCCGCCGCCAGATCATCATCCTCTTCAACCTCGTCCTCTTGAGCAGCCGCGCCGGTATGAGTAGACGATATAGGCGGTGCATCATTGCCAGCCGGAGAAGGCAGACTGAACTCCCCGATATCTTCTTGTTCATCTCCATCGGCCGGAGTATTATTAGACGAAAAGTAGGCAGGATTGACCTGGAACGACCGTTGTGGCGGCGGAGAGCCCATATCAATAATAAGATCCCCATCAACAATAATGTTTGAGTCCGGTGATTGCGCCCCAGTCTGCTGCGACCCCGTTCCTGCATCAGACACCGACGGCGACGGCGACGGACGCGAATCCTTATGTCCGTGTTCAGACCGGTCAGGTTGCCTCGCAGGCTCAGGTCTCGGAGCGGCCTTGGGTTGTGGTTTCGGGGCCTTCTTCTGTCGCAGCGGGTTCGCTTGTGTCTTGGGCCGAGGCGCGGGTTTCGGAGCAGGTCGGGAAGCAGGCATCACAGGTGTAGGTGCTCTGCTGGGAATTGGTTCTGGGGTAGTCTGTCCGGAAGTAGGCTTGTCGTCTTCCTTGCGGTTCTTGGGGAGGAAATGGCGGAAATCGTACGGGTTGCTGTCGTCGGCGGGACCCTCGTCTTCACTGGTACTGCCTGTGTGGCGGTCATCGCTGGAGGTTGCGGGCTCATCTTCCTCCTTGATTTGAAGTTGTTCGTATTGTTCGCGGACTTGCTTTTCGGTCTTCCCGGGCGCCGACCGTAGGTTAAAGTTCAAGGATGTCGAGACTGGCTCGAGGACAAAGACTTTCCGTTCCGGGTCGAAGATCAGGACCAGGCTTCGTTCGGCGGAGGGATCTTCGCTGCCTTTGTACGAGTAGGCCAAGGTGTGATCGGCGTTCGGGGCCTTATCGGTGACGGCGAGGTCGTACAGGTCAGAGGATTGGGAGTGGGTGATGGTTGAGCGCTGCTGTGGTGTGGCGGACTTGGACTTGTAGTTGTAGTTGATGTTGACCAGCCGGCTGGTGTCCGGGTCCTGGGCGAGTCTCTCACCCAGCACAATTGGGTATTCGGCTTGCTTTGTCGGGTCGATCATGGCGGATAGGGTGGGGGCAGCCATGATGGGAAGGATCTCACGGAGTACGGAGTAGAAGTGGCACGCTGCCCCGGAAGTTCGAGATCGAGTTCAGGTGGTACGACACACGCAAGGGAGAAGAAGAAGATCCCAGACGAAAGTTGGGGAAATGTTGAGGTGGAGAAGGGCGGATTTAGGAATTGACCCATTTCTCCCCACGCTACCAAAGAAACCCGTTAGAACGCTATTGGGAACAATGAGGACGAATGTCTCGGAATTGTATATTCGGGCTTACTATTGGTTCTGCTCACTTTATGTACTGCTTACAGTACTGGACTGAGCCTTAGACTCCGAGTTCTGTTCTATGATCTACGCAGGATCGCCGATTTCGGCATCTACGGTGTATAGCGCCCAGTCGGAAACTGTTCGACATAACTACCTGAAAATACATGGTGGTGACTATTTGGTCTGATTGTGATTACATCTGCTATGCTCCGTACTATAAGATATTATCATCTCAGGACTCTAAAAGTCTTCTTATCCAGTCTTTTCCCGTATCCTTTTCCGTATCCTTGTTACTGTTCCTTTCAAGTTATTTCAAAACTACGGGCAATGAATATCATTCGTAAGACACTGAATACATTAAGCACTGTGATTTCATTAAATGATAATTACCAGCCGAAGCATAAACAAAGCGGCTTGTAGGGATACAATGCAGGAAAGCAGGGCAAGAGAGGTATCCAAATCACAAAACAAAGAACATCAAGCATCAGGCACGTAAAGAGAATAAAAGAAAACACATCGAAGGCAAGATAAGACGGTTCTCAACAGCCATTCAGAAGCGCGGACCACCGAAAAGCAGGTATCAAAGGGCAGGATTTAATCGCACATTAGTCCCGGGTCGTTTACTTCAACTTCTCCTTGAGCTTGCTGAAGAAGCCACTCAGACGCTTCTTCTTCTTCTCGCTCTTGTCGCCATTAGTAGAAGCGCCTTCAGTGCTAGGAGACTGTGCGGGCTTCTCCGCCTTCTCGGCCTTCGCTTCTGATGTGGCGGGTGCCTGGGCGGAATCAGCGCCAGTGGTCACAGTGGGTCCTGCGGGCTTCGCGGTTGTAGTTTCGGAAGTAGAAGTAGTCTCAGGTCCAGTGGTCACAGTTGGCCCACTAGGCTCAGAAGTAGTCTTGGGTTGCGAGGTGGGGATAGCAGCGGCAGCGTTGCGACCAGGGGGAGGGGTGGAAGTGGGCGAGACATCGGCCGAGTCTGCGCCACCACCAAGGGTGAGATGAGGCGCAATTGGATGGGTGGCTGCAGTTACAGTAGGCGCCGGGGTACCTGCAGACTCTTCGACGTCGACCTTCTTCTGGAGTTCTTTCTCCAGATCCTTCTTCTCATCGACTGCTGTCTTGTAGGCAGCAGCCTCGGGGTCCTGGTGCGCCTCGGCCAGCGAGTCCTTCACTACCTGTGGCACCTCGTCAACCGGCTTGTCGCCGTTGGGTTGCTTGCCCTTGGACTCTAATGGAACATTGGCAGCGAGCGCCGCGGTGGTAGAGGAAGGGCCTGCAGATTGGATGGTATATCCGGGATCGGCGGCGGCTGCCTGCTGCGCAGGGCCTCCAGTATAGATAGGTTCCGTCTCACCAGCGGCCGCACGCTGCGCGGGACCACCGATGGGAAGGCTGGATTCGGGAATCATGTTGTTCGTGACCGGGGGGATAGTGAATGCGAAAGCGTCGGTGTTACCCGAGTCAGTGGGGTTCCCCGGGTTCACGGGAAGAGTTTGACCCTTTTCGTAGGACTCCTTGTCGAGAGTCACCCCGGAAGCCACCGTGTTGTTGTGGAGCTCACTGTGGTGGGGGACCTTGTCGCCCGGGTTCAGGCTGACGGGGTTGCCATAACCACCGGAGCCCGGAATGGGATCCACGGACAGGGTCTGTTCGGATTCCTGTCCCGGGGTATCAGGGAAGGTACCGGGCAGGTTGCCATTTGCCTCCTTGGGAACGTTGGCAGCCAGAGCCGCGGTTGTGGAATCAGGGGTCACGCCGGACATAGTGGGGGCGACGTTAGAGTGATCCGCAGAGGTCTCGATCTCTTCGGGTAGCAGCACGTTGTTGATGTTGCTCTGTCCGTCGTCTTCTTCGCGTACGTTGGTATCTGTGGTCCAAGTGCCGTCGACAACAAACTTGAATTCGGAGTTAGTGAAACTGGTGGAACTGGTGAAATTGGTGAAACTCGAGGGGAAAGGTACGACTTTAAAGAGTGAGAGGGGGCACAGGAAATGACGTCAGCCGGAGAGCGTCATTTCCTTGGTTGCCTAAGGCTCACCGCCAACAATCTAGTTACTCTTGTACGCAGGGGACCTTTGCTCTTCTTTTCTTCTTTTTCATGTCTTGTTTGTTTCGTACCTTGTAGTGGACTTTCTGAACGGGCGAAATGGTGACCTTCTTGAGGAACACATCCCCCACACGATCTAATTTCACTGTTTTACCCCAATCGTCGAAGGTGCCGGTAACAAACACCTCACTCGCATTGTAGGGCCTGCGAGTAACCGTCTTGTCAGCAATGCGGTACCACCTGAAAACTCTCCGCGACATCGAACTCACCATTGGAATGTAAATGTCCCCATTGTGTGTCGGAGGGAATGAGAGAAGTTGGAAAAAGACGAGTGGTTGGGGAAGATAGGAAAAAGGGCTTAGAGAAATGCGACTAGAGCAGTGGGGGGTGACACAGACCGTCAGTACCTGAGCTCAGGTCAAGGAACTTCGGCCTTTTCCTCTTTTTTTTTTTTTTTCTTCTTTTCTTGTCCGCTTTTTTTAGCTGGATTTTTTTACTTTTTTTCCCTTTTTTTTAAATGGGAGGGTCGAGTGCGCTCGAACCGTACATTTGCAAGGGCGCTTAACGGAAGCTCTAGACTTGATGACGTGAGTCACTGCAATCAGGGCTACTACATTAGCACCAACACTACGGAGTTACACCCTTCAACTATACAGAAAGACAACCCTGAAGATATAAAATTATAGGGAGCTTTTTATTAAGTACAATCTCATGACTATGTTAATTATAGGGATAATATGGATAATATAGACTATATTGCCTTATAGAAACCCCCTTAGCTCCTAACCTATGGGAAGCTAGAAGTACTAGGGTAACATCCCGAGTCCATGACATATGAAAGACTCTATAAGAGAGCTAATTTTCGCCACCGAGGCGAATATGCAATGATCATCTACCGGATTTCTAGAAGACACTTGGAAGGAGGAACCGTAAGCTTTTCATATGGACTTTCTTTTTGTAGGAGTGACGTCGATCATTCTTCGTCCTCGAATTTTGTATCTCTGATCGACGAAGCTACCGGTCTTTAGTGCCTACCCCTCTTCAATATTCCCAATATTCCTCCCAATAGCTTTCAATTGTATAGTGACAACTGTACAAGGGGGCTTTTATAGGGTATACAACATCGTCCATCTCTCCCCGCTTCCAAGCTTCCGGACTCAGCTTCCTGGCACTCTGTGGCAAGTAGGTCTCACCATTTCTCTCTGTCTCTGGATTTTCCCTCTTGTTTTCCCTTCTTTTTTTTGGGATCAATTTCCCCTTTCTTTTCAGCTCTTACGTCTCAGACTTGAATACTTGGATCTCCCGAGACAGAAGAAAAGAAAAGAAAAAGCAAAGAAGAAAGACACACGCATGGAAGGTCATGCAGGATCCCACCTCCAATTAGACTCCATTTGATCCCCACTTCACAACTGCCCCTCCGTTCTGTCTTTATTACTCTTTCCTTCTTCCCCATATTCAATCTCTGCCCCCTATTTCGCCTCTCTGACATTTCTAGCTTCCCTTTATTGCTGTCACTCCGACCCCTCGCCGGAGCTGCGGCCTCTCCGAATACGTCATGGCACAGAACTCGTCCCCGGGTTTGGTCCCGATCATCAATACCAGCGATAAAGCAGGCTTCTCCAAAATCTCCGAAGATGACGAATTTGAAGTCTCCTCCCCCACCGATTTGACCTTCCGACAGTCGAACTCGGGTGCTGCACCCTCGGGCAGCTCTGCGTTCGGAGGCAGTGCATTCGAACCCCACGGCACACACACCGGCGCCTCGCTATTTAGTCGGAGTCCGTTCCAGGAAAACCAAGGAGAGGAAGGCGAGCAGGAAGGGGAGCTTGCCCCGCTTCCCACGCGATCTGCACAGCATGGATTCCCCAGTAATTATGCGCTGGGCCGACGCACCTCTGTCTCCGCCGAATCACTAAATCCCACCGAGGCCGGCTCGGAGAGCTGGTCGCCCCCGCACCACCCCAAGACCGAAGAGCAAATTTCTCGGCTCAAGAGCGCCGTCAGCAGCAACTTCCTCTTCTCTCACCTCGACGACGACCAATTCACCACCGTCCTCAATGCCCTCGTGGAGAAGCCCATCCCCGCCAAGGACATTAAGGTCATTTCCCAAGGCGATGCTGGTGATTACTTCTACATCGTGGAGGATGGTAACTTCGACATCTACATTCACTCTTCGGGCTCCGTGCAGCCCGGCCCCGACGGTCTGGGTAACAAGGTCGCCTCAACTGGCCCGGGTGGCTCGTTTGGTGAGCTGGCTCTGATGTACAATGCTCCGCGTGCCGCGACGGTCATTTCCACCGACGCCAAGAGCACCCTCTGGGCTCTGGATCGTATTACCTTCCGTCGCATCCTCATGGACTCGGCATTCCAGCGCCGGCGCATGTACGAGGCCTTCCTCGAGGAAGTTCCTCTCCTGTCATCCCTGAAGTCCTATGAACGTTCCAAGATTGCCGATGCCCTCGACACAATCAAGTACTCGGCCAATTCTACCATCATCCACGAAGGCGACCCAGGTGACGCTTTCTACCTCCTCGAGTCCGGCGAGGCCGAGGCCACAAAGAATGGCGTCTCCGGACCAGTCAAGAACTATACCCGAGGCGATTACTTCGGCGAGCTTGCGCTGCTGGACGATAAGCCTCGTCAGGCGAGCATCACGACTAAGACGGACGTGAAGGTGGCGCGGTTGGGTCGGGATGGATTCAAGCGTCTTCTCGGGCCTGTGGAGGAGATGATGAGACGTGCTGAGTATGAGTTGGATGCGAGCAAGTCACCAGTTTCCAAATGAATGCGATATGATATGAATTTGTTCCCAGGGGCTTTGAGCGGAATCTAGACTCATTTTTGGCGAGCCTTGCGCTCTGTCATCTGTCATCACAAATCACTGATGGCCTCTTTTATCTTTTTTATTTTCCCTTTCTTGTGAATTCCTTGACATCCCCTTTCTCGCGCCTACACTCTTTACGAACCCGGATCGTTAAATGTATCTACATCTGTTTCTTTTTACGCTCGCGGTGAGAGGGACCTACTATCGTCCCCTTCCTTGTTTGCTGTACTCTCCAATCAATGTTACAATCCCTCTTCCTGGTAGGAATGATGGATGATTAAGATTTGTTTTTTTTTTGTATGTCCAAGGTAGATCGAAAGAAGCAAAAGAACATCCCATTACCTCGGAACAACCAAATCACTCCTCAGCACCCACTTCTCTCCCCCCGTAACCTCCATTCCCTCATGAATCATACAATGATCACCATGTCGATGCAAAAGCGCCATCCCAACCTCCGGCGAAACAGCTATCGGCTCCGGCCGTCGATTCTCCCTCGTAGCCTCCGGATAAAATACCGTCTCCCCACCCGTACAAGAAGTCAAATAAACAAGCAGCGTCCAAGTCGTCCGACCAGCAACCGCCTTCGCCTTCGCCTTCGTAGAAGCCGGCGTAAATGTTACATTATTTGCCTCATCGTCTGTAAACCTGTTAGTGATTCCTCGTTATTTTACGACTTTTCTAATGCAGATTTACAATGCTGTCCGAAAAACTGTCCGGCCGAATACCGATAGATCCGAATATTCGAATTGAGACCCAGAGGTTCGCCGCCCCAGAGCTGCCGCGCCCCTTCGGCGATCTGCGCAGGCGAGCTTTCTTCTTGGTCTTCTTCTTCTTCGGCATACCGTGTCGTGACAAGCTCTTTCAGGGCTGTTGTTTCCCATAGCATATCTGCAAATCGGCTATCGTCGATTTGGAATCGGTCGTTCACTCGTAATGCTTCATCTTTTTTGGGTTTCCCAGGTGTAGTGGTGAGAGGTAGTGAGGCGAGGAACGAAGCGTAGGTCTTGCATAGTGTGCCTGGGAGGAAGTTGCGGATTAGGTAGATTTGGTCGGTGAGGAGGGGGGGTTAGGGATAGATCGGCGGCGGGGAGGAGGGGTCGGAGGGGAGGCCAATTTGGGGTTGCTTGGGTTGTTGGTTTAGGGGGTTTTGGATCTGCTTTTTTGGATTTCGGAGGCATTGTGTTTTCACGGGGTTGGAAGGGTTTCTGTTGGAGAAGCTTGGAAATGTTCGGAGGCTATCGATAAGAGCTGTATATTCCCGGCTCGGTTTAGCGGACAATGCGAGGCATTATTGTCTGTTTTGATTTGTTACTTGGGGTACTCCGTACTCCGTATTTTGAGGACCTCAAGAGCGTATAAAGTGCCCAGGGTGCTTTTTCGTCTCACATATAAATTGTTCTCATATCGGTTTTGATTGCAGGTTAGATTTCCATTGGGGATATACAGCAGAAAATACTGCCGTGGCACAGGGTACAGACATCAGAAATCAAAACATACACTGTTCTCATTGAGAGGCTTTGCCAATGTCGTACATGTAACAAATACCTTGAATTACCTCGCCTAAAGGTATTTAAGACCATTCCATGCACTGATCAGCGTGTTAAAATCTGCAGTCCTCCCTATGGTCCAAGCCCTCCTATGGCTTACTCCGCTTCCCCCCGCATGAGATTATGCACACCTCTCAGTACTGAACATGGCATATACAGCGATGTGATGTGTGAGTCGTGGTAAAGTTTGTATGTAGAGAGCAAGAGCTACAGTGAGAATAATCACATGTTACACCAATAACAGTCCGAAGGCCATCGAGTACGAGTCTCTCCAGGACCCGGCTCCACCCAGAACGAGCAAACTGATCGCCTTCTGCAGCTGCTTGGTCCATCAATTACCATTCGCTGAGGGGCAGCACAGGAAGCAATTGCATATGGAGCATCACTCCATAGATCTAGGCCAGACAAAACCGGTGAGGAACCCAACAAGTGGAGATCGGAGAGAATATGGTAGGGCGGGGCGGAAAATTTTGTACCGGAGAGAGGATCGTCGATTTTCTTTCAAGTCCCCTGAAACTGTTTCTGAGGTGAAGAGAAATTTCAAACGAAAGCACCGGGGAGACACCACAAACCCAGAAATTCAGGGACGGAAGTACAAAGAAAAAGAAAAGAAAAAGAAAAACAGCGACATGGCGAGTCGGTGATTCTGCAGCGACCACTTGGGCAACTCGGCGATCGCTCACCGCCTCCAAAGTGAGATTCCGACTTCTTTTGGAACTTCTTTTCTCTCTCCTCCCCAGCACCAGCCTGTCATGTCGTCGCAGACCATGACTGCGCCAGCCGTGGGCCATCGACCGCCTGACCCAGGCCCCGATAGCCCCATATACGACTACGGCTGCTCACCGAACGCTACACCCCCTTCCAACCCTCGAAACGACTCCGCAATCCGCGACATGCAGAAGAATTCTGCCCCGTCAACCCCAAACGGCATGTCCGCCCCAGACGTCGGAATCAAGACAGAATGCTCCGACAGCCAGGACCTTTCTGCCGCGCAACACCAACAAGATACAAATACACAGAATGCTGCCAGCGCGCTGCTGGCCCAACTCCTTGGAAATCAGTCGGCGCCAAACTCTGCTTCGACAGCGATGGATCAACCTGGACAGGGCGAGAATCACGATATGGACATGGATATCAAGATGGACGACTCGATACACCACTCCTTCGACATGGGTCTCCACAATGCTCCGCCAATTGATCCAAACTTACAACAAGATCCCGCGATATCTCGAGAAATTCAGGATATGCTGAACGGGAAAGCTCTGGGCGACGAGCTGATGGGCGGAAATTCTGCACACGACATGAGCCACGCGAACTTTAGCACTGATGCAATGGATACGCTCACAGACCCTTTAAATCTCAAGCAGGATGCAGAACAACCCTCTCTCCTGCCACCCTTGGATTTCACCACCGCCCCGAAAAATGCCTTCGAAGCCCTCCATCAAAATGAAATGCTCACGGCTGCTTTCTTTTCGCAAAATCCCGACTTGGCTGCGCTTGGATACCCGGACGGAGCGGCTTCAATTGCTGGCTCGGAGCCCAAGATCCAAGCATTCGCCAAGTTGGAGTTCGATGACGGTCATTTCTACGTGAATACCTACTCATTCATCCTAGGGCGAGACGTGCGCGCAGCTCGCGCCGCCCATCACCGAGAGTTCCAGTACCGGCAGGCCGTGCGAAGCTCTCGAGCGAAGAGCTCGAGCGGAGGAAACACAGCGCATACACCAAACCGCATGAAGCGGGAGGAAAGCGCTGCCATGATGGGCAGTGTTGTCAGCGATCGTGGAGGTATCATGGGTTTTGATCCCGACGTTCCTCCGCACCTTCCGGGCAATATCAATCCAAGCCGCCGGTCCTCAAGGTCTTCATTTGATGAAGCTGTTGTACCGCTGCACGCAAACCCGGCTCAATTACAATCGACCACCGACTACAATGCGCTGGCAATGCAATCATTACAGGATGACAACGGAGAAGCAAAGCCCGTCGATGCGATGGCTCTTCTCCCATCTCCGGACTCCTGCCCCACGATTCCGATTCATCCCCCGACAACCGTCGACGGCAGTGCTGCTGGTCATCGAGGGATCTCTCGCAGACATGTGCGCATCTCATACAACTTTGACCGGAACTTGTTTGAAATGGAAGTCATGGGACGCAACGGAGCTTTCATCGGAGCTGATTGGCTTTCGCCAGGGCAGGTTCGTCCTCTGCACAGCGGTGATTACATTCAGATTGGCGGTGTACGCATCCGCTTCTTGCTGCCAGACGTTCCTATTGGCGAGACCGGAGCTGATAGGATAGAAGAGAAGGTTGAAGAGGAGGCACAAAAAGAAGAAGTTGATGACGATGATGATGATGAGAAAGATGCCCGTGGCTCAATTGAAGTGGACGAAGATATTGAAGAATCTGAGAGGCTTGGGAGCGACAGCGGCGAGAGTCGGGAGCCCTCTAGCAAGGCGTCCAGGCTTATACTCAAAACCAAGGACCCCAAATCTTCTCAAGCTTTGGATTCCATTGAAGATAACGATTCCCAGCCTGCACGCCGGCGGGGCCCTGGACGCCCGCCCAAAGATGGGATCATGTCAAAGCGCGAGCGAGCTGAGCTTGCTCGTGAACAGAAAATCGCGGCTAAGCGCGAGGCCAATGGAGGTGTTACGCCGCCTCCACTCAAGATACCGAAGGCCGGGAAAACAGTTGCGAAGGAGTCGGTTGTTCCTGAGTCACCGACGAACAAACCAGCAGAGAAACGGAAATACACCAAGCGAAAGAAGCTCGATGGCACGCCAATGGACTCTCCTATTCCCTCAACGGAAGGTGGTCAGGTATCTACAGAGCCACGGCAGGAAGAATACGTCAAGCCACCACCACTCAAAAAGCGCAAGCCATCACGGTCACCATCTCCCAACTATCCTCCGGAATCTGCTTACACGCCGGAGGATCTGGCCAAGCCTCCATACAACTACGCTGTTCTTATCTTTGATGCGCTGACCGAAGCTGGCACGCCAATGACCTTGAAGCAGATATACCGCGCGCTGAAGCTCAAATATCCCTACTTTCGCTTCAAGTGTGAGACGGAGGGTTGGACGTCTAGTGTCCGACACAACCTTAACGGCAACGGACATTTGTTCATGCACGCAGAACGAGACGGCAAGGGATGGTCATGGCAACTTATCCCAGGCGCATCAGTCGAGAAGGAGAAGAAGCGACGACCGTCGCCACCTCCTCAAGCCTCTCATCCTCCCACGCCGGCTCCTCAGCAATACATGCCACAATTGTCTCACTCATACGCGCCTCCACAAGTTCCGCCACCGATGCCAAATCCATCACAGCACTTCCAATTCCCATCTATCCCGCCTGCACCATTCCCGGCATCTGTATCTGTGGCAGGACCTCCGTCTCACTCCAGTCCCTACGCACCCTCACCAAAGGCCCCCGTGCCCGCTCCATCTGCTCCACCCCCTGCTCTCTCTGCTGCTCCGGCCCAAGCCCCAGCGCCAGCGCCAGCACCAGCACCCGCGCCAGCTGCTACTCCGGCTCCGGCTCCACCTCCTGCTCCGGCGGCAGCACCGGTGTCGGTACCCCCTTCGGCCCCCGTCGCTGCTCCTGTTCCCTCACCCGCACCAACGCCTGCTCCGGCTCCAGTGTCTGCTCCGGTGTCTACTCCGGCACCGGCACCTGCTCCGGCCCCGCCAACTATCAACCCTGCTGCATCCTTCCCCATCCCCAGCACCATTCGCAGCAACCTTCCTGCTGCCTTTGCGGCAACTCTTCCGTCTACTTACACCTCACCCTATGCCTCCACTCCGACTCCGCAGGGTGGCCAGCAGCAACAACAGCCGCAGCCGCAGCCTCAACAGCAGCCTCAGCGACCTCCTCAAGGGCCGCCAAAGCATCATTCTCCCTACACACCCCAGAAACCTCCACCTCCTCAACAACATCACATCAACCCGCCGCCCCGAGCCTTCCCTCCGCCTAGTGGACCTTCATATCAACCCCAGCACCAGCCACAGGCCCCGCCCCAGTCGCAACCCCAGTCACATGCTCCTCAGCAGCATCAAATGCCGCAGCACCAGCATCAACACCAACACCAGCCGCAGCCGCAGCACCAACACCAGCATCAACATCAGCCTCAGCACCAGCCGCAGCACCAGCCTCAGCATCATATGCCTGCTAGTCTTCCGGCTCACAATCACCATCAGCAGCATCATATGCCTCAGCAGCAAAGCCAACCACCACCGGAGCAATCACCATTCATTGAGCGCGCCAACAAGGCCATTGATGACTTCGAAGCTGTGCTGATGGAAGACTACGAGGACAAGAACTACATACGGGAGGTTCTCCGGAGTGCTCGCGCCCGTGTGTTAGGCGATGCTCTAGAAAGCTCATTCCCAGGTGGCGAGCCAAAGGACGAGGCCGTCATCATGGATGTGCTTCGGAATCTGGTTGGAAGTCTCAAAGAGGAATGAGCGGTTTCTTTTTGGGGGGTTATACACAGCCCTGGTATAGAGGTCCAATCCCACTGCGAGCCAATCCTAGCCCGACAATCCCCTGGGTCAATGGTCCCTGGGTGCACCCCGACCCATTCGGCAGGGTAGGAGTTGGCCAGTTCGCTGCAGCTGCTTGCGGCGCTTCTGGCGATAAACCGGAGGGAATGCCATTGTCTTCCCTCCTGACGACTTATCGAGTACACGAGTCTTATGGTTTTGCTTTTTGTTTTCTTCCTTTTTTCCTCTTTTGGTTTCCTCTTTTGCAACATGTCTGGATTCTTTGGATCTTAATGATATCCCTCTGTTCTGTCAGGCCTTTGCGTCTATCTCTTTGACCGGATCCGCGATTTTCTTGGTGTCATCGCCTATATGAAAGGGTATGAATATTCCTCTGGAATCATCCCTCGTCTTCTGTTGTTTCTTTTTTTTCCCTCCTTGTCTTTTCAGGCGTGAACCGGGCGCCTGACGTAAAAGCGTAAAAGCCCAGCATGATAGAAATACCAATCACATTGACCGAAATGAGCATCCATAGGTACTATAGGTATCTGAAAAATAGCCCCCGAAGACTAGAATAGGAAAAATGTGACCGTTCCCACCTTCGAATCGAGCTCGCCTCCCCCGCCCCGTGCATTTCAAAGAGGGGAGGAGGGGTGTGCATGTACACCCGATTTTCCCCTTAAGTTACGCAGAAGGAATTACAGTTTGTCGTTTTCCAGTCCAATCACTGTTCTTTGAGACCTGCCGAATGTAGCCGGTTGGGCACTGATTCTTACTGTTTCCATGATTCTTCCTGTCTTAAAATCAAGGTCCTATACCTAATCAGCTATGTCATCGGGGTTCTTTGTACTCCGTATAGCTTGACGTTACTCCGTACATATGTTCGAATTTCCCTTGGAGATGGGTAATTCTCGGACTATCGACTTCTGAGGTTAGGCTCCAAGGTCCGCGGGAAAGCAATACTTTTTTTAAAAAAAATAAAAATGCAATCTTCAAACCCTACAATGGTATAGGGGAACTGCAGTGATCAAAGTGGAAACCCCTCGAGGCACGAGGGTCCGACTCACTTTCTAGAACAATATGATACGTTAGTCCGGTGTGCGGATGTACACCGGTATGCACGGTGCTCCATCAGGTACTTGAACTAGCCAAGTCCTACTCCGTAGAGTGGCTCCGGCAACTGTACGGAGTACTGTAGAGCTTATAAATCATGTACGGCGTACGTACTGTAGCATAATACATACATCCTCAAATCATATGGAGTATTTGGAGCATTCAAGTCTAGCAAATTATGCAGGAGAGTCCCGGTAAGGCGGCTATACGTAGTGTATGCGCCTTTTAAGCAGATAGGCACAGAGGGCTGCGCGGTCGGCTGTCATGAACGGCATGACGCTACTAGTTTGCAGCAGGGATCAGCATCGTTGAGTCAGAGGCCGGTCATGAGTAGGCTGGGTCTGACATGTCAGAGAAACAGTGTGTTGTGTTGTCATATGGTCTTGCCCTTGCTTGGTTGTACGGGGTAATAGGCGTGTGATCGTTGGGAGGCAACAGTTGATGTAAGGACAGATTGTTAAGTACCACAAGTACATTTGATTGTATGAAAATAAATAGTACTCTGTACTTTGAGTTGGGATATATTCTAGATTCCAGTGAAGTACAAGTACTTGCTTATGATTCACCACAAGTATACTCCGTTGGTTTTGGTGTTGCCCTATTTAGTTCGGAGTACTTAATTAGTAGACCGAGCAACGGCGGGAATGTTCATGTTTGAGATAGAGTGACATTGTCTATATATCTCACAGACTATATGAGACGCCTTAGAATACGGAATGTTATAGATTATAAATATGAAGATTGTAAGGTCATATGTATTTCCTCACGTCCGAGATGAACCAGTAACACGGGCGTTGCATCGGGGCTCCAAGGGTCTAGGGCCTTTTTTTTAAAATGCTTTACAATACCAATACACTGTATCCACTTAGGTGACCCGTGCTGAGAAGACATTCCCATTCCCATTCCCATAATTTAGTACTTTGCATATGTACTCCGTACAGTGTACTATGATTAGACTGTGACTTGAGATGCTGAATACTTACAGTAACTTTGATTGTAGGTTATAAATTTAAAATTAAATACTTATAGGTCTATGAGTGTAATCACTCCGTACTCTAGAATCTGCACTGTACGGAGTACTTGGTGGAATTCTTTTTTTCTTTAAAATTTTAATTTTAGAATTTAAAATACAGCACATGGTGTGTTGCAATACATGTAAAATTACCGGGGCAGCCAACGGTCTTTTCCCACAACGCCCCTGTTCACCTTTTCCTTCTTCATCCTTCTTCCCAACCTCTTTTCTGTATCTCATCCTCTCCCGTGTCAACGAGCTTTTCACTAAGTGTCGTTGCTCACCTCATTCCCGTGAGGTTTGCGTCTACGCGTGGAGAACTTTTTCTCCTCGTGCTCCTACGAGCGCGCGCTCCCCCCGTTCACCCTTTTGCGTGGGCTCCTTTGCTTCGACTTGGTTATTCGCCGCTCAAGCATATTGACCTGACCGGTGATCACTTCATTGCTCCTCACAGTCTGCGTCTCTCCGGCACAGCGAGGTCCTTGTTTCACCGTCTTCCACGCTCCTTCACTCTCATTTGCCCCAATTCGTTGGATCATTGAATACACCCATGTCATTCAACTAGAGATTGCCACCTAGGATCACAACAGAGCCAATTCGCTCCCTGAGCAGCGCTCTTCTTCCAGGCTCAGGTTCTGGTGGAGTAGACGGTTCGTTCGCCCCGTTTCTTCAAATTTTCTGTCTCGGTCCATCTGGCCTTTTTTCCTTCTTGAGTGCCTAAACACCCCGGAGGCCTCGTATGCTGATCCTCTGCCTTTCGCTGGCAACAGAACAAGTCTTACTCCCCGTCCTGAACTGGCATCTCGCCCCCCCTCCCCCTCTCAAGATGCCGTCCTTCTTCGTCCCAGGTCATCATGGCCTGCCTACACCTCCCCATGTCAACGGTGGTCGTATGGAAGACCCATCTTTCTATCCGGTTGGTCACGCAGGATTCCCTCCGCGCTACCATCAAAGCGGCAATGAGTTCATCGAACAATACTCGCAGTCTCTGTGCTACGCCAAGCCAACTTCGATGAACCTCCACCCCCAGGCCGCCCACCCGATGAGCTCTGCTCGTGACATCCACGTGATGAACCAGCACATGTTCAACCCCATGGCGGTCCCTGCGCTGCCTCCGATGCGCAGCAACGTCCACCTCCCGCCCATGGACTCTACGATTCCCCCTCAGTACCGTCGCCAGGAACCCGCCCCGACTCAGCAGCCCGAACAACCCCGCAAGGAGGAAAAAGCTACTGGAGGTGTCGCAGCTCACCTGGATTACGAGATGGATCGCATGTCCGACTTTGTTGCTGAGATGGCTCAGGGAATGTATGATTTGTTCGAGACCAACATCACCCTTGCAGATATTGACCTCGCGCGAAGCATCTACCCAGGATCCCCGGTTCCCCCCCAGTTTCGGAAATATGTTTTCCAAGTTCTGTCCTCGACTCGCCTGCCAAGTTCCACCATTCTGCTTGGTTTGTTCTACCTGGCCAGCCGCATGCAAGTCCTGTCGGCCCAGCGCACTCCCGTGGCTGGTGGTCAAGTCTACCGCATGTTGACTGTGTCGCTTCTCTTGGGTAGCAAGTTCCTCGATGACAACACTTTCCAGAACAAGTCCTGGGCTGAAGTGAGCAGCATCCCCGTTGCTGAGCTGAACCGCATGGAACTGGAATGGCTGTTTGCCTTCGACTGGAAGATTCACGACCGTATTTACGACAAGCAGGATGGTTTCGCCTCGTGGCGCGCGCACTGGGATACCTGGCGGGCTAAGGCTGTGGCCAAGGCTCAGGATACTCGCCAAACTCTGGCGCCTCTGGAGACCTCCAGTGTTCTCCGAAGCCAGGGTCAGGGTGTCGCCTCCAAGCCTCTCATGTCCCCCGAAGGTCCTATCCCGCCACAGTACCAGCGCAGCTCGCAGATCGAGAACTCCTGGCTCAACCCAACCGCGTCCGAATACTCGCCCCCCTCCGCCATTTCCAGCGGCCCCACCACCCCCGACTACTACTCTGTCGGCCCTTGGGGTTACGCTAACCCGCCTCCTCCCCCGCCTTACTCGCGGGGCTGGAACGCTCCCCCACAGTACATGGCTCACCCGGCACCTCGCTCTCAGCCCCCGTCCTACCACCACACTCCGGCGTACGGCCTGCCCTTCGCTCAGAGTCTCTGGACCGGACATGGTTCGTCGTGCGGCTGCAACTACTGTGCTAAGCATCTCGAGCACTACATGTGCAACAGTGCTTTCCCCTCCATGCATCAGCCGATGATCGCAACCTAGTTGTCGTGATTTGGTGATGTACGACTCCGACTCAAGCAGAAGGCGTCAACGGCCCAAGACCGCAAAAAAGTCTTGTCGTGTCCATTCCAATTTTTTTCATACTGCAACTTTAGACTTCTTTTTGACGTTTGTTTGGCAACTCGCATGGGATTTACTTCGCCTACGTTTGTTCTGCTCGACTTGTTTCCACACTTGCGCCTTTTGACCTTTTGTCTCGCTAGCTCTTCTCGGCATCAGCTTGGCAATTCTTTCGGTTCCAAATTTGGTCTTACTTCATCCTTTGTTCGGCCTTACTTCAACCTCAGTCTCGCCTCGCTTCAGCTTTGCAGTTGGCCACACCCGCTTCTGAGCAATCGGCATGCCGCGTCACCCGAAAAGTACTTTTGTTCTGCGTCTGCTGGTTCTCGTTTGACAAAGCGAAAAAAAAACTCAAAAACGCAAAAAAAGAGGAAAAAAATCGCACCCACGGCGGACATCGGCGGCGTGCTCTGGCAAATCAACGACATTAACCTGAATAGTGCCTATGGCATACTTCAGGCTTATTGGAGTCTTGAACCTCTCCACTCCATCGTTGAATCATTTCGACCTTTCGACAGGTTGCTGGAGCCGCAGTCACGACGATAACGAAATCCCCAAAATCTGACCTCTTTGTTTATTACCCACGACTTCCGTTCATATTCTCAGCCTTTCTGTTTTATGCTTGGCATTTGTGTCTCGCGGTGATTTCCCATAGAGTGCTTTCCCCTTCCTCTTCATGCCAGTACATTATTATTCCCATTCATCACGCTACACGCAGTGCCAGGCGTTAATCATTTCTTCACTTCTGCCCTTCCAATTTCTCATTCGCTTCTTTTTGTCTTTCGAACTTTTTTTTTTTTTTTCGGTTCCGATATGTCTACCTTTCTCTTACGACACTTTCTTCTCCGATCAACGAGATCAACAAATTCGAATTCGAATCTTTCCAACAACTAGCATCACGGAATCTCTCCCATTTCCTGGCTCGCAATTCGATACCGTCCATCGACCTGGGTTTACCTCTCTACCTGTGATATCTTCCCCATGTATCGGAGGTTTGGTGCCCGTGGTTCAGTTCCTTTCATTCTGGCATTTCGAGAGCCCGGTCAGTCTCATTTTTTTGGGATTGGCTTGCATGTAGTCTACCTGACTTTGTCTTCTTTTATTTTGTTGCGCCTTTTACCTTTGGCCCCGGTGAGCAGGGCGGTGCTTTTCCCATGCATTGATTTGGCTCCTGGCGTCTGTGGTTGGCGTTCTTTCACATCTGAGGATCATTTCAATACACTAGCGACAAACTATTGTCTTTGTCCCGACTGCAATGATTTCCTCTATCTGTAGTTTTTGTATGAAGTACTGAGTAGATTTGTATTTCCTGGGGTGTTACCAACGACACTGTGCTCATGCTAGTTGAAAGCCGTCGCCACGCTTTTGGCTCTTGGGGGGATTGGAGGTGGTAGATCTATCTTGCTACCTGCAAGGGTGAAACTCCGTATAATGCATAAATTTATTGGTCTTGATATAAAACTAAAGGGACTATGAGCCCAGGTATTCCAAATTGTAAATATAAGTAAAAAACGCAGTATAACAAATGGGTAATGCGATGTCATGTGAGCGGTCGTGGCGGGTCATGATGTGTGGATAGGAAGCTCGGAAAGATGGGGCCAGAGGCCAGATGGGTCTAATGTGAGCACCAATAACAACACATATATTAATAAACGCTTCCTTGAACGCTTTGGTCATGCTTTTGCTGTTCCTCTAAAGTCTCATGTGTATGGGACGATTCTGGCGAACTTTCGGGTTTCGGCGTCTGAGTGTCGGAAGGTGTGGAAGACTCGTCGCCATCCCCAAGGATGTTGGCCATGCGATGTTCAGAGTGATCCGTGGAGTAGAGATATTGGTGGTTTTGGTGTTGGTGTTGAGTGTGGTGGTGACTGGGGCGAGGTTTTTTGAACTGTTCGGTGGAGTTGCCACTCATCTCATCATCGCCATCATCCTCGAATTCCTGTGATAGGGGTGGGCGTGTGGGATTGGAAGGTGGGAATTTGAAGTGTTGCTGATTGGCGTGAGATAGGCTGCCATTTCCGAGACTTGAGACTGTTGGGACAGTGTGGCGGTGAGGCAGGTGCTCGTCGGCCTCGTCGTCAGATGGTGCAAGACTGTTTGCTCCGCTCATTGAGCCGCCACCGTCACGACCGCCGAGGTGGAGGAGTGCATATTTCAAATGCGCCGAGGATGAGGACAAGGCGGAAGGGGCATGGAAGATTTGGTCTTCGCTATTGCGATTTATACCGTGAAGTGATCGGTTTGGTACTGGAGGATTGACCTTCGACCGGGTCTCTGAGGTGGAAAAGTATTCTTTCGGGCTCGCTTCGGTGCCATCATCGCTGCCAGTGTGTTTCCGCTGGGGGACGTGCCGAGTGCTTTCTCGACTGGTATTATTATAGGTTGCACTTTCCTCTGAGGATGAAACCACCTCATCAATGGATATAGATTTTTGCAATTTGGAGCCGAAGCTATGGTTGTGTTCATCGTGGTGCTTGTGCTGAGTGTGACCATGACTGTGACCATGACTGTTATGGTGTATGGAGTTCAACAAGTTTGCTCGTAGTGCTTGTTTTCCATCTCCAGTTAAACCATGAGTACAGCCATCGGGACAGCCACCCCACTTGCGTCGAATTGGGATATGGTCCGGTTGGCTTGAAGACGCACTGGGCGCAGCCACCTGCTCCTTGGAAGCGTTCTCGCGCTCCCTGTCTTTTCGAAGATCGGACCAGGTACGCAGCTTATTTTGAAGTGTATATTTCCCATTAGCCGGGTTCAGGGTCAAGACCACAAACTCGCAATGGTTGATGTTGCGAAGGTCCTCAAAGTATTCCACACTCCAATGATACCATTTCATGAGGAAGACCCGGGCCATGAGACCATGTGTGACAAGAACACAAACATTGGCGAAGTCGTCTTCGCCAAACAGGCGCCACAGAGACTCATTGAATCCACTCACGCGGTCATAGGCATCTGCTGCCGACTCGCCATTAGGGATTCGGTAGAAGAAGTGACCATAATCTGCACGCTCCATCCACATGCGTTCCATTTCTGTTGAACAAGGCTGAAAGTTTCCGAAATCCTGTTCCCGTAGTCTAGGTTCTTCGTAAACTTTGATCGTATGTCTTGGGAAAGGCGAAGGAGCTGGGGTGTCTGAAGTCAGGGACTCAAGAATCCCTTCTGTAGTCTCTCTCGTCCGCCGATATGGGGATGTAAAGAAGTGGAGGGTATCATCTGGATGAAGGAGGTCTCGAAGACGACGGCCGGCGTCTTCAGCTTGCCGGTAGCCTTCATTGGTGAGCTTCACCCGGTGGTCTGGAATAGTTTGATGGATATCGCGGTTTTTGTTGCCTTCTGACTGTGCATGACGCACCAGAATGATCATCTACAGATGACTATATGTCAGAACAGCCCAGCATTGTCAGAGAAGAGAGACTCACTCGTGGCTTCCCCATGATGGCAGGATCATGGGGGGTGTAATGGGCTGGGGATGCGGGGGAGGGGTCACAGATGTATTCTAACTATAACAGGAAAGACAACGGGTCAAACAGCAGACACAAATGAAGTCTCGCTCTGCTTCACTGAAAATGAAGAAGTATTTGTAGAAAGAGAGTTGTTCATCGAAAAACGAGGGAAAAAGTTCATACCAGTACCAGCCAGGCTCGCACGGACCACCCGCCGGCGCTCCATTCAGCGCGCGGCTTTTACGCAACTTCCGAATAGCATCAACTCTTCCACTCGCTATGGCCGACTTATTGGAGCTGCTTGCTCCACATCTAGATCCAACCTTGTCTAATGACCCAACTACCGACAAATATCTCAACCGATTGTCAACCTTGTCCCTGGACGCTCTCCAGAACACCGAACCCCCGTCCCTCGCTCAATCCTCACATTCGACTCTCCTCTCCCTCCAAGCTCTATCAAACCGTTCGCATCGCGCATTCGTCACATCATCTGATAACCTGTCGACACTATGTCAATCAGCTCCCCAGTTGACCTGCGAGGCGCAGCAATTGCGTGAGGCTATCCCCAAACTCGATGAGGAGGCAGTCAACTTTTCGACCAAATATAGTAAGATTACAGATAACGCTGCACTGGAAAGACGGAAGAAGGCCATGCAATTATCTCGCAATGTCGACCGACTCTCGGACATCCTGGAGCTACCGACTCTATTATCTACCGCTGTATCTGCGGCCTCCCTGAACTCCGGCACCGGAGCTTCCTCGACAACATACTCATCCGCCCTCGACCTACATGCACATATTAAACGATTACAAACACTATACCCCGAATCACCTCTGATTCAAGATGTAGCATCTCAGGCAGAGGCTGCTATGAAGGACATGACAAGTAACCTGATCACGGGACTTCGCGCACAGAATCTACGGCTAGCAGCTGGCATGCGAACCGTGGGCTGGTTGCGACGAGTAGCCCCGGATCTCGAGGCATCTGCCGGAGCTGGAGAGAGCGCACTGGGGGCTATCTTTTTGGTTTGCAGACTGGCGCATCTAGTATCCACACTAGAGGCGTTGGACCCTCTCCGTGAGCTGGCAGACCAAGAAACCCAGAAACGACTTGGCAAGGACAAATCAGACTCGAGCGCGTGGTCCGGCGGCCAGCAAACAGACCGTTACTTGAAGAGATATATTGAAATCTTCCGCGAGCAGAGCTTTGCCATCGTTTCACTATACAAAAACATCTTCGGCGCCGAGCAGTCTGAATCCGATCTTGCTCTCTCGGGCTTACGAGGCGCGGAGGCCAAAGCCAAGTCGAAGCCCGCTCACTCAGATGACCCTATGCAACGTGTTCCCCCAGCTTTGGCGACTTTCCCCATGTACCTTGTGCAGTTGCTCACGGATACAATGCGTGCCTACCTGCCCAACGTCCGAGATCGGACCTCCAAAGAAAGTCTTCTCACACAGCTTCTGTATTGTGCAGCAAGTCTGGGCCGTCTGGGCGGTGATTTCAGTATGGTTTTGACCGAACTGAGCGAGGAAGACGATGAGGACATGGCTCAGGAATGGGAGGACGTTATGCGCAAATATCGCGCCTTGGCGGGCCGACTCGAGCAACTGACTAGCCGCGTGCCTGTACATTAGCATACATATACCCTGGTGGGATGAACATTCTATTCGAGACGTTAATAGCATCCGGTGTTCTCGTACAATACACTCATGCAACTACATATAGGTACCTTCGCTTTCTTAGATTACAATTTGTGACGCAGTCTATCTCGTCTTTGCATGGGTTACATCCATGTATATACCTCGCCAACAACATTGGAACCTTGTCATAAACACAAGGTACAAAACCCACTAGACCCTTCCAAGGCTGTCTCCAGGCCTGATGTGCAATATTATCGCTTCATAGATTCTGCGCACATGAACAATTTATTTCAATTCTTGGGGCATTTGGGCGAAAGATACGTTCCAAAGTCCCAGCTTGGAAGGTCGCCCGCGAGTCCCGAGGTCTTACCCCAACAAGGTCGGGTGTGACTCACAAGAATAGATAATTGACGAACTGAAGTACGACTCATATATGCTTGAGATCACCCCTGGGAAGCAGTCATTGTTCACTTTGCCATGGCTGTGCACTATAACTCCATCACCAAGGAGCCCTATCTCCAGCTCCCTGAGCCACGTGCAAACATCATCATCACCCCATACCGCGAGCACCAGATCCAAGAGACTGCTCTTGTCATGACCGAGATACTCAACGATGCCAAAGTTTATTCCTGGTTGCAAGGTCCCCCTTACCCCTTTCTACCTGAGCACGGCGAGGATTGGATCAAGATGAAAATCCAGGAGAACAAGGCCGTGGTGTCTGCACTCCAACAGGAGTTCGAGACAAAGGACCAGCAGCAAAGTGGTGAATCCTCCGATCAAACAGATCGACAGATCTTCGACAAATGCCCTTTTCTTTGCATCCGTCAAGTGGAAGAAAGAGATCCGATAAGCGGCGCGCCTTTGCAAGACACTCTCATAGGCGAGGTCGCGATTATGCGTTATCCTTTCCACGAGATCCGGCGCAACAGCTGGGAGCTTGCGCTAGTTCAGGATCATAACAATCGATTGCCTCCAGGGCATGATGATATTGTCTGGAGTATAGGAAGTATGTAACGAACCGAGACTGTTGCATTGATAGACCTGAGCGACTGACTAAAACCGATAGACTACTTGTCCCCTTCGTATCACGGGAGAGGGATCATGAGTCGTGCTGTTGCAACTGTGATTAGAAACTGGGCTGTACCTCGTATGAACACGAAGCACTTTCGAGGAAGCTTTTTCGCAGGAAACGTGGGGAGCCGGAAAGTGTTTGAGCGGAACAACTTCGAGGAAGTTGGTACCTTCAAAGACTGGTCGCCGGAACGTCCGAACAAAAACCAAGGAAAGATGTCACTTGTGGTAATGGAATGGAAAGGTCTTTTGTAAAAGTACTACCCTGTACGCTAAAAGACAAACAAAAACCCGTGCGGAGTACGGAGTACGGAGAACTGGGCATCAAGCTGAGCTATCCAGGTACATACAATATCAACTATGCCAGCCGCAGCTGAAAACGCCGAATTAATCCGAGCTTAGGGAGACTCTTATGTGACCCTGAAAATTCAGCAACCAATCCTAAGGGGTACTATTCTACTGGCTTGCTACTAGTTTCTTCTAGAGAAGCACAATAGTGGAGGAGAAGGTGCCAAGCCAGGCCAGATTGGGCTATCATGCAGTCACATCGACTAAATTCCATTCTCCTTGTAAACACGGCTGCGAACTGAAGATCATTCAGATGGGGTCCCTCAGCCAGCCAGTCTGATATGTAAACATTCAGTGCTCCGTATACGGAGTACCCAATAGCAGATGCAGTGTGATCGGCAGGGCAGGCCTCTTTTAGGGGCTTGCATACATACCTGCGCAGTAAGGAGCATATTACCCCGTACCTGATATGTAAAAAGGATGTCGTCGCCATTGTTGGTCGAGGTGTTTGGAAGCATCTGTACGTTTGGCCCATCATGCATCTTTCAACCTTGAGTCTGCTGTTTTCAATTGCCCTGGCCGAGGCCGCATCTCCCGTCAAGCCGCACAAGCACCAGGCTAACGAAGTAAGACCAACACACACACTCTCTCAACCCCATACACACCAATATCTAATTTGATTTTCCAGGAGCCCGATTACCCCGCAAGATGTTATCCTGATCCCTGCAAAGGCGTAACCTACCAAAACTCAAGTGCCGTCTGCGGTGATCCAAGACTCGGTCCAACAAAACTTCCGGGCTATTTCCCTCTCACAAACGAGCTCGAGACATACGCCCGCTTTGGCAATCTATGCCCCCTCGAGTTCCTAGAGAAATGGACCGTCAATGCCACAGACCCAAAAGCGTACTGGATCTACCCCGATAGCAATGGATTCGTCGCATCCACCGAGCAAATCTCTATCCTTGGAAACGTTACCCTCCGCGTCGGCCAAAAGCTGGACAGATTCGGTGCCGAGACAGGGAAATTCCTGGCGCCACTTGGTGCACCCTATATTGAGCGAGCATTGCCTCCGTCCAATCTCTTCGCGCCTGAGAACAGCAGCTTCCCGTACAACTACCATGTGTACGAAGTGACCAAGGAGTTCGAGGTTGCGTTAGGACCAGTTGCATCGTGGTTCGAGCAGCCTGGATTCGGGTCCCAGATACTGGCTTACTCGAGTGTGGCTTCGCTGTTGAAGGATGGGTTCTTGGAACAGTTGGAGCTGGAGGATTATGATGAGGCTGATGAGTATTCGGCGGATTATCTGCCTGATCCTCCTCAGCCTTCTTCATGAACGTGCGTTGGCACTGTGGGGGAGGACCTCGGGAGGAGAGAGGGTGTGGTGGAAGAAATGAATGGTCAATTGTGATCGTTATATAATTAATCATGTCTACCTAGGTACTGTATCCCATCAAATAATAATCAACGGCTGATCTTGGAATTTATTGTTTTTCACTTTGCTTTTTATTGAATACACGACTTTAAGCTCCAACCCATGGGGCTTGCGTTCGCTTCTGTGCAGCACCTTTTTCAATCCAGCTATCGAGTGCAACCTTGTCAACACCTGGTTGAATCCGGCTTTCGCGAGTGAGAAATGTGGCTTTGGGTCATACATATGCGAAACATGGCTATGCGACGGTTGGGTACCTAGGTACTCTTTTCTATGGTGTCAAGCCCTGGAGGTGCCCAGTTGGGTTCGATACGTGGACGGCTAGATGCATAGGAAGGCAGGAACAAAATCCAAGTTGGATCGGAATATATATTCGTGCCAAAACAAGAGGGTCAAGCATTATGTAGAGAAGCATTGAACATTTAAATTAGGGTGTATAAATCCATAGTAAGAACTCCCAGCGCCCACATTCCTTAATCAAAACGGAATGGCATTGCTGACTTGGCCGTTTAGTTTGACGGGATACGCCAGCATACTGAGGTTTGTTAGTAAAAGGTCTGACTGATGTCTTGAGACAGAACTGGGCGGAACATACTCCTTGCCTGTCTTGGTGCAACCACATCCACAGAAGATAGAGAGAGGCCAGCAGAATACCTAGAAGTAGTAGATCCCAATTAGCTGTGATGCAAGGCTATAGTCATGCAAGCAGCTCGCATGCTATGAATCAGGTCTAGAGCACTCACGGCAGACACAATAGTTGCGCAGAAGCCTTTTCATGAAGTCAGTGATAGTTTAATCTCCGGAGATCAATGCCACGACATACCAAGGGTCGGCCCGACGACCTTACAGTGGCATGGGTTCTGATCCGTGCCACATTGGAAGCAAATGGGGAAAATTGGGAAGAAAGGCACGTCACACATTGTGTCAAGCTAGGGTTCAATGCTGGTATGTGAGGGAGGATTCTTCACGATATCTCTAAAAAGAAAGGGCTTCCCCAGATGGAGATTCACCGCCCTATTTTATCATCATGACGCAGATGAGATCGAAAACCGCCGATCGTCCTGTTTTGGGAGTGGATACTTGTTTACTCGGGCTTCATAAGAACACAAGCATTGTAGGGAGTGTATTGTATTAATGTACTAAGTCTGATTGATAGAGAGGCAGAAAAAAAAAAGAACAACATCCAAGGACCAAGCCATACGAGCTATGAATAAACCTCGCCAGCCTTGTGGATCTTTGCGGGGGAATCCAAGCCTGACTCAGCAATGAGCCACGGGAAAACACAGCCACGACAGCCACGAATAGCCACGTCCACGGGATGTTTCCTTCTGAACGTCACAGGGGAAATACAACGCTTCTCGGTCTTTTGATCTTACATTGCACAACTTGCATATTCAGCCCTGCCTTGTGAACCACATTCCTTAGATCCACTCCAGGCAGCAGCAAAAGGCCTAGACACTAACCGTGCTATTTTCAATCTCCGCTCTTGGCATACAAGCCCGTTATTTTTCCATTCCTTTCTCATTTTACACCCCACAACACTCACGCTCCAGTCTCCGGATCTTCACTTCGACTTTCCCAACCCCGAATCCCCTACCTGTTCTCTGAACGCGATCTCTTATCTCAAACCCCCACCATGGGCGCCCGCAACATCGTTCCCCTCATTCTGCTCCTCGTCTTCGTCGGCGTCCTAGCCGCGGTCGGATTCATCGTCTACAGCATCGTGCAGGACGTGAGCAAGAACACGCGCGAGAAGATGGAGCGCAAGAATATGACCTTCACCAAGGATGGCATGAAAGTCCAAGTAAGGGAGATCAAGGACGAGGCCTACAAGGATCAGACCCAAAGGTGTGTTTACTCTCTTTGTCTGGATGCGCATCCATTTTTTGTTGATGCCGACTAACTCATGTCTCGTGTAGCGTTCTGGTCAACATGTGGAACCACACTTCTTTCCCCGCTTACAAGAGTCGTCTCTGGGATATGTCCGGCTCCTCTTCTACGAATCAGCAGAACGCAGCTGAGAAGCGCAAGTGATACTACATATCGCGCATAATGGGTGCATCTTCTAGAAGCCCCGAATCATTCCTCTCGTCGTGATTTTTCACTGGATATATTGATTTCTTTCTTTGGCGCCGCTCGATCTTCGAGTCTTATCGCATACCCCGGCTCCTGGCATTGGGCTGGTCCCCCCAAAATCACGTTCTTGGACAGGGGGTTGAGTGGCACTGTTTAGGTGCTCTCGATCTTTCTGTTCGGATGATTTCTTCCATTTCATTTTCTTCAAACGAGCTACGATGTCAGTAAATGCTTTATGAGTGGCCGGCCCTGATATATCATCTTACAATTCAATCTATTCTCCTGTTACATTTGCGCACTTCACTTGTATGGATTATCATAGAGTTCTGGGTGAAACTTGAGATTTGAGGCGTTCAGAACTGTGTGGACCTTGGATTCCATCGAGATTGATTTTTTGAATATAGAAATGTAATTAATGTCGTCGATAAGAAAAGTCCGAGAAACCCAGATGCCAAAGGGCCACCCATCAAGTGGACAAAGCTCACACGCATCTCATATTAGCAGCTAAATAGATATCACCCTTGCTGATAGAAAGTTTAGGTCACAGACCCCGCGCCATTAGCAGCGTTAATTTTCATCCCATGCCCTATCCCTCTTTAGAGAAAAGCCGCCTATAGTAGCTCTCATCTTGGTTCAACAGGAAGAAGGAATCCGGCTCTGGCTGTCCACTTCCACCATACCAAGTAGGTTTGACGAGCGTCTTTGGCGTGTCATCCCGTTTCTTGTCCAGAAAGATCATATCAAACGTCTTTGCCCATTGGACTCGATTATTCAACCCTTCCAGCTCCCACAACTCCTGCAAGAAATGCAGGATCGAGCTGTGTGTATAGGCCGAGTTGGGAGCATACATGGTGCCTTGGTCGTGAATGAGCAAGTTGGGTGGCACCCAGGGAGATATGATGAATGCGGGAACGCTGTTTCTGAGGTGAGCCTGATACACATTGAAATTCTTAGGAGCACGTACCGTACGCCCAGACGGGTAAAATCGTATGTGAAATTGTGGCCCGTTGACTTGCCCTCGAATATGATCCCATCTTCGGGCTGGGGGACATTGACTGGAGTGGGGACGTGGTCGGCGAATCCGCCATGCTCGTCGAAATTGATGATCAGCACTCTGTATTCGAGGTTAAGTAAAGTATTTGTTATGTGGACTGGAAAGAGATACTTACGCATTGTCCCAATATTTGGAGCGGCGTAGTGCGTCATATAAATGCTTGACCATCTGCTCGCCGGCAGCCATGTTGCTGGTCGGGCGCATCGAATCGACGGTGCAGCACTCCGGGTTCAAGTATGAGAATGAAGGCAAAGTACCTGCTTCTAGGTCGTGGTATAGTTCGGTTGCATGCACGAGCCGGTCCATAGCGTTGTCTTGTACCCACTTTGATGGGTTAGAGTAGTAGAGTCTAAGAGGATATGTCGATCACTCACCTTGTAAACGAATGCATCGACGATGTCGGTCTCATAATACTACAAACTCATTAGTAACTTTGTTTTACGTAGGGTAAAGATACACAGCTCAACGCACATTCTTCCAGCTGATGCCCTTCTTGCTGAGCGCTTCGAAGATTGAGACCGCACATGTTGTTCCTGTAACATTGTTGAAGAAACCAGAAGACTGGTCTGTGTTGTCAACAAAGCCGCAGGACGAGCCCGAAGTTGCGAACTGGCGGTTAGGATTAGTTGGACCCGGGTGCTCGCAGAACTACAAAAACGTCAACAAAATCCAGCGGAGTGCTGTGTGGTTTTCTCACATATGAATCAAAAAAGGCAAAATTGCTTGCCAGCTCAACTAGAGTAGATGTTTTCTTCTCATCAAACGCTTTGATCACAAATGCCGAATCACCAGGAGTTGCATTATACTGGGCTGATTGGCGCTCGATGAAACCACCCATGTTCGGGACGTCGGTCTTGGACACATTCCACTTGCCGAAGATCTCGTAGGTCACGCCGCCGAAGTTGTGATCAGGGTCCTTCAGTGGAACCTCTAGTGCATAAGGCTCCGCACAGATTTCAAGTGGCTCCCCGTAGACCGTCCAGTTTGGGTTAGTGTAGTCGTTGCAGAATGTGATATTGCGGAGGTTGTCAATGTCGGGATTGAAGTCCCAGTATCCAGCAATGTTGTCGAATGAATGGTTCTCGAGAGTCAGGTAGATGACATGCTTGATCTAACAGACTTTGTGAGATGACATATTCGGAGACCATTCGTTATCTCTGATCCGTGTACTCACATTCTCTCGCAGCTTGGCCCATGTCTGTGTGCTCCGAGCTGGATAGCCCTGCACGGCTGTGGCTAGAGCCACAAGGGTAGTGAGTAGCATATAGATGATCATTTTGGCGGATTCAGTTTGCAAATAGAAGAAGTAGAAGAAGTTGAAGAAGTTGATGAGTTTATGGAGGTGATTGCACAAGGAAGTGAACAAATAGTCTCCGGTCAAGCCGCATTCTTCCTCTGTGGCACTGCTCTTACTTTTTACAACTACATGCTATACCTTCCGCTCGAGTGTCTGCTACACTGAGTATACTTTGATACAGGCACCAAGAGCCTTTGGATGTACCTGAACCTCATACAATCAAGCGGTAAGTCGGAAGTAGATTTCACCCCGGTCAGTGTGTGAGACTAACATGAGCTTCCTGCAAGGAGCACACAAATTGTCAAGTGAGCACGTGCCTCCGTGAGAGGTAGCAATATGGCCCTGGAGCCCTGAAGCCTCGGAGCCCTCATGTGTTGACTAAGGCTAGTAGATTCATCTAGTCTGTCACGCCTGTCCATGTGCTGCGAATCCAGGTACATAGCTCGGCACTTATATTGGCAGGCCCTTTAAGTACCACATTGAAGGGCCGTGCATGGTCCACCCGATTAGTATCCAACGTCGCTGATTGGATCCCACTTCAAGTTAAGCAGCGGGTCCCCACTTCCACCCCTCCACCCAGTCCATGTTCAGCCAATCAGCGATGCACGTGCCTGGGTTTCGAAGGGGCATGCCAAGCACGTTGTCCCCCTGGGTCACTCGATAGGCTATGATCAGCTGTGTAGCTGATCACTACTATGAGCAATTTGGAGCAAAAAGCATGGGAAGCGTGGAATAGCTCGTGACTTTCGAAGCCATGTGTGACCCTTAAAGAAAGCTTTTCTTCTCTCAGTTCATCCTTCATTTCCCTTTGCATTCCGTTCATTCAAGGGATGCTGAAAAGATTTCCCCTCACCTACTGAGAGAAAACTTTCTACAATGTCATCCATTAGCTCTTTCACCGGCCTCATGGCAACCTACTCGCCCCTCAGCGATCGCCGTCCCTCCTCGGATGAAAAAGATGACAGCGTCCCACTCCAATCCGATGTAGAGACTGCGGGCCGTCAAGGAGCTGAACGACAATCCTCTCGTTTCATTGACGGCCGAACAGTCTCGGATGCGATTATCGGTCTGTCGGATGGCATGACTGTGCCTTTCGCCTTGACTGCCGGTCTCTCTGCACTGGGCGATACCAAGGTTGTTGTCTTTGGTGGACTCGCTGAGCTCATTGCTGGAGCCATCTCAATGGGACTGGGTGGATATTTGGGCGCAAAGAGTGAAGAGTAAGTTTTTTCTGTTCCCCGCACACTAAGCACCAATCGAGCTCAAAATATTGGCGCATCGACAAAATGTTTGATTCGGCTACTAACAAACTATAGGGAATCATACAAGGCCACAATGAAGGAGACACAAACACAAGCTACGAATGACCCTGCCTCTGTGTCTGACACTATCTCCGACATCTTTGAGCCCTATGAGCTTCCATCTGAGTTGGTCGCTCAACTCAAGAATCACCTTTCCACCTCCCCCATGCTTCCTTCCTTCCTCATGAACTTCCACCACACTCTGCCTGAACCCTCCGACTCGCGAGCTGTTATGTGCGCCCTTACTATCGCACTGGGATACTTCATTGGCGGTTTCGTTCCCCTGATTCCATACTTCTTCGTGGGACCACAGGACGCTTATATTGCCTTGCGCTGGTCCATTGTCACCATGGTCATTGCGCTGTTTATGTTCGGATATGGAAAGACCTGCTTTGTGAGTGGCTGGAGTGGCCGTCGCAACGTTCGCAAAGGTCTCGTCGGAGGGATTCAGATGGTGCTGGTAGGCGGCATTGCTGCTGGCTCGGCAATGGGACTGGTTAAGGGTTTCCAAATGCTGGCTGACGGCTCCGGCGACCAGAAGAATGACTGAATGGTCTTTCTTTTCCTATCTTGTGCTGTAATTCCTCATCACCTTGGCGTTGGTTGGCTTCTCTTTTTTTCTTCTCTTTTTCTATTGGCGGATGGCATATGGCGCTCGGGGTCTCTTCTTTTCGGCATCGGGTTCATGGTTCAGACACTACAGGTCAGCAAAAGTACTCCGATCTAGCACCGTTGAGAGCTTTCAAGTGCACCCTCTTTCCTTTTACGGCTTTAAGCTAGCCCAACTTTCAATTGGGTCGATATCCGAAATCAACTAAAAATATGATCATTGTGACATATATGACCACATTTGACATTGGTAATCATCCAGGGAAACCACGGATGGAGTCTTTTACATCTTGAGAGTCGGCGACCATGAAAGCTAAAACACGGAGATACAATACGGTTCAGCAACCTTGGAAGTATCGTGACACTTTCATTTCTGGTACCGATATCGATATCGATATCCATTGCGTCATCACACCGATAAGCCCTCCAGGGCTGGACCTCGGGAGGCGCGCACGTTTACCCCAGATTTCTCCTCGTTCCTCAGCATGAGATCTATCAAGATGATATATACATTGTGAAGAAGATACACCAGGCGCAACCCCAACCCGGACCTTGAGCATGTGGTACCCGCTCCCCACCGCATCGGGATTGCGGGGATGGATGTAACATGTTAGCCTTTGAAGGATCGACGACGCAGACTCCGTCGATCATGGTATTGCAGCTGAAATCAGCACGGGTCAGCCTGATGATCGCTACTGAGATACCGCTTGTAATCGTGGCTATTCCTTTGCCATCCAATTGTGCAGTGCTAAACTGGCTGTGCCACGCCAAGAGCCACCAATCAAGTCATTCCCTTGGCCATACTCCCTACACACATTATTGATGGATGAGTGAGCCTCTCACCGAGTTTTAGGCGGTCGCGATTCGAAGCAAGGCGTAGAAGAATAGCCCTTCATTCTTGGGTTGATGCAATGTACAGTTATGCACCCAAATCCCGATGAAGTAGTAAGCCGCGCCCAAACCTTGAATTCTTGAGGCAGCCCTTGGCCCCCAAGACACGAATACGAGCAACGGTGCGCTGGTCCAGTATTACGGAGTACGCTGTATCCAATTCTTTGTCGAAAGATAGATACGGAGCACGGAGTACCGCTGACTCTCTCTCTCACGGGTTACCTAGGAAATGCGCATGGCCAAGATGCCTGCTAGTATCATGCCTAGCTTTAGCGCTGTCCTGATGGAGGGAAGTGTGATTGGGTCCGGTCGCGCGACGCCGGGGTTTTTGAAACTCCCATCCCATCACTAATCACACTTGTGCCGTGGTGTCAACCTAAAGCTCTGCAAAACGTCGAGCTAGCACTTTAATGGGGGAGGCTGGTTAACCCTGAGACAATTTTAGATTTGATAGCACGTAAATCCTCATCTACGCGCCGGGCCCGTGTGCAACGGGCCAAATTACAGTGCCCAGCTTCGACCTGAAGGGTTTAGTCTGTTCTTGTCAAACATCCAGCTGTACGGAGTACGGAGTACCACGAGCGTACAAGTACCTATGTACGACGGACGGCGGTGTCCCTGGACCCGATCGTGGCTCAAGTCAGCAGGGCTCAAGTTGATCGAGGCTAGAGTTAATATATCTCGTAAAGCTTCAATATGACCTCGGAAGCCCTGGATATGAAGATGCCGTCAAGTCAGCACGGCAGAGCGGAAGGCCGACACGCCGGTTTAAAATTACGAGTAAAATTACAGCCGCTTACTGTGCAACTAAGCGAAATTGGGCCTGAAGATCTAATGATTTTCGTTGGATACCGGTTCTGAACGCTGGGGCGCTAAGGGGCTTTCAGCCAATCGGCCTCCGACGATGGATCTTATATGGGAAAATTTGCTTCCCAACTTATGCTGTGCAAGTTGTTAAGTAATTATTGAAAAAAACAATGAAAAAATAAAAATGATACTTTTTTTTAAACTAGTACTCCATCCATGGATAGTACGGAGTATGGCTGACCTGGAAGGAGTATACTTCAAGGCGGCCCAATATACACATCGGAGTCGAAAGGAGAACCCTGGAAAATGGCCGAATAAGATCACTAATACGAACACGAGTCCACACAAAAACCGTTTCAATGAGGTAGTCTCGGAGCTACGTGCATGAGATTCCCAATGGGTCGGACCATTCGCATCGCAAACTCCGAGATATGCTGGAATTTTGTGACTTCTCATGCACTTGCCGGGCTCCGTGGGTTCCGCCGCTTCCGCTCAACTTCACATCCTAAGCCCGAATGACCAGGTATTGAAAATTGCCGCGAGGATCCGGATTGAATCACAACAAAACAAAGATCGATACCTCCACACTTACCATTGAGATCGATAGTTTGTATTTAGGCGATTAATATGTAACATGAAGCCCAAAGAACTAGAGCCAGAACGGCGTAGTGACGACATGGACAGGTAATCAGGTTATCAGGTAATCAAAATGGAGCACATAAGCCAAAAATACGAGAGTATCATACTCAAAAATTGGATACTCGTAATGACAATACCCAAGACTTTGGCTCAAATCCAAGTTCCTCTCCTTCCTTTCTCTTCCCAACTTTTAATTCTTAATCTTCTCAGGGCTTCCGGTCTCCGTGGGTTTTCTCGAGTTCTGTTTATCCTGGGTTTCTTCGGTTGCGCCCTTGCTGTCGCCTTGCATCCCGACCACCCTTGTCAACGTGACCTCCTGAATCCCTGGGACACGGCCCCTCGGCCCTGACAGCCCTTCGCCTTCCTATCGGCCCATCCCAACCTTTCATGAGCCTCTTCTCTGGCCAACCTTGACAATCCCCGTTCAGTCCACGCGACAAACTTTCCTGCCCTGTGGCATTCCTCGAACTCTCTCAACATCCCTTCCTCCTTTTGAGTGAGCGCCTGCTCGAGCGTCGCCGCAAAGATGAGCGCCTCCTATCCATCATGGAAAGATCGCACACAAAATCAGCTCGGAAAGCTTCAGATCCAAGTACCATGGCGCTCATTTCAGCTCCTAGTCCCGCATCGTATGCGCCGCAAGCTCCGCTCGAAGCTACGGAGTCGCCTTTCGCCCACCTCTTCTATATCGACTCTGCAAACCTCCTTCTCACCAGCCGACACTCTTAGATCTTTACAAGCGCACCGCTGGACTGTCTATGATTTCCAGTATCTCTTGCTTTTGATCGTGGGCATCTTCTCCCTAACAATCATCCAATCTCCTGGTCCGCTTGGAAAGACGGCCATTGCCACCGGGCTTTTGTGCTCTCTGCTGATGCCCATCACTCGCCAATTTTTCCTGCCGTTCCTTCCAGTTGCTGGATGGTTGATCTTCTTCTATGGGTGCCAGTAAGTCTTATCTTTATACCCATCCCTTTTCTTGCATTATGCGCCTGCAATCATACTGTGATCGCATTGTGGCGTGATCGGGATGTGGCGGGGAATCAAAAAACCCCAAGCGCGAGAAGTTCATTGCTAACTTTTTCTCTTAGATTCGTTCCAAGCGATTGGAGACCTGCAATTTGGGTCCGGGTCTTGCCCGCTATGGAGAACATCTTGTACGGCGCCAACATCAGCAACATCCTTTCTGCGCATCAAAACGTTGTGCTCGATGTTCTGGCCTGGATTCCCTACGGACTCTGCCATTACGGAGCGCCATTCGTCGTTTCGCTCCTGCTGTTCTTCTTCGGTCCCCCGGGAACCACTCCTCTCTATGCCAGAACCCTCGGATACATCAGCATGACAGCCGTCTTCATCCAGCTGGCTTTCCCTTGCTCGCCACCCTGGTACGAGAACCTGTACGGTCTTGCCCCAGCCGACTACTCCATGCAGGGTAACCCGGCCGGACTTGCTCGCATTGACAAGCTGCTCGGTATCGACCTGTACACCTCTGGATTCAAGCAGTCCCCTGTTGTGTTCGGTGCTTTCCCTTCGCTGCATGCCGCCGATTCCACCTTGGCTGCCTTGTTCATGAGCCAAGTGTTCCCCCGCTTGAAGCCCCTCTGGGTCACCTACACTCTCTGGATGTGGTGGGCGACTATGTACCTTTCTCACCACTACGCGGTCGATCTGGTGTGCGGTGGTCTGCTTGCCACCGTGGCTTTCTACTTCGCCAAGACTCGCTTCCTGCCCCGACCCCAAACCGACAAGATGTTCCGCTGGGATTACGACTACGTTGAGATTGGTGACAACTCTCCTGAATTCGGTTACGACCTCGCCAGCTTGGACGGTGATTTCAACCTGGACAGTGATGAGTGGACCGTGGGCTCTTCCTCCTCTGTCTCCTCGGGTTCTCTGAGCCCTGTGGACGATCACTATACCTGGGAAAGCGAACACCTCACCTCGAACCACGACATCGAGGCAGGCCGCTAAAGCCCACGGAGCTCCACCTGCACATAATGCTCGGCACTCCATTCTTGCATCTAATACTTTTGAATCGGCGTTATGTTTGACGACAATGTTTGGGAACATCTGCATCGAGCAATCTCGACACCTTAAGGTTTTAATCCACCGACCAAGGGCATCCGGCCCGCCCGGCACCGCCCTCTCGAGTCGAACGCTTTCTTCACCTTCTGGCTGTACATGCCTCGCTAACCCCACTTGGGGCTCGCTACTCCGTCTATAATATTAATACCGGTGGTGGAAGGAATCGGGCCCATTCGCCTGAACCACACCCTAGACCACCATCGCTGGCGACATTCGCTTGTACACTTCAGATCGCCCACAGGGCGGTCACTTTTATTCTTCTGACCCATGTCTTTCGCTACGACTTTATGAGCCGGGCGGGCCGCTTTTTGCTACAGGCTCGCTCGGATGAACAAACACTTTGTGAACTTTTCGTGTCACTCGCTCATCACAGGCGCTTGGGAACTTCTGCACCGTTTTTTGTGGAGTTAAAAGTTTCGGGCGCTTTTTGCATGCACCCACTCGCTGTGCACTCGAAAGGGATTTGAATACGCAGTCGTTACGACTGTTTTGCATTAACACATGGAGCGGTTTGCACGAGATCATCCTTCATATCCATGTCTATCCGATGGTGAGCACGACATGGCGACTCCTTCTACCACGGATCCAATCTGAATGGAAGAGAGGAACGAGGGGTGAATCGACAAGCTTGTGCTCTCGTTCTTTGTGTGAGCGCCCATGACAGCTTCGAGCAAGGGAATGGTTTTTTATGACGGAGGCCACCCTCAGCACGCAAGCTTTGTCTACTTTCTTCGCTTGGGAATATCGAGGAGGAAGCTGATCCGACTGTCTCATGCTTGCGTCGGTTACACCTTTACATGATGAGGTCGACTCGTTGGGCATGATGGCCGGATCGGGGATTGGCGTTGTGCCTTCTTTCGCTACCTTCGAAGAGATCCTCTTGGATATTCTTAGCATTATCTTTAATTGCCAGCGTATGAGTTAATGAAACATTGTACATTATTTACATTTCTTAATCAGTATACTGTTTTAGTCAACAAACAACCGCGATTACTACGTAATGTTGTGCAAGATTAATCATGTTCAAATCCTCGAACATACCGAGACATCTAATACTCCTCGCTGACCCTTCCAATTGCACTTCGTAGTTACCGCACATCCAAAGTTTGCCATACGTTAATCTTCAAACTTTCTGCTGTGTGCATCATATGGGGACAGTGCGTGTAGATCGCCAAACTCAATGTCTTGCATAACTCACATACCGCACATCAGTAGGAACTTGACTCTACTCCAGCATGAGGCCTACAATAATGCAACGCAATGCACAATGTGGAACACTCATACTTCATGACTTGCACGACGCCAGCTCGTGTATCTATTTTGATCATTTCCCATAATTATCATGACATGTCATACCAACACAGCTCGACAGGAGCTCCCAAGCGCCGCTCACAATGCAGAAATTACAGTAACGTCCCCATATTCGCATGAGAATGTCCAGCGCACGCATCAGGCAATCCAGGTGCCGGCGGAAGAGGAAGAGAAGCATAAGGATCCATCATAGCCGTCCTAGCCGCACCCATGCCCTCCTTAAGATAAAGCACAAGCCGATACGCCGAATTGCCATTCAAATAATATCGATGAAGCTGCTTGCTCCGAAGGAACCCCAATCGCTCGTATAACTTCATCGCACCAGTATTGGTAATTTCGGTCTCGAGAACAATCTGTAAACATACCCCCAAGTCAGCTTCAGCTTCAATCATGACAATACCTCGGACACATGAACCCGTATCCGGTACTCGACTCGTTCGGATCATTTCATACCTCATATGCATCCCGCTCAATCATGGCATCGATAGCCATTCGCACCAACTTCGTCGCAATTCCCCGCCCTCGGTATTCCTCGCGCACGGCCAGCATGGCGATATACCCCCTCAGCGGGCCGTCGCGGTGTGGTTCTAGTTTTGAAACCACGACGCCGACCATTTCGTCATTTTCGTCCATCGCGAGAAAACACAGGTCACCCCATTGATATAGAAAGTAGCGGTAGACGTAGATGCTGTATGGTTCGGACAGGTCTTTGGAGATCAGCTGGCGCATCGCGGCGACATACTCGTTTTCGCGCGAGTTGTCGTAGCGCACGTAGCGAGGTTCGGATAGCGCATTGCTCATCACGAGGGCTGACGGGTTGGTGGGTGGTGATTCGGGGGAGGTTGGGGGGAGGAAAGAAAGTTACGCAACTTTGCCATGTGATGCCGCCCGTTCACGGATGTTATGTGCTTCCGCCTTTCCTTCTCGGTCGGAGCTTGTCTGGCTTTTTTTTTTTTCTTTCTTAAAGGCGCGTCGATTAGGATTTTTTTTTTTTTTCACTTCTCGTGATTTATTTGCTGACTAGGCAATCGCTCTCTGGCTCCTTCTTGGTTGCTTGCGCTTGGTCGTCATGCTCCGGCGCCGCACGGGCAAGGACAAGGTCCCGCCCTACGACGAACTGATCAGTAAAGCTGGATCTAAGCGTGAGGAAGAGAAGCTCCGCGCGGAGTTCGGGGATGCGAAGGTCAAGCAGCTGGTGTTGAAGCCTAGGAGTAAACGTCGCAATGGCTTTATCTTCTTGCTGGGCGGCATCTTCGGTATCTTCATTGCCTTGTTCTTCGCCAACCAACATGAGGTCATTCGCTTGGATTCGCTCATGGACCTCAATCTGGACTCTTTGATGGATGCCATTCCCCAAGGAATCCTGCGCGACGTGAAGGAGTTCTCGGTATGTGGTCCTCAAGGGAGGAGATCCTCTTATCTCTACATCTGGTTGCTTGCATTTGACTGACCATTGGTGGGGCTATAGCAACAAGAGCGCGATACCGTCAGCTATGATTCTTTCGCTGTTGGGCTGCACCTTCAAAGCCAGGGTGTCAGCGCCAAACACCCTGTCGTTATGATTCCCGGAGTCATCTCAACCGGTTTAGAAAGCTGGGGCACAGGAGAGAGCTCACGACAGTACTTTCGCTCGAGGCTGTGGGGAAGTTGGACCATGATGAGGGCCCTTGTCATGGACAAGGCAGAGTGGAAGAATCATGTCATGCTCGACCGGGATACAGGTCTCGACCCGCCGGGCATCAAGCTCCGCGCGGCGCAGGGGTTCGACGCAACTGATTTCTTCATCACGGGATATTGGATTTGGAACAAGATTCTCGAGAACTTGGCCAGTATTGGATATGACCCTACGAATGCCTTCACAGCTGCGTACGATTGGCGACTCTCGTATCTCAATCTCGAAGTCCGCGATAAGTATTTCACGCGACTCAAGTCCTACATCGAAACTGCGGTCCAGGTCCAGGGCGAAAAGATCACACTGGCCTCGCACAGTATGGGGTCCCAGGTGGTTCTTTACTTCTTCAAATGGGTGGAGAGCGAAGAGTACGGCAATGGAGGCAAGGATTGGGTCAACAAGCATATCGACTCCTGGGTCAATATCAGTGGCTGCATGTTGGGTGCCGTCAAGGGATTGACGGCTGTTCTGTCTGGCGAAATGCGGGATACGGCTCAACTGAACGCATTTGCCGTATACGGTCTAGAGAAGTTCCTATCGAAAGAGGAGCGAGCAGAGATCTTCCGCGCCATGCCCGGTATCTCAAGCATGCTCCCTAAGGGCGGCGAGGCTGTGTGGGGAAACTCCACCTGGGCCCCAGATGACCAGCCCGGTCAACCTCTGACATTTGGCAACCTACTCAACTTCCACGAGACCAACTCATCGTGGACCCGACGCAACCTTACGATCACTGAAAGTTTACAGTATCTCCTAGACCAAAGCGAGGATTGGTACAAGAACCAAGTCTTGAACAGCTACTCCCATGGAGTAGCGCATACGAAACGCGAAGTCGAAGCCAATGAGAAGGACCCGCGTAAATGGCTGAACCCTCTCGAGGCACGCTTGCCCCTTGCTCCAGATATGAAGATCTATTGCTTCTACGGCGTGGGCAAGCCCACAGAGCGCAGCTACTTCTACCAGGAAGAGACAGACCCCCTGGTCAACCTCAATGTCAGTATGGACACCACCATCACCAACAGTGAGGGTGTTGATCATGGTGTCATGATGGGCGAGGGTGACGGCACCGTCAACCTGCTCAGCACGGGTTATATGTGTGCCAAGGGCTGGCGCATGAAGCGCTACAACCCTGCTGGCACGAAGATCAAGGTGTTTGAGATGCCTCATGAACCAGATCGCTTCTCTCCTCGGGGTGGTCCGAACACCGGTATGTTTCCATTTGCTTTGTTTTCTTTCCGCACGCACCTATCACAGACAACTGACTATAGTATCAGGTGACCATGTCGATATTCTCGGCCGTGCATCCCTCAATGACCTGCTCCTCCGCGTTGCTGGTGGCAAGGGCGATCAGATTGAGGAGACCTTTTATTCCAAGATCCGCGAGTATGCGGATCGTGTACAGATTTTTGATGACTAGCAGATGTTCAAGGTTAATGATTTGGTGCGGTTATGTTTCTTTTACGCTCACAATTTTACTACACACCCATTTATAGACGGACATTGGTGATTTCACTGGAGAGACGGGGTTCAGTTATGTCAATACTGTAGGTTTCTTACCTAGGTAGAGTGCTGGATTTCAATTCTTCTTTCGCAAAGAGATATCTTTGGCTCCAGTAGTTCTTCTCCAGCCTTGTAAGCATTTCTTATCAAGCTTGTATCCAGGCCCTGAAGTTGAGATATTGACAAGTGTAGCAATACTGTGATTTGATACCTAGGTATGTTCCTTTTCATTGGCAGTCATGAGACTATCAATGTCGATAAGACATAAAATGACATCAGATTCCTGGCTATCCCGCAAGCTATCATTGGCATGTTAGGCCTGCGGCTTCTCATATTAGGTTGGGGGACAAACTTGGAACGTTGGAACTTTGTTTACGTGTGAGATACGATACGGAGTACTATTATTGATGCCTCGCTCACCCACACTGCACTATGACGTGCCACATATCAAGCCCGATCTCGTGAAATGCTTGTCTTCTGGGATATCGACAAATTGGTCTGGCATGTTTGTGCCAGGGACCCCTGAACCCAAGGATCAAAAGTACCGGTACTCTGACACTTTGACGGGCCGCAGTGCCGGCATCGATATCCAACCGTGGGAAAAGCCCTGAATCATGAAGAGGCGCCACAAAAATACTCAACCGGAGTAAGTCTCCTACGCCAATCAGATGTTTCCGATCTGGTGAAATCGCATTGGCGGGAAGCATCGTGGCTCAAACTCGAAAATTCCAGTCGCGAAGAGAACAACCAATCAGAACTGGAGGAAGGAGGATACTTTTTCCCGGGTAAAGCCACTTGCGTTCCATAATGTAGGGTAAATCGGAGGTACAGACGCTGATTGGCGGGACGACCAACCGACCGATCTCGCCCGCCAACAACAAACTCGTGTAGACTCCACTGCCGCTATACCCAAAACAGAAGTGTGGCTCGGTCGACCCTTACGTGTGACATTTGCGTCATCGTCCGAGCGCTGTGATTTGCGGAAAGTTGGCTTCGGGATCGACGGGAGTACACAATCCAGGTACCCTGTTCTCTACCAACCGGTTTCATAAAGACGGGACAGTCTTGTTCTAATTCCGTCTAGCCTTATATATGAAAATCATTCCACTATTTTACCACCTTTGCTTGTTTGCCCTAGTGCATGTACACACCTAGATTCGCTTCCCCATCATGAAGCCTGCAGATGATCATCATGCCGGCCGTCGAGCCCGTGAGGTCTATCGCTATTTTCGACAGTCGGCGCGCATAGATGAGCCCCTGGCTGTGAACATCGACGGATCCCCTATCCCCGCAAGCCATCTGCAACGCTCACCATCCGGCTCGTCAGCATCACGAGGCTCATGGACACCCTCGGTATCAGAGCGGATGCCAGATGCCCTGGCCTTGGGTACTGCCAATGCCACTCTCAACTCATTTGCGCAGCTGATTGCATTGCAGTTGAACATGGATCGGGTCTTCATCAGGTAATTTATACAAGATCTTTTCGGAATGATTTCTCGCTTACCATTGGATAGTGTTTCGGACCGCGACTCTCAATTTATTATCGCGCAAGCTGCTAAATCGAAAAAGTCAAACAGCAAATCCGGCTCTTTAAGTGAAGGTTTTTATGATGGGTGTCCCACCCTCGATGTCAATCTTTGGAAACCGTGTCAGGTATGTTTGAATGTGTTTGAGGCCCCCAGGCCGTCACGGTCTTGGCGATGAAACTGACCAAAGTCGTGAGACTTATAGGACACAATCGCTCTATCACAATCCAACAAAGAGCAAGAAGAATATAATTTTATAGTGTCTCGTGATATGACACAAGATGCACAATATAAAGATCTGCCTTTCGTGAAAGGGGACCCGAACTTTCGATTCTATGCTGGCACGCCTCTCACGACAGACAATAATATTAACATGGGATGTCTATTCGTTCTCGACACCAAACCGCATGCCGACTTCTCAGACTCGGATAAAGAGATGATGGGTACCATGGGAATGCTCATTATGAACTATTTGAAAGTCAGCCGCCAGGCCTCCGAAGGTCGCCGCGCAGCCCGACTATCCCGAGGTCTCAACCTCTTCATCGACAGCAAGTCTAGCTTTGGAGAATCATTCGATGATTCAGACACCCATGACACCCACCGACAACAAAACACGCCTCCATCTTCAAAGACAAGAGAGAACAACCACCTAGTCGTCAACGATAACAGCCCGTCTCGACGGTCCCGCTCTCGAGACAGCGACTGCTCCAGCATAGCGTCAGACAACAGAGGCACCCAGTCAATGGCTTCCAGCTTTGACTCCAGCGTCAAACCTCGTTTCCCAGGCCTGCAATCCAGAAAAAGACAAGACTCCGACGAGGAAAAGGGCAATGCATGGACATTCCAGCGGGCAGCGAATCTGATCCGAGAGAGTCTCGAGTTGGAAGGTGATAGCGGCGTTGCTTTCATCGAGGCTGGAAGCGACCCAGAGCTCGACTATGAAACTGGCAGTGATACAGCCAGCTCAGCCAAAGCCCGAAAACCGGCCTCGACGTTAAGCGTTTCTACCGGCGAGAACTCATTTGGCCTCGAGACTTCGCCTTCGCGGTACCCTGTCTCCAAGATTGATGAAGTTTTCCTGCAAGGCTTGCTCAATCGCTATCCTCAGGGCAAGATTTGGTCTTTTCATCGGGATGGTATGTTTTCTAGTTCGGAAAGCGAGGATATGCCTCGCGAAAGTCGGTCTAGAACACGTAACCGCTCTCCGAAATCGAAACGACCAAGGAAGTGGAAGACTCTGGAGAACACCATGCTTAATCGCTTGTTCCCGGGAGCCACGCAGGTGATTTTTGTGCCATTGTGGAATACTGCTAATTCTCGATGGTTTGGCGGCTGTTTCTGCTGGAACAATATCGAGAATGTTGTTCTTGATCCCGAGGTGGAGTTGAGCTCTGTTCTGGGCTTTGGGTCTTCGATCATGGCTGAATGCAACCGCGTTGAGGCACATATCTCAAATCGTCAGAAGGAAGATTTCCTGGGCAGTGTTTCGTAAGTTGACCCGATGGAGACAAATTGGCTACTTCATTTCTATGGTGGGCAATGCTAACAATTGATACCAGACACGAACTCAGAAGTCCGCTCCACGGAGTTCTAGCAGCAGCAGAGTTGCTTCAAGGCACAAACTTCGATGAGTTTCAAGGCTCGCTGCTTGAAACTATTAATGCGTGTGGCCGCACATTACTCGATACCATGAACCAAGTTTTGGATTATACTAAACTGGTCTCCTTGGAAAAGGACCTTCGCCACTTGAAAAGGAAGATGGCCACCAATGTCGACATCAAGAGCTTGAAGCGCTCTGCTGGTCACTTGGATACATACACGTCTACAGACCTAGCTCTTTTGTCCGAAGAGGTAGTAGACGGTGTTTGCCTGGGCCACTCTTACAGCCAGCGTCCTGCGGCGTCCCTTGATACGACGGTCGCTCATTTGACTCACGTCAAATCAACGGACTTAGATATTCCCGAGCTCCATGTGGATGTGACGTTGGATATTGCACAACACGATTGGAACTATCACATGCCTCCTGGGGCCTTCCGACGTATCATCATGAATCTACTAAGCAACGCCGTCAAATATACAGACTCTGGTAGTGTTTCCGTTTGCTTGGAAGCCAAGGAGGCGCCAGAGAACCGGTTCCTTCAAAACAACGCCCGGGAAGATCTGATCGTTCTCACAGTCTCTGACACTGGCAGAGGTATGTCAGCGGATTTCCAGCGAGGCAGATTGTTCGTGCCTTTCTCTCAGGAGAGCAGTCTCAATGAAGGAACCGGCTTGGGCCTTTCCATCGTTCGAAGTCTTGTCAAGTCATTGAGTGGTACTATCAGTGTCGATAGCCGTTCAGGAGAAGGTACAAGCATCAAAGTGGCTATTCCTTTGGCGCACCATGATCCAGAAGAATTTTGCAGCATTTCAGGTGCTTTGCCATCACCCCCACAAGAAGACACCGACTCTTCTACGAACGAAATTCGCCTATTGCGGGACACCTCCCTTGGTAAAAAGGTCGCCATACTTGGCGTTGAGCCCGATGATGCACCCAAGCATCCTGTATGGGGAACGATCTCTCAGTACCTAGTCGACTGGTACGGCATAGAGTTGGTTTCACCGTCATCTGGCACCAGTATCGATGTCATCTTGGCGGACAAACCACCATTGGAAACAGAAAAGCAATCTTTTGCGGACCCCAACCAGGCTGTTCTTGTTGTGAGCAGCAAGTACGTGGGCCACGACATTATCCGAGCGGAATGGGCTCCATTCTCGAAGATGGTGAACATTATCAGCCGGCCATGTGGCCCCCACAAGCTTGCTAGGTTCCTGCAGAAATGCTTCGATCAAGAATTCTCTCCGTCTAACTCGGAGCCACCTGTTCCATCTCTCCCCGATCCGGAACGTCCCTCAAATCCTGTTGAAGACACTCCTTCGGTCGAACGTCCCGCCGCGGATGACGACAAAACACCCACACCAGATAACAACCCTCCTCCTGACACATCCCCATTACCCTCCCTCCCCGCACAAGTCAGCCCTCTTCCACCTGCCTCCGCCGAAAATACAGAGACACCAGAAGAGCCCCGCAAACCCCGAGTCCTTGTGGTTGAAGACAACAAAATCAACCTAAACCTAATGCTTGCATTCCTCAAAAAGCGCAAGCTGGTGACCCTCGACTCAGCCGAGAACGGGAAACTCGCGGTGGATGCAGTCGAGAAGTTAGAAGGGAGCTATGATATAATTTTCATGGGTAAGACAAGTCCTTCAGTCTATTTCTCCCGAAAGCTCAATTGCTAACTTAAAACAGACATCTCAATGCCAGTCATGGATGGCTTTGACGCTACGCGATCTATTCGCGCCCTTGAGAAGCAGCGCGGTATTGATTCTCCTACTTCTACCATCATTGCACTTACGGGATTGAGTGGCTCCAACGATGAGCTCGAAGCTCTTGGTGCAGGAATGGATCTTTTCCTCACGAAACCTGTTACCATGAAAAATGTCTCGAAGATCCTGGATCAGTGGCAAAGAGGGTTGCAAGATCCTTGATCATCGAGTTTTGCGCGATGTGTTTATATCGATTTTTGTTTTTGTTTTTTGCATGTTTCTCAGGCGTTCCATCGGATTGACACCAAGTCCACGGGTATTGCCTGAGCGGAGTTCGGAAGACATTTGTGACTTCTTTGTATATGATTATGAGGCATGAGCGATACCCATTTGCTTTGATCAGCTATATGTATATGTAACTTGAATCGAACCCTACTATATTTTCACTTTCTACTTCCATGGATCAATAACAGTACTACTTCCCGTATAAGACTAGCTGCATATCCGGTCGTCCGGTACTCGTCAAGTCCTCTGATTGGTCAACTCTAATTCGAACTGTGGTTCATCGTCATTGATGTCTGGAAAGGTCACATGGGGAAATCTTGGGTCCAAACTCCCCTATTCCAACATCCCAAGGTTTCCATTGTATACACCTGCAGAACTACAGACAGCATGGATTTGCAAGCCCTCCGCCTAAACGCGGGCATCACCAAGTCAACGAATCGTCAAGGCCGCAGACCAGGCAAATCAGCCTGCACGGCTTGCCACAGTCGCAAAAAGCGATGTGACGCCGCCCCGCCACATTACCAGTGTTCTTTCTGCACCAAGGAGGGCCAATTATGTATACCACGCGATCCCGTGGACAGGTATGTTCCGACCGAAATGCGCCTGCATCACTCGAATGTACTAATGCATCGCAGGCCTGCCCGTCATCGAATCCCCAATCGCACATCCAATGCCAAAATCAACCTGGCCACCACGATAAATAAGCAACAAGAAAAAGAAAAGGACACATCTTTGCCACCTGGCATTGATCATGAGATCCCGCGCTGGAGCGCAATGTACTCGTTTTTTTCGGAGATGCAGCGGCTCTTACCGCCATCGCCAAGCCCGTCCCTTTCGCCAGAACTCGAAGATGACGATCCACCTGCACCGGGTGGTTCAGGCGAAATGGAGGAAGAGAGGCGAGTGCCTGAGCGCGAGGCTGAATTCGCGAAGAATCACACACATAACCCGTTGAATGATGACTCTGTTGGGGAGAGTCATTTCAAGGGAATTAGCATGCCTGCTTCACAGACTAGGAGTGCGTCTCCGTCGTCTCAGGGGCAGATAGAATCGAGGCTGAGGTCGAGGTCGAGGCCAGGTGCGGTGGAATCTTCACATGGTCAGGGCTCATCGGGGCACGTTGAGAATGGGAGGGGTTTCAACGCCCATGGTGATGTCTTTATGAATGATCTGGATTCTTTGCTTAGGTTTTGACGATTGGTTCGGCTCAGGGGATTTTCTATAAAAAGGCATTCAATGGAAACCTTGGAAGAGCGTTGGGAACATTATAAGTTTATGGATCTATGTTTGGGTAGATAATGTACAGATATATGTAAATACAGGAGGTGGGAAGTGAACGAGCCAGTTCGCAGGAACAAGACCGCCAGGTAGGCATGCATGCAACCAGCTGACGTGGGATAGGGAGGAGTCATGTTGTTGGAAATAGTTAGGAGAGATGAGGTTGAGGCGTGATCTGTGGCGTCCTCACTCGAGAGCGGTTGGTGGGGTTCTCCTATCCCACTTGGGGATAAGAGGGACTTGAATGGCGTTCTGTTGCTTCCAGTTCAGAGGTCGTGGTATGTCATGCCACTCTCGATCAATGCGATATGCTGCTTCCAACATGATTTGAAGAGGGTGCTTGGGTTTGTAGGTAGAAGCGAGTCCCATGTCATGGTGAATAATGGCGTTGGTAAGGCGCAGCTGAATCTCTCGTCCATCGCCTTGGCCCTTCCACCCATTGAGGAAGGAAAGAGGATTGTCGCGACACTCAGGAGGAAGTTCTTTCAGAATGGACTCGGGCATGTGATAGGTTTCATGGTGGAAGTCAATGCCAACCATGACTTTGCCAGCGTCGAGATCCCACAGGGTCCTGAGCTCACTGTTGGCCCTCTTGCTTTCATTACGACACAACGAAGTAAGGACAGTTTGTTTCATCTTGTAGGTCACCTCGCCTCTCAGGCATGCATACCGCCATAAGACACGACAAACGTTATAGCAGCGGGCCATGTATGCCTGTAAGAACAAGGTCTCGCGGTTTTTAGATGTAGGAGACGGCAACGCCGGGTCACCCTCGAATCGCAAGAAGTACTGTATAGCCTTGTGGATTCTGGAACGGTTGATGATCATGAGTGAGCTGAGCGCGTTTCCGTCAATCACCAAGCTTTTTTCAACACAAATCTGCATCAACCGGTCAATCGAATCATGATCCCTCAACCGAGCTAGTGCTTCAAAAATCTGGCCCGTCAAAGCTGCGCTGGCCTCATCAGCGCCATAGGTACGGGCCATGAGCTCGAAGAATGAATCTATATCATTTCCAGCATCCAGATGCACAAGCAGTGAATCTTGGATTGTCTGATGAAGTGCATCCCGGATGATGGCTTTGTCAGACAGGTAGTTGTGTTGTACCATACGTGCGATAAGCTCAGCCTTCTCCTTGGGTTTCACCAGGGCGCTGAGTAAGATGATCCACGTCTGTGGGTTTGGATTGATATCATGTCTGCCCATTTGTGCCAAGAGAGAGTGGAATTCCCTGAGATCCTGTCTCTTCACCGCAAACTTCAGCAACATGTTGTATGTTTCCACTGTGGTGATATGCCGATGACGGGCACAAATTGCCTGTGCAAGGGCGTTTTCCTCATGTTGACAAAGCCACTCCAATGCCATGTGAAGAGCAGCACTCGACAAGTAGTGGTAATGTATTTCCGAAGCAAATAGTCTCTGAAGAGCTGTCTTGACCCGTTTCCCGTGCGTCAAGTTTGTCCTCTTCGCCCCTTTGGGTTTCGGTGAGTAGTTCAAGGAATATTCGTGGCTATTAGGCGGCCTCGAATGCACAATGTCTTCGACAAGCTCAACGAAATCCTTCCATGACTTGATCTCAGGGCGACTTGCTGTAAGTTGGTCCAAGGTCATGGTCTTCATTCCATCTTCGTGTTGAAAGTACCAAGATCCTTGGATCAATGGTTTTGGTAGACCCGAGCGCGCCAGAGCCTCCTGAGATGAGCAGATAGGAGCCGCTAACCTTGAATACTCAGCGAGTGGGTCACTTTGATCTCGTGCACTTTTTGCACTCGCGAATGTTGTCTCGGTCAACTCTATGGCACGGCTTGTTCCGGACAGAAGAATTCGGCGGAGGAAGCCTTTGTTTCGTTCCACAGGCAAAACTCGCACACGACAACCATTGTTGATCGCAATGAACCAAATGTTCTCTTGAAAAGTGTACTGGTTCACACCAACAAACGTGGCAAGGGTTTCCTCTGAAACAAGAAGCTCCTTCTCCTTGAGTGGGTTCTTCTTGGTCTTGTTCCGTTTACTTTTTTCAAGAAGCTGATCCAACATTTTCATCGTTCTGATCCAACCGTTGTCGAGGTATGTCTTTCCCAGTTTTCGATAGTACTTTTTCACATACTCGCGTCTGAAGATCTTCTGTTGGTCGCGAATGGAATATTCCCGTAACTTGCGCGCTGTTGGAGATAGTTTGCTATAATCTACCGAGTTGGGTCGATTCATAACTAGACACGTTCCCTGTCCCTTGTCGACTTTCGGCGCGGGGTGCCCTTCTGGCTGCCGTTGGAGAGCATCATCTTCGGACTTGGTGGCGAGTTGATTACCGCCACTCCGCTTCGAGCCATTGAAATCGGATGTTTTCCCATCATTCTCTTTGGGGCTTTCGCCAGGTACGTTGTGAGGAGGTGGCTTCGGCGTCAGATCGGTCGTCTTCTTGGGGATGTCGGAGATCCATCGGCACGAGTGTCGAGCGAACGAAGGGCCAGCGGGGATCACCGGGCGAAAAGGCGTACGCGAGGCTCGGCATGTGGTCGCAGGTAGCTCGATTGATGTCAAGGAGAACGGTCGTCGCTGCCGCAGAGCAGGCGCTACCCAGCGAGGATACAGGAACAGCAGAGGCTCATGGGAGCCGGTCGCGACTGTGTCTGAGACGGCAGGTAGGCGCCTTCTCAGACACGGGCGACCCCGCGAAAGCATGGGCGTTAATGCGCTGAGAATCCCAGAGACTCCAGTGAAGGTGAAGAGGGAGAAGTCGTGTTGGTGTCCGGGTGTTTTTTTGAATTGTCCTCTTTACCCCGAAATTGTTGGCCAGCGGAGGCGGTGAGCACAAGGCCGCACGGTTAAAGTGTTTTTTTGCCATATCTTATCGGTCGGCCTTACTCCATACCTACTTTCTCCGACCATCAAGGCCTAATGGGAATATGACGACATAATGATATTAATATACAAAGGTATAGTACATTAGTAGATATGACCTTCGCGATCGATCTCAGCAGCTTTGGGAATACCCTTGAAAATCCGCCTCATCGAAGGTGCTCGTTCCTCCAACACTGGCCGCTTGGACAGCAGTGTATCACGCTTGGCCACGGGTGTCAGATCAAGTAATTCCGTTGCTGACTCTCCGTGGTCATCTTTAAAGACATCAGGCCCAGTGATGTGTCGCTTGCAGGCTTCCGCTGCGCGGGCAAGGTTATCTTTCTTGCGCTGAACTGCATCGGCGTCTTTGTCAGACTCCGTGGGTGTTTTCGACAGCTCGCGAATAACACCATAAAGATATGTGACAAATTGCCAACGTGATGTTTGGAATAAGAATGTTGGCATGATGTCCGGTATCTGCTAGAGTTAGCCAATCGCCCATGCAGAGGGTGCAATTCTTTTCAACTCACCTTGTCGTTTAGATAATACAGCTCGTCACCACCCTCTTCGACGAACTTCTTCAAGGCATCAATTCTTTCGCGGTCAATAGATGCTAATCTCAGAGCATGCAGTAAGCTGGGGATATCCCCAATCTCATCAATATGCGGTTCTTCGTCCACTGTCATACTTGCGCGGTTCAGGAATCCAGATTCCACTCGCGAAAGACCAGCAATACTCTGCTCCCGGCTCCTGGCCCGAGGGGTGTGGATGGTAAAGTAGTCCCCGTTGAGCATGTGGGCTTTTTCGAAATCAGAGCGGCCACGAAGACGCCGGTCAGGGACCTTGGTTCGTAGTCTGACCCAACGTCTCCTCCTAACAAATGAATGGAACCAAGGCTGTGTGCCGTGCCATGATGAAGAGGAAAATGAAAACGAATACTGCCATCCTTGTTCGTCAGTGTCTCCAGACATATCAACATACCAAGCCTTCCATGCCCACTCCCAGCTTGGGTCGGGCAGTTGGGCATTGGTAATATTGACAGCACTGGCTCGGCGATCCTGCGTCATCCAGGCTGCAGGGTCAAAGTTCAGAAGAGAGCTCTGCGAATATCGAGGTACTCCAAATAGAAACGAGCCTCGTTGGTTCTCATAAAGAATATCCATTTCCGATCGTGGCTTCCCGTCAATGCGGGTGTTGGGCTCGGCTCCATTCAGGCCGGTGTCGGTCGTGACGATACTTTGTATACGCGATGGATTGAATTCTGCCGTGTCTGTATCTCTGCCTGCGCTGCCTTCGCCAGTCGAGCTTGCGGATATGGACCCGCCGCGCACCTGGGATGATTCTCGACTGAGCGAGTCGCCTGTGTCGGGGGCAATACCCAGTCTTTCGGGCTGCCATTTTGCATACTTTCGTTTTGTGAGCTGGCTTTGGACCGATGCGCGGCTGAGGTGTTTAGTCAGGCTTGCTTGCCGATCGAGTGTTGATGTGCGCCGTGGGGTCCCTTCGCCGGTGGGTTGTTGTGGGACGGTGTTATCCACCAAAGAGAGAGATGGCGTGTTATCCATTGAATCGGCGCGATCATCCAAAGGAATATTTAATTGACGTTGGCCCATTCTAAGAGCGATCCAGCCCTTGTTGTATTCACCGAGCGTGTTGGGCCAGCGCTATCTTAGGGGTTGTCATTCAAAGGTCGAGAAATAGGGGACAATAAGAAAAATGGAAGCGATAGAGTGATCAAGTGGGTATAATAACAAAAGAAACAGGAAGAGAGGTATAAAATAAAGGAGAGTATGACGAAGGAACGAATGAAGTGCCGGTGCAGATGCAACCTGATTACATCGTTTGCGGGGATCGTGCCAAGCCTGTCTATACAGCGGTTTCCAGCGGCCGGAATGCGAAATCAATTCTGCCAGTCTTGTAGTACTTGATATACTTCTGGGTTTCTTATTTGACCTGATTATGGAAAGACTTGTGTCCTTAAATATATGGTATCATGATTTTATGAGCTAACTTATTCCTTTTTCCCCTTTCGAATTGCGTTTTTCAATCAATCATTGAAGTAATCTTCCAAGCATCTAAAAATGATTGTACTTAAGCATAGCGGTAGGAAAAGCGGTAAGGTCTTTACTATGGGCAGAATCCAATTCCGCACCCCGGCCACTACCACCCACCGTTCCACCAAGTCAATCAAGACTCTAAAAAAACACCACAACAACCCAAACAGCCCACCACAATGTCGCACCACCGAAGAGTGGAGCTCCAGTCTCCAGCAGACTTCACCTACCTCTACGCCAACACAGTCGCAACCTCACGACAAAAACTCGATCTCCACATCCCCCTTCCGCTGACCAAACACCCGATCCCATGCGCGAACGCGTCCGCGAGCTAGTCGACGAAGTAAGTCCCCAGCTACAGCCACCACCCACCCAACCAACCCCCAGGTTTCCAAGCACCAAAACTAACATCTCCCCTTTAGTACATCTACAAAACTTTCGACACAGCCTCCAAATCAATCAGCATCAACGGCATAGACTCCACATCCTCCCAATTCCCATTCCCAGCCGCCTTCACAGAGCCAGTTGAGCAAGTGGAGTACGAGCCATATGACAGCGAGCTCGCGGGACGCGTTACATCACTATATGCGCAGCTAGAGTCGTTAAATACGACAGTTGCGCTTCAGAGACGGGATGCGCCTAGGCGCGCAGCTAAGGAATATGCGGCGCAATTGAAGAATATGATTCAGGAAGATGAGGAGTATGAGGTTGAACTTGAGGATGCGTTGTTAGGGCGTGGAGAGTCGGATCATGATTCGGATCGCATGGATGTTGATTCTGCCGCGAATGCGGGTAGCAAGCGGGATCCGGCTTGGAATTTGGAGGCGAAGTTGGGTTCGGAGGTTGAGGGGGAGAGGTGGAGGGGTGGGGACTTTGCGGGGGTTTATGAGGATACGCTGCGGTTGTTGTTGAGGTTGCAGGGTGAGGGTGAGGATGTGGAGGTTGGTGAGGGTGAGGCTTTGGCGACGACTGTTGGGAAGGTTGAGCGTGCTGGGCGTGCTGCTGAGGTTGTGGAAGAGATGATGAAATGAGATATTGGTTTGGATTGGCGTTTTGGGATTTGTTTTCTATGCTTTATACTTGGGAGAGGTGTTCTGGGTCCTGAGCTTCGCCTTCGCTCGGGAATGATGATACCATGTCTTTATTTTGATTCCTTTTTGTTGATTCGAGCTTCAAAGAATATATCTTTTCAAGTTCTGTTCTTTTATACCAATGTCTGCTACGGGCATCGATATATATACCTTTCGGTAGGAAAAGTCAAGACATGACAGCTACCATTTTCAATATGTGCTTTCTCATGTATACACACCAGCGCTGAACCAGAAAAACACCAGCTATTCACCTTCACACCAACTCACTTTTGAATTTCATCAGCTCCTGTCCCTTCTATGCCAAAAACCGCACACGCTGCGCATCTTGAACAGGCAAAAACCATACTAAACAAAAAAGCAAGCTCTTCATGATATCTAGATCCGAACAGAGAGGGGGGGAAATTAAACAACGCAGATAGCGAATGTAGGGCAAGGGGTCCACGAATTAGTGGATGGGTCGGCGAGAATGTGTTGAAACTACCAGAGCAAAGTCTCCAGTCTGCCAGGGGAGGTTGGCGTTGGATGGGAGATCATGTTTATAGATCGAACCACCGTTTAGAATTCTTTTTTTTTTTTTTTTGTGGTTTCTGTTTTCGATCCCCACGCAAGCTGAGAGGGGGTATATCGGATTTGATAAAGAAAAGGTTAGACCAACCTAAGCGGCAGTCTGAACACCCTCCTGGCCCTCGACATCCTTCTTCTCGTATCCGGGGTCCTCGTTCTGCACAACAGGCTCAGCGCCCTCGTTGGTGGTGGACTTGGCCCACGCAGGAGCGCGAGTCCACTCAGCCTCCTGCCAAGGGCCCTGATCAGAGAGCTGGCAGCCGTTGGGGCACGAGCACTTGCCACCGAACTCGGTAGGCAGGTTCTCGGCGGGGACCTGAGCGAGCAGCTCCTTCTGGTAACCGCTGCCGAGGACGTGGATCTTGGTCACGGTCACGGGGTCGAGGAAGGACTTGACGGCATTGAAAGCGCCGCTGAAGCCCCAGGGGGCGTTGATGAGGTACAGCTTGCCCAGACGCTCGGGGTAGTGGTTTTGCGAGATGTCGGAGGCTTGCTTGACGTATCCGTAGACGGAGGGGATGCTGGTGATTCCGACACCCTTGAGATCCATGATTGTGCAGCAGGTCTCGAGGAGCTTGCCGGCCTTGCGGGAGCATGCGGGCAGACGGGGGTCGGCCAGCTTCTCGTACTCGGAGACCAGGTTCTTCAGCATACGGTCGGAGGTGGTGATGTTGTACATCTTGTTCAGGTCGATCTTGCCCAGCTTCTCGATGTAGACGGGGCGGCCATCCTGTTTGGGTTGTCAGTTTAGATTTCGATTTTCGATTTTCTGCGGTCTGATTTTCTCAAATCATGTCATGGAGGAAACCCACCTTGTCCGTCTTGTGGTAGTACTGAGGGTAGTACTCAAAGACCTTCTCCTTCTCGGGGTACTCGAAGTTGGCAGCCAGGTCGTCGGTGCCAAACTCCTTGCGCCAGGTCTCGCTGTTGGTGAACCTATCAAAAAGCGTCAGTGAATCGAACCTCCATAGATCGATTACCCCCAACGACAGAAAGTCTGACAACCAGAAACTTCCCAGGCTGCGGGGAGATTTCAAGAACGTACATAGCCTTGGCGGCCTCGACATCGAACTTGCGAGCACGCAGGAAGCGCAGCAAGGTCAGAGTATCCAGACGCTTGGTGTAACCGAGCTTTTCCAGCTCAGCGCGGAGCTGGTGCACCTTAGCATCCTGCTCCGGGGTGGTGTGGCCGGGGTGACCAGGCTGAGCCTCCGGGGCGGTGGTGGGGAAGTCGTACTGGTCGTACTTGGGGTCTGTGGGGAGCTGGGACTCTGTGGCCGCCATTGTGAGTGATGGGAGGGGTATGTTCGAGGGGTTGAGGAGGGAAGGATCCAAAGTTGAGATGTTCTGGAAGAAGGGCGGGAGGCGGAGTAAACTGGCGTAAGTGGCCACTTTAAAGATGAGAAAAAAATAAAATAAAATAAAGGTCTCTGGGGGATCGGCTCCGGTTATTACCAACGCTATATACTATATACAGATTCCGTCCGATAATTCCAAATGATAGGGACTCTTTATTCTCATAGATTGTTCAGCATGGAGTACATCCCTTCAATGTCAGTGTCAATGTTATTGGGATCCACAGATGGGTTCTCTAAAGTTTCCCGCCAAGGAAGACTATGTACAACCTCCTTTCCAACGGTTCAAGAACGAAATGGCAGAGATATGACTTGTACTTCATAGTAAAACACGCAAGGCAGCAATTATGCGTAAAAAGGGGCAAGGAGACGAGGGGCAAACGTGGCGGTGTCAGTGACGAATCCACAGTAGCGTGGACGTGGACACCGGTTTTATGATATTCAACGTCCGAGCTCAGTATAAATGACTATAAGCTAAGATTAAGTCCAAAAGTCCAGTATTCAAACGGGTATTCAATTCAAACATCAGCTTCGCAACAGGTATTATTATACACGACCAAGGTCTAGGCAGTGATGGGAACAAAGGCCAATCGAAAAACCAAAACGAAAAACGAAACCAAAACAAAATGGGGTAAACATAAAATTTAAAAATTTATAGGGCTCAGCACCCAAACCAGGGAGGGGGAAACGACAACCATGCGCTGGGTATAGACATTGGAAGAATGAACAGACAAACATTGGGTAAAGTGGAAAAGGGGGATGGCCACCATAGAAAAAAAGAAAAGAAAAGATGTACATATAAAAAAAAATCACAGAATCATCGGCGTCCCGTACCAGCAGGGCCTTGATCATCCTCCATAGGGTATGTTCGTGTATCAGCAGCATTCACAAAGGGCGATTCACCCGATCTGCGGGGATGGGGCAGATCCTAGTCATTGCGTGGAGCAGTCATCTGATCCATCATATTTGAGATGGAGGGGGTACATGAGATATGACTTCCATGATCATCACATTAAGGGCCTGGGGCAACGGTCAATCATAAGACAGTTGCACCGGGCGTGGAGAGTTGAACATTCGATAGGGCTGTTCAACATTGGCTCGAGCTCATCATTCATCAAAGGGGGAGGGCTAGGAGAGCCCCGGCGGAGAGCCTTTACCACCCCTTCTTGCGTGCAAATCGTTTGTTGAGGAGCGCAAGAACCTTGGTCACATTGAACTGGACGTATTCCAGGTCGAGGTCTTCGAGGTTGTCCTTTTGCATTTCTAATAGATCATCGAGCTTGAGATCAAGCTCGAGTAGTCCACGGGCACGTCCTGAAATGATGGGTTAGTGTGATATCATTTGACGACTGATCGATGAACTCACCCTTGTAATGGAGACTGATCACGAAGGTTCCCGGCAAGGGACTCTTGAACATGAAATAAATGTTGGCTCGTCGATTCTCCGGGACATTACTGCGTCGAATGACGCCTTCCTTCTCAAGTTGCTGGTGGGTAAACTTGTACGGTCCAAGCTCTTGATTCTTTGGAGTCTTGCCGACACGAGTCTTACCCTCGGACTGGCTGCGCACGTTGTGAAGGTAGGATTTGTAGGTCTCCAATTGACCGACCAGATAGGCATTGTGGTCGCGGATGGTGGCAAAGACCTCTTCGAGCTTGCGCGTCTCGTCCAACACCTTCTCCTTGAGAGAACCTAGATGCACCAATTCCTGCTCCACCTCGTCGCGGAGAAGACTGAACTCGTCGGAGCGATCAATCACGCCCATGTCTTGCAATTGGCTCAGAAGCTCCATGGTACGAATACCCTTGCGTACCATAACGGCGTCGTTCTTCAAAGTTGCCGCAGCCTCGGCAATGCGATCGAGGCGCAGAGGGCGACGGGCGACAGATGTGTTCTGTGGAAGAGATCGAAGAATCTGGACAAAGGTCGACTTGGCCTCCATGAAGAACACCTCCTCCTGTGTGATATCGAGAGCAGCGGTCAAATCGTCCAAGGCGGTTTCCCACTTGCTGAACAATGGAACGGTAATGGTGCGGTTCTCCTTGCGGGGAACCTGAGGGGGAGCACCACCCAATTCTTGCAGTAAGACAGATAGGTGGGAGTACTGATCCTGGGCAAGGGCCGCAGTGTGCTTTTCCAACAGACCGTGCATGACGTACATTTCGTTGAGAGTGATTTGGAGCTCCAGATCGCGCTTGGACAAAGCCACGTAGTTGTCCATTTCAAGACTCTCGTAGAAGTCCTGCACCTCACACAGATCGAGCAGGAACTTGTTGACACGCTCCTTATTCTGTTGAATAAAGGGCTGCAGACTGGCCATGTAGGGCTCCTTGGCGTAGGAAGGCTTGTTTGCCAGGTTCTGGATCATCTTCGCGATTAGAGTGAGGGTGCGGCGGGGCTTGTCGGTGGGAGTGGCATCGATGAGCATGTAGGAGCGCGGTGTGACAATCGCCGGGTTGATGAAGCGCAGGAAGAAGAAACCACCGATCAGGGTGCAAATGGTCTGGTCCTGGGCGTCGGGGTACTTGCGGCGCGAGAGACTGCGAATCTGCTTGCAGATCCATCGAATTCCGTACGGGGCCTCATCTACGGAGTCAATGATGGTTGTGATGAATCCATTGGCAATGTCCGTCAGCATTTTGAGACGCGGCGCAATGATGGCCTGAACCTGGGCGTTTTCGGCGGCATCCTCGGCGGTAACAGACCGGGCTAGATAGTCTGGCAAGGAACCGGTTTCTTCTTCAATCTGCTTGATCATGCTCTCGTAGACTTTCAATGGATTGATCTCCAAGTCCACGTCTCGCAGCTCAATCAGCGCATTGATCTGATCCGCGAGGACCTGCTTCAAGTAACTCTGGCCGGGGCCTCGGCGCGTGTATGTGGTCATCATTCGGGAAACGGGGGTATTCTGGCGCAGCAAAGACGAGTATTCGGGCGTGTTGTCGAATTGGTATGTGAGGACGGACTGGAACATAGTAAGCAGGAGGTGCTCCTCACGGCTCTCGTATTGGTTTCCGTAGATGGTAAACATGACCGTCTGGAGGAGCGAGTCGATCTCGGCCATAGAAACGAGTCGGCACAGGTGAGCGATGTGGCGGGGTTCGGATTGCAGGAGGAATAGCAGGTTTCCATATTTCTGGGTTCGTTCGTCGTTCGGGAAGAAACCTTCTTGCGGGTCTGCGGTATCATCCAAGTGGCTAGCGACTTCATTTTGCTGTTCAGAGAGAAAGAAAAAAAGGGAATGTAAGCCAATGTGCGTTTCACGTTTCAAAACAGGGGCGCACTCACCTCTTCCAAGGCCATTCGGTTTTGAATCAGCAATGCGATTCGTGAATCGAGGTATCGCACATCCTTTTCCAACACAAAGTTCTTTTTCGATTGGGAGGAGATCCTTGATTTCAGATCTCGCAGATGCTTCTGTGCTGTCGGAGGGTTAGCGCGACCGACAGACGTGAGGGAGAGAGAGTGAGATACCTCGCGCCAAGTCATCGGAAATCTCCAAATCCCTGTCCTTTGCGGACATGGACAGGTACAAGGCTGTGACGGACATCCGCTTGGATTGGCGGAGCGACCGCGTATCGTGGGACGACATTGTGTTTTGTCGTGCGACGGGTTGAAACGAGGAGGATGAGGAAGAAGATGCTCTCGATTGTCTGGACGCAGGTTGGAGCATCGTCGCAACAGACATGTTGACGTGAAGAGGAAGAAAGAAAGTACAGGGGTTCGGACCAGAGGGAAGGTGAACCACGGTACGGAGTACGACGAGTTGGTATACCGAGAACGAGTCTCGGAGTTGTAAGAAGGACAAGGGAGGGAGGGGGAGATTATTATTTCGTTAGTTTGCTGTTAGGGCGGTTCTGGGGAAAAGTTGAAGTGGATGAGTGGGACTTTGGTTCTTTTCTATTTTATTTTATTTTATTTTGTTTATTTTCTATTTGGCTTATTTGATTTATTTGGCTATTTGGTTATTTGATTGTTAAGTTTAATGTGTTTGGTTGATTTGGGGCTGTTGGGCTACGGTTGTGTTTTTTTGGTATTTTGCATACACTCACACTTACACTTACACTGTGTATTCCTTATAGTCCCTGTACTCCGTACTCCGTAGTCACTCTATAGTTCCTATGTATACTCCTATGTTGTCTACTATGAAGTATGTGAACATGATAATATTCTCCCAACTCCGTATCTCCTAAAGATAGCGTCTCCCGAATGATACGTATTTCTTCATGCAAGGGGAAAAAAGGGCCTATTACCCCTGGCCCAATGCACCTTTTTCGCCACTCGGCCCATCTCCTTTCTGCCGCTTATTAGGCCCTAAATCCAAGATCTCCTCTATACTCCGTACTTGCATACTTTTCCACTGACTCGATCCTCTGCAATATCTGACGTCAGATCTTTCAAACCGGCTCGAGTCCGGCTACAGAGGATTCCGTACTCCGTCCTCCGTGCCCCGTTCTCCCTACGGATTCCTTATATATACTTCCGTACACACTCGTACCGCATGCATTCTTGCCTGCGAGTCACACGGGGGTGTCCACTGCCGCACCGTACCTGCATCTCAGCACTTGTACCCTTTGGGCTAGGGCGACAAGAAAGAGACATGGGAATGTTGCACTCTGCTTCGGAATGGATAAATCCGGTCTTGCTCGAGTGTATGGAGTATGGAGTACTCCGTATGGGAGTTTCTGTACGACGGAGCCGTTCAAACCCCCATTGTTCGAACTACTCGTACTCGGCACGGTAACCTGGTTTCATGTTGAGAGTGATCCAGGTTATGGGGACCCTGGAGTAACGCAGGACTCCATCTCGGCTTTTGTGTAGCACCGAGCCATCTCCAGGGCTACTTTGTACGGATAGAAAGTACTTGTACAAGTACTTGAGTATAAGTACCATGTGTATCTTTGTGCCGGGACTAGTACGGAGTATAGCATGATCTGATCCCGTACTTCCTACTCTCCCGGGTCCATACACGTACTTTACTCGTATGACCAAACTTTTGAGACTCAATTTTCCTAGAAAAGAGCCAAAAGAGCCATTAAAAAAAGCAAAAAAAAGGAAAGTATGCGGGGGTGCCAGTGCATGTTCTCCCCGAGATTGGTCTATGCTCGAAGCTCTCAGGGGTAAAAAGCGCGAGAGTGGAGAAAAAGGTGGGCCTTCAAACTTTTCTTATCATTTGATCTTGACCCTTTTGACCCTTTTTGCCCTAAGGCAACCGACGCCTAACTACTACTGCGTAAGTACGCAACAATCCCTGTGTACTCCGTCCTGGTACTTCCGAATAGAGTGGTTGGACCAACTGAGCACTTTGTGTCAGCTCTTGAAACACGCCAAAGCTTTTGCAGATCCATCCCCTGACATGTAACTGTGGTTACGTGCATATAGACTAACGTGTGCTCCGTATATTGAGCTCGACGCTACCTTGTTCCAAGGTTGATCCAATACTCTCGTCCCACGGCAACTCTCGGATGAGAAGACCTTTGGATATATCCAGTCGATCGACAGTAGCACCGCACGGAGTACGGAGTACTCCGTACAGAGTTCATTATCAGCCCTCGGATGTGTGAGTTACAGCCACGGAGGTGATCGTCCCTCCCGTTCCCACTTACGGACAGAGGGGCCCGTTGAAGATCCCATTTGAAGTATATTTTGCGAGTCAAACTTTGCTTTCAGTGGGGAATTGGTCAGTGCGGATAATGGAAATGGATATAATGATGTCGTTGACTTTCACTTCACTCCTTTTATGTACAAGTGCTGACCTTTGGTTTCTTGCTGTATATTGGGTGTTTCACGCAATGCCCTAAAATAGAACATGAGAAACCTTGCAACATGGGACCACTCACGCAACGCTAAATATACACGTTGTTTAGCTTGCCCAGGTGTATGTACCCTGAGGGCTTCACTGACTGTTATTTCATGCACGTATTTTATTGAACTACATCAGCTATGGGGGGTCGTTCAAGTGCTGAAACACACTCTGTTTACTTCCTACTTCCCAGGAACCCTCCCAGCTCCACCTGGGCACCTCGCATAATCTAATCTGATCTACTCCGTACTCTCTACCTGACACAAACAATACCTCGATACTTTGCATGGTCATAATATAAGCTTATTTTCATGAGAATCCAATATTCTCTTATCATACATACAAAAAGAGGGAAATCCCGGAGCCTTCAATAGACGCAAGGGTATCGCTATGCTAACTAACCAGAAACAAGAACCCATGGAAGAGAAAACCCACCCAAACCCCGTAAATGCTTTTGATGCGACTGGAGAAAAGCCTCCGGTCTATTGGCGGAACGTGAGAGACTTGCCAGTCTCGTCGCGCTTGATTTTCCGGGCACCCGAGGGGGCTTCCATGGCCTTGGCGTATGGGTTATGGATCTTCTTGCGGGAGTGGGTGGCTGTAGCAGCTGAAGGCGCATTGAGAACGGCTTCGGCGGCACCGTAATCAAAGGGAGCTTCGGCTTCAGCCTCGGCCCTTCTGGCGGCCTTCTTCTCCGCTTTTCTTTCCTTCTTTTCCTTCTTCTCCTCCCTACGAGACTTCTTGGTTTCCAACTGGATGAAATCGTTGCCGTTGCTTGGGTCGTCCAGGTCGGCGGTTGTGGACAGCGCTTGCTCGGGATTGTCGATGGGAGTGACCTTGCGTTTGCGGGGACCGCCAAGGTCCTTGACGGTGAAATACTTCTTTTCCTCTGGCTGCTGGGGAGCAGGAGCGGGAGGAGTTTCAGCGACAGGCTTGGTCGCTGTGTCCTTGTGTTCACGGGGTTCGGAAATGGTGGTTGGCACGGGTGGTAAGGGGAGTGAAAGACGTAGAGCCTCAGCACCAGCGGCAAGGGTGTATTCCACAGGCAGAGCTGGTTCTTTGGCTTCTAAAACATCGCCCCAGAACTGGGAAGTCTCGTACCGTCCAGCGACAGGAGCGTTGGGATCCCGAGCTTGAACGGCTTCGACGACCTTGGCAATATGCTTCGGGGGCGCGATGTCAAGCCAGTCGGGACCGTTGATACTGTCAACCTTGGCCTGCTTGATGAGATCCAAAAGGTCTGATGCCCGTTCTTTTGTGATGGGAGTCATCGGCGATAAGGTTCGGAATAGGGTTCCCAAGTCGAGCGGCATGGTCTGGGCAAGCTTGAACAGCATGTGCTTGGGGAAGACACACTGCCAGCCCTCGTCTTCAGCACGCGCGACTTGGTCACGGAACTGGTGGGCTGCCTTGAAGACAGCAAATTGTTCCTTGGAAAGATTTCCCGAGTTGCGCCAGAGAAGATCGTACCAGCCTCCTGGGCCATGACCATTCACGGCATCGTAAACAGGACGTTCGTAACGTTGTAAAGCTTCCTTCTTGGAGCCTTCGTTGACATAATCGATGTGGCTCGCTTCTTCGGTGGAATTCGCAATGAGGTCGTTTCGCAGACAGTCGTAAATGTAAAGCAGATAATGGGTATCAGACCTGGCATAGTCGAACATGCCAGTCGGGAGAGGGCGAGCGCGCCAATCGGCAGTCTGATAGCGTTTGTCGGCTTCGAAGTTGACGAACTTGTTGAGCAAGAATTTCAAGCTCCGCTTGGGGAAACCCAACGCAGATGCGGCATGGAAAGTGTCGAACATGCCAACCATGTAAAGGCCGAGGTCACGCTGCAACCAAATGATATCCATAGTGGAACCATGCAGGACCTTCAAGATCTTTGGATCCGTGAAAACCTCGTTCAGCATTTGTAGCTCTTCTCTCCAGGGTTTCAAAGTGTCCACCACCCAGTCCTTCTCCCGAGTACTGATCTGCATCAAAGAGACAAGACCGTGGTATGAGTGAACATCGTGATGCTCCAAATCGACGGCAATTTCCTTTGCCTTCTTGAGCTCCTTTAGCATTTCCTTGACTCCATCCAAAGTATCAACGAAAGTAGCGGTCGTGCTCTCGAAAGGCAGATAGTCGACAGGCGGAGAGACCTCGTAGACTGAGTTCGGGTATTGAGACTCGCGGATCTCTGTTTCATACGGATGAGGGTAGCCTTGTGCGCCGTCGATCTTCTTCATCTTCAGGCACTCGTCCAAGGGTACAATCGCATGAGGCTTGGACTTGAGGAGGGGCTTGAACGGGCTCATATCCGTACTGTCGGGTTTGCGCTCAAACTCCAATTGTGGTTTAGGGATTTTGGATGGGCCGTAGTCGTAGATGTTAGGGAAAGCAGGTGCCTTCTTGACCACAGGTGCTTGAGCTTGCTCCTCCTGAGACGGGCTCAGCTTCTTGATCACACCGGTGAACTCATCCAGGCAGGCGTCTGCCTTCTCCAAAAGCAGATCGATCACGTCCACCACGTCGCGCCAGTTATCATCGATAGAATCTTCATCTCGCAGGGTTGGAGCGGGCTTGTCGGTGCCGATAGTAGCAGCTTTGATCACTGCAGAGGTAAGCGCAATGACGCGCTGATTCTCTTCATCGAGCGACTCGGAAAATTCTTGGCTCGAGTTGCGATGGAAGTCGAGGTCTTCTGATGAGAGCTGTGTAACGTCTCGATTAAGCTGAAGCAAAGCGGTCTTCAACTTGTCGTGAAATGGGGGAAACCTGCAGAGTCCATGGTGACTAGCAGAGCTTCAAATGACTGGATTGCAGCAACTAAAGGTTGAAATCGCGGAGTGGAATCGACTCCGAAAAAAAATCACATTGGAGAAAGACCCGCGCTGACCGCCCGATACTGCCGACGGTCTTTTGCCATTTGGGATCTCCGAGTTCACCGCATTCCATTCCTCTCATTCCTCTCTCACTTCTCAGACTATAGAAGCATTTAAATTACTATTTTCGAGATTGACTTTCTCGAAAGTCTCGCCATGGCAGCTTCTATCGCCCCCGAATGCAACGAGATCAAAGAGTTGGTTCTGGCATATCTAGCGGCGACGTGACATGTTAACCATCTATACAGGAAATACGACACTTGCTTTCTCAAGTGGTATAGCGAGAGTATGAATAGAGAGCTTTTCCATTTGCCCAGAGCCATATATACTGATTTTTGAACAGAATACCTGCGTGGCAACACCTCATCTAATGACTGTGAAGCTCTGTTCCAGAAATACAAGGGATGTCTGAACGTAAGTCCCACTATGCTAGGTCTTTATTGTTCGCTTCCATTGCGTCTAACCAAGGCTTGTTCATGCTTATAGAAAGTCCTCAAGGAGCGAGGCATTGACACCATGGTCGAGGATGCCCGGAAGTCGGGCAGCGGCGAAACAGATGCAGAGTTCCTCAAAAAATCATGAGGATCTTATTTTCTTGGAGACTTTCAAGCCTTTGTGAAATACACATTGGTGCCATTTGTTCATTTTAGCGGCGGCATGAGATTTTCCATGCAACATGGTTTCATGGACAGGAGTTTACTGGTTGGGTCTTGTGGTTTTCGCTCTTGTTACATATAGCATATCTCACCTCTTAGCACACTCCACTTCTCTCATATGGATATACTACTGTTTTGGTGTCATGAGAATGCCATTCCATGATATTATTCTAGTCAACCATGAAGTCACGTATTATATACAGGATAAATCATCTCAACGATGGCCCCTTCTCCGTGGGTCTCCCTGACCAAAGTTCGCCGGAACCTTAGGAATAGGATTACCTGGGACTCCTATACCACCGCCCAAAGACCCAGAGCTGCTACTGCCGCCGCTAGTTTTCTTGGTCTGAGTAAGTAATGACCAAACCTCTGCCATGCCAGCCCGACGGGCTGGAAGCATACTATACTGCATGCTATAGAGGTTGCGCCGGTGGATGGGTGGAACAAAGCGACCGGTCATGAGACAGAAGATAACACGAGGGGCGAGGTAGTGCTTTCGAAGCCGATGGCCCAGTTGGAAGTATTGATCGAACATTGCGCGCAATGGAAGTGGTATAGACTAAATTCAAGGTTAGAGGTCTGATACGGGAGATCTGCGTTGTCATAAACATACCTCCAAGTGGATATAGGAGACTAGCGCTGACGACTCCGCGCTGGACGAGCTTCGGCTGGGCTCATCCCGAAGCTCGAAGCGGATGCCTCCTGGTAGACGCCTGGAGTCTTTCACGCGGAGCATCAATGCGAAGAGTGGGAAATGGTTCAAGAATGCAAGGCAGGTATCAAATCCTGCCTTCATGGAAATAATTAACATCCGGGCAGATGCAAAGGTCAAATAAAAGACTACCACTGTTGGAAGTAGGAAAAAGAGGACGGTGAAAAGAATGGTGCCAAGGAGAAGTTGGTCTAGGTCGTAGTCGCATGAATCTATTCGGTTGCGGAGGACGTTGCGTTTCTTTCCGCGGAAGAGGTGGAAAAGGGAAATGATGATAGTGAGTTGCCAGTTGAAGATCCGCGCGGAGGCAATATAGAAGGAGTAAATGTGAACAGTCAGGATCGAAAGGAGGTCGGAGAAGAGGGCGATTGGCATACTGGCCCCCGCAAAGCTGGAACATCCAACGACCCAGATGACAGCAGGAAGAAAAGGTTGAAGGTTGGCGATACAAGCAGCCCAGTTCTCGATGACCCAAAGGAACAGATCACCGAGGAAGGCTGCCAGCTCGTTGTTGAGCTTTAAACCGGCTGGCCAGTCCATCAGCCAAGAGATGGTACGCTGGAGTCCTTCCACGGTCCACCCAGTCAAGACTAGATTGATCTGTGAAGCAACCCAGTTCGCATTATCAATGATATAGGAGCCCATGGCAATTCCAATAATCACATCATTGGCAACAAGCCACAGACTGTTGTAGAACCGGATATAATCAGGGTGACTGGTCGTCACACTCTCCCAATTATCTTTCCTCTGCCGAAGCTTGACATACTGAATTGGCCAGTAGCAAAACTGCTGCAAACGTATATCGACCTGCTGGGCGGTGGCCGATATGTCCTTGAGAGCAGCAGCATCAGGCCGAGCACGCCACTCGAGAACTTGCAGGACAAGCTCCGCAACTGAACGATGACACACCAGCCCAATGACAAAGATTCGGGTAACAACAGGCCAAATCCATTGCCAAAAAACGTGAGCGATGCAGAGGACAATGAAGCCCCACAGAGTGGTCGCTGACTCTACCACACGCTCACCAACACTCATACTTCGTTTCGCACGAATCCCAATTAAGTGACTGTTCTTATGCATGAGCTGTGACATTTCGTATGCACAGTTGACTTGGTTTATGATGAGCGGGAGAGCTTGCTCCTTCTGCGATGGGACATGTTTCACCACGGAGTGGAGCTTGAGCTTCTCGACCAAGCCCTTGGATCCAGTCTTGTCACCTTCCTCTGGCTCATTATTGGTTGCTGACAGACCTAATGTCTCTGCCTTCGTCGCTTTGTCACCGAGGGCCAAAGAAATCGGGTAAAGTGACATGTATTCCATGCGTGTTGGATGCGGACGGTGATACATGATCACCTGAACGGAGAGATTCGCCTCCGGGGGACAAAATATCCGAGGAGCCTTCAGCGGCGGAGTCAAAGTGACATCGAGATGCGAAGAGCTGAAAGTTGTCGGCGAAACAGAGGAATTGGTCGAACCAAGCACATGCATCTGAGAGCGGCCGCAAAGATTGAATATGCGCACAATCGGGTGCGGACTATTTCGAAACAAGATCCCGGCACGAAGAGCATTGTCAACATTCCGCGGCTGTTCAGATTAATTGGTTAGATTATACTGCATGGACATCTCGGAGGTGACAGCGCCTACCTCGACATCTTCCAACACTGTAAGCACGAATAGATCAAGCTCCGAGTTCCGCCATCCGACAATCACACCAGGTGATGAAGATCTTGGGAGATCATACGGCCAGAATACCCGTAGCAGTCCATCACTCATGAGCATATTGTCATCCTCCACTCGAGTCTCAGAAGGAACCTCGACGGCGCAACTGTTCTCGCGCCGAGACGCCGAGATTCACGTGGCGCGGGTGCTATTTCACCAAACCGTCAGTATATAGACCCAACTAGATACGAAATGCCCTTGTGTGTGACCGGCATCCGGCGCAGCTCATGTCGCTTCGGGTTCGCTCACCAGTTGACCCTCCTTGGACGCGAGGTGATTGATAGGTAGGACGAGGAGGAAAAAGAAGACGGAAAGAAACAGGAAGCCCTTTGCAGTCCGTGTCTAGATAAGAGTTGGTTAGCGATATTGTTCTCAGTAGGATGTGCCTCGTGAGAGCGTTGGTAGTCGCAAGCGGAGGGGTGGCCGAGGACCGAGGCCGGAGAGCAGACGTACAACGACACCGTGATCCCAGGCAAAGATTGCCAATTCGTATAGACGGGTAACGAGGTCCCACCTAGCGGTAATATAGCCCGCGACAAAGATCCCAAGTGTGAGGACGGAAAAGGGGTGCATGAATCGAGGTGGTTCAGGCGGTCCGCGTTTAGGTTGCGCGCATAGCTGGATGAGAGGTTCGACGAGGGTTCGAAGGCACAACGACAAAAAAATTGATTGATTATGAGCTTGCGATAGGCGAAGTTTGAAAGAACGTATTGGAGACAATGCAAGAGCAATCGGATTCGGTGTAAAGTTGCTTCGTCACTATCCCGCGTTGATCGTCTAGACCGTCGTACACGTGACGGGCCTAATTTAGCCAAGAAGCTTATACTTACTTCTTACAGTCTGCTTACATTTGTAGATTTCGACATCATAGTCAGCTCAAGAATGTCCTTGAGCAGATGGTGCTCTATGGCTTAAGTTCAATTAAATGCTGTTGTGATATTTGCCGTTGATTGCATCGCTCAGTGAAGACGATGATAAGTTCAGACACACATACTTATGCTCAAAATCTCAATACACCATACCAAGTAATAGATGTGTACAATAATCCCGTCTCAATGCATGCCATCCATTAACGCCAAACCCCAAAGAAACCATAACATAGCATTGTTACACCCTCACAGAGCCTTGAGACCCTGGAAAACCTTGTTCGCCTGCAATTGATCATCAGCCTGCGCCAGATCACGCATGACCTGTCTCTTCTCCTCGGCCGTCATCTCCTTGCCCTCAGTCGCCGCCTTCCATTTCAGCAGCATGTCCTTAAGGAGTGCACTGCCCTCTTCGACCTCCTGCTGGGAATATTTATCCAGCGAAGGTGCAAGGGCTTGCGGCTTCCCTTCTTGAGTAGACCCAGACGTAAAGTCCTCGAGCTCCTCCGCCTTCTGGCGGGCCATGTTGACGACTTTGCTAGGGAAGCGAACGAGTTCAGCAACGTGAATTCCAAAGGATTGATCACAGATACCGGGCTCGACACGGTAAAGTAGGGTGACTTGGCGTTTCTTTTTTTCCTCGGCTTCTGCTTCAGTTTCGCCTCCGTCGTTGTCTCCAATGAAGGCTACGACGTGGAGGTTCTTCACGGCCTTTTCATATCGGTCTTGTAAGGCAGTGAGCTCGTGGAAGTGTGTGGCAAAGAGACCGAAGCATCGGATTTCTGTAACAATATGCTCTGAAATAGCCCAAGCGAGACCGAAGCCATCGTAAGTGCTGGTTCCACGACCAAGTTCGTCGATGATGATCAGAGACTCTGAGGTAGCTGATTTAAGGATGTTGGAGGTTTCGAGCATCTCAGCCATGAATGTTGAAACACCCTTGAGCTGCGAGTCACTGGCGCCAACTCGGGCAAGGATGCAGTCGAAAATAGTCAGTTCCGCTTCAGTGCAGGGAACAAAGCAGCCGGTTTGGGCCATGAGAGCAATTACTCCAATCTGCCGAATGTAGGTGGACTTTCCACCCATGTTGGGACCGGTGATGATGAGGAAAGATGATTCGTCGCGAATCAAGGAAACATCATTCGTGATGAAGGAGATGTCATCCTGCATTTCCATGCATGGGTGACGGGCCTCCTTGAGGACAGTGTTTCCGGTACCGCGGGGGTGCATCTTAGGACGCACATAGCCCGAAGGTGCATGCATAGAAGCATGTGCAAAGCTCACAATGACATCAAGGTGAGCCAGCACGCCAGCGAGTTGCTCCAACACAGGGCAGTACGAGGCGGCAACATTGACAACTTCATTAACCAGACCGGTTTGAGTTCGATTGTAATTCGAAGAGAGCTGGTCGTGCTCGCGGCGAAGGGTCTGCATGTTCGATGTGGTGAAGTATACACCGTTCTTTTGTGTGGAGCACTCCTGATATTCTTTCTTGTTGCGAATGCAACCCGCCTCGTTACGAGTGAGACGGAAGCACCAGCCGTGGACGCGGTGGTTTTCCATGAACAACTTCTTTTCCATGTCTTGTTTGAGGTCTTTAGAGACCCGTCGGTGCTCGGCATCCATGTCATGGCGCATTTTGTCCAGCTTCTTTCTGATGACCCGCAAGCCATCATCGAACTCGGGCTTGATGATGAACTCATGGTTTTCTAAAGCAGCAAGATCCACAGTCGTTTCAACCATTTCTTCAAGCATGGCCAGACTGTTTGAAAAGCCACGAAGCTTTGAAGTGTACTCTGCTTCCAGGGGCGTTTGGTACTGCTCATCCATCACATCGTCCAGAGCACTCACGAAACCAGGTAGTCGAATAGCAACCTGGTATGCGCGAACAACATCCTCCAGATTCGCCTGCTTCCTCTGGAAACGCTTTGCCAGGCGATAAAGGTCCGGAATGGAACGCAAATGCTCCTCTTGCATAGTCTGTCGAAGCTCAGTGTTGACAACGAACGCTTCAACCAGCTGTTGCCGCTGTTCAATAGCCGCGAGATCCATCAAAGGCTGCTTCAGCCATTGAGCCAGCAACCGGCTGCCCACAGGCGTCTTGCAATGATTCAACAGACCGTATAAACTCATAGACTTGGCACCGTCCCGCGGACCAGGCATAAGGTTCAGCGCACGCAATGCAGCAGCATCAAGCTTCATGTACTGCGACAAGTCATGCTGGTAAAGCTGATACTGACCAAAGTTCGTAGGATCAGTCATAACCTGAAGGTACTTGATCAGCGCCGAGGCAGATCCCATAGCCAGCTTGAGTTCCGTTTGAGGCAGTGTGCTCGCAGACCGCTCATCTCTCAACAGTCTTGTCAGATCCTGCTCGATATCTCTTACACCAAAGTCTGCAGCCGGCCGCTCAGAGATCGCAATCCCACAGCTATCAGCAATAGCGCGAATCTTAGCTAGCTCGACATCCTTGCGCGACGCGTCCATTGTCACAAGACATTCTTTAACTCCTAATTGAATGACCAGTGACTCGAAATTCGAGTAGATGTCATTGTCGAGGAATTCACTGACGCCCAGCTCGCGCACGCTGGCATCCGCAAAGCACACGCCGACATTCCGTGCCTCTGCTGCGCGAGCGGAGATCTTCACTGCGAGAATGATAGGCGATGAATCTTGCTGGAGTGCACCGACACTACCGAGTTCCTCTTCGACATCCTGCAGGTTTCCAGGGCTGGCTTGTTTCACCAGCTTCCAATTACCCTTTCCTGTGCCGGCGGATGCCCAGATCTCAATACGCTTGTTGAGTCTGAAGAGCGCTTCTCTGAGGAAGTTCCGGAACACAGTCACGCTCAAGGTGACGGATGGAAGGCCGCCCGTCTCGCTGCGGCCAAGGTTGCGGAGTACGGAGGTGGTTTTGTAGACGGTTCGTGCAATGAATTCGGCATCGGCGCCGTGTGAAGAATACCAGTCACCGCGATCGAACACGCGGATGGTTTCGTCATTGTCGGGCGTGGGGAGCGAACGGTAGAAGCCGATGAAACCGACTTCGTCGTCGACCTGTGTTGGTTGAATTGGAGTTAGTCGTTGATCAATTGATTGGAAATCAGGGTGTGTAATCTCTCACCTTCAAATCAGGCCTTGAAGACATCGTTTCGAGTTATGGGAAAGAAATTCACTTCAAAACACGATTCGAGAGGATGCTATCAAGGTGGTTTGGACGAGTCCAATTCGACGCGGTGCTACGCGTCCACGTGATCGCGTCGCGCGTTAAGTGGGTGGGATCTACGCAGAACCACGCTTCTACTATGTACGGCGTGTTGTTTAATTGATACAATCTTTTAAATTTTTCTTTGTCTGAGTATGGATATCAAGTTGACTGATTAATGTTATTATGATTGTTTGTCCGAAGACCTAATGCTGGATGCTACCCAAAGTAGCGTTGATGCTGAAAAACATGAGGTAAGATACAGGGTATAGAGCGCTGATGCAAAGCCGCGAGCGAATCGACTCTGCGGATGAGAGGTATAGAAAAGGGAAGAAGCAAAAAGACAAGGAAAGAAAGACAAGCAGAGGAAAAATAAGAGACCATCACAAAACCCTCAAACATTGGGGGCAGAAGTCTGTACAGAAGGAGAGGAACCCCATTCGGCCTTGAGCTGAGCCATCTTCACACCAATGTCTTTAACACAGACATCCCTGCAAGACTTCAACACAACCGACTTCATAGATCCAATAGTCACAATGCTAACCCAGCTACCAGCGACCTTGGAATCAGCCAGAATCTCAAGACACTTCTCAACTTCATCAGGAGCAATCTCGCTGCGAATAGAGTCACGAACATGCTCAATCATAACATCAAGCTTAAACGGCTTGCGCTGAGCAGCAAGCATCGCCCGAATCCCATGACCGACAGTCCCAGCAGGACGCAACATAGCCAGGATCCCAGCAACCTCCTCGACACGATCCGCAGCAGAGCGACGCACAAGCTCAGTCTTCGAAGGCGGAGGCGGAAGCTTAGACTGGCGGAGCTGCTTACTCTTAATACGATCCAGAAGACCCTGTCCACGACTAACAGTCGCCTTGCGTTCAAGAGGAGTCATGTCAACCTTATCGGCGCGCAGTCTCTCGGCGTTCAATCGCACAAGACCTCCCTTCAAATCCTGCAGTCGCTGCTGACCTTTCCGGAACGTAACTAATGGAGCAAGAGATTCGTGGATAGTGGCGAGGCCGAATGAATCCGTGAATAATGTCGACTGCTCTTCTTCACTTGAGTTGCGCAGGGACTCCGGTGCTTTCTCCCAAAGTAATTCCAGTGCTTCTTCGAACGAGTCTTGCATGATGGGTGGTTGGACGCTGATGATCACGGTGCGTTCGATACAGATCTTGCCGAGGCCGTAGTTCGCCATGCGATATGAGATGCTGGAGACTAGTGTGCTCTGCTCCCACACCCACAGGATACGCTGTAGGTCTTTCGTTTGGACCTTGCGTTTGTTCCAGAGACGAGTGACGCTGCCGAGGAATTCGCGGAGGTCGGCGGGTGTGTTTGCGCCATTGTGCGCCATGTGGATTGAGAAAGCCTGCACGAAGGCTGAGTGGAGGTTGAGAATGTCGTGGAAAAAGGCCGGTCGTTCGACCACAGGTGTTTCTTCGAGGACTGGCGCTACTTTTTCGAAGTTCAGTGTCCTCTGCTTAGAAGGGGCGGAGGGCGTTGAAGGTGGCTGCTGGGCTGATGCGCGACCCCGTCGGCTTGGGGTTTTCTTTGGCGATGTATAGTGGCCACTGCGTGGTGAGTTGACGGAAAGTTCATTTAGTCGCAAAGTTTTCGACGGTGATTCTTCCTCCTCAATTGTGGTTGCGGTCTTGCCGTTGTCGAAGTTTTCGAGTTCTTGCAGCTTGCGTTTCTTGGAAGGCGAGACGGGGAGCGACTTTGTCGGGGTAGCAGTCAGGACAGGAAGCGACTTGGTGGAAGTGAGCGTATTCTTTGCAGGCAGTTGCGTGATGCCGGCCTTGGTTGCCCGAGTAAAGGCCTGGATTGCTGGCTGCTGAGCAACGCGGCTCCGGGAAGAGCGCATGTTGGGAAGTTTTCGGAAAGGGCGACACAAGAATAGCACTGTAGATAATACACGAGGTAAGAGTTATCCACAAAAAGCAAGTAGTATCTGGAGTAAGAAGGTAGAAGTGGGAAGGTGCAAGGGAGGGAAAGTGCAAAGGAGATTTGCACGCGTCGAGGCGCGTTGAAACCACACTATACCGTTTTGGGTCAAATGGCGACGCGAGATACGCGCTAACACAAAAGAACGGTGGAGATTAAAACGGACTTGAAGTTGGACGTGACTCTCAATTCAAAAAGGGCTAAGTGGGCTTATTATAATAAACTGTCAATCTCTGTGTATACAGCGGGGTGCACATTCTCGTCACTATGGTAATGCCCCGGCATTGGAATGTCACTGCCAGCTCAACGGGAATACCCCCGGGTCCATAACCTTCCAGGATATCACAGTATTTAAATGATGTGCACACTAAAGCTTCTTGTAAGATTTACAGCGGGGAACACATAACCCGTATCGGATAGTCCTGGACGGAGTAAGCTACGTGATGTACTTATACTCCGTACCGAGTGGAGTATCTCGAGTCCGTCAAATGCCCGAACAGTCAACGATACTCCTTACTCCGTATTCCATATACATTTAAGAAACCGTGCAGATTGAATTAATCATATAATATTCTCTCGCCAGGTAATCGTTAAAAAAGCAATCATTTCTTACTACCAAACCAACCAGAGACAGTCCCCTTAGCCTCAGCAGCCTTCTTCTCAACATCACGATCCACCTGATCCACCCCGCTATTAACTTTATCCAATCCAGCATTGAACTTGCTCTTAGCATCGCTCCGGAGTTCCTCGAACTTGTCCTTGCCATCTTGAGCATACTCAGGAATCTTCTTGCCTTCAGCACGGGCACGAGCAATCTGCTTGGCCATTAGTATCTGTCTTGATACCTTGATCTTGAATCCGTGCGGAGTATGGAGGTTGCAGTATGGAAGTGGAACTTACAGCGTCGTCGACGGTAGAGCCGGCTTCCTTGCCGAGGTCTTTGCCGTATTTCTCGGCGCTGTCGGTGCTGGGGATCTTCTCGCGGGCTTTTTCGGCGTCGACTGGATGGGTTGTTAGATTAGATTATTGATGGTGATGGTGGTGGTGGTGGAACGTGGAAATGGACGTACTCTTCATTTGGTTCTTGGCTGCTTCGGGATCGCCACCGGCGCTGTAGAGGTAGTAGCCACCAGCGCCCGCTGCGGCGAAGCCCAGCATCAAAGGAATCTTGCTCTTGGCCATTGTGAGTTGTGTTGAGGGGGTGTGTGGGAGTTTGAAAGTGTGTGAGTGAGGAGAAAGGTAGTGCATTGGCTGGTTTTATAGTTTCCGGTCGAGACTATGACGTCGGTATCTCCAATACCTGTATTCCCCAGCAGCGTCTCATCCCCCTGTACATCTTTATGATTTTTTATAATTCTAGAATAATTGTAGTACATGATTGAGCTTTGTAGATGCATAGTTCCCTATAATTCTGTAGATTTTTTGGTGGCTTTCTCTCTGAGTGAAATGATTGAATGGTGGTTCACAGAAGCAGAAGCGTCCAAAGGGATCCCTGGAGAGGCCTAGAGCTAAATGCTACGTCACCTCCAAGTCATATGTTCCAAGGTCACAGCACATGCATCCGGTTCCCGTGTCTGGGCGATTTCAATTCCTTTTGCAGAGAAGGTTCATTCCGAGAAGTATAACTCTTTTTGTGGGGTAAACGTCATTCTCATGGTGACGTTGCTGAAGCTGGCAATTTGAGTTTGGGATTCCTCAATATGCAGAACATGCTTGATCTCACGTGGAATTCCATGCAAGATTCACAGCTAAATATGATCCTGCGACCGGCATTGGATGTACCTGTAAATATACCCTTGGCAAAACCCCGGTGTTCAATTCCTCATTACCAGAAGCATGCAGTTCTACACCTAGCTGTACGTCGCTGAATCCGAAACCCCCGGAGAGTCCAGCCTGGGTGATAATGTGCTGTAAAAATGTATAAATGCATTCCAGTCATATCCGAACTTAGATAATCACAGATATCGAAATACCTCATACGTATAATCCATGAAAAAAACGATAACAGACAGGAACCACCAAATGAATATAGTAAGACACAAAATGAAACCCGAGGGCGAGGTGGGAGATGGGATGAGATGAAGAGAGAAGAAACGGGCAAGAGAATGCGGATAGTGAAATGCTACCTCGGCCAGAACGGTCGAGGATATGAAGAAACCAAATGATCGATAACCTGGGTATCGTCATGCACATGACTCCATCCATACAAAGCTCCCCTCCCATATAAAACGCCGAACATGCAGTTCAAAGACGACTTGAAAAGAAGACTTAGAACTGACCCCAAAGAAAACCCATCCGGAAGGAAAACAGTAAAACAGTAACAAAGGCATAAAAAACAAAAGACTCCTGAACACAAGTGAAAGAAAAAAGAGTGGTCACATTTCCGGTCGTGTATCAGTCGTCATCAAAGTCGTCAGTTCATGAGGAATTGGCTGCCAATGGCAGGTGGGAGAGATTCCGAAATATATAAAAAAGAATTGGAAAGACCACGATGGCCAATTGGAGAGGAGGAGGGGCGGAAAGAGTGGTTGATGAATGGCGATGGCGAGGTGAGAGAAAGGGTGATATGTCAGATGATGGAATATGACCGCTATCCAGCGAGGATGCGAAGATTCATATGTGAGTGATGGTGTAAGATGGCGAGAGAAATTTTTTGTCCAGGTAATTTACAGAAACAGCTTCGCTGCTCCTTTGTTTTCACTAGTGGCGACGGCGACGAGAGCCTCCAGACGGCCCATGCCCGAGTTCCGGGCAGAGGAGTCTCCGTAGATGTTGGATCTAGGATCTCTGTCGTTGCTGGCTTGGTAATCGTCCACATGTGAGGATTGTCGACTACACATCTGCGACGGCATTAGTAAGGGCGATAGCCGTCCGATCGGAGAGAGGGTCCTACCGGTGGAGGGTGATCGGATGGTAGGGGGAGTCGTTGGGTTCGATATATCCACTGCTATGCACAATCGCTGGATGGTACTCGAGCGATGCAGTAGACGGGGTGTGGACACCGTCGCTGCTGCTAGAATCCTCTGGGGATGTACGGGCCGGCCGACTGCTTGTTGAGAGGCTTGGACGATGGGAACGGTGTTCCTCGGGGCTTCTCTCTGCCGTTGGGCCAAATGTGGGTTGGTAGGAGGATGACGGGCGGGAAGAGACATTTTGAAGTTCGGCAATGGTTTGCTGACTCCACTGAGACGCAGAGGCAGTCGACGGGCGCCGGTCCCGTATATCCAATCCGGTGAGGTTATGATGCAAAGACATGTCCCATGACACATGGCCACGACGATGGCCAGGGCCAGAGATGGGTGGAGGTGGGCGGTGGGCTGGCTGAGTATAATTGAAACCAGAGCCAAAGGCCTGGGCGGGGTGGCCTGGCGGCGGGCGGTTCTGACCATCGATCTGCATGGGGCTCGACTTTCGAGCAGGGGGAGTCAATGGCTGCTGCTGGGAGACTACTTTGTCAAAGCTCTCGATACCGGGGAGTCGAGGCGGGTTCTCTACGGATCCATTCCCGCCGAACGACGCCGGCACGGTGTCGGGTGTGTGATAATGGTTGAGACCACTCGTGCCGGGTCGTGGGAACCCTGTATACGATGAAGGGTGCCAGGTTCGCCTGCGCATCTCTGCCTCCGCAGCGCTGAGCGTACCCTCATCGCGAGATACAGAATAGTGAGAGCTCGCGGGGCTTGCGAAGACACCAGCAGCGTTTGCATAAGGTGCACCGGCGGGGGCGTGGTAGCCTGGAGGATATACGTTCATATGCTGACCCAGGAACGGGTTGCTGCTGGTCGGCACGGAAAGACGACGTGCAGCTGTTTTACCCTCCCAGAAGCCATGTGACGTGGAAGACATGGGCGAGGCGTATTGAGGACTTCCACCCACCGGTTGAAACATGTTCGAAGGCCCATATGGCGACCCTGCCGCAGGTGGGCCGGGTACACCTCGGATCTGACCCGGTGGTGTACTCGGAGGCTCCCCCATAGACTCCATCGCGAAACGGGACCGAACTGCGGGGTCATTTGCCATAATCAAAGGAGGGGGTCGCCGGCGAAGCTCCGGAGGTTGACTGAATGTTGACGTTGTGGACGCAATGCTCGAGGTGGATAGATTCCTGCTATGACCTCGACTGGGTCCGCCTATACTGCCACCGGTGCCTGCCCGCGCCCGTCCCGGTGGACGCACCCTGTCCGTACGGACTTGACGTTGAAACCGTGTACCTGTAGCTGCCAGCGAATCCCCAGGGATTTCCTCATTGACATGGACCGTCTGAGCATGTTGTCGGAGATTGTCGAGGCGGGAGAAGCGCCGGGAGCAGTGGCACTGGAAGGGGCGCTCGCCGGTGTGCTTTCGAATGTGGCGAGCCAGATGTTCGCTGCGGGTGAAGCTCAGGTTGCATGGAGGGAAGTCGGTGCAGAAGAAGCGTTGACCCTTTTTCTTTTTGGAGGGCGGGGCGTTACTCCCCAGGTCCTGGTCGTGATCGGAGTCCTCCTGGTCGTCGGAGTCTTGCATGGGTTCGTCGGACATGGAGGGCGTTCGGACATGGGTCACTGTCGTGCGGGATGAAGCGTCGCTGCTCCGGCTGTGTGAATCCCCGTCCGGAGGGTGATCCGTCGAGGCTGAGCCGTCCGGGGTGACCGGCACGCCATTTGGGATTGCACGAGGTGTGGCTGCTCCGTCCATCGCGTGGTCTTCGGAGGTGTTGACAGGGAGGAAGGAGGCCATGCTGGCCGACGTAAGAGGGGAGGCGGGAGTGATGTCAGGCCCGAAGGAACGTTCCCTCACCACCAGGGGTCGCAAGGCTGTCCCGATCGGAATATTCACCCCGGGGCCAGTAGGGATTCTATATGTCCGTTATGGCAAGTCGTAGCAACCGCGGCACTACGGAGAAATCGGGATGCAAGAACACGGCCCGGATTACCTGTGAACATTTGCGCAATCTCAGCAATCAAGGTCCTACAACACTCAAGGGAGAAGAGAGAAGCTAATTCGGAACGTACGGTTTGAGGTCACCCCTCTCGTATCCTCTTTCTCTCTTTCTCTCTCTCTCTCTCCAAAGGAGGGGATGTGGGGAGAGAATAGAGGGGTGTGAAGGTGGAATGTGCGGGAGTCCAACAAGGACGCAAGGGGAAAATTGGGAGAAGAAAAAGGGAAGAGATTAGCTGATCGCAACCATCTCGAAGCCAGGATTATCCTGAAGGAAAAGTGAGATTAGGGAGAGTAAGTTCCGACCAGCCGGAAAGCGAATGAGAAAAGGAAAAAGAAAAAAAAAGGCAAAAAAAGCCGAAGTCACAGAAGTATCGCAGAGAAGGAAGAGAATGGTGACGATGAGAGAGCTTATCGGGAAGCGAGGGGCACAGGAACCTCGAGACTTTCCGGGGCCACCGATGCGAATCATCAAGTGTTTCACCAGGGAAAGGCACCAGGCACGTTATGATTCATGGCGGTTCTAGATCTTCAATCTTCTGGCTATTGTAACTGAGGAGTAAATAGTCTACAGTCTATAGTCTAGAGTCTATAGTATTCACTCTATCTAGAGTAATATAGAACAGCGTGGTCATGTACGATATAGAAGCAATATCGAAAAGTCCTTGACGTTCACCATTCTCAGACCCTGGAAAAGAGACGCCAAGCCTGAGACAAGTTTGGTTCACGTTGGGTTCTGAGAGGTCGAGACTCTGTGGAGATATTAGGGTTGCTTAGGTTCCAGGGCTCTCTCTCCCTTGCAGCTCTCTCTTTTCTTGTCCCCCAACCACCTTAACTAATTAGTATTTAGTATTCCAAGTCACCTACTATGTATCAAGAGAGTATCTGACTGGCTACGGGGGAAAGACTTCCGAATGGTCCGCCCGATACGAACACTCTCACATGGGTACTACGATCTCAACGGTCCGAGCTCACTGAACAGACTGATCGGATATTCAAAAAGAACTCGTCACCTCTTGACTCCGTACAGAGATCCGGCTCCTCCGTTTCAACCGCTTTCAGGTGAAACTTTCACTCTGAGATCTCATATTTCATCAAATCGTGCCTGCGTGGAAACTTTGAAACCCTCCCCGCAAACGGTAACTGGGCGTGGGTGCGCTGCGCGGTACCACGTCTGATCCCATGGCTCGGTGCTCCCTCTCTTCCTGGTCGGAGGTTGGTGACGCCACGCTAAATGAAGATGAGGTGCTGAGCTTGGTACATGTGGAGAGGTACGGAGTTTCCATATGATCCACAGAATGCCATTGGATCGTGGACAAAAGGGAAGACTGGAGACATGGGTAATCTACAACATATTACGTTGGACGAGGGACGGGATATGATTCGACCCATGTATACTGTAGATCGTCTATGATCGACCTCGACCCCTCCTTACCCCTCATACAAGTATCCCTGGAATAATATCTAACCAAACAGCTTGTTCATATGGTATACCAGGAATGTACATACTAATATGAAACAAGAAAACAAGAAATGGGCCGACTTTTATGATTGGTGATCAGGAACGGAGTATACAGTAGGTACGGATACAGAGGTACAGAGGTACGGAGTACAGAGGACAGAGGTACAATACCTATACATCTGCAGGGCGCCACGGAGGCTGGCACGTAGGCGCACGGCCAAGTATAGCCAGGTACCAGCTGCAGGGCTTATCGATAAACTTGAAATCACCGGATCGGCGGTACTGACGTCTACGACTCCGAGTCCAAGGGCTAACTACTGAGAGGGGCTCCAGGCTAAGGGCTAAAATTTCCGCCCCGATTTCGTGCCATTGGATACGTCCAGCGTTTCGCCCCTGGATTTGCCTTTCAAGCGGTCTGCTTATCTGCAGTGGTGGCCTGGATCCAATCAGAGATGGCTGCATCTCATGCCAGGCCCATCCATGTACCTGATTACGTGTGTTGTACCTGGCCACGTTACGATGAGCCGCCTGAGATGTGTACTCCGTATATGTGTAAATGGCTTCCAGGCCTATAATTCCGTATAATATGACCGTTAAGCGCTTAATCAATACATTTGAATCCTGGTATTCAAAATTAAATCAAGAACCTATGGTATTCTTGTAGATTTCCAATCTTTAATCTAAATTTAGGTTGAACCCCACTATACAAAGTAGTTACAAGTACTCCGCCCTCTGTACTCCGTACGCTATGGACAACAGAATACTCCTCCGTACGGCTGGGAATATGAATACTTAAATCACCCTTACGCGTCCCCCCCCAGGTACACAGCAAAAAACCTGAAGCCAGTTCACATGTGAAAAAGACACACGGACAAAGCACAGCGCACTGCCTTTTCCAAGTCTCAAAGCCCGCCATCGAAGCCCTCTCATTGGAGATCAAATATCAAAGCCCCTCTCATTCACATCAGTCTGCATCTCTGCATCCAGGGCATATTTGACTCAACATGCAGTGCGCAACGCCAGCTCCCAGCCACATTCGAAATTGCCTCCCCCGGGCCCTGCGGTGGTGCGCCTGGTGAGAGTCATCTGACTGCACCTCTGTACGCACATCCAGTCGTCTCTCGTCAAATCGCTGATCTGCAGACGGGGTACGGAGTACGGAGGGAGGACAGAGGACAGAGTAGATCTCGCTTATCGGCGGAGGGCATATGCATACGGCCACGCTTCCCGATCGGAGGTTTTGGGGGCTTTTTGTTGTGGGATTTTGACTGTGCTATGTACTCCGTAGATGTATAGATGTAGATGTAGATGTAGTCCCGATAACCTGGTGTCACGGCTGCTGGTTCCGAGGATCGGGGGAAAAGAAGTTTGTTCCTAGTCAGGTACACTAGTGACTAGTCGCTACGGGGCTTGGGGCTGCTGCTTGGTACTCCGTACCTGGAACTTGGATCCGGGGTCCCTTTTGTCTTCCAGGGATCCGTTGTTGGTGCAACCGTGCGGTTTCCAGGGGACTACTTTTTCTCTATGTGGTACGTTTGCGCTGGAGTGTTTGTAGATTTGAAGACAAATGTCTATACGTGTAGCTGCATCTTGGAGGGTTGAGACACGGGACCAACTTGTTGATACTTCGGTTTTGGCGATCATGTTCCACCTGGATTTGTTATGTTGCTGCGCTATGGGCGGCCATTTCCGTCCCCGCTCTACGTTGTTGCTAAAGCAGTTGCCTGTTGCAAACCAAGACACTAGACGAATGCAGATAATGAAGAAATTAGGTTGTATAGCCAAACACGGTGTATGAGACAGCGTACGGAATACTCCGTATGGAGGACCCAGTGTTTGGTAAGAATCAATCTACGTGTATCTCATTCTCTGAATGGATTGAGGTACGGAGTAGTTGTGGACCCCTCTCAAATTAGATCTGAGCTATCATAATGACAAGCCCAACTCGGCTCGAAAGTCTCAGATCCAGCGCCTCATGCACGTCACACGTCTTTTGAAAATCGCATTTTACCGCCCTAATGGCCCAACAACCGAACTGACCATCACAGCCGCTTCTCGCTCCCAGTTGCCCACAACAACCGTGTCCGTTCCTGGCCGGCCCTTTTCGGCTAAAAGGCTTGTAGCAGAGACCTTGGACGCTCGGAGCACACACTCTTTGATCTCGGTTCTGAGGCGATCGCGGTTGGATCGGAGGGTGCGAGCTGAGACTCCACCTCGACTGACGATCTCTTGTACTCGGGATGTGAGAGATGATGATGCGATGGAACGCCAGTAGTAAGAGGGAAGTGACGAGGTGTCCAATGCTTGGAGAAGAGGTTGTAGGAGATTTCCCTTGCTTGAGTCCACTGCTTTGGGTTCGGTGGAGGGTTCGGCTGGGATCTCGGATGTGGCGCCTGAGGCTAACAGGGGATGCGGTGGGGGACGAAGGTTTCGAAGAATGTTTTCAAGGGCAACGATGTCTTGGCATCTTGCCGAGATATCGGCGAGGGTCCTGTCCATGGTGGGGAGCTGGGAGAGTGCTCTGGCGAGGGAGTTCACAGATGTCATGATCGCTGTTTGCATATACCCTTGCAGGGTTGATAAGAGAAGCTCGGGCTTGTAGTCATCGACGGTAGTCGGCGATTTCGGTTCAGGTGAGAGCAGATATAGAGTAGTGGCAGCTGTTGCCAACCGCGTTCGTGCATCGCGTGCTTGTTTGTAACCAGATGGCATAGACGACTGCCCATTTGAAGTATTTGATGGGTTCGAGGAAAGAGAGAAGCGATTGATAGTCTGCTGCGCTCTCGATTTAACCATGTTCTCAGCCGGAATGACAAATTCTCCACGTAACGTGCGGATGACCTTCACGCGCTCCAAGCCATAACCTTCCTCGCCCTGCGCTGATGCGGAGAACATTTCTCGCAGACTGATGATCGTATAGGCCGCCCTTTCCAAGGCCCGGAAACTATCCTTTCCACCAGGTGGCGAAGCTGCTCCCTCAGCCCCTGCTGAGATGGCTGGCCCTGTTGCGCCCCGGCCTGTGATCTCCGCAACTTGACTCTCCAGCTGCTTGCCTAGGGTCAAGCAGCGGGTGACGGCCCTTGCTAGCCGAACCGTTGCCAGCGAGTTCTCGGCGGCCACGCGAGCTTCGTCAGCCGCTTCCCATTTCTGCAGCACCTCCTTCTGGAGACGTTCGTATCCTTGAGTCACAGAGGCAATCTGCGTCCCGGACTCTTTGAGGATGTGATCAGCGGCAGCCGTCTGATTTTGGGTATGTGACAGCAGTGGAAGTGCTGACTTGGTCGTCAGTGTGTGAATATGGGTGTCAATCTCCTGGAGATCGAAGAGCACCCGGGATAAGGGTGTGGATAAATCCAACGGGGTATCTGTGGCATTGTTTGTGCTTGTAACCAATGTATTGGCAAAAGAGGACGGAGAGAAGTCAGGGTCTAGGAAGGCCTCATAATCTATGTATGATGGATCAACTTCCGCCATTTTGATGATCTAGACCACAGACAATCTCAGGGTTGCATAGAAACAAGCGTGAGGATGCGGGATCAGGTGATCAGCAATTGCATTGGTTGGCCTCGTGTGAGCACCCCAGGTAGGTTCTCGGCTTTAGCTCGGCCTCCAATGGGCTGATATTGTTTAGACTTGTTTAGACCGGGGAGAAGAGGGATATTGGCCAGTTGTGAGATAGCCCACATGGTAGATAAGAATCACGTGGTGATAGGAGACATTAGTCAGGGGCCCACTTGAGCAGGTGGTGTCCGGTCCGGGTGTTGGCACCCGGATACTTCCCAAGTTGGACATCATACATCACCTGGGCAAGTGTTGAATATTCATCGTCAGGATTTTTGAATGTATAAATCTTCTACCTTGATCAAAGTTGGAAGCAGTAGGCATGGTCCTATCTTGTCTATTTCACACCGTGAAATGTCCCTTCGAAAAGAGGATTGGATTGTATGAATCCATTCTGTCACACTTATTCATGTAGAGTAGTATGCTCGTAACTACGGAGTACTTCCACGCTGTATATGGAAAATGACTGGCCAATAATATCTCACATATTCAAATGCCAGAACGAGAAGAACTCAGTGCAGCGCCTTCCATCGACAGAGCGGGGGTTCTCCAACCCCACAGATAAGAGGGAGATCGGGTGCCAGCCCGAATGTCATTTGCTGCATTAGCCGGTCTCCAATTACTTTAAATAACTCCCCTGTCAGACTTTGGATATCGAAGTTCTCAGATACCAGACTGCCTCACATCCTACTATAAACAATTACTATGTCGACATCAGCTACAACTACTCAGCAGGCTGGACAGTCCGTTCGCCTGACCAGCGAAGACCAACTACCTCCAGTCCCCTCCGCGGCGAACGATGCATCATTCCAGGGCCTTGCCCGGGGAGGTCGAAACGGCACATTGAAACTGCGAGGTATCCCCACATTCACAGACTTACACGAGAAGCGCAAGTGGATGAGAGAGCACATGGCAGCCGCGTTCCGGTACTTCGGAAAGCTGGGCTATGGGGAGGGCGTTTCTGGACATATCTCCATGCGAGGTAAGCGCGATCTATAGAACTGCCCAGGTGGTTTACAGACTTCTATGGCTAAATCTCACGCATTCAGACCCTATTCTCAAGGATCATTTCTGGATGAACCCGTTCGCGAAGCACTTCTCGACTATCAAGGCTTCGGATCTTGTTCTCCTAGACTCTGATGGATTTGTCGTCGAGGGTGGAGCTCAGCTGCCAGTCAATGAAGCTGGATTCCTCATTCATTCTGAAATTCACAAAGCTCGCCCTGATGTGGTCGCTGCTGCCCATACACATGGTATCCATGGCAAGACGTGGAGTTCATTTGGAAAGCCTATTGAGATGTTGACTCAAGGTAAGGCCTGAAAACGAGTGTGACATGTCCTCAATATTGACGAAATTTCAAGACGCATGCAACTTTTATGGTGGATTGGGTGTCTATGAAGACCACGGCGGCATTGTTTTGTCCAACGAGGAGGGACAGGCCATCGCAAAGGCTCTAGGTCCTACTAATATCGCTTGCATTTTGCAGAATCATGGGTAAGCTTGGACACTGCGGTAGTGGCAAGCCAGCCGCAGACAGCGATTGACGATTGCTAACCCGTTCATATTCAGTCTTTTGACCGTTGGCCGAACTGTTGACGAAGCCGCGATTCTTTATTCCATGCTCGAGAATGCTTGCCACTCACAGCTAATGGCCGAGGCAGCAGCAGCAAACGGTCTGCCAAAGAAGATCATCGCAGATGAGGCCGCTAGATTCACTGCACAGGCTGCTCAGAATCCCGTAAGTATCTGTGCTAGCCGTCAAACTCGCAGGGTGTTTGCTAACATTTCGCAGCATAATTTCTACACCGAATTCCAGCCTGAGTTCGAGTTGATTGTCGAAGAGACCAACGGAAGGGTTCTTCAGTAAGAGAGTCGTCGACAAAGCTGGCTTATCCCTGGCATATATTGAATTAAAACATTGAAACTTCATGACTAGTCATTCTGAGAATATGCAATTTGATGTGTGAGCTTAGTTAATTGCAAAGCTGAATCTGGAAAAGAAGGATCCCTAAAACGATTTATAATGAATGCAAGCAACCTTGGAAACTAACTTTCCTTCATTGAGAAGAATTATAAGTAATGATTTTGTGCATTCTTTCAGATTGACTTGAAGGACACACAAACGAGGTATTAATATAAGCAGGCATCGCAGAATGAAGAATGGAAATCAATTCCTTCAAAACAAACGCCATCTATACAGATGCAACCGCCGCAAGGGTATACAAAACGGAAAAAAGGCACCAAAGAGCTCATGGCAGAGCCGTAGGTCGGCCATTTGAAACAAAAAGCAGAAAGAAAGTCGTTCATAGCCTCAAGCATCCAAAATGCAAGAGCAAGGGTTTCATACAGCATGATCGCCCTTGCGATTCATATCATCCATTTCATATTCCTGCAAGCTGCGTTCTCGGCCCCGTCCTCGACTGAAGCTGGAATCTGCCTGGCCATCGCCACCAGAGGGCTGAGACGAACTAGCTTGACTGCTACCGCCATGCCCGCCAAACTTAATGGGCTCGAGTTCCCTTCTTTGACAAGCCCACATGCCGAGGAAGATCATCATAGCCGCGCTGGCGAATTGAAGACCCCACCAGAGCAAGTTGGACGGAATAGACCGGGTGTAGACAATTGTAGTCACAAGATGAAGGAAGTGAATCGTCAAAGCGAAATCCGGGACCAATTTCGACCGGGAAACGAACAGAAGGAGGAAAATGACGCTGCGAGCAAGATAGTCAGTTTTCGTTCCAGATTGTGAGTTCAATAGTCCCTGCATCGTAGCTTCCTTCCTCACACCACACCACAGGGTCCAATGTGCAACTCACCTAACGAAACAATTCAACATCCAAACCAGGCCCAGCATCCATCCAATGGTCGTATCGCCGCGTATAGTGTCCCAGCCAAATACCAGATCTAGTGAGAATGGCGCGCCGTACACGACCGTCGTAAACAAGATGAGCACCGTCGCGCAGACATAGTATGCAGCCTGCAGCAAGAAGATCTTGCGAATGATCTTGAGCGGAGGGAGCTCGGTACGCGACCCCGCGGGTGGACGCCGGCGCGCGGGCATCAACTACAACGACAAAGGGTCGTGAACCCTAACCTTCGCAAATTCAACAAAGTGCCAAAGTGTCCGGATCCAGCTCGGGGCTCCGTGCAGGCGCAGGAAGGAACATGCGACAGCGTCCGGCGCGGTGTGTAGTGTATTCAGAAAAAGACGACAATTCGGCCAGTAGCGTCGGTCCTGAAACCAGGAAAATATATGCAGAGTTATGCGGCGTGGAGGGTGGGAGGTTGAAAAGGGTCCGGAAGATGGAGATCGCCTGCCTGCCTTAATCAACAGTCTTGGCGGTAGGCCCGACCCGCCGACTGCGAATACGGGCCCTTTTGCATTGCATCTACAGTCCACGTCTACCCTGTCGACTCTCCTACGTACTTGACAACTCAATTACAACCACTACCTCTTTCACATTACGCTATTCACAATGGGTTGGATTCCTTGGTCTTCCGGCGACTCGAGCAAAACCACAGCCTCGGACGGCGGCCGCATTGCACCGGACCGAACGAGTCGCGCGCGCTGCTGGGAAGGCCGCGATCTGTTCTTCGCCTGCTTGGACAAGAACGATATTCTGGACGGGATCAAAGAGGACGGCAAGGCACGAAAGAAGTGCGCTAAGGAGGTCGCGGAGTTCGAGGAGGCCTGTTCAAAAAGCTGGGTATGTACTGGGATCGGGTGTCTGCGCATCATACGATCGTTCCTTGGACACGGGGACTGTTTGGCTTCTTGCAGTTATGCTGATTCTGAGCTTTGTCTAGGTGAAATACTTCAAGGAAAAGCGAGTGATGGAATACAACCGGGATAAGACGATTGAGCGGATTCAGAAGGAGGATGCGGCCAAGGTCAAGGAATTGAAGTCGCAAGGATGGACTAAATGAGAAAACTAGGGGATTTGGTCGGCGAACGGCTTTTGTACACTATGTAGCATATCCACTCTTATCACGCATCCTGATGACCACTTTGTTACTACGCTCGAGGATGGATGTCTCGAGGAGTTGTATCGCAATTTGAAGAGATGTTCAGGTAGTTCACTTGGAGAGACTGGATTAATCATGTGCATTTGATATAGGCACCGAAAAGCTCATGGTCATTAGATCACCGAGCTGAATGTTGGTGACGGGTGACTTTGGCACGGTCATATATGGGCTGAGAGCAACATAAACAGAGGTAAAGAGAGCATCTCGAGACCAAAGAGATCCACATAATATCCACATGAAACCGATAAAGAAATAGTCACAATAAGCAAAGAGTCAAGAGTCCAATGTTCAAGACCGGTCAACGCCGTCCAAGGCGCCTTGCCCAATATCTATCTTACTGCCCCGAGGGCTCATGGCAAGCAAATGAAGATAAACAATAGGAACAAAAGAAAACGAACGCCAGGTGTTGCAAAAGCCAGCCAGTAGCTAGCTATAATCAATATAAGCCGAGACGAGCCATTAAAACCAATAGACAAGAATGCGAATACGCCGAGCTCCAGAAATGAGAAAGCGCGAGTTGAACTTTAAGTTCGTATGAGAAAGAAGAATGATGAATAGGATGGTAGAAAAGTCGTAAAATCATTGCTTCCATCTCGCAAGGTGGTTCATCAGGTTTTGGACCTGAGGACCCGTGGGCGGTTGACCCTGTTGTTGTTGGTGGCCACTTAGGCCTTTAGCCAGGAGCGAGAGCAGGTTCGGATCGGTGACGACGGGTGCGTTTGGAGGTTGAAGAGCGAATGGTGGACCTGGGAGAGGGGGTTGTTGGGTGTTCGGCATGGGGGGAGGCCGGTGTGCATTGGATAGAAGACTGGCCAGGTCCGCTGGAGGTGGATTGGGTGAGGAGAAGGGTGATTGGGTGGCAGAAACGGGTTGTGAGTGGGGAGGGCGTTGAAGTGCCGATAGAAGAGACGAAAGGCTAGGACCGTCCAAAGAGCCAATGAGATTTGCGATGTTGGGAGGATTCGAGAGGGTGGGCAAGCCGGGCTGGGGAATGGGGAGAGGCGCCACTGGAGGGACGCCAAATGCAGGGTTTGGCGCAAAGGCAGTCGGTGCAGCACCTCGCTGCATGGCCTGAGCCTGGTGGCTCAAGAGCTCAGCGGACAAGTTGGGCTCGAGCTCGGGATAGTCTGTGGAATATATGAGCTGATGTTGCATGAATGAACTTTCAATCTACTCACCGAGAAAACGGACGTTGTCGAGTCCAGCGGTCCGATCGAACAGCTGCAGAGGCACCTTTCGGGAAACTTGATTGGGGCGCGACAGGCGGACCACTGCAAGAACACCCTCGATGAACTGGCGATGAACTGCTGCACCGAGGGGTATCCGAGGGCCGAGTACAAGCACATCCACCCGTAACCCACGATTGCGAAAAGCATTTTCTACGTGAAGAACAAAGTTCCTGTGAAATGTTAGCAGCTTGATCCAAGAATGTCCACAAGGTTGATGCAACGAACCTGTCCAATTCTTCCAAGACAAGAAGTTGCACCTCTGGAACATCGCGCGGGACTCGTCGCGGCACAGGCAAATCTGCCTCGCCTTCATAAACACCACGGGGCCTTGGGCTGACGGTGCGGTAGCGCCTATCTCTCGAGTATGGGGAGCGTGGGGACCGAGGTGAACGGGGCGAGCGAGAACGCCTTCGCTCGCGGCGATCGAATCTTTCGGGGGTTCTATCGCGCGACCGATATCCATCTCTGCTTCCCCGGAAAGGTCGCGGGGAAGGTGATCGAGGCGGCCGATAATCATCGCGCCTGCTGCGATGGGAAGCTTCTTCGCGGAAATCGCTAAACGGCAAGCGACTTGGTTCATAAGGTTTGGCACGGTCGTAGCGATCGCCAGGGGCTCGAGTGCTGGGCCTTGCAGGACCGGCCCGGCTGAACTCTGGCGACCGTGAGCGACGTGGCGGGGGTGCACGGGAAGGTTCTGGTGCTGGTGCGGGACGCGTTGATCGCTGAGGTTTTGAGATTTCCAGATCTGGCAAAGGGTTAGAAGGCATATCAGAGGAAAGATTGCTTATCATCCGGTACTTACGTATCTTTCTGCCCCGCACTATAGCGCCCTGTTCAACCCCCAGAGCCGCATGGCATGAGCCCGCTTCCAAAAACTGGATGAATCCATAAGCTTGCTTGATCGAGATCTGGGCAAGTTTTCCGTATTTGTGGAAAATGTGAAACATGTCTCTCTTGGTCACTCTTTCGGTAGGAAGATTACCTGTAAAACAATTGTGAGAACGGGAGCAAATCTGAGGCTGAAACGATACTTACCGACAAATAACCTGGAGCCCATTGGGAATCGATCCCAGAGGCCTTCGGTGACATAGATCCGCTCATCGTGTAAAAATTCATCGTATTTCTTCTGGACCTCAGGACCCCAAGGTGAATCATCGTCGATTCCCTTGATCGGTCGGCCCTGCTTATCGACACGGCCTTTCTTGAGTGCCAACAAGGGCTCCTGGGAGCTCTGGGATTCAGGGCCGGTGGATGGGGTCTGGACACCCGACGTGGGCGGGATCGGATTGCCAGCTGGCGCGGTTCCAGCTGAAGGATATAGCTGGGATTGGGGCTGGCTCTGCGTTTGGGGGTTACTGGGAGATGTATAGGCTGGGAAATTGACGTTATGGGTGGACGGATGTTGATATGTGCCGTTGTCTTGGGTGTTATGGGATGGGATAGACTGGGCCTGGGCATGGTGGGTGTGATGGGTAGGGACACCCTGGGATTGGAAGGATTCGTCCACTGGTGCTTGATGGAAGGACGAGGCTTCAGCTGTCGCGGGCCCGGGCATGGTCGCACCGGGGCCCGGGTGAGAGAGGTTGTCGAGCAGGTTTTGGAAATCGACTCCGCCCGTCTGAGGCCCCGCATCCTGCTCTGAATTTAGTTGATCCGACATCCTGTCCGTATTGCGAGCGTGGTCTACTTCGCTCGCGGAGACCAGGCCCTGGGATGCCGGATCCCCCGGAGCGGCGGAGTAAGAGGGCTCGGGGGGAGAGAAGGAGGCTAGAGGAGCAGCAGTTTCGGACACCGAGGGTGGATTGGGGTGGTATGGCGCAGAAAAAGTTCCATTTTGCGCATTTTGCGAGGCATGAGAACTACCTGGGTGACATGGTGCTCCCTGACCATCTAATCCTCCGTGCGACCATCCATGTGTTTCCTTATGCACCGGTTCGTATGTGGAAGTATCGTTGAAGATGGGGTCCATTTGGTACTCCAGGACTGGGATGTTGGCTGGCTCCGGAATATGCAGCGGTCGAGGGCTTTCCGGAGTCAGAGTCTTTCCGCGAAAGTGAAGTGCTTCATCGGGACTGGGCGTCATGTAGACGAGGCGGGCGTTTCATCTACGAAGAGAATGATAACAGGTGGACAAGTTTGAAGAGGCGGCCGGGTCGGATTTTTCGCAATCGCAAGCTAAGGTGGGGCGATGGGAAAAGATCGGGGTCGGGCCTGAGTACCCTGACGAGGAAAAGGGGCGGAAAGAGAATTACCTTGGGGAGCTTCTCAGAATATGAAGAGGAGGAAGTAGAGTCAGGTGAGCTTGACGGTTACGAAGTTTCCCGTTTTTTGCATTTTAGTCACTTTTTGGGTCACTTTGGGAGTATTTGGGTTCTTTTTCTTTTAAGATCCGGTTCATTTAGCCTTATTTTTACAGGTTCTGACGCAAGACTTTTTGAAAAAAACATACTGGTGTTTTTTTATAGAGTGGTTTAGAGTAATTTATAGTATTTATAGTATTTATAGTATTTGAAGAGTAATTTATTAGGGATAGTCGCACTTTCCACCAATAGCACCGAAAAAGGGATATGCTTGATCTTAAACGCTGTTTGACACGCTAGCGGGGCTAGACCTGCAAGATCAACTTTACCCTCTTGCATTCCTTCATTTCATTAGTCAACTTGCCCATCTGCCCAGGTGACCTCTGTAGTTATACTCGGGGTTACTGCGAGTCAGTCACTGTCTGTGTCTCTCTTTTGTTCAATGCATTGCCGCTCTTGGCGCATACAATCCCTCTTTCCGAGGTTCTTGAGGGGATTCGCCTCTCAAACAGACCAGGACGTCCAAGTTGCGAGGGATTGGCTCAAGACCCTCAATTCCAAAACCGTCCCTCGCCACATTTGCGAGGTCTCGTTCAGTCGGTCCAGCGGTCCGGGCGGCCAGAATGTGAACAAGTCAGTAAAACTCCACTTGAAGATCAATACATGTATGAAGTACAAGTATTGTACATCGTGATGTCGCAATTGCTGAATGTGCGCAGAGTGAACTCCAAAGCCACTTTAAAAGTCCCATTGGGGTCCCTATTGCCTTTGGTCCCAAGACTGCTTCACCAGCCCCTGCGCGACTCCCGTTACCACGCCGACCGATCCCAGTCTTTGGTGATTCAAGCCGACGAGGAACGAAAGCAGTCTAACAATGTGGAGTCATGTTATGACAAGCTCTTTCAGTTGTTACAGACGTCGGCTAAGGCCGTCATCCCCGGGGAAACTACCCGAGAGCAGCGAGACCGCGTCCACAAGTTGTAGGTCGACTCCGCCACCCCCCTTGCTAACTACGAGGCTAACCAGCGTCCCAAGGCAACGGGCACAGAACGAGGGTCGGATCAAGGCCAAGAAGCAACACAGCGAGAAGAAAAGCAGTCGGCGGGGAAGTAAATACGATGATTAAGAGCACATGTGCCAGACCCTGAATTGTTTGGTTTATATCCGATCAACGCCTAAATGCTAAGTACAAATACCGGGGGTATGCGATGCTACTCGGAGGCCATGCGCTCCGCCTTGAGGACGGTAGCTGCGATAACTTGCTGCAACGAGGGGTCCAAATCCTCGGTCGCCTGGAGGGGCTGGAGCCAGTTTACGACCTCGCGTGCAAGATCTTTGCCCAAGGGATACTCTCGGAGGCGAGCAAGCGAGCTGCCGAGCGCCCGCGGGAACTCGGGTGATGTGACGGGGATTCCGGCGGTCGGGAACTTGATATAGCAGATCTGCGTGCGCGGGCTGGACGGCTTGTTCGACCGCATAGCCTCGAGGACGTGACCCAGGACCTTCTGAAGGCAGGGCACATCGTGGAATTCCCAGACCATGTCAAAGAATTCCTGACCGAACCGATCATCGTGATCGAGCTTCTTCGAGGCGGTGTCGAAGATGGCGAGCGGAATAGCACCGCTCAGAGCAGGGGTAGCGTTGAGAGTCTGGAGTGCAACCTGATCCACCTCGGCGTCATCTTCCGTGCTCGGGTTGATGTCCTCTTCCGTGAGAGCAGGCAGTGTAATCTTATCCGCATCGCGATCATCGAGATCCGCTCCCTCCACCGGCTTGGGCTTTTGGCTCGCTTCGTCGAGGCCCAAGATCTTCTGACGAGCGACAAGCTTCGCAATGTAAATCAACTCCAGCTTCGCGTACTGGGTCCAGATCGCCCGCGAACTCTGACAGAATCGCACACCACGCTGCATGTAACTCCGAGCTTGTGTCATATCTCCATGGTCGTCAAGGCAATGTTTCGCAGCGTAAACCCATAAATCAGCGCTCGTAGGATGTAAGCGCAAAGCATCGGTGAAAATCATGGAAAGCTTCTTGTGGGCCTTTTGTTTTCGGGCATATTCGATGTATTGGACCCAAAGGCCGAGATCGCCGTGGAACTTGCGTACGGCGCGGTCGAGAACGAAGAAAATGCGTCGCTGGCCGTTGAAACCTGCCGACCGAATCCCAAGTCGCTTCACCCGCTTCTTTCGCAAAATGTCGAGGTTGATTTCGTATTCCGCATAGCGCACAAAGTCCACCGGTTGCGCACCACGTGCGTTGAGTTTGTGCTCGAAGTCGGATCGCTTTTTGACAATTGAGGAGATTTCATCCTGGAGGTATGCTGATCAGCTGTCATTCTACAGGCAAGAACCGTCTGCGGCGTACCTTGGTAAAGAGCTTCTTGCGCTCGTATTCCTTGAGCTCGGGAATGGACTTCTCGAGGAAGTATCGAGCCTTATCAGTTGCGGCGGCCATGGTTGTTGTTCACTGAAGATTCAAAAAAAAAAAAAAAAAGTCGGCATCCCGCATTGAAAAAACACCGATCCAGCCCCAGAAGACGCTAGCCGCATGCGGTTAGTTCAAAGGACACTCAACACCACCGAGGGATCCGGTTGTTTTCCTTCAGGGGCCGTTTTGCTCGTGACATCTACTTCTGTCGTTCTCTTTTTTTGATTTTTTCATTTCTCACGTTCTTTTCTTTTCAGACTTGTTCTTTTGACCTTACAGGTGCAGAGCTTGCTTTACCCTCTGCGCCGCCATGGCTCCCCGATACAAGGACGGAGATGCCGTGGTCGCCGTAAGTTCCAATTGATAGCTGAATTGGGGACGCGCCACTGACCTGACGTGCATATAGATCAATGGCAAATGGGTCGCGTGGACACACACGGTCTTTGCCTACGCGGCCTTCATCAGTGCGCTGATTGTCGGCGTGGCTTTGCATTACCACAAGATCGTCCAGAACGAACATTTCGGCTACCCAATTGAATGGTTCCCCTCCGTGTCCGCGACCATCGGTGACCGTTACCCCGAACGGTCCTTCTTCCAGGTCTTCATCGCCATTACCTCCGGCCCTCGATTCGCGCTTGTCTTCCTCTGGTACATCCTCACTTCGCGCCCTAACTCGACCCTTCCCAAGATCGTTGCTGGAGTCGGCATTTTCCGAACTCTGACTTGTGGAGGATGGACCTATGTGACATCTACCGATGACCATGATTGGCATGATATCTTCATGATCTCCTACTTGGTGGCCACTTTGCCTTGGACTCTGGGCTGTCTCGCCCTCAGCCCCAACAACCGACGTGCCGTCAAGTACCGCAAGATCATGGCTAGCTTGTTCTTTGGCACTCTGGTTCCCTTGATCTACTATTTCATCCAGCACAAAGTGCACAAGGTTCCTGGTGGTGAGTTTGACACACAAACTTGTGTCGGTTGCTTCACTAACTCGTTCCCAGCTTACACCAAGTACGCCTTCTTTGAATGGTCTCTCATTCTGTTCGACGTCGGCTTCGACGCCATTACAGCACTTGACTTTGAAAGCTTTGAGCTCGTGGTGAGGGATGTCAAGGGTGTTAGCAGAGGGTATGTACCGTGGCTTCCAAAATGACACCACCCGCGTCAAATGTATAATGCCCAAGGCTATATTGGATATGAAAGAAAGCATTGTCTGAATATCTTCTCATTAGGCAGTTGAAGACGACTGCGGACTCTGTCTTGGAAAAAGAGTGTGTACAACCCCATAACGAAGTATACAGACAGCAGTTAACCTCGTAGATAGGAAGGGCAAGCCAGTGGCCAACACCTTCGGCGAAGGCTTCTTTTGGACAGAGATCATCGACGCCGCCTCGGATGTCTACAACGGCTTTGTCTTCTGGACCATTGTGACTGCTCTGCCGGTTCTGGTCTGGTACTTCCCTCTGTGGCACATGGGCATTTCTGGCTACGAAGTTGCCATTGTGTCCTGCACATCCCCGCTGCTCCTGGTCATACCGTCTCTGCGGGCCCTCGCTGTGAGAAACCTGCGTCTGCTTCACCTGGCTTCGCTTGTCGGTCTTCTGGGATACAAGTTCCAGGATCCCGCCAACCGTCTCTTCGTGACCAGCTTTGCCCTGTCGACTACCTGTGTGGCTTGGACCGCTGGATTCTTTGCTGAACGGACCAACTCTCCTCGCCTTGAAGCTCGCGTCATGGCCTGGGGAATTGGTTTGATCATGTCGACTGTTGCCAAGTTTGCTTGCAAAACGAACAACCCACTCTGGCCCATTGTCCACGCCGAGAACGGCGGCTGGAACAAGATTGGTATCTTCATTGCTCTGTTCGCTGTTCTGAGATCCCAGCGGGGTTCGACTATGAGCGGTGGTGATTACCTGCCTGCAGGTGGTAAGAAGGGCTCCTCGGTTCTGGCTGGTGTTGGCTTTGGTGGCCTGATGTTCGCCATCGTCTCGCTTCTCACCGATTCCAGTACCATGATCTCGTGGGTGTGGGACGGATACCCTGTACGTGGACCTCTCGCGGTTCCCCACGGTGCTGTGACTATCTTCGTGATGGGAGCCGGTCTTGTCTATGGTGTCTTCCACCCTCGCGTGGCCGGAAGCTGGACTGCTTTTGGAGTGGGCTCTGTCGGTGCCGCTGTCCTGACCTCGTACCATCACTGGATGGGCTTCTACGGCGCCCTTGCACTCACATTCTACATCATGGCCGTTGCACCCGTCTTGATCGCGTCCTGTGTTCGTCACTCCCCTGCGAGCACATTTGGCATCGGCTTCATTGTTTACGTGTTCCTTCTGCTGTTCCATGTCTGGGTTGTCGCTTATGCCTTTGTGCCCGGTGGTCCCCTTGTGCGTGAGCACACCGATTGGTTGATGCTGACCACCATGCTGTCCATCGGTGCCGGTGTATTCTCCGCGGCTACTTCGAACTCGAGCCGTTCTTCCCGCAAGAAGCCCATCAGCCCCAACAACAAGAGACAGCGTTCGTACTATATCTACGTTCTCGCTGCGCTTCAGCTTCTCTCTGTCTCTGTGGCCTACCTGCGTTTCCCCACCAACGACTACACCCCTTACCACAAGGAAGACAAGGTCGTCACTGCCGGTATCTGGACCGTCCACTTCGGCCTCGACAACAACATGTGGTCCTCTGAGCGCCGCATGCGTGATGTGATCGGTGAACTCGAACTGGACGTCATTGGCTTCCTCGAGTCCGACAACCAGCGCATCATCATGGGTAACAAGGATGTCACCCAGTTCATCGCCGAGGATCTTGGTTACTACACCGACTTCGGTCCCGGCCCTAACAAGCACACCTGGGGTTCCGCCTTGCTGTCCAAGTTCCCCATCGTCAACTCCACTCACCACCTCCTCCCCTCCCCCGTGGGTGAGCTAGCGCCTGCCATTCATGCCACCCTTGATATGTATGGCGAGATGATTGACGTGGTCGTCTTCCACTCCGGCCAGGAAGAGGACCCCGAGGACCGTCGTTTGCAGAGCGAGTATCTGTCCAAACTGATGGGCGACTCCCCGCGTCCTCTCATTCTTCTGAGTTACCTTGTCACCAAGCCGCTCGAGGGTAACTACAACACCTACGTCAGCGAGCGCAGCCAGATGAAGGACATTGATCCTTCTGACTGGGATAGATGGTGCGAGTACCTGCTTTTCAAGAAGCTGCACCGCACCGGTTACGCCAGAATTAGCCGTGACACTATCACCGATACCGAAATCCAGGTAAGTTATTCTGACAACACTTAAGATAATACTTAGAAATTCTCTAACGCATTGCATAGGTTGGCAAGTTTGTCATCGGCGAGCCTGAGCCTGAGAGCGAGACTCGTATCCCAGAGGAGCTGGTCCCTGTTGGCCGCCGTTTCCCTGCTTTGTTCCGCGGCGAGGGAGTGCGTGGACACCGCTACCACGTCTTCGACGAGCCCCGATACTGGCAATAAGGACTGTGGAAACCAGATATCTATAGTGACTCAAAAGTCACAGACCAAAGATTGATTTTGTACGACGTTTCTTAGGACAACACAAAACAGGCGTTTTATTGCCTCATCCTAATGTAACGATGATTGTTGCTTATGTTGGTGTTTCTCAAAGATCCGTGCCCTAACTCGCATCTACCTTGAAACAAAGGTGAATATCATATGTGCTTTTCTTAAAGTTGATAAGCTATACGGAGTATCTCGTGTAGTTCTGCTGCGTCAAGATTTCTTATTTTAGAACTACTTTTCAGTCCAGCCCTCGATCTAAATCGAAATTTCGATCCGAGGTGTCGACGTCAAGTGGGATGGCATGGATCCTTTGTCGCAACTTCTTTGTTCTCGGCACAGAGTTCACTACACAACCGGAGAAAAGGACTCGGCCTGAGAATTTCAAGTCGAATCGTGTTTTTCCCAAACTGCAAATTGCATGATTTAGCTCCTGCACAGCATTTTGCAAGTAGTCCTGTACCGGCAGTGGGTACCAAGTGATGGCAGCGAGAACTCGACTAGAGTGTTCTATCATACATCGAGATAAATCCCCCATATCATCACAGGTTCTAGAAATCACTTATAAAGCTCTTTGTCCAATTTGCCTCGAATCCCACAATTTCCCCTCTCTCAAAGAGGAAGGCAGCCATGTCCCTCTTTCGGACGAGGACCACCCTTAATCCTTGGTGCACCATAACTCGGCTTTTTTTTTTATGAAAGAACTTCCTGAGCCATTGATCTGCTCATGATTCTTCTGGTCTGGACTTGACGCAAACGTAGAGCATCTGTAACCTTACTCCAATGCCTCCGATGTCTATAATTGCGACTTCTGTATGTATAGATAAAACCCAAGCGTCTGATAGATCATACTGCCAGGTCAAATTCACTCTAAGCGTGATGGGCGCAATCTGACAATCTTTTCATTCACTTTGACTGCGTTCATTGGAAACCAAGGCACGCTCCTGTGGTATAGCTTTTTCTTTGAGGGGCTTCCTCTTGTTCATTGGCTTCGTTGATCAAACCTATGGTGCAGCTCTCGTTCTTTGACTGGCCAAGTTGGCCGGGCTGATTTTCTGATTTTTCCCCTCTTCTCGTTGCAGAATGTAGAATTTTAAATTTGATATTCTTTGTATGGTCTTGAATCGGATGATCATTTTCCTCTTGCGCAATAATATTCCTCTCCGAGCTAGAGATTTTTGATTCTAGAAAAGCCTGCCTGTCTGTATACTACATGGACATTGACCATCAAGCCTTGGACCTCGGGAAGGGGCCAGCCTTGGAAGAGTCAGAGCTTGCAATAGGAATGAGATGAAACGTTCTTTGTCAATAGGCTCGACAGGTTTCCAATTCATTTGGTCCAGCTCTGTAGAGATCACAAAGAAGAATATTCCGCGGGATATTTTTATCTTCCTTTGATGGTGAATCCTCGGCACTATAGATTTGTTCTTTGTTTGCACGTTGAGACGAGGCGATCGACTTGGTATTAATATCGAGGTAACAACAACCTGTGAACTTCAATTTCAACAACATTCTGATTCCAAGTTCGAGTCTTCTGCTCAGCATACCGTTCACCACATCAGTAATCTATACATCGTATGTGATTCGATAAACTGCAGATTTCTGACGACTAACAGGCACACAGAAGCACCTATCATTCTAAACTTTGATCAACAACGCCATGGTCTCAACACGATCCAAGGTTGCTGGGACTACCGCTCACCCTCCAGCCCCGTCACTCACCAAGGAGGCAAAGGCCGCAGCAAAGGCCGCCAAGAGTGCGGAGAGGGCTCGAGCCAAAGCCGCCAAAGCTGCTGCCAAAGCCGCCAAAGCCGCCGCCAAAGCCGTGGCAAAGGCCGCGGGAAAGACTTCCAAGAGCTCCAAGAAGTCCAAGAAGTCCAAGTCTAGCAAGAAGACTTCCAAAGCCAGCAAGAAGAGCAAGCGAGCAAAGGCCCCAGAGCCTGAATCCAATGACGAAGAAAGTCAGAGCGAACATGAAGTCGAAGCCGGCCACAAACGGCGCAGAACTTCTGAAAGCGAAGGCGAAGATCTGTATGTGCAAATCAAGCACAAGAGGATTGCCAACAACAAGGCAGTCAGCTCGTCAGAGTCCATTTCAGTGGATATCAAAGACTGGGAGTACTCAGAGGAGCTCCCCGCCCCCAAGGGGTTGAAGACCAAGATTGAGACTGCACTGCCGCAGATTTATATCGGAGGAGGTGCACCCCAGCCCCGTTGGCTGGTTGCCCAAAGCAAGACTATGCCTCTGCCCCCCTCCAACGTCGGCTACAAGCGCAAGCTGTCCGCCAGTTCCAGCTCCACCGATTACGGCCGACTTGTCTGGTACCTCGATGAGGGCGATTACCAGTCCTGGGGTGGCTTGGAATACCCCCAGGTCTTCGAGCTAGCATGGAGATGCTTGGACTTTGCCCTGCAGGACGACGAGTTCCGAGACGAGATCCACGATACGCTTGTTAACGGACCGCTGTCTAAGCATGCGTCACTCAACGAAGGATGGGAGCCCGCTATTCCACCTCAGCCTCTCTCGAGATATTTTGGACTTTCTGATGATGTGTACCTCTGGGATGCCGCTGGAAAGCCCGAGTCCTCGGGATACTACTACCCGGACCATGAGCGACCCACGCTGGCCGTTCGGCCATCCAGGGCTGCAGTGGGACCTCACCAGCATATCTTGACAACCAAGCTCTTGGACCAGATCTCGACTGGGCCTGAGACTGAGCCCAAGGCCCCCGCTCCTTCTCGCGCTCTTGGCAGATCAAAGGCTGCAACAGGTTAGTAATATATTTTGTTTCCTTTGCATCTCTATGCGCTTGAGCCGGTGGGCGTAGCCCTACGTTGGCATTAAGAGCCCATTTCATCTGTGAATTCCCAGCAGTTGCAATGTGACTTGGCCGTATTGTTTTAAGTGCTGTTTGAAGAATTCGCGCTAACTGTTGATTCTCGATTAAGCCTCGAATGTAGGCTCCGTTGTTAGCGACGAGACTGAGAATGATCAGTCCGAGGGCGCCTCGGCCCCAGAGACCCAAGCACCATCCCCCGTGAGCTCTGAATCCGCGTCATCTGCCGACAGCTCTGAATCGGAGTCGCAATCCGACAGCGAGGTCAGTAGTACCCCCACCGATGCATCTTGAGTTTGTAGAGCTGACTATAACAGTGATAAACAGAATGTCCCAATCAGCCCATCCGAATGCTCCCATGATGGACTCTTCAGCGCGGATCAGATCGAACACCACTACAGCGCCAAGGGAACGACATGTGAGTTCCTCTAGGGAGAGTGTTATTTTGAGATGCTAACTCTGGCCAAGTCAAACAAGAAAATTTAGGAGGCAAGCGGAAAGCGTCGGAAAGTGTGGAGGGAGAGGGAGATAGGGAAAAGCGAGGGCGACTTGAGTCGAGTGACCAGCAGGAATTTGGCACAGCTTTAGAATTTCCACTTGAAGAGCGGGGAGAAGTAGAGATGGCGGAGGAGGCACCGAGGATGGCGGAGGAAGCACCGAGGATGGCAGAGGAAGAGGTGATGGGAGAGGCCATGGAAGAGGAAGTGAACTCGAGTGACCGACCGATGGATGAAGTGCCGAATTTGAGGGATGAGGTGTTTGAGACGGCGAAGGAGATGTGCCTGGACGAGCAAGCACGCCTCACAATCTTTCCAAATCCTGTAGCAATTCGTGGACTTCGAATGTGGGCAGGAGAAGATTTGACCGCAGGGAACGGGCCGGACCTGACTGTTCTACCGGCATGGGCTGGAAATCATCGCCCTTTTCAGCCTTGGAATGAAGTGAGTTCTCATCCTACCAGCTTCGAAGGACAATACTAACATCGACCAAGCCTCCCGCCGGTGCAGCAGCAGTCAGAGCACCACCCAGAAGGAATACGAAGCCCCCTCCCAAGCGGCCAGAGCAGAAGCCATTGTCCGACACCAAGTTCTCGTCGTTTTGAAGGATATAGATTTCATTTGTTGCAATGTTTTTGGTTTTTGGTTTTTGGTCTTTTCATGCTGGCGTCTTTTAGTTTATTTCGAATGACTTTTCTGTTTCTTTTTCAAGATTTAATTGAAGTTTCAATGTTCGGATATATGCACCTATCCTCGGTACGTAAGGCTAGGGAAATGTTCGATTGATATATGTAGTGTAGTGGGGAAACCGCACCGCTCCCACCTGTGCCTTAGGCACCCCTGGGCTATTTCTAGCCCCGTTTTCATAGCATAGCAATCCAAGCATTCGACATCTCTCGCAAGAACAGCATCTCTTTCCTATTCCGGTAGTCCTGGGGGGCCTGCGTAGCTCCCTGATCCCGCCGAGCACTGAGCACCCCCGTCGTCTTGTCTGCGATGTCAGACCGCCAGCGCGCTCTTCCCACTATAGTAGATACCGTCCTCGCGGCGAGGCTTGGTACGGCGCTTAACGACAGCATAGCCCGCAGGACTACAAGGCCATTGATTGTATCGATCCCGCCCTGGGCCGTGTCGAAGAGCTGGCCGTCCTCGATCGGAGGTATTTCCGCGATTTCAATGCCGAATTCGACGGGTTCAGGGGTGACATAGCGTCTCGATACTGCGGGTTAACCTGCGAGACTTGTATCCCAGTTTAAATCATTGATTTCAGGGGTGTAGGAAATGGGGTCCTTATAGGAATGCCCTAATTATAATAGTGTATACAGAATACATACTGTCTTAAATGCCAAGAAGATCGCCAGTGCCTTCGAAACTTGGCCTCTCTTAGGCGGTACTATCCAGTGCTTGACTTATTTCTGTACTGTCCGTAAGAGAATGTATGTAAGTCCTCACTCTTGGCCAACATTTCGGAGAGACTCGCTACTAATGGAGCTCCACATAAGGTTTTATATTTTGAAATCAGGAGTATGAGCCTGGCCACTATATAACTCGTCAAGATATCCATCACCAAATATTTCACAGATCGGCCATTGAATGTGGGGAATCCAAGAGTGATCCAAGAGTTTGAGTATATCTCTTAAGACCGAGTGACCCCAATTCTTGAAAAAGCAATTTCCGCGGGCTAGATGAAGAAAAGCACAGTAGTGCGCGTGTATGACCAAAGCAAAAGGTCTCTGTAACTGAAGGTACTCAAGATACTGGGAAGGCACGCGTATAGCCCATCCAGCAGCCAAAGTCATGGAGTTTGGCTGGGCGAAAGCGTGCGCAGATAAGCTCCTCATAGCTGTAATCACTTGACTGTATGTTGCAGTATCATTGTCGTCTTCGTTATACTCTGTATTCAAGTAGTCAAGGTGATCAAGAGACTGCTGAACATGATCGGGGACAGCAACGGTTGGTTCACCAGGGTTGAAAAGTGGCGCGAAGTTGCTTTGCTGTAGGTAGGAGTGCGCTTGTCCTGTTATTTGCTGTACACCACGGCATAGAATGAACACATTGTTGAGAGCGTCTAGGCCTGGTTGAACGTCATCCACATCAGTCAGAACAGAGCCAAAAGCATAGACCACTGCTAAAGCAGATAGGCCCATCATGAATTTGGCCTTTTCTGGAGTCATTTCCGTCAAATTATGTCGGAGCGCGTACAAAGCCTCGCCTTTATACGCTGTGGCGAGACCAAACCAGAATGATTGTTCTGAAGCGGGCTCAGAGAGGGCAAGGTGCAGCGCAGAAACAGCCAGAATACCATGCATTAATGAGGGTGATTCCAAAGCCTCATCAACTAAGAACACCTGCCAGACAATTCGCGTGTCCTCATCGCGGGAAAAAAAGCAACACGTATTCTTCTGCCAATTCACCAAGAGACGTAGCTGGGTTATGTCTAGTGGTGGTGGAGCAGGGTGGCTAATAGGCGGAGTGTGGTCGCATCTATCGAGCAAAGAGAAAGGAGCATCGCTAGGCGGGGATGAAGTTTGCTCGACATCTTTTGAAGGTGGCTGTTTGCGTTTCCGAGTCCTAGTACGAGGCTTCTTTTCGCTAGCCCACAGATATGACGCCGCGCTCACGTAGTTGCAGTCCTCCTCACGCTGTTTGCAGTTGGAGCATACTGGTCTTACTTCATCGCACTGGCTCATACATTAGTAATCACAGGCTTGAAGGTCCACCGGAGATTAAACAGACCTTAACTCTTCTCTGTTTGCAAGCCGTACAACCGTGTCTTGACTTCCTGTGGGACCGGCGAATGGGCATTGCGCGAAGGTATCTTGTCCTCACATTACAACCTCGTGTCTTTGTCTGCAAGACTCTTATAGAAATTCGTCACTCAATCAAGACAAAACGCTTAAAGATATCACGTGGTATGCCTAGGCAACCTTGTTTTCTCTTCAGGTATTCCTGGAGCAGCAAATTGCAACGCCAAGAGCCGACGTTGGAGATGAACGTCTCGAGTAGTCACGTGTAGACCTGATTTGGAGCCCAGACTACGGACAAGGTCACACCAACTCAATCGGTTCCCTGGACCCATGGGAACCAGGTTCGGCTTCGAGATCGCTGTGTTAAAATGTAAGCTGTGTGAGTGAAATCAGTATTAGCATCTCTTAGAATTCATCATGAAATGCCTATTGCCAGTTAAGCTCACACCAACCGCACGCTTGCCTTCTGCTCGTGAGACAAGGTCAAGAAATTGTTTTGGTTCGTTCGAGAGTCTTGGGCGTTCGGTGTTGCTGAAGACGGTTTTAGACGGGCCCGCTCGCCAAGGCTCTACAGGCCCAAATAGGAAGTACGGGTAGCATCATGATTTCGTCTTATAAATGCATCCGACGAGTTGAAATAGATACGCGGTGGTTGTCCTTGAAGCTAAATTCAATGTTAGCAACTGCATTGTCAGCTATCGAAAATTTCGAGCACTAAGGAAGTACGTATTATATAAGATTGGTGTTGGTAAAGATAAGGTTCTTCGGAGTTCTTCTTCTACCCCTGCGTAGGTGTCATCATCGCTGGCGGCGCCTCAACATCACAGATTTTTAAGGTCTGGGTGTTCTGAATAAGCCCACATCTGACGCGACAAGCAAACGAGTACTCGGCTCAATGATCGGTAAATGATCTGTCTTTGTGGAGGATATTTTACTAGGCGCACCAACTAAAATTTGAGCTAGTCTGACGCGAGTCGCCATGTACCGCTAGCGCATGCCATTGTTTGGCACTGCAAAAATCCCACTGATAATAATGAGAATGATTAGGGAGAAGCAGGGCAAAGAAATTGGTAAGTGGAAAGGAGGATTCTGCTGTAGCATCTTTGCTCGGACCCACTAGCCCACTATACCCATTGCGGCCCTCGTAACGCTCTACCTGATCAAGGGTGCTGTACGAATACGAACGCAGTTCGGACTGGACAAAACAATAAAAGCACTAATTAAGCCATTCTTGAATTTAATCAGTCGACTCAGATCCGCGCGCCGCTCAGCCACACCTTCCACGATCACGTTGACACCTCGCAGCCCCATTATAAGGGGAATGTGCCTGACGCTGGGGCGCCGAGTTGGCGCTCTCAGTCCTTTGCTTTTCATTTGAGTATATCCTATACACCCCAATTCGATACTGTATGCTGTTGCCAATTATCTCGGCGATCCTCGTGGGATCCTGGCTGCTTGATACAGTTTGGCTATTGTATCGCAACTGGAGGCGAGCAAGCACGCTAAATCTGCCGATCATTGTGAGTCCGTTTCCAAGGGAGGGCTTGCTCCAGCGAGGCCTGCAGTGTCTGTTGCCATGGATGCCACAATACATTACCCAGCTTCCATCTGTCCGCCTCTCACAGAGCAGCTGGACCTTCAAGGAAAAATTCGCAATCCATGGCCAGTACGGAAAGGTCATCGTCAAAGTCACCCCGACCTCATGGGAGATATATGTTGCGGATGCAAAAATCGCAAAGCAGGTATTAGACCAGCGCACGGCTTTCCACAAGCCGAATAAACTACTAGGTTGTATTACCTGCCCCAAACTCGGAAGATACTATGCTAATGAGACTAGCTAAAATGGCTGCCTTTGGGCCAAACTTAGCTACAGTAAGTATAGCCAACGAAGCAGAGTTCTCGTACCCTTATTTGTGCACTGACGAAGTGAAATATAAATCAGGTCGAATGCGAACAATGGCAGCAACATCGCCGAGCTACCGGAAGAGCTTTTCACACGAAGACATACCAAACAGCATGGGACGAAGCACATAGCCGTGCCTCTTCACTTATGTCTGAATGGCTTTGCAACAACGCAGTCGATCACACCCAGGCCGATATGCGCGCGCTTAGCCTGGATGTTCTCTTTAGGGCTTGTTTCAATCTTGAAGATCTAAGAGGAGCACTTGGAGGTTCGAATTCAGACATCCTCTCGCTTCGGGAACATCTCGACCAGTATATAGGCAACCCTATCAGTCGAAAACCTCGCGCTCTGCAGAGTATGGTATCAGGTCAAGAGGTTTTGAAGGAATATTTCGAGCGACTGGTCACGAATCGGAAGGAGTCTGGGAACCAACGCGACCAGAGAGATCTTCTCTCATCAATGATGGCAGAAACACGTCGGAATGGATGGTCGGAAAGTGACATACCAGGGAATTTATTCATGTTCTTTTTTGCAGGACATGAAACCACTGCTAGCGTCCTGACTTACATTATCCATCTACTTGCCATCTTTCCGGAGTGGCAGGCATGGGCTTCGGAAGAGGTCGATGAAGTTTTTTTGGTCTCTAAGAACACCGCGGCTCCGGATTTCAGAACCTTTTATCCGTATTTGAAGCGACTGCGAGCGATATTGGTGTGTCCGGCCACATTCCACATTTTTGATTAGCGATGCGAGGGTGCTAATGTATGAGCAGCATGAGACATTGCGCCTTTACGGCCCCGTTCCAACAATTGTACGCGCCGTGAACGACCAAGATCAGACCCTACTGCTTGCTGACGACAGCGTCATTGTCCCGAAACATACGCCCATTAACATCAATTGCGCGGCATTGCACACGGACCCGGAGGTTTGGGGAAATGACTGTCTTGAATGGAATCCTGGGCGGTGGATATCAAATGCGTCAACCTGGGCATCAGAAGAAGAGTGTTTCCCCCAGCTCTCTGGAAATTTTTTTGGTTGGGGGGCCGGGCCACGGATCTGTCCAGGGCAACGTTTTTCACAGGTGGAGGTTCTTGCAATCATGGTATGCTTTTTGCATCAACATTCCTTCACCCTAGCGCCTAAGAATGGCCAGAGCGTAGAGGAAGAACGCCGTCAAGTTTTACGCATGATGCAAAACAGCCGAGTGGGGCTTACCTTGACGATGCCTAGAAACGGGCCTATCCAGCTGAAAAAAAAAGATAATATAGATACTTTTCTTCCTGGAAATAAATACTGATGGTTTAATCCTAAATTAGCTTAATCTCCATTATATACAGGCATATAGATACAGATACTATTATTTTCTCTGCAGAGTTTGCCAAATCAAGCCGTGAGATAAATGCTCTGCGCGTCAAGGACTAGTTATCTGCATCTTCCAACCTTCAAGCAATTATTAAAGGAACACAGCAGTGCTCAATCTGCTGATTTAATCTTATAAGTATCCTGAGTATCTGTGCTTACCTTAAGGCGCCAACTAAGTGGCAGGTCATGTTCTTCGCACCGTCCTTTCGTCTGGACTTTCCCATAAAAACCATCCATGGAGGAACTGCAAACCCTGTCATATTAGTACATTTCACAGCCGTTACCTACGCGCGCTGGCCTTGGGGGGCAACCACCTAGGTGGCATGAGGATGATATTATCTGAACTCTTGCCAAACTGCCTTAGTTATCAAAACAGCCCACGTCAAACTGGCGTGTTGCCTCTGGCCATGATCGAAGCTGAACCGTAGTCGACAATAGGTCTGGGTGACGGAGGACCTTATCATTCTACAACTATATGCGAGCGAATACAACTGGGCTTATCTGCAGTACCTGTCGTGTAAACTTACTCTAGGGTGATTGAGCAAACAAATTGATTATGGCGAGCTAAGGATGTGTTTTTTACCACATAATCCCTACTCCAGGTGGGCATCATTCGTCGCTTTTCACGGCAACCAAAATCGTCAACCCCTCAGTACTTGGTGGATTTACTCGGTAGGTGCAATGCAAATGATCAACATATAAGTAAAAATCAGAGAAAGGCCGTCTGGTCACAAAGCGCCAATTAATTGCCGATATTCAGCCACCATTTTCCCATTCCAAGCCGCTGATGGCTCCTCGTATACGAGATGTGACTCCGGTGGCCAAAACTAGTTCAGTTCGAGTGCTCTCTTTCGTGTCTAACCACCTGACTGAACTTTTCTTCTCCTCCCCGCCCGAGTCACGTCAAGACAATGGGGTGTCCGAATCTCCCCTTCGAGATCATCATGATAGTCTCAACGTATCTGAACAAAGGAAACCCCCAATTCGCTAGTCCAAACCAGCAGAACAGTAGCTAGGGCGTTGACACCCCGACTCTATGATCTCGCTCTCTCGCCGGTTAACCTATTGACAACCCGCTATGCCACAGTTGATTGGATTAAACCCCTCCACGCGATACCAGCTGCTGTATTCAATCACCGAGTCTGGTCCTGTGCGGCGAAATGGAAATCCGATCAGATCATTCATTACATGCTCACAAGATTCAAATACGACTCACTATTCCTAAAACTGCTCTCCGAAGATACACTAGACAGACTAATTGCGAGGTATTACCCACTGCTGCATCTTGTGGTCGCCACCGGGAATCTGGCGATTACTCGAGCACTGATGGATGCTGGCGCGCCAGTCGAGGCAAGGCTTGAAGGGCTGGGCACCCCACTACAGATCGCTTCCTCGCAAGGCCACCAGCATATTGCCGAGTACCTGCTCGACTGCGGCACGGGTATCCTGGTGTCGGATTCGCGAGGGCAATCAGCGGTTATGTCTGCATCAGGACGCGGATCGAAATCATTGCTTCGGCGCCTTATCCATGCTACTCGATCGGCCGGAGGAGATCCCTTCCACCCTGGTTATCATCGGGCCAACGCCAAGGCATTTAACTCCATGGGGCCTTCGGAACTTTGCCGACCTTCTTGAGTCCGGGAGGTTTGTCTCCTCTCCGCGATTGAATCCGAGCCGCGGGGCAGAACTGCGATCGGACTCGAAACAACTCACGAGCGCTACAGAAGACTACTGATTGTTTCCGATTCAGAACGCTTATGTATCAGGTTTTGGTATTCTCGAGGCTTAATAGTCTATGTAGGTTTGGGGCAACAGGCGGTAGAATAGCTCAGACCATGGCCAAACTTGAACACCGGGTCCCGAGTATCAAACGGCACATCCTCCATGCTCGCTTTCACAGCCTCCATCGATCGGGGTAGGTCAAACGGAAGTTTGCCCCCGGGTGAGGCAATGCCAAAGACAATATCTAGGAACGCATCGGGGCTGCTGCCATAGCTGCCGAGAAGCGCCGAGGTACCTTCGACGACTTCAGGTATAATGGCGGGTCGGTCAAGGAACATGTCAACAATGGTTGGGACGCTTTCGTAAATCGCTGCCTGACGCTTCTGCTCGCTTGGAGGGTACGCCAGGGACCCGGCGTGGAAATTCCTCTCGACCGTGCCGTTTCGCGGCTCATAGGGAGCTTCAAGACGGAGAAGAGCGTAGTCGGCTTCTTCAGGTGTCTCCACAACGGTAAGATGACGCTTATCCATATATGTAACGTTGAAACCCTCAATGAAAAACTTGGTCTCGGGGCCAGGTTGAAGTGGTAAGATCGAGCCTTTGTTGGTGAGTAAAGTATACGCTCGGCGCTGGGCCTCTTCGCCTAATTTTTTGAAGTAGGCATTGCCGACCATTTTCTCCGACATGTCAACATCGAGGAAGGGGTTTTCAAAAAGGCCGAGGAGGAACTTCTCTCGAAGTAAACGGCGGACAGACTGATCAATGCGCTTTTCTGGCACAATACCACGCCTAACAAGCTCGATGATGATATCAGGGCGCTCTTCACCTCCAATCTGATCACAACCTGCATCGAGGACCAAGGCAGCGCGTTCAAGTTCAGTCAGGCCCTCGACACCCCACGCCCTTGGGGGTATAAGCTCACCGGTGGCACTCGAGCCAGTAATGATGCTCCAGTCAGTGAGTACAATACCCTCAAAACCTAGTTCTTCCCGAAGAAGCTCAGTAACGACTTGTCGTTGAAAGGCCCATCCAACGGAGTCGTATTGAGTACCCTGAGGTCTTGAGTAATAAGGCATGATCTGTCGAGTACCCGCTGCAATCGCGGCTTTGAATGGGATCAGATGATACTTAAAGTTGTTACCGGGATAGGATGAGTTCTTTCCGTAACTGAAGTGCGAATCTTCCCCGTTTTCTGCTGGACCGCCGCCCGGAAAATGCTTTGTGACAGTGCTAACCGAGTGAGCTCCAAAGTTGCCACGGCCCTGGAAGCCCTGGATGTAAGCTTCTACAAGCTCCGCAGTTAAATGGGCATCCTCACCAAAGCCGTGGTTGGTACGGGACCATCGTGGCTCTGTCGTCACGTCAACTTGTGGGTGTAGCGCAACTCGAATACCCATAGCAATGTACTCCTCACGGGCAATCTCCCCAAATTTCCGAACCAAGTCCACATCTCTTATGGCTGCGAGTCCGATGGGCTCCGGCCACTGCGAAAAAGTGCCGGCGGAGAAGCCAGCAGCCACATTCTCTTGAAACGCGTGGCGAGGGTCGGTTGAAAGCGTGACTGGAATTCCAAGACGCGTCTCCATTGCTAGTTCCTGAAGACGATTGACAAACTCTGCGTTGGCTTTCGTTTCCTCAGTGGCGAAGGCCACGTTGAAATGGGTCATAAACTTCTTGGTAACCCTGTCAACGGTGCTGCCTCGTCGTCGAGAAGGGTCGCCCGGGTCAAATGTACCATTAGGACCCATGAAGATTTGCAGCTGGAACATTTGCCCAGCTTTCTCCTCGAGAGTCATTCGACTCAGGAGGTCTTCGACCCTCTCATTAACACACAAGGATGCATTCCGGTACGGAGGAAGTGCCTCACTCAGGTTCGTAGCGTGGTTAGAGACCGAGCTCTGGGGTGACGCCGTCGATGAAAATGCTCCAAGCGGCAATAGCGTCGAGCAGAGAGCAAGTTTATAGAGGCCCTTGGTGCCGGGGATGATGCGCATGTTGGGCCTGCATCGACTGCACTTCCGTATTGTCTTTCGGGAGCTTGGGATCTTGCGGTGCTAGCCGGTGTGGTAATTTCGCAGGCTGAGGTGCAATGGATGTGAGGGAGTGTCATCACAGGCTTGGAGGTCCGTATTTATACAGGCCATTGTGGGCACCTGGTGGCTGGGTATTACGACGGCCGCGATAGCATTGCCAATGTGATCATGTAATAATTGATCCTAGGTTGCAGCCAAGAATGTGTCTACTTCCTTGTTTAGGTGGCCAAACCTGCCAAGCTCGCAGTATCGGACAATGTTACTGTGTAAAGAGGAGCGCCAGGGAACGCCCTCGCCCAATAGAACCATGCCACCCACGATGAAGTTCATGATTACTCGCTTTCGTGCTGAAACCCTCGGCACGAAGGCGGGTCAGTCAATTCGTGGCCCGTGGGATCCTGTCGGTGGTTGAAAGCGGCATGGGTGTCGGTTCCTGCTCAAGATTCTGTGCCATCAGAAGCGTCCACAATACACTCCCAAGTGGCTAGTATCCAATACGCAATATCACTATTCATCCCCGACGGCTCCTGTTGCGAAAAGCAAATACTCTCCGTGGTAACCCCTCCTAGAGTGGAAAACTATCTACATCCTGGGGACTCGCAGGGAAGATAGTTACTACCCCGCTTCGCCGTCATACCGGTTGTATCCTTTTGGTTTAACCCGACGTCTTCCCCGGGGCCGTATGTGGCTATGCAAACGAGTACGATTCCTGGCGCCCTGGCGCGCCGCGAAGTCAGCTAACCGGGCTTCATACTAAAACGCAGGAGGGGAATAGTGAACCAGCCAGCGGAAGCATCTGGCCCAGGCTACGTGTGTGTGGATGATACAGCTGTCGGCTTTTAGAAGTCGCTAGAAGCCAGTAAGTAGTCAACAGTCCCTTTGTTTGATCTCTTTTTACCGGATAGTAGCTTCCAGCCATATAATTTCTATGTATTGAAGCTAGATTTAGGCTCTAGAGGATCTTTCCTTTTTCATGCAATCTGACCCATTCTAACCTCCACTTGCGGTTCGTTGAAACTTTCCGACAACAGCGTCATTCTGCCTTCCTTAAGTAATTTCCCCATACATCACACAAAGTATCTAGCTCAGAGCCGGCCCTAGCTGTGGAGAAGGTTTAGAGAGAACCTGTAAGGCTCCGTAATATCGCATAGCAGAGAATAACGATAGCACTAGGTTGCAGGCTAGAATATTGTATCGTACCATACTCCGCGCTACCTTGAATAACATCCTCCTAATTGTTTGCCACCCCAATCGTCCTCACCTGCGGGGTACGGTGTTTCGCAAGAAATCTGGAGTTATTTGTGTTTATACAATTCGCTTGCTGCATCTATGAGCCCACCACATTGCCGCAGCTCAACGTTCAAGTTCGACAAAAAGGATAACAGGCTTGCAAGCATTGTTGACGAGCTATTTCTATTTCTCCAATGCCCTTGTATAACTATGAATGATGTCACTAGTAACCAATTCCGTACTCTACATCCCACGATACTACAGAACTATCCTCTAATAGTCTGTCTATCATCGAGGGCATTAGGGCGATGATAATAGTAAAGTGATAGTAAAAAGTGCGTAGAAATCTGCAATTGGGATTACTTCGGTGCGGTGGTAAGGGCGACCGTTTTCATGTTCTCTGGACATAGGTCAAGACTACCACATTGCCTATGATGGCTTAAGAACGTTTGAACTAACCTGCTACATGTGCGGAACTGTTGGTAAAATGCATAAACTTATGTAGATAAGATTATTATTTAGTCAACTGAAGCATGCCTGAATAGTGCGGTGTATAAGAGCGTGAATTAGTCTTCTAAGCACTGACACTACTCCATGTGGTACAAAATCTAGTCTGCCTTTTGCAAAGAGCCATGTGTTTTACCCGTCTACCCTGGATGCTCGCCTAGACACCGCCAGGATATTTCGCCGCTTCTCCTGGCAGTGTCCCATGTTGCTTGAAATAACGCCGCTCACGCATGCATATGAAGGTGAAAAAGGCAACTATTGGGCTGTACAATCAAGCGGTTAGCTCAAAACATATTACGATTTCTAGAACACTTACCACAAAACAATAGTCAGAAGAATAACAATCACCCCCAACACACGGCTTGAGGTACTGCGTGAGACCGCAGCACCGAGAATCGAGATGATGAAAAGCGCAAACCAGAAAACCGTATCTATCACATTCAAAACAACATTGAATTTTGTGCTGTGCCATTTTTTAAGACGGTCAACATGGCCGGTACAAATCTGGTACGCCATGAAAACGGCTGATTTTACGCACTAGTACGAATTATATCAGTTTAAGATTCGGCAATGCGGTCTCATCTCGTATTTTGGGCAGGCTTACCACTGCAATACCCCAAGTATTGGTTCGGGTTCGTGGTGTTCCGCTGTCGGCCACTCGGGCAATGATCAGGATGAAGGTTAATGCGACCAATGAGCCTATGGCGATATGAAGCCTGAACTTCGTTCTAGGGATGTCGTCTGTGGCGACGTTGAGTTTTCGCAACATAGTGGTTTCGATAAATTTGGAATTTGGTGAATGACTTGAAGGTCAGGTTCTGATCTGATTGTAGACACTTGCTGTGCTAGACACTCTCCTATACAAATCGGAGTCCATTCAATCCCGAGGGAGGAGGAAATCATGCCGTTTATATTCTGAGAGTAACAAAATCTCTACCTGATAAGAGGTTGGAGGCCCAGGGGCGACAAACTACCAGTCGCATTCGTACCCTTACCCCAATATAGACATCAATAGTATAGCCGGAAGGCATGTAGATCATGGGCAGATGGATGCTGGGCTATTTTCGATAATGCTAAATAAAACTGGAAACGTTGCTGCCTCTCTGCTAGGTTTCGTAAACGTTCCATGAAGGGGTACGCCCATGGATCTTGATCACCAAAAGTTTTCGTCAAGGGTTCAGGAACCAGCCGAGTGCGGCGCGATCAGCGGTTTTCTCACTAGTGTTTCGTTTCAATGGCCCAAAAACTATACGGGTGGCTGGACCCACCTACGAGATTGGGTTGTTGATACGATTACGGGCAGGTCGGGTTAACCTCAGTGATGGGGCCTGCGAGTAGGCAGCACCAGACCCAAGGTCCCCTGCGCCACGTTTTCCATCAAAAATCCAAAGTAAGAAGTTGTTTTTGTTGGCCTCACTGCTCAAGCTCCCAAGACCATTTCAGATGGAGGGGCTTATTACATCATCAAAATCCCGTCCGGTGAAACAGAAGCGATTTTCCTTGCCACGCACAGCATGGTGCCACTGGCGCTGATCGTCATCATTGTAGACCCATTCCCCACAGACATGTTTCCCCGATGTAAACGTATACGAACGCGGTAACTCGGCTGGAGTTCATAGTATATAAAGGAGCCGAAGTTCAGGTCCTGTCCAAAGGAAGAACAAGGCCTAATAGTAGCTCTTCAAGATGCATTTGTCATTGTACGCCTTTATTGCCTTTGGGTTAGGCAGCCAACTCACCACCGCTGCTTCTTCTGTGCCCAACTGCAAATGTGTAAGTGCCATAATTCTCTGGTGAGCGTCGTCTCAGGCGATTACTGATCCGCGATGTGCTAGAGCCCTTCTGATGCATGCTGGCCAACTGCCGGTGAATGGGCAGCCTTCAACAAAACCCTTTCCGGGCGGCTGCTAAAGACCGTCCCACCGGCTTCTGTCTGCTACAAATCTGAAGACAACTTCAACGCCACGGAGTGCCAGGCCATTGTTGATGCATGGACCACCTCTCCTTTCCACTCCTCGAATCCGTATAGCATTCTGGATCCATCCTGGTCCGGTGCTGCTTGCCAGCCACTTTACCAGAACGGGACCAGTATATCAGGGGACCTTAATGCGACATCGAAAGGGTGTTCGCTAGGTAATCTCTCACCCTATGTGGTCAATGCAACGACGGCAGCACATGTGCAGACTGCAATCAGATTTGCTAGGAAAAATAATCTCCGCTTGAACGTCAAGAACACGGGCCATAATCCCGAAAAGAGGTTCGTTCAATATTGACTCCACCAGCATAAAACCCCTGCACTAACACAGTTACTAGTTCGGCATATGGTAGTTTAGGGTATGTGCTCGCCTACAAGATTGGACCCCAGCCTAGGCCATTCCGCTGACATGCACAGTATCTGGACACACAACATGAAAGGATTCCAGTTTCACAAATCGTTCAAAGCCTGTGATATTTGTGAACCCCATATGGCAGGTACTGTCGGGGCGGGAATTCAGGACGGCGAGCTGTTTGCGGCGATGGCAAAGCATGGCGCTATTGCTGTTGGAGGAACAAACTCGGTACGAAATTTCGGCTTCAACTTAGTCCCTTCTACAGTTTTCCTTTTCCAAGTCTAACAAGCCCTCAGGATGTTGGAGTTGTTGGCTGGTCTGCTGGAGGTGGTCATGGATATGCCACCGGTCAGTATGGGATGGGGGCGGATAGCATTCTCGAGGCAGAACTTGTCACGCCTGAAGGAAAGCTCATTCGAGTGAATGAGCGGGATTATTCCGATCTATTTTGGGCGATTCGTGGAGGGGGTGGGAGCACCTTTGGAGTGATCATCAGCGTTACTGTCAAAGCCCATCCGATGCCCTCAGTGGGAATTGTCAACATCGATGTTTCGCCGCGAAACCACACATCTCCAAAGCAGTGGTGGAACACCGTCGCAAAAGTACACAGGGAGATGGCGGATTTGCAGGATGCCGGGTACGCTGGATATTACACCATTACTGGACCGCCGATTAGTTTTCATAACACGGTCTTCGTTTACAACGTGAGCAACGCAGCAGAAGCAAGAAAGGTGATTCGGCCCTTGGAAAGCGCCCTGAAAAGCGCCAATTCATCTGTTATTACAGAGATCTCTCAGGTTTGGACGGAGACTTGGTACGAGCTGATTGAGAAATTGGGACCATTGGCGGATGCTAGCGGAGTGGGCACGAAGCGGAGCGTTCGAGCTTCAAGGCTTGTAACCCGGAGAGCTATTGAAGATACAGATCTGTTTGCCCGAACATTGGAAGAGATTGGACCTCGTTTCGTGGCGCCAGAGGTACGACTCCTACCCTAGTATGGAGTATGAGACCGTTACTGACAAAAACACTTACAGAATGGGGTGTCTAACCCTTCACTGTCCGGAACCATGACAATTGGCAAGACACCAATGGATAATGCACTGAACCCAGTCTGGCGAGAAACAGTCGTTCATCTCATTTCAGAGCAGGAGTGGAACGACACGTTGCCAGATGAAGTTGCTGAAGAGGTGATAAACGAAATGACCTACGGCAAGGGATATGCTCTCCGCCAGCTCGCACCAGACAGCGGATCATATATTAACGAGGTGATTTCCGTTTTTCTACTTGTCTCGAAACAATGAACCTAATTCTATATGTTAGGCAAACTCTTACGAGCCTGATTGGCAATGGTCTTTCTGGGGCCCCAACTACCCGCGTCTTGAGGCAATCAAGCAGAAATACGATCCGGACAATATTCTGTGGTGCCGAACCTGTGTTGGTAGTGCACAGCTAATTCAACACCAGAACGGGTCCTTGTGCAGGGCTTTGTAATCACATTTCTTCTGTGCCTCTGGGAGAAATGTTTAATGTCAATCAGCATTGGGTAACTTATTCTTACTGCTTGTATTTTAGAACACGCACTGTACTATTTATTGGGCATGCAATTGTGTACCTCTCTGGCCAGGATATCTGTCTACAGAAAGTTTGTTTAGTTTGCAGAAAGTACTATGAGAAATTAGGTTCTTGTATGGCATGTTTGTCTGTTGTACCAGGGGAACTGATCGCTCAGCCAAGATATGACATTGTAGCAAGAATTTAGGATAGACTAAATGCTAACGCTGAGCTAGGACCTTATGAGATATTTATTTGTACTCAATTTAGCTTCCCGACTTTGAGTCTTTCAATTTCCCGTAGATTGCAGGCACAAAGCAGTGTAAATAAAATAATAAAAATGTCAATCGCTATCGTCAAATTCATCTAGTTTCAGAGGCGTTGCCGTCACCCAGCCGAACATGAGGCCCCGTTAGGCCATGGCCTCGCAAAGTGATTACAAGGGACACTCTAACTTCAGAATGGGCAGCAGAGCTAGATAAATTGACTGTGTTTTCCAAATATGAAGGACCTGGTATCAATAGTCTATCTATTGTAATGGGGAAACCGCGCCAGTACTCAGGTGTGCCTCAGGCATCCCAGGGGTATTTCTAGGCCCAATCCCCTAGCATAGCAATTCAAGCATTCGACATCTCTCGCAAGAACAGTATCTCTTTCCTATTCCGGTAGTCCTGGGGGGCCTGCGTAGCTCCCTGGTCCCGCCGAGCACTGAGCACCCCCGTCGTCTTGTCTGCGATGTCAGACCGCCAGCGCGCTCTTCCCACTATAGTACATAGGTCTTATTGTCGTATGCCCGGCACAGATGGTCAACATTGCAAGTCAAGCTCCAGTCCCCAACAAAGAGGGCCCAGCGCTGTACATTGTCTTTGTAGCCATAGGATCCATCGTAGGCTGGAGGATACGAAACTGGCGATGTATACGACAGTCTTTGCTGAGACTTGAATGTGTTTTTGAACGTTAGACTCGAAAGCCTCACCATTGAAATAGGGGTTGAAAAAGGTATCCTCAGCAGCCTTGAAGAACAAGGAAACCCTTCCAAGGTTGTTGGTTGAGTGAATGCCCCGAAAGCCGGATTCTCCAACGCTGCTTGTAATATGACATAGAAATAGTTTCTCCGACCACACAGTGTGTGATGCTATCTAAATCGCTCTGTCATGCCAAAAAGTGACAACCCTCACATGAATCCAGATTACTGTCCCCCAAGCATAAGGTTCGTGTCAAATCCATGCACAATAGCCCAGGCAAAAGAACTCAGTGTGCAGAAAATGACATCCCAGCTCACGCTACTGCATGCCGGGTGAACATAGACCGTATCCAGCAGTTGCTGAGCCACCTCAGCATACGATAACGCAGGACCGATCTCTTGCAACATCAACGCAGTCAAGTAGGCCTGCACAGCAACGGAGGCGGCTGCAATCCAAGCGATGAATACAGCATATCGCTTGGTCGTTTGGTCTCCCTGGACTTTCGTAATATGTGCCTTTGAGTTGGTAGCATTTGGACGCAATACGCAGGGAACAAAAACCATAGCGTGGGGCGCCAAAAGGATCCACATGAATTCCTTCTTATACGCGAAGATTGGGACAGCCACCGTGTCGAGGATTGAGAAGATGACTGGGAGAAGTTCGTATACCAGCGCAGGTGACCATGCAAAGATACCTTCCTTTTCGTTGGGCTTTTGCGACACAGTGATGGCTGCAAAGAAGAGATTCGCCGCAAAGGATACACTGACAGCCTGGGCAATAAGCATGTAAATCCAAACATGCGGGATGCGATATCTCCGGCCTAGGAGCATGGGTCAGCGAGAAAGGAAGGCACATAGAGATAGACATATCTCTGAAGAGATTCCTCCTCATCCTCTAGAAAAGCTAGACGTAGATCAAACTTACCGGTGATACCAAGGAAGATACTCCACCCGATTGTCCAGCCAAAGATCTGCCCGCTCCACCAAAATCGTGCTGCATTCTCGGAAACTGTCTCCCAAGCTTCCTGGAAGACATATGTATTCTTGAGCCAGAGGCCGATTTTAACGATGACATGCATGTCTACGTCCGAATACATCAGCCCGTCTGGGCTCGAAAACCAATTACGGTATGACCACACGAACAAACAGATCATATGAAACCAGGTAAAGCCAAGACTCAAGGCTGACAGAATGGAGAAGAGATAGAATTGTGTGCGTCGCTGGGGTGAAGCCCACTCATTTTTCTTTTGGCGAGCCTGAAACCGGGCGCCAATCAAACGGATTATGCTGATGATTAGCCCAGCAGCGATGGCGAGATACCCAAAGAATATTGCAAGTGATTGATAGTAAATTGGAGGAGAACCAGGGGCGTATAAGTCTGACATGTTGCCGGTGTTCAATGTTGTCATGAACACTATACGGAGTTGTTTGGGACAACCTTGGAACCTCGAGAAGCGACCTCGGGACCCCGTAATTATGACTAAGCTCTTGACCCACACACGGTTCTGTCCACGGGTGTGTAGGTGAGCCTATACACGTGCGACCTATGGTCACCCAGATTTCTCCTATGACCTGACTTGAAATAGCAATCCACGTCCTTGAAATTTGCTTCTTCAGATAAAGACGGACCATCAAACAGTATCTGTAGCTTCACAAAAGTCCAATCAAGGGTCTGGTAGCGTCCAGCTACCCGTTTCCCGGAGAGGACAACACGGCTTTACGCGAAGACCCAATTTACCTCGCAAGGCGCGCCGTAGAGAGAATGGATGGAGTTTGTAACACCAATCGCAGAATCTCAGACCACTGTCTTTTTCGAGTCGGGACATCAAGGAATGTATCCTTGCTGGCCACTCAAACATACCACAGCCTGGGTGTTGACAAAGTCGTGGTTTATGAGAACCAAGCACAGATTGCACACAAGCAAAGGCGTATTTGCAACTCAATGAGAAGCAAATCAGGTCTGGGACACATAGAGATCCGATTACCATAATCATGATCTCTGGCGGAAGAACGTGAAAACCGGGGGATGGCGGTGGCGGGGGTTTTTTCAGCTTTCGAAGCCAATCTTTCATCCTGTCAGATCTTGAGGATTTCTGTGAAATATTCATAGGGACATCGGGGATAACCAGCGAACAAAAATAATTATTGGAGACGGGCTAAGCTCTATCAGTGTACTATCGACGAGGACCGTCGCTCTATCCGTACAGTCTTTACGTTGAGGACCGTCATAATCTAGATAAAATGAATCCATGGATGCACACCGTATTTCAACATGGTTTCGATGCCGCAGCCAAATGTGAAGCGAGACAGTAATTTTGCTTCCAAGCTGCCTCAGTTCGAGTTGTCTATGTAGTATTAATACAAGGACCACACTGTATCTACCACTAACAGGTATTTACAGTGAATGCATCTATAAAAGGGTCTCAATATAGAAACACCCCCCTAGCCTATTTTGACACCCCCTTTACTTATAAGTTTTGACTCACACGCGAGACTTGATAGACTTGAATCTATCTATCTACTCTACCATCTGTACTTTGTCAAACTATTAGCCCAATCAGGTTGAAGTTTATTGTACTAATCATATTTGTCATACTTCTCATCAACCTAGCTTTCGGAGACAATGGAGACATCAATTATCACTTTACATCCTCTGTTATATATTGTACCTATTTCATGTTTTTGGAAAGAGAATTGAATAAGTTTACGAACTAAAACCACTGAAAACATATCCGATACGGTTTCATCAGCACGCGTTGATAGATATCCCTAATCCTTAATGTCATGCTCTGCAAGCATTACATGTTCATTTGTTTGCTTGCCTGCTGCCCCGCGCTTCGCTTTGCTTCGTTTGCTTCGTTTGCTTCGTTTGCTTGCTTTGCTTGCTTTGCTATTTATGCTTCCTGTTTCCATAGCTTCCTCTTCTTCCTTCTTCCTTCCTTAGCTTTAGTATCTTCGTGTTCATGGAATTACCTTCATTCATCATCCTCACACTTAATTCTCTATTCACAGTTTAGCCAAAACTTCCTTTACTCAACCAATCACAATTACTCGACGATAAGTTAGAAAGATAGTTAGAAGGACGGTTGAAAAGACAGTTGAAAAGAGGTCTCGAAGGTGATGATACCTCTCTTCCATGACCAAGCAAGTAGTATCCTCTATTTGGCGTCTGTTTGGTCGCGCGTGAGCACGGTACTGAAGCTTGTTTGAATTAAATAAGGATCTATGAACAGCGTATGACTATGCGTATTTAATATTCAAGCCTACAGAAACGCAATTGCAAGATTTATATGTTAGATGATATGCACAGCCTAGAGAAGCAGGGAATCTCGGAGTCGTTGGGATGTATTCTCAACATGCGGAAAAGTCCGAGTCGAGGCTTATTTCAAGATGGGTCTATCAGTACTCCGTATTTTTGGCGAAGATCAACCGGTAAGAAGCTCCGGCCAAAGTACTCCGTACTCCGTACGAGCAATGCCTCCTTATTTTCATTTTCATTTTCATTGTTTGTTGGACTCGGTTCTGTCTTCCCAAGAAGGAAAAAACCCCCTCGATAATGTCGGGAAATCCCTCAACCCCCGGGCGATTGGAGGATTCCAATGTAGACTGCGGAGTAAGCCAAGAATTAATGAACGGCCAATGCGGAGTCAACTGTGTTACGTTGTGGATTGAGGGGCCGGAGATATCGCAGATAGTCGCATATAGCGGACTTTGTGGGACACCTTTAGCCCCGGTGTCGACAGAGGAAAGTCCATATAACATCGCTCCCTTTAAAGGTGGCTTGCGTTAAGCCTTTTGAATCGTCCAATCCCATCCATTCCCCAAGAGCCCGGTCATCCTAGCTTAATCCACCATGCCTCCAATCAAAGGTTCCAACATCCTGATCATCGGCGGCTCGTCTGGAATTGGAGCAGCAGTAGCCAATCTAGCCGCCGCCGAAGAGAATGTTCAAGTCTCCATTGCCTCATCGAATCCTACCCGTGTGGAAAAGACAGTCCAAAAGATCTAAGCCGCTGTCCCCAACGCACAAATCAAAGGCTACACAGTTGACATTGGTGGGGATGATGCTGAGTGTCAGCTACAACAACTATTGACAGAAGTGACGACGGCAACGGGTCCTTTGAACCATATCGTCTATACGGCCGTAAAACTCGAATTCAAATCCCTTCAAGACGTGACAATTGATTTCCTTCGGGCTGATGCTCAATTCCTCGTCTCTGTGCCACTTCTGATCGCCAAGATTTCTCCTTCTTTCATGGCCAATAGCTATCGATCATCCATCACATTCACCAGTGGTCGTATTGCGGAAAAGCCTATGAAAGGAGCAGCGGTATTAGCGGGCTGGGGCGCCGCTTTATTCGGTATTGTGCGTACTCTTGCGCTCGATTTGGCCCCCATTCGGGTCAATCTCGTCAGTCCCGGTACAACGGATACGGAAATTCAAGGTGCCGACGAACAGCGTCAGAAGAAGATGGCGGCCGCGGCGGAACGGGCATTGTTGGGGAAAGTGGGGACACCTGAGGAGGTGGCTGAGGCTTACATCTATCTAATGAAGGATTCCAACAACACAGGCAGCTGTGTGAGCACCAGCGGCGGAGATTTGGTTCAGTAGAGCAGGGATGCTCATACTTACGTTCAGCCCATGCTCAGTGAGTAGATCTTGGGTGCAGGCATTATCCGGCACATATGATGAGCATTCATTGTTATTGCAAGCTGTCTCGTAAATCTTCATTCTATCTACCTTCTTAATCTCGGTCAACAAAAGCTTCCATAGAGTCCAAGATACTATCTATATCCGCCTGCATGAATATGAGACTCCTACCTAGTCCATGGCAATACATATCTTGGAAACATGCTTCCCTTCCTGAACGGCCTTATAAGCTGCAACAACACCTTCGCGCGTGAAGGAGTATTCCTTCGCAATATGAAACCTGAGTTTCTGGCCATCGACAAATGCCACCAGGTCATCCAGCATACAGCGAGGGCCAACCAACACACCTCGAACAACGCAGTTTTTGAGCAATGCAAGGAGAGGCACGTCGGGTCGTTTTTCCGGCTCACAGCTCGCAAGGTATCCAACCACGCTGATCACACCACCCGGTGCAATAGCTTTGAGACTCTGCTCAATGGTTCCAATTCCACCGATCTCAACAATGTGGTCTGCTCCTTTACCACCGGTCAGCTCCAGCGCCTTTGATGCCCAGTCGGGAGTTTTCGCGTAGTTGATGCAATGATCAGCGTGCAAGGACGACTGAACAAACTTCAGCTTTTCATCACTGGACGAAGTGACAATGGTTGTAGCACCGGCAGCCTTGGCTAGCACAAGCGCCGTCATTGCTACACCTCCGGTTCCTAAATGGTCAGCAAGAATCACCTGGTAGCGAGAACATGAGCATACCTTGAACTAGAACCGTCTGACCGGGCTTGAGAGGCAGGTTGCCATAAAGCGCGTTCCAAGAAGTCACACCAGTGCAGACAAGTGTAGCGAGTTCGCTGTAGCTCTGGGGCGCGCTGGCGGGGACCTTTACCACGCTCGAAGCCGGGCGGGCGATGTACTGCGCAAGGACTCCGTCGACACCACCACCTTGGGTGGTGATGAAGTCTTTCTGGGGTCCATACTGGTGCGCGATGTCAAAAGAGACTACCACTCGATCTCCGTTGGCGAGCCCTCGCACCTCATCTCCGACGGCCACGATGTCTCCTGCGGCGTCAGAGCAAGGGATTGGGTTGTCCTTGACAAACGTGGGATACTTTGAAGTGGCAATTTGGATATCCCTCGAGTTCAGAGATACAGCGCGGACTTTGATGAGGACTTCATGTTTGGATAAAGAGGGAATCTCCTCTTGGGCTGAGACAATATCCTCGACAGCAGTGCGAGTTGGGAATCGAAAGACGGTTTGTGTTGCCATTTTGAGATCTTTGGTTGAATGATCAAAAACTCAAATCAGGTCCAAGAGCATCAATTTATACCTGGAAATTAAGCTGAGTGCTTTGAAATCAATGTCGAGATACTCAACCTTGGAGCGCTCTATACCTCATCAAGACCCACTTTTATCCCAACTGGGAATTTCCATGTCTTCCGATTGGTTGGGGCTCTACCTGCATGAATCGCAGAATTCGTCTCACCTTCAATCCTACAAATGTTTTCCAATTTTTCTTCGTCGCAATCTCCTTTAAGGGCCAAGCGCCGGAAGGTCGGCCGGGCCTGTGACCATTGCCGAGAATCTCGCACTCGCTGTGAGGCGGTCACCCCATGTCCGCAATGTGTCGCCAACCACGTCACATGTTTCCGGTCAAGTCTCCGGCGTCGACCGCCCAAGAGCCAGAAAAGACAATCTTCGCCTGTCATTGCTGATTATCATGAAGAGGGAACAGGTCAGTCAGAGGGATATGCAGACAACGGCCTTAATGGTGAAGCGGGCACTGCTCAGCAGGCACCACAATCCATCAGTCTGCCATCAGCTCGCCAGACAGACTCGATGCTTGGCTTTATTTCCCGCATCAACAACTTTTGTGCAGGAGTTTCGCATCTCACATCACCTACATCTACTGAAGAGGAGCCTCCTCCATACACTTCGCCTTTCCCCCCTGTTGGATTGCAAGACCCTGCAGATTGCAGCCTCACGGAGTCTCAAGTGAGCAGACTACTATTGATATTCTGGACCCGTCTATGGCCACAAGTACCGATAGTTCGGCGCGAGGACCTGAGACTACATCTAGATTCACCGTCGCCGCTCCGAGATGCGATCATTGCATATTGCATGCAGTATGTCTATTATTCGGGTCTGCAGTCCCGGATCCTAGGTTTAAATCTGCAGCAGTTCCAACGGGATACAGAGAGTCAAGGCCTACCATACTTTCAACGATGTCTTCGATCGGTGACCCAGTATAACAATTTTTCACAGCCCTCTGTCCTCACTCTGCAATGCTATTGCTTTTTGATTATATATCTTCTCGATGCCAGCCAGCACTCTGCGGCGTACAACATGATTGGACTCGCTCTTCGAATTGCGGAGTCTTTAAAGACTGATGAAACATTGTCTGGGACGACATGCGAAGCACAGAATTTGCGGCGAGTTTGGTGGACCTTGAACCATCTAGACTTTCGCTGTTCCAGGCATCTTGGCAAGCCAGTCAACGTTCGTTCAGGCTCGGCATGTCCCCCACAAATCATAGGCCCCGAGATTTTATTATACCACGCTGAGTCGATGCGGTTGACGGCCGCGGCTTTGGCTATCGTTCAGAAGTTTGACTGTCACACACAGAATGAGTCTGTAGAAGCCTGTGCTCATCTTCTTTCAGACGAACTGTACCATTTGCGCCAGTGGGAATCGGAACTGTCACTACACATGCAGCTGCACGTTGGGGACACACCTGACGATCCGGATGAAGAGCCAGACGTCCAAGAGAGCTTTCTCACGCAGCCGCCCATAGACATTCTTTTGACAACGTTGCTGGAGCTCCAATACCACAATGTCATTGTGACTCTCCACCGGGTTTTTATCCAATTTCCGAGTCATCCACTTGTTCCCAAACGCAGTCCTCAAGGAGACAAGCATAACGCTACTGCATTGAATCATGCATTGGCAATGATCAAGCTAGCCTATCAGCGGATGACCACCCATGACATTCTCCATGGAACCCCTGAGATCTATCAGTATATATGGAATGCGGTATTAACTCTTGTCGGGTTTATGCTAGCGTATCCATACTGCTACAGGTGCCCACGGGCTCGAAGATATGCGCGGCTGGCTCTGACCATCTTCGATTCGGCCGGCGCTCACAACAGTTACGCTGTTCGCTCCGCGTCTCTGACGCGGCATTTATGTGCAAAGGTTGACCACTTGATAAAGATGTTGAATGTAGATCAATCTGTGTCTGGGAGTGTGAATCCTCTCCAAATTCCAATCCTGGAGGCCCTGGCAGCCGAAGATACGCCTTGTCTTTCTAGTGGCTTGATGCAGCCAGATGAAGGGCAGATTTTGCCTGATGTTGACTTGAGCGCTAGTGCAGACACGCTGTGGTCATGGGCAGACTTTATGAACGTGACTGCTTGGCCAAATTATTGTGATGAAGTCAGTGAAGCATTCGCCGACCCGACGAAGTTATCATCCATATAGGCCATGCTTCTCGCAACGAATACATGTCTTTCTGAAACTTGATTGAACGTGACTATGACCATGACTCCATATTCAAATGACTTTTTGTTTGTTTGTATTTGCTCAATTTGTAGCTCTGCTCCCCCAAATCCGAACATCAATTTCTCATTGGACTGAACGCAAGATCTCCATACACCATCAAACAATAATCTGGTGTCGGTTCTGAAACTTAACGGGCAGTGTAAACCCCCGTCTACCGGCAAACAAATCCCCGTGACCCAATTAGCATCTTCGCTCGCCAAAACAACTGCCATCTTGGCAATATCATCAGGAAGCCCGGGACCTTTCAGTGGGTGTCGGCGGTTGAGGTCATCCCAGGGAGTGCAGTAGCTAGTAGTCTCCTTGAAAATGGCTGTCTGTGTATCTAAAAATGTGTCAATAGCATTGACCTTAATGATCCCAGACTCTGTCAACTTACATCCAGGACAAATTGCGTTGGAATGGATGTTATGTGGGGCATAGTCTAACGCTATTTGTCGCGTAAGTTGACTGACAGCCCCCTTTGATGCACAATATGATGCTTGAAACCATGTATCAGCCCAATGCACCAACACGTCTCGATTAGACTTACGGTTCTCCGGTCCCCCGATCATGCCCATGATGGACGATATATTGATGATCCATCCTCGATCACCGGAAGAATTTGGCTCTTGTGACAGCATTTGTGTGAGCGCATACTTGCAGCCGAGAAAGACGGATTTGACATTGACACGCATAGTGGTATCCCACGTTGCCTCGTCTGTCAGATGCAGCACGGCCGGGCTCCGTGCCTCGATGCTAATTCCAGCATTATTGACTAGACTGTTTTAAATTAGCACTTTTGTCGGGTGTTCTCTCAAACCCCACGTGCATACATATCAATTCTTTCATAAGTCTGCACGGCGGCCTTGACCAAATTTTCCATTTGCACAGCATCACCAACATCGGTTGCTACAAAGATGGCGTCTCCGCCATTTTGTATAACCAAATCATGGGTTGTGATAGCAGCTTCTTCTTGCGATCGGGCTGTGGGTGTCAGGTCGGCACAGACTATCTTTGCGCCTTCTAGTCCGTAACGTAAAGCTATCGCTCTGCCTAGACCAGACGATGCGCCGGTGATGATAGCGACTTTTTCGTGTAGGCGGCGAGAACTTGCCATGGCCAAAGGGTTTCAAGTTCAAAAGAACTGTTGTGTTTTTAAGTGATCAAATTCCAAGGTTGATGTCCTATTTGAAAGGTGCTGTAGCAAGAAATATAGCACTGGAGAACAATGATCTTCATAAAGTCACACACACTATCCGACCCCGCTTGCCAGGTTGGTAATCCGTGACAGAGCAAACAAATCATCTCATAGTATTTGAGCAACGAGAGTGCGATTGGAAAGCGTGCCGAGGAGTGCGGGGCTTGCAGAATCGAAGAAGTATTCAATCCTTCACTATTCTCCATGATCAAACTTGCAGCGTGAGAACTAGACTCAGCACATGACTCTCGAGAAGCCCTAACACTACTTGATGGGTAGAAATGGAAAAGGTTGTAGGCCCAGGAATGTGTGATGGAGCCGGAGACCTCGTTTACAGTTCCAGGGTTGGACCAAACAGGCAAGATCATGCAATTTCCCCGCAGAGATTTAGATGAAGCCGCCAGCTGGTTTTAGTGAGACCTCGGCTACGCTCCGATGGATTTTGCAACACAGTTTCACAAACCAATGAGGAGATTTATTTTCATTGTTTGATCAATGGGATCATGTCCTCTCACTGATTCACCCCCTCCACCCCGCTGACACTACCAGGAAATGCAACCGTCTTTGCTCGAAGATGGATGTGTTCTCTTCATTAAAGATGCAAAGCGAGGTGATGGTAATTTGCAGTTGTGCTGGGCCAAACTCAAAGTTGTATATTTCCCTAAAGTATACTTACTTCCCAATTGGGGAATCGAGCCGAGATTTTGGGTCCACAATCTTAATTTGACCCCCCGTACTAGCTTGCCTACTTATCAAGCTGTGTGTTTTGTCTGTGGTTTCTAGGAAGACTTGTTTCTTCCAGTATTGGCCACCTGGGCATCTACTGTGTTTGTCTTGCACTGGACGATACAAACGAATGGTACATCACAGATCAAGTAACATGTCTACAGCCCACAATGATGAGACAGACCTAGTCCAGCCCTGGAGTGGACTGGATTCACAAATGTCTCACCAGAGATTACTTTGGGACTTGTCTCTCGGGCTTCCCGATCTTCTTCCAAGGCTCCAAGGTTCCAAGGTTCTCATGAAGGGCATCAATGCCCTTTCTGGACATATTTCTGTGCTCTGTACGATGGAATGTGAGATCTACTTCGTGATGTGTGTGATAAAAATGACATCACTGGACGCAACACCTTTATATCTCCGGATTGGCAGTTCGTATTTCTCATATTCAGAGTATCTTCATCTAGCGGAAGGATTTAACAGAAGGCTCACGAGTCACCACGGACTATTTCACTTGAATCTCCATTTAACACCTCCTTTGGTCCTTCGACTTTGATTGTCTTTGGAGCTGTGTTTGGTGTTCACTCTCTAGTAAGCGGTGACTTGCTGTTGGTACCAACCACTTTGCAGCAGTCCTGTTCATGTTCTTTCTCTGAAGATCAAGTTGTTAAAGCTGAAATATAGGGTTCATCTTTGAACAGTCAGAGGTGGTCTTAGTCTTATTCATACACTAGGCCGTGTTTGCCATAGAAGGATCTTAGTGTGCGGTTTGAAATAGAAAAACAGTCAAAAAGTTTATTAGAAAGACGGTTGGAAAGACGGTTGGAAAGACGGTTGGAAAGACGGTTGGAAAGACGGTTGGAAAGACGGTTGGAAAGACGGTTGGAAAGACGTTTAAAAGGACAGTTGGAAAGATAGATAGAAAGAAGTCCCGAAGTTGATGAACAGCTCTCTTCCTTTACCAATCTAAATATGAGATTAAGCCAATATATGACTACTCTTGTTTATCAGTAACTATCATCGTTTTTTTGGTCTCACAAAAACGCGGCACTGAGGCTTGTTCCTTGTTATGGGAGAAACCCCATTACAGGAGCTTTTGTACATATTGGGTCCTCGGGAAAAGTAGGGCCTTTTACAATATGTGAATTTAGTAAATCTGGAGCATGCAAAGATCGGGATTCGGTGGAGTCAACAAGTCCCAGAGGTTCCGAGATTGCTGCTAGCGAGCGGAAAACATCCTGATCCTGAGTATTGATCGCATCCCTCCTCGCCGGGAGGCTCCTCTAATCCACTTTCGATAAGCTGTAGTGACTATGTTTCTCCTTGCTTTTCGCATCTCCTTCCATTTCGAATTTTCTTTTTTCGGCGACGGCTCTCTCACTTGACTAGCTGTCGATAGTTTTAATTCAATTTTGACTCTCTTTGCTGGCTCGTTGGTAGTTGGGTCGTCAAGTGCGGCAGGCTCATCACTGACTGGCAGCTCCTCACAGACTCTTTGTGTCAACATCCCTGATGATTTGCCAGTCATATTGTTGGATGATCAAGTCGCACGTTGAAGTACTACGTTGTACTCCGTACTTGTAGCTCGCTTATGCAAGGCTTCCGAGCTCTGCGGGGTGACCCAATAAGATCGGGGGCTAAGGCTAACGGGGAAACTCAACCGTGTCTCCATAACGCTAGGGAAACTGAAGGCCTGTTTTCAGGGTTCTCGAACCTCGGTCATTTTTTTTGGTGACAGACCTCCCCTCTTCTGCGAATTTCGTCATCTCCTGGTCATATCGGCATCGGGTTCGTGGATCACACAACCTTCGTCATACTACTGCAACTAAGAGGCTAGACCGAGGAAATAATTCCTGCAGGTGGCCCGAATGACGCGCGTTGGCCCATCTGCAGCTAGACGCAGCCAACCAAAGCCGACATGGAGACAAAAAAGGACTTGACGGAATTGAGCATCGAAAAACAGGAAGCTCTTCCAGGCGTGCAGGATGCCGCCTACAACCTCTCACTACGTGCCGTGAACCCAGTAGATATCAATGTCTTTAATGTATCACTCCAAGTCGACACCACCCCACCAATATGGGAGACCTCTCCTCCCCGTATCTGGGACCGTCTGCGCGGCCAGAAGCCACCAGATACAAGCAAACCAGTCCTGCAAAACATCTCAGCTTCCATGCCCAGCGGAAGTCTCACCGCAATCATTGGCAGCAGCGGCTCAGGCAAGACATCGCTACTGAACCTGATGGCCAGCCGAATGAGCATGTCCCGCGCCCACGCCTCCGGGACAACAACCTTCAACGGCGACTCGAACATCGCGCACATCCGCAGTGCCTACGTCATGCAAGAAGACGTTCTCATCCCGACCCTCACAGTCCGCGAAACCCTTCGCTACTCAGCGGACCTTCGTCTGCCTCCGCCGACGACCCCAGCAGAGCGTCATGCAATTGTGGAGCAGGTCATTCTGGAACTCGGCTTGAAAGAGTGCGCGAATACCCGGATCGGGAATCATGCGCACAAAGGGTGCAGCGGGGGCGAGAAAAGACGCACAAGCATCGGCGTGCAGCTTCTGGCGAATCCGTCTGTGCTGTTCTGCGATGAGCCTACTACGGGATTGGATGCGACGAGTGCGTTTCAGATCATTCGCACGCTAAAGTCTCTTGCCATGAACGGGAGGACAATTGTCGTTTCGATTCATGCGCCGCGATCGGAGATTTGGAGTCTTTTTGATAATGTCGTGCTGCTTGCAAAGGGCTCTGCGCTGTATAGCGGTTCGCTCGAGGGGTCGCTGAGTCACTTTGAAGAGAACGGATACGTTCTTCCGCCGTTTGTCAATCCTGCGGAGTTTCTGATCGACCTGGCTGCTATTGACAATCGCACGGAAGAGCTTGAGGCTGCTTCGAACGCAAGGGTGCAGCGATTGACGGGTGCATGGAAATCGAAGCAACATGCGAATCAGCATGACAAAGAGGTTCCGCGAACCACTTTGGAGTCTGACCTAGATGGCCAGTACATTACCACGAAGACAGTCTCGTTCCGTCGACAGTTCCGCGTTGTGACATCTCGCACGTATGTCACTACCATTCGCGACCCTATGGGCGTTGCTGGTAGTCTTTTAGAAGCCATTGGAATGGCTGTCATCAACGGATGGATATTTTTGCAGCTCGACGAAACTCAGTCGGGCATCCGGTCGCGAGAAGGTAGTTTGTATACAGCCTGCAGTTTGAACGGGTACCTCATTCTGCTATATGAGACGTATCGCCTGACGATTGACATCCGTCTGTTTGACCGAGAGCACAATGAAGGGGTGGTGAGTGTTCCTGCTTTCCTCCTCAGCCGACGAGCAGCTCGACTACCCCTGGAAGACTTGCCCGTGCCACTCATCTTCTCCCTCATCTTCTACTTCATGGTAGGATACCGATTAGACGCGAGCCAGTTCTTCATCTTCTTCGCCCTGTCATTACTCACGCACTATACCGCCGTGACCTTCGCCGCCGCTGCCATTAGTGTGGCACGAAGCTTCCCTGGAGCCAGTCTCGTGGGCAATCTATCCTTCACGCTGCAATCATTTGCGTGCGGGTATTTTGTCCAGTCTAATCAGATCCCAGTCTATGTGAGGTGGCTCAAGTGGTGTGCATATACGTTCTACGCATTCGGCGCACTGTGCGCCAACGAGTTCATTGGAGTCAATGGCTCGGACGTGGGCCACTTTTATGCGTGTCCGTACTCTGACGACCCGCTGGATCCAAGATGCAAGGAGTACACCGGTCGCTATATAATGGACAGTCTGGGATTGCCATCAAATTGGATCTGGCGGCCCATCGTGGTTCTTGCTGCATTTTCTGTTGCCCATTACCTCTTTGCTGCATTGCTGCTACAGTACAATCGCTTTGCCATCGACGTCGCGCAGGCACGACAAAACGAGACTTCCGGTGGGAAAGCTAAATTCGCTATTCGTCCGACTGAAGAGGTACGCAAGGTGACGATCTCACTCAATGAGTATTCACTGCAGATCCGAAAGAAGCGTTTATGGCAATCTGCACAGACTTTACAGATTCTCAGACCCATCAATGCACGGCTCCAGTCAGGACAGCTAAACGTCATCATGGGCCCTTCAGGCAGTGGAAAAACATCGCTCCTAAACTCCATTGCCAATCGGCTCAAAGGCTCACTGGACACACAGTACTGTGTCAACGGGGACATGCTGTACAACGGCGCCGTGCCCTCGAAAAGTGTCATACGATCTGTCACTTCATTTGTCACCCAAGACGACGACGCTCTGATGCCGTCCCTGACAGTGAGAGAGAGTTTACGCTTCGCAGCAGGCCTGCGATTGCCATCCTGGATGTCCCGTGAAGAAAAGAACCAACGCGCCGAAGAAATAATGTATAAAATGGGCCTCAAAGAGTGCGCAGATAACCTCATCGGCAGCGACTTGATCAAGGGTATCAGCGGGGGAGAGAAAAGACGCGTGACGATTGCGATTCAAATCTTGACAGACCCAAAAGTCCTTCTCTTGGACGAACCGACCTCTGGCCTGGACGCCTTCACGGCAATGTCGATCATCGAGCTGTTGAACAGTCTCGCCGCCGAGGGTCGCACCCTGATATTGACCCTGCATCAATCACGCTCAGACCTCTTCCCTCACTTCTCCCAAGTCCTGCTGCTGGCACGCGGGGGCTACCCCGTCTACGCCGGAGCAGGAAGCTCAATGCTAGACCATTTCGCCGGACAAGGTCATGATTGCCCGCGGACCACCAACCCGGCAGACTTTGTATTGGATCTCATCACCATCGACCTTCAACAAGAGGACCGTGAGATCGTCACGCGGGAGCGCGTACAGAACCTCATTTCCTGCTGGCTTGATGGTCCTCTTGATCCAGCACTCGGGCGCCAGGAGTCTCGCATTGCTACGCCTGCCGAACTGGGCAGTCTCAAGCGGCAGATGCTGCCATTCCGAGTGACATTCCCACTGGTGCTGCATCGCTCCATGATGAACTTTTGGCGCCAGCCACCGCTAGTCATGGCGCGGTCAATGCAGATTCCTGGAATAGCCATCATCATGGCTCTGTTTTTCGCTCCGCTGAAGAATGACTATGCGGCCGTGCAGTCGCGGATGGGATTTGTGCAGGAGTTTGCGGCCTTGTATTTCGTCGGCATGCTTCAGAACATTGCCATCTACCCCGGCGAGCGTGACGTCTTCTACCGCGAAGAGGAAGACAACTGCTACACAACTTCCACCTTTCTGCTCACTTACACGGCCATCGAGATACCCTTTGAAATCATCGCATCGCTAGTCTTCGGTGCTCTCGCAGCCTTTGCTGACAATTTGAAGCGCACCACGACCATGTTTCTGATCAGCGCTTTCAACTGTTTCTGTATCATCAACTGCGGCGAGTCTGTCGGCATCATGTTTTGCACGTTGTTTTCGCATGTTGGCTTTGCGGTCAATGTGACATCTACCCTGCTGTCGATCTCGACCATCCTCGGCGGTGTTATGAGTCTCAACGTCCACGAGGTCTTGCAGGCGCTCAACCACCTCTCGCCGATCAAGTATGCCGTTGCTAATCTGGCGCCATATTCATTGCACGGACAAAAGTTCCATTGCTCGGCGGCACAGCAGCTTGCTGATGGCAGTTGTCCGATCACGTCTGGAGAGCAGGTATTGAGACTTTACAATCTGGACAAGAGCGGACCAATGAACATCATGGCCCTGGGGGTGTGTACGATTATCTATCGCTTTGTTGCTTATGCGTTTCTGAAGGCGATGAGGTCACATAGACTCATGGAGCGTTGGAGGGAGTGGCGCGCGCGGAGCGTTTAATTTGGTCCGGCAGTGGACTTCTTTTTGTGATATCCCTTTGGCTTTCTTCCTGAAGTTTGGATAAACTTCGCCAAGTCGTTCCTTGCTGAAATTTGGCAACAATGTTCTTTGATCAATCGATCTTGGTGCAAAGGCTAGATTTCTTGGCTTTCTCACGACAAGATGATCTCGACCTTCAACCATCATCACATGTAAGTTTGGGCGGTCATGTGCACTTGACTACGCTGTGGACCGGTCAATGAAAGAACAACGAACAATGAACAGCGGTTCGCGGGTTCGATGGGTGAGTCACATTGCTACCCGACAGACTCCGGCTATTCGAGCCAACATTCCGATAGCGGTGACCACCTTACATGTCAGTAACTACCAGTTGGCAACCCGATCTGCACGAGAAAAACTCTTAAGAAAGCCGGCAAATTCGGCACGGTGAATTTAAGAATTTCCATTGGCCCAAAATATCCTTAGTCATCTACCCCCAATTGCCCCAGCCGTTCGAACGTTTAACCGACTGTTCCATGGTTGCACGCACTGCCAACATGGTTCGAGGCGACTTCGCCTCACAGGAACAGTTCAGAGTGGCGGTGGCTGCTGAATCTGAATGGGCAGTCCGACAGTTAGGTTTATGTTCCTGGAGAGTTCATGTAGCTCCACGAGGCACAGCAGGATGCACGTACTAGTGTCTGCACCCTACATGTATGACGAAATACAGTTTCGATTACCTCAAATCTTGACTATCGGTGGAAAATCGTCCCGATCAGAGATTTTGCAGGGAAAAAAGGGTCTGAATGGGCCAATGGGAAAAAAAGAATTCAGTGCGGAAATCTCTAATTCTCGATCCGCCTTCCAAGGTTGGGTGGATCAGGGCCAAGCAGCAACGGCGTCTACGCCATCCGCCCGACTGATCGACATCCTCTGGCTTAAAATATGGAGCGAATCGGATGTGTGTAGGGTCTTTGGGCTGCCTATCACTCGTTCTAGATTTCTTGGGCAGATTTTTCATGCTCTTGATTCTTCCAAGTCTGGTTTCACTAATGAAAGAGACCGGTGATCTTTGCCTCGTAGTTCTGAGTAAGGTACGTAGTATGGATAATGTTTCTCATTTTGTTTTCACAGATTTCATTGTGGTGGCTCTATTTTCCGCCCTGGTCTCAAATATTGTATATCGTAAAATCATGCAATTTTGTAAGATCTGATGATCATTCGTCTATATCGTCTATTCACAAGCGTTTCCTTCACCCCCGACATAAACTCCCAATTTCCATAATCCAAATGTGGGGGGTATTTCCATAGTAATAGCGTAAAAAGTCATGGCTCGTTGAGACATTCTGCCCCAGCAGGAATCAACCCGCTATAGGGTGTAGACATGTCGATTCAACCGAACATGTGTGCAACAAAAAATCATCAATCATATCTCCGAAAGGTATCACCTCTGGGGTGATATGTGAAAGAAAGAAAAAAAAGTCACCTGCCGACTAGGGCTAGATGCGACAAGTTTGAAAAAGTATAGTCAAAAAGAAAGGACGCGCGGTTCAACCGGCGAAAAAAAGGCAGCAGAGACACAGTCTTTAAGCACCGATGCTCAGGTCAAGAGCAGTGTTGATGGGGCAGCCGTGAGTGGCGTGGTCATCAGTAGGCTGGAGGTAGGCAGCGGAGCAAGCCTTGTCACCAGCCGTGCAGATAGCCTTGGGGCAAGAGGAAGTCTCATCAGAAGGCTGGACGGCAAAGCCCATGTCGGTGAACTTGTTGCCGGACTCCATGTCGATGCAAGACAGGTCCCAGAAGATGGTGTCACCGGACTGGGTGTACTCGAACTGGAGGACGTCGTGCTGCTCCTGGTCGAGAGCGAGCTTGATGGAGATACCACCGCCGTTGGGGTTGGTCTTCCAGTTCTCGGAGTAGATGCCACCTCCGCTCTTGATGGTCTCCATGGGGCCGACGCTGTCGGTCACGGACCAGGCGTAGACATCCTGCTGGAGGTTGTTGGTGATCTTGACGCTACCGCCGCCGTCACGCTGGACCATGCCAGAGCGGCGGACCATCATGTCCTGGGGAAGGGCAGAGGCGATGGTGGAGAAGAGGGCAGCAAGGCCGAGAGACTTGGTGAACATCATTTTGAATGGATGTGTAATGTAGAGACTGGGTAAAAGTGTAGTAGATGGATGTGATCTGATCGACAGATATAAGGAGTGCAACGAGAATCGATCTCGGTATAAAAGGGAGAGAATAGGCGGTAGAGAAAGTCTGTACTAATGTACTTTGAAGTGAATGTGTTTGAAGAACAGAAACATGAAGGAGGAGGAGGGGGTTTATATAGATTTCCATCAGCATCGAACATAATCCCCCAGGTACCGGCTGAAAGACAGCGAAGCCACCCATAGATTCGACCCATGGATCGGGTCCAGAAAAATTGGGTCCTTGGCAAAAGGCAAAAGGCGAAAAAAAAGAAGAAAGAATTCTAAAAGAACAGGCTCAACTATGGAACCAACGGAGAGAGTGGGGAGCACCGTTTGGTTTCATTCGAAGAGCCCAGACCGGCAGTTCAAGAGTCGCCTCGGCATGGTTTGCTTTGTACTGCAATTATAAGTCTATAAGTCTATAGTTTCATGTGAGAGGTAAGATGAGATTCAGACACGTTGACTGCAATCTTAATGGAATTGCATAGGGCGTCACCGCTAGGTACCTGCATGAGGTGAAAAGTGTATGTTGCTTTGGCTGTCGATAGGGCATAGACGTCAAGCCGTGGCTGTAAGATGACACCTGCGTGGATATAGGGACTGCCACCACAGTTGCCCACTCTTTCAGCCACATTCTCGTGTGGCAATAGTGGGAACCATAACTTCTCGCCCCACGTCATGCCATCCGGCCTCTTCCGCGGTTCTCCAACCAGAACTAAGAGTTTTCTTCCAGAACTGAGGTACTATGGCAATGGCAACATGGCAAAGGCATGGCGCTGCAGATATGTCGCAATTTTGCCAGGTACCGTTCTAGCTTATTGCCTGTTCTATGGATGCTGTGTTAGCCACCACATGGGAGCCCGTCTAGTCTGGTCTCTATGTTACATGAGCTAATGATGTTGGAGTAGAATAGCTCCATAGTCTAGAATCAGAGATAACAGGTCTTGGGGGCAATCTCAGCGTGTTCTAGAGATTGGCGAAGAACTTGAATTGCAAAATCATCATAATGATGGAAGTATAGACCTAGAGTAGTAGCGGTATGGGCACTGTGCGCCAACGAAGCATTACCAAGCAGACAATTACACTTGATGATATTATATTAGAGCATTATTTGAGTCATATCAACCATGAGCCAGTGACATCCTGTAGTATACGAGAGTAATATGCGCAATTACCAATTTGACCGGTCATTTTCCCTGTGCCCCTCAGCACTACTGTGGATACAATTTCACAGAGTATACGGAGTACAGTGTGCAGACAAAGTAGGCGATCAAGGCATCTCCACGTCCGAAATAAAAAAGGAAAAAATAAAAAGAGGAAGAAGCCCGACCCTGGACCCTGACCCAATTAGAGATTATAGACAGAATTGGTGCCCCCGCTGACGTTCACCCGGACCCTGGTACCTGGCCTGTCCGGGTGGCAATCATCGTGCAAATTCTCAAATTTCCCCTCTTCGACCCCTTCTTCCAGGGCTTGGAGTACCCTCTTTTGAACAGCCCCCCGGGTCCTGTCCGTCTGCGCGGAAAAGACAGCCCCATTGAACCAAGGGTTTAAGGTACGTCGCGAGTCGACTAAAACCACCTTAAATGGGAAGTGGACCCGACTAGGGAAATTCCCAACTCACCGAGACCCTTGACTTTTCGCATTTTCGCCCTTGGCAGTTTTATTTGGGGTTTTTCTTCTATTTTATCTACTTTGTCTACTTTGGGTTGGCCTTCCAGAACTTCTAGACCGCCACTTGACCCCATTTGGTGAGTAAAGTAGTGGATATATGCCATGGACAGCGAAGGCTATTCTTTGGAATCGTGACATTCAATGAATTAAAAATGAATATTTTGAAAAAAAGACTCACTATGGACAATGAAATTCGCTGTCTCACAACCATTATCTTCATATTTTTTTGCGATTTTTCGGTGCCTGGCGAAGAGTCGCCATAATACTCCGAGGCTCCACACCCCCATCAGGTAAGCCACTGAAGTCACCGGGAAGAGCAGTCGGCGTCAGCATCACCTTCCTGGTCTGGTTGCCCCTCCCCCTCCCCCTCACCCCCTCCAATGAGCCACTGGAGACATCCACCCTTGCATCTCACTTGCAGCCTGCAATCTAGATCGCCAGGAACAGGCGGGAAAAGGGTGCCTGGCAGGGATACCGACGGAAGACATCGGATCCGGCCCTCACCAATACGGAGCTCGCATAGCAGACAGACTAGCCAGGGTACTTTCGCCGGTCTCTTCCTTCTTACGGTGACCAGCCAGCTCCAAATTAATCTGGCGGTGGATATGCACCAACCAGTCAACGTAGCTTTGCGCCTCATTGTTCCGGTCCTCCAGCAGGAGCCGGGCGAATTCGTACTCCGCCCCATCCAGGCCCTGACGGGCGAGTTGGATCGTCACGGATTTCGATCCGCGCACGGTCGAGAGGTATTGCAGCAGGTTACGAACCTGGGCGTTGAGATGCGTCTCCAGAACAGGCAATGAGGAGGTGTTGGGGTTGAGGCCCTGGAGCGCCTCGTGTCCAGGTCCGAAGAGGTCTTCCAGTAGATTGGGGGAGACCTGTGCGTGCAGCCAGAGGATGACGGCTTGTCCGTTGTCCACCAAGTAGACACCGCCTTCTTCGATGCGGGAGAAGCTGGCGCGCAGGGACGGGGGGATTTGGAGCTGACCGTGCTCGTTCGCAAATCCATCCTCCGGCTGCATGTTGTGGACAGGGATGATTCGCGGGTAGAGATACAATGAGAGCTCGGTGCAGCCCATCGCTCGGATCATACGCATGTCGTGTACACGTCGGTCCGAGGATTCGTTGCCACCCTTGAACGCCCTTGACTTGACCAAGCTAAGCATGTACATTGAGAACTCCTTGAGGTTCTCCGGCAGAACCAACTGGCCGGGAGGGTGAGAGCCGGAGAAGATCTTGCGATAACCGCTGAAGATGTCGATTGTCTTTTCTGTGATGTTGGCCCTGATGTCCTTGAGGCTCTTGTCCAGCGTTTTGGAGGCAGCTATCATAATCAGCATAAGTAACAAATAGGATGACTTCGCACTTACCCTCCTTGGCAATGACCGAAACCACGGCATCTTGATCAACAAACTTCATTGTTTCCATGCCTCCCTCATTGACTGCCGCCACAACGTTAATACAACGGACACGCCGTTGGCCGTCTGCAGAGGTGTACAGCAGTGCAGCCTGGAAGTGCGCATCCAATTTGGGATCAAGCTTGCCATCGTAGCTGAAGAGCACGCCGATCGCCTTGTCAGCGTCGACGCCGGCAATCTCAAGATCGGCACCGAGAGTGTGCTGAACAAAGTTCCCGTGGTAAGCGGAAACCTGGAGTCCATTGGAGCATCGGACCTTCATCAAAGTCTGATATCCCGTCTCCCTAGTGATTGCATGGGTGAGCTCGTTTCGCAGCTTGCGAATGTCACGTGGGGCATGGAAATTAGGGTAGAAGAAAGTCTCGCCACCAGTGAGGCTAGAGACATGTCCTAGATCGAGTTAGCTAGCTTTCGGTACACATATTTCGGTCCATACCAATTGTCGCCACGTCCAGATAGACGCCACCGGGAGCTGCCATGAATACGTCAACACCAACACCGGCCTCGGCAAGCTTGGTTGCTGTTTTCTTCCAGGCTGGGTTTTCCGTGGCGAAGAGCTTGCGCTCGCCTTCCGTGCCATGCAGCTTGGGGTCCTCTCGATTAGCTAGAGGCCCGGGACCGAAGTTGGGCAGGGTGGCCGTAGCGCAAATGACCTTGCCACCGGTGGCTTGGAGAGCTGAAAGCGCTGAATTCAAGGTGGGCAGCAAAGCAGATTCGGGGTTCTTGATAGAAGAGAAAATGCTGGGTATCCGGCTAAGAAGGGATGTGATGACGTTCCTAAACAATTAGACACTCGTTGGAATTCTTGGATGTTGATTGCATACTTTGATTCATAAGGGTCCACGAAAAGGCCTTCGTTCAAAGGAACGAATGGCTCCTCCAAGTCAGTCATGACCATCATCTGCGCTTGGTCCAATGTTGCCTGCAGCTGTTAGAGTGATAACACCAACGGTAGAGCAAAACATACAGTCAAGTTGTAGAAGTGCACCTCCTTGTCGTAGGTGACAATTCCAACTTTTGCGCCAGGGGGCAATTGGCGAGACGACTCCGCGCCGTCCGTCGGTTCTTTCCCATCGCCGTACAAAGCCTCTTTGATACCCCCACACACACCCTTGAGGAAACCCCGGTGAGCCGACTCACGGCTGACATCGATCAAAAAGAGAGTCTGAAGGCCCACCGGCTCCTTGTTCCAGTATTCCTTTGGTACCGTAAATTCGACTGTTCCCATCATCAATTCAGGGCGCTGCATACGATCGACACGCGCACCGGATGGGTCCAACGGTGAAAAGTACTCGGGCGGCGTATCGTTAGGGAACGTGCACATATTGCAGACAAATTTGCTGCCGCCAGATCGGAAAGACATGAACGGGTTGATATAGGTTCGACATCTTCGGCATCGGGGAGGACCATTATCCCCGAAGTCCAGCACGGGGATCGGTTGCTCACCAGGGTCCAAAGGCGCAAGAGGCTGCAGGACCATGCCCAGAGGCAATCCGGTAGAAGTGAGGAAGTCGGAGGCGGAGGGGATGTTGTTGAGGGTTAAGCGAGCGTATTTGGGGGAAGAGTTGCCCTGGTCCTGGGCCACGAACGGGATCGCCGCTGGCGGGGGAAGGTGTCGGTCCATGGTCGGGTAGACATTATTGAAATAGTACTGCGCGGGCAGGTCGCGTGATCGTGGGATGCTGGGGATATGCTCGGGGTCAATCCGTCCTGAGGTAGGCACCGCGCCGGCGCCAGTCTGCATGCCAGGAATCTGAGGGGCAGCTGATTGCCCAGAGACCAACCCCACTGCTGGAGACACCGGCCGCTCAGCATGCTGGTTCAAGCCCGTGTTCAGAAACTGAGATGGCTGCTGCTGCAGATTGCCTTGGTCCATTCCGTTGTTGAAAGCTTGCGCGGGCGGCGCTGCACCACCTCCGATGTCATGGTGGGCATGGCGGTGCTTCTTTCGATGTGTCCTGGCCCCCGTGTCCGCTGCAATTCCTAAACCACTCATCTGAGAGGCAATGCCTGCCATCCCTGGGTCTCCTGCCCCACCCATTGGTGCTTGCTGGGGCGCATTATATCCGGCGCCGGGGCTTGCTAAGCCTGGTTGTTGTGGTGAGCCATAGGCGGCCCATTGATTTGGAGCTGGGTTGGCGTAAGGTGCCCCTGGCTGGGGAGGCGCGGTTCCCGGAGCATATCCAGGGGGATACTGCTGAGGCGGTTGCTGGGCGTATGGGTTTGAGGGGTCTTCGCCGGATTGCTGGTTCATCGGGTTATACATGGAAGGGTCGGCCATGGTGGATCATGCCGCGGGGGTTGAGAAGGATGAGACGCAGATGAGAGCAAAGATGAGAAAGCAGCACCAGGTAGGAGATCAGCAACAAACCATCACCTATCCAAAATCACTAAGCCGTTGAAGTGGCCGAATGTTGATTGACCACCTAAACACTCGGATTTACGTGTCTCCGATCTTCACGTGGGTTATACTCCACGCTCTCCGCCTGTTTATTTTGTCGTTGATCCGACAGTCACTACTTCGTTATATTCTAACAATGTTCAATATTACTCTTTACTTATGATACCACGCATTACCCACTGCCGCCTGCAAAAGCCATTCGTGCTAAAGACAGACTAGTGATTGGGACGCAGCTACCATCCCACTCGGGACCTATTGCTTTTAATCCCGAACACCTTCCTATGCGATACACATGTCATCTCTCACCAATTAATTGTACACGACTTGTCTCCAGCTGGATGCATGCTTATCACATCTCCCAATCACGGCAGACTCTGGTCCTTGTTCCGGCTTAAGCTCATTAGAGCGTTCTCTTTATTGTGCCAGGACGTGTTCGTCTCACCGTTTCTTCCCCTTATTGAAGACTTGGAGCGTGTTTGCCCCTCGGTCGGTTTCCCAAGCCGAGTAGACATAAAATAGTAGAGTAGACCTTTGTGAGTTGGCTCAGAAGTTCTCACGTTGTTCCCACCCCTGCCTCCTTGCATATAACGGTTTGTCCTTACCATGGACCTAACGGTAGAACCAGATCCGCATTGCAACACCAAGAGGGAAGACCTCGACAACCCATCGATCACACCAATGGCGGCTATTCATAACGACGACGAGCTTTTGCTTGCTCGAATTGGGTATAAACAGGTACCGCCCAATGCAATGATGCGATAAGAGCGGGGCAAGATCTGACAACAACTGGTAGGAATTACGACGAGAGTTCTCCAAATGGTCGACTGTTTCGTATGCAATCTCCATCCTGGGTGTCCTGGGCTCTGTTCCGGCAACCTTTGGTGCGCCATTGGCAGCTGGCGGGCCTGCAACCGCTGTCTGGTGTTGGCTGATTGGATCGTGCATGGCCATGTGTATTGGCAGCTCAGTCGCAGAGCTGGTGTCAGCTTATCCAACAGCTGGAGGCATGTACTTTGTCACAAAGCACGTTGTTCCGCCTGATCAAGTTCCTGTTTTCTCTTGGATACAGGGCTGGTGCAATCTTCTCGGCCAAACGGCAGGTGTGTCCAGTGTGGCATATACGGTCAGCCAGATGCTGCTGGCCTGTGTCAGTATGAACTCAGACCTTGTTGATGGCAAGTATACATATGCACCGTAAGAGGTCCGCTTAATTGCGCTTCCAGAGCTGATATCATGCAGGACCGCTCTAGAGACCGTGCTGGTGTCGATTGCGATTCTGTGTTTCCTTGGAGTCATCTGCTCTTTGAACACAAAGTCTCTACATCGGATTATCATTTGGTTTGCTCCCATCAATAGTATGACACCGAACTTTGCATCAAACTATTCTAACCATTTCTAGTTCTTGCGACTATCTGCATTTGCATTTCACTGGTTACCTTGACACCTGAGTTGCAACCGGCCTCCTGGGTTTTTGGTCACTTTACCGATGGCTCAGGATGGGGCTCCAAGGTGTTTTCTTTCTTTCTGGGTTTCTTGTCAGTTGCCTGGACTATGACAGACTACGACGGGACGACACAGTAAGACAAGATTCATGCTGATGCCGAATTTGACTAACCGATTGCAAAGCATGTCCGAAGAGACTCACGATGCAGCCGTGCAAGGGCCGATTGCTATCCAAACAGCCGTTCTAGTATCCGGCGCATTCGGATGGCTTCTTACCGTCTCCCTATGCTTCTGCTTGACGGATTTCGAGGGCATCCTCAACTCTCCCACGGGTCTTCCCGCAGCCCAGATCTTTTTGAACGCTGGCGGAAAGCGAGGCGGCACCATCATGTGGGCGTTTGCCATTCTTGTACAAGCTTTCACGGGGTGCTCAGCTATGCTTGCTGATACAAGGATGGCATTTGCGTTCGCCCGAGACGACGCTCTTCCATTTTCAAAGTATGAAACCGAACGACTTAAACAATCATGTGCTGATAACCACAGGTTTCTATCCAAGGTCAACCATCGCACCCATACCCCGGTCAACGCTGTGTGGTTCGTTGTCATCTTCAGCATTTGCCTGAACTGCATTGCAATCGGTTCTACTCAAACAGCCACCGCGATTTTCAGCATCACTGCCCCGGCATTGGACTTTTCTTACGTCTCTGTGATTCTAGCGCATCAACTATACAAAAACAAGGTCAAGTTCATTGAGGGTCCTTTTACGCTCGGCAAATGGGGAACCCCTGTCAATTACATTGCTGTAGTTTGGGTTTCCTTTATCAGCACCATTTTGTTCTTCCCGCCACAGCTTCCTGTCACACCAGCCAATATGTAAGCTGCTGATTGCTCGATCGAGGTGATATACTGACATTTTCCAGGAACTACGCCATCTGTGTTGGCGGGTTTATTGCCGCCTTTGCCATGATATGGTGGTGGGTTGCGGCCAGAGGGTATGTTCAAAGCTCTTCATGGTTTACAGATACTGACCCATGCAGCAAATACACTGGTCCTCGGACCGACGAAACAATCCAAGAAATCCCCACCGAGGACGAGGATGCGGAAGTTTCTGACGAAGGCTCCGTCTGAAAATCGTCTAGCTCTGATAGAGGCCAAGTGGATGCTAGGTTTAGAATATAGAGATGGATATGGCGAGGCAAGCATCATGGTGTTTAGAATGCATTAAAGTATACACCGGGATAGAAATACATATCAAATCAGTTGCCCGCAACGACAGCCAGCCCCTCGTAGATCTTCCGCTTGACCGCGAGGAAGCTTCCTGTGCCGCGGCCTGACTGACTCATCGAGGATTGCGCCGTGGCCTCGACCTCGATTTTTCCCGTTCCTGATTTACGCACCGCAACCGACTTGTCGATAAGCAGCGTTCCCTCGCCTCGGAATTCAGCGGTGTGACCGGCGGATTGCATGAGCTTGCGGAGATCGGCCAGTCGCAGATCACCCACGTGAAGCGGACGAGCCATGGATCGGGTACCCGCTGCCATGCTCGCCGGGAGGGTGTCGAGTAAAGGATAGACATCCGGCTTCTCCGATGCCTTGTTGTCTCCCAGTTCGAATGTCGGGGCGACCGCAGTGGAGGCCGCTTGGTCCTTCAGCTGCTTCATCTTCTTCCCGCCAGCTTCATCGCTTTCGAGTTCGGAGGTAACGGGCTCTGGGCCACGTAGCTGTGCCGTGAGCGCGACAACGCCGAGGCTGCGAACGTGCTGCCAGTTGAGGCGTCGGACAAGGGTGTTGCTCAGCTTGACCATCCAGGCGTTCGTATCCACGCTGGCATCGACCGAGTTGTTGTTGGCCGGAGTAAAGATGATGGCAGCCGTGTCAGATGTGCCGGGTTTGGCAGAGAGCAGCTTTTGACACTCGGACGCTATGGCCAATGTCTCTTCTTTCATTCCACCGACCAGAATAAGTTTTTGAGGTTGGATGAGAGGAATCAGCATCTCCAAACTTCGCTTGTCGTGCAATCCCATGAAATCGATAAAGGCGATCCGGGCGTTGATTGTGATGGTCTGGCTGTTGTAGACTGCTTTTCCCGGCCCTTCAATCGTGTCATCCTGTTCTTCGGGCTCGGCGGCGTCCTCGCCATCGGACAAGCGATCAGAGTCAGCGTCGTCAGCGTCCTCGGATTTGATGTGAGGTCGCTTTGCGCCGCCTGTCTCCCGAGAGCCGTCGGCATCGTCCCACCTCCGCTTCTGACCGAGTTTGGTCTCGGCGTCGGTACGTCGTTGTTGCATGTCGATTTCCTCTCTTTCTTCAGCTCGAAGATACTCCTCTGGACGAATGAATTCACCATATTCGTCGCCTTTCTTTCTTGGCGCCACGTAGGGGAATATGCGCTCACGGCCCTTCTTCCCACGCACATCGTAATCATAGACGTTCTTGCGGCGGAGCAAAATGTTGATACCCAAGTCTTCATCGCTGACGGCAAGTTTGCTTCGGGTGGCATGAGCAAGTGACGCCGAGAAGTTCAAAGCTCGACCTTGTTGTTCGGGGTCCGAATCTTCGGAAGATGTAGAGCTAGACCCATCGTCCAGAGCATCCGCAGCAGGGTCAAGAGTTTCTTGACCAAGGGTCTGAGAGGTGTCTTGGAGTTGGCGCTTGGTGGCAAGATATTGTTGATAAAGCAGTTGCTCCCCGGCATCGAGCTGGTCCCGTTGGATGTCTTTCCAGGAAAGTTCTCTGCCATCGCTGTGGACTTGTTCTATGTGTTCGCCATCGGAGCCCTTTTCCAAGGCCACGCCATCTCTTCGCTCCTCGTACCACTGCCATAGCGTACCGCCGATAGTTGGTGTTTGTTTTGTATCCTTTAATGATTCTGTCAAAAGTAAAAGATTGTTAGGGCCCTCCGCCACTTGTCGAAGAGAATCCTTCGAAAAGCCCCAGTCCATTGACGTGTCGGATGCAAGAATGACTTTGGGTCCCGGTTCTGCCAAGAGCTTCTCCAGTCGTTTCTTTCGCTCGATAATCTTGAGATGCTTAAAGGTGAATGGCCCGGCTTTGGACTTGCCCTGCCCTTGCGCATTGTCGGTGCTTTCGGCGGCTTCGAACTCGCGTACAATGTTCTCGTCCATCCACTCCAACATGCTTCGAGCCAACCGGATGGTGGCAGTCATTTTTTTACCGGCAAGATATAGCCCCGCGCCTTGAAGGACATCCCCAGATGCTGCATCGCGCCACGAGTGTTCTAATGAGTAGGCCAATTCCAAGACGCGTGCACTCGTGTCTGTAGGAATCAAGACAGTGCCACCCTTGGCAACACAGCTTCGGATCATATCAAGGAGAAGATCGTCTCGCTTTTTGCGACCACCGGACAGTGCCAACTTGTCCCCGCCTTTGGTGCTGCAGATCAACGCTGTTGGTTTGCGCAACTGCTCAATGACCTCTGCGCCACTAGCTCCTGAACCGCCAAACCATGCGGCACCTGCCACAACACTCTCACGGGCTTGGTTCCAATCCATAGCGTAGACAATGGACTCCAGGCCATGCTGGATGTGCCATATTGTTCCACCGACTGTGTGACCAGCATTGTAAGCTGTGAGAGTGAGCCCATTCAACGGAGGCGAAAACGGCGAAGGAAGCGGCTGATGCGGTTGAGAGTATTTGAGAGGTTGGATGAGAGAGAAGTACCGAGAGATCTCCTCGGCGGTAGGTGACGGTAGAAGGATTCGACTTGTGCTGCCAGCAGCTTCATCATCGACATCCGTGGCGGCATTGGATGAAGCTGGCTCGGAGACCGATGCCTTGGGGAGAAACGTAGCAGCAAGGGGGGTAGAGGCGTAGAGATCTTGTAGAAGTGTACGACCAAAGGCGACCACCGGACTGGTTGCGTAGATCGGGATCTGGGTGAAGAGGGGGAACGTTCTGCAGCAGTGGACGAGCGCACCAATATGGGCGGGTGTCGCATGCGTCAATAGGATGAGAGAGAGGGTGGGGATGTGCCTGAGTCTGTCAGCTTCAAATCATAAACACGCGATGGATGCTCACTTCTCCAGTTCGGCCAAGTCGTGGGTGTCGAACGTGTCATCCCAACCAACGTCCACTAGAATCTTGATACCTCCATCGAGTTCCAAGATCGACTGCGACGCCTTCGAGGCCGATTGGGCGCCGAGAAGAGGCGTGAAGGTGAACATTTTGAGCTGGCGCTCGCGACGAATCGAACGGCCGTGCCTGGCGTGGAGCGGTGACGCGGCGAAATATCAGCCCGTATCGATTTAAAGAGAGGTCAGTTGAGTTGCAATGGGCTTTAGATCCATTGCCCCGGGTTATTGGACGATCACTGCTCTATTGCCATGAACAAAGGCGCAGGTGAGCTGCTCCGGCGGATCTCGAACGCCGGTGTTTGTCTCGTTTGCATTCGGAGACACGACTTCACGCATTGATCACTCATCGCTGTTTCATTCTCCGTCAACCATCAATCCACTTATCCTCAATCCCTAATTCTCTGTTCACGGCTTAGCCAAGACTTTTCTCACTGGGCCAATCATGGTGACTTGACGATTACTTGGAACCTTGGAAGGACAGCCAAAAGAACAGCCAAAAGAACAGCCAAAAGACAGTTCAAAAGACAGTTCAAAAGAGGTCGAATTTGATGATAGCTCTCTTCCGTTACCAATCGAACGATGAGATTGAGCCAATACATGACTACTCCTGTTTATAAGTAACTATCATCGTCTTTTTGGCCGCCGTGAGCGCGGCATTGAGGCTTGTGTTGTATAAAGACCGAAGCCTGGCTCATATAAGACTTGCATTCGAATCCACTCATCAATTAGCGCTGACATACTGAAAGAAGATACTGGGTCGCTTTCAGGCAGGACGTCATAGAGAAAGCTCAACTCTAGTGGGTATACCACCACTGTGCTGCACCCAAAGCCACATACAGCTGAAGACAAATGTTGTTTGTCTATGGATTAAATGGTAGCACTCTACAGAGTACACCGTCTATTGCTTCCAAATTCTATGGATATGACGCCAGTGGGTCAATCACATTGGCCGTCCAATAGGAACTACCGGGATTAGCTCCAAACGGACTGGTTGTTGACTCTATCCGTTTCGTCCACTCTAGGATTCCAACTAGTACTTCAAGGTACGACTTGTCCATTAATATGACCACCTAGGTATCATATCGTCAGGAATGTTGACGTAAAGAGTCTGCATGCTCTAGATTTCCTAAATTCACATATAGTACAGGGCCCTACTATGCCCGAAGACCCAATATACACAAAAGCTCTCCCTTTTCCCACATACAACGACTGCATCACACGTGAGATCATTGAATACCTTCACAATATTGTGGAACTTTGTTCGTAGCCCCAAACAGGGTTTCCACTTGTATAATGCCAAACGAAGATACGTCTCGAGGACACAGTCTCCACGACACACTGCTACTCGCAAGCCGGAGAATAAAGAAAGAAAAAATCAAAACAGCGTAAACGTAAATGTAAGCATAGAACCCCGGTCCAAATGCATGACATGCATCATAGAACAAAAAGTAAAATACTACATGGTACGGCCTAGATCTCCTAACATCTTTAGTCCTTCCTCATTGTATTGTCAACGCAGTGTATAATAAGGGATTGGGGTTAGCTGCGATTAGGCAGATGAACGCTAGAGACGTATTGCGTATTGGCGCCGACGGAGTACAGAGGATGAGCACGTCTGACACAGACACGCCCAGGCAAAAAGAAAAAAGAGAAAAAAAGAGCAAGAAGAGATACCCTGGTCGCAGAAGCAAGCAGGTGAACAGCGCCACTGGCAGGGCGTTTCTCGCGGCAGAGACAAGCAGATAGACAGCGCCGCTGACAAGGAGAGCCGCGTAGAGAAGACAGGCAGTAGTGTAGTGCGCTGCAGGGAAGCCAAGCCTCACGCAGCAAGCAGCAGATTAGTGTCAATTGATCAAGTCTCACTGGATGACTTGAGGCGAAAGCGGCAGCAGGAACCAACGAGGGTATGCACCAAGTTGACACGTTGGTTGATTAACCCACAACGAGTGAGAAACGCAGCCATAAACGACAGACGGGGACTGTGTGTGGTGATTGCAACAGGTGAACTGAGTGAAAGGGAGTTGAAGAGATGAAGTGGGAGGGGAGTGTGAAGTGTGATTTTCGGCAGGTGGGCCAAGTGTATCAGAAGTGGCAGGTACAGTGTATAATATAAAGCAGCTGCCACACAGAGTAACCCTCACATGAAGAGGAGGTATCACACCAAACACATCACACCACAGGTGATGCCAGTATAATGTTTAGGGGTCGGGCAATGGGATACATAGACCCACAAGTATGGATATAGTACGTACAATATTCTCATCAGATCAGATTAGATTAAGGCCAGGATTTATATAGTTAACATGTGATCTGGGAAGCCCTCACTATATCTCAGCACGTAGACAATCACATACATGTCGCGAAACAATACCGGTGGCAGTGTAAACGTCAACCATGCGCCTCGTTTAGCATCTCTCAGATTCTCCTCACTTCGTCCCACGTACCTTACCTGTCTACCACACTATGTGCCCTCTTCCAAGGTTGCTGATTTCACTTTACTCTACGTTCCGGTTTGTGCTTTGCACGACGACTTTCACTTCACTTTTCTACCACGCAACTACCCTGCCCTTTGCAACCTCACTTCCTCACTCTACATGATTGACACTCTCACTTGATCTCTTGATCTCCCTTCCCCACAACATCTCTCTCTCCTCTCGGCACTCCGCTCAGTGCAGCGACTTAACATCTGCCTTGCGCTTCTGCCTCTGCTCTCGACACTCCGCTCAGTACAGCGACTTTGCATCTGCCTCACGTATTCACCATCTGCGTACGCTGTCTACTTTTACATCCTCCACACTCCTTGTTTTCTCTTCTTGGTCAAGATGGAGCCTGCAACTTCACAGTCCCAGGTCAAGGCCACTTGTGACAACGTCGAGTTGGACATCATACCTAATGACCTCAAAGATGAATACGAGATTTGCGTGACCCCTGTCAAGAGAGAAGAGGCTGGGGGCTGCGCAAGCCCAAATGACCCCTTCAGCACCGACGCGCATGCGGACGACAATCCACACATGTGGACATCCACACGCAGCATCCCTCATGAACACTACCAAGAGCCCGTGCTATTCAGCACAATCTTGAACATGATTCGATATTCCGGTAAACCGAACCACCCACGGATCATGCGTCGCCTATCTAAACTGGAGTTTGCAAGACAGGCAATTTGGTCCGATCAAGTGGCATCCCGCATTGTCGGCGAAAGAATATCAGCCCGCGAACGAGAGGCCTCGGCAAATTGGCTCTTTCCACCTGAGTCGGATACCCCTGAGTTTCTTCGGCACTTGATGGACGATGTGTGGGGTGAAAGTCCACGCCGTGCAGCGATTTACGATGCCCTGCATTACTGGAACAACGTCGATTACCTCAGAGAACGCATTGAGAACCTAGAGGACCGGCAAACGACAGAGGCAAAAGGTTATCGTGGGTTGATTGAGCATTTCGGCTCCCCTCCAACTATCCGTGATTGAAGAGGTCATTTGATGTTCAATATCATCTATTCTTAACACTCAGCTGAACACCAATACCATTATCTCCAACAAAATTAGGTAGTCTTTACCGTAGAATGGCATACGATGCCGAGTTGAGTGTAGACTGGGTCACCATTGACATTACAAGACCACACCTCCTGTACTGCATCCAATGTGGCTCATCGGCATCAGACGCAACCCCATATGACATAGAGAAACGGCCAACAAGTAGACGACACCGAGGTCAGAGATGCATGGTGTAAAACTAGCGCAGAGGTAGGCGAAATGTCTATACGCAGATACAATAACGCAAAGTAGATCAGATCAGATTAGATCAAGACAGGTGACCCTGGCTCACCTGATCGACATGCACCTACCTAGGTAGTACAACAGGCCCCCATCTTTGCCAGATCTAGCACCACACTGAACCCTATACCCATGACATATTCCCATGACCACACCAGTTACACCAGCCATGGCCAGCCGACAAAGACTCCCACTATCTGAGTTCCTAGGCTTGGACGTTAACAGGGAAGAGCTAGGCCAGTACAAAATGGGCCCTACAGGACGACAATTTATGAACCTGCAAGTCTGCCAACAAGTGACATGGCTGTCCAGACACGCCACCTCACAGAGGAGAGGCTTCAACTAGAAGAGCTCGAAGCAGTGTGGATGGGGCAGCGGTACCTCGAGTGTACTATCTTGGACCAAGCATGGCCAGTGTCAAGAACACTGCCAGGGACAGCGACTCTCAGTGGGTTTACCCTACGCCGTGGCTAACCGGGACCCAACTTCAATCGGCACTTCATTCCAACCTACAACTTGGGCAATTGCTTCTTCACAGAGATATATACATAGACGATCCATGGATGATCAATAAGACATGCAGCTTATCTACAATCTGTATTTCGTCTTCCGCGGCTTAACCAAGACCTTTGTGGGCCAATCATAAATACTTCATGATGGCTTTCTTCCATCACCAGTATATTCTTATATCTACTACTCTACCTAGGTATAGATTAAGAGACAAAATGATCACTCATCCCTATTTCTCTGTTTATGTCTTAGCCGAGACCTCCTTTATTCACCTAACCATAATTACTTTATAACTAGTTGGAAGGACAGTTTAAAAGATGTTACAAAATCCACCTATGATAGGTATCTCTCTTCTGTTATTAATTGAAATGTAAGATTAAGCTAATAGTTAATTACATAGCTACTTATAATTATAATTTATAAACTACTACTATTATCGTTACATAAGTGTGGCACTAGGGCCTGTATAATATCATCACTGTTTTAACAATACTTTATAAACTAACTAAAGCCCCGGGTATTAGGGTTATCCGTTTCCACTTTCACTAAATAGAATATCAACATCAACCTATAGTAACAAGTTATGTGGCCCTATCAGAGAGAGCAGGTCAGGAAAACGAGGTCTTGATTCCTATGGGAGCTCTCTCCTGTAGTTGACAGTGTCTCCGAGAGAGAGAGAGAGAGAGAGAGAGAGAGAGAGAGAGAGAGAGAGAGAGGAAGAAGGAAGAAGGAAGAAGGGCGAAAGGGTCACAAGACCCGCCATACTTCCAACAGACCCCCTTTCACTTCTCACTTCACTTCACTTCTCACTTCACTTACCTTCTATCATATTGGTTTCTCTTACTTGCCCGGGTGAGTCTTTTTTTACTCTTACCACTATCTCACTCTTATCTCTTCACTCTTTTTTTCACTTATCCTTTTCCACTCTTTGAGTCTTTACATATCTATTACAGCTCCCTCTTTATATATCTACTACGATAACTAGTGAATTTCTTTTCACTCTTTACACACCCACAACAGTAAGTAGAAAACTTCCTTTTACCCTTGATATAGTTTTGACCTCATAGACCGCCACTCTGCTCACCAAAGCCACTCGGCAATCGTGGGCGACATGCCCGAAATTCCTCCTTTGGCTCCACCCGTGATCACAGCGTCAACTTCCCACGCCGCCACTTCAGACACCAATCAAAGTGGCAACGGATCAGACACGATCGTGAACAATGTGTCGGTGCCAACATCAGCTACCTCCGCATGCAGGTTCTCATTTGAAGAGTTTGCATTGGACAGGGTTCGCATCGCCAAAATGATTGATCGTTTTGGGGAATTGACTGCACAGTACATGAAGAGTTCTGATGCAGCAGCTGGACTGTTTCAAGCTCCATGCCCATCTTTGCAACCGCTTCAACTCTCTTTGTCGCGTCGGACGGACTCTGATTCCCCACTCGCTAGACGAGGACCGGTTCAGCCACCCCGTCACACTGCTGCGATTGAGCCATATGTGGATGACCCACCAAAGAAGAAGAAAAAAACATCGGCTATGTCAAAATCGACTCAGATGAGGACATCCAACCGCCCATGAAACAGCAAGAGGATGCACGATCCATTGAATCGGAAAGCGAAGAGGACACCAAACTTCCGGATGACACAGCGGACAAGTCGACACGGGATTCGAACACGGGTGGTGAATCGGGGGCCTTCTATGGGCCTCTTACACCAGTTCCTATCGCTGAGGGCAAAGGCAAGGCCTCAACAACCACAGAGACTGGGCACAGCTCAGGGACACCGATTTCGGCTAATGTATGCTAGTATTATACTAGTAGATCTGATACACTATGTATTAGTTAACATTATGATTTACAACATCTCGATATAATATCTTTAATCTAATCTAGATATTATCCACGTAAAGCCAGAAACAGTCAACCCTAATCCCTTACACAGGGTATCTGGCATGTCTAGAGTACATTATAATTTACCACTATGAAAGGCGCAACTGCATTCGTTATATACATGACTAGGTTCGTGATTTTTAAAGAAACGGAAAGAGTCAACCCTAATCCCTCACGCAGAGCCATCGAGGTTCTTACACGTGGGAGGATATACCTCACCTAGTGCAATATGACCAGCTTGAGATGGAAGGTGACTGTTCCACTATGTTGGTGGCAGATTGGTGGTACAATGGTAGGAGTGTCCCTTTTGAAATGGGAACCCTATATGGAAAAGGACCAGCCTGGTCCGAGATCTGATTCTGTCCCATTTGGGACAAAAAGCCATCCAAAACGACGGAAAGAAACAATAAAAACAGAGCAAGAAGTGAACTAACGGGAAGTCGGTAGAAATGAAGGGGTATCGAGGGGGGTAGAGAGGGGGGGATAGATAATCGGACTCTGTGATCAAGTAATCAAGAAATCCATGTCCATAGTGCGAATGATCTTCTCCCAGTCCCAGCTTTGCTCGATCTGGGTATCCATAATCTCCCACACGCGGGTGACGACCTTCAAGGCAGGCTCGATATTTCGCAGGTTGGAGTACGATCTGAGGGTTTCAAACCCATGCTTGATGCGCTCGCGCTGCTCGGAAAGGAAGGCCGAACAGCCCAGCAGGAACAGGGGCATCAGGACAATACTATAAGCACTAGCGTCCTGCGGCAGCTGCTCCAAATAATCGAGACCGTCGTCGACGACCTGGGCGATCTTCTCGCTCGGTCGCGAGGGCCGGATCGTCCGGTACAAGTACACCCAGGTCGACTGTCGATACAGCTGGGCGAGACACCAGTTTGAGGTCTCGGGTTCGTGGGAGGTTTCCCATTTGCGGATGGCGGTGTCGATGGCGACTGCTTCGCTCAGGGTTTGATAATCAACTGCCGGTTCGTAGTTTTCGTTGTAGCGCTCACGGATGCGGTCGCGCAGTATGGTGATCTCCGAGATATAGCGGAAGAGCCCGTCGAAAACTCCGACAAACATGCCCGGAGACGGTCCAGCCGCGCCCGGGACAAAGTTGGGGAGGTGTTGATCGGCAGGGAAGAGGTTGGGGCGGCGGTCGAGTGAGGTGAGGGAATTTGAGATGTCGTGGTACTGGAAGAATTCGACGATGAACTGGCGGAACTTCTCGTTCCGGGGTTTTTGAGAAAGTAAAAGATACCGGGCGGCATCCATGTGCGGCCGGTACTCGCCCTTCACCTCGCCTTCACAGATGGTGTTGAGGCTGAGGGCGATGGTGGATGCGATGATGGGGTCCTCCACCAGCAGAGGTTCATCTTCGCCTTCGGGACTTTTCCTTGACGAGGAAGCATTGATGTTGTCCTTTAAATCTTGAATGGCGTGGTGGAAGTGAAAGTATTTGCGCTCCTTCAGCTTCGGCTCGGGATCCAGACCGGACAGGTGCGACCCGGACAGACACATGAGCGAGTGCATCAGCCCCCGGTGCTGGGTGGCCATGGGCAGCAGAATCTCTTTAAAGGGATTCGAGTCATCGTTGATGAGTGTCAGTACCCGACTGAAACCGTAGACGAAATGGTCCAGAAAACGTCGGTCGACTTCTGTCTCGATGCCGTCGATAAGGAGGGGCAGGCTGCGCGGCACGGATGCAAGGGACTGGGATTGAGCTAGCAAATATTAGCACGGCAAGCGGTCTGGGCCTTTCTACTTACCGACAGCCATTTTCTGGCGGCCGCTTTTCCAGATTTCCTTGGGCGGGTAGCCTTCACAGACCACCGCATTCTTCTGGCAGTTGAGACATCTGCCCAGTTAGCCAGGACACATCGCATCACGCAAGGGAACTCACGCCGGTTTTGTCTCGTCACACTTCTTCTTCCTGCGACGACAGGTTATACAGCCGGTCTTCGAGCGACCCTTGGTCACTTTGGCCTGGTTGCCAGGCACAGGCAGTGGATGTTTGCGCGGACGACCACGTTTCCGTGGAACGGCGGCGGGAGTGCCCGTTTCGCCGACATCCGGTCTGATATTCACCAAATCCTCCTCCGTCTCCTCCACCTTGGGTATTTCCATGACGTCGTCTAACTGCGCTTGCACGTTGGCGTCAAAGGTATGCGATCGCTGGTATGCCTTGATCTGGGCATCCAGGTAGCCCGGTGGGGACTGTGTCGCATACCAGCCAAGAGAATCCGATGAGGTATCGTCCGGGCTGGCGCCGGTGCTGGTGCTGGGGGTGCTGGCACGGACGAGGGAACCGCTGATCTCCGATAGAGGGGGGACCTCGCTAATCTCTTCCCGAAATCCTGAATCATTCAAGTCCGTGAGGAATGAGGGATGCATTGACCACATTGAACCGAATATATAGGCATTCGATTTGAGTGCCCAAGTAACCAAAAAGAAAAAATAGAGATGAGAGGGGGTAACAAGTCGGGTATAAATGGAGGGGAAAAGAATGACCGAAGTACGAAATGTGCTTGGTCCACCGTCAGCCGTGTGATCAGTATACACTTTATAGCAGAGAATGTCGAGAGACGAAAAGAATAAAAAATAAGAGGGATATTAATACTAAAAGTACGTACTCCGTACCTATAAATGTCATATTAATGTCAAGAATCTAATATGTAATGAAAATCGGGGCTACGTACTTTCTTCTAAACTGTATTCAAGCAAATTACTCGAAATTACAGTATTCGCTTCATAAACTTTGCATGCGGGGGAAAGGCCAAGCAATGTTTGGATCTGATGCCCTGATTTGCAAGCCTGGAAAAAGCAAATGCATGCTATTAACTGGGGCTGTTTTGCTTTTGCTTTTAATTTCTTTTTCACATTTTCACATTTTCACAATTGGCAAATGACCCGCTGCCTTAGGATCGACCGGTGGATCCTTATACCTCATATGATGGCTATGTAAGTCTCGTGTTAGTCTGCAACTTACTAAATAACGTGGGTGATTCGCCATCCATTCTGCCCCTTGAATGTGATGCTTATAAGCTACTCCATACTTGCAGTACTCCGTACGTGCATATCAAAACTGGAAATCCAGAATCGGGGGATTTGAGTCTTACGAACCATCCACAAAAGCCACCCTCCCCACATTAAGCCTCGTTTTTCTTGATTGCTTTTGGTGTGGTATGTCATCGGATTGGATGGGTTCACACTTTCGGTTCTTCTGGGGGGCAAAAGAGTACGGAGTACTTCGTATCATCGTTGATTTTCTTTTTCCCTTTTTTCCTTTTGGGGGCCGTCCCCACGTAGGTCGGGCCTAAGCGCTGTCCGAATCCCAATGTATGTTTGATGTACATATCATCCTTGTTCCTTTTTGTGACGCAGATGATCTGGGGTAAAAAAGAGTGGGCCAGATCTTCTGGTGATACTATAACCAGCACGGACATCCGCTGCAGGAAATAGACAAGGTTCGGAAAACGTATTCCCTCCTTTTCTTGCCCTCTCGACATATCTCACGCAGCTCATTGTGACAGTCGTAAGGGGTGGAATGTGGCGATCCGCAAGTACTCCGTACAAAAGTGCGCAAGGCCCCCGTAGATCTGCCGGCAGACTAACAGGGAAACACGCCTGTCTGGAGTTAATAGAATTGCGATTAGGACCATTACCCTTTTACCCGTTTGGACCCATCAGCTGAGACGCGGGAGGGGATGATTCCCCCCCCCCGCTAGTTGCCTAGCTATCAAGTAGTACGAGCCTTTTCGCTTAGGAAGATCTACTACTTGCTGCGCTTGGGAAGCTACCAAGCTTGGTAGAGCAGATCAGATGAATTTTAATTTCCATTGTTGTTTCAGGCTCGAGATCGACCCTGCAAATCCATCGATCTGACCTGGATACGCGGCCCATATTGGTCAATCCCTCGACGGGGTGGTATGTGCTCCGACTAGTTGGGCATCTTTCAACGTCGATCTCGCGTAAATAATGGGGGGACATCCGGTCCCGTTTAGGCGAGCAGCACTGCCCTTACAGTAGTCAGAGTGTCTTTGTTCATACAATAGCATCCTTCAAGCGAATATAACGAAGTATCCGCTGAAGCCGAAGGCGGGTCGACGGTTCTTCCCGGGTGGGGCCGAACTATACACCACGCAACAAAGGAGTGATGTTTTTGAAGAAACATCCATGGCATCGGGGGTTCCAAGGTTGTGTGACGCAATGTACATAGTCGCTGCAGAGAACAAAAGCACCGCATCTTCCCCGTACTTTCCGGCTAATAGCACGCACAGCTGACCCTAGTCCCCAACACAGCAACTAAGCCGAGCCTGTGGGCTAGACTTGTCTCTTCTGCACCCGTCTCTATTTGTGCTCTCCCCTCTTCCACCTTCTTTGCCCTTCGCTGCTTGGACCTCGGTGTGGATTCGAGTAACTTCCTAATTGAGTTACCTTCATTCGTTCTCGGCTGGCCTCCGAAGAGGCTGGACGCCATCACTCAAGGCACGAGGACATGGAAGCCACGGGTACGGAGTAAGACTGGATCGTTCGCATAAAATCCCAGGCACCAAGGGGAGTGACCAGTCATGATTCCGATGATGCTGAATAGTCATCAAAAAATAAAACTACTGATTCTAGTTGCGCGCGCGACTAGTCTGATCTTCATCCAATATCGACTAACGGCTTACTCTGGATGTTCCAATTGGATAGAGCTCGACCCCATCCAAATGCGACCTGTTCCACACCCCCAAGCTATCCAGAATAAGCAGCTGTTTATTCCGTACTTCTTACTCCGTACGGAGACCCCGTCCTTGACTGGCTAATTTGAGCCTTTCATTTTCGGCCGATCCACTCGCTTGGCATCGGCCCTATTCAGTCACTCTTTCAGCCCCAACCATTGCCCGGAACAATTGTTCTTTGTGCTCGTATTCCCCCTTTCGGTTTTTTTCTTCCTTTTCTGCCTTGACCACAACCTGATCTGTGTTTGGTCTTAGGCCGTGACAGGTGTATCTGAAACATTCAGCGAGATCTTTCGGTCTTATGACATAACGGCATACGTCAGGTTTGGGGCAAAGAGCCCGGGCTTCTCGGATACACATCCCTACATAGCCGCCAAGCATCGTCACTTAGGATCGACCTCGCTTCGCAGGCCGAAGATGAAATGCATTTCCGCGGTGGTTCGTATGGAAGCGGATCCCAGTGGGATTTCCGAGACAAGCGACGAATCCGCTTCTTTTTTGAGTTTGACCTTTTTTTATATTATCGCGAAACAGTCTCAATAGGCGATAATGGATCGACGTCCAGACCAGAGTCCAGATTCTGTGCATGGAAGGATCTGGAGAACACATGCGGGCCGGGGATCTTTTTTTCTTCTTCCTATGAAACGTCCAATCATCACACACTTCATCCTGATTACCTACTTCGCACGCGCTGTTGACAACACAGCGATCAAAGATCGTCCGTCTTCATTTCGCCTAGATCACGGTCCAACGCCAATCAGACCCAACTAATCTTGCTTACTTACATTGTAGGCAATTCAAAGCCTCATAACGGGTTCTCCTCACCAAACTAGTATATCTCTGATCTCAAGCAATTTAAACCGGGACATTCTTCCAAGATCCGCCCGAGCCGTCTCTAAGATACCCAATCAAAAATCGGTCGATCGCGCTGACTTTCAATATAGGGGCATCAATAACCTCACACCGTGTTCTCATTCTCAAAACATCCAGTGGGCCCTCCGAGGATCCACATCAGCTGTTTGTTGAATGCCCAATCATGGCCCAATCAATCATGCTTATATGGTCTTGTGAGATTCGAAAACTTCACATTGCAGCATTTTCGAGTGGATAGCAAGAGGGAAATGCTGCTCGGGCTTTGCTTCAAACAAGATCCACCACAAGCCGTATATCAAAGACCCAATCATGCCTCATCCTATTCGGCTTACACATGAAATGAGGATGAAAACTTCGAACGGTGTGCTCATCGTCGGATTGGACCTGCCGCATTGGATTTTCCTCGGCTACTCCGTACGAGTATACTTGGTCGAGCTGTGCTAATCCACTGCGCGGTTTTCGGCCCTCGCAGCAATTACCACAAGCAGATGTGATGTTTGGGCTCTGAGACAGCTATCTGGACCGTGCATTGCTGGCCGGAATGAGTTTGCTCTTTCACATCTGCTGTGGCAGACTATCACTCTCATACAAAATCTCTCCCGATCGAGCGAGCTTGGTGTTGACACGAGATTGCAAACTAGCGAGACGCCGATGAAGGTAGGTGGATTGAATGCCAGCATCTTCACTGGCAACGCGAGCGAACTTTTCGCAAAATATCTCCGGTGCACTTTGCCATATGGCTACTCGAGCTTGTGTGAACTTGCTGGCAATCACGCAAGCACCTGCCGGTGCCATTCATCTCCAATCAATACGCGATCAGGGCAATAAGCTTACGCGCGACGATATATGAAGGTGCCGACTCCCAGTCGTGATGCAGCGCGCGAGTGACGGCTTGACACGATGAAGTCACCTTCTGGCCATGTCACTACAGTCGCCTGTCAAGGGCAAATCCCGCTACCAATATCCTTCTGGACACACATTGTGGGGCAAGAGCAGTATTTGTATCGATGTTTGGACTCCTATACCCTTTAGCCTCTCGAGCAGCATGGCGTATATTCATGTCACGCACAACCTTGGAATGAGTTAAGGCTATCTTTTGACCTGACAAACCTCACCCAGACCAAGCCCCGGTGAGAAAACTCTTTCACCGCCAGTTGAGAATGATGCAGGTGCGATCTCGAGAGCAGTCAACATATGGATGATAAGGGTTCCCGTTGGTAACACCTTTTTGTCATAGACAGCTGTGATCTCGGTGGTTCCATGCACACAGTAAGTGGATTTCTGCACTTGAGGTCTGAAATCGAGATCGAAGTTGAGGCGGGAGACTGGCGTATTTGGAAAGACGCGGATATTCCAACCATAGATAGATCAAATGATCTACCCCCAAGGAGAGATCAAAGTAAAGAAGGTGAATATTAGTCACAAGACATCCTAGACTAACCTGACCTTGAAGCTTGTGGAAAGCAATAAGAATCTTCGGCGCGTTGGGGATAATGACGAAGTTGAGGCGAACATTTATGTCTTGATATGGATGAAGCTGTTATAACTTCCAGGTACGAGGTAGATACTTCAACTACCTACTGGTCCCGGGGGCGTGGATCAACCATGAACCTTCAAAGGCTAAATGGTCAGTCCTGTCAACTCCTGGGTTGCTCCTCAGAGCGACCGCAGAAAATGGTCGTTGGGAAACAGTGAAACCTTGGAATGATCTCATGAAGGTGTTCTGGCTACATGCAGAACCGAAAGACCACGGGTCGAGTGAACCTCCATATTAACCAGGTGACTGACCTAAATGACTATTGGTAGAAAATACCACACTTGATGAAGTGAGCTCTAAACTTTTTCAAGCAGAGAGTTGAGGACCATCACCTTGCTTGGGCTGTTCGTAGGCCTCGCTCTGATTTCCCTATTTTGCTTCTTTGTCCCTTGCAGCAAATTCACACTAGACACACTATCCGCTTTTCTATCCAGGAGTTCGATATATTTCAGTTTCCTATCGATGTCTGGGAAATTACCAAATTCTCAAGTGCTTAACATGTATAGAGACATTGCGATTATTTCAATCCCAAGGTCGCATTCAGTACTTAAACCCTCCCGGAGGCTCAAGGCCCATGCAAGTATATTGTATGAATCTTTGGAACAGATGATGGTGTGATAGAACAACCAGTAAACAACCTTGGCAAGGTCTTAAACCTTGTACGAGATCTTCGATTGTCAGTTATATAAAGTAGCCCTGAGTGGAATGGAAAGCCGCCGATACTTCCAGGTTCTGGAGAAGACCCAGGATGGCATACAACGTAGTACCTAGGTAGGGTACAATATTTCAAAACATCTATTGGCTACTATCTCTTGTCTGTTCTTGATCTGACTCATCCCGAGGTCTCACGGTTTTGTTCGGGTAGACACCTGATATCATCAAAGAATGTGATTTTCGCGAATACGATATACAAACCAAAAGTTAATCGCGTGGAAATAGAGATCTAGATTACAAGGCCACGTCAAAGGTCTAGCCCATTATTGCCCTTTAATGACTTGTAGTTGGCTCTGTATTGGCCCGAACGCTGAAGCCTGGTGACATGCTTTGACCCGGGTACCGATGACGTTGACAGTTTTTTGTTTTGAAGATGGGTGAATCACAGATCAGAACACTCCACAATGAGAGGTGAGTCAAGAAAAGCATAAACACTGTGGACTCATTATATGAACGATGTCATAATACCGCCCAGAAGAGGCGAGATGTGATTGATAGTGCCAAGAACCTCACAGTCTAGCCCAACTGTACTCCTTCTGTCGTTGCTCATAGCAATAATATGAGATTACGCCATGACCGCCAATGCTTATGGAATGGCCGCGTGAGCAACTGGAAATCTTGGTATCTTCGGTGCACTTTCCTGGTTCTAGCAGTCAGCCTATCAAAAACTAAACCATAGATCAATATCTATAGACAGGGGTAGGTGAGTCCTGAATCATTATTAACTTTGATCAGAGAGATGCGATACAGACCAGCGACACGTTAGGTACTTCCACCTGAGCATATAGGAGTACGGTCTGAGAAACCGCCCAGTAGCTACCTAAATCCCCAGAAGGAGCGCAGATCTGGAGCTCAACATTAGAGCAGTACTTTCTCTGTCGGACTCTACACAGGAGCCTCAACTCAGGCTCAAAAAGTTTCCGAAAGATTCGCCCCCGGTTGGCCAGCAGATCCGCTCATTTCTATCACATGGCCGAATGCCCAGGCGGAAGAAAATGGGAAGCTGCACCGCCGATTCGTTGATAGTCGAAGGATGAACTCTTTCGAGAAGAACAGACTTGGCTTGGTGTAGCTCAGGCCCTCAGCCTTGATCTTGGCTAGGCTTGGGAGACGACGTCAAGTGTGATATCGATTCTCTGCAGTAGTTGTGATCAATGAATTCGCCTCCGTGCTCGTTGATGCTATACATAAGTTGCAATACTCAGACCTCCAAGGTTAAGAAGTCCTTCGGGTCTGATAATTTCTTTGCTTGTACATAGCGATTTCCGTACGCAAGCAGCCTTGTTTCACCTTTGAAATTACATTATTCATGTACTGTTTACAGAGTATTGTCTATATTCGTATACCGCGAAAGGGTGTAGATTTGTTCCCGAGAAGCTAAATATACATACAAGCATATAATTTGCAAGATCATGGAAGCAAGTCGAATTGAGAAGACAAAAGTAGTCCCATAGATAATAAGCCCCGAACTCCGACCTTGTAGAACCGAACCCAATGCAAGTGTGTATGAACCAGTCCCATAGAAACCATGACCCGCTCACACACAAGATAAGAATTCAAACTGCCCCGGCCCATGCAATGCTAATGATGAAGAATTTCAGATATGTAAAGGCAACCAGCGAAAGAGGAAGGGAAAGAAAAGGATATCACGGGAGCAGTAAAGTCCCCGTTCAGTAGAGGTAGCCAGTGAAACATAGACACAAGAAGGTAATGACGTGAACTGCATCTGTAAGATGTTCTTGATTCTTTTGCTTCCGCTAGCCCGCCATTCATGCAATGAAAGCGCGGTCCAGCTGACGGAGAGCACGAACATCTTCGCCTCCAAACCCAATCTTCTCATTGGGGATATCACGAGGTCCTTGAGCGGTAGGGCCTGGCGTAGGAGCCCCGTTCGGACTTTGAATCGGACCGCCGGTGGGAGTGGATGCGGAAAGGGGGGGCAAGAGCGGCGCCGTTCACTAGGGATGTGATGCCAGGGACAGCATTGCCGGCGGTTGCGGAGGGGGTGGTTTTCGGTGAGGAGGCGATGGGGTTGAGAGCGTGCAGCACGGGTTGGTCTTGTTTTGCGAGATGAGGGCTCTGGTTCTGGCCGTTTGGCGCCAAGGACTGTACTGAGACCCGCGGTGAGGCCATGCGAGGGTCAACCAGGGCATGTCCGTAGACCGGTGGGCTTCGCTGCTCCTGTGCGTGGTCGTGTAATGATCGAGGTGACCGACTCATGTAGCTAGGCGGTTGTTGTGGGGGACCGGCAGGGGGCAGTACCGATTCCATGGGGTGTTGTCGCTCGTATGGGTGCGGAGGAGGCGGGAGTCCACCTGGGAGTTGATGTGGGGGTTGATGTTGGCCGTAGGCAGGAGGGCCGTTTGGTGCTACTTGAGGCAGGTAGCCAGGACCGGGGCCGTGGCCATATTGCACCGAGACCGTCGGCGGCGTAGCGAGAGGGGTGGGTGGCCATGCGTAGGCAGGCGGATATTGTTGCGCATGCGTTGCGCGTGGGTATCCACCCATAGGGTGAGGAGTGATCGGGTATGCTGCGCCTGCCATAGGTCCACGAGTAACGACCGGGAGGTTTTGTTGGTCATTGACTGTTGACTCTGGGTAGAGACCTTTCTGCGGGCGAACGTGGCGCAGTGCAGGGTCCGATGTCGGTTGTTGCAGGTTGGCGGCGGAGGGGTGAGAGCGGGAATAATAGCTGATCAGGTGTAGGTGTTGACCATTAGATGTTGTGATACTAAAAGATTGCTTCATCAAGCCATCTGGTTTGTAACGGTATCCGTCTGGTCCCTCGTCGGTCCCATCGCCCCGATCATCGTCACTACCGCGGCTCTCCGGTGTTTTCCCCGAGCGCGCAGACGAGCCCTGGGAGACACTGCCACCACCACGCTTGCCCTCCATCTCACGGTATGTCAAGAAGCTTCCCGACACACGGCTCGCACTCCATGATTTCCCGTCGGTCCATCGCCGCATCCCAGCTTCACGCTCATCCCAAACAAAGACCGAGCCGGATCTGATTGATTGTCGTTCTTTTTCTGAAAGTCGCCGTTGCACACGAGGTAATAAGCCGATCCGACAAGCTTCAAACAGAATAATAGCGTCCGCGGGGGTGCGGACGTGCCCGTAGTATGTCTCCATGTTGTATTCAGCTCGAACTAGATTCGAGCTATCAATGTAAGGAATACTGGTGACCGTTAGATCTAGGGAGAGGAAAAGAACAAGTGGAGAGAAGACAAATAGGGTTCAGGTCCAGAATATAAGAGCGAGTTGGGTATGGGGTAGGCTGAGGGTAGGTCGGCGCGGTGGGTGGGTAAGGCCGAGCTTTTACGTCACCCAACACGGTTAGACCGGCTGAAAGGCGTATTATTATTCTCTTCTTTTTTTCTGTTTTGGGATTTTTCTTTTTCTTTTTCTTTATTTTCTCCTCTTTTTTGGAGAAATTTCTTGAATAATAAAAAAGGATGGAGAAAGCCACTGAAGAGATTTGTTGTGGGGGCCAAGTGGGCTTGAGGGCGTAAGAATGCCGACAGGACAAGGGAGGGCCAAGGCTGAATGCAAAAGAGTAGAGTGGGGGGACTTACTTTGTTAACTCCACAGGGTCTCGGGAGAGAAGATAATATACAACTGATACTATCTAGAGAAGGAGGAAGAGGAAGAGAGAAAAAGAGATCTTTGTTCAAATGTCCCGGAAGTTTATAAGGATCAGAGGAAAAGAAGGTTAAATAAAGGAAGCGGAGAGACAAGAGCGGGCCAAGCGATCCAAGCAAAAAGATCGGAATTTGCTAAACGCCGAGATTCTAAGAATGAGAGAATTAAAGATTTTACCATTTTCGGTTCGGTATTACAATAGTGGGGACTGGTTATGCACTATTCTGGCCAACTCTATCTATTTATGTGGAAAAAAGGGATGCTTCATGCTTTGTTCTAATAAGAATGATCACATCTTCAAGTACTACAAGTACTCAGTATACATTCCAGTACAAGATACCTAGGTAGGGACCTCAACCACTCCCTCTTCCTGCCTTGCCTGTCCAAGGAGAGGTCTTGGAGCCTTGGCTGACGGCTGTACGGGGGCAACCTTGGAAAACCTTGGGAGGTAAGGTTAATTTGGCCCGATATTAACGTTCACATAAAATACGATTATTACCTCGATCAGGTAAAATCAAAATCAATAATCCACTTTAAATGTGACTGGGCTCATGTTTTGTGATTAAATGCTGTGTCAGAAATGTGGCGCCCTGATCGCAAAAAAAGGTTAGTGCGGAACTCTTAAGCTTAATCCAACACGAGGAGGCCGGCGCTGAACTTTATGCTCGCTTACAGAGGCCTCCACTAAAGTAGGTAACTCTCCCTCTTGGCGCTGTCCTCGTTGCCTCTTTACTTTACCAGTACCATGTGAACCACAGGGTAATCCTCCATTCACAGAGTAATTCGCTGAGCTCGGCTCCACGAATAGGTAACCGGAGCTCGGCTGTCGGACAGCAACGAGTCCAATTCCATGGTTCCCGCCCTCGGCGAAGGCATGTCCCCAGTTTATAGAGTACAAAGTGTCCTGTAACCTTGGAAGCCCACTTGACTATCGGGATTTAACACTAAAATGGGACCAAGGAACCCAAGTGGCCCCCACTGATTAATAATGGCTTGGGCAGGGTTTGAGCGCTTCTGGCCGCTGCAGCCTTACCATGAACTTCAGACTCGGAATTCCTTGGAACCTCCCCATACGCTATAGCCACGCCTGAACAAGGTTATTCTTAGCGAGTGTGGTCCGGAACGTTGTTTAAATTGACATCCGACCTCTCAGAGGCGTACCACAGCCCAAGATAAATAAAAGCCACTGTAGTCATCGTATCCGCGTGACTCGTACTCGTATCTGGTCTAGTGACGCGGCGTTTTGATCTTAACTACTCTGACAATAAAGCTTGACAAGATTCCAGTCTGGATTTCAAAAGTGGGAAAAGAAATAAATCAATGCAGTGTGTCGATTAAAAATTATGACTCTGTGTACTCCGTACATGCACATTAATGTACTTGCGCGCGTAAAAGGTGCATGGCGAGAGCTAATCAGAGAGCCACGTAATAAGATCGCCATGGAAGGTGCTTCTCACTAGTTTTGCGTATAGAATAGATTACTTGGCTTATCTGAGTGATTGGTCCGCTCGTGTCCGAAGCACTGAATCAAGACAATAATTACGGAGTAGGGGGTCCTCCGTAGTGCTCGCATTATTCATGAATCGCAAACGTGGTTTGACTCGGCGATAAGGTTAGGTGGTCCGAGTCAGCGTTCCGTTGATTCTTTTACCGTGCAGCTCCGTAGACTTGTAATTAAATTAGCCTTGCAGGTTCTCATAGTGTACCTAGATGAAATATTACTGTAGATCCCTGTAAATGGACTCGCTTTAGAGACATCTCCAAATTTAACCCCATTCCAAGGTTACAGGGATACTCCGTACATATGCTTTGATCCGACTTTTTACCAGTATTTCCAGGTCGGTTTACTATTGCTTTTTCGCTGAACATGCGCACGGTCTGACTGCAAGTCAATAGAAGCGTATCGCCAACAAAGCCCGGTTGCACAAAGATTACTAGAATAGGGTTCGGAGGGGCTGGTCAATCTTGGCAGCTGATTCTCAGCTTGGCGGTACGCCCGATTTGGTATCAGTGATGTTTGAAAGGCTGGGGCCCTGCTCTATTGATCAAAGGGACCTGGCAAATGATAATCAGGTCAGCGTACAGGCTATACATCAGTATTCCTGTCTTGTGTCTCACATGGCGCCCTTCAGTGTGACTTGACCGTAGTGACTTGAGTCTTCCATCTACCAGGTCTATGGAGCTTGCGAGGTCGCACCGCTTCATCTAGGTTCAGCAGAATAGAAACAAGGCTTGAGTAACCAGGGTTTCTCTTTGATGTAATGCGTTGCTCAGCATGCATGTCATTAGGGATTCAATCAGAGCTGCGTTCTCGTGCTGCCACAACAAGAGACAATTATAAGCAATGGAGGATCGAGGCTGGTCAAGAACCAAGTTCCAATCAGCCTGGTGTAGCTGAAAGGGATGCTAGAATGAAATCATCTGTGCGACAGTCTTTCCAAGGTTGTTCAGATGCCTGTCGGCGCGATAAATAAGCATAATAATAACCGCGAATCACCACATGTAGTTTTCCGCAAAGGGTGCATGTGTTCTCGCTTCGGTGTTTTGACTTCCGTACTCTGGAGTGGAAAGCTCAGGCCTCGAATTATTTTATTTTCTGAAGATCGCCTGAATCCACCTTTCAACAGCCGTGATCCCGCAAGTCTTACTACTTTAGGTAAAGTATGGTATCGCTCGGTTGCCCCTAAATTTGTCTCCAAGCTTACCCAGTAATTCTGAGAGTATACAGGGCTAGTCCCTGGGTTTGTCTCAAATAAGACTACAGCCTAGTGACACGAGTTATGATCAGAGGTATAGAGCCGTGTATATCCGTGTTTGAATCCAGGCATCCGATCATCCGAGGACTCCTTTTTGGTGAGTGGGTCCCAGTCCACATCTCGCTAACTATATCGGCCGCTGATAGACAGAGTCAAGCCCTTGCGGGCTAAGCCGACGGTTTTGCCGACCGTGGTTCGTGCTTCTGCAACTGTGTCAAGCCTTAGTGTATTACTAGTTGCCATTCTAATCTGCGTATTCGGATACATCGACTGTCTTACTTGATTACAGCGATTTCTCACAACTCTCATCTACTCCGTATATTCATAATTTCCATTCTCTTATTACATTTATAACATCTCGCCTCCGGAGTAGACGTGAATCTGACGCCACTTAAGATCAAAATTACGAAACGGTGTCACGCATTCGTTGCAACCCTGGAATTAAAGATGGCCAAGAGTTGATTTTGTGAAACGTCACACGAGCTTATCTCCACTAGCATAATTAAGGTCTCTATTGTCTGGACTAGAAGGGAATGTGCTGATTTTTAATTTACAATCTCACTTTCGTTTTCGTTTCTTTTATGTATAACCAGGTCACAGGGTTTCATATGCTTAATCTACATCATAGGGGTCTGCATAAAACGCTGGTGCCTACGTACAAAACTAAACTCCGTGTATTTCCCCAAAAAAAAACTCTTGGGGCCAAGACTTCCAAATGGTGCCTGGCCTTTGCGCCAAGAGGATGCCAACTTTGAGTGGTCCCTGGACCCATGACCGGGCAATTGTCATCGAAGCCTAAAATCCTTTTTCCCCCTTGCGACCCATGGAAATGCTCGGTGGCGGTTTATGGTTAACGTTTACCTTTATTTTACCTCGGAACCGACTGTAACTTTATGTGATTAATTGTGACTACCATGTGGCGGGGAATGCATTATTTTCGGGGACTTTCTGGTCCTCGAATACGAGACTTGATCGACCTCATTAATGAGCTCTAAAGTGTATTTTCCGTGGGATGATCGTTGCTAGATCATTTCTTTTTTCTACTGTAATCACATCACTGCCCTCTGCAATGTGATATATGTCAAGCAGGGATACCCTACTACATGACTCGTACCAGGCGGACAATGCCCGAACTTCTTTTTGCTTATGCTTAAACCCTGGTAAGGTTGGGGCCCCTTGGCTTGCTGATCCTGGTCCCCTTATTGGCGAGGACTTGGTGTCCGCTTTGTCAAAGGCTATTAGATTAATTCAGGGCTGTGCGCTTCACTTTGGTGAGGCTGTGATGATCTACATAATCCAACGTTGTCCATATATTCCTGCACTTGCCACGTCTCATTCGTTATATCTCTCCTATGCAATGTATTGAGAAATAGTAAACTATCTGACTCGATAACTCTAACTGAAACCGGAATTCTCGGCATAAATAAGCGAGATCCGAAATAAAGTGTCTGAGCCAAAATGCCTCCAATCCACTCCAGCCACTCCAAGACCACGTTTCTGCTGACGGAGGACGCCGGCTCTCATTAGTGTTCATAATTGTGCGCCGACCATATCTTAAGTCGCTGTCCGATTTCCATATTAGGACCGTCTTATCTGGCCTCTTCGGTCTCGGCTTTTCCGTCCGCATTAATCATCAACCCAGTCTCCTTACGATGACGCCCCGGTTTTTCGGCTTCGGTCTGTGGACGCCTCCTCGCCAAACTACAGTGCTTGGCCTTGCTTGGGCCGAAGCTCCGGCGCATAATTTAGAGATTGACCTGCTTTATCTGTTCAAAATAACCAATGATGCCATTGTATCCTAATGTGTCATCTAGCGGGAAAAAAACTCTCCGGTCTAGAGCTATATGGATCGTGAAACGATCGCTTGTTCTTATAACACGTACTAATATACACAAATTACTATGATCATCCGCAATTATACACGATCCATCTCCTTCGTCTGCCAAGGCGTTAAACACGAGCATCCCTCCTGATTGCCGTCTGTGCGGCGCAGTGCGCCCTATGTACTCGTATGCACCTACCCTGCCTTGATTGAGCTTTCATTATACGAACTACTGGCATATGCCTGCCCAGTGGCTGTTGCCTCCGCTCTTTTCAAATATAGCTGCAGAAGCAGGCAGATGCCAATCCAAATCAAGATCTAGTATTTTACATCATCGTAGGATCAGGATCAGGCTAGGAGATCTTTGACCCCGGCAAACATATTCCTTCGGGGAATTAGCGTTACGGTTTGTTAGCTTCGCCGGCCCCCGGATGTCTAGGATGATCACTAGGCTGAGTCGTACATACCGGGGGCCGGACTCATTAAGCATAACAATAATTGGTACGAGTACTTCGCATTGTACTATTATCCAAGGTTTACCACGAGGAATCAGGACCGTTCTACCGATCTGTATATTTGAGCCCAATCTATTCCCTTTACCCATCTATATGACAAGGCTACAGTGGGCCGAGGTTGTAGCACGCCTTTGAGACCCAAAAGCTTTCCAGGACGAATTACTGCTTTTGGTTTCCTATCGTAACATCGTGAATTGGGGACCAATCTAAATTGGGGCCACCAATTACACACTAAGTAATCCTTATGCAAGCTCTATTTTAGCTTTGGGTATTAGACTTGTATTCGTGCTAGTCGAAATGGGGCATATCGCGCGACGGAGGCTCCGCTATGCGGATGTCAGCGGATCGCTTCCCCTGTCCCTCTTGGTCCATCAGGGAGTCGGTTGCTGGTGCCGCAGACTGGTTGCTGTTTGAATACTCTGTAGATGTCAAGGTTGATAAGATGCCTTCGAGAGTTAGGGATCCATGAATTCTGTTCTGTGCATAAATCCAGATCAAGATATAGGTCATGTGGAGTTCGGACAGAAGCCGTTATACAACTAATTTTCATGCACACTACGGAGTATAGTACAGGTCTATTATACACTAGCTGGTTCAAGCTCACAATTGCTCTTAGCAATCGGCCCGACCAAAGTATCTTGGGAAAGATACGATATCTCGCACGTTAGAGACACCGCTCAGATATCCCAGGAATCGATCAAACCCGAGTCCAAACCCTCCGTGGGGAGCAGATCCCCATCGTCGGAGATCGGCGTACCATTGAAGGTGACTGAGATCCTCATCCGGGGAGAGATGGGGATACAAGGATTCTTCTGAAGGTGTCTCGCCGGTCTGCAGCTGTCGGGGCTTGATCAGGCCGTGCTCACGCATGTTTTGGATGAGCTCTGGCAAACGATGCTCGCGTAAGGATCCCCCAGCAACTTCGCTGACCTCGGGCAGCAGCAGATCAAAGCACGCCACGGTCTCCCCGGGCGTATTAGAATCAGTCACATGGGAGGGCGTCATGTAGAATGGCTTGACTGATTTGGGGTAGTCCGTGACGAAGACAGGACGGCCCTGGTGTAGCACTTCGACAATGTACTTTTCATGTTCAAGCTGTAGGCCGCCCTTCCATGTCGGGGGGTGCTCAAAGGATGCGCCTTCTTCGGACACTGCGCGCTGAAGCATCTCAACTGCCCGGGTGTATGTAATGCGGTGCCACGCCGGACCGTCCATGAGATCCGTCCATCTCTGTCGCAGAGATCCTGCCTCGGCGCTAGCGTCCTGGCCCGACTCGCCTGATCTCTTTGCGGACAGGATCTCCTGGCCTACGGTCGTATTATAGAGGCGACGGGTCAAGTCGCGAAGCGTGTGTTCCACCAGCCCGGTAAGCGAGTCAAGGTCCGACATAAAGTTGACCTCGGCCTCGAGCATGTAGAACTCGCTCAGATGGCGAGGTGTGTCACTCTTCTCTGCGCGGAACACGGGTGTCAATGTCCAGACATTGCCCAGCTCCGCGGCATAAGCTTCAAGGTGCAATTGCGATGACACAGTGAGGTACTTCGGTGCCCGGAAGAAATGCTCATTTGCAGTGCTAGGTTTCGCGGCGCCGCGCGGGGCCAATGTAAATGTCTCGCCAGCTCCTTCACAGTCTGACGAGGTGATAAGCGGAGGTGACACTTGAGTGAAAGCGCCGTCTGGGTGTGAGTGGAAGACATTGCCAAGCTGGAACATGCACTCGGAACGGAAACGGGAGAGAAGCGAGTTGAAAGGTGTTCGGATACGAAGATGGGGGATTTGGCGTAAGAATTCGGGACTGTGGTACTTCTTCTGAATGGGAAACGTCTAACTCAAGTCAGTGTTGTTTCCTTCGAAAGCTGACTCGCATCGCATGCTCACCTCTGGGTCCGCTGCGCCAACGACCGCCACCTCTGTGGTTTGTAGCTCATGTGTCTGCTCTTTGCCTGGCGGACAAGCTTTCCATATCCCTGAAATTTCGACAGCGGTTCCAGTAGACAGGCTAGACGAGAAACGCTCGGTCAGTCTGGCATTGACAAGGGTGCGCATCGCGCAAGTCGAGGAACTCACTCTGCTGCTTGGTCGGGTTTCAAGATTGCTTGCATTGGTTCCACGGTAGAGCCATCAGAGATCTCTGCGAACGCAAAGCGCTTCTGCTTTCGTACAGACCGAATAAATCCATTGACCTTGACCTCTTGGTCCTCAAACTTGCAGGGACCGGTCTTGGCTGATTGGAGGATCTGTGCACATCTTGAGACTGATGGCTTGGAGCTGATTGATCTTTGACCAAGTCTGGTCACAGACGTGGCTAAGCTTCGCCGCCAGATCTGCATAGCTGGAGGTGGTGTGCTTGAAGAAGTTCGGAGATTGCGGGAAACTTATCGGCGCTATCAGTCCGATTAGCACTGCGCACCCCTGGCAATATTGACAGTCTCAAAAAGCATTATGTCGGGTTGAATTTTAATAAAAGAACAGAAACCAGTCTCAATTAAATTTGAGAGACCACAGTTAGGAAATCTACTACCTAAACGAAGTGAACTTTTAAAACTAGTTGTTTTGTAATGTGAGCACATTGGACCACCTCGGCACGATATGTCACTACACACACCATCACCCAAGTAATTTCCAAGGTTCCAGCTACAAGAGGACGCACATAAAATCGAAATTAATATTACAAGGTTCACGGAATCTGCAGAATCACCTGGAAAATACCATTAATAGCTACATATCAGCAGTCTGTAGAGAAGGTTGCGTTCTCAGCAAACACGGAATCCACCCCAGCAAGACCGAGCAAAAATACATCAAACAACCGGATTTCCGTCCTGTGAGCAACCAAAACAATTTAAATCCTTAACAAGAAGTTCGACACTCATAGGCCCTTCTTTCTTCTTCGATCATATCAATGGCATCCATGAGGCTGCCCTCAGCTGCCGCAGCATAAATCGCCATTCTGGCCCGTCCACCTTCCTGCTCAGTTCCGTAGCCCATGTCAATGAGCGCGGAGACACACTGTTCGATATCTGCATAGCCAGTCTCAAAACCATTGACATCGCCTGTGGCCGACATCAGATCCGGACAAGTTTCTTCTGCTGGAGCGTTGTTGGCAACTGGCTGGGGACCAGCTGTGGCTTCTGTTGTCGCGACGTCGCGTCCTTGTCCGAGATCATGCATGCTGGCTGAATGGTACAGAGTATTTGGGGGCACCTCATTCTCAGAGTGGCCATGTTCTGCCCGATGAGGTTGGTAATCAGTAGATCGGCGCTTCAACGAGCCGGCATAGAGGGTCTGATTGGGACCAGCGGCCGTATTGCCGGCAAGAAGCCGGGAATCTTGTTGGGAAACGGGCGGGAATCTCGACATCTCCGCCCCCGAGTGCGAGTTCAAAGGGGTACCTTGACGTTGGGGAATCGTCCCTGGGAGAAGCGAGGGGTAGCGTGCACTGAATGCTGGGTCATCGCTTGGAGAATCAAGCAGTGCAGAATATTCGGATCGAGCGTCATCCTTGGCTTCTCTGAGCGCAAATTCAATTAATTTGTCTTGATCGGCCTTTGTAAAGTTCCACCGCTTTGGATCGGAATAAATTCTCTTCGCACCACTGGGATCCGATGGTGGTAGTTGAGCTCCTCGCACCTCATTGTCATGCGCCGACGTGTCTTGGACTGTACGCACTTCTTCAATGGAGGGGTGGTGCATGTGCTCCAGATTGATCGAAAGGCCATCAATGAGAGTACCTTGTAATTGCTGCATCGCGGCCGAAGCCAGATGTTCCGAGGGGAAATGGACGTAGCCAAATCCTGCGTGAATCTCCGAGGTAGCATCCGTCGGGAGATCAACGTCGACAATGAATCCATTTGCGGCAAAAACATCCCGAAGTGTCTGCTCCCTGACATTGAAGCCAACGTTACCAACGAAGAGAGACTTTGGGGCCGAGTCAACAGTCCTGGGGTTGCTGGGCTTGGCTGCACGTGCTTGCGTGTTTGAGGGGTCCTGGCGCACGGCAGGGGTCGGCGCAGGTCGCCAGTGTGGCCAGGGCGTAGATCGAGGCTGTGGCCAAACTGGTGGCTGTTGTGTAGGAGGGTGGGATGGGTAAGGGGGAGGAGGTGGTGGATACGGTTGGAACGGATTCCAGGGGTTATTATTGGAGATAGTTGGGGGCGGCACCCACTGGTTTGGATGAGGTGGTGCATGGCCAGCATATGGAGGGGTAGGGAAATGAGAAGGTGTCTCTTGATGCATATTCAGATGATTATTCAACGCAGACTGTGGCTCGCCGGAGCTGGATGCCTTCTCATTCGAGAGACGGGTCGAGTCTTGAGGGTGAGTTGGAACAGGAGCGGCAGGTGGCATAGGAGCGGCAGGTTCACCGTTTGAAGATGCAGTCGGAGCAGGTCGTCCAAACTCGCTTTCAAATGCAGAAAACAAAGTTCTGCCGACCTCGTTGAATTCAGTAGCCATCATACGCAGGCCATCTGCGGCATTCTCGGCAACAGGCCTTCCTGTCTCGAACACATCCTGTGCCATCCGTCTTCCACCGTCTGGGATGTTGTTGAAAGCAGTCCTCAACTGAGCCTCGAGTGTGGCAAGCAATGCACGTAATGACGTTTCTAAATGTTGAGGCAGAGACATATGCACAGCTTCAAGTTGCCTTTGAGAATTTCGCAGCTGTCGCTGTAACTCGGGAACTCTTGCCCTCCACTCACTCTGTACCATGTGGGCCCCGTTGGCGAGGTGGTGAGCGACTTGGGCTGCCACGATTTCAATGGGATGGGGTGTGCGTGTTGAGCTTGATCTGGTAGAAGGCTCGACAACCGGCGGTGAAGTAGAGCGTTTCGGTTGCTTCTCCTTGGTGTCAGTGGAATTAAGCATCTCTGCTAGCTCGGCTTCGAATGCCTCCATCAAAGGCCGGGGCTCATTAGGAAGTGGTGGCAGGAAAGAGCCAGTAGACGCCGAGGGTTCATGTTGATCAGCGGAGTCAGTGACGCTGGGTTTGCGGTAATCTTGAGAGCCAGCAGAGTCCTGCTCAGCATGATCGACTCGGTATCGCTGCCATAACTCGGTTACGGAGTTCGACCGACGGACGTCAAAGATGTGAGTCGGCGTGACATCGCTCTGAAGCTGAATGGATTCGAGCCGTGTACTCATATCCAAGGGCTCCTCGAGGCGCTGGGAAAGCTCAAGAGCAGATCCAACCTAGCAAGATGTTTAGAGCTTGGCGTCATAAAGATGCAGAGTGCTTACAGTGATCGTTTCATCTCCATCGTCATCCTGATCCACATATGTCAATCTTGCGCGGGGATGATTTGTCGCTATCGCATCATAATCAGTGGTGGAGATGCGGACGAGTGCTGGATTAGGCGGAGAAGTTGGAGGCTCGGGGTCAGATACCCGGAGATCTCTGATGTGAAAGGGCTTCAGCATCGTGAGAAGGGACCCTCTGGGCCAGTTACAGAGTTTCAGAGATGAAAAAGAATCAGAACGAGAGCTAGTGATAAGAAAAAGGAGATTAAAATCTTGGATTAAGGAGGTTCATATGTAGTGGCAAAGGTGAAGTTTGATAGGCAACAGGATAAGGATAAGATCACTCTCCCCGCTCGACCTCCAAAAGGTGTAGAATGTCTCTGTTTAGTCACCATATACCTTCAGGGAGTATTGGCAAGTGCTTTTCTACCTCGATATGTACGTTTTAATGTACTCTATTCTTTGAAATCAAAGAATACATCACAGGCCTTGGCTGAAAGCTACTTCTAGCGTGGTATCGAGTACAGAGTAACTAATGGGGAAGTTGTTCAAGTCGGAGACGATGGCGGTAAGACATTTCTGCCGGGTCAAAAAAGGACGAGACACGTTCGGACACCAATGTGCATTTATACTTATAGAGCATCCATGGATGTAATCTAGACTGATGATTGCTCAAACACGCGCCACTCATTTGACTTGATCGGTCATTGCCAATCACTCCCTAAACACCAATGGCCGGGCCATTGGATACGGCTGCATGAAACTCGAAAACTCGCCTTGATATCCACCGCGTCGAGTCTCCACATCCATAAATGGCGACCCCCAAATCCACACAGCTGCAGTCTCCAGTCGACAGGAACCTTCAAAACGTGGTGCTGGGCGATCTCTTGTTCCAGCCATGGAACCAATCCATCTACCCGGAAGACCTTGTAGCCAAGGACACCGAGCGGCTCTACGTCTGCCGGTGGTGCTTCCGATACACGTGCGATGCCGATATATTCGACCAACATAGAAAGGCCTGCGAGCATCGCATCACGCCGCCGGGAACCAAAGTCTACGACCATGGCGGGTATGCGGTTTGGGAAGTCGACGGTCAAGATTACAAGTTGTTCGGACAAAACCTGTCTCTTTTCGCAAAGCTGTTCCTTGATCACAAGACGGTGTTCTTCGATGTCGCAACTTTCCTATACTACATTCTTACCTTCACCGACCCCGAGGATCATGAGAGCTACCATGTCCTCGGCTTCTTTTCAAAAGAGAAGCTTTCCTGGGACGCGAATAATCTTGCCTGCATTTTGATCTTCCCACCTTACCAACACAAGCAGCTTGGAAAATTGCTCATGGGGGTGAGCTACAAGCTGAGCGGTTGGGACTCCAACGGTGGACCCATTGGTGGGCCAGAGAAGCCATTGAGTGAACTGGGCCACAAGAGCTATGTCCGCTTTTGGGCCGAGCGGATTGCCCGGTTTTTACTCCGCGGGAAGCCAACAAACAGCTCCCTCGACCCTGTTCAGCAGAAGCCCAATTCCACTCCCAAGGGCTCGCGCAAGAGACCACCGCGTGAGACAATGACCGTTGAGGAACTTGGACTGGGGACTGGGATGCTCACTGAAGATGTGATCACTGCCCTGAAAAGCATGGGGCTCTTTGATCCTCAGGCGACCCCTAAAAAGCGCAAGTCAAACCGCACGGGGTCGGGGGAGGATCCTACACCTCCTGGGCAGACGGTCACTATTCAAAAGTCCGATGTTTGGGACTGGGCTCAAGCACATCACCTCGTATGGGAGGACCCGGTCTGTGAATCTGGATTTGAGGGACTCTGGCCTCCTGTCATCGCATCCGAAGAGGAGAGCCATAGGGATGCCTTAGAAGAGGACTGACTATAATTTGTTCATTTGGTGGATTATACTATGTACGATAGCATAATTATTGATTACTGTCTAACGAAGATCATGAGAAGCAACATGAAGTTTGTGCATTTTTGAATTAATTCGCTCTTCCCCTCGAACTTTGCGAGGGTCACAAGTTTTCAATCCTTTTAATCTTTACATGAACCGCCTGAATTCGTAAATGAGCAAGTGCATTACTCTTCCTGACCACCGGGACCGCCCGCCTTGCTCATCTGCCGAGCCTTGAGGAGCTCGTCACACAAGAGAAGGTTGGACGCAATACCTGTGCTAGAAGCGATGCAGTTGCGAAGAACACGGAAAGAGTCAAAGACACCTCCTTGAATGGGGTCCATGGGCTCACCAGTGGCCAAATCCAAACCGACAGTGTTACCATCGGTCACCTCATCATGGAGAGCGGCCAGGGAGTCCTGGATATCGTGGCCTGAGTTGGCAGCGAGAGTCTTGGGAATGATCAGGAGCGCATCGGCGAAGGCATTGACACCCCACTTGGCCTTACCCTTCACGGTCTTGGTGAAAGCTTGGGACTGGAGGTGTGCGGCGCATGCAACTTGGAACGCACCGGCTCCGGGAATGACACAGCCGTCGACGATTGTGTTGTAAACAGAGCGCAGACCATCACGGACAGCATCCTTGACCTGGGTGATGGTGTGTCCGTTGGGACCCTTGATAAGAATAGTCACGGACTTGGGGTCCTTAACCTCCTCAACGAAAGTGAACTTCTCCTCACCAAGCTGGTGCTCGTAGACCAGACCAGCCCAGCCGAGAACGTCGGGAGAAAGATCCTCGACACTGTTCTGAGCAACACCGCCACAAACAAGCTGCAGACGCTCCATGTTTCTGCGCTTGGCTCGGCGCAGAGCGAAGATACCGTTCTTAACAAGAACGTCCAAGCTAAGAGGATCGATACCCTTCTGGTTGATGATGACAAAGCCCTTGTTGGGGTCGTTGCCGCAAACTTCCTTCTTAAGGTCCACAATCTTCTGGAGCTTCGCATCGACGAACTTGCGCTCGCTCTCAACAAGCTTGTCTCGCTGTTCCGCGTTAGAGTAGTAGAATCCAGAGTTGATCTCCGACTTCTCGTACTCAAGACTGACGTTGAGTGTCAGAATGAAAGCGTTCTCCACCCGCTTGGGCATGTCGGGGTGTCTGGCACCGTGGTCCAATGCAAGACCGCGGATAAGTTGGGTATCGGATGACGAGCGATGTTGCATCGTCATAATCTCAACCATGTGCAAATCGGGCTTCTCAGGGGCTCTGTGAATAGCGAGGACGGCATCGACGATATCGGGGGTGAGCTTCTCAGCGAGGGCGCCGTTGAGCTTCGTGGAGAGGGAGGTACGGGCAACGGAGAGCAGGAGCTCACGGTCGATGGTACGCTCAAGCTTGAAGTTGTCGAGGAACTGTAGGCAGCTGGTTAGATCTAGGACGCTCGGTAGGTGAAAAAGGCATAAGTACCTTCAGAGCCTCGGTCTTTGCGATCTCGTAGCCATCAGTGATGACACGGGGGTGCAGACCCTCCGAGATGTGACGCTCCGCCTGCTTCAGCAGCTCTCCCACCAACAACACAACAGATGTGGTACCGTCACCAGTAATGTCGTCTTGTGCCGTCGCAGCACGAGCAATCATAACCTTTTCGATAAATCAGCAGGATGTAGGGATGGGGTCGAGGCAATTCCGCCTTACAGCTGTGGGGTTTTGGATTTGCTGTAAATTGTTAGCTCATGAGCTCCAGACGTTTGGGGTCTCAGGGCCAGACGAACCATCTCACGCAACAAAACGTTTCCATCCTTGGTCAATTTGATCTATAACGTATCAGAAATGGTGTCCCGTATCGTCTGAAAGGAAAGGGGGATTGCATACTGCGCCTGCACCGTCGACCAGCCTAAGTTTGTCAGCTCCATTGTCCTGACCTGTGGGATGCATTTGTAAAGTACTCACATCTTAAGGGTTCCCGAGGGGCCCAGGTTGGACTTGAGGACATCTTGGAGACCTTCACCGGCGCCGATGTTGACCTTCAAGGCTTCTCCTCTCCGCTGCGTGAAATGTTAGTGTGCGGGCACATCAGTGAGGGGCCATCAGGGAATATTTTCCATACCCTCGACTCCGCCTTGGGGTTGAGTAGCTGAGTTGCAGACATATCCCTGAAAATGAACGATAGGGTATCACGTCCAGAAATCTCAAAAATATTAAAGTCACGGATGGTAGAGCACTTGTTAGATACTGAGGGTGCCCACCTTTTGGGCGAGGCGGTGGTTTTTGGCAAAAAGCCACGGATTCGCACTAGCGCCTCCAGCTTTTTTTTTTCTCATTTTGAGCCCGTAACCATCACCCGCACCAGCAACCCATCGAATTACACTCCCGAGTGTTTTCTGGCCGGTGTCGCAAGTTCCCTCTCGATATTTTGTGGATTACTCGGTATTGGTCTTAACACGATGGCCGATTTCCTACTTTTCGAGAGCCCTGTCGGCTACTCGCTTTTCAAGGTCACCCACCAGGGTGACACTGTCGGCAATGGCTTGAAGGAAGTCCAGGCCGGTATCAATGACCTGGCCAAGTTCGGCAAGATGGTCGAGCTCACCAGTTTCCTACCCTTCGAGTACGCCTTCAATGCCCACGTGGAAGATTTTTTCATAGTCCACTAACACTGTATAGGAACAACAAGCAGGCTCTCGGTGAGATCAACGACATTTCCGAAGGTGTCGCATCCGAGCTTTTGGTCTCCTTCCTGGATCTGAACCTCCCCAAGCCCAACAAGAAGAAGAAGGTTGTCCTCGGTGTGGCCGACAAGGCTCTGGCTGGAAGCATCAAGTCCGCTTTCTCCTTTGTGGACTGCGAGACTGGTGACACTAGCGAGGTTGTTCAGGATCTTCTCCGTGGTATCCGCCTCCACGCCACCAAGCTCCTCAAGCAGCTGCGTGAGGGTGACATGGACACTGCCCAGCTCGGTCTTGGTCACGCCTACTCCCGTGCCAAGGTAAAGTTCTCCGTCCAGCGTGACGACAACCACATTATCCAGGCCATCGCCATTCTCGACCAGCTCGACAAGGCTATCAACACCTTCTCCATGCGTGTCCGTGAATGGTACTCGTGGCACTTCCCCGAGCTCGTCAAGATTGTCTCCGACAACCAGCGCTACGCCGAGCTCGCTCTGTTCATCAAGGACAAGAACAGCCTGAGCGACGAAGGTCTGCACGACATTGCCGCTCTCGTCGAGGACGATGAGGGTGTTGCCCAGAACATCATCGATGCCGCCAAGCACAGCATGGGTCAAGAGATCTCCGATGCTGACATGGAGAACGTCATCTCTTTCGCCGAGCGTGTCGTCAAGCTCGCCAAGTACCGCAAGTCTCTCTACGCCTACCTGGTCGCCAAGATGAGCGTTGTCGCCCCTAACCTTGCCGCTCTCATCGGTGAGGTTGTCGGAGCTCGTCTTATCTCCCACGCCGGTAGCTTGACCAACCTGTCCAAGTACCCCGCCTCTACCGTTCAGATTCTCGGTGCCGAGAAGGCTCTTTTCCGTGCCCTGAAGACCAAGGGTAACACCCCCAAGTACGGTCTGCTGTACCACTCTTCCTTCATCGGCAGAGCCGGCCCCAAGAACAAGGGCAGAATCTCCCGTTTCCTCGCCAACAAGTGCTCCATCGCCTCCCGTATCGATAACTTCTCTGAAGCCCCCACCACCAAGTTCGGTGAGGCCCTCAAGAGCCAAGTTGAGGAGCGCCTCGAGTTCTACACCTCTGGTGCCGCCCCCACCAAGAACGAGGTCGCTATGGTATGTTCCACTTCCAAGCCTGTGCCTGAGAAGATAAATGCTAACGTTCTTAGAAATCTGCCATGGACGCTGTCCTTGCCGACCTCGACGATGTTGATGGTGACAAGAGCGACGAGGAGATGGAAGATGCCGACGTCGCCGAGGCCAAGAAGGAAAAGAAGGAGAAGAAGGAGAAGAAGGAAAAGAAGGACAAGAGCGAGAAGGCCGACAAGAAGAAGAAGAGAAAGTCCGATGTTGGTGAGGGCGAGTCCGAGAAGAAGAAGAAGCGCAAGCACGACACGGATGCCGAGCCCACCAAGAAGAAGCAAAAGGCCTAGATGCGCAGTTCTTTTGGAATTGGGAGTCTTTGCCATGGCGTTAGGTTTTGCTTTTGTCTTGATGACTCGATGGATACGGCTTGCAGGTATTTGTAAATTATTACCAGGCCTTTTGCCTCAGCAGCTCTGACTGTCGCTGCTCTGATATTTTCGTTTTCAATATTTCAAGTTTGTTTATCAGTTCAATCAAAATTCTTTCTAGATTTGACCAATCTTCAAGCATGTATACCCAGTCATATGGGAGCACATTGTTCTTAGCTACGAGGTATATGACCTCCAAAGTTTCTTGTGAATATAGCATAGTGGTGTAAATCAGAAGATCAATATTTCTCCTCACAACTAGCTCAGTCTGATGTGAATATTCACTTACCTGCAGGGTTGAAGTAGCGTGCAAAAGGAGTACCACATACAGTTGTAGTACATTGTCAGATGTAAGGCGATCACTACCCCACAGTCCAATGCAATGCCGGATGTCCAATGACCAAACCCCTCTCAGCCTTGATTTCCGCCCTTGGGCCCTACAGAATGAATTGCTTTGTCTCTTGAAAGAGTTGGTGGATACACTGACAATCAAACAAGAGATCGGGTTGCTCGGTGACGTCCCCACTTCCGTTTTCAGTATGTTGCCGACAAGTTCATTTCTACCTTTTTCGCCCAAACGCAAGCGAGAACCCTCAGAATCATCTTGCTATAGTCGATCTCCGTCACCCACATCGGAAATATCTCTAGCCAGTTACCAAGACATCCTCCGGGAAGAGGACGACCTTGACAGTTACAGTCCTCGCGCTGCCGTGGCTGGGAGATTCGGCGAGTTGGCCATCCGTGGCGACCTTCATTCGGACCCTGTCCTGACGGGCGACTCACGGCGGAGCTCGCTGGCTCCCCCAGCACCCGAAATATGCGAATCTGACCAGCAAAACCCCACGACTATGCCCGAAGCTTTACCGGCTACTAGCAGCGAGCCGGACCGCCAAGCCCTGCATTTCGACCCGCCCGCAGCGCAGGAGGAGGCGACTTCCAAGACCCTGTCGCCTTCCAAGAAGAAGTCCGCATCTTTCACTCGCAAACAGCTCAACCCTTCCTCGCCTTCTAAGCGCAAGCAACGACGCTCTCCCCCTCCGGCAAAGGTAGCTTCGGAAGAAGACCCGCTCGTATGGCATGATTCGGAAATAACAGGCCACAACCCCTCAGATCCATCGGATGATGGCTACGGAATAAATGGTGTAGGGTTCAAGCCTACCGCATCAATCGCCTGGGAAAGGTCTCAGAGGCGGCAAAGACAGGTTACAGAATGGAAAACCCGCGAAGCACGGGAAGCTCGTGAACGAAGACGAGAGAAAAGAAGGGACGGACTTGATTTTGACCAACTGCATGGGATACATGACGGTGCAGTCCATAAGCGGGTCAAGTTTAATGTCTGAAGCACCTCCAGAGTGCAGCTTATGACTGACATTTGATTTCACTCATATTTGATTGAACATTTTCGCTGGGCGTTGAGTTTTCCGAGTTGAAAGCGAGCATATGCGTTTTAGCTCTTACGCCAAGCCCCAACCCAAATCATACAATACCCTGTCCAAGGACACTCCCATGCGCGTGGGTACCAAGGCGGTTCCAACTATGACCACAACAACTCTGGCAAGTTGCGTGGAAGGACAAACTTATTGATCTTTTCTTCTATACAACTATTGTTGTTCCCGGGTTTGACTATCATCGTGGGTGGATAGTGTGATCTTGCAGAGAGAACTATAATACACAGAGATGACTTTATGATATGATGCCAACCATCGCTTGATCCAGGGATCGAAATATACAGTGTCGGAAATTTTATCTGAACTCCCCCAACTCCTCGTGAAGCAGCACGCCTACCAGAATTTATAGTTGGTAGGGTTAGACCAGCTCTTCTTCTTCCTCTCTTCCTCGGCCAAGCGTGCTGCTTCCTCCGCGGCGGTGTCCTTCTCTCGTTGCTTTTTGGCCTTTAATTGGTTCATGAGGTCGAGCGCCTCTGCCATGCCACTCAATTCCTTGTTCCGCAGGTAGCGACAATATTCGTATGCTCCCAGCGAAGTGATCGCGAACATTCCCACGGCCCAATTGCCAGCGGACCATAGACCATAGCGTCCTGCAGCGTATTAGTGACCAATCCCCAAGTTCTGGAGCCCGGAATGTGATTTCATACCTTTCAAAACACCCCGTAGACCACCGACTCCAAAGCCAACTCCGATACCAGTCATTAGAGATTCTCGGGCGCATGGCCTCTTGTGAATAGTGGACATCTCGGACAGTGACACTGATCCGATGATCTCTGAGTATGACACATCCTTAGGGTCCTTCCCTTGGGGTTTGTAGGTAGCTTTCGCAAGTGCGTTGGCGGGTTCCTCGGGGTTTCCAAAGGCATCCCATAGCTTTGCAGTCTGTGATTGAGAGGGTTCGTGCTTTTTCTTTGGCGAGTCGGGCGAAGCGTTGAAGGAACGCGCGGAGTTCGCACTCTCCTGGAAAGCGCTCTGGTCTTGTGAATCGTCGGCCATGATTGTAGAGTCAATTGCTTTGGAACATCGGCTTTCCCAGAAGATCATCAATATGTGGATATTCCGGATGCTTCCCGAAGTAGACAGTTATTCCGGAAGACTGACTAAGCCACTATAACGCGTCGCCGGGATACGCGAGCGCGTCAGGGACCATAGAAATCGATTTGATTAGAGCGGATCGTAGGCCATTGCTAGACCCTACTAGAGGCACAATTGGTCCCAGGACCAGATCTTTTACAACGCCAACTTCTTGCTTTACTCTCTACCCCGCCTGTTTAACTCATCTTAAATTGCACGCATTTCATGTCCTACATCGCATCTGCCCTTTGAGAAAAAAAGGTACCTCCGCAGCCCGGCCGGGCGACCACGTCGCAATGCCTTCACGAAAACCCAGCAAGTATGGAAACAAGTTTCGTTCAAGCGCAGCATCCTCCAATCCCCGCCGCGCGAAGACCGTCGAATTCAACTCGTTGCGCTCCACCGAAGCGACATCCCAAGATGAGAAATTCGAAGCCATTCGGTTGGCCAACAGCATTGATGAAACACTCGGTTTCCCACGATTTGAGTCTGGCGAGACAAGAGCTGGATGGCTGGTCAACATGCACAGCACGTCGATACAGGATGCGAATGTGCCTGGCGGCCGTGCTGGAGTGGATTATTACTTCCTGCAGGACGACGGATCGAGTTTCAAAGCGACTGTGGAATACGACCCATATTTCTTGATCGCAGTGAAGAAAGGATACGAAACAGAGGTCGAAGAATGGTGTCGACGATCGTTTGAAGATATGATCAAGAAGTTCGCGCGACTCGAGAGAGAGGACCTCAATCTACCCAACCATCTCCTTGGGTACCGGAAGACCTACATCAGACTCAGCTTCGCCAATGTCAGCAACCTGCTCGAGGTCCGCAGGACAATACTGCCCCTGGCGGAAAAGAATAAGAAGAACGAGAGTGCGATGGACGCCTATGTTGAGATGACCAGGTTTGTATACTCAAATGATTAGAGCTGAGCACCGCTGATGAAATATTATAGTGCGACTGCTGGTATAGATCTTTTTGACGACGAGATTATTAATGAGCAACGACCTAATGGCAACATACAAGCGAGTGATTTTATTGTGGATATTCGAGAATACGACGTGCCATACCATGTCCGAGTTTGCATTGACAAAGGTCAGTATGCCTTCCATATGCCGTCGAAATTCCACTGACCCTTCAAAGACATTCGGATTGGAAAATGGTATAGTGTCAAGGCAGATCACGGCGTGGTATCCTTGACATGCTTAGAGGACAGGCTTCAGCGTGCAGACCCCGTCGTGCTCGCTTTTGATATTGAGACCACGAAACTTCCTCTGAAGTTCCCAGATGCTGCATTTGATCAAGTTATGATGATCTCATATATGATCGATGGGCAAGGATTTCTCATTACCAACAGGGAGATCGTTTCAGAGGACATCAACGACTTTGAATACACCCCCAAACCAGAGTATAACGGACCTTTCATCATCTTCAACGAAGCAAACGAAAGAGCAGTCCTGGAACGTTTCTTCGAGCATGTCAAGATCGCCAAACCAACTGTGATTGCAACATACAACGGTGACTTCTTCGATTGGCCTTTCGTGGAAACCAGAGCTAGCGTTAATGGTCTCGACATGTACATGGAAATCGGCTTCCGCAAGAACAGCGAGGATATCTACATAGCTGACAACTGTGTGCACATGGATTGTTTCGCTTGGGTCAACCGTGACAGTTACCTCCCCCAGGGAAGTCGTGGTCTCAAAGCCGTGACAGTCGCAAAGCTGGGTTACGACCCCGATGAGCTCGACCCAGAACTAATGACACCATACGCGAGCGAGCGGCCACAAACCTTGGCTGAGTACTCAGTTTCCGACGCTGTCGCAACCTACTATCTTTACATGAAATACGTCCACCCCTTCATCTTCTCACTCTGCACGATCATTCCGCTCAACGCAGATGAAACGCTACGCAAGGGAACCGGTACTCTGTGCGAGATGCTGCTCATGGTTCAAGCTTACCAACACGAGATCGTTCTGCCCAACAAGCACAAGGACCCCCCCAGAAGCATTCTACGAGGGCCACCTTCTCGAGTCTGAAACCTATGTCGGTGGTCACGTCGAGAGTATCGAGGCTGGTGTTTTCCGAAGTGACATTCCCACACATTTCAGCGTTGACCCGACTGCGATTGATGAACTTCTCAATGACCTGGATCACGCTCTCAAGTTCAGTATCGAGGTCGAGGAAAAGAAATCCATGGATGACATCGCAAACTACGACGAAGTGCGTGCTCAGATTGCAGAACGTCTGCTCGATCTCAAAAACAACCCGAAGCGACATGAAGTCCCATTCATCTACCACTTGGACGTCGCATCCATGTATCCCAACATCATGATCACAAATCGATTGCAACCGGACTCGTTGATCGACGAGTCAGACTGTGCTGCCTGCGATTTCAACAGACCTGGAAAAACCTGTGACAGGCGTATGCCTTGGGCCTGGCGTGGTGAATTCCTGCCAGCCAAGCGTGATGAGTACAACATGATCCGACGCGCCACGGCAAATGAAAAATTCCCAGGCCGTTTCAAAAACTCCCCAATGCGTTCGTTCGGTGAACTGAGCATTGAGGAGCAGGCTGGTGTTGTCAAGAAACGTCTACAAGACTACAGTAAGAAGATCTACCACAAGATCCACGACAGCAAGACGATGGAGCGCGAGGCCATTATCTGTCAAAGGGAAAATCCTTTCTATGTCGATACAGTTCGAGACTTCCGTGATCGACGTTACGATTTCAAGGGCAAGCAGAAAGTCTGGAAGAACAAGACCGACAGTCTACAGTCATCAGGTGCTTCCGCAACTGAGATCGAGGAAGCCAAGAAAATGATTGTGCTGTACGATTCTCTCCAACTTGCGCACAAAGTCATTCTCAACAGTTTCTACGGCTACGTGATGCGAAAGGGTTCTCGGTGGTATTCCATGGAAATGGCTGGTGTGACATGTCTTACAGGTGCCCATATCATCCAGATGGCAAGAGAACTCGTTGAACGCATAGGTCGTCCCCTGGAGTTGGATACGGACGGTATCTGGTGTATGCTTCCTGGAGGCTTCCCCGACGAATTCAAGTTCACACTGAAGAATGGGAAGAAGTTAGGCATTTCATACCCCTGTGTCATGCTTAATCACCTGGTACATGCCAGGTACACCAACCACCAGTACCAGGCGCTTTCCGACCCGAAAACTTTCAAGTACGAGACTCACAGTGAGAACTCAATCTTCTTCGAAGTGGATGGACCATACCGGGCAATGATCTTGCCAACATCGAAAGAGGAAGACAAGAACTTGAAAAAACGTTACGCGGTGTTCAACCATGACGGTTCCCTGGCGGAACTCAAGGGATTCGAGGTCAAGCGAAGAGGAGAGCTGAAATTGATCAAGATCTTCCAGACCCAGATTTTCAAGTTCTTCCTCGAGGGTTCCAATCTTGCGGAGACCTACGCCGCCGTGGCTCGAGTTGCCGATCGGTGGTTGGACGTCTTGTACGAGAAGGGCTCTACACTGGCCGACGAGGAATTGATCGATCTCATTTCGGAGAACCGAAGTATGTCCAAAACCTTGGAAGAGTACGGCAAGCAAAAGTCCACCTCCATCACAACTGCTAGGAGACTGGCAGAATTCTTGGGCGAGCAGATGGTCAAGGATAAAGGCCTGAATTGCAAGTACATTATCTCGTCCCGACCACGAAACACGCCAGTCACCGAGAGAGCCATTCCAGTGGCCATCTTCTCGGCGGAGGAGAATATCAAGCGCTTCTTCCTGCGCAAATGGCTGAAGGAAGACCCTGGCGACATGGATCCTCGGACTGTCATCGATTGGGACTATTATCTGGAGCGCTTGGGCTCGGTCATCCAGAAGCTGATCACCATCCCGGCTGCGCTTCAGAAGCTCCGAAACCCAGTGCCTCGTGTTGCCCATCCCGATTGGTTGCGACGTCGAATCGAGGCCAAGGATGATAAATTCCAGCAGAAGAAGATGACGGACATGTTCATTAAATCGGAGAAGACCCCTCTTTCCTCCGTCAACGCAAACATTCTGGATCACCGTGTGCAGCACGCTGGTGACATGGACGAGGCGATCATCAGCTCGACCCAGAAGATCACATCGCCCAACAACAAGATCTCTCAAAAGAGGAAGCACCCAGAAAATGCGTCGAAGACTGCCCTCGATCCCTTCTCTAGCTTGCCAGCGGTCATGCCATCCATGTCGGAAAACTATGAGGGATTCCTCAAGTATCAAAAGCAAAAATGGAAGATCCAGAAACAGGCGCGTATTCGCCGCCGTCAGCTGTTTGGCGAGCGAACGAATGTTGCTTCGGACTCATTGAGCAGCTTCTTCCGCAATCAAGCCCAAATGCTGTATATCAGCACATGGCAAGTTCTGCAGCTGTGTGAGACAGGCATGCCGGGAGTCGTACGGGCTTTCGTGCTGATCGACCAAAAGATCCACGCTCTCAGCATCAGGGTTCCGCGACAGTTCTTCTTGAACCTGAAACGAGACTCGCTTCCTGATGTTGACGTACCGGACTGCGACGTTGAGAAAGTGAACCACACTCTACCCAACGGACACCCCTCCGTCCACTTGTTCAAGATGTCCTTGCCAGAAGAAAAGTATCTGGAGGAGGCTGACAAGATGGACATCCTCTTCCAACACCCCAGTATCGAGGGAGTCTACGAGGGCAACATCCCGCTCAGCACTCGCGCTGTCCTCAAGCTAGGAAGCCACTGCACTTTCGATGAGAGCCAGAGTGGTGTTCTCGGTGACGGACTGGACAAAGGATTCGACCTTTCAACCCTGCTTCATGCATCCTCTGACCAGCCCTACCTGATGAACTCGTCGTTGGTCTTCCACTACTTATATCACATTGTTTCGGGAGACAGGCAGGTATTTGCACTGTTTTCAACGGCAAAGAGTGAGGCACATGTCATCATCCTCAACCGCACAAGGGATGTGCAGGGCTTACCAAACGTGGACAAAATCTACACTGAGTTGCTCACTCGAAAGGTGCAATCCTCATCAGGCGATGAGTCTTTGAACGCATTTGAGTACCAAGATAAGATCCATTTCAAGACGACGCAGGTCATGACGCGGAGGAAAGCCCACCTTGAGGTGGGTGATATGATCAGAAAGCTTCGAAGTGACGAAAGTCGACCCGCCGTTCTTGTCATCCAATCTCAGCAGAAAGACCGTCTGTGCCATGACATTCCGATCCTGAAGGAGTATCCAGTTCTTTCCGTGAAGCCTGAAGCTTCGGACATGGAGCTGCCGCCCTTGGGTTGGCAGGCATTCGTTGCTAGACGTCTGGTCACACGGTATCTGTACCTGTCTTCCTGGATTCAGCACTTGACTCTGCTCGCTCGCTACGGTGACGTGCCACTTTGCAACCTGGAAAGTGAAGATCCTCGATACCTGATTGATATCTCTTACGCCAGACGACTGCAGTCGAACAATGTTGTACTCTGGTGGTCCCCAGGCCCCCCGTCCGGACCATGCAGGCTACGAGAGAGATGACATCCTAGGTACCCTGGACAAGGTCAACATGCCTTCAGTGAATGTGCCAGGTGCATACTCGACCGTCTGCATTGAGCTAGAAGTCCGCAACTTGTCGATCAACACAATTCTGACATCTTCTATCATCAACGAGATGGACGGAAGTGACACCTTGTTAGCTCCATCCGGAGACGGTGAGGACACTGGCGTCTTTTATTCAGAGAAAGCGTTCGCCTCTGCTGGTGTTGTGGTACTCCGCGAGATGGTCAAGCACTGGTGGACAGAAGCCTGCGCTGGTAACAACATGGCAGACATTATGGTTCAGCACTTGATCCGATGGGTGGAAAGCCCTGTCTCGTGTCTGTACGATCGGTCATTGCACAACTACGTGCGCCTTCTCTCGCGAAAGTCGTTCCAGCGACTGATGGCAGAGTTCAGGCGTGTTGGATCGCATGTTATTTTCGCCAGCCCCACACGCTTGCTTCTCCAAACCACAAAGACCGAAGTGGGCAACGCGTACGCCTACAGTCAATATGTCCTCAAGTCCATTCGTGCCAATCCGTCCTTCCACTTCATCGACCTAGAGATCAAGGAGTACTGGGACTACCTCGTCTGGTACGATGAGTACAACTACGGAGGCAAGGGCTGTCAAGAGGTTACCGAGGCCGACGAGCAGAATCTCGAGACCGCGATGCACTGGCAGCTCAGCAGGTTCCTACCCATGCCTATGCAAACCATTTTCCACGACTGGACGGTCGAATACATCGAGCTCATGCACGCATTGAAACGACCCGAACTTCAAGACGGGGAGGTTTCTTCGACGCCCCGTCCGACCCAGATCCCCATCGGGCGGACCACTGAAGGTGACGACGAAGAAATCACTGCCGTGCTCGCAGATCGTTTCTCCAAGCCTTTGAAGAAGCAAATCTCGAGTCTCATCCGGAGACAACGTGACGAGATGCTGCATCCCGAACTTGCATCTGAATACGCATTCCCCGTGTTGCCAGGAGTCTTGGTGGAAGCCAAGGAGAAGCGCAACCCCTCACTGGAGTTGACAAAGCTGTTGATGCAGGTTCTGAGTTTGTCGAAAACCACGACCCTGGAAACGCGCTTGCTGCGAAGTGAGCTGTTAGCGCTGTTCGAGGTCCGAGAGTTCAGCAAGGAGGGTCGCTTTGAGAACCCTACCGCTAGCTTGAAACTCCCTGAGATGTCGTGCAACTCGTGCTGTCTCATTCGCGACCTTGATCTTTGTCGCGACGAAGACGTGCTGCCGGATTCCACGTCGGATGCCACTGCCACTGCCCAACCCTGGCGATGCCCCTTCTGTCAGGCCGAGTACGACCGACTTGCTACTGAAGAGTTCCTCATTGGCCAGGTCCATGGGTTTGTTGTCGAGTGGCAGACACAGGATCTCAAATGTGGCAAGTGCGGTGGCCTCAAGATGAGTGAATTCCTCGAGCATTGTTCCTGCAGTGGCACCTTCGCTCCCACAGTTGATCGCAAGGAGATCGAAAAGAAACTCCAAGTGTTGGATAGCGTGGCCAAGTTCCATAAGCTCCAGCTGCTTGAGAACATTGTGGAAGGAGTGCTGGAGCGATTCTGATTTTTCTATGTTTGAATGCCTCTGACATCGGCGTACTGGTATTTTTTTGCTTTTGTCTTTTTTTGGCATGGGGCTGGAGTTTAGACGATACATGTAAATAGTGCAAAGGCTAGCAATAATGCGTCCCGTTGGATATGAAGTCTCAACGGGCTTTTTAATTTCAACATGTTCCACCTATCTATACTCGCATTGTTCCACAATAATCCTCGAGATGCAATGCAGGTGCTCCGTTTCATCTGACGTTTCAGCCCTGCGCCCCCCACCAAGCGCCGGTCTGGAATCTCGACTTATCAACCCCGCACACCTCAGACGCCCTCGAAGCACAACACAGTCAATTTGTGAGTGAAGGGACTTGGTCGCGGATGTCTCACCTGTGGGGCATCTGCGCCCAGGCGGACTCTCCTATCTTTCGTCGCTGACTTGGGTTTCCCGCAGGCACATAGCCCTCGACCTCGACAGACGTACATATATCGCAGTCTCGAACCGACCCTCAGGTGTTTCGCACACCTCGCTCCTCACCGGCTTGTTCCCACAACCTCCGGCCCTACACCCGCATCACACACCCCCACTTGGTCATGGCGGCACCACCACCCGGCCAAAAGCCGAAGGTCCAGCCGTGCCGATACAAAACTGGAAAGACACTGGGCGCTGGCTCGTACTCTGTCGTGAAGGAATGTGTGCACATCGACACCGGTCGCTATTACGCGGCGAAAGTGATCAACAAGCGTCTCATGTCCGGGCGGGAACACATGGTAGAGTGAACCACAGCGCAAGTCCGGGAGAGGTGCTGACCAACATGCTTTGAAGGTTCGGAATGAGATCGCAATATTGAAAAGGGTGTCGATGGGCCACCAGAACATCCTGACTCTGGTTGACTACTTTGAGACTATGAACAACTGTGCGCTTCGCCCCTATCTCGTTCACCTTTGAGAACCACATAACTGACTCGCGGTGAAATAGTATATCTGGTCACTGACCTCGCATTGGGAGGAGAGCTCTTCGATCGCATCTGCCGTAAGGGCAGCTACTATGAATCGGACGCTGCAGACCTTATCCGCGCAGTGCTCTCCGCTGTGGCCTATCTACATGACCATGGGATTGTGCACCGTGATCTGAAGCCAGAGAACTTGCTCTTTCGTACTCCGGAAGATAATGCCGATCTCTTGATTGCCGACTTTGGGCTCTCAAGGATAATGGACGAAGAGCAGTTCCATGTTCTGACGACAACCTGTGGAACACCAGGATATATGGCTCCTGAAATTTTCAAAAAGAGTGGTCACGGCAAGCCAGTGTAAGTAATAACTGCACGACCTCGATCCCACTTCTCCAATGCTAACAGCCTCGTCTCAGTGATATATGGGCCATCGGCGTGATCACCTACTTCCTTCTGTGCGGATACACGCCCTTTGACCGCGACTCCAACCTGGAAGAAATGCAAGCGATTCTCGCCGCAGACTACTCCTTCACTCCACTGGAGTACTGGCGTGGTGTATCGCAAGAGGCGCGTACCTTTATCAACCGCTGCCTGACTATCAATCCTCAGTCACGGATGACAGCCCATGAAGCCCTGCAGCACCCGTGGATCAACCCACCATACGAGAACGCCAAGGTTGGCTCTGGCGAAGATCTGCTCCCGACCGTTAAGAAGAACTTCAACGCGCGGCGGACGCTGCACCGTGCCATCGACACCGTCCGAGCCATCAATAAGCTTCGCGAGGGTGGTGGGTTCATGATGGATGGTGTTATGAGCGTCGATCCCAAGCCGGAACGTGTTAATGGTGATGAAATTGTCGAGGAGCAGAGCCATGCTCCACCACAGGCGGCTGATGATGGTAGTGATCCGATGCAGATTGATAGTCGTGGTAATGCCCGTGGGCAGACTGAGGAGCAGATCCGGGCCCAGGAGCGTAAGGTCAAGGAAATGGTTGCTGGTCTGTGGAGTCGTACTGCTCGCTAGATCTTTGTCCCGTATCAATACCAATATCAGTGATGCTGCATACTCCCATGTCTAGAGAGATCGCTGGCTGCTTCTCTCTACCGTGGGGATCATTTTATTGTTGAGACTCTTCTTAGTATGTGTGCTCTACATACCATGTCCCACTCGTGAAGTAAGAAGTTGCGTCTACTGGTGTGGTGTCGTGGCAACCACACTGTAGTTTTTGGTCCTTAAAACTGTCATCGATTGCACTTGAGCTAAACTGATACCTAACGAACTACTCTGGAGTCACTTCAAGGATGTATTCTATGGGTAGCAACAACACAAGCATCGGTAGAGCTCATTTGGCTGCTGACGCGCATAGAAGAGTTGATTGGGACCATTACGCAAAGACCGAAGCTGAAGCTAAGATCTCATAGCGACGATCCATTGTATTCCATGGGCAGCAACAACACAAGCATCGGTAGAGCTCATTTGGCTGCTGGCACACATGGAAGAGTCGATCGGGGCCATTACGCAAAGACCAAAGCCGAAGCTAAGATCTCGTAGCGACGACCCAGGAGCGCACAATGTCAGTGTGCATAATGCATGTGAGGGTCAGATGAGGCCCAAACCATAAGCCTGTGGTTGAAGGGTGAGGACGAGAAGAGAGAGTTGGAAGGTGCTTGGGTCTGAGAAGAGTGGAAGAAGAAGTAAGAAGAAGAAAGAGAGAGGGGGGAAATGTGGATTTTATATTCTGAGCTGTGGGGAGAGAGGGAGAAGAGAGAAGAGAGGAGAGGAGAGGGAGAGGGTTTAAATAGTCTGTCTAGTTCCGAAAAGGGAAGGTGGTGGTGGTAGAGAGAGAGAGAGAGAGAGAGAGAGAGAGAGAGAGAGAGAGAGAGAGAGAGGGAGGGAGGGAGAAAAATATTATGCTCGTTATCATTACTCCGTAAGCCTACTTAAAACGCCAGCGTAAAACAAACAAAGTGGTCTAGAAAAGCAGCCCGAATCACTCTGATCCGCGCAATATCTCTGCCCCATCGTCTAGAGAGAGAACCCAGTCCCGCCAGTCTTGCCACTCCGCATAGTTAGCGCTCGCCTTGAGACCCTGATACCTGACGGTTCTGAAATCGGAGACTTGATCCCAAGGCTTGGTTGCGCTAGAGTTACCACTCGCTGCACCCCGAAGGAGTCTTCGTGCCGCGCTACCACCGCCGCCATCCCAACCTGCCTTGCGCATCAGACTCTCAACGGTCTCTTCTTTGGTCCAGCCCTGTTCTACAGCGACATCCGGGAGATAGGTGGCGCCGTACCGACGACCACGGTGAACAAATGATATGCGTAGGCCGTGAGTTCCTAATGTCCAGTCCATGGCATTTGTGCACGGCTCAAAGGAGCTCAGAAGAGTGAGAGAACATGAAAGTGAGGGGAGAAGGGATTTGGGAATGGGAGAGAAGCGAGTATCATCAAAGGCCCTAGAATTCAAGGAACGGGGTTAGTTCAGGTGCGAGGTGACGGCGTTCGTCGAGCCACAAGTTATGGAAAAACCACGTACGAGGTCAAAGCGTAGGACTTCAACCCCGCTGCAAGGTCCTGTCCTTCAAAGGTGCCTATGCATCCACGAAGGGACTTGTTTCCACTGCGTGACAGAGTGTTCCATGTTACGAACAGGGGATATCGCTGATCAGGCGATCGCAGCTGAGACTGGGTTGCCGAGGCTGAGCCTGGGGTGGTGATACTTGTAGAGCTCGACTGGAATGAATTGGCTGACGTATTGGACGCAGACGACGGTGTCGTGGCTGTGCTGGACGAGGCGGACAATTCACCTTGGAGACGGCTGACGCGGGGGATCTGCAGCCTCTGAGGCGGACTACTCAACTGGGAGGCATCTTCGTCCTCGGTTACGGACAGTTGCTCTGTGTCTGTCTCGAGCTGGTCTTCAAGATCCGATAGTTTCTTAGTTTGCTCGTGTTGCTCCCAGAGGGCTTCTACGGCTGCCAGAGTGGTAGGCTCGCGGCCTTCAAATGAAGCGAAGAGCACCTCAAAGCAATAATAGCACTGCGCTGGAGTGGCCATGCTGACACAAAGTTCTTGCAAGCAGTTCAAAGGATGCACTCAGATTCAAGAACGGGTGTGACGTAGAAGGCCTCCGCGATTGTCCGATAAGATACTGCCTTATCGAGCAGACGACTCTGATGATCCAACCTGGGAAGGCTAAGGCAACTCTGAAGGGGCCAGCAAGCAACAGGAAGACAGAATGCAATGCAGGGATAAGTCGAAGCAAAGAGGGAGAGAAAAGGACAAGGTCTAGAAGCAACCTTGGAAACGAAGCCCAATAGAAAAAAAGGATAGAACCAAGGAAAGAGGGGGACTGCACGTGACGACCTTATATAATGAAGGAAAATAGCCCTTTGGATTCTATAGATCCTAGTGTTGAGAACAGATTGTAGAATGTACATAGGACGCTCAGTGAGCTTTTCCTTGAAATAATCCGAGCACCGTCGTTAAGTGCGAGTGCTCAGTCGCCGAAAAACAAATCAAAAACAAGTGCTCGTTTCACATGCAAAAAACATATCCCATATCCCAATGACCTCTGGTTGAAAAAACAGTCCGATATTTAACCCCTAAGAACGCACTCGTAAAATTGATTTTTGGTTGTACGGATTGATGTTGAATTCGTGGGGTGCACACACCCCGCTTCTTTTTCCGTACTCATGCTCGGCCTGCTAATTTAGACGGGCAGAGGGAAGGCGCTGGCCCACTCGGCAACCTCCTTGCGGAGAGCGAGGATCTCGGGGACGCTGTCATCGGAGACCTTGGCCTTGAAGTCCTTGAGCTTGTTGGCCTCCTTGGGAAGCTCACCCTGGATCTTCTTGCAGAGAGTGATGGTCTGGTCGATGTAGCGGGCAATGCGCTTGAAGTCCTCCTCACCCATGCCACGGGAAGACATGGCGGGGGCACCGATGCGGATACCGCAAGGAGTGAGGGCGGACTTGTCACCGGGGATGGAGTTCTTGTTGCAGGCAATGTTGATCTGCTCGAGAACAGCCTCGACACGGGCACCGTCGAGGGCCTTGGCGCGGAGGTCGACGAGGACCATGTGGCTGTCGGTACCGTCAGAGACGAGCTTGTGGCCGAGGGTCTTGAACTCGTTCTCGAGGGCCTTGGCGTTCTTGATGACCTGGGCCTGGTACTGCTTGAACTCAGGGGTGTCAACCTGCTTGAGGGCAACAGCCAGAGCGGTGATGGTGTGGTTGTGGGGGCCACCCTGGTGTCCAGGGAAGACGGAGAAGTTGATGGGGTTCTCGAGGTCGTAAAGGATGTCCTTGCCAGCCTTGTCCTGGCCGCGGACACCCTTGCGGAAGAAGATCATGGCACCACGGGGACCACGGAGGGACTTGTGGGTGGTGGTGGTGACGACATCGGCGTACTCGAAGGGAGAGGGGATGACACCAGCGGCGATCAGACCGGAGATGTGAGCCATGTCGACAATGAGGTAAGCACCGACCTTGTCGGCGATCTCGCGCATGCGCTTGTAGTCAATCAGACGGCAGTAAGCGGAGGTACCGGCGACCAGGCACTTGGGGCGGTACATCTCGGCGTTACGCTCAAGGGTGTCGTAGTCGATGATACCGGTCTCGAGGTCAACACGGTAGGGGAAGGTCTCGAAGTAGGTGGAGACAGCAGAGATCTTCTTGGCGGGGGTCTGGTAACCGTGGGACAAGTGACCACCGTGGGGGAGGTCAAGACCCATCAGGCGGTCGTGGGGGCGCATGAGAGCCTGGTAGACCTGCAGGTTGGCAGGGCTGCCGGAAAGGCACTGGACGTTGACACCCCACTTGGAGTTGTCAAGGTTGAAGGCCTTGAGAGCACGCTGCTGGCAGGTGATCTCAATGGCGTCAATGTGCTGGTTGCCACCGTAGTAACGAGCACCAGGGTAACCCTCGGAGTACTTGTTACACATGGGGGAACCAAGAGCGTCGAAGACAGCACGGGAAGTGAAGTTCTCGGAGGCGATCAGGACGATCGACTCACGCTGGCGCTGGATTTCCTTCTCCTATAGAGGAATGTATGTTAGTAAAAGTAGGCTTCTGAGAGGGATGCATCCAATTGAAGGTTCAATTGATGCCAATCTTAAACGTACCATGATGGCAGCGACCTCAGGGTCGCTGGCCACGAGGGAGTTGTGCATTTGCTGTCAAGAAGTATGAGTCAATGGTCTGTGGCGGAAACATGTGCTGAAGGGAAACTCACGTCCCGGTGGGCATCGGAGAGAGCGTAGGTAGACATGATGAAGGATTATAATCTGTTTTCCGGATAAACAGAGAAGCAGAAAAGATTAAAATGAGGATGAGGAGGGGAAGAGAAGAAAAAAGAAATCGAGGTGGTGGGGGAGGGATCTGCGGATATGCCTGAGGCGTCCAAAAGAACGAGAACGATATCGGACCCGGATTAAGTTTTAGCTCATCAAAATTGTAAAGTCTCCCAAGGTTGATCCGTATAGCTTGGATCGTGGCGAATTTCAGTCTTGAGCTTGATAGAATTGGGATTGGATTCTGAAGTTGCACGTTTTTGGTATCTTGAAATATTCGCTAGAAACTCCGGGGTATCTCCTGTTGATAAACGCCCCCTCCAAAAAAGAATTCACGGAAGTCCCGCAGGAACGGGCGGGCTTGGGTTTCCCATTATGGCCCTATTTTCCTGTCTGTATGCGAGAGCGTAAGCTCCCACGGTCCTCGGGTTGTCCTCGGGGTGTCCTCATGTCGCGTTTGCTGCCCGCGTTCCAAAATCGGAGATGACAGAGCGTAGTCGGCTCATGTGGTTCTCCAATTCTGCAATTTCCTTTTGCTGGTCTTCAACGGACCGGTGTACATCGGGCAGGCCCTCGACAACCGTCCGAGCCTTTTGGATTCGAATCTTCACAGAGCTGGTCTCCGTAGGCAAGTTCTTCACGTCAAGCGGCGGGTGCGCACTCGGGTCGAGCATGGAGACATCTGGCACAGCCTGCGAAGCTGTAGTATGGCCATTATTAACGCTATCGTGTACGCCTGAGGTTGGCTGTTGACTTTGTGACTGGCCAGGCTCGGTCGAAGCTCCTGTCGCGTTTCCGGATGCGCCCGATGCACCAGCTGAGGGATCTTTGGGCGAAAGCAGACGAAGCAGAATCCCGTGTAGTGGTGGAATAATCTCGAAGGTCTGTGGTGAAGGGAAGGGCACTGTTTGGGGCGCTGCTGGCGCGTCTTTCAAGGGTGTCTCCGGCGCAACCGATGATTTCAGCATCGGGGTGCCTACTGTCGGGGACCGAGACGCCATTCTGGGGATGTTTGACTAACAGTCACCCGAGGGAAGATATCTGAGGAACGATCAGAACCCGGGATAGGGTAAGTTTTTAGGGAGAAGTCGGGGAGCTGTCAGTTTCCAATGGACCCGAGATACCGCCTTTCTCCGCCTTTGTCAATACAAAAGTGGCCATGTCGAAGTAGACTCGGAGTGGCATGATGATCATACGGAATGTTACTTCATGGCATGTCATTTTGGTCTTATACAGATTAAGCACCACGCAGGAATGTATAAGCTCGTTAGGTGAAGGCAGTACAAATTCCACCTATGTATTCAGTATGATAGTACAGAGTAAAGATTGAACAGTTCCACAAGACAAGCTACTCGGAAAGATAGCTCCAGCTACTGCTAGTAGAGTATTGCAAATCTGAAGTCTCTCATAAGCCAAGCGTTGGTCCACGGGAAGTATCAAAAAGCCGTGGAGGGAGCCGACGTCACCGGCCACCCGATTTTGTAACCCCTCCTTCACCGGCGGGCCTTTTTCTGCGTCTGTTCTCTCCTTTTTCTCGTTCAACTATCCAAAGGGTAAGTGCTGATTCTCATCTACGGTTCTCTTTTCCTATTTTCAGCAATTGATCCTGGTTGTGTCATTTTAGTGATATAGTCCATTACCCCACTATGGCTACTGTCGACCAGAAAGTCGCTTTGAGTATGATCGACTACCACCCAGGTCCCCAAAGCCAGCCCAGCTAATACGAACCTTGCAGTTGTCATCGATGGCTGGGGTGTTGCAGGCCCCAACTCCCCACCCCAGGGAGATGCCATCGCTGCCGCCGAGACCCCGCATATGTCCGGCTTCGCCGAGGCCAACTCCAAGACCGCCCAGGGTTACTCTGAGCTCGATGCCTGCTCCCTCGCTGTTGGTCTCCCCGAGGGCCTGATGGGCAACAGTGAAGTCGGTCACTTGAACATCGGTGCCGGCCGTGTTGTCTGGCAGGACAGTGTCCGCATTGACCAGACCCTCAAGAAGGGTGAGATGGGCAAGGTTCCCAGCGTGGTCAAGTCCTTCACCCGTGCTAAGGAAGGCAATGGACGTCTGCACCTTCTGGGTCTGGTCTCCGACGGTGGTGTTCACTCGAACATCACCCACCTGTTTGCCTTGCTCGATGTCGCCAAGGAGATGAAGATCCCCGAGGTCTACATTCACTTCTTCGCTGATGGTCGTGACACCGACCCCAAGAGCGCTGACAAGTTCATGCAGCAGCTGCTCGAGAAGACCAAGCAGATTGGTCTCGGTGCTGTTGCCACCGTCGTCGGTCGCTACTACATCATGGACCGCGACAAGCGCTGGGAGCGTGTTGAGGTCGGCCTCAAGGGTCTGGTTACCGGTGAGGGCGAGGACAGCTCGGACCCTCTCCAGACCATCAAGGAGCGCTACGAGAAGAAGGAGAACGACGAGTTCTTGAAGCCTATCATTGTTGGCGGCAAGGAGCGCCGTATCCAGGGTAAGTTTGACCTGTACACACAATTCAAGCCCAACAGAACTGACTTTCTCTTGTAGATGACGATACCCTCTTCTTCTTCAACTACCGCTCTGACCGTGTTCGTGAAATCACCCAGCTGCTGGGTGATTACGACCGTTCTCCCCGCCCTGACTTCCCCTACCCCAAGAACACCTCCCTCACCACCATGACTCAGTACAAGACCGATTACACCTTCGATGTTGCCTTCCCCCCTCAGCACATGGGTAACGTTCTGGCCGAGTGGCTCGGCAAGAAGAACCTCAAGCAGTGCCACATTGCTGAGACCGAGAAGTACGCTCACGTCACTTTCTTCTTCAACGGTGGTATCGAGAAGGACTTCCCCGGCGAGACCCGTGACATGATCCCCTCGCCCAAGGTTGCTACCTACGATCTTGACCCCAAGATGAGCGCTGCCGCTGTTGGCACCAAGATGTCTGAGCGTCTTAGCGAGAACAACTTTGACTTTGTCATGAACAACTTCGCTCCTCCCGATATGGTTGGCCACACTGGCGTGTACGAGGCCGCTATCCAGGGTGTTGCTGCCACTGATAAGGCTATTGGTGAGATCTACGAGTCCTGCAAGAAGAACAACTACGTTCTCTTCATCACCGCCGACCACGGGTAAGTTTCTCAGTGAACCCATAACAATTCAACATCAAGAGGAATCACTCGCTGACTTTGCAAAACTAGAAACGCCGAGGAGATGATCAACGAGAAGGGCACCCCCAAGACCTCTCACACTCTCAACAAGGTTCCCTTCGTCATGGCCAACGCCCCCGAGAGCTGGAGCCTCAAGAAGGGTGGTGTCTTGGGTGACGTTGCGCCCACTGTTCTGGCCGCTATGGGCATTGAGCAGCCCGAGGAAATGACCGGCGAGAACTTGCTCGTCAAGGCCTAAATAAAACTTTGCACACATGCACGTTTAGATATGAGTTGATGAATAGAATTCTGTGAATATGCACATTGTCTGCGTTATAGTAATACCATGCGCTGAGGTCTACCAAGTAGCTGACATGATACACTGCGATACCCGACAATCGGTTGATCATTTCTATGTTTTCATTAAAGTTTTGAGGGTATATGTATTGTGAGCCTGTTCCATGCGTCATTCGAAGTACCCCCCAAACTCCTTAGAGCGACTCGACGTCCACGCCCTTGCTCCTCGGCATGCATGATGCTGCGTCCTCCTCTCACAAAAGTATCTGTTCACTTTTGTGGGACTGAATCATAGCAAGTCGGCTGTGGTTTGGTTGGAATGTCCTTTTTGGCCAAGCGTCATTTGATATTCGAACTCATGCGGAGGCCCCGGCGGCGGCAGCTTGTTGCTGGGCCTGACTTTGCAACTGAATAATCTATAAGCAAGTTAGTATCATAAGGCCACGTCGTAGTACGCTATGGTGCGAGCGAGCGAAACAGCATAGACAATTCGAAGGAAGTGTATGCTGATGGTGGGGTAGTTACCTCTGTGCGCTTGGTCTCGCTCTTCGTCTGTGTCGCATCGATCTCGCTTTCAATTCGCTTGCTGTAGCTCTGTTAGCACAAGTCCCTCCAGTGCGCATGGAGATTCCGGAAGGCCATCAGCACTGACATTTCCTTCTCAATGAACTCGAGTCGACCGTTCACGGCCATGGTGGCCTCGCTCTTGTCTTGCTGCAGCAACACAGGGCCGACAAGCTTGTAGATTTTGGATTCCTCATCCAGACCGGCAAACTCGGTTTGCACGCCCTCGTTCTCTTGCTGCTGCGATTCAAGCTTCTGGCGAGCGTCTACCAGACCCTCGAGCTCTGGGCGCGCGCGAAAAGTCAGTCGCTGATCGTGCGATTGCATCTCATATAGAAACACACATACCGTTCTGGAGTCCTTGGAACTCTTCTGAAAGTGCCTGGAGCTGTTTTTGGGGGTCCATGATGAATTTGGTGGTGAAGTGAGAGGAGGGAAAATCAATCCAACTGCCCGCCCGTAAACAACTTCCTCTCTCCAATTCCCCTCCAATTCCATCAACCCTCGATCTTAGGGCTGCTGTGTCCTTGCTGTCTCTATTTGCGCCTAGAAAGCCTCAGTCTTTTATTTTCCCTTGCCCGCTGCCTATCACCCCGACCTTGGCCTCTCACCTAACCCTTGTTCCCCTCTCCCCGCTTTATCACCTCTGCCTCCGCGGTCGACTTGCCACAACCTCTCCGGAGCAAAACAGAACACCGAATCTTCGCCATTATGAGTAATACGGACTTCCTGGGCCGCGCGATCGATACGGTCAAGAAGGCTATTGAGGATGACAACAACGGCGAGTACGAAAAGGCTTATCAGACCTACTACTCCGCACTGGAGTTGTTCATGCTGGCCTTGAAATGGGAGAAGAACCCCAAGTCCAAGGAAATGATTCGCTCCAAGGCCGGCGAGTATATGGATCGCGCCGAGAAGCTCAAAAACCACCTGGCAGAGGATCGCAAAAAGCCGAGCGCAGTTGGCGCAAATGGCAAGGTGGCGCAGGGTAATGGGAAGGGAGGGTATGTTTTGAATATTCTATATCCATGCCCCGGACGTTGTGTTTGATTTCCTTTTTGGAAATCAGTAATCATTACCTCGTTGTATGCTGATCTGCGCTAACAACATATGAATGTACAGGAAGGAAGACGACGATAACGGCGAAGATGCGGATGCCAAGAAGCTTCGGAACGCGCTCCAGGGTGCTATCTTGTCAGACAAACCAAATGTGAAGTGGGAGGACGTTGCTGGTCTGGAAAATGCAAAGGAAGCTTTGAAGGAAGCGGTCATTCTTCCCATCAAGTTCCCACACTTGTTCACTGGCAAGCGCCAACCATGGAAGGGTATCTTGCTGTATGGCCCTCCGGGTACAGGAAAGTCGTACCTCGCCAAGGCCGTTGCAACCGAGGCAAACAGCACGTTCTTCAGCGTCAGCAGTAGTGACTTGGTCTCCAAGTGGATGGGTGAGAGTGAAAGGTAAGGCAGTATCTTGATTCGCAGGATTGTATACACATACTAATCTTTGTCTAGACTCGTAAAGCAATTGTTTAACATGGCCCGTGAAAACAAGCCTGCGATTATCTTCATTGATGAAGTTGATGCGCTGTGCGGACCGCGTGGCGAGGGAGAATCTGAAGCTTCACGGCGTATCAAAACCGAATTACTTGTGCAGATGGACGGTGTCGGTAATGACTCAAAGGGTGTTCTGATTCTGGGTGCTACCAACATTCCTTGGCAACTCGATGCTGCGATCCGGAGACGATTCCAGCGACGAGTACATATCAGTTTGCCGGATGTCAATGCCCGAAGCAAGATGTTCTCGCTTGCTGTTGGATCGACGCCCTGTCAAATGACCCAGGCCGACTATCGCCAATTGGCAGATCTGAGCGAAGGCTACTCAGGTAGTGATATCAGTATCGCTGTTCAGGATGCACTGATGCAGCCGATTCGCAAGATCCAAGGAGCAACACATTATAAGAAGGTACGTTTACCCAGTTCTCATCAGTCTTCTCACTAACTCATATGGTCTATCACAGGTCCTCGTTGAAGGCGCAGAGAAACTCACCCCTTGCTCGCCAGGGGATGCGGGGGCAGTGGAGATGAGCTGGCTCAACGTCGAAGCAGACCAACTCTTGGAGCCACCTCTGGTTCTCAAAGATTTCATCAAGGCGGTTAAGAACTCCCGCCCAACCGTCAGCGGCGAGGATCTTACCAGGAACTCAGAATGGACCCTCGAATTTGGCAGCGAAGGCGCATGAGCTAGATCATCCCCGCATATCATCGAATGGGTTTCACGTGAACTGTTTGATGCCCCGGCCTTGTTTTGGCCGTCTTCCCGACAGCAGAGACGTGGGTTTGTTTTTTTTTTTTTTTGCCCGTCCAGCATGGAGAAAAGCCGGAACGTTTTGCGCTTATGCCTACAGTCTGCATCTTATTATATGTTTGTTTCACGTTTTCATGTCAATGTTTGCTTCATCTCGTTTTGCTGTAATTTTGGTCGGTGTCTTCGAAGAGTTCGGTGTTTAGAAGCGTCTATCGATTACCTTTGGCCGGCTGGGCGTTTACTGAGCAAATATCTTGTGCGTCATTCCTCGCGGTTGTCCATATCATAATAGCGTGAATGCTACATACATCTTGTCTTGGGCGCACTGAGTTTTGAGTGTCGAACTTGAAGTACCAGCTAAAGACCTAAGGGCTGTCAACACGACCTCGCCAACTGTTCCAAAAGTTGTAAAAGACAATTCGAGAACCCACCAGAATGACATCGAGAATACCACCAGAAAAGATATCAGAAAAGTCTCGTGGAACAGCCTTGGAAACCCTTGGAAAGACTACCCAGTTGAGAGGCCAAGGAGCTAGTCAACTACAAGAGCAAGAAGGCAGTCTTCGCAACGGGGAAACAACAGAAACGAACCTGCTCCTCTTGGCTCAGTCGCTCCTTCCAGAGAACCAGTCACAGACTGAGGAAGCTTCCTGTTCTCTTGAAATGTATCTCATTTCCAGTCTTCATCTCATTCTTCGCTGGATCAATATTGAACATGTCTGAACAGGCATGTCCCCAATGCAACTCCACGCTTGCCGCCGATTTCTTCTCGTTGACTGGCGGAGAGAGCAGTCAGACAAAGAGCTGCGCCCTTTGCCTATGTCCCATCGAAACACCACAATCCACCGCACCTCAACAGGTCTCTGGTCCTAGTCAGTCGTCATCAGATCCTCTTGCGGGCTCTGGTTCCGCTTTGAATCCTATACCTGAGGCCCAGGGATCAGCCGCGCTACCATCGTCGGATCCTCCTGCGGGCTCTACTCTCACTTTGGATGATGCTATATTTCGAGAATACACCACGGTATTATCGTCCAGTTCTGCTGCAAGCTCTAGTGCCGCTTCGGATCTCATACATCAGGATTCAACCGCGCTATCATCGTCAGATCCTCCTGCGGAATCTGTTCCTACTTCAAATACAACACCTCAGGAACCAACCACACAACCATCGCCAGAAGTCTCTTTGAGAGAATGCACCCACTGCCGTAGAAAGCGCCCTCCCAGCGAATTTGTCTCGGAGCATGTCAAAGGCCTGACCCGACAATGTAAGAAGTGCCGCGATTCGCACAACAAAAGACGAAGGGAAGCTCGATCACAAATATTATCTGCCATAAAGGGCTTGGAAGGATCAAATGATCAGAAGCGTGGGGAGAAGGACAAGTCTAAAGATGTTCTCTCAGAGTGAACGCCAAGATGTGAGGTATGGGGGTATACGATCACGAGAAGGGGAGATACCTATGGTCGAAACTGTCAGCTCTTAGATCATATTCTTATCCGCCAACCCTTGTAACAATGAAAACCCTAAGTCAATACCCAATGCGCTGCCCTAATAAATTGGATGACAAATTCTAGAACCACAAGGTTGACCGTAAACAATCGATTGAACAAATAAGTACAAGTCCTCTAACGCCATAGTAAGGAACGGCAAAGACAAGTGAGATAGGAAGAGACAAAGCTTCGCGAACCTTGGAAGACAAAAGTCATATACTTGCAAGACATGTCGGGGGAATCTTTCATGACAGGGAGACGCTGGAAAAACAAGAGACAAAAACACAACGAATGATATCAACACGGCTTTTTTCACTATTGGCCAAACAGACTTCTGTTTGAGCCATCGCGCCGCTTGATCATTTCAGTCTTGGCTCGCTTCAAGCCCTCGCCCAGTTTCTTCGTTCGCTTCCAATCACTGCTCATATTCTTCATGCGGACGGCGGCTCGCACCATAGATATGGCGGATCTCAATTTGTGGCGCGGTGTGCGTACAGGAGCCCGGTCACGGGCTTGCACGCCCATCTCGGAGATCATACGGAGATCGGCATCGTTGCTGGGTGAATGTTAGCTTTGTTGGGAATGGGATTTTGTAAAGATGGGATAACGTACCATGCTACTCGGACGCGTTCACCAAGTTCCATTAAGCCCTTGCTCCAGGCAAGATCACGACGGAACTTCTCCTCTCGCTGGAGGCGAGCGCGAAGCCAGATGATTTCTTTGCCTAGGCCTCGAATCTCCTTCTCGTGCTTGGTCTTGTTGGTGGACTTGCTGAGAGAGTTCTTCTCCAAGCTCTCTTCGTGGCGTCTTTGCAGTAGATCGATGTTCTTAGTTGCCGCTTCAGCCTCGCGCTTGTGGGCGTCTCTTTCTTCACGGATACGGCGCACGTGTGTTTTCAAATCCGTAAGACGTCCCTCACGCTCGGAGAGTTTGAGGGCCAAGGATTCGGCCTCGAGGGTGGATGACCTGAGCAACTCATGGAAGTCCTTCTGGTCTTCCTCCTTCATGGCGGCACGTTCAAGGTCACGATTCTTCTTGTTCGCCTCTTGCAGAGATCGGTGTGCTTCGGCTACCTGCTTCCGTAATGATCGCAACTCCTCGTGCAACTTGTTGGACGGTGAGTTTTGCGGGGAATTTGGGTCGAATTTTCTCATCATTGCATCGTGAAGCTCCTTCTCCAACTCATCAACTCGTGATTTGTGAGTTTGCGCCGAGGACTTTTGTTTGGATTCACGGTGAAGAAGAATCTTCTCGCGTTTGCGTGATTCCTCCAAGCTTTGGCGGAGTAAAGAGAGATCGCCATGTGCGCCAGACTGCTCGGTGTCCATGGCAGGCTGCTGTTCCAGTAGAGCCTCAAGACTCTGCAGACGACGCTCTAAGCGTTGTACCTTAGTCTTGGCTGAAGTAAGTTCCCGGTCCCGGTTGCCTGAGCCTGCAAGCAATTTGTCCTGAAGACGATCGATCTCAGCTGAAAGACGGCCTTCCTCTGATGCAAATCGCTCAGTCTCCAGCACAATTTGTTCTTCGAGGGAGGCTTTCGCGTTTTGCAGGATTTTAAGATCGCTATCGAGCTTTGTCACCGTTCTGCGCAGTTCAAGCTTCTCGCGGTCAAAGCGAGTGGTGTCATCTGCGTTCGGTGCTTTGTCGAGTTGGGCATGGAGCTCGTCGCGTTCGGCCTCAAGTTCCTGTACTGAATTGCGCAACTCGTAGAGCTCGACATGGGCGTTGGCAAGTTGATCGCGAAGCTTCTGGCGTTCAGCCAAAGACTGCTCCAGCTTCTTGTCCATATCAGGGCTTGCATTCTGTCGACCCTTCGCAATTTCTTGTTCATCTGCCAGCGTTGATTGAAGAACGATGATCTCGTCCTCCAAAGCCTGCACTTTCTCTGCAAGTGCAGTTTGATCACGTCGCGATAACCTGGCTTCCTCCTTGGTTGCAAAGAGCTCTTCGCGCTTTCCATCAAGATCACGCCTTGTTCTTTCGAGATCATCCTTGAGGTCTTGGATTTGGCGTTGCAACATAGTCTTCTCTTGGGTGGACCGCTTCTTTTCGCTGTCGACGGCATCCTGCAGCCTCGACTCCTTTGTGGTATAGGTATTACCGGCTTCTTGAAGTGTATCGATTTTCCGTTGCAGGTCGGCCACTTGGCCTTCAGCCCATGTTTTCTCAGACTGCAGGGCCCGTTTGCTGCTCTCCCATCGGCTTTGGTCGACTGCAAACCGACCCTCCTTCTCCTCAATCTCGTGCTGAAGGTTCTCAATCTCCTCTTGAAGCTTTTCGACCTGTATCTTGTGCTGCCAGTGGAGTTTGTGACCTTCGTCTTGGGCGTGGGTGGTGGCCTCGTTGACGGCTTTCTGAAGCTCCCGGATTCTAGATTGAGCTCGCTCAAGTTCAGTTTGCAGTCCGCCCGATTCATCGGTCAACGCTTGATGGCGAGTTTGAAGAAGTTCCTTTTCATCTGATTCGCGTTGGAGTTCATTCAAGGTCTCTTGTAGTCGAACGGAAGTCCTGTGCAAATCATGTTGGGCTTGGTCGCGATCTCGCTTAGCAGACTCAAGATCTCTGATTAGGTGGTTGTTGTCTTCCAAGCCATGCTGAAGAGCTTGGTGGTGCTCTTCTAGGCGAGTCACATGGCTCGTCTTGCTGTCAAGCTCAACTCTGAGAGCATTATTCTCTTGTTGTAGATCTCGTAGCTCTTGCTCGAGTTGTTCTGTCCTTTCCTCCATTTGGCGACTTAATCCTTTTGTCGTGAAGGACTTGTTGGACATTTCATCTTGCAGCTCTCTTAGATCCTCCTCGACGCGTTCTTTATCTTCCACGGCCTGCCCCATGGCAACGTCTGCTTCCCTGCTCTCGGCCTGAGCTTGGTCCAGACTATCTTGCAGCTCTTGAATCTGCTCTCGGGCACGATCGAGTTCTTGCTGAAGTTCTGAAGCTGCACCATTTTCCTCGACATTGCGTCTCAAATCGTCCAGCTCCTCTTCACGCTCCTCGATAACTCGATCTTTTTCCCTTGAGCTTGCTTCAAGATCTTCAATTTCGTCTCGAAGCTTTTCGGTCACTTGTGATTGAGAATCCTTGAGATATCGCAGCTCCTCGCTTGTTTCGCGCAGTTGATTGTCCCGCGATTCAAGCTCTTCGCGCATCATGTCCATCTCTCGCTGCACTGTCTGGTCGGCTTGCTCGCGCCATCTCTTCCCCTGTAGCTCTACCAGCTGGACTTGGTATTCATCGGCAGCTTTCTCTGCTTGCTGGAGATTTTTCTTGTATCGAGAAATATCGCGTTGCATCGTCGTTTTTAGCACTTTGAGCTCGGTGTTTTCCTTGAGGGCTTCTTTATTCGTTTCAGGGCCGACCTTTTGCAGTTGTTCCTCCATAAAGTGGATCCTGAGCTTCAAGTTGAAGTTGTCTTTGCTGAGTTTGTCAAGAGCCTATTTAAATTTGGGTCAGCTTACGGACGAATTGAATCTGGCTCTGCGGGCAAACTGAGAATCTTACTATCGCCTGCTCTTTTAGGGACAGATTATTATGACCGTCACTTAGTGGTCCTGCGTCGCGTCCGGGTAAAGGTGTACTTTGCGCACTGCTACTTGCAGCATGTGGTAAAGGAGTCGCCTCGTCCATCGTTCGGTCTTCTTCATATATGTCGGACATATCCATCGCAGGTAAACCAGGCGTGTGAGCGTTGCTGCGGTACGTCTCTCGTTGATACCCCGGGGTTTTGGGACCGTCTCCACCTCTAGCAGCTGACATGTTCTTCATGTAGTTGTTTTTCGTGGCGCTTTTCATCAGAGGTGTAAATTCCCCCTTCCCAGGGCCTGCAGCTGGAAGATGTCGCAACGCGCTTCTGGTCGATTTCGAGGCGGCACCGGCGCGGGGTGTGACGCGTTTGTCGAACCCTTTTATCACATCGTTGTCTTTCGAAGGCGTTTGGAATGAATTTTCGAGAGAATCGAGTGCAGACAGGTGAAGTCGCCCCGCGCTGCGAAATCCGTTGGTGAGGTAGGTCGCGTTCCCGTCAATTTCCGTCCGTGGTGTGTCAATGTAAGGGTAGGCCATGTTTTCGGTGGAACACAGTATAGGCCAAATCCATTCAGCGTCCGACCATCACTCTCGAGGCAGGAGCGAAGATATGGAATGAATGCACGTTTCGACGTGTTTTGGAGATCCGCATCAGTCTGTTGATTTCTAACCTATTTGGGACTAGTGGGTGGGCTACTATCAGCGAGTAAGAGTCCGGAATGCTCGAGGCGGTGAATTTCACATGGGCAAATCCCTCCCTAGCATCTTTTTTTTACATTGACGTGTATGAGGTCATTGTTAATTCTTCGTCACAATCCCAATCATGACTTCCGAGGAGGATCTTGCCTGGTTCCAGTCCACCTTCAGGCCTATTCCTAAGCCAGAGCTTCCCGACGACGCGGTCGAATACGCCATTTTCCACATTCCGTCTTCCCCCGCCCCCGCCGTTATCGATGAAGCCGCCGAGACTCGCGCGCGCTTGCTCGAGGTACAACGGACTGCAGCGGAGCTAACCAAGGATCTGCTCAAGGATTACATTTGGCAACGAGAAGCTTTCCGATTGGAAATCGCAAAGGAAGATGGTGAGTTATAACTCTGAGAAATATATTCGAGGATTGAAGCTCATTCTTTATTTAGGTATCACCTTGCTACAGGGTCGCACCAACTATGGCGATTCCATTGAAGACGAATGGGTCATTGTATACTTCCTCCGGGAGTTGACCAAGCGGCATAAAGACATTTGGGTGAAAGTCATGGACAGCGACGGCGAGTTCCTTCTCATCGAAGCCGCAGGAACACTCCCCGCATGGATAGAGCCAGACGTTGCCGATAACCGGGTATGTGGTGTTCTGCATCATCAGCTTCAGGGGTTTTATGCTTATCTTAATCTACAATCTACTAGGTTTGGATCAACCAGGGAGACCTCCGAATTATCAAGCCGAAACAAGAGACCAAAAGACAAGTCACCGAGAAGATCTCCCTCCCAGAAGCACGAAAGATCCTCCGTGACGAGCCTGGTCGTCTACTTCGCTCGACAATCATCCAAGAAGAGGCCTTCTTCCGTCTACGCAAATACCCTCAGCAGATAAGCGAAAACCTTCACTCTGCAGTCATCACAATTCCCCGCAAGGTCGCTTTCCTCCTGCACCAAAAGCCAGCTTACATTTCGCCCGCCGTGGAGGCATTCTACGTCCGCGATCCAATCGCACTACGGCCGCTAAAAGCGAAGGATGCCTCCGGTCTGACCTTCAAGCCCGATGACCTGGTCAACGTCAGCGTTCGCTTTACTCGCGTCGGATATGCGCAACTCAAAAGCCAGGAATTCCCTGTTCCGAGCACATGGGCGGGCAAATTGCCCGAGCCCGAAGACCAAAAGTCGTATGACCGCGCAGAAGCAGGAATGAAACTCGCTTGTGGTATGGAGATGCTGCTTGCTGATCCCCAGAACCAGGATAAGGCCGTGGTCAGGGAAATGAAGCTGCTTCTTGAAGATGTGGAGACGGGGGATGAAACCCTTCCCACTGATAAAGAGATCCAGGAAACCTGGGATAAGCGCGAAGATGATGAAAAATGGCTCGATATCAACTTCGAAGACTTGGAGACTGAACTGAAGGGTAAAACCTCGGGCAAACAAGCCGAAGCCGGCGATTTTGGAGACTCCGGTGCTCAGGAAAATCTCCAGCGCATCGTGGCCCGCTTTGAGGAGTTCTTGAACGACAACTCAGCGGGCTATGAGGGAGCTGATTTCATTGATGACTTTGAATCAGATTCTGATGTTGATGATGACGATGAGGAAGAAGAGGAAGACAGTGAAGGCGAGGATAAAGACGCCTCGTTTAACGAAGAAGAATTCGCCAGAATGATGGAGGAAATGATGGGCATGCCATCTTCATCAGACTCCATCCGCAAGCGAGTGCAGGAGCTGGACTCCGATGGAGAGGATGACACAGAACAGATCAAAGAACTCAGTCGTCGGATGGAAGCTGAATTGCAAGGCACCGGCGTCCTCGACCTCAAGCAACGTCAACACAACCTCACATCCGATGGATCAGGTGAATCCAAAGGCAAGACCGCTAGCAAGTCGAAGCCTGATGACGAGGACGATGAAGACGACAATATCAACATCAACCTCGCGAAGAATTTGCTGGAGAGTCTCCAAGGCCAGGGAGGTATTTCCGGCCCAGCGGGTAACATGTTATCCATGATGAATATGCGCATGCCCAAGGATGATCGAGCTTGAGTATGACCGGATTTGGGTATCCTTCTTCGGCACATTTGAGAAATGAGCCCCGTGGTATTTTAGGATCCCCATTCACGGACAGGCGCACAACTCTATCATGCAAGGCTTCCAACCCAGCAAGGAGGGATTTGCCGGTCAATGATTCAACAGGTCACACTTGACCTACCAGCTACGCCTTGCTGTTTATCACGGCCTGTGTGTTTAACGGGTCCATCACGGGCGATATATCCTAGGCATCACAGAGTCGCACATGTGACGAACACGTTATACACAACGTGGCCACGGGATCAAACAGACCGGCACACATGCTTCTCTTCGGGGACTGTAGAAAATTGTCTTGTATCTCGACGCAAACATCCGTCGCGCGACCTTCAAGTCCCAAAGTTGTTACAGACTATGGTTTCGGCCCCAGCGGTGCCGCGATGGAGCTCAGCAGTTTCGACCTTTTTTGAGACATAGACAGGAGGGTCTACCCGTAGCCCCTTGTATATATGGGCAATAAAATGTCTTTACCCTGGATATCAGGCAATATCTTCCTATTCAAACCGAACGTTACAATATCACCAACCCAGAAGTAGCAAATGCACCACAAATTCCAATCTACAGAAATGCAACGTGGTCCGAGGCATATGTACGATCTCAACCCCGAGTAAGCGCCGATCCTGGAACAGCTGAGCCCAGCGTCCACGAGTCTCGTCTTCGAAAAATGAGGCTACAAGGAACAGTTTCACAAAAGTACGTACCCCGATCGCCACCGATCAGCAACCTGGTACCTGAGACGATCAAGCAGCAACCGAACAAATCCACGTGGCTCTTGTTTCAGTCTCGGTTCTCGGCGATACCTAGGCGAAATGGGCTAAACGCCGCTAGTGATGACCTTAATCCAGCGCTAAGAGTAGTAACTATACTCCGTAGTCCCGTACGGAGTAATCTCATCCATCATCCCCGGAGATGTCGGGCACCAAGGACCTGCCCAAAGGAGGGAGGATTCGGAAATGTGTAATAAACTCAATTAGAACCCATTTCCGTCACGGAAGAATGGTGGATTCCGGAACGTGAAAGGTGGATAGTGACATTAGATCCAATTTATAGACCTTCAAGTGGGACGGCTAGAGGACTCGGCAATCTCACCGTTGGAAAAAGTGTCGTGTGCCTGTTGAGGCGAGGGATCCGCTCGGGTTCGTTTGCGGTGACTGGATGGGTTTGCCGGTCGCTTCACAATTGGTACCCGCCTTTTTTTCTTCTTTTTTTTCCTATTTTTTTTTCTCTTTTATTTATTTTGTACTTGACTCCGGTATATTGAATGTTTGGGCTTAAATCCCTCATATGAAACGGATTGGAAATCAACCTAGCCTAGACTAGGGGGAGGGGCAGATGCCGGCCCTAGAACCCTTAGAAACGGCTGGGGAACAAAGTGGAAATGTCGAACAAGGATGTTGAAGGATGTTCAAGGATGTGCGATTACTCCAACTCCTCCTCTACTCCGTAGGGTCCGTAATCTGCCGGGGCAATTGCTTTTTCGGAGAGAGTGTTTCACGTTGGAACTTGTCACTATCCCGGTTCTGGACAGGGTAGTCTATACTCCGGAGTGCCCATAGGGAAGTGCAGTACTCCGTACTTCGTACCTACAAGGTACTCTGCACCTGGTGGACAAAGGGATGGCAGCCACTTATTATTTACTGGAAACCAACTCCGGGGATAGTCAGGAGTAGCAAGAGATCGCCTCAATGACCACACGACTGACAAAGTTTACCATGCAGATCCCTGTCGATGAGAATACGGAAACGCTAACTATCCCGATTCGGATGTCCCACTTAAGTGTACTCCGTACTCCGTAGTAGTGGATGGATACGAGTGTCGAGATCCTTCACACTTGGAGTGACCATAACATGGAGTACGGAGTATGTGTGACAGGACAAATCGGAGGTCTAGGACTGTGATCTGACACATGCTGATTTCCGACAATAAATAGAAGAAACAGAATAAATAAAATAAATGAATTGATTAAAATATAAAGAAAAGAGAAAAAGCAAAGAAAAAGGTGACAATTTCGGATAGATCATAAGCCTAAGAGAGAGAGACCCCCCCTGTTTGCAGCCAACGGTCCAGACAAATTAATTGGCGGCCCGACCTTTCACATGCAGCATTCCTCGAGTACGAGGGAGACATTACGGAGTAGAGATAGTCAGTGTACGGAGTAGAGAGAAGTAGAGTAGAGTCGAATATAGTCATAGTAAACCCCAAATAGAATTGAAGGAGAAATCCGATATGCGAGACACTCATGTACGTAAGTACGTAAACCAAAGAAAAGAAGAAAAAAAAAGAAAGTGGAGCAGTGGAGAAGTTCGATGGAAGAAAAGAAGCCGGTCTTCGCCCGAGAGACTTTGTGGCGAGCCCCTTCGATTATTTATCACCTTCCCACTCTCCCCTTCACCTTTTTTCCCCGGAACCTGGTGGACCCGCATACCAAGATGCATTGCCATGCTTGAAAGATGGAGTTCATTGTATGTATCGACGAAGTACCTTCTGACTGATCCTCACTGACTCCGTCACTGCAGCTCTCGTTGACGCACTTCTGTGAAGTGCATGGTCCAACTTCGATCATCTGCTCACAGGTCCTGCCTTTTTCATGCCCGCAATGCCATGATGACTCTCCCCAGGGCACTCCTGTCTCACAGGAGTCCCGCTCCGACGACTCCCGATCTCCAAAGTCCGGCTCCAAGTCGCCTCGGATAGAGGATTCTCCCTACTTCCTGCAGCACCCAGCCACCCCCGAGGAGAAATCCAGCCGCAGCGGCGCAAATGGAGACACCTGCGCCAGTTGCAGCCTGTCTCTGCCCGAAGATGTGAGCCGGCAACTGCCACCAGGCGCCCCTGGCAGCCGCGACGCCAAAGGAAACAGCACCAGTCCCGTTCTGCGCTCGCGCGAGGTCGTCTACTCATGCGGCAACAGCCATTCCGACATGGACGATGAAACAGACTCTCACGCTCACGCCTCTCCTCCCGAATCTCTACACTCCGCCTCCGTCGCCTCAGACGCCTCATGTCACACCCACATTCACACCTACCTCTCTCAGCGGGGGCCGCCGAATCCGGCCAACTACGCTCTCCTCCGCCGATCTTCCATCCGCACCCTCAGCTGCGAACTCCTTCCTCGCGGCCTCTCCTCCGGCCCCATCTGTTTCGGCGATGGCGTGGCCGGCTACACAATCGCATACATTTTCCGACTCCCGGACCCGATGGCCCGTGGCAAGCGTCGCAGTTACGCATTGGTGGCTCTAGCCGGACGTGATGCCGGAAGAGCTTTCCGCGCCTGCCCCATCATCTGGCGGGCCTTCGGTCGTATCGCTGCCAGCATCGTGAATGCCGCCGAGCGTTTCCAGGAAGACGAAAAGACCCGTGATGAACAGAACAACCCGGGCAGACAGCCCGGCCGCCAATACCCACCCGTTTCCTCCTTCCTCACTGGCCGTGGTATGGACCCGGCTGGTCGCCGCGCGGCAGGCCAAATCCGTGCTCGCAATCTCGCTGAAATTGTCGGCAACGAATACATCTTTACCGAACTGCATGCTCATTTCGTCGCACTTCTACAGCAACTGGGCACCATGTTTGGCGGCATTCCTCTGAATGAGGAGCGTTTCGTCTGTAGCACCGTCGGTGATGAAGAAAACACCAACGACGCTCAGCCGGTCTTGGTCTCTAAGACGGGACCCCCGAAAGACGGTCAGAAGTTCGACGACGAAGAAATCGATTTGTCAAGCCTCGAAATCTCCGCTGGGCCGAAGGCTATTCCCATTGCGCCTCGCCAACCGGTCATGGCATGAACTCTTTTCCTCCCATTTGCATTCGCCTCTTATTGAGATACCCGCCTGCTTGCTTTTTTGATTCCAGGCATTTCGCTTCTACCTTGTTCTTTTTCTCTTCCTACTTCTTCTCCTTCTCGCGTTTGCTTTTTTTTTTGGGTGTTTTACACGATTCGCAAGATGATACGGCAAAGTTTAACGATGCTGATCCTGCATTTAGCCTCGGGGTTTCTTCGTTTCGTTTCGTTTTTGATTTTTTTCGTTTGGTTGCGATATGGGTATGGGCATAGACATGGCGCCTTGAAGACACGGACCGGAGTTCTTTTTCTATCTCACAGCCTTACTTTTCTTTTGGCGATGTGCCTTTCTTCCTCTTGGAGGTTTCATTTGATCATCCTCAAGTTCAGCGAGCCTCGCTTTTGGCCGACGTTTACTGTCAAGATGCCATGATCACGGGATCATCAAGAGACATGTACTTTATGTATTATTTGCTCACGAATCTATTCAGCCCGAGGGCTTCTTTCTATTGAACAACTGGGTGTTGTAAGAAGTAGTTATGATATTCTCCATGCAACTAATATCACTCCGGGATGAGCTGTCAGTGATGTGAGCTATAAACTTCAACATGGTCACACAATTTGAAATTCAATCAATTCGGACAGCGTAAAGAATAAATCACCTTGCCCAGATTTAGTGAACGCTCTTGAGCCTTCAAGATATTGACCGGAACAACTTTGATCCCGAATTAGTCCGGGGCGGGCACAGTGCCACAATCCAAAAAATCAAAAAGAGAGATACAAAGCAAGTACAAAGTCAATACATCACCTCCCACCTCCCTCCAGCAACATCAAAATGGTCGCCTTCGATAAGTGTGAGACCCGGCCGGCCCATATTGAGACCATTCTCAATGGCCTTGACCGATACAACCCCGAGACCACCACCACCTTCCAGGACTATGTCTCCCAGCAGTGCGAGGACCGGTCATTCGACTGCTACGCCAACTTGGCCCTCCTGAAGCTGTAAGTTGGCGCCCTCTCTCCTCGAAAAGATTGCGCAGCGACTATGTCTGGAAAAATATCTTCATGATGATCCCCTCAATACTCGATATCTTGATATTGTTGAGAACCTCATGAAGATCCCAAACGAGAGATCATGCCATTGCATGAGAAACCTGGCATAGAAAAACCTCTCGTGCAATACAAACGACCCTCACAATCCTTCGAACCACAGCTAACCCACCTCTCAACCCCCAGCTTCCAGTTCAACCCCCACCTCCTCCAAGCCGACACCGTCACCAACATCCTCGCCAAGGCTCTGACCGTGTTCCCCTCCCCCGCCTTCTCGCTCTGCCTCGCCCTGCTCCCACCAAGCACCCAGCCCTTCCCCACGACCACCGAAGCGCAAGCCGCATCCCAGCAGTCCGACTTCGTCGAGTCCGTGCAGAAGCTCACCCGCCTCTCTACCCTCCTCGAATCCGCCCAGTACGCCCAGTTCTGGTCCACCCTGAACTCCGATGACCTCTACGCCGACTTGACCGCTGACGTCGCCGGCTTCGAGGAGCTTGTGCGCATCCGCATCGCCGTCGAGGTCGGCAAGACCTTCCGCTCCATCACTGCCGAGAACCTCGAGTCCTGGCTCGATGTTCGCAGCCGTGACGCTCTTGACAAGTTCGTTGTTGACGTCTGTGGCTGGAAGGTCGATGGCGCTGTTATCCGCGTCCCTACCAACAAGGAGAACGAGGCCCGCTCCGAGGTTAAGAGCGAGCACGTTGGTATCGAGCAGTTCGGCCGTGTTATCCGTCGTGGCTTTGAGCTTCCTGCATAAATTTGAGAAAGAGCTGTTTTGGTGACGAAATGTTCTTTCTCATTTTACATGTTCTCTTTTTTATTCTTTTTGAAAACTTCTCCTTTTATTTGACCACAAAAATTTGTGTGAGGGAAAGATTCGATTTCCGTTCATGACATGAGTCCATGATTCCACCCTCGATCAAGTGATGAACTTTCGACTTAGGTGATAGATTTCGCATGAAGGAGGGGCTCGGATGTGAGTCGGGACCTGGCGCATCTGGCGTTTATCTTTTTCCTTTTTTTTTTTTCTTTTTTTTCTCTTGTCTGTATTGAATTCCTTATTTTACTTCTGTGCTGATTGCACTGGATGACGGGAGACAGAGAGATGTGATGTTTATACCTTGACATAACAGAACACTTAACCCGGGCTACTACTATGTAGTGCTGGATTTGCTGCCAATATCAAAAATCATACAGAGCTATTTTCAACTTAGGGCAATGTTCTTGAAAGAGCCATGTTTCTTTCTTGCTTTCTCATTGTGTATATATGCACCCCTGTGTGTCGAGGAATACTGAGATCGACTTGACCTTGAAATATAGTATCATCTAACAGTTTATATATCTGGCTGAATCACTGGAACAGCCTTCAGAACATATTCTTTATTCAGCTCGAGGTCTGCTCATACACAAGGCTTACTTCATGATCTGTTAAGACTGAATGATAGCAATTACCAATTGCAAGTTACGTAGCAGTTGACGATGTGGTCTCACTACTTGTTGAGTCTATCCCCGTGGGATCTCGCACCGGGATAGCTGGTTGATTGATGTCGTCTATGAATATACGAATACTTCAAGTTCCTTTTCATATCTCTTAATCGACCATCCACAAGGCCAATGTAAACAGATGCACGCATATGCGACAATACTTTGCACCTTCCCTCCCAACTCTCTATAAGATCCAACTCTTTCAGTCTTGTCATTGCGAACGACAATGAACACCTTGGAACCTGCATTACGCGGAGAAAGGCACTTTCTTCACGCATGATTCTCAGATGTAACAACAGGGATCTTGCGACTTCGAGGCGCATAATGAATCACGCCTTTGATATGATCTTCAAGAAAAGGCGTGGAATCCTGCCCATTGCCATCATGTAAGTCCGCAATTCTTCTGGCGAGCGATGAGTCTTGGGGCTTGTGCCGAAATATTGTCCAGGTATGGCTTTTTCTGGATAGCCGAAGCAGGTAGACAGGTATGACTATCACTTGAGTATGGGCGTTGTCATAGTTGTACTCGTCGTTGTTGAAATCGAGCGCAAAGTAGGTGTGTCGTGTCCATACTTCCACTGCCAAAAGCTGCAAGTTCGCCTTTTCTTTCCAGGAGTCGACGAGGCTTGAGATTAGTTCGCGAGTTGAGGCTAGATAGTCTTCGGGATTCAGCTTTTCGGTAGGGAGGTCGCCTAGGATTCGGATTGAGTGATGCGTTTCGAGGGCGTCGGATACAGTTTGGTTCACTTTGTCCATGGAGCGTGTAGGGGGCCTTGGGCTTCTAGATAGCTCGTGGGATAAGAGTAAACAGTTGTTAAGAGTCTTGCAAACCAGGTGCTTCTAGGTCTCAAGAGCATATGTTACCAAGGGCGTCATGCAAGGACCAAAGCACCTGGGCAAGCGGTGAAGCTTAGCCATGTTGTCTCTTGCCCGGCGCAATCCAGGATGCTATTAATGGCTGAACTAGGCATCACGTTGCAAAGTTGCAGTATAAACGTCCCTGTGGGGCTTTTTTATAAATATGTACGTCTGCAGATCTATCATCTACTACAAGTGTATGCAAAATGACCCGAGTCATATCCTATTTCATCTCCTCCCACTGCACACCAGCCCATTCCTCGCGCCAACCGGTGACGCCCAACTCCTGCGGTGCGCAATCCTTTGAACAAACACCCATAATGATAGTACCCCACTCCATGCCCGCATCATCCTTTCCAAGGCCAACGCCAGCGCGCCCCTCTTCAAGCATACTAATAGCATGCGGCACAAGCTGGAACTCAAAGACACGGTGGCTGCCGCAGTACTCGCACGAAGGAATGCTACCTGCGCCAATAGTGCTAACCTTAGTGCCAGGATCGGTGTTGACATGAAGTCGAGACCCGATAGCATCAACGGTTGAGTATAGGAGCGGTGCGCCGCGGAATTCATATCGCAGCACTTGCTCCGGGTTATGCGAGAGACGAGTCGAGAACTTCATGAATGCCTTGTCGAGCTCGGACTCGAAAGTATCCTTGAGCTCGGCGCCACCGGCGCCTTCTTCTTCCATAGGCTCCATCTGGACATTGTCAGGGACCGTGGGTGTTGAGGGTCGTGAGATGGTCTCGTATTCAGCGTCTAGGTAGAAGTTCTTGTACGGTGTCGGGAATTCAGACTGAGCGGGCCATGGCGCCGGCGTCGATGATTCGGGCGTTTGCTTAGAAGCGGCCACGGGAGGCGGCGAGGAAACACGCACTTTGTCTGCGAAGGACTCGGCAAGGTTGTTTGCTGAGGGCTCGGGCTTCGCGACTGGTGCCTGGGTTGACGGGGCTGGTGTCGCGAAGGGGTTGCTTCCAGCTGGTGTCGGACCTGAGGAGAAAGGATTGGTGTTTGCGGAGATATTGCTGGTCAGGTTGGTTGCGCCGAACAGGCTTGCGCCGAGGTCCTGCTTGGGTGGTTCGGGGGCGCTGGGCTGCGGGGCTTCTTCCTTGGGTTCGGCTTTGGGTGCGCCGACAGTGACCTTGCGCGATGCGCGGAATGCTCGAATGCTGCCTGGTTTGCGGTTGCAGGGTTTTCGGGGGCATCCAAATACGTATAGGCGCCGTTCGTCGGTCGGGAAATGATCGGGTAGGTCGCCGTGCAGCTCGAGGAGAAGGAGCATTGGAGAGTTGCAGACTTTGCAATTGGCAAAGTCGCCAGGCGCAGGAGAGGCATCATCGAGCCATTTCTATGGGAGAAATGCGATGGTCAGTGGTGTGGTTTACTTTTTAGTGGCGGGACTTTCGGTGGAACATACCGGCCAGCCTCCAAGATGACTGATTGTGTCTTCGATAAGTTCTTCGGCGGCATATCCTAGAAGGACACCAGTATCGTCGAAGTCCTCATCCCCACTGGAGTCACTGTCGTAGTCCATTGCGGTAGAATTGCTAAGGCTGAAGTGGATTGATTGGGTATCGAATCTGCAAAGACCCCTCGTTCAAAAAAATGGCGATAAGCGATATGGAGATGCGCTAGTCCGAAAACGGACTAGTATATCGTCCGTCCCTCTAGATTTCTCTTGTCACGACAAATTTCAATACTCCTTGTACACTTGCGCTATAGCCTTTTTACCCACGCACATTATAGCAGCCATGGCGGACGTTATCCCCCACAACAGCTTCGACACCATCCTTGTGTAAGAACACCCAATCTCAACCACAGCAACAGAAAGAAACTTACAAAACTGCCCCTCGTCGGCGGACTTTAGCCTGGACTTTGGTAGCCAGTACACCCACCTGATCACCCGTCGCCTCCGAGAGATCAATGTCTACTCTGAGATGCTCCCGTGTACCCAGAAGCTCGCCGAGCTGACCTGGAAGCCCAAGGGTATCATCCTCTCTGGAGGTCCCTACTCCGTCTACGAGGAAGGCTCCCCCCACGTTGACCCCGCCTTCTTCGAGTTGGGTGTCCCTGTTCTGGGAATCTGCTACGGTCTCCAGGAGATTGCCCACCGTCTCCACGCCGATAACGTCGTCGCCGGTACCTCCCGTGAATATGGTCACGCCGACCTGAAGGCCACTCGCTTCGGAGGCCATGTGGATAAGCTGTTCGACGGTCTCGAGGATGCCATGACCGTGTGGATGTCCCACGGTGATAAGCTCTGCAACCTGCCCGAGGGTTTCCACACCATTGGTGAAACTCAGAACTCTGAGTTCGCTGCCATTGCTCACAAGTCCGAGCCCGTTTACGGCATTCAATTCCACCCCGAGGTCACCCGTGAGTCATCGATTTCATGGAGATAGATGTAGGTTGGATTTTGTGCTAACAAGTATTCAGACACTCCTCAAGGTGGTCAGCTTCTTAAGAACTTCGCTGTTGGCATTTGTGGTGCCGACCAAAAGTGGTCTATGTCCGAGTTCATTGGCCGCGAGATCAAGCGCATTCGCGACCTTGTTGGCCCTACCGGTCAGGTTCTTGGTGCGGTTAGCGGAGGTGTGGACTCTACAGTTGCTGGTAAGTTCAACCCAACGAGACCTGGAGACCTTGCCGAGGGCAGTTTGGATATCCAAATTGTCCTTGAGTTGGGTGTAAAGGGAACACTGTTGCGATCAACAAAGAGCAATGACTAACCTGATGTGATCTGAATAGCCAAGCTTCTGACCGAGGCTATTGGAGACCGTTTCCATGCGTAAGCTCTTCTCTTTGTTCACATTCCTGGGAATTGACGGCTAATTATTACAGTGTGCTGGTCGACAACGGCTGCATGAGACTGAACGAGTGTGAGCTTGTCAAGGATGTTTTGGAGAAGCAGCTCGGTATCAACCTTACCGTTGTGGACGCCAGTGAAGAGTTCTTGGCTGGTCTGAAGGGAGAGAACGACCCCGAGAAGAAGCGTAAATTCATCGGTGGCAAGTTCATTGTGAGTTTCACTCGTTCCACTAATCATCTCATCACTAGCTTCGGTCGCTAATTATTATAGGATGTGTTCGAAGCCGAGGCCCGCAAGATTGAGGCCTCCTCAAATGGAAAGGTCGAGTGGTTCTTGCAGGGAACTCTCTACCCTGGTAAGATCATTCCGCAATTCAGCTGGATGCACGCTAATAGCCTATTTTTTAGATGTCATCGAGAGTATCTCTTTCAAGGGTCCTTCCCAGACCATCAAGACTCACCACAACGTCGGAGGAATTGCCGAGCGTCTCATGGCTGGTCACGGCCTGAAGCTCATTGAGCCATTGCGCGAACTCTTCAAGGACGAGGTCCGCGAGCTCGGCCGTCAGCTCAACATCTCTGAAGAGCTTGTTGGCCGCCACCCCTTCCCTGGTATGTCTTATTCCACCATTCCACCTCAGTCATCCAGGACCCAAAGCTAATCCCACTAGGCCCTGGTCTCGCTATTCGTGTCCTGGGTGAGGTCACCAAGGAGAAGGTCGACATGGCCCGTAAGGCCGATCACATCTTCATCGGCATGATCCGCGAAGCCGGTCTGTACAACGAGATCGGCCAGGCCTACGCCGCGCTGGACCCCTCCCGCGCCGTTGGTGTCATGGGCGACAAGCGCGTGTACGCCAACATCATTCTGCTGCGTGCTATCTCCACCAAGGACTTCATGACCGCTACCCCCTACCCCTTCCCTTACGAGTTCTTGACCAAGGTCTCTACCCGCATTGTCAACGAGGTCGAGGGTGTTTGCCGTGTGGCATACGACTTCACCAGCAAGCCCCCTGGTACCATTGAGATGGAGTAGAATGTTTATATCTATGGTGGACCTGTTTTTTTGAGGGTTTTACAATAGAAAAGTTTGTTATGTGAATACAGTTTTAGCTAGAATGATTGGATGCAGGTTACGAATCCATGTGCATAGAAAGGAATAAAGTTCATTTTCTCCGTTTTTAGCCCTAACTTGCGGCTCGATGAGACCCGCTTTTGTATACTTAGTCTTGACCTCCAGCACCTTTGGTCACATATGCATGACAACTTTGGAATAATACAAAGATGCTTCAAAGTGAAATAAAAACAAAGAAGTCTCTGGAATCCCATTTCATATGAATATTTATGGTACAGTGTAGGGGTTTCAGGTTGATTGTTGATTGGGTGGATGTGAGATGTATACTTCCAAAGTTGTTCCAACCGCCAACGGAGATCCCTAGTTATATGTTGCACCGAGTCAAGAATGTAAGAGACACCAGTAAATGCAAGACAAAATTGATAAACAATTATCATCTACTATCAGCCTGTAACAAGTAGATACGATTTGCCAATTTCAATGATCTCATACTGACCCGGCGGTTGTGGTTGGGAGCGAGCAGCCAGCGAAGGGCAGGTACGCGTGAATAACCTCACCACCAACACTCTACAAACCTCCCAAACCTCATCTTTGTAGCTGGAAATGAAAATAACTTCACAATTTAACAAGTCCTCAAAATCCAGTAGACTCATATTCCCGATTCGAGCATTTTAACGACACCAACTTGCCAAAACACCTCATGGCGGCGTCGAACCCGCGTCTTCAAGCGACTATAAATGGCCAAATAGTCCCAGTTATAAGTACGCGAGGGTCAGTGGCCGAGTGGTAGAACGTGTATCGTCCCATTCCAGCATTAAAGCAAGCTCCGCGCGGTTTCCTTCGGGGAATTGGGATGAGTTTAAATCGCACCTGTCTCTCGGGAGAGGGTAGGAAACGCCGTGCGGCCCTACCAACGCCGGCAGCGACTCTTCGAAAATCCGCCTGGGAACGGATTTGTAGCCTTCGGGGGCGACCCCTGGGGGTGAGTTCACCACTATTTTTTTTGGAAAACTTCTGTAGAGTTGAGGTGAAAAGATAGATTAATTAAGACTTGGAATTCATTTGAAAGACAAAGTAGAGTGATATCAAAGCTCAGTCTTTGCCTTGGGCACAGCACCGCGGTCAGTCTCCGCGTCATTCTTCTGCCATGATTGGAACATCAGGGTGGCCACATTTCGACCCATAAGCGCGCTGGTCTCCATGGTCGATATAAAGCTCTCTATGCCGCCGGTATACCACACACTAGGGGCGAGCAAGGCCTCTTCAAATGTCACGCGCGGGTAAAGAACGGGGTATGGATTCCACAGCTTCTCATGGTACCAGCTCACATCGCTCTTCGAGAGGTCCCCGATGGTTCCATTCTCAACGGCAGCGGTTTCCAGGCCAAGGATAGCGGTGATGAATTCTGCCGTCGGTTGCTCTGGCGAGAAGATCTTGTAGACATAATGCGGGGTGCTCTCGGGCTCCGCTGCAAGATGGTCCACTGTGCGAAGAGTACTGATGCTCCAGAATCCACTTGGACCAACACCAGCGGGGTTTGATCCGAGATCAAGTCCATCGGGAAGAGTTGTCAGGATTGTCTCAGGCACTTGGCTGTTCGAGTCCTGACCAAAGTATCGTGGTGAGATACGGTGGGGAGATGAAAACAAGGTAACGTGAAGATTCACGTATGGGATCTCATCCGGGGTGCGCTCCACAGGCGGTTGAACAGAGATACCGGAATACTGCAAAGGCCCAGCAATGACGACTTCATCATGGGTTTCGTGGGTCTGAGTGGTAGCAGTGTTTGACTTTGACGAGATTGACACGGAACCGTCGCCATTGCGCACAATGTCAGTGACTGTTGTGTTCAATATGATATCGGCAGCCGAAGCTGTCAAAGCGCCATCGAAGATGCGCCAATTGCCACCCTTGATCGAAACGGCTCCATCAGTGGCCATACAGACAATCGACTCCAAACCATGAATCAATGGCAAATTTTGGCCATAGTTGACTCGCGTACTCGCTTGAATGATCTCCCTCGCAAAGAGAGAGTCGATGCCATTCGCATGAAGGAACTGATCGCCGGTCGATGCTGTGGTATTCAGTAGGTTGACCGCAGCTGTGGCATTAGAAAGTGACTTGAAAGGAAACAATGGCTCCTCGTATAGTTGCAGAAACCTTCCAACTGTACTCTTGACCAGTTTCTGGGTTCGCAATGGCGCCATACCATACCGCCAGAAAAGCCGGCCGATGTTCCACCAGCTATAGCTATTCTTCAACGAGAACACAAATTGAGAGCCATCCCAGATTCCAATACTATCATCGGACTCTCTGGGCCGCGCATGGTCAGCGCTGTGGACATTCAGGCCTAGGTCACGGGATGCGTTGACCAAGTTATAGTTGACTTGGACGAAGATCGATGCCCCCAACTCGATAGGGTAAGCCGGGTCATCGAACACATTCACTGTCGTTGAGCGACCCCCAACATAGGAGTCACGCTCGTAGACCGTGATCTCGACAGGTGTATCCGTCTCATCTGCAAGCTTGCGCAGTTGATATGCGGTAAATGAGCCTGCGGCTCCAGCTCCTATACGAAGGTTAAGGTTGGCACACAAGTTGACCTAAATTGTTCATATACCTACCGACTATGGCAACTCTTTTGGGACTTCGGTTTACATCGCTAAGAAGGGGTTGTTGCTCTGCTGCGCTGGAAAATGAAACCAATAGAATAGTGAGAATGGAATATAGCAAGAGAGATATCGACCGATGTGTCGACGCCATGATGGCACTCATTCGTCGCTTGAGTTTGAAGCTTGATGAGAATATGCAAGAATCTCAACGAATCTGGTTTCGAAGAGATGTGAAGCTATAGTCTTACCAGGTGAAGTCAAGGGTGGAGATGTGATGCAACAACACCGGCAGAATGTGGGGCGGAGAACGCCTGTTCGTTCTCGATTTACCCCGTTCAACATTGAGACGAATCTATGATGTGAGAGTGAAAATGTGATGGATGTGTGTTTGTACAGTGTGTTTGTTGGCTTGTATCTATAGACTCAATAGTCTGCTTCACTTTCACTCCCAGGGTACGCCTTCTTCCGCAGTTTCCACAGCGACTTTTCGCGTCGGGCCGCAGCTTCGCGTTGGTGACGACTGTTATCTTCCACGACAGTCATCCAGGGCACATTGCTCGCCCGTCGCACTCTCTCTCGCAGCAGCGCAAGCGTTCTGTTATGTTCGGATAGATTGGACGCATTTTGTCCATTGGAATCTCCAGCCTTCTTCTGTCCAGAGGTGGACTCTTGATAACGTCGCTCGGCGGCACGAGCAGCATGATATTCCTCACTGATCGCCCAGTTCGGGTTATCCAACTGACCGCGGACCAAGACAAGTCGATGGCCTTTCTCAATGGAAGTTTGTATATAGGATGGAGGGATGGAGGTGGAGAGTTCGAGCTTGTGCGAACCAGTATCAATCGAGCGGACCAAAGCCAAGCCCAGGCAATGGGACGCTTTGGGATCCAGTGGCGTGCAGCTGCCGGACCCAACAAAGAGGTATGGCAAGTCTTCGCGAGTTCGAACAATGTTGTCAGCTATGGAATCATCGAAGATCCTCGCTGCTGCGTTCTCTGAGTCCATGTCAATATCCAAACCAGACTCAATTTCGTCGTGCTCATCATTTGGCGCATGTGGTGGTGCCATCGTTCCCATCAGAGCTCTCGGTGACTCTATAGCCACAAGTCCCACAATGGCCCCCTCAAGTGTCTCATGCAACAATTCAGGGTTAATTTGGGAGCCCATCACCATGATTCCTGAAATGCCTTGGCGCGGACCGGTGTAATCAACAGTCAAAGGTCGCGTGCGTGAGAGCGGTTCTTCTGACCAGAGCGAGGTGCCAAGGTCGGTTGGGTGCGACATGTGAAAGTATGATTGGATTTGCATGGCACGTAGTTGCGCGCTAGATCGACTCACAAAGTCGGTGGGCTGTGATGGTAGGATAGTCATCGGCACACGAGCTTGGCGAGCTGCGAGGCCTAAGGGATCAATAACTTCCGACGGACCTTTCTCACTCATATAGACAACGTCAGAAAGACCCAGGCTTTTGACCAGCCACATCGCAACCTCTAAACCTTGACCAAAGATCCAGCCAGGGTAGTTGATGATGAGAGGGCATTGGGGGTATTTCTCCAACAACAAGCGATATTGATCCATAAGATCCATGACGGCCAGCGCATAGTGGTCAGGATCTTCCTTTGGCGACGTTGCGCCGATATGGTGCGCCCGTAATATTTCGCCGCCCTGGGAGTTGTCCAGCGATGGGTGTGTAAACGGTGGACCAAAGAACGGCTTGCGCAGGCGCGCGAGATAGATTTGACCCATGGGAGTGAACTCAGGCTGACCTGGATCTAAATCTAGGAAAGCGACTCCTTCTGTATTCGCATATCCACCTTCGGTTTCTGGCGTAGGGCTGAGGACGTGGTTCAGCAAGTACCGACTGAATGTAGATTTTCCAGACGCCTTCGGGCCGCAGACCAGCACGCGGAGCTGACCTTGACGCTGTGAGAGAAATTTCATTGATGCGCTCCATTTCTTGTCGAGATGAAGGGGACGGAGATGCCTGTTTAATGAATCATCTGCCGATGTGTACAACTGTGGAACTCATTAGCATCGACGGTTGATTGAAGTCATGGCGGGGAAAAAAAATCGTACCACTGAGAAAGACCGCTTGGAGTCTTTTGTAGTCCCTTTCAGTGTGGATTTATCTGCAGCAGTGTTGTCGCCCGTCCAGATCCTTTGATACAGAGGCGAAAGATCACAGAGCCGGGCAATACCGCTGCTGCAAGACTTGATCTCAACCTCTGCATCCCCATCTATACCAGATACACATTTGATAACCGGTAATGAGTGGGTTGACGGGGCATAAACCCGATGCAATTGGGACGAGGCATGCAGTTTTGCGCCCATCAGACTGACAACGCCTCTTTTGACCCAAAGATCATATTGACCTAATAATGCCAGGTTCTTCATAAAGTCAGTAAAATACATGAGCATCTTGGTGGGTGATACGTACTGCTCTTTCCTTGATGCGAATGCAAAGGGTATTTTCGTCACTATAGACAATGTTGCTTTTATTCAAACGAGCTTTCGATAGAGGGAAATTCTGCAATTCCACAGGTGTCTCTGCAGGTGATTCGTAGCCATCGGCATCGCCCACGACGGACGCAACATCGTTCTCGTCCATCTCATCATTGTTCTCAACTGCGTCTGTTGCGACCTGCTCATCTTCGGAGCCGTCCTGAATAGCTTGTTCCCCTTCTGGTTGAGTTTCCAGGGGCTGAGTAGCCCGCGTTGCGCGCTTCGGCCGATCTCCTGCAGGCAATTGCTTGTCTTGCTTCTTTGCTGCCCTTGTTGGCGGATTCTGGCGATCGTCATTTGTCTCAGTAGCCTCGGCCACATCAAGAGATCGTCGCGGCTTTTTGGATGGCGGTTCGCTTTCGACTACCGGCTGAGGAGCGACCTTAGGAGCATCTTCAACCACTGTTTGCTGCTGCCGGGCTCTGCGCGCCGCCAAAGCGGCAACAGCACTCACGGGACCTGAGGAAGCGACCATGTAAGCATCAGATGAATTCCCGGTTCATGAGGAGGAGCTTACCAGCCGATTGTGGTTTATCGACTTTGCGCTTCACCATGATCACCAATTAGTGAAGCTCATTGACTTGAAACAATGTTTGGAGAAAAACCACCACTTCGATAATGCGCAACCCGATAAGCCAAAAAAGTTGACTAGTGGTCCGTGCTCCCGCGGAGCAGAAAAAAAAGATCGGCCGTTGGACTTCAACATTGTCACTCAGCCTCGAACCGGTTCCTCCTTCGAAATTGGGCTTTCTGGGAGCTCATAAATTTTCCATACAAACTATCACGTTTCATTCAGCGTGTGAAACTCAACTGCGACAGCGCCGCGCATCCTGGTGAAAGCAGCGCTCGATTTACCCGACACTTCAGACAGCCGCCATGGCGTCCGATAGCGACAGCAGCTCAAGCAGGTCTACCACACCAGAGCCCAAGACCAAGCACGAAAAGACTGCGAAGAAGGTTATCCAGACACAGGAATCCAGTGAAGATGATACCTCTGACTCGGGCTCCTCGGGTTCGGACTCCGACAGCGACTCGGAAAACGAAATGAAGCCAGACGGCTCGGAACAGAAGTAAGAGACCAAAAGCCCATGCAATCATGGAACACCAACTAATGCGCTTCTAGAATTGCCATCTCCGGCCCTCAGCCATACAAGCCACCAGTGGGGTTCAAGGCTGCGAAGAAGCAGGCCCCACCGTCATCCAAAGCATCCTCCCTTCTGTCAAACCTCGACGGCAAACAAATCTTCCACATCACAGCACCTGCATCCCTTCCATTGTCCAAGGTCAAGGAGGTGTCCATGGCTAAGCTGATGCAAGGAGAACCTCTCATCTCTCACGATGGCGTGAACTACGGTATCCCAGCCGAGGCATTTACCGAGGCTGAGCCAGCGAACAAGTCGCTGCTTATCTTTGATGAGAAGACACAAACATATCGCAGCGCAGCCAGCAAAGTCCCCAGCTATCACGTTCAGGAATTGATTGGTCTCCCGAGTGTATCCAAAAACACCGATGCTGCTGTGGCTAAGCTGCGTGAATACGTCAAGCCAGCCAGACCCCAGCCCAAGAACTTGAAGATGCGCTTCCGACCTGTCGGTACCTCCCACGCGCCCCCAGAGAGTCTCAGCTCTAGCTCGGAATCGGAAGCCGAGGCTCCCTCTTTCAAGGTTCCCAAGGGAGAGGAGCGCAAGAGAAAGCTCTCACACACAGATACCGAGGGTGACGCGCCCCAAGTGGCAGCACTTCCCCGCAAGAAGTCAAAGAAGCACTCACAAGAAGAAAAGGCGGATGATGATGAGAAGAGCCAGAAAAAGTCCAAGAAGTCCTCCAAAGACAAGGAAGAGAAGAAGCGGAAGAAGTCTACAAAGGCTTGATTTGTTCTTAAAAATAGCGATTTGCTTTAACGATGTCATCAAATATGTACAATTCACACCAGATTTTCCTCAGTCTTGTTAGAATAGATCTTAAACGCACCATTTCCAAGGTTCTGATCAACATGCCCAGGTGTGCCCCATCTAACCCTGAGGCGTCTTCCATACTCAGTACCGATCTTGAATCTACATAGCCACCAATGTTTCTTGTCGCAACCGAAAACCTTGAAAGCACAATAGCTGTCATAATCAGACAGCCGAGTATGCCTTTGACTGCTAGCAATGAAGAAGAGAACCAAAACATTCTAGCATTCATGAAAGAGGAACGGAGTATAAGAACGGATGATCTACATGGGCTTGGCACTGACATAATCTTGATGGGGTCATCAGGTCACCTGATTGGCAATATCATCACATGCGGAGAAGAACCTTGGAAGATCCATGCGTCTCTCTTTGGCATATTCATTCTTGATTTCTTGATTCTGCTTGATCTCTGGTTCCTGATCCCTACCCAAGTCTGAGCTGCACATTCTCTTGACATGGCGCTTGGTTGATATTGGAATTCTAAAAGCGATCTTTGGTTTGATAGCTCCATATCTAGCGGGTTCAAAGCGCTTATCGGCCTAGACTCTAGGCACTCCCTACCCCGTGCGTTGTTCACCTTTACCAGCCAACTAATCATCTGACCGGTTAATATGACAAAGTCACTTGCAAACTGTTTGTCCAGCCTGATGTTTGCTAGTCCTATTTGACTGGCGCAGCCATACCTGATCGTCATAGTCCTATCAGCGCCGAGCTGTCACCTGGCTCGAGCTTCTGACTGCCCAACCGGTACTGGCGATTCACCGCACCTTGAGAACTTTCACCGTTCTTTCTAGCCTATATTTTCACGTTAAGCACCTTGTCCTGGGATATTGGAGATATTATGGGACCGTTAAGAGACGACGCCAAACGCCGGGCGGACCGGCAGTTGAGCGCAAGTATGAGGCCTCCTTCGAACAGACCCACACCGGACAACCGTCGCTCTTCACATCGAGTGCCAGATAGATTTATGGATGGAGACGATGCTCAAATCGATTTCACAGCTCCACCGCAGGTTATTGGCTCACGGGACGGCAACGTGCATTACATGCAACAGTCCCTCTTTTCTGTGATAGCTGCCGTGGGATCTAAATCAGACTTCCATGCTCGTTTCGAAGAATCAAGCGACAGCGATGGCGAATCAGAGAGCGACCCGCGCATACCTCAAAAAGGCGAGAAATCGTCTTCTCCGACCCCGACACCCCAGCCAGACTCACGGTTGCCGAAGGGAAGACTGGAAGCAAAGCTTTTTGATAGGGAGGAAAGAGGACGCCGTCATCAAAGGGCGAGATCAGATAACAAGCTTTCACACACGATATCCCGGCTGGATTCGGACGCTGGGATGAAAGAGTCATCAAGCCCAAGCGGTTCGACTCTGACATTACCTTTGAGAAGAACGAGGAGTGCAACACCGCGAGCAGCTCCTGTATTAAGTCGTATGGTGGAAGCGCAGACAAATTTTGATGCTACCACCACAACGCATCGTTCGCCATCAAACCAACCCGATACCTCGCCAGACCAACCTCAGTCGTCAGCATCGGCTCTCTCAACACGGCTCATGGAAATGTTCGGATTCCCCAAACCCGAAAAAGTTCTGGTTGAATATGCTTGTTCACTCCTTCAGAGCATGCTTCTCCAAGGGTATCTTTATGTGACTGAAGGCCATATCTGCTTTTATGCATACCTTCCAAAGAAATCAAATGTGGTGATCAAGTCAGGGTGGCTGTCAAAATCTGGCCGCAAGAACCCCAGATATGATCGCTATTGGTTCGCCCTGAAGGGCGATGTGTTTTCGTACTACGCTGATCCTTCAAATCTATATTTCCCGAGTGGGCATGTAGATCTTCGATATGGAATATCTGCGTCGCTCTCCGAGCGCAAAGACGGCGAAGTCAAAGAGTTCCAAGTCACTACCGACCAGCGAACCTACTACTTCAGAGCTGAAAGTGCCACCAGTGCAAAGGAATGGGTGAAGGCCCTCCAAAAGGTCATTTTCCGGACTCATAATGAAGGCGAAAGCGTCAAGGTATCTTTCCCTATAGCCAACATCATTGACTTGGAAGAGAGTCCGATGGCCGATTTTGCCGAGACATTCAAAATTCGAGTTCTCGATAGCGGAGAGTCATATGCGATCGACGAGGTACGTTTGATAACACCCACCATCATTCCTGAAGCTAACTTTTTCCCAGTACTTCTTCTCCTTCTTTGAATCTGGGCAGCATGCGTTCAACTATATCAAGGAACTGATATCTGCAACATCCTTGACTAATTCAACTGAAGCATTGCGAAGCCAGTCACATATTCAAGATCCGCTTGAATTAAGTCGCCCTGGCCACAAGAGACTGTCAGTCAGCAGTGTCCGTGCCTCTGATTCAAGGCATCATGCCTCGTCGCCAAAGCGAAGCTCTAGTGTAGGAAATGAGAACCAAGACTCGGCTGATTCATTTGCCGAGCCAGGAACTGGGTCTTCCCCGGTTGTGCAGTCGATGACAGAGACCACCGAATCGGCGAGCCAGATATTGAATAGAAGTGATGTCTTCCAATCACCTACCATGCGTACTCTCCAAAGGCGCCCGTCAGACGCGCGAGAGGCTGGTCGGCGATCTTCTGATGACACAACTCCTTCCGCTTCAACGCGTCTAGATCTGGACCCCTCGCGGCGAGGAAAATCGGCAAATGCGGGCTATAATCTCGCCCAGGCTGAACAAACACAAGGCTCGGCGCCTAGTTCATCCGGTCACTTGAATGAGCTTGCCAGAGCGGGTACCTACCTTCCCCAACGCGCCGTTGGTCTCGCTGGATACTTGAAAAGTCGCTCACGGCAGATGAGTACTTTGCTGGCAACCGAGTCAATGGGCTATATAGAAAAGGTCTCTGGAATGTGGTCTGGAAGTCAGAAGCATTATGGAGAGCGGGAAGGACCGTTGCTTGAGGACCAGAATATTGATCCAGAGGGTAACGAAGGCGATTTCAATTACGGAGATCGCTTCCGTGCTCACTTTGCTCTTCCGTCAACCGAGCGCCTGCAGGCAACATATTACGCCTATCTGCACCGCGTGCTTCCACTCTATGGTAAAATATACATCAGCCAGAGGAAGCTTTGCTTCCGCAGCTTGATCCCTGGGACTCGAACAAAGATGATATTGCCTTTCAAAGACATTGAAAATGTCGAGAAAGAAAAGGGTTTCCGATTTGGATACCATGGACTTGTCGTCATCATTCGCGGACACGAAGAACTCTTCTTTGAGTTCAGAGCGACGGACTCGCGCGACGATTGTGCCGTGACACTACATCAGAATCTGGAGTCCGTGAAATACCTGGTGGAATCTGGTTTGCTAGCAGAGGAAGAGCGAGACGAAGTCGAGGCTGCTAAGGCTGAACATCGCATGCTTGAGGAAGCAAGATTGGACGATCCAGAGGAGCATGAGGCACGCCCGACCCTCACTGAAGACTCATCGGAGGTTCATCCTTTCTTCGATGATCCCCGTGCTTCGATTATCAACTTCAAGCCCACTGGGCCGCTCAGGATCACTTGTCTGACTATCGGCTCGCGGGGTGATGTACAGCCTTATATTGCTCTATGCAAGGGATTGCTTGCGGAGGGCCACATACCCAGGATCGCAACCCATGCTGAGTTTGAGCCTTGGATACGGAAACACGGCATTGATTTTGCTCCGGTTGATGGCGACCCTGCCGAACTGATGCGAATATGTGTCGAAAATGGCATGTTCACCTATTCCTTCCTCAGAGAGGCTTCATCGAAGTTCAGAGGATGGATTGATGATTTATTATCGTCGGCCTGGAAGAGTTGCCAAGGAAGCGATCTTCTCATCGAGTCTCCGAGTGCCATGGCTGGAATCCACATTGCAGAGGCCTTGCGAATCCCTTACTTCCGCGGCTTCACTATGCCATGGACGAGGACACGGGCTTATCCACATGCTTTTGCAGTGCCAGAGAATCGAATGGGTGGCGCGTACAATTTCATCACGTACGTCATGTTCGACACTGTTTTCTGGGGCGCAATTGCTGGTCAGGTCAATCGCTGGCGAAACAAGGAATTGGGCCTCAAGGCCACTACTCTAGACAAAATGCAGCCTAACAAGGTCCCATTCTTGTATAACTACTCACCTTCCGTCGTACCTCCGCCACTCGACTATCCAGACTGGATTCGCATCACCGGCTACTGGTTCTTGAACGAGGGCTCGGATTGGACTCCATCAGCCGAGCTATCAGACTTCATTGCACGGGCCCGAGCAGACGACAAGAAGATCGTGTATATTGGATTCGGATCTATTGTTGTCTCGGATCCTGCTGCGTTGACGCGGACTGTTGTTGAATCAGTCCTGAAAACTGACGTCCGCTGTATTCTTTCAAAGGGCTGGTCTGATAGGCTCGGTGATCCGACCAGCACGAAAACTGAGATTCCCCTTCCGCCGGAGATCCATCAGATCCAATCTGCGCCGCACGACTGGCTGTTCTCGCAGATTGACGCCGCGGCTCACCACGGCGGAGCAGGAACCACCGGTGCCAGTCTCCGAGCTGGTGTCCCCACCATTATCAAGCCATTCTTTGGCGACCAATTCTTCTTCGGTGGCCGCGTGGAGGATCTTGGCGTCGGCATATGCATGAAGAAACTGAACGTCAGTGTTTTCTCGAGGGCTCTATGGGAAGCCACGCATAGCGAGCGCATGATTGTGAAAGCCCGCAACCTGGGCATTCAGATACGTAATGTGAGTTCTTCAATCATCCATCAAGCCAAGTGAAAGGTGTCTCTAACTGTTTCATTCAGGAGGACGGCGTGGCAACTGCAATCCAAGCATTGTATCGCGATCTCGAATACGCCAAGACATTGGTTCGACAAAGATCGATTGCCTCATCTACACCATTTTCTCCGACGCCTTCAGCGAGGACCTCTCCTGATGAAGGCGATGATGACCTTGATGACATTGAAGAATGGACCTTCATCGGTGACGAGGGTGGCATTGACATCTCAAAGCGGATGCGAGATCTTGCCGCCTCAGACGCTGAGCAGAAGAGCTCCAAATACTCTAATGATTTGTTCTAAGTTGATGATAGATTAGCATCTTATTCCCTCAGCGGGATTTCGGTATTGTGTTTTTGTCTTTTTTTTTGGTTTATCTTCAACCTTGTTCATGAGACATGACTTGCATTTGCTTCGATTTTACATGCACAGGGCGCTTCTTTAGGACTACCAGCTTCTGGTTCATGGTCTATTGCGTTATTAATATCCATTGCTTTTCAATACATTGTCATGCATGCTCCTAAGGTCGTTATGGCCACTTTTGAGTGAAGTAAGAAGCGCTTATAAGCAGTGATATCTTCTCGATGCACTAATTGATCTAGCGAGATCAACTACGAGACACCCGAGTACTGTGGACCAACCTTGGACGAAATACCTTTCAGATGGCATTGTTTACATTTCTATTTTCATGATATATTCATAAAATTCAACTCCTTAGGCACCGCCAGGGCGCTTCTCGTCATCTCCTTTCCCATCGGCCTTATCTTTACGTCGTTGCACAACATCCCAGTTGTACACGCGTGCCGTAGCGACCTCCAATGTCTGCAAAAGTAGATATCAATTAGCAATAATTCAACTGTAAGAAACCAACAATCCAAACTAACCGTAATCTGTTCGCGCAAGAATTCCAAATCCTCCTCGCAGTTTTTCAAGCTCTGTTCCGCACCAGAAAGCTTGTCGTCCAACATGCTCTCGGCCTCATTGAGCGGGTAGGCCAGCATGACATTCGCACCGAGCCAGAGGTAGACCTCCTCAGCATCAGCAGGTGAGATCGAAGCCCGGGCGTACAGCGTATCGTTGAGTTCGAAGTTGGTCTCGAGGTCGGCGTCAGGGTTTGACTGGGAGGGCATTAGATATCGTCTTTTCCAATTCCAGGACTCCCGGCTCGGGCCCGAACGGGTCTTGTTCGGCGGTATCAATTACCTCTTTGCGCAACTTCAAGAACCGCACCATCTCAAGCGTCTTTCTGATATCGGGGATCTTCTCGCGGAGTCCCTGACCGCGGCGCTGGGTGTTCGACTCCATGAACTGGTACTTGGAGATCATCTCCTGGAATCTGCGGAGAGTGGGCTCGACATCATCGCGGGAAGAGACGTAGTCGTTGACATTGTCGATAAATGGTGCGACGGGAATACCGCGCGGGTTGGTTTGTGTTGTTACCGTGCTGGTAGGAGGGGTTAGTTGAGATCTTCGGAACGGTAGCAGCGGGGGAGTTCATAAACAGAAACAGATTCCCATACAAATTGCAAGGAATAGGAGCTGAATTGAATGACTTACCTCTTCTTTGAGTCCGCCATGATTGAGCGCAAATATGGATAGGAATGAAGATGACGATGTGGGGAGCGGGAGCTTAACTGCCACTTTTTTTGGCTGCGCTGTCCGCTCTTATCTCCCGACTCATTCCACGACGCTCAACTACGCTTTACACCCTACGCTCTACGGATTGGAATAGACCAGGATGGTCCTGTTGGTTACTACGGATCGCATACACGTCGCATTCGAGGCCGTTTCATCCGCGCGTCGCGAAGAGCTAGACTTACCTCCTACGCTGGAACTACAGGGCCCGATAGCCCATGAGCAACTAATCCGGCTCGCGAAACACCTACAAAATGACACAGAATACAAAGCTCAAAATTCCCATAAGCCGACTATCCTAAGCTCCCTTCTCCGCGGAACAACAGTCTACGTGCCTCCGCCACCAAAGAAGCCAGAACCGGTACGTCCAAAGCTATCGCTCTTCGGTCCACCTCCACACTGGGATTTTCGATAGCCATGACCGAGGAACGCAAGCTGACAGCATTCATATGTAGAGTGCCGAATACCTCGCATCCAAAGCGCGTCTCCTTGCAGCATCAGAGCAGGAGTCTTACAACCGTCTCCTGGACCCATCATATAGACCCGCGCCCGAGCATGCGGACCCATACTCATCGCCGTACACGAGCGACGGCTCTGCGGAGGAAGATACATTGACGCTGTCACTGGTGTCGAGTATATTCATCTCGGTGCTGGTGACTGGGTTTGCGGTGTACGGTGCGCTGACCAAGTTCTCTGCGCCAGATATCGTGGCGCAATGGTTTGCCTCGAGTGGGGATGTGACGGAGGTGCAGAGGCAAGGTGCGGGTGAGGCGGTGCGCGTGCTTTTCGCGATTTTTTCGGCTATCAGTGTTGCTGTTGCGGAGTCGTTCTTGTACTTTACGTATCTCGGGAAGGTGGAGTCGGCTAAGGCTAAGGAGAGGAAGAGGAAGGAGAAGAAGGTCTTCATTGGTAGGGTTGGAGATGATGGGGAGACTGAGTCTGGTGGTGAGGTTCCGGTTGGTGGTGAGAAGGAGGAGATTTGGGGGAAGGGTGTTAATGGTGGTGTTAGGAGGAGGGTGAGGGAGAAGTGGGAGAAGGAGAGGGATGGACATGGACCAGGTGAAGAAGATTCATGAAAGGTTCTAGTTATTCTTTTGAGGTATGATATCTGTGGTGTAACGTGTAAGATACATGTGCTGAAAGGCTGGAATGTAGTATATTTAACAAAAGCTTTGGAGATTCTGTGCCTAAAGCTATAACGTGCTATGGTTAATCTAACGGGTATGGATGCTGTGCAATCAGTCATTAGTGCTCATCAAAGAGGGCGCAGGCCCTCCAGTCAAGATTGAGATGCAAGGCGTCACAATGGAGTGTCGCAGGTGGCTGCTGCCAGAAGTCAACTTTCTCCAAATGTGGACAAAAGAAAAGGAGTGAAGATGAAAAGAGATGAGAGAAGGAAGACCGAGTGATATCTCAGACTCGTTGCTCGAGAAGGAGCTTGCCGTGGGGAGACTGGTCGTTGAAGCCCTTCTCACGGCTGTAGATACGCTCACCACGCAGCCAGGTCTCGCGGACCATACCGCGCATGGTACGTCCCTGGTAGGGAGAGCACTTGTTGCGGAAGAGCATAGTACTGGGCTCAACAGTCCATTCCGCAGAGTCGTCGAAGACACAGATATCGGCATCGAATCCGACAACCAGGTCACCCTTGTGCGACTCTAGACCGACCTGAGCAGCGGTGTTGGCACAGCAAAGGCGGACGACGTCCTGGAGGGCGTTCTTGGTGTTCTCATCTTCCGGGGCGGAAGTCAGACCCTTACGACGGCTGAGGTCCGTCCAGAGAATGGGCAAGCCCAGTCCAACAGACGAGATACCTCCCCACGCCGAGAAGAAGTCACCGCTCTTCTCTTCCTCGGTGCCGGCGCAGTGACCGGGGACATGGGCTGGGAGCATCTTCAGATCAGGTGTGCAGGGAGAGTGGTCGGAGACGACGGTCTTGATGACACCATCTCCAGCATGCTTCTCCAACTCCTCCCAGAGACCGTCTTGATTCAGCTTGGAGCGGATGGGAGGGCAGCACTTGTGGCGGGTGTCGCCATCGCGGACCTCCTCCGCTGCAAGTGACAAGTAGTGGTAGCAGGTCTCGGCTGTGATCTTTACACCGTGAGCGCGGGCTTCCCTCAGGAGGGGAATGGCTTCCATGGCTGAGAGGTGGACAATGTGCAAGGGGAGGTTGGGGGCAAGGTGGGCCAGGGACAAAATGCTTTCGATGGCGCAGGTCTCGAATGTCGAAGGCCTGGAAGCCAGGAAAGTGGCATAAGCCTCGAGAGGACCAGCCGGAGCGGCTGGTGGCTCGGACTGCTGGACGCCATCGCCTACAGATGCAGCGATGGGAGGCATCATCTCAGCATGGAACATGAGGGTGGTGGGCTCGTCAGCCAGCTCGGCCATAGCCTTCTTGATGTCCTCTGGAGTGACAGCAGGGAACTCGTCGACCTATTCAATTTGTTAATATCGAACACAACACAGAATTTATGAATAATCTTCTACTTACACCACTGTCGATGAGGAAACCCTTGAAGCCACGAACGCCCTCTTGAACGAGAGCCTTGAGCTCACCAGCATTGCCTGGAATAATACCGCCATAGAAGCCGACATCGACCCAGCACTTGCCTTGGGCCGCCTGGATCTTCTCCTTCAGTCCATTGACGGTAGTCGTGGGTGGGATGGCATTGAGAGGCATATCAATCACGGTGGTCACACCGCCAAAGGCAGCGGCCTGGGTGCCGGTGTAGAAGCCTTCCCATTCTGTACGGCCCGGCTCGTTCAAGTGAACATGAGCATCGACCAGACCGGGCAGGAGAACATGGGGCGAGTAGTCGGTGTATGGTGTCTCGGCAGGGAACTCTGCTGCCGGAATCACAGTATCGAAAACAGCGGTAATCTTGCCCGTTGTCCGTGAAATAACCACGGTGGCGGCGGTCAGACGGCCGGAGATCACGGCACGGGATGAAGCCACCACGGCAATGGAAGGAATCTCAGTCGCCATAGCTCAAGTCCAAAAGTTAGAGGAGGGTGAAGAGGGGGAAATCAACAAAGATAACGGGAGGGGCTTATCTGGGGAAAAGATAGAAAGATAAGAGGGTCTGGGGCGAGGTATAAATAAGCTTGAACCCTCGACCCATTCTTTTTTTTCTTCTCTAAAAGGGGGATCCGTGAGTCCCGTGGCCGGAGCATTATGTTTCCATTACTCGATTGACCAATGCACATACACCCGAGCCCAAGAGCCTGAGGGACCGAGAGGCACCGAGAGGCACCCGGCTACAGTCTCCGGCCCACGTTGAATTTGCAGTTCTGAACCATGGGCGAGACATCCCCACTACGACCGCTGATTGGACAGCCAGTGCAGAATGGAGTCTAGACTTTTCGCATCGGCCACCTCCGACGCAATGCGGGCAGTTCCTTTATACTTCGCTTATCACTCGCCTCCGCTTGGTCGATCCCCTTACTCGATCAAAACTGCCCGTGGCCCGCTACTCTCTTTTTTTTTACTCGATGGAAATGTCACAAACATTCAAATCTCCGATAGCGCTGGAGCTTTGTCTTTCACCTGCAATTCTGTCGTTTGATCATTAGATCATTTGATACCCAAATTACCAGTTTTGGATGGAATGTTGGAGAATCCTAGCCCTAACCCGGGAATGATTGCGGGGAACTACATATGAAGATTACTCACATTTACTCCATTGTTTCTGCAGGGCTACTTGATGCGACGTTACCCCCAAAGCTGTGGTGTATTATAACCACCCCTTTGATCAATTAAGTATATGCACACTTCGACAGGCTCTAGATAGCAGAATCAATCAATATTGATACTATTTTCTACTTGCTCAGGTGGCCACACGTGAGCCAGCTTTCTAGCTCGTAGAGATGCATGGGTCAAGAGATTAGGATACAAGAACATGATCGAAGGAAGCTCGCATTTCAATCTCTTCCAGAATGTAATACGACGCAGCTTACCGCGATACGACGCAGCTCGGCGCAACACAGACTCTATGCCTGTGGTAATCGCATCGCCGTGGAAACCTACTTGAAACATGTAAACGTCTAATTGAAACTTTCCCACCTGGGTATCCTTTCATACGTACGTGTTCAAAACGAGGAATTGGATTTGATGGTTCATTTATTTCACTGAGACTAGCTACTGGCTTACTATGGCGTTCTCAATCCATAACCTAAGTGAATAGATCATGTTCAAATCAAAACCCATCGGGCCAGGTGACTTGTAGACAACGCAGGAAGCACAAGCTCAGAGAAGACCAAATTATGATATCAAAGATTCGCAATGAATGAAATAAAGTCGTGAAAATTCATAAAAAGTTCGTGATATCCCGATTTGGGACGCATCCCAGTTTGAAATGAAAAAGTTGACGAAAAGGGAACCATTGTCATTCGGGAGAACGCCAGAGGGCATTACTCCTCGTTGGAACCCTCGCGAATGTCGTGAATGTTCTTCAGATCATAAGGAGCAGTGTTGCCGTGGAACGCCTTGCCGGCACGGGAGCTGCGGGAGCTGTGGGAAGCGGGAGGATCCTGGACGACAGTCTCATCAGAGCAGATGCTGTCCACGTCGGTATCGACACCCCCACCGCTCTCCGAGTCGGCGTCGAACTCCTCATCGTCGACAAAGCGCCAGCCCTGATCATCTTCAAGCTTTGTGGCGTCTTTCAATCTCTCGCCCATCTCTCTCACTTCATCCGAGTCAAGCGCAAGGTCATTGACGAAGTCAGTAAGCTCTTCGGTCAACTCGCAGTCGAGGGTATCATCCTCGGAGTAGGTTTGGTATACATCGAGACCGCGCATGGCTCGAATCACATTTCCCTCGGGAGCTGGCTCTCCGCGAACAATGTAAAGTCGCTCCTTGAGGGTCGGAACGCGGTGCATGAGATGCAGCCAGCTGAGGATGTTGGGCAAGGCACGGGAGACCATGCACGTGATACGCGACGCTTCGCCGCTCGAAAAACAATTGATACCGTAGGTGCTCAGGCCGATTTCGCGGGCTCCCAAGGTCTGGACAGAGAGGACCCATCCACGAGCACGGTCCACCATGAAATTGAAGAACGAACCAGGATCTCCCAGATCAGCAAGTTCGAAATCAACGCATACGATTTGTTCAGGGTTGACGATGGCGATGCAAGAGATGTGGGGTGCCCAAATGTTCCCTAGTAACATGTGAGGTTAGTAAAATTCGAGATGTCTCATGCACTGTATACTAACAGTTTTTCTTAAGATACATGAGACTGGCAAATCCACCCTCGGACAGCCCAATAATGTCGATCATGGCACCTTTCTTCATGCTGGTCTTCAAGAGACCCTCGAAGATAAACTCGGTGTGCTCCGCAAGCGAGTGGTTGCCCATGATAGCGTTGCGCAGGCTCAGAGAGCGCTGGCGAGACACAGCATAGGTGCGATCACGGCCAAGAAAGGCCTCAGCAGTCACGGCAGTGTTAGTGGCATTATGCCAAATACGGCCACCAGGGTTCGCGACAACCAGAGCAGTGTCAGACTCCTCAGGCTTGGGACCCAGAACAGCACGGGCCAACTTCAGTATGGAGCCGAATTCAATGCCCTTCTCGCAGATCTCACGGTAGGAGAAGATACCCAGGTCTTCATTGAGCTCGCCAACGAAGAGAATAATGCGAGACGCCTTCTGGATGTTACAGCTCACGAGGACTGGAGTGTTTGGATGCGCAGCTCCTACATCCGCCGGGAGATGGAAGTGGTTCATGCACATTCCCTTCAGGCGCTCAATGACGATATCGTGAATGGCGTCTGTGCATGGTTAGTATCAATTCACTTGAGACAGACTGAACCCTGATTCGCAATATTAGGAGATGACGACTTACGGTGCAGAGCATCCATGTGGGCCTTGCTGACACGCTCATTACGGTTGACCTTGAAGCGTGGGCCCTGGCCAGGGCTGTTGATGGCACGGATCTTGTCCCCGTTGACGAAGAATCTGTGTTATTGATGCTCATTAGCCCAAGATTCACTCGCAGATCAACAAGAGACTGAAAAGCAAGAAGGAAGCTACTCACCCGAGTTCGGCCAGGTTGTCCTGGTAGGACGGGTCGGGGGGGGAGGTTGGCGTCCTCACGGCGTAGCATCGTTGCGATGCGTCAAATGACGGATGATTCTTATTTGGAAGTGAAAAGAATCTCAGGTTCAGGGCACGATGCTTGAATCAGAACGATTTCACCTCGTGAGAGACGGAAGAGAGAGAGGAAAGTGAAGGGAGACGTGCTGGGGAATTTATGGCAGGTGCTCGCAGCCCAACACGCGCGGGAGACAAGACGGATTCCAAGGCTATCTTCCAGGCCGTCGATGATTACGTCGTCGAATCACGCTTCCAGTGCTATGAGGACTTAACGATATGCTTGCCAATTGATCGTCACCGGCGCAGCCATAAACTGAGCTTGATCTACCGAGCTGACATAGCCTGTTTAGCCACTCAGGGCACAAACAACGTTCAAATATACCCATAAGAACATCGTCGATGCAAACATTACTCTGGAGATCTCAACATTGCAACAAAGGAGATTGCACGTCACGACATACGCAGACAAAGGCAAAATCCCCTTCGGGGCCCGAAACGAAAAAGCCGAAACTAAGGGACGCTGAAAGGAATATCACTTTTTATTCAATTCAGCAAACACGCCTGTGATTCCTTTGCAAATGAGGATTTGATACTGTACACGCTTCCACGAACTGGAAGAAAAGAAAACGCCGTCTTGCATACAAGAAACCAGAGATCTGCTCAGAGATCAGAAACAGAAAGCCCCCATGTTGAATTACCAAGAGGCCTTCTTCACACCGGGCAATTCACCAGCAAGAGCCTGCAGACGGAATTGGTACTAAAAAGGAGCTAAAGTCAGAAACAGCATCGAAAACTCCAACGGTGTACTCACTCGGTTGAGCTTGAAGTCACGGAAGACACTGCGAGCAGTTCCTGATGCAACACAGCGGTTCTTGATCTGAGTGGAGCGAGTGTAGGCGTGGGATTGGGCCAATTCGAGCTGAGCCTGGACGCGAACACGAGCAGGGAGAGAGGTGTTGCGCACGGCGTAACGGAGAGCTTGACTATTGCAAGGCAAAAACGAGAGATGTTAGCAGGGTTCTCTTAGGGTTATGTTTGGACAATCGGGCCAAAGAATTGGTTTGGCTGGGTTGCGGTAGATAGGGCAAGGTTCGTACCGCTGGGGCTCGTAGTTTGCGAAGACCTGGCGCTTCTTGTCGTCACGAATCACGCGTGTGTTGACGAATCCTGCGATATCAACCCGCTTGGGGATCTTGGGGACCTTCAGAGTCATTGTTGCGGTCTTGATGGATGTGCTGCGGAGTTGAGGTCGGAAGATTATTGTCTTCCCGCTGAGCGGAAGGTCGACTACCCGATTGGGTTTAGCGTGTTTTCATCCTACAGGGCATCAAGGTCTCGTTGAATATTCGATTAATCTATGGCAAATATTTTACAGCGGGACTGTCTGATAATGCTCAAAAAGATTACATTTCTGAGACATACGTTCAAATAGACTTTTAGACCCCGTATATCGTGCAACGTCCGGGGTTATCATAATACGGGGTAAGCATCTGTGAAATGCAGTCTACATCGTATGACGGCGAAACAACTTATCGTCCGGATCTCTCGGTAAGAACTATGTACTTGATACATGAGGGAGTCTCTCTATGCGCACAATATTATGCTGCGAGGAAGGAACATGGAGCACGTCGCTCACTTTGATACTGGTACAGCTTGTGAATTGATCCAAGTCACCCCGCAAGGTGGGTATAGTCTATATGCTTGGACAGGGGCAAGCTGTCCACAGAGATATCACAAAAGATGCAAGCCGGTGAAACATGCACGACCTAGACCATCTCCGTCCACCCACACATCACGGCGTTTCGTCCCACTTCTCGGACAAGCAAGTGGAATCTCAAAGCGCATTCATTGTCGACCAAATTTAGTGGTCGGCCTTGCCAGCGGGCTTGGCGTTGGGGTTGCGAGGGTCGCTCTTGAACTCAGCAGCTGTTGGAGTGGAGCGGTTAGTCGGATGGTTCGGTAGAAGTGAAACATGATTCCGTGTATGCCGAGACGGATGATGCCGAGATTCGAATATTCATGTGTATATGCGCAGGGTTAACTCACTGTTGGACAGAGCGTTCTGGAGGGAGTTGACGCCGTAGAGAACGATGAGGCCTAGACAGGAGAATCGTCAGATTGATGTCCCACCAATAACAGGTTGGGAACTAGGATATCGCGGATTGAAAGTCCGTCCGCTCCCGGGCGATCGGAACAGTCAATATCTAGTTTATATGCGTACCGGCAGCGAAGAAGGGAGTCAAAGGCTTGGCTGTAGGTGGACAGATAGGTTAGCTCATTGGTCCATATGCTCCTCTCCCACAACGGAATTTCAGGGTCCAAAAAGCACATACCCATGGCGCCGGGGAACTTCTTTCCGAGGAGAGACATTGTGTTGATTGAATTGAATGCGCGGGGAATTCGGTATTCAAGAAGATAATGAGGCAGGAGGACGGAAGAGGAGAAGAGGTTTGGAGCACGGTTTCGGGCACGTGACACGCCGCCTTAAGGCGGTATCACGCCGCTTTTACCCGATCTATCCCGAACCGATCTTGTAAACAATCGTCATTATCAACGACTACAGAATTGATCATGGCAGCCTCGTTGTCTTCGTCGGTTACATCGCTGCAGTCATCGCTGCAGCTGCTGGATAATTCAATAACCACCCTCGACTCGGGCGTGAGCGACTTTCCTCGCCTTTGTAAGGTCCTTTCTACAACGCGAGTATGTCCTCCGTGTCTCCGCCATAATCAATCATGAGAATGACAGGTCTAATTGTTGGTTTCCTGATCTAGCATTTTGAGCTACTACCAGAGCCAACACTGCGTGAGGCACAACAATCTCTTCTTGATGAGATCACCCCCAGCATCGCCCATCTTCTCACACTATCATCAAACCACGTCGAAAAGCTCGCACGCCGTGAGGAAAGCTTAAAAGCAAAATGCGATCTTCAAGAAGGAAGACTCTCATCTAATGCAGAGAGCCGCCCATCTGCTCCTCGCAGTCAACCCCAGAGCAGCGCATTGCGGGGTCGCATGGCGGGGTCTAGCGCTGGCTCATCGGGCAGCGCAGCAGCCAAAGCCGCAGAATACAAGAGACTCGTACAGAAGAAAGAGCGACTCAAGTTTGCGGTTGACCGATTGGAGCTACAAACCCAGCAGAAGCAACGACAGTTGAGAAAGAGTATGGCCGCACAGTGAACCAGAAGAGATCGGTCTTCATATCACCAACCATATCTCATGATGAATTATGGACCCGCCAGAAACATCCGACTTACCAAGCTACTCGAGCCCAAATACGGACCCAGCTGAATTTGCGTCCGCAATTCAGTTGTGGAAAGTGCAACGCTCTGGAGCTCTAGCCTCACATACAGGCATCCCGAAAGGCTCGCGCCTTCTACCCACCCGCCGCTTTGACACAGTGCTCATCGAAACTGCAATCGTTCCGGGCAAGACCTGAGCCAAGCTCACAACGTCCCAAGATACTGCATTACTCAGACTTGTTTCAATACAGTTGGAGAGAAGATGTGGTTTCACATTTGGAGAAGCGCGATGATCATATCTAATGTACAAAATCCTGTCCCCGGTCCCAATGCCAAATGCTGTTAGTATTTAATGGTAGTGTATAGTACATGGTATGCCCAAATCAAATTGAGCCGCTCAACAAAGCTCAACGCAATCATTCTGAGATATCGCGCTTTTTGTAGGCTTGCCGAACCTTTTTCTTTTCATTGTGCTTTTTCCAGCTGGGAACGCGTTGTCCCCTCTTCTTCTGAGGTTCTTCGGGCAGGTCTGAAGCCTCGTAGTCTGCCTCATCATCTTCTTCGAATTCGTCGTTCTCATTGACGTCCTCGTTCTCGTCCTCAATCTGACGTTCAGCGGCACGGCGAGCTAGACGCTCTTTCTTGCCCTCTTCATGCTTGCCGCCCAGTTGCAAGTTCCGTGAAATACGAGTCTTTGCCCCAAGCGCCCACAGGTCTCCCCACTCAGCTTTGCGAGCATCGCGGTAAGCCTGCTTGCCGAATGAGCGCGGTACAGTCCAGCGCTCGATCTTTCCAGCGGGCGTGCAGAGGTCGAAAATAACGTGACCTTGACGCTTCATGGGCGCGTAGACAGCGCGGGGGAGGGAGAGAGGTTCAAAAGGTACTTTGCCATCACTGGCAGGTAGTTTGCCTTCCAGGTCCTCGAGCGAGGTATATCCTTCGAAAGCAGAATCTGTGGCCTTTTGGTTCTGTTGAATGGCTCGATCTTGGCGGATGTCTCCACCACGGCGCACGGAGAGGTAACTGAATTTGACATCTTCGTGATTACGGCCCTTCGCACCTAGAATGCGCTGCAGGAAGGGAGGGCGGATATAACGCTGCTGGAAGCTGCAGTGATCCCGGCGGCCAACTGCGGTGCCAGAGAATCCGTGCATCGGGCAGGTTTGGTGGTTAGTGCAAGGTGCAATAATCATTCCTGGCTCCTTTTTGATGATGACACGCTCATCGGGATTATCAAGGAAATTGTCGAATTCAGTAGAGCCAGGGCTTGCGATATGACGCTGCAGAAGCATTTCACGGGCCCCAGAGATGGCCTCGAAGCCTCTTTGACGGCCCTTCTCGAGCAAAATCAAAACACCGCCGTTGGGGTTCAACATTGCCCATAGATTCTCCACGTGCTCCTTGCGCTCATAATTCTCTCCTAGTCTTTGGATAGAATGCGGCGCAATAATCACATCGTATTGCTTGCGCTTAGGCGCTTCACGCGAGTCTTCAAATGTCGGCTTTTCCCGGACGTGAACGTAATCAGGAAGACGAGGAAGGAAAGAGGTGTTCTCAAGCAGCGCTGCGGCGCGCATACGAAGAGCCTCCGAGCCTGCGACAACAGTTGATCTTCCAGGAATGGGTACGCTCTGGGTGCTTTCGGAGCTCATGAGATCCCACTGCGTGCGAACTAGATCTCTCCAGGCCAAGATACCAGCACCGCCACCACTGGCATCAAGCACATTTGGTCCTCCCTTTTGTGACAGAAGCTCCCGGATCCAATCGTCTCCCAGTCGCTTTCGGGTTTCAACTAGAGCGCTGAGAGTGGATGCGTAGATTCCAGGATATAAAACTGCGAGGTATGCATTGGCCTCCATTTCTCCCATATGTCTTTGTGAAGCATCAAGGGGGACGGGCTTTTGTGCAAGCTGAGCACTCGGAGCTGCTGTTGAAGTGGATTGGGGCAGCCCATGTCCTCCGAACAGACGCTCGGAGGTTTCGGTGATGTGCTTGTTAGAGTAATTTGACAAAACAATCGATATCGGGCCAGTGAGAGTCGTTCGTGGCAAGTTGATTGTGGTGGGATCTGTTCCAAACTTGCCAATCAGGGTATTAGGATCCGCCCTTGGTGTCGGGTCAGGAACCGCTTCATTTTCGAATGCTTCGAGCTCATCTTTGCCACCCATCTGTGAGGTCACTTCCCTTGTCCGCCTCTCTGCATCTGTCTCCGGTCTTTGTGGTGGAGCATCCATGTCATAGACGACGGAGGGATCATGCTGAGGAGTGGGTTCCTGATTCATATCCGCTTGGTCCATATCCACTTCTTCCCATCCGCCTTGCCCATCCTCGCGGAGCAAGCTTGGTTCTTCCTCCTCCTCGACAAATCCATCTTCCTCGGCCATTGCGTCGAGGTCAAGTCGAGGGACTGGACCACCGTAGAGCCGGATGTAAATCTGAATCTCTTCCTCATCCAAAAGTCCGCCAGGAACTCCATCTCTAAACCGCTGTCTGACGAGGTGCACGAATGATTCGGCTGTGTGTTCGTGTCGTTGGGCAAGTAATTCCGCAACGTCCTCGTGTTCGTTTTGGTACCCTGCCTCCAAATCGTCCAGCATTTCATTGATCTGGTCCGCATTCGCAGAGACTCGGTCCCACAGGAAAGCAAGTTCGTCTTGTTCAACAATCTCGCTCGCTTCGGGTGATTGAGCGGACTCCAAGCTCAGTGTCTCCAGTTCATCCACAAGCGCATTGATCTCGACTCCACCGTCGCCGACACGGTCAATCAGCATGGCGAGTTCGTCCGTTTCGATAGGTTCGGTGGGTTGCGGCGACGGTGCCTCGGCGGATGCTGGACCGGACACGAATCTCCGCTGAGACTGGCATCGTGTCGTCGGGTATCCAGTATTGTTTTTCGAAGATGAACTGGATTTTGATGCGATCAATCGCGGCGCTTTGTGTACGAGGGTGCGCTGTTGCGTCAAAGTCAACTGACTGGCAGCTCCGCGGAGCTGTCGCGACCCTGAAGGGCGGGTGAAAGTGCGCAGCAGTTCACGCGACTGTGCCTGACTGGACCCTGAGGCTGCAGACCTTGATAGCATGTTTGCGTTCTGTTCAACAGGTAGCCAGTCTCAAGATGAGAACGAGAAAAAAAATGTCACCCGGAGACCAGAAAATCAATGCCAAGACCGCCATGCGCCCATCACAAACTGGGGGCTTCTCATTGGCTGGTCCCGTGTTCCAGTACAGAGGGCCGGATCTAGCACCCAGGGAGATATCTATGCAGGTTTTGAGGTGTAATCCTTGATATACAGTAGATTATCGTCATCTTTATATCAAATGTGCTACCTAGATATGATTCAGATTGGATCATTGTTCATGCACCATCTCGACCTTAGGTATCATTATTTCGCATGCAGCTCAACTTTGGAGACATCTAAAGACTAAAGAGGCTGCCAGGATGTGGGCACAATCTCATAACTTTCTAGGGTATCATTTATATATCACGTCTCACTTTCAGTGTCCTCGTTGCCCATGAGAATTTTCAATGCATCCACACATCTCATCACCTCATGCTCAAGGGCTGAGAGTTTCGCCATGACGGCCATAAGACTGGGATCTTGGCTTTCGACACGCACCTTTTCCTTCACACGCACCTCTTCGCCTTGCCACTGGAATGAGATTCCAGATTCGTCGTGCGTAGGCGCGCGCGAGCCAAATAGGCGATCTCGGATGGAGAATCCAGTCAAGGAGATATCCGAAGAGAACGCAGTCGGCGTGTGGTTGAGCGAAGTGGACTCTAGCGTTCGCAGGACAAGCACTAGAGCCGAGTCTGTGATTGAGAGATGAAAAGATAGATGGGGTGGAAGAGGAGGGTCGAACATCTGTTCGATAGCCTTGTCAGTACTAAACCAAGCACGCTTCCCAGGGATATGAACGTACGTGTTCAGTGGCACTTGTTTCCCACCATTTGCCACGAGTTTCTTCTCCTTCACCTTTGAGCATTTGCCGCGCTTCGCTGATGGTCTCGAGTAGCAGATGCAGTTGACTGAAGATGAACCCGGCATTGAGAGGGTCACCGGTCCACGTGCTAACATCTACAATATCCAGACTCTGAGCCACGAGGTCACGGACTGATACGAGCTGGCGAAGCACCATCTCGGGGGCTTCGGGGGATTGCGACAAATTCAGCCTGGTGCTGGGCGCTCCCCGGGTGGGCGGAAGTGATGCGAGGCGCAATTGAATATCCTGGCGAATTTAGCTGTCTACACGTTGATGCATGGGTGCGAAATACGTACGCCCTTGACCACCTTGGTGCCGACTCTAGTCACAAAGCCCTTCACATGCTCCGACCGTACCGAGGACAACACCAGGGTTGACCCTGGTTCCTGGGGAGCTATGAGGGCGGCACATTCCTGGAGACCTTCCTTTAATGAAGCAAGCGAATCCTGCAGTGACTGCAGCAGCCACTCTAGCTCATGGGCCTAGACGGACATAAGCTACCGAGATAGAGAGTGTGGAGCCCCAGGATTAAGCATAGTGGTTTACGTACCAGCGCAGCATCCGCTTCCCGGGTGATCTGCTCTGCAGGCAGTGGGGGATATGCCCAAGTGGCCATGGAGGAAAAAAGTGTGAAAACTGGAAAAGGCAGAAAGATTAATTGTACCACGTCACTTTCTTTCAGGGCCTGACCGACCCAATTGCTGGAGGTGCAACGTTGCTTGGGTGTTTCGTTGGGCCAAGAGGAGTTCACTTCGTCATGGACACGAGACTAGTGACCCGCTAGTCCCCTTTGGGCTTAGCGCAAAGGGTGATTCGACCTCACCTTAGCGGCCTATGACATCAAGATCGTCGGACTGCTTTTTGGCGAGAGAAAAAAAGAGTTAGATGATACTCGTCATTATATCACCGGCTGCCCTGCCGGATACCCCCGGCTACTTTTAAAATCGTGTACTTCTCTCCCTCCGCATCCCTCCTCCATTTCACTCGATCACAACCGACATAATGGGTCTCAGCAGTATGTTTAGATCGTCTGATCGTCAACTCTATATTTCCTTATCTAATGAATTTGTCTAGGAGCGTCGCTGGGCTTTATGGGCCTGTTCTTTATGGCAGGCTCCATCTTGCTGATTTTCCTGACTCTTTTGGCGGGTAGTCGCAACACCACGCCTCTCAATCAGGTCTACTTCCTCCAGGCCGACACCGGGAATATACCCGGCGCACCTGCGCTCTCGCGCTGGACATTCTGGAACCTCTGCGGGGTCACTGCTGGCGGGAAGAATGACTGCGGGAAATCGCACCCTGACTTCCCCTTCGATCCCCCAAGCCACCGTAACTTCGACACGACTGAGAATGTTCCGGACCAGTTCATCGAGTATGTTGTCTCAGAAGCACCTTCTGTGCGCCTGCGCTAATCGTATCAATCTAGCACCAAGCACTACTTCTTAATGTCCCGGTTCATGTTCCCCTTCGTCATCATTGGGTTGTTCTTTGCCGTGTGCTCCCTCTTCACTGGCCTCCTGGCCATGTGCACTCGCATCGCCAGCTATCTGTCTGGCTTCCTGGCCTGGCTCGCCCTGACTTTCCAGGTTATCACAACCTGTCTCATGACGTATGTGCCAATTCCGTTCACCCACTCTGCCAATCCATATGCTAATTAAAACAGTGCTGTGTTTGTACAGGGCCGTGATGCCTTCCAGAGCAACGGTCAGACCGCAAAGGTCGGTGTCAAGGCATTCGCCTTCATGTGGACTGCCTCCGCCTGTCTCTTCCTGTCATGCTTGATGTACTGCCTCGGCGGTGCTGTCGGCCGGAAAGACAGCACTGGCTACAGTGGACGCAAAGAGCGCCGCCGTGGTTTCTTCTCCTCCCAGCGCTCGAACAGCGTGAAGAGCCAGAAGCAAGAGACCACAAACCCAACCTACAATGCTTAATCGACGAAGTTCCAGACCGTTAATTGATGATCTCACAATGAGAACATTCCAATTCGGAGTAGCGGAAATGTCGACTTAGTACCGTTGATATATGGGCCATCTCCCTGTTGGAGTTGTGCTCATGCGTCGATATTCCTTTGAGAATTCCACATTTCTCCAGGAGTTTCCTTGTTCAGGTCCGGTCATAGTGGGCTGTGATCGACTTGCTCGGACACAGCTCAGATCAGACTACCCACGTTCGTTCATGCTGTTACGAAATCCTCACGATCTTTACTTAATCACATGGTCGAATTGTCTGGGTTTACCCCACGATTGTTTCGATCACGCTATACATGCGATTATTCATGTTTTATTGACGAATCCGTTGATTCTCACCCGAGATACGAGTGTTTAGTTGCGAGTTTACCTAATTTACTGTAATATAATCTTCATCTTTATTACAAGGTTCCAAAAAAACTCCTACCCAGCAAGCCGCTGAGATGTTGTTGCTATTTACCTGCCTAGCCGAGTAAGCTTGTCTCGTCCACCAGAAATGATGTAACCAGTTTTATGAGAATGATTCATGTCTGCCCAGGTAGAGCCTTGAAACTAGGGACTTGGAGAATAGAAATCTAGTTGGAAAGGGGAACCAATCGGTGACATCCAATTGAGTCTGTCTAAATGTATTTGCAAACTAGTAAAGGAAAAGGCACCATGATGACAACTGCAGTATAAATCGTCGGGGGACAAAAGAAAAAAGCACAGCCTCTATCAGTCATGCAAGCATCGTCACACCATAAATAAAGTCTTTTCTGTATTCACGCAAGAGGAATCAAAGACGCTTAAGCGGAGCCGTTGACGGCACCACGGACAGCGTTCTGGGAGCCGACCTCACGGACAGCGATCTGGAGGCCAAGGTCAGGGTTGACGTGAACCATAACCTCGATCTTGCCACCGGCCTTGACGCCCTTGACGGCGAGCTCAGCAACGGGCTTCTCGGTCTTCCAGACGATCTCGCGGACATCCTCTTCCTCCTCATCCTCGGAGTCGAAGTCAGAGTCATCCTCATCCTGGGCAGGCTTGTCCTCCTTGGCCTTGGGCTCGGGCTTGGTGACCTTGATCTCACGAGCACCCTCGCAGACGCGGACAAGAACATCACCACCCTCCTTGGGGGCGAAGTACTGAGCGATGCGGCGGGCAGGGAGGGCGGTCTCAGAGCCGAGGAGGGGCTGGAAGGTAGTCTCGGTCTTGGAGGTGAACTCGACACCGATGGCCTTGGTCAGGTGGGGGGTGACGGTGACCATGGGGTGGATGGACTGCTCGATGTCCTCGTGCTCGAACTCCTGGACCAGAGAGGCCTGGAAAGCGGCACCACGGGCGGACAGCTCGGAGGGGTTGATGGCAGTGGTGGAAGAGGCAGGGGAGAGGACCTTGGTGGTCTCGGGGAAGATGTTGCTGGCGAGGCTGGCGAGCTTGGGGGTGTGGGAAACACCACCGGAGAAGATGACCTCGTCGATGTCAAGGACATCGAGCTCGGCCTTCTTGACGACCTGCTCAATGAGGCCGGTGAACTGGCTGAAGACCTTGCCGGCGAGGAGCTCGAAACGGGTGCGGTTGACGGTGGAACCGTAGTCGACACCGTCGACGAGAGACTCAATGCTGATCTGAGCGTTGCTGCTCAGAGAGAGGGCCTTGCGGGTGGCTTCGCACTCGAGCTTGAGCTTGGCCAGACCGCGAGCGTTCTCGCGGGGGTCAGTCTTGTGCTTCTTCATGAACTCCTTGGCGAAGTGGTCGATGATGATCTGGTCGAGGGAGGCACCGCCGAGCTCGTAGTCGTGAGCAGTGGCGAGAATGGTGTACATACCACCGCGGCTGGCAACAACGGCAACATCGGAGCGGGTGCCACCGAAGTCAGCGACCACGACCAGCTTATCGGTCACGGTGGCTTCGGGACGGGCATCGTAGGCCATGACAGCGGCAACGGGCTCGTGGATGAGCTGGAGAACATCGAGACCAGCAGCCTTGGCGGAGGCAACGAGGGCCTCGCGCTGGGCGTCTGTGAAGTCGGTGGGAACGGTGATGACGGCAGCGTTGACATCCTTACCGAGGAAGTCGGTGGCTGAGCGTCTCAGACGCTGGAAGTGACGGGTGGTGATCTCGGAGACGGTGATGGTGTTGGGGGTCTCGCTGGCGGTGTCGCGGACAGTGAAAGCGACGGTGGAGTCCTTCTGCTGGGGGTGGGCAGATTGGTGGCAGGGAGTAGGGTCAATGGACTTGAATTCCTTGCCGACGAAATCACGGAAGTATGCGACAGTGTTGGCGCCGTTGCGGACAAGTTGGGCCTTAGCTTGTGTGCCGTGGTACTCCTCGCCGTCGATGTAAGAAAGGATGGTGGGGATTTGACGGTCTAAAGAGATCAGTCTCGAGTTCTCAAAGCGTGGGGTTTCCAAGGTTCTCACCTCCCTCCTCGTTGGCAATAACCTCAGCCTTGCCCTCCTAGGAGTGTGTCAGTCTCTATTCAACATCCAAGACGATGAAAATCGAAGCGTACAGGTGAGATACGGGCAATTGAACTGCAAGAGTTACCGAATGAGATACCAATAGCATAACGCTCCGCCTCAGCGGGGGCACCGTTAGCCGCGTCACCCATTTTGAAGTTGGGAAGATGTGATTTTTTTGGGATCAAAAGGGATAAAAGTTTCACGTCACGGCGTGAAAGTGTATTCGGGGGTATCCGATGTATGGGTGGAAATACTGATTGAGGGGGGACGATTGAAAAAGATTTTGAAGATTTTCGTCTGCCGCAAGTGTGGCTGAGGCCTTATCGATAGCCGTGTGGCGTCGCCCTTCTATCAACCTTGGAAGTGTCCACGGGGACGGCGTATTGGGCGCCAATGGTCCTCCGTACTAATTCTGCCTGAGCTGTCTGCCTGAATTGCTGCCTGAGGGCCTTATTATGTAAACAGCCCTGGAGCCTCTGCATGCACTGCAAGGAACTACGCCTATCTTAGCCACCGGAATAGGTATACTGCTTCACCTCCGCATGCCACCTTTGCAATATGCAAGATAATGATACTCTGGGATCCGGAGAGTCTGTACGTGAAGCACAAAGTCGAGGCTTTTCACGCACAAGACGTGCGCCTATCAAATCGTTGGGTAGCCGTCGACATGCCTGCGACCGTTGTCGAAGACAGAAACTGAAGGTAGAGACAGCACATGTATCGTTAGGACAACTGGTTAATGGAAAATTTTTCTTTCAGTGTGATGTCGCAAAGCCATGTTCTCTATGCCTCCGGTCTGGTTTTCTCTGTGAGACAACATCAACTCCGTTGCGGTAAGTTGTTCGTCATAAACCAGACATGAGCTGGTGGTTGTAAAAATATACTCATCCCTGACGTGTAGAAAGCCTACTAAGTCAGCAAAAGGCACGGATGGGCGCCGCAGAAGCGTACAGCACATGCAGTCCGACCTACCCACAACTTCAAGGTCAAACTCTCGAGCTCTTGATACTCCTCGAGCGTCGCTGAACCAGGCTCGAAAAGATGTCCCCTCGGACACTGGCAAGCAATCTGAGTCTCTCCAGCAGCAACATAGATATGTTCAAGCATCAGCAGTTGAGCTAACAGATGAGGTATTGTGCTGTTTTCCGTAAGGAACTTCATCTTATACTAACGGGTACTAGCTTTTTCATCTTCACGACCAAGGATCGGCCAATTCACCTACAACGCACAGCAACACTTCCGCTCTTCCCGGTGGGACCTTCCTCCACAGTCGCATGTCTGGCGACCGAGGAGATGATGGAAAGACTAGCCTTTCTTTCCTCTTCCCTGGGCTAATTTTCCCGTCCCGTCCAGTCTGTGACACTCTGCTCCAGTCTTACTGGAGGTCCGCGCATTGGTTCATGATGCTTTTCTATAAGCCTTCTTTTGAACGCGAATATAGGCAAATTATAGGTGATCAACACGTGGCTAGTCACCAGAGGGGCACAGCAGTGTTGATTCTGATGGTCCTTGCCATAGGGGCAAGATATGCCTCTGACCAAGAACGCTCGAAAGTTGGCATATCCAAGGAAGAGCTATCCTCACTTCAGAGAGATTTGCTCAACCAGATTCGATTGCACTATTTTGATGTTCTGGACACTGGAACTCTAGAATGTGTTCAATTATGCATTTTGCTGAGCACATACTACCTTTACAATGGCACGCCGAACTTAGCATTGCCTATACTTGGTGCAGGGATCCACAGTGCGCAGGCGCAGAGCCTACACAAGGAGATTCTTTGGGGCTCTGCAAGTGAGATTGTTCTCGAGGTCCGCAAGCGAACTTGGTGGGCTCTATATGTCCTCGACAGGTGCCTTCAATTCATTTCCTTGGTCATCATACTCTAGCTAATCCATCTATCAGGTTCGCTTCAGTGACCTATGGTCGACCGTCCTCAGTCAACGACGATTTCTGCGCTGTGAGCATGCCACGAGATATGGATGACATCTTGACTGTGCATCCGTTGCTGAATCATGCGAGCTATTCTTCAACACCGGTCACACTAGGCTCATATCAACGGCACAAATTCAATCTATATTCTATCGCAACCCACGTTATTCGCAATATTCATAATGTGCATGCCTCTAGTTCAGAGACTGCAATGAATCAAGCCGCGGAAACCAATGCCAAGCTGGTGGACTGGTTTGACCGACTGCCTGTGGAGTTAAGGCTGGAGAACAATGTTGATTTAGACATGGCAAGTTTGACAAGTGCCGAGGCCGAGGTCTGCCAGTTGTTTCAACTACAGGCGCTGGCCCTTCAGCTGGCCTATGACAACATCCAAATAATCTTACATCGCCCGTTTATTCGATGTACTCGCCGCTTATCTGCACCTACCTCTTCCGATTCGAGCGAGTCCGACGGGCGCCCAACAAGTTTTGAACAATGCAAGCACTCTGCTCGCCGCACCTGCAGCATACTGCCACGCTATGCAAAACTTCTCTCTGTGGCCCAAATGACCCATGCAGCAGCATATATCGCTATTCAAAACTTTACTGCAGGTGTTACTATGGCAATGGTAGCGCTGTCTGACCCTGGCTCAGAACAATCGCTTGATGCCAAAAGAGGTGTCGCGAATTCAATAACGTTGCAGAAAACACTCGCTGCATCGTCCATAGTCCCATCGCAGACGGTCAGGGTTCTTGAAGGGCTGTTCCAGCTAATGTTCAAACGTGAAATGCAGTTATTGCTGGGAAATCCGCCTCTAGAGTTGGGTTCTCACAGTCCAGTTGGCGGACCACTTAACCAAGCACATGAGCCCGAGGATTCTCAGCTACCTGATAGTATTCATGGTCCTATGAGGCGTCGATTCAACCACAGAGCCTCGCGTGGAGGCCAGGACAATCCAGAGCTGCTACCAAACATCATTGAACCCGAACGAAGATCCCAGCTTCCCCTCAGCGATCATGCCGCGATGAACCCTGGTCACGCTCAAGATATTCCCGGTTTATCTTTCTATCCGGGGATTGGCCATGCACTAGAATCAGTGCAGCAAGGTACGTCGCTCTTTTGAGATGCACTCCGTATCTATTTCTCTGCAATTTTTACGTTCAAACAAACCTAGCTTTCGCTGATCTTTATGGCCTATAGTACTATGGGAAAATTCCGATCCTACGGCATATGCAGGAGCTTATGTCCCGGGGACTTCCAATCCCCAGCCTTATATATGCGAACAGCCGGGTCCATTCGTGGGGAATATTGCAGAAGAAACCAATCGCTTCCCTCAGCCGACTTCACTAACCCCAATGGCCGATCCTGCAAGCCAAGATCTGAATATCTTGAATAACTCCTTCCTAGGTCAGTGCTGGCTATGGAACCAGCCGGACTTTGATAGTTTACAAGAACCATAAATTCTGCTTCTGTAACCCGATCATGTTGTGGCTTGACTGCGAACAAAGAAAATCATATTCGATGATTTGATAGTTGGGCCACATATCTTGCGGAAATTGGAAGACTAACACTAATGAAACCCAATGAAGCCCAATGAATTTCCCGAGATCAATAACTTTCAACACAGGGCAATGGTGTTCATGGATGCCAGAGAAAGTTTGACTAAACGACAACGAAAGGCCAAAGGCGGAATGCCCTTGGAGATACGGATTCAACGAATGAACTGGTCCACAAAATCAGCACCAAACCCAACCTCCTCGTAATGGGCTTTTGCGCTGGCTAGCTTTGAGAAAACATCCTCCACCCCCAAAGGAACACCCATAGGGTCGACGTAGATATACGCTCCAGTGACGTGGAACAAAGTGATCATTTCTTCCACGCCGTCTGGTACTTCGAGCGTATGGATGTCCCCTGGGGGCTCAAATGCATGGCTCCCTTCAGTTGCCCACCAATCGTGCTCAAGATAATGCCATTTCCCGCGCAGAACTGTGGCATGAACAGGCCCCGAGTGACGGTGGCGGGACAAGATACCGGAACGACGCACGCGGAGGAGGTTGACAAAATAACCTTGTGTGACATTGAAAAGAATGGGTCGAAACCAGACATCTGGGCCTTGGGGAACCCAGAGTCTCTCGTCGAAGTCCAGATTGAGAATGTTAGGGACCACGAGATCTTCAGGAACGTTGGGTAGAGGCTTTCCCTGGTAGGGGATAGCCTCGCCTTTCGGTCGAGAATCGACTGAGGCAGAAGTCATTGTGAGTTTTATACCGAGGAGGGTGATGAAATAGAGAAGAGTATCTTGCGATTCCAAAATAGATTTGTGAGCACGAGAATAGGTAATTACCTCTCTGCCAACACGGTCTCTTATATACTCTACCATAGTGTCGGATCAGATGCCACATTGCGCCAATCAGGTAGAAGGTATATTGCAAACCAAACGTGTGTGTGGTAAGTGGAGGTACACTGGATGGTTTCTCGGGCCTTTTACTCCGGTGGTCTGTACGGAGTGGAAGTCCAGGGTTCCACTTTAGCCATTCCGAGTCCGGTGGACATCCGGTTGTCTTGGTGCTAGCACAGGTGAGCAGAATTCCGTGACAAAGCCACGCTACAGGTATTGTGTTGTTTCATCGTTGCGCACTGGTCATTGGATTGAGTTTTCAAGCCCAAATTTCCCCGAAATTTCACGTTCTTCTCGCTAAATATGTCTCGTTGGTACCTGATATCTTAGGCAGAGATGCCCTAACGAGTTAGTTAACGAACTAGATGGCCTCTGTCGCCCTTTCTACTCTGCCCCCTCTGCCTCCCCATCCTTGCACGAGAGAAGTTTCCGTTGGTTATCCACCGGGGTAGGAATGTTTTCATATTGTGAATTGCTACCCTATCAGGGGTGAAGCAATAGCTCAAGCTAGGCAAACGGAAGTCCGGCGGAGTCTACTATTCGATGCAGACTGTTAGACTGTATTCAGCAATAAATAAGATTGCCCTGCTACTGTCTAAAGAACATATCTCACTTACTCCTAATTTTTTTCAAACTATCCATACTGTCATTCGATCTTCGGTGTATCTTCAAACCTCTTTTCTTACAACATGCATCACTTGCCCACCGAGAAACTATTCTCGCTACAAGGGAAGACAGTTATATGCACGGGAGCTACAGGTGGCATTGGTCAGACCTTGTGCAAATCTCTCGCAGTTGCAGGTGCAGACATTGTCTCTATTCAGATTCCCAATGATGCCCACAGCGAAAGCTTATCCAGATCTATCTCAGAGATTGGCCGAAGGTTTTGGGCTTTTGAGTGCAATCTGACCGATCCATCTTCAATCCGTTCAACCTTTCAAAGTATTTGGCTAGCAGGAATCAGGCCTTCCGTTCTCGTGAACTGTGCCGGTGTCAATAGAAGAGGGCCAATCACAGAAGTCACTGATGATGATCTAGACCTTGTATGGACAATGAGTGGGTTTTATTCTCCCATACGGGCAAGCACTGACAAATACTTCAGATTCTATCTGTCAATCTCAAGGCTACTTATATAGCCGCACAAGAATTTGCAAAGAAGCTGCTTCAGCTTCAGCTTCCTGGGAAGATCATCAACATTGGTTCGGTAACTTCATACCGGGGGATGTACAATGTTTCTGCCTATGCAAGCTCCAAGGGTGGAGTCATACAAATGACCAAGTCTTTCAGCAATGAACTAGCCCCTCACAACATTCAAGTCAACTGCATCTGCCCAGGGTAAGTTTGTGATTCTTTTGCAATCTTCTTCCAATGTTGTCGGTGCATTTCAAACAAAGGCTAAATTTGGAACAGATACATCAGTACGCCTTTAACAACACAGCTAGAGAATGACCCAGTTTACAATGACTTCATTTTGAAGGGAACACCAGCTGGCCGTTGGGGAACCCCTGAAGACCTGAGGGGAGCTGTCATCTTCCTTGCCAGTGAGGGCAGCAACTTCGTCACCGGTTCAAGTCTGATAGTGGACGGTGGAATGCTCGCAGTCTGACAAAGTATCATTCTCTTCAATAAGGGTACTAGACAGAAATTTTGGAATGATCCAGCACAAATCCAGAAACTTGGCCATGGCACCCTGTGGTTCCGTCCCCAACTTCAGTTGTATACCGCAAAAAAACTTGCAAAATTCCGAGCAAATCTGCTTTCATTATACTGTGGGCAGTGTTTTCTAACTACAAAATCGCAGGTCCAAGACTTTTTTATGTGTTATAATGTGGGAATGTGTACAGAATAAGCATGAGAATAGCGGGCAATAGTGATTGATTTGATCATCTCGTGGAGTTTGTATCAACGCGATTTCAAAGCAGCTAAAAGTTGCCACTTCTTGACTCTACCATCCTCTGATTGTTGTTTGATCTCTTCGAATCGTTCCATTGGCTTTCTTTCTTTCTTTCTGTCTTTCTTTCTTTCTTTCTTTCCTTCCAAGGTTGTTTCTTTCGAGACCTCCAGAGCTTTCTTGTGTGTAGTATATATGATATTATCTTCATAGGCTACAAGCTATATCCATGGATATGGTTGTGGTCATTGACATAGACCTTTTTCGGATTTTCATAATGGAATTCGAACGCAGTATCAATTTAAGCTTGTTTTTTTACTTCTAAAGGAATCCCCCCCACATTCAGGCATGTAGGCCAGGATGCCTTGAAACTCTTTCATCCCCTCTTAAGCAGAAATCATGTTCCTGATGGTTGTTTCAAAATCCTCAGGTTCACGACCAAGTAACTGAGCCAAATTTGGGGTGACTGCTGCACACTCGCCATCGCGGATCCCATCGAAAGCAGTCGCCCAGAGAGGTGCCCAATTGCCACCACCGTATGTGAGACCATTTTGGACCTGTGGCTGTTTGACATACTCATCCACGTGTACCTGGCGGACCTTGACTGACTTATCCAGCACGCGGCTGAATACATCTGCTGTTTCATTGAGAGACCAAGCACGAGGGCCCGAGAGAAGGATGGTCTTGTTTAAATAAGGGAAAGCAGCGGGATCTTGGGCGTGCTGTGCAATGAGGTTTGCGGTTGCTTCGCCCAGCTCGTCTTGCTTAGCCCATGCAAGGCCAGGAGCCGAGCCGTCGTGAGGGATACAAATTTCGCTGGAAGGAGCTTTCAGATCGAAGAAGGCAGTATAGAGTGGGAAGGACTCCGAATACAGTCCTTGGCGAACGACAGTATACGTGAACTGCGGGTCCTTGTCATGTAACTGGGCCAGATATTTCTCCGTGGCAAGGTGGGCAAGCATGACCTGGGCCTTGGTTTCGAGATTTCCATCACCAGCAAACGCAAGAGATGAGTAAAAGATGTGCTTAACGCCACTCTTTCGAGCCGCATCAATCGCGGATCTGTGTACCTATGGAATCTAATTAGTACCCAGGTACCAAAGTAACAGAATTGGAATGTAAAACTTACCGTGAATCGATGCTCGTTCTGAATACTGGCATAGGAGATCAAGTTCAGAGAGGAAATTCCGTCAAACGAGTGATCAAGTGTCTGAGCATTGTCGTAATCGGCTTTGCGAACAATGGCTCCAGTAGCTTCCTCTTTGTTGAGTTTCTCTGGGCTGCGAGCGACAAGTACCACTTCGTTGGGTGGGACTAGCCCAAGAAGGTGGCTCAGGGTACTGCCTCCAAGGCCTCCAGATGCCGGGAATATGCCAAGTTTGGGTGCCATGTCTGAATCAATGATGGTTTGCTGAAAGAGAGAATCAAATGGAGCTTACGCTGATTCTATTATATAGTCAGAACATTCAGGCTGAAGCTTTGAAAGTCCCCGGTGCGGATGAATTAGAAGTGGCCTCTCGGTGAGTTCTATACATGAGATCCGCATCTTTTCCGATGGAAATCAACTGATTAGTCAATGCTTCATACCGATGTGCATGATATCATTGAGACCATTCTAAAGTTGCTCCACTGTACAAAGTTTCCACAGTCCACTGTAGCGCGGACCAATCATTATTGTACCAGGTGATGTTTGAGAGATCCGACTCCGGTGGACTCGGACTCGGACATCGAAGTAAAAAAAGTGGCGAACCAAACAAGCTTCTTGAAAACGAGCATTTTGATTGATATCAGCACCGGATTATAAATGCATCGAGATTAGTTAAAATTATATCTACTTGGGACATATAACGGTGTACCTAGCTAAATTGCAAAACGAGAGAGCACAACATCGTTGATTGCTCCAATTTCCTTGTTCCGATTCAATATGCCTTCCCGCTACGCAAACGTTGACGAAAGTGCCATTATCGAGATCCCCAATGAGCCAGCCACTGGGGTTAGTAACAGTCGGATCTCAATATGTCTACCAACATAACGCTGACTTGTACTAGGTCTCTTATTTCACACCGAAGCAAGAGCCACCTGCTGGCACAGCTGTTTCCCCAGACGAAGGTAACCAGGGTTTGCCAAAGCTGTTTGCACCATTACGGATAAGAGGACTTGAACTGCACAATCGCATTCTCGTAAGTTGCGTCTCGACGGCTGTGACTTTTGAAATTGACTAATGATCAAAGCTTTCCCCTCTCTGCCAGTATTCTGCTGAAGATGGGCATCACAATGATTGGCATTTCGCTCATCTTGGTGGTATCATCTCGCGCGGACCAGGGCTATCATTTGTGGAGGCTACTGCGGTCACACCCAATGGCCGCATCACTCCAGAGGACTCCGGGCTCTGGAAAGAATCCCAAATTGAGCCACTGCGAAGGATAGTGGAGTTTGCGCATGGCCAGGGCCAGCGTATTGGCATTCAGCTGGCACATGCCGGGCGCAAAGCAAGCACTGTCGCACCCTGGTTGAGTATGGCCCGTGGCCCTGCCGCTTCCATGAAATCTGTATGTTGTCTTCTTCAACCCAGAAGATCAGGTCTGACTAATTTATGAAGGTCAATGGCTTCGAGAACGAAGGTTTTGCACCGGTATGAAATCTATTTCTGAAGTTTTGTTTGCTGTCTTCAAGAAGTTGACTGATGTTTCTCAACAGCGCCACGGCTGGCCAGACGATGTGTCCGCTCCTAGCGCTATCGCTTACAAGGACAAGAACGTGATTCCACGGGAGATGAGTCATGGCGAGATCCAATCGTTGGTGGAGGCATGGGGCAAAGCAACCGAAAGAGCCGTACGGGCAGGCTTTGATGTGCGTTTCCCGATGCCCGTGGACGTGAGATTCTTACTGACCGCAGATAATCACAGGCCATCGAGATCCACGGCGCTCACGGATACCTGATCCACGAATTCCTCTCGCCGGTATCCAACCAACGCACCGATGATTACGGAGGCTCCTTCCAGAATCGAATTCGGTTTGCACTACAAATTGTGGATGTCTCTCGGCAGAGCATGCCCGAAGGTATGCCTCTTTTCTTCCGTGTCAGCGGAACCGAGTGGCTGGAGCACCTCGAGAGTGAGCCTAGCTGGAATGTCGATGAGACTATTCGGTTGGCTGAAGTGCTAGCAAGTCGAGGAGTGGATGTTCTCGATGTTTCCAGTGGAGGGAATGACCCACGACAGAAGATTATCGGTGGACCTGGGTACCAGGCTCCGGCTGCTCTCAAAGTGAAGGAAGCCCTTGGCAACCGACTTCTCGTGGGAACTGTTGGGGCGATTACCTCCGGTACTCAGGCAAATGACCTGTTGAGCAGTGGCCTTGATATGGTCTTGGTTGGACGACTGTTCCAGAAGAACCCCGGCCTGGTCTGGCAGTTTGCGGATGAGCTTGATGTCGACGTCAAGTCAGCAAATCAGATACATTGGGGCTTTGCTGGACGTCGTCGAAAGTGAAGCCATGTGTCACGGGATTGCATCTGTATGCATCTGTGCTTTGTAGATAGATGATTGATCTGTCATGAATAGAATGAAGGGTTAGAAGGGCAAGACAGCTCACACCAATGCCAAGGATTTCAAGAATTCAACTCCCGCCACTTCCACGCCGAAAGATCAGGGATTCTTTTTTAGAATAACACTTCCCTGACTATGAGAGCACTGTAGGTGATATTGGGTACAACACCGAAATCAATATTTGTACAATTTGGACAGTCAATCCCGAGGTCACATGTCACAAACCAACACTATCCGTGGATCTGATGCATGTCACGTGCCGATAAGAAATGCGGTTTTCTTCTTGACAATCTTTGGAACGATTTATCGATCTCTACATTTGAAACCATAGCCCACGACCTTGTGTTAACAGCTTCTTTTTTCCCTCTACCACCAAAGCTGCACCCCAATACCATGAGCGCACCGGTCGTCTTATTACCCAGTGACGAGGTCCCTCGGGATCATCTTCCCACCACCAAGTCTAATAATCCTTTGCGACTGGGCCCTGGCCTTCGCCTCCTCTCACAGCCTTCGTCAACAGCTGGTGATTCCAAACATGTTGTGACAGCGACACAAGCAGGTCTTTTGACCACCGATGCGAAGAGAAACACAGTCTCACTTCTTTCTTTTCCGAACCGCCGATATGTCCCCACTGCCAACGACCTCATTATTGCCCAAATCCACCATTCTAGCATCGATTTCTTCCACTGCATAGTCACACCCAACACAGCACACGCTTTACTGGGCCAACTATCCTTTGAGGGCGCAACAAAAAAGACGAGGCCAATGTTGAAGCAAGGCGAGCTAGTATATGCTCGGGTCCAATCCGTGGGAGTCGGTGCCGGCGCCGAAGTTGAACTCACCTGTGTCAACCCCGCAACTGGAAAGGCCGACGGAGGATTAGGTCCGTTGGTTGGAGGAATGGTCTTCGATGTCTCGACTGGCATGGCTGCTCGCCTCATTCGCGCAAGCTCTGCTTCAGCTGATAACACTGAACCGGTTGAAGGGCTGGTAGTTCTCTCTGAACTCGGGAGAAAGTTGGAGAGCTTAGGAGGATTTGAACTTGCTGTGGGACGAAATGGAAAGGTCTGGGTGGATTGTTCCAATGCTGGCGAGAGTGCTATCAAGGTCACTATTGCCATTGGGCGCTGTTTGCAGGAGACTGATCAGCAGAACCTCCATCCTCATGATCAGAAGAAACTGGTGACGAAAGTCCTGCGGGATATGAAGCTTGTATCGTAATGACGGTCAAACGGTCCAGGACGGTCCAAGAGTGTTACTCAAACGACCTATGTCTGAACGTTATGCCTTGCGTTTTATATCAGCATGTACACTATTAATGCAATCATGAATGTAATTCCATTGTGTGCTGAAAGACCCTCGCAATCGCAACAGTGCAGTTGATCAAACTTCTCGAGTCCTGCATAAATTAATACCGACAACCTTATCTAGAGCATAGAGCAATCCATTCTTCTCCGATTATTATCACTGCCATTGTATCACCATCATCGTCATCATTGCCATCACTGTTATCTCCATGGTCCACTGCGACTACTAGTTCGGGACGCGGGCGGTTGCCAAGGCGGTCTGATTACTGTCTACGAAATTTGATCGGCCTCCAAATATCTACCTGTCACACTCAATTATTCTCAGAATGCCTCGCCCTCCTCTACGGAAATCCCAAAAAATGGGTAACGCATCATCTCAGCCAGAGGGCGCTGCAAATGGCGTCGAAAATTCTCAAACTTCAGGTAGGTGTGTTGGAATTGGCACCAAAATTTGAAACTAACTCTCGAATCTCCAAGTCCCTGAAACCCCAACTACCACCAAAACGCAAGGAAAGAAATCCCCAGATCTTCCCAACGCCGCCTCCCCGTCGCAGGCAATTCCGGAACTCAATGGCCCCGTGACAGTCTCCGGCGCGTCAAAACCCGCGAAGCGCAAGCGCGAGTCCGAGCCGCAGCGCCAAAAGAAGTCCAAGAAGAAGCCGAAATCCGACAAACATGTCGAGGAAGAAACGGATGAAGCAAATGTCGACACTCCTGTCGCCGCTGAAACTCCTATCGCAAAGCCGACAGAGGTTGCTCCGACTCCAAGCCAGCCTTCACCGTCAAAGTCTCCGCGCCCCGAAGCGGTGCAGGCCCGCAAGCAGAAGAAGCACGCGAAAACACCCACAACTCCTTCTGTCAAGTCGACACCTAAAACTCCGAGGGCTGGCCCCAATTCGGTCCCGGCCACACCCATCCCCGAGGGCAGTCTTACGCCCGGCGGCAGGCCCAAGAGCATTCGAGGCTCGCGGACAAGAGCAAAGGACTCCTTGAAAATCGGATTCTACACACCGCAAGAGGTAGAGAAGATTGAGAACTTCAAAATTAACTTCTGTACTATGCACGGCATCTCCGGATCTGTCTTTGACGAAATGATCCAACACTCGGATCGAGGCAGTGGAGACTTCCCTGTCTCTGAGAATGTAGTCAAGAAGGCTGATTTCTGGAACGACATCTATGGCCTGGTTCCCGACCGTGACCGCAGATCCGTTTACCGCTTTATGCGCCGGCATTTCCAGGCCTCGACGCAGAAGGCACACGATTGGTCAGAGGAGCAGGACGATGAACTGATTGATCTTTACACCAAGCACGGTCCCAAGTGGACTTTCATTGGCAGATTACTTGGCCGAAGTGACGACGATGTCACCCAGCGTTGGAAGAACAAACTCGAGCACAAGGGCACCATGAACCAAGGTGCCTGGGATGAAGAAGAGTTCAATGTTTTCTTAGAGGCCATGGAAGCTTGCTGGGCCAGCATGAAACCTCTCCTTGGAGGGAAAGCAGGAAAAGACCTGTACGATCTTGACGAGCAAACTATCATCTGGGGAAATATCAGTAAGGCAATGGGCCACAAGCGATCTCGACAGCAGTGCGCCGACAAGTGGCGAAAGATTGTCAAGCACGTCAAGAATTTGCGAGCCAATGGTATGCCGGATGCCGTGTTTGATTACGCCTCGTCTTCCAAGAAAGCCGCCGCTTGGAAAGCGAGGTCTAGTGCCATCAAGAGTGCCGAGTTCGTTGAAGATGAGTCCAACGACGAAGGTGATGACGAAGTGAATGAAGACCCAAAATCAAACGGCGGACCTGAGATTGCCAACTCTCAGCCTGAACCTGAACCACAACCCGAACCACGCCTTGAACCAGAGGCCGATAACTTGCCAGAGCCACAGGCCACTCCAAAGGAGCCCAAGAAGTCCAAGTCTAAAAAGTCCAACAAGCGCAAGAGCTCCGATGCAGCTGCCACCGAGCTTCCTCCTCCTCAGCTCGAAAACGGGGCGCAATCCGATGATGACGAGCCCGAGCTGCCACCGCCATCCAAGCAAACCAAGGCAGAGCGCAAACGGGAGCAGAAGGCACTGCGAGAGAAGGAGCAGCAGGCCAGGATTATCGCCGAGGCCGTGGTCGAGGCTCGGCCAAGAGAAGCCTCCCCCGAAGAACCAAAGCGGCCGAAGAAGGCCAAAAAGCAGAGGCCGCAGGAGGACATCTTCGATGCGCCCTCACAAAGTCCCGAGCCGCCGCGAAAGCGGGCCAGAAAGGCTCTGAAAAAGGCTGAAATCGCCAACGAGCCCCGTGGCGAAAGCCCTCAGCCAATTGAAGAGCCTCCGCGCTCTGAGTCACCTCCCTCTCAATCTCCACCGAATAAAGTACTCGCGGCCGAAGCGAGCGACGATGACAAGTCATCAGAGAGTGAGGGAGATAGTGACATGGACATAAAACACGAGTACGACTCTGAGGAACTCTGATTACTTTTCGGTTAAAATTTTTCTCGAGCTTTTTGCTGTTGTGATACCCATCGAAGCGACGAGAAGCGTGAGAAATGAATATATTCAATCTAAAAACACCACTGATGTAAAACTAAAGTTCATCCTTTCTATCCTCGGTCTGCACGAACTCAGCCTGTTCACCAGCGACCCGACTAGCCAAAGCCGCAATCTCGTCATCGTAGACCGTCCATTCAGGAACTTGCCTCCTTGCCCGCTCCAGCTTGGGTTCCTTTGTAAGAGGGTTGTTACAGAGATCAATAGTCTTGGCCTTGCTCAAGTCCTCATCGGCACACCAGGTCTCGCACCAAAGCCACTCCTGCGGTAGACTGTGGATGGGGATATGGTGCTGCATGTGGTTGGGCAGATCTTGATCCAGATTGCTGAGACTGTTGGGGTCCGACGAGAGCATCTGGTACTGTCCACGGAGACGGTCACCAGCGGCAAGAGCGCGGAAGCGCTTTAGGTCGACAACGTACAGAGCCGAGATGTGATAGGGTCTGCCGCGAAGGAAGTTGGACCAGTAGCCTTGCTTCCAGAAGCGGAAGCCCTCCATCTCGGCGCGGGAGTCGCCCATCGGGGTAAAGCCGTAAGGCGCTTCTTGCAAATCGTGAGTGACGAGATCGTGCATGTCTGTACGGACGATCTGGTCCGCGTCGACGAAGATGACTTTGTCGAGAGAAAGGGGGAAAAGCACATCTAGGAAGAGCATCTTATAGCCCCAGATCTCCCGCTGCTTCTCCTTCTGGGCTCGGAGCCAGTGAGGCCATTTGTAGGTTACCATCTCATAGGAGAAGCCGTATTCCTGAGCCAGGGAGGGGAGGAAGGCACGGAAAGAGGGAGAAAGGAATTGCTCGATGAACCAGAATTTGACGCTGTGCTTGGTATGGCGCATCACTGAGACCATCATGATGTTGAGCATGCGCTCATAAAGGTGCCCGCTTGCCACTGAGAAGATGTTGATATCCGCGTGTTGTTCACCCCCAGACTTGGAGTTGACACCAACGCTGGAGAGAACGCCCGAAGCGAAGCTGAGCCCCTTGGCGAGATAGTCAGTCGCGGAGCCGGGCTGGATACCCGTCTCCAAGACATCTTCTTCCTCGTAGCCTGGTTTGCGTGACAGGCGTGGGAACAAGGTCCGGCCATGGAAAGATAGCAGAGCAACTTCGTTGTTCTGGTCACCGGCCTGGGGGCGGTATCCCAAAGCGCCCACACTGTCAATGTTGAACAGCTTCTCGCTGCGGCCGGGCTTCAGGTTGATCTGCCAGAGTCCTGGCTGGGCCTTGAATTGGAAGTATCCCAGGTTGGCCATGATGATAGTATCCGCGAAGTAGTGGCTGGCTTCGGTGCCCAGGGTGAGTTGGACGCCTCTTGGTGGAGTCTTTGTGGTGAGATCACGAGAGTGGCCCTCGATGAGGATATGCTCCAGTGCGTAGATGGCATCGACGTTGCCACCAGCCTTGACCGAGCTCAGCTTGACGTTGTCCAAATCGTAGACAGAATCCTTCGGTGCTACAAGCCAAGCCGAGGGTACATCCATGCCCAAAGTCAACAGTGCCTCGACTGGCACGCCGGTAAAGGACGCTTGGGGCCGGGCCACAGCTCCATCCTCTGTGAACAAAGGCTCCGAGTCCAGCACATAGCGATAGAATCGCTTGACGGGGAGTTCCTTCATCTCCTCCTTGGGGTTCAAGAAAATCTTCAACTGAACACCAGACAGTTCAGAAAGAACCTTGAGGATTGGAAGCCATCGCTGAGCAACCTCAGATGCAGGGTCGAGGGAAACGGCGACGTTAATCGCGGGGTCTTCAGAGTTGGAGAGAGTGATGACGGAAAGCTTAGTCCGCCACTTTTGGGACACATCCATTCTGAAGTCAGGGGTGTTCTCGAAGATACCCTCGGGGACATCAGAGATTGTAGAAAGAGCAACGAGCGAGGTTAACTTGGCGAAGTCGAGTGGGCTTGATACCTTGGTATCAAAGCCAAGTTGAATGACAGCAAGTGCAACAACGTCGAGGCGTTTGGCCCGCTCATAGTCGATCAATTGGCGCAACTCGTTGACACTGAGGGCATCTGTCTTTTCGATGGGGCCCACCAGTCGTCCATTGACAACAAGACCTTCTGTGCCAGGCACGAATCCAAGTTCTTTGGTCACGCGCTGATGTAGAGCAAGCAACTCTTCAAACTCGACCTGAGATTTAGAATCAGTCTCAGATGACAAGGCCTCCTCTACGCTGCCACCCTTTGCAATGGCATCGGATATGGCGATCAATCTCTTTGGAACAGCCTCGTCGTCTGATGTTGGGTTGTGCAGCACAAGTATCTCGACCTCAGCTCGCTCCTTCTGAAGAGCTATGGCTTCGGTGAGCAAGTTCAACCCCTCCTCTGACTCAAAGTCACCCACAATGACCATGTGAACGCTCTCGGTGGCACTGCTACTCGAAGAAAGACGAGGAATCTTGTCCAGGACATCTTTGTTGAGAATGTTGGCAATGTCCACAATCTGGACACTCTTTGGGTCTTCAGGCATGAGGAAGGTGTTGCGTTTCTCAAATGCACTGGCCAGGAAGAAGTCCGGAAGGTAAGAATCTTCCTCGAGAATTCCCTCAACAATGCCCTGCTGGATCAACTTCAGGTCTCTACTGATCTGCATACTCAATCCCTGCATCCAATTGCCTTCGCGGGGCACAGGGATACCATTCACCAAGAGCTGAGGTACCTCTCCATTGAGACTCAGTCGGCGCTGGTAGGCAGTGGTTTGAGGCACCAAAGCATTGTACTTCTCGCTCTTCAGTACTTGGTCAAAAGACAATGAAGCGAAATCATCGGGGATGGCACGGTCCTTGGTTGCAGACTGGAAAGATGACTTGTCTGGGAACCCACGCTTTCCACTTGAAGCGAATTGCTCAAAGTATTGTGCGAGAGACTCCAGACCGAAGCCACTGAAGAGATAGTGTGCCACCTTCAGCTGTGCAATCGACTCGGGGGATGATGTAGTTGGAACCAGACCGAATCTCACGGGTATTCCTCGTTTGATGAACATCTGAATGTTACCAGCCACGAGCATCATGTCCTCTGGGCTAGAAAGATCCACCGGCAGAATGACGTTGTGCAGATCTCGTCTCACAGGAGGCAGCTGTCCAGGGTGACCGCTAGAGATGTACGATTCAAGGTTGCTGGGCCAGTTCTCGTACCTGGAATCCTTCTCCAGATCATTCATCCACATGATGACCTGGTTGTCTTCCAAGTCATCCCGGTAATCATAACGTTGCTCATCGCCACCGGCCTGGGCCTCGGTGAGGAGGCGATGGGACAGCAGCTTCACAGCATCATCAGCAGAGAGACCCAAGCCGCGGAACTTCTCAATCAACTTCCTCTCGCGGCGCAGATGCTCAAGGAGAGAGAAGGCATCGATCTGCTGCGAGTCCATCTGGACGCCATTGATCCACATAGCGTTATAGCCACCCGGGAGCATCTTCACCCGGTTATGACGGATCTCTTGAGCCAGTTCCCCAGAGTGGTCATGGGAAGCTACGACAGAAGAATATTTAGGGAAATCTTGTGACATCTTGATCAACGTGTCCAGAGGATTAGCGCTGTCCATGACGTACGCAGCGGATTTCAACCCCAGGTGGATGACTTCTGAGGCAGAAAGAGGCCGGAGGTCATCCGGAGCCTCATCCTTGAGTTCCTCTTGGTCATTGTGACTCTTGGCGCCTTCTTCTTCAAGCTTCTCGGCATCTCGATCGTCAATCACAATGTAATCTGTCTTCTTCAGAGCAAGCTCTACTCCGTATCCAGACACAAACAAAGGACGAGAGATCCAATGCTGAGGAGGCCGGTACCGCACGCGATATGAGATCTGTCCCTGCTTGGCCATGTTGCTCAGTGTTTCGTGGAAATCTTTAAAAGTCGGCGAGGCAACGTCTGCATATAAAACAGCCGGGGGAAGCGATATGTCGCCAAGCACGCGGTCAAAGGGTAATTCTCGAGGATCTCTGAGTAATGTCAGCTACCAATGTGCAGTTAATAGCCGTATTTGAACCCACAAATCTCCCTGTACATCTTGCTGCGCACGCTCCATTGCGGAAGAGCAATACTGCTTGTCCTCCAAGTGTACCCAGACAGGACAGACTGCATCCTGGGCAACCATCAACGACTGCTGGACAGACGTGTTATAGAATTGGTAGTGAGCCTCGATTCGAGGAGCCGAAGATCGGAGCGAAAGCGACAGCTTGAATGAAGATAGGCTCTCAGGACTTCGCAGATGTCCATCATCCTGGACGACTGTCAAGAAGCGGTCATATAATTCCTTCTCGGTCGTGAGTTCCTCAAATACACCGTCGGCAATGCGATCTAGCAATGGGAAGTAGGATGTAGAGTTCTCTTCGGCAGCCGATTCCCTAAATTGATGTGATCAGCCACGGAACAATGCCAGTATCATCAATGTTGCGGCCTACAAGAGCTCGACGAGGTATGGGGCCGAGTCAAAGGAGGCTTGAAGTGCCACGTTCACAGACGGGCTGGAATTGACAAGACATCCCGGTAGCAGAGCTGCAATGGCAGCATACCACCGCCAGGAGATGCGAGGCTCCGAAGACGATCGCATTGCGTAATGCAGCGTGCAACAGTCGTGTGTTGCTTTGTTTGGAGTGGGAGTATGGGCGGTGGGATATTTCGGTCGGTGGTGTCTAGTCGGTAAACATGTACATTGAGACAGTAAGCATCACAGGCCAAATGAGCCAAAGCTCGCTCAATAAAGACCGTGATGGAAATGAGGCTGAATCGGCTGATCTGGACACCTCTGGGTTCCCTTATCGCGAGGATGCTCCAGGGCTCTTATCGCAGCTGCTACGGCAAGCGCAGCGGCAACTCGCGCAGCGTGTGCGTAATAGACACCTTGGCGCCTGAATCACAAAAGCCCTAACATCAGCTAGCATCTCGAACGAAAGTTCCCCACAGACAGGTGCGACTGCGAAAATCTGAGATTTCATATGAGGCCTGTGAGTCACACAGACTGAGCAGTGTGTCTAGCGCTTGGAAAGCCGTAGATTAGTTACACCTGTTTGTTCAGCGAGAGGAAGCTTGGAAGCAAGGAAAGACTGATGATCAGATGATACTCCGTAAAATTGCCAATTGCCGACATATAAGTATGTCAAGGCTCCATCAAAGCCTTATGCTTAGACATGACTTCGAAGCCGGATACAAACGCCAGTAATGATGAGTCCAAGGACTGCTCCAAGTCCAAACGTGCCGGCCAAATAAATGCCACAGTACCTCATCACCCGCTTCTTATTACCCATTCGCCATTGAGCTCTCGCATTCTCCCAAGTGATGATTGGCTCCAGGTGGTCATCCTCTTCCACGTCCATCCATTGTACCACACGTGCGTTTGAGCGTACATGGGCTGGCGGGGGATAAGTTGGCTCCGCCGAGACAAAGTACTGATTACCGTGGCCCGCGTATGGACGAGACCTATTTTTAATTAGTTACTCTGGCTAGTGCAAAGTAGGTTGTTGGTCGTAGGAAGACTCACATTTTCTCGTGATGGGTGTTCGTGACGAGAAGTTTGAAATACGTGCTGGTATACCAGACGTTTGTTGACGCCGGACGTGATGCGGATACTAGGAGCCCGATGAGAAGCTATAAAAAGAAAATCAGTATTTAAATCGTCAAATCATTGACGTGACAATTCATTTCATACCAGCTGTGGTCTAGTATCGCATGGGCTGTGAATGGGTATTCCAAGATGGGCAAAGGTGGTGGATGAAAGGTGGAGGAACCAAGAGGAAGGTAAACAGAGCAATGGCATCGGTGGGTGGCTACGGGTGACGGCGTGTTCAGATACCGGCGATTAGATATGGTTGTTGATAGCAGTTCTACGAACCTTGGAAAGGTGGCGCCTACACTGGGCATATGTACTTTCATCTTTGTCACTTTCGACCTCGTTTGGGTGCCCGAGATCTGAGTATCAAGTCCCGAATACGGATCAAATCTAGATTCCGCGCTTGTTCATCTGACCATTTGATCAGAAAAGGAATATCATGAGGCATTGAGTAGGTTGTTCAAGTGGCTTGGACATTTGCCTTCTGTTCAAATGGACTGATACTCAAACATGATGGGGACAACATCCTAACACACCAAGACGCTACTTGTCTTGTAGAGACACCAACCAGCTCTATAGCCAGTTTCTGACGCGTTTCAAGCTCTACATCTTCTCTTCAACGCGTTCTAAGCTCAGTATCTGCTCAACATCTACCTTCTAGCATTGGGAAACAGTTTCCTGGGGCTCTATGACGGAGGAGCTAGTTTCCGTGCACATAAGATTTAGCCCTTTGCATTGAGAGCATGCTCGCACGAGACTCCTCTGATTTTGATACCACCTCTAAAGACGTGGTAGGTGTGATATCCAAACAATCCAATCAGAAGTACAAAGAAAGCTCTAAAGAAATTTACAACAGATGGATCTAGCCTAGCTCTGAGGCCATATCAACTGGCATTAATAGACATCTAATGCGTTCTACCCTTAACAAAAACAAGAACCCGAGGACCTAGTATAGTCGGCATGATTACCCTGATTTCATAGATATGGCAGATGTCAAAGCAAGTTCCCAAGACTACTGTACCAATCATGAACACCTAGTTTATTCGTGACCAAACCCACTCATACTCCAATCTCCAATACTCACGGGCCAAAACGGTTCAATCGCCCCAGTTTAAGCGAGCAACAAAGACCCATTTCCCCATCTCTACGTTCCATCTTATTATATCGTACCTCGTCACCAGCTTAATCCACTCTGTCGATTCAATGCTATTCTTAGTAATGAAGGTATAGGCTGACGTTGCAGTACCCACTCCCCCACATTTGAGCAATCGGATGATTCCCGCTTCTTGACGCGCTTCTTGTCACACCGATCAAGGTCTACGGTCAATCAACTAAAGTCAGATTTACGTCGTGCTTCGTACCCATTCATCCCTATGAGGCTGAGGAGACACAATATCGTCAGAGTAATGGCCATGTTTGATGAGATCTTATGCGGGGAAAGTCCTCGGATTCGAGAAGGATGGCTGCCAGGGCGATGTCAAAAGGTAGCATGTTTCTTGGACTAATGGATGACTACTCTTGCACAAGATGTGAAGTAATGATAATTTGGAATTTTGAGATCCTGCCTGATGGATAAAGATAATGGTAAAGATAATTTGATCCGTCCGCTCCAGCTCCATGTGTAAAGATAAAAAAAAGATAAGAATAGTTTTGAAAAATCAGTTCCAGCTGAGTGGACGCTATCATGAAGACATTATTCGTAAGTGAAACTCCCCCAGATGCTTCCTTTTTGTTTCGAACGCCGCTTGTTGCAAAGCAATCAAGGTAAATCACATATATGCAGTCCGGCTGGCTCTGGTGTGAGGCCTGGACGTTGGTCGGGAGCAAAAGCTCATAGGGAAATCGGGCTCGCAGAGGTGGCGACTGCGGCGAGAGATAAAAGTGAGGGATAAAAAAAAATGTCGGGTGTGAGGTATTCAAGGGGGGAACGCGAGGAGTCTGCCTGGTTTTTTTTGTTGGCAGTGTTGGTGGGTTTTTTGGGTGTGGTTGTTTTTTAGATGGCCTGACCAATGGTCTTTGCATCCGCCTCGGCTTCCTCGACAGCTTTGCGAGCGATGGCCTCGTCGATCAGACGGCGGCGCTTCTGCTCGGTCAGGTCAAAGGACATCTTGGAGAAGTCGGTCACGACCTTGGCTTTCTCGGGCTTAAGCTCCTTGCAGGATTGCATCTTGCGCAGGTTGCGGGCCTTCTTGCCGTTCTTGCCCCAGGATGAGATGGAGTAAGCGAATCGCTCGAGCACGGAGCCATGCTTGCTGGCGCCATCGCTGGGGGCAGGGAACTCGGGAAGGGGCTTCTCGGTGTCTGAGGAGTGGGAGGTAGTGGGGCGGGAGGGAGGACGGGGACCGAAGCTGATGCCGGAGTCGGTGCGGCGCGAATGTCCGGACTTATTAACCTGAGCAGGCTCGTTGATCAGCGCACACTCGTCGATCATCTCCAAGACGGCGTTGAGGTATCGGTCGAAGGTGTCGTAGAGAGCGGGCCATCCGTTTTCCTCGCCAGGACGGGCGCCCTGGGTCATGACAGGCTCCAGGATTCCAGGGTTGGCCTCGTAGGTGGTAATAAACTTGAAGAAGGCGTCGCGGTGGTTCTCGAGGATCTTGGGTGCCAGTTGCTGGGTGGGGGTGGGGCTGTCGTAGCGAACGGGGGGGCAGCAGAGTGTTGAGAAGAGCAAGGCAGTTTGCTTTGTTAAAAGGCTCGAGCATCATCTCATTGACCAGGATCCAGCGGCGCATGCCGACGTAGATCTGGGTGTACATGAAATCAATCATACGAGCCTTCTGGCTGATTTCGGCATACCATTCCATGACACCGGGGTACTTGCGAGCAACCTCGGAGTGCTGGGGATCCCGGGCATCCCGGGCGGTCACGTTGAGTCGACGGAAGGCGGAGTCGATCTCTTTCTTCCAGCGGCCCTGGAGATCCTTCAAGTAATCGAGAGAGGTCAAGGCCTGAGCAAAGTCGACATTGTGGAGCTCCAGACAGAAACAACGGCGGACAAAAGAGATAATAAAGCTGGGTGGGAGCGAACAGGGCTGGGAAGGCAGCTCCGATACAGTGCGGGTGAGACAAGCGCGGAATTCGGCGTTGGTGTCATAGCCAGCGTCGTAGGATGAGCCGGACGAGCGAGTGGACTTGGTGTTTTTGGAGAAAGAGGAATTGCGGGAGAACAAAGAAGGAGAACGGGAGCGGGCAAACGCCGAGGAACCCATGGCGGCCAGGTTCTTGGTGGGGTTGCAGTTGAGTTCGTATGCGGCACGAAGTGAGATCTCGTACGAGTCGGCGTAACGCAAGCAGTGATCAAAGATCCATGTCAATGCGGAACCATCAGGGGCCTCGAGGGCTTCGTGTTGAGACATGCTATGATCGGGAATGAAAGATGAGAGTGAAAGAGAGAAGAGAGAGTCGAACGGATGAGGTGGAAAGAGTGTCCAAATGATGGTAGTTATGCCAGACCTTGTGGGAGGCGGGGGTCAGAAACACTCCAAGGGGCCACTGTGGTTGGCTGAAGGGCAGAGCTGAGACAGCAAAGAAAATAAAGCTTTCGCGGCTGGCGAGTAGCTTTCCGTAGATATCCCTTGACACGGGGGTCCAATCACGATGCAGGATCTCTGCGATCTCCTGCACGCCAGATCTGATGTATGCAAAATGATCCCAAAGGCGGAAGGGCACTTCCGAGTGAAACGTGAGACAGGTCTTAAAACCTACTTGTAACGAATGTGAAATGGGGGTTGGGGAAAAAGGAGAGTTGAGAAGAGGAGGAGTCGAGGAGTCAAGTGTGTTGAAAATGAATCAACTGAGGGGGAAACGGTCCATACAAAAAGGCGCGACGGTTTCCCCAAAGCCTGGACCAAATCGAACAGTGGGGACGCGACTTAATCTCTTTTTGTGTCTTTCTTTTTTTTCTTTTTGTCCTTTTTATTTTATTTTATTTCGATTTTTGGGGGAATAATAATTAAATTAAATTAAAAAAAAGGCCACCATTAAGACCACCGAGTCCAGATCCATGGATTCTGCTTTTTAAGGCCCGTCTCCACCTGTACCGACCCGATGGGAGGCGATGTCATTAGTTCCGATTCTACACATCCCCATTGGCGTGCCTCAGAGGCGACAGCCGTTGGTTTCCCGTGATTCCGGGCTGCGCTACTCTGCACTTTACATCGCGCCTTGCCTATTCGGGGAGGTTCTAAGGTAAAACAGTCTAGCCCGAAGTTTTATGATTGGGCTCTGATCCGTACCTTTCCGGCTTGGGAGCTGCCTTGCATTCAAGCCGACTTTAGTGCGGAAACATTTTGACCGGGAATTGGGGTGGCCGTTGAACCTAACAGATTTTTTCGTCCTGTCAAATTCATCTGTGTGAAGTTAATGTGCGATGTAACTCACGCCCCTTGCCACACACACTACAGTTATGAGTAAAATGTACAATGTGTGCTGTAGGGATCTACAAGTACGGAGTACTCCGTCCTTCGGCTCAGATGGGCTCAGCTTGTCTCGTGCAGTGCAGTTTCTGATAATTGTGGCTCAATCATGGTCAAAGTGGCCACGCACTATCTAGAATTTGCCCCCCTGCAACTGCGTGCGATATGTTGAACATTGCCACGAACCTGTCTATTTTGAGGTATCAACTGCCACAATTGGCTCATTAATTGATGATATTCTTAGATGTAATTCCAGGGTTACGACTCGCTTCAAGTGTGCCCCGGTGGAGCTACCACGCAACGCCTCCATGAAACCACCGTTATGTCGGGACCGCAGTCGATCTGTCACAGGACATAATTGAGCACATAAGTACACACACATCCCCACGGGCGCATACTCCAGGCAAACAGCCGAGCAAACTTTGAACCCTCCATATGTATCAGAATCAAAAAGAAGGACTGCGCGAACTGAGCGAACTGAGCGAACTGAGCGCGATCAATAAACAACCGGAATCGGAGACCCGATCCATGGTTGAGATTGTGTCCTGTGCGTTATTGCCTGAGGCCAACTTGGATGATAACAGTCCAGGATAATGCAAACAATGAAAACTGCTTATTCTCCAGAGCTAGGTTGCCTGATGACCTGTCATGGCCAGTTATGCACTCATCCGGTACTTTTCTTTGACGCAAAATGTGCCCCGTGGATCGACATGTCGCCCAACTTCCGGGACCCCTTGACCTTCCCAAACCGGTATGGTGTCAATCAACCCCGATCGGCGTTCAGCTGTTCCCCGAAGTCCAGATGCAATGATCGTCCACGTCTTTGTTTGCTTCACCAATCAGCCTCAGGGGAAATGTAGCCAGATCGCTTGAAGCTTACGGCGATCATTTCATCATACAAAACACGGCCACCTTCCCAGATGGGTATCTTCCCAGCTACCGCCGACTCGGGTGAACGCCGGGCACGCTCTCGCGATCTACATGGGGTAAGAGAACATTGGAATGGAATTCCCGATGATACAGATTGGATTGATCTCTATGGAATTCTTGTTTGCTTAATTCCAAACGTACTACGGAGTACTTACGGAGTACTCGGTAAAAAAAGTTGATAGATGCGATCGACAAAAATACCAAAGACCATAAGAACGACAGCAAACGTGCATGCTTCAAACAAACCATGTGAGTGTTCCAATATGTACTCCGTACTTTTGAACGACAAGGTACAAGTACTCCATACGAACGGTTGGACCATGGGGCCTCGGTAATGACGACAATAATTCTCATATCAGATCTACATGTAATGACACCCCTGACCAACTCGAGCTCAATTCATCTCCGTAGCGATTGTCGACTGTCGATTGTCGAGTAACGTGAAACCCCTTTATACATCATCCGCCGCCTCGACGGAGTAAACCTCCAATTTGGCAATCATAGTGCGTGCAGGGATAGTAACACAGATCGGGAAACCACCGTAGTCCGGATCCTCATTCGGCATCATCGCGAAGATCCCACTCCTCGTCTCATCCCCATTCAGAACCCGCAACGTCCTCAACTCCCCACTCTCTTTGTCACTCACCGTCTGCTCCTCGAACCGCAGGAACCCGGTAAACGTACTGCTGCTCGATAGCGACCGCGCTCGGACCTGGAACCCCCATCCGATCAAAAGGAACCGAGGCCCACCGAGGTGAATAACCATGCCAGCACCCGGCCCCGCCTTACCAAACACAAAGCACCGCTCAATCGTGATCTCATAACCACCCCAGTGTTTGACAACAGGCTTGCAGGAGTCCGATCCGTCGGCTGCGAGCTCGTCGAAGAAGAACCCGACAGATGCGTTCGGGCGCGTCTGTGCGTCGAGTACGATCCGCGACACAGAGTTCAGAAGCCCGTAGTGCCGCGTGAACGGGTTTGTGTCGGGTTCCAACGTGTCGATTCCGAAGGGCGATACTCCGATTGCTTGGTAGGAGCCGTAGGCGGTCCAGATGCGTCGGGCGCCATACTCGTCGCGTCGCTGCTCGGGGATGAACAGCGGCTGGTTGCGGTGTCGGTATTTGCGGCAGGAGCTGGCGTAGTCGTTTAGATATACGTCTGGTGCGATGAAGTCCAGCGAAGGGGCGAACTGTTGCCAGATGTCGAGGACGTTGCTCGTGCCGCCGCCGGAGGGATAGTCTCCTGGTGCGCCGCCGCCTCCGACAACGACAGGGAAGTCATTGTCGCCGTCGTCGCCGACGTAGTTCTGCCAGACATTCGTGTACAGTGGGATAGGGTATGCTTCCTTGCCGGCGCTGGCTACCTTGTTCAGGTAGCGGGCGTAGTGGTAGGCCATGAACAGCTCGTCTGTGTGTGGGTTCTTGCCGAAGACTTGCTCCCAGGTCCCGCGAGGACTATCCTGGGTTTTGAAGTGGTCAAGGTTCGATTTAAGATCAACGTGCAGTGCTTCCCAGTCTTGGGCTAGGAATTGCACTAGATCCTCTGGGACAGGCTCGTTGAAGTGCTTCTCAGCTGATGCTGACCCATCGCGGGAGTCGCCCAGCAGCCCTGTCTCGTTCTCAACCTGGACCATGATGACAGTGGAGTGAGCTTCGTCGAGGTCTTTGATGTGGCTCAGCAGCGTGGAAAAGGCTTTGGCATCAGCTTGACATCCTGCCTCATGGAAGATAGACAGGACATCTCCCGTCTGCAGTAAGCCACCAGCTTTGCGTAGTTTTGCCCTTGGGAATCGCTTGGTGTTCGTCTTGACCCACGGTGGCACGTATGTAGAGATTCCTGGAACAAAGGAGTCAGTATTATTCACACGATATTCAGCCTTGATTGGATAGGTAGATACCGTTCTTGAAAGAGCCAAACCACAACAAGACCAAATGCAATCCATGTTTTCTGGCTCCTAGGATGACCTTGTCCAGCTCGGAGAAGTTGAACTGGTCTTCAACCGGCTCAATATCCTCCCAAGTAACGCACCCCAGGACAGTGTTGATATTGGTATCAACAAGCTTCTGCCATGCTGTGTCCATATACTCAGCAGAAGTGAGAGACGAGTTTTGTAGCTCGGCAGCTAGTGAAAGAAAGGGTTGGCCATTCACGACGAGTTGCTGGCCAGTATCCGTCTTCCGGAGATGCGGTATTTGAGTAGAAACAAGCATGATGAGAGGTTGTGGCGATGAGACGAAGAGATTGTTCTGATTCTGATCAAACTAACCAACCCTCTCTTATACCTATCGGTCTACCCCTCAACTCCATTGCACCACATCATCTTGTACCGCGGTGATTTACCCGGTGGATGGTCGCAGACGTCAGACAGCAGCTGAGCGGCTTTGATGCTGGTTGATTGGGCCGATATACCGCAACATCATGTGTTGTGGTCCAGTATCCCCGCATTCGAGAACCTTGCATGTTGATCCGGAATGGGAGGTGTTGCGGGAATCAAAGTTGGTCATTGGCTGAAATCCCGCAACTTTAACCGTGGCGCTGCTCCCACGCTTTTCCTGATTAGGCACAAATCCGGGGTTACTGGGGACTATACGGTTTCAACTTGGGGAATGCTGGAAGATGTCGGCTGATGTCGTTGTATATAAGGTGTCGGTGGCCCATCACTGTCTTGTCTTTTGTGTGCATTTTCATCAAACTTTCAAGGAGCATCTATCGACATCACAACATGGGAGAAGCAAAGGATACGGAAGGGGGGATCAGTGCAAGTCATTCGGAGTTTGCATACGCTGGACCTACTTCGATGGAAGTTCCTCGGGTAACATGGTGGAAGCATCGTGGTTTGCGTAAGCTTTACCCGATGATGCCAATCTTGTTTCTTGGGTCTACTATCAACGGATATGATGGGTCTCTTTTGAACGGGCTACAGACAATGACCCCTTGGCAGGACTGTAGGTATTGGCAAGCCATTTGAAAGAGATATGCTAATATCCAAAGACTTCAACAATCCAAGTGGCTCTACCTTGGGGCTCTTCACGGCAATTCAAAACATCGGTGGTGTTTGCGCACTGTTGTTCTGTATGTCACCCTTCTCTACTATGAGGGGATATTGTATTCTAATCTCACATCTGATAGCCTCTTATATCGCCGATACCCTTGGACGAAGAGCCGGTGTTACCCTTGGCTTGTTGGTCTTGTTTGTTGGAACCATCATCCAAGTTGTTCCCTCGGTAAACTCCAACATGTTTCTTGCAGGGAGATTTCTCGTCGGTCTAGGGTTAGCACCTCTTCTGTATATTTTGATTTAGCCACTGATTGGCAGCTCACTAGATCCAACGTGAGCCAGGGGTCCGCTCCTCTGCTCATCACCGAACTCGCCTACCCTCAGCATCGTGGAAAATTGACCACTATGTATAACACGCTATGGTACCTTGGCTCCATCATTGCCGCATGGACAATCTTTGGAACAATAAAGTATACCTCAGAGGCTGCGTGGAGAATTCCAGTGGGCATGCAGGCGGCCATGCCTCTCATTCAAGTTCTTGGCATCTGGTTCCTGCCCGAGAGTCCCCGCTGGCTCTGTGCAAAAGACCGTCCAGATGAGGCGTTTGATGTGTTGGTCAAGGTATGAAGGTTTTCCATTCACTACTGATGCATAGCTAATTGAATACAGTATCATGGAGCTGGAAACAGAGATGATGCATTCTGTGCATTTGAATTCCACGAGATCCAGCAGACATTACTCTTAGAGAAAATCAACTCTAGTGACGGATGGCAAGTCCTGATACAAACACCGGGGAACAGAAAACGTCTCCTTCTCATTGCACTGGTCTCTTTCTTCTCACAGTGCTCAGGCAACGGGCTGGTGTCATATTATCTCCATGACATCCTCAAATCAGTCGGTATCACATCGTCTTACGATCAATCTATGATCAACGGCGCTTTGCAGATATGGTCTCTGCTAGTCGCCGTTGGATTTTCTGCTTTCCTTGTTGATATTCTTGGTCGGCGTCCCTTATTTATGATCGCTGGTGTAGGAATGCTGATCAGTTTTGCAATTTGGACCGGGTAAGATTTCCACATCTCACTTGCGGCGTACGACTCAAGCTGACCTCTGAACCAGGTGCTCGGCGGTATACGCTCAGACTGGAAATTCCAGTGCGGGCTCCGCGGTCATTGCCATGATCTTCCTCTTCTACGGCGTTGCGGGCTTTGCCTGGCCTGGTCTCACCGTGGCATACCCAGCCGAGATTCTCCCTTTCAATATTCGGGCCAAAGGCATCGCTATTGGAATGACCCTGACGGCTGCATCATCCGTATTCAACCAATATGTCAACCCAATTGGCTTGGAAGCTTTGCAGTGGCGGTTTTACTTTGTTTACATAGCTATTCTTGTTGTCGAGTGTGCCTGTATCTGGTTCCTCTTCGTGGAGACAAAGGGTCCAACACTCGAGGAGATTGCAGCGTTATTTGATGGCGAAGATGCAAATGTGGCAAGTAGTGGGCGAGGCCAGCAAGAACTGAAAATTGCGGATGAAGCTACCAGGCGGCCCTAGTTGTGATTCAATTATGCTAAAGCATCAATTCCCAAGTTTCCGAGTTCAATCTAACACCCAGCGTGTCATTTTCCTCTGAGCTTGTGAGCTTGTACCCTTCTCTTTCATATAAGCGACGGGCCGAGAGCAGTGCGCTGTTTGTCCACAGATGAACCCGTAAATAGCCCACTTCCCGTGCGAAGTTGGAACACTGCCGTACTAGATCTTGGCCCAGACCCAGTCCTCTAGCGGTCGGTTCCACGAGGAGAAGACGGAGCTTGGCTGCATGGTCGCTGGAGCTTCTGTCTTTAACTAGCATGATAGAGCCGATAATATTTCCATCACGCTCGGCAATCCAACAACGATCTGATTTTGGATCATAATTTTCCAGAAAGTCAGCGGTCACACGGGCTACAAGAGCCTCAAATCGCTCGTTCCATCCAAATTCTGTGGTGTATAAAGCGCCATGTCGATGAACAATCCAGCCCATGTCACCAGGTCGGTGAGTTCGAAGGGTATACGGACTGGGTGTGGTTTTTGTGATGTCCATATTTCGAGATGCGATCGCTTTGTCCAGGTGTTGCGGGAAGATTGTGCCTTCTCACGGAGATGGAGGTCCTTGGGTTTCAACGGCGACGTCAGAAGGTTTGGATCCAAGTTGTACAATGTTGTCAAAGGTTTTTATAGCTGGGCAGTTGCAGTCATTTTACTCAGCCGAAATTGGCTTCAATCCGTCTCCACTTTTCGGCCAACTGTATCTTAGCCGGTTATGGAACGCACTGGAACAATCTCACTGCCCAAGAAAATCATTATCAAAAGCCAGTGGTTTCTATGGGCTCAACCAGATACTTCGGATTTGATCTTCGTTGAAACCTTGGAATATCAGGATCAATGCTCTCAGAATCACACCAACGGTCGAAGGATTGACAAGGCATCTCGTGCGTATTGGCCGCGCTCTGCGAAGTCAGAACCTGTTGGTGTTCCGGCCTCTTCTTCGATTGGTAAGGCATGTTGTAGAAGGAACTTTACAATCCATCTGTCGGCGGTATAGATGCTGTCCATAGACTGCATGCACACTTTCTGGAATGTGAATAAACGGTCCATCTGTCAACGTTAGATATAAGCTGGACAAGTCTGAATTGTCGAAATCAACATAGGCAGAGCCTTACCATGAGCTCCACTCCGGGCCAGTATTGCTTCAACTTCAACAGAAGCTCGAAATTGTGACATAATCGTTTTCGCGTGTTTTGTAGTTCATCTTGGCTCCCGAAGAGCAATGTATGTAGCAATGCAGAGGATGACACAACGGTCATGTGTGCAACAATGAGATAAATCACCCCACACTCTTCGGTCTCATGGGATAGCCTCAATATATCGCTGAAAGAAGCTGCGTGATACTTGCAACGAGCAACAAACAAGGTGCGACTTGGTGTCTCGCGGAGCTGGATGTCAAGATACTGGAAATATAGCAGGGTAGCGTAGTGGTGATACCCTAAATGAAGAGCGACAAATCCTCGCCCAAGGCCTGCAGCAGCATGAGACTCGAGATTGTCTACAGTGAAGTGTAGATCCGATGGAAGTTCTTCCAAGAATCTATCAAGCCGATCAGCCAATGCCTCAGTAACCTCTTCTACCTGCTGCTCGTTCAGCTCTCCATCGGCGAGCTTGACATGAAGGTCCTGGACATGACTGAATATGCGAGCAAGCATGACCATGTACCCCCACAAACCAATCCCGAATTGGGCATCGTATTCAAGCCTCTGCCCAGGCTCAAGGCACCAGAAATTCCTCTCGCACATTGGAAGACGATTTGTGCCCTTGTCGTGTATTTGACGCGGTATGTTGAGGCCTGCTGATGACCAAGTATCGATCATATACAACGACCACCATGTACGCACTTTGACCTCCTGTGTAATAGTATCGTCTGCGGGGTCGGGGTCCGGGAGATGAAGCACATGTGCCATGCGGAACGCAATTCCTGAATTTTGGTGAGGCGAGATACTCGTAACATTTGAAAAGAATTTCTTACCAAAAAATAGAGCCTCGCCTGCAGTCTCCCCTTCGGCTCCGCAGAGATTCCCAACCAAGATGCTTGCATGGATGGTGTCGAGACTGACATTATCAATATCCAATTTCAGCGCGAATTTGGCAAGTTCGAAGAATTCCTTGGTCCGTTGTCGCACTTCCGGTTCATCGGAGAAGCTGGGAGAAAATGTCAAGTCGGCTCAACGGCCACTTCATGCTCTATACCAAGTCACATACCGGGCAGCCAATGCCATAATGCTATAGATTATTGACCTGGGCAGTGTTTCGTCGCGCAGTCGTTTTCTCAACATGTTTGGGTTGAACAAGGTGTGTGGCTTGTCGTGGATCAGACTTAGATAGAGATCAATCAATGTCGCTTCCAACACAGTATCGAGGGTTTCCCCTATGGCTTGAATGCATAATGCTGAAGATGTAGATACCGTCTGCTGCTTTCTTTGGGCATGTGGTAAAAGTCTTGTTGGTCGTAGTGGAGATCTTCGGAAGGAGCATTGTTTCTTCTGTTTCAGGCAATGTTGGCAGGACAGACCTTGCGCCTCCACAACACATTTTCGTTTTCCAGCTCTGCACTGTATGCAAGATGTTGAGATCTTCATACTGAAGCTCAATGGTGCGCTGTGTCCACATCTCGGTATATCAGGTCAAGGGTGAGGGGGATGTATCACGTGAGTGTCGTGGGCTGAAGCCTTTGGATTGGCAATTGGGGTACAGAGCAATCGTCAGGCAATAACTTGTCCTTTATCTGCGAAAAAGAAACAGCGAGGGGTGGATAGATGTTCATTTGTTTGTTGGGGACAGGTGCTGTATTCTATGTCGATACGGTGCATCAAATATATACTTGTGACATGATTCGACCAAATCACCCAAACTGAATTTATGATGGAAATTGGTACCACAATATAGTTCTCAGGACAATCCTGCCCAATTATACCACACAGAGAAGCACAAACACAAAATTCTTGACTGTTTGTTTGCGTTTTGTACATTACTCCACGCATGAACGTCACTGGTCCCGATTGGGGGGTTCAACCAGATGACATAAACAATAGATACGGATCAGCTCCGCCCGGCAGAAAAAGGCAGACGATAAGCAGCACACTTGGATTGACTCCGCAACTTTGCACACACGTGAGAAGCACTGCAGAAATGGGCAAGGGGCCTCTGGAACGGAAGCTCAAGTTCGAGAGGAAGAACAAAGACCTCCTCAAACTCCCCAAACGTGAGAATCTCACCCAACCACTTACCATATCAACTCGCGACAGCCAATGATAGGCGCAAATGCCTGACCAAGCAAGCTAACACTGCACATAGATGCCAAGGTTGAGAAACGACCCATACCACATGCGCCGGTTGCATCTCCCTTCGCGGGAGCTTCGGTGCCCAAAGTTGTCTACGTCTCAAGCAGTACACCATTCATGAGCGCTGTCAAGCGCGTCCAGAAACTGCTCTTGCAAGCCGAGAAGCGCGCTACTGCCAACATCAGCCTCGAAGACCCGCGCAAAAGTGAGCAACAGATACTCGAGGAACTGTCAAAAGTTTCCGACAAGCGGGAAGAAGTCTTCGTCAAGGCAACTGGGCGGGCTATCGAGAAAGCGTTGAACGTGGGCAAATGGTTCGAGGAGAAAACCACGCAGTACACAGTGCGCACCAACACAGGAAGTGTGCTTGTGGTGGATGATGTTGTTGAAGACGAGGAGAGGAAAGCGAAAGAGCAACAAAAACGACAGCGGCTAGAGGAACAGAGCCAAGCTGGCCAGGGTGATGATACGTCCAAGACAGATTCCCAGCCAGCGAAGGGAAAGCGCCAGAACGAGCCTACAGAGAATGACGAAGAACTGCCGGAGAGCCGGACACGGTGGATCAAGATGGTTGAGGTCGCCGTGACCCTCAAGTGAATCGACTACGAACGAAAACAATTCGACCAACTCCTGGCAACAGCCCACTACCCGATGACCCAAGTGACCCCGAAGCCCGCGGCACCCCACCCCAGGCTCAGATCACCGAGAGAACTATGCATATCGCCAGAGTTCTGTGAAATCAGCTGAGCCCCCGTGATTATCATTGAAAAGGCGCATTTGTGGTGGCCGCCCACCTCTCGGACAGTCAGCTGAACAACACATTATTCAGCTTTGCCTGACCTGCGCCCGACTATTATCTATACCAATCTGGAGTCAGCAATGTGGTGCTTTCGCACCCATGGGCTTTGCCCAGCGCGTTTCCCACGACAAGTGCAATGTCTGCCTACGATCCGCGCAAGCTGGAGAAATTTCCATGGCGTGAAAGCCCAAGTACACTACTCATGCATAAGTTAGCCTTCCTAGATAATAGGTAGGTAAGATCACAATCCATCTACATTCACAATGTTCCTCTTGGCGTGTGTATGAATTGCGCGAACGGCGATTGCGACAAGAAACTAGTTCTAAAAGCAGTACGATAAAGTGGAGTAAAAGACTGGGCTCTAGTAAATTGAAATTGTAAACCAAGACCCAAGTCCATATCTGTCAACAGGAATAAAACAACACGGACAGAGTACCGAAATTGCAATAACGAAACTCCTTGATACGCCAAAACAAAAAGCCTTACGCTGACACAGGAAGAATGACAATGCCTTTCATCAAATGAGACAACAAGTCGTGAGCGTTTCCTTATTTTCCCCATCATGTACAAACAAAGGAGAGAGAGAGAGAAAGACGTGCCGAGTCCCAAAAGAGGGCAAGAGGATAATAGTAACATTGTAGGTAGAAAGAAAAGGAACAAAAAAGAGATATTGAGGAGGAAGAGGGTGTGGAAGTCGAAAAAGACCATGGTGAAGACCCTGGGAAGGGAACTCCGGGAATTCGAGAGATTCGTCAGAAAATTCGTGAAGAGATAAGAGAGACAGTGTGGGCTTGAGGACAATAGGAAAAAGTCATCCTCAATCAAGATGGGAACGAACAGGACATTCATCGCCAAAAAGTCATGACTGGCGGAGGCTGAAATCTGATGTGAAGAACAGGAGAGAAGGTCAAATAATGCAAAGTACGTATGTAAAATTAGCCGTCAAAGAAACACCAAACCCCAGAATTAGAAAGAAACCCAAGTAGGTTTATTTGTCCATCTTTTGCCAACCGTTGAGGTAGGCCATTAGCCCCACGCCCAATAGCACCACACCGAAGATGGAGGCATAAGGACTAGCCTCTTCCACATAATTGGGCCTCTGGTGCTGGGTTGCGAATGCAGTGGCTGCAGCATCGATCTCCTTTTTGTGCGAGTTGGCGGAGTCAACACATGCGGTGTTCGCCTTGGGCTCGACTGGGCCATCGCTTGGCACTGCCTGGCCCGAGAAGTCCTTGGCTGGACTGTGATCATGTGCAGCAGATTTGCTGCCAGATTCTATCACCGATGCCTTCTCGGCTCGTTCCTTGCGTAAGGTTTCTACCATTTCCGCCAGTGACTTGCGAGCCTGGTTGGTGTTGTCTTCAGCGTGCTCTGCACGACCTTTGAAGGATGCGATTTGTTTTCTCATCTCTTCCATTTCTTCCATCATGGCGTCCAGGCGCACCTGAAGCCCAGCAGACTTGTCCTCCACAGGGGGTTCTGTCTGGGTTTCTTGTGAAGCAGGGTCCTCTGAAGGGTGGACGCCGTTGACCTGCACGGTGTCCTCCGTCTCGTTGTTCTCTCCGTCATCGGCACCGTTTTCTAAGATCGGAACATGGTCATCCGCGGCAGTATCTTTGCTTTCCACGGCAGGACGTGTCTCCAACTCATTGATCCTTTCTTCGGCCAACTTGCGAGCCGCCTGTTCCTGCAAGAGCATGCTCTCCAATTCTTTCACTCGGGTTCCTTGAGTGTCAATTTCCCGCTTAGCAGTAGACAGTGCTTCGATGAGAGACAAAATTTGGCTCGAGTCGCGTGATACAGGGGAACCAGTTCCGCCCTTGGGCTTTTCTGTATCACTGCGCTTCAAAGAAGAGAATGACTCCGACGCACTCCGAGAGAGCGCATCGGGCTTCTCTGGTAAAGGTTGTTGAGGAGGAGGAGCGGGGGGATCCGAAAATCTAGAAAAGGAGTCGACCCGCGGCATTTTTGGTCGTCCATTCAACTGCCGGTGAGCAGCACTGGCTTCCAAAGGAGATGGCTTCATCATCTTCTCCTTCTCTGCATAGCCCGGTTTCATGATAGTCGTCAAGAAATCATCAGTTTGACCAAGGTCTGTAGTTTGTTGCTTGGCGGATTTCAACTCGCTCTATATTTGGTTAGCTGAGTGCAAAATATGCCTGGAATTTCGTTTCCATACCGTGAGCCTCTTGACAACCTGTTCAATGGAGATAGGCGAGTTCCAGTAATTCATTTGTCGCTGTTGATGTAAAGCGCTGGCCTGAGTGCTGGCCGCACTCTGGGTACTGCGGCTGCTAGCATTGCTCCCAGCCCGGCCACGCATATGAGAGAGGGGTTGGCTCAGGGGGAAGGAAGAAGGCCGCCCCCAGAGGCAGGGTCCAAGTCCCCGAAGTTCAGGTCAAGGATGCTGGGTGTGTTGCCGTAAAAGCCGGCATGCTCAACCTTAGCCGAGACTTTGTGATGAACGATGGTGCTCTGATCTTCGCTGACGATGTCGATACCAAGTTCCAGGGTATCGCTTTCGCGAACCTCGTGCGGCTCCGATTCCCGGTTTTCGGGAGATAATCTCTGGCCATTCACAAAGGTACCGTTCGAGGATTTGACGTCGCGAATCCAGATCTTGCCGGACTTATCGGCCCATAGTTCAGCATGCTGTCTGGAAAGAACCTTGGAGTCAAAGAACCCATTGAGATGTGTAGGTACTGTCTTGGCATTTGTCTGGCGTCCAATGCGCAGAACTTCCGGGTAATAGGGCACGTTGATTTGTTTCCTGTCGAAAGTGCCGTTCATGGGGACCAGTATCAGCATCACCGGAGATTCTGCGGACTGTCCGTTCGCACGGACGCCATTTTGTTGCGAGGAGGGAGGCATGTGTTGCGATGGGACGATATTCGAAGTCTGGTGCATGGCGGACATCGTTGAAGATGCGCTGGGCCCCGAAGAAAATGCAGGCACAGCCTGAGATCGCGCGTTCGTTACCCCTGATACCGGCTCAGACTTCGAGGTCGGCCAGGGATTTTTGGAGGTCTTCTTTTTTGATGACCAAGTTCCTGATTCGCTGCCGGAACTCTGGTTGGCATGCGATTCCTGTGGAGAATTCGTCACGGTAGATGTCGAAGATGTTGATGAGTTCGACCCTAGGGAAGAAGAGGAGTTGGATCGCTGAACGTGCTTCCGTGGCATAAACATCCGCGAGACGTCGTCCGTGTTCACTGAAGACAGGGCTCCTTGACCTCCGTTACCAGAACTGTACCATCCCAAGCGAGACCCCGATTGTACACTAGGTGGAGATGCCACAGCAGTCATGGAGAAGGATGCGAATGTTTTTGGGCGGATGTGAGATGTCTAGACGGAGCGCGTGAACGGTCGCGAATTGTAAAAGGGGCCGTGGTCTTGGGCGGTCTGGATGTTGCAAAGAGAAGGTCTAACAATATCGGTTTATGCCTGAGAGTTGGGGGGATTGAGTGCGCGCAAGGGTGATTACACTTGAGGGTCGCCCGACTAAAATGAGGACGGTCGCGTTAGTGCTGTTTAGGGTGAGAGACAAATAAATTGGCCCCTACGTCGAGGTCTCGATTCGACCCACAGTAAATTAAAGAGTCCGGGTAACTCACTTCGCGGTCAATAAGGAAGTAAGTGTGAAATCAGACCAGTGCGTCAGGCCAAGGAGGCGTCTGAGGTCCGAATCATCGATAGTCTCACACTAAAGCAATGAACAAGCACAAGACGGGACTACCGCCTCGGCGCAGGGCTTTCAACCGCCCAAAGGAAGATGCAACGGAAGAAGAATTAGAGAGCGGGGGAATAGTTGCCACACAGGACGACCGGGCAAGAGCGAGGGTATTCGCTGCTCCCTCGACGGCAGGGTCACGTGAGACAGGGGCACGTGTGTTGTTTAGCGCCCGTTGACTCACGTGACGAGGGCGGAGAAGCTTGGGACTGGGGAGCAAAAAGAGCTGGTTCCTTGACTATCAATCTCATCTTCAGCTTGCAGCTATCGCCTGTACCTCTAATACAGCTAGCTAATCGCATTTATCTCAATCTTCACAATGCCTGTGGTTGCTGGTCCTCCCGCTCAGGCTGGCCCAGGGGGCCCCTCGACCTTCGACAAGAGTATGTCAACCGTTCCATACAACACGAGATCATTGCTTGCGCATTGATCTGGACGTTGAGGATAGTCTTATACTACCCAAGAATGATTGTGCTGACCTAATTATAGTGAAAATGGGTTGCATGATGGGCTCCAGTATGTGATCGCAAAAAAGGTCGCTCTTATCCATCAATGCCTTCTTGCTAATATACTTCCCTCAGCTGTTGGTGGTATCATGGGATTCATTGTCGGTTCGTTGCCCCGATCTCCTTCATCCTTTGGGTCCAAACAGAAGCTTACCTCCCATAGGAACCGTCACCATCTTCCAGTACGGTGCTGGCCCCAACGGTGTCATGCGGACACTCGGTAAATACATGCTGGGTTCGGGTGCGACTTTCGGGTAAGCTTGTGTCTCCAGCTTGATGTCATGATGGACCATATATTGATCGACGCCTCTTTTGATAGCCTGTTCATGTCCATCGGTAGCGTCATCCGCAACGAGGGACCCAAGAACGACCTCTGGCTCCGTGCCCGAGGACCTCCGATGATGCTCCCCCGACAGAGCCCCCTCCAGCCAATGCGCCAATAAATACAATCTTTCTCGCGGTCTCCGGACTATTCTCGGGAAACATGCGACATGACCACTCCCCGGCGACGTCCCTTGTACGATAATATCTCTACGGACGAGAGATAGCTTCTTTTTTTTTTTTTCGGTAGTTTCAAGTGTCAGAAAACGTACCCCAGAATGGTTCTGATGAACATGTTCATGGGCACTCGCTTATCCGGCACGCGATGTATATAACCTTGCAGTACCCGGAACGCTTTGGATCCCACTGTACCTCAGTGACACCAACCGCCCTAGGGTTTATTTTCCAGATTCTAATTCACTTGCTATAACTACTGCGCCTATACTCGCCCGTGCTCAGTAATAACCTAACGATCTGACAGGCCATGTAGCTTCGGGGAGGTGCGTTGAGCCGCAAGTGCGATCTGATGTTCCCGAACATGCTGCTGCCTGGCCCATTCCACAAGCGGCATAAGCAAAGTGGCGAATCCAACTGTTGATTGATCACGACGTCCGAGCGGGAAGATGGGCTCGTTGCTCCCGAGGTCCGCGATACGCATAGAAAGAGAGCCCCTTATGGGCGACATCTATGATTCCTGCTTGGGAATGCTCAGGCAACCATCTCCAAAACGGGACTTTTGATACAGCCTCATTGTTATCGTCATATCGATTGGCTCGCAAGGCAGACTGGCAAAGACTGGCCGATTTAGTTCAGGCCTGGTTTGGTTGGACGCTGCGGGGGCCGTCGACGTAAATCCGGGGTCAGAAGCAACATGCAACGCGCCAAAGCACCTACCTGCATGCATTCTGGAATGATCAAGTCTGCGCCAGTCTGCATGGACATGTCATTCGCACGTTCTTCAAATACTCCGATTAGCTAATGAATCGAAGATCGAAATCATTAGCATGACGAGGAAGATCCCACAGTTCCGAAATGATTTTCAAGGTTGGGCAATAGTACGTATGGCGTATCTTGCCGCTGAGCATCGAAGATCGGACTGTCTACCAATGCCCGTTCCCGCTTGTCCAACCATGAGTACCGAGGCCGGATGTAAAGATCAGCAGAGTTGTTGTCCCAGCCACCAACAAGATATGGTATGACGATAGGGACATGGCTGTTGGTGATCCCTGGTCTATGCAGGCTTAGTGTGGCCGTTTGGATGCTTTGTATACTCTGTAGAGATTAGTGGAAACCAACGTGTCAGTGTACGTAGCGGCAAAGGAGACGATTGGATGTGGCTGCACGGTGCGGTCGCATTGAAATGGAAGTACTCAGTGTACAGAGTAGAATACGCAATTTATAACCAGGGGGCACACAGCAAATAAATTCAATAGACACTAAATGAGTCACCGAAAACATGGTCAGCTACTCTCGTACTTGTCGATAGATAACATGTGCTCATCTCAGCACCAATCAAAATACGAAAATAATGTAAGGCGAGGCGGTAGATTCCATTCTGATCTGCAATACTAACAATGAAAAAGATGAAGCCTTTGGGTCCAGGCCAAAAAGGGTCACAGCTTCGTCTGACCGTGCAGCGCTTCATCCAGCCCCCTTCCAACTAGCGTCCATCGTTTCATTGGACATCTGACATGAGGTTGTGCATCGCATCCAATAAGGACTGACTCGGCTTAAGAAGGCTTGGAGAAACAGTGTGCGGCTCAACTTGGATAATATAAGAACCGTCTCGTCCAAGGGTGACGGCATCCCTATTCCACCTTTCTCTTACCTCCCCCTCCTTCGCCATGGCTGCACAGCTGGCCTCCCGCGCTCTTCACTACGGCTGTACAGTGGTAGCAAGTATCTTCATTGTGGCCAGCTGTCTTATGAAATGCAGTCCGGGAAAGAAAAGCAAGAAAGCTCGGGGCAAGAGGCGCTCTAAGCATCGAGTTCGAGTTTTGGTCGTCGTGACCACTTTGGTGGTTTTCACATATGTCGCTCAAACAGCATTGAATATTGCCACCCATGACCTGGACCACTCCCAGCCGTTCCTGGTGCATATGACCTCTCTGGCAGTCGTATGGGCTGCGGTGTCGCTCCGGCAACAACATTCCTCCAAGTACGAAGTGGCTGGTGCTTCTTCGGTCACCGCTGCTTTCGAAATTCCACTCCTTGCGCTATCCTTGAGTCACAAACCGAGACAGTGGGAGCCAATCGCACAGGTTACCATTTCGTCGGTCCGTCTATTCTTGCTCCTCATCGTGGTAGCTGCGATCCTATTGGAAATCAGACCACGGAAGAAGAAGAACTCCGAGGAATCGCGTCCATTTTTGAATGGAAACAACACGACTTATGGTGCAGTCAATGGAAACCACTCAGATAACAGCAGTGTAAATTCCGATAGTGAGAGCGAGTCGGACGCAGACACCAAGAAAGGTAGAGAGGCACGGGTGAAAAAGCTTCGCAATGAACAATTGCAGACATTTGGTGGTTGGTGGGAATACCTGAAGGGCTTTTCAATTGTTTTCCCTTACCTGGTTCCAAGGAATAATCGGGGAGTGCAGCTGTGTATCGCCATAAGCATCGCCTGCTTGTGTTGCCATCGAGCTTTGAATATCCTGATCCCGCAACAGCTGGCAGATGTCACCGACAGCATCTTTGCCAACAAGACTCCATATGCTTCCTTAGGCAAGTGGGCCTTGTTGCAGCTCATTCGCAGTGGAGCTGGTCTGGGGTTAATCGAGGCATTCGTCAAGATCCCGATTCGACAATTCTCCTATCGCCAGATCACCAATGCTGCCTTCAGCCACGTCATGAACCTGTCCATGGATTTCCACATCGACAACGACTCGGCAGAAGTCATGAAATCCATCGACCAGGGCGGGGCCCTCAATAATTTACTGGAAATGGCCATTCTTGATATTGTCCCCACAATTGTCGACTTATTCATCGCCTGCTTTGTATTTTACTTGAAGTTTAATGTCTACGCCTCATTGCTGGTGGTAGTTGCATCCATCACTTATGTCTCGGCAGAGGTGTTTACCTCTAATTGGAACATGGAGCAGCGACGCGAACTCTCACAAACGCAGCGAGATGAAACCCGCATCATGCACCAAGCCGTACAAGGCTGGCAAACGGTCACCTACTTCAACCAGTTCTTGTTTGAAAGGTCACGATTTGGGGAAGCAGTTGATCTTCGCCTAGGGGCAAGCGCTCGCTTTGGCCGCCGTCGGGCAGTTGGAAAGGCACTTCTCGACCTAATCAAGCCACTAGCATTCGTTTCTCTTGCCTCGCTAATCATACATGAGATCTCCGTGGGACGTGCCTCGACCGGAGACTTCGTCTTCTTCATTCAGTACTGGTCGTCGCTTATCTCCCCTTTGGCATATCTATCTTCACAGTACCGCTGGCTTGTCTCCGATTTGGTAGACGCCGAGCGTCTGCTCTTCTTGTTTCATTCTAAGCCCAGTGTCAATGACAAGGAAGATGCTTTGGATCTCAAGTGGGGTGATGGCCGTGTGGATTTCCGTAATGTTGACTTTGCCTACGATACCAGGCTCAGCACCCTCAAAAATGTCGATATTTCTGTCGATCCCGGAACTACGGTGGCCTTGGTAGGAATGACTGGCTCCGGAAAGACAACCATTCTTCGCCTACTGCTTCGACTTTACGACGTCACCACCGGGCGCATCGAAATCGACGGCCAAAATATCCGCGAAGTTACACTCAGCTCGCTACGTGAGACCATCGGTGTCGTGCCCCAAGATCCCGTCCTTTTCAACGCGTCTATCATGGAGAACCTGCGGTATGCTCGGCCATCTGCTTCCGACGAAGAGATCTACGAGGCATGTCGCGCCGCAGCCATACACGAAAAGATTCTCACTTTTGTATCTGGGTATGACACGAAGGTCGGCGAGCAGGGTGTGAAGCTGTCTGGTGGTGAGCTACAGAGAATTGCTATTGCTCGTGTTTTCCTCAAAAGGTCACCCATTCTTTTGTTGGACGAAGCAACAAGTGCCGTGGACTCACAGACAGAATCAGAGATCCAAGTCGCATTGGACCGACTGAGGGCTAAGCGCACTACATTTGTCATTGCACACCGGCTATCCACTATTGTTGGCTCTGATCGCATCCTTGTTTTGCACGAAGGCCAGGTCGTAGAGAGTGGGTCGCATACTGAGCTGTTAAAGAAGGAGGGAGGAAGATATCAAAATCTCTGGCAAAATCAGTTTGGGGCCGGCAAACTGGGTGGAAAGCCTGCGTTGTAAATGGTTTAGCTCGAGAATAGAAGGCGCCAACTTTCGAAGAAGGTTGGAAGAGGGTTCGCTGCTATCTGGTTAGATCCATGGATGGTAGACACATTGCTTGAAATTCAAAATCCACAAAATCAATGAAGATGATAGGCCCGGTCTTGTTCAACTAGCTATGTTAGGTTCTTTTCAATAATAAATACTCCTACAGATTCACACCTGGAGCTGTTGAATCCTTGAAACCACCCGTGGACCCGGGCAGCGCTTGGGGCAACCCTGGGGAAGCTCGCCGCTCCGGCTTTGTGCATAAATGGCAATTTTGAGATATCTATGGACATCGTTCAAACCTTGGAATGATATATAGTAACCCTGGAACATTTTCCAGGGTAAGCACTTCATACTAATCTATATATTCATCGAGATCTCAGGAATTATATCACATGAACGCCGAATATCTATGTGGCTCTCAGCTAAGCTAGTATATCCGTGCTCTATGCCCAGGTGTTCTTCATATCGGGGTCATGGCAGTACACCCGTGGACATGTACACAATATGCATGCATGTTGTGACGTGCATGATGCCCCGATAGAGATATCACAGCAAGATACAGAAAGGGACCGCTAACATAGGTGCTTGCATGCGCAATGTACACAGCTGTTAAAGGAAAATTACTTACTTGGTATTCGACAGTCAAAGATCGGCTGATTGATAAGAGGGTCTTTTGAGTTACTCACCTGGGCACTATAATTGCTTGATCGAAACCTCAGGCTTAGTGCCGATGGGGGTAATACTTGTCCTGGCCTTCTATTGGCGACATTAAAAGCCTTTCATGACCCGGCTCTTCCATAACTACGGAGTAGACGGGATTAAGTATTCCTGGGACTACTACGACATCGCAAGATTATCTCTGACCTAAACTCAGAACGACGATGTATTGATATCAGACTAAGATAGTACCCAGTTCATCATAATTAAATTTATTAGTCCATGCCTATCTCAACATTATGCGATGGGTGTCGGGCATAGTTTCTATGGTAGGGCAAAGATAGGGCTCGGATCGGACCCAACAAAAGCCAAGAGGTCAGCACTAAGCCAGATAGGAAGTGAGAGATTAAGCCCTCACCCCTTTCAATTTTTCCATTGTCACCCAAAACCCCTATGCTAACGTTAGTATGGAGAGTATACAACGTGGCAGGTGACTTCATTTTATTCCGATCGACAGTTGGATCTACAAACTCCCACATTCTTCACTGATGATAGGGCCGAAATTAGGGCTTTGGAGAGTCTAGAGCCTCGAAGCCAACACAGTTGCCTAATTGAGAAGGTTTGAGTGGCGATCTCTAACGGGAATGGTTCTTCATCTCTGTACCTGAATGGAACCACGGGTTTTCCATGCGGATCCGCTCACAAACCAAAAACCATTACGGAGTAAAAATCCGAAAATTTCACGGCTCTATGTAAAATGGCCCAACGTTGTACAGATACAGACGAAACGACTCCATAGTTAAGGAGAATTAATAATGAAGTGGTCCCAAGGCCCCAAGGCGACATTGGGCGGTCAAATTACAGCAAGTCATAGCCGAGGATCCTGCATATGACGCCAGGGGCTCGGAACCGACGGAACATGCGAGGAGGTGATACCGCGTTGATGTCCAGCGAGAATCCTCATTTCAGGCAGATGAGGATAGTGAATCCCTTAGTGTACGTGTAGCACTCTGTAGAGGAAAGTGAATCAAGACATATCTGGAAACATGCCACGAGACCAGATTGCTTGAAATCTAACCTAGACTGGGATAGGTAAGGATCCAGATCCTAGGACTGAACGGAGTAAACGTAGAACGTAAGAATTAGAGGATAGGGCGAAGAATTCTCGTATTCATCTCCGTAACGACCTTGTCAGACAAAGGACATGTTCGGGTTCAATTGGAAATGGCCTGAGCACCCCTACGAATGGACGAAGTAGGGCTAGGAGGGCGAGAGAACCAAAATCAAAACACCCAAATCAAAGTTTCCAATGGGTAAAGCGCCCCTGGCGTCAGTCTGTGCGGGTAGACCCTTCGTGTTCCTGGATCCTTGGCGACTTTAGTGAGGTTAGTGAGATTTAGGGCTCCGGAGAGTCATAGTTTGGTCTTAGATGGGGCCCAATTCTGAATAGTCCCTTCGTTCGCGTGCCCCCCCTGGACCAATCGCGGCCTTTCATTTGCCTCAAAAAACAATATTAATTTAAAGAAAAAATCAAGTGAACCAAACAAACACCCTCTTTGTCGATTTGGCCCTGACCCCAGGTTCAACGCTCGTGTATTAAGGCATGCCACGCCCTTAATTTTTTCCTTTTCTCCTCTAGGCACATTAGGCATTTTTCACCCTCATACACTCTTTTACTCGCCCCCAGTCACTCGTTTATCCACTCGAGCAGTGCTCCCCACGATCTTTACTTCACCTGCAAAGTCGAAACATATCTCAAACGCCCTTGTCTCGTAGTTTGTTCGAGCCTCCCGCCATACACCAATTTCCCTACGCGCGCAACTTTATATCTATCTTACTCTTGCCTTTCACCTGATCTTCTGTGATCCCTTGACTCAATCGCAATGAAGTTCACTACTATCATCGGCTCTCTCTGCCTGGCGCTGGCCCCGCTTGCAGCCGCAACTGAGACCACCACCACCATGACCTCTACCACCACCATCACGAAGACTCTGATTCGTGTTAACTCGGTGACTCCGACTCCCAGCTCCAGCATGGCTACGATGCCTGCTTCTTCCACCTCTACCCCGCTGTCCAAGGCAGCTTCTACCACCTCGGCCATTGCAGCCGCTTCTTCCACTGGCGCGGCCGCCCACGTTGGCGCTGGCATGCCAGCTGCCCTGGCTGCCGCCGGCTACATCGCTGTGATTGTGGGCCAGGCCCTATAATCGCCTATGCGACGCGGCCTCTCAACAAGGCGCATCTGCGCAGGCAACGGTCATGAATTGGACTCATTGACAAGACTTCGCCCAATCAATACTACGCAGATGACCTTGTTCGAGGCCGCCAGCCGTTTATCTTCAGCAGAGCCGGGATCTCTATATTTTTCACCTTTTACCTCTTATACCTTTCACCTTTTTCTATTCCTCTCGGTTAACTGGAGAACCTACTTGAGAGGAAACGGTTTTACGCTTTTCCAAATACCCCCTTTTTCAGTTTCTGTCACGACTTTGTGGACCGATATGAGTTGATGTTTTTACCTTCTTGAACCCCTGTTGATTCAATTCTTTTGTCAATATTTGCCTTGGTGGATGGCGGGCTGAATAGTTCGTATTCGGCTTCTAATGACGGCTTGCTATTTCTCTGGAACATAGTGAGTCGAGTCATCCATAAAATAGAGACACTTTATTACTTTTTGACAACCAACTGGATATACAAGACCTGAATGTAAAATATTTAGAGAAGATCATGACGATCCAACATTCCAGTGGAGCGGCAGAGTCAGCCGTGGGCTCCGGGGTCAACTGATACCCGTGCGCATATTTGATCTGATCTTATCTTTCCACGCGGATTCCCACCATTTTTGTGTTGCTGTGCTCGTTATTTTCGATAGGTTTGATGATTTGACAAGATTTACTTCAATTGATCAGTGTCACACATCGAAAAACGGACAAAATATAGCATAAATCGCGCCATACGCGCGTTTGTTGATCGATATCGCGGGTCCCCACACTCGCGTCGCGCATAGACTCCGCTCGAACAAGAGATGAACAACACTTGATCCAAGTCATCAGGCCAGTCAAACAATTCAACACGCCTGATTCAGATCAAATCACCATGGACGGCGAGATCCCACTCCCCCCACCGCGGCACATTCGGCATCGATCCCCCGCGCTGCCCGCTCAGTCGACAAACGCGGTCTCATCACTGCATCGCACAAGGCGTCTGTCGCGTTTTGATGACCGTTCAAGCCAGCCATCCAGTGACCCTGCCCTTTTCTCCAGCGATGATGTTCCAGCCTCTGGACTAGAGAATTACCATGCGCCCACACCGGGTTCGGATCGCAAGCGGCGGTATCGGGGGACGTGGTGGGGAGAGCAGGTGATGGATCCCAAGCGCAAAAGGCGAGACTTTAAAGCGAAGAGGAACGTCGACAGTGGTGTATGGATGGGGAGTGATGAGTCGGGGGCCGACTCGCTTATGTCGTCAGAAAGCTCGGCGTGGGGAGAGGACCTGCGCAAGTCAGCGCTGACCCCAAAGAACACAACACGCTTCAACAACCCGGAAGCGGACGTTGAGACCACACCAACTCAAATTCGCGCATCATTCAAAAGCATGGAAGAGCCAGCGGCGCATCGATTGGCACGTCAAGCCATCACGGATGCACTCGAGCAAGGCAAAGAAGCTTTCGATCTAGGGTATGTGGTTTCCCACTCGTATATCCCATGGATCAGCCCTGACACAAATTCTCGCACAGACATCTTGAACTTGGGACCTTGCCAGAAGGTCTATTGGAGCCCCTACAGCACTTTACTAGGCTACCTCCCGTTGGCGCGGGCCCTGTCAGCGAAGATGCGTTTGATTCTCTACATGGAGATATCAGCATTTACCTTTCAAACAACTGTCTTCAATCTGTCCCCAGAGACCTGCTTGGCCTTAGCAATATCAAGCACCTGAGCCTGCGAAACAACAATCTGACCAAGATCCCATCTTCGATTCGTCAACTCACATCGCTGGAAGATCTGAACATTGGCTGCAACCAACTGACTTATCTTCCCTGGGAGCTCATATGGCTGATGAAAAATGGGAACTTAAAGAAGCTCAATGTGCGTCAAAACCCGCTCCCCCTTGTCCGAGACGCGGACGTGAGAGCTTGGTGGAAGGGTGCGATCGATCCTAGTACGCTTTTTGACGCTACACCACCAAGGGGTTTTGTGCCGAACTCGAAATATGAAGAGCCGCTTCATATTTGCACCAGTCCCATAACCTATTACAACGAGGAAGGAAATGCCATTGATCCCCCAACCCTAAGAAACATGGGCACAGCGACCGAGTCTTCCAACAGTGTCCCTTCCTTGCGAGAGCTTGCTCTTCGCGAAGTTTGCAAGCTCACGGACTTGGAGAAACTGACCGACGAGGAGATCTCCCAGTACCCACCATTGGTTGCGCCTCTTATTCGGAAAGCGATAGCGGTGCGTCTGGAGGGCGGCCGGGTTTGCTCTGTGTGCGAGCGTCCCTATGTGATTCCCCGCGCTGAATGGACAGAATGGTGGGACGTTACCTCGGTTGAACTGCAAACCCAACCAGCTTTGAACTTGTACCGACCAATACCCTTCCGACGTCATTGCTGTAGCCTGTCGTGTGCGCCTAAAGACTCTGGACCATGGTTCTAGGATCTGGCATAGCTGGGTTTTCGTTGCATTTCGGACTTCTTTCTGTATCTATTTGATCTGCATGTTTGTGTACAATACTTTCAAGACTATCTATTGGGTTTCTGGCCATGGCCGCTACATAGTTTTATGACGACTGGACTTACTACTTTCATCCAATACGTCTCTTGAGTAGTGTTGATGCTCATGGGTCTCGACATTTCTACGTTTGCAATGTCGCAATGGTCACAATCAACTGGATCTGACCATTTTTTGGTGTGCTGCACATTCCCAAGGTTGATTTCAAATTTGGTAGCGTCATCTTATCTTCTACCCCAATCTCAGAAGATGCCGTCGGAGTTAGGGAACTCCGTAACCTTGAAAGTACTCCGACTTGATAGTCATCTTTAACTCCGCGACCCTAAGTCCACCTTCTCCGAACCAATCAATTTATACAGCTCAGCTACAAGATGTATTTTCGAGAAATATCTCTCTTCTCGAAATCTATAATAACCACTGAGAATCCTCTACAAATCACCAAGATCCTTGCTTCCGAGAAGCGCCAGTCTAAACAATGACTTCCCAAGCACCAACCTTCACGAAGCCCAACCGACCTCTGACATGGCTGATAACCGGCTGTTCATCAGGCCTAGGTCTATCCATAGCCCGAATCGCCCTATCCAACAACCAAATCGTGATCGCCACATCCCGCGACCCCTCCCGCACCCCAGACCTGGTAGCGGAGATAAAGCAAAAAGGCGGCGAATGGTACAAACTTGACGTAGACGACCCAGTCGCTGCTTCCGAGCTGCTATCGAAACTCGAAGTTGCGCGCTGCAAGGTCGATGTGCTGGTCAACAATGCGGGATTCGCTATTCTCTCGGCCGTTGAGCAGTTCTCGGACTCAGAGCTGCGGGCGCAGATGGAGACGGTATATTTTGGACCGAGTCGACTGATTCATGAATTTGTACCGGGCATGAGGGAGAGGCGATTTGGTATTGTTGTGAATATTAGCTCTGGAGCGGGGTTGGAGGGAAGGGAGAGTATGGGTGCTTATGCTTCGGCGAAGGCTGCTATGGATGGTGAGTTCTCTACCGATACATCTGACCATGCGTCTTGCTGATACAAGTAACACAGGTCTATGCAAGGTTCTCTCGAAGGAAATTGCCCCTTTCAACGTTCGCGTGCTGACGGTGTGGCTGGGTGTGTTCAACACGGCGTTTGGAAGCGGGTGTCTCACGGCGAAAGATCCTTTGCCAGAGGATTACAATGGATCTGTCGTCGCTCAGATGTTGGAATTGATCAAGGGAGGTAAGCTTGTCGCTGATGGTGATAAGGACAAAGCAGCCAAGGCGATCTATGAAGTTGTGCAAGGGGAGGGGGTTGGGACTGGGCACGAGAGTGAACGATTCCTGCCCATGGGTCGAGACATGATTCCTCGCCTTGAGTTGGTCCGTGACCAGCTTGATCATACACTTGATGTTTTTGGTGCTGCTGCTGGTAATGTTTACATCGATCGGGAAGAATGAAGCTGATGTATTGAGAGTGGATAAGGATGTTGACATAAAGTTCCTTCTTCTGACCAGCTGTAGTTTCGTGAATCAGGACCAACTCATCATACCTAGGTAGTAAGAAATCTTTGGACTCGATCCATGGATTTACCTCAATTCCTAGGGGACAGGGTAAATCTAGTAGCTATCATTCAAAAGGAGCCCTGGGTGGATGGATATCCCTTCCTGCGAACCATGTGAGAAAAGCCCTGTTTCTACCAGATCGGCAATTATACCAAAACATTTACATTTTTTTATTCCGAATATTGCCTGGGAGCTTACCAAAAGCAACGCTCGATGACTCTTCGATCCTGCTTTATGAGGGCGATGCGAGGTATTCAATGATCGCCCACTCCGATCGGAGATTGCGAGTTCTTGTGCTGGAGATGTCACATTATTGCCAAACCTGTTTGAGGTATATGACGCTAAGCTAAATCAACCCGGAGAGAAATTTTGGGAGCTTCATGTACTGGAAGCAACCAAAGAGCGGATCAAGCTTTCACAAAGTCCAAAGTTCGGCGTGAACTCCAAATCCAACGCTCTCGAGCCTTGGGACCGAGAGTCCAATGAAGAGGCGATTGATCAATGGAATGATGATATCATGGATAGCGCAATCCATTCCGAGGATGATGATCTATTTGAGTCTGGAGAGAGTGATGCGTCTTTTTGGGAGGGATACGGACCGACCAGCTGCAGGGACATTATTGATGACGCGGACTACGAATTTTACTATTCAGACTAGGATATAGAACAGGCTAATTTGTGTCAAAATTGGTATGGCTCAATCATTCATGATAGTTAAGTAGGTAATAAAAATGTCAAGAGTTTTGCTACATGCGTTGGATGCCAACGAATCCAAGAATTTGAGCTATGCCAGAGGCAAATAGGAAAAGGCTCATATAGGAAGTGTAATAAGGATTCATTTGAGAAAATAATCTATAGACAAGGAGGAGGAGGAGAAATAGAAGGTCCCCTCCTAGCAGAAGACAGCTGAGGGTTGAAAATTACCTCCCAGCCAACGCGCCAACGCAGAGATACGCTCATATAATTCCAAGGCTAGGCGTTCTGAGCCTCATTAAAACGCTCTATAGTGCTCTCCATAGCAGCCATTCGTTCTCGCAAAGTAGATATTTCTTGTTTCACCATACGACGTTTCGGCCAAAATGGTCCGCTCAAGTTTAGCATCTACCATGGAATCCAATTGATCAAGAGATCGAAAGATTATCTGTTGATTCCTGCTCAATTCTTCATTCCCTTGTGGTTGTGTCAGCTCCACACCAGGAGACTCTAGCTGACCCTGACCATTATCAGGGATAGGCTGCGGCGAAGCTGGTATCGGGAACTCAGGCGTCGATTGAACGGCCGACACATCTTCAGCTTCGACTTCGACTGAAGGAAGATCGCGCCGTTTTTGTATAACTTGTAGGTCTTTTGGGAGGCGTTTTATAAATCGATATGCCCACATTGTACCAACCCTACGATCAGACCCGGCACGAATAAGTGCGTCATTTGCCCAGTCGTTCAGCATAAATGGGGTAACTGTGAGATTACGATCTCGTGAATCGGCAATGCGCGAGAGAACTTCTTTCTCTTGGGCAGGTTGCAGAATTCGATTTGCGAGTTTTGGGCGATTGGCAGATTTGAAGCCACGAACTAGGCGGTTTCGAAGTACGTTATAAGACACATCGAAATCACGCGCAAGTTTGGTTAAATTGGTTTTTTCTTGCGTTTTTGCATGAGCGCAGGCTTGAACTATGCGCGCTTCATGTTCTTGCTTTGCTTGCTGGGCTGCTTTTTTGGCCGTTTGTTTGGCTGTCGGCATGATGGCTGGTATGTAGGAGAGGAAATGGTAAAAAATTGAAGATTTTGGCAAAATAGCCGATCGGGCGGAAGCAGCGGGACCCATATGGGCGAGGTCGCAGGAGGGAAAAGTTGGATGAAAGCGATACATATTTAGAGCCACTTCTAAGTTTTAGGATGAGACCATGGATTATTTTTAGTAAGGCCGAGTGAGTTGGCTTCAATAGCAAAAGTAACAATAGCCATACCAGTGGCTGCACAAGGCTAGACGACGTGGTGATGTGATCCAAACCGATCGCGGCATTGTGAGCGAACTTGAATGCCTGATAGATCCAACTCGTAAGGGAAAAAAAAGCTCAAAATGATCGCTAATACGGCAGGCTTCAATACAAGGAAAAACAGGTCCCACGGACATTGTGAGGGGGAATAGGCAAGTAAAAAGGAAAGAGTGGGAAAATTATACGGGTTAGCGATTACGATCCGCACGGGCTTGGTGCCAGATGGTGTCGCCGCTGAGAGCCGAGAAGCTGAGTGTAGCTAAGTTTCTCCAGCTTGACTGTGGTGCAGAGCTAGGGTGGTCATTGAGTAGGCCCGCGGTCTGTTCAGTATCGGAAGATTCCTCATTGGCGCCTTCAATGAGGACTGGGGCCGAGGAAGCACCGGCTCGCGAGATGACCTCTTGGGTCTGTATATCGTCGCTGCTGTGTGCGTGGTGGTGGCTTCCAGAGCCACCGGACTGGACATGAGTCATGGAACGCACAACATCGCCTTTGCAGATAGGACAGGTACGACGGCGAGTAGTCAGCCATGGGGTACTGGGAGAGAGTTAGTCGACTGATAATCATTCAGGGAATCTGACATGTCACTTACATGCATTCCGCATGGAACTCATGGCCACATGGCAGGCTCATGACCCGGCTTTCGCCATCGATGTATTCCTCAAGACATACAACGCACTCCACCTGTCTTCCTGTATATTTGCGCCGCCACAGGGTAGATCCAGTCTGCAGACTGCACTTCTCTTCCTTGGGTAGGGGTGGAGAAGTGAGCCCAGTGCCAGAAACAGTCTGTGAGCGTGTTCTGATTGCGCGGGCATCGGTTGATCGAATCTCGTTGCCGAGAAGTGGGGAAGTCGGCGACACGGGACCAGGGCTAGGAGGTCGCGTGGAGTTAGAGGACGAAGAAGAGGAGGAAATGGCGATAGTGTGATAGGTCCTGACAGGAAGACGCTCAATGACCGACTTTGGTGCGCGCCATCGGCGACGTCTGATTCGGGATCGGAGCAGTAGCAGAGCGTACACAACCGTTAGTGTAAGCAGTGGGCTGACAACCAGGACTAGGAGAGTATCAAAGAACGGGCTGGTCGACATGCTGGTAGGTGTCATTGTGACCCAGAGTCCTTCATGCTCGGAAGGCACTGTGTTTGGTCGGCTTGACGTATAGGGGCTGTTATTCTGTGCCTTCCGGTCTGCAGCTATGTTCTTCTGAGGCGACGGTGCCGAAGAAGGCTGTGACTCCTGCGTTTCCTCACCCCAGCTAAAAGATCCCAAAAGCCAACTTTTGTTGGAAGACTTGGCCTTCCCACGAGCCGCATCGGATTGCTTGTCAAGTCCCTTGGCACTCTTGTCATGGGGGCTGGCATTGGATTTTTCAACGCTCTGATATTCTCCACTTCCGGGCGTGATACTACCCCCTTGCAAAGCATTGGCCGAGGAGGCAGATTCTTTATCTGCGGCAGCAGTCTTTGAGGAATCCTTACCCGTCACCGAGGTGCTGGGTGTTGGAGTGCTGCTTTTGGCGGGCATCAGGTCTGGGTCTCTCCAGTCCTGAACTCCAATAACAAACTCATCCTCGTCGAAGCTATCAGGAGACATGTCGGCCCGGTGGCTGTCAAAGGTCGCGTCAACCTTGCCACGACCGCGGCGATTGGTTTCAGCCGATCTTTTCCAGGCATTCGATGAAGGGTCTTTATCTTCCCACGAGCCAAGGTTGATCCAGTCAATATTTCCACTGCTAGGTGGGCGCCGGCTGTCCTCCAAATGACTCGAGCCTCGGGTTTTGTCGCACAGTCCAAATAATGAACCAATGGCATGCCAGAATCCACGGTGGGTATGAGGTGCAGCTACAGGTTTTTCTTTGTTAGCCAAATGGCCGCTCGCCGTCGGACTTTGAGTAGCCGATGCTGCCGTGCTAGTGGCGTCTCGCTCTTTGTCGACGTCAATCTGACCTGCCACTTTCACCTGAGATGATCCCAGTACATCTCCCAAGTTGGCTGAGCTTCCAGTATGTCCAGGCATCAGTGATGACAGAAGGTGTGCGGTAGTGTGAGAGGTGAACAGTGCTGGAATTGACACATTGGACGTGTCGCCTCGTGCGTACATGGTGACCAGGTTTCCACCTCGGGTGTCGTCACCAACAATCAACCCAACTCCTCCACGCCGTTGAGCCCACTTGACTTTTTCCAAAAATCCGCAGCCACCGCGACTCAAGAGCACCACCTTGCCCTGGATCTCTGCGGTCTCCTGTAAAGATTGGATGTCGGCATGCGCGGATGGCTTGGTTTGAACGTATTCCCCAAATTTTTGGCCCATGCTAGGGTTTGAATTCCCCGATTCGGGGAGCGGGTGATGCAGATGATCATCGGTGCCATCGTTCGTCAATAGTGGGGGTATCGTATCATCTCTATCGTTCGGCGGTGTAGTATCGGCCTGCGACACAGACCGCGGGCGGTTTTGCGACGGGTCATTGAGTGTATTACCTCCGGAAATTCCGGAACTCTGTTCCACGCCCCTCGCGGTTTTTTCTTGTTTCTTTTGATTGGTGCCCTCACCCCAACCAGGTATATCGGAGCAACCTAGCTCCCCTTCCACACCGGCAGCTAGGCCACCTTCACCGAAGCCACTGCCTACCCATAACTGTCCACTGAGACCTTTCGCTGGCAGAAGCGGACCGAATGCTGCAGGCCGAGCAAGGAAGAAAGTTGAGTTGTCGTCGGTAAGGCTGATAACGGCCGACGGCGGGAAGAGCGACGATGGTATACTGAAAGCAAATAGCGCACGCAGCCCAGTCGCTCGACCAGCGAGCGTATTGGGGGTTGCTACATCAGAGGATGTGAGCGCGGATAAGATGGTGAGGAGGATCGGAAAGAAGATAAGGCAGAAGAGGACGATGAGGAGTCGTGGCGGTCGCATGTTGTCTGATAGAAATGTATCGCTTTGAAAGGCAAGGGGTTTGGTCGGATAAGTTGGACCACGGCAGATATGAGTGTCGATCGAGGGAGGGAATCACGATGCCAAAAGATCGGTTGTATCACAGTAGTTTAGGCACTCTTTATGACCAATCCAACGGTTGGCGGCAAGCGATCAGGCGGTCACTCATCGAGTACAGTGCGCAGCGCTGCGGCTGGTTACAAAAGCGCCGCGGGTGTCCACACAAGTTCACAGAAAAGTAAAAGCGAACAAGAGAAGGCCGGGAGTGATGGGAGTCAGGTGGAGAAGTGAACTCATGATGTGGATTGACCTAACGCCGGGTCTACGGGCGGCATGCCCGCCATCCACCTGGGCAAGTCATGTGCTTGGCAGCCTGAGGCAGGATTATTGCCTTGATGCCTTGGAATGACAAAGAAATGACAGCAGCTCGGATCAATGCCCTCTGCAATAAATCTGCTATCAAAGAGATGTTTCATTGTTCATATCCTCTATCTGGTCAATGAGGACGTGGTGAAGCGAAGAAAAGAGAAAGTCAAAGTATCATCGAAACTTGCAGAAGAGAAACCCCTGGCAAAGAATGAAGAGCACCAAAACTCCAAGAGTGAACCCTGGCGACACAGTGAAGATCCCAATCCCAGGTACCACCCAGACTGCTCCATTTCCGTGGGTGGGTTTCGCAATATCAGATAGATTTGATGTCTCGAGCTGGAACTGCCGATCATTTCATCATTGCTAGGCAACTGTATACGCTTGTAGTTCAGGTTCAAATCTGCTAGGCCATAGGCATAGTCTGACAACGCAAACACAATGTCTAACCTTCTACACATTTCCTACACTACTCCGTACATCTTTGAGCCATAGAGCTCCAAGCGAGAGGAAATAGCACAGGATATTTTTAGACTGTAGGGCTGGGCTCCACTTGCCTCATGCTAGTCGCTGTACGTACTCCTAGTGGGGGTGGCCATGACGTAAATTCCATCTATCAATCTAGCCGGCATCTTTGATGTTGTACTCCGTACAGCTTCCTGGATTTCGACAAGTATTCAAAATCCGATCAGCGGTCATGTACAAGTACTGTCAGGCCCACGTAGCTACCGTGCATAATTCCCAGATTACGCCATTCAACCGAAGAGCGTGGCGTGCTTCGAATAGTGTGGCTCAGTGGCGTTCTTGATTTCAATGTGGATCCGGGACATGACGACGAGGGGCAGTCATAGCTCCTCATTTCAAGCCAAGAGGTTTATCTTGTCAGAGAAAACCCGTTTGGAACGTCATGACCGCTGGATAGAGCGCCATCCTTCACCTATCATCCATGTTTTGCAAAGTATTATTCGTATTGAACCCCGCGCTATGTCGTCACTGAGAGCTACGATCTAGTCGTGATCCGATCAAGACAAGCAAAGAAGAAAGGATATAAACCCTCTGCTAGAACCACTTGCTCTAGAATTCATATCAAAATCAAAAACATCTAAACACATCTATCTCCAACCTTCATCAAAACTTTTATCACATCTTTACTTCATCATGTCTGGCATTATTCACAAGGTCAAGGATGCCGTCACCGGTCATCACGACAAGGACTCCCATGACTCCAAAACACATGGTTCGTGATCACTGTGTGTCTCGTGGTGCCTACTTTAATTCTAACAACATAATTCAGGTACCAATGACACCTACGGATCCACCCAAAACACCAGCGGTAACCAATACTCCTCTACCGGCGCGGGCTCCAACACCCACGGTACCTCCACCGGAGCTGGTTATGGTGGTGCCACTGGTGCTAGCGGCCTTAGCTCCGGCCCCGGCTATGAGACTGGCACCCACCACGGCTCATCCACTACAGCTGGTGGTTACGGCTCCGGCGCTGGCGCTGGCGGCTTGAACTCGGGCTCCGGCTACGAGACTGGTACCCACGGTACCCACAGCTCAACTGGTGCCGGCGGTTACGGCACTGGTGCCGGCACTGGTAGCACCTACGGTTCCTCGACGGGCTCTGGCTTGGGTGGCCACACCTCCGGTACCCACACCGGCTCCGATGCCTACGGCTCATCCAACACTGGAAACTACGGTTCCGGTAACATCAATGCCGGTCCCCACGATTCCAAGCTGGCCAACAAGGCCGACCCTCGCGTAGACAGTGACCGTGGTGAGTAATACTTCCCAAAGAACAGAAAGGGCTCTTGAGCTGACTATAAATCTCCAGACCACCGCGGTAACCACGGCACTACCGGCCTCTCTGGCGGCGGCCTTTCTGGTGGTGGCCTTGGTAACACCTCGGCCACTGGCCACTCCACTGGCGCTGGATACGGTTCTAGCAACCCTATCTCCGGCAGTGACAACTTCGGCAGCACCACTGGTTCTCACACCCATGGTCACGGAAGCAACCCCATCTCCGGCAGCGGCGGCTACGGTGGTACCACTGGTCACTCCACCACCGGACAGACTGGCTACGGCTCCAACGATCCCATTTCTGGCAGCGGCGGCTATGGCAGCACCACTGGCCACTCCACCGCTGGACAGACTGGCTACGGCTCCAGCAACCCCATCTCTGGCAGCGGGGGATACGGTGGCACCACTGGCCACTCCACCACTGGACAGACTGGCTATGGCCCTGGCAACCCCATCTCTGGTAACGACACCTACGGCAGCTCCACTCACGGCTCGCACAACACCCACGGCCTCGACAGCCGCACTGGTGAGCAGGGCTAAGGTGGTCACACCACCGGTAGCAGCAGCTACAACGAGAACACCTCCAAGACCGGCAAGACTACCGGTCCTCACAACTCTGACCTCTTGAACAAGCTCGACCCTCGCGTCGATGAGAAGAGCAACCCTGTTCCCAACCAGCGCAGCGGTTACTAAGCTCTTTACGAGATATGCTTTTACGAACTTTCGATGGGCTGTATTCCTAGCTTTTTAATTTAGTTTCTCACGAGAATGACTCCAATATCAATTTGATTTCCTTGTTCATTGCCAAACTCTGAAATACATGAGTACACATTAGAGAAAGCTTTTGCTGTTTGACCATGTATCATTCAACCGCGCTATTTCTGTCAAATGCCAAAATCTTTCTTTATTTCTGGAATCCTTGGAAGTTCTTGAAAAATATGGATCTCTGGCTTGAGGGGCTTTGAAACACTTAGGCTCTGGGTGATAGAGAAATGTTGGCTACTGATGCACAACTATTCCTTGATAGGCCTCAATCTTATAATGGAGCAATATACATTTTCGGAGAAGAAGTATCAGGGGCTATGGGCAAAAAACAGCCAGCGTGCTTCATTTTCAATCTGATAGTTTTCATCTTTAGAAGACTCGGTTCAAAATCGAGTTCTTTTCTTCCCTCTTCTGTGCGAGGAGGGAGGTTGATCAAATATCCTCGTGACATCTCGGACCCACATGTCGAACGGGAAGACTACAAAGAGCTGGCAGTGAGAACGACAATAGAAGATCTGAGATAGGTCTGAGGTGTTCAGTCGAATTGTCTTTCGAGAGGCGAAATGCAACATATGAGGTGTGTACTGAAGTCTATTGTTCTGCTTCCCAGCCTACCTCACTTAAGTTCTCTTCTCCCCTAATGTGGATGGTGCACTATTCAAGTTAATGACAAATCCTAACTCGACTTAGCAGGCCGTGAGAGACATGCTTGACATCAGGGAAACTGATGTCCTCTTTACCCACGATCTCAAATTCAACCATCATGTTCAAACAACAAAAAGGTTCGTCTCAAAGAAGGCCATCTCTAATGAAAGGGCAACTTTCGAAACAGAGAAGCTCTTCAGTGAATCTGGTGAGACATTGAATGAAATCACACTTTTGACCTGGAGTGCATCAGAATGGGCGACAAAAGATGCATCTGTCACAGTCCAGATCTCGCTGGGTCATCGATGATATCTCTGGGGCATTTCCAAACTCGAGATCTGGAACAGACTCAATCGTCAACGAGCAACCTCAGGGCTGGTAGTCTTTCATGTTACAAATCGGCTGCCTGTAATGGCGCAAAGAACACGCGATATGGGACTGCACCGGGCGATTTACCCGGTAGGGTCTAACTGTGTCATATGTGTGCCATGCATATGTGTGTCTTACTCCTCTCGGGTATACACCGATTCGTTCAGCGCTGACTGAAACTCACCAAATTCTAGCCAACACACCAAAATGAAGTTTGCAGTTCGGAAATCTTGCGATACTCCTCAGGTCTTCTCCGAGTTCGGAGGCCCTGAGCGCACGAAGCTCAGCGATACTGTCAGCCGAACTAGACTTGACTGATGATCAAAAGCATGTCTGTAGAGAGACGTTGGATGTTGACACGCCCTCGCCGCACATGCTATATCGGTTCTCTGCTTCCTCGGATTGAGATTCGTACGGATGGGACAAAGGATCTGTTTTATCAACCTCACTCCGCCATTTTTAGGTCGGAGATATGGATGGAAGATTGCAGTAGGTATGATCATTGATGCGCTGGAAAGACTCGTCGTGGATAATAAAGAGACTTTTAAGCCGGGAAACACGGGTTTGATCTCTTTTGATCATGGAAAATGGCAAAACCAACGTTTCAGTGGTGCGTATGTGAGATATATCCAACTAAAAACGGAGCTCAAGGTTGTTGGCACCCATGAATGTTTGAGACTGTTGATTTCGCCGCTTTCAAAGCTTTCAAGATAATAGATACTGCGAGCAAGCCCGTCATATGGTGTGAGGCTTCTCATCCTTCGATAAGGCCGGGTCGCACAGTGCGCGTCGAAGATCACAATGGGCTGTGGATTTCGCTCCAGCCTTGCATGCTGGACACTCTCGGCCGTGCGTGATAAACAAGAGATGCAAACTGTATTTGAGATCGTCGGGAATCTTAGTTTCAAGGTGCGCACGAGCCTGATCTGCTGTAGCATGCATCGGCCTCCATCCCAGAAAGCCAGTGATGCGATAGATGTGTGTGTCTACCACAAACTTGTCTCTGTTGAGGGTTAAGGCAAGGACACAGCTAGCCGTCTTGGGCCCAACCCCATTGAAACTCAAAAATTCTTCCATGACTTTGTCGTCTTCCAGGGACCAGAGATGGTTGAGAGTGTAAGAATGGTGTCTGGCTTTAACTTGATCCAAGATAGACATGATAAATTTGGATTTTCTGAGATGAAGACCACCGCAGGCTAATGCCCGTTGAAGTCTGATTTCACCACCATTCACAATCTTGTCGTAATTTGTCCATGACCCGTATTCGGTTGTCATGCTTCGGACTTGTCGGATAGCATTCAGCTCGTTGGTGGCCTGGCAAAGTATGCCGTAAACGAGCCCATCCAATGGGTCTGCAAACACGCTGGGACGATCTAGTCCATCGGCATTCATCGCGTTTGTAGCGGTCGGATCACGATCTCCATGCGCGGCTGTCAGAATGCGGTGGGCCTCTCTGCAATCCTGGACGAGTGGACGGTGGAAGTCGGGGAAAGGGGAGCGAGTTGCAAATTGGTTGTATTGATTCCATTTCTTTTCAGGTTTTGTCTTCGGCTTCACAGCGAGAGTTGTGGCTTGACTGGCCCGAGCGGACTTAGGGCCCTGAGTGCGAGGTTTCTGCTGTCTTAACACACGGGCCATTCTTGTTGCTCGCGTGAAAGCGCGTGATTTCGATGTTTGAGAATGTGAGGAAATTTCCTTGTGGGGAGGATTTTCCGTTCTCTCCCGCTATTAAATCTGCCCGGGCCCTTGGGCTTGAGATGAGAGATCGGGTGCCATAATGGTCAATGACGTTGATGAGGCTCGGGATCGATCGATAGACATCTAATCCACGGTTTCCAAAGTCCCCACTCCCCCGAGTTCCCAGCCGCAGACTATCCCCTTACTTGGCGTGAATGGCAAAAACTTACATGATTGGCTTGCTGCACTGCAGAAAAGCGGAGACTTGTCAAACGGAATTACGGAATCTTGGGAAGATTCCGTCAAGGCACACGGAGTATCAGGGTTCTAGCCTTTTCTCGCAAACCTCCCGTTCATAAAAAAAAAAAGCCAATCACGGCCACGATATCCTCGAAATATACAGTGCATCTTCTTCAGAGCTTGAAATCTATGGTTCAATAAAACGGAAAGATTTTTCGCACATCCAGGGTCCTGCGACGTCATCGGCTGCACATATCGAACTTCCGATTGGTCGATTTAAGGGAGACTACCCTACGAAGACTTTCAAGACTCCATTAGTTATCAGTTTGGGGTGGGCGTAAATATTGTGATGCGCCAAGCGCCCCAAAGGACCAGTATATGGGGAGTAAACCAGGTTGTGACAGTAACTATATGAGTCCTCACAAAATGAGATCAGGGTGTGCGCGGGGTATCCAGCACTTTGGCATATTGACTCTTTAATCTCAAGCGTCTTCCATATAGATAGAACAAGACCGGAATAGGAATCAAAACAGCGGCGACGCAGCCCAACAGAGTCCCGGCCCATTGTATGCCCATGCCAGCAAACATCTGTCGAGAAAATAACGGAAATCCCGCTGCCACTATTGAGCGACACATCGTGTTCGCTGCCAGTGCAGAGGCGGCTCTGGAAATTTGATTAGAATGTGATTCACTTGGTGGTATGAAAGTATCACTCACAAAGCCAGATAGGTGTCAATCAAATAGTTGAACAATTGGATGAAGATGATGAGTAGACCAGCTCCCGTGAACAGGCCACTTAACGTTGGTGCAATCCAGTGGATGCTACGTGTAAAGCCTGTCCAACCAAGCCAAAATAACCCCGCGGAAAAAAGCCCACCAGCGAGGATCACCGGTGGAAGACGCCACTCGGGAATGGGAATGTTGTTATTAGCCTCTAGCTTGACGTTGTAACCTTTGCTCACAAAAATCATGTAACAAGTTGCGGCTAGGAGGCCTACAATAATAGCAATCAGTGGAAGTCCTGCAACGCCAGCGGACATATGATAAACTCCCTGGAAGATGCTTGTATATGCAGACAAGAAGCAATAAAGCAAGCCGTAAATGAAGCTGAGATAGACTGTGACAGCCAATATCAACGGCTCTTTGTAAAGCATTTGAAGAGGGCGACCCAAGTTATTCACTACCAATTCATGAAAGTCAATTTCAATTTGATCGTTCTTAGCATGAATTCCCCAGTTTCCAGTAGAACGTCGTAACTCTTTGGCTTTGGAGCTCAGGATCACCGGAGCATAGGTCTCCTTCAAAAAAGCCAGATTCAGAACAAAAGCCGTAAATCCCATAAAAGCAGGTACGTAGGCTGTCCAACGCCATCCGAGGTACGATTTGTCAATGAAGCCACCCACACATGGTGCGATCAATGGTCCCAAAAAGACAGTGTTGGAAAAGAGGGCAATGGCAATTCCACGTGTGCGGTTGTTGTAGAGGTCGGCAAAACTAGCAGCAACATTGATAAGTGGGCTGCTGCCAAAGGCGCCGCAGAAGAAGCGGCAGATCATGAGAGTTTGAAGATCTTTAGATACCGCAACTGCAATGTTGAAAATGCTAAATCCTAGCATGGCCACGACTATGGGAAACCGGCGGCCGTAGAGCTCGGAAAGGGGGGCCCAAATCAAAGGTCCAAACGCGTAGCCGAGAAGGTAAACGGAGCTTGCGAGAGAAGCAACTTCAACGCTCACCCCGAAATGTTTGGACACTTGGCTGGTGGATGAGCTAAAAACCGCTGAATCAAACGTCGAGGTGAAGCAGGTGAAGGCTAGTATGAAGCTTAGGTAGAGCCTGGAGATTTGCAAACAGGCAAAGTTAGAATCACGCTGCTATCGCCGAAGGGGGTTGGGGAAGAGAAGAACTGACTTTGTGCTCAAAGGCCAGTTTTGAGGAAAAGCAGGGTCTTCTGGTCCGTCAAAGTCGACAACATAGCTGTCGCGATCTGGCAAAGGTGGTGGATGCGGCCTTCCTTGGCCAAATGACAACTGAGGTGATGAAGTTTGGCCAAGGTGATCCAATCGTCGATTTTGTTCCAAATCAATGTTGTCGAGTTTTTGGCAACTGGCATTGATGTCGAGGGAGCTTGACAGGCGATCCCCTTCTGTTGACGACTGCGTTTGTTGGCCAAAAGTTGAAAGCTCCAACCCCCATCAGTCGGACCCATGCTTTGGTGGGTATGAGGTGAGCAACCTTGGAAGTCTGCTGTAGAGATAGCCCGTCAAGTTGAAATCGAAAGAGCACTTCCGGCGTCGACATACAACGCGGAGTATTTAAATGCGTGCCCAATATGCAAACGAGCCTTGATCTCTGAATGCATAAAATTGTAATATACATCAGGGATTCACAATTCGGTGCCGTGATATCCGCCAAAGCGCCGACAGCATTACGCACGGACAAGTAGCTCCACAGCTTCCAAGTCACCTCGCAGACATGTTTCTGGAAAAAGATAGAGAATCAAACGGATGGCTCCACCGGGCCAGAAGACGGGACAGTGGAGCTACATGTTCCGCAAAAAGTGGGATTTCCTCGCGACGCCGCGTGTGAGATGCGCCATTCTCGGGGTGAGATGTTCCGAAGATGAGACTTCTACTCACCGCTTGTGGATAACGGGTAATTGTAAACTTTCAGTTGGGGCTCGATGTGAAGCTAAGCGGAATGGATCAAATAAATGCCAAGGGCCCACTCGTGAGATACACCTGGGCAGACCCCGGGACCTGCCTCACCAGAGGAAGACAAAGGTTGCCCAGACTGCTAACTTATTAATTCCGAACCGATTCCGGACTCAGTTTGCTAGCCTTCAACATTCACTGGCCCCTTGGCAAACTATACTTGATCCATTTTAATTTACTGCCAGCCGGAGATAAGTTATTTTGTCCGGGGGTATATAATGCAGTATGAGGTACAAAAAGGTACACCTTGCCGTCTTTTCTGGGGATCAGAGTGTTCAAAATCCAACTTTCTTGCTTGACTCGTTTCAGACTTTGACCTTCTTCCGCAAACAACAAAATGCACCTTCAATTTCTGGCCAGAGGGCTCTGCTTCCTCTTGCCCTTTTTCGTACAACCTACTCTCGCCATGCCACGGCTCAGGAAGAGCTACACACCTCGGCCAGTCTCAACTGTCTTTCAGCTCGGGCAAAACAATACCTGGTTTGAGAATCTCGCTGTGCGGTCAAATGGCAACATACTTGCCACACGAATCGACAGCCCAGAGCTTTGGTCCATTGTCCCAAGCGGCAACAGTAGCCAGATAGGCCATGGCTCTCGTCTGATGAAGTTTCCAAACGCTACGAGTACTATGGGAATTGCAGAAATCGACCACGACGTGTTTGCGGTACTTACTGGCAACGTATCTCTCCCTGCCATCAATCCGACCCCAGGGTCATTTGTTGTCTGGACTGTCAACCTCACCACTGCTGTGCCTGGGGTCAAGATTTTAGCAGATATTCCAGGTGGTCAATTTCTGGATGGAATGACCAAGTTCGGCAACGATCTCCTCTTGATTTCCGATGCTCTCAAGGGGGTAATCTGGCGCCTCAACATCACAACAGGGGAATCTTCGCTAGCTTTGTCAGATACGTCAATGCTCCCTGCTGCTCATCAGCCGGTCCAAGTTGGCGTCAATGGAGTTAAGGTGTGGCACAACTATCTCTACTTTACTAGCACCAGCCAGGAGATTTTTGCGCGTGTACCACTCAACGCAAACGCGACGGCTGTGGGACCCGTCGAGGTCATCACCAGTGGGTTTGCGTTCGACGATTTTATTCTGACACCAAATGGAACGGCCTATCTGTCGACAAATCCCGAGAACGAACTGATTCAAGTGTCGCCCCAGGGACGTGTTCGTTTGTTCGCAGGATACCAGTTCATGTTGTCAGTTGGCGGGTCAACTGCTGTTGCTGTCAACCCCGAACATTCTATGATGTACGTTGCAACCAGCGGGGCACAATTTGCACCAGTTTTGGGACGGATGGAACCTGCGAAGATTGTTTCCATTCGCTTATAGTTCTGAAAAGTCGGATAGCAAGCTTGAAGGTGTGCTATTGAGCCATCCGATAGCTTCTGTTGAGGGCTCTACTCGCGATAGTCTAGACCATCATGTATAAATAGTTCTTCATATTTCTGTCCGTTCCTTACTCGATCTTTCGTTATGGAGAGGCTTAAGCAACGGACGACGGCGTTTGAATAAATGGAGCGCCTGCGGTGACTGCCTAAGGTAATTACCCATTACTAAGCTCTCCGTTAGTTGTTTAGAAACAATTGATTTTGACCAACACCCGCAGTTCAATAGTCGATGAATGGAGTTGTTTTCCAGTGTCAAATTGTCCAGTTACTATACTAAATCAACGGAGAAACACGATGATATAGACGATATTTACCCAAGTATGCCTTTCTTTAATGCCATTTTCTGCGTACATGGTCTGCAATTCTTTCATACAGCATGCCACAGATAAGAGGTCTACTTAATTCAGATACCTTGGTGCCAGGGCCCAGAACACTTCTTGTTCTTAAGAGTTAATGACACAGAAAACTCCTTTATCCGAAAGCGGAAACAGAACGCTTTTAGCAGATGTGTTGCAGAGTTGCCCTAGAAAACACCAAAAATGCGTGGGGAAAAGGTGGAGAACAGATAAAAAGGGAGAAGGAGATAGCCAAGACTATGTCACCCGCTTGGTCACCTGATCATCACAGACCCGGAGAGGAGTTGATACAAGTTTCCAGTGTAAAAACGGAAGAAATCCGTCAAAAATGTGGGAATCGTCGAGCATTTGCCAAAACCTGGGACCACTCTGAGCCTACCCACGTTTACTCACGGTTATAGTTTTTGGATCGAGTGGGGTCCACGGGTCCACGGGTGGCTTTGAATTGTGGGTCTAGCCGCCTAAACTTCGGGACCCTCAACAAATCGAGTCTCGCTGGAATCTTGGCACTTGATCAATCAGGCGTTTTTGAAACAATTATGCAGTACATGCAATGCATAACACGAAATGCACAAGTTTAGCAGCAGTTTTCCAGTAGAAAGTTGGACAGCTGCAAGTCACTTATGATCCGTGCTAGCGCTACTCTTCTCCGAGCGAAGAGGCATAAAACGAGATTGGATCCCCTCTGTATCCTCAGCATCCTTCTCGCTTGTCGTGTTTCTGGTTTTTTTTTTCTTCTTTCCCACCATGAGCACCACATTCGGGCTTAGGGCCAAGCCTAGCAAAGTTGCGTTCGTGACTGGCGTCAACGGCATCAGTGGAAGTGCCATCGTGGATCACCTCATCAAACAGCCACACAGTGAATGGTAAGATTGTACATTCTGGGCCTGCACTCTCACCAACTCAGAAGAATGAGCTCTGATTATCACACTATCAAGGTCTGAGATCATCATCACTTCGAGAAGTCCGATCAAGTCGACCCAAATTGACTCTAGAGTTCGGTTTGTTGCCATCGACTTCCTACGCCCGGTTGAGGAAATTGTCGAGCAGATCAAGGATCTATGCAAGAATGTCACTCACGCTTTCTTCACTTCATACGTCCATGACAACGATTTCTCGATTCTTTACAAGAAGAACGGCCCTCTCTTCCGCCATTTCCTGGAGGCCACGGATTTGGCCTGTCCTAAATTGAAACGCGTTGTTTTGCAGACTGGCGGAAAGGTCAGACCACCAATTTCTCAACCCAATCTAATCTGACAATTACCAGCATTACGCTTTTCAGTACCGGGACATCAAAACGCCCCTTGTGGAGGACATTCCTCGCTACACCGGTCCCGAGAACATGTTCTACTACGAGCAAGAAGACGACTTGTTCGCTGTTCAGAAACGTCGTAACACTTGGAACTACAACATAATCCGTCCTATGGGAATCATCGGTTTCAGCTGGCAATGTAGGACATCACCAAAGGCCCTCCGCTCTTACCAGATACTGACAGATCACTTGCAGACCTTGGCATCAACGAAACCCTCCCGATTGCCCAATACTTCCTCGTCTGCCGTGAGCTTGGGGAGGCTCCTAGATGGCCCGGAAACCTGGATACCTGGCTCCGATCTGAGACTCAGTCTTTTGCTCCCGGAATCGCCGACCTCACTATCTGGGCAGCGACCCAGGACGCGTGTAAGGACGAGGCCTTCAACCACGTCAACGGCGATGTGATTGTCTGGAAGTTCTTGTGGTACATGTTGGCCGATTACTTCAAGGCCCCGATGACCAACTTTGAACCTCCCACAGAGGAAACCAAAACCATCGACATGGCTGAGTGGGCCAAGGATAAGAGACCGACTTGGGAGAAAATCGTGGCCAAGCACGGTGGTGAGGTCAACTCATTCAATATAGCAGCTTTTGAGTTGATGAACTGGTATATTGCGCCATCGGGGATTAAGGGCTCAATTCTTGCCACTAATGCCAAGGCTCGCGACTTTGGCTGGCTTCGCAATGATGATACTTACCGCGCGTGGTTGAGCACCATGCGCGCCTACGAAAATGCCGGTGTTCTCCCAATTTCCTAAGTCTTCAGTGAAGCTTCTCTTTCTTCGTGGATCTCTTGTGCTTTTTGTTCTACTCTGATTGACTCAAACCGATGGGGATTTCATCCCATGAAGCTTAGACAGTGAAATCGACCATAGCAACATATACTGACTTCCAAAATAAAACGCGCGTGGATTTTCCAGTTTTTCAATCAGCTACTTTCGACCAAGATCACTCTGTGATGCCGTAAACTACCTGTACCGACCTGGTTAGAGATCAAGTTTCAATTCCGACCTCGGGATTTGACTGACCTAATCCATGGATACAGTCAACGGCGAGGTATAGACTCTAGCGTAAACACCATCTTGCCTCAAACAACCTTGGAATCCATTTCAAGTTCTGCCCGCAGCTATATTGATATCACCCCTGAGTCAAGAGACAAAAAGCATACAAAACCTCATGGCATTTGTCAATGAGCCCCAGCCCTGGAGTAATGCCCAAGTACTTTAACCGAATCTCTGGAATTCGAAAGTCTCTTCCTAATCACAAACACGGCACTCTCTAATGCTTGTCCCCGAGAGATGTTGTGTTAGGTACAAGCTCACGTCGACTTATCAGCTATTTTGCCCTGTACCGCGTCTCTCGCTTGGCGAATGAACCACACAGGATGAAATTCACGTTGTACTATTCCATGGCTCTATTTTCAATTCAAATTCCGAAACAGCGTGAAGATTCCGGTCATCATTAATGAATTTGTCTGATGGGCTAGCGCCGATCAGGTCGGCCAATGCAGATGGAGCTCCACCGGCTTCGTAAACCTTGTGAGGCCCGAATTGCCGTTGGGAGTTTTGTCAATCCTACCTGTTGAAACTTTGAAAGAGAAACACGGTGAACGAGCGGAATCTTGCTGATCCAAGCCCTTCATTATGGAGTAGACCCACGGGTTGGCCTGTAATCACCATCATAGGCAAGCTAATCCCGAGGGCGAGGAGAGCTCCGCGCAGAACCGCTTTGTCGTCATGCCCCCTCCAACTTGCCTAGCAAGCTAAAAAGAGACGTTGGCCACACTGGAAAGGCCAAGGTCCTGCTCCGACTACTTACCACCATTTCCCAACCACGCCGAGAAGGACAACTGCAAAAATGAGTGCTGTAGGTGCCTCATCAATGTCCACCAAGGCTCAGAACTAACAATGCCTCGAACAGGAGCCAAGCCTGAACTTCAATCACATCGGGGTCTCAGTCCCGAACATTGACGAAGCAATCCAATGGTACTCTACCGTTCTCGGATTTCGTCTCCTCCGTCGTGTAACACGCGCCCGTTTGGAAACGCCCAGATCGCCTGTTTTCACGATGTACGGTCCGATCATGCAAAAAGCAAAGATTGCATTCATGACAACGGGGAATGGAATTGGATTTGAGGTGTTCGAGTTTGTCGATCCTAAGTATGAAAAGCCCCAACGTACCTTTGAGGAAGGGGGCTTCACAACAGGCGGCCCATTCCATTTTGCAATCACAGCTCCAGATGTTGGCGCTTTGGCAGCAAAGGCAGTTAGCAATGGGGGGAAGGAGATATGTGGCCCCGTTGATATGGGTTCTGGTCAACAAGCATTGTATATTTCCGATCCATGGGGCAACATCATTGAGTGCATGAGCTGCAGTTATGAGCTACTCGTCGGCCAACAAGGCAAATAGCCGGGTGCGCGTTGGGTTGCTGCACGCGCTGAGTGGAATGTGAACACAGGGCCGAATCGCCTGATAGGTACGAGAAATATCAAAATCACGAGCACTTCTCAAGGGCATTGCATCCGTCGGACATATTATCCTATCCCAACAACAGCATGTTGTATCACTGTCGTAGATTTTGCTTTGAGATAGAAGCCATAACCGCACCATCACGCAATTCAAGACTGTAAGAAGAATGTTTGCCAGCGACTTTTAGCTGCTTGGCTGATATTTGGCGTCCTCAATTATTACATTGAGGATGATGTCTACACTTTTTTCGGTTGAAAAGTGATGAATGATTCGCCATATCTAAGGCAGCATTGGGCGAGCAACTTCTACGTTCAGGCCTGAAAACCCCCTCATAATTCCGAAACAATACCGTTTATGTGTACGTGACTAACTGAGAGAATGAAGTTTGCGAGAAGCATTAGAGTGCGATAATTCATGTATTGTGAGAAATGAGGAGATAAGAAGGAGAAAGAGAGGCTCTCTAGATCGAGTTTGACAGATCAGACATCCACTGGTTCCAACACACACACACACACACACACACACACAGAGAGAGAGAGAGAGAGAGAGAGAGGGAGAGGGAGGGAGAATGTTTCCCATCCACAACTATCCACCCCATCAGGCAGCCACAGCAGACTCCGACAGAAGTTTAGGGGCTTGTTGCAGAAATAGCCTATGTACTACCAACATGAGAGCAAGCGTGGATTCTCAGATGTCAGAGACTTGCCACATGACGGAACATTGAAGCCTGTTGCCGGCATTCACTTCCTAGAACACTATCTCGCATTTTCTACCCTTTGGAGCAATGAGGGAGTATTGCTCAATTTCCATGGACTCCGGAGTCGTGGATGGGGCCAGATTTATGCCGGCACACTCTCGGAATAGCAGGGCAGTGGCAAAGCGAAGCTCCATTTGGGCCATATGAAGCCCAATGCAGGTGCGGCTCCCGGAGCCAAAGGGCGCAAAGATTGCTCTGGGATTTTGCTTCTTGTCTAGCCATCTTTCAGGAGCGAATCTGCGTTTCCAAGAAGTTAGTAAGTTCCAGATGCTCTGGTGGTCAACACTTCCACTTACTTGCCAGGGTCTTCCCACACAGAGCCATCTCGGTGCATTGAAAAGGACTGTGTAGTGACTGTGGTTCCACCGGGGATTTGGAGCCCACACACATTGAAGCCAGCCTTTGGCACAATACGAGGTAGCCCAAAAGGCGCAGCACCATAGAGACGGAGTGATTCGTTGATGACTGCATTGAGATACGGCAATGCTTCAAGCTCTGAGTCCGTGAAGTCCTCTCTCAAGATTGCCACTTCTTTTTCCAGCAGTGTCTGAATCTGGGGATTTGCCATCACTGCCCATGTGAGGAAGGTCATGGTAACAGCAGTTGTTCCAGAGCCAGCAACGATTAACATGATAGATTCCAACAGTACTTCTCGGTCAGCCATGGTTTCGTCGCTGTCCTTTTCACCTTGAAGACCTGCAAAAATATTGGCTTTGACAAGCTCTCGTTGCGAAGCACGCTCCACGATCTCCGCCGTTCTCTTTTCAATGTATTGATCTGCGCGAGTAAGAGGATCAAAGTACCCAAATGTGCATGACCTCAGTGCACGGTACAGGCCGTAAACTTCCAACCGCAGCGCTCGGGCCTTGTTGACAAACTCCAACTCCTCGATATACTTGCTTTTCTGAAAATAAGTGAGTTAAATCAGCCTGGAAAACATAACACAGAAGTGAGAGAAACGCACTTTTCCAGTTTCAGTCATACCAAAGGCCTCGCTAAAGACGAGAGCCCCGGTGACGTCAGTCGCCATAAAGGTCCACCACTTCATCGAGTCAGAAGGCCCAACTGCAGCTTCTTTCTTAATACCTCGAACAGCGGCTTCAGCAAGCTGACGGACTGTAGGCTCCCAGTGCTCGCGGAGAGAAGTTTTGCTGAACGGGCGGGAAAGAAGTCTTCGCTTGCGGGCATGCACATGAGGATCCGTTGCCGTGAAGCAATTGATTGCTTCGCGGAACTTGATATACCAGGAGGATTTGACAAAAGCACTGCCAATCTTGTGTATCTCCCGGAACCCATCATAATCAGAGATATCCACAGCATCTGGCGCAATGCGAACCACAGGTCCGTATTTGTCATGTAGTTCATCGACCCATTGGGATCGATAGCCTTTCAGGGCATGCACACGAAGCACAAATCCAGTGAGAGATGTATACCAGGGACCAGGTAGATGACGCAGGGGATTGAAGAACACTCGTTTCAAGACCTGTGTGCGTTTAGTGAACATTCGAGAGCCTTGTAATTTTCAACAGGGACCTACACCCAGTGAAAAGATCATGAGTAACAAATAAACCACCATTGTGGAGATTTGATACTCGGAAAAGGTAATGCTAGAAAGCAACATTCTGAGGTTGTTGTGTGTTTCGAAATTCCAGAGAAGAGCAGTTATCCCAATCATGGTGGGAGCTCAGGTCTTCTTAGAGTTCCCTGTAACAACACGATCGGCCTACCTCGAGTGGCACCCGTCATCTTCAGATGTCATACAGGAAAGGAGATGTCGATCTCAACAACTTCCAGGATGTTGAATTACACCAGCATCATCGTTTCGGCTAGGAGATGCCGAGCTAGGTTCCCATTTTTGGAGTGTTGTAGTGTCGGAAGTGGCGGCGACTTGTGGGCTGGGATGCGCGGTTTGTAGCCAACGCGGGTTGAATTCGGTGACAATAGCCCCAAAGTTCCAATTTTCTGTATGCAGCAAGAGGTTCAGTGGGTGCAACTATGCAACTATGCGTGCGTACTGATGATCCATGGATCGTCTTCTCCGCACAATGTGGGTTCCGAAGTCAATCTTCAGGGCGACCCACAATCTAAATTCGCTTTAGTGTCCAACCAATTAGACCACGGCATTTTATGGGTCGCTGCTGGCCTCGGAATCTTCAACACCACCACGGAATCTAAAAGACCTGGTCATGCATTGGACTGTACACGCAAAATCTTTGAGGTCATTTGACATAATGAGGATATAATATGAATAAAATTTGTGATTAATGCACAATTCGGAGTCATAGATTCCCCTCCAAATGTGAGAGACCTCTCGGACATTCGGACATTCGGAGGCCGGGGTGCTCCGAACGTCGATGGAGTACGGAGTATCTTGCACAAAACAATTTCTTTGGAGTTAATGGCCAAGTTCTGCATGAAAGCCCATGAAGGATTTAGGAATCTGGAAGGCCGAAATTGCCGAATCTCGTTCCATGAATATTGGCACCAAGACTTTCCATGTGCTTTGAGAAATGGGCCTGAAAAATATGATATTTTGAATACATAACTTATTTGACGCCTTGAAATTCATAAAAGATTATGCGTTCTTGTTACGCCATCCATGAATCTCGCCGGCAAGAACCGTAGCTCACTTCCAATGTTTTCAGACAGTCTAACTCTAGCCTACTAGCTTCGCAGTATGAGAACGTGACCTCGATAATTTTAACATACAATTTGTTTAAGCTACAAGCAGCGACCTCGCCATTGAGTGGTAAGGGGTTAAGAAGTGGAGTACACGACATGAGGCACATGAACTGCGTCCAGGTTTAACCTTGTTACATATTTGTAATTATATACCAGCCCTGGAGATAGGCACCGACTCGGGACTGATGTTTTCGTGAAAGCGTCTCTCGCCAGAAGATGAAAGATGTGTCAAGTTATTCATTCATGAGAGGCCCCACAAGAACATTTCTACAACCCAAGCTCCCTCTCACGACGTTGGCGCGAAACGTGATCACTGCCTACTTCAAGGGGGACAGGTCTGTTTTCTGTTCTAGCCAGTATCGATCGTTTACAGCGTAGAGCTAGGAGCCGGTAGCCGACAGTCTTAAAGTTGAAAATCAGCGATGAATCATATTCCAAAGCCCTGTCTGGGAATCTTGGGCGTGTCTCCCAAATCTACGTCGGGATATCGGCCCAGTGATCATCCCTCGTATCCAAGTACTGCCCAATAGACAAATTGATAACAGCACCATCTTTCCAGCTTGCATGATCTGTGGTATGAACTCTCAAAAACTAGATTTACCTGCCCGGCAGCACCCCTTACTGAAGAGGTATTGTCTGGATCCATATGACGTGATAGCTTCATTTGTCACGATGTCTTTATGGGGCAAGCACCGTAAATTGGTAAAATCTTTCAATTTTGATCGTTCATATATTTATGCAGACAATTCATAAGACAGAGCAAGCGGGATCCACCACAACAAGAAAGATGCATCTTCCATGAGCACATACCTAGGTATTGATGTTGAACCTTGGAAAGGCCAGAAGATCTACGTGGAATCCACCAATCTGATCCGTAGATCCCCCTCGAGTTTGCCCAGCCCCGGAGGTGGCCAAACTATCTTGTTTCAATACTATGAATCGGCACGAGGGACCGAGTACCTGCAGATACTCAAAGATACTTAAATCCCAAGTGAGAACTACCATTAAGACGATTCAATTCTACTCACACTCACAACGCAAATCAAATCAATCTTCAATCTTTATTTATTAACGATGGCTTCTGAACATGAGACACCGGGAAAACGAACGATTGCCACGGTTTTAGACAAGTTAGCCAGAGAGCATCCGACTAGGTTGGTCTGCAAAGCACCTAAAGGTCCTCGGGTTGCCAATGGATTCTCATCCTTGGATATTGGAACTCTGTCCAAGGCCGTGGACTCAACTGCGTGGCTGATCACCGAATCTTTTGGAACTCCTGAAAAGGATGAGGTTCTCCTTTACCTTGGTGACAGTGATATTCGGTACCTAGTATTTGTTGTGGCTTGCCAAAAAGCTGGTTTCAAGGTAAGTCGTTCATTCACAAAGCATTTCCGCTTTATCATGCTAAGCTACCAGCCCTTCCTGCCTTCCACAAAGAACAGCATTGATGTGCAGTGTGCGCTCTTGGAAACAACGGGTTGCTCTGGAGTTCTTTTTAGTTCGACTTTAAAACTGCAGGTCGAAGAGATCAAAGCCTTCAAAGCATCTGTTGCAGTGATGGAGGTGCCCAAGTTTGAACAGATGGTGACGAACTTTTCGCGGTACTATCCATATGACACGGCGTATCAGGCGATCGAGGACGAAACTGCGATTATAATACATAGCTCTGGAACAACAGGTACGGATTAATCAACAAATCTCAGTTGTTTGCTCGATTTTGACAATTTCCAGGTGTTCCCAAGCCAATCCATCTTACGCACGGATTTCTGGGCACCGTGGACAAACAAGGCCAGATTGCTGTTCCGAAGGGAAGGGTGTCAGCCATTCCCAAAAAAACCAGACAGAACTACCTTTTCCTCTCCACGGCTCCGTTCTTCCACCTGATGGGGATATATGCCACGGCAATGTCTGTTTTCCAAGGGGCCCCATTTGTCTACCCTCCTCCGACCGCATCACTCACCATCGAGACATTTATCGAGGTGATTAGTGCAGAGCATCCGACTGTTGCTGTCATTACGCCAGCTTTGGTTGAAGCAGTAGGCCAATCGGCCACTGCCTTGGAAGCGCTGTCCGCTCTAGAGATGGTTTGCATCGGCGGGGCACCTCTAGCACCGGATATCGGGGATACCATCAACAAGAGAACCAATCTTGTATCTGTCCTGGGCGCCAGTGAGCTTGGTCTCATACCATCTCTCATCCCGGAGAACAAAGCAGACTGGGAATACTTCGAGTGGAACCCGAATTACCAACTGCGCATGGATCCAAGCGGCGATGACAGCCAGCTGCATGAACTGGTGATCCCACGCGGCGAGTCCAGAGATATCCACGGGATCTTTCACACATTCCCGGATCTGACGGAGTATCGCACCAAAGACTTGTTTAGCCCACATCCGACTCGGCCCAGCCTGTGGAGGTATGAAGGCCGGCTGGATGACACAATCACATTGATCAGTGGCCAGAAAATTAGCCCCATTCCAATGGAGAAGATCATCGAGGGTCATCCTCTTGTGTCTCGGGCGGTAGTCATTGGAAACCGAAGATCTCAACTGGCGCTCCTTGTCGAGCCTTGTGAGAGCTCAAACCTGTCGAGCAGAAATGAATCGGACATTTCAGAATACAAACGCACGATTTGGCCTGCTGTCGAAAAAGTGAATGAGCTCGCACCTCACGAAGTGCAGATTGGCATCATGAGGATCGGGCTTGCATCACGGGGAAAGCCTTTCTGCACGACTCCAAAAGGCAGCACGCAGCGCCGAAAGGTTCTTCAGGACTATGAAAGGGAGATCGAGCACGTCTATCAGCAAGATGAATACTGGACCACTTTGTTTAAAAATGGTTAGTCACGTACTTGGGCAGAGGGTTTGCGAGGGGTTGAAGTGGTGAGAGTGGGGGAACTCCATTTCGAGGATGTACTGGCCAGACGTTCAGAATAGAGCTAGAGATAAATGAAGCTAAATAAATCTTTGCGACTTCACTCTTGTATCGCACTCCTCGCTTGTCTTACAAAAGCAGCTAAGTACGGCAGGCTTTTGGGACATTTCGCCATAACCCCCGGGGGGCCATGTTCATAACGGAAGAGTAAGCGGGAATGCAAAACAATTTTTGTACTTCTGTAGGGAGAAAAAAGCGCTGGCACCAGCCCCATATGGCTTGAGTGGTGTTCAGGGTCCATCGGACTCGTGGACTCTAAAATGCTGCTGATGAGACCTACTAAAAGAATTATTCCTCCCAAGTGGAACCAGTTCATGCAAACGGTGTGCTTATTATGCGTGAAGGTCACGACCTGTCGCTCTATGTGCAATATTGCTAAACGATTGAACATTTTCACTCATTCAATGCATCGGCTTCGGAGAGTTTGAGTGCCACATGCCAGTCCAAATGCTCAAGTACTTCAGTTGGAGGGACCGGCATTTTGCAATGGGGGCAGACATAATGTTCTGATTCTGATTCCAGCCCACCGAAATATTCGTTATTCGACAAAACAGGGTTGGACGATTCTTGTTTAGAGAGGGAGTTGCCTTTGGGGGGTGGAGGGTGGACAGGCTCACGCTTCTCGGGCAGATCATCGGCACGCCGGTTTGCTGTAGAGTCGGTTGTCGAATGTTTGGAAGGCAATTTGGTCGAGGCAGAACTTGTCGTGAAATAAGATGAAATGAGGCCATGATGTCGTGGAACTTTCTGAAATCCAGAAATCCGTAGAGATAAACTTCTGCAAGGCCAGCTGTTCTTTTCCCTGACAATCTGGTCAAGTAGATCATGGGAAAATTTGAATAAGGTTTCCTTAGTTATTGATGTTGATCTTGGTATCGTGAGCTGCTTGGAGCGAGTGGGACCAAAGCGGCCCTCTATGAGGTGATTCAGAGTAACTACAGTGGGACAGACTTGATGGTCTTCGGCGTCTAGCTCTGCCAGACGACCCAACAGATCTGCAACGAAGATATGAAGCCATTTTTCCGCCTGCTCGACTGAAGTAATTTTTGGCACGAAAGTTTTGGCAGAGAGCATTGACTGGACGTCGGTTCGAGGGTTGACCTCACTTTGGTCTTCGCCGCGTATGGTTTTGAAAATCCACTCCCCAATATCCGGTCCCATAGCTTCTTTCATCTGAGGCAGAGATACATGATGGAGCTCTGAGACCATGTCTGTTTTGAAGCTTTCAACGACTTTGGCACCCAAAGCTCCTCCAAGCCCACGTATCTTGGTGAGCTTATGCGCAGAAAGAAATTCGCAAGTTTCTCGACGCAGGATAATTGTTTGGTGATTCGGCTTCTTGTGTGCGCTTGCAAGTTTGGCCAATATCTTGTTACGAGCTATACCAGCCGAGCAAGTGTACTTCATCTGTCCAAAGATTTCTCGTCTTAGGTTTTGCACAATTTCAGATCCAATATGTAGAGACACATCATCCCAATCAAGATGGTCATGTCCAAGATCAGCTCCAAAAACTGAGTCTGCATGCCAATCTGAGACAACAGTCTCTGGTAGAGGCAAAGGCTCACTTGGTGAAGAAGCGTCACCATCTAGCAAGTTCGAGTATCTCTGCATCATGATAGCATGAACCTGCGCGGAGAGGTCAAGAAATATTTCATCCACGCTGGCCTTTTCGATAATTTGTGGGGGATCTTGCGGTAATGTTCTTCTGATTACTCCATGACCCTTTCGTGACTCTAGGCGATAAGGGTCTAGGGCTGCTTTGTCGGTGCCCGGCATGATGGTGGCAACAGGTCTGTATGCCCAGGTCTCAGATCCTTCTCTCCAGGTAGGAACATGTTGCAGGACGATATCCGGACACTTCAATCTAGCTTCTTCGACGGAAATGGCACGGGCGAGTCCATATCTCCTGGCTGGATAATTCAACGCGATAATGGCATCCCATTGCTGTACGCCCAGAGGCGTGTCTGGAGGAATTCCGAGTCGCACACTCTCACATTGGGCATAGAACGAATCATAATCAATTAGCGAAATCACACGCAGGGGGGATTTCGAAGACGACTGGGCCAAGAGTGAGAGGTCACGTCGGGTGAATCGAGAGGTAACATTGTGAGGTTGTCCCATTGCTCTTTATGGACATTCAGATTGTTGAGCAATGCTATGCCGCGCTCATGGAAGTTCCCAAGAAAACTGCCGCATGGTCACTGGTCCTCTTTTCAAGAAAAATTCCAAAATAAAGCTCGGGTCCTTGGTCGATCGATCTGGAGCCGCTTGCAACTGACATCATGCCCCTTTGCGCCACCGATCGCAGAGTTCCGATCTTCCCGAGTGCGTGGGTGGTTACGGGGTACGGAGTACGGAGTACACGCGCACCTCTTTTTATTCACGTATGGTGCTGCATAAGTCTGGGCACTTCGGCCTAATACCCACTTTTTTTGATACTGCATGGCAGAACCCCAATACAATAGACGGTGGGAAAGTCGGTCAAGCCAGAAAGAAGGTAAATCCTGAACGTTGGAAGAAATGGAGGTCAAATACTCATGCTGCACCACTGATAAATGTTTCGTCTTTACGAAGAACTATCCATACCTACTTATGCTCATTCCAAGGTTCGAAGGTTGTCCATGCATGGATTAAGTTAAAAAAACAATACAAAACCCCCAGAGAAGAATTGAGGGAGTCACTGACCCTGGAAGTGTGTACCTTGGCTTATGCCGAATGGTCAAGCATGAAGGGAAGCCATCATGAATACCAAGGAGTAGAACAACAGACTGAAGAAAACATGCCAACATCATGGAGCCATCAAAACCAGGCCGATCAAGTCAGTCGCCAAGACGCCGTGTAGATGTGATTGTTGGGTATGCGGATGCATATTACAGAAAGAAGAATATTGGAACAAGAGAAAAGACGAATACAAAAAAACCACCGCACGTATCATGAATTTCATAGCTGAATTAGAATTAGCAGGACACAAGGTTGACATGATGATCATTCAGCGCCGAGCAGGCAAGCATAGTCCGATGAGGATGGAAAGCCGTGCAAGAGATCGGCGACGACCGGTTGTGGCCTAGGAAGCTCGAGTAGGGCTCGAATGTGGATAGGTAGGTACCGTCTACATTGAAAGTCTTGACTTCGTGGCGGTTTGTTCCCCTGCGTTTCACGTTAGTTTTGAATTGAACACAGAAAGATGCGAGGAAAGGGCGTTCAACGTACATGCTGAAGACAGGAGCGTGTTCGTGAACACTTAGGGTCCGTAGCGTGTCCTTGGTAGCGTAGATTGTGGAGATGGGGTTGTCCATGCGGAGGTCCCATAGGCGGACTTCGCCGTTGCGACCACCTGAGATTAATTCACGTAGGCCACCGCGCTGCATGTGAACATTTGTGATCCATTGCTTGTGCTCGCGCCAGACCTTGACCATAGAGGTGGTTGGCTTCAAGCGCTGGTCGAAGACTCGGACAGCGCCGTCGCCGAAACCTGCAACAAAAATGTTCCCAGCAACTTGGTCAGAGGTCAAGGATGTAATGCAGGAGCCAGAGCGTGCGGGGATATCCTGATGATGGGCGTTAATAAAGCAAAAGCGCTGACGTGGAGAGTTTCTCACATTTGTGCACACTTCAGTGGCGGCATTCCAGACGCGAATGACCTTCACGTCACCGGCGACAAGAGCTTTACCCTGGCCCTGCTGCCAATCAAGCACGAGGCCCGCGTTGCGATTGCTAGGGATCAACTCGGGAAGAGCTCTGAACGCGGTGACCACTTCAATATCTTCATTAGTTTCGTAGTGGCGGAAGAGTTTGATTACACCATCGGAAGATCCGGTCATGAGGAGCGCTTGATCATCTTCATTGATGTATCGGATCTCGTTGATCTTGGACCCAGCCGGGTTGCCATTTGAAAATTGATTCAAGCGTTTATGGCTTTGCCAGTCCCAGATACTGAGGTTGATGGTTAGAGGCGAAGGGATGAATATAACGGCCAGAACTTACGCAATCGTATCCCGGTCATCTGCTACCGCAAGATGATCCTCAAATTGATGGAAACACATCTTGTGTGGTTGGCTACCGTTCGATAGCAGAGCAACAGAGTTATCCCATCGGCTCGCGCCGGCCTTTGCCTTGAGAGGTTGGGTCTCAGCAATGATCTTCTCGTTGCGGCCTCGTCTCCAAAGACGCTGGTTGTAGTCCGAGCTACCCGGCTCATCCGGCTCATTGGGTTTCATCTGAGGCTCGCGGAAGTACTAAAGATTGGTAAGTAAAAATGTTCAACGAGCACACGGAATAAAAGAATCCGGGGTTGAGTATCACTTACTTCAGTAGACCAGTCTAAGAATCTGCTCTTCAATGGAATTGCTGGTACAGCGTCAAATGCTTTGGGCTGGAAGCCACGAGATGTTGGTATGGGAGCTTGGTGGTATGCTGTCGCAGGAGCAACATGATCGTTGACCTCTGGAGGTCGAGTCCATTCAATGGGGGCTCTGCCACGGGGTGTGACTGGCATTCGACTTGTTGAAGGAGAAGGTGGGTTCGAGTTTCCGGCTGAAGCCTCTCCATTAGTCGTGTTACCGAAGGCAAGGTTCTTCAGAGATGCAGCAACGCTGGCAGTTCGCTTGAAGCCAATTGACAAATAGCCTTCTTGCCTAGAAGTTGCTGCCGCAGATGTGGGTGGCGTGGAGGGAGCTGCGGTTTTCTTCGTTTCAGTGCGCTCGTGGGGTTGCACTTTGGTGACGCCTGTGATGTTCAGAATCTCGGCCTGAAGCTTGTTGGCAAGAGATGCCATTGGTGACTCTAGCAAAGCCAGGTGAATGTAGTCAACGATCACGGCGGCATCCTGGGCGATATCAGGATGGGGATCAACCGAAAGGGCCAATAGCTGCTTCCAGATAGTTCCGAAAGTGGTGTTGGCAGAAAGTTGAGGTTGCTTCGAAACGGTAACGAGGTCACCAGTCTGAGAGTTGTCGCCTCCATAACGTTGACGGAGAGTGCGCTTTTCTTCTTGAAGCTCCTCGAAGGCCGCGACCAGGAACTTGTTCTGGTGGCGTCGGACAAACGTTGAGAAGAAGACAAGCAATTCTTTCCTCACAACCACACTACCATCTGCAGACATGGGCAAGACTGCGAGGGCCAAAGTCTCCTCAATCTGAGCCACCTGGTCGGTCAGATCGGGAATACCCAAGAAAGTTGTGACGGCATGCAGCATAGCAGTGCGAACTTCAGGGAGGGGGTCGAAGTTGAGTTCGCAAAGTCTTGTAGGGGCGGCACATCGTATACCCATCCACTTTGCTTCGGGGAAATCGCACCAGAGCATACTGAGGCATAGGCAAGACCACTGGCGAAGCAAAGGATTTTCGACATCGCTGAGGTGTCTGAGACACGAGTCAAATAGCTCTGCCGAGAGGCAAACGTTTTGACCTTGCGGGTAGTTCTTGCAGAATATGGAGACGATGAAGGCACACATAGCACGGTGCTCACTGGCATTTCCGACGGGTATGGGAGAAGTAGGGTTGAGGATTGAGATGAAGTAATGGATGCCGTTGTCTTTGAGTAGATCGTTCTGTACTGTGTGGTCGACCGCCATAATTCTCGCCCAAATGAACACCATCACGGGCTTGAGTTCTTGAGCAGCTGACTGCAGCAGCTTGACGACGTAGGGGAAGATTCCGATACTAAGCGCAAGGTGAACAGCCCACGGACCAAGGTCTAGGAATTTGCTCAGTAGAATCAATGCTCGTAGTCGATGGGCCTGGCTCAGAAGGACTTGCAGGACAATGGGGAGCTGATCGGGGGGGTTTCTCTCAGTAGGACCGGACGAAAGGTAGACCTCGAAGGCAGTAAGTTGCTCAGCAAAGAATGTTGAGTGCTGATACTCGTATTGTCGGCGCCCTTCTTCCTGGTCGATGAGCGCAGGAAGTTGAGATAGTACCATCTCGACTGCAAGATCCCAGCTCTTCCACAGTGGGTGATGGTGTGTTTCAGGTAATTCCGGGGACGAGATTGGGTGGCATTTGTACGTGCGCATGATGCGTTCGCTCAGTAAGAAGTTGCGGAACAGAGCAGCGACCATCAAGTCCTGTCGGAAGAGCTTCTTGAACAAGGCACGTGGCAACGTGTTCCAGGCGATGGTATCAGTGATTGCGGTGAAAATCCAGTTCAGTTCTCCGAGGGGGCTTCGGCGATCCTGGAGTCGACCGGGTACCCGGAAGTCGTCAATAGAAATATCTGTTCGGAGAGGGTTCTGTAGGATGAAGAATCGCAGCGCGATTTCGATTGGAGTGGTCAGGCAGCAAGTGAACAAGTCTGCAGGCAGATCAGGGTTGGTTGGTAGGGACTCTGCTTTCTGACAGGCAGCAAGTATGATGCAATCGCCGTAATTCTGAACGACAGCATTTGGGTCTCGCTTTTTGGCCTCGATGTTCTCCTTCTCATGCTTGTCGACAAAGGTGTGGAAGTTTTGGACGATGTTGCCAGCATGCGACACATCAAAGACGAAAAGACTGGGCCCAGCCAGCCAGGATTGGAGATCGTACAATGGAACGGGAATATACTGGGTGTAGTTCTTGTTAAATACCCAGATTTCACCCGACTGGGTCGGCAATGGCACTCCGTGTCCATTGTAATGTAGAAGAACTCGCTCATCCTTGGCATTTCGGCGAAGGGAGATGCAGAACTTCTTGGTCTCGTCGACTGATGGGTCTAAATACTGCTTGTATCTGGTGCGAAGACTCAGGGTCTCGTATTGTTCCTGGAGCTTCTTGCCGATTTGCTCCATAATCTTGTTTTGACCACCGCCGGTGGTGGAAGTGGGATCTACCCAGCATTCCAGCTTGGAGGTTGGGTTGGTCTTGACAACGTCAGGGGGGTCGACACCGATGTTGAGACAAATAGCAAGTGCCGCGGAGACTGTTTTCAGACGGTCTTTCATGCGCCAGTCCTGGCTTGGCCAGCTTCCAACCGGATCCCTGGGGATGCCGTTCGTCTCATGACGTTTCTCGGTGAAGTACATGTAGAAATTCTAGATTGACCGGGTCCGCATATTAGTTGCAAGTCAATCCAAGATCAAGGGGCTTGCGCTCACCGAATGTAAGATCTTCAGGTATTCGCTTGAAGTGTATTCTTCTTGCCACCCGTGTCGCATAGCGAAGTCCTCATCATCATCGCCGGCTACTTTATCAAAAGTGATGCGACTTGGCCCATAATCACTCTTGGCTCTTTTGAGCATAGCCGGTCGACTACTTTCCGACCTCCGTGGAGATGGGCGACGGGGTGGGGTCTCCCCAACAGCACTGTTATCGCCCGAGGAGCTTGTCGGCCGTGGTGGAGGTGTGACTGAAGGTTGTTTCTGTTCCACGCTGGTGAGGGAGCGATGGTGCCCAGCCAACGGGGCCGGCGATCTTTCGCGGGCGGGGATCGTGGTTTCTAAGTCAGGACCAAACGCAACACGGACCGACTTGTGCGGATTGCGACGCGAGCTTGTCGACCCGTTGGTCGGTTGTTGCGAGCTTGGTTCCATATCGGTGGTGGGATCTCTCATGTTGTATGTGGGTTCATTGTGTTACGCGAGGGTGGAAGTTGAGAGATGCCCCGCGACAAATGTCAAGGTACGTTGCGAGTATCACCAATCGACCAGCTTTGAGAATTTGCTGTTTCGGGTCGCTGTAGCGGTCCAGATGCGTCGACCGGAGCTGGACAAGGAAGTGATGATGAAAAAAAGGGTATGGTGTAGAGCTCCAGTTGATGACCAAACCGGACTCTCTAATCGCGACTGTGCTGGAGGATGTCCAGGAGCGCAAAGAGAGCTCAGCGCACAGCCTATTGATTTGGGCCTAAAGAGCTAACCTTCTGGTCTAGTTGGCGGAGGTGGTTCAGGCGAGCCCGATACTCCGAAGTCGGGACAACGATGTTCCGGTTCGGCAGATACTCCGACCCCACCGGTGTTTGGCATCAAACCGCTACAGTCCACGCTTGGCCTATGGCACTCGAGTTCGCTCTAAACGATCCATTGATTCTTTAGCCCTCCAGCAATATCACCAATATTACCCCACCCATCTCCATGTGGGCTGTCGTTGCGGAGGGCTCTTCAACTGAGTCGGTTACATCATAGAGGCTAGCCCGGTTAGCACAGGGCGGAAATCCACATGTGTAGGAATCCGCATTTCCTCGCTCAAAGCTCTGTGACCTCCGTACTGCCAGTACTCTTACACAGGTATAGAACGAACAATAGGCGCATCTTGCTGAGTAACAATTTTATAGTTCCAAGGTTGGAACCACCCGGACAGTTATAGCCCATGTCTTGGAGGAAATTAGGATGTATACACGGGTCTCACTAGAAGCGAAACAAGATATTGGATACGTCAGATTCTACATTGAAACAAACCGTAAAGACCCCCCAAACACATGGCAGCTGCCCAATGACGATACATTGCAGTCCGATGAGATGTGCATTGCCCTTCCATCCCTTGGGGGACGGGAAAGAGAGATCGCCCGGGTTCTTTTCCCCTTTTCCCAAGCCCTACTATTTTAATTGGGGAATTTCATGCAGATGTACAGTGTGCAGAAATTGTGGTAATTGAATAAGGCATTTTTTTTTCTAAAAAAAAGTGTGTATATTGTTAGGGTATTGAAGTATTCTACACGAAGTATTCTACGCGAAGTATAGATGGCAAGTTCGAAGTATGTGTGTAGCAGACAACAGTGGAATGCCGTGCGACGACCAAGTTCCACGAGTCCCCCGGATACAAATACTCCCACTTTAGGGCAGAGAATATTTTGGCTAACCCTTTCTTGAATAGTCCATGCAAGCCGCATGATATTGGCCAACCTTTATTTCGGCCTATACTTCTCATTATATGCGGGTCATGCTGGTCATGCTGGTGCTAGTCATATCTGGGCACATCTAGGCACCGCTGGAATGTGGGAGGGCTGGAAAGAGTTCGGGCTGGGGAACGGAATGAGAAAAGAAAAACAGTAACGGGAAACGAAGCAGGAATATCCGATGTCAACGGTTTAAGCAAATTAGGATCTCGTAGGACGTGCCCCTGAGCTGCAAACTAAGACCGAATGGACTTAGAGCATCTCCGCCAGGGAAATTGAAACACATCTTCGCTTTTTCCTCTTGACATCCCCCTTTCTAGACCTGGGCTTTGCTGTTCTTTTGCCCAGGCCAAATTCCGGAGGCGTTGACTCTTATTATTTTGACTCTGATTCTTTTTTTCCTCATTTATTTATTTTTGCCCTTGTGTTTGGGCCGTTGCATGGGATAATTTTATGGTTCCTGGTGGTTCCTGGTTCCCAACTCCACATCTGAAAAAGACAACCCCCCCCTATCTCTTCCACACTTTCCAGTCGCCATTGGATTCTCACTCTGGTGCCGAAACACTGTATTCTGGCGCAGTTTGACTTTGCGCCAGATCTGATACGACCGATTACGACACTTTCACGATGGCCTTTTTATTCAAGTCAAAGAAAGCCCAGGGCAATGCACTACCCCCAGCGGCAAGAAATGTCCACACCTCCGAGGGTGCTACCGGCTCCCCGACTGGATCAAACGGAACGAGGGAACAAACGTCTCAAACACCTACTCCAAGTGCCAGCTTCAGCGGCTCCTTGAACACAGCTACTACGAGTCCCACAAGCCCGGACGCAGTGCGACCACGACAGCGAGCGGAATCTGAGTCCCAGGTGGGTGTTTGATCTGGTCCTCCAAGCGGTGCTTCCGCACCAAAAGGCGATGGGCTAATTTTTTCAGATGCAACGACCCCAGGGCCCTCCTAATGGAATCCCACCCCCGAGCCCTAATTCGTCCCTGTACCCGTGGTCCCAGCGCCGACTGAACTTCTCCTCGCCCCAAACAAACCCGTTCCCTCGCTATGGAGCAGCAATCAACTCAGTGGCCTCTAAAGAGGGCGATATCTATATGATGGGAGGTCTGATCGATGGATCAACCGTGAAGGGTGATTTGTGGATGATCGAGAGCAGCGGTGGTGGTCTGAATTGTTTGCAGGTTGCGACTGTGTCCGAAGGTCCGGGTCCGCGCGTGGGCCACGCGAGTTTACTCGTTGGAAACGCATTTATTGTGTTTGGTGGTGACACCAAAGTCAACGAGACCGATGCCCTGGACGACACACTATATCTATTGAATACCTGTAGGTGAAACCCCGTTGGTCATGGATACAGGGGTGCTGACCTGATTTTATAGCTTCCCGCCAATGGTCTCGCGCCATTCCTCCAGGCTCTCGACCTTCCGGAAGATACGGTCACACATTGAACATCCTAGGATCCAAGCTATATGTGTTCGGAGGGCAGGTCGAGGGCTTCTTTTTCAACGATCTTATCGCATTTGACTTGAACCAGCTGCAAAACCCAGTCAACAAGTGGGAAATCCTGATCGCCAACACCCACGAGGGAGGGCCCCCGCTGGGCCAGAGTCCCCCTCCGAGAACAAACCACACTATTGTGAGTTTCAACGATAAGCTGTTTTTATTCGGCGGTACGAACGGTGTGCAATGGTTCAATGATGTGTGGTGCTACGATCACATCTCGAATAGCTGGACGGAGATTGATTGCGTTGGTTTCATCCCGACCCCTAGAGAGGGCCATGCATCTGCCCTGGTGAACGATGTGATGTATGTGTTTGGAGGTCGCACTGACGAGGGTGTCGATCTGGGTGATCTGTCGGCCTTCCGGATCTCAACACGACGTTGGTACTCCTTCCAAAACATGGGGCCGGCCCCATCTCCCCGCTCTGGTCACAGTATGACTGCTTTTGGAAAACAGATCATCGTTATGGCAGGTGAGCCGAGCTCGGGTGCACGGGATGCGAACGAACTCAGCATGTCCTATATCCTCGATACGAGCAAAATCCGATATCCGAATGATTCCCAGTCTGGGACACGTGTGCCCGATGCAGGGGGCAGGAAAACGAGTGTAGACAAACAAGGTCCCTCGTCGGGACGGACATCCCGCGAAGCGCACAACGCGGGACATGATCAGCAAATGCGACGGGGGCCGTCGCGTGAGAGCATGGCCCAGGCTGCGGCCGCTGGGAAGCCGGCCGAGTTCGGGTCGAACCCCAATCTGGGACCTGGGTCCAGACTTCCGCGGGCCTCGATTGCCCAAGCCCCGTCTGGGCCACCTCCCCCCCGGCCAGGCACCCTCTCCTGGGCCCCGAGGCAATGGCCCGCAACCCGGGCCACAGCCCGCTGGTAACCCCCGCAGCAAAACACCAACGACAAGTGAGCGTGGGAACACCCCCACAATCGATGTTCGCGTGGCGAACGGTGAGCACCGCGCCGAATCTCCAGTCACCAGGGAAGGTCCGCAGGAGTCTCAAGGGCCTCCGTCCGCTGGCCGTCGCACCCCAACTCAACATCAAAAGCCGTCCGCCAAGGCCATGGAAGCGGGCGAGGCCGCCCCCTGATCAGTACCCCGGGACGTCAACGATCTCTTCGTTCTCATCGGCAACGTGGGTCCGTTGACAGCGGTGAAGAGTCTATCTTGGGTCGTCATGCTAGCATTGAGGGCTCTATTGATTCTCGGAATTACCGCAATTCCAAGACTTTAGGCGACGAGCCCCGGTCTCCACGTTTGACGCCGCACCAAGAAGCACTGATCAAGGAGTTGGAGGCCACCAAAGCACGGAACGCCTGGTATGCCTCAGAACTCGCGCTTGCCAAAAAGGGAGGCTATGTACCCAACGCGACAAGCAGCCCTGCATTGGACGACAGAGGCAGTGATTCATTGACCGATGAAGATCGCCCTCTGCTGGAGGCCTTTTTGGCAATGAGAGCGGACCTTGCCAAGATGCAGGCAACTGTGGACCGACAGGCAGCTATCGCGTCTAAGAGGGTCGCAGAGGTAGAGCACCAACGCGATATGGCTCTTAATGAGGCCGCCTACTCCCGGGCCAAACTCGCAGCTCATGGTGGTAGCCAGCGTGGTACTCCACAGCCCGATGCGCCCCGTAACCTCGATGATGATTCCTCTGAAAGACCCACTGACATGGGTCGTCGTCTTGCACTTGCGCTTGCTTCTCAGTCTGAGTTGAAAACTAAGTTGGAGATACAAATGACTGAGCTTTTGCAGGAACGTCAGGCAAAGGAACTCGCGGAAGAAACCAACGAGGCAACCAGAAAACATCTGGCAGAACTCGAAACACAGAGCAACACCCTGGAAGCTGAGAACTTGCGTGCAGAGCTACATCAAGCCCAAGCTTCCTCCAGAGAGGATGCCTTGCTCCGCGCGGAAGCCGAGGCCGCTTTGAACCAATTGACCTTGGACAAAGAGGAGCTGTTGGCACAGATTGAAGACTCTTCATCTCGTCTGAAGGAGTATGGTACCAATTTCAATGGTTTGCGCGATGCAGTAACCGCCTCTGCTGCCAAGACCGCCCTCGTTGAAAAGCAGTTCTACGAGGAGCGGGAGCGTCGTGAGGGACTGGAGAAGAAGCTTCTCCTGCTTCGTTCGGAGCATGAAGAACGTACCTCCGAGGTTGAGAACCTCACGCGTCGCCTACGAGACACCGAGGAGCTGGCAGAAAGCCACGCCAAGGAGGCAGAAACTCATAAGCTTGCTTTCGTGGCGGGACTTGAGCGCGCCTCTTCTACAGATCTAGACAACTCAATTCGCTCTCGTGCGGATCAGAGAGTTGCTGCCTTGGAGGCTCAGATTGAACGATCTGCCACTCTGGCCAAAGCCAACCAGGCCGCCGCCAACTCGGCTGCCGACAAGCTCCGACGCGCGGAAGAACGCATCGCCGGTCTGGAGGCGTACCAGGAGCAGGCTAGTCGTGAGGGCCTGCAGTTGCGTAGACAGCTTCAGACTGCCATGAAAGATAGTCAGACTTCCGCAACTGAAAGTCGCGATTTGAAGAGCCAACTTGAGTCCCATCAGCGAGAGGCTGGAGCTCTTGCCATCCAGCACGCCGCCCTTAAGGACCTGCTCGGCGAGCGTGGTGTGAGCAGCGATACCAGACGCTCTCCACGTCTCGATTCTCCCGGCTCTCGTTTCGGAACCCCCGAGCAGGGCCGCCTGCGGGAACTCGAGCAGCAATTGTCGGCCAGCATTAAGGCTCACGATGACTTGAAGAACAGCTTCGAGACTCGGGAGCAGGAAGCTGATAAGACTTTCCGTGAGAAGCTTGAACAGCTCGAGAATGATTACCAGTCAGCTGTCCACTACGTGAAGGGCACAGAAAAGATGCTCAAGCGTATGAAGGATGAGCTGAGTCGTTACAAGTCTCAGAATGCCAAGATGCAAACTGATCTTGATGCTGCCAACAAAGCCCTCGAGAACTCAGACAGCCAGACCTCTGGATCATCTGCTGATAGAGAGATGGAGCGAGCCCAGTTCCAGCAGTCGATCTCAGAAATTGAGGAGCGAACTTCGTCTTCCATCGCCAGTCTTGAGGCCCAAGTCAAACAGATGAAGCATGAACTTGATGAAGCTGCCGCCGCGAAGCAGGTTTCACGGGCTGAGCACGAGCGCCTCCAGCAAGAGATCTCTGAGGCTGCGGAGCGCAGCCGTGCCGAGTTGGAACAACTCAAGCAAGAGAACAGTCATCTTGAAACTCGTGCGTCGGATGCCGAACACAAAGTCAACATGCTTTTGGAACAAGTCCAGACGTCTGTTGGTCACTACCGCCGCCAGTCCCAACATGGCCCCGTTCCCAACGGCATCTCCCGCACTCACAGCAACGCTTCCAGCAATACGATCAGTGGAGCCCAAGGGCGACCACGGGCCGATAGCAGCGTCTCACAGGACTCCACCTTCCCTGACAACCGTGGGTCCATGGCCTTGGACTCACTTGCCAACGAGCTCGATGCTCTGCGGTCACACTGGGAGAGCACAAACCGAAACTACCGCCTGAGCAGCCAGCTGGATCTGGAGCGAACCCCTACCAAGAATGATAGTGAAGGACCTGCGTTGATGAACGACAGCCTGGCAGAGTGGAGACGCAGACTCGACGAAGATGAGCGAGTTGGTGTCCCCGTCAAGGGCACCCCTCTAAGCGCTGGATCCGGTCACCCTGAGGCCTCCAACGTGATCTAGAAATTGTCTCGCTTGTTGTTTCACGACTATGTGCTCTGAGATTTGTTCATTTGCCCTGTCTGAGCGTTTTGCACATGTATTAGCATCCTTTTCTCCCCTGTTTCATTCTTTGTGCTTTTCTGCTTGGTTCTCATGTATGATGGGTCGTCTTTCCCTCTTATGTTTTGTTTATCCCTTTTTTGGTACACGGATGGACGGGGTTTGTTTATTCTCTCCTTTCGACACTATTTTCTGATCTTGTACCCCCGCTGTCTTGATTTGTGTCTTCATCTATCGTCTGATTCTGATTCTGTTTCGTCTGCGGCACTTTTTATACCCCGGTTTTCCGATGTTCATTGGACTCTGGCTGTACCACTAGCATCTTCCACACAGGTTTCCTTGTTCATCTATAGTCAGAAATCGTCTTAATTGCCCTTCTATGGCTGTCATCGTTTATAAAAGCTATTGTTGAGATTATCCTGAATTCTATTTGTAGTCACTATGCGCTTTACGGAGTACGGCGGGGGTGGTGTTGGTGACAAGTCACCAGCCCGATTTGATACATACAAAGTTAGCCAACAGCGATGCCCGGGCCCTGTACGGTTCCCAGAATTAGACTTGATAGTGACTGTCCTGACAGCCGATTGCAAACATGATATTGCCTGATAATTTCCAGGGTTCCGCCTTGCCTAGAATAGGCTACGATAGTCTCCTATTTGCCATTTGAATTAAATCGCGCATAGAGAGAAGATCGCTGTTAAGTGTTGGTGTTTTCCTTGATTCATCCTTCGATTATCATATTCTACATAAGTAAGGGTATAAATCATTGTAATTCAAAGGGTATTATAGTAAGTGATAATATGTCATACCAACCAACAGTTTAAGGAAAAACAGTAGTAATGCCTATCAATACCCTCAGATGGGCAGAGCGACAGTCCATTGGTGATCTCAATGCCTGTCAGCTGCCCAAGTGAATCGCCACCAAAGCAATCAGGTATGACTTCGAGACATGTCCGTAGTATTTACTCCGTACTCCTACTCAGCTTTGACGGGTCTAATAAAAGAAAAGAAACCCTCTGCAGCCCAATACCAAAATTACCATCGCAGGGCGCTTAAAAACGAAGCTCGGGGGGAAGATTGACCTTGGTGTACTGCAACCTGTCAGCCACCTTTCGCTAATAAAAAATACGCAGCTCACCGACTCCTACTTACCCGCCCCTCTCATCTCTTCTCCCCTTTCCCTTCCTCACCACCTCCAGCCGTTATCAAGGCTTTGTCCTTGATTTTCTTTTTGATTTAACTTGCTCTTCCTGCTCTCCCCGATCTAGTCGTTTCTTTTTTGATCCGACCCCTTATCGCTAGGTATGTCTCTATCCTCTGTCTTCCCCGTTGCTGGCATATCATCTTTGTCGATCAATCGCGTTCTTCGCCTCCAGTTTGCTTCTCGTTTGTTATTTCATCTCGAATGTGCTCCGTTCTAGCCTTTGAGATTGCCTGAGGCTTACTTGTGAGATCCTCTCTACCCCCGGTTCCGTGCTTACCCACGCGTCTCCTGTTCTCCAACGCTCTTCTCTCCCCGACACTTATCTCAGTCACCTTCTCTCCCTCTCTTTGTATTGATCGACTTGTCCTCTGCAACATATTTCCATCCATCCATCGACCTCTTCAACCTCTAACAATCTCGCTTTCTACAGTCAAGCCCCTTCCCACGGCTTAGCTTTGTGCACCATCTCGCCAAGATGACGACTATGGTCAGTGTTAGCCTCCCCTACCCCGTTTTGTTCTTGTGTTGCTCCGTTCGACACCCGGATCTTCTAGCCCTCAGAGCTCGTTTCGGGGTCTGGCTGGCTTCCTTGGGTGCCCAGCAAACTTGGCCGGCCATTTCCGCTTACACCTTATACAGGATTTGCGCGTCGGTAACAAGTACCGCATCGGTCGTAAGATCGGTAGTGGTAGTTTCGGTGATATTTACCTCGGTATGCATCATCTCTGAATCCTCCCTGGACTTCTAACTCATCTTCACAGGTACCAACATCATCTCCGGTGAAGAGATTGCCATCAAGCTCGAGAACGTCAAGGCCAAGCACCCCCAGCTCGAATATGAGGCCCGCGTCTACAAGTCCCTCGCCGGTGGTGTCGGTATTCCATTCGTCCGCTGGTTCGGTACCGAATGTGACTACAACGCCATGGTTATCGATCTCCTCGGTCCCAGTCTGGAGGACCTTTTCAACTTCTGCAACCGCAAGTTCTCGCTGAAGACCGTCCTTCTCCTTGCCGACCAGCTCATTTCTCGTATCGAATACATCCACGCCAAGTCTTTCATCCACCGCGATATCAAGCCCGACAACTTCCTGATGGGTATTGGCAAGCGTGGAAACCAGGTGAACGTCATTGATTTCGGTCTCGCAAAGAAGTACCGCGACCCCAAGACTCACTTCCACATCCCTTACCGTGAGAACAAGAACCTTACTGGTACCGCCCGTTACGCCAGTATCAACACTCACTTGGGTGTCGAGCAGTCTCGCCGTGATGACATGGAGTCTCTCGGCTACGTCATGCTTTACTTCTGCCGTGGATCTCTCCCCTGGCAGGGTCTGAAGGCTGCTACTAAGAAGCAGAAGTACGACCGTATCATGGAGAAGAAGATGACCACCCCCACCGAGGTCCTGTGCCGTGGATTCCCCAACGAGTTCGCTATCTACCTCAACTACACTCGCTCGCTTCGCTTCGACGACAAGCCCGACTACTCCTACCTCCGCAAGATCTTCCGTGATCTCTTCGTTCGCGAGTCTTTCCAGTATGACTACGTTTTTGACTGGACCGTCTACAAGTACCAGAAGAACGCGGCCATGATTGTGGACGCTAGCAAGAAGGACAAGGATGCTGAGGAGCAGCAGCGCCGCCAGGGCGTTCCTCCTCCCGTGGGAGCCAGTGCCCCGAAGCCTGGAGCCATCTCCGGCCAGCGTCGCAAGGTCATCGAGCGCGGCACTCTCGACAACGCTCCGGACGCCAACCGTGCCGTGGGAGGTAGCGACAGGATGTGAGTACATGAAACCTGGTTCCGAGTAGGGAACCCCTTCTTTCTTTGACTCCTACGTTGGGTGATTTGCTTTTGGTGACGCTGGCGTGGAGGAACCCTTTAGTTCTGAATCTGACTAATCGCATAGTCTTCGGCGTTAGGCTGCGTTCTGCCTCGAAAGGTGCTGCTTTAGGTTATGGACCTTCAGGTGGCCGTTCGAAGCGGGATGATGGAGCGGGAGCCTCGTGGTACTAATTGTGCAACGCGGCAGCGAGGCTATGATTCTCATTGCTCTCCTGTCTGTTCACACTCTTGCCTACTAAGAAACCCGGGCCCTTCCATCGCGCCTTGGAGCGGATCACATCGCACTCGACCTTCTCGGATATTTCTTTTCTTTCCTTGGATCTATTCATTCTGCACTCCCCATCAGCCCTCTCATCCCGTTTTCGATCTTACTTCGATTTCAACCGTTTCGAATCATCTTTGTTCTTCGCCTGCTCACATTTCATCCCTCGCCGACTGGGTGTTCAACTTCAAATTGAGCTTCGATGACTTTGGTGCCATTTCTCTTTTCGGATATGTGTACTCGCTCTGCGGGACAACCGATCGTGCGGCCTCGAAACGCTTCTGATATTGCGGCTTATCTTTACGTCTTCGCCCTTTGGTTTCTTTTTAACAACCGGACTTCTCTGTTCCGCTTGACTAAAGGGCTCGACTGAGGGAGTAGCAAATGACGGTGTCAAAATCTCAATCTCTTGACCGCTGTTATGGTGATCCTTGGATGCATCTTCAGATGCGCTGCCCATCACTTTGCATTTTTCTTTTTTCACGAATCTTTACCCCCTGCCCCTCTGACTTTGCTTTTTGCTTCTACTCCTCCTTCTCTTTTCTTCTCTTTCTTTGTCTGGCAATTAATAGTTTGTGTACATCGACGCTCAATGGGGACGAGGTGTGACCGGAAATCTGGTCAAAATATGGACAGTTGGGAGGCGCTTTCTTCGGGGTTATTGCTTATGGGCCATGTCAAATTCTGCCCAAGCATTACCTTTGCAGGAATATGTCACCGATGTTGATTGGTGCAATCCTGCTCGGAGGGAGTTGTTTCTCGTGGTAGTTGGCGACGGACATTGGTTAGGGTCGCTTCCGGGGTGGTATGCGTCGATTTGTGTCAATTATTTTATTAGCTAGTCTCAACTCTGCTTTGCGCATCTTGTTCTCCCAGTAAACGCATGTTCTGGCCCTCCATTTAGCTCGTCGGGTCGTCATTGACTTGAGAGTACGAACAGTGAGATCATAAAGTCTCGATCTGGCCCTCGCACGGACCTAGTGGACCCTCCACAGTCAGACTCGTGAAGATATTGGACCCTTTGTCTATTTACATTGGGGGGTTGATTCTCAAATTACGGTGTAGGCCCGATGGGTTGGACCGCCTGTATACTTGCAAATGTAGTATGTACGGGACACGAGATGTAGACGCTCATTGGTGGCAACCAAAAGTATTCGGAACGCCCTCCTTTAATTTTCCCTTCCCCATATCTCACCAACAGCATCTTTCTGCGAACCGATCTGATTTGTGTGCTTTATACACTGATAGAAAGAATGGACTATTCATATTACAACGAGCCCAGGTCCCAGCAACCCTTCTCGCTCTATGGGTTGCCCACACCGAACCAGCAGCCCCCGCAAGAAGACGCCTTCGCCCCTCTTGTGAGTCCCCGGCTACTCGTACAGCGACTGAGCTGGGGTTAACCAAATTAGAACGGCTATAACCAGACCTTCCCTGGATTTGACCCCTCATTCCGACTCGACCCCTCCCAGTCATTCGTTCCGCCGCCGCACTCGCCGCCAGAATCCTTTACCAAGAACTCTGTCTCAAGCCACGACGGCAACAACCAGCACACAGATCCTGCCTCGTTCGACGGCGATGAAATCCAATCCGCAGATCCCCTCGGGAGGAGCAGTAGTGAAGAAAAAGATTCGGGCCCCGCACAAAGCAAACGCAAGGCGCAGAATCGTGCAGCGTATGTGATACATCCCAATACCTCTAACAGAACAAGCACTGACATATCTCAATGCACATAGCCAACGAGCATTCCGCGAAAGAAAAGAGCGCCATGTGCGCGACCTCGAAGATAAAGTAAATAGCCTCGAAACGGCTTCCGATACACTACATGCAGATAACGAGCGACTCAAGCGCGAGTTGGCGAAATTCACAACTGAGAATGAAATCTTGCGCGCGACTTCGCAGAGTCATCACCGCCCACATGGGAACGCAACACAGTCTCCTGAGCCAACCGTCACTGGTCCAATGCATTACTCTCCCACGGATTTCATTTCCAATCTCCAGCCGGCTGGAACGACTGTGCCTCAGGGCCCGCACCACCGGGTCACTGTTTGCTCGCAGACTGGTGAGAGGCTTTTGGATGCTGGTGCTACGTGGGATTTGATTCAAGGGCATGAGCTATTCAAGCGTGGTCAAGTGGATATCGCTCATGTGACTGAGATTCTCAAAGGCATGGCACAGTGTGATGGGCAGGGTCCAGCTTATAAAGAGGGCCAGGTGCGAAGGGCGATTGAGGAGAGTGCTGCCATGGATCGTGATGAGTTGATTTGAGTAATGATTGTTTTTTTTTTTGGCATTTACGGGCTTGCGTCTTGCCCATTTGGATTGTGGATTGGAGTATATTGGTGTTGAATGGTGTGATTGATAGAATGACTCCCATTAACTCGTTTGGTTGATTATCCTTTGTATATTTTGATGGAATTTCGGACATATATGTTAATTGAAACGTTGGAACTATATACCATTTGACAAATTCGTTGTTAATCGCGTGGGTACGGTTCACGGGGATCGGTTGGTTTTCATATTATACACATATGGCATGATATTTGCATTACTTTTCGAATCGCAAGGGAATCAATCCCAGTCGTCATCATAATCTTCAACGTTCAAGTCATCAGCTGTCTTGTAGTCCTCCTCGTCGTCACGCTTCTTCAGACGAACATCGCTCTCCTTCAATGCACCAAGGTCAACCAGCAAACGCTCAACGTCTATACGGCCCGTTAGTATGTAATACCTCATAAATACCCGTTCATGCTTCCGAGGATCATTTATACCTTCGACCTTGGTCCGAGGACCCTTCAACTGCTGCAGTGTGATAAGCTGCCTCTTAATCTCCGTATCCTTGTACACCAAAATTGTGGGCGTGTTCTTCTCCGGGTAACCCTCAATGCACATATCGGCGCGAATCTCACAGAACTTGATATCACCGAACTTGGTAGCCAATTGCCGCCAAAGCTCGGTCAACACGCGCGATTCGACGTTGCCGCCCATTGATGTGAGGTTGACCAGAACAAAAGCACTGTTCGAGGCCTCCGTGACCTCGCGGGCGTAATCGACTTTCTGGAGCGGGTACACTTGGCCGAACAAGCTGGTCTTTTGGAGCTTGGAGAGCTCGGCTAGTCGTTTCTCACTAATTGACCGGACAGTCAACACAACAGGGTTCTTAGGTGACGCGTGGTAAACGTGTTCATGAGCTCACCGGTAGCCTGCGAGGAAATCTTCATCTTCCTCATCTTCCAGTGCGTCCAGCTCGTCAAGGTCCTTGTCTTCGAGACGGTTCTCGTGCGCTCTGTGCTGCGCAGCAATCAGAGCCTCTTGAATAAGAGGTTCTGGGTCTTTGGGTTTCTCGGGAATGATACCATGTTGGCGGAGAATGTCGTTCCTGTTTTGTAGAGAAATATTTGTTAGCACACTGGGTTGATTCTATACCTTGCAGGTAGCGGGGGTATGTGTAGTGACGGTGAACTAACCACTCAGTGTCTTCCCTTTCGTCGACCTCAACCTGCATAATGTATTGAAATTATGAGTCGTAATCAGAAAGAAAAATGAATCTCCAGTCAAATATGGGGAAAGTGAGGGGAGAGGAATATGCTGCCTTCAATCATGATGCCACCTGTTTGCAGTGTTTGGTTCGGGTCAAACACACGGAAGGCCACCTTCAACTTGTCCCCAAGAGACAGTTCTGAGCTGGAGGATCACGATTCGTCACCTCTATTCTTCATTCCTTGCTTTTTTATTTCCTCGCTCGACTCTCGCTACTTTCCAATTGGGTGGCTATGCCAATGCTGTAGTCGCCTACACCGCCCTACCCTGATCCTGTGTACTCGACCCGTGTCCCAATTGCATCCACTCGACCTCTCTACAGTGACAGCAACAACTAATTGCGGGTGCGATCCCAGCTGCTGGGCAAAATGAGCTACATGAAGAAAGACGAAGACGCGGATCAGGTCATGATCAAGCTTGATCGGACCTCCGTATTCCAAGATGGTGCGCAATCAACAATACCCCCTGGCGCCTGTATGCGCTTCACGAACCCGACGCTGACTCGATTATTCTTCCAGCTCGCCTGTTCAACTCCTCTCCTATCTCCCCGCGAACATGCCGTACCCTTTTGACCAAAATCGCTGTTCTTCTCTTCACTGGAGAGCAGTTCCCCACGAATGAAGCCACCACCCTCTTCTTCGGAATCTCCAAGCTGTTCCAGAACAAGGACCCGTCATTGCGGCAAATGGTGTATCTGATCCTGAAGGAGCTGTCTGGTACCGCCGAAGATGTGATTATGTCGACAAGTATCATTATGAAGGACACTGCGGTGGGAAGCGATGTTTTGTACCGTGCCAATGCCATCAGAGCGCTCTGCCGCATCATTGATGTAAGTGGCAGGCAGTTAGATGGATTTGAGTCTAAACAATTGCTAACACAAACAACAGGGCTCCACAGTACAGGGTATCGAGCGACTGATCAAGACCGCCATTGTTGATAAGACGCCCTCGGTGTCCTCCGCCGCCCTGGTGTCCTCGTACCACCTCCTCCCCATTGCGCGCGATGTTGTCCGGAGATGGCAGAGCGAAACACAAGAAGCCGCCTCCTCATCAAAGTCATCGACTGGCTTCCTCGGTTTCTCCTCGGGCTCTCAGAGCCACGCCATCTCCAACTCAAACTTCATGACCCAGTACCATGCGATTGGTCTCCTTTATCAGATGCGTTCCCACGACCGGATGTCCTTGGTCAAGATGGTGCAGCAATACGGCGCCGCGGGTGTGGTTAAGAGCCCGGCTGCTTTGGTTCTGCTGGTACGTCTGGCCGCCAAGCTGGCCGAAGAGGACCAAGGTCTTCGGAAACCAATGATGCAGATGCTGGATGGCTGGCTCCGTCACAAGCATGAGATGGTCAACTTTGAGGCCGCCAAGGCTATTTGCGATATGCGCGATGTCACCGACGCCGAGGCAACCCAGGCAGTTCACGTCCTGCAACTCTTCCTCTCCTCCCCTCGGTCCATCACCAAGTTCGCTGCCATCCGTATTCTCCACAATTTCGCCTCATTCAAGCCACATGTTGTCAATGTGTGCAACCCCGATATCGAGTCCCTCATCTCCAACTCCAACCGCTCCATCGCCACGTTCGCCATCACTACATTGCTCAAGACTGGCAATGAGGCTAGTGTTGACCGATTGATGAAGCAGATCTCGGGCTTCATGGCCGATATCACCGATGAGTTCAAGGTCACCATCGTGGAGGCTATTCGCACATTGTGCTTGAAGTTCCCCAGCAAGCAGGCCGGTATGCTCGTTTTCTTGAGCGGCATCCTTCGCGATGAGGGTGGCTATGAGTTCAAGCGCACTGTCGTCGAAAGCATGTTCGATCTGATCAAGTTCGTCCCCGAAAGTAAAGAAGATGGTAAGATTGTAGCCTGGTCCGTCCAACCTTGCAACTCAGATGCTGACATGAGATATTAGCCCTTGCCCACTTGTGCGAGTTCATTGAAGACTGTGAATTCACCAAGCTCTCCGTTCGAATCCTCCACCTCCTTGGTTCCGAGGGCCCCAAGACTACCCACCCCACCAAGTATATTCGCTACATCTACAACCGTGTTGTACTGGAGAATGCCATTGTACGCGCTGCTGCTGTCACCGCGTTGGCCAAGTTTGGTGTTGGCCAGAAGGATCCCGAAGTCAAGTCCAGTGTTCACGTTCTCCTTGCCCGTTGTCTTGATGACACCGATGACGAGGTGAGAGATCGTGCCGCGCTCAACCTTCGTCTCATGGGCGAGGAAGATGAGGCAGCTAGTGCTTTCATCAAGAATGGTAAGTTTTCTCACTCACAGCAGACATTTTTACGTTCGTTTACCAACTGGTATAGACTCCATGTACTCTCTTTCCACCTTTGAGCACCAGCTTGTCATGTACGTGACGTCCGGTGATAAGCAGACTTTCGCCACCGCTTTCGATGTTGCAACCATTCCCGTTGTGTCCCAAGAGCAGGCTCTGGCAGCAGAGCGGACACAAAAGCTCACATCCGCCACACCCACTCTCAAGGCTCCCTCAACCGGTCCTCCCAAGGGCAAGGCTGCCGGCGGTATGGCCGAGGCCGCCACCGCCTCTGCCACTCAGAAGTACGCAGAGCAGCTCTTGGAGTACCCCGATATCAAGGCATACGGTACTTTACTCAAGTCTTCCGCCCCTGTCGAACTTTCCGAGAGCGAGACCGAGTACGTCGTCACGGCCGTCAAGCACATTTTCAAGGAGCACATTGTTGTGCAATATGACATCAAGAACACGCTCCCTGACACCGTTCTCGAGAATGTTACTGTGGTAGCTACACCAGAGGAGGACGATGTTTTGGAAGATGACTTTATCATTCCCGCCCCCAAGCTTCCTACTGACGAGCCTGGCGTCGTCTATGTGGCGTTCAAGAAGCTTACTGGCGAGAACAGCGTTCCCGTCACCTCATTCACAAACAACCTCAAGTTCACCAGCAAAGAAATCGACCCTTCAACGGGCGAGGTAGAGGACGGTGGCTACGATGATGAATACCAGGTGGAGGACCTCGAGCTTACAGGCAGTGACTACGTTATTCCCACGTTTGCCGGAAGCTTCGACCACGTCTGGGAACAGACTGGTGCCAACGGCGAGGAGGAAAGCGAGACTTTGCAGCTCAGCAACATGAAGAGTATCAACGGTATGTATCATATTCGCGAAATTTTTCCGCACAAATACTCACAACCTCTCTCTACAGATGCCACGGAACAGCTGATTTCTGCACTGTCACTGCAACCCCTCGAGGGCACCGACGTCGCTCTCAACAGCAGCACACATACACTCAAGCTGTTCGGAAAGACCGTTTCTGGAGGCCGTGTCGCTTCCCTGATTAAGATGGCTTACTCAAGCAAGGCTGGTGTTACGACCAAGATCACCGTCCGCGCAGAGGAGGAGGGTGTTGCCGCGGCTGTCATTGCTTCTGTGTCTTAATCTCTCTGTTCTATCTTCCTCGTTACGTGCTTAATTTTGGTCGGGGGGACAAGAGCGTGTGTTTTTTCATGTATCTTGGTTCGTTAGATTGCGTCGTCCACCCCTCAAAACCTGTCAATGCAACTTTTCTTCCAGATATCATATCATATTTACGTCTTTTCTGAGTCATTTTTTTGCTTCTTCGCTCTAGATTTGAATCATCGTGGTCGAGTACACTCCAAGGCTTGAACGTGGACATGGGGTTGATGAGGGATGAGACTTTGGTTCTCATCCCAGGTGGGCACTCAGCACGTGGTCAACATCTGTTATTCTGTGCGGCTAGGTGGCTAGGTGAGTAGGACTGTAGTAATTCGCAGTAAGAAAGAATTTGAGAAGCTACTGGGTACAATTGACATGAAAATGAAGAAATTGATTTTGGCTATATTTTTGTGAAGATATGCAATGCCTCAGCAGGTATAAATCAAGGGCGCAGACGCTGGGGGTCACGGGGGAACAGCGAAGCCAGACGAACGTTAGGCAAGCCAAGGAAAAACATGACAATACGGTTCAAACCGAGACCACCACCGGCGTGAGGCGGGCAACCCTGGCGGAAAGCGTTGAGGTAGTCCTCGAAGCCCTCCTGGTTAGGCTCGAGACCCTTAGCGCGCATAGACTCTTCCAGCTCCTTGATATCGTTGATACGCTGGGCACCGGACATGATCTCCTCACCACGCATGAAGAAGTCGTAGGAGTTGGAGAAGCGCTTGTCGTTGGGGTCGGCCTTGGTGTAGAAGGGACGCACGGCCATGGGGAATTTGTCGAGGACATAGAAGTCAGTGTCGTACTTCTCGCGGATGATCTGGCCGAGCTGCTTCTCCATGGCGGTGGAGAAGTCGTTCTCGAAGCTCTCGAGCTCGGAAACATCGACGCCAGCCTCCTTGAGCAGGGCGACACCGTCCATGTAGTTCAGACGAAGGGCCTTGCCGTCCTTGGGCAGCTTGAAGTCACCGGCCTTGGGGTAGGACTTTTGGACGGTGGCGATCTGGGGGGCGTAGCGCTCCTTGAGCTGGGTGAGAATGAAGACGAGGAGGTCCTCGGCGAAGTCGAGAACCTCGTGATAGTGACCACGGAAGGTCTTCTCGAAATCGAGACCGGAGAACTATATGTAAAGTTAGCAGGTGATACGACGGTCATGATCTGCCACAGCAGGTAATGTATTTAGATTTCTAGATCTTACCTCGGTCAAGTGACGGTGAGTGTTGCTGTCCTCCGCACGGAACACAGGGGCAATCTCGAAGACATTCTCCATATCACCAGCAATACACATCTGCTTGTAGAGCTGAGGGCTCTGGGCCAGGTAGGCGTTGCGCTTGAAGTACTTGACCTCGAAGACACCGCTACCACCTTCAGTGGCGGCACCGACCAGCTTGGGAGTAGAGATCCAGCGGGAGCCGCTCTTAATCATGTACTCAGCGAAGAGCTGGGAGACACCGCTGGAGATCCAGGTGATGGCCTGGCTGGTCTCGGTCTGCAGATCGAGGACTCGGTTGTCAAGACGGGTCTTGAGGGTAACGATAGGAGCACCATCGGCATCAACCTGGGCACCCTCGTCAGTGGTCTCGGGGGAGGACGCTCGGCATCCTTGACCTGCATGGGCAGCATCTGAGCAGCCTCGGAGATCATGTAGACCTTGCGGATGTGGATCTCGAGGTTCTGGATGGAGGCGGAGGAAATGGGGATCTCGGGCTTCTTCACGATACCGGTGACCTGGACGATGGAGTTGACGTTCAATCCACCAGTGTACTTGATCATCTGTCGGGAGATGGGCTCGGCGGCCGCGATCACAGCCTGCACCTTCTGTCCTTGCTGGCGCAGCATCAGGAATGCAAGCTTAGCACTCTGCACACGCGCATTGTCGACGCGCGCAACCACGGTGATTTCCTTCTCGTATTGCTCCTCGGAGAGCTCGGTGAACTTGGTGGCAGTAACGAGACCCTCAGCCTCGGGGAGAGCGCCGTATAAATCCTTAGCAGTATCGTTGGCATCCTGGGCGGCGGCTTGCGCCTTCTCTTGCGCGGCGCGCGCAGCAGCCTTCTCGGCCTTTATCTTGTCCTTGGCGGCCTTCTTTGCGGCGTTCTTGCTAGCGTTCTTGGTCTCACCTTCCGCGGCGGGCGCGGAGGCATCCTGAGTCTCCTCGGGCTTGGGACGGTGGGGCAATTCGGAGTCGGCCATGGTGCTGCGAGGGGCAATTAGAGCGTGCGAGTGGCGGAAATAAGATATAGTATCCTACCTCAATGATACTGTATCGCAAGAAACTGGCAAGACTAGCAGTAACAGACTGATCGACTATAGCCAAGCTGCAGATGGAACTGAGTCACCCCGCCGGAGACGCCAAGCCCTAACCCTAAGAGGGGATGTCACCTGATGTAAAGTACCCTTTATATGTATCTAGCATACAAAAGCTACTTATGGGTCATAGATGCCCGATCAAGATCCAAGCAATAACAATTAACAAGAAGATTCATGCCTGAGCCCGTTGCTGAACTCAGGTATAGGAGCTGATTGATGTCTATCGCTAAACAGTAAAACTAATGGTCTCTGAAATGTTGACGTTGGCCGCCGTATTGGCCTAGAGTGTCAATAAGCTACTGCAGATCAAGCAGCAGGCCATTTGGAGCTTTTCAATGCCCATTGAACACCCTTGTGGACATTATCCGCAATGGTATGAGGCGTATATGCAGGATCCCCACCACTGTAAACTCCAGTCCGAACAAGGATTGATTGCCAGGTACTGCCAAAGCCGCTGCGGTAAGAGTTTGCGCCCCGGATATCTGACTCAGGGTTATCTCCAACCATATATACCCGTTCCAAAGGAGGAAGTTCTGCGGAGTCGCCAAATGTCTTTAGCCGGTTGCGAAGTAGTTGACGTTCTGCAAACTCGTATGTTGGCTGGTAAGGCTTTCCAATCACAGTCTTCTTCAACTCGATGCCCTTAGAAGGACCTCCCGTAGTCGCAGCCCAGACACCTTCGAGAGCCTCTCGGAATCCGCCTTGTCCCAAGCGAGGCAAGGGGTAAGCGGCGGCCCACCACAGGTCTGGATTGGAGAAGTAGAGATGGGGCTGGCCATCTTGCTGATAACCGTGGTTGGGAAGATTAATGCGACCGTTCTTATCAGACAAGGTACCCATACGGCCCTGCGACGAAAGGAGAAGATCCATTATGACCTGAGTGTCCAAGGCCCAATCTCTGGGATCATTGAACACGAAGACAGCATCGATTTTCAAGCTCTTTGCGGGATCATTGGGGTCGATTGGCCTGGGGAGTGGTCGAGCGAACGTTTTGTAATAATCACTGAAGTTCTTAGAGAATGGCCAAATAGCGGGGTTCGCCATGAGGATATCCCCCGGCGTAACAACGTTCTTGAATCCGTATCTTGAGCTGTATGTTAATAGACAATCTTGGGCATTGAATGTGTTGTTGGACATACTGCTCTGCTACGCGTCGACAGTTGTCTCCGTCACCACCAGCAACCAGAACACACTTGTGCTCTAACGCGCTTGCCTCATCTGGCCCTTTAACAAGCTCCGCGAAGGGAGAATGGCTCTGTACGATATCGGTGACGTCTAAAGGGACCTGAAGCTTCTCGCTTATCTCAGCGACGCGCTCTGTCTCATGTTTGCCGCCGCCGTTGGTAAGCAAGATGAAAGGAATGCCTTGCTCCTTCAGCAGTGCCAGCGAGTCGGCGGCACCTGGGATGGGCTTGGAAGATCGCAGAAGAACGCCATCAATACTGCATAATTTCGTCAGATCAGGTCACAGTCTAATGTGGGACGTGTGCTATTTGACTCACTCAAATGCAAATGCAAAGTTCGGGACCGGCCGAGAACCGGCTGTTTGAATTGTACGGCGGCCAATGGATGGATATGAGCATGCAGGGCGGCGCTGTAATAAGCCGAGCGACCGCAAGGCAAATTGCGGTCTCATTCTGGTAGAAGGGAGAGAGAGGAGAGAACGCAGTATGCGTAGAGAGTGTGTACAGTGAAGGACCTCGGGATACGTCATCAGCCGGTTCCGTTCCAAAGTTGCCAAGACTGTTTATCCGATCTGCGCGCCAAGGCCGTCACCTTACGGAGTACTCCGTCGTGAATCGTGATACCAAAGTTCGAACTGCTTAATTGAGTAACTACAGTGCAAAAGTCTTGAAATCCTCGACAACTTAACGTAAATGCTGTGGCTGTGATGTAGACTGGATATTGTTATCTCTATATATGCGTCGAAAGTATGATCCAGCTCATCCCGATTCCCGAGGTCCTCAGGACAACGATCTATGATCTACGATAGCTCGAGTAGCTCGAGGAACCAGCTCGTAGCAACCAAACAAACCAAAAGAAAAGAAAAGAAAAGGGTGGAAAGACAGCCTCTCGAGGGGAGCCGAACGCAAGAGTGACTTGTACCCTTCGGGTTGGCAGGCTGTCGAAAGTTCTCCCGGGTCATCCGCTATGCTAGTTGGGTTGAAGTTGAGAGACTTACCAAGACCTGTGTAAGCTACTGTCATATTGATACCTAGACAAAGAGCATCAAGACCTTGCTTTGGTGACACTGAACTGGGTGTTCGAGATGTCTGCCCTTGATTACTTCGTATTTGGGAAGCAGGGCTTCTCCCTCTCTACTTGCTCGCTCCTTTCCTCTCTCTCTCTCTCTCTCTCTCTCTCTCTCTCTCTCTTCTTCTTCTCTCCCTCTCCATCCTCTCTTCGTCTCCCTCTCCCTCTCCCGACACACACACAGAGAGAACACTCAGATACACATACCGCTACGTTGCTTGTGATTCTCCTTGCTCCGTAGACCTTCTGAGCCCTGTCTTGCTTTCTGTAAGGTTATGAGCCCTTGGTTGCGCACTGTGGCTGCTTGTTTTTTGACCATCGCATACATCCTCGTGTGGGGGGCGGATCCGACGATCTGAGCCCCACTGGACCCCTACGCCCGCTCACGCTGCAATGGCTTCATCGTCATTGTCGCATACGATCGATCAAATCAACCAGACTGTCATCGTCGTCATACTGACTCGCACGTGATCGATCACCTTACCCCACTGGGCCCTATGTATACCTGTGGACACCCGTGCATGTCCGAATTACCTTACCTCAACGTCATCGACTCATATCGTTATCACATACATATGATCACATCGCCGATTTAAAGGCTTCTCACCGGAAAGCCTCATTCCATAGAGCCTCACTTTCAGCTACAAATTCGTCGCAACTACCATGCTTACAAGCGTCACATGATACCTCTCTCGTCACGTCCATATGCAGCTTGCTTGCTTGCTATCCTCGCTCCCATGCACATACTTATTTGTTTGCTTGCATTTCCACATGATTCCACTCGCTTCCTTGCTTGCTCGTTTCCTTTGTCATTTATGCTTGCTCTTGATCCATAGCTCTTCTTGTTTCCTCTCCTTTCCTTCCTCATCATCAGTTTCTCCGTTGAGTTGGACCTTTATCTTCATGAAGCTTTGCCAGCCTCACAGCAACGTCACTTTCTCGTCAAAGTCAAGAGGAGCACTTTGAGATCATCTCCACAAGTCAACCTCAATTTCCTCTTTCAGCTTGGTGACCGGCTGACACGTCCCCCACCCGTCGATTCCCCGCAATCAATCCCTCAGGGTCGGTCTACCCTTACCTCGGTTTGACCAAAAGGCGCGCCGATTTACCCTTTCGCCTTTCGGCCCCACAGAGCCTCACTTGCCTCCGTCACTGTCAACGAGCACATACGATACCCTACAATTATCGGGCGTCATCGATCACAACCGTTCATCTCCCCGAAAACGCGAACTTTGGAACAACAGTGGAAGCTTTGGACAGGTCAGTAGCTTCAATTGACACAACTGAATAGGTAAGCTACCCTGACCAACCAAAATTGCCTAGCAAATGCAACAGAGCGCATATATGACCCGTACCGACGTCGAAGGTTTTTCACTACCACGGTTCTTATGTTGCGCACACATGGACCGCCACTGACATCTACTTACGATGAAAGTTTATCACTACCATGGTTGTTACATTGTGCATTGTCAAATCAGCGAGCACTGGATTTTCACCCTGGTATTTGACACTTTGCTTGCAAAACTGGCGTTCCTTGTCATATGCCTATGCTCACCAAATGTCGAGTCCAGAACAGATCGAGTCCTCGAGTCCTCGAGTCCTCGAGTCCAAGGACCGGGCCGCCCAAAGAGTTTACGGTTTCCGTGAAGAAGCCGGGCTGGCGCAATGGTAGCGCGTGTGACTTCTAATCACAAGGTTGCGGGTTCGACCCCCGCGTTCGGTTTTTTTCTCTCTTTGACACAAAGGTCAAAATGCACATATTTTTTTCGGAAATTTTCAAATTTGGTCCTGTGGTGTAGTGGTTTAGGGCGGGGTGGTATTGAGAGGTCAGGTGTTCAAATCGACGCCAAAGCCCATTTTTCTTTTATTTTTTTCTCTTCCATCTTCTCTTTCTCTTTCTCTTTGTTAGTCTTTTCATTCTTTCCCTTTTTTTTTTTTTTTTTTAAAAAAAAAAAAGCCGAAGCCTTAGCTTTTCCGTGAACCACGTTAACTAGATGTTTTACATTTTACCATTGCGCCATCCCGGCCTCTCCATAAACCGACTAAATAACTCAGCGCCGCAGGAGGCTCTTCTGCAAGAGTCATAGTGATAGGAGAGAATGGCTAACTCTTTTAACAATACCCAGAGGCGTGAGCTCCAAGTCACACATCCGCTCACTCCGACCGTCTAGATTTGGAGGCAAGCCATTCTCCGAGCTATCATCGGCCCAGTCTAATGATACGGAACTGGGTGCGGACTACACTGTAACAGGCTTGATATCCTTAGCAATCACACGTGTCAGTAAGAAACCAGGGTGCTACAAGTAGATTTCACTAGCTGTATATATGAATAGGATATTTTTACTTGTTATATACATGTCGAATTCCTCTAACAGCAGCTGTCATGGGCCACCATGTCGAGAGCAGACTCATATCCCGTGCAGGCCTCTATGCGTCAGTTACATAGAGTCCCAGATCAAAAAGATTATCCAGCTCATCCTCGGGACAATCATCAATATTCTCCCATACCAACTTGTCAATGATAGCTCGAGTAGCTCGAGGAATCAGCTTATAGCAGCTTGGGCTCATGCCCAAACCACAAACTTGAGATATCTCCCCTCTCAATACTTTGCACATCTCGTCGGTATCAACTTTTGAGAATCCTTCCTCGACCGCCGTGGTGAGAACAAGCTCACGCATGGACCGGGGAAGATTGTATACATCAAACACAGGACTCATATCAGTCCCAAACATTCCATCAATAGGAATTCGAAGACATCGTAAAGCGACAAAATGACTCAACCCCACAGGAGGCTCTTCTGCAAGAGCGTCACAGTGATAAGAGGGGATGGTCAACTCTTTAAGTGAGGTACAGAGTTGCTGATTCATGGCGGCCACTTCTAGAACCGCCGCCAAGTACTCACAATCAACCAAGTTGAGAGTTTCCAGGGCTGGGGGCCACTTAAAGGTTGGCATCGCCTCCAAATCGAAGCATCCGCCCACTCCGAGTATTTTCAAATTCGGGGGCCAGTCATCGTCCGAGATATCCTCAGTGATCACCATTGAGGGTGGTAGTTGCAACGATTCAAGCTTGTTGAGGTGGACAACAGCCTTTCTCAAATCAGAGAGTGCAAGTGTCTCGGCAACTAGGCCGAGGGAAAGGTATGTCAGCTCCTTGCATTTTGATATGGGCGCAAGGCTGTTGAATCTAGAAGAAACGGTCAGTTGGAAGTTTGAAAGAGGCCTTTTTTTTTTATTACATACGCAAATGAAATCCTCGGGGCAATGAATGTTTTGAGGCTTTTCTTGACCCGACCCAGTAGTCGCGCCGTAAGACTATTGGAGCTGTGGTGGACCAGGCCTGAAAGATCCAAGTCTTGGACCAGTGACCCCAAGTCCACTCTCTTATCTTTGGAGCGGACTGGCGGGCATACAGTGTTTGCGAACAGAGTATAGCTATTGCCTCGAGCAAGCTGGGGGCGGTGGTACAGAGATCCAATGCCGGCCGAGTACCACTGGCGAGAAACCAGACAGAAGCTGTGAAGTGTGGATTGATATGTGGGATAATCATCCTCCGTCCACTGATCAAGAACCGCACCGGCAATTTGAATCAAGACTTCGGTGGGAAGAGGCACATATCGTGAAAGCCCCGCCTCGGAGCGGCTCATATATTTCGGCATGGCAAATGAAATGAAATATGTTTAGATTTGGAAGCCATTTAAAAAGATAGGTGTTTCATAGGTGTAAATACCAGCGCAAGTCGCAAAACCCACGGCCGATCTTTTGCCCTCCGAAATGACATACCGCCTCGGCCTCATATTTTGTTGTCGCATCTACCAATCTTCGGACTTGGACACTTTCTCACACCCACCCTCGTTCCAACGTTTATCATGATCGGCAAGGCGGACGCAAAATAATGGCGACTTGATGGCCCAAGCTTCTCCATGATTTCAACACCTTCAACTGACTATGCCCGAGAAGAGAAAAGGCACCATGCCGTCCCCTCCTGCTAAACGCCCTCGGATTTCTCACGAGAACGAAGAGTCCTCAGAACAATATGAGCAGCCCCGTCAAAATTACACCTATGGCCAGAGGGGTGCGTTCCCCGGCCTAGACGACGGCGGCGATGAACTTTTCTATGGTCCAGCGGATGATGGCATGGAATATCTGCGAATGGTTCGGTATGTCTTGACCTCGAATACACCTAGCCTTTCTTTTCGCTAAATCCCACCAAGTTTCCCAACTTCACTCCCGCCGTGCTCAGGCTCAAACTGACCGTGGCTCAATAGATCCGAAGCGAACGCCCTGCCAACCTTGTTCGTCGCAAGTACTCAAACCTCCACTCCTCAAGACTCCAGCCCAAGCAAACAAAATGATTCGGAACCGCCGAGCGCAAGGAAGTCTTCTATGCCGAGCGGCTTCTTCGCAAAGGAGTCTGCCTACATAGCTCCCGCGATAACTACAGATGCAAACGCGCATTCCCCCTCAAAGCTCGAAGACCTTTATCCCCCTGCGCAAATATCCTACTACAACCTCCTTCGCCATCGGTTTCTGCTTTTGAGATCAACTCTCCGATGCAGCCCGCCCGCTGAGGCCATTCGTGCCCTCGACTCCTCCCACCCCGTCAGTCTCCCCCGAAACTCTGGGTCTGCGCATAGAGAATGGCGCCGGCTCCTGCTAGCAGTCAACCCACAAATGGTTCAAGTGGCATGCATGGACATGGAGAGTGTGTTAGAGGCACTGGAATTACTAGCGCGAATGATCTCCGATGTTGTGAAGAGTGAGAACGCGGAGCGCGCTCGGCGCAGTGGAGCCTGGGCCTGGGCCCTGCTAGGAAAATGTCGCGAGGTCGGACAGCTGACGACTGAGGAGGTCGGCGTGATTCGAAACTTGGGGAAACGAGCCGCGACAATCTTACGCAAAGTACAGGAGTTAGAGAGCAGCCGTTCTCAATGGACTGAGCCGTCTGTCTCAACCGAGGATGCAGAAGATGGTGACTTGAAGGGAGATGGCTCGAAGGAGGATGATCCGCAAGAGACAGCCGTCGATGAGGACGAACCGACCAAGCAAGAAGACTTGCCAGAAGACTTGCCAGAAGCCACAGGGATATCACAGCCCATCATGCCCGATGTGTCAGGGGAGACGGACGAGTTGGAAGCAGCCAAAGCACGACTGGAAGCGCGATTGCAGAGCTTCGATGGATCTGCAGAGGCGCAAAATGCTATGCCCGATGCACCCTTAGAGCAATCCGAGGTGGATACATCGAAGGCGCGCTTGCAGGACCAGCCGCAGAGCATTGATGAGCCCACCGAGACACCCCACGACGAAGAAGAATATCTGGTGACACAAACTCGCGCTCTACTCGACATGGTGCTCACAGTGGTGGGTGAGTTCTTTGGCCAACGCGATCTGCTAGAGTCCCGCGAAGCCTGGATTTAGATAATATTGCCATATTTTACAATATACCCATAGCAAATGTACGATTAATTTATCTCACAAGACTATGTCCAATGAACTCCGTAGAGGTCATTCTCATCAGGTCGGGTGTTTGGTGCTGGTCTAAGCTTTTTGCGTCATGCGGAGTTGGATCTCGACTTCTTCAGGCTCCCGTCCTTTGATGCACTTCAACTTCAAACTTCCCACCCTCAATGGTACTTTCGATCTAATGCACAATCATGGCACCAACCGTTGAGATATCCATTCCGAATACGACCATTTCTCACACATCTCCACCCCACACCGTCTATCACATCACCCTCCGCCTCCCGCTCCGCTCGTTCACCGTGCCCAAACGCTACTCGGACTTCTCAACCTTCCACAGCACACTCATCTCCCAGACTAATGCGCCTCCGCCAGCTCCATTACCCTCAAAAACATGGTTCTCGAATACTGTCTCAAATGAACGGCTACGTGAAGACCGCCGCCACGGCCTAGAGCAATACCTTCAAGCGATCAATGAATCCGACGAAGGCCGCTGGCGGACCTCCCCCGCGTGGCGTGCCTTTTTGAACCTCCCCACTGCGGTCACATCGGCCGGCAACGGATCGACCAACACATCCACTCGTCTCCACGCAGCCATCACAGACCCAGCATCGACAAACGCACCAATCACAGACCCGACACTATGGCTAGACTGCTACCGCGACATGAAGTCACATCTACACGACGCCCGCCTCCAGCTTTCTCGTCGAGATCAAGAGACAACACCCCAGAAACAGCACGAGAGCTCCGCGCAAGCGAAGAAGAGCCTCGTACGCGCAGGGACGATCATCACCACCTTGGACGATGGGCTGAAGAATATGGGACGGGGTGACAAATCATCCGAGTCAACTTCGTCATCTAGTATAGGCAGTGGTGAGATCCGCCGACGCAAGGATCTGCTCATCAATGCGCGCAAAGAAAAAGACGGCCTGGAAGATCTCTTGCACGCCATGGCGACGAAGAGTCGACTTGACCACGCCGTGGCATCGATACAGGATAAAGAAGCGTTGATGAGTGTTGGCAATGCGACAGGAGATGGTGCAAGCGGTGGACGAAGAACGCCGGCTCGGACGGGCAGAGTGCTTGGCAAAGAGACCGAGCGGACACGCGAGCTTGATAATGATGGGGTGCTTCAGCTGCAGCGGCAGATGATGCAAAGTCAGGATCAGAACGTGGATGAGTTGATGAAGATCATCATTCGACAGAAAGAGCTGGGGACGCAGATCAACGAGGAGCTTGAGGTCCAGAATGATTTGCTCAAGTTGGCTGATGAAGAGACTGATATGTTCGTGCACGCCTTTGCTTTGGGATCTGTTGAAATGCTTGCTAACTACATTCCCAGATTGAAATCCAAGCTTGATGTCGGAAGGAAGAGGATTGGAAAGATCTCTTGAGATAGGATTTGGTGTAAGTGATGCGTGTGAAGTGGACTTAGCATGAAACCTGAATTATTCCATTTATACCACTGAGCGGGTGTTTTGTTATTGACACTTTATTTGAAATATTGAGTTTTGGACCCAGAGTGTTTGATGAAGAGCTATATCAACTTCTATATTCATACAAAGCAGACATTCTAATAACGTCGTTCATGCTCCAACAAATCGCCCGAAGGAGCCTTCCCAGGTTGCTCCCTGGCAAGCCAGTCTATATAATGAGCTCTAGTTAGCGCATGTGATGATATCGAATGCATCTAGTCCCATGGATGCCGCAACAAGATCGAGCCATTTGTCTGGGGACGGCAACTCTTTGACCGGAGTGTCGCCTGCGCTTGGCACCACAGTTTTCTCGGAGCTGTTGCGAAGTTTCGAAACAAGTCGGAACGGGAGGGGGTCCATTGTGATGGTCGTGTCATCCCTGGGACAGATATGGCTGGCCTGAGCATCTTGAAGAAAGTCCCGCAGCAGATCCAGAAGAAAGAGACAAATATCGCACCCATGAAGAACACTGTTTGCAAATTGTTGAGGGAAAGTCGATGGAATTGGCCCGATGAATCTGGTATTGCTACCGGACGCAATGCCTCCCTTGTCTTCTGTTTTGCGCCAATTGTATTTTTGCACTGCGGCAGCAAGACGCAGATGAGCCGATAGCGTGCTGATCGTTTGGCTACACCGAAGCACCTGTTTCAAGACCTGTTTCGCCGAATCCTCTGGCTCGGCTTCTTGCTGCAGTCGACGAGACCGAAACAGCATGCCCGGGATCTTGACGACTTCTACAAAGATCCGATCCTGCAAATCGATAAACAGCGCAATGGGTCCATCCACTCGTGGATCAGTCATATCTTCGCCGCGAACCTGGTGAATGTGAGCCTGCCATTCGGGTCGCTCGAACAGGCATTTTTTGTCATTGACAAATGCCTCCGCAACAATAAAACTTCTGAAAGAAAGGTACAAGCAGCGGTCAAAGCCCGTGAGATGAGCGCTTGGACCTCGATGGGCCATAAGCACTGCTGTACCACTGGCGTGTCGTGCCCACGAGTCCGGGTTCGTGCGCGAGTATGCCTCAAACAGACTAAGCACGATCGTGATACTGACGCTCTCGCGAGACTTCATGGCCGCCTCGTCACGGATCGTGTCACCGAAGAGTCGCAGTGCTTTACTGTACATCTCACGGCTGGACTGTTGGAGCTTCTCGTCGACATGAGTGTGGCCCATGAAGACCAAATTCATGCTGTATACCGCTGCGTCGAATGCAGGACTTTTGCCACCATGTTGGGCAACGTATCCCGTCCAAGGCACGTGCACTCGATATTTATTCAGTCCGAACCAACGCGTGAAAGCAGCCATTACAAAGTCACCGAAGATCACAGGCTGTTGCTTGTCCATGGATCGTGCAACAAGTGAGGGCGCTATACATTCATCTATTGACTCGGACTGCTGAGCTGTCTTTTTCGCGAATCGAGTTCGTAGTTGTGGTCCTTCGTCCATGAACTTGCGGGTCTTCACGTATCCGGGGCAGTCGGTGCCGTATCGTTGACATTGGGAGCAATGAGGTTGCGCGAGATCGCACTGTCGGTAAAAGTGGAATTAGCCAGGTGTTCCAGGAATCATGCGTCTTATGGGGAATCTCACCTTCACCCGTCGTTTAATGCATGTCCCGCATCCTTTACTTTTCGGCACGCCAACCATCGTGAGAATGCCGGTGCCAGTGCCGTGAGATTGACATTACCAACTGCGAGTTTGATTGGAAGGGTGTGTGAGTCAGGGTTCAACTCTGCTTTCTAATTTTTCATTCGAAAAGGCGAGTCATCATGCACAAACCAATAACCATGTCACAAGGAATACCCAATATCTGAGGTCTAGAGACACAGCTTGGTTTTCTCTGTAGCCCTGGAGGGGTGAGTGAGACAAAATAAGATGTAAGATGGAACGTTAGGACATGGGGGCATATTAACTACTTTTGGAAACAGTTGACACAAAAGGGCTTGGCAGTACTATGTAATCTGAGGCCCATGGTCTGTGGATTGGGGCTCTTTTCGCCAAGCCTACTGCACATCAGCAAGACCATAATAATAGAAGCAAATAGAAACTAAGAGCAATGGTACGGAGTAATGGACAACGGGCCCTGCGTTACCGGCGTCCAAGCGCTTATTAGTCGAGCCAATCGCCAGGGGCCCAAAAGGCCGGCAAGCTTAATTGTTGGCGTTGGGCTTGGGCTGTGGAGGGGGCTTGGGGCTTGGAGCGGGATGACATGCCACGGTTGACGGGACTTGGCATTGGGAACCATGGTTGGCCTGATTTACCCTTTCCCTTTTGCCTTTGAATCGTGAACCTAAATTCTGCCTTTTCGGCCGTGCGCCATTTTTTCACAGAAACCTAATATTGGGTGGACACTGCCACATTGCAATGACTACTTCGATAGAGACTAGAACCCTCTGGTGATATCAAGACATACCTGTTTGGATTTGTTTATAGGCACTCAAAACAATCAGCGATACTTGAAGGTCTCATTGTGAGCCAATAACAATGGTTGTGCGAGCATAATATAGAACCTGAAAGAACATGAGATATAGGGAGATATTATGAAATAGGGAATATTTTGCGGCTGCTGATTATCATAAAAGTAAGGAAATATAAGGCTATTTACAATGTCAAAGGGTATAGTATGTGCAGTCTGGCCTCTCTCTTCGCCCCTCCAGAGGTTCCTCCCCTCATCGAGTCTCAACAGAGGTTGATACGTCGACGGTCCTCGTGACTCCAATGCCGCCAAACATCATCCTTGGTGATTCTTCACGTCCCACGCTGTCACCGTGAATGATTGTCTCAATCTTCGGGTTTCCTTGTGCATTGTACATGAGTACATCCTCGTCGGAGTCCGTCTGTGTCTGTCGCACGCTCATCTGTTGTCGGCTTCGTTCGATCGCTGTTTGATCTCGCATAGTACTCATTTTGTAGTTGGACGTGACTTTGTTGCTCGAGTATTCGGTATAGATTCGGATGATGAGTGCAGAGAGTGCCGGGAGACATGTGCAAATGACACCAATGGCGACCTCCGCATTACTATAGATGAGTTTTTGTCAGTCATTCCGTCAGGTCAATATTGGCGGTTTGAAACATACCCCAGCATGTTGATTCTCATGAATGCAAGGGAAAGATCCTTTGACTGCCCGGTAACAACAATCAATGCCAAACGGATGATACTTGCTGCAACGGCCAAGCCACCGGCACCCAAGATACCCATGACGCGCATCTTTCTCTTGGTTGACATTTGCAGAGTCAAGGTCAATGGCAGTGGTAGAATCAGGATGATCAAATCACTGACCACACTGACCACAGCATCAGCCATGATGATAGCGTTCTCGTCGAGACACGAGCCACCGATATCCTTGTTCCAGAACATGGAGATAGGGCTGCAGATTCGGACTTTGACAATGACGGCGGGAATGTAATACGCCAGCATGAGACCCATGAAAATCCTGATAAAAATAACACACTTCCGGAAAGGACTGAATACTCGTGTCATGATCCAAAGAAGGCAGACTTTTGTGAGGTAGGCTGTCGGTCCGTACATGACCATGGTGGCATAGATTGTCTGAGAGGTTAGGAGACTTGTCCATCGCAACTTAGGAGTCTTGCTCACCTTTTGGAATGGTATCTTGTCTTCTTCGGCAACATCAGACCAGTGTAAACCTCCTCCATAATGACCCACTGTCTTGTTGTCAGACTCGATATGCAGAAGAAAGCCCAAAAACTTACTGATTAAAGCGATGACGGAGTAGGTGACTCCAAGCACCTATTATGGAAATGTTTAGTTATTTCTCCATGAACCTCCTGCGATATTCCTACCGTCGCTACCAAACATGCCCCTGTAACAGCTGTGAGTAAGTCGTGTGCTATATCTGGGAAAGCCACTTACAATCCTCTTTACCCAATCCACTCAAAATGAAAACTCGAGTATAAAGGCGAAGTCCGAAGAAAAGAACCATGCCAGCAATACATAATGACTGGCATGCAAAGTTCCATTGTTGCACACTCCGATCAATGTCTACATCTCCAGGACTTCTGGCAGACAGCAGCGACATGATGGGATGCATAACGGGTGGCTGAAAGGCTAGACAGGGGCCAACTGTCCCAGGGTAGATGTCTTTAAACAATATCAGCCCAGGGAACTCTTCAGCCAAGATACTAGCGAGTTTGTCAAGCGCAAATTAGGTTTAGTTTTTCTTGCTTGACATACTTCCACAATTTGCACAGTACTATTTCGGCTATTGGATAGCTAGGATCGACTCTCCTGAAACGATCGGAAAGCTAACTGTCTGACGATAACTTTCTTGGCTGTTATAGGAAACTCACTTGTCGGATCAAATTGGAGCACGAGGTGCGTTGATGATGGAATCTTCAAGCAAATCGCGCCCATCAGGTCCTTGGTCGTTCGCCGATCATTCACCTTTTGTCTTTACATGGTTCTTTGCATGGTTCTTGGCTTTGTTCCATGCAATCGATGCATAGCCCCCAGAATGTAGTGGGGTTGGTACATGCGCAATAGTTTGCAGTCAAATATTTTGGCTCCAACCTCACATAACTAACGCACGTTGACAACGCCATACTCTATCCTGAAATGATATTTGCTTTTTATTGGTAAACCAACTCAAGGCTAGACTGCGTCTTGATCTTCCAGTTATCGCCTTAAGCCAGTTTGTAGGGTGCATTCTACATGGGACTGCAACCAGCCGATACTTGTTTGACATGAAATACTACGCATTACGCACAGGGATTGAGTTGGGGCCAAAAGATAGTATACAAGGCGCAAGTGGGTCACAACGGCCCCAGCAGGGCCACTTGATTGCTGAGATCATGCGATAAAATTTCAGAGCAGCCCCACGACGGCATACCAAATTAATGAAAGTTGAGTATAGACCGTGGGTCGAAGGATTCGGGCTCAGTGGGGAATTGACTAAGTTTCCGCAGCCCAGAAGGAACACCGAGAGCCAAAATACGAGGCTTAACCCACCAGACAAAAGTATTGACCCTGCTAGGCAATGACACTGCATATCATTACTCATAGTGCATGTCAAGCGGAAAAGCTTTGTTCACTACGGAGTAAAGCGGACTCTGTTACCGTTCCGATGTGTGGTTTGCCGCTCCGTTCGCCCCGGGCCTTTCGGCCCACATTTTAATTTAATTTGGGGACATCTCATCGTTCCTCAGTTTCCCTCTCTTCTCCCTTCCTTTCTTTTTGGTGTGGGTCTATATACCATCGGCGTTCAGCTCTCTCGGGGGCTAGCATTGTAACTACTCGCACCGGACCTTGTCGATGGGTCTGCAGAAGGAATCCAACAAATGCCCAGGTGGACCCTGAATCATATGTCCTCTATAGTGAAGGAAGATGCGAAACTAGGCTGCCTCTTTAGAAAATGGCCATCACGTTCGGAGGCGAAGAAACTCCGCCGGGCATATTCAAAGGCACAGAGGCCACGAAGAAGCTCCACCGCTGGAGTTCCTGGCATGTGCGCGCCAACGCCTCGAGATCGAACAGTTCTCCTGGGAGCTCTTTAGTCAATGGGTCCTCGGAAGATGAATACGATGCTCCGATAACTTACCGATCGGCATTCCCCATCCAGCAAGTACATACTCGTGGAGGAAAATGTCAGGGGACTGAGGTGGGTAAACCTGCGCAAAGTGTCAGAAAGACGGTTTCTTCCCTTCGGTCGAGTCTCGTAAGATGCTCGGGCTCGGTTCGTTTGCTTCTTACCTCCCAACTGATTGCATCACTAGCGATCGCGGAAAACCCCGTATCCCAGAGCCATCGGAGGACTTCCGTTGTGGCCTCGACTCCGGCATGCTCGGGGCTGGAGTTATCCGAGTAAGCTTGTTTTTGGGCATCTGTCATGGATGTGTCCCACTCCTTGGTCACGCCTACGCGAACGAACAGAATATCACCCTTTTTGAATGTGATGTTGTTCTCACGGGCGATCTCAAGAATGTCCGCGAAGCGCACTTGATGGGTCGAGAATGTGGAATATTTGATTCCTTTCTTCTCGGCCCAACTTGCGTAGTCGATCAAGACTCCACGTCCTATTGAAAATCATCAATATTTTAAAGACCATTTTAGGGATATACTTACCTGCGATGCCCTCCTTAGCCCAGTGTTGAAGGCCAATTCGGTCATTTTGGCGATCATTGATCTCCTCAGCTGTCGTTCCTCCGTAGAACACACGCTCGGATTGACCAGGTACAGTCTGAGAGAAATGGCGAAGACCATCCCACTGGCTACTTTGCTCTGTTTGGGGGTTAATTACGAACACCAAGCGCAATAAATAAAGAGCTGCCTCAACTTACGGGGATTCATGGTATAAACATCGTCAAATGCTATGCCTCCAAGTAGAGGCACGATGCTATGATGACATGGCTGGCGATTGAGATTAGGATAGTCCAGCTTCGTCATTTCCCATCCCATCGTAACTCGACGACCACATTTGATCTCGCTGGCAGATGCTGCTGCGACAATGTCGGGTGTGAGAATAGCTAGTTTCCCTAGTCCCTCTTCATAACTCCCAGGCTTTCCCAGCCATACTTGCTTGGGGTTTGGAAGCTCATCAAACGGGACGTCAAATGGAGAGGCCATATTCTGTAATTTTGAGCAAACAAAATTAAACCGATGATCAAGTATGGGAAGTCAAGGGTGTTATCTCGCTCAACAATATCCACACGGAGAGATTTCGGGAGTTGGCATAAACTCAAACAATTTCCAGTGACTTTGCAGCTCAAAGGTAATTTATTCACTTCGCATTCTCGGACCGACTCCGCACGACTGTAGGTTGGAGCTGCAGCATCTTTCACTTCTGATTCGAGGGATCTGCAGATCAGCGTGGCGCGAGTCACGCTTGACTCTTTACCATGTATTACCACAAGTACAAGTGTACATTGTACTTGTACAATATACATGGTGCGGCTTCTGTTCCAGCCTTGGCCAGTCTTTTGCCGTGATCGGCAAGTCGTGTTTTGGTGAACTCAATGCATTTCGGTGGGCCAGCTCCACTACGTGTCAAACGAGTAGACCCCCTTGCTCGTGTTTGCTACCAACAACCCGACTTTTTCTCTCAAAATTTTAAAGTAGTGTTGAATCTATGCTGGGATCCTCCATCCTTTCACATCATATCTCTTGAGACACGTTGTGATACAATAATTTCGAGCCATGGGTAGGTTTGGGTCGCAGACCAGTACCTACAATAGACTGGTGGTTGTTTTCGTGGCCATCGGGTCTATGGTGAGCTTGCTTGCTCCTTTTGACATGTAACACTCACTCATCAAATACTATCCAGACCTACGGCTATTGTTCATCAATCATATCCAGTACAATCGGCCAGCCGGGATGGTATGCCTACTTCAACCTCCCGGCTGATGGCGAGCCAGGATACGCCACAATTACCACCCCCGCGATTTCGACTGCCAACGGTGTATTCAGCGCTGGTGGTGCCGTTGGTACACTTTTCATAATGTGGTCGTGCGACTTCTTTGGCCGAAAGGCCAATATCCAATTTGGCGCTTTCTTTTCGTTGTTTGGTGGAGCTCTCCAGGCGGGCTCCAACTCCTTGGCGTGAGTTCTCTCTCTTTTTCTGGGTTCTAGAAGCTGTGCCTAATATGTCTCAGAATGTTCCAAGCTGGACGCTTCATCTGCGGTCTTGGCATTGGTATCCTCGTGACTGTGTGCCCCATGTATCTCTCTGAAATGTCAAGCGCCTTGCGTCGCGGCTGGCTTGTCGGTCACCACGCCATCTTCTTGGTGTTTGGATACATGCTCGCAGGATGGGTTGGATTTGCTTGTTACTACGCAACAGGTCCCTTGTCTGGATTTGGCTGGAGATTCCCCCTGGCTCTCCAATGTCTACCAGCTCTGGTGCTGCTTCTGGGCTCTCCTTGGCTACCGCGCTCGCCCAGGTGGCTGATTTCGAAAGGCAAATTTGATGAGGCCCAATTCGTTATTGAGAAGCTTCGCGAGTCACCCGATGACCCCGACAACTTGGTCGCCAAGGAGGAGTTCTTCCAGACCAAAGAGCAAATTCGACTTGAGGCTGAAAGGTTGGCGGCTTATGGAAGTGTGTGGAAGGCGGTTTTCAAGAAGAAGACATACAGAAAGCGTATGGCCATTGGCTTCCTTACCCAGTGGGGTGCTGAATTCGGTGGGCCACTCATCATTGTAAGCTTGGCCCCAGCTTTCGTGGTGTGACTGCTGGCTAATCGTCAACTAGAACAACTACGCTGTGCTCCTCTATACAAACTTGGGCATGGAGGGTAGTATGCCTTTGCTCTTGAGTGCTGTTTGGCTGACAACCGCTGGTAAGTTTTTTTCGATAAGCATTGTCTTTTTCTTGTTTTTGCTAACCTTGGATAGGTGTGATCTACAATCCTTTGGGTGCCTGGCTGCACGATAAGGTCAACTCTCGGCGCGGGATGTACATGACAGGCTTCGTGGGAATCATTGTCTCTACATCATGCCTGGCGGCAATGACCGCCCAATACTCAGGTACCACGAACAAGGTCGGGAATGGATTCGGTATCTTCTTTATGTACCTGTACCTGGCCTTCCAAGGGTGAGTTGACTGCCGAATATTTGAGCCACTGGAGTATGCACTCTAACAAACTCACAGTACATGCTGCGACACAACAATGTACCTCTATGTGTCGGAGATCTTCCCAACCGAGATCCGCCCAATTGGAATGGGCTTCTCTCTATTTGGTCAATTTGCTGGTAAGATCACTCTTCGACTATGAGACTGAAGCACAAGCTAAAATTACACAGCCACCCTCATTCTCCTCCAAACTGCCCCAATGGGCTTCGGTAATGTTGGCTGGAAATACTATCTTGTCATTATTTGCTGGTCCGCGTTTTTTATTCCAGGTATGGAGAAACATATACCCCACAGTCTGAAGTTGAAATGGATCCACACTAACCCACATGTAGTTATATACTTCTTCTTCCCCGAGACGGCTCGTCTCACTCTGGAGGAAATCGCTCAGAACTTCGGCGATGAAGTGGCGGTGCACCTCACTGATGCCACCGATGAAGAGAAGGCCCAACTCGACCATCAGCTCGTTGAGCCAGCCACGGGCATGAAAATTGCTACAAGCTCGGACTCGGCTAGAGGCGTGGTCGATGACAGTGAAGCGTCCCCTGTGTCCCCTGTTAGCGGTGATAATGCGCCCAAGACAGAATGATAGATTATTTGATCCAGGTTTCTATGAAGGTGGCCTAATCGCACTCCAATTGACGAGCAGCCGAGGACTTTTGATTGAGTGACTCGACGGAATTCTGAGTTTAGCTAGAAGCGGGTGGAATTTAGGTAATCATGACTAACTTTATAAATAATGCGAAATTAGCCTCTGTGAATGTCATCTTTTTCTCATGAAACCATCTTTCGTGTATTCACGAGGTTCCAAGGTTCTCGTCAAGTCATTCTAGCGGACATGGCCGTTTCGAACGTTGTTTTGATCCCCTGGGATGCTGAGTCCCAGTCTCATCAGGAATGGCTCATTAAGCAACGGGTAGCATGCGGCTGGCATCAGGAGCTCGTTGCAACAAAATGGAAGAGCCAACAGCTCGAAGGTCATAAATGCATTTTTTGGATTGTGAGTTACAAGTCAGACTGTGTCAAGTTTCGTTGTTGCTAATTCTTGGCATCAAAGGTCTTACCGTTAGATGAGTCACAGACAAAGTTGCAAGTAGACCCCGAGCAAAAGGTGAGAACCCGGAATCCATCACCTAACGTAGAGACATTGGTTGAACAATCATCACTAGGAACAGCTTGAAGATACGGCTGTTACACTCAACGCCGTCCCTCGCCAACCAACCAAAGAAAGCTTCATTCCCATTGGCCATATTTCACTTGACTCTTACAACCCCGATGCAGAGCGTTTTGATTTAGATATACCCTCCGAGGGTGTATTCTGGATCAAAACATTCTATATAAACCAATCTACCCAAGGTCAGGGTATCGGGCGAGCCGCCATGGATCAAGTCGAGGCCATGGCGGTTCGGGAACCATTGCTAGCGAAGACACTCATGCTTGATACTATGCACAAGGATGACCAGAAAAGGGATGATTTTGCGCTTGATCAATTCGGTTACATTCCAAAGGTAAAATTCCCGCCTCACTTTGAGATTGCCCGACTTGCTTATTCTATTTCAAGGTTCGGGTTACCAATGAAGAGTGGTACGATCGACGAGGGTACCAGTTAATCAAGACAGTTCGAAACTATTATGAACATTATGATAAAAATGGGAACCTATGGGATTTAAGGACTGTTTTCATGCGGAAAGATATTGCAGTCTGATAAAGTCGGTGCACAGATGGATGTTTTGGAGATGTTACTATAGACACTACTAGATCTGCAATTTCCACATTACACATACGTCTTTTGAAGTTGGCCAAAAGTTACATCTCATGCAAGGACTTACTAAATGCTGGTAATTGAATCGCACCAAGAGATCAGCATCATCGAAGAGTGTCATGCATAGTACATACAGCGGTGACACGCTAAGCCTAATTCGGACATGGCTCTATTTGCTACCGTCGGCCCCCTTCGATTTCCTTTGGGGCTACCCAAGTCCGCTCCGACCTGAAGATGAGAAGCGATGACCGTTCACGATCGCCTGCTACCCGTCGAAATGGCACCTTGCAGTCATGCGAGCCCTGTCGGCGAGCCAAACAGCGATGTGATCATGATCGGCCGATCTGTCGCAGATGCGCTGCCAAGCGTATCAGTGATAAATGCTTCTATCACCCCTCACCCATGACCAGACGGAGACCTTCGGATGTAGTAAATCCCGAAGTTATCTCGAATTCGCTGACAAGCCAGCCAACTTCAAGGTATGCGCCGCTGTAACAGACCCAGAGCGATATGCTGAAATGTGACAGTACTTCGAGCCCCGGGTCATTGGGCAATGGGCGTCTTTTCGTACCCTTGGAGCCGCCATCAGCGCCTTCTGGCTACCTGGGCCCAACAAGCTATTCTGCAGTATTATCTGAGCACCGCAATGAGGTCCCACTGGAACCCGAGGAAACCGATTCTTCCGCGGGCCTAGTGGTGGATCCCGCTCGTCTTCAATCCGGGGTCGATGTGTTGAGCTTTCTCTATCACTTCAGTCTGCGACAGGTACTAATCGAGAAATTTTATCTGAGGACTATGAATACCATTCTTCCAAGAATGGTCATGGACGAAATCTTGCGGTCCTTGCAAACCATCTTCAGTGGTTTCCCTAGTGACCCGACCACTCAGTTGCAGGAATTATCGAATCAGATATTCCAAAATTCCTCACGATCGATGCAAACACACAAGTCTATGACTCCAGAAGAGTACTGTGCCTCCTTCACTGGGCGCAATATGCGATGGGAGGCTCTCGGGTCTATCTTCCCCCTTTGTGGCATGCAGCTGGTGGTCATGCTAGATAATGACCCTGACCTTATCCAGATGTCTGAAGATCCTCAGATGAAAGATCGCTTACTGCATCAGTGCACTGTAGTAAGCTCAATATGTCTTGGCTTGTGTGACCAGGCATCCTCTGCGAACGAACTACTGGCGATATTGCAATACAACGACACCATGTTACGAACACAGCAATACGGCGATTCAAGTATGACTTACTCGTCTGACTGGATGAGATTTCTCTCGCTAAATCATGACTTCACTTTTAGGTTACCAAGCGTGGCGTCGGCTGAGTGAGCTGGTGTCCACGGTCTATGCAGCTGGACTGCACTTGGAAAACGATAGCGCCGAAAACCTTCCATTTTTCCTTCGTCAATGGCGCAGGCGATGCTTTGTTGCCGCATTTGCCCAGGACAAAATGATTGCAAGCTTTGTCGGTCGACCGCCACTAATGAATGGCCGGTTCTGCACGCCCACAGCCCCATTGGATTTGAGCAACACTGTTCTTGTTGCGGGCGGCGATGCCCTCGAAAAAGCCATCTCGGAGCTTGACAGTGCTGGTTGGAATAGAGAAGGCATGTTACACGCGGTCACTCCCTTGCGTCTGCGCTATCAGCTAGCTACCATTCGGGAGGAAACCCTCGAGGTGGTACTCGGAACTCACGAGCAGCACAATCTAATCCAGAAATCCGAGTATATAATCCCGTCTATCTCATATCATGCCAACCTGCTTACACTCGTTGATTAGGGACATTCAAGCAAAATCACGCGCGATATGGGCAGCTGCCCCGAACAGTCTCCGATACGACCGATGCCCGACTGATACTCCTCCCCATGCTTTACTCACCATTACTTATTTCTATCTGGATTATCTCTATACTTGCTTCCTTCTCTATCGGGCGGTTGTCAAGGGTACTAATACCGGGCAAGCAGACCTGTGTGATGTTTCTCGCCGTGTGTTAGCTATTGTCATTCAAGTGAACTCCTTTCGGACCCCAATGATTGATCTAGGCCGGCATTTTTCGTGGATAGTAGGTTCCATATCCGTCCCATGCGTGGAAGCTTACTGACGGGTCCAGGTCCTCTCGTACGGAGTGCCATCGGCTAGTGTGCTTCTTCTTGAACTTCTGCGTCAAGCGTGCGAGCCCGGTCCACACGCTGTCTCTCTGCCGCGTGCAGAACTCATCCGCAACCTCAGCGTGTTTATTTCGTTTCTGTCGTGGGTGGCAGTTCCCGGTCACGGAAACTACAACACCTGCAAACAAGCCGAGAAAAAGCTGGCAAAGATCCTAGACCAGATTCTCGATCCTCAGCCTGTTCAGCAGCATGTCGTCGATGATTGTACCTCAGGGCTAGATGATTTTCTGAGCTGGTCAAACTACAACACGATCTGGGACTTCAGCACCGAGTACATTCCCGTTGATGAGAGTTTTACATCTTGAATTCTGGTCATGGAAGCCTGGAGCTACAGTCCAGATCATGTGTTTGATTCATCACGTCGTTAATTTACTGCCCTCTCCCGTTTGATTGATGGACTGTTACTCGTCATACCATCCACACATAATCATTACTGGGAGGCGTGTCGCTCACATAATAGGCGCGATGGCATAGCGGGCAATTATAATGGTCGCCCAAAAACCACTTCTCCAGGCACTCTCTGTGGAAAACGTGCAAGCACAAAAGCTCCCGGATCTCCTGCGTGCGGCCCACCTGTTCCAGGCACACAGCGCTGGGTGAATGTCAATCAATACCCTCTTGGCAAAGGAGATGGAAAAAACACACCATACAAACTGGCCATCAACGGCCTCCGACAATCCCAGATTGCCCTTCGTATTAGACCACCACTTTTCAAGCGTGCAAGTAGGCGAGACCTTATCCAACTTGCGCAAGCGCTCACCAGGGTCTTTTTTCGACTTGAGAAATGACTGACGGTCTCGGCGACTGATTACTATCGTCAAACTGCATGTAAAACGATTAGCGATTATCGCAAACTGGACTATGTAGTATCGGAGGGAAAAAATGATTTCGGCGAGAATAGAAAAGAAGAGAAAACCCCCTCCATTTTCCCACGGATGATAGGCAAATCTCACGCACATCAGACTGAGCACAATCAGTAGCACGACTCCGAGCCCGATACCCAGAACAATTGCCAGATGGCTCTTCTTCAGCTTCTCTTCGGCCATCTTGCCCGGTTGTACGAACGGGTATAATCGTCAGTCGGATAGAAGGGATTTTTTTTTCGAGAGCATAAGCGAAAGCCAAAGTCTAAAGTCCAAATACGTTCGAGATCACAGGCAGATACAGAGGAGGGTCGTACGACCTTGTCGTGCCACAGCGCCCAAAGAACGTGTTGACGGTGGAGTGTCGAGTGGGACAGAGAGGACGGTGAGAAATGCACAGCACGCGTGAAGTACTAGACGAGGTTACTTGGAGAAAAGTCACTTTGCAAATTCCAAGTAACTTCAAAGTTCAAAGTTCCCCAAGTCCGCCTTTGAAAAGGCTCTGGGGGATCGACCCGTCAGAGCGTCAGAGCGGGGAAGAGACGTGGATACACGCGATTCTGTCCCTTTTCATCATACGATCGGCTCAGTGAGTTTTGGATCCCTGCATTGTTTAACCACTCAGATGTAAGGAAGGGATAGTGTCTGTGTACGGAGTAGATCAAGGGTGGAATGTTCACTTTATTTCAGTTGCCTTTTGATGTGTGGAAGTGATAATCCGGGGTACCTGGACCCATCACATCGCAATATGAAGCCAAGACTTGTATGTAATGCGCCTCATTGCTCCACTCCCCTGCTTCATCAGTGCAAGGGTTGTATTTTTGGGCACATTCTTCGAAGATTCTACGTTGTATTCGCTTGGTGACATGGAATCTACTATTGGAATTATTGTATTGCGTGCTCTATATTGGAAGCTCTGGAGCATGGCTGCATGGTCCAATGCACATCTCCAACGCTCTCCCAGACCAGTCTAGCGGATTTGGCCAATGATCAACAATACTTCAAATTCTGATATGGGTGTGGTAACCCCAGGTATCTTCCTATGTGTTCATCGAGAGCAGACATGTACGCTCAAGTAATGTTCTGTGAGACTAGGAGAGGAAGAAGAGAGAGAGAGAGAGAGAGAGAGAGAGAGAGAGAGAGAGAGAGAGAGAGGGAAGCTCTCTCTATCTACGCTATTCTACCGTACTGAGAGCCTGACAAACCAAGGCACCCACCGGCTTCAACAGCCCTGGAGTGTCTTTTCAGGTGTCTTCCGATATGCTTTTTTTATACCTTCTGGGGTAATCATAAAGTGAGATGATAGTACTCCGTACTCCGTATAGATGTTTTGTCACTCCTGGTGATGCAGATCCACTATCTTTGTCTGTACGGGCGCCATCCAATTCTCGTCTCCACAGCAGTCTCCACTCTGATAGACCCCAGCGCTCCATGATATTTCATAGACTTCCGAGAGTTCGATTGCTCTGTACAGCCTTCTCAAAAGGAGAATATGCGCTCTCCCTGTGGCGGTCTATAATTCTGCCGGTCTGTTTGTCCACGGAAAGCTCCGCAACTCCAAATTGACCCTTCGCACCCTGACTAGCCGGCACTTGCGCTTGTCTTGACGGCTCGATGACCAGCTCACCCGATTACAAGAAATTGTACCTTGAAGCAGAAGAGCAACGGAAGCACGCAGAACAGCGACGGATACAAGAAGAAGAGAGATGGAAGCACGCAGAAGAGCGTCGAAAGCACGCAGAAGAGCGACTAATACAAGAAGAAGAGAAATGGAAGCAGGCAGTAGAGCGACGGGAAAAGGCGGAACATGTGTTGAAGCAAGAAAGCGAGCGCAACCGGCGAACCACTTTCATGGAATTCCTCTGCCATTCCCACAACCTATTTTCCCGTCCTCTGAAGGTCAAAACGCCATATCATTCAACCACAGTGACAATACCTCCCAAGAGAACAAGTTGCCCGTTAAGACTGCGCCCATGGAATGATTGCGCCCCCCAGCAACAAGCCGTCTATGACCGTGTATGCCACTATCTGCAACCCAACAAAGAACCCCCTCATCTTTTCACGCCCTTGGCTACCTTCGAATGGTTTACTCAGTGTAACATAGGACCCATGCATAGCGAAAGGTGTCTCGAATCTTATGAACAAATTGCCGTTGAACACCATGTGCGCGATGTCATCGAAGAACTATGCAAGATCCCGGCTGCGCGGGAGGAGTTCATGCTTGGCGATGGTGTTAGGTTTGGCAACCATGAAAACGCTTTGAATGAAACTCGTGACGAATTAGCTGAAATCGACATGTCCAACCCACCTCGTCCAAAACTTGATCAATTCTGTGCCCACCGAGTTGATGGCAAAACAAACAGTCTCCTCTTTGCCGTGCAGTATAAGCCACCCCATAAGCTTTCAGTGGAAAATCTGCGAGCTGGACTTCGACCGATGGAATTATGGGACGAATTGGTCAATCGGGATACAGTGCCTTCAGACCCAATGGAAATATTACAGTACAATGCGGAACTTTCGTCAGCTTCGGCTTTGGTCCAGACATATGATATCATGATTGAAGAAGGCCGCGCGCATGCCATACTGACCAACGGGCTTGCTCGAGTTCTTCTCTATGTGTCGCATGATGACCCGGCCACGTTGAACTATCACCTCTGTGAGCCAAATAGGGAGATTGTTGGTCACTTACAGAGCTTTCAGCAGCCAATGACCTCCTTTGCTAGAGAGCTTTGTCTTTGTCTAATGAGCTTTCGTTCGCCCACGCGGAATCAAGAATGGCGAAATCTTGCACGTTCTCAAGCTCAGGTCTGGGAAACAAGTTTCGATCAAACTCGCTCTTCGATTCCCAAAGAAGAGCTGCAAAAGGCCCCCCAATTCGACAATGTGAACTCAAGACCTTCGAAACACCATCCATCGTCTGCGTTGGAATCTTCAATGGCAGATTGCCAAGTATCTACAAGACCTCGAACTAGCTTTACAACAACTGATTCTCAGAAGCGTACACCTCCACAAGACTCTTCGGGCTCTGGCTTAGCCGAAGTGGGCGAATGCAAGCGCCGAATTACGCCTTCTTCGTCATTTACTCAACAAGCCGCTCATGAGTGCGGTAATGGGGATAAACAAGACAACCAATCCCGCTACCATGATGCTCAATTCTGCACCCAGCGTTATTAACTAGAATTAAAGAGAAAGAACATCCTAGACGACGCTTGTCCAAACGTGGCGCTTCATCGACAGGACGATTGCAACAGCCACCCCATTACTTTAAAGGATCTACTTCTCTCACTCAAGACACAACTTGATGAAAACATAGACCGATGCAAACCTATAGGGAAATGCGGGGCTTATGGGGCGACATTCAAGCTGACATGCTTACAATATGGCTATACAGTCATCGGGAAAGGCACAACGTCCGATTTATGGGAAGAGGTTTCCGGCGAGGCGCAAGTATACCAAATTCTGCGGAAAATCCAAGGCTCTGCTGTTCCCGTTTTTCTGGGTACCATTGATTTGGCAAAGACTAACTTTCTTCATGGGGCTGGACCGATTCGTCATATGCTTGTAATGGGCTGGGGCGGCGAATGCTCAACAACGATAGAGCTGACCTCGAGTCTTCGCCGGGAGATACAGAGATCGGATAAGAGAATACAATCCTTGGGAATTGTTCATGAAGACTTTCGGCCTGAAAATATCCTTTGGAGTGAGGAGCTCAAGCGTGCACTGATCATCGATTTCCATCGCTTCAGTTGGAAATCACCACAAACCCCACGGCGAATGCAATCAGACAAGCGGCGGCCCGAGAGAACAGAGGATGATGATACAAAACGCCTTCGGGTATGATGAAGTAGGTATGAATCTGGACCGGCGATTTATACCCTAGAACAATCAACAGTCATCAAGGGAGCTTATGAGTTCGGTCGTCAGATAAAGCATAATAATATAAGATTACTAACTAGAGAGTTCATCCATGGATGGCCACAAAGCAATCTCAGAACCGCTATTTTGGCCAAGATTACCAGAATATTTGGATATATCCAAGCAAAGGAGAATGTTATGAGATAGATTCCGATATCAAATTTTGAAAGGCGATCCATGGATATTGTCAATCGAGCTCAGTTCCATGGTCGAACCTTGGAGGTCCCGAGCTTCCCCAAATTGTGCCTGGTTGGGTCTCCCCACTCCAAACAGCTCCATTGAACTCTGACGACATATCTCAATGTGACTATCGATCACATAGCTGTGGTGAGACACCAACAATACACAGACCCCAAATGTTTGAAGGCAAAGGACATTCCCCAAAAAGGTCCGAGATCCACGAGGGCGACTCCGCACGTGGGGTCACGTGAGGGCGCGTCTCCGCGCGTCAATACAGCCGACTCCAATACTTCCCAAGTTATACTTACAATGCACTGTGATGAGACGCCACAATAGAGGTTCGGTTTCCAACAGAGCCAAATAAGCACACGTACCGTATTCATGCAATTCATACAATTCTCTCTTTTTAGACCCGTACTGCGTTGTATACTGGAATTGTACTGTGGGGCTCTAGATCTTGACGCGTGAAATATGCGAGCATTCCTAGGAGTTTTAAAATCAAGTACAAAGTAATTGCAAAGTTGAACAGATCTGATATCAAAGGTCAATTCCGGTGGGTCAAGTACCAGGTACCTCGGAGGCGCACTGAGTTACTAGCGTGGGCCACGTTCTTGCTACTCCGCGTCTACACCGCGACGCGATCTAGCTGCCGTTTTCTGCATTCTGTACCAGCCTCGCTTTCCCAACTCTTCTTTTTTCCCTTCTCTCTCTCGGGGTTCCGGTGTTTCTCTTTTTCTCTCATTTCCTCCAACCTCCTTATGCACTCTTAACCTGCACAATGTCTGACCCGGAGCCCTCGGTGGCGATCTCATCTTCGCCCTCTCTCCCGGCCACCGACTCCAATCCTCTCAACTACGCCTTCCTCGTGCATTCACAGAAAACTCTCACTCAAAACCTCCCTCCGCGTGTCGACAATAAACTACTCGCCCGCCAAAAGCGACGACGCACTAGGTATGTGATCATCACACGTGGGAGCGGTCCCGATACCATGAACGCGTCAATTAACCCGATTGGTACTATTTTTACAGCCCAGAGGATCACGCAGTACTCGAATCCGAATATCAACGGAATGCGAAACCAGACAAGGCAGCCCGTACAAGTATCGTGAATCGCGTCTCGCTCGGTGAGAAAGAGGTCCAAGTATGTGATGCCAAGAACCGACACACAAAATCCGCCTCTAATCGTCTCCGCACAGATTTGGTTCCAGAACCGCCGCCAAAACGACCGTCGCAAATCCAAACCCCTTCAACCTCACGAGTTACTTGCCCCGCGGTCGGGCTTACTTGATTCATCGGGTCAGCCTTTGAGTGATGATAACGCGTCTGCGGAGCCGGGGTCTTCAAGTGGGGCAGAGCAGTTTGACAACGAACACCGCGAAGAAATGGCGTCAAAACCCTGGCACGGGGGTCTTTTGAATTTCTCCGATGATTCGGATCCAGTGACCGGAGATAGAGATGATCATGAACCTGAGTTGCCTCCAAGCACTCAGACGAGCGTGGCGACAGAGGCTGTCGATGACACTCCGCCGACTACGCAGGAAGAATTTTCTCAGAACGTAAACCACTCATCGGAGGATTCCCAGTTACTGGTACCCAAGAGGAAGCGTTCTGTGTCGGATATCAGAGGCGAGAGGGAAAATGAGCAGGCAGAGAACACACAAATCACACCCACAACACCCACAAAGTCACCACCATCCTTGAGACTGTCAATGTCTTTCGATGGAGAGGCTATGGTGCGCAAGGAAGGCGAACTGACACCGTCACCACCCAAAAGCCGGACTTCATTGCGTATCGCGATGTCATCGGATGGTAAGGCAGTTATCCGAGGAGAAAACGAGCCTTCCCCATCAAAGAACCGAGTGGCAATGTTCTCAGTTCGCCGAACAAAAATGTCAAGCTTGCGACGGAGCAGCAGTGCTGTCTTTCCAGCTACGCCGCGGGCAGGCGTGGCCGAGAAGGACCGGGCCTTCGGTCGCTCTCGTGATCCCCGCAACTGGGAGTCATTCTGTGACACGGATGCAAGAAGCGCCCTTTCAACACCAGGCAGTGGACCAAATGCTTCTTCGCCAAGTCTGTTCCATTCCCGCAGCCAGCGCTCAATGCCACGCAGTGCATCTGGGCGCCACAGCCTCGCTGCCAACCCCGACCTGACCAACACACCGATTTCTCAGTCCATGGGAGAGAAACGGCGAAAGTTAGCTCGTACCGTTTCATCTCTAGGGCGGTTGGAGACTGGTCGAAACAAAGCCAACGCCAATCTTCCCAAAATCTCTAAACCCATGTTCTCCAAATCAGGCAAGACACAATTTGAGATGGACGCCGGTGACTCTGACAAAGAAAATTGGGTGCCCGGTACTCGCTCAGCGAATATTCGTCGTCGCAACACGTCACATGTATCACGGCCGGCCCTGACTGATGCAAATCGGAACCGCGGGCTCGGGATCTCAACCAATGGCAAACGCAGACCACTTCAATCTCGCGCGCAGGGCAAGGCCCCAGAACTTAGTGCTGAGGTCTCTGCATTCATGGCTGGTGGCTCGGGCGATACCCAAGAAGATGATCTCGACTGTGTCCAGGGTCTTCTGTCGCTGAGTCAAGGGGCCTGGCGATAAGGAAGGGATGCAGAATTGATAAAGACATCGACATTCCGAAGCGCCTTTGATTCTAATGTCCTTTGCTCTCATCTATGCGCACCTTTGTTCTCCTTTTTTCTTTCCATTTCCTTTGTGCCTGAATTTCTTATTGCTACGGAGCCCTGTATTTTTTTATCTTCTTTTGTCCTCATGATCTGCAAAGTGCTCGTCATGTCGGCAAGTGCTGTCACGTGTCCATCCATGCTTCTTTTTACTCGGGCCTATTCTACTTGTTCTCTGCAACATTTATCGTGCATCGATGTCTTATGGCTTCTTTTACTCCTTGATGGCGCACTAGTCTGGCCCTTCTGGCCTGCGGTTGACGGCGATATGGCTGAACAAAGTGAAGGAAACGAAAGCGAATGCTCCTGAGAGAGATACACTAATCCTGGAATGAGTCCAAATAACGACCTGAAATACCACTGATTTAAGTATTTTTAACAATGAATGCAATGTTTGCCTCAACTCTATAACCTCTATGACTGTGCTAGTTTATGTAGAATCTGATACTCATCGTATCTAGATTGTAGGATGTACAAGACCAATGCGAGATAGACAAAAAGAAAGCCACCAAGATTCAACAATACCTACAGAGTATTCCATACTCCGTACTGTTTGTTCAAATGAAAGCTCCAGTGCCACCCATGAATCCCAAAAACACCCCTCAAGCAAGGAGAATAAGACCCCTCACAGACCCCCAGAGGGCAAAAGAATCATCCCGCCCATCCCTACAAATCAACCTCGCAACCCTCTCCCCACTCCAATACGCCCCCGTAGTCGTCCCCAACGCTTCAAAGGGCGCCGTATGCTCACCAGCAAACCACAAACCCCTCAACAACCCAATCCCATCCCCATCCCTCAAAACCTCAATATCCCTATCCGCCTCCACAACCCCAGCCTGGAAATTACAGTAAGACCCATTCCCCGCATACTCATCTTTCTGCCACTGCGTCGCCAGAAACGCCGTCGGCACACAGTCCGCGGACTCAGCGTCGTACCCCGGTAGTCGCGCGTAGAATGGCTGCAGCGTCTTCGTTAGAATATTCTTATATTCTGGCGAGTCGGCGGATAGATGGTGGATTGAATTGATGATTTCAGCGCCGCTTTCGCCGTATGTGTAGAAGAGGAGGGTTGGATGGGCGTGTGGGGATGGTAGGGCTGCGAAGGAGAGACATTCTTGGGTCCATTCTATGTGCGGTGGGTGAGGGGCGTAGGTTGGTTCGAGGAATTGGGCGAAGACGGTTGAAGTTGAGGTCTGGGTTGAAGTGGAAGTGGAAGTGGAAGTGGATGTTGGCACATTGTGCCAGAAGGCGCGGGGGAAGGTCACGTAGACTTTTTCCAATCTGCCGTATGAGATGTTGGTGATTGCTGACAGGAGACGTGGTGGGAGGGCTGGAGAGAATGCGGTGGTGTTTTGTTTCAGCCAGCCTAGTGGGCAGGTTACTACTACTTCGTCGAAGTTGTAGGTTGTTGCGGTGGTTGTTACGGTGATTTGGTGGTGTTGGTTTGGTGTGCGAGGAGGGGCGTTGATGCTTGTGACTGGCTCGTTGAGTTGGATGTTGGCTTTTGCGCTGGCTGTCTTGGAAATGTGTTCTAGGATGCGCTTGTATGTGGATGCTACGACGAAGTTGCCTGATTGGGGGTGTTAGAGACGTGGGCTTCGAGTCGAGGTTTGGTGAATGTCTTGTACTCACTTCCATCAACGCATTCTTCCAAGCGGAAGAATCTCAAACTTTGCCTGTCGACCTGGTCGCCGACATAGGTGCCCCAGAGCTTACAAGCATCCAGGCAGAGGTTCTTCTCTTCAGTCGAGAAGTCTGTTTGTTGAACTCGCTCTCGGAAAAAGTCAAGCAGACTCTTTTCAGCGGGAATACTGTTTCCATGACGATTACTGTATTCAAACGCCTCTGAGATGGTCGTCCACACAAAGTCCTGGACTTTGGAATTGATATCGTCATGAATAGGCTGGCCATCCGGGGCAAACGCAACATGTTGACCACCCTCGGGGTCAAACATAGTCGTGCCCGTCGCTTCCGCGATGTTCATGATAGGATTTTCTCCGGCGCCATGTATCCAATTGGGACCTCTAGTCAGAGCGTTAACGTGGTATACTTCGACGGTTAAGGCAGGAATTCACATACAGATCCACCACATGGTTCCCAACCGATGATCGGTGCACCTGAAACAAAGACAAAGTCTTAGCTACCGCCACATGTGCCGATGCAGGGGAGACATACCCTGCCGCCAATGCGATCTCTTGCTTCTAGGATTGTTACTCGGGCCCCGTTTTGAATGAGGATATCGGCGCAGCGGAGGCCGGACAGGCCAGCGCCAATGATGCCAACGTGCTTTGACATGGCGTGAGGTTGAAGACAGCGAATGCGATTGATGTATCGGACAGGAAATCTGTGCATTCCAAGGTTGGATCTCAGGATGGTTTCTACAGCGTAGACATTTTTCTGCGGCTTATCTCTCTTATCTCGGGTCTGCGCCTTACGAGGCTATCTAGAATCCCGAGGTCTACGAGTTTGTATACTTTTGGTCATTTTGAGAGCTAAACCCCAATTGCATTGATGAGAGTGATAATGAAGTTCAAGCAACAACGCTTGAGGCGCAGATAGATAGAAACAAGCAATTATGACCAGCATAATAATTGAATTCGCAATGCTCGTGGTCCCATACCATGAAAAGTGGAGACCACCGCCATGACAGGAACAAAAAAAAACTCCAATGATTCAAGCGCCTTTTGTAATGATGAAGGACAGTGATAGGGTATGTACGGGTCGGGAGTAAAGGAAGGGTATCAAGGAAGTTCAGAGAATCGAGAGCGCCACGAAGCAAAAGAAGAAAAACAAGGCCAATGATAAGCAGAGGTCAACTCCGCCCATAATCAATGATCTGATGGAGATGAGGCTGAGGTATGCCCGGTCGTAGTGGGTGAGGATAGCGGATAGCGTTGGGGGGTGAATCGTATGGCGGCGGACGCGCTTCAGTCCTCCCAGATGGTCTCGAGATCAAGATCCTGTCGTCGTTCGGCGCCACAGACACTCCATCGCTTGCGTTTGTCGCTCCGGGCTCCATAGCTACCAGTTCCCCCACGAGTGGTGCTGAAAGAGTTGGGCGCATCGGATGCCCCGCGCCGGCGGTTGGCGTTGCTTGCAGCGTCGGCGGCATCAGCTGCGGCCTTCAGCTCGGCGATCCGATCGTCCTCCATTGCCTCGTTTTCTGCATCAGGGATGTCAGGGATTGTCTCCAGGGAGGAAATGCTGGGGCTGCGTGAACGGAGACTGGTCGGCGTGGAGGGGATGGACATGGATGAAACGGAGGAGGCGGAGTTCACCGGGTAGGCTTCGTTGTACTTGCCCCCGAGGACTGGTGGGGAATGCAAGGGGCCCCCGATAGAGTTGTGAAATGGAAGGGGGAGGTTGATCGTATGCGACCGATGCGGGGGAACGTTTGCGCCATCAGGTCTGGGGAGCCGGACTGAGAGGGTGATCTGGGGACGGTTTGGAGTTCTGCGTTCTCCGAAATGGTCTCTGAGATATTCAGGGATCCCATGCGGGTTTCGACGTGATCGTCGGGGCGCATCTGCAGGGGTAGATATCGCTTTGCGTCCGGTGCCCGACCATTGAAGATATAACGACCACGAGAGTCCAGTCCTGGAGATGAGTAGGCGCGCGTCATAGACGGCATGCCCGGGATTCCGGCCAGTGAGCGAGAGCGGAGATGCGATCGGGCCAAAGGGGATCGGGTCCGAGGGGATGACGGTGGTTCAAGGGAAAAAGTGATCATGACGTCCTCCTTTTCCTGAGCATCGTAGGTGTCAGGTCGAGACTCCATATTTGAAAAGGAAAGACAGAGGGGGAAAAAAAAGGTTAAGGGGACTCTAGCTTCGCATGGTGACAGTAATCAGAGACTCTTGGGCCGGCCAAGTAAGAGAGTCGAGAGGTGTCAAAGAGAAGAAAAAAGGGTGAGTCTTTTCGAGCCCAAAAGACCCAGAACCTTACGAACGTGCTTGTCGATCGTACCTTGGAGCCTCCTATTTGTCTTTTATCTTTTCTTTTTCTTTTCTTTTTCTTTCTCTTTTTCCTTATTTCTTTCTAAAGTACGGAGTACGGAGTAATTGCTTTTCCTTTTTTTTACTCGGCTTCTTTGCTCTACATACTTCTAGAATCCACTACTTCACCTCTTATCTATAGCATTGACAAGCATACTTGCCAGGATCTAGATTTCAGCGCTTGGCATTCCCGTTATTCTCCTGCGCTATTGCAGAGTATCCATCCTCAGGCCTCGACTCTTGCTCCATACTTCCCACTTGGTGCCCGAAGCCTAATTCAACTGGTTTCATGCAGATTTTTCTCCAAAGCACATTGCCTAGAACGTTTCATCGGTGCAAATGCCGAACCACTTTTACACGCCCCGTGGATCAGTGGCGACTTCGGGAAATGTTCTCGAATGAGAGCCTGATCGAAGTTCAAGGTGGATCTATACGTCTTCCACTACGTAGTGCTCTATACTGCGTACCATAGTACGTAGCTTGGATCTGTTTAACTTTGATATATTTGGAAACTTTGGAAAAGAAATCCGGTGAAAGACTCTGGAACTGTTTGAGCTTTTTTTTTCTTGACGTTGCATTCGGGATTTGTGACGCCTAAATAATGGAGACACGGACTTGGCCGCTTCGTCTGGGCTATGTTGCGTGTGCATATAGATAACATCTTCCATCGAGGTCTGGGCTGTGGCGTGCAGAATGTACAGAATGTGCAGAATTCTAAACAGGGCCGGCTGGCTTCAATGGTAACAAATAACATCTCGAAATCAATTATGTATTAGACAGTAAGAAATTGCCAATGGCATGTAAAAAGAAGGAAAAGGGAAAAGAGCACGTAATGAACAGAGGGGAATCGAATAAACAACAAAATCAGGATATCTCAAGGCGTGTGGACAATCTTCTGTTCGCCTTCCTTGCACTTGGAAAGATCTTTGCGCACGTACGTTTCACGCACCGGATCACCTTCATTCCTAAACACCACCCACTCACCCATCCCATGCTCCTCGGGCGCCACACGGCAGCCACGTCCACCACCACCAACAATGACATTGCCAGGACGGTAGTTACGATTTGCCTGCATGCGGCGAATCGCAGACACGTGGATCTCGGCATTGAGCGGAACATCGCGCACTTCACCCCGAGGAAGAGGCCAGCTAATAGGCTTCCATGACCCATCAGCCTGTAGATCCATACGACGGAACGGCAACCACTCCATGATGCGCCAAGTGATAACCGACATGGCCGGAATACCCTGGTTGAACAACAAACAATCGTGACTCAGTCCCTCGGTACTGGAAGTGTGTAGCGCATGCCAGAAATCGCGACTAGCAGCACTGCGCTCCTTCTCATTCGGCATCGAGCGGAACGCCTCATCGTTCTCAGCATGCGGCTCGAGACAGCGACTAGGCCGGCGCGCATTGATCTCCTGCTGAATAGGCGTGTAGTCTCCACTGAACTCCTCCAAACATTGGAACTGCTTCATCTTGCGCTCGTCAAGCTCAAGTCCGGCCTTCTGTGCTTCCTGCGTCATCCATACCAGCGGTGCGTGACTGAGAGCCCACTTCTCATCAGGCGCCAACTTCCAGCCACCACCGATATCAGCGTGGCATCCGGGGAACCAGATTTCGTGGATGTCTTGGTCGTCTTCGTCCTCGTCTTCCTCGTCTTCTGTGCCCGGGATCTGCACAGATAGCACATTCGAGTGCGCGCTCTGGCATGATTCCTTGCTGCCCACTGAGTGCAGGTCTTCCATGGATGCTTTGGGAACTGCGAGGCTGCGTCGGGGTGAGGGCGCGCGGTATGCGTGGGGTTTCATAGTTGCGGGCTCGTCTCCTAGATGGGAACCTGCGTGAGAACCTGCGCGCGACTCTGCGCGTGACCCTGGGCGGGAGTTTGCTTGTGAGGCGTGGCGTCCGCGTCCGCTATGGTAGTACGATTCTCCTTCCTGAGGTCCCCATCCAGGGGCTTGGGATTCAGGACCGGGTTTTTCGCTGTCTTGCTTCTCCTCTTCAGAATTGTCGTTGAAACGAATGGAAGGAACATTATCCGGGTGGTCTTCTTGGGCCTTTTGGGCCTTGCGCTCCTTATCCTGATGGAAGAGATGGAGGTGGTTGTGCTCATCGCGGTGACGGTCCATATGGTGCTCGAGTGGGTTCTTCGGCAGATGGTGGCGGTGCTTGTGATGCTTCAACTCTTGAGGACGAGGACCAGAGATCAGATCCTGACGGAACTTTGCGCGACGCTCATCAATACCCACGGCGTGACGAATTACCTTTGCGGAACTGCGCGCCGTATAGGGGAATTTGGTGCGCTGCATCCATGCGGACTCGAAGCGAGGGACACTGTTGACGGTGTCGAACAGACCCATGAATCGGATGCGCGAAATGGGACGACTGAACGTCTCACGGAAAGCCTTCATATATGTGAAGAGTCTCTTCTTCTCTTCTCGCTCCTCCTCTGTATCATCAGATCGTTGTTGCCATTTGGCAAACGTCTTCCATGCAAAGCGAACCAGTTCTTCGTTTCCAGCCTCGAGCAGACCGATATAGTCTAACATCTCCGCGAGGAATCGCGCAATGTATGAGCCACGACTGAAGCCGATGAAATAGATCTCGTCGCCTGGGGAATAGTATCGCATCAGGAACTTGTACCCGCCCATGACATGTTCATCGAAGGACGAGCCAACCGCCGAGTCCTTGGCTTTCTGGTACGCCGACTTAATGCGCTGAAAGCGACCATGGCTAGAGAGCGACTTTGAAGTCACATATGTGCCAATACCAGGTTGGTAGTAGTGGTACTGGTGGCTTTTACTGCGGTCAAGCATCTGCGAGGTGTCAGAGCAGCATCGGTTTCTTGGCTCGCAGTCCCACTTACACGAAAGATCTTGAGCACATTGCTGTCGGACTCATCTCCTGCAAACTTATTTCCCGTGCCGTCGAAGCATAGTACGAATTGTTTCGGCATGCCCGATGGGCCCTGGTGTCCGTACCCGTGAGCCATAATTTTTTTTCCGACGAATAAATGATCTCGCCAGGAGGGTAGTCGGAACTTGGCAAGTTGTGAAAAGGCTCAGGGGACTATATACGGGGAAAGAAAGGGAAAAAAACCAAGCCTGTGAGGGTTGCAGATTGCAGCTTATGGATTACACGAATCAGCGCCCTACGTCGGACCCAGATGGGGAGGGGGATAAGAATGCTCAACCCGCTAGTCGATCGCTGCAGCTTTACCAAGAGAATACGTCAAACCACAGTGGGCTGACGGGCGGGGCCTGGCACATTCCAATCACAAGACGGACCTGTTAATTTTTTTTTTTTCTGTCATCGCCTTTGGGATTTTACGTTCATGAGTACCCTGTCTGGCTAACTACACCAACCTCTGCCTGTTGAAGTGTGGTACACAGAAAAGCAGCCTTGATATGTGAGTTGCAACGGGGGTGCATTCCACCCAATGATGATGTCCCGGATATCATTGCTGTATATGCACCTTGTCTTGCAGTCCGGGCTGACCCTGACTCGAGAACAATCTGCACGAGGGATGTTCGGCTCGGGCCTATGAGTGGATTTGGAATGTTACGGGGCTGGAGACCAAAAGAGAGACCTGCAGATTCTACGAAGCTTTGATTGCGACTCATCAATGGGCTCCTCCACCTATGAGCGATGTGAAAACAAGACGATCTGGTGTTTACAGAATGACCGCCGATCAATCCCCACTACGTCTCCGAGCACTGGTCACCAATACGGAGTACTCAAGCTAAGGTGTAAGGGGGGCGAGGTTCGTGTGCACAGGTTCCGCCGCAGCGGGAGAGGCGATCGGGTCTAATCTTGAGATTACAGTAGTACCGAGCTGACCCGCCATGGAAATCCCCCATTGGATTCCAATCATTAGGTTTGTGTTTGATAATAGCATTTTGCTGCTGTCAGTGTGACACGGACGTAATAGCACAGAATGAAGTCATGGCCTTGGACCAGGATTCAGAATAATATCCCGTGAGTGGGACAGCTGAAAAACCTCTGACCCGCGGCGCTGGGAATTAGTGGGCCTTGCAAAATCAAAAAAGGAGGTCTTCAATTACTCCGTACTGTCGGGAAGTAACCCTTGACAGAGAGCTGCACCGGGATATGAACATTACAAAAATACTTCCAAGGTTGTTATTAGTACTCCGTACTCCATAGGGAGTGCGATATTTGATATTTCAAAGCCCGCCTCTCCCAAGGTTGACCTCGGGAGCGGCCCCGGATATGATCCGTGGTTCGTCTCGCACAGATCTAGAAGATCTGGCTCAGATCGCGATGTGATCACAGTACATATTGCCAAAGTCTAGAAGTTTACAAGTAACTGTACGGAGTACAGTCTCTGATTATCCATCAAAATCAGGTTTGGGGATCTGATCTGGATCTTGATCTCTGCAATGTTCAATACAAAGTAAAAAAAAAAGGGGGGATGCGCAAGACCCGAGCAAACCGCGTCTGGTACCGACGGACCCTTAGGGTGGGGAAATCCAGCCGATAGATCAGAATCTGAATAATTCGTGACGATGACTGGCAGGTCCATTCGCCAATGACTGACGGCAGAAAGTGGTTCGTGCAGGCCAAGTCCGAAATTGTCCACGAACGGGTGGGCCTCTTGTCGATCTAAACCTAAACGGAGGTGACTTTGACAGTACCGTACGTGGTGCGGTAAGTATTCGGCCCGTACCCAGCCGCTATACTGTCCAATGGTACATGATGTGTATAAAAGAACTGCGTATCCTCTCATTATCCTCTTATATTACTCGTATAACTTGAAACTAAACAGTATGCACTTTACTGTATCTTCGCTATCACATCAAGACCTTGCGTCCCAGGGTCCAAGTCTCTGGCTTTGCTCACCTGAATGGAGGCCAATCAATGTCGGTCAGCCCTGAACAGCTCCCACCCCTGTTGGTATTTATTCTTATTCTGTATGGAGCATTTCCCAAATTACAGAGCTGATGACAACCAGCCAGCCACCAACCACGGAGTACCCCGTAATTTATTTGGTATTGCTAATTTCTAATGTCTGAAGAGCGGCAAAGCGCACCCCCACTTGGGGCCGATTTAGCTCGATCTTAAGATCCCATGTGGAACTATGGCCATGTTTTACAAAAAATTCTTGTACACCGCTAAGATTCCATACAATGTTGTATCACCTGGTACCGATGCTATAGGCCTCGGTTTCCCTGACGTACCCGTGCTTTTCAGCTCATCAGGCCTGGATCATCCATGCAGCCTAGATTGCTTTATATTGGACCAACGACGCTGTGTATCAGGTTGAACATGCCATTGCCATGTAATTGTATTTGTATATTCTCGCCTGTATCCTCGTACACTGCGCTCCCCTGAAGAAAAAAAAACAAAACAAAAAAACAATGGCATCATACTCCGTACAATGCTGATCTTTTACTTGGTCCGTCCCAACCCACAAGCTTGTTGCGGGGCTAGTAATGTACAGCCGCTTCTCCGTACAGGTTGAAAAGCAAAGATCCAAAGCTAGTACACACTCTCTCAGCTGCAGTCAATCAACTATTGGCGATAACTAATCCGCCACTTGGGAGGTTGCTCCACAGTCCTGCAGCTGACTTGCGTCGCTCGTTTTTAAAGAGCACCGTCGCGCGAGCTTCCTCATTCCCCTGGTGATAGCCACTCTTCCCTAATTAATTTTCCTTTTTTTTGCCTGTTTACTATCTCACTTGTTCGTGTGAGACTATAATTCATATATCACAATGTTGAGGAGATTCTCTACTCAGTTCAAGCGGTCCAAGGACGCCAATGGCGACTCCGAGCCCAAGAACGACAAGTCCGCCGACAAGACTGCCGACAAGACCTCCGACAAGAGCGCTGAGAAGAGCAAGCGCTTCTCCAAGGTCACTCCCGCTCGCAAGTCCGCCTCTAACCAGGAGGAAGGCCACGTCGTGAAGCGCGCCGAGGTCGTTGCTACCTTTGAAAAGTTCGCACAGGCCATTCACGCTTCACGGGAACCTCTGCCTAACCAGTCCGGTGACGGCACTTACCTCAAGCACGACAAGTCCGGCGGTCTGATCGCGGACATCAAGGCTCTCGGATTCCGCGATGTCGGCACAGTCAAGGACCTGATCGCTAACAAGGCCTCTGGTGAGCTCATGGATGATAAGACCTACCTGATGGAGCGCATCATCCAGATGGTCGCCGATCTGCCTGGTAACTCCAAGGCCCGCCCCGAGCTCACCAGTGTGTTCTTGGACGAGCTGTGGAACTCAATTCCTCACCCTCCTCTCTCGTAAGAATTTCCAAAGTCAATTGGGCTCCGCAATCGTATGCTAACGTGGTGGGATGACAGTTACATGGGTGACGACTTCAAGTACCGCTCAGCCGATGGCTCAAACAACAACCCTACCCTCCCCTGGTTGGGAGCCGCTAATACCGCCTACTGCCGCACGATTCCTCCCCTGACTATCCAGCCCAGCGGCTTGCCTGACGCTGGTCTAATTTTTGATACCCTCTATGCTCGTCAGGAGTTCACCCCGCACCCCAACAAGGTTTCCAGTGTTTTCTTCGATTGGGCCTCTTTGATTATTCACGGTGAGTCGACTAAATCAAACTTGACAGCCCAAGGCACTAATGCGATGTGCTTGTGTAGATATCTTCCAAACCGACTACCGCCAGCAACACCTGAACAAGACCTCTGCCTACCTTGATTTGTCCATTCTGTACGGTGATGTCAAGGAGCAGCAGGATCTCATCCGTTCCCACCAGGATGGTAAGCTGAAGCCCGATTGCTTCTCCGAGGGTCGTCTGCAGGCCCTCCCCGCTGCTTGCGGTGTTCTCCTGGTTATGCTGAACCGTTTCCACAACCACGTTGTGGGCCAATTGGCTGAGATCAACGAGAACGGTCGCTTCAGCGGTCCCCGTCCCGGTCTGTCTGAGGAGGACACCAAGGCCGCTTGGGTGAAGCGCGATGAGGACCTGTTCCAGACCGGTCGTCTCATCACCTGTGGTCTGTACATCAACATCACCTTGTACGACTACTTGCGTACCATCGTCAACCTGAACCGCACCAACTCCACTTGGTGCTTGGACCCCAGAGCCCAGGTCGAGAAGGCCGGTGCCACTCCCTCCGGTCTCGGTAACCAGTGCTCCGTTGAGTTCAACCTGGCTTACCGCTGGCACTCTACCATCAGTCAGGGTGATGAGAAGTGGATCGAGCAGATCTACCATGACCTCATGGGCAAGCCTGCCGAGGAGGTCACCATGCCCGAGTTGTTGATGGGCATGAAGAAGGTTGAGACTATGATCGACGCTGACCCCTCCAAGCGTACCTTCGCCCACCTGAAGCGTAACGAGGACGGTTTCTTCGATGATGGAGAGCTTGTCAACGTCCTGAGCAATGCTACTGAGGACGTTGCTAGCTCTTTCGGTCCCCGCAACGTGCCCAAGGCTCTGCGCTCCATCGAGATTCTCGGTATCGAGGCTTCCCGTCGCTGGAACGTTGGCTCCCTCAACGAGTTCCGTAAGCACTTCGGTCTGAAGACTTACGAGACTTTCGAGGAGGTCAACTCCAACCCCGAGATTGCTGACACCCTTCGTCACCTCTACGAGCACCCCGATTATATTGAGCTCTACCCCGGTATTGTCTCTGAGGAAGCCAAGGAGCCCATGGTTCCTGGTGTCGGTATTGCCCCAACCTACACCATCTCCCGTGCTGTCCTCTCCGATGCCGTCGCGCTTGTCCGTGGTGACCGTCACTACACCATCGACTACAACGCTCGCAACCTGACCAACTGGGGTTACAACGAGGCTCGCTACGACCTGAACATCAACCAAGGTTGTGTGTTCTACAAGCTGGCCAACCGCGCCTTCCCCAACCACTACAAGCCCGACTCCATCTACGCCCACTACCCCATGACCATCCCCAGCGAGAACCGCAACATCATGAAGGATCTGGGCCGCGAGCAGGACTACTCCTACGACAGACCCACTTTCATGGAGCCCCGCGTCAACCTGGCCTCCCACCAGAGCGCCAAGCTGGTCCTCGAGAACCAGACTGACTTCCGTCCCAGCTGGGGTCGCTCCATGTCCGAGCTCTTCGGCAAGGGTGAATTCGATACCAAGCAGCGCGAGGCTATCGGCAAGGCTCTCAACACTGAGGAGTTCCCCAAGCTCGTCAAGACCTTCTACACTGATATCACTCAGCGTCTGCTCACTGAGAAGACCGGTCGTCTGGGCAAGATCAACCAGGTCGACATTACTCGCGATGTCGGCAACCTGGCCCACGTTCACTTCGCCTCTACCATCTTCGGTCTTCCTCTGAAGACCGAGCAGAACCCCCAGGGTCTGTTCACCGAGCACGAGTTGTACATGATCCTGTCCACCATCTTCACCGCGCTCTTCTTCGACGTCGACGCACCCCGCTCCTACGCTCTGAACAAGGCCGCCTCCGCTGTCTCCACTCAGCTCGGACAGGTCGTCGAGGCCACCGTCAAGGCAGACACCAACAGCGGTCTGTTCGCCGGTATCATGGACAACTTCCGCCCCCACGACAACGCCCTCCGCGAGTTCGGTACCGAGGCCATCCGCCGCATGAAGGAGGCTGGCTCCAGCTCTTCTGACATCACCTGGTCCGCCATCGTCCCCACAATCGTCGGTCTCGTCCCCAACCAGGGCCAAGTCTTCACCCAGATCATCGAGTTCTACACCAAGCCCGAGAACAAGGCTCACCTCACCGATATCAGCCGTCTGACCCAGACCGACGACGCTGCCACCGACGAGAAGCTCTACCACTACTGCCTGGAAGCCATCCGTCTGAACGGTAACTTCGGTGCCTTCCGCGAGGCCAAGGAGACCGTCACCGTCCAAGAGGACGGAAAGACTTACACCATCCAGCCCGGTCAGCAGGTCTTCGCTTCCTTCGACCAGGCCAACCAGGACCCCAGCGTCTTCCCCGAGCCCACTCAGGTCCGTCTCGACCGTCCCCTTGAGTCATACCTCAACCACGGCCAAGGTCCCACTACCGGCTTCGGCGAGCAGATCACTAAGATCGCCCTCGTCGCCATGCTTCGTGTCGTTGCCCGTCTGCCGGGTCTCCGTCGCGCCGCTGGTCCTCAGGGTCAGCTTAAGAAGATTCCTCAGGAGGGTGGTTACTATGTCTACCTTCGTGGTGACGGAACTGCTTACTGTCCCTTCCCCATGTCCCTCAAGCTCCACTGGGATGCTGCTCTGTAAGGATGTGGATGTGTGATGCTGATGTAAGAACGCAATGATTGCGCACGTGTCATGTTTTGTGAAGATTATTCCCCCCAAGGTTGGATCTGGTTGACTTGAGCTTTTGTTTCTGCCTTTTGTTTTTCCGGGGTTTGGTCGTCAGGATCTCCAGAAATTGTTGAACACTTGTTCATAGTATTGTAGTGTATATTTCATGAAATTTCAATTTTCATAATTCAAGTCTCCTGAGTAGAAGATGAAGTGATATGCCGTAGTAGTCATCAAGACCAAGAGCAACATGATGTCTATGAGCACTACGGAATATGTTGTTTACATCACACCGCCTTTCCACTTAGCTTCCATACTGCCGCATCTATCCAGCGTCAAGCTGTTGACTCTATCCTCATCCCCGCAATTGAAGCTTTACACAGCAATTAAACCCTTCAATCATCTTCAAAATGCCTCCACCCAAAGCTGCAAAAAGCGAATACATTGAAACAGTGAGCAGCATCCCCAGGGCCCTCTTGAACCCCTCTACACACTCCCACGATAAACAACCTAACCAGTACCCCAGGACACAGGCAACAAAATCTCCCGAAGATCCCAAATCCACGGCACACAACACATCATCCTAGGCGGCAAAACAGTAATCCAAGCCGAAGCCGTAATTCGCGGCGACCTCTTCCGCAACCCATCAACAACCCCGGACCCCAACAACCCCAGCACACCCACCCAATCCTCCAACGCGCCCAGTGTCGCCATAAACGTCGGGCGCTACAGCTACATATCCAAAAATGCAATTTTGAGACCACCTAGTCGCCTCCATCGCGGTACGCACTCGTTCTACCCGCTCAAGATCGGTGACCATGTGTTTGTTGGCGAGGGTGCTGTTATTGAGGCTGCGCAGCTGGGGAACCATGTTCATGTTGGGAAGGGGGCTGCTGTTGGTAGTATGGCTATTATTAAGGACTATGCTTATGTGCTGGATGGTGCGGTTGTACCGCCTGGAATGGTGGTGCCGAGTTGGTGTGTTGTTGGTGGGAGGCCGGCGAGGATTGTCGGGGAGGTTGGGGAGGGGTATGGTGTAGAAGGGGCTGATGGGGGTTTGGCTAGGGAGAGGTATAGGCTTGTTGGTAAGCCTTAAGGGGTTCCAAAGGGGATGTAGTAGTATGTGTGTGTTTTTGGTTTTTGGTCTATTTGATACCCCCTCTTGTTTTTGTGTACAGAGTGCGACGAAATCTGGTTATGAAATCCATTCCAGAGTTTTTTTTTGTACAAAATGAATAACCCTCGAACTATACAGCAAATAAACAGATTGCATGTGTTGTACAGACAGAACATCCGAAGCTAGCCCATCCTCTCGACTTGGACCGCGCGCGTCAATCGCAGCTCATCTTTCTTGTCTGGGATCCCAGCTTCTTCAAAAGCCATATCATCGATCCACCGTTCGTTGGGCCGAACAGGTTCACCGCGTGACAACTTAGCAGCGAGATAGAGCCAGTCCAGCGCATTGCCCACAGTACTGACCTCATCACTGACATGATCGATACCATAAGTCGACATCCGATTGTACAATTCCTCATCCGTCCATAGCTCGAACAAATGCTGCGCCACTGCATCGGTGTCGCCCACATCAACCAGAAACCCATTTTTCCCATTCTCGATCTGCAGGGGGATGCCACCAGCTCGGGTAGCGATCACCGGCTTACCCTTGTGGATCGCCTCGGAAACTTTGATTTCAAATCCTTCAAATGTAGATAGCTGCAGTGCTATGGTTGCTTTGGAGAGAAGAGCATTGAGCACTTGGTCTACGGGTCGTAGACGCATCACGCATATCAGCTGGCGAATGTCGTGGGCTTGATTATCCAAGTAGTCGATCACTTCGTCGTAAATTCGGGCTCCATCAGGATCGTCCACGGACCCATGTCCGCAGATCAGCAATTTGGGGGGGAATTGCCTCCGGTGCTTCGGATATGAGCTTATTGTAGAACTTCTCGTATGAGGTTAGTACGTCTGAGATGCCCTTTGACGGATCGAATCGCGCAATCTGGATGACATAGGTGTCTGGAATTATTGATTAGACCTTCGACCTACGAGGTTCAATGCAACTGGTATGGGCTTTTTGCTTACCCCCGGGGAATTGAATGGTTGGCATTTCGGCATTCCGACAAGCTGCGTTGAATATACGTCCGTAGTGCGCGATGTCCCAATCTCGCATGGTTTTATTGAGACCATCCAGCCTATATTAGGTCAGAGCTGGATGTTCGATCTGCTAGGAAGCAATACTTACCAGTCAGTCGACGCAGGCATATAGCCTACTATCTCTGGGGGAACATTATCCGGCACAAATGCTCTAACAGGATGGCTAATGAAGCAGTCGGCATGTTGGATGTTATTCCACAGGTATTCCCATGCCTCGGCCTGAGCAGAACCAGGCGATGCGACCAGATCCTTCCTGATCTGAATATGGCTGCGGAATATGATCGGTCGATCTGGAGCCAGCTCTTTGGATATAGGAATTATACCTGGCATCTGAGGGTCATCGATAACTATCACGTCTGCACCACCCTTCGAAGGCGGAAGCAAAGGACCACCTGCACGGGTCCAGTATCTCCTAGCATTTTCCTCGATCCATTCTTTGAGCAAAGTCTTATTCTCCTCTGTTAAGCGTTCACCTTCATGCGCAACGCCTTGCAGGATATTGTGATTTGTTTTGGTTGCCTGAAACACGCCTGGGCGTGGCTTCGGCACATACCTGCATGTCTCAGATTAGGACGGGAAGCTCCATAGGTCAGATATCCAACGGCACACACACCATTTTAGGTCCGTTCCGAGGACATGAGAGAATCGTAACAGAGCATGTCGCATCAGAGCCACTCCACCCCCTTGTGGTGTTGAGCTAAAGAATGCAACTTTGACCTTGCGCCGTTTGATTTCATCGGCGTAAAATTGCACAGCTGACCACGTGCGATCGGAAACGGTTTTTTTGAAGTCGTTCAGATCGGCAATTCGAACATGATAAGCCGTGTCGACCTCTACAAGGCCTAGGAAGCCCACTTGTAGTAAGGGTGTGTTCTCCGGTCCAAAAAGCCTGCAGTTGATCAGCAACGTAAAATTGCTCATTTGCTCTGTCCAACGAACCTCACACCTTTTCGAGCCATAGATTCGGCCTGCTCGTCAATGGTTTTTACCCATTCATCAGGGACAGATTCATTGTCGCCTGGTTGCTGACCGACAGTCATTCGATCAATTAGGGCTGCGTCCGACATGACCAGCGGAGTGATATCGAGCTCTGCCCAGAGACGGGAGCAAAGCGACGGGCAGTGGTCTGCAACATTCTCGTGCATCGACACTCCAACTATCTTTTCCATGTGTTCTTGGGAATATCGTTCAAGCTCGGAAAGGATGAAGTTAGTGGCTTCGTTCGCACATGCTGGGCCGTTCTCGAACTGCTTCTCGATGAAGTCCAACAAATACGTGGTGTCGCGTAGCGCAATTGCTATCGTCGAAGTATGGTGATCTTCAAAATTACTGGAAATTCCGCCATAGATTGTCTTGAAAGAAGGTTAGATCACCTGGGTCTGCTTGTATTCTCTTGGGGCTAATCATACATCCGATGGAGGTCCTAGCCAGGCATTGCGCTTGAACTGAAGGGCCAGTCGACGCTGTTGCGTGATTGATGCATGGCGTTGAAACTTCTGGCTTTCATCGGGCATGTTGTGAGTGGATCCACGTGAGATTAAGGACGAAGAAAGACATTGTTGCTATAGACCGGGGACGGCAGTTTCGAAGTGACTTATTGATGACGTCGATGACCATAGCCGTGGTATAACTCCCCGATTCGTGCTATCCATAGAAATATCAAACTACCAACTGCACCGAGATACAAGTGTATGAGATGATCAACAGTACAAAATGTATACAGTGGACACGAGGTGAAACACCCTCGTGGGGAGGGCTGATACTGACCGGTTAGTCAGCCAAGCCCCTTTTCCCCCGCCTCAGGGAAATTGGCTACGAAAGCCGATCTTCACTTCCTTCTTTTCCTTTTTTTTTATCAATTTCCTGCTTGACGACCGAGCGGGCATCTCCTTTTAATTTAATATCCCCGCGGACCCCCAATTACGCCAATTGTCCTCCGTCACTGCTCTAATACACGAGTCATAATTGTTGATACCCCGACTCCAAACAGCTCCTGACCTCCCCCGACACCGCGTCGTATCTCGCCAAGATGGGAGGACAAGTATCCAAGATGATGGGGAAGATATTCGGCACGAAGGAAATGCGTATCCTTATGCTGGGTTTAGATGCTGCAGGAAAGACCAGTATGTGTTTGCGGCCTTCCATAGACAGCTCCATTTACTGACACCTCTCCTTTCAGCTATTCTCTACAAACTCAAACTCAGCAACCAAGACGTGACTACCATTCCTACTGTCGGATTTAACGTCGAGAGCGTTACCTACAAGAACGTTAAGTTCAACGTCTGGGACGTCGGTGGTCAGGACAAGATCCGACCCCTCTGGAGACACTACTACTCCGGCACACAAGGATTGATCTTCGTGGTTGACTCCAGCGACACGGCGCGTGTGGAAGAGGCTCGCTCAGAGCTGCACAAGATTATCAACGACCGTGAAATGAAGGATGCCCTGCTCTTGGTCTTTGCCAACAAGCAAGATATTCCCGGGCGTATGTTTCCCTCTATACCAGGCTCCATAAGCTGTTCACTAATCATATTATAGACCTGAGCCCGGAAGAAGTTACCCAGCAGCTTCAGCTGACTAAACTTAAGGACAAGCTGTGGTACGTCGCACCCAGTGTCGCAACAGACGGTACGGGTATTTTCGAGGGTCTGGTAAGTGATCTCCATGCGCCATACAACCGTCACCATATGCTAATAATTCCTCTCGCAGGCCTGGCTCTCGAACAATGTCAAGACCCAACCCCAGAAATAAGATACACCCCTGTCACCCCGAGAGGCACTCTTCGAGGAGCTTCGTTGTACAACATCTCGCATAACCTGACATGTGTTTCCCTATTTTCCTCTTCGTTTCCGTGTTTGATGACAAGATGACGCAGCATTTGGGCTTTTTTTTACCCCCTAGTCTTTTCCATTATGGCCTTTGTTACGTCGCTACTTGTTTCCCATTGCTTTGTCTTCACTTCTATGATATCCCCTCTGTTCTTATATGGGCTTGTTGGGTCCAATTTAATACTCTAATTTCATTGTGCTCTCTACCTAGCGTTCTGTACTCGGGCCCCCTTGCGGTTGTGGATGCGATTCCTTGTGCACATTATTGATATAGCAGAGACAGAGGGATATATCCTGTTATGGAATTAGATGGAAAATGGCAGGTCATTTATGACATCCTTCTGACTGAACCGTGTGCAGTGTCGGAACTAGCCTCAATCCACCGAACTGCTCGGGGAAAAGACCTCCGGGTCGCCTGAGAAGTCCAATGCTTTCCTGTCCACTCAGTTGTGGGTCTCCTAGTGAGTGCTCGTCGGCTTGGCTGATGTAAAGCACATGAATCGGCGTCGACCTCCAGGGCTTCCAAGCACACCTGTCAACGTGACGAGATCGGAGGTGGATTCCTCGATGTGGAGTTTCTATAAACGCAGTATAGAAATAAAATGGTTGTTCAGATCCAAATGTCCAGATCCTGTTGGCAACCTTGACTTCCTTTTTGCTCTTGGACATATTAAAGAAAACGCTGCTCGCCCACAAGACTTCAAACGATTGTTCGACACCTTTGGTTTATATTCATTTGACCGGCATCATTATCCGATTTCCACGCCTGCCATCGCCTATACCTCCAGCAGACCAAAGTTCTACGATGCATCGATTCAAGGAAGGTGACAAGGTCAACTACAAACCTGTTGGTGGTATGGAGCCCCCCAGCGACTGCAATTTATATATAACTCGGGTCATATGTTGACAATCATAACAGGTGCACACTCCAAAACCAACACAAGCATCGGAGTCATTCGTGAAACGATGACAGGCCGTAGCTCTGCCTCGGACAATGAGCCGCGCTACAAAATTGAGAACATGAACACCCACAAGAGCTCCTCTGTCAAGGAGGGTAGCATTGAGGGACCGGCGGAGTAGCAAGTTATAAATATCCACGGATAGATATCACAATCCACTCTCTACTCCAATAGCACCCCAGTACCTAGTGCTTCTACAGATACTTCCATGTCTGCTACCCTGGTAGGGACAAGTAGGGACAACCTTGGAACCCTCGAGGTTGCCCGGTTGCCAATCGTGAAATATAGCTGTTCCTATAGCATGCCTGGGGCTAGAGGGAACCTTGGAAGTAGAGCAATTTCCCAGGCCGCAAACTCGATCGCAGACCAAGATGTATTTTTTATTACTATTCATGGACGGATATCTATTACCTTGAATTTGACTGAACCCCCGCGGACACCTACAGGGCTGGGCAGCAATGAAGCGGGATCATCGAGTCACTCTTTAGTTCGAATAAACAACGCGATATATCGCTGCCATATCCGAGATCACTTGAAATAGAGCTTGCACTTTGTCAAAGCAATCCCCACGGCCACCTGGGAGGCTACCTACATGATGTAAGAATGCGACAAATTTTTGCCTGCCCCAGCATCCGCCACCACGCACCTCTTTCGCCGGCTTACATCTTGATATCCCTTTGTCTGAAAACATACGAGAAGTTGCTTCTCTGTGCATAACGTAACAGATTGAAGCCCCCAACATCCCTAAAGCAACCAGCGTACGTTACACGTTTCCAGCAAGCGCAGACGATTGCCCAGGAGGATATACTAAGCCGACAACTTTCCAGAATATGGGTCAAGTGCCACCACCAGACATCCCCATGATGACACGGGGGCTACGGGAAGTCTGCGAGTTTGAAGGAAACAGATTCTACAGAAAGAAAGGGACCCAGGAATGGACTGAGGACACATCCGACCCGGAGAGCATTAAGCCACCTGCCGAATCCCCTCACCTTTATCTGTACCTTGTCCAAGAAGAACAAGGAGCTGGGGAACCGAATCACTGGGCACTATTTCTAGCGGATGAAAACGAACCAGACTATGGCTATGTCTACCAAGTCACCGGAAAGGCAGAGGACATGGTTTACGAGCCCTCCGCCGAGAAGGTGAATTTGTTTGACGCCGGTATCACTTCCAATGTCTATAACCTGGCTGTTGTGTCCAAAGAGCAGGCCAAAGCAGCATTGCTAGTGAAACATACCGCAGAACAAGAGCCGCCTCCTAGAGCCAATGATCGAAAGTCCGCTACGGAGAGTTGCCAAGGATGGACTATGCGTGTCATATCCAAACTGGTTGACGAGGGGATTGTTATGTCCCAAAAGCTCGAGATGGCAAGATCTATGCTGCAACCAGTCTGAACACTCATTCGAATCAATTAATCAATGTACTTCGATCTACGCTCTCGCGGTCCCACGGTTTTAATCAGCATGCTCGCAATTTGTTCATCTACCCACACATCCGAGCGGTACCACAAAGCAAGGGATTTGTCTCCACTATGTAAATTGGACCCAAAAAAAGACGTAGAAACTACATTCAATCGGCAAAAAGAACGTCCCCGGGAAGGCTCGAACTTCCAACCTCCTGATTAACAGTCAGACGCGCTAACCAATTGCGCCACGGAGACGATTCGATGGTAAGCGGCCGAGTATATTGCGTTATGAGCCTAAAAAATTTTTCTATATCAGCTGCACAATATGATTTCTGCGACTAATGCAATTATTTATCGTATTAGCATTGTGCATGGCTCAATTGAAGACGCTCGCCTTGAATTGAGGGGTAATCCGATATCTCGAGCCAAGAATACTGAATCTGCTCCCGAGAGAACCTTTGAGGTGTTTTACGGGTCAATATCTACCTATATATTAATGTCGAAGAATCTGTACCATCGCTGTGCAGAGCCGACTTGAAAAGCAAAAGTTTTCAAAAGCAACCGCTTAAAGAGAGATTTTAGTGTGACGAATCAATATCGGCGACAACCAATATTGGTATCAGATCCAATTCCCAAGTATGCAGAATCTTGCAAGTTCAATCTCAAGACTGATGGACTCACTTGTGTTACCTAGGCAAAGTGCATGAGGATGATAAATATTCAGGATCAATTGAAGGTATGAAACATAAGACTTGAAGAGCCTGTTTTTTCAAAACTACTAGAGTATTCTGAATAGGCTTCCCAGACTAGCAGCTCAATTGCAATGGCAAGTATGCCAGTGCTTAGGCGGGAGCATAGTTTCATGACTCGACAGCACTGACACAACAGCCAAACCAATTGGTTTGACCCTCATGCTTTGCAACATGTCATAGGTGTAGTATAACAGATGCGTTGAAGGGAGGCTTTTTGGTTGGTACCTAAATAACAAATATGCTTATGAATTAGGAGAGCAATGTAGCTTTGTTCGTTACCTGTATTCTTCTCACTTTCTTTCTCTTTCGCCTTTTTTTCCACTTATCTACAGCGTATTTTATATTGCCATCTGCCAATTATGTGTGCTCATCACAAGTGACATAGCCAGTTTCCCCCGCACAGATAACCATGAGGCTACCTACCCAAGCGCGCTTACTGTAGGCTCAAGCTCAAAAGCGTAATACTCACCTTGCTGCCCACAAATGTAATATTGCATTAAACCCGGTGGCTTGTGGAACATGAATGCTGTGCCATGGTATTCTGGGAAAACCTATGTGTCTCAAACAGCGTTGTGGGACCATTTTGGTGAAGTTGACCCTCATTTTCATCATTCCATCGACAACCGTCTCATCGTCCAAGGTTGAGTTTTTACTTTCGCCCTGTGCCCCATATCCATTCTAGCAGATAGGTTTCGCTCGTATAACAAAAAGCAAAAAAAGATATGACAAGAACGGGATTCGAACCCGTGCCCCTTTCGAGATTAGAATGCTCACTGTTTAACAGCGAAGAGATGATTCTCTTGACTGCGGGTATGTTAGTAATTGATTCTGTAAGGCAGATTTGTAAGGAATACTGACGTCTAACGCCTTAGACCAACTCGGCCATCTTGCCAAGAAATGTGAAATGGTCCTCGGATTTATGTGTTATGTACCAGTGGCTTTTACTGGACCGTTCTACACACGAATTTTTCTAAACTTTGCATACATCAGGACTCTGATACTGTACCATATGGAAATATTGTATCTTTCATCAGTGCCTGTACGTTATTGTGTACTCATATTGAGAGGTATAGGACTCAAAACCCAATAAAGAATAGTGTATGGAGCAGAGGAAGCAATGAGGCCACTAAATCAGTCATATGAAGGACATCCATGGATGCAACATGAGATAGTCAGTTGAAATTTAGAAAGACTTCTTGAATAATTACAAAAGCCTCCACACAATTTTTCAATGAGTGGTCAGATGGTGCCCATGTATGAATACCAAAAACAAAGAATTTAATTTTTTTTTAAAAGGATGAACCAGGAACAACCTAGACTTGAGGATCAAGCTATCAAGACCGCCTCCAAGTACCTTCCCCATCATGCGTCCAGCTCTGGTCGGTAATCACATCTTTCAGGATGGCTATTATATCGTCCCGCATGGCCTCGACATGCAGATCATTGCATCTGAACTCCTTGAGGTTCTCCAAGTTGTTAACGGTATATCCTACCAAGGAGTAAGACGTGGTAAGCTCCATCCATGGGTCGTTAGGGTCCATTGGTCCCCGCTGCTCAATCTCGGTAATGCGGTTTCCCTGACAAGGTGCAAGCTGTACATCCAGGCGCTCCAAATTGCGCATTTCCATGACAGCATCGAGAACGATCTGCGAGTGGTTGAAGAATGGAAACACGGCTGTATAAGAAAAGTATGTTAGGCCTTGCAGGAGAGCAGGCAGGTCAGGTTGGGGTTGGGGCAGACGTTTCGCCACACGAATTGTATTTGCACCCCATTCTCCAAGAACGGATGGGACTGTCGAGAGGAAGTATTCATAGTGGTGATATGCCTTCAATGAGGAGGATTCATTAAATGATGCTGATGTCCATGGTCTGGATGAGAGAAGGCTGGAGCATGACTCCAGATGAGACAGTTGAGACGAATCAGGCGCCTTATGTGTTTGTTTCAGAGCAAAGATTTGCAAGTCGATTTCGAAGGCCCAGCTATGAGCATTCATTATTGGAGTGCCCAAGGTGTTGCCAAGGAAAGTAGGAGATGCAATGATTACAACTTGGCTCGGGTCGAGATATTGGAGGACTTGGCGCCACCAAAATGGATCGACTGGATGATCTGGTTTCTCATTTTCAATGACCAAAAGGGAATCCACGTGTCGATAAAGACCTGACTTCGTGATGAACGAACGGAATTCAAGTTCATCATGCAGGTCTAGGCGGGCATGATTGAAGAGTTGAGGTCGCACAATATTTAGTAAACGCGATGAGGACAAAGCGAGATGTTTCAAGTCTGTTGTTGGAGAATGAGTCAACCCCAAGCTGGGTACATGGTGTAAGTGTGCAAATGACGGTGGTTCAATACACAGATATGATGTGATCTGGTCTAGGAGCTCATTTGGAAGAAGCTCCAATGGCGATGACATGCGGGCCTCACATGACATGACCGGGGTTGAAGGTCATTGTACTTCGTAAGCGTCGAGGAGAAGCGGGAGCGTCGGCTGCGCAAGAGAAGATGAAGTGCCGGCCTTCCCCACTTCGTTCGCTGGGACCTCCACTGGATTCTTTGTCATCGGTGACTCAGCTTCTCAAGATATTCCTCTAGGGCGCCTGCAAGCGTGCCTGGTGCCTTATTTGGGGTCGAAGAGAATAAGACGACTGTCTCTCATGTCAACTGAGGTACATCTGGAGAGCAATACTTTTGTCTCAGCAATTGTACTCCAATTTAAATCGGGAAAACCCCCATGTGGCCCGTGCTCTGTACACTTCAGGCCTCAAATTCCAGCGCCAATCAGAAATTCTCAATTTTTTACATTTACAGTGCCAATTCCTGTACTTGGTGCACTTCGGAGGGTAGTACAGTCTTACAGTTGTAGATCCTTCAACACATATGTAAGTGTAATAGTCATTTAATGTAGAGTTATCTAAAAGAAGATCAAGTAAAGTAGCAAATGCAATGGATTTCATAGGCGAAGTCGGAGATGTGGAGAGCCTCAGCTTTTTGTGGGGCAATGCCTATCACGGCCGGAAATTGTAGCGCGTCTCCGATCAGATGGCAAGAATCATTTGAAATGTGCCCCTCTTTTGATTTTCTTCTTCCCCGTGCTTCTTCTTTCTTTCTCATTGTCCTCATTTATCAGATCGCAAGGTTAGTCTACCCACATAGTATACAAAAGAGCTGGTGTTGAACAAATGTGCGCAGTCAATCCTCATACTTCCTTCACAATGGCTCCTCAACTTCACCAGCGCCCGCCTTTCCGTGCGGAGCACCTTGGCTCCCTGCTGCGCCCCCAGCAGCTTCTTGACACCAAGCTTGCCTACGAAGCTGGCAAGACCTCTGAGGCCGAACTGACCGCTATCGAGGACAAGGAGGTCAACGACATTGTCAAGACTCAGCAGAAGCTCGGCTACGCCGCGCTTTCTGATGGCGAGTACCGTCGTCACAGTACGTATCTTGGAACTTCACCGGGTGAACCTCGCTGACAGCCATAGTGTTCTGGGGTACTTTCTTCCCCGGTCTCGACGGCTTCGAGGAGGTCAGCAATGTCGAGGTGGATGACTTCCGTCCCTACGCCCCCGATATCGCTGCTTTCCTGGAGGCTGGTCACAAGCCCGGTGAGAGTGTCATCTGCACCGGAAAGATCAAGCACGTCGGTAGCACCTACATCGACCAGTTCAAGTACCTGGCCAGCCAGGTCTCCGCCGACGAGGTTAAGAACCTGAAGATTACTCTTGCCGCTCCTAACTGGTACCACCTGCGCTACCGTGAGGGCAAGGCTTACCCCAAGTCTGTGTACACCAACGACGAGGACTACTTTGGCGACATCGCCAAGGCTTACCAGGCCGAGCTGAAGATTCTGTATGATGCCGGCTGCCGTAACGTCCAGTTCGATGACCCCAACCTGGCTTGTAAGATGATCTCTATTCAAGAATCGGTGATCTACAGAACTAACATCTGACCCAGACTTCTGCTCCGAGAAGTTCCTCAATGGCTTCAAGGAAGACTCCCTCAACGTGTACAGCGCCGACACCATGTTCGAGAAGTACATCAAGCAGTACAATGACATCACCGCCAACCTGCCCGCTGACCTGCACGTCGGTGTCCACCTGTGCCGCGGTAACTTCGTCGGCAGCCGTCACTTCTCCGAGGGCGGTTACGACCGTATCGCCATCAAGCTGTTCCAGGAGCTGAACGTGCACACCTACTACCTCGAGTACGACACTCCCCGCTCCGGTGGCTTCGAGCCCCTCAAGTTCCTCCCCACGCACAAGAACGTCATTCTCGGTGTCGTGACTAGCAAGTTCGCCACCCTCGAAGACAAGGAAGAAATGAAGCAGCGTGTTCTCGACGCTGCTAAGTTCATTGCCGAGGGTAACAACATTTCCCTCGACGCTGCTCTTAACCAGGTCGGTGTCAGCCCCCAGTGTGGATTTGCTTCTCACCGTGAGGGTAACGCCATTGATTGGGATGGCATGATCAACAAGCTCCAGCTTGTTCGCGATATCGCCAACGATATCTGGCCCAACCAGGCTTAGACTTGTCTAGCTTGATGAACTCAAAATTCTTTTGTATATTTTTTTGAAGCTTTTTTGTCCGAAGACGAAATTCTCCCCAGTCCGCTTTTCAACACATGTGGACTGTTCTTGGAATTTTTGGAATTGCACAGCGTGTTATATGGATGACTTTGGACGATGGTTATGATATCTTTTTGAATGCCCACTTAACGTTTTATTCTTGGATACGGTTAACGAGCGTCTTTTTGAACCATTTTTTTACTTTTATGTTTTGTTCGATGATATTTGGTGTTAAGATTTCCCAAAGGTGCCCAGGTGTGGTCGGGGATTTTGGAGTACATAGTTTTACAAAGGGGCCGTTCTAAGGTTGTGTATGTGCCCAGATTGATTGAGAATACAACAATTTTTGTTAAGACTGAAACCTTGAAGAGTGGCTGTAGCTCGGTATCACTATACATAGAGGCCCGGACATGACCTTCTGGCTCCCTTATAAGACATAATGTCCCGTTGTGTTGCATCATTTTGGCTCACCAGATTGTACACCTGCGCAGGTGGGTGCTCCAGTTGCGGGTGGGCTTACTAGGATCCGTTTGTAGATGCAGTGAGAATGTGGATTCTATTTTATCTCCAGGGCTGTCAAGGGGTTTGAGGATGATCAGGAATATTATGGAATTTCAAAAGCTAGAAAATGAAAATCATTAGTTATCAATATGAGTGAAAAAGAAAAGTGAGGTGGCGATTCGTACTCCCAAGGTTGTCAAAAATCTTTTGTGACTTGAATCAATACGTGGAGCAGCCACCATCTAGCATTGGCAAGATGGCCGAGTTGGTCTAAGGCGTTAGACGTCAGTATCCCTACATTGGTCTCACACAAGATCTCCAACTAACTCTCCTCCAGTCAAGAGAATTATCTCTTCGCTGTTATACAGTGAGCATTCTAATCTCGAAAGGGGCACGGGTTCGAATCCCGTTCTTGTCAAGATCTTTTTTTGTAAACGGCGGACCTGTGAATTACTGCATCCGGTTAGTTTTGCCTTTTTGGGTTTAGCGCCCCAATACGCTGTCACGTAACCTACCTTCAATGCCTTCCGACATAAAAGACCCGTCTTCGCTGCTCCTCCTCCCTTTCTCTCACTTTTCTATTATTCTGCCTCTCTATCTTGCACTCATTGCTGCCCCCTTTCTTTTACTCTGGCCCTCACCCACTACTGCACATATGCTTTCAGCCCGACGTACTGCCCCTTTCATTTTTACCGGAGATGCCGCTTGATCCGACATCTAGCTTGCAATGCCTGTTACCCAGAAGTGTAACTACTGGGATGATATAGCATCTTGTTCTTTCGTGCCGATGATCTTATTCCTTCTCTAGGGTAGTGACTGAGCACTATGCCACGAGGATATCTAAGTCTCCCTCTGCCAGTACGCCTTTTCGTCTCTGATTCCGCGGGCCTCCCTTCAAATCTGCAAAGTGCTAGTATACCCTCGACGCTGCATATCCCTTTCTCGCCACCCACCTGAGGTTGTATTGTACAGCCTCGGCTTTATAGAATGGCTCCCGGTTGCCTGGTTAAACGCCCAGTTGTCGTCTTTGTCAGTCTCTCCGATCCCTCTCCACCTAGTCGGTAAGAACTTGAAATCACAGCTTGGTTATGTAGGCCAATAGCGAAAATGCTGTATATGCCCTAGACCTTGGTCAATACGAGACTGCAGCTGTAGGTATTGTTATTATAGGCCGTGAAACTAGTATGGTCTAGCGTTCTCGATTGTAATGGGTTGGATTGTAGAATCTGGTTGAGATTGTCTATTTTTGGTAGAAGAAGGATTTGATCTTCTGGGCCTTCGTTGTCGTCGTTTATAAAAGAGACTACAAGTCTATAAATATGGTAAAACTGGAATTTGAATCACCTTCAAATACTCCTCTTCGTCTGTTCCTGTTCTCTGTCTGTTTTTTTTTTTTTTTTGTTTGTTTTATGAGTGTCCACAGTCACAACATCCTAAAGAGTCTTTAGCTGTCTTTTCACAATACATATCAAGCGTGAGTTTTTCCTTGTGTTTTTTTTTGTTTTTTCTCAGCCACGGAATTGCGTATGTTGCCTCGCCTGACTGGATGCTGATCCTCATGCTAAGCAGCCCTTTGGAGACGATCCCTTCGCCATGGCCCTCTTCTAGCGAGGCGTAGCAAGGCAGACCGTAGACTTTTTCGTATATGAAACGCTTTGATCCAATAGGAGAAATACCGCATACACTTGCGCATGACTCCTTAGTGATTTCCGTTGTAGATGGGTTGGTGGATCTTCGTATCGGCAGGCTGCGCTTTGTCTCATGACTCTTGTCAACCCAACCTGCTCAAATCGCTCAGAGGAGGCAGGGGATGGTAGGCAGGTATAAAGGGTCGTTGGAACTCCTCAGACTGAGAAGGAAACTGACTGTCTGTTTATTGGTCCTTCTCTTCTATTGTGATGTAGGGCCTACTATATATACTGCTGCAGCGACAATCGGACGTTCCAATTGTTGTTATGATCTTTTGGCCCAATGGCTAAATCCTCTTATGTAATTATAACAAACGAGATTACCATATTCCCTGTTCAAGTTTGGCAGTCATTAGTTATTAAACTCACCTTTTTTAGTTTGGTATCGCTGCCCCAGTGGATAGTGTTAAATTATCGGCTTCAAATCTTCTCTTGCCCCTATGTCTTTCTCTTTGTTTTTCCGTGCTGCTTCTGATACGATGCTCTGCTTAGAGGCCAATCATGTAACTAGTTAACTATGTACCTTGCTTTGCCTGGAACATGCAGCATTTTGCTTGGGAGCCACCCATTTCCCCTCTGTCCCTTGTACCATCATTTTGTTCTAACCCTTTGATATCGAAAGATAGAAGCATGGAAAGTTAATTTGTTCGGGAGGAAAAGGCTGATCATCAACTATAATAATATTTGCTTCAACGCAGTCCAAGACACGCATTGACAGAAGAGCAAGAGTACTTTAGCATACATATATAGCTTTACTGTCATTACTCGCAAAGGTTTCTATGAAGCTTGTATGATAGATCAACCTTGAAGACTGTGCCTATACCAATCAAAAGAGAATCCAATTTGCTCAGGCTCGCCTGAAGAAAGCGCGTGAAGAAGACCACGTTTCTCCATGTCCTGACAAAATTCCTTTTTCGAAAAAAATTCCTCTTCCATGCAGTTTTGATCCACATCACGATTGTCGTCACTGGCTCGCCCGGCGATTGTTGCTTCGCCGTGGAAACTCTGTAATAACAACCTCCACCATACTCCAAGGCCATAGCATATCCCATGAATTATGCTACCCATGACCATACGCCATCGTTCGTTGAAAGGAGTTTTGAGGAGGTTGGCCACTTCGCTACTTTCCTTCTTTCCGTTTTCGTTACTTTCCATCGCATCGGTTCTTTCGTGCAAAAGTGTTTTCGTGTGCGCGGCTAATTCTGAGACTGTGACATATTTGTTATGCCAACATTTGTCGATGATATTATCAATCAGGGGATTGTCATCCAATTTCGGAAATTCCATGTTCTGTAGCAGGTCCACGACCTTAGGACCATGGTCGTAAGGATCCTCGGCAAGACAGCGATCTCCATAGACCTCAAAGCCGTAGTTCATCAAAAAGTACAAGGAACCGAGCGCAAACTGTTCTGTTCGGGGGCCAAGAAAGCCAAAAGTTCTACATTCCCCTTGATCTGACTCATTATTATTGAGTATTCGTCCATACGGAGCCATGCAAGCTTCGTAATTTGTGCCAATTTTCGCCGTACAATCAAAATCGGATAGCTTTAGTCGGTTGCGATCAAGTAGAACATTTTCAGGTCGTAAATCACCATGAGCGAGTTTGACGGATTCCAAGAAAGCGACGGCTTGAGCGAGATCGTTCATCCATTCTTTTCGTAGGAGTAGAGGTTCCAACTTTTCCACTGTAGTAACCACCATAGTTTGCTGGTCCCGAGTATAATTTTTTTGCATCCTAGAAGAAAGCGACATGTCTAGGAGGTAAATTAGTAGACAACCTCTTGCTGCGGTACAGTTGTTAAAGAAGCAGAAGAAGAGGAATGAGCGGAATCCGTTTGGGAAGAGGGATAGTTTGTTGTCATCTGTTATTAAGAAGCAGAAGTCTCATGATTCTGGATGGCGGTGGGCTTGATGTTGGTGTTGCTGTTGATGTGTTCGAATGTCTAGTTCTGATGCTTGCGATCAAGAGATGCCCCAGCTGTCGGCAAAGGTTTCACAGGTGTCGCCAGTGTTGGGGGCAACAGTGAAGCTGCAGTCAACACCACGCCGAGAGAAGGCATTGCCGATGGAACGTGCGGCAAGCAACTCCGGAAGGAGGGCCAGGGCAAGAGCGGATTTGCCGTACATAGTGATAATGTAGTAATGATTTTCAGGAACGAAGTCGATCTGAACCGGAATGGGTCGTAGTGCCCGGTATCTGGGTGCCTTTTATATGCATTTTAGAAAGTGCTTCAACACAGTTGGCCCCCAACAAGATGGTTCACTGTGTTCTCTCCATCGTCGCTAGGAAATGCATTGACCCGTATCTAACTTCACCGGCGTCATACGGTAGTGCTGTCTCACTTGCAACCGTCGCGAAGGAAATTGCAGTGGGTTGTATCGAAGGCTGAAGTATACAAAATCCGTCCTGCTGTATCTAATATTCCCAAATAGGAAAGTATGGGGGCGAAAGGGCCGGATACCCTCTTTTACCGTACGAAGTACTTACAGACTGCGACGTTGAAAGCATGCCAAGGCACTAAAGATGCCCAGAGAACCAAGGGTCACAAGCCTAAGCCAAGGCCAGCCCAAGCTCAAATTTCAGCCTGGGCAGCCTATCGCAAATCTCGGCTGCAGGGCAAACCGGCTAACCTTGGAAATCAATTTCAAAAACAGCCTTGTACCTGACCCAGATCTCCACCCGCACTTGAGTTTGATCTCCCGATTGGTGGACCGGCCCGGCAGGCGTGGAAGGGATCGGCAGGGCTTAAACGGCTGTTCATGATTGGTTCTGCGATGAAATTACCAGGGTTTGACCCACTCTCCCCTGTTCCGCCCCCGATGGCTTGATCATTGCCGAGGATCGCCCCGTTCACAGTATAATTTAGCCCTATGGAACTGTCAGTTTCTTTGGATCCGCGTAAATGTAAAAGTTTATCGGAGGTTCCAGGGTCCCTCATTTGATCATAATCTCAAGTGTGGTAACAACCTTGGAAGCCTTCTTCGCTGGTACAGAAGTATTGGCAAAGTGCTTGATGCGTACGGAGTACTAGTGTACGAAATGATAGGGGCACGGTTTGCCAATAAAATCCGTTAATGCAAAGCCCTACAAGGCTCTGCCAATAGTTATGGGGCATGCAGTACTTCGTACAGCCCTGGAGAGTAGTGCGGCTCTAATGGCAAATCCAAGCTCACACAAGGAAGTTCAAGCCTCACGTGGGTTGTCCAAGCCGCTGCCTTGGGCGCCAAGACATGACCGCAATTGTAACAGAAGTGAACTTGCAGGACTTAGCTCGTTTGAGCACAGAAGCCGACAACGGGGGAGGTCGGAGGCACGGAATCAGGGACTTCCGGAAAACTCGACCCTTCGTAAATGCAGCCTTATGGAGCGCACCTCGTATGATTTTCCTGCCTGTACTCCGTAAAAGCGCCCCGCTGAAAGTTTACGGGACCCTTGGCAAGCCACGGACCACTGCAGATTATATTGGGGTGGCGGAGGGCACTCCATCTAATCTAGATGCTCGTGATCCACGTCAAGTTCCGGTATTCCCGACGCCCACTCGGGAGATTGCCGACATATCATAAACTAACTAACAATCAGACACGGCGTGGAGTTTCCCTCAAAGTCGAAATATCCTATTTTTTGAGTTGCATTAATTTATACAAGTAAAATAGTCCAATACATTTGAAATTCAAACAGGGCCCATCTAAACGAAAAGTCTTCCAACGAGCAAAACACCAGCAGCCCACCATTTCATGTGAGATTTCACCTCATTGATCGAAGCCCCACCCTTCTTGGCCGGACAGCTTATGACAGGCGTAGGATCTGCGCAATATCTCGCAGTAAGGGAGGATGATATGCTTGAGGCAGCTGCAGGCGCGATACTAGCCTTGCAAGGAGTAGGAGTCGGCGACGGACTCTTCAGTACGGCGCACTTCTCGCCCCAAAGGTTGCTTGCTGGTGCTTTGAGGGTCTTGGTAGCGTGGAATGCCAGAGCCTGGGCATCATCGCACTTGTCATCGGCAGTGAGAGTGGTGAGATTGAGCTGGTTTGCCCCCTTCTTCGTCGTGAAGACAACGGAGTGGGCAATCTCGTAGGGCCTCCAAGTGAAATCATCGGTGTCAACCAGCCCACGGCCACTCTCGGACGAGGTTCCATTAGCTGGTGTCGAGCAGTTTGTCCATCTCAGTCTCCAGACAAAGCGCCATTCATTCTCGGTGTTGAGCGTGTTGGCTATACTATCGACGATGAAGGATACAGGGCCCGTCTTGTTAGGCAAGTGCTCCTCCGCCAGATAGGTCATGTGCGTTCGATTGCTTGCCGGGGTATCCGTCGACCAGAGGCCATAGCTGAGAGTTGGATAGAGTCCGTCAATGACCTCGGGGTTCTGAATTCCAAAGACGATAGGCGTGATTGTCATCGGCGCAAAGGTCTCGTTTCGTGGGAAAATCAGATCGACTTCTCCGACGCCCAGGCCAGCTGTATCGGCCGCCCCCAGGGACGCCATCAGGCCGAGGGCGACAGCACGCGCTTTGATGCTGAACATAATGAAAATTTCAGCACGTTTTTGTTGAGGCGACGTAAAATGGAAGTGTGATATCAATTGATATCAACCGCCCAAGTGAAGGTCAGAAGAGATCGAGAGCCGAAAATGAAAACTGCGGTAAGGCGAAGTACCCCAATGCCCAAAAAACAAGGGTTTAATTTTTACGGGTAGAAACCGGACTACGCGCGCTAGGGCAACTAGAAGGTTTCGTAGTTCGGGGGTCACAAAAGAGGGTCTTTCAAGTGGGTCACATCAATACAGTGATTGAATACGAACATGCAGGTACAGAGCACAATTACATTCATAGACCTAATTTATGTCCATTGTAAATATCTCAAGTGGGCTCAGCGGGATTGTTGGAGGACCCTGCATCATTCACACAGGAATGCCATTGGATGTTCTATGCTCCGTGACATTTATGCCGGAGACTTAGATAACATACTCCGAAAGACTAGGTGGATTTTATTCGGTGGCTCCAGGAAAGGACCCGCGTGAATATCTAGTTCGTGATACAATCACACCCGGGGGCCAGAGTAGATGGGTCCGCGGATTCTGTGCAGAGAATGGTGAAGGATCTCGAGTCGACTCCGGGTTGGGGGCGAAAAGGATAGTATAACTATTAAACTTGTTGAACCCTTCTTGATGCAATTCATGTCCCTATCATCCTGAGGAGTTTCTTGGGTTTCTCGCTGTTCCCAACAGTCACTCATTTCCATTTGTCTATACACTCTTTGATCAATTTTCCATTAATCATTTTCACTTTATCACATTACACTCTTTTAAACCCCTGCCACGAGGGGCTCCAAAATCATGGCATCCATTTTGAATGGCCTGGCTGTTGGCCTATTTCTATCTGCCACAGTCGTCTCCGGGCATGGAAACTCTAGGCTGGGAGCCAGTCCCAGCTACCAAGGGTTCGACAACATTTGCCCTGAGCGATGCATTGTCACGGGACCCAACCCCTCCAACTGGTCCACCTACCAAGACTTCAACCAGCTCTCAAACTGTGACCGGAGTATGTTTTACAACTTCAACTTGTACGACGATGTCGACGATAAGAACTCTCACCACCGGATCTTCGCTTGCACAACATACGGAAATGACTGGACCGAGGACTCGCAGGCTCACATGCGAATTGCACGCCCTATGACCGAGAACAAGGTCAACTATGAGATCGGCTGGTCGTCCTACTCGGATGGCACCGAGTCCGAGTACCGCTCTCTGATCAAACAAATGCGCGATTATATTGCCCGTGGACATGTTTCTTTTAGCAAGACTGCCATGCTGTATGCTCAGGTTGGTGGCACTTCAGCCGGTATCTATATCGGCAACAGCCTACAGAGCAAAGATATCAGCGAAGTGGCTCTGGAATCCCTTATCGACGATTCCCACGATTTCGATGGACATCGAGAAGATTTGACTATGCAACTCTGCGGGCCTCACTTTGACTCTCAGCACGTCTTTGGATTCATGGCTCTGAGCAATGGCACTTTCAGAAACATTCAATCTGCTTTCGAATCTTGGTCCAATGCCGAGTGCCTTGAATTTGAAAACAGCTCCAACTTCACGGCTACCACCCACTTTACATCGCCTATGCTGTCTTCCATCAAGTCTGGAAATACGACCACAAGCAGCATCAAGGCCTCTGGGTCATCTCTACCCACTGAGTCTCCGATGCCACAGATGGGGAACACCCTATCTTCCAGGGGGCATGTCGAACCCAGACTGTCCAGTCGGGTGATAGCTGCGCTACGATGGCCACAAAATGTGGTATCCACGCTGCCGATATCCTTCACTACAACCCTGCACAGGGCTTCTGCTCCAAGCTGACGCCTGGTCAGCAAGTCTGCTGTTCCTCTGGCTCACTTCAACGGAAGAGAGAGGTTCTTTCTTCCAGGGGCGAATGCCAATCTCAGACAATCCAAGCAGGTGATAATTGTCCCGCGCTGGCCACTAAATGCGGCATCTCCAGTGCCGAGCTCCTTCAATACAACCCTGCCAAGGGATTCTGCACAAGCATCACGCCCGGGCAAAATTATTGCTGCTCTTCGGGCACCCTTCAGAAGAAGAGTTTGCTTTCAACCAGAGGCGAATGCAAAACAGAAAAGGTTCTGCAAGATGACAGTTGCGCTGCCATCGCTACTCGCTGTGGTATTTCCGGTGCCGATTTCACCAAATACAACTCCGCGAAAGGCTTCTGCTCAAAACTGAAGCCCGGTCAGCACGTTTGCTGCTCTTCTGGAACACTCCCAGACTTCAGCCCAAAACCCAACGACGACGGATCCTGCGCAACGACCACAGTCGGCGATGGCGAAAGTTGTTCAACCATTGCTGCGGCCAACAGTCTGACAGAGAAAGACATTGATGGTTTCAACCAGAAGACTTGGGGTTGGACAGGATGCAAGAATATCTTCAAGGATTCTGTCATCTGTATCAGCAAGGGGTCTCCTCCCATGCCCGCTGAGGTCTCCGATGCACAGTGTGGTCCCCAGGTTCCCGGTACAAAGGCACCGAAGGACATGGACAAGCTTGCGGATCTCAACCCATGCCCACTGAATGCCTGCTGCAACACCTTTGGTCACGTAGGTCTCCCTAATACACATTGCAAAATTTCTCAACTAACACTGGATATAGTGTGGAACGACAGCCGAGTTCTGTACAGATACCAACACCGGCGCCCCTGGTACAGCCAAGGTCGGCACCAACGGCTGTATCTCACACTGCGGTACCAAGATCGTCAAAGGAAACGCTCCCTCCGAGTTCCGCAGCATCGGGTACTATGAAGGTTACCAATTCAAGCGCGATTGCTTGTATCAGGATGTGACGCAGGTCGATCATTCCAAGTACACTCACTTGCACTTTGGTTTCGCCGACATCTCTACCGACTATGAAATCAGTATCAACGACAAATCAACCAACTATCAGTTCCATAACTTCAAGTATATCTCTGGCCCGAAGAAAATTGTCGGCTTTGGCGGTTGGGACTTCTCTACTCAGGAGTCTACATATCAGATTTTCCGCCAAGGAACCAACGCAGCGAACCGGAAGACGCTTGCCACCAATATTGCTAACTTCGTGAGGGAACACAACCTTGATGGTGTTGATATTGACTGGGAGTACCCGAGTGTATGAAATACCCCCTCTGCAAGAATTCCTTGCAACACAAAAAATGCGATCGGTCGCTAACAAAAACCAGGCACCTGATATTCCTGGAGTCCCATCCGGTGACAAGAGTGAAGGAAACAACTTCCTGGCTTTCCTTGTCATTTTGAAAAACCTTCTGGGAGACAAGTCTGTTTCAATTGCGGCCCCTGGCTCATATTGGTACCTCAAGGGATTCCCCATTGCCAAGATCAGTAAAGTTGTCGACTACATTGTCTTTATGACTTACGACTTGCACGGTCAATGGGATGCAGGCAATCCCAACGCACAGCCAGGCTGCGATGATGGAAGCTGTCTGCGAAGCCATGTCAACATGACCGAGACCAGAGAGTCCCTTTCCCTAATCACCAAGGCTGGTGTTGACTCAGGCAAGGTAGTTGTCGGTGTCAGCAGCTATGGAAGATCCTTCCAAATGGCCGATGCAGACTGCGATGGTCCACTGTGCAAATTCACAGGAAGCAGACTGAGTTCCAATGCCGAGAAGGCTGACTGTACCGATACTGCAGGCTACATCTCCAATGCGGAAATCAATCAACTCCTCAAACACAACTCTTCCCGCGTCAACAAGCACTACGTTGACACACACAGCAACAGCAACATCATGATCTACGACGACACAAACTGGGTAGCCTACATGAGTCCCGAGATCAGAGCTTCACGCACAAAGATGTATGAATCCCTCGGAATGGGCGGTACAGTCAATTGGGCCACCGACCTGGAAGAATTCAACGATGCACCCGATGACTTTGATGACTGGCATGGCATGATTCTCCAAATGAAGTCCGGTGTCATCACATCCAGGGGTGCTGGCAGCCGCAGTGGCAACTGGACCAAGATCGGCTGCGACAACGAATACTCCAGGGAGACGCCTTATTGGTCCTCTACGACCCGCTGGAATCAACTCGATGCAGCTCATGCTTGGAGTGATTTGATCGCGGATTGGAAGGCTTACAGATCAAAGGACAGTTCTTCCAATGGCCAAACCTTCTCGCAATTCATGGTCTACCTCCTTGGTGGACCGTCAAACGCGGAGTGCGGTAGCATTGGCGATCAAAGCAGCTGCAGACAGGCTCTTAGCTGCAGCGAACTCACGGCAACTGAGAAGTGGGGTGCTGCGGCGGAACTCATCTGGAATTCATTCGTCAAGATCAACACGGTATGTTTATTCTACTCCGCTCTTCGTGCTGCATAGAATCACCCAGCTAATCCAGAGACCCACAGATGCATGTTGAGTTGAAGGATGCTCTTGTCACTGACGCCGCACTTGTCATTGACAACAGTCTTCCTCACCTAGAGAATACATTTGCGCCCGTTCCTCCTGAGAAGAATGACAATTGGTTGAACACTCTGCTTGGTCTTGTCGCCCTCGGTGTTCCAACGGTTGGCGGGAAATTCTTCGATAGTGGTATTTCTCCCAATTTCCTTTTGAGTAACAGTTCTGGACTTACTCAATTGTTCTTCTAGTCCTCGTCAAGATACCAGCATTGAAGGCCAAGACCTCGACCTCACAGGATCATTACAAAGCGGTGTTCAACGCCCTTTTGACCGGCCCTGTCACGATCGGCACAAACATGAAGCCCAGCGCTACTCCGTGAGTCTTCAATATTCTTATTGAAAGAACCGTGGCTAATCGCGTTCCATATTTAGGGATGACTGGACAATCGAGAAGCAAGCCGAGTTCTCCAGTTACATGGGTCAGAGCATGAAGGGATGGGAAGTTATCTTCACACAGGATCTCAAGGATCTGTTCGACGGCTCTGACAAGTCCATCGAAAGACTTACAAGCATTATTTCCGACGCAGGTGTGCTGGACGGCATTGAAAACGACAAACCATATCCCGATAAGAGCAAGCGAAAGGACAAGGACGACGATGATGTCAAGTCGACAAAAGAACAGAGAGAGAACGTGGAAGCTGGCATCCTCACTTCCTTCTGGGCATACTCCATTCCCGCCGTCTGGCTGGCCTCGGGTCATCATCCTTTCATCATTGATACCGGTCGGAGCTGCGATGACAATAATGGGGACAAGTATACCAAGGACTTGAAATCTGCTTGTTACCAAAAGCGACTGTACCAACTGGGTGATCCTGATGGCAAGTCACACCCTTGCAAGAAGAATTGCGGATTCCCAGGAGGCTGTACCTGTCCTGATACTGCATTCTCTTCACCTCATGGTGTGGGTGAGCTTGATGGCAGCAAAACCTGGGGTAACCTTACAGTCGATGATATTATCATTGGGTGAGTTCTCCATTTTCTGCAAGCAAGGCTGTTACGAAAAGCTAATTATATACTCTTCCAGATCCGTCAAAACATACAAGCAAAATGGCAACGAGAACGGCGGAGGCAAAGCAGACGCAACAGACTCTGGTACATTCAACGCCCTCCGGAACTCAGACATCACAACCCCTGGATTCATGCGCCTTCCCGTGTGCAGTGAGAGTCTGGCCCGCAAATCCTGGGAAAACGCCGACAGTACAGACGCCACCAGAGACAAGGAGGGCTTCCCATGCAACAACGACAATGGCAAGTCTTATTGCACCACCTCAAAGTCAACATATGTCAAGGAGACATCTGGTGGATCCCCACTGATCGAGGATTGTCTTGCACTTGTCAAAAAGATTCAAGGAACAAAGAAATACTGGGACAAGCCGATCGAGAGACAGTTTGGAATTGTCGGTTCTGGGACATGTACTTTCGGCATTACGGGCAAAGGCCGTAAAGGCAATGCCAACGAGAAAGTCGGGGCGCAGGACGTTGTTAATATCATTCGGTATGCTGCGAAGCACTGGGGTGCGGGAGAAACCAGAATGGGGGGTAAGGGAACCATGCAGTGCGATGGTAACATCAAGAGGCAAAAGGTAAACTGGGCTATATACAAGAAGTAGGGTCCATGCAGGAGTTCCTATGAAAAGAAATACGGTATTACTACCATAGTAATACCGTAGTTTTCGCAAAACGTTTTCCAAAAAATCCTACATGAGTGGCGATTTATTTTATAATATCGTTTTGGCCCCAATTCGGTATTATTTTTGGCTCAATGGTATTGAAAGGAATTGGAAAAATGGACTTTTATCGCAATAACAAACCAAATCTGGAAGATCTTTCAAGAAAATATGCTTTAGAAGATCACTCTAGAAGATATCATCCCGTTTACGTTTGCCCAAAACTAGATTACCCAACAACGAAGTGTCTTGAGAAAACAAGACGCCAGATCACGTATCTATAATAACGGACCAAAGCTAGACTATAGCAAACTAAACAATCATACTCCCGTGACAAAAGAATCTCGAATAGACCCAGTAATACCAATAAATCACACCAAAAGCGTCTACATCTAAAGTGTTTTTATCTTTTATTCATCGAGATATTCTACGCTCGACTAGAAATATACCTACGAGAAACTTTTCAGGTTAGCATACTCTATTAGAGACGTAAAAGACATTACTTACTCGTCACATCTATTTACGAACATTCTCACCGACGCAACAGCAAACAAACAGCTCAAAGTATTAGCAAAAGCAGCGCCAATATTCATCGTACAACTGAAGCAGTTTCTCTCGTGATATTTTAGATATCCACTCAAAGAATTTCATATAAATCGTCTAATCTTCCAAAAGAAGATAATCCACATAGTCCTCGTTCGATTGAATACAAAATCTAGTTTCCTTTATTTTTTCCCAATTACCAAGTTTATTTCGAGCAGTTATACACTTAATTTCGCCAGTAGCATTCAATAATAGCAATACCTAATAGCGTCTTTAACTTGAAGTTTGGAGGGAGCCATTCAAGATTGCGAAAATATTCCAGTCTAGCTCGAGTTTCTTCGCAAAGAATAGGATCAGTCCAGTATTTGTACTCATCGATTTAAACCTAATGTACAGGCGCAGGTGCCATAGAGAAGTGCTGAACAAAGATTGTGATACTAAAGTTATATTGTGGGAAATAACAAAGTCGAGGTCGTCTCAAGGTGTGAGTAAAGACGACGAGAGAATAGGAGTTGTAAGGACACAGGAGGGGAGGGAAGGCGAAGCATCTTATAGACGCTTAAACGGACCTGGCAAAAAGGCAGGGGACTTGGATTCACCTGAAACGGAGCCATTTTCAGCGTCGTTTTAGTCGCCAGTAGAAACGAGGGGAAGAAGTGTGCAAGTCAAGCGCCAACATTAGGACAGGAGGATGACTAAAGGTGCTAGGCGGGTGCAGAATAGAGGTGTTACGAGGCAGTGGGCGGTCAAGGGGAGGCTTAGACGTCCAAAGTTACGGGTGGAAATGCAGCCGTTTCTGGCCTCAAAAGCGGTCATTTTCAGCGTCAATCCCACAGGTCCTCATATTCTAATTGTAATTTTTTTTGCCCTCTTGGGAGCCAATGGGAAGAGATCATTTGATTGTTTTCCTTCCCACCCACGACCTTCAGTTGTTTCGATTTAGATCCCAAGAGTTCTGGGCCCGGATACAAGTCTACATTGAACTTCAGCCATGTCTTCAGCTGTGAACATCTATTCAGCAGATCCTGCATTTCCTGTCCTTGCGGACGGCCTGCTCGGACAATCCAAACCCGCAGAGAATGACACCACCTCACATAATCCCACTTCCCGAAACAACTGGAGTCTCAAGGACGACTGGCTGAGTGGATTGAAATCCTCCAACCGAGCAGTATTTCGAAGCGGGGCTGTGTTGGGGTTTTCCCGTCTGCAAGGGCGAAGCAACGAGAGCAACGAGTATATCGCGCAGGTAAGGTGGACTACACCCAAATCAAAGCTCCTTTAAGCTAATGACACAAAGATCCCACGCTATCTCCTCACAAAGCAGCTTCGCAGTATTGATCCATCACAAGAAACAAGCGCGTTCATTATTCACCCGGGCAGCTTCGAAGGGTTTGCCCCGAGAACACTACTCAATGACCTTCAATCATCATCTGAAGACCAACCTGGACTCTCCAGAGAAGAAGCAATCAAACGACTTGACTCAGTCCAACTTCTACCCGTGCACAGCTTCGTGAATGCCGCACAGGCGATCGGAAAGGTTTCGGAGGTTTTGCAAGGAATGAAAGAAACCCAAGAACAGTCCTCTGGGCCAGACGACCCAACCAAACCTCCCATCATATTGATCGTGGCAGGTCTTGATTATCTTGCCGAAGGCGTAATCAGATCCTCGAATCCAGCTAAAGGCGCAGCCTTCTTAACAGCCACACTACGAACTTTGTCGAGATTGTCCCGTGTACATGCATCTCGTCTTTCAATTATGCTTGTCAATACTAGCGGACTGGGTACCATGAACTCGGCATGGGACAAGTATCCGCAATCAACTGATCACCATGGTCATGGTGATGCGAGACATCCGCTGGAAGGGGGCATATATTCCATATTCCATTCGGATATACCTTCCCTTTTTCCTACTCTGCTCATGAAAACGCTAGACCAAGGCATTGACACACATCTATTACTCTCCGACTCGAAAGGGTGTGAGGTGGTCGAGGTGATCAAAGATCGGACGGGTGGTGGTCTTGGGAAATGGGGAATATGGAGGCAGCATTGAAGTCTACTTTGATATTCAGAAGTCCTACACATCTTTTATGAATTCAAGCATTTATATCCAAGGAGCATATTTTCGCTTATTTAATTCATTATTTTTGAACCTAGTAGAGTTCCTTCTTGGCCGCGCTGGTGTGCTGCAGGCTTATTGCTCATATTTTTACAAACACATAACAACATCCATGGATGAGATAGATGCCCCCTTTGAAAAGCGCCGTTTTGTATGCATGCATGTGGCCTAGAAAATCCACTCATTTCCGAACTGCTGATTCAGAACTCAGTTTTTGCAAAGCCCCAACTCTCAGAAGCAAGAATGTTTTCTTGGCAAGGGCCCTCCTTCCATTTCCAAGGAGGCAAGCAAATGTTATTCGTTGTGCAAAGATTGTCGGAGGAAAGTATAAGTTAGGCCATCGCCGGAGATGTCAATATAGAAGTTATCGTCGTCGGTCGCCATTGCGAACTAGGTCCCGAAAGCTCGCCTGCTTCAGTCCGAGCAGAGACATGAGACGAATGTAGATTGGCCAGGGTCCCTGAGAGCACAAAGGAGGAACAGACACGAGAAGCAAGGCCTGACAATACGTACAAATCTGAGGCGGTTCAAGAGTAAACCATGCTGCAGCTTAAACTTGCATGCTGTTATCTCTCTCGGCCCATTGTCTCATTACACCTCGCTCAACCACGGATCGAGCCTTCTCCTCACACTTGGCGAGGTCCTGCTCTGCCGTTTCTTCCTCAAAGAGAATATCTTGCTGTTGCACTTTGACCCATTGCTTGTGCCTCTCGCACCGTTTCTTGGTGCATACACCACTCGTCCAGAGCGTGATGTCGTCCTCGCCATCGCCGTTCATTGAGGTGTCACCATCGGCATCTGTAGTGGACTGAGTGCTGGTGGCCAAGGCCTCAACTGTGCCCTCAGCGAGACCTTTCTTACCAGCCTCTGAAAGCCGCCACTCGTCAAACTCCTCATCTGACCAAGAAAGCCGTGAATCAAATCCGCAGATATCTTTCCACCCGCCTTTAGGTTCGTGTTGTTTCAATTTCTCCACGATGCCTTTGGCTCGTGGTTTGAGAAGTGACACGAATGTGGAGCGGGCTGCGAGCATTTCCTTGCGGTGCACGAGCGCGTCTCTCTGTGTGCGCAGTTTCTCGAATTCCGCGATCTCATCGGGAGAGTAATCGGCGACACCGGAATAAATATCAGCTCCCAACCACCTGCCAGTCGATTGCTTCGATCCGGTCTTGGAATCTGTTATAAGCACCTTTTTGTCATCTGCTTCGGGTGGTGGAGAAACGATACGATCTCCAAGCGTTCGGAATTCTTTGGTGGAAGCCACACCGATAATAGCAGCTTTCAGGTCTCCGGCAGTCAGGATGCCACCCATACTACCCAGATCCTCGAAAAGCCCATTCGCTTGATTAGCTCGTTGTTTGAGCTGTTGGATATTTTGACGCATGAACTCGCGACCGTGATCATCGCAACAATATTTGCTGAGGTTCTTGCCTTTAGCGCGTGCGGGCTTTCGGCACTCTACCAAGCGACACATTGGCTTCCATGTTGTGCATCCCTTACCCACGCTGGCACAATTGGGACCTAAAGGATTGTTAGATCATTTCAGAGATAGGTGGGCTCAAAACAAACTTACATATATAGCGATCGATCAACTCGGCGTCGCGAGGATCGATATCGACACATTTCCCATGGTACCAATCATCGCAGTCGGCGTCACATCCGATCATCCAGGTATGGTTATCCGGCCGACGACAGATACAGAAGACTGCATTTTCATCAAAGCTATCAGAGTCATCGTTTTCCTGTGCTCTGGCTGGTTTCGGTCCTTTCTTCTTCTTTTGTGGCCTCTTCTTGGGTTCAGGCGCAGGTGAGCCTGCGATTGAAATTGAGTCTTGTTTCTTCCCTGGAGTTTTGCTGGTGCGAGATATAGGCGTGTTGGAGCGACGCGCATCGACGCTATCTCCGTCTGGATCGTTGACCTTGCGCTTCTTGGCTGCAGGCTTCTTCGCAGTACCCTTCTTGCCGGTGGAGCCTTTGCCGGCTGCCTTGACTGAATTTGCTGGGGATAATCTGTCGGATGATGATGCTCTCGAGGATACTCCGTTCTTGAGGTTGGCGACTGTTCGTGAGGTAGGGACGTCATCGGGGCCATCCGTGTTCCATGACTTTGTCTCTAGATCATCGTTGATGGGATATTTGTCGAGTGTTGAAATTGTTGGTTCTGTTTTCACGGACGGAAGGGGCGTGTCTTGATTTGCGACGAGTGGCTGGCCTTTGCTGGGGTCATAGGCACCATCATACAGGTCTGCCCAGTCTCCAGAGCCGGCGACGCCGTCTTGCGACACCGGTTCGAGGTTTCGTAGGAGACGATGGACCTTCTCGGCTCTGGTGTTACCAAAGTAGCCACACTGTCGCCAGCCAGCTATTCCCACCACCCGTCCGTTCTGGATAATGATGTTGCTTTGAACCAAATCATTGTGTGTGAAGCATAACCCCTCCTCCTTGCTCTTGTCTGCAAATAGAATATCTCGTTCGCTGGTCTCGACAGAAGGCGGCGTGAGGGCATTGAGTCCACGGGATACGTAGGTAGGTTCGTCGGCGGGGCTGTCGATGCTTTCGAGGCGTTGAACAATCTGGCGACACTGGTTTTTCAAAGAGTCGATCTGCTCTGTGTTTAAGTATTTCCACGCGACTTCCAGAGAGACACCCGCAATCCGGGACTCAATTGTCACATTTCTTCCTTCGATTGTCCCGCAGAAGTATATCACTGGAACTGTGACCCCAATATCCCTCAGAGAGTCTTCTGCCTTTTGCGACGCCAATAACTCGTTCGCATTCGCAAATGAATACTTCGCAAACGCTGTTCCTTCAGCCAGTCCGCGGTCCACGCGAATGATGATGCTGCCCGCAACAAAAACTTCTCTTGGCCCGTCAACATTGATTGAGTGCTGCGGCGTGCAGTACTCTGTTGCGACCTTCTCCCAATAGCCATTGATCGCAGGATCGGCGTGGTACCAGTTCATGAAGCGAGGGGTGAAGTCGTCGGCGCGCGGCGCATAGCGACCATACTGAGAGCTCCGAGAAACAAAGGGGTCGTCGGCGGGAATTTTGTCTGGGTCTGCTTCGTAAGGATCGATCATGGGTTTTGTGTCCGCCGCGCCGTTCACGTGGCTTGCGCCAGCCTGCTCCATATCCACCATGACTGAAATCGCGAAATAAATTGGAATGCGAGATGCGCTAATTAAATCCGATATATTATATTCGGTTGCCCTGTTGCCCAACAACGAGCGCTGGGGGTACCGTGGGGGGCTTGGATCGTATGCGAGTAAAGGGCGCGCGGGCAAAGCTAGACTGATGCGAGGTCCAATGAGGCTGTCCCAGACATCATGCGAGTCGCGTGGGTATAGCTGGGATCTCTGGGGTTCCCGGAAAAATTCTGGACCAGCGGAGTCTCACGGTTTGGAGAGAGTGGTTGTGATGCACTCGTGTCGGGAATCTCCAAGTGTCGGCGCGACTCCGCGGACCAGAGAGATAAAGAACTTCTCTGTACGGACTAGCGCGATTAACGCGATTAGCGCATCTTTATCTCGGGCGCTTAGCCATTCCCAGAATGGTAATTCCGGGACACCTGACATGATTGAATCTGAGATGATAACATGAGCTTGGGTAGGGCCAGGAGTTAGTCTAGGATAAGTTTGAAAGGGGACTGAAATGATCCTTAGATGGTTCTGTTTCGTCCACTGTTGTGTTAGTACTCCGTATTGAACGCTTAGTGTCTAGCATCCACACAGATTGATACATCCAATGCTGCGAACTATACACCACAGATTCTCTAATTTCTGTTATGTAGCTTGAATATTCGAAGCCAACTACAGTAGCACCGAACTGAGGCTTCTTCTGAAGCATCTTGCAACTACCTGTGAACGCCAAGCATTGTATCTCTCTCCTGAAATTTCTCAGCTATGACTCAGGTGTCTCCCAGGAGGACAGAGTCTCGAGGAATCTTCGGGCTGCTGATCTGTGTATCCCAATCTCAGCCAAGCACGGAGTAACTAGTGCCTTGAGTCTTCAACTTATCATCGTCGGAATCTGGCGGAGCTACCAAGGCGGTGAAACAGACGTGCAGATCACAAAACGCTCTGATCATCTCTCCTTAGGAATTGCTCCCACCTTGAACAAAGCTAGGCACAAATCTCAATATGCCGCTGACTTTTGTTGCTCGTGGCTATCGCTAATTTACCACTGGGATACCCATTGAATTTTGATCAACGCAGAGACAAGGCTCTGGGACCACTCACAGTTCAGCTTTTGTTTAGGTACCCACCCACAACATCTGACCGTCGTACGATCCATGCCGATATCAACAGAGATCCCCCAAGAGGTGGGTCCATCATGCTTACAAGGGTGCTTGGGCTTGGTTCAGAATGACGGTTCCTCCCATACCCTCGGGTACTCGTCCAAAGTACCGTCAACCTTGCAACTGGACTAAGCCAGTTTTCGTCTGGCGACAAAACATTGTTCTGATATAACTTGGGGCTCAATGTCGAATATGCGCCAATCCCACTGCTCGAGCACACATTGTTTTCACTGCCACAACTGTGCATCCTGGCTTTCATCGGACTCCGAATCTCGATCCCATGAGGCCACAGTGAAACACCGGAACGCGGAACGGGCGTTGGCAGATGGCCACAGCCAATTTATACTCAGGGGCATACTTTGATGTCATAAACTACCCCAGTGGTAGCACTGCCATGGTTGATCATTCCTCAGTTGAGAAAATGCGTCGACATAGCCTAACCCCTGTATATGCAGCTTTGTTTAGCGCAGATGTGCTTGTGTTTTACATAGATTCACTTTGAAATGAGACACCAGGTGTGTGACTCGGGACCGAGTTACCTGAAGGCTATCTTGACTACATCATAATAAGATTTCAGTAGCCGTTGGCGATCGGCACCCCGGCTTACTGAGTGGACCCAGCGAGGTCGGAGGGGAATTATATTCCGTTCAGACCCTGACCCCGTGGGTTTTGTCGAAACGCTAAAAGCTTAAAACTCCAGACCCTGGAGCCTGCATCAAGCTTGGATTATAGGCTTCTCAGGGCGGTGGAGCATTTGTACATATAGCTGGTGCCTTTTTATAGAGGAACTCAAGTTCAGACTTCGAAAAATGGTGTCCGAGGGGGACCCGGTCCCTTGCTTGATCTCACGAATGAGCCCGATTTGGGTATTTTCCTCTTCGTCAAAGGATGATAACACAATATTAAGACTTGGTCTTCGAGCACCAACCCTGAGCTTTGCTTTTGGCCGGTGTTTTCGTGGATCACTGAGAGGCCATCGTCGATCCTCAGAGCGACACCGGCGATTACAAATGGGTCACGCTTGCTCTTCGCACCTCGGCGAGAGGCAATTTCACCGTGGAACTCAAGAGGAACTTGGTAATTATGGATTTTTCTGAGCTATTATTGAGTGAGACTGGCACAGTACTTTTGATGCCACTGCGCCTTGCGTGGAACATAGCCAGTGCCTAAGAGATGCGGCGCACAAGTGTGGGAAAACACGGGTCGCATATGGCCCCCAAACACATCGCATATTGAATGGAGCACGATGCCCAAGACCAATATTCGGAACGAGCCGGGGACCGGTTGTATTACTCCGTGAAGATTGGGATACCGGTGATCGTCCAAGACCAAGCCCAAACAGGTATGTCGCGATGGGAGAGCTTAGTGGGGGCGGAGGATGGAAGCGAAGGTTTCATAGGTCAATAGTGGGAACCCCTTAGTTCGCTTCGGGTAACGTTGGAGCCGTAGCGAGTTTATCAGATGCAATTCTAGACCGGATGTTGATTGGCGAGATAAGTCCAGTTCCTCCCTAGCGATAGACGTTAAGGTAGACGTTGCTGAATTAAGCCTAAAACCCTGAAACATAGTCAGCCCTAGTACTAGCCGTCCTGAAGCAGGAAGAATAGACGAGAAATGAATATTAAGGATCAGCAAAGTTGCCCCGGTGGATAATTATAGCATACCGTTTGTGAGAGCCCCTGCAGACCGGGATCGGCTTACGATCTTCGAGCCCCGCAAACCCTTTGAACGCCAAATCACCGATTCAGGGTGAATCTCAGTGCGCACGAAGCTGGACCCGAAGACCTCAAATGCCAAGAAATCGAGGAATTGCGCTAACGGAAGCCGACCGAGGCCCTAAAAGGAAGAGTCGAGTGATAAGTGGCTATTCCGTCCGTAGTAGCAAAGCAAAGTACATGATAAAGTGCTCCGAACAATCCATAAATCGTCCTTTTGAGCCCTGTCTCCCAGTACGAAAACGATGGTGGAGAAGTTGATACGAGCTTTAAAATATGGATCGGGTCTAGCCCAATGTAGGTGTCCAAGTGTGAGAGTTCAGCTGAAGGTTAGCCGTTTAACCTCTTCTTTGGCCCCCAAAAACACTTCGCAAATTCCTGTCAAATAATGTCTGTAAAGATTAGCGGCAGTGTCTGACTCGTCTAAGATCCACACGTGTCGACCGGATTGCTGGGAAAATGCCGCTATTCCCGTCTGGCTTAGTTCGTCAAATTTTAGTGGGGAGCGAACTTTCCTCCTTTATCTTTTCTATGACTTTCTAACCTAAATATCTCGGCCTCCCTGTGTCATCTCGCACGGACGATATCAATACGAGAACCCCATATACAAACCGCGCTTGATTCTACCATGGCAGATCCCTCGAGTTCTAACGATACTCCCAGCGTTCGCTGGCAGTTCATCGATTCCTCCAACAACAGTCGAAGCAACCTGACACAAGTCAAGCGCCATGTGATGCAAGAGTATATGCGCCAAAAGAAAGGTGGATCGCGACAAAGTGAGAGTGACGAGGAGCGTCCACAGCCCAAGCGTGGGAGACCTAAGAAGGCCCGGGCAAAACGAACTCCAGCCAAGAAAACCAGATCAGATAGTGACAGCAATGAGCGCAAACCCCAGAAAAAAACAACACCAAAGGAAATATCGCCACCTGCAGAGGATATCGACGACGTTGAGGAGATCGTGCGGGAGACGGACTTCTCATCCAATCTTCAATTTAATGAGCCTCACGATGGGGCCGTGTTCCTGCCCTTTCGACCGTCACCTCAGTCCGATACGTTTTTCCCGGATACATACATTCCCGGAACTTATAGTACGCAGAGCGATGCTCTAGATTTTAACGACTTCCTATGGTCATCCGCGCCGACAACACCCAATGAAATCATGCAGTCACCAAAAACCATGATGAGTGCCGCTCGAACTGATCCGTTTAATACTCTCCCCATCGAATTGGACCAGGATGGACAGAGGTTGTTCGACTTTTATGTGAACACCATGCCCGCATGCTCCTACGGATCTCATTTCCGGACAGCCAAGGCCCACAATTGGTATACTGCCGTTTTTGTACCAGAGGGCATGAAAGGTGCCGTCGCATTTCAAAACACCATCATCGTTCACGCTGCAAATACCTGGTCTTGGGTCCGCAATGAGGGTCAAACTCCAAATACACTTCTCCATCGAGATCGCGCCGTTACGATGCTTCGCGAGCACGTTTCCAACAACCCGCATGATATTTCCGATGTCGCTATCATCTCATGTCTAAGCGCTGCAGCCCTCGAGGACTTTGACCCTCGCCCAGGACGCAAAGAAATCAGCTGGATTCATATGCGCGCTGCGCGCGAGATGATTCGAGCGCGTGGTGGCCCTGCCGCATTTGCATATACTCGTCTCGGCATGTTGATCAATTGGCAAGACTATATCTTGTCCGGATACGAGACACACGGACCGAGCTTCTTCTACGAATATAATCAACCCTCGACATACTCACAAGACTATGTCTCTCAACTTCCTCCGAATTGCCACTCGATGCCTTCACCTCCTTATTCAACCTCTTCTGCGCTCTCGGATGTCTCCTGCCCTGAGCCCCCAACAACCCCCTCCCTCCCAGCATCACCCATCGAAGAAATCAGAGAACAATGTGAAGTCTTCCTTGATTTTCTTCGACGCTGTGAGGAACTCTCCCTATACCAGCGCGATAATCCCGAGTGCCTACACCCAGCCCGACAAACCATAGTCGAACCAACATGCCTTCTCCACCGAGTCCTCGCAGCACCCCCAGGCGCCAGATTCTCTACATCAGGCGATCGCAAACAGATGGTCGCTCGCCTGGTAGCGCTGATGATTCTGAATGCAGCCCTCTGGGACTACCGACATGCCCCGGCACGCGCAGGTCTCTTCCTCACGACGCTCGAGCGGGCAATGATCAACAGCGAAGTCGAGATGAGCGGCTCAGTCGAAGCTATTCTCCAAATCCTACTGGAGTGCAACGATGGAAATATGGAAGAGTGGTCTGATGGTTCGTTCGATGCCACAGCTCTGGGAGCAGACATCCTGGACTTCTCTCAATATTCTGCAACAGCAACATCGCCTTCTGCGCGTCCATGGTTCGCTGGTCGAATGTTGAAAATTGCTAAGCGGTTGCGCTCTGAGACGTGGTATCGCGTTAGTGAGTTTTTGTTTTCTTGCTTGACTATGCAGGTTCATGAGTCGAGTATGGCGTTTTGGGAAGCGGATTTACGACAGGAAATTTTGGATGCTCCGTTGACTAGTTATCATATGCGCTCTTTAATTGAGTGATTTCATCTTTGGGCTTTCGGATAGTTTTTTCATGACCTGTACATGACATTTTTATGATGATCTGACAATTGCGCTCCACGGCTTATGCTCTATGAAAAAAACCCAACATAAATTAAAGATACTAGCTAAATCTACTATGTTGAATTTAGAAGTGGCGAGACATCTGAGCCTTACACCAAGTTTGGAAGCCCTAGAGTATCTTCAAGGTTGAGGGTCCTCCGTTGATGGGTATGCTTGCTACTTACATTCAATTTAGAAAGCACAACTGGCAGACAGACATACAGAAGCAGGTCTGTAGCGGCCAGTGTCAAGTCCAGTGTTTCCGATACAATATTCCCTATTTGGTATTAAGCCTATCCGTGAATGGACCCCCGGAGTACACGCTCAGGTCTCTTGACGATTCTTTTCGATTATCCTTCCAAATGTTCTTCTAAGTGTCTATTCAAGTGTATTTTCAAACATCTTTTTAAGTGTCTTTCTAAATGTCTTTCTAAATGTCTTTGAAATTCTGAAATTGCCTCTAGCCACTACCTACACACCTGCATACATATAAATACTTTACTTACCCTTATCCCTCTTCGTAACTTCCCCATCTCTCTTCCACCTTTCACCGAGCCCTGCAGTCTTCCTTGCATTGTATTGGCATTTCCCGGCTATTTGCCATCTACTGTGAGACAGCCGACCTCTGACAAGTCTCGATCGTTCTTTCTTCTATCGTGTGAACGAAACCGACGACCACCGTTTTCCCAAATCTTCCCCCGGTCGAGTCGTCGATGGTACGACCAACACATTTCCACTGCCTTGATATGTGTCGACGCTGTTTTCAACCGACTTGAACCCACAAATTCTGTGAATCAAGTGTGACAGCATGCGCCTTTTCTCAAGAGAACACGGCGACAGCAAGATACTTTTATCATGGACTCCGGCTTTGCATAAATGTGATTCCAAAGGAATCCATTCCTTTTAGCCTGACTGGCCTAAAACCCTTGAGATCACTCATGGTTCTGAGCTGTTCCACGAAGCTATCGCGTCTTGACGTTCGGCAAACGGCCATAGGCCTCAACACAAATGTCCCGCAGCTAATAAAATGGCGTGATAACGGACTCACCGCTGATTGAATCTATGGGGAGGTCCACGGGTGAGATCAAAAGGAGAAGGACAAATCAGAACAATCGCGGATTTGATCGCGTGCCTGGTCGAAGGTGCTCCGAAGCTACGTGCAATATTCAACCTCCTCCAGCAACATAAGGTATTGAACCTAGTGGGGGAAAAATTGGGATCGCATCAAAAGATGCTGATCGTCGAGAGCTGTCCTCTCAACGCATGGCTCTTGGAATCCTGGAAGTCCTTTCAATTATCATTTCAACTGTCCTTCCAACCGTCCTTCCAACCGTCCTTCTGATTGTCTTTTCAACAACTGTGATGAGACCGCAGTAGGGCTAGTGTATATAATTGACCCAAGAATGAGTAGATTGACCTAAGTAGGTATGGCGGAAATTTACGACCTTGGAAAGCCTTTGGGAGTATACTCGCTCAAAACGTGATGTCGTCCTCGTCAAAGCCACAGGGAAGTAAGAATAAATAATGATTGTTGAAACGGTAATTCTTTCAAGCAAAGGAATCTCATAAGACTGTATAGCCTCGAGTCATCAAGGTCTTCATCATGGATACATGGTTCTGAAAAGCGTATACTATGTGGACCCCACCAGACATTTTGATGCCGGTCTGTTCCCCTCCACCATCCGGCTCTTTCTAGATCGCAGCTTCAACATGTTCGATCTGTCGGCTTTTCAAATCTGCCTCGGCGTCCTTATGCTCTAGATGCCTAATCTGCGCCCCGAGGCCAGTGCACACGTAGTCCCCAAACTGGGTAGTTGGAACTTTCTGCTGGAACATCTCGTCAAGCTCTTCGAGGGATCGGTCCTTGGTCTCTGGAAGACAGAAATAAACAAAGGCCATAGCAGCCACGGAGAAACTGCCATAGATGATTGCCGTGCGGCCCCCAATCTGGGCTTGGACGTAGGGGTTCACGAAATTGATGGGAACGAATGTCACGAAACTGCCCAGTGACGATAAAAGGAGAGTCCTTTCACGCAATTGGCCAGTTCCAATCTCACCACCGAGGATCCATACTCCAGGGCCCCAAGACAGGGCATAGAACACATACCATAGAACCAGCATCGCAACACATCCGTTTTGCGTCATCGGAGAAAGGGCCTGATACCCGTTGGCCGTGGTACCACCAACACCGATCATCATCGCAGCCATCAGGAAGGCTCCCGTGAACATACTGATTCTTCGGCCAACTTTGTCAAATGTAAAGAATGAGAAGACATTGGCGACAAGGCCGCATGCGAGAACGATGACGTTGTACTTCAGTGGATCAGCGAAGCCAAGCTGCTTCATGAATGTCACAATAAAGTTGTTGATGAATGAGATTCCCTGTGCCTGCTGTAACACCTGCACTCCGATAGCAATTATTGTTCGTCGCAGGTTTGTGCCCCGGAAGCAATCCATCAGACTGGTTGCTCGGTGCAGCTCGCGCTGTTCCTCAACTTGAAGACGTAGCAGCTGTACTTCCTCTGAAGCGTTATAGTGAGCACCGTAGAGGTCTTTGATTGAAGCCTCGGCTTCTTCATAGCGTCCGCGGTAGACGAGGTATCGGGGTGTTTCGGGTAGTAGGGGATATGAGAGAATAATGCCAACTGGGACTGTAAGCTGGCATAAGATGACCGTCCTGGGAGAAGGCTAGTCTGACAATCACGAGAGACTGGAAGCCCATTCATACAGGTAAGCCCATTCTGACTTCAGACTCTGGCACAGGTAGACCACAAGTGTGGCAAGAAACCCGCCAAATGTGTTCCAGAATGAATAGGCAGTCAAGAAGGCGCCTTCGTAGATATTACTAGAGCGGTCTCATGATCTTTCAAGTAATAACAAACCTCTGATCTTCGCCGGTGCACATTCAGACTGATACATTGGTACTACATTGGAAGCAATGCCGATACCGGAGTAAACAACAATGCGACCAACAACCAATTGCCAGAACGAGGTCACCGCAGAGGCTTCCAGAACAATTCCCAGTGACAAAACACCCGCCATGACTAATAAAGTCGGCTTTCGACCAAGATGTGAGCAAAGCCATGGCGAAGCCAAACAGCCAAAAATGATACCAGCCGAGCCAGTACCAGTACCTGCAGACTGCTTCTCGGATGGAATGCTCCAATCGTTGATGGCTGGGTCCCAAGCGCCATATTTCTGGGCGAAGGGCGTCAGACCAAGAGCTCCTCCCCACCAGGAGTTGTCAAAGCCGAAACCCATAGCTCCCAGGGAGACAAAGCACCCGATGAAGAGCAAGCGGGGGCTAAGCTCCTGGTAGAGCGTGGACTGCTTGATGGCAAACATTTGAGATATAAAGAAAATGATTGAAGCCAACGCAGCCTAAATTCAAGCTATAACTCCCAGATTTTCGGTATCATTCATGTGCTCTTATATACTCCAGTCGAGTTGCACATAAACAAGAAGCCGTTCGTTCCGGCAAGACGTACCCAGGTGGGGCCCCGCGTGCCCCAGGATTCGGTTCTCATTCCTTCGATGACATGGAGAAGAGCCAAGCCAAGCTTTTTGGCAAAAGCAGCCGGCTAGCGAAGTGAATGGCGGTTAGGATTGCCGGTTTGGCACTGTCGGGTAAACTCCGGCAGTTGGTCCCCGCACTCCAAACTGCGGGTGGTGTGGCTCCAATTGCTATTCCGGGCATTCCCTCTTTGACATATAGTGGTGGGTGACTGAGTGCTCAAATAGTAGATCTATCCACCAGCTTGTTGCTTTCAAAACTTTTAAGTTTGGTATTCACAATGGCTTCTCCGCAGCAGCTCCAGTCCTTTCCTTCCAAGCCCCGCGTTTTCATTCTGAGCGATATTTCCAATGAACCGGATGATGCGGAATCGCTAGTGCGCTATCTCTTGTATGCCAATCAATTCCGTACGGAGGGTCTCGTTGCTTGCACTTCGACATGGATGAAGAACAAAGTGTGTCCCCAGGACATGCACAAGATTATCGACGGTTACGAAAAAGTCGTCGACAATCTCAATGCCCATGCCAACCCGGACGACCCTTACCCGACAGCCCAATACATGAGATCCCTGATCAAGAAAGGCGCAGAGGTATGCTTTTGCTTCAATATTGCACCCGATCCAGTACTTACATCTAGTACAGACATACGGCATGACCGCAGTGGGTGATAACATCCCCCTCAGTGAAGGCGGCCAACTCCTTCTAGAGCGTATCGAGGCCTCAAACCCCGACCCGCTCTGGATCCTCTGTTGGGGCGGCACAAATGTGCTGGCATCAGTCCTCCTCAAAATCCAAAACACCCACTCCGAAGCCGAAGCCGCCGCTCTGCGATCCAAGCTCCGCATCTACACGATCTCCGACCAGGATGACACGGGTATTTGGCTGCGTACCACATACCCTGATCTCTTCTATATCTGTTCCGTGCACGGATGGTGTCAATATGGCATGGCGGCGTGGGCAGGTATCTCAGGCGACCAATGGTACGGGTTCGACAAGGGCGGGCCCGATCCATCCAAGATCAGCAAAGAGTGGATCCGCGAGAATATCCAGATCGGCCCGCTCGGGTCAACATATCCAGACTTTATGTTTATCCCCGAAGGCGACACCCCGACGTTCTTATACCTGATTCAAAATGGACTGGGCGTTGCCGAGCGTCCCGAGTTTGGCTCTTGGGGCGGCCGATATATCTCAACTGATGTCAGTGGTCAGTATGGCCGGCTTGGTCACTACAGTGATACGCCTGATGAGGTTGATGGTCTTGATGGTCGGAGTCACAAGTCAAACCAGGCTACTATCTGGCGCTGGCGCGATGCTTTCCAGACTGATTTTGCAGCTCGGATGCAGTGGTCGCTGTCTTCGGATGTTGCGAAGGCAAACCATCATCCTGTTGCGATTGTGAATGGGACAAAGGGCCCTGCACCGCTGATCTTCGAATTGGAAGCGGGCTCTTCGTTCAAGCTTGATGCCTCTGCGTCATATGATCCAGACCCTAGTGACTCTTTGACTTTCAAGTGGTATCAATACAAAGACCCTAGTGCGACGCAGTGGTCTGTTCAATACGAGGTCGGCCAGCTGGGCATCAAGTCTGTTAACGAGGCCGGAAGTATTGCTGAGATTACGCTTCCATCACCTGATAAATGCTGCGTTGAGCTGATTAGCCGCAAGGCAATTCCTAAGGGACAGCTGCTGCACCTCATTCTGGAGGTTACGGACAACGGATCTCCTGCGTTGACCACCTACCGGCGGATTATCATTCAGACAACAAACGAGAAATTGCTTGGTGGCGGTGGTGGAGCCGAGGCAATTGGCGATACCATGAAAGCTGTTATGCAGTAACAGGATAAGCTCCGCGTACAGTGTTCTATCGCTCTTCAAGGCTTGATTGTACCCATATATAAACCTTCAAATATATTTAGCTGGAACTTTCGAGCTGAATTACGAACTTTGGAAGTAAAATGTAGCATATACCTAGATAGCTTTTTACCAGTTGACCAAAGCTCAGGATTACTGCGAGATGAGCCCCTAGAGTTAGTGACCTCGGGAATGGTTCAAAAGTCAGTCAACGTTCAAGATTCCCGATCTCTAATTCTCTGTTCACGGCTTAGCCAAGACTTCCTTTACTTGACGACTAGTTGATAGGATAATGCTATAGACAATTAAAAAGACAGTGCAATAGACAGTTCAAAAGACGGCTAAAAAGACGGCTAAAAAGACGGTTTAAAAGAGGTCTCAAAGTTGATGATAGCTCTCTTTCGTTACCAGTCGAAATATGAGATTAATCCAACACAAAACCACTCCTGACCACTTGTTAGCAACTACTATCGTATGTTTGGCCGCGCGTGAGCGCGGCACTGACGCCTGTACTTGTATCGAAGGGTTGACGGCCAGTCGAACTTTGAGCCATGGTTGAGTATATTCTGCCAGCCTTGGAAGCCACCTCCAGGGCTGGGCATGGATTTGGAACAATCTAAGAGAAGCTTATTTTCATGGTTCCTTCTTGCTGTTGAACTTTGACCTCCGCCACGGAAACAGCAGTTGATGTTCTTGCCCTCAAATTTACACTTTCCTGCTTTCACATCTACTCTCACACCTTTGTCTTCTTTACATCTACTACAAGCAACATTTACTCGACCTCTTTCTTCTCTCGCTCCAGTGAAGACAGTGAGCGACATCCACTCCAACTTTCTCCCGAGGTCTTCTAGCCTCACTGGAAACCGAAAGCCTTTACTCCAAACCTTGCCGTATCCTGCCTTCCACCTCAGCAGGCGCCACACACTCGCAGTCTAAGCAGACCAGCAGTATTGCGATTCAGCACATGGACAATTTGCGACGAATGGCCGAGCGGCATCTCGAAAGGTTGCGCCGACGCACCAAGGATGACACACTTATCCTCGACCTCAGGGATTTGACCAACGCAATCATCGAAGAGGGTAATCGACTATCGGCTATTGTACCGCAAAAGCCACCCCCTTCCCGAGCTGTGACGAGTTTGGATAGAAATGAGATCGCCCAAATTTTCCACCTCACTTGAGGCACACCGATGGCTTATGAGTTCGAAGCTTCCCCTGGGGAACGGATCTTTTTTCCGTCTCACTTGCGTAAGTACCTGACATTTGATGGAAGACTTCGGTACTAACCTCAGATAGAAGCCGTGCTTTCCGACTACGACTTAGCGATGGGCCGTACCACAACCACTGAAGCCTCGAGTCGCAGCCGGATCGACGCCATCATTCTGCTCACACTAGCTCAGATGAAGAAAGATGTCGCGGCTGACCCAAGATCCTCGGTCTCGTCCGTTTCCTCGGCTCATTCTCTAAACATACAGCAAGAGACCTATGTTTCGATGCCATGGGAATTTCCGGATGGTCTTTATGTCCTCAGAGGGAAAGTGGACTGTTCAGTGTGGTATGAAAATCCCGATTGCCTCGAAACAAACTGTGTATTGGTAAAAGCCAAGCGTCTAGGGGATGACTCAATGGGAGTTCCCCAGTGCCTGACCTACATGGGTAAGTGAAACTTCCAGAGAGAAAAGCAAATGTTCTCTTTAGGTATACTAATACATGCTGCAGCTATGAGACGGCATTGGAGGAAGCTCAACTAGAAGACGCTGATGAGTTAACTTTTGACGACTGAGGAGGTTGGTTTCAATTCTTTGTCTCTCCTAGTATTTTTACTTTACTTTTCTTTGCTTTAGAGGTAAAGCTTGATTCTTAAACTCTCTCCATCTCCAATCTCTAATTCTTTGTTCAAGGCTTAGCCAAGACTTCTTTTACTCGATGAGTGCGGAGTACTCCGTACCCGATGAGAAGGACAGCTAAAAAGACAGCTAAAAAGACACAGAATAAATATTGGAATAATGTCTAGTAAATATTGATCAATTCTGATGATTATAGAAGGAATAGCAATAAGTGCCGCGCAGAATGAGCCAATACACAACAGCGCCTTTTGATAGGCAACTATTGATATCCGCGCGTGAGCACGGCACTCAGGCTTGTATTTCATACCTGAGGCCCCGGGGACTTACTTCTGGCTTCTTGCTTCGTCAAGATCTAATTTATCTTTGATATACTTCCCAAGTCCTTCCATTTATGCCTTTGTTAGTCCTTCTACAACCCACGAAAGAAAGGAAGCTAGAACTACATGAACCCGTCATCCCATACTCCAGGGATGAGGATGATGGGAATGTGACCATCGGCGTGAATCCGAGATTCTCTTGGATTGAACTAGAGGCCTTCAGAAACATGAAAGTGTTGACTCAGATCAAGGAAGCTCATCAGTCTATCAGAAAACTTGAACAATTCTTACAAACCGGAAACATATCCGTTGACTTCGACGAAAATACCTACCAAGATCAAGTTTGAAGGAATACGCTATAACATCCATGGATGGCCTTGACATTCCAAACCACAGACTCAATCAGTCATATGGAAATTTGTATAAGGCACGAAGCTTGTGATCCAATAATGTTGACGATAACATTAAGACCTGGAGCACCGCTCTTAGCCCCGAACATGGTCGTTTGTCGCCGCGGAGTTAACGGACAGGAGAGCACACGACGGGGTTAAGGCACACAATCTCCGCCACGGAAAAAGATCATGGGCGAGTACTGATTGGTCGGTTTCTTCGTCTTACCTAGATCTATAGGGTGACAAATGCACGAGAAACGCAGCATCAAAGCGCAACTACCAGCTACGCCTACCTACACTCTCACCTCATCCATCGTTTCTCCCGGCTCTATATCGACTGCTTCCTTCTGAGAATAACCATGTCGGATCGAGATCCTTTCCTGCTTGAGACTAATTGGCCTGCTGTGGCAGGCTATGTATCGACGCGCAAGGATACTTATCCGTTCATCGATCCCTCCAAAGTCGACTTGACGGGTAAGTCGGTCTTGATCACGGGCGCCTCCAAGGGGATCGGCAAGGCGACCGCGATCAGCTTCGCCATCGCAGGCTGCTCGAAGATATTGCTAGCCGCTCGTTCGGACCTAGCCAACGTCGAGACAGCCGTCCACGACGCCGCTAGAAAGGCAAACCGGCCTCAGCCATCCGTGTATTCCCTCAAGGTGGATGTAACCTCGGAGGACTCCATGCGAGTGGCCTCCGAGACTGCGGCAAACGTGCTCGGTGGTAGCCTCGATATTTTGATAAACAACGCGGGCTACTTGGAGGAGTGGAAGTCCATTACCGAGTCCAAGCCGAGCGAGTGGTGGCGGACTTGGGAGGTCAACATTAAAGGCACCTATCTCGCGGTCCACTTTTTCGTGCCGCTGCTGCTCAAGTCGCAAACCAAGACAGTCATCAATATCAGCAGCGGTGGTGCCCACGTCATGTTTCCCGGTGCGTCGGCTTACCAGACTACCAAGTTTGCCCTCTGCCGCCTGACCGAATTCATGGACAAGGAGTATCGCGATCAGGGTTTAATTGCCATCTCACTCCATCCGGGTGCCGTTCAGACCGAGCTGGCCATGAACATGCCCCTGGAGAGGCAGGCCGTATTGACCGATACGCTGGAACTACCTGCTGACACGCTGGTGTGGCTCACCCGTGAGCGACGCGACTGGCTCGCTGGCCGATTTGCCTCGGTGAGCTGGGATATGGAGGAGCTGGAGCAGAAGAAGGAAGATATTCTCCAAAGAAACTTGCTCAAGTTCCGCGTGACGATTTGAGTTGGGTCACATACTCTCCAAGGCTCTTACAACGCTTTCTATTCAGCATGCAGATGGCATACATACACAGAGATCAATATTCTGCATGGCTCTATACATCAATACTTGGAGTAACTGGACAACTTATAGACACTTGTCTACTTATTATAGCAACCAACGCCCTTATGTTACTATTATAATCAATGCTTCAGTAAGAAGGGAGCTTAGATTGGCACCCAATGTCACTATCCTCACAAGTCAACTTGCTATCAATTATCATTTTGATATAGGAGAAATGAAGAGGAGATCTAGAAGGATGATCTATCACTTGAGGGGCTCTACACCTACCAAATAGAAGACTAACAGACTAACTATGTCTACCCCAGCGCTCTTTCTTGCTCTTCTATTCACTCTCACTTCACTCTCACTTCACTTTCACTTCACTTTCACTTCACTTTCACTTCACTTCACTTTCACTTTCATTTTCACTTTTACTTCACTCTTATTCCCACTCCCACTTATACACATATAAATACTCTTCCTCTTCCTCTTCCTCTTTCTCTCTTCCTCTCCCCACCCCCCAACCACTCTCTCTTCACAACCATTCTCTCTTCATAACTTTTATACTCTCTTAATACCCTCTTCCCGAGGTCTGTGAACTACTTTTCGAAACCGACTACAAACCTCATTCACTTTTATTTTCATCACCAGTGAGAGAGAATATGAGGCACTTTGCATCCTCACATCCATTCGGCACAGCACCCAGCAATGGAATGGGGATTATCCATTGGAAAATTTCCTGTTTCCAATATCCACAGATTCAAAGGCTGAGGCATTTGAACTCAAACATGAGGGACACGGAGCGAAAGCTCCTTGTCGACGAGTTCAATGACCCAAAGAGCAACCTTTCTGTCATGATCATCACATATGACATCGGCTCAGTGGGTCTAAACCTGCACAAAGCCTGTAATATGGCTGTGCCCGCTGCGCCCGGAAACAGCTGGAGCCAAGAGGCCCAGGCTTATGGGAGATGTCTGCGGGTATGGTCCTATGTCTAGGGATATTTCCTGGTTTGAATGTTTTGCTAATATGCGAATATAGGTCACCTCAATGTTCAATCTCAAGGTAGTGAGAATTGAGGTGGAGAACACCCACGATCAATACTGAAACTGCAAACAGGCAGAGAAGGCATATCTCCAGCTTGTAGTCATTCACCAAGACTCATCCATTGAGTCTCTATCAGTGAAACTTTTGCAAAAGATGCAGGCCGAAGCCGATGAGTTTTACCGAAACACAACGAGCTTAGCTCCGTCAAATCTTTGTCACCGCCAGGGGATTCCAAGGTTTATTCACGCCTCCTCCTACCTCCGATTAGGATGGCTCGGCTGACAAGGATTACGAGAGCATTGAAATAGCTCTGAACGATACAGATCATGACGAGGAGAAGGAAAAGGAAGATTCAACCTTGGATCTTTCTGCGAACCTCGGAAATACCAGTTCGAGAGCTACAAGGCAGATTGAATTGGACCACGCAGCCCTCGAATCCAAATTTGCTTGGGACCAATTGTCATCTGTTCCCAAGTACGATGCGCAAAATCGCCTGGAGTTGAAATTGCTCAAATTCCCACCCAGAAAGGTCTGGTGCTCTGCAGACCTACATGACCCACAACACCCAGAGTGGTTTGTCGTTGGCATAAGACTCATGTACCAGCAGCTCCGCAGGGATCGGATGCTGAACCTTGCACAATCAATTCACATCCGGTCCTCGGATATCTCAAATGCCCAAAAAGAGCAAATCGACAAGATCATACAATGTCCGATGGATCTAGATGCTTCTGCGAAGGCAACACATGTATTCAAAGTCTGGGAGCGTGAGGGCTTAGGACAGAAGGGGACAGAACTTGGGACTTATGGTTGCCAATTCCAGATTTATTTTTGAGACACTTTCTTGCTCCGCACTGAAGATGATGACCTACATAATGATACCTGTAGCCAAAAAATAACTATCAAGATCCAGATGGGAAGGGTGTCTAAATGATTGCCAAGAGTGTATATAAGACTTCCAAGGTTGATATTTGTAAATTCCCAATTCCCAATTTTTTATTCACTGCTTACTTGGTTCTGACTTCCTTTACTTAACTAACCGTGCTTACTTGATGATTAGTTAAAAAGATAGCCAGAAGGATAACCAGAAAGGCAGCCAGAAGGACAGCCAGAAGGACAGCCAGAAGGATAGTTAGAAAGACAGCCAGAAAAACACTTGGAAAGATAGTTGGAAGTTGGAAGGACAGTTGGAAGGACAGTTCAAAAGAGGTCCCAAAGCTGATGATAGCTCTTTTCCGTTGCCAATCGAAATATGAGATTAGGCCAATAACTACATAACAACTCCTATTTATAAGTAACTATTATCGTCTTGGCCGCTGAGGCTTGTGTCCATACTCCGTACTCCGTACTTGGATCAACCTGGTCATGTGTGGGTCAACTTTGTACTCCAGCCCCACTGCAGTCTCACCACGGTTGAGCTCGGGAACTTGGAAACTATCCATGGATCCAGTCTTCACATTATCAATTCAACAATATCTCCAGTGCTGTAACGAACTCACCACTACGGAGTGCTGTCCTTTTTTGTTGAAACTTGACACTGTGATGAGATCTCGGGATGTTCCGATTGAAGATCCATGTCAGTCCGTGCCGCTATTCCCAGATAGGCATGTGGGCATGTGGGCTGATATCAGACATGATAGAAAGTACGGAGTTTTCGTACCTGCGCATGTCCAATGTATTTGAACACCGGTGTACGCACAGCTGACGGCATCCATTCAGATCTAGGCCAAGGTAATGTACCAGGCCAAGTGGCCACGGGTTGCCTAAACTCAGTGTAAGATCTACCGAATCAGAGAATCAGCCAGAATCGAGGGAAGCGCCATATCCGGTTTAAAGAAGAGTTTAAGAAGAGGCGACGGGGAGAACAGGGACGGTGAGGTCTGTGCGCAAGTTGCCCTGGAAGAAGCAAACTCAAAGGGGCCTCGTATCGGCGAATCACCGATTCCTTTTAGGGGGCACGCTGATAAATACCAAACAGTGCAAACTATGCAAACCAGACAAACACACCAAAACTCTCCAAATTTTTGCCGTTTTGGGAAAAGTGTTGGGCCCTTTCACATGCTAATTGTGGGGTTTCACATGTGAGAGAGACAGCGTTGGGAGAGCTCTCGTCTACTGTCCTTTTCTGTGAGAAGAATGTAGTATACAGGAACATTAAGCTGAAAGAGTTAAAAGAACCCCTGTAAGCCATAAAAACTTTGTAAGCCCTGCAAGCGCCGAAAAAAAAAGAGGTGCATGCGTTCCGCGCGGGGAAGGCGATAAGGGACCGTTTCCGGAGAGGCTAGCGACATGCGACGTGTCCGTGGTAGGAGACTAAGTGACTTGGAAGCTTACTAGTCCTACGAAGGCGAACTGGGACTCAACAAAAAAGTTGTGACCCATAGGTGCGCTTTCTTTTTAAGTGTCACTGTCCCCTGGTGTCATCATTGCTTCCTCTGTCGTGATTCTGAATGACATCTTCATCATTCCTCTTTCTTTTTCTCTAATTACGTCGTTTATACAGGAGAATCTTGAGCGATATTCTCCTTGGCCACAATGGCAATTCTAGACATCACCAAAGACCTGCCTACGCTGTTCAAGCAACAGGTTCAGGCAACCCCAGACGCCGTTGCGTTAGAACACGAGACCACATCCTATACATACGCCCAGCTGGACCAGGAGGTCGAAGCCCTGGCCAGTCGTCTCCGGGCCTATGGAGTCAGTCGAGACACCCTCGTGGGTGTGTTGTTGCCCCGAAGCGCACATTACGTGATTGCCTGTTTGGCAGCTCTCCGTGCGGGCGGCGCCTTCCTCGTGCTCGAGTTGGCTTACCCCGCGGATCTCTTGGCGGATGTCATTGAAGATGCCAACCCCGCAGTTATAATCACTCACAAGTTGGAGGGCGAGAAGATCAAGGCACCGGTGCCATTGATCAATCTGGACGATCCCGCCTCCGAGATCAACGGACACGCCAAGGAACCTTCCCCATTGCCGGCAGATGACGATCTCGACCGTTTAGCGTTTGTCTCTTATTCGTCAGGAACTACAGGAAAGCCCAAGGGCATCGCAAACCCCCACCGAGCCCCGGTTTTGTCGTACGATCTGAGATTCGCCGTGCAGGATGTCCAACCAGGTGACCGGGTCGCTTGCAATGTCTTCTTTATTTGGGAGATGCTGCGCCCGCTCTTGCGCGGAGCAACAGTCATCATTGTGCCAGATGAAACGAGTTATGACCCTGCTGCGCTGGTTGACTTGCTCGCGGAAAAGAAGGTCACCGAGACTCTCATGACCCCTACCCTCCTCGCCACCGTCCTCTCCCGATACCCTCGATTCGGCACCCGAGTTCCCGACCTGCGAATTGTGTGGCTCAATGGCGAAGTTGTGACAACGGATTTGGCCGTGAAAGCCAGCAAGATCCTCCCCAATGCCCGCTTGCTTAACTGCTACAGTGCGTGCGAAACACACGAGATCGCTTGTGGGGATATTCGCGAGATGACTGATAGCGAATCGCTCTACTGCCCCGTTGGCCCACCACTCGACCCTGCCCATACCTATATCTTGAACGAGGATGGACAGGAGGTGGAGTTGGGCACATCGGGAGAACTCTTCATCGGTGGTCCGCTGCTGGCCAGGGAATACATCAATCTGCCCGAGACAACTGCCAAGGCCTTTACCCCCGACAGTTTTGATTCTACCCCCGGTGCTCGTATGTACAGAACCGGAGATTTGGCTCGGAAGCTACCATCGGGACTTCTCGAGATCACCGGCCGTGTTGGCGCAATGATCAAGCTCCGTGGCTATTCCGTCGTGCCGGCCAAGGTTGAGAGCGAGATTTGCCAGTACCTGGCTGTCAATCAGTGTGTGGTCACTGCGTACGGCGATGGTCTCGACCGACAATTGGTCGCGTACATTGTCCCCGACAAGGAGGCTTCGTCCGATCGCCCATCTGTCACAATCAATGAGTCTGGCCACAGCCCTTCTGCACGACGTGCTCTTGAGAACCGACTCACGCAGTACATGATTCCCGCCTTGTGGGTTGCACTGGATGAGCTTCCTACCAACGAAGTCTCTGGTAAGGTTGATATGAAGAGTCTTCCTTCACCCCGTAGCTCCAGCCCCAATGGCAGTGAGCAAAGCGCAGGCAAGGACCCCATCGGTATCAGTGACATCGCAGCTATCTGGGAAGCTGTTCTGAAGGTCTCAAAGACCTTGCTGAAGCCTGAAGATAACTTCTTCGACCTGGGTGGTCACTCCTTGTCTCTTGCGGACTTGTCCTCAAAGCTTTCCAGACGTTTCGGCTTCCGTGTTCCAATTCCCCGCCTCGCGGAGAACACCACTCTTACCGGCCACCTCGAGACTGTCCGCGCCGTTAGAGATGGACACACCGAGGAAGTGCAGGCCAATTTGCCTGCAGTTTTGCTCTCCGATGCCACGCTGGACGAGGATATCCAGCCCACAAACACTGCCGTCACATCCATCACCTCGGCTCATACTGTCCTCCTGACTGGTGTGACTGGTTTCCTGGGTGCCTTCCTGCTGAATGACTTGATTGAGAACACTTCTGCTAAGATTATCTGTCTTGTTCGTTTCAGCGACCCTGAGCAAGATGATCAGGCTGGAGGTGTGGCTAGAATTCGCAGGAACCTCCTGGACATGGGACTCTGGCGTGATTCCATCCTTGAGCGCGTTGAAGTGCTTCCCGGTAACCTTTCTCGCCCCCGACTGGGTCTGGGCCCCGAAGAGTTCGTCGAGGTTGCGTCTCGCGTTCAGGTCATCGTGCACGCTGCGGCCACCGTTAACCTTGTCTACCCCTATGCTGCGCTGCGGGGTGCCAACGTCGGAGGAACCAGAGAAATTCTCCGCTTGGCTGCCAAGGGCGGTGCGACCGTACAGTATGTTTCCACCAATGGCGTTTTGCCGTCATCTGGTGAGAAGGGCTGGCCCGAGACAACTGTCCTGGACGTCAAGGATGTTCCCACCAAGCTACTCGATGGATACGGTCAGACCAAGTGGGTTGCAGAGCAGCTTGTTCTGAAGGCTGGCGAACGTGGGTTGCCTGTCAAGATTCACCGATGCGGTACTATCAGTGGACACAGTGTCACAGGTTCTGCCAACGCATGGGATCTTCTCACTGCCCTGATTGTTGAATCTATCCAGATTGGGTACGCACCTGATGTGGATGGATGGCGCGCTGAGATGACCCCGGTCAACTTCGTCAGTAAGGCGGTTGTTCACCTTGCTACTCAGACCCAAGCAGACCAAACTGTCTTCCACCTTGGTGACCCTAGCCCCGTCGACACTCGATCCGTATTCGAAGATCTCAAGGAGCTTGGTTACCAGACCAAGCCCCTTCCATGGGATGAGTGGGTTGCCTTGTGGTTTGAGAAGAGAGGCTCTGCAAAGGGTGGAGACGGATCATTCACCGTCGACATTCTTCGCAGCGGTATGCCGACCGTGGAGTTCCTTCGCGACATTGTTGTCCTTGATAATGCCCTGACTCGGCCCTTCCGCGCTGTGATCGAGAGACCTAAGGTGGACAGCCTGCTTCTGGAAACTTACACTCGCCACTGGTTTGCTCGTGGATGGCTTCCACGACCTCCTTCCCGTCAGCATGCCCTGAACCGTCCCACTGAGCCCGCCAGGGGCCCTCTCAGCGGCCAAGTGGCTGTGGTTACCGGTGCTTCTTCGGGTATTGGCGCGGCGGTAGCCACCGCACTGGCCAAGCAAGGCTGTTCTGTGGCTCTCGCCGCCCGTCGCCTCGATGCTCTCGAGGGCACCAAGCGCAAGGTCGAAGCCCACGGCGTGAAATGTATTCTGCGCTCCACAGATGTCACAAGCCGGACACAGGTCGAGGACCTGGTCAAAGCAGCCAGCGAAGAGCTCGGCCCAGTTGACATTCTAGTTGCCTGTGCAGGTGTCATGTACTTCACCCTGATGGCAAACACCCAGATGGATGAGTGGGAACGCACCGTCGACGTGAACTGCAAGGGTCTCTTGCACGCACTCTCTTCCACCGTCCCCGGCATGCTCTCCCGTGGCCGCGGCCACGTCGTAGCCATCTCCTCCGACGCCGGACGCAAGGTCTTCCCCGGCCTGGGCGTATACTCAGCCAGCAAATTCTTCGTCGAAGCCACCCTCCAAGCCCTCCGTCTCGAGACCGCCGGCGCCGGACTCCGTGTGACAAGTATCCAGCCCGGAAACACATCCACAGATCTCCTGGGCATGTCCACTGATACCGAAGCCGTCAAGAAATTCGGTGAACCATCCGGAGCCAAAATTCTCGATCCATCGGATGTTGCCAACTCTATTGTTTACGCCCTCACTCAACCAGAACACGTCTCTGTCAATGAGATCCTGGTTGAGCCCCGTGATGAGCCGATTTAAGCGTTGTTTCCTGTTCGTGAGTTTTTTTAACTGCTCTTTTCACGGCGTTTTGTATTATCTTGTTCGGTTATTTATTTGCCGATTGCTAGATGTGATCATGGGGTTTTGATTTACTCTGGAAAAAAAGACGACCACATAGAGATCATAGAGATCGAGGTAGAAAGATTAGTTAGATTGTATAGTATAGAACTCTTTCCACACGCGATTTGCCCATGCAGCCAAGACCCATATGCTTCACGTCAACCTTGAAAGAAACCTGGAACTACTGTAAACTGCCTAGGTGAACGTGGACACTCGCAGTACTAAAGAACCGAGGATCTTTTGCAACCGAGACCCGCTCCACCTGCCTAGGTGTAGGCCTACTCATAATTCCTGGATCTTATGCAAGCCCCAAGGCATGAAAACCAATCAATTGTTCGTTCTACAAGGCATCTACCGTTGAGATACCTAGGCAACCAGACTGGCTCAAGTGAAAGAAGAAACAAATCATCATCATTCCATCGTTTCAAGATAATCTAAGCAAAGATACGGAGAGGGTAGTTAGGCAAGTAGAAACCGGGATCATTGAATCGCAAACCCCGATCCAAAGCCGTGATAGCCTCAATCTCCTCAGCAGTCAAATCGAATCCCAACACATCCAAGTTCTCCGCAAGACGAGTCTGGTTATTCGACTTAGGAATAACAGCAATATTTCTATAAAAAGTCAGTCAGTCCCATATAATAAACCAGATAAAAATCAGATAGAAGGAGAGAGGGGAGAGAGGGAGAGAGGGAGACACGAACCTCTGCGTAGCCCAACGCAACAAAACCCGCGCAGGAGAAACATCGTACTTACCCGCACAAGCCTTAACAGGCTCCGCATCAAACAAAAGCGGAATACCCTGCGCCCTCTTCGAGAAAGCAGGAGGCAACTCAACAAAAGACTGAGGACCAAAGCTCGAGTACGCAGTGATAACAATACCATTCTCCTGCGCCATCTGGATAAGCTCTGTCTGCGCAAGGTAAGGGTGATGCTCGATCTGCAGAGCTGACAATGGGTGTCGGGCGTATGTCTTGATATCGTAGAGACTCTGAGCTTGGAAATTGCTCACGCCGATACTGTGCGCCACGCCGCTGTCGACGAGGGATTCCATTGCTTCCCAGGTTTCGCGGATTGGGACGTTGTCTGGGGAGACGGTGCCTGCGTCGTCCATCCACCATGCCTGTGGGTATTAGCTTATGGTGCTTTTCGGTGGCTTGATTTTGGGTTTGTGGTCTGGATGTACTTACGGGGTATTGGCGGACTGCTGGGTCAATGTATTTTAGGGCACAGGGGAAGTGCATTAGGAAGAGGTCGATGTATCCGAGGCCCCAGGCGTCATTTTGTTTCTTTGCCATGTCGATGGCATGCTCGCGGCGGTGGTAATTGTTCCATAGCTTTGTTGTGATGAAGACTTCGGCGCGAGTTACGAGGCCGTCGGCGATGGCGCGCTGGATGCCTTCGCCGGCTTCTTTTTCGTTTTGGTAATCATATGCGCCGTCGAACAGTCTGTACCCGGCTTTGATGGCCTGTGGAGTATTAGTCTTGATTTTTTTCATCAATGGGATATAGGAACTGACGTTGTATACTGTGTCTGCGGCTGTCTCTTTGGGTACTTTCCAAAGACCGAAGCCCACGAGGGGCATTTCTTTGCCGGAGGCGAGGGTGATAGTAGACTTGACCATTGTGATGAAGGAGAGCTTTGATTCTTTGAAGAATTAGAGATATCAAGCCCATCTTATATACCCCAGAGCTCGACGATATTTTTCATAGTGGGAAAGTCGGCGGTTGCGACTGCCTCGCAGTGGTGGTTCGGATTTCCTAATTGGGACATGAGGTCCACAGTGTCTCCAGCCGACAACAAGCTGTGGATGTTCCCACAAAACTAATTGCATTCAAAAGAGCCGGTTCAAAGTCCGAATGCTGAGAAGATCCCGACAATTGAGGAGATTGGCCAGATCGGTTTACCGGACAGCCGATCAATGCAGTTGAGCACAACACTAAATCAAGCAGAACCAAACATCTCGACCATCGTGATGCAAAAGGATCAAGAAAAGAGATGAACTGCAACGTCTATGAGCTCATCGTAAACTTTCCGATGAGCGCTTTTCAGAGAAGCTCCCGACATCGGAAACCCGTGGCACTGCGAGATTGAGCTGCACCAACTCGAGGCTACCCGAATTAGTGTCACTTACTATGGTCACCAGATAGTCAGCGCAGGGCCGGAGCGGACTTTCAACCCTAGATTCAGACTTCTGTCTTTCTCCATTCAACTGACACAAGTCACCAATCGATCACACGCTCCTGCTTGTTCTGCGTCACCGGTGATGGGAGCAATGATGTCTGATCCCAACGCTTTGCGGATCAAGAGCCAATGCCCTGCAGCTCATAGCTTGCCGTATACAAAGAAGAGTTTCTGAACTGTCGGTAACCCCAGAAGACGGCAATGATGTTTCTTTGAGAATAGATTGAACGCGCAAGCTGATTGGCAGTTGTATTGGCCGATTCCAAGGTTCCGCCACATGCCTGGGGGCCGTTCCGACGCGCAGCCAAGGGCGAATTCCAGGTGTTTCGAGCAGTGAAAGATGCCAGAAACCTTCCAACATTGGTTGTTTGAGACCCTTGGAAGATTTTGAAAATACGGAACAGATGAGGACGACTGTTCAATCCGGAATTGATCCCCAGATCTACATAGTTGCAAAGCGCCCGTGAAAGTGTTCTATTCAGTTCTCACACATGTTATCATCAAATCGTTAGGCTCTGGCGTATTTCAAACCTCCCTCACTTCGATTCCTTTTTCAGATCCACTCCTCCCACTCAAAATACTGATGTTATCGAAAGTGGGATTCATCGACAGCGGATGCAATCCCTTCCGTCGAATCTGAGAGCGCGCCGCAGTGCCAACGACCGTCGTTTCCGCAACAAGCGCCTCGTCCGTCTGGCGCGTGACTTCAACTGAAAAGACGTCCTCGACTTCCTCTAAAGAACGCCCCGCAGTTTCCGGATAATATAGCCAAACAATGACCATAGCAGCCCAGTTGAACGCCACAAAGCAATAGAAATATTTATACCCGATACTTGTGAGCGCAATTGGGGAGCACTGCGCGAAGATCAGATTAAGACTCCAATTCGTGGCTGTGGCCATTGACGAGCCACGCGCGCGAATGGGCGTGGGGAAAATCTCAGACTGGTAAATCCACGAGATCATTCCGAGGGCCGTGAAGCAGAAGGAAAACACAAAGAACATGGCGATAGCAGCGCGCAAAGCATCAGGATTGGCGTTGCTGTCGTCAAAGTCGAAATACCGTGCGAGCGTCGCTTCAACGCACATGGCTGCTCCCATTCCGAACAGTGATGGGATAAGTAGCTTCCGGCGTCCGACTTTGTCGATAAATAACATGAATACCGAGTTCCAGAACACAGCCAGCGCACCCCAGATACCGATTATCATCAGTGACTTGGTTGTTGATAGCCCGAGTGATTTGTAGAGACGTGGACCGTAGTTCTGGATGACGTTTGTGCCGCTGCATTGCGTGAAAGCCTGTAGGCCGCAGGCGAGCAGGATTCTGTGTCGCCAGCGCGGTGATCGGAGGAGTTGGCGCCATGAGCGCACTGTAGATTGCTGTTCTGATTCTAGACTATCGTAGATTTGGGTGAGTTCGTCCTCGACGAGTTGGGTATTGGTGGCGCTTTGGTTGAGATGCAGTCGAGCGAGAACGGACCGGCCATCGCCCTGTCTGCCTTTCTCAATCAGCCACCTTGGGGACTCCGGGAGGAACCAAACGCCACATGTGAGAATTATGGCCGGAACCACTTGGAAGGAGAGGGGGAAGCGCCAGGAAAAGGTACCCCCGTGGAGGGAACACCCGTACCCTGTCCATTGCTGGAGCCATTGTCAGTCGGACTACCAGGTTATCCCAGGAACATCAACTTACAGCAATCATAATTCCCAAGCCAATCATCCATTGCTGTATACTCGCTAGCATGCCTCGAATCTGCGGCGGGGCGACCTCGCTCTGCGCTCACGTCAGAAAAATTTTTTTTTAAAAAAACACTGGCAGGCGGATTGGGCATCACTCACGCAGTAGACGGGAATAGTAGCAGACATTTGACCAATTGCCAGCCCCGCGATGAATCGACCAGCGATCAGCATCGCAACCGTGACAGCACCGCCCTGCAGCGCCGCACCAAGAGTCGCGAGCAAACCGCCGATAAAAATCACCATCCGGCGACCATAATGATCCGCAATATATGGGGCGAGGACTGAGCCCACGACAGCGCCGCCTAAAAATCACGATTAGCTCCCGATCGCGCTAATTCCCGGTGGGGTAGTCAGATTTTAGAAATCCCACCTGTATACGAGGAGATGATTCCGCCGGCCGCAGCGTCGGACAGGCCTGGGGAACCGAAACGGTGCAGAAAGGCCTCTTGCTCAATGCTGGAGGAAATCACGCCAGAGTCATAGCCAAAGAGGAATGAGCCCAGCGCTGCAAAGATGCAGCAGAACGTGACGAGTACGAAAGTCATGGTGTGTCTGCTACATTATCCGAGAGAGGAACAAAGCGATTGATATCAGAGAGGTTTAGGTCGCGTTGATGTAGAATGCCGATCCTGGGGAAAGTGGGACGTGTCACAGGGGGCAATTGATCGCGAATGGAATGCCATGCCGGGGATGCGAGGGATCGCCAGAGGATTCGTTTCATGTTGACTATCGTCACTAGCTTCTCGATAATCCACGGACTTGGCGTTTTTCCATTGAGCGCTACTGGGCACTTCCGTGCTCCGTACTCCCAACTCCCGCGGACACTCCGTCGAGAAAGGTTCAGGTCCAAAGGCCGTCAGTGACTCGACTTTTCCAAGGTTCAGATTTCTCTTTACACAGCCCTATGGAGTGTTTCAGGGTTATCTAGGGAGACCGCGATGTTTGCATTCTCGTGCGGTGGCGTCACAGGAAGTATTTGCATCTTTCAACAAATCCCTGGGTCACGTGGAGAGGGGGTGACCTGAGGAGTCAATTGGGCCAAGTATGAAATGAAATATGAAGTATGGAGTATGGAGTACTGACTTGTGCTCCATAGTCGAAAAAGACTCTCCTTCCAAGGTTCGTGGGGAGGGTTAATACATATTTTCAAATCCACGGGTGTACCTGATTGTATAGGTTCTTCAAACATGGGCATGGAAAGTGAGCACTAGCGGTGATCTGAAGAAGATCGTCCATTACTAGTTCTTGGCCCCCCAATTTGGGGACGTCACCTCGTAAAGACTAATGACATCGTGCAGTGGATATAACGGGTATAACGGGAATAGCGCCAAACACGACTCTGGAACCCTGGAGGGAACTAGACCCGGTTCCAATGAGATTGAATTGATATTGGTAATCGGCATCTCGATCCAAGGAACAGGATGGCATGCAAAGCATCGCTTGACTTTTACTGGGTCAGCAAGGAGACCTCGGGGTTCCTTTTCAACAGAGTTAGTTTCCCCCTCCAATCCTTTGACAGGTCAGGGCCTGCAGCCCGGTTTCAAACCCCGAGAGACTGCATGCAGCGTCACAGGAGCAATATATAGGATTGTGAAGAGGTAGGTAGTCCGTACGGGGTACGGAGTACGGAGTAGACTTCGACAAAAAACTCCGTGTTCACTCTCCGGAGTAGCAGACTTCGGACATAAAAAAGAACCCTCGGCATTTTGCAGACAAGCCGAGCGAGAGGTATAGTAATCGGCGAGGTGGAGACCGGGAAGAAAAAGCCTCAGCTCGTCGATTGGGCGTGGATGATCGGGCAAGTCTCCGTGGATGTGAGAAAAATTCTGGAAAACCCGCACAGACGGCAGGTTAACGTCGGCCTTGCGCCCTGCGAACGCCGACTTGGACCCAAAGTACGCACTTCTACTGGTTTGAACTTCGTTTCTCCAAAAAAAAAAAACTACTCCGTAAAAACTTTTTAGTTTGCTGGACTTTTTGGAGTTGCTGACAATCGTGCTTTTGATAAACATCTCACCGCTTTCTGGGATCCATTTCATCATAGCCCTGGGACCCTCCCTCTCCTCTCTCGCATACTCTCGACTCCGTACTCTGGCGCATATTACTCATACTACAGTATTGATTTCGGTCCTTCCTGTATCGCCGAAGCGCCGAGCTCCATTATTGCCTTTGACTCACCTCTGGCAAGTTTGGACGATCCATGATATTTATGATCGCAGATCGCCCGCCAAGCCGTTATCTCCTTACATGAATCTCTCTGCATTGTGTGGACTCGAACGATCCAGTCATGGCGACTCGGAGCCCTCATTCCGGCGAGAATGAGGACGATGCGTCTTTGATAGAATTCAAGTATGCACATGATGACGAACATAACGACTCCCCAGACGCCTCTACAGACCCTAAATCACTACCCATGCAGAAGAGGCGTCGCGTGGGCCGTGCATGCGACGAGTGTCGCAGGAAAAAGATCAAGTGTGATGGCAAACAGCCCTGCACCCATTGCACAGTTTATAGTTATGGTACGCCCCCCTTTTTTCGCTTTCGATCCTTGCAAAAGTTCCATGGCTTAACGGTCAATCTGTAGAGTGCTCGTACGACCAGCCGTCTAATCGACGCCGAAACCCCGCTCCACAATATGTCGAGGCGCTGGAAGCTCGTCTCCAAAAAGCCGAGGCCCTTCTAAGGACCGTCCTACCCAATGTCAACCTCGACGACCCGCAACTAGACGTACATGCGACGGAGCAGAGATTTGCCGCAGCCCAGAAAGAGAAACAAGCGACCGAGGAATCCAAACCGCCAGCCGCGCAGGCTGATGCGGCGCCAGAAGCGGGGGACGAGGGGCTCCTCGAAACTATGGTCGATAATTCGGGCTGTTTGGATCGCGACGATCAGGGCCATTGGGATTATCACGGACACACTTCGGGAATCATATTCGTGCGCCGCTTGCGCAAGCAATTGGGCGCCGTCGACATCACAAGTCCCATGGCGAGATCGCGAGCTTCGATCTCAGGCCAAATGATGGGAAGTCCCAAGTCCTTTTCCGAGTCGCCACAGGATTCGAGCTTGCCCCCTACCCACGACCTGCCCCCGCGAGAGGTCGCCCGCCGCCTGTGTCACAATTCAATCGACCACGCCTGCTCGCTGATGCGGTTCGTGCATGAACCCTCGTTTTTCGCAATGTTGGAGCGCATCTACGACACCCCTCCAGACCAGTTCACGAATGAGGAAAACTCGTTTTTGCCACTCTTATATATTGTGATTGCTGTTGGATGTTTGTTCTCAGAAGACGGTCAGGGGCAAGGCACTCTCGATCTGTCGGGTTATGAAGGCGCAATTGGCCAAGGGTAAGTTCATGCACCAATAATCTCCAGTGTCACGGTGTAACTAATCTGTCGCCTAGATTCCAATTCTTCAAAGCCGGAAGACAACTTTTGGAAATCACAGATTGTCGGGATTTGCCTTCGCTCCAGGCAATCTGTTTCATGGTACTTTTCCTCCAATCTTCTGCCAAGTTGAGCACATGTTACTCCTATGTCGGAATCGCGCTGCGCTCCGCGCTGCGATTGGGCCTTCATCGCAGCGTCGCAGCAGACTTCAATCCCATTGAACGAGAACTTCGAAAGCGCATCTTCTGGGTCGTTCGCAAGATGGATGTATATGTCAGCACACTCTTGGGTCTCCCTCAGATGCTGAGCGATGACGATATCGACCAGGAGTACCCCATTGAGGTCGATGGGGACTTCATCACCACGCAAGGAATCACCCAACCGCCATCCAACTACACTCCACTGATGGCAGGATGCAACGCACATACCCGTCTTTCGGTCATCATCCTGAAGGTCGTCAAATACATATATCCAGTGAAGAACGCGCGGTATCGCTCCAAGTCTGATCAACGGTATATGGTTAGCCATTCTAAGATCCGCGAGATCGAGCGAGATCTGCAAAATTGGATGGAGGAACTGCCTCCAGCCCTGCGACCGGGTACAGAAGTGTCGCCCCAGCTTGAACGGTCAGTCCTTAGCTTGCATCGCCGGTCCATTCATTCAGTTTGACTAACATGTTTCCAGGGTCCGACAATTGCTCCGTATCAGTTATGCTCATGTGCAGATGGTTATGTACCGACCGTTCCTCCATTACGTATCTGGGGGCTCACAGGCGCGTGGCGTTGATAAGAGGTCATATGCTTGTGCGGCTGCATGTGTCAGTGTTTCTAGAAACATTGTGCACATCACCACTGGAATGCAGAAGAGAGGTCTGCTAAATGGGTCGTTCTGGTTCACCATGTACACGACTTACTTTGCTATCCTCTCGCTTCTGTTCTTCGTCATTGAAAACCCAGACTCCCCTACAGCCAAGGACGGTGTTCTCAAAGATGCCATGGAGGGCAAGCATACCTTAGCCGGATTGGCCAAGAAAAGTTTGGCCGCCGATAGGTGTTCTCAGAGTTTGAATGTGAGTTTCTTGTGATGGGTTGTTATCAGATTCGAGATACTGACTGTTTCCTAGTGTCTTTTCAAGACCCTGCCCGAGATGTTGAAGAATCGCCAGAGCTCCAAGCCTGCTGTCAATCTCAAGCGGACCGCCCCAGACTACGCCTCGGAGGCCGAACCCAAGCCGATGGCAGAGAAAACGTTGCCACACCGGTCGAGCACGTTCCCGGCGCAGATGATGTCCCAGTCCCAGCCTGTAACAAAAGATACTCACAGTCGGCGCCAGCAGAGTCTGGACAATGCCCACATCAACAGTCGCTCAACTGATACAAGCAATCAGTCTTCATGGGTTTCCACTACACCTGAGCTGTTAACCGAAACCATGACTACCCCTGAACACATCTCATCGGCCGGGTCCATGAACATGTCCATGCCCAACCAAGAGCCATCGAGCCTAGCATGGGCACAACAATTTACAAACCCCGCCAACCTCCCAGATCTTATGCCCATGATGTTCCCATCCGATGATCCATTCGCATACCCCACTCAGCCCATGTCCACCCTGGAAGACGACCACTTCCGCCACGACGCAGGAATCCCAGCACAGTATCCCTTCGACTCAACCCAAGGAACAGGATTGGGCCCCACGACCCCCGGCGACCCCAGCGTAGGCGTCTCCACCCCACCATTCGACCTAACAAACCTCTCTGGCTTCCCGGTCGGACACACCCAAGGGTACAAATCATCCGTGCCAAGCCACCTCCGCCCCTCTCATTCCCGCAGCTCGTCACGAATCCAGTCACCGATCTCGCAAAGCCAATCCTCAATCGAAGGTCTCGGCAGTCCAGACCTGGTCTCAATCCCGAACCAGAATTTCGTCTGGCAGAGTTACAACTTCCAGCCCAACCACTCGAATAATATGGCTGCTGAGTCTGTGCCGCAACAACAAGAGATTGATCCGAGTCGCATGCCAAATGAAATGCCTGATCTTAATGTCAGTATGGATGAAAATATGGGCATGAATATGGACCTGGGGATCTCGTTTGATGATCTCTTTGGTAATAATGCTGCTTATCGACCTGGGCAGGCGGCATCGAATGACGAATGGACTCAGTGGATGAACACTAATACTTGAGTTTGCTCTTGATATGTGACGCTTCGTTTGCTATCTATGAGAAATGTTATTACGAAAGCCAAAATTCTGATGTAAAATCGTTGATACCTGGTGGTTGGCGTTTACTTGACCTTTCTGTTTCATCATTAGCCATATAAATACATTTACTTTATCTCTTCCAAGGTTACTTCTGCTCTCAATGCTTTATGCTAAATCCTGTGTCATATTCAGACCCAGTCCGCTATAACTACCTCGTCGGGCAGACCATGGAGAATGTCACTTATTACAGCCTATGACATAATAAATGCATAGCCACTGAATATGTGGGCATGTTGAAGAAGTGGACCTTAATGGTGATTGATTGAATCCGAAAACCTTGGCTAGCTCCCTCCGCATCCATAGATAGATCGAGGGCCAATATAGAGAATACTCTCCATAGCCCCGAGAGTCTCGCAGCATTTCATTCTTCCAAGGTTGTTGATACCAGCCATGCTCTTCAAGCCCTGAGGCTGGAAAGAGCAAATGTGGATTTAGCAAAGTACCTATTGACACTCTGCCTGAAAATCCCAGTCCCAGGCGCTACAGCTGCTCCCGTTGGATGTACAACGTTGCTAATATTGTCAATGATATGCCGTACACAAATCGATGGTAGAAGTAGACTCAACATACAGTGGCGTTGCACTTTACAATACGGCTGACTGAATTTCGACCGCCTGGCGGGAGCTGGCACGTTTGATCTACTAGACAGGTCTGAAATTGAAATTAGAATTTCCATCAGCACACATTCATGGCTATAGTATCTCATTGCTTTTCTGATTGCAACTTACACCGTCTTGTCGTACTTGGGTGGAGGATACCGATCCTTGGCTAGCTGGGACATCTGCTCGATCCTGTCGTTCATTGAGAGTTGCGGCTGCCACAACACTAGCTCCCAGAGCCATGAGAGCTACCAAGTTTTGGATGAAATGCATAATGATGAGTAGATATCTGATCGATGATTGTTCTGAAGGTTCGGAATGGATGCTTGTCCGGCTCAGAAGGTTGCAGGGGCAGTTGGTGAGTTTAAATATCTTGATTGTCAACGCCCAACCGACTCCCTTGGAAGCTGGTTGGAGCATCAGGAACTACCTTCACTGGGCCTAAGGGCAGAATGCGGCACACGAGAGATCTAGACTCAGGAAATCGAGAAAGTTAATTGGATATTTACTCTCAAAGTTGACCGTTGAACCTTGGAAGTCGGACAATATCTTCGCAACGAAACGGATGTGCTGGGTATGCTTGTGATACTTAGCTTCAACATCCTAGCCCCTGGGCGAATTATAGTGTGGGGTTGAATGGCTGATAACGTTTCGTTCCATTATATCTCAGACTAATGCTATACGAATCATATGCCGGAATCCATTAATATGGAGGTACTAGAGAGGTAGTTTCAGCCAGAGATCTTAAAGACCAAAGGACCAAGGAGCAACGAGAGCAAAGCTAGAGAGACAGAAGGCCCGGGGGCCGTCTCCAACACATTTTATACCCGTTGAAGACTTACGCTCCTTTTATAGGTGTAGACTCTCTCTAACCCTTATGCTCTGATCAAAATTCGAATATTAGCTACGTCCATGAATTCTGTAAGACCGGCAAAGTGGCTTCAAGAAGGGAGACTACAGGGTTTACTTTCGATGCCCCGAATCCCGAGGTCTGGGACAAATCGCAGCTCAAAAGCAATTGGCCACGATTATTTGGTGAAACTGCTTGCCCAAAAGATCAAAGATACAATTCATAGTGCTGAACTACAAGCTAGTCAGGTATGAAGATTCCTTCTAACTCTTAAGAGTCTGAACCGGATCTTTGATCTCAACTATGCTCTTTGACTAGAGCAAATGTGGACCAAGTTAAGTGCACTCTGCCTCGGCCCAAGGGTAGCCAGTGCAGCCGTTTCCAGTGCCTTTGCAGGGTGCCTGATTTGGTTAGTTTTGCACTTTGAATATGTGAAAATAGTTCCAACATACAGAGGTATGGCATTGGACCACAGGGCCCGTTGACAAGGTGCAAGCCTGGTTAGGTAGATTGCAAGTCTGGTATTGAAATTATATCAGCATGCGCAGATAGAATTTCCCAGTCTCCCGTAAAGACTGATTTGTAGCTTACTCCTCCGACTACAGCCCCGACCTGAGGAGGTGGTGGGGTGGCCTGCCGCTCTTTGAGAGATGCGGCTGTCACAACACTGGCTCCCAGAGCCATGAGTGTCAAGAGACCTTGAATGAAATGCATAGTGTTAAAATAGATATTCGAGGTTTTCAATGAATTCTTAGCACTTTGGGGATATAGCTACGATCTTGCCGAGGGGATCATGTCTTATATGCCTTGAGCTTGATACTTAGTTTCACGGGTATACATTACCCCAGCCCTGGACCCTTGGGGAAGCTGACATAGGTGCTTACTCCTCAGGAATACAAGGCGTCCAACTCTGAGAGGTTAGCGAGGTTGATTGGATTTATGTTCCAAACGCTGAGTGTTCATGTTGGACAATATGTTGACTACGAACCGGAGTTCTGGGGCGTGCTCCTTTGTGGTACTTCCAACACCCCAGTCCCTGGATGATCGCAGCTTCGGGGATGGAGGATATATTCATTTCTTGAAAGCTTCATCTTTAACGTAATGAATACGTGCCAGATTTCCACAGATACGTATCTTAGCTTGGTACATCCGATCCAATGTGGTTATCTGTTTGTATAAAGTCAATTCTTAGTTGGTAGTTACCCCAGAAATGTAAAGTGCGACAGTTACACACGAGTAACCAGTGAGATCGAGTGAGATTCAGCGTGTAGATCGCCGTTGGAGTGAGTGCTATCCAAGCGCAATGTGTGAGATCTGCTCTAGACCCACATAACCACTCCCGCCTGACGCAACACCTCTCTCTCCCTTTGGACGCGAACCGAGATGGCCCTGCTACACCACGACTTTGCATGGAATTCCCTTTTGCGTTCGACTTTTTCCAAATATCATATATACTGAAAGACGGACGAGATACAGTATTGAGCTTCCGTTCCGGTCGCAGGATCTAGGCTCATCTCGTGGGAATCCTGTGCCGTGACTATTGTACAGCTGCATGACCACCTGCTATCTATAGAAGCCCCAATGGCATCCATCCCGAAGCTCTCCACTCTCATTACGTGGGCTTTGTACTTCATCCCCATATACCTCTTCGTCGTCGACCCGCTGCTACGCGGGTTTTTCCCGAGTCTGCTTCCAGCCTCAGACAGCAAAGATGATTTATTCGACGAGACTGGCGGCCCAGGGCCAGGTATCAACCTGACCGATGACACTTTCATCAGTCCTGAGGATGGTGTGCCATTCGAATGTCCCGATGCCGAGGGCTACAAAGTGCATCTGCTCTCGCGTACCCCTTTGATCATCTACATCGAGAACTTCGTATCAGAGAACGAAGCGAACCGAATTCTAGAGACAAGGTAATGCCTGCCCCCAGCTACGCGAACCCACCCATCTTTTACACCCAGTGAAGCTAACATGGCTAACCAATCCAGCTTGGACAAATATACACCCTCAATCGTCTACGATGGCCAGACCGAACGTGTTGACCCAACCAAACGCCTTTCCGACCGTGCCTTGCTCCCCCGCGATGACACAGTGCGATGCCTAGAGGACCGCGCGCGCGCCTTTCAGGGCTGGCGCCCGAACCTCTACATCGAGCGCATGTGGGCCCAGCGCTACAACACATCCGGTCACTACCGGCACCATTATGACTGGGCGGGCTCGCTGGCTCGAGGCGGGGATCGGCTGAGTACGTTTATGGTCTATCTTGACGCGGACTGTGAGGGCGGGGGCACGAATTTCCCCCGGTTGAAGATGCCGGCTGGGGAAGGGTGGTGTCGGTTCTTGGAGTGCGACCGAAGACAAGATGGGAAGGAGGAGGAGATCGAAGGCATCACGTTCAAGCCGATCAAGGGTAATGCGGTATTCTGGGAGAATCTTCGGCCCGATGGGACGGGGTATCCGGAGACATGGCACGCTGCGTTCCCTGTTACAAAGGGGACCAAGGTTGGGTTGAATATTTGGAGTTGGTACCAGCCGAAGTGGAAGAATCGCTGATGTGAGCGTGTCAAGCACGTGCTTTTTGAGCCAAGTCCTGTTTCCAAGTCCAGGGCGCGGAGTATGTGGAATGCTTAGGCTTTGGGTTCTTTGAGACTTGGCTTAGGACTTGAAACGGGACTCTCAAAGAGACTACGGACTAGACTACAGTGAAATAAAATAGATAGCTTATCGACAGGGACATAACAGCGTATATGGCTAGATCCTTCCGTGAAATCTCCACTTACGTCGAAACCGAACTCAACCGACTCATGCAGCAACATGTTTGAGAGCAAGATCAGGCAACCGCATTTATCAGACGATCCAGAAGAAATCACTCAAGGGATAGTAGCGAGGGGTACCAAGACCCCAAGACTTTTGAGTCTTGGTGTTCGGAGCGGGAATTATTGGCAAGAGGAATTACTTGGCTGCCAAGAGGCATTGCCCCATGGGACGTTTCCTTTCCTTGGCAAATTGGCAAAGAATTGGCAAAAATTGGCGCCAGGTCTGAAGTCTCCGGGGGTTACCCTAATCCGTTTCTGACTTGTACCATGTGGAATGGCTCAAAGACTGAGGCTGTGAAGCAAAAATGTGTCCTCCGTAAATTACTATACCGTATCGTGTTTGCCTAGTCGGACGCATCTCTTCGCACTATTCTGGATTGGTCTAGAGAGTAAATTAGCAACTCCGGACTCCAGACGGGGGGAGTATGGGGTACGGAGGATAGTCTATTCAAGTTAAACGCTGGAAAGTCAACTCCGTCCGAGTACAAGGATCAAGAGCCAACTAATGCAATCTTCGTACTGCGCTCTACAGGGCCTACGTGTTAGGTTTGGAATGCGAAAACACCCCCCCCGGTGGTCCACCAGTCATAAGCCAAGACGCCAACGCCTCTCGGGTCTTGGGCTCCACAAGTGAGTTCTTGGCCCGTCGTTTTCTTGTCTTGTCTTTCTTGGTCACACTCCGCCCGGCTTAGCAAAGCGGTCTTTTCTGGGCAAAGGCTCGGCTCCTTTTCCTCTTCTGCGGAGTACCCCCCCCCGTTTTCTCTTTCTCTTCCCCTTATACACAATCTCCCTCCACATTACTTTGCTATATAGACACTTGCCCTTTCTTCTGATCTCACTACTGGATCACTTTTTTGCGCCTGTTATCTGAACTCCTCTCTTTTGTTACTTTGCCGTGTCTGGGCAGTCCGCCAACACCAGATCAATTTCTTGGCATCATGACGGAAAACAATATTGCCCCCTCTACTACGCAGCCTGCGACTTTGCCTGCCCCTGTCGCGGAGCCTCCCATCCAGGCCACGGCGGCAGCTACCGCCTCGGTCACCGCGACCGCGGCCGCTGCCACCGCTGCGGTCAACAGCCCCTCCATGAATGGAGGAGGCGAGCAGCTGCCTTGCCAATGGGTTGGCTGTACGGAGAAGTCCCCCACTGCCGAGGCTCTCTATGTAAGATTATTTGGATCGCCAAAGGAGATCAAACACTAACGGATCCTCCCAGGAGCACGTCTGCGAACGCCACGTTGGCCGCAAGAGCACTAACAACCTCAACCTCACCTGCCAGTGGGGTACCTGTAATACTACGACCGTCAAGCGGGACCACATCACCTCTCACATTCGGGTACACGTGCCCCTCAAGCCTCACAAGTGTGACTTTTGTGGCAAGGCGTTCAAGCGCCCCCAGGATCTGAAGAAACATGTCAAGACCCATGCCGATGACTCCGAGATTCGGTCTCCCGAGCCAGGCATGAAGCACCCTGACATGATGTTCCCTCAGAACCCCAAGGGATATGCCGCTGCCACCCATTACTTTGAGAGCCCTATCAACGGCGTCAACCCCCAATATGCACACGCCGCCCCTCAGTACTATCAACCACACCCTCCCCCTCAGGCCGCCAACCCGCATTCTTACGGCAACGTGTACTACGCCCTGAGCCAGGGCCAAGACGGAAACCATGCCTACGATCGCAAGCGCGGCTACGACGCACTCAATGAGTTCTTCGGCGACCTCAAGCGTCGCCAGTTCGATCCTAACTCCTATACCGCCGTTGGCCAACGTCTCCTCGGCTTGCAGGCTCTCCAGCTCCCTATCCTCAATGGCCCCGTTCCTGAATACCAGCAAATCCCTGCACCTGTCGCCGTCGGCGGCGGTGGTGGTTACAGCCCTGGTGGCTCCCAGCCTCCTGGATACCACCTTCCCCCGATGTCCAACGTCCGAACCAAGAACGACCTGCTCAACATAGACCAGTTCCTCGAGCAGATGCAGAACACCATCTACGAGAGCGACGAGAATGTAGCAGCTGCTGGCGTCGCCCAGCCCGGTGCTCATTACGTTCACGGTGGTATGAACTATCGCGCAACACACTCTCCTCCCACTCAACTCCCACCCAGCCATGTCACCGCCACACCCGGCCCTATGATGCCCGCTCAAGCCCATTCCCCGTCGGTCGGCACTCCCGCCCTGACTCCCCCCTCCAGCGCCCAGTCATACACCTCGCAACGCTCTCCTATCTCCATGCACCACGCGCAGCGCGTGTCTCCTCCCCATGAGAGCGGTGCGGGCATGTACCCGCGTCTGCCGTCCGCCACTGTCGCCGACAGCATGACGGCCGGATACCCAACCACGTCAGGAGCCGCCCCGCCCTCGACCCTGAGCGGCGCGTACGATCACGACGACCGTCGCCGATACACCGGTGGCACTCTGCAGCGCGCCCGCCCAGCCGAGCGAGCCGCTACCGAGGACCGCATGGATGTCTCTCAGGACAAGGAAGGCGACCGTACCCCGACCAAGGAGCGCCCCATGCACATCTCGGAGAGCTTGATTGATCCCGCTCTGTCCGGTGCGTCGCCCGATCCCGACCAGGAGGTCGCTCAGCGCACTGCACAGGCTGCCACTGAAGTTGCCGAACGCGATGTCAATGTCGCTTGGGTTGAGAAGGTTCGTCTGTTGGAGAACCTTCGTCGCTTGGTCTCCGAGCTTTTGGAGGCCGATGGCCAGACCGCCCCTGCGCAAAGTAACTCTGCTTCCCCCACACCTGGGCTTGATGCCATGGAGGGAGTCGAGACTGCCTCGCGCGCCGCTTCCGAACAGCCGAGGGAGGAGTCTGCCAAGGCCGAGAGCACAGTCTTCTACCCGACGTTACGTGGGCTGGATGAGGATGGAGACTCTAAAATGCCTGGCGATGATGCTTGAATCATTCTGTCATTTAGGTTTTCCTTTTAACGCCGTGACGACATCTGTTTATTCGCTTTTCTTGCCCTCGCTTTTCTCGTTTTTCTTTTTCTTTTTCTTTTTCTTTTACGTCATGTTCCTCCAGGACTCTTTTTTCTACAGCTGTGTTGTATCCCTTTGGATTCCATTTATCTTCTTTCTTCCTATTAGCCCCAACTAGGGTCTAACCTTGTTTCCATTTGTATGATTAGGGTTCCAATCCAGTCCTGTTTATTGACGGAAATTGTTTGCGTAGCTTCGGGTACCTACCGTAGACGATGCTGCATACATAGAATGCTACATGAGATCCACCCCGCGGTCGGCTTGGATCGACATGTCAAACCCAAAAGGGCAAGGCAACATTCCAGAGCTAGACTGCATCCGGGGAGTGACGCAAAATGATGTCAATCTGGGGTAGTGAAGCAATTGGCGCAGTCATTTGACAGTTCAGCTTTGCCTCTTGTGCACTCTGCTCTTGCACAGCATACATAACATATGATCTAGATATTAAGGAGAAAGAGATGAAGTGAGAGAGCAAACACAGCACATTACAAACAAACCGTTCAGACAGAGAGTGTCTAAGACTGAATTCAGTGTCAATGACACCCCAACCGCAATCGGAAACATCGTCAATGCCACCGTAAAGTTGGTATTGGTATTTCGGTCACATCACTGCTTATCAGTGGAGTTCCCTGTAAGTATACGCTGTTATGACCACACTCCACTGTTTACGGTCATCCAGCACACGTTTGGATTTATTTTCTTCTTGTACACTTTGTTTTCTCTTTTTCTCTACTCTTCTTTCGAAACTTCTTTTCTTTTCACCATCTTCAGTGGGCTGTTGTTGTTGTGTTATACTTCCCCCCACGCGACAAGGCGGTCACCCCAAACGCCATCGCGTCGATCGAGGGATTATCGATAATAACATCCACACACTTCAGGTCGTTTTTGCGCCCCGTTGTTCACAACCGGGGGTTTTGTTGTTGTCATTCTTATTTTCTTCGGCAATCTGAATTTCACGGTGGCAAATTCCACTGGAACCGTTTGGCTGGATCTGACACTGTCGTTCTGTGGTTCTACCTCTGAGCGGTTGAGCGGCCCTCCGAGTCTGGGGCGCTGAAATCCGGATCCAGACTTGACTTTGTTTTTTTCCTCTGTTTTTTTCGCCTTCAAAGTCGCCTCTCTCTTGTTCCGTTGCCCCGCGATCTATTGGACTGAGACTTCGACTTGATTGTCGACAAAACAACAAAAAATAAAAATAAAAATCTATTTTGCGATTCCGACTCTACATACCGGAGGAAACCCGCCGATCGCAAGACATGCCGCTCACAAACCGCCGTCGCGCACGGCGCAAGGAAATCCAACTGCAGGAAACGTCCGATGCAGAGGCACCGGACTCGTCGCCCAGTCGACCCTCTGCAAAGAAGCGCAAGGTGAGTCAAGCCAATGTTTGGGCGGATTACAGACGAACTATACTCTGGCGCAAACAGGAACTAACATCCGAGTTTGTTTTGATCTGCAGGTCGACCGGCGCAAATCTCCTTCACGCAACATCAAACATGAGTCTGGCGACGAGGCCGAAGACTCAGCGGGCGACCACGAACCAGCCAGCAACCAAGATCTGGTTGATCTCGTTATCTCATACCTGAACACTCCTCGCGAGGAATTGCGCGTCTCCCGTGATCATTCCAACACCAAGACCGAAAATACACAGCGCATTCAGGCCTACGCCAAGATCGCAGGCCGCAACTGGACTTATTACGTCAAGACACTGCATGTCAACATTGGCCGTGAACCGGACCGCGAGCAACGATCCACTGAACAGTCTAGCCCTGTAACGATAGCCGCCCGTGCGCTACCGGATGTGCACGTCGACCTGGGCCCTAGCAAATTTGTCTCGAGATTACACGCGGAGATCTTTTACGATGGGGAAGAGACGCCCGCTTGGCATATCCGTGTGAATGGTCGGAATGGCGTGCGCTTGAATAATGGTATTGTGAAGCGCGGCACCGATGCCGTGTTGTCATGTGGCGACATTATCGAGGTTGCCAATACACAGATGATGTTCGTTACCCCGGGCGACGAAGCCAACATCCAGCCGAGCTTTATCGAGCGCGCCCAGCGCATCGCCAGTGGCCAAGAGCAGGATCCGGCTGTGGCGGGCTGGGATGCTTCGCAGCATGCCCATCCTTCGCAGCCATCTCAGACCGGCGAGGAAGTGCGACCATCTTCATCCGGTGGGCCTTCGTTGGCACCCGCCCCTCAGTTCTTGAAGCGCCAGGTTACACCTCCTCCGCGCTCGCCTGATACCGTGGGACAGCGCACCGCTAAGCAGTCCCCGCTCTACAACCGGGGCATGATGATGGAAAGTACAGAGGAAATCGACTACAGCAAGGATGTCGCGAAGGATTTGAAGCCGCCCTACAGCTATGCGACGCTCATTGCTCAAGCGATTTTCTCAAGCGAGGAAGAAAAACTCACCTTGAACAAGATTTACAACTGGATCATGGATAAATATTCCTTCTATCGCCACTCTCAAAGCGGCTGGCAAAACTCGATCCGACACAACCTCTCGCTGAACAAGGCGTTCCAAAAGGTGCCCCGACGCACCGACGAACCTGGAAAGGGTATGAAATGGCAGATCGCAGCAGAGTACAAGGAGGAGTACAGGAAGAAGCAAACACGCAAGGGCCACACTTTGTCTTCCGCTCCATCATCTCCAGCGACCAAAGAGCCTCCATCTTCAGCTACCCGCGGAGCTCACGTCAGTAAACTGGATACCTCATTCTCAGCAACCGCGAAGAAGTCACCACCCGTGTCATCACCAGGATTCAGTTCATTTCCCGTCGCCCCAGTGGAAGCATATACGCCCGAGCGTGGGTCCAGACTCGGCCGTGGAGTTGGTTCCGATCATCCACTGCGACACATGAACCCACGCGACTATGACGAACCATCTCCACTCCCCGCGCGCACGCACAACCACAACCACAGCTCCAGCGTTACCACGCAGGTTCAAAACAGTAGCAACAACCTTGCTCGCGCGTATGGAATGTCCGACAACATCGCCGGATCTCCGCCCGTCCTCTCGTCATCGTACTACAACGAAGAACCCTCCTCGATGATTACTCCCGCTCCTCAACGCCAACAGCCCCGCCTTCCACCCCCAAGCACCGCGCAGATTCCCTCAAAGTTCATGCCGATGAGCTCGCCCGCGCAATTCTGGAAATTTGCTGATATCGGGAGCACACCCGCCCGTCCTCCACCCGACATGAGTCCGCTAAAGGGTGAGGTCGAGGACCGCATCATCGGTGGTTTCCCGAGTAGTAGTCCTCCTCCGCCGAATTTGGTCAGTCCAAGTAAACCTGGAACGTCGAACGGGCTGGGCCCTGGTCGAACTTTGCCGCCTATTAAGACTACACCTGACGACTTAGGTCCCAATGGTTCCCATGCTCACAAGGAGGAACCACTTGGTGAAGATGAAGAAGAGGGGGATGCTGGTTTTGATATCGCTCGGTATGTTTCGTCATTTCAATTGACTTAAACCTGCAGTCGCTAACATCTTGACAGTGGATTCCCCGCTATTGGCTCATACCATCGTCAACTAAGCAACGCTGCTCGAGCGACTGCTACATAGTTGAACGGTGGCTCTTATCTGATGTATAACATTTCCACTTTCCTAGAACGTGTTGATGTATGTGTTTAGTGTTGGCTCTATGCTTCCGCATTACGACAGGTGTTGGTGGTTGCACATGTTTTGTTTACTGTTCAGGGACTATCCATGCTTTCGATTTGGGGGCAAAGAATGGAGTTCAAATGTTTTATTTTTGTTTTGTTTGCTTTGGGGGATGAGGAATTGGCGTTTCTTATCTTTTTTTTTTTTTGAATTTCATATTTCTCATCCGGATAGACGGCTTGTCACTATTCCAGGCCAGATGTATACCATCCAATATTGTCAAAATTGCAGCAACACATTCGTGGCTTGAGTTTCTGGTTTCTATGCTCTATTTTGATCTATACATACACTTTTTTTCAATCAAGGGCACACCAAAACCTACATCTCAGGCCAGAATCTCTCCTCCAACCAAACAATCTGTCTCCACCACTCCAAGCACCGACCACGCATAATCTCAGCCTCCTCAGCCCCTTTAATCTGTCCAGCCATCTCATCCAACACATCTCCAATCTGACTAACAAATCCCTCAAACTCAGCACTCGACCAATTGTCAATAAACTTCCCTCTCAGCGCACCCCCATCCGCATCCCCACTATAATCCGTACCCTCAACACCCCCATCTTCACGCATACACCGAGCAGCGAACCTCCAAGACCGCAAATAACAAACCTCCGTAGCCCAGAGCACAGCCAAACCCTCAAGCACAGAAGTCCCACTACTTCCCGCCGACATAAACATATCAATATACGCCTTCGTAGTCCGAGAAGCACAGAAGAAGATAGTCCCACAGTGATCCAAATCAGACTTCGTACCAGATGGCAACGAAGCAATAGCCGCAGGCTCAGGCGTACTTCCAAGCCTGGAATCGACCTGCGTGTTCTTGTTGAGCGCCTGCTCAGTTGGCACACAGACCTCATTTCCGGATGGCATTTGGCACTCGCCTTGTGCACGACATAGACCATGACGACCGGAAGCCGCGGCGCTCATGGACCCCGAGCCCTCGGCGTCACCTTCAACGAGAGCCTTTCCATCGAAGCCGCCTGTGAAACCTGGACAGCTGCCTGAGCCGGACGTAGAGATTCCAGCAGAGGTGGTGATGTAGGAGCCTGAGCCGCAGGAGGTAAGAGTGCAACCGCCTTCTTCGGCGGAGATAGCAGTGAGGTCTAAGCCGAAGTCTTCGGCTGTTTTTTCAAAGAAGGCTAGCTCGGTGCGGATGTTGACGAGGGCGTCGATGAGGACGTTAATTGCGTTTTGTTCGCTGGAGGGGCGGGTTGCGGTTGTGGGGCTTTGTCTTGGGAGGCGGATTTTGGATAGGAGGAGACCGATGAAGCGGATGTAGGACTGCGCGTACAGTCGGTCTTGCGAGAGCCATTGGCTTAGGAGGGGCTTGGGGACGGTTCCTCGGCCGGCAGCGGCGAGGAATGGGTGGGTTGTTGCGCGCGTTAGCGCATTGGGTGCGCTTGCTAGCAGGTAGGCTGTTAGGGGGCCTTGGCTTGTCATTTTTTTGGGCCTCTTGGAGGGGATTGGGAGGATGTCGAGATCGGAGGTTGAGATTAAGGTGGGGTGTGGGGGCGATAGTGGGATGAACGTGGTATGTCGTCAGACCCACGGCTAGGCCCTAGCTTTTTTTTTTTATCTACTCCGTTGTTTGAATTAAATCATGTTCTATAGGAATTAGTGGAGACTCTCTCAATATCAATTTGGCGGAGATATTCATTGTCTGGACATGACCTCGAACTACTCATACATACTCTGTTTGTGTTTTCATAATTTTCGTCTCGCGCCCCCTCTGCGCTTCAGGTCAAATTCAAGTAGTGGAACTAGAGGCCTCCTTATTATTGACATGAAGACGAGCCGTCAATATTTCTCTTGAATTGCGAACCTCACTCGAGCATGACCTACGGCCACGAAGCTGACTGAGAATCCTATTCGTGCTCCCAGGTATCCATCATAGCCTGATCCTGTTCTGTGGGAGCTTGCACAGCCTCGGTAGTTGAAAGTGTCATGTTTCTGGCGGCTTTGCTTGCAGCCTCTTCATACGACCATGGCTTTTCCCCAGCTGCCTCCAGCATCAATCTCACAAGTGCCTCCAAGGTATGGTGCGCGTCATTTCCAGCGTTGTGGAGGTCTCGCCCGACAACCTGCAGGTATTGCAGGAGATTTCCAAGTCCTGGAGTATTGGGCGCGCCGGAGTAGACACGGTAAAGCTGCGCCACGTCGACAACTTCGTGAATCGCGGAAGAGCAAGGAGGGGGACGCGATGGATCCAAGTCAAGGAAAACCTGACATTTCTGGCGCTGAAGCAACTCAATGTCACCCTTAAGATTCAATCCAACCATAATCACGGTACGCTTCCTCTCACGCCCGTATATGATCATGGGAGGAGGTGAGAATGCATCGTCCACCACCTGAGCGATATCTGCGCTCTTGATAAACTCACTTTTGCCATGGTGAAATTCATCAGGACAACCCCGCTGATATCTGCTATTGACATGCCTCCGGTGCTCTGAAACACGCAGATGCCGAGTCTTAATTTTCGACAGCCACTCGCGACCGAAATCACCAGGGGCCACGCCTTGCAACTCCTGTGTATCCAAGACTGAGATTCCGACTTCTGTCAAGACATGGCAACCCTCCATCCACTCGGTATCAAGACTGATAAAGATTGGCATTTCGTGGAACAAGTACATGGCAGGGCTCCGGACATCAATCGGCTCAATCTGTCCATTGGCAAAGGAGGGCTGCTGAACACCTTCTTTCAATAGAGGTCGCAACCCAAAGTAGGATGCCACGCGGCCCAGACACTGCTCAAGCTTCTTTATGGCAAGATCTCGCTTTGCTTTCTTCGCCTGTTTCTCGGCATCTTTATCGGGCTTGACTTTGATGGACTCGACGGATGCGGTGACCTTGAATTGATATGTGACCAGGGGTGCGGGCTTCTCTTCAGTTGGATAGTCTCCCCAGGAATCCAAGGGCAGCGGAAGCCTGGCAACAAGCCTCTCCTTTTGTTCGAGACTGCTCGGGCGGCCAACAAACACAGGGTTAAAGTACTCTCGCTCTGCATCAGTGAAATCGAGCACGAGTCCGTTCTTCCCCGTACCCTTGAGTGTCAGGCGGAAATTGGTAGCCGAATTGATCTCATCCAACAGAGCTTGGGCTTGCACAGTAGGAATAAGAAGGAAGGGCTTATTGAAAACCGACTGGGGAACTGGCAGGTAATAACTGAGTGAGAGTATTAGCGATTCGCCTTTTGTTCACATCTGCTTGGGCTTACTTACAGGTCCCAAGTCCGATTCCAGAACTTGTCGCCATCATAGAATCGTTCCGAGACAATTTTGGACTGTTCACCGCTGCAATACTTGATTGCATAGCGAGCCATAGTAACTGCGGAGGTAAAAGACGTCGGATTCGGGATCTCGGGGTAAAATATGATCGAAGATGAGCCCGGGACATCCAGAAGGGACATGTCTGAGTTACACTCATCCGAGGGACCTTGCTGATTCGGGTTCATCGCGGGGCTGGAGGCGGTAGAGTTGACATCCTGATCGAGTTCGGTCAAATAACTGTCATCTTCATGTAGAATACCAATCACACGGGTGCGGATGTAAGAAAGACTTGTATGAGGAAAATCGGGCATCCTTAAGGGGCGACTGGGATCGAAATCAAACTCAGGAATATTTCCACTTACTCCTGGATTGTTGATCGCTGGGACGGGAGCATTTTGGGATCCAACTTGCTCGTCATCAACCCGACGGCTCAGACGAGCATCGAGGTTCATCGATTGCACGTCGGTCAGATACAGTAGTTTAAGGCGCTCCTTGGGATCCATTTCGAAGGTTTTGCTGGGAAAAGTAATCTGGTGAAGTTGAAGGGAGAGATGCGTGAAGAGAAGAAGTTATCAACAAACGCAAAAAAGGAGAGCGAGGTGAGTCCTCACTCCCCCAACTTACTTGGATCAGGAAAGGGCAACCGTCCCACGAGTGTTGTTCTTTCCGTCTGTTGGCCCTCAAAAATCACTTTAATCTTGGAATCAACAAATGGGGATCTCACATTAATTATAGAATTAGGATATGGTCACTAGAAAGATCTATGTTTTTTTAAGCCCCATCTAGGATTTCCCGATCAATCTACTTGGACATCAGGTAGTATACACAATACGTAATGACTTTCCATTTTTGCGTGTGTATAAGTATGAGCGACTCAATCGAAATTGACTCAAATCTCAAATACCTTTCAAAACATGTCTATGCACAAGTGAAGAAGGTCGGGTGTCATATCAAAATCGATGTAGATGTAGATCCGCGGGACCCACTTTGCGGGTGAGCTGACTTCGGCAGGGAGAAACTTTAGTCCGACTGGAATCCCCGGACGAGCACGGATTAACAATAGTCCGCATGTTTGGGACGTGCAGTTCAGCTCTGGTGTTATCTGATGCCTAGACCCCTCCGCGAGTGCCTCTTTCGATGCTGGCACTGCAGTCGGCCTACCTCTTCTCTTCTCTCGAGGCCCAAACCTGATTTCATGATCCTTCTTGGGTGATTCACCAACTCCCTTAGCTATACCATGCCTATGACAGATGAGACAGACGACAGCGGAGGGGTCATCCTGGATGGCCCCTTTGATCCAGATGCTCAAGCTACCGTCACAGACTTCATCGATTACACCGAATACCTCCCCGCCGACCTTATCCGCTCCCTTACACTGATCCGTGGCCTTGACGATCGATACCTCGACTCGGCGCAATCCGTACACCAGCTCACTCAGCTCTATGGCCAGCTCCCAGGTCTTCCTGCAGAGGATCGACCAGGCGCAATCGCGCTGCGCAAAGACATATCATCCCAAGTGGATCGCGCTATCAACGCGCGTGAGTCCGCATATGCAGAAGCTTGTCGCCTCTACGATGTTGTTGATCGCCACTTTGAACGATTGGGCTGCATTCGCCAGAAGCTTGACGCGCTGCCAAAACCTGCTTCAGAGGAGCCTTCACCGCCGCCAGAACCTATACCGAAACGCGCGCGCGCAGGCAAGAAGAACAACCGGGAACCGAAAACGCGTATCACTTTGCGCTTGGATCCCAAGCGAAGAGAACACAGGAGGCGCAATTCGATCATCGATGGCTCCTTCGATCCGGACTCACCACTTGCTAGTACTGAGCAGTCGGACATTGAGGGTGAACTTCACAGAGCTGCCCCCAGGCCAAGGCCTCCCAAGAAAGAGAAGGCGCGTCGCCCTAGTTCGGGTACCGCACAGTCAACAGCTCAAGCCCTTGCACAATTAAAACCTCCACCAGCCGACGCGAAGCTGGGTAGCGATGACCTACCATGGCTCCGATTGACCGAGTGGGAGATGACCCGGCTTCGAAAGAAGATGAAAAAGAACGCTGTATGGCAGCCGAGCGAAGTGATGATCCACCGCGAATTGGCCTTGGCAAACCGTGGATGGGAGGCCTATCGTGCTGCAAAGGTTCTAGCGGAAGAAGTAGGGTCGGAATTTATCGACTGTGACAACATTGAGCAGACGCGACGTGGCGAGATTGCCAAGGACCCCGAGGAAACAAAATTGAGCAATCGTGGAATGAAATTGAATCAAGCCAAAAAGTTGAAGCGTGAACAGCTGGCCCGCGAACAAGCATTGATAGAAGGCGAAGGAGGCGTTCTGCCTAGACCTTTGCCAAGCCCGGCACAAGCGACCCCAACTACAAATCGATCGTCGCGGAAGAGGAAATTAGATGAGGTGGCCGCCGACGAACCAGAAGCCGTCTCTGCAGAGCCTCCAACTCCTGCTCCTGTTCCCGCCCCTGTTCCACCTGCTCCTGCTCCTGCTCCTGCTGCTGCAGCACTCCCTACCAGGTCTGGACCGCCTCGGCGTAAATCCAGCCGGGGAGCTGCTCCAGCTACAGAGACCATTAACGAACCACCTCCTCCAATCAAGACTCGCCCTTCTCCCGCAGTGGAAGCGAAAGCATCTCCACCTCCTCCTAGCCCTACAGGATCACGACGCTCCAATCGATCCTTTGTCCTGCCTGTCACCACACCAACACCCCCCGTCACACGTCCTTCATCCCGGCGCTCTGTGGCTGCCGCATCTATTGAAGGCGGCACCCTTGGCAGTATTCCCACAGCGATTGCAGCAAGTGGACGTGACCGTCGAATCAAGAGCGCCACGCCTGCCCAGAAGACTCCAGCCCGCGAGTCATCACACGGACCAGGCGCCGCTGGCCCGACCCGCCGACGTAAACGACCTGCACCAGGCCCCATCTCCACCGGCCAAGATGGAGGCGCGGCAGTCAGCTATGGACGACGCAAAGCCAAGCCTGGCAAGAAGCGCATCAACATCCGTGACTCCCAAGATGTTCGCGTGGATGAAGATGGCGTGCTAGAGCAAATTGACGCCAATGAGCCTCGCTATTGTCTCTGTGGGGATGTTAGCTTTGGTACCATGATCTGTTGCGAGAACCAAGATGTAAGTTGCTTTCCAAATCTGTCTTTGAGATCAACCACTAATATGCTGCAGTGTGATCGGGAATGGTTCCATCTTGATTGTGTGGGCCTGACTGAGGTTCCCTCTCGTACAGCCAAGTGGTACTGCCCCGAGTGCCGAGTCAAGCTGCATAAAGGGGAGGATGGAATTATTAAGGGAGGATCGCGGCGTTAAATATCGGATTGCTTGAATTGCTTGCATGATACCACGAGATGCGTTTGTGGGGTTTCTGCCCTCTTTTTTGACCTGTTCTTTTCGGCGGGCGTCATTCTGTTGGAGTATCCACGGCAGTTTTTAACTAGGCCACATCTTACCAAATAATTCAATCATCATCAATATTTAGCCACGTTCCAAACCAGAGATTAACTTGATTTGAATCTCCACGTTCATGCTGAACGTAAGGCACTGTGGACTTCATGAACACACAGCTACTTCGACAAGACGACAACCGCTCGGACGCAACCAACCCATGGGAAAGATATTCCAAATCTTCCCTGAGCAACCTTGGAATCTTTCAATCGGCCTTTGGGATAATCATTTGAACCCCTGGAAATTTGAGTGAACAAGGTAGAAGGTAAACACTAGCTTTTGGTACTTAACATTGATTATAGATTGTGAGAATATCGTAATTTTTCAATGAAACGCCTGTCAAAATGAAATCAAAAAAGCAGCGCAAAACGGGGGAATAAAAATGAGACATGAACCGACCAAACTCAAACATAAGTAGAAGAAATTAAAGAGATTAGCCCACGGGCCTGTAGGGTCTATATCGCAGGTCCTCTCTCTGATTCTCCTCTGGAACTTCTGCAGTGACAGGCAATTCAGAGTAGTTCATGTTCGGCGATGTAGGCTTCGAGTACATATTGCTCGTTGAGCCAGGCAGCTCCTGGACGTTCCCAGGATCAGGGCCCGGCTTTGGATGGTAGAAATCAGCGGGCAATTCGAAAGCCATAGTTTTTCCGGTCTCTGGTGAATATTTCGGCGGCAACGAGTATCTCTGCGACCCAGTAGGCACCGAATCCGTCGGCGATCTAGGCTCATAGTACGACGAAGCCGAAGACATCTGATCCGAGTATCTCCGCGACCGTGTCGAGTACGAAGGTCGCAACGGCTGTCTGCTTCGATCGGCCGGGTTATACGTCTTCAACTTCCCATCTTCCATCATCGCCTCCAAGATCCCTGCATCAAGCAGCTCGGCCTTCTTAATCAGACGATCGACCAGCACCTTCGACGCAGCCTTCAGCTGACCCTTGACAAACGATATCAGCGTACGGTTACACTCGATCTCAATATCCTCGCGCAGATAGAGTCCGTTCTGCGGGGCGCCGTCGGAGCGACGCTCCCATGACTCGGGAGGCTCGTCGGGCTGGTTTCCTCCTATGCGCCACTTGCTTTGGAGATCGATACCCATGGGTGCATACATGTGAGTCTGCAGTCCCCAGGAGACATTGTTGAAGCAGCCTTTGAAGCTGATTTTGCCGGAGCCCATCCTGCCCAGGCCGGGGACATATTGGACTCGTTCGGTGATCTCATACCACGTGGAGTAATATTCATCTGCAACAGCGTTGCGGGGGGGCTCTGATTGGTTGGTGGCAGAGGACCAGTGGGTTTAGTGTGATTATCTCGCTGTGGCTGTGGAGGATGTCGAGGGCCAGTTGGCGGGGCACACAGGAGGGGATGGGTGTGATGTTGGTATATACTTCTTTCCGGCGCATCATTGTGAGAGAAGTCTCGTTTGGTGAATCCTTGGAATATGCTTGCACAGATGAGAAAGAAGCAACTTGGAAGTGGAGTTTAAGGCAGAATCATAATGGTCGGGCTCATATTCACCTGCTTACTATTTAGGTTACCATCAGCCAGTGGGGGCTGTAACACTTCGAGGTTGGTAAACAATTTGAATGACACCAAGTCTGACCAATTTGACAAATTTGACTTGAGGCTGAGGCTGACAAAGGTATAGGTCATAGAAGAAAAATGAATACGAAATACTTTAGAGTGATTTAATAAGCTACATAAAGTACAAAGTACTAAGTACAGCAGGCAACATTTTACGAGAATCTGACCGCATTTCATGCCAAGAACTGGTCTCAAACTCTCTTGATAGCCTTAAGGCTGGAACGTACGGTAGATCCTTACAACACTTATTCCAGGCTAGTATATGCTGGCGATCTTAAATTGCTCTCGAAATATGAGCGGTGAGCTTCTGCAGGGTTCGTCAGGTCGAGCCCTGGTTTGAAGGGAAATCAATAGCTGAGATTTATATGACTGATCATAAATGACCGAGAGCGAATGTGCAGGCTCAGGTGTACTTCCTCTAGTCTTCATTCACCTGCCAGTACGGAGTATTGCGACAAGAATGACCTCGGGAGGTTACCCTTCGGTCTTTCCCGAGGTCACACTTATACTCAAATATATGCATCATGTATGCCCAGGCAGATAGTTCTGTCCCCGGAGATTTGCCTATACTATGTGTTGGCTTCAATCATTTGAGGCGTGCTGGTATCCTCTTCTTTTTTTTTTAAAAAAAATACAAGTTCCGGTGAAACAAAGCCGTGAGATCTTTGGAAACCACCGAGGTCCCCTATTTGTGAAATAAAACAAAATTTTTTACATACTGAAAATCAAAAATTCCACTAGCAGTCTACCCTGCCTTCTGTCCAGCTCTAGTGCACTCAATACAGGCTTGCTCTTCTTTCAATAACTCGAGACAGGAAGGAGAACGGACGCAAAAAGAAAGGTTTTTTCCCATACTACAGCCCCGAAGCCTGGGAAGTGATGACCCTGGTAGTTGTTTGCAAAGCGTTTCTTTTGATACAATCATTATTCCCGTCGATATATTGCCATTTGGGAAGCTGGAGTCGGTAAAAAAAAGGTCAGATGATGCTCTAGTTTTCAGGGCAGAAGACTCACTCGGAACAAAGTCTTCGAATCATTTGGCGATAGCACTGTGCAATAATATCGAAGCCCCAAATCCTTGAGTTATGCTGCTTGAATGGGTCAGTGGGGATGCAACATTCAGTGAGCACGTGGCAAACTGACTGTTCCTCTTGTCTCGCATTAATCAAGCCGCTCTGGACACCTGCGCATGAGATGTTGCGACATCTCATCTGTAATGGATATCAATATGCAAGAAGACGTGAATGTATCATCTCGACTGAGCATCATCTGAATTGGCCCAATTATCTGTTTTGATGCGACAACTTCAGAGATGTCCTTGGATTCTAGTATGAAAACACGATTGTTAAGGAAATCTATCGTCATCAGAATCTGGTGATTTTGGGGAAACATTCAACGTACTCTGTCCTGCTGCGTAGGGCTTTTCTTCTCGGTCAGAGAAAAGATTAACGGCTGGCGGCTCGACTCTCCGATCCAATGCTTCTGATGGAAATGATTCGTTCCTCGGTGTGTTGGCAGAATTACCATTTCTCGGCTGGACAGTTGAAAATGGCTGTACTTTGCTGGAGGTAGAGCAATCTCCAATTGGCTGTTCTCGGACTTCCGCGGTGTGTCTGCTGGTGCCGATATACCCTAGAGTGATATTTGTTGAGCTTCAGCTTCAGCTATGGATTAGGGAGGTCTTACCTGATCTGGAGTATTTTTGTGCAAGGATCCGTAGAAAGCGTGATCCAAACTGTCTCTTATTTTCCTTGAGATTCTTTGGAAGATTCAGTCGATCGGCCTTTTTCAAGTTTGCGATTGCGGTTTTTCCGATTCCAAGTACACTGGCAACCACAAGTTCATCGTCGTCCAGCTGCAGTAGAAAATGACGAAATTTGTCTCGTCTTTCAGCAGATCTGGATTCGCCAGATGAATCGACTTCATGTATAATGTCAAATGCCTCTTTTACTCGCTTGGCCTCATGAGGCTTTACACATTCCTCGATAGACAGGCCACCACGCTGATCCAACTCAATCTTTTTGATATATGACACAATATTTCCATACGCCTTCTCGGGCGGAAGGGAGTGTATTCTTCTTCTGTTCGCCGCCATGGATTTGCTCTCTCAATTTCAGGGCATAAAGTCATAAGCAAAGGACAATACAGCAACCTGGAGGAAATATGCTGGTTTTAGGATGGGCTTTCCATGGCTCTTTTCATGAAACACATGGAAAAACCAGTGATAATTCAGTGGTTTTCCAGTGAAAGAACAGTTTGTTTCCAGTGTGATGTTGCCTGGCGCTAATTTGCGGCCACTTGCTCTCCTGTTGATTCACTCTCAGACACCACACGATTCGACAAAACACGATCGAGCGATCCGTTGCGGCGCATCTATGTACTTTAGCTCTGAAGATAATAGGACTGGATGATGCCAGGTCATAGAAGTCATTGCTGAAACTTTCATCCGGGATGAGGCGGAGGTCCAACTGCGGTTAGGATAATTCATACCAACGCCAGAGGGCGAAGCAGGCCTTGAAACGTGTCAAATATCTTAATCTTGCAACGAGAACCAACCTTCTGTTGCATCGTGTGTCTAAGAATGATCAACAAAGCTCGGGTGAGGCAAGTATGTGTGTCAGTTTTGCGACGACTCCCACCCAACGGGACCCAGGCGCTAGGAATGTGTTGGCAATGGGACAACCGCCCTGTAATTGACCTGAGATGGTTGGATGTTGGCACTTGGTCTTATGGATTGATCATCGTTGAGCCTGATGGACCAAGGGAAGTAAGCGAGGCCCAAGCCTCGAAGAAGTTCTATGAAGACAGCCTGGTTCCCAAGTGTATTCTAATCAGCACCATTCCATCTTGAAATCCAACCCCAAACAGAACTTCAATTCTCCACATCCTATTCTCTAGTTAGTTGGCCAGTGGTGAATCTACCTGAGTAAGCCCATTTGCTGACATGAACCAGTATCCATCACCGGCATCATGTGTCTACGTGGTATGAACAAAATCAGACATCTCTGCGGACACGTTATCGATTCACCCGGGAGTTTGGTTCCCAAAAATGGTTGCAATGGCTGTGGCACGATTGTCGAAACCACTTGGCTCGGCGAGACAAGAAGAAGAGACCCATGTCCCGACTGTATCGCCAATGGTTCTTGGGTCCAGGTCAACGGGAAGTGGGAAGAAGTCAAAGGCTAGTCGATGGTCTGTGGGGATCTACTTGCGTTTGAATAGGACTGATTTTCAACATTTTGAGATTCGGGGTTGGATGTTTGTTTGCTTTTTGTTTGAGACTTCAGTCTGAGTTTGCTCTAGGGCTTTCACTTGTTACAGATAATTAGTCTGCACTAAATTGGTATCATTGCAAGTCAATTCTGGCTTGTAATTGCAGAATATAAAAGAGACAGTTTGATCAGATAATTATATCTCGATCAGGTGCTCATTCGTAGGCTTCAGAGTCATCACGTCGGTGCTGCCTTCAGGCTGACTAGGTTGTAGGAGCTAAATTACGTATGTCTGATCCACTCGGAAGCTTCAAAATATTGCAATGAATAATGAATATGAAATTATTAATTTGTCCATTTGGCACTTAGGCGCAGTGTGGTGATTTGGTACACTTATAGCACTCACCTGGGGAGCTGGGCATATGATTGATGTGCGTTGTAAAGCTGAGAGTGATAAATAGGCGCGCAGCCCCCGGGCCTTGCCTTCTTTCTTCTTTTTGCACTCCCGCTCTTTCCAAACACTTCCAACGATACTCTTTAATCTACACAGTGACACTTCTAAGGTTCTCACTTTCATTGATTTATTCAATATGAATAATATTCCAGACAAGTTTCCCAATTTGCATTGGGTCTGGACTGGAAGTATTGGGTTCGTCTACGAAGTCCACCCGGGCATCGTGGCCAAGATTTTGCGCCTTGATGAAGAGGGAGAAAAGCAATTCAACAAAGAGCAATTTTCGAAAGAGCTGGCAATATATCAAAAATTGTCACACTACGAGCTTTGTCCATTCATCGTTCAGTGCTACCATCTTACCGACAACGGCATCTTCCTCGAGTACATGAGAGATACATCACTGAGTTTTCGAATCCAGCTCCATCAAATCACACTTGAGGGCACTTCTATGGTGATAGGATTGAAGAAACTTGAGCCTCTTCCACTCCGACTAGAATGGATGGACCATCTCACTCAAGCGGTCGCCTTTTTGGAATCAGTCAATCTGGCCCATAGCGACCTAAGGCCCGAAAATGTCCTACTTGATCGCAATCAACTGAAACTATGTGACTTTGATTACGCGGGATCAATAGGCACGGAGCTGGAGGTAATCACGGAGCCGTATGGGAGATATCTCAATATCACCGAGGTGGACCAGGGTGAACCAGGGACTCCGGGTCTTCGCGGTGCTCGCACAGAGCAGTTTGCGCTCGGCTCCATGTTCTACTTCATAAATCATGGCTTCGAGGTGTACGGAGAGAGGTGGCTCACTGAGAACCATAGCAAGCACAACATTGCGGTAATTGATCGATTAAAACACATGGTGTTTCCTGAATTGAGTGATTCTGCCGTCGACGATATCATCGACAAATGCTGGCACAACAATTATACCAAGATCGCGGACTTGGCTGCACAAATCGCGACTCTTCGACTTGATGGGACTGCCGAGGTGTCGGCATCCAATGTTACCAACATAGGGTCCAATGACTCTGGCAGTGATGCAGTTGGTCAGATTCAGTCGGCGAAGGATGATTTTCTTTTGAAAAAGCAACTTTGTCAGGACATGGTCAGCAGCCGATTTCTCAGTGTGCTCTCCTCGGATAAGCCCGACAAACTTGGATTCAGATGTGAGTTTTATAGATACATCTCCCAGTGAGTCCGAAATATTGAAATTGGCTTCGTGATATTCAATGTGAGACACCTGGAAAACCTAAGAACGCCTCAAAAGGAGCCCTGGAGATAGCACACTATCTTAGGCTATTGCAATAGTCGTATTTTGAGCTTTTTGTTTTCTCAAGCCCTGGAGTTAAAGGGATGTTTCCCAGATCTACATGTGCAACTTCCAAGATTTATCTTGCTACTCGAATGATATGCATGGCAATATTAAACCTAGTCCTTAGAATCAGAAGATACAAATGAGCATCACGGGCTATATGGAGTACATAGAATGCCTTCAACATGTTAAGTTTACTTCAATTCCCACTTGTCTCCCTCAGAGGTGATTTCCACAGGACGTCTCTCGTCAAGAGACTTGCGACCAGCGTCCAAGATAGCTGTAGTGGCAATCGTGTTCCGCAGAGTGGGTAGAGGGCGAGCATCGAGTTGATCAAGAGTCACCCGTCCCTCGTTGACGGCAGTCACGGCATCGATGAACTTCTCGAAACTGATGTAGCCGTAGCCAGTCTGTCCGCTGAAGTTTCCTTCCTCATCAGGGGCGTAGCGCATGTAGAATCTAAATTCATGGTCAGCATTTCGAATTGCAGAAGGGTCTGATCGAGAATTCTTACGGGTTGAAGTGAATGAGTCCCTGGTCATCCCCAGTAACTTCGTAACCACGCTTGGCCTGGTTCACACGGATCTCACCGTTGGCGGCCATGTCTGTATACATGTCAGTGATCGTATCAAGTAACTCCAGAGCCCGATGAATACGTACAGTGGAAGTACTGGTTTGAGTGAACGCCTGCGTTCTGAGGGGCCGTCCAGCTAGCGGTGTAAACACCAGTGGCGATCTTTGAGGGATCGTCTCGGCGACGCCACTCTACCAGAAGAGTGATGGTATCCTCGGTCTCGGGCACACATCCCAGAGCCGCAGCGGTACCCTGAGATGCAGTCGCTGTGACGCGCACAGGCTTGTAGTCGGGGACCATGCTCTCGCAGACATCGATGTGGTGGGAGTTCAGATAGTAAGAGATATCTGAATCACGGCCGGCCCAGGCCTTGAAGGTCTCGAGCTGGCTTTTCGGCTGGCTCATATAACTGTAGAAATAATTGAAGTCACCGAGGGTCTTGGCTTTGGCGCGCGCATCAGAGTACGCGGGGTCAAATCGCTTGTGGTGCTCGATGAAGACGAATACGCCGTGCTTGCGAGCAGCCTCGACTAGAGAGAGGTGGTCTCCGAGGCGCTGGGTTGCGGGCTTGGTAATAAGCACATGGTGGCCACGCTCAATGGCGTATAGAGCAATGGGATAGTGGGTTGAATCGGGAGTGAAGATTGTGATGGCAGATCCGCGGGGCAGAGCGTCGATTGCGGTCTTGTAGGCGTCCGGGTCGGTTTGATCATCTGCTGGGAACGAGGCGAAAGAGGTATCAAGGTTGTTGTAGACTTGTGAGATGTTGCGGTGCAGGTGGTCGCCTGGTCTCTTGGTTAGGGCTTTGCTTTCGGTCCGTGACGCTAAACTTACGAATTCCGGGGAACTTCTTGCCGGACACGCCGACCATGCTCAGATCACCAACCTTGCCTCGTCGGCGGAGGTCAAAGAGGGACAGGCCTACTACACCCACCTTCTTGTCTGATCCGGACGCACCACCGCCAACAAAGCCGGTGGTGTATTCGCCGGTGCCGACCTGCCCGATTGTTAGCTTGTCGCATGCGGGGGAGGGAGCTTTCTCTTACCATCAAAACGCTAGGAGGAGCCATGGTGTATAATTGATTTCCGAAAATCTGGGGAAGAAGAGAAGTTTAAGAAGGAAAACAGAAAACAGCGCACTTTAGTTGCTGGAGATAATTCTTCCGGCGTTTGAAGTCCCAACATTGCAAAGTCAATAGCCGTATCTTATCGTCGCCCTGGGGGTGTTTTTGTTCGTCTTCGATCGCTTTTGCTCAGGAACATCTCGGTCAAATTACCCTTGACCACTTGTCACAGCTATATCCATATTTCCGGAGATTTCTCTTTTCTTTTCATCTTCAATTCATGAGCTGCGACCTCATTGCGCTTGTCGTCACCCGTTCTACCCCTCATGTCCCCCACACTCTGCGCGCATCTTCTGATTGGTGGAATGGGATTCTCCGCCATACAACGTGCCTCGGGGCAATCGCCGACGTGGGGGACTGGGAGAATGATAGACCGAGTGTCATTGGGGAAGTTGATGGTTATATCTGCTGTATGCCCCTCTTGGAATCTGCGTCGTTATTCCATCTTGACTATCAAATCCACATCATGCCTCTCACCACACTCCGCCCCGGCGTCTATGCGCCAACAATGACCTTCTTCGATGCCCAAACCGAAGAACTTGACATTGCCGCTATCCGTCGTCATGCCGTCCGCCTAGCCAAGGCGGGCCTCGTCGGTCTTGTCACTATGGGCTCAAACGGTGAGGCCGTTCATCTCACCCGCGAAGAGCGCAAGACCGTCACTCGCGAGACCCGTTCCGCTCTCGATGAAGCCGGCTTCTCCGATGTTCCCGTCATTGCCGGTGCAAGCGAGAACAGCATCCGTGGTACTATTGATCTGTGCAAGGAGGTCTTCGAATCTGGCGGCGAATACGCCCTCATCGTGCCTCCCAGCTACTACCGTGCCGCAGTCGGAAACGACGAGACCCTGTACGAGTACTTCACTGCCGTCGCCGATGGCTCACCCATTCCTCTTATCCTGTACAACTACCCCGGTGCCGTTGCCGGTATCGATATGGACTCCGATCTTATCATTCGCATCTCCGAACACCCCAACATTGTTGGCACAAAATTCACATGTGCCAACACCGGCAAGTTGACTCGTGTCGCTGCTGCCCTTGGTGCCGTGACTCCTCCTTCTCCTCTGGCCCCCGCTCAGCGCACTGCCACTGTCTCCAAGCCCGATGCTAAGCACCCCTACATTGCCTTCGGTGGTATTGCCGACTTCAGTCTTCAGACTCTTGTCTCTGGTGGCTCTGCCATCCTCGCCGGTGGTGCCAATGTTCTCCCCCGCCTTTGCGTGCGCATCTTCACTCTCTGGTCCGAGGGCCGTCTTGTCGAGGCCATCGAGGCACAGCAGCAGCTCAGTGCCGCCGATTGGGTCCTTACCAAGGCCGCTATCCCCGGTACCAAGGGTGCTATCCAATCATACTATGGATACGGAGGCTTCCCTCGTCGGCCTCTCAGCCGTCTTACTGATGCTCAGTACCAGACTATTGCCGATAAAATTAAGCCCGCGATGGATGTGGAGCTCTCTCTTCCCGATGTGGCATGATAGATTGATATCTGCGGTTAGCGCTTTTCAAAACCACGTAAATAATGTGCAAAGTATATATCATGTTTTACGATCTTAAATCTCCATCCATTTCAAGGTTGTCAATGTTCAAATTTGCTTAGATCATTAGCATATAGTTCCAAGGTTCCAAGGTTAAAATAGTTAGTGAGTAAAGTTTGGATACTTCCAAGTTCCAACCTTGGAATGTTCCCGAGGTTCTAAGGTGAATCCAGGGCTCTCAGTTTTACAGATCATTGTATGATGCGAGTAGTTCCAAGGTTCAGTGCCCGCTTCCCCATGTTTGTTAGACTTTCTGAGAAACGTGCTCCGTACCTGATCGCGAAACAGTTTCAAGGTTCAGGCATCAAGGCAGAAATGTCAGTTAGCCCCACCGTGACAGGCGTCCTCTGATTGGTGGAAGAATCCCAAGTCGGAGTTGATACGAGGCCATAGATCAGCTGTTATGCCTTTTTTTTTCAATTGAGACGTCAATGAGACATTCTAGATAACCCCACGCTGCCCAGGCTCTTGACCCTACCAAGTCTCGTATCTGAGTTTCGCACGAGACCCCCAGCTTCTCATACTGCGTTCTGATTCCTGGCCTTTATGTTTATCACTTGGCCGGTGGATCCACGGGACAATGTCCGATTGTGGGGAAGTCAACGAGTACAGTATTGTAGTACCAAGATGAATTGAGATGCTATCCCGCGTAGACGAGAGAAGACTTTTCGCGATCCGTGCCCAGGTGCTTGCTGGAACTATTCGGAATCTCGGGGTAGTGATATATCCCCTCCACCCCACTCGTCGTGTCCTGGCTTTTACTTTTTTTTTTCCATTCTACTTCCAAGCTGTGTTTACCTGATTTACTCTTCTGTCCCTCGATAGTAGAGATCTCCGTTCAAGACATCAAGACCAAGGACTTATCAATTGCTCACTTCTGTCACAATGCCCTATCCCGAAGAGGCAGAGGGTTTCCAGGTCGACGGACCTGCGACCTTCACCCAGTTTCACAAGCGCTTTGTGAGTGCTTTTATTTGGTATCCTGAGTGGAGCTGTGCTAACAGGGATGACGCATGTAGTTCAAGCTGAAGCCTTTTGGTGACTATGGTGAATCGTGGCAATCGTACAGCATTGATCCTTCTATCTCTGACCATGTATAGATGTCGACGTCAAGATCGAAGCCTGCGGCGTGTGTGGAAGCGACGTGCACACTATCAGCGGTAAGTCAACCTGCCAGGACATCAGATCGGAGCTGACAATGTCCAACAGGAGGATGGGGTGACCAGAAGTTCCCTCTTTGCGTGGGCCACGGTACGTGAACACAACAAAACCAAATACTCAAATTCTCACTAACAACCGCATCAGAGATCATTGGTCGAGCAGTCCGTGTCGGCCCCAAGGTCACACTGATCAAAGAAGGCGAGCGAGTCGGAGTCGGCGCCCAGTCCTACTCCTGCGGCGAATGCAAGCAATGCCGCAACGACAATGAGACATACTGCCAGGTACAGATGATGGACACCTACGGCTCGGAGTGGCCCGAGACCGGCATCGTCAGCCAGGGCGGATACTCCTCGCATGTGCGGACGCACGAGCACTGGGTCTTCCCGATCCCCGACGCACTGGAGAGCAACACCGTTGCCCCGATGTTGTGCGCCGGCCTGACTGCCTACTCGCCCCTGGTGCGCAACGGTGCGGGGCCAGGCAAGAAGGTTGGGATTGTGGGGCTGGGTGGCATTGGTCACTTTGGAGTGATGTTTGCTAAGGCGCTGGGAGCGGAGACATGGGCTATTTCGCGGTCGCGCGCGAAGGAGGCGGATGCTTTCAAGCTCGGTGCGGATGGTTACATTGCTACTGCTGAGGAGGGCTGGGAGAAGGAACATCTTTATTCGTTTGATTTGATTATTAACTGCGCCAACTCGTCTGAGGGCTTCGATCTTGCGCGCTATCTGTCTTTGATGGATGTTCATGGTCGTTGGGTTAGTGTTGGTCTGCCTGAGGAGGAAGGTCAGGTCATCAAGGCTCAGAACTTGATTTCTAATGGTGTTCTCATTGGCGCGAGTCACTTGGGTAGTCGTCGTGAGATGCTTGAGATGTTGCAGCTGGCTGCGGATCGGGGACTCAAGGGATGGGTTGAGGAGATTGCCATTGGCGAAGAAGGGCTTAAGGAGGCGATGGAGCGCATGCAGAAGGGTGATGTCCACTACCGATTCACTTTGACTGGCTATGAAAAGATCTTTGGATAGATAGGTGTTTGACTTAGTACGGGGCGTGCATGGTGGAGTTGACAAACAAAAGACAGGGGGGGTTGGAGTTGGGAATTAGGGGGTGTTTAGAATATCCAATGAAGTTTTAGAGATCTTTTATGTACTAAAACACATCGTATGATCCAATTAAAGATAAGATTCTATATACGGAGGTGAGCGAACAGTGTGAAATCAACTTAGAGACACCTCGTATAGACATCACTCCATAGTTAACCCCTATACGTTAAATACTTGTAGCCGCGGCGTCATCTTAGTCATGTGCCGATCAAGCGGTCTGTAGGAAACAAAAAGAAAAAAGCGAAGAAAACCCAAGGAAAAGCCTAAGGAAAAAGTGCGTTTGCCACCCCAAAATGTTCGGTACTCCTACTTTAATCCGCGGTTGGCTACCGTGGCGATCGAAGTATCGGTACTCCGCATTCCACTGATTTGCCCCCGTCGATTTTTGGGGGCCCTCAGACCTCATTTGGACCTCCGCCCTTTTTTTATCTCTCCCTTGCGCCTGTCTCTCACTCTTCTTTCCTTTTAATTCTACTGCTCAATACGGAGTATCTCATTCTTTATACTCTTTTTTCTTTATCTGCTTGGGTCCTCGGAGTTCAACGGTCGTTGGCAGCTACATCTTAATCGATATCACAAAGAGCTCCAAGATCACCATTGCATTGGGCAACAACATTTGGACTGGGTTCAGAAAAAAAGGCGTTGTCATTCTCTACACCGGTCTCCAGCACTTACCTGTGACGACTCTTACACCTACTCTATAATTCATCATCGACACACGATTTACAATTTTGGCCATGTCGCCCCGCGAGAACGGCGCCGCCATCCCCACTCGTCGACGTCCCTCATTGTCGTTCCGATCGCACCCACGAAACCCACCTCATTCCTCCCCGATATCGAAAGATTCCGCTTGTGCCTTCGAGGCATTCCAAGAGCCGCTCCTGACAGAGCTGTGCCAGGAAGACCATGCACCGGCTGTAGAGGAGATGGATCCATTCCCAAACGCCGTGCCTCGGCGTCGCGGTGCGAAGAGTTTCTCAACTCTGAAACACCCTATGGATGGATTGGTAGCTCTCGGACGCCGCTGGTCGGTCAGTCTTCGCCACAAGTCTTCCAAGCAGAACATCGCCGAGAACGCCTCGGCTGGTGACGAAGACCGACAGACCCACCACGTTCCGAGCCAACCAAAGCACAAGCGCATGGCCTCGGGCAGCTGGGATTCCCGGTCAACCAAGATTGATTGGCAGGGCTGCGTCAACAGACGCCCTTCTTTGAACAGCGTGTCCGCGCTGCAGGGCTTCTATGCCCCCACTGCATCAATCCGAGCTCCCATCCCTGGTCGGGGACAAGAGCCTCCCGTAGTGCCGAACCATGTATTCTCTGGAGCTGCAGCGCGCGCTGCAGCTGCGGCACAGAATGAACAGATGGAAATGACACGAATGGCAAAGGCGGAGCGCGAGTCGAGCAAAATCCTTGAAATGAGGATCCCGCAGGACTCCGAGAGTGGTATCGGTATCGATCTGCGTGATAGATCCGAGGTATCAGACGCAGCTTTGTCTGGCCTCGCACGACTAGGTAAGCATTGGTCCGGTGAAGGTACAATTTGTTCTGACTAACCTCCTTAGATCCGGTCGCTCTCCTCCCTACTGAAATTTCGGCACACATTCTTTCTTACCTGGATCCTGCCTCGCTTCTCAATTCAGAACTGGTCTCTCGCGCCTGGCTTCAGGCGTCTTCTTCTCATGTTTGGAAGTATGTTTTCCGTGGCGCTTATGAGCAACGGCCGCCAAGCGAGACGAACACCAAATTGAAACAGTCATCTGGTCTGGGAAAGAATATTCCAAACCAGGACTGGAAGAAGATGTACTTTGTCCGACGCGCTCTTGACGAGCGCTGGAAGAACGGGAAAGCTGCAGCCATCTACCTCCAAGGCCACGAGGACAGTGTATATTGCTCCCAATTTGACGAGTATGTTGTGGCACGCTTCAATTCACAAGAGACCAAACTAACATTCGCGCAGGAAAAAAATAATCACTGGCTCCCGTGATCGCACCATTCGTGTTTGGGATGCTCAGTACCCGTGGGCATGTCAGAAGATCATTGGCCCCTCGAGCAGCCAGAGCTCCTCCCGCCGTGGTGGTCCAGTGAACAGTCCAACTTCCCAAGCCACGGGGAGTCCCCCTTTCATGACCATCACTCCACCATGGCCTACGGCGGCCGAGAAGGAGGAACTCTCCTCCCCTGTAGAGGAAGACTCTATTTACCACAGCGCGTCAATTTTGTGTCTGCAATTTGACGACGAAATCATGGTCACTGGGTCTTCTGACTACACCTGCATTGTATACGATATTAAAAACGACTATCAGCCAATCCGCCGTCTCGTCGGCCACCAAGCCGGTGTGCTTGATGTGTGCTTCGATGATAGATACATTGTCTCATGTTCCAAGGACGCGACTATCTGCGTGTGGGATCGCCAGACAGGCGAGCTCCTGCGGACGCTCACTGGTCACCTGGGTCCCGTCAACGCTGTCCAGCTACGCGGCGACCTGATTGTCTCAGCGAGCGGCGATGGCGTTGCCAAGATGTGGAACGTGGTCTCCGGCCAATGCGTCAAGCAATTCGTTAGCAAACGCCATGGTCTTGCATGTGTTGAATTCAGCGACGATGGCCGGACCATCCTTACTGGCGGCAACGATCATATAATTTATCAATTTGACGCTAATACGGGCGAGCTCGTCAATGAGCTCACCGGCCACAGTGGCTTGATTCGCTCGCTGCATCTTGACAGTTCGAACAAGCGCATTGTCAGTGGCAGCTATGACATGAGCGTCAAGGTGTTTGACCGTGACTCGGGTAATTTGTCCATCAACTTCCCTGGCTGGACCACAAGCTGGATGTTGAGTGTGCAGTCTGACTACAGGCGCATCGTGGCTACCAGCCAAGACTCGAGAACAGTCATCATAGACTTTGGATATGGTCTAGACGGGGTTGAACTTTTAGAGGAGTGATTTATATGCATCTTTCTATATATGTTTTGTTTTGTTTTCCAGCGATCTTTTGGCAGGGCTTTTACATGGGACTTATACGGGGCTTGGCTTCTACTACTCTTTACATCCCCGCGGTCATGTGAGGTTAGACTCTGAAATGGGTGCAAAATCAAACGGGACGGATACGTTGACAGGATAGACTCTTGCTGTGCATTTTGATATACAAAATTTCAGTCTTTTCCGTTGGTTTGACAAACATACTCTTGTTTCAGTTTGATATTGATTTCCTAAAGGGCTGAGCTACACATAGTCATAGATTCACCTGGGAACATACTGCAAATCAGTCCTGTTGGCCAAAAAGTTGGAATCGTTAGTATTCTCTTTGTTGTTCAGGTCAAAGAAGAATAGATACTTGCAAATTTAAGATTGAAAGTGACGGTTGACTGGCTCCAGAGCTTAGCTTCATTCTGGTCTTAACAGCATCACGACACAATACATGGCTAATACGTAATTTGAATCCTCCAAACTCTAAGTAGGGAGACCTTGGAATTGAAGCAATTTGGAGTGATATTGATTTGTTCTCGTTCTCAAACGCCCGTTGTCAAAGGCCATCGTGCCTTAGGCAGAAATTTCTATATAAGCGGGTCTTTCCCTCCGGATAATCTTTTCTCCCGTATAATCAATTTTCCGGCTCTCATCCTCAATTTCCTGCCACATTCATGATGGCGGTGAAGATGGCGGTGATCAAAGCGGTCGGCCGGCATAATGGCGATAACGAACTGCATGGATTGACCTCCGACGTCGAAATCAGATGGATCGGATTGATACGTACGACTGACGCGCCGCAAGCCCCACGACCCGAAAATCGACGTTACGCGACGAACTCATGTGACCAATGGCACTATCTATGTGACAGCTCGAGTGAGAAATTGACACCTGAGGCAAAAGGCTCCGCTTATCTAAGCGAACCGTGATTCGCCGGCGAAAGTGGGCTAGTGGCAGCGTGATCCGTGGGATTTAGCATCAAAACAATCCCTCTGCTCTTTCCCATCAACACACAGGCAGCGACTGACGAGCAGTGCTGATCTTGAGGTGCAATATCTCCATCAATCTCTTCTTCCGATTAGCGCTTATCTTAACCTCTTTTACACCTTCAGCGTTTCCATTGACTATTATTTTACCCCACCATTATGGGTGAATCCAGGTTGGGCTTTTCTCCTATTCCGCATCTTCTTGCGACGCAATGGTCCGGCTGACGTTTTTCTTCGACTCGAAATAGACAAGAATTGCTGGCATGGCTTAACAACCTGCTTCAGCTGAACCTTACCAAGATTGAGCAGTGCGGAACTGGGTATGGACGATCGACATTCTTTGGCTCTCTGCCCGCAACCCGCGGGGCTGGCTGTCTCATAGATCGCATGGCTAACGTGTCAATCCTTCTGTGTTTAGTGCCGCACTCTGCCAAGTCTTCGATTCGATCTTCAGTATGTGACAACCCGCGAAACAATTTGAAAATGAGAGGCGTGCTTGCGCTTGGTTGCAGGATGGAACTGACCAGGGTTATTCTTTGTTTAGTGGATGTTCCCATGTCCCGAGTCAAGTTCAATGTGAACACTGAATATGCCTACCTTCAGAACTTCAAGGTTCTTCAGAGTATGTCAACCCGACAGTCCGCCAATGGACCCCTTTAACATATTCGACTTTGCAGATGTCTTCGCGCGCCACCAGGTCAACAAGCCTATCCCCGTCCAGTCCCTCACCAAGTGCCGCATGCAGGATAACCTTGAATTCATCCAGTGGGTGAAGAAGTACTGGGACCAGCACTACCCCGGTGGTGAATACGACTCCGTGGGCCGTCGCAAGGCGTCCGGCGCTCCCGCCTCCGTCGGTGCGGCTCCTACCTCTCGCGCTCCCTCCGCTGGAAGCGCCCGCCGTGGCGTGACCCCTACCACTGCGACTCGTCCCCGTGTCGCTGCTCCCAGCGCCGCAGCCACCTCTGCCCTGACCCAAGAGATCGCGACCCAGAAGGAGGCCATTGCTGGACTGGAGAAGGAGCGCGACTTCTACTTCGCCAAGCTCCGTGACATCGAATTGCTCTTGCAAACTGCCATCGAGGCCGATCCCGAGATCGAGAAGGAAGAGGATACCCTTGTCAAGCACATCCAGGGAATTCTGTACTCAACCGAGGTTCGTTCCCATTCTGATTAACCGTGGATTCGCACGACTGATACTGATACCTTTCCCCAGGATGGCTTTGAGATCCCTGCTGAGGGAGAGGAGGTTGTGGCCGATGAACTCGAGACTTTCTAAGCGTGATGAGTTCTGGAAATCATTGACCCGTTAACAAATACCCCGTCTCCTTAAGCTCTGTGTTCAGTCAAATGCGAACCTACATATGGAGTGAATGCACACAATTCAAAACGTACCGAGCATACAATCTCAGATTAGACTTAAGAATGGAGAATGGATCGGCAGGTCTTAGTACAACGGCATGTCATGACCAGGTGGAGTCCACGAGAGGCACATTCCGAGTCCCGTGGAGCTGGAACCGAACCTTGGAACCTTGGAACCTTCCAAAGGTTGGACCGCAAAGTATTTATCTTAGCTAAGACGGACAGATTCTGGAGTACTCCCAAGGTCTCTATAGCTGGGTGTAACCTATGTACTTCTCTACTGTAAGATGCTCATGTGCCTCCTTACGTTGTACTCCGTACTCCGTGGAACTCAATTGAATGTTACCAACAAATGGGGCCAAACAAGAAAGAAAGTGATAGTAATTAAACATGCATGGTCCACTAGACCTAACCGGGTCTAGTTTCTTGGCCAGAACCTCCAGACTCCATTCGACGTTTCTCATTCGTCGTCTCTCCCCGTTCCTGGCAGACTCTCTCCTTGGGGAGTTCACATCTATCCATTTGCTTTTTGAGCTCACAGCTATTCAGTATTCATATTGAATACCAAGACTCTTTCTCAATTCTGGGGTAAAAAGAACGGACCTCAAAATCAGAAAGGGGGATTCCAAAAATAAACGTCCAGGATATCGGCCCCGGGGCTAGTTCATCAACAACGCGGGTCGCCTAGACTTAGCTTCGATAGGGGGACTGTTCTGGGTCGTGTCCACCGTTTTTCTTCATTTCTTCAATTCCTTCTGATTTCCGTGCTTTCTCCTCGACACTGTGCCTTGTCTGGTGAGGCCGCGCACTCTGTGCTTATTGTCAAACACGCCTGACCCGCTTGGTGCGTTACGGGTCTTTAGGTTCCCAAGGTTTTTTTTTCTCTTTCGAAACAATGGATTAGGGAGCGTGACTGGCCTCTCTCTGTTTTTCTTCTTTTCTCCATTCGTCACTCTTTTAACCCGGGTATGTACTGCGATCCGGTTCATCCGTGGTGGACCTCGAACTGCTGTGTTGACTTTTGTTGATCTTTGTACTGATCGAAATCCAGTCAACCTGACCAAGTCATTCTTTTCCATCAACAGCCCACTTTGATCAGTCGGCTTCGCGGTATTGCCGGTCTGTCATTGTGTGGCTACTGTTATTGCGCACTGCGTTGTTATTGCTGCTGCCACCATTCACTCCTTTCCTTCATTGCTGGCTGAATTTTCAACAACGCGCACTCATTCGCACGCTTCCCAAACGGGCAATTACTTCTTTTTCTGGCCCAAGTGACCTTCGCTATATTCACCTCATCTCTCGCGCGCGCTAGACCGTGCCTTCAGTGTCATTGACACGGACATTCTTTCTTTTAACCTTTTGTGAAGCTCGTCCTCTGTGAGGATTCACAGACCACTGTCTATTCACCTATTCATCCGATAAGCAATTGTCATTGTGGGGCTGCCTTGCTGACGATACTTGTCAATTGCTACCAAACATGGCTCATAGCCATCACCGTCACTCGCGGGTTGAGCAACTACACAGCACCAGACGTCGGCGTGAGATTGCGCAAAATGGCGGGGACTCTGGTCCCAGTTTACTCGAAGAGGGCGATTCTTCAAAGCTCCCCACGCTTCCTGCCGCTGATACGCCACCAGAAGAAGCTTGCGACTCGTCACACAACTTGGCATGTCTGGAGCATCGAATGAATGGGCCCGATACACCGGTTGAAAAACGGGATGACACGGCGTCTTCCGATAGCGTGACGCTTGTTGAGACGGTCCTGCAGGTCGTCGATGCGAGCTCCCACGTCCTCTTGCAGTCGACTGCAGCCGATTACCCAGTGACGATCTCAGACTCCGCCTTTGGAGCTTTCACTATCTCAAGCGCAGACAGCATAACTGCGACTGCCTCTCTGGATGTGACTGCTTCTGTAGATGTGGCGTTGATGACCTCTCCAACACTTGCACCTGCTACTCAACCGACAACCTCGGTGCTGTCTGAGACTTCACTGTTGACCAGCTCGACGAACTCCACTCAATCCGCCACCAGTACTGTAAGCCAGACATCGTCATCAACTATTAGAGCTGCGTCGGCCATGAGATCCCCTGCCCGATCTTCGACTCCTCTTATCTCACCTTCGAGTGCCACACATACTGCCTCTGCCTCGGTGACATCACCTCATGCTTACAATCTGTGGTCGAATCCCAGCAATAGCTCGAGCTCCGCAACAAGCCCCATCACAAGCTTGTCTACCAGCGAAACCTACATCGCCTCTTCGTCCACAGGTTTCGGTGGGTCTTCTCAAACACCGACCGCAACGAGCACAACCTCTGCGCCATCCACAAGCGAAACACAGGCCTCAGGGTCAAATTCGAGCAGCAATTCCGACACACCAAAAATTGTCGGCGGTGTAGTAGGATCAGTCGCCGGACTCGCTCTGCTTATCTTCCTTCTTTTCTATTTCCTGCGTCGTCGGGGATTCTTGATGGGAAAGAAAGGACACACCGCTATCTCAGATGATGCAGCTGCCGGAGCCGGAGCCGGCGCTTTGGCGGCAGGATTAGGAACCAGGGAAATCACTGAGCGGCCCAACAACGAAAACCGTTTCACAGCCTCATATTTTGCTCCCGCATTCATGAAGCGCTGGCGCCAGTCAACTGCAACAATGCGCACCGACAGCACAGTCGACTCCACCTCCAGTGAGCGAGGTTTCCAAAAGATCTCCGGCCGCAAGCTTCCTCCAGTCCTCACCCACGGAGGCGATGGCTTCGGCGGGGGCCTCGATGGCGATTCTCCCACCGTCCCAGGCTTCGCTCCCACCTCACCAGCGCCCGGACCCGTAGGCTCACCTACGTATGCTGCTCCACCCCCAGCTTCTCCATACGGTATGCCCTTGGACTCTAACGTCACCCGCGAGGTCCAAGAGCACACTCCGCCATCAAGACCTGGTCCTGCACACGTCCCCATACCGAATACAGTCAACGCCGCACATTCCATCACGATCACGCCTGCGCACCCTCTCGTACAGCCCCAGAGCGCGGTTCCATTCATACCTCCGCGGCCAGACGGTCTCGGCCGCAGTTTGCACAGCCACGACGGGAGTCGAAGCAGTCGCTTCACTGAGGGTATTGATATGTGATTAGTGCCGCAATATGGACCATGTGAAACGATCAAATGAAGTGATGGGTGGGAGTAGGGCTTTCTGATTCGGTTTTCAGATGTCTGCTCTGCTGGCTCCGAGGTGCCGTGTTGTTTTCGCCATTTTTTCCGTCTTTTTTACCAGCCCTTTTTTTGTCGCTTCTCGAGCGCTTTCCTGTCTTTGATCGTTGTTCGTTGCCCTCTTCCTGTTGCATTGATACCCTCTTCTCTATATCCTTTCTCTCTTCCTGCTCACTTGCCCCGACACTTTCACCAAAATAATGTTTACCGATTTTTTGTCACTTACACATCCCATATTTACCAAAATTTCAATGTAATTTAATGGTCGATATAATACTCACACTACAAAGCCAGCTTGAACTACCCAGGCACTGAGAGATTGGGCATAGAAGGTGAGAGTGACTATACGATGATGGGTGGGGCTCAAAAGTCCCATGGGATGAGTAATATGTAGTGAGGTGAGGCCGATTAGCTAGTAATGTCTGCCCATCCATAGGTTTCCAGGACATCTGAGCTACAGATATTCTTCCATCTACATCTATACGAAGTAGAGAAGACCGCTTGTGTGATCAAAGCATATTCTTCTTTCTCGTGTGTTGCATACAGCTCTACCCCATCAATTCTTGTAAATTGCAAATTCCGTCCTTCCATTACTCCTTACTCACATACTAACTTCCTTCACCTTAGTACAATAACTTCTTCTCATGATTGCCTCGACGACTCTTCTCGCAATTCGTGGATTCTAACTTCCCTCCGCCTGTCCCCCTCTACCCGGCTCTTTTGCCAAAAGTCCTCCTTTTTCATCTTCTCTCGCTCCTCGTTGATATAGTCCATAATCGCCAGCCGCATCTGTTTTAATTAGTGATTTCTCCCAAAAATTTCCATCTCCTGCTTACAATATACCCATCGTCCACCCTATATTGACATCCTATGCAGTATCCCTGCCCAACATACTCTCTCTTATTATGGTGTCGTGTCACTTGCTTCAACGCAATATTGCAGCCATGACATAGGAAGGCACACTCTTGTCGAGGGATGGGTGGCGGTGTTTCCTCGGAAGTAGGGGTTTGTGTGGTGTGAGAGGTCATTTGTGCGATGTGATGAGCTGAAGGGTATGTGGATATGGAAAGCTCAACACCTATGGTGCAGTGCACACTTGTACATGTAGATACCCGCCATTGCGGTCAAACATCTGTCCGCTACCGTGCTAAATACTCACTTTTTTGGAGAAAAATGAGAGCAGAGCATATGTAGGATATGCACAGGCAGATCCGGGTGCGATTCAGCAAGCTTGTTGAACAGATTCTTCTCAAAGGGTCGATATATGGAGTCTCCGAGTGCAATAACTTCGATATCTCGGTTCCAAAGATCAGAGCACCCTCAGCAAAGGATGATTTAAATATGACCAAGATCCGGAGTAAACAACTCGTAGTTGACCCATTGAGTCTAGCTATAATGAATTGCTTAAGCTTATTCGAGTAGAAATGCTGCTTCTCACATGAAAGATCATAGAACGGGTGTTGATTAGTAGATTACACTAGTCACTCAATCTGCCTTCAGTTATTTCTTGTACACGAAGTTGTTGGGCTGCTGGGGTATATCGTACCTGGCGGTCTATGAGTGAGTACGTACTAGCAGAGGCTCTGCGTGCTTTCGGGCCTGAACTACCCTAGCCATCTTCCAGTCATTGGGTGGAAGTTGAAAGTTCGCCCACTAGTATACCTCCACCTGCGCCTCACCCATGAATCCTGCAAGGGGCCAATTTTGGGTGGGACTCAATACCAATCTGGACAGGTTCGCGAGTGACTATTTTTCAATAAACGGCACTGCCATCTTCGTTTCCAAGGACCAGTCTACACTTAATGACATGTCTTCAGATCAAGAGCAGACGGGCTTCTGCCTAGTGGCCCAAATACCCAACTCAGACCGCAATTTGCCCGACACCACAGCCACACATGCTAGGTAGCTTCATGGTTCACCTTCTGACCCAATTTTAGGCGAATTGAGGGCTTGTCCCCAGGTAAGCCTCCCATGTGGTATCGCCACATGTTGATGCACCGCCACACGTGCGCCACAGATGGCGATCGGGTCGGGAATGTTTGCAACTGTTGCAAACATGCTTGGCTTCCCAGAAGATCCCGTGTTTGCATTTGCGAGTTTGCATTCGTGACATGGTGTGCAACCGCTTTGCCAAGCAGATCATTTCCCCATATCTCCTGCAAAGACCTAGAACCGACGAATCAAGCCTCATGACGCAGGACTTTCAAAGAAACTATCGCCTCCTTACCTGGATCTGGCCAACCTTTCCATTGTTAATTAACTTGCCGGTTGACTTCTCGTAACCAGCAAAAAAAGGTCACATGCAACCTCATTGGATCATCCCGTTCAGATCGAGGCGCAGTCAAAATGCCAAACTCCACCACACCAAACCCAAAACGACTCTTTGACACTCACATTGGCTGGATGCTGATAGCGTAGCGCTATCCTGTATTCCACAACCGCCGATCTCCATCATCAAGCTATGCAATGGATGAAGAAACGAGGCTAGGTTTCGAGACTCAAAGTCGGCGCTTACAATCCTCAGCTCACATTGGAGATGGGTGCCTGGTACCGCTACGAGCTTCGCCCTCTGATCTGTGTGTACTCCGTACCAGGTCCTCCATGTTCCACTAAAGGTTGCCGCCGGAGGGGGGCTGTGTTTTTCCCGATTGGAACGAGTGGCACTCTCTGACATCTTACAACCTGATCCATGAGCCCAGCAAAATAGAGCCCAGCAAAAATATAATATCTGACTTTCTTGTCATCGCTACGGTCTCTCCCAACAGAGTGGATATCTTTATTCCCTCTTACTCACTTGGCACCTTTCGCACGCAAAGAGCTTCGCTGCAAATTGCCGTGCAAACTCACCATCTAATTCCTCGGCGCCTGGGCATTTCTAGCACAGCCCCATAGGAGGGGAAACATAACAAAGTCTCGCAATCCGGCGGCACACGACTACAATTTTGCATCAGCATTGTATCAAATTCTGCATGGGTTGCTTCCACCCTTGATTCGCAATTTACTCCAGAGCTCGGCTCTGTTATACCCCATGTCTTCTTCTCCGAACAATATCTCGCCTCGCCGGGGCTCATTATTAAGACCCGATATAGTTACAGATTTTTCGGGCAGAGAGGTTGGTTTCCCCAAGCCATCCTATGCCATTATATCTGAACACTCACGCTGATGTTCAACCCGTTCTTCTACCTTTCAGCGAGCAATTTCTACAACTTCTTCTTCGTGGTCAGGTCCTACAGATCTAAACCACAGTCCAACTTCCCCCATCTCACCAGATATGGCGTGGAACCCGGACCCAGCATTACTAACGGTCCGCCCTGCCTCACATAACGCATCCCAGTCCATCGATGGCGATACTCTGCGTCCGCGGGCGGACTCATTTGCCTCTTCTTCTGCTGATACTATGGTCCATCCGCGAAAGAACTCGGATGTAGATCATTTACATGTTGCCAAAGCTGGCTATGATGATGTATCGCTGTCAGATGCCCTCAGGCCAGATCCACGCAACGAGAGTGATTTCCAGGTGGAAGACAACCGCTTTGCCTTCTCTCCAGGTCAGCTCAACAAGATGCAGAACCCTAAGTCCTTGGCTGCATTCTATGCGCTGGGTGGCTTGCAAGGTTTGGAGCGTGGTCTACGCACGGATCTTGACGCTGGATTATCAATAGACGAAGCCTCCCTTGAGGGGACTGTTGATTTCCAGACTGTTGCACCTTCTGTTTCACACAACGCTGTGGAAAAATCATCGCTCAAGACTGAGGCGCCGGCGCTGGCACCGGTTTCATCTGGCAGTGGCTCACCTTATGAAGATCGCGTTCGTGTCTTCAGTCAGAATAAACTGCCTGCTCGGAAGTCGAACGGGTTTTTTAAACTGTTTTGGATTGCATATAACGACAAGATTATTATATTATTGACTATTGCCGCCGTGGTCTCCCTGTCGCTCGGTATCTACGAGACCGTTGATGCTGGTTCCGGTGTCGACTGGGTGGAAGGTGTAGCCATCTGTGTGGCAATCCTCATTGTCACTGTGGTCACGGCTGCAAACGACTGGCAAAAGGAGAGACAGTTTGCCAAGCTCAACAAGCGAGTAAGTCATGATTCCTTTCTCCCCGACGACGATGCCTAATACTAATCTAAACAGAACGATGACCGCGAAGTCAAAGTGGTCCGCTCAGGCAAATCTTCTATGCTTTCTGTCTATGATCTCATGGTCGGTGACGTTCTTCATCTGGAAGCAGGTGATTCCATTCCGGCAGATGGCGTTCTCATCACAGGCCATGGTGTCAAGTGTGATGAATCCTCTGCTACGGGTGAGTCTGATCAGATGAAGAAGACACCTGGCCATGAGGTCTGGCAGCAGATTGTCGCTGGCAAGGCAACTAAGAAACTCGACCCATTCTTGATATCTGGTAGCAACGTTCTTGAGGGCGTTGGAACTTACCTGGTCACCAGTGTTGGTCCATACTCTACCTACGGTCGGATCTTACTTTCCTTGCAGACACCCAACGATCCCACACCACTTCAAGTGAAGCTGGGTAAGTTGGCTGATTGGATTGGATATCTCGGTACAGCGTGAGTTTTTCAAGTTATCCTTGAGAGATTTTCAGAGTAACTAACAGTGATCTAGGGCTGCTGGTATCTTGTTCTTTGTTTTGTTCTTCCGATTTGTCGCGGATCTTCCTAAGCACCCCGAGATGAATGGTGCTATGAAGGGCAAAGAATTTGTCGATATTCTCATTGTCGCTGTGACGGTCATTGTTGTCGCTATTCCAGGTAAGTTGGTATCTTGCATTATAGTATCACATGATTTGTACTAACATCCATGGCTTAATCCAGAGGGTCTTCCACTGGCGGTGACACTGGCATTGGCTTTTGCTACTACGCGCATGGTCAAAGAGAACAACCTTGTCCGCGTGCTTCGTGCTTGCGAGACCATGGGAAATGCCACCGTTATCTGCTCCGACAAAACCGGCACACTTACACAGAACAAGATGACTGTTGTCGCAGGGACTTGGGGGTCGGATCGCGGCTTCAGCCAAAACGCCGATGAAGAAGCTGTTGACTCGAAGAACACCATTTCGGAAGTCTCTAAGCAATTATCAGCTCCAGTGCGCGATTTGATTGTCAAGGGCATCGCTTTGAACTCGACTGCATTTGAACAAATCAAGGACGGATACAACCAATTCATTGGTAGCAAGACTGAGGTCGCACTTCTCCAACTCGCTCGCGACTACATGGGCATGGATCTTGCGTCTGAGCGCGGATCTGCCGAGATCGTGCAGTTGATTCCTTTCGACTCCGCTAGGAAGTGTATGGGTGTTGTGTACCGAGTTCCTGGCGTGGGCTACCGCCTCCTCGTCAAGGGTGCATCTGAATTGATGGTGGCTGCTTGCACTTCTCAAATCACCAACGTCGATATCTCTAAGGAGGCCATCGAAGTTGAGCAGCTTTCTGATGACCAGATGCATCGTGTTTTGGAAACGATTAATACCTATGCCCATCAGTCACTTCGCACAATTGGCATGGTGTACAAGGACTTCGCCAGCTGGCCTCCCGCGGAAGCCATCAGCTCTGATGATTCTTCCTCCGCAGACTTCGACGCTGTCTTCCATAGCATGACTTGGGCTGGAGTTGTCGGCATTCAGGATCCACTCCGGCCTGAGGTCCCGCAGGCCATTCGCAAGTGCCATTCGGCAGGTGTCCAGGTCAAGATGGTGACAGGTGATAATGTTGCCACTGCGACTGCAATTGCCTCTTCCTGTGGAATTAAGACAGAGGACGGACTAGTCATGGAAGGACCTCAATTCCGACGTCTGTCAGACGAGGAGATGGACCAAGTCCTTCCGCGTCTGCAGGTACTAGCGCGATCATCTCCGGAGGATAAGCGCATCTTGGTTGCCCGACTCAAGACTCTCGGTGAAACTGTCGCTGTGACAGGCGATGGTACCAACGATGGACCAGCTTTGCGAACTGCAGATGTTGGCTTCTCCATGGGAATTGCTGGTACTGAAGTCGCTAAGGAAGCAAGTTCAATCATCCTCCTTGACGATAACTTCCGATCCATTGTCACTGCCATTGCCTGGGGTCGAGCTGTCAACGATGCTGTTGCGAAGTTCTTGCAGTTCCAAATCACTGTTAACATCACTGCGGTCGTGTTGACCTTTGTCTCATCTGTTGTGAGTAGTGATAACCAAAGCGTTTTGAGTGCAGTCCAGCTTCTTTGGGTGAACTTGATTATGGACACCTTTGCTGCTCTTGCCTTGTAAGTCATGTCTCTCAATATTCTCCTGTCGACGGTTAACTAACATTGAAAACAGGGCTACTGATGCACCCACGGAGAAGATTCTCGACCGCAAGCCTGTTCCCAAGCACGCTTCCCTGTTCACATTGACTATGTGGAAGATGATTCTTGGTCAGGCAGTATACCAGCTGGCTATCACGTTTATGTTATACTTTGCAGGAGACAAACTTCTTGGCGCGCATCTCAGCTCCGAGCCCGCTCTTCGCGAGAAAGAACTGTCAACCGTCGTCTTCAACACCTTTGTGTGGATGCAGATCTTCAACGAGTTCAACAACCGTCGCCTCGACAACAAGTTCAATATCTTCGAAGGCATGTTCCGCAACTACTGGTTCCTTGGGATCAACGCCATCATGGTCGGTGGTCAGGTCATGATCATCTATGTCGGCGGCCAGGCATTTGGTGTGACTCGCTTGAGTGCCACCCTCTGGGGTATCTGTATCGTTTGCGCTATTGCCTGTCTACCGTGGGCTATCGTCCTCCGTCTCATTCCCGACCGCCACTTCGGCGTTGTCTTCAACGCCGTTGTTGGTGCCATGTCAGTGGTTTTGCGACCGCTCGCCCGCGGTTGCAAAGCCGTTGGACATGGTATCAAGGCCTTCTTCCGGCCTGTAAAGCGCTTCACTCGTCGTCTTCTTCCTAAGAAGACGTCCGTAGACGAGAACTCGGACTCGGACTCGTCAGTCGAACAGCCTAAGTCTGCAGATGCTGCAGACTGCGAAGGGCAACTTGAACTCCGTGATCAGAAGTCTCCTCAACGCCCTGTCACCCCTCCTTCTATTGTGGTGCCACCTATCACCATCACGACCTCTCCTTGATTTTGATGAGCGTTCCTGTCATTAGCGCTGGAGTTACTGTATTATCGATATTCTGTGTGCTTTTTGTATATAATCTTGGAAATTACTGGGATCGATAGAGGACGTGTATATACACATGACTATCAAAAAAATATACCATTTTTTGCATTTTTCAATACCTGCCAAGGTGAGGCCGCAGGCCTTCTTTCCCGCTCACAACCTTGGAAGTCAACTTCTCTTTCACCAAGGCATACAAATGCAACTATGAATGCAGTCGGCCGTTGTCTGAGACAATTGCCTGTCCAAGTTGTTTGATACAAATCAGAAGAACCTTGAAGTCTATACATATAGTAGGGTATCTTATTTATCCCAGAGTTGGACAAGAAGAGTATTCTATAAAACCATTTCAGTGTGAAGAGGGCTATGTACTCCATCGAATCAGTGGTCCTTATAATGCACGAAAGGCTGTATATGTAATCTTTCACCGTGGCCGCTATTGGGCGTTAGCTCTACGGAGTTCGGCTTGCGTAGCTCCATCGTTGACTCCCAATTCACCGGCTCCAGCATTTCATAAGAACCATACATATATACACCAATCTAACATTCCTGTGTGTCTCTGCCGTCGACGCATCCAACCCGCACCGGAGTTCATCCCACGTCACTAGTCTCCCCGCTTCCGCCCACCGCACCGCCTCAGAACATTGTTGACAGCTCTATAACCCCCTCCACCGATTACGCCTGGGAACACCATATCGAACCCAATTCAAATATCCGCGTTACTCCGACACTCCACCTCTGCAAAACCTTCGAACCGCAATCATGTCCCAACTCAATTACCGCACCATCAACATTGATGCCTTGGACCCCGAGTCCTCGACGAACTTCCCCATGGAGTCCCTGCTCCCCGCCAATCTCCCACAGGCCGCATCTTCAAGCGATGCCGCCAATGCCGCGACACAGGTCCGCCAGATGCTGCGCGGCGGCGACCCGGAGGGTGCTCTGCGGACCGTCCTTGACACAGCCCCGCTAGGCGGCGACGACCGCGCTAAGGAGGTGCACCTTGCAACTGTTATCGACGTGCTGCAGGGGATCCGTCAGGGCGAGATGACTCGCATTCTTGAGGGTGTGTGCAGCGGAGATGGCGGCGCTGAGCGCGCCGATTGCTTGATGAAGTACTTGTACGTGGAGTATTATCCCGATTGTTACGAAGGCAATCCGGGGTGATATCACCGTTTCATTTCTGCTGGAATATGATGTTAATTGAATATAGGTACAAGGGCATGTCCTCGTCCGCCCCCGGTAGCGGTGCCCAGTCACCTAAGAAGTCGGTCTCACCTCAAGACACAGGATTCTCTCAGATCCAGGCACGGAACCTAGGTGAGGGTGGTGGTGGCCAACAGATGAGCGTTCTGCTGAGCTGGCACGAGAGGTTGGTGGAGATTGCTGGTGTTGGGTCTATTGTGCGTGTCATGACCGACCGCAGGACGGTTTGATTGGATAAAACAGCACTGGATGGAGGTTCGTTTCTGATGATTTACTCTTTTTGTTATCTTCTTGGTAGAGGCTCGACTCGCATTCCATAAATGTGGAAGATGCCCTTGCCTGGTCGCTTGAAGCGTAGTTTTACATTGATTATTGTGACAATACACTGGGCTCTTTCTGCTTGCCCTTTTGTTCCACGCCATGGCTATATAACTCCATCGTAGAATTAGCTTCATGGCCTGTCGAAGTCTCCTCCACCTAGGATATCCTTGAGGTTCACATCACCACTACCGCGCTGCAATGGCTGGGACTGGTTTTCACCTTCCTTCCATCCGATCATGAAGATCAATCGGAAGGTCGCAGGGATACCGGGCGCCCCATCTTCCATGTGCAGCTGGCGATAGATAGCCTCATTGGCAAGCAAGACATCGCGCGACAGCGGCGCTGAATCCCGGTTCATGATAGCGTTGTTCTCGCCCATAGCCTGCAAGTCCTGCATGAGCGAAAAGGTATCAGGGAACTCAACCACGATGTCTTCCACATCGACAGTGAGCATCTTAAACCCAGCCCGGTTCAACAAGCTTCCCACATCCTTGACATCCGCCAGAGGGGACACATGTGGACTCACACCACCTCGTCGCTCCATATCCGCCAGCTGCAATGAACCGCGCAGCTCATACAACGTGTCACCGCCAAACATAGCGGCGATGAATGGGGCATCGGGCTTCAAAATTGTGTTCACTTGCTCTAGCAGCGCGGGGAGGTCGTTGATCCAGTGTATTGAGAGCGACGAAAGCACGGCATCGAAACTGTTCGGAGCATACGGCAGCGTCTCCAGGTCCGGGATAATATCCCGCTGGATCTCAATATCTTTGTTAAATTGCATTTCCTCGTCACGGTGAAGTAGGGCGCGCGAAGTCTCCACACAGGTCAGTTTGGAGATCTTATTCGATAGTGGTCGCAGGACATCTCCCTCGGGTCCGACCACATCAAGATTGGGATTTGTGATAGCTTTGGCAATGTTGCAGCTGTTTGCGCCGAGGTCGAGCACGTTTGGGAAATTGCGTTTGATATCCTATTCATAAAACGGAAGCTCTGGTTAGCGACGTTTGGTCTTGCACCGATCTCCGTGTGCCTCCGATGGGTAGCAACGTACTAGTAAACGCTCGCATAGTCGTGTCGCAACTTCATCCTTCAAGTAATCGACTTTCCGGCTTTCTTCAACATTCTGGGCTGCACGGTCCTTCTGCAGGTGCTTGGTCTTGCGATTGAAAACCTCCAGCATGGGGTTACCAGGTGTTTGACTAGCATATGTGCGAGTCGCAATTGCCTGGGAGGCACATCGCCTTGAGAAATGTGAGCGGAGTGTGCGTAGAGGTAGCATTGTGGTTGTAGAGGGAAGAGGAACTTCCTCGATGCGCCGGAGGTCATTTTGCGGCGATAACGGCAGAAAATGGCGGGCTTCTGACGTCGATTGTTGACAGCTCCTCACCCATGGACTTTTGCCAGCTGGGGTCTTTGGGGCATTTCAATTAATTGAACGTCCGATTTTTGCTCTCTGCGAGAAGCGCATCTGCATTTAAGCTAGGCGAGAACCATTGCGACGTCTGGTACTCAGGTAAGTCCCCGCCTGCGCGCTCCTTATCCATCCAATTCTTGGTGTGACACGATCGGTTCTGACACGAAATACAAATTTAGACTACTAGGAAACACGCAATATCTAAGGAGATCCGCAATTACTGGTTACAACAAGAGGTCTTGAAACACGAAGCATGATTTGATCGAAGCATTCTTACGCTGCCACAAACACCCGCATCTCTCCAGATCAACATGTCGCGCCCGTTCCCTTACACCTTCATTTCCTGCCCCTGTGCAGACACTCCAGTGCCCGACCCGGCAAGGAAGCGCAGGTCCAGAGAATCGCCGCAGAAGCAATCCCCACAAAAGCCAGCCCCACGACCTAATACAACAAACGGGAAAGAACCAACAAAAGATGAGCAGCAATCAGAAGAGGAGGACGAAGAGCAGACCTTTGACCCGCGCTCTTCGCGATCTGATTTCTCCCTATATCCCCCAGAACAGCTTCTCTACTGTGAGGAATGCCACCAGATCAAATGCTCCCGATGCATTACAGAAGAGATAGTGAGCTGGTATTGTCCAAGCTGCCTGTTTGAAACGCCGAGCAGTATGGTACGCAGTGATGGTAATCGGTTCGTGCTATCCACCTGAAAGTTACTTTCTCTTACTGACGCTATTACATAGATGTGGTCGAAACTGTTTCAACTGTCCTGTGTGCACAGCTCCATTGGCAGTGAGTACGATCGAGAATGCAACAGGCAGTGGAACTCAGCAAGGGCCATGGGTGCTATCTTGTGGATATTGCCTGTGGACCACCCTTGATATAGGCATCAAATTTGACAAGCCGACCAACATCCGCAGTCAATTGCAGAAGATGACTGACGCCACCCCTCCGGCTGCATTCGACCGCTCAAGGCAAGCTTCTCGTACCTTTGACAGCCTCAAGCACCCGTTGTCCAGTGCAGCCTCGGTCGATGAGCACGCGAATGCGCGTGAGCGTAGTATTGAGCACCCACCTAAGGAGGATCCAGCAGCGCCCCCAATGGGCACGGATGCTCGATTCGCAGCTTTGAAAAACTTCTACCGCACCCAAATTGCCGAGACGTCAAACTCGCCTAATGATCACCTCAGTTCGGACTTTGGATTCTCTTCGCCCGGTGCTCTTAACCGACTCATGTCCCTGTATAGCTCATCATCACGCCTGAGCGGGCTGTATGGCGGCAATAAGAAAACCAAATCCAAGCCACCTGTTATGCGCGAAGCGCTGACTGCAAATGAGGGTCTTCAGGTTGCGCCAAAGGACGGCGAGGCAGACATCATTGCTCGGCTTTCGTCGCCAGGCTGTGGCTGGGATGGGGTGGCATCACTGGATCAACGCGCGGCTCAGTCACCAGACGCACGGTTTGTCGATGATCTGTTACCACTACCAGTCCTCCTTCGCACCAAGCGAGCGAAACGTTGCAAGTCTTGCAAGCACATTCTCGTGAAACCTGAGACAAAGCCACAGTCAACGCGCTTCCGTATTCGGCTCATCGCTCTCAGCTATATTCCTCTACCAACGCTCTGCCCTCTGGCCCTATCTTCTTCCTCTGCCCTTCCCGCCATAGCCCCGACTCCAGACCTCGATTCTCTTTCACCTCTTCGCCCCATTCACGTTCTCCTCACACTTAAGAACCACATGTTCGACCCCGTCCGCATAACACTTGCAACACCACCCGTGACCCCAGGCCGCGTTGCTACTAAAGTCACTGTTTTATCCCCGCAATTCGAGATTGGCGCGAATAGCGATGTCTGGGACGAGGCATTGCAGGGGGCATCTGCACCTTTGTCTGCAGATTCCAAGTCTTCTGGTCTAGGTCTCCGTGGTGTGCCCGAAGCAGGCAAGGTGTGGGACAAGGGTCGCAATTGGACCACTGTGGTGTTGGAAGTTGTCCCCGGTACGTTGCCTGGCAGCAGTGCTGAAGGAGGGAACAATAACCCTGAGACCACTGATGAAGACGTAGTGGCTGTTGCGGCTTCAAAGAAAGACGAGGATGTCCTTGAGATCCCGGTCTTTGTGCACATGGATTGGGATGCAGATGCTCAATTGGATCAGCAGAATATCGGGAGGTCTAAGGATGAGAAAGTCACCAGGGAGCTGGCTTATTGGATGGTCCTAGGTGTCGGCAGAATCCAGGCTTCATTGTAGATAGTTATGGGGTGGGAAGTGGACCAGTCGCGGTTCACGGTTCGTTTTGTGTTTTGTATCATACCCTGAGTGCGTTTCTTTCCAAGTGTCTTTTCAGGTGTCTTTGCAGCTGTCTTTCCCAGTATCTTCCCAAGTATAAGTTCAGACAACCACATATTGCTTTCATGAGTGTCGGGGAGAAAACCAACAAAGGCTGCAAAGCTTGGCAACAGCATCCATGAGCCGAAATGCCTGTGTATAGAGCTACAACGAAATCGTAATCAAGTCTACGCGGGTGAGAGAGAAAAGTCGGAATTGTTGAATTGGAATACTATCAGGTATTCCATCCCATCCTCATTAGATCGGGAGAGAGAGAACTCAGCTCCATCACCTCACCCAGACCCCTTAAAAGAGGGAAACCGGAATACAAAAGCAACCAGTGTCTGGGGGCAAAAAAAGAAAAGAGAAAACCGTCAATGCATTTTTATGGAGATCATCTCTTTGGAACCCAATGGCTGAAACTAGCCACAATTCAAAGCTAGGCACAAACCATTCTCCCACGCATCAACCGAGCACATTCCAGCCCCAGCCCCAAAAAAGTCATCAAAGTGAACAAAAAATTCTAAACATACATTTAGAACTCAGCGCCGCTCTGGGGGAACTCGAAGGCGACAGCACGGCCGGTGAGGCGGCGGTAGACCTCGCCGTAAGCGTCGAGGCGGTGGTCGACACCACCACGCTCCTTCTCGTCAAGGATGACCTTGAGAGTCTTGGAGCCGTCCTCCTTGGTGCGAACACGCTTGCCGACGATCTCGACGGGGTAGACGAGGTCAGCGAGGATGGAGTCGTGGACAGCGGTCAGAGTGCGGGAACGGGGGCGCTTCTGGGTCTGGGTGGTGCGCGAGTTGACGGAGCGCTTGGGGCGGGGCAGGATGCGGCGCTGAGCAACGAAGAGGACGTGGCGGTCGGAGAACTTCTTCTCGAGCTCACGGGTCAGACTGCAATGTTGTTAGTTTCCGTTGGGTTCGCCGTTGAAATTGGAGGGTTCGTGGTTGGTGCTTACCGCTGCTGGATCTTGTGGAAGTTGGCCAGAAGGGGAACGGGGACGAAGACAATGATGGCCTTCTTGCCGTGGCCGACCTCAACCTAAATGGTAAATGTCAGAGCGTGTCCACTTCAATTGTCGCGCACATAAATTGAAATCCTCCTGGAACGGCGTGTTGCTCTGCGACTTTTCTTCATGTCCTGTGCTGAATATCCATCACCGATGCTGTTCCTTCATGTTGATATGTTTTTTTGGCGTTGGATGTTGTAATTGGAACCAATCCACAAATCCGACTATTTTACCCCGGAGCATCGAAATCCCTCAAAAAAGTTCGCAAGCCATTCCAGGAAAATTCAATTCGTGTGCCGTACGCCTCGGGCAGTAATTCTTACCTCGCGGGCAGAGACGAACTGCAGGGGACGAAGGGTGGCCTTCAGGTCCTGTGTGTTGCTCTCGAGGTCGAAGAGAGCGCCGGCGATCGCGGTCTCCAGCTCGGAGGGGTTTTGCCGGGATGGCGAGTTGGGGGCGATCTTGTTGATGGCAGCCATTATTGCGAGCGACGGGGTGCTGCGGGAAGTGCTGGTGGTGATGTCGACGGAGGGGAGGTTCGCAGATTGAATGGATGGCAATTTCCTGTGGGATCGGCACTTTCGCTTAGGGCGCGCTATTTCCTAACTGGGTTTAGTGTGTCAGCTTTAGGGCTCTATTGTGATTGGCTGGCTGTATGTGATTGCAGACCCACTATTGCTCTGGCTCTCTCTGAACGCCAACGTTTACAATCAATGCAAGATTTGATTTGAAAAGGAATTGCAGGAGATTTACACTCTAATCAACACTATCGAGGCCATTTACCTCTCGGGGAATAACAAACTGTAGACTATAGGGGCATGATTACCATTGCGGAGAAGCAACGAAATCAAAATCAAAATCAGAAAATCAAGGGACGCCTGTATCCATGGGAAATGATTGCAAGACAAGACAAACGTCAGTGAGCGAAGCAAAAATCAGCAAGCACAGCCCTCCTTCGCCGTCGCGGCGTTGCGATCTCCCAGGTTGACTCTGGAGTCCTCTGTCGACCGCCCACCGAGCGACGTCTGACCAGTTCCAGCGCCGGTACCGCGACCAGTCTTCAGACTGCTTTCCGGGATAGCGTTTGCAATCGCAGTGAAAACGTCAACGACATTGGTACCAGTCTTCGCACTGGTCTCAAAGAATAACAGACCCTCCTCCTCGGCGTAGCCTGTGGCCTCCCGAGTCGACACCTTGCGGGCGTCGCCAGAACTGGCATCTTGCGCTTCATCCTCTTCGCCGGTGCCTTGCTCATCCTGCGCAGGCGAGTCGGCATCATCGGTCGGGGCGGCTGCCTCGGAGGCCTCGCCGCCATCGTTGGTCAAGTCCAGCTTGTTGCCGACGAGGGCGATCACGATCCCAGGGCTCGCTTGGCGTTGCAACTCGGCAACCCAATGCTTCGCCTTTGTCAGCGACGAAGGTTTCGTGACGTCGTAGACGACCAGGGCGGCTTGCGCATTGCGGTAGTACATCGGGGCTAGGGAGGCGAATCGCTCTTGGCCGGCGGTATCCCAGATCTCGAACTTGATGGTGCGCGTGGGGAGGGAGCATTTCTGCGTCAAGAAGGCGGCTAAAAGCTGACGTTAGCTGACCATTCAAAAGTCGTGGTGAGGCTGTGAGGCAAAACAAATGATCCCCTTCTAGGCATGTCACCCGAGGAGTTCGCGTATTGTGATATGGGGGCTTGTCTTGATGGAGTCCTTACCGCCGATGGTTGGTTCCTTGTTCTCCTGGAAATCATCGTTCACGAAGCGAAGTACAAGTGAAGACTAAGGGTGAGATGGTCAGTATTGAGTAGCTGTTAAACTGTAAATGTAATCGTACCTTTCCGACGGCGGCTTCACCTAGCAGCACAAGCTTGACACTGCTGCTTGGCTTCGGGGCATTTGCGCTCGCTGACTCGGACATGGCTGAAACGGCGAGGCGAGTATGAGATTAAGGTGAACACAGCTCAGGCTTTCCTGTAAATCAATCCACCGTCAATCAATTGGGGGATTCGGCGACTCAGGCGACCAGGGTGAGATGGCAGATGGGTTCGACTGGTGACAGCAGTTCGGGAATGGGGGCTGCCTGGAAGTAAGACAGGTGGAACACAAGACTCTGTTTCTGAACTTGTGTTGGCGAAATACTTGAGTGTTATTCCAGGGATGAGAGATTCAAATGTAATAAGCGTTGCCTGATTGATCCTCAAGATGAGGCGGAAGCGGAGGTTGATGATGGGTGTCCCTATTTAGGACTAGCGTGGGTTCAGTCACGGGAGGCTTTCAATGTGCCTGGGTCTACCTGAGAACTACGAACGTCCTTCCAACATCCCTGTAACTAGGCTTCCTAATTCTTGACTAATAAAATGTTCAAGATTCTCCAGACTTAAAATATGACTCAAATCTTACATCCAGGAATTGCACAAATTGACTCCCGACTTACGTTATCGTATATTGGATATGCAAGATGATGATGACATGCAGACATCGATAACACTGTCGGGACACCAAGATCTGGGAATGAGGAACTTAATGACACGTACTGGAACTTGACTCAAGGTGGTTCCCGGACAGACAAACATGTTCCCAACACCTTGACAGCTGTCATCGCAGAATGGACTAGTGCCCAACTGGCCTGCGAGATGATGTCGGGTGCCAGTCACTGAGATTAGATCCTGGTCAGGCTCGGGACATATCTGCCGATGCATCAGCCAGGCCCGCATCGAGAATCGGGCTGGCCGTTCCTGTCTCGGCATTAGTCGGCAAGCAAATCTGCCCGATGCTAGCGCAACCGCGGTCGGTCAGGTACGAGCAAAGTACGACCTTGAAGAAGTGGATTTACAATCTTAAGGTTACAGGACGCGGCTATAGTTCATGGGGCTAGCGATGAGGTTCTAGACTGGCCGGATGAAGAATGTATGAAGAATAAATCAATTCACGCGAAGATGAGCTTTGCGTGTAATATATGATACACAGGCGTCAACGTCAGAAAAAAGTACAGATACATGTATCAAAAAAATCCCCTGGGACAGCGCCCATCCAAATAAAACAATGAAAATCAATCCAAGAGTGCTGTGGACCGCGAGGTCAAAGCTCTAGGTTCTGGTATCAGCGCATGCATCCCATTGAAGATCCGTCCCGTCTATACCAAAACGCCGTTGAAAAAAGCAGAAGAGCCAAACATAGACATAGGAAAAAGAGCACGTGAAAGGAAAAGAAAAATCAAAAGGCACTTTTGAGAGAATGAACCATGGTGTCGAGGTCGTGTCGGAGGTAAGAGGTTGTGGAGTGAGAGTGGTTCAGAGGTGTGTGTAGGTGTATTAGGCGCATAGTCGAAGTCGAAAGAAAAAGTGTTCACGCTTGGTATCCGAAAGTAAATGCAGAAGTCGAGCCGAATTAAAAATGGGTATAATGGTGCGCGAGGCCTGAGGCGAATAGGCGAGTAGAACGAATGGTCAAAGCCCAGTCAAAGAAAAAAAAAGGTAGTGGTACAGATGTCTAATGGGTGGTTAGCTTTGATGCCCAATTGCGCGGTGATCTGAAAGGAATGTCTTACCAAAATCAGGTAAAACTCCAAACGCATATGCGTCAAAAAAAAAAACTCCAAGTCAAGAACTCCAGCCACTGTTGGGCACCAGACAATCCGAAACATGACCGAGTGGTGTAGAAAGCAATGTTGAGTATGACGAGGGTTACGTGCGAATTTATTTCGGTGGTGGAGGAACGCCGGGCTTCTTCACACCGGTAGTATCGTATGCTCCTCGTCCCATGTTGAAAGCAGAGAGATCTCGCAGAATCATATTCAGGTCTGCAGAGGAAACCATGGTTAGAGATGGAAGGTGGTGGAGTTGGTGAGAGAAGTTGTGGAGGATTGGAGAGTGATGTGCAGGGCGAGGAATGGAGTGAAGATACTCACCAAAGACGTCGAGAGTAACTTATAAAGATCTTTGGCTCAGCCGGGGAAACAAGCAGACAAACAAAGTCCCAATCCACCCCCGAGTCAAGAAATTAAAAATCGGAAAGGTCTAGACAAATAGGAAATTCGGCGTTCCAAGCGATGGAGATGCAAGCTGCAGTCGGGATCGGAAAATGCGATCCTTTTATGGAGGACCACTTGGATAATGCGGGATCCAACAGAATCGTAGGGCAGGAATGTGAGGAAGTGGTCCCGACGAATGAGCAGTGTATGTCAGAAGTAGAGGTCGACAGGTCGCAGCTCGTTGCTTTTTATTTGATTTGTCCAGGCCAAGAGAGGAAACGGGAAACAAAGAGATTAAATCAAAATGATAAGCGCGAGGGTGGCTGCAGCAGAAAATCCATGTAATCGCGATCTGAACCAGAAAACGGGCAGAAGGGATATGAAGCTAAGTCGGCAAGGGAGCAAAGGAGAGTGCTCCGGAACTGGTCCCGCTCGATCCGGACAAAGTGCAAATCGACGTATCGCAAGGGAGAAGGAAGGAGTAGTTTTTTTTTTTAAGAACTGGACCAGGTATGAGAGGATTAAATAAGAAGGGGGAATTGGAGTGATATAGACATCGATTATTTAAGATTTCCAAATCAATAATACATACGTTACCAGGGTAGGGGAAAAAAACAAAAAAAGGGAATTTAAAAATTATTGTTTTGGAGTAAAATAAAAATACATATAAAGTAAATAAGGAATAGTGGGAAATAAATAAAACAATAAAAACCAAAGAAATAATAGATCTAAAATGTCCAAACGAAATAGTCCTGAAAATCAATTCACAAAACCAATTAAAATCGCCTCTTTGTTCAACAGCGGCTCTCCCGTCCCCTGTTCCCGGGGAAGAAAAGTCCCCCTATCTTATGTCTTATGTCTCGAATCTGTTCTGTTGTCACGGCGCTATGAGCCCGGAGTATCCAACAGGGGACAAAGAACATACCAAAAGGATCACACTCTGTGAGTCTGATCCATCACAATCACATCTAACATCTGTCAGGTCCAAAGGTTCAAAAGTATCAGAGCTCTCCACTTTGAAGCTAGGAACCAAATCTCCGGGCAAGCCTTCGTGCATAAGTGGAGTCTCAAGGAACAGCCGCAGGAACGAAATGGAAAAAAAAATAATCAAAATGATAAAACAGAAAAAAACCAGACGGAACCCCCCGAGTAATCCTTTTGGGATTTTTAAGGGGGTTTTTCTTTTTTTCTCGCGTGGTCGGGCTCTATCGGGGTTGCTGTTCTCCGTCTCATATTACACGTCCTCATATTCCATACGGAGTACAAGGTACGGAGTACACCACACTTATCTTGTCTCTATTCAGAGCTTTTCATTGAGAAAATTAATCAAGGCCAGACATCCGGCTTCTCACGCGGTCCCCCGTACAATAGTTGCGGTAAGACCAGTCGCAAACCTCGCGGGTTTCGGAAAGCGCTGAACACTTCCTACACATCAGAAGCCAATCGTTCACACAATTTTAGCCGCTTCACCTCCCGAGGTCTTTGTTGGTTTTCACCCTTGGTCTAGCCGACGGCAATCAATCTGAAATCCAAGATTCTGGCCACTCGAGTAGTCCAGTACACTATATATTTAGATAGAAATATAATAGGTAATATAGAGAGAGAGAGAAATGTTAAAAAAGAAAATAGATGAGTTTTCGATCCTGCTCCATCATAGGGGGTGGAGATCGATGGAGACCAAAAGTCGAAATCCCGTCTCGGTTACGTATGAACATTCTTTCCACCTTCTAGCCAACTTCAGGTACCGAGCTTCTGGGCCTCCGTAATACACACTACAGACATCTGGAAACATTCTGGACAGGAACCGGCTCCACCCCCCATGATTCCGACGTAATTAAGGGTGCATTCTTCGTCAGCTTCCATTTTTTTGCCACTCTGGAGCCCATGACAGCCTCTCCGCGGCAGAACCCCGGCCACTCGCGCTGCTCATTACGAGCTTGTGTCTCCAGTCTGTCCAACGGTGATTCGTACAATATGGGCGTGTTTCAGCCCGTGTCCACCAGACCCAAAGGAGGAATTTCCTCCATCGGCACTCAATCTGGGTTTTTTTTCCCTCGTGGAAATCGGGCGAGGATCTACCGATTGCAGCCTATAGCCGTTGCCCAGGTGGTAAGAGCTTAAGACCCGTTTCCAACGCGACTGTCTTTGCTATCGTGGTTGATTCAAATTCTCAGCTCGCTACGGAGACCCCCTCCAGACATCGAGTGTAGCATATTGGAGAACGAGAGACATATCCCCTACTCCGTAACATGATTAACCTGATTAACATGATGACGAGCTTGTTCTCTGATCCATCACCGTTCAACGCTCAGGGGAGGACCGATCATCTTCCGAATGGAACTGGCGATCACCCCCTGTGGACCGGCTCCATCAACAGAGAGCGAAAAAAAAAAAAGTAAGAAGTCACAAGCGTGAGAATTCATTATTACATTAACCAGCCGATACAAATGGAAGGTAACTAAATCCTGTACTGTTGAGAGCAACGAGCTTCCTATTCTTCCAAAGTGGAACCACGACGGTATTACAAGCTCGGGAAGAACCCGTTTTGAATACAGCTAGAATGGCGCTAGAAACGGGAGAAAAACATTCCATCGCAGTCAACCTTAATGAACCCCCTTTTCCCCCTTAGGAAGTACTACGAAATCGGACTGTATGGACTCTGTACCTGAACAGCTTGAGTTTGACAACGGTCCGAGACCCAGTGTGGTGGTTCATGATTATCCCGAGACGTGATTCTAGACACCGTCTACCGTATTCCGAGCCCATCTCCAGAGTTCGGCTGGATGCATTAGTTTGCAAAACAAGGTTACGCGATTGCATGAACCGGCTTCCACTCTTTTCCGGAACGTCTTAGTCTTCCCGGGTAGTAAACGGAGTCAGGCTTGGATTTTCACTTCCTTTGTTTGAGCCGGGAATGTACAGCGACTTGCATCCACCTTGATAAAGAAAGGCAGGGATCGAAAAAACGGTCATCGAAGATCGACGCTCGCTTTGACTTCAAGATTTGCCTTGCAGTGCGTCAAATTGAAGCAGGGGATCCCTGTGTCGGATGCATCTAACACCACCCGGCTCTTTGTCTTCTGACAGGCGCTGTGGATGTGTCAACGTCCTGAATTTAGGTACTGGTAGTTTATCGGTGACAGAGTTGTGTTTGTGTTTTTGTTTTTTGCTTTTTTTTCATATCTCATTGTTTGGTGTAGACTGTGGCTGCTTCGTTCTGATCAAATTGATTGAATTTTCAACTATCACCAGACACAGGGGCAAGTGGCGCACTAGGGCTCCGCGGATGTAAAGCCGGTCGATCTTGGTTTTTCGATTCTCCTTCGGACTCCATAGTGAGAAAATTCTGGAAGCACAATGGATATGCCCCATAAGAGGGCATTGTCCAAGTATAGTGTACGGAGTACTATACGGAGTACACAGGACTACGAGTACGGGTAGTACAGCCGCTACCAATAGTGTGCGTATTCCGTCTGTACTCCGCCAGGATGAATGGAGTTGGGAAAAAACGGGGGCAGTTAGTGTGTAGAAGGGCATGGGTAGTCAAACAGTTGAACCATTGGAACTGGAACCACCTTCCCCGTCCCGAACCAAGAAATTTAATATGCGATCGCTTTTTGAGCCGCCTCAAATCTTGGCTTCTCCTTTTTAGTCGACTTTTGACAAGGTTCCCACAAGTACGGAGTACTAAGTCCAACGTAATTAGTGTCTGTCGAAAGTCTCCGAGATTTTCATCCAGCTGAGCCCAACAAAAAGAGGGGAGAGGGCGGGAAAAGGAAAAACAAAGGAAAGTGGACATTTGGACGTTTCTGGACTAAGAGTGACAGGCCCAAATCCACCTCGACCCGACACCCATTTAACTTGCATACGAAAGGAAGATTTAAAAAAATGACGATCGCCGCTCCACGGCTCCAGCACCATTGTGTCGGGAACGATCGTCCCCTTTTTCGTCCTTCCGGCTGGGTCAACCCCTGACTTCGGGTACATTTTGGTCACGACATGACGCAGGAAGGGAGTGACTGATCGAACCAAACAGATAGAATGGATATGACCCACGTCGCGATGGGTCTCCGGCTTCTCACCAAGGGATCCGCGGCCACTTGGCGCATGAACGCTTAATATTTCCTACAGGCCAAGTTCACAAGTACCGCTGCGTCACACTGCGTATGGAGTACAGCACACAGCATGTACGGAGTACGGAGTAGCAGAAATGTACTCCGTACTCCGTTCTTGAACATATGTACATATGTACAGAGTACATACGCTGTGCTGTATGACACACTTATGAGAATAATTCGAGAATCTCACTTTGCAGTGTCGATCGCTGCAACATTGCCCTTGTCTGCAACTATATATCCACTGATTGATAGTCGAGTTTAACCAAATGAATAGCGTATCTTGGATGCGCGCACTCTACCTAAAACCGCTAGCTTGCAGATCATGAGAACCACTCATAGAACTACGGTTGAGTTCTCGATCTTCCCCGAAAGCGATCGTCCGCGATCGATGTAATTGTTACCTGGCCGTGTCTTGCAGACGGAGACGGGACCGGGGAAAGCTTCAAGACACTTCCCCCGAGCTATCATCTCGCCTCCGTAATTAGGTAAATCCGACACTGGACATGTCACATTCACATCCATTGCATTTGGATTTGCATTTCACTTGACTTTTGTTATTGTTTTTATTTGACACCACTTTTCTTTTGTTTTTTTACGGGGTACACCGCTGATCCACAAAGTAACCCAAGCTTCCACTGGTATGCAGGGACTGTGTCCTCAGGCCCCTACCTCATGCACTAGGTAATCTTTTGTTGCAATTGGAATGATTGCATATGCATTGCATTGAGGCGTAAACATATTCCAGAGACCTGGGATCAGACATCCCAGCGGTCTGTTTGTTGGGCCCGCTCACAATCCATGGATCCTGGATTGAAGACCTGTCAGTCCCAGCCACATACTTGAGACGCCTCCCCCTCTCCTTCAGTGGCAAGTGTCAAAAGGACCGATCTACGTCACATCGTCTGACTTCGGCTGTGAAATTGATTATATGTATGTAATGTGTCAACTAGGTACAAAAGTATGAGGCGTAAGAGGCACAGTAGGGAACCTTGGTGACACCTGGGCATTCATCAATATTATCAATATCACCATCGAGTGGCAAATATGTTCAGCTCCCAGCCCCTTCTATTTTGTCAACCAGCGACAGCTCTCATGGGAAATCCAGGTCTCTCAACACCGAGAACGGGCACAGTGGTAGGCCATTTCGAACTGTAGATTAATATTGAGTCAGCAAGGTGTTGTTCACGGAAATCAATACCGATGCATGACTAGAGCCACAATCATGATCTCCAGCAGCCCCACAATCCAGAGCCACAGTCAAGATTATGGCCCATCAAGATCTTAGACAACATACCTGTTCGTTGGTCTGGCAAACCAAAACCCGGGGCCCCTTGCTGGAGCCCTTGGAAAGATCTTTGACCGTCTCCCCATCTTCAGGCCCCTTGTCGTTAGCGGCGTCATCAAGAGCCAGTCCCAGACACTGGCACTTATCAACAAGCGTCTTCCGCAGAAGGGCGCTCTTCTCACCGATCCCACCAGAGAATACTACACCGTCTATCTGTCCATTGAGCTTGAGGTAGTAATTTCCTATGTAACCAACGATGCGGTCAACGAAGATATCGAACGCAAGCTTATGCGCCTTGGTGGGTGGATCAGACACTGCAATTTCGGAGAAATCAGTGGTTCCCGTGAGTGCCTTCCATCCTGATTGCTTGTTGAGAATATCCTCGGCCTAGTGAATGTATTAGTAATTGCATAGGATTCGTTGACCCAAGCTGCAAGGTGGTTAGGTTACCGTGCTGATGTGCATTTCTTTCGTGCTAGCAGGGCTTAGTTTGCCCGCTTCGTTCGTGTAGTGGAATACCAATCTATACCCCAGAGTATTAGTCGAGTCTCGATCTGTGATTCAATGCCTTAGTGTCGGCTTACGATGGATCGATATCTCCACTGCGGGTTGCACCGGGTAATCCCGCCAAAGGAGTGAGTCCCATTCTGATGCTTGCGTTAGTATACTCGTACTGCAGGGTGGAGTTCTCGGCAAATGCAATCTGCACTGCACTGCATGACTGACGATGTATCAATGGATTCCCCATTCTTGATGGCGCAGATGGAAGCCCCACTTCCAATATGCATCACAATGAGGTTGGTCTTATCAGCTGGCTTGCTCAAGAATTGTGCCACAGACCGTAGAATGAAGGAGTAGCTGATTCCATGGAATCCGTACTTGCGCAAGCCATTCGCCTTGGCGACTTCTTGGTTGATGGCGTATGTGCGCACGGGTTCCGGGATGGTGTGATGAAAGGCGGAGTCAAAGAAGGTAATGCTCCTGACCTTGGGAAGCTCGGCTCTGCAGTGTCGAACTATTTCCAGTGCTGAGAAGTTGTGCCTTTTTGTAGGTGGAGTCAGTATATGCTTGAATGGCCGGGCTATGTTGCGGGATTGAGACAGATGAAGTGCGGATGCGCCCAGGTGATGGCTTACAATGGGGCGAGGTCTTCAAACGATTCTAAGTGATGATATGATTCATCGTTGATTTCTACCGCATCGTGGTAGTCTCCTCCATGGACGATCCGGTGACATATGTAGGCTAGATCGTCGGCGCTGGTGACTTCGGAGAGCTCGGGATCCTCGAAACACCGCTTCAAAAGATAATTGAAGGCATCTTGGGGCGTTGTGAGCTTTTCTTTGATTTCCTCTTTGTGACTTTTGTCACCCTGCTGATATTTGAGCTTTGGTGGTGGTGCGGTGATCCCAGATATCTCCGCATGGGCGATGGGTCTTGGCGGATTCTCCGCAGTGTAGAAGTTGACTTTCACTGAGGACGAGCCTGCATTGACAGACAAAATGGATTTAGTCATTTTGAAGCTTGTGTTGGCTTTTCTTTTTGGCGTAGGGTCTTGATGCGACAATTGACAAAAAAGAGGGTGCGATGGTTCACTATGTTCCTTGTTGCGGGTGTGATGTCAGGATAGTGACGTGGTTGCCCACTTCAATGAGCAGGGCTCCGCGCGCGGCAACATTGGCTTACATAGTATGATATCAACTTTCCAAGTTTGTTTGACCCCATTTCACTCAATTATATCTGCTTTAAATGCTTTAATTCTGCTCATTTTGTTTTCATCTTTTCCATACTTCATACTCCGTACTTCATTGCACTGTTATCTTCCTTTAGACTCGTCGATCATCCGCGCCAAGGCTACCACCCACCATGCCTGGCGAAGTTATCACCGAGCCAAACCCCAAACCACAACCTTCAAATCTGCCTGACTATTTGGAGAAGTTGAGTGTGAGCTTGAACCATGAGAATAAAAATCTTGATCAGCATGCCTGTGATTCTTTGCTCAAATTCCGCCGAGCGGCCTCATATATTGCAGCTGGTAAGAGTCGATTTGATACATATCCAGGATATGAGAACTGATTCAATATAAGCTATGATATTCCTAGAGAAGAACACGTTACTGAAAGAAGATCTTTCCTTTGACCATGTCAAGCCTCGATTACTGGGTAAGCAACCACCAAAGACCATGAAGATCATCATCTAATAGCCACCCACAGGTCACTGGGGAACATGTCCAGGTCTGATCCTGGTTTACTCTCATTTGAACCTCTTGATCCGGCAAAAGAATCTGGACATGCTGTACGTTATCGGTCCAGGACACGGTGCACCAGCACTTCTAGCCGCACTATGGCTGGAAGGCTCGCTCGAGAGGTTTTACCCTGAATATTCACGCAATAACCAAGGTCTACACAACCTGATCTCGACTTTCAGTACACCTTCCGGATTTCCCAGGTTTGTTGCTTACTCTGTTTCTTCAGTATGGTGAGAGCTTTGCTGACCTGCTACACAGCCACATTAACGCTGAGACCCCCGGCGCTATCCATGAAGGCGGAGAGCTTGGCTATGCTCTTGCTGTATCTTTTGGTGCAGTCATGGACAAGCCTGATCTGATAGTCCCGTGTATAGTGGGTGACGGAGAAGCGGAGACCGGTCCCACTGCTACGTTCGTTCTGGAATGCCCTTGCGAGGACGAAGCTGACCGTTGATAGATCCTGGCATGCAATCAAGTACATTGATCCCAAAGAATCAGGCGCAGTCCTGCCTATACTGCATGTGAATGGGTTCAAGATCAGCGAGCGTACTATCTTCGGATGTATGGACAACAAGGAACTTGTAGCTCTCTTCAGTGGCTATGGATACCAGGTCCGATTTGTGGAGGACATCAACGATATAGACACGGATTTGCACTACTCGATGACTTGGGCCGTTGAAGAGATTCAAAAGATTCAAAAGGCTGCTCGCTCTGGGAAGCCAATTCTCAAGCCTAGATGGCCGATGCTGATCTTACGGACTCCAAAGGTATGGCGCACTATTCCTGTGAGACGCCAAGCTGACCAAATCAGGGCTGGTCTGGGCCGAAGAAGCTTCACGGAACATTCATAGAAGGTTCTTTCCATTCACACCAGGTTCCCCTGCCGAAAGCAAAGTCCGACAAGGAAGAGCTTGGTCTCTTGCAGAAATGGCTTTCTGATTACAAGCCACATGAGCTTTTCACATCAGACGGTGATATCATTGACGATATCAAATCTGTAATTCCTACTGATGATTCCAAGAAACTCGGCCAACGCATTGAGGGATATAATGGATATGTCGCTCCCGACTTACCAGATTGGAAGGCCCTTTGCGTACAGAAGGGCTCTAGCGAGAGTGCTATGAAAGCTATTGGTAGTCTGATTAATCAGACATTTATCAATAATCCGCACAGCGTACGGCTGTTTTCACCTGACGAACTGGAGAGCAACAAACTCGATGCAGTTTTCGAGTCAACAAACCGCAATTTCCAGTGGGATGAATTTGCTAATGCACGCGGTGGTCGCGTGATTGAGGTTCTAAGCGAACACATGTGTCAGGGATTCTTGCAGGGCTACACTCTGACCGGCCGCACTGGAATCTTCCCCTCATATGAGAGTTTCCTCGGTATCATCCATACTATGATGGTGCAATACTCGAAGTTCATCAAGATGGTCAGTGCCGTTTATATTCAAATCGAAACATGTACTCACCAAGAACTATAGGCACTGGAAACAAAGTGGCACTCAGGTGTTAGCAGCATCAACTACATCGAGACAAGCACATGGACTCGCCAAGAACACAATGGTTTCTCCCACCAGAACCCATCCTTCATTGGGTCCGTGTTGAAGCTCAAGCCAACTGCGGCTCGCGTATATCTGCCACCAGACGCAAACACGTTCCTGACTACCATCCATCATTGCTTGGGCTCTAAAAATTACATCAACCTGATGGTGGGCTCAAAGCAGCCAACACCGGTATATCTGACTGCCGAAGAAGCCGAGAACCATTGCCGCGCTGGAGCATCTATTTGGAAATTCTGCAGCACAGACGATGGAACCAAACCAGATGTCGTGCTGGTGGGTATCGGTGTTGAGCTGATGTTTGAAGTCATTGCAGCGGCAGCACTACTGCGTAAAATTGCTCCAGAATTGCGCGTCTGCGTAGTAAACGTGACCGATTTGATGATCCTTGAGAATGAGGGATTACATCCGCATGCCTTGACGACTGAGGCATTTGACACGCTTTTCACGCCGGATAAACCCATCCACTTCAACTACCACGGCTACCCTACTGAGCTACAGGGCTTGCTTTTCGGACGTCCCCGACTTGAGCGCGTCTCTGTGGCAGGCTATATCGAAGAGGGTAGTACCACTACGCCTTTTGATATGATGCTTGTCAACCGCGTTTCCCGCTTCCATGTTGCCCAAAATGCTCTTCGTGGGGCAGCGAAGGTGAATGAGAAGGTGCGGGTTCGTCAACAAGAGCTGAATTCTGAGCTTGAGAATGAAATCGTCGGGACTCGGAAGTTTATCTTACAAAACCACAAAGGTAAGCATCCAGAGAGGCGCCGTGACTCTTGGTCCCTATTGGAAATGGTATGCTAATCTGAAATGACTTAGATCCCGATGGTATCTATGACACGCCAACCTTTAAGTAGACTTTCGGTTGTTTTTTTAGATAGATATCAATATGATGACCCAATCTCATTTCTTCGAAGGCCAACAGCCTTAAACCAGAGTCATGTCTTTTTCAGTCTTATCCAGGTTCCAAGGTAGACCTTTCAAGGTTGCTTACATTTTCAAACACCAGGCCAAACGCCACTGGCCCTATGCTTTCTCAGTTCTATCAAGCACCGACCAAGAAGAAGCGAAAAGAAATGATGCAGGTCAGGCTTCCAAATTCACAGAAGCATTGGAGCCTTGAAGAGAGCAAGAAAACTTGGATCATCATGCTTCAACCGATATGCATCCATGTCTACGTTCACTCATGCGATGAGCATTTCTCACTTCTCGACATGATGATTACCCAGGAAAGTCTAGGAGTCCACAAGATCATCCTCGTTCCTTTACGAATGTAACTTCAGTATTAGATGGAGTGTGGATCTCGCACATCAATACCGCAAGTAGTATATAGTCCCCCACTTTCTCAAATGCTGTATCTGCGGGGGGCCTAACTCCATCGTTGACTAGGGGAGACCGGATACGAGTTACTACTAATATCCTCAAAAGGTCAGCTGTTGCTGTGCTGTATTCACGAGCTTTTTGGGTACGGAGTACCCCGTGTATGTTCATTCCATAGGAGAGGTTCCACAACCTTGATTGATTACTGGCCCGCAGACGCGAGGCTTAAATCCCCCTGTCGGTAACCAGTGCTAAGGTGGGTGTCTTTAAATTATTCCATACAAGACTGGGGTGTTTGAGAATTGGCCTTCGACACAACTTAGGTGAAGAGGCTGCTTCTTGTATCACAGTGAACTGAGGGGTTATGTAGTCTGGCCATCATCCTCACTGTAGTCGCAATTTGTAGCGAAGATCAGCGAGTAGATTTCGATTACATCAAAATTTGGGGGCGAGTACCACTCGCGCATTTTGCTGCATGATCTCATGATCCTCGAGTTTTCAGATGGGAACTTGGCAACTCGATGAGACTACCTTAACCCACGATACCGTCAAATCCATTTCAACTTGCCTTTAGACAAACCATTAACTGTGCCATAGGAGTGGTAGCAAGTACTTGTTTGTCAGTAGTAGTCAACTCGTATTTTGGGGAATAAGAAATCAATCTGGATTTAAACCAGTCGCGTGTAAGTAAGCGAGGCCGAGCGATTGATGTGGATCTACTTTCCCTTTCACGCTCCGTCAAATACTCGTACATCCGCTGCATCCGAGACCGCGGACCAGAAAGACCAGGATTACCTTCAGGTAGCCGACATCCCAGCATACTAGTGAGAACTGAGACCAGAAAGCTGGAATGATATCTCAGTACTAGTGCTGTGCAAATACAACCTCTGGATCTGAAGCGGTGTATCATTCGTCGGTCAAACACGATCTCACTGCATGTATCCTTCAGGCACCATGATCAAGGATCAAGTCAGCTTGGTGGGGCTACGTCAGAAATACTCATGCCCAATAAGTAGAGCTCAGCAGCACTAGACTTTTCACAATTCAAACGTCTCCAACGGCATCGGAGATAACATGGCCAGGTGAAGTCCAGGGCTGAGGCGACCTTGGCGGCGTGTGCACTAAACCCGAAAGGGATGTCCTTGCGAGGGAATGTACTTCGGCCCGAATCTCTATACCTCGAAGATTTTTCTTTTCGTTTTTCATTGGTGTCAAGCTCGTGAGTCAAACGTTTTTGTCCGTAAGGCACTGAGAATACCTCGCTAGACACTCTGACAGGTCAGAGGCTCCCCCCACCCTCGTGGCGGTTGGCGGATTGCAACGTTGCCCTGACGCAGTATTCTTCCTTTCTTGCTATAACAGCCGGGGCCGGCCCGTTCATAAACCCGCACTGAATACTGAACCAGACAGATATCAACGCCCGGGCCTTTGCGATTGGTCGATGACATGCGGGTCTTATACCTTCTCGGAGGATTGAACGTGGGCGACATGTACTTAGACCGTGGCTTTAGCCTCGCAAGCCCTTCCCCGATGGTGGAGACCTGTGCGTACTCAGCCATGCTGACTTCTGACTTATTATATACGTTTCTGTCCGTTTGAATTATAGGTTTGCTTCTCAGCCTTTGTTGGTATCATTTTTAGCATCAGACAAAGACTGTCGTTGGCTACAAAGGCTCAAATCGCTTGGAAACCCATTGAAAGTCCCTCTACCTCTACAGCCATTTGGAGCACACCTCCACAGACAAATCTTATACGCAAATCATGGCCGATAGGATCCAGCTGGGGCTCGGCTGCCATGCTTATATCGAAGGTGTTGAAACCTCTTATGGTTATATCCCGACACTCGGTGCTGGAATTGCTTACTGCACACTCTTCGGTATCTCGATGATTCTTCACACGATTCAATTTACATGGAAGCGACAATGGTGGGCAAGTGTTTTCAGTATTGGATGCTTAGGTGAGTAAGAGGATGTTCAACACTTTCAAGGCAGGGTATCGCAACCTAGCCCTAGTTCCATACAACATAACTGACAGAAATCGACAGTTGAGGTCATTGGTTGGGCTGGTCGTACTTGGTCGTCCAAGTGCCCTTACAACACAACTGCATTCCTGATGCAAATCTCTACCCTCATCATCGGTAACGATATCCCGAGGTCGCCGTTGACTACAGAATACGATCTAACAGATTTCAAGCCCCGACATTTTTCACCGCAGGAATCTATGTCCTTCTAGGTCGATTCATTCAGCTCCTAGGCCCTGAATCCTCATTCCTAAAGCCAAGTCTCTACCTCTGGATCTTTTGCACCTGCGACGTTATCTCACTCGTCGTACAAGCCATCGGCGGCGGAATGGCCTCCGGGGAAGCCGAAAAGGTTGGGGGCGACACCGCGACTGGTACCCATATCATGGTTGCTGGAATCGTGTTCCAGCTGTTTTCCATCACCATCTTCGTTGTCTGCGCCGTGGACTTCATCCGTCGCACGATGCGTCGTCGTCTTCTCCAGTCGCTCACGGGCTCTGTCGTCCCGCTATTCGCTGCTATGATCCTCTCCATTGTCTGCATCTATATTCGATCGATTTACCGAACTATCGAGTTGTCGCAGGGCTGGTCTGGCTATCTCATTACCCATGAGTCTTACTTCATTGCGCTGGATGGAGCTATGATGATTGTCTCTGTGGCGGTCTTCAATTTGCTTCACCCCGGTTGGTTGTTGCCAAAGGAGAAGGGGATGTCCAAAAGGGATAACCTTTCGGCCGATGGCCTGGAGATGAACCAGGGACCTCCTCTGCAGTGGTAATCGCTTGTTCTGTGTTCTTGGTCTGGCTGTTTGATTATTGACTGGGCGCTGGCTTACAAGATTGCTTGTTATTGTCCCAGAGACTAAATAGATACATAGTCGATGCACTGGATTATGCGGTAATGGTATTCTAATGTGACTCAAGACCTTTCCGGGTAGATTCCGTAGGGTTGAGCTGCAAGCTCAATTGATATGATACTAAAACGCAGGTAAAGTCTGGAAAGTCACACATTCAATACTCTAGAAACATTGAGGATATCAAGTAGTTGAGAACACGAAGAGAAGAGTGGCAAATGAAGCACACGCATAGCCGAAACAAGCTCAAGATAAGAAATGATCAACACAACCCCACGTCTGATCAGCAAAAGATACCCGTGGACTATTTGTACACCTGTATCATTGTCGGCGATCATTACTATCAAGTCCGCTTGAATAAAAAACAATCAATTTTGAAACACTGGTGTCTCCCCAGTCGCCTTGTCGCATCGCGTATCATACACCATCCACGGCTTCAACCCAGCCGAAGGTTGCACCTGTGATCAATGCAGCTGCAGCCCAAACCGATCCCCACGTAGCTGCTCCTTCAATGGAGACGTCACGGATCGTGCCTGCCACTTGAACAACGGTGTTGAGGAGGATGCCGAATGTGAGAATGATAGACCGAGAAATCAAGACTCTCGTCTTGATCGACAGCTTTCCCCAGGTGGCGCGGTAGATGGCAGCGACCAAGTACTCTCCCTCGCAAGCTGAAGAGGTCTGATTGACCTTTGCAGAATATCCAGTGGAGCTGACGAACAAGAAGTCGCGCGCGGCCCAGCCCGCTGGAATCAGCGTCAGCAAAAGCACAGGCAAGCCCGCAGGGCCGGCATGCGCAGCGCTGATGTCTGGGAGGCTCTCAAAGTGCACGACCAATCGCGCGGGCAGCCAAGTGGCAAAGCTGGCGTAGAGAACAACGCTAAATACCGAGGCCGCCAGAAGCGTAGTAGAAAAGGTGGTTACTTTGTCCTGCAGGATAGCTCGGTTGGGGATCGCGTCGGCCGGGGTATGCGAGAGATCGTGCACAGACGATGGTCGGCGCAAAAACACGAAGGGAAGTACGGTTGACACGAGCGTAACTCCAAAGGCGGCCAGCGCTGAAGTTGGACGGACGTGGTAGAAGAATGATAAGAGGGTGTATGTTGGCAGGTGGGTCAAGAATAAGAACGATGCTGCATCGCGGCCTGTTCGATCACGGTTAGTTTATGGATACGAGATTGGGGGCAGTCTTTGCTGACCGTCATATCCAAGCACCCAGGTCAGCCCGACCTCAATGGCTCTCCAGCCTATCAAGCCCCCCACTTCCCACCAGTCCTCCAGATGTCTGCTGATGGGTCCGAGGTCGCCCACAGTGAAACTGGACGTCAATGTGAACAGAACAGAGCTGAGAATAAGGCTGCTGAAGACAACGAGAGCGAAACGAGCTGGGGAGGGGATGCTCGCTAGTGGTGAGACCAGCGCGTCGGTGTCCTCAGGCGCGGGTCGTGTGCTGTCGCTCCACGACACGGTTCGCTTTGAGGGAGTCTCAGTAGACATGCTGGGGCCGTTGTATATTAAAACTGATAACAGCAACTCTCAAAGCTAGGAGCTAGAACTTGTCCACGAATGGTAGGAGGATGAGAAGATGAAAATGCTGGAAATGTTGTGGATGGCGGTGAGCTATGATGTCATCTATGGGTCATTACATACAAGTCCAATCTTGGAAGGATGTAACTTTTCGGCCTTGGATGTGGGCTCCAGAGCTACGACATGTTGAAATTATGTACAAGGTGCAGGCTTGATTACAATATCTAATCTTGATCTTCACCTTCTTGCTCGGCCACAGCAAACTCCACTGTGCCGCTCTCTCGCCCGTGGTTATCGCGCACAACAACGCGATACTTCCCATTATTCCAAAGGTCTTTGATGGTCAATTCGCGGGTACGGCCAAGGCTCTCGATGTCTCCAATGCGCTCCAAGGTGCCGTCCAAGTGCTTATCGAAGTTTTCAATGGCACAGATTTCTCGGAAAGCGCATTGCATAGGCACTGAGTCGGCACGCACCATTGCTCGCGAATCAATGGTGAAGATATTCTCGTGATCGTAGGATTGGATGAAGTCAGCACGGGTCATGATCTCGCGCGCCTTGTGGAGCGGAATCTCCGGTAGAATGTGTCCATGCTCATCGTGATAATTTGACTCCATTTTTTCTTCCATTTCGACCAGCGCTTTGGCGAGCACCATGGCGGCAGACTGCTTTTTGTTAGCTGGATGCGCGGATCAGTTGGGGGTGACATTACTTACGGAGAACTTCTGTTCATCCATCACATCATCGTCCATTTCCTTTCCAAGGATCCAGCACTTGTTCAGGAACCAGGTTTTCTCGGCCCGGCAGATATCATTGCAGGCTTTGGTGACATCCTCGGATTTGGCAACGCGGTTCAAGAAGGACAGTCGACCACCAACCTTATTGTAAACCTGCTCTAGAACCGAAGAGGGTAGACTTTCGTTGTGGAACTGTTCGCGATATTTCTTCAAGGCAGTCATTGCCTTGTCCTTGGGTAGATCAGTTACAGGAATGACTTCCATGCGAGTCGCGTAGCGCTTTAGGCGCTCATACACCCAGTAATCGTCACTGTTCAAGACTGGTTTATTGTGATTAGATGAAGCAAACAGATCAAGAGTTGATGGGGTCTTACTTGTGGTAACAAGGCCGCTGGCAGCCCATTGCTCGGCGCGCTGCTGGATCATTTCGAGCAAATCTTGTCCATCATGGTCATCTCTGACTAAATGGGTGCTATTAATGATCAAAATCAGGGGAGTAGATCCCTCGCGCCTTCTGGTAAGTGCCACTTTCTCCAATTTGTTAAAGGCACGTTCGATGTCCAATAGAGCCGTGGTGTCCCTGGGTCCACGGATGCTGAAGAGACTGCCGATATAACTGGTCATATTGGTTAGTATGAGCATGTGTACTTGAGACGGGTAAACTTACTCCTCGTGGAACTCGTAGTCCAAAGCTTTGCCTAGTCGAATGCGGAAAATTTCAAGGTCGGCGTGTGCTTCAAACATCGCACAGCTGTTGCCATTGATCTTGCGCATGGCCTCCAATAGCATCGAAGTTTTTCCCGTGCCCTTCTCGCCTATCATGAGATAGTAGTGACCACTCCTGCGTCCAGCTACGATATCGTCAATCTTGGGCTGCTCGTTACGGACCACCCAGTGTTCCTCATGACGATACTTATGCTTCCCAGATACAACACCCGCGACCTCGAGAGCGGGATCTCCGGGGTTGAAAGCATTGTCCATCTTGTCGAGGATCAAGTACTTGTAGTACTGATGGTAAGAGTATCCCGCCGCACTTTGGAGATAGGTCAGTAATATTTTTAAAGGGCGGGTGGTAGCAAGCCTACCCTAAAATGGCGATTGATGCAGCTGTAGTTGCGGCAGTCTCAAGCATTTTCAGGATCGTAGATTTGAAATTGGGATCTGAGTCGCCGCCGCGACCCTGACCTTTCCCCTTGCCGTCGTCAGGATCATCCTGGTCGGTGGGATCTGGGGTATATTGCCCTGTATTTTGGGGGTTTGAATTGAACCGCTTAGAGGTATACACCACAGCACGGTGACTAGGTCTTAGGGCTCCGTAGAGCCCGTGTCGGGCATGGGACCTCACAGGCTGTGCGAGCCGGTTCCATATCATCCTGGTTGATATTTCTTGGCGTTAAACTGCGCCAAGTCCTTCAAATCAAGATCGATGAATGGTACGGAGTATGATATCAAAAAATCCAGTTCACAATTTGTTTTTGTGACTGGTTTGATGGAAAAGGGTTAACGAATGAACGGAGTACTGCTAGTCTTTGGACTCCAGATGACGCAAAGCCACCTCCTGGGAATGACACGTAAAAAAAAAGAAAGACTCTGTGCTGAAACCAAACAGACAGGAATAAATACGGTGGAATGGATTGAAGGAAGAAACAATAAAGACAAAGTATGGAGGTCAGAAGAAAAAGAGTGTGGCTTAGCCGCGTCTCAGCCTCTGCGAACCTTGGAACCAGGGATGCACCAATGATAGCCTTGGCGATCAACTCGGGTATCGACCTTCGGGCTGCGTCACTGGGGAGACGTGTTCGATTTCATATTGACATGCTCAGCTGCGCATCAGCACTTATGATTAGTATGTCTTCATCTGTTGATTCGTGTGGTTCGGCGGTGGCTTCCAAGGTTCTGCATAGCTGTCCACAACAGAACGTATTGTGTGTGCGGAACACTCGGCGTAGAATAACACCTCGCGTACGGAGTACGGAGTGCTTGGGTTAATTCAGATAATACCTAGGTAGGTATCATCGGCAATTGAATTGAGATCCATCTGTTCAGCAGGCATTTGGTCGTAGAACCTGGTGTAGTTCGTCCTATTATCTGAGGTTATGGCGGAAGGTTCATGTCGCGTGCGCTTTATATATGTTGGACGAGATCCCTATACTTCCAAGGTTACCAGGGTCACTCGAAATATACTCCATGCTCCATACTCCGTGCAGGGTCGAAATATCCAGAAATCGACGAGAAATAAGCATTTAAAATGGAAACCTCTTCCCACCAATAGACTAAAATGCCACATAGTCGCTTATGCACGTTGACTCCAAAGGGACAAATAAGTAGACACCTGAGGCATCGAGACACACATTAGGCCCGAATTGAGTCGCAAATCCGCTCCCCGGCTATACTCCATCTAGCACAATTATATAGTGAAGTCCGTGGCCCGCTAAGGAGTACCTCACTCATTGCTTTAAAGTCCATAATCTCAATACATAAGTTCTCCCTTCTGATCCGGGATACCTTGTCCAAGTACTCCGTACGTAGTACAGCGCACCCTGCACTGTGGAGACGACCTCCCGCCGAGGTTTTCCGACTCCAGCATCCGCGAGTCCGAAAACCAATTTTTCCCTTTTTCTCCGTATCCATCCTCTGACAAAACTTCGTGGGGTACGGGGTGCTTGTTTCTTGCTCAATTGCCCATTTCCTTTATTGTATACTACATTTTATTCTTCCTCTGCCTGCTTTTCCCCGCAGGTTCAGCCTTTTTTCATCTTTTCCACTTTCCCGAACATTTGTCTCATCCGCGTCTCAGTTCTGAGATAGGGGTGCCAATTTGTTGAAGCTTCTATATACCTGCTAGACATCATGGCACAGACCAATGGCGAGCTGGAGCACTCGAAAGGTGAGTGTTGGCGTGGGAAACTCGATGTCGGTGACATCTGGGTTTCCCGGAAGGTTGATCGGACACGTTGGCTGACCAAGAACAGAGGCTCCCCAGCCTACCCAAGAGATCGTCAACGGCGATACTGCCGAGGAAACACCGGAAGAGGACCTTTCAGGCGGTATGTTAAGCGTGCAACCTGTTCAGTGCGGTGCTAATTCAATAATAGGTCTTTTCCAGATCTCCGTGAAGCTTCCCCATGCGCCTCATAAGATCCAAGTGATGGTGGGTTCTTTGTGTTGATAAGAATTACCAGAACACGATTTCTGACTCGTTTCGCCCATAGGTATCCAACCAAGAACAGGTTCAGGATGTCCGTCAATCCATTGTCGAGCTACCAGGAACTTTCCAATACACTTGCTTCCATCTCGAGTTCAACGGAAACCGCATCAACGATTTCGTCGAATTGTCCGAGGTCGAGGGTCTCGAGGCCGACTCCGAGATTGTTCTGGTGGAGGACCCCTACACCGAGAAGGAGGCTCGTATGCATGTTGTCCGCATCAGGGAGCTGATTGGTGCTTCTGGTGACCGTGTCGACAACCTTCACGGTATCTCTGCTGGCCTGTCTCTGCACGACGCTATCTCGGCGGACGCTGCCAAGGCCGGTGCATCGGACAAGGACCACTCGCTCTCCCAGTACGACATGGCCGGAGTTTCCTCTCTGCAGACCATTCTGCCCACCGAGCAGGCTCCTCTGCCCAAGACCGTCAAGTCTATTTCGCTGTCTTCATGGAACCCCGTTCCCTACAACCTGCGCCAGAAGGGCCACTTGCTCTACCTTGTGGTCTCCACCCTTGAGGGTGAGCAATTCCAGATCACTGCTCACGTGTCCGGATTCTTCGTGAACAAGAACTCGAACATCCGATTCGAGCCCTTCCCGAAGAACACCCACCCCAAGAAGGGCAGTGCCCACTCGCTGCTCACCTTGATCTCTCAGCTCTCCCCCTCGTTCAACGCCGCCTTTGAGGCTCTTCAGGAATACAACAATGAAAAGGATCTCCTTACCACATTCCCCTTCCAGAATGCCATTCCCAACAGCCCATGGCTCATCTCCCCCAACACTTCCAGCTTGAGCGCCCACCAGCCCGATATCACCCGCTCCCAGGAGAACTACCTCATCTCTGGCGTTGACAACGCCGAGACTCTGCGTGACTGGAACGAGGAGTTCCAGACCACTCGCGAGCTTCCCCGTGAGTCTGTTCAGGACCGCGTGTTCCGGGAGAGATTGACCTCCAAGCTCTTCGCCGATTACAACGAGGCCGCCGCTCGCGGTGCTGTCTTGGTGGCTCGGGGCGAGGTTGCTCCCCTGAACCCCACTGAGGCGCGGGACGCCCAGATCTTTGTTTACAACAACATCTTCTACTCTTTCGGTGCTGATGGCGTCGGAACCTTCACCTCCGAGGGTGGCGACGAAGCCGCTCGCGTGGCTGTTGGTAAGGATGTTCTGGGTATCAAGGCTGTCAACCAGCTTGACATCGATGGCCTGTTCACCCCCGGAACCGTGGTGGTCGACTACCTGGGTAAGCGTATTGTGGGACAGAGCATTGTTCCTGGTATCTTCAAGCAGCGCGAGCCCGGTGAGCACCAGATCGACTACGGTGGTGTCGAGGGCAAGGAGATCGTTGCCACCCACGCCGACTTCGTCCCCGTCTTCGAGAAGCTCTCCAAGGCGCTCCGCATTAAGAAGCACCCTGTCTGGGACAAGGACAACCAGCGTCACGACCTCGAAGGCAGCGTTGAGACCAAGGGTCTCCTCGGTACCGACGGCCGCAAGTACGTTCTGGATCTGTACCGCGTGGCCCCCATCGATGTTGAGTGGCAGGAAGAGGATGGCAGCGATGCCTACCCTCACCGCATGTCTGTCCTCAGAACCGAGCTCGTAGAGTCCTACTGGCGCCACAAGATGAGCCAGTACGTCAAGGCTGAGGTGGAGAGCCGCAAGGCTGCTACCGCTGAGGCTTCCAAGGAGGGCAAGTCCGAGGAGGAGACTGCGGAGCAGGAGCGGATTGATATCTCCGGATTTAACCTGGCTCTCAACCCCGATGTGTTCAGTGGCCAGGTTCCCCAGACCAAGGAGGAGAAGGAGCAGTGGGCACAGGATGAGCAGGAGGTCCGTGACGCCTGCGACCACCTCCGTGCCAAGATCATTCCCGACCTGCTCAAGGACTTGCACGATGGCGATGTTGGCTTCCCGATGGATGGCCAATCGTTGACCCAGCTTCTGCACAAGCGTGGTATCAACCTGCGTTACCTCGGAAAGCTGGCTGAGAAGTCCACCGAGCAGGGACCTCGCCTGCAGGCTCTGTTCATTCTCCTGGTTCAGGAGATGATCACTCGTGCTTTCAAGCACATCGCCAACCGCTACCTCAGCAATGTCCCCGCTCCCTTCGTTGCGCCCTGCCTTGTTCACCTTCTCAACTGTCTTCTCGGCTCCGACGTCAATGCCGCCCCCAAGGCTGAGATTGACGAAGCTATGCGCAAGATCTTCCCCGAGGGCGACTTTTCTTTCGAGAAGGTTACTCCCGAGTCCCTTCGCTCCGAGATCGAGAAGCAGGTTCTCACCCGCTTCCGCTTCACCCTCGAGAAGGACTGGACCAACTCCCTCAGACACTTGCAGCTTCTGCGTGACATTTCCATCAAGCTTGGTCTCCAGATCGGTGCTCGCGAGTTTGCCTTCACCAAGGACCAGGTCAAGGAGCAGGTTGTTGTTCCCGTCACCAACGGCTCCACCCAGGAAGAGCCCAAGAAGAAGGGCAACAAGAAGAAGGGTGGTGACAAGCAGTCTCCTACCCGCGCCCCAGCTCCCGCTAAGCCTGCTACCACTTTCACCACCGATGACATTCTGAATGTCGTTCCCTTGGTTCGCGATGCCTCTCCCCGTAGTGCACTGGCAGAGGAGGCCCTGGAGGCCGGTCGCATCTCTCTCATGCAGAACCAGAAGCAGTTGGGCCAGGAGCTCATCCTGGAGTCTCTGTCTCTGCACGAGCAGATCTACGGTATCCTGCACCCTGAGGTCGCCAAGCTGTACCACCAGCTCTCCATGCTTTACTACCAGACCGATGAGAAGGAGGCCGCCGTTGAGCTGGCTCGCAAGGCTGTCATCGTCACTGAGCGCACCATGGGTGTGGACTCCGCTGACACCATCCTGAGCTACCTCAACCTGAGTCTCTTCGAGCATGCCTCTGGCAACACCAAGACTGCCTTGGTGTACATCAAGCACGCTATGGACATCTGGAAGATCATCTACGGTGCTAACCACCCCGACTCCATCACCACGATGAACAACGCCGCCGTGATGCTGCAGAACCTCAAGCAGTACGCCGACTCCCGCAAGTGGTTCGAGGCTTCTCTCGCCATCTGCGAGAACCTGTTCGGCAAGGACTCCATCAACACTGCCACCATTCTCTTCCAACTGGCCCAGGCCCTCGCTCTGGACCAAGACTCCAAGGCCGCTGTCGGCAAGATGCGCGAGGCGTACAACATCTTCCTTGCCCAGCTCGGTCCCGAGGACCGCAACACTAAGGAGGCTGAGAACTGGCTTGAGCAGCTCACTCAGAACGCCGTCTCTATTGCTAAGCACGCTAAGGACATCCAGGCCCGCCGCCTGCGCCGCATCACGATGAACCCTCGCGTTTCTAGCATGGGTACTCGTGTCCAGCCCCAGGTTGGCCAGGTCGCTCCTGAGATTGCCCCTGCCGTTGCCGATCCTTCCGGTCTCGACTCCCGCAACATTGATGAGCTTCTCAAGTTCATCGAGGGCGGTGATGCTGGTGCTTCGCGCTCCAAGCAGAAGAAGCGTACTACCACCAGCAACCCCAAGCTTCGCGGCTCCAAGCAGTCCAAGGCTTGAATGGATTCCTGAATCAGCCAACCTGGCTGTATCTAATGGGTTATGCCTTCTATTTTCTTGGTTACCACATGTGTTAACAGTCAAATACTATATATCTATATCCATTGTCATTTGGGGATCGGTGGGCAGGCTTGATGAGCGAAAAGAACTGTTGTATTTTAGATCTCTCTCCTCTCTTTGTTTTTTCTAATGTGTTATTTTTTTTTTGTTATGGCATAACCTGCCATGTTGGGTTGTCACTCGGGCAGTGCATGGGAAGGACTCGGCATTTCTGGCCCTCATCTATGGTGCATTATGTGGTGTCTGAATTTTGCATGGGTCATTTTCTCTGGGTAGAATCCGTTTTATTTACAAATATTTGGAATCAAATGGAAATATCAAGCGAATCGCATATACCTCTTTGTATTATCGCAAGTAGCTTGGCTGGAACGGGCAATATGTGTTGACCCACTTTACCGCATGGGGGGCTTTGTTTTCTCGACTCCCGCGCATCTCACTTCACGCGCTTTTGTTATCACCACCCAGTATCCCTACATATTTTGGCTTATGCTGATTGTGTATCACATACCATGCATCTTTGAGGATCGGTTTGTACGGCGAGGTTTGTGCTGTGCGACGAGACGAGAGACGACCCCACGCTAACCTGTCCTGCAGTTGTATGCTTTAAGCAGATATAATTATCCTTATCCCTAATGGAAGACATATCCATTAATGCGAAATGGGCGAACCGGGCTCTGCGTCCTTTAACTTCTATCTCTCGCCGACTCGAAAAGCACCAAGCCAAACTTTCCGCCGCAGCCGAATCGAAACACAAAGGAGCGGCAGAACGCAACGATGCACCGACGTGTACCTCTATACATCAGGAATCAAGGGCAGAGAAATCTTTAGAGTCGGATGCTGAGCCCGAGGGGAACGATCCGGCTTGGATTCCGGGGACAACACTCGAGCGACGCCGCGCTAGACTCAAGTACTCCTCTCGCTCGGAGAACAACGCGGGGACAAGGCGCAAAAGACTATCGATACACAGCCCCGAAGCGCCGCGAACTCTACCTGGTGCGATTGAGGTTGCAACGCCGATGATCACAGGAAAGCGATGGGAGATGCCTTCGAGTGCGCAATCACATCGAGCAACTGGACCGGCGAACACCAACACCCAACCGCCTCCATCGCCGGTATTTCGCGGACGGAACCCGCGATACAAAAGCCCTTGGCAGGAGCTTCTCGAGCAAGCTGGCGACGAAGGCCTTGCACATATTGCCCACAATCTGGATCGCGTCTTTCAGAACTTCCTTTTGACAACCCAGAAAGTCAGACGCGAGGTGAATCCCATCAACCAGGAGACAAGACGAGGTGCGCGATCTCTGATGTCAATGGTGATGCGACGTTTGCCCGATTTTATCGCGAAGGAACAAGAAGCACAGCATGATCTAGACGAGGACGGCGACGAAGATATGTGTGATGCATACTTTACAGAATTGGAAGCATACTATGCGCCTCATGGCACAGGGTGGGAGCCGCTTCGTGAGGCTGTTCGTGCTCAAGGTGTCAATTTGGTTGCTCGCATGATCAAGCATAATTGGATCACAGACACAATTGCCTGCGCCCTGATTGAGAAAAGTCGCTCTATTGCACCAGACGAAAGTGATTCACTTCTATCTACTCTCTTTTCTACTCGACAATATTATCCATATCCCCAAGCCCTGAAGCCTGCAGCTAGTTCTGATGCACCCGGCGACCCTATTCTGTTGTTGCGCAAATACGCTCACCATGGGGTTGCCAGTCGCTCCTATATCTTTGATGAACTTGCGAAGCTGCTATCGCGGGGTGTACTTCCTCCAGAATGGATGGGAACCAAACCATGGACGATGTGGATGACTCGAGCGACCATATCCTTCTCGAGAGATGATACGGACTGCCCTGCCGCATCAAGGCTGATCGAGGCTGTGATTCTATCGGCTAGCAATGTGCCCATTACTGCCGTTGGATGTTCTTCTTGGAGCTCAAAACAAAAACGACTGCCGAAAGGAAAGGCCGTACGTGTGCGTCCAACCCGGGCCGCGTCCACTGCAAAATTGGAAGATGCAGATATTGTTCGACTTTGTCCGGCGCAAGTGGCAGATGCGCTCAGCAACCATGTCATCAGTCTAATTGCAGCCTTGTGTGGCATCCATATCTCACGATCTCGCGATTGCAATGGCATTCAATCTATGAATGGGCCTAAGGCGAGCCGTATCATCGGCTACCTTCACTTTGCTTTACAACAAGATGACAAATTGAGGGCCTCGATTCGGCAAAATGATCTAACTTCACACCAATTATTACGTCGCGGCTGTATTCTGCTGGCTACTAGCCTTGTACAGTGCAATGATGCAATCATCAAGCAAGAACATACTACGTATGCATCATTATCAAGCATTGATAGCTGTGCGAGCGCGATAACTCCGCGCCCAGATATGATCAAAGAGTTGGCGTTACTTGTGCAACAGGCATTCCGCTGCTTACGGACAGATTCGGGAAATGAACCACAACGTATCAGCAAAGACATACGCCGCATGGTCTCCGAGCTTGCATCTGTAGCTGAAACTCCTGCTGTGTGTACATTCCTGGGGCAAGTTGCTACAGAAGCTGCCATGAGCTTTGCCGAAGCGACAGCAGATCCAGATGACCACGTGTGGGCGGTCGAGGTACAAGAGACTGTCGCATCAAGCCAAGATCAGGAAGAGAGGGGTCGGGAGACTTCGGAGGAACCTGCAAACTCCAGCCAAAGGAACGGCTTGTTCCGCTGGGAAGAAAGCATAGGGGAGTGGGTGGAATCCACGCCGGCGATGAAGAAAACACTTCACATAGCGTCAAAAGGCCGGACACCCCGCATGCTATCGAGTCCTGTCCCTGTTATACCTTGCTCGACCGATTGCAGTTCCACTGAATCCGATGATTCTCCAGCCTCCAGTGTAACCTCGTCTCCTCCTCCAGTACTCAACAAGCGAGCATTCGAAGACACCGATGCCTCGCTTGCACAACCCAACAAGCGAAGAAGACCCACTCCGGTGGTTGTGGTTGAGAATGAAGCAGTCAGCCTAAAACGAGCAAGCCCTGCAACAGCCACCCCGAATCCAAGGGTGGAATCGGCCACTCGCCGAGAAATCCTGCGGGAGCGCAGCGCTAACCTGACCAGACGGATAGTCCCCACTACGAGACAGGTGCCCAAGGTGGTAATTATCAATTCTCATGGACATCGCCCGAGCCAGCGCCCCGTGCAGCGCAGCCCAGAGCGTGGAGAAATGCAGATTCATCGAACAGTCGAGAGAAGAAGATCTGCATACCCTTCCGTTACAATTCCCAGCAACGTCAGACGACGGTCCTCGCAACAAGCAGTCATCCCCTGCTCCCAAGACAGTGACAGTGACGATGAACTTAGCTTTCTTTGAGCGGGGTCGCCTGGCCCTTCTTGGTCGGTCCTAGGTGGGCCCCATGTCAATTTACGTGCCCGGGCAGAGATGTCGGAATATCCTCCAAAGTGCGTTGGTTCCATGGTTCCGTGGTCTATCATATTTAGCACCGCGAACGGATCTCTCGATCTCGAAATTGGACCTCGAGCTTGTCCACATGGCCGAGTTTGACCGAATATGAACAAGATCTTGGTTTGTTCTATTCAAGGATCCGCACAGTGGATTTGGAGATATATGGTCCACCATTTTTGTTCTTCCCCCCCTTTCTGGCGGCACCGGTGTTTTGGCCTTTTTTTTTTGTTTTGATACCCATGGCCTTGGATTGGTGTTTTCCGTTTTCCGTTTTCGTCTTTTTCTTTTCCGTTGAGTACTTTGACCAATGTCTGTATTTCCTGCTGTTCTCGGCCTCGTTCTAGCCATGTTGAGACGCACGTTCCCGTGCATACTATGGACTCGACCGCCCAAATGGATACAAAAATTAAACTATTGGACGGATATTGTTCCTATTTTGTAGATGTGGTGATAACTCACTCTATTTGGCACATCAGATAAGACCCGTGGGCATGTCTATGTATAGAAAAGAGACAGAAGTCCGTTGCCTTCGGGCAAGTGTTTGATATATCACAGTGAGGATGATTTTTGATTTTTCTCGCGTTTCAGATGTCAAGCCACTTTGACAGCTCGAAACGATCGATGCCGAGGTGGGAGCCCTGGAGCGGACTAATTCCAAGATTGTTCCGCCTGTAGAAACAAATTTTTACAAGCGCATCTCCAAAGGAATATGGACGGGAGATTAAGGTCTGATATAAATGAAATCCCCGAGCGCCAAGAATCTACCCCCCTTGAGGATGGAGAAGCCGAATTATATTGTGGCTTGAAGGCAATCACTGAGTTATTCCAAGGTTCTCTTGAAATCAGTGTTGATCCGATGTTCTCAGCGATTTGACGTGGGCGCTAAAGGGCAATAGGAAGGACAACCAGTGGCCGACAGCTCACAGCCGAGTGTCACAACTTACTCCGCAGCCTCCTGTTCCCCACTGCGCCCATCGCAGATTGGCTCGTCGATGCAGCAAGGACCTTTTCTCAAACAACCAGTTGAGAGCCAAGCCTTGGGGCGGATCTCCCACCTTGGCGTCTGTTGATTTTTCCTCAAACTCTCGACTTGGGTGTTTCAGAATGGGCCAGTCACAATTCCCATCGGTCTCCCCGCCACTCTATGGACGAGTCGGCATCGACCTGTCGTATGTCGCATGCTCATCTTCTGTCAAAGTTCCTTGAGGTTATCTGTAATCCGGCCCTCTCATTCGATGGATGAACTGGCGAGATCGTCGTGCACAATGGTCATCCCTAGACCCGAGATGTGGCCCCGGCGCCAAACCCCCTGAGATGCTCCGTCTGCAGTTCCGAAGGCAAATGGGTCAATCCGATCGGTTACATTATGACATATGGGCCGTGGAGGTCCAGCCTTGCTTGGTTTTTACATATTGGGTGGCCCTGGCACTGTCTCATAGTCTCTCCACTAGACTGGACACAAGGGGAAACAGTCCTTTCTTCGGCACTTTTTCTATCCTTCTATTGATTTTCTTTCTTTGTGCTTTGTTCAATATTCTACCTTCACAATCATTATTGTCTCATTCATTTTGCCTTTCTTTTTGAGACAATCTTCATTGTGTCAGGTTGGACAAGTTTCCATCTTTAGCCCTTTTTTTTTTGCTGTGACTGGATCACCAGCATTCCTTTCGTTGCCCGTCAACAACAGACTTTAGCAAGCATCCTCGCTGTTTTGTGGCATATTCCGCTCTTTCGCGAGCCCAATTGAACCACCAAACTTTCGATATTCGACAAATTTCATGCTGTTTCTAGGATCTCTATGCTCTTGATCTAGGCAGGCCCTGTATCCAACACCAGCCACTCGACGGCATATACTCACCAACTGGATCCCTTCGACCCCTTGCTTCCTGCTTCCATATTGCTTCTAACAACTTGAGGTTGTTTTCTGTGTCACTCCAGCGATTCTTCAGAGCCACCTGTGGCTTTGGTCCTGATATCAACTAGTGTGACCTCTCCATTCACTCCTTTTCAGCGAGCTGGTCTCGCCAAACACGCCAACGACTAAAACTTTGACGCGAACCGTCATTAGTGGGGCATCATGAACTCCTTCTTCTTGGCCATGTCCCTAGCTGGACTAACCAGCGCCTCGGACATCGAATATACTATTGCAAAGCGATCTGGTGGCTCCTCATGGTACTTCTACGAAGCTGTCAATGATGACCTGGCACGCTATTCAATCCTGGCACTGGGCTGTGCCGCCGCTGCCTATTACATCTGGCAGCTCTCCTTTCGTTTTTCGCGTCACCTCCGACGCCTTGCTAGCTTCACCGATGACCGACAGCGATACTTCGTATCGACACATGATACTTTCGCGTGGATCAAGGAGCATATCATCTATGCTGCGCTGTTCCGCACCAGACACAACCAGGAGCTACAGCTCTCATCAGCTATCAACATGGGTACTCTGCCCAGCCGCTTCCATGCATTCCTTGTAACTGGTGTTGTCGCCATGAACGTTGCTCTGTGCTGTGTTACCACCCCATATGGCAACGAGGAAGATACATTGGCCGGTATTGTGCGCAACCGCACTGGTACCATGGCGACTGTCAACCTTATCCCCCTGGTCATCATGGCTGGCCGTAACAACCCTCTCATCGCTATGCTCCATGTTCCTTTCGATACTTGGAACTTGCTTCACCGATGGCTGGGACGCATTGTAGTCCTCGAGAGTCTTGCACATGTGCTCGCGTGGGCTATTCCTAAGGGCCAAGAGAAGGGCTGGGCCATCGTCGGCAAGGCTATGTTCGGAAGCAGCTTCCTGTTGACAGGATTTGTGGCTGCTGTTGCTTTCGTCGCATTGTTGCTCCACTCGCCCTCGCCTGTTCGTCATGCCTTCTATGAAACCTTCCTGCACCTTCACATTGCCATTGCAGCAGTCTCTATGGGTTTCCTTTGGGTTCATCTCAACGGACTTGCTGCGCAGACTTACCTGCTTGCATCCATCATTCTGTGGGCTCTCGAGCGCGCCACCCGCTTCCTGATCATCGTGTACCGCAACTGTGGCCGTGAGTCCACCACCGCATTCATCGAAGCCATGCCCGGTGACGCCATGCGTATTACTCTGCGCATGGCCCGCCCCTGGACTTTCCGTCCCGGTCAACACATCTACCTATACGTTCCTGCCGTTGGATGGTTGACCTCGCACCCATTCTCCGTCGGCTGGAGCGAAATGGAAGATAACGTTTCAGACGAGAAGTCTCTCCCCCTCACCAGCCAGGACCTTCTCAACGCACCGCAGAAGGAAACCATCTCCCTCCTAGTCCGTCGCCGCACCGGTATGACCGACAAGCTCTTCCAGCGTGCCGTGAACGCCCCCGACTCCAAGATCACTCTCCGCGCTTTCGCAGAGGGTCCATACGGAAACATCCACACCATGGACTCGTACGGTACCGTGATGCTCTTCGCCGGTGGTGTCGGTATCACCCACCACGTCCCCTTCGTCCGCCATCTGGTTGACGGATTCGCGAACGGCACCGTCGCTGCTCGGCGTGTTACCCTCGTGTGGATCATTCAATCCCCGGAACACCTGGAGTGGATCCGGCCCTGGATGACCAGCATCTTGGCCATGGATCGTCGTCGTGAAGTCCTTCGCATCATGCTCTTCGTCACACGGCCCCGCAACACCAAGGAGATTCAGAGCCCATCAGCCACTGTGCAGATGTTCCCTGGTCGTCCGAACATCGATACGCTCATTGGCATGGAGGTCGAGAACCAGATTGGCGCTATGGGCGTGTTGGTCTGCGGCAACGGTGGCTTGAGTGATGACGTGCGCCGTGTCTGCCGCAAGAGGCAGGCTCGCTCCAACGTTGACTATGTGGAAGAGAGTTTCTCTTGGTAAACAACGGTAGATTGTGCTGTTTTATCGATGTGGCAGTCTACCTTGTTCTTTGGAACTCGAATGTGCTTGGTTTGAGGGGTCGCTGTCTTCATTTGTTCCTTCTTGGACATTATATTCATGATCTCACATCTGTTTGATCTTTGTCTCTCTTTTGGTCTGCTCTGATTTGCAGCTGACATTTCTTGTACACACTTGATTTTGTTTTCTTTTCTCTGGCAGCGACGTACTCTGTCATCATGGGTGTCTATAGGTAGTTGTACATATCTTGCTGCAAGATGAATGGCATGAACCCAGTCGTTGAAATAACCATTGTTCCTATTTTACACTATAGTAGGATGCTCGCTCACCTGGGCACTGTATGATTAGCTCTACGGAGAGCCCTTAATGCCCAGATGGCAGTCCACTAACCTTGGAAATGCCATTCAGTGGTACTGCCTTAGGCGGTCAGTCGCACAACATTTTAGCTTGTCTACCCCTCAGCTGAAACATAAATTTGAACAATGTGTTGATTCATGATTTGGAGCATGTCCAAGGTTTATTCCTACAAATTTGCTACATCATTTCTGAAATAGTTTGAAACTTTTCACCTGATGCATCTTCAATTTGGGTGAGGAATTCACTCAAAGCATCAGTCAAAAAAAGAGGGATTATGTCAGCATTGGGGGATATATGGCCGTGTAAGGTGAATTTTGTCGCCCTTCGGGGCATTTGGTCAAATGAAAATATACAGAGAAGATTAGCATGGCCCCTGCACTAAGGATGACACGCTCAATCAAAGAGAAGCTACCAATTTTTTTACCAAATTTGGTATGACGTACACGTGACGTTCAATCGGAGGTCACGCGTTCGAAACTAGTCAATCGCTCTTAATTCATTAGTCAGTTTACACACGACACTAATCTTTTTCTAGTCGCCTGAACATTGAATTGAGATCTCAGCAAATTGAAATAAGATACCATAAACATGTTTATACTGAGGTGCTAAAATAGCCAAATTAATTCATACATTGACGTCTTGCTGCTTCGAAGCGCCCATAACCTGAGCATCAGTCTGATACCTCTTGAACTTTCTGGCTGGAATCTTCTTGACGAACATCTCGTCAAGCTCTGCATATGTTCTGGCTGCAGTCTCTGGTTGGTAGAACCACAAATAGACCAGGCACAATGTAGCCAGTCCGCCGAAGATGAAAGAAACCTTCGCACCAAGATTTGCCTGATCCGGATTGAACAGGTACGGCAGTACAAAAGACCACATTGTGTAGAGTGCATTCTGCAATGCCAAACCGATAGCAATGGTCTTGATGCGCAGCCTGGAAGTCGAAACTTCCGCCAGGATAGTATAACCTGCTGAACCGATGGTCATGTTATACCACCAGCAGTAGATGAGGATCAACGCAACAGTGCCCTTGATAGCACCGCCAGAGCTGGGGTTTGTAGTGTCAGACCCAAGCACAGCCAAACCACCTGTCAGCATGAGGATTATAGTGAGAATTCCCAGACCGAAGATCATCAGATTCCGACGACCAAGTCGGTCAATCAGGAAATATGACATGACGTTTCCAACCAGCGACGCAACCTGCTGCGCAATTTGCAGCCGGAAACTCATCTCCGTGCTATACCCAGCTAGCTGGATATAATATGTCGAGTAGCCGGCCACGAAAGCGACACCGGAGAGTGCTTGGATGCTGAGTGGGACAATGGAAATAATCGTGCGACGAAGATTGGAGCGGCGGAAGCATTCCAAGTAGGTGACACCCTCAGTCTCGTGTCGAATCTCGTCGAGAGTGACTTTAATAAGTGCCAGTTTTTTGACACGCTCTTCTTCGCTGTACCCCAACTTTCGAAGACTGTCTAAGGCTTTCGCATCCCGGTTCTTGGACATCAGCCACCATGGAGACTCGGGCATAAAGGCAATCAAAGCAAGTGCAACTGCAGCGTAGCCATATTGGGCTACAAAAACGGCTCGGTAGGCCCATCGGTTTGTATATGTTCCCGTTGTGTTGGTGATGAGAGCGACGACTAGAGGGCCAATGCAATATGCCAGTGCGGTCAAGCAGGTGAGAGTTCCGCGGAGGGCAAGAGGGGAGATCTGGAGAGCAATTGTATCAGAATTCCATGTCGGGAGAAACTAGAGACTAGGAAGGGCACATACCTCTCCAACGTAGGTGATGGGAACAGAAGCTAAAGCGCCGAGAGCAAATCCATTGAGGAACTTTCCCCCAAAGAACATTTCATTCGTCGTCGCAACAAACTCCAAGGTGACAGCAGCAACGGTGATCAAGAGTGAAATACCCATGGTCAGTTTGCGCCCAATGCTATCGGCGATCTGACCGGAACACAGAGCACCAACGACCGCCGATGCCACGGGTCCACCACTAAAGGCAGACTGCCACTTTGCCTCGAGTACCCAGCTCCCCTCATAGAAGTGGCCAAAATCTTTGCGGAACTCGGGTATACCGGTCACATTTCCGGAAGCTTGGTTCTCAAAGCTCACGAGGAGAACGCACCATACGGCATATATGCACCATAAAAAGATCCATGGGTATCTCTTCATGCTTTGCCATTTGGTCAGCTCATGATCATCTTGATCGGCGATATGACCAAGCTGTGTGTCGTCGACATGTTCGACTAGGTCGGTGCTGGGTTTCTCTGTCATGATTCAGGCTAGCCAGAGGCTGAAGCGCAAAGACAATTGTTTATATAGAAAGATTTCCCGGAAAGTGGGGAGCATATGGACAAGGTCAACAGCGGGGATAGTCAGGATAAATATAAACAGTTTGTCTTCTCAACAGTCTAGGTTGTCATTACCCCGAGATGCGAGTCTGCAAGAAAGGGAGCTTCGAAGAGTCTGACCAGGCGGTTAATACGCCTGCATCGGGGACACTATGCAACAACCTGGAATTGCGGGAAAGAGAGAAACATGGCATGATCGTCCAGGCAAAAGATGCCGAGTTGCAAGGGGGAAAAATGGGGGGAAAAAGCCAAAGTCAATGTGCCGGACTATAAACGGGAACGCGGGGAACGCCACAAATACGTACTGTACCCCGGATTCCGGCGCCTGACTCGATCTCATCGGCCCATTTAGTCTTTTACGCTTATTTGGCCCTCTTCCTTGGTTTTGGCACCTCTCTTGGCCCGAAGTTCTGCCGCTGGAATGGCAATCTGTACCACTGGGCTTGAGTGAAAATTCCTGTGGCGTTCCGAGACAAAGAAACATAATTGCCAAGGCAATACGGAGTATTGACTAACATTAGTTATGTTTGAAGACTTTACTTCAGACTTTGGTGAGAATAACGGTAGAAGAAGACTAGTTGTGGTTTATGGGTTAGGGTTACGTGCTTCCAAGGTTCCAGCGAAAATGGCCGACAGTTAACTAGCTGGTAAGTTCGTCGAGAACCACTCTCTCTTTTTTCGTCCCAAGGCGAGTGGCTCTAATATTACGGTTTATACTAATCACACTACGGCTATCGTATATTTTCTTACTTGATGTACACGGGTACAAGGCTCGTTTGGGTAGATCTATCTAGTCTTGCTGGGATTTTTGATGTAGTATTGCCCTAAGGCCTTTAGCCCTCGGGACTTAGCTAGCCAATATTGTCGAACAACAATGGTGATTCTCCACTATGTAATACATAGTTTTATTGCTGTCAAAGCATGAAGTCTATGCCTTTATCATCTCATGATCTACACAAGATGCCCAGGTGGCTTCCATTCATGGTTGCCATGGCTGCTTCTATAGCCGCAAACAAATAGAGCCTTGGAAAATTCTGGAAATCTACTCCGTAACCATTTAGAATGTTGACTTGAAGTTTTAGTTACGGCTCCCAGGTTTGCATTTGTATTTTGATAAAATTTGACAAGTGTCTCTTAATTTATCACAGCTTGTAAGTTTTAGCACTGACAGACACAGCCAGCTTGCTCACAATATCTTGGACGGACCGTCCAATAGATACTTCATAAGCGCCTTCCTCCAGCTCCCACCTCTCAGTGTTCTCGCTGAAGTGTGCAAGCTGGCGGGTTTTGAAATTGACGGAAACAGTCTTGCTCTCGCTTGGTTTGAGCCACACCTTTGAGAATCCCACTAGTTCCTTGACAGGGTTCTCACTAGATGCCAACTTGGCCCCAGCATAGACTTGAACAACGTCTGCGCCAGCACATGAGCCGGTGTTAGTCACTTGGATTGCAACTTCAATGTTTTCAGAGCTGTCGGAGACGGAGATGCTCGGGTTGGTATGATCGAAAGAAGTATAAGAGAGGCCATATCCGAATGGGAAAAGCACCTGTGAGCGATGTTTCTCAGACCGGTCGTAATGCCTGTAGCCCACGAAGATGCCTTCTTCGTACGTGACATTGAGCTGGTCATCAACGTATTCACCTGGGAAATTGCCATGAGCAGGAGCATCCTCGATTCTACGAGGGAAAGAGACCGGCAGACGACCAGAGGGGTTCACAGCGCCTGTCAAGACATCTGCAATTGCATTGCCGGCTTCCTGGCCGGGAAACCAGGCCTGAACAACTGCCTTGACGTTGTCGAGCCAAGGCATGCTGACAGCCACACCAGTGCAGTTGACAACGACAGTTTCGCTGTTCGCAGAACTGACGGCGGCCACCAGACGATCCTGCGAGCCATTGCTCGGAAGATTGAAGCTGGCTTGATCCTGCCCTTCGGTCTCCCAATCTGGAGTGTGACCAGTGAAAACGATTGCCAAATCCGAACGCTTAGCGACTTCGACGGCCTCTGAGAGTAGATCCCTATTGTGTTCTTCCTCGGTCATGAAGCCAGCGCGGAACCCAATAAGTCCATCGAGAAGAGAAAGACCGCCACTCTTGGACGGCTTGAGAGTTATGACTTCCATAGTATAGGTTTGGCCTGTTTCAAACTCCCATATGACTTCAGGCTCTTTGACTCCTCCCAGGAGGAATGCCATCGAGTCAGGGCAATTAGATTTCTGCTCATACACTGTCTGACCATTGATGAGAATTTGGGAACGTCCCAGTCCTGACATGCCAAGATAGTGACGACCGCTCTGTGTGGGTGTGAATCGAGCAGTTGCCTTGAGGCTACCCCAAGCTTCTTTGACAAAGAGAGGCATATAAGTGGGGACGTCGGAGTGCTGGGAAGAAGAGGGTTCTCCAGTTGCATCCTCATTCATGAAAAAGTCCAGAGTCCATCCAGGCTGACCGTCTCGGTCAACAACCATTTCACTCATCAAAGGCAATTGACGGAAGGTATGGGCGCCTTGTGCGTATTCAAACTCAACTTCTTCGCCAAGCGCAGCACGGAGACCTTCTTCGGGGGTCACGCGGTAGTGAGCATTGACAGACGCACTGCCTCCGCCATGGGCCAAGCCTTGCTTAGCGAAACCTAGCAGAGCAACCCTCTTCTTTGAAAGCTGCTCCCTCTTCAGAGGAAGAATGCCACCCGCGTTCTTAAGCAGCACTAATCCTTGACCACCAACAGAGCGAATGAGTCGTTGGTGCTCTGGTTTGTTGATAGATCTTTCTTCCGGAATAGACGGATCCTCGAAGCATCGTAGCTTCGCCAGGAACTCAAGCACATTGCGGGCGCGAGCATCGATTGTTGCCTCGGAGACCTTTCCAGCCTTGATATCCTCAACGACTGCGTCTATAGTTCGCCATTTGGTGGGACCGGGCATTTCAAGGTCAAGTCCCGCCTCCAGAGAGCCGGCAGTCGAATTCGTGCCACCCCAGTCACTCATAACAAGGCCTTTCCATCCCCACTGGTCACGAAGAACGTTCTTTAGCAGATAAGTGCTTGAGTCAGCGTGATCTCCGTTGAGAATATTGTAAGAAGTCATGACTGCCATGGGATTGGCTTCTTTGATGGCAATCTCAAAAGGTTTGAGATAGATTTCGCGAAGAGCTCGCTCGGCAATGTGAGCATTGACCGTGAAACGGCAAGTTTCTTGTTCATTCGCGGCGAAATGCTTGATTGTTGCAGCCACGCCCTTCTCCTGTAGGCCATTGATATACTGTGCAGCCATTTTACCGGCTAGCAGAGGGTCTTCGGAGAAAGACTCGAAGTTGCGACCACCGAGAGGATGACGGTGGGGGCAGACCGTCGGGGCCAAGCTGGATCAATTGTCAGTATGTAGATCTAGGGATGACTCGACATCTGGGAATTCTCACAGCGCTCTTGCACCCTTTGATTGGGTTTCCTCCGCCAATGCATTTCCGATCTCTTTTGCTGCTTCCAGGTCCCAGGTGGACGCTAGTAAGCAAGAAGCTGGGAAACAAGCGGCGGTCGGTCCATTCTTGAAAGTTGCACCTCGAGCACCATTTGGTCCATCAGACACCTTTATAGGTCAGTATACTAGATCATAACTTCAAGATTTATGAAAGCCTCGGCGTACCTTCACTGAGGGAACACCCTTTTCAGGAACGTCAACAGTTTCCCAAAAGTTTTTCCCTGCCAGCAGGGATATTTTTTCTTGCAACGTCAATTGACCAAGAATCACGTCAATGTTAGGCGCAGCGTGGGAACCCATAGTGAGAAAATGTTTGATGAAGGGAAAATCACCATGCAAGGCTGGAGTTATAAAGTCTCACTTCCTTGACACGAGATCATCGTACCGCAATTCTCCACTGGAGTGGATATGGGGCGGGCATGCTCGGCACCATTTACCAAAGGCTCAATGATCAGAGGAGTCGTCATCTGTGTCTCGGCCTGCAGCGTCGGGGAGCGGTGGGGTAAGGCTGAAGTCCCGAAGTAAACCCGGAGGCGACCGGCTAAACCTCGGGCCATGACGCTTATTGCTGCCGGATACAACACATCATGTGAATCTAGATGTCGCGGGGTATTGGAGGGTCTTGGGGGGTCTTGGGACTTCAAATGTGAATGCGATTCTAGGATTTTCTCGGTTTCGGTGGATTTCATCCCGAGCCTGCTCCACCCCTCATTGCTCGTACACATGTACGAGCTAGGAGTATGTCTTTCAGGATCTCCAACTTCCTCAACCTCTTTCTACTCTCTAAAACACGATGGCGCTCACGCAGCCGAAGATAGATTCACTGTCTTTTGAGCAACATTCAACTGGATTTGGAATCGGGATATCCAGTCCTCGCATTTCGTGGACGTTCGCGACTGACGAGAACACACGCGACTGGGAACAAACGGAATATGACATTGAGATAGCCCACGATAAATCTTTCAAATCAGAGTCTTATCATGTCATCAGCTCTGACTCGGTTCTTGTGCCTTGGCCGAGTCATCCATTGGAATCCCGCGGGATAGCCCATGTCCGAGTTCGCTCGTATGGCGGGTTGGTACCAGCGTCGACTGAATGGTCTCGCTGGATGACTGTTGAATGCGGCTTGCTAGACAAGCAAGACTGGACAGCGCGAGCCATAACTGGCGAGGCGAAACAGCCCGAAGGCCCTTTGCGGCCAATCCGCTTTCGAAAGACCTTTTCACTCCCTCATGGTCCAATGCAACGAGCTCGCCTTTACATCACCAGCCTGGGCGTTTTTCAGGCTTACATCAACGGTGCCCCAGTGGGAGACCATTTCATGGCCCCTGGCTGGACGAGTTACCACCATCGCTTGAATTACGAGGTTTTTGATGTCTCGTCTCTTTTGCGCCAGGGAGAGTCAAACACGATCGCAGTCGAGGTCGCCGAAGGTTGGTATGCAACTCGGCTTGGATTTCTCGGAGGTCGTCGATATCTATATGGCGATGAGATGGCTCTGATAGCCCAGCTCGAAGTCGAATCCGCAACGGGTATTGAGCTTGTCGCCGCATCGGATTCAACCTGGAAAAGTCACCAATCTGCGATTATCAGCAGTGAGATATATGACGGAGAGATCTACAATGCGTTAGAAGAGCAGGCTGGATGGAATAGACATACATTTGCCTTGGAGTCATCCTGGACTTCAGTTCGGGAGATCGAATTCCCCAAAGCAGAGCTCGTGGCACCAAATGCTCCTCCAGTGAGGGTGACAGAGACTATCAAGCCAATTCAGATCATTACCACACCTTCTCAAAAGAAGATAGTTGATTTTGGCCAGAATCTAGTCGGGCGAGTCCGCATTCCAAGTCTGAATATTGGGAGCGGCGATACCATCGTTCTGACCCACGCCGAAGTTTTAGAAGATCAGGAGCTGGGAACCCGTCCACTGCGTGTGGCAAAGTGCACTGATAAGGTCACATCTGCAGGCGAAGAGATGGACTGGGCTCCTCAATTCTCATTCCATGGTTTTCGATATGTACAAGTCGAACACTGGGATCCAACTCTGGATAACATTGTTGCAGAGGTCATGCACACAGATCTCAATCGCACTGGCTGGTTCAACTGCTCCCACCCCATGATCAATCAGCTTCATAAAAACGCTACATGGTCTATGCGAGGCAACTTCTTGTCCATTCCCACCGACTGTCCTCAAAGAGATGAGCGACTTGGTTGGACTGGGGATATTCAAGTTTTTGCACCTTCCGCTAGCTTTTTATACAACACATCCGGCATGCTGGGCGACTGGCTCAAGGACCTTGCCCTGGAGCAGCTCGAAAACGCCAATGCGATCCCTCCTTTCGTCGTCCCCAGTGTGATCTCTGAAGAACTTTGGCCCATCTTCCCCCAAGCAATCTGGGACGATGTCACCATCCTCCTTCCGTGGACTTTATACCAAAATTATGGAGACCTTGACATTCTTCGAAGACAATATCCCAGCATGACAGGCTGGCTGGATCGAGGAGTACAACGCGGCCCGGACCGTCTGTGGGATGATAGTCTTTTCCAGCTTGGAGACTGGCTCGACCCTACCGCACCGCCGGATCAACCGGGCAATGCACGGACAGACGGAACACTCGTGGCCGACGCATACCTAGTGCACGTCACAAAAGTACTGGGAGAGATTAGCGCACTTATTGGGGAGTCAACGGACGCTGCTCGATACAATTCTGAGTATCGTAAACTGAAACTCCGATTTCAAGAGAAATATGTCTCTCCAGAAGGCTGGCTCGTTGGCGACACACAGACCGCGCTAGCGCTTGTGCTGGTATTTGACCTTCTCGATAATCCAAACCAGGTAGTGGCAGCAGGTACACGCCTAGCACGATCAGTGCGAAAATCCAAGTTCCAGGTTTCAACAGGTTTCGCTGGTACACCACTGATCACTCATGCACTCACGAAAACCGGGTATCCGCAATTGGCATATCGTATGCTTCAAGAAAAGAATTGCCCATCGTGGGTGTACCCGATCACGATGGGAGCCACGACCATCTGGGAACGCTGGGATAGCATGCTCCCGGATGGGTCAATCAACCCAGGAGAAATGACCAGCTTCAACCACTATGCTTTGGGTTCAATTATCAACTGGTTGCACAAGACTGTTGCTGGTGTGAGTCCACTGGAGCCTGGGTGGCGACACATTCTTGTGCAGCCTATGCCTGGGGGCACAGTCACGTCGGCAGAGGCCATTTATGAGACCTCGTATGGGCGTCTCGAGTGTAGATGGGAGGTGAAGGATGGAAGTGCTTTCCATCTTGAGATGATCATACCGCCGAATTCGAAGGCTCGTGTCATCCTACCGAGTCAGTCTGGAGAAGAGGATGGTCAGTGGATTGGATCGGGAAAGTATGAGTTTACAACGACATTCCAAAGCCAGGCTGATTGGCCTCCGAAGGCACTTTTGCCCCCTATGTTTGAGTCCGAGGACAGCTTTGTTTAAGAGATAGATTCTAGCGTTGTTAGAATTTTGGAGCCTTGGAGGCTTGTGTCTATCTAGCGTTGGAACTTCCGACGTTGACAGGTTGTTTGTGCTGGTCCCCACTCAATCACGCCTTGGGGATTATACTAGATGGAAACGAACCAAGTGTCGGTTTTTTGAAGCTTCTGCATACATGGGTGTTCTTTTTAAAGAATTTTATCCGCGTATAGAAGTGGGTTGGCGGGCGTGAGTCCATTTTTGGACTAGATCCCCTGTTTTGGTTTTAATATGGGTCCTTTCTATACGCGTATCCGCACCGATCTATCAAAAATGCAAATTCTATATTCAGAACTGTGATGCCCATACCTTATAAAATTGCTTCGTCTCGTCCTTTGGATAACGGTAGACACAGCTTTGCTTCTTTTCTGCAGATACGGACACAAAAAGTCATCTCACAATGCACGAACTCGCATCTCGAGGCTATACATTTTGGAACTATGCTCCATCAATACCTGCAGCAGTCATTTTTATGCTGATATTTATTGTGATGACCGGCCTTCATTCTTGGAAGCTTTTTAGCACAAGAACTTGGTTTTGCATATCATTCACCCTTGGCGGCTTTTGTATGTGAACTCTTCTATGCAATGACACTTCCTCCTCACTTGAAGAACATACACTTACTTGAAGGATTTGCTAGTTGAGATCATCGGATATATCGGTCGATGCGTTGCGCATAACAAGACCACAGCGATGGGGCCATATATAGTCGCCAATATGTTCGTCCTCCTCGGCCCTACCTTGTTCGCTGCGTCTATCTACATGACCCTCGGGCGTCTCATTCGCCGAGTTGACGGAGAGCACCTTTCACCGATTCGTGTGTCGCGTCTCACAAAAACCTTCGTCTGGGGCGACGTATTATCCTTCATTGTCCAGGGCAATTCCTCTTCTCTTTCCGTTCTGGGCTATGCCACGTGGGGAAAGGTGTGTGTGGTTGCCGGATTGGCGATTCAACTGGTGTCATTTTCCCTTTTCTGGGTAACTGCCATTGTGTTCGCGAGACGGCTTCGTCGTGCGCCGACCGCACAGTGTCTGAAGCCGGGCATTCCCTGGAAACGATCATTGCACATGCTCTATTCTGTCAGTGCTCTGATTTTGATCCGTTCTATCTTCCGGATCGTTGAATATGTCATGGACAACGACGGATATCCCCTGAAGCACGAATGGACAATGTATGTCTTTGACAGTGTGCCGATGGCTGCTGTCATGGTGATCTTCTTCATTTGGTATCCTAACCAGATGAGTCTCGATGCACGCGAGGACCCCGAGAGAAGCATACCTTTGGCACATAGCTATTCCGGGGTCCAAGGCTGAGCATAGTATGTTTCTTGTTGAATGCTGCTTCTGTTTCGAAGGCAAGCTTGGTGTTTTGATTTTTCATGATTATTGTCCATGTATAGATGGAGTTAGACCTTACTTGTGAACTTGGAATGTATTCGTCCATTTGCTCAGGTGTGCTTCACACCATAAGATTCGCAATATTATGCGTCAATGGCTTGATTATTCAACCATCCGTCTCGGGGTAACCTCTCGTTGTCCGAGCTCGCGGAACATTCGATGAGCTTATAAATCCACGAAGTGGGGGTCCGGGGAGCTCCCGCATCTTCTTGCACTTAAATCACATCATCACCCGGCAGTGATCTTTCAACAGACTATTCTTTCTATTGATTCTTTCTCAAGTTTACTAGCATTCAGTCAATATGAGCCAACCCGACATCACTCTCTACACCACTCAGACCCCAAATGGGATCAAGATCTCCATTGCACTGGAGGAGCTTGGGTATGTCGGCTTTCGAGCTCCACCTATGGAATGTGAAGATTAACAAGCCGGCAGACTACCCTACAAGGTCGAGAAAATCGATATCTCGAAGAATACTCAAAAGGAAGAGTACGTGATCCGGCGATTACACGTCATCGTACTCATACAGAGTTGCTAACCGCTGTTACAGCTGGTTCCTCAAGATTAACCCCAACGGCCGCATTCCCGCATTGACGGACACATTCAGTGATGGCCAGCAAATTCGACTGTTCGAATCCGGCAGTATTCTGGAATACTTGGCAGAGCAATATGATACGGACCACAAGATCTCTTTCCCCAGAGGCACGCGGGAATACTACGAGATGAAGTCTTGGCTGTACTTCCAGAATGCAGGCCTGGGACCCATGCAAGGCCAAGCCAATCACTTCTCGCGGTACGCGCCCGAGCGCATTGAATATGGTGTGAACCGATATGTCAACGAGTCCCGTCGTTTGTACGGCGTGTTGGACAAGCACCTCGCTGAATCCAAATCTGGATATCTTGTGGGCGACCACGTCTCGATCGCTGATATCTCACACTGGGGTTGGGTGGCCGCTGCAGGATGGGCTGGAATCGACATTGAGGAGTTCCCGCACGTCAAGGCTTGGGAAGAGCTGATTGCACAGCGACCCGGAACTGAGAAGGGCCGACATGTCCCTTCCCCTCACACCATCAAGGAGCTGCTGAAGGACAAGGCGGCGACAGACAAGCAGGCTGCGGAAGCTCGTTCGTGGATCCAGCAAGGCATGGCCGCTGACTCCAAGAGCAAGGCCTAGAATAAGCGAACATAAATAAATTAAGGACAAATCATATGACATTCAGATACGGAGTTAAGTGAGATAACAATAATAATGAAACTCTCTCAAACGATCCAGAGCTCACCTCAATCTAAAAAAGCGTGCTCACCGCTTTCGATCTGCCTGACTTAATCACGTGAATGGCCACTTCTTATCCGCCTTTGAAGCTTCTCGCTTTTCTGTCTCAAACCCTGCATCACTGACCAAGCTCACCTATCTTATTTAAGACAGCAGTCATGGCTTGGCGCAATCAAGGAATCACTGGTTCCAACAACATCCCGCTGGGGCGGCGACGCATGGGCGGCGATGATGAGGAGGAAAGCCATGCAGCGACCCCTTCGTCTATGCCTCCGTCCATGGGTCCCGATGGCCCTAAGCGTGGCCGCAGCCCTGCAAGAGGTATTTTCTTTCCACAGGCGCATGTTTCACCGATCACCCAGGCTAATCTTTATTCCTGCACAGCTGAACCCGTCCTCGCTGCCGATGGATCCAAGAGGCGCAAGAAGCGCAACCGTTGGGGTGACCAACAGGAGAACAAGGCTGCTGGCCTCATGGGCTTGCCGACCATGATTATGGCAAACTTCACCAGCGAACAGCTTGAAGCCTATACGCTTCACCTTCGTATTGAGGAGATCAGCCAAAAGCTTCGGATCAACGATGTAGTTCCTGGCGATGGCGATAGGTATGTACTTTTCGTTTCTTCCTCTTCTGGTATACTAACATTATTCGTCGCAGATCTCCCTCTCCCGCGCCCCAATACGACAACTTCGGTCGACGTGTGAACACTCGTGAATACCGTTACCGAAAGCGACTCGAAGATGAGCGTCACAAATTAGTCGAAAAGGCCATCAAGACCATTCCTAACTACAACCCGCCCTCTGACTACAGACGCCCGACCAAGACCCAGGAGAAGGTCTACGTGCCCGTGAATGACTATCCAGAGATTAACTTCAGTATGATAACTAACCCTCTAACTCCTAACCATTCTTCCATTGTGTCTGTCATGAGTCCCTGCTCGACTCGAGTTGACAAGTCATACCTCTTCGGATGTCCTCAGCTCGTTTCTTGCCAAACCTTGGTGCTTAATGCTGCACATGTTCTAAGAAAATACCGGATCACTAACACTTAACTCTTGCTACTTTTTACAGTTGGCTTACTTATAGGACCCCGTGGAAACACTCTCAAGAAGATGGAAACCGAGTCCGGTGCTAAAATCGCCATTCGAGGCAAAGGCTCCGTCAAAGAAGGAAAGGGCCGATCTGATGCCGCCCACGGTAGCAACCAGGAAGAAGATCTCCACTGTCTGATCATGGCCGACACCGAGGAAAAGGTGAACAAGGCCAAGAAGCTTGTTCATAACGTTATTGAAACAGTGAGTTTTGTCCTATAAACCTTGGAAGCCCAAGCAAGAACTTGGTATTGACACAGTTGACTAGGCCGCCTCTATTCCTGAAGGCCAGAACGAGCTTAAGCGCAACCAACTGCGTGAGCTGGCTGCTCTCAACGGTACCCTCCGTGACGACGAAAACCAAGCTTGTCAGAACTGTAAGTGCTCAAACACACCTTTTGCGATGAAACTTTTTCTAATTTTGTCAGGTGGTCAAATCGGACATCGCAAGTATGACTGCCCTGAGCAGCGCAACTTCACCGCCAACATCATCTGTCGCGTTTGTGGCAATGCCGGCCATATGGCCCGCGATTGTCCCGACCGCCAGAGAGGCAGCGACTGGCGCAACGGTCCCGGTCCGGACAGACAAGGCCCTCGTGGTAGCGGTACTGGCGATGCTGTGGACCGTGAGATGCAGGTATGTGTTTCCCCCTTCCATCTACATCTGCCAAACCTCGTACTAACAATTTTCCTAGCAACTCATGAACGAGCTTTCCGGTGGTGGTGCTGCTCCTGGCGAATACGAGCCCCGCCGTATCGAAGCTGGTCCCGGTGGTGCTGATGGTTACCCTGATGACCGTGACGCTAAGCCTTGGCAACAGCGTGGTCCTCCTCCCCAGAGCGACGTGGCTCCCTGGCAACAGCGCCGTGACCCCCGTCCCCGTGATGACTACGGACGTGGCGACTATGGAAACCGCGACGACTATGGCTCTCGCGGTCAAGGTGGTCCCGCCCCTTGGGCCATGCAGAACCAGGGCCGCGACTATGGCTACGGAGCTCAAGGAGGGTACGCTGCTCCTGGAACTGCCCCCGGCGCTGCTCCTGGTGCCGCTCCCTGGCAACAACCGGCTCCTCCTGGTGGACAGCCTGCCTACGGAGGCTACGGTGCATACCCCGCCTACCCCCCCTGGAATGGGCGCTCCTGGTGCTGCGCCTCCTGGCATGGGCGCGCCTCCTCCCCCCTCCTGGCATGGCTCCGTCGTACTATGGAGCTGCTGGCAGTCCTCCCCCTCCTCCTCCCCCTGGTGACGCGCCCCCACCCCCTCCTCCCAGTGACCAGCCTCCTCCCCCCCTCCTCCCCAGTGATAAAGTAATTCTGAAGTGAAACTGTTTATTCGTCTAAAGTCTGCTATTGGGAATTTTCTTCAAAAAAAGCGTCCAATTGACCCCACGATTTGGTCCGAAAAGCTCACGAACCTTGTCCAATGGTTTCTTAAAACAACAGTTGGCGATGTTTTCTCCGGCTTTAATTGCGTATTAATACTTCTAGCCGTCAATCACTTATGTTCTCTGCTACCTTGTTTTCTCGTATTGTATGAATCACGCAGTAATCCCTGATGTGGTAGTTTGGTAGTGAGAGAATGAAGCTTGAAGAGCCCCACAACGCGGTCTTGGCTTTTTCTCCAACTTATTTTCTCCGCAAAATCGAACACCTTGACTCATGCCCTTGCGGCCATCTAATGCTACGTAATCTTGCCTGAACTGCCGAAGCTTGTAACTCTCCCACTGTCTGTGCTGCGCAAGAGAGCCAGCTCCACCCTGTCCCTGTCCAGGATCGACAATGCATTCCGCTCAGCGCAAATCCTCGGGACAGTCGCAGCGGCAGTCATCACTACGCTCAACGCGATCAGCAATAGCTGCCGGCACTTCAATGCGACAATCTGATCTCTCTACTGAACAGCAGGGCGTGGCCCAGCCTCATGATGACAGCCAACGCCATGTGCCGGTGGTGACATCGAAATGGTGGCATGTGCACCTATTTCGTGGCATGGTGAACGACGTGAAACGCAGAGCACCTTACTACTGGAGTGACTGGACTGATGCTTGGGATTATCGCGTCGTGCCTGCGACAATTTATATGTATTTCGCTAAGTATGTTGGCCCCGTTTTAATATCCAAACACAATTTGTTCGACAAGGTTTTTCAGTAGCTCACGGTATTTTGTAGTATCTTGCCTGCTTTGGCGTTCTCCTTGGACATGTTCGAGAAAACCAGCCAGAGCTATGGTGTCAATGAAGTTCTTCTTGCATCCGTTCTCGGCGCTATTGTATTTGCTCTTTTTGCAGCTCAGCCGTTGGTTATCGTGGGCGTTACTGGTAAGTACCTGTGCTGATTCCCCCATGCATGATCGCTGAGTATTAATGTTGATCCTCATAGGCCCAATCACTGTGTTCAACTATACTGTCTATGATATCATTGCTCCTCGAGGGACTCCCTATCTTGCTTTCATGTGCTGGATCGGAATGTAAGTGGTGATATCCATTGATGGCTATGAGGCCCACTGACATGACCTGCAGTTGGTCTCTGATCATGCATTGGGTGTTGGCCATTACCAATGCCTGTAATGGGCTTACCTATGTCACGCGTTTCTCTTGCGACATTTTTGGATTCTACGTTGCTTGCATCTACCTGCAAAAGGGTATCCAAGTCTTGACCAGACAATGGGGCTCTGTAGGAGACACATCTGCCTATTTGAGCATCATGGTGGCACTCCTTGTCTTGATGAGTGCATGGATCTGTGGTGAGTTGGGGAACAGTAATTTCTTCAAGCGTTTCATTCGGAAGTTCCTCGAAGACTATGGGACACCCTTGACAATCATTTTCTTCACCGGATTTGTTCACATCGGTCACATGAGGGATGTTGACGTTGCTACACTTCCTACTAGCAAGGCTTTCTTCCCAACCCTCGACCGTTCCTGGCTGGTTCGCTTCTGGGATATAAGTATTGGAGATATCTTCCTTGCTATACCCTTTGCACTTTTACTCACCATTCTCTTCTATTTCGATCACAATGGTAAGTGCTGGCAAGTGGCACAGGTATCTCGGTGTATGAACTAACACATTGCTTGCAGTATCATCTTTGATCGCCCAAGGAACTGAGTTCCCGCTTCGAAAGCCAGCTGGATTCCATTGGGACATCTGGCTCCTTGGACTGACCACTTTCGTGGCTGGTATCCTGGGAATTCCTTTCCCGAACGGTCTCATTCCCCAGGCTCCATTCCACACGGCTGCACTCTGCGTCACCCGCCAAGTTGCGGACGAGGATGACACCAACAAGGGCAAAGCCATCAGAATCACAGACCATGTAGTTGAGCAGCGTGTTAGCAACTTGACACAAGGTCTCTTGACTCTGGGCACAATGACTGGGCCTCTTCTCATCGTTCTCCACCTGATACCACAGGGCGTGATGGCTGGTCTCTTCTTTGTCATGGGAGTCCAAGCCCTTCAAGGCAACGGCATAACCCAAAAACTGATGTTCCTTGCACAAGACAAGAAATTCACCCCTGCTTCTGATCCTCTGAAGAGAATCGAGCGTCGTACTGCAATCTGGGCTTTTGTCATTCTCGAACTAGTTGGCTTCGGTGCGACTTTCGCTATCACCCAGACTATTGCGGCGATTGGATTCCCCGTCATCATTCTGCTTTTGATTCCTGTGCGCTCGTTCCTTTTGCCAAAATGGTTTACCCGAGAGGAGCTCGCAGCACTGGATGGACCGACCGCCAGTCCATTCACCATGGAAAGCGTTGGTGGTACACATGGAATGGATGATGATGATGAGGCGGTGGCTACTGGGGCTCAGGGAGTCTCACATGGAGGCGAAGGGGTACTAAGAGGCAGAATCTCCACTTCTCCTGAATCTTCAACAGAGGAAAACGACTTGGAGCGAGGTGAGTCGTATGAGCTCCCATCTCGAGCGTCGCACAGGAGGGGCACGACTAGCCAAGTCGACTAGACTATATTGCGCTGGTTATAATTGCGATCAATGACCCTACCAACAAAGACACCTTGGGCCTTCGTTATTTTCTGGTAATATTTGCCTAGTCAAAGAGGGCAAAATCAAACAATCTTATTCAAACCGCTTCTTGTATACGGTGCACGTGACACGATCGCCCCCTTGTATTTCAGGCCGCGATATATTTACCGCCTGTTGGAGATAACTTTTCTGCCATGAAATTATTTTGACCTGATAGACAAGATCGCAAACAAAATGGCGCCCCCAAAACCGACCAAGGCAGAGCCTGAGGACTCTGATGTGTCTGATTCATCCGATATCGAACAGCCTGACACCGAAGACCGCGCCCCCAAGCGCCGTCGTCTCTCGGAGTCCTCAAACGACTCATATGTCGCTCCTGCGCCGCTCCCCACTCTCTCCCGTATTAAGAAGAAGGGCGAGGTAGTAGACGAGCCTGAAGAGGAGGAAGAGGAACCGGTCACAATCGCCGACGCAATTGAGCTTGGTCGAAACAGCGATCACTCCACCTTTTCAACACTAGATGTGGCACCATGGCTCGTCGCTTCATTGTCGACACTGTCGATCAAGCGGCCGACTGCTATTCAGAAAGCGTGTATTCCTGAGATCTTGAAAGGAAAGGACTGTATCGGAGGAAGCCGAACTGGTTCCGGAAAGACTATGGCTTTTGCGGTCCCGATCATGCAGCAATGGTCTATGAATCCTTTCGGCATTTACGCTTTGATCTTGACCCCGACTCGGTATGTCTACTATTCTGTCCTGTCGTGTCTTCGGTCTAGTGGCTAACAACTTATCTTCCAGTGAGCTTGCTCTTCAGATTTACGAACAATTCAGAGCCGTCTCCGCACCCCAAAATATGAAGCCCATCCTGGTTGTCGGAGGCATGGACATGCGCCAACAAGCTATCGACCTTGCCAACCGGCCCCATGTCGTCATCGCAACTCCCGGTCGACTGGCGGATCACATCAAAACGTCTGGCGAAGATACTATTGCCGGTCTCCGCCGTGTCAAGATGGTTGTTCTGGATGAGGCAGATCGGCTCTTGGCCAGTGGGCCAGGAAGCATGCTCCCAGACGTGGAAACATGTCTCGGTTCATTGCCTCCGTCTTCCGAGCGTCAAACCCTGCTGTTCACAGCCACCATGACCCCGGAGGTGCGGGCATTGAAGTCTATGCCCCCAGCAGGCGACAAGCCACCCGCCTACATGACCGAGATCGGCACCGAAAACCAGGGCAAGATCCCGCCAACCCTCAAACAGTCATACTTGAAGGTCCCAATGACGCACCGCGAAGCCTTCCTGCACGCACTTCTCTCGACCGAAGAAAACGTTACAAAACCAGTCATCGTCTTCTGCAACCACACCAAAACATGTGATCTGCTAGAGCGCACCCTCCGTCGTCTCGGTCACCGTATCACCTCCCTCCACAGTATTCTCCCTCAATCCGAGCGCACAGCCAACCTTGCTCGTTTCCGAGCTACTGCTGCCCGCGTCCTAATTGCCACAGACGTTGCCTCGCGTGGTCTTGATATTCCGTCCGTGAGCTTGGTGGTCAACTTCGATGTCCCGCGTAACCCAGATGACTACGTGCACCGTGTTGGTCGTACGGCGCGTGCGGGACGAACTGGTGAGGCTGTCACGCTGGTTGGACAGCGTGATGTTGAGCTGATTCTTGCGATTGAGGAGCGTGTTGGTCGCCAGATGGAGGAGTTCGAACAGGAGGGCGTCAATATCGAGAGTCGTGTTGTTCGTACTGGTGTGCTGAAGGAAGTTGGTTCTGCTAAGCGTGAAGCCATGGGCGAGATTGAGGAGGGTAGGGATATCCTCGGAAGAAAGCGTAACAAGCTGAAGAAGGTCCGGTGAAGAACTATGATTGTATAGATGCTTGATACCTTTTACCAAAATTAATTGATTTAGCGATTACCTACGGAGTGTTGCCCTTGCGTCTGGGTTCATGCATCTACCCAGATACATCACCGTGTAGCACGTGGAGTTGTAGTGCAGTTGTCCCCGCGAGAGCTTGACATTTTCCAAGGGTTGGAAGAGATACCTCAGGCTTCGGTCGCGAGAAGACTGCAAAGTTGTGTACACCTTGAGAGTGCATGTAATTTTGTGAAAGAATTCTTTTCAGATCAATCACATTAGCAGAGTTATGCGGGCATCTACTGAGCATAGACCAAGTGTTTGATAGAGCATTTCCATCAAATTGCAGTTTACATCCTCAAACTTGGAAGCCCAAGAGAATTCCCATCCTCAGTGATTGTTGAACCCATTAAGTGCCAGAATCTGTGTCATACAGGATTGAAGTCAAACAAATCACGCGAGAGCAAATCGACGTATCCACCCTATAATGGCATTGTCACACAGAGACCATTGTCATGCACGATATACTCGACGCGACTGTGTATAAAGTACGCAGTACGCAGTACAGAATAACGCGAAGGACCCCCTTTTTCGCCCGCCAATATGAATTGGCTAGACTGGAGTAAGTTGCCCTTAAGCTAACCCTCGTAGCCCGTATGTGGGGTCTAAACACCGACGCGAAGATGGTTGACGAGATGCAAACCCATACAGCAATTGATTTGGCTAGATTTCACAGAATACAAAAGTCCATTGTATCGTTGAGATTGTTGAACAGTAAAATCGCAATTGACAGAAGAGAAAAGCGAGAAGAGTGAGAGGAAGACCCTACGCGTGCTCAACACGGTGTGGGGCCCAAGTCCGTGCTCTATACAAGCTAGTATCACCACACGCGATCGACGCGCGAGACCGTTTTATTTTCTGACTCCCTTCCTTCTTCATTTCTTGTCTTTCCTATATATTTTTGCCTCGAGGCTTCTGCATAACCCGGAGATTTCGAGTGCTACTACTAAATTTTCTCAATCCCCACCTCCGCAACCTGCACAATGAACTCAACTGCGGTGCAATTCAGTCCGGTCAAGGATGGACGTCGAATCCTCGGCGAGAAGGACACCAACGCGTGTCTATCTCCCGCCCACACCAAACACTCATACCCAGTGGTGGGAACACCCGTGAAGCGGACGATTGCAACGTCACCCCGGAAGCTACTTCCTTCTCCGATATTTGCCGGTCAGAAACGGACAAGAGATCAATTGGATGAGACAGAGGAGAACATAGAGCCTGCAAAGCAGCGCGAAGCTTCTCCGCAGCCCGTTCAAACACCAGAGAACCAGATGAAAGGCCAGGTAAGCTCATGGAAAAGGGAATTGATGGGTGTCGGACAGCTAATCTGACGCGCAATGGTAGCTATATAACACATCCAACGTGATGGACTCACACATTCCCACACCCCAAAATTCACAGCCCGAACGCGACGAGACACAACAAACCGAAACTGAAACCGAAGCCTTCGACGTTCCCCGCACACCAGAGGAAGAGACGCGTAGCGTCCCAGATGACTCTGACGCGCGGAAAGTGTTTATCCAAGAGGTATGCGAAGCAGCACAAGGCTCTCCGCGGGCAGATATCTAACAACTGGAACAGAAAGCAAGCCTCCTCCGCTCAAGGCTACAAAGTGCCATGCGCAATGTGGCAGACCACCAATTCGACCGCCGGGTCTCGGATCTAGACGCACATAGCCGCAAATGCCCCCGACTCTCATTCTCCGTCCTCTCCACACCACCCCTCTCGTCGCGCAAGCAATTCACCACATTCCCTTCCTCGTCATCCCAACTGAAGACGCCACGAATTGGCACTTCCGCGTTCATTTCTACTCCCTTCCACAGCACCCCCGACCTCCCGGGTCGACCATCCCCATTGTCTTCCAGCATTGTGCAGCCTCGTGCGAAGAAGCATTCGCAACGAACACCACCTAGACACCTTGGATCTCCCATGCAGCTCAGCAGCCCGCCGGCTACGGTCGTTCGGCACGAGCAAGAACGACAAACGAGCTTGGGGCCGAGAGCTGAGCTGATGAATAGCGAGATCTCGCCTTCTCAGCGAGGAGACGCGGTCGACGGTCTACTCAAGCTTATGAGTACGGCAGGAAACCAGAGTTCTGACGCTTGGACAGGGTGATTTGGGATGATAATTCCCTTTTTTTGTTTCTGTGTTGATATTACCCCGGATTGATGCTTCAGGCAGCAGGTTCGAGGAAACATGTCTCATTGCATTGAGCATGCAATGTGCAGCATGTCGTTTATAGATCGGCATTGAGTATTTACATACACATGGGTATTTTGTTAAAGGTGTTTGGTTTTTGGGGACATCGTTGGAGTTTTCGGGTTGGAAGCATGCAGCATGATTAGAATAATCACTATAGGCTGCAATCAATGATACCATTTGTTCAATCAAGTCCTCGGAAAGCTGAAGGCCACGGTGCTGCTATCTCACCCCTTTTGCTTGAGATATCATTTCTGCGTGTATGGAGCAGTCAAGCTTAGGCTGATGCGTACATGTAGAGGGTATCAAACAGGGGTACATCCTTAGCTTAGCGTAATACATACAAATGGAAGTACTGGCCAAAAGAGTCAGTTAAAAGACCAAATAAGGGCTGCCTGGCATAACAAATACCAGCTGGGTGAGGTGTCGCATGTCCTGATTTCGCGCCAGCCTAATCCCCAAAGGGCCCAATCCTCTCCATCTGTTGGGTCAGTTTCCTTCCCGAAGTACTGGGTTCAAATCCTAGTCCCGATGTCCAGCTGAATTTGTCATATCTTTTTTTGCTTTCTTTCTTTTTGGTTTGTTTGTACATACTGCGATACAGGGTGTGCTGATGGGATATCAACAAAGCCGTATACATCTTGGCTCTCAGCGAATCAGGCTAGCAACCTGGAGGAGAGCCAAAACCTACAGTATGAAAGGTGAAGAGATGAACGTCTAGAAGTATACCAGTCCCATATGACTGAAAGGAGCAACGGTCGAAGCCCGAGGCTCCGGTGCCTCAGTGAGACTGGAACAGTACACTCGTATTGGTTTCTAGAGCCCCTTGCTTTTGGATGTTGCAAAGTGTTTTTCGACAAATCAGATCTGATCGAATGTACCTGAGGTTCTGTATGATATGTTTGTACGGTACATGCACATATTTGAAACGCGAGAAAGCTCTCCGCATGACATCATCGAGACTCTGAAGATGAGATGATCAGAGCTTCTCGAGGATCCTTTCTGTCTCTGGCTCTCATTCTCTCTCTCTCTCTTCATCCTCCCCTCAATCCTCCTGTCTACCCGCCCGAATATCGTGTTCTGTTTGCCTCCAATTCCGGCTAAACAGCAACTTGCAGGTAACCCTTTCCCCGCATTTCCAGCTTCCCCATCTGGAAATTCACTTTTTCCCTCTCGCCCTCTTTTTTGAGTGAAACACCCCTGTTATAAACATTCTAACTCCTCTCTGACAACTTGTAGTGAATATTGGGCAGCCTTCAGGTAATCATGTCCCACTGATTCTATCCCTTCACCTCTCCATATCCCTCCCTGTATACCCGGTCCTCCACACGAAACACCTCTAACCGTGTTTCAGGACCACCTTCGTTACAAAATCCATATCACTACTGCCTGAGGGGCTCACACTACACTCTCGATCGTTGCAGAGAGCTACAATGAGACTCATACCCCTGGCCCTGGCTGCTGTCTTGGCAGCGGTCAGTACCGCGTCTACACTCGAACCTCCCGTGGTGCCTCTAGTCGTTCGAAACCCTTACCTGAGTGCTTGGCTTCCCAATGCCCGAGAAGTGCCATGGGCCAGATGGCCCATCTTTTGGAACGGAGACCATGTGGGTCTTGCGTTGATGGCCCACATCCCGAGTCAAGGCGCCGTCTATCCTCTTTTGGGCAGGCCGCAGGACTCCCTGCAGAAGAAGGATAGCAGGTACGAGTCGCAGTCCTCCGTACTATATCCGTCGATTCAATTGCTAACATCTTACAGCTACCATATCAAGTACCCCTCCTACCTCGGTACTACGTACGATGCATCGACCACAAACCTCACCTACAGCATTGATGCCGGCTCTTCATATCCACTTAATCTCACTATCTCGTTTCTCTCGCCCATCACACCGACGTCCACTCTGCGACAGTCAATACCTGCAGCGTATGTGACCATCGATGTCCAAGGCGATGTTGACGTGAACATCTACATGGATGTGACCGGCCAATGGCTCAGTAAAGACGCCAGAAACAACATCAACTGGGAAAGAGGCACTTTGAAGACAGATAGTCAACAGGCCCACCTGCAAAGGTGGCAAGTGCGTAGAGAGACGGAAGAGTTGTTGTCGGAAAATGACGATCACGCTGAATGGGGCACACTCAATTTCGCTGGACCTACTGTATGTTCCCACCCGCAGAACAAACGCTTCAATTTTTTTGCTGACCAAAGAACCAGGATGCGAGGTATCAGTCCGGATCAGACACTGATGTGCGTCGTACCTTCGCCAGCACCGGTACTGTTGACAACTCCAACGACAACAAGTTCCGCGCCATCCACGACCGTTGGCCTGTCTTTGCGTTCTCCCAATCGTTCAACCTAGGTCATTCATCTAGTAGCTACTCAGACAGTGTGACTTTCACTCTCGCACTCATTCAGGACCCAGTCATTCAATATGCCTCCTCTCGGGGCCTAACTTTGATGCGACCCTTGTGGGAGTCATGGTACCCAACGGTTGAAGAATTACTGAGCTTCCACTACCAAGACTTCGCTCATGCTAGCGCATTGGCATCGAATTATTCCCAGCAGCTTGCGGATGATGCATACCTTTCGGGTGCCAGCGACTACGTCGACATCGTCGCTCTTTCCGCTCGTCAGGTTATGGGATCGACTGTCTTTGCAGGAACCCCAGATGATCCTATCCTGTTTCTGAAGGAGATTTCCTCTGATGGAAACCTACAGACAATCGATGTCATCTATCCTGCCTTCCCATTCTTCTTATACACCAACCCTCGCTGGTTATCATACCTTTTGGAGCCTCTGATTGAGCACATGCTCAGTGGGCAATACCCCAATACCTATGCCATGCATGATTTGGGTACACACTTCCCCAACGCTACCGGTCATCCTGACGGGAACGATGAAAGGATGCCAGTGGAAGAGTGCGGAAACATCCTCATCATGGGACTGGCTGTTGTGAACTCCCTTCGATACCAAGACCCCACAGAGGCTTCCTCAATCTGGTCAACCTTGGGTTCATCGTCGCCTGAAGTCGGTAGCAAGTCTCGTGAGGCTCACAAATTGTTCCATTTGAATGATCAGCAAACCCTCGATGGAATTGCCCTCCAAGATGGTAAATGGGGTGGTGGTGATGAAGGCGAGCGCTTGGCCGAGGAATGGATTAAGCGCAGCTACACTCTGTGGAAACAGTGGACTGGATACTTGGTGGAGTACAGTCTGAAGCCCGAGAATCAACGTGAGAATAGCTCTTTCTGTGCGCATCCTTTCCCCTCAAGTTGACCAAATATAGTTTCTACCGATGACTTTGCTGGTCCTTTGGCTCTTCAGTCCAACCTGGCTCTGAAGGGAATCATTGGCATCAATGCAATGAGCAAGATCGCCGCGCTTGCTGGGAATGATACCGATGCTCAATATTACAAGGCAAGTCATTTGTATCATTGTCTCTTATGCATGTTCTGACTAACTCGCCAAATAGCAAACCGCCAGTGACTACGTCGCAAAGTGGGAGAAGTATGCCATGTCGTGGGACAACACTCATGCTAAGCTATCCTACGACTGGGCTGGCTCTTGGACGACTCTCTACAACCTCTACGCCGATGCCCAGCTCTGCTTCCATCTGGAAAACACTGACACTGAAACTCCTGGGTTCGTCCCTCGCCACATCTACCAGAAGCAATCAATCTGGTATGACCATGTTCGTCAGAAGTTCGGTCTTCCCCTCGACAGCCGTCATCTATATACCAAGACCGACTGGGAGTTCTTCTCAATGGCAGTCGTCTCGAAGCCTGTGAGGGCGGAGATCTTGGAGTCTGTTGCCCTGTGGGTCAACGAGACCGCTAGCAATGGACCTTTCACAGATCTGCACAACACTGAGGGCGACGGAGGCTTTGCTGAGGGCACCAGGTTCCGTGCTCGGCCTGTGATTGGAGGTCACTTTGCATTCCTCGCGTTGGAGCGTGCTTGTGGTGGTAAAGCTATGTCGGGTCTGAAATTCCTTGACGAGGTGGATGATGAACTCATGACGGTCTGGACCCAGAACGCCATGTCTGCGGCGCAAGAGTTCAAGGACCCTGTCGGATATCGACAGAGGGAGGGAGAGCTATAGATGCGCTTGCGTCTCATTGGCAATGGGGGGACCGCGGGATGACGTTGGATCTGACGTCCATCAAAGTCCCTTTTTACCTATATTCCTAGCCCGGGCTAGGCTTTGACAGGTTTGGATCCTATCATTAGTAAATAGTTGGAACCCATTCTATATTCCTATAAGACTCTTTCAGCTCTACAGCAACATCACCTCTAACCCATGTACTCCGTAGAGCCTCGGAGATTGGAGTAATAGCTTAGATCGTTACATAGAGAGATAGAATAAGCAGACATGTCCCGTAATTCAATTGAAGATTTCTTTGCGTTCCTATTTTTTTGTTTGACTTCTGAAACGAATCAAATTACATGGGCCGTCGAATTCAGTCATCCAATTCGCGTTTGCTCACCGAAGGCAAATGTAAACACACACACACACATAAGATCACCCTCGGAATACGCCCTTTCTCCCCTCGAGAAAAGAAAAACACTGTAAACCAAGGAGTTATTGCTTCCACCGGAGTACGGAATCCCTCATATCAAACATCCTCTCAAAATCTCCAAAAGAGGACAAAAACTCATCGCAGATGAAGCGAAATCGCTCAAGTAGAGATCGGAAGCGAGACGATTCAAAAAAGCAAATCCGGTCCGGGAGCACGATTTCCATCGGAAATCAGACAATTTAGTTGCCGCCGAGGCTGGGGAAGTTCTTCTCGTCGACAGTAGGGCCAGCGGGGCCACGGGCGTTGCCACGGGGAGCACCACCGCGAGCAGCGGGGGCACCACCACGGGGGGCACGGTCACCACGAGGGGCACGGTCGCCACCACGGGGACCACCACGGCCACGCTCGGAGCGCTCGCCGCCGCGGGCGGGACGGTCACCACCACGGGGGGCACGGCCGCCGCGGGGAGCGGGGCCAGAGCGGGGAGGCTCGACGTAGCGGAGGTCAACGTCGAGGAAGTTCTTCTCCTTGCGCTGCTTCTCGCGCTTGGCCTTCTCGGAGGAACCCTGAATGTAAGAGTCCTCTTCGGTCTTGGAGAGCTCCTTAGCGGCAGCCCACTTCTTGTCGAGCTTGCTGCCCTCGTTGGCGGTGCGCTCGGGCTTGGCGGCGAGGGTCTCCTTCTGGGCCTTCTCGGCAAGGTAGTCGGCGAAAGACTTGGAGTTATCGGGCTCCTCGACCTCCTCGGCGGGAGTTTGGGGCTCGGCCTCCTCGGTCTTGGCGATCTTCTCGCCCTGGCGCTCGTCGTCCCAGTTCTTCTCGCCGCTCTCGGCACCCCAGCCCTGCTGGACCTGCTTGCGGGTGTCGCTAATATCGAAAATTCACGTTAGTTCGAGTACTTTTTTCGCTAATCTTCTTTCACCGGATAGAAATCTTGCGGGTATTTTTCTTTCTTCAGAAAATCCGGATTTCATTTCCGTGCGTGGGGTCGCTTACGTCTGGCCAGTGCGGGACTGGCGGTCGCCACGGGGGCCACGGCCACCACGGCGGGCGGGCTGGGCACCGTCTTCGGTGGGCTTCTCGCGGTTGTTGTTGCGGCCGGCGTTGCGGTCACGGTAGGCTATTTTCGTGAATTAGTCCCGGATTCTCAGACAAGGTCGTCATAGAACATACCGGCCTCGTTGCCGTTGTTCACACGGGCACCACCGCGGCGAGCATTGCTCTCAGTGTGACGAGCGGGCTGCTCCTTGGGGGTATCACGCTTTCCGGAGCGATCAGTGGGGCGGTCGACAGCCTTCGCGGGGGGGAGGGGCGGGGCGGCTGGGGTCGAGCTCTGGGTCGTTGCCTGATCAAATAACAAGGATTAGTGACCTGGTCGATGGCAGTTCGAATGATGTTTCAAGCTGGTAATTGTGTGGAAGAGAGCTGGGTTTGGGGTCGGAAAAGCTAGCCGAAGATTCAAAGGAGGGGAAATTTACCCAGAAGCTCGTAGAGGTTCTAATCATAAACAATTCGAATTAGTTATTTGGTTCATAGAAGAAAAAAAACCTCCATGTTGCCGTGATCGCATTGATATCGCGGTTCCAGCGGGTTTGGGTCGCCAGCTCTGCGCGGGAGAGCTCCAATTCAGCGTACCTTTGACCGGACGTCCGTCATGACGCCTGAAGTGATCTGGAGGCCTTCCGGGGGAGGCGCTCAACTTTAGACAATCGGTCTAGAGTGTTTAATGGGGGCACAAGGCAGAACCCAAGAGATCCGGCCTGTCAGAATTGAGGATGATGATAGAGCAATGTGAAGGGAGGTCCACGGTTTGTGGTTGCAGGGTGCAATGTGACTAATCAGGAAAGGCGGCTTCTGCTCCTAAGCGAATGTGTCCGCCCACGCTGATTGGCTGCCCGCATCCTAGGGCTTAGGGTACCTTACATAATGACTCCGTCATGGACTGTTTGCGATAAATACTTGACTCTATTTGACTCCCCCATGGCCATTGAAGAAGCTTAGCTGTGATCCATATAGGGACGCCGTTGACAGCTTGCCAGTGGATCCGTCTTCCTCGTGCGAGCGGGCTACTGTCGGTGCGGCAACGCTACTGATACTTGCAGAAGCTATGTAATCAAGCTCAATCCATGGACCAAGATTTGATGCATAAGCTTGGATAGAATGAGCTCGGGAATTTGCATATCTATAGACTCCACTGATCATCCTTTAGAGGATACTTATATATCTCGATCGATATCTCTGACCGCCATATGGACCAAGAGTACGAAGCATTCACGAGTGTCCTTGCCTATAATGGGCTTTGATATTATCGTATACTTGTCCAATCTACCTTCATCAAGCTTATTTCCCTTTATTACTCTCCCCAAAGGTATCCAATCCCACGCCAAGGTTTCTTGGTCCTGGATTATACTGTACATCGTGCAGTTATCGATCTATGCGACAATTTCTTGCGTCATCATTGCCTCATAAAAGCATTGCTACGAATCTCCATGAACAGAAGCACGCATTCTGAACCCCCCAAATGTCCCTAAAGATACTCATGAGACCATGGATAACAGTCCACTCGAGGATCATTGCGCTCTTATGTCAATGGCATCAATCGACCTAACCACGCGCTTCCCCGGTTCTAGATCTTGCCAGAAGCCAACTCATCGAACAAGCCTCCAAGGTCCAGCTCCCAAGGTTAAATGCCAACTGCGCTCACTCCCGAGGCCCAGAGTTGCTAAAAGGGCCTATGATCCACTCCAGTACGAATGGAGGCTTTGGTCGAAGACTTCAATAACCGTGGGAATATCTTTGATTCGCCACCCGGATTGACATCAGCGCGGAATTTCCCAAGCAATATTTCCTACCTCCGCGGGACAAGAAAAGCTACAGCCAGATTCAATCGCCATTGGCATAGACAGAACTGATCTATGGAAGCAGTTCAAGTTGATATGCGACGTAAATGCGGTTTCTCGTTTTAGGGTAGATATTGAGAGGGATGTGCCTGGTCTGCATACATACCCTGGTCGGTTCACGATCCAATAAGGATCCATCTCGATTAAAAGATGCGGTTCTTCAATCAACATGGTCTTGATTGCCAATTTGGCTCTGGTCGAGGCGCTATAGCGCAAATGGCAGTCACCATGACTCGGTTGGCTAAGATCAATGTTCGAGTTTTCAATGAGTTCAATGAGATGCAGACTAGAAGCTCTATGCAAACAAGACCTCGATGTCTGCGATTGGAAATTCCCCATGAACCTAAGTATGCAGTAAAGAACAATGCCAAAGACCACCCAAGCAGGTATGCAGTACTGAAAAGGGTTAGTTCAAAGCGCCGAGCCAATGACACAATAGTCTCGGAATTCGGAGTTAAGCATCTGGGTATTTCAGCGACAGATCAGAACGACCTATGGCTCGAAACTTCCCTGCTGTTGATCACATCCGAAGATGCCCAGCAAACCAAAGCCCGCCGAATCGCGCAAGCGTCGAGCCCATCTCAAATCAAGAAGAGGCTGCCGCAACTGTAAACTCCGTCGAGTAAAAGTATGCCCTCCCCCCTACCCAGCCCACTGAAGTGGAGATATTGAATAACAGCCTTCAAGTGCGACGAGACCCAACCGCAGTGTCAGAACTGTACCCAATACAGCGTCGCCTGTAACTACAATCAAGGACCAGACCTACAAGTAACATGGCAAGACAAAGCGCTCGACACAGCAAGCCAAACAGTCTTCAGTACACTACCACCACCCACAAGTATCATTTCATCAATAGTTATAGGAGAAGGCATTGGATCCTTTAGCCTAGACCTAAACAGCCAGGCCCGACTCCATCGATTCTACCACAGAACCCTACCTACAATCGGCACGTCCCGCATAACCGCCGTGTATCGAAAGGAAGTAATCAGACTAGCGCTCGCAGTATGTCGCACGAAAATGCAGAGCAAAAAAATACCCAGGCTAACAAACCCCAGCACCCATTCCTAATGCGAATAATACTGACACTGGCAACGACGCACGACCGCTATCTTGCCCAGATATCGAGCACGGGAACCCAGGACTCGATTCTCGCTCAGACAGAGTCCCGCCATCGCGCCCATGCAGCAAGTCTCTTAAACGAAAAGCTGTCACTTCCTATCCTCCCGCAAGATCGTGATGCCTTGTGGGCGGCAGCAGCTATGCTGGGGATATCAGTTATCACATCCATCCAGGCATCAGTGCCAGAATGTTGGCCGTTGAAAATCACACCGGCGGAACCGGAAACCATCTTTCTTCAATGGATGGATTTTTCAATTAATAAAAAGGCGATTTGGGACGCGACGGATCCCTTGAGACCAGAGAGTATCTTCCACGAGCTTGCGGATGACTATCGAAGATTCATGGCTCCGCCAAAGACATGCAGGGTCGATGAGATAGCGAAGGAATTTGTGGATCTGTGTGGATTCGAAGATTGTGCCACGGAATCGAATCCGTATTTCAAGGCTGTTTCAATTCTAACTCAAATTCGGAACTTGGGGAATGGGCATAGGTCAAGGCCTGAGACGTTGTGTGCGAGTGGTGTTGTGCCGCGGGATCTTCGGTTCATTGGGTTTATGGAGCCTGAGTTCAAGGCTCTGCTGATCGAGCGGGATATACGTGCTTTGCTGATTCTCGCATATTGGTATGCGCCGCTGTCGCAGTGTGTTTGGTGGATGGCTGGACGGGCGCAGACCGAGTGTCAGGCCATTTGTCTGTACTTGGAGAGAAATTGTGGCGATGGCTTGGTCGTGGAGCTGCTGAATGTTGTCAGGGAGAAGTGTGGGCTTGTCGCAGGGATCAGAGATTCGATATTGACGGATGCTGTGGATTCTAACTGGCTGGAGATGTAGATGCAAATGCAGATGCAGATGCAGATGGAGTCGTGAAGATTCGATTCATGTACAGAATGTGATATAAATATACCCTGGGGGAAAGCCAGAAGAGAAGATTGGTATCAAAAATCGTCGCAACGCCAGGCAATGCTCAAAACTTTTAGAGGTGATCATTTACCGAAAATGAACAAGATATAGGACAGAGTGAATATAGCAAAATTTTTGGGATGTGCTCATTGCCGTGAGCTACTGTGTTCGTAGTTGAACGGTGTTGGGAAATGCATGCTAGCGCTTAGCCCGAATGGATCTGTATCCAGCATGGGCTCGTATTGACCGAGCAGCGGATTTGAATTACCGAAGTCGCTGGGCGTTCCTTCGGCTGATGGCTGGTTGAATCCAGACATATTATGAGATCCAGATGCCATGGACTGTGGTGTGAAGCCTGGTACGTAAGACGCGTTTGTTGAGCCATCGTGGTCGTCATCAACCATGTCGGCCTGCGCATCATACTCTTGTTCTGCTTGGGAGGTCAGCTGTGATCCTGAGGCAATCAATGGCGAAAGCCGCTTACCGAGTTGATCGTAGTGTTTTTGGAAGGGGGAGGGATAGTAGGCGGCTGCTGCGACCCTTGCGCCGCGAGGCCCCATAGCCCCGCCACGGGCCTGGGGCTTGTTATCTGATGGGTCAGTCTGGGGCATGCTGATTGCTGGCGGCGAGGCTTGGCTGAAAGATCGAGGTTGCGGGAGAAGCTGGGGGCGATTTTGGGATTCAACACCGGCAGGTGACATGGCACCTTGGAAGCCGAAGCCGGGAGATTTGGCGTGTGACGGGGAGGAAACATGTGAGGTTGGAGTTGCCTGGAATTGTGGCGATGGGACACCATATGCGCCTTCCCGCTGTGAGATACCGAACGCTTCGGGCTTTGCGGCAATGCCTGCGGGGTGCCGTTGGTTGCGAGCACCTGCGGGCGCCGTCTTGGGAGGCATGGGGTTGGCCTTGGGAGGCGCGCCAGGCGCCCCCGTCTTCAATCGTAGCTCAGCCTGCACATCAATGCCTAGAGTCGGGGTCAGTGAGGGTTCGGATGGACAGGGAAGGGCTGGTGAGAGAGCAATACCTTTCTCCAGCAAGATGCGCTCCAGCAGCGAGTTCTTGTAGCGGAGCATCAAGCATTCGTCGGCGGCGCTGCGATGGCTCTGCTGCAAGCTCTGTAGAGATTCCTCATTGCGCTTGATGGTGGTCTCTAGCTGGCGGATATATTCGGTCCTTCGTTCACGGAAGGCGGCCTGGGCCTGGCGGTTGCGTTGCTTGCGCTCTTCGGAGGTAGCATATATCTGGGGGCGGGTTAGGATCGGAAGACGTGATTGCCATACGGTATGAGGCCACAGTGACACAAGATGATAGACATGAATGCGGGGCCCCAGAATTTAGGAAGCTGTTACGTACAGGTTTTCTGCCTCCTTTCCTTTTTTGCGTCTGCGCGGCGTCTTGCAGCGGCTCAACCTCTTCGGGGGTCGACACGGAGGGACTCATTGAGCCATCAGGGCCCGGCTCATGCTTAGGCACGATTGGGTCCATGCCCAGTTCGTTATTCTCGACCATTGAGACCATTGGAGTTCAACTCCAACCGGGAGCAAAGCCAGCGTTCCCCGCGATTACCGGGACTGTTGCCGGTCGAAAAACAAATTTCAGGCGCGCGGCTAAGCGTTTAGAAGGGACGTGCGGATGGGAAGGCAAGTTGTGACATAAAGAAAATTGAAAATTATGAGAAAGGCAGAGTCAGAGGAATAAAGATAGGAAAGGAACGTAAAAGCCTTGTGTAAAACAATTGACTAAAGAAAAAAAGTCTGCCCGGTCAGGAGGGGTTCCCTCGCCCTTTTGACTTTTTTTTTTCCTTTTTTTTTCTCTTTCGCCTTTAACTTGTTCGGGGCCACAGGTCTCCACGTTGCCCGTATGAATGGCTTTCAACTCCACTTGGAGTGTTGTGGGGAGTTGCACCGTACGGTCTGCCTTCTTCGTACCTCATACGTTCCAAGGTTAGTGTGTCCTGGTTGCTGGTTGAGCCCAAGTTGGTTCTTGAATTTGGTTGAACTTGGTTGAACCTGGTTCAACCTGGGGAAGACACCTGGAGACGACTACAGTTGCCCGCGGAGAAGTCCAGGTCCAGAGGCGTTCAGGCGTTCACATCCAATAGCAGCCAACTGACCAACTAACCAACCTATCCGGATAGCCGATACCGGCACACGCCATTTGACTCCAATAATGCACTTCAGGTACGAGGGACGAAGTACAGTACTCTCCGTACTCCGTACATTTGAACTATATGGGCTGGGCATGTCCATTCTCTGCCTCTGCTTGTACACCGTACAGCTGTACAGTTACAGCCCTATACTCCATAGGGTCACCGTGGAAAATCAGACCACATGATCAATCACGCGCCACTCTTCCCCGGACTTTGGAAACGTATGCGATGCAGATTTTTCGCTTTCCGCCCCCAACATGTGCCAAGACTCAAGGATCATCACATCTGAGACCCGAGCGCCCTGTAGAATGACCTCATTTGGCTCGATCCATTCTTCTCCTCACTTCTCGTTGGGGTCTCGCTGCCTCTCTCTCTCCACAAAGCCCTGATCGAAACTAGGGCCAAGTACGGAGTATGGGGTAGTGACACAGGGATTCCCACTGTGGGTTGTCCAAGTGCACGTACAAGGCCGGGCTGGGATGGGTCTAAGATCTTCCCCTTACAATTCTAGAACAGGGCGATACATGCATAAATGCGGTCACCGAGCTGAATCCCAGTGAGGTTCGCAATTGGCAAATCTGCCTCATTTGCCAAGAAAACCTTGGAGATCCCAAGTTTCATGATCAAGATAGAGTACGGTCCAGGGCGGCAGCGGCAGCGTAGTAACTTTCGTGCTTTCAGCTCCAAATTGACTATGAACACGGCACCGGGATCTACACACAGCCAGTTTAACCTCACTTGAGTCCTGAAGGGCAAATGAGAGAACGTCTTGGCTATTCTGTGTCATATCTACTAACAAGCTCTTTGAATATCCGTATGTATTGAGAAATCTCACCCATACTCCGTTCCATCTACTCCGTATGTGTGTCGGAGGTCTTTTCAATGATCTTTTTCATTTTCGTATTTTTGTCGTCTATACACTCCGTTGCAAGTTCCTCTTCCTTCTGCTCGATGTCCCCAAAGTCTGTCATATTTCCAGGAATATTTCATTGTCTGCTATTTCAATTGCAAGAATGCCTATGACAGGGTAGATAAATATTGAGAAACTGAGGTGATGCTGTCCAGATAATCTGGAGCCAGCATCACAGTACGGAGAACGGAGGGCAACTTGGTGTTCCTCGGCGATCGGCATTAATTAGCCCCCCGCCAAAACATCACATGCCGAATCTCATCGCCACGCTTTCTTTGCGACCATTGCATCTCCTTTGAAGCTAGCGAGTCTGCAGTTCAAGTTATTCTGCACAATCGACATGGCTACCACGTCCACTGAGGGCCTGCCCGAGGGAGCCTCGGCCACTGCCACCACCACCCCCGCGGCCGCGGCTCAGCCCACAGATACCCAAGCGGCCCCCAGCGCTGCGCCGGCAAAGACAGAAGCAAAGCCAGCAGACGATGATAACGACGAGGATTCAGAATTTGACGAGTTAGACGGTACAGAACACCCCCCACCATTCCACCCTCCCCGCACAGCCTCCGCGGGGAATTGATACTCACATCCAACAGACGTTCTCGATGATTTCTCCAAGCCCAAGCCCGAAGCTGCACCCGCACAGCCTGCACCTGCCCAATCCCCAGCCCCAGCTCAAGACCCATCCACCGGCATCGCACCGCCCGACTTCGACGAAGATGCTTTCCTCAAGCAGCTCGAGCAGGACATGGCCAACATGATGGGCGGCGGCGCACCAGCCGCACCTACCGCAGACCCCAACGTTCAATCGACAGTCGACCAAGGCGCCGAGATGTTCGCGAAACAGCTTGAGGAGAGCGGGGTTCCGCCCGGCGACTTCTTGAAACAACTTTTGGCAGACGTTATGGCTGAACAAGGTGGTGCTGGAGGGTCTGGAGCTGCGGCGGCGGGTGCATCGAATGCGAAGCCCCAGTCAAGTGCCCCTGAGGCATCGAGTGAGCAACCGGCGGATTCTTTCAACGATGCTATCAAGCGCACTATGGGTCGAATGAAGGAGAGTGGTGATAAAGCTACCGCTGCCGCAAGTAATGAGGATGATTTATCGGATGATATGATTGCGCAGCTACTGAAGGCCGTCGAGGCTGGCGCAGATGGCGCCGGTGAGGATGGTGACTTGTCGAAGATGTTTATGGGGATGATGGAGCAGCTTTCGAACAAGGAGATGCTTTACGAGCCGATGAAGGAGCTGGATGTGAAGTTTGGCCCATGGCTTGAGAAGAACAAGAGCGGTGGAAGTGTACCGATTGAAGATATAGAGCGGTTCCAAAAGCAGGCTGAGATCGTCAAGCAGATTGTGACGAAGTTCGAGGAGCGGAGTTACTCGGACGACGATCCCAAGTGTCGCGAGTACATTTGGGAGCGCATGCAGGAGGTGAGTTTTCCATTTTGAACTTCTACAATTTGAATCTCGATCACTGACGATATCGCAGATGCAAGCAGCCGGTAGTCCCCCCGAGGAACTTGTATCAAACCCACTCATGGGAGATCTGGGAGGCGGCGCCGCCGGAGCAGGCATGCCTGATTGCCCGCAGCAGTAATGTGAAGAATGTGTATCATTGAAGCCCAAAAAGAACATATTCCCTTGATACCAGATTGATTACCAATGGTGGTCCCGTGCCCAGGTGCCATTGGCACCTTCGTTCGCTGTATTGTACATATGCTGCAAACCCCGTCGATACCCTTATTTACCTGCATAAGAAATATACTCAAGACACCAGAACGCCATCCATGCAAGCCCGCAATTTATAAAAGACATCACCCAATTCCCAATCCAGACAATCTCACGACATATCCATATCCTGAGACTGCTCCTGCAGCCCCATAAATATATCATCATAATCATCATCACTAAACGGAACATCATTCCCATTTCGCAATTGATCAACACGCCCGAACCCAGACTGCGCACATGGTTGTGATTGCGCTTGCGCCTGCGCCTGCGATTCCCTCAAAGCCATCTCCATGGCCTCCTCCTGTGACAAGAACTCATCAAGCGCATCCGCATCATCTGACATCATAATTAGCAAAAGCCCTATCCCAAAGTCAAAAAATAAAAACCCAAAAAACATACCAGGAAGCATATCATCCTCCTCATCCTCAATCCCATACTCAGCAACCTCACCCTCTCGCGCCATAGACTCTTCCCAGCGCCTCCGATCAGCAAGATGTTCCATATGCATCATCTGTTCACCGCGCGCCTCGAAGCGGCCTTCGTCGCGATCATTGCGCACGCGATTAAGGAACATTTTGCGGGTCCGGGAGCGCGCGAGACCGGGTTTCTTGAGTGGGTTTGCGATGGTTGAGGCGTAGCGTGCTTCGTATTTAGGTTTGCGGGATGGTGAGCTTGGTGAAGAGGGGGTGTTGAAGTTTGGTGCGAAGGTTGTTGTGTTTAGGTTCATGTTCATATTCATGTTCATGTTTAGTGGGACTGGGGAAGTGTGGTTTTGGGCGTGGCGCTGGATGGGTTCGGTTTGGATGTTGAATTGGAGGGGGGAGGGGTTGGTGTCATTGTGTCTTGTTGGGGACATTGTCCATGGGGGTGTTGAGATGTTTAGGGGGATGGTCGGATTGGGGTGTAGTGGCCTGTTTGGCGGAATGGGGTTTGCGGCGATGCGAACATGTTTGGTTCGGATGCGGAAGTGGGTGGGCGTGTGGTTCTTGGGGAGGGTTTCTTGTTTGGGTTTCTTGTAGGAGGGGATTTTGGGGGATTTGAGATTTTTGCAGGATTGAATTGGAAGGTTAGTTGTCAAGTCGCGATATTAAAGTATTAGACTAGGGGCTGGGAAAACATGCAGGGTGTCTTATCGATCTCGCGTGCCGGACGCGTTCTGGAATGTGTCACGTGAAATGACGATATACCGAGATCTACACGATATGACGGCTGTGCTTCGGGATACGGAGTAATTGAGGTAGGCTTCTTGAGAGGGGATCTATGCTCCGGTTCCTCTATTGGAAATAGCGACCCCAGCGACTTGCGTGGTCCATGAAAATTTACCAACCAATATCATCTTCAACCCAGTGTAGTCTCGTCATGAATATCAATCTACAGGTTGCCCAAAAGGGCAAAGCAAATTACATGGAGTACAAAGTCGATGAGCAATAATTGATATCAAAGCGGCGGAAATAGATAAGCACATGAAGCAGGATAACAAGACTTATTACAAAGTTGATAGGAAACTAAATCTTAAGGGACCTTTGCAGCACGCTGTACAATTTTTGACGTCTAATGCCGCAAAAGGAAGAAAGTATTTGTCATGGCAATGTGATTATCCACAGGAAGTCACCAAGCACATCGACACGGGGAATCAAAAGCAAACGGGGGAGAATCGAGTAAGTGCCGTATTTTGTCTGTCGCGCAAGGATCGAGTTGAGATCAAATGAATGTGATGGTTGCAGAAAAGATCGCTCCGGGAATGAATGTGCAGTGCAGTCTATGAAAGAGCGGCTGGGCCGTGATAAAACGCCCTGAAAATGAAGAAATCAAAAACAAGATTTTGCAACCGAAGAAAGAAAAAAAAGTAACCGTCTCGCCCGTCCGGTCCATAGCGCCTGAGTATAGCATGATGATCGTACAAGTTTTACACTTCGACAGATGTCGAGTCTGTGCAGGTCCACTTAGAAGTTGGATGCCGCGTTGACGGGACCGGGGTTGTGGTACTGGTCGAGTGTGTTCTTGAAGGGGGTGTTGTTTGCTGGGCTGGGGGCCTTCTCACGAGGGTTGGAGCCGACAGCGGTGCCACCCATGAGATCATCCTCGTCACCGAATTGACCGTTGCGTTTCTTGTGGATTCTCCAGAAGACCAGGCCGAGGGCACCGATCAGGATGGCACCGCCGACGCCGACCACCACACCGATGATGATCTTCTTGTCAGAGGAAGACACGCCGCTGGAGCCGGAGCTCTTGTCGCTGTTCAACGAGGGCTCGGCAACGGGGGTGGAGGTGGTGGTCATGACATTGGCGACGGTGGATCCATCGCTGGTCGCGTAGGAGGTGATGGTCTTCACGACAGGGGTCTGGGTGGTGCTGGGAGCCGAGGTAGTCTGGCTGCTATCAGAGCTCGATGTAGATGCAGGTCCATTGGTGGTGGAGGCGGAGGTCTGGGCGACAGTGGAATCGGCGGAGGTGGTCTCTGCTGGCGCGGCAGAAGTGGTAGAAGAGGTAGAAGAGGTGGATGAAGTGGAGGAAGTGGTAGGGTCGGCGGAGGTAGTTGGTTCCTCAGAAGTAGTTGGTGCCTCGGAGGTGGTGGATGATGTTGATGACGATGTAGTAGAAGTTGTCTCGGGCGCTTCGGAACTGGAGGATGAAGTGGTTTCACTTGTGATATCCGAGACGATATTGGAAAGGCCAGCACTCTGTGCTGCGACCGCAGTCAACAGCAGTGCCTGGACGAAGAACGAGAGGCTGGAGATACGCATATTTGGAACGAATGTATGGTCAGTAACGAGGGAAGACCAGGAAGGCAAGGGAATCAAGAGAATAAGCAGAAAATGAAAAAGGAGTCAAAGCGACGGTCAACCTTGGGCCGACGAAACAAACAGTGTTTGGTCCGTATGCACTAGTCCCCTTTAGGCCACACTAGTCTCCACTAGTCTCACTCCAAGCCTGACGCCGAGCGATCTGATCTTCTGATTGGTCGCCTCTTCAATAAAACCACGTTCAAATGGGTCTGGACGTTTTGCTCTTTGAGGTTACAAGCTGTTTTTTATTCTTTTTAGTCTTTTATTCTTTTTAGTTTGGATATAATTTTAGATCATCTCCGTCTACAATTTCAAGCAAGCAGTTGGAGTCTACTAGACAATAATTTTCAAATAGATTTTAATGACAGATGATGACTTCGTACTTCTCCGTATTGGTTCGCAAAACCAAGCGTAATCAGAAATCTCTTCAGTGCCCAGGTGTGGGCTACGTGTGACGAATCCCCCGGGGCCCTTTGTACCCCTCGCTTCCGGCCCATATTTAGCAACAGTCCATTTCTTACTCCGTACGATCTGCCTCTGATCTTCCATGCAACCATCCAACCGCCGTATGATTTACATCGTGTGTTTTAAATGCAATGCAATGGCTACGATCTTCCAAAAATATCCAGTCCAGTAGTTACAGCGTTTTCTGACCCTACATCCCACTGATCCGATGGATACCCGACCCCTTTCATCTGATTTCAATAAGAGCCGACACAGCCGAATACCTAAAAATTGGATTGGGTCCTCGTCCTACGGAGTACGGAGTACCCCTAGCCCTAATGTGTCCATGTGGCGTGCCGATGACAGCCTGCGTTTTCGGCGCTCCCGCCTGTTCTAGAAATGGTGAGGGTCGTCTCACTTGTTCAATGTGTCAAAACCCACCAGCAATAAACCCTGAAAGTTTATGGCAATCACCCGGTGCAGATCCTTCTCAACGTCGTCACACTATTGAGCAGTATGGAGTACTTGTACTCCGTATACTCCGTATAGAAGTAATAATCTTAGACGGTGATCATGTGGGAGATTACGGCCCACGGGCTATTCTTGTGTCTCAGTTGGAGGCCAGCAGATTGCTTACTATTGACCGGCATGAAGCGGGTTACCATGTTGATTTTTTACCTCTTTTGTCTGGTACTTCGCTGCTTTAAGTAAATTTCCACGTCGTCGGAGAAATAGGCGCGAAGAGTGGCTGAGCTGAGGGGTCGAAAGGGCACATATTGGGCAACTTTTTCAACGGCTCTCTCCGGGCCTTTCATTCCAGCCTCTGTGTCTAAGCTCTACGGAGTAGAGGTAAAAAAGACTGCAGTTGAAATTCGTTTTCTTGATACTCAGAACGTACCGCCTCATCTGCATTGTAACTCTCGACAACTCCCTGCTATGTAACGTAACATCCACGCGACATGTGTCTATATGCAAGGGCAACGAGTCAGCCTCTCCGGTTGCCACTGACAAAGGTGGGGCAGGCTGTGGACAATGCAAGCTCCTTGACCTAATGAAACGTCCAGCTAGTTTCTGATAAAGCATACTGTAGGTGAAATTTCCGTTGTTCGAAAGTTTTCCATGATCACCGTGAGATGCGTGAACATCGTCTTCAATTCGTGCCTACTCTGGCCTCGTGAAAGTGGTCTATTCTATGTACAATCCACTCGCAAGGACATGTGGAATATGCAGGATACTGTCGGTAGGGCTCGGATCATGTATCCGCAGTCATCCTCAAGGTTGTGCTCCCAACCACAGCAGAGGTGGCCACAACAGGCCAAGCACTGCTGATTTAATGCTGCTTAATGAACTCTGGGCTGAAGGCATAGTCTCCGTAGCCAGCTGCCTGCGTAGCCGTATAGAAAGTCGACCGGTCGTACGGGGTAAGAGGAAGCTGGTGCTGAATTCGGAACGGAAGGTCGGGGTTCGAGATGAAATGCCGACCAAAGACAACAGCAACGTCGTTGTTCTTGTATTCATCCTCGTATGCACCTTTGACATTGCCAGGGTTATATCCACCCGCGACAAGCACAGGTGATGTCTTGCCCCAAATATCGAGAAGGAACTTAATGCTCTCCCCCTTTTCACAGTCCACGTTGTTGATCACACGTGACTCGACAACATGAAGATACGCAAGTTTGAGAGTCTTCAGCTGTTCCACGAGGAATGAGAACTGAGGAACTGGGTCTGCCATCTTCATACTCTGCCAGGTATTCCATGGGCTAAGACGGAAACCGACTTTCTCGGCTCCAACCGCGTCAACCAAAGCCTTGGCCACCTCGATGCCAAACCGAGCGCGGTTGGGAACGCTTCCGCCCCATTGATCGGTTCTTTGGTTTGTGACATCTTGCAAGAATTGGTCGACCAAGTACCCATTGGCGCCGTGAACCTCGACACCGTCAAATCCGGCACGAACCGCATTTTTCGCAGCAGTTGCAAAGTCAGCGATAATGCTCTGAATCTGCTTTTCGCCAAGTTCCTTCGGGACCGGCATGCCCTCTTCCATCGCAATTGGGCTAGGCGCGAAGAGCTCGTTTCCTCCCTTCTTCAGCTCCTCGGGGCTAGCTGCTCGACCCAGGGCAATCAATTGGCAGAAAACGTGACTGCCTTTGGCGTGGATGGCATCTGTGATCTTCTTCCATTCTGTGATCTGGGCCTCGGTCCAAATTCCTGGTCCGTGGGGGATTCCAGCTTCAGGGGCTGAGATCAGGGTCGCTTCGGCAATGATCAATGTTCCAGGGACTGAAGCGCGTTGCTCATAGTATGGAGTGGACATTGGAAGAGGGACATGTTCGGCATCCGCGCGCAAGCGAGTGAGGGGCGCCATGACGACTCTGTGCTTTAGCTCGACATTGCCGATACGGAGGGGCTGGAATAGTTCAGACATGGCCTTGGTATGTCTAGGTCGGGTATATGACAATTGGTGAAAGTTCGGAAATATCTACTTGTCAGTATTGTGGGATGTGCATTTTATCATTGGAAACACCTGAGCACCGTGCCTTCAACTTGATTGGTAAGAATCTCCAATTTGTGATCGACAGTGGACACTTTTTTCACAATCAGTGGAGATGCCTCGGGAGTGGTCATTGGGTGATGCCACACGGGTATGATAGCGTCTCCAAGACCTCCAACCGCCTCCATGATCTGTTGTATCTTGGGAATTGCAACATCACAAGTGAGATTGAAGGCTGTAAATATCAAATGAGATTGACTTCCATCATCCAGCCAGTCTATCGCCAAATTTTTCCGGGGCTGATTTCTCGAGAAAAATGTGTTAACAGCAACTCAGTATTGTTAGCTGTTTGTAGAAGCGTGGTTATGGACCTTGATCGGAGAGAAAGAAATTTTAGAAAAGTGAAATGAGATGCACTGTAGGCCATATCAATTCCACGCCGCCAACATTAAGCAAGTATCGGTGCCCACCATTGAAAGAAAGGTCAAGCACTGGAGACTGCGGTGTTTTCTATCGACATCAAAAAGAGGTATGACCTCTTTGGGAGAGTAGAGATGTACGGAGTAGAGTAATCACGACTGTGAGTGCCCGCCTTCACAGGTATGTACCGGATATATTTTTCAAAGCGGTTAAAAGAGCCTTTCTCGGTTGTGTCCAACCAGAGTCTCTTTACGTTGTGTTATGATGATGAACTGAAAGGTCTCCATGCCTCCACCTCCAACAACCACCTCCACACATACTCGGTGACTTTTGAAGCAATTCCCCAGGTGCTTGCAATTGACAAATCCAAGCATGTATTTCTAATATGCTGGATTCATTTAAATGACAATTGACTCCAGTATCTCAGAGCTCTTTAAAGTGCTACTTTGGCTTTCACAGTCTGAATGTAAGCTTTAAATATTCGCTTGTACCGTTATTTCCGCTTCATTTTTGACTATTCTCTAGTTGTATCCTCGCTTCAGCAGAAATGCCAATTCAATGGTTGCGAGACAGTTTTCTTGGACAGACTTTACGTCAATTGTACAAGCCCTCGTGGCTTAAGTACAAAGAAGAGACTCCGGACTATTGGCAGCACACCCTCCATTCTCAGGACGAGAAGAAGACAACAGCGGTAGAGTGGTATTCAGAAAATGACGAAGAGAATCCTCAAAATTGGTCAAATCCAAAGAAAGCATTCGTTCTCTTTACTATAGGCATTTACAGCTTTGTGGTGTACATGGCCGCGCCAATTTACACACCCAGCGAGAACGCCTTCATCGAAGAATTTGGCGTGAACAATGCGGAAGCATCTCTTGGTCTTGCTATTTATGTGTATGTTCTATCCTTTGTCTCTTGCTGAATGCGCGAGACTGACTTCAAATGCAGGCTGGGATACGGCGCCGGTCCGCTCTTTTTTAGCCCTCTGAGCGAGATTCCTCGCATTGGCCGCAGCCTTCCATACGCAATTTCCTTCTTGTTATTTTGCATCATCAGCATTCCTACAGCATTGGCGCCCAATGCAATCGGATTCTACTTTCTACGCTTCCTCCAAGGCTTCTTTGGTAGCCCCTGTTTGGCTACTGGGGGTGCTTCGATTGCAGACATCTACTCGACCGAGGTACTTCCACATTCCATGACAACGTGGGTCCTTTGTGTTTTCAGTGCACCCGCCATAGGTGTGCTGGTATCTGGATTTGCGATCCCAGTACTTGGCTGGCGATTTTCCATGTGGGAGATTCTGATCGCCGCGGGCCCGATTCTCATCCTTCTCTTCTTGTTGCCCGAAACCAATCCCACCACCATCTTACATCGACGTGCGCGACGCTTGGAGACCCATGACTCTGATAAATCCCACACTTATCAGACTGCTGCCGATGTCGCCCAAGCGGGTGTCTCTTTTCATGAAGTCATCCAGGAGTCGTTGCTTATTCCATCGAGAATCACTTTTCTGGACCCGGCAATTCTATTCTTGAACTTGTACACGTCTCTGACTTACGGGATCTACTACTCTTTCTTCGAAGCATTCCCAATTGTGTATCAGGGGATGTATGGGTTCAATTTGGGAGAAATGGGCCTCGCCTTCTTAGCTATCGTTGTCGGATCTATTATCTCCTTTTTGGTCTACAACCTCTACATTTACAAGATTTTTGTTCCGAAGACAAAGAGAGGGCAGATCCAAAAGCCAGAAGATGTCTTGGTTCCGGCTTTGTTTGCATGCTTCGGACCAGCCATCGGGTTGTTTCTTTTTGGCTGGGCTGCAGATCCAAGAGTACATTGGATTGTGCCGACGATTGGTATCGTGATCTACCCGGCTTGTGTTTTTATCTTGATGCAATCCATCTTCCTGTACATTCCTGCATGCTATCCTCAATATGCCGCGAGTGTTTTTGCAGCAACTGATTTCACGCGAAGCGCCTTTGCTTGTGGTGCCGTTGTTTTTTCTCGGCCGCTTTACGAAAACCTTGGAGTGGGCCCAGGATGCAGCTTGTTGGCTGGTTTGACGGTTGGATGTATCATTGGGATATATTTGCTTTACAATTTTGGGGAGCGATTGAGATTGAGATCAAAATTTGTGTCCAGGTGGTAACCTTGAAAATTATGAAGAGGTCGAGAGATGGATATGGCGGAGCCTTGGACCTCGGGAATGTTCATTGGTCACTGAACAAAGTACTGACGAACCTTTTCTCACATGTGTCAGCGTATATATCAAGACCTTCTCCAATGACCTTCAATATTGCCCATTGTTCATTTCCTCTGATCAACCGAGCCCACAACTTCACTACTGCAAAAGCTAGATAGGAACAGTTCGAAGATGCGGTTGGCCGAGACCACAAGTCTTCATCGCCCGAGGTCCTTCCTTCTTCAACTATGTCACTGATCCAACTGATCAGACGACTCTCATGTTCTGTGCGCGTGAGCATTTTCTGTCGAAATTATTTGGACACGGCGAGTACATACCATCCAGCGGTCTTGTCTTTTGACAATTAGATATACAAAACAGCCATTTGCTAAGGAAGATGGCGAATTCCAATCCACATATTGAGTGCTGGATACTCCATACAAAAGCGTGGCTTCTTGCAACGTAGTTGACGCCTAGCTTAACGGGTATGCTTAACGCATGTGTAGCGTGCAATATGGCCGGCAGTAGGTGAGGGCCCGCTGGCAGACGTGGCATTTGGAGTAATCGGTTTGCAATTTCCTGTGGATCTCGAGTCCCAAGTATTTTGTATGAGCCAATATTAAGCGCGAGTCTAACGTATGCAAGGCCTAGCAATGCTGTTGAAGTGAATGTCACTGGTCCGTTGGGGTTGCGCGGATCGAGGCTTGATTCGGGAGCTCGTTGCCACTGAGACGTCCATGCATGGAGAGCATTTCTGGGTAAGAATCAGACATAGTCCTTTCAAATTTTCTCACAGGGCGAAGTCTTACCGAATGGTTTCTTTTTGGTGATTGAGTAAGTTATGATCTTCGTCAGTGTATGGATTGAATGCCTGTTGGACAAGCATGATGCGTTGAATAAGAGCATGTAGAAGAAGGTAATTTGCCAGAGGGGATGGCACGGGCTGCGAGTTAAGTAGTTGTGGCTCTTTTGAGCCTTTCATGAGATGTGAGAGGGCTTCTTGCACATACATTTGCCGTGCATTTCCTGATTTGTACACCTTCGCCCATTTTTCCGGACTTGGAGCGATCCATTCGAAACAGGAACACGGCAAACGAAGCTGTAGTTCATCACTCAAAATCACCGGTGGAGTGCCAAATGCGATGCAATGGATATTCAAAAGGCAATAAGAGAAAAGTTTGAGTCTCCTGTCCATCTCCTGCTGTATCCAAGACTGCCAGCTTGGAGGCTCTTGCTGTGACTCTTGGGATTCCACCAGTTGACACTCTCTCACGCACCTCGCGAGAAGACTCTGGAGATTGAATGCCTCTCTCACGATATCTTGCTCGCTTTGCCACGTCGCAAATGCAATGAGATAGAGAGCACATCGCGCCTCGCGCATGAGCTCTCTATATTGCTTGGCTCGTCGGTCCGGATCGCTTGGTGAGGTATCCTCAGAGTAAAGACGTCGATCCATCTCTTTCCGTTCTCTTTCCTGGGTATTTCGCTGAAGAGTGGATTTTGCAGCATAAAAAAGAAAGACTGCTTTTCGGTGCTCATGTCGATACTGGGCACCTATCGCGGCCATCGACAAAATGATTTCAGGCTCAGTGTCTTCCAGTCTGAAAGTCGGGAGATGCACGACTGGTATATGGGGGTAAAATCCATCGAAGAAGCCATTGACAAATCTAGTGAGTGAGTGGCAAGAAGGAAAGGCAGATTGAGAAATGGTAGTCTGAGAGTCTCCCAGGGCTTGCAGCAGACGATTACGGTGGTCCTCAGTAACCCTCAAAATCGGCAGAGTCAATACGCCAAACTCGGCTTTATTTGTATTCTGAGTATTAGCCTGAGCCATGAAAGGAAGCTTAAATATCAGGACACTTACCGACATTCTCTCGTTCTATGGGAAGCTGGCTTAAAGACTGGCTATGGCTCTCATGGGAGGGTTGCTCCTGTGATAAGTCTCTAGTCGTATGGCCAGGCGTGGGATTCAGTCTAGATTCCCCGGCAAATATTTGCACAATACTCGGTTCAGTGGGGAGGACCCATTCAGTGCTGAGGCCCATATTATGACTGAAAGATTCCAAGTCTTGTAACACTAGGAGATCCTGAGGATTGAACATCGAATCTATGTCAGTCAATAAATTAGCTCCATTCTTACTCTGCGGCTAACAGCTGTGGTGGACCAATGTGACTCTACCTTCGAGTGAGTACCCCGGGTAGTGTCCTTGTTGGTCAATGGAGCCAGTAGGGGCACCTGCGCCCTGGAGACTAGGAAGTTCCCATAGGGATGTGTCAGAGCTTTGTATGGTGGATACTTCATCTCCATGTGGTTGCAGGCCGTGGCCATCATTGAGAGTCACAGGCGATGGTTCCTGCGTTGAAGGGGTGATTGGAGAATGGCCAATGTCCTCATGTCGCTTGAGCAGATCTCGGCGCCCAAAGGAGGCACCGCATACACACTTATATGGCTTCTCATTTGTATCTAGAATCAGTTAGTGTCTATCAAGGTCGCAGATCCCTGCAGGGCTGGACATACGAATCCGAATGTGCCGTTGGAGGTGTTCGTGGCGACGGAAATGACGTTTACAGTGAGGGCAGGTCCGAGGCTTCCTCTTGTCTGTGGTTTTCGGTGTCTCGCATGGAGATTCCATGCTCGAAAATTCTCCAAGATTGCGAGTTGTTGAGGAAAATGATCAGGAAACTCAGCAGCCCTGGAGGTAGGGAGTATGAAATCACCCTGGGACTCACTTGGAGGTGGTGTCTATCCGAACATGTAACCTTGATTGAATATTCTTTTCCCCCGAACTGGCAGATTTCGAGAGCCCAGTGGAGATATTGATTTATGTATTTGACTTAGCTTGATCGGAGGAATTAATTCCCATCTCGCCGATTGAAATCATTCAGAGTAAAAAAAAATAGTTGGAGGTAGTGGGTACGTCTTCAACACCTCCAAAATGCCAAGACTGAAGATGAACGACCAACGGGCGCGAAGTTCTAGTGGAGATCTGAAGTGATGAGACCTAGATCCAAAACCATATGTTATGTGCAATATTGAAGTATTATTGTGCGAGGGATTTTCGTGACCCAAAGGCGTGCTTTATGAGCAGTTAATTGGGCCAATGCAAAGCCTGGCATGTATGCCCCAGTGATAGAATCCTAGCTTGACTGGAAGAATAAGCAGCTTGGAACAGTAGAAAGGGCAAATGATGGCATGTTTTGATACCAATTGAATATACAGTTCAATATCCGGAAGACACATAGGATGCAACCCCCATGGGGCGCGAGGGCACATCCCGTTGCATACCGGTGGCTCAATATGAACAACGAACCAACAAGAAGGACACGGACACCACCGCGATTGTTCTCAAACTTCGGGAAATATCATATTCAATTTGGGTATCATCGGTATTATCAGTCAAGTGCGAGGGTATCATTTGTTCTTCGTGCGCCCGTTGAGTTGGTCTTTGAACTCTTCCTTGAAATGCCCGAAGAATTTCTTGAAATCAAAACCTGCGATATACAGTCAGCTGTGACCCAGTACTCGACGAAGACCTTGCGCTGAGCGTACCATCCGCTTCATGATGTGATCCTCCGAGTTCTTCCTTCGGTGGAAGAGGCACTCCATGCCTGTGGTGCTGGACCCTCTGGTGGACTTTTCCAACCATGCGATGGAAGATAGGGCTTCGGAGGAGCTATTAAAACGTCAGAGCGATGAACGCGACTGTTGGCGGCTTGTGGTGCTTACTCGAATAGTGAGCCAAACCTGCGATCAAACATCAGTGAGAAACAGAGTGGCGAAAGCAGGAGAACACTCACCTCCAAGCCCCGGATTAGGAATCCCAGGACCATTTTGAAGATACGTTAATGCTTGACCATTAGTGTCGGCTCTTGCGGAATGCGAGATGTTCAGCAATGATCGAATTGGAGATCGACTGCAGTTTCCCCATCCACACCGCCCCAGACCGCGGCCCCGCGAAGCTTTTCCCCGATGATCTTGCCAGACACCTGACTGTCTCGCAGTATCAGACTCAACATCATTACGCCAAAGGACTAGCTATGGTCTTGTGGCTTTGTCATCCCGCCACTGAGTCCTGACCACAACCGACGATGGCGAGTGGCACCGAAGAATCCTCACACGCTCGGTCCATCGTTATCTATACCAGAAACTACGTTTCGGTCACAGCTACCAGAGAATGACCCAAGGTTGTTACACCTGTCGACGACGTCGCATTATATGCGACAATGGCCAGCCCACCTGCAGGAAGTGTCGGGATGCGGGGAAAGAATGTCTGGGGTATAAAAAACCGCTGGTCTGGGTGAAAGGAGGTGTGGCCAGTCGGGGAAAGATGATGGGTCGCAGCTTCAACGACGCCGAGAAATCATCCAGTAAGCCCAAGCGGCAGCAAACCACAGAGAAACCCGACCCGGAACCGACGAGCAGTGGGTTTGGCTTTTTCTCTATCGCCGAGTCTCAATCCCCCTCCGATGCCGATTCTCACAGCTCCGGGACTCAGCCTAGCCCCGAGACCGATGCTTGGACATTTGAGGCCGATAATACAATTCTCGGGGCCGAGTTTGAGCAGTTGGGTTTCAACGCCATTGAGGAGCAGGACACGGCAATCGTGCATGTTCCTCGAGGCGCTCCTCCAGCGGAATATACCCCGACACCATGGGGGCTGGTCGATCCGCTTCTCAAGGATCTTAGCCAGTTCTCTCGGTACTATATTCATCACTGTAAGACATATCTCGTAATCTGAAGTCGCCCTGCTGATCAGTATCTGTAAAGACAATCAATACATGGTGAACGATTTCGCACTCTACTCCCAGCACAAAAATCCCTTCCGGGATCTTACCGCACTGGTCAACCATTCCCCAGTCCTCGCTCATAGCATTACAGCTCTTGGAGCCCTACATTACTCTCTTCTCTCGGAGTCGGACTCATCACTTCTGCCTTGGTCATCTGGGAACCTGGCAACGGCAGACTCCAATCTGTCGGTCGAAGAAATCGAAGATATTGTTGCGCCAGCAGGTTCGCGAAAGCCTTCATCACAAGCATATCGGCATTTCCTGGAATTCAAACAGCGTGCTCTCCGCCAACTCTCTACAGATCTCCGGAGTCCGGAAATGCAGAAGGACGGTAGAACAATAGCGGCTATTGTTCTGCTTGCTTTCCTGGACATCATTGAATCTGGTAGTGGAGCATGGAGCACGCACATTGAAGGCGCGAAAAAATTACTCAAAAACCGGCCTGAGAATGGCATGGGTCAAGGTATTCTGGATGATCTGGACGCTTTTGCCCTTGACGGCTGTTTGATGTAAGAAATCATTACCATGGTGTTTGTACGAAACTAACCGGCAACGCAGAATGGAAATCATGGGATCAACACTTGCTCGCCCAGGCGCGCTCTCGAAGCCCTTCTATTCTTCATCTATGGGTCCCTCGATCCTCAAACGCCTGGAAGAAAATTCCTGGGTGGGATGTCCCGCTTACCTCTTGGAAGTGATCTTTTTCATCCACTCCCTATGGTATCCAGACCCGGAGGCCGCTGCTACAAAGCCACAACCAACGGGTCTTCCAACCTCAATCCAACCAGGCCAGCCCTTCACACTAGAAGCCTTCGCTAGCCTCCTCCAAGGGATCCGCAACTTCGACCCTATATCCTGGAGTCAGAACATGCAAGATGTGTTCTTCATTCCAGACCTCACCTACCGCCTCGCTCTGGCAACCTCATACCAAGACGCCGTGTATCTCTACACAAGCCGTGTATTATCCCGCTCACGAGAAGGCTTCTCGCCACCGTGGACAGATGTCGGCATGCCCACCGACCACCGACTCATCACTACAAACCTCATCACCCAAATCTGCCTAGTCCCGGCTTCGGACCCTCATTTCAAGTGTCTCATTTGGCCAACTTTCATTGCTGGTGCGGAGTGTCTTCCTTCACAACGAGCTCTTATTCTTGAAAAGCTTGGTTCGCTCTATGAGGCGATCATGAGTGTTAATGTTCGCAATGCTGCTTGGGTGCTACGTCTCATGTGGCAGAAGCAGGATCTCAAACGTCGTGAACAACGGGGCGAAGAAAGTTTTCCTGACGATACTGCTGGCGCTGATTATAATAATAACGAGGATGATCTTGCTTTTGACTGGATTGACGAGCTCGATCATTCGAGACTGGACTGGTTGTTCATCTAATTTGCGGGTCAGGCAGAACAAGGCTATGGCTATACCTACTCCATCTTTTTACATTTGGTGTCCTTCTGTACATATACGCTTTTCCTTCCAGGGCTTCGAAGTCGATGCTTAAGTCGATGCTTCACCATAACTATCAATTCACGTATCTTTAGTATGGGGTATTTGCCTAGGTTGGAATACTAGTATAGATTCATGGATCTAAAGGAACGTACGAGATCACCCTGAAATCGAGAAAGGAAATTCGGGTATATCATTTCTCTGTCCAGAGCGCAAGTCTATCTGCCACAGAGAAGGTTAAAGATGAGCGGAGCAAAAGAAAAAAAGCACAACGAAAGAAGGCCAGGGCATGCCCGAGGCGCACGATGAAGCCTTTGAGAAATTAGCATGGGCAAACCTTGGAAAAGCCCAACAACCAAAACAAACCAATTCAAGGACAGACTTCGCCAAGAGATCATTTAAGGATGATGCATACGTTTCGACAGTCTTGATTGCAATATCCAAAAGGGGGACAATCCAGGAGCACAGTTGCCAGGAACCGAGAATGAAAAAGAGAAAGAAAAAGAAAGAGGAAAGCAGAAAAAGTCTCAATGTTGTGGACAATGTGCTTCAGGTAATCAGGGATATATAACAGAGGACATAGAAAAGGACAAGGGATAGGAAACAGGAACCACGAACAGGAATGGGAATTTCCAAAGATGAGACAAATGAGGCGAGCAAAGAACAAAACATGCGCTCCCTTCCAAATCTAAATGCAAGAAACATGTCACCCTAACACAAACAGAATACGCTCGTCACTGGAAAATGCAAAAGGTAGGAAAACCGATATGCTGGGATACCATCCCATCTTTGTGCGAATGCCGGTGCATAGAAAAGAAGAAAAAGAGATGAATAGCTGAATGTGGTTGTTCCACGCCCACATGGAACCGTGGGGATGCGACAAGAGGCACGAGAGAAAACGAAGCAGTGGAGTACCGGATAGAATGGAAAGGGTATGCAAGGGAAATAAGGGACGGTGCAGGGCGTCTAGAACACAGCCGCAAGGCCATTCTTAGAATGACGCTTACTGAATCGCTTTCTTCCTTTCGTTGAATCGGAATCTGTGGCCTGGTGTTTCACAAGATGGTTCCGGCCCGATGACGGTGGGCCTTTATCATCTTTCTGCATGTCGGAGGTGCGGTCTAGTGTGTTGGCCGGACTGGGAAACCCCGATGAAAGATCGCGGTAGGCATCGTCAGAGAAGCCCGCATTTTGGTGTTGTGTGGCCATCTCCCGGGATCTGTCTAGTGCGTCCAGCCATTCTTGGGCCTGAACTGCTGTAGCGCCAACGCTACTGGATGAGGGCTTGGGGTCCTCGAATACATAGTGTTTGTCTCTCTGTGGTATTGTGTTAGATCTGATGTGTGGGAGGCAGGGATAGATGACTTACTGTGTCCACGATCCAAGAAGAGATTCCCTTGGAATCCGTTGTGCTTCGATAACTTGTCCCTGGGGCAAGGAGAGATATTTCAAGTTTGACCTTCTTGTCGTCGCCCCCAGAGGCGGCCATAATGATACGTGCAGATGAAGTGACCATTACCAAACGCTGTCGCTTCTTTGTGGCACTCCCTGAGAAGAATCGAGAAAATTTCCTGGGAGCCTCAAACTCGCCACTGCTGTTTTTGGACGTAGGGCTGTGAGATGCGGCCGAGGAGAGAACCACGAAGTTGCCCAACTTGAGAATCCGTTCGTTGGATTTGTTTAGCACTGGGGACCACTCAATATCCAATTGACTTGGCGGTGGAAGCTCGGTTACCACCCGCGGGAGGTGACGAGAGCTGGCATTTGGCGCATTAGAGGGGGCTGTTGAGATAACAGGGGCCAGGGGCTCATTGTCTTTGCTTTCGTTGAGCTTGATGGGATCGCGTGCTGGGGGAACGTAGGCTTTCAGTCGGGGTGCCTTCTGCTTCCACAAATCCGGTCCCCATGTCATTCCCTCAAAGAACTCATGGTTCTTAATGTGATCAATCTGAAGACGTCTTGCGGGGTCGAGAACGAGAAGACGCTCGACAAGATCACGAGCGACAGGAGGGAAACCAATGGGGAATTCGTAGTCAAGTGCCACGATTTTCTGGAAAGTCTGGTACTCATTCCCGGCTTTAAAGGGCGGACGGCCAGCCAGGAGTTGGTAAATGATACATCCAAACGCCCAAAGGTCACTGGCTTTGCATGCGTTCTTATCTGTCAATAGCTCAGGACTCACGTACTCCGCAGTACCGACAAAAGAGCTCGCACGCTCTTCCTTGGGAATTTCACTCGAGTCGATAGGTGGCATGCCAGTTGCATTCGGGTCTGCTCGTGGTGTCTCCAAAATTTTGGCAGTACCGAAATCAGTGATCTTAATGTGCATTCCCGAGTCAAGCAAGACGTTTTCTGGCTTCAGGTCTCGGTGGATCACCCCGCGCTTGTGCATGTAGTGTATAGTGTCGAGGATCTGCGCGCCGTAGAACCTCGTGCATTCCTCGTCGAATGTGGTCATCCGCTTGAGGACGCCGAGCAGCTCTCCACCTTTGCACAGGTCTAGCACAAAGTACAAAGACTGCTCATCCTGGAAAGTATAGTATAACCGCACGACACCCGGATGGTCGGTTAGGCGATTTAGTGTATCCTTCTCAATATTCACGTATTTGACCTTTCGCTCCTTGATGATGTGTCGTTTGTCTAGGATTTTGATTGCGAATTCCTTCAGCGTCTGCCGATCCGTAGCCAGGACGACAGTACTGTAGGAACCTTCTCCAAGTGTGGTTCCAAACGAGAAATCCCGCACCCCCTTCTTGACGAAGCGAGAGACGGTCTGACCGTTAGCGTCTATCTCCTGGCGAACTGAGACCGCCGCACCACGCTCCTGCCATTCCTCGCTACTTGCCATTGGGCCGTTCTCCGCCATATAGGATGATCGAGCGATCTGAGACGCGCCGCCACTTCTTGCGTGTGCTCGGGAGGTCTGCCGCATTACCGCCGGGGCGTTCCCGGCGATCTGAGCAGTTCGGTAGGACCGGTCGCTGTGAGAGTTATCGCGCGCAAGGACACCGGCATGCAGTGCGGATGACCCTCCTCGTGTATCTAATCGCGCCTGGGAGCCAGATGTGGAGGAAGCACCGGAGTCGGTTCGTATGCGATAGTTGTTATCACGGGGGAGAATGGAAGTTGCCGAACCGTTCGCGTAGACGGAGGAAAGGGGTCGGTTCGGGTTTGGGGGTGTGGAGTGCGGAGCCGTGTACGCTTGGTACGGTCCTGGCTGCACTGGCTGCGACTCGGGAGAGACTTGAATATATGAGGTTCGGCGCTCTTCGGTGGGAACTTCGATGGGAGCGGGAGGAAAGGTGGACGGCTCTTCGTGGGAATTGTGTGTTGATACCGAACCACCCGGGCGTCCGAACGGGCTTGGGGCCATTGACCCGGTCGCATCCTCCGTTGGAAGGGGCGAATCATCTGGGTTGGCTATTCGTAGTCCTCCCAGGGACTGGGATAAACTGAGATCCCCGTTCATGGCGTGTGTTTTATTTTTTTTTTTAGGGAGGGCGGATCGTCAAGTTTGAATAATCAAAACACCAGACTATGACGGAGACCGGAAACACTGCGGATGCATGGTCTGATGAGAGATGAGAAGAATGAGAGTTGACGTTGGAGAGAGAGAGAGGGGGGAAAGGATCAACAGGAGGCTGTCTTAGTAGAAATTGGGTCTAGTGTTGAGGGGCTGACATGTTTACCTATTAATACTGCCCATTCTGCAATTTCTATGTGATTTGTCTTTTGGACTTGCAAGTGCACCGCAGTGCAGTCGCGATGCACTTTCTAAGACATGCTCGTTCTATATACGGCTTTCCCTTGTACTACTTCCTCCTCTCTGAAACATGATCAGACGATCCCCGACTTTCATCGCTCTGGAAGAAGACGATATCGACTCTCACCTCCAGCGGATTTTCCTCCACCATACCCTCATCATTGACCTGGAGCAGCTACATCTAGACGAGAGCGACCTATCATCTTCAGCTGCCGGTACCAACCTGGATCGCGGTTCGACCCGAGCATCTTCACACAACTCACCGGGATCCTCGACGATCCCACAGCCGGAAAAGTCATGCCTCAGAGCTCCAGCAAGTGTATGCCGGGATTTGCAAAGCGCAATTACCTTTGAGTATCCAGCAGACGGATCCGACCCACCAAAACCAAAAGTAACCTACGCCTTGTCACCGCAAGAACTCGAGCTCCATAGCGGCAGGGCCATTCACTCACCCGGACAAACAGAGACAGGTAGATCAGCCTAGCAATGTTAGCCTCGGTTTGATCTGACCTGAATCCCCAGAGCGCCTTGGGGAATACTACCCGACAAGCCACAAAAGCACTATAACGGGCGTCTCCGTGGACTCTCCAATCTCGCCGCAAGTCTCATTCTTATCGTGTGGTGTGTCTTCGAGTCCGGCCACAGTCCCACTCCGGGACCTAGCCTTAGCGTCGACGATGTCTTACGAGGCAGGCTTGGCCGAGGAGGCAATCTCGTCAGCTAGTGCGGAACGTTGGTGAGGGACGCACCTCCATCGTCATTAGAGGGCTTGATCAGAACATCTCGAAGTGATGACTGGAAATTGGTGGCTTCGTTCTAGCGGTCCGACGTGGTCCAAAGTTATTATGATCGAAGCATTACATTACTATCAAGGCCAAGGCCTATTTGTCTACTACTGGTCTGAGTTCTGAAGTCAAAACTCAGACTTCAGATTCCATATCAATATCACAATCCGTGGCAGACATAAAAACCACGAACATATCCCAAATGCGCAAAAACCAGACGTATAACTACAGCGTACAGGCTTAAATCCGAACTCAGAGTCATCCAAGCACCCAGGCCCTCCAATGTCTCACCTTTAATATCCAAGAATGCAATCTAGAATCGCCGAACATTCTCATCTGAAACTAGATCTCGGCAACCTAGTCTATCAATAGTCGAGTGGAGAGGAACCAGGATTTGACGCGTCTCCCCGGCACTTGCACTGCCCGCTCGACGTCACTTGGAACCTGGAAAGGCTGACTCTGCTGACTGCACGCAAGTGGGCTTTCATTCTCAGCCTGCAGGTCATACAACACATCCCACATCCAACACATCATCCATGCCAACATTGGGGGGGACATACACACATATCGAAGAAGTTCACGGTTCGCGCGTGGATCCACTCTTCAACGCCACCGCGTGCGATGATCCGTTGTTTTTTTCTTCCGGAATATCTCCGTATTCTCCATTCGGTGTGAGCCGACTTGATCGTCAACTCGGGGAGTTTAGCTTAAGTCGAGGATACTACTGTACTACACTTTGTACGGTGTTCTGCGTAGGAGGCTCTTGGAGCGGTGTGTGGGTTTGCGATTGCCTGGAGATCGGCATGGTGGCGAGGTGGGGTGTCGCGGTGAATGCCACAGATTCCCTTGCCATTGGGGTCCATCGCAGTGGTAGGTTGAAGCCAGTGTCGATCTTTGTGCAATCGACAGTGGCCACTGCGTTTTTGCAGATGTCGTTTGCAATATGATCTGTGCGATATGAATCGTGTAGATGGACGTGTAGTGTGGCGTCGAGACTCTGGGGGTCTGCCACTTGATTATTCCAAGCTTGTCTGTATACTGAGACCACCCCCTGTCAATGTTGTTTAGCTCTACAAGTGTACAATACTATAATATCCAGAGGAACCACGAAACCAACGTAAATAATCATTCGCGTCAAACAAGCCAGTCTAAATAGGTGTGTATCAAAGGTCGAGTCAGGCCGTCTAGCGCTGACCCGGGACAAACGAGAACAGAGAGGGTTAAATGGAGTTCAGTACCATAATGAAACGCCAACCAAGATCCAGAATCTTCCAGATGCCGCTTCAAATGCTCACTCGTGAAGTGTTGTTTTCCATGACAGTATGAGCTCATTTCATTGTATCAAAAAAAATAGTAGGAATCCCGCCACCTGAAGTGATCGGGTATATTAAAAAAAAGAACAAGGGGGAATTATCTACTGCTTCTTGGCGAAAATCTGGGCACCGTCAACGAGACGACGCTCAGTGTTCTGGCGACCGTTGACGAAGTCGGGGTAGTTGAGGGTCAGCTCAACGGCACCGTTGACAATGTTGTCAACAGCCTCGACACCCAGCATGAAGGAGTGGTCCTGGTTGCCGACCTCGTAGCGCCAAGAGCCGAAACGTCCACGGGACCAGATACCCTTCTCCTGGAGCTTGGGCAGAATCTGGGTGAGAGCACCCTCACGCTCCAAGCTGGGAGTGGGGTAACCGTGGTCGAAGCAGCGGTGGTAGGTGGAGACGATCTCATCACCAGCCTTGAGCATGTCGGTGTTGACGAGACCCTGGATGGACTCGGCAAGGAGAGTCTCGTGGTTAACGGGCTTCATGGAAGACTCGGAAACCTCAAGCATGATGGACCAGTAAGGACCCTCCTGAGCCTCGGTGTTCTTGGGCTTGGAGCCATCGGCAAGCTGGAGAGTGGGCAGCTTCTTGGAGGACTCGGGCTGGTTGTGGGGGAGTAGTTGGAGAAGATGGTGGCACGGTAGAAGGGGCAGTCATCCTCGGGGAAGTACAACCAGCACTTGTCACCAATGCGGTCGGGGCGGGCACCACGGATACCAACACCGATAACGTGAGTGGAGGAGTAGAAGAGCTGCTTGGTGAGGGGCATGAGCTCAGTGTCGTTCATGGCCTCAGCGAGGTAGTCGACAGCCATGGTGGAGACAAGCTTGTTGTAGGCGATGGTGGTGCCATCCGCGAGGGTGACGGTCTTGTTGTTGGCGTTGACCTTCTCGACCTTGTTCTTGGGGCCGTAGCGGGTGTTCTCCTTGGGGATGGTGTTGGCAACAGCAATCCAGATACCACCGGTACCGTCGCGAGCGGGGAAACGGAAGGTAGCGTTGGGACCCCAGTTACCGGCAGTCTTGTTGAGGATGACGTTGGTGGTCACGGCCTTGACGTTGGGGGCAGCGACACGCTCACCGAGCCAAGCGCATTGCATCTAGATTCAGTTTGATAAGCATTGGTTCAATTGCTCGCGGAGAAGGGTCGAAATTTACCTTGGTGGTGGGAACGGCCCAGACCTTGTAGTTGTAGGGTCTCATGAACAGGTCGGCAATACCAGTACCCATCATGCGGACAATCCACTCATCGAAGTCCTTGGGCTTGGTGTTGGAGACACGGGCCTCAAGGGCGGCATCGATCATGCCGTCAATGCACTTCACTTGCTCCTCCTTGGGAAGCATGGAAATGTTGTTCTGGAAGGGGTAGGGAACCCACTGCTCCTGGCAGCGGACGTAGGAGATACGCTCGTGGGTGAACCAGTCCTCATCCTTGGGGAGGGCCTCGTTGATGCAGTCGTCGAAGTACTTGTAGTGGGAGAAGATAACGTGGCCACCGACATCGTACAGCTGTCGAACGCGTTAGCTAAGAGAAACGTTCACAGTAGGGCCAGTCGCAACGTACGAAACCTTCGGGGGTCACATCAGTGGAAGCAAGACCACCGGGGGTCTCGTTAGAGTCGATAATCAACCATGAGGCGCTGTTCTATTCAAACAATTAGCATTTTGAACTCCGGATACCCCTCCCCTTTTTTTTCGAGGTGCCCCTCTCCCACACCGCAAGATGGACGAAGAACTCACAAGCTGGTTCAGACGCTTAGCGGCACCGAGACCAGTCGGGCCAGCACCAATGACGAGAACGTCAACAGAACTAAGCAATTGTCAATAAATGAGCATTGGCAGGACGATGGAATCTCTTACATGTCGGGGTGGGTCATTCTGCCTTGTAGGAGGTCCTGAAAGCTGGGGACTCGTTTGAAGGTCTTGCGGGCGACGTTCAGCATAGAAGCACTGCTGCAGGATACTGCAGAAAAAGTAAGAGGGGGAATGGAGGGATAATAAAAGGAGGAGGAACCAAAGAAGTAGGGGAAGTGGGAGGACAACGTGACAAGCCAAGCTAAGGGTATCTAGACGCACTTGGTTCTATGGGTAAACGGACCCGGCGGTGGAGACGACGTGCCTGTTTCAGCTTTACTGATTCGTATTGAGATATTGTGTTTTAATTGCTTTCGTGCCCTTTTTTTTCACTTTAATCTTACCTTAAAATCCATTATTCGGTACATTTTTACATTATTTGCTTTTTTATTTCCTTTTCTTCCAAGGCTTGCCACTGATCTAGATCGCTACACATTGTACTTCGTGCTCTTGTATCAATCAGGGGGAGGCTGTGTAAGTAAACGACGCGTACTTGTACATGGTAAGGGTCATCTCATCACATTGAAAGAAAGAACCAAAAACGAACATATCACATCGGCGAAAAGCCGTTATTGGTCTGGAGCTTATCATGATCCTGCTAAAAGCAGGGACTTGAGGTGCATTGAGGATTTCGCATGCAGGCCAAGGTCGTTATTGAAATTCCCGATGCGGACATTCAGGGTCCTTTGGAATGCCGTTATCATATCACAACAATTCAACGCTGAAAAGGGGCAAGGACAATCTGGATAGGGGCAGTTGAATCTCGATTCAAGGTGGCCAAACTAAAAACGCCACCGATGTAGGTACTGACACGTTGTTTGGGGGTTAAAATTACCCTGCGGCAAGAACCTTGGATATGGGACCTCCATTCTTAAACGGCCGATACAACTGGTTTAGTGCGTGAGAGTACGGAGTATACTCCATACACTATGACAGATCTACAAGTGTGAACGCGAAACATTTGGTAAGGAACAGTAATCGGGCAATGGGCGGAGTGTACGGAGTACGGAGTATGGATTCTGGTATCATATGCGATTGCCGATAGGCCCAGAAGGAAAAACCCTGAACCCTCCCGGAGCACTATCCGCAGACCGCAGACAGCAGAGTTGATCGTCTAGTGTCGAAGGAACGGGATTCGCGAAACTTCAGGGCACAGGCGTCCGGTTCCACTGATGGGCAGTCCCCAGAAGGGCAAACATGGCGAGGATCCCAGAAAACTGATCTTTCAGATGCCCTTGAAGGCAAACTTCTCGAATCATTGGAGAACAAGGCTGTCGTCCCCTGAAACACGCTGAACCAGTGCTGGGGATAGAAAAGCTTAGGACTCCCCCACTGGTCCAAGCACAGGAATGGCGTCAGAGACTGCCTGAAGGCGATCGCTGCATTCTCCACCCGTAAGGGACCGGATGGACCAGAGGGTCGCTGCACGCGGGTCTTGGTGGGTCTTGGCTAACAGCTGCTTGCGTAATGCCCTGTTAATTTGGATCTGCACTGTTTACGTCGGTTTTTTATCTCAAACCGAGTCTGATACATTCCTGTAGGTGACAGATCGGGGTGATGTCGTACACCGGAGAAGAGCCGCGGTGACAGTGGTAGTGAGTAGATCTGAAGAGATATCGGAGTTCAAGATTAAGTAAATAAGAAAGTGCCAGGTGGAGATCATTAACGGTCCCTGGGTAAAAGGGGAGACTCGCCACGAGTAACCCATGGGCGCGGTCGTATTTGCAGTGTATCATCACGGAAACCGCTAAGAATATCAACCAATGATGGAGGGATAAATGGAGGAGTAAGAGGAATCAAGATGACTGATTGGCTCTAAAAAGACAGGTGGCCTTAGCAAAGATGTAACGGTAATTTTGACCAGGCTGTTTGCGTGGACCACTCTTGCCTTGTTCCTGAGCCTGGCCCAATTCTGTTTTCTTCTACTAAAACATCTCTTGCATTTCCCGATCTTTTTGGATTTAATTTCCTAAAACTCAACTGGATTCTTCCGTGGTAGTCAAAAAAAAAAAGAGAGAAAATAATTAGTCGTTGACATCCCGAAGTACGCATCCCTATCCCTTCGACCTTCCATTCCTTCGTTATCTGTTTCTTTTTTTGACTTTAGATGCTTTTGGTCCAACTCCTGTCGCACTCGTTAACTCGTTAACTCGGAGCATTTAGTGTTCCATTTTTAATTCCGTCCTACACCCACTTTTCCCCGTGGCTTCCTCCGCCTTTAATTCAGGAAGCCTATCCCGGCCACGACCCTTCGAATTCAAGCGCTTTCTGTCCGATCAATCTCAAAACTTCACAATGAGTGACGGCGAGAAGGTCCGCGCCTCTGGCGAGACTCCCCGGGAGCAGTCTTTGCCCACCGTCAACCCCGCCGCTGAGAAGGAGCAGCCAAGCGCCTCCTTCCACCCCGCAGTCTATGTGACGTGAGCATTATCGCAATCTATATCAGCGAGCTCAATGGCTGATGTCTTGCTAGTACCTGGATTACTCTCAGCTCAGCTGTTATCCTCTTCAACAAATGGCTTCTTCACAAAAAGCAATTCAGTAAGTTGATTTTCCATACTCCATACTCCGCGCCGAACTTCTCTCTAACAGACCGTGATCAGGCTACCCCATCATCCTCACGACATGGCACTTGACCTTCGCTACCATCATGACCCAGATCCTCGCTCGCACCACAACCGTCTTGGACGGCCGCAAGAAGGTCAAGATGACCGGCCGTGTCTACCTCCGTGCAATCGTGCCTATCGGTGTGATGTTCAGTTTGAGTTTGATCTGTGGTAACATGACCTACCTCTACCTGAGTGTTTCCTTCATTCAGATGCTGAAGGCCACCACACCCGTGGCTGTGCTGCTTGCTACCTGGGGTATGGGTCTGGCCCCGGCCAACATGAAGGTTCTGGGCAATGTTTCCATCATCGTGATCGGTGTCGTCATTGCCTCCATTGGTGAACTCCAATTCAACTTGGTCGGTTTCCTGTACCAGCTTGGTGGTATTGTCTTTGAGGCTACCCGTCTGGTCATGGTCCAGGGTCTGCTCAGCTCCTCCGACTTCAAGATGGACCCTATGGTTTCTCTGTACTACTTTGCTCCCATCTGCGCTGTTCTTAACGGTGCTGTGGCTCTCTTCCTCGAGATCCCCAAGGTTACCATGGCGGAAGTTTATGCCGTCGGTATTCCTGTCTTGCTGCTCAACGCTCTGATTGCGTTCCTGCTGAACGTCTCTGTTGTTTTCTTGGTAAGTCAATCTCCGAGCAGTGACCTCACATCATAATGTGCCGTGCTAACCCACCATGTAGATTGGCAAGACCTCTTCTCTCGTCATGACCCTCTGCGGTGTCCTCAAGGATATCCTCTTGGTTGCTGCCTCCATCATGTTCTTCCACGACCCTGTCTCCAACCAGCAGTTCTTTGGTTACTCCATTGCTCTCGGAGGTCTGGTCTGGTACAAGCTTGGTGGCGACAAGATGCGCGAGTACACCTCTGGTGCTGGCCGTGCTTGGGCTGAATACGGTAACAACAAGCCTGCCCAGCGCCGCTTTGTGGTCATCGGTGCCGCTGTCCTCTTCTTCTTCCTTTTCATCGGCTCTTTGAGCCCCAACTACACTCCCGACAGTGTTGGCCGTGTCAAGGGCTACCTTGGCGGTGCCGCTTCCGGCAACGCTTAATTGCATTTGTCGGAAATTTACTGCAATTCTCTTAAAACGGAATGCAGCGAAGATGAGGATTTGACACAGATCAATCCATGTGTACAATCAATGGTGTGCAGGTGCATAGAGCGAGTCTCTCTTTCTACTGTCTCTCTGTGACACTCAGAGAGCTCTCGTTGGTGTTGGATTTCTGCCAAAGCCCTGCGGTATGATGGGAAATTGGGGTTTCTCTTTTTTTTTTGGTTGTTTTATTACCCACCCTTTTCTTTTTTCCAGCCGCATTTCTGCGATGTATACAGTGACATGATCGGAGTGTTACTGGCGGAGTTTTCCTTTTCCTTTTTTTTTTTCTTTCTACGGACGTTGGTTTGATGTCCGATTTCCAAGAGCTCTGGTGTTTCCTTTGAAGTTCCTTTCATGTTTGTAGTATCCCAATAGACTTCAACTAGCACTCCAAGATATCTCCAGGTCCCAGCCACACGATATGTCAATTCCCAGTATTCACGTGAGTATCCCCCACATGACTTAATCAGGCCATCCCCGCCTAGTCCAGGTTCCGCGTAGCCCGAGAGCCAATGCCCGATGACGATCCAGCTTGCGCCAACAGCTATACAGGACAGGCGCAAAAAAAAAAAAAAAAAAGAGAATAACAAAGTAGTTCGTACATCAGCTCGCCTTTTTTGCCCAGATTAGACTCGGTTTCATTTTTCACTGACCAGTGTCTTGTACGTATGTGTCACTTGGCCGGTTATTCTCATCTAATCAGTAGTAGATACAAGGAATCTTGAGATATCGGTGCCAGCTAGTAGGTGTAAATCAAAGCGGCCAAGTGCTCCAATAGAATTCCTCTCCCTCTCTTGCTCTGCGCGAAATGCCCAGATGTACTGTAGCCCTGGAGAGCAGTGCGGCTGTTTGAAACGAATGATTGGCTCAAACGGTGTACGCAGCCCGGAGGAGCATGGCCTCCGCTTTTGCCGAGAGAATGATTCTGCCAGTTTACGAACTCACAATGCCGTACAGAGTACTCGGTATTTCACATTCCTATGAATATTGGCCCGGCCCATTTACTTGAATTACTTGGCTATCATGCTGCCATTGCGTTTGCTGAGCAAACGCTGTATGTACTTCTTTTCAATCTATACAGAAAAAGAACTACACGCTTATGAGAAAGGAAGGCGGTGGCTGAAAAGAGAAGGCGGTGATAAAGGTTACCAAAAAATACAAAGCTGAAAGCGAAGTCAACAGCCATTTGAAAAGTCAATGAAAAGTCAAGAGACTTCCCAAGGTAAGACAAGTCAACCTTGGTGAAAACCTCAAACCCACTAGAAGCCTTAGATGCTACCGATACACAAGCTCGGCTTGGTTGGGGAGTTTTTCTTGAAGAGGTAATATCATAACCCAGGTCTTAGCTATCATGTACGGAGTATCATGACTTAAACCTGACCATCATGATGGCCTTAGAGAGGAAGCTTGGGAATCAAGTACATAGGCCCCAGAAAAAGGCCTCCTGACTTTGGTCTACTGCCGGCAACTACTGTACAAGAGCATAGCCAGTAGTGAGAATCCAACTACATAGTACTCCGTAGTATTTGAATGACGGTAGGATTATGGTAATATGGAGGTAATTTTGGGATGTGCCCAGGCGTTTCTGCTGCATCGAGCTCCACTCTCGGAGGGCGTGGCTGCGTCCAATAATATTGCTCAATTCTGTATGTATGTATGAAATCTGTCCTGGTGGACCGGATACCCGCTTTTGGCCGGCGTATTACCGTTTTCCTCTGTAAGTGCCCATGTATGATTTGCATCGCGTATCCACTTTCTTCTACCCCAGGACCGATCTCACCCTCTCTTACTTTCCTTCTTCTCTTTACTCTTCGTCCTCTTTTATTTTTGGATCCTCTTTCTCCTTGTCCTTACTTTTTCTTTCAATCTCATCCCTCCATCCACCATCCTCATATATACCTCTTACTTCTTACTTCCTACTTCTTTACCGAGACATCTTCCTATCTCTTGACGTCTTGTCCATAGGTTGAACCTTTTTGTGTCTTGCTCACCTAACCTAACAGAACAGTTCCGTGATCTTGCATCTCAGACAACTCGCAATGTGTCCAATGATGCTCAATCGCCTTTCAGACGGTCCGGCAACGGTCCTCTCCCCCCAGGAACACGCCTTTGCTCAGTTCCCGTCGCAGTCCTCTTTCCTCGGCTCAGGAAGCTTCAACGGCTATCCCACGAACACCGGCCCGACGATATCCAACGGCTTCTCCTCACAAGCTGCTCCCTCAAGCTTTGATGCGTCTGCCCCCGTGGCACCAAAGCCCTCGCGCAAGAGGTCGCGTGATGAGGCCACTTTCGAAGAGGCCACTGCTCCGAGTGTTACTCCAGCGCCCACGCCCGTACCTGCACCCAAGGTAGAACCAATCTACGGAGAAGGCATGGTCCTCATAAACCCTCAAACCGGCCTCACATTATCAGCCGAAAGTCAAACAGGCACATGGTACGAGCAGGAAGCCGAGACACAGCAGGCGGCCGCTGCCCCCATCTCGTCGCGCTCAAACGCGTTGCACTCCGATGCTGCAGACATCAGTCGCAAGGCGCAGCGCCTTGATCAATCTGCTCCGGGCTTGGATGATATTGCAATGTCGTCAATCCGCCAACGGCTGAATGACCCCAGCACCGATGACCAGCACCGCACTCTTCATGCGGGCCCTGCTCCTCCTTCCGAGCCTCTCGTTGATGATGCCACTCGGCTCCTTGGTATCGGCTGGCAACGCGTGAACGCTGAGGGTGACATGGCTCCGGCTGTCCGCGGATGGACAAAGTACATCGACAACCAATATTCATCTCATCTGCACAGCTCACAGATGCTGATCAAAAGTCGTGCTTTGAACGCCTACCTTGTGGCCGCAGTGCCCACTTCTGGATTCTCGCCTGCCTACTACCTGTTCACTGAAGACCTCACACAAGGTCAGCTTGTTTCCTCTAGCTGGGAAGTCTGCCTCCAGAACCTGCGCAGCACCCCGATAATTTTCGAGGGCGCTGTCCCCCTCGCAGCGAACGACCGACCCGATGCGCAACCGACATCCTTCAACAAAATCGACACCGGAGTGCCTCTTCTTCAACAGGCCTTGTCCAGCCACCCACAACCGACCCTCGACGGACTGAGCGGAGGCGTGGAAATGGGAATGGAGATCGACTCGTGATCCACGCCATCCACCCTTCACCTCCGACATCGATCGAGCCGACTCGCCTCGAACCCGATCTTGGACACTTTATTTCGGCTGTGTCTTCTTTTTCTCTCTCATGATTATTATTATTGCTTATTCAGTTCCGAGACTCACGCGCCTGACTCACCCAGTCCGGCCATCTTCAGTTCTCGTTTCGCCCTCTGGAAGGTTTGGGAATGGGGGGTTTTATTTTGCTTTCTCTTGAGGGAACGGCGTCGTAATCCAGGAGTTCTTTTAACGTATATCTCCACGCATGTGTACTCGCAACGTTATTTACGAATCATCAAATCAAAAACGATTTATCTGAGCATTATTCAAACTGAGTATTTGGGACGTCAACTTCGGGGCTTACCAGGGCGGGCGGTCCGGGCTATATATACATCACAAAGCCATGTTTTTAAGTAGCTGAGACTACGGAGCACATAGACAGAGCCCTGGAGCAGTCCTTTATTCACATCAATGTTTTAAATAGGGCGCAACCTTGAAACCCTAGAATACATCCATGGATTCATTGATCTATGTTGTCCGTATGGGCATCGCAGACAAAGAATGATTTCGCAAGCAGGACTTGGATTTTGATCGCGAAAATATGAAAGCTGCAGGACTTGTAAATACCAGGATGCAGGAGCTTGCAGGCAGTATCTTGCCAGCGCACAGAATATAATTTCCAAGGTTATTGAGACGATTTTTCCCTTGTGGATGTGTTTCTTATTCTATTTGCATGCTCCCTACCCAATTACCCAATTCTTCAATTCCTCAATTCGTCGGCGGTGCCTGTCTATCCACTTCGGGTTTCTGCTGCACACACACACACACACACACACACGTGTGAGACTCCAGGGCATGGTTTATTGCCAATAACCCAACAAAACAGCATTTCAAGGTTCTAGGAGCTAGGTATGAAAGCACAAGATGTGTGATATAGGAAGAGGGGCAGTCTGCGTGAGAGTACATTTTCATTTCAGCTTCTTTGTTCTTTGCATGTTCACTTATCACCTCGGCTGATGGAAATGAGCCGCAGTAAATCAATACAGGGGAAAAGAGAGATATTGTACAGTCAAACTTGTAGCTGGCTCTGTAGCTTTATCTGATCTCCAAGAAGTTCCCCGCTATTAATCTCCTCAAAGTGGAAGGCCGACGCACCGGCACATTGTCTAGAACTTTAGACGTGAAGATAGAGTAAACTTGTGTTGTAGTAGCATTGTGTTTACTGAAATGAGTAAGTCCAACAGGTCATTTCCGATTCGCGCACTTTCTTCCTCTTCTACTTGACTGCCTTCCATACTTAATCCAACACTCTTTCGCAAATCAACTCACTACCAGTACCCTTCATACACATTTCAATATGCAATTCGCCACCGCAGTCCTCACAGACCCCTCGATTCCAGTCTCGGCTCGACAGAACGCTTTAAATCGGATATTCTCCGATCCTGGCGTTCCCTCATCGTCCACAACCTCATCATTCTGGCTGCAGGATCCTAGAGTATTTGAACGAAGCTCTTCGCCTCTCCCCGAGGAAGTGGACGTTGTGATTATTGGATCTGGTATTACAGGTGCATCTATTGCACGGTCCATGCTCGAAAATGGCACATCACCATCAATCCTCATGCTCGAAGCACGAAGTATCTGCAGCGGTGCTACAGGCCGCAACGGTGGTCACATTCTGGAGACAGCAGATGAATACGCCGAGTTTGCTGATATGTTCGGAGTCGAAGAAGCAAAGAAACTCATGCGATTCAGACTTGGGCATCTAAGTGAAATGTTGGCTGTGGCTAAAGAGCTGGGCATTGCCGAGGAATCACAGGCCCGCAAGGTTCAATTCTTGAGCGTCTATTTTGGCGAAGAGCCTTGGAAGTATGCCCTTGAGCGCCTTCGTCGCTTCAAAGCGGACATGCCAGAGGAAGCTGCTGAGTGGATTTCATTTGAAGGCGAAGAAATTCCCAAGGTAAGTACACTTACTCTTCTCTTCTCGTGAGACGTCTACTGCTACTCGGCTAACATTCAACGTAGGATTTCCATCTTAGTCGCGCACGGGGAATTGTGGCCGGCCCCGCTGGTGCATTGTGGCCTTACAAGTTCGTGACTGGCGTCCTAGAACATTTGCTTGAAAAATATCCAGAAAACTTCCGCATCGAAGAGCAAACTTCAGTGGAAGAAATCGAAACCACATCCACATTTTACAAAGTGAAAACAAGTCGCGGCACTGTCAACGCCCGACATGTAATTCACTGCACGAACGCACATGTTAGCCACCTCGTCCCAGGCCTACGAGGCCGCATTTTCCCAGTCCGTGGTCAAATGTCCGCTCAAACCCCGGGACGGTCATTTCCTAGTCAGGGAAACGACCATTCCTGGATCTTCAATTACGACCGCGGCTTTGACTACCTTACGCAGCTCCCTGGTGGACAAATGATGCTCGGTGGTGGGTTTGCGCAGGGTGAGCACGGCGGACTGGAAGAATTAGGCATCCCAACGGACTCGGAGATGAGTATGTATATTGACATTCATCTTTCTGGGGCACTGCCCGCTATCTTTGGGCGCAAGGATTGGGGTGGTGTCTCGGGTGAGCCTGTGCAGGCTATGTGGACGGGGAATATGGCGTTTAGCTCTGATGGGTTTCCCTGGGTGGGAAGGTTGCCTGAGTCTGCGACAGGACGGCCTGAAGTTGGCCGGGGTGGTGAGTGGGTTTGTGCGGCCTTTGGTGGAGAGGGGATGGTTCAGGCTTGGTTTAGTGGTCGAGCTTTGGCGAGTATGCTGCTTGCTGGAGATAAGGTGCTGGGTCAGGGGGTTGATACTGATCTTGAGTGGTTCCCGAGGCAGTTGCTTTCGTCGAAGGAGAGGTTTGATACCACAGGGCTGCCACGGGAGATCATTGATACCTCTCATCGGGCCAGCCTATAGATTTGGATTCTAGTTGCATCCAAGTTATCTTCAGTCTTGCAATAGAACTTTGCTATGTATATCAGTGGATATCAGATTCCAATTATCAATTACTCGTGGCCATAGCAATATCATTTGCTCCGGTGACTTCTTTTCCAAAATCATCAGCTCCTCATCTGAGAAGTTGAGAAACAACCCTCGTCCTAGGCCCCAATGGCTCTGGCGAGTCGGAAGTTTTGTTCACTGTCCAGGTGAGTGCTTTGAAGGTTGGGTAGGCAATCCTTGCTCACCACAGAGCCAAAATACGTACCCCGATTTCTAATAAATCTGATCTTTTCTAAGTAAGGCTTCCAATTAATTCACAACTAAGAAACTACTAGCACTTACTTTTTCTTGTATTCTTCTTCGTTGCAAATATACAATTGAAGCTTATTGAATGTCTGTTAGGCTCAATCACACATGGCGAGATGAGCTGCTTAGCAATTTTGCCCATCTCATTTGCGTCAAAATCTCACAATCCTATAAATTCCTTCATTGGAAGAAGCTCATGCTAGATGTCTGGATATACAGCTTCTTGGGACCACTAGATGAAACAAAGAGCCCCCGTGAAAAGTCGAAATAGAATATCTGAGAAAAAATGCACAATGACGTAGAAGTGCAACGTTCAAAGTTGCAGTCATGGGTAGATCGAACACTTAGCCGTGAAGATTGCCAAAGCTGCGATAACGAGCCGCGAAAGCACGGCGAGCGGGCTTTCCCCAGAGTACCATAGGGATGATAGATGCCGTGACACCAAGACTGATCATTCCACATACAATGAACATGTTTTGAAGACCCTGGCGCTCTATCCAAGGCGTAATTGCAAAAGGAATCCCAATGCTCACTGTATTGCGCATGAAAGCTACTGCGGTAAATGCCTCGCCGGTGGCCTAAGAATCTTGATCAGTATGTTTCTCGCCTTGGTGTCATGGTAGCCAGCAACATACATCCTGGTAACTATCCATGACCAGAACCAAAGCTGCATCACTGATACTACCCAGGCCAAAGCCGAAAAAGGCACCAGCAATGTTTGGATAGATCCAGTGCATTCCCTGTTGGCGAGTTAGTATGCTTTATCATCAATCATGTCGAGCTGGTTGAGCCTCACTCTGGAGATGGTAGCACCAAACATTATAAGGCCACCAGCCATCATGATTGCCGGAAGATGAAGGATGTAGAGCCTCATCTCGGGCTCATAGTAGCCATTGTTGCGGCGTGCATAATACAAAATCGATCTGTCGCCAATGAACCCACCATACACAGCACCAATGATGTTCCCGATTAGGGGCCCAGCGCTCATGTAGCCGATTTGTTCCGGTGAAAAGAGATATGGAGGCTGTGGAAATGTCAAAGACAAAACACTAGATAGCACTGTCAGCCAGGCGACCCCGGCAGCATATTGTAGAGATGTAAATGCCACGGCAGGAAAGACAAGAACATTGAATGGGCGGTAGAAATGGGGCCAAATTGGCTCAGGTGTTGGGGTTGTCAAGGCAAGTCTCTTGCGCCATGGGTTTCTGGGAATAGTAGGGTCCAAGACGTGATGAGAACGTGTTTGCTCGGTCACTGTTGGGTCTTTGAGTGGAGGCGAACGAGCTCTTTGTAAAGGTGTATCTTTGCTCTGATTATCTCCCAAGTCGTGGGTATTTGTATCTTCCTCGACGTCACCAATATGGCCTGTCAACAAAGGGACGTACTTGGTCTCCTCGTACAGGAAGACAAAGCATAAGAAGAGAATGACTGTGAAAATTCCCATTGTCTGATAGGAGGAGCGCCAGCCCTGTCGTGTAGCCTGAGCGCCAGCTGCCATGGGGGTCAAAAAGCTCTATGGACGGATAAATCAGCCTGTGCCTTACGGCTGATTGCAAGGCGAACTCACCCCAATCATGACACAACTCATGTATAACCCATTCATGGTCCCTCGGTGGTGCACGAAGAAAAGGTCCGCTATCTGTACCACAATTAGTGTGACGTCTTACTACCCGATGTAGGGTTCAATTTACTGTTATCTCAGCAATCGATTCGTTAGTTGCACCTGCTAATCCTTGCAATAGATTGGTAATGTACAGCTCTGTCAAGCTGTGCATCCTTGCGGTCCAGAAGGTTGTTGCGAGCATGAGTGCCGTGGAAATGATGTAAACTGGTCGTCGGCCGTACTTTTTCGCAAATGGAATAAAGAAGATACAGCCTGTGGCTAACCCCACAAAGTTGACAGACATTGCTCGGTTCAATTTCGTGTAGCTGACCTCCAAATCGATGGTCATCTGTTGCCAAAATATGGCTTGTACGGTCAGTCTGCAAAATGACTGTTCAGTAAAATGAAGCAAGCTACCATGATTTGACTCACGCGGTAAAAATGAGTATGGTCATAGCCAAAACAATTGTGAAGTTGACAGATTTTCGAGCTGTACTCCAATTCTGTGCCGTGGCATCAATAAGTATACTTCCAAGGTTTGTGGGCTTGAACCTGAAGTTTTCACTCACCAAAGGCTCATTGGGATCAGAAGATGGAGCTGGATCAAGAAAGACGATTGGCTGACCATGCTCGTCGGTTTCATTGTCTGTAACCAGTCAACCTTCAATGCACATGTTTTCAACAGCACACAGAGTATGTCACCTCGAATGAGCTTGAATGTGCCTGGTGGCTGATTTGCTTCGTCCTCGAAAGAGGAAACGGCACGAAGATCTGCCATATTCGGAACTCCTCGAGTTATAGTGTAAACCCGAGAGCGTGATTTAAACTGCGGTAATTTTATTCCACGGGGAATAGAGAATTGAGCCTGATAAGCAACAGTTTGATAGATAAAGGTGTGATATCAAAGTGTGTGTCGACTTGCACGTGGAGTTAAGATTCCCCGATCCAATTGACAATGTAGAGTCGCAGTAGTGATAAACTCGAACAACAGAGCACTCAGCGAGGCCTTCCAAATGCTAAATAGTTCAACCCCAGATCGTTACGAATGCGACTGCACATGATCAACGTCTATAGTATCTTCACTTCAGCGCCACAGATAGGGTCTAACCTTGGAAGGAGATAAGCCAACAAGCACAGATCCTGACGACTCGAAAGATGTCGCATCACAGAAATACGGAGCAAGTGGCCACAATCCTCGGCTCCATGATCGACGTTCCTATCTTCAATTTTAGTGCTTTTCCGTAGCGTCCACTTGCCTAATTCGGTTAGAAGAAGTATTTGACTTTGGAGCATCTGCGTAAGACTGGAAAACAAGCGAGGGGACATAACTGGGGGTCAACGTATAGTTTCTATTGCCACCATTAAGGTCAAAGCAATCAATGGCTGGCAGGAACGAAGCGGCAGTAGAAAGGCAGTTGATTGCCGTCCATAAGCCGGGTTGTGCGCTAGGACGCAGATATTGACACGAGCAAGGCGGGGAAGCTATTAAACTTGATATTAATCGTCAATAATCATACTCCACATCGTTGACTCTAACTGGACTCTTTATAGACTGTACAGGCTAAAGCCGAATGCTCGATCCACCGCTGTAAGCGGGAGGTGGACGCAATCTAATGGGTGTCAGAACACTTGTCCCAAGTCCGGGGTAAGCTCAATCTATGCATCATTTTCGTTCAAGGAACTTTTTGCTGGACTGATAGTCTCGCGAGTACTTTCCAACCTAGGTGTCGTGTCAAAATGATCTCTTTCTAAAGTTATCACTCTACAAATTTGCTACTAGCAGCACTTCGCAGCCCCGAGATGTCTTCCACTAAGTTCAAGGTCGACCTTTTTCCAGTCCGCGAAAGTGAGACCCCATTCAATTGTTTGCATTTGGGGCGCTTTGAACAGATCAACTAATGCAAAATCATTGCATAGAGCACTGCATCCCAGCTGCTGCGCGAACGATTCACAAATCGTTCTCATCGGATCCTTTGATTCGATGGCTGCGCCCTAATGCAGTTCCATGGGCTCATCAAAACACCAGCACATGGAATTGGCAGTATCGACGTATCCAGCACATCATGTCAAAGGGAGAAGTTTTCAGATCGATGGGCGTTGAACAAATGGCAGTCCAGTATCCGCAAAAAGGACTCTCTCAAGAGCCAGCAATCGCTACATCTGACAGAGTTAATTTGTCTGATCAAAAGCTTCCAGCATCGTTGTGCGGCGAAGATAATTCAAACTTTGACGATGATGCTGGCGCAGTAGTGTTCCTGTTCCCACCACCAGGTCGAATAACATGGTCGATTCCGCGTATATGCTTGGCGTGCAAGCTGTGGCTGTTGGACTGGTTGAAACCTGCACATGATAGCGGCGCCAGAGAGAAGGTAGGCCAGACTTCTTGTGTGCCAACTCAATTATTCTGATCTTTCTTATTAGCGTGTGGAAATACTTCTAGATAAGCATGAAGCTAGCTTGAAGTTGCTACAGACACGGTATCCTTCGGACAACTTGTGGTACCTGGAAGTCGTCACTGTGCATCCTTCACTCCAATCACGTGGATTGGGCGGAGGTGTGATGAGATGGATATTGGATCATGTCTACGGTGAGCCAATTTATCTCGAGTGCACGCGCAAAGAGAATGTTGGGTTTTATGAAAGCTTTGGCTTTGAGGTTGCCGAAGAGGTTGAAATGGCGGAAGAAGGTCAAGAGGATCTGTTCAAACATTGGGTGATGGTTCATCCAGGAAAATCATAATAGAAACAGTCAGGTAATGAGACAGATGTATAGGTGATCATCATAAAAGCCCCATCTCAATGCCTCTCTGTCGAGCCAAATCATGGACACTAAGACTAGGATCTGCCCTTTGCCAGATTTCTTCCAATAGACTGAGAAGAATCTCACACTGATGAGAGGTTCTGAGACTGGTTCGGATCATCTGTTGCCATTCCGGCTTGCGACAAAGCACATAAATCTCCAACCCGGCTATGAAAACAGGAAGAATGATCGCGTTCCTGATGTAAGCATCCTCGAGTGGCCTCTCAATGGATGCAAGGCGAAGAGCATCGATACTGGCTAGAATGCGTGCAACTAGGACGGTGGTATCTGCCGGACACTTAGCAGGCTGTCGCCATGCTGAGATACTTTCAGGCAAAGGTACATGGGCTTTGTCTCGCCGGAGTGTCAAAATGCCAGCAAGTCGGTGTGCCTCCCACAGATAGCACTGGAGAAAGCTACCTGGCTCGCCGGGCCAGTCCCAAAATGTTTGCTCGGTCGTCTCTATTCCAATCCCGGCAAATATATCGAGTAATGTACGTGGTAACCCGCTCACAGGCTCTACACCGTGTCTTGGCGTGGCGAGCTGGCAATATCGGCGCCAGATTCCAATATGTGGGCTTTGACGACCAACAGCGGAACAATGAAGGTCCATCACACCCATGACCTCAAGAAGATGGAGACGAAAAAAAGACGGAGATGGTCGATCTGCGTTGTCGAGACCGTCGCTTTGCAGGATTCGGTGCATGCCTTCTAGATGCATGGTCCAGGGCAAGCCATGCATTAGCTGGACAGTGTCAGAACTTGATTGGCAAATTGAGGAGATAACGCACGCCAATGCTACACAGCAGGAGTCCGGATGTCAAAGTAGCATCGGAAAGAGTCGTGCTACACGCCAGTTCAGATCTAAAAGTTCTCAATGCAGTGTCGAAGTACTCGCAGAATTGAGGAGTGACGGTACTAGATAGCGCGAGCTGAAATGCAATGCAGATAGGATATAAAGCGTTGGACTCCTGGCAAAGCTGCGGCAGTCGTGGATGAAGCATGCTATCTCTGGCCGTCGTTGAATGGAGCGTATTGATGCCATCATTCATAACTGCGACAGTCAGTACAAGATCATATCATCTCTCTGAGATGCTCACATTCATCGAAGATTGCATCCTCGGCTTCAGTTCTTCGAGCCTCCAATTGGCTTCCATCTGTTGACAAATCAACACGAAATCGCCTCATAGTCTCAATGTACTGACCAGGGTCCCTAGCCCTATTCTCCTTCTCCTTCTCCTTTCTACCCAGATCCCTCTGCCTCCCCTTCTGCCTCGGCGGCACAGAATCCTGGATGGGCTTATCGGCACCAGTAAATCGTCCCCGCGACGCAATGCCGGCACCCCATTTCAGCCGGACTTCATAGCCCTCGCAATCAACCCTGCGCTCTCTGCAATTCTGACACGCAGGGCGCCCGTTATCACAGCGACGGCGTCGTCGCTTACACGTCCAGCACCCTGTATGTGAGCGCGTCAACATTCCGAATGTAGACCTTTGGAGCTGTCGGGGGAAGCGGGAACATTTATCTGCGGGGGGCAGATCATGCGGGTCTGCCGATACGCGTCCACTTGCCGTTTTGGGAATCTCAAATTCGAGTATATATCTAGTCTCTCGATTTGTGTCGCTTGCTTGAGTAGTGTACATATGCTTTTGGCTTTTGTTTCACGTTATGTCGTTTCAATCCCCCGTTGGGAAATGCAGGACGATCATTGATGGCCTGGGCACGCTTGATGGTCTGCAGTACGCCAATGGAGTGCAGCAATTTTGTGGAATCCCATATGCTCGTCTCTCGAAGCGCTGGACGCGTTCGATATTGAACAGTTCTTGGGAGAATGGCCACCACGACGGGACCAAGTTGGGGTATCACTGCCCCAGTGGCAACCAATCTTTGATGGCTCCGCTGATATGAATGACTCCAGAAATGACTGCCCAAGCCCAATGGTCGAAGGCGACGATGCAGATGAGCTTGTCCCTGTCCCGTCATCTGCACACCTCCCGTCTATCCAATCCGTCGATGAGCTCTCCGGGCTGATCATGAACATCGTCATCCCACATACCCCCAAAGAACCACTGCCCGTGTTCGTTTACGTTCACGGTGGCTCTCTCCTCTATGGCGGTGCAAACCTACCAATTTTCGATACAGTGAATCTCGTCTCTCATAGCATATCAATCAAAATGCCCATAATATGCGTCAACTTCAACTACCGCGTCGGAATCGGCGGGTTCCTCGCCGGCTCACGCATCGCCCATGAATTGCAAAACGATGGACATGCCGGAAGTGGTAACTTCGGCTTCACCGATCAGCAAGTTGCCTTTGACTGGGTCCAGACCTACATCGGATCTTTCGGCGGTGACGCCCAGAGAGTGACCGCAGTAGGAGAATCAGCCGGTGGCATCTCAATCAGTAACCAACTGATCGCTGCGAATCCTCCAGCTTTCAACCGTGCTATTTGTATGTCTGGTCTTTCACCTGCGATTCCTGCTTGGACAATGGAGCAGCATGATCGCTTCTTTGAGACTGTCTGTCGGCACTTTGATATCGACCCGGATGTCGATGCTTTGGAGAAATTGCGGGCTGTTCCACAGCAGGAGCTAGCAAATGCCTCCCCTGCCATCCAAGGTGTTCCGTCTGGTACGGGGAATCCATGTCTTGACGGCTGGTTTTATCGTGAGGATCCAAGTGAGATTCAAGTTCCTCCACCTTGGTTGGAGGGTCTTATGATTGGCGATACCTACCATGAAGGTATCATCTTTCATATAAACTTATTAGACGAAACCTATTCCTCGATTCGGCGGATTTTGCAACGCCATATCGGGAATGATTCCGAGACTGACAAAATTCTGGCTGCGTATGAGATTTCTGAGGATTTGGAACAGGATTTCCTGCTGGAGCGTGTCGAACATATGTGTGGCGATGCTTTATTCAAGGTTTTGAATTATGCGACGGCGCAGGAATGCCGGCGTCAAGGTATCTTGCAAGACAGATTGTTCTTGTATCATTTCGACCAACGATCACGAATTCAAAACTCCTTTGAGGGTACAGCATATCATGCACATGAGTTACTTTACCTGTTTGGAAACCTGGAGAGCGAGATGGATGAGAGTGAAAAGAGAATGGTGCGGGAGTTTGGCTCTGCTTGGATTCGATTTGTAAATGGAGTTGCACCGTGGGATGAAGGTGAAGGGAAGTGGATGGTTTGGGGGCCTGATTCTCGAAGGGAGGTGAAGACTGAGGATGAAGACGAGGCCGTGAGAAACTATACTCGGATGGATATGGTTTTGGCATTGGGAAGCTGGAGGCAATGGCTTGCCGGGGTAGATGCCCTGGTCAACAGACGGCAATGACGTGGGAATAATCCAGCCAAACGCAATTCCGGCCTAAACTCATCAAGTGAATGTGCCGTGCAGATTTTTGTACGTTACTCAGCTTATTATGAAGATGGAAATGAATCAAGACCAAAAGATGGACTGGGATGTCTAGGTCAATCGACCAAGCACAAAACTCTGTAGGGATTGATACACACTTTTCTATGGTAGCGTGTGCCTTTATGACTGTGAAAAACCATATCTGCAAAAAAGGAAACCAGAGATGCTGCCAAAGGGTAAAGGATATGAAGTAAATAATACAGAGGGAGAAAAAGCATCATTGGGGGACAGCTCTTGCCAGCACGCGAATATTATCCACGAAGCCCTTGACAAGGTCCTCATACTGGTTCTGCGGGTCACCCGCGATAGCGAGCTGACCCTGGCGGCGGAGCTCAGCGGCCGACATCTCAATTTCAAGTTCATGCTCGAACTCGTTTCTACCCGGTTGCTGCGATGTGGTCAGAAGACTTCTTTTTCGGGGGTTACACGGGGACGGTGAACTTACATCGCTCTTGGCCACTTGGGTCAAGTCAACCTGGTATGCCAAGTGGCGGTAGCTCATGCGATCTTTGTTACGATCGCCTCGTCCGCCTTTTGTAACTGCGGGATCTATCACGGGGAGATTGCTGATGTCGCCGGTGTACTCCATTTCGAGGTTGACGCTGACGCGCCAATCAACTGTGGTTCGTGGACTGCAAACATCTAAATCGGCCACTCGACATTTGACGATCTTGGCCAGAACTTCTCCCGTTCGCTGGTCGGTTGTTACTCGAACCTTGGGTTTGTGTCTCGGGTTCAGATTCTGGCGGATGATCGGTGGGAGCTCTGCGGGTTGGATCTCGTAGAATGTGTCGCGTTCTTTCGTGTGCACATAGGCGAGGGGGATACGGGATGGGTTTTGTTGGGGGAGTGACGCTTTGACGGTGTCATTGAGGAAGTTGTTCATGGCTCGGTGTTGTTCCTGTGGAGAGGGTGATTAGCAACAGCCCATGCATTGGGGTCCATGGTACTTGACACTTACAACAGTCATTTTGCTCTCGAAAGAAGTCCGGAACCGTCCGTTCTCCTTGTTGATCACGCTCTCAGTCAAGACAGGAAGTTGGATTCGATCTCGACTGTCCATGTCAATGACGTGACCCAACTTTGCCTCGATTTCAATGACAGTTCCTTGTCCCACAGAGCCTGCATCTCCCGCGTTCACATCGGTTCTCATCACTACATGCTTGAATAAGAAATCGCCAAGAGTTCTGGTGATCTCCTCGTAAGGGATGACACCGGTGATGGACGGTTCCCAAGGGCCCAGCGGCCCTACTGAGCCTGGTGCTTGCACACTGGCCGTCTGTGGAACCGAAGGAGTCGTCGCGGGGGGCACACTGGTTCTAGGTGAAGGCACAGTGGGTGGTCGGTTGACTCTTGCAGTAGGTGCAGCAGCCATTGTGGAAGAGGATCTTCGGCGAGCGGCCCCAGCCCATGATTCCAATTGTGACTGCCGAGCGTCTTTTGGAATTGGGGGAAGCGGGTTGGGGATAATTGGGCATCGGCCTTTGGTGCGAGCCGTCCGCTGAGCGAAAATCGGAGGCTCATTGTACCGTCTTCGCTTCTGTCTGGGCTGTTGTGCCTCGATATGAGGCTCGTGATCCACTTCCATTTTCAGTGGATGTGCGCCTCGGGTGATTGCAGTTGAGGGGGAACTGTTCACCTGACTCGCCGGCACGATAGGGGAGGTGGAGAATTCGGAGCCTGCCGTGCTCGGCTTTTGTGTCGTAGGGCTCTCTAAGAACACTCGATCCTCAGAGGAGCGAATGGAAGCGGGTGGTACTGGGTCTGATATTGCGGCGATGCTGTTGTGACGCGAGGCTGTATGCGGACTCGCACTCTCGAGCGAATCTTGTTTGAGGGCGGAGGAAGGGTGAGGCGTGGTCTCGGAGTGTCGAGAGCTTTGAGGAGAGAATTGGGTTTGAGTCACAAGAGGTTGAGCGTGTATGTGGTCGCGTCTCAGGCTCTCCTGAACGAGTCTTGGACTGGAAAGGGGATTGCGCGGAGAATCGTGTCCATCGAGCCCCGAGGAAGGCGGGCGAATCGTCGACGGTGATTGACGAGAGGCAAAAGCAGGAGGAGGGCCTAAAGGAGTCCCTGGGACGGCTTGATGGGCAGATGGTGAGAAATGTTGTGGGAGAGGTTGTGATGCAGCAGGGGGGCTGCGGAACGACTCGGGTGGGCCTCGGGGGTTTGTCACTACCGATTGAAGGGATTGAGAGCGCTGCTGGGATCGCTGCTGAGCGAAATAAGTCTGCTGTTCCGGGTGATGCGGTCCCGCGCTGGTTGCTTGTGGTGTATAGGGTGAGACAAGGGGAGCACTCGGGTGCTGAGGATGCGACCCGTATGCCGGCGCGCCAAATGGATCACGCGAGCCAGAGCCGTACGGGATCGAAGCCTGTGGAGGTGTTGAGCTTCGCTGAGAGTTCGCTGTAGTATTGATTGTTGGGCCCGAGTTGAAGTGGTATGGCGATTGAACGGATGCGTAAGATGAGCTTCGTTCTGGCGAAGCGTGATGCGGGTGCTGCAATGGAGGGGGCTGGGTTGGTTGTGAAGAATACTCAGAGTAGGAGGCAGACTTCTTCGCGCGTTTCTGAGAAGTTTGATCGGAAATGGGCGAGCTGGCCGAGTTGCTGGGAGGTGGAGGGTTGGCGCCGCCGTCGGTGTTCATGATCGTGCGCAAATCCATCGTGACTGCACCCACTTCGGTACCACTTCCACGCGAACACTGTTATAAAAAGATGCACGCGACAAGCGACCGCGACATCCAGGTTCTTGTCGCAAGATGCCGGAGAGCAGGATAGCGGCGGGACAACGAGCTCGGATGGACAAAGAAGGGAGAAGTTCTCGACCGGAATTGCGCGAATCAGGGAGAGAGGATCATCGCCGTTTTAGGGAACTAACATCTATGCCCAATGTAGTTCGATCTTGAGGTTTTGATGGAGCAGGAACCAAGCTGAGCTCTTAGTTGTTTTACATCCTGGAAAATTGCCCAAAGCTGTGGGAAATTGAAGCTGAACCGATACATCCGTATAAGCTTGCTACTTATGTTTCAGCTACGAGATGGTTTTTGACTAAAACTCCTTCATGGATACGCCCAGCACATATTCAATCCTTTCTCGGCTTCATCTACACTCCAACTGACCTCAAGGCGTCTGTGAAAGGCCACGGTTGTGATCTTTGGCCACGAGCGTGTCTTGGCATTGACACCTGAGGCAGAATGACCACGCTAGGCTGCTTTGGGAACTATATCAGAGGCGTTTTCTCTTTGCTGAAGACTTGCAAGAGTTGCAAGAGGCTATAGGCGTCAATCTAGTTCACTAATTGGGTCATTTCCTTTTCTTATAGTCAAGTCAACCAGTTGGCGTTCGCTGCATTTCGTCTGCATTCAGCATCCGATCTTCTCGACAACATTACTTGTGCTTGTACGAATTTCGTAATAGTTTGACCGTTGTTTGCTTCTAGCCTACTTTCTCAGGCCTCACTCCTGGGCAACCATATATATAGACCCCCAATTGTATTCCTTAAGCCTGGAATCAAATCCTTCCAAGGTTTCTGATCTCCTTCCTTCCCTCATTCCCGACCTGTTGTCATCTGTTTATCCAGTCCAGTCCAACCACTATGGATTCCAAATCCTCAAATGAACTTCCTGGTGAGTGTCTTTCTTTTGAAATCTGATCAAATTTAAGTGGCTTACATCTCTCAAAGTGGGGGAAGCGACCAAGGCTGAATAAGTCGAACAACGTGGAAACAACAGAGACTGTTCGCTCTAAGCCATGGGGTCTTCTTGATAGAGGTATTGTATATTCTATGACTCTTGTCGTCTTTGTCGATAGCCCTGAAGTCTTTGCCCAGCTGATACTTTGATTAGAGGGTTGGGGCCTAGATTCACTTGGGAATATAAACCATTCCCTGTGCACAAGTGACAGGCAACTTGCACTTGCCCAACTGCCCCCAGCGCGCAACCTTGAATGGGTTCAGCCTCTGTCGACAAACTTGAACCACGTCACAAGTGCATCGAAGAGACGAGTGACGTCCTTGTTGGGTCAACGTTCAGGTATGAAAGTGCCACCGGGAAAGGAGTGCGCAGCGTGTGTCCGAAAGCCTGGCCCATTGAAACATTGTGTAATTCATAATGGAGAAACTCCCGGAAAATCTTGGAAGCCTATAGCAAATGGCGGTTGTATGAATTGCCACTTCCAAGGTGTTGCCCATCACTGCAGTCTGCGCGTCCTCGCGGCTTCTATGAATTTGTGGTATGTTCAATACGTCTACCCCGATTTCCGGCAGCAGCAATTCCCTGTCTTAGTTGGGAAGCCTGTCGGCAATTTGCTTAATGATCGAGCCACAATTTCCATGGAACAAAAGGCAGGTCCCTCTCCTTCCTCAGTTCAGCGCTTGAAGAGAGGCCCTTCGTATTCCGAGCTATGGTATAAGACTCCGCTGGACAATGCAGCACTTGCAAGAAAGCCAAACGAGATGCGCATCGTGCTTGAAGAGCTTCGAATGGTACAAGCTCGCATTGAGTACGATATTCAGAAGCTGTTACTATTTGTGGGAGATGACGTTTTGGACGAGAAGACCCCCGGACAGGGCAATGCATTCCATGAAGCTGGTTCTGATCAAAACGAGGCTGGCTCTGATGATGACTTCGCGACTCCTAGCGATGGCACTTCGGTGGGAATCAGTACTCTTGCTATTAACTCCCCGGTTTGGGAATCGAATGGCCATGAATTTGAAGGTGATGACATTGAGGGCCAAGATGCTGATGAAGAATATTCCGTTGCAAATGACACTGATGCCGTGTCGGATATTTAGAGGTGACAATCAGGGGGCCCATTTGCTTGGTATGATAATGATATAAGGGCCAATATTTGGAAAAGAAAATTCGACAAAGCTTTCAAAAAATAATCATTGAAGTCGAGATCTGCTGCTGAGGCCCAATTACTCCGTAGTGGTTAGTGGTTAGTGGTTAGTGGTACGGAGTACTTTAGACCCGTGGACGAGGGTCGCTATTTATTACTCTCTCTACGGAGAAGTCAGTTGGTTTGACACCTGTAGACATTCCCCATCTTTGAATTATTTGAATATATTTCTTGGCCCTGCAGCTTCTCGACTGTGCTAATTGAATTGAAGCGAAGGCTGGCACAATTGTGGGAATGACAGAGTGCAGAGTGCAGAATCATCGAGTCGCAGTTAAGCTGCGAATGTACGAAAGCGGCAGTCGATCGGCGGCGCTGCCGTGCCTCGTCATTGCATTCGATAACTACTCCGAACTACACACTCCGTGCTCTTTTCACTTGCTGCCATGTCCATCTGCTGAATGGTTTCGATGAACCCCGCCTAACTGCGAGCCCTGGAGCCTCTTTCCGCTGACGTATTTGCCTCACCTCGCCCACCCCAACGCACGTCACTGCACAATCTCGCTGGACGAGAGTCACGCAAAGCGTCTCGTTTCGCCCCTCAAACCACTTCAAATCGGCCTACATACTTCCTTCCAAGAGATCTACTCTGTACATGGAGTCCCGACCCCGAAAAATACCCCTGCAACCGACCTGCAGGACACAATGAAATACAATACCGAAGATAGGGCCACCACTTCGGCCGCCGATATCCCTCTCAACGACCTCGAATCCGCCTCCAATTCGGGGACTCGTTCAAATACCACATCGCGCTGGGATAATTTCTCGCAATTCCACCCGTCCAAGATCCTCGCGCATCCCGATGGCTTGACACAAAAATTGTCGCAAGAGGACTGGTTGGCATATGCGGAAGACAAATGGCACAAGTTCACAGTCGCGCTCACGCCGAGTTTCCTCCAGCACTGGGTAGGTGGTGAGCCACCTGCAACCTCAAAACTCCACGCGATTGCCGCGCTGGATGGCTTGCGCGGCTGGGCCTGTCTACTCGTATTCAACTTCCATTTCCTTTTCACATACACCTGGAAGGTCGCAATAGGATGGGGATTTGGAGGAGAAAACTTTGGAATCCATCAGCTGCCTTTTGTGCATATGTTGATATCCGGCCATATCATGGTGTCCATCTTCTTCGTGCTTTCGGGCTACGTTCTGTCATATAAACCGCTCAAGACGATTCGGAGCAGGTCCTTCAATCAAACGTTCACAACGCTTGCATCGGGGACATTTCGTCGAGCCTTCCGCCTCTACATACCCGCGCTTGTTGGCATTTTCTGTGTCTTCGTGGCTGTTCGCCTCGGGTTGTACAATTACTCCAATGCCGTTATTAGGGAAGGCCACACAATTCTCGGAACAAACGAGCAACACCCTCATATGATGAAGACGTTCTCAAAACAGAGCGATGATTTGTGGGATACGGTCGCCACTTTGTTGAATCCGTTCGACTATGCGCTGTACTATAACTACTACAACCCGCACCTGTGGACAATTCCTCTCGAGTTCCGCTCTTCTCTGATTCTGTTTGTTGTTATCATGGGAACCTCGCGTCTGGTGTCATCAGTGCGCATGACGCTGGTCTCCGGCTTGGTCTGGTTCTGCATGCGCTATGGACGCTGGGAAATGGTTATGTTCTTGTTCGGTATGCTGATGGCTGAAGTTGACCTCATTTATGGTACATGGGAGCAACCCCCAAGACCAGCAGCAGAAGATGAGAAGACAACCATCCGTCTTGGCCCAAGCAGCAAGGTCACACTCACATTGTCTCGCCGCTGGCTATGGATCTCACTATTCGTGGTTGGTCTGTATTTCGGCTCCTGCCCCAACATTGGCTTCAAATGGACACCTTTCTATAGGTGGTTGTGGTACATCACTCCATACACATATCCCGAGCCCCACCGCTTCGCCCAGACCATTGGTGCCGCCATCATCGTGTTCTCCATCAACCACTCCCCGGACATCCAGAAGCTGTTCACCAACCCGCTTTCCCAATACCTCGGGAAAATCTCCTTTGCATTCTATGTAGTTCACGGTCCAATTCTTCATTGCCTGGGCTACGCTCTCATGCCTAATATCTGGAACATCACTGGGAAGGAAACCAACCTCCAGTATTGCCTTGGGTTCCTAATTGGCTGGCTCATCTGTCTCCCCGTCGCTATCTGGATGGGCGATGTTTTCTGGCGCGCCGTGGATATCCCCAGCGTCAAATTTGCGCGCTCGCTCGAGGACCGTCTGATTTCCAAAGATCCAGCCCACCGTCCTCCAACCTTGACGGTTTCCCATGTGGATTGAGCCCTGTACTTTTTTTTTTTTTGGCTCTGGCTGCAGCACATGTTTGATTAGGATGTACTGATAGCCTACACATAGCTTATATTATGATACCACCTCGCTGGGCGAGATGCTTATTTTTATTCATCGCTTTCCAAGGTTCGCGATCAACTGCTTCCTCTCCTTTCTGCCCAGGTGGTGAATTAAACCATGCAGGCATTCAAAGAGATTGTACTTGACTATTATATGTTTTTGTTGTTTTCACTGACATCTAGGTACTAATGATAGACCTCGGGATCTGTGCTTCAAGGCATTGGGAAATTCCAGGAGTCGGTAGGTAGCTCTCATGGCGTGAGATTACGTTCCATAGCCTCAACTCAAATTCAATGTATAGTTCATTCATTCATTCACTCGTACCAACCAAGTCAGTATGGCCACCAAATAAAATCAACAATAGCAGCCCGCAAAAATCTCCATGCATACAAACAGCGTGGCACAAGCGGCGTGAGGGGAGCCAAAGCCAGATTGATGCAGTATCGCGAGGCAGAAAAGCAGAGATAGGAATCTAATGCAGTAGTTCGTATCGTCCGAGACGAAACGACAAAATCAACGCCTTTTGGTTTATAGGGAAACCCCGGTGAGACCTCTTCCACCGCAGATACCAAGCCATTCACGTGGCTGGCCGGTGTGGTTGGGTCCACCTGATGGGGACCAACTGATATTGGAGATTTCGTACTCGCTTTGCCAGACGGCTGCCGGGCCGCGCTCGGAGGTTGTCGATGGCGGTGCGCCTGTGGGGTGTGTGGGTGGGGAGGCGATGGGGGCGGCGTTATGTTGGTTGATCAGGTCCCACAGGAGGACCATGCTGTCGTCACCGCCGGATGCGAGAATGCCGCGGCGACTTGGGGACCATTCTACGCAGTTCAAGGCTGCGGAGTGGCCCTTTAACTCCAGCAGGGCTTGGCCCGGTTGACGGACGTCGAGGACTCGAACGACACTTGAGTCTTGGGAGAATGTTGCCAAGAGGTGGGCGTCATGTGGTGATGCTGTACTTTCATTAATAGGTAGTTCACCTTAACCTGAAACATGGTCTTTCATACCTGCGATTCTCAAGAGAGGCGGTGGGTTGAGACCAGTCTGTGATTGACCAGGGGGACTGGAGTTTCCGGGACTCATGTCTGAATATGGCGGTTAGTGCAGAACTTTCATGTATTTTGGGCAGGCGCTTACTCTTGTCATTTTTGTCCGTTGGCTCGTAGATGATGGTGCTATGCTCGAGGCTTCGGAGATCAAACATTCGTACACTACCATCTGCGCCGCAGCTGACAAACACATCGACGCTGTTGGCGCAGAATCGAACATCGTAGACTTCCTTGTCGTGGGCGATCAGTTGTGTCTTTGCAGTCAAAGTGGGAATATCCCAAATGGTGCAGGTTGTGTCAATGCTGGAAGTGATGATCAGACTAGGTGAAATCGTGTTCCAATCCAGAGAGGTGATAGGGGCGGTGTGCTCGGGAGATTTCGAGTTGGACAGCAGCGCTAGCGGGGAAAGCTTGGAGGTGGGGGTTTCCCGCTGGCTCATGGGGCGGGTGATAGAGTTGGTGCTCTGCAGAGGTTGGGAGTTTGGCAACGACCATAGGCGAAGGTGATCACCTGACGTGGCCAGCAAATCAGTTGATTGTTTTTGGGACGATGGCGGCTCCCAGAGAATGCGAGTCACTGGATAAGAATGTGTCGCCTCGGCAGTTTTGACGTAGTCCAATTTGATCTCCCCCGCGGCGGCATCTGGGGTATCGGGGTCTGGTTGTGTCCAGTGCGCATCGACGATTTGAATCTAGACTCTGGTCAGCACTCGCACGATGATTCACGTATCAATCTCACGTACATAGTTGTGGTTGTCTTCTAGGTAACTTCCCATCGCCAGTTTTCCTCCGAACCCGGAGCTCCCTGCAATGGGCCATTTGCACCAATCCACCGCATATATGGGCCACGGTGCTACATAATTGCTGTTGGTCGGCACCTGGTTATCTCCGTTGTTGTAGGGCACCGATGGCACCCCTGGGTTCAAAAGTGCCTCGCTCAAGAGATGCTCGCCCGAGGGCCTGATATCAGACAAGCCAAGGGGCGAGTACTTCGAGCCTTGCGGGGTATGGGGTGTGTACCCGCCAGGGGAAGAGGGATATTTGGAGCCATCCGGCGCACCATGTTGCTTGTAAATTGACTGATCAAACCCTGCGGGGCTGGATCGCGAATGTCCGTGCGAATTGATCATGCTTGCGCGGTGGTTCGGCTGGGAGGAGGGTTGCTGCATCGTTGGAACGACTGATGGGGCGGTATTTATCGAAACTGCTGGGGGACGGTTACCGGGCTGCAGGGCACCAGGGAGAGCAGTGCTGCTGTGATTCCCATCACCTCCGTACTGGGAGCTCGATTGCACGTTGATCGCGGGAAGTCGGGCACCTGCGTCTGGGGTGGCTGGGTATTCATGCGAGGAGGACTGACGGGACAAGTTTGGGTTGCTCAGTCCTGAGGATGGCATATGAAGTTCCTCTGGTTGGCGACTAAAGACCGTTGACCGACGGTGAGAGTCGTAGGAGGCGGGATTCGACATGGTGCAGCTGGGGCTGAACAGCAGAAGCGCCTATGCAGGGGAGGATGCGATGGATCGAGAGCTCCACCTGTCCGATCAAGGAGGTTGGGGAATGGGGGCGATGCGCAACGGGCGTCGAGAGAGCTCCGACCAGATGTCAGCCAGATATCATTCCAGCTTATCAAGTCACTCTCGCAATGGCATCTCCTCGAAGGAGAAGAAGAGGGCGGTGTTCATCCCCACGCTGAGTAAGCCTGTCCGAGCAACCATGGAACCCCGGCGGAGATGAATCCGATCGTTGCTTGAGCCTTTGCTTTTACCGTCTGTTTACTTTCTCTTTTGATATTTCACTACTCCGTACGCGGAGTTCTCTTTTGCAAGCTATCTGAAGATTGTGGATATCAATAGGAATTTGCACAATGTCCGCCAACCACAACCCTTCGGCGTTGCTTCTACTTCCCCCGCCTTCAGCCTTTTCTTTTGAGCAAGTCAAGGAGGCCTTTGAACCATCATTGGTTGATGTCCTCACAAGGCTCTCGGGAGGCTCAGATGATTCCAAAATAGCTTTGCTTGATATTGCGCTGGTCCTTCCCATCTCCCCAGGCGGCAAGCCTCGGGCCAAAGTGTTTGCGCAGCTGCAACAATATCTGACGAGTGTGTATAGTCTGGTTGGTGCGATCTGTGCAACACACAGTATCGAGCTTGACACTCCAGGTGGTATCGATACCCGGGTGGTATTTGTCGATTATACCCATGAGGAACCCATCAAGGCCTCTGATAGCCCACAATTTGGCCCTGTTCTTGACTTACCATCACTGGCAAATTCCGGACGCAGTTGGGATCACATCTTCCACCTTTCCAACACGCTTGGCAAAGATCTGGCCAGTGCTTTTGTGCAAGCTCAATCTCGGGGCGATACGAAGGCACGGTTGCAAGCCATCACAAGCAATCCTGACTGGACGATCCCTCAACCCTTGCTAATTCCTGACAACCAACCATCCAAGCCGCACTCTTCCGTGATTGTGGGTGGTACATTTGACCACCTTCATCTCGGCCACAAGCTTCTTCTCACAGCCGAAGCCCTCGCTTTGGAGCCACTTGATCAGGAGGCCCGCTTGATCGTCGGAGTTACTGGGGATGCACTGCTGGTCAACAAAAAACATGCCGAGTTCTTAGAGGATTGGGAACAGCGCTGGAAGAGTACCTCCTCGTTCCTTGCGGCCATTATGGACTTTACCCCGGACAAATCATCACCTGAGATCGAACGTTCCGCTGCGCCTAAAACTGTTATCGTTAAGATCCAGCCAAAACTGACATTCGAATTTGTGGAAATCTCAGATCCCTTCGGGCCCACCATCACGAAGGAAAACATTGACGTGATCGTCGTGTCCCGCGAGACTCGTTCGGGAGGGGCCGCAGTCAACGAAGAGCGGCTCAAGAAAGGATGGAAGGCTCTGACAGTATTCGAAGTGGATGTCCTCCAGTCGGGGGATGCAGTCACAACCACCGAGGACTTTGAGAGCAAAATCAGCAGTACTGAGATCAGACGGCGTCGGGCTCATCTCGCAAAGGTCTGAGGGGAAGCGTATATCCAAGCATTATTTTATAGTCTCCGATACATACATTAGCTCATTTTGAATTCGGCCATTTTCCCCCAATCCTCTGAGAGAGAGGGTGAGGGAATGAGAAACCCATGCGTAAGGCCCGTCACTCTGCATGATGTGACGACTTTGAGGCGGGGTCTGCATTGACTTTCAACCCTCCACAACCACTCGACTCGCTCTCATTTAATCGGCCACTGCAGGTTCGCGCTGGCTGGCCGCAGAAGCAATCAATCATGTGATTCTTGTGTTTCCATCGTCACCAATGGAATCGTTCTGTTCGGGTGACGGGGCCAGGCTTGTCGATGTGAAGTAGGCGCTAGCCCCGGGTGACGATCCCCCGGTCGCGATGTGATTGTTAGGATGAGAGCTCTCGCCATGCGTCGATGGTGAGACAAATCCAGTTTCCTAGTGTATCTTGCATACATGCAGATATGCAGGAGACAAAAATGAAGATAGCCTCGACTCTTAGCTCTTTCATTTGTTTTTATGCCGCCTTCCCCCCTTCTCCCAATTCCCTCCGTGACTTGTCTCTCCGGTCTCTTAGGCTGGTAAAGAGCTTCGACTTCCCTTCAATCTCTTCGGTATTCCATGTTGCTGCTACAAAAAGCAGCCGAGGGTTCGGCAGCGAGCGCCGATCATGGATCAGCCACGTCACATTCAAGATCTCGCCGATGAACTACTGAGCGAGATCCTTTATTTACTCGACCCACCTCGTGAGATATACAAAAAATTCAATGGCAATGGCCATCAAGCAGTCAGTCTCAATGGTGAAGCGTCCGACCTCGATCGTTTCCGTCTCGTATGCAAGCGATTCATGCGAATCGGGACCCCTCACAAGTTTTCTCGCTTTACTTTGCGATTCTCCGAGCATGGCTTTCGGCGACTAGATGAGCTGTTAGAAATGCAGCTGGCATGTTATGTGAAGAGCATCACTTACATGGTGCGGCCATTTTACCAAGGAAGCGGTATAAATCTCCACATCCCCGCATACAATTCCCCAGCTGACAGCCATCAGGATGGTCTCAAATTATGCGCGAGCTTGAAACCAAAGATCCAACCCTGTTCCGAATCCACAGCCACCGATACCGCGAGCAAACCAATATAACCCTCAAAAACCACGACCAATCACGCCTTCGTCTCGTCCTAGCAGCCTCGACCTCTTTACAACAAATCACCCTCCTGAGACTGCAAGACAAAGCAGACGACGACCTCTTGAAGTTCATGCGTACCCGCCAAACATCGTCTTTCACATGGGACTCGGCCTGCACACGGGCAATAACAAACCTAAGCATCGCGCTTCTCAATTCAGACTCCAAAATCCGCTTCACAGCACCCCAAATCAGTTCCGAAGCAGCCCTCAATCTCATCCACGCCCCGCCAGCATCCCTCGCCGCAATTGGAGCCCACCTCACAAGCCTCGATTTAAACTTTCCCTCAACCAATGATCTAACAGGCACAATGAGCTCCCTCTCGCCGACCCTCCGTCGCTTCTTCATGGCAGCCAAGCATCTCTCTGCAATTCACATCGGGTTTTTGAGTAGACATCCTCTAGACCTCAATCTAGACTCGATGTTCCATCATATCCGTTGGAAAACGCTCCGCAAACTGAGTCTCCAAGGCTGGCGCTTGGACGCCAGCGAAATCATTGCGATAGCGCGCAGGCATACGCAGCTCCGTGACCTGAGACTCGTGGGAATATACCTACGCTCTGGGCTGTGGCGGGATGTGCTCCTCGTTTTGCGCGAGGAACTCGTGCTGGAACATCTCGAGTTAAGGGAAATTGACTACGCCAGTCACTTTAACTCTGTCGTGACAACCGGTGCGGAGGTTTCTGATATTGGGCCGATTGGTGTTTCTGGACCTGCGTGCTCCCCGCTTACCGTTTCTGCTGGGACGGCTGAGGTTGGGACGGCTGGTGTCCCAACTTTGAGGAATAGACGGGGGTTGTTGAGGCGGGACTCGGTTGAGAGGTTGAGAGGTTTGGCTGTGGAAGATTTGAAGGACGATGGGATGAGAGTGATGCGGAGACAGTTGCCGCTGTGGGAGGCTTGGGTGCTTGCTTCGACGGGGATTGGAAGAAATGGGAGGTCCTGGAACATGTAGCGAACAAAATGTTGAGTTGCTTTTGGAGTTGGGGGGCTGTTTGAATTAGCCTTTTGTCTGCGTCAGAGCCCTTATATATTGGATACAATAGCATTGTTTCTGAGACCTAGATGCTTAGTTTGACGTAGGGAGAAAATCATATCATGAAAGTTGAAATCAAATTTAACATAATGATAATGCTTGGGGTATCAGCTTAATGATAGAAGCACGCAAAAGAGCGACAATTTTTGGAGCAAAAATCAGTCAAAGCACTGATCCCATTTTCCTCCCGAGCGTGCAAAAGTCAGCCCGTTGATGAAGTCCTTGCGACGACAGCGACCCAATGAGTCTACCGAGCATCCATGCAGCGGGACAACCCGATCATTGACGAGAATCCTGACAAACGGCTCTGGGTCCGGGTCTGAGTGACACTTCATCATCTCAACGTAAGCACGAGCAGCGAAGGGTACTGTCCAGGCAGCTGAATAACCATCTGCTTTGTCGGGGGTCTGCAGGTGGGTGCGAGGAAGTGGCAGGGTGCTGTTGTACAAGCCCAAAGCGAAGAAAATGGGGATCATTCCATTATCATGGGTGAAATCCGCATACATGGTATAGTTGAGGGGGAAAGTAGCAGCACCAGGGGCATCGAGGGTATGGTTGGTGGTCGTATCATCGTGAACGGGGGTACGGGTCAGTCGAGCGATAAGCTCGTTCACAAAACCGACTCCCATCGTTGGACCAAGCGGATTGCCTGCTCCATAGCCGTAGTATTTGCTCAGTGACTGAAGGTAGTTGTACTGCGTCCATTCGGCCTCGGTGAACAAGTCACAGAAAGGCGAGTGGCTAGTAAAATTGTGGCTTTGGGAAACTGTCTCAAATGGACAAAGATCCATTATCTTGGTCACATCAGAGTCATCAAGTGTAACGCCTGGAAGATCAGCCTCAAGTCGAGCCCGAATCGCAGGCCAGTAGATGGCAGTGTAATTGTCAGCGACTTCATCGCTCAGACCGCTGTTCTCGAAGTTTGTGCAGACGTCGGCATGATTGAGAGTGTTGTTTGAGCCCTCTGCTTCAGAGACAATGACACTTATCTTGGGCTTGTCCTGTCGGTGATTGGCTTCCCTATCGTGCGACTTTGCGTGTTGGAAGCCTTCGATAAAGTGCTCTCCGGATTCTATCACACGAACGGAATCAGATGAGCGCACAAAGGGCACCGCATTTCTGGTCAACTCTTCGTAGCGCTGGTAGAACTTCAGTCCGGAGCCAACCATTTGGCGCTCTCCAAAGACTGTGAGGTCATCACTGCCGAGGTTGTATTCATACGAGCGCAGAAATGCCATCTTGCCTTTGTATGCCGTGGCATTCGCTTGGATGTCATCGATAAGAGCCCCGTACTTTTTGCTCTTTGAATTGGATGGGTAGCGTGCGCCATGGCGAGAAAGAACTTGAACGAATGTGATATGGCAATCACTAGGAACGTCATCTGAGATCGTAGACTCCTCTGAGAGTGAGAAGTAGGGAGAGTATTGACCCCACTGGTGGGAAATGGCAGAATCGCACTGGTAGCCCCCGTTGATGGTGTTGCACGCATGTTTGTGCTGCGAGGTACTCTTTGATCTGGACAGGAGCGGGTTCGCAGACTGGTCATGCTGCGGGTTGGACACCTCTGCTGTGGAATATGAGATATCCTCAGTTCGTGTCACGAAGTGCACAGCCGCTAGAACCAAAATGCCCATCAATGCCATAGCCATCAAAGGGCGTCTCGGGGAGCTTGATCGCTTCCGAGCATGCTCTCGTGGTGCTCCCAGTAGACTCTCCTCCTCCCTGTTTTGGCTGTATGAGTAGGACGCCATTGAGAACAAGAGTGTACCTTGGTTTTAGTACAACTCAGTACGACCTGCAGTGATGAAGAAGGTGAGAGGGAGATCAGGCCATTTTTGAATGTCCAACGTTCAAAGGACTGGCAAGGTTGGGCGAAACCTGTTGTGCCCGTGAGGGTTTCTCGAACGCTGATTGGTCGCGCTCGCAGTATGAGAGGGAAGGCACGTGGACAACCTTCCAAAGTGGGAAACTGACCGAGTACCTTGGAGATACTTCATGTTGCGTATATTATCACGTGGGTGTGGAGGTCGCTCAGAGTACCATTCACAAGCGTGTTTGACGTTGAGCGATCATTCCCTTAGATGTGTGTAGTGCCGACCATTACTACTCCTGGTAGGTAAACATTTGATCCATGTTTTTAGCTTCTCCATTCTATTTATGCATCTTGACCCACTCTATTATTTAACTTCTAAGCGAGGTTTAATATGTTATTGCTCAGGTTTTACCGTGCTAACCGCAGGTTAAATGAGTATGTTGGTAGAGTACGGAGTACGGAGTAAAGATGGTGTCTTTTATCAAACGAAAAATAATGATCCATGTCTTTCAAACAGCAGAATAGATCATGTGCCTTACAATTGCTAGCCTAAGAGCAGATTCAGAACATCAACCTGAGTTCGCGTCCCGATGTCGGAACTTCCAAGGTTGGAGCTAGCTGCATACTGCAGCTCCAGGTATGGGCTCTACCTAGAAGATTTCCAAGGTTGCCAATCTTCTCTGCGAGAGTATACAAAACTATGGCCTCGGAATTATTAAACATAATTTGATTGCATCCATGGATATTGATTTTTTGTAATTGGAGAAATCCACGGATATTTCATGGATGATTTTTATCAATCGAAACCAACCCTGATTGAAGATTCGAAGTGGTGGATATTTGGTTTCCATCCGATGTGGTTTATATAACCACAACGAGGTTTTCGAGTGGTTTCACCACAATGAATTAACAGCCTTGGACATAAAAATAAAGTGCAGAGCTAGATGTTGCAAACCTGGGTATGTTGGATCAAGAAAGTGTCCTTGACCATCATAATTGCTTGGGATATCTATACCCCACTATAGCCAACAGATGAAGGCAGGTCTTGTTCTGGGTGTGGAAACTTGAATCCGGGGAACCATCATCTCTAAATTGGGACATGATATAGCAAATAGCTATTTTCTCTCTAGCTAAACAATTAATCTAATAATTGACCCCATTGCAGTCACTTCAAGCGCTGCAAGCCGACCAAAACAAATGCGATTTTGTACTTCGGGAGTGGGGAGCTCAGGGGCCAATCAGCTTTCCCGGGGTTGCCGAGACGCGACCCAAACATTCCGACTTTGCTCCAAAACAAACCAGCCTCCCCTAAACTTCAACTTCACCTCTCCCAATTTGCCTGCGATGAATCGACAGTCTGCATATAACGATGATTCATTCTCGCTCACTAACCTGGACGACGAGTTAATGGGCACATCTACGCGTCGCGTTGACGACCTCGATTACGAATTCAACACTTCCACCCTCGACCGTGCTTTCCCCGAATTCTCACAAATACAAACATCCGAAGAGGAAGAACAGCCAGAAATGGAGGACGAACTCACACACAGCGATCTCGAAATGTCCGTCGAGGTAGGACGCGGGGCGACCAACCAAATACGCGACGATTCGCGAAATTCCATGATGAGCTTTGAGAACAGTGTACGCTCCTCTTCACCTGCCATGCGCGTTGAATACCCAACACCCCAGAAGCCCACATCAACGCGTCCATCACGCCGTGCAGTCAGTGAAAATCTACGGAAGAATGCTCAGGTCCGGCGAGCAACCCAAGCACAGAAAGAGAATATGAGCCCACAGGTCTCCAAGACCCAACGGGACCAGCGTCGCACATTCTCAGACATGCACGCCAAGGTCCGAGACAGCTACGAGGGTTCGTTTTTGGAAGATGAACGCCCCTCTCCGATGACAACGAAGACGCGTTCCACGCGTTTTGGAAATGCCAACACCTCACAAGAAATCGCCGACGCCGTGGAGCGGGCCTCGCACGAGGCATATGCGAAAGAAATGCGCAAGACCACATCCAACGCTGGAACTCCTCGCAAAGGCAGTGCCAATGCCAACAACGCTGTTGGCGACACAATGACCCATCAATCATTCCTTCTCCCCGACCTGCCCAATATCTCCGAACTTGTCTCCGGTGTATACGAAGACGGTACACCTGTTTACTCGCGCCAGGGCAAGATGCGCTCTACCCGATTCGTCTCTCCCCTTCAAGACCACACCGATGTCTCCCAGCCCCACGACCACATGCCGCTGGATGCGGTCCCCGTCCCTGAGGATGAGAAGGCGCTATTTGTTCACCTTCGACTGCTCCAAGACAAAGTGGCGGAACTCGAAATGTTTAAATCTGACGCAGAAAAGCGAATGGATGGCTACCGCCATGAAAATGCTGCTCTGAAGTCGAACAAGCCTCGTCAATCAACGAAGCATGATTCGGAAGATCATGAATATAAGAAGGGATTCAAGCGCTTGGCAGCCGAGAATCAAAAATTGGAAGCCGCCAACCTCGCAATGCAAAACCAACTGGATATTGCGGATCGCAAGGCTCAGGTTCAAGAGTCTGCCATCAAGCGTTTGAACCATGACAGAGAGTCCGCTATTACCCAACTGGGAGCCGCCTACCTGGAAGGTCGAGAACTCAAAGTGGAGAATGAAGAGTTGAGGGTCGAGAACGCAGAGCTGCAGTCTCAAATTAGCCGATTGTCCAACCGGAGATCTCGTGAACAGGATCCCGTTGAAGCTGATGCTAGTTCTGATGCGGATGAAAGTCAGGTCTACACCGAGCCCAGTGGAGACATGAGCCGCAGTACCAAGGATCTCACGTCGAGGAGTGCCCGCTCTCACACCAAGACTAAACGCCAAGATGATTCTCGCTCAAAGGTGTCCACTCAAGTGGATAGAGAGATCTCTCGGCTTGAGAAAGAACGTGCCGATGATGCTCTTTTCTCTATCGAGCTAGGATCACGACGGACCTCAGCATCTAAGCCCAAGACCAATGCCACTCGCTCTTCTGAATCCAAGAGCTCCCGCAAACAACCAAATACCAGCAAGCAGCGTGTGAAGCGAGTCGTCCTCGAGGATACCACCGAGCCTGAAGTGTCTAATCAAACCAAGGCTTCCTCAGAGACAGGTGATATCTCATTGTTAAGCATAATTGATGAGAATGAAATCTCCCGACTCCGCAGGACACTGGAGGAGGAAAGGTTGATGCGCAAGCAACGTCGCGCAAGCAACCCAAAGGAAACCAATCCCACCGACACCATCAACTCAACTCGACAGAGCATCTTGAAGAACACTGCCCCACGCAAGTCTGCTCTGCGTGAAAGCAAGCCAGAGATCCCCCGCCCAGCATCGGCTCTTGGTGATCATACCGCTGCCTCCAAAGCAGCCACAGAAGGAGACAGCAGCCTCTCGGTGCCGATCCCAGAGCGCTCCCGGCGCCATTCAGACCACTCATTGCCCACCCCTACACAACGCAAGAAGCAGCGCAATGTCCCGGATATGACATCTGCTTTCATCCTTCCTGACATCACCCTCCATCACGTGGACTTGGCCGCGAGTGACCCATCCAAACTCCCCCAGGAGACGCAGAAAGCATTGGACGGCATTGCCCAACACAGTGGCAAGAACTGCACAGTCTGCAAGGGTCACTCCAACGATTGCAACCATGAGTCAGTGAAGGTTCCTAAACCTGTTCCTGTCTCAGAGCGTATGCCGAAGCCATCTGTCTACAATGAGGAGCCCACTATGCGCCCCTCGCAACCCCCTGCGGTTGCCCTGGCTACTGTCCTCAAGGCACTCGAGGACGAGCTCTCCCACCTTAAGATGCAACTTGCTACCTACCAAGCCGCATACAACAAGCTTGACGCATCTCTTGGCAAGCGCCCGCGCAAGGCCCTCCAAGAGAAGATCGACAAGCTCTTCAAGGACATTGACATGAAAGCGGATCAGATTTATTCCCTTTACGATGTCGTCGAGGGCCAGAAACAGGATGGTCATGAGATGACCGAGCAGGAAATGGAAATGACTTTGGAGTCTATTGGAATCGATGCTGGTCACATCGACATCACCGCTACGACTGACAAGTCCTCTCGCCACGGCCAGATTGACCTTGATGACGAGGAGGATTTGCCTTGGGAGGGCATTGAAAGCACTGGCGATATGACTGGCCACCTTTCACTTGGACATTGATTCATACATCGCATGGCAATGTGATTTTCATTGGTTTGGCCTCATTGGTGTTACTTGGCGTTGACTGTTGTAGTCAGTTTGAATCTGTATGTTATTTTTACTGGATCGAATAATGGATCGTTGGATAGTGATACTCGAAATGTCATTGTGGCCGAAGCGCGGCCTTGCATTCAATCAATTCCTCGTAACCCCAGCTCACGAAGGCCTTTGTGCACTTAATAAGCCTATTCCAAGGTTTCACTGTAGTAACTTGTTCCATCACTGGAGGAGGTAAAAACTTTTTGCTATTCAAAGCCAGATCAAGTGCGGCCTATACGGTACCACAACCAGAAAAACGCCATCGCTATGAAACATAAACACAAAAGACCATGCATGCCATGGACCGGGCTAAATCCAGGTCTACATAGACCCTCAAGCTGCGCCCTCCGCTCCACCCTGGCCCGCAGCGATAGCCGCACCCTCTGTAGCCACCGGCTCAGATACACGAGCAGCATCACGCTGCGAGATCTCCTCCCCAACGAAGCAACTCAATCCCGCAAAAGCCTCCAGCAGTGTACGCGAATAATACTCCCGCAGATTATACCCTCCAGCAAGCATGCTTGCATTATTACGATAATTGTCAAGGAACTGCGAAGGATAAGACTCCTGAAGAGAGTAATAATCCCTCTTCTCAGGCACATAGCCCATGAACGGATCATAAGGCTTCTCAGGTTCAGGCGTCTTGATCTTCCGCAGACCCTTGACAAGTCCCGTATCCACAGAAGACGACAAGCCCGCACTTCGTTTAGGTTCGGAGCGCAGAGCGGCCTGTTTCTGTCGGATGCGATCCTCTTCACTGCGGCGCGCAGAGGACTTCTTGAGCAGAACCTTGTGGCCTTCGCGCGCGATGGCTGCTGCGTCTCCCGAAGAGCCGGAGGCAAGTCGGGTGAGGAAGTCTTCGCGTCCGGCTTGTACTTCGCGGCGCTCGATCTCGTATTCTTGGCGTGCAGCTTGTCGGCGGATGCGGGCTTCTTCTTGTTCTAGGGATATGCGGGCTTGGAAAGAGGTTGCTTCTTCTTGTTCGAGAGTTTGGTTTGCGCGGATAGAGGCCATGTTCTCCGTGGCGTATTTTTGAAGCTGTGCTTCGGTTTTGGAGACGTCGATGCGGCTTACTAGGTTTGCGATTATCTCTTCTCTTTGTTCGAGGAAATCGTCGTAGTTCCGTTTTGTGTCGAATTCTTCTTCTCGTCGGTTCAGGCTGTTGGTTTGTTAGCTTGTTTTGCTTGGTTGGTGAGCCGTGTACGTACATTTGCATCACGCGCCGACGGATATCTACTTCGCGCTCCACATTGATATCTTCGAAGGTTTGCGTGCGGAATCGGTTCTTGCGTAAGGTCTTTCGACACCCAGCTACTGGGCAGTTGGCTGGACCAGATGAGAAGATTCGGTCCACGCACGACTCGCACATCTTGTGGTAGCATTCCGGGTTGATCAAGAATCGCATGTCCGGGTTAAGATAACGCGATGACTTGCAGACGGGACACACCTCTGAGGGGTATGAAATTAGCATGGCACATTTCCAGGTATTTCCTCAGAGCTTACCGTCCTCATCTTGGCGGGGAATCGCATTTGGGGCCATCGTGAGTAGTGTGATGATGGAGGATGAGCTGCGGATTGCGGACTGCGGAAGTCAGTCCAGGCTGATAAGCAGTATCGTGCACGGACCGCGCCACCGTCTCACCTTTTTCATACCTTTTTTTCTCGCCGCCGACGCACCCACTCGCATCTCTTCTTTGTTTAACATCCCTGAGCGAAGTCGCTACTGCGCAACCCACTTACAACGCAATGGGTGTGCCGAATCATAACCTCGACGCTCTCGAAGAGCAGCGCCTTGCGCTAGAAGACAACATCCTCCAGCTCGAAAAATCACTCTACCACTGGCGTACCTGGGAAGCAGAGTACGACGGCGTTCGCGAGGAGATTAGCAACCTTGAAGATGACGCCTCTACCGAAGACTTCCTCGCCGTTGCCACGGAGTTCGGCGATGTACTGGTGGACGAGAAGGAAATGCACAAGATGCTTGGGGCGCAAGGTGTCACACGGTCTCGCGGGCAGGTGGTCGATATTCTCGGCCGACGAATCGACTACGTTAAACAGAATGTGTCTACAATGGAAAAGAGGCTCCGAAAGGCCCAGGATGAGCGGGACGTTTTGGACATGAACGATCTGCCTCCAACGCAAGAGGGCTCGGACTTCCCTATGCAGGAGATCATGGAGGAGCTTGACGAGGATGGAAATGTCGTCTCAAGCTCCATCAACGCGCCAGGAAACCAGGCGTCGGAGTTACTTGAAATGTTGCAAAAGGCTGGCGTCAAGGATGTCTCGGAAACTGAGGCCGCGGAGACTGCCGCCCCCAAGCCCAAAGCCGAGGGTGCTGCCGCAGCACCAAGCACTTCGAAAGTGACAGAAGAGCAAGAGGACACCACAACCCGCCAAAGTTCAGCCCCAACGCCAAACGGTATCTCCGCACGTGAAACAAATGCTGCTCAGCCTCAGTCTGTGGTGACCGATGAAGATCGCAAGCAACCGCCTGTCACTGATGTGGACGAGTCTCTTGAAGAAGCAAAACTCCGTCGTGAAATGCTCGAGTATGGAATCAACGAGGTTGGCGCTATTGTCGCAGAACTGGAAATGGATGAGTCTGGGAGCGACATCTCATTCGACGAAGAATACGACTATGATGATGATTACGAGGAAGATGAGGATGAGCACGGCAGGTCTCGCACGCATTTGCCAGCGGATTATCACAAGGAGATGATCGAGCTGGAAGCCAAGCTCAACGCCAGAGGCTTGATGAACATGGGCAAAGACACCGAGACCTTCCCTGAAGAGGTGCAGAGGGAAATCGAGGCCCCTGCTGAGGTTTCGACCGAGTCATCTACTAAGGAAAAGAAGCCCAAAAAGCGGGTTGCCTTCGCAGAGGATCTTGACATCGCACCAGCCAAAGAGTCTCCAGCCGTTGCCGGTAGAATCCCCCTCCGCAAGATGAGCCTCCCGTACTCGCCGATGCCATCGTTGAACGGAAAACCCAATCTCAAGTCCCAGAACCATCCACCACCCCGGCTGTTCCTAAGAAGACTTCACGATTCAAGAGTGCGCGTATCAATTCTTCGGCTACCGCTGAACCCGTGACCACTGGTGCTTCTTTCGCAAACCCCTCACAGATTACCGAGTCTCGTCTTCGCAAGCAAGCCAACACAACCCCATCCGCAGCACCACCTGCGCTCTTCCCTGCGACACCAAAAGAGCCCAAGCCATTCTCTGCTCCAATCCCCGATATCGTCGAGAAGCCCGTGGTCCCACAACCGCCTCAGGACCGCACTCTAGCCGAGAATGTGCTTGAGAGACAGGTCAGATCAGGGGCGGCCAAGGCCCCTGAACTCGATCACTACGACGAAGAACTCCACCAAAAGCAGATTGCGTCAGAGTTCTTCCACATGCAGAACCGCCTGAAGGGGACTCCCAAGGAAGAGGAACAGCAGGTTCTTCCCCCCGACCCAGAAGAGCCGCCAAAGCGAGTCAGCAAATTCAAGGCTTCGCGACTCGGATGATTCACGTCACTGTTGGGAAATGGGCTGCTTTTACCCATCCATAGATTCCTGTACGGAGTAGACACATTGAATGATTCAAAAGCGTTTGTCTTGTTTGTCTTCGTAGGCGTGTATAAATGCATCTCCCTTACCCCTTACCCCTTTCCCCCTTTCTCCTTTCTCCTTTTTCCCGACCACCCGGAGTTCAGCTTTCCTTGGATGCAAATCTGGGGAAATACGGCAAGGTGCATACCCATCCAATGGTATCACCGGATAAACTGAAGTCCAAGATCGAAATGAGTGCTTCTCTGGCTGCTTCGCCTTCGTCTCTCTGTCTCTCTGCGTTTGTCTGGGTTTGTTTGTATTGTGCTCGGTCTTCTTCGGGGGATCATTGTACTTACGAACTTGTCTTTACGGATTTGGTTTGGCATAGGGTCTGAACCATGGAGTTGTGGTTTATTTTTATTCTCGCTCGACATACACCAAGCTTATTCAATTTGTGTAAACATCACTCCAGGCCAATTTGTCCATTCTAGCTTGCTCCGATCCACGTCCCATAGATAGCGTAGGGCTGATCATCATGCCATTCAATGCCCAGGTGGAAAACTTGATGCGCACATAGAATGGATTTGTATTGTCTGTTGCTCATGGGCTTCTGCTTTCCTCCTCGATATCGAAAGATTTCTGGCGGGACAACCAACATCATCGGCATGCTCATCATCGCAGGGTGTAATTTGTCATTTTCTTCGGTAGAACGCGAAATCATTGAAATCATTGTTTTTGTCGTTTGGGTTTTTTTGGATCGCGAAATTCAACAATTTGAAAGAAGTCTGGAAGGTTTCCGTATTTGGTGCATTTGTATGTTGCCGTCGGTAAGAAGTGCTTGCTCTCTCTCTAAGTTAGTTTCGCCATAGCAAAGAAATTGATCTCTATCAACTTACCAGTCGCCTATACCGTCTTAGTAGCCATCCACGGGGTGCTTCATCGGGCAATAGATACTAGCAATTCCGAGGTCTCATACGTGACACCTTTGCCGCATTCGCAAACTTGAGGTATGCAAGATTATATGGAGTTTTCCTATAACAATTTTGGTACACCCTTTTCCTGGTGACCATGATTACCATGTTTCGTCCCATTTGATTCATTGATCAGGGTAGGAAATAGTGATTCTATATTACACGGATGCTCATCACGTCCCATTGATCGAACAATAGGCTGGATCAGAGCTTCATGGTCTTTATTTAGGTCGTTAAGAACCCACGAGATCACTAATCTTGAAGGTAATTGATAACCTGTCAAAGCAAGGCCGTTAACCAACGCTCTGATTTTGTCCAGGTATTCTTCCATAGTATCAAATTGATCCATGGAAGTATTAAAGAAATCATTCAATAAGAGGAATTCAGTAGTAGATTGTTTTGGAGAATACAGTTCTTCCAAAGTTTGCCAGGCAATTTGACAATCTTTAATATTTTCAATGTGAGCAAGTGGACCGTCTTCACAGTACAATTGAATGACTGCAAGAGCTCGCTCGTTTTTTCTACCAGTAGTGGTAGTTGAGAGAGATAAATGCAAGTCTCTGTCAGTGAGAAGTGCTCTCATTTGGATGGACCAAATTTGGTAATTTGCAGATCCTTTTAATTGAGGAATTTGTAATTCTTCAATTGTCGACATGGCTTTGGTATCTGTTCTTGTCAAAGTAAATACTAAATCGTAATTCTGCAGGGTGGATTTAGTAACCTTGGAGGTAGGTAGTGTTGGAAATTGGGTTCAATTGATGGGAAAAATAAGATCACCTGGGCAAGCCGGGGGGCTTAGGTCATAGTCATTTGACCATTGACTTGAGCGTTTATAGTAGACTGAAAGGCTTTGGGTTTGACTGTATCCCGTTCTTAGGGTTTCCAAGGTTTTTCCATGGTCGTGGCTGGTTTCGGAATTGACTTCAGCCTCGCTCACCTCATGATTCGTAGACATGCAACCACAAATCACCATTCTGACAAAAATGCCACTCTGGCTCATAATATCTAGTATTATCTCAAGTAGGTATGATCTATCAATGAAGAATCAAATGCCCAAAACTTCGGCTGTGCTGCGCTCATGATCAGTCGCTTTGTGTTTTTTCAAATCCGTTTTCGGCAAAAATCATTGCGTCTTGAAAAACAGCTTATATGACAGACATGGATCCTCTAGCATAATATGATACAGCTCTTAATATCTATAGGATCAAGCTATAGATCAAACGTGAAACCTTCCAAGGTTGGAAGGATTAAATTATGTTTGCTTGGACCTAAACGAGTCCTGGGTATATTCATTAATCACTAGCAAAACATGAAATAAAACACATTAGTTTCTGATTTTGATTGAGTAAACATGTTGTTCGGGAAAATACTGAAGGGAAATCCTCTCTCAATACCTGGAAATGAGACGTCAGTAAGTTGGAAGTTGATCAGAGATGGGATAAACTCACGAGAAGCTCTCGGTATGAAGCCAAACCTCCCGAGCACAATCCTCCTCTCTCATTATTCTATACTGCGCAGCAGCAGCAGCCTCGCTCACATCATGGTTCATAGACGCAGGACCGCAAACCACCACTCCAACAGAAGAGCCTCTCTGGCTTGTGAAGTCTCGTATCAACTCAGGCAGATTCGGCCTACCAGTGAAGAATCGAATGCCCAACATTTCAGCAGCGTTGCGCTCATGATCAGTCGTCTGTGTATCTTTTTCCATTTTAGGATGCTGCACAACGGTGTGCAGGGCAGTTTCCGATCCTTCTTCGTGATGTGTTTCATGAATATCGATCGATAACCCACCAATGACACCCGTCCGAGAGTGTCTCGCTGCGATATCTTCCACGGCCTGGATGAACCATGCTCGCATCCCTGGGTCGCGTGTCGCGACCACCACTTTCATTTCGGCCTTGTACTGCTCAAAGCCGGAGAGATAGATGAAGTTCTCGAGCATGGAGAGTGTGAAGCCGGCACCAGCGCCGCCTCCTACAATTAAACTCTTGTCGAACTGATCGACGTGTTTATCGGAGATTCCGCCGTATGGTCCGTCCAACATAACAGGGATCTGGACTCCAGGGTTCTTTTCGGCCATTTTCATGAGTCGTCCTGTCAGTCCACCACGTTGCTTGACGTAGAAGACCAATTGATTTTGCTTGTCTTGTTGGGGTACTGAGCATATTGTGAACGGGTGGGCTGTGAATGCATGAACTCCGCAAGTCAAAAAGCGAATGAAGATGTGTTGACCGGGAGACCAAGTCATTTTCGTGTCGATGGTCACTTTGAGGGTGTGGTTTGTCTCGGGGATGAGACTGGCTTTGTGCTTGAAGCCGTGCTCAATGTATGTTTTACATTGCGAGTAGAGGAAACACATTGTGTAGATCACTGCGGTTGCAATGAAGTAGTCCCACGAGGACATACGGAAGTCGCAGTGGAGGAAGAAGAAGATGACGAAGACGAGGGCCATGAAAAGGTGGGTGGCTTTGAAAAATTCATAGTATCGGTTCCTGGGCGAGAAAAAATAGGTTAGTTTGGGGAAATACACATGCAAAGCAACTATGTCTACATGATAAGAAAAGAATGACACACCTGATCCAGGGAATAGACATGAAGGTTAACCAAGCCTGAGCTATGAGGGCAACCACACCAGTGACCCAAACACCACCTTTGCTCCACGATGCAACTAAATCCCCTTTCCATGCATGGAAGACGATGAATGGGAAAGTATGAACCAAAGCGAGAACGAACATTGCCCAAGCGACCCAGTTGTGCCAAATATTCAACTTTTCGTGGGAGATTCCTGTCAGTGCGGTGATCGGATTGGCCTTCGCACCCAAGACACTAGGATCTGTCAGTCATGGAGCCAAATCAGGGAAGTCGCTGATCTCACATCAAGAACGGCATACATGCCAGAGCCAAAAACCCGGCCCGAGTAGCAATAGGAGGGGAATTTCCGAAGCTGATTTCCTTTGTATTGGGCCAGTAGTATGGACGTGGCCCCAGAGTCATTGCTAAAATTCAAACATTGTTAATGACAAGCCTTTTCCAGTACCTGTTCCAGAGTTGTAAGCTCACCTAAGAAAAAGATAACACCCGCCGCTGCAAGCAAATAAGCGCCCAGAGAATGAGTGTTCCAGCTGCCGATCCTCCAGCTTTTGTAGGAAATGAACCGAAGCGCCGCGACGAGTCGTGACCAGAGAGATTTCTGCTTCACGCCCTGTGGTGTAGCTTTGGAGATCAGACGTGCAAGGGTAAATAGGATGATTGCAACGAGAAAGAATGCAACCGTCGGTAAGGCATAACGGTGATCGGCTTCGTACCAGAAAACCCAGTAGGAGGTCTTCAAAGCACATTGCTCCGGCGTCATGGTACAGTTTCCTGCATTGCGACTTGAGTGTAACATCACCGGCTGGTCCAAGAAGGGGACCATCTTCATAGCGCCTGACATTGACATCTGCATATTGGCGGTTGTAGGCAGTGCCTGGATAGCCGAAGAGCTGAAGAGAATGAAGATTGAACAATTGTCGATCAGGTCAGATCAGATCCAGAGATATAGCCGACATTAGTAAAAGAGAAGTTGATGTAAGATGTCGGATTGATTTGGTAGCCGACCGATTGGTCACGACCTGCTCAAATTGCCTCGCATTTTAGGGCTGGACATGATACGGATACTTAGGGGTTTCGTCATTGAAGAGCAGATTTTGATTGGTCGCACCGGTATTAGGGTGAGCAAGAATGAGAAGGTTTTGATATAGCCGCAGGAGCGGCCCCATCCTTTCTTCCGGTTAAGCCAATCGCTTTGACTGCTCGGACGCGTGGGAGGTGGAGATCGTCCCATGTGGATATTCGGGAGAGGCCGTGTTATTCCTCCTTCGGGCATCTGCTCTGATAGCCTATTCTCTTCTCTTCTCCCAACTTCACATATCTTTAACTCCCGGCGCTGTCAAAGCTGTCAGATCAAACCATCCCTCCAAACCGCCAAAATGGATATGTCCCATATGACAATGTCCATGTCCACGGCGACATCGACCGGAATGTCCATGGCCACATCAACCTCCTCCATGGACATGGACATGTCAGACTCCAGTATGTCAATGAGCATGGCAGACATGGCCATGACCTTCTTCGTCTCCTTCAAAACACCTCTTTTTTCGACCGAATGGACGCCAGGCACGAAAGGACAATACGCCGGTACTTGCATTTTCATCATCGCACTGGCTGTGATCATGCGGGTGCTTCTTGCTTTGAAACCAATTCTCGAGGGTCGCGTCTGGACGGATAGTGTTCACGATCACATGCCTGAGCTACAGTCACACATTGAAGCGGGCAAGCCTCCTCAGAACCCGTCGGGGCTACGATCGAGCATGCAGGAGGTCAGTCACCGCTGGTCTTCATGGCGGGTGAACCCCGCGGCGGGGAGGGCGACATTCGAGCTTGTCACAGCCGGTGTGGCTTATCTACTGTAAGAGTGCCCTTGGGACTTTTTTTTGGATAATTACTTCATGGTTTTCATGGAACTGACTAGCGAAACAGCATGTTAGCGGTGATGACGATGAATGTGGGGTATTTCATGTCGGTGCTCGCGGGTGTCTGGCTGGGAACTTTCATGCTGGGCAGCATCGCAGCTGATAGCAGATGGAGGCATTGACTGTGGTCTTGCCTTGGGGGACCTTGTGGGAAACCCTTCTAATAAAATAATCAATTACGATCTACGCTCTCTCAATCCCTAGAACGACTTAATAGCTGCCCTGGAAACAGTGATGACTTGTAATTTTTATGACCTGGAAGCACTTCTCTTTTTGCACTCGAATTCACAGTGAGTCATTTTGAAAAGAACCCGTGGGACCAGCAATGTACAAAGTAGCCTCATAATCGGTACGTCACACCAAGGCCTAACTTACATTCGTTTCCGATGAGCTCTGCCTTTGGAGGGCTGCTGGCTTTCGTGCAGCCCCAGTCAGCCACTTGGTATTATCAAGCCAGTCAGAGGCCCGCTAAATTTGCCAAAGCATACGCACGTTCATGCACAAAGACACACGTGGAATGCCCTCAGATGACCCTATCCCGGCCCTTGAAACCGAATTCCCCGCAGCGCCGATATTCAAACCGAAGCTGAATACTTTCCTAGATCGTAGTATAATATTGAGACAACTACCACGAAAACCCCCTCATCGCAAGATCCACAGAATCTCCCCAAGCAAGGGGCTTCCAAAATGTGCTTTTTAATTGCATAGGCTATCATCAAATTCGGATTCCAGGCGTGAGTTTGAGCAGAATTGCGCAGAAATCTCTTATATCCGAAATCCTTTTAGATGAAACAGGTTTACCAGCCAAGCGAGACCCAAGAGCGGATTTCTCCATATACTCCATCTCTTTGTGCTGTACACGTACAGTCTAGAATGCCTTTCGATGTGCTAGGCGACAAATGGTCCTGGTAGGGTTCAAAGGTTCCCGGCTTTACCGTGGATAGTGTCTCACCAAACTTAGTGAATCGTGTATCCGAGGCCACCGTTCGTCTAAATGCGCGCACTATGATCGCCTCATGAAAAGGGTGCCCAAAGCGGGCCGGCCTTTGACGAATTGTGTCCATATCCGTGGAGCGGATTGTGACTGTCGTGAAGTGTGGGCTATTATGGTTCCACTTGAAGGTATACTACGAGCAAGCCCGTTTGATTTCTTTCGTCTGAGCGTCTTTTAGGGTCCACGCTTTGCACGATTCGGAGTCCGTCGCCTGATCCTTCTGAACGCGGTGGTCAGAGGGTTGCTTCTGCTAGGCAGAGCTAGGACGCCGGTCAGCAACTCGTTGATCATTAGATATCGAAGCTGTTTTGCTAAGTATAGCGGATTTTATCGGTTTTTTTTTTTTGTTCTAGCAATGTTAGCTTTGGAGGGAATTTTTGGCATGTCTCGCTGCATTGTTAAGTCTCCTATTTTCGCAGCACGCAGAGAGAACCTTGGAATTTTTTCACAATTAGGCACATTTTCATTGTATCCACACAGAGTATGCTATAAATGATATTAATTAGATTCGTTTTACCCTGGGCGTGAGGACGAAAAGATATGGTATTCTCTGTTGGGTCCAAAGCACTGTACGGTACTCTCAAGTAGGTATTCTGCTTTTTCGGCCCTTTCACAAAAAAAAAGCCAATGCATCCTTAAAAGAAGACATAGTCCATCTAGCCTTGGCTATTCTGAAAAGAAATTTCCTACCATCCCATCATGCCCTGAGAGAATCTTCCAAAGACCAATTCTCCACAAAAAACACCCAGAAGCACCGCTGCAAAGATTCCAACGTTAAAACTCATGACTGCCAGCATTCTATGTATCGTTAGTCAAAGCCAGAGTAAAACCGTCACAGAACTTACAGAACATATCCAATGAAAGCCCTCCCAAGCTCCAGCAGTCCCCGAGTCCCATCTTTGCGAAGACTCCACGCTCCACTTGCTTCCCAAGGCCGCAATTTTTTCCGTGGATTATCTCTCTCGGTGGAGCTATCGGACATATTTGCCATGGGCAGAGATTCTTCCGAACGCTCACTGACATGTGTGTAAACAGGAAGTGGACTCCGTTTTGATTTCGGGATTCGCCGTTTCTTGGAAGTCTCGAGCTCAACCCTTTGAACCCTGGTCTCGCGTGCGGACCATGCTTGTTCGAGTTGGAATTTGAGAGTTCCGAGAAAGCGATTAAAAATTGCGAGAAAAATAAGAACACCAGTGTTAGGATGTACTTGGTTGTTGATGAGGTGGTCCACCCGGTGAAGAAGATGGTGATTTTGGTGTCGGTGGAGAAGACAAATGGCATTTCCATACTCATGCTGGAATTTGTATGAGAATTATTTGATCCATTTGCGGTGTGATGCATGTCCATTTTCTCTGATGTCGCTCTGAGGTCTGAGAGGGAAAAGACCGCGACGTTATAGATGTGCCATATGAACCAGGACACAGAGCTCAAGTGTCGGGCAAATACAGGCAAATAATGCAAATGAGCGAGATAGTTCACCTGGCAGGAATAGGGCTTTGGTGAGTCGAGTTCGAGTTACCAGGAGGTCCCCAAGGAAGGGGGTTGGAGATTGCGCATTCCAGTCGATCTTCTCAACCGCAAATGCCCTCAATTCCGCCTCAAATTCACCTCACTGTAATACGTGACTTCATACGCTTTTTACTTGAATGATTTGGTCTGTAGATTTCCACCAAAATAATCTCGATGCCCTTTCAATTTGGGAAGCCCTTCAGTACATACACATTGGAGACACCGCACGGTATGACTCTGCTTCATCTGGCGAAAGCCCCATCCCCGAAGGATCTCTTTTGAGTAAGAACCGCTCCAGTTGCAACAAGAAAGACGCATCAAGCGAGTGCAGTCGTCGATGCCAGACCAGTTCCCGGCATTGACTGTCCATCCGGTTCAATTCGATTTCTGCCTTGGAAAGAGTGACCAAGAAGAGGCAAATTTCTCCGAACGTGAATACCACTGCCAAAAGTCGCAGAAGGTATTTATGCGTTGATAGAAATACCCAAACGTTAAATTCCTCTTCTTGTTTGGGTTCGGAGTCATATGCTCTGTTGAATGGGCTGCTGTAGGTGCGACTGTCATCATGATTTGGGCGGGTTGGCGACGACCAACCGACTCCATACATATCATACGCTGCCCGTTTGGTGGTGTCTGAGAGAATCTCATGGGCTGCTACAACGAGGCGGAACCGATCTGTTTGCGTCGCTTTGGAGAGGCAGTGCGAAGTCCTGGTGTTCAGATCTGGGTGGTAGGCTTTAACGAGGTGATAGTATTTCCTCTTGTGGTAGGGCTGGCCTTTCCGTACGTCTAGTATTTCATACGGCGTGGGATGTTTTGTTGATGGCCACGGCTGATCACGCTCCAACCGGTGTCGTGAGTGTGTTTTGGGCTTTGAGGTTGAGCTTGTATGATATAAATGAGCGGATCTCATAGTGTTCGGCCATATTTTGCGATACATATTCCACCGGTGAAATTGGGGAAATGAAGGACTGATATTTGGAGTGATAGGTCTGGAGTAACTGAATTAAGATCTTCACCTTAGAGATTGGATACGTTTTCTCCTTTCAACCTTGAAAAACCAGGCTCTAAGCCAAGCGGGGAACCTTGAAATGAGCAGTTTTGCGATGTTTTGTTTGCCTTGGAGTATGCAGCGCGACTATCATAGGTGGCATGGCCGGTCGCACCGACTCTTTGCAGCCTGTCTTGCAGGTTACTGATATACTAAATGATTGTCTGAAGCGCAAATCCGCTCAGTGATAATGTTTGACCCTTGCTGAAGGTAAGGATAAGACTCGTCAATGTTTCATGTGCAAAGCTGATGTTCAAGTCATCTGGTTCGGTACCTGTCAACCAACATGGAAACGCAGCGCTGGTAAGAGAATGTCAGATATCATGCAGTCGTTAAGAGGTATTGAGCATAAATCGTAGATCGAAAATGACAAGCGGCAGGTGCGAGGAGGACGTCGGTTTATATTTCATCCTCTGGACGTATGTGCCAAACGCAGAGACCACCCAGGCGGAATCCGAGTCCGACGACTAGCAGGTGGATCAAGACAGCAAGAGACTGTACTCGAACGCTGCGCGCCTTCAAAGTCAATGCTGCGGAGAGGAGAAGAGGGTAAAGAATCCAAGGATTCACGGCCAGCGGCGAGCAGGGGTGGAGAAGTGAGGCAACCTTGGTAAGGAAAAAAACGATCTGTACAACAGGTGAAGAAGAAGCAAAAGAAACCAAAGCGTGGAGCCTGGGAAAGCGGCTTGGGGGCGGAGGCAAGAGATGATGTTGAGGAATAGGCTGAGGTTGAGAGAGCGGCGACGGAGTTTTTTCATGCAAGTCATTAGAAGAAATGGGAGAAGAGGTAGAATGCCGGTGCCGGATGACGATGTCTCGATCTGGACTTGAGCTGAGAGAACTTTCAGCGGCATCAGGAACAGGTGCGGTGCTGCCTCTAAATTGACTTGGGTCAAACATTGAGTCCCGCCGGAAAGACGTTGCATTCCTTGGATTCTTTTTTATAGGCGAAAGAGTTCGCTCTGAAGATGTCCGTGGTTTGTCCAGACTTTGAATTCGAGCACCGGGGATTTCCGTACTTGTTGAGCTCGTGCTGGGTTTTCGGAACCGGAAGTTGTCATTGGCATTTGCTCCGACTTGTATTCCGTTCAACACTTCTTCGGCAGATGGCCGTCGGGCGGGGTCAACGAAAAGCAATCGCTCCAAGAATCGGTATAACTTCTCGGGGAGGTCGGGACGAATGGTTCGTGCATGGTCGAACCCAGCCCAGCTGGTGATTTCAGCACGAAGCTGGTCCAGATCTTCTTTTTCTTCGTTTAAAATGTCGGCGTTGGCGTATGGGAGAGCCGCAAAACACAGGAAGTAGAGGATCATCCCCAGGGAAAAGATATCTGACTTGAAAGTGAAATTTCCGAAAGGCCCATCGGGATACTCTTGTCGGAGAACTTCAGGCGCGCAATATGAGAGGGTTCCAGTCGCCCCTGTGGATTTGCGCATCGCATTTTGTTGCTGCACTTCACCGAAATCACTGACAAGTACCCTGATTCCATCACCCGTTTCATGAAGAAGGCAGTTGTGTGGCTTCAGATCACGGTGAATGTATCCATTTGCATGCAGGTAGCGCAGCCCGGAGGTGATATCTCGGAAAAAGGAGTAAATCTCATCAAGTTGAAGTTTGCGAGGTCCTCCCAGATTGGACTGTGGCTCCGGTTCGCCCTTCGACTTTCGGCGAAGGCGATCCTTTAACTGCTGCGCGGTGGTTGATGTTTGGACGGTGCCGCAGATATAGTCGTTCAGATCGCCTGCATTGCAGTATTGTTGCAAAATAAATGCACAGGCCACACTGGGACCAAATGTGCTAATCTTTGCGTTTTCAAGCCAAACATGGCGATACGAGACTAGGTTCTGATGCGAGAGGTGTTGCAAAAGTTGCACTTCTCCCAAAACCTTCTCCAACCACTCATGATCATCGCCAACGGGCACACGCTTACAGGCGTAATGGCCCAGTGACACACTGTCCAGCACGTGTTTCACTAGTAGCACCACACCCTTCCCACCTTTTCCCAGAACACGCTCTTCCACAAAAAACCTCTTGAAGTAATCCGGGCTGAACGCAGCAGACGAGATACCTTGTGGCGCGGAGGTAGGTTGAGGAGACGGCTCATATGTTGGCCCGCCAGGTAGTGCGGGTTGAACCAGACGGCGGCGTGGAGATGGGGGAGTTGATGAGCTTGCCGAGCTGGGAAGGCTGTTGTTGAGCATGCGAAAGTAATTTGGGTTGACGAATTCGCCCTCGGGTTCCTCATTCTGCCGTTGTGGTCCCCTGCTATTTTCATTCATGGGGCGATGGCAGAGCGGACAGTTAGTGAGCTCCATATCTCCATGGTCGGTATCTGACGTGTTGCGGAGAACGAGCTGCTGGGAGTCGTGATCGAAGACAACCACAGAGTCATTGTGTCGCCTAAGGTGGTTAGAGAAAGCTATGCAGCAGCTTCACACGACTTACAAAACAACATGATTGCCCCCGTTATAGGGGACCATCGACATGTTTGCGGGCATGTCAGCGTCAAGAGGGCGCGGGTCGATGACGAGGTAAAGTGGGCGGTGAGTGTACAGCCGCGAATAGTGACAGCCTTGGAACTTCGGGCCTTTGGCACTTGACTCAATATTCTTTGTTCAAGATCTTGCAGATTTCTTTCCCTTGTTTTTGAAGATCAAGACGAAATGTTCAACAAATTCCTGGTCGTACCAGGTCAATTGTTCTTCAGGGATCAAGTTAGGCTGAGACGCCTGAAACGATCTCCGGAGCTAATCCCCTCAAGGATCGGTGGATACTCGTACGGCTGACAGCACACATCCCACTGTGGATTTTGAACAAAACTACCGTTGTTATACTAATTTGACGTCGTGTTCCAATCACAATGGATCCCATATCTATAACCGGCCTCGTGATAGAAGTCAGCCATGTTCTTGCCAGCCTCATTGAATACGCGAAAGCTGTGAAGAGCGCAAGTTCCGAGGTACGGAGGCTCAGCGAAGAGCTCTTCGCTCTGAAAGGGATATTGGACCATCTAGCAGCACAAACAGAGCAAAGTCAATGCGACGAGAAAAGCTACGAGTCGGCTTTGTTCGACCGTGATGCTATGTCCAGAGTGTTGTACACGACAAATGAGTTTCTCCAGACCTTGCTCACCGATCTAGGGACACCGGAGACCAAATTGAAACACTTGAAACGCAATCTCAAGTGGCCATTTACGCAGAAACAAGTCAATGAACATCTTGTTCGCCTGGAAAGGGTCAAGTCTTGGTTGATATTGGTCCTGATGGCAGACCATACATCCGCAGATCACGGTATACAGCAAGAAATCGGCGCTTTGACGAGCGCTTTGAAGGAGGACTTGCAGATTCGTGACCGCGAGCGAAATAAGATAGCCAATAGAGAGCTACTCCAATGGATGGCTCCTGTGAGCCCAGAGAGCGCACATTTACGAGCGTCCAAGCGCTATCAAATGAGGACTGGTAGATGGTTCCTTTCGGGACATTTGATGGAATTTCTCAACACAAAGGAAAGTCCTTTACTCGAGGAGGACCGAGCTCTGTTTCTTTTAGGAAAATGTATGTATCTGTTACCAACATGGCGGCTTTTACTAATGACTGATGCTGAAGCTGGAACTGGGAAAACAACACTATTGTAAGTCAGGTTGAGTACTTGATTATGTTCCATCTGATCTTTCTAGTTCTCAGACTGCAGACAAACTTACTTCGATGTCATCGCAAGACCCATCCATATGCGTTGCCTATTTCTACTGTACGATAGGCGACCATGCGTCTCAGATTGCGAGAAATGTTCTTGGATCTCTGGTGGCACAACTTTCGAGCGCAGAGCCTTCAATCTTGGGCGACATTTGGTCTACTTATCACAGAGCTCCGAAAAACCAAGCCCATCGGTTCCCCATCGAGACAAGTGTTCTCGAAGCCGCGATTTTAAAATGCGCTTCTAAAAAAGGGCAAGTTGTGCTCTTAGTTGATGCAGTCAACGAGAGTGACGACATGGACCTGATTGAAGAGTCCCTCGTCAGGCTTGCAAACGCATGCCAGAACATACGCGTGCTCATAACCACTACAAACACGCTGGTCTTCAAGCACCGCGGTGGATCAGTCCTCAACATAAGCCGACAAGTGCGAGGAGATATAGATATATTCATTCAATGGCGCCTTGAGACCGATGAGACGCTCAAAAGTTTGACGCCGAAGTTCAAATCAGAGATTGAGACAACCCTTCTTCAGAACGCAGATGGCTCGTAAGTAGCTCTTTGGCCGTCACCCAAATCCTCTAACACATCTTAGGTTCCGTTGGGTTCAACTCTCCTTAGAGAATCTGAGTACCCAGCGGTCTGTTCGAGCAATGCGCGAAGCACTTCGAAGTCTTCCTGTGACATTGCGGGAAACTTACGCAAACACGCTTGAAAGGATAGCACCAGCCGACTGGAAAATCGCCCGCGAGGCATTGTTCTGGATAAGCTTTGTGAAACAACCCCTGACACTACGCCGGTTGAATGAAATCGTTGTCCTGGACGAAGCGGATAACCTTCTGGACGAAGACATGATGCTCGTGCCTCCACACATCCTTCTCCAAATATGCCAGGGTCTCATAACAGAAGATCAAGACGGCTGTGTGATTCTCGCCCATTCTTCTGTCAAGGACTTCCTGACTTCAGACTGGATCAGCTCTTCCCGAGTCAACTATTTCCGTCTTGATCCCACCACTGCAGACCTGAAGATCATGAACCTGTGCCTGACCTATCTATGTCTCGACAACTTTTCAGCCGGATACATGATTGAGAATCCCCCGACACTGCGGGTAAACCATCCCTTCTTGACTTACGCTGCAAATTATTGGCCTGAGCACGGAGCAGCGTGCAACTTTGGGGACTTGAAATTGGTTCATAAGCTATTTGACTCACGAGCACTTCCAGGACGTGGAAATTATGCCACGTGGTTGCAAACGCTATTTCGACACACGGTTTCGCGTGAAAAAGATCGTGAGACGATCGATATTACGCATCCGTTGTATTATGCATCCTCTTTTGGAATGACGCCCGTTGTCAAGTCTATACTTGCGGCGGATCCAAATATTGATGTGAATGCGCCCGGTGGCCGTGTCGGGGCTACGCCTGTTTGGATAGCTAGCTTGCGGTTCAATTACGAGGTTGTCGAAATTCTTTTGGCCGCAGGGGCTAACCCAAAAATCCGGGATCCTGGGAGCGGTCTTAATGTTCTTGATCTGTTGAGATTAGTCCGACCTCTTGGACGGAGCTATACTGGTCTGAGGCCTATTTTGGCTTGTCCAGCACCCTGGAAGGATATGGAAAACGATGGAGTTGTGGCCAAATGATGTGGTCGTGCAATGTGAAGAGCCAAATCATGTTTGCAATTTTTAGCTTGCATAGGAAAGAAGAATGGTTCGGGATCATGCGCTTGAGACCTTCTATAAGCTGGATTATGAGCCTATCATCAGACAAACCAAGCGGGCAGAGAGATGAAATAATTTTTCAAAATACACTGACTGGGACTACAAGCGGATACAAGAAAAAACATGACGTTATAAGTGAATTATTTTCATTCATGATGATTCTTTTTGAATCGGGTATCTGAGGGAGGGCTGGTGCTTGTTAAACAAGAGGCCCGAAGGATAGTACAGTTCATTTACTGAAATGCTCACGGTAGTCACGCGGCTTGGGGGTGTGGCAAGCGTTGGTCAGAGCGAAGCATCGCATGGCCTGATAGCTTGTGGGAGCCAAATTCACTCGAGAGGCGAAGATGGAAGAGCCAGCCAAGGTCTGTTTCAAGAGCTGGTATGGCTGGGCTCATGGCGGCAAATTGCCGGGCTTCATGAGCTGAAAGGGGTGACACTCAAGTGCCTTAAGAGATCACAGGCGAATTGATCAATCCTCCTCGCCACTCTCCACGTCGCTGACTTCGATGTTGGCGATGGAGTCATTGTCGCTATCAGCGCCATCGACTTCCTCATCACCAGGCTGGGAGTCAGAAGATTCAGCTTCGTCATCTTTCTCAACAGGCTCGTTGTTTTCATCCAACTTGCGCTTGCGAGGCATCTCGCCGAGGCGACCTTCACGGCCCTCGACACCATCGTCCTCTTCTTCGCCTTCCTTGCCCTTGCCCTTGGGTGGGGGAGTGTACCAGGGGATCTTTCCGCGAAGGAAGTCATTGATGACCATCTTGGCAACACCATCCAGATCGGCTTCACCTCCCTTGAGGAGACGACCACCCTGGCGAGCAAGAAGTGCCAGCCATTCGAGGTAATCTTCCTGGTGCTTGATGCCATAGGTACGCTCGAGGTGACGGGGCTGCACACGACGAAGCACAGCAGGGATGTACTGCTCGGGGTTCTCAACGTTCTCCACTCTGCAAACACCGCGAAGGAGAATGTCCTCCTCGGTGTCATTCGCGTTGGGTGGGACGACACCGGGGCAGTCGATGAGGTAGATTCTCTTCATAAGAGTGATGTACTGCCACACCTTGGTCTCTCCGGGAATAGGGGCAACTGTGCAGACCTTCTTCTTGCGAAGAGTGTTGATGATGGAAGACTTTCCAGTGTTGGGGTAGCCAATGAAACCAACCGAGACCTGCTTCCGATCGGAGTGAAGGGAAGAGAACTGGCGGAGCAGGGCAATCAAAGAGCCCTTACCAAAGGAGTTGTTGATGTTGGCGTGGAATGCAAGGGTAGGGTAGTCCTTGGAAAGGTGACGGACCCAAGCGGCCTGGAAGAGATGCAAAGTTAGCAATCTGTTCCCAGCAATGTGTGAACATTGTAAAATGAATGTGTGGGATGTTACTAAGAGCTCTACTACTAAGCCACCAAAAAGGCAGAAGCAGAGCTCAACTCAAAAACAAAACACGTCTGACCCTTGCGACAGGCTTTCAAGACGAAAACAAGTCAACCTAGCTTCATAACGAAATTCGGTGCGGGCCAGCGTCAATATACCAAAGCTGTAACAGACTGGATTCCATTGAGAAAAAAGCACAACCGAGGTCATGCACGACATGAGTCGCAGGAAAAGGCCTTGACTTAGCGATGGAACGAGGGGGTGAAAAGCAAAGAAAAGCAAAACTAGAACGCTACAAAGTGAGGAAAGAGTAGACTTTGAACTTACAGCAACACCGGTTGGGACAAGATCACACTTGTTCAGAACAAAGATCAAGTGCTTGTGGGGTGCCTCCTCGCGAACGTATTTTTCAACACTTCTGCAACGAGTACCGTTGGGATCACGTGAGTCCAAGACGTGAATGATAACATCGGAGGAATCGATGACCTTGTACAGCTCGTTCCAGATACGCTTACTCTGTCCCTTGGAGAAGACAGACTCGCGGGAAGTTGTGAGCAGACCCAAGTCCTCAGCAGCGGCAGTGTCATCGCCACGAACGATCGCACTTCCATCGGCGTGGAACCCTTCATCGTTCTTTTGACTGTAGGTGTCTTGGTTGCGGGCGGACTCGCCAGCGAGGTCTTCGAGAGAAGAGACACCAAGCTTGACACGCTTGCGCTGAGCCTTGGGACCGAAAGTGTCGTTGAAGGGGGCAGTCTCGATCGCCATCTTAGCCTGATGCTGCTTGAGCCCGTTGATTCCGTCACCGTCCCGGATCAAGCTCATGGGAAGCTTGTTGGTCTTGAGGAGAACTTGGTAAGGGTCGGAAGCACGCTCGGCAACAGCATCACGGAACGAGGTCAGAGCCTCTTGTGAGATGACTCGAGAGTTTGCAAACCATTTACGGTTTGGCTCAATACGAGCTGTCGGCAGGTCTCTGGACTGATAACTGGCGGCCACTGTGATCTCACCCTGAGCGTTACGACGAGCCTTTCCATCCTTGAACATGTTCAAGGTCTTGATCTTCTTGGCATCGCTGTGATCATGGTCAGTATGACTGCGAGTGTTTTGCTTAGGAGCTGTACATACCGGTAGAAATTTTCACCTTTGGTCTTGACATTGCCCATGCCATCCTTGGGCTTTCCCTCCCTCTCTTTACGAGAGGCCTCCTTCTTTCCTGTACCCATGATGAAGTACTAGGGATAGATGTGAGAAAAAAGGTATGTGCCTGACGAAAAAAAAATCGAAGGCAAGACCAAACACGAAGATTGGCAGAGTGCAAAGAAAAGAAGAAGGAAAATAAAAGGCGGCGAAGGAAGTTTTTTTTTTGGCGCCAAGAAATAGCGTGCACGGGCCAGCTAGAAAATCGCTTCGTCGACTTACCGCGTTGCTCCTGATTATACGGTTATCGTTAGGCTACTCTGTTTGATTGGAGGTGTTCTCGTCGGCCGGCAGTAACCATCATCTCCATAACCCATTGCGGTCCTCGTCTCTCCAGTCTCACGGTCAATCTCAAGTTGTGCCGCATGTCTGCCCTGCGCAACAGCCGGACTGCCTCCGTGCAGGTCCGTGGATTTGCTACCTCCTCCAGCCTACGAGTCGGACCCGAATCCCCTCACTTCATCGATGTCCCAAAGATCGTTCAGCCATCAAACCCAAACCGACCCCATGTCCGGGGTACACTACCCGTGCCTCGCGAGCTCTTCCCGGCCCGTCGGACAGACAAACCCAAGAAAGCGTACCTCGATGCCGCCACACCTCTCCCCAAGTCCCCGCGGAAAGTGAGCGCCCGGAGCGGCGACCCTGAGAAGCTGGAATGGAAGCACAAAATGGCCGATCTCCGCCGACAAAACCTGCGCGAGGGTCTTCAGAACCTGTACGCGCGCAAGCGTTCCGCAGAGGGAAAGATGTTCAGCCGCAGTCGTGAGAGCCAGGAGCGACGCGAACGAATCTTCCAACAACCTGAGCGTGAAGACGAGCGTCTGACCCGCCCCTCGACCATCGCGGCCATGTTGCCTCACAAGCAGCCGGTCTTGCCCGATCCCAACCGCGAGGCACGCATTGCTCTTTCCCAGGCTCGCCTCGAAGCAAAGAAGTACCAGAAGGAGGAAGCCCGCAGAGCAGACCTCCAAGAATTGTACATGAATGCTCGCACTTTCATCACAACCGAGGAGCAACTCGCTGCTGAGATCGATCGCGCCTTCCCCGAGGGTGAGAACAAGGCTTGGTTGAACGACAACACACCAGGTGACAGCATCTGGAACAAGGGCAGTCCCTCTACTATCAACAGCCTTGTCAACCAGACCCAAAGGAATGAGACTGCTCGCTGGGAGCTCATCCAGACACGTGTCAAGCAGCTTGGAGAGCAGATCACCGGTGGTAAGCTCTAACTGTAATTTTGTTTATTTTGCATGTACAATATTTTTCTCAGCTATCGCATCATCATCGCTCGAATCAAGAGTCTTTTTACTTGTCCAGTTTGGCGGGGCTCGAGGTACCTGATCCAAGACCTCAGGGGTTTATTTGATCGGTGCTCACTTGTAGGAAAGTATTTGCGAGACTTGGCCTGGTGACAGGGCCGAAAGACATGCTAGCACTGGCTATCTTGGCCCATTGAGGTAAATGGTCCATGGGTCCCGGGCAAACTTCCAAGGTTAGTGCTTACCGTGCATGAGGCAGTATTGTTCCGCAGATCGAGCATAGGGATGTTTAACCTTGGAAAAGGGATCCCATCCATTCTCCCATGTACTCCAGACGGTGGCGTGATTCAATGATATCTCCAGGGCTGCTTGAACTGATTGGTAAGTACGAAGGCTTGGTAATCACTCGCTTCTTTACCAACAGCCACGAATCTCGTCGGGTAAATTCTACCTATCCATAGATCCAGGTATTATAAATAGTGAGGCCAATTCCCTGGGTTGAATGGCGGTTCCTCGAAAAGGCTAGGCGAACCATATTTGGTCATCTTCGCAAATGACAATGCGGTTATCTTGGATGGCATTGCTGGCCTTCGGGCTAACTTGTGGACTTGGTGAAGCGACACCCTTAGCCAGTACTAATTTCAAATTACATCCTTTTCAGATAGATCTCTCGTCGCGCCTCCCTCGCATGCTTGACTTGGTTCGTAAGACGAGATTACCCGCCCAGTCATCGTTCATCAGCACCGAAACGACCGCGGGCATCAGTCTTGGCGATTTAAAAAGCTTCAAGGATGAATGGTTGACAAGTTTTGACTGGAAAATCGAAGAAAAATCTTTGAACAAGTGAGATCGGGAAACATCCCATTTGCCAAAAGCACACTTCTTACGTTGAAGCAGATTTCATCATTATACAGCTCATATCGAAGGGCTAGATGTCTACTTTATTCACGAAAAGTCGAGCGCGGAAAATGCTATTCCGCTGCTCTTACTCCATGGCTGGCCTGGGTCTTTCCTGGAGTTTGCATCCATTATCAATGATCTCACCAAAGCTGCAAAAACAGTCGCAGGGAAGCAGGTGTCTTTCGATGTGATTGTGCCCTCCCTCCCAGGCTTTGCCTTTTCCTCTGCTCCTCCTACCAACTGGACAATTCAAGATACTGCACGAATCTTCAATACACTACTGACAGATGTCTTGGGGTATGATACCTACGCTACTTTTGGGACTGATTGGGGCGGTGGTGTTGCATACACACTGTACGATCAGTTCAACACAACAGTCCGCGCAGCTCATTTGGCTTTTCTTCCTTTTTATCCGCCCACTCAGGAGCAGCTAGCTGCTGAGAATATAACCTTGTTGTCATCCTTAGAAGAATTCGAGGAAGGCAACACTATTGAGTGGAATAATCCTGGTCTTGGCTATTTTGTGGAACAAACTACCAAGGTATCAATCTATCACGTCTATCCAGTCCGCTTGTGATTTGGCAAATTAGCTGACAATTTTCTTTCTCAAATAGCCCAACACTGTTGGATTGGCTTTGTACGACAGTCCAGTTGGACAGCTCGCTTGGATTGGAGAAAAATTTCTGAATTGTGAGTATTCGCTGCCACTAATATAAAAACCGACTCCAAACTGACTCACTCATTTAGGGTCCGATCCAAATGCAGGACATGCTCCCTCGGTATTGACCCACAATGAGATTCTTCGAAGCGTCTCTCTTTATTATCTCACAGAAAGCTTTGCATCGTCTGTGGCAATATATGCACAGAACCCCCAAGGCTTTAGCACCGTTTATACAAAGGCAAACAATGACGCTCCTCTGCTCTTCAGTGCCTTCAAATATAATGTTGGATTTTGGCCACCAGCACTAGTTGCAAAGGTTGGAAATCTTGTATACTATAAAAGTGAGTACACAGCTCCCCTGGATCTCCCTTTATTTTGAACCCAGTATGAGCCTTGAAATGGCTGGCCAGGCTCTCTAGATCACAACTTTGGGGGCCATTTCCCGGGCGTTGATAACCCACCCGCATTGTTAGCGGACCTACGGGAAATCGGGTATTTCTGGTAGCCATTTCAAGGCTAGTTTTACCACCCGTGGACGCAAATATACCGCGATCCATACGATAAATGGCCATTCAAGGCGTGTCGGTTGAACCATCGGTACTTTTGGCGGGGAGTGCCCTGGTACAAGAAACCCGGGACCTCGGGAACCCGAGGGATGCGTCCCGAGAGAGGCTACCTTGAACAAATGAAATAGCTTGCAACATGTGTTTATCCAAACATTTTTAGAGCTCTCGAGGGTATCAAAGAAAACAAGAAAGTAGATGGTCCACTGAGACCTTAGCCTTGAAATTACAAACGACGTGTCGGATGTCTTGTGCAGCTCAACACACATTTGTCCCGTGAAGGACTTCCAATGCTTCCTCATAGCTGTGAGTTGTGTGAGAGGTGTGTGAACGGATCCCAGCAGTGCGTGGGGAAGGTCGCCATATGAGTAAAAGCAAGACCCACCTGCGGGAACTCCCGAGCCCCGTCCCGGGCACGCGTTGAGCACCGAAACATCAAGAGCCACACAACTGCCTGAACTGTGTGGGCGCGATATACGCGGAGCGAGCTACTCCGTATCTGTATACAAGATCACCCGTTCCAGTCTTCTTTCAAAGCCGGGAAATAAAGACATCAGTTGCGGTAGCACACCCCATGATGTTGATCATGCGCGTTGGGAGTGAAACGTGGATTGAAGGCATACTTGGCGATATTGTAGCCTCGGGCACTGGGAATAAATCCTCTGCCGAGAACTCCTTCGATGGTAGAGTTGCTTACTCCGTTCCTTTCTCTCGATTCATCGATGATGCGACCTCGAGATTTCGGCAAGGCAAGCCCTTGAGTGCTAGCCGAAGACCCCAATGATTCGGTTTCCTCCTCGGTGATCTCAAACTGTGGGCTAAGCGCATTTTGATGGCGACTGGCTCCGGGAGCAGCTCGACACAGCCCATTTGTCACAAAGGGATGTTAATTTGGCAGAGCTCTTGGACTTAAGCAAACCACCAATCACCGAGCGCGCCGATGTGTGTGCTGCACATCAGGCCTGGCCCCTGAGGCACCCGACCATCAACAAACTCCCCCGCTTTCCAAGGTTGGCTCTATCTCTCGCGTAAAAGGCCAGTTAATTCGCCGAACTCGCGAAATGAAACCGAAAGAGCCGCAGCGGTACCTCGATAAGCCTAAATTGTCCGAGCGCACCTAGGCGAAGTGGTTGCATCCACTCGTTTTTCTCCTTTGACCACGTGCTTTGGCATGGGGTATCGGTGCTTTACAAAGCGCCACGGCCCCGGGGCTGTGTGATGAATGTCAGACATGCCATGCCGGGCGCCATTTTGGAATAGTATATGGAGAACACAATGTGCGCTCGCCCTTCGGGGCTTCTTATCGGCTTCTAACCCAACATGCATCCGACCAGATCAGCAATATTGGATTTTCTGTCTTTCGTGCCGGATGCCGACGAGGCACGAGCTATACCCTTTCTTCAAGTATGCAGCAACTTCAAATTGGGTATCGAAATTTACTGATACTGTGGAGTGTGCGAATAGTGTCAATGAAGCTGTCGATCAGTACTACGAAGATCCTGACAGATACTCAAATCAGGGATCATCAAATATGGACCACTCGTCCGCAGTAATCATGATCAACCCTGCTCATAACCACGCCGTTGTTCATACCACGGGGATCGCCCTTTCCCCCAGCGAGCCTCCTTCATACACATTGGCCATGGGGAGTCCCCCAACGTCGGCCGGAAGCCAGATGAGCCCCAGACGATCAATTGCAACATCCAGCAGTGGATCGTCCTATCGATCTGAAGAAAGCTCTTTGACACAAGCTGCGCGAGTACGGGCCCAGGATGAGATCGAAATCCAGAAGATGCTGCACAGTGTCCAAATGTCGTGTCGGATCTATAACCCCGAGATTGAGCCTGAGCACGAGACACATGTGCTATGTGACTGTCCAGTCCATAAGTACTGGAAAATAAAGTTTGAGCGCCTGCATGTGCTCGAAATGTGGTCCAAGGCTGTGGTCTATCCTGGCGAAAAGCCATACCACGATTTTTCCCACCTACGACTTTCCAACAACAATCCATATGCTAACATAATGTCATCATACACACTCGCAAGCTCTTCATTGCGCGGAGTGGCAAAGCCCGATCCAAAATTCCATCTCAGATTCGTCCAGGAAACCATAGCACTTGATTCAGCCCTCAACGAGAAGGCACATGCAGCCGTTCAACTGACGGAGCCATCCGTCAATATCTGGGAGCTTGAGCAGTTGGAGTCGCTGGTATCGGACATGTCTGTAACCCGCCGTCGATCCGACTATGGTGACAACAACAGTGAGAAGCCATCCAAACGGTCAAGCTTTAGGAAGGCTTTCTCTGTCAGGAGCTCAGATGAGCGCACGGCATTGAAGATAAGAAAGAAGCTTTCCGGACCTTTCAAATTGCGCAGCGATATTATCGAAGAAGAGCAGCACAGATGGCAAGATGACACCGACAGGTATCTTGCCTTAACCTACCAAAACCGCACTGGAATAGCTCGAGATGTCGAGGAGCTTCGAACGCAGAAGCCACTCCAATATCTTCATCTTTTGCGGGCAGGATACTTTGAGCCAATTCCTATAGCCTGGCAATGTCACACATCGAACCCTCTGGGATTCACCATTGATTCCTCTGCGGGGTGGAGGGGACTGACGCCTGCGTGGAGAGGCTACAGAACTACAGCCGAAGAGCGACTCTACTGGACTCTAAAACACCGGATAGGAGGCGAAACCACAAAAAAGCCTGACTTGATATCAGAGCTTGATACAGCACGGGAGCGTATGGCATCAGCGGTGCAACTTCACCCTCGATATCATTCACCTGATGATATCTGCAATAGCCAATATCCCTCCAGAAACTATTCAAACCAGATAATGCCTCCTTCCCGGTCATTTTCCAGTGCCAAATCTCCGACAGACGAAACAATGATACTTATGGATGCTTGTGGCTCGATGAACACCAGTCCCTTGCAGGCAAGATTTACCCAATATCTCCTCACAGCCTTTTTAAAGTCTGAGCAGCCAAAGCACCAAGGTAGATCAAATACTTACTACCTCTCTTATCACGCTAATTATGCAATTATAGATTTGATCAAAGCCATCCTACGTCGCTTTCTCGAAACACTGAGCCGACATGATCGCAGCGTGCACAATTCCCAACTTGTAACATTCAATAATCAAGCCGATTACATTGACGTGATCAACTGTTGGAATATCAATGAAGTCTGGAATAAGATCGCATTTTCCGGGCGCAGTTTTATCATGGTGGGATGGCAAAAGATCAAAGAGATGCATTTCCAGAAACATTCCGAAACAGCAACATATCACCCCATCTATGGGTGGCAAGCCGGACCCCACACACCCAACCTACGACTCCTTTTGATGCTCGGCAGTGAAATTACAGACATGGACGAGTTTGAGCTGACTCTCCTCGATGCACCCTGGGCCCATGTCACCATCTTCCTAATCGGAGCCGAGGACTGTCCCCGTCACCACCGGCGTGCAGGAAGACTCCAGCGAATGGCCGATTCAAATCCACGGATATCGCTCGTCGAAGCCCAAGGGCTTGTTCCAGAACGCTTTGTGACGCGCGAGCTTCTCAAGTGCCACCTCGGCCAGATTATCACAATTTCTGATATTGAAGATCTCGAACAACATCCGGTAGAGCTACCATCGCCATTGGGACCTCAGGCACCGGCTCCGAGAGCTCAATCGGGGCAACCCCGGTCGAGACAATTGCTGGCTGAGCTATTCTCGGAAGAGACACAAACCTGGCGTAGACAGTCCCAGCCACCAAGCAGACCGGGCTTATATGAGCTTCCGGACGATCCAAGACCTGTAGAGTTACCGGCTACAGAGAGCTCGGCTTTGACTCGGCGGCCTACTGTGCCAACCCGACCACCTCCCCTGCCCCCACAACCGGAGCTGGATCACTCACTTGATCCCCCGCCTCCGTATGCGGGCTGAGTAGCATGTTGCTCAATATTATGTTTGATATGACCTTTGTACCGTTGATATACCCAATTCCCATTCTTCCTCTTCTTCTTCTCCTCCTCCTCCTCCTCCTCCTCCTCTTTCTCTATCTTGTTTCAGAGTAGAACCTGTCTTGGTCGAAGGGTCCTGATAAAACCCCGGAAGCTGATTTCGTGCATTCTTTACCCGTCCCCATATGTTAGGTACCATGTAGCATGTTACAGGACACTAGCTTCCAAGATTTTGATATATTATGCCTTCTGGCCTAGTAGTTAGCACCCATGCGTGCTAAGCTCCTGACATCAAACCAAGGTCTCAGGTGGATAAGACGCATGGTATAGGGCTCACGGGAGCCAGAGTAAAAAAAAAGGAGGGAAGAAAGGAGTGACTTGGAGATATACATTGTGTATCACGGCGCTCTTGATTAGATCGTGACGTCTCGTCTCGTCTCGTCCATTTACACTGGACGTACCACGGGAGGTTCTGTGTGTAAACGCGTTGCCTGGTGGATCTTTCCCGGAACTGCGCTGCTCTCATGCTTCCTCTTCGTATTGTTTTGTTTCTCTTCTCATGCTCTTTCTTTCCATCTCTTTCTTCTTGAAGTACCAAAATGAGTCAACTTCCGAGATGACGCCATCAACAAGGTGAGATATGTCCAATCCGTGGCCAAGGTGGTTTCCTGACTCCGGAAGCTGCCAAGGCCCATTTCATCAACACGCGGCATAATGCTTATTGCGCAAGGTGCAAGATACGTTTCCCGGGTACACCAACTCGACCGGCATTGCGATAGCTACTTAAGACTGGAACAATCACTTGCGGAAACACAGAACCAGCCTGCGACACAAGCATCAGCATAGCTCGATACAATCCCGCCACATGTGCCCTTGAACGTTGCTTCATAAAAGATCAAAAGCCAATCAGAGCTGGTCACAACAGTCTCAACAGTCAACCAGGGCCTGGCCACAGCAAACTCATCAATGAACAGGGCTGGCCAGACCCGGCGAGCCAAAGCTTACACGTGCGCAGAGTCACAATGGTATGTACCTTTTGTGTTGGTGTTTCTTGGCCTTGGGATCAGCTCACTGAAATTGAACTCACAGGAAAAGGCGAGATCTCCGCTCCAATTAGTGATACTTCCGAATCCATTGCTCATTAAACTCTCCTGTATCGTCCTTAGTATAATCGCCATTGGTGCGATCGGCTTCGCGTCGAAGGGAATTCCTTAGAACACCCAGCAAATACCGGGACTCTCAAGTCGACCAGACCACATAGAAGCGATATCCCATACCAACAATTCCTCGCCACACCCAAGCCGGGTGATATGACTTTCGGAAGAAGAAAAAAGTAGTGTTGGAGCCGTTGTAGCTGCCTGGTTTGACAATCTCCCCGCAGGTAGATAGATCTAGATCTCCCCTCACTCTCTCACTCTCTCACTCTCTCACTCTCTCACTCTCTCATCGCTCATCGCTCATTCCTCATCTCTCATCTCTCATCTCTCACTCCCTCCCTCCTCTTCTTCCCAGGTCTCAAACAATCAATACGTTTATGATACCATACTTTCTTGCTTTTCGCTCGATAAGTCGCGATCGTGCTTGCATGCGAAACGGTGGAACCGGCGGACGGTTGCTCGATGCTTGCCTCTATCAGCGCTCTTGACTTCTTCATCGGGTAAATCCTCAAAGACAGCTATGTGCAACCAGAACAGAAAGTTCACAACTGGCTCACCCATATGACCGACATCTCGTACTCGACCCCGGATCAGGCCTGGAGAGAGGGAACTGCCTTTGAATGTTGGCATGCGGGCCGTCGATAATTGGCCGAGCTTATTGATACGAACACCATCCTCGTTGGCCACAACCTCTAATCCCATCTAAACGCCTTGGACCTGACGCATGTCAGAATTGTGGACTCTGCCATCGTCGCCCCCGAGGCCGTTTTGCGCCCTCAAAACGATACCAAGCGCTTGAGTCACAAGTGGAGCTTGAAAGACCCTGTCAGGAGCCTCCTGCAAAGAGATCTTCCGCGCGACAAACCGGGACCTTTAGCTCTGGACCACGCGCGCGCCATTCGGGATGCTGTGAAGCTATTTCTTGAATATCCCGACAGATGGACCACGACTTTTGATTCGAGATCGCCTACGTGGGACTGCAAAGGACGACACTATGAGTGGATGACATGAGCAAGGATATTGGACTCCGGTGGAAGATTTCAAGGTTGTCCCCAATTCGCTACTTGATTGGGCTGGCAGAGCCCGAAAGCCCAAGAAGGGTGAGTTTGCTTCTGATGGCGGCAGACGATAGGAGGATTGTCGGAGCCCCTTTGGCTCACTGATCGGTCAAGCTCTCCTCTCACTTAATCCAGATAACGAGCCATGAATCCAGAGTTTTGTTCCCAATCTCACTTTCACTTCATAATCATTTCATTCTTGTCTAAATTTTAGTTTCCGTTAAACCTGACTTCATTTGCTGTCGCTGATTCTTCACTTGCATCCCACGGGGGCTGAAGGTCTTGGCGGAAGAACGACTGGGGTTGAGTCAGGGTGAAATTGAAAAATAACTGGACAAAAATACTACGACTGACTCAGATTCACTCCTTGTTGATTTGGCGAGGTTTTAGACCAACGATGGAAAAAAAAGCCTAGTTAAGACATCCAGATAAAGTTGGAGGATAACCATGGAAACAATGCACAAAAGAAAATAGAAATCAACCCGATGTGTAGATATAAAGGTGTGGTCATCATACATCATAATTCCCCACTTTGCATGAAGTAGGGCGGCTGGCCTAATGGTAAGGCGTTTGATTTCGGTTCAGGTCTCAAAAAATTATGGGTTCGATCCCCATGTCGCTCTCTTTTTATTTTCTTTTTTTTGGTTCCCCCCAACTTTTTTCTCAATTGTACTTTCCGACTTTTGTTGGAATGGCTAAGGAGTAATGTAATAAAATTAATTTATAGATAACTATTTCTCAGCACTCCCAAGGTTGAAATAAACTCAGATGATTCCTACCGCCAAGTTTATCATTGCGAGCTTGGAACTAAGGGACTAGAATACCAGGGGAAATACCCGTGAAGCTTTGTCGTGAAGACCTCGGGAGATTTTGGTCACAATGTATAGGGAGCAACGACAAACCTTGGAATTTTCCACGCTTAGTTGTTGCTGAGGTGTAAATCAATATGTAAACAAATTTCCAGGGTTGTCAATGGAATAATAATTCGTGGGCGCCATGTTGTATATTTACGGAGGGGGGCCACCAATACTCAGGTCCACGGGCGATTCCGCGGTTCTAAAATGACTACGTACCAATGGAAACCCGGAACCGGGAATCGTATCAAGGGCCTGGGGGAGCAAAACCAGCACTTTGGTTAGATCTTTAGCTAGCAACCCTGGAAACACACGGGCGGGCTGGCAAGGGGGTGAGGATAGCGAAAAGGTGATAGGAAGGGAGCAACCTTTCTACCACGCGGGCCCAGATATTTAGGTGTACCCTACTCCGTGCTCTCCACACCATACCTCGTATCTGTGCTAGCCTTGTAAGCACATCCATCACACCATCCACTCACAAAATCCGTTGTAAGACATCACTTCGGGAGTATTCCGTACCAACCTTGGAATCACTTCATGGATCTGGTATTCAACCCTTGAAAATGTCATCTACCCTGCACAAAACATGTGCTTAGAGATAAGAAAGAGAACAGAGACACATAACAGGGCACGGAGTAAGGAGTACGCATACCGGTTTCCGCAACTTGCGAAAGTCAGTAGTGTTAAAAGTGAGAAAGGTTGAACCCTGATTTTTTGCCAGGGACCCCGAAGACCCGCCAAGACCGCGGGATTACCAGAGGGGGACAAGCGTGTCCTATAAGAGAAATAGATTGATGGTCAAGTTGGGGGCGACAGGAAATTTTCAATCAGATAAGATGATCAAGAGAAAGTCTCTCATGCAGAATATTGGATAGATGTCCTACTTCCTCTTCATTCGGTATACCAAAACAGACGATACTTTACTTTGCTGATACGTCTCTACATTTATTCATCTATGGTCTTCGCCACATAGGAAACGGACAAGGAAACTAGAAAGATGGCGCCGAAAACGTATGATCTAGCAGATGTGCTGTTACAAATTTCTTTGAGTCCTACTAACTTGACCAGCAATCCGAACATAGATGTCACCATGCAGGATTTAGAGTGTGATACCATTCAGCACAAGGGCGACAGCAAAGGGGAGGTGGCAGTTACCGAAGCCCCAGCGAATAATGGGCAGCCCGGCGTGAGCAGCGTTGAAGCCTTCAACCGTGTTCTGTATCACTCAGGAAAACGGGGAAAGGTGCTGCTCATAACCCTGGTGTTCTCGATCGGCCTCACTATGTTTGCATATGCCTTGGATCAGGGAATCACTTCCCAGTTCAACACCATGGCGACGTCCTCGTTTTCGATGCATGCAGAACTTGGAGCAGTGAATACCGCGAGTCAGATCATTCGCGCCATTTCGAAGCCTTTCATCGGAAAGCTTGCGGATATCACTTCCAGACCCACAACCTACCTGGTAGTGCTTGTTTTCTACGCCATTGGCTTTGCAGTCGCTGCTAGCTGTACAAACCTCGCCGCATACACTGTTGGGATATGCTTTACGGCATTTGGTAAATCTGGGCTGGATCTTCTCAGTGACATTATCGTCGGTGACTTGACAACACTCCAGTGGCGAGCCTTCTGGGGTGGTATGCTAAGCACTCCATTTTTGGTCACTACCTTTGTCAATGGATTTATTGCCGAAAGCTTTATTCCCGACAAGTGGAGATGGGGCCTGGGAATGTTTGCAATCATGGTTCCAGTACTCCTCATCCCCGCGATCTGGAATCTCTACGGAATGCAACATAAAGCCAAGAATGCTGGCATGATCAGTATGGGAGACAGCGGAATTGCTCGCAAAGGTGGTGAGAAAGTCCACGGAGCCTCGGCATATGCCAGCCTAGCATGGAGTGGCATTATTGAGATTGATCTTGCTGGGTTAGTCCTTCTGGGTCTTGCTTTCTCTCTCATTCTTCTCCCCTTCACCCTAGCTCAATCTGCCAAAGGTGGCTGGAGCAATGCTAGCATGATCGCTATGTTGGTGTGCGGGATTGTCGTCTTGATAATGTTCGGAATATTCGAAGTTTGGTTTGCGCCAAAGCCAATCATGCCTCGTCGAATTCTCAAAAACAAGGCGTTTCTTGCTGCTGTCATGGTGGACATCTTCAACCAAATGGCCAGTGCGACAAGGAACAACTATTTTTCATCTTATATCTACATCATCAAACCTTGGTCTAACTATGTGTGGACTGTGTTCCTGGGCACTACGACTTTGTGTCTCTGTCTGTTCAGCCCTTTGGGTGGCCTGCTTCACGCCAAAACCCACCGGTACAAGACCTTAATGGTTACGGGTGCCGTGCTCAAACTGATTGGATATGCCATCCTCATGGCCGATCACAGCCGTAGTACCATGAAAACGGGCGCCCTTGTTGCTTCTCAAATTCTCCTCGGAACCGGAGCTTTGACGGTTATTGGCGCCCGAGTTGGCTCACAGGCTTCTGTGCCACACGAAGACATGGCCACTGTCATCTCAAATTTGTCTTTGTGGAGTACACTGGGAAGCTCAGTCGGGTACACAGTTGCCTCCTCTATTTGGACCGAGAAAATGCTTCCCTACATGAGAGATGAATGCCCTGCCGGTACTTCCGAGGCTACTTTGAAAAAGATCTATGGATCGATCAAAGTACTCCGCACGAAGTATGAATGGGATGATCCGATTCGCCAGGGCGCTATCCGAGCATACACTAGGACTAATGGGGTCATCTTTATCGTCGCAACCCTTCTTGCTGTGATCCCGGTCGTGTTTTCTCTGATGATGCCAGGTATGAATTTCCACAGGAGTGATTTTGGTTTTTTTTTTTCTAACTTTCATGCCAGACTATTATCTTGGAAAACAACAGAACGCAGTAACCAACACTGGCCTTGATGGTGAACCTGTTGACGTTCCCCAGAGAGAAGAAGCGCGTAACCATGGCGGGATTTGGAACTCTATCAAGAACGCCTACTACAAAGACCGTTGAAATGATGGACTTATCATGGGCCCATCGACCGTATTTCTGCCGGTCTCAGTAGCCCTCGACTTGTTGCTCTGGCAATCCTCAAGATCGCTTCCGATACTTGGGGGATGATCTGTCGCTTTTGGATTGGACTTTTGGATCCCAGGGCTTTTGATATATGACAATCATAATCTCAAAATATTCTAGCTCAGCGGTCTGTGTAGACCTCAAAGACAGCTGGTAGTTACAAGTGGTATATTATACACGTTTGAGCCATCGCACTCACAGGTTCTGCTCCAAGAAGCCCAGTATTGTCTGATAGCCTCTCGCATACTCCTTTTGCACATGAGTATCGCTCAAGTTTGAGCGTGCCGCCATCCATCCGTGACTCTGGCTAGAGAATGTCTCGACATGATTGGGAACCTTCAAGTTGGCCTTGTATGCCGCAACATCACCCGCCGGCTCGTCTTTGGAAGCGAGTAAAGCCATGGGAACTTTCACCTCGGCAGCATCGGCGGGGTCCAGCATGGCGGGGTGGCACTGCACAGCTGCCTTGAAAATTTGGTTGTCCTTGCCTGCGCTGAGACTGGAGATCTTGCCGCCCCAACAGTGGCCGACGATAGCCCACTTTGTGAAGCCTGTGCCTCCACCTGCGGTCTTGTTCGCATCCTCCACCACACCAGGAAGCCTTGAAAGAGTCTTTTCGGGCATCGCTTGGGTCGAGAAGAAGGCGTTCATACTTTCGGCGTGCTCCTTAGTGGCAGGAGGGTACCATGAAATGTCGGCAGGTTTGCCCTCGAAGAAGTCCGGCATGAATACGCGGTATTTACGAGTTTCGCTGGAGTCGGCGAGGATATCGGCACCTTGGATAGTCTGGGGGAAGAAGCCAAAGATGTCTAACAAGAAAATGAGAGTGAGTGGTGCTCCCAGTCAAATCTTCATCTTGCATCTTTTCTTTTTCCTCTCTGCGAGGGACATAATTTGGAGTTACATACCATAAATTATGAGGATGGCCTCGGTTGCAGACTCGGGACCGGTGACGTCTATAGTATATGGTTGGTGAAATGATCTTGAGACGGAGAGGAAGCGGCTACGTACAGGTCTTCAGGCCATTCAAAGTGATGTACTCGCCCTTGGCTTCATATTTGTGACATACAACAGGGGAAATACTGCAGGGGAATGTTCAGTCGCGGGTATTGTTTGTGCTGCATTGACGAAAACTTACGAGCAACAGGCATTGTTGACAGACATTGTGTTGGGTATTCCGGTTTATTTGGGCTTTTGATTTTTCCAAAGTGCCAAGGGTTTGACAAACCTACGAAGTTGAAGTTGATGGCGAGAAACTCTTATAAACATCGGCAAACAAAAGCCAGTCCCGAGAACGGATCCCACGTTCGGTAGACGGTGCCGAAGGGGTCCGTAGCCAGTGGACCCAACAAGATGATCAATGATGTCGTGAATGCGAAGACCGCCCCACAGACGACCTCCGTATGACCTCGGGACTCGGCAGTCTTTTGAGATACGTCACATTTGTGCCCCATGGAGTAAATGTATACTGTAGGGGGAAAACTGCGTACTCCGTACGGAGTACAGTTCTGTGATTTTTCATCTATGGATGTGAGCAATGCTTAGTCAAATGCCAAGAGGACCTCGGGGAGCAAACAGCAAAAGTTTCCGTCAGGTCAGGTGATAGTCCCACAATTTTCCACAATTTGAAGAATACTCACCATCATCTTTACAATACCCCTTAGAGTGAAGCTTTCATCTTCAATATTTGCCTATGGGCTTCAAGACAATTTCAAGGTCGTTCAATCCAAGTATACCTCTTGAAGGTAACAGCTTGGCTCTGTGTAGCGCGGTGACGTAAAAATATTGGTGAGTATACATACTTCCAAATTGTGGGGAGCTGTGGGGAGCTGTGGGGCCATCACCTGCCCTGACGGAAACTTTTGCGGTACAACGTGTATGTGCGCAGTGTGCTTGTAGGAATAGGAATCAATCATCATTTTGGCCCAATTTTACGGAATATACTCCGTACTATGAACGCTGAAGAGGGGCTGTTTTCCTACTCTCATGCCCATGAAGCCCGTTCCCATTTGTGGACTTCCTTCTCGGGATCTTGCATCCCATCCAATGTCGCCCACCGAATCAAACAACTGACTGGTCATACAAAGTGTTCAAAAGATCCTGATGCCAAGCCACAAACTCTCCAGTCTTCTGCGGAATGTACTTTGGGAACCCCTGATTGATACCTTGTAGCGACCCCCACGACATCTCACCATCGGTATTGTAAGTCGTGTTCGAAAATTCGGTGGCGTTGAATGACTGATAAACGAGAGGAATTTCATTAAATGAAGCATTTGCAGTGACCTGCGACCAGACAGCCGAGGATCCAGCAGGAAAAATAGTTGCTGTACCGATGCCCGCTTGGAGGGCGACTGCATCACCCAAAATGGCGTATACACGACCGAGTGCGGTAATCACTTCAGCGGACTCGTATGTCAGAGAGGCATTTCCAAAGTCTGGAACTAGACTGTAATCAGACATTAGCATGATATCACTTGGATGCCAGAATCTGCTGCAATAGAAGAACTCACGGCCAAGACCCGATATGAATGTCCTCAGTCTGAGATTGCATAATGAAAGTCACTTCAGGGGCCGTGTGCTCTCCACAGGACAACATGCCAATTCGACCGATAGGAGTAGTGACAGCGTAGATTTGATCTAGTGTCCCATCAGTCCAGAGATCTCTCTCTTGTGCAGATGGTCTCAGTTTGTGTCGATCAATAAGGATCTCTCCATCTGGGGCGATTAGGGCCTGCGCCATGTACAAATGGGCGGCGTCTTTTTCAGAGAATGATAGGCCCTAAGAAAGGCAGGTTAGGAGGTCGAATCAATCAGGAAAGCATACATAATCTTACAACATAGATTTCATTGTCAATTGCTGCCTGAACCAGTTTGTTCCAGTTATCGCTTCACAACCAAGGAGTTTTCGATATAATCCTTGACATGGTATTCAAACCAAGGGTTTGGACTCGCATTATTAATGATACCCTGAATGAGATTAACATTCAAGCATTGCAATATAATGATGATATAAGAAGACGTAAAGACAGACTTACTTTAGGGTAACCTGGAAACCAAACCTCAGGAAACCCAACCACACGCGCCTGATTCGCCGCAGCTTCTTTGATCAGATTGACACCTAACTCGACAGTGGCGTTCAGGTCAAGAGTTACACCATCCCAGTTCTTGTTGAGCATTGGAAGAGGCCAGTTCACCGGTGTGGCACGAACAGCAGCGATGGTCAGGTTTTCGAGATCCCATTTGTTGACAATGTCGTATACCGTCTGGTTTTTATTTTCCTTCCTTGTCAACTCGTTTGTGCGACGAACCATATTTTCGCCCAGCTCATAGTGAGCACGAGAGGTACAGCACATGGCAAGCACACTCATCGTGGCGAACAGCTGCTTGAGGACTTTCATGTTTTGGACAAGGTCAAGTTGGTTCCTGTGAAGCCTCTGATACAATCAAATCCCCCAAAAGCCCAGAAAATCGGGCTTCTTATATGGTTTTCTTTCGTCCTTACTCAATAATTCCTCCATTCAGCTAGATATTCCTACCTTTTTTTTATTATCGGGACGTCGAGACTTAACGGCGGGCCTTCGCCCTCGCCGATGATAAGCTCGGTGTGACTATCGACTTTTTCATCCTTCCAACCTTGGAAGGTTAGAACCTCTGAACTTCTGAAAGTTTGCAGGGCTTTATCTTATCAGGGGCGGAACATGCTGAACCGCCTAGATTGGGTCAACGGGTACCTGTTCCTGGATATCTTAAAGTGGGCTCTGACATCTTCGAGGTCTAATCTAGGCGGTTCAGCATGTTCCGCCGCCGATAAGACAAATCCCTACACCATATGCGCAATGCCAACCAACCCCCAGTATCAATTCTCTATTTGATAAATATAGAAAGATTGTGAGAGTTGGTCTTCCTCCATGGTTATTACAATCCGTGGTGATAAATGATCTGCCACCGATAGGCTTTAGCCCGAGAGCTTTTCGAACTATACAGTGTGTATAAGCTCAAGTCCCAGACACTTATTGAGGTTCAGAGGCCGCATCCCTTTGTCTCTTGTATTCAACATCTCAAGCATAATGGTTTCCGAGAAGCGCCAGCTACTATTCGGACTTTCGACGTCCACCACAGACCCGCTCACATGGAGTCGTTTACAAAAAGAGCTTCTATTCGCTACTATTATCTTTGGCTCCTGCGCGACTGGATCTCTAGGCCCGCTCTTAGTCCCGGCTTTTCTATCCGTGGCCGCAGATCTCCAAGTGAGCCTGACCAATATCACACTGCTTAACGGAAGCCTGGTTATGGCTCTGGGGATCAGTGCCTATGTCTGCTCTTGCTCAGCCCGGTGCTTTGGAAAGCGACCTGTTTACCTCTTCACGACGATTTTGGTGGTCGCCGCGTGCTGTTGGGCTGCAGCATCCAAGTCTTATGTCTCGCTTCTTGCATCCCGTGTATTTCAAGGTAACTTCCCGTATCGAACCTCATGTCTTTGGTGCTGATTATTAAGGACTGGGCATGGGTGGATTCTTTGCCCTCGCTGGTACAGCTTCATTGAATGATATCTACAACGTGGATGAGCGCGGCTGGCGTGTTGGTCTGTGGAACTTTGCTGTTATAGTTTCAGTCAACCTCACGCCCGTCATCAGCGGCAATGTGATTTCCGCACTCTCTTGGCGCTGGGCCTTCTGGCTCCAGGCGATCCAGTTCGGCGTCCTTCTTGGGGCCGTGATCTGCTTCTTCCCCGAGACCACATTCGAACGTGAGATCTCCGGAACTCGCCCTACCACTGCCGACCCAGAAAAGCCTTTGGATGATAGCACTTTGAAAAGCTCGAGCCTCGACGCCGAAGAAAAGAGTGACCTGCCGGCTTTGACCAGCGCCAGCGTTAAGTCTGTCACTTTCGAACGCAAACGCAATGACCTTCTTCTTGCCTTTCTCGAGCCCCTTGCGATCTTGATCGACCCTATCGTTGTCTGGGGCTGCATCATGTGGTCGATAACCTTTACCTGGACCATCCTCATCGGCGCTGTCGCATCGCAGATCTTCACTGCACCACCCTACAACATGTCCACAGTCGCCGTCGGCAACCTCACCGGTATTGCACCTTTGATCGGTTCAGCGCTGGGTACTTTGATTAGCGGCCTGCTGTGTGATCTCAGCAGCAATTTCATGGCCACCAGGAATGGCGGCACATACGAACCCGAGTTCCGTCTACCGGTCATGCTTCCAGCGACACTTGCCATGGCCGTGGGTGCATTTGGGTTGGGCGCTGCGACGCATTATGGGCTCTCTGCTGTGGTATGCGGAGTGTTTATGGCAATTTTGAATTTCGCTGTGGGTATGGGATGTACAGGAATCGTGGCTTACACGAATGATGCTTGCGGGCAGCGGGCAGGAGATTGTTTTGGGTTGGCGATGGTTGCCAAAAGTGCTTTTGCATTCGGGCTATCGTTCGTTTTTAATGATTTTGTTGTGAGGAGTGGGACATTGAAATTCTTTTCGACTTTTGGCGCGGTGAGTGTCGCCATCATGCTCACTTCTATTCCGCTATTTATGTGGGGCAAGCAGATTCGAGCTTGGTCAGATGGGCACGATTTGCTTCGACGCAGGGCGTGAATTTATTCTAAGGCACATAATGGAATTGAATGCATTGTAACTCGGATTTGCTTTTTGCGAAGCTTTAAAACACACATTATATTATGAAACTATGCTTTACTTCCAATGTTCAGAGCAAAATTCACATTTGGTAGAGTTAGGGCTTCGACCTGATTGAGATGTTGCTGTGACGCCTACTCTGTAAATCCCGTGACGCAGCCCCAAGAGTAACGTGCAGCGCCCTTCTGCTGATAATTCGGACATCACTAGAGTTCTAAAGTAACTGAACTCTGTTTTCGACGCACTGAAGTTTCCTTCCTGAAAGCGCACTTTTCGACGGAATGCTCCCGCTCTCCGCTAAGAATCTCCACTCAGCTAACTCCGCTGGGCCCACTCTCAGAAATCGCCTTTTATCGTTCTCCTCAAATTAGACGAACCCAAAAGTAGATTAGCGGCGGAAGCTTCGCATCCGCAGTGATATTGAGGACCCACGGCGTGGAGGTGCAAGGCCGTATCTTCCGATAATTGATTACCGGAAAGAGATGATAGACAAATCACTTGGTGCAGTATTAAGATAACAAAACAGTTTGGATAGTAGTTGGCAGATCTTTTCTTCCTGGGTTGATTATTATTGACCATAAGTGGCATAATTCAATACCAGTTAGTCATTGCTTCAAAGGCGCGCCTTATATGCGGTTAATTCTCTTTAGCATTGCCCATTGTCCTTCCTCTTACAATCTTCCACATTCCATTGATTGTTCAGATGACTACCTCAAAGCTGTCCCAAGTCCGTGTTGCCGTGACCCAGGCCGAGCCCGTCTGGCTTGATCTCAAAGCAACCGTCGACAAGACATGCAAAATTATCGCCGAGGCTGCCTCCAACGGCGCACAGCTGGTGACCTTCCCCGAATGCTGGATTCCAGGCTATCCGGCTTGGATCTGGTAGGTATTTTACTCCCCTGAAGCCTTGAATGGGCACATATACAATCGATCCCGAGCGTCTCATTTGTACTGACAAAAGTTTTTCACCTATAAAGGACACGCTGCGTCGATCAGGAACTACACTCACGCTATATTCAAAACTCATTGAAGATCTCATCTCCCGAAATGACTCAAATATGCCAATCCGCGAAAGAAAACAACATCGTCGTCGTCCTCGGTTTCTCCGAGAACATCCACGACAGTCTATACATCTCCCAAGCGATAATCTCGGATACGGGATCCATCCTCACCACCCGCAAGAAGATCAAAGCCACACATATGGAGCGAACCGTCTTCGGTGACGCCTTCGCAGAATCTCTCGATAGCGTCGTTGATACCTCCGTTGGACGAGTGGGCGCATTGTCATGCTGGGAGCATATCCAGCCCTTGCTGAAGTATCACACCTACGCACAACGAGAAGCGATCCATGTAGCGGCTTGGCCGCCATTGTTTGAGTTTGGCGGGCCAGATGATCAGAGTCTGTTCTCTATGTCGAGAGAAGGTGTGTATCTCTCACGATCTTGCTCAGGGTACAATGAAGCTGACATGATTGTGTCCAGGAACCACTGCGCTGGCACGTACCTACGCTATCGAGTCGTCGTCATTTGTACTCCACACAACAGCGGTCCTTAGCCAAGATGGAATCGACAAGATGCGTACTGAGACAGGCGCGATTATGAACTCGCCTGGAGGTGGAAACTCGGCTATCTTTGGTCCTGACGGCCGGCTTCTTTCGAAGCATCTTCCGCCGACGGAGGAGGGCATTGTTTATGCCGATCTATACATGCATGATATTCACAAGACGAAGGCCTTTGTAGATGTGGTGGGCCACTACAGTCGGCCGGATCTGCTGTGGTTGGGTGTGGGATCTCGGGATCGGAGGCATGTGAGAGACGACAAGGGAGAGTAGGCTAGGTCAAGAATTTCTGAGAGTAGAAATTTTGCAATTGAACGTATTTTTAGATTTGATAGCTTCGTTCTGGTGGCAAATTTTCAATTCCTCTCGGTTGAATATAACCATCAGATGCCACACCCCACAGACCACTCCCACTGCCGGTAATCCGTATCTAAGACAAAGGTCTCGGGCTGGATACTATCGAAGATATCCATTTCGTTGCCATCGAAATTAGGATTCACTGCATCAGCATTCGCAGCCCATGACCAACTTATCTCAGAATCGACCATAACCCCATCCTCCTCTCTCTCCGCGTCTATATTCACCCTTTCTTCTTCCCTCTCCTCCTCTTCCCCACTCTCTGCTTTTGCCTTTCTCCCTCCGGTTTGTTCGGCTCCACCACCCCCACCAACCTCGAATCCATACTGCAACGGTAAGGCCCCCATAGCTCGCCATCTTTGCGCGAGCCCCCGTAATAGCCTTAATGCATTTTTCGCCTTAACCCATCTACTCTGCATCACGAGCAGCGCCCGGAAACACACGCGGAAGTGAGCAATCGACTGGCTACGCAAGGTATTATGCGTGCTAGTTGCGTTACAAAGATGCGTCACGGCGGCCGTGAGCACGCTATGAACAATGAAAGGTGGGGCCGAGGAGAGTGGAAGAATTTTGGCGTGAGTACGGAGGAGACGGACGATGGATGCGGCGGCGGTGGTGACAGAGCGAATAGCGAGGCGGTATGTTGTCAAGTTGTTTCGGACGGCTGCTTTGAGATAAGGGCGGTGGATGAGGATGAAGGATGTGTGGTAAGAAATGTGGAGATAGATCATTGCAGGAGTAGGAGTCTGATTGTTGATGCTGGTGCTTGATATCAGGAGGGAGGGGTGGATCTGTTGATGGAAGGAGAGGAGCTGGTCGCGTGCGACGAGGAGAACGCGGGATCTCTCGGCGCTGTCAAGTTCAGAGAACTGGTAGGAGTAACTTGGTAGAGGTTAGTGAGGGGGGTGGGTTTCTTTTTCGGATAAAATGGTGGGTATACATTTTGTCCATGTACTGGTCATGGATGAACCAGAGGCGACATTGGCTGTCGAATGCCAGCTCGTCCAGAGATGGCAAAGGACCGACAGCGCTGAGGAAGGAGGAGCATTTGATCCTTCTCCACGGGATCAAACAGTACCTACCTAGCAGAGAGGTTGCAATCCTGTTGCGTTTGTTCAGCTGACACTGGCCTGTCTGATAGGCAATATTATGAGCTTGACGCACCGGTCCATCAAGACTGAAGACCAGAGAGTCCTCAGCCGTGTAGCACAAATTTTTGACTCCGTAGAGAGCTCACCAGACGTTTGACTGGCAGGCTCTTCTTCTGGAGTCATGATTACTGGCAGGCCTAGGTGTATAACTAGACTGGCACACATTGCTTTGCCGCTGTGGTCAGTAGTTAGACTATTCCTTGCATGTCATTATAACTTACAGTTATACATCCAGGCCATATTATGTTGCTCCAAGCCTAGCTCTCTCCACGACATAATGGAGAGAGCCTGTATCGTTGATATTTCTGGTAACTCACGGCAGAGCTGTAGTGATGTCTTGTCAAAGGCGGCAGCTGCTTCATCGCCAATTGCCTTGCTCTGCGCGTCATCGGCAAAGAGAGCTGCCGCGGCCAGCACGGCGGTTTTGACCAAGCGTAGGCCGCGACTCAGACCATCACGACGGAGTTGATCGAGGGTCTCGCTGTCGAGAAACTGCTGAATAGGGTTGATCAAGTTCGTGAACAAATCAACCAGGTGGTTGGTAATCCCGAGTATGTGAACCTGATCTGACCATGGGCCTGGCATATCCGGTGCTCCCGGTATGGAGTTTGTTGGCGTGGCCACAGGACTTTTTCTCTCTCGAAGGTCTGCATCGTCCCAGTGGGTGACGGGGAAACAGAAGTTTCCAGATGGACCAACAAACGATGCATCGCCATTTCTATCAAGAGTCATGCGCCATATAAGGGCGCTTACATCCTCGATCGCTGTGGTCATACTATCCTGGATGGCAACAGCGCCATCTTCTTCACTGTTTCGCTTCGACTCCGCCTGAGCATGAACTATATCATCATCCAATACGGCTGGTCTGGAGGATTGTGTCTGTGCCAATTCCTCTTTTAGCATTGCAATCTCATCTTCCAGCGTTCGCACATAGTCCGGATCCACTCTGCGCCTGCTGCGGGTCAGCCTCATTCAGTTTGCTCAGGGCAAATACTAACTTGATGCGCTTCTCGGCCGTATACTCGCAGGCCCTGTCTCGTTCTAGACAATAGGAGCAGACTGGACGTGAGCCATCGCACTAGGGGTAAAGTCATTCAATCTCTAGATTCTTTGTTCAAACCATGAGACCTTACCTTGCGTTTCCGTTTCCGACAGGCCTCGCAAGCGACAGAAACGCGGGAAGACGAGTGCATTGTCTTGCTGCTTTGCCGCCCGGTAGATCACCGGTGATAAATTGGAATGCTGGACGGCATTCAGCTTCCTGAGCCAAGGCAAAGAAGATGGGAAAGTGTTTACGGGGTATGGAGTATAGATTACACTGCAGGTTTTCTAAACCTAACCTTGGAACGTAACTAAGAGCGACCTTGGATAGAGGTGATTGGATGCGGGAAATTGGATTGATAACCGGGAGTCATGTGATGTCGCGGGTAGTAGACATCGCCAAACCCCGCCCGAAGAAAGGGGGGGCTCCGGTGTCTGCGGGAAGGGTCCGGAGCTCACCCCACCTACCTCTTACCGAAACACATAACCTTTAGTGTCATCACTTTCTTTAAATATTGCCCAGGTGTCAACTTCCGGTGACTACAGAATGTAGATCGGATCACCTGCTGCAGATCTACTTGACCTTGAATAATATACTATTTATTCATGACTTTGAAAGGGGGAGACTCCCATATAGATAGAAAGAGGCCTCCGTCTAGAATTACCGTTTAGGGGGAAATGTGACGGCTAGCCCTAACCTTGGAATCGGTCCGTTTCGCCCATTTGGACCTCGGGGGTTACCAATCCAGATAATGGTGTCAATGTCAATTAGTATATTAAAGTTCTAGCTCAAAACACAATGATACAATTGCGGCATGCAAATATATCCACCGAGGCACACCCACTTTGGTAGATGAAAACCAAACAAGTGTGCCTCTTTTCTCAGTATCGCATCCATTTACATATGCGAGAGACCTTCCAACAACAGGATGCATCAAAAACAAAACACAACAGATTCCCCATGTACAGTAGCTCCTCCGATTTCACAATGCATGCTTTATCTTAAAGCTTGCGCGCACATTCACACTCGATGTAAGCGGAGCAGAGGTCTTCCACATGTCCACCGACCGAGACCCAGGTCTTTTCGGCGGTCAGGGTTGCGATAACACCAGACTCTTCGGTGATCTTGCAAACAGTGGTCTGATCAAATGCAGTGAGCTGGGCGCTCGAGGCAAAGACAAGTCCATGCTGAGCAACCGCGGTGTGGCCCCAAAGTTCCTGGATGGGGCGCTTGACGCCGTCGAGGGGAACGGCAACGTTGGCATTGGCGCCAGAGTGGTCATTGGCAAGCTGGACGGTGGCTGCGGTTTTCCATGTAGCCGGGGGAGCGGGAGAGGCAAGTCCGGCGACGGAGAGGAGAGCACAGGCGAGTGCGGAGGCGTTGATCAATTGCATCTTGAATGGATGGTTGAAAAGGTATTTGATATGGATTTGGGAGGATTGGTATTGGAAAACTTAGGAAGTTTGAGAGATCAGTGTTGAAGATAGACTGATAGACTGATTGTTTGATTGTTTGATTGTATTCTCTTTCCTCGGAGTTTGGCAGGTTAATATACCTTTCATCAGAGGCGACTATTGAGCCGGATTAGGTTGTTTAGTTGGAAACAGTTTTGCTTCCCTTTTGGGTAGGCAGGAGAGACTGCCGTTTCCGGTAAATACCCGGGGGTGGGGGTGGTTTGTTTGAACTACACCGAAAAAGACTAGCGCCTATACTTCTTATTGAGACAACATGGCCGGAGCAGCAGGGGAATCAATATCGCAAAGGTTGCGTATGAATTGAATTATACACTCGAGTATTGTTGATAGCATAAATGCCAGTCTCGTAGGTATGATCTTCGGTTTATAGTTTTCTCGACGGCAAGTCCGTTCCGGTAGGACTATGAACCATACTTGAACCACAGATACCCTCTATGGATGTGGGATGCACGCTCTCTTCCAGCTAATAAAGCCAGACTTGAGAATTGTCCTCATGAAGCAAGTCTATCTCTCAAAATTGTGCACAGATACGGGCGACAAGCGACAGGGACGATTTGGGGAATTCGTGGACGAATGCGGAAGTGTGAAGTTGAAAACATGATCTACATTCCAGCCACCGGAACACATATGGAAATGCCACCCGCCCTATCAAAACCATGGATGCTGGCGCATGGACGACGAGAATGCCATGTGGATCACCAGGAATGCAAAGTATATAGAAACCGACGATACTTCCGAAGAGAGTAACAAAATTCTCCCTTGACAGGTCCATTGCATTCCTCAAAGTGGTTGAATCGGATGCTGATCTATTTTTGTGAAGAAACAGTCTAGAAGAGCCTGTTCATGACACAAGAAGTGTTATTTTTGTACCGTTTACTCTGATCTCTTTCTAGTTTGATTATCTCATAATTGAGATCGTTGATTTGGTTCATGTATCTCAAATGCCTTAACCACACCTGTTAGACAACAAGACCACATGAGAAATTTGCCTGAGCAAGAGCAATTGCATTAGATCTGTGTCTAATTCCTATATGGACATAAATATTTCAAGATAGCTTGAGCTTCAATTGGCTCACTTTAGCTGACACCCCTTTTTGCCAAGATCCACGTTCTCCCGGCTTCAGTAGTTGTACATGAGGTGATGTCAACCAAGAAAGGTCTGTCAAGCCATAGTCGTATCGCTTTTGTTCTCACATACATATGCCAAGTCAAATCCGCCTGTGTGCAGTCTGCTTGATGCGCACCTGGGCAGCCTCACAAGTGACGTAGACCAAGAAATTAACGATTAACCTCAATTATGCTACCTACCTCCAAGGTTCGCCCTAAACATTGTGAGGAAATTTATTTCAGGGTCTAGCCTGAGTGAGCGGACTTTTATCATTCAAGGGACTGCACGAAGTATTGGCTGAAACCAAATTCTTACAAAAATTGTGCCAGACTCGCTGTTTCACTATTTACTGGGCCTTGGGAAGAGCGCGCTGGCTTGACATCCTTGGCCCTTGGCCCTGATACCAGACAAAGTCGGTGAAAAGCCTTCCTCGATTCATCCATGGATTCGGCCCCCAAAATCATGTTCTCCTAAAAGTCAACCTACAGCGATAATAATAGACTCAGCGCATCGAAACTCTCAATCTAGTTAGTCAAGGGTCAAGCCCAAAGCTAAAGTGAACGGAAGCGTCATGACCGTGTGTAAGTGGGCAATGTGAAAAATTGGAAACGATCGACCGACCTTATACGAGAAGGCTCCACAACTTTCACCGATGTGTTCACAGCTTTCGCGTGGCAGTGAGAAATCCACACCGTTGCTGACAGGGCTGAGCAGTACTTGTTCTTGGCGCCCCAGCGGGAAGGGCCGCTCAGTGGAGGGCGCAAGATCAGACCCGATCGGGTTAGCGCATTTTGCATCTAAGCCCATCGATGTATAGGCATCGATTGATGCAGGGTCTACGGGTCTTGAGAGCCGCAATATATAAGATGTCTAGATAGTCCTTCTAGTTTGATGTCTATCAGCAAAGTCTTCACTTCCACAATTCCAAGGTTCTACCACTGAATCACTACCAAAATTACTTGATACAAACATTCATATATACACCTGGGCAACAGCTTGAATACCATCTCCAGCGCGCAACACACAATACACCAAGATGCGTGCCTCTATTTATCTTCCAGCAATCCTGCTCGCACCACTTTCTGTCCTAGCCGGGCCAACCTCCGGATCCAACTTCAACACGAACATCGTCCGCCGTGGTCCCGCCATGAAGCCACTGGTAGGGCGCTCCAGTCCAGTCCACATCCTTGCCCGCTCTCCTCTTCCTGCCGGTGACAAGGACGAAGTGTGCTCAAGTGACGAGAAGCGATGTGGTGATGCCTGTGTTCCTGAAGCATACACTTGCTGTCCCAAGGATGTCTCTGGTGGCTGTCCCAAGGACGAAGAGTGTCAGAAACACGATGGGAAATATGGATGTTGTCCCGATGGAGAGAGCTGCCACTGGGATAATGACGATGACGATGACGACGACGACGGAAATGTTTTCTCCAGAATTGGAGACTTCGGAGACGATGTGAAAGATGGATGGGATGATCTCTGGGACAACGCCGGCCCGAGCCTAAAGCCGGAGCTGTTAACAATCTTATTCCTTGGAGGAGCAGCAGCAGCAGCAATGGGGCTGTGAGGCAGTTAGGGAGACGGTTAGGATGGTATTCTGCGAGCGAGTTTGATGGGGCCTTGCATGACATTGTTGTTTTGGTTTTCGATAGGTTCGGGATCTTGGATGGGCATCAAGTTTGTATTTACAGCAAGTGTTGAGATTTTTTCGTAATGATTGTTCACATCAAGTCGATGTTCATCAGGATTTGTAAATTTTATGAGGTAGAACTCATCACTGCCTTCGTGATTCATCTTGGTTCTTTGCTCCGATCAATTATCATCCACCCACAATCATTGTCTTTCCAGAAGATAGTCTGAACCATTTTCTTGAAAGGTATGTGTCCACATATCTATCAATGAGAAAAAGATGAGATGAATAAATGTGAAGATTCAGTAGTGCTTTTAACGTGAGATCCGCATACAGAGTAGACATATCAAGTTTCGCGTGGGTACGAAGAAAGGCCACGCACTTCCCTCCCGAATCTGCCTCCACTTCACATCTGCACGCACCTCTCTCACTTCTCCCACGCAGCCACACAGAGCTTCGCACACAATTCTCCGCCCGGCAGAAAAATCATCCAGTGCTCCTCTCGTTTTCTTGCAAGCCCTACAAATGCGCCCTACCCCTAAGCCCTCATTTCTCCTCTCGGAAGTTGATACCCCGACTCAGCAGCTTCTCGTCCAAATGGCCGATACTCAAGGGTCGCCATCTTTCGATGGGGAAGCGGCTGCATTTCCCCCCTTCCCTCCCCAAGAGACGGACCTTGGTAAGTCTTCTGCGCTTCCGACCGTCCCGTCGCGAAGCTTCGACTTAGCTATCACCGCCCAAGAACCTCAATACGATCAACTGTCGCATGTATTGACAAGCCACTCCCCAGATCAAAAGCCTTCCCATATCATTGAACCTGAGGAAAATGAATCGCCGCCAGCCAAGAAGCGTCGTACAGATGGGGGCTCCGACGGCGAAGTCCAATTGCCCGATCCCATCTTGATGGCCGATCAGCATGGTCCTGGTCATAAGATTGAAGAAGAACTGGCTTCAGCACTCGGCGAAGGCGTCATTGACACCGTGGAACCCGATGACAGCTCCGTCACTCAACCTCTGCAACATGAATCGCTTGACACCCCTGCCGAAGTTGCACCAACCCAGCATGGTGATTCTGAGATCAATCCTGACGTGGCTACTATCATCTCGGAAATCATGGACCATACCGAGCGCCAGGAACAGAGTGTTGCATTGGGTCCGCAAGAGGTTCCACCGGTCACTGAGTTCCCCGGAGCCAGAGGTTTTGCGTTCCTGAAGGCCAACTCCCACTTGAAGATCCAGAGTCTGCCGATCTTGGACAATCTGGTCAGTGAAAACATGCTGTTTTGACTTATCTTTTTACGTTTACTTACCTGCTTGAATAGTCTACCCAAATCTTGACCTTCCTCTCCAAAAATACGTACCAAGACCTCACCGCCATGGTCGCCGAACCAGAATCCGAGAACGGCCAGGCATATGCCACCATGCGCTCGTTGTTTGATCACACGAAGAGGGTGTATACCGTGAAGCACTCGTTCCTGCAGCCAACAGATCTCGAAATCACCGATCCTTCCCAAATCGACGTCATTCGCAAAGCTAACCTAGCTTCCTTCGTCTCAAGTATCTTCGGATCTCAGGAGATTGGGTTTGCGGATCTCAACGACCATTTCCTGGACGTCTTTGTTCCTGAGGGTGGTCGTTTGCTGAAGGTTCAAGGTGCTCTGTACCTCGAACTCAAGACCCAGGCCTTCATCGCTGCCATGCACAACAAATCTCTCACTCGCACTCAATTGCTCTACAACCTTTTCCCTGATGACATGGAACAGCGGCTGCTTGCGAGACGCCCCGGCACCAGGCAGCTGGCTCCGTCGGAGACAGACTTCGTAAACCGCCTCACGTCGCGCCGCGACATCCTTCTTAATGAAATTAATAACGAGGAAGCGTTGAATGCTTTGCCGGACAAGTACCATTGGGAGGATTTCCTGCGCGATCTTAGCTCTTACATCTCAAAGCACTTTGATGCCATCAATACCCAGCAGGTTTGTTTCTTCCTCTCCTGCAAACTATCTTGAGCTAACGCTATGCCCAGGGAAAGAAGCCAATCAAGGGCCGTCAGCCGTCAAGTTCCAACGGCGACGCACATGAATCACCCAACACCACCCACCAGGGACAGTTCTCTTTGAACCAACAGGTTGAGGTTCCCGTGGACCGCAACATGCATGGAGACCTTGTCGCGCGTGCTGCCCGGGCTGCCCAAATCGCCCTTCAAGGTCATGGTCTTCGACGCTCTCAGCAGCAGTCACAATCTCAACAACAGCAACAACAGACGCAATCACAGGCAAGCCCGTCGCCCAGACCACAACAGCCTCCTCAATCTCAACCTCCACCACAACAACCCACTCAGCAACCGCAGCAACCCCCGCAGCCTCAGCAGCCTCAGCAGCCCCAGCAGTCTCAGCAGTCTCAGCAGCAACCTCCACCGGCCCAGCATGAAAGTCCATATCTGCACGGCTACACTGCTGCGCAGCAGTCGCAACCTACCCACCAATACCACCACAGCCCCACTCCGCCCGGGGGCTACCAGTCTCAGCAAGCATCTCCCATGAACTTCCAACAAAGTCCCCTTCAAACCAACTTCCAACAGTACAATCCCAATGCGGCACAAGCTATGCAGGCGAGAGCAAACGGAATGTCCTCCAACCATGGATATATGCCAGGGATTCCCCACTATTCTCAGTCGCAGCCTACACAGGTCCTGTACGAGCGTGCGCGCATGGCCGCTTCTGCCAAATCTTCCCCCACCAGCCGCAAATCTGGCCTTCCCAGTCAACGTCGCCCGTGGACTACCGAAGAAGAAAATGCGCTCATGGCCGGCCTAGACCGTGTCAAAGGACCTCACTGGAGCCAAATTCTTGCGATGTTTGGACCTGGAGGAACGATCAGCGAAGCGCTCAAAGATCGCAACCAGGTTCAACTCAAGGACAAAGCACGCAATCTGAAACTCTTTTTCTTGAAGAGTGGAATTGAGGTTCCATACTACCTGAAGTTCGTCACCGGTGAATTGAAGACTCGTGCGCCCGCCCAGGCAGCAAAGCGCGAAGCCCGGGAGCGACAGAAGAAGCAGGGTGAAGAGGACAAGGCTCATGTGGAGGGCATCAAGGGCATGATGGCTCTTGCTGGTGCTCATGGGGCTCCTGTTTCTGGCCATGAAATGTCCGCCTCGCCAAGCCTGCCTCCGGATGCCAACAGCCAGTCTGTGTTTGACCAGACTGCGGAACAGAACTTGATGCAGACTCTTAGCCAGGAGGTGCATGGAAGCCAGTATCCTCAGCAGCATACTCAGCATACTCAGCAGCCTCAGGACCATATCGATCCTCACATGCAGATGGGGCAGTGAGGGATTGTCCTTTCATTTGATCTCTGATCTCTGATTTCTGATCCATGATCTTTGATATTTGCGATTTGCCTTTTTTTTTGCCTCTTTTTTCTCTGCAATTTAGCTCTCAGTACGTTCTATCAGCTTCGGTTTCGCACAGATGTTTCGGAGTTAGTGGATGGGGTTTTCGATTTGTTCCTTTCGGGGACCGTTTGTTTTACTACGGGGATCTAGCATTGCGCTGGATTGGCGATTGCCAAAAGTGTACAATTACATAGCGAAATGTCTTATTGAGGAAATGATATGAGAATTATGAAACTACAGAGTACAGTCGAGGGTCATCTGAGGATAGTGTGAGCATAGTACGGAGTAGTTATCAGGTTGTGATGTACGAGTGTCGTCTCGTTGCATCAAAGTCCGCGGCTAGCAGAGGTGGACCGTGCGCTACCCGTGTGACTTCGAACCTCCCTATAAACGGAGAGTATACTGTCGCAGCCATTGATTGGCCTTATTGTTCAGCTGCAGCCCGATTTCACAAAGTACAGGGGGTTCCCGCCGATACTTGCCCACCATGGCCGACTCTCAGCCTCCTCCCCAACACAACGGATCAGAGCAACTCCCTCCATCCGAAGATAATATCAAAACCGAACCAGACCTCGACGCCTCCATCGAGCAAGACGTCGAGATGAACCCAGAACAGCCAGAAGAAGCCCCCGCGGTTGACCCCATGGCCCCCGCGCCAACCCCTTCCAAAAAGGAAACTAGCCTTCGCGAGTTCCTCGGCAAGATGGACGACTATGCTCCCATCGTATGTTCCCTAGACTCCCCACGACCCTCTCAGCACCCAGCTAACCATCTCAGATCCCTGACGCCGTCACTGCTCACTATCTCACGCTCGCCGGCCTCCCACCACCAGGCACAGGGCCCGGTCAAACGCCCCCGCACCTTGCGCGCCTCCTCGCGCTCGCCGCTCAAAAGTTCGTCTCTGATATCGCCGCGGACTCTTACCAGTTCGCGCGCATTCGCGCTTCAAACAGCTCCTCCGCAAACAATGCCATTGGCAGCTTGGCCGCTGCTTCGGGTCTAGGTGCCCCAGCCGGTACGGCGCCCGCTCCCGGTGGTGACAAGAGCAAGGCTGGTACTCACCTCGGTATTCAACGGCCTGGGTTTGGTGGTGGAGGCTCTGGAGGGTCCGGACAGGGTCGCACTGTCTTGACGATGGAGGATCTTGGTATGGCGGTTTCGGAATATGGAGTCAGTGTCAAGCGCGGCGAGTTCTATAGGTAGGCTTTCTGGCTTGCCTGCTCGTTTGTGCGTTGTCTACTCCTTACCTGTGCCTTTACTTTGCAACGGGTCTTTTTTTTACTTTGTCTTGGGCGGCGCATTGGTAAAGGGTTTGGTCTTTATGGACCTGGACTGCATTTGGTGGTCGCGTGGGCGAATCCTCCAGCAAGGATGGAGTTCTTGACTTTTTTCTTTCTTTCTTTTCTTTCCTCTCTTACAGTTGAAGTGGAACTCACCTACAGATAAGGGTGCTTGCGAACGGACGACCATGTCGCAGAAAATAGTCATGATATGATATGAAATATTTCTACACTCTAATCTTGAACCCTCAAGAGCCATTTGAATCAAATAGGAAGTAGAGTCCCAGTCGCATGGTATTTGCGATGCGTTTCTGGGGAATGAATGATGCATATTGAAACTCCGACCCAAAAACAGCTAATGTCACATGAAATCCAATATATCTGTACATGCAAGTTGTGCAATGCAGCAGCCCAAAGCCCGAGCAATGCCTGCGAGGAAAGTCGCTTATTTGTTCTTAGACTGCTTGTAGGTGAAGCGCTTGCGGGTCCTGTAGCACAGTCAATCAGCACAGTGCTTAGATCTCCTTCAATGGGATGCACATACGCAACATATTCACCAAGCTTGTGTCCGACCATCTCTTCCGTTACCGCAACATCGACGTATGACTTTCCATTGTGCACAGCGAAGCGCAGGCCGACAAAGTTGGGGAGGATAGTTGCTGCGCGTTTCGTGGTGCGGATTGGGGGTGAGCTGGCGGAGAAGTTGTGAGGGATATCAATGCTGTATTCGGGTTCCGGAGTTAGCTTATGGGACTCTTATGATTCCTCTGAAATCCAATGGCGGAGGCGGGTTCTTGCGAATCGAGGGTCACGTACGGGACGATGTTGGGGCCTGAGATGGGTGTTAGCATGCATGTTCTGAAGGAAATTGGGAATAAGTTAGGACACAAAAGACACTCACCTTTCCAGACCGAGCGGGCAAAGAGGGCGCGGGTGAAGAACATCTTGACTTGGCGTGAGGTTGGGTTCCTGCGGCTTCGTAAACTCGAAGATGTCGGACTTTCGAAGTCTCGGCGTGATTACGTAAAATTCCCGATTGGGCAAGTTGGTCTATAGCAGAGCAGAGAGCTTTTTGTAATGAGATAAATGCAGTAAATTGGCTATGTGATATATGAAAATGCTGGCCCAGCTCAATATAAAATAAACATAAGAATCATAACTGGACATAATAGTCCAACAGCTGCCAGCAACTGTGGTCATATGCCCTTCACTCTGCCAGTTCCTCAAAGATCTTGATTAAACTGCGCACACCGAAAAGGATATTCTCATCCGGGCCCTGCCCGGGTGTCCAATTAGCATGGGCGAAGTCAATCAAGCGGAGATCATGAACTTTGGGAGTCTCATCTTCCTCGTCATCGTCTAGATCGGGCATCGGCATGGTCTGTGGGTCGATGTTGATATTGATGGCCTGCTGAGGCATTCCCTGGCCCAACTGGACGTCCACCAGTTGCAAAGCTTCTTCTGGAATTTCGAATTCCTGATCGTCTTCATCTTCATCTTCCTCTTCTTCTCGAGTCCGGGGCGGAGGGACTTTGCTCTCCTCTTCAAGCGCGTGCTCCATGGCCTGAGGATCACCTTCGTAGACTATGAGCACACTAGCTGAGTACATTCGACTCTCCTCAGCCTCAAGAACCTGCTGCATATTCTTCAGTTCATCCGCCAGCCGCCGAGCGACCATTTTTGATCGGTCGATCTTTTCCGTTTTGGCGCCCACGAGGAACGTCTCAAATCCTCGCTTGACGGTGTTCTCATCAAACGAGCGGCCATACCACTTGTCGTACCGTCGATAACCATTTTTCTCGATGACTTCGCCTTTCTCGCCCTCGGCGCCCTCGTGTTTCGTATCATACGGGTCCGTCCGGTCTCCCTCGTCAGTCTCACCGTCCTGACCCGTCCATACCTTCATCCCTGCGATCCGGTATCCGACACTCGAGCTGGTAGTCTCTTGAGATACAGCGTCGAGTTTGCTGCGCTTAGCAGGTGGTGCATCATCAGCCCACAGTCGCGCTCCGAGCTTCACATCCAGCACGTTGGGCCGATGAAATCCACATGCGACATTTTCCAGCACGATCGACAATCCAGTATCAATCTTTTTCCCACCCGAAGGCACCCAGGCGGATTCCTCTTTCTCGGCGGTCGGTTCCTGCGAGTCCGGGCACGGTTCAGCGGGGCGGACGCTATCGGCGGAGGTGCTGTCGGGGAGGAAAAGAGCGCCCGACTCTCGCGCAGCAGCAATTGCCACTGGCTGCTGTTGTTCCGCGGATGAGAGGGAGCCGACGTAGAGGGGCATAAACTCCTGAAGGGCCGGGTGGAGGGCGCTGGATTCGTAGAACTCCACTTCTTGGCGTGTGCAAGGTTTTGCGATCAGCGCGCCAGAAAGCGTACAGCGAACACCGTCACTATTTCAATAGAAAAGGTTCCGTTAGTATCAATCGGAGACTGGTCGCGCGAGGGCGCATATGTTGAGAACCCAAAACAACAGTGCCAAACTTACTGTCCCGCAGCAGCGTGGTCAAATGGGACCAGATCATCGCTGCCTATGTGTGGTGTCTTTCGACTCTCTGGTTTAGACGGCATCTTTCTCTCACGCGAAAATGTTGTGAAGTACTCCGTACAAGTGACAGCTCGGGAGGTCGTGATAACGCAGGGACCATGTCATTGGGCCCTAATTTGGCCCCGCATTTAACTTCCCTTCTGTTTCTTTTTATATTCAACTTCTCTTCATTGTCTACATTCAACATGTTTGTTCACTCTATCTTTACTATGTGCTGTGTTTTATTCTATTGAAATTGAGATATATACTACTATTTCAACTGAGATTCAAATCACAGCAAGAATTTTGACCACTGCGTCTAACCATGGCCCTCTCTCTATAGCTCGTAGCGTACGACCGACAGACATATCAAATGTTAGATGGCGGTCTTTACATATGTTTGGACTGAAGGTTGGTAGTACGTGATTGACCTCTTTCAAGGCTGCCTCTTCCACCTTTGCTCCTTCTCTCCTTCTCTCCTTCTCAACTCTTTCTTACCCTTGACACGTTGCCCTCACCGGCTCAATTACTCCCTTCACCATGGACGATCAACCTGATGATGACTTGAAGAACCGGAAAGCATCTACGCATCAAGATAGTGACTGCATCTCTAGGGACGAAGTGATGGCTACTAGTGCAATGGCGATTGATGAAACAACTCTCCAATCGGAAGACCGTGCTTTAATGGACAGCGAGGATGGGAAGCTGACTGCAGATAACTCCTCTGCTACCGCTCTGCAAAATTCTCATCAAGTGACTGAGACTTCAGCTAAGAGCAATCCTGATACCTCGGATCTTGAGGTCACTGGCAAATATAGGTTTCAGGATATGGATATCACTGACAACGTGAGTGACTAATCTCTTTCAGCATGAGACTGTGTTGACTACAGCATCGGACTAATACCACTTTCAAATATCAGGAATACCGTCTTCATCCTGACCCACCTACGCCTAGCCAGACCTGCGAAGAGACCAGCGGGCCTCTCACAGCTGAACGCCCGCAGGATGCCCAGTTGACCGAAGATTCTACTACCAAAGGAAATGAGCCCCAAAACACTACATCTGGTACTGACAACCCCTCTTCCCAAGTCAACGCCCCGCGGATTGGCTTCAAGCATGACCCAGCGGAAGAAGCAATCATGGCTCAGGTGGAGCCAGATCCGGAGACGGAGATTGCCGTCGGACGGAAGAAGAAGAACAAAAAGAAGCGCCCAAAGAGCCAGAGAGGACTGGTGAGGCCCTCAGGATCCTTCCAAGGTTCTTTTCTGCTGAGATCACTAACAAAACTTCCAGAATGCCCCGACTGGGTTCGAGCCGTGGCATGCCGATGCTCCGATCACCCCACAGGAGTTTAATGATAATAAGAAAATCTACGATCCGTATGTCAATCGAGTTGTGTTGAGTTCACTAATAGCTAACCTTTCATGACAGAGCCCTGCCGATTCTTGAGTAAGACACACCGAGTGAAGTCCCCTGATTGCGTTCGCTAACCTGATTCGTCTGCCTAGTCGAATTGATGAGGGCATCAAACGATTTCTGGCCAAGCGTCGCCTCGAGCCTGATAGACGCAAGGTCTTTCTGAAGTACCTACAGTATGGTGGTGTCACTGTGGGCCAGAATCCCAACCAGGGTGTGACTCCTCAAGAGTTGAAGGAAATGGACAAGGAGGAGGCCATGCAAGCTCGTGCGAATACTGCCATCTTTCCGAACGAGGGAAAAGAGTGCCCAATTTCTTTCAATGACGTTGCTACTGGATATCTGTGAGTTCACTTTCAGGGGTGATCTATCTTAAAACGTAAGGCTACTGACTTTCACTAGGACGGGCTTCTACATGGCTTACTACAACCCTGAGACCGAGGAAGAGATCAAGGTGTGCACTGGTACCATGAAGAATTTCTTCACTTACTTGCTCTACCACGATGTGTGCCCCGAGCAGAAAGATGATCTTGAAGAAGCCAGAAAAACCTGCGACCGCTGTGAGAAAGAGTTGTGGCTGAATCTCCAGCTCGTTCAACATGATGGCCCAGGACACTTTAACCGGGCCTGCTCTATGCTGTTTGGGGGCTATTACTTTGATGCCGTTGATGATCCCGAAACGTGGAGCCATATTCGGTATGCCAGTGCAGATGTTTTCACTCGTGAAATATCCCGCAAGGTCGTCAAATATGCCATTGCTATCAATGGTGATGACCGAATGACTCGCAAATTCAAATGCCTTGCCGAATGGGATAACGTCGAGGCAACCCAGATTCAAGATATCGATGGCTTCGAGATTATCTCAATCGAATATCCATCCGAGGAGTCTATCGCCTATTACCGGGAGCTTGCGCCCGATTTACTTCCAGTCGGAAAGGTGAAAGCGAGGGAGTTCCGCGACCCGTCCAGAGGGGAGTTTGATCTTACTCCTTGGGAGAAGATTGACTGGGACGCTGGTTTTGCGCCCGCATACAATCTTGAATTCTTTCTCGAGAAATCCGTTCTTGATCTCATGTTGCCTGGCATGAAGATCATCACCAATGTCTATGCGACCAACTTCGGTATGCATTTCTACGATGAAGTCATGGCCGTGCTGCCTACAAACTACCTCTTCCTCTACAACGATTGGATGATTGACTACAAGGAGCCAAAGCCCATAGATTGGATTGGCGATGAGCAAGAGATTGAAAGACGTCGTGCCGAGGATATGATCATAGAGCCACCCGAGATCCCAGAGAAAGCGTGGATGTTGCAAATCTTGGCCAAGGAGACTCACAAAGCCCCGAGATACAGTCAATACCTTAATTGCACCCATCGACGCCACGCCAGAGACATCATCAAAGTTCTTGAGTACATCGGCTTCTCAATGGGCGCTATCAGAGAGAAGTGGGGGTTGGTAGAGAAGCCGAAGCCGAAGCCAGTACGGCTTTTCGATGGGAGCCCCGTCGAGGAAGAATCCACCGAGAAAGAACATGGAGAAGAGCCCGTCGCAGGCAGGAGCGTCGAATACGAGCCTACGGGTGAGATGGAAATTTAGGGAGAGCCCATCAGAGGTCCCATCCTGCCTGTCGAGGAAGACCACCCCCAGGAGAATGACAATTGATCGCTAGCAGGGAACTCTTTCAATCAAGATCCCACCAGGGAGCCAACATTTCACTTAGGTAGGTAGAACTCAGTGTGCGGCCAAGGCCTACAAATTATCTACCGATACCTACCCAAACCCTCCCTATCGAGCATGCCCAAGTACATCCATGGATACGGAGTAAACGTAGTGAGACTGATAAATTCCCATACTCTCGATTGGCCTTTCCCAAATATGTACTTGATTGATGAGATTACTATCTTATTGTTGATTCCATTCTCGGAATTTTGCACGTTTTATTTGGGTGATTATTGCACACTTCATGGCTTCAGAAGGGGCTTGCCCATGGTCTTACGCCCCTCCAAGTCCTGTAGAATGAGTTCCACGGTTAGCATGAATAAGATCATATCAAAAACCCACATACCTTGTGCACTTGGATGATATCCTCTAACGGGTAAACTTTGTGGATCTTAGTCTTCAGCTGGCCCGATTTGAGAAGGTTGAACAGCTCATTCGTATAGTACTCAAACTCCTGGCGGGTCTCAATGTACCCAAAGAGGGTCGGGCGGGCGACCTTCACACACTTGGGGGAAAGTTTGCTGAAGACCGTCAGCGTCAGAAGCTAGAAGAGCGATGGAATTGGGAACATACGGTAAAGGCAGCGGGGGTACAGGACCGCTAGCATTGCCGAACCAAACAATAGTACCCTTGCGCTTGACAGCTTCCAGACTGCCCTCCCAGGTATCCTTGCCGACAGAATCATAGACGACATCAACACCACGACCACCAGTGGCTTCCTTGACCAGTTTCACCCAGTCCTTGCCTTCCTCGCTGCGGTAATCAATCACCACATCAGCGCCAAGATCCTTGACAAGAGCGCACTTCTCTGCGCCGCCAGCGGTGCCAATGACCTTGGCCCCCATAATTTTCAAAATCTGGGTCATCAGGAAACCTGCACCTCCAGCGGCAGCATGCAAAAGAACCCAATCCCCCTTCTGAACAGGATAAGTCTCCTTCGCAAATGCAAGCACAGTCAAGCCACTCAAGAACGAGGCCATGACATCCTCATCGCTGATTCCCTCGGGGATCTTGACAGCCTTGGCCGCAGATACAGCAGTATACTCCGCATATCCTTGAGTAGCCAACCAAGCAACGCGATCACCGACATTGAATCCGGTTGTTTCGGGACCCACAGCTGCGACAGTACCGGCACCTTCGCGGCCCAGGATCTCCGGCTTGGGTGAAGCGTATAGTCCTGTTCGGAAATAAGTGTCGATAAAGTTGACACCGGAGATATTGTTTCGAACTAGCAATTGTCCGGCTTGAGGAGTTGGCACTGGGTGAGCAGTGCGGAATTGGAGTACCTCGGGGCCTCCAGTTTGCTCGACCACAACGGCCTTCATTGTTGATGGGGCCGACATGGTACTTGTAATGTGGTGCACGGGGATTCTCACGGGATAGAGGTGATTGCGGAGAATTGAAAGTCGAGGACTGACAAGAGAGCGAAACATAACAATATCAGAGACGTCGAGTGTCGGATGTAAAGTAGTGCATGGTGGACCTCAGAGGACTTACATTTGTCATCCCCCGCATCTGCCCATCCGCGCCGACGGAATTATCGCGCTTTTGCTTTCGGACCTTGCCCTTGTTCTTTTCACGACTGGTTTTCAGAAGCGTGAATCATTCTCATGATACTTCAACTTTTGTCCCCTCGCAGATCCCCTCGGAGCTTTCCTTGGCATCCGTCGAGGCCATAATCAATGCAAAGTCGCCCTATGACGCCATAGCCGTCGGATCGCGAATGATCGGAGAAATGCCGATAAAAGTACGGAGTACCGGAGTATGGAGCACGGAGTGTACTATCATTTGACAATTTGACACTATATGTGGCACGGTGCTTGAATGATACTCCGTACGGAGTACAGCGCCTGGTGAAACAAAGTCACTTTGGTGATCTCCCTTCGTCAGAATATCTTTCGGATGGCTTCATGCCCAGCAGCATCCGACATTCAACAGAACGATTACCGCCACTGGACAGTGGGTTTGATCATGCACCTAGAGTCTAGTGCCGCGAGGGGCTCAGTACCCAGAGTTCCCAAGATCGGCTGCATTGGTCTCCGTCGCAGGGTATGCAAGCCACCCGAACTCCAGGAGGGGCTGATACGACTCCAACGCCCCACGTTCGCATGTCAAATTTGGGACTGCAAGGGTGTGCCTTCTGCATGACCAAACCCATGACGCCGTCTTTTGCATCATCTGCCGCTGACTGCATCCCTGGACGGGGAGATCTCTCCCCGCTCCATACGAAAGGACACTGTACTCCGTACAGCGTGGAAGACCACACCATCTGAATTATTTCCAAAACAACCCCTGAGCAGAAAACCAGGCATGGAGATCTATGCCCAATCACCAAGTTGTTTTGATCTCCATCTAATTAAATTGATTGAAACGCAACGGCAACACCCGGCGGTTCCACTTTGTGCCCAATAATCAAAAGGCTGCCATAGCCACACCCGCTGCTGTATGTGGCCCCGACTCGGCCGTTTCGGCCTGTGTTTCCAATGCGAACCCTGCTCGCATGATTTTCCCTTCAGCCTGAAGCTATTTCTGGCTTGATTCCTCTCGCCCAATCAACCAAAGAGGCCTATCAGAAGTCTTTTCACGCAGAGTGGTGCCCGATGCCCTCCGCCAATGTTTATATACCCTTGCACATCCTGGTCGCACACAACCTTTAAAGCCCATCTTTGTCTACTTTCTTTGGAAAATTTTTCTCCCTTTCATACACAAATTTCACTGTCCGTGCTCTGAGACTTTTTTTTCGCCTTCGAACCCTCTACCAATACTATGAGCCATACTCATCGAACTATTTCAAGAGACGTCATCACACCAGGTTAACATTCGAAACAAACACATTCCACACTCGTCGGGTGGTAAAACAAATTGACAATGACTTACTCTCGAACCTCGCGAAGGGTTCGTGTGCAGTGGCCTCCAGCGCCCTGCGTCGAAGAAGAGCCTCAGTCTTTATCGAAAGAGCTGCATGGTCTCTTGAACCTCGGGGAAAAGCCAGGGACCGAAGGTGTTCACTTCAGAGGTGCTATCGACCAGTATCCCATCCTGGTGACTCCTACTCCCCCTCCGCAATCGAGCTCCCCGGACAGTGTTCCAAGTGTGCCTGGGTTGGGACATATGTCCTCTTCCGATGAGAGCAATGGGCCAGCGACGCCGCCCCCAGAGGAGCCGGTTATACGGAACACAGTCAGGTTCCGAGATGAACAAACTTCAAAGCCTATTCCACTTCAGACTGCAAGCCAGCCCAAAAGCCAGCCTCAAAACCAACCCATTCGGCCCCAGCAACCACAGCAAACCAAGCGCGAGCCCCGCGCCCCCAGCGTGCAGCGCGAATCGCGGCCCCCTTCTCGTCCCCAACAAAGCACCACTGGTAGACCCATTATGCCAGTTGAGTATGGTTCTCACGCTTTGCGTGGAGAAAGTCCACTGGATCGCACCGGTCGTCGAGCTCCTGTGTCAGAGAACACAGTCGTGCCTCCATCCAAGCCATCTGTGGCTCGCTCAAACAGTGCCCGGCCTGCACCTTCGGTACCACGGCCACTACCAGAACGCCTCCGAGGTGAGACCAGCTCGGGATATCTGTCTGATTCGGCCACTTCTTCCAAAGCGCAGCACGTGTGCCAAGCGGACGCACCTCTTCAATACCCTATGCCCACGGTCCCTACAAATCCCGTGCAACATGGGCCCACCCTTGCAGAACGCATTGAGGAGAAGCTCAAACAGCGACATGAGCAACGAGACCCAGGGTCCATGTCGGACTCAGATGCACGCAAGCCAACCACAGCGGCCAAAATCTCCAACATCGCAATCCCAATTTTGTTCCCTCACCCGGCCCCAGCTACGGCACCTCAATCACCCACCCGGGATCCCCGTGTCCCGAGCCACAAAGCCCAACACGAGCCGCCCACATCGCGATCTCGGGCAAAATCGGTCACTGCGCCACCCGCTCGGTCGATGTCTGGAGCTCGTCCTCCCCCTATCCCGCGACCATTGCCTGAGATGATTGAGAAGTCCAAGCCAATCGCAAGCCTAGTCGCCGCAGCTCAAGCTAGCCCTGACAGGCCTGTCGTCCAGCCAGTCCCTCGGCATGAAATTCCAACCCAGCCGAACCCAGACAGGTCGCTGACCCAGCCCGCTGCTCGGCACTCCAGTGCAACTCGATCAAGTCCCGACAGATCCACAGTCAACCCTAGCTCCCGGCATCCTAGCACATCCCCTCAGCGCCCAAACTCGACAGGAATGGGCCTCTCACCGTGCCCTCGCACCATCGCGGTAGCCGGTTACCAAGACTGGTACACGCTCAAAGGCCTGACGCACCTTGACATCTGCCCATCATGCATGAGCCAAATTGCAAACTCGCGATACCGAGACTTCTTCATCCCAAGCCTAGCCAAGCCAGCCAACCAAAAGACCCGCTGCGCCTTCGCAAACGCCTGGACCCGTCTCGCCTGGGCCCAAATGATCAAAAAGCAACATGAAAGCCTAGAACTGCTCTACCAAATGACCCGTCCACCACCCGGAGCCCGCGCATGCCCCGGCCGTATCGTCGCCGAACAGCCCTGGTACAGGGTCTACGACCCAGAAACCGGCACAGACCTATCAAACTTCCATGTCTGCGGTAGCTGTGCACGAAACGTCCGCATCCTCATGCCCGCCCACCGCGACACATTCATCCAGAACCCTGAGCCAACAGAACGAATCTGCGACTTCATAACGTCGTCACCGCGCTTCGTGAAGTTCATCGATCTCCTCGATGCATCAGCTTCACGCGCAGAAGTCGATCGCGCCCGCCGACCCGACACACGCGAGTTCTTAAGCTACGCCAAGCGCAAGGCCTCTCTTCGAGACTGTCGGCGCGACAGACCGACTCTGAGCACTTGGCACTATATCCCGTCGCTGCCTGAGATGTGCGTGTGCGAAGACTGCTATGATGAAGTAGTCTGGCCGCTTGTGAGACTCCATCATCCGATTGCGCGGATGGTAACGAGTTCGATGCGCATTCTGCCGGGTGATGCGCCTGGACGGACGCGGGAGGCGAGCTGTCAGCTTTATTCGCCGCGGATGAGGGCGAAGTTCCGTGAGGCGGTTGTGAGGGATGATTATGGGATGTTGGAGACTATTGCTAAGAGGAGGATTGAAGCTGAGAGGAGATTTATTGATCGTCGGGAGGAGTTGCTTGAGGCTTCTGGGAAGGGGTATGATTGTGATGAGGAGATGAGGAAGGCGGTTGATGAGTGGAGGAAATGGGAGTGATGGTTCTTTTGTTTCATTTACATGTACGGACTGGGCTGTTTGTTTTGGCATGGGGCATTTGGTGTCGACTTGTTTGTATACTTGGAGCGCATTGGGGTCTGTATCAGGTCGTTTTGTACAACGGGGGTTTGGTTTGCATTGTACTAGGTAGCATAGCATAGCATAGCATAGCATAGGTAGCATAAAATAGCATATTTCTTTTGTCCATCAATATCTGAAGACCTACTAGTCTGAATAACCTTGGGAAAGTAATTGAACTCTCGATATCCCAACTTTTCTGTGGAAAATATACGACTTGAAATTACTTCCGAAACACTCCCGTACTCTATTTACATGGCGAGCTGTTCCTACGAGGATACATTCGGATCCGTTGAAATATGAAGCGAGATAGATTCACGTACCAATTGAACGTAATGAGTATGAAGATCCACGCTAAGAAACCCCCAACTCCCAGAAGATAATGCAAGTTATGTGCCAAGTATGAACGAAAACTAACCGACCAAGCCAACCAGCTCACCAGGCCAACGCTTAGCCCAGATAATAGCACGCGGAGGCATTCTTCCACCAACAGGCGCAAGAACCCGGATCTTCCCCTTATCCGCGTCAACGTCGGCAACATACAAGAAGCCCATGATACTGGCGTCGCGGACTTCAGCAGGTGATGCAGTAGAAGGAGCGTGGGTAATAGCCAGGAGGGTATTTGCAAGAGCGGAAGGTACAGGAGCGAGAATTTTTTTCAGAGGGACAGTGCTGTCACTTTTCTCGGGGGCGCTGACAGGCTCAGAGAAGGAACCAACCACGCCAGGAAGAGGAGCTGCGCGGTCAGGATCCTGTTTTGGTTCTGTGTAGTCATCTGCGCCGCCGCCGGGAAGGAAGTCTGTGCCGAGCTGGGAGGGATCGTAGTCATCCTCATCCTCGTCGTCGGCGGAGGGGGTGGTGTAATTATAGATTGGGAGAGTGGCGCAGTCAAGCTGCTGTGCATGGGGGGAGAGGGTGATTGCGGAAGCGGGGGATGAGGATGGCATAGAGTTGCCGAAGAAGTATGTGCGGATTTGAGACTCGCGGGTCGCCTTCCGGAAGGCTTCGTCACGGTCAGCGCAGCCGCCTGATTTGGATAGCTTGATGACGGAGACGTGCTCATCGAAGACGGCTGCCGTTGCACTGGAGCTGGGCTTGTTGTCATACTGCTTGGCTACAGTGCTGTAGAGGCGCTCTGAGCCCAGTACAAGAATTGTGGTGATTGAGAACTCGGTGACGATGTGGTTAATCAGGTCCATGCTGCCCGGCTTGTCGGAACCCAGGATTCCAGGAGTGTCGACGATGATTCCTGTTTCCCGAGCGTCCTCATCCTCGGCCATACGGCCAGTCACCGAGAGCGCGAGACGCGAGACGACTGGCTTGTATACGACGCCTTCACCATCTAGCGGGTTTTGCATCGGGTAGCTATACACCAGAGGTAGCTTGACGGGCACCGGACTGGGACCGGACATGGGACTGCTTCCCCAGCCATCCTCAACGTCCAGGATAGTTCTGAACGCAGTCGCAGTCAATGTGCCAGGCACACCGAGCATACCTTCTGTCGGATCGAGATTCACAACCAGAGGCTGACGGCCGATCTTCGTCGCATACGAAGTCAAGATCTTGGCGAGAGTAGTTTTTCCACTGTTCTCGGGACCAAGCAGTAGCACGCGTGGACCATCTTTACCAATTGACTGGGCCTCCTCGCGCATTGTCTCTAGCGCAAAGTGGACATTGGCGTATTCGACCATTGGCGTTTCCTCCGCTGTGTACTCGCTGTGGCATCCTCCGGCACCATGGCCAATCGCCGGTGAGACTCCATCCGAGGTGTGCTGTACAATCTCTGCAGCGCTAACCTCCAATGCGCAGCCATGCCATGTGAAGATTGCCGCCTTTGTACCAGAGAAGGTGTAGGTTTGCGACTCGGCGAGTTCTGTTCCGAAAAGTTCTGCTGTACCGTTGAGGAGCTGGGAATTGATTAGACAGGCACTGCGGTGACCGTCAAGATTGACGTGCTGACATACCTTGACTTTGATCACATGGCCAAAGGCAACCTCAAAGCGCCATTCTGAGCCTGGGGTCAGATTGATCTGCGACGGCGGTGCGGCGGCCTGCGATCGATCTTCTGACGGTTGGGTGAGTTCCAGTCCTGGGAGAGACATGATTATGACCAGGCAAGAACCTCAATGCAAAGATCGGAAAAGATTGAGGGAAGTCACTTGCATTGCGCGGAGCTGCGTGATGTCGATGTTTTTCCTGTTTGCATTAAGGTGCTCCTTATCTGCCATTGGCTCCAGGCTTGCCGACGTTTTGAGTCGGCCCCGCAGACCTCCGACTTCTATCTTCCAGAACTACGCAAGTCGTCAGTCTACGTCGCAGTTATTTGAATTTGTTTGACGTCAGTTTGGCATCTACCTCAGCTTTGAAAAGCCAAAAGCAAGCGGAAAACATCCATGGATAGCAAGAGTACTGATGTGAGCCTATAAAAAAAACAGGGTGAAACACCGAGTTCCAGGGTTGCCGTATGTACAAGGAAGTAAATAAGTAGTCCAAAAGAGAATACCAAAGAATATCACTATCATTAAGCAAGTCTTGGCTACATCAGGGCCGTTGCCACAGGGCATAGAATATGGGAAAGGGAAGTGGTATCGGGTAGCAAAAGAATTTGATCATAGGGGATGTGATCGGCTAAGCAAGTCCAAGACCAAATCTTGCAAAGGACGAGATGGGAGGGGGCTGAAGGGATGGGCAAGATATTAGAAAATTGTGTGACACAAGTGCAGTGCTCTCAGTATCGCCGGCGAGGAATATATTTATGGTAACGACAAGGGGAATTGGGATTCAGAAGCGAAAATGGGGGAGACTGGGTTTTCTGTCGCATGCGACAGATGGAAAACAAGGGAATACTTCTAGGCAATCTGGACTTTGGAACGAATTATCCATTATTTGCTTAGAAGAAGTAGGGGATCGAGGCACTATAGGCGGTGTTAGTATCAATCAAGTCATGCTCTTCGGAATCAGATCACTTACGCAAGAGCAAATGCCACGGAAACACCAATCATAGAGCGGTTGCGCACACGCTCTTGCTTGAGCTTGTTCTCGAGCACCTTGGCCTTCTTTGCCCGCTGAGCGGATTCCGCTGAAGTCTCCTCGTCGTCATCATCTTCGGGCTTGCGCTTCTTCGTCGCTGTGACAGTTGTCTCGAGAGGAGTGCCCTTAGCTTGTGATTTAATGGCGTCCTCCACCATATCCTTGGCCTTGGCAATCATTTCCTGAGTCTCGGCAGCAGACGGCACTTCAGGGAGGCTGATAGGCAGATCGAGAGAAACAGTGGGCTGGGCTGGCTGGGTATCCTCGGTGGTTTCGGTAACCTCCGCAACCTCAACTGCTTGCTCCTCCTTAATTTCATCCTTTTTCTTTTCTTTCTTCTCAGCCTTCTTCTTTTCCTTTTTCTCCTTCTTCTCTTCCTGGTTCTCCTCCTCAAGCTCAGCAGTAGAAGCTCTGGTCTTGCGGGCTCGAGGCTTCTTGGATGGCGATCCTGAGGACTTGGTTTCGGGCTCAACGTCGGCTCCCAGCTCGGGAATGGCATCCGCATCCAGGCCTGTGCCCGAGACCGAGATGTCTAGTGTGGACTGCAAGCTGGCATTTGCGGCACTTGTGGAGGGTGTGCTAGTGACATCCTTTGTGATACGAGTGGTGCGAGACTTGCGGGGAGACGACTTGCTGGGGGAAGCGGAGCGACCTCTGCGGTAGCGGTGAGTTGGCTGTTGGCCGAGAATTGGCTCATCGGCGGGCAGTTCAAATTTGGGAGGGGGCGTAATCTGCTTCTTTGCGCTGGCAGGGCTTTGGGCAATGTCGGTGGGGTCTAGCAAAGCTCGCACCCATTCGTACATCTTGTACTCCTTGGAAAGCTCGAGGGCTAGTGGAAAGTCAGCAGATGACAGATTGATTTAGATTGACTGGACATACCAAATGCGGGAGAGATCCACACATTGCCAGCAACTTCCTCCTCGCTGGTGTGCTCGCGCGCCTTCAGGTATTCGCGCTCACTCTTCTCCTCCTCAGTCTTGGCCCAGGGGAATGCGATCTTGAACATTCCAGTCGCACTGACAAAGCCATCTTTGCTGCGTCGCTATAGAATCGAAACCCGCGATCAGTATAAATCCTTCGTTTTGAATATACATATATGAATATGAGACGGCTCTCACCATCAAAAAGTAGGTTTCGGGCTGTTGCCCCAGACTGTGTGAGGGAAAGATCTCTGAGCCCTTCAGGTCCTTTGGCAGTGGAGCACGCAGGTGCGCGTACTCAAACACGCCCAGGTTCTCACGTTTGGTCGCATTTGAGGTTCCAATCTGAGAAGGCTTGACCGAGAGATTGGTTTTTCCAAGACGACGGCGCGTGAGGAGGTCCTCATCTGTTCAAAGAAAGGTGATTAGTGATGATCAGGAAATACCCACGGCGCATCGGTGTGTAAGCCAATGCGCAGGCGCGATGCCGCGACGCGACAGCCAAACATACAGGCAGGAGCAACCTCTGCGGCGATACAAGGGTTGAGATCTTTAGGGAGTGTGCGCGACATGGTGGGATGTTGAAGTGATGAAGATCTTTCGCGGTGCGAGAAGGGAAATGCGCCACGTAGCAGGCGCGACAAGCGAGCTAAAAATCAAACAAGAAATCCACAAGTCAAGATCCAGCAATAATGAGGTGAAATGCGCCGATAGTAGCCAGACGATAACGGGAAAAAAAGAGACCCAAGATAAAGAAGACAATTAGGAGAGAAGATGCGAGTCGCGAATAATTGCGTTGTTCTGAGACTTGACTCGTTCCGGTAAGGTCCGGTTTGATGCCGGTCAGATGGTGTATTTCTGCATGCTGATTGGACAATCTAGGCTATGTACTGTAATGTCACATCCTCAATGTAATCTATCCTGTTTTGGCGTGGCATTCCCATCCCTGTGGACTTCTCACACCTCTTCTTCTCTGACTTGTCACTGCTCACGTTCTTTGTTGATCTTCCCATCGGGGATATCTTATAGGTCATTTCTGACACTCATCAACCCCGAGAATATGACACTGCAGCTTGTATTAGCCCTCGGCTCAAGATCTCTGAATTGTTTGTTTACTATGGAGTACTATTGATTTCTTCTACCCCGTACATGTTTACGGAGTACTGCAAGTGGATATAGTATGTTATGGCAATCTTTTATCCAGGATGTTCCAATGCACCCACTTCTTGAGACTACCTGGCTTTCATCCCGCTTAATGGAAAGGATCATAATCAACCATGCTCCTAGGACTAAGGAGTAGACATAGAACTAACTATAGATATCTTCCAGTTCTTAGTAGATAGGGGGGCTTAGAGACCTTAGAACGAGGCGCATGATACTCCGTAGTTGTAATCTTCATTCCCCCCTGTCCCTAATCATAGACTGGAATCATTTATCTGATGCATTTTGAAACACTGATTAGAGTCCAGGTGTACTCCGTCGATGAGGCACGTAGCAGACCGTCCCGCTCTCAACGTGGCCGGTACGTACTTTTTTAGTTGCATGATCTCCTGAAACCCCACTCCATACTCAAAAGTTGGGGCCTAGATCGCCAGAGAGAGAACATCTTGCCTATGGCCATGAACAAAAGTAGGGCCAGTACAGTAGTATAAATGCAATGAATTCCAATGGTCAATATAACCGTGCATCAAAGCGCAGTACATGCAGAGGATCCGATTTCCATCCGAATAACCTCGCCCCTCTCCCACCGCCTTTCCACCCCACCAAATCCCAGGCGCTTGGATCCTAGCCTCTCTCCTGTCTCTCATTTGGCTTCTTTCTTCCTTTCTTCCTTCCTTCTTTCTTGTCCACTGTGAAGTCACACCACCCGACTCTCTCGCCAATCTCCAATCTTTGGTTCACTGCCCCACCTATCTAAACAATGGCCGACCAAGCAGACGATCTCGCCGCCACCAGAACCGAGGGGTTCAAGGTCGGAGAGAAGAAGACCATTGACGAGTACAACCAGCTCGGTAGGAAATTTCCGACCTCAGGGTGACCGCCAGTATTCCATTGACCCCAGACTGACATGCATGCATTACCCCACAGACAAGGACGATGAAGCCATGCAGCGCTGGAAGGCCTCGCTCGGCCTGAACGCCGGTGACCCCATCCACGAGCCCAACGACCCTCGCAAGTGTATCATCAAGTCTCTCGCCCTGCAAGTCGAGGGCCGCCAGGACGTGGTCATCGACCTGTCCTCCCCCGGCTCCGTCGAGGATCTTAAGAACAAGCCGTTCCAGATTAAGGAGGGATCCAAGTTCCACATCAAGGCTACCTTCCAGGTCCACCATGAAGTTCTGAGCGGTCTCAAGTACTTGCAGGTCGTCAAGCGCAAGGGAATCCGTGTCAGCAAAGACGAGGAGATGCTGGGCAGCTATGCTCCCAACACCAATGTCAAGCCTCTTTACGAGAAGATCTGTAAGTTGAATCCAAACCTGTCAACATCACAAAGAGACATATGCTTATTGCTATCAGTCAACGAGGAGGAGGCCCCATCAGGCATGATTGCCCGCGGACACTACAACGCCACATCCAAGTTCGTCGATGACGACGACCATACCCACCTGCTGTTTGAATGGGCCTTTGACATTGCCAAGGACTGGTAGACATGATTTATCTCGTTAAATTCTTGAGCGGTTGTTTGTTTTCAAAGCGTGATGAAGCTCCTTCTTTGATAAAACTGTTACAGATGCGTCCTATAAGGCCAGTACCTGGACCCCCCATTACATTGTTTATGCGTCATACCAAATACTATGTGTGAGATGTTTGATTTCAAATGCCAAGTAGTTTGTCTTCTGTATAAGCGCAGCCTACGCCGAACTCCTCTCTAGTGCCTTTGATCGAAAGAAAAAAAAAATCAAAATATTTGGATATGAACAAGAAAATGAAGACATGGGTATCACAAGAAGTAGTCAATCACTGGACTAGGGCCGCCATCCTGGTTCTGCTGGTGCTTGCCGAGCTGCTCCATCCGGTGGGCGTCGTTTTCAGGTGCCGCGTCGAAGATGTTAAAGTAGCGCTCTCCCCGATCGCTGACTTCGAGCACACTGGCCAAATTTCCGCACCGGTAGCAGTAATTAGGCGCACTCCATACTGTGCTTAGGCGATCATCATATAGAACTTGGTATCCCTCTTGACATAGCTGGTGTGCACGTAAAATGTGAGACATGCTGTTCACCTCCAAGAACTTTCGCACAACCTGTGCTCCAAATGTGTAGCCCGCTCCACGGGGAGAGAGGGAAAATTCATCCCGCTCTGTATCAGGATCAGACCAAACCAGGTCAGCCATTGGACCCTCGTGGGGTATCTCGCGGAAACGGTCAATGATCTTTATTTGGTCGATGGAATGGATGGACGGCGAGAGTCCACCGTGCACGCAGAAGATCTCGTTGTTGATCACGACGCTCAGGGTCAAAAAGTCGAACATGTCGGTGAAGTAGTGCCAGACGTTCGCGTCACCGTATTTCCGCGCGCACTCGGTGTAGAAGCCGTAGGACTGTGTGACACCGCGGGATTCGTGGTTCCCGCGGATAAGGTGTACTCGTGAGGGGTATCGTAGCTTAAGGCAAACCAGTAATGAGATGGTCTCAACACTGAAGAGGCCGCGGTCGACGTAGTCGCCTGCGTCTAGTTAGCAACAGTCACACCAAGAGCCACAATTGCTCCCGGGCTCTGCTTCAAAGTGTTTAGATGACATACCAAGGAAGAGATAATTTGTATCAGGGCAATGGCCGCCAATTTTGAATATCTCAATCATATCGAAGAATTGTCCGTGGATGTCACCGACAACCGTTACCGGAGCAGCAATGTGCACCACATTGCTCTCCTTCATCAACAGCTCCTTCGCCTTTGAGCAAATGGCCTCCACCACCGAGTCTGCAAGAAGCTCTTTTCGGTAGAGCCGGGCGATACATTCGTCAAGGTCGATATTGGCTATGAAGCGATAGGGTCAGCAATGTCCCCGCCGATCAAGATCTTATCACGCCGCGGGCTGGGCACATACTGGGAAGACCAGGCATTTTGGCGGGTGGTGGATACAAAGGAATCAGACAAGAGAATCGTACACCGCAGCGTGAGTTGCTATCATATGAAGACGTGCGGTTCGCGAAAAGGCGTGAAGCTCCGAGAGCAGAAAGTGTCGATCAGACGAGTACACAAAACGCTAAACGAGGGTGATGTGATGTCGTAAACGTGCTCGGTCGGGTATCAAATGGAGCTCAAGTATTGTTTCAATTTGACAAGCATTATGAACAGGCGATCCTCGACTGAGGGAAGGGAAGGTCGTTATCGAAGATCCAGGCACCAAATTGCGGGATGAGCTCGGACTGGCGCACCGATGCTCGGCTAGGGCCACACCGCTTTTGGGCCCCTGTTAGTGATCCTATTCAACTTGATCAACTAGTCAACCAACCTAATCAACATGCATAGCAAACGAGAGCAAATAAATCTTTCTTTCTTTTTCTTGCTCAGTGAGAACTTCATGGACGAGCCATCAGTACTACCAATTTAAACAACACAATCTACCCTCGAATCCATTTCCAGGCTTAAACGATTGCGAGATGTGTGATTGGTATAAGAGACCGGAGGAACTTCCAAGATCTGAGATATTCTGATTAACTATACTCTGCATAGTATGCAAGTTTTCAATTTGTCATCTCAAGTGATCTCCGTCAAGGACGGGGGTCCACCTTCAGTTGGTCCCATCGTGAAGTGGCAACCCTTCCATCCTTGATAACGCCCAGAACATGCTCCTCCACTTGATCCAAGATGGTGATATTTTCCAAAGGATTCTCATTTAATACCAACAAATCTGCGACAAATCCTTCACAGACTTGACCCAAGCGATCTTCCTGCATAATCAGACGAGCAGCATTGACCGTGGCACTTCGCAGGATCTGCAACGGCGTCAGAACCGAACTGCGGACCGAGAATTCCTTGCTTTGAGCAAAGTGCATTGGACCGAGAAGATCGGTCCCAAAGCAGACAGTGACACCGGCATCCACTGCCATCTTCATAGCCCTGAGTCCCTTCTCCAGAACCTCATCATTCTTAGCTGCCCCGTCAGCAGGCAGGAAATTCATCTGTTTCGACATGACATGTGCAATGAGTGTCGGCGTCAGGAAAACATCCTTCTCGGCCATCATCTTGGCCGTCTCAAGGTCAACAAGGTTACCGTGTTCGATACCTCGCACACCAAGCTTGATTGCTTGCTGAATAGCCTGTGGTGTATAGCTGTGGCTCGTGACGTATGTTCCCGCGTTCCGCGCAACAGTCACAATAGCCTTGATCTCCTCGTCCGAGAACTGCACATGCTCAATACGATCCGTCGGACTGGCAACGCCACCTCCGCCCATAATCTTGATGAAATCAGCTCCTTGGCGGAGCTCCTCGCGCGCGAACTTGTAGCATTCTGCAGGGCCATCGACGATTCTGCTGATTCCGGACAGCGATCCACCACAGCAGAGCTGGGCATCGTGAGGCCCGCGCATATCGCCATGCCCACCTGTCTGGGAGAGTGCGTAGCCGGCGATGAAAAGACGAGGTCCGGGAATGACACCCTCCTCTACTGCTTCTTTGACAGCTAGGCTTGCGCCGCCACAGTCGCGGATAGAGGTGAATCCGCGGTCGAGCATGGACTTGAGGACGCGTGGTTGGCGCAAAAGACTGATTCGCTCTGACATGTCCTTGTAGGCTCGTAGGTCGGCTTCGCCTGGTACCACGGCGATGTGGACATGGCAGTCGATGAGACCTGGGCATAGGTACTTCCCATTCAAGTCAATGATGGTCTCATCTGCAGTGTTTTCTGCCGGTGTGAAGGAGCCATCTGTAACGACCTGGGTGATTTTGCCTTCAGAGATTCGAACTGTGGCGTTGTTAACCAACTCTCCCTGGACAGGATCGACGATTGTTGCATTCACAAACACCAATGTTCGTTGAGGGTGAAGCTTCCAGGGCTTGATGATTCGGGAGGGATCCATTTTGTGGTTTGATGGAGCTTGAAATCTGGCGATATCGAGGTATAAAAACAACCAAGGACGATATCTGATCAGGCAACCAGATCTTTGAGGTAACACTGCAGGGAAAACTACGTAAGAACGATAAATCCGGAATTTCAAACTGGACGTGGCTTCCGGATACTCCGGATCCCTGAACAACACTGGTGCCCAGCCTCGGCTAATTTGATCTCGACTTTTACGCGGTACAATCCTCAAACAAGGCTCGGGTCGATATGCTCGAAGTGGGGACAGACGATCCAGCCGACACAGCCAGTCAAAAGCCACAGGCACCAGGAACAAAGAGATGCGATTGGCCGGATCGGCAATTAAGCTCATTAGCGAGAGCTTGGCGTTCTGATGATTCCCTCCCCCGCGTTCTTGACAGCAGACGTCTTGATTAGGCATTATGTTGAGAGAAAGCCAAGATATGGGGAATATCCGAGACACTGATACTGGCTGGGCATATCGCTTCGACTATCAACAATGCCCCAAAATCTCCGAGGCTGACGTTGCAAGGGACGTGCTTGGAAGTATAACCCGATGGGTATAAGACACTTGTATCATCGACGGACGAAAAGAGATTGCACCAGAATTCTACCACCAAGAAAACAACTGGTTGTGCTCGCAATGTCTTCCCCCGAGCGTGACTGGGACGAAAAGATGGTGCCTGCTCACACCAACCCTGAACCCAGTCCTCCACCCTCTGACAAACTACCTCTGATGCAAGCAGTCCGCCTCTACCCCAAGATTGTTGGATGTGCATTTGGTCTCGCCCTAGCTTTCCTTCTCACGGGGTACGACACGGTTATCCTCGGAACCATCACGGCAGTGCCATATTTCAAACATGAGTTTGGTGAACTATACAACGGATCATACATCATCCCGGCATCATGGCTATCAGTCTGGAGCGCTATTGGACCAGTGGGGTCGATGGTTGGCGCAGTCAATGCAGGCTGGCTACAAGACCGCATTGGACGTCGCTGGTCACTGGCTTTGAGCTGCTTCGTGTGTGCAGTTGGAATTGCCATCGCTTTTTGTTCCGACCTGCCAACTGAGATAAACTCCAGACGAGGTGCATTTCTCGTCGGTAGGACTGTTCAGGGATGGGGAGTTGGTGGTGCTATGGCCGGTGCCCAGACATATCTTTCCGAGACCGTTCCTACCTGTCTTCGTGGATCAGCGATGGCCCTCTCACCCACCTTCATGCTCCTCGGGGAGCTGATTGGAGCTGCTGTAATCTACGCGTGTGAGAAAAAGACCTCGGCGGCGTCTTACCTGATTCCATTCGGGACACAGTGGATCACCACCATCTTGCCTTTTGTCTTTGTCTGCTTCCTACCCGAAAGCCCGTCATATCTGCTTCGTAAAGGAAATCACGAGGCTGCCCATCGCTCCCTGACATGGTTTCATACTGATCGGGTCGACGTATCTCAGCTGCTTGATCAAATGCGCTTATCTCTTGCGCACGAAGAGGTGCTGTCACGGGAACTGACTTACGCTGATTGCTTCAAAGGCATGAATCGACGGCGGACAATGATTGTGGCTTTCTCTTTTGTTATTCCAAGTTTGTTTGGAGTTCCTCTCCTGGCAAGTGCCAGCTACTTCATGCAGGTTGTTGGGATGGCCTCGAGTCTGAGTATCATTGTGCTGATACTTGGGATCGTTTTGGGCCTTATTGCCAACGGAGTCGGTATCTGGCTCATGAGTCGCTTTGGTAGACGTCCATTGATGCTGAGTACTTTGGCGGTCACTACTGTTATCTGGTTGAGTATGGGAATTGCTGGATGCTGGTCGGGCAAGATTGTCATTTGGTATGCCATGACCTCCCTTTTTCGGTTGAATATTTGGCTAACGCATTTCACAGGTATACAGCGGCTTGTATGATGGCAGTCGTTGTAGTTTGTGGTCTTGGCGCGTGGCCTGCTTCGTATGCAGTCTCGGGCGAGACCTCGTCTCTTCGTCTCCGTGCAAAAACCCAGGGCATTGGTGTTTTGTGCTATATGCTGTCTAACGTTGTTTTCAATCTCATTCTGCCATATATTTATAACACGGATGCGGGTGATCTGAAGGGGAAGACAGGTTTCGTTTATGCAGGCTTGTGCCTGGCGACCTTCGTTATCACATGGCTGATTGTCCCTGAGATGAAGGACCGCACTGCACTCGAAGTTGATACCATGTTTGAGAATGGTCTGCCCTGCGCAGATTTCAAGAGCTGGAAGCCCGAGATATTGCCAGGAAAGGACCAGGATTGAGGAGAGCTCTGGATCTATAGTCATGCACCAGCATATGCAAACTGCAGCTTTCTTAAAACCAGCGCTCAGCAGTATTAAGACACTTTCATATAATTTTTGGATCGGCTGTATGTTCCAAAGGCAGTATTTTCCCCATGTCTTCCATCATTTTAACAGCCTTTTGTGGAACATACTAGGTACCTAGGTAAACAACGCGATGGAGATTACACCAAGATGCCCAGGTGCCTGCTTGTTCAATATTTAGAAAATGGAGTATACATACCACAGCCGTTCGATGACGTTGCAACATTTCAGCCGCAAGACCCTTACGGGACTTGGCATTCCTGAACCCATATAAGCAAAGTGATTTGCCCTGCTTTCTTACCTGCTGCATACACCTGCAGACCTCTCATAATCTGGGACCTCCAAAGTCTCCATATACATCCATTATGCAGATTCATCCCATATACCAATGCATCAACTTGACGAGTAAGTCCCGGAGTCACTAGCAAAATGTCACTCAGTCGACCGTCATTCCAGTTCTGACAAAGAAAAGTGTCTACTCTTGTGGTCACAGTGCCAGGTGCTACAGCCAAAATAAGCATTGTGCTTCTCGGAGGCTTGATTCAACTTCTCATCTGTCAATCCTGGAGACTTGGTTTTTCTTTGCCGCGCCCTATCCAGAGAATAGATGATGCGTGGACGCGCTTCGTTGACAGATATCCTCTACTGTGGTGGCTGGGTTCCACCAGTGTTCCCATCATAGGGACATTTATTGTGCTTAGGATCATGCGAGATGGTCCATTTACAAATCGCAATATTGAGGGCACTCCCATTACCGTGAGTATACGTGACTCGATGGCTGAGACCACGTTTACTGGAGCAGAGTGTGCTATACAGGCAAGCATGCTATCGATGTTTGAAAGGGGCATTGCAGAAGGGTTGGATTTTGTGGTTACAGTTGGTCCGCCCACGAACAGTGCAACCTCCACGCCCGTCATGTAGCCTAGGTAGTAAGGGTCTCCAGGGCTGTCGACAGCATTGTTACCGGGAGATATCTATACGTACCTTCAGGTAATACAGGAGCTCTGAGCACATTGATGTGATATCTATGCGCATCAGCTAGCTAGAAAATAAGGATGTTAGCGAAATACCCAGGTGTACGCAGAAAAATTATATTTAAAACTGAATAGAGATATAGACATAGAGATTGATAGGATTCCAAGGCTGAACTAGGTAATGGCAACATAAAGCAGGCTACGGATTGCCCAAGAGATACAGCTCAGAGTAGCGGACTTTCTTTTGATTATGCGCCTTTGCCCAATTGAATAGAAAAGCACAAATGAAAAGAAGTAGAATGATAAAGGCGGTGATTAGAGGTCCGAATATGGAGAACACAGTGAAGCCATAAGACGCAGATTGAAATGCCTTGTTGTGTTCCAGGGCGTTGGTCGCAAGCCCAACCTGCATGGCACTCAATACGACAGCAATGTAAAGGGTTCCGCTAGCTAGCCAAGTAAAGTGGTCGTGGAAGAAAGCACTATACTGATTCCATCGAGCCATATATCCGCGCAGAGGTGTTTGGTAAAGAGCGTATATCTTGTTTAAGCGACTCAAGCGTAACTCGCCGTGGATGAAGCGGTGGTCAATGTAGGGGTATATATTTTGCGTATCTAGCTGATCGACGAGTATACGCCAGGCGGGCCATTCTACCTCTTTGGGCAGCAGATGTTTGTCTTTGGCGATGAAGAAATCGCTCTCATGAGAGAGCAGTGCAGCGTAAGAGAAGAGGAAGCCAAGCGCTCGTCGTCGAAGTACTCTACGTTTGCATTCTTGTTGAGTGACAGCAAATCCTTCCCCTTCGATAGAGCATTTGCACTGCGGCTCACAACTGAGATATTCAACCCAGAATTCCGAATTTAAGAGAAAGCGTGGGAGGGGTTTGAGGAAAATCCGGCCCGTCATCCATACTAGATGCATGTCCATCTGCTCTGTGATGCATATTTGCCGGCCTAACAAGAGCTGATGGTGTAGTGCGCGTGGCGGTAAAGGTAAACCAGCTATCCAGAGCCACTTTTGAACACGGGCGAGTCTGTCTAAATTGAGCTCTTTCTCAACGCAGGCAGAAATGTTGTGAGCTGCAGGTACCAAGTTACCGAGCTCTCCGCGGTGTAACGCAGGCAAGAGAGACGAGAGCTGGTCAGGGCTGTCTTGGAATGACTTGTTATCGGTGGAGCTTCCATGATCGAGGATCCGAATCGAGAATGGAGGAATCTGTAATGAGAATTGTTAGCTCAGATATTTTCAGCCGCAGAAGATACGAATGAATCATACCTGAAATCTTGTTCTTCTCATTCTGGGCTTCTTGGGAGGAACCTCAACCAGTCCAGGTAATGACTAGCGTAGCCCTGAAAATCACTTGAACAACAGGCGCTTTCGGTAGCAAATTGGTCTCAATGAGTGGGAGTCGAAGCAGAAAAGAAGGTCTTTTTCTGGAACCAATATGCCTGTTTCAAACTAGTATGTGGCTAAAAGACAATTTGACCCAGCCTTGCGCGGGTACTCGCAGTGACGCAAAATCGACGAGTCAAAGGGAGCCAGTGATTGAGCTAGGGGACAGAGTTATTACGGAATACGGAGTATTTTCCACATTGACAATCGTTCAAGGGTACCTACAATCTGTTTGGACAACGGACCAGCTCGATTGGTTACATCCCAGGAGCACTTAGAGCACAAAGATAGGGCTTGTTTTTTGACGGTCTGCAGCAGTCACATACTCGTACCACAACGTGATTCTACGTACAGATTAGCTAGAGTAGGACTATATTCTCTCTTGACATTCTACGAGCACGGAGTAATTGTCTGTTTTTTTTTTTTTTTTTTTTCGCAGCCCCCTCTCCGCTGGGGGGTTCTGTACCGTACATCTACACCCGGGCAAAATTACAGGCAAACGGAGTACACAGCGTGGGAATACATTTGCTAATTGGCCCAGGACAGGCCTGTGGGTCTTACGGTCAAGTATTTTTAGGACATGCGTATGGATTTGTATGAGTGTTTGCAGATCCTTGGGGTTTGCACAGAAGCAATTATGTATAGTTGCCTCACGCCAAGACCTTGGGGTACAATGAGCACGTCAACCCATGGATGCAATTGGATAGCCACCGGCCTCATACCGAGGTCTGTAAGAACTCCAGCCCCAAAATCCACATTTATTGTAGGATGTGTCACTTTCTGGGGTTACGGAGTACATAGACCAGAGCAGCTGAATTGTGATTTGTTATGGGGCACCAGGCTGTGAAACACCCAGGAACGCCCCAGAGCCTCAGGAGCGAGCAGGTAGTACGGAGTACTCCGTATGAGGCACTTGATCGAATGTATACTGCTTCTCCTTGATCAACTCCATCAATTGTCTAGAAGCTCTCACATCGTCATACCAGCCATGGTCTCACAGAGAGACATACTCATTGCGAAAATTTTCGCAGGTGTAGTGTCACTGCTCGTCTCCTCATTCCTCATCTTCAAGTTAGTGCGCGCACGATCACGCAGGAAAGCCAAGGAGGCCTCGCGGAAGCTTCCTCCAAAGAAGATCCCAGGAAAGCAGGCTCCTCAGAAGAGAGGCCCTCTCAGCAAGGTCCCCGGAAGGAGAGCATCCAGCGCAGAGATCAAGAAATGGTACCGAGGGGCGATAGACAAGATTGTCACTGCGCGTCTCCAGCGAGAATGCAGCACTACGTCGGGCGAGCCAGTTTTCTTGTCCCATTATATCAGCCAGGGTCAATTCCGTCATTGGGTTCTACATGTTTATGGCCACAAGTATGAGCTACGTCAGGTGGCAAACAGTGACTTTGACTCTCAAAAAAGTTACGAGGCAGTCATTGCTCCGTCCGGATTCAATCTCGAAGAATACCGACGATCGGTCACTGTACACTACTCTCCCGAAGTTGGCAATTATTTCTACAGCATGATAGGCTGGACCAAACTTTCCAAAGAGGAGGTTGATCATAAATGCCGTCGGGTCTCAGGAAACTTCGGAGGCTACGCTCTTTTAACGAACAACTGTCACGACTTCCTTCAGCGCCTTGCAAATCTCATTGTCACCACTAAAGCACCGGATTGGAAATGGTTTCGCCGTCATGCCGTTGGCGGATATCAGTATATGGAGCAACCGCCTCTTGGGTACGGTGTCATAAGCGCTGTGACGTGGTCGAAGCAGCTGGAAGAGACGAAGCATTATCTTGGTACGGATGAGCAAAAGAAGATAAATGACTTTATCATTGTACTCGACCACCAGGTCGAATCCGATTTAAAGCGGACAATAGGGTTTGTGATTATCGGCACAGCGGCTCCGACTATCGTCTATGATAAGGTTGTCGGCGATGGACAAGACGACATTGGGGAAATTGATGGTAATGGAAATCACGACAGTGGTGGCGGAGATGGCGGCAACGTTGGATGGGCATGTTAGCTCGGCATCATCAACATAGACTCGAGGAGTTGGTTTAATGGCAAGATTCGAAAGTGCCTAGTGACCTAGATAGACTCCGATGCCTGAGTTCTTGCCTGATCATACCTTGAATCTCTTTTTTTTTTGTTTTATGGTACTATTCCAGTCGTGTCTAGACACAAAGGCGAATTATCATACGAATGAACAAGTCGAAGACTGGCAGATGAAGCGATCAATGCTCTGGGTGTGCAAGAAGGCGAAATGAGATAAATGAGCATCAAGAAACACTGGAATTTCTACTCTCTCCCAATCAAAAGGGATATGCATCGATACTAACTCGGTTGAAGGCATATCTCCTGTCCAAATAGACTGTGCCAATGGCCAAGCCCTCTCCCAGTGACCCATATCATTGCTCAAGGCCGAAGTCCTCAGCCTTGTTCACTTGGTCAAGACACAGACTAGGGTCCACCAACGAGTCGTCTTCCCTTCCCGCATCTTGGTGGTCGGATTGTCCCTGATCTTGAGCCAAGCTTTCCTCGGTCTCATTCTTGGTCTGTGTGTTTTCGAAATGGATCCAGCTTTCCATCAACGCCAACCGTGCATCAACTTGGTCATACTCCCTGCGCAGGGCACGTATCTCCCGGATGATCAATTCAAGAACCTCCGGCGTGCCACATTCGTGTGCTTTCTCCCTAATCTTCTCGATCTTCTCCTCAATACTGGTGGTTTGAGACGCTGCCATTTCGGAGGCCGTGGTTGTCTCAATTGACAGCTGGGCTTGGGCTTGCCTGGCAACAACAGACGCAAAGTCGAGATTGGACTGCACATTCACGGTTAGCTGAGTTTCTTGAACAGCAGGATTCCAGTGCGTCAAGATGTAGATGCTTGCCTGCGAAGAAGCAGAGGATTCTGGTGGGGTCAAGTTCACCTCACCAAGGCCGCGTCGCTTCCGCTGGCGTTTCGGTCTGCCCTCAGTGCCCTGGATTTCTTCTGAGCGACTCTCGCGAGAGATCATTTTGGTACTTTTTCTAGCCATCGATGTGAGACTGGAGATTGGGCTAGCTTTGACGAGTTGAGAAAGAGTTGTTTTGAGGGAGCTTGGAGGAGGCAAGATGTCAGTTTGGACAAGAAAGGAAGGAGGGTAGTGGGCTGGCTTTGGTGCTTTTCAGTACATCGCGTCGGATCTTTCGACACTCAAGGTCTTGATCTTTTCGTTTTGTTTAGTCTTGTTCATGTATTGGCATATGATTTCATTGTCTCGTTTTCAATATTGTGAACATACACTCTATATCAGTTGCTACTTGACATAGCATTATCATATGTTTGTCTGAGACCAGACTCAACCAAGTAACTGCCGGGCCTCTTTATTCACAGCTTCTGTTTCAGAGTCTGTTTCTTCTTCGTAGTCCTCTTCAGATCCAGATTCGCCAGACTCTTCATCTGAGTCTGTTTCCTCCTCAGAATCGGTTTCTTCTTCGGACCCCGATTCGGACTCTGTCTCAGTTTCTTCCTCTTCCTCTTCTTCCTGGAGCCACTGGTCAAGGGTCTTCTTTCCAGCTGGATCGACACCGATCGAGGCACCATTGCGATTGCGATTCGGCATAACCGTTGACTGGTGCTCGCGTAGCGCTCGGTCAAGACGATCACCTGCGGTCGATGTTGTTGTGGTGGATGATATATCGGGTTTTGTTTCATCGATGCGGAGACTAGGATCGGGCTCCTGGCCGGGCACCACCCAATCTGGCAAGTTGCTATAGCCTGGTAGGCCGAGGTATCCTGCTTCCGGGCCCACGACTAGCGTGGCAGATCCAATGAGGAGATCCTTGCGTGTCTCAGATGGGCTTGGAGCATGGGGGACGGGTTTGGGTGCGAGGAGGAGAAGGTTGGCGAGCTGTACAGACGAAGGCGTTTCTAAGAGGTTTTTGTAAAGGCGGGCGCGATCGCGAAGGTCATAAGATGTGTCATAGCGCGCGAGAAGGAGTATGTACCGCCACAGGAGGGTGATTCGGTCTTCCGTTTCTTCTTCCTTTGCTTCTGGTTGCTCGGATTCCCCTTCCCCTTCTTTGGCAGACTGGTCGGCATTCTCTTGGCCCTCGTCTTCGTTATCAGCCCATTCGTTTGGATACTCTTTAGTGGGCTTTTCGGCTGTTTCTGTCGGCGCAGGTGCTTCTGGCTTCTCCTTTGGTGGGTTCTGCAACAGGTGATGGAGGTACACCTTAGCACCCAGAAGCACGATCTGCTGCTTGACTATTTCCGTCTCATCTGCGAATCCCTTGATCAATATCCGCAGCACGTCAGGCGCGATATTGTTCTCTGGTTCAACGCCGGCGAATTCGCCGATGAGCCAGATGATAGTAGCTCGTGCGTCTGGATGAGTTGTTGTACCAAGGTTCTTAACAAGCTGTAAGACTGTGCTCTTATGCGAGGTTTGGTCTTGTTGAATCAAGTGACGAATGACGGTCAATGATTCTGAGACAAGGTTACCGTCCAAGCTGGAGATCTGCCCCAGCAAAATGCGCAAGCACATGTCTGCGGTGCTTGTATCCCCTTGCGCACAACGACCGATGGCCCGGACGCTCTCTCGCACTAGCTCAGGGTCTGTACCCTTGGAGAAGTGCTCTAGCTCGCTGATTATCACACCCTTCCAGTGCTTTCCGCAATGCGGGAACAGAATCGTCAGGACCTCCAATTTGAGGCGCCATATGTGTGGCGGGTCATTAGCGTGGACGAGGAAGTGCGCGGTGTATTTGGCGAATGGCTTGGGAATTCTCATGGCCACGGCAACAATGTTGAACAACGCGATGTGCTGCATGTCTTGCGGAGTCCGCATGAGCGCCACAAGTGGTCCAACTGCTTCGGCAATGTAATCGGGCGAAGCAAGGTACAGATAACAACGAACAACGCTAACAATGACTGCCGAGTTTCGGCTCTGCAATAGAGGTTTGCAGGCTCGAAGTAGGAGCTCAAGGTCAGGATCTGTCACCTGCACTTCATACTCCTCGCTGGTGTCCTGGCTTGCCTGTTCATTTTTCTCGTCGTCGTAGAACGCCACAGGTGCTGATGATTTGACCTTTTGAGTCCGGCGGGGGAAGCATTTACGCGCATAGAATGTTAGCAAGCGGAGAGTCGCCAGCTGACCCCATTCATCCATATCAGCCAGCTTCTTGACGAGACTGCGATATGGCTTGTGAATCAGGTCCAGCTCGTCGGGGCAAAGATCCAGGAACGCCGCCACTGCGGGGCCAACAACAAAGTACTGGGAGTCGCCTAGTAGAGTTGACAGATACCCCGTGAGCTGTGGCAGCGTATTCGGATCTAGACGGTAGCACTTCGGGATAGCCAACGCAGCAGCCTTGCGAACATGCGGGCTCATATCTCCACAGCCCCTCTTGATAGCCAGTGACACGATTTGGCTGATCACCGGAACCCGAATCCCAGACATGGTGCGGAGGGCCATGACTCGCACCTGCGGGTTCGAGTCAGTCAGCGACTTCTGAATCGCGTTAATGGACAGCAGCGCCAAGTCCGGTTCGGCCTCCGCATGATGAACCAAGTAAATGTAGACCAGTTTCTTGACTTCGAGACTGGCGCTAGCGACATTCTTAACGACGGCCGAAAAGAACGTGAGAGAGGGTTCGGAGCGGTACATCAACTGTTGCGAATTGGGTCAGCCATTGAGATCTCTTATGGTGCTTAAACGCGGTCCTACCGAAATGACCCTCCGCATTCCATCCAGGACCTCCCGCTCATGGCGGCTGTCAAGAAGCTTCTTGATGTGTGCGGGAGTATATGTTTTCGAAGTATAGTCGGTACTTGAGGTTCGGTTGATAGCAGCGGACTGGGCAGCCTCCAACGTGAGCTCTCGAGCTGTAGCAGTCACGCGCGATGGTCAGTTCCGGCCAGATGGAGCACACCGCAACCCATTTGGGACCTGCATACCTGTTTCCAGCATCGAGGATATCCTGGAAATCGTTTCCATGTTTCCAGTTGCAGAGGACCCAGTCCAACGTTGAGTCGGGGGTGTAATGTGGGTGTGAGGAGGGGGAGGAAAGGCGGAGCTGCTCCGCGGAAGTGAAGTGGATGATGCCGCAATTTCGCCCGCCTTCGATTTGCACCGTCCGGTTCTTTCCCAGTCACAAATGTTCAACGCCGATTCTCTACAAGTTCTTTACAAGCGAAAAGTAATGAGCTGAAAATGAAATAATCTATTTGGGCCCGTGATACCAAAGAGGCCACAGGAGCCACAGCAATGGCATCCGAAGTGACGAGTCCAACGCGAATGATCGCTCACTGCGATGTGCTGCCCGATCTCCTGCAGCAACTTCTTGAGAATGATTCAAACACACAGCTGATTGTTTGCGCCACCAAGTCCGAGTTCTTGGTGCGCCTCACGGCAGCAATGCGCAAGCAACGAGCTGATCCAGAGACTCCCATGGGCCATGATCTGCTTACAAAAACGATCGGGCTTCTCGCAAGATCCAGCAACATCAAGCTGGCGTTCTGTCCGACCCTAGAGAGCCTGCGGGCGCATATTGCGGTGTTGAAAGCCACCACGGACGAAACAGGATCCCACAACAGGCAGCTACTTGCAATCCTTGACATGGTAACCATGCATAGCACGACTTCGGAATTCTCGGCACAGGGGCTCTCGAGAACGCTTGCCTCTGCTGTCGAATCCGCCTATCGGGCGGGTATGGATCTCAGGCTCTATGAGTGTGAGAACGCCCTAGATCCCGAGAGTGATGTGTGCGGAAGAAAACTATGGGATATGAGTGTCCCTTTACTGAATGGGTCAGTTCGAATGCGAGGAGACGAGACCAACTGGGGTGCACGAGGCGTTTCCGTGAGACGGATTGTCGAGCGCTGGTTTGAGTTCGATCAGAGCCATTAAATGATGAACCAAATGATGAGCTCAATGCTGAAATCAAACATGCTTATTGCAAAAGAAAATAAAACTCCTGGTAATGAATATGGCTGCCCGGGTATCCTATAGCTGAACACTGAACTCCTTTTTGCACATAATAAAAACCCATATATCACAGAGACTTCTCCATCTCTGTCATGTACAGTTTGATGTGTGACTCCAGCTTCAGATACTGGTCGTGAGCTGACTGAATCTCGCTCTCGATGTTTTCTTTGAGGTCGGCCATCTGAGGATGGATGTCAGTAACCTAATATGCTTGTGTCATGGCTGGCCAAAACATACCTTCTTCTCTGTCTGTTCAATGCGAATGCGCCTACGCTCCATATCGCGTTGCTTCTCAGCGCGCTCTTCGCGAAGATGCTTCTGGACGTTGCGGAGCTCTTCCATGCGTGCCTGCGCAACCTCCGCTTTCTCTTGCGCATTCTTCTGAAGTGCCTCGATACGCTCAACCCAACGCGCCAATTGACGCTGCAGGAGCTTCTCGGTCTGCTCGACTTCGCGAACACTATTTCCCCTATCAGATATAGCCTCCGTTGTCCTGGCAGCCCGTGATTCTTCCTCGTCTTCCTTTTGTATCTCAGCTGCAATATCATCCAGTAGCTTGACACAAGCCTGCACGTCGTTGGAAACGACGGTAAAGGTGTCTGAGGAGGTCTGGAGCGCCCGCGCTCGTCTTTCCATCACATCAATGGAGCTCTTCTCGCGCATCAGATGTTCAGACAACTCGGCTAAAGATGACTGAAGAGTTGCTGGTGATTCAAGAACGTAAGGTCGCAGTTTCTCTGCTTCTTGTCGTGAGCGCACGGTTCGCTCTGTCTTCTCCTCCAACTGTTGCTGTCGACGAGCTCTTTCTGTCTTGACTCGGTCGAGTGTCTCTGCGACCCGTGACTGCTCTCGGCCAAGCTCTAGTAACCGAGCCTTAAGCGCATCATTCCGCGAAACTTTCTCCCTCACGTGCGCTTCATTGGATTGAAGATCTTGTCGCATCTCGCTCAGTCGGAGCTCCATTTCCTGATTTTCCGCGAGTAGCTCATCGATGCGCGATTTTGTCTTTTCGGTTTTGTTGAAGTGTTCGTCGATAACAGGGGTTTGCGATTCTCGGAAGCGAACGAAGTTGATCAGGTAGGAAAATATCTTAACAAGTCGTTCATGCGTTGGTTTGGTCAGATCGGTAAAAGTGAAATCATTGACACCACACTATGCGATACCAAGTCTGTCAGTCTCATAACATTTCGGGGCTTCGGGGCAGCTTGTCGATACCTCTGCCAGTAGCTTGCGGAGCATCATGAAGAAACCCATGAGATTGCGGGTGTCATTGGGGACAATGTCGGGATAATCGCCGCATATTTCTTCAGCGGCAGCATGCATTGCAGGCTCTACTGTCTCTTTTGTGGTGTTCATGAGCAGCTCCGCGAACCATTCGAAGACCATCTGGATCTGCTGGGCGTTGGGCTTCGCCAAGTCGGCCAAGGTGAACGGAATACCGATGTCGTTGATACATCCTGCGATCTCTTTGTCGGGCTTCCAATTATTAGAATGGGCTGGTGAGCTTGGATCAAACGTAAACTCACCAAGCGCATAAGAGCGTCGTTCTCATCTTCCTTCTTGCGACCACGACCCTGGTGTTGGTTGCCTTGGAATTGCGAACTCATGCGACTATTGTAACCCATCGCGACAGAGTTGCGCGACATATTATCGTGTAAGCCTGTCAATCAGGTAAGGGGTTCGGTCGCAAAGTGGGTGGGCTAAGTGTTGTGGTTTAAGTTGATTGTTTACTTGGAGACGAGCCCGCACGCCGCCCGATCGGGATTAGCGTCTTGCTGGAGGGGCATTGAACAAACAGGACAAACACAGAATTCATGACTCTTTCTTTCATTCACATTGCTCGCAACTTCGCAACTTCGACGTTCAATCAGCATGGCTTCTACCACTTCAGGCACGGCGGCAGCCGGTGCCGAACCTTTCGAGTAAGTTTGATTAGGTCTACCAATGCTTTGGCGTCAACTCACCATGTTCAGCATTGTCGCGACTTACAATGAGCTCCTCCGCTCCGACCCCGACCTTACGATGCCTATCGCAGCCATTGAAGCTCTGGTCCTACTTCTCACACAGTCTGTCTCTTCTACGATATCAGAAACCATGGATCTGCTCGAGAAGTCCACCACCCACCTCAAAAAATCCATTCCCAACCCCATCGGTCTCTCCGCCGGAACCGATCTCTTCCAGCGATACCTGATCACCACACTACAGCGCCCTGGTCTATTGGGACCCGCGGGTGACTTCAAGGCTATCCGCACCCATCTTTTGACGAATGGACGTTTGTTCATTCGCCGTGCGAAGGAAAGCCGACACAAGATCGCAGAATTCGGACGTGGTTTCATTCGCGACGGTTGCACTATCCTCACAAACGGTGGCTCTCGAGTTGTCGCCGCACTCCTTCAGCAAGCGGCAGATGAGGAAGGTGGACCTTCTGCGGTGCGATTCCGAGTTATCTATGTTTTATCCTCAACTGCCAAGGACTGCGATCATCCCAATGAAGAGCCAGAGGGTATGGAGACTGTACGAGCTCTGAGAGAGAAGGGTGTCCCAGTCTCAACGATCCCCGAGTCTGCCGTCGCATACTCCCTCGGCAAGGCCGACATGGTCATTGTGGGTGCTGAGGGTGTGGTGGAGAATGGAGGTATCGTTTCTCGCATGGGAACCTACCAGATTGGAATCCTTGCCAAAGCTATCGGAAAGCCCTTCTACGTGGTTGCTGAGAGCCACAAGTTCGTTCGTCTGTACCCCCTCGGACAGTACGATCTACCGATCAAACAGCGCGTCATCGAGTTCAAATCCGAGGAAGATATCGCAGAGGAGAATAAGCAATCATCCCCCACTGCAAGCACCAATGGTGACAATCAGATTGAGCTACCGCTCTGTCACTCCGTTGATTTCACTCCACCCCATTTGATCTCGGCCCTGATCACGGACAGTGGTGTTCTGACACCCAGTGCAGTCAGTGAAGAGCTGATTAAGATCTGGTTCTGAACAAAAAAAGAATAATGAAAGTTATGCGAGAGCTTGTATCAACCACTCGCTTTGCCAGAACTCACCAAAGCATGGGTGGAAACCACGCGAATGAATGGCAGGATAGGTTTGACGCGGCGCTCGTCTCCCTGCTACACTTCACATGAATTCCCAAGTCATTCAAAGCAAATCACAAGGGACTACGTCCAGATTTGCACCCGGTGCGGGCATCCCCTAGTGGTTCCCAATGTGTATCACCATAGGTTGCAGAAGCGTGGGCAGGTCAGGCTCCTTCTCATCCCTTCTCTAATGCCTCGATACGAATATGGAATGAATGTTGATGATGCTTTTTCCCTCTAACTGAGACTTGCTAGAGCTCTTAAAAAAAAAGTGATTCCCAAGTTTCTTGTTGGGCAAAAGGACAATCTTAGTCCCTGGCGCCATGGTATCAAACGCCATCCATCAAAGTCATGCAATCGTTGTCATCAATGAACATGTAAAGAACAGGTATCGTGGACAGCTAGAAAAAGCTTCTGCTCCCTCCTTCCTCGGCCTCCCACCTCATAGTCATGATCGTAGTCGTGAATCGTGAGTCATAAATCGTTGATTGGGCATTGACAGCCCAGAACCAAGTAGCCAATCGAGTCGCGCTACAGCTGAATCTTCTGACCGCAATTCGATCTCAAATTCGAAGATAGCAGCCCCGGCCCCCCATATTCGCTCCGTAGCATTGTGCGCCGCTTAATTGGCAATACGGTCTGTCACAAGGCCTTGGCATTCGCGACTTGATATGGCAAATGCATAGAGCAACAAGTATCCAAGTGCCACGAATAGCCACAAGGGCACCATTTTGATATCCCAGAAATTTCGACGATGGTCGAGTGTGATGTCCAGGCGGTAGAGCTCGGAGGCAGACGACTAGGAAATAGTCGGTGTGAAAAGTGTGGAATAGGGCCCCAGAGGATACTTGTAGGCCCCAAAAGTGGATGCTTCAGACAATACTATGTCTTACTATGTGTCTAGAAAGAAGAGAAGATGTGGGACTCTTATCTTGGGGTCCCATGTGTTTTTTTTTTTTTTTTTTTTTCAGACATTGTGATCCCAACCAGACCGACATTAGGGCATTCTAGATTTTCTGAGCTTCCGAATTGTTCCATCCAATACGAAATACGAGCGGGTTTTTTTCATCTTTCATTTAGCGTGGGAGATGCGGGGTTTGGGGGAATATTCTACGGCTGCATTTCACAGGACGGTTTTTTTCAGACGGTGAGAGATGTCCAAGTGGTTTATGTTACGTGACTTGTTCGAGTCACTCGCGTGTATGGGGGGTTGGCAATGTATTCCGCCAATGAAGACGGGCTTAAAGGCAAGGCAGTCGACAGGTTGACTTTGGTTTTCAGATGCATCGGGATAGAGTTCAATATATATCGAGCCCATTATACTTTAAATCCATCACGCGGTGTGTTTATGCATTTTAGTCTTAGATATAGTTCCGAGAAGTGATACGTTCTTGGGAAGTTCTCACATGCGACCCGTGGACCCTGTTGTAGTTGATACATAAGGTTTCTTCTAGACGAACTTGCTGGTGTGCAGAATACCATGCAATGTCCAGGGTAGACACGCCGGATGAGCAGACCCTTAAGGCATACAAAAACAAGATAATCACCAGGGGTCAAATAATTATGACATATTACAGTGGACTACAGGCCTCGGGAGTACATGGCCGCCATGTCACTTGATCGAAAGAGAGTGTCTAAGCCGCGTTATCAGCTGCGCCTGGAACAGCCGGATGAAGGTGGAAACAGCCAACTAGATCCAACCCCAGGATGCTCAGATGTAGATCTATTCAACAACCCCAAGTCTGCCATGTAAATTATACCATTAACACATTAGAGAAAAGAAAAAAAAAGAGACCATTTTGTTAAAGAAGAAAAAGACGATCAGCAAAGACGAGTTCTCCCACGCCCCACAAGGACCAACCCCGCTCTCTGATCCCTGACCAAACCATCAACACTTCCATCTCCAAAGCAAACAAGGCACTCTTCAAACGCCTGCCACCAACTCAGTCATTCCAAGTTCACCCTCCAGCCACCCCCGCCGCAACGCCACTGTCGCAATGGATGCCCAACGACCAACCGACCAGTCTCAGAAACTCCGCCTCGATCCTACGGACGCGCAGCGTCCACCTGACTCCCACTGCCATGGATGGTCTATCCGGCGTCTTCTGAGCAGACGCGGGAGTCGCAGATACAGCGTTTTGGAACGGCAGCCTAATCGCCTGAGGAAGCGTATCAGCCACTGAGGCTATGCGATCTCTCTACGAGTCCACTGTACCTTTGTTACTCCGTGCCATGGGATAGGTCAGATAGACAGGGATCCGCTCATGCCGTGGTGTATGTTGACCGTTTTTTTTCTTTCTATTCTTCTTTCTTTCTTTCTTTCTTTGCTGCGGGTTCACATGGAATGCGAGGTGTATTGTTGGCGTTTGCTTAGCTTAGAGTTGGATACGGGCGTTTTGGGGGAAGTGGGGAATTTGAACCAACGGTTGTTCCTATGTCTCAATTTGATTTTATTTTCATCTTTTTATTTGGGGCAGCAGTGAAGTGTCCAGATTATGGCTATTGGTGTTTCCATCCAATTCGGCAAGTTGCGGTGCGATTGCCTTCGTGGCGAATCGTTAATGGCTTGGAGGCGTTGCCACAATTCCAGGGTTGTCGGATGGTCACTGCCTGGTGGAAATTGCATTTCATTGAAATGTAAAGTCAATTATTTTTGGTAATTTTTGCAATGTTGAGTAAGGTGTTCTGTACGGAGTATCGGGCCTACAATATTGTTGACTGCCAGATGCCGATCGGGAGACCCGCATTGTGTCAAATCGAGAGCTCAGGATTACTTCATACAATAATCCAGGCTATACATATACAATGTACTATTTCATTGTGGCGGATGCCAGCTCCTTGCTGATTTAGTGGCTCAATCCCTGCCAAAGCAAATCGGCTTCACTCACTACGGGAATCTGACTAGGCCAAATGCTCCGCTTTTTTGAGAATGCTATTTCTGTTGAGTCAGAGGGGTTCCGATGTACCTGCCGGTTGAGAACCACGGTTTGAACCCAGCTAAGACTGGCCAGGCGATGCATAGTCCGATTGCTATGAGATCGAGAGGATGAAACAAGGGAGTCAGATGATCTGAGACCATGAGAACATTGGAACATTGGAACGAGGAGAGACTAGGGCAAAGGCTAGGGTGGAAGGCAAGGGTTGTATGTAAACAGGACGGATCTTATCTGGTGCGACTTGGATCAAACCAAATAGTGCTGACACCTTGCACAGTTCGTTGGATTTTCAATGGGGATAAATATAGCATGGTAGGGGTTGCTATGTTTTGGGTAGCCCTAGCCTGGCGGAGAGCCGACCAAAAAAGGAATCCAATCATAATACATTGTGGATGTGGAAGGGGAATTGGGGGGATGACCATTATGTACTCGCCATAACTAACTATAGAGAGAAAGGGTAGGATGGCTTCGGAGTAAGGATGAAGATTTGTAGGGAGCATATAGGCGAATACTACAGTATCGGAAATCAAAATCCAGCACACTAAGACAGGACCCATGGCCCCAATGTTCGGCGAATTTCGCCGATCCTTACCAGAAATACGAAAGATATTCACCTCGGCCTGACCAGATAGAATTTCAATAGCGCGATCAGAGATAGATGAGATATTAGAGTAAATAGAGTAAAGTGTTCTCCGTACTTGGATGCCCAAGTGGAAATTCCCGAGCCTGCGTAAGATAGACTCCATTCCCGCGTGTCAACCAAGGGACCAAAGGGCCGGTCCCCACCGGGCGTTTAAACGGTGTCTTGGCTTGCGGGCACGAGGACAAGGGTACTTGCATAAGTCTGCAGCGATCCGTTGCACAGAATTTCGTTTTCATTTCCGAGTGCTGAGAAAGTGTGAAAGTATACACTCCAGATGGTTCACAAAATTCAGTGAGAAAGAGGGAAAGGGATACACTGTTGTGCTATCGACGTCATTCTGGAGTCTGCTAAGTGGATATCCCCCACAGTGAAAGTGCCAATTTCCAATAAAGAGGAGTCTAGACACCCGATTTTCCCCTGGCGTGTGACGAGAAGCACTCGTGTTAACTAGCGAGATCGTGCATATAGAGGGTCAGGTACCAGGTACCCGTGCGGCTACTGTACAATACAATATAGAGAGGATGTGAGGATGTGAGGATGTGAAGTATTTCAAAGTGTATACAGAGTAGAAGAAAAGAATGGTACAGTACAGAAATAGAAACGGGAAACAGTACCTGACCCAAACAAAAGACGAAGAAAGGAATGCCAAGACCATATTTGGGGAAAAACCAAAACAAAAAAAAAGGGAAAAAAAGAAAAAGGTCTGGACTGTGTATGAATTGCAATGTACGGTATTTTCACGTTTTTTTCGCTTTACCTTTTCCCTACCTTTTCTGTGTGTTTGACTCTTCTCTTTCATTTTATTTCTTTCCATTCTCTCTTTCTCTCAATGTTCTCACTTTGACTCTCATTAAACCTCCATGACTCCAATCCCGTTGCGGAACTGATACTGATACCCGTGGGTCACCATGGCGATATGGCCATTTGGTCGCAAGAGCAAGCGGCACACCATCCAAGTGACGGGTGCCGAAGCTACTGATCTCCAATCGTCCTTGGCTCAAGATCCCACAATCGAGCCAACCTTGGGTCGCAAACCTTCAAAACGCCATCGCTCCTCGCGAGAAGAAAGCCGACGCAGTTCGGCCCTCGTGCCCTCTAACCGACCTATCTCATCCCTCGACCGCCCTGCCTCCCTGGCCGAGCACCCCCCGCGCGAATGTCCTCCCTCGAGAACTGGATCCCTCCTGCGGCGGAAACCCAGTCAGAACAATGGCCCTAATAAACTCCGTCGTAGGCTGAGCAAGCGCAAGGCCAACGAAATTATGCGAGAGCGAGAAATCCGAATGCTCTCTTCCACCCCAATCGACATCCCGCACCGCCAGGTGCCAGGCAACGGAGATTATGTACCGGATCATCGACGTCGCAAGGCCAACGGGCGACGTACCGACCGGTACATGTCTGACATCAGCCTCTCCATACGGGACTCCGCCGCCTCCTCCGCATCTGACATGTCCGACCCTTACACTTACAAAGTCAACGCTTTCGCTGCCCTGACTCCACGCCCAGTGGTTCGCTACGTGGAAGCACCTCGACTGCAAACCGCCAGAAGCAACAACCCGCCCTCTACCCGACAGGACAAGGAGAGGCTCGCCGCTTTGACTCGATCGGAGGAGGATCTCTATTACTCAAGACGACGAGTGAATGAACTCGCGGACTCGTTGGACGCTGGGGCTCTACGAGAGTTATTGGAGCGAGACCGCCGCCGTCGCGAGAAGAAGCAGATCGACGACCAAGAAAAGCTGCGCCGTAAGCTGCAGGAGAGAGCCGATGCTGAACAGGCGCGCCACGAGCAAGCCCAGGTTCCCCCAGAACACGAGCCCAAACCCGCCCAACCGGAGCCGTCCATCGCGGACACAGATCCCTCCATCACCGAGCCTGAACCGTCTGTAGCCGAGCCACCCGTTCCAGAAAGCCAGGATATCCCCATGGAAGACGACGTTATTCTTGAAGTCGAGGAACCGACACCCGTTCCACATGATCATGGGTCGTGGCTGCGGGGAGAATCCAAGGGGAGCGACAACGTGCGCGCATCACTGGAGAGTTCTCGAGTGATCGGAAACATTGACGACAGCTCCATTCGTGAGCGACGACTGATCCAGCGACCCAGCTTTGCTCCTTCGCAAGACATGGCTATGTCCCGAACCACACTTTCACCATCTCACTCATCCATCCGACACGGCATGAACACCCCTAGCCACTCCCAAACACTCGCGGCCGGCTCAACATCAGACATCTCCCGAGGCATCGACTCACGCCGATCCTCAGACACCAGCGGCCGTCGGGGTAATACCATCACCTCCCTCTTCCGACGCGGCTCTTCTCGCATCAAGCGACGCTACAAGGAGCGCTTCCAGGACACCACCCCGGAAGTTTCCAATGCTTCGCATGAGTCTTTCTACAAAGTTCACACTCAATCATCTCCCCCTCCCCCTTCCATGATTCCATCTCGGGTCTTGATGCCAAGTGAGCCCATCCAGCGAGCTCACTCCAAGTTCACCGAACATTTTGGAGACGAGCCTTTATCACCACCTGATTCCCGCCTCCAATCACCAGATATTCCAGAGGAAGTTGCAGAGTCTTCCTTCGAGCAAGAAGACACCTTCCTCCATGGACCGAGCCCGACACCCGGTGTCGACATCAAAAACCCCAACCGCAGTCACCACCGATCATGGACATCCGAACTCATGGATGCGGAGGCAGACAATGTTCCTCTTTCACAATCGCTTGCCTCCATTGATTCAGAGGGCTCTTGGATGTCTGGGCAATTCTTCAAGCGCATGTCTCAAAATCCCAGCAGCCCCGTGCGATCCAACCTGAACTCGTTTGGCCGCAACTCAGCCGACGTTCCTGCCGATGCCCTCGAAGACATTGAGGACATGGATGAGCCCGATAGACTTGACAGCCCCATCGGTGACCCAGAGCTCGGAAGCGAAATCGACAGTGACAGCAAGCCCGCTGAAAGATGGCACAACGAAGTCGGTCGTCGTCCCATTGTGGTCACACCCGCCTCCCGGCCTAAGTCTACTCAAGGCCTGCTGCGCAACTTCCCCTCCTTGACGCCCATCTCCGCCGAAGACGATTACATCGTGGCCGAGACTCCTTCTGAACTCCAGCGGATCCCCAGTGCTAAAGCTGAAATTGGATACGCGGAGTGAACACCCCATGAAGGTTGAATTCGATTTAAACGATATCACCGACATGTCATTCATTCCCCTAATTTTCTTTTGTTGATTTCTTTTGTCAGACCGTGATCTAGTCCCCTATGTGGCCTGTACGATTTCGACCCCTTTATCGCATCATTAGCACCCTGTTTCATAGTTCTGTTGATACCCCCTTCCTCCCATGTTTTGCTGCATAAATGTTACTGAATTTCTTTGTTGGATATTCCCCCTAAATTGTTGCTTTTGCACATAGTGTGATTACCCCGTTAGTAAGAACATTCTTACTAAAATATTCTAAGAAAGTCTCTTCGAGATTCAGATAGTTCATAATGAGAAAATTATCAATCACCATTCACTTCGCAGTCACTCCGGTTAGACAAGATTACCGATTAGGCGCCGATTCCAGACTCTCTCGAATTCGTAAGCAGCCGAACACCCGAGCACGTCATTTTGCCCCTGTCCTTTGGCCTCACCTTCTCTTTCATTGGACCTTCAATTCGTTGATATACATACATAGAGCGAAACGCTGTTCTGTCCTGACAAATTCATCATGCAAGCAGTAAGTCCATTGCCCTTCCAAGGCCCATGAGGTGTGAATCACACCTTACAAACCATTCACCCGCAAACCCCTAAGCTCCAGAGCCTTCGGTCTCTGAACACCCTTACATAATCACCGGAGCAAGCGTTATGACATAAAAAAACTGGCCGCCCCTCCGTCTGCCCCTCCTCTGACCATTAAATTAGTTCAAGTCTCCCGCCTTTAAGACCATCACCGGATCTTTCAACCGCTCCATCCCACGCAACTTCTCTACCACCCCAATCTCCCGCTTCGCACCTTCCTCTCTCAAAATGGCTGTTATCAAGATCGCAACGTAAGTTGAGCTCCCCGTCAGCACATAGTCTCCGCAATCATCGCAAGGACGGAGAAAAAAAGCCCAACGCCACAAAAAGGATACCTGTCTAACATCACACTAGTCCCGAGGAGTACGCCGAGAAGGTTACCAACGCCCCCGGCCCCGTCGTCGTTGACTTCTTCGCCACCTGGTGCGGTCCCTGCAAGGCTATCAGCCCCGCCATCGAGAAGCTGAGCGAGTCCACCACCGCCGTCGCCTTCTACAAGGTTGACGTCGACGAGCTCTCCTCCGTCGCTGCTGACAACGGTGTCTCCGCCATGCCCACTTTCCACTTCCGCAAGGGTGGCGAGAAGGTTGGTGAGGTCAAGGGTGCCAACCCCCCGCCATCAACGCTGCTTTCCAGAAGCTCTTGGAATAGATTATTGGTGATTTTGGGCTTTTTGCGCTTGTTGATACCGCTTGATCCGTCGTGATCATTTCAATTAAATGTTGATACCTTTTTTTTGGTCACTTGAGTGTTTGCTTGTGCTTGTTGGTACAGCGTAGTGCACAGCGCAGTGCATCAGGAGACTTTGCTGTTGTAGATTGTTAAGGTGGGAGTCTTGTTGGCTTCTATACTTGTGTAATTACACGTGTGTTCTTGCAGGATGCATGCAGCTTGATCGACAATGACAAGCATCGAGCTGCAGTGTCATTCCCCGCATTTAGAGACCGCTCGTCCGTTCCCTCGGGACGAGTGCAGAACAGTGTGAAAGTCGAGGTGTATAAAATTTAGCTCGTAGAACTTTGTCATCTCTTGCGTCTGGCATACTATGCAACAATGCAATGCAGGTTACTCCGTAATGGTACGGAGTAAGCAATGCCCATGTATGAGGCAAGCTCTGGTAGACTTGAAGCTTTGAACTTTATCGGAAATGGGATGAAAGATCCGAGAACAGCTGATCGGGTCCTGACCCATGGACCCGAGAGAATGACAGCTCTGATCCATTTTTTCAGGCCTTGGGAGCTATCCAGCACATAACCTTGGAAACTTGGTACAATGTATGTACGACAGGTAAGAACGAATGAGAATCGGATAGAAGAGTGGCCAAAAAGAGAAGAGAATTGAGCCGGTGAAGTTACCAGACCCATTGAATTCTTATCTGACCTACCCAGGTGGCCGAAAATGAACCCAGCCAAATCCCTAAAATGATGCATACAAAGCCACCTTGCACGGCTCAACGCCCAAAATCTCCGAAGCCACCACTCGAAAGCAAAATCATTCCAACCCATGTCAGACATCGGACGAGTACGATAGACGTCATCGCCATGCGATTGACAGCGGATCAACAATAGGCTCCGAACATGTTCGCCTGCAGGAGATACATCACACCAAAATCGAGATCCCAGATTCCAGGTCGAACCTGCATACCTATCCATTTCCACATATGCAGCTAGAGGAGTTCTGCCAAACCTTGTTGCGCCGCATGGTGGCAACATGGGAATCTAATCGCCAAGCATCTCTAAAATGTCCGTCGAGCCGACGCTACGATCTGATTTGAGTGGGTTGGGTGGGACTGATCAGAACGGTCGAGGGGGTCTTTGTTTGCTCGAAGGTTTGTTGGTTTTTCTGATATATCAAACGAGCAGGCTGCGAACTTTGTTTGACTGGGAATTTCAAGGAATAGCATCGTATTCCACGGAGTACTCGCAGGGTCGGATTTTCTACACGCATGCCCGAGAGCTGAGTGCGTACCCGGTAGATTAATTTGTGTTTTTGCAGCTGAAATCACTTGGAGGCCCACTTCAATTTATCATATCTACCGAAATGGAGAGGGTCCATAAGAGGCAACAGACTTTTTTATGTTATTTGGGCTCCAATTCAGAAACTAGCCCTAAGTCGGTCTTTGGCTTGGGTCCGGTGTGACTATTTCGGGCTACCCTTGTCTCTACCCTGTCCCCTACGGAGTAAACACGCCACACACCCCGGTCCAGGGGAAAAAGTTCTCAAAAACCGGTGACTGACGTGAGCTCGCTAATTTACACTCCAGGCGTTCATTTTTGAGCCCAAGATTAGAATGTGATGGATCGCCGGACATGTGACGTGCAGATCCGGAACGGTTCTCGCGAGAGCAAACATGGGAAGATGGGCAAACTGGTCTCACATCGAATAGTGGAGCTTTTCCAAGGATGTATACGGAGTACGGAATATGGAAGTTCCATACTCGCTTATCGTGAAATTAATCTAAAGTGTAGGCTCAGAACTTCCTAACTTGTACTCGGGGGCACCGAGCCGCACAATAGCCCACTTAGAGCAAATTGAACAAATTGAAGTTGAAGAGAAGGCGATTAATGTGGAAAGTGAAAAGAGAAAAAGTAACAACGCATGCAAATTCGAGCCACGCCAGGACGCTGATTCGTCGACGAAACAACCGGCCCCATCGTTCAGTCCCCGCCCCGCTCCGATCTAGATCGCATCCTGCGAATCACACTGCGAGGGTTAAAGAATCCTCGCTCTAAAGATCCGGCACTGCGAATGGGGACCCATCGGACTTGCTATCACGGATCAAATTGATTAATCCAAATCTTGCACGGCCTCGGCATTGGCCTTTTTTGCGGGATTTGTGAGAATTATGGTGTGTAGGATCTCGTACTGCCACGCGAGTTCGTCTGGGGGTCACTTGCAAGGTGCATGGCTGGCGCTGGAAGTGGGGGCTTTTGTTTAGATTGGACTAGAGCTTTACCAATTGTACACGTCGATTCGTTGGACTCGAAAGATTTTGGGTATGCTGGAAATGGGCTATAGTAATCATGCGGGCTGAGCTTGGACGTGGATATCTAGGGCTATCTTATAAGATGCTTACCCCGGCGGCTTTGCACCACTTGGGTTTTGTTTCTAGCTTGTATTAGCTGGACCCCCTGCTCAACCGATCCTTATCTTGAAATTGAATAGCTCGAGGGCTCGCATCTTGCCTATTGATTAGGATCTTATCGTTTTCGAATCATCCTACCGTTCCCTTCTTTTACGCAGCCAGATGACCGAATAAAGGCTCCCCCCATATCCTTTCCTTCTCTCCATATACTACAAAATGTCCAACACAGAGGCTCAAGAAGAGCCGACAACCCGGGTCACATACCTGGCAGGCTATATCTTCCTCTCTTATGTTATTAGCTCTATGGGATGTGCCACCACACTGGAGCTTCTCCACCGGCGGACATCGAGATCGGGTCTATACAACTGGTAAGTCACAGCTACAGTTCACTAGCTTACAATGACTCATAAATCGAAAGGTACCTCCTCCTCACATCATCAATAACAATGGGCGGTATTGGAATTTGGTGCATGCATTTCATTGGAAACCGCGCCATTGTTCTGGGTAACGGCGAGGCCAACATTCAAATTCTATACAACGTCGCTTTTACCGGAACCTCCTTCGTTCTTCCCGTCGCGGTACTCCTGTTTGCATTCTACGCCGTCGGTGTAGAGGAGAAGGCAGGCTACCTGCGCATTCTGATCGGAGGTCTGCTCACTGGCAGCTCGGTTTGTGGAATGCATTACGTCGGCCAGCTCGGAATATCCAACTACAGCTGCTCCTATCACCCGGCAAATGTTGTTGGATCGGCTCTCATTGCTATCTTCTCGAGTATAGCTGCATTGGGAATCTTTTTCCGTTGGAGGGCTACTTGGACGGATAGCTGGTGGAGACGTGGGATGTGCGCGTGTCTGTTGGCTGTTGCAGTGACTGGTATGCATTGGACTGCGGCGGTTGGAACCTCATACAAGGATCATGATCGCAATGTTGTCAATGGTACTCAGCTCTCCAGAAGTCAGGTTGTGATCATTTGCGCTGTGCTGGTATGTTTCATAGCCTTTTGGGGAGACTGGTGAGACTGACATATGCTAGGCTTGTGTTGCATGCTTGATTCTTTCTGCCTGTGCGATTGTTGCGGGCAGCAATCGGCGAAAGTCGACGACCCGTGCTCATCAGCTCGTTCTTGCTTGTGTATACTTTGATCCCACTGGACGAGTTATGGTCACTCCTCAGGCTCTCCTTCCAACACGGAAGATTGTTGATCATTATATCGGAAGGGTATGTCTTCTGGTTGATTGAATACCTGGAAAGTTGAATTAACATGGAACAGACATTCAAAGATGACGATCTCACTCGAACACACCCCACCTTCCTTTGGGCCTTTAGGGCAACTCGCAACTGGCCTGTTGTGAAAGACCTTGTGCCATTCATGCGAAACCGCCTTGACTCCGAAGAACGAGCCATCCAAAAGCATGTGCTCTCGCGTGGAGTGGTCATGGATAAAGAGACCGAGTTACAGACCGACTTTGATACATTGTTCAAACAGCTCTTCTGTGTCACGGCCCAGGAATTGTCAGATGAGCTCCGATTACCTCTTCAGGACTTAGGCACCCTTTACGACGATGTGCTCTCAACGGCGATTCCCGTATCACGACTCTCTTGGGCAATGGGTCGCTCCTCTCTTCGAACTGGCAAAGGCCAGATGATGTTCGCTGTTCGCCAGCTGAACAAACTAGAAGCAGCAAGACTTTCTTCTCAGGGATTCCGTTTCGCATCCATCGAACATGTCACAGGAACTCTCTCTCGCCGTATTCACGTCCCAGAGGCGAGCCTGGCTCACTCTCTCCGCGATATGCGCGACTATGCAAGCACAAAACGCGGGTTTGAAGAAGGCGTTCATCTCATTTCCTTCGTCATGCGCCCGACAGTTCATGATCATTTCGAGATCCTCACAACAAAGGGCGTGGGTAATCCTCTCCCTTCCACAACACTACCAATGAAGCACCTACAAGGTCATCACCTTGAACTTCTCTCTCAGATGGAAGGCCGGTCCATGGACGCCTGTATCAAATACCTCCAGTCCGAGGCCTCATCTCGGGCTTTCCCCAATCTACCCGATTTCCGCTCCCACCTCACACAATCCATCATCTCTCTCTCCAAAACCCTCCCGGAAGACATGCGCTCAGCAGCGCAGCTTTCCGCCCGCCCATTAATAGCCCCTTGTCGCAGTCAACCCTCAAACCCCGAACAATCCTTCCAAACATGCACACTCATCACCTTCTGCGTCGTCGGCACACTCGACACCCAAGTCCCGAACCCAGACTACACATTTACCCCATTCCGTCTGTTCCGCGTGCAACAGCAAGTGAACGAAGCCATCGCCGATCGCGAAGGCTTTGCCCGCGAACTAGGGCAAGAGCTCTTCTGCACAGACGTGCGGTCCGGCCCCGCAGGCAGCGAGACTGACCTCACATCAACAGCCAAAATGGCCATCTTGCACATGTGGCCTTCACACAAGCGCTCCAAGTCTTCAAAAGGCGGCTCTGGCAGCTCGCTGCATTCCCAGGAATCCTTGGTTGAGCCTGCGGCAATGGCATTGCGTGACATCACGGTCCATAAAGAAGTCAGGGTCGATGTTACCCGTTTGCATGAGGCGAACATGCAAAGTGGTCTTAGCAATCATGACTCCAGGACTATTGTTGCTGCCGGTGAAACAACTCCGGCTACTTATGTTGATGAGTTGTATAGTCTTTGCTATGCGCCGGGGATCCGTTTCAGGCCTGATTCATCGCTGCATCATCTGTCGCTCAATTCAACACCTTCAAGTGGGTATGGTGCATAGATGGGTTGCTTCAGTGAGGAGCTTTGAAAAGCCCTGATTTTGTATATATAATGTTTTTGACGAGAATATAATGATACCAGCATTCCTATGCACCGACTTGCTCACGTATGCTGTAGGGGTGTGGATGAACCTTAGAAAGTCGTACCCAGGTGGTTTGAAGGACATGAGAGAGGGTAACAATTAGTGAAATTCTGATATACATGAGATATAGTCCAGTCAGTCGCAGAAATAAAGTTAAATCGTCACACGTTTCGTGGCATCCCGAAGCACAATAGTCGCTAAAGACTCGATGCGAGTGAACATGTACTCCTTGCCGTGAGTACGCCAATGGCGTATCGAGCAAATGCATTCCAAAAAAGAAAAGAAAAAACCAAAAAAAGCAAATAAGACAGAAATTGAAACGAAACACCACCAAAACATCCCACCGATCACGCATTGGCATTGGGATCCTCGCGCTCCAAAAATGCAGGATCAACCTCAATGCGACGCTCAAATTTGGCCCACCAATTATGGAAGCTCTTCAAAGGCACGACATCCTGCCCTTTATCCGACTCCGCAAAACTAGCCAGGAAATTGAACGCGCTGCCAATGATGCGCTGCGCCAGAACCTTCGTAGAAATCTGCCTCTGTCCCACAGCCTGCTTCACCAACGCAGTAGAGGTGTTGGATTTCTCCGCCTCGAGAGACGCAAGCTGCGGCGCAATGACCTGCACCTCTTCAATGGAAATTCCAAGCGTCATGATGCCCGCGCCACCACCTCCTTCGTCGAGCATGTCATCCTCCTCTTCAGCCTCGGTGCGACTTGATTGCCGCACGGTGAAGATTCCAGAGGGTTTCTCGTTTGCGAGTGCGCCGATGAAGCGGAAGTCTGATGGTTGGCCGTTTGGATCGGGGAGTTGGGCGTAGATTGCTGCGCCGGTGTTTGGGGGCAAAGTTGTTCCTGGTAGGAAGAAGACCACTATATCGCTGAGAGAGGCGCTTAATGGGATTGTAAAGGCGAACTTCGTTGCTTGGCCGTTGGGTTGGCCGTCGACTGCGACAATGTCCGTTATACACGGGCGTCCGGGGACCACAACGGAGAACATGGTGGATGCGATTCGGGAGAAGAGTGGCGTAGACGTGGTTTAGGAGAGCGATTGAAAAGACGTGGGGTTTCAATGCAGTGAAGCTTCTCTTTGTCCTGTTTTTCTTCCGATGATGAAAGTGACATAAGAGCTTGGCGGGGCTGTCCTTATCGGAACTGATAAGACTTTGACTCCCCGACATTTCCAGGAGGCTCTCCTGACAATTGGGGATTGTTTACTCATCATGGGCAGATCAAACTATGAGCTGGTCGTGGAATGCGATAAGTAATGAGCCTTCGCTCGATTTGTTTGACTGTCGGTTGACAATTGCAGCTTCCCTTACTACGAGGACGACCGCGCCGCGTACACAGAGAACCTCAACAACTACCATGCCTTCAAAGTCACTGGTTACGACGCCACTCTCGGGTACATCTTGAACTCCGTGGTAGAGAAGTTTCCTTGGTCGGAGAGCAGCTGGAAAATCGACTCCGGCGCTCGCACCGTGACACTTCTGACACCCGCAAACGCCGACCCCGCACTCCGAAGCAAATTGGTGGCCGAGACAATCACCGAAGCAGTCAAGCAAGACAAATTTGAAATTCTCAAAGGATGGCGCAACGAGAAATACCCCGTCTACGGACCGGGTGGTGAATTCCTCCTCGAGATGGAACGTTGCGCATCCCCTTTGTTCGGTATCGTCTCCTACGGTGCCCATATGACAGGCTACACACGCGACGAATCCGGCTACAAGTTCTGGATACCTCGTCGCGCAAAGACCAAGCAGACCTACCCCAGTCTCCTGGACAACACAGTCGCAGGCGGGATGTGCACCGGCGAAAACCCTTTCGAGTGCATCGTCCGCGAAGCAATGGAAGAAGCCTCGCTGCCGGAAGATAGAGTTCGTGCAGCAGTCGCTGCTCGCGGATGTGTGACATACTCGCATGTGCGAGATGCGCGGGCCGGCGGCGAGACGGGTCTCATTCAGCCCGAGGTCGAATACGTTTATGATCTTGAGTTGGATGCAGAGACCATTCCTAAGCCCTGTGATGGCGAAGTTGAGGAGTTCAAGTTGTTAACTATTCCCGAGGTCCGGGAGGCACTTGCTAATGGCGAGTTCAAGCCCAATTGTGCTACTATTATGATTGACTTCTTTGTTCGGCATGGCATTTTGACTGCGGAGAATGAGCCGGATTTCTTGTTGATTGTAGCGGGTTTGCATCGTCGCTTGGAATACCCCACTGCATCGCATTGTGCGAGGTAGATTCGTCATTTGGCGATTGTTCATACATTGATGAGTACATAGACTGGACATAGTCTTTTGACATAAGAAACAAAGATCCGCCTGCAAAATTCTGGTGCTCCGCAAGAAAAGTGATTGCGAGATGGTGGTCTTGAATATTTCCAAGGTTTATATAGGGGCTTGCATACTGATATCTAGCACCTATTTCTTGGCCTTCTCCACCAGATCCGCCAGAGCCTGCATCGCATCCTCTGCTCGATCCTTTGGAACGTAGATATGATCATGGAAGTATCCACTGACCACGTTTGTGCTTATTCCGTCATCCTTGAGCCGGTTTGAAATAGCAGCAATGAGACCAACTGCCTCTAGGCTGGAGTGTATCTTGAGAGATATCTTTTTGCATGGAAAGACTGGTTCCTTGAAGCCGTGCGAGGCAGCTAGGCTCTCAGTTGTGACGAGCGTAGTGCCCTCCTCTTCTTGAACGACCAGTTGTGGTTGAAGGGTGGCCAAAGGGAGTGAACTTAGAGGATCTTTGGTTGTGAGAAAGACATAGATCGTTGGATCTAGCATTGGTTGCATTGTCGCAAGGAGAATGGAGAGGTCTTCTTCGCCGGTTGTAGGAGCCATCTTGGACTGAGTGTGAGGATGAGGATGAGGATGAGTATGTGTAAAATGCAAAACTTCCAGGAACCGATGTCCATTTAAGCTTACGCAGATGGTTTCCAAAGTTGCCATCAGTGTTGCCACATGGAGGGTGTGGAGCAAGTTCCCAGCCCTATGAGTCGTCAGATCGGGTAAGTTGCCCAGTGCGGAAAACAAGCAATTGGTATGTAAAATTGACCGGTTGAACTTTTCTAGATCTTTGAAACGGAATGCAGAACGCGTAAGTAACATACAGCTGCTTTTCCAGCGTACACAAAATTTCCACAAGTAATTCCCGACCGTCAGGTGGTCAGTAGTAACCTTCTTTCACTCTCGGTATCTAGGTTGAAGTGTCTCGCAGAGCTTGAGAAATTGCATTCAAGCCACCTTCGAGCTCTTCGACAGTGGGCCAACCATATCCAAGACGGAAGTAGGTATCTGGGAGCTCAAACCAGTGTCCAGGTCCAACATATGTGCCGTACTTGTGAAGAAGACGGTGATAGAACGCAGCCAATCCGCCAGCGGGCTCAAAGCCAGGTTTGATGCGTGGGAAGCAGACTATACCACCATCCGGTCGAACCCAGTCCAGCAGATCGTCTTTCTCAATCCATGCAGCCACAATTTCGCGGCGATGTTTCATCTCACGCATAGTAGCGGAAAGAATCTCATCTTTGCGCGTCAAGACTTGCTCGGCAATCCACTCATCAACCACACTCCCGCTAATGCTGATTTGTTCCTTCGCAGCTAGGAATGTCTCTTGGAGAGCTGGGTTCTTGTTGATCAGCCATCCGAGTCGGATGCCAGGGATGCCGTAAGACTTGGACAACGACGACACGCTGATAACATGATCTCCCAGAGAGGCAGCGATGGGCAATCGTCCATCGTACGAGATATCAGCGTAAGTCTCGTCCACTAGCAATATGAGGCCCTTCTCCTTGGTGAGTGTTACCAAGGCTTTCAGTGTCTCCAGTGACATTCCTGTACCGGTGGGATTGTGAGGTGTGGTGATGCTGACAATTTTGGTGTTGGGCTTGATAGCAGCCTTGATGTCATTCAGATCGAGCTGAAAGCCCGACTCAAATTTGAGGTCGATGAAGGAAATCTCGCATCCCAGAGCCCGTGGGGTCTCGAGATTGGTCGCATAGTTTGGCCGCACGACGACGAGATGATCATTCACATTGAGTTGAGAACTGGCAATGATGAATAAAGCACCCGCTGCGCCAGTTGTGATTAGGACGTCTTTCTGGCTGAGTCCCTCAGATCCCTGAATAACTAGCTTGCGGAGTGCAGTGCTGCCTTGGTGCTCGTTGTAAAGCAACTTCAAATCGGGCACCTGCAAGCCCAAAGATCCGAGAGACTGGTCGGTGATTGAACTTTCTGACAAGTTGTATTTGATGTTTTCGTAGCCATATTCTTCAGGTGATTCAATCTCAATGGGCATTCGGTTGTACTTCATCGTGGTGAATAAGGAAGATGCTCAAATCGGTGAGGGAAAAGAACCAGTCAAAATTCTCCGAAACGAAATCGAGTTATCGATGCTGGATGCTGGATGCTTTCGGGGACATACATCTCTCTTAAATATTCCAAGGTTGCAGCCCGTTAATAACATGGCCTGCCCAGGTGTGCGCCGAATTCGATCTACATATCGTTACATGCTATACCAAAGAAGGAGGATTATGCGATCAGGCAAATCAGCGCAACATTCTACTCCACAATTCCCACGTTTCCGTATGAGGTGATTCCCAGAGCTCCCGCTTCTCCTGTTTGTGGCAAGACAACACAACTTCTATTTTGTCGATTGACTACAGCATTCAACAGATAGAGCGACCGCACAGATTCATGGGAGCCTTTGAAGGCATTTTCGCCAGAGCGCCGGAGCCTTGCAGCGAGAGAAGGTTTCCACGTTGGAGAGACCAAATCACGGCTTCGGTTTCTTTCCCTTTGAGACTGTCTCTTATAGGAGAGCTCATGTGCTCAAATCGCGCAAGATAATGGTATCAAGCTCAGTATCTATGTGCCTGACGCGAAGCAGGTACAAATTGCAGCGATAACCTTTGGAAAAGGTAAAAACAGCAAGGATTTACAAATCGACCTCCAATCTGATGGTAATTGGATTCCTGATATCAGGCTCAGCATCCTCGAGCCAATGCGAGCAACCACCGAGCTATGCATTGAGTCACTATCAACATGATGGACCATTGTCCGCTGGATCCGGATAGCTCTATCTACCCCAGGTCTTGGCCCGGCTCGACTTTCCCGCCGAGTATACCCCGGGACTACTCGAGCCCCACAACGCCCCAGTATAGCATGACACCGGCGCGGTTGATCGAACATCGGGGTAATGGCTATCGTCGGTGGTCAGTTAAGACGGCGTGATTTCGCTCGTGGTATCTCTACGCTGGTCTGTCATCAGCTCATTTGGCTTCAATCCCTATTTGCGATCGCTTTTCCCCCATAACGCCGCTATGACCCACGGTTTTGACGATGACAAAATGACCAAAAAGAACTTTGCCGACGATTCAATTGATATCGACCAATCCGGAGGTGAGGTTCTGGGTCAAATTAGTCGATATGAAGATCACGAAAGGGCTTTACAGGGCAACGAACACTTTCATCGCCTTGGTTGGAAGCGTCTCACAATTGTCCTCATTGTTCAATCGATAGCCCTGGGCAGTCTAAGTCTTCCAGCTGCATTTGCAACACTGGGCATGGTGGCTGGTGTGATACTGTGTGTCGGCCTAGGTCTCATTGCCATTTACGCAAGTTACATGGTTGGGTTGGCAAAGCTCAAATATCCACACGCAGCCCACTATGTTGATTTCGGTCGTCTCTTGATGGGAAGATTTGGCGAGCAAATCTTCAGTGTCGCCTTCATTCTCCTTTTGGTCTTATCGGTTGGGTCTCATTGCCTGACTGGAAAACTGGCCTTCGCCTCGCTCTCCGACAACTCTGCGTGCGCCCTCATATTCAGTGCCGTATCTGCAATTATACTTTTCGCGTTCGCCATTCCTCCATCATTTGCCGAGATCTCTATTCTGGGATACATCGACTTTGCCTCAATTATTGCGGCTATCGGAATCTGCATCATTGGAACTGGTGTTCAGCGCGGCGATGCAACTGGGCCTGCGTGGTCTGCGTGGCCTCAAGACGACATCAATATGAGCAAGGCATTTGTCTCGATCTCAAATATTGCTTTCGCGTACGCTTTTGCGGCTGCTCAGCCATCTTTCATGGATGAAATGCATACCCCGGAAGATTTCACCAAGTCCATCTCGGCGTTGGGAGCGGCACAGATCACAATCTACACATTGACAGGCTCACTCATTTATGCTTTTGTTGGGCAGGATGTTGAATCCCCAGCATTGCTATCAGCTGGTCCCCTTCTAGCCAAGGTTGCATTTGGTGTGGCACTCCCGGTCATCTTCATCTCGGGCTCTATCAACGCAACCGTTGCCTGTCGCTATATCCACGGCAGGATTTACCAGGATTCCGTTGTCCGTTACGTGAATACAACCAAAGGATGGGTCACTTGGTTGGTAATCGTGGCCTTGGCAAACATCTTAGCGTGGATCATCGCAGAGGCTATCCCCTTCTTCTCGGAACTACTCGCTATCTGTGGATGCTTGCTGGTATCTGGGTTCTCATTTTATGTTCCCCCTGTGCTATGGTTCTTCCTCCTAAAAGAAGGAAGCTGGTATGAGAAGCGCAATCTTCGCACTGCAGCCTTGAACCTCTTTGTGTTTGTCGTTGGTATCGTCATCCTTGGATGCGGCCTGTATGCGAGCATTGTTGGCGTGGTAAGTTTACTTTGTCATGACCTGAGAAACTCTAAGACTCCCACATACTGACTGGCTTGATAGATGACTGCATTCCGGACTGGTTCTATCAGTCGACCCTTCTCCTGTAACGCTGGCTGATGGAAATTGGGGCAGTGTCCACTGGTCCAGGCGTCTGATATACACCAATGACGAGCCCCAGGGCCTCAGGGCGCTCAATCACTCTCTGCAACCATTGCTATCGAGTCACATTTGTATTAAACTGTATATAGTCAACATCTCACTAGGAAATTTCCAACATCTGAACTTGCCTTTAGACTCCTTGGGACTCGATGTTGCTAAGCCGACAAAGACTAGATTAAAGCATACGCGATTGCATGTTAGGACATGCTGTCATAAACAGCTCTTGTTTTAAGGATTAACTCAAGCCGAAATATTCGAACCTTCGCACTCGTTGGTGGCAACTGGCCCTTGAGCTTGGGATTACTTACTCAGCGGCTCGAACTTCCTATTTGGGAAACGAAACATCCCGAGTCTCCGCCTCCCATTCAGTCTTCTACATTGTATACTAAGCGCAAAATACTTCGCAAACATGCGTTCCACCACTGCAGGGTGCTGGACCTGTCGTATGCGACATAAAAAGTGTGACTTGGAGAAGCCCTCGTGTAAGGAATGTACCGAGAGACAAGTGAGCTGCCACGGCTATGGGTCAAAACCAGCATGGATGAACGGTGGACCGGAAGAGCGAAAAGAGCGAGCCAAAATCAAAGTGATAATCAACAAGAACTTTCGCCGAATCAAAAGATTGCAACATCTGACTCGCCAACGAGAAAGAGAGGGCGACACTTCGCCTGAAATACAACCAGATGAAGATATTCGCCCATTCGCAAGTCCATCTTGTTCTTTGGAACTTCAACCTCTATCTCCAGAAATTGCAGAAGGCGAATTTACTGTTGATGCCGCGCCTCAGTCTGTGGCCCCTGACTGCGATCAATCTTTCGGACCCCGCCAAGAACCAAGCCCACAGCACGCCAGGGGAATTGGCGACATTGATCACCAGGAGGCTCATTTGTTGATGCATTATCTCGATCAAGTCTTTCCTTGGCAATTTCCCTATCATGACTCCCGGTCTAGTCTAGGAAACAGAGGCTGGCTTTTTTTGCTTGTCATCAAGTGTGGGCCGCTGTACCACGCTATTCTAAGTCTATCTTCTCTTCACCAGGGCGCAATTGTTGATGCCAGAGAAGATATACTGAAAAAGCAAAAAGCATTGAATCATCACTCACGGGCACTCCGAGAGCTCTGTGATATTATGAGTGAAAAGGGTGATAAATTAAGGGACGACCACGTTCGATTAGCCGATTTTTTGACATGTAGCTTCATGTTGATAAGCTTCGAGGTAAGCTTCTCATGCGCTCTGGTAGGCTTGACCAGCTTCTGATGCACCTATTCTCCAGGTCTTTGGTGGCGCAGAGCATGACTGGCTTCCGCATTTGGATGCAGTCACCTCTGTCATGAGTTCATCGTCACCAGAAGATATTTTCAATCGAACCACTGATAGTGAAGAGACGTCGAGAGACGGGAAGAATGAAGACCTCATCTTCCTTATGGTCGGTGTCATATGGTACGATCTTCTCGCGTGTGTTTCGACAGGCAGTGTCCCACGGCTTCCATATCGACGCTGGCTCCAAACTCCTGGTTTTAATACAGCTGACCTGATGGGCTGTCAAAATTGGGTCATGCTGGCTATCGGAGATCTAGCAACTCTCTCGGCATGGAAAGATCAACAAGAGACGGACGGGGTGTTGAGCATTCGGGAGCTTGCAACTAAGGGCCTAGAAATTGAAACACGACTAGAAACTGGCATTGAGCGTTTAGATCAAGAACATAAGGTGAGCATAGAGTTAGGTGACCTATCGAGGCTGCAGCTGACTTCTTGAATATAGGGACAGACAAGCGCCGAATCTGTACGGAATTGGGTAACCCATATTTTTGCGCTGGCGGCCCTCATATTGCTACATACCACAGTTTCGGGGCCACTGCCAGTGCTTCCGGAAATCAGGAATGTCGTATCTAGAAGCATCATCGTACTTGAAAGCAGACCCAAAGGTTGTCCTCTTACTGGCTCAGTGTGGGCATTGTGTATCATAGCATGCATGGCACAATCGCATCAGCCATTTTTTGAGAAACTGATGGGAGATCTGATGATGGGCTCAGGGAGATTTGGAAACACTGCGACAGTGCTCAAAATTGTCAACAAATGTTGGGAAATGCAGGAAACTGGTCGTGCGGACTGCCGGATCGCCATGTCGGAACTGGGAGTTCATGCTCTCTTGATATAGAACTTTGCAGCTTGCTATACATTTCCCACGTATATTGGAAGATCCATGTACTTCGTTCATGCGACAAGGTTGAATAGTTAGGGCTGAGGGGATGTTCGGGACCTCGGGAGGGAAGTTCGAGTCGCGATGCCCTAAAGCGAAGGTCGAGCCGGGAACAAGGAACCACCAATCAGGAGCTGTCTTGTATACTTCGAGATTGTGAGGATGTTCGGAATACATCGATGGTATACATGGGGTTGGATGTTCTTTCCAAGGTTGTAGGTTTCGATCATGAGGATATAAAGAGCTGGTTGATCCTGGTGTTCGATCAAGATCATTCAAGCATCGTGGCAGTCATCTCATTTACATCAGACGTTGAGGACAACCCAGAAACCTCGCATTGATCGCTATTCTTTTGAGATAAAATTCCGGTCCAAGTTAACATCATGCCGGGACTCAGCACTTGTGAGCAGCCCAAGGTGTTGGACCTTGTCAATGCCAGTATCAGGGACCTTCTCCATGCCCTTGATATTCGAGCCATCACTAGTGTCGAGCTCGTCACGCGTTATCTTAATCGCATCGGGCATTTCGACTGCCGTGGGCCTTCCTTGAATTCTGTTTGCATCTTGAACCCCAAAGCTTTGGAAGAAGCACAAGAATCGGACGATTATCGTGAAAGTGGCCGACCGGCACGGCCCCTCGAGGGGATCCCCTTTACAGTCAAAGACAGCTTTATGGTTAAAAATATGACTGTTGCGGCTGGGTCACCTGCCTTTGCCGATCTGCTCTCATCAAAAGACGCAGCTGTTGTCACCATGCTCCGAAATTCTGGAGCCGTGGTGATTGGCAAAACAAACATGCCTGCAATGGCAGATGGTGGACCACAGCGAGGTCTGTACGGTAGGGCAGAAAGCCCTTATAACTTGCAGTATTCGACCACTGCCTATGCATCTGGTTCCTCCAATGGGTGCGGAACGTCCACGGCAGCCAGCTTCGCAGCATTTGGCTTGGCTGGAGAGACCGTCTCTTCCGGTCGCTCGCCAGCCTCGAATAACGCACTTGTTGGATACTCGCCTTCACGGTGTATCATACCGAACAGAGGTCAATGGCCACTTTATCCGACATGTGATGTTATCGTTCCCCATACACGATCGGTGGAAGATTTGTTTTTCGTGCTCAATGTCATTGCGAATGATGACCTGCATGCCGCAGAAGGGATCGATTTCTGGAGAAACCAAACGTTCGTTTCAATTCCCAGAGCCTCTAATACTCGACCAAAAAGCTATCATCAGTTGAAAAACACCGATTCTTTCATTGGAAAACGTATTGCTGTGCCCAGATGCTTCGTCGGCGTGCCCTCCGCGCAGCCTTTCCACGTGTGCACTGAATCAGTACAGCAACTTTGGGAGAAGACTAGAGCCACGTTGGAGTCTCTTGGGGCAACTATCATCGAGACAGACTTCCCACTGCTTGAGCAATATATGAAGCAGGACTTTCCAGGTCAAAGTTGCAACATACCAGGAGTATCCAACGAGTGGACCAGCATTGAGCGTTGCCAGATGATCGCAACTGCATGGGATGACTTCCTCCAAATCAATGGTGATGAGACCTGTCCGAACCTTCTCGCAGCTGACCCCCACAACATCCATCCTCACATCGCGCCAATGGACGACCCCTCCAATCATACCGAGGCACAAAATCAAGTGCGATACCCAGAGATGTTCGATTCCGTGAGGGACAGGACCCACACTCTCTATAATCTGCCCGGCATTGAAGAAGCTGCCAATGCACTGGAAGATATGCGGAAAAAGGAGTTGGAAGATTGGATGGATTCCAATGGTTTTGACCTCCTGGCATTCCCCACAAACGGCGACGTTGCTTCTGCGGATGCTGACGAGAATTTTGAATCGATGATCCATGCTCTTCAGAATGGTGTGAAATATGCCAATGGTGGTCGAGTCATGAAGCATTGCGGTATTCCCTGTATCACGCTTCCCATGGGCACATTGGAGAGTCAACAAATGCCCGTGGGTGTGACATTTGCATGCAAAGCATACGCAGATAATGAATTGTTGCGATGTGCATTCGCATACGAGGCAGCTTCCCAGGCCCGGACCACGCCCAAATTGACGCCATCAATTCCATCGGATCAGATATCGCTGGCTCCTTTAGGCCCGCAAGGTGTACGCACTGCAAAGCCCATTCTCGACATCTCTGCCAAATCGGTTCCATTGAAGAGTTCCGGGCAAGACATTTGTCGAAAAGTCTCTGTGGAAGGAACCGTACGCTCAAGCAATTCCGAAGTGGAGGTCTCCTCGATTGAAGTCTTTGTCGATGGCGTGAAACTATCAGAAATCCCCTTCAAAGGCGAGCAATGGAAATGGGAAGCTAGCCTTTCTCGGTTGAAAGTTGTTGATCGTTTCCCGACAATTGCCAAAGTTCCAAGAGATCATCATCTCGTGGTCTTCATAGCATATCTGGCGAATGGAAGAAGCGCGGCGTCGATGCTGCTGGTAGATTAGAAACAAGCATGAGCTTTCAGATGCATCTTTTCTTTGGAACTGTCATTTAGTCGTGTATCTCGAAACCCGTTCAGTGCAACAATATGCTGTCGTCTAATCTCTTGAACCACAGACTTGGCCTCGCCCTCTTCATTCTCTTTTTGGTTTTCTGTTTTCCTGGCAAATGTTAGTGGCTTGTGTATCACGTTCACCACGGTCCTCCCGGGTAGAAAGACAGTCGTAGATGGCCCCATATTTGGTTTTTGTTGACTTCAGTCTCGTAGGTTCTGATCTCCTAGGTGTAATTTGGGTCTCTTACTTTCTTTTCTTTTTCGCTGTCGATGGCATACTCAACTTCAAAACTGATTGCTGATTGTCAGCCTAGAATATCGGATCAGAAGAGAGCAAGATATCCAATTTTAGATCACGATTTCAGATCGACAATTCCATGATTGGCATGTTTGGTTGATAATATTTTGGTATTTCCAAATTAAATGCAAGAACGCCTGCGCTGCACCCCGTAACGATATCAACATTGGGCTGGCTTCGATCACCAACTTTTCCCATTTAGACCTTGTCCCGAGAGAGGTTGTCTATCTTATTCCATGCCAAGCCCATCAGAAAATGAGCAAGAGAAGTCCAAATGCAAGCTTATTTCTTGAGCAGCAAGTAGACGTGGTCGATTCTCAGCGGAGCGAGCTTCTTGTAGGGACCCTCCAGGTAGAGAAGCAGACCTCCGAAAGACACAAAGACGGCCCTGTAAGATGAAATTGTCAGTAGGTGAGATTGACGGCAGAGAATGGGCCTTGATTCTCAATGAGCCCTGGAATGAACTCACATGGTGTCCTTGTGGGTACCCTCCTCAAAGCGGTAAACCTTGCCGTGGCAAACATAGTCATAATCATCGGCCAGGGTCTGCTCGCCCATACCGACTTCCCTCCAGCTGGCGCGAGTATCCTCCTTGCCATCGAGAGACAGAGTCGAAGCGAGCGCAAGAGACAGTGACTCGCCCGTGATGCACGGGTACAGCTCGGTGTTCACATCGAGCGTGAAAGTAAGAGAGGCATCGTTGGAAGTGCAGGTCAGACGGGAAACGCGATCGTACTTCTGGGCGTTGACGCCGGTGATCGTGAAGGTATCTTCGAAGAGGAGCGGGTCCGACATGATTGCGACCACAGAAGGTTCGGTTTATGTGTTCTGGATCGAGACAAGTATGCGCAAATATTTGCACACCGTTGTTTGTGGGTTCAGAGGGGCCCAATGGCTGGTTTGTGGTAGGAAGAGGTCTTGAAGTCGGAGGTGGAGAGTTCGGAGGATCTGAAGCTTTTTTTCTGCCGCTTTTGGTCCCGCCGATAACGATTTCGTTGGTTTGACATCGGTCGGCTGTTGTAGATATTATACCTACTCGGACTTACTTTACCTTTCTTCGACATGTCATTTCGCAAGCGCAACATCGGTCTTTCTCCCGGAGTTGACCGCAATGCTGTCCCAAACGCCGCACAACCCCCGCCAGAGAGCACGCCGGGAATCCGCCCCTCACCCGACGATGGACGACCAACGACTTCGACAGGCACGCGATCTCTGGATAATTTACTTGCTGGTCATGCTGGATTGCCAATGGGAAAGCTTTTGTTCATTGAAGAGAACGGAACTACAGACTTTGCCGGCGCATTGCTACGATACTATGCGGCGGAGGGAGTTATTCAAGACCAGAAGATCCATGTTATTGGAGTACCAGAACAATGGGGTCGAACTTTGCCTGGGCTGATCGGCTCAGCAGAGTCTCTTGATGAGAAAAGATCCGACAGGCGCAAGGAAGACCGCATGAAGATTGCATGGCGATACGAGCGATTGGGCGAGTTTGGGGCAGTCGCCGGTTCACGCGATGGTGAGTTTCAACATGAGGCACAGCTTTGAGCTTCATTATGCTGACGAGGATAGCACCGGCTACCACTGGTGAGCAGGACTCAACAACTAAGGACGCCCCCGCTTTCTGTCATGCGTTCGATCTCACGAAACGACTCGCCCACCCGTCAATCACAAACATGTCCTTCATTCCTCTAGTGCCCTCGAAAGAGTCACCGTTCGCTGCCATCCTCAAACGACTCCAGACTGCGATCATATCCAGTCCCGCAAATGCCATTCACCGGATCGTCATTCCCTCTTTGCTCAACCCAACGATGTACCCGCCCGAATCTTGTCAACCCGAGAATGTGCTTCAATTTCTCCATGCACTCAAGGCGTTGATGAGCGCGCACACGAATCGCGTGACCGCGATGATAACATTCCCCTTGTCGCTGTATCCTCGCTCATCCGGGCTGGTTCGTTGGATTGAACTGCTCAGTGACGGTGTAATTGAGCTCTGCCCATTCCCACACTCCGCAGATGCCACAGCTACGTCGGGAGCAGCCACATCCCAGGAGGAACCTCCACAGGGCATGCTTAAGACTCATCGGCTACCAGTTCTGCATGAGCGAGGTGGTGGAAGTGATCAGAATGTTGGGCAGGACTGGGCCTTCATCCTCAGTCGTCGGAGATTCGAGATCAAACCGTTCAGTCTACCACCAGCGGAGGGGGACACCGAAGCGCAGGATACAGCGGCCGCGGGGGGGAATGCCCAAAAAGTCGGATCTTGAATTTTGAGACACGTTCCAGTTCCCTCATTCACATTTCTCAATCCTCTTCATCAAAGTCACGGTGTGTTCCTGGTTCCGCCAGCATGTCGTCCATCTCGATCTGTTCGGACATAGCGGGGCCTGAATTGGCCATGGTCCGGAGGTAATTCGACCCATAGAAGTCGGATCCTGGCCGTATCGAACGAAAGCGATTCCCGAGGCAAGATGACGCTGCAAGCCATGCTGTTGGATGTTAGTAAGCTTGTCGCGAATCCTCGGATGCGCGATACTTGCCGATGAAGAGCAGCAGTGGAGCAAAGAACACCAGAAACAAAAGAAGCAAGAAACCCATAGTTGCAATAATAGACAGAGCAAATGGTAATCCACGAAAGACAATAACAATGATGGCTGATAGAAGTGCAGCATGATCGAATCCCCAAGTAGACTGGCTCGCTTGCCAAGCCGGACTATCCCCAAAGAGGGTAAGCGTGGGAGCTGAGCTTTTCCTTTTTCTTTCGGCTTTTCGACTTCCCACTTCTTTTCTCTCCTCCAACTCGGCTTTGCTAGCCAAATTCACATCTAATTTCTTCAATGGTAAGCTCCCTTCTTTCGCTCCTTTTCTTCCTTTCGCATGATTATCTAAATACAAATCTGTCAATCCCCTGAAGCCCTTTGATACGTCATTGGGCGCTTGCTGAGAAACGTACTGGAAAATGATTCGCGAAATCAACCTTACTTTTGCTACTTTCATATCTGCTTTGACGGACATGAGCTAACTGTGTATGCAATAGATTTCATGACACTTTTTCCAATATCATATCAAAAGCAAAAGAAACAATGGACTCTCAACCAGAACTTCCCATTCCGATCTCTTATGTATCCGGTAGATACCTCTTGCACTCAATTGAGGCTGTGACATACCTGCGACGTGAGCATCACATCTGCGGCGTGCTCATCGGAACGCTGCCCCAGATCCCTCAGCAGAATGTCTTCCTGGGTCTCCCACTGGAGCTCATGCCCGAGGAGGCAAGGCTGTTGGTGGACAAGGATGTAGCTTGCATTGTAGACGAAGCCAAGGTCCACAATGGCATGAAAAATCTACTAGAAGAGGATCGCAGAAGGTACCTTCAAGAACTGGAAGCCGAGGGCCTGCACTACACGAAGCTCCAGGTTAATATCAAAGAGTCGAAGCGCGACCAAACGATGAAGAAATTAGAAGAAAAGAAAGCCAAAGCAAAGGCTGCCGCCGCTGCCCAAACACAGCCAGCCGAAGGTGTCAGTGTCGAGGAGCCCTCCCAGAAGCACGCTGCCATTGTGGACCTCTTTGCCGCAGATGACACCCGCTCGTCGTCCCCGGCGCCATCCTCAACTACTACAGCGCCGTCGCAAAGTGCAATGGCAATCACACCCGCAACATCTTACCCACCACTTCCCACGCCTCCACCATCAACCCACCTTGCAGCACCCGAAGTGCCTCCGTCCTATCCTCTCTTCGCCCACCTCCACTCCCGAGGCTACTTCCTTTCTCCCGGGCTCCGCTTTGGATGCCAATACATGGCCTACCCGGGAGATCCATTGCGCTTCCACTCCCATTTCCTTGTGGTCTCATATGACTGGGACCAGAACATCGACCTGATGGATCTCATTGTCGGTGGTAGGCTGGGTACCGGTGTGAAAAAGGGTTTCCTGATTGGTGGTGCACAGAAGACCATCGAGGAGGTTGATTCCGAGGCTGATCGGGTGGACACCGTTCGAGCGTTCAGTATCGAGTGGGCTGGCATGTGAAGTGTGAGGTGGAGAGGCTATGCAATCAAAGCCTCCCTCGTTTCCATCATGCTCTTTTATGCAAATCTCTATGACTTCGGTACAGCCGCGGACAAAATCCACGGGGCATCTTCACCACTGCAGCCCTCTGTCGAACCAAATATACACTCCGTCCTTGAAAGCGTGGAGAGTCTCATCACATGTCAGGATTCAAAAGCTTTCTTGGTCGTGAGGAGGCCTCAATCGGTACATTGATACCAGGCCAATCTTATTTGCGTCCAGTCATCTTCTGGCAAGCAGTGAACCAAGCCATCGCTATCTGCTCAATGAGAGCTCGCCGACAAGCAGCTTCAGGCTTCAAGGAGACCACCTAGATTCAGACAACACGTCTCTGGGAGTTTATAGCTCCACCGGGTAGTGTTTCCAACAGTTACAGGTTGTGTTGCAGTGCGGTTCAATCTTGCATCAGCATTGCCCTGCTTGGCTCACAATCAAGAACTTTGCATTCAACCACATTCAATAATACCAGTACATGAAAGCAGAGACTAAATCGTGTTCGATTCAACTTTATAACTTTAAGATGACAACACGAAAATTCCCATAATCTTCAACACCTTAGAGTTCATTCCCAAACCTAATCTATTTAGATACTTTGTTGATTTTAGGATTATCTGTACTCCATACGAGGTTAGATGGATAGGACTTGGTTTAAAGTCAATCATAAAATACCACAGTCACACAGCAAGCTACTCTCCGGTCATTATATTTGGTAGGAACTGTTATAATATTGATAATTTGACCTCCAGTCGAGAATGGTATGGAGATCATTGGAAAGTGGTTGAATATGGTATGAGTAGTATCACATGGCACTTGCTGCAAATTTCATAGTTTTGAGCTTTAGATTTTGCCTAATAGTGATACTCTGTGATAGCAAATCAATTATACCAAGCATGATATACCTGAAAATACCCTGGATGTTGAAAGTCTCTCACCATCGCGGTATGAGACACAGCCTGGCCTCTTATCGCCAATCCTTATCGGAGGTCAAGTCACGTGTCTTCACCAGCAGCGAAGCCCTATACCCTACTCCCACACCAAAGTGAAATCTGACTAAGCTGAAAAATCCACCATCAGTCCGTTCCCCGACATCGAATCTTTCCCATCTTCGACAGCCGACAACCCGCCCTATCTTCGACACCGCTTCCTCGTCGAACAACACCGCAATAATGGCCACCGAGTTGACCGTCCAGTCGGAGCGCGCTTTCCAGAAGCAGCCTCACATCTTCCTTAACACCAAGGCCAAGGCTTCCTCCAAGAAGTCCGCCCAGGGCCGCCGCTGGTACAAGGATGTCGGTCTCGGTTTCCGTACCCCCAAGGCCGCCATTGAGGGTACCTACATCGGTATGCACGACCTCTGTTGAGATTGCTACGCTCGAAAAAGTGATGGCGGGGTTTTGGAATGAATGGTCTTTTGAAGGATACACGCGCGAGAGAAGGATCGCATTGCAAAATGGACTTGGGAGGAACGACAACACAACGACATGAACGCTTGCTTTGAATTCCACCCAACGATTCTGGAGCAAAAGACCATTCATGCCAAATCTCGGTCCCTTGGAAGAGCTTTTCTTGGGGTTCATATCACTAATCTTCATTGATAGACCACAAGTGCCCCTTCACCGGTACCGTGAGCATTCGCGGCCGTGTCCTCACCGGAAAGGTCGTCTCCACCAAGATGCACCGTACTCTGGTCATCCGCCGTGAATACCTTCACTACGTCCCCAAGTACAACCGTTACGAGCGCCGCCACAAGAACCTCTCCGCTCACGTCTCCCCCGCTTTCCGTGTTGAGGAAGGTGACACCGTCACTGTCGGCCAGTGCCGTCCCCTCTCCAAGACTGTACGTTGACTTCAACCCCCTCGCTCAGCGATCGTTCGAATACCACCACCGTGGAACGCCGCTTTGCGATTGCTCGATGTGCTTGGATCAATTACTGACTGGGTTTCTTTCTAGGTTCGCTTCAACGTGCTCAAGGTTCTCCCCGCCAAGCAGAAGGCCGGTAAGTTATCACAACAGACGATTCACATCTGTCGAGCTGTTTGCTGACCCAACTTTCCTTTACAGTCAAGTCTTTCGCCAAGTTCTAAGCGTTGAATCAACCGGGTGTTTTGAGGGCGAGGGAAGCGGTATGGACCGGATATCAGGAAAGTTCTTGGATGGGGGTCGGGATAGTTTACGAGTTCCAATGTCCCAGATACCTCGCTGAAGGATGTGTATCCACGCAAAAATCAAAAAGATTTCTTCAACTCTGCTGCGATGGAAACTGTACAACAGCTCTGGCTCCGGGGAAGATTGATCACATATGACAATCTAATCCAAGCCTGTCTCTTTACGCATCTTGAGTTCTTTCCTGCCTCTCTAGGTACCTTACAGTGTTGCAACGAGATTCCGTTCTATACCCCCGCTCAATATCGGCGAACCAGTATGAATGATGGTAGTTTGTTATCACATGTGTCTGTAATTATTGTCTTCGGGCTGATCATGTTTATTTACACTTCTGGGGTTAGTTCAAAAGTCATTTTTGCTGTTTAATGTCTTGACGAACTTTTGATCTACTAGATCAAACCCATTGTCCTTGGGTCTTAACCCAGCGAATGGATTTGTTGAGCTCTTATAAAATAATCATCCTCATCTTGATCATTGCTGCCAAAGCAGATTTACGTCAAAGTATACTCGGTCAATTTCAACACCCTTGGAGGACCCATCGTCAATGATGGGGGCTTTATGTATCCATGGATGTACTTGATCATCGGTCCTTATCTAAAGGGCCCCGGGGTGACAGGGAATATCAGACTTGAACTTCAGTGGAATGAACATTTGCCACTGGGGCAATGCCTCTAATCTCCAAGGTTCATGTTGGTTTCTCACACTGCCGTGACGTACGAGAATACCGGAATGTGCAGAAGGATTGAGGAATTTGTGGATAGATTCAAATTGATAGTAGCTGAACTTCAGGGAAATATGACTGGAATATCCGTTGGTCTTTCTTACATGTCCACATGGCCATTCTTCCATGATCCATCAGGAAAAAAGAGTTGAATCTGACGATCTTCAGCGAGGTCAATATGATCCCCATGGATGTTTTGTTCTCGTTCATGTACTCGGGGATCTTTCCGCTGACATGGAGTTGGAGTGTCAGGAACGTCATCCTCAAATATCCATTCGCTTTGCAATGCGTTTTGCGTACTCGTAACACTGTTCTCGATTTCTGAATCCAAAATCGCGGACTCTTGCTCCCTGATCTGGTGTTGGATAAAGTGATGCCTGTAATCCCACTCCTGACTCTGGCCATCATCGGATATTTCAATCTGGTTCTCGTACTCCCGGTACTGATCTTGGTGATCCGAATAGTAATCACTGTGAGCTGACTGATTGCTGTTGCGTATTTGTTGATCACGGGAATGGGCTTGTGAAAATCCGAGGCCTTCACCTGGCTCGTTGATCAAGGGTCCCCCTTGCTCACACCAAATGCAAACCTTCTCATGGCTATTAACTACCGGATGATCGCTCGCGGACTGGCTATCTTCTTCGGATTCATCGTCACTGGAAATTTCGATAGGCTCATTGTCATTTTCGACTTGGGTCAACCGAGAGCCTTGTTCCTGTTCCTCGGTCTCATGAAATGTAAACGCCTTGACCTGGTTGGTGAACGGAGCTGGGACGATGATAGCGGGTGACTTCCATAGCCAAGGGATATGTTAACAATTTTCATGGTTCTTCGCATGCTTTGAAAAGCCAACTTACACTCATGGGCGCCGCAAGCGGGGGCGCTTGTTCGGTGCGCAGGGCTAGAAGTCCCGGGGGTTTCCAGCGAGATGTATCCACAGAGTCTTCATCTTTCTCTCGAATTTGAAGCCTTAGAGATCTGGCTGCGGATTTGATCCTCGCGATGATATCCTTCCATTCTCCACCTTTGTTGAACTCAGTGGCAATGTGGACGTGGTGCCAGTCAGTATCTCCATGGTCTCTCATGTGAGTCCATTGGATATTGAGTGTCTGGAATGGAACAAACCCAGCGATACCACGCTCGATCAAGTGGGACATGAATATGTGGGAAAACACTTCTTCCCATACTTTGGGCTCACGGCGAAAGAAGCGATACAAACAGCATAGAACCTGGCGTTTGTGTGTGTCCCATCGAATATTTGGCCTTCGGGGAGGCTTGGTGGCCTTCTTTTTGGGTCTGGTCACCGGCATCGGTCCTTCAAAGAAAGGTGTATGGAAGTGAGAATAGTTTCTAAGCCGGGTTGCGATGCGGTGCTAGAAATCGCGTGTTCTCTCCCGAGGTCTGTTGCCAGTGAAGAAAACAAGATATGTTGCTCAGGTGCTCGAGTAATCCTGAATGTGGAGTGAGGCATAAGGTATTGAGAACAAGGGAAGGCTTCGGTAGGTAGGAGGTAGGTATGGGAATGGAAATATATCAAAGTGAGCAACCTTGGAGCTTCGGAAGTTACAAGACCCCCAGGTTCTAGGGCTTTTTTTTGGGCAGTGTCCCACCTTGGAATCTGACGCTCGCAGATAATCTGCAACCAAGCTTCCAATGTTTTGCCTCTGTCTGTCTTTCCATGTTTGATCTTTTTCCGGTATCTTCACGAATTGAGATGTTTGTTCGCTCAAGCAATTGTCCTTCATTCCAACTTTGCATGTAATGGCTAGCAGTTCGTTGAATTGAACACAACATGGATATATATGGTACAAGATGGCTATCGCATCATAGGATTCAATAGAATGTCCAGATTTGCAGTATAGAGTCATTAGCAAGAGACATACTCTGAAACAAATCATCAATAAGCAATAAACCCAAGTGACTGAATCGAACACTCATAGTTACGGAGTAGTATACTTCCATGCAGTCGATCCTCGTGCCAAACAACGCTAGTCCTAATTGGGTTGCCTAAAGGAACATGCACTCCGCCCCCCCCAGGAACTCCCTCTTCCACCCTTAGGAGCGTCGCATCTTTTTTCTGCTATCCTTATCCACCTACCTCGCGATTCATATTCAATTTCCCGTGGTTGTTACCGCAGATACCCAACCCGAACCTTCCGACCACACCCTGACGCCATCCCTCGAAAATCAACTTTGGGCTATCAGCATGGCTCAATGAGCCACGTCATGAGCGATACAGGCGATGATTTAAGGCTTTCTTGAACACTATAAAGGCATTGATACTTGGAGCAGGCTCTCCAATCTCCCTCGACTGCTTGCTTTCCTAGAGCCTGCATTTCTTTCCTTGAATTGCCGAGGGCTTGGGCACCAATTCCGCGACTTTTACAGACATGCCTGGAGGATTTGAAAAGTCGGTCAAGGGGGCCACAAAGCTCAAGGTATCATCAGAATCTATACTATTGTTGATACGTGACAGTCGCTAATCACCTTGGCGCGTACAGCTTGCGGCCCCTAAATCAAAATACATCGAGAACATTCTCGTGGCGACTCACACAGGCGAGGCAGGAGTCGCAGAGGTATTCCGAACTCTGCAACTTCGGCTACGAGACTCTGCTTGGACCATCGTATTCAAAGCGCTCATCGTTCTGCATCTCATGATCCGGGAGGGTCAACAGGATGCCGCGCTGGGATACCTTTCTGATAACCCAAAGAAGATCGCTCCCAGCAACTTCTCTGAAGGTAAGACCAGTGTGATATTGAGGACTGAGTGCAACTTGCTGATGAATCGAATAGCCCAATCGCAAGGACATAACATCCGACGCTATGCCGAATACCTAATCACACGCGCCAAGGCCTTCGAGGCTTCAAAGACGGACCACGTGCGAAACGGGCCTGGACGGTTGAAGAGGATAGGTGTGGAAAAGGGTCTTTTGAGAGAGACGGAGATTGTGCAGAAGCAGATCCGCGCGTTGCTTCGGTGTGATGTGAGTGATTCCATGCACTTGCAGTTCCAAATACTGACAACATGCAGCTCTTGTCAGATGAACCCGAGAATGAGATCAGTTTGACGGCGTTCCGTCTCCTCACACTCGATCTGTTGACACTATACTCGGTCATGAATGAAGGCACAATCAATGTTTTGGGTTAGTCCGCTTTTGCTCCTCACATGCACATGAACTGACCTTGGTATCCAACAGAACACTATTTTGAAATGTCGCGACCGGATAGTGTCCGTGCCCTGGCAATATACAAAACGTTCACAAAGCAAACAGAAGAAGTGGTCCAATTCTTAGGCGTGGCAAGGCATTTTCAATCTGCCACCCGCTTGGAGATTCCAAAGCTCAAGCACGCTTCCACAGACCTGGCACGGCTTTTAGAAGATGATCTGAACGACCCTGACTTTGACCTCCGGCGGCGGGAATACCTGGCCAAAAAAGGCGTTCCTATCCCACCAAGTATGGAGTCTTCTACAATGGCGGACACCGAAAAGTCGACCCCGGTGCAATATCGCCCGCCATCCAATTCTAACAGCCAGCCTCAACAAGCCAAGCCCGCTCCCGTGGACCTGATTGACTTCTTTGACTCGATCGAGCAAAACCAACAGCAGATGGGGCAGCAAGTGCCAATGCAATACCAGCAAACTGGGTTCCAACAAGCTCCACCGCAACAGCAGCAGCAGCAATTCTACGCGCAACAGACTGGCTTCCAGCAGCAGCCTCAGGCGACCCAGCAGCAAGCACAGCCAACTGGCTATGCTCAGCCAAACCAATTCGGGGCGCCTTATCAAGCCCAGGGCCCCAACAACCCCTTTGGACAGCAGCAGCAACCACATCAACCGCAACCGCAACCACTTCAGGCCATGCCAACTGGGGCTGGGTTCGGTGGATACACAGCGCAGCCACAACAGTACAATTACCAGACTCAATTGGCTCCTATCCCACAAGAGAATGTTGCCTCTTTCCCTCAACAGCAGCAGGCACCCCAACCCTTGCAGCCCCAGCACACTAATCCGTTCCGTCAGTCTATGATGATGAATTCTTCCACGGGCCCTCCGTCTGCTGCCCCTCTTTCTCGGCAGAACACCAACCCATTCGCCAAAAGGTTATCGACCGCAAAACCCCAATATAATCCCGCCTCACATGAGCAATTCCAACCCCCCCTTACCTCCGCCACCACAGCTTCCTCAACAACAAGCGCAACCCATTCAACCTCAGCGGACAGGGACCAACCCATTTGCACGCAGCTCTCCTGCTCCTCAACAACCGGCAGCGGCCCCCTTGCAGCCCAATCCGACTGGCAGCACCAATCCTTTCCGACAGAGCCAGTTTGTCAACCAGCAGACCGGACAAGGTTGGCAACATAGTGGACAGACTGGTACCATGGGCGGGTTAGAGCAGCTGGACACAGTGCCGATCTTCCCGCGCCCCGGTATGACCTAATTTTGGGGGCCGAACCCACTTGCATGGCCTCGGAACACAGCCGACGTCCGTTAGATTATCTTTCTTTGATTACCTTATTCGTATCTCTTACTTGCCATCCAGTGCTTCATTTTGGCTCGACACTCTGTAGGCTGAAGGGCCCCAAGGGGATTTGGAGCTAACCAGGCTTTGAATGTATACTGTTTCATCTATCTTGAGGACAACCTCGGGGTCGAGTTTCCCTGCGGAAGGGAAATCATTAGGTAATTAGTAATTATCGCCAGAGTCGAAGTCATTGGGGTTTCAGATCTCTACATTGTGATATTCGGTCCCTTGGAACCACCATGTCCCCTACTCACCTATAGGCCCAAGGCTGAAGATTATATTCTCATCAACTGTAAGCGTCGAGCAGCCACGGAGTACTCCGTACTTATCGGTATGCTGCAGGATGACCTAAGGTTTGACTAGTGCTGACAGACAATGGTGAAGGTATCTTTGTACATGAAGATCTTCCGACTGGCCGGGGCACATCTATATTTGGGAGTGCCCCTTGGAAGCCACACTGCCACAGCCAATGGATCCGGATGAGAGAAAGGGAATCCTCAACTGCAAAACGGAGTTGATCTGCAGAGCTTCTAGATCGAGGGCGTCAAATGCACTAAGTACTTAGCGGGGCCCGGTGATTCGATCACTTTTGGCAAACCAATTCCGTACATTTGGATTCTACCCCGCTGGAAACCTCCTTTTCCTCCTCAACCTCTCCAATGGACAATAACTTTGGCCAACAGACCTTGCCTGTGCACACGAGGCCGGCTTGGTCAGTGGCCGATCCGATCCACCCGGGCTCCGTCTCCGCTCAGAGCTATCCGAGTGCACATCCCCCAACTGCACCGTCCGTCCCAGCTCCGCAAGCTCTTCCAGCTCCAGCTCCAGCTCCAGCTCTTACCAATGCTCCAAATAATACTCCAGCTGCACCGAATCGCAATGCATCCAAGGTCCGCAAGCCCCGCAAAAATGGCAACGCCTCTGCGGGGAAATCAACGTTATTCTGGGTCAACAGTGACCCGCAGACCGCGGCAGAAGGCACAAAGGAAGAGACCCTGAAGAGAATTCGCTCTCATGTCATGTCCGAACACAATCGTAAAAAGCGAATCGAGAGCACGAAGCAGTACAATAAAAACAAATGGAAGCATTCGCCCTATGAGCTACCCGTCACGGAGTCTGGTCCACTTGTGCCGGTTGGGCCTGCGCCTGCGCCTTCGATAATCACCCCACCTGCGAGCTTGGCAAACAGCCGAATATCAGAGGAGCAAGATGCGGACGTCGAAGAAGTTGTACCTACATACACTACTGGCTACTCCGAGGTGTCGGCTCCTTCCTGGGATGGCAGTGGGTTTGACGGCGCCGTGGCTTACCCACACACACAGTCTGTGTGGTCTTATGTTGGACAAGGAGCCAACGACCCCTTTAACACAGGACACACACAACTTACAGATAGAATGATGCGACACTTACGAGTCTGTAAGTACTTTACTCGACCCATGCCACAATTAATAGCCCACTGACGCTTCTCTAGTTCTTTGGGATCTCACACAGCAAGCGCACCCACTGCAGACACGATATAAGCCGAAACTGCAAGCACACTGGGCGTCGCTTATTCAACGTGACCCGGCAATATTGCACGCGACTGTGTGCATGGCATCGTCCAACGATGCGATGCATGCAGGCGAGCTGCCCATTCGAGATCCCAATCAGAAGCGAAGTCAATTGGTGATTGATGTGTTTCACCACCGTGGTGAGACCATTCGCTTGGTGAACGAGGGCCTATCAGATCCCGTAAAGGCATCTAGTGATGTCTTGATCGCTGCAGTTTCCACTCTATTAACGATAGAAGTAAGTGCGGATTTCAAATTCGACCCATGTTGCAAATGAACAGGATCTTCAAAGGTAACTCGTGTTGGTGCTGATACATGTTGCAGATCGCATCGGGCAATCCTGATTACCTCAAAATCCACCTGGCAGGACTGCGCCAGATGATCGCACTGCGAAAGGGCTTTGACGATGTCCCCTCGGATGTCCGGTTCCAGATCTCATGGTTTGTGATATACCCGCGAGAGAAAGATACCGTCGCTAACAAAGCATAGGACTGATATTCGGGTTGCTTGTATGGCACACGCAAAGCCCATCTTCCCCTTCGTCCGCTATAACCGTCCAGTACGACTATCTATCATCCCGCCAACCGACGACGTAGCATTGCTTTCTACCCGCCTCTTCCCGTTACTCAAGATACCCGGCATCTTCGGCGAAGCCATGCCCCAAATTGTATATGATCTCCTCGAGCTATCCTGGTATGCCGAATGGATCAAAGGTAATACCGGGTACAAAGAGTTCAACGAAGAAACGGAGGACTACTTCAACACTGAAGTCTTGCATGTAGAGTACCAGCTACATTCGGATCGATACACACCGACAGGCCAAGTGAAGGGCGACAACTCCATCGAGGGATGCACCCGACTTGCCTTATTGCTCTTCCACAACAGCGCCATTTGGAACTTCTACCCGATGGTCGCACAGTTACTCCCCAAGCCCATTCTGGCCTTGCGCACCGCTCTCGCAGCTACCATTCCCACTGGTCTATTTGCGCTGTGCCGTGACTTACTCTTTTGGATGCTCTTCATGGGCGCAGCCTGCAGTGCAACTCTGCCCTCAGAGCGAGTCTTTTTCGTATCTGAACTGGCTACTGCAGCGCAACTGCAGGGAATTGCTTCGTGGCAGGAGGCCCGCTCTATCTTGTTGGGATTTTTCTATGTCGATCGCATTCACCTGCCTATGCTTCGTCAGATCTGGGACGAGACTCGGTTGCAATTGGACCACTCTGCCGTGTGAACTTGGCTGCTTGGCTAGTTCAGCGCCTTGATTACTTGGCTTCGCACAGCCAATCACTCTTGTAATTTTATTTGCCACTCATCCCATCTACAGGCATAGTGTGTATAGTTAGCCCATACATATTACTTAGGTTGCAAACAACGGCAGGATGCCGATGGCGCCTCTCTCTTCTCGGTCAGCACGGTGCATTCAAGATCCTGTTCAATAGATGTTGGTTGCATCTGGATCAAACAACAAGTCACGTACGTCAGCAAGGCTTGTGGAGGGGACTTCGAGAACCCCATACCAAGAGCGAGCAAACACCGAGTTTCAGGACACGATTCCGATCGAGCCCGGTATAGTCCATAGTGTCGGCATATACACTCAAAAAGGCACTGACAGGGCCCATCAGCCCACTCAGATAAGCCGGCATCCCGAATCCGAACAATCTCCGCCTCTCTGTTGGAACCTGATACGTCGCAGAAATGCCTTCAGAGTAAGCACCGAGCTTCACCCGGATAGGGGCCGGCCTTGGCTCGGCGTTTTGCTCATTTTGATACCTGAGCTCGAGCTTTTGTTTTCGTCTCTCACCATTGAGCCTGGCTTTTCAGGGGTTGAAAAGGAGAGATGATCCATTGCTACTCTTTCAAGGAACGCTTCAAGAGCAGGCTATTGGGAAATTTTGAGACTCGCCTTACAATTATTGGCTTAAAATTCGAACGACTGGCTTGAGACCGAGGAAATGCCGGCCTAGGATGAAGGACCCAGTATCTCCACTTTGACGCATCCCGAACACGGCAGACTACGGCAGGGTTTGAGTATAAACCCTGGCTGAAATCCTGTCGGAGGGAAAAGGAAAAGACGCAGACTGACACACTGTGTCTATACATGATACCCCTTCCCATTTCTTCTTTCTTCCTCCAAAGCTTCGTCTTACTTCTTTGATACTCAAGCCTTCAAGGGTGACACCTTGCTGGTCTGAGTAAGCTTACCATTAGCATTTGGACACAGAATATGTTTCGGTCATTGCTATATGGACTAACGGCCAAGCTCTCGATGACTAGACTTGCGGAGGCTCACTGTTCATGCGGATTCTTTGAAACATTATGGTGGAATACTTCGGTTCCGACAACACCAGCAGGCCAGGCACTCACACAAGGCATGCCATGCCATGTCATGGATGATCCTCTCAGCTTGCAGCTGTCATCCGACGTGATACTGCAAGAACACCCAATCAAAAAGCCAGGGAATTTGTTTCGGCCTTGGGGCGCAAACACCAGACCAGGACATACTAAGATACAGGACATTCCATCACTCATTCGGTACAGATGAGCAATGAAGTTAAGTTACGAGCACAGGACGTTGTCATTAACATGGATGAATTAAATTACGGAGTTTCAAAAGAACTCGCAGGTAAGGGACTAAGTACAGCAAGGAAAAACCCAGAACGCGACAAGCATTGTGCCTGAGGCGCTCGGGAACAATTACAACCAGCATCGCCAACTCTTCCGCAAAAGAGCGCGAAAACCAGCGTAATTTGCGACTGCGCTCGGGAGGATGTTCCGTATTGATCATCCACACGTGGCGACAGTCACTATGCAACGGACGAAACCCTTCGGACCGCACCCCGATCGATCAACGAACAAACGAGTCGATATGCCGGGCGCACGATATGAAGGGGATAACTTCGCCCGCAGCGGGCGTACAACATTGGGTATCGAAAACATTACAAGCACTCGGCGGTTCTCCACTCCCCATTCTTTTTCTCATTAAAAAGAACGCTCATGCGAACACTCGCTTAATCGGACTTGCCACGGCGGCTCTTGCCGGTGGCGGACCAGGGGAAGTGAGCGACGGGGATTATGAAGAAGCTGTTGCTGGTGTCGGCGATACCGGCAAGGGCGTTGTACCAGGCAGCAAAGGCGGCCAGGAGACCGAAGAGACCACCAGCCTTCTCGACCTTGGCGTTGGGCACGTTGCCGGCGCCACGCTGGAGGTAACCGATGCCGAGCAGCAAGAAGGTCAGGTCCAGGAAGAAGAAGAGCAGGAAGAAAGCAACGGTTGACTTGAGGGTGCAGAAGAGCATGATGGTGGTGAAGATGAACCATCCCTGAATTGAGGGTTAGCCGCGGTTCTGGAAAGCATTGCTTTGGGGATGTGGGGAAGGTGCGATGCTCGAGCCGACTTACCATCAAGAAGAGACCGAAAGAGTTGTAGAACTGGGTGGCGTCACCGCCGGGGCTGAGAGCTTCCTTGATCTCGAAACCACCGGGAGTCAAGACAATGGCGAAAGACAACCAGAAACCACCGTAGGAAGAGAGAGCAGTAGCACCGAAAGTGTTACCAACAGCCATTTCCCTGCAAACACGGTGTTAGCACAGGGCCATTTGGTGATGACTCGGGGTTGTGAAACCCCGAGGTCAGAGATACAGAGGAAACGGTTACATACCACATGCCGGAGAGAAGCTGGACAAGACCACCGTAACCGAAAGCCAGAGCGACGACGATGTTAGGCTCGGAGATGTCCTTGGTGCCCATGTTGATGGCGCTCAGGACGAAAGTAGTGAGGGCGAAAGCGCACAGGCCCAGAGGAGCCGGGTTACCGAACTTGCGGCCCTCGACGGGCTTGTAGAGACCGGGCTGGAACTCTCCACCGAAGGCGGGGAGAGATGCCTCGTTGTCATTGACGTGGGCGAGAGGTCCGTATCCGAAGCGGGCGGCGGCGCGGGCCACCTGGTGCTCTTCGGCAGACATCTGGGGTTGCATGGGGGCACCGCCAGCTCCGTTCTGGGGAACGGTACCAATGTCCTTCTCCAGGTCGCCGTGGTTAATTGCTTCAGTCGCAGACATGATGCAATAATTAGAGGGTTAAGTGAGGAGAGAGAAATAATAAAAGCGAGCAAAAAAAGGACCAGCAAGCTGGAAGAGTAAAAGGATCCCGAGTAACACAGTTATTGGGGAGGAAATAGATTCAAATCAATGGAGCACAGCACCTGACTTGAAGAACAAAGAAGTTGAAGAGGTAAGAGCACTGGGGAAAGCTAATATAATATATAATTCATAATATAACATGGAAGAATGGAGGAAGGGAACGATGTGGGACCGAGATGAACATCCAAGAGTTATTTCGTCTTTTTTTTTTTCTTTTCTGGTATATCCTTTTTTTTAAATTTTTTTTTACAGCAGTGATGTGCAGCCGCCAGAAGCCGTCCCACTTGAAAGTAACAAGCTAACAGAGGTTAATTGCCAAAGTCTGGCAGTCCAAAGTGGAGTGCTTCCCTGGTCTGTTGGGAACCGGCTCTGCTATACCCTCGGCCTTGTATTCCTCGGTCCATTTCATTTTGCCTGACCCTTATTTTTTTCATTATATCTAGAGAGGTTTCTTTTTCTTTTTTTCCTTTTGGAATTACAATTGCTAATGGTTTCACAGGGATGTGAACTCACTCCTTAGCCGTAACCCCGTAGGGAACAAAAGCCGAACCAGCTAGGGACGGGAGAACTCTGCATAAGACCATCGAGTGCCCCAAGGCTAATTGGCTTCGGAAAGGCAAGGATGAAAGGAAACAGCATCCCGGGGAAAGGTCAAGTGGGGGAAATACAGGTCTGGGGAACAATGTGATTGGCGCAGTCTGACTGAAGGGCTTTGGTACCCATCGTCATAATTCGCTGTCATTTGGCATTCTGTAGCTCTAGGAGTTCCGGGTATAGTAATAGTACACTAGCAGAAATCCCTTGTTAATTGCATCCTACATCCCTGCATTGAATCCTCCCGTTGATACTCTGTAGTACGTACTCCGTACTTGAACAAATATGTACGAAGTGTTAACTCTAATGATCATTAAGCTTGCAGCAGATCGTTTCAGTCCACGCATTACTCCGTACATAACACCCTGTTAATCTTAAATCCTCCCGCCGTGTCTCCGTAATCAAGTATATACACTGTACTTCTGCTCCGTACAGCCGCGTTCGCTTGAGTGGGTCACAAGGGTCAAGGCTCGAACAGGTCAACTGGAACCTGTAGGAATCGAGAGTGCGAAACCATGATCAACAAGATTGTCCACGATCAACCCACATGGTTCACCTCGGAATAGAAATTGATTGCACCTCGTACACGCGCGGTTTACTGCACAGGTTCTTCCCCTGGTGCGAGAAATGGAATTGGAGTGGGATGTGCGGCTTTGGGGGCGAGATGGGTGGATCGTGTGGATCGGAGGTAGATGTGACTTGCTGTTCACAGCATCACCGGGTGCAATTCCCGGGTACTGTGTACCGAGGGTCGACTGCGTCACAACAAGCCAGTCATCGTGGAATGATTTTCCCATTACTCCAAACTTCCCAGCTTCTTGGAGTATACTGTAATCTTCACAAATCATTGTACTTCGTATATGACTTCTTCATTTTTGGATATTCAAGTGTACAATTCTCTGGTAGCCAACTTTTCTGAACAGCCTCTCAACTTTCCACTTTCCACTTTTAGCCTGATATTCCCGGGGCTGATTACGCACCAATGAATTCATTCAGGTTTTTATTATTTTACAGTCCGAGCAGAATTTTGTACTGTTGACAAGTGAATTAGCTTCAAATCCCATTTTTCCCAGTGGGTCACAACTCTGGCCCCCCTTTTGCCCCTTTTTTGAGTCGGGATACGAAGCACGGATGCACCGCATCTCCGTCCACTAAGGCACGACTAAAGCACCACTAACCAACACTATCTCGCGTACCGCGTGGAGTCGCCGTTGTCGACCAGGTCAATCTTCATCAAACTCCAACGATCCCGGAGGTCCAGCGGAAGATGGATACGTTTCAAATCTCGGGGAAACGGGACAAGATGTCAAACTATTTTCAGTGAGAGAAGTGGTAACGGTGTCGCACAGCCGCGAAGGCGACGAGCCGTGTCTTTTCTCGAATGGGCCATCGGTCCGGGGGGGAACCTAGATCGGCGAGGCTCACGCGAGACTCCCCATTTCCCTTTATTGATTTTTTCCTATTTTGTTTATTGCCTTTGGACGGTGCACTTCGAGCTAGATATGCAGGCTTGTCAAGCTTCATCTCCACATGGTGGCTCTGCAATGGAGTTTACGGCTGACAGAGACACAGTGGACCCCCGTGGACGTCTCAGTGTGCTCCAGTTGGCTCCAATTATAGTGTCCATTGTCTCCAGTCGGCTTCGGATTCGGCCCGTCTCAGAGATTTGCCCGTTCAGGTTCAGAATGCGAGGCTGCTAGATTGTCGAGAACGCAAGGTTCTCCTTTTTTGTTTTTAGTCTTGCTACAAGTACGGAGTATGTGCTACAAATAGTATCTTTGCGTATACACGTATTACTCGCGGGTCGATGTCGTGGCAACGTGTTAGGCGATGATCTTGTGCGGGAATGACGGAGATGATTTGCAATGTTCAAGCATGTAATATTTGTTCCAAGGTTTATACGAGGATGCAGGCACTATATTGCCATAATGCATCCATCATGCAACTTGGCGAGCAACAAGAGGATCCACTTCTATAGCACTATCCCAACAAACCCAAGCAATGTCACATCGTTTACGCCGTGCAGTTCAATTGGTCTCGGAGGGATCTGGCCCTCAAGCTACGGACTCGGATGCACGAAATCTCTGATTGATGGAGTTTCATTGACTGCATGTGGCGGCACTACTGTGTGTAAGCTGTCTATGCAAAGTGACACTCGTACTAATTAGCTCCTTTGGCGTGCCAAGAAGTAACAACAAACAAACGCCACATGGTCAATTAGCTTTGGGCCTGCCATCGGGCTTACCCTTACTCGCTTGATCTGCGGAGCTCGGAGTAGTGTAGTACTCTGTAGAGTGAAGTGTGGTCTTTAGACTTCGAAGTCGAGAGCTTGTCATTCCACTGTGATGTCGATTTAGGCTGCGTGCATGGTCTCAAAAATGAGTCTTGTGATCGTCAGTGCGAAGAATATAATGCACAATGTTTGTACTTAATCTGTAGTCTATTTACTCCGCATAATGTAAGGGAAACACATCAGAAACTGCGTTGGTTTCAACGGCACGAAATACAATTCAGGTTAATTAACCCACGGCCGCTGCCGCTTGTCAGCCTTTTATTGATCCATGAATGGGTCCGGGGTGCGATCATTATTTGGAACATAATTTATTGGGGTTTTCTTTGTATGTACATTCGGCGTTTGTGTTGGGATATCGAAAGAGACCAAAATTGTTCCCTTGCAAATCATCCAGACCGCTTGATCTCTCCAAACAAGCGCGAACTCTACATTATCAAAGCCGCCATTTTACTTCGCAAGAGGCTCCATAACCGGAGCCATGAGCTCATATAGAGCACACATGTCTCTGAACTCGACCTGACCTAACCTGACCGCCACGAGCAATAGTGAGAATCCAAAGTTTCCAGCATTTATTGGATATCTCCACCACACAGCTCAATTATTGTTCCTGGAGCCGCCGACCAATGATCAGATTGATGCCAAGGACCTTTTTGCCGAAAACTGCTGGGCAATGCCCAGCAACCTTTTCCGACAATGTGGAGAGAGCTCAGCCCTGGATGATCGCAAACATTGTTCAAATAGCGTCATGCATCGTCATGCGAGTTTGCGAGGAATCAGTCGATCGGTAAATCGTTGAGCGAAGAGGATTCCCCACACTGGCTCATCTGATCCCCCAAAGCCAAAAGAAAATCCCCGCACAACCCGGACGAACCAGAGTGGACCATGGATTCCAAGACGTCAAAGACCCTGCTGCATCCGGGGTGCTTATGCCGAGTTGTGTCCGAGACATCGGCTCAGCGAATCACGTTCTGCTGTGCCTTTCTGGTACCAAGGTCTTGAGCCCTCGGGTGACCTCATAAAATTTTCTTCGGCTCGGCGGAGCGGAACTTCGTTCTATTCGGCTTTGAAGAATACGAATTCGGATATGCAGTCTCAGCATCGCCGAGCCAGATATTCGCAAAGCCACGTTTTGGCAAAGTCCAGAAGTCCGGATGTCCTCGGATGCGGGGAATCCCAACCTCTTGGTTAGTACGGAGTACGAGTAAGCTCGATGCAGGCTAAAGTACCCCAAGACCAAAAATAGGGAAGTGCATCCATCAAATCAGAGCGTGACTCGGATTTGCTCACTTCCGGGTCTAGATGGCCAAGGTGCCGAGTCTCAATATCTCAAAGAATGGCATGTTGGTTTGAGCTGATGTGAACTTTTGGGATTGCAGCTGAGCGAATAACTCTTGCGAATCAGATGGAGACATCGCTGCCCAAAAAGAGGTTGAAAGGGCGAGAAAGACTGCTAGTTGGAGTGGCGGTCAACCTCCTTCCTTTTCCAAAGGTTGCCTCTTCGCACTTCGCACATTGCCCTGATCCAGCACTCAGCCTGTGGACACAACTCCCATTTCTGTACATTTCTTTATGTCAGACTCTTTGACTTGGTGAAAACACACCCCAATTCTATTAACCACTGACACAGGGAAAGATGAGAATTTGACAACGTCTACCGACCCCAACATAATTCTCCCCAACCAGACTGGACAGGCTAATGCTTGCCAAAAACAGTGCCCATACACATGGTTACGCTGTAGTTATATTCTCTTTCTTCCTATCACAGACCTGGTCATTCCCAGTTCAAGCCGTTTTTCCCGCCCTCGCGTGCGGGGTCAAGCACATATCGTCAAGTCATAATGGAACACTTATCTCTGAACAGCGATCACCTTCCTATCCAAGTCTAGAAACGTCAAAGAGCACCAACGAAGCAGCCTGTCAGAGTGAGCTGTGAAAGGTATTGCTCGCCAACTACAAGTTACGCGCATCAAGATGTGACTGTCACATTGGTTCGCCAGCCGTGCACACTATGACTGCGACTAGGATACGGATAAACATCTCAACCACCAGTCATGAAGCTGATAAGTGCTCAGCTCTGGACTTGTTGCTCTCGATGCCCTCGAGTCAAGCGGCACAGCCCGCACATCTTATCTGTGCTGTGCACGCTTTCACTGGTATCCTGGAAGGACAAGCTTCTTCGGGATGCTACTGCGCAGCTTGCTATCAGAACTTCCTGTTTGTTGGATTGACAGCTTCCTTTTTAGGACTGGTAGCATGGCTCTATCTCCTTCTCAACAGAGGCGAGAGAGGGGTTGAAGCGGAGATGTTGCGCTCAAGCAATGTGTTGACAAGAGTCATAGGTACAAATACCATATGCAATATGAATATCTCAAACAATGATTTTATTTCTCGCAACGGTCTGAACTCTCTACCAAAGTATCGCCGTCATAAATCATCATTTTCATGTTCCAAGTTGGGGTTCGATTCCTGAATGGCCAACAAGCTAACTACACAAACATCCTATGGAAAAATGGGAAAAGACGTATCGGAGACTAATGCCCAGTCCACTGATCAGCATATTGATATCGAGACCAAAGATGGCTTGATCGCGACCGGAAAGGTAGATGCTGCTCTCGAGTTCCTGCGGACGGAAGATGTCGCAGTCATCACCGAGGTGGACGAGAAAGCACTTGTACGAAAGATTGACTGGATGATTATGCCGTTGATGTGGGCTGCGTATAACCTGCAATACCTGGACAAGGTGCTCAGTAGGTTGTCCTAGCTTTGAACAACTTGCTCTCGTCATATTGGGCTGATCATCGTCTCCATGGATGTACAGTCAACTATGCTTCTGTCATGGGTTTGCTCAGTGATACAAACATGCGCACGAATCAATTCTCGAATCTCACTCTTGCGTTCTATGTGACTTATCTTTTTTTCGAACTTCCCACTGGGTTTCTCATGCAACGCTTACCTACCGCCAAATATCTGGGATTCAATGGTATGTAATTGTGGCTGTGAAGTTTGAGAATATTCAGAATCCTGACCGATAAGTCACGCTATGGGGTCTGATGACGACCTTGAACTGCACTGCAAAGAACTTCCCAGGCCTGATGGTTCTTCGTGTATTGCTTGGGTGCTTCGAAAGCGCGATTGCGCCGGCGTGAGTGTGTTGGAAACCCCCTCCACTCACATTCCCTCTGACATTGTGTCAGACTGATCCTTATAACATCGATGTGGTACAAGAGAGATGGTAAGTTGACCACAATAACCCTATCTCAGCATACTAATCAACCACAGAGCAACCACAGAGGATGGGGATATGGTACCTAGGCACAGGAACAGCCTCAATTATGGGCGCTCTAGTAGCATACGGTCTCCTCTTCTATACCTCTAATCAGTTCAAACCATGGCAGATAATGTTCCTTGTCTTCGGTCTGATCACAATCGCTGTCGGTATAAGCATATTCTTCTTCCTGCCAAACAACCCCATGACCTCGCGCCTTACCCACGAAGAGAAAATCCTCGCCATCGAACGCCTGCGCGAGAATCAAACGGGTATTGAAAACAAGCATTTCAAGCGCAGTCAGCTAAATGAGATCTTCCGCGATCCACAGACATATCTCATTGCTATCGTTGTCACAGCCATGGACGTACCCAACGCCGCCATGAGCAGCTTCACCTCGCTCATCATCCAAAACTTCGGGTTCACCACCAAGGAGACCGAACTACTGAATATCCCCAACGGGGCAGTGAGCATAGTCAGTATCCTGACCGCGTCTTACTTCGCCGGTCGATATAACCAGCGCTGTCTCTGTGTGGCTGCATCGTTGGCATGCGGGCTGTTAGGCGGGTGTTTACTTGCTTTCTCACCTGCAGACAAAAAAGGCGCTCAGCTGGCAGGAAACTATTTGACACAAGTCACCGGCTCTGCGCTGCCGATGATGTACTCACTTGCTGGGGCCAATGTCGCCGGTCATACGAAGAAGGTCTCTATGAATGCTATTCTACTCATGTCCTTTTGCCTGGGCAATATCCTTGGCCCGCTTACTTTCCGCACTGAGGACGAACCGAATTACATACCTGCTAAGATAGCGATTGTGGTGACCATCTCCGTGGCAATTGTGTTTACGTTTGCGTTGCGAACTTACTACGTCTTGGAGAACAGACGGAGAGATCGGAGTCAGGAAGGAGCGGTGCATCAAGAGAACTCTGAGTTCTTGGATATGACAGATCGAGAGAATCGCGAGTTCAGGGTGAGTTGTGTATGTTGATGTTGAGGCCATCGCTGACTTGCTGCAGTACAAACTTTGAATTTGCTCTCGAAATGAGCTCTCGAAGTCGTTTCAAGGTTTCCCGAGAGGAAATTGCGGTGCCTGGAATCACCCATATTAGGGACCTATTCACTCTCAATTATCTATTTGTCCCGAGTGGATTAACCTTTCAACGCCCAACAGCTATCCATGGATGTGGGGTACTAGTGTCGAATCATTAGTATGCTCATAATTTATTTCTATTTATTTGCTGTCTCAGTATCGCTATGCAATCATTTCATCAAAACATCACAAGACTTCCATCTTAAGCGGCAGCCTCAATAGACTTCTTAAACTCAGCACTGAAGTCATAGTCGGTGTATCCCTTAGGGTCCTTGGGGACATAGAAAGTATCCCGGTTGTAAGGAACCCAAGGAATGCCCTCCTTAGTACGGAAGGGCAAGTCAGGGTTCGTGATGAACGGACGTCCAATACCAATGATAGCATCATAGTCCGCGTACTTCACGTCAGCAGCTTGGCGGGCAGAATCAGCCTTGTATCCACCAGCAACGATAACAGGCGAAGCCTTGCCGTAAGCCTGCATGAAGAAGTCTAGCTGATCAGTAGACTCCACGTCGGCGTTACCCGCGATGCGAGACTCGACAACATGCGCATACGCCAGCTTGAAAGCCGCCATCTGGGAAGCCAGGTACTCGAATTGCGGCTTGGGGTCGCTCATCCGCATACCCTGGAAGGTACTCCAAGGACTGAAGCGAATACCAGTGCGGTCAGCACCGACGGCATCGACAACCGCGCGGGTAACTTCGACAGCGAACTTGCCGCGGCGCTCGACGCTACCGCCCCATGAGTCCGTGCGCACGTTGCAAGTATCCTGGTTGAACTGATCGATCAAGTATCCATTCGCAGCGTGGATCTCGACACCGTCAAAGCCAGCGGCGATAGCGTTGCGCGCAGCCTGGGCGTAGTCGGCAATCCACTCGTGGATCTCAGACTCGGAGAGAGCGCGCGGTGTGGGCGCATCTTCGGCTGCGGGTGTGGCACTGCTGGAGATGACTTCATGGCCGCCCTCGGCCTTCAGGACGTCTGGGTTGGCGACGCGGCCGAGTGCCCACAGCTGCACGTAGATGTGGCTGCCCTTGGCGTGGACGGCATCAGTGACTTCCTTCCAGGCGGCGATCTGGGCGTCGTTGTAGATGCCGGGCACATTGGGGTAGCCACCAGCACGGGCGGAAATGAAGGTTGCTTCGGTGATCAAGAGGGTGCCGGGGACTGAGGCGCGCTGGGCGTAGTACTCCTTCACGAAGGGGAGAGGAACGTGGTTGTCGTCGGCGCGGAAGCGGGTCATGGGGGCCATGGCGATGCGGTTAGAAAGGTCCACACGGCCGACACGGAGGGGAGTGAAAAGCTTGGTCATTGTGTTGAGTATTATGGTATGAGGGTATAGATGTGTATGAGTATGGAGCACAATTGCGCTTGGGCGAAGAGGGATCAACCCATCTTATATGCAATTGCTTAATATGACCACGATTGTGGGTTATCTCCAAGATTTCCAAGCAGAAGTGGACCTGATCCAAGTTTACATTTGCATCTTTGTTGTTCCAGGGCTTTTAAAGTCGCCGAGGCCCAGGCAATTGGCGCCTCTGATTTGCGGTGAAGGCTCTTCGGGTCAATTAATAATGTCCGTCTGGTGGGTCACACCTTGCGCGATTCGGCAGTTACAAATCGCATAGAACCGGAATCAAGACTCTGGATAATTGTGGATCATTGTAGATTGTAGTTGGTGGGCAAGAATATCGCGAAATGCCATCTGTTGGCTCACAGGAATCATTGCAAGTGCTGTCTGGTATCATAAACGGTGGACGAACGCCAAAAAAATAAAAGTCAATTCCACCTTATCGCTCCAGGCGACCCATGGTGGCTTCAAGCTGCGCATTGAAATTCCGAATTTGATGAAGAAGCCCGCCTTGGCCTCCAGGGGCTCGGGCACTTATACTGGCGACAGTACGGAGCATGAACTCGAGGTCTGCGGGAGAAGAATCTGCTGGAGCTGGCCGTTGCTGGTTACGCTCGAGGGCCAGCTCTAGACTGTGAAGAGAGTTGCTGATAGCGGTTCGTGACTAGCAATATGGTTAGTGTGTTGTTGGAATCTGCAATGTATAAACTCACGGTCTTCGATTTCTCCTCTTCGATGTGTTTGCTGCGCACTTCATCCATCTGCAAAGCCACATGCTCTCGTTCTCGACGAAGCCGATATAATTGACCTCGAAGGTCCATCATCTCGCGCTTGGTCTTCTTCACTTGCACGCCCAGCACAAAGTTGCTGTCTAGAATTCCACTTAGGTCCATGAGGCGGCTGTCAAGCTCAGAGGCAAATATCTCAACAGCCTTCTTCTTGCGTGACCATTCTGCACGCCGCGTAGCATTTGCCTCGTTTTCAATCCCGTCTTTCAGTGTGTTTAGTGTCTTGTCGAGGGTTTCGCGACAGATCTGACTCAAAACATCGGCGGGGTTGACTCCACCCCGATTTGGAATCTTGGTACGTTGACCGGACATGAGTTCATCAGCGGAATCCTGATCACCACCAGCCCCTTCGGCCGCGGCCTCTGTATCACCCATAGAATTGACATTAGCAAGACGATAAACGGTGACTGGGACGGTTTCCCCGCGAGGTTCCCGCGTCTTGCGACGAGGCTTCTCTCGTGCCGATTCACCTTCTGGGTCAACTTCAGTCTCGGGCTCGTGCTCGGGCTGCTCAGCTTCAGCTTCAGCCTCGGGCACGGTCTCTGGTTCAGGCGCGGCGGGTATTGGTTCAGGTTCTGTTCGGCGTTTGGTCTTCTTAGATCTACCACGCTGAACATTGGGCGCTACAGACTCTGTCTCGGGTTCCGGTTGGTCTCGCGTCGCCTCGGCCTCGGGTTCAGGCGCAAGAATCGCTGCCTGTTTGGCCGTCTTCCCGGGTCTTCCGCGCCGAGGCTTTGAGACTGCAGCTGGATCTTCCGCTTGGGGCTCTGGATCTTCCTCTTGGGGCACTTCGTGTTCCACAGCGCGTTTTTGTTTCTTGCTCGGTCTGCCACGTTGTGGTTTTGGTACTGTATCTTCCACTTCTGGTTCCAGCGCAGGCTCGGGTCGAGTATCGGGCTTGTCTGATGCGGGGCGGCCCCGACGCGCCTTCAATGGCACCGCGGTTACATCTGGCTCAGGTTCAGAGGGCACCTGCTCGGTCTCAGTAGCATCGGCGATACTTTTACCGAGCGAAGGTCTACCGCGAGGCCGCTTGGCCTTCGAGACTGTCTCGGCCTGAGCTATCGCAGGCTGTGTATGTGGTTCGACTTCAGGCTCTGCTGCTGTGTTGTCCACCGGCAGTTCTGGGGATTGAGCCGCAGAAGCTTTGCGTGCGGCGCGGCCCCGAAGCTTGTTTGCTTTCCTAGAAGGCCCTTCGGAAGACTTGTTCTGTTCTTCTGTGCCCTGATCTCTTTGCTCAGAGCTCTTTTCTCTAACAGGCGAAGCAACAGTCGGCGCATGAGAATGCTCGACGGTCTCGGCTGGGCTTTTGCGTTGCGGATCTGCAGCAGCTGTTCCATGTCTTTGCTCAATAGTCAGAGACTCAGTCCTCTTTCGTCGAGTCTGTTGTTCATGTTCAGGAGGTGACTGTAAAGATTTTCGTTTCGCGCTGGATACTGATGTACTCTCATCTTGCATAGGTTGTGGTGAATCTCGGGGCAGGGGAGATTTAAGCACAGTAGATGGTGCTTGATCTTTCTCGTTCGCTGCAGTCTGGGCAAGATCATCACCCAAGGGTTCACCCTGGACCAATTGCTCGTTGACTGGCGAGATTGCCGGTTCTGTTGCTAATTCAACGCCATTGGCCTCTGGCTCCCCATCGCCCTGATGGTGGTCTTGGATAGAAGTCTCGGTAGTAGACGGCGAGAGATCTTGTAGATGTGCATCCCCGTGCTTCCTTTGTTTGTTTCGAACATCTGTATCAGAAGTGCCCGAGATGAGGTCGGTCGGCGGCTCTTTGCTTTCTACTTGCACACCACTTGACTCAACAGTGATATCCTCGTTATCTGGCCGAGAACCTTTCAAAGATATTAGCATACGCGTTTGGCGAACAGCATCAACCAGGATCCAAACGTACTGAGCTTTCTCCTCTTGTTGCTTCTGACATGCTCGCCTCTATCGTCATCCAATGGTATGTCATAGGTCGAGGGCCGTTCTGGGAACTTGTTACGCGCGCTTGCTGGTGTGCGCTGTACTGCAGGAGCTGGCGAAAACGGTTGCGATGACACTGAAGGGTTTGGTATTGTCACCGGCGCGGTCTGTGTTTGTGTCGGTTTGTTCTCAGGGACAATAGCAAGCGGCGCAGGTGCTGGCGGTTGGGCTAGGGGGCTGCCGAATGCGAATCCAAAATCTACTTCTTTGGCTTTGCGCGTACTGCATCGAGTCAGTATCTCTTGTTATGATTTCGCGGGGTATAGGCAAGGCGCGTACCCAGCTCCGCGCTGTCGCATTTGCTGCCGCTCCTCTCGCGCTACCTTTCGTTAGCATCCAATCCATGCGTATAAAAAGCACAATTCACATACTGCCTTCCATTGTCGAGGAACGGCGTCGAAAAAGACGCGTGTTGTTGGTTGAGGAGCAAAGCCAACGGCGGACGGAGCCAAGACGATCGGGGCCGATCCATTTTTGAACCCGATTTCTCCGCGCCGTTTGTACTCCATCACGTCAATACGCCTCTTTCAATCACCAGTCTTCAAAATGGGTTGGTTCTGGGGTGACAGCAAGAACGATCCTGTTCAGAAGCTCGAACCGGGCCTTCGTGACTATCTCGAGCAGGAAAAACCCGACAAATATGTTCCTGGTCCTAATGTGAAGCCACCACCGTCGACACCCGCGCAAACCCCCGAGCCTTCTGATCCCTCAAAACCCAAAGTCCCTGCGGCTTCGCTCTACCAGGATGGGCGATACGCGGATCTATGGAAAACCTACAAGCCACCCGCGGTGGACGATGGAGAACAGGTCGGAATCCGCGGGGCGTCACGAGTGATTGAAAAGCACAAAGAGCATGGAGATACAGTGCAGCGGGCAGCAATGGAGAACTGTGCTCTGGAACATGAAGCCTTGACCTACTGCTTCCAGACCGGCAATTGGCGCAAGCAAATAGAGGCTCGATTGACCTTGTGCTCAGCCGAGAACAGTACCTTCTCCCGATGTTTTATGACCCAGACCGTGAGTCGCCGCACGCCAAAGACTTGCCCGTTCTTACCACTAACGTAACTGGATAGAAATTCCTTCAGGCCCTCGGGTACGCAGCTGGGTTTGACTACGACGCTGAAAAAGAAGAGCGCATTCAGTTGCATGCCGACAAGCTTTACCACCAGATGCTCGACTATGAAAAGCGCATCGAAGAAGCAAAGACTGCCGGTGTAGAGCCGCCGCCTCTCACATCGTTGTTCCATCCCGAGAAGCACTCGCCTGCACATGAAAGCCAAGGGGTCGAGATCCCGGGAGGGGAGGCAATTCCCGCAGGCTTCAAGCCATCGAAGCCCCTTCCCAAGCTTACTCCACACGAACGTGAGTTGGAAATCAGAGCACACAATGCACAGCTAGAGCAACAAAAGATGTTTGTGGATGAGGCTACGCCGTTCATGAAGTCCCAAGACGATGCTCGACAGAAGCGGCAAGAGAAGGCCGTCAGCTGGTTTGGAGAGACTCTGGGCAAATGGCTGTCTTAGTGATCTTGGAAATCCGTGTAATATTATGTATAATTCCAAGGCGTTGAGGATCACAATATAGATGCAAGATTGCCCAGGTGGCCATGTAGCCCTACTCCGTAGAGACCTCGAGGAAGGGTATGCGGGCAATTCATGCAAGCAATAAGCGGACATTGTGCATTGCAAATATGTGCAGTTTTATTTGACCAAAGAATGGAGAAATACGAGAGCAACTGAAAGACTACCTGATGTTACCTAGTGGTATGTAATCCCTGGCCTATCTAATCGTGCCGGTCGCGTCCCCAACTCGAAGCATCATCGGAGAATCACGACTCTTATCCCCCTGCTCATACTACCTTCCTCCCTTCTTGGAAGTTGCCCCCGCTTGCTCAAAGCTTCGGCTTACAACATCCGCCGTCCATATTCAAGCGATCATCAGGGTCGGAGAACCTTACAACTTGGCCTTCAACTTGCAATCGGGTACTCAACAGCTTGTTGAGCTGCGCTCGCCATGAGGGCCACTCCTTTGCTCATCTCATGGCACAATGATAATGCCCCTATCTATTCGGTTCATTTTGACCCCAATGGCAAGGGCAGGCTAGCCACTGCTGGAAAGTACGTCGTGTTTGGTCCCTCAGAGCGCTGGATAGCTACTAACTAACGTTTTCTCTCTGCAGTGACAACAACGTCCGAGTATGAAATCCGTCCTCGCCCTCCCTCGGAAACCTTGATCTGACAATCTCTTGCAGCTTTGGAAAGTTGACTCTACTGGCGAAGAACGGAAGGTGACCTATCTGAGCACACTCATTAAACATACACAAGCCGTTAATGTGGTGCGGTTCAGCCCGAAAGGTATGTTCCTCTGCACGAGAACACAACGCACAAGTCTGACGGATGCAGGTGAGATGTTGGCGTCTGCCGGAGACGATGGGAATGTCTTACTCTGGGTACCCTCGGAGCTGCAAACACAAGCTGGACTTGGGGAAGATCGCTCGGACGACAAAGAGACATGGCGAGTGAAGCACATGTGTCGCTCCTCCGGCGCTGAGATCTACGACCTGGCCTGGTCACCCGATGGTGTTTTCATAATCACTGGCAGCATGGACAACATCGCACGGATCTACAATGCTCAAACTGGTTGGTCGCCGATGTCTTGATGAATCTCCAAGACCAATCACTGACACTTGAACCTCGCAGGACAAATGGTACGACAAATCGCAGAGCATTCACATTACGTTCAAGGTGTAGCATGGGATCCGCTGAATGAGTTTGTCGCTACTCAGTCATCTGATCGATCCGTTCATATCTACACCCTGAAGAACAAAGATGGCCATTTCACATTGACACCACATGGAAAGGTGTTGAAGATGGACCTGCCGGCAAAACGCGTCTCGAGTAGTCCTGCCCCTCCGGATGTGACTAGTCGTCCTCAGCAGAGCACTGGGAACGCCCTCGCGATTGCCTCACCTGCCCCCTCGACCCCGGGCACACCGATGGCTTCCAACTTGCCTATGGACCCTCCCCCGGTTTCTCACAGTCGCCGCTCTTCTTTTGGATCATCACCCTCAATTCGGCGCTCTGCATCTCCTGCTCCCTCGCTACCGTTGCCCGCCGTCAAACCATTGGAAGTGTCATCTCCGAGTCTTATTGGTGGCCTAGGAGTCAAAAATGCCAACATCTATGCCAATGAAACATTCACGTCTTTCTTCCGGAGACTCACGTTCGCTCCTGATGGAAGCCTGCTGTTCACTCCAGCCGGTCAATTCAAGACTACTCACGTCTCAGCTGTGGATTCTGCCAAAACCACAGACGAGGTCATCAACACAGTCTACGTCTACACACGAGCAGGCTTCAACAAGCCCCCAATTTCTCACCTCCCAGGACATAAAAAGCCATCCGTGGCCGTCAAATGCTCCCCAATATACTACAAGTTAAAACAACATGACCAACCAGCGAAGAATGTCACACTTGATACCTCTTCAGGCGAAGAGATGTTCCCGTCTCTTCCCGACCCTGTTGTGTCGGCAACTCCCTCACTCACTAGTCAGCCCCAAATGGATCCGCCGTCCTCGACATCGAACGAAGCCTCCAAGGCGCAGGCATCGCCTCAGACCGCTGATAGCGGCAACAATGAGGCGAGTCAACAATCGGCACCTGTGTTCGCACTACCATATCGAATCGTGTATGCAGTTGCCACACAAGATGCTGTCTTGGTTTATGACACCCAACAACAAACTCCGCTATGTGTTGTGAGCAACCTACATTTTGCGACATTCACAGACCTGACCTGGTGAGTATTATCAAAAAACTGTTCAATATTGTATAAAACTGTGTACTAACCAAACACAGGTCCACTGACGGTCTGACACTACTGATGAGTTCCTCTGATGGCTTTTGTTCCTCTCTTTCATTCGCTCCCGGGGAATTGGGACAGCCACATGCTGGCCCTACCTCTGTGGGCCAAAGCACTGCGAATCCAAGCACACCCGCCGCAACTACTACGCTGCCGACTTCGACGCATGTTCCATCCCCGGTCAAGACGAATGTCGCGTCTACGGCTACCACAGGCCCTGTGCCACCAGCGAGTCCCGCGCGCTCCACCTCCGCCTGCTCGGTGGCAACTCAATCTTCTGTCCAACAAAACCCAGCCGGTGTTGTCAACAACCCTACGCCTACACTCGGAAGCGTGCCATCGGTAACAGTGGCACACTCAGCACAGCCGGCAACACTTCCCCTCCCTCTCACAACCCCACCACAAACACCCGTTTCCAGCACACCACAGGCCTCTGCATCGTCCAGCAGTGTATTGGGGAAGCGCAGCGAGTCAGAGAGCGAAGGCAACAAGGATGCTGATCCTGGCGTTACCCAGCAGTCCAAGAAACGCCGTGTTGCACCCACTCTCATCTCCTCGGGGACTAATCCATCATCTGGGGACTCGAAGTCTTGAAATATCCATGATCCCGCTTCTCGAATCCTTTCGAGTTTTGATGGAACCAATGACCAACCAATATTCCCCCCTGACTCTTTATGATTCATGCTTGTTTTTCCTAATCATTCTTCATTCATGAATTGCGGCTCGAGCATCTTGCTGCTTTCTGTCTGCATCTTCATTGCACTTGTTTCTGACCTGGGCATGTGACTCTCGACCCTTGAACATGCTTTTGTCTCTTAGTGGTTTTTCTTCACTATTTCTACCGGGTTATGGCTGCTGTCCTAGATGGATTCCCATTTGCCACCGGCTTCTGCGATCCCATGATTTATGTACTTTTGCCACTTTCAATAAGTCACCATTTTAGATGCTCTTCCAGGCCTATTCTGGTCGTGCACTGTAAAATCGATATACGGTTTGAGAAAACAGAGCGGATCCTCACCTCCACTTTCTTCTAGAGCTTTGAAGATCTTCAGAGTACATTCTAACTTAGAAAGCTCGAGTGCTCGAAGCAACGTGAACTTCGTATTGACCTCAACAAATTTCTAGGTAAAGACTGGCATGCTAATAATCATGAGGTGATAATGATAAGCCCTCGAAACCGAAAGGATCTGGGTCTAGCTCCTGTCCGTCCCACAACATTAGCCATCTCATAAGCTCCCAGAATGTGCACCCATCCGGCAAAGTAAATTTGGCCTCCTTGTGATGCTCACCGGTCGCCAAGGTGAAGACGTAAAATCGATTTCCAGCTCCTGTGAACTGCAAACGAGGCGGAGGTGGAGTCTCAGCCATCTCGTTTGCCCAACGAAACAGCGCCGCGTTATCTTCAGAGTCACCAACTACCAAAACGTACTCAGGGTACTCGATGTCGTCGATATCGTCAACGATATAGCGGGCTGCTGCACCTCGGCCTTGGGATGATAGAGGCAGCTCAACAGAGACTGATGTCTCCTTGCGAAGTACTTGGAATATGAATTCACCGCGGGCTCCATTGATCTGATCTGCTAACTCAGACGCCTGGCGAGCGGCAACTTCGCGGTCCAACGCACCATCGAAGTGGAAAACCAATGACCAAGGAGAAGCCTCGATTCGGCTGCCTTCTGTTCGCTCTTGGAAGGAATCCATCAGTTTCCGAATGCTGGGAAGCCATTCTGCATTCGTGATCGAGTATTGAACCCAGGTTTGAGCGTTTGGATGTCGTATCAATCCCTCGTTCTCGAGAACTACGCCAACAGTGGAAGGCAGATTAGGAAAGGATCCATTAAGCTGATCTGAGGTTTTCCTGCTGACGATGTATAGCCTGTTACTCATCCGTTTAAAGAAAGGAGCGAGAATCCGAAAGAATCCCTCATAGAAAGGAGAGCTCTCCGTGGTGGGATCTTGGCCGGAAATGACCAGATCTTCGAAGAAGAACAGACGGGATCCGGTTTTGCAATATAAGATAGCAAGCGAATCTCGTGAGAGCGGAGTCAATTGGGCTTCGCGAACGTACTGTACTGTGCGAATATCATCAAGTGCCATCTGCAGATTTTCATACCAGTTGATGGCAGTATAATCGGCCATCCGGCGACGCAGTCTTTTCCATTCAATCAATCGACCAGCTGCAGATCTTGATAGCGCGAAGCGAATTGCGGCAGCACACTGTTTGTAGTTCCATGGGTTGACAAGCAGCTTACTGGCTTCTGATCTTGGGCCATTGCAGTCATGAAAGACCGAGGCACTTCCCACAAATTCGCTTATGATGAGAGATCCGTGCATGCGAATCCCGTGTTTCTCACCTTGACAAAGGATATATTCGTGACTGGTCAAATTGATTCCCTCGCGCAGACCAGTTGCCATGAAGACCTCGGCAAGCATCAGCAAAGCAATGAGTTGAGGAGTACCGATGTCTTCCTGAAGCAACACCACCGGCTGGTGAACCGTAGACGAGTATTTCTTGTTGATTCTCATCGTGATTTTGGAGACCTCTGCTTCAAGCTCTGGAACTTCACCTGCAGAAGATATCACTTGGATCAGAACTACCTATTTGTGTGTCAGTATGTGCAATAACATCACAACCAATGTGGATAATGCCTCACGTCGTTTCTCAGCTCAGGGTAAGATTTTAGCATCAGCTCAAATGCCAGGAGCCTTTGCTTGATTCCTCCAGACACATCCAATCGGTCTCGAGCAGCAACCAACCTCTTATTTCGGTACCCGTGTGAAATACTGCGGATCCAGCCTTCGACTTCTGTGCTCTTGCACAAGAGATTTAGGGACGACGGATCAATCCCCATGGGTATGTTCACAACACTGACAGCCCGACCGTTAAAGATGACTTCACCGGCGGAGATATCCAGTCTTCGGAGTCGGCTACAAGACTGCAGAAAATGATTGCGATATTCCTCCGTCTGGAACCCAATCAGGTCGGCGCCCAGCATTCCATCGAGAAGCTGATCGCGGACCGATAAGCAACGAAAAACTTCCGAAGAGGGAAACGGGGTGTGCAAGAAGAATCCAATCTCGATATAGAGCTCGGGTCGTCTTTTTCTCAATAGCCCAGGAAGAAGCATAAGGTGATAGTCATGAATCCATATTCTATCACCGTCCTTCAAATGATCGACTATCACATCTGCAAACTTTTCGTTGAGCTTGACATATTTGTCCCAAGCGAAACGATCGTAGTGGGAGTGCCGCGGACTCTCCTGCCTCTGATAATGGAGAACTGGCCAAAGTACCGCATGGCAGAAATGATTGTAATGACCCTCGAACTCGGTGTCTCCAGCAAAGACAGTCAAGCATCTTTGTGCTTTCTGCATAAAGTTTGCGATATCGCTTTTTGTGTCTTCGGTCAATGAATCAGTGGGCATACCAAGTGTTCCTATCCACATGTGATTGCACAAGATACCGTTTCTTTCCGCGGCATTCATGGCATTAGACACACCTCCAAGGCCTTTCTCGGCATTCTTGACTAACCAAAGGTCCTCGGAAATAAAATTCCGTGGGAGATCCGACTCTCCTAGGTCCTCAGAGTCCTGTGGCCCATCGAGGGATAGGTTCGCTCCTGAGGCCTTTCGTGGACCAGATGTTCTCAGCATGGAAGGTGTCGGGATTTCAGTGGCTTGAGATATGGGCTGCTTGAGCATTCGGCTGTGACCCCAGGTAACATCGCGAGGCTCATTGGGGCTAAGTCCAAATCCCATCTCCGGTCCTTTTCGCGAAGTATACCCAGCAAATACCTTCTCGTTGTCTATGGTGGCTCCAGGAGTCCGTGGGAGCTGCACTAGGGGCTGGATATTCTGCTCATCTGGAACCTCTTGGCCTTGATCAGCCATATATCCAGAGCCATCGACCGCATAGTTGGCTGGAGGTGAAGCCACTCTATCCTCGGCATAGTTGTCGAGCCCGAAATCAATAGTGTAGGGGAGGAATCTTGGCTTTGTTAGACTCGGCTGTCTCGTATATGTAGGGTACTCACAAGGATGCAGTGTAGAACGTCATTGAGTCGGTTTGTACGTCGACGAAATCGATATCCTGTGGGATAAATGTGGCTCCTGGTTCCAAGGCTCTTAATCTGCCACCTTGGAATAGTTAAGAATGAATGGGCATTGTAGTGCCAAGGTGGAAGTGAATGGAATGGTGATACCCGTGGAGTGGACATGGGGATGGAAGTAGAGAAGGTTGGCCCATCGTCGCTGCCATATTCCACTTCACCCATAGACTAACCTTGGAACCAAGTTTCCTCCACTTGGGCAGGCCTTGATGATTTGCGGGCCTTGCAAGGTGTTCCATCTTCATCGTTGGATTCTTGGAATACCCGAATGCGAGTGCCAGGTGATATCGTAGTTTCATCGGTGAAGGAGTCAACACATGCACCTGGACACGCGCCAGCTCCCTTTGAAGGTCCAAAGTTCCAAGCGACCTCCAGGACTTGAAATATATCTGAGTAAATTAAAACTTTGCCCAGGTCCACGGGTGTTGCATCTCGCAAGCAATCAAGAATCCTAGGCATTCCAAGGTTTCGCCCTGTGGTTAGTGCTTACTTGAGATATTGAGCCGCAAGGTGTCGGATATATAGCATCGCATCCTGAGGTCCTTATCTACCTAGGGATTTAATTTACATCCATATATGCATTTGGGCAGCCCCGAGGGACGGCCATAGGGGAAAGTTCCAAGGTTTAGAAAGCATGTACCTAGGTATGCACCTAGACACGACCGGAGAATAAATGTGTAAACCGACCTACGAAGTTGCTCTTCACAACCTCACAAGTAGAAAATCAAGGAAAGACCTTGAAAAGACATTGAGAATACTAGAAAGCTTGCGAAAAATATGGCCTGCAGATGTGAACGCGCAATCGCCGAGCACTCAGGCAGTCATCGTCCAACGAGAAGTCGCATTGTAGTTGTTTAGAATTTTTTGGGCTGAAAAAATAAGAAAGCAGGACTCAGATAGCCACTGGGACTACCTCGAGAGCCACCACGTTCAATTCGACAAGCGCATGTCCACGTCTTCAAGTGGAGCGACGAAGTGTTTGTTCCCCCTCCCCCTAAAATCTGCACGTTAGATGATAACACAATGAGCCAATGACGCAAACGATGAAAGGCGTTAGGCGTGAGCGAGGCGCTAGCCATGATAGGACAATGGCCCAGGAGTATTACGAAAGTGAGTGGTAGGCGAGAGAGAAATGAAAACGAAAATGACGCTAGTCAGTTAGTTCAACGATTTATCGCAAGAGCCGCGTACACTCGGACCAACGACCATAACCGAGCATATTGCTCCGAGAAGCTGTACCCGAATGGGAAAAGGCACGACCCAAGCCGTCGCATCACATAGACAGGCTAAATAGCAAGAGGCGAGTGAAAATTTCTAAACGTCAAAAGCTTGCGACAGCACAAGAGCTAGAGTGGATCAGTGCGTGACGACCCGGTCCGCGCTAGCCAGCACTATTATCTCATACCTCTGCTGGAGCCCGAATGAAATTGTTTGGTTGACGGGAAACTGGAAGAACGCATGGAGATCAAGGTCGATCCACGTCAACGCAAGGACAAGCACTGAAGTTGCAGCACGACACACTGTCCCCGTTGAGTGCGTGTCCTTTCTTGGCTCGGGACGGCACGCGCACGTCTTTTGAATGAGGTTGCCACCCTCGCATTGTCACACGGATTGACAGATCTTCGGGAGGTGTGGAGAGACGCGCAGGTATTGACCGTCGACGCGTGGAAAGGCGGTGCGCGGACCGTTGCATTGGCGAGCGAGGGATCCTCGTATCAACTTGGCATGAAGAAAAAGTGTAAAGCCAAGCTCATCGGATACGTCAAAAGTCTTATGAGATAAGCAGTGTCTTAGTTCATTTTTCGTTCAAGCAATGAGCTCCAGGAGATGACGCGGGTCTTGGCGCTTGGCGTCCGGGGATGGAGTCGCTCGGCACAATACGCCCGAATTGTTGTTTTTTTGCTTTCTGCACTCTATTGGCATCCTCATCCCGCAATAATTGTTAGTGCCTTGCATAAAACAAGATTTTTCGGTTGCTTGATCATTTTGGGCAGGTCAGATGAGCCGACCAAAGGTGATTAGTAGAAGAAAAGAAAGGAAAAACAAACCAACCAGACATTACGGAGTAACTGCCAGGGGAAATTGCGAAGCATTGCCCTCAAGGGCTTTGAGTCAGGCTTCGTCGCAGCCGCATTGTAACATTATAGAGTACCAAAATCTTCCGATACGCGTTATGGGTCTTTCTTCTTCTTATGCGATCCTGGTCAATATACCACCCAAGGCTGCGCGGTCGCACAGCCACTAAGTATAGCCTTGAAATATTACTAGGGTCAAACGCGGCTCGTCTGAAACAACGGCGGCTGATCGGTTTCCCCGGATAGAAGACAGAAATATCCGAAGCTCAGGGCTGAGCTTCGGCCCTGAGCTTCTGTTGATTATTGACATGCCGCAGGGGAACTCTCACTGTTGCACCCGGACATACTGATTAATAATGAACGGTTGGCCCATGGTGGAAGTGGAACATCATTAGAGTGCTAAGTATAGTATTGGCTTCCTTTACCCCTGATTCACATACAGGACAATATCTACTGAGCAGCCTAGAGACGGCTTGGGCTGTAGATCGAGTCGGAGCCATGGAACCGAGAATGGGCCTGTCCTTTGCGCATGAAAGAGAGAACCCTGAGCGCGATGGGTCACTTTTTAGGTCAGTCAGCATGATCGAACATTCAACAGACACATAACTATGATCTGACAGACGATGAGATTCTGCAGGTTTTAAAATATGGAAAGATGTCGAAGATATTCTTAATTGCAGTAGATCATGAAAAGCGATGTTGCAACATACCTCGTATAAGATGCCAAGATCTCCTTGCGCTAAACCGCATTAGGGGTGTCAGCACCGCCTAAAGGGGCTTAGGGCGGTGGAGGCACTAGGCCGATCGGTGCAAAATGCCAAGCCTCTTGATTGCGCGTCTCCAGCCTTTGATGTTCGATGCCATTATGGCCGCGCAACCTGATCTTCTTCCCTTTTTGCTCTGTTGGGGCCCGTTTTTCCCTCTGGTCATTTGATATTCCAGCGGCTCAAGCCGATGCTTGATCGTGTACGGAGTATACACACTTTACGATCTCCGCATGTCATGTTGACGACAGTTAGGGCTTCTCAGGGCTGTTACAGATGAGCCACGTAAGGTGGATATCCACTTGTGCAGCGTACAGTGTAAATTGTAAAATAGAGTCGTACAAATAAGAGTGAATTGCATATAGTCAGAGGTTGGGGAGTTTTTAGTAGATACATTAGGGTATGAAGATAATGGTCCATATGGAGTACTGCATATAATAGAAGACAATAGACAAAGCAAAAGCAAAAGAAGCATGAAAAAAGAAGTGCCAAGGGGAGTTACGTGTTCACGGACGAAGCAGCAAAATTACGGGAAAAAAGGGTCCTTTTCTTGGCTTTTTCCGTTTCGCACACGCGGCTTGGCCGCGGGGCCCGTGATTGGGGCGAGACGCTGACGACGCTCGTAATACACCGTACGGACCCTTCGACTCTCTCTCTCTAACTTGTAACTCTCTCTTTCCAAGGGACCTCTCTCACTCTCTTCTACATATCCAAGCGTGATTTTTTCCCATTAGTGCTACGTCAACTGTAGCGTGGCAGTCCCTTCTTTTACTGCTCTCGCCTCCGACTCCCTTTCTTACCTCTTCCTCCAATTCCGCCCTGGGTCAAATTGACCTCCTTCGCCCCATTTCAACCTGGATTTCAACACTCGCCGTCTTCGAAGTCTGCCGTGACTTCCCTCACTAACTATGGCGGACGGCAGACGGACACAGTCCCCCAAGGACTACGATGCTGCCTCTCTCACCAGTGAATTTGAACAACTGATGCGCACCAAGCGTTTCAACCGCCTTCAGGAACGCTCCCACTCTCGCTCCCACTCGCCATCACCATCTCCAATGTCCAGCTCATCAATCCCACCACCTCCCTCACGGGCGCCACCACCACCGCCCTCACTCGGCGCTCCTGCCTCACCTCCCAAACCATCGACTACTCCATCAGCACTGCGCGGCCTTCCGATCATGCCATCGCCCCCTCAGGATCCCGCCTCACTCAAGTTCTTTAATTTACTCAAGGGGTTGTCGGTTACGCCGACCAAGTACGAAAACCCCGGCCTTTTGGATGAGGCTCTCTGTGTGATTCCACTCGATCGCTTGTATTCCGAGGCCGAAGAAGAGTCCCAGATTATGCAGGCTTCCGCCGCCAGCGTGTCAGGGAAGCCGGAATGGGGCTACCAAGATTGTGTCATCCGTGCATTGCTCAGGTATGTTGGAATTCCCGAGCGATCTAGATTCATTGCGCCCTTGCTAACAACGTTCTAGATGGTTCAAGGGATCCTTTTTCCAATTTGTCAACAACCCTCCTTGCTCCAAGTGCAACATGCCCACCATTGCCCAAGGCATGACACCGCCCAGCCCCGACGAGACCGCCCGCGGTGCCACCAGAGTCGAACTATACCGATGCTCCGATAATAGCTGTGCCGCCCACGAACGTTTCCCTCGATACTCCGATGTGTGGCAATTATTGCAATCCCGACGAGGCCGGGTAGGTGAATGGGCCAACTGTTTCAGCATGTTCTGTCGCGCGGTCGGCGCCCGAGTCCGCTGGGTCTGGAACTCCGAAGACTATGTTTGGACCGAAGTGTACTCCGAGCACCAACGCCGATGGGTACACGTCGATGCCTGTGAAGGTGCCTGGGATCAACCTCGCCTCTACACGGAAGGATGGCAACGCAAGATCTCATACTGCGTGGCATTCTCTATCGACGGCGCCACCGATGTCACCCGCCGATACGTTCGCAACTTCTCTCGCCACGGCAGCCCTCGCAACCGCGCCCCCGAGGAAGTCGTCCTCTGGTCCATCCACGAAATTCGTCGCAAGCGCCGCGAGAACATGTCGAAGACCGACCAGCGCCGTCTGATCAAGGAAGACGAGCGGGAAGAGAAGGAACTCCGGTGCTACATGGCCTCTGCTCTGGCAGCAGAGATCAACAACATGCTCCCACGCAACCTCACCGGTCGCCCCGAAGACCAGAAGCACCCTGGTGCGCGCCAAGAGGCCTCCACCGAGTGGCTTGCCGCCCGCGGACATGGCCACTCGGGCCCCGACCGTTCTCATGAAGGCCGTTAACCCACAAACGAACAATATAGTATCACATCTTTCCTTTGTCCAGATGATATCCATCTGGACTCCCCATTGATCAAATGATCGCACGACCCGGTTCCTCACAGTCCAAGTATCTAATTGGGAGACTGGCCGGGCGCGGCGGCTTTGAACGCATTCTCCTGCAACGTGGATTCAAATCATCGACCCAACCCTTGCGATCGCACCAGGCGACCCACCCGCGTTGCCGATGGCTTGAATAGCCATCGGCCCAACCCAATCATGCTCATCGGAGAGCACATTCATTGGGTGCCTCTGATGTGTGGGTTTCTGGATTGCGAATCCAGGGTTGGTGATATTCACCTCTACGATCATCGATCATACAAGCACTCCGATCCCTGAATCCTACACGACACTTGATATTCCTTTACATCTCGAGAGTTGGAGCCAGGTCATCTGAGCATCCACTCTTTCGCTTAATATGGGTTACAATCCGGCGGAATTGCATCACGGCATTGACTTTAGCATGGTTTTTTGGACGGCGCCCACGGTGACAACGATTTTTATCGTTTTCATTCTCTCAAATTTTCCTTTCTAATCTGTTTTTGGAATTGTTCGACGAGGCACATGCTGTACGAGTCACGGACGAACCAAATTTTTCTACGATGTCTCTTTTCTGCATGTCTGGCAGGATCACCAGTTCGATCTCTGATTTTCTTTTCTCTTTTCTTGATATACCTGACCAATTTCTCGGTCCCTTTTCCTTTTTTCTATCTTTCACTTCTACTGTGGGCATATCCCACGTCTATTCAATACCATATATTTTTGAACAATACTTTCTTTTCGAGTAATTGGACCCTGTCTATCAATACGGAGTGGCACTATCAGTATTACCATTCAATACTAGTGAGTATAACCAGTTTTATTAGGATGTGCGATCTTCCCCGCGCTCTTAGCGCCAGCCCGGGGTCAGGGTCCAATTCAAGTTTGTCTACTCATATCGACATCATTCATGTACAATTGTATCATGAATCATGATGCTTTTGCCATGTCAATCTGGAATGGAAAATCAACCAAGATGGTGATATCATCATGAAGCATTCCAGGTAAGGCACGTTATTTTTAAGCGGTGGGTCCAGGGTCTCACCTTAAACGGGTTAGGGCTACCAGCTCCAGCACGTGAAACATAAGAACCTTGAGGTCTCGCGAATCCTGCGAGTACTCCATACTTCCATACTGTTTGAAAATAATTCCGAAGTATTCTGGAGTCCAATTCCGCGCCTTGCTCATACGTTGTACGAGTACGCGTTGAGCTGTAATCGGCAAACCTCCGATCCCAATATGCAGATCTGTAACGGTGTCTTACTCATACTCATACTCAATGCAACCCGTGTATGTCCTCCGTATGCCTCGAAAAAGGGGTCAACCGTCTAGAACTGATCGTCGGCCAAAAATTCATTTTTTTAATCTATTTTTCTTTATTATCTCCTCCCTTTCTTTTTTCCGCTTCCAACAAACATGCTCGGAAAATAACGAATGAGATCACGCCATTGCGGATCATTCAATGCCTTTCTCTTGCATCTTTATCTTACGCAACTTTCCAAGGTTATCCTATCTCTCACACCGCCGATATCAAACAATCTATCCCTCTCTGCCGCAGATCATCTCCTATCTTCTGCAGTTCATGAGCATAATATGACTGGCCCTGGAGCCGAAGCTCCCATCGACCCATTCTCAACGCCACATCCATACTTGTCCTGGTCCTACTAAATCCCGCCGCCGTTTCAGAGATCGAACTCTGAGACGAACCCAGGCTCGCACAGGACTCTTCGTCGGAGCTACTGCCTCCAGTCGACTCTTCCGCGAACCCATGTCCATGCTCACGCCCGTATTCTCTGGGCACATCAAAATTCCGAAATCCGAGATCATCCCTTCGTAAGTCCCGCTTACAAATAGGGCCCACTGCCAATCCTCGCAACGGCTCGAGGAATCCTACCAATTTCCCGGCACTCTCGCTGAACCAGGTGCTCTCTAATACGAGCACGAAGCTTCGCAGAGAACTCATCTGTTTCAGTGCTTGACAGGTCTCTTGCCACTGCGTCCGGCCGGCGGACACGTAGACTGTGCGCACCGAGTCCTTACTCGGCAGCCAGTGACCGGGAAATGACCAGCGTAGTTCAACGGTGCGGATTAATTCCCAGTGCTCGTGTGGGATCGTTGGGAGCAGGTAGGGTAGGGACCACGGGTTGCTGAATTCAAAAGTCGGGAGCGTGTAGAGTAAGGCAATTGACTCATGGTATCTATATTTCGCGTTAGACTGGTATCAGGGATGAGGGCTGGTGGGAAATCGTCCGGGTGTGAGTATCCATTGTAGACCTCGGGAGGGGATCAATTGATTGGACAGAGCACTCGTCGGGACATGAGATAGGGCTGACGATCATACATCTGTCGACAAGTTAATGCCAAACTCAGTAGCATAACCTTATTCCTACTGCGCGCGAACTCTCCCTCTTTAGCCGGCTGAGGGATGCCGGTCCCATGGCAAACGTCACAGATATTGTCGCTCCGTTGTCTGGAATGCTTCGATGCTTTCACGTCTTCGTATGGTGAACATGGACATATCACATGCCCGAGTCGCTTTCCGCTGCGTTGGATTATGTGGATGCGCTGACCCCCCAAGACAAATCCCCAGATCATGAGGCGAAGTTCCGGTGATAGCCGTGCCAGTAGGCGGCTCTGTGGCTGTGGTTGGGGAGTCTCTATAATTCGGCGGTGGAGAAGGGCAGGTGGCTTATTGCCTGTTTGGGAACGTCAGACTTAGAGTTTGGCGGTACAAAGGTGAAGGGGACTTGCTTACTCTGATATCGCTGGGCCAACACGTCGTCCCATGAGAATACACCCGGTTTCATACGAGCCATTCTGAAGAGCAGTCAGGATAAATTCGCGGGATGAGCAGCGAGGCACTGGTGGAAATGGTCCTATAAATACATAGTATCAATGCAGATGACCTGCTGATCACATCCTTCGGGCATGACTCCAGGCACTGAAGTTCCCGGCGATCCGAACGGTCAGCGCCAAGGGAGAAGCACGAGTCCGGAAGATTAAAAGAGTCGGTGAGAATGGAGAGATAAAGAAATTATGAGCTACATGGGGACATGCGTACCCCTGGAGCTCCAGGGCTATTGAGCCTCGCGATAAGAAGATAAGTGGACTCCAAAACAGTCATGCACTTGCTACCGTCTATTTCCTACCCCGGACAACTCAACTTTTGGTCTACATAAGTGAGAAACAGGTTTGAAAGCTGAACAAAATGCAGAATCTAACTAATGGTTGCAATGCAAAATGCCCGCATTTCCATCACATTCGCTATTTAAATGACGCAAATGCCTCAACCCCGCTAATCGCGAGATTTGCCAAGAGTGTTGACTGCACACTCAACTAGCAATCCTTCAGTCAGCATAGCCAGACCATCAGGTTGCAGCTCATCAATAGTCTCCGGCGCCGGCAAAGTGCCCACATAGGCGTTGAAGTTATAAATGCCACAGGGGCAGGTATCGGTGATATCCCTCAGACTGGTCCCAGAAAGAGAATCCACCGTCTCTTCTCCACGAGTGACCTTGAAGATCTGTGCACCCACGCCCATCGGTACCGAGTGCGACCACACGCCTGGCGGGGCCTCAAAGGTCTCGGTCTTGTCTCCGGATTGTACCTCCACGGTCGCGGGCTCCTTGAGCATAGTGACGATGAAGACTTCGTCGGTCATGATGTGGGCGCCGTTCGGTCGGCCGCGGAAGAAGTTGCCGCTGGATGTATCGGCGTCTCCGTGCATGGTGGTGTCGGTTGCGTCGCAGTCGGCTTCTTTTGGGGTCGGTCGGTACCAGTAGACCAGCTTTTCTTCGTCGAGGTAGTCGATTGGGGTCTGGGAGCCTGCTTTGTATGCGGCAATGAAGGGCTTGGCCATATCGAGCCAGCCGTTGTGTGGCCTGATATCTTGTTAGCTGCTGTGAGGGGATTTTGGGATCTTCAGATGGTCTCTACTCACATGTCCATCACCCACTTGGAGGCACCATCATCGGAATGGGGCGATGAGAGCGGGCCGATGTAGTGCGACTCGCCGTAATCGTTCCAGGTGATGATTTCCACGAAGCGAGGGCTGGTCTCGAGGATCTCTCTCCATCGGTTGTACCAGAGGAGATCAGATGGGAATACCCAGTTCTTGCTGTAGGAAACCTCGGTTCCGTAGTGTGTTGAAAACCAAGGAGAGACAGCTACTTCGGGTCAGTGATCCAGTACATATCGAAGTAGATGGGATGGAAATACTCACGGGCAATCAAAGGCTTCCCACCGAGGGCAGCCTTGTAAGCATCGTCACCCTCCGCAATAGACACCAACTTCTCCAGAGTCGGGGCTTTATTGGCACCATCGTTATTCCAACCCATCCAGTTGAAAGCAGCATCGACCTCGCCGAAATCACCCTGACCGGGATGGAAGTTGGGCGCAAAGTAAACATCAGTGCCAGCCGCTGCTTTCAATGCACCAATATCGAGACCATTACCCGTGAAAGAGGAAACGAAGACTCTTCCGTCGACCATGAGTTGTGCAGGGTGGTTGGCGAATTCGGCGATTTTAACGCCGACAGCACTAGCCTCGCTAGGCTGCCACCAGTTGAAGTCGAAAGAAATGAACACTTTCATGTCATTGTCGGCAGCGGACTGATAGGCAAAGGCCAGCTGAGTATCAGTGTAATCATCGGTACCGATGTTCAATGCAAATGCGTCGATGCCTGCATCTTTCGCACGTTTCATATCATCATCATAATCGCTAGAATTTTGGCGATTGCTCACGATGCCCATCTAAAAAAATAAAAAAGACCGTTAGCATTTGATCTACAGATCGACAAAGTATCCGTACCATAAAATGACAGAACACCAGTTTGTTTCCATGATTTTCGCTGGAAGCCATGGTTCTTCGGTAGTCGGCGGGGAACGGCGAGGCAGCAATGAATGGCAGAAGGCCAACCAGGGCCACAAAAAGACGAAACATGTTTCGAGCGGTGAGAATCTCCTAGTGCCAGCCAAGGAATTAATTCACACTAAAAAAAAGGTGGGTTAAAGGAATGAAAGAATCGAAAGATATCTGGCTTAAGGAATGACCAGAGTCGCCCGCTACGAAGAGAAGGGAAAAAAAGGATGAGAGACAGAATGAGACCAGAGCCTTGATTATATGCATTTTGGCATTTGTTTGACAATAGCGCATTGTCAACAATCAGATCCACCCCTTGATGCTCAATCGAGCAAATAAGACAATGCCCAAAGCCTTCAAGTCCCAATGGAGAATTTGCCCTACAGGCAGATCAAAGAACATGCCGCAAAGCCACCCTGTCAGAGGAAAGAATCACAGCGCTTAATGTCCGACTGGACCGATCAAGTGAAAGCATTATACGATCTGGCCCACTTTGTTCAGGGCTACTAGGTAAGAGGCTTGATCCAACGATAGAGACCGGTGTGATCCGAGAACAGGATTGGTTGGCCAACGCCCTGACTAGTCCAGCGCTTAAATTAAGGGACTGGCGTGTTTTATCTTCGGCCATTCTGGTATAATGCAAGCCAAAGCCTAATTTCGATCCGAGTATTCCGTGTGAGATTAGTCCATCTTTCAATAACGGCTTTGGAATCGGATAGGTGCCCCAGGTGGTTTCGTGTTTCGGGATCTTATCACAACTGATATTGCAGGCAAACCGCCATGGCCATTTCGGGATCTCGGATTGAAACAATTCCAATCGCTGACTCTAGGGTTAACGACATCAATTTGCTCGGTCTTAGGTAGCCCCGCGCTGTTCTTCAACTGTGGGCTCTCGTTAATTTGGCGGTGTTTCAGGAACCGATCCCGATAACCCCACTAATCCAGCCCTACTCCATATAGTATACTAGGATATTGCGCTATAGTGATGTCCATTTTTCACCATTTGTCCTGATGTAGAAGGACCCTGTTGTTCGCTCCCTGTGCAGGTGTCTTCTGAATACCCGCAGGCCTAGCACAATATATGTGGACTAAACGATGAGGGATTGAGTTGCATAATCGGCTAGGAAATCAGATTGCCAGGACCGAGTGCGTTGTGTCTAACTTGCTGACTGTTGTAGAGCTGACTGGGTGAGAAATATCAACGCAAATTAAAGCAAACGGGAATGCCCAGTAATTCTATATGGTAGGAGTTCGACCGTTCTAGAGCACTGCAAACGCAGAGACGTAGCTCACCGAGCTGTCATCGACCACCACTACATCGGAGCTGCGCTCATACCGCAAGAAGTAGAAGCGTCCCTGCTTGTCGTCCGGTGAAGCTGCGGTGACAACTTGCAAAGCCGCCATAATTACCCCAATTGGATGCCGTCCACAAACCGTGTTACCGGTACGATCAATCACGCCGAGGAAAGTTCTTGCGGAACCACTCGTGATAGCTGCCATGGTCGCCATATCAAACGCAGAAATACTCTCGTGAATGGCAGGATCGCGACTCGAGATCCGATCTCGTTGCCGCAAAGAATGACCCTCTGATACTGACTCGATATTCTGGTCGATGCTGCCGATATCTAAATCGGGCTGCGGAAGTGCATCACTGGACAAAGGAAGTTCAGGCCCAGGCTTGGGGGCCTGCGGGACATAGTATGTGTAACGGAAACGTGAACCCCAGTGACAAAAGTCCGAGCTTATGACGAAGGCGTTTGATGGATCTGTGAGGTAAGGGGCTAGCAAGTTGCCAAATGCCTCTTCTGTTGCTGGTGAAGTGTTTCCAACCATGATGGGAACCAGAGGTGGGTATTCTGAAGTTGGTAGATCTGGGAACTGGAGTTGCAACAGGCGATGAATGTAGGGCAAATGCATCTCAATGCTATGCTCATCTTCATCGACAGAGCGTGACATATGAGTGAAGCTAACCTTTGACCCATCGGGCTTGGTTGCCTGTGTTTCGGAGAGTTGGGTAATCAGCTGGGTGTCAAGCGGGAGGGGATCATCGGATAGAGGGGTATAGTATGAAGTCAACGTTGGCAGAGCCAGTGTCGAAAGCGAAACATGGTGTGATGGTCCTAGGATAAAAATTCGCTTGCTGAGGTGGAGGTTAGCATGAGTGCTTTTGAAGATCTCAAGGAATGAGCTCACGCTTTGGAAAGATCTAGCGCCTTGTAGGCGTACGCTGCACACGGTCCGGAGTACGAGTAACCCGCATGCCTGATATGTTAATATACTTATCTTCAGGACCTTGGGTGGTTTTCGAGGATATCAGACATACGGTGCGATGATCACTCGAGCTCCCGGGGTTGGCAGCGAGCCAACGTTCTCCATCGTGTCCGGAACCTGCGCGAGCCAGCCATCTAGTTGACGGGCTAAGGCGCGTGGGTTATTTGTATACCATGATCCAGAGTGGGAAGCATGTCGGGAAGCCATTTTGAAAGTGCTGGGTAGTTGGTTGAAGATGCTTTGGAGATGCTATCTTGGTGAGGGGAAAAGTGGGGTTTATCTGTGATGCGGACCCTCTGATGCGCGAAACACAACACCTGTCGCGAACTAAAGGCTGGGTGGTAATTGCTTTGCAATGCCATTTTTATAACCGAATAATCTTAAGAACCGATCAATCCACATTGCATATGCTTCTATGGTCTTGTTTATTACTGCACAACTCCAAGGTCAGGTGTACTTGGACATCTGAAAGGCAAGCGATTTCACAAGGCAAATTGCAACAAACTAGTAGGCCTAGATAGGTACTCAATATAAACCCATAGAGACTTGCTAGGAATTCGCTCAATTTTATGCACAAGACTGCCCGACAATATAAAGGCAGGTATGTACCCGAGGTCCGTCCAACGTAGTCCTGGATACCGGAAGAATGATAGAGAGTAGTGGCACTTTGTCGGTAGTCCAGCACAAAGCCGCCAGAAAAAAAGAAATAGAAGTTAAGAAAACTGTTTGAGCTAATTTATCCGATCAATTAAAATCAATTTATCAAGCGTTGATCTTAGTAGGAACATAGGCGATCGTTGCGAGATGCTCTATATTACCTGTTTTGGACTAGCGTGACTTGGATGCAACGCGAATCTCCAATGACGCGCCGAATTGAGCCATTTTGCTTTTGATCCCATTTCTCACCTCAACACATATCTTCTCCATTGCCACTTCTCAGACGCTCCTCTCCCAATATATCATATACCACCCTTCAAATATCACGCCATGTCTCTCAAGCGCAAAGCTTCCTTCACTGCTCTCCCGACCAGCCCTTCAGTTCCGGCCCCCAGTGAATGGAACATGACATTGGATGGAAACACACACCTACACAGTCGAACTCGCAAGCGATTCAGAGACGACCGCCCGAGTGAGAATGTTATCTACCGTAAGTTTCTATATCCTCACGTGCAGCCTCGTGCTCCAAAGTTGCTAGTGAACTGGGCTGACAGGGAGCTTCCAGAGAACACATTACGATGGATTTACTCTGCTCAAAAGCAGCAACAGCCTACGGCAACAATTGAAAACGACGCAATGGACTCTGAGCCCACTGTTGAACCTGAGGTGGTCGATCCTCGCCAGCAAACGTTACACAGTTTCTTCAAAGCTCCCCAGCAATCATCAACTTTCCGGCCATCCCGCCAAGCTCTTGCACCTCGTGCCAATGAAACAGCATCGGTAAATGAGGACATCATGCGATACCAGGCATTCAATCAAATGAATGGGACAGGCAGCTCAAGCGCAAGTGAGAGCAATAGCCCCGGTGTCCAGATGGGGGCCGATGTTGACATGGATATGGATATGGACACGGATGCCGGAAGTGGTAGTGATGGGTCCAACCAGACACCAAATAACTTGATGGGTGCAACATCGTGGATGTAGCTTCGTCCCATCCCTTTGGCCACTCGTCCCCAACTAGCGCTGGCGCTTATTATTGGAGAGGCCGTGGCTTCTTGCGTTGCTTGGTCTTGTCTAAGGAGGATTTAAGGTGACAAAGGCTAATTATATCACCTGGTGTTTATAACTCCAGTCAGGGACTGGAGTATGGTGTTGTGTCTGGCGTTCATAGTTGTTCCATGGAAGCTTACCAGACTTTCCTTATAATGGGATACAAATGGCTAATAATTCTTTCAATATGAAACTAGCTTGCTCTTTAAGTCTAATTCTTTAAGTCTAATTTAACCTCTTGTATCGAATTGACAAATTAAGCTGTTGGAAATAGTGGGTGTGAACCTATTTGCGACGGTTTTTGGCGTAGTGGCCGTTGGGGTCCACTTTGCCGAACCAATTTGTGGCCTCGAATCCAACAGTTGTTTGTCCGCCTCGGTACACCATCTCTCCCTGGACCAGCCCGCAACCCATTCCAGCCTACGTTGATTCGGCAAGAGAGCTTCTTTAACCCTCCAAGTCTGTCGCCAGCTTCACTCACTGCATCAGCGCCCTTGCCTGCCCAGCGACTCTTCGACAACCCCCCCACTTTGGAGCTTCGTTTGGCTGCTGACACGAGCACCGATCAATCACAATGGAAGACAATCAGGCTACACAGTACTTGGAGGGCCTCCTGGGCCGTACACTGCGTATACATACCACGGATACTCGAATGTTTATTGGTCTCTTCAAGTGTACCGATGCGGTAAGTAGTCACCTGAGAACTACGCGCTACGGAGAGGAGCGCAATACGAGATGATACTAATGAGAAGCCGTTGATAGGAAAGGAACATTATCCTCGCAAACTCCTTCGAGTATCGCATGCCCACTACACCTGCAGTGAAAGCCGCCGCCAAAGCGACAGGAGCATGGGGAGAAGGGTCCGAAGGAAAGAGTACCACCGTTAAAGTGAACATGACACACCGGCTGATTGGTCTGATCGTGATCCCTGGACGACACATCACGAAAATCGAGCTGGAGTAAACCTTACCTGGGTTTCTAACGCGGGCTCGTATTCACGAGACCTTTCATGTTCCACTCGCGAGTTCTCTGCCCTCGAATAATAAACCAGGCTCTATCACATCTACTCCTGGGCGCCAGGCAGACATACCGAGGTAGTCATTTATTGCGCTCGACTACGCTAGATGCTGCAGAATAGTGCCGGTTTCTGCCCTACGCCCACGTTTACCCTAGTTCCCTGCTTTGTCGTCAGCACCGGGGGGTGGACGTGGGGCTGCCAAGAAGCCCTTTGGTTGCAGGCGTTGGTGTTCGTTGCTCCTCCCTCAACGTGGCATGGGGAGGTCACTGCAGCTGCATCGCATCATCTCATGTGGCTTGGGCGGCAGGCCCGTTAGATCATGGACAAGGAGAATTCTTTTATGGTAATTGCTCCGGGACATCAGGGGCCGGAGGGGCAAAAAGGCGGTGTCTTCGCCACAGAGATGGGCTTGGCGTGCAGCATCGTTGCTTGCGTGCAGAACCAAGACTATCTGTGGCTCTGTTCGCTTTTGATGCGACCTGGTCATGTGGCGGGGATGCAGTATCTCGTTCGTCGCAGCTTCTACGGAGTACAGCCGCCTTTATGTGTGCAGTAAGCACCCGATAAAGCGTCAAGCAGGTTTCTGATGTATCTATCACGATTTGAAACGTTGAGTTGAGTGTTTGGGTTAGTGGATGCTGCACTTTATCTTGCTCCTTCTGATAGGAGACATGGCGGGGTCCAGACTCCAGATGCTCTAGGTCAATGGTCGATTTAGCTCGGCAAAGGCGCTCACGGTGTCCGAGCTCCCAATCTAGTTGTGGGTGTTTTTCAGGTGGCCGGTCCAGATTTCAACACACAAGAGCAGATCCTTGTTGAGAGGAAAGTGTTGCGCTTACTGGGTGTCGTGGATCTTAATGGACCCAGAAACTTCTAATCTGGGATAAAAAGAAAAACCGAAAAGAAAAGAAAACAAGATTCATATCACTTATACTACCCAATGACAGTGTATAGACAGTTATTGACAAATGTTTGAAAAACCGAGTGTAGGAAATTGGGTTTTAGAGTGAGGCTTTTGGAATCCGTGGACTGACACTTTATAACATCAGGCCCCACTGTGGCACACAAAGCTGACATGATGAGATCTGGCAGTCCTTTTTTGGAATGATGAAGGGAATATAAATATCAAGATACCTAGTATGTGTCAAGAGTGTAAACTCCAAACCTGCTAAGCATATTAAGCATATAAAATAGACAAGATAGACAAAGACGAAGGACCAAAAGTGAAAGTTAGACTTTACGTTACCCGGGCCGACAAATGATCCAGATCCAGACCCCCGAATCGAGACAGGCGAAGATCTCGTGGTACCCGCGAAGTACCTTCTTACTGTACTAGCGGTGGCGGAGTACTTTGGCCTTACAAGTCTCTTTCTTGAACTCCTCCTCCTTCAGCCTTCTCTCTTTCCACTTCATTTTTCTGTGTCTATCTGGAGGTAAGTTCATATGCTCGTGGGGTTCGGCTGCGGCCTACCCTGGTGGGTAAATACCATCCCGTCCAAGCCCCGTACATCATGACGCATTACCCACTCTGCCTCTCCCCCAAATGCCTCCCTTGCTTTTTGATCCCTCGTCTATTCAAACCCTCCCAATACTCAGCTCCGCGGAGTCGGCATTGCAATCCATCTCGTGCTAGAAAGCTAACCCACCGTAGAGCTTGCCTAGGAGCTCCCACCTCCCGCCCTTGAGCTTTTCCTTCTCCCCCAAACCACACCCAGAGCTGCTGCACCACCCATAACCTGGTCGCTGAGTCGTCATTTTGTGGATTACCAGTTCGCTTGCGCAATCTTGTAATCAGGCTCACACATCTTGCATTCACCTCTCCGTGGTGCTCACAATCACAATCCCGATCAAGTGGAGAAGCCAGGAAGCATCTGCCAAAGTCGATTCCGGGGTTTCGCAGATACACACCCGGGCTTGATATACCCAGTTTAAGCCAAGACATTCCAACACAGCGGGAGTTTCTCGGTGTGAAAGGTTAGACATCGTTTGTGCGATCGTCCTAGCTCAAGCTTGGCGGTTACCCGAAACTTGCAATCATGGGCCAGTCGCATTCCAAGGGCAACGCTTCGGGCGACCCTCTGCAATCCTATCCTTCTTTCTCCAAATCTGACACCAAGGAGTCTATTCGCTCTTTCCGCGGATCGATCCGGTCAAAAATCCCCGGTGCCCGCAGCTCCGACAGCCCTCGAGGCTCCACCACCGCTCTCTCCCGAAGCGAATCTCAGACCGACAAGTCCGATGCTGGCTCTCTCAAATCGGTCGGAAGCCGACCTGGCTCCAACGCCGGTATTCCTCAATCCCCCGGCTCGGAGTCCGCCTCGCGCCCGTCTTCTCCTCAGCCCCCGCCCTCCCCCTCGCTCTCCACTAGCTTGCAGAGAGGCCACAAGGATGTCAGTGCGATGCAACAGAGCGGCGAGGTCGACCATGTGTCCGAAGGTCCCCTCAGCGGAGGACCCCCAACTGGAGCCGCGGCCCCAGTCGTAGGTGAATCCATTTTGGTTAAACGTGAGAACCAACTCAACCCTATTCTGGATTTCATCTTGAACGCCCCCTTGGAGACCTCCGGGTCCCCCGGTATGGGCATGGGTGCTTTGAAATCCATTGACCTGGACGACATGATCACGCGACTTCTAGACGCCGGCTATGCTGGCAAGGTCACCAAGACAGTGTGTCTGAAGAATGCCGAAATCACCGCCATCTGTACCGCTGCCCGTGAGCTGTTCTTGTCACAGCCAGCTCTCCTGGAGCTGTCGGCTCCTGTGAAAATTGTTGGCGATGTTCACGGTCAATATACGGATCTCATCCGTTTGTTTGAGATGTGTGGATTCCCCCCGACATCAAATTACCTATTCCTAGGTGACTATGTCGACCGTGGAAAACAGAGTCTGGAGACAATTCTCCTACTCATGTGTTACAAATTGAAGTACCCCGAGAACTTCTTTTTGCTTCGCGGAAACCACGAGTGCGCCAATGTCACTCGTGTGTATGGCTTCTATGATGAATGCAAGCGTCGTTGCAATATCAAGGTCTGGAAGACCTTCATCGACACCTTCAACTGCCTTCCAATTGCTGCAATTGTTGCTGGCAAGATCTTCTGTGTTCACGGCGGTCTCTCGCCCAGTCTGTCGCACATGGACGATATTCGCGGAATCGCTCGCCCAACCGATGTTCCAGATTATGGTCTCTTGAACGATCTTCTTTGGAGTGATCCTGCAGATATGGAGGAAGACTGGGAACCAAACGAACGTGGTGTCAGCTACTGTTTCGGCAAGAAAGTGATCATGAACTTCCTCCAACGCCACGACTTCGACCTGGTCTGCCGTGCTCACATGGTAGTCGAGGATGGTTATGAGTTCTACCAGGATCGTATTCTGGTCACAGTCTTCTCTGCACCCAATGTAAGATACAACCCCAGCCCACTTGCGCCACCATGGATTTTCACTAACATTTCTTAGTACTGCGGTGAATTCGATAACTGGGGAGCTATCATGTCGGTATCTGGTGAACTTCTCTGCTCCTTCGAGTTGTTGAAACCTCTGGACTCGACTGCCCTGAAGAACCACATCAAGAAGGGTCGCAACAAGCGCAATAGCATGCTGAACAGTCCTGTGAGTCCCCCTTGCTTTTCCAACCCCATGCCAAGTGATCGCCAATTGCTCGTGGAACACGCGAACGCTTCTCCTCAAATTATGGAATGGACGCTAACAAATACCAGCCCGCGGCAGTGTCTGCCCAAAGCTATTAAGCGCTCCGATCGCGCTACCCACGAAACCGATATCAACTGCTGCGATACGTCACCATTGTTGTGGTCTCGACTGATACAGTCGTCGACCATGCACGATTACGACTGTCACTTTGCTACTAGAGTGACTGCCCGCTCATCCTTCGAGCATGGCTGATTCACCACCACAATTACTCTGCAACGGTTCTTGTACCAATTTCCGAGCCAAATCGTCCCGGCATGAATGCCCAAAACAGGGCTTGGCATACACATGAACCAGATTGATCCCACCGCTCCACGCATATTAGCCCTTGTGGCACCAGTATATGCCGAGCTCGGCCCGCAGGTCCGAATACGCAGACTCGATGAACTCAACAAGAGGACCTAGAGGATTGGGGGCAAACTGGGGTCTTTCACGGGCTACCACATTTTTTTTTGCCTCGTTCATTTCCTGGTCATGGAGCGAACATTTTACGTGAAGTGTCCAGACCCAAAATATGCTCTGTGGCTTTGATGGTTACTCGATATCACGAAATAACCCGGGGCACTAGGTCTTCAAAATGTTCATCGTAGCATTCTCACATGTATCTACTCTTTACTTACTCTCTACTTACTCTCTTCTCACAATCAAATGGTTTTACTTGGAGATCATAAAGGTCCCATCGCTGTATCCAGAGTACTTTCTCAACTGCAAATTAATATCGAGACGTAGCCAAACTTTAGACCTTATCGGGAGACGAACTGTTGTGGATTCATCGGCTTCACTTGGGCAACCGTGGGGGAAACGGGTCATCTCCCGACAGGACGATTCTGTCCCACACCGCTACTGCCAAATGGCCTCGTGACTCGGTCATGGGCCACGGTGGATTGCCATGTTTGTCAATGAACTTGATTTGGAAAGAGTCCGCTGGAATTTGCCCAATATTCACAGAGAAAGTGGGTTTTAGTCTGCTTACCCTTGGCCCGAAGCATCCTCCTGCGTATCCACCATAGCCACAAAACCTCTTTAACGCTCGTTACTGGTTGCGTTGGGAATCAATTCCAATATTTGTTTTTTTTTTTTTTTTACACCGAATAGACAAAAGAAGAAATCAGCGGCGAGTCCGAGGTATGTCTAAGTGCAAATGGATTTATATCTATGTATAGGTTTTTGTGAATCGTCACTGTCGTTTCACAGACGATCTATCAGTATGCCATATCCCAAAACCCAGAGCCAGGCTATCCCGACCAATCTTATTTCTGGTTATCTTCCCCCTGCAGTTGCCGCAGCCCAGTCGAACGAGCCGCGGACTGAACCTGAGCTTGAACTCGAGCCGCAAAGGGATTGCGATCCATATTCTGGTCCAAATTCCCCAGTGCATGATTGACGTCTCGATGTTTAGCCTCATCCGCACGAACATACAACAGAAGAGACCGCATACAGCGTTGTCCCTCTGGCATCTGCCAGTACTTGATCGCCATTGCAGGAGCGTCTAAGCAGCCCCACGCAGGCAGATGACCATTTTCAAGGTCCTGAATAGCCTTTGAGTATGTGATGACTGCTTCTTCTTCTAGATAGCCAACGAAACGATGGCATATCTGTGGCGAGATGAGGTATGCAATTGAGAAACCACTGAAGAATACCCACTGAGCACCTAGGACCATGAAGCGCATTGATGGACCGGGCTCGGCGAGCTTCAGGAAGGTCAGAAGATGCATTCGCTCGTTGTATGCTTCTTCAAGGAGTGTTTCGATCCTGCATAGTATTAGCTAGATGATTGCTTTTCGTATGGTATGCAGATACTTACCATCCGTTGTCTCTTCGCATTCTGCGAATGCTTTTGAGGTGCCGTAGCATTCCTGCTACCATGCCTGGTACACCTGCTACACTCTCCAAGAAGATAAATCGTGTGATCCACTTCTGCTCTGTCATAACATAGCCCCGGGAAAGACCGTTCCTGTTGGTTGCTTGAGGTCGGTAGCCCGAGACGAAGTCCATACCCCATCGCAGTACGCGTACGGTTCCTAGTGCAACTTTGTCTTGCCATGTGTGTGCTTGTCGGTGTGCGGTTCGAACGGCAAGGATTTGGTCTTTGGTGTATCTGTCGATGGAAATGAAGGTTAGCCTTTCATGAACAAGTACAAGTAAGTAGAAAGACACCTGGGTTACTCACATGGGGTGAGTCCATGAGGACTTTTGGCCAATATGTGTGCTTGTTGTGTGTTGTCGCTCAGTGCTCATTGGGACGAGCTTGTATTGGCTGCGTCTAGTCTGCCTTTGACACAACTGAGTACTTGTCCTGAGCATGGCAGAGTGAAAGGGGCGCGTGGGCAAGACGACAAGGCGAGACATGTTTGTTTGGAGCTTCATGATTATACCGAGCAAGGCTCAACAGGGCGTGATTGTCAGGATACAAGATATTGTTTTGAGGTACTTGTTCTGGCTACGACCGAGGATATTATCGTGGACATTATTCCCCTTTTATGCCGTGGGAGTTCTGTCTCCTACTATGCAGAACGTAGACTGTGACTCAATTTCTCCTCGATTATTGTTGGGAACCCGATGTTCTACATTATACAGTGTAAGTCCGGTTATACTTTCAACGATCGCAGGATGAATCACGAAGATGCATCGCAAGCAAACCCTAATGACCCGGTTTTGTCCGACGCAGAGAAGCCACCTACAACGACCTGGAACAACTATTTTGTGATGAGTCACAAATCAATTCCTCGATCTCAGCAATCACTTAGCATAAACACACACTTCAGAACAAGTTCGTTGCCCCTAGACCTCACAATAATAATCGGGGTAAAATCTGATTGGGCCAGCGTTGGGGTATGCGGGAGTCGCCCAGTCTCGCATCTTCACGATTACCCGACTTCATTTTGTGTTGGAAGGACTATAAAGCTTTAATATAATCTTTCCATAATCAATAATAAACATACTAACTATAGTAAATTAGCTTCTTCTAATATTATAGAAGTCATCTATCTTACAAGCAATGAGTATGGCATCTCTTCTCCGTGCTCCAAACCTTGGAATCTACACCGAATGATATTTACAGGGTAACACTTTACTATCTTCATAATGAACTAGGTCCCATGATTAGACGAGGTGGACACCTAGGTAAATATTCAAATAGAATATAGAATAAAGGTCGCTGCTTCATACTTCATTCCGCTTTCACGTTCAAGAGTTGCCGTGATATTGCCATATGAGTAAGCCCGATATAACGACATTATGCGGACTCATGGCATTCTACGATCACAAGTCATCTGCTACTGTCTGTTCAGTGTGTTAGCAACAAGTCAGACTAGCCGAAGGAAAATTTGAATGGCACATACAGCAACTGCAGCGTGAGATCTCCTCGGATCTTTGCTTTCAACTCAACCTCTATATCCAGATTCAAGTCCAGCCTTAATCTCAATTGATCACTTTTCCCGGATTGAGGTTTCTCTTCTATTGACTCGGTCACTTGCTCGACGCCTCCGGTTTGCGCTGTCGGCACAAGTCCACCGGCATTATTCCGTGGTTGCGCTACCTCGCCATGACTTTCTGCAGGATTGAGGACACGGCTCACGCGCTTTTCCTTGATTTTTCGTCGCTCCTGGCTGCGATTTTCTCGTTGTTCGGAATCAGTCTCTTGATATTGATCTGGCTCTTGTGACTTTGGAGCTTGACGCGCCCGTCGGTGGTGTCGTGTGCGCTGTCTTTCCACCTGAGGAATCGGCTCTGGTGATGGTGATTTTCCCTCGCTCTGTTCCTTTTTGGAGGCGGTGCTGCCCGAGTTTGAGGAAGGAGAATTCGAGTGTGTAAGATCTGGGACTGAACTCGTTGTGCTTCCGTTGACACCATTTGCCTTCTGCTCTGGGGGCGGGCCCTTTCTCAACTTTGGAGGCTTGCGTTTTGGTGGGACACCGGTGTTAATCGGAGCGTCATTTTCAGACTGTTTTTGCATAATGATTATAGAATATGAAGATTGTCAATTGTCAAGTTATATGACCATGAATACTATGGTGGCCATCGCGATTCCCCCCGTTTGCATATATTTCGCCTCACTGACGTCAACAAAAGCGCTTTAGCACAAGGAAGATAACCCGATCACAGATAGGATTCTAGACAGGAGGTAATGTGTGCGCGTGGGGAGACCCGAACTTTGAGATGGTGACGTTGTCCCCCTCGACTCATTCAGAGAGAAGTAGAGTGAAAACTGGTTTTGAAATAGCCAACTCCTGTCTTACCACGCGCGGAGCTCTCGCTTGACGACCAGTGACCCAATGGAATTCCAGGGTTGTTCGTCAAGATCCAATTCCTGGGGTTCGCGGAGCTGCTAACGTCATGAGCGATGGGAACCGTGGATACCGGAAGGTGCCACTTGAACATATTACCAGTTGCATGATGCACCGAAATATGTTTCTTGAATTTACACACCTGGGCATCAAACAGGAGTTGGACTCATTTTTATTTCTGTTCACAGTTAGATATGGATACCCTTAAGACCGCGACACAGAAGCCAGTGCTGGAAAAAGACCAGTTTCCCTCAAGCGGAGAGGATGAATTGGACTCCTACTCGGATTTGGAGGATCTACAAGAGGGTGACAATGAAGATGAGCTCAACCAAATGAGCGAGTCAGACTTCGATTCTCCAGGGACTTCTGACACTCAATCGATCCAACGGGAAATCCCACCACAAGGACACCGATATGCGCCCACGACAACGATTTCACGGAAAGAATCGAGCTCAGTAATCCCAAAATCCAAAGGGATAGCGCCAATACAGCCACTGTCTGAGCGAAGTGAGAGCGGAAAGAAGGTAGAAAAAGGCGCCGACAGTGCATTGAGTCTGAGGCTCGACTTGAATCTTGATATTGAAATCGAGTTGAAGGCCAAGATCAAAGGAGATTTGACGCTGACCCTAATGTTAGTCTTGAATTCCACAAATCCGATATGTTCTGAGCTGAAGATATGCAGGGCATGATTCATAATGTGGCAATTAAGGACGAGATGTGGTTAGGAGGCCGGTAACAAGAGGCTTGTTGAGTCGGGTCTATACTGTGAATTCCAGCATAGATCCCCAATGACAGATAGATACCTGTTGATGCTTTGGATCATCTTGCTCGATGAGTTGCGCCGAGTATCGGAGAATACCTGTTTTCTTCACTAGTCCTCGATCGAAAGACTAAGGCCTAATTGTATCTAGACCTTCAAAAAGATCTAGAACTAATGTAAATGATGATGGCTAGACTAGACAGGATAGCTTCAGCCACTGTAGCTAATGGCATGATCAAAGAGATCGGTACCAGCTTACAATGATCAAGCGGCGTTGCGATACCACGGCCACTATGTGGCATTGTCCACGAGGCTCTTTCAAAAAGCTCGGTGTCCTGTTTCGCGTCAAATAGCCTTCCATGGTTTGCAATCAGCATTCCACGGCGCCATACCGAATTTCGCGTAAACTCGATGAATAGTGGCCATTCTGGAGCATTATCCCCGAGATAGCGGGTCACACGGGAGGCATAACCTTGGAACAATGGTGATATCATAAAATAGATATCATCGTATCGATCACAGTAGAGTATATATTTCTTGTGTTGAGGGCTTCTACTTCTGTAGAGTGATTAGTTCATAAAAGATTGAGCAGCGACCTACCAATCTACACCCAGAAGGAAATTAGTACGAACCGAGCTGGCCCTGAAAAGCTGCAGCAGCGCATAAACGATATGGAATCACCAAAGGGAAAAGCACTTCCGAGTGCGACGAAGAAAAAGTCGACGTTACCTACAAAGCCGGCAGGAAAGAAATTGGGATCTGAAAGCCCATTGCCTGGCAAAGGAGCATCGGATACCAAGATTCCCGAATTGGATAACCCAATCAACAAGCCTTCACCCCCAAGAGGCCTCAAAAAGAACATCCCAAAGTTGCCGAAAAAAGACCGAAGTAAGGAGCTGTCTCCTGAAACCCAGGAAAAGAAAGAATCGCAGACCGATCTGCCAGCCATCGCAAAGCCCGAAGGAGCCGACGAATTGAATCCAGACCTGGAGCATGAGGAGCCGATACCCATTGAGGAGACGGTCGAAGAAACCGTCGAAGAGCATGCGGAGCCGCTTGAACTTTTGGAGGAGTCGGAAGAGGAGACCGAAAGCCCATCTCAGGAGCAGAGGAAAGCAAAGTCCAAAGAGCGAGAAGCGAGCTCAGCTTCTGGCTCGGGTGCAGGCTCCATGTTCCAGCGGGGGAAGAACGCAGCTTCTCGCTTCTCAGACTTTACGGACACTGTCAGGGGTTTCACAAACCGCACTACCGCTGCTCTACCTGATGGAACGCTTGAGAATGCACAGGAAAAAGCACGTGGCACCGCAGAGAAGTTCCAATCCTATGGTGGCAGGGCTGCATCAAAAGTGGCAGGGAAGGTCTCCGATTATATGACGCAATTGTCGGATTTAAAGGGCCTTGAGGTTACTGGGGAGAAGGATATACTTGATGATGATGGGAACGCGATTGGAACAATTGTTGAGGGCGACCCCAGCGAGCTTACCGGCCATGTTATCGGCGATGAGGGTGAGATCTTGGATGAGGATGGTGATCTGATCGGTCGCGTGGAACTGATCAGCGAGGAGACGGTGAAACAGGCTGATGCAGTCGAAGAAGTGGCTGATACGAACCACATCCCGAGCTTACAAGAGCTCTCAGACTTGCCAATTGCAAACGACGGCACTGTTAAAGACAGCGCTGGTCGAGTCTTGGGACGACTTGTTGAAGGTGACGCCGAGGACCTAGTCGGTCAGACAGTAAACGAGAATGGCGAGGTTCTAGATGAAGATGGGGATCTCGTCGGGCGCGTCGAGCCATTCTCTCTGGACCAAGTCGAAGAGGAGGCTGGCAAAGCTGATCCTACAGGGGGCGTGTTGCTTCCGACAGCCATTCTTCGCGGTAGAGAAGTGAACGAGGATGGCAAAATTCTGAATGATGAAGGAGACTTCTTGGGTCAGGTTGCGGAAGGATATGATCCCAGGCACCTGTCGGGAAAGGTCCCAAATGAGCATGGGCAAGTGATTGACCTCACCGGAGAGGTGATTGGACAAGTCGAAACGGTGCCTGGAGAAGCTGCAGACGCTGCGATGCAAGAGCTCGAACACAAAGCAGCAGTCGCCAAGAAGGATGGTCTGGAGAAGGATGAGTCAGGACAAGATACCACGGAAGCCAACGAGCTGGAGGATCTCTCACTGGAACTACCTGATATCTCTACACTCGAAGGGCTGAAGTGCAACAAGTTTGGAAACATTGTTGGCGAGGATGGTGTGCCCGTCGGCGAACTCATTGAGGGAAATCCCAAAGAATTATCCAAGGGTGGATATGAACTTGATGATTGTGGTCAATTCTGGGACAACCGAGGCAATGTTCTGGGAAAGGCCAAGCCAATTGCAGTTGAGGAGGAGGACCAGAGGCCGTTCGCCGATTTTGAAGATCTTGTCGTGGTCGAGGATGGATGGGTCGAGGACTCAGATGGGGCTCGAGTAGGCCAGGTTGTGGAAGGCGAGATAAAAAAGCTGGTCGGTCGGGCTGTCGATGACGACGGAGATATCCTGGACAAGCGAGGAAATCTCATTGGACACGCTGAGCCTTGGGAAGAGCCAGAGCCAGAGCCAGAAGAAGTCGACTTGTCTATGTTGGAGGGTCTTTCGCCTAACAAGCTTGGTCTCGTGATGGGACCGGATGGCGTTCCAATTGGCCGTGTTGTGGACGGTGACTTGAAAAAACTCATCCGTCGGACAATCGATGATCAAGGTCAATTGTGGAGTGACGATGGGAAGATTATTGGACGAGTTGAGCCCATTCCAGAGGACGAACGCGAGGTGCCCATGCCCTTCAGCGACATGGGTGACTTGGTAGTCAAACAAAACGGATTTGTCGAGAACGAGCTCGGTGAGGTGGTTGGCAAGCTCATTGACGGAGATCCCAAAGAATTGCAAGGAAAGGCCGTGGATGATGATGGCGATATCATGGATAAACGGGGCAATGTGATAGGGCGTGCTGAGCCATATACCCCGTCCGAGGAGAGCGAGGAACCAGAAGAGCCAGAAGAGGATCTGTCTGAGCTGGAAGGGATGTTAGTAAACAAGTTCGGAAACGTGGTTGACGAAAACGGTGCCGTCTTTGGCCGACTTGTGTCTGGGAATCCCAGGAAGCTCAATGGCATGAAGGTGGATGGAGAAGGTCAGATATGGGGTGATAATGGAAAGGTTCTGGGCAATGCGGAACTCATCCCGGCTGCGGAGCGAGAAAGACCCGAGGGAATCTTCTATGGGCTTGATGGCTTGGCTGTAAGGAAGGATGGATCTGTGACCAATGCAGCGGAAGATGTGGTCGGAAGGCTCATCGAAGGGGATCCAGCTAGACTCGCAGGCCGTGCTGTTGACGAGGATGGTGAAATTGTCGACAAAGTGGGAAATGTCATCGGTCGCGCAGAGCGATGGACCCCGGACGAAAAGCAACGCGATATTAATCCCATGAGTGGCCGAAAGGTCAACCGAGATGGAGAGATCCGTGATGAGGATGGTAATCTGATGGGTAGAGTTACCATGGGCAACGTCAAAGCGTTGATAGGCAAGGTGGTGGATGACAATGGCAACATCGTTGATAATGAAGGCAACAAAATCGGCGAATGCACACTGGAGGAAAACATGCCAGAAAGCGAAGAGGTCGAAGAGGTCGAAGAGCCCGAAATGTCACCAGAAGAAGCCGAAAGGAAAGCCAAAGAAGAGCACGACCGAGACTTGGCGAAGAAAATATCAGGTGTTCTCCAGCAGACACTAGACTCGGTGGAGCCTCTTTGCAAGCAGATCACAGAGGTAAGCATCTGTCGCGATATAGCGAGCTCACCAGGGCTGCGAGGAAATGCTGACTTGTCTTAGCATCTTGAAAGAGCGGATCGCACACCACGAGATGAGTTGGACGAAGAGAAACTAGTCCAAATCGTGAAGCCTCTGATTGAAGACGCCGGCAACATGCTCCAGGAATGCAAAAGCACAGTTCGGGCCCTCGACCCCGATGGATCTATTGCTGCATCTGCAAAGGTCCACAGCTCTACCCACGAGGCAACGCCGGAAGAATATCAGCTGGCAGACCTTTTGAAACAACTCACTCAGACGGTCACGACCACCATCGAAAATGGCCGTCGGCGAATCGCAGATATGCCGCATGCGAAGAAGAAGCTCAATCCGTTATGGGCATTGCTCTCCGAGCCTCTCTTCCAGATCATCGCAGCGGTTGGCCTCCTTCTGAGTGGTATACTCGGTCTTGTGAACAAGCTTCTGAGCGGACTTGGACTTGGCGGCATCCTCCAAGGCCTGCTTGGTAGTCTTGGAATCGACAACCTGATGAGCAGTCTCGGGCTAGGCAGCAAGGGTAATTAAGGGAAGTATTCCCTATACCAGGAGTTGGGTAAATAAATTCATCAATTTGCATCGGATTCCCAGTGTCGGCCTCTGATAGATTAGTGAAAGACAACCACTTGTAAGCAGTAAAGGCCACATCCCATGTGAGACATGCCCAAATCTCATCGACAAGATTTTCGCATTGTTTAGAACTAGGCTGAATACTGAACAAGATAAGCCCACAGCCTTGGAACAAGCACAAGGAAAATCTAGAAATGAGCGCTCTGGATGCCATTGCGAATAGGGTTCTGGGATCAGGAATTGCGTTGCTAGGCTGGAATTGATAAAAATTTCATTAGGGGCCTAAATGGACAACGCGTGAAACGCGGAAACCGCGTCGGCCCGATATTCGATCTATTAGACCACATAGGGTCTAATAAAGGTTCAATGTCCTTCTGTTGGGAGAGCAGATCAGGAAGCTGAGGTCTTCCAAGGTTGATTCCCAGGGAGGATACAGGGAGTTCCATACGGTAAGAGCTCACCCCGGCTTGGCAATCACATGACGTAGATCGGTCCCCAGATTTTGTCACATACTGTCACGTGCTTGTATGTAGGTGGATCGGTCTGTGCTCCGTATTTAGCGTCCTCTGTTTGCCAAGACATGTGTGCGTGAACTCTGAACCTCAAATAAGGTGATGCGACCTGTAGTCACGCCTCAGGCACCATCAAGCATAAAATACTGTTCGCTTCGAAATCACTGGAAAATCTTCCAGGACAAGTGAGGTTATTTGACATTTGACATCACCGGGTGTTCATTCTCACTCCTTCTGCCTTCTGCCTCATGGTCCATGGTTACACCAGCGAAAGATTCTTTTTTCCCCGTATAGTCATGGTCTGGTAGCTCAGCATGCTTCGCAGTGTTGGGAGTACATGCTGCTTCGGGGATGAACAGGGACCTCGGGGGTCAAGGAATGTTTCTGAGCCGAGACTATGAATTACCCAGCGAACCTAAGTCTCTCCACTCTCATGACAGCGAAAGGAAACAGAATAGGGAAACCCCCACCCTTCAACAACAATCCAGTACATATAGCGACCTGGTAGAATATACCTGGTTGGGTACAATATGTCTTTAGGTGTCATCGCGAAGATAGTGGTAGCATCCTGTAGTCCGCACCACACAATCCTTGAAAAGGGGCATAGATCACATGAGATTCAAATAATTTAGGACCTCATCTACCTAACCAGTAACCTGAGTAGCAGCAAAATGCTTCTGTTTGTTAGGGTTACATATGATAGCGATATGCACCGAAAAGAAGCAATCTTTCGTTTCCTGTTTCATTCAATTAACTTCATCTTTTGATAATGCCTACAGTATCAACGTCCTTTGAGAGAGATTCCTGAGCGCCACCAAGCTACATTACCAGGAGAAAGGCCTGAAGATAATTGTATCTACTTAATGAATGTATGAGTAGGGTAAGGACACAGCAAAGCTGGGATGAAATCTGACATTTCATGTGGCAGTGATCCATTCCGATCATTGGATATGATGGGCCACAGAATTTGGGCAACATTGATGAAAGGTGCACCTCAATATAGTTATCTGTTGGCTAAAGGATGTACAATGCCGTTGAAACACACCAACCGGCCTAGGGACCGACGGGTGGTATTCACCTTCTGTAGCTGTATGGTCATATCCATATCTTGTGCCGCACATGGCAAGTCTTTCTCTTTCTATTGCCCACAAAAACTCTCCACATTTCCCGGCTCTCATACCCATCCCGAGTACCAAGAGCGTAAAAGCAAAAACCGGAAAGCTTTTCAGCACCCACGGAGATAGCAATATATGACTAACCAAATGAAAATCCCTGGGCCAAGAGATCTTCCTCAGCAAGTAAAAATACTATGTCATACAAAGCGGTATGAATGCGCAGTCTGTCGGAATCCAGTCCCGCGGGCAGAGCGACGTACTTCCAAGGAGTTTAACGACATTTGAACACACTTGACCATTATCTAAACGACGAAGCACGTTTATCGTAGATACCGAGCCCAGCCTGAAAACTTTGTACGATATGATAAGATGAATAAGATGAATTATGTGTTCAACGCCAAATTGAGTTTATGCGCTCCAAGTCAGGCGAGCGTGGTGGATTCTTTCATGCAAGAAGAGGGCGCGTGATCCGGAATGTGAGACTACAGCATGCACAACTGCAACACAAACTCCAGCTTATCTCCCCAGATATTCAATCAAATAATGAGAGTGCAGGCGTGGCATCGGTAGGCAGACCGTTGATAACCTGTGTAAGGAACCCCGCCTCCGGCCTCTCTCCCGTGCAAACAGCACACCAATGAAATCCATGGAACACCAATAGAAACACAACCCTAGATCGGCCCGCCGGGTTTCTTTGCACTTTTAGGAATGGAATTACGAGCCGCAATGTTAATCAACCCCGCATCGTGGAGTCTATCGTTTATCAGAGGTATCGGGCAGGCGCCCGATATACTTCCTGGTTCTATACGAGGGGAGCGACAATGAAGGATAAAGAAGCTGGTTCCATCCCCCAGACCCACGAGATGACCAGTCAATACTCGAAGCAACCTTGGAACACTCGAAGCAATGGGTCCCATGCTCCCCGGAAAGCCTCTGGCTGCCCTCACGCGGTGCAGTCTTCCTAGCAATGTGAAAACCACCACAACGCTACGCTTTACTTCAACCTTGCAAGCTCATGCCCAAGCTCAAGCCCAGACACAATCGAAGACGATCTCCAATGCTTCTCTCCCACCACTCGCCGTTGTGCCCACACGAATCCTGCTCAGATCTCTTCTCGTCGCCACGATCTCCTCGAAGAAATACCTTCTGATCCCGGCCCTTTCCTTGATGTCCTTCTTGTCCAAGCCCGGAAGGAATTGGCTATGCGACGTGGATCGCAATCCTATTCTACATGGTATACTCAAAAAGACCTTCTACGAGCAATTCTGTGCTGGTGAGAATGGAGCTGAGTGTAGATCAACCATTAAGGAATTGAAAGACATGGGTTTCCGGGGTGTGATCTTGACATACGCAAAGGAAACCGTGTTTGATCACAGCACTGGGTCCTCACACGGCCTGGGTATAGCTGAGATCAAAAGTGAGAACGGTGATGTGTCCGTCGATGCCGTGGTTCAGAAATGTCCCAGCATTGAGGCCTGGCGGGACGGAACTCTGAAAACAATCGATATGACAGAAGAGGAAGATTATCTTGCCGTTAAGTATGCTACTCAACATCCCCTCTCTTCGAAGAGAACTTTGGCTAATCATTCTCAAGACTTACTGGTGCCGGTCTCAAGGTTACCGATGCTTTCTCCGTCGGAGACCTGCCCCCACAACAGATGATCGATGCACTAGATGAGATTTGCTCCAAGGCTAAGAGCCGAAGAGTCCGAATCCTCGTTGATGCCGAGTCCCAGCACTTCCAAAAGGGGATTGCCCGCATTACCGTGGATCTCATGCGCAAATATAACCGCGACGGCATCGCCACTATTTACAACACATACCAAGCCTATCTCAAGAGCACACCTACCACATTAGCCAACCACCTTGCCGCAGCATACGATGATGGATTCACTCTTGGTCTTAAGGTTGTGAGAGGTGCATACATTGCCTCCGACGAACGTTCTTTGATACATGACACCAAGCAAGAAACCGACGACGCATATAATATGATTGCCCAAGGCGCATTGAAGAAGAACATCGGAGAATTTGGAGACAAGGGCAGCCGTCCTTTCCCATCAGTGAATCTATTCCTAGCAAGCCACAACAAAGAGAGTGTGGTGAATGCACACAACCTTCACAAGCAACGGACTCGATCTGGATTGCCGACCGTCCCAGTCCGGTTTGCTCAGCTCCATGGAATGTCTGATGAAGTGAGCTTCTCGCTTCTCGGAATGAACGATGGTGACGGGTCACCAGAAGTCTATAAGTGCTCCACATGGGGAGGATTGGGTGAATGTCTGGCCTACCTTCTTCGCCGGGCAATTGAGAACCGAGATGCTGTTCTCCGAACTGATAGCGAGTATCAGGCTTTGAAGTCTGAGACTTTCCGCAGATGCAAGTCTGTGTTCTCTCTATCTCCATCTTCATAGCCTACTTTTAGCATATGAGATCACGATACAAATGTCAGAAAGAAAGTATAAACATTAACCTCTTCATGGAGTAAACACTTAGTACGGAGTGGACGGTATTAAAGTTAGAAAGATTGGCATCGATTGGATGCAGATTCTGGAATTACCCGCCATAATAGCTGTTAGTCTGCCTTTTTTTGGGGTGGTGGTATTGGTAACTGATAATGTCATCCATCACTAGGCTCTCTGTGGGCCGCGAGGGACTTGCAGATCGGCGTCCCGCCTACCCGACCAACCAGCCTTATTATAGTGTTGACTACCGGGGCATGACGTCCGGAGATTCTACTTGTATGGCCACACGCACGTGTAGTAATGATTGTTGATTACACCCGTGCTTCCGAGAACTCATGCATGATTGGCAGTAAGGACCAAGGATTGGTCAGGCAGGGGTCTGCACAAGGCCGTGGAATCTTGGCGCGCCAGCCAGATCCTAAACCAGGCCAGAATCCCGAAAATTCACCGCTTCCTGCGGTGACGATGCCAGGCCCAGTCTGGCTCTGCATATGCCTTGACAAGGTGTTCTGATTATTGAGATGGGTTTCCAGTTCACCGCAACGATGACGTGATAATGCTAGGGACCATCAAGGGAGGACTTGAACAATGATGTACAAGTGTCTCACAGCTTCTAGAAGAGCCAGCTGCACACAATATTGTGCAATTTGAAAACAACTACACAAAATAGTATATGTACATAGATGTCATAAGAGTGGCAACAGCATGCTCGGCAATTATGATTGAGGCTAGCTTAAAATACACCAGTTGTGACGTGGCCTATTCCAGATGCGAAAATCACGACTGCATCCGCTAAAAAGCCATGCGAAAAGTGTGTGGTGAGAGCATCTTTTATTGGCTTGAAGCTCCGGGCTGATATCATGTGGAGGTAGTGATTGGTAGAAGGATCGCACTGATAGAAAAATTGCGGTATGGACCAGGTCATATTTCGAGCTGAAGGAGGGGAAGTGGGTGCGAGCGATTAATGAAAGCTCCATATCAAACTTGCTATATCACCAATGAAGTGGACGGAAAGTAATCACGGAGAAAATGCGGAGGGCACTACTGCGCACGGATGCCGAACAAGCCGGGGGACTGGAGAAAATCGGGACGCCGGTGGGTCTTCGTGCCATGTTCCCCAGAAGTCTAAGACCCACTTCTAGTAAGATCCGACTGGCTGATTGGTATATTCGGTGAACCTCCGAAGCTTGGTAAGCTTGTCTTCCCCCAGGTGCCAGCCTTAGCAGTCTGGGGCCCCTCGCTTCAGTAGCGGGGGCCGTTACATTGGTTTTTCGGCGATATCGGCTCTTTCTTGTACTTTATGACGCTTTTTCCCCCTTGCGTCGGGGAGCTGAAGGAGAAATATTTCCTTCCGACAGACTTAGTACCGCAAGCCGTCCCGAAAGACGCGAAAAAAAGTGAAGAAGCGACCATTATGGTTTCTGGACAGCTCAAAGGGAAACCACTTAGCCTGGTTATTGGTCTGATTGGAGCTGTTGGCTTTGTGCTCCAAGGCTATGATCAGGCGGTTTCTAATGGGCTGTTGACGCTGGGCTCGTTCATCGCGGTCTTTCCTCAGATCGACACCGTGCATACCACTGGCAGTCAGAAATCTCACAATTCTACCATCCAAGGTATGTGCTTTCGGAAAAAAGTCTCCAGAATTTCAAGGCGATGATCTAACTCGAGACAGGAACAACGGTTGCCATTTATGAGGTTGGGTGTGCACTCGGGGCTGGTTCCTGTGCTTTTCTGGGTGACAGGCTGGGCCGTCGCAAGACCATCTTTCTTGCCGGCTGCATCGCTCTGGTTGGTGTCGTCATCCAGTCGACTCCTTTTGCGCTTGGCCAACTTATTGCTGGTAGAGTGATCACTGGTATGCTTCAAGCCTCACAATAATTTGCGTTGCATCAATTGATCTGTATCTAACTGGGTATAGGTCTGGGAGTGGGTGGTTTCACAGCCACGATCCCCATGTATGTTTCCGAGTCATCCTTGGCCAAGGCTCGTGGACGAATGGTGCTACTCGAGGGGTGGTTTGCTATTGGCGGCATTGTGCTCGCGACATGGCTGGAATTCGGACTTTACTATGTCGGTGACAACTCAGTCAGCTGGCGCTTCCCCATTGCCTTCCAAGGCCTCTTCGCCCTTATAGTTGTCGGCTGCATCATGCTACTTCCTGAATCACCTCGCTGGCTTGCACGAGCTGGAAGATTGGAAGAGGCCGCCGCAGTGTTGGCTCGCATAGAAGATGTTTCCGTTGACTCCGAGCACGTATTACAAGAGATGGATATCATCCGCCAATCACTGGTGATGGACCAAAATGCTGAGTCGTCGGGTTCCTCTTCGCCTTTTGCGCTCACTAAAAACCGACATCTGCATCGTACAATCCTCGCCGTCGGTGTCAACATTCTGGCCCAAATGACAGGAGTCAACATCATTACTTTCTACTCTGATACCATATTTGAAGGTGACCTGGGGTATTCAGGTACCCTGTCACGAATCATCACCGGGTGTCTACAGATCTGGCAGTTCATCGCAGCTGGTCTGGCAGTACTGCTTATTGACCGTGTTGGGCGTCGACCGCTATTCATCGCCGCTGCTGTGGGAATGACTGTCGCCCAAGCTTGCTTGGCTGGGCTATCAAGTGATTTGGGAAACAAATCTGCGGCTGGAGCTTCCCTCTTGTTCTACTTTATGGCGCTCTTCTGTTTCCCCATCGGTCTCTTCCTGGTTCCGTTCATGTACGCAGCAGAGATCGCCCCTCTGCGTACTCGTGCTCAAGTGACGGCCATGTCAGCCGCAGCGAACTGGCTCTTCAATTTCGTGCTGGCTGAGGTTAGCCCTGTCGGATTCGCCACGATTAGCTGGCGGTACTACATCATCTACGCATGCATTAGCGCATTTGCGTGCATCTTCTTCTACTTCCTCTGTCCCGAGACCAAGGGTCGCACGCTTGAGGAGATTGACGACATATTTGTCCAGTCAAAGTCTGTACTCGATACAGTTCGTGTTGCTCGTCAAATGCCTTATCAGGCAGAGATTTTGGCCCATATTGATGAGACGGAAAAGGGTATTGATGAAAAGCAGGTCGAGCATGCTTAAATTAAGGGCTTCAAGAATCTCAAGAATGTTCCTTGGACGCAATTGGGTCGTTGAGTATTTCCCAACGGCAGATTTAATGCATTTTTTCAATGTTTGGTTCGAAATAGAAATAGACACAACGGTTTAGATGAACAATTCATTTGATTATGAAAATTTCTCATGGAAAGCAGCTCGTAACTCTATATTTGCCAGGCAGCCAATTCCAAAAGCAGGGATGATGCGAACACCGCGTAACAAAGTTGACGACACAACATATTGCTGTGAATGCTTCAGTCTGTCCACAAAGGGAATCCTATACTGGCGAGTGTACATATCCAACGCCAGAAGGTGTAGCGGGGTAGCTACCAGCTGAGTCAACACAGGGACGGTTAACTGTGTAATGATCGGCTTCGCATGGGGATGCGTCGCCCAGCTGTCGGGGATGGCATCCGACAAATAGGGCGCTAAAGTGAAGGAGCCGAAGATCGTCACGCCGTCGCGCACGAGGAAGATCGCAGCGGCCGCACGGGCCATCGACCTGTTGAGCACGGGGACGGGGACGTGCGCAGTCTTGGCATCGGGCCCCCTGCCGGTGCCGTATGCCTGCGCAAAGGACATGTCCTTCCACAGCGCTAACGGCACATTCGCCAGTATTGTAGTGGCAAACGTCACTGTACCCGCCGCGGCTATCTCTAGCTTGCGACTGATAGTATCGGTCATGTTTGCCACGGAATACGTTGCCCCGTACATGGCCCATACCAGAGCCATGGGCTTTGAAGCGATGAACAGCCCCGGTTGTCGGAGTGCCCCGACTGCATGCCGACGTAGTCCGCGGAGAATGGGCTGTTTGAATGCAGCTTGCTCGACGAGTGATCTGGGCGCTTGTTAGGCTATGGTTCATCCTCGCGCTTGTCTCGGTACTGACCTGTCGATAATCGCGACAGCGGGCGTGACGAGACTTGCCGAGAGAGCTGCTGCTGCAATATCGCCTGCGATATGTCCCAGCTGGGGGCTCTTCCAGTGGTGTGTTTCGATTTCTTGCATGGTTTAGGTTCTATAGTACATTCTGACCCTCCTGCTGCTTATCTACTTCGAATCTGTTTGATAAAAGGCAAGTCAATCCGCCCAATACAATCACCGGGAGGCCTTCCGACGCTGCATACACCATACAGCAACCCACCTAGCCTTATCGCCTGGATCCAAGCTCGGTCGTTATCCAAATGCAAATTGTGGGGTAAACGGACAAGCCTCCGATATTTCCATGAGGGGTCCTGGCTCTTTAAATCAATCGACTCGCCTGCTGGGATTGATCTTTTCCAATTCACATTTCACATTGAGTCAAGTCTGCCGCAATGTCTACAGCCACACTCATGAGAATGCGCTCGGCACGGCCTACTGGCCCTCGCCTTCGCTCTGTCCCCGCAGGGCTCTCTATCCAGGCCCGTTCCAAGACAACCATGCCCTTCCGTCTCCCCGATGCTCGTAACGAGCCTAACGTGAGTCTACCAAAAGAGTTTATTGGAGCATCAGCTAATGAAATATAGCCTCTGTACACCAAGGGCTCTCCAGAGCGCGCCAAGCTCGAGGAAGCTCTCACCAAGCTCCGCTCCCAGCTGCCCGTGCGGAGTGAGCTCTTCTTCGACGGAAAGCTCCAAGCAAGCTCCAAGTCCATTGACCAGCCGTTGCCCGCCGAACATGCCACTACCTTCACAAACTACCCTCTCGCAACCGAAGAACAGACCAAGACCGCCATTGAGAAAGCTCTCGAGGCCAAGCAGAGCTGGCAAGATACCCCATTCGTCGATCGTGCCTCGATCTTCCTCAAGGCTGCTGAGCTGCTCACTACCAAATACCGATACGACATCATTGCGGCTACCATGCTTGGCCAGGGAAAGAACATCTGGCAGGGAGAGATTGATGCCGCAGCTGAGTTGGCGGACTTTTTCCGTCTGAACTGCAACTGGGCAGCTGAGATTCTGGAAAAGCAGCCAACTCGCGGCAGCGATGGCATGTGGAGGTATGTTGCGCAATATCTCCAAGCTTGTCCAAATCACATGCTAACAATTCCGCAGTCGCATTGACTACCGTCCTCTAGAGGGCTTCGTCTACGCCATCTCCCCCTTCAACTTCACTGCTCTTGGTGGAAACCTGATTGCCGGCCCTGCCATCATGGGTAACGTGGTGCTGTGGAAGCCCTCGCCCTCCAACGTCTACGCTAGCACCCTGCTCTACAAGATTCTCCTGGAAGCTGGTCTTCCTCCTAACGTCATCCAATTCGTCACTGGCGATGCGCAAGCCATCACCGACACTGCCCTCTCCCACCGCGATTTTGCCGGTCTGAACTTCATCGGTTCCTCCGATGTCTTCCGCTCGCTGTACGGCCGCATCGGCCAGGGTGTTGCCGCAAAGACCTACCGCGAGTTCCCTCGCTTCGTTGCTGAGACCAGTGGAAAGAACTTCCACCTTGTTCACCCTAGCGCCGACATCTCCAGCGCTGTCAACCACACCATCCGTGGCTCCTTCGAGTACCAGGGCCAGAAGTGCTCTGCTACCTCCCGTCTCTACCTGCCTGAGTCCAAGGCAGAGAAGTTCCTGTCCCAATTGAAGGCCGGTATCAGCGAGATCACTATTGGAAACCCCGACAAGGACTTGGAGGCCTACATGGGTCCCGTGATCCACCGTGGCTCCTTCGAGAAGATCAAGACCATCATTGACGCCAGCAACAAGGATCCCTCCCTCAAGTTGCTTGCCGGTGGTACTTACGATGAGTCTGTCGGCTACTACGTGCACCCCACTGTGTACCTCGCCGACTCACCCGACCACGCTCTCTTCAACGAGGAGATCTTCGGTCCCGTTCTTGCTGTGCACATCTACAAGGATGCTGAGTGGTCCTCAGTTCTGAAGTCCGTCGACCAGAACGGCGGTGGCTTCGCCCTGACCGGTGCCGTCTTCGCCAAGGATCGCGTTGCTATCCGCGAGGCTGAGGACAAGCTCCGCTACTCTGCCGGTAACTTCTACATCAGTAAGTCTCATTTTAACTCGCAATCCAGTATTCAAAACTAACGATTTCCCCTTTAGACTGCAAGACCACCGCTGCTCTTATTGGCCAACAGTCCTTCGGTGGTGCCCGCGCTAGTGGCACCAACGACAAGGCTGGTAGCTCCGACCCCCTGCGCCGCTTCGTCAGCCCGCGCTTGATCAAGGAAGAGTTCTTCGGCCAGGAGGGATTCACTTACCCCAGCAACCACTGAGTGTGCTACGATGTGACACGAAATATATTGTAGAAACTTCATTAGCAAAATATGTATTCTCACACTTCAATCAATCTTGCATTTCTGCTTTCTACAATCTTTTTGGCGGAGGAGCAGCCCTGGAGTTAAAGCAGACTACGGAGTACCACATTGGCTAATGTTGCGGTTCCAGGTGTGAAGGACCTTGGAAATTTGGGCAAACGGTTTCCTGAGGTGTTGTGTAACAGGAATGGCCCAATGGGCGGCCAAAACAAGGGTCAGTTGTCATGGAATTTCCGATCTGCAAACTCATTTTAGCCCAGTCTCATGAATGTGCTTGTCGATCTGAAATCCGTGCATCTAATAGTTCATCATGACCATACTATGACGTCATACCAATCGCGGTTTGATTTGATATCTCAATTGAATTGTAGATTAGAATCTAAACACATGCCTTCAAGCTTTTTTGAAGAGGTTTGAATACATTATCTATATTGACCTGAAAGATATGATCATGCAGGATGTAAATGAAGGAAGGATACCGAAAAACGCGTTCGAAAAGCACAGAAAACAGAGGCAGTGGAAACAAATGATGACAGATAGATAGGTGAGACGCTTGTGAGCGGTGATGTATCTTGCTTGAAATTATTGAGAAGATAAGGTCTAGCTCATTGGTTCATTCTATGACATCTTGTCAGGGTAGATATCCAAGAAGCCCAAAGGACCAAACAAGTCACATTTCTGAGATCACCAAATGAAGCCCCTAAGTCCGCCACGAGTCTCATTTTGTTGGAAAGAAATCCACGGATCAACCCACGAGGGGTGCAACATGCCACGATCCGCAGCCAACCAAAGTACTGTACATCGTAACCGATCACTGCAGACCCCGCGGCTCCGGGGCGGGCCCGGACATATATGATGCTAAATCCGCCCTTGGCTCGGCTTTGTTTACCAATGGACCCCGGGTTTACATCCATAGATGACTATCATGACTATCTTTCCCAGTTTCATATCAACAGGCGCGTTATCAAACACCGGGAGGCCTCCCGATGGCCCACTTCTCCGCACCTGGCCCCCCGCACTTGCGATAGACCGGTAACGAACCCGGATACACGATAGCTGCAAAAGTGTCATCCGACACCGAGATATAACTGCAAGTTCGCCTGTGTGTTTCTTTTTGTCATTGAACTTTCATTGCATTGTCAAGATGGGCGTCGCCAAGTCTGATCCGATTATCATTGTTGGCGGTGGAGCCTTTGGATTATCCACTGCTTTGCATCTGACTCGATCTGGTTTTACGAACATCTCGGTTTACGAGAAAGATGATCACATTCCTCCTCGTTACTCAGCGGCCAATGATCTGAACAAGATTGTTCGCGCCGAGTATGAGGATCCTTTCTATACGGATCTGACAAAGGTGAGTATTCCAATAACCCTATGACGGAACTATTCTGACAAGATTGTTTTTTTTTTTTTTATAGAAAGCCATTGCAGAATGGAAGACCCCTCTTTTTGCTCCCTTCTTCCACCAGACCGGATTCTTGCATTGCGTATCTGGTGACGCCTCCCAAAAAGCCATCGACACTCTCGCAAGATTCCGAGCTTCAGCGGAAAAAGATGCTCAGATCAAGCCTCACGTGGTGCCCCTCGATAATTTGGATGATGTGCGCCAGGCCTGCTGGCAGCTCGATGGTCCTCTGACCGGCTGGAACGGATACCTGAACCGCTACGACGGATACGCTCATTCCGGCGATGCCCTCGCAGCAGTATACCGAGCTGCACAAGCAGCCGGAGTCCGCTTCTTCCTCGGCGAGAACGGCGCAGTCGACGAAGTTGTCTACGTGAGCACACTTCAAGGCCGGAAGAGCTCCGGAATCCGCACCAAGGATGGCAAATTCCACCCCTCGTCTCTAGTCATCGTCGCTGCTGGAGGTGCCGTCGGTCGTCTTGTCCCTGAGCTAGGCAAGAAGGTCGTCGCCAAGTCCTGGTCTGTTGCGCATGTCCAACTTACCGACGAAGAAACTTCTGCGCTGCGTGGTATCCCTATTACCTACGCCCGTGATCTGGGTTTCCTATTTGAGCCCGATCCCAAGACCAACCTCTTGAAGATCTGTCCTATGGGTGGTGGTTTCGTCAACACGGACCCAAAGACTGGTATCTCATATGCCCCTGACAATTTGGAGGAAAGTGCGTTCGTGCCGGAAAATGATGAGAAGCAGATGAGGAAACTTCTGGCACATACTTTCCCTGCACTGGCGAACCGTCCTCTTGTTAAGAGGTCTCTTTGCTGGTTTGCTGATACGGATGACTCGGACTTTATCATTGATTATATTCCTGGGACTTCAGACTCTGTTGTTGTGCTTTCTGGTGATTCGGGACATGGCTTTAAGATGTTCCCGATCTTTGGATCATGGGTTTCAGATTTCCTGGCACATAGCCAACAGCGCAATTCCAGATGGCGGTGGAAGCAGTCTGATCCCAATGAAGGGAAAGGAAACTGGGGTGGTGATGTGAGTTGGCGACTTGGAGAGTCAAAAGAGCTCTCTGAGATCCGGCCGAAGGTCTTGTCTAAGCTTTAGATGCTTTCGAATTCGTAATATTGTTGCATTATAAATCGCATTTTTCACATCGCTTTTTGATTTCTGCCAAGTTCCATATGGTGTGCTGTCTAGACCCATGTAGGCTCGTGTGTACAGTATTGAAACCTCGTGGAAGACCTGCATGTGTTATGTGAGCCAAAGAGGCAAGAAGAAATCAAAAAGTGAGAGAGAAGGTGGCAAAGAAAAAGGAGGAAAAAAAAAAAAAAAAAAAAGGTAGTGCCAGGGATTGAACGTAGAAGATCGTAGTATCACTTCCTGGAAGATCAAAGGCACTTCCGTAAACGGCAATCTCTCCCTGGCGGCTGAGGGGAGTTGAAGCAGGACAGCCTGTCCGGGCTGTTTCCCGCTTGGCCACCCCTCAGCATTAACTACTCACCACTTCTGACGGGTTTTGACCGACGGAATATGCTCTCTATCCTCCCAGATAGGAAGCCGTACAGCAAACCAATCTCCATACTTGGCGGCGCTCTCTTGTATAGAAGATTGATTGGCATATCCAGATAGTCAAGCCTTGAACTCGTGTTAGAACGCAACATGTTCTACTGGTGACTTGGACAGCATTGTCATTGGTGAAGTTCATCTTTGCTAAGGGCTTTGCCCCGTCATCATGCTCAAGACTACTAATACATTCGCACATAAAGATTCATCAAGCCCAGCTGACGTTCACCAGATACTATGTTCCACCATTGCATTAGATACCCACTCAGTATCAAATGTCTCGATAGAATCCGCAACAGCCATGATCTCAGCCGATGTCAGCATCGTACCAAAGTCACACTCCCCATCCAGCTCATGGACCGGCCTCAGAAGTGCGTCATATCGCACAGGCTGCTGGATGGACGCTGAAATCGACGTTGATGGTGATGACGGGCGAGGCAAACCATCGGGTTGCTGATAGAAAGCAGGAGCTGCCAACGGACCGGGGTGACTGCCTGATATACAACCCAGCAAGGTCTCGTCTAATTGCTGTAGCTCTGCTCTTCGGAAGCTTGCGACTTGATTACCGTCTCCGATCATCTCGTCGAAGATTGAGTAGGCTTTGTCGAGCCAGGTGGGATGGGTTTCGAGGAGGCGGGGGTCGATTGCGGGACCGATGAGCAGGATGACGGTTGAAACGAAGACTGATTCGAGATCGAAGGGGAGGAAGGTTTCTATCTTCGAGTCAGAATGGTTATTTTTGAGAGCTCATACTTGACGTACCTAGGAGTCCTTGACTCTGGAGGCTGTTGAGGATGCTTATGATGTGATGGGCAGATTCAAGGCACATTTGCATCAGATTCTGCACATTGCGAGAGGTATTGAGGGTCTCTAGGAAGCACTCTGGAGACTCAAGGCGGATTTTGAGGAAACAGAAGAGAAGGGGTCTAGTTGCGAGAATGATGCACTGAATAGGTGACGCAGTCAGTCATTACAACTTCCCCACGGTGTGTTGTTTGAATAATCGAGACTCACCTGATGGTATTGGAGATGCAGGTATGCCGATAGTCGCGACACCCCGCTAGATGGTTCCAAGTGTAGTGGGAACGATTGGCGAAGCTCATCGGCTAGTCCTGCTATATTTGCCAAGGCTGATTTCGTGCTGAGGAGAAAGGTTCGCTTGATGCGGCCGTCGATGACATAGATTGCTGCACAGAGGATTAGGGCTATGCAAATATGAGTTAGGGTATCGGGGCCTTACTACTGTTAACCTCGGCAATGATCTGAGACAGTTTGATGTGCATGCTGAGGGACATGGTTTCTGTCGCGTCTGCAAATTCTGGTATCTGGGTTTGGATATAACGATCATTGATGGTTTGAGGTAGTCCCATCAACGATGTCATCTCTCGATCGAGTATGTAGATGGTCCACCAGATCTTACCGCACCTTTGAACCATTTCATGTCCGAGGTCATCAACTGGCATGTTGGTGTGCATTCCTTGTGCCATGGCTATGCGCATAGCTTGACCAATCTAGATAATGGTCAGTAAGTCCCGCATGCGCGAGTAGTAATACGGATATCTCACATAGTTATGTGCCGATGTGCGATAGTCGACACATTGGTAATATAAGGCGATACAGCAGAGAATCTCCGTGCCGAGCATGGGATCCCGGTAAAGGGCACTAGGATCCGGTAAGAGCTGCAGAGCTCTGACAAAGTAGCCTACACCTGGTGGCTTTCTGCCTTGGGCCTTGGGTTGAACGAATCCTTTTCCGAAAGCCAAGATCAGAAGAAAGTGAATATACCACAGGCTATTTGTCATGTCTTCTCCATCACCAGAGTAGAACTGTTGCAAAGAATTCATAAACTCTGATTCTTCGAAGAGATGGTATAGCTGTCCGCAGCGGAATTGTACTGCGTTTATCAAATACATGGTGTGGTCGCGAGTCGGAACAATCGGCATGTCCGGGCCTGGGGTTGTTCGTAGCCCATTCCAACCCAACTGGTAAGTAGTTTCGTCAAACAATAAAGCCTCTGTGGGCAATGCTGTCTGATAAAAGTGCTGGTGAGCGAGGCTGAGAACCCGTCGAGTGAACGACCAGTTGGAAGATGTTCCAAGATAGACTGGAATCATCAGTTCGGTCTTACTCCGCGATGGGAGGATAACTTACATGTCCGTCCATTTGCCGCAGACATAAAAGCAGGGGGACCATTCGATAACGGATTAGCGAGACCAGACTCTGGGTCTTCCAGCTCCTGGGAGTCATCTTGATTTTCCGGAGTGGCAGTCCTGTCCAGCGGAGGTACGCTTCCGCCATCTTTTGGATCTAAGACAGATCAGAAAATGTGTTCCATAGCATGAGACCAATACACACCTGTATGTTGGGTCTCAAAGTTAGAGCTAAAAGGACTGGCTTGGCCTTTCTCGCTTTGCTCTATGCGAGCGATCTTCTGCTGCAGCTCCAAGATGTATCTGCATCAATTAGCGACGAGTATTTCTGCGCCCCGCACTAGACCTACCCTCTCGTCACTAGAATCTTCTGATCGCGGTCATTGAAAACACATGAAAGCTTTCGCTTGCTGCAGCCGTCGCAAGGCTGCGATCCGGAGCATTTGATCTTTTGCCTCCGGCATCGCACACAACTGAACGCGTTGTCAGCCACGAAACTCCGCCAGGGGACTCTACTCACGCATTTGACGACCGCTTTGTAACTCTTCCATCCGCCATATGTGTTTGTGGGATAGGTATGGTGGAAGTGTCATTTGGAGATAATGCGGGGAAAACCGTGAGGGGTGGAACTTCAGTACTGCCTCGATCCTCGAATCAGAGTGCTTGGCCCTCGCTGCGATACGAAAGGGCTTATCTCCGCGCTAAACACTCGGGTTCCCTCCCGGTCAGACGTCTTGGGCAATTCGTTTGTATTTTGTTAGATAAGAGTATCCTTTTTGATTCTGGATTATTATCGTTGCCCAAGTAGGTATCGATTGGCGTCCCAGAATTGCCTACATGCTGTGTGGCCCCAATGTTCTGTCCACCACTCTCCGAAGCTATCCTGCACGTTTTGTTCGTCTACCCGGAGTACCCGCTCGTCACGTTTGAGCGAACAAAGCGCACAGGGATGTGCAGCCTTGAGCGCGCCTTGGTCCGCCCGGGCTGTAATTACTTTAAGTGCACTGGGATCGGCGACTGCAGGGATCGGCTTTTGGCCTACTCCCTGCAAGACAGCGTTGAAGATTGCGGCTCGTTCCCGCCAAGCAATAAGTACGTCAACGGCATCTTGTTCCTCTTTAATGTTCTCTTGTTTGTTCACGCTGTTGAGCTTCATGCCACCAGCTTTGCCGGAGCGGGCAGGACCAATTCGCATGCTCTGACTGAGGATGGTGTCGCGTTTCCAGCGGAGGCTTCGGCCTGCAATGACGCGGGCAGCCGATTGAAGGGCGTTGTGTATATTTGATGCGGTCGCTGAGACAGAGGCTGTGAGTGAAGTTTGGGATCGTAGTTGTGACTTTGCGGAGGCAGCCTCTTTGTGAAGGCCTTCGAACACGTCAAGGAATAGCTCAAGAAGAACAGATGGGGGTGGGATGTTTGTCGGACGGACATTACTCGCGGGAGTTACGCCCCCGGAAGTAAAGCTGCTTGGAGAAGGGCTGGAGATTGGTGGTGTGGGCGTGGATTTGGGGTTGGTGACAGGCTGTACACTAGGTCCATCTGTGAAATCCCCCCAGTCACCAAAGGATTCATCATCCCAGGTTGGCGCAGCTGGCTTGATATTCTCAGTTATCTTTGGAGGTAGCTTCTGGGGTGTTTTCTGAACGGTGCTTGTATGTGATTTTGTCGGCAAAGATTTCTTCGGGGGTCTTGATTCAGGTTGGTTGGGCGCATCCGCAAAGTCGCCCCAGTCATCAAACGATTCGTCGTCCCATTTCGTTTCAGCTGGTTGTGTGCTGGGACTGGCAACTTCCTTCCTTGAGGTATATTTTGATGGCCGTTTCACGACAGGTGCCGAGTCTTGGAGCGACAGTGAGTCTAGCAAGTCAACTGCACCGAGAGGGTCTTGTACTGGGTAAGAACTTGTGATTGAAGGTCCTGTTGGTCGAGGTGCCGCTGACAGTGGCGTATTTTGTTTACTCGACTCGGGGCCCTCAAACTCACCCCAGTCATCGTCAGTGTCACTGGCCGGTGCATCGAATGCTACATCGAACAAAACATCACTATTTTGATTCGTAGGCAACTCATAGCCTTGGTGTGCAAGAGTCTGCCTCGGGGCATTGGACGTAGGTAATGTATTTTGGGGTCCGTTGTGTAAAGTTCCCGATGATCCGGCGAAGCCGCTCTGGTCATCTAGATCATCGAACAATGACCCTGTTTGATGCTGCACTGTTCGTCGACCTGACTGATCTTTTGATGGGGCAGGTGCCTGGCCGAACTCTGCTAACAAATCCGCCGACATGGTCGGAACCTTGCCCTGAAACTGTGGTACAGTGCGAGAGCAATACGGGGCGTGGGCAGATTTCAGCCACAGGCTTCGTGCAGCGTATCCTCAAATAGAGTTGATCGTAGGGATATCAGTTTCCCCGGCGAACCAATCCGAAGGAACATCCATGGATGTCCGGTGGAATGTCGCAATGCGAGTAGCGCGATAAGGCGGTCTACGTTATCGCCCGCATCCCCTCATCTTCTTTCATCACAACACCAGCGATGCGAAACATTGAGGAGACCAGGTGAGCATTGCATACAGTGGACTTGAAGCTATTCTCGTGCTGACCCTTGCAGGAAGAGATGGGACATTACGTTCTCCGACCATGAGACACCCTCCGACCTTCGAGCGGCGCTGCAGTCCGAGCGAGGGGACCTGTGCAATGACGGCCTGAGGTCCGTTTGTTGGAAGGTTCCGTGGGCTCACCAACACGTTTTCTTGAATGCTGTACTTATTTCCACCGCAGGCATTTCTGATCTTCGACGGGTTGGACCGAAATGAGTGGGCGCCTAAGCTCGAGGAATCCCGAGACGCGTATCGTGCGCTACGAGACCACTTCTTGAAATACATTGAACACCCAGATGACTTGGAATCGACTGTTGATCCGCTGGCGGATGATGAGCAGGTAGGTGTGCTTGCGCCTCGCTCTCTGTTCAGGGGTTACGACGGGAAAAAATTATGCTTGGTTGAGTCCAGCTTACACGACCCCTAGTCACCATGGCAAACACTACGAAACGACGAGGCACTGCGCGCGGAGATCTTGCAAGATGTTGACCGATGTCTGCAAGAAAACTTCTTCTTCCACGAACCCGACACCAAATCCAAATTGACTGATGTTTTGTTCGTCTATTCGAAACTTAACCCGGATGTGGGTTATCGACAAGGAATGCACGAATTACTTGCGCCAATCCTTTGGGCCGTGGACCGCGACTCTATCGATACAAAATCTGGAGAGATTGACGCAACCCAGGAACACAGGGATGGTTTGATGCTGAAGCTTCTCGATCCTCAATTTGTGGAACATGATTCATTCACGCTATTTCTGTCCGTCATGCAGACAGCTCGCACATACTATGAGCATGGAGAGACGCGGTCGGTCAATGGTCAGATGGATACGATCCCAATAGTTGAACGGTGTCAATATTTGCATAAGGAAGCTTTGACGATCATTGATCATGAACTAGCGGAGCATTTGGAGGCAGTCGAGGTTTTGCCGCAAATTTTCTTGACGTGAGTCCCTGTCAGATCGTACAGACCTTTGGAATGATCTAACTCGTTTTGAAGCCGTTGGATGCGCTTGCTTTTTGGTCGAGAATTTCCGTTTGATGATGTGCTGATGATGTGGGATCTTTTGTTTGCTCACGGGCTGAGGTCCGATCTTGTTGACTTTACTTGCATTGCAATGTTGCTTCGAATCCGCTGGCAACGTGAGTTTCAATCGTTTCAGGGCGCTGTTGCTCAAAGGTAGCCCGTTAACATATCATGCAGTACTCGAGGCAGATTATACCACCGCATTGACGCTGGTACTTCGATACCCCTCGCCTGAACCTCACGCCCCTCAGACCTTTGTACAAGATGCGCTCTACTTGGAACAGAATCCTACAGCAGATCGGGGTAATTTCATCATATCGAAATATTCGGGTCGACCACCTGATTCGAAAATTCGCGCCCAGTCTGGCACTCGGCCAACGAGGAGAGCTTTCCTATGGGATGATTTCAAAAGACGCAGTGAAAGTAATTCACCCTCTCATATTTCCGCTCGCAACACGCCAAAGAGCCTGGAATCCATCTTCCAGGATGTCTCTCAGGGAATCCAACGCCGTACAGAATCCTGGGGCGTGGCCAAAGCCGTACGCGGTGCTGTGACCGAAGCCAGGAAAAATATGCAAACGATGCACTATGAACCAAACATGCGCTATGCTCCCAGGCCTGTTTCAGCCGAGAAGGCCCCGGAAGCTCAATCCAAGGCATCTACGAGTCTAGCTGTCACAGCAGGGCTGGAAGCAAAGATCGATCTTCTGAATGAAAGAAATAAAGCTCTGGCCTCTATCTTGCGTGAGGCGCTTGATGATCTTGGCACACAATTGGCAAATGTTAATGGCCTGGGCTCCGATGCCAACAGTGCCGTGAAAGATGCACTGGCCAAAGCCGAGGGCGTGCAGGCCTGCCTGCAAGATCCTTCTATCGAGACAGGGACATTTGGAGTTCCGTCAGGCGAAGAGTCCGACAAAGATACGCTGAGTAGCCCGCCAGACAATGCCAAGTCACCAACAAGCAAAAAAGGCATTGATATTCCGACAACCAAGTCTTCATTACAAACTCGCCATCCCGATAATACGGATTGGACCGAGCCGACTGCCGATAGTGGAACCTCCAAGCCCGTCGGCATCGCCCCAGCAGGTCCGATGAACACTGGCAAAAAGTCCGAGGCCGCGCGGGCATCTTCGCGAGGAGCTGTGCGACCATCTCTCACAGACTCGGGATTTTCATGGATGCTTGGTGGCGGTCGGAACCTGTCGGGATTTGTGAGTTCATCCCCTCCGCCGGAGCAGACTAGGCATCTTGATCAAAACCGAGGAAAGCACAGTGCGTTGTTCGGATCTGGTGGAGAAGTTCCAGGGACCGATGCCGAGCCTGGTGAATTGGCACTACACAGCCTTCGGGGCTCCCGGGACCCTCTGTCAGGGGCTGGCCCATTGTGATATCCTCCAATCTGATGCCCGTTAACGTTCCGACCATGCAAAGTCTTACGCCAGGCCCACTTCTTATCTCCTAGGCTGCATGATTCTGTTGGTGTTTGACTTTTTGACAGGGAGCTCTAGCAAATCTGGCATGGTTTTAAGATATCTCAATTTACGAATATTTAAGCGCGAGTATCCTTCAGGTCCCACCAGGCGCTCGGATCTATTGAGGCAAGCCACTTTGCATCATCGGTTCTTGATCTATAGCAGATACCTGGCAGCGACCTGGTAGTGACATGTGGTGTTGGCGAAGCGGGGTAAATAATAGTCTGAGCACCCCGTTCTTTGAAGTACTCAGTCGGTTGCCGACTGCGGACTTGATGATGTCGTTCTATCTGGTCGTGATGTGGTAGAGTCCACGGGTAGTATAACTAGTAGAAACCCCCCTACGTCAGCCAATGGAAATCACAGTCATTTCGAAAGGAAACAATTCAATAAAATCCCAAGAAAAAAAGAAAAGAAAGACAGGAACAAGAGAGTAAGAAAAGAAGAAGAGAAAGACTCGCATTACATCACGGAAGGGACCCAGTCCCTTTGCTCGCATTTGGCATTTGGGCATTTGGCATTTTCCTATCCCCACCATCCCCCGCTGCTTTCTTTTTCTTCACTTCTCCCCCCTTTAAATCGATCGAACCTCGTACTTTTCGCGTGCCTCGCCGCGACGCCACATATGCCGCCTGAGACCCCACGAGGCAGCTGCCCTCCCAACCTCCGTCGCAGCTGCGAATGACTGTCGCATCCTATCTTGCTTTGAAGTCCTTCCTTTAAAATCATCTGACCTTGTTTCGTCCCAAGTGCAGAATCAGAGAGGCGGGAATGGGATCGGTTTTCAACCCTGATGGTCAGTCAATTTCACATGCTTTTTACTGTTGACCCTTTACATGGTCGTTGTTTCACATTCCATGGGCCTTGAGGAACTAGCGGAGGTGGGGATATATGCGACCACTCAAAATTTCGACATCATCGCATCGAGTCGAAACACCCGGAGGCGCCATGTCCCTCCAGTCAGAAGCAACCAAGCAACTACTGTCCAGCACATGCTTGGGAGCTGCACATGACCGCGGAGATCGACCGTCCGGATGATTCGAGTGGATCACATCGCAAAGGCCCGTGGAATGGAAACTTCGGCACGCGCCGATTGAGTTGATGAGATGCGAGGTGAATCACGCTGATCAGATATGCACACACAGGCGAGCCGAGTCCTCTTTCGTCGCCGTTAGGTCCCCTCTCAGAGTCGCCCGAGTCTGAGTCCGGATTCCCCAAACTTTCCTTACAAACAGATCGAGTCAGAGGCTCAGTCGACAGCGTTTCGTCGGGATATGAACCTAATTCAAGGTCAGCGATACTTGGTCTTCTTTACAACTCTTGGAAACTGACATCTGGTCGCACTTCAGATCCCCGTTATTCGAGAGCGACCATGGACTGGGTCCGTCCGGCCTGGATCGTATACGCCAGCACCAGCCATCCCGCGTGCTCACTCTTCCCAATTTATCTACGTCGTCGCTAGCCCCGATGGCTTCCAAACGTCCTTCGCCCTCCCCGCGCTCGCGCTCGTCGACTCGAGCCCACTCCGGCCGTTTGTCCATGAGCTCGAGTTCCACGGACTTGGAGGATTTGCACAGGTTCCCACTGGAGTCGCTGCATTCGTTCTCGTTTGCTCAGCAGTCCGAGGAGTTCCTTCACAGCCGTCAAAATATCCTCAAGAGGTCTATTGATTTCATGCGCGACCGCATGGGATGGGCAGCGACAAACCCTGCTATAGCCAACGCCCAAGCCAATGTCAGTGGGGACCCGGAGATGCAAGGCATGATGGACCTGCTCGCCCGGGCAAACATGCTTGAGACCCAGGACCACCAGATCCCAGGCCGAGGACCCATCACAGGACCAGCGGAATTGAATGGCGACAACGTGTTTGAAAGAGCCTTTTCGGACGGTGACTCCTTGTCTCCAGTCAGCACCCGGGACATGGCCCAGGAATCTCTCACCTCGGGGTCACATCAATCTGACAGCTCCCATTTGATGAGCCCAGTACCCAATGACCAGATCTCCAACCAACGGAGGGACCTAATCGCGGCACCAACTTCCAGGCGCGTAAGCTTAAAACGTACATACACAGATCTCTGCTCTGTCTCTCAAAAGAGCAAGCTGATGGAAACTTTAGCGCAACCTTACACCTCTTCGGCAGACCCGTTCTCCTCGCTTGGCTCGTCAACATCTGGAATGGGACTCCCTATCCCCGCCCTTCACACCCATAGCAGCAAATGGACCCCGGTTTCCCAGGCCGTTTTCAGGACCGAAGCCGAGGCACCCTGGACCATTCTGGCCGCTAATGATCTCTCTTGTCTGATATTTGGTGTTCTTCAATCCGAAGTCCGCCGCATCAGTATCCTCGAGGTCGTGCAAAAGGAACATAGAGAATGGCTCGAGGCCAAACTCCGAGACCCCAGTACTGATGCCGCAGCCCGTATGCCACTTAAGCCGGAACGAGCCAACATTAGCGCGGTGAACCCCAACTTCCGCGGTCTCGGGAATGGCGTGACAGCCCAACTACTCAGCAAACCGTCTTCCCGCGAAAAGTCTCGGAGATCACAAACTGACGATGGATACGGCTCTAGCACACGGGGTCCCAGAAACAATAACCACCCCGGAAACAAGTCTCGAGGAGTCTTGCTATGCGGCGACGTTGTTCCAATCCAAAAGCGCAATGGGACCAAGGGATCTGCTAGCGTGTGGGTTATGGAGAAGCGCGGTGGCCTGATCTGGGTCCTGGAAGAGATTACAGAAAATGTCGCCTCCGTCCAGTGTGACGATTCATGGACCGTCATGGGTGCCATGGGTGACTCAGAAAAGATCTGGGGCTCGTCTGTGGTTCAAAAGGGACAACCGATCACTGATCTTTTACCTTGTTTGCCATCGGCCTCCCTTGAAACATCCTTTGCAAGGGGATTGGACCAAATTGTGCAACTCAAGCACTTTGCCGCCCGGACCGCAGCCGGCGTTTGTATCCCTGTGGCTGTCGGCAAGGGCGAGGGAAATCGAACTCTCCAGGTCTCCAGCTTCCCTCATGTTGCTGGTATGATGGTGCTCTCGTCTTCTTCTTTGAACGTGATCAGCTCCAACTCCGTCTTCTCTTCCGTCTTATTCGGCCAAACCAGACCAGAGGGACTTCACATCACCGAACTCATCCCAGACTTCGATGAAATCCTGGATGTTTTGACCGAAGAAGATAATGTGCCCCTCGTGGATGGAATTGTCATTCCCGAACACAGCTTCCGCCGAGCAAGAACCTTGTCTATTCTCCGCGATGGAAAGTCAAATGCTGCTTCTGTGTTCACAGAGCCAAGTGGTCTACTTGCCAAACACAGGGACGGCTCAACTATTGTTGTGGACATCCAACTCCGCGTTGTGAAGAGTGGAACCTTCTTCTCGAAGGAGAAGGCGGAGAAATACAGTGATCGGAGCAGTGATTCAGATGATAGCGATGATACAATTGCAGTCACTGAGCTGGTCTATGCTCTGTGGATCACCTACTCGAGACAACTCCACGCCGCCGGGCCTGCCGCCGGACTCTCGCCATCGTCTGTACCCTCCTCCAAACCCACGTCACCGACACACATCCCCGCCTCGAATGGCTCGTCAGACTCAAGCTCTGATTCTCAGAAAACGGAAAACCGCGATCCTTCTGTGATTATTCAAGCTCCGACCTCGAACCTTAGCCAACAACTCAGCGAAGCCGCCTCTGAGCCACTCACTGACCGTCCTGTACAACCGATCCCTGAGATTACATCTACCAGCGCGAAAAACGAGCCTGCAGCAAAGCGGACGATCAACGACTACGTCATTCTCGAGGAAATGGGCCAAGGAGCCTATGGACAAGTCAAATTGGCGCGTCAGAAGAAAATGCCCACCAAGAAGATGGTTCTCAAGTATGTCACCAAGAAACGCATCTTGGTAGACACTTGGACCCGGGACCGACGTCTCGGGACTGTGCCTTTGGAGATTCATGTCCTCGATTTCCTCCGACGGGATGGACTCAAGCATCCCAACATCGTCGAGATGGAAGGTTTCTTCGAGGACGACGTCAACTATTATATTGAGATGACACCCCATGGACTGCCAGGAATGGATCTCTTCGACTACATTGAGCTCAAGGCCAACATGGACGAGTCGGAGTGCCGCAACATCTTCAAACAAGTCGCGGGTGCCACTAACCACTTACATACCAAGGCACTGGTTGTGCACCGTGACATTAAGGATGAGAATGTGGTTCTCGACGGTGAAGGGCGAATCAAGTTGATCGACTTTGGCAGCGCGGCCTACATCAAGAATGGGCCATTCGATGTCTTTGTCGGAACGATTGGTAAGATTGGTCTGTTCACTCGCCATGGTTCACAAATGCTAATTTCTTCGTGCTAGATTACGCCGCGCCCGAAGTCCTCCAGGGCCGATCCTATCGTGGCAAAGAGCAAGACATCTGGGCCCTGGGTATCCTCCTTTACACGATCGTCTACAAGGAAAACCCCTTCTATAACGTCGACGAGATCCTAGACCACCCCCTCCGGATCCCCTTCCTCCCCTTCTCCGAAGACTGCATTGACCTCATCCGCACGATGCTCGATCGTGATGTTGATAACCGGCTGACCATCACCGAGGTGCTCGAGCATCCGTGGATGGTGGCAAATTGAGCATTTTTAAATCGAAAATCCAAAATAACGCGATACCCCACAAAGTTGATTTCGTTTTACAGTATTTATCTGGGGAACATTTTTTTTTTCGGGGCCTGTGGGTAGTCTTATACGTACGCATTCTTACTTGTTGGGGGCATTTAGCATTTTGAATTGCATATTTTCATTAGAGAACTGAAATACATGGCTTCACCGACATGCGGGGAGACGGGACTTTGAAACTTTGAAACATACTGCGCCCGGCGAGTCCTAGTGCCCCCCACTCTGGCGTTCACACCAGTGTCCGTACCTCTTTGGAATATTCTATGGAGTACCTGGGCTCCACTAGGATTTGTATGTGTAACATATTGTAGAATCACGGAATAGGAAACTCAGTATTAGAATTCCACTTTTAAGAGAGCCCTGGAGGATTGTGGGCGTTACAGAATTCGAGACAAACGATGCAAAACATAGCGAACCAAGGTTGATCAGAGAAAGTCCCATGGTTCGGTACAGCCAAATTGAGTCCCCCGCATGCCCCACGCGAGAATGGGACTGTGCCAGGCACAACATTAACGGGGTTCTGGGCGTGGCGTCTGTCTTGGTCGTCGTCAGCCGAGGGTTTTTTTACCCGGTCTCACAGGCCTGTGCCACTGTCCAGAAATAATGGGGTGATACATTACTTACTCGGGAGTGAGATGTGCCACCCTGTAGTTAAGTACAGCCCTGGAGTTTCATTGTAAGAGATTGCATGACAAGTGTTAGACAGTACGAAGTAATAAGGGTGCATAGAGTCAGTATACTCCGTTATACTCTGTACTAGACAGGACGCAGTCTAGCACCAAAGTGTATCTCGGTGCCTAAGGTGGGGCACGATAAGCCGATAACAAGTACATGGGGGGTACATCATTCGTTATGGGATCGCTGCCCTGGTTCTAGGTTTAGTAGATGTATCGCATTCCGCCATTTCTTTTTCTTTTTAGCTTATCTCTGGCATTTGTGTCCTTTCTCAACTTCACCATGCCTCTTTTCTGTAACCTCTCGGCTCTCTCGGTACACTGAACCTCACTCGGCACAAGTCCCGGAAAGAAGACCTGTTCCACGGTTTCATGGCCCGCAGAACCCCGAGTCAAAGGTGATCTCTCCAACCTCACTCATTGTCCTGTCATCCCGTATCACTATGATCGTCTGAGAACTCACGGTGCAATCTTGCGCGTTCGTCGCTTTACTTCCTCCATCGCCTCCCTTCAACCGCATCCAACCCCTCACCACTTCCGCGACATTCCATATCTAGCCGGCCTTTGGGAAATACGTGACAAGAGGGCCGTGAACCCAGATCAAAGTCCGACAAGCCGAGTAGGGTCGCCAAAATGACTTCCCAAATCTCCGATCCCATCCTGCCCGTCTCCGAAGATCCGACACCGTCGCCCGCTCAGATCCCCTCGGAGCAACCACCCAAATTAAAGGGCCGTCAGAAGTTGCTGCAGAATCTCCAACGCATATCCTCCAGTCCGACCTTGACTCGACGTGGACGCTCATCTTCGAGCGCTGGTTACCGTCGGGACCACAAGGCTTCTCTATCCTGCGTTTCGTTATCTTCACCTTCTTACTCCCCTTGTCTAGGCAATGGAAGTTCCTCCCAGCTCTATGGGGGCCTTCACCCTAGACCTGTCACTACTCCTAACTGTTCCCGTTCCCCTGACGGACCTCAGGACATAAATACCCGCATTCGACTGGTGGACACTGATGGCCCGAATGTCTCTTTGCCTCGCACCGTTCCATTGCCATTTGATGTGAAGCCGGCACCAGGAGGGTCTCCGCGCTTGACAACACCTGTGGATGCCACGATCGAAGAGACACTCACTCTTCCAGAGGCTCGGCCGGCCCGAACTCTGGATTTCTGGAATGATATGCCGCGAGAACTCAAGATGGAGATCTTCCAGCATCTGACCCCGCAGGAGATTGTTCGTTGCTCTGCTGTTTCCAAATCCTGGAATGAAATGTGCTATGATGGACAGTTGTGGACAAAGGTCGACACAACTGAATACTATTCCAAGATCCCGAGCGATGTCTTGGTGAAGCTCATCACTTCCGGAGGTCCCTTTGTCAGAGACCTCAATCTCCGAGGCTGCGTTCAGATGCGTGAAAAGTGGTCCTCTGATGGAGAGCGCATCTCTGATCTCTGCCGAAACGTCGTCAACTTTTCGCTTGAGGGCTGTCGTATTGACAAGGCATCCATCTACTCATTCCTTCTCCGCAACCCCCGTTTGGAATTCATCAATGTGTCGGGTCTATCGACTGTTACAAACTCGGCTATGAAAGTCATTGCGCGATCTTGCCCCCAGCTTGAGACTCTGAATGTCTCATGGTGTAGCAACGTTGACACTACCGGTCTGCTCCGAATTGTGCAGTCTTGTACGCGACTGAAAGATCTCCGAGCCAGCGAGATTCGTGGTTTCAGTGACGAGAAGTTCACATCGGCCTTGTTCGAGCGCAACAGCCTGGACCGTCTGATCATGAGTCGCACTGACCTGACCGATCAAAGTCTGAAGATGCTGATGCACGGCAAAGACCCCATGATGGATGTGCTGACTGATCGTCCTATCGTTCCACCTCGAAGATTCCGTCATCTGGACCTCCATCAATGTTCCGAGGTTGGCGATACCGGGTTGAAGAGTTTGGCTCATAACGTGCCAGATCTGCAGGGGTTGCAGGTCTCCCAGTGCTCCGAGCTGACCGACGATTCCGTCATGGATGTCATTCGCACAACGCCCAATCTGTCACATTTGGAACTAGAAGATTTGGAGCACCTCACAAACGCCACTTTGATAGAGTTGGCGAGATCTCCCTGTGCCCAAAGCATGGAGCATCTAAACATCAGCTACTGTGAGAGCCTCAGCGACACAGGAATGTTGCAAGTCATGAAGAACTGCCCGAACCTGCGATCCGTGGAAATGGACAACACCCGAGTCTCAGACCTAACCCTCATGGAAGCTAGTTATCGTATCCGCAGACGCGGATACAGCGACGATCTCCCCAGGTCGGACTCCGCCTCATGATCTTCGACTGCGCAAATGTCACTTGGGCAGGAGTCAAAGAAGTGCTCTCCAGCAACGCTTACATTCCGCGTGCCTCCCGCAAACTCGCTTCCACAGTGGTCACCGTGACCCAAACCTCAGACACCGGATCTTCCCCAGAGACAAGCACATTCGTCACACCGAGTTCCACACCCTCGCCCTCGCCTTCGCTCACATACCCGAATGAAATCATTCAACTCAAGTGCTTCTATGGATGGCAGATGACTGTTGACGAACACACGAAACGGGTTCTCCGCGGTGACCTCGCTGCTGCATCTCGGCTGGATCGGAAATGGGCAGACTACATGATGGCGACTGAGGAAGCGGGCGCCGCAGGTGCGGGTGCTCGTCGACGCAGACGCCGTGCACGCGAGGCTGAGCGTCTTTACAACGCTGATGAAGATGAGGCTGATACGTATGGAATCGGGTCGATCACTGCTCTCGGCGGTAGACGCCGACGTGCTCAGAGTGGTGGTGGCTGCACTGTCATGTAAAGTCATCTTCTGAAACTGTGACACGTCTTCCCTCTTTGGTGTCTTGTGGAACGATATCAGTGAAGCGCAAGTTGCTTTTTGATCTATCTGGCGCTGGACCGCCAGAATGACCATTCGAAGTCGAAATTCGATACCAATGATTTTATCGACATATGACTGACGCATGATACGATTTTCCTTTTCCTTCTCCCTTTCCTTTCTCTTTTTTCTGTTCGCTCGGACCAAGGAGTCCCTGACACGATACATGATCTTGCAGTTGATCTTTTCTGGGGATGTCATTCTTTACGCCTTTTCTTTTTTCTGACGTTCTATGCATAAGCAAGAATCTACTCTCGATTTCCTTTTCCGTGTTTTCGATATCGGCGTTGGAGTCAAGACTGGCCTTCTCATACGTTCACACCACTCAATCAATTTGGCAGCATCTTAGCTTCAGTATCTTTAGATAGGTCGTTGGCGCTGTTATTTCTGGGGACCATGGCTCTTCTACGTGACATCTACACTCGGCCTTTCGGGCTTATGATCTGATTGTGCCTCCAAGTTCCTCTTTGTCAAGTAGTTCACTGCACGAGTAGCCAGATCCTGCAGAGGAGTAGTGCCTGTGAATCTATAAGGGAGGTAAGTTGATTTTTTTTTTTATTTTTTTATTTTTTGTTATAATTTCACTTGAATTTTACCAACGCAAGTTTTTATGGGTCAGCAACCTCATTCTGATCACTTTCAAGATCCCTGCAACCTTGGAAGGGGTATGAAATTGACTGAAAGCTAAGGAGTTGGAAATGCACAATATTCCAAGGCTGATGCCGTGCTGCTCTCCCTCGGTTTGTTTTCGCTCTTGATTATGTTCCCCCCCCAATTTCCAGAGCCGTGTACATCGTTCTCAACCCTTCCCCGGGCTAATATTAGCTCCATGGATGTCTGTTTACTTCCAAGGTGGCATACAATAGAAAACTTTGGGTGGGAACGATCACCTTTGCTCTGCTAAGCTGAATGTGCTAAAGACATAAGCCGTGACTGAACTTGATACATGATCGAACTCTCGGTTCCTCACCCGGGCAAGATATAGCCCTAACTAACTCCATAAAGCATCAAAAATCCTCAACGACCTCATTAACCTTTTTAAAAGTCCATTCCTTAGATTCCCTGCGAGTCTGGTTGTTTTTCAATTCCAACATCCGTGAATGTTGGTCCTAGATTCCATGTCTCCATTAGATCGCCATTGGCAAGTTCAGCCATGATATTTGGGCGTAGCCATTCCTCGGGGGTAACTGGACTGCTGGTGATGACAGTGTCGGACATGTCAATATCAGTATTCAATCTTCCTGGATGGACACGAGCACCGGCGAATTCGAATCCACCATTGAACAGATCATCGTATTTTGTATCTCTCTGGGGTCCATCTTCATTTATCACGAGAGGATCGTCAGGCGTCAGTCCGGAGGGGAATTGGCTGTTGAGAAGGGATTGGGCAGCCTGTGAATTACTTCCCGACTCAGATGATTCAGAGTTGACTTGGTCCTCCTGTGAGACAGTGTCGTCTTGCACATCGGTCTCTGATCCATATTCATAAACCATAACGGGATCGTAAGATGCAAGTTTGTATGGAGCCTCGCTGTGCGGAAGCAGTTGAACCACATCAGTGGCTTGCGGGCCGTCTTGTGAATGGGTCTTATCTTGCAAGGATGCATTTGTTGTGTCCTCTGGTTCGGCGACCTCTGGGACCGGTGCCATTCCGCTCATCTCTGCATCCTGGGGATCTATGTCCTGAGCAATGAAGATATTGTTCTCGTCTTCTGCACTGGCGTTTTCGTCCGAACTTGTTTCATCCTCTGAATCTTCATCTTCGTCCGAGTAGATGTTATGATAGGCGCGAGTGAGATGATCATACTCTTCATCGGTCGTGAGGCCATGGTCCATGAAATATTCTTTGCGCATGCAAGTAGGACAGCAGCCAGGTTGCCGAGGTCCACAGCGAGCGTTGTAGCCGCGTACCTTCCACAGAGGCATAGCTAGAGGGGCCTCGTTGAGACGCGGAAGTACTGCACATTCATGATGATTCGCAGATACAACATCACGGGTTGGATATTTTCCCTTGAAACGAAGATCTCTTTCAGTTCCAATGGGTTGGTGCAGGAGCAATTGTCGGTCGATAGTGTGCTCACTGTCCACAGCTGACTTTGGTGCAATGACTGCCCCAATTGAGAAGTGTGGGCTGCGCTTCATGACCTCCCTGTTCTTCTCCTCGATTAGCCAGCCAATGCACTCTGCATGAGCACGACCACAGAGAACGTAATGGCCTTTGTAAACCGGGAAGAAAGGCAGTCCGTGTGCCCAAATTATAGGCGCTGGCCCTGAAGGCACGCGATCTGGATCAATATCACCCCTCTTGTCGAAGTCGTAAGGATATCGCTGCCCGCGAAGAATGCACTTCATGTGCTTGATGGCCAGGTACACCCACTCATCTGAGAGTCGTGTGTTTGGGGGCGGGAACCGGGGTCTGCCAGTTTCTTCGTCGAACTCCAGTTCCAACACCAGCTTCATTCGAGCCTTTTCGCGTCGCAGATTAGCTTTTCGTCCAGGACCATGTTCGGGTTTCCACTCAACGTCAGGGTTGGAGTCCTTGTGAATTCGAGCCAGTTCTTGGCAATCGGCTTTGAATTCTTCTTGCTTTTCCAGGAAAGCTTTCACATTCTCCAGCTTGCAAGCCATGCTGGCTTTCGCTTTCCTGGGAGGCATTTTGCTTGGTGCAATTTATAGAGATGAAAGATTTGATGGCTGTCCTGGAAGCGATCAGTAAAAGTTCAGACACTTTCAACGCATGTGCGATTCGACGGACGAGTCAAGAGGGGAAAGAAAATCAGATCCCAAGAAATTGAAGGTGTATACGGATAGCTCAGATGCGCCAGGTGTAAAGGATGGAACTGACCTTTGCAACTCAAAGTGACTGCACCTTGACTGGAGACGAGAAAGATGGCTTCGGTTGCAAAAAGATGAATCGCAATAAACGATATTATTCCGTCTGATCTTCAGATGTTCGAAAGTATTGGTGTATCAAGAATCGATTTTCGGAGATGGAGGTAATGAAAGACGAGAAGCAGAATGTTGAAGACTGAGAGGTGTCCGAAACTTGGCCGTATTCGTCAACTCAAAGGGGTGATATTAGCTCAAGACAAATTGTGCGATCGATAGAACTGCAGAAAACAATGAATTTTCGAGTCTTCAATCTGGTCAAATGTTGAGAGTGAGAACCGATGGGCAAAGCAAGGTTCTTTGCATGGTATAGGAACCAACAAATATTGATTCGGGGGAAAAACAAATGGAAATCAGGAATTGACGTCTTGCAGTAAGACTAGGTGATCTAGGAGAGCGATGTTGACAGTGTGGAATTGGTGAATGGCAAGACGAGTAAGTAGGCGGCAATACGCAGAAGTAATGTGTGCCAGTAATTCTGGGCCGCGAGAAGGACACAACTTGAGATCACAAGACAAAGCCCACGTTTGCAAGAAGAAACGATCGGTTGATATAATGAGGCAGCTTCTCAGGTTGTAGAGTTGTACGTGGAACATAAATCGCTCCGACCATGTCATGCAACCACAAGTAAGACGGTTGCGATGGATGAGAGAGCAAATATAAGCAGGTATGTAGACTCTGAGCGACAAATAAATGAGAAGCATGCGAAAATTTTCGTGCAATTGAGGTAATAGGAAAAGTGAGATGAAACTGATCGTGGCACCAAGGTCTGAGCAATGCGTACAAGACGCAGAGAAAGACAGAGACAGGGAGAGAGGGAGAGAGAGACTGATTGCAGGTCAGATTCAAAACACCTTAGAAAGTCACAGGATAAGAGAGGGAGCGAGATGTTTGCCATCAGCATGGACCGCAAAGGGCATACTGCCCTACCTGACCCTGAAGATGGAGCCCAGGTTGTGTTTACTCTCCGAGAGTGGGAACGATAAGACGAGGCTGTTGCTGAAGTGCAAAGATTGACCCAATTGTTTGATGGCCGTCGACAACACCGATCCCACCAGAACAAGCTGAGTCTGGATCAGGGGCGATGTGATGGAGAAGGTAGCAACGCTGAATCTCTGCTGATATCCTTGCTTCGAATTCTCATTTCACCAGACAACCAAGCTTCGGTCCCGGAAGAGCGCCTCCTTGGCATCATGGAGTATTCGTGGCTCGAGGCTGAGGGGGCACATCTGTGTTTTTGTGTGTCAGATCGTTTGCCACAGTGTTTTATGATACGGCTCTTTGGGCTTCGTGCGTCATGTATCCGTGTGGACGGATGCGTCAAGGTGCAGATTAACCGGACCGGCGAGAAGGTGTGGCATGAAGAACGCCTTGAGGAAACACGTCGAAAGTTCCCGGTTCGAAGACACCTGAACAGACATTTAAAAAGACGTTTGAAAAAAGAAATAGCTGAAACACTGGATTGATATCTTTGTGTCCCGTGGCTCTAAAGTAGCTCTTCCGCTATTGATAGTTCACCTTATGTATTCGGGACCCCAAATACAGTCCACGTGCGGCAATTGATCGGGGTTTCCACTAGGCCGCCGAGCATGTGTCTCATGGGTCAAGGGCTCGGGGTATTTAGCTAACGGGATTCAGTTGTGTCGTCGAAGAGATAGGAGAATGATTGCAAAGGATCCGAGTATGAAACACAGGAGTCTTCTTTTGCCCGAGTGTCATTTGCGCTGTAGTGCAAGAAAAATGCTGAGTTGGATATCAAGACAAATAATACATGAACAAGTTCAGTGCGGCCCCAATGTTGATTACTCGAAGAATCCACCATCGCTCTCGTCATCCTCATCCACGGTGGGCTGTGGTGCAGCATGCTTGGAGTCTGCCTTGCGTGCCGACTTGTCGTTCTTGCCACCGTGCTTGTCACGTTTAGCCGACTTGTCCTTTTGAGCACCAGACTTAGAATCTTTCTGGTGCTCCTTCTTTTTGCTCTTTTCATTGGTATCTTTGGTAGGAGCTTTGCTGGAGATTTCTGGGATCTTCTCGCCGTTGAAATTGATGTTCAACTTTCCTTCGCGGAGGAGGTCCAGGGTCTCATCCTCCATGCACTTCACAACAACGGCCCATAGTGGGGGTTTGGCTTGTTTCGCCTCGGTCTCCTTCTTTGAGGCCTCGCCCTCCGATCCTGAGCCTGCCTTCTCGGCTTTCCCGTTGGACTTGGGGTAGATTGAGAGGTACTTTTCGGTGAGAGGGTAGTAGATTGTGTAGTTGAGGTTGACTTGGCAATTCTTGATTTTCTTCTCAAGACGAGCTTTTTCTTTCGGGTCCACGTCTTCTGCTTTCTGACGACGGGTGAGGCGGGATAGTTCTTTGGTTGCGGCTTTGCGGTCTGTTGAGATTGTGCATTAGCAAGATATACGGGCCATATGAAGGATGTCCACCACATACCCAAGAAGCGAACAAAGTGGTATTTCGAGATCAGCGCTGATCTTTCACGGCGCTTCGTTTCCTCTTCAAGGTCATTTTCATATCCGGCAAGCGCACGTTCCTGCAAGATGCGAGCATCGGCAGAGAGGTCTTGCTTGTTGAGCAGTCGCTTCACATCACGAATGCGCTTTTTGAGGTCGTTGATCGAGGGGTATTCCTTTTCCGGGCGAGGAGCGAACTTGTCCTTGTATTTGCGTGCTGGCTTGGACTTCTTTTCATCACCTCCGTTGCCGAAATCCACGAATTGAGGTTGCTGGTCTGCTTTGTCTGCTTTGCGGTTTGTCTTCTTGCGAGCTGGAGCTGCATCTTCAGACCCATCTCGGGTCTTACGCTTAGAGGGAGCAGTCGACATGGTGTTGGTCGCAAACAAAAAGAGAAGCGCACCTGGGCAGCAAAAGCAAAGCGGTGATAAGAAAAAAGATATCGGCGGATTGTCGGCCCGTCCCCAGATCGACATCAGCCAATGAACGTCTCCGCCGATACCATCACCACCGCCCTCTCTCGTCGCATTGATTTGATTTACCCCCAATTGCTTGAATTTGGTTCCTGATAATTTTGGGTTCCAAGATTCATGCGATCAGGGCTTTTCACGGAGTAAGCTTCGCAGGGCCAGCATGGAGTCGGCCATCCGCTGGTCCCCGACCTCGTCGGCCACTGAACAACGCTTTCTCTCTGTCGACGTCACACGAAAGTCGTTTCGTCTATGCAGGGTGAACGGTTATGACGGCAAGACGTTGCGCCACGAAGTCTTGTCCACCCTCACCAATGTTCCTGGCTTTCGCGCGTTCGATTGGTCCACATCCAATGAGAACCTAATTGCTGTCGGCCAGTCCTCAGGCGAGGCCACTATCTTGCGTCTTGACGGTGATGCCAAAGAAGCTCTCTCATTCCCGGTGCGCAATCAGCGCTACTGCAACGCAGTTGCATTCAGTACGCACGGGCTCGTGGCATCCGGTCTTGATCGCGTCCGCAACGACTTTTGCTTAAACATTTGGGATGTCAATCAACGCCTCAGTCCTGCTGGCGGGAGTAAAGGCTTCACCGAACCGTTGAGAAAGCTGGCTAGCTCTGAGCCTATAACCAGTATCAAGTTTTTCAGGGATCAGCCTGATACTATTGTGACCGGTGTTAAGGGTCAATTTATTCGAATTTACGATCTGAGAGGTTTGTTTAAGTGTCTCAACGACTTATATGAACATAGCTGACCCCCACCAAAGAGGGACCTGGTAACCCATCATTACAGTACTCCACTCGTTGCGTCCACAATCTGGCCATTGATTGGCTTGATGAAAACTACATTGCTTCGTGCATTCCATCTAATGAAAGCACGATCTGCGTGTGGGATCGCCGCGTTGGAACCCGACTGACATCTCCAGCCGTCGGCTCCTCTGCGGCTACCGCAGAATCGGGCCAAACAACAGCTGCGCTCCAACTGAAGAATGTCTTCCATTCGAAAGCTTCTATCTGGAGTCTGCGGTTCTCAAAGACCAACCGAGGCAGTCTGGCTGCATTATCCAGCACTGGTCATTTCAAGCATTATGAACTTGCGAAAGATTACCTGCCAGAGGAATATCGTTCCTCCATAGATGAGACCCTTGGGCAAGGGTCTTCCAGAAATTATCCAGAATCAGTCTACACCAAGAACGTCCGTGATGTGTGTGTGCCCTTTGATCATCCAACTCGAGGCTGCAGTCTGAAAGATCGTGTCGTTTCATTTGATTTCCTCAACCTCAATCTGACCGCTCAACCGAGCGCGATCGCGCTAGACGGCAACGGAACTCCCCAAATAATTACCGCTCAGCCGCCTTGTGCCCCAGTCCATTTATCCTCACAAAGTGTATTGGCCTGCGGAAGATCATCAAATGACTCGGATGTGAGATCAATCCACCCTCTCTGTGACCAAATCTCGCCCATCTCGGATTTGATTGGGAATATCAGATCACGCGTCTGTTTCAGCTCGCAGGAGCATAGCGCGAACTCAAACGGCCAACTTTTTGTTTCGAGAAATCTACAGCCTGAACCCATATCGAGTCATGAGCATCGGGAACGAACCATGGCCTTGGGATCGATGGGCGTCCCTCTCACGGCCAAAGAGGCACTTACCCTCGGTGCAGTCAACAAGTCTCGGTGCAAAGAAGGCTACCTGTTTGACGAGACTCGAAACCGCAAAGTGGTGGCCGACGATCAAGCTCTGCAAGACTTTTGGAGTTGGGTTGAACGTGTGTCTTTCCGTTGCTCTAAATCTCTCGCTGTTGCTAACATGCATTTTCCCTAGGTGCCCGGACAGACTCTTCCGGAACGTCGATGGTATTGAATGGCCTAGATCTCAATTATCTAGGAGTCGCCAATCTTTGGAACAACGATCTGGGTTTGTGTCTTCCTAAATTTTCCACTTTCGAAGCTAATATTGAGTTCAGGGCATGGCTTGGAACAACGCCTTATCAATGCTAAGAGCGACGACGCCAAGACCGTTGCGGAGGCTGTCGCAAGTTTGACAGAACAATTAGACCTCCCCGAGACAAAGGGATGTGATACAGCTTATCCCAGCCATCGGCGTCTCTGTCTTCGTCTCTGCGGGGCAACACAATCCTATCGTGAATTGGAACAGTCGGTGAAGACGCTTTCTGCCAACAACCAGCACACAAAAGCTGCTGCACTTGCTGTCTTCCAGGACGAGCCTAAGTTGGCTTATCTTGGACTACGAAGCAACAAACCCACTCAAGCCCACAAACTACTGGCTATGGCGATCGCCGGTGCCTCCAAGGGGGACAGCGATACAGACTGGGAAGAGACCTGTGCTGAGATTGCCAAGGAGCTCATCGACCCTTATGCTCGGGCAATCTTGGCCCTCGTGAGCAAGGGTGATTGGAACGCAGTCATCAAGGAAACAACACTGCCTCTCAAATATCGTGTCGAGGTCGCGCTACGCTGGCTCCCAGATGATGAACTCGGTGTCTACCTGAGAGACGCTACCGCTGAAGCTATTCGACAAGGCGACATCGAAGGAGTCGTGCTTACGGGCTTGGGATACCTGGCCATGGGTCTATTCCAGTCTTACATTGGACAATTCAACGATGTCCAAACCCCAGTTCTGGCAATGAGTCACACCGTGCCACGACTTGTGAACAACCAAAAACACGTCATCCAATTCGAAGCCTGGCGCGAAACCTACCGGCGTCAAATGAACTCTTGGAAACTCCAACTCGAACGTGCCCGGTTCGATGTTGGCTCCCGCCGTTTCGCAGTGACAGCGGACGGCCGCAAACTTGCACCAACGCCACCGCAGCAAGTCAGCCTTACATGCAATTATTGTACTAACCCGCTCACACAGCATGACGCTTCGTCCCAATTGTCTCCGTCCGCCAAAGGCACGGAGACTGTACACCCCACAGTGGGCAATCCACTGGCCTCAGCCACTATGTCTGGAACCGTGTGCCCGCGCTGCGGTCGACACATGCCTCGCTGTGGAGTCTGTACTCTTTGGTTAGGATCGCCGGACCCAATGTCACGCGCGAGTATCGCCGCCGATGCAGAGGCTTCTCGTAAGAACACCGAGGCGGAGGTCATGCGACGGTTTGTCGTTTTCTGTATTCATTGCAATCATGGATACCATGCTCACCATGCGGGCGAATGGTTCAAGCGGCATAAGGTCTGCCCTGTGGCCGAGTGCAACTGTATTTGCGATCGGTGATGGGCTCGTCACCCTTCGCTTTCTCGCAATTTCTCTTTTCTTTCAACATCCTATACCCATTGTGTCAATTATATTCCAGAAGTATGAAAAGAATACACTAGCTTTCTCCAAATGGTCTGGAGTTCTCTTTACGAGTCAGACACGATCCATACATAGTTTTTCTCCCTCTTCTTCTTCTTTTTTTTTTCCCCCTCCAGCTTTAATATTGAGTCATAGTATTTCAAAAACCACAACCTTTAAGATCCAAGGCAACAATCATATAGCTATCAGAGAGAGTACGTGACTCACAGAGAAGCCGGTCTCTTCAACTCTGCTCTGGTGGTTTATCGGAGCCCCACTAAAATATTCCTCCTCCCCGCATCGCATTCATTCGAAGCTTCAAAAATGCCCGAACCTTCAGACAAGCGTGGACGCGGCCGAGGCCAAGGTCGCGATGTTCAAATCTCCAAAGCACTCAGCTTGCTTTTGCGACATGCTGCCGAAAAAGAAGGGCTGAAGATGAACGCGCAAGGCTACGCGAGCGTGACCGACGTGGTATGTGCATTCCAGACCCGACTACCTTGAACACGATCTAATCAACCGTGTGTCCTCAGCTACAATGGAGGAAACTCAAATCTCTCAAAGTTACCTTCCCCGAGATCCTCCACGCAGTCGAATCCTCAGACAAAAAGCGCTTCGCCCTTCTCTACATTCCATCCGCACAGCCCACTTCATCCACGACCCAAGCGACCACGATCCCATCAACAACACCCGATGCAGAGCACGAAGCTGGTAAGATCGTGGGTGAAACCCAGCCTGCCACATCGGTTCTCGAGTCTGCGCCTGTTACGAGCGAAGACCAGCAATCCGCAACGGATCATGCACTTTCTGTCAAAGATAAAGACCCCGCGAACTTCTTGATTCGCGCGACGCAGGGACACAGCATCAAGACTGTGGAAGCGGCATCTTTCCTCGAACCGCTTTCCTTATCCGACGAGTCGAAATTACCAGATACTGTGGTCCACGGCACCTTCCATCCGACTTGGCCGGCGATTCTACAATCTGGGGGACTACGCTGCATGGGTCGCAATCACATTCATTTTGCGACTGGTCCGCCACTTGAATCTGTGCTTGCCGCTCACAGCGGTGATAGCGCGCAGGGAAAACCCAAGCCGGATGATTCCCGTGTCATTTCGGGTATGCGCCGCGATGCACAGGTTCTCATCTACATTGATGTTCGCAAAGCACTGGCTGCCGGTGTTCCGTTCTGGCGCAGTGAGAATGGGGTTATCCTAAGCGAGGGTGTTCCTGTTTCCCAGGGCGCGAATGATGATAAGAAGGGTGAGGAGCACAAGTTCGTCTCACTGGAGTTCTTCGACGTGGTAGCAGAGCGCAAAGTCGGGCTCGGTAAGCTCTGGGAGCGCGGTGAGGTCCTCCAGGAGCTTCCAGCGAATCTCACGAGCAAAGGCAACCCCAAGGGACGGCGGTGATTGATAACATCGGGATCCAGTCCCCGGAAAACCCTTGTAGAAAATTAATACGGACTATCCACTGGTGCCAGTCCTTATTTCCGTCCTCATGGGACAAACGGGAGCTTCGAACCCCAAATCCCCATATTTCCCATATGTAGTACTCCGTATACTGTGCATTGTTGTGCCGTATTCCGACGCCAACTGCCACATCCGACTGTGGGGAAATCGGAAGCGCAGGGCGATCCGATCCCCAGCCGATCACCACACGAACATCCGACCCCCCAATCATGCCATTCGCTGCGGGGTCTTCCTCGAATAAGCGTCATGGTTTTGGTCAGATCTGGGGCCTAGCTCCGAATTTCCGAGCCCGCTGGCTTCTGCACACCGTCGGATTCAGTATATAATAACAAGATCCCCCTCAGAGCAGAGTCAGCAGACATCATCACTTTCTCCTCACAATGGCCACACACCGCTTCGACCCCAATTTCACCGACAATGTCATCAACGCGATGGGTCCGAAGACCACGCCGCGCATGCGCAAGCTCATGGCCGGTCTGATTAGGCACATGCATGATTATGCGCGCGAGGAGGAGCTCACTGTTGATGAGTGGATGGCTGGTGTGCAGATGCTTAATTGGGCTGGACGGATGAGCGACGACAAGCGCAATGAGGGGCAGTTGGTGTGTGATGTATTTGGTCTGGAGACGTAAGATGAAGCGCGCGAACCTAGAAGACAGTTTGCTAACGTTGCGCAGACTGGTTGATGAAATTACATTTACGCTTGCTGAGGAGGCTAAGGATGCGCCGACGGCGACTGCTATCCTGGGACCCTTCTTCCGCGCCGATACCCCGTGGCGCGAACTCGGCGAGGATATTGTGAAGACGAGGCCTGATGATGCTGAATTGGTGTTTATGCATGGTCAGGTTTTGGACTTTAAGACCAAGCAGCCACTGGTTGGTGCTTCGGTTGAAGTTTGGCAGGCCTCTACGAACGGATTGTATGAGCAGCAGGACTCCGAGCAGGTCGAGTTCAATCTGCGCGGCAAGTTCAAGACGAATGAGGAGGGCAAGTACTGGTTCTACTGCTTGCGCCCGACCCCGTACCCGGTTCCCAACGATGGTCCTGCTGGCAAGATCCTGGAATTGATGGATCGTCATCCTTTCCGTCCAGCTCATATTCACATCCTTGTAAGTGTTTTCTGCTGGAGATTTGTGAAGAGACTGTATGCTAATCTCCCTCAAGGCTACCAAGGAAGACTACCGTCCTTTGACGACACAAATCTTCGACCGCAAGGACAAGTATCTTGACAACGACTCGGTGTTTGCTGTTAAGGACTCCCTGGTGGTGGACTTTGTGTCGCGCAAGGGAGACCCTCAAGCCGAGCTCGAGCTCGAATATGATATCAAATTGGTGCAGGATGCACCAAAGGCCAATGGCGCCTAAGCAAAATCACCTGCATATCCAACACCCCGTTACTTTGTTTTACGATAGCGTTCTTTGCACATACTGAAACCAATTACCCACATTCAATCGAGTCTGTTCAACAGTTTGCCTTTGGCGTAAAGCGACACAGTTCAAACCAGGAAGACGCGTATGGACCGTGAATTTGGACGTGCTATTCTTGGCTTCCAAGGTTGCGTATTATAACTTGTTGAGATCCTATACTTGAAAGCAACCATATAGCAAGGTCATGCGTTTGTCGCCAACTCATTTGCTCAGCAAAGCTGTATATGTCGCTCGTATTGAAGGGCAACAATTCTAGACTAAAACTAAATCTCAGCGAGCCACACTCGCAAAATCGGCAATCAGTGCGCCGACTTCATCACCAGCCTCAATACAGTGCCAGTGACCGACTCCCTTCAACACCTCCAGAGATTTCTGCTGACTTGAGACATTTGCAAAAATGTGCTCGCACCCCTCCATAGAAGCAGACTTATCCTCTTCACCCGCAATCAGCAGGAACGGAGCTTTGATAGCGGCGTAGTTCGGCACCTGGGCAGAAGCAATTGCCCGACACAGCGCGGCATAGCCCTTCGGGTCCTGACCAAGGATCAGCTCTCTAATGAAAGCTTTCTGCAGCGCGGTGCTTCGCGAGCCAACGGCTCCGAAGGGAATTGTATTGGCCATTGGTTCCATTCCAGCTGTAGAAGTATGGTTAGCGTTACCCAAGATGGTAAAAGACAATGTGCAAATTCCCGAGAGCACTTGATGAGCAGGACGTACCTTCAAGCACAGTTGCAGATCTCTTGCCCATGACTGAAACCAGTAGTTCCGAGGGATGGGTTGGGCCGATAGCTACGAGACCGAGCATTCGATCCGGGTAGCGAGCGCCCAGTTCCGTCACCACGAGCCCGCCCATCGAGTGGCCGACGGCAACGGCCTTGGGAATCTGCAGCGTGTCCAGCACGCCGATGACATCCTCTGCGATACTGGGGATGGTAATTGTGGCATTTGTATATTCGGAGCGAGCAGCGCCGTATGTGTCAATGGTGACGCAGCGATGGGATTCAGTGAGGTGGGGGATCACTGGGTAGTAGTAGTTTTGCGAGGAGCCTAGGCCGTGGATGAAGACGAAGGTCAGGCCGGTTGAGGTGGGAGCACCGCCAGGGTGGGAGTCTGCATAGTTGAGACGGTGGCTGTTTGCTTGGACAAAAGGCATCTTTGCAATTGGGAGTATACAATGAGGGGAAGAAGGAAAGCAAAAGCGGAACTATAACGATAAGTAAAACGTCATTGCCGATAAGAGTCAGGCTAGTACTACTTTAGTACCTGATGACAATTAGTCTGTCATCTTTGATCCGTCGGAAAGAAAGCTCTCCAATATTCTTATTCGTCCCGACTGCAAGGCATTGAGCATCCGAAGCGGATCCCACCCGACCGTCGGACCGCAGCCGATCTCATTCGCCAAGAATTGTATGTATCAAATTGCCGCGAGGCGTTGTGTCTATTCCAATAGGTTCAATTATTGTCATTGTAGGGGTATCTTATGAGGTTCATCAAAAGGGTCGCCGCCGTCAAAGGCAAAAGCCTCTTCCATCCAATCGGCAGTTTCATCCCGGAAGGAGGAATTTGCAAAGGATGGCAATGCAGGCATGCTGCGCGGCTGTTCCAATTTGGGTTGTGGAAGTGGGGTTCTATGCAATGGGGAACGAGGTCTAGTCTCGATTGGTGTCTTCAGAATGGCTGCTTCGGCCTCGAGGAAATCTGCTGCATCGAATTGGAAAGAATCTCCAAATGAAGACTCCACGGGTAGTGCAGGTACGGCATTCGGTCGCTGGGAGGGAAGCGGGCGCCGGGGTGGCTCAGGTAGGGCAGGTTCATTCTTTTCTTCGTCAGTTATTCGCGTAGCGGTCGCATCAGCTTGATGTATGATATCTTCAAAGGCTGAACAGTCTGAGAACTCGTCGCAGTCGTCATTTGGGGCAGTGTGGTTTTCTTTGTCGACTGTAGGTTCTGTAGGGTTTGCGACGCCGTCGATCAATTCGAATAGATCGCGTTCCACTGTTTCATCCAAGTCGTCAAACGCATCTGATCCGGCTTCGGTGTCACCAGCCTCGCTTCCTGGACCCGAGCCTCCCTCAGAGCCATGTGCTTCAGTCTCGGTAGTGGTATGTGCAGGTTCGGACTCAGAGGCAGAGGCAGGTTCGAGGGCAGGAGCAGGTTCTGGTTCTGGTTCTGGTTCCGGTTCCGGTTCGGTCGCAGGGGCAGGTGTTGTCTTCCCCGCGCCCAGGAACATAGATAGAAGTGGCTGGCTTGACGGAACGCGGGGTGCATTAGGGTCGGGGATGCCGCGGCGCTTGCGCTCCTCGCGAACGCGAGCCTCCTGTTCGGCTTTCCGTTTCTTAGCAGCAGCGCGCTTTTTGTCCTTTTCGCGGAGCTGTTTCGCCTTCTTCTCTCGTTCCTCTTCGCGGTCTAGCCGTTCGATCTGGGATGCACTGAATTTGAATCGTTGGTTGCTGCGCTGGTACCGGCGTCGAACGGTCTTGGATTTCTCCAAGACAATGCGCCGTGGCTCATCCGGCATGGTGGCAATCGTCGCAGCGACTGCCTGCTGCTTCTCGGGTCATTGGGGGAGAGTGATGATAGAAAGGTGTTGAGGCAGGCGCCAATGTTCGGTTTGGGTTTTGGCGGTGATTGCTATGCCGACCGAGTCAACAAACTGCCGGATTTTGACGGCTTATTATGTCCCGATCTTGGTGTCTTTATCTACGCTACTCTACGCCACAAGTTATTGAAATTGAATCTTGAATTTGGCATTTGTGACTCTAGCCATTTTTGCTATACTTTTTTCTTTTCTTTTTCTACTTCGTTGACGTCATTTAGATCTTGCAGTCACGGACGGGGTCCCAGCACACGGGCTCATACAGGTTGAGCTTCAGGCTGGCCATATCCTCTTCCGACAGAGTGAAGTCGAAGACCTGGGAGTTCTCGAGGATGCGAGACTCAGTCACCGACTTGGGGAGGGGCACGTATCCCTAGGCACAGGTTAATCACTCATTCTCCGAAATCATCGCACATCGTCACCGTCACGTACCTTCTGCAAGCTCCAGCGGACCAAAATCTGGGCCTCGCTCTTGCCGTGCTTCTTAGCCAGTCCCTGCAGAACGGGCTCCTTCATGCGCGTCGCCTGCACAAGTGGAGAGTACGCCTCGACGATGATGTTGCGCTTCTTCAACCACTCCGCAATATCCTCACGGGGGCACCACGGGTGGATCTCATACTGGCCAACGGTGATCTCGCCACCGGCTCCGCTCTTAATGTAAGCCTCCAGCTCCTCAAGGTGCTGGATGGCAAAGTTGGACACACCCAGGGAGCGGATGTGGCCTGCCTTCTGGGCCTCGACGAGTGCGCGCCAGGTGCCGAGGCGGTCTTCCTTACCGCCGTAGGGGGCGTGGATCAACATACTGATTGCAATTGTTAGCTTATGCTATTCTGCAGTCTCGCGGGGCAGCGCATACAGGTCAATGTAGCCCAGGTTGGCGGCCGCAATGCTCTCCTCGATGGCCCGCTTGGCCTTCTCATATCCCATGCATGAGCGGGGGACCTTGCTGGTGTAGAAGATCTTGGAACGGTCAAGTCCGGACTGGCGGATGGCACTGGCACTTTCCACTTCGTTTCCGTAGACTTTAGCGCTATCGACCTGCACAATCTTGGTCAGCCCATGGCCAAATTCCTTTGTGCAGCTTTGTGTCTGCTTACATGGCGGTAGCCGAGCTCAATGGCCTTGGCGGTCACCTTCTCGGTGACATCGGAGGGACTACACAGATAAGAGTCAATTGGATCCACGATGGTCATAGGCAGGATATACGCACGTTTGGTAAACCTAGTTCGTACCAAGGTCAGTCACGTGTGAGGGGAGATTGAGGCGAGGGTACTCACTCCGAATCCCACGACGGGGATTTCATAGCCTGAAACCAGCTTATATGTGGACTGCAATGAGAGAGACATGATTGATATGGTGTAAGACGAAAATGGGGAAATGACTTTATATAGGTTTCCACGGACCACCTCGGTCCCGTAATTCCCGTCCTCGTGGGCCATCTTGACGCCATAGAAAGTGGGGATGCTCAAGGGCACTGGATTCGGCATCCCGATGGCCGATCAATGCTACCTGGGGTTTATCGACCTGCCATTTCTCGTATTAAGCCTTCCCAATTGAGTACTGACTGGCATCTACACTGCAAAATTGCCTATTAGGGCAGGAAGTAAATGCATTAATGCACAGTCACTGGATTTCCATTGGAATTCACGATCAAGGGCAGCTTCGTTGATCAGAAAGAGCGAAAAGATGTCACTGACGATGTCTATAGATGTCAGCGGCTTCTGCCGATGTGTCACTAACACTACTCGGCGTGTCAAGCGCAAATCGGGTTGACTGCGGGTAATTGCTGCCGTCAAAAGTACTCCGTACCAGTGCAACCAATAAGACTTGATCTTGGGAGGCTTTCTAATTTTGTTTGTCTCCAGGCAAACACCTATTTCTACCAATTTTCTATGCTTCATCTCACTTCAAATTGAGCACCATAGGCTACGTAAAAGATAGTCTCAGACATCCGCTCAAATGGTCCCCCGACGATCGCAACCCGATCTAAAGGATAATTTTGATAACTTTGACATTGATGAAATTTGCTATGAATTTGGATAGACGCGGGGTTCTTTGGCAAGAAGGGGCAAAGTTCCCCTCTGGCGGGATTCCGGACTCGATCAAACGTCGGCCCTCGGATGGTACAAGAGAAATCGGTGGTCACGGTGGTGGTAGACAAAGGAATCTTTCACAGGTCCTCATCTGCAATGGTTTGAACTCGGCGATCACATTTACCATCAGTGCCTTGCGACCATCGCCGACAATGGGCATGAAACTTCCATCATGCTCTTCCTTCCGCCGAACGGGGAGGACCTGCGCCATTGGTGTCACGCTCCCCTTTTCAAGGTTCTTGAAGTCGAAGGATAGTGTGGGCGACCTGTACGCACTTTGCCACGTCTGCCACCTCTGATCATTGAGTTGGCGAGTTTAAAGGTAGCAGGCGCGAAAGGCAATTGACTGATTGATTCCCCTTGGAATAATTGCGCTGGAAATGGGGACTTAAAGGAGGTGAGATAATCTCCGACCTAACCAAAATGGCGGCCTTCTTCAAAACAACCTCCTGTCAGGAATCGCTGCACCAGCAACAAGACGATAGGTACGAGAAGTAAAGGTTTGAAGGCTGCCCTCATTCAAAGCGCACCAAAAAACCCGCACTGCTCGTTCGAATGAAGTAACGAAGCATATGTATGATTCCATTGGCTTGAAGTCGACGGTCACATCGACCATAATTGCTTTCCGATCGGTTCCAATAATAGGAACAATATTTGCCTCGAGTTCCGAGGTCAGCTCGCAAGGATAGATTTGCACCAATGATGCCACAGTACCCGTTTCCAGGTTCTTGAAGTTGAATGAAAGCATAGCCGAGGTGTGGACGCTCTAGCGCTGCTCGGAAGGTCCTCCAACGATCGCAACCCGATCATTGAGTCTGTGCTCGCGCAGGCAGCAGGCTCAAAGTACAATCAATGCCTTCTTGCAATTCTGGCAGGTGTCGAAATCAACAAATTGGATGACTTGCTGGCAAAGTTCTGGTGGGAGATTTTCGACCGATCTGAATGCCACCTGGCAGTCGAAGGCAACATCAAAGAAGTTGACCATGGTGGCAAGCCCTGGGAAGTGAGTCTAGTTTCTCGTTGCTTCCCATGGAATGCTGCTTTTCGATGAGCTCGTTGGTGGATTGCGGCATCTCCACTCAGAAATCACGCACTGGTCGATTAAATGGGTGCTTGCTTGTGCAGTACTCTGCACGTAGAGGTGATGGATAGATAGAGCGGCTCGTTTGGATTGGCAGCCCAGTTCCATCCTTTAAATACGTCTCTGCGGGTATCACTTTCAAAAGTAAGAGGACGACAGTCTAGAAGTGAGAGGTCAATAGTCTAGAAGTGAGAGGTCAATAGTCTAGAAGTGAGAGGACGACAGTCTAGAAGTGAGGGAAGTAAGAGGACGATAGTCTAGAAGTGAGAGGACGATAGTCTAGAAATGAAAGGACGTTGATTTGGAAGTGAGTCTTTCCTTGGGCGATGCCCCATTTAGCAGCTCTCACGGTTGCCTCACCATCAGTAACTGATACAAGACTGATCAGTACGTTCTCATGCCAGTAGTTTGTCTCAGTGGGCGAGGCGCTCGCCAAGTGAGTGACAAGGAGCTGAACTCCAGTAGTGGATCCTTTTGGCCAGTCCACTCTTCCTTCGGCTACCCAGGTGATCTGGGTAGGGAAGTGATTTGATGTGCAAAGTCCAGGTGGCCGACTTTTGCAAGCTCTAGAGTTGTACGACTGGGCAGGAAATGAGTGGAACTTTGCCTTGTAAGAGGCAATGAATACCAAGGCAAAAATGAATTCCCGGAAGAAAAAGGAATCCAGGGTGAAGTCCAGCCCGTATGCAAGAATCACATTTCGGTGTTGAAGAACCGTGTCTGCTATATCACAGGTAAGGAAGGAGGTTCGGGCTTCCTCGAGATTCGTCTTACGGGCGACGATGCGGAAGCTGTCTGTTTTTTCCCAACTCTCACTGGGCAAAGGCAGAGCGGAGGATGCCAGGTGCTCGTCCAGGCGAAGACTGGGGGATACCGTGATCAGGTAGCTAGTCACACCCTCCATGACACGAAACCACATATCATTTTAGCGCGGAATGTTGCCTAGCTTCCAGTAGATGCTGCTGTTTATTGTGAGGATTTCACGATCAAGATCCACTGTGTAGTTTCACTGGTTTGGGAGTGCCACCCATGGGAACTTGGAAGGGAGTGCCTTAAATTCTTCGATTAGGGAGTAATTTGGCTCGAGGTCAGCACACATTTCATGCACCTCTTTCGAGAGAGCCATATACTTTATGGCGTATTTGGTACGGAAGAATTCAAGTAATTCTGTGAATCATTAGCATATTTAAAGTAGTGGACTGCTTACACGGCTCACCTTGATATTGCTGAGGGTCGGTGGGGACACTTTCAATTATGTGGGCACCGAGTGTGTTTATACGACCATCATAATTCCATTGCTGAATGGAGTAGCACCTGTTGAATATGATCGTAAAGATGCCTTAAACGTTCATTGTGTCTTTCGTGGTGAAGTCAGTGGTTGCTGGTTGTGTAAAGATCAAGCGCAGCGAAAGAAGAAGATAAGGTGGAAAAATCAAGGGAAGTAGTAAAAGTGGTTGACGTGCAAATGATCACTTCTCTCCTTCCCTTTCGCTGCTTTCCTTCTGGTAGCTTTGACCTTCGCGATGCTTCCCTCGTTATTTGGTATCGTTGGTGTCGTTGCTTAGGACTGACATTGCCCTATGATGGGATGAACCCTCTCATTCTTTGATATGCATACCAAGCGATCGGGGCCATGAATCTGGGGAACATGTTTCCAAGGTTCGCGAGTGAAGGAATCTTTCATGAGATTCTACTTTCATGCCACCATTAGCACTAGTGAGGAATGTTCCTGATCTTCGAAGATCCAGTCTGATTGAACTGCATCAGAAACTTGGAAGCACGCATTCTCAAGACCGAAGCTCGGGGTGAGATGGAATATTTAATCTTAAGAGCAGGAGGAACGACAGTACATCAATAGCTGCGCAGGCCATATAGATGCACTGACGTCAGTCTTGTCCTCTGCCCAGATACTGATTAGGGCTGCATTTCCTTATCGACATGCTGCTGTACACGGCTCATGAAGTCAAAACTGATAATTTCCAGGGTGTAGATCGAGGATAGCGTATATTTATATGTGATCAAATTCCAACGTCGCAACTTTGCAGTCTCTGATACTTAAAGGATCAGAGATCACAAAGATGGGCGGTAACCAGAGGCAGTATAATATGGTGGGGTTGGTTTCAATCTTGGAAGTTGGATGCGAACTGGATAGGCAATCAAACATCCTGGATTGGTCCTTCTTTATGTTCAAATTGTATGTCCAGCCTTTCTTAGCGAAAACACAACATCGCACCCCTCCACGTCATAATTACTGGTTGATATACGGCACCGCATAAACGACATCAGAATTGTCCACTTTCCAAACTTCCCGAGCTTCAACCACGAGTTGCTCTTGATCTCAACATCATGCGTTGCATTAAAAACAAAATTGAGCACAATGGGTCTGGTGCGGTCACCTTATGCCCTGACGAGCCTGAGGATATGGTACGCGGCCCAAACATTTGCATCGAATCTCCAGAGTGGTCTAACATGACCTGATCAATCTAGTGGCATGCCTTCAATTTAATTCGAGCTGGTGATATTCTCCGAGCCAGCGCGATTCGCCGTGTCACGACAGTACAAGATACCGGGTCTACAAGCTCAGCGCGCGTTCATCTCAACCTCGTGATTCGCGTTAAAAACCTCGACTTTGATCCACACAGCTCCCAGCTCCATGTCTCAGGGCAGATCATCAACGAAACACAACACACCAAGATCGGCCAGTTCCATACCCTTGATCTAGAATTGAACCGCAATTTCACATTAGAGAAAGAGGCTGGCGCGAATGGAGAAGGTGTCGGTTGGGATAGTATTGCGATTGAGGCGCTGAGGGATGCCGTTGACGAAGGCGGCAAGCGTCGCGCAGAAGCTATCGCAGTGGTTATGCAAGAGGGACTGGCTCATATCTGCTTTATCGGTCAGTTCCAAACGATAATGAAGCAAAAGGTTGAAATGTCCGTGCCCCGCAAACGACAAGGAGGAGGGGATCACGATAAGGTACGTCATCGGTATATTCCAAGACGGTCAATCCTCGAGCTAACACGGACTCCAGGGCATGAACAAATTCTTTAAAACTACTCTCGAAACACTGCTTCGCCAAATGGAGTTCAATACCAGTCTGACTTCGGGCGCCAACAATGAAGCTGTGCGCCCTGTTCTTCTCGCCTCGCCTGGGTTTGTCGCTTCCGGGTTCCACAAATATATCCAGTCTGAGGCATCAACGACAACCCCTGGACTCAAGCGGCTTCTTCCAAGTGTTGTGGTTGTACACTCCGCATCAGGGTACACGAATTCACTATCAGAGGTTCTGCAATCACCCGCAGTGAAGACCCTCCTGGCCGATACCAAGTACGCCCGCGAGACGAAATTGATGGACGATTTCCTCGAGCAATTACGAAAGGAAACCAACAAAGCGACCTATGGACCACGTGAAGTTGAGTCCGCGGTTGACCAAGGTGCGGTTGGTCGAGGTGGTGGTGTGCTCATCGTTTCAAATCGCTTGTTTCGATCGCAGGATATTGCCGAGCGTAAACGCTGGGTGTCACTCGTGGATCGTGTTCGTGATGTTGAGGGTGGTGACGTGCGGATTCTTAGCTCTGACCATGAAAGTGGGAAACGCCTCGAGGGACTTGGTGGTATTGCTGCACTCTTGACATTCCCTATCATAGACGAGGATTTATCTGATGAAGAATAAAATATACACCAATTCCAGATACACTCCCAAGGTCACAGCCCCGGGTTCGACTCTTTTCAAGCTCACGATCGATCACAAATCTATAGAGAACCTAATAGGTAGGTTTTGGCATTGCTGAAGTCTAAGCTTGTACATAGTCTATGACTGAAGTCTTTCATATATGAAGTCGACCTATTGTTATATAAGCACAAACGGCATGGGAAGAAGGCAAGTGAATATAGTATCGAAGAAAGAAAGAGAAAAGTATCAGATATGTACGCCTGGAAAGAAGATATGAAGTTTATGTACAGCCCTAGAGGCACAAAAGAATGACAAATCTGACATGTTGTCCCAGTAATGCAAAGCGACGGTCCGGCGAGGTCTCTGCCTGCCTATCATGATGATGAATACACAAAGAGCCAAATATTGGACAAGAAATGAAGAGAGCAGGAAAGGGGAATAAGAAAAGAAAAGAAAAGGTGTAAGAAGGGTACTAGGGGGAAAGGAAAAGGAAAAAAGGAATGGGAACCCAGCCCAAATCTAGAAGAATGATCGCTCAGCTTCGAAACTTGACTCGAAGTCTGACTCAAAAGACTGCTCTCGTCGCCTCTTCCGCGGCAAAGGCGTAGGAGGAGTGGGATCAGAAAAAGCTGACGGCGAAGCACTCATTCGGTCCCGAGGAAATCTTTTCGTCTCCAGGAGTCGAATCTGTGATTTGCATTGATCTGGGGAATATGATCTCGTAGCGCCAAGCTCTTTCATCTGAGGGTCACTCGTCAAATCGTACACATTTCATTGTGTTCATAAGAGGCCTACCTTGCTTGATAGGAACTGATATTTCTGTCGTTCCCAAATATCATGGGCTCTAATTAGGATTTGGATCTTGATTGAAAAAGGTGTTAGCAAACAATCTCAGGATTATCTCCATATCTGAGAGTGAGGGGAGGATTATATGGGAATACGTACTCACATCTGCAGGGTCCCAGCGCGTGGTCCGCTCTCGCTGCCGGCGAAGAAGGCGCATCTGTAGACGGGCCTCGGAGGCGTCTTTGTTGAAACGTTCCTGGAATAGCTCACGCACTCTCTTCCAAGCGACGTTGTCATTTCGGAGATTTTCGACAAAGCCATCTTCCTCTTCGGCCTGAGGGTCTCGACGACCACGCCCCGGAGCTCGTGGCTTGGGGGGCATATTGATAGGCTGGGGATTCTGTCGATCTTGCTCCATTCGGATGACACCCTCTGGATTTGGTAGAATGGGCGTGTGAACATGTTGCTGGCGCAAAGATGACCCAGAGCGCTGGCGTCTGGCACTGGGGTAGGAAATCAGGCCCTCGGGTGACTGGTTTGGCGTTTGGATCATCCCATGCTGGTGGCTTCGTGGGGCTGGAGCGTACAAGTAGCCCGAAGTTGGGGCTGAAGTACGAGGGAATTCGCTTGGGAATGGCCCAGAGATACCCAGACCCTGCGAGCCCGGGATAGCATCGTTTATGTTGGAGTATTGGTATTTTGGATAGTCTTCCGGGTGAGTAAGTGCTGGGCTTGTTCCAAAGCTGGTATCTGGGAGACTGATCGGTGTTAAGACGTTGGGTGGAACGTGAGGCTCTGTGCAGTAGGGATGATTGACTCCGACAAATTGGGACTGAGTCGTTGATACACGAGTCAGCTTGTAACGGGGGTCTTGCAGGATGCACACAAAACGTACCGGATCAGCTTCAGACCAATGCGAAGGAGCTGAGAGGCTCCCGTAGTACTCTTCCTCGGAAGTTGAAACAATTGGAAGGTGAGACATGATGATGATCAACTGCAATTGGCGGAAGATGAAACACGTTGATCAAGTTCTCTATCCACTGCACGGTCTGACTGGAAGATAGACGCCGCAGCAGATGGATATGAGGCAAAATCTGAAACTTGAAGCAGGGAAAGGCTTGGAATCGCAGGCGCCTATTGGATATTGATGGTTTGGAGCAGTTAGGGCTGCGTGTATAATGAGGCTGAAGCCAATAATGATTTATGACAGGATGAAGATGCACATTCCCAACTGTCGACGATCTGACCTTATAAGAACAATCTAAGCAGCAAGAAGAGGGGTGGAATATAATGGGAAAGATGCGCTCATACGCCGCTTTGAGCGAGATCACGACCAACACCGGGATGCCTCGCGAGGCAGGGCGTGAACAAACCGTCGCGGTATTTACTATAGGCTCAGAATGCACTAAAACTCCAGCTCGCTGGCGCCGGTGGGCTCTCTGCGGCGCAGGAGCATGAAAACTCCATCAAGGATTGAGAGCCTATATTTAAGCGCTGCGGATGCAATAGTCTATTGTCGAAATCCGGAATCCGCCCCCATAGGAGGGGCTCAGACTACTCTGCATGGAGAATACATATGAGATTATTCTATGACTCGGGGTCCACTGTGATGGGTCGACATAATTGAATAATTAGATTTTGGTCCATGAAATCTTCAAATCCAACCAGAAGAGCAGGGAGTATGTTAGGGTTGTTGGCCATGTGGATACTGCATGCCGCTCTGGGCGCATAGACAAAGCGTCAAAGGGTTGATGATAGATCACAGAACATGAAGAGACCTACAGACTTGGAAAAGATATCTTGTACATTCTGGTCTTGAGATCGTATTCGCCCAATTTGGCCCGAAGTTCACTTATCAGCCCCAGCATGACCACATTCTGCTTCGCGATTTTGCGCACTATACTCCGTACAGCACACATGTCTGCAATCTGTCAGCCTTGTTGACAGCCTGCGTATTTTACAAGACATTTCAGTAGCCCCAAAGAAAGAGGGGAAGTTTGCAAGGATGTTCAAAGAAAAAGTCATGACTAGAGCCACTGCAGGCTCATGACTGGTGCACCCCATGCTTCCGTGCTTTTTGAGGCTGAGAAGACCCCCGAGCCGCTTGGTGGCTTGCCCACAGAGGCCTCACAGCCGTTGGTTAAGCGCTGATGCACGAAGCCGAGTAGTCATCTCGAAGGTTCAGAACAACTTTTTCTTCGACCCACATACTTTTTTGTTTTTTGCTCTTCTTTTCTTTTTCCTTATTTGTTTACTTCGTTTTTGCAGCAAACATCCATGGATTTGAATCTAGAATCCGCGTGGGTTTTCCTCCGATCTTCGATCCCCACATGGATTTTTCCGCCCCCAAGTTTCTAAGCGCTTCCAACAGCCATCGGTGGGTCTCAACACGGTCTCTGTTCTTTGCTTTGGTCTGTCTAGCCATGTCGATCGCACAATCTACTGCAGCAAGGAAAATGCGTACTGCACTATTGGCCGAAATGTAGAAGGGGTTATCCTCTTCTGTGGGCTTTTGACTAAAGTATTAGTCTGGGGCTGGAGGAACCAGAAAAACCTGGATGTATGCACGCACACAAGGCCACCATAGATTATTCTTGAAGATGAAGGTTGCTCTCTGCTCTTGTCAACCCCTAAATTGTCTACTCCGTATTGTCTACTCCGTATTGTGGATGGAAAAGTGCAAGGGAAAAGTGCAACCTAACTGGTTTCAACATCATGGGCTCTCAGTCTGTGTAGTGTACGGAGTACTACTCGGAAAGAAGTACCTAAACTCCGAAAAATTGTATCGGGTGTATTATGTACCGGTTTACAAGTATGCAAAATACGAAGGTCATGTTTGACCGTCGATCGACAGACTGAATATGTGAGTTACGATTCAGAGGGGGCTACCAGCGATATCAGATGGCACCCGGGTGGCATCGTGAAACCGGGCTGTCTAAAAGTACACAGTACAGAATGAGCCTCCATGAAATAAAGTGCAATGCATATCTTCGTACCGGGTCCATATGTGAAGACACCCGGTGAATCATAAGGCGGATAAATGTATACCGGGAGATTGCCATGCTATCCAACGGATTTGGCGGGTGTTCCCGTGCAGCCAACCCCCAGTGTGGGTCTAATAGTGGCCATGCCCCCTGTGCACACATTGGCCAACGGTCATGTGTCGCATACAAGTCTATCAATATCGAATCACCTCTAGCGAGTGATCTTGGCGCCGTGGTTCTCGCTTTCATCCTCGTCTCCCGAAAATCCACCTAGGCTGTCGTCATCGCGATGTGCCTTGTTGTGGCCATTGCTTTCCAAGGTGTCATCCGCCGCAATCGAGACTCCACGAGCACCCCACCGGTTGTGGTTAGACTGGCCATCCACGTCCGTCTCCTCGTCTCGAAGATGCTGTTCTTCATCTGTAGAATGGCGCGAGGCCCTGAAGTTCATCACGCGGTTCACGAGCCAGCTGTTTCCATAATCTTCGGAGTCAACGACACCGCCATTGCGGAGTTTGACACGCTGACGCGAGTAGTACACCCAGGCAAAGTCGACGTAGAATGCGGTCTGGATAATTCCAAACACAACTGCGATTTGATCATGGAACGGTGCCGAGCTGAAGAGACGCACTATCCAATTAAGGATGTAGAATGCCCGGTATGATCCCAGCGCAAGCAAGTAGTATGAGTCAATCACTGTCGGCACAGTCGTCTGGCGGAGCAGAAGGAGCTGTGGCAGGACACAGACGGATTCAAGGATCTGAGAGAAAGCCCAGCAAAACTTCAAATGCGCGTTAGTTCGAATCCATTCTAAATCTGAGTGGTTTTTGACGAACCTCCATGAACCAATCGTCAGGCCATTCTCGCTCGAGGACGGAGATCGCAACGGGAGCCAGCACCAGGGATCCTGCTACCGACCACAAGCCGAGTTTCCAGGCACGCTCTCTTTCTCTTGTGCGCGGGAACACTTTCATCATCAAAAAGATTGTGTAGAATGATGAGGTCAGGTAGAAGATTTTGAAGGCAACATTCCAGATCACATGCCATGTCCCCACTGAGCCCATGATTTTGTATGTTGAAGGCTGCAACAGATCGAGATACCGGAAAACGAAGACAGCTCCATAAAGCAGCTGTGTGAGCAGGGATACACCTAATTGAAGAAGACGTGTCAATCATCTGTAAGCGATCTCCAACAGGACGATTCCATGTACACACCCTCAGCGCTTTTGTTCTTGTGAATAGCCCATAGCAGAACGCAGATTGAGCCTAAGTGAGACACATCACCGAGGATGCGGAAGACATTCCATGAGACCATGGCTGTGAAAGTGTGGTTGGGCGATCAAGGCACGGTATGGTGTGGACACCTATCAAGCTATCGAGGGCGGTACCAGGTACCTGACTAGACCTCGGGATGAGCCTAAGCCTCCGACTGGGAGAAAATTGTGTAAGCTTGTTTCTGGTGTATCTGATTTGCCTCAGCAAGCTCTTGGCTCGAAAAGACAAAGTGGCAAGTAGAGATGATGGAGCTGTTGGGGTCACCTGGGGAAGTTCGTTATCGGCACTCCACATGAGCTCGGGCCGCGTAAGTTCGGCTCACGTGAGCGCTGACGTCGTGCCGATCAAAACATCTGGAGCCTTTGAAGTTGTACAATGTGTGGATTCATTCACGGCAGAGATCTGAGTGGCGAGATGCTTTGTTAAACACCACCTGTGGCTGCATTTTATGTTCGTGATTGACATGTGCTGTTCAACATGAGCTCGGAAGGATATATGCCAAGGCTGATTGGTGATAGATCGGAGAATGAATACATCAACAAAACGATAAGAAGCATCGTTTGACCAGTTCAAGCAAGTACACGATTTTCCCCTCTCGGGGCATAGTTCAAGGGTTGGTGCCCAGGTGCGAGTATCCCACTCCGTATGCAGGAGCAGATTCAAATGGCGATAAAGTGGAGTGGGGATGCAGGACAGCCCTGGGGCGTAGCAACCAAATATCAAGTATTGCAGTACACGGTGGGGCCCCAGATAGCACCTTGATAATCTGGAGGCTCTTCTTAAGCTTCTTGAGTGATACCAATGATTTAGCATTCTAGTTTAAATCAAGATTTGTTTATCGCCTCCCGTGAACGTGTTGGATTTGAGAAGGCCTAGATGCTTTCAAGCATGCAGGTGACGCGGTAAGATCCCCAAAACAGATGGAAATGCTGCATGATTGACAGTCGCCAGTAATCAAATGTCATAGTCCTGGAGCCCACTCTCCAATTAACTGGCGCGCTTTTTACATTGGTTTTGTGCAAAATCCTGGGCTCGATTTGTGTGAATAGGCCTTGGAATATCTGTCGGATAGCCTGAGCCACTTAGGGGCTGATCACCGCCACTTAGTAGAAACTGCTTGTTTTGAAGCCCTCAAGTCTGTTTGAGAGGCATTGGACACCATTTGAAACATCCGTGTTCTCATTGGATTGATCAAGGACTTGATATTCCTGGTGTTGATAGTCAAAAACCTTGTCAATGAGTGAGAATAGGCGATGCAAGTCATAAACTCCCCTCAATGAACCTTGGCAGCAGCTGTAATATACCGCATTTGGCGTAAATAGCCACGCCTGATCTTTTGCATGCATCATTCTCAAACCCAGTCAGAGAATTCCACACGATGGCAACCTGTATAAATTCCAATCAATTGAGTCGTGTAGCAGCTTCAAAATGGAGAGTCTCACTGATCAATTAACATTGAATTTCGACCAGGGGGAAAGGCAAGGTTGTGCGTGTGACAAGGGAGGATGCCGGCAGGATCTCAAGTGGCTGGACTTCTCGAATATATACACGCCCCGGACGAGCCCCGCGCGGCACCAACACCTCAAAAGGTTAACCAGGACCACCCCTCTCCCCCAGATTGTGCATCAGTCTTTCCCCCAACGACCTGCATGAGAAGGACGAGAGAGAGGGGTGAACAGTACCCGGTGGCTTTCACACGAAACCCGCGTTGTGGCTGATCTAGCCCGCCAAGTCTCGGGTTGGACGGACACAGCTACTTCTGTCGCTGGAATATTGTTGATCGCGGGAGGAGCTCCCGGGCCATTGGATGTCTTTACAATAATCAGGCCCTCGGGCGTGTCGTTGACTCGCATTGGGCGTGTTCTGTCATCCTCGCACGGTGTTGTGAGATCTCGCCGGGTCACCGGATTTTGGAACAGGCCACTCGCGGGTCTCTTCGGCCCAAATGTCTCATGGAAGTTGCCGGACGTGGCCTCTCTCTGCTTCTGCATCTTGTCGCCGGCCGAATTGGAGGGCAGGTCGAGCTATGAATCTGTGACCAGGCCCCTGTCCGGGACATCGGTTCCTAGACCAAGAAAGAACTTGTGGAATGCACCGGAGGGGTTGGAGGCGTATTTGAATCGACACTGACTTTTATTTTGACATAATATCGACATGATATATAGAGTCAACAAAGGGAAGGGAGAAATTGAAAGTGACCTTCTGAGGGCAAGGCAGTAGTAGCTTTTGGTTCCTCAGTAAGAGGGCCCATAATTCCCTAGAGCTATCTCCCCTTTCCCCCTCTAGAAGCTAAAGCTCAAAAAATCAAGAGAAGATCAAAAAGAAAGAGCATATTAAAAGAACGAAAGCAATAAAAAAAAAAAACACCGGTCTATAATTACTTTTCGGCGTTGTGATATGAGGTGACTCCATCCCCGCTCTCTCTGCCTTTCCTCTCTTTTACAACTCTCCTTTCTCTCTGTAACCTGGACCTTCTCTTCTCTCTTCTTGACTTCCCTCTCTTCTCTTTTTCCTTCTCTCACGGTTCCTTATTTCCATCTTATCGTCACTTTCTCCATTTTTCTCAACACATCTGAACCTCATGTTCTCCCCATATTCGGAAGAATTCGAGGTCCCCGAATCGACGCTTCGACCATGCGATTTTGACCTGTGAGCCTAACTTCCCTTGGAGACATCCCCCCCCTTCCCCCTCCCCCTCCAGGACTAAAACACTCCGATCGGAGTCTGGACTTTCCTGTGTCGCGAGCTATACCTTTCTACTTTGTTACCCTGATCTGGTTCTGCCTGGGATGCGCCTGTGTCATCGTCTAGTGTAACGCTTCCCCGAAGAGTTGACCAAGGCGCGCCAGTACCAGATCTTGCTAACCCCCCACGCGGCCTTTTTGTATGTACAGATGAATCGACACCGTGTGATTGAAAACCCTGTCTTTCACCATGTCGTAAGTCCCTTCGTCTATGATCTCCGTCCGGCCTCCAGCTGCGGGAGGGAGACTGGGTTGGATGTCAAAGTGCACCTGGGTCGCGTTTGGATCATATCGTTGTCCCAATAACCATGCCTTCTCATCGATCTGACCTCTCGCTGCCCGCTTAGTTCCCCTCCCAATTCCAAGCGAATCAAAACGTCAGCCACAACCAGCGCCCCGCCGCATTTACTCGCCCAACAACAGATCCACCCCTTCCACCGCGTCCCGACCTTTGAAGGCATCCCAATCCCCAGCGCTCCCCTACCGACACAACAAAATCCCGGTACTTCGCGCAAGCGCCCCCTTCTCCCGCGTCAGGGTCCGTCATGATGGCCTCGCCTGTGAACCCTGGTGTCGGTGCGATCGAAGATCCCAACGCGCTCCCCGCAGTTGAGTCTACGCCCAAGAAGAAGGGGCGGACGAATACGCCGTGGACCGCCGAGGAGGAGCAACGACTCAAGACAATGCGCGACGCCGGCCGCAGCTGGAGTGAAATCGCCAAGGTGCGCGCGGGCCTTTTTTACTCTTACGATGGAAGATTCAGGTCACTGATGTTGGGGTTTTGCCCATTCTAGACTTTCCCTACTCGAACTGAGGGCAGTGTCAAGAAACACTGGTACAAGGTACGCGATACTGAGAGAACCTAGGAGATTTGACCCAGTCGCGTGTCTTACTGACACATCTGCAGGACATGCACTACGCGGAGTTCGCCGAAGACGAGGTATGTTGGTTTTGTTAATATCCGTGGTCACATCCGCTGACGTCGCACAGTCCGTGAAGCTTCGAGAGGCAATCAAAGAGTACGAGGCGAACAAATGGAAGGTGATCGGGCAGAAAGTCGGCAAGCCAGCCAAAGTAAGTATCCGCGATTCATCCTGTTTGTGCGCTGTACTAATGCTCATACCAGGCCTGTGAGCAATATGCCAAAGAGCATTTCAAGAATGTCTGACGACACCAACGACGCATCTGATGAAGTGATGATTTCGTTTTCTTAGCATCTTTTTCTTATTTGAGTTTGTGCATTCCCTTCCGGATTTCCTGCAATTCCAGAGCGATGCAAGTTTCAACAGTGGCCGAGGTCATTGATCTTACAAGGCAGATGGAGTTGGTGATCTGGATTTCGTTATTGTGTTGTTGTTGTTGTTGTTTTTTTCATTCTCTGCGCTTTGAGCTTGCGCATCTTATGCCTCTTTTGCGATCAGCCAGTGTGTTTTTCTTTATGTTTCCCCCAAGGCGTTGCCTTTTTCTCTGTTTTCTTTTTGCCTGACAGGCGCATCTCGTCTTTCTGGCGCTGTGTCCTTGAATACCATATGATTCCCACCAATTCAGCAAATTACAGCATTAAAAAAAAAGCGGGCTAGGCCTTTGCGTTGTAGATCTATGCATATGTCATTTAGGGCGGAGAGGCAAAGCGGATCATTTTTTTCCTTTCCCCGCGGCAATCAGAGTTCCCCGTTGCCCACTTAACTCCACTGCATTTTTTCCAATTCTTGACATCTCGACTACTCTTGCAGCTCTGCTCAGCTTGGTACCTTTTATCTCCCGCGGTGTCACATTGGTATTCGCTGACCCCTCACAGTGACTCTATACTCACTCGGAAGGTGACACAACCTCTCTAGCCACGAAGACGAGTAGTATGGTATTGCCTCGAGATCAAGGTATATAAGGTTACCTCTTGCGTGAAGACCGGTGTTCGACACTTGTCGTTCTGAGAATATACGGTTAAACTTGATCTGGGTAATTCCAGCGAAAGGACTCATACGCTTTTCCCCAAATACCGGGCTCAAAAACTAACGCCACCAGCAGCATGGCACCAGAAGATGAAATCACCACCCTAGCGGTGCGCTCCAAGGAAGATCCAACAACACTCGCACCAGAAACTCCCGGCCTGGCGAACAAGGATGATGGAATATACGCCGCCGAAACGACCAATCGCCGCAATCCCATCGGATCGCGATTGGGCTCTGTGATCAGAGAATTCGAGAACCAACTCATCGACTACAATCTGGAGGCGCGTGGAATTGAGCGTGTCTCTGTATCCGAGCGCATGAAGCGGAACTCATGGCTCTCATACCTGCAAGCTTTCTTGCTGTGGATTTCCATCAACCTCGCGCCCAACAACATTACCCTAGGTATGTTGGGCCCTGCCGTTTACGGACTCAGTTTCCGAGACTCGGCGCTGTGTGCTGTGTTCGGTGCTCTGGTTGGTTCCGTGGTCTCCTCTTGGATGGCGACATGGGGGCCTGTTTCTGGGATTCGCACTCTGGTAGGTGTTACCTGTGGACTGTTGGATACTTATCAGACAGAGGTGCTGATTGGTGATTAGGCCTTCGGACGGTATTCGATGGGTTGGTGGCCAAGCAAGATTATTGTTCTGCTGAACCTTGTCCAGATGATTGGATATGGCTTGATCGATTGCGTTGTAGGCGGACAGATTCTATCGGCTGTCTCTCCCAATGGCATGTCCGTTGCTGTTGGTAAGCAGAGCATGGGACCAACGGTAAATCTGTGATACTGATACGGGTCGATAGGCATTGTGATTATTGCTATCATCAGCTGGGTGGTGGCGACTTTCGGCATTCAGGTCTTCCATTACTATGAAAGGTTGGTTCGAGAATGTACTTCCGGCATAGATGCTGTTACTGACGCATGGACTTTCAGATTTGCCTTCATCCCCCAGGTAATTGTGGTCTGTATTCTCTTCGGAGTTTCATCCGTGAAATTCGATTTGTCGACCGTATCCGAAGGCGATGCCCGGACGGTAGCCGGTAACAGGTAAGCGCCAGGCTCAGCACTAGCAGTGAGGCTCAAATCTCTAATCATGACACTAGGCTATCATTCTTCTCCATCTGTGTCAGTGCCGCGATTACATACGCTCCGCTTGCAGCGGATTTCTTCGTCTACTACCCAGAAAACACATCGCGGGCTAAGATCTTTGGCCTTAGTCTGGCGGGATTACTTGTTTCATTCACCATGGCCCTAGTGTGCGGCGTAGGCCTTGCCTCGGGCATCCCCACCCACCCCGAGTATAGCGCAGCCTACAACGAAGGTCAAGGAGCACTGATCGTTGAAGGGTTCGGTCCGCTGCACGGATTCGGCAAATTCTGCTCCGTTGTCTGCGCACTGGGTCTCATCGCCAATACAGTGGCACCCACATACTCCGCTGGTATTGACTTCCAAATTCTCGGCCGTTATGCCGAGGCAGTGCCCCGCGTCATTTGGAACACTATTGCCGTGATCATATATACTGTCTGTGCGCTTGTTGGCCGCAGTCATCTCTCCGAAATTTTCACTAACTTCCTCGCTCTGATGGGTTACTGGGTTGCCATCTGGACTGCTATCACACTGGAAGAGTGCTTTATCTTCCGTGCGCGCACGGGATACAACTGGGCTATCTGGCGGGACCCGTCAAAGCTACCAATCGGCATTGCGGGATTCATTGCCTTTGTTGTTGGCTGGGTTGGTGCTGTCTTGTGTATGGCTCAGGTGTGGTACATCGGCCCCATCGCGAAGTTGGTCGGCGCCTACGGCGCGGATGTAAGTCAACTCCCGCCCAACACTTGATTGTCTGCTTGAACTAACATTGGCTCTTTAGATGGGAAATTATATTGGATTCTCTTGGGCTGCGCTTGTTTACCCTCCCTTGAGATATCTTGAGCTTCACTTCGTGGGGCGCTAATTCTTCCTTTACCTGGAGAGGCTCCAAGTTCTGGTCATGGAGAAGCATTGACTTGCTCTCTCACCACAACTGAAGTCTTTTTGACTTCTCATTGTTGCTACTTGAGACCTACCTCGGGTAGACCTCGTCATGGGGTCACAGTATATAAAAGTATTCTGAGTCTAAACACTCACAGACGGAGGACGCATGCTTTCACAGTTTTTGGTTTTCATGGCCCAGGCCATGCTGTATCTGGGTGGATTGACAAGACCGTTGAAACATAGACTTGTATATCAGGATAGTCATTTTTAATAAAGAATCCCAATCCCCCATTCATCCCCTTGAATGGATGTTCACACACCACTTGTACCCATTGGAGGACAATCCCAAGCGCACCATACTTCGGATAACGATAGTGTCTTTCACCCCTGGTTCCATCTCACTTTCAGCGTGGGGCCTCACTCCTGCCGTTACAAGTGGGGTGCGGAGAACAAGGATGCCACCCCAGGGCTTCTCCACCAACATGGGAGAGAAGTGTCAGCTGTTGCTCAGTGACAAGATCCGCGGCTATTTCCTTGTCCCCGAGGATAATGTGTGGAACTATAGCTTCATGGGCAGCTCATTCGGTAGTGCAAAGAACCTCGAAAGAAGCGAACAGCACCCTTTAGCTATCTAAGATTGATTAATTCGAGGACCGAAGAAATATTATTATGAATCAAAACAAACAACCCAATCTATGCTCTCATATTCAACCACTAGAGCACTATTCTACAAAGGAGACAGAGAACGGTGAGTAAACAGACAGACAAACAACGTAATGTTCACACTATATTGGGATTTCCATGCCAGACACACTGGAAACCGCGACGCAATCAGAAACGCGGTATTGAATATTTACCGGTACCAGTAATCGGGCTTGACGTAGTCGGCGAAGGTCTTGACGTCCTCCTGGGGAGGGTGGTGGTGACCGTGGTCGTGGTCGTCTAATAGAGCAAGGTTAGCATGGAAATATTGGAGCGTAGGAGACGCGGACACAGGGGGGACGGGCAACATACGGGAGTGGGGGTCCTCCTCGGGTCCAATGTAGTTAAGCTTGACGGTGTTACCGCACTCGAGGCAGCGCTCAAGAGGACGTTCACGGGAAACCTGAAATGTAGCAAATTAGTATTTGCAATTCTTCAAGTCCCATAATGAGGTGGGTCAGGTTCGGAAGTCATACGGTCAACCAGTTGACCTGGTGGGAGTCGGCGGGGAAACCAGTGCAACCGGCGTACTGCTCATCACCGGCGCCGTTGACGATGATGGGGTCTTCGATTGTGCCTGTATATAAGAATCAATGCGATTAGCCTAGGTCTCGTATGTCGTTTCAATGTGACGTTCGTGCGCTTTCGGTGGCATTTCGTCATTCGTACAAAGCTTCGGGCGAGGTGCTCAATCGCAAAGAGGGATCACATACCTTTGCGGGAGGCATCAAGGGGGCGCATGTCGAAGATGTCAACACCTTGCATCTTTCCGATGAGCTCGAGACGCTCGAGACCGGTGGCCTGGTCGACGTCGGAGGGAATGGTACCGGGCTTGGCACCGGGGGCGAGAAGGTCGTCCTCAACCTTGATCTCTGTATGGTTCCAAAGAAAATCATTAGTACACTGTGCCGCGATCGATGTGGTGGCAGAGCATGGGCATGTCCGGCGGAAATTGTAACCGGGAAAGTATCTATCCACAGAGCCGACATTCGAGGCTCGATAACCTTCTTTTGAACGCATAGTCTCGAATGTACCAAGTGCAAAGACATTTCCCGAATCGTAGAGGCCGGGCATGGAGCAATTGAGTGCCATTGAGTCGGGTGGAGCACTAACCTTCGAAGGTCAGGATCTTGCCTTCCTGCTTAGGAGCCCACTTCTTCTCATTTTCTGTATGATGATCGCGTTAGCTGGTTGTTTGATCAAGGATCCATGGATCTCTAGCAAAACTGAATGCATAGAGCCAATTGTGGGCGGATTGGAGAAGGTCGATATGGCAGGGTCGGATCAGGCCATAGGAGTCACGTACGGCGGATGATGGAAGAAGAGAAGGGGCGCTGAGCGAGAGTGAAAGCGCGGGCAGGCGAGCGCCTGGCAAGGGCGGTGGCGGTACGCTGGAGGAACATTGTCCTGGAGGTTATGGGGTTGATGACGCGGGAGTTGGGGCAAGAAAGAGGGAGTTTGGGAGGTTTGAGGTTGGGTGAGTTTGAAGCCGCTTTGGCCCGAGCGATTCTGATTGGTTGGAAATCCTGGCCAATGATGCTCTTGCCAATGATGAGTCAGCCCTGATTGGCGGAAGCTGGCATACGGCAGTCCATTAAGACCACTAGTGCAGGACTGTTAGGGCTTTTGTATAGGGCAAAAAAGTGGCATGATACATCTTGAAACCGGAGCTTAGCTATTCGTGACAATATCAACACAGAACCATAAATCAGACATCTCTTCTAGCAAAACATTTCCTCCTTATATCATTCAGGATTCTCCGCTATTTGTTGCCGCGCCATAGTCGCTCTCTCTTGACACGCCACGGGTGTGAATCCATTGCCAACCTTCTGGGAGATGACCCGCCATTTGTCGTTATCATAATCTTCTATCGCCTTGTCTAGTCGCTTGTCCTACTTGCTTGGTTAGCGAGCTGTGAAATTGGTCGAACGAAGAGGCACAAACCATGTCTTCAGTCCAAAGGACATTCTTCGCCTTCAACTTGGTACAGTAACGGACTTGAAGGGTGCCGCTCGTTCGCCCTGGAAACCAGTGTTGGATTTGCTTCCAAGTGAAATTCCAGTGTTCCTTCAACTGAATGAGAGTCTCATCTTCCTTGGGGCCGAACTTGGTCTTAGGCCCCTTTGGCGAAGGAAGAACGGGTGGCAGATTCCGGTGCTTCAAGTAGCTCATGTCTTCGTGTTCTCCATTGCCTGTCAGGGATCTCCCTTCAGAGTCACCTCCACGAGAATCACTGAAGCCCAATGCCTGTGCTGGTAGTCGATGGTGATGGTGTTGTTGTGGGAGCGGAAGAGAAACCGGAGGCAAATAGTCATGGTTTGTAGATTGATGTGAGGGCAAATGTTCAAGAGGGACTGGATACGTCAACTGTGTCTCGTTGACTGGTGCTGATGTGCTCGTTGGCAAACTGTGCAGTCTAGGTCGAGGCGCATAATCGCAACTCATGCCACGATTACTCTCTGCATCGTCCTCGGCGTGTTGTCGCTTTCTATTGCTCTGGGGCGAGGATAGCTCATAGCCATGTGCATTGTAATGCGGGGTGTTCTGGCGTGGGATCATGCGATCCGTAAGAAAATTCGATGGAGATCCAAAGGGTGCTAGAGTTGTGTCGGAAGAGTAACGACTCTCGGGTCGGTCTTGAAGCAGTTGGAGTGCACCGTAAGATATGATGTCTTCATGGCCTGCGTCTTTGCCACTGGCATGATGGGTGTAGCTGACCATGAAGCCTCGGTACGGTTCCACCAGTAATGCAGACATACATCGACGATGCTAGGGCCAACAGCCCTAGCGAGGGGTGGCAGGAGAGCCTGTTTGAGGATGAGAGATATAAGGGTGTGCTCTCTTGCCCCAAATGTTCCAATGGAAAGATATGGATGGAAACACAGGCTGCGCTATTACATAGGAGGCAGCGGAAGATGACCGGCCTGTGTGGGGCTTAGAATAAGAAGAGAATAGAAGATGCCTGGGTAAATTGACGTGCAGGGAACAGTGTGGGCTACTTTGAGGCCCAGCTATATGTTCGGTAGTTGCAGAGAGATTGATCAAGCACCAAGGGGAACGATAGAGAGATTATGATATTTAGATAATAAGAGAAGAAGAAAAGTGAAGGCATGGCCACATCTATAACGACATCTGGGGAGATCCCCCAAGGCAAGAATCCCAGGCCCGTGCCGGTGACCAACTGGAGCGTGCGTTCTTGGGCTGATTCCATCAATCTCCAGTGGACCGGGCTGCAAGAGCGAATGGTTGTAGTCGAAGGAATCCGTGATAGGCAGTCCCATCATTCCGGTGATGGGAAATACTTTTTCTTCCTCCTTTTTTTCTTTCGCACAGACTACCCAACCCCAAAAGCAAAGGCATGAGATTTGACTCAAGCGATAGGACTCACCTAAGTATTGTTGGCAATGATCACGGCGGTAATCCCGGTCGACCGGTCAACACCACGAAACAGGATCTGAGCTCAAGAGACCAGCGTCAAAAACAACAGAGGAGGAAAGACACGGCAGACAAGTAAAGCCCGTCAGATTCGGGGAGACAACAACCCAACCAGCAGGTTATTCGTCGGCCTGACCTTCCATGCAGGCGCGCCTTTGCTTCCTAGGAAGAAGGTGGGCAGGAAGGTATCGGCTGATTGACACGGTATGGGTTAGTCGAGTAAGCGATAGACAGCTATTAGTTTACTGCACCGGAGCTCTTCGGAGCCAAGACCTGCGAGAGTCAATCACCGAGGTCGGATAGAATAGAACAGGAACAGGGGGTGAAACACTGATTAATCTCCTACCCGAAGCGGGCAGATCATTAAGCGGAGTTCATCTAGCGGAAATGAAGTCAAGAAAAGGACCAACAATGGGTTGTCTAGGTCTGTGCGGACGAGTGCGGCCATTGGAGGGTAATAAAGGAGATGGCCCAGGTGAAAGCAAAGGGAGAAGGTCGTCAGAGCCGTCAGAGTCATGTTCCCTCACAACCCCCCTTTTTATGAGCGAATCACAGTTGTCAGTAAGCATTCGGGTTGGGTTTCCGAACTATTCGAGTTGCATACGGGCCGTCATCTGTCAATATCTGACTCTCCCTAATGCATCACCGTGCAGCAAGGTGCATGGCTTTGCATGACTTTGCATCAGAGCGGGACAGACTCGTGCTTATGCACATCCTGAATGGCCGCCCATTTCAATAGTGGCACAGACTATCGTATGCATTTGCCTTGGGACTCCGGTGTTTTGGTGGGGTTAATATCTCCTGTTACACTTGGGCCTGTCCATTGCTTTGCGGTTATTCAGGGCGGTTAGGGGACCCAGTAGCGCGGACGGAGTACTCCGTAGCCTTTGGCCATTCAGCGCCGTTGGATGTTGGATGTTGGCACGGAGTAACTCAGCCTCATTTCGATCACGTCGAAATCTCTCGGGCAGATTTTATTGTTATCGAACAAAGGTGTGGCTGCCATGTCAACTAGTCCATGCATTGTGAAGCCAACCGCATCCTCGTATCTTAACAGGGGGGAAAGGGGTGTTTGAGGGTGATTTAAAATAATAATTTTAAACGGAATATTTCATGTTTTCATGTCGAGATGACAGGGAATGTATTCGCCAAAGAAACTCGTACTATACAAAAAAATAAATCCACACTTGCTTTTTCCTCGCCTTGGTTCTCGCTGCAATACATGAATTAAGGTTGTCGTGATACAAGAACCCAAAAAAAAAAAAAACAAGAAGATGAGGAAAAAAAGAGATACGTAGACACCGAAGCGCAAAAGAACACAGAGAACATGGCAACGCCGTGCAAGTTGCACATGTTTATGCAAAGTTATCGGCCCGGTCAACCCAAATGTCTTCCAACTCAGCAAAGTTCTGGAAGTGCAGGGGACGGTGCTGGTCGTCGTAGAACTTAAGCGGGGTGTCAATCTTGACATAGATGGGCCTCTTCTCCACGCTACCGAATGAGCTGCCCATGAAGCTATAGTTCCACACATTATCCTCGGGGACAAGGAAATAGCCGCGGATCTTGTCACTGAGCAACAGCTGACACTTCTCTCCCATGTTGGTGGAGAAGCCCTGGGGTTGATCCGAGGTGGTATCCTTGTTCTCCGCACCCCACTTGTAACCGGCAGGAGTGAGGCCCCACGCCGAAAGTGAGACGGAACCAGGGGTGAAAGACACTGTCATAGTCACGGTCTTCTTATCCCACGAAGGATGGGCGTTCATGAGGCGAGCATGGTGCGTGACATCTGCCGCTGACATATACGGCGGCTCATTTCCAGACACTGTGTGGATGACACCCAGAGGCTCCAGGTTTTGGAGGTAGTCGTGCTGCGGCAACTGGTGCGGCAGTTGGACATCCCGGGTGTTTCCGACCTGAGGAATCATGACAATGGTGCGAACTTCCTTGACCTGGTCATTGTCTGGTGGTGAGCTACCGTAGATGTAACCAGTGACCTGCACCCGCAGGTCGGCGATGGTAATGAATCGCTTGAGAACGTTCTTGGGCATGATGTAGGTGTATCCATCGTCACGAATATCATCCGAAGACACATAGATGTTGTTGGACCTGGTGCGCAGGTTGGAGGTTGCGATTGCTCGAGTGCGCCACTCGGTCTTGGATGCAAATGATTGCTGTTCGTATTGAGACGTGGTGGTGACAATGATGTCCTCACCACGGGCGTTCTGAGTCTTGGTCGTAACGGCAGTGAGTTGCTTTTGCTCCTCCTGCTGCTTTTCAATCTCGGCCGCCTGCTGGCGCTGCAGAGAGGGTGCGCTAATCTCCATACCCAGAATGATATCACGGACTTCACTGCTGGTCAAGCTCTGCACGTTGACGTTGTTCTTCTTTCCGTAATCGTTCAGAATGAGATCACGCAATTGCACTTCGACCTTGATCCAATCCTCGTCAGAGAGAGATGGCCAGATGTGGTGTTCTTGAGTGATCACAGTCTTGTCGGGACGAAGAATGATCTTGGCTTTGTCAATATTGACATGGAGAGCACGGAGAATGAGAATGAGACGGGAGAACGCAGTGTACGGAGAGATGGATTTGAGCCACTCGTCATACAAGTTGAAGAGGACCATCTGAGGTTCAGTGGCACGAAGAATCATGTCAGCCAGCTTTTCAACCTTCATAGCAGCCTGGAAGGGCAACTGAAGCTCAGAGGCACGGATGGAGATGTTGGGGAAATCAAGCAAGTGAACCTCAAGAGGATCGAGCAGACCCTTACGGGTGACAATGAGCTGCTTCGGTTGCTCCTCCACGGGTAGGGATCTAATAAGAGCAGCAACTTCTTCGGCTGTCTTCCACTTGGCCAACTGTCCCAAACGCTTTTGACCAGCCCAGACACTGGTGTGAATGATCTTCAAGAACAACTGTCCAGTGCGAGGGTTGAAGATGAAGATTGCACCGTTGATAGGCTTGGTAGTCAAGTTACCTTCGAAAGTCTTGTGGATTGTGACACGGTAGACGTTGGTATCATCAATGAACAGCTGGATCTGCGGACTGAAAAGCTCAGAGTAGTTCTGAGAGTTCAAGAACTCCTGGTTGCTCTCAGAGGCGTACAGCTGCAAACCCTTGCGGATACGCTCGCGCAAGACATACAGTGCTGGGTTGGCCTTCATGATCTTCGCCATTGCCTGTTGAACCAGAGTCTTCAGACCTGGGAAGTACTGTCCGTAGGCCGAGAAGAGGTTGTAGGCGAGATCGACACCAATCATCAAACCGGTGGCAGAGGGGTAGATACTCATGCTGTCGGTGGTGTAGTCGAGATATTTGGCACGGACATATCGCTCAATGTCATGAGAGTCGTAATCACCATATCTGAGCTGGACATCAATCCAGAACTTGTTTGTCGTGGTCGGTTCATAAACGTCCTTGGTATCGAACACCAACGAAGGCCGGGTGACATTCCACTTGTTTGTCGCAAAGAGGAGAATATCCGCACAAGAGCTGTTCATCTTGTAAGACTTACGCGGGTGAATGGTCTCCTTTTGGACAGCCTCGATACCGAGCTGCTCAAGTTCTTGATCCAGGACTTGGCACAAATCCATGACAACCGATTCGTGAATTTTCTGCCACAAGTGGGCACGGAAGATTTGAATCAAAGAGATCTTCAGAGTGGGGATCTTTCCGTGCAAGAAGATACCAGTCAAATCCAGCTGCACCTGGAAACCAACGTAGACGTTGGCGCGGTTGATGGTAGGGGACCACCACAGAGTGAATCGACGGTTGGGAATCTGGTTGAGACCAGATCTCTGGGCGTTGGTGAGTTTTTTGAATTTCATAGCTGTCAAACAGTTAGCTTAATGTTCTCTCCTTTCAGATTATTACTTAGTCATTTGGATTATGTTGAGGGGTTTTTGGGGTGTCTTTCCAAAGGTCTTTCCAAGGGTCTTTGGTAGGGGCATTTCTGCTGGTTTTCACCGCCCAACCCACACCAACCCTAAAAACCCTCAACATCACCGGTTTTTTACTCACATTCCTAGAGAAAAAGTTAGCAATGGGTTCAAAAACATTATAAAGGAGGTTTCGCACTTCAAAACCACTGGCCCTCTCCCAGAACAGGCCCTCCCAGGACGGGAAAGCTGTTGCTTTGAACAGGGTGTGTTCAAGAATCGTTTCCACACCACCCAACGCCTGGATCACATCGGTTCGGTAGGCGTTCAAATTCCAGAGTTTACCATCGTGTCGCTGACTTGTCCACCAGAAGGGATTGCTCTTCATGAGCTGGTACTGCTTGAACTCAGCGCGGAGTCGGAAGCCCTTGTCGAAACTGAGGGTGCTGCGGTCCTTCTGGAAGAGGGTGTTGATACGGGGAAGACCGCGATCCCAGCTGTCCTCCAGATCTTCCAGGGTCAAACGGCGGTTCTGCTGCTGGGCCTCCATACGCTTCTGCGAGTATTCCATCCACACGCGCTGGGAGTCAATGAACTCGGATTCCCAGGGGATGATGTAACGGAAGATGTTGGGGATCAAAGTCTCTTCGTCATGAGACATACCCGCGCGGAAGTGAGTGATACCAGTGTCGGTTTGCTTGGACCAGCGCTTGTCACTTGTGGGGATGAGGATGTGAGATCCCGAAATCATACCAAGACCTCCCAGCTCCTTGGGGGTGTAGAACACCGCAGGGGGGAAACGGGAAGGCATCTTGGAGTTCAGACCAATCTTGACACGGGTCTGGATCTTGGTCTCACACTTGACAATGGTATCGAGCAGGTTGACAGTAGAGACGGCAGCCTCACGGTAGTAGGTGAAGAGGGCAATCAAAGCAGTGTTCCACTTGTTGGCAATCTTGGTGAACGTGGTGGAACCGGAGGACATAAGAATCTGGCGGATACGGTTGTTGAACTTCTGAATGTCCTCTTCGGTAACCTGCAAGAAGGCGTGTGCGGTGCGCTCCTTGGTCGAGTTGTCAACCAGGGACCAGACACTGTCCTTGACGGAGAACTCCTCGTTCATGTTCCGGATCTTGGGGAGGATTCGGACTTCGAACCCGTTCATTGAGAACAACAGGTTGGGGTTGTCTTTGCTGTAAACACTTGCGAATGTATCATCCCAGTCGATGGTGGTGATTGATCGCGGAAGACGGTTCTTCATATCCCAGAAGACAGCACGGCCGAGGTTGACATCGTGGCGCATCAAGCGCATGCGACAGTCGCGGGGCCAGCATTTCTTGTTCTTGTAACCAATCACGTTCTCGAAGTTGGGATCAGGGTTCTCAGTTAGGAAGCGCTGGATGAGATCACGTGAATCATCCGCCTGGAATCGGAAGAAGACCCAGATCTTGTCGACGTAACGAGTGTAGAGACGAATGGGGTGTCGAGTCTCCGCGGCACGGTCTCTGAACTGCAAGAAGTCATTGGGGCTGCCAGGGGGCCGGCCATTTCGCTAGCTCTCTGCAAGCCAAGCAGCAAGAGATCGATCATCAAGCCGTAGAATTGGAAGACGAAACCAGAGAATTGGAGACCACGAATCAGACCATAGCTGTTGGTGTGGTTCATATCCTTGTAACTGAGCTGAACGTTGTTCTTCGAAGTGATGTAGTCAGCCAAGTTGTGGTCCATGATCAGACGAAGCAATCGGTTAAGAAGGGTAAGATCAATCTTCTCGTAGACCTTGGACAGCTCGGTTTCAATCATCACGTTAGTTTCGCCCTCAGAAGTCTCCCAAACATTGGACAAGTTGTTGATTCCCTGGGTCCACTTGTAGGTGAGAAGAGGGGGGGACTTCGGAATCGGAAGGCTTAATCCAAGCAGGGAAGAGGTGACGCTGCTCCGCTTGGTACCAGAGGTACTGATCCAGGTAGGCATCAGTGATCTTCTCAATGGGCTCGATGTCGTACACAGGGTTGATGTTGTTGTAGTTATCGTTCATGTCGATCTTGACCTCCTTGAAAGCTCTCTGCGTGAGCAAGAATCGCTTAATTCGGGCCAAGGTCGTACCCGGAGAGTCGTATGCCTGCTCGATCAGAGCCAATTCCTCACGTTGACTTTGGTTTAATCTACCCTTCACGGAGTATGATTCGCGCAAACGCTCGAGCGCAAGAATCAGAATCTTCGTGTCGTGCTTGTAGGAAACACTGGGGAACGGAATTGGAGAGAACTTGCGAGACTCCAGCCAATGAACCATGGTGGTGTAGATCGCAACAGCCTCCTCTGAAGAAACGTAAGGACCATCCTTCAGATAGTTGTGTTGACGCTCCTGTTCAGACTTGAGCCACAGACGAGTGAGACGACCCAAGTTCTTCTTTGCGACGGTCTTGTCGACAGTGGCACCACGACGGATTCTCTCTCGGTTGTAGTGTGCAACAGAAATCCACCAATCAGCCTTGCTCTTGACGTAGCGAAGAATGATGTTTTCAATTGGCGCGGGCAGACCAGGAACCTTCCAAGGAATGTTACTCTTCCAGCATCTCCAGGCTTCCGACAAGTGCTGCAAAACAACGTTGACCTTGTTCTGCTTGATACCCTCGGGCATCATGTCCATCAAGTCTGACATGACGGATGCACGCAGCTCAAGATCGAAGTGAGACTCAACACGCTGCTTGGTGACGGTCTTGGCCACACCCTTGCTGTGGCGACCCTCGAACTGACGAGAAAGCAGGTTACCCAACCAACGCTCGAGCAGGGGAATGATACCACGCATGAAGAAGAGCCACACACGCCAAGCGGGGGCCCAGAAACCACAACCAGGACCCTTGCCGACGGGGCCGGAGTTGAATCGATAGTAGATCAAATGCTTCAGATCCTTGCAAGAACGAATCTGGTGCATAAGCTTGTACTTGTACCGGTACATACCAGTGAGCTGACCGACGTGGTTGAAGGCGTAGAGGATACCGTCCGCGAGTTGGAAGGCATCAATGTTACCCAGACGGTATTGGACTTGGGCATCCACAATGAGCTTGGTCAAGCGAAGGATTTCTCGCATCAAGTGGAAGGCGTTTCCGAAGCGAGACTTCTTACGCTCCTTGGTGGTCAAAGTCTTGACGGGCTTCAAGTTGAAGTTGTAGTCGAGATGGAGATAGGTCAAGTTCTTGCGGTGAATCAACAAGTTGAGCATGTTGAAACCTTGGCGACAAACTTGCAAACCGGCCTCGACCCAGTCGATTGTGGTCTGCTGGAAGAACTTGGTTGACTTCAGAGTCTTCATTAAGTTTTGCTTGCTCTGCGCCTTGGGTGTGCTCTTGTGCAGCTCGTTGAGGACGAAGGTCTTGAGTAATTTCTGGTAAGAGACACGGACCTTGACCGGCTGGCCGGACGGACAATGCTCCAGATACCACTGCTTGACCAATGGAACATCCTGCGCACGAACCATCTTACCGGATCGTTTATCGAACGGATGAGGGGCCCACCACAAAGCGATGGCGGAAGCAGTGTCAGGTGTGTAAAGATCTTCGTCCTCGAAGAAAGGCTCAACTTCACCGGGAAGCTCAAACTCGTCATCTTCATTATTGCCAGGGCCAAAGATTTCATCTTCGTGACTGACTGTGATATTCTTTGGGGCAACAGAGCGGGAGGAGATGGGATTAATGACAGGGTCGAAGTAGAACGCGGGCAAGTTGGGGTCCTCGGTACGGGCGTAAACCACTTGCGGATGAGAGTACCAAGCTACCTTGACACTGCGGGGAAGGGTGTTGTACAAGAATGGGAAGGTGACTCGGTATTCGGTCCGGATGGGAGCACGGAAGATGATGCGATCGATGGCGTTGAACTCGCTGAAGTCTTCATCATTAGGATCGATATCCTTGTACAGAGGCTCGAAACGGGGACCACCAGGAATAGCGACGTTCAGAGCCTTAGCGGTGAAGAAGCTGTTCAAGTCAAACATGTGGTAGTAATTTTGGTCGACGACGTCACTCAAAATCTGGTGACTCAGACGGTGCAGAGTGGCCATTTGAGGAAGAGACAAGTTCCAGTTCTTGTAGCTCGGGCCGTTAACGTGGGGGGTATCAAGGAGCGGACGGTGATCGTAGAGCCATTCGTAAACGGCCGCATCTTCTTCTTCATCCAGCTCCATTTGGATAGGCTCCAAGGGCTCAACGTCTTCGATGTTCTCCGACCAAGATAGAGGCGGCTCCTCATCGTCGAATGGGGAAACGCATGCGCTTGAAATGTCTGCGATCACTCTTTTCCCGACGCATGCACATCCACATAGTGGCCCACTGGGCATGGAAGACGGGCTCAATGACACGCGGTGTCTCATTGACCAAGGTCAGGCAACCGTTGACGTGATAAAGCACCTTAACCTCTCGCGCGGACTCCCAGGGCATTGGCATGTTCTCCAGAAGCTTCAAAACAGCATGGGGCATGAACTTGAGGGCGCCCAGGTAGCTGCGCTTCTCGTTGGTGAATTTCTTCTGCGAGACATCGCCGATATCCCGTACAATCTTTCGCAAATGCTCCGGGGGCATATCCGCCTTTTGTGTTTCAACAAATCCCCCTTTGCGCTTTTCCGCGAAACGATTGCGTTGTGTTCGGAGCCACTCATTCTTCTTCTGTGAAAATTTGGCGACGTTCGGGTCGGCGGGCGGCTGGTAGCCTGGAGGGGGCGGTGCCAGGGGCATTGAGGACGATGCGCTCCATCCAGGAGGAGGAGGCGGCGGCAGTGAAGCCATGTTGGTGAATGATGGGGGGAGCTCCCACCCTCAGCTGTGAAAAGTTGCGTTGATGTCGAGTCGCGTCAATCCACGTCAAAAGATCATAGGTAGTAGGGTAATCAGCTGGAAAGATAGGTCCAACTGAATCGAAATTGAAAGGTTATGTAAAGAGATAAGGAATTAAGATGACGAACGCGACAAAGATAGAGATCCACGACCCCCTACGCGATGGGACTATCTCTGCTCCTTCCTCCCGTTGAACTTTGAGGTGGCGGCTCCGATTGGCCCTAATCCGCATTGGGACTAGCGCAGTCTCGCCAAAAGTGCGCTAGCGTCGGCTCAAGCAGAAACCCACACAACCCAGAATCATCATATTTCACTTTGCTTCACGACAACTCCGACAACTGCCGCCCTTGACCAGTTCAAGTACAGTCAAAATGACCAACAACAGACTGCAATACGTGAGTTTTGACAACCGCTATCATGCTGATTTTGGAATCTGACCTTTTCTCGTTTTGCAGCGCCGCCGGAACCCGTACGTTTCAAAAATTTCCTTCCCCTCGAAGATTCCCATGTCCACGAATTCTACGATTGTCTATCCGGCGATACTAGTGCTGGGATAATTTTCTGCATTTCGAACGATTCATTGACGGTTTTTTTCTTGCGCTCGATAGGTACAACACGCGGTCCAACAAGGTTCGCATCATCAAGACCCCCGGTGGTGAGCTCCGTTACCTTCACCTGAAGAAGAAGGGTACTGCTCCCAAGTGCGGTGACTGTGGCATCAAGCTCCCCGGTGTGAGTAATCCCTCTGCGTCTCGATTTCCAATTTTTGAATGGTTGTGTGGGATATGTGTGTGATGGGGTGGGCCAATGACCGACTCGGGAAAAACTCTGTCTGGACGGACTGGAGTAGGAACGAATGGCCGAACAAAACACCGCATTCACCATACGACCATACGACCATCTCGCCGAATTTTTTTGGGAGTCAGATCGACTGACAATTTTGATCCGTGCAGGTCCCCGCTCTCCGTCCCCGCGAGTACGCTCAGATCTCCCGCCCCAAGAAGAATGTCAGCCGTGCCTACGGTGGCTCTCGCTGCGCTGGCTGCGTCAAGGACCGCATTGTCCGTGCCTTCCTGATTGAGGAGCAGAAGATCGTCAAGAAGGTCCTCAAGGAGTCCCAGCAGAAGGCCGGCAAGCGCTAAGCGTGCAAACTGTCGGTGTTGTTCTTTTTCGGTGGAGCGATGGGAAAAACGGCTGGGAATGGTTCTCTTAGAATCTTAAAGATGAACACGAACAGCTAGTACGTGGGCCCCAAAAAAAAAGGCCTGCGGCTAAGCAAATGAATCAATTTCATTTACCTTCATGAATATTCCCTGATATGTCGAATTGAGTTGTCTGAAACGATCATTGCGGTGCTTCTGACTAGATCTTCCACCCCCAAATGCCTCCAAAGGTTTTTGCTTGCTACCCAGGTGCTCAGTGATGATAAAAGCGGTGAATCCCCTGTTGCGTTCCCTGTGCATTGGGTAAGTCTAGACTCTGACCTGAGGCATCTATATGTTTTTCGGGGCTCTGAACGACCTTCGTATCGTGCAGCTACAGTATGCTCTTGCGTTCAACCTCAGCGCAGGTGCATGCTGGGCAGGCAGACAATCACATTCTTTGCATAGTAGCACCTGCGAGATACTCGTGGCTCATGGTAATTGCACAATCGCAGCAACTTCTGAGGTCTGCCGGGCAAAGACACTTATTTGGTACCCTCCATTGCATTGACGCATGACTCGGTGCCCACATTGTCATGCTTATCGATAGCCCTGTAGGTGGTGCTCAGATGTAAATGCTATCACGACCGTGTGCCTAGGTAGTTCCCCAGGTCAGAAGGGACGGAGGTCTGAGTACCTTACATTGTTTAGGGCCAATTATGTGTACGCTAAAAGTTCCCATGATGCAATCTAGATATTTATGGTCTTGGTGTCCACGGGTATTCCAAGGTTACCTTGACTGCCTAGTGATCGGCCAGCACATTCCAAGATTATGCCCAGGTGGCTGTGAGTTTTGTTGTTCGAGCGCTGCAGTTTGCTTAGAGGCTTCGGGGCACAGCTAAAATGGGGAATAAAGGGGCTATATTTCTTTATGATATTGACAAGGCCTTGTGGACATGTTATTGTGTGGATTTATTGTCCGCGGAGATTGGGTCTTTAGCGGATTGAAGTTTTGACCAGTTGTGCAGCCAGCTTGGCGTCGATGGCACCGCTTGTCGGCAGGACTCTCGGACTTTTCAAGATTTCGCTATTGACAATCCCATCGCAATTTAACAGGGTGATTTTCAAGTATAACCTCGGGAATTGAACAAGCTAAGTGGGTGATGGTCAAAATTCCTTCGGCCAATCGTAACGGCTTAGAGAAGCTGAAGTGCCTGCAGGTGGTGATATATTTGGCCCGTGCCAGCGCCCAATGCACGAAGTGACGATTCCAAAGGCATCGTATCGGAGATCTCGAAATAAACAAGTTAGCGGCATGGTGTTTCTTGGCGGTAGATGGGCTCTGGACTTGCCATTTTGGGCAGGAGTCTAGTTAATATATCCCTGCAGGTACTCTGTGCTTTGCCTTGCATGGGCCGGCAAATACGCTTGGTGGAGTACTCCGTATAAACGAAACAAAATACTCATTTTCTGATTGTCTTAATCCGTGTAAAAGTACGAAATAACGAACGCACGGAGTAGATAATGACTACGTTCTCTTTCGGCTCAGAGGGGGAATGAAAGCCAATAATCTTTACGGAGTAGATTTCATTAAACAATGTCGACCCTGACAAAACATTGTAATCTGACTGACACACGATACGAGTGCGACGATGGTTTTTCGCAAATACGGAGTACGGAGTAGAGAATATACAGAAAGGCCTCAATGTAGGTAAATATCTTCTATTCGTAGGAAACAGCCCCCCACCCCTCTTCATCGCTTTCATAGACTATTCAGAATGTAAATACGCTAATGTGTCCCCGTGGCTACGTGCTCGTAAGGACATGGATGCTACGTGGCAGCCGACGAACCTCTGCTGCAATTTGACCAAACCTAGAGTCCCAATGAGACTTCAGGGGCAAATTGCCGATAGAGATCGTCCGTGTCAAACCACCTTGTCAAGTGGGAAAAAAATCAAACAAGAAAAATAAAGACAAGGATATTTCGCCGTTATCTCCACTATAGATGGGTCCGGGGATACGGATCGCACAATGGGATCTGTCTTCAAATGAACCATCCAAGAAGCGGTCAACCGAATCTTCTGTCTCAAGTTTCTTTGTGAATACCCTATCCACTTCGAGGGCTAACTTGTGCCAAATGAGACAGCGCTATGGTATGCAGGTTGACAGCTGTCTAACCGGCCCGTTCCATCCCACAAACGCCTAACGGGCGAGGTTCGTGCGGTGCGAATTATAGTAGCCACGACAGCCTATCTCTAGCTTGGTTGGTGCTCATCTTGGACCCAAAAATTTCTCAACGATCTGAGAACAAGAAGTAAATCGGACTTTTAGCCTCCCAGCAGGCCGGGTCATCCAACGGCTAAAGAGGACAGCACAGGCGACATACATAAAGTATTTCTGAACGCACGGGGCATTGATCGATTGACTTTATGCAGATCAAAATCTGGGAGGATCTACAGAGTACGGAGTACAGATCTGCCCCTTTCCTTTTCTTTCTATTCCCTTTCTCGCGACCTCGGGAAAGTAGATAGATCGATTTGCTGGGATGATCCCGGTTGGGCTAGGTTTCAAGCCTGCAGGTCTAGTAGTGGACTGTAGTATAATGCTTCCGGTATGGAGTGGACCCCCTGTCGGCGCTTGTTTATGGGATCAAAACTATTGGCACAGGGATATCGAGCTGAATCGAGGAGATCCAGGAGCTTTGAGAACCCCCAAACAGCCGGGTGAGGAGTGGAACGCCTTGATGTAAGGTCATTCAAGTATGTACGGAGTATGTATTCTGTTTGTCGGAGTGCAAAGTAGGGCTCCCCCGGGGGAGCACAAGGTTACCAAAAAGGAAGTAGATGGATATTATGTTTTCTACGGAGTACATAGTACGAAGTACAAGTAGCGCACCGAGATGCGAGTTTCGGTGACCATTGCTATGGATGCTTCCGAAGAGACGCCGCTAGTTTGTGTCCGCCGCCGATCGATGGGACATCGTCCGTCTCATATTTGTAAAAGAACACGAGCCCGCTTAAGGAGCATTGACTGAGCAGCCTTCGAAATTATTCACCTCGGCAAAGGAAGTTCACAATGTCACGTCCCTAAAAGATCAGCCACGGGTCGGAACTTGCACCCGTCGGTTCATCGGTTCGATGGCCAACTTTACTTTTTATTCAGTGCATTAGTGAGCGAGCTCCTATTGATCAAGCGAGCCACTAGGCACGCCGTGGTGCATGTGAAGGCTGAAAGGTCACGAGGAGATCCCGCACCCGATCCAGGAGAGAGATTACGAGCGGAAATCCCATCCTACTAACCGATCGAATTTGAGCATTGCACGCTAGTAGCTCGAATCCAGATGATCGGAAATATGACAGGGAATAGAGTACGGAATACTACGGAATACTTCGTACGGAGATCAGAGTATAGTGACAAATAAATGTTAGAGCGCAGACTGAAACCATTCCCAAGGCCATAAATGAAAAACCTTCTATATACTTCATGATCTCACTCAACGGAACGGCCCGCGTGGTGTCCCCGAAACTTATTGCACATTGGCATTTTCGCCCGTGCTGTGAGCGACACTGCAGCTGCCACCTGTACCTTGTTGCACTATACATACTCCGTACAGAGTACTGCGCACTCCGTACGGTCAGATACTCTAACTCCCGTAGAAGGATAACCTGTCCAGTCATAAGCTGGCCCACTTGTGTGCCCTGACTCGCGGACATAAGCCGCACATGCCCATGTGGGTATACGGAGGAAACTTATCATTCCAAAGATCCGGATCCGAAGAGAACGATTTACCTGTCACCCGTCATTATATTATCATACGTCTGAAAAGGGATGTCGATCCGGACGGATCTACGGAGTACTCTGCTGGCTCATTGCATAGGACTAGAGAGTCCGCTCTCGGCCCCCCTCTGTGCCATATTTTAGGGAAAGTGGCAAGCGCATAAGCTACTGTGAGTCGGCCTGTCACCGGTGCCATTATTACTTTTTTCCCATCATGCAGATCTGCCAGTAATATACTTAGCGCTGCACTAGGGCTCTCTCGTAAATGCTGCCCGGGTAAAAATCCTTGTGGGAGTAAGATTGCGTGACTCGGGGCTATAGTATTGATGATCTATATGATACAATACTTACAACTATCTTTTTTGAGTACTTCGTATACGGAGTAGACAAAGGTGTTTTAGATGAAACTACCAGCTTGCAGAGAGGCTCTCTAAAGTATCGCCACGGTTCGGCATATTCCTCGACAGGGAAGATGAAAGCTTCCCTGCCGATAACTGTATCTCACAGGGGTCATATGAAGGCCAGTAGGGACCCGAGAGGAAAATGTGACGACTAGCCAATAGAGGCGTGTGCTGCTTCCCAGGCTGTCTGCATCACTTAGCATCCTGGGAGACTACAGCAGTCAACAAAATCTTCGAGCGGGGTGGTGGGGTGGTGACCCAAATCCCGGGTGCCAAAGTACTCGTAGACCAGACAAGACCAGCATTAGGTGGCAATGGCTCCGTATGGACGGAGTAATTTCAACTGCAATTCCCCTGTTCTCTCTGGGGTATACTCGTATCTATTGTCACAGTATCCTGTAGATCGCCGTTGCCTACCTTATTTTGCTTGACGGTTAACCGCTACCCCCGTCAATTGGGACACCGCTGTTCTGTGTAGATGAAGGAAATGCAACAATGCAGCATGTCACTTCAGCTGCAGCTCAGAATAGACCCAAAGTATTATCACGGGGAGATAACTCGTCAATCTTCCTAGCCTGAAATGCCAAATTAAAGACCTGCAGGTAGATATGGAAGATTAAGAAGAATCTTAGTCCGCCTCGTTCATGCCCAAAATTACATCTTCTAAATCCATTAGTAACAAACATACGAGTCCCACGGGGTGGGCCTTAGAGATGCGAATTGAGAGATGCGAGAACATACAGCTCAATCTACGCGGGTCTGAAGATCCACTTGTTTGACGAACATGACAGGGAACGATGATCGACAACATCTGCTTTGGCGATTGATAGATCTAGATTAGGCTCCCAAGCCCCGAAGACCACACGCTCCACTAAGCCTATCGTACAAAAAGAAAGCATGCGCTGCTACTCCGTACTCCGAACTCCGTAGTGTCGGGAGGGTCATGGAAGACGTAGCAAAAAGAAAAGAGAAGAAAAACCTTTCCGCTTCAGCCGGAAAAAAACAGCGAAGAAAAAAGCAAAAGCAGAAGAAGAAGAAGAAGAAGGCAATGAGGCAGAGGCAAAATTTGCATTCGCTGGACCCGAAACACCTGTTAAACATGTTCCCATTCCATATCCATACTATGCAGGGGGGAAAGAAAAACGCCACACCCTTCTAGTGCACTCGAATTAATTTGGAAGCTGATAGAGCTTGATGAAAGAAGAAGGAGAATTGAAAAAAATGAAGATTGAAAAGAAAACAGGGAAGAAAAAAATAAAAAGAAAGAAGAAAAAAAACGAATTCATGCGTGTCAGCGCCAGCGGGCTGTTCGTCAAGTTTTCATCACTCTCACCACATATTTTGTTCCTTTTTTTTTAATTTCTGCATTTTCTTATTTTTTTCCTCCGTTTTTTCTCATTGATCTTTGTAATCCAGCACGGGGCCAGCTGGGACGTTGGAGCCGGCAATGGCCCTATCATTTGGAAGTGTTGACGATGCATACCAAGTTGGGCCAATGGGATATGTTGGCCCGTAGTCTGGCCCCATTTCGGGGTAATCGAGAACCACACCATTGTTCCCAGGGAACTGGGCAGTGCAGCCGCTCACAGGACCCAAACCAAATCGGGGCATGGGGTGGTTGACAGGAGGGAGACCCGATGGAAATGTGTGAGGCAAAAAAGCCATCGGTGGAAGCTCTGTAGGGAGATATCCTTGAGGGTATTGTTGGATGTGGGAGATGTGGGGAATGTGGGAGATGTGGGAGCTTGAGTGGTTGACTGCATGGCTGGTCTTGATCTTCTTGGGAGGGTGCCCCCATCGGATCCTGTAGGTTCGCGCTGTGAATTACGGCCGGTTGCCTTGGCCGAGCCCTTGCGGTATCTGGTAGTTGATTGGATGCCACCATCCTGAATGGCTGCTGGCGTAAGACGCCAGAAATTAACTGTTTTTTGGCCTGGTCCCATTTCTTCTTTCACGGCCTCGAATCCCTAGATAAAACATAAGTATATGACTGACATGGTGTTTGTAATCGGCGAAGTCCAAGCAATGAGAAAGAGGTGCGAGGGGTCTGTGACTTACTGCATTCATGGAGAGGTTGTGCCGGATGCTGTTCTGCCAGCCCTTATGGTTTGGATCTTTCGCTTTATCGGTGTTGATTTCGAACCATCGATAGATGCCTTGCAAGGAGAGCTTGTTCCCATCGGCACTCTTCAAAGCCCGGTAGATAAGAATGGAGTATGGAAGATTTCCAGCGCGCTCTTTGGTATCTCCGTTGTTCATGCCTGAACCTGTTCTTTCAGGGCTAGGAGCATGGCCAGATTCCGGCGAAGGATACGACGAGTCTGTCGATGTTGATGGCGGAGAGGGTGGTAGGTTTTGCATTGGAAGCATGCCAGAGTAATAGAGCTCTTCCTTAATAGGTGACTGTCGGATGGTTTTCCACTCCGACTTGTCTTCATCAACGTACTCGTCCTTGATCTCTCCCATGGGGCCCATATTCGGGGAATCAATGCCAGGAACGTGGGGTGGGATATCGTGGTGGTTGATCCAGGTGTAGTTACTCGCACCGAGATTTTGGTGAGATAGACCCATGCTGTACTCAGCATCCATCTGGGGATAGAAACGGCTATGCGGAGATGAAGGCACCAAGAGTGGCTGGGAAACCCATCTCGACCAGTCATCTATATTGCAGGGATTATGATGCGGAGTCAAGTTGGCTTGGTAACTGCCAACCGAAGATGAAGGAACTGTTTGTCCCGAGAGGGCACCTGGCCCCTCTCGCTGGTCAGTTGCCATCTGAGCCGAGTTGAAGTTTGAGGAATGATTTGAGGGATCCATAGCTTCTTAAGAGAAGCTTTGTAAGAAGAGTCTTTGATGGGCTGTAGATGAGGATGTGTTTGATAAAGATGAGAAAGGAGAAAGAGTATGATAGAAGTTGAAGGTAAGGGAAGGATACAAAGTAGAAAAGAGAGAAGTCAAGATGGTCTTGTAGAGTAGAAGTACTTCTAATAAAAAATAAATAAAAAAAGGTCCCAACTAGGTCCATTCAATCTTCAAGACCCAGCGCATAGCAGTGAAGGCTCTCCATTCTGCACATAGCCTTGGAGAAGATCAATAGGCCAGACAAAAGACGGTCTGGCCCCAAAGCCTTCCTTGTATCGCTGTATTGTAGAATAGTACAATACTTTTCTACAGAAAACGCCCTAGATGCCCAAAGTCGTGGAACGGAGATTCATCCAGCCAGTGGCCAATGGTTTGACCGGGGGGTGGTTAGAGTGGCTGATCTTGGGTGTGCTACAGCCGAAAAACGAATGGATCTGAGGCACCGAGCAGGTTGAACGGTCAAATGCCCAGTGGGTGCTTGCATATGCTAATTACGGTCATTTTTTGCTGTAATTGTAATTGTGGCTTTTATTTTTGAGGGCAAATCGCATGGATCTAAATCTATGGAGTCTTCTTTTTGGATAATTCCCTTTTTTTTCCCTTTTTCCTTTCGATGAATTTGTTCGCGCTGTCTCCCGGAACGTGTGAATGGCCTCCCCGACATCTGCAGGCTTTCGCCTAGTGACCTGTGGAGGTACATGTCCAGGTAGATAGGCAGTGTTACCAATCGGACTTTGGAAAGAAAACAAAATTCCAAAAAATAAATCCACCTGCTAAAATAGACACACAAGTGAACACTAAAGTACGCCAAGGAAGGGGAGGGGAATGGGGAGGCAATTATCAAGAGCTATATGGCACAAGGCGAGGAAGTATGAAACAGTGCGAGGTCAAATCAAGCATTTGGCATCTTTCAGATATCAAGTTCGGCTTATTTAATCGTGAATATGGGGAATTCTTTCCAGTCCAATCAGCTGAGTGTTCGTTCGTGGTGTTCACTGGATATGAAGTCTCTGGAAAATACACCCCGAAAATCTCCCTGCATAACATCCTCTCCACTCTCCCGATATGACGCCCATGTGGACATCGTTGGTGTTACTTCCGATAATAGATCTAAGACAATTGATCAGTTTTTTGGACGGGAAATATCGTATGGAAGAGATTTCACTTACCCTCTTGAATTGGAAATGAAGCTGAAGAATTCCCTGGGGTTGCGTCAGTTGCGGCACCTGGAGAATATGGTAGCACAACATACCTTGTCAAATGTACTCTTGAAACCCCTCTCACGTTTAGCACTATAGTCCCACTCCTTGTCGACAATCCGGAAGGCGAGATCCTCATACGGGGGTCCAGCCATGAATCGGATAAGACAAGTGTCTTCCTCGCCTGCCTCGGCGGACGACTCACCTCGCTTACGACCGTTCTCACGCTCAATCCGGTAAGTCGGGCCTTTGGTTTTGTCGATCAAATCGGGGTAAAAGATGTTGAACTTGTAACCTTGTACAACCTTGGGTGGCGGGTTGTCATGATCATAGTGAGTTTGGTTGTATTTGTTCCATTCGTACCCCATTTGAACTCGGTTGAAGTATCGTGGTTTGCGAGGCCGGTGCTTGCCCTCCCACTGCGGACGTGAGCTCGTGCTGACGGCCTCTTCGCCGGTAAAGATCTCCTCATTCTCACTAACACCCTTGGCAAGTTCTCTCTCATAAAGGGCTTTAGTGGCTTGCGAGAAGTCTTCATTCGGAATCGAAGAGAACCGTGTAGATGTGGAAGCGGAAGCAGCAGCATTTGTAGATGAAGGGTTTGAGACAACCGCAGAAGACTTTTCTGCCGTTCGCTGTCGCAGTGGGACAAAGCCCATGCGAAGGATTTTCTGGCGTTCACGCGCCTGTAATGATTTAGCATTTAGTCCGGCCATCTTTGACCCGAGGGGAATTGAAACGTACCACATGATCAAGAAACGCCGACTCGTCCATAATTTCCAACCCCTTGTCTTCTGCGCGAACTTGGAACAACGGATCCGGGTCGAGGCCTACAAATTCCGCCGGATTGGCTGTATTCCCATCGATGGTTGGAGCGAGCGGCGCCAGCTTGGCTCGAATCGATTCCGCCTCATCCCTTTGCTGTTTCCTCAATTCGCGGACGCGCTCGTCAATGATATCCTGATATACATTTCTCAATCGTGCCCTGGCCTTCCAAACGGTCAGACTGCGTAGTAATTCTTCCCAGTAGTCTGTATCGATTGGCTCGTTCGAGTTCAATTTCCGTTTTACTTGTACTTCGAGCTTCTGGAGCTGCTCGTATGATTTCGGTCTGAGGAGTTTGTTGATATCGGCAGCGACGGAGCTCAGCGCACGGCCTTCCGGAGTTGCAGTCTTTTGGCGGTCTCGGCAGATAACTTTCATGGTCTGTAATGAGTGCGATTGTCAGCGGAGCCGGAGTTAGATATCGGAGTGGCAATCTCACCTGCCAAAAGTCACGGTTCTGCGGATTCGTTTCCAGGTTCACAAAAGTATCAATATCCTTTTCCAAGTCCCGTAGTTGAGTTTGCGACAAGCCCTCGAACACACCATCCGGGTCCACGACATCGAGGTCACTGTCCGCAATCTCATCGTCCATAGGGTCGCGCGTGGGATCAATCACACGGAGCGTGACCGTCAACCAATCGATGGGCTTCGCGCGTCCTTCTTTAACGCGAATCTCAGCTTTTTTCTTGGCCTGCTTCAAGACGAATAGATCCTCCTGCGCGACCCACTCGCGCTCCTGCTGGTCTTCTTGAAGCATGTTGATCCGGACTTGATCGCGCATATTGCGAGGCTGCGAGGGACCCGATCTCTCATTGTCCCATCTGCGATTTGAGTCTGGTCGGTCGCGCCATTCTCTGTCGTCACGGGGATGCTTCTGCTCGCGCCAGGGTGGCGACCGGGATCGGTCTCGCTGTGAATCTGATCGGTCAGGTTGTCGCGCAGACATCGTCAGGGCGGAATAGTATCTTGGAGTCGGAACAAAGTAGTGGCTATGCCAATACGTGAAGCGCGAGGTCGAAAGGCTCGGGAGATCAGCGGATAAGTCAAGCCTCCGCGGCGTACGGCGAGTTTTAGCGGCTAAACTGTTGCTTATCTGATTGGCCCATGTAATGTTTCTTTGAAGACTCAACGTTTAAAACATACAGCAGTCGGGAAGAGAATACTGGAGACATATGAAAGAAAGAGTTTCAATATAGATCTTTGAGCATATCTGAGCACTGTTTCCACTAACAGAGTGATTGTTAGTGAGGGGAAGTGGAAAGAAGAATTGTGTACATCATCTAGGCCGCTAATGCCGACCGACCAATCTACCCTGCGGCTCTGGGGAACTTCACTCATTAAACTAGTCAACCTCTTGAATCATGCCTCCAAGATGGATTCGTCTTCAACTGCCCAATAAAGATGTGCCTCCCTTGCTTTTCCAATATACATGGACACAACAAGGCTATGAGTTCTATGTAACAGATCTCACCTACATCTGGTCTGAACGGCTGCCTAAGAAGCAAATCATCAAGCGAGCAGAAGAAGATGTTACAACCATCGACCCCGGTGAAGACCCAGAGCAACTCAATGTGCTTCTGGAGAAAATCGGGGAAGCTCTTCAAAATGGAACAGATAGCGTGACGCTAAGCAGCGGGACGCAAGCCGACTCACTCGAAGTCAGAACAACCACCAAACTGCCTGCCCCCCCTGAAGCCTTTGAAGTGGAATTTGATCTTGGCAAAAGAAGAGCCATGCTACTTGACCAGTCAAATGCTGCTTCCGCTTCTCAGGGAGGAGGCCAATTGGGAAGTTCGTCAACGTTCCCTCCTGCAGCAGATCAAACAGAAAGACTCTGTAATCAGCAAGTTCTTGGACAAGATTGAAACAATCGGTGTCGATCTTGGATCTGTTTTCCCCAGCGCTGCAGGCTCTCGGGCGTCTCGTAAGGGCGTCACGCGATCTGAGGCTGCCAGGTTTGTCAAAGGTCTAGAGCCATTCGAGGAACAAAGCTGGCTTGCCGAAGCTGGGTCATCTGATGGGGCCGGATTAGCCACCAATCTACTCCAGGAACTCGCAGATCCTGGTGAGTCTCACGACGACTCGGCGACCGACCGCCAGGGATGGTGGTGTCAGCTTACCAGGTCCCCTGAGGCAACGCCGATCCATGACAAAAAGAATGAGCAAAAAGCCCCACAGAAGCAAGTTGATACTGAAGTGGAGTCCACAGCAAGCAGTGATGAGGACAATGGTGATTTTCAGGTAATTCACATTTCTTTTCAGCCATGTGTTTTCTATCGACTGACTCCCTTTTCTAGCGACAAGAAACACCTCCTCGCCTTAAGTCGCAACCAGCAAAAAGCAACCGCTCACCACCTGGACAAAATTCTAGAAAGAAGATTCCGTCACCAGCGCCATTGCCAGTTGAACCAGAAGATGAATCCACTGCGTCAGATTCCGACCCAGAGCCGGAACCGCGCCGCAGCCGTATTCCAACTGTGTCTAAGTCGCCGGAACCCCCGGTTCCAAAGCCCCAGGAGGAGCCCAAGCGCAAGAAGGGTGGACTGGGTGTCATCGGTGGTAAGAAATATCAAGCTGCAGAGCCATCTGTTCCTCCACCGCAGCCTCGCGACTCCCCAGGGCTTCGAGACACCCGGGCATCACCAGAGCAAAACATAAGGAGCGAGGATCCTCTCCCAGTGTCTTCAACAATACCATCGGCGACGACTACGGTCAAACGAACCGGAAAGCTTGGCATGATTGGTGGCAAAGCCAAAGCCAAAGCCAAAGACCCAGTTCCACATGAGGCTTCTCCGCCAGTGCCTGAGACGCAGGTCCCATCTCCCAGCCAATCCTCTCCCATCAAGCCGAAGGACATACACGGAGCCACTGCAAAGGTAGTCCAGAAAGAAGAGACTCCATTGCCGGAATTTCCTCCTGCTGAAGCCCCTGCTTCTGTCCCGCCTGCAGAGCTTGAAACCGACGAGCAGCGTGCTGATCGGAGGCGTGAGGAGCTGAAGCGGTCACTAGAGGCTAAGAGCAAGGTGCCTGCAAAGAAGAAGCGCAGATTCTGAGTATCTACATGAATCTCCATATTCAATTTCTACAGATTACTCTGTTCGGGGCTGGATAAGATTCCCCACAAGTAGACAGCAGTTCGTGGTTCGGTCGTCGTCTTTACAACTATGCCCACCCCAGTCGATCCATTGTCCTCTGGCGATTCCACGGCTGATCACCATTCCTGAAAAAGGCTATTAGCTGGTATTACAGGGTTGAACTGGAGAAGTGACCCGAATCATAGCAAGATAGTATGGCATGGGACAAATGTCGTAGACCATATGAACCGCCTTCCATCTACAGCCTCAACCTCACAGGTCATTACCCAAGATTTTTGGTGCTTCCATGGGTTGCCCCTAGACTCTAGACTTGATTGCACATGTGCCCATCTTTGCTGAGTTTCTGCACCTGATCGCAGCCCCAATCCCGTCAAACGGGAAAGCTATGAGGTCCGGGTATCTGTCGCAGATCTGACGCTGGAAAGTCAACATAACCAGACCTGATATACCGAGCTATCAGAGTGCACAGCGTCACTGCTAGCCCCGATCGCCGCCATCCGATGGGCTTGGTTGAGTCATTCCTATATCACTCAGACTCAGAGTGAAAGCTGATCCCCAATCCCTAATTCTCTGTTCACGGCTTAGCAAACACTTCCATTTCTCGACCAATCATGATGATTTGACAATTAGTTGGAACCTTGGATGGACAGTTCAAAAGACAGTTCAAAAGACAGTTCAAAAGACAGTTCAAAAGACAGTTCAAAAGACAGTTCAAAAGACAGTTAGAGAGACAGTTAGAGAGACGATTAGAGAGACAGTTAGAAAGAAAGTCAAAAAAAGGCCCCGAAGTTGATGAAAGCTCTCTTCCGTTACCAATCGAAATATGAGATTAAGCGAATACATAACTACGCCTGTGTATAAGCAACTATCGTCGTCTTTTGGCCGCGCGTGAGCGCGGCACTGAGGCTTGTTGTGTCTATGTTAATGTTGATATCATCTACCAAGGGCACAAGTTCATTCAAAGTAACACTGGATCGCGATTGGGGAATCAAATCGAAACAAAATACAAATAAGGAAAATACAAGGGGAGAAAAGAAAAAGTCGTCACGCAAACCGAATCCACGTGTTCACGTTGCGTTAACCAAAATAGGCAATCCAGAATCTCAAGGAGCAGCCGTTCTCAAGAATGCGTCATTTTGTTCTTCCTGCTCATTCGGCGTAACCAGGCGCACGCGCTTGGGCGACATAGCGCCCGGTGAGACGGGTGCCGGGGAGGAACCGCTATTATTCGTAGAAGTGATAGGACCAGCACCGCTACCACCGGAAGCGGCGGCCACGCCAGCTACACCGAGCATGCCGCGGACCTTCTCAACGGCTTTGCTTTCACCCTTTGTCCACGGGTCACGTTTGACGAGGCCGGCGCCGGCAGAGCGACTTGAAGAGTCACGACGCTTGGATTCAGCTTGCAGGGCTTGGCGGTTGGAATCGCGACGTGGACCGGGCCCACAGTCATGCGAGCAGCCAGCTGTGGCACACCCGCCTTCGCTGATTGAGATGTCGCCTAGCCAGGTTGTGATACAAGCTAGATGACCGCCGTGGCCGCAGCCTTGGCACCAGGTCCAGAGGGCGGAGCCTTGGAGTCGAGGTGCGGTGAAGGGCTCAAGGTCTTGAATCTCCGAGGCGGGAACTGGTTCGGTGGGAACGGAGGATTGCGATGAAAAGCTTACACCGCCACCGGTGTCTGGGTCGGGACTGGTGAGGGTGGATGATGTGCTTTGTGGCAACTGCTGGCCTGCTACCCACTCTGGGGGTGGGTCAAGGCTCATACAGATGGAACATGCTGCTTGTGGCGTGCTGCACCGATGGCACCGCGTGTTGTCTTGTGTTGGGTTCTCAAATGGTCGTTGGCAGGTGTAGCAGTAAACGTTGATGAAGGAATCTGATTGGGCGTAATCATAGACGGCTGGGTACGTCGAGACGCAAGACAAACGGAGCTCCGCTGCCTCTAGATCCATCGAATGCCGAATCAAGTGCTCATTGTAAGTCTTGAACACCATCTCGCACTCCTCATAGGGGAGAATTTCCTCGCAGTCTTGGAACAGAATATGAAGCTTTTGAAGCAGATGGGCAGCAGTCTGTATATCTACAGAGCTACTGCTGCTGTGGTAGTATCGAACTGCCTCTTGCAAAATAGCCTCAACGCCCCACGGCTTTAGATCTTTGCCATCCGAAGAAAGTGGTATTTGAACCCGCGAGATTCCATCAATTGTAGAGTTGGGGATGCTGCTCATGTAGGGAGCACCCTCTGTGGGGAAGTGGTCTACTTGTGCATCAAGCGGCGTTGATTCTTTGATCAACGGCGGAGGGCTAGATGGGCGCTCCAAGTGAAGTCGTTCCATTTCCATGGATACCTCGTCTGGTATCTCATCTTCTGGTTCCTCCCGAGTGGAGGCCAGGTTTGATTCTCGCCTCAATCCGTTGGTCCGAATGGCGGATTGCGCAGTATCTTGGAACTTAGAGGGATCGAATTGTCCGGTAGATGAATACGACGCACCCGCGGACTTCGAAGGATGAGAGCTGTCTGTAGAGGTAGAGAACATTGGAAAGCTCTCTGAAGAGTCACGACGGCCATAGCGTTCAACGGCTGGGGGGCGATTAGATTCCATTGGCGATTCAAGAGTTAAAGGCTTCTTCGGATAATTCTTGTAATCACGAATCGCGGCTCGCTTGTCCTCGATATTTTGATCAAAATCATCCTCGGAGTTTTCTCGAGGAAACTCAGGATGCCCTCGCCGGCGCCATTCTGCTTTACCGGCGATTGCCCGCGGTGCAGATCGTTGATCGCCGTCCATGTCATCTCGAGATGGATCTCTGAGCCGATCAGAAGCCTGTGTATCATCCAGTGGTGATACTCGTCCTCGTGGGAGGGCTCGGTGGCGAGTATCGGGATCAGACATGGCCCAGCCGTTCTGGTCGCTCAGAACCGATGGCGGCAATGGGTCAAGGTCGATTGCACCATCACTTAACGAGGGAAGTTGAGAAGCAATTTGGGAATCGGTACTAGACCATGAGTCTTTTGGGGAGTCAGGCAATGGTTGTGCAAGCGGTGTAGTCATGTTGGAGGTGCTCTCAGACTCAGGGACCGCTTCCATGACTCCTTTAAACAGTCGGCTCTTGACCCTGTCCTGTCGGCCATCTTCAATTCTGGATCTGTCAGTCAACGATCCGTCCTTGGATGATCTGTCTTTGAGAGAGCCTTTGGTCGGATTCTCCCTGGTTCTTCGTTGTAGCTCTTCAATAATGGCGAATCTGACAATCCTCCATGTCTGAGCCAACTTGTCTAAAGATAGCTCATCTGCACACTCGGCATTATGATCTAGAGACTCGATTAAAGAGTTCAAAGTCTCGACATGGGATTTTGATTCACGATTCTCATCCATGAGCGAGGTGTAATGGCTTGCCAGATACCGGAAAACTGTTTGATCATTGGTGGCACCTGGGATATTGGCGATCATTCCAACCTGACTAGGTCCCGCGGTCATAATCTTGGCAAGGCCTTCGTCCAAGGGGAGCACTGGAATCAAATCCACGGCTACAGGCGGAGTACTGCCCAAAGACTTGGAGGGTCGAATCGCAGCTGATTTTGACTGTGCTGGCCGAAGCGAGGACGCAAGAACAGCTTCGTCGAAAGTATCCTCTGCGGGGCTTTGATTCAAGGATTTCTCCTCGCTCTCATCCACCCCTTCCTCGAGGTGAAGTAATTCAGCAACATTAACGCCCCGGGCGCGCCGTCTAGGTCGTGGCTGGCCAAATGCCACAAAGTCTCCATTGGGGCTCCACGCTACCGAGCACATCGGTCGGCGAGTGACCACAGTTGGCGCATATCGAACATCGGTTTGCGTAAAGGCACCAGCCTCGCCCACTGTCCACAGCAGATCTTTCGAGCGCCAAAGCAGATCGGTCGCTGGGTCGTCGTACCGATCAAACTCGCGGAATGGAACATGCGGACGGCGCAGATCCCAGAGGTGAACACGTGGATCTTCCTTATCGTAAGAGGTAACGACCTGTGATGATTGCCATTCTCCCGAAGCAGGCGACTCGCCTACCCAGGAAGGAGGTCGCCATCGCACATTGGTGACCGCCTGGGGTGTTCGGAACTGAAACGCAGGTTTCTGCCGTCGCTCTGCAGACGAAGAGAAATCCCAGACTTTGACCTGGCGGTCCGTGCCACCGCTGACAACATGCTTCCCATCCGGGTGCCAGTCGACGGCGAAACACGGGCGATCGTGGGCGGCAATTCTCATCAGCGGGGCATTCACTTTGCGATAATCCCACATCTGGATGGCGCCGCTGTCCGAAGCGGTCGCGAAAATAACCCCATCTGTGGGGGACCACCGGACGTCTCGGATGGAATCACTATTGCCCTGGTACGAATGCTTGCTGCCGCATGTGGAAGTGCCCCTATTCGCAGACGCGGTGCGCAAATCCCACATTCGAATTGTGCCATCTTGGCTCCCAGACAGAAGCCAAGAAGGAAGATGGGGGTTAAAGGCGAGCTTGTGAACCTGACGATTGTGCCCCTGGAAGCGACATAATTGGAGGCCGGGCCGCTGTAGGTCGTAAACGACAATCCGACCATTGGCGACTGCAGTTGCGATTATCCGGTCATGATTGCCATGTGACCATTTCACATCGTTGACATTCAATTGGTCTTTGTGTGGCATTGAGACGCCCGTGTTATGGTGGGTGGACGCATAGCTAATGACCGCATTGCGAATATTGAACTCCTCTGAAGAGTGATCTGGCGAGACTCGAATGGTCTTGAGGATCTCCTTGCCGCCGATGACCGCATGTGTCCGGTCGGGTGAGATGTCCAAGGCGGAAATGGCGATACCGGTTTTATGAGTGACGGTCTGCGGTTCTCCTGGACTTTTGTTTACGAACGAGCGCCGTTAGAACCCAAGGTTTCCATTGGTTGATAGTGATACCGTTCCCCGATCACACTAGCTCCGATGACATCAAATGGCGGGGGTGTGCATTCAAGACCCTCACTTTCACGTCAAGGGATGTGGGCAGGGAGGTCTAGCGGTGAGGGTGACTTACAGTGATTTAGACCTGATTGACCGGGTCCCATCCGCGCGACTGCTTTGAGGGCTAGGTGGCCTGGAGCCCGAGAAGAACGGTTGGGCGAAGCGAGCTAAGGCATTGGCGGCGCGGTTCGAGTACTTGGGCGGAGGCGGAGGAGGGGGAGGGACTGACGAACGCGAACCTGAGAGGTTCGACATCATTGACAGGGCTCCATTCTGGCACACGACCAGTGACCGAATTGGAGATAAAGAAGCGGAGAGTTGGAGATCGTCAAGGGCGCAAGCGGTGAAGGAAGAACCCTGAGGCACCCCTCTCGTCACTCACTATAACTAGGGTTGTTCTACGCACTCTCCGTATACCAACGTTCAGACTGTCCAATGACATCTTCACTTCAGGCTTACAAGGTTAGATTAGGTAGTCGTACCTTGAACATTTTGATTGTCAAAAATGCACCTTTTTACCTCCGAATTGTCACTTCATCGGGCCGAAACACTTGTTAAGAGCGGTCTAGAAGACAACACATGAGAGGGATCAGATTCGATCTTCGAGGGTTGATTAATTTGTAATTTTTGTGTGTTTTCTTCTCGGAACGTGTCTAGTTAACAAAGTACGACCAGGGTAGTCAATTTTTGGACCAACTATATAGCGACGATGTTAATTCGATTGTCTCACACCAACCGGGGGATCGGGAGGTGGGACGCGAAACACATGGAGAATTCATAGATCGAGTGGCCACACCAGAATTGCGCCCCTGGAGTGCCACCGAGTGAAAAGGGCCAGGCGTTATGAGACATCAATCATCTCCAGCTAATCAGCTCTAGGGCTATATGCCAATGCAAAGCTCAGACAACAAAAAGTGCCGAAGCAAGCTGTAGTCACACATCGATGGAAATCTAGATGATCTACTCCGCACAGATATTAATATAAAAATTATATATATCACCAAATGTGAATACCTCTAGGACCTCGGGATCTGTGGGCGTCATATATAAATTGACATGCCCCGGAGAGGTGCACTATTTTACGAAGTACTTCCAAGGTTATATTTTGCTTTTTTTACACATAGTTTTCTTGTTGTGAAGTCATCACCTGGGCAGACCTATGCGAGGATTATTTGGATTGTTCTCGATCTAAAGATCGACAGTTTCCATTCTCTCCCTTCACTTCAGGACGATTTGAACTCCGACCATCGGGCAGAAAGACCAGGCGATGTGAAGACCCGAGATTATTTCGGAGACAAACAAACCCAGAACGTACGGAGTATACGGAGTACTGTGAAGGGAGTATCAAAAGCAGGGTTAAGAGGTAAGAGATCCCTCACTGTGTGGGTACCCTACTGCACTGCTGCAATCCACACCGTCATTCCGCTCATCCTACCTGTGATTCGTCCTATTCTCTTTATTTTGTGACTTTTTTTATGACCTTTTTTTCTCAACCAGATTTTATATCTGGACTGGACTCCATCGTGAAAAAAAAATAGAAACACGAAATTTTCCTTCCGAGCCGAAAAGTTTAAGCTCGTTATAATCCTGTCGTTCTGATCTGCTTGATTCTTTCATTTTTCATTTAAAGTCATCTGTTTCTATTTTCATATTTTTCATATTTTTCCACATTTTCCTTACCCATTTCCTATTTCTTCTCCTATATCGCGACGTAATTTACTTATTTTTTTGGTGCACAAAGCTTCGAGTCCACGTGGAGACCTGTTGCCTCCCCGCGTCACATTATCCCATTCCTCGCGTCGATCCTTCGCCATACCCGTCCAGTCCTTTCCGATCCGAACCACACCTCCTTAGCTCTTGTCATGGAACTCGTTTAGAGTCCCTTTCTTATCTCTATGGATTCCCACGCAGCCCTTGAGCTGCTGGAGTACTTGCGCATATGCTATCCTATCTTCCTCTTAATCCTCTTTGTCATCGCCTTCATCACGAACACCGTCCTCATTGCAAAGAAAGCCCGCAATGATGAATCGCAGGGCTTCGGCCCCGGTGGCAGACTTCTCCCCCAACGATCCCGCAGTGTTCCTTACAAGCCGCGAGAGTTCTCGCGGAACGTCAAACGACTGTTCACCTTCCTCTCCGCAGCCATCCCTCTCACTTTCGTTGCCGATGCAACTATCTATATCCTACATGTCATGACCGCAAGGTCAGAGAATTGGTGGCGAGGTCAGCCTGCAGTGGTATGTTCCCTCATGATTCCTTCGAGCTTTTTGATGTAGCAGTGGCTGACTATGCTCCTGGGAACAGATTTACATTGTCGGCTCCTTCTTCGTCTACGCAGTGCTGCTCATGGCACTGTTGGACACAACACCATCTCCTACAATCGCCCAATTTGTGTGTTGGTCCGTCGCCATCCCCATTGAATTGGTGATTCTGAGCACGTCCCTCTCGATCTATACCTCAGTGCACCATGAGCCAATTGTTGGAAACCCAGAAGGTGGGCGGCTTCGCAAAGGCATCACCTTTTGGGAAATCCTGGAGGTCGGATCCATCAGTCTGCGAGTTCTCGTGTTATTCACACTAGTCGTTCTTTATGCTTGTCAGATCATGAGCTTGAAGAGCCACGAGAAGGCAAACCAGCGGGCCAACGAAGCCACAGAAGCCACAGGACTCCTGGACTCAGGTAGAACCGAAAATGGCAACGGTAATGGCCACACCAATGGCAATGGAAATGCAAACGGAGCAAATGGTCACGGATATGGCTCAACAAATGGAAACGCTCGTCCTGAGGCTCCGAAGCCTGATCCGTGGGTGCGTCCGACCACTGTTCCTTCCACCAGCTGGTGGGAGTATCTTGCTGGATACTCGCTCTTCTTCCCTTACTTGTGGCCATCCAAGTCTCGCCGGCTGCAAATCGTCGTCTCATTCTGCTTCCTCCTGCTCCTGGCCCAGCGAGCCGTCAACGTTTTGGTGCCGCACCAAGTGCAGGTCATCACCGACTCCCTCGGCAAAAACGAGGGTGAGACCTTCCAAGTGCCATGGTTCCAAATATGCCTTTATGTGGTATATCGGTGGTTGCAGGGAAACCAGGGATTGCTCAGTTCTCTGCGATCCAGCCTCTGGATCCCCGTGAGTCAGTACTCCTACATGGAGCTCTCAACTGCCGCCTTCGAGCACGTGCATGGCCTCAGCTTGGACTTCCACCTCGGTAAAAAGACAGGAGAAGTCTTGTCTGCACTGAGCAAGGGCAGTTCCATCAACACCTTCCTGGAGCAGGTCACCTTCCAGGTCGTACCGATGCTCGTCGACCTTGTCATTGCGTTCGTGTACTTCTTAGTTGAATTCGATGCCTATTACGCTTTGGCTGTCGGTATCTCCACATTCGGCTATCTTTATGTCACAATTCGGATGGCCCAATGGAGAGCTGAAATTCGCAGGCAAATGGTGAATGCTTCAAGACAGGAAGATGCCGTCAAGTGAGTTTGAACGAAGCCGATGAGGAGTTTGGTGGGAGACGCAATACTGACACAGCTTTTCCAGGAACGACTCGATGGTTTCATACGAGACTGTCAAGTATTTCAATGCCGAGCAGTATGAATTTAACAGGTACCGTGGTGCCGTTGGTGACTACCAAAAGGCTGAATATCATGTTTTGTTTTCCTTGACACTGCTGAATACTTGTCAAAATACAGTATTCATGATGGGTCTTTTGGTGATGTGCTTTATCTGCGCATACCAGGTCTCGATTGGCCAACGCCCCGTGGGAAAGTTCGTGGGGCTCCTTACCTACATGGTGCAGCTTCAAGGTCCGCTCAACTTCTTCGGTACTTTCTATCGCTCTATCCAGTCGGCATTGATCAATGCCGAGCGTCTTTTGGAATTGTTCCGCGAGCAGCCAACCGTGGTCGATAATACTCGTGCTACTCCATTGGCAATGTGCAAGGGCGATATCAAATTCGAAGATGTGGAATTTGCCTACGATGCGCGAAAGCCCGCCCTGAATGGTCTTACATTCCACTGCCAGCCTGGAACCACAACTGCCCTAGTCGGTGAGTCTGGCGGAGGCAAGTCCACTGTCTTCCGCCTGCTGTTCCGGTTCTACAACTCCGAGAACGGCCGCATTCGCATTGATGGACACGACGTCCAAGATATCACCATTGATTCGCTTCGCAAGCACATTGGTGTGGTACCCCAGGACACTGTACTTTTCAACGAGACTTTGATGTACAACCTGAAGTACGCCAACCAGGAAGCTTCTGATGAAGATGTTTACGAGGCCTGTCGTGCCGCCAGCATCCACGACAAGATCTTGGCGTTCCCCGACGGCTACAACACCAAGGTCGGAGAACGTGGACTACGACTCAGCGGAGGTGAGAAGCAACGCGTGGCTATTGCCCGTACGATAATAAAAAACCCTCGTGTTATCCTTCTGGATGAGGCTACCGCTGCATTGGATACGGACACAGAGGAGCATATTCAAAGAGCCCTCTCAACACTGTCAAAGGGTCGTACTATGCTGGTCATTGCTCACCGTCTCAGCACAATCACGACGGCAGACCGCATTTTGGTTCTGTCCGAAGGCCAAGTGGCCGAAAGTGGTACACATGAAGAGCTTCTGGCCATGAAAGGCCGATACGCCAGCATGTGGCGGAAGCAAATCCGAGCGCAAAAGGCAGCAGCGGAAGCACAGGTTCTCCAAGATCGAGCCGAGCGAATCCGCACTGCAACCACCAGCGATGACAGCTCGAGCCAATCTGACGAAGACCGGAAGGTCGGCGCTCGTCGAACCAATTAAATTAACAATGCCCAACAAAATCAGGGCTCAAGATTGACTCTGACTTTTCATGTTTCAACATGTGCATACGCGTTCTTATACGTTTTGTTTCTCCTAGTTTTTTTGCAGAAAAGTTCGAAGAGGCAGTAATGATCGGAGGTAGCTTGGACTGGGGCTAACTCCCCAGTCTGTGGGTTGAAATGCCTCTTGCTCTTTCAGTTTTCGGTTCGTTCACTTTCTTAAGGTTTGTCTCGTTCCTCCATTTCATGTTGGCGTTTGGGGTCCACGATGCGTACGATGTCATTTTCCTTGTTGTCTTGCCTCTTGTCCTTGTTTCATACGAACCCAGACGCAGAGGGTCAGGGTTGGGACTCCTGCAAAATCAAAATAGATTAACTGCTAGGCTCAATATTAATATAAGATTTCAGTCCATGTGCATGACTAGCGTTGATCAAAAGTACTGCCATCAGATCTTCAGGACGGGGGCCAGACCTGTGCTCTACTCGTGAGAATGGTTCTACTCGTACTAGCCTCTTTTGTACCTCACATCCCCGAAATGAAGTATACGAAGAATTAGACACATAGACTTATTGGAAACTTGCTCATATGACGCTGTTGCAAGCCCTAGAGATTGTGTACTGACTTTGCAGAAATGACAAGGGTCCCAAGGTCAGCTCTTAGCTCATTGATAGGGCCTTGGTCCACTACGTATCTCCGCCAAGACCTGGACCCAGAAAGCTTTACCTGCACTACAACCCAGACAGCATCACCACCTCACATCTCATATACCTTAAATCGACATACAGACCTACACACACACCATGAAATCACCATCTCCTCAACTCCTCCGCGCACTGCGCACCTCGTTAACCACCACTCCCAACCTCACCCGGTTTTCCGCCATCCCATCAATCGCTTCTCCATGCCGTGCCATCTCCAGCCCAGGCGCTGTCCTCCCATCAGCACGACGCAACAACAGCTCGACCGTACGACCAAGTCGCATGGTCTCGCGTGCGCACGCTCACAAACCCACAAGCCGCGATCGGGGTCCGGAGTCGCAGGAAGATACCCAGACAGACTTCAATGCGCTGAATGTACTGGGTAATATCCCTGCGCCGACCACGGCAATCGACGCATGTCTCGACTCTGGCTTCCATCTTAACAATGGAGTCAAGGTTAGCAACGGCGATGGAGTGTTGCTTGTTGGTGGCGAAGCTTTCGCGTGGCGGCCGTGGAAGGCCGTCGAGGGGGCTGAGAACGACAATGCGGCAAGAGACTCGATGCTCAATGCCAAGGGGCAGTTTGAGCTTGATGAGTCGGTTTGGGGCCTGTTGGATCTTGTGTGGCCGAAGCCTGGTATGTCCATTATCTGTTGCTCATCTTTTCGTATGCCGCTGAGTTCGGGCATACAATTGATCTGATTAATTGCAAGATTACAAGATTGCTAATGGATATTTTTGCTCGCAGATATGCTCATTCTCGGCCTTGGTGGCTCGATGTTCCCGCTTTCGCCCGAGACCAAGCGTCATATCAACTCGCTGGGTATTCGGGTTGATATCTTGGATACCAGAAACGCGGCCGCGCAGTTCAACCTGCTTGCTACGGAGCGTGGTGTCACTGAGATTGCTGCTGCAATGATTCCTATTGGATGGAAGGCGCGACCTCTCTAAGTTCTGAGCTGTCTGGTGGATGGCATGTCTGGTAATTGACATAATTCAGCATATGGCGTTAGCCGATATATAATTAGACATATCTCATGTCCACCCGAACCACGTAGCACGATATATTTCCAAAAGGATCTTGCGATGTTACCCCAAAAAACAGCGATGCAGGAACGTGACGTATCATGTGAGCGCTTGGCCGCTAATCTTATCGCACCTCCGCCTTCAGGGCCCGGGGTCCACTTGGCCCAACGCAAGGTCGCAATCGAAGATCGTGGTCTCGTGCACCTTTCTCCTTCTCTCCTTTCCCATAATACTATACTCGATTTGACCGCTACGACTCGGTACTGTCTGTAATCCAGCCATGGCGCGAGAAGAGCCACTCTTGGCTCCGCGCCCGTCCTCCGACGGCTCATCGATCCGAAACGAAGAGGAGGAATTCGCCCTGCTGACCGGCGAGCGCACGGCTCACAGAGCCGAGAAACAACGAGGCTGGAAATTCTGGCGGGAGATTGGGTTGTTTGCCTGGGCACTACTTGCGACCATCCTGGTGATTGTGCTGGCTGTCGTCTACCAGCACAAGCCAGCGGAGATCCACGGCCCCAGCCATGACTCCAAAAACATCACCTGGGGCCCCGGGGGGCAAGCCAACGGGCAAGCGGAATGTGATCTTCATGGTTTCCGACGGCATGGGGCCCACGAGTCTCTCGCTTACTCGGAGCTTCCGGCAATACACAGAGGATCTGCCGATCGATGACATTTTGGTTCTGGATCAGCATTATATCGGAACGTCCCGCACACGTTCAAGCTCTAGTTTGGTCACGGACTCAGCTGCTGGGGCCACGGCGTTCTCGTGTGGTCGTAAGAGTTACAACTCTGCTATTTCGGTGACTCCTGACCATGCGCCTTGCGGGACTGTGCTTGAGGCTGCCGCTTTGGCGGGCTACAAGACCGGATTGGTTGTGACTACTCGTCTGACGGATGCCACTCCAGCTTGCTTCGCTGCTCATGCTAACTTGCGAAGCTATGAAGATCTCATCGCTGCCCAGGAGGTTGGAGAACACCCTCTTGGTCGTGTAGTGGATCTTATGCTTGGAGGTGGACGTTGCCACTTCTTGCCGAAGTCACAGAAAGGAAGCTGTCGTGGTGATGATCACGACCTCGTTGAAGTTGCTGGCAAGAATGGCTTCGGTTACATTGATGATCGTGCCGGGTTCGATAGTCTCAAGGGAGGTGACAATGTCAGCCTGCCTTTGCTTGGTCTTTTCGCTGGTGGAGACATCCCATACGAGATCGATCGCCGCACTCAGAACGATGTCTACCCTTCTTTGGAAGAGATGACTCGCACTGCTTTGAAGGCCTTGAGCAAAGCCACTGAAGACAGCGAGCAAGGTTTCTTCATCATGATTGAAGGTTCTCGCATCGACCATGCCGGTCATGGGAATGACCCTGCTGCGCAGGTGCACGAGGTCCTGGCATACGACAAGGCCTTTGCTGCCGCATTGGAGTTTGTAGAGAACGACTCCACCCCCGGTGTGATTGTCAGCACGTCTGACCACGAGACTGGTGGTTTGGCTGCCGCCCGCCAGCTGCACAAGAGCTACCCCGAGTATCTGTGGCTTCCAAGTGTGCTGGACAAGGCAAGCCACTCTGGCGAATACCTCGCCGCTCGTTTGAGCGAATATCTTTCCGGGGCTGGTAAAGACCACAAGGACTCAGCGAAGAAAGAATGGGTCCGGAAGAACCTCATCAAGGAAGGACTTGGTATCACTGACGCTTCAGATGCTGAAGTTGACGCCTTGGTTCACCCAGAGCCAGAAGTTGGTCCTTCCTATGTGTTCGCTGATATGATCAGCCGTCGTGCGCAAGTTGGCTGGAGCACCCATGGACATTCCGGTAAGATATCGTCCCGATGTAATATTTTGTACTCTGTTAACTTTGACATAGGTGTTGATGTCAATATCTATGCCTCTTCTTCCAAGGACGCTTGGCCGTTGGTAGGTAACAATGAGAACACCGATGTTGGTGCTTTCCTGGCAGACTATCTTGACCTCGATGTCAACAATGTCACAAAACTGCTCCAGGATACCAAGACTGGAATTTTCCAATCATATGACTGGATGGGTGATCGTCTTGGGTTGAACTTCCACGCCGAAGGGCTAGACACCTACCACGGGGACTTCAGAAAGCGATCTGAGGACGACTGTGGATGTGGCGCGACCCACTGAAGCTCGTGAAGGCTCAATCTTTGTCATCTATCTCGAGACTTCCTTATTCTATCATTTTTAAAGATCATGGACAGGCGTGAATTTTCGGCTTTTTTTCTTCAATTTACATCATTCATTAAGATTTCAATCCCCACACTTCTTCTAGCCGTACAAGAGCAAAGTATGCCTTTCTCGTCATCTTTCATCTCACATCAAAGCAACTTAGTCCAACATTTAGGTCCAACATATCAAATTCTCTCCTTCGCTGCCACCACCTCCACCTCATCACGTGCACTGCAGTTAGGGCACACCTCCAACAAGTCCACTATCCTCTGTACAATGTTTGTTCCCACGAATGCGCCGTAAAGTCGCTCATCCAAGACGATTTGTTGATTTGGCTCCGGCGTGAAAACGTACGGCTCGCAGACAGGACAATATGGATCAAATGGCAAAGCATGATTCTCACGCTCACTTGTGTCATTTATGCGATTGAGCTGGGCGAGAGTCCGATGACAGAACAGATAAAGCTCGAAGCATGTGTGTTTGCATTGATATTGGATCTCGACAAATAGGCACATGGTAAAACTGATGGAGACGGTTGGACCCCTGTTGCTGAAACTTGTTAGATTGGCTACATGACATGGGTCCAGGTGTTTTACGTTGGCTGAAGAGTATACCTTGGTGTGATGGCCTGGACAATTCGTTTTCTGCTTGTGGCTTGTCTTAGGGCAGGCTGTTCGATGTTAGATATGAGGTTACTTCACGTCGTGGACAGAAGATCTGTTGGGATTGAGACCTTGGTCTATATCAAGCGATATTGCGCAATGACATGTCTTGATGATATAGCCATCGCCCCCTCAACTGGTGATGGCAGTGTATTATCTTGGAAAATGAAACAAAAGGCACTGAGATAAAGGGCTTTCAACTCTACTATCAAACTTGAAAACACTGTGAATGCCGTTATCGTTGAAGTCTTCAAATAGAAACTGACAGCTATAATTCATATAAACGCATCTAGGGCCCTGTTCGAGTCTCTCATCTATCATTTTGGAAACAGTCCTTATCCTCTCTCGGAGATCATCGGCTTTGGCAGTCCTGGAGGTGACCTTCAATGTTAGAATTAACGAGATGTCCACTCTTTGAACTTCTCGTGTCACACAAGAACATAAAGGATGATATGGATATAAAAACCCTTTTACACGGTTTGATCCTTAAGCAAGTTACCACAGATTTAGTGGTAGTAGGACCCCCAAAAACAAAACACTGGGGCTTAGCATTTCTTCTTTTGGGGCTCCATATACGAGAATCCCTCGAGAGTTGACCTCGAACCCACGTATCATGCATCGTATTAAACGTAGCCAGCGTCGTCCTGGGTCCTATTGCTGCCTGTTATCCCCGAAGTAGGCATGATCAAAGATCTCCATGTTGGAATAATCATGAAAAACGTGTTCAATCGCCTGGCAGCCCGCTTTGCAAGCCTGCTCCCCTTCACGTCTCCACCTTTTCGCTTCTGCGAACTCGACATCGTTGCCTCGCTTCATTCAACTCTTTGCAAACACGGTAACCCGTCTGTTCTGTAAGTCCGACTGAATATTCCAAGGCGATGTGAATGCGCTGCCAGGAGCAGTCTTTCCTGATCGCATCGCAGCCCCAACCCCATTTCCCTTTCACCCCAAAACATTCAATCGTTCACGCACTGTCTTCCATCACCACTGGGTTTCCTAACTGGTAATATTGCGTCAGCGACTCTAAGCATCTTCAACCATTCCAGCGTCGTGAACGCGGCAAATTTTTCAGTGGAAGGTATTCATCCCATAACCCGACCCATTCGTCTCGAGCCCATACTGACCAGACCATTCAATATGCAGAGACGTGAGCACATCGGCCTGAAAGGCAAACTGCCCATCATGGATATCCACAAGTGGGCCGAGACGAAGAAGCACCTGGATCTTCTCGGCAAGTACATTGCAGTTCTCGTCAGAGCGGCCCAGAAGACGGGACAGCCGTTTGAAAACTTCCATCCGCACGAGATTTTGGGCTATTGTCAGTTGCGATGGGAGGAGCGCCGTCTTCAGAAGTATCGAGATGCCGTCGAAATATCATTCGCCTCTGCCAGATACCAACCTTGCGCGACCCCCTTCGAGGAACTCAACAAGGTCATGATCAAAGACTTGCGTTGTGAGATCCGAAGCTTGGACTCGTACATTCTCGTCAGGAAGTTCAGCGAGACAAATCGTCGTGTCGAAATGTCTGCACGGCTGATGATTGTCCAAGACGAAGACGGCAACCTAGTCGTCCTGGAAATCCCGCCTGAGGCTTTTGATGCCCATAGCGCTAGACTCGAAAAGGAGATGATGCTACTTGTGAAGCAGCCCTCCCTGAGGTACATCGAGCACGGGGTGTACCAGATCAAGGTTGATCACGTTTCCGATATCGCTTTTATCGCGGCATGCGACGAAATGGTACCTTTGCGTTGGAGGCAGGGGGGCATCCAGAATATCTCCGAATGGAGCGCCGATCAATGGCTTGATAAAGTCAACCAGCAGAGATTGGTGGACGCGCATGGCTCTGTAATTGCATGGTATGAAGCCCCAGACAATTGCTTGTTGATCAGACAGACTAACCTTGCGAATAGGTGCACCGAAGCCCTAAAGGAGCTTTCCATGCCTGATTCGGACCTCTCGGACTTCCTATTCCATCGATCGTTCGCACGCTTCCGCATGAAGCAGCATCAAGATGCTCTGGACGATATTAACCGATCCATTGGTAGCAAGAGCGCCATTGAAAATCACCTGCGCATCAAGACAGCTATTTTCTATGGTGCTCAGATGTACCAAGATTGCATCGACACGCTCAAGAAGCTGCTTGAGATCGTTCCGGGCGATGTTAACATCCTGTCTGGGATCGAACAAACCGAGGCCCGAATTGCAGAACAAGAACATGGTGTTTATGATTTCAAAGTCATGCAGGATAAGGCAAGACCCGGCATGCCAATCCCCACGGACCAATATGCTTCATACCAAGGACCAGTGGTCGTCAAGGAGAGCAATTTGCGTGGTCGAGGCATGTTCACGACAAAGGCAGTCAAAGCTGGGGAACTCCTTCTCTGCGAAAAGGCTATTGCGTATCTGCGCCAGCCCTCCCCTGGTGTGACAAACTTCTATCCCAGGATGCCACGCCTCATTTATGCAGGCATAGTCAACCTTCACGAGAGCATCGTTTATCACGAATTCGGTGTCGCGCTTGCGAGAGAAACCATCGTCAAAATGGCCCAGTCCGACTCTGTGAGAGCAAAGGTGCTTGATCTGCACAGCGGCAATTTCCCAAAGAACAACATCCCCGATGACAAGAGCGTGGATACGTACGTATCAAGTGATCCAGTCACATCAACTTTCCCCATGCTAACCAGATGCTAGCTTCCTGATCATGCATATCGCCGCGCTGAACAGCTTCGGCTCCCCGTACTCCTCCATAATAGGCCATGGAGGCGTCTCACCCGAGGACGGAGCTTCAAGCCTTGCCAACTTAGCAACTTGCCACGGCATCTGGCATCTGGCGTCTTTCATCAACCATAGCTGTGAGAGCAATGTGTACCGTTCGTTCATTGGCGACGTGATGATTGTCCGCGCAGCAAGGGATCTCGACGCCGACACCGAGATTGGCTTCTGGTACACGATTCCTGACAGAGTCCACGGCGTGGACACCAGCCACTGGGACTTTGCATGCAGCTGTGTAATCTGCACCGACGTGCGCAGCACCGAACCCGGCGTTTTGACAATGCGCGAAGCCCTGCGAACGCAGCTCGACCTCTTGATGACAGAGCCAGATTTGTGGGATCAGGCTTTGTTGAATAGGAAGATGACTGAGCTATCGGAGACGTACGTGAAGCCTCCCACCGAGGTGCCGCACTATGCGGTATGGGATAAGCAGCTGAGTGCTGCGAGGTTGTTTGTCAAGTGGGACAATTATCCGATGGCCCTTGAGTTCACGCTGTGCAGTCTTGAGTCGCTGGGGTTCGTGATTGAGGGGTATGAACCTCGTGGAGAGAAGTTGGTCGTTAGCCGGTGGGGCGTGATGGTCGTCGACGTTGTCGAGGCGTGGGTCATGGTTTATCTGTCTTGCCTTAGGACTCTGCCTGAGCTGGCCCCCTCGGCGTATCATTATGCCAAACTGTGCTTCCTGATTTGCGTCGGGGAGGATAGCTCCTTCGATGAGACTTATGGAGTCGTGGAGGAAGTAGCTTCTGGCATGACTGAAATGTCGTTGACCGAGGTGGACAACGTGGAGAATTGACCTCGGGATGACCAAGTGATGACCTCGGGAGGAAACAACTGATCAGGGCATTTCAATATGAATTAGGTACTCCCAGGCCCCAGATAACTAGTTAGTGAAATCAGAAAACACAATACGAACAATACGAAAAATCACTTTACGCTCAACTAGGTGTAACCCGATTACATGACTGTTCATGCGCGAAGTGAGGAATACGAGATCTTAGAAGTGAGATTAGGGAACCCATACTATGAGATTTGAATCATCAGGCTATATCCAATCGTTTGTGGGGAGATAGTAAATCAAGAAACCAGTGGTATAAAAGCGAGGCCAAACGGCGACCAAAAAACGCAGAGCAGGTATATGAAACGAACCTCGACAAATAAAGCGCAAACTGCAGCCAAAAACATTGAACACCAATTAGAGAGAGATGAGGGGGAGATACAGTCAAAATAATTCATTAGGTGATTTGTTCAAGGTGCAGCCAAAGACAGACACGAAACAGAAATTGCACATCAATGCGCAAGTTAAAAAAAATGTACTCGATGCTGTGCAGTTAAGCATTTGCAAGAAGGAAGAAAGGAACAAGAAGAGCGATATGTACGGATCAAATCAAAAGAGCACATTTACAGCGTCACGAGGACAACGAGAGCCACGAGGACACCGAAGAGCGAGCCACGGAGAACGCGCTCGTTCTGGCCAGCGGCACCGCTGTCCTTGGTGGTCGTGCCCTGGGAGAATCCTGATGAGGTGGTAGAGGCAGCGTCATCGCTGGTGGAGGTACCAGTGGTCTCGGAGGTACCATTGGCGGCCATGCCACCAGATCCACCCTTTCCGGTGGGGATGCTGTTGGAGGCGGAGGTGGTGTTGGAAGAGCTGGAGCTAGCGCCAAGGTCCATGTCAAGACCAGTGGCACCCAGGGAGCCGAGAACGGTGGAGTTGTTGGTGGTCTCAATGTCGGATTCCATAGCAGCCTTGTTGGCGTAAAGGTAGGACTTGTCGCCGTGGTTCTTAGCATCGGAAGGAGCGTCGTAGCACTTGACGCTGACCTCGCCGACGGTGGCAAAGTCGTAGCCGACCTTCTGGATGTCCTCGCTGTTCCAGTCGATCTCACCACCGGCCCAGTCGATGGTACCCTGGGCGTTGGAGGGCTGGCCGGCGGGCCAGAGGGACATCTGCAGGCGGGAGGGGGTCTGGGGGAATTGGTACTGCTTGGAGGTCTCGTTGTAGGTGTCGGCCTTCTTCAGGGTGCGCTGGACGGAACCGTCGACGATCCAGTCCACCTTCTCGGGGGTCCAGTCGATTTCGTAAGTGTGCCAGTCGTTGTAAGTATCCTCGCCCTCCACGGAGATGTTACCGCTGTTGTGCCCTGAAAGTTGAATTGTCAGTCTCCCATGGTTCCCAATGTATCAGAATTTCAGTATATGGGTCGCAACTTACAGTCAAGAACACCCTGCCAGTAGTAGTTGGTCTGCACAAGAGACAGGTCGGCGCCGACCCACTCGTAGTCGATCTCGTCCTTGACGTCGGAGAGCAGGATGAAAGCAGTCACGACACCCTTGCCGCGGGAGCTCTTAATCTTTCCAGAGACCTTTCCGTACCAGATGTAGTGGTTGTTGGCGAAGAGGGTACCAACGCTCTTAGCGGGCATAGTCATGATCAGGTTACCATCTTCGGTCTTGGGCTTGCCGGAGTAGGTCCAGTCATATTCGGTGGCGTTACCGAGGTACTTGTCCTGGGTGACGGCATTGTCGAGGTTATCCCAGGTGTAGGTCTTGCTCTCACAAACGGGCATGGGGGCGCAAGAGTCGAGGGAGAAGGAGGCGAGAGGGTCGCAACCACCGAGGCAGTAAGCACCGGTACCACACTCTCCGTATTCTATCAATAGTTTAGAACGAGGCCAGTCTGAGAATCCGGGGTAATTCTCAAAAAAAAGAAAAGAAAACAAAAGCACTTACGGGAGCAACAAGGGTAGGTCTCATCCTTGCACTGGCTGCTGCTGCTGCAGGACTGGGCGGCGAGCGCGGTCACTGACAGCGAGGCCAGGACCAAGGGAGTCACAAAACGAACCATGGTGTGTATGTACAACCGGGGAAGTAAAAAAGAATGAGAGTGGAATCCAAGCCACAGAACGAAGGTGATTAGGGGGGGTATATTAGTAAAGATCAACGAGGGGATGAGGAAATAGTTCCTGCAGTAAGTGAGGGTGGAAAAACGAGTGCATCCAACCTGCAAACGGGGGGGCCAATAGTGTCTTATTATATTATTTAGAATTTACCCAAATGACCTAAAAGGGACCCTACTGACTTTCAAGGACCCAATCTTATGATTAAATCATTTTCTTTTAAATTCAATTCCATAAAAAACATGGGAAAACATGAAAACATGACTTGCCATCCAATCAATTGAGGCAATAACAACGGGAACCAGGGAACAAATACACCACTAAACCCGATCAGGCTCCACTCCGTCCCAAAAAGGCCGCAGGGTCTTGCTTTTTTTCTGCGGAGGTGTCTGTGCGTAAGTATCTCTACTCCGTACCTTGGGGTTCTTAAGTATCTGATGTTATAGAGGTAGTGTACATATCATAAGATATTATATTTTTTGTTTGTATGTATACTTGTCATGCTATAATATCCAACAACAAAGTATAAGCTATTAGCTATCCGTCTGCATATACCTTGCACGAAAACCGTTGGAAGTGAGACACCCCAGGTGTTTGCGGCGATAAGGGAAATGAGTATCCTTGGTAGTCTTGGTATCTTACCGTACCAATACTCCGTACCCTCGCACGTTGATCAACATACCTTGTCTACATGTGTCCAGGACATACATGCAGCATACGTATGTACAACGTACATCTTATCTTCATTGTCCTGTTCACTGCAATTGATTTCATCTACATAAGCCTCGCAGTGGTCGAATTCAATTGAGACATTCTCCGCACTAGACCCCCATCGCGCCAAGCTATTGCCTTCTAGTTCAAGCCTAATGAGGCAAATAAAAGTTCCTACACAAAGAAGAAAAAAAAGGGCCCTAAAATTATGAGAGTCTTTACGCGAGCACACTACACAAAATTAGACCGAACTCATCTCGCCAAGCGGATTCTCATTGGGGAAGCTCTCACCTTCGCCCCCAAGAGTTTCTCCTGTGGACGATCCAGCACTAAACCTTATCCGAGCTGAGTGCTGACCAGTCACCTGTGGACAGATCCGCTATGGGTGGGGAGTTTGTCAGTGTATAGGGGAAATGAGGCTTGTGTGTAGGCACCAGCTTGGGCACATGGGCACATCTCTGTTTTCGCCAGGGGCTGAAAACTGATAGGCGCCACCGAGCAACCGCTTGCGTATTCTTCTGGAAGGAATGTGGCAGTCTCGGATCTTCACAATATACACTTGTAAACACAGTAATCTGATAATCCGACCCTTTCTGTTTGCGATTGTGAGAGCATCGGAATGTAAGGAGAGTCTCATTGGTCGCGATCAAGGTTTCTATCCCCTTTTAAACTTCCCGTGATGTAAACCAGTTGGTCTGAAAATATGCAAGGTCCCTTTTCTTCACTCCCATTCAATTCAGTATTGGTATTGTTGACTGGTCTGGTCGGGCTTGGTGCTTCACTGCCCAGTCTTTCCAAGGCTGCCCAGAGACTTTGCCCAGATTGCGCTTGGCTTTGCCAATTGCCTCGGCCCTGACAATCTCTTGTCTGTATTGTTGGTCTACGTCATACCAGAATTTTGAAGCTGATCGCAGAATGAGAGCTCCGGTGGGAGCGAGCGTCGCAAACCTTATATGGATGTGAGTTCAAGTGCTTGAACATTCATACTTATACATGGTCAGTCACCAGGGCGCCTACGCTGTGCATGCTTAAAGAGTAGCGGTGACACGGCATACCTCCCTTTTGTGATACGTCCCAGGTTTGGACTATGCCGTTGAATGCTATACCCGTGGACTTTGTTTGATGCATAGGATTGTATCACAATATGTTTAGGTGGGAGCTAGGACCACATCATTTTGCCTGTGGTCATGATCGTGTAATGTGACCTACTTGTGCGACATTCACTGCATTGTATCTTTCCAGTCGACATGAAGCAGCCTGCACTCAAATCAGACGTCAATACATATATTAGTCCATAGACATTCAATTTTGTTCTAGGGTTGACCTAGCTACTTGTGGACATTGGTGCCGAAGTTCCGAGGTGGATATCAAAGATACATCCATGGATAGTACCCATGCGTTGCCCAAAGCTTCCACGGTCCCGCGTTTAATGATTAGAAAAATCAAGAAGCGAATGGGTCCAATGCAGTGGGCACTGCGTAAATACAGGTAGCTTCCAAGGCTGTAACACAAGACGATGTCATTGGCGGAGTTGAAAATAAATAAGAACCGTGGAATGCACAAACCGGCTTAAAATAGCCGGCTATGTGTCATTACAACCCACCTACGAGATATTGTCTTATGAACCATTTCTACTCCGTACTTTTTACTGGTAATTAAAAAGTCTGTCTGAAATACGGAGTAAGAGATCATATATAAAGCAGACTCCAGGTTTAGGCTAAGCTAGTAGTCAATCCGATTTGGGACCTCCCGGGCTTGGAGCCTCTTGTGACAAAAAAGGGTAAAAAAAAGGGTTGCTGCCGTGTAATAAATATTCTCTCGCTCTTTTGCTGAGTATCTTTACTTTCTTTCGGTTTACTTTTGTGGAACATGGATGTACATGACGTGAAAATATAACCTCGGAAGTGAACTGAGAAACTGCACTGCTATATTCAATGGTGAAAGAAAAATAAAATAAAAGAAACCAAGTCGCTAAGCATCAAACCACCCCAGACGCCATCTCAGATTGAGCAAGTAGTCACTCACTCCCACTCCGGGGACAAGATGTCGCTCCGGACCTCAAATTCCCCTGAGGGAGGGCTGCTTTCGCCATCGCCAGAAAGGCAGCCTGCCACCCCCTCAATAACCTTGGGGTCAGGACAGATAACCTCCAGGCCATCATCCAGGTCAATAAGTATACCACAGAGACCGGATTGAGGAGATGGCGCTGGTGATGCAGAAGAGGCACGGGCTGCGGTTTCACGCCCCTCGGAGAATCTGACCCTGTTCGCTTGGATACAGGCATCTGCGCCTTTGGGGGAGGTTGTGGGACCACTCTCTTCTGCAGAGCCCTTGGTCATGCTGGGTTGCAAGCTGACGAAAGAAGGGTTCGTGGGGATTCGGCTTAGATGCTTGTTCCGGAGATCATTGACCTTGCTGGCTGAGGCCCTTGTCGTGGCGCTATCATTGGAGATCGGGTTCATGACCCGACTTTTGGGTCTGCCGAAGATGTTGATTTTCGTGCCGACTGTCGCAGTCTGAGCAGGGGTTGCATTTGCACACTTTTCCGCGGAACCTTGGGATTTGTTGACCGGCGCGCCAGCGGAAGGGCTGCCAGTGTGGTTTGCGGCGTTTGTGAAACCACATTCTTTGTAGTGCTTGCAAGTGCCATTTTGCGTGCTAGTAGTATATTGTTCATTGGGAACTGAGCATGTGCACTTGTTCTTGGGATAGGTGCACGGCAAGCTAATGACAACACCGCCGTTGAGAACAGATGCCGACACAGCTCCAAACTCAGTCTCTTTGATGTCATTCACGACACCAATGGCTGGAGTAGCCACCCCTGTGACAGCGTCAGAGCCGGAATTGAGATGTGCACTTGAGGAAGCAGTGTCATCGGCGGCCATGGGTGCCATTGGGTCATGCGTGTTCTGGTCGTCGTGCATATTCGGGTGCATACGGCCCGTGGTCGGCGGCTGGCCATGATTGGCATCGTTGCCAGAGCCGTGGTGGGTTCCGCCTCTGGTTCCTCGAGACCGTCTTGTACGGGAGGGGCGCTATGAAGAACCGAGTGTTAGACTGAGTCCACCAATGATGTGCATTGTACTTACAGGTTGAGCGAGGGCACGATATCGATCGAGCGCCAAGCCGAGGCTGGCTTGGATTGAGCTCAACTCCACCGAAAGCTCGGTCTCGTTGTACTTGGCGAGCTATTTCACGGTATATCAGCATTCAGATCAGCTGCTGAGTTTGTAGTCAAGACCCACCAGGTGCTGTGTCTCACAGATCAGGAGGCGGGCTTTATCTGCCTTGCGCACGACCTGAAGAGCGATTTGCTCTGGTAAGAAAGGCATGATGATCGAGGTAGAATGATGTCTTCGATGAAGCCTTGAGAGGTCAAGATTAGTTGTGGTGGATGGAATCAGGAGGCTTGTGGGCCAAGCTTGATATTTGATAGAGGACTTGAATGGGTTCTTGTATGCTTAGAAGCTCTGCAAGAAGGTCGAAGGTTGGAGGAGAAGAGGAGAGGAGAAGAGAAGGAAGTTGGGAGCTGCAATTTATAATGCGAAGGAAGCAGGACAGAGGACCCCTCTCACGCTGCTTCTGTGTGTTTATCGACCAAGGAGGACACTGGGCGAAGGACGGCGAACGAAAACCCAGACAACTTTCAAATGAAAGTTTTCGAAAGTGAAAGTCTTCGAAAGTGAAGTGAATCCTGGGCGAAAGTCAGATACATGCTTATGCTACCATAGAAGCAACGGTCGAATTTAATGGTGACTGGCATACCATTCCACATCAGGCGAAGTACCATTTCGTCCGAGGAACGCATCCATTTCCCTTTCATCACATATTGTTGCAGAAGCCCTGCACCCCCCCATCTAGTGGGTTGATCATCATACGTCGACGATCACCCAATTGGGCTTGGGGGAGGCCCAAAGAAGAGCTCGGATACAACGCGAGCCCCCAGTGTAAACATGGTGTGCTCTTCTTCATTTTCGATGTAGGATGGGCACGTAAAGAACCAATCCAGTTCCTGTGTCCGGCACAGGATACGAAGGCTGAGTACATAAATGGCGCCTACGAGGCGGCCAACAAGAGGTGACAACATGTCGAAGTAAAGCTTCAATTTTTGAAAAAGTGAGAAGGTTTTGAGTTGATGTAACAGAAAATTGTTGAAACAGAGCGAGAGTTACGAGGAAAGAGATGTTGAAATACCAGAAGTTGAGAGTAAACAACCCATGTGGAATTGAATGGGAAGGAGCGCAAATGACCAAGGACAATGGACGTTGTGTACATCTCTATGGATGTATAGAACCTCAGTTGATCTGAGAGAACCCTAAGACGATTCACGGGGACAATCAACAATAGCCTCAACAAAGGCATTGAAAGACACCCTACGATTGATAGCTCGACATTTCTCGTCAACCTATAGCCGCAGCTTCATTGAGACATTGTCAAACATTCTATCTACCTGGACAGCCCTTTGGACAGAACAACCTTGGAAATTGTATCAATCGTTAGAAGCTAGAAGCCGAAATGACCATGCCGAGCCTTGGGATTGAGCTTGATGCTATCAATCATCAAATGTTATTTCTCGCGGGATGTAAATACACAAGATAGCATCATTTAGAATACATGAAAAAGTCATAAACCCCAATCAAACGAAACAGATGTGCAGCATTATCCATAGATTTTGTCAATGGAGATAATAGGAGAATGGCAGCAATGGGATCTCTGAAAATTAGGAATTTGAAGGAAGCAGAAACCCATAAACATCATGTCTGCCTTCAGTCTTTGAACTCCGGCCATGCTCGACCTGCCCGCTAGACCCGAACCCCCACCGAGACATAAAACAAAACCAGCAACCGACGCAAAACGAACGTAATCCACATGTGAAAGAAATTGTCCTGATCCGAACGCCGAGATCAATTCACCATGGTAAAGCAGAACTAGTGCACAGTCAGTAAGAGAGACACAAAGATGAGTTCAAGAAACATACATTATGTGCCAAGGAATGTAATATGCAACTTGAAAATTAGCAGGTATCGTGTAGCAGACATCCAGACATCCAAGGAGATCAATAGTCTCCAAATCAGAACGGATGTGCCTGCAGGGTAACTCGGAGTGAGATCTCGAATGTCCACTGTTCATCGACGAGTCTTATTAGGGGCGACTGTTTTGAACTCAATTCTCGGCTGGTACCGAATCGCCCCACCATCCTCAAGCCAGGGACCGAGATTCTTGCATTGACTGACATCAAAGACTTGGAGTTGGTTGCATCCATCTGCCACGGCCTCAACACCAGTGCCAGTGACTCGCACACAGCCACGCACGGACAAATGTTGCAGCGAGAGCAGATGAAGGCTGATGCTTCTGAGGGAGGGGTCAGAGATCGCAGAGCCACAAAACGCCATGTTGAGGTATTTCAGCTTGGAGCATTGCAGCGCCAGAACCTCTGTTGCTGTGTCTGATAGGGCACAGCAGAATGTCTGACACACGTTAGTAAACCGGGGATTCGAAAGCTGGTAGCTGTGACAGCCATGCAATGGGCAATGTGATGAGACTTACCAGATCCAACTCTTCCAAGTTCTTTGCGGCGTTGGTGAGATGTACAATGGCGTTATCCGTCAGATAAGTACAATCCGCCAAGCAGAGCTTGCGGAGATTGGTGAACTGGGCGCTCCCCCAGTATTTGAACCCTTGGTCGGTGATCGTAGTACAACGCGTCAGATCCATTTCCTCAATCCGACCAGCAGCGTGAGAAGCGATGTGATGCATAGATCGATCGGTGACGTGTTTGCAATACGAGAGAGTGAGTTTTCTTAGCTTTGGACAGCCGTACACTGTCAAGTCTGCAGTCTGGAGCGTGGGCTTGATGGACGATTTGTTCTCTTTCTGATCAGCAGGAACAACCCAGCCAACAATCCGGGCAAGGAGCGTGTCTCCGACCTTGCGGCAATTGCTCAAATCCACCTCCTGGATGTTTGTAGCCTTGCTGGACATGTCAAGGATGGCAGAGGCTGTAACGTCCCAGACACTCTTCATTTTCCACACAGTGGTGGTTGGTGCACATGTTGCAGACAATGCTGTGAATCCTTCATCCGTGATATGAAAGCAGTTATTGATATTGACAGACCGGGCTCGGCTGCCGACAAATGGGCAGATGATCTTGGTGAGGACATCATCTGTGATCCTGCGATTGTATACACTCAAATCTAGATTATGGGCCACTCCTGGAGATTGAGTCAGAAGCTCTGACCAGTGGGATGAAACAGCCCTGAATCGAAGGAGGTGATGTAGTTCCAAATTCTGGAAAATGTTGACCAGGACACTATCCGGAAGTAAACCGTTGGCCCCATCGACTCGGGGCCGTTCGGATTGATATGGTTTTGAAAGGCCGGCGGTCTCATTGAGGGCCATGCTTGAGGAGCCAGCAGAGCGTGGCTCGGTGGGGGGATGATCGTGGGCTTTCCCCCGAGACCTCCTCGGGGGCAAGTGGTGCCACCGACCCACGTCGACTTCTCAACCGAACCTTGTCCAAGCCAAGGCTCAGGTAAGGATCAGGATCAGACGGTCGCAGCACAGCCTGATCCTGATCCTCAACCGGAGATGACTGGTGTGGGCCATCAAGTTCGGTTTCAGTGAGTGTCAGGAGCGGCATTGAACGACGTCGCGACGACGTGATCTTTACTCGATCACCAATAGCAAGATCTCCCATCGATGGCTGAGGCTCTGCTTCATCGGACATGACAACGTCACCATCAGCAGCTGCCTGAAGCCTTTCCTGGGCAGTGCGTTCAACTTGATCACGCACGCTACTGGGACATTTATCCCAGAACTCAGCCAAAACGTCACCCCCTAGCATCAAGCATTCGACCGAGGTTACAGATCGGACTGTAGCTGTCCGTCGGGGTGCTAGAGCCAGACTGACTACCTCACCAAAGTACTGACCCTGCTTCAATCTAGCTTTAACCTCCACCCTGGGTCGCCTTCCACCGTCAACACGGTGATTCGTATCCTGCTTCTCTGTAAGGACTTCGACCTCACCGCGAACTATGAAATAGAGTTCGCGGCCTTGTGAGTCTTGTTGTATGATGTCGGTGAATGGAGGGAATGATCGCGGTTGAGCATTTAGACCAAGGAAGTGAAGAATATCGGCAGGCAGCCCGGAGAATAGTGGCAGCTCTTTGAGCAAGAGACGTACATTCACCAACCCGTTTGCCAATGCGCTAGAGCCATCCCGCCGACCGGGGCTCGGTGATTTCCTCTTCTTGTAGACTGATTTGGCACTTGGGTCTTCGTCATCTTCAACAACAGCCAAATCTTTAGAAAAGCTTTCGCGTAATCTTTTGGAGCCTCTTCTTCCGGGGCTTGGCGGATCTAGCGCAGGAGCGGATGTTTCTTTCTTTTTCTTTTCCAGAATCATCAACCGCTCCTGCGCCTCTTCCCGGATAGCTTGTTCAACCTCAGGGAAACGCGGTAGTATATTTTGAAAATCGTCCTTTGTCAGCACGACCAGCATGCATCTAGTCCGGGCGATAATAGTTGCTGTGCGAGGACGATCCATAAGCAGTCCAATCTCACCGAAGAAGGCCCCTGGTTGGAGCTCGGCGTATATACTCTCGCCGTCCCGAGATGTGACCGAGACCGCACCCCGCACCAACCAGTAGATCGCTTTGGCCTCATCGCCTTCGGTCAAAATGTAGTCGTTGGGCGTGTGGAGTTGAGGGCGCAAATGCTTTCCGACCTCGATCAGGAATGCCTCTGGAGTGGCTTGGAATAGAGGGAAGGACCGCAATCGGTCGATCAATTCTAAGGGCAAAGCTTGGATGTGGGAGGAAGCTAAGGGCGAAGGGCGCGTGGGTCGGTTTGGGTTGAGGACAGAGTCGAAGGATCGGATGAGGGATACATTGTCGGATAAAGGCGAGGCAGCCTTCGTCGAGCCGCCACTGGACCTGCCGTGACGACGCATTGTGATATTTTGTTGAAGAGGAGGTAAGAGCAATTATTGTGGACCAGGCCTATGAAACGATGACGTCGACGAAAGCAGTGTCGAACTTCGCGGCATCTTCAACACCCAATGGACAGGGTGTCGCGGGGCTCGATGAACATAGATGCAGGGTTTAGAGAAGAAGCACGGAAACCCCCAAGAGCTATGTGAGGTGGGGGGGGAGGTTGAATCGACGTCAAAAGCGGTTTCTCCACCGATCACCTGGGAACCTTCGGAAACTCTATGGGAACCTCCACTTTCTGCCTTTTTCTTGGGGATTTTCGCAAATGTAACAAAAAATTCTTAGAAGCCGGTGGGGGAAAATTGTCAGAGCGGTCAATCACAGTCTCTTTGAACCTGCATCCGGGGCCGATCGTTTACAGACAAAGAACACACAGCTGTATACACGAATTATCGCCATTGGGCTGACTTTTGATCATTATATCTGATACAGTCGTCATACAAACCCTATGAGACTAGATTGGAGGGAAACTAGGGCCATTGGGGAAATTAGAGAAACTCTACTCTGGCCTGCTTAAGTCTCTTGACTCCCGCCACTATGGCGTTTTTAGTTGGCTAATTCTCCGGGGAACTGGAGTCACGTGTGTCATCAGAATTGCTAATTAAACAGGGTATCAAAATGTAGTACGTCCAGTGTGAGGGGAGAATTGACGAATTTATTCAATCAAGGACGTGCATGTTGGAAATGCACGCCCATGTCGGGGAATTCCAGACCATGATCGACCCAAGTCATCTGAGCAACCTCAATGAGAGTCAATCTCACGATGAGATGAGTCTGAACCCAGTGACGCTGTTTCGCTTGCCTTGGAAATTGGCCGCATGTCGTCCGTACCAACTACCGACCGAGAATATCTCGATCATGCGCTGGAGCGCCCGGTGAGTTGGCAGGTTGAGGGGAAGAGCATCTTGTCGTATCCAGCTCTGCAGGGCTGAAGACCTAGCTCATGTGAAGCACGACCAGTCTTGTACAGATGGACTCAAAAACCATTGTTATATAGAGGGGATCATTGATCAGATTGATCCTTCCTTTGCGGCTTTCGACCGACGGTTGCCCGTAATGAAATCAATGTAAGCAGGTTGATTACCCTTCAGGGTTTCGAGAGCATCTTGAAGAATTCCATAGGTAAAGCTCAGTTTCATCCCAAGCTTAGCTGTGCGGGCGGCAGTGTAAACGTCGTGACGAGCTGTCAAAAAGCGACATGGGTCAGTCTAAGTACCAGGTGAGATAGGAAAGTGAACCAAGCATACCAAGTAAGCTGTATATTCCTGAGAATGACAAGCCTGCGACGACTGTGGATAAGAAGTCTCTCTCGTCATCTCGGGCGTAGTCAACCGTCTCCTCAAATAGACAGAAGGCAAGTGCACCAGCACCAAGCTTGAATCCCATCCTGGCACCATCTTTTGCTCCTCCAACTATGCCAATATAGTTTTTTGTCTTGTGGTATTGGAACCACCCGGTCGACGACGTCGGGAAGCGATGCGCATTTTCCGCCCGAAACACAAGCCCTGCCTTTTTGCTGCCGTGGGAGTACCCTAGCGCCAATCCCGTGGAGAACGCGGACAAAGTTGCATACGGTATCCGTTTGCCAACCTCAATGCCTAATCGCGGAGGACTGTCGGATTCAAAGAGCTTGTCCCAGTGGATAATTTTCAGGAGGGTGGAATCTTCGCGTGAGAGGTGTGTGGGTGGGGATGGATCGGCCTCCATGATGAAAGCTAGGAGCCGAAGGGGTAAGCTCGAGGGATTGCTAGAAGAAGTGGCCAACCAAAAGTGAAATTGAGCAGTGGTTGCTGCCAAAGCTGTGAAAGTTGGGGCGCGGACAGTAATCGGATTCCCGATTCTCCGCCTTCGTCACTCTTCCACTCCACGTCAAGTGAGATCCAGTACCAACAACTTCAAATCGTTTATGACCTTCGAACATGGTATGAATTCTGAGACACACTTCCCGCGCAATGGATGATCTACAAATGAAATGACTAACGATTGAGCAGGCACCAAAGCAAGCAAAACCCGACTCGCGCGCTGCGACACTCTTCTTCAAGAAGCACAAAACCACAGTCCTTCTGATGCTGCAAACCCACGAAACACTTGAGTCGGCCAAAGACAACTTACTACAAGCTTTAAAATCCCGATCTCTGAATGACATTAACGGCGACCCTGTTCCGGACGACTCCTTCGATATTGAGCTCGGTGTGCCAGTTGATCGCGCCGACCTCGAGAAAGGCTGGAGGTCTTTGGAAGCAGATGATCTGGTACTTGACGAGGAAAGCGCACCGAAGAAGAACAAAGGCAAATCAAAGAAACAGGCACCTACTCTATTGGAAGCAGGCATCACAGACGGGAATTCGATTGCGTTCCGTTTCCACAAATACAATGAGGCTCAAAATGGTGACCGAATGGACCTAGATGCCGAGGATCCCGGCTGGGATGTCATAGTTCCAAGCTACGCCGATGACGAACTGTGACAGGAAACTCTGGGGGGCAAAGACTCGAAGAATAGATGCGTGGGTTGTGGCGCTTACGGTGGATGAACGAGGTGTTTTGAACCTTTGGTATGGCGTTTTGGAATCTGGCTCTCAAAAACATGGACTTTATCTCATGAAAACAAAGTGCGCTGTGCTTATCGAGCCGTTCTTATGCCCTTGATTGAGGCAAGTGTACATAGTGTCATGATAATCTTGGAACAGCAGATCTGATGAGACTTTTAAGATGATCGGAACTGACTGTGCAAAAACATACCGTATGCAGTAAGGGTGACAGATTAACATCGAGATCACCCCACACTTGAAAGGACCACATCTAGCTCATTGGCGATCTCAGGCCTGGCGGCACATGGGCAAAGATAATAGTGCGTGCAGATAGAGCAGATGGTGTGTGCCAAGTCTCTGAAACGTGACTGTCCCTAGCAGCTTGTGGTACAGCTTTGCGGGCCCAGTGGAACTGCCACGTCCTCATTTGCAAACACCACTATAAAACCGTTGCTCGGAGCAACCGCCGCGACAACACGTAAACGCATCAACAAATGAGAACGCTTCCAGGAGGCCCCCTCGGAGAATACTGCATCCCCTACCCCATACGACTTTAGATCCATTCTTCGATTGTTCTACATTCCCTATTCACGACAAACAGCCTAGCTGCCCCCCTCCCCCTTGGCCTTGTGCAGGGTCGCCAATTGCCTGACGTACCGGCCCCGCAAAACAGTGCATTTTGGGGTCAATCCGACGTATTCTCCAACATGGCTGCCTCCGACGGTGCTTCTTCGATCAACGTTGCAGTCAGAGTCCGCCCATTTACTATCAGGGAGGCAGCCCAGATCACTCGGTGTGATGATGGCCCCCTGTTCCTCGGCGACGGGTCCCTCGCCAGTGCACCAACCCCGAAGCTTAATCAGAAAGGAATAAGGTCAATCGTCAAGGTTATCGACGATCGGTGCCTGTAAGTATCGCCGATATTCGCTGGGTCTAGCATCCTAACGGGTATAGGGTGTTCGACCCCCCAGAGGACAATCCTGTCCAGAAATTCTCCCGCAGCGTGGTGCCCAACGGAAAACGCGTCAAAGACCAAACCTTCGCCTTCGATCGCATCTTCGACCAAAATGCCTCCCAAGGAGAGGTCTACGAGTCTACCACGCGCAGCTTGCTTGATAATGTACTTGACGGATATAATGCGACTGTGTTTGCATACGGTGCAACTGGATGTGGAAAAACTCATACTATTACTGGAACCGCTCAGCAGCCCGGTATAATTTTTCTCACTATGCAAGAGTTATTCGAACGGATTGATGAACGATCGAGCGAAAAGTCGACCGAGGTGACCCTCTCCTATCTTGAGATCTACAACGAGACCATTCGTGATTTGCTGGTCCCCAGTGGCAGCAGTGGAAAAGGAGGCCTGATGCTGCGGGAGGATTCTCAGCAGACCGTCTCTGTTGCGGGTTTGACAAGTCACCACCCGCACAACGTAGGGCAGGTCATGGATATGATCATGCAAGGAAACGAGCGCCGAACCATGTCTCCCACCGAAGCCAATGCCACTTCCTCTCGATCGCACGCCGTCCTTCAAATCAACATCGCCCAGAAAGACCGAAACGCGGATGTCAATGAACCCCATACAATGGCCACTTTCAGTATCATCGATCTTGCTGGAAGTGAGCGAGCCAGTGCGACAAATAATAGAGGAGCACGCCTGTTCGAAGGTGCCAACATCAACAAATCTCTTCTGTCTTTGGGAAGCTGCATTAATGCTCTCTGCGACCCCCGAAAGCGCAATCACATCCCTTACCGAAATTCAAAGCTCACTCGGCTGCTTAAATTTGCCCTGGGTGGAAACTGCAAGACGGTCATGATTGTCTGTGTCAGTCCTTCCAGTCAGCACTTTGATGAGACTCAGAATACACTTCGATATGCGAACAGAGCGAAGAACATTCAGACCAAGGTAACGCGAAATGTCTTCAATGTTAACCGACACGTGAAGGACTTCTTGGTCAAGATTGATGAGCAAATGAACTTGATCAATGAGCTCAAGGCGCAGGCAAAGGACCACGAGAAGGTGGCCTTTGCGAAGTTCCGCAAACAGGGCGAAAAGAAAGACGCTGTGTTGCGTGAAGGCGTTGCCCGAATCCGCAATGCCTATGAGCATACATTGCCCGAAAGACAAGAGCGAACTAATAACATGCTGAAATCACGACAAATCGGCCGCCGAATTGCGATTCTATCATCATGGATCGCAGCATTTGATAACATCTGCGCCAAGCGTGAGAGCAACGAAGGATTATCTAGCCTTTATGCTGTTCGCAAAAGTGCACAGGGAATTCTCCTCGAGTTGGAAGGCAGCAGACACCATTATAACCAGAGATTATCAAAGAGCACCTGGGACCGAGCGCTGAATTCAGCAGTTGAGAACGCCGCGAAACAACTCAAGGAATTTGACATCACTGATAATAGTGACTACGCCAACTTGAACCGAGAAGCAGATCTTTTGAGGTCAAGTGCGGAGCGCGAGGCATTGACAGCTGTGGCGGAGCAAGATAAGGCCGGAGAAGCCGGTGCTGTGCAGCTATTGCTAGAAGCACAGTTCGAGATTATGGCGTCGATCGAGGATATTATGCAGCTCAATGCAAGCGAGGCCATCAAAAAGGGACGGACCATCCTTTCTAAGATGTTGGACGATTGTTCGAATACTGCAAGCAACCTGGTCAAACCCGACGGCAGCATGCCTGCTGTCCCCGGTTTCACTGCCGCTAGGCCCCCAAGCCCGATGAAACCAAAGAAGAGATTCAGCTTGGTGGGCATGCCACCTGTTTCAACTGCCAACCCACCTCCAGTTGTACTGGCACCCGTCGCTCCGCCCTCGCCCACGAAGGGCTCTCCGCGTCGGCGCAAGGCCGCTGCGGGTCGCAAAAGCGTCAGCTTCACACCAAAGAAGTCACAGGCCAAAGCCCCAAAGAGATCTGTTCGTTGGAGGGACGATGAGCAAGAAGGCGATCTCACTGAGTTCCAAAAGACACCCAAGAAAGCAGAATCTACAGACGAGTACAGCTCCGAGGAGCCGTCATTGCCTCCTCGCAAGGGATCTCCTATTCCACGGAACTTGCCAAGGATCGTGAGCCCGTCGGGCTCCATCTCTCCCACTCCTCCTGATGAACCCTCCGAGCAAGCTGAGCCGACACTCAATGTACAGAAGAACGCCAGTCGATTCCAAGCGGGTTTCTTATCGAAGAGGAACGGTAGCTCACCTCTCGCACCGCCTCCTACCTCCTCTCTCCCCCTTTCTCGCAGCAGGGAAAGCTCTCCACTTCGTGACATTGAGGGAAGCAGCTTCATGAACCGCCCGGTGACGGAACGTCCATCGCGGATCGCAGTCCGCAGCCCTAGTGGGAACCTCCTGAGCAGTCCGATTTCCGAGAATCGAGACAATTGGAAGTCGGACAGGGAGGAAGCAATTAAGATCAACTCGGCTATGCGTCGTATGTCTAGTGGACGGGTCATCAGTGGACAGCACGGGGCCCCATCCGCCAACGCACTTCGCGTCCACCGTCGGCGCAGTCCCACAGCTGCCACTCACGGGGCCTCGCCCAGTGACAATCACATGTTTACTGCATCGCAGGCACGGCGCATGGTCAAGAGCGAGAGGGAACATGATGCGAAACCCCGCGTATTGAGTCCTCACACGCTCCCCGTCATGAAGCATACGGGACGTCGCTCGACGCTAGGGGATGGCCGACCTCGAAACGTCAGTCTCTCCAGCAGAGATGCTATTCGTCTCAGTACGATGGCAGCTCCCGATCAAAGCGCAGAGGATTGGTCGGGTGGGCTACGATAAACGACGATACGAAGACTTGCATTGGGGTTGTTTTCTGGTGTTTGGGGATTGGCGTTGGCGTAGCAGATACCACTCGAGTCGACAGAGCATTTCGGCCGTCATTTTCTATGTTTGGCGTATCACCTTGTACAATATGATTTTGCACTATACCAATGTGCTTGGGACAGTTCAGCCCTAATTCTCAAAACTCAAATGCCGAAATCCCCGCGCTTTGTAATATTCCAGATGACGCCATCTCATAGTTCGTCAATGCTTCGGAGCTCCAAAAAAAAGAACCCATTTCTTGACTCACACACTTGACCTCTGCAACATTACAAACCTCCTCGCTAGGGTAGATTTTGATCCACGCCCTTTCATTGACACACGCGAACCCGCCAACTCCCCACTTCTTATCCAGTACGTCCCCACCTGAATTTCGGATGTCTTTCGCCGCTCCGCTTGCCTCGACGATTTTCTCACGCCTCTACCGTCCCTTCTCTACCACCCAGACTCGATCCTTCTCGACCTCAGAAACTCAATCGCGCAATATGTCCAACACACAAATCGCCACCGTAGCAGCCGGCTGCTTCTGGGGCGTCGAACACCTCTACCGCAAGAATTTTGGCAACGGCAAGGGCCTCCTTGACGCTAAAGTGGGATACTGCGGTGGTGAAACTCCAGCGCCCTCATACCGCGCCGTGTGCACCGGACAAAGCGGCCGTAAGTACTAATCCGACATCCCGCCAAGCTTCCCCCATCGCGACGCGGTCCTCGGCGCATAAGCTAATCGTAATTTTTCCCCCTTGTCCACAGACGCCGAAGCTCTCCAGGTCACATTTGATCCTTCGATCGTGACATATGCCCAGCTCCTTGAATTTTTCTACCGCATGCACGACCCCACAACAGAAAACCGCCAGGGTCCGGATGTTGGCACACAATACCGCAGTGCGATCTTTACACATGACGATGAGCAACACAAGATTGCCGAAGAGATTACGCGAAAGGTCGGCACGGAGTGGTACAAGACACCGCTATCTACCAAGATTGTGCCCGTGGCTCAGTGGTGGGATGCGGAAGAATATCACCAGCTTTATCTTCAAAACAACCCGGCTGGATATGAATGCCCGGCTCAGTATGTGGTCTTGATCTCGGTTCGCATTGGATATCTCACTGACTTGCTCTGCAGCTTTATTCGGAACTTCCCTCCCCTGTCTGAATGACTGGACTCAAAATTATGATTGACATTTAGCCTGGTTTCTATAATGGACCGCAACACACGATAATTCAACATTTATCATCTAAAAATTAGCATTTAGCAATTAATTTAACATTATTATATATTATCAATCATTCAGCTTGCATCTGTCATCTATTCCATCTATTCCTAGACTATGTTGAGGTTTGTATTCTATGGGCAGCGAAACAACATAAGCATTGAAATACTCATTTGAATGCTGACGCGCATAGAAGCGTTGATAGGGACCATTACGCAAAGACCAAAACCGAAGTCAAGACCTCATAGCGACGATCCATGGGGGTTGGGGGTTGTATTCCATGGGCAGCAAACAACCTAAGCACTGAAATGCTCATTTGGTTGCTGACGCGCATGGAAGAGTTGATCGGGACCATTACGCAAAGACCAGAGCCAGAGCTAAGATCTCATAGCGCCGATCCATGAAATTCACGGTGTTCACATGCTGCATACGGCGATAGACCATACGGGACATCTCCTGATCAAGTTGCTCGCCGTCTCACTGGCTCGGAGTTGCTGCTGGTCATATCATTGATGTCCAGATGCAACAGTATGAGGTCCCTAGTGAGACTCCAGAGATGACTGGGCCCAAGCTCAAAGGTCAGGGTGAGAGAGAAGATGGGAAGGGAAGATGAGAAGGGAAGAGGGAAGAAGAAAAGAGCAGGGGAGGAGAGGAGAGAGAGAGAGAGAGAGAGAGAGAGAGAGAGAGAGAGAGAGAGAGAGAGAGAGAGAGAGAAGCAGGGCTTATGTACTCTGAGTGTGGAAGAAGATGAAGGGAAGGGAAGAGAAAGAATTGGCAGGGGACGGCTTTTATACGCAAATTGACGTACCTTCCTACTTCGTTCGGTCACCTGCCATGGGATTTGAGGCATCTACACTTTTCTATACTTTGACACTTCGCACTTCTACGAATTCGTATACTGTCAGGTTTTAACGTTCCTTTCAGCACTGAAAGCAGTGCCATACGGTCTAGCATCTTTTGATCAAGTCATGTTGACATATTTCGAGCTAGTGGAGAGAAAGGGTCCGTCATATAGAAGTCTAAGGAACAAAAGACCTCGTCTCAGTTCAAGTCTCGCAGACAATGAATGTCATCTGTTGGATATCACGCAGTAAACAATCCAGGATTACACAATGACTCTGTTCTTGATCCTGACTATCCCATTGAGAGCGAAGATGAAACCACACACGCACAAAGCCAGAAATTCCATAACCATTCGTCCACTCTACACATCTACATGACAAAGGCTTTGTGGCTTGCCATCTAGATGTAAACTCTCCTTCTGTCTAAGCAACAAATCTCAAAAGCGCTTCCCACTGAACCAAGTCTTGGGGCTCTCTTGGAGTTGAAAGGTAAGACCTGACCCATTCCAACTACAGGTTTGTTCGACACTCTCGTTTCTGGTTTTACATAAATAGCTGTGAGACTCCATGAGCCAACATATTCAACCTTCCAGATTTCCACTTACTCAGACATGGACTCTCTAAACCGCATCATCAGCCCTGACCCAGAACCCTCCAACAAACGACCCAACAATGATACCGCCGAGAAGCCCAAGCCCAAGAAGCATCGCCGCGGCCGCCATGAGCCAGAGCCAGACTGGTCTGCCCAGATGCGCGAGAAGGTTGCCAAATCTTCAAACCGAGTCGGGCACGCTTGTGATCGTTGCAAGGTATGCTAACAGATTCCCTAGTTATATCGAGCTATCTCGATGCTGGAGACATACTGATACGACGGGAATCTAGCTCAAGAAAATGAGGTGCACACCCGACGTGAATGGCTGTGGCTGCTGCATCGTCCTCAACCTTCCCTGCAAAGTTACGGACCGTGTTACCGGTGAGACCTTCGTACGTGGCGCTGCCGGGAAGATGTACCAGGAGATCGACAAGCTACAACAAGAGAGTATCGATCAGAAGATGCAGATTGCGATTTGGCAGCATAAATGTGCGCTGCTTGAGCAGATGGTGGAAAATCTTCAAGAACGTACGAACACCCCTGTCAGTGATGACTTCGGTACCTTCGAGGTAGGCTACATTTGAGTTGAACATTCCGACTTGCATGCTGAACGATCAATTTGGTGTTTGCGGATTGGAGAGCTTCGTACTAACCTTCGATACAATTGACAGCACGGTCTTGACCATGAACGCCTTCAACACTCTAATCTATTGTGAACATATCCTCGTGCAACCATTGCATTGGCATTTTGGTTTCTGTTGCGTTCTGTTGAACTTATTTTGAGATGAGTGGAATGGTCGAGAGAAGCAGGTTGTCTGTGGAAATCGAGACTTCCAAGGTTCTTGTCGGAGCATGTGGACACAATATCTTTTTCAAGTTGCAAAATATGGAAATCAACTAGTTCTTTGTATTCAACATCAGTGTAGTGGAAGAAGACTCATAGTCCTTTCGCTTCCCGAACTTCCCGCCTATGTAAATGCAGCAATCCCTTTGTAGCGCCACTATATGTACCTGGCATCCAGCCATATTCCAAAAAAAGAGACTTCCCAATGCAGAGAGGCCATGGCCCATCACCAGCTCGCATTTTTCTTCCAGCAGCAACAAATTCCTTTGCTTTCACACCATTCCCTGACGGACGCCGTGCCAACCTCACAGTCCTCGCCAACAAGTCCAAATCCCTCAGTATTGAGCCACGCTGTGAAATCTTCCAGCACGATGGGATCATACATGAGAATCTTTTCGTGCCATGTTGGCTGAATGCGGCTTCCCAAAGATGAAGATCGAGGCTGAATGCGAACAGCGTTTGTAATCTGTGAGGATATATCGGCGAGAGAGATATTCTCGGAAGATTTGGCAGTGCGAGAGGTCTTGGTAGACGTGGAAGATGTTTTCTTCGTGGCGGAAGACTTGGAGGAAACGACCTTGCGTTTCGTTGGGCTTGGTGGCGGGGTTTTGGTCAGAATGTCTAGACAACGCCCGACAACTTCTTTACCCGTCTGATTCTTTGCGGTGATATTGCTGTGGAGCTTTTGTACTCGACTCGGGGACGGTGTGATTTCATCTTCCGAGTCTTGAATTTCTTCAATGTCAATGTATGAGAGAGATGTTAAAGTATTTTGCTTATCTCCAGCTCGCTTCTGGGGACTTTTCGGGATATTTGACATCGGTTCAGAGGTTCTTGTGGTTGTCTTGGGCAGTGCTTGGGCAGTCTTTGTTTTGGTCTTTTGTGACGAACCCGACGAAGACTTTTCCTGCCCGGCTTGGTCGATGTCGCTAGAAACAGTTGTGTTGGTAGCATGTTTCGACTGCCAGCATTGCTGGAGAAGCTCAATCATCTTCTTGCGACCCCTGACAGCTTTAAACCCAAAGGTAGCCACCTGCTTTGATAGCTCGGCTTCCGTGAACCCATGATATTGTGGCATTGAGGGGCCCTGTTGAGTGACTTGTCCGTTCTCGTTTGCGACGGTAGGAGCAGTACTCGATTTCTTTGCAGATTTTGTCGCTTTCACCTTCGCACTTGGTGCTAATTCTGGAGCTATAGTCTCAGACGCGATTGAGACCTGGACCTGTTCAGGTGGAGCCGAAGGTTGTTCGCTGATCTTCGAGGGCTGTGTTTTTTTCTCTGATGGAGAGTCGAGATCTGCGAACGAATACTCGAACCAGTCATCTGGGAGAGATTTGTGAGGTGCTCTGTCTACGTTTTCTGGGTTATTCTCTGGGGATTGGGCCCGTTCTGTCAAGTCGATCACATTTGATGCTTTTGGCTGGATCAACGACCCGTCGGTATCTCTGGATGCAACGCACCACAAGTTGCGGCTGCCTGTTAACTTTGAAACGGAGCGATTTGGGTTTGCTTGCATGGAACTTGTCGCAGGGCTGTTGGTTGGATCGCGCAGGCCCTCAGAGTAGGCAAGGAGTTCTGAGGCGCGGATAGCCTGTTGCATGTCCCTCAAGGTCTGTGGAGAGTCTTCTCTTTCCAGCTGACTGCAGGTTCCAAAGACAAGGTCTTGGCCGTTTACAAATTCGACCGCGGCTTCTGGGGATAGGACGGTGAATTTGGACTCTTCGGCTTTCTCTTTGGTCTTTGATCGTCTGCTTTTTGTGGTTTTGGTCTCTGGAATCTCTTCGACTGGTGCATCATCCTCATCCTCTTCATTCATCGTGTATTGTGCGGTCATTCGAGCAGTCAATGTAGTGAACTTTTTTGGCTTGCTCTTGGCCGTTCTCTTGGGTTTCCCATCAACACCTTGCCCCAGGGCGGATGTCTGCTCGGTTGAGTCAGACTTCCCATTCAGAAGCGTTTGAATGACAGGATCTACAAGATCTATACGTCGACGTTTTGTTGGTGCTTCGCTTTTTGAAGTTCGAACAAGGTCGCGGGGGTCTGAGGCAATACCAGAATAAGTGTAGTCAGATAGTAACTTGCCGAACCCGAGGACCTCATTCGAGCCCCGGTGTTCAGCTTGACTGCTATCCTCGCCCACTGACACAATATCCTTGCAGACAGTTTCTCTGGGTGGTGTCCAATCAAGTCTTCTTCGTAAAGCCTCGTCCAGATGCAAAACTTCATCTTTTCCCAAAGCATTCAATTCCGTTGAGTTAAGCGATCCTGTATTGTTTTCTGCTGGCTGCGACTCCGTATCGGTTGTCTTTTTTGTGCGTTTGCTCGCAGTTTTGGATGGTGGATTGCCGCTCGTCTTCGTGACCTTGCCAGCCAATGTCATATTTGCCGGACCTTTACTCTTTGTCGCCTTCCGGGGAGGAGCTTTGGTCTGCTTCACTTCAGCATCTTTTGGGTCAACACCCTCTGCAGGGGCGTCTCCAGGCGCAGTTGCCTCTGACTTGTCGGTGCTGCGTTTCACCCTCCGCTGTGGTTTGCTTGCAATGTTCTGGTCATTGCTTTTCAAAGGTGCAGCCTTCTTTTTCACTCGCTTCTTCGGTTGCTTGCTGTTATCCGGTTGTTGATCCTCCGCGGGTGCCGTTGGGAAGAATCGCGAACACGTCGGAGGTTTGGCTCTGGCGAGGGGCGCAGGCGTTGGCGTTGCGCTTTGGGGCAGGGTATCAGGTGTCCTTATATTATCTTGGACTTTCCAACCTGAAGATTGTGGTGGATTTGGCGAGGACGACAGGACTATCACGTCCGTGGTGTTAGCCATTGTGGCGAGGCGCGTATTCGCGAATTGCCTTCGATCAAGGCGAGGCGCGCGAGTTTGACTTGACAGCAGCTAACATATCCTTCACACATCCGCAAAGGTATGAAAATTGAGAGCTAGTATCCAAATTGAACGGAGGTGAATTGTTAGAAAAAAGCGTTGCAGGACAAGACCAAAGTTTAGAGGGTGGTCGAGACCGCGGTCTTGGCAAAGTTGCCCGTTTAGTTGTTCTATGAAGCTTATAGTTTGGCCAGGCAACCATGAGCATTCTTAATAAAACCTCTTACAAGATTTCCTACCTAGACTCCAATATTTGGTGGTATCTGGTCTCTCATACAATATGCTGAAGGATGCGTGTTACCGATCTCAATTGCAACATAATACTACCAAGATGCTTGCTGGAGTTTAAACTTGATCACCCTGACAATCCAACAAGAGTCAGGTGTCAATGTAAAGAAAACCATATGTCTTGGAAAATATCAATTCATTTCATGAGCGTCTTAAATTCGTGCTATCATTTCCACAGAGACGTGTGCTGCGACCACCACTTGACCACTTGACAAGAGGGCTGGGGTGTAATAGCTAGGACACAGGTGGACTGAATATCGATCTGCTTGATCACAGACAAGCTGTTGACCCAATTCCGGTCTTGATCATCAAGTTTGTCCGGGATTAATGCCAGTGCCACCAGCAGAAAGCATTGAAATCACGACCTGGTCCCATCACAGATCTGTGGCGATCAAGTTTGAGAGTTCTTTCGATGGATGTGATTTTTTTTTTCATGATCCCCTCAAAGCAATTGCCCCAACCAAGGACTTTTCAAGTCGCTGCTTGGTCTCAATGTTCTCTGGGGAGGTGACTTGATCGGCTGCCTTGGATGGTGAAGGAAGAGCTCCTAGCTTGTACGCTTTCTTAATCTTGGTGAAATCTGCCAGTTCAAAGAGAATCTGGTCGTCAAAATTGACGGGTGTTCCCTGCACAGAGTTGGCCAGGTGGGAAGCAACCGTCTCATGTGTTATCTCTGAAGAGGTTGAAATCTTGATCACCAACAGATCCGTGGTCGAATCAGTGATACCGAATCTGCGGAATGATTCGGCAATCTAGGCGTGTTAGTTCTTTGGCTGATCCAAATCGTGTACCACCCCGGGGTTGACATTTACATTATTCGTGGGGTTAAGTGAGAACACAATCTCGGAATGCACATTATGGGACCTTAACCGGTTGTGCGAGTAATCATTGAGGGCTCTGAACACCGCGGCAATAACATGGGCCCTTGACAGAACCTATTGACAAAAAAGAAAGTCAATAACAACTCTTTTTGGATTCTCACGTCGTGCTGCGAGATTAGATATGCAAAACATACCATGCTTGCATCAACGAAAGCATATTCAAAATCTGCCTGACCAGCGAGCAATTGCGCTTTCAGATATGCGGCATTTTGGACATCGCGATAGAGAGCCACATGCACCGGCAAGGACGGCAAATGAGGCAATTCGATCGACTCCAGACTTGAAGACATGATACCCAATTGAAAGTGAGAATGACGTATGAAAACCAATCTGATAAAACAACGATGAGCAACGAGCCTGTGATTCACGTGAGTTCTGGAAATTTCGCCCGGCCCGGAGTTAAGCGGCAGAACCGGAAAAGGTGAGTAATGAGTAATCAGAGCAGTCCGGGGCGTCCTGAATCCTGATATCACCCGCCCGCAACCCACGTAGTCTTCCTTCCTGCAACACACCTCAACACACCACCTCAACATGGCCTTCTTTCTAAGGCGCCCGTTCGCCGTATCCTCGGCGCTTCGCCAGGTTCCCAAGCTCTCGAACACTGCTCGCCTCATCCACAACTCTCCCATCAAGCCCCAGGCAAAGCCTCAAGGCATCTCGTCCTCAATCTTCGCCAAGTCTCGACAGAATTTCCAGAATGCCTTCCGCCGTACCTACATGCAGCAGAGCGCCAACACTGCTCAAGGTGGTAACATGACCCAAAAGATCGCCTATGGTGCTGCCATCGTCGGTGGTACAATGCTGGCTACCAACTTCATCTTCAACCGTGAGACCCGAGAGGATGGCGGAATGCCCGATTATGAGCGAAGCTTCCTGAATGAGACATTCATGCACACTGGTCTGGGTATTGGTATCATTGGTGTCGCTGCTCGTGCTCTTCACATGAGTGGCTGGTCTTATCGTCTCATGGCCATGAACCCTTGGCTCGTTATGGGTGTCGGTCTCGTTGGCAGCATCGGCTCCATGTACGGAACTTTCTACACCTCACCCGATAAGTAAGTTTTGACAATCTTTTGCACAAATTGCGCATTCAAGAAACATCTCTAACATTCTGAATAGCTACGTTGTGAAGTACGGCTGCTGGACTTTGTTCAACCTCACCCAGGCTGCTCTTCTCTCCCCACTGATGTTCATGAACCCTGCTATTCTCGCTCGCGCCGGTCTTTACACTGTCGGCATGATGGGATCCATTGCCTTCGTCGGTGCCACTGCCAAGCAGGAGAAGTACCTGTACCTCGGCGGTCCTCTGCTTGCTGGTGTGACCATCGTTGCTCTCTCTGGACTCGCCCCTATGGTTCTCCCCGCCACTGCCGTTCGCACTCTGATGTGGTCTGAGCGTCTCTGGTTGTACGGTGGTCTTGCCGTGTTCGGTGGCTTCACTCTCTATGATGTGCAGAAGATTCTTCACCACGCTCGCCTCGCCGAACGTGGCCTGATCCGTCGCGATGTGGTCAATGAATGTGTCAGCCTTGAGTTGGACTTCATCAACATCTTCATCCGCATGGTCCAGATCCTCGGCATGGGCAACAACCGCCGCTAAGCCACTTTGGTGTCTTTCCTATGGCAAATGAAAACCCCGTCTGAGTTGAGATACAATATCGTGACAGGTGTTTCTCATGCCTCTTCCTTTGACAAATCCATACCCCAATCCCCTTTTATGTATTTCTATTTCTAGCTTGTTAAGAAGCTTTCTCTCTTTTTTTTTTTTTTTTTTTTTTTTTGGTCCCATTTTGATGCCTCCACTCATGGGCAAGCGGATAAACTTTGCTAGGAATCAAATTCAGAAGAAATGAGGTAGCAAATGCAAATCTCCACTCCAACTCTCCAGTGTTCTTTCTTGAATCTTTAGTATCCTTCTCTTCAAAACGCCATTTCCAAGGTTTAACGCTCTCAGGTTTGCAATCACCCACCAACTGCCACATTGAGCGACTTCCAATCTTGAAGTTGCACGCAGGACAGGTCCGTCGGCGATTTGCTTGCGGGTGAATACTGAGGTTGTAGACACGGAGTTAGTATGCACTAGATAGTATCGCCGCGTACTCGCCCCTTCGACTACTATCCCATTATGTAGACATTAAACTCAAGTCAGAAATCAGAGATATATCAGTTGGCTGTTTTAAACCATAAATAGCCAATAGCTTTGGAGGTCGCACTGAGAGCCTTGGAAATAATCAGAAAGGGAAGTCACAGTCATGTGATCCCAGAGCTTCCTTCAAGGTTGGGATCCCTCAAGACCGGCCTTCAGATAGCAATCCAGACTCAGACCCATTGAACACTCCCGAATTCCAGAATCAAATTCAGCATCATACCAATTTTATCGCACGAGTGATTCAAATCCACAGCCGCACAAAATGTCCAACGAGATGGAAGTCGACCCTCCTGTCGCACACGACGAGTCCACCGAGCAATCTGACCGCAGCTTCGAGCCGCGGACCCAAGGAAACGCGGTCGCCGTGCGCAGTATCGAAGGATGGATCATTCTTGTGTCTAATATCCACGAAGAGTCATCAGAGGAAGATGTCACTGACCTTTTCGCGGAATACGGAGAGATCAAAAACTTCAGTCTCAACCTTGATCGACGGACAGGTTATGTCAAGGTGCGTTTCTAATCACGCGCAGGCTATCATCTGCGAGAAATACGGATGCCGTGATCCCCGAGCTCTCAGCCTCGTTTCCAACCCACTGGATTGGCTTTTACTGATACCGACTATCTCTTAGGGCTACGCATTGATTGAATACTCAACTCTCCCCGAAGCGAGCGAAGCCATTCAGAACCTCAACGGCGCCAAACTCCTCGAGCAGACCCTCCACGTTGACTACGCCTTCGTCCGCCCACCTCCATCTGCCAAGGGCAAGAACGGCGGAGGGCCCAAGGGCCGAGCTGGCCGTAATCGCAGCCGCAGTCCCAACCGGAGTCGCAGCCCCGAAGCTGGTGGTGACCGAGAATAAACCTTTTTTTATGGATATGAACGACAAAGTCTGGGGGCATGCATTGCTTGTGATTTCTCACTTGATACCTGTGTTGATGAACTATCTTCGCCTTCTTTTTTCTGCGCTTTTCGCCCAAGTGATCCCCCAAGATCTTAACAAAAGGCCCGTATGCATTGGTGAATGGCATTCGAGCCAGTTCAGTCTTGCTGGCATGCTCTCATTTTGGGTTGGGTCTTTATCAGCTCACGGGATGCGAAAGAGCGCCGAGGATAATTTCACCCGAGGGCATGCCAGCGTCATAATAGCTTGCCATAATGGTATGGAAATCTGGTCTCTAGCTTGTCTAAAAATATGCTAACCTTGACCCAGGAATAAAAAAACCACCTTCGATTACACCCTAGCATGGAATATAGGCTTGGTCAGTGAGCACAATTGGAGTGCTGAATCCCAGCAATCGATTCCGTATGTCAGTGGAAGCTACTGCCCAGGTGTCCTAGTTTGGTGTGATTCACCAGCACAATTGCTAGCCCTCTGATTCTTCCTGTGAACCTATCAAATGCCTAGTGCATATTGACGGCTTCATGACCTGATGGTGCAGTTACCAGTTGCTAGCTCTCCCGAATATAGACACTCCCCTGCAGAGCGCATCACGCGACTACCATGTGAAACTAGCCTAAAGTACATAGCAAAACGGAGTGAATGTTGCATCCTCTAGCAATCAGGAGGCTTATAAGAATCAGCAGAATAGCCCCATGAACCGCTCACCTGCGCGATCTTGGGTCAGTAGCGCCTTAAGTAAGCCGAAACGGGCCCGGGCGTGGACCCCGGGGTCGGCGCTCCCCCGCATGGCGCATGGCATTATCGCTTGCTCTCTTCCTCATTTTGTAACCTCGCCATTGCCGACTTTTTTCTTATATCTTTAGGGTCTCCAGGTCGCTGTGACTGGGGAACTGGTTCTGGCAGGGTTTATCCTCAGAATGGCTCCCCGCCACACATGTCCTCCCCCTTCAGGGTTCCAATCTCTGTATTATATCCTTATCCTATGCATCTTATCGCTATCAAACGTGGCCTACTCTCTGGTACATCCGCCTCAAGATGTTATGAGACCAGCGTCTACGTCATCTCAACTTTCAATCCCGAATGATGGCTCCTCGAAGGAGTCGTCGGGAGCCCTTGATCCGGCGACTCAAGAGTCAACTCACGAACCTATTCTTGATACATTGAAAAACTTGATTGATGCCCTGGGAGTGATGCAAGACAAGTACTTTGTGCTATGGCAAGGCACGTGGCCGACCAGCATCGATTGGACCGCCGCTGTGTTGGGAACTCACGTTTCTGCGGCATTGTCATCTTTATCCTCTGGCCCGCTGGATATTCCCGAAACGGATGAATTGCAGGGACTTTCCTTCTTTACACTCGAGAATACGGTTAATAGGTTCTTCAGTGACACCTCGGCATTTTACTTTGGAGAAAATGCCTTCAGTGTCAGGAATCAAGCATATGATGACATGCTATGGATCGTCTTGGGATGGTTGGGGAACATCAAGTTCCAAAACCTTCACTCAGATCTCCACTATCAATCCTCAAATACCAGCTCTGGAAGCCCATGGTATGGTACCCAGTTCCGATCCTCTGCTGCACACAGAGCACGAATCTTCTATGAACTTGCCTCCGCTGGATGGGACAAGGTCCTCTGCGATGGCGGTATGATCTGGAGCCCTTATCTGCTGCCATACAAGAATGCCATCACAAATGAACTCTACATCTCTGCGAGTATTGAGATGTATCTTTACTTCCCAGGTGACCCCATTGACGCCCCTTTTGTTTCTAATTCGGATGGCGTGGGATCTTCACAAGGAAACCCGCACAACCTTGTCCATCTCAAAGCTGCAATCGATGGTTACAACTGGCTCAAGGGCTCGAACATGACTGGTATTGGTGGTCTTTACGCCGACGGCTTCCACATCAGCGGCTGGCGAAGCACGTCGAATCCTGGCTCGCGCAAGTGCGACGAGCTCAATACCATGGTCTATACATACAACCAGGGAGTCATTCTCAGCGGGCTGAGAGGACTATGGATTGCCACACTGTCCCTGGTTTATCTACAGGACGGCTATGAGCTGGTCGACAAAGTACTACAAGCCACCGGGTGGCCACACATCTCCAGTCGCCAATGGAAGGGTCTAGGTCGTGGCGGCGTGTTAGAAGAAGCCTGCGATGCCAGTGCAGCCTGTTCACAAGATGGACAGACCTTCAAGGGAATCTTCTTCCACCATTTGGCCGAATTCTGTCGACCTCTTCAGCCACAAGAAGAACAGTTCCTGGCCCACGCAGCTCGCAGCAACCCCAAACGCAATGATTGGAAAGAAGCTTATGAGCAACACCTGGACCAGTGCCGCACTTACGGCCCTTGGATTCAACACAATGCGCAGGCCGCTTTGATGACTCGCGACAGCGAGGGCAAGTTTGGTTTCTGGTGGGGACGCGGATATCGCCAGCTTGAGGCAGATGGGCTCGTTGATAGCAGCGCGATACCAGAGGGGGCTGTTGATTACCGCAATCCTGAGAAAGACTCAGGTCCTCTGGAAGCAAGCTTCAGAACCACAGATTACAATGATCGTGGCCGCGGTCGTACAGTGGAGACCCAGTCCGGTGGCATCGCTGTGCTGAGAGCTTTGTACCAATGGCAAACCTATGATACCCTACCATGACCGATGCAGCGCCCGGGATGGTGTTTCGGCGTGGTGTTAGGTTTGTAAAGAAACATCCTTACTTGCATGCAATGCTTTGGCTTAGATTTGGAGTTCTAGTCTGTCGTTTTCTTTCTGTTCTTCTTTTTGTGAATAAGCTTCATATCCTTATTCCATGGCTAAGGCCCTCAAAACCATTAAAGCCATTTTCGAACTTTCACCCTGAAGACTAAACCACCCCCGGAGCATTAGTCTCATATCATAGGAGAAATTCTGTGTGGACATTTCCAACAAGCTGCCATGGCTGATCTTCCAAGTTTGCTCAATTTCGTGCTTGCAAAGAAGATGGCCGGTCAAAAAGAACAGACCTTCACCTCCAGCTGAGATCAGATCCGTGGATCAGATATCCCGCCCTGGTGAATTTTCCGGACAGGGTGATTGGCACAGAATCCTCCAGATTCCACAGATGGATCGATCTCCACAAGGAGCACGGCACACAAAACAGGAATTCAGATCTGAAAACAGGATTGCTTGATCGCCGGATCTGCAAGAAGGGGTACCCGAACCCCAGGCAATCATGAATTGTCTTTGTTGTTTTTCTAGTGTACAGTAGTCTGAGTGTCCGGCGATTAGCGGAAGGTATTGTAAGACATTCTGAGGCTGAGGTGTCAAATGTGGTTCGTGTCTCTGAAGGACCCGTGGACGACGTCATCAGCTATGTTCAATTTGGACCTCATGCCGTGCTCGGTTGACCTGAGTCAAGTTGTACACATGATCCATTGTAGTTGAACAATGAACATGTGGCGAGTGAAACCTTCGCGGGCATTGTTGGACGTGAGAAGGAGGGCCCCGGGGGAGCCTCATATAACTTTTCCCGCAACCGGCGAGTTCCGCTATATCTTCGTGACAATATACAGGCTCTGTGCTTGTAGATGTAGGGTTTTGATGGACTGGTATGCATCAAGTCACCAGTGAAACCCCAAGCTATAGTTGCTGCAACACTGGTATTGATAGATACAAGTACGTGCACAAGATCTGTATGCACATTCAAAGCGCGTTGAATCAAGACACACTCCGTAGAATGAGTGGAATTATTCTCAAAGTTTCCATTATATCTACAATATGTGTACCACCAACAGAGATGGAGCACGGCATACCAAGAGACATTGTGCGCACTACGAGTATGCACAATGTAGTGACTGTATTCCGTACTCCGTGCTTTGTACGGAGCATGACTTGAACAGGACAGAATCCAAAACCAGGTGATTGGGTGTGTTCAAAGACGGGAATGCGACCACTAAGAAAATCCACAAAAAAAAGCCAAAAGTCAACCCCACCTAAGCGACCAAACTTCCCTTGACGCCTCCGTTGATTTGACGGGGACGAAACGCGTTCGTATCGGTGGGGGAACAAATTGACCCAAGCACCTGCAGATCGGCGGGTATTTGGGTTTTGGAGGTCAAGGGGCTTACAAAAACCATCTGCAAATACTGTGATTAAAATCTGCTTCTAGGTTGGACTTGTACGCTGTCTCATAGAGTAATAATAGGACGGAGTATCACAGGGGGAGTCGTCATGGTCTGATGTTGACTGTCTCAGTTGCCCCCGTTTTCCACGTTTTTTCTTTGCCGCTTCTGGTGGGGAAAACCATAATTATATCTTCGCTAAGAATATTCAATATCCATGTCCTGATACGGAGTACCTATAGAGCACGGAGTACTCCGTATGGAAAGGCCAATATACAAATATTCGATAGCGTGGTACTATACCATTCTTTCGCAATCCCTCCTTGTTAGCGTCGACCTTGACATTGCGGCCTAAGGGTGTCACACGCCCCCTCTCTGGGAAGACTTCGGTGAAGCAAAGTACGGAGTACGGAGTACACTTTTCGTAGTTACACCTGTGTTCACTAGGGTTCCAAGTACCGGCCTGAGCGTCTAACATTATGTGATTATATCGTATTGCTATTATACTCGAGATCTCATCTGACTCACGGAATCTAGGAACGCACGCCACTGGGCGGACACTCCCCATGGAGGGGTTATCTGTACACTGGCATAAGCAAAGCCAAGACTTTTGGGGCAAACAGATTTAGTAGGGAATATTTGAGATTCATCATTGTGCTGAGGCTACGCGAAGTCGGCCAAAATAGCCTCAAGTTCTTCCCCAAACGAAATAGATGAGTACCGAAACCCTAAATCCTCAAAATTGACCGCCAATGTGGTTTGATGCTGTCATTCCTCGTGGAACCGGCCCCGGCGGAACATTACTACCTATCCCCGGGTTCAGAATCTTAAACCGGAGTGGCGTCGGCAGGTTAGATGCCAATTCATCACTCGGCACAGCCCTGGAGTGGAATCTGTAACGGCTAGTACGGAGTACAGTGTAGAACTTCTCATACGAAGTACAGAGTACAATTTACCACCATTTAGCATTGACGAGTACTCCGTACCCCGGACTTGTAATTCCGTATGGAGGACATTGTGCGCAGGATACTCGTACACCGGGGCCTTCAAGCCTTCGGTCTCCAAGATCGGCGTCTATGAATCAGTTTCATATTCTTTTCGGCTCACGTTCCATCAAATAATGAAGGATATCCAAAACCCACGGGAATGGATCGTCTGAAGCCCAAGCGTTGGGCGCACATTGGTTGTGAGGGTGTGGGCTTGGGACCGGAGATGGTGACTGGTTGCGGGATATTACGACAGGCGGGCTTGGTGCGGAGCAAGACTACAGTGTGCCACTGAATTGTCTGCATCACTTTTGTACAATGTACGAGTAATGTCGCGGACACTGCTCATCTTTGCCGGTTACCATCGTGAAATCTACCGGGTTACTTTTGGTGGCGGTGGAAGCGGCTAAGGGATGCTTTTGGTTCGGAACTATTTTCCTTTCGACAGTAATGATGTTCAAATGTACTCATTTCATGTCCATTACCGATGATTAGAGCCATGACCCATACAAAATAAATACAAATTGATACTACAGTATTCGCGGAACGAATCTCATTGGTATTTGGAATATCACTCACGATCTTAGTAAAATGCGCGGGAAACAAGTATCAACAGTAAAATCCGGGAGTTCGGCCGATCCCCAGGGCGATATTTCCCCCTTGGAATCCGGGATGGTTGCCACCAAAAGCAGGGAAAGTCATTGTTTGTGTACAACTATACCGATTAAGTAATACTCCATATTGAACGGGGTAATATCCATTTATATCGTGCCCCGTACTCCATACAGGTACACTATCTATATTCTGTATGGACGTTATAGAGGCAATGTCCGCGTGAATGATAAATGTGGACCAGTAATAAGGTCTTATTTTACTCTGAGGCTCGATCGACATTGCATGCCCCCCCTCCTCCCCTGAAGACGGTATTCATTTTACATGTGCCGTCATGTCTGTATCTATGGATATTGATAGATTTGCGAAAAATGAATTTATCAGTAGTGACAGGGTTTGAAAAAGAGAGGGAATACACAATCTGAGCCATCCAAGAACTCCCCGAAGCGGAAGTATTAAGGGTCAAGCCGGTCAGGTGTGAAAGCGAAATACGAAAACCTCTCAAATGGCATGGCGGTGGGGAGGTATCGAGTACTTGATCGGACCACGGCGCAGATAGGGAACAGCGGTGTACCGGGTACCTGTCGGGAAGGTGTGAGTGGAAAGGGGAATCTAAGGAGCCAGTTGGCCCTAAACCCGTTAGTTGGCTAGTTGGGTTCCTGAGCGCCTCTCATTTGCAAGCCCCTCTTTTTTCTTTTTTTCTTTCTCCCCTAGAAACCTTCTTGACTCTTCGATTTTCTGTGTAAACATTATATTTTCCTTTTATTTCCTTTTATTTTGGTATTGGTCTTGAATGTTTGTTCTCTCTGAATGTGGCTGCCACGCGCTCCCCACACGATTAATTTATTGTACATAGGACATATAGAAAACATGAAGTAGAAAAGGGAAGTGGAAAGAGAAAGAAAGAAGAAAAAAACCTCTTTTAGGAGGGGATGATCATTCAAACCAAGGGACTTGGGTTCCTCCACCTACTGAAAAGGTGCTAAGATAGACAATCCACCCGGAACTCCTTAGGTACCGCTGACTACCGCACCCGTCGCACCACAACCGAAGTCACCCAGATGTACTGCCCTCTGCCGTAACGCCGATACCTAAACTCTCTTCCTTTTTCCCCCAAAGCTCTTTTCGGGTATTCTCAGACTCTCCCTCTCCATCTCTTTGACCTTCACCCTTCACCTGTCATTATTGATACCTTCTGTTCTTTCTTTTCACGCCTTGAAAAGAAATTTCCACCCTTTGACGACTCTCTTTCACCCTTTCCAACTTCCCCTCTCTGCGACACAACTCGAAATTGCCTTCGGTCAACTTGCTCGAAAAAGTCGACCTCGGTCGTCTTCAATATTACATCTCCCGTCTCCTTCTCCTTTTCGACGTCTCACCGACCCCGGTAGCTACCTCAAGCGTAACACAGATTTCTCGTCTGGGGTACATCGCTAGGGGTAGACCGTGGTCGTTCATCAGCCGCCGCTTTTCCTCCGGCCTATTTCAATCCGCCAACCCTCTCCACCCTCCAAAGCCGTGGGATATTCTTCACACCGCCATCCTGGACTCCTATTCGATCTTGCGTTTCGTGAGCAGTAATCCATATGGCAACAGATACAGAGATGACTGAAGCCTCTCCTGTTGATACCCTGCCGCAACCGAACGACAGTGGCCGCATGCATATGTCATCCCTTTCATCATCTTCATCTATATCCGACGCAGAAACTGAGCGTCGAGGCCGATCAGAACGACCCAGAATGGCGAGTCGCAAGCCCAGCGCGTCAATCCTGGTCCCTCGGGACCACCCCGAAATCGAAATCGAGGAGGAAGAGTTTCCTCCCGATGATGCCCGTGCGATGAGCCCACGACGCAATTCCGCTGATTTGGAACGTCTGGGCAAGGAAGCCAGACAGACTTTGAAAGAGTGAGTCGGGTTTATGTTTCACTAATTGAAACCACATTCAGAAAACCCCAG